ATAAGTTGTTTTATCAACCAAATTAAAAGATGAAACAATTATTGTCGTATCTTCTTCAAAAATTAATTTACAGAAGCCAAAAAATAAAATCACAAATAACTCTTATCAAATGCCTTACTCTGGATGGCAGAGTAACTCCCAGGTCAAGTTGATAACAGGTTTATCAACGTAAAACATTTTTATATGCCACTTTATATAAGACACACTTCAGCCTAATTTTAAAACTGTATAACAATGAAATTAGACGTAGCTTAGTCCATTATTTTAACGGTAAAAGATAGTACCTTATTTTTAAAAGTATCATTACTAACAATATTCAAAAAAAACTATAGTAACAGTCTGTAGTAAACATCAGGTCATCATCTCAAAAGTTAGAATCCAAAAACAAGCGAACGATTCGTGAAGTGACGTTTTGGCCACACGAACGGTAATGTAAGCCTCTTGACATTGGAGTTGCGGTCATTCCGAAGAAGAACCAGCTGATCGCTCCTGGCGTTTCTCTGCTTCTCTGCTCTTCTTTATCACTTTCTCTGCTTCTCTAGTCTTACGATGTCTCGATTTTGACGTTTTTCTCACTGTAGACGTCTGCAAAGCTACATTGTAGTCTCTTCAGTATTGTCGTCGTTGTCACTACCTCATATCCTCATTCTTTAAACCTATTACTGTATGCGATCTCTCTTCACTTTACTACGTCCGTGCAAAAACAATAGACTGGCTCTACTCGTCCAATCATTCTCTGTCGTCTCTTCACTCGCTACACTCTCTGCACGTTTGCTTCCGTTGTTTTGTGTCCAAGTATTTGGCCGCAGTGTTTTGTGGACGAACGGTACGGAGTCGGATTTAAAAGTCAAGTGTTATAGGGAGCGACCTCCTCGAGGACCTAAGCCGCTCAGGGGTCAAGAGCGCGATGGTACGAGTAAAGTAAAGAAACAAAGGTGTCCACATCCAACTTGGCCATCAAACTTGTATGTTGGACTAGCTTATGTTGTACTTTAAAGGCAAAAGTATTTTTAAAATGACGTTATCTTTTAAGAAGCTACAGTAAACATTACCATTTCATAATATATAAGGCTCTATGTGACTTCTCGTACAATAATAATGACATAAAAGGACAAAAGTTACACATATTATAAAAACCTTTATAAAACTAAAGAATGCCGTTTGAGTTACGGTAACGAAATCCGAACGGATTGGTCAACAATATAGGAGACCGTTCCCGTCCTCCACTTGACTGTTCGAGTCGTACTGACCGTCACAGATTGTGACCTCTTCTCCTTTTGATTGCACAATCGAGGAAAGAACGGAAGAGGCTCAAGATACGATTAATGCTAATGTTCTGTCTAATTACTATGATTCATGTTAATATTCTTCTTGTTTAGTAATTAAAATTTAAAACTTTTTTGATAAATTTAAGATTTTGCTTTTGAAATAGAAAGTTTCAATACCATAAGTTACATACGAGATTAATAGAGAATGTACACAACCTTTGACCACATAATGATCGTGGTTACGTAAAAGAAGATGTATGACCTTGTAGTAGACCAAAAGAGAATCAAAATGATGGATTATGAATGTTTTGGACATAAATAATACCTTCTTGTATTATTTTTGTACTAGCAAACAGAGAACGTGTCAACATTTTTAAATTTAAATTTATAATTAGCTAATACCAAAAATTTAAGTAAATCTACCCCTACCTTCCCCCCCCTAAATGTCATCCAAAAACAGCTCGGTCAGTATGTGCTCAAGTCCTCGAAAGTACCATATGTCACCGCATCCCGACGAAGATGACACACCTGTGAATCTCTCGACTTGTATGGTAACTTCGTATGTTGTTTGCTGAAATGCGTAACCCGATCCTTACTTTTCTTGGATCACCTGCTGAACTACCACTTGGCTTTCTTGCACTTTGTGTTTAACGAGAAGAAAGACATGGTAAATAAGGAGGTTCTGCTACTGTATGCACAAGAGTAAACTCAAAAACAAAACAACTAAATTTAAATTTAAAAAGTATTCAAAAAATATTTAAAAGTCGAAGTTAAGATAATATCATAGTTTAAAGTACAATACTCAAACCAAGGGCCTGAAATCATATAAGAATTCATCTTTTCAGTTACAGTAACCACACAAAAATGAAAGGCTACCCAAAGTCTAAAAAATGTGGCTTCAGACTGAAAGTGAAACAATTACCAAGGTAACTTGTTTCAAAAACAGTTGCGCCATTCTGTAATGTAACTGTCGCTTCCCTTAATCCCTAATTTATCTGAAATCCTCTCGGTTTCGGATTTGGGAGTATCATTCCAAAAGTTTCGTTCAATCACTAGGATTATATGTGTGTGTTACAGAGTAAAACCGAGACTGTAACGTTCAATTCTGCTGAAGCGGCGTTGCATATTATATTACTAGAAGTTACTATTTACAAATAATGTAAAATAATATTTGAAAATTCTTCATAAATCTTACTGTACATCTTATCCTTCCTTATCAATTCGCTAACCAGAGTGTCCGCCCCTCAAACCGATCCGAGAGTTAGTTGGTTGTAACAAAACTTACATAAATTGTAATCTCTCTTTACTATCAATTTAATTGACGTAATTTACAGGTCCCACAACTACCGTAACCCATCTCTGGATGATTTGTTTACAATCAAATTACTTTTTACGGAATCGAGAACCTTCCAACCAACTTTTTTTAGTTTTTTCTTAAAATCGTTTTAAAATATGTTAAAGTTAGATTATAGTACAGTATTTTAATCAAAAAACTGATCAACATCAAAATTTTAAAGTTATTTTTCAAATTTAACAATTAAAATCCTAATAATAAATAACAAAACATTTTCAAGCACTCACTTAAATAGGTGCAAAATGACAATTCATATTACAAATACAATATAAAACAAGTAAAAGTTATTAAAATACAAAATGAAATCATTTTCAAGTTCAATTACTAACAACCTATTAAATTTAAATTTCAAAAAAAGCTCAAGTATTATAATTCATAAAAAAGAAATGTCAAAGGTAACATAAAGGTAGAAAGGTGGTGCCATGCTCTTACTATGTTGTAGCCATCCTCATTAAGACAAAACTACAATTTAAGCGACGAAACATCATTTCAAATACAATTCAAAATACATTTTTTAAAATTTATTCCATTAGCATAGTATATTGAAGATATTTCTATTATATTTTAAAACAATTCTAAAATCTTCAAAGTATAATATTTATAAGTATAACATTTTTGAAATAAAATGTCTGTTGACCTTTTAAGTCTTGAAAAAGAATTATTAGAAACTCTTTCTTCCTGAATCTTCGGTTTTACACTAATGTACACTAATCAACTCGCTACTTACAAGAAAGGAGTTGTAAAAAGATCATTCTGAAACTAATTCAAAACCAAAAAAACTCGTTAAAATAAGAAAAAACAGCTTAACAATGTATAGTATACTCAAAAAAAACGTAAAATAGAAACATATTAACTTTTGAAGTTAACTTTTTAAATTTAAGTGTTAAACGTTAACCTTGTGAAGATAAGATTTTCCGGAAAAGGGAAGCTACAGTTAGGAAACAGTTAAAAACAAAACTTTGACAAGGAAACCGGTTTGGTCCATAAAAAGAGAGAAGGACGGTCAGTGGACTACCACTTCTCTCTCAAAGGATAAAAGTACATTTTGTACTGTCATACTGCTCCAATACTAAGCAATGTCATAGAAGGACGTACTCTGTTTGACACTGTAACTATACTAACTATACAACACATAAGCAACAACAAACTAGTACTTGTTTACTCGGTGACACAAGTGACATTGTACATGATGACATAACCCGAAACCAAAGTTGTTCCTTGTTTTGAACGAATTTCGTATTTTCCTGAGAACATCCTTAACACTGATAATTACGCAAAAAACCTACTAATTACTCGGCCGTTCTTAATTAGACGTTATGATGCCTCAGGCTTCCTGAAATAAATAAGGTTTTTGTGTGTTTTCTAGAATACTACACATCATGGTAACATTAACACCATGGTGTACATAATTGTCGTTTTAAGATGAATTTAATGTTGGTTATTTCATATCAAAGTATCTTTAACCATGGTATTCTATGGTTAGAGTAAACAGTATATGCCAATCCTACTACATAAATGCCAAAACATAACAGCTTTTAAAGTCATGATTCTTTGGTTTTTACTCAAAACTTTTAAATCCGAAAGTTTCACTTTTAAAACAAACTGTTTTTGTGGAACGCCGAGGCGTCACCGTTCCTGACCGTTCGGAAGGAAGAAGAACATTTGGGCGTCGCCGGAAACACAATTGTAATCTTGTCTTGTTCTCCTGCAAACCCCCAGATTACGGTAGACTTTACAGTCTGGATTTCGCTTTCACCAACTTCAAAGATCGCCTCCGGAAACAAACTTTTGCACTGACCTTGAACATCGTGGAATCGCTGCAAAGACATCGTCATTGATAATGTTTGTTTAGAAGAATAAGTTTGAATCTTCGAATACAAAAGCCACAACAAAATAAAGGCCAATACATACAATTATAATGAAATATAACTAACATAAAAGCATCTGAAACTTATAATAACTAAAATAAAAAGTTAAAAACCCAAAAATTAAATTTAATTAATATTTTCGTTTTAAAAATGACTTTAAGACTTGATAAAAATGTTTTTAAGCATGAATACTTTGCTACCGAGGTAATTACCCATTTTAACGCGATAAAATCAGAAAAACAAAATTTTGTTGTCCGAATTGCGTCCTTAGCTTGCAGCCTGCAGGAACTCGATTGTTCGGCCAGATTCTTCTCAAGACTAACAAATTGTAAATTTTTTGGAAAAATTTCTCGGTTTTTTAAAGCTCCAAAACCTTTATCCGTTTTTAACCCTCTCTGAATATTATCTGTCGAATCTTGGAGATTCTGTTACATTTGGCAATTCTTGGTCTGCTGAATTGGCTAAAACATTTTCTCTATCTTATTCGTTGCTATTTTATAGGTTTGCATCATGGTAAGTGCTGTTTATCACTCTTGTACTTTTAAACTTTACAAATTTGTATAAAGTTATCTTCAGGTGCGAACTCCAGCTATCGGAACATCAACTCCTACTAGAAGTTCTCGTCGTTTGCGAAAAGAAGAGCCGGAGATTGGATTGCAAGAAGGTAATATATTATAATACCTTTTATAATATTACGTAGATTCACTCATTGGGTTGTGTTTTATTATTCGGATTATTATATAATATTTATAAATCTATTTTTAATTTTTTGATTGCTTTTCAGCTATCGAAGTTATTGAGAAAAGTCCATCCAGATCAAAAACCAAAAGAAAGTTGAAATTCGACGACGAATTGGATGTCACTCCAATTGCAACAAATAGTAAGGTCAGTAAAGTCGCACTTTCTAGACAGTTGTTCGAGCAGGAGGATCAAACTGACGAAGGAAAACAATCTAAAGAAGATGTTATTGATGATAGACTTGGCTCGAAGACGGTGAACGTTGAGGTGGACGACCGTACATTGAAAGACAATTTGAACCCAGAATATAATGAAAAAGCCTCAGATGTTTTTAAGGCTTCAGAGGTTGCAGATGAATCGATTATGGATTCAGAAGTAAACGACCGTGAAGATGAAGTTACTGTGGAGTCAGAGCATGATGGAGATAATACTAATATGGGATCAGATGTGATAGATTATGGAGGCGAAGTAACAGCCTTTTCGGAACAGAACTACGTCGAAAAACAACTTACCATGGAAACAGGAATAAGAGACTATGAAAAAACTGCACGATCTGACCAGAATGTCGATGAAATTCCTGAGGCTTCAGAAGTGTCAGTTACGGATGAATCAAATACGAATTCAGGAATGAAAAACGACCAAAATGAAACGCCGAGCTTGTTCACAAAGAGAATTATTCCTACTGTTATGTTAACTCCAGATTCTTCGACTGTTGGCAACGAAACTTATGTTAAAGGAGCACCTGAACAGAACAATCTCACATATACTGTTCGTGGACCAGATGCTGGAGATTCTACAGGCGACGATAAAGGTGACGATTCTTCTGACGAATCATCAACTTATGGGGATTCTTCAGCCGGCGAAAGGATAATTGATTTGAAAGGTAATACTTAAATTTGTAAAATTATATGTTTAATATATTATAATTAATAGAAGGTACTGTTTAGACGTGTCAAAAAGTACGGGGAATGTATTTGAGGGATTGAGTAACAGATTTTTTAAACTAAGATCACTTATGTATTTTATTCTTTTTTAGAATTCTTGGCTAAACCTATAAACATGCCTTTGGGGATGGACTTGGATCTCTTATCAGAAGATGAAAATGAAGATTCTACGACAAGATTGACGGAAAAGAATGGTGATGATACTCAAGCCAACGCTAGTGTAACATCCGTCATAGTCAGCTTCTGTGAAGACAGCGACGAAAGTGATGATGAAGATGATGACGAGGGTCTTGAGGAAGAAGTGTCAAACGAGCAGGTAACGCTTGTGCTTTTAAATATTGTTTTTAGTTTTAAATAAATTGTTTTCAAGATCTTGTTTTGACATAATAAACTTTAGATTTGTGCTGATATAGATACGTCTAATAAGGAGAATTCACGTCCACGAGTATTGGAGTTTGAGCAGATCGAAGTGGAAGAACACAAGGAAGCACTTGAAGATATTATGGTAATGTCGACTGAAGGTAACATAACAGAGATTTCTTCTGAAGATGTTGAATCAAAGAACGCTCTTGTAGTGGATGATGAAGTGAAGCGACAAATAGAAGCTATCGTGAAGAAGAGAATTGCCGAGAAGACATTTGACGATCCAAAAAGAGTCAGAAAGCCACGTAATAAGAAAGACAATGTCTTTGACGGTGTTCTTCGAACTCCTTTGATGAAGTTGATAGAAGAAGAATACAAGAAAAAGGCATCTGAAGTAAACGAAAAGAAGCAACAGCTAGATTCAGAAGCAAAACAGCTCAAGGATAAGATGTTGGGTGTTTTTAATCAAGTTGATTGCTTTAGTGATAAAATACGTCACCAACAGGATAAGTATGGTGCTAAAATGGATGAGGATACTAATATGGGTCCTTTTGAGCAAGCTGATTTGAAGATTGGTAAAGAGAATGTTAATTTTAGCCTGGACGATTTGAAAACCAGGTTTACACAGAATATGAATGTGAAGGATGGCGACAATGTGGATCACGGAGAGAAGCAACACGTTAGATTTTCTCGAGTGGAAGGTTTAGAAAAAACAGTTGGTGTATCAGGTGAAAGTGATAAGACCGAGAAGCCTAAATTGAAGAAGAGTTTGGTAGATAAACTTCGAGAAAAACGGTGGAAGAACAAAAAATTAGGGTAGGGTTTTTTAGTGAATTGTTAATAACATGATTATAAGGTCGAAAGTTTTAATTTTATGTTGCTATGTTATAATAAAATTTGGTTTTTTTGTTACTTTGATATTTTTTAAAGCGTGTTTTTACTCTTATAAGGATAATATATAATGAATATGCACACATCTTTAGTTATACTTATTGTTAAAATTTTAGAAGAGTCATCAAGCAAAAGATCATGAAGTCGAAGCAACGTCTAATGAAGAAGAAACTAAAGGATTTGTGAAGTAATGGCATTATGGATAACATCGAAGAAAGTGTCAACTTGTAGATCATCAATTCTTGATTACCAATTCTTTTAGGTATTACGTTATAACGCGTTGCTTAGTTAAGTTTTTTAACATTTACTTTTTGAATATTTATATAACATTTACTTTGTATTTCGTACTATTTATTTATCTTATTATTATTACATCTCTAACATATTTTGTGTCGATTAACAGTCTTTATTGGAATAAATTATGAAAGTAACAGTATAGTGGCACGTTCTTTTAAAAATTGTAATGTACAGTATGTGATATGTTATGAAGATATATACAATGTTGATTATGTCAGTCTATGTTACACGTATGTTGTTTACCCACTAGCACTGTGATGGCTGGATCCACAAATTGAGGGTCCAGAAGTGTCAACGTGCTTCAGTTTGCCTTCTTTTGATCCACGGTAGTCGACTTTTCTACCGTACTTCGTGTAGAACGTCACAGTACACGTTTGTTTGACTCCAGTACGCTGATCGAATATCTGACAGTCTTGGTACGGTGGAATGTAAAGGTGGAGAGAGACGGCGTTCTCAACGTGAGAAGGATTCTCCATACGGTGGAGGCCGAGTTCATCTGAATTCGTTGTGGTAAAGATAGGTATTTTTATTTTATGTTAGCTTTGTAATACATGTCTCAATAATATACTGATTGATCGTACTAAATCATGTTAGTCTAACTTTATTTAGGTTTTGTGTTTTGTCACGTTAGAGGTCTAGCGTTGTTTACTCTAGCCATCAAGTTTTAATAGGCTCGAATTGTCTTTGACTGATCAAAAGTCACTTGTCGCTAACTTAATAACCGGTTTCCTAGACATATAACTCACCACTCATATACGTGACGTCATTGGTGAGAGCATCGGTTTGTGAGATCTGCTTCATAGGCACGGTGTCTTCTGTTTCTGGCCACGCAAAACGTGATTCTCTCAACGTTCCGTCCAAAACCTTTACAAAACAATGAGAGTTTGTGTGATCGTGGATACTGTAAGATGACTCATTATAATTAATTTTTGAAAAATGAGAATTGAAGGTAAAAAAGCAAATAGAATAGGCTCACAAATTATTGCTACGGCAAACTTACTTGCTGCCCAAACCAGGAGCCCAACAAAGGATCATGAGGTTGTACTTTCCGTTTCCCCTGTCTACAAGGTTTCTGGTGTACCTAAAAGATTAATATAAACACGTTGAAATGAACTCAATTTTTAACTTTTTTAAAAACTTCAAATCATTTTTTACAAATTTCAAAATTACATTGATTTTGCTAAACTGTATCAAAGAAAACTTACTTGTGGGGATCGAAGTGAGCGTATTTCTTCCAGTCGGCCTTACAACTCGAGTATGATTCCAACAACAATCTGACTTCATCTATGTCAATCTCGTCATCTTCAAAGATCTCACGTAGCTTCCTAATTAAGGTGTCCATACTGTAAATAGACAGTTAACCGACTACCTAAGATCTTAAAAGTATAAACGCGATATCATATGACACATCAAACTGTTTCTCATTTAACAGGTTGTAACAACTTTAGTTACAGCGTCTGTCTTTCACAATATTCTTGTAAGAGTTAGGGGTGTAATGACAAGACAATATCAAATTAAGGTTGATATAACGTCCAACTGACTATGCAAATATGTTAAAGACAATAAAAAACAAAAATAGGTACGGTAACATTGCTACAAAGATGAGTTCAAAATGAAGATGCCCTACAAGTTCACATATTGTAGTACCTAAACTTTAAACCCTTTCTATAAACATATAAATATTTACAGAGTAAGCAAAACAAGACTACCCATCTGAAGTATGCCTATCATAAACAATATCAAGCTGAAACGGGTACCTCTACCACCAAAACACCCCTGTTATTATTACAATCACAAGCCGAAGATCAAGAATGTAGAGCGGCGAAACACGTGCGGTCGATTTTGGAGAATTAAGGGGGCGAGGCACCTTCTCCATCAACTTCTTCAACGAAACCCATCTTCAGTCCATAAGTCGACGACAAACCGCGATGTCAATGAAAACTCGGATTAGAATGATCTGCGATTTTACAGTATATGAAGAGATGGTAAGTTACAGTAAGGATAACGAGGTATTCACTATGATAGCTCAACTAACATTGTATTTTCCACATAATAAAAAAAAATTTTAAAAAAATTTCAAAGAATGTTACTTTACTTGGTATGGCACTTAAGTAACACACGGCCATACTGTCACATTTTTGCTAAACTACTACTTCATGAATATACCAACGTTTCTGGCAGAAACAACGTATAAAGCAAGCATCAATTTAGACTTCACAGAGTAATGTAATCTCAATAACTATTACAAAGTTACAGTAACCTTTTTGAAGTTAAAACGTAGTAAAAACAATATAAATTTAGCTGTAGGCAAAACTACAACATTTATAAACAAAAACGTAGACAACATACGTGACATTTGCGACTTTACTGCAGTGTGTACGTGACAATGGCAACATAGTTACAACAAATTTACAACTCTGTAACTATGTCTACGTGCAATTTGCAAAAATATTCAAAAAACAATATTGTATCAATCAGGAGAACCTGCCCTATTAACTTTGGTTGACGAAGATGGGTTCATAATTGGTCGTAAAACAATTAATATCACCAAAGAATGATCAATGATATCCGCTTTATCCGACTCAATATGGTATATCAACACATTTACTGAAGTTATAAAACGTTTGGATATTTTTTAGATTTTATTATTTCAATAAAGACAGCAGTAAAGTCTTTATACCGTATTAAAAAGTTACTTCGAAACCAAAGTTATTTGACCACGACTACTCGATTACTCTGACAGTTAAAGTATAACAAAGCTCAAGGTTTTAAAATAACACTTTCAGATCAATCAAAAACAGAAGTTTCTTTTTCGGTAGCCTACTTTCGTCACTTTACAGAGGTTACATTATCTTCTGGTTGTAATTGTAGCAGTTACATCAGTGGAAGATGCTTATATAATACAAACACAAACTTCAACCACTAACAATATACGTAAAAGTGTTGATTGCCTGCTTGTTTTGATAATTGAAGTAAATATTAAAAGTTTTAAAATATAAGATGTGTTTTACAAAACTAAGGCTAGTAAAAACTATAATGTTTAGATAAAGATATATGCTACAAACCTAATATTACTCTTAAAACCCAAGATAATTTAAAAAATGGAGATACGATCGTAAATAGAAACCCATATAAAAGTTTATAAAAATCAAGTCATATCATCGAGGCGGAGACAACACTGCCACTGCAATTTATAGCCGATGAACAAGTTTGTGAACGCATCCGCTAGCGAGTTGTGTGATTTCCATCATCTGATGTTACTACTCTCAGATTATGTGACAAAAAGTAAACTTTGTGTTTATAGTAAGTTATGTCATTTGTATATCATTTGAACCTTCAAGTATCATTCTTATTGATGTCACAAACTCGACCGGTGCAGCCCGCAGAATTAAAAGTTCGAGTTGCGCCCGCAATTTTTTTTATCGCGAAGCGAACAGACGTTGAATATTACTGATTTGTCATGAATACCTTTATAAAAATTCATTTTTTTAAACGTTTTATTTGATTTTACATTAAGATATAAATAAGTTAATCGCAAAACCACCTGGATGTATAGTGTAATATATTTATTAGAGATCAGATGAGATAGCTCCGCTCGTTTATGATAAATGTTTCTCCTTGATAGAGATGAGCGTTGCGCGGCGGCGGAGGCGGCGGGCGGATCGGCTCCAGTATCGGGCGCTGATTGGTCGGCGGAGACTGAACGCCGTTGACTGGCGGAGTCGGCGGAGACGATGAGGTCAAAAGCGGCGACGGCGTAGACCTATGGATTGTGCCATAGTCCTGAAGATGGAATAAGTTATCAAGGTTTTAAAAGGTTAAAATCTTTAAAATTCAAAATATTTTTAAAAAAGAATTTTCGTTGTTGAGCCCACCTGATAGTTGTTATTGTTAATACTAGAATTTGCCGACGCTGTACAAGACTTTCCAACCATGTGAGTACAATTACATTCTGTATATTGAGGTGGAGCCATCGATGGAGGCATCGGTGTACTGTGGCCTGACCTGATCGACTGACTCCTCTTCGAACTGACAGCACTTTCAGTTCGTTTAAAGGAACTGTTGTGACTCATTCCAGCAAAACTCGACCCCTAAACACTTTTATAAACTATAACATACCAAACACTTACATTGCTGTTGTTTGTGCTCTCATACTGACCATATACAATACAGTCAATGGCACCATTCAGTCCCACCTCATCGGTACCGCTGCCATCCTTCTTCAAACCCTGATTTGCAATTACCAGACTTGGCGGTCGATTCATTGCCCGAGGCAAGTGAGTTTGAGGCAGAGAAGAGCGACAGCCGTTGGCTCCACTGAACTGAAGTTCAGGCCGGTCTATTATGATGGGGGTTCTGGGCAGGGCAAGTTTCGAGGGATCTCCATTCGGAATACCCATTTGCATATGCTCCAAGAAGGCAGAGTCAATGGAACCGTGCCTTCCGTGTGTCATTGCTGGACCCCAGTCGATCATTACCTGAATGTTAGATAGGTTTATATTGAGTCAAGCTTTAAAATTTATTGTATTAAAATCATTATTGATATAAGTCGATCAAAAAGTTTTAAAAAATGTTTCGGCAACTTTTATTTTTCTGTTTTAGTTTAAAAAAGCATCTTAAGTAGTTTAAAGACTTGGCACTTAAACTTGGCACGTAACTAAACAAGAGCACCTTTTGTTCTATAATACGACAAAATGCAACCTTTTTTTGTGTTTTTTCATTCAAAAACATTATTATAAAATGAATTTTAAAAACTTACTTTACCGACCAACACCAACCCGACAACCATAGTGGTGGGCCCGGCTAGCCAGATCTTCCCAATTTGTGTGTCTTTTTGAAAAATAGCAAAAACTGTAAATACAAGACCCGTAGATATAAGGCTGAAGGCAACACACCCATAACTAAAACAATATAATAATCAATAGATCGTAATTCACATCAAACTAAAAATGTGACATCAAATATTGTAGTTGGTAACTTATAATTGTTAGATCTAGCCATTACCTGATCAGATGAATCTGATGACGATGCAGATTGAAACAAAAACAACACATACAACGTCAGTAAAGCACACTTTGGTCCTGATCAATGTTTCTCTGAAGATACACAAAGTTATCAAGATTTACACTACTCAATTAACATACTCTTACTGTTTCTTATCATAATTTAAAAACATTTCAAAATTCATCAACGAATACCTACATCAACGTCGCCGCAGGCGATGCAATGTGTAGAGTCGGAGTTGGTGGGGCGATGAAGGCTTCGTGCAAGTACAAACCGTATCGAGAGTCATTCGCCGAGTTCGACCGTCGTCCGTCGCATAAACCGTGAGATGTCGTGCGTGTATCGTGCCGAATCAAACCAATTCTGAACAAAACGTTTTGAATGTTTTGAAGAACCTTTTAAAACGCGACAAAACAGCCAAAAAGTAATGTCATTTATGAGGCAAAAAGAGGTTTTGTGGCCAAGACAACGAAGTCAACTCAATCACCATGATTACAACACAAAGGAAGACGTCCCAAAACAATGCCAATAAGAACAGAAAAACAACCAGGTTGTTGTTGTCGTCTGCCACAACCTGGGTTCTTCGGTCTGAGACGTCACTTTGCTGTAAAGTTATCTACACATAGAGACAAGAACATTGTATTGAATCTATAGATACCTATTTTACTATAATCTGACTGTTTCATCACTTCTCAGTTAATTACTGTAGTTTTAAGAAGTAAAATCTATATTTCTTTAGGCATAACTTATACTAGAGAGTACAATAGAGTTGACTTATACACCTCTTACTATACAATATATATAAAAGCATCGAAGAAGACCGATATTATTTTGGCACCCCGGAACCGAGTTTGTTTTGAGAATATTTTTGCAAATTTATCTCCAAAATATTTGAAATCTCCATAAAACCGTGAAAACAATGCTTCGGCAGAGAATGGCTAACACGAAAGTAACCATGCCCTAAGGAAAAACAATGGAAACAGAAGAAAATGGAGACGAAACAAGTGCAAAGGTAACGAACACAACTCTGAAAATGCTAAATAATTGATGCAGACGTACGTGAAGGTCGTGAACTTGTGGAAGGTAACGAAAAAGTTTAAAAAATAAAGTTTAGGTGCAGGAAGTAGACATGAGGAACGGGCCGGGCCTGAGCAAGGTTTTGATCAAGCCGGGCATGAAATTTGATTAAATTAATTTTGAATTAACAAATTCTTTATAAAGCAAAAAAGAAAAGCCATAATAACATAAAGCATCTTTTCTAAAAAATATTTTTTAATTTTAACCTTCAGAAGCCATATAAGTTTTGTTCTAAAACAGATTACAGACATTAACATAGCCAAGTACCACTACACCGACCTTTCCTACATCAAAGAACATGTACAACAAACAAATAAGTGACAAAAGTGCCTGAAAAGGAATTTGGCGTAGTCCTCGGACTGATCGCCCATTATTATATTTGCGGCTCGCGAATTTAGCCAGTCTTGTTTTCAGTCCATCTCATCGAAAACAGTAATCCAATCGACAGGACTTCCTCGATAGCTAATAAATAACAATATTTATGTAAGGTGGGAGACCAAAACAATTCGAGCGTACAAAACGGTTCATTGTTGTGTCTAGTGTAACATTGCACGAGGAAATGCAAGCATTAAACATTAACCGGCTGTTTCAGGGCTACAAACACAATGAACTAGTAAAACATAAAAAATATTTTTGAAGCAAATGAAAATTTGAATACGGTCTATCGCCGGTAAAATTTTGATTGTCACACCTTCTCTTCTACAAACTGAAGAGAAGGAAAGTGCGTCAGAGATGGTTACTAATACTATCGCTCGTACTTAATATATAGATGTACAAAACAGTTTCAAGTTACTGTAACTTTGTTTGAACTATATTATAATATCATATAAAATAAAAATTTAAGTCATTAACATGTGAATGAAAATAATAAAAACACTACATTAAAGTAACATTCTCCCACCGTACCACTAATAACCGTTCCAAAAACCCAACACACAAAGCACTTTCCAACCCCTCCAACCCAACCAGACCCTCATACTAGGCCATGGCAATTGAGGAGATTACACCGGATAAGCAAAACATTCGACCGTTGATATCCCTTTATTTGAGGACATACATTTGTTTTGAGGGTAAAAGTTTGAAGGGCCCTTCCTTTCAGGAAACGAGAGCACAGTCTTCCGAGGTGGGAGAGGCTGTGGGACACAAAAGGAAAGACTTATATGAACAAAGATTTGCACTCAACTCAAGAGTCTTTGTTTGCCTGATTTTGCGTTTGTCCAATTTGTTATGCAATTCAGCTAATTCTGGCCTAATTGGGATTATTTATGCCTCCGGTTACCGTACGATTCATGAACGAACCGTACCAGTCAAGAGAGTGCGTCACAGGGCTTTGTTGCAATACAAATCAATTTTAACTATACTACCTTTGTATAGACTTTAAAGTATTACCTACTCTTTTAAAATTTTACTTAGCGTCATCATTTATATGACGCATGTTACAGTATAGACAAATAAGTAAAACTCAACAGATTAACTCAATACTCAAAATTCTCATATAACTATACTTTTAAAAACGTTGTTAATACCAGTTATAACGACTACCAATCCTTTTATTCTTTATCGTACCCATGTACTTAACCATACCAACCCCTTAGTTAAGATGACACAACATGCGTGTTGTAGTGCAATACAATTAAGGACTTAAACGTTCCGAAAGCACTTTCAACATTTTTACAATACTTTTTAGGCTTTCTCAAATTATAACCAATTCTTTTGTTCAGTCCTAGAACAATGGCCTCAGGCTCTTTTGACCTAAAACTTTTCCTGAAGAGAACGTCATAAAAGGATAGACAATCAGCAATGTATACGTCATTATACTGCCATTTGCAATCTGAATCTTACTAAATCCACATTTATCTATATTACTAATGCTTGATTCTCTTTAAAACACCAAACTTAATTTAAAACATTAAATTTTAAAAATTTCATCCAAAATTATAGTGCTAAAGTTAAAAAACTACTATATTTCCCAAAATTTTTATTTTAAAAGCTCAAAATTGATTAAAACAATCTTGTGAACAGCCCAAAATAACCGTTTGAACCCGCCAAACCATCACGTCACAATGTTTGAAGTATCCAGAAGCCTTGGAACCAAATTTATGCAAATATAATTACCTCACTCGTGAACTCTTTCACATCAAAAGTTCTAGGACAAACCCAAACCAAACCCACATAACAATCCTTTAAAGTGCAACGAAATCAAATTTTTCGTCGAAGGAAATGTTATCACAGAAGTAGAAAGACATGGAACGACAGCATTCAGAGATTAACTCTCGACATGCAACAACATGGTATAGTAAGCAGAGGCATCGTTGAGTTATGACCAGACACAGCAAGACATAAACAACTAATACTAGTCAGCCTAACATTACTTGTCATAACTAATGTATGACTACCTTCATTTTACTCTAAATAAAATAACTTGGTACACTAAAAGTAAAACACAATGCCAACGTAAAAGATACCACGTGACTTGAGTCACTGTTGTGCGTCACTTAATTACTGTACATTACCTCTCTGTAAATTAACTAATTGTTACTGTACAAAATTTGCCTGTAAAGTAGGTAATTGTGAAACACATTAATCGTATTCACCACCAAAAACATCTGTTGTGCATAAGTAACGACACGACAAAGCAAATGATTGTTATTGTAGACAAGGACACAACCTAATCTTCAATAAACAACAGAGTAACTTATTACTTTGTTATCATAACAATGCTGTGCCAATTATAATTGCCAGCAACTGCCACTTGCATCTTTACATTACTATTAGTCTACATGTGCTTCTTTGCTACCTGTTATGTGTAAAAGAGTCTATGTAACAAAAACAAACACAAACGGTCACAAACTACTGTTATCACAACTTACAAGTACTCACGACAAGTACTCAAAGCAAACTCTTGAGTAATAACTAATTGTTGATTTGTTTATCGCTTCAAGGCTTCTTTCTTCCCATGGAGGTTTCCCAACGCACCGTTCTTGGCTACACAAGTATTTGAATAAATTACCGAGTAAATTTTAAAAATATGTTAAGACGTGACAATTCGAAGACTTGCAATTTTTTAATCTGGCTTTCCAGAATAGAAATCACAATTCTGACTTTGCATTTAAATATAAAGTTTGCAGTTTTTATAAATTGGCATAAATTTGAAATTTGAACGTTCATCTTCTGACATTAATAAATCTTGAGGTTAATGCTATAAACCTGATAAAATCTTTTTGATGTTCAAAATGTGTCTTTATGTCTTCTATAAACATGACATGTCTCTTCCGGTCAGGTGACAAAGTGCACTCCAAGTTCCTGCACAACTCAGATATCTGTTCGAAGAAACACCTGAACAATTGTCAAGGATAATATCGAAGGTATCAGGACAGACTCAGACGAATGTCAAAAAACAAGTTCGAAATAGCAAAAAGACTAACATAAACACATCTCAAGTTCATGTCTGTCTGGTCTAAATTCAACATGGTAAACATCGACAACTCTTACACTAAATACACTAATGTAATGTAAAGGCTTTGTATCTTGTTGGTATGTCAGGTTTGGGGCCGGGAATTTGACGGGTTTTTGCGGTGACATCCGATCTGCAAAGGCTTAAGACAACTTTATTCTCATTTGATACTCATTTGAAACTGAGCAGCTTTGTAGGAGGAAGCCGAAGGGTACAAAGTGACAAGTGTCACTTTCTTTACTATGTTTTTAAATTGTTTCAAACTTTTAACAACTTTGGCTGTAAACTTTTAATTATTTACTAATCTTTTGTTTAAAATTTAAAAAAAGTTTAATTAGTTATCAAATTCTACAATATAAAGCTAGCAATAAAAAATCTTGTTTGAGGTATTTTTTGATCAAAACTAATTAAAAACTGAACGTTCGGAAGGCATGATAAATATGTTTTGGTGATCCGCCGACTTCCGCTTTGAAAAACGATCACTATCGGTCAAAAAAGCGAAGATCTAGGTCTCAAGATTAATTTTACTTTGGCCAAAATATGGTCCAATCAACAACAATATGGGAGCATTTTCCGAATTATTTTTAAATTTTTGTCATCTTTTTTGTAACGATACTTTAAATACTACCATTAGCTACCTAAGTTTAGTGTGTTAACGTATCGTATTTTCAAAAAACTTGACTTTTACGTAGTATGATATATTCTGCTCATGATTGTAACCTTTATCACGTCATTACATCAACTAGATTAATTTGTATTTATTCGGCTGGGAATGTTTCCAGCCGTTGACATAGTCCTAATCCTTGCCAAACTTAAACAGGCGCTTTAAACTGCGGCAACTTGTTTTTTCGATTTCAAAGAACTCTCACTTTTTACGAAATATAAAGTGTTTCTTTAATCGCTTTGCACTCTTAATCAAACGTGTTTATGTTTACGATAGTATGTTTGAGTGCTTTCTAAAGGCAACAGTCATTTCGTGATCTTATATTATTGTTTTAAGTTTAACTTTCATTGATTTTCCATTGTTTTCCTAAGGCGAGTTCAATTTCATTAATAAGTTAGGCATCTAAACGATGCTTTAATGAACCACCTTATCTCTAAAATGCTACCTTACAACATCTTCTTGTCAATAATCTGCCGGCACTTGATTACGCGTTCGATTGTGACAAAGTCTGCCGACCAATTGTTTGGCAAAAGTGCATTTGAGACAGGTTACATTCCCCAGCTTTTGAAAGCACTCCCAGACCACACTTTGGACCGTTTTTGTGTGATCCCATTTGTCTCGAGTTCAATTTCAATATTAACTTTCAAAATAAGATTTTTGGCGGCGGAATCTTCAGAAGTTGTTTTTATAGATTGACATTGCAAGCAGATCTTAATATATTAACTTCATATCTGAGTTTATATGACAATCTGTATTCGTTTTCCGCCACATATTAACGTAGAATGTACGCCACGTCTGTTTGAACCGTTTGATCATGTCGCTTAACCACTTAAGCCTCTTGAACACTTTAAGACTTGTTCAGATTCCGGGTCAAACGCAAATTATCTGAGAACAAACACAGTAGACGTCAGTGTAAAACGGGTCGATTTGAGTCTAGTATTTGGCCAAGAAAAGGGAGCGGTCTTTCGGGTCATAAGGTAGTTCGAAGATTTTATTTTCCCAAAACGTGGTCTACCGTACCTTTCTAAACAATGCTAAACTGTATGTTGCCCTCTTGACCCTGTTGTTCTAATGTTGTGTGTCGTGTTACTTTTCTTTAACATCGTTCGAGAATGTGTTGCGCGGCCAAATCCGCTTTTCTTCGCGCTAAATACTTTGCCTGGAGAAAAAACAAATTTTTCGGTTGAAACTTCAGGGGCCTTTAACAATAAATAATAGTTCATTTAACTTTTAGAATTCCCGTTCACTTGCAGACGTTTTCTCGGATCTGCAAAGGGTTTTTGGTGGTCTTTGTGCTTTTAACTAACAAGATCATCATCGCTGTTGACATGTCGTTCAGTGTAATCTCTGACTGAGTAAAACGAACACTGTTGTAAGAAGACATAAAACATGACAACTGTGTAGTATGACTTTCTCATAGCGCGTAGCGGGAGATTATTTCATCGTGAACGGTTTAGTCGTACGATCTCTGCTGTTACACCGTAGGAACCAGTATTGTGTCTTGGTTGTAAAGCTAAATTAATATTATTTTTACTTGTAGTAACATTTACAACTACAAGTGTTGCTCAATTCGCTACTTGAATCTCTGAACCTATTTTGTTGTTTCTTCCATCAAAAATAAGGAAGCAAAGCACAGATGTTTTCGTAAGCTGTTGAAATTTGTAAACAGCCAAAATTACGCAAGATTTGCCCTCAAAGTTTGTCATAGAACAATGTCGTGTTTGTCCCTATTTTGGCCTTTCCCAGATCCTTCCGCGCCACAGAAAACGTGATTTCCCCAGCAACAGATCAACTTTTGTAGACCCACCGGACGTCGTATCTTTTGTTCAAATACAGACATCAAATGAGAACCAAATTGAAGGCAGATTATGAGCGGCGCTTCCTAAGACGAAGCTTCTGGAATCGGTCGGTTCGTTCTTTGTGCTCTTCAATCATTTTTTCATTACTTTAAATTACTTATCTTACTTTCTCACAACACATACTATCACCGAGACTCACTGTTTACAAAATGTTTATTGTGTTGTAATCAACCCACCTTGCAAGATCAGAAATATTTTAGTTTTTTTATGCTTTTCGTAAGGTAAAAGGGTGGATGTTTGGTTTATAATGCAAATATTGTTTTACCTTTGCACCTGAAAAACTATAATCACGTCAGACAAATTTTAAAAATAAGTTTTTGTAAAAATCAAAGCCGTCATTGTGAGTTTGTCTTCTCCAAACAGTTGCAAAGATATTTTGATAGAAACGTCTGACTTTTTAATTTAATAATAAGACGATAAACATTCGAAAATCAGCTCATGATACGACGAGGGTCTTTGTGATCACTTTGAATAATAGGTCAATATCTATTTTTTACCCACGTTAGTACGATACTTTTATAACGGTATAATTTAAACTCACTTTTTGTCCTAATTCTTTCATTTATTTTTTAACTTATTTTATATTTTCTTTCTGTTTTCATATACGCTTTGTGATATATTTATATTTTAACATTGAATTATATTATACTACCCAAATCCGTAACAAACCTATATTTTACTCTTTTTATAACAAAATCCTTCAAACCAACATCACGCTATAAAACTTTCACATAAAGTGATAAAAACTCCAATATGTACTTTGAGATGTTCTTGCGTTCTGCAGCATTGACAGTGAGCATTCAAACATCACAACCTTCTTTTTGTTGCGTGTTAGGAGTTCTACCATTTATTACCTTTCTATTATCAGGAAATACGTTAACTGATATTAGGATCCGTTTATTTTATGTTCGCTAACTATTATTCGTGTTTCTGAATTTGTTAAATGACATTAGAACAATGTCATCTTTTGGTTTTTTGTAAATATGTAAAAACGCGTTATATAATAACATTTACGATTTTATAACAAACATTACGCAGGTATTTGCGTTGATTCGTTGTTATCTTTTGTTTTGCACCTAGATTTGTTCTCATATTGGATATCAACAAACATCAGATAGTCAAATAAATATATTCAACGACTAAACCCATGCTTAATCTAATTCTAATCAAAAATTGACTAATTTTTGTCTCGCTGCCAACCCACAATAACGACGGAAACAGATAAGGTTCTAAACTCAAAAGTCAACTCTTCAATCAGGAATTGAAACGAAACTGGACCATCCGAAGACGAAACATATCCAAATTAAAGGGGACACATGTACACACAGCTAGAACGCGTTTGTCCGTGAGTCCGGCGAGAAGAGAGCGAGAGAAAAGAGCGGCGACCCTCAGGAAAACAACCCCACACAACAATTCCCGACCTTTCTCTCGGTTCTTTTTTCAAAATATTTTTCTTGACGGTTTGGTTTTCCGTTCACCTGACTTGGCTCACAGTCCAGCCGCTTTTTAAAATGAAATAAGCGTAGAAAAGTGAATTTCGGGATCAAGTATCTGCAAAAGGAACTTTTATGGGCAAAACTTGCACAGCACATTTTTAAATAATATAAACCCCGAGACAGTAACTTTTATGTGAAGTTAAAACGAGGCATAAGGAACATTATAACGTGACCCTGCCTAGTTTTAGAAATTTATGCAAATCACGACGCTATTTTTGAACCAAACCTAATGCATTAAAGCTACTTTCACATCACAAATTGTCGCCGCGCTTTTTTAAAATCACCGTGAACGTATCACAATTCGAGATTTGCATTAATATTTGACTTTTTAAAGTGAATGACTAGTCCGCCTTCGAGCAATTCACTAGGCATACCCGATCATCCTGAAGGTAGGCCTCGAATGATGTTAAATCAAGACCTGGCCTCGTCCAACGAAAGTTCACCTCAACTCAACCATGTCAACGACAATTCTGATGGCAGATCAGGACTCAGTTCGGATTCAGATGCCGAAGAAGAGCTGTTCTACGACAAAGAGGCCAACACGATGGCAGTTGTGCCAAACGGAATAATCCATGAATTTACGAAAAGCGAAGAAGAAACGCACAGGAAGGTTCCACTTGTGAAATGTAAGCTTTTTCAACCTCAATATCCGAATTTAGGAAAGAAGTAGACATTTAGATATGCTTTACACACTTTACAATTAGTAAATAAAACATTTTTAGACTTGTCGGAAGAAGAAAAACCATCGACAAGTCAAAGCGATGAACAACAACCTTCAACCTCTCAAGAAGAACCTCAAGAAAGGCCTAACGAAAGTGAAGCTGAACCAAACGTGGAAGACGGTGACAGTGAAGAAGACGTTGATGCAGAACCTCCAGCTAAACAACCACGAGTTGTTGGTGGACCACCAACGAACTCACAAAGAATCACCAGGAGTAGAACGAGACAAAGCAATGGCAAAAGTGTAGATCAGAATACGGGAAACTCATCTAGTTGATAGTCACTAACTCATATTGTAGTCAGTAACCTTATATTATAGTAACTAACATTATACGTTGTAGTCAGTAGTGGTAAACTGCACGAAATCGTTCTCTAATATCTAAACTATGAAGTTATCCATCATTAAAATATGACCGTTTTATGCAGATTTAGCAAAACTACAGACTTTTTACTGATTATTCAAGAAAATCGCCTTATACCTACGTTAATAACACTGCATATTCACCATAATTTATACGAGAATAAATCTATACGTCCGTTACAATTTTTTATTAGTTTTCTAAACTCAAAAATGATCGACAAACTAAAAAACTTTCTAAAATGGGTGGTAAAAACGCGGTTAACTCACAAAAATACACTGAATAAGTTAAATGTATAAAATATGGAGAAAATAAGTTTAAAAATAAATGAACTAAACCAAAAGTCTAGCACACTATTCATATTCGTTTATTCTAATTCGTGAACGAAGAGAGTCCAAAAATTCGGACGATCAAATAGTTTTTTACCTAAAATCTCAAAAATACGTGAGAAAGCGAAAAATAAAAAATCCGCGGTTTTGGCCGGATTCCTCTCACTTTCGGTGTTCCAAGCTAGTAGACAGACCGTCTGCAGTAGATCTTGCTACTTTCTTATCAGTACCGTATCTCGTAAGCAGTTAGGCCTGCGATAAAGAAGTCTTCTCGGTTTTTTTTGTATTTGTGGCTCGAAAACATGGTTAATATACGTTTTTTGCGCGTAAATTTCAAAAAGCCGAGCTTTGGTTGTTTATATTAAATTTTTTTAACAAATCTTATAAAATTTTTAGCCTAGCCAGTGTGAAAAGGAAACTTTGGGCTTGCTTTCTGGATTTTATTATTCTCGCGGATTTGCCTTATATTGTTATTGCTTCTTACCTAATTTAATCATTCTCCTATTTCAGCGATTCAATCGGTCCAGTTATTCTTTGCCAGAGGACTTGCGAAGCTTTGGGCTTGAAAATATTTTTTTTGGCTACAACACCTGCTCCTTGATTCAATCTACGAAAATGATGTTCGCTTATCATCCAGGTATGTTATCACAAGTTTTTTAATAATGTTTTAGGGTTAGCTAGTTAATCAGTATAAGAAATGTGTCCAAATTTAATTTAGTTGCCTGTTTTGTTATAGGAAAGAATTAATTATAGCTTTAAATTTGTTACTTAGACCTTTTATTATATTATGTTAGAAGTAGAACGACTTGACCCAGCTTTTTTGAGCGAAAGTTGACCCAAAAAATGTTTGGATCATTTTTTGGATAATATTTTATGTGTAGGCTTTTTACTTGAGCATAGTCGTTTGGATATTGTTTCTATACTAAAAACACTCGTGACTTTGATAATCAGTTGCCGATTTGTTATTGCTTGTTAGCTTGATAAACTAACATCAAAGAACAGTTTTTCTGTTAGTGTAAGTTACTTTATTACAAGCAGGTCGATCCTTCTAAAAGATATATAAATTTGCGGTTAGAAAAGGTAATTTGGGATGTTTTTTGAGGAACAAACGTTTCACTCTCGATCTTGCTGGCGAGATATCTTGAGGCGATCCGAACTAAAGGTGAAAAGACGGGCCTTTTTATTGTTATCTTGTTTTAACGGGTTTTAATTTGTAGGCATTTAGAGGTTGATTTTATTAATAATTTTGAAACTATAAACTTGTCTTTTATTTCTTAAAACTTTTTAAAATTAGAGCTGTCTATATTAGTTTAGGTGATTTACTCCTTGATTTCAGTTATGCAAAAGGGAGCCAACGGTGTGGACTTTGTGCCGAAAGGAGTGTGGATGATTGATCCTTCAGCTTTGGCTAATATGGGCGGAAAATTTCCCGCTGGAAACATTTTCGGGTATCTTCCGGCTGAATTGGCAGGCGCTGGCGTTCCACCAATGTTGCCGTTTGGACAACCTCTCCAGATGGGCTTTGTACAGGAGGAGCCGACTCAATTGAGAAAGCTCTTTATAGGCGGCTTAAATCACGAAACCACGGATGATCAGGTGTGCCATTAAATATACCTTACCTATGATTAGTTTAGTTCAAAAAATTTTTAGTTTGCATATTACAGATATTTCAATAATGGTATAAGTATATATAACTAAATATTTAAATTTTTTTTTAATTTCTCTATTGTTTTAGCTCCGTGACTACTACTCACAATGGGGCACGGTTGTCGACTGTATTGTTATTCGCGACCCTGTAACCAAACATTCTCGAGGATTTGGGTTTGTCACTTATGCCACGATAAAAATGGCCGAGCTTGCTATGGCGGAACGGCCGCATACGATAAACGGGAAGGTAGTAGATCCAAAACGAGCTATTCCTCGTGAGCACATGTTACCCTTGACGCCGAACAACCCTCCTCACTTCTTGGAAGCAGAACCTCCAGCTGGCTGTAAAATTACTTTGACTGGTAAGAGTTTAATGGTATTTTTATACTTCGAATTTTAGGTATTCATTGGGATTACCACACTGTTGACGGGCTCCGACAACATTTTGAAAAGTTTGGGTCAGTCGAACAAGTTGAGATTGTCGGGCATCCAAGAGGCTTTGGATTCGTTGTTTTTGAAGACAAGGCTTCAGCAGACAAATGCTTGCAGTCCGGGAAGAGCCATCTTGTCAATGGGAAACGTGTTGAAGTCAAGGTATGTTCTTATTTATATATTACTTTAGAAGAGTTATAAAACGAGTGTAAAGTGTTTCTACTTTTAATGTTTGGATAGTTTACCTATGGTCTTTGAATAGAAAGAAAAAGTCTTAACTTATTTTTCTTTTAGGAAAACGTCGAAACGAATCCACCACCTCCAGCTCGGCGTCAGAACAAGAACTCTCCGGACCGTAGACGAGGCAACTTCAACTCACGTCAACATCACAGCAGCCAGTCGAGTCAGGCGACCAGTGTGGACACGAACGGGCCTACTCTGTCAGACAAGGACTTCCCCGACCTTCGAGGCAATTAACTTTAACATATTTACATTGTTTTGTCTTTCGCTAACAGTTTCTTGGTTAAAAACGGCTTTGAAGGACCTCGACGAAAAGTTTCTCTAAATGTAAATTGAAATGATTGATCTGAACAGTGTTTAAATAGTCGTCTACTGGTTTGTTTATCGTAGCTGTGAGACGCTATTTTATCTCGTAGCTATTGTAAATTTCTCTTATTCAAGTTTTTAAAACTTATTTTGTTTTTCTACTTTGACGATTATTACTATCGGATACAAATCTCGCAATGTAAACGGTGGCAGTAGCTTTTATTCGGAATGTGGACTACACCTTTCTACTGTAGTTTTCAGTATTTGTCATATAATTTGGGAGTTTATTACATTTCTTGATGCTGTTTATCATCTCATTCTAATTTTGAACATTTTACTCATCTATATTAGTTGTGTAAGGTTTACTGTACGTCCTCATTACAACGACTTTGAAGAGATATTTTATGTTTTGTAGAGACAGTTGGTTGTAATGAGTTCGTACTTGCCTTTACGTTCTTTTGGAACGTCGTATGAATGAGCTTTCTTGATTTAACTTTTTTATTTTGTCAACCATACCCTCATCTATTTTACCCCATTTTCTTTGTTGTCTTACATATACTGGTTTCTAATGAGAAAATGGGTTTCTGCTTCATTATGGGTACCCTCTTAAGTTTTTTATGTTTATTTAAGGGACCTGCATGAATATTTTTAAGTTTTTTGTAAGACCTTTTATATTTGGATATGAACGTTATAAATTCTATTGACGATTGGCTGATTGATTTAACAAAAGACTGTATTCCTGATTTGAACTTAATTATCTAAAGATTTACGATAATGCAGCTTGAAATTTAAATAAATTTAAGCTGCCAGTAACTGATTAGTAACTAGGGTTATCCCACAGCGAAAATGCGCATTGTTTGGCATTGTGATATTTCATTAAAAATAAATATTTCACGTGAAATTTCTAGCAAATAACAAGTAAATGAATAACAGGAACAAAACTTTTGGTTTCCGTCTAATGAAAAGGTTGGAATTAGAAATTGACGTGGTTCTGGTTGATATCTCCTTCAAGTAAAAGTACCATATTGATTAAACTCACTTTTGTTATTGGATAGTTTGAATGTATAGCTTCATATGTGGTGGTCTTTACTAGTTTATATTGCTAGTTAATATGTATATTTGCGTTTAATTAATTCATCGACCTATTTATAGTTTTTTACTTTCGTGTTTTATTGTTTTATGTCGTTAATGCGTGGTTAATTGTGAATGTTACCCACGGTTTTCAGCGTCGATTTAGCTGCGCGCTCAGGAGCGGCGCCTCTGCCTCGGGTCAAACGACCTGCTCGAACGATGCGACTTCTACAGATGGGCCGGTTGGGAGCTGGCCATTTGCCCGTCTTTTTTGGCATCATCTTCACCATGATGCTGGGTAAGTAATTTTCTTCTATTGATTGGCAAGTTTAGGTTGAATTGGATGCTTTTAATTATTATTGGAAGTAAGTTTAATTCTTTTGGCAAAAAAATGAGGGGGGATAATTAAAAGGGCAGATCTATTTTATTTTTACCATATATCTTCAGGAGCAACGTACTGTTTTGCCGTTTATCATGGAGACGTTGATCCAGTTTTTCCTTACATATCGGCCAGTGGAGATTCCCGCCCTGAGAGCTGTGTATTCTCGATGTTACTTAACTTATGTGCGTTGCTATCTGTGGTTATTGTTTATCTCAGGTAACTTATTGTGTTTTAGAAATGAAAGATTGCTTTTCATTTTTATGAAAAATTACGTTGTAAAACTACGTAGGTTTACAAAATTTTGTTAATGAAAAGTAAATAACCGTTTTTAACGTTACTTTTCAGATATTCACTCATAGCCGAGCTGAATCGTTCTTCTAACATACTGCTCAAACGTTTGAATCGAATTGCTTTATACTTTGGGACCATTGGAGGTATTGGAATGTGTATAGTAGCCAACTTCCAAGAGACGGCCGTGGTCAAGATTCATTTGTTTGGTGCATTAAATTGTTTTGGATTTGGTGGATTATACATGATATTACAATCGATCATCTCACACATAATGTGTCCTTTGTTTGCTGGACGACGTGCAGCGAACGTGCGATCGGTGTTAGCTATAGTCAGTGTTATAGCGTTCTTTGTTGGTATGGGTTTGTTCAGTTCTTTTAGTCTTTGGAATATTCACATTGATTATGTAAAGTATTTTACTTAAAATTCTTAAAGGTCAATGGTGACTACTGTTTTTAGCGGTTTACTATGGTGTGGCAGCGGTGAACATGTTCCACAAGTTCCATCCAGATTTACCTACACCAAGGCCGTGGTCTCGTAAACAAATGCATGAGGTACGGCATGCAAATAGTATATTTGTTTGCAAATTTACCACTTATTCAACATATTTAAAAAACATTTTGGTGGAATTAAAAAAAAGTCAATTTATTGTTGATATTCGTAATTCTAGGGCTACGAACTCCATTGTGTGTCTGCAATAGCCGAGTGGACCTTGGCTCTGATGAACATGGCATTTATACTTTCATTTTCCCGAGATTTCGAAAAGATCCGCGTTGATCTTCGAGTGAATCCGCTGGTCGGCCATCTCGACCAAAGCCCCATTTGGAGGTCCGAGTCCGATTTGGCGAACGCTTTACCTTAATAACAGCTTCACAGTATTTTCATCTTGTGCCTTTAATCACTCTGTAATTACAATAACAATATCCCCGATTATTACGCTCTTTCGGTCTACATTTAAGTGTACATTGCATATACGAATATGGGTCATACGATTTCATTATAAATTATTTGTAAAGCTGCGAAGTTTTGATAGCCAGGTAAACGTCCAGATGTACATGACAATATAAGGGACTGCGAATTTTTTTATTTATTATGTTACTTTACGTTTTGGTTGTGAAAATGTGTTTTTAATTTTAAATTTTTGTTTTTCGTCGTATAAATTAAAAACAACTTGCATGTGAGTGTAATTCCACTTGAAGTGACCCCCAAAGTGTTCTCGGTCGAATTTCGGATTTGCAGTGTATTAAGAGTGCGCGAGAGAAAAAGGGAGTAACTGCGGCTGAATCAATTATTATACCTATAATCTCTCAACCTGGTTGTTTCACATTCGTTACTATAACACAGTTAAAGTAATGAATGTGAAACATGGTTTTGCTATTTGGTGCCATCTTATTTAATATTTCTATTTGTCGCCATTTTAATTTATATTTATGTTTTTCGGCCACTATAAAGACATTTGTGGCTTCTAATTATTCCAATTTTTGTTTTCGCTTCGCCGCAGTTTCGTATCTTTTTTTCTTTGACATCTCTCCAGTGCACGTGCTCTCTCTGTATTTTCCAAAAAAGCGCACTCATACCCTCAGGGGTTGTTTGTGTTTCTTTTACTTATTTTGAGCGGATTCTGAATACGATCGTAAACAGATCAAGTTTTGCATAATATGTTATCGCCTATGCCTCCATAATAATCGTTTTTTATCAGTTAACGCTGCGGTTAATGATAAGTTTTGAAAACCAAAGCATCTTCATGCAATTTATATTTGATGTTTAATTTGTTTGTCATAAAGAATATCAACGTTTCTTGTTCGCTGTCAAATTTCGTTAGAAATCAATAGGCGGGAAATTGAAGTGAACGTATTATAATATATTCATGTACAGAAGTAGAAACCGCGGGTCGGTGGGCATGGCCAACAACCAGGAACGTATTAATCAGGTGTCGGATCAGCTGACGGCAGCCATGGAGCAGGCCAAAGGTGCTGTAGCTGAAGCTGCGACTAAAGTCAGCGATTTCTTCCAAGGAAATCCGTTTGAGACCGAAGTTGGCAAGAAAATCGGTTTGTTTAATTTAAAATTGATCTCTTCGAATTTTAGGAACTGTACAATATTATCGTAGTACGCTAAAATATTTCAAAAAAATAATAGTAGTCAACACTCATGTTATGCAAAACAACAAGATCTTTCAGAAATGGCAACTGATGCTGACCGTCTTCAAACCGAGAATTGGGGACTGAATCTTGAAATCTGTGACTACATTAACTACACAAACGATGGAGGACGCAACGCTTTAAGGGCGATCAAACGAAGACTCGAGACCCAGATGGGAAAGAACAACGGAATTGTGATGTATGCTCTTACCATCCTCGAAACATGTGTCAAGAACTGCGACCAACGATTCAAGGCGTTAGTGTGTCAGAAGGAGTTCATTAACGAGTTGGTGCGGATGATTGGATCCAAGTACGATGCCCCACAAGCTGTTCAGGAAAGAGTTCTGGAACTCATTCAGGTACTTTTATGGCTTATAATTATAAAAATAGCTACTTATGGGTAAATATACTAAATTAATTATACTGTGAGCATACCACTATCCTTTACTTATATTTGGCTAATATTACTTCCTTCAGGCTTGGGCTGACGCTTTCAGAGGCAACCCAGCATTAGTTGGCGTCTGCGAAGTGTACGACGAGCTCAAAGCTAAAGGAGTCGAGTTTCCGGCTACTGATTTTGACAAGATGGCTCCAATCATCACTCCAAAAAGGGTATGTGCAGATGCACTTTTAAGTTTATCTTCTATATTTGTACCGTAGCTTTTGTGTTTGATGTTGTATCGTGCACGTATTGTAGACAGTATTCACCGAACCACAACAAGCAGCTACACAGCCAGCTACACAAACAGCTACAACACAGCCACAGCCAGCTCAATATTCACTCCAAACATTTCCAGTGCCTGTCGCTGGGAACTCTGGAAACTTTATTTCTGCACAAAGGATTGTATGTAGTACTGTATTATGGTGATCCTAGACTATTTTTTAGTTCGGATTTTGATGTTATTTTTCATTTTTACATCAGAATTTTTAGTTTATATAATTTCTAATCAAGACAGCTTTGTTTTTCGTACTCACATTACGATTTGTTTTTTTCAGACCTCGGCACCATTGCCAGGCCAACAAGGTACACAAAACGAAGCTGCCCCACAAGATCCATTGACTAAGCTGAGAGCTGATGTGGACGTGGTTACAGTAAACATCACAGTCCTGAGAGATCTTCTGAGCGATCTGAAGCCAGGAGAAGAGCTTCCAGAAGAGTTGCAATTGGTAGAAGAACTCTACAAAAGTCTTCAGAATATGCAACACAGAATTGTGGATCTGATTAACTTGGAGTTCAGTGACGATGTAACATGTAAGCCATGCCTCTGGTTTGATCACTAGTTGGATATTTTACATTACGATTTTTGGCAACAATAATCATCATAACCGATTTTGTATCTTTAATATACTTTATAAATTTGCAGATGAATTGATTACTGTAAACCAAGAAATCAACAACTGTTTCGAGAAGTACACCCGCTACATGGCCAAGAAAAAGGGAGAAAAACCACTTGAAACTCCAGAAACCGAAGATGCCAAGCAACTCCGTGAACAGCTAGAGTCCTTTGGCGTTTACGAAGGAGTTGGAACTTCAAAGGACACCGATCCGTAAGTTGTACTTTGCTTCTCCCATGTTTGGTATTACAAAATAACTCTACCAACTATATTTAATCTTACTGCTGTTTTTCGATTTGCTTATGATCAATAACATCTTCTTTGCATTGAAATGTTTCAGAAACCGTAAATCGGCCGAAAAATCTTCATCCGACGAACCCCAAATAGATTCCCTTCGTACTGTAGCCATGGAAAAGCCCATGTTAACAGATGATCAGGCCAAGGAAGTGGCCGAGTGGCTCGGCCAAGAGCCGGCTCCAAAAGAACCAGAAACAAAACAGAAACCTGACGACGGCCTCTAAGTTATTATACAGCTTCTGAACCTTATCTCATCAATTTAAGCTTTGTAACGCGGTATTATTTTACAGTCTTTATTTTGTCAATAACATGATTACGGTAGTCTACCGCTTCCTTAACGTATTACTCGCATACTTGTATAATTTAAATCTACATTTATTTGCCAATAAATAGGCGGCTACACTATTGAAAGATAGTAATAATTTAACCAAGACAATTACCGGAATGATAATGTATTTTGTTAAAGTGAGATCATATGACAAAACAAAGTCAAGTTATTAAATAAATGACTAATTAAATATATTGTAAATAAGAACTATTAAAATATTTCTGAAAAATACTGACTAAAATACGACAAAAATGACTGGATACACAAATACGTACAGTTATTGGTCCAGATAGTCCAAGTCAAAGGTTAGTATAGGTTTCCGTGGGCTTGTTAACAACATATCTGAAATTATACTTTTCTAAATAAAGGTTTTAAGTAAATTAATAATAAAATAAGGTAAGGTCACATTTAATATGCAAATTTAATGAATAATGAAACATACCATCAATTATAGAGCGCCACGGAAGAGTGACATACGTTAAGTAAGCATTTAAAGCTGGAATCTCTTTCTTCTCCTTCAGCCAGCTCAGAGCATTCCCGAAACTGTTCAACGACCATTTACTTCCAGTATCAGCTTGTTGACTGGCTGTCATCGGACGTGATGTAGTTTCAGCTAAAATTCAATTTATAATCTGCTAAAATATATAGGCACAATAAGTAGTAAGGTATAACTTACAAACTACGCTTCTAACGTCAAAATCAGAATCGTTGTTCATACTATCGGCATCGCTCTGCCATCTTCGGTTCCTCGGTTGCAATGAAAAGGCGTTCCCATCTTGACAAGGCCCTGGTGTCAACGCCGTTCTTTTAGGTAACAACTTGCCGAATATGTTCGTATCTGACATTCGACGTTGATCAGCCCATCTTGAGTCATACGATCCCGACATTTCAAAACAATGTTCACTCATCGGAGTTTCGAAGCCAAGAGAAGCTACACGAGCTACGGCCATCTCGGCAAAGCCTTTACCATGAGGCCCACGCATCTTTACAAATTCATGACGACGTTGTGTAGCTGTAACCAGCTTCTGAGCCCACGTCCACGTGGAGTTACCCTAAAGTCAATTTTTTACAGTTGACCAAAACTTTGTGTGTACCCGTAGAAAAAGTACATCAAGTAATTTTACACAATCAATCAAAATTTTTTCTTGTTATTATCATGTGATTTTAAGGTATATAAACCTACCCTGGAATCGTACAGTTTCTTTAAGACGTCGAACCTGATGGACCCTAGGAAAACAACCGCTTCTTTATCTCTAAAACGATCTCTGGCCACAAGTTCGACACAAACACATTCGTTCTCGGTAATTACAATGTCAGGAAATATGGTTTCAAAGTTGTCGATGGCAAAGTAAATCTTGGGATATGTCATTTCTTCACAATCTCCTTTAACATCCATTCGTCGACGAGATGGTGATGGGTAAACACGCTAAAAAGCAATGTACGGCACTACAATAAACACATATTATAAACGTTCTTGTACCAGTATTACTCATCAAAACTACAAAGCTTTACATACCTGACAGTTTTTCTTCAGAATCTGTAGATTATTCGGCTGACTTCGTATACAGACAGCTACGGTAACATAGTAATCAAACTGTAAAATAGCTTTATGACACGGAAGCAAGGTTTACATATGGATTTCCGTAGTTAACATAAACTTTCCAAATAAATTTTACCTAAAAATGTCTTACCTGTTGCAGTATGACATTTAAGCAAACAGTTTCTTCCCAATTGACGTTATCATCAAAACACGCCGGTTTGTTGGGACTAGACCTTCTGAAGACTTGTAGAACTTGCTGACCCACTGCCAGGTTAGTAGTTGGTTGTTTGGCCATAGGAACATACCATAACATATCATCTTGATTTACTTGACAGTCCTTACTATTACAATGATTAGAATTTAAGATATAATCAGAAAACAGTTGCCCGAATTTGGTAGCCTGATATGCTGGTGGTACCTCGTCACCTTTAAACACGAATTTTAGGTATAGAACAAGATATAAATTTGTAAAAAATAGATTATAATGAAGAAATATCGTCTGATTATCAAAAAAACCTGTTTTGCGCATAATATAAACTTGTAGCTCTACCCTGTAAACGGTCTTACCGTAAGATGCCTTTTTGTTCTTCAAAATCATTATTTCTTGTAGCAACTTCCCTATACATCTACACTTTACTTTATTTTGTGGTTCTATAAGCAAATTCGGAGGCGCATTACCAGTTTTGAGTTGTAATTTTGATCTAAAGCTAATTCCATTTCCGTTGTTAGATGTTGATGGTATGTTCATGACTATAAGTACAATATATTACTTACACCACAATACTATACCCCCAACATTACAGATGATAACGCCATAGTTAAATACGCAAATTAACAAACTTCAATCACAACAAAAAAGGTGTGTAATATTCCGCGGAATATTCAACTAACACCCATGCATGTAGTCTAAGCTGACAAAGGTTGTAAAATTTATATAACACAACATTTATCTACCAACAAAAGCTTTAACTTTCTAAATCCTCTAGTTTCCCTTTCAAAATTTGAAACCAAGCCGTAAAAATCTTTTAAAGCAATTTAAATCTACACTCCGAACACTCGATAAACAACATTTAGATGAAGTTTTTTCAGAATAACAAAAAAACGCAACCAAAAAACCTATAATCATGTATTATAAAATATATTACACAAAACAAAGAAAACCCTGTCCACACTAATGTTTAACTATTCGTTTAAAAGAAAATTGTTAGACGTACTCAGTAACTAAAAAGCTTGGCCAAAAAAGGAATTTTTGTCCTTGTTTTTGACTTGCGCCAAGTGTTTCGTTTTGGAAGAAGACTTGACGCAAAAAATAAAAAAATGAAAAATAAAAAGAAAAAGATCGTTTTGTACAAAATTCTGTTTGAAAACGTGTAAACTTGGGTTGTTTTCACGGATTTTATAAATATTTCTTTGATTCATATATTGAAATGTGTTAAAAGTTCTTATTTTTGTTGATTTATGTACTTTTTCTTGTTAAAATATGTGAGTTTTGGTATGTTACCTAATTTATCATAATATAAAATATTATTTTGTTTTTAATTTTTTTCCAGATTTTCAAAGGTCGCTCAACCTGAAAATCAACATACTCTAGTTACGACGTATTTTTGAAAAAATAACGAAAAATTGTGTTTGAATTGTCATAACCTGTCCTAGAATTATTCTAAAATCTTATCATAGATAATTTGGATTCGTTGTGAGTTTTGTTGAAACAATAGAAATGCTTGTATTGTTATTGTCAGAAGAGGAGGAATTCTTGACAAAACGCTCTTCTGGGACTTCCGATGATTGGGCCCTGAGGCAAAGGCAACATTCTTTCCGTTTCTTTCACTGTTACTGAGTCAGATGGAGATGTAAAGCTGTGTTTTGGAAAGATAAGAAATCGGGAGAAGCTACGACGGCTTTTTGATTAGTCACTAAACGGAAATGTGGTCAAGGTGTATATCATCGGTTATGATGTGTTTATTTTTGTTTAATTGTTTTGTTGAAAACAGTTTTGTTGGGCTTACTTTGAGTTTTATAATTATAAGTAATCTTTTTTAAAACTTAAAAGTGTAAACTCTTTGTGTTTGTGTTTTACAAAATGTAGCTTTAGTTCTGTACATTACTGTATGTTGAACGAAGTTTTATTTGTTTTACACCTAAAGATGTATATCTTGAACTTTGTAACACGACTTCTCGACTTTCTGACGTTTTATTTACATTTTATTCGATTTAGTGCCATTTTTTGTTTTCATAAGAGGCGCGGAGAAAACGGAAATTTTAGAGTTATTCACTTCCAAGGGTGAATTGCCTTCGATTCGGAGTATATTTTGTTTTCCAGTCTCTCACTGATGGCATCTACCTCAAATGCTTCCCATTCTGACGAGTCTGACGACGAGGTAAAGTCTAAATATATTCCACCTGCCAAGAAGGAGCTCAAAGACATTTTACAAGCTGATGCTGAGGATGAGAGCTTGAAAAAGTAAGATAATTAGATTGTTATCCTACTTATACCTAAAAATACTATTTTTTAACTTTAAAAGCTTTTAAACTTTTGTTTCGATTAAAAAATCTTGAGGCGAGAACATGAATAGTGTTATTACAATACTAAAGTTTGTTTTTTTAAACTATTTTTCATATTAATTTGTTTTAGGTACAAAGAAAAGTTGTTAGGAAACGCATTGGATAATGTTGTAGTAGATGAAAGTAATCCCAAAAGAGTCATCGTTAAGACGATTGCCGTTCTAGCGGATCACGGAACTGTGGGGGAGTTCAACATACCACCAGGTAAGAGAGTTTTATTTTAAAATTATTATTTAAATATAGTTGTTAAATTTTTTTAACGATTTAAGGGTAGAGACACTTAATCTACTATAAACGTTTCATTTTCAGAAGGCGACTTCACGTTAAAGATAAAAGAAGCCGAACGCTTCCAACTCAAATTCGAATACTATGTTCAACGAGAAATCGTATCTGGGTTACGGTACATCCACAGAGTAAGCCGTTTGGGTATTCGGGTAGCCAAAGAGACCTATATGATAGGGTCGTATGGTCCCGCGGCCGATCTCAAAACCTTCATTACACCATGGGAAAACGCGCCTTCAGGTAATTAACTTTTCTTGTAGTATTTCACATATATAACATAAGCACCTTTCATTTTGGCCTTAATTCATAATAACAATAAGTAACCTTCATAAAATTACATATAAGGATCTAAATATAAAACTGTTTTGTCTTGCTAAATTACATGATTTCAGGTATTATGTCACGCGGTAAATACGCGGTAACCTCGAAAATAACCGACGATGATGACAATGACTATGCCACGTTCAACTGGACGTTGGAGATATCCTCAAGCTGGTAACTTGCCGTCGCTTCTCAGGAGTTGTTCATATCTTCAAGAGATTGCTTCCGTCCGAAATTATTTATACTGTAGATTTCCATTTATTTTGTTGATAAAGTAGACAATTTTCACATACTTTCTTAAAATGTCAGTCCTTTGGAGATACGTTAACAAAGTAGATCCCTATTAAAGATGATGATAAAGCTCTTTCCAGATATAATGATAGAGTAGGTAATTACATTAATGTAAAACATTGTAAACCCGCAACAAGTAGAGTGACCTGAATTCGGGGTTACGTGTAATTACTCCTTCCTTCCCTAACTGTAAATTGTGTGATTCGGGTCGTTTTACGGCGTAATTCCTTTATTTTCAAAGTTTTTCGTCACATTACAAGAGGCTTGTAACCTTGGCTTTCCATTTTAAAGTGATTTGAACCCGTTCATTCCATTGAAAAGTGCTGTCCACTTCTGACAACCAGGTCTTTGCTGCAGTTTTCTTCTGACCATCGAGTCATCGTTACCTATAATGGGTCTGGAAATAAGGATAATCGCCTTGTTTTTCCTATTAAACACGGTAAGAGCGGCAGGCCAACTGGTGGAAGCTGACAATGCCATCATCTTGGTACCTCATGGTGAAGATCCTCAGAATTCGAAAAACAGATTAGTTATCCCACAAGGTAAGCCCCCTTTTAAGAAAGTCTATCATAATATGCATTTAGACTCATTTCTATAAAAACTAAATAATTACAATAACTTGATTTCAGTAAAAGACGGACCACAAGCCCCACTCCCTTGTATTGTAGCTGACAGTGGTACTCATGAGCATGGTCAGACATTCACTAAAGGCAACTTCCACTACTCATGCAAGAATGGCACTGCAGAAGTTATAGGTAAGTTACACTTTGACATTATACTGTACATGTAGAACAGATCATGAACTTATTGACATACCAGCCTATTGTTACCACGTAAACGTTTCAGCTTGTGTCAGCGATGACATGTCAGTCATCCAAATCGGTCGTACCTTTCTCAAGAACGGTATCAGACACAAATGTAATGTGAACGGCGAGACTGTGACCTATGAACAAAGTAAGTTTGAAGCACATAAATGAAGTACATTCAGAATCAACGTGCTTTGAAAATGGAGTACACTACGATGTTGGAGAAAGTTTTAAAAACGGATCCTTCAAATTGATTTGCAAAGACGGAGGTGTAGCCATCAGTGGTAAGAACATCTTTTAAAAATTACTTTCGAATGCCCTTTTGATTTGTTTTATTGTCTTGTTTAAGGTTGTTATGTACAGAACCGTACTGACGATGTGATCTCACTCGGAGAATCCAGAATCATCGGGAAACACAAACATAACTGTGAGCTCATGGACGGAGGCAAGATACGATACACAATTAACTGTAAGTTACACTAATACCTCGTTCATCAAGTGACATCTGCCAAAATGATCACCTTAAAATGTAAATTACAGTAATTGGATGCCGAAAAGGAGACTATGTCTACAATGAAGGACAGATTTGGACGGAGAAACACGTTAGGTATCAATGCGGATCACAAGGACAAACTATGGTAATAGGTAAGACAATTGACTACGCATATTTCCAACAAAATGTTACAAAAGATGTCATTGTAGACCTAATTTGATACATTGTTTTTCTGACATTGAATGAGTTTTTTAGGTTGTTCCGACGACGAGAACGAGCTCTTTGTGGAATTAGGCCGAGACGTTCTTATGAATGGCATCGTACATCGGTGCTACAAGATCAACAACACCACATTCTACCACAGGTATGTAGCTGTAGCATCATTTACACTAACTTGATACTTAGATTCGAATGCCCGGATATGCCATTACAAGAGTGTGTTGAGAACGCTCCGACCCCAAAACGAGTACGATCAGTACAAGACAGAATTAACTTATGATACCATAATTCCAAATCTCATATATCAAGTTTAAATATCTCAATATTAACAAATATTTCCAAAATTAAAGTATAAAACCATGATACGTTAAGTTTATTGAATTCCGAGTTAGTATTTACAAGAGTGAACAATATATGGAAAGTTACAAAAGTTAATTGTCATGATTAGTAACCGTCCTCGGTTGGAATCTTAGTCGTTGGGTTAGTGCTAGTAGTGTATCGCTTGGTGGTTGCTGCCTTCGTCGTCTTCTTGGTGTACGGAGTTGGTCTCGTGTACTTGGTTGGCTTGGTATACGAAGTAGTGGGCTTTGCAGTGCTAGTTGATGTGATGTACCTTGAAGAAGCAACAGAAGATGTTGAGTTGGTAGGCGTTGGGGCGTACCCTACGGTAGTTCCTTGAGTTTCTGCATTGGTAGTTGTCGATGTGGTGTTGTCATTGGTTGGGGCGTACGGATAATAAGGTGGGACATCGTATCCAGAAGCTTCATAACCACTTCCAGAACCTGATTCCTCTTCACCTGACCCTGATGGAGAACCAGATTCCTCTTGTCCTGAAGTTGTTGGAACTACTTCGTCTTCGCCCGAACCAGATCCAGAACCACTTCCAGATCCAGACTCTTCATCACCGGATCCCGAACCGTATCCGTAGCCAGCTGGCACTACTTCATCACCGCCGGAACCAGAACCACTTCCCGAGCCAAAACCGCTTCCTGATCCAGACTCTTCATCACCAGATCCTGAGCCGTATCCGTAACCTGATGGCACTAATTCATCTTCTCCCGAACCAGATCCAGAACCACTTCCGGACCCAGAACCGCTTCCTGATCCAGACTCTTCATCACCAGATCCTGATCCGTAGCCTGCTGGCACTACTTCATCTTCGCCGGAACCAGAACCACTTCCCGAACCAGACTCCTCGTCACCTGAACCAGATCCTGAACCGTATCCATAACCTGCTGGCGCCACTTCATCGCTGCCTGAACCAGAGGCGCTTCCAGAACCTGAACCGGATTGTTTTTCAGTTGACCCTGACCCAGATGGTACTAATTCGTCTTCGCCCGAACCAGATCCTGAACCGCTTCCTGAGCCAGACGCTTCGTGACCAGATCCTGAATCATATCCGTAATCTTCAGGTACCACTTCATCGTCACCTGAACCAGAACCAGACTCTTCTTCACTTGAACCAGATCCTGAGCCGCTACTTCCATAACCGTAGTTTTCTGGAACCACTTCCTTATCTCCAGAACCAGAGCCAGACTCCTCAACACCTGACCCAGATCCTGAAGCTAGGCCAGATCCAGAACCACTGCTTCCATAACCGTAACCAACTGGTACTTCCTCATCAGATTCTGTTGTGGTAGTTGATGGTATAGCTTCAGCCGTTGAAGAGATTACTTCTTCGGTGCTAGCTGCATATGCTGCAGCTTGAATCGTATTCGTGGAAGGCGCAACTCCTGTAGTCGTAGATGATTGCACTACCTCAGTAGCCGTTGTCGAAGGTAAAGCCGCGGTAGTAGTTGTGGATTCCACAACCAGCGTTGTCGTTGATGAAGTTGGAGCTTCGGTGGTTGTAGTTGAGGATAGTACCTCTGTGGTCGTTGTAGATGGTACAGCTTCGGTTGTGGTCGTTGATGGCACAAATTCGGTTGTTGTAGAAGAAGTCACAGATTCAGTAGTAGTAGACGTTGTTGAAGGTGCAGCTTCGGTAGTTGTAGTTGAGAGTAGTACCTCTGTGGTCGTGGTAGACGGAACGGCTTCAGTCGTTGTCGTTGATGGCACAACTTCTGTTGTTGATGTAGAAGTAGTAGTAGACGTCGTTTCCGGAGAAGTTGAAGTGTTAGAAACTAAAAACAACCATAAACTGCTGCTTTATTTTTAGGTAAAAAAATATAACCTAGGTTAAATAACGATTATAAATAACAAAAAGCAAAACTTACCTTGGCCAAATGGAGAAAAATTGGGTGAAAGAGTGTCCAACTTCTCGAATGAACCAAATTGCCAGCTCCTGGGACTCGGAACTCCAACTGTTGCATCAGTCGATGTTTCAAATGTAGACTCGGAGGCCGCATCAATAGATTCAGAAGGTTCCAAAGTAGACTCAGAAGCAGAATCGGTCACTGAATCAGAACAAAATAATATTATTATAAATACATAAAGTCACAAAAATCTAAAAAAACCATCTAAAACAATATTAAAAATGATCCTTACCATCAATAAAAACCGTAGATGCCTCATCTGTGGTGGATTCGAGCGAAGAATCGTCGACATCTGGTGGCAAACCATAAATTCCTTCGGAAGACTTAAATGGCGCTAAAACAGCGATAAAAAAAGACATATTAAAACTTACATTCTCCAGAATTCGGTACGGGAAACGCCAATAAACACGGCAGCAGGAGCACGGGCAGCAGCAACTTGACCATCTTCACGATTTGTGCCAAAGAAGGAAACCAATTCCAACGGATTCTTCATTTTGCTGACGGCCTTTTGGTGATTTTCTAGAAAAAATAATCATTGTGACGAAATAAATATACGTTTTGCCGTTATGACGGAATAAATAAAATTTTTTTCGACTTTACAAATAAAATAAATTTTGGACAATAAAAGTGAAATGTATTTTTAGATGTTTTAGTTAAAACATATAAATTACATAGTAATAAAACATGTTCAACACATAAATTAGTATTCATGTTGTTTTACATGTTTTTACATGAATAAAGTAGTTATACAGTCTTCGGACATTGTTTTATAGAGCAATGTTGCGTTTGAATGTATTTTTAAGTCTTATTGTGTTGGTTAGGGCTCAATCGCGACTAGTACAAAAGGCCAAGCTTATGCAAGATGGTTTAGACACCAGTGTGGATCCATGCGAAGACTTTTTTACGTTTGCCACCAAGAATTATGACAAAGAATTTAAGAGAAACAGACGGAAGGAGTTGCTCAAAACTGTTTTGAATGAAGCTAATGTACTTGTAAGTGGTTCAATAAGAAATAATTTAAAATATTTTTTTTAAAATAAACTTTGTTCATGAATAATTTGAGTAAATGAGCACAATAATTATATTAGATACCATCACTCCGCATGGTGAAAAATGTGTACACCAATTGCGGCCTACAAAAGCCTTCAGCAAACGAGTTTGATCTTACTATGAAAGCCAAACGTGCTGTTGAACAATTTCACTTTGCTTTCCCGGTGACAGAAGCCGATGTCACGGATGACGCTGAATATATGAGGAAACTGGCCCGTATGTACAAGATGGCGTTTGAGTACGGTAGTGAACTGGTGGGGATGATCCAGGGGAGTATTGAAGGCCAAAACCTAACTATCTTCTTGCCTCCGGATATTATGTCACCAGACGAGAAAGCTTCGGTTTGGTAATTCAAATTACACTTTGCTTTTTTTGTAAAAATAGTAGAATATTCACTTCAAGTAGTTATTAATTAGCTGCCTGTTTTTTAAGATCAGTAGATTTGTTAAGCGTCTGAAGACCTTTTGAGCAAATTCAGATGTCAAAAACTATTGTCATGACATTTTAGGAAAGCTTACTGTGCCGAGAAGGGATGTGATCACACACAAATCGACTTTAATGACTTTTCTAATTTGTTGGGAAGTTACGCTCCTTTTCAAATGACTCCAGAATACGATAAGTTCCTGGAGACAATGTTTGGCCATAAAATACGATCACCTGGTGTTCTGTTTGGTGTTCCAGAAACGGCAAGTTTTTAAATTTGTATAACACGATAAAGGTTGAAAAAAATTGTGATACTACTTGTTTAGTAAAGACTTTACTTTACAATAGCCTATAAAACCTGTATTAAAGATGATGGACAGAGCTAGATACATCAACCAGATGTTCGAGCTTTGGATGTACGTGCCTGCTCAAGTCCCAGATTTTGATTGTTTGACCTACATTCAGTTTGCATACCCCTTGTACGTACAGAAGATGCTTTACGATTATATGAGTAGTGACCAACAATGGTATCAACGGTTTCACGAAAACTGTTTCACGTATGCCAATGTCCTTATGCAACAAGCGGAGGAAATGTTAAAGTACAGTAATATATTGGACGACGAGAACAAGAAAGCAGCGTTACATCATGTTCTACAGGACAAGTTTGCCTTCTTCAATCACAGCTTCTACGAAGACGCAAACTTCCAAGAATACGCAGGTTCTGTCTCAGACATTAACCCTCTCTCGTCTGTGCATGTTAACAACCTGAGGCCGCTGGTTGCGTTCAATTATGACAAAAACGAAAAGTTGTGGAGTATACCAACAATAATGGTAATTATTTTTGCATTTACAGAAGTATAGTAATGCACAAGGCTTATCTTCTTTTTGAACTAATTTGCTTATCTTTAATTCTTTTTAACTCTATTCTAATAAAGCTTTTAATCTGTGTTTTAATACATTAGCAACTACCCTAAACTTTTTGTATCAAACTAACAAGTAATTTTGTTGTAGGTAAATGCTTTGCATTTAACCGATAACTATGCCAATTTCTTCCATTGGGGAATTTTCTTGTTCGACGCGTATGACAATGACTTTAGTCCAATGTTAACATTCTCGTCGTGCGGATTTGCAATGGCGCATGAGTTGTCCCATACACTAGGCGCATGAGTTGTCCATTAGGTATGATCTTATAATGAGACCTTTAACCATTAATTTTAAACAATGTTCTATTGAAATGTTCAGGAACTGGATTAAAAGACATAAACGAGGACTATATTGAAAAGTTATTCTGTCTGATAGGCTTCTATGAAGGCCAATGCGACCCCACCATACCAGAACTATGTCTGGACTCTGAAGCTACTTTGGAGGAAAACTTTGCTGATACTGTGGGTATGTGAATTAAAATTGCAGTTAACTGTATAAACTACTAAAACTTATAAAAATGTAAAAAGCTTGCGAAAAGCTTGCTTTACGTTGAAAATATTTCAGGAGCACGACTGGCATACAATACCTACAAAAAGTGGGTGTCGATCAAAGGATCTGGACCCAGACCAAAAGGGACAATACTAGACACCTTCTCCGACGACCAGTTGTTCTTCATCAATGCCGCTCAAAACTTTCTGGAAACGATTGATTGGACCGCTTATGACCCACAATATACCACTCATCCTCCACGCGAGGTCAGAACATGGGGATCATTGGCGGGAAACCCAGCTTTCGCCAACGCTTTCAACTGCAAACCGACATCTAAATACAACCCGAGTAATAGATGCTTCTTCTTTGAAAAACCTGAATAAATAACATTTTAATGCATAAAAACATAATAAAATTACGAAAATATCTATAGTATAAGGTGTTTATGGTATTCAAACCGCAAAACTCCTGAAACACACAAAGTAAAAACTTTTTCGTCATATAAAATGGCATCTAGTTTTTTAAACCCGAACTGCGCCCGAAACGACGTTGGAAATAATTTCTCTACCGATTTTCTTTTGAATTTCATTGAAGATTTTTGGCAGAAATTTAATAATGAAGTCGCGTTTTACGAGGGTTTTATGAGTACAGATTTTTGATCTTTTTAGGTATGATTGTAGTCTGAATTTTTTCACTTCGACGTTTTTGTTCAAGGGATGGCGAACAGATCTTTCTTTCCGGTTATGCACAATGGTAAGTTTTATTTTAAGTTATAGCGTTTTTAATTTTAGGTGCTTTGTAAAAGAATATTCATCTTGGTTAAGCTTGAAATAGGGAAAACGGTTTTTTGTTGATTCTTTATCCGAAATCGTACCTTAACTGTACAATTTAAATTTAGGTATTCAATTTTTAGGTTCTCAGCCACTTCCTCAGCAGTTTGGGTATCAGATGCCATCGAATGCGTTAAGGATTGATCCAAATAGAAGCGTAAGTGCAATTGCATCTCAACCTATAGTCCCAGTTAATGGTAATGTCGAGGAGTTCGAGTGGATCGAGTACTTGAACGAGGCCGGCAAGAGTTACTATTACAATCGGTTGACAAAGGTCACTACATGGGACAAACCACCAAAGTTCAAGCCGGCAAACAAACCGAAACCGCTTAATGTAAGTTTCTGTTGTAAGGTTAGCGTTTCTTGGAGTTTTTGAAAGATTTTTTAGTTTGTTTTAGGTATATTTTATATTTTTACTTCTATGTTTTCAAATCGTGTTTTTCAGGTTGCTCCTGTCACCGCTCTATGGAAGGAGTACAAGAACGCTCAAGGGATTAGTTATTATCACAATACTAAAACTAATGAGACCACGTGGACAAAACCCGATGGGTTTTTAGGTAACAATATGTTTTAGTTTTTTCATGTTTAAGACAAACTGAAATGACAAAACAGTATGCAAAACATTATTTGTTGTTTCTTAAACTAATATCCATATATATTATAGGTGATAATGCTTCTACATCTGCAGAAACGGTGGCTAACGTTAGTAAAACGGCGCCTGCGGTAATTCAACAATCAGCGCAGGCTACTCCTGCTACTGATATTGACAAAGCTATGGAGGCGACCTTGAAACAACTTGTACCACCAAACTCTAATGATCTTGTACCGGTCGAAACGACAGATCCGGTTGCTATGAAGCAAAGGGCTTTTGAACGGTTTAAGGAGATGCTGGTAGATAAGGTAAATATTTATGAGTTTAATTTGGATATTTCTTGATTCAATATTTATTAATTTTATTCAATGATTGTAGTACTTTACTTTTTAGTATCAAAGTAAAAAGATCAACACTAATCAATCTTGGGATCAGGCCGTCAGATATATTCAACATGATCCTCGTTTTGATCTTGTCAACAAAATCAGCGAAAAGAAGAGAGTTTTTAACGAATGGAAGGCTCAACAACAAAAAGATGACAGAGTAAGTTCAAACAATGTTTATATTATCTTAATTGTTTAGGATTCCCGGAGGTTGGCAACTCGTAAAGCAAAGGAAGATCTCGAAGCTTTCTTGTTGTCTTCTGGTAAATGCAGACCTACATTAACATACCAGAAGGCCAAAAAGCTGTTCAGAGATGAGGAGGTATGGAAGAAAGTGACGGAATCTGACAGACAAGATATCCTCAAAGATACGATGGCTGTTTTGAAGAAACAACACGACGAGAAGGTGAAGCAGCAAAGGGAAAAGTGTCAGAATATGTTGAACGAACTTTTGGATACTTTGCCTGAGATAACTTATAGGACTACTTGGGCTCAAACTCAACGAATTCTGGCGGCCAATGAGTTTTATTTGGAAAACGATGATCTCAAAGAAATGGACAAGTTGGATGCGTTGGAGATCTTCATAGAGTACATCAGAAGGGCTGAGAAGGAGCACCTCAAGGAGAGAGAGTATGAAGAAAAGATGAGGAAAAGAGAGTCCAGAAAGGGCAGGGACGCTTTCTATAACTTCCTAGTTGAACTCAACAAACAAGGTAAGGAACATACTGGTTTTTATATTGTAAACTTATTTTGATACCAAGGATTTAATAGTAAATTAATGTGTTTAGGTATCATAAAAGCAAATAGCACATGGCAGTCGGTTTACCCTAAAATACGGGGAGATCTCCGGTTTACATCAATGTTGACAAACACTGGTTCTACTCCATTGGATATTTTCAAATTCTTTGTGGAAGATCTAAAATCAGAATTGGCAAAAGAAAAGAAGAAGATCAAACAGATACTCGAAAGTACGGGTCATACTGTCAACATGGAGACCACTTTCGAAGAATTCGAACAGTGGATTCGATCTGAAGACGAATACAAAAAGATTTGTCCGACAAATTTGAGGATTGTCTTTGATCAACTGGTCGATAAGGCAGTGAACATGTCTACTCCAGAAGACAACGGCCACGAAAAGAAGTCTTCCGGGGTACGTTTAGTTTGCGCAAAATAATTTTTGTTATTTATGGATATCAGTGGCTTTATCTTTTATTACTTATATATTTTAGGAAAAAAACGCTGAAATTCCTTTGACAATCTTCGAGAACTTGGCTCTTAGAATTACAGAAAAGTCGAGGTGGGAGGATTGTAAAGAAGCAGTAATGGCTGAAATAGCCTTGTCTGATTATGATGAAAGTGCTGTTGAGACATCATTCAGAGAGTATGTCAAAAACTTGCGTGAACAGAGAAGAAATGGAAAAGATGTTAGTGAAGGAGAAGTCAGTGATGATGATGAAGATGAGCCTAAAAAGGTGACTCCTGAGAAGAAGGTTGAGAAAGAACCAGTAAAGGCAAACGTATCGAGGTCTCGGTCTAGGTCAGTTTCTCATGAAAAAGAGCGGTCCAAGAAGTCGAAGAAAGAAAAGAAGGCCAAAAAGAGCAAAAAGAAGAAGGATAAGAAGCACAAAGCTTCTAAGTACGAGGAAATTGTAAGTTTTATGTTATTTGTAAATTGTGACATTGTATATGAATTCACTTTTTTTATATATTAATTTACGTTGTTTTCAGTCGTCAGACGAAGATACGCGACCATCGTCACGAAGAAGGAAACGTTCAGGTTCAGAAGGAAGCGAACGCGTCAAATCCAATAAGTCACGAAAAGACAAGGTAGATGATGACTGACGTTAATATTGTTTTTACCATGAATTGTTAATAAAATCTGCTGTACTACGGTAACGATTGTTACGGGTCAATTTCTCAGATTGTGTGGTTTTGAAGCTACAGTATTGAATTTTTTGTTATCTCCATCAAACTCAAAACTGTAAAACAGATGCTAGTTTGGTTCTTCTTTTTAATTTTTAAAATTATTTGATACCTAAATTGATAAATATTGTCTCAATAGCATTTTGCAATGGCGTTTTTTTTTAATAAACATTTAATAAGAATTGTCACTAATTCAGCGTCAAAGGGTTCTGTTAACCTTGTGTTACTTGCAATTCATTTTCGGTAGTTGTGATGTTAATATTTCAGAAATGTGAGGAATGGGCTCGTTGAAGGTGCAACCTCCAAGCGGGCAAACTCGCAACTTGACAGACGTTTTCCACTTTCTCCGTTTGAATTCTGTTAAGCCGAAGTATGATTTCGATGATGTTGACATCACAGGAAATGGTATGTATGGATTGTGAGGGTTTAATTTTGATTTCGGATTATAGATTCTGTAGCGTTGTTGGACGATGTAGAAAAAAGCACAGCAGTAGCGTTTAAACAGTCTGGAAATGTGACTCCAAGCTGGGTGAACGTATTGGATGAAGTCAACTTTGAACTAACAAAGTAGGCCTATATAAGACTGTACTTTTAGTCTTTTTTGTATCGTAAATACCTTTTTTTGGTCGGTAATGTCTGAGGTTGCATAATGAGTATAACTATATAATTTCGGTTTAGAATAAAGACGCGAAAGCAAAAGCTAAAGGAATCTCAACAAAAACATCTCCAAAGACCTGACTTTAGTGAAGATAGTGCTCTAGCTGAACAGGAGACCATTAAAGATTTAACCGATGATCTTACTGGAGTATTTACTCACACACGGCGGTTGATAAAGTAAGTTATCAATTTTGTGTAGCCACTATTATAGAATGACTCTGAAGGTTTTTTAACAAAAAAGAGGTTGAACGTGTTCTTTTCCTATTATTTAAATTTTGGCATTTTTGTAAAATTAATAACATAATCTTACGTACGACTCCTTCAGGGTGATAGAGGATTCAGACCGAGAAATGTTTGCGACGTCACAACTTTTAAAAGAGAATGTGATAACAACCTTGCTTTTTGAGTTGAATGCAGAACTGACAGACTTCAGACACACACAGTCAGCGTACATGAAGAAGTTGGATGCACGGAAGAAGACGGTCGACCTTTTCTCCTTAGCTTCTGATTCTCAGAATCCATACGAAAACAGTTTTCTGACACAAGAAGCACAACAACAACCAGAAGATCAAGAGCTTACTATAGATCAGATACAAGCCATAATAGAAAACGAACAATACGTGAAGGAAAGGGAAAGGGAGGTGATTAAGATCAGCAAAAGCATACTGGAGTTGAACACTTTGTTTAAGGTAGGTCTGGGTTTAAATATGGTCTATTTGTTTTTTAATTTTGTGATTGTCATAGTTTTTTTTCTATATTTGTAGTTTAAAGTATTGATACATTTTTATTTTAGGATTTGGCGCACCTTGTAATAGACCAAGGAACGATATTAGATAGGATCGATTACAATGTCGAACATTCGGTAATGAAAATCCAAAGCGCTCACAGAAGTGTACAGAAGGCAGAGAAGAACCAGCGAACGCGGAAGATGCAGTGTATTGTGATACTGGCGGCCATGAATCTATTTATATTGTTCTTGCTTGGACTGCGACATTTTTAAACTAGTAAAAGACATTTATGTCATCGGTTTGTTGACAAAGCTTTATGGCATTAATTTATTGATGATAATAATCTGGTGAACTGATTGGCATCTAATAAACGTATATTGTGGTAGTCGTTGTCGTCTTTTCTTTTGGTAGTAATCCAACTGATTATATTTATTTTTTGAGTTTTGCCAACTTTACTGTGTTTTTTTACAGTATGGATAAAAACCCGGAATTTGGTGTGCCAAATAACAATGGCTTAATGTACTTGTCACTAGCGTTCCTGGGAACAGTGTTTACTATAATATTGGGGTTTGCTATAAAGATATGGATGGATGACAGAGAAGCGAAGAGGCGACGAGAAATAGCACGGGAAATGGGAGGCGACTTTGGAAGGATAATTGGGGCCGATAATGCAGATGACAATAACGATGACGAGGATGATGAATATGCAGAAGGTGAGTATATCTAACTACTTATGGCAAGATCAGTTGAGTTATTATTGGGGTTATATGATGCGTGTTGTTTACAGTGTTATGGATGACGAAGGTTGTCATTTTTGTAGTTGTGTAGCTGGATTTATACGATTGCATGTCAGAAGTGTCAATTGTATTTAAAATCAGTAGAAAAACGGTAGCTGTACAGTGTTTGTGACGTTGTTTGGACACGCATTTCACTTGTTTTCGATGCCAAAGCTACGCGTCTTAGATATGATATTTTTATGCATACAAGGCTGGGCTGTTTTGTATAGTCTGACATGAGAACACATTTCTGGACTAGCCTTCCTTTTACTTACCCAAAACCCACAAGTTGGTAATAATATGTGTTGGGAAAGGGTGCTGAGTTGTGTTTTTGATGTTCGGTTATGGGATGAGCCGAAGAAAATGAAAGGCAATTAATGGGCCGTTTTTGGAGAGTCTTATCTTTTTCTTTTAGACCAAATTTGTTACATATTTATGTCTTGTTTCAGGTCTGGGCGTTTGGGTCGTATCTTGCTGGTGTTTACTGTTGTTTGACAGTTGGAAACATTTATTTTACTAATTCTTATATCCCAGAGCGTATAATTAGTCTGTTATTTACAGGCAGCGGTCGTGAGGAAGATGACGTTCCGCGCGACGCTTTTGGCAAGAAGATCGGTAAAAAGAAGTTGGCCAAACTCCAGGCCAAGCAGGAGGCCAAGGCAGCACGTGAAGCGGTAATTTAATCACATTTCAAGATAGGTATACGTATGCAATTAAATTGCTATAACACGCAGCGGCCTTGTCCTAATTGGCCATAACCGTTCTGTTTTTACTGTGCTACATTGATATTAATATGTTAATACTACATTTATATACAGATGCTAGCCGAAAGAGCCGAGAAAAAGAAGAAGGAAGAAGAAGAGGAAGCCAAGAGACAACAGGAGAAGGCGGTAGAAGAAGAGCGAGAGAGGAAAGAGAACGAGGAGAGGAAGAGATTGGCAGAGGAAAAGGCGGCCAAAGAACACGAGGAGTACCTCAAGGTATGTCACGACACGTAAGCCTACTGTAAACGCCGTTTGAGTGTAATATCGGTTTTGGGATTTCAATTACTTTTTCAACCGAAATTACAACAACTATGACACGTTAACACCCACGTATTGCACATAGTTACTTTAAAACATTCTCTATGTTACAGAACAATTTATGTTAGTAGATTACTGTATTATTTCATTAATAGCCTATTATGTTTGTTTAGATGAAAGAGGCATTTGAAGTAGAGGAAGAGGGCTTTGATGAAGTTGCAGAAGCTGATGCTGAGAATCTGCTGAACCAGTTCGTCGATTATTGTATGACTCAAAAGGTGGTCAATATCGATGATCTCGCTTCGATTTACAAAATGAAAGTGTCAGAAGTAGCGGACAGAATCCAGACATTGATTGAGAACGGCCGCTTGAACGGTGTTGTTGATGACAGAGGAAAGTTCATCTACATCACCCAGGAGGAGTTCGATGCTGGTAGGTTTTGTGTAATAGACACTAATTTAGAATAAATTTTGTAGAAGAGGTTCTAAACTTTTATTATTTACTTTTTCCAAATTTGGCTTTTATATTTTTGAAAGTAATTTAGTAAAACGTGTTGAGCTGCTTGCATATAAGAAGAAAGTGGAATTTGCATGTGATTAGTAATCAGAATATCGATTTCTGTCTTGACACGTTTTTCTGTTTTCTCTAAATGTTTAAGTTTGTGGCAAACCGAGTTCAATTTACTCAAATACATTTAGCTTCTGCCTACGAGACTGCAAAACCATCAAAAACTATAAAATTGTTAAAGAATTTGTAAAAACTTTACAATTCAGTTTAACAACTTTGGTTCTCTCACCAAATTCGAAACAATTGTAGTTATCGTGTTCAAATGGGTATAGACAACATTTTAACTCTCTTTTAACTACTAGCTATTTTAGTGGCCAAGTTTGTCAACCAGCGAGGGCGTGTCTCCGTACAAGACCTCGTATCTTACAGTAACCGCCTCATCAGTTTGAAGCCCGCTACAGCCGAAGCGTAATGAGAGGGTAATGTGGTGGTTGGATTCTACTGAATTTAAATTATTTTTTCAATAAATTTTTAAGGTTTCGCCACTTGTTATTGTATATGATGTTTACATGCATGACAGTATATCTGACTTTGATTTGTTATTTTCGATTTTACAATTATCATTTGTGAGTTTACTATAATATTGTTTAGATGATAAATTCAAGCGAAGCTAAAAGCGCCCTTGAACAGCTACGGCATGAGACTCAGAACAAGCGGATCAAGGTTTCGGCCGCCGCTAACGATCTTGTAAAGTAGGTTTTATGTTATTTATTTGTGATTCTTAATTTTGTTATTTTGAAGGATCTCTGGGGCTAATGTAGTTCAGCCCCCCCCACGATACTTCAACCCCCCCCAGTGTTTAGAACAGCCCCCCCCAAACGGGTAGCTGGCCTAAACTGTCCTATGCAACGTCCAAAAGGTCGAATTCTGACGAAGTGGCTGGAATCGGTGGCAGGGTCGCGCGGCCGGACCTATTATAGGAGGCGGAACGCGACCTGCGTTGCATGGCGGGGCAGAATGAAGGTTTTGGCAAAATCAACTTTTATAGGTTTCGCATGCGTGAGAAATTGAAAGTTCACAAAAAGTGAAATTTGCATAAATTACAACTAAAAAGTGCACTTTTAATTTTATTTTCTATTTACAACAACCACCCAACTGTTAACATCAACCCCCCCCAACTGTTAACATCAGCCCCCCCCATAACATTAGCTCCCCAACTGTTAACATTAGCCCCCCCCAACTGTTAACATCAGCCCCCCCCAAAATAAAAACAACCCGGCAGTAACAACTTCAAAACACAAAATAATTTATTTTCATTTTTCATTATGGGGGGGGGGCTAAAGTATCTATAATGGTTGGGGGGGGCTATACTTCACAAGGCGGGGGGGGGGCTGATCTACATAAGCGCCGGATCTCTTTATTATAGTTTAGTGCCTCTCGATCAATCCAGACTTAAATATACCATTGCAGATACGTACAAGACAACGAGAAGGAGGACTACCTGATGAACGGCTTCCCTTCAGACAAAATGAACCCCTACCGTCCAAAAAACAGCTTCCAATGCCAAGTGCTCTAATCTCGTTCCTCTATCGCAGCGTTTCCATACTCGCAGTATTCTCCTTTATAACGTATTTATTCCTGCTTTAATTACATATTGGGATTCCGAAACATTAATCAACCAATTTCGATCTAAATAAATCATTTTGCCAAAGTTATGTTTGAACACTATGTTGATTACCAATGATACTGTGACTAAAACTGATATTCATATAAGTAAGAAACGATTGAAGTAAACTGTTTATGAAATTAAAACACGAAATACGACAGATGCATACAATTATCGTTTTAATAACAAGTGAACATATAAACAACGTTAATTGTAACAAGAAACCTGACACTCTATGGATGGGAGCTGTTGGCAGCGTTTATGAAGCGCATCAACTGTTCCAGACTGCCACCGACCGGAGTCTCCTGCTGAGTTGTTTGTGGGAACATACTGTTGTACTGGTTGTAGTTGAAGAAGGCACCACGATATCCTTGTTCACTCGTGTGAAACAATGATGGAGGTGGTGGTATGGAAGGGTTAAAACCAGGAATTGGTGGGGGTGGTGGTGATGAATTATCGTCTTCAGAATCTGAATCCAACACTATCACCTCATCATCGTCAGCAACTGCAGGTCTTGGAGGTGGCTGAATTAACAAAGAACGTTAAAATAATTATACCAATGTCACTTACTTGAAAAACATTTTGAAAATTAAACATAACATCATGAAATATGGCACAGCACTTACTTGTGGAATATTTTGGAAAGTCCAAGAGTTCAACGGGTCTGGTTTAGGATTCCCATTCATAACACCATTGAAGTTGCTTGTTCCGTTCGCAACATAGTCGTTGCTCGTAGATGGTTCATTGGGATTACAGTATGGTGTTCCTCTGTCAGAATCACTTTCGCTGTCATCGGAATCTGACAAAGTGATGATTTCAAGCTCTCCACGCGGAACATGCTGAAAAAATATTGTCTATTGTAATAAGCAGTTTCCTTGACCGTCTGTTATAATAATGTGAAATAAGATTACTGTCACATGTTATAAATGAATATAACTTACAGGAAGAGGAGCCGATGGCCTGACTTCTTCTGATTTAGGTTCGCGTTCTTTACTCTGCGACTCTTCCTTTACATTCTTTACCGTCACCTGACTTGTTGACGGTGCATCTTCATCATCCGAGTCATCAATGTCTACAACATCATCTTTATGACCAACTTTCGCCCAATTGCCATCTTTGAACAGCTCGACTTCGTTTATGATCCTTTTCGTATCTTTTATAATTTGTCCAAAGTAACTAAAAGATTACAGTACTTAAATATAGATTAAAGTAAACATTGTAACACAATGAAATGTATAAAAGCAATACAATCAAAAAGTTCAGTAGTTAATAATATTGTAGTAACTTACTCGTCAACCCGTAATCTAGAAAAAAGCACTGTTTTGTTGCACACTGGGCACTTCCAATTGGTCTTCTTTTCATTAACGGATATAAAATTGACCAGATCGAAGCACTGGAGATGTGAACAATCAAGAGATCGCGACGGATAGTTCATTACTATCCTACCGTACTAAAATCAAATATTAAAAAACACAAAGTGAGAAACCCATGGATAATATAAAAATTGTGAAACATTCAATTTTATACCATAAAAAACTAAAATAAATTAGACAAGATAAGGTAAAAGCCTTACCGGACATAAAAGAGAAGCCCTCAATTCACAAACACTAAATCCATCTTCGTCCCCGAAGTTCTTCTTGATCAAAAGCTTGGTCTGATCTAGCAATCGAGGTTCTTCCAGCACCTTGTTCTTCAAGTACTCAACGTTGACACTTCTGACAAGAACGGCAGTGAAAACAAACTTAACAGTAGTCGAATGAGACCATCTTATGTTAACACGATGAAACGACTGAAATGGTCTAAAAGACCCAGTCATGTCAACTGGCAAAGGAGGACGACGAGACACCTTCTTCCTACCTTCTGTTACTGTGATGGGGTCCTGGAATGTAATTTATTAAAAATAGTCCTGCATGTACACATATTATAATAAACGCACCTAAACTTAAATAAACTAAAATAGACTTACAGGTAATGGTAGTGAAACGCCATCTACTTTAACATCACAGCTTTCTGGATAGAAGATCGGTTGTCTACCAACTTCGCCCTCCTTGTAAAAACGTCCATGAAGTTGATATACCCGTTTTCCGTTTATCCTTTCGTCCATCTTTGATAAATATTCTGGAGGGATTCTGAATGAACATTCCCAGTCAGAATAGATAGTTCCTGGCCTCACCAAATATGTCGGAGGTACAATTACCTATAATATAAAAAAGTGCTTAATAAATTAAATAAATATACTTAAAATAAATAAAACATAAGATTATCGCTCATAAATCCAGAACTTGTTTATCATTTTTACCTAAAATCTGATAAAAAATAAAAACCTTACATTTTCAGTAATAAAAAATGGAAATTCTTCAAATTGCAGGTTACGAGCTTCCCAGATGTTGTGGTTCAATATATTACCCGAACCATAAGTTTGACTCCCGAATCTGGACTGTTTCTGACTTAAAGGTGAACAATATGTTAAAGATGGTGGACTGAGCTTTCTCTTATCCCTCGTCGTTGTAGTAGTCGTGTTCCGAGTACTTCTCCTCATCCTCAAGTTAGTACTGAGGTCTTATGACCTAAAGCATAATATTAAACAAATACAAATTTGAAAGTTCAAAAAATCGATTAAAATCAAACTTCGCAAAAATAATTTAGCTACGACAACTAAATTTAATAGTTTTACAGACACAAAAGTCGCGTTTACGGACATTTTTATCGTTTATAATAAAAAGAAAATTATAAGACTACATACTTCTTGACTGTGCACACAACTAAAAATATAATTTAAAAAAAAACTAAAAAGTGTTGCTCATAAAAGCCTTATAAAACATAACTTCAGTTTATATTATATTAAACGTTTAAAACAACACACTTTTTTATTCGCAGAAAATTCCTAACCGAGCAAAATTAATGCGCCAAAACTTGATGGGTCATGTTATGCGCTGAAACATGTTCGAAATTACAGTGCAAAACCTGAAAAAAGTTGCTTCAATAAAAAACTAAACAAGTAAAAAAATTTCTTAGTACCAAATACTTCTTTAACTGTGTTTTGTCGGCTTTATATTACAATCTTAGCTTTACTTTACAAGTTGTGATTTACAATTTAACTTTACAAGTTAAAGTGTACATTGTTATTGTGTTATAATCTACTTACTAATGTGTAATAAATAGTATTAAGCTTCACATAAGTTTTTATTGTAATTAACAGTACTTTTGCCGTGTTAAGCTGGTTGATGGGCGGGCTGCTTCACGACCTGACCTCTGCGTTTCGTATACGATGCCAAGCTGAAAGAAAACGGCATTCGCAAAGCTCTTAATAGACACGAGGTTTGCCATCTATATGGTTGTGATTGTCATTTGGGGTGTAGATGTGGTGGTGGACGGTTGATTTTTTACATAATAAATTGTGTATATATTTTTATTCTGCAGTCTTTGATAAAATTTTTATTGACTAAACTATGTCTTATTTATATTCCATGTGTTTCGATAGTTCATTAATAGTTATTGGGTTTATGTTTTTGTAAATTTTACGTGTTTAAATTTACTATTTTTCTAAAAAGTGACGTTACAGCAATCCAACCTCCTAACTTTACAAAAATGAGCCACTACAACGTTCTGGACTTGTTCCCAATCGACCGAACTCTAAAAGCAGGTTACAAGCCGTATTGGCTTGAAATTGTGCTTGTACCTTCTGGTTTTCGTCAACTATCGTTGTTCAGGGCGTACGGTTATGCCAAAGATAACTGGACGTTGAAGCAGTTGTTACACTGTACTCTGAAAGCTAAGAAGCTGAACTTGACAAACCCAAGAAACAAGACATTTTACCGTGAAAAGAAACGCATTTCTGGGGATGAACTTGTAAAGGAAAACTTGTACTTTTGTTTCATTGAGATCGACGATATTCTGAAGATCGGAAAAGGAATCTGTTTAGAACCTTTTTGGATTTGTGACAAGATAACACATTTTGCGGAACTGGTATTCGACCTCATGCCCAACTTGTACTTTGTCCACAACAAAAAATTGGTCACATTGCCACGATACTATGAAATTCTGGGTTCCTTCCATTTTGGATTTAAAGAAATAGGTAACTTTATTCAATAAATTATTACTTTAGGCAGATTTTTTAAACAAGTATTAGGTTGAACCAAAAGGAAGCTTGACTTTACCATAATTTGACTTAAACAATATCATTTTAGGACCAAACAACAAAAAAATCACCGATGGTACATCGAAAAAAGATGACACTGCATTGACTCACCACAAGGAGGAATCTCATGCTACAAAAGTTCAAGAAGATAGTCAGGCAGAAGAAGAATTGGTTCAAAAAGTCAGTAAAGCTTCAGAAGATAAAGCCACAGAACCTTCTGTAGAAGAAAATGTCACCAAATCAGCATCTGAAGAAGAAATTACAGGATCTACAGATTTTCAGGCCGAAAATGAAGTTCATGTAGAGGTCGAAGTTGTACAAGACGAGGACAAATTGTATGATGTTGAAGCTGTCACCGTTTCTTCTAGTGACTACTCTAAGTCTGATGATTCCGATTCTGAAGACGGTTCAATTGATGAGGGATCAGAATGTAGCTGTGAACGCTTAGACTGCAGTTGTGACGATTCAGAATGCAGTTGTGAGGATTCAGATTGCAGTTGTGAAGATGAAGATTATAGTGATGGAGAATCAGAATCCGAACATTCTGATTGCAGTTCATGCGAGTCTGATTCAGAAGAAGAAGATCAATTAGAAGAGCGTGATCCCCACCCATTATACAAAAGAGCGAACGAACGTGTCGAAAGAAACATCTTGTTTGTCCATCTGGTTTGGTTTTTCATTTGTTTTATTCTTACTTTTGGTTTTAGTGGAATGGAAGTTGTTGATGTTGATCTTGAAAAATGATATATCTCTCATAACGTTTTATTAACTTATTGCATTTAAAATAAACACGGATAATCAAAAATATGGGTGATCTATTCCCGGGGGACAGGACAATAATGTCGGTAAAGTATAAATAAAACGGCGCTAGGACAAATGCGGTTTTTGGACATTTGCGGATCTGCGGTTTTTAGACACTTGCGGATCTTCGGTTTTTGGACACTTGCGGATTTTGGACATTTGCGGATTTTTTAAAGGGGTTTTTATTTTTTAGTTAATTCAGTTGTATTATGGTACTAAATGGTACTAAAGTGTAAATTGGTACTGTTTTAATATGTTTTCGTGCTAAATAGTACTAAATTTTAAATTGGTACTGTTTTATATTTTTTGGTACTGAATGGTACTAAAAGCCCAAAAAGGTACTGTTATGTTAAAACCGCACCAATTTAAACTTTAGTACAATTTCGTACCATACTACAAGTAAATTAACTAAAAAATAAAAAAAAACCTTTAAAAAATCCGCAAATGTCCAAAATCGGCAAGTGTCCAAAAACCGAAGATCCGCAAGTGTCTAAAAAGCGCAGATCCGCAAATGTCCAAAAACCGCATTTGTCCTAGCGCCAATAAAACATAATTTTCAAATTTATGGAAGGTAAATAAAATCTAATGGCAAGTGGACGAAATGTCAAAATAAAAAATATAAAAAAAAAACTATTTTTGATAAGATCGGGTGGAATTGTCTGTTTTATGGAGATAATTATTGACCTGGCGCCGATTTCTGGTTGGAAAGATATGAAATATTCGCATGGACAATAGACAGACTGTTTTATCACTCGGATTTGGGTTAATATCAACTGTATCTACGTAAGCATATGCTTTCTTTGTTGGCTTTTAGGCATGTGTTGGTTTTTCCAGGGTTGATCGTCAAAAAGTTCGGCCAATCGTTGAAAAACATTTTCGTAAAGGACTGATAAGTTCTTTTAAACTTTTTTACAATTGAAAAAATTATTAACATAATTGAAATGATACTGTTTGTAGAACAACACTCACACAACCTTTTGATAAGATAAAGACCTTGAGACAACAATTAGGTAATGGAGCAAATAATTCTGCTTTTAAAATTGTAAAACAAGTTGTAAAGGAAAAAGGAGTACTAGAACTATGGAAGGGCACTGTACCTGTAAGTTTACATGCCTTATACTTTTATGGTTGGTTTATTAAAATGTTTTCTCAATGTACTATAAAATAAAATTAATTTTATAGTTTAACCTTCTGATTTAAGTATTTATCTAAGGACTTATTTTTAAAAAAATGTAATTTAATATTAGTAATGTCATTTCAGTCTGTTATGCGTGCTGCTCCTGGAGCTGCTTTGTACTTGTCAATTGTTAATTGTATACGGACACGGCTTCATATCAAAGACGATGATGCTAAGTTACTGTTTGGTACTGGTTTTGTTACAAGACTGGGTTTGGCGGGATTGTTACAGCCTTTTACAATGATCAAGGCTCGACTAGAGGTAGGTATTCTTTACATCTGTTTGTTTTGTTGTTCATAAGTTTATATTGTATAGATTTAGAGTACCGTGTACAGAGACAAGTCAATGCTACAAGCGGGTCGTACTGTGATTACTGAGCTGGGTGTTAAAGGTATGTTTTGATTAGGTTAACGGTAAAAGATGAAATATTATGCTTGCTAAGGTTTTCTTATAATATTATAGTTTACTAATGTTTTTTACAGGATTGTGGCGTGGACTTCTCCCGACATTACTTCGCGACGCACCGTACTCTGGCGTCTACCTTGTATTTTACCGTAGACAAATTAATTTGATAGAACAGTACAGTAACTCTACTGCAATATCACCGATCGCCAGATTTACTTGTGGCGCTATAAGTGGATTAATAGCTTGCTTACTAACTCAGCCCTTTGATGTCGTCAAGACTGTAGTACAACTTTATCCAAAGAGAACGGCATCATTACTGTCAGCGATGATTTCACTATATCGAGAACATGGCGTTGCCATCTTCTTCCGAGGTTACATGTTACGAGCTACCAAAAGGACATTGATGGCAGCTATGAATTGGACAATCTTTGATGAGATTGTGGAGTACGTGAAGAAGCGGTATCCTCACATAGAATAGACAACCTCGTCAGGTCAACTCTGGGATATTATACATTTCTAGCCATTCATTTTCTTAACGGGTATACAATAAAATAAACTGACTAACAAGGAAAGTGTCCAACATACAGCTTTTCAACTGTTTGAGTTAGTTTAATAAGTTTTGGTCTAAGATACGAATTTAATTTTGATACTAACACAAGTCAAGAAAGGTATTGGTAGATAAAAAGAAGGTGTTATAACATGAGGTTCGAGAAGAATGGTTTGACATTACTCAAAGTGTCGAGTTACGTGTCCAAACAAAACCATGAAACACGTCCGTTTACATGTTCTTATCGAGTATGTTATGTTGGGGCCTGTTTTTATTCATAAATGTGGCCATTGCTCAGAAAGTCTGTAAGTTTTGTCATTATATGTTTAGTCTTATTGACATTCATATAACAAACTGTTACTACATGTAAACGGTGTTTTGCAGCGGTGTTGTATGATGATTTTGACTCGGTGGTAGGACCTCTAATACGAACTCTGAATATCTCGTTAACATACTACAAGGATGTCTATAACTTGAGGACTGAGATGGAGCTGGCTTCCATTCAAATGGAGCCAAATATCAGTCTAGCAGGTGGGTGACGTGTTATAAGCCGAAAATTATTTTTAAATTTTTTATTGTCATTTCATTATTAAAACTCAATAAAGTAAAGAATAACTGTGTTTAGAAAAGATAGCTGACTCAAACTTCCTGATTAGTATGACAACGGCTGAAGAGTCGAGCAAAAAGGTACTGGTCGCCGCTCAGAATTCGAATATTCCGACGATTCAAATGCAGCTGACTTCTTGGAACGCTTCCTACAAAGGTAAAATACGGTTTTCGATTTAAAAATATGTAAAATATTGTTTTAGATGAGCCCCAAAGCACGATAACCGACAACTACGTCATATTGGTGCCATCTTATTTAGTATTTGATAATTTACTGGCAGACTTCGTTAATGCCATGAATGTGACTTCCGAGATTACTGTAATATACAGCGAGGAGTACGGTAAGTAGAGAATGTAAATGCAGTGTAATGTCTTTAAGCCTGATTAGATTAGTATAATTAAAATTCTTTTACTTTTTGCAGTACGTGGAATACAGTACGAATGGCAAACACCCTTCAACAGCCTGAACGTATCTGTAGATTTTGTGAAGTCAGAAGAGACTGATGACCTCATATCGTCTCAATTGGCCGGATTTGAACAAAAAACAAAGTATCTGATGTTTGTGACCGACACATCTACGGTAGAGAAGTACGTGAGCTTAGGACAGAAGCAGATAGCAACCGACATGTTTACGTGGATGGTCTTCACCAAAGACACGATGCCCTTCAAGTGTTTCCAGAACTGTTCTGACGTCCAGCTATATTGGAGTAGAGTGATCAAGACCACGGCCACAGAAGAGTTGGCCAACTTCACTGAGTTCCTGTGGTCAGAAGAGTTGGACAAACAGTTTCCCTTCTCTCAACAGACCTACAACCATCTTCAGACATCGTTCTGTCTCGATGTTATGTATACCGTGATGCGCTACATGTTGGGAGGAAACAACGCTCAGGAGCTCGAGATCGACCGAGATGAAGAAGCTGTTCAAGTCAATGCTACAGTAGCCGCTCTACTGAGGGATGAGAGTATGGACTATGACTTTGGACCTTTCAGACATCACTTCTCCCACTACTTCTATCAGATAACTAACGGAGTGATTCTGAAGGTGGACAGAGTGAAGAGACTGCCCAAGGCCAAGTTCAACAAGTTGATTGCCAATTGGACATACGTTGACGGTCTCAGACCAAAGTTTGGGGGTCTGGGGATCGACGTGCGGAATCTGACTCACTACAGGGTGGTCACTATCTTGGTAAGGTGCTATAACAAGATACGACAGATTGTTAATGCTACAGTACTTTTTCGTAACACTATTTATAATACTCTCTAACGTACGCGTCTTTCAGCAAGAACCATTTGTTCAGACTGGCGGACCAGACGAGACCTTTGGCCTAACTGGATACTGTATCGACCTGCTAGTCAAGATCCAGGAACAGCTCAACTTCACCTACGAGATATACGAAGTTCCGGACAAAAAGTTTGGGGTTCTGGAATCGACCGGTAATTGGAATGGTCTGATTGGAGATCTCATATCTGGCCAAGCTGATATGGCCATAGGACCAATATCAGTGATAGCTGAAAGGGAGACCCAAATAGACTTTACAGTACCATTCTACGATCTGGTCGGTACTACAATATTGATGAAGAGGGATGAGATCGAGTACTCGTTGTTCAAGTTTCTTATGGTAGGTCTTAATTGGATATATAGTTGTATACGTAAATAATGTTATGTTTATCTCATGTACAACATTATTTATTTAAGCATATTATTGTATTGTAGGTGCTTGAATGGCCAGTTTGGCTGTGTATCCTGGGTGCCTACCTATTCACAAGTATATTACTGTGGATCTTCGACAAGTTCAGTCCATATTCTTATACCAACAACAGAGAAAAGTACAAAGATGATACTGAGAAGAGAGAGTTCAACCTCAAGGAATGTCTCTGGTTCTGTATGACATCATTGACCCCTCAGGGCGGAGGGGAAGCGCCGAAGAACATTTCTGGGCGATTAGTTGCCGCAACTTGGTGGTTGTTCGGGTTTATTATCATCGCTTCCTACACTGCCAACCTCGCTGCTTTCCTTACTGTAGCTAGGCTAGAGCAGTCGATAACGTGAGTTGTAAAGTGCTCAATGACTAAATATTTGTAGGATTATATAACTTTTATGGGCCAATAAGGGTTAGGTTTTAAAAAAACCGATTTTTAGATCATAGGTTTTGATTTTAGATCGTTGGACGATTTGGCCAAGCAGTACAAGGTGGAGTATGCCCCTCTTAAAAGTGGCGGTACCGAGACCTACTTCAGAAGAATGGCTGAGATTGAAGAACAGTTCTACGAGTAAGTGCTTCAGTCTAAAGCACTCACTTATGACAACTGAATACCTAATTGTTACTCACTTGTGTTCGTTTTCTGCCTTTAGTGTTTTGATATGACCCTACAATAATATTGGTGACTTTGTCATAACATTGATGCTCTTGCAGTATCTGGAAGAAGATGTCACTCAACGAAAGCATGAGCGAGATGGACCGTGCCAAGCTCGCAGTCTGGGACTACCCGGTCTCGGACAAGTACACCAACATGTGGCGCTTCATGGTGGAGTCTCGGCTTCCAGAAACCGCCGAAGAAGCCATCCAAAGGGTTCTGACTTCAGAAACCGGCTTCGCTTTCATTGGAGACGCCATGGAGATTAAGTATGCCACGCTGACAAATTGCAAGCTACAACAAGTAGGACAAGAGTTCTCCAGAAAGCCGTACGCCGTCGCCGTGCAGGAAGGAAGCGCATTAGGGTCCGAGATTAGTAAAATGTAGGTTAATGTACGAAAACAATATTAATGTACTTGAGGATGGGGAAGGGAGAAGATACACAGTCAACGCAAACACAATTTAACAGTGCATCTTCTTGACTTTACTGTACAAAAGTGTAATTTATACTGTAAAGAAGCCACAGTATGTATCATGTTGTAATATGAGGCACACAAAGTACGAGTTTATTTTGAGAGTGTTGATGTAGTTCACATGTCCAATTTACGATATGAAATTACTTAAGACAACTTAACGAGAATTGAAAACGCATTAGATTGCTAAAAGTACAACAATATATCACATAATACTAAATTAATATCACAAGATACAATTACTACAACAGAAAAACGCATCTAACGTCTTCAAACGTGATAATACTTTCAGCGTTCTTAAACTGTTAAACGAGAGACAGTTGGAGGCCCTGAAGGAACAATGGTGGCACAAGAACGCCAAGAAGCAGGAGTGTAGTAATGTAGAGGACGAGAGCACAGGTATTTCTATTCAGAACATTGGAGGAGTCTTCATCTTGATCCTCGGTGGTATAATGATATCATTGGTCATCTTGGTGGTGGAGTTCTTCTACTACAAACGGCTGGAGGAGAAGAATGTACAGAAAGATACGGCGATGCAGCCGGTCAGGGGACGAGACGGACCGTACTCGTTTCAGGAGACATACTTTAGTAACCCTGCGCCTGAACCACGGGATTGATACGAAACGTATCACTTATCCATATATACTTACACTAGCAGTAATATATATCCATATTTAATTTATATTTAACTTTTTGTTACCATAGTTTTGCCTACAAACATAGTCATTCCAAGTTATCTATAATAAACATATTTATACTATACTATCGTTTCTAAACATTAATCATTTACATTTCCCTCGAGTGCATAAAAAATAGGAATACCAAATTAAGCAGAAAGTAATACATCCCTACAATCGTATCTTCTTCTTTTTGTACTCTAATTAGCCAACTACAACAATATCAGAAAACAAAATAGTTAGAGGTGTGGCTAGGTCTATGTCAAGATACCGAGGTATTTTTTGTATACATAGCAACGTCTGCTTCGTATATACATAAGTAGCTTATAAGGTAGCGAGGTTTCGTCATATACGAAGGGCTTTTAAAGTGGTGGAACATATTTAAAGTACTATTTTGTACTTAAAAATAGTTTCTTGAGTTCAAAAACTATCTGTTTTAAATAGCAACACAAGTCTGAAGTAGAGGTGAGAAACGGGCCGAGATTTGGGCCCTCTCGGGCCTGAACAGGCCCGTTTTTTGAAAAATTTTTTCCCGCGCTTTTTTTCTACTGGTCGAATTGATCTGAAACTTTTTCTACCCCTGTGTTTTGAATGGTCCTGACTACTATAACTAATCTTAAAATATTGATATCTCTTATCGTTTTTGAGATATGGACTTGGCGGGAAAAAATATTCAAAAAACGGGCCCGATCGGGCCCAAGGCCCGGCCCGTTTCTCACCTCTAGTCTGAAGATGCCAACCTTTACTTTGCTCAAGATACGAAGGTTACTTTAGAAAGGCCTTCAAATATTCCAAGGTTTTCATCGGAAGTCTTGTTTGGAGATGGCTGTTCGAAGTCATTTAAAGTAAAGACCTCTAGAACAATAAAGCCAATTCCCTTAAGGCTCTCATAATTGCCGAGACAATTGCAGAACATCGAATTTGCATACTCTAATTCTGGAAGTGCCACAGCAAGTGGCCAGAAGGAAGGGGAATATGTAATTGTCGCGTTTCAAAGGGAAAGGTCATTTCTCCAGAATTAGTGCCTCGGGCAAGACATTATGCCCTTTAAAACTTGGCAACTTTATTTCGGAACGAATTCCGTTGGAAAGACGTTATCCATGACAGGTTTGGGTAACATAATATTCGAAAATCAACTTTTTATGTTGAATACGGTTTTTATATGACAAGGGAGCAAGAATAATGACAATTACTTACCTTTCATGACGCATTTTCGAAGAATTCAAACTGCGGACAAAATTTTGTCAAACTATTTTTCGAAAAAAGTTTTTATTTCTTTTGTGACATTTCGTTAGACATGTAGACATGAGGAACGGGCCGGGCCCAATCTTTAGTCCCAAATCCTTTTCATTTTGTTCAGACCGTTTAAAAAATGTGAAAAATTTTAAAGAATAATTTTAAGGCCCGCTCGACTTCCCAAGGCCCGGCCCGTTGCTCATGTCTACACTTCTTTGATTTGTTATGAATATAGTTATTTTCTTCATAAAATAGATAAAACTTATATTGCCATTAGTAACTTTGTTCTGTTTTTTTTTGTACTTTTAAACCTAAATGTATATTTTGGGAGATTTTGTTAGTATAAACACTATTGATTTTTTAGGTATCAAAAACACATATTTTTATTGTAACTTCCATTTCTTTGTTAGTTCATTACATTTTAAACTTTAAAAATATTATTCAGAGTTTTTGCTATATTTTAGGTATGAAAACATGAGACTTATGCAGAACGCGACCCGATTGTTATTTGATTTAGTGTTATATCGCCCTCCAATTTAATTAAATCCGAGGACAAGGCCAAGTTCATTGGCCATGAATTGAGAAAGTTGAAACAAAAAAAGTTTAAAATGCAAAACTCGAGAGTTTTGGACTGAAAAATTGGGCTTGGACACGCGGCCATTCATCTCGCAGGGGGTGGGGTTTAGGTGGGGTGAACAAGTCAAGTGTTGAGTAATTTGGAGGCAGCCGGAAGACGAGCCCCGGGCGGTCATTTTTTGCGGTATTTGGTCTTGACTTTGCGCGCGTTAGTTCCCGCCTCTAATCTAATAACTCGGATTCAGAAGAGAGCACGAACAACGTTGACATCGGTACTTCGCGCGGACTCACCTCGTTGGCCAAGGCTTTTGTGGCCAGCGCTTCTTATGGCCTAGGATCATGAAAGTGGATGGCATGTTACGGGCGGTGGTTTTACTGCTGGCAGGTGGCATTGTCTACAGTATATGTCCGGATAATTGTGCTTGTACGGAGAAGTCGGTGGTCTGTTCGTAAGTTTTTTTGAATTTCAAAGCTTTTAAATGCTTAAAACGTATTGAAATAGGTACTTTTAAGTAGTTTTTAGTTATAAAATGTGTTGAAAACGTTAACATTTGTTTTTTAACATCAACGACAAAAAAACTGAAAGTAAAGTAGGCTTGGATTCTATTTTTACTCTTTACCTCTTTTTATTATACGTTTTACTACTTTTCTCTCATTTCCGAGGCCAACTTACACGTTGGGAGTTGGTTTTTGTTCACAGCTCAGTTCACTCATTAGTTTAATACAAATGAGCATGGTCCAAACGACTTAACTGCCTCAGGGGAACGACGATTAAATCTGTTTAATTTTCAGTTGCAACGACTCGCCTTGGGGACAGCCGGCTGTCGGAGTGACCAAAACAAAACTCAAATTAACACCATTCACAAAGCAAATCGACTTCACGAGAGTGCTGGTGATACACTCTTGTGATCTAGTGATAGTGCCCAACGACACCTTCAAAGATGTCGATATTATCGACCAGATCAAGTTCATGGCGATTGGACAAGTTGAGATACATCCTCATGCCTTCAGAGGTATCAGAACGTGCCCGAGGCAGTTTGTCATTCAGGATTCATACATCCCGCAGCTTTCTAATTACGCATTCAACGGACTAACCAACATGGATCATCTTTGGCTACGTAATGTCAGTATTGGCAAGATTTCAAAACTTTCTTTCGCCAACTTGTCCAACATACAGTACATCTACTTCAGAGATGCGGCCATCAGGTTTATTGAAAGTGGAGCGTTTGGTAAGGTATTTGAAGGCACTTTTGTTGATGTATTAAATTAATACTTGTGTCGATAACTGAACGAATGTTAATACCAAAAATACTTTGTTTTAATTTTTGAATGTATTTTCAGCTCACATGAAGAACATTACCTTCTTCTACATGAGAGAGAAGATTCTGTGCAGAGAAGTGGGTGACTTCATCTTCATTGGCTCCACTATCAACGAAGTTATCATAGAGAAGGCTCACATTCACTCAACTGACCTATCGTTTGTCGGTCTCTGTGCTCAAGATGTTTATCTGAGGAATGTCAAGATCACGGCCAAACGAACTTCCAAACTATCCAGAATCCCGATGCAGAAGGTCAAGAAGTTCAGGGTGCAGAACTCTGTCCTCAACCGGTTCGTCCTTGCTTTCCACTACAATATCTCGTCGATCGAGTTCCAGAAGGTTAAGATCAGTCACTTCTTGAGAGCTCCGAATCTGATTCCTCAGAATATCGACAGGGTTTTGTTCAAGGAATCTGTGATTACACATTGGCACGGCCACGCCGTCAGTTCGGCCAAAGGGATGTTATCCTTGACATTGGAGTTGTCATCGATCGACAAGATCAACCGTCACGGTGTCTATGCTTCTGAAATCGACACGGTAAACATAATCAACAGTAGAATTGACACGATCGATTCTAATGCCTTCAGTCGGAATGACTTTAACGTTGTGTTTGTGAATGGATCTTCGATCAACTTTATGGGGAAACATTCAATGTCAGGGTCTCAGATCCAGAACTTCACCATGATGTTGTCTGAGATCAATGCTATTGAAGAACAGAGCTTCGGATTTATAAATTGTACGCTGATGACATTCGAACAGAATGAGATCAACGTTCTGCCAGAGAGTTTGTTCAAGTCTTCAATGGTAAGTTATTGTGGTTATCTTTTTATATTATATCGGCATACTTTTGACGTTTTAAAGTATGATAGTGTATTTGGATGTGTAAAGTATTATATCAATTATGTTTTGTAAAAATGAAGCACAAATGTTAAGTAATTATGAAAAAACAACGTTTCTAAAGATATTCTCTTTTGCAACTTGACGTCGATCAATTACATCTCATCTTTGTTTCAGATTGATGAATTGCAAATCAATAACTGCACATTTCCGGGTGTGATATCTGAGAATAGCTTCAACAATCTGATAGTGAACAAGTTGAATGTCGTCGACTCCTCGTTTAACTGTACGGAGTCTACCTGCGAGTTTAACTCCATGTTGTTCAAGCCCAGTATCAACTCGATAGCATGGAACTTCGAGCGTAACAGATGTCTCGAGCCAGAAGATACGACGATATGCAGAGACGAGGTAGACTTCGAGCCCCACAATGGCATCAAATGTAGACGACGTCAACTGATAGTAGAGTGTATATGTACAGACGAATCAATGGATCCGGTCTTTTGGATGGGGGACAACGTTACAGTAGTCACGATAGGAGACTGTAAACGGCTGAAGATAGTCAAGAGCGAAACATCACATCCGTCAGTTCAGGTTATGTACTTGTACAGGATAGAACTGCTAGACATAGCATCAGTAGACCCTTCTTTCACACAGCTACACATTCTACACTCTCACGTCTACTTCTCTCAGTCGTATGGTCTCTCGTCGCTCAACCTCTACACTCTCAACTTCATAGGGACCTTCATCCACAACATAGCGCCTTTGGCCTTTGCCTCAACTACAGTAGACTATCTCACGATAAATGAGACGACAATTCGGTCGGCTAGCGGAAACTCCTTCTCTAATGGCCATATCAATAGTGTCGAGATCAGTCATAGTAACATCTTTTCGTTTGGTAACTGGCTGGAGCGGACTCGGGAGTTGAGGGCTAAGAACAGCTTCCTGCACGACATGTATGGTGTTGAGAATGTGACAGAGATATGCTTGCTCAACAACAGTATCAACTGTGTCTGTATAGTGAACCCATCACCTGCTCAAATCGTATGTGGCAGTATATCTAGTCAGTGCCTAGAGTTTGTGGACTTGGACGGAAAGCATGGTACTGGTTGTGGTGCTCAATTGGCACCGTTAGAGGTTAGGAATATGCTCAGTAGTAGTAACTCGATTAGTATTTTGGTATCTATGTACTTGTTGATAGTCATGCTCATGTAATGGTAATGTAAGGGGTCTTCAGTATGGTAATATGAATGTAGTTTTCGCAAAGTTTAGGTTCTATAGACTTTGTGGCCATTCAAAATTTAAAAAATTTTTTTTTATACTATATTAATTCCTCTGTAACATAATATTACTCTGTTTATTTGTGACACAACCTTCCAAATGACTTATCTTGTTAATATTGTTATTATTGTTGGCTTCGAATGAAGATTTGTACAAAAAATAAACGATATCAAAGCAGGTCGAGAGGGGGGGGTAGTGGAGAGGGGGCGGTTGACTAAACTGACCATAAAGATAAGTGGTCATTTCTTTTCGAGTCGCAGCACCGGATCGAATTAATTAGATTATTGACTCTTTATGCAACAAGGTTGCAAAAACAACTGCCTCAAGGTCGGGAAACTTGGATGAACAGGTAAGAGCTCCCCCCCCCCTTACTTTACTTTGCGCCGAGAGTGACTCAGAAATCCGCCCTTTCGTTTAACGCTCTTCAGTTCTAAGGGGATATTATTTATATTGGTTATGAACCGGTTGTCTTTGTTTTCCGTCGATGGTGTGGCTTTTGGTGAGAGGAAGTGGTCGAAGCTGAGGATTGATTTACCTTTTGGGGAGGGGGATACCTTCTTTTTCACTTTTGTTTCAAGAAGAAAGCGTCAGAGTTTACTTTGCAGACGGTTCACAAAATTGCTTTTAGTTTAGAAATACCTAAAAAAATGTGAATAAGTAAAATTATGGTGTAATGTAAGTCTACTATGGTCAAAACAGTTAATATGGACAGTTTTATGACCACTTTTTGTTTTAAAGTTAGGAAGCGATCTTTTCTGCGCATGAGAAACTTGGTTTTGCCGCAAAATGCAAACAAAAACTGCGCCAAACTGACTTATTATAATGAATATTGCCATTACAAGTGTTTTAAACATAACATTAACTTATATAAATTTAAAAACAGCAATTTAGAGCAAAAACTTTTTTTTACAAATTTTGTGATTTGAAAGCTAAGTAAAGTAACAAAATGTTTTTGAATTTACTATAGTTTATAAACGATCAATCTCTGCGGATAAACCTTGTCATTCTCTTTTGACTATCAGTTTTCTTGCGGGTTTTTACTCAAAAAACGATTTTAAATCGACTTTCGAAGGCTTTAGCCCGCGTAATTATAAATCTTGAATGTTTTACTGGTCCTTAGCCCTCTCCCCTAGTATATTACACTCTCTCTATATCAATATCTCTTTCCCTTCCAAATTAATATGGTTTGTCAAGAGAAGTGCCGTTTAATTATATTTGTTGCTGACCCTTTGTGATAACATGGTCAACCTCTACTTAATATGCGCCTATCTCTTGCCAACCATCTCCGCTGACCTTTTTTGTGCGGTTTTGTTGGCTCAACACCTGATCGGGGGAACGAATCACTTGTGCACCAACTGGCCCCGAATGCCCTCTCTTCGTCTTTAAACTGGACCTCCGGAATCGCGGCACTCTTCTTTCTTTCGGCCAAACTGCCAAGACTCGATCAGTGTCTGATCCCCACTTGTTCTCGTTTCAGATTAATTAAGATGGCTATTGTAAGGTTGTGAAGGACACTTGCAAAGAGTATCTATACCTATTCAATTAAGTTTACATTCATTGTTGTACTAGTGACCACCTTATCATTGAGACTCTACCTTGCCACTCTACAACTCACCTTAATGAGTAATATAGCTGACCGACCAAAATGCTGAAAATGGGTCGCTTTGGGGACCAATCCCTGGAGGCGGTCTACAAAGAGTACCAGCTTGGCCAGAACGTCTCACTTATGGTATATGGCCTCTGTGTATTCACCACAACTTTGATATTGGTGGCCTTGAGTCATTTGCTACGGACTGATTGGGTCCTTCTACTGGCTACAACTTCAGCATCATTTGCTTTGGCTTTGAACATTATTCTGAACATCCGCTCCAAGAAACATTACAATGGGATTCTGAAGCTGATAGGGATATGGCTGTGTGCTTCCACCTTGTTCACTCTGATATCTGGAGGTCAGAATGGACTGATACCTGTTGTTATCACTTGTTTTACGCTGTATACTATATTTTCCTTCAACATCATTTGGACCGTGTTCATTTGTGTATCTCTATGTGCTATTCAGACTGTGGTATTCATGCTGCACCCGGTGTTACCGTTCTCCGTGGATCAAGTAAGTTGATTGTGACATTTTTAGCTTTTGATTTAAATTCAGCTAAAGATGACAATATTTTTTGTTAAAAAATGTGGCAAAAACGCTTTAACAGAAACCCTTAGGCTGACTTTCGAAAAGTTAATTGTGAGATTGTTTAAAGTTCAATTTAACGTTGCCAACTGACCTCTATTAATCTTTTTGTCGTCGGAGAGAACAAAGAAACTTATATCAAGATGAGGAGCATGACTCACAGCAATAGGCCCTGTAGCCTTACAATCACTAATGTAACTTTAAAAATGTTTGCAGCTACTGGCTACAATCATCGTGCACTTCTGGAACAACTTTGTGGGTATCTACTTGTACTTGATGAGGAACAGACTGAGCCGTGCCATGTTCCTCAACTCTCGTAATGTTCTAATGTCACATATGGAAGCACTGAAACAGCAAGCGATTCTGGAGACATTGTTGTCTTCAGTATGCCCTAAGGCTCAATTACAAGATGGCCTTAAATACTTGTACGAAAACATGGGAACGATGGCCTCGTTGAATGTGACGAGCTACAGACAGTCGGGGTAAGATATGTTTTGTATTGCCATTTTACTGTTTTTGTAATTTAATTTTTGTTTTTATAGTGATTTGAAGTCAGGTATCTATAATAACTAATGTTTTTAAAATTCACCATTTATGTTCTAGAGTACTGTACGCTCAATTCGAAGGTTTGGAGGAGCTTCTGTCGCAAATCAGCCTTCAGGATTCTGGAAGGTTGCTTTCAGAGTTTGACCATCGTATCTCCCTAATAGCCCAGGTATGTTATTATCCTTTACTTTGTTGATGTGTCTTTACCGTTTATGTTTCTCATATTACTTTTATTACCTCTAATGTTATGTTTCAGAAATACGATCTCATCAAAGTGGCGTCATCGGACATCGTATTAGTAGCCATTAAATCCGACAGTGACATAACTCCAGAAGAAAGAGTCTGTCAAGCTGCGTTGGATTTGCATCTCATGATACGGTAATTTTATTTTACGACATATTAGAATCATCATAATATCATTTTACAATATTTTGTCCAGTACGTTTTGATTTAACTATATGACGTCATAACTTTAATTTAATAAAACTGTAACTTTACTTTCTCTATATACAAACGTCAGAATACGTTCCCACTTGTGACATCATTAACTATTACCGTGCATACCTTACTCTGCTATTTCAGCGGCTTCTGTGAAGCCAGTTCATCAGAAATTAAAGTGAAGATAGGCTTAGCCTGCGGCGCCGTGTCAAGTGCCTTCTTGGGAGCCAGCAAGTGGCATCTGGACGTAACAGGACCAGCCATCGATGACGCTACACAGCTGTCACGGATGGCTACAATGGGCACGATCCTTGTAGCCACGGGCATGAAGCCGACCGTAGAACAAAGCTACAACTTTGAACAGATAGAGTTACAGAAATACATCTACTGGCGTCTCGTATCGTCGAAGAACGGCCTCAGCACCCAGGCCAGCATCCTGTTCCCGAATCAGCGTAGAATGTCACTGACTACACTGCCTCAGGCCATGAACAGGCTTCTGAATGTGTGTGCATCACAAAACAATGCCAATACTGACAATGCCGTCACCTTGAATGGCAGACGAAGGAAGAAGGTGGTAGATTCTCTGAACGATCAGCTGATTCTGGACGATTCAGAATCCTCAAAGTGGATGAATATGCTCACGATGCGCTTCAAGGAGAAGAACATCGAGAAGGCGTACCACTTCGAGATGGACAGATGGTTTATCCCTGCCCTAGCCATCTGCATATTATTCTTGGTGGTGTACGGTATGTACCAGATTCTGGTGATGCCGAGGCTGATCATCACGTTGGGGATGGTGGTCATCACTCTCGTCGTCATCTTCACCATCTTGTTGTTGCTATATGTCAGTTACTTTGAGAACTTTTCCCACTTTGTTACCCAAACATATACCGGTCACAACATTACGATCGTTTTCATCTTGGTTTTGTTATACGTGTGTGGCATGGTGAATATCTTTTCGTGTCCAACAGAAGGTCACCCTTCTTCAACATGTCATGTAGTCTACTATCCAGCTGTTTCGTTGGTGTTATGGATGATCACAGCCCCGACTTTCATTAGATTTGGGTCGTTGTACATGTTGTTTTTACTGAGTATTGGCATCGGAGTGTTCTGTATCCACATTTTCTACACTCAAGCCTACCTCTACGTTGCGTTCGGTGCTTTCATGGGGTAAGTTTTTATTATTTTTTTAGTTTTATATTCTTATATTTAAATAGTTTTAAAAGCTTGTTCCTTTCTTTTAGTATGCTTTATAATATCAAATGAGACGTCTTGGGTATAAAGTAAAAGAGACCACTATAACATTGAAACTTTGCAGATGGCCCATTCAAACGGATATTCTGCTGAGTTTGTTCACTTTGGCCTTTCTGATTTATCTCCAGAGTAGACGCAACGAGAAACTGGTTCGGACAGACTTCATCTCCCATCTCAAGGTAATTAACACTTAATTGTGTCGTTATCCTCAAGTTTATCATTTTATTATCTTAAAACTGTTTATTGGTATTTAAAATGGTTGATGATAGCACTTTTCATGTTAACTACATGTTTTCAGTTCATGGATAATATGAGACGCTTCGATCGTGTTAACGAGCTCATCAAGACCCAGCTCAACAACCAGCTGCCTGAACACATTGCCAACAACTACCTCAACCGAACCGACACCTACTGTCACCTCTGTCAGAGCGTGGGGATACTGACGGTAAAGTTTGGAGATTCTGTAGATTGGCACGGTATCATTGGGCTACAGAGACTTCAGGAGCTCGTCAGAGAACTGGATCTACTGGTCGAGAGCTTTACCGGATTGGAGAAAGTCAGAAGCAGTGGATCGTTGTACACGGTGGCTGTTGGAGTCTTGCCAGAAGCACAGAACAACGTGCACGATGCTCCGTTTACGATCGGGGATCTACTGGCTTCGATGACAAACTTTGCTTTCGCTGTTAAAGAGATTGCTACTGAAGAGAATCTCAAGTTCTCTCTAGGTATGTTTTCACCTTTTTACAGTTTAGTTGCGATACAAAAGCTGTGTGGTAATGGCTGCCTTCAAATATAGTTCGATTGAATTATTGTAGGTATGGACTGTGGTCAAGCCTTGTCAGTAGTCATTGGTGGTCCTCAACCTTATTACGAAGTCGTCGGAGCACCAAAACAAAGAAGTCTGAGGCTGATGGAGATCGCTGAGAAGACATTTAATCGTATTTTAGTGTCAGAAGAGATATACCTAGCCCTCCGACCAAGGAACTTCCAACTAGACGACCGTAACCCGATTCAGATCGTTCCCGGATTAATCGGCTACGGATTCATTGGAGAAATGACTTCTGACGTCAACATACCGTCAATCCGTAGCAGAATCATTAACACGAACACGGAATGCAAACCTCACCGTGACGAAGGGTCTTCGGCCGAAAGCAGTGATGAAGATATGGACCATAGCAGAGATAAACTGATAAACGACCGAACAGAGAGCACGACCCTGCCTACGATGGCTACACAGTCGGTGAAGGAGAACGGTCAGTATCCGTTGAGCTTCTTCGCCGAACACAATCGACAGACGAACGAGATCAAGAAGATGGAGAACGACTTCACCTCCATGAACTCGAGCATCTCCTCGGAGTTGTACTCCATTGACATGAGTGTGGAGACGGATTCTGACATGGAGTGGATCACGCCCGAGATGATAGTCTACGACAAGATCAACAAGGCCAAGCCACCCATCAGTCCGAGCCAGGCCTACAAAGGAGAATGTGCCAAACAATACTCGGACTTCTCAGAGATCGAAAACTTCAGAGGATCGTCACGTGTCTACAAGAAGAAGAAGCGAAAGTGAGTACACCTTTTGTATTTTCCTTTTATCCATTTTTAAATTAAATTAGTTTTCAAAACTCCAAATTTCATAAGCAAAATTCAATGCATGACAATAAGTATATACCTTTCAGACAACGACACCGTAACCCCTTGTCGCGTAACGGTCCGAAACTTCCCAGCTGGCTGAGTAGCAAGTCTTCGTTCGCTTCAGAAGTCTCCTTGCCTCAGGCAGAGTATGCTCCAGCAATAGACAAACTAGATTCGACCAGTAAACGGGTCGACCGGATGCTACAAGAACTTGCCAACATCAGCATCCAGAAACGACCGGTCGCTCAGCCCTTCCCCACGGGTCTCTCTAACAGTTCGAAGAGTGTAAATTCCAAAAGAGAAACGAGCAGCGCCTGTCACACCGAGTACGACAACGCTGATTCTGAAGCCGCCTTCTCTGATACGGAATTCATGGAATCTCGAAGGTAACTTTAGATATATTAATATGAAAAATTGAAAAATTCTCCATTTGAATAACGATTAAGCCAAATTGCACACCACTAAAAACCACAAATCAATAGTCAAACATAATACAAGTTACATAGTACCCAAAAAAAATTGTTTTCAGAAGCCTGAACAATCCTAAAGAAGGCAGGCCTTCTCGATTGGCCGCCCTCGCCCGTAGCCTTGGCCGACGGAAACGGCCAATAGATATTGAGGACGATGGTGACATTGACAGCAACTGTTCGTCTCTCAGAGGATCAACCACCTTCTACGACGGTCTTCGGTGGAAGTCTGTGCACTCCATTGGCTACGAGAATGAGTACGAATTCGTGTCAGAAACCGACGTTTCCAACGCAGATTCTAAACTCTCGGGTTTGTCAAGTAGAGAGTCGGTAGCCAGAGGGGCTGTTGGCATTAACCTCAACTGTAAAGCGATGGACGACGATGAGGATTCTGAAGACGAAGTGATGGACGCCGAGACCGCGAAGGAAGTCCAGCAGATCAGTCAGGACATCCGACGCAACTTCGGGGACTTCGAGTTGTCCACCTTCTCGGATCGAGATGTCTGAACCTTCCACAAGGTCTGACTATCTGGATAGAGAGACTCCTCCATACCTACAAACACTCAACCCGATCTAACATAATATTATTCAACCCTTGGTCTTTTCACAGATCTCCAGATGGATCTCTTGACACTCAAACTGGTACTGTTTTGTTCGAAATTAAATTTTTATTTAAAATTTCGTCATGGAATCACAATTGAGCATTTACAACGTTTTTGTATAATATCTAGCGATCGAAGCGAAAATTTGCATAAAATACGGATCACGGGTGAGTTTAGATAAGTGAAAAGACAAGGCGTGACTGGTTACAGTAATCTCCAAACAAAATAAGGTTATTATACCGTTAGTTACAGTAAGAAATTATAAATATTAGTCATTTACAGTACGAAATAGGTTTAGACATATTAAATCTATACATAGATAAAGCGGGACTACTCGGTTGTGGAGGGACACAACTTCTAGACTGTAGCGAAACTCAAAATAAATATTTCATAAGAGCCTACTGTAACATCAAACTGAGAATCGGTTTTCTTTTCCGTTCGGAAGCATCAGAGTCAATGCTTTGGCATTGATCCAGACTAGTCTAGCTCGGAACGGCTGGTACGATCCCCCTGGGCTCACTACAGGGAACTCTGTTGGGGCTGGCAGTGTCTTTACACATCGTATTTGACTTTGACCCATGCCCTGAAACAATCATTGTCGTTGGCTTGTATGTTACTTTACTAATTTTAGTGCTTTTTCCGTAATTTTTTACAAATCTAAACCTAATTAACGTCTGCAGTTGTATATCAAGTGTCAAATAATGTGAAGAAGATATCATTTTACATAACTCGATACCCAACAACACTCAAACTTGATAAGGTGATAATATTTTCGCAAAATATCAGAATTTCAAAACAAAAAACAAGAAAACAAAGAGAGAGCACGTTGAAACAAGAGAACGGAAGAGAATTTACGAAATTCAAAATTTTGAAATTAAAAAACAAATAATTGAAAGTAATACTTGACCCGCATTGATAAAACTTGGCTCAAAAATACACTTTACACATTTTTTACAATTTTTTGTCCTCTGATCAGAACTTACCAAAAACGTCTGTTGTGATTGCCAGAAGCTGATCTTGGCATCTTGGGAACTGTACGCTGCCATATATTTACCATCCTGAGAGAATGACAATGCCGTTATTGGTGCTTTATGAGCATTGATGGTCTGAGCTTTAGCTGCTTTCAAGTCATGGACAACAACCGAGCCGTTCTTGCCTCCGAAAGCCACTCTCCTCGTTGATGAACAATATCCTACCATGTAAAACCTGAAAATGTGGATTTCGTAAGTTGAAAACAAGCTTTTTTAAGTAATTATATTCTTCAAGTTGATATTGACATTTTGAATAACTTACTTTGCGATTGGAGGGAAAACCTCGGCTAAAGAGTTGTGTTTGAGTTTGTTCATATCCAGGCAATGAACCAAGATATCTCCAACCTAAAATAATATACCAGCATGCTTATAATAAAAATATTACTCATAAATAATTGTAAAATAACATACAGGAATAATCATCTCTGCCACATCGTTGTAGTGTTTGTCAGAGAGCTGTTCCAACAACCTCAGAACTTCATTTCTTGATTTCATCAACGGACTAACCACACTTTGTTGGACTGTTTGATGTTGTGTTAGAGAATTGTACCTGGCTACCTAAAACGCAAAAATATAAACATAATAACGCATAATATATCAAGACAGAATATACTACAATAAAGTACAACATAAAGTACCAAAAAAACGTTCTCACCTCCATACTCAAAGCATTGATCAGAGCCTGAGCCCTTGAGGAAGCGATCAGAGACAAAGAATGCCTCGCTGTTCTGAATGAATCCACATCTGGGGGCACGGTGCCCTTCTGTTGTTGTTCATCCTCTCCGATACTGGTTAGCTCCAAAAGACCCAATAACACTTTGGACAAGTCAATGTGAGGTTGCCACACGGTGAATCCTCTTCCCAGCAGATCAATCCCAGCCCTCCGAAGTGCTGAATGAGCTGGCAAAAGCGGGGTTTCTTCTGATACCAACAACTCCACCAAGGCATGACTGATCGATCGTGTCAGGTCAATATTAGGCAGTTCTTTTGGGAATTCAGATCCAAATACACCTAATAAGATGACAGCTGTAGCTTGATTCCTCCGAACTTGATGTAGTCCACCAACCATGTCTGCCTTATCAGTCGTACTGGCAGTTTCTGCTTGACTAGCGTTTTCAGAAGACACAGAATTGACTTCGGGTAGTTCTACAGCTCCTTTTCTAGGCGGAATGGGAGGGGCAGGTCGAGGAGGAGGTATTTTGGGATCAGTGTTGCTGACAATGAAGTTCGGCTGAGGTGGAGAAGCTGGCTTGGAGCCATTCTGAGTATCTCTGTGGCCGAAAATGGAGATGGAAGGGTCGAGAAGAGTAGGTAAGAACGGCATCCAGTGTTCAACCAGAGCTCTCCGTCCTTCTTTCGACATTCTGGACAACTCCCTGATCAGAAGAGCTTGGGCCGCGTCTTTGATTTCCTCACAAGAATCGTGCCACCTTCTTACCAGAAGCTCGATGTCTGGAGCCGCGTATTCTTCAGTCGGCTTCACTAACTCAGAGATGAGAACACAGTGCATCGACGCTACATGCGACCATCCTTGTCGTATCAGGTGTCCTTCAGAATCCGACTCATTCGTGTCGGTCGACTTTGTGGAACCGACTCGTCTTAAGAAGGGGCGAGCGTGAGCTGACTGTAAGATACGACCCTTAAGTGACATCATGGCGTTAGATACGGCTACAACAGAAAGTAAGTGAATGGTTGTGAGTTGAGGATTGTCCTTCCACCTGAGCTTGGTCGAGAAGTTACGGAACGAAAGATCGTTGAAGGCGGCGCTTTTACCCGTGCAGAATGGTAATGTCAGAGATACGAAGCCTGAAAAACAAGTTACAAGAATATAAAGTGTTTTTAGTTACAAAATAACGTTTCATAGCTAATACAAAATGTTACCTTTTCTGCTGATAGTCCCAAAACAAATTGGTGCTTTCGGCCTCTGAAGCTTGAGTTTGCTACTGCAGATGCCATCGATATTCTCATCAAGATTCCATCCGTGTAACACTGAAATCAAGAGCTTGGCAGTGTCCATATACAGATTAGTCTCCAATTGCCATCGATGTGCAGTAGATACTCCATTAGCTCGGTTTACAGTACCAGTATTGTTAGCGTTGTACGGTAAGTGATTCTGAAGGGTACCTTCTGACTTCCTTGTTATTAACGTCGACAGAGATTGTCGTCGATCAAAGTTAGAATCCGAGTTGTTAGCGGTTTTGTTAAGTTCTTCATCTGTAGCCTTGAGACCAATTATCAGAGCATCTACATTGAAGAGGATCATATGCACATCATTGGAACACTTCTTCAGCTGGATAATGTCCATCGGAGATGGCAGTAACGACGAACTGGAATCTGACCAATGCTTTTTCGAGTCGCTATTCGATACAACTTGCTTTATCTGAAAAAGTAAAGTTATTTTAAAATAAGTTGTTACCTAAAAATAATTGACATTAGGTAAAACAAACGTATAGAATAGCTTTAACAAATAATCAAAGAAACTTACAGCATCCATATTCTTGTTCTTGATGGCACGCAACATCCTAACAGCCTGGTTAGCACCAGCCTTGTCATCAATCTCTGTAACTCCGCTTTGTTCTTCAGACGCTGCCAATACATCTGTAGCCAACACACCTCCAACAATTCTGTCCAAATTACCGGTTTCCATCTGCCACACATACACATGACCATCTTCACACATCAGAAGCATGAAGTCGTCCAACGGTCTCCATTTGACTTCTTGGATCGGACTTTGTTGTCGAGATGCCAGAAGGATACACCTCTTCTCTTTCAGACTCAACAACGCCGCCGAGTTGTCTCCGGCCACAGAACAGATACAATGGGTTAGTCTGGGCTGAAATCAGGCATTATATCTTGTGTATAACCAAGTTCGATAATAATACATCTCATCGTATAAAACATTCTCTCAAAGATATCTGTAACAAAAATGAAACTTACGTTACAATTCTCAGGCAGTACTAGCATTCGTAAGATAGGACCACCTTGAGAGCAAAACCTGTGCAATTTTGATCCCGTACTCAAATTCCATACAATTACAGCGAAGTCAAGCCCTCCGGACAGAAAGACTTCAGGATCGTACCTTTCATCGTCCTTGAACGGATACAAGAAACACTGAACTGCGGCCGTGTGACCTTGCAGAACACGGTGTTGCACTTCTGAAACAAAAAGTAACATTAGAACCCAAGATTTCATCTATAACATTAGGTAATAAAAACAAAATTTCTTAAAAAAAGTATTAAATTGGATGACATACCTGAAGAAACATCAAAGAGTTGTGAGCTGATGGCACTGAAAGCGTGTGTCATTACAATTGAGCCATCGCTCCTCCCCAACAACAGCTTTCCTTGACAGCTAATGTAAATTGTGGCAGTAATCGGCTTCGAATCCTCCATTTTTATGACAGAAGGAGGTAGCGGATTCAGACGCTCCCACACACTACCCAGATTCTGCTTTGTCGTCGGTTCATACACTAAAACACATTATACAGTTACCTTTACCTTAGTTAACTTTATCTCTTAACCAAAAACTCTATTAGGTACTTTAAAGATTTGAAAAGAAAATTTAGGTAATAACTTACCGGTCGGATTCCTTTTTTTGATAAATTCCTCAACCAAAGCGTCAAAATTTTTGGGAATCGACCACATACTCATTCGACCAGTGTTGTCAGCCCGGTAAACAACTTTCGTGTCCATATCAGCAACTTTGCTTTCGAAGTAAAACGTTGCCTTGTTTGATACCTAAAAATTAACATTTGAATCTCAATTAACTAAACAATAAACATCTGTCAACACTAAAAAGCCACTTACCGGATCTGGGCTTTTGATGCCTCTGAGAATGGCAAACACAAAAGGATGTTCGATATTGCCCAAAGGTACCGGTCGTTCCCCAAATCGGTCTCTGACATTCTTTCCGACCAACCGGCTAAAATAATATATTATAAAAACACACACCTTGTAATAACTGTTATTAGTACCAGTTAATTTTACTATAAAAATAAAATAGCCGATTTATACCCAAAGTTACCACAATATAAATTACCTTCTTGGCAGTTGAAATAGCACCACAGTTGAGTCAGCAAATCCGACAGCTATCCTGTCAATGTCAATAATAGTACCATTCACAGCTTCAATTGCAGTTTGTGAGACTATTAATTGATGTAAGGCACTTGGGTCAATAATCTAAACAGTTCATGTCAATTAACTAAGATAACACTTGTAGCTACAATAAAGATCTGCCCTAAAAACAAATAAAAAACTCCATACCTGCCAGGATCCAGCCGTAATGACCAGCATCATCCTCGTGTTTTGTTTAGAACAACAAATCGCTCTGACCGACTTGAGCCCCAAAGGCTTGGCCTCGTCTTCGTATATTAGACTAGTGGGATCCTTCTTCTCCAGATCTTGCAGTCCCCACATCTTTATCACTCCCGAAACTGTTATCCCGAGAACTACATCTGATTAAGGTCTGAATTAAATTGTAAAAAGCTCACGTTTCTCGTTCGGATACACAATACTCATCGTGCTCAGCCAGTCCGACTCGATTCTCGACCTCAAAAAGCAGGTTATGTTCAGGTCTAAGGCATCCAGCACTATCACTTCGCTGTAGTCTCCAATACAAAACAGTTTTGGTTGGGCGTGATTGTCACTGTTATAAGTCTAAACTTTTATTTTTAAAATTAAAGTTTAGCTATCAAAATTGCAAAATTTGATAGCAAGCTTACATATGGCACGATCTTTCTATGTACATATTGTTGACAAGCACTTTCGACAACTTTGGCACCATGACTATTCCACAAACATATCAATCCATCTTCCGAACAGCTCACATACCTTCTAAAACAATATGTTTTTAAAACACATCTTTAACATAATAATGAACCATATTGAAATTTAATCCAATCTTTTACTATCTAAAAACTAAAAACCAATAAAAAATACTTACGAACAATGTGGACCCTTCAAAGCAGGAGATAGGCAAGAGATTGGAGCTGAATGAGCGATCATCATACTGTTGGGCTGAATCCAGTTGTCCTCGTCGACCTGCCATTGCACTAACTGTCCTTCTTTACCTCCCGAGATGATGGTCTGGCCCTGGTTGACGGCCGTGAGGTGTGTTATCGAGTTCGAAGGTGGCTTTGAACCCCATAAAATGACCGGCACTACCAAACCGGACCTATTTTTGGGCATTTCAAGTTAACAACCTTCGTACCTTAACGTACGAACATATCCGTTCCAATCTGCAATATCAAAAAGAGTAGAAAAACCAAAAGAAGAACTTTTTTCAAAAATATTGGAATTTTTGGAAAATCTATTCTCTAAATAATCGAAAATGTAGAATAGACTCCGATAACATCTGTGGCACTTCGTTTTTCGGAAAAAAAATATTTTCTTGTGCCGATTTGAGGACCATGACTTCGAGAACTTGTTAAAACGGCGAATGATCTGTGAAATGACTATAAATTTTGTTTTCAGAGATGGCTGACTTTGCTACAATCAATGCGAGTTTTCAGAATATGCCGATTGAGCAGTTGAGTGTGTTGAGGCAGAGGACTGATGGAGAGATCGAATTCATGACTACTTCAATTGCCACTTTGAGGAAAGCTTTGGTTGCTTTTGAACACGTTAAAGTCGCAGCAACGAAAGTAAAGGAATCTCAAGATGGCCAGGATTGTTTAGTTCCGGTTGGAAGCACGGTAAGTTAATTTTGTACTTTTTTGTCTAAAGGTTTAGATAACTAAGTTTTAACTGTTAAATTCACGTATGGTTAGTTAAGTATGAAGTATATAACGATTAATAAAACCGTAACCTTGTATTTTTAGCTGTACGTCAAAGGAAAACTGGAAGATCCAGACAAGGTGTTAGTGGATGTTGGAGCTGGCTATTTTATAGAAATGTCAGCTGATCGAGCTATCGATCACTATCAACGGAAGGTGGACAAGATTAGAGGAGAAGTTGATGGTCTCAAATCTATTGTGCAACAGAAGTCGGCGATACGAGAAATAGTGATGCAGGCGATTCAGAAGAAAGTTCAGACAATGACAGCGAAGCCTCCAGCTACATCTTGAATCTCGAATTGGTCTACTTTGTTTTGTTGATTTTACATTAAACTACAAGCTTTTGTATCGTGTCAGATTTATTATTGGTTTATTATCAAGTGATATATTATGTTTTAAAAGTTTGGAGTTGTAATTATATTATTGTTAGCTAGATGCCTCACAGATTCATACGGCAGTTTCTTAACAATGAAAAAGTGATTCAACAGGTAATTTTTAATTTATTATATTACTCTTTCTGAATATTTTTTATAACTTTATAAGGAAGCTATGGTAATTGTAATAAATGTCCTAGGAAGTTAATATTTTGATAAAGGAATTATTTATTAAAAATAGGTAATGGCTTTGTAAGTAATCTTTTTAATTAGTGTTATTTTAGATGGCAGATTCATATCCGATGAGACGAGCTGCTAAGTTTGCGGTCAGCAGTGCTTATCAAATCCGGCACAAACTTGAGAACGGCGGACTTATGGACGGAATAATGGCCAGAACTTCCAATTTCAAACGGCTTTTCCAAGAAGAATACAAAAAGAAGCTCGAGGGCAAGAAGTGAATATGCAAGTAGGACGTTTAACTGACTTTATGTACAATAAAACGAGTATGTATAGATATAAAAAGTGCATTTCACAGAATTTTTAATATTTTGAAACGTTATGTATTCAAGAAGTTGTAGTCAATTTTGTACTCATTATGTACTGTAGTGTAATTAAACTCGGTAATGAAAATTCGTTCCACTTTTTGCATTTCGTGAGAAAGGATTCTGAAGTATTACTACGAACTATTACTACATGGAATATAATCATTTATTGTAATAACATTAACACAGCAATAGAAGTTAACACGTTTCTACCATACATAACTATACATATTATAATAGAAATTCTGATTGAATATTGTGAATGTAACCGTTTCGATACCAGTAAATGGTTGTGCTCAGAGTGTGAGATCATTGAAGTAGAGGTGAATGTGCTGAGCGTTAATTAAAGTGATTCTACGCTTAACCCGTCTTTCTGGATGGGCTTGATGTCATGGAATGAGGGGGTGTTGGGCATGTTCACGGTGGTCATCTGATCTTGTGACACTCTCCTCATTCCCACCCCTGCCGTTGTCTGAGGCCGCACCTTGGCCGACTGTACCATGGCATGCTTAACATGACTCGCTGCCGTAGGGTACTTGTTAACCACCAAGACCTGATCTGGTGGAGAGTTCATCTCCAAGCTGGAAACAGGAGCTGGAGAAGGTGGAGTCAAGGTTTGTGAGCCTTCTTCCATCTGAGTCTCGATGCTGCCTCCATTTCGGCCAGTTCGGAACAGAGCTGTTGGTCGTTGTGGTTCTGGTGGAGTTAGGGTAGCATCAGTATCAGGTGTTTGCGAATGACTTAAAGAACGTGAACGAACATGAACAAGGTTGACAAAGTGACCACGGTTTCGTTTGGCAGAACTCGAATTCCTCATTTGGCGACCAGAAGGACATGTGGAGTTGGTTTCACCTGAAAGTAAATTCGTAAATTGATAACAAATAAAATACTGTTTCTAAATGATAGTTAAAGGTTTATTCGACTCATCATTCAAATATGTGGTCTCACAGTTATCATATTATTAAAGAGAGAAAGCTTTCTAGAAAGTATTATAATTTATGGTGATATGGGCAAAACAAAAACAATTTTACAAGTATCTGCCAGCATGTGTTTTGCATCTATTATACTATGAGTTTATAGCTTTAACTTACCTTTCAAAGGCTGTGAATTGAAATTGGGAATATGTCGTTCTACAGTAGCGTTAACTGTGGTAAAGTTAGGCCCATTGACCGGTCCATTTCCGTTATGGACAGTGAGAGGAATGATGGAGAATCCTCGTGCATTCGTAGCGTGCATCACTTGTACCAGCTGAGGAGAGGTGGAGGGTGTAAAGCTGAAGGGATCATGGATCTCTGTCACCACGGGAAAGGGATACGCATTGGATTCACTTGTAGTTGAAGTGGCATCCACACTCAGCCGGTCTTCGTTGGCTACGTGAACTACATGTTGGTCGTCGGTTGGGGCCGAGAACTGGGTCCTTCTGCGGCTACTGACGTTCACATGGTAGCCAAAAGCTTTGAGGATGTCACTCTTGCACATGGGACATGTTCGATGCTCTAATAGCCATGGGTCCACGCAAGTTTTGTGAAAGACATGCCTGTAAACACGACCTTTACATACCAAATTAATCCTTTTATGTACAAAATTGGAGATTACGGTGTTGAAAATACGAAATTACCATGTAAAAAATATTGCATACGACATACTGTGTAAAAGATTCTGGATTTCCATTGCGAAATAGCATGTAAAAGTAACACAAAAGATAATTAATGTACAAAAGACCATTTTTTATGTACAATATTTATACTCACCGGCACGGCAGCATACGCACGATGTCGCCCGCACGATAGGGGTCGATGCAGACAGGGCAGTCGGAGTCCAGCTCCTTGTCGCCGACCTTGACGGGCTTGGTCGGGATATGTGTGAGGGCCTTCTTGGCCGCGTTGAAGAGCCGTCTTTGAAGACGATCTTTGGCATGCGCGTAGCGGAAGCGCTGCACGTAGTAGAAGACCAGCCACGCCAACGAGATCACCATCAGAATGATAAAGGATATGCTTACAAACAGAACCGAGGTCTTCGAGAAGGAACGTAGCGCGTCGCTGTCTACAGAATCCGACAGTTCGCACACGTTGCTCACTTCTGGCTCCTCGTCCATCTGCACGAACTTGACGTTCGTGTTGTCGATCTTCACGCCTTGAAACGAGTTGCGGACGATGATCAACATGGACGTGAGGCCAGCATCGTTGGCTACTTGTGTAGCCATTTTGTGTAGGATGGGTAGTTTGCTCACACATCGTGAACAACTCTCGCAGTAGGTAATGATGAACCTGGTCTCGAGCCCGTTGATGGTAGCACTCTTGCCCTCGCCCAATGGCAGGCTGGGCGAGGTCATGTTACATATCTGGACGTTGGTCCCGAACAGGAGCTCGATCGGGTAGAATGTGTACTTGGCCGGGCCGGTGGCCAGTTGAGGTTTGGTGGGCTCGAAATTGACTTGGTACGATGTTTGGCCACACGACAAGGTTTCCTGTAAAGGGCGTTGTCATGTTATTGATGTTTTGAAAATACTTTCCTTACAAAATTAATAATTCAAAGCTAAAAATAAAATTTGTGGTTGGACTACCGATGTCTGGCTATATAATTAGGTAAGAATTCAAAGGAATTTTAAAATAATTTTAAAAAATATCTATGTCTTTTCTATTATTTATAATTTTAGACTTAAAAAAGCCGTTTTCTGCTGTGAATAAACATAAAACATGCTCGCAATTGACGCTTCAAGCGTTTCTTTGATCTTAAAACAGCTGACTATGGAAGTTAATTTGATTAACCATAAATAATTAGCCTTACCTGTGCCAAGATGGAGCCGGCGCAACTGAAGACAAAAAGACAAATTGTCAGTGTCGCCGCCTGTGCCAATGTCATGAGCGCCACCTAAAAGATTGTTAATTAACAGTAAAGGTGATAACAACGTACTCTTTTAACGTAATATTGTTATAGTTAAAGGCTCAAAGATCACGCTAATAATCACCTTCAGAAGCGGCCGAAAAGCGGGTAGAAAGCTTGAGATCGTTCATATAAAAGTTTCTTCAAGTTCCGTCAATCACTTTTGGCTCTTTCTACGTACTTTTCGACCAGACAAAACAAAATCGAACGTTAAAAAGGGCCACTTCTAGATACAACTGATATTTCACGCCGACACACGATAAATGTTACACCCGAAATGCAAATGATGTTGCCACACGTCAGGGATTGAGTTTGCGCAAATGTCTGTAACACCTCATATTAAGTAGGTTGAAGCGGCTTCAATCCTGCTTCGGGTGGTGACAGAGTTCGAGAGGAGCAGAGCAGCGCTTTCACTCAATTCTCGGTCTTGACTGGGACGTGCGGCCCAACTCCCTTTCCTCTCTGGCCACGGAACGCAGCGCACATCGCTCCCCTCTTTTAATTTGGCACGCTTCGACGGCATCGCCCTTCCGAGAATGGGGCCGGCTGGCTGGACGTCTGACTACAGCACGATGCCCGGCTCTTTGAACTTATTTCCGCGTCGACGTCAGAAAATTACTGATAAAGGTGATACAACAATATCACCGTAATTAGAGGGTGTAATTACGGCAGGCACGCTTATTTTTACATTGTTACAGCACCTCACTGACGTTGCCCTTGTCACAATAATTGATGGAGCTATTCCATATTTTATTTCCTTATTCCCCGGATACTTCCATACCGGCTTTCAAGTTTGATATTGGAATGGCATCAAACAGCGCGTTTTAAATGTATGGCTTCAAATTGGCCATGTACGATTTGAATATGGCGTACTCGGAACATACGATGGTAGTATGGTCGGAAAATACGTAAAAACATGAAATGAGAATTAGACGTAGATTCTATGCACTTTTTGACCAAACTTCATCATAAAATGTCTCATCTTTTCAAATCTGACACTTGCCCTTAAATGGTCGATAATCACTTAAAAAGGTTGATATCTTGTACAAACTTAAAACCATATCAACTTCAATACCTACTTCCAAATGTCCGCTTAAAAGCTGTATACCTCAAAATACCGATTAAACCGTATTTAATGTAAAAACAACTCTTTCGGTCGGCGCCCTCCCGCGGCTGATCCCTCGGAACTTATGAGAACTGGACACTTATTCCATTGTTCAGCTCTTCCGAGTGACCACTAAATGGGTCACGTCCTCCTTCCCAATTAATGAGGTTTTTGCGGTCACGTCATGCTACAACAGCCTCCCACTGTGATAATACCCTTTACGAAAGTGGCATTCAATCTAAAAGGTACAATCCGAACCAATGTGACAGTGACGAGGGTACGAAGTTAATATAATACAATAGAAGATGGTACAAAAGGGTTCATAACAAGTCTGGTCTTAACTATAAAATAATAAAATAGCGGTTACATTTTGAATAGTTTATTAGGAGAGGGGGTGTTGTACGAATGGAGTAGTACACCGCTAGACTAAGAAGTACAAAAGTCAAGTGCCTTCAATATTATAGTCCAACTAACCCAACATCAGCACAAAATGCTCTATTTAAGCTCAAGTGACAGTTCAAAATTCGAAATCTAATCGCCAAATCTAATTATCAACAAGTTCGAGACAATAGCTGGATTAACCAAGTAATTCACCGGCTTCGAAATCGTCTAATCGGCTTCGTTTTGCATGGCTTTAGAAAACCATGTTACACATGCTAGATGGCATGACATGTAATTACAATATCTTGCATGTAATTTACATGTACAACTCATGAATTACATTAATATGAGTTACAGCAACAAGCCTACAATTAAGAATACCGTAAACAAATACCACTAACTTAAGTATGACAGGTACACGAGGTGCCATTTGTTATGTTGTTATTTACATAATTGGGCAGTAAAGGGGTTTGTCTACGAAGTCTGTGTATGTTACTATACAGATTATACGTGGTCATACCAGTTGCCATTAGAATATGTAATACTACATACATTTTACTATAGATATTACTATCACATACAAAAGACATTACACACTCCATAGAAAATTCAAATTTGAAATAATAGAATGAACACTACATCTTTTACCTATGACATGTATATGTGTATGGGATAAACTAAAATTTCGTTTACTTATAATCGATGCACATTATAGTAAAGTGTTATACACGTAAACACAGTCAAAAGACATGGCAAAGTATTTATGCGGCGAAACGTGGAAATGGATGGTATTCTGTTGGTATCTAAGTAAACAACAATCTTTCTCAAGGATACAATAACATAAAACACCAAAGCCGAGTGCACTCATACTTCCTTTATTGTAATTGAGTGTACTATAACAAACCATAAACAGATGATTAAGTACGAGCACTAAGCATCGTGCTGAAGAGCATTGAATTTCGTGCTGTGGAAGTAAATGCCTTCATTTCATAAAACAAACTTCCGAGTAGCTTTTGAAATTACATTTGGTTTGTTACTCCTGTCAAAGTTTATACTCCGCTTGTCTTTAAATTACATTTTGTGTATGCTACGTATAACTTCCAGTAGCTTATATTATACTTGCTTCCTTTTCTTATTACTGGACGTCTGTCTGCTCTTTTTTGTGTATTCCACGAGTGCAATATTAGTTCATTCGACTTCAGAGACCTAATTAATTCCCTTTAAAGTCTTTCAGTTCAAATTCGCTAATTTGGCGGGTTTTTCGCAACGTTGGCGTTCTGTTTCAAGACTTTTTTCCAATTTTTATACCGGTCTTGCAATTCCTCGTCTCGAATGTCAAGGATTTTATCGGGACAAAGATTTATTTACTGTCCTCGGGTTTGAACTTTCTTTGTTTTCGGTTCTCCATCTGTTTTCTGATATATTATGTTATGTTAGTTAGTATAAGAAGTAAAATAACCATATTAATGTTCTTTTAATGAATTCCATTGTTACACAGTTCTAGAACGTGTTCTCTTTAATGTTTTAGCTACTTTAAACTTGTAAATTATAAATGAAGTTTTAATCTACGATAACATGTCATGACTCATCGCTTTGCTCGATATTACACTAGACTATTCAACTTATTCTTTTTCAGGCGATGGCCTCTGCTATTCTGCATTCGCCAATATGCAGATTCATACTTAAAGTAGGGAGGGCAGTGCCAGTAGTTGTCATCTTGATCATAGTGTCATTGTCGTATTACGTGTACGTCTTCCAAACAGTTCCATGTAAGTTACATCTTTTGGTTACCGTTTTTCGGAAATTTAGGTAATAAAAATGAAGTTATTACAAACTTATTGATTTGACGTTTTATTTGATTTAAAAATTGTTTTTTAACGAAAAAACAGCTTTTCTGAAATTTAGGTAACATATTTTATGAATTTTAGGCGCTAGGACAAATTCGGTTTTTGGACATTTGCGGATCTGCGGTTTTTAGACACTTGCGGATCTTCGGTTTTTGGACACTTGCGGATTTTGGACATTTGCGGATTTTTTAAAGGGGTTTTTTTATTTTTTTGTTAATTTAGTTGTATTATGGTACTAAATGGTACTAAATTTTAAATTGGTACTGTTTTATATTTTGGGACTGAATGGTATTAAAAGCCCAAAAAGGTACTGTTATGTTAAAACCGCACCAATTTAAATTTTAATACAATTTAGTACCATACTACAAATAAATTAACTAAAAAATTAAAAAAACCTTTAAAAAATCCGCAAATGCCCAAAAACCGCATTTGTCCTAGCGCCGAATTTTAGTTTTGTTACAGTTTGAGCTTTTTGTGATGTTTTGTGTTATTATATTGATTTCATTTCAGTACTAACAAGTTCATGGTATTTACGGGTTCCTTTGTATATTGCATTCCACATATTGTTATGCTTGTTCTTGCTTTCTTATTTCATGACGGTGATGGCGCCTTTGCCAGAAATTCCAGCAAAGGTAAGTTAAAATATTTGTAAGATTATTTATAAAATTTTTAAAGAGCACAAGTTGTTAAGAATTTTAAATTTAGTAGTTTTACTCAAAATAGTGTAATACATTTTCAGTATTACCTGACTCGCGACGCTCTAATGGATTTCTGGGCTGAGAAGTCAGAAGTTGGGCGGAATGACGTGTTATTCAGATATATCTCGCAGAACAGTATCAGCACTCTTAATGTCTCACCAAGTGAAGGTAGGTTAATATGTAATTAACGTGATTATGTCTTTAGGACCGCGATTTTGTGGCCAATGTAAATGTATAAAGCCGGACAGAAGCCATCATTGCTCAATATGCTCTAGATGTGTGTTAAGATACGACCATCACTGTCCGTGGGTCAACAACTGTGTCCATAACAACAACTACAAGTTCTTCTTGTTGTTTTTGTTCTACGGAGTAGTGTTGTGTCTGTATGTTTTATGTACATCGTTGTCTACATTCATCAGCTTCTGGAAAGGGAAACCGGTGCCTCAAGATATGATCAGTAACTTTGGCAGTTTGTTTCTACCGTTCCTGGCATTCCTTTTTGGATTGTCAATGTCATGTTTGTTGTTTTATCACATTTACTTGGTTTGTCGGAACAAAACTACTGTTGGTAAGCTTTGATAATTTGAGGTGGTTTATATCTTAACTTTATATTTTTAAGTATTTAAGTGCTTTTTAGTTTTTTGATTACTACGCTATGATTATCACATAGCAAAACTAATGTTTTTTGTTTAGAACAATGGAATCCGCCTCACTTTGACTACGGCCCTGACCCTGGAGCTTACAATTTGGGGTCGTACCGTAACTTCAAACAGATATTCGGCGACAAACCGCTACTGTGGCTACTGCCCGTCCACTCAACGTACGTTGTTTGATGTTGTGATAATGCTTTTGTTTTTGTTTAGTGTCTATGACGGGCTGGGCTTCCCCCATCGTGCTCAGACTTCCACTACTACATCTACCTCACAATCTTACCGACCTTTGCCTTCCGAAACTTTGGGTACGCTTTAGTTATTCACTTCTCTAACGTTTCTGTGCTACTAACAACTCTTTTGTTTATTTGCTTTACAGGTTTTTTGAAGGTTTTCGGATTTATAAGTTGTGAAAAACTTTATTTGAAGCGGATTCAAACTAGGAATGGCAATTTAAATTAAGGATAAAGTTAGGCGCATTTACCTTGACTTGGGGCCCTACTTATGGTGTTAGTGTTGGTATAAGTTGTTTTTGTAAAGTGACACTTTTTCTTAAAATATTTTAAATTTGGATAATGTTTTTATAACTGTTTCACCAAACTTTATAATCTTATTTCAGGCCATCCGATGGTATAACCTACAACTTAAAACGGAAACGGGTCTTCAACGAGCAGCTCCGTCTTCTGGATGGGGAATCGAGCGAAGAAGACGATCTTATTTCTACTTCCTTGAGGGTATAAACCTATTTTGACTAACCTTTTGTATTTCTTTATCTTATAGGGTCTAATATCTTAATGTACTCATCTTACTGGGTCTACTATATTTTATGTACATATCCGTATCTAGTAGTATTGTGTTGTTGAACAGGACCGAGTCTTGCGATAACAGTTGTTGATACCTCTTCGAAGATAAACAATATTGCGTCATGATTAGTCTGAACTTTTAAATTGCATCAGGCTGTTTAAACAAGGTATAAATGAAGTTTGAACGAGACCCTATCATTGTTGTTTTTAACGAACTTCACAATTGATTACGGTAAAAAACGCGGGGGACTAGTTGTAGGTGTAATTCAAAGTTAAAACAGAAAGTTTGTGACTATTAGTCAGTTGTTAGGTTGTTGTTTGCGAATTTTAAAACTAGTGCAAGTTGGGTACGAATTGTACTATATGTTGGGTACAACTTGTACTCTAATCTCACCAAAAACCTATTGTTGTTGCTACAGTAGCACCGTCAACTTCGATTTTGGAACATGACTTTGAAAAACATCACGAAGCCGCTGAAAGGCGTTGTAATAATAATGGTTACGAATTTAAACTTGAGAATTCGGTTTTTGGTCTGGAATGATAACAAGATCAAGTGTTACCAGCTTGTTTTCTTTCCGCGAACAGACGCTGCTGTAGGCGCGGCCAAGGACACGTGGTCCTGCATATTATGATGCCTGAGATGAGCGACAACTGCCACTGTTAATTCGCCCCACGTGGGGGGATAATTGCGATGAATGATCGGCCCCGTTCCCCGGTGGTGATTGATACACCCCTCCCATCCCTACTATAAATAAGCGATAACCTTTGGTTTTTTCCATTTACCGTCTTCGCAATCAACAAAAATACCATGCTTTACATAATTCGATACATTTGCGGCGTTTTTTCTTGCAGAAGGGGTTAAGATGGTTACGGTAGAAGCGGGAGGAAGGGTGTGTTTTATTTACTGTGCTACTTTTTGTTTCAACTATAGTATGTCATACTAGTGTAATCTTAGCTATAAGGCTCTAATGTTTTAAAAACGTTATTTTTAATGTAGTCATAATGATACGATGCCTCGTCTACACTTTTTGTGAACTCTTATTTTTACACTTATCTGCTTCACAGACCTCAATATCACCCGACGTATACAAGTAGTTGCGCAAGTTGATGACAATGATATCTTTATGACTATGTGAAAGTATATCTTATCATTTTGATGGATCGGTGATCGCGGAGTCTTCTGGAAATGGGAGTTTGTCGATAAACTACAAACTAAACGTTGGCAAGGTACGAAGCTTACTCAGAATTCCTGTGCTTTACATTGTCAGTGATAAGGTTATTGATAACTGAGCAGACGGTCGGAAGCGGTCGGTTTTCGTTTTGTAATTCTTGGTTTAAACCCACTTCTGAAGCTGGGGCCGTCATTGCTTATTGCTTTTATATGTTTTTGAGTTTGCACGCATATTCTGTTTACTTTGGGGTCATCACAGAGTTACTGTAATATCGGTTTTTGGAAGTTTTACGTAAATATATTGTAATACTGGTTTTTAGATCAAAAACGGCCAAATTTTGAAAGGTTAGTATATAATTACTAATTCTATTTAGTTTTTGTTCTTACTTTTTATTTTTCTTTGAATTTGGGACTTTTTAAAGCGTTTTTTTGACTGTTTATGGTAGTTTAACCTGTTATCACTTTAGACCAAACTCATAAAACTCACAAGTCTTAATCACTTTTTACTTATCTATTACTGTAAAAACGTGAAGATAAGCGATACGTGTGTTGTACTTGTTTTAATTACCATCACTTATCACTTTCTTTGCTGAAAAACATTGCCCATAGAGGGGAGGGGGGTGGTGATGTCAGCAGAATCGCGTGGTTAAGGGGCGGAGCCGCTCCAACCGGGGCTTTAAATTAGGGTTTTTACAGTAAACGGCAGAGCCATGCCGAACAACAGTTGTTTTAATTGAAACAATCCCACCTGACCGCTCAAGGGATCCGGGTCCCAAGGCTGCCCGACTGATCGAGCGCAGCGAAGCAGTGATCTATTTCATCATTCTGATATCGCGATTCTTGTTTTTTGTGTCATTTTGGGTGATAGTGAACGTCGTTTCAGGCGAACATGTCGTCTGTCTTACATCTGCGCGGTCTCATGTACCAGAGGTTACGTTTGGCACGGTACGCCAGCACCATCAACAGCGTGCCCACGTCCAAGCCGGAGGTTACTCTGCCTGGGTCCACCTTCTACGTAAGCGACATTTCATGACATTTACTGGTCTTTATAGTTATAAATAGTTTTTACCAGTATTTTTAAATTCTTTTAATGTTTTTAATCAAAAACAGTTCAATGTTAATCAGAATCTTCTAAGAATGCCTTGTTTCAGCACAAAGACATGGAATCGATCATCGCTCAGCCAAATCAGATGCAAATGAAGCCAAAGAACGTGGACGACATTAAGTTCGGCCACTGCTTCTCTGACCACATGGTGGAGATTGACTGGTCGGTGGAGAATGGCTGGCACCGACCTCTTTTGTCGCCCCTGCACCATCTTCAACTTCACCCTGGAGCTAAAGTGCTACACTACGCGATCGAACTGTTCGAAGGCATGAAGGCGTACAGAGGCGTCGACAACAAGATACGGTTGTTCCGACCCGACATGAACATGGACAGGATGAGACGGACGGCTGCTCGTTCCGCACTTCCAGTGAGTTAATGGGCCTGTTAATTAAAATTTGTTCAATGCCTTAGGGGTCGCTGCCTTAGGGAAAAATGCGATAAAAATGCTTACTTTGGAGATTCAAAGAATACTTTGAAATGTAAAATATGGTTTGTATACGTAGACTTAGCAGTTATTTTCACGATACAAACAACTGGTAAAGATTAAGTGTGATGTTAACCAAAACAATCGCTTTCATTGTTTGCGAACTGCTGAGCCCTAGCATCTTGCAGGCTGCAGTTTAAAGAAATGGAGAAATTATGAAATACGTAAAGTAAAAATAAGTTGTAAATGATATATTGTGGAGTTTACAACTATTGTACAACTATTTCTTTTAGGATTTTGACACTGAAGAACTAATGCAAATTGTCTCTGAATTAGTGAGTGTTGACAAGGAATGGGTACCATACTCATCGACTGGCTCTCTCTACCTCCGCCCTACCTTCATTGGTACTGACGTAAGTCGCTTCTTTATAGGTGAATTTCCATATATTAGACTAGTTTTTAAAGTTTACTTCGCAACTAATTTATAACCTATTATAATATTACAGTATAATTACTAACACCTCTCAATACTTTCAGTGCACGTTAGGAGTTGCCCATCCAAATGCTGCCAAACTTTTTGTAGTAACCGGGCCAGTTGGAGCTTACTACCCGACCGGTCTGAAGCCCGTCTCCCTATTGGCTGATTCCTCTTTCATCAGAGCGTTCCCTGGTGGAGTAGGTAGCTACAAGATGGGATGTAACTATGCCCCGACTATCTTGGTAGGCAAACAAGCTGCTGAACTGGGATGTCAACAAGTACTGTGGCTGTTTGATGAGGACGAGAAACTGACTGAAGTTGGCACAATGAACATTTTTGTGTACTGGATCAACGAGAATGGAGGTACGTATATTAATTTGAGTACTTTAATATAAAACCCACATATTAGAAGGAATTAATCTTATTAAAAGTGCCATCTTTTGTGCCGTCTTAATTTATGTAACGACAAAAGTTTTACTTTGAGTGCAAAGTTTAAGTTTTATCATCTATCAATTCTACAGTATTTATCTAATTACAGTACCAGTATTACAGGATTGATAATATTTTAATATAGACATGTGTGTTCTATACTCACCTTTGTTTACATTTTAATAAGATTGATGGCAAGAAAGATTTAATGATTTTTGGTTTAAAAGTCTTTGAAAGCACGATATTGTTTATGTCATTCTTTAGTCTTTACTTTTTACCTATATTTCAAATTTTTTAAATATTGTTTTGAACTTTAGGTTTATATAATAGCATCGTTTTAAGATTAAACCTATCTAATCTCATTTTTACTGTTAACATTACCTTTTTCAGAAGAAGAACTGGTCACCCCACCTCTGGTCGATGGCTTGATCCTACCTGGAGTCACTAGAGACAGCTTGATTGATCTCTGCCGTGAATGGAACGAGTTCAAGATCACGGAACGGTACCCGACCATGGAGGAGATCCGACGTGCTGTCAAGGAAAAGAGGGTGAGTACTGTATTTCTTATCATATTTTTACTGTAATTTGTGACTGATTACATTCCTTGTGTTATTTTGGGTATAAATAATCGTTGCTTCTCTTCATGGTAAACAGTTTGTTGCAACTTTCCGTTTACCTACTAGTCATATTAACTTGATTTAGGTAAAACAAATCTTTGGAGCTGGTACCGCCTGTGTGGTATCTCCCGTCGGCCGAATCCTGTACCGTAACAAGGAGACAAACGAGTACGAAGACATCTTCATTCCGACGATGACTGCGGGCAACTTGATGCAACGCCTCTACAGTACTATGACCGACATCCATTACGGTAGAATCGAGAAGCCAGAGTGGACTCGAGTGGTCGACTAATGTGGTCGTATCTTGTTGTTGTCTGTATCGTGATAGTGCCGGTTACTTTCCATTTCTGAATAGACTGACGTAGCTATGTTGTTTGTTATATTGTCACATTGTACTTTAATAACCGTTTTTATCTTTATGACAGAACTTATTGTGGTATCTTATCATATTAACCATTACTTTTACAATTTCATACCTAATGTTTAGTACTTTTTGATAACTTTTAAAGTATTTTGATTGTTTTTTAATGTTTTACAATACTCTACAAGAATTTTAACCATTTCATAGCCTTACTTACAATAGCATTTGCTTGGTATACCATAACAGTACCTTCATACAATGACGTTTATATATCACACTCGTTTCTAACTTATCTTAAACTATTTATGTACAAATTGTCGTTTCATTATGTTTTTACTTGATTAAATAAAATTACAAACAAAACACACGCAAGAAATACCCGAGGAGGGCTGCGTCCAACAATGGGCGGAATCAATAATGGGCGGCCCTTATTTATTATACCCTTTTGGCCCTACCTGACCCTACCCCACACCATTTTGGCCCTACCTGACCCTACCCCTCACCTTTTTGGCCCTACCTGACATACCCCTGACCTTTTTGGCCCTACCTTACCATACCCTTCACCTTTTTGGCCCTACCTGACCATACCCCTGACCCTTTTGGCCCTACCTGACCCTACCTCTCACCTTTTTGGCCCTACCTGACCCTACCCCTCACCCTTTTGGCCCTACCTGACCCTACCCCTCACCTTTCTAACCCTGCCTGACCTTGCCCCTAACCTTTTTGGCCTTACCCAACCCTATCACTGACCTTTTTAGCCTTGTCTAAGCCTACCTCAACCCATTTCAGTCCTGCCCGACCCTACCACTGACCATTTAAACTCGACCCTACTATTCCATAACCTATGCTAGCTACTATATCGTATTTATTCTACTTGACATACCATAGTCTATCCTACTTACTATGCTATACCATACCATATCATATTATATCATATGTTCTCTACCATTCTCTATCTTACCTACTATAAGATAGAGAATGGTAAAAGAAAAACATACCATTTTTTACACTACCTACCGTACAGTACCCTACCGTATCCTGTAATACCACACCCTATATTACTATACCCTACAGTATTTTCTATACCACATTATTCTATCTGCCAAACTATACCATATCTTACCCTGTCCAATCGTATATTTACAACGCCAACGTATACTATAATACGTGTCCATTGGTAAGTAGTTTAGTCAAATATGGCATGGTATAGTAGGTACGATAGGGTATGATATGGTATAGCGTATAGTGTGGTATGGTAGATATGGCACAGTAGGTAGTGTAGCGTATGTTATGGTATGATATATTGTAGTATGATATGGTAGGTAGAATAGGGTATGACATGGTATAGTAGGTAGGCAAGGCAGAGAATAGTAGAGAACATACGATATAATATGATATGGCATAATATGGTATGGTATAGCATAGTAAGTAGGATAGGCTATGATATGTCAATTAGGAAGTACGACATAGTAGCTAGCATAGGTTATGGTATGTTAGGGTCGAGTTAAAATGGTCAGGGGTAGGGTCAGGTAGGGCCAAAAAGGTGAAGGGTATGGTCAGGTAGGGCCAAAAGGGTCAGGGGTATGGCTAAAAAGGTCAGGGGTAGGGTCAGGTAGGGCCAAAAGGGTCAGGGGTATGGCTAAAAAAGGTCAGGGGGTAGGGTCAGGTAGGGCCAAAAAGGCCAGGGTATGGCTAAAAAGGTCAGGGGTAGGGTCAGGTAGGGCCAAAAAGGTCAGGGGGTAGGGGGGGGGGTTAGGGGTGGACTTGGGTAGGGCCAAAAGGGTCAGAAGTGGACATGGATAGGACCAAAAAGGTCAGGGGTAGGGTCAGGGGTAGGGTCAGGTAGGGCCAAAAAGGTGAAGGGTATGGTCAGGTAGGGCCAAAAGGGTCAGGGGTATGGCTAAAAAAGGTCAGGGGTAGGGTCAGGTAGGGCCAAAAAGGCCAGGGTATGGCTAAAAAGGTCAGGGGTAGGGTCAGGTAGGGCCAAAAAGGTCAGGGGTAGGGGGGGGTTAGGGGTGGACTTGGGTAGGGCCAAAAGGGTCAGAAGTGGACATGGATAGGACCAAAAAGGTCAGGGGTAGGGTCAGGGGTAGGGCCAAAAGGGTTAGGGTGTTAGGGGTGGACTTGGGTAGGGCCAAAATGGTCAGAAGTGGACTTGGATAGGGCCAAAAAGGCCAGGGGTATGGCTAAAAAGGTCAGGGGTGGATTTGGTAGGGCCAAAAGGGTTAGGGGTAGACTTGGGTAGGGCCAAAAGGGTCAGAGGTAGGGTCAGTTAGGGCTAAAAGGGTCAGGGGTAGGGTGGGGTAACATTTTTTTGCCATTCCGCAATATATTTTTTATATAATATTTATTGTTCCGGAGGTGTCACTATTCCGGCGTTCCGGAAAGTGTTCCATTCCGGAGGTGACACAACACGAAAAATATTTTTAAAACAAATTTCAAAAACATCAAATTTAAAATTTTTTCACCTATCTCTCAAATACAAAGGTGAATATGGTGCAAAGATTGCTCCAAGTGATTAAAAGACCAGTCCGGATAAATTCTTTTGTCGCAAATATTTTTTCGTTTTGGCTGTTGAACTTTTTTCGCGTCAAACGTGAGCGGGTCCACTGGATAAATGATTTCCTTTATTCCAAATCGACTCGCTCACGTTTTGCGCCAAAAAGTTCGCGCTTCCCTGATTGCCTGATCTGTTGCAGAAAAGCCAGACAAAAGAGTTATCCAAACTGGTCCTTTAAGTGGTGTTAGTCCAAATGCAGTTTTTGTAATAGCGTACAGCCGTTGACAAAAAACAGGCAACTTTTTTATTTTTAACATAACTTTTTTATTAGTTATCCAACTGGGATAAAGTGCTGTGGAGTGACGAAAGCAAGTTCGGACTGTTTGGAGCTCAAGGTGGAGTGTACGTAAGACGAAAAAAAGGTACCAGGTTTTCCCCAAAGCACCAGATACCAACCATGAAACATCAGAGGGGAAGTATCATGATGTGGGGTTGCTTTTCCTCGTCTCAAGTTGGTCCATTAATCCTTATCGATGGGTTAATGGATAGCAAAACCTACACTGACCTTATTGAGAAGCATATGCTTCCGTTTGCCAAGGCAAGAATGCCAAGGGGATGGTTCTTTCAACAAGATAATGACCCAAAGCATACGTCGAAGCACACAAAGTCTATGTTCAGTAGACAAAAAGTTCGTGTTTTAGACTGGCTTTCTCAAAGTCCAGACTTAAATCCGATTGAACACCTTTGTGAGCATCTCAAACGACAAATGATTGGGTACAATTTGAAGAACAAGGCGGACTACTTTGCTGAACTTCAACGTCAATGGTCCTCGATTGACAAGACAGTACTTGAAAAGCTGGTGAGATCTATGAAGAAGAGATGTCAGGAAGTTATCAGGAATCGGGGTTATCCCACAAAATACTAATAATTATTTGTTTGTTAGTTATTAGGTATTAAATTTAAAAAGGTACCTGTTTTTTGTCCACCTTTTATTTTTGGTTCTATATAATACGTCACGCTGACATATTTTATATAATTTGTCTTTTCTATATAATTGTAGGTATCAAAACAGTCATTATAAATTTTGTTTCATAAAAATTGAATAACTAATAAAAAAGTTATGTTAAATATAAAAAAATTGCCTTTTTTTGTCAACGGCTGTAAGTCTGGAGCGTTCGTGGTCTTCCGAGTGGTGTTGGAGTTGTAGGGCGACAAAGGAGGAGTCTTTGGCGCCCTACGACTTGTCTAGATAACATATGTTTGTTGAACTCATCTATTGCTGATTAGCTTTTTGTTTTAAAAAAACTCCATTTAGTACTGTGATCAGGGTCGGGCGGGGACTTTTGGTCCGGGGGCGGGGGTCAAAAAAATCGGCACAGTTGGCAGCTACCTGTGCCCATTTTTAGCGATTTTTTTTTCCAAAAATACACAAAGGGGACAACGTTCAAGCTTTTTCGAAAAGTCCCCCTCCCCTCGCGCCCGGCCCTGACTGTGATGGAGAATTCAACAAAATTGTTTTAATTAATATTTTTCCATTTAGGAGCAATTGTTAAAATACGATTAAACCGTCGATAAATATGTTTCAGTTGCTGTTCTTTGCCAAGACCGGATATTTTTAACTTCCGGATTTGACTTAATGGATGTTGTTTCATGGTATCGTATGGATACTTAGCATCAAACTCGATAAACGTTGGATTGGCTAAAATTTTTTTTGATTTTAGTGTTTAATATTTCTTTTTAATAATTTGTTGGCTGTTTCAAATACTTACTTTTATTGAAATCGACGTATAACAATATATCATATTTACCTCCAAGCCTAGCGTAGTGTGGATAAACGTTTGATAATGGAAGACTGATAAACTTGAGTATTTCAACTGCTATTGATTTTGTATAAACCTTAAACTCCCACTTTTTGTTGTTTTTGTTATACCAAACAGCCTAAAATTTTTGTTTTTAAAGTTAATGCGCTCAATCAAAAAATTACAATTTGTATTTTTTGTCCACACTACATATAAAAGAAGCGATGGAGTTTTTATGATAGTGAGTTGGAAAGTAAGTTTTTTTTCCCTGATAAGCAAAGTACCCAACCTGCAACTCTGTGTTATATGTTCACATATTTAAAAATGACAAAAATCCATTTACAAAAGTTTCAGCGTAATATTAAAAAAACTATAAGGCAAAAAATGCCGAAGTTGTGACGGAAATTCAAACCCTGAGGTTTTGGTCGTGGTTTCCTCAAGACTGGCCGTAAACCACAGCCTAATATTCTGTAAGTTCTTACATTTACATGCTTTTCATTAAAAAATCGGAAGAAAATTTGAGCGTTGCAAATAGGGTACTTTCGGGTGTGCGCGCCTTATGTGGAAAATGTACTGTTTTAATTAGTAAATACTTTTAATAACGTAGTTTTACTTTTAAGCTTTTAAATTAACATACTTTGTCTGCTAAGTTGTCTGCAATTAAATCTTCACTCATAACCACCCATCGTGTTCTATTAATATGAAAGGGACGACTAAAAGTACATTGGCCGGTTACAATTTCGTATAAGCTTAATTTGTCTGCTCCTGAAAGAACACATCATAACATTAAAGTTTTTACGCGTCCCGACAACCCGGCCGATTTGAAACCTTTGATACTTTAGCCCGCCGAGACTTAGGCTTAGCCGCTTAAGCCTAATATATATTAAACAACCCGGCTTAAATTGGCCTGATTTTAGATGGGCTGAGTTGTCATAATGCCAATAAAATCGACTTGTCCTGTGATTTTTGGAATAAGATGTCTGACAAAAAAAAACATTTTTAAGCATTCAAATAGACTTACGACGCACTACTACATATCCTTTCTCATTCAGTATGTAAATTATAATTGACTGATGCGTTCTTTCCTGTTTGACATCTAGTTGACAAATGTTGTAAATATTGTTACTTTCCATGTCCAATATAACAAGTTCTAAGTTTTCAGATACTATACCAATATATTTTTTGTAATTGTAGGGTGATACATCGTAGATAAATACCTCGCTGAGATCTTCATAAAATTTTATGTTAACATTAAATTTCTTAAACGAATACAAGTCTGTCACAGCACCATCTTCAAGTAGAACGAAACAATGAAATAGTAGTCTCGTATTTTCTAAACTTTCGATTCTTTTCACAATTGCATTGCATTTAAAGTCATATAACATGTAGCCAAATGAATTACACACAATCATTTGTTCTCCTTTGTGAATCAATTGAGCATGTTTGACAGTACATTCAAAGTCAAGTAATAAGTAATCCTGTTTGCCAAAGTCAATATGTGTAACTAAAACAAAACACCGACCAACTAAAAGTGCAACTTTTCCGGAATATGGACAGCATGGCGACATGTTGTAGTAGAAATCGTGTTGCATAGGCCTGTCAATTGGTCGCAAAGAACGAAAAGGCGTCCTAAAATCGACAATTATTTAGTAATGAGCTTCATAAAATAACCAGTCAAAACAATTCTGTCGATGTTATGATACATCTGTATTGGGTAGAATCTTGCTTCAGTAGAGAAAGCGGTACCTTAAAAAACCTGTGAACAGGCTTGGACGTAGGGCAGGGCAGGGCCCAATTTGCGGCACTGGAGCCGGGCCCTAGGGCCGGGTCGGGCAGGGCATTTACAGGGCTTTACAGGGTTTTTCAGGGCATTTGTAAATTAAGTTTATAAAGCTAATAACAAGTGAAATAAACTGCTTTATATCTATCCGGCCTCACCCCCGACCCTTTTCGCCCTACCCGACATCACCCGTGATCCTTTTAGCTCTTCCCGACTTTACCCCTGACCTTTTTAGGCCTACCCAACCTTACTTCTGACCTCTTTAGCTTTATCCAAGTCTACCTTTGACCTGTGTAGCTTTACTAAACCCTACCCTTGACTTTATTACCCTACCCTATTATACCATACCCACCCTACATAAAATTCCATACTGTACTGTACCATGCCCTATGCTACTTACTGAATCATACTCATCTTACCAAACAAAAAATACTAAACCTTAAAATACTTTACATTACCATATCATAACTTATCCTATCTATCATACCAAACCCTACAATACCCTACCATACTATATGCTATCCTATCTACCATACCAAATCCTACAATGCCCTAACATATATAACATGCCATACTCTACCTGACTACATTATACCATTTATCTTGCTTTATTTACCTACTCTACCCTACCTACGGGTAGTACACAGTAGTGTTTATAAGATTGGATAAGGTAAGATATGATACAGTATGGTATATGTAGTATGTAATGGTATGGTAGGATATGGTATTGTATGGTAGGGTATGGCATGTTATAATATGGTAGGGTATTGTAGGGTTTTGTACGGTAGATAGGATAGGGTATGGCGGGGTGTGGCATATTAGGTACAATATGGTAGCGTAGGATCGGGCAGGGCTAAAAAAGTCAAAGGTAGGGTCGGGTTAAAAGGGTCAGGGGTGAGGTTGGGTAGGGTTAAAATAGGGGGGGGGGCTTAAGTCGGGTAGGGATAAAAGGATCAGGGATGAGGTCGGAAAGAGCTAAAATGTTCAAGGGTGAAGTGGGGTAAGTAAAATTACTTGTTAGACACTCAACAATTTTAAATTAATTTTTTTTTATATATGAAAAAATTATTACCGGGCATTCACAAGGCATTACCGGGCACGAAGCAAGCCCCGCCCGGTTAGAATCATGGGCCCTGCCTGGCCCTGTAATTGATCGTAAAAATATGCCCGGCCGGGCCAGGTCGGGCACAGGGGGCAACGCCCTACGTCCAAGCCTGCCTGTGAACCTTCGAAAAAACCCTTTTTGAAATGTTGGCGTGAAGTTGGTTGTCTTTGTTATCAGAATTTGGTTTATCGAAAGAAAGGCGAACTTTGGGCTTGGGCGTTTTATTTGTAAGTCATTTTACATTTAAAGGACCTGTGAACATATTTTTTGAAATGTTGGCGTGTAGTTGGTTGGGCCGCGTAAAGTTGGCGTTCCGTTTCAAATCCAGCAAATTTTTCGCGAAAATATTTTTTCTTGGAGAATATTATTTTTGTGTTTGAATTGTTATTTTACATTCATATTAATATTAAACTACTTGTAGCGCTCTTTTTGTTAATTTTCTCAAAGTTTTATCCTTATATTCACTTTTGACGTTGTGAAGGTGAATATTTCGATAACATTTTGAGAGTTTTGACCAAATTTTGAGCGGAGTTTGCTAAAAAAGGTAAAGGTATTTAATTACCAACTTTTTAACATATATAATTTGTTTATTTCTAGGTTTTATTCACCATGATCGGCATCTTCTTCAAGTTCTACGTCCAATATCTATATCTTCAGTCTATAATGTATGTTTTCACAATATTTTGTTTCTGTTTTTATGTATATACACCATTGAAATAATAATATACAAAGGATACATTTTTACATTGTAATAGACAGTATGAAAAGCGTTCATTCGTTTAGTTAATGCGTTGACAAGGAGACATAATCACAGCTATTCCATCAAGACATTTATTCATATAAAAGTTGATGTTATTATTGTACAAATTCAACACGTAATTTAACTGTTGTTTTATTATGAGAGGTAGATCTTCAGTGATTGTTGCACTAATCGTCTTACAAGGACAGAATTGATCATTTTTATTATTTTAATGCCACATATTGTTAGAATAAATCTTATAAAAAAATCAATTGGAGTATTAAATTAAAAGCTAGTGGAAATTAACCTAAAAGTAAATTCAAACAAGTAAATACACAAATTTGAAACAAATTAACGAAAAAAGAGATGGAGTAGATCCTATTGCTTCCATGGTGTATATACCTAAAAACAGAAATAAAATATTGTGAAAACATACATTATAGACTGAAGATGTATATATTGGACGTAGAACTTGAAGAAGATGCCGATCATGGTGAATAAAACCTAGAAATAAACAAATTATATATGTTAAAAAGTTGGTAATTAAATACCTTTACCTTTTTTAGCAAACTCCGCTCAAAATTTGGTCAAAACTCTCAAAATGTTATCGAAATATTCACCTTCACAACGTCAAAAGTGAATATAAGGATAAAACTTTGAGAAAATTAACAAAAAGAGCGCTACAAGTAGTTTAATATTAATATGAATGTAAAATAACAATTCAAACACAAAAATAATATTCTCCAAGAAAAAATATTTTCGCGAAAAATTTGCTGGATTTGAAACGGAACGCCAACTTTACGCGGCCCAACCAACTACACGCCAACATTTCAAAAAATATGTTCACAGGTCCTTTAAATGTAAAATGACTTACAAATAAAACGCCCAAGCCCAAAGTTCGCCTTTCTTTCGATAAACCAAATTCTGATAACAAAGCTTCTGAAAATCCATATTGACAACCGAATAGAAAAACTTGCTAACCGTTGCTAAAGAAACGACGTCTACCATTTTGTTTAATTTATCTACTACAACCCTCCAAATCTAAAACAAATGTAAACAGTGAAATTAAAGAAACAAACATTTATTTTTAACGTAAAAAATGTATACTACAGTCAGGGCCGGGCGGGGACTTTTGGTCTGGGGGCAGGGGTCCGAAAAATCGGCACAGCTACCTGTGCCGATTTTTTGCAAAATTTTTTTTCCGAAAATCCACAGGGGGCCCACGTTCAACTTTTTTCAAAAAATTTTTTTTCTGGGGAGGGGGGGGATACCCCCCCTCCCGTCCCCCCCGCTCCCGGCCCTGACTACAGTTAAATTTGCCAAATCAAACTTACATGGGCTGGTAACCGTTTATAAAATAGCTTCATAATTAGCTTATGAAGTAAAACTATTCAGACGATGGTATTAACACTATTAAAACGCGGTTCGACACAGAGAGTCGATGTAGTGAGAGTGCATGGTTAAATATTGACATTTTGTACACAACGCTATAATTACGCAATTCATTCATCGCTTATAATGCATTCTATGATCTCTAGATTTCATGTACATTTTATTTCGTGTTTATAAAGTAAAAAATTTATTTTACAATAGAAATTTTTTCAGGCCTATGGTCCTGCCAAACGTTTCTTCTTTAACCTAAAATCATGCCGAATTATTCCAATACATCGTATCATCATTCTTAAAAACCAAACGCTATGTAGTTTAAACTTTATTCCTATTTCACTAATTTCAAGTTTCAAATTTCATTTTATTTTCAAGTTTTGGAATGTATCTTCTTTAATTGTATGGTAAAAAATAAAGTATTACTTTCAAAAAATAATTTTATAAATATTTCAAATTTTCTTAACGTACCCAAAAATCGAAAAAAATTATTTAAATGTGTATGTGTTGTTTTTATATTGTAACATTGTACTTTAATAATCGAGTGTATCTTTATGAAGACACCCTTCCTTTTATATTGTTACACTCGTTTCTAAATTATTCAATCTTATTTATGTACATATTGTCGTTTTATTATGTTCTTTTACCCGTTTGAAGATTGTTTTCAATAAAATTATATACAACAAGATATTACGCTTCTTGGATGGTGTTACCCGAAGAGGATTCGCTCTGAAAAAGTACAGTAAGATACTGTAATATCAGTAAAGAAACAGTTACATGAAAGATTGAAGTAATGACATCAAAAGAACTATGGCAGAAAGAAAAGAGACGACAGAGAAAACATGTCAAACGTCACATACAGCGACCACAGTAGCGTGAGATTGATGTGTCCGGCGAGAATGCCACTTTTCCTTTACACACTCCCAGAACGGCAACTCCAGTTCGTTGTTGAGTCTGAAATGAAACATTTAAATCAACAAATAAGATCATAAAAGTAGTAAAAATATGTTGGAAATTAAGTTTATATTAAGTATAGGCTTTGAAATATAGTATGTGGTCTGAAATACTATTGGGTAACTACCCAGAGACGATATAAACCTAGCCATAAAGTATGTCATTGTAACAGTCGTAAATTAAAAGTATTTATTGCTACTACAAGATCATTAAAAAAGGATGTAACCTTGTTCACATATACCGCAAAAAATCTGACCTAAAAAATAAAATTAACAATTTTTAAATGCTTTTTAATTTTAGAGCTTTTGTGATAGTGCAAAAATATTCAGAAAGTGAAAATATGACTTCTTTTTTCCTTTGTATTATATATCTTGCGAAATTGATCATGGTGTTTGATCAAAGTACCATAACTATAGTAGTTACCATTTCAACAGTAACAGGTTTTGTATATCTTTTGTTTCCTTCAAAAGTAACCAAAAGTTGTCAACTTTACTAATATTATTCTGCGTACAAAAGTGTCTTTTTTGATGCTGATTTTTACATATAATTCACTTTAGTACAACATGTACACTATAGTAACGCGGTTTCACTACATCAACAGAACTGTCACTTACCGGCCTGGAATAATGTTTGCTTCTAGCCAACTGACAGCTTTTATCACAATAAAATTCTGAAGTATTGAGTTTTTGCGGTCACGGTAGGTATCGACTTCACAGAAGACGTGATACATCCTGAACATGTTTACATTTATACAACAATTGTACATATCTCTATTTATATGTTTATGTTTGTGACATATCTATGTATATAGCTAAGTCACTCAATAAGGTTTTAATGTGTAAAATATGTTTTTAAAGCTTCAATTACATCTAAACAGATACCTATCTAGCGGAAACATTTACAGTGTTGATTCAACGTGATCATCATAAAGCAGAGTAAAGTAAACAAACTTACGAAAAGATACCAATAGACAGCCAGTAAGCAAATAATACGTCGATCGTATAATGAGTTCGGCTTAATACCATACATATCATACCAGTGTACATGAAGATTCTAGGCAATATACTGACAAGCTTCCATCGTCGTGGAAGGTAATACTCGACGGTTAAGTAGCTAATCACCATTACTAAAGTATGGCCGGAGAAGAGGAGGTCTCCACATAACATCTTCTCCTCTATGTCCTAAAGTATGACATTTTTGTAAAAATTGTACTATTCAACAGTTTTAAAATTTTATAACAATTTTAGCATACTGTAACATTTATAAAAGATTGAGTTCCCACCTGAAACCCGATATGAATAGTTTGCTCGAGAAACCGTTTCCAGTAGACAGAGAACGTTCTTTCTGAAGGCCCTAGCTGCGCCCTGCACTTTTCCTGATTATCAGCGTAGGCTGAGGGTAGTTGTGTAGCCATCATGGAAAACGTCCTCATCCAGTACAAACACCCTAATATAAAGAATATCCTCCGGGCTACAATGACCCGTTGTTTATGTAATACCATGACTGATATCATGGTAGCTGAGCATAGGAATACCATGATATCTCCTATCCGATGTGCCCAACTCTGCTCAGGAATGAATGACATTATCAAGTCGGGTAACGGCTCTCTATAACCAGAATACTACAAGATACAAAGCCCTTACCGTCCGACGAAGTCATGGATAAATGCTAATGCCCACCAGTTAGAGAAGCCGGCCAGAGCCAAGTATGCCAAGACTAGGACAAACTTGTGGGGCTCAGGGGTCAGGTCGAGACCCATTGGTTGAGAGTACAAAACGTATCTTTCTAAAATACCATAGGGGTTACTTTGGTTTGAAAATAATATTTATTAGACTCAAGTGTCCGAAGTACAGATATCAGAAATATATTACTTTATATAAACAAACGTATATATTTATATATAATATATATATATGTATAAATATATAAATGAATGTTGTAATTAAAGTGTGATGGCTAAACATTCCAGTGGCTAGATTTACATATAAGAATTAGTGACTCAAGGTACATATATGACACTGTTCTAAACCGAACAATGTGTTATGAATCCACCAGACATGACTCAGTTCTACAACAGTCTACCAAGTTCAACACTTTAACTTAAACATTTCAAAGCTAACTTCAGCCGATTGTAGCGACGAAACCAACTCCGTAGACTTGTAACCAAACAACTTCAATATAATAAGAGGGAAAACAAAAGCCACGTTTCAAGGAAGTGACCACACAATCTCAAGTCATCTGATGGATAACATAAGCTGTGGGATAACAAGGATAACATTACCTACCCTCATCTAGCATGACTCCGTGAGCATAGTCCCGAAATAATTCGATTTAAGGCCCGTGGGAGGACATTGATCAGTTTAACGTTTTCTTTACTTGAGTTTTTTGTCCCCCCCCCCCCTTGTCTGTTCGCCCCTTTTCTTCTGGACGACCTCGCGCACCCAAAACACGTAAATACGGTTTAAAATGGAGTCGATTCGGAAAAAGCCTCAAACCCGAATGTAAAATTGTCAGAGCGAATATTATGACGTTTTTTTTTGGTTTTGCGTCCCTTTCTTCGCCCAAAATCCCCCCTGAAGATTGGGAACATCATTAATTTCAAAAGAGAAAGGAAAAGACCCGCCTTCAGGTTCAGAGTTCTTTGTAAAAGCCCTCCGGTATTTCGAATTCAAATCAGTTTCCGAAATCACTCCGAAAGTAGTTCAACAACCATGAGTCAGGAAGCACAATATTCGCGGTTTTTACTGTTGTGGTTTTCAAATTCAAGTCGTAAGCTTGTTTTTAAGTGGATTAGTTTTTGACTATTTAAAATACGACACAAAAGTTTTGTATTTAAAACGTTTTCTGTTCACCTTTATCTGAAGACGACTGATTTATGAAACAGTTTTGACAAAATATGGGTCTCAGAGCGAAAGTTAAAAAAGATATTTGCAAAGTTATTGCGGTCGAAAAGTACATAGAATTGATTTCATTTTGCAACTTTTTGTAGACTTCATAAAAGTTTTTAACTTTTTCTGCCATAAAATATAATCTTTGGTCAAATTTATATACTCTTTAAAAGCTCTTTATGCCAAGACCAAAAAGTCTGCAGAATCCATAATTTATTATAGGTAACGAGAAAAAAACTGCAAGTTTAAACGAAGTAGCTGCGACAAAACCGACAATTTAAACCTTAGTTCAAACGCAACACTAACAATGATAATGTTTTAAACTCCCGAAATGTTATACATCATATTGCGGCTCTTTTGTTTGATCAGCCAAAACAAAAATAAAGGTTTCAAAAGTTATGCTAATGACAGGCTTAATACCTGATCAGAAGGTGTACGAATCAAAGTATTAAGCTGTACATGTGTGTACATATAACAAGAGAAAGGTAATTAACTCACAAATAAAACAATAACTATTTAAGAGACCTATTGACCAAAACCATATATTAACCATGTCTGATTACTCCCAAAGATTACCCTGTTTACCTCCAAACTCAAAAATGTACTTATAGTAGACAAATATTGATATGAGTCAGAAAACAAGACTACTATCAAGACAACAGAGTGTGAAACTTGCCTGGATCAGCTGGATGCGAGAAGGCCATCGTGAACACCTGACGCCACAAAGAAACGTTTAATAATAGCCGTTCTGATGTTATTATGCATCACTTCGAGAGGGAATGATAGTTTATCGGTAAAAGCACTGATTAGTCATTCCAATTCTACAAATTGTGTTATTTATGTTGTTATCACCGTCTCAAAAAATAAATCAAAACGACGTGGTCACTTTCTCAAGACTACACGTCTAAAACAATGTTCTTTTTCAAATATTATACTTGAGAAACCTTCCTTTTTTAAATAAAACCCTTTTAGAAATAGTTTTAAAGATATTTTAAATAAAGCTCCTCTAAAAAACGTCCCCTCCTCCCCACAATTGGACTTTCTAACCCAAACAACATCCTTCTCAAGAACTTTTCCTTGTTTTAGCCTAATTCAGTTACTCAGTTTAGACCGATTTCAAAGATTTGCCAATTAATTAAACATCCACAGACAGTTGCTGACGGCTAATAGACTTTATTACATTAGGTTATTCGAAAACAAGTACTTTTGCTAATAAACATAAAACGGTATTTTTACTTGGCCCAATTCCTCCAATTTCTTCGAGTTCAAAAGGACGGCCAAGCCATACACAACATCAAGAAAATAAATATTCCTTAAAAGCATGAATACAAATGCTGGAAATTATTGTAAAACATCTTGTTTATAATATCAATAACCTGGTTTTCAAAGTTTTCTTATCAAAATTACAAAAAATATAAACTTGGGCGCAGCTTGAGATAAAAAACAAAATTTTGTTTTTCGAAAATAAATTTTTGTAAAACTTTGATATAATAAACGCGTTATAAAATTTTTATCTAAAGTATTCTGTAACGTTTATTTACATTACTCATAACAAGCGTTCAAAATTTTTTTTTCGCAATTTTTACTTTTAAAAATTTATAGGTTCGCGAATTTTTTTTTGGAATGTCTTTACCTATCTTATTATAGCTTTGATCCTTGAAAGTTAAAATAAAGAACAAATAAAGGTAAATAAGTATTATGGGAAGGTTTCACCTCTTGTATTTGTTATAAAGTCTCTTTTTTTACGGTTAGAACGTATTTTAGGTACCAAAAACGTTGTCGTCGTATGTTTTATTGCATTTTCCCAATACATATTTGATGCCACTTCCACGTGCATTCCCGAAAACAGTTTTTGCCAGAAGCCGTTGCTATAAATCAGTTTAATTTGAAGGAACGCATGTTGTTATGAGAACAAGGACGAACACGAATGTAATTAGACTTGTAATCGCTTAATCTGACACAACTCTGCATCAGAATCTAAACACGTTTGCTTGTTTTGAGGAGCCCGTTTGTTTCTCTTTGTCCTGATTTCCGAAAAAACTATTCAAGAATCAAAAAAGGGAAAAAATTATTTTAAGAGCGCGCACTTCGCTTAAACAACTGATCTTCATCATCATGGTGAATGGAGGTGAAAAGACACAGGAACGTTCCGTTAGCCTCAAAGGGTCAACAATGTGTTGTTGTCATAAAATGTCGCTCCTCCTCTTATGTTGCAACCGGGTTTTCATATAAGAGCATTGTTCTTCCAAATTGACAGACTCATTCGGGTGCATTCTACTGTCGGTTGCTTCAGAATGCTGCTCGGCTACGTAAGTTGTCGGAATTCATAGGGTTCAAATGTTTGCAGGCCGTTTTGGTTACTGTAGCTTTTGTTTTTTGTTTTCAAACCGGTTTTGAGTATTTTGGACTATTTTATATTACTTTGGACAGACTTTCTAAAGCTTTTGTATTAGTTGAGGGTTTTTTGAACCTTTGAAGTTTATTAGTACAATTTCAGGTCTTTCTATTACTAATACCTTTACTGGTATGGCCTAACGCCGATGCAGAACTGAACGTTCCACAAATACTTTTAAATGAAAAGAACATCGTAAGTCATCATTCGTAAGGTTTGTACTGTGTACAACAATAACCTTTAGCATTGAAAGAAATGTGTACTATAATACTGCTTATAGGGTGGTGCTGGAGTGAGAGCACGTCTTTCAAGAAAAGGTATCCAATATGTGAGTGAAACTCTGGCTGGAGCCTTGATTACTGAGGTCGTTACCGCTCCATTAAGTCTAGATCCTCAGGGTCTAACGGTACGTTCAAATGACAGTAATTTTATGATTATTTAAGTTTACATTATAATACATTTTTTGTTTTGTAAAATTATGTTTAAGACGAACAGTGGAAGAATACTCTTGTCTGATATGACCTTAAACATGAAGAGTTCAAGACACCAACTTCTGACCGACATTCGAGCACCCGACACTATTATTGTCAAGTTTGTTCGACTGGAACTGACGTAAGTTAAGGTTGCAAGATACGTCTAAAAGTTATGTTGATCATTATCATCTTTCATTGCTACAATAATTTAGTCTTTGTTAATTGTTACTTTATTACTATAGTATTATTATGTATAACTACTTGTAATTTTACAGTGCTAATGCTAAACTGTCAAACGAAGCGAAGGAAAACAAGGGAACCGCTAAGATTGGATCTAACGCCATCAACCTTAACTTGGAAATTACTCCAACTAGAACCACTCAAGGTGCACCAAACATGAAACTGCGTCAGTGCAAGATTCTAAACACCAAATTCGAGGTTACTATTGCTTCGGAAATGACTGATGAATCTTTGAAAGTAAGGATTATTCAATTTTTTATAATTTTTATAACGTGCTTTGTATTACTTTATATACCGTAATCAAATATTTAGTTTATTATTTCGTTTTTTTAAATGATATAAAACTTTTTAGAGCGCAATTGAAGCTGATGCGCACGATTTGTTCGAAGGTCTCTTGTGTTCCCGAATTGAGTATGTGATTGAAGATCGTGTTAACGACAGGTTCGGCCTTCTCTCTCCTAAAATCACTTTGGCTCACATCAATGATGATGAACTGATAAGAGACTTGGCCGATCGTTTGAGAGCTCGCCGTCAACGTAGACAATATCCAGGAGGATTGGGCGCTGGCATTGGATTGCCAATGGGAATGAGACTGGGAGCTGGTCTCGGACGCAAGAAGAGATCACCTGGATGGGGCATGGAGAGCTTCATGCCAAGAGTCAATACTAATGGCTGGGAGCACGGTATGAGACTCAAAACCAATGGATGGGAACGAGGAAAACGTTCTCCAGGTTGGGGAATGGAAAATGTGATGCCAAGGGTTAACACCAATGGATGGGAGCACGGAATCCGTGTTAATACCAATGGATGGGGAAGAAAAAAGCGATCTCCAGGATGGGGAATGGACAGTTTTATGCCAAGAGTCAATACTAACGGTTGGGAACATGGTATGCGATTAAACACCAACGGCTGGGAGAGAGGAAAACGTTCTCCAGGATGGGGAATGGAAAATGTGATGCCAAGAGTCAACACCAATGGCTGGGAGCATGGAATCCGTGTCAATACCAACGGTTGGGGACGCAAGAAGAGGTCTCCAGGATGGGGAATGGACAGTTTCATGCCAAGAGTTAACACTAACGGATGGGAAAACGGAATTAGAGTGAACACCAATGGCTGGGGAAGAAAGAAGAGATCTCCCGGTTGGGGCATGGAGAGTTTCATGCCAAAGGTTAATACTAATGGATGGGAGAATGGAATCAGGCTTAATACTAACGGCTGGGAACGTGGAAAGCGATCTCCAGGATGGGGAATGGAAAACGTTATGCCAAGAGTCAACACCAACGGATGGGAACACGGAATCAGGGTTAACACCAACGGATGGGGAAGAAAAAAGAGATCCCCTGGCTGGGGCATGGAAAGTTTCATGCCTCGCGTTAACACCAACGGCTGGGAACATGGTATGCGATTGAACACCAATGGCTGGGAGAGAGGAAAGAGATCTCCAGGTTGGGGAATGGAAAACGTTATGCCAAGAGTCAACACTAACGGTTGGGAGCATGGAATTCGTGTCAACACCAATGGTTGGGGAAGAAAAAAGCGATCTCCAGGATGGGGCATGGACAGTTTCATGCCAAGAGTCAACACTAACGGATGGGAAAACGGAATTAGAGTGAACACGAACGGCTGGGGCCGTAAGAAGAGATCTTCTGGATGGGGAATGGACAGCTTCATGCCAAGAGTTAATACCAATGGATGGGAGAATGGAATTAGACTCAACACCAACGGTTGGGAACGAGGAAAACGTTCGCCAGGTTGGGGAATGGAGAATATAATGCCAAGAGTTAACACTAACGGCTGGGAACATGGCATGCGATTGAACACCAACGGGTGGGAGAGAGGAAAAAGATCTCCAGGATGGGGTATGGACAGCTTCATGCCACGTGTCAACACCAACGGTTGGGAACACGGTATGCGATTGAACACCAACGGATGGGAGAGAGGAAAAAGATCTCCAGGATGGGGTATGGACGGCTTCATGCCACATGTCAACACCAACGGTTGGGAACACGGCATGCGATTGAACACCAACGGATGGGAGAGAGGAAAGCGTGATGCTGGAGTAATCCCTGGATTTAACGTGGTAAGTGTTTGTATTTGTCTAACTAAACTGTTTATTTATGAACTGATGATTTTAGTATTTCTAATGTCATACATTTTAGTCCCACATGGACACTTTGTTCCTGGACTACACCATCATGGGTGACATGAAGGTCACCAACCTTGGCCTTGAGATCGAAAGCAGTGGAGAAGTTTCTTTAAGAGGAAGAGGTGGTACACCATTTGGACCTGTACCAGCTCCACTCCCAGAATCTGTCCACGAAGATTCCATGCTTCAAATGATTGTTTCTGACTACATGGTCAACTCTCTCATGTATCACGGTCACACGTATGTTTATCTTCATTGTTTTGATATTGTGTTAAGAATATGTTGTGTTAGCTACATTTTTATTATTTTTCCTAATTTCTATAACTATATTTTAAGAGACAATTAATTTTAGTATTGGGCTCTTCAAGACCCGTGTAGACCCTACAACTCCTCACTTCGGTCCCATCATGAAGACATCGTGCTCTCTGTCTTCTGGAATGCTCTTCTGCTTGGGAGATCTCTTCCCAACTCTGAGAAAGACCTACCCAGAACGTCGTTTGGTACTGTTCTTCAACACTCTTCAAGCTCCAGTTATCGTGTTCCACCCGGCTTCTTCCGGAGGCATCAAGTTCTCGCTGATTGGTCGGATTGCTATCTTGGTGGTTCACCCTCAAACCAAGGCTGAAGAACTGGTGGCCGAGATGAAGATTGACGTCGACGCTCAGATGAAGATGAGATTGTCTAGCTCCATGGTCAGACCAAAAATTTCTTTGGACAGAATTAAGTTGGTATGTTGTTTTGTCATCTTATTATTTTTTGCAGTATTTTGGTTTATTTTTCATTAAATTACGATTTATGTTATGTTATACTTATTATATTTAGAAATATAAGGTTTGGAACATTAATGTATAATGTAATTGAATTGTCATCGTTTTCAGACAACAATGTCTCCCGGAATCTTGTTGCAAAACGAATTGGATGACGCTGTTTTGTTGGCGAGAGAAGTGCTCCAGAGAATGGTGAACGATCTTCTGAAGGACGGAATCCCAATTCCAGTTCACCCACTCTTCAAGCTGGTCAAGCCAAAGGTAAGGTCTGATAATAGTAATGATTTGATTGAAAATGCCATCTAAGGGACAACAGAAGCATAAAGGTTACATTTTTTGTCTTAAAGATATCATATCCTATTCCACTGCTTACAGGTAAAAGTAGTCGAACGTGCCCTCCTCCTCCAGACCAACTTCGAACTGAACGAACGTCTGATGCGCCAATTGACAGCCGGCGACCTCGAGCGACGACGCCGACTGTAAGAAGCGGCAAAACAGCCATCTCTACGGGTTTCTCGACAATGGAACAATGGGTGTGACAGGAAAGATCTCAACAACCGAACCTGTCTTCTTTATAATAATTGTTTGCTCAGCGTCGTTAATTTCTCTTTTGTCTCCCGACCCGCGCCCGACCCCTTATTTGTACAAAAAGTGGATCAGTCTCGATCTCGAGTTTAACTTTATTTATTTCTTTTGTTTGTAGATATTGCGAATCAACTTGTGAAACCATAAATGAAATAACAAAACCTTCGGATTATGGGGAATATCTCTTGATGTTGATATACATGTATTGCCATCGATAACAAGATATATTTTAATATGTTGATTTGTCTGTTTATTATAGTAATAATTTATTAGTTATATTAATGCTTACTCGAACAACAATATTATGACTCGTCGAACTTGACCTCCTTCAAGTTCAGCTGATTCTCGAAGTCGTTCAGCTCTGGTAGAGGACCAGCCATGTCCAAGAAGTCTTCAGCGTTCTCTTTGCTGTCTTCTGGAGCTTCTGATGTGGTGGGTTCGGAGCTTTCAGACGGAGTAGTGTCTTCAGAATCCGAGTTGCTGTTGGAATCATCTTCTTCTGAATCGTACTCTTCTGATGGGGCTTCAGTGGTAGTTGTGGTACGTCTTCTGTGATGTTTCTTATGCTTCTTTGACTTTGTTTTTCGTGGAGCTACTGTAGTTGTGGTAGTAGTAGCTTCTTCTTCTCCACTTCCTTCTACAGCTCCGTTTCCATCTTCGGATTCTGGGATCTGTTGAATTGGGCCGTCGACTACGTTTTGGAACGATTCGATTTCAGCTGAATCCATTTTACTTAACCCTACGCCATCTGAAAGTGGAATGTTTGGTGAGAGATATAAGCATGGGTTTTATGCTTTTATTTTTCTACTTGAAGTTAAACAGTTTCCCTCGTTATTTGCCTTTAAAGTAACTCCAAAAGATGGGACAAAACCTACTTTCCAAGTTTTCCTCCTCGAGCTTCGGTCTGGCAACAACATAACAAGTAACAGTAAGAAGTAACAATATACTCAAATGTTTCATTTTGGATGAATAACAACGTATCCGAAGGCGAACTTCCTTTACATCTACTTTAGTGGGTCATATCCGTTTTTCGATGCGCGTTGCAGTAAGTAGACATCTTTAAAATTCGCCTGAGCACGTATCGTCGCCCCGCCGTGGCTTTTCAGAAGTCTTCTTGTCTGATAAGAAGTTCTTGAAGAGTAGATAGTAATGGTTGAGGTAGTACTTGCAGTAGTGTAACAATGGAGGATCACAGATTATGTTGATGATGGGATCCATGCCTAATCCTGAAAGTTGATACCGTGAGTTTGGTTGAATAAAAGGTAAAAACAGGATTTAAAACCAGAATTATAAAAAGAAAACGTTTGAAAGTGGCATAACTTACCTAATAACCATAACCACAACGATATACTTCCGAAAAGCTCAGCTTTGTAGAACAACTTTGCCTTAAGAAATGTTTTACACGATGACTTCTCATCATAGCCAAGCTGTCTTAACTCATCCAAGTCCAATAGTGCTGCTATTCCTATTCCGATCAGTGGTATCTTCCAGATACTAAAGGTAAGAAGATTAAGAGCCAATCTTCTTAACGTCTTCATGTTCCGTGACATTGTTGTGTCATCAGCGGCGTTTCGAAACTTGTCTTTCATGCGTATCCTGATAAGCATGAAAGAGTAGAAGAAGATTACGGAGAAGTAGGACAGTGATATCACCACAACGAAGCAGAAAAACACCGGAAACTGACAGGTGTGGTACTCGCAGTCGATAGGGGTAGTGTCGGGGTAAAACAAGGTCGCAAGGATAAGGCCTAACCCTAACTGAAATTAAAAAATTATCAGAAGTATTATAAAAAGCGATAAAAATAAAACAACAAGTGATATCACGTATGACTCCAACAAAACCTACCGACAACACTCCCGCCACCATCCAAATCCCGAATATCAACCACAAACAAAACCTCATCACAACTTTCATCTTGTACCACAACGGTCGTGCTACAGCCTCATACAACAGCCATGTCATGACGATATAAGTGCCAGCATGAGTGAACACACTCACTCCACCAAGGCACAGTAATATGCATGTTGTCCAGTAACTCAACCCTCCAGCTTTCCAAATAATTAACAGGACGTAGAATAATATCTGGGTAGTCAGCGTGCTCAAGGCACGGTTTATTAAAAACGAATAGCGTTTTCGAGAACTGCAAACAAACAAAATGCGATAAATTTTTAAAATCAAACATTTCTCAAACTTAAAACTACAAATTTTAAATTAAATCACGGTTTTTAAAATTAAAATAATTAAAGCCAAGCTTGAGGAATTACAAAATTTGATTTAAAAACTTTTCAAATCAAAAGACAATTATGAATATTGAGTTACCTTTTTCTCCTGTACAAAACCAGTTTAGCCACAACATAGATAAAGATAATATTGAACAGTAACGTCAGACTAGAGAGTATGAAAGGGACCACGGCAAGAGAAAGTTGCCGAAAGTCTTTCGTCGTGTGCAATTCCTGAAACACATAAGGTCACAAACACAATATTATAATACATCGCAAAGAAAGCTATATTATACCACAAATAACGTTATTAAGTAAACACTTTTGTCAAAACTACAATCTAGACAACAAAAGTCACTATTTTCATTACCAGACCCGATAAGGAGCTTTCTCTAATTAGTTGAAAGTAGCTTTAACATGCTCAAGTTAATGTGATTACCTCCAGGTACCAGCACGGGTCCTCGTCCTCCGTGAAGTTATGACAAGGTATGTACTTGTCATCCTTGATCGGAGTATACTCTTCGCAATGCTCGAACGGGTTGATGTTCATTCAAGGAGCGACGGAACTAAGGCATTCGGCCGATATTGTGATCGTAGATAATAGAGGCGAGGTCGGAGGGAACGCGCAGCCGTCTATTTGTTTGTTCTTCCGCCCTTATTACTCATTCAAACTTTGACAGAACTGTTGTTAACAATGAGGCCATGTACAATAAGGTATACAACTTGATGTCATTTCATTTTGATCACAAAACTTTCCATTGTAATGTGATACTAATGTGATGGTAATAATGGTATTTTGAGTCCTAGCCTAATTTTTAACTATTATCAATTCTTTTGTAATTTATATTACCAAAAACGTCATTTTGACACTTTCATATACATTTTTATTTTCAAAAATTCGAAGTTGTTACCTAATCTTGCAAAAATGATGTTTGGTAGCTTCAAAATTATTGTTTATTCAGAGAAAAAGTTACTAAGAAGCGTAGCAAGAATAACATTTTCAAGATTGCAAGTAAATAATTTAAACACTTCCGGTCTTAAACACATGCCAAATTTAAATGACTTATTGGTAGTACTGTAGTGTTAGTAAACAACTAGGTAAACACCTTTAAACATGCATAAAATCACAAAAAGGCTTATTTCGCAATTGTTTACTTTGTTTCAAAATTTTACGGACACTTTTTATCGTATAAAGTGGAATCGGCAGGCTGCAACCAGTTTTCTCATCTTTCATTATATAAAATGTCGGTATAAAAGGCTATGAAAGATTTTTATAAAACATTTTATTGTTTCACCTTGTTTATTCTGCAAACCAACAAAAGATGAGTTAGAGAAACGGAAATACGAATTGAGTTCGTATTTTGGCCACATGAAGATCATGGAAGCCCTCCGGGGCCGACTGATCGCGAACTTGTTATAAAAATGAAAAAAAGGCCAATGTTCGGCCCCCGGCAGAACTGATTGCAGCTGGCCTGATCCCGGCCGAACAACCCATCCGTTTAAATCGGCGTCAAAGGCCTGTTCCCTTCTCTACCGCCATGTCTGAATATCTCGGCTGGCGTGAACGAAAGCCCCCGCGAGAGTTCGACAACTCCAAGTTCGACCGTGACATTCTACCAGGAGGGCCGGTGACGCAGGGATTCGAGAGTTATGTCAAGAGTATCTTCAGACCGAACGCTGATAACAGTCACACTGGTGGAGAAGGTGGATCGTACACTTTCAGTCAACACAGTAGAGGAGAACTGCCGGGAGGTGCTTCTGGACTGACTGGAGATCCGAAAGTCAGCGCTTCTGCTTTACTCAAGATGGAGGAGCATCTGGGGAAGGAGGCGTTGGATGATTCGTGTAGGTTAACACTTGTTTACGCTTCAATTGTCAATTGTTTATTATTTAGGTAACAATTTGGAACAATCCAAATAGATTACCTGTTTACTTTTTGAAAATAACATTTTTTATTTTGGTAAATAAAAGACGACTTTATATTTCAGTGGATCATGAAATCTTGTACGACGATGCGTTGCCTCGAATGTATTCAGAATTAGGAATCACGTCTCCTTCTGAACGAAACTACCGACAGTATCCAGTATACAACCCTAAATCTTCGAGTGAGTACTTCGCCACAAGAAACAGTACGTTCAATCCGTCGAGGTATTCAGAAGATAGCTACAAGGTATGATTTCATTTAATACAATATTTTGACCAATTGTGGTCTATAGTTTGTACATGTTTGTTTATCTAATATTCTTTTTATTTGCATAAGAATTGTGTTGTCCGCCAGTTCGACAATTATGATAAAACACATTTCTCGCCAATCTTAATGTAAATTATACTTAAATCAAGCACAAAAATGTAATTAAGTACATGCTTCAGGGTGCTTATGATTCGTACAAGGAGAAAACAGAAGACGGCTGGCGCCAAACGGATCGTCAGATGTTGGTGGACTACAAAGACTTCAACAGTTCGCCTTTGTCACCGTACATGTACCAACAACATCCGTATGTTCAACGACAAGACACCAGAATCGTAGGTTCGAACTTTGTCCAGCTGACTACTCGGCCGCGAGACCGGTTTCTGGACAAGATAGACAAGACCTTGGCCGACGTGCGAGCCATGCCAAGGTTTTAAGAGCCTAATTACTGGGCCGACTTCTGAAACTTTATGGACCTCTTAAGGAAAGACCGACCCCCTGTAAAAATGTTTATGTATCTCTAATAAATAACACTTCTCTCTAAGCAAGAGCAATGAGCGTCATACAATATTATTACAAAATTCTTTACACTGACATTTCCGACACCGCACTTCCATTAATAAATAGTTGGCCAACGCTGCTTCATCGTTCAGTAGCTGTAGACGGGCGTAGGCAGACACTGGAGCCTATCATTCGGCGCCCGACGGCACAATAACCACTCTTCTGAAATACGTTCGTGGAAGAGAGCAAGTATAACATGATATTAGATTATGGGGCTCTAGTTAAATTGGATTAGGCCAAAGTTTGGGGTCTCAGAAGTTGCAACACAACTATCAAGCTACTGTAATTTATATTTAGAAGTTGTACTCTTCGTTTTACTTAAAGGTGACGTGAAAGAAAGTGTGTTTCTTAGTGTCGGTATCAAAAACTGCTTACTGTATAGTACACTTAAAATAAACATGTTTTGCCGCTAAACCAGTTTAAATACAAAATGTCAAAACAAGTATTACGCTTCTGAGCCCGACTGATGATGTAATGTATCATAGTCAAACCAAATCCACACTAGAAATTAGCGTAAGACACTGGAGCGCTACGTAAACAAAGAATAAACCTTAATTAAAAGCATTAAACCCACAATCCCCCACTGACCTGAATTCTCATCAAAAGCCATTTCTTTCTCCTCAAAGCTGGGCGCCGACCGTTTGCCGTACCGTGAAAGCACAGCCCGACCGTACCGCGACAGTAGCGCGTTCCCTCGCTTCGGCTGTGAAGACCGTTCGAACTCGCCTACTACAACATTGAACAGGACGATGAACAGAAGGCTGAGGCAGGTGATCCAGGACCGAGAGCCCCGAGCTGCCCACAACAACATCCTCTTCTGGTGCTAAGAATGAACAGAAAGAAACCAACCCCACAACTGGCTGACCCAAAAGAAGGCGTGGCCAGTGGCGCCGTACTCAAAGTTTCAGATCCCCCGCGTTGCCGAGTGTGTAGTCGAGTACTCCAGGGGGAACGTCATCACAATAATTGAAAATTTCGTATACACGTACTTAAAAACCTATCAACGCAGCTCGTGTTCAGACATATGCGATAACATACTTACAAAGCTTCCAGAAAGTATATTTCCAAAAAGCTCTTGGTTTACGCAAAATATATCAAGAGTTATTCCACCACTTTTAGGGGCCGGAATTTTTTAAAATCTTCCCGCGCGCTTATCTAATACTATAATAATAAGATTCTAAACTACAGAATAACAATAGTTAACAAAAAATCCTAGATTCTTGCATGGCGCAATACAAAAAATATAAACGATAGCCAGAGTATTGCAGATCAACCACTCCAACCAACGTTGTCACTACTACGTTCTCTAACAAATGAACAATCTTCACTACAAAACTCCCAAGGACATCAATATTTGGAATTTATACAAAAATATTTAACTATACATAAGTATTAAAAGTATTTAATGACTAGTTAAAATACAAACCGGTCATGAAAAGGATGCGTGGCCAAGAGCCCATGACATTTTCGGCAACAAAGGCCATCCGAGGTCGATGAGGCTCATTAACCAGCAAAAGGCCCAACTCATGGCGCTACAGAGATTCTACGAACATCACTTAACGTGACAGCCGAAAGGTTTCCGACCAACATTATGCTTTCGATGTAATATAAATTTTACACACATGATGTATACAACCAAATAAAATTACAATATGAAATACAGTGATTATAGGACTCCGCTAACAACAAGAGCCTCGTCGTAAGGAATTTTCTTAGAATTTAGAAAAATGTTTGCACTGATTCCTATTTAAAAGAACTGGGGATATAACGAACCCCTATCAAACCAATTTTCAGGACCCTTGGGATTCGCTAGGTCGAGAGTTGACTGTAGTTATCGCCCTGACGAGCATTTAATGAAAGATCAATTACACTTCTAGTTGCCATTATCTAAGACGTCTACGAACAATACCAGTATAGAGACATCACTACCGCAACCAAGCTCATGCAAATAGACAAAATACTGGCAGTAGAGTTGAGCTGATGTCGAAGAAACCCGCTGGACCAAGGAGAAGGACAATACAGACGCTGCAATGAGCTCGTACAAACGGGTCATCAGTAAGACTTTTAACAATAAAACAATCGAGAGGTTATCAAATGCTCGAGATGACTTTAGATTGAGTACTTCCGGGGCATCGGAGGCGAGAAGCAACTATCCTGTGGTGAATAATAAGTAGATGAAGAAGCGTCTTCTGAGATCGGTGTGTTTATCCACGGGTGTTTTAGAGCGTCGGTAGCTCTTATTCTCTTGGCGGGGTCAAATTCCAACATCGGCAACAAGAAGTCGGAAAAGCCTCGAGCTTGAGGCTCGGGCCATTGATACTTTTCCACCAAGACGTCGTACAATGACCATGGTCGTAGGTTCGGTATGTGCAGCAAACCGCCAAGCTAAAATTAAAATAACTGTAAATACCATACGCTTAATCGCATAAAAACACTTAATATGAGCTTGCAAATTTTGATTTAATTTGTTTGTGACATCTATTAGTACCCAAAAATAACTGTAGACAGTCAAATAAATGAGGTAATTTACTTACCTTGTTGAAGTACTGCTGCCAATACTTTCCACGTTTAAATATCGAAGCTGGAATGATACCTAAAAGTTCAATGATATGAGCAAGATGATCTTCATCTCTTCCATAAGTTTGTCCTCCATGCGGTTCAAACAGGTAATCTCCTGTTGCCAACTCAAAAGCTATGCAGGCCACACTCCAAATGTCAGCACTAGTATCGTATCCAGCGCCAATAATGACTTCAAGAGCACGGTACTGCCTTGTTTGAATTTCTGATGTGAAGTGTTGTGTCTGAAAATTGAATATTAAAGAATGACACATTTAAAAAATCATATCTAAACAAAAAATTTAAAAACATTAAACTTACTGTCCAACAAGCGTTACCCAAGTCGGCGATCTTCACCTTGGGAGGAATTACATCTCCAAAATCTTCCTCCGGCTCTTCGTTCCTTGGAGAATTAAATGGAGAAGTTCCCAGCAGATGAGACAAAGCATGTTGATGGTTTCCGTTCTGCTGTTGTTCACCGTTTTCTGCTTCTACGGGTTCCTTGTTTTTGTTATTCTTTTTGTTCTTCTGAACATAAGGACATTATACTTAATATAATCAACTCACTTTCTTCTTCTTTTTCGTTTTTGTGTTCGTATTTTCCACATTTTCGTTGTTTGACAAGTTTAGGGTTGTAACTCGAGGAATTGGCGGTAGAGCATCGTTCAACAGGTAATCGGGGATTGCTGAAGACTTAATGGCTTCACTTGGAGAGGCTTCCAATTCTCCACACTCATCGTTAATTGAAATGTTCATCCCTTCAACCTCGTACAGCTGCTTTTCCAGCAATTCGCGTTGCTTCTTTTTCCTTTTCCGCAACTTTTTCTTCTTGTTTTTCGACATTTTCTTTTCGTCAGTCTATAAAAAATCTTGCATTAACAAAAGAAACAACTAAAACATAAAAATAACCATTAAATACAAAATTATTAGTACCCACTTACCTTATACATGTTGCAAGATTCAGTAATATCAGGTTTTAACCCCAAATTCCGTCGGACGATGGTGTCGCGAGCCATTTTTCGAATCTCTGAATGTGTCATTTCAACTAAAACATTTTCTGGTTTCAAGTCAGTGTGAATAATGTTACAATCGTCGTGTAAATAGGACAAGCCTTCCAGTATCTGCTTAATTATTACTCTGACATGTTCCAACATTAGTCCAGAGTAATTTGTCCTTATTATGAGCTTGAGTAAAGTACATCCCAACACTTCGAACACCATGCAAGTATGTTCTCCATTTACTCCCGAGATTTTAAAGCTGTCCAAAAACTCGATCACTCGACTCTTTCCATGATGAGGGCCTTTCTCCATACATTCCCTTAATATCTAAAAGATAACAGTAAACACTTCCACTTTAATAACACCTAAAATTCAAAAATAAAACTAATACTTACGGTAATTTCATCAGCAGCTGATACTGCGTAGTTCTCCGCTGACTTCACAATCTTCAAAGCAACAAATCTGCGAGACTGAGTGTCCCAACATAGCCAAACTGTAGAGAAATGGCCCCATCCAACCTTCCTAATCACGTGATATCTTCCATTAAAAACTTCGCCTATCTGAACAGGGTAATATCCTCCTTTGCAATAGTCTCGTGGATCTTCTTGTTCTTCAGGAGCGTCTCCATTAGCTGGGTCCTAAACTAACATCAGATTTAATGCCTTTACACTTACTTCTGGTAGCCCTTGATCGTCGTACGGCAATGGTGATTCACTACCAGCTGGAGATTGTTGATCCTCCAGACTAGATAAATCATCGTGATAACTGTTGTAAGCGGAGTTCTTGGACATTCTTTATTAAAATCGATCAACCGCGGAGTTTTAGAGATCTCTAGAGAAAGCATTTTCTTTCTTTTTCAGTTATACGTTTGTTTTCGCGGCGGGACTGGAAAAAACTTTCGGAAAATATTTTTTTTCTGAAAAATTTCGCGAAAAAAAAATCAGAATCTTTTAGAAACGAGCTAAAAGATTGCAACGTGTGTCTTCAAAATGATGTCAGAAGACGCTCCACCATCAAGGAATCAAGAAATCAGTATGTTTTTGGTTTAGTTTTACCAATTTTAAATATTTTTTTAGTTTTAAATTTAAAATTTTTTGTTCAGGTATCTCGATGTCTCCGACAGCCCCTGGTGTCGCAGAAGTTGAACCAAATCAAGACGATAGTTTTGCGTTATCAAATGGTTCTACTAGGACAAAGATCTGCGCTAAGTAAGTGACACTATCTATGTTGTTGATGTTTTCAGCCCGGAAATGGCACAGATAGCAGCTAAAGTGGAATCTATAAAGAACTGGACAGTAAACAGGTTTAAAACAACTAAACATTCTGTATTTGAGCAGCTGGGAAAGGTACGATTACCTAAATTGATTATATTTTACATTTTAGGTTGAGAAAACGATTGACACTGATATGGACAGCCGGATAAACAACTTGAAAGACCTTCACAATCGCTACAGAGATGTTTTAACAGCGGCAAAGACATACTCAGATCATATACAAGCACTAAACACTTCTCAACGTATTCTTTCTGAATCTATCTATCAGCTTTCCTTAAAGGAGAACGATCTAAAACAAACCCTGACAGATCGGAGTGAAGTTCTTCGAGCTTTCAGTCATAATGGGGATGCACTTATCAAGTCGATTGGACACTTTGTGTCTTCATTGGAAACTCTTTGCAATAAAACGATCAAAGACACGATGTTAACCATCCAGGTCTACGAACAGGTAGGAGTTGTTTTTTTATAACAAATGGTTCAAATGGTTTATGCGATGTTTTATTTATAGTCTTACCTTTAGGCACGGTTAGAATATGACGTTCACAGACACGAACTGGGTACATTAAAACAAAATGTGGATGCTGATCAAACCAAGATTCCAGAGTTCGAAAGTCAATGTAACGAACACAAGAAGAAGTACGAGCAGCTAAAGGAAGATGTTCGGGTAAGTGCTTTTCAAGTTTTTATGGAGTTCATTGTTTAAATTCATGAATTTTTTTTGTTCAAACTTCAAAATTGAGTATTCATTTTGTAGGTAAAAATTGCGCTTTTGGATGAAAATCGACTAAAAGTAATGCGAACACAGCTCAAGCAGTTAGAAGACGGGTTGTCCCATTGGTTTGGGGAAAATATTAAAAGTCTCGAGCAGAACAGTCCTCGAGAGCCGCCAAATCACGATGAAATGACATTTAGCCGCGGGGAAATGAAGCCGGCCTCTTTTTTGGAACAGTAACGCCAAATGTATTTAATTTATTATCAGGTCAACAAAGTATTTATAACTATATTAAAACGGGAAATAAACCTTCACTTTTACTCTATCGCGTAGCTCACACTTTCTGTCATAGCCAATCGTATCTTCTCCTTCAGCAAGGTAAAGGATGGGTAACATGGAAGGTCGAGGCGGTTGAAACACGTATGGGCACGCGGTAGGCTGTTAGAATCTCCCCAGCGGTGTATCGTGAACTTTTTGAGGCCGTCTGAACCTCGTAGCGCTTTGAATCCTTCGTGTGGGATCGTGGTTGTTCCGGTTACAAACTGTAATTGTTAGATGCATTTTAAAATTCTATTTTAGATAACAAAATGCACTACTATTATAATAAGGTATGTTCCATTGGGGGGATGTCTAGTATTCCTACCTGTAAAAGTTGTAATCGTTCTGAGTTGTTCAATTCGAATAAAAACTGCCAAAACCATCGTATCACTGGATGGGTATCGCTGAAGCCGCCTTTGTATTCAGTATTCTTTCTCCAATCATTCAAATCGATTTCTACTGATCCGGACAAAACATGGTGTAGTTCAGAAGACTCGAATATTTTGAGGAACTCACGATCGACTACCTTTAATATTTAGGTATTATTGTATTTTAGGTATTGATATTTTTGGATTTGCTTTCTTACCGAAAATAATCCTCCTAGAAACGCCTTCAGCTGGTCTTCCACATTCTTCTCGATCTTCCACTTCAACATTAACGAGATGAACTGGTCCTTGTTCCCATCTGTCACTAGAATGTCTTTTCCACCAGCTATCAGTTCGACTTCTTCTAGCCGTCCAGCTACTTCCTTTGTTGCTGTAAATGTCATTTCCAAGGCCGGGTCGATCTTGTGGGTCTTGATCCAATTTAACGACTGGTAGAATTCACGATCTGCATCTCGAAGGTCTTCCAACGTGTAAGGTCTGAAATTGTTAACCATTATCATTCAACAACATATTTATCTTGGTTTTGCATATTCAAACTTACTCTCCTAATATGATTTTGTAAAATGCGGTGGTGAAGAAGGTGTCTACCATGCAGTGATGTATTAGGGCCAGTCCAATAACTCGACCAGCTAACGTCATCCACTGATGATAATTATCGACCAGCTTTGACATTGGACTGATTTGTATCGTGTAAGAGTCTACAGCCGAGTATTCGAATAGTCCGTAGTAAGGGTTGAATATTTCCTTCGATAACAGGAAGAACAACTCTCGTGATGGACCACCGTAGTCTAATCTGAAATCGTATGATATTTTATGGTTTACTGCAGTGTGGCTGTTTATTACTATAGTAAAACGTGCCCATCTTCGTCGTCGAATGACACTACCATTTTGTACTTCCGTAAGTATACCTCATCTACTGCCAATATTTTATCGTAAGCATCGTTGAGTAAGTTGTTTCTCCGTAGTTTAAACCTTATTTTACCTGGACCTTGAGCATAACCGGATCGTTGCAACGCTTGGTAGAAGTATTCTGATTTGAGTTCGAACTTTGTTTTTGCTGTATTCGTTTCTGTGTTCTCCATCAGACTAAAGACTACCTATAATTGTGTTTTTATTACTTACCTTAAGGCCTTGATGAAGTCTATATCATTTGCATACTGCAATAGTCCAAGATCACCCCTAACCTTAATGTAGTCCAGCTGTTTACAGATCTTATTTGATATTTCGGGCATCATGGCCTTTACTAGTGTTTTCAGTTCCTTGCTTTTCCGATTGATGTCTAATGTCATCAGAGTAATGTCATCCGTCTAAAATTATTTTTTGTCATGTTTTCTGTTTTTAACAGCTTTACATCACCATTAAACTTACCACGGCATTGTGATGTTTAGGTGGTTCACTGCGAGAACGTATCCGAATCTGAATCTGTTCGGGGTTAGACATAGGCAGTCGAGGATCTAATAAGCCGATGGTTTTGTTGTTGTGATCGACAAAGAACCTCTGGGAATCGTATTTTCGTATTGCTATCTCCCATCCCTTTGGCAGAGGCTGGGTTGAATCTGCGAACATATTCAGAAACCCCATCAGTTCCTTGTTGTTCTCCAATTCTCGGAATTCAACTTTGTTTCTTCTCAACTTCTGTATCAAATACCGAAGGTAGGGACTTTGATTATATACATTAAGGGCTTCCTGAAAACAAGTTGTAAATTATATAACCTATATATTTGTAATATTAATTATACGGCTAGTGTTCTCTTACAGGTTTTTTGTACAAGGTGGTGAGAAAATCGTAGCCTTGTACGAATTTCACGGCTATGGGCAGGTCTTTCTTTGACATTTTGGGGGTGTTAATCACGGTCCGCCGGTTGCTTTTTATGGGTATATTGGCATTTTCTTCTATTTCTCGCTCTAAAACTACTGGAGGATTCCAGGTAGTACGCTTCTGATTGTGGTCAATGTATATTAACCTGCTGTGGCGATCTACCCTAACTTCCCAACCTAAAACAATAAATATTTCTTCAAGGTATAGTAGTGGAAAGAGTTAAACTAGCAATAAAAACTTTGACAAAACTGACCTTTTGGCAAATTTAAACCGCTGGAATTACTCTGCCACGAGTTTCTATTGGAATGTGATGATGTTGTTGTAGACTTTAATGACTTTGTGTAGTTGTTGTTCGAAGTTGAAGAGCCTTCTGAGCGGTACGATGCCTGCAGGTCTTCCGAATTGAGTTCTTGTAGCATTCTCATTGTGTCTGAAAGTGAGAAGACGAGCTTAAAGCGTTTATCCATGGGTTTATTTTTATGGCGGGGACATAAAATGGGGAGACTGACCTTGTACTGACTTTCTTTCAGCCGGCTCGAAGCCACAATAGATTCTAATTGTAGTGTTTAACAAACTGTAGCCATTGGCAGGCCTGAGCGATGTTGATATTGATCTGCAATTGATATTAAACTTTTTTACTTTAATAATTTGGCATAAATTGTCATAGATAGGAAAGTTATAATTGTAAATTCACCTGTTATTGCTGTGAACAATATTGGCAATGCTGATATTGGCTTCACCGATCACTTTGGAGCTGCATTTCCTTTTCTCCTTCAAAGTAATCGTAAGCTCTTTCGACCGGTCAGAAGGAAATCGAAAATCCTGAAAATATTTTTGATGTAAACAGACATAGCGACATGGTAAGATGCGTAAATAAATGTGAGAGATGGGTTACCAGATTGTTCCATTTTGTTTGTGTCGAGACGTTTGTCGTGTAGCTACAGCCAGCACTGTACTCAACTTTCACACAAAACTCTTTGTTTTTGATGTCCAGATTCTCACATACGATGCCTTTGATGACAACGTGGGCGTCTTTGTAGACAAGCACGTTCTCACTTGTAGCACGGACTGAGCCGGCCACGCCAGAGAAGTAGCTGAAATTTAATGTCCATGAAAGTTGGGTTTTAATGTTTACAGAGTAAAAGTGGCTTTAATGTTATCATGTTCTTACCGAAAATTAACGTTAGCAATGTCCTGTTGTTCGTCCATGTGGTCCCACGTGATCTTCCACTCAATCTGACTTTTGGCTTGGCCACAGATGCCGAAGCTTCTGTAGTCGATGTAGTTCAAAGGGTTGTTTTCCTCTGAAAGTGGTTAACAACATAATGCTAATTAGAACCTTTACAATGTGTCTATGACATAACTTTTCCAAAAATAATTAAATTTCTCACCGATGTGATACAGTCCAATCCAGTCGACCAGACTCGTGCCGGTCGAGAACTGCCAGGAAACGGTAAGAACGTGCGCCGAAAGTAGTCCGGGCAGAAAGATTCGGTCGGCGGAGAGGAAGAGTCCGTCCGCCTGACCGGGATTTCCAGAGGCCGTGTTAGTGTCAGCGATCTCGAAGATAACACTTGACGTGTTCATAAGGTTTTCACCTCGACCCGATCCTGCTCCTTAGGGCATCTTTCTGCCAAGTTGTCTATCCATCGGAAACCGACGCTCACGAACTTCTGGCTAAAGCCACGAAACGCCGGAAAGGCCAATAGGCCCTCCGGGGATTTGTTCAACTTTGCCGGGCTTTTGTTTGTGTTAATGGCACCATAAATTGGAAATAAAAGTCGAAGTTTATATAAAAAATGATAACAACAAAACGTTCGGCTGCGTTTGGAAACAATGTCAACAAAGGGCACGTGGCATTGTCAAAATGCAACATTTTACAGTAGGATGAGTGCTCTTTTTGAGTTTTACATTATGTTGGTAATAACAACGCTACTTTAAGGATACAATGTACATTAGTTTTAAAAAGTGGATGTTACATGTTAAGCGTTCATAAATTGCTTTAATGTGAATGACAGTTGACATTGCGACCGAAACGAGCTTCAAGAAGTAGATGATTTAAGAGGTTCTTTCGAATTCCCGATTATTGGAGGGATCAAGGGCCGTCTGTGACTGAGACTGTGATATGCTGAATCGGGAATGGCAGAAACGACAAGATTGTAGCTCGAGACTCGAGATCGAGTTGCTCAGCGAACGGGGAGGCATTTCGTTTTGGTCGATGTATCTTATCCATCGTATGTCGGACGGGATGAAGGGAATGATGTGCTTGGAAACATACAGATTCTCGATGATAAAGGCGTCTCGAGCACTGTTCCTGGTACGCTTTTGCATCAGATTTGCGTACAGTTCGGACACCAGTACTACCTGAAGGTTTTGTGTGATGGTTTTAATATTTTAAAAAGTGAAAATAAAGCAAATGCTTGCATTGATTTTACAAACGGACCTGTTATACTACTATAAGTCTATTGTAAAGATGGAAAATACAACATACCTTTCCGCCTACAACAGCGAGAGCTGACCTGGCGTCTTGTATTTTGCGTCCAAAGTAATGAATTTTCCTAATATATTGTATGCCGACCAGGTCGATACACATTGTAGTAATAGCTAGACCTAAACAATAAATATTCAAAACTGTTAAACGTTTGTCAATCTTACCTAAAACAATGTAAAGCAAGATCCAGTACATGTGCTGATCTCTTTTTGGCATCAAATCACCAAACCCGACCTAAAATAACAATTATTTTAGGAAAATATTGAACTTTTAGGTTTACTACGTTAAATTTTGGTTACTAAAATACGGTAATGTTTTAAAAATATAAACGTTTCTTACTGTAGTCATTGTAATGAAAGACCAGTAAAATGAAGTAAAGAAGTTCCATGGCTCCAAATGGGACATTAACACGCCTCCCAAAGCTGTATACATTACTAATATAGCAAATACCACCATAGATGGGATCCTGAAAAGTATTACCTTGAGTTAGCGTACAGTATTTAATGGTTTGTATTGTAAATGCAGTTAAAACGTTGTAAATGTAGCTATATGCAGCATTTTATCTAAAAATGGCATTATCTTGGTTATATGTCATCATTGTTTTCATATAATGCTAACAATGCCTTTATGAAAACACGACGTCGTCACTGATGACATAGCCAACCGACCTTGTCTCTTCGACGATCCTCATGCCCGGCGTTAATCCCCTGTGTTCGCGGCAATCATCACAGACCTTCTCGCGTCTCTCCTTCTGATGTTCAACCCGTCGTAGTAGCCAATACTTGAGCCTCAAATACCGAGCGTAGAGTTTGACTAGCTGCTCAGACAGGAACTTTCCCATGTCCGCGATGGTGACAAGTGTCAACGGAATCCCGAACAACGAAAACACGACACACATGATACGACCGGTCTGGGTTATTGGTACGGGGTTACCATAACCTAAAAAACGCAATGACAATGTGTTAGTCATAAAGTTAAAAAAAATTATTTCTTACCTATTGTTGTAACTACGGTAACAGCGAAGAACACCGCGCTGGAGAAGGTCCATATCTCTTGAGTTCTGTTCAGTTTCACTTCGTTCGCTGTCAGAAAAAACTTTTCGTACGCAATAAACAGGTGCTCGCTCATGTTATGTAGATGTTGTGTAGCCAGCTCGTTCCACACATGTCTGTCGCTTTCGTTTTGAGATACCAACTTCAACACAGCTCCAACGAAACGTTCTTGCTTCTCAAAGATAATATCAAGTTGGTCCCGTTTTGTGGCTTTCTCGTTTGGATTCTCGATCCAGAAGAAGATGGCTGCTCCCATTATAGTGTAGGCACATGTTAGCAACACTAACCCGACGTGAGGTAGAATTAACTTGGCATACTACAACAATGTAGGTATTAACCACAATTTTGATGTTTTAGCTTTTGGTAACAGAGAATTGAAAATATGAAAAACAAGAAAGTAACGATAAATTTAGAACTGTAAGCATGTTAAAATTGAAATTTTACCTTTTTGAAGCCTCTCTCCTCCACTTCTTCCTCTTCTGTTTCGTCTTTCGAATCACACGAGCTGCTAAGAAGATCGTCGGGAAATGACTGAAATTTTAAATTATAATAACAGCTGGTGACATTTTAAAACTATAAATTTTTATCTTGTTATCACTCACTTGTCGGCCCATTCTCGGCGATAACAGATCTGACGTCTCCCAAGACTCGGTTCGATGAGATCTTGATATGGATGGATTAAACAGCCCTTCCCGCCTGAATCTCCTTGTGAATCCTGAAGGTATTTCCCCGATTCTGTCGTCCATCTCGTACTTCTCCAACTCGTAGTCCGAGTCCCGGTCCACGGCCGATATGTCATTTTCGGTGTGATCGTAGTGATTGTTGGAGGTGGACGAGTACTCGATCGACTGATGCCGTGCAAAGTCATCGTTTGTGCTGAGTAACAGCGGTTCTCGGGCTTGGTCTGCCGTGCTGGGGGTGTCTTCCATGGACTCATATACATGATGGTTCCGCAGAGTCCGGGGCATGGCTGATTCGGTCGGATGGATCGGCCACGGTGCTCATTCCGGAATCAGAAGGTGATCATTTCTGAAGTTGTATAGGTCAAATTAACAGTCTTTGTTAACGGTTATAAAAAATAAATATAATATAAATTTAAAAAGGCCAATGAACGTATTTTAGTATATAAGAACAGATTTATTTAAATACAAAACAAGGAACTGGTTTACAATTTGAAGGTATATAAGTAAACAAGAAAACATTTGGACTAAACGTTAAACCCGACTACAAGCTGGAAATAACCCTAGAACAGTAACATCCCTATGGGTTTCCAGAGACTGACAGTAATTAACAACTGTAGGTGGTAGGCATAGAACAAGTTGTGTAATCTATCAACAAAAGCACTGGAGACCATTCCCATACTTTGCCGGGCGTAGGCATTGATTGACATTTTAAATTTTGGTTGTTTGGTCGGCGAGTAGGGCCTGGTAAAGAACAAAGACTGGCGGAGAGAATAAACGCCAAGTTGAGAATTGGTATAACATGCAAATCCCGGCGGGCAAATTGATGGAAAACGGAAATTAGACGAGCTGGTCGCTTCAGCCTGGGATCGAGCAGGTAGAACCGACCGGTCGGGTCGGTACCCGCCTGGTCGACCACCCCCGACCACCCGAGGTCTTGATTGGGACCGAAGTGAGAAGTCGCGGATAAGAAGGTTTTTCGGCCCGTCCCGACTATTATTGGTCCCCGCGGAGTTGGAACCGGACGGTCGGCGAAGTGCAATGTGCCAAAAGCTGGAAATGCTTTTTCACTACAACACACGGCGTCCATGACGGGTCAGGAGGCAATTCGAAAATGCCGCTGGGGCCACCACGAAGCGCGCAATCGGAGAACAAGCATAAGCTTGTTGTAAGCCCTTGTTTTGTGAGGATTGATGGCCTTTCTTCCTCCTCATTGACATTTCGGGTTATAACACAATGAAAACAATCCATTACATTTTTTTATTTAAAGTCAGCAAGTTAAGCAATATCAACAAGTGCCAAAACAAGAATTTTATCAAAACAACGCCTCAGGGCAATATGGACGTACAGTACGGCGGTGAGTAAGGGCTTGTGCAAACATTTAAAGGTATTGGAGAAACATAATTATAATATAAAATGAAAAATTGTCATGATTTTTCAGTTTTCAAAAAATAACTTGAATTGTCATCAAAATTGATTAAAATTTTTAAAAATGATAAAAACCTTAATTAACCAAGACTTTCAACTGCACTACAAGGCCAGGATTCTGAAGGCACTCGCAAGTCTGTTTTTGAAACTTCCCATAAACCAATGCCAATTTAATTAAAGATATGCATGTAAAGTAAGCGGTTCGCAATCTGCAATCCGAAAGTAAATTAAAATAATGGAAACGGGCCTTCGTTTTTTACTCTGTAAAACTATTCCATGCCCCAGCTGTGGCAATTATTCGGAGAAGAAAGTTTGTTTGGTTTCTATCATCGAGTACGTAGGGCCGTGGATGAAATCGAGTTAGTCTTAGTCGTTTTGCTTGGGTGCACTCAAATAAGTTTTATCCCCATCCGATAGGGCCTTCTCGCCGACACTCAAATGGACGAGGATTCTGATTCCAGTCTGAGTCAGTTCGAAGATGACGACGAGGCAGACGATGAAGTCAACCAGTCGAATCCCTGGGACCTGGACAAGCTTCTGTCTGAAGATCACGTAGGTTTTGCCATTTCTTATTAAAGTTCGGTGTGCTTAAGATTAAAATGACTAAGTAGTTATCATTTCCCTAATAATTAATGAGAATATCCACAACATTTGTAACAGAATTTCCGACGAAAATACTGTGATTTATCTGTTATAATAAATTCGGCCATTCGCAGAGTCATAAACAACACGTAGCTCGTGTCAATATTCACAAAGTGTACATATCCTCACTTTACATGGCCCGCCTTCTTCGTCCAAACCTCGGAATCACAGATTCAGTCCATTTGGTTTCAGGAAACAAAAGATATGTCATTATGGAAGAAGTACGCCCGCATTATCCTGCCCCACGTGGGGCTGATTCTGATATCGTGCGTGTACATTGTCGGTGGCGCCATGATATTCTACGTGGTCGAGAGCCCTAATGAAGTTAATATACGACGCGAGAACTTGTACTTGATTAACAAACAGAAGGAGGAGATGCTACGTTCTCTGTGGAACGAAATGAAGGCCAACAATCTCAGCCGTGGTACGTTCGCTAATTACGTATGGCCTTTAACCTTACGTTGTGGTCGTATATGTTCATAAATAACGTATCTATATCATATCAAATGCTTATTATATAAAAACACAACTCTTAGTAAGTAAAACCTGATTCACAGAAGAAGTAAACATGCTGGCCATGTCATACATAGACGAGAGTACCAGGATTCTGTTCGACGCCTTCGACACCCATTTCATAACTGGAGTACATCTTCGGAACAAAAGTGCTGTAGAGAATAGTTGGACGGTAACGACTGCCATTTTCTTTACTACTACATTATTGACCACAATTGGGTACGGTAACCAAGCTCCTGTAACAACCCACGGTCGTCTTATTTGCATATTCTACGCTTTGTTCGGGGTACCCCTGATTCTGATTACTGTAGCTGATATCGGAAAGTTTTTGTCAGAAAACATAATCTGGCTGTACTCAATGTACACAGACCGATGTAAGAAGAACAAGGACAACTACCAGCTACAGACGGAAGCCGAAGACGAAGAAAAGAAAGAGTTGGCGCAGGTAAAAAAAGAACGTTTCATTTTTATATAATACTTTAATATAATTTTGCATACTTATGTTTCTCCTACTCCTTTACAATAACATTACTTCAGCTAGGACTAGAACATTACATAACAATACCTATAATGTTGATAGCTACTATACTATTGGGTTATATGATGGTTGGTGCCATTCTATTAGCAAGATGGGAACGATGGAGTTTCTTCGAGGGATTCTACTTCTCCTTTATCACAATGACAACAGTTGGATTCGGCGATATCGTGCCATTAAAGCAGGAGTTCTTCATGTTTGATCTCTTCTACATTATTGTTGGGTTGGCTATCACGTATGTCATATAGTTAGATTTTGAAGATATTATTTAGTTTTTTGCTCATGTTAATGCTTATTAACCTAATATTACTTCAGAACCATGTGTATTGACCTGGCCGGCCTACAATACATTAGAAAGATCCACTATTTTGGTCGTGCTATTAAAGATGCTCGTTTTGCACTAGTTAATGTTGGTGGAAAGATGGTACACGTGTCCGACCTCATGAAGTACGCTCAAGTACTACAACAAAAATACGGCCAAAGCAAAGGTACTATGGTGATAAAACGAGGAGCATACGTTCCCAGTGACATCGCCATAATACGGTACATTGATTACAGTAATATAGGATCTCTCAACAGCCTGATTAGCCTCGTTTCCAGTGTATTCTCGAAGACCAGTGAGCCCAAAATGTTATAGTAAATTCATAATATCTATAGTTTCGGACCAGATACTTATGATGAACTAATGTTATGGTTTGTTTAAATTATTTCAGATTAAAGTTATTTTCATGGTTTACCTCTTGCATATTCATAAGCTTCATAGACACTGATTGACTAACTTGAAGACAAATAAGGCATAAACAATGCTTTGTACATTCAGTTCAGAAACCGTTTCAAATAGTTTAAACTCAAATTCAACAAACAAAAATTACTAGATACTGTATTATTAACATAAAACTAGATACTAACCTTACTAAATTAATGAAGTAACAATTTTAAACTGTAAAATTGAAAAAATATTAATTAAAAAATAATATACTATAATATGGTTACTAATGGGACTAAGTAAGTACAAATGTGATATCAAAAACCCGTATTAACATACCCAGAACCTATCGAGGTTGTAAAATGTAAGCTAAGATTGTGAAAAGTCAACGTTTACCAGGTTTTCGTCTCTGACACTCGGAGCTGTCTCTCGAGGTGGAGAACTGAACCTGATAAGATCGTTCGGATCCTGAACGTGCTTCTCGGCTTTGGAAGGTCTGTAGGACTCTATGACAATGTTCTCTGTTCCACGAATGTCAGAACGGCAGAATGGGCAAGTTTTCCCATTATCGGCACTTTCCTAAACAACATAATGACAATTTACATAAGATATAAGTATTCCAAAATTTTAAACTAAAACCTTAAAACGTTATTGTTACATTACAATTAATGTTTTTCCAAAATTTAACAAAAATCAAAACTTACAACCCATGAATTCAAGCACGGCAAACACATCAGATGTCCACAAGGTTCCAGTTTAATGTTTTTGTTCCGTTCGTCGCAAATTTTACATATTTCAAAGGTAGATCCAATCTCAGAATACAATTCAAACTGTTCTGAAGTCACTTTCACCATCTTGTCTGAACTAGCTGGTAACGCTTTTTGTAAATCTACATTTTTGTTGCATCCATCTGGGAACAAGTAACTAAAAGAATACTTTTACGATCAACTATTTAAATACATTACATAATTACACAAACATAAAATTAATTAAATTGTAACAGAAGAAGATTAAAATCCAAAAGTGAAATTAAGATAACTTACTACTTTCCTCGTGTTCCCTCTATCAAGGCTTGTATTATAGGTTTATTTTGAGGTATTGTCTGATAAATTTTACCGTCGCATGCCACATAACCAATCGCCCATTCGCCTAATCTTGTACAACTCATTCTGAAGACAAAACTTCCAGGTCTGTTAAGATGAGGTGTTAGTCGTTTCTTCACTTCTTCGTATGTCATATATGCCATGTAACCCGGGTGTTCGACAGTTAATGTGTGCCAGTTTATTAATAAAGTATCCCAAGGGTGAAATAATCTGAAATTGTTTTTCAGAAATAGTTATATTTGAAAACAGCAGTAGCATTCCTAAAATAACTAAACATAAAAAACGTAGGCTCACCGTGTAAAAACATCAAATTCAAAGTTTGATATGTGGTCGTTTCTTGTAAGATCAATGGTATCCTTAAGTGCATAAATCGGGTATTCATTAGTGAAGCCATTTAATTCCATAATTGCCAATCTGAACTCTTCCCATGGCACGATAGTTCTGAATCCAAAGTGAGTTCTCCAGAATTGATCGGCCGGCTGTTTCGTCAATTTAAAAGAATTTCCAATAAACTTTCCGTCTTCAAATTGAGCTTTCAGTTCGTGTGACATGTGAGAAAACACCAACGTCTTCCTGGTTAACCGTGTTCGTCCCTGTGAGGTTTCATCGTACATCTTATCTCCTGATTCTTTGAACAAATCTCGAGTCTAAAACAATCTTTACAATAATATCAATCAGTTGTAAATCTTATATAAAAAGATTTTAAAAAATAAAACAGTTCTACAACACAAGATAACGCACCTCTTTGCACTTGGAAGTTATGTTAGCTATGAAAACCTTAAAATACGTGTTCGACTTGATGGCATTTGAATCTTCTATCAATATCTTCACCATGTGTTCTCGTATTTCCGGCAATATGTCGCAAATAAATGGCGGTGAGTTCTTCAACCCCAATTTCTTATCACTGCATAGTTTAAGAACGGAGCTGATCAACCTCATCAACTTTTCAATTCTTTTGGTATCCTTAACAAAAAACATGAATTATGACAATGAAACTTACCTCTGGTGTCGATAACAACAACACCGGGTTGCTTGATGAGTCATGCTGATTAGGCTGAGCAACTGCAACAATATTCTGTAACCGACTTAGCAACGAGGATGCCAGACTGCTCATTCCACATGAAAAGCGTCTAAAACAATGTAAAACATGTATAAAACCAAAGTTCTGCAAGATCAAGAAGTGTTCCGCTTTCAAATAACAAAAGCCGAAAGATTTCTAACGATTAATCTTCATTAATTCCGCAAAAATTGTGATTCATATCGAGCGAAAGTAAAAAGAAAAAAAGTATTTAAAGGGTTGAACAACATTCTCTCTCTTCGAAGCATATTATTCAAGACCGAAGCACAAACACCTTCTTAGCACTTCATTTTTATATAAACTTTAAGCGCCTTGCATTGCAACATCTCACGTGCAGACTTTACTGCAAAGAAAATATAAAAATGTGTCAGTGCGACGCGGAATGGAGGCAGAAAGTCGACTCGAATTAAGTTTGAGTCGAGTCTCGCTCAGATAAAGATCTTTTTTCGGTAAATATATTCTGATCGGAACCCCGTTCATACGTGTGGATGAGGCGATTATTGTAATAGGGAATGGATCAGAGCACACAACTCACGTTCATGTTAGACCTGAACAAGTAAGTTACATTATACATGATAGATAGATCTGTTTCAGACCCTCTCACGCCAAAAATGGATCTGATCAAGAAGAAAAAGATCTAATAGACATTGAGGATCCAGCGGTTGTTCAAAGACGAATAACTATCAACAAGATTCAAGACTTGTGTAGTGTACCATATTATCCACCACAACCGTAAGCATTTCACATATGATAATATATTGTATTTTAGAATTATTTATTTTTCGATACGAAGTTTTATTGTTTTAGAGCTTTCTACCGGTCTTACAATAACTTTTACCTTACTCAATCTGCTTCTGTTCCCAATATTCCCCAAAACACACCTAATTATAAACCAACACAGTTCTTTGGTATGTTGTATATTATTTATATTGTTATTTGTGCTTAGATGTAAAACAAACTTCTGATCTGACATCGAGTGTCAACAACAACGGAGTTACGATTCCTTTTCGGACCAAAGAGAACTATTGTATAGAGAACATCAACGAGCTAGATCCTTTGTATATTAGACAACAAAGAGCCATGACAGAGAGTCCATCTACAAGTAAAGAAACTGGGAGTTATGTAGGAGGAGGTAACGGTGATGGTGAAATAGATAATCTTAGTGAAAATGTTGATCATACTCAACCATCTACTTCACAAGTTCATAGAAGGGAGAGTTTGAGGAATAGACAGAAGACATTCGATGATCTACAATATCAGAAGGAGCCAGTTCACGAATTTTATAAAGATGTGAGTTTGATATCTAAGATGATTGCAAATATAAAGTTTAGACATTTAGAGAGTTTAAGGCTAATAATGATGTTTTAGTGTTTGTCATTACAAACTTATATATCCAACTACCAAATCGATGCCACTTTTTCATTTCTGGCACCAGTTAAGGATTATTACACGACGCAGGCCGATTGTATAAAACTCTCAGTGTACATAAACAAAAAGTGTAAATTTATTAGTGAAAAGTTGGAGTTTACGTGTTTGTCTTCTTCTAAAATCAACGAAATCTTGACGGAAGTCTTGTTGAAGGTGCTACCACAACATATAATAGACCAGAACAATGGCACAATACCTCTGTCTGATTACTGTTTGTGTGTTTATGGGACAGAACAAGTACTTGGTCAAGAGAATTCAATTGGGAATTTCGTGTTTGTGGGATTGGAGTTGTCACATGACAGAGATGTGAGGTTGGAACTGGTACCTTTGCAGCATGTCAAGTTTAATGGTCTGCAAGAGTATGTTTACCTTGTATTTAAGATTAATTATTTATAATCATTTTATGGGTTTTTTTTATTTTTTATGCATTGTTTTAGTGGCTCGTGCACTTTTATTACCATCGATTCTAAGCCTATTTACTACGAACACTTTGATTCCTTTATAAACACATTGAAAAGGAATATTACTGTGCGCTTGAACACTCCAACAGGTAACTAATCATTAAATGTATGATAAATATTGTGTTTTAAATGAATATTAACGTACCCAACCTCCTGATTTTAGACAAAATATCTCGCCACAACATTTTGCAATCTCTGAAACTCATCCAGACCTACACCAACTTCTCTCAATCTTCCTCTTTCACCGATGCCATCGATCTTTTTGCCAATTCCAAATCAGCAGATATAATGCAATACTCAGTCAGTCGTCTAGTCACAGAACTAATCTCTTTTTTCAAAATATACTGTAGATGTGCACCTACCGATTTCTCTGTAATTGTAAGTTCTGCATTCTGTACTCATTTCTTACTTTAATCAGTATACTATGTACGTTGATTTAGATGTAATATTTCATTTTTTAGACTGAAGACCCAGTTTCCCCGTTACCTGTGAAAGAGGTAATGAAATGTAACGATATTAACTTTGAGTTCATAATTGATTCTCTTCACAATATTCCAGTAGCGTGGTCTACTAAATACCATCAATATTATGTTGAAGTAGAAGTTGTGCACGGTATTAATGGTCTTGGAATGCAGAAAACAACCGGTCGAGTTGTGAGAGACATATGTGCCAATATGTTAGTGTTCAGTGATATGGTAAGTTCCGTCTTTGAATATAAGTCGGACTCTTCAGATTCACATTGAATGTGCCTTGTCCAAGTTTCCTCGAGAAGTTCACGCTTCTTTTGTTGTTATTGGTGAGGTTAGGCCGGAACTTAACACCAGTAGTGCCGTACTTACGCAGGACTATCTCGCTTCTGGTACTGTTCCGATCTTCAATCGAGATGGGTAAGGGTTTTACTCAAAAAGGTTTATATTTTTTCCTTGCTTATTTAGCTTCAGTTTAAAAAGTTTATATAACCTATGAGGTTCTGATATATCAATGTGAATATACATTAACATCTCGTTCGTTTAGTTTTTTGATCACGGGCCCAGTACTTTTGGGATTAAATCGATTGTCCAACAATATCCTCCAGCCTTGGGGACCTCAAAGTTTGATCAGATGTCCGGAAGACCCAGTCTTGAGAGTGACATTCATGGAGTACGAACATGACATCAGATTCCCTCTTGACATTGTATACAACAAATGGTAGGTTTTCACAATAATGTGTCATGACGTAACTTTTGATACATGTAGCGTTGTTTAAATTATTTTTGATTTACAGTCAATGGCGTGACTTCTCTATGATGAGCAAGGTGGATCAAGAGTTTGCCAAGACCGTGGTGGAGAACAACACCTTCCACATGATCAAGAAAGACGAGAAAGAGTTTCTTTGGTCGAAAAGATGTTACTTGAGGACTCTTCCCAAAGCTCTGCCATTAATTCTACATGCTTGTTTTTCTTGGGACTCAATCAATGTCGGGCATATCTATGCTCTTCTGGATGATTGGGTTGATTTGTCACCAGAAGTGGCTGTAGAACTTCTTTTGCCATAGTAAGTTTGTGAATTTAATTATCATGATAAGTGGTGATAGGTCACCTTGATGAAGGTTGAGGGTGAAAATTATATTTTTAGTTTTCCTGATCAAAAAGTACGATCGAAGGCAATATCGTGGATTCGGAAAGCCTCTCCAGCTTTCATCTTTGGCTTTACTCCTCAGTTTGTTGAAGCTTTGAGGTTCGAAACTTACGAGGATTCTGAGCTAGCCAAGTTCTTATTGGAACGTTGTGTGCTGGACAAAACATTTGCCTTTGAATTCTACTGGTAAGTAATAAAAAATAACTTCATAAATTGGCATTAATATTCCGTACTACTGTTCTAAATGTTTTCTTTCAGGCAACTTCAACAAAGGATTGACGCAGTTTCAAACTATGGCTTCAGAGCACGTTGTAGAGTACTACAAGAGAAACTGTGCGCTTTGGGTATCCCTGGATTCTCTGAAAATGTAAAACAACAACATTTGTTCTTAAAAATGATCGAGAAGATAAACCAACACATTAAAAATTTGCCGGACTCTTCAATGGAAACAGTACTGAAACAGAAGTTGGTATCGTTAGGAAATGACATGGACGTTTCTAAACTCCGTATCCCTCTGAATCCTGCCTTCAGATGTCTCTCCATCAACCTCGAGAACTGTGGTTATTTCAATTCATTGACAAAGCCTTTGAGACTGGCTTTTAAAGGAGAAACCATCGATTACAGTGTCATCTTCAAGGCAGGCGACGATCTGAGGCAAGATGCCATTGTACTTCAACTGGTTAGTATCATGGATGACATCTGGCACAGAAACGGTCTTGATCTCAGACTGATCCTATTCAGATGCCTGCCAATGGGAGCTCAAAAGGGATTCATCGAATTGGTGCCAAGTTGTCGGACGTTGAGAGAGATTCAGATATATTCTGGAGCTACTGGAGTCTTCAGGGATGACGTCATCAACAACTGGCTACAAACCCACAATACTTCTGAATTCGAATACAGATGTGCCTTGGAGAACTTTAGAAGATCATGTGCAGGATGGTGTTTGGCTACTTATCTTCTGGGTATTGGTGACAGACACAATGACAACATCCTGATCACCACCAATGGCCACGTGTTCCATATTGACTTTGGAAAGTACATGGGAGATTGGCAGATGGCTGGAGGAATTAAAAGAGATCGGGTACCTTTTATTCTGACTCCAGAGATGGTTTACGTCATCAACCAAGGGAAGCTGGTGTCCACACAACACTTCCAGAAGTTCATCGACGAATGTTGTCAAGCCTTCAATTTGGTCAGGAAACATTCTTCTCTGCTTCTGAACGCGATGCGGTTTGTAAGTTTTATTTTTAATTTAAATTTAGGTAACAAAGTAATAAGTTTCATGAATATACTTACAGATGTGTTGTTCGGACATCCCAGGCCTTGACAATTCAGCCCAACAGTTTGTGGAGAACAATCTCCTCCTCCATCTGAATGATGTCGATGCTACTATTACCTTTACTCGCATGATCCAAGATACATTGACTAGTGTCTTTCCCCGACTCAACTTCTTTGCTCACACTTTGGCACAATTGAAACAGAATCCTTCGTTAGCCGCTGCTTTTGGTGGAATCACGGATCTGAATCAGATGTCCTTCATTTCGGGAACTTACAGGTAAATTTACAAAAAATGTTATTCTATTTTGGAGTTACGAATTGCAAATACGATTTGTGGCTTTTCGTTGTTGAGTTTGTTACAAAACATTGTTTTTCGAAAGATGTAAACAAAATTTCGAAATCTGCTTGTTTACTACTAAATTTCGAAATATTTTTAAACAATTTGAATAATTTTTAAAATCTTTATATTTCAATTACAGTGTGAAACAAGATGGCCGGATAACGAAGATAGTAGTCAGTTCGTACGAAAAGTGGAAGAAACCAGAGAAGGTGTATATGTTCAAATGTTTAATAAAACGAGAGAATGTGGCCGTTCAGACTGCCGTCTACAGAACCTACGACGAATTCAACGAACTACAGTTGAAGTTACGGTGCAATTTCTCCAGAATCGCGTTTCCATCGCTTGGAAGAGGTCTTCTGTTAGGTAGAACCAATGTTCACTCAGTAGCTGCACAACGACAAATCGAGATACAACAATTTGTACATATGTTGTTTGATCTGCCAGAAGAGATTTGTCATGTAGGTTTTGATATAAGAGGCCTTCACAATACTATGGATTATCATTTATTACCTAGAACATTTTTTCCATTATTTTTAAATTTAACATAGGACATTTTTAGTGCGATCTAGTCTACACTTTCTTCCATACTATTTACCGTGATGAAGCACCAGAAGAGCATCGTCATCGTCTGACAGGTTCCACACAGTCTTCACATCCAGAAGTCTTTCTACGAATCGGATTGGAGAAATCAGAACGGAAGCTCAAGATATTTGTTGGACATGCTCGGAATGTGCCTGCGGTCAATAAACTTACAGAGCCCGATACCTATGTTAAGACGTATCTGCGGAGAGCTTCGGAGAAGGGAGAGAAGCGAAAGACGGCTGTCGTCCAGAAGTCCACAAATCCTACTTACAATTCAGAAGTATGTCTAATTTGAATATTTAATGATATTATCGTATTATCGGTATTATATCAACTCTTTAACGACACTTTTCAGCTTACTTATCATCTCACAGAAGGCGAGATGCAATACGTGCCCGACTACATCGTGTATGTGTCGGTCTGGTTCAGCAGCTACATTTTGAAGGACAACTTCAAGATCTGTGAAGTTGGAGTACCTCTTAAGAACCTTATCAGTACAACTACATTCGAACAATGGTATCGGTTAAACGAGTCTTTTTAACATTCGGTCTACAGCATATTTTCATATTGGGTATAATTTCGCATCTTTGTTATTTTTGTACATTATCATTGTTAACTACATATCTGTATCGTGATATATTGTGCTATATGGGTATACAAATAAACTAACTTGTCATTCATAATATATGTAGCATTTGTGAAAGTAAAGTTTGAGATCAACATGATATACATTAGTTATTTACATACATTAGCGATGTCTTTGTATAGTATTGTTTTAATTTATTAATTATAAATACCTACACGACCTTCAAATACTCGCTTTCTTGGCGAACCGTGCCCAATGTTCCACGGTCTGCCGTCCCAAATCCAGAACAATGGATCGAGACTCACGATGAACGTGTAGCCCTTCACTTCTGGTCTCCATCGGCCGATCCACGGATTCTTTCTCGTCTTCGTCGCTGCTCTCCCTCCAGCCTTCACTGCTGTCGTACAAGGGATTCACTCGCATCATGAATTCACAGAGCTGCTCGAAGTCACGGCTTTGCATCTGGAGACTGTTCCTCACAAAGTTGCCATTTCTTTGTGATTTGGCCGATCTCGTGGACATACGATTGGATCTGGCACCGTGGGATCTTCTAAACAATATTGTGTTAGGATGGCTGGATTTGCATATTTGGAGGGACATTTTTATAATAATATGTAAACAACATGGCAAAACTTGTTTTCCTACTATTATTTTGCTTTTTTAACTTTGAACTCAGGTGTTCAACGATATTGTGCAGTTAGACTGATACCTGGACATTGTGGCTCGACTGTTCTGTCTCTGGAATCCGCGCTGCTTCCTCTGTTTCTTAATGTAGTAGCGTATTCGTGCACATGAGAGTATCTCGTGATATGTGAGTCGCATCCGTTCGTTGAAATATGCATAAATAAAGGGGTTGCACAAATGGTTCGAGAGCCATATCTGGTAATTACACGATTACAACGAGTTGTCATGACAAGAGATAATTACATTGTTTACAAAAACAGGCCCAAATTACCGTAGCAATAGGGTAATGAGGCAAAGGTTACTGCTTACGCAGGGGTTTGTATTGTAACTATTTTGGAACCTATGATACTAATCTCTGTAATCAGTTTCTGAGGGGGTTGTTATTGAAAGAGTTATTTTTAAACGTGTAATCATGAGTGTACTGTAATATACAGAAGCTAACCATTGTTCTGTGTTACATACAGTAGAGTAGTAAAGAAGTGAGGTTAAAAATAGAAAAAAAGTAATGTTTGCAACCCTCACCATGTGTAATATCACGAAATGCGTCTCTGACAACACTTCGCGCATGTAGGGCTTGGCAAAGTATAAGGTCGAGGAGATGGTGCACAACAAGGACGGGTAGAAGAATTGGAACGTAAGCCGAGCCTGAAAGAAAGGAAATCGTATTTTCGCCTAGCCTCCTCCCCGACCTGTTTTCGGAAGCGATTCGCACTGTTTTGGTTCAGCTTGTTCTTGTTGATTTTCTGTTTGACCTGGCGGATCTTCATCAACACCAGGGTGGAGCAGACCCATTGGAGGAGGACGCTGATTATGTTTATCGACACCACGAACACGATGAAGCCGGTGGAAGGGGGCCGCTTCATGGTTGTGAAGCTTACCGACCACATGTCGAGTGGACTGGACGAGTCGGACGATGTGAATGTACCCATACAAGCTAAAACAATTTGATGTGACTTACATCTTATTCACGTAAAAAACCAAAGCTTTATCTATATTGTGTTAGTTAATCTTATGACATTAATTTTGAATCCACTTATTTTAAACCGTCTAACTTACTATAACATATACAAATATAAATAAATTATGTGACAATGTTGAAGAAAAGTTACCTGCAAAAATGCCAGCTACCCATGTTGATATCGATGCGATAATCGCGACGGTAACCCGATTAAAAGTCTTGGCCTTGGTGCCGTAGAAGCAGATTGCAACGCATCTGTTAAGGCCCAGATAAGCGTAACTGACGACACCAGCTATCCATGACGCGATCTCCAGAAAGACCAACGTCGCTTCGAGCATGTCATGCGATGACGAAGTGTCAGTTTTGCCTGCCAGATTCATTTGAATAAAGTGCTCCGGGGTGGGGATGAAGCTTCTGGTAGTGCTGAAACATTACACTTGATGTCAAGGTTATTATTGTCATAAGAAGGTACTGAATTGATATTAAAAATTTTAAAAATACTATAGAAATACTAAAGTATAAGAACTCACCGTTCAGTCATGGTTGATATGTTATGGTCGACTTCGATCAGTTTTGATGTGGTTTGTTGTTCAGGAGTAGTGGCTGTCACAAAACCGCACACAATGCCCGCTACGACGGTCATCATGGCGTCGGCCAAGGCTACGTTGGCCATCATGGTGTAGGCCGAGAGACGGAACACCCGCCTTGATATGATCATGACGGCCGTGGTGGCATTACACGCAAAGCCCAGCACTCCCAGGGCCATGTACAGTAATCCGAGATGGGTGGGGGAGAGCTGATCCATGGTGGCTAGTCCAGTCAGCGCGGTGCCATTTTACGGGGTTGTGGAGGACATAACTGTAAACAACACAACTTACATTACTCGTGTTTGACTTGGTCAAAAACTAAATAGAAGTCCCAAATTTGCATAAAAACGGAAATCCACAAACTTTTCGACCAAATGCAGAGAAATTAAGCGCCAGCACTTTAACGACCGAAAACTAATTCGCAGTTATATCATACGATATTTTTAGAATGTAAATCTATCGGCCCAAATTTTACCGCTGAACGCATGACTGGACACGAAGAACAGAGTATGAAAAAACTTCTGAAGAGCTGGCTAATGGCCACTTCGGCCTATTAAACTGGCATATTCTGAGCGGAGTAAGTGTGTGTGTTATTGTTTTGATAGTTGAAAAGTGTCTGTAAACAGGCGGTAGGTAGAATATAATAAGGTTAATCCGTTTATGTTATATCAATATTCCCAATCAAAAATAATTACAAAACCCCTGAGGGAGAGGCTTAATTACGGTAATGAGGGGTGCGTACGGTAACGAGGGGTCAGTACGGTAATCCGGGCTTTATTACTGTAAATAGTCTATGCACAATACGATCAGACATACGGTAGAACAACAAAAACATTGTAAATGCAATCAAAATGACAAAGTAGGAATATGGAGACTCAATTTCGGCCATCGCCATTAAACGGCCGTGATGACTTTTTTATGCCGTAATTGGGGGGGGGGTCGTTTCAGAAGCGACTACTAATTTCAGCCGGCTGGTGTCCATTGTAATTTTATTACTCTTGACAGACAAAAACGGCCGAACTTAAATCTGGCCGTCATGTTCCGACACTTGGCCGGAGGTAGGATGCCTAGATGAAGAAGCCGCCCAATTCAATTTCTGAGGAGTGTACTCAACGCCCTTCGACTTCATATCATCACCACGTACACACAAGTGCACATACGACGCCCTTCGGCCGCCCAATTGTTCACAATATTCTCTTTATTAGGTATATAATTTACATAAATTTCAGGAATTCACATTAGGAAAAAGCTGGCGGCTGCGTGCTCGGCGTTCACGGTGATGTCGCGGCCGAGGATTCGCCCTCTGAAAGTAAAGTAGGTCCAGGTGCCGGCTACAGGTGCAAGTTATTTTTGTGTTCGAGGTTGTGAAAGGCGCTTATGTTACTTTAATGATATGCTTGTACACGGGTACAATTTCACAATAAAAATGTTTCGAATTTTGTCTAATTATTAAAAATTCAGAATCAAACTAGTTTTTTTAAACTAAGAAATTCTTAAAACTTTCAATTCCTTTTTTATATATAATGTAGTTTTAAATTTAGTTAGTATTTAAATAGTACGCAATGAAAACGGCGCAGTTCAGGGACAAAAACTACGAAAAATATATAAAATTAAAAAAAATTTTTTTTGAGCTTGTATAACGTGTAGCGAACGTTTTTAATATATAATTAATAAATCAATTTCAGCCAATAACTCTTTGCTCAGTGCCCTTTTAAATTCAATTTTATATTTAGCGCCAATTGGCATAGTGTTTCATGGAAATTTTAAGCCTAGTTTTAATGGTTTTTTCCCCTGAGGCATCTGAAATTAAAATACTTTTGAATGAAGGAAAAATACGTATCTTCAAAGAAAAAACTCCTAAGCTGCTGATGAGAAAGAGCTAAAGCCTGACCTAAAACAATATGTTGGATCAGCTCATAATCTCGAAAATAAAGATAAAATTATAGGATAATATGTTTCAACACGTGCTATTCTGACATTTGGTATCTTCTATTTGCTCACCTTTTGAATCTTTGGCCGATCGCAGCTTGGCCAAGAAGTTGTTTTCGGCTCGAATGGCCGTGGCCAATTTGTGGATCCTTCGGCTTTGTTTCGATGACGTCTCCAGGTTCACGAAGTAAGGATACAGATTCATGAACTTGAGGTTCTTGGCGGACACGAAGCAGTGTGGAGAATCCTCTCCTATCGGCACGTTGCCTTCTGTTTTGTCACTGTAGTAGATGAGTTTCTTGGCACTGCACTCTCGTTGTACTCGGTGGGTCGTACTCCTTAGTTCGGTGCCAATAACAATGGGAATCGAAGTACCCATATATTGTTGACCGTTGTGGCGGACTACGGCGTTTAGACGGTAGGATATGTAGACTTTGTACGGTGGAATCGAAATACCGTTCGGGTTGCTAAACGGTCTATTTTAACCTTGTTTTTAGTACAGTAGGCGTTGTGGAAGGGTACAACTATAGGTATGATGTCATTTAAGTGGATGATATACGCACCCTGATAATTTAAAAAAGTAGATATAAACAGTATAATCATGGTGAGAATAGGTATTATAACGCATCATTTCACTGTACCTTGGTCTCATCGAGGGGAGCGGAAAGTTCTTGGATATCACAAGTTGGACACCCGGCTCCACAAACATGGCCAGGGGCTCGTCTCGGGTCAGAATAACTTCTTCGCTTACTTCTTCTTCACACTGAAAGAACGGCTTGTACTGCACGTCATAATCGGTCGTGCTATTATTACACATACACATTATTTCTAAATACTATAAATAGACAGATACACTTACTTTGTCAAACACCTTCTTTATGGTCACGATCTTTTCCAGAAGCACTTTTAGATAATCTACACGTCGACCGGTGTTATTCTTGATGCTACCTAAACATAATTTATATTACAAACGTAAAAGATGATGATATGGCAAAATCAAATGAAATTTAGCTAAACATTAGGTACAAAAAATATGTTGATTTTTTGTAAAATAAGATTTTATATAAACAATAAGCATAAAGCCCACCTTTGATGACAATATGTTCGCCGGGCAGGAAAGCCAGTCTTTCGTATGTTAAATCGACCGTAATTCTTCCTCTCGTACACGGACATATCCCATACGACCGGTCGAAGTGCCAACTCTTGTGTGTAAAGTAGTGTGATGACAGTGTGTCCAAAGACACCTTCTCAATGATTGTAAACCCTCTGGCAATTGATGATGTGTATTCTTCTGTGTCATAACTGAAGTAGACTCGTGCTTGAACGTAGTATATTATAGTAGTGGACTTGCAGTCAACTGATGGGTAGAGATCGGAAGGCAAAATCAGCTGAAATTTGAGATTTGATCTTGTTCATCATATAAAAAACAAATGTTATGGCCAAATTTACATTAATCTTGATTATATATTACTGCAGTGTAGCCACTGTTTCAATTTTTTGAAGTCAGTTTTTTGTGATAAAATGTTTTAAGATAGTTATTTAAATTATTTTACAAAATCGATTGAAGATGGCATTCATTATCAAATACAACTTTCGTTATCAGAAGTTCTTACATTGAACTTGAGCTTCTCGGACGCGTCGTTCTTGATATATCGACCAAGTTTGAGAGTGTCGGTGATATTCACGTGCCGTTGCAATGACAAAACACAACCCTGAAACTGGGAGAAGTTTAAACATAAAAAGCTAAAGTTAGCCAGTCCGTTATAATCAAAACAAAGAAAAACTGACATAAAACATTAAAATCTCAAAAAACTATTTCCGAAGTTCAAATCAAATCTAAATTAATCTCCAGAATCCAAGAACCAGGCTTTATTTCGCTTTCCACAATCAAAAACATAAAACTAAAGCAATATCGCCCTACAACAACATTAAAACTGACAGATTTGGGGTTCTTGAGCTGGACGTCTCCGCGGATGGCCAGTTCCAGCCGGCTCACGTTGATCTCTCTCCTGGAGCGAATCAAAACATGGCCACGGATGGTGTCAGCACTTTCAAACACACAACAGTCGTTGTCGTAGATGATAGAGAAGGCGGACAGAATCTCCTGAACTCGCATAAAATATTCTCTGAGAGATTTTGGCCGAGAAAACATTTACTATATATACATAAACATAATCGAGGCCCCTCCATTTCCAGGTATAAAGTGTTATGAACTTTCATGTCGGCCCAGGAAAACAGCCCATGACGTGCCGGTTTCTCTGGTTTTATGAGAAATGACCTACAACAACAGTGCTAGCTATTGTCAACATGCTATGCTTCTTTCTGATATCAATGGTGTTGTCAAGTATAATATGCGTTTGATCTTTTAATTTGGCTTAGTTTAAAATTACTTCTCATAATTTAATATGTAGTGTAATATAATGTGTTTTATACTACTATAATGTTAAGTTTGTCACAATTGTCATACTAAATCCATAATTGTTGTTATATACAACTGTAAATATAAAAAACACGAATGTCACAAGTTTCGTATGAGTGATTACAAAAGAATTTAATCTGGAAACGAGAAAACAAAGCAACAAACTATGATTATCAGTGTTTTGTCCGAATGTGCTTGTCTAATCACCATGTCATGATCATGAATTCCGACAGTGAACACGGTTTGACCGTCACGGCGAGGAAGAAGCGCGCCATGCTGTCTCGAGTTGAGGCCTTATCACCAGATTTTACGAGTTAAGCGGATGATATACGCATCCTGATAAGCGGATCAATAACATGTACTTTTGCCTCAGGGCTTCAAATGTCAATTAATTTGTTTGTTTGCACTCGCTATCACAAAGCCCTATCACAGAATGTCCTATCACCTATTCGAGGTCCTATCAAGTAGTGTCATATCACATAATTTGAGCTGCTATCAGCCTGGTTTGAAGACAATCGCCTCGAGAAGAAGAGGTTAATATCGCATCGAGAAGAACGTTAGTATCACCTCAAGGAGACAATCAGTACGATAAAGTTAAGCCAACAATTCGAGGAATGCGACATTGTTTTAGGGTGTGCCGGCGATAAGCATGTGATAAAAGTTTTCGCGGCCGATTAGGCCTGTTTGAATCGGAGGGGGTGGATTTGGGGGTCATATGAGAATCCGAAAATAGCCCTAAAGAGGTGGCCCAAAACAACCGCCCTCTGCTGGTCTCTGTTCCTAAACACTCGCGGGTTTTGATTGTAACGCATTTCCGCCCAAGTTACTACATTAGTGGTTATATACGTTGTTTCGGAAGTCTTTACAACGCGATGGGGCTGTAAAGCGAAAGAAAGGAAAGAGTCTTATCTAAAAAGGTTTTTGATGAAAGCCGCCGATCCTTGATTGCGAGTTCAGACCCACAGGCACCCGGCTGGTACTACTGTTCTCTATTGTTTTCTCATATTGCTGTCGTATCTAGCTTTATTGACCTATATTACAGTATCTTGGCGTTATATTACTGCGCATTACAACGTTCTGACAAAATATTTTAAAAAGTTTCTATCAAAACATTGAAAAAGCTTCTTCTGAATTTATATTATAGTTGAACTAAACTCAAGTTCTCTATTTTTCCAATACATTACGCCTAATATTACAGTATTGTACATAATGGAGACGAAGATGGTGATCCTGTTGGTGTTGTTATCGTCTCCTATCTGCTGTAGAGCAGCCAGTAAGTTGCGTCTGTCGCTTCCACCCTCTGATTCAAGTGTCCAACTGCTTCTTCCTGCCCAACATCGCTCTGAACGGTGGAACATACGATGAGATCGACACCCACGACCTCAATGTCTGCTGTATTGTCTGCGCCCGCGATCCGTGTTGTATAGCGTAAGTGCAGCCATGTGTAAAGTTTACACTGTGAACTGTTTCCGGTTAACCGTAGCAACATGTTTACTCGACATGGTCAAGAATTTAATGGAAATATCAAAAGGATAACTTGAAAAAATATTCGCTTTTAAAATAGTTAAAATTTAAATTTTTGAAAATTTTTAAAAAAAAGTTATTTTCTAATAAAGACTTCAAGACTACGTAATACCCTGCTTTTAAGCTCAAACAGCTTTTTAGGTACACATTTGACAGGTTCAAGAACCGGTGTTACCTAAAGCGGCCATCACAGATTCGGCCAAAACCCCCACTTTCACCAGCGGAATCAAGGCCAATGAATTCCAAGGTAAAGTTTTTTTACAGTAGTTTTAACTCTTTAGGACAAGCTGGCATTCTTCGCAATATCAAAGTGTACGGAGGAACGACGACCACCGTTAAGCTACCCAATAACGAAGATTGCATGCAGTATTGTACTGGTAAGTGAATTTGTTTAGGCTACTTTTTTGCCTTTTTCAAAATATGTCAATACATATATTGAAAAGGTAAAAAAATGCCACTACCATTTTAAAATTCAAATTCTAGCTCTATTTTAATGAAAACTATTATTTACATTACTCAAAAAAATCAAATGAATAAACGATATGTTTAGCGTACGGTATGTCATCATACTCTCCGCCGGTGGCTGGTAGTGGAGAAACCGACGGGGAATGTGCTTGTATGTCACGCATCTCATCATTAGAATACAGTTTTGGGGCGAGATCTGCCATCTTCCCCGCTGGCGTCAGTTTGCCGGAACTGGTCAAGAATAAGCGACGCAATTAGTACGTGTACCACCAGTACCAAATTTCTGTACCTATGACAGCACACATTCTTGTATCAAACGTCACAAAAAGGTGTTCTCACATAGTACGTCTACCTAATGGTGCACTATGTATTAGTACCATCATCACCAGTTTACCATGTACCAGCACGTCGTACCACCAGTACCACACGTCTTTCTGGGTCTATTTATGTTCATTTTGATCTCATTCACTCATTTGAGTCTGGCCAGTCGAGGAGTACTGTACCTGTACAAGTTTTGTATTTAATTTTGTTAATCAAGGTGTATTTCGTGTGTTTGACCGATAAACTTACTTCATAGACGTGTTGAGGATAGTTGTCTTGTGATATTTGATTGGTGCGGACGTGATAAGGAAAGTTCTTGTTACTCGGCATCGGGTTGGTCAGTACCTATATTGATATTAAACTTGTGTCGCATATATAACTAATATCTATTTAAATATATAAAATTAACATTAATACAGTTGAAATACTCATTGAGTATCTTAAAACAAATAACATACCAAGAAAGTGCAGAACCCGTAGATAACAACACTTGATTCCACCGCCAACATAACCTCTTCTCGCACCCAATTGTCCAATACAAAGTTGGCAATGACCAAAGTAACCGGTGCTGACCAAAAGTAGAAAGAAATCAGGAACCCCAGAGACATGTAGAACATCTTCTTTAGAGGATACTTTCTTACTGTAACAACAGAGGATCGTATGTACCACATCCACGCAATAATACGGAGTAGAGCAAGGAGATAAGCAGGCAGTGATTCTGACATATACGTTACTTTGGCTGGGTCAAACATCTAAAATTTGCAAATGTTGTACCAGTAAAAACACCATATTAAATTTTTTATGGCACTATAACAAATCATACCGTCATATACACAATGAAACCAATAAACTTACTAATATCTCCCAGATCAGCATAGTAACATGACAAAAGAAGAATGACAGTGTAAAGAAGAGTAAATTGAAGACACTTGACGTTGATATGACCCTTCTGGTTATCGTATACCCTTTAGCAAGTAACAACAGCAAGGTCACGAATACCACGACTGATATTTGTCTGAACATTAATCCAATCAACTTCAGTAGAGGAAACCCTTTACCATCATCGGCATAACGATCGTAATGTAGCCACAAAGAGATGGTACAGCTCAGATCAAAGATAAGAGAATGCATAAACAGTTTGTAGGTCGGGTGTAACATGTTACGAGCCTTTAACATGTCTGCAAAGATGAATTTAAATGTAAAACATAAAGAAGTCCATTTTAAAAGCTAATTCTTTCAGTAAATTAATTAAAACACGTTTCTGTAAGTCTTACAAGTGAATGTTATGGATAAAATCAAAATGATCAGTTCCAGTACCATAAATGTGATTGAAAGTGGCAGTGCGTCTAAAACAACATTAAATGTTAAACCATCTTGGAAATTAAATCCTTAACAAATATAATTGTATTACCATTGTAAATTTACTCTACCTAAAAACCCTAAAAACTCACAAAATTCGTCGAATGAAAAGTGGTAGAACCATCGATTGGTAATTTTGGCATTTGTCATCAAAATAGAATATTCCAAATACAATCCTTCGGTCGAATCACAGTTCCCTAGTGCAAGATACCACCATCTCGGTCGTTGAGAGTAGAAGGACCGATTACCTGTGCATTGGTACCATTCCTCGCCAGATACGTTGACTTTGGTGCAAACCGATTGTTCGAAAGAAGGCGCATCTGAAGTCAGATGGATGATCTGGTTGTTGGTAGGATCTATCAGGTCTTCTTTCTCTTTACAGGTCTAAAAATACGACTTTAGGTAACACCTGCAAAAATTATGAGCGTATTATGTGCCTCATAACCTTAGAGAACTATAACTTGAAAATCATATATATTGCACTTTATACAGTAAGTTAAACAACTACAAAGTACAAAACTTTTTTATAGTTAATAGCTACGAATAACCTACCTTTTGAGGATCATAAGCAGAGTGCCATTGTTCTTCCGTATCAAAGTACAAATAGACGGATTGTAGCTCATATGACTAAAATTTGTATATAATACCTTTTCAAACAACTTACCACGGGATATTGAAACAGGTACTGTAGCATACCATCGTTAGAAATGAAACAAAACCGGTCCAAGTACACCCAATTCTGTAAATAAATGTAAAGTAACTAATAAGGTGTGACATTAACATGTACTTGGCCTTTGCAGCCAAGTTTTGTGTATTTTGACAAAGAAACCACCATTTTCGTTAAAAAACCGTTAATTTAGGTAAAAACGGCCAATTTGAATTAAAACCAAGCCAGTTTCAAGTCAAAAACCCTTATTAAACACGTTTTCCTCCAATTCAAAACGCCATTATTGCAAACGCCCTTACCTTGTTCGAGTTTATAACTCCGATACTATATTTGGCCATCGCCGTGGAAGGTAACAGCCAACATACGAAGATAAAAAACATTCTTTTAAGGCCATAGGAGTTCACTTAGAGACTTAAAAGACGGCTTAAAACAAGAAGACCGTCAATTTTCTCAGCTATTTGAGTACTGGTTTCCCTTAGAAACGTATCAAAGTTTCAGCCCTTCATTATCCCATTTATAACATGACCATTGTCACACTGCTAATCTTGCAATAAGTGTACATTGAGGTATGGGAACAATCTTTACAATTAGATGCCTGAAAGTGTCAAAGTGAGGACATAACACAAGTTCAAATGACGTTCTCAATTTCAAAACGAAAGTCTGAAGTTATATATTACACATGACAAGCGTGAAGACTATATAAATATTGCCAAAGGGAGTTAAGGAACAATAATTTTAGTAAGATTAAACCAATGTGTACCTGTATATATTAATTATCAATTCCGACTTACAACAATAATAGAATTCCAAATTCAAAACCTTTCCTAAAATTGTCCAGGTTCACTTTCAGTAGAAAAACCAGTTTTACATAAACAAATTAGAGGTAAACAAATAAACAAATTACTAAAACAGTTAAAAACAAACTCTATGTAAACTTTAATACTAACCAAGACACAAAACGTTTTAAAAATTATATTCTTCTAAATTTTAAGTAAGCCTTTTTAAAAATCTGATATTTTGATCAAAATTAGATGATAAAAATCCCAAAAAAAGTTTTTAAAAAATATTTTGCCGGATTTTTTATGAAACTAGCTGTTTATTTAGGTCCGACAACGGAGACTTTGGTGCAAAACATCTTTGTCCAAGTTTTACACAAAATGTTTTTTGTATAATAATCTTGATAAATGTTTTACGTTCTCAACACCTTTTACCTTGTAATAATGAGAGTTTAAATTTTGCTTTACTTTTGTTTCATTTTGAAAGTTTGAAGAAAAATTAATGAAATTAGAGCGACAATTGAACAATAATTCGATCAAGTAATAAAAAATTACAATACGACGGACTGTTAACCAACTTTTTAAAGTTCGGAATCAAGTTTTTGAGGGAAACCGGGTCCCTTTCTTTGGGGACAATTCCCGGCATTACTTTTACTATTACTCTTCACAATGCTTTTCGTTTTTTACTGTGAAGTGGCCGCGCGAATTTATTAAACGATGGTTGTATTACTATATTGTGTTTGTGCAAACTCCAGGTTTTTGAACTTTTATATAAAATTGTGGTTTTTCTACAAATGTTACCTAAAATCCAAAAAAATGTCAAGAAGAAGTCAAACTGTCAATGTTTTTGCGTTGTAGTATTAAAAACTGGTTTGAAAATGTTGCTTACCGAAAATTTATCATAAATTAAAGCTTTATAGAATGGTATTCAGGCTTTCTTACTGGGTTATAGTATGTTACATAGCCTTTGGTTACTCTAATGACCTCTTTTATTATTTTGGGACAACCTTTCGAACGTAAAAACTGGATTTCCTTAAAGTTGCGGCTGGAAAGCGACAAATAAAAACGAGCAAAATGACCAGGTCAAGTATTATTTTAACCTGTCCTGTTAGCATGACGCATTTTTGTTAACAACACCTTGTTTTAGTGTAATAATCTTTCGTATTGTCTTTAATATTGTCTCTAAAAGTCATTGTTTTACTTATAGTAGTTATATTTAATTTTCAAAGTTGAGATTTCTTTGTAATTCTATCAAATTGGGGGTAGATTTCCTACCACCTTTCCCAGCCGTGAGTGGTGTTATCCATATTGTTATATTCAGATCCAGCTGATTCAGGGGATCGGTGCTTGACACGAGCCGCGCCTTTAATGTCCATTCAAGGCGGGTCATGTTTGTTTGTACAATTGGCTTGCTGTATCCATAAAATTGGCCGAAAGCAGGTCGCCCCACCTTGAATTCGATTGTTTCCGGCGCCAACCATGTCAAGTGGTGCAACTTCTGGACAAGTGTCTTAATCTGGGTTAAGCGGTTTTATTGTCTTCGGGAATGAACGAAGTGAATGTTGCGTGCCGGTTTCTGCTGTTTTCGCTTCTTTGTACAGTTTTCTCCTTTCAGTGCCAAACAGCGACGCGGAACCCGTTTTATTGCAACGTGAAGAGATAAGCTCGATTAATCGTCTACAACAACGGCGATCTTGACAGTGGTAAGTAACAATGCGATCTTATCGTAAACAAGACTGTTGTCAACGTTAAACACTTTGTTGTAGGGTAGATGTTTTAATCGAAAAGTTTTGTCACACTGTGATTTTTGATAAGTTACAGTATCATCAAAGACCAAAAGTAAAACAAATCAAAAGTTTAAGCATTCTCAGTCAGCTGTTGTGGTTTTAATAGGCCTTTTGATCGTACCAGCTTACAGTAAGCCTGCTTTTAATCTTTATTTGGACAAACTCCGCGCAAGTTGAAGGGCAGCCGGTTTCCAGGCTGCTTTTGTCTTCTCCGGTTGCCCTGTTTAAATCGAACCGAGGAGGTCGTCACCGCCAATGAGTTTACAGTTTGATTTATTGATGAACAAAAGGTATTTCGACATAGCCCTTCTTACTCCTAATTGTTCTTAACAGCGTCTCTCAATTCGATTACAAAACAAACTTTATGATATAGTAATCAGGGTAGTTTGAAGTCAGGATTCTGGATTAGGGATGATTTTTTGATTATAAGTTTATTTAATGTGAGAGATGTTGTTGGAATCAGAGTTGATGATCTTTGAACTATCGACCATTAGATCTGTTTTACATTTGTTGAGAACAATATCGTGATACGAAGTCAAATGAACCTTGTAAATCGTTTCGAACGGCGGCGTTTGTTGTAGATATAGCCTTCGGTTTATTGCCACTTCCGCATGAAACAAACAGTTCCGCCCATTTTATACCTAAACGGATAAAGTGATGAGGGCCCGGGCAATCGCGGCAATTTCCTTTTCTCAACAATCAGGAGAGTGATCGGCTTCCAGTTGTAAAGACGCTCGAGATCGCCGAGACAAAGGTCAAGGTTCGACGTTTACAGTGCAGCGGCGGCATTCTTCTGATCGCTGATACCGATGACACTGTCGCCACTAGCTCGGGAGGATGCTCACGTCAACTCTCTCTCTCCTGGATCACGTGTCGCGGTACCTGTTTTCAATTTCATTTTATTTTTTGTGTCTGAACCAATTGTTTACGGAAAAGGAGAAGTTTTGACGACGACCCATTTGCACTACGGACCCCACTGATTACCTTCTTTCTTCCCGTGGTATCTAAACACAAACACAAGGTGCATTTGGCCCGTTTTTGTTATCAACTTGGCGTCTCTTTAATATTCCATCTGAGGGTTACCATCATTTACATGACAACAACCATTTATGGTCTTGTTTGCATTGTTCGCAACCTCTGCGTATCTTGTTGGGTATCGCGAGAGTATGATAATTCTTGTTCATCCTTTCTGTGTTGGGTAACTACTGAAGGTGTTTCATGTCATTATGATCTTATAGTTACTAGTGATGTCAGTCTTTGTAGCTGTTTGGGAGTATTTTTAAACATTTTTGTAACCTTTGTGCCGTTTTTTGTGCGATGCTTACCTTCTTTGGTGGAGTCTTGTATAACTATAATAATCTCTATAATTCTTTTTACTAGAAACTACTAGATGTTGGGATATTAGCCGCCGTGGACCTTTTTGTTGGCCAAGTTGGTTGTTGTTCGTTTGCCTAATCTGGATTTTATTTTTGTTCTGCCAGTTTGAAAGTGAAATGTCAGTAGATTGGCTGTTGTGCCATTCTTCGGGCACAGTACTCTGTCGGCTAAGACATGTTTTGTTGGGGCCGTATCTTGGGAAATATTGTTTTCGGAATTACAGTGAGCTTAATCTCCGCATCCTCTCCAGCATGTCTGAAATTGCCTTAAAGAGGTTATCAACGCGATGATCGTATTCCGTCTGACGTGCTCATCCCCTCAAGTGCTCTGGAAATTGGCCGTCCAGAAACAAAACGAGAAAACGGATCATTTATTTGGAAAAGTTTTGGACGGCAAAACACTCTTGCCTGAGGGCATTGGCTTCGAGCTGGTTGGTTGTTGGCCTCCCATTCTCTCCTCCCCCTCTTCGCTTTTCCGTGCCTCGGCACACCGACTCTTTTTTGTTCGCCGGAGGACGGTCTTCTGGCATTGTGTACTCACAATGCGTGTAATTTGGCCATAAAGCCATACGGTAGGGGACCTTCAATCAAGCGTTATTCCTTTATTTTACATTCCCTGGCTTTGTTAATTGGAGCCGGTCTTGAGGAGAGGTCAGATTGCCATTCAGGATGCCCTCGGGCTTGTCACTCAACATGGATCCGATTACGGAGCAAGTGTTGTCTTCTGGTATCCTTTTGTTGCAGAGAGCAACAACAAAGGATGTAGGATCAGTTTGTCTTGCGGATTTATGTTTTAGAACTCTAACCGGCTTGGCCAAGGTTATTTTTGTCATTTCCGTTCATATTGTGGTAGGACTCTTGTAAATTGTTTAGAATTTGTTTGTTATAAAGGGCTTCTTTATATAAAAGTTTGTTATACAAGGTTTTTATTGTATATGAAAGTATGTTTTTTAATATTATTGTTTCGGGTTTGACATGTTTTTGCACTTTTATCACCATTTTAAAAGTGAAATCGTCCTTACGTGACCTTCTTTGTCTCTCAAAGTCATCGTCTGTAAGTTTAATTCAGAATCCGCGAAACATAGATGGAATCTGTGAAAGCATGCTAATTTGTTTGCACTCGAGATTGCTTTTAGCGGTGTAAATTAAGGTCCTCGCAAGATGAGATAAAGAGTCAACGGACTAATTTCCAGGTCCCAGGGCTTGGAAGCGGCGGATTTCTTTGTGCCGTTTCCGGTTATGCCCTCCTTGATGCACTTTTTGCGCAATCGCTGCTTCTTCGCGCACTTAAGAGTTCACGGATTTAACGTCCCAATAAGCAATTAAGGCGTTCGGGATTACTGGGTGCGGGACTTGTCCGTTCTGTAGCCGCTCTTCTGGTTTATAATTATGATTTCATTTCTCAGATTCTTAATCTCAATCATTCAATACGACCAGTCTCTATGGTTCAGTATGAGATCATTGTCAAGTTCTGAATTTTCGATAACTTTTCTTGTGTTTTTTAACTGGCCAATGTTCCGTGCGCCTCTGGCGGTATTTACGACCGGGTTTGTTGGTACTATAATAACACAAAACAAGGCCAATAAATGATGGCTTTGTTTTTCGCGCGGCTTCTCTTTCGGATGTGTCGGTTTACTGCCTCGGCCAGCTGAGTTTTACTACCAGCCGGTCTGGAAACGGGTTTGGTATGCGCGGAAACGGATTGTTTCCGGCATTCTCTTCTCACCTTTTAATGCTCGGAACGGCCGAACTGTTAAAAGATGGTCGGGGGGTAGCTTAATATTCACGGCGCTGAAATTTAGATAAGAAACAACCAACTGTGGATTAGTTTAGCTTTTAAACTGTTTTCAATCAAGACTAGACTATAATATTAGAGCTTTGATTGTATTCAGAAGTCCCTCTAAACCGTCACCAACCTTCTTGCCCTTCGGCATTGTCCGTGCCTAAAGTTGGACGCTTCCTATTTCTCCTTTCAACCGCACTTTAATGGAAAAAGTTCTATAAATGAATGGTGACATTCACTGCTTTCCTTGTCAATCTTGGCGTTTTATGAATTTCTCGGCCCAAGAAAGGGGTTTGGCCGCGATCAGCCGACTGGTTACAAAACATATGTGGCCACGTCTCATTACCCAGACAATAGGGCTTTATATTAACAATAAGTGCGCATTCTATGGTTTTTGTCTTGGCGGCTTTTGTTTTTCAGATTGGATTATTAAGCTCAAGCAGTAGCGTTGGATTTCACTAATTTTGGATTAAAGTTTAATTTTTGAATTTTTTTTTCGAAATTTAAGTTATTATTCAAGAATAGGGAATGATGATAATCGGGGATTCTTCAGAGCCCTCAGGGCACGAATTTAATAGAATTGGATTACAAAATTTGAATACAAACCCTTTGTTAACCATGATTGATACGGTCCCCGGAGGCTATAATTACCGGTTGAATGGCCGCGTAATGGATGTCAGAGGGAAGGGCCGCTTTGAGAGGGGCAGATGCGACATAATTAATTGATGATCATGTTCAAGTTGTGTGTGAGCATGTTACGGTAATCTCTGTGTGATGGCATTATTCCCACGTCTCGTCGTCTTATCCCTTCTAATAGGGGTAATATTGTCTTGCTCTCGACATGGCCCCAAGCTTTGTGCCCATCTGTTGCCGGGTTCTTTGCGAAATTTGAGAAGAAACGTCTTTAATCCACTTTGCTGGCCCTGGGACAACTTTTTTGTTGTGGGACTTCGAACCTGGCCAATTTATTAATCAGGCCCATCATAATATGGCCGGAGACATCCTGCCCACATTACGGCCCGGTGTCATTATGTTACTCTTATAGCGGGAATCGGCCATGTCGTGACAATACCGTAATCCGGTTGCGCAATCATTCTTGATTGTGGTTTGTCTTGTTCATTATGGGCTATTATTCGTGGCATCTTGAGGGTTCATTTACCTTCGTTTTAGAATGTAAAGCAATTCTTTGGGCAATTCTTCTAAAAATAACAAAGTGTTACGTTTTGTTACAGTAGTCTTTCATTTGTCATACTTTTTCACATTACGAGAATGTTCGGACAGTCTGACATAAGCAATAAAACGTGGTTTTTTTAAGTATTTATTGTCATATTTTTTGATTTTACAGAATGGTTCTATTAATACTATCATCAAAATTGTACAAGAAGGTTAACATTATCAAGATTCTTAATCAGAAAATGAATAAAAGTCTGTTTAAAACCGACCTTACCCATCTATTTACTTTTCGACCAAACCAATAATAATTTTAGCGACGAAAATGGCCGGGCTAACTTTATCAATCCTCGTTCCGTTCTGAGTAAATAACGTTTGTTTTGCAGTATGTCAAGTCGCCGCAAAGCCACGCCAATTCGGTTGGTCAATCATTTACCTGAAGAAGGGGCGTTATCACCGTACAGTGCAAGGTTGCTCCCTCCAGAGTGGACGGAGAGTGGAGGCGAGGAAGAGGAAAAGAACCAGCCGACTTCCTCGACTTATCTCGAGATGTTGCCCACCGACCGGTTGGTGGCCAAAACCCCCTCTTTGTTGGGGGATGGGGTCACGGACCTGGTAGGTTTTTACAGTAGATCTTATTTTATATTATGCTTATGAATGACATAATAATGAATAATTTTATATCAAATTTCAATTTAATATGCAAATATGATCTTTTGGGTTTCTTGGTTAAATTTTTTTATTCACTTAAAAGTCCTACCTTAAAAATAGCTTTAATATCTAAAACAATATGTTAGAAAACTGAAACCTTTTACCAACGTATAAATTACAGAACGTGAGTTTGGATAACTTGAATGAAAGCCCAACTGAACAATTCACAAGCCCTGTAGAAACTGTCAAATCCACCAAGTCATCTGAATCTCACCACACAAGGTACGAACAGTTTAAATCACAACATTTACGTTTACTATCCCTTAGGCATTTATCCGGGATTATGTTATCTTTAGTCTTTATTTAAGCCAGGCTATTCAAAGCTCTGATAAGTATTGTTATCATCGTATCTGATTAGAAGACTGAATTATGACGTTGTATTGGGTTAGATTTGGCACGTGTTAACATTACGTTTTTTGATCAAAATAGGTATAAAATTTGAAAATTGGGCATAGTATTGAAATATGTTAAAATTTAAACCTATCTTACTCCAATTTGTTTAAAAATTGGGATTTTCGCCTGTTTATCGACTATACAGTCCCCCTGATAACATAATTGTTTTGATATCCCTCGGGGCTTGTCGCTCCCGGATTCGCCCATTAAAATGACCTTTCTCGTGACAGTCCCGGCCATATACGGAGCAACACTATTGTGCAAACAATCGGCTATTCGAGCCTTGTTTATCAGCGATAAGAAGCGGGAGGGTCATTCAACAAAACATTACCGTACCTTCTGTTTATGGATGAACAATGAATTCGATCACGGGGATTGAATTTCGGATTTATTTAATTAAACAACCCACTCCAACTTCGAGAGTTTCGATTCTTTTGATTAAAATTGCTTTTTCAGCACGACGAATGGGAGCGCCGAGATCCCTGATATCTTGGCACAACAACACGATTACTGTACCGTCATAATCGACGGGAATGCGCTCAAGAACGCTCTCGAGAACGTCGACTCACAGCTGGGGAAGGCGCATTTGATAGACAATATTATCGAACAGGTGGGTGCTTTGTGTTATCTACAAGGGACAGAAAGGTATTGTAATACTAAACTTACAATAATTTGTAAAAACAATACAATATCATCTAAGGTTTATATTAATTATATTGCGCCTTATAAATATTGATTTATATTTCATTCTTTTAGCTTCAAACAGTGAAGGAACGACTGTTATCACCCCCAAAAGAACCGGAAGATATTGAGGAAGACCTGGAGAAGGAGGAAAAGGACAGTAACTTTGACAATACCATGGATTACAATACCTCAAACAGTGACGTCTCTCAAGAACAGGTCAAGATCGAACCAACCGAGCAGTCGACCCAACAAGAAAAGCTGATGGCCATGATCAATGCCCTGGGGGCTCACAATCCCGCCATGAACTTTTTCTTTCCTTCACGTGAGTTATTTTACATAACAAAACTGTATAACATTCGATAAGCATTCACTGTTTATATGAGAAGCAACAATTTACCAGAGGTAACAAAAACAGATCGTAACATTGTATACATTATGTATCATTTTCAGTACAAGCAATGAAGGCACAAGAACAAGAAAGTCATCAGAATCTGTTTGAAAACTCCTTCCTCAACTACTACAGAAACAAAGCCATCAACAACAACAACGAGTTGAACAAATGTAACGAGATTCCATTGAACTTGAGTACCTTCAGGTAAGTCACGTATTACTTATTGTTTTTTATTTGGTATTCTTTGAGTAATTCAAAAGATATTACTATGTATAATACTTTAGGTGTGATTTTTCATAATTTGCATTTTAGTGACAACCGTGATCCAAACAGCACATCTCCGTCCAGCTTCCTGAACCGCCTTCAGCCGAATCCCCAATCGCCGACGTCATCGGGCAAAAGCACGCCACGAGCGGATTCTGGATCCAACCTGAACAACGTTGTCCGTGTCAATGCCCCGAAGAGCCCGAATCACATCAAACGACCGATGAACGCGTTCATGGTTTGGGCACGCGACGAGCGACGCAAGATTCTGAAGGCGTGCCCTGACATGCACAACAGCAACATCTCCAAGATCCTGGGCTCCAGATGGAAGGCGATGTCCAACGCCGAGAAGCAGCCTTATTACGAAGAACAGTCTCGGCTTTCAAAACTGCACATGGAACAACATCCGGATTACAGATATCGGTAAGTCTGTGATAACAACCTTAATGGCATAACAAATAATATTACATCAAGTCTGGAGCATTAGCAAGTACTTACGAGGAAGCAGAACAAAATCTGTCTCTGTGTAGGAGAAGATAACAACAATTACTTTACTTTTTCAAATCAGTGATATAATACCAAACTTTAATTCAAATCTTAACCAAATCATACTTAATATATCCGGTTTAGACCACGACCAAAGCGCACGTGTATGGTGGACGGGAAGAAGGTGAGGATCACCGACTACAAAAACCTTCTCAAAACTAAACCCAACTCAAGTAATGGAGCTGCGTCACCGTCACCTTCTGTATCTAGCTCTAGAAGCAACCCCAGCCTGTCGATCCCGACCAGCTCCGACTTGTTGACCCCCTTCCCCAATTCCTCGGCCTTCCTCGGGGTCAACGGCTGGTTCCCCGGAGCTTTGTCCAGCGAGGCAAACCAGCCCGGCCTCCCCACACCTACTGTAACATCAAGTGGAGACAGCCAACCCTCGAGGCTGCCACTGGAGTTCAACGGGATTTCGAACGCCGCTCTCCTGGTTGGACTAGCCAACCATCATCATCAGCAGTTCCAGAGGAACCATGCCCAGATGTTACATTCGTCCGAATAACATTCCCACCCATATCTTTCTCTGTACTATAATAATATTGACATGTATGCATTATGTCTATGGTAATATTTTATATGGCGTATATTGAATGGGTCAAAAAGTAAATGGAATGCAGGCCAAAATGTGATTCTGAGCCGTTTCTACTTACTTTTGGACCAGTGTATGTCTAAGTAATATTGTATATCACATGTCTTTGGTAATATGAGACATATATTGTCTATGTTAATTTTTAGTCCGACCTCGCCGTAACGGTATTCTCGGTTGTTCTTTCGTAATTATATTGTCCCAAACCCACTCGGCCATTACCTAGTCGCGCCAGAAGTTAAATTAAAGGCTAACATAAGATTGTGCTTGTCAGTAGATCACAATATATAAAGTATATGGATAAAGTAGATAAAATTAAAAGAATTTGTGTAATTGGCTTTAAAATTTACGAATTGAATATATTTTTCTTCAAAAAGTTGTGAATGTTAAACATAATAAAACGTGGTAACAACCAAATGTAAAATGACATTAAAGCAAACATAAGAAGGCTATTATTTATTCAACAACAATACTCATTTACCATACAACTTGTCGAACAATTGCTTATACTTTTGTCGCAGCTGAGGTCGTTTCGATTTGAAGGTGGGAGTCAGAAGGCCGTTCTCCACCGTGAATGGTTCCGGCTCCAACCAGATCTTCTTCACCTGCTCGATGCTGTTCAACTTGTTCTTCTTGCCAAAGTCGATTATCTCGTGGAAGACGTGGTCGACTGCCTAGAATATTCGTTGATGAAAATATTTTACGATAATAATTGTGACATTTCGTCCAAACAAAAAGTTCAGAAATTGACGACAAAATTTTGTTTTTGGTCGATTTTTTTGTCAAATAGTGAATTTTCTATGCGTAGTAAACAAAGAGCAATTATCGGTAAGATAATTCTTTCATATTGAGCAATAACAACCTATATCCAGCAAAAGAAAGCTTACCTTTTGATCTTCACAGATTTCTTTCAGAGATTTGTCTGAACCAGTTTCTGATTTGTACCATCTTGTCAATTCTTTGGCTTCAGGGACGATCACAGCTACAAGATGAGGTTCCAAACTGTCTCCATCAACATATGCTTGTTGTACATATCCTGATTGGACATATACGTTCTCAATCTTCTCTGGAGCAACATATTCACCCTGAAATTGATGTTGTCGTAAGTTTTTTCTTGTTTTACATTGTTTTAGAGTAGTTAGTTGATTTTCTTGATGAAAAAGTCAAGGAACGGGTAAAAATGAGTAACCTTTGTTAGGTTCTCTCTACTTTTGAACCAAAAAATGTATAGACATCTATTATCATTATGTAATTTAATGATTTCATTTACATTTCCATTAAATGAGCTCTATTTTGGGCGTGTTACCTTGTTTTTTGTGATATTTTGTTAAACTATCTGTTTGTTACCTACTTGGGCGAGCTTGAAAATGTGTTTTTTGCGGTCGATGATCTTTAGCGTTCCGTTGGGCAGGATCTGTCCAATATCTCCGGTGTGCAGATAACCTTCCGCATCAAACAGTTCGGCAGTCTTTTCAGGGTTATTAAAGTATCCGGTTGTTACACATGGCCCTTTGATCAGAACTTCTCCTTTGCGTTCGCTCTAAAGATAAGATATCATTAAAATAAGTGAAACCAAAGATATGATTCGCACTAATTAAGATTACAACCGAAAAGTGGCGTGAACTTTCGTTTTTTATTCACGGTAACGTTTGGAAACTCACGGCGAAGTAATTCAGCTCCGCTACGTCTTCCAATTTGATGTTCGAACAGACGGCTGGCGCTCCACAATGGCCGCCAGTGCCGTCGCCGGGCCAAGTCATTGTAGCCATAGCCGTGCATTCGGTTTGGCCGTATCCTTCCAAGATGTGACATCCAAAGGCGACTCTACAGGCTTCCAGACATTCCTCGCTGATTGGAGCTGATCCGGTTACGGCCAGTTTTAGGTTTCCTCCTAGTTCAGACTGGAACTTGTTGAAGACCAGACGGTCCCACACACTGTTGTTCTCGATGATTCCGGCCTTGACGTGAGCCAACTTCTTGCTGTAGGCTAGTTTGAGGAGTGTCCGTTTCAGAGGGTTTTTGTTGTTCAATTGTTTCTAAAAGTTTTTTATCAGTGGACGTGAGATTGTCGAGTAGTGTTTTGAAACATCAAATGAATGTTCAAGACTAAAGTTTTTGAATTTTGAGGCTAGCCCTACCTGAATCAGTCCGTAGAAGCGGTTTAGTAATCTGGGCACGGTGGGGAAGATGGTTGGTTTTAAAGCTTTCATGTCTTCGTTTAATCGACGTACATCTCCGTTGAAGTAGCCTACTGAGCCGCCCAAGGCAAACAGACACCAATGACAAACTTGTTCGAACATGTGTGACAAGGGAAGATACGAAATGGCTACTTGATCCGAGTTTTCCATTTCCGGGACAAAGGATTTCATGATCTTGATGACACCCGCTACATTGGCTACGAGATTCTTGTGGGTCAGGACTACTCCTTTGGGGGTTCCGGTGGTACCACTAGTGTAGCTGAAGAAAGGAAAGTTATAATACAATACAATAGAGTATTATAAAAAGTATTCAAACTGTTTTAAGTTGTAAAAAAGGGTTCAAAACCATACCAAATAATGAACATGTTATCAGGCTTTGGCTCTACGTCAGGTTGCACGTCGGTTTCTCCAATGTGAATCAGATGTTCGAAGCTGTGAACTTTGACATCGTGCTTGGAAGCTTCTGCTTGTAGCTCTTCGGTAACGTCGCCTTCCTTGATAACCACAATATGTTTGAGGGACGGTGTGTCTTCGATGGTCGACATAAGTTTCGTTACCTTTGATGCGTTGTCCACAACAATTACTCTAAACGAAATTTACATATTCATCGTGACAACTCACTTCATTCCAGTGTCTTTGACGATGAACTTAGCAGCATCAGCACCCAACGTGTCGTACAATGGCACAGTAACCATGGAGTATCTCAAAGCTCCGATACAAGCGATCGCCCATTCAGGAGAGTTCTGAGCGTAGATTCCGATCAAGGTTTTGTTGTTAGGATTCACTCCGAGGTACGATACGAAGGCAGAGCCAATGTTGCGAGCTCTTCTGAAGGTTTCGGCGTAGCTGATGAAGGTGTATGGAGCGTCTTTTTGGGGACGGTATCCGAGACATCGCTTGTTTCCACTCGACTAGAAAGAGAACATGAGCTAAAACAACATTGTACTTACTTCTAATCCACGGAGGAAAAGTTGGTATAAGGTTGTGGCTTCTGGGTAGATGGAGGCGATGTATCTGTCAGGTTGTCCAGCAAGAAGTCCGCTTTTGAGTACGAATCCTTCTTCCTACAAATGTCAAGATTACTTTTGAATATGATGACTAAAAATGTAATAGTTGAAGCCTATACCTATTACTAAATAATGTTACAAAACAAAATTAAAACGTCAACTAAAATATTTTCAGCATCAGACAGTCTACAGTATTGTTTACCTCAACTTCCACAGCTTGTTTATCTCGGGAAACCCCTTTCGGAGCCTTCAGACCCGACTTCTTGGAAGAGAGCCAGGCTACAACGATGCCGCCGATGAAGGCCGTCAGAAGAGTGCCGGACACCAGCTCCTTGTTCTGTACGAGATCATTTAACGAAGACATCACATCCGAATGTTCACAAAAACAATTAAAAATAAAGCAAATTAGTCGGTGAATGAGCCCGCAGCCGGTTGATTGATCAGCTCCGAAGGTTGTGTTCTCGCTCGTGTGAGATGATCACCGTTGCCCCTACAATTGGCTAGTCAATAACGTTTTAAACCGCAACGGCCCCCCTCAAGCAACATCGACGACCCGCCGGAGAACAATAAACAGAATCTGGTTTAGGGTGTTCTCGATAAGAGTACCACTATCAAAGAGACATTCCCCCGCCTTATCAGCCCATTCCTTGGTAGTCTGCGAAAACCGTAATTGCTTGTCGTATTTGGGGGTTGGTCGTGTGAACAACATATGACTGTTGTGGCCTTGGAACACGTGATCCCAGCACTACATTAACTCTGCCTGTAGTATCTCCGTGTGAGGTTGGTGCAGTTTTTGTCGACTTTTTAAGAAATGATTGTGTTCTGTGCTTCTTGCCCTTCAATCAGTTTGATTGTGGAATTGTTTAGATGCACAGGGAAGTTATCGGCAGCTTCTTTGCTCCTTCAAAAGTTGTGTTCGAGGTTTACAGTTTCAACCCCATATTCCTTTTGAAGTTTAAATTAATTCCAAAAAGTATTCAAGATTCACGCTTTTTGAGATTTATATTTGTTAAATTCTGGAGATCGTACAATAATTTACATGATTTTTGTATATTTATATCTTGGTCAGAGAAGGTATTCTCATCGTTTGTCATGGTGGGCATGTTAGTTTTGTCATTTTAGTTTGGGACATATATTTTGTCCCAAGTAAGGTGTTCTCTTTGGATCCATTCGTGTCTTATCAGCTCTGTCAGCTTCATTCTTTGCTCTGGATCTTGATGTAGACATTTGTTTACTAGGTCTTCCACATCTGTAAAGGAAGTTTAATAGTTAAAAGTCATCACATTTTGTAAAAATACAGTGTTTAGTTGCTGGTATCACGTGTTGTTGATATTCTAAACATCTTAATATATGTTTACCTTTGGAGTAATTTCCTAACTTTGGCAGAGGTCCAAACAGGTGATTCGTATATACATCACGTTCTGTTAGGAAAGGTAACTGTTGATTCAACATTGAGTACAACACCACTCCTAACGACCATATTGTCGCTTCGGGACCAAGATATATTGAGTGAGTGTACCATTCAGGAGGACAATAGAGTCTGGTTCCTATAATTCTTTTAGTATATTATCTATTTCATTGTGTTTTTCAAACTGAACACTTGTTGTGTCACTACAGGATTATCTGTGTGTTTTGATCGATTCGATTCTAATTTGTGTATTGTGTTAGACAAGTTGTAGTTTGTTATCATTTTTACTGAATTCGGATCAAACTTCAATTTAATGATCACATACCTTGGAATTTGAGGGTTTTGGAATCTTCTATCACTGTAGCTGCTCCAAAGTCAACCAAGATTGTTTTACCCGTGTCCAGGTCGATGACAATATTCTCGTCCTAAAGCTTTGTTATCTTCTGTCAGCCTTTTACCTACTTTTATATCTCTGTGCAGTATATTCAACTCCAAACACTTGGCTGCAGTATTTACAATTTGCTTGAACAAGAATAGCGTCATCTGAAGGAGCATGCTGATAAACAAATTCAATTCAAGTTTGGTGATGTTTGAATACTTTTGCAAAAATATATTGTCACTGGCGTTGACTTTAAAAAGTAAACAAGCTTACCATTTCACTTAAAGGTCCATGTTTGGATAGTAAAGAGTAGAGATCAATAGAACAGGTAGGCCTTTCCATAATAATCAGAAAGCCATCTGGAATCGAGAACCATTGTAGCATCTTCACAACGCCTTGTACATTGCAGGTCTTGACTAGCATCACAATCTCCATGGGCACTTGTTTTTCATTCACCTACAGATTTAAATGTGCCACTCTTTGTAATTTATGCGAATTGTAACTTTAAAACCGTGCTTAATTTGTATAATTTTTCTAGGCCATTTTTTAAAATGTTACTTTCTAATTTACCTGGCCCCAGTCGAATATTCTATTGCGTTCTATGAATTTCACGGCTACTGGCAGTTTGTCACGTAGCCTCGAAGCCGAATAAACTGTTCCGAAGCCGCCTTTCCCGATTTCCTTCTCGATCTTGTAGTCGTGCTTGAATATCTTGATTTCATTGTCTGAAAGTGAAACACAATTAGGTCGAAATAGAAACACGGTGTTCTTGGAAACACTAAAGATCACGTTTTTAAATTGCCTGAGGCGAGAGACTAAGCGCTTGTTTTGGTGTGTTGTTATTGACAAGCTGATAGCTTCGAGGAATGTCTTGCCATTAGTGGTTGTTACACTAAGTAAGGTGTCGCTTACCTCCTAGGCGGTAGTGTAACAGCTTGATTCGATCGGACGTGAGTTTCTTGGCCTTTTGGACGATGTCGGAGAGAGAAGCGGTGCTGATCACCATATCTATAAATTAGGGTTCATCGGAAAAACAACTTTAAAGTGGGAGTAAAATTGTGAAAGGGAACGGGATTCCAGTTGAATAGACGAAACGACAAAAGAGAGGGAGGGCGTCGAGTCTGAACAATGAAAAAAGTTGACGTTTTACAAGAGTTAGCCAAATTTATAGACTTTTATGGTCATGTACATGAACATGTTCATGAGTATACATAAAATGGCAAAGTTCACGGTTCTACAAGAATATAAAATTTAAAAGTATAAAGGTTATAAGTTACGGTACCTACAAGGTTGAGTAATTCTACAATCATGTACAAGATAACCTAGATAAACGAAAAATGTCAGCCTTATATGCAGACACATTTGAGCGCTCAACACGTTAATGACGTTGTCAGTCCGTCGATGGATCAAAGGCGATTAACTCAGTAAGAGAGCGTTTTATACATCGACAAGCAACTCTTACAAACATATCACTCACTCAGCTTATCCTTTACATTTCAATTTCATAAGTAAACAGTTGGACCGAGATTTACATTATATTCGGTCAAAAATTAAGTAGAACAGCCGTTTTTGGGTCAATTTAAGCGATTAAAGTGGTTCTATTTACTTTTTGGCCAAAAATAATTATCTTTAAAATCATGATTAATAAACTACTAATACAAAAAGAATGGTTTCTTGTAAATAAATCACAGAAACAAAGAATGTGATCTACTCAGTTGCTTACATCAAGGGATAAAACAATAACTTGCAGACAAAACAAATCTATGAAGCGAAAGAGCCGCTAAAGCTTTTAATCATTCTAAAATACATTAAGCCGACCAGGAAGTGGGTCGGATCAAAGGCACTATTAACTGTGATATCTGGCCCCTAAACAAACAATTAAAGTCGAAATTAACGAAATCACGTGTCCAAAACAAAGTACGCACAAAACAACTGCCATTTGATGTGGACACCATGACACGGGTGATATCGGTTATGAGGAGGGATCTCTGACATTGCTCATGTCGGTTTGTCTCAGCTTATTTACGATCATCAAGGGCTCTAGACCTTTGTCATCGAATAAATGTCAAACATTTGGCATTTACAGACTTGAAACCGTAATATGAGAAGTGAAAAGGTTTTGTGTTTTATCACAGCGGATAAATATTCATCGTGTTTATGTTATAATTGGTCGATTCCCAAAAATTCGGAAGATATTTAATTAAAAATTTAATTTATGCTCTGAATGTACACGTATATAATCAACAACTTCATAGGGAATGTCAGAAATAATCTGAGTAATATAAATAATACGAACTTATAACACAACTACAGTAGGCATTAGACCGATATGAATTAACTTTGATAACTTTCAATAAATAAATAAATAAAAACAATATTTAAGTATAACAAGGGTAAGTAACAAAGAACATTGAAAATGTTTCACCCTAACATAAACCTGACTGTTTCGTAAAAACTTGTCACCATTACAAACGTATCTGATCAACTACACAGCACGCTTAATTAGTCCGTGTTCTAAATTAGAACTCGGATAAAGTCCTCGGCTTGTCGGGTGACCATTGCTATGACACGATTGCTGTCGACGGCATACATGTGCTCAATGGTCTCCAGAGCCTTCTCGATCTCCTTCTTGTGCTTTCCATTCTGTCGCGTTAACCGTTCGGTAGCCAGCATTATCTCTTTCTCGTCTCTGCCATTTACTAACGATATCTGATTCAGCACGCCTACAGGCAGGTCGGTTATGATGGCTGTGAAGTTGGTTTTCGGATCAAACTTTGCAGCATATGGGTCCAGTAAAGCTTGTACATGGTTCTGAAAATGTACCTAGTTGATTACTGTTAACTGCAAAACATTGTCTCAAAAAGAATAGGCTACACAATCAAACCTACAATGTACTTCTTCCTCAGATGATGGCTCATCTTGAGTTCGCCGAGTTCTGTGAACTGAACGAGAGGTACCTTTCCGACAGCTATCGATGATTGGCTGGGGCTTTGTTCAATTGACTCTGAGTTGGTTCTATGAGATTGACGTGACTGGTTTCTTTTCTGAAGCAATGATTGAACCACTTCTGATGGCGTTGCCCGATTCAGAAGCACTCTGAAGCTACCGGTCGATTGTTCCGTTTTGTCAAAGGCTCCATTCAATTGTAAGATGACTTCGTCGATAGTGACAAACATAATCAAGTACTTTACTGTTTTGAATGTGCAATACTCCTAAAGGCAATTAAATTACGAAAAGGTTCTCTATAATATTGGTAAAAAATTGACATATTTTAATTTCAAAAATTACAAAAAAAACTTGAAAGGCGAATTAAAATACTTACCATAAGTTCATCAACAGAACTCGAAAACTCTGGCCACTGTTCAACGGAGATCTCCAGATTCCTGAGTTCAGAACAAAGTCGAGAAGCTGAAGTTAGGAGATCAGGTGATGTAGAGGCCACGAGAACGTCACAGACGGGAGCAACCTTTCCGATTCGTTGCAAAAACTTGGAGAGAACATCTACTGACAAGTTGAAGCCATAAGCTACTGTTTCTTTGTCCCATTTGTTACTAGATGTTGTAAAGACGTAGTTGATATAACGAGTGTAGTCGCCTAAAAATACAATTCTAAAAGCTGGAAGAATGCCTATTTAAAAGAATAACTAAAAGTTCCTGAATCCAAATGAATTAACATTTTACCTCCAGCCATGACAGTAGTCCAACTCTTGCCGTGACATTGGATGGCGAACATGATTCCATCTGAGAACATAGCTGGTTGATACACGAAGCCAGGGTTGAAAGTAATCGGCAGGGTTTCGTTGTTGGAATTCAAGAACTTGGCCAAACCATCAAGCTCGGAGAACACCGTGTCTATCAAACTCCTGACATTCACCTTCTTCGTCTTTATCAAACTGTTGAAGGCTTCTTTCAGTGATTGGACAGTGTCATAAGGTCCATTTAAGAAGGTGACCAGGTCCTTTATCTTCTCTTCAGGTATTTTACAACGATGAATTAACTCAAACTTCAACGGGTCTTCTGAAACACATACATCAATATGTTGCAATGCTTAACAACCATTATTAAGTCTAAAAAAATACTTTTAGTAGCTCCAGTGCTGAACGAGTACAGTGCATTCTGCAGCACAGAAAAAGTTTGATCATCATTGATGCCAAAGTGAGACGCAATAGCTCTGATCAAGCCAGCATGAGATACTAGTGTCTTCCATTCCAGTGACTTAAGTCCCAATGATGAAATTAGCTTGCTGGAGGCCATCAAAAAGTCGGAGATGATCAAGTATTTACTGTCAGCTGCTCCCAAAGTATCCACACTTACTTCGTACTTTGTTTCTGGATGTACGTGTCCTACAAAAGACAAAATAATAAGTCATACTATAAAATTAAACATAAGAAAAGTAAATAATTACCTGATATTTCTCTTGGCCTGACATTCAGCTTGTCGACTACAAGGTATTTGCCCTTCTTGGTTGATGAATGCAAGAACTGTCGGACTACACATTGACGTAAGCTGTATGGTGCCGATAAAAGACTACCAGTCGAGTCTACTGTAATATAAGGGCTGTTCAGCATGAATAAGGCTCCGTTCTTATCCTGAGTGGAGGTAGCCGGAACATACGACTGTACTGTCAATGGTGCAAAGCCATACAACTTGAAAGTGTCTCTAACTTTGGTAATTACTTCGTTGCGTGTAGACATGAACTCGATTGAGGTGTTATTCCCCTGAAATATACAAAATTTACTCAGAAAGAAAAACATTTACATCATTATCAATTGAATATAAGACCAGTTTACAACTTACAAAGTTCTTGTCGTAACCATTCACGGCATACGAAGGTCCTATAGATTTAAACAACTCCATCATTACGCTCTTGTGAAGTCGATGTTTTGGGTTTCGAATAACTCGAGAAAAAATCTTCTAAAGGCGTTAATTTTAATTACGTGTTCACTTTTATAACACCTTTCACCAATATTATGAATTTAATTAGTTCAGTTCAATCAACGTACCTGGAAGCTATCCTCTGCCGAAGTGATGTGAGGAATCAATCCTGAAGTCAGTACTTCTGTAGCACTCGGCCGATCTTTGGGATCGTGTAGCAAGCACCACTTCAGAAGTCTCTCGGCAGAATTGTGATGAGTCTGCGGGAGGTGATCGAAGAAGTTGTCGGTCAATATGAACGACTTTGTCAAGTTCTCTAGTACTTTGACACGTTCGAAACCTGTGTCAATTGGCTTCTGAATCATCTCGAACAGAACTACACCAGCACTGTAGATGTCAAACTTGGTATCGTAGACCTTGTTACTGGAAGACTTGGTGCCTTCTGGAGGGATGTAGAAACTTGTACCACAGTCTTTCGTCATACTATCACCTCCACTTGGACTCATGGGTCGTATCGCCATCTTATCAGGGGAATCTTTACTCAATCTGTTCGAGGAGAGGGCACGAGTTGCCAAACCAAAGTCACCTATTTTTACCTAAAATAATGTTTGTAATTAAATACAATAAATACATTTAAATTGCAATAGAAAACATTATGCACACGTTTTACATAGTAATATTAAACACTTACTGACCAATTGCCATCCAGAAATATGTTTCCAGGCTTGATATCCCTGTGGATGATATTATACTCGTGTAGACAATGGATACCTAACAAGAGCTCCTTGAACAACCTCCATATCATAGCCACATTCTCATACAACTTCTCCGTGTCTATCAGCGTTCTCAACGTGCCGTTCCTGCAGTACTCCATCTGTAGGCACAAGTAAGCGTTGGATGTTTCTTTTGGTACCTCTGGTTCTTGTGGCATCTCGACGTCAATTTCATCGTCGTCTGTCATGACGGCGTCATCCTCGTCGTCTTCAAAGATGACCGAGAATTCAGAATTCAGTTGGGAATGATCCAAAATGTTCGACGATCTTATGGAAGGCTTTCTGTTCTTTCTGAAGAACCCACCTCCTGACGATGACTCGTCTACATCAACTTGGTTCTTCATCTCCTTCTTAGGCTTTTCATCTAAATTATTAAAAATGTCAAAATAATGTTAAAACTACTGATAATAGAGATTAAGTAAACTTTATATTAAAAAACGGCTTTACAAAGCTAAAACCTTACTAGTAATGGTAGAAGTATTAACTGGTTCGTATACCAAAGATTCAGTCCACGATGAAAAGTACCGTACGATGTGTTCGTTGATCAGCTTCGAGAACACGGCTACTTCGTTCACGATCTTCTCAACGTGCTTCTTTGGGAACCCAGTCAGATTGATTCTCTTGATGGCGTAGTCATTCGAATCAAGTTTATTTCTACAATGCGTTATACTACATCAGATACAATATTATTACGCACAATTTAAATTAACGAAAAAAAAATCTCCAGAGTATGTTATTACGGTAACATAAAAAGACTTACCTGGCCAAAAACACTTGTCCAAAAGCTCCTTTACCCAAAAAGCCTAGAACATTGTACTCCTTGACAAGTCGACCGGTAAGAGTCGGAGACATTTCGTGTCCTGACTGTGATGACGAACTGGAAGAATCTGACGACAAGAAATCTAAAACAATATAATAACGAAGTTATATGAACAACAATAATAAACAGCGTTATAAAAAATTAAATGTTAGTTTATATTTCTAATACGACACTCACCTCCATACAAAAACGCGTGGTTCATAAGTTTCTGCATGTCCACGTCCTTCTCCCTACAACACGATGTGAAGTTCTTCATCTCCTCGAATATCTTGTCATCCCCAATGTTTTTGCAGTCAGCTGCCAGAGACTCCAGTAATTCAGCCAGCTTTACAAAGTCCAGTTGCTTCATATCCTTAACATTCAGATGCTGACAGCTGTTGAGGTTGGAATTGGTAATTATTCTCTTAAAATCTTCACAGAATCTTTGTAACTCTACAGTAAACCAGTAGTCTGATAAAATGAAGTTTTGTTTCTCATCCATCCACACATTGTTTCTTATTAACATTCCGTGAGCTAGCTTGTTGTCATGAAGAGTTTTCAAAGCACACAGGATTTGAGTAGCCAGTTTAGGTAATAAAGACGCCTAAAGCAATATATTTACATCATTTTACCAAAAATAAATTAAAATTGATATCATTTCAGAATTTATATAAAATTAAAAATTTTAAATATAGAATCAACAAAACTAAAAAAAGCGAATTTTAGGTAATAAAACCAAAACTTACCGCGTTCTTCTTGATCTTCTTCAAAACACGATCTTCTGTCAACGAATTATTCTCCATATTCAAATATTGTCCCATCACGACCTTGTTCTTGTAACGAAGTGCATCATCCAACTCAGGCACATCTTTGAAAAACAGATATGGTGTTAACAACTCTTCATCAATCGGCAATGGGAAATGCCTTGCTTTCAGAAGGAAATTCATAAAATTCTTGTGAAACGTTGTAATGGCTTTCTTCTTGATTATATTCTCCATCTTGAAATTCAACTCAAACTCGGACACCAAGACTAATTTACTCTAAAACATGATTGCCTAATTATAACATAAATACTCGTTATTATACTAATGTTGAAACTACAAAAACTTACATCATCCCACGCAAAATATTCTGTACAGTAAGTGTGACAAGGACTTCTCTTTGGCTTGTGTTTCGTGACCTTCTTGATGTTGACGTACTGGCCAGACTTATTCAATATCTCGTAACTTTGAGATGCACCTAAAGGCCCTATAAGATTTAGCATCTTGTTCTTCTGACATTGGATTTCGTCTTCCTTCCGTACTTCCACCAACACTTCGGTCGGAAGACTTGGTGATGTGGTTATCACCTTCTTCTCCTCGGCAGCCTTGGGGGTTGTAGGCTCTGTTGGCAGTTTTGCAGGACTGCCAGGTAACCTCATTGATCTGGCACGCCCGTCACCGGTCATCCGGTCGTTGATTTCCCTCAAATAGTTGTCTGCTTCTATCATCATCTGCACTATCACCACCTCCTAAAACAATATCCATGACCAGCTTAAAACTTACTCCTGCTCCGTCTGTTATTATTTGTCTTAATCTTGACGTTAAGTCATACAAATCCTCATTAGTGATCCCATTCAGTGCAGCGTAGCTGAATCTCGGAGAACTACAGATACAGTAATATATTATAACAATGTAAACTTACTCTCTTGGATATAAAGGCGGACAAATGATCTCCAGCTCCATCGATACCAGCAAGTTCTCGACATGCGGCCTAATGTATAGGATGACTTCCAGTCTTGAGAATCCCTAAAAAAGTCAAAGACAATTCAGATCAGACTTACATTCCAAGCGTTCTTAAAAGTGCACTTCTTCAGTTTCTCGGGAAACACCCAGATCAAGTTCTTGGCTTCTGTCTCAGCCCGTTCTTGTAGTTCTGCAGACTCGGGATCTCGTTGATTCATTTTTGTTATCTACATCATCCACAATCAGCTCTAAATTCAGTTGCGCAATTTTCTAAAATTTAATTTTTATTTTTTGAACCCCGCCACGAAAACAAGCCGCAATTTTTGTTTGTCTTATTTTTTGGCCAAGTGTTTTTATGCTGCGCATTCCAATTTTTATTTGTTGTCAATAAAAGAGATAAGTAATATCGTAGCGCATAGTGAATCCCAGATTATTTTGTATATTGTAGTAGCTACTAATTTTTAACATTAACCATGGCGGAGAAGCGGAAACTTTTGAATGAAATGGAGAAGTGCTTCAAGAAGGTGAGTTTTAATGTTGGTTATGTATATTGGTTAATTCAGGTGGATGAAGGTGTCGACTTATTCCAAGATATTATGGATAAGATGGCCGAGGCCAACTCGGATAATCAGAGGGAGAAACTGCAAGATGACTTGAAGAAGGAGATCAAGAAGTTGCAGAGGTTACGTGACCAAATAAAGGGCTGGCAGAACAGTTCCGATATTAAGGTCTGCTTTGATATAATATTCTTAGTTTTGTTCTACGTAAAAATTTTGAAAAATTTATTAATTTATGATTTTTCAGGACAAAGACAAACTGTTTCATTACCGAAAAGTGATTGAAGGAAAGATGGAGACGTTCAAAGATGTGGAACGGGAGAACAAGACCAAACCACACAGTAAGCAAGGTCTATCAGCTGAAGAAAAGCTAGATCCAAAAGAAAGGGAAAAGGCAGACGTCTTAGATTGGTTAAATGTAAGAATATTGTTTTAGTTTTTTATTCTGGGTTTAGTCGCAAATCAGGAAGATCCAAGATGTTGTGGACAGGACAGAGTCTAAGATTGAAGCTATTTCTTCTGCTTCTGATGGAGGAAGGAAGCGAGGTCGAAAGAATGACCAGAATCATGAGAAAGAAGTATGTTGGCAACGTTTTCTTTATTTTTTCGACTTGGTACATAAATTTACTTCTTTAGATAAAAAACTACTTTATATCTTATAAAGAATGTTTTTAACAATCTTTTTTTTCTTAGGCATTAGCAGAGTTGCAAAAACAATTAGACCGAGTAAAGTACGACTTAGAGATGTTGGAAGTCTGTATGAGAGGTATCAACAACGAAAAAGTGAACATCAAAGATGTTGTAAGTAAACTAAAAGACCCATTGGAGATGTACGTTGATGCAATGGATCCTGACAATGATGACGATCCTACTATGTTAGAGCCTGATGGTATGTTTAACACTTTCTAGTAACTTTTCTTCTATAAATGACACTGTGGCTTTGAAATGCTATATAATAGTTTCTTCAGAGATTTACGAAGAACTGCGTTTGCACGAATATAGTGAATTTGTTGGAATTCACACAGGTGATGACGAGAAAGGTGAGAGGTGGTTTATATTATGTCATATCATTGCTTTATAGATCATTCGATGTCACCAACACGGGACGATAAGCACGAGACTAAAACAACAAGGTCAAAATCGATTTCCTCAACAGCAACTGTACCAACTACTCCAACAACACCAGCTGGGCCCATTTCATCGTCGAACCGAGTAACGCGACAGTCAAGTGGAGAGCCGGCTCCTGTTTCACCCCCTCCCTCTTCTTTGAACCAACCTCCACTAACTCCATCTAGTCAGAAAACGGCGTCAACGAAGGTTTGGAACAATTCGAAGTAAGTTTTTTGATATTTGTTTTTGGTATTTTAGGTAATTTCGAAAATTTCGTCTTTATTAAAGAGAGTTTTAACTAAATGTATATGGCAGTTGCTTGGCATACTTTTATTTTACTTTTTTGAATTGTAGACAATTCTCGACGAATTCTCAAGCGTCGTATGCGGCTACTGCAGCTCCACGAGCACCGTCGCCTGTGCAGAGACCAACTACACCAGCTGGAGGATCAATTGGAGATGCTCCTCGACATTCATCATCAACCCCACCTGTAACATACGCAGCGATAGCAGGTAAAAGCGCTACCGACGCACCTGTAACGCCCCCAGAGTCTGTAGATTCAGAAATAAAACTAGGAGAAGACAGTCGAATAAAGGACGAGAGAATTAATCCTGAAGAAATATCAAGTGTGATCAACAACTACTCTTCTCAGCTAGATGACTACGTCAAGTATGAGGAAAGCTCGAATCTAGAACCAAAAACCGTAGGTTGTTTTGAAGATTATGTTTAGTATTTAAGATTCTAATGTTTATAATAATTTTTATGGTTTTAGGCAATAATAACCCCTGGAGATGGTGCTTGTCCCTTGGGTAAGATCGAAATCACCGATGAACTAGAGACACAATTAACGTTAGTCAACGCAGCCGCCACCAAGAAACCCACGCCGATGGATTCGGAGAAAGTGAGGCTGCATCTGCCTAAGGTGCCGTATAATATGTCCAGCTATAGCTATCCCCAGACGATGCTTCAGGAGAGCGATACGTTGGAATACTTCAGCAAACTGACTCCAGAATCCCTGTTCTTCACGTTCTACTACATGGAAGGCTCGAAAGCCCAGATGCTGGCCGCGCAAGCTTTAAAGAAGTTATCCTGGCGGTATCACACTAAGCTTCTGATGTGGTTTCAACGTCACGAAGAACCCAAGTTGATAACCGACGACTACGAGCAGGGAGCCTACATCTTCTTCGACTACGAGAAATGGTCACAACGAAAAAAGGACACCTTTACTTTCGAATACAGGTATTTGGAGGACAAGGACGTAGAGTAGCCCACAAGGTTTGCAATCTTACATTACTCTCAGTGTTTACGGGCCAGTCTATGCATCTCTCATCAGTTTTGTAACAGTAATTATAGTGGAGTGTCAATTAACGATTTTTTTTTATTTTGTAACGATATTTAGTCATTAAATACATGGATTTATAGCAATAACTTGGTATACTTTAATATTAATTCAATATTTGATCTAAGCCTTGGTTCTGGCGTGAGCTTGCAGGATGGTGCAGGTCACCTTGCTGCTGTCTCTGTCGGTCAACTTGTAGAGGATTTGGTACGGAGCGTGGTCTTTGAGGACGGAGATGATCTTTCCGTACTTGCTGAAGTCGACCTCGATGGTGATATCCTTGGTTTCTTTCTTGATTGGGCAAGGCACTCCGTGTTCACAGGCGTTCAAGTTGTTTCTTTAAAGATATATCCAATTAGTTTTGTAATTTGTACGCCAACTTGACAACGACTTTGCTCAAGGACATGTTAGCTAACGTAAAATGAAAATAACATTTTTTTACTTACAATAAGCCGAAAGTAGGGACTTTGTGCCATGAACATCCGGCCCATCCTCCCCAGCTGGATACCTCAATGTCCAATCTCAAGTTTTCGTGGTCGGCATCATTGTCAACGTTCAAGTGAACGTACAACTTCTCGGTCAGCTTTACTGGGTAAACTTCCTTTCCTATAATGGTTGAAAATAGTCTTTGTATATTATGAAAGCTGTACTAAAGAATCAGCGTTGACTATTATACATGGTGTAATATTGAGTAAAGACTCACCATCTTTGTCGGTCAATTTCAAGCTGTTGACCTTGGTGTTGGACTCGGGACACATCGACCAGTTCAACTTGGTCTCAGTGCCATTTGGGAAGGGATCGCAACAGAAGGCGACAGAGCAAGCGACGGCCAGAACTACGAATGATCGAAACATTTCGGATGTGAATGTTGAGGTCGGTTCGTGTTTCTGCTTTTGTACTCATTACTATCACGGCGAGTGCTGATAACCGAGGACGTTGAACAGTCTTTGTCGTGAACAATAAGTGTTGTTCTAATCCGCTTCCTTTTGAAACCTTGCTTCTTGTGACAAACTTTGTTTCCACAATTAACGGCGAACGCTTATATCAATGTTCATATCAGGCATTAGTACCAGGGTTGTCTTGACCGACCACTGTTGAGGATTAGCGACAAATACAATTCAATAGGTACAAGAAGTTTGTGCAGAACTGTTTTTTGGTCTTGATAACATGATTATAAGGTTGATTACGTAATTGGAGTACAAAGTTGCAAAGGTCGGATGTCAAGGTACACTTAATTACCGTCATTCCCGTTGACATTTAGGGTTTGAGTTAGTAAGCGGAGTTAATTAAACTATTTTTGGCTCTTTTATATGTTGTTTTGTCGATTCTTGATGGCTTAACTGACGACGTATATCTTGTGTTTTGTATTTCGTTGTTCTGGCCATTGCAAATGGTTTCATGGTAATTTTGTGACATATAACAAGGAGTCATGTCTGCTTTTATACATATTATTCTTTAAAAAGTAAGTAGAAAGTAATACAATAGCCTCCAAAATACCTTTCTGACTAATTTGGCCAATAACCTCAATTTGATGACATAAAATATAATGTTTCTTTATGTTTACCTAAATGTTTCCAAACTTAATGTTTGATATTTATGCAAAACATTTAAAGTTCAAATCCGGATTTCCGTTTTAATGCCGCGGGAAGAAAATGAATTTGTTTATGCGCTTCGACCTCTTCTCGATTGCTTATCAGCGACATCTTTGTTATTTCATGTCTCAGCCCTGCTCCTTATCACCACGAGCAAATAACGCTCTTTCGGTAAATCCCAAACATTATTAGTAATATTGTAATCATAAGTTGGTCAACTTAAACAAACATTGCGTAGTATTATTATAATATATTAGTTGCATTAACACTACAAGATTGACGATTATATGAATGTTAATTCTATAAATGGCGACAATGGACTTATTCTTCAGATATGATTAAAGAAAGCTTTATGACAAGAAAAAACATAAATTTAAAATATTTCTGCCATTTTTAAAAAATACAAAAAGCACAAACCTAAAGCCGAGCTCCTCAAAAACGCATCCTGAATCCAGATGCCAATCAGTGACACAACAAAACATACCTCTATTTACTTGTGCAAAAAACAACAATACCAATAAACCGTTATCAAGGATTCGCTATCTACAGAAGCGTTCCGTATCTCTGGAATTCGAGGCGGAGAGATCTCGGCGCTGATCTTCTTCCATATCCTGTCAGATATCTTGCCGGCTTCGCGCTGAACGGCATGCCCGAGTTTGTTTAGAGAATGTCCCAGCAATATTACTGTTCCGTGGTCCAAATCGGGGACGACCATTCCACCAGGTTCACGTCACCGTTAACACTGTTCCAATTCGCCGAAAGAACGGTGAACTCAGCGTGCGATCTGTGGAATCCTGGAGTTTACTCCAACTTTGACTCTACACGAGAGCTACAAGGGTTTACCACACTTGACATTGGCCAAAAACTACTGAACCGAAGGCTCACGCTACAGTCGGATTCTGGAAATGAATCTGTAGATACAAGTTTCAGCGAAGACGAGTCTGTAGCCAGTAGTACGAAGAAGGTTATCAAGCCTGTCACGATATACGACTTGAAGAAACATGAATTGAAGAAGGGAAGTGACGATGTTGTTTTGAATATCTACGTCAACCCAGTGAGTTTTACAAGATGTTTTAGGGAAAAACGTACAAAAATTAATTTTTTAATTTCTGATGCTAGCTGACAAACATTATATTTGTGTATACTTGACCGGTAGCTAACAGAAGTTACGCAATTCAACTTTCAGAATCAGTTGTGTAACGAAAAACGGATCGCGGCTACACATCGTAAGTGAAATTGGCTATTAAATCTGTCATGCCTTTTCGTTTGATGAGTAAGCAAATGTGAATGTTATATCAATGCTTTAGAGACACCTAGAAGCGGAATGCATTCCGACTACAAAGTCGTTCCATGGGGTTTAGAACAACGTCCGGTGGGGAAGATACGAAACCCATACAAATGTGACACTCCAGGTTATTCTTTTGACATTTCATATTCAAACTGTTTCCCCTTGGTTTCGTAGAAAAACGCAAATTCCGAGTTTTTTAAAATAATTTCAAACTTAAATACCTTTACTATTTATAGTAGTGAAGCTTATTTACCGTACAAAGTAGTACAATACTATATACTTTACGTTTTAAAAAGTGTCCAATTTTAAAAATGAAAGTAAAATAACATGCGTATGTAATGTTTGAACTCTTTCAGATTCCTGCAAGAGCGAGGTAAGAGAATGCTTATGTTTACTCGACCCTCCAACCTATGATGTTCAATATAAGCTGAAGGGCCATTAAACTTTTTCTCGCGCCTCCGGCTGTTTTTGTTAATTCAGAATCGTGACTCGTATTTTCAGATCAATTCCGGAGTTTCCAAAGTCTGCTACACAGGGCGGAAGACTTCGTCCGAAAGTTCTGAGCCCCACCGTACAACTTCTGAAGTCTCAGATTTGCCGTACGATGACCATCTCTACCAGAAACCCATAAGATTTACGGATTCTGTCCACGAACAGAAGTCGGATTCTGGTGTTCAAGCAGCTCCTGAATTTCAAAAGGCTACTGGAATTCAAGTTCAAACAGATTCAAGGTCTCACGGTACTTCCAATCAAAAACCAACTTCTGAATTCAACGCGAATTCTCCACCGAAATCAGATTCTGGAGAAAAGTGTGAGCAGAATCCCCGGATTCCGGTGTGGAAGTCAAGATTCTTAGATAATAAACAAAAGATCAGCGGAAAGATGGATGCAGACATCTCGGCGGCTAGTTTCACTTTCTACGACCAGAACGGACTGCCTCAGGACTCGTTAAGCCAGAGAGTGAGTGCTCATCTGTTGAGGAAGTCGGCCATCAGAGCTTCGATTCCACGCGGCCGAAGCCAAACATTCGTGGACAAAAGTGCAAAGCCAAAGGTAACATACACATCATGTCCTCCCACGGTTATGAATAAGTCATTTTGTTACCTAAATTTATAGGTCACCTAACTTTAGGATATTAGGGTTAAAACGTACAATATGAAGAAATATCTAAAGCATGGGTACTGCCTTTTAATTAAAGGTACTGATTTTACTATGTTTTTGTAAAAGAAGATATTTGGTATGCAGACAATGACGTGATCTTCTAATATTAGAGTAGAAGGTGGTAAAAGAGATCTTTCTTTTACCGTATAATAAACTACCAACAGTTGTCATAATTACCGTAAAATTAACATGTTCAGTCTGGAGACAATTTTGAAAACTGCTGGGAATAATTTATGAAATTACTTTACAGAGTAAACAGCTCAAGTATTCGTTTCAAGTACGAATTTTAAAAATGTTTCGAGTAACGTGTTGAAAACTTTGGCAGAAGGTCAAGCTTCCGTATTTTAAAAATTTAATTAAAATTTTGTTTCAGGTGCTACAGCCACGCTATGACAGATCGACAGTAATCCCTCGACGACAACAGGTAACGTTTTCAAAAAGTATTTCGAAAAATAAAGCTGTTTCGATAACTGTAGTCAATAGATGTAAGATGTAAGGCAACTCTTCGGCAGAGTCTGATAACTTCAGCAGAAAAGCTTGTCTAAATATAATATTATAGTACGCCTTGATCTCCATACCTTTCTTTTTAAATACGGTAGTATCTTGTTATATATATATATACTTACAAGTATCTTGATGTGTTACGTTCAACGTCATTAAGTGCCATGTGTATATTTGGAGTTGTTTGCATTACGTTTCTGATGATTTAAGCCGCCTCTTCACTATTAAATTTCGACCTCTAATTACAATGTTTCGTACCTATTTACCATTTACACCTTGACCATTTACTCTTCACAAACCCTTTAATTACAGTTTTTTACATTAACATGATGAGGTTGTAACATGCCATAAGGTATAATGTATAGTTTATGTAATTTGTGTTACATTGCAATAAGTATAGTTTATTTACAGTTTGCAAAGTTAATGTCTAAAGCTGTAATTTGACAGCCGTAAATGACACTTACAATCCTACATAGTTATAATATAAGATTGTAATTACATGATTAAAGGTACAAAACGTCACCCCTTACCCTCTGATTACTTCAGATATCAGACCAGAAACGCCGCTCGGTCAGTGTACATAATGAGAACGTAATAACCGTGCACGGCAAGACCAAATGCTCCGCCTGTCAATTCCAACTCGGTAATTACTTTTTGTGGGCCAAGTAATCCTAGTTTCCTGCTAATTGTACAACTCGTTTGTTTGCAGGGCGTGGCCAAGCCATGGTCATATCCGACCTCAACCTTTTTTACCACATGGGCTGCTTCGTATGTCAACGGTGTAAGGTGCCACTGACCGATTACAGGGAACCGGTCGAGTACAGAAGAGATCCGACCGGTCACCAAAGGGGCTTGGCCAATGACAAAGGAGACTTGGCCGTCCGAGTGTTCGATGATCAGCTCCGTTGTCGCTTCTGTTTCGACCGTTCCGAAGCCGGCTTCAAATCTAGCCACATCTAAATGAATTCTGAAGCCGGGTTCAGGCCTTCTGGACGGCAATGTTAATATGTGTAACTTATTCATGTTCGTATATATAACTGGCGAGTTGTGTTGTGTACTGAATGGCTATGTTAATATTTGTAACCTATGTTGTCATGCCTAATTGACTTTTATTCGTACACATCATGAAGAGCCTCCCCCACCGTCACGCGTTTCTGAAGATTATATTACTTGTAAATAAACGGTTTTACCTAGTTGTTATTTTAACATTGTGCAGGGTTATGGCTGGACTGGCATTCGTCATCATCAGCTGGGTGTTGGTTACCGTAGCATCTTTAAGTGAAGCTAAAAAGGCCAAGGATTCTGTCATCGTGCTCTCGAGGAACAGTGACAAAGTAAGCCTCAGTAATGAAAGAAGATGTCATGTTGTGCATCAGTCTTAGCAGTATTGTATAGCGAGATCATCTTTTTTGTGATGTTTTAAATCCTTGAAGATATATATCTCGCTTACCGTAATTCTTACTTTACCGTAACCTTTCAGGATTACCTCCCGTCCCTATACGAGTACCCGTTCCTCGCTACCAACCTTGATCACCGGCTTTACAAACAGACCGATGCCGACTCCTTCCCCATAATGCAGGCTCCGGTCGCTCTCTCTAATCCCATCTGGAATCTTATCAGCCACGCCAGCCGAATGTACAGTAAGAGTCGGCGTGCCACTGAGAAATGATAACATTATCAATAAACTTTACCTATAGCAACATAACGCTTGTCAGAGTAATAAAATAGTGCTGTAGAGGAGTACTGTATCAAAAATAACATATTTTAAGTATGTAGTTATGTAAAGTTTATATATATGTGTTGTACGATCAGTTATATAGGTATCCTTTTATTTGAGTAACTTTATACAGATTCAGTTATATACATGTTATGGTTTCATCGTACAAGAGAGAGCACCCTTACAAACAGGTATAACTATAAAAATACCTAATGTCATGAAAGAACAGATATAAAACATAACTAGCCTGGCACTAGTGTAGCTTAAACAAGAAATGAGATTCCCAAGAGATACGAGGTTGAGATTCTAAAGTGAGGAGACGCTGGAGGCCAGTTCAAGGCCTGATGTCACAATACTTGACCGACTGGATCGGCCTCATGGCTTCGTTCTCGATCACATTCAAAGTTCGAGTCTCCACCCTGAGGGTGTGGTCAAAGCCGGCCTTCTGAACGACAGTCTGACGCTTCGTTCTTCTTAATCCTGTAGTCAGAGAAGTGTCCAAAGACGAAGTGTCACGACATTTAGGAGGCTAAAGGTTTTCGGCTAGTTATTTCGTTATTTTAAAAATTTTGAATTTATAAAGTTTTGAAATTTTGAAATCTTTAAACTGCTTCAGGTCTTAAAAGTAAAAATAAGAAGTTTTACAAAGTTATGAACAGGTTTGCTGTTGGTTTAAATTGTGTTTGGTGTATCAACAACGCAACGTCATTCGTTATTAAAGACAGAAATAGAAAGCCTTATTAACTTTGTACATGTCTACAGTAAAAATACCGTTCAACTACGTGTTATTTCATTAAAGCATTAAGTATTTCCTTTTTTAAATAGCTTATTGTAAATAACACAGCTTCTCGCTTTAAAGGTAGCAAAAACAAAAATGCTTATGTATAAAAATATTCATAAAAAGATTAAAACAACCTTAACTTACAATAGCTTTGACACATGGAGCCCCAGAAGTCATGTCACAGAAGGAGATGTGACATTGGAAGAGGATATTGTCATCGCCAGGGAACTTGAAGGCACTCATCTCTTGGAATACGGTAGACAGGGTAGAGTTGAGAGATTGCTTAGAGTAGTCAGGGGTCTCCAGGAAATGGGCATCTACTTCGCATCTACAATATCATCTTATTATAACAAAACTCTGTCCAAAAATGTATTGAAAGAGACAAACATCAATTCTATCAACTTTTCAAAATAATAACTTTACATAACAAAATAATACTTAAATTCAAAGTTAACGTACCCATCAGAATCAACAATGTTCACAGTATGACGCTCTGAACGTGCTACACAGTCATGTACCAAGAACTTGTACTTAGCAGCTAAAACAATTCTTATTATATTAACATTAGGTAGGCGACATTAAAAGTTCTTGTTTAAGTAATCTATTAGGTGATTGCAAAAGTTTCTGGCCGATTTTTGTTTTTACCAAAATTTAATATTTAAAAAAAAACAACAATAACTAATTAACAAATATATGTGTCATTATTATAAACGACCTGTTGCCATTCCTTCGGCAGCATTTGGATTCAACTTCTATAGAAACCTGGAGTTTGAGAATTGAAAAAGTTAGTCCACCACCTCTTGAGGTACTCTCGATTGTCAAAGCGTGTTGCGTTAAGGTGATTTTGAAGAGAGTGGAACATATGATAATCTGTTAGTGCAACCTCAGGTGAGTACTGTGCATATGACATCACAGTCCAGCCGAGGCTTTTGAGCTTGTGTTGGGTCAACTTTGTCACAAGGGCGCAAGCAGTATCATGAATGAAGAAGATCCGCTCCTGTTTACCATGCAATGCCGCCAAAACAAATTTAATTTGTTTACATTAGACATCTACAGGAATCGTAGTTCCATGTGGTACCATTTCCCAGAACACCATACCTGTTGAGTTCCGGCTAAAGCTGACCATCTTATCCAGTGGGTGAAGATCAGGTTTGAGGTTGATACACCCTGTTCTCCACGTTCAAGCCATTGTTTCTTACTGGTGTAATTAACATACAGTACCCACTCCTCATCCCCAGTAACCAAATTGTCAAGCCATTCAAAGTTCCTTGGGAGCATCAACAAACAAGTGCAAACTTCTACTCGACGTTCAGCTGGTCGCTGTTCAAATCATGTGGAACTTCTTGACCATATTTCTGTTCGGGAACGACCGCTCGCTAGCGTCACAGAATAGAAATGCTGATCGCCTACGTGCCAAAGCTAAGACTGAATCCCACGCCAGAAGAACTGATACATTGTACTTCTACTGATTTGCATATCTCTTGTTGTACTTGTTTAGCGACCGGTATAAAAGCCCGGTCGCGTACTGAATAAACCAGTCTACTTTCAAGATCGGTTTAGTGTCGGGTCGCTTTGGGGACCTCTGAGACCGCGACAATTTCCGTAATCTCCCAATGGCGTGAAGTCTAATTAATGTGGTAGAAGGGTCACACTGAAGCTCTACAGTCAAATAAGTACAGGTTCGTCGAAGTTCTTCTTCGATCAGCTTCAGAAGGTGGGGTTTCTTCAACGCTGATGGTCTACCAGATCGTCTTTTCGGACATGTCAAAGTCACCGTTTTTGAACTTGTGGAACCAAACTTTTGTGGTGTCGTAAGAGACAACTAAAGGCCCTACAGCACTGCATATTTTTTACGTCGCTCTTGTTGCGTTGCCGTGATTGCGGAATTTGAGAAACAACACTGGCCGAACATGATTGTGTTTCACCTTGATTTCTTGAACTAACGTAAACAACAGAAAGCATGAACATGCAATAGTTTTTAGTCCTTGGACACCTCTTTATACAGGTTGCCAACAGAAAGTTCTAGAACAGTGCAAAATTTAAAAAAAAAATTTTGAAAAATCGGCCAGAAACTTTTGCAATCACCTAATACTTCCATTTGCAATAGTAATGTCTTCCAAAAACAGCTGTTCCCATCCTGTATGTAAATATACAGAAAGAAGGTTACTATTACTATATATAGAAACAAAATATATTATATATGTATTAGTAAAGTATATTCCACATATATTAATAAGCACTGCTGTAAATATATAAAAATATCTTACGATTGTCGCATTCCCACTTGTGGTACAATGTCTCTCCTACTTTGGCATCGAGAGCAGAGCAATCGTTGAGAGAAAAGCGATGTAAGCGATATGAGCATTGTATGTCTTTGAGCAACTTCTCATTCATCTGGTCAAATTCCTTGGCCAAGACTGGTTGGGCATGGAAACAACTGACATCTAGACCTTGATCAGATCGAGTCACAATCAAGGGGTGGAACTGTAGGATTACAGTAGCGTTGAAGAAGTAACCATCGCGAGACTAAAACTGGTTTGTAGGTACGAGAGTCAAAACTGTACAAAAAATCGTAAAAGTAAAGTAAAAATCTTGTCTTTCACTTAAAAAACAATAATAATAATAAGATACAGTAATAGATAGTACTACTTTCATCGCAAACATACCAAAACTTACAGGAGATACAGACTTAGTCAGTCCACAAGTCCCTTCCCTAATCGTGATAGACAACTCTCTGTTCTTTCCATCTGCCACCAACACACAATCTTGTTTGTCATGGAAGCCTTGAGCGTACATTAGACCGTTCATTGGGCGTTGTGTCCTCACGGTGAACTTCAAGAAGTTGGCTCCACAGTTGACGTCAGTAGCTCCACGAACTCGCGGTTCTATAAAACAAAATGTTGTATATCATATTAATATCGTCATGCCAAATGAAATAATGTTAAAATTTTAAAAATCATTCTAATATACACATAATGCAATAAATATTATGGTAATGCCATAACTTACTAGCATCAGGTCCCAAGTTCAAGTTCGGACATCCGAAGCCAACAAACCTCAAGAAGGCAGTTTCGAAGTCGTGAAGATTATTAGGGGTAAATACCATGTCAGCACTTCCAGCTATGTTCTCGAGCTCTCTACTATCAACTTGAGTAGGCTGATGTAGCGATACGGCTATCATATTAACTCCTTCAGCTCTCAGGCGGGCTGATATTAACCTTGGTGATCTTGAAGACCGTCCATCAGTTATCACTACTACCAACTTCTGAACATCTGGTCGAATATCTGCATATATTATAACAATTAAAAGTAAAAAGTAGTCGAAAACAAGCTTGAACACTCAGTATAAGCCATTTTTTCTTAACATTATCGCAAGACCAGTTATCATGTAAAAAGTAACAATAATGTCAGTAAAGTAATAATATGTTCTCTAAAATTACCTTCATTTTTGTCAGTGAATATGTTCAACGCCTGTTCCAACGCCAAATGTGTTGATGTAGTGCCTTTGATTGCCTGAAGGTCTTTTAGGTATTTTACTACAGCATCGTTATCTCTGAACTTGAGATCGTTGAAAGAGAAGTGGGTAAAGACATGACCCGAAAAGGTCAGAAGTGCCAATCTGGAAAATATTAAAATTATTTCGAAAAATCAAAACCGAAAACTAAAAAAATAACAAGTAAGCGAAATGTCACAAGAAATCAATAAAAGGAGCTTTACAAAACAAGAAATTGTTGGCCATAAATAATTTTTAGATATTTCAAAATGAAAATTGAAATTTCTGATTGAACTACACACCTGACAGCTTCTGGATGCACATTGATGTTGTGGATGACCCTATCAATGACAAAGTTGATTTGATCCCTGAAGACGGACTCGATGGAATCAGAAGAATCGACCACTAACATAAGGTCCAATGGTTTGTCTGATCCTTTCACACACTCTGTAAGTTGATTATAATAACATTGTTATTGATGGTTTACCTGGTATCTTTTCACAAACTTCGACGCCGTGCCAAAAGTCGAACAAAGGCTCGATCAGGGTCAGGTTCTTGTTGGTTATGATCTTGCTTTCGTCCTGAAGCGAGGTGTCTCAATATTTAAAATATTTGAGTTTAATTTACATATAGTATGGTGTATATTAACTTTTAAAAAGGTCGTATATGGAGAAAATGCATAAAATGTTGTTTGTTGTTAACGTACTTTTGTTATATTGATCAGTTCGTTCATGGCGACGTACTCTCCAGTACCATAGGCCCAAACTGACACATTGGGAATGTGAGACCTCAAGGCATCGGCCGCTATGGCGTCTTTAGGGAAATCGTGAGTTCTGCCATCAGAAAGCAGGAAGACAACCTTTCTGACACTCGAGTCGCGCAAACCCTATAAAAGTAGGATATTAACGTTAGTAATCAACTTCGATTTTATAATAACATTGACGCTGTAACTGGTTACACTCGTTTAAGGTTTATATTGATCTGGTAAAGTGATGGGACGCTACGTGACTCTGAACTTACATGTTGAGGATTCATAACTGACAAAGCGAACTCAAAAGCTCCACCAACACGAGTGATACCAGAGACATGTCTGAGCACGTCCAAAGCACTCAGAAGGTCGTCTCTATCCTTGAAGGCATTGAAGTCGAACTCAAGATGTTGTACTCCACTGAACTGTACCAACATCACACGGGTGGCACTTTCTCCTATCGTAACATGCTTTACTATTCGTCGTATCACATCAATCTCATCTTGGAACTGATTCCGAAGTGAACCAGATGAATCCAGGATGAAGAGCAGGTCCAGAGGTGGTGCACTGACTTTGCATCTGGCTGAAAAGAACTAGTTCGCAAGAAATGTCAGCTTTAATGAAATAATGTGTACCAAAATAAGTATTTTTGATAATATATACAAGTTTTACTTGTTGATGTAAAGCATTATATAGAGGTTACATTACGTAAAATGTCAATTCAATCTACATAAAGATAGCCTTACGTTTGGACGAGATGGGAGTGTGGACTATTTCCGGCGGCGCCAACCCGTTCTTGATGATCTTGACGGCAGCTACGGCATGGCTGAGGAGAAAGAAGAAGGCTGCCAACTTCATGACTCGCTCGGAGGTAATGGCTCCTTCTGGTTTGTTTACTTTCGAATTGGAAGAAGTCCCACAGAGAACAATAAATTTTTAACGTGGAATTACACAGACTCCAAGAAGGTCGTGAGGTGGGGTCGGGAACGAGTCTCGAGAACAAAAAAGGTAACTGTTACCGGTTAGCCGGTCGGTTTGATGGTGTCGCGCCCGGCCTTTGAACCGCCAAGTTTAATGTGGAGGTGACAAGATTGCCCGAGGGGATGTCGAAAGAGACTCCATCTGTCATCTAGGTTGTAGCCTCGCGATCACTGCGACGTTCGCGAGGTTTTCCTGCAGATTCTGCGCAATTGGTCATTGGAATTAGTTTTATTACAGCTGATTCGAACCGGTCATTTTAAAATTTATAAAACAAAACAATAAAGGCACAAACTCGCAACAAGGGCAATTACAAAGGCAGCTAACAAATAAGTTAAACAATAAATTATATTGTAAAGGTTTACAGCCTATATCACGGGAGCACACGTTTACAATGTGTACGGAGAGGTAAAGTGAATCAATCTTAACGTAGTGAAGTTCGACTTATAGTGAAGGTTGCCCATCAGTGAATGTCACCGAATAGAGCTATAAATGAAACTATATATTGTTAATCATGGTGAAAGCTGTCCGAATAAAAGACCAATTCATCTACACTAATATTTAGTACAATGTACAAAACAAAATAGAGCGAAGGGCAAATAATAGAGTAACCCGGAATTCAAGGTGAACATGTCAAGGTAATACAATAAACAGTCTAACAATAATAATGATATGTCCACGGTCATAACGTCCATTTCACCGGTAATAAAAATATGCTCGGATTCTAGTAGGCACAGTTAAAGCTCAGATGAGACCGTTTTGGCGGGCACGATCCTCGTCGTACTCCTGGAAGGTCCAGTGCTGGTACTGGTTGTCGGTGTCACAGGCCTGCATCAGAAGTTGGGCACCGTCCTTCGACATCTCCATGCACTTTCCACTCACGACGTGCAGAAGTTGATGCAACTGAAGCAGAGTATGACGTTAAATAGGCATAGTCATTAACAATTCCTTATACGACAGTAATAACATACTTTATGGTTGTACTTCCATTCCTGGTTCCCTTTCATGCCGTGGCAGGGGAAGATGATCACATCCTTACCAGCATAGTCAATACAACTTTCGTCTCGTCTTATCTCACCATCCTTGCTATATAACCAGTACTACAACAACAAATATTAGTCAGAAAACGCGAAAAACTCCCTTCGAATGCACTTTTTGTCGTATTTTACCTGATTTCCGCCCTGGCTATGGCACCAATACAAGCCAACGTTTTTCTTTTTATTACCGTGAGCTGCCCAATCTAAACATTGTTTGGATCCGCCTCCCTTGTTCCGTACCTACATTAATATTCGTGATTAGCTACTGTAGTTTTACTGTAACCCGCCCTTTTAAAAGTAGTTTGGACAAAGACATGAGGTAGAGAATGTCATAATGATGACATTTCTGGACTTTTAGAAGGAATACTTAGATCACGGAGTAAAGTAGTACAAAACGTATGGTAAAAGGTGTACATCTACTGCAGCCACGTTATCTACTCAAAACGAAACTCAAAATGTTACAGTAACCCAGCCGAGCCATCGAAAATGTTAATAAAATACGAAAAAGTGCATTCGCGGAGTTAGAGTTGTGTCCTGAGGGTACCTGGTTGCCCCCTTGATTATGGCACGAGTAGGGAGTGACGGCCTTTCCAGAATGTTCCTCGTCGGCTGGACTGTCCACACACTTGGCGTTCCGGCCTCCCTTGCCGTTCCGGATCTGAAAGTCAAGAAAGACATAAAACTCGCCTGATTGCCTCCTTGTTTGTGACAATTGAACAAAGAGACCGGTTTATTCTTGATACGACGTGCTACGGCTCTATCTAAGCACCGGCTCGGTTTCAGGTCAGCCCCATTTCTCACCTAAACAATCACAATATTATCCCTGTTTGTAGCTTCAGCCCCGTTGTTAACCGGTGGTAGCAGTGTTTTGGTCGGAATTTTTACTTTTTGGAAACAAAACTTAATATTGCTTTACCTTGAATGTGTAGTAAACTAAAACTGTATGGTTATACTCAATAAGTACTATTTTTCAAAGTTCTTGTTTTTTGGAAAAACGTACACTTTTAATTATTGTAATCAAATACTGTGGCATATAAAGATCATTTTCCTGACTTTTTAACCGAAAGAAATCTACATAATCAGTTTTTGGTATATGATTTAGCCAGTTTAACCAAAATAGATAGCCAAAACACTGCTAGTTAACATCCCTAACGTAAAATTCAACAAAAGGTGTTTGTTTTGAATTAATTTATGGAAATGCATAGAGTAAGCTCCTAATTGCTGAAATGAATCGTTCATGACCTCAGGGACCGAACCAGGACTTACAGCCTTTGCAGCTAGTCGAACACAAAACAAACAGAAACAAACAACACAGGTGCACCAACTGATCAAAAGCACGACTAGTACGGCAACAAAAGCGGTTGGAAATGGAAGCAAACGATAGACTAAGAAGATATCAATATCACCCCAAACCAAACAACGACTTACCTCTCCCCGGCCCACGGCATCCCCTGGGACGAAAAGTTCCGGGAAAATGTTGTCGAGGTACCATTTGAAGGACTTGCACTCTAGTCGCTCCCTCAACGCCTGTCTCTGGCTGATGTCGCCGAAGTCACCCTAAACAATACAATCAGCCACAAACCCACTCACCAAGTTATTGTTTATTCTCTCGTAGTAGTACTTTTTGTAGTCGTCCAACCACACCTCCGCCAGACGTATCGAGTTCCTTTTCAGAACGTTGACGCCCGTTCTCCATTTGTATGGAGACCGTTTTCGGAAGATGTGACCGACGTGACTGCACGGTACGATCTCAAGTCGGCCTCCGCACATCCAGATCTGCAAATACATTTGTTGTAGTTTGGTCATCAGTTTGGAAGTGAATACAGTTAGTTTTTAAATAAAATAACTTCTACTGTTCATAAAGTTATAAAAGTTACCTTAAAGGACAACTCCAGATTCTCGCCTCCCCAAATGTCGAAGCCGGGATCATAAGTTCCGAGTTTCTCAAAGTATGAACGGTCTATGGCAAACAGTCCACCAGCCATTGTAGGGGATCTAAAGCAAATGTTTTAGTAAAAATGACAATAAAAGTAGGTTCAAAGAGGAATTGAGATAAATTACCTGACTGGATCAATGGCTCGCTTCCGATCTCGTCGATCTCTCTCTGGAATGGGATGCCAGTTGAACTGTAGCGACCAGTCAAATCCCCCAACGTTAGTGAAGAAGGCCTTTGAATAATGGTACTCGAAAGTGTCGTCATCGATGACATCGATTACTGGACATACGACAGTCGATGCGTTCTTATGAATTCTATCTAACAACGGTTCCAACCATCCTTCCATACATTCACAGTGAGAATCCAGGTAAGTTAACACCTTTCCTTTAGCTACAGCGGCACCTCGAAGTCTGGCTCTGATCAGACCTTCTCTTTTGTCCAACCTGAGGACCTTCACCTTGGGGAACTGAGCAATGTACTCATCCAAGGGCTTCTTGGTGTGTTCCATGTCTGAGAAGTCATCGACCAGGATGATTTCATTCAGGTACCTGTCAGGCGTTCTTTCAAGGATGCTGTGGACAGTTCTCAACAGGACCGACCACGCTTCGTTGTGGAAACATACGATGACGGAGGTATCTGGAAGGTCTGAAGAGTAGACCTCCGTCGTGCATTCTTGATCAGCAGTTGGTGGAAGAGATCGGTGGAGGGAAATCATGTCAGATGCGTATTGATTGAAGGCATTGTTCTTGTAGCCTTCATCGTAAACTTTCCTTTCGTCTACAGTCAGATCCTAAATCATTTTAATTAAAATTGTGTTCATTGTTTAATTATCATTGAATGTAAATATTGTGATACTATGACTAAATCATCAATAACAACTACACTGTGTCATTCAGAATTGTTTTTGTAAAATGGCCTTGTGATTGCAAATACACTTTGTACAGTGACTTGAAAAAACATGTGTCACGGTCTTATTTGTGTAAGCAATACGTTTACGTAGCGATTTCCATGATAAGATCTGCTCTCAATATTATTTTAAACAACCAATTTCCAGTTAAAAAACATTCTAAACTTAAAACAACATGAGTAGTGAAACATCTGGTCGCTTTAAAACGGCCATAAAAAGCGTGAAATATGGGTAAATTTAATTAAAAGCTTACATTCTTGTTTACTTTCACCGCTTTCCCCAGTTCTCCAGCTTGAGTTGGGTCGCCCTTCTTGTAGATGGGCGAGTTCTGGTCGAACAACTTCTTGTTAGGCTTCTGTAGGACAGGCTTAAACACAAAGATTAGGCTTAAAAACACCTGAATTTCCCAAAATTCAAAAAAAAGCGAAAAGTAGAGAATTATTAAAGAAAAATAAATTAAAGATAACTACATTACGACACTTACAGCTTTATCTTCAGAATTGTCTTTCTCCACAGATTCCTCTTTAGGCTTAGGTATCTCCATGGGAGGTCCAAAACCTTGAAGTTCTTTGACCTTTTGTGCTTCATGTGGCATTGCTTGTAACTCTGACGGCTGAAAACATATTTTTGTTAGTAAAAAAAATTTTTAAGACAATACCATAAAACAACTGTAGATTTTTAAATGTTAATGGCTTATTAACACTTAAAAATCTACTTTGTAACAAAAAATAGCTTAAAAACATAGTATTACAATATAAAAAAAGACAAACCAACCTTGTCGGTGACATTGAAGTAGATCAAAGCACCAAGCCATACTAGGGGGACTAAGAGAAGAAACTTGACAACCAACGATCGCCTTCGTAACGGTGACATGGCCCACGCTGACCTCCAGGCCCCCCAATGTTGTTCTGAAAGAGAAACGTGTAAAACACGGCTAGCAAGGTGCAACACACTAACGGAATATAAATGAGCGAGGTCTTTATCTGAATAATTAACTTTGGCTACATTCCCTTGATTGCCCCTTACTCCAGCCAGATGTCCGAAAGGGTCTATGTTTACTTAACAGTTTTTAAAATGTATATTTTAACCTGCCTTAAAGTTGAAAGGTTTTCGATTCGTAAAACGTTTATCAGCAAGATCGCACAAAAGCAAGCTAGACAAAGGCGAACACGTCGCGAGGATTTTGTGAGTCAAGACCGTTGCAAAGGTCGTGAGACCGTTGGAAATTAATCAAATTTAAACGGAAATTGACTTGCGGATTGACACCAGAGGGATGTACGTGGCCCTACTGACTATTAATCCGAATCAAAAACAATTAAGACCGCGAGGAAGACCGCGGAACTGGCTGAAAGGCCTAGTTCAGACTGAGATTGGGGACTTAACCGGCTCAGTTTAAGGAAAGGTATCCAATTCTAAATAAAAGGAAAAACGACCGCTCAAACAAAAAAACCTATTAAAAAGAAGTTAATATGAGCAGCAGAACTGTGAGTCAAAACTGAAGAAGTCCCAGTTAACATCGAAAAAGGCCCGGCTCAAACCTTAGCGAAGAATATTCCTGAAGATGAATAAACAATTATGTGAAAGGGAGCTGTCGCTGCCGAAGAAGTTGGAATGAAGGTCAATTGCGAAGACTTAGAACGAGGTGCTCCGTGTCTGATGAGCGATCTCGATTGTCGGAACCCGCCACCGCACTGTCAGCCCTGGTTTACCTGCGCAGTAATTAGGTTGAGAGTGCCTGTGAAATTAATCCCGTTTAGTTTGCAAAAACAAAAATAAACACAGCATCGCTTATGAAGTTGGGATTCTTTCGGAAAAGCCCCGCAACGACTTTCTCCACCCTGGAAACCCAAAAAAGAGACATACAGTTTCCGGTCCGAAAGGCCAGCGGCCATTAAGGCATTTGGCCAAGCTTTGGCAAAACCAAGACAATTTGGTTCCTATGCATTTCATGCTCCATCAGCTGTCCTACGGTGTGGTGCCTACATGGAGTAGTCACACTCAAAGCGAATGTCATTAAAGACACAATAAGCATAGGACCCAACCCACACCCTTCTTATCAACTCTCAATATGCTGACGTCAATTATATCAAAAACCATTTGCAAACAACCTCGAGCTTACCATTTTTTAAACTAACATGGTATTATTATGTCTACATTATTTTAACCGAAAACTCCATTCAGTTCATAAAAAATAAACAGATTATCAAAATAATATAAAGCTAGACATCAACGTCACTCCTCATATTAACCTCAAACTTTACAATAATAACCTTTGGAAAGCGAAAAGCACATCTACTAGATCCCTTCCTTTCTTCTTTCATGACCTCCGCAAATTAATTCAATTGAAATCAGAAGAGCAGGGAAGATTATTAGCCGCGATCGCGACAAAAACATTTCAAGTACACTCAGAAAGAACATGGACCGTTAACTGCCACGTATCGCCTGTACAGATCATCCCACGTATACCTCAATTTACAAAGCTGTCCTCAATAACAGCGAAACGGAAAACGGACGACCCAAAAAGATCCCCCGCTCCAACAAAAACAAACGATTTGAATAAATGTCACACGGACAGAGATATCAGACAGCAACGGACAGTTGAAGCACACCGACAACGATCATCAAATTAACTTTATTCATCAATTATTCAACAAAAACAAACACGCGTCCCTCGGATTTGCATATCAACTTGTTTTAGGCTGGTTGAGAGGCAAATCCATTGGCAACAAAACAGCGTGATCACCAGGTCACAACAATCAGACGGCGTCCAAGAAGAAGTAGTTTCCACTCTTCTTCTGCTCCGCGTCTTTCACCGAGTCCTTCTTGTTGATCCTCGGCCGATGACTTTCGTCGTCTCGTCTGAAGGTGACGTCCAATATCTCCAAGAACTTGTTCATTCCATTCAACAGTGACTGCGGCCTAAAATACGATATACACATAAAAATGTTTACAATACATTAAATTAGATCAATTGACTTGTTAAAAGTAAAAAAGATGTTAACTTACGCATTGGCCACGGTCTCTTGTCCAGGCTGACCTTCGAAGACAATGACACGATCGGCCAAATAGGTACTCATCATGAAATCGTGCTCCACGATGAAGGCCGTCTTTTTGGCGTGCAGAATATGCCTTTTTATCACTTTGGCAGCGGCCAAACGTTGTTCTGAATCTAGGTAAGCACTAGGTTCGTCAATCAGATACACATTGGCTGGAGTTCCCAAACAGACCGTCAAAGCTACTCTTTGAAGTTCACCACCAGAGATGTTCTGGAGGTCCAGATCAAGAAGATCGTTGATCTTCATGGGGTTCAAAACGTCGGTCTTAAAAGTTGGGTGGTTCAACATGTCTGGAATGCGCTTTAACAAAAAGGATCGGACAGAGCCTTCGAATTTGGTGGACAACTTCTGAGGTTTGTACGAAATGAGAAGTTCAGGTACCTCGGTGGATGTGTCATCTGGTTGCACTTTACCCGCCAACAATCTAAAAGTTTACACAAGTCAAAAGTTTTTAAAATTATAAAAAAAAGTTTGAAGATGTAACTGACCTGATGAACGTCGTCTTCCCAGTACCGTTCTCTCCCAAAAGTACGATGATTTCAGAATCCGAGAAGGCTCCTCCCTCGATGTTCAGTTGGAAAGTCCCCATAGTTTTGGTCATGTTGGGGTAATCGTAACTGGTCGTTCGTTCCACAACCTGTTGTTCTAGCTGATCTGTTACTTTGAAGGACAATGACGTTTCTCTGCAATAGTCAGTATTTTACCATACAAAAAAGTTTTAATTCAGCTATCAAAATAACATACCTGAATTACTAAAATCACATACCTGAAACGCATATTTTCGGATTGAATGAAGCCTTCCAAGAACATGTTGATGCCCTCTCTGACTCCAGCAGGAAGTGTTACGACTCCGTAAGCTGAGGGAACGCCGTACAAGATACAAACATAATCAGACATGTAATCCAGCACAGCCAAGTCGTGCTCTACCACCATCACATAGCTAAAATAACCAATATAAATCTTCAAAACTAAAGCATAGTTTGTAATTTTAACAAAGATTTTATAAAAACCATAATAAATGTTATAACATATTTAAAAATATTTTATCAAACATACTTGTCGGATTTACTACATTCTCTGATCATCTTGGCAGCCTCCAATCGTTGTTTTACATCCAAAAAGGAAGAAGGTTCGTCGAAAATGTAGATCTGTGCCTTCTGAATCAAACTCAAAGCAATAGCAAATCTTTGCAACTCTCCGCCAGACAAGTTCTTGATTTCTCGGTTAAACAAGTGCCTTAATTCTGTAAAAATCATCATTACTATCAAGACTAAAACAGTAAGACGCCAACGAAAAAATACAAGAAAAAAATTCAGTGTAATATACTCACCCAAGCGATCGATGATTTCATCAAAGTTTTCAACTTCTCTTTTGGCATTCAAAGCTTCCTCAACATTTGTGAAGCCAGCCTTTTCGACAACTCTAAAATAAAATAAAGTAAAAACAGTAAAAGCTTACAATATTAAAAAAAACCATAAAAAATTAAAAGCTTACTTCGGTAGTTGATCAACATATTGCGGTTTAATAAGAGACTTGAGTTTGTCTTCCAACAACTTCGTAAAGTAATTTTGAAGCTCACTCCCACGGAAGTAAGTCAACACATCTACCCACGGTACAACTCCCTAAAACAATATAATTAGGCATTAATAGATTCAATAAACAAAACGCTAAAAGAAAAAACACATTATCAAATTACTTAATTAGAAAACATACCGTAAACCTTCCCAAATTCGGTTTCATTTTGTTGGACAATATCTTCAGAGCTGTCGACTTGCCAATACCGTTGGTCCCTACTAATCCGAGAATGGATCCTAGCCTAGGAGTTGGTAATCGATGCAATTTGAAAGAGTTAGGACCATATCTGTGAGTTGTGTCCTTTTCCAAGTTACTTGGCAAATTGATAATGGTGATAGCGTTGTAAGGACATTTCTAAAATAATAATGTAATAATTGTACAGGAAGGTCATAATTTTATCTTGAAATACCCTACACTCAGATAGATTTGACCTTTACATACAATAAGACAAATATCCACTTAAACAATGTGTATAGCTATGTATAGTAATCGATAAAAACAATTTCCTGGAAGATAATTGCCCAAAAACAAACTGTACCTTGGTACAAATACCACATCCAATACACAAATGCTCGGAAATCTCGGCGTTCTTCGAAGTTGCGTCCACCACAATACATTGTTTGCCTAAACTCACAATCCATAACATAAAAACCATTACCTACCTTGCTTTACTACTGGACACGATCGCTTGCAGACTTGGCCGCAATTCTTGGGCTTACATCTGTCGTTGTTGACGATAGCAATACGGGTCTGAGTACTCTGCACCTCCGTTCCAGGTTTTTTCTTATTTGACATAGCTGAAATTAGTAAATTAGAGTTGATATCTTTATTTTAGACAAAAATTAAGCTCGTAACGCGTTTTTTCATGAACATTATGTTATGAAGCAAGAAATAACGTATAGCTTCGACCCGCTTTTTTCCATAAACCTGTTTTGTCCAGCGCCTAAGCCCGAGAAAAAAGCATCTTGACCAATCGAAAAACCATAAAAATGTCAAAATTTATATTATACTGTCCACCAATCTTTGCTAAAGCTTGACTTTAATCATTTTTAAAAATAATAAATGTAAAAACAATTGCTTAATGGCCAACAAGTTAGCCATCTAGTCAAAAAACACCTTTTCCGGGCTAACAAAAATATTCCAATAAGATATTTATTTAGGACTGGGTCAACTGTTGCTCTATCTCGTGCAACACTTGACTCCTTCTTATCTTTATGTGTTTTTGAGGATAAGACACGAACGTCGTGGTATTGGGACGGCTGTTTATATGTGAGAGAAGGCCGGACGGCACATTCGACGCTCAACTTTGGTCTAAACCCACCGGTTTTCGTGTCTATCTTCTCCTTCATGCCGAAATTGTCATCGCGGGATTGAATTAACGGCCAAGTCATCATAATCATCGGCTATGTGAAGAGAGAGAGCCGAGTAGGGAAATGGAGGACCCCGATCTGGACAACTTTACGCTCTCCTTCCAATACTACTTTCGCCACTTTTATGGCCCCACCTATCCTCGCGACATGATCATGCACCATCTCCTCGACTCCATGAAGCCCCTCTTCCAACAAGCACGCCGACTGGTCGATGCCAAGAAACAACAGCCGTCCAAGCGAGCCGGGTTTGTTGTTGTTTACTCCCAGTTATGAAAAAGTCCAACTGACTTTTGAAAATGGCATTTTTGCACTTTTTTAGTAAAGTTGTGACAGCTAATTGTTTGTGTGAAGGAGAGGCATTTTTAGGTATAAAAAGGCATATTTAGGTATAAAAATGCATTTTTAAGTATATAAATGATATTTTAAGTATAACAGATGAAAAATATTACATTTGTTGTTGTAGTGATGACAATTCGTAATTATTTATAGCAATTGTTGATTACTTGTAGGAATGTAAGTGCGTGGGAGACGTGTCAAGAACTGGCGGCAAAGGCGGAATCGTTAAACTCCATTAGACCAAATACCACTAAAATGCTGAAGAGTCCGTTGGTACAGGTAAATTAACACTAGTTTTGTTGTCATAATATATGTTATGAAGAAACTACTACGCTTTTTAATGTAATGTTATATATTTTACAGTTTTTATCAAAGTTACTGTTATTCTAAACTCAGTACTTTTGTTTATATAAACTTTAATATTGGTTGACTTATCGTACTTTAATTGATTCAGAACTTGTTTTTGGCGTACGACGAGATCACAAATTATGCTGAAGACTTGCCGCCGGCCCAAGAATCATCGACCGAGAACGACGTGCTCATTAAGATTGTCAACATCGTGAAAGGAGACTATCCCCTGGGGGCAACGATTAAAGTCTACGGTAATGGCGACATTTGTGTGGCCAGAGTGATGGCCGGTGGAGCGGCCGATCGTTGTGGATCTATACAGGTATTTAAAACATTTTTTTGCAAAGTTTGTGTTGTAAGCAAATAGTTTTTGTAAAAAGCAGAATTGGAAAAATGTTGTAGTATAAGTTACGACTTTCAGCCCGGCGACCAGATTTTGGAGATCAACAACATCCCAGTGTCATTCAAGTCTCCAGATGAAGTATTGTCGATACTGAATAGTACTGAAAACGGTATAGTTACCTTCAAGTTAATACCGTCGAAAGAAGCCTCAAAGTCCAGAATCTCAAAGTCGAAGCGTTACGTCAGAGCTCTTTTTGATTACATGGGATGTGCTGACCAACTCCAACCATGTCGGGAAGCAGCCTTGAACTTTCAGAACGGCGACATTCTTGAGATCTACGTGAGTGGCGACTCGTATTGGCAACAGGCGAGGGTTGTTGGACATGGTTCTTTGATTACGGCTCCGCTTTATGACGGTAGGTTTTTATTGGTTAAATTATTGTTGTTGGTCATAGAACTCTTTATTATTGGTCATAGAACTCTTTAAAGTTTACCTAAATGAAGATTATAGTATTTTGTTTTCAAGATTCTTGGTGCAATTAGCTAGGTCTTCAACATTTCATTTCAGATGACACGACAACGACGTCAGACGCTTCTACGAGTACATGTGACACGTCGAGAAGGCTGGAAGTGGGCCTAATTCCCACAGAAATGGTCTTGAACCGTAATTGTGAGTTGATTTGCATATTGGTATTAAGAAAGTAGTTAACACATGATATACTGGCTAGTTTAACAAACGATATGTATTGTTTAGCATAACAAATGACACATTAGGTATGTTTAGTCGTTTTATGGCTAATTTAATTATCTTCATGAATGAACAGAGCAAACATCGTAGCTGCACGTGAATACGAAAATTCGTTTCAAATGCTGCAAAACACGTGTTTAAATCAATTATATCACTGGCACTAGTACTCAAAACTCAATTGTTGCAAATTGTAAAAAACACCTTTTGACTCGGTCACAAAATACGTAGAACAACATTATTTCAATTCTTTGTTAAAGCTCTTTAAAGTATGCTGCTACATTTTGACAATACCTATTTGCAGACACTTTTGAGCCCATTTCTCAACGTTTTTATGAATTCGTCGACGTTCTCGAGCCCGGCGAAATCCGACCGGTCGTAATAATTGGTGCTCCGTGTGTTGGTCGTAGTACGTTAAAGAGTCGACTGATAGCATCGAACCCCCTAAAATACGCTAGCCCTGTCCCCCACACCAGCAGACCCCCGAGACCTAACGAAAGGCACGGTGTAGACTACTACTTCGTGACCCGCGCTCAAATGGAGAACTGGATAGCTACAGGGAACTTCGTGGAGTACGGAGAGCTTAATCACAATCTCTACGGTACCATGGACCAGGCAGTGTTCCAGCTGATGCGACAGGGCAAGGTACCTGTGATATGTGCCCATCCGTTGTCGCTCCGCCTTCTGAGGTCAGCTTTGTTCAAGCCAGTCATCGTATTCATCGAGCCTCCTCACTTCTCGCTTCTGAAGCAGACTCGGCTGAAGTGCCGTGCCAAGTCTTCCTTCACTCAAACCTATATGACAGAACAAGACTTTGCTCACATCATATCGTACTCGGCTCAGATGAGTGCTGACTACAGTAAACTGGTCGACTTCAGGATTGTGAACGGTGTTCTGGAAGAAGCCATCGCGGAGTTGATTCGGATCATCAGAGACTTTGAGACTCTACCGTCGTGGGTTCCAGAAGACTGGATTCTGTCCAAGGGCTTCAAGAATAGTTGTTGTTGATGTTATGTCTTTCTCATGATGTTGATCTCAGTTCTTTCTCCTTTTAGATCTGCTAGAGTTTATATTTTTAAGATTTCTGGTTATTTTAGGTAGATTTATTAATTTTTTTGAAATGAACGAAAGAATTAATGGATTTACGTAATGTTTATGACGTTTATAGAGAAGTGTTACTAGTATTGTTGTTTTAGATTGTAAGTCACAACTTTTGTCAGGTTACGGGTCTTCTTTTGTCTTTCCTTTTTTCTCAGGAATTTTTGATATTGACATAAGCACTTACGGAATAAATCGGTTTTTGCTATTTTGTGATTTCCGTCTTTAAACTAAAACTATGATCATCCAAACTGGAAGTGTGATAATATCACAAAACATGACTTTACAATGTTCTATCATCAAATTATAAGAAACTACAGTATGCCCACTACAGTAATAACCGTTTATTTGGTACTCTTGAACAAGTTAGAAACAGAAAAACCCGTTTGTGTGAGTGAAAGTGCTTAGAACTCTAATTATTCATTTGTTGACACCGTATGTTGTGTACCCTGTTCAAGTGACGATTCTCAATGGCAATGTTGGGATGAGTTCAGAACTCGTTGAGGAAGCAGATCCTCTTGATGATTCGTTGGAAGGCCATCCGGAAGTCGGTGGAGAACACCGTGTAGATGATGGGGTTGATCGCCGAGTTCAGGTAGCCTGAAGACATGCCTTTTATCATAGTGTTCGAATATTATCTTTGGTTCGGCTTTTGATTTTTCAAGTCATTTGGTTCTCAGTGTTAGTAACCGTGGTATTACTCATATAAAACTAGTAATTGACATTACGTTAGTCTATGGTCTTTAGGTAGTCCATGTTTAATACCAAGCTATGTTTCTCTTATTCTTTTCAAATTCCAGCAAAAACAAGGATAATATATGGGACATCTCGATATTACGGCAGCCAGACCTTGTAACAGAAACCCTTCTCATGTGTGAAGATGTCAACAAGATGATAACAACAACTCTTAATAACAAAAACACTCAGAGACCCCCACCATAACATCAATTTAAGTATCCAATTATGATATTGATACATGCGATGAGCTACTTAAACTGATACGTTATGGTACCAATATATCATGGATAATATAGTGATATTGATGATAATGCATGTGTTGTTAAACGAACAGATAAAAGCCTAATTTATGATATATAACAGAGGTGTGTAATTTATGATATTGATTTAGACCCGGTTTAAGGTGATAATGTCATTTTTTAATATAGATGACTATTATGATGTCGTTAGCAAATAACAATATTGATAGTCAATATCAGGTAGTTGGTATCGCTACATAAAGTAAATTAAAGTATAAGCGAATAACATGACAATACTTCCTCAATATAATACCACAATATCATTAATGGGAGTTTACAGACTACTATAACATTGCAAATGTTAATCTTTCGACTCAAATGCTATAAATTTGCAAATTTAAATTCAATTAATGTTTAGGACTGTATAATATAGAAAAATATTTAAATCTTAAGCCTAGAAAAACTATAAAAATAAACTTTTAAACTTAAAACTTTGTGATATAATTGAAAAACCTACCCAGCCACGATGTGATAGACTCCACGGCAACAGGGATCTTGCAGTTACAGATCGGCCGGTACAGGGAGACCAGGAAGAAGGGCGTCCAACAGGCCACAAACGTACCCGTGATGATGGCCAAAGTCCTCCAGGCCTTTCGCTCTCGACGAGTCTCGACGCTCTCCTTTATCCGCTTCTTGCGACGGTTCCCCCTACTCGAGTTGCGTTTATTGAACCCTTTATGGCGGCCTGCAATGGGGATGTATGTAAATAGGAGAGTGAGTAAGTTGATTAGCATCGTCCTGGCCCACTTACCGTTCCCGTTCTCGAGCTTGTTCCCGTAGTGGCTGTTCTCGCTGACCTGCATCGGCGTCCGCTCGTCGTCGTTGTCATCCGAGTTGGTGTTGCTCTCGTATTTCACCTGCAAATAGTCTGGTTTTACCGTAGGACTTACTTTAATCCGCACATGACCATTTTCATTACTTACAGCTTTGGTCGAGTACGAAATGTCCTGAGGCACGAGAACGGCCGTGGGAATGGGCGACTGCATAAATAGATCAGTAATTATCATCACAAATGCAAATCAAAGCGTGAGTAACAACAAGACATGCGTACGATGTGAATTTAGCATTAATAACAAGACTGATTTAGTGCTGAGAAAGATTAATACCTAACAGTATTAATACTAAAAGAGTTACTCCCAATGATCCTCACAAAGCTTGTCTTATTATTGACTCTAAGACCTAAGCTCGGCAACAAACTATGCATCAAATACCACAGTATCATTAATATTCGTTTTGAAATAAAGTTGCGGTGACTTATAACAGAACGTTAACTTACAATTATCCTCATCTGGTCGTCGTCTTGGCTGTTCCGTCTGAGTTTTGTACGATCTTCTACATTTCTGTGAATCGTCTTCCTGTCACGATCACGTCGGAATCTCTTCTTAGCCGCTCTCATGATCTTGTAGTAGACCACGATGATGGCACACAATGGAATGTAGAAGGCAGTTGCCGTGCTAAACACCTAAAAAGAAACAATAATATAAACTATGTTCATAACAATTTACTATGATTATCTTTATACTTCCCTATGAAGATATATGGAAGCCTGATACTATCGATAAAATAATTAATTAATCTGTTAACACAATCAGTTTCGGAGGGTTGTTTATGACTTGCCTGATAACTGATTTGTTGTGATATCAAACAGACATGTTCTTCTTGAACTCGTGTCACAAACTGGGCATCTTTCCAGCCGAATATCGGGGCTAACGATATTAACAACGACACTACCCATATAGTCAACAACATGAAGAAGATACGCTTGGGGGTGCGATTCTGCACGTAGTAGATGTCCGTGACGCTCCAGTATCTGAAATACAAATTTTTAGTGATAATTTTTACAACTATAACTGTTTTTGATTCATTTTATGTCATCACTTTTCAAATTTGTATCAATCTATTGATATACGCCGCTTTTTGGGTGCAAATCCTTGTAATACGATTGCCACTACTTATGCATGAATCACACTAATAAAATTTAAATCTGTAATACAATTTGTCACTACTTTGTTACAAGTCGGCTCTACTTTGTATTCGATTTCTTATAGGCAGCCGGCTGCCATTAAAAACATTTGTTTTGCCAAAACAAAACTGTAGCCGAATAACTTGTGCAAATTTAATACAATTAAGTACAACATATTGGTATTTGCTCAGCGAAACCTGAGAGTTTCCCAGACAATTTAAGTAAATTTGATGACCGTGCTTTCTGAGTGTTATATTATTTTCTGCTGAAACAATGGAATAATTTCTTTTCCATCAAACAGACACTAACGTCACAAGTTTGATGGCCCGAGAGTATTAATATTTGTTCAGGATCTCACCCTTTTTACCACCTCACCCACCTGTCAAGAGCGATCGCTACTAAATGAAGAATCGACGCCGTGCAAACAAGGACGTCCACGCTGATCCAGAAGTCGCACAACGTCACTCCAAGGTGCCAAGCTTGTCGGATGGTGGCCCAAGCCCCAAGGGGTGTGACTACCAAGCCCACCAGAAGATCGGCACAAGCCAGCGAGAAGATGAGATAGTACTGGGGTCGAGAGCGAAGATCACGTTCCAGCACGATGGCCATGATGACAAAGAAGTTGCCGACGACGCAGAACAGGATCAGAATCAGCAAGACGGACCCGATCCCGATGCTCTCCCACAGGCCGAAGCCTTCGTCCGACGCCGGTGCCACTTCCATCTGCCGTGGCAACACCACTACGTCTTTGAACAGCACCAGCAACTGGTCGCTGGAGTTGGGCATCGCAGCGTGTTCCTCGTGTCCGTTACCGCCGTAACATTGGATGGGGCTGAAACAACGATAAGAAATGGCAAGATAAACGTATTAAATTCTCGCAAAAGTAATTTATGAAACAACACTCTTGCCGACAAACCCAAAAATGTAAATGGAGCATCTTCTATATGTTTAAGATTAATTAATGCACATGTGAAAATACAAGCAGATGTGCCGAACTGAAACGTGCTCGTTCTTGTTTGGTACGGCGCTCTTCTCACCGTGATAATTTGTGGTATTTCGAGAAGAGATTAGCGGGATTAAACGTTACTTATTCCAAAAAAGGTGACGTCGCTGGGAAAGTGGCACTATCAAAACATAAAACAATGTCCAAAACCTAATTTCAATCGCTCCGCAACACAAATCCATAAAAACGCGCAACACGTATCCGACAATCTCGATTGCCATATGGCCGAAAAGACAGTCGCTTAGCCCCTCGCCTTTGCACCTTTCGCCCCGCCCGCCAAAAAGTCAGCAAATGTTCGGCTCATAAGAGAATTTATTTGTGACCTGGCCGCCTAAGTATGCCGAAAACAAACCATCCGTCATTGATAATGAGTTTCCGAAACAAACTGTGACATCGCAAAATAATAAAGGCAAAAAGCTGTTAATCCGGCCCCACCACGAAGCAGAATCCCGCGCTCACAGCAGCAACAAGAGGAAGCTTGAATCACGAAAAACAGACCCCCTCTTCGGCCCTAAGGGCTAACACGGCCGGAAGTTTGACTTAAAGTTGCCAATTCCGCCTCGGTCGGACGCGTTCGAGCTGAAACCCGGTTTAGTGACTCTACAGCCAGCCGGCTTCTGCAAGCCGAGAGACACCTGCGTACGACATAAGCGAGTACATAACCACATCATCCACAAGTTGTCAAGTTATTACTACGTTAATACGATTACTTGTGAGAAAATACAATTACTGCACAAGCAAGAGTATTTTTAGTCAATATTAATATTGTCACAAAGCAAATCTTGACATTTTTAACGCTTGCAAACCAGTATTAAACACATATTCAACACAAACCCAGGTATTCAAAACTATATTCACCAAGAAGTTTATGGTCTTAATAATAGCACGCTTTCCAACGTTCCCACCGTTAGCAAAAAGGTATTTTGCCAATCAACACCACGCAAGACACGACTAGCGCCACGGAATTGCAAATATTGTAGACATCAACTGTGTCAACGTTATATAAAGGCCTAATTAATCATATGTACAGACAATAAGACATGAATATAGGAGCTTGTTTATCCCTCTGCTGATACTATCCGGGTCTCCCTTCTGATACTATTTTCCTCCCTCTGTTACTATCTCTTGTCTGATGCTACTATACATTAGTCGGGATCGGCTCGAGTATACGTAAATGAACACAAAAAATTCCAGAACGCTCGGTGGGTCCCAATGGGAGTCGACAGAACCGGAGGCAAGAATTAAGATGGCCGGAATCGGGCGGCGGCCTGCTCCAATTACCTGTACTTCTCCTCTCCGCCACTCTGGGCTGTTGTGGGGTTGTTTTGTGCTTAAGACGGGGACGACAATGAAATGTCATGACTCACATATTAAAAGCGCGCCTCGACCGTTATTGTCTCCCTAAATTGTATTAAAGTTGGCACGACTGACGTGGGGTTGTTTTGGCTTGGGTCCAATTAGAGGCGTCTTCGGACAGGTCTATCGCACAATCAGGTATAAGGGCTGGGTAAAAAACATACAGCCCGTCTCATTATTCGTATCCGGGTGGTTTGGCCAGTTCTTGAAACCGAAATATGAAAACAATTTTAGGCGCAAGGAAAACACAACTTTCGACAAATATGCCCAGATTTATAATATGGAGCGAGGCCGACGTGTTCCTAAAGTGACCAAACAGAGCTAATTAAACTTGGAATCCGAGGGCGAAAACCCTCGTGGACTTTATAATTATTGAACTAGACGTGCCATTAAAGACGGTCAAGAAGCGCAGTTTGGTCAAGTTGGACCTTCCTTAACGTTAACGTACCTTAAAAAGCTTATTATAATACACCCCCTTTAAAAACGTTAATATACATACACAAAAAGACCGAATCCAAGCAGGCCAGAGTAAAGCACTCGGCCTGTCATCGCCAGCAGACCGCTGAAACACAAACGTAGTCCATCTGATGATGATTGGCGACTTATGTCAGGCCATGTCAGCGACTACGTTCATCGAAAGTAAAGCGGCGCCGTCTTCCGTGGGGACATTCACACGCTAACGCTCTCCGTCTTTCTCCACACAGAACTTGAATGCCCAACTCAAAGGGATAATTGACTCTATTTTACTCATCAGCCCTCCTGCAACATCTCCCCGCCCGGCCTAATTCGACAAATCTTTGAGTGCAATAAAAAGAGTTTGGGCTGATCCAAGTTTGGGCCGAAATGAAATTACGAACTTCCTAAGTTACAGTTCCTCGGGGCTTAAGTACTCAACTTAAAGCTTAATGTACTTTTTATTGTTTAGGTTCTTCAAAATGCATTCTATAAAGAGTAATGCATGACTTACTGCCAAGCGGACAGTAATAAATCGAGTATGAATTGAGACAATAATAAATCTCTAATAACAAATTGGCACAAGTACAACGATAAATCTGTTGTAATTGCCTGCCACAACACTGAGACATCGTAAAAGAGATATGGCAAAATGTTATGTCATAAAGAAGAATCCAATTAAATCCTATATCTGAATATGCTAACAGATGTTTGCCTTGGGTCCTTTATATTCATATAAAAGCGTAACCAGTAGGTTAAGTAAAGAAATGTTTTGTACATCTACTTAACGTCAATTGGGACCACCCATCGCCCGAACCGATCCCATTACGATAAGCGTGCATTAGAACAGGACAACGGAAAATCGTGCTACAGAACACGATCTCCACATGTTGTTCATGCCTATTATAACATGTCTACTATAATATGTCCAAAAAACAACTCGAATGTGATAGATAGCCATGAAATGCGAGTTATGGGATGCGAATAATGAATGCAAAACCCTTAAATAGAAGGCTTTTGATTACACCGAATCCATTATAAATAATGCGACAAATAAACAAAAACTGCGACAGTTATGGTATAACTCGATTACAATGACATGAACTTAAAGAAAACCCCCTAAGGCCCTTCGTCTCGCCCTTCCTATAAACAACTATCAAATTGAGCCGTGTTTTCATAAAATTCTTCAAAACTCGGCCTTATCACAACAAACGTCAGCCATGTTATTTCTAATCAAAAGAATGCAAATTAAAAAAATTACAGTAACCCTAGTTTAAAAAAGTGGTTCTTATGAAGAAAAGTGTATAAAGTTGAACGAAGTAAATGTAAAATTATATTTCTAAAGGTATAAGTTGTTAACACAACCTGGCTTTATAAAACTTTTTAATTCAGGTCCGTAATACAAAACTATTTTTAAACGGAACCATATACTACATTATTACCTCAACGTTAACTCCAATATTTTCCCAGTATTGCCAGAAATGTAAGTCCCTTACTACAATACAAAATGTAAATCTAATCTACGTGCTTAACCGAATAGACAAACACTAGAGTTAATCCAATAAGATTCCGTCTCTCATTATGGCCAATGTCATGATGACTTCTGAGGCCAAAGCGTAAACTAATTAATTAAAGAGAGAAAGCATCTGCTTGCCTCCACAATAATATTTATACAAAAAGAGCAAGTTGGTTAGGCAAAATTAAAAAACTAAATTGTAGGCTTACTCGGAACAAATTGTAATGAAGTTTGCTGGTACAAAACAAAAAGAGCTACGTTAAATATGTTAACATCAATATTAAATGGAGTTAGTGTGGTCGGAAGACATGAAATACACAGACTGTTTCAGACATTTCGTTAAAGTGAATTAAGATAACTGACATTAAAACACGCAAGTACTAAGAAGCTATATTGTATTCGGCTATGAGCGTCAGTTATAATTGTATTTCAACACCTACGGACATTGTCTTAACTTCTCAGTACAATTACTTTATATACACAGCACAGCGTATTATCACCGTGTCATTATTAAAAGTTTCAGAACACGTAAGTGATATACATGTACCGTATGACGTATCTTTCAAACCAAAATCCGATAAATGCCCACAAAACAATACTTGAGGGTTTGATTACTAGACAGTAGATGTGCAAAACCTTCGTTTTACCCATGCAAGGGAATTCAATAACTGTCTATAGAAGCATGGAAGAGCGAAGAAGAGAAAAAAGAAGATAAAAGCCAGTAGTACATAGTAGTAAGAAGTAAGCTTGCGTAGCGCAGGCGGCCACGCTTACTACGACTAAGCGTGGAAAATCTACGGGAGTTAGTTGGGCGGCCCACAAGACGGAAAAGGGTTTGAGGGAAACGTCCGCGGCCGAAGGCGAAACTGTCAATAGTTAGAGGAAGTCAGTTCTTGACAATGAGGCCACAGATTCCCCCACGTCACGCCGCAAATCACAAGTTAGAAGCCATTACGGGTTCGTCATTAGCGTGTTCTTCTTCAACATACCTCGAAACCTTTTGCAAGTTTGCTCTAAGCTTCATGAAGAAGAGGAGAAGGCCTTCAAAATCTGTGTGAAGCATCGTTTTACATATCGGGTGGCAATGGAAACGAAGCGCTCCCGACCCTTCCGATTCAGTTGAGAAGTCCTCAGATTCCAATTCCAAGTGGGAACGGCAACAGGAATCCAGAAGAGACCTTCCTGAAAACAATGGTCTCACTTTGTTGATTACTTTGCCATGAACAACATACAACATTCTCGCTTTCACGACCCCAATAAGCTCAATTTCAGCAACCCGCCTTCATTATAAACAACATCGTTTTACTATGAACAACATGCCCAGCCATGAACAACATGGTATTTCAAACAACATGCTAACAAAGCCACTCTTTTCATCATGCCTTAATTAGCGGATCGTATGCCACGATGCTTGATTTATGCTAAGCATATTTCCATAATAAATTGACCACATTTCTTACACGTAAGAGTAGAGAGTAAATTTGTTTATGTCGAGTAATATGGAAACATGAAAATTGTGAATATGTGTGTTAATGATGTTTAAGTCGCTATCTGTTTTCGACCTTTGAAACCTGCCATTTGTTGATGAACTCCACAGATTTCAGCGATGGCGTCACCAGTGTATACCGAGAACAACCTACAATAAGTAGGTAATGAAAAGAGAGTTGTTTTCAATTTCAATGGCTCTAAATACTCTGCATTTACAGAGTAAGTTGCTAATTATAGGTCATGTATAATTAAGCAAAACGTAATACACCACCATGAATTAACGTAAAATTATTGGAAATGAAGCAACTAGAGATTAAAGAACAAGTACAACGTTCCCTTCAACTTAATATGGAATGAATGATACAACCATGAAGATAAATATATAATCTTTACACGTAACTTACTCTTTGATAACCATAGTAAAGTAGCAGAAGCGAGGCATGTAGACGATGTGAGTGTCAGTTAGCACCGCCTCGACGATCTGATCTCTGACATATTCTGGCTCCAAAATAGGCAGCAAATTGGGAAAACTGCTCTTAACTCCTTCGAACATCCCAGTATTAACATAGTAGGGGCAAATCAAAGTGGTCTTGACATTCGAATTGGTGGACGTCAATTCAGCGTGTAAAGCTTCTGTGAACCCACAAGCAGCAAACTTTGAAGCACTGTAGTCAACCAAGCCATTCACTCCAATACGTCCAGCCATCGAAGCCACTACTACAATATGTCCACGATCATTTGCAATCATTTTTGGCAAAAAACGTTTTGTTACCTAAAATTATACTACTTATAAAGAACATTTAAAACTATTTTGTAGCTTTTCCAGCAATCAATCTACAATCTTTCAAACCATAAGCATAAAAACTGCCATTACAGACATAGACAACATGCAAACTCACATAAAACAAGGAATTCGCGTTGACATTCATAGTCAAATCGAAAGTCTCGTCAGGACAATCCAACAACTTCTTCCCAGTCACAATCCCGGCATTGTTAATTAGAATGTCAACAGATCCAAACTTGTTCAGAACCAACGAAGCTGTCTTCTCAACTGCTTCTGTGTTGGTAATGTCAACGGTATATGCGGATACTTGAACATCATACTTCTTGCACATCTCTGCCGTCTCAAAGTTTCCAAGATTGTTTATGTCCCACAATACCAATTTACAACCCAAAGAAGCAAACTAAAATACATTGGTTAAGCATAAATAACATAGCGATAAAACTAAAAAAATGTAAAACAGCCAAAAATTATGATATATACATTAAACTGGAAATCTTACACAAGATTTCAAACAAAATGACATAAACCCACCTTGACAGCCAACAATCTACCAACACCACTGGCTGCTCCAGTGATAAGAACGGTCTGTTCACGAACATCTTTGTGTGGAAGCCAATCCCAAGGCAAGAAAGCCCTCACAATTCCATAGAAGAAGGTAAAGATCAGCTTCGGCAAACCTTGCAAAACATGAAAGATCAATCTGTCCTCGAAGTTTAGTCCCAATTTGCTAAAATATAGGTTTAGATACCAAAAAGTGCCACATACCAAAACGAGATCATGTTGAACGTTAGTAGTTGGATATTATAATACAATAATTAAAATAAAACAAATATATTATTAGCCAAGTTAGAAGTGGACTTTGCTCTCCATCGAACGAACTTTTGCCAGAGAAATGCGTTGGTAAACCGAGAAGAAAGGAATCGAAAGTGACATTTCGTCGTTTTCTGAAAGTTGACACTTCATTCTCTTTCAGGCTCTTTGTTGCAGATATTGATGATTGTGACGAAAATGGAGGTAAGTGCTAATGAACAGTTAATATATTTTAGCAATTATGGATCATTTCTCTTAATTAAAAGCATACATTATTTGCAAATTATTATGTCATCTTGGCATGTTTTTCAAATAAAATACAGGGTGTCCCAAGAAAAACGAAAAAAACTAAAACGTTATATTTTGGTTGAGAAAAATGCTATAAATGCCAAACTTGGCACTGTCAAAGATTGGCACATGCGGTTTTTTGTCCCAAAATTTAAGATTTTTCAAGTGCATACTAAAGGGCGTTATGATTTTTTTAAAAATAGTCATTTTCCCCCGAATTACACATGTTTTCAGTTGGAAATGCTTTTTTTGGTAAAAATTTTCTAAGTTTTTGACAAATTTTTAGTTAAAAATGACATTTTTGACAAAGGTTTTGATTTTCTATCGTCGGCGGAGTGTCGGCGGAGACTCGGCGGACGCTTAAAATTGTCGGCGCAGGGCATAACTCGCTTGAAACATGACGTAAAGACATGAAACAAAAAGTATTAGTTTTAGAATTATCAAGGCTATCTTGACTGATGCTAAGCTGGTCTAAAAATAGCTTTAAAATAAAATATGCAAAAAAAAGTTAAATTAAAGAAAATATAAGGTTCAAAAATTTTTATAATGTCCTAGGAAATTGTACGTAAGTTCAAAAATTATGAAAAAAAAAGATTTATCACGTTTTTGATTTTTTTGTTTAAACGAAAATACGTTAAAATTTTGAAGTTATTTGTGCAATTTACATAATAAACTTAAATCAGTTTTACTTATTCACTTAAGTACACGTTTATAAATTCCCGTCTTTTAACGTATTGAACTTAAGCTCAGCATCAGAAAAGATAGCCTTGATAATTCTAAAACTAATACTTTTTGTTTCATGTCTTTACGTCATGTTTCAAGCGAGTTATGCCCTGCGCCGACAATTTTAAGCGTCCGCCGAGTCTCCGCCGACACTCCGCCGACGATTGAAAATCAAAACCTTTGTCAAAAATGTCATTTTTAACTAAAGATTTGTCAAAAACTTAGAAAATTTTTACCAAAAAAAGCATTTCCAACTGAAAACATGTGTAATTCGGGGGAAAATGACTATTTTTAAAAAAATCATAACGCCCTTAGTATGCACTTGAAAAATCTTAAATTTTGGGACAAAAAACCGCATGTGCCAATCTTTGACAGTGCCAAGTTTGGCATTTTTAGCATTTTTCTCAACCAAAATATAACGTTTTAGTTTTTTCGTTTTTCTTGGGACACCCTGTATTTTTTTCGAAACCAAAAATACAGTTCTATTTTATGAGTTTCAAATGATAACTAGAACTGCGATTTGAAACATTTTCCTCTTGACTTTACTGTAATACCGAATATAATGACAGTTTAAATTTAAATTCTCGCCCAATCTTTCTCGCGTTTCATTGACGGCCGAATGGCGGGAAACTGGAGCGAGTGATTGAAACTTTTCGAATTCCGCAATTCGATGGCCTTGCCTCATCAACTATGATAAGATCTTGAGGCTTCGGGGGTTTCGATCGCGCGAAAAGTTTGTATTCGGAAAACTGTCAACAATGATGGTGTGGGGAGACTGTAGGCTGATAAATACGGTGAGCTAATATAATGACAACAACTTTTAAAAGTTTAATTGGAGTATCGGTAAAAATGTGAAAAAGTCGTTGGAGACAAGAAGTTTTTTGAAAATCTTGTACTTTAATACAACTACCAAGTTTTAGATTATTTTTAGTTTATATCTTTTTATGCCAATGACGAGTATTATCTCAAATACTAAAGCTGTTTCAATCATCTTGCGGCCAGCTTTTATCAACTTTTAATTGGAACCTCGAGGCGTCTCCGGTTTTAATGGCATTGGTGGTTTAAAGCGCGAATCGGATCCCAAGGCAGCAGAACCCTCGATGGTTTCTCGACGAAGAGAGGGTCCTCCTTGCCTAACAAATCAATCTTGGAGGAAAGGTGCTGCTGCAGCCTTGTGACAGACGTTGCGGCGATCGCCGTGGTCGATCAGGAAAAACAACACGTTAAAACTCGGCGTCGGTCGACGGTGGCGCCGGGGGGAAGAGGGAAGTCCCGCCCCGGCCTCCACCCCCCCCTCGACTCCCGGCTCGAGATCGATCCATCACCTCGGTTGTGATAATCGGTCGGTGATGGCGCGGCCTCTGCTCTCTGTGTTTCTCTGCACCATCGTGAAGACTGTTTTCCGGGCGTTGCCGTCTTCATCATCAAGCCCTCAATTCCTCCGCACGACTCGACCGCATTCCGTCCCTCCACAACACCGATCGTTGGCGAGCGGACGACCCGAAAATTAAATTGGCGAAAAACGATTGGGAGGGCGTCCGGGTTCGTCTTCCTTCCAGTCAACTGATACGGTGTTACGAGGTCGGCATCAGAAGTAGGGGAGGCTACTGCCTTATGAGTGTTAATGGTCGTCTAATTATGGTTGTTAACTTTGTCTCTAAGCTTTACTGATCTTGAATTCAACTACGATGCCTTCTTGTAGTAGCCGTTATGAATGTGACGATGAACTCTGACTCAGAATAGAAGTTACTCGTTTTACAACTGGCCAAAAAGGCCGTCTTTTGAATAAACAGTATACACAAAGTTTCTGTGCGTTCCTCATTATCCTCTGATTGCGGCGGTCTATCAATTCTCTTGATCAGACGCGACAAAAGGCAGAAAGGCCGCCCCGACTCCAGCGCCGGAAACGGAGATCTGGAAGCCCCAGAAGTGAGGCCGGTCGGGATATGGAAGGAATTCGGAGCGGCCGTACAGTCGATGGTCGCCCCCTCATTCGGATAGTCCCTCTGCACCTTATCCCTTCCTTCTCCGTCTCTTCACCAGCTCTCTGGGAATGCACTTTACAACCGACTCCAGAAGGGTCGGATTTGTAATTGAGGCTGATCCATTACAAAATTTGCAAAGGCGTTGGTCGCGTGCGATATAATCATTATAATGTGTTTTTGGGATACTATACTATAAGGTTTTTGTGACTTCCTTTTTTATTAAGTACAGTGGTTTTATTAGTCCTAAGATTGGTAACCTGTTAAAATGTTTTTAAACCATTATTAAAAAACTTTGTCAAAGTTAAGGTTTCACGCGTTTCGTTTACAATTGCCGAGTTAAAGGAACCGTATTGCGCAACATGTTTACTTGGTGTAATAAGTTCATATACATTCGTGTGTCATATCGTTGTTATTTTTAGCGATGAACGAAGAACGACCAGTCGTAATAAACTCGCTGATTTGTTTCATCAACAACTACCGAGATGAGGCCAATTTGGAGCAGTTGTTGGACTACTTTCCGGCCGACTCGCACCGTGTCGCGTACCAAACACTTCTGGAGCTGGTACAAACCAGAATAAAGTTTGAGGAAAAGCCGAGTTTGATCAGATTATTCGACATAGTCAGCAGCAACCCTAAAGCCCCCATTTTCGCGACCTCTGACTTGACCGTTCTTCCTGTCAGCTTGAACCACGAGAAGGCCCCCAAGCTCTCCAAGGACCTCTTCACCGAGATCCACCAACTCCGACTCATGTTCCAGAACGCAATCGACCGGAACGAGGAGGAGGCGATGTTTATGTCAAAGTAAGAATACCGTAACGTTGTTTTAAAATGCGGTAGAAGGAGGTGATAGGGCAGAGACCTTGAGCCCGAAACTGAGGGTTAAAATAAGGTTGTGGTTGTACTTAACTACTCACTGATGCGATCGGAAGATAAGTAAACGGCAGAGGAGGGAACCGAGATAGCAAGGTTAATCAGTTTTGGTTGTAACATAATTATAATCCCAGCCACCCTCCCCCCCCTCGGCTTGAGTATTCCCCACTACTCGGAACGTTGTAATCGTTATAAGACGGAAGGGAGAGAAACGTTTAGACAGGTGCACTTTTTCCTCAGGTCGCCGCCAATCTCCTTTCCTCTCCGTTTCTTACCGTAACCCTGCAGTGCCGCTCGACGAGTCACCTATCTTGCGCATAAATTAGAGGAGTTGCGCAACATACTTCGAACGAGTTTGAAATGCAAAAAAATTGTTTACAATCTTGTAAATTTAAACTTAATATTGTAAGTTTAAGTTTCAAACAAATATTTACAAAAACACTTTCAGACAACAACAACGTCAATGTCCCCAATCATGTTCTCCGAAACATGAACAATTCACTGAAGACGAAGAAATGTCTTCTCCATCTTCTGACCTTCCCCAATCCCAAACTGGCTCACCCGCTAGTCCATCTTCTAGTCAATTCCACGTAGATGCATTACTTCAAACTCAAAATTCGAAAAAGAAAACTGATGGCAACCGACTAGATCAAGCTGTCAGAAGGATCACGGACCGTCTTGGAGCCAAAATGTTTGAAGAAATGGACAGTAGACCGACAAGCACCAGTAGCAGCAATAGTGCGAAACGAGAAGACGATGTTTCAACAGAAACTTCACAAGAGAACTCAAAGAACAACCTTCTGAACAACAACAACACCATCCCTCCCAACTTCATGAATCTGTTGTCCCAGCCCATCTTCCAGAATTCTACATTTATGGGACATTTGCAACATCTACAACTAAGCACGAATCCCATGGCTCTTCAACTAATGCAAAACTTGGCCAGAAACTACCAACAACAAGTTCAGAACACCAAACTGGTTGAGGAAACAGAGTAAGTTATTCTTTGTAAACTGGACTAATATAATATATACTGTTTCTCTTATGACACAACATATATACTATTTTTCTTATGACAAGCTTAATCAAACCTGAGTCTTGTCTTGTTTTCCCACTTTTTATTGTAACGTGAAGCACCAAGTTGTGATGTTCTTACTTCTAGAAGCTTTCAATTGCGGAAAGTGCTCTCAATTTAAAATTAGGGCAAGTGGTGACATTCGGATGGATCGCTGTTTTATCAACCTTGATAACTCTCTTTTCCCGTAATAACTCTCTCCGTATCCGACCTAACTCTTCCGATTTGATTAGCCTAACTCGCGTGATTTCAGCTCCGAGAATATCTCCGTCGGCACTCCAGATGAGGTCGACCAGAAGCCCTGTCTTCAGCTCAGCCCAACCTCATCAGAAGCCCGTACGGTGGACGAGAATCAGGAAAAGCCGTTTGCGTGTACGTTGCCAAGTTGCAAGAAACGATTCGCCAACAAGTTTCTCTTGAAAAAGCATCAGTTCATTCACACAGGCCTCAGGCCACACGAGTGTCCTTACTGCAAGAAACAGTAAGTACTTAAAATATCATGGGTAATGCCACTTTAACGATCAACACATCATTGCTTTTACAAAAACATCCCAATTTCTATGATTAAAAACGTAATGAGTAATCGGTCTACAGTATTTCGAGTGAAAACTCTTTCTATTTGCTCAAACACCTAACAGAAACAAACTCCGTATTTCTGACAATTTAAACTTGAGTAAGATGTATATTACTTTAAAATCTAACAAGTGAAGCAAATAGTCTAATTACCTTTTAAATTGCAAAGCAATAACCTCACTTTTCAGGTTCAACCGCAAAGACAACCTCTTAAGGCATAAGAAAACCCACATCAACAACAGTGTATCGTACGCCGGTAGAAGACGACAAAACATGTTGTATGGTGTATCGGAAGATGCGGCCGCCCGGCTCAACAACTTCCCCTTCCTCAGCGAGCTTATGACACGTAATGTAGATGCCAATGACAATATCGCTCTCAACTAAACCGACTAAACGAGTAGAACAACCAGTAACATATCGTATGCTAATCAATCCCACACTTAATGGACAATTTCACCTAACCTCCACTTATCATTCTGTTGAGCCTTATTTTGTACCGTATTTTGCATTATCAAGCCAAATTATTTTACATTTCTCGCCATAGTATCTTACACTTTCGCCATCGTATCTTGACTTACTTCCATTCCTGTCCCCGGTGTGCCATGACTTTCCAATGCCTACGCTCTCAGCATTCCTACTGTAACCATGATTTCTAGAATCCAACCAAAAAGGTCCAAAGAGTACCGAGGCTGTCTCTGTATCCATATTCACTTTGATAGAACGTTTATTCTTGTCATTATTATAAATATGATTAAACCTAATAAACAATCTCTACAAACATCACAATCGACCCGTAAGTGCATGAAATAAAGTTAATAAAAGATATAAACTTAGTATTAATGCAACAACAATAAGAATATTTACATTTCCAGTAGGCAAATTACCTTATAGTAGGTAACAACGACTAGAACAACTAAAAGACTAAATAGAGCACAGATGTCGATTACAATATAAAAAATTATACACACTTCGACTCTGTAAAGTTATAGAAAGAAAACTTGTTAACCACACAGTACAACTGGATATTACCATCACTGTCATCTTGACATCGTAACACGAACTCCGTACCGTCTTGGATCTGTTGTGTGACGATCTTGTCTGACGAAATAGTCCAACGAGATTCAGGCAAAGACTGAAAATAGCCCGATTAAATTTTTCTCAAAAATTATTTCGATAATTCTATAACGAAGTGTCAATTTTGAATTTATTGACTTTCGTACGGTTGTTATTGACATTTCGTTCTAAAACCGATTATATAATGAAAAATTTTTGCCAAATCATAAAACCAACAATGAAAACTTACAGGAAAGAAGCGTTGTGTCCCAAAGAACCGGCTCAAGAAGGTTCTGGCCGAGAATTGGTGTCTGAAGCAGTTTTCGAGATTCCGTTGGACGCCGGAGGGTGGGAAGTCAGATTGTTGGTGAGTATGTTTGAGGTATCGGTTTAGATGTTTTCCAATGGCACCGCTTACAATTTTGGCTGATTTCACGGGGTCAAGTCTGGCCATCTGTAAGTGGAAGTTGTCAATTTTGAAAGGTAAAATATTTTTTAACGTAATTTTCGTTTACGCAGTCATTTGAGGAAAACATTATACCAGAATACTTTAATTTTGTCAATACAAAATAATTTTTAATTTGCTTATAACAAGTTTCACTTACGTTATCGTTGGCAAACTTCAGATTCATCGAACCGATCTGAGCGAACGCTTCTTCGGTCGATAACAGCAGTCGATACTTCTTCCTTCTCAACTTTCTTTCCTTGTCTCCCTCTTCCATACAGTAATCACTGGACAATGCAGCACTTTGTTTAGCTGCCACTTCAACCATCTTCTTCATAGCTCCTTCATCAACACATTGTGAAGCATTTCCGTCGATATCGTACAATTTGAAGCCGGCTGTTGGCATGGTGATGTTCTTCTGGCTAGCACCAGCGCGAGCTCTGTAGGTTTGGAGGTTGAAGTTGGAGAAGGTGGTCTCGTAGAATCTTAAAATCTCAACTGAGATCTCTTGAATAGAGGTTTGGCCAAGTTGAAGGACATGAACTTCTCCATCAGGATCTCGGGTGATTGTGACTCGGAACATGGTTGACCTACGAAGGCGATCGTGAGTGATCCACAGAATTTGAAGAATGATGAGGACGAACAACAATGTGATAGCTAGTTTTTGGATGATAAGGTAGTCGATGGTTGAGCGCAGTAATGCTTGAACAATGTAAAATAACCAGAACGATGACAAAATGAAGACTAGGAAGAAGATGAACGCTACACGACGGAATCTGACTCGAGGTAGAACAGCGTTTGTTGGCTTCATGGTAGCATAAACTGCGTAGGTGAGGATCAAAGTAAAGATTAATATCACGAAAATGTTTGTCTGAAAAGTATTAAGTTAAAATGAATATGGCATGATAAGTATAAAGATTTCCAAATTATTATCAGATTATTAACTTACAGTACAATCAAGCTCGCACTGAAGCTCCTTGGTTTCATAAAAGTCTGCCTGTATTAGTAGAAAAGGTATCACAACCATCGCAATTGCCGAACACACCATCCAAACAGTGAAGAAGAACATCAAACAAGAGCTGATGAAGCCGAAACATCCACGTTCCGGTTCTTTTAGGGGCTCGTATGGTACTGGTACCCTCTCAGGTGGTCCTCCTCCGAAGCTCTGTTCACTTGTGATGATGGTCGTGTTCTCTCCCCAGTCATCTGGCATGTTCAACTTGACTCCTTCGCTTTTCAAGGCCGAGAAGTGGTAGTTGGGGAGCAGATAGGCCTGGTCCACTGCATATCCACCTCCAATCACACTTCTTGGGCCGCGTGAGGAGCCGGCTGGTCGATGTCGGTAGGAGCGGTCGGACATCCTGCAAGTGTCGGTCATGTTAAAAAGAAAGTTGTAGCGCGGAAAATGGATTGTCTTGACGGCAATGGTCTCTCCGGACTGGCACACAAATCAACCAAAGCCTCGTTCAAAACACATAAAACACTACAGTGACACTTTCCACAAAATATGCAAATAAAAGGTTAAGACTTCCAACCGTTCTAAAGGTTAATACGTAAAGAATGACAAGATTTAGTTTACATTGAGGAGCTTTAAAAGGTTAATGAAAACATAAATATAGATTTGTCTTCGCATTCACAACGCTAATTGAAGCAGAAATTAATAAAATAAATTTTAAAATCGGCACAAAATTCAGAAAAAGAAGAAAATGGCTGTGGATGTGTTATTCTTATTCACCCGACCCCATCCAGATGTGTTTCTGAAGATAAAAAGTGACCAGCGGGAGTAATGCCTTCAATCCCAAGGTGTTTCTTACAAGAGACCTTAAACACAGCTTGTTCACTATCATTTTTTAAAAGGTTTCCTCGGGTCATATGTATGGGATTACCTCAAGATTTCTGTAAAACATTAACTTAGTTAATCTGGAAAGCCTCTTTAAGCAACGTTTAAAAAACTATTAAAAAAAGGTTTAACAGCCAAACATTTTGTTACATTATATCTCGTTTCAGAATAACTCAAAATGACTTATAAGATTACTTGAGAGTAAAACAAATATACCGCGGAGGCTTATATCGAATACAAGAGAGAGAGCGGCGTTACTTCATGGATGCCTTTTCGAGGTACCACTGGGAAACGCTACCAAAGCCAAAGAGAAGAGAGCGCGCGACGTCCCATCAAATGCCGTTTTGGCCTCCCCTTTCTCTGCCTCCCCTCTCTCTGTCCGCCCCACGATCAAACCGATCCATTTCCCTGGATTGATTGTCCTCGGCTAGGTCTCTATTATTATTTAGGACTTCTTTAATATCGGTAAAACAATTATCCGCTGATTTGTGACTTGTCCAACAAATCTCAAACAGTTTTCAACAAAAACAAACGCCAGAGTCGTCCGAATTTATACAACAGAGATCATGAGAAAATTGTAGAGTATGCAAATTCACAAATATATCACCACAATCCTATCACACATTAATGTAGCCTTCCTGCGAGGGTCCGGAGTCAACAAAGTCCAAGTGTTTCGCCATTAAGAAGATTCTGAAGTTTTCCGTGAATCCGTTGCTGAAATGAGTAGGACTTATTGAAATATGCAAACTAATGGTTGCTAATGATAGTTCACACAAATCCTTAACAAATATGTTACAGTACCACAAAACTCACTCGTAAGGACTTTTGTTAACAATGTTATCTTCCTTAACTGTCATGTACCCGTATCGTTGAGCATTTAGACGCTCGTTTGTTGTGAATCCGCTTGCAATCTGAAAACGATTACTGTAATAAAACAATAATACATATACAGAACGGAATTACAGTACTCAGAGAACTTACATCAATATGGAAAATTGAATATAAATCTATGTAAATAGAAAGTGTATTACCTGATATATTTGTATAGCCAAAAGACTGAAGACTACTCCAGTGGAAAGAACACCTATCGTAGCCGTCATAAGTACTGCTGGTTCACACCCAATCACTTGGTGGAACTCCAATTCTGAGCATTCTGACCGCATATCTGCAAATAATCATAGATACCAAAAGCTGTAAATGACAAAGTACACCTTACAGATGTACGAATCAGGATATATATTACAGAAGAATTGACTATAACTTACAGAAAATACAACTCAAAGTGACGATAGCCGAACCAATAAAAGTGACGAAGAGCATAGCCACGAACAGTCGATGATTCTTTCCTCCGACACAGTTGCCAATCCACGGACAATGGTGGTCGAACCTCAGTATACAATGCTCACACATACGACAGTGTTTGGACCGTGGTAACTTCTTCATCAGACATGTAACACAAAAGTGCTGGCCAAGCAAGTTTTCTTCAATCGCCTCTTTCGTCGCTTTCATTTTCTCCTAAATTTTAGGTATTAAATGACATCAATGTCATTGTTTATGTATGTCAGAATACTCAACTACTTTATAGTATCGACATTACCAAAAGAAAGACCTAAACTTACAGCATCTGTTGATTTTACAATCCCCGGATCAGAAAAGACGGACTTCAAAAACAAATACGGCACCAGAAATACGATGAACAATACGAAGATCTGCGTATGCCATGGCATAGTAACGTTGAGGAAGGTGAACCAGGTAAAGATGTACAACATTATAGTAGAAAATGCCATACTCATTGGTAAGTAGTCTATACATTCTCGACGGTTGTACTTTAAGTACGTACTGAAATCACAATTACCATAACATACTTTTAAAACTACAACCATATAAGTTTAAAAATCAAAAAAAATTAAAAGAGTACGTTTAAATAAAAGAAACCCACGTTTTTACAAATATTCCACATATGAAGTAGATAACAAACAAAAATATTTTTAATCTGAGATCGGTGTTGGCATAAAAGGTTAGTAACATTGTTGTAAAGATAACGGCCGGGATTAACATTATTATTCGCTTCTTAATTACCTAAAATTACACTTTATGTAAATGTAGTCAAAAATAGTATAATTAAGAAAAACAATAAAATACCTCATCTTCGTATAGTTTCTGCTTGAAGCTAATAGGAGTTTGTTTTCGTTTCCGTCTGGCAACCTCCAGCATATTTATGATAACATTTCGATTTTGTTGTTTTGCTATGTCCAACGCTGTTTCATTTTGCTGAAAAATTGAAGTTAAAATCCACAAACATTAAAGACAATACAAAAACGCTAAAATTAAATGTCAACTAATACAAAACAACCTACTCTATTCACAGCATCAATGTCAATTCCCGTCTTCAGAAGTTCTCTCACCGCAATCGTATTACCAGATATCACAGCCCAATGTAACGCCGTATCATGAAAATTAGAGTCTACCATATTAACGTCAGCTCCCAACTGTATGAGCATGTTAAGGGGATTTGGTCCTTGCACTTTAAAAGCAGCCCACATCAATGGTGTCATTTTAGTCGAGTCTAGAGCATTTGGAGATTGACCACTAGCTATCAGATATGCAACTACAGGAGCAGAGGCAAATTGAGTAGCAATATGAATGGGCATAAAACCTTCACCGTCCTTGATCTCGGGATCAGCACCGTTTTGTATTAACAAAGCGACTATTGAATGATGGCCATGTCTAGAAGCCCAATGTAATGGAGTAGAAGACAAGACCCCACCGATGGCATTCACAGGAGCTCCTCGTTCAATCAGAAGCCGAGCTACCTGAAGATTACAAAGAATGAATAATTTAAAAAATCTTATAAAAATTGCCTAATTTCCTTTTTTACAATTGATACCTAAACATAAAACAAGAAACGTAAAACTCACATCTAACCTATTATTAATGGCAGCCCAATGCAACAATGAACAATCATCTGGATCTGTAGCGCCCGCCTGCACAAGTCCAGCGTCCAGTAAACCTTTTATTGCATTATATTCACCTAGTTGGGCCGCGCCACGTGCCTGCATGATGTTGGCCATGTTGTGAGGTTCATGTCCCTCAGTCTCCCACTCAGTCATCGTTTACTGCGCATCAGTTCCAAAATCCCTGAAAATGTGAACATTTTGAAAAGTATATTGTGATTATCTCTTATTCTAATCGAGTCACAAACGCTCGGAACCAAGACGAACGAGGTTGCGGGAGAAAGGCCGAAGGGCCATCACACAAAAAACCTGTTTTCACGCGCGAAATTATTCACAGACATAATGTAAATACTTGAAGAGCCCAGACACATTGTCAAAGTCAGTTTACAACGATTTATTTTTACTCCGAAATAATTTTATCAGTCGAAAAAAGATTCGGGTCTACATCAAGTTAAATAAACAGAAAGTTGGTAAGAGCAAACACAATTATAACAAAAAACACCTTTACCGAGTGAAAACAGTCTTCTTTCTTCTGTCAATAACTAATCTTTATAAAGCATGGCCGAAATTGCAAAAAATAAAAAAGAGGGACATGTTATACGTTGAAAAGTGGCCGGAAAAATCAAATTTTCTTTTTTTCGAACATGCTCTTTCTCATGACGAAGTGTTCACAAAAGGCAACAAAGATTTATGAGTAAGTAGTGTTTATGTTATTAGTCATTTTCTTTCACTTTAATTTTATAATTTTGTTTACGAATAAAGTGTGGATCAATTAACGTTGAAGTTCATAAACAACCAAAACCACAAACGCATAGGCTGTTTTACCTAGTTTTCAATTTATTTAAATTTATTAAAAGTTAAAGCATATTGTACTACATATTTAATCAAAACTTATATTACGAGTTTATTTACTTTCCTTGCTTAACATAAGTGAGCGCCATATTTGTAAAATTTGAGCGCCGAAGGCAACTTATTAATGGTACCCCATGTTCGGAGCTAAAATGAAAATGAGAACAATACTGATAGTAGAGATTACATTCAGAAGATTGTAGGGATGACTTTAGCTGCTAATAAAGTGTCAGCTGCCGTATAAGGCTATTATACTATACTATAACATGTATTATAGTAAACTTTCCTTTAACATTATACAGTAAGACCCATAAAGCAAGGCATTATTGAAGTATTTCACAGCATCCTCAATGTGACGAGGTCATATTTTAGGAAAAGCGAAGGTTGTACCCGAATTGAGTGATTAGACAAAAGTTGGGGACGGATTGGACCCACAACATCGGATAGACGGCAAAGTACCGTTGAGCAGCTTCTCGTCTGCTGTAATGACACCATTAACGTGAAAGGCAGAAGATAATTGGTCAGAGTCGTCTGAGTCAGTACCATTCATACTCTGTGCCAGCAGACGTTCTCGCATGGTACTAGCCAGATCGTGGAAGGCTTCGTCGATGTTGATGCCAGTTTTGGCACTCACTTCGTACAACGAGACTCCAATCTGTTTAGCTAGTCTAAAATGCGCGTCCAAATAAGATTATTTTTTGTTTGTATGTCACCATGAAGTGTGAATGTCAAGACTCTTGTGCTTGTTACTATGAATCAGAGCTTTTAGTTAATTATAATCTTGTTTGCGAAAACAAACTTTAAGTAATTACCTTTCAGCTCGGTCGAAGTCGACCTTCCGCTCGCTCTCCATATCTGCTTTGTTACCCACAAGTAAGAGTACAGCATTCTGAGGAGCGTACTTGCGGATCTCTCGGAGCCAGTACGTCTCAAGATTCTCGAATGATTTTTCATTTGTCAAATCATACACGCACATGATCCCATGAGCCGAGTGGTAGTACGAGTTGTAAATGGTCCTAAAAACAGAATACTGATAAGTGGTTGGACTCATTACCTGTAACGTTCCATGCCTGCCGTGTCCCATAGCTCTAACCTGACCTTGTCTCTGCCCAACTTGATAGTCTGTAGCTTGAAATCGACTCCGAGCGTGCTGATATGATCTTGACGAAATGTGTTTTCGGCGAACCGCAACAGAATACAAGACTTGCCGCAGTTATGATCCCCCACGACCACGATCTTAAAGAGGTAGCTGTAACTCATGCCCGCATTGGTTGATTGTTCCTGAGTTTTCGTAGCCGAGAAGCCGGTTTCTGAAAGAAAAGGGAGAGGAGTCAAGAGGTCGAGGAAAAAAGTTCGGCACACAAAAGGGTGAATCAGCCGGAATCTAAAGGGTTTTACGTAAAAGTGGACGCAAAGCGAATAGAACCCCTCATGGGGACGAGATCAAACAAAACGACGAGTGAGCGAATGAAATTGGATATTGACTAGTTATGAGAGAGCGAGTTTACCTCATTTACCCCACAAGCGGGAGGAGAAATCAAGAGTGCGGAACGAAAACGACTGTGCCGAAACAAAACTGCGAAAAGATGCCATCAAACAGCGAAAAAGATTAGGCGAAATTAAAAGCATGCTCCTGTTGTAAAGGAAGAACGAGAAAAAAGTGGGAGACGCGATTTCCAAAAAGAGAGAGAACTCGCCCCGTCTACATGGCCGAGTGGCCGGCCGTTTGTCCTCGAAATCATTTTCTACTTATCAAAAGGAGTTTATATTCTAGTCCAGCAGAGCCCATTTGTCATCGGATGGCCGCGGCCACATATTTTGCTCTAAATCACGGGACGCTTTAATTAAACACTTAACAGAGTCATTAAATGACTGATCAGTTTTACCTCCGCAAAGGTCTGTCCATCATTTCCAGATAAAATCTTTACAACCTGTCAATTAAAACCCCATTAGAACGTTAAATATGTTTATTCTCTGCTTTTGAAGCCGCATTATGGCAAATGAGATGTGGTCATGAGATGTTCAATACTATATATATTATAATACATTAGTTACAAAATAATTAAAATAACAATAAATTAGACTAGTTAACTTTCTGGATCTCAAACAGGTTCACGGAGGTGTCATACCAGATGGCCGGGTCCACATTTCTATAAGAGTGAGTGACATTAATTAACGTTGTTTCAGTTGAATTATAGAAAATTTAAACTGCTGCTTATGAAAACTTGATTATGGTCTTACCTCAAGTAAATGATGCCCCACATATAAGTACGGAACCAGTGATTGGTACCGTAATTACTCTGGTACTTTCTGATCAGAATCGGATGAGGAACTGGGAGAAGACCAACCAGAGTACCGTGTTGTAGAAACTTTATGATCTCACTTTCATCAGTTAGACCCCTAAAAAGTTTATACTCTTAAATAACAGTTGTAAATATTCAGTGCTGTATATCAAACGACTAAATAACAGAGTATGAATATAAAGGTCCAACTTACTTATCAATGCAAATCTTTTCGACCTGAGGCACCAGAACTTGGAGAACTCTCATAATTGTCTGCAAAGGCAACTTGCTCTTCCAACTCTCGACCCATTCTGTAGTTGGTCTCCATTCCTCTTCTACCTTCTCTTTCTCATTGTCAATACCTACTCCTTTGTCAGTCATCACACTAATCTCAGGTGTAGCAGCCAACGTAGACTGTAAAGTAGGCTTCTCCTCAGCCGCTGTGGGTGATGCAGGTTTTTCTTTCTCTTTGTCTGCTTCAGCAACTTTGCCTCTACGACCTTTTAAGGATTGTTGAATGGCCGAAGCATCAGAACTTAAGTTAGCCAACTGATAGAAAACTTGCCGTTTCCTGATTATAGTGTAGATCAGATTGGCGTTTCCTAAAAAAGTTTAACTTATTTAGATGAAAACGGTAAAATGTGAACTTCACTTGTGATAAAACTTCTAAAAGTATTTACCGTCAAACTGGTACTGGATTATGTTGTTGAAGACTTCCAACAAAAAGAAGATGAGGTGATGGTTCGTCTTTGAAGAGAACAAGAACCACGGGGTACCAAATGCTTCCACTAAGTGAACCAGTTTGTTTGCCGTGGTCATGGATAAGGTCTTCAAGTATGGTGATACTAAAACCAATAGTTAAAAGATATTCAAATAATTACTGATTACTGTACTGTAAAATTCTGTTAACTTACTGTTAACAATGATTGTCAATAGACAGTCGAACAGAGATTGTAATTTGTGATTCCCAGTTGTAATCAATTTATGGAAGACCTAAAAATTATTTTTAGGTAACAAAAACTGAATATTCACTAACATTATTAAAAGGGTAACATCACAAAACTTACAATAATCAAGAGATCAGCGTGGGTGCCATTAAACATCGGCAGATTGATGATACCACGAGAAGTAAATGGTTTATTAAGTCTCACACCAAAGTTTCTCTCTCCACTTAACAACAAAATCAGAAATACGCCCATGTGAATCAGACCAACACGAGCTAAAACAATATAGTCAAATTAGGTAACAATCACTTACAAGGATCTGCCCGAGAATCAAGTAGGTGATACAGAATTGGCACCAGAATCTCCAAAACATCACTTGTCTTCAAAACATAGAACATAAACTTCTGAAACGATATGTTACTGTAACAATACAATTATGTACAAATAGAAGTGTTTACAAATACTCCAAACTAGCATAATAAAACCTGCCTGATTGTATTCACAACATTTCCACAACAAGACCAGTAACTCTTGATGAAAGCCAATCTTCTTGGTAGAGTTCGGCAAGTAGGACGATTGTAGGGGATTGTTCAACAGTCTGCTAATGCCTTTCAAAATAAACTCAAAATCATTCTCGCGATGTAACCGAGATAGGTAATTGACAAAGAAGTTCTCAACATATCCAGTGTCATCATTGGTGGGTTGAGAGTCACGATCTAGACATACAACCAACACATGAAGAGCTGTCTGTACCAAAGGCTCTCGAGAATCGCCAACAAGTAAGTAATTGTAAGGCAATCCGTATCCAACAGGGTCGTAAGAACAAACAATATTCAACAATGACGTGAATAACGGAAGAACATGACGATTTTCAGCAGAAGAAAAACGCGACACCCAACGCATACGAGATTCATCTAAAAAACAACGAGGTTTAAAAAGCAAATTTATCATTTAAAAAAAAGTTCGGAAGTTTTTTACAACAAAATGTTTCCAGACTAACTTACCAGTTACTGGAACATATATAACTTCGCTAAACAATACCAACAGTAACCTTAAAATCTCTGTTCTGTTAGAATCATGGGTAGCGTTAATTGTAGTTTTATTGGCAAAGCCAACACCAGCTTGCCAAATGAATTCACAGCTGTCGATAGCATCCAAAGTATTCGCTCCATCCTAAACAATCAACATATTAAATAATCTTAACTTACAGGTCGGTTAGCCAATGGAGAAACAGTAAAATCAGGACAGAACAAGAGATCAGACAATATTCCAAGCAAAACACTAGCCAGAGGAATGTCTTCTGAAGGTAATGGCGACCAAAACAATTCTCTCCATTCTGAATCCTCGAACAAAAACGGAATGATTCTTGTCAACAAACGCACACAGTTTAAAATCTGAAAAGTAACAATTCTATCATAAATTATTACTCAATGTAAAATAACAAAAATGAATCTCAATATTACCTTTTTATGATCACTAGCCGGCGCTGAAGCGTCTCTAGCATTTCGCAAACATTCGACAGCTCTATGAATTAATGTGGCTAAATTAGTTGGTGAATCCGACTTCAATTCTGCTATCTGACTAACAGTTATCAACGAAAACACATCTTTAGGGGTTTGAGCGTTGGCCGACGCCCAAAACTGATCCCAAAACGCGAGAGAAGACGTGGATTCCCTTGTTGTTAGCTCAATTACAGCTTGTTTGAAGTCTGGCCGAGATTCCGTGTTCCCCATTCTGTAAGTTTATAGGACAGTACAACAACAGGGAACCTCACGAGATTTTGTCGAAAAAATCATAAATTTTATATTGATTTAGAAACAAAAAAGTCAATAGTGACATTTCGTTTTTTCAGAATTTTGATTTTCTAAATTTATTATATTTATGGAATTTCTAGTTTTCGCAAGTCGTAATGACTACGAAAATAGTGCCATCTTTGCCAAAGATTAAGGCCTATATTGGTCATATCCCTCAGCGTTTAAAAAATGGTCATTTCGAGAACCCAAGAGGAAGGTTGGAGATTCTGAGGCGGATAGTCACACAACTTGTGCGAGAAGAACGAGTGGAAATCAAGCGAAACAGGGCAGTTGAAGCTCGGCCTTACACAGAAAGGGTAGGTTCTTGTTATATTTTTTGTATCCTTAGTGCTATAATATCATTGATTCTTTTCCATGAACAATATTGTAAGATATAAAGTTTTTGATTTTAGTTGTTACAATTGTCGATTACACGAGGTCCAGATGATGAATACACAAACAAAATGTTGGATTGGTGGTTAATGGAGCCGCATTTGAAAGGGAAAGTGTTTGATGAGTTGGTACCGAGGTTAAAAGACACGGATGAGCCTTATACATCTTTGTACTCTCTCCCAACGATGCATATAACTGCGTATAAAGACAAGAATATCCAAAAGCCTAAGAAGTTGTCGTCAGTATCTTTGGAAATTAATGGTAAGTTAAGATGTTATGGTTTTAAATATTCTAGGCCACCCGTTCCCATCGCTTCAACCGCTCGAAGATGCACGACTCTTATTGTTGAGGGAAAATTTCTTATAGGATTTGTTATTGTTTATTATTTGGATTATTAAACAAGATAAAATGACTAATTGAAGTGTACAATCGCTGCTGTTGACCCGTTTTCTTTCTCCGTCACTATGTCTGAAAGTAAATTGGTAAGTAGGTTTTACACACCGGCATTGTTTTATTGATATTGGTTAATGCTCTAGGAAGTAAAGACAAGCTTTTTGTTTTTACTTTTCCATCAGCATTACTTACTTTCGGGTCTGTAGTATCTGTCGTCATATGGCCACCCTCTCTTGATTTCTTCTAGTAGGTAGTGCTGGACGAGTTCTTGCTTTCTCACTTCCTGGTTTAGCTTATTGGCAGGTCGGTCATTCAAACTGTATCCCCCATTCGGATGTTGTTTGTAACTTGGCTCTTTTGTGGCAGTTTTTACTGCGTGGATTCTTACTGGTTGTTGAGAATCTGTTGTTGGAGTTGTCTTTTTAGTAGTTGTCGATGTAGTTGATGTTGTGGTAGGAGCAGTAGTGGTTATTTTTGTGGTTGATACAGTTGTTGTCGTTGTAGCTGTTGATGTTTCTGTTACAGAGTTAGCTGGTTCTGTTGCTGTGTCACTATTTTCACAGCAAATCTTCTTTTCTTCGTAACAGTACAAACCCTGGAAATTAAAATAGATTACAACTGAGAATTCTATCAACAGACATGTTATTATATGTGTGTTATTACAGTAAGTGTATCTACGTCAATAAAAAATGAAATCTATTGCTAACCCGTGGACAGACATGGCTACCGTGACAATGGAAAGGTTTCCCTTCGTCGCTCAAGATGGTCAAACTGTTAGCTGGACATTCTAGTACTTCTGAATTCTGAATGTCATCGTGTGTTTTGTTTTCGATTACTTGGTCTTCGTCATCTTTGAAGAACTCTTCAGCTTCTCGAGGAATGGGGGATTCAGTCGGTTTGTTCTTGGGATATTCACAGCAGAACGGTGATTCAGCACCGTCAAAACAGAACATGTCCTTCTGAAAGAAGTAGCAATAATTCGGACACGTAAAAATTATGATTTTTTTCAGCATATTTTGGAAGTTTATGCTTTTCAACACTAATATAATAACATTTATAGTTTTACCTACTTTGGGACAGTATATTCCCAAGGTTGAACATTTTACTGGATATCCGGCGGAATCTAGAACTGCCATAGCACCTCGAGGGCAGTCAACATGCGGAGGTGGAGCTTCTTCCTCGTTCGTTGGACAACATTGGTAGTTGAAGCCAGAAAAGAAGCAAGAATATCCTTTGCCACACACATCAATTGAGTCTTGGCCTAAAATTACGCAGAGTTATTCAAAATTTAAGTTTATGTTACAAATGGTAATAAAGCGTAATATTTCAAGATGAGTAGAATATTTTGGTATATATAAGACTTACCTGGAAGACACTGTAGCAAGGACCCATCTTCGTTTGTCCTTGGTTGACCATCGTTTGGACATAGTCTGTACTTGGCTTAAATGTGAAAACAATATTTTTGTCATGCTTTAATTATAAACACCAAAGAACTTTATAAATATTATTATATTTAGAAAGGCATTTGCTTTTTGCTCCTAATTTATGACAACATGTGGGAAACGAAAGTGAAAGTTCCGAAAAAAAACAAAAAGAAACCTCAAATGTTACCGTTTACAGTCAATGCTGGCAGGAGCAGAAGCCAGTACAGATACGTCATGCTTCAACTCAAATAGCTTTGAGTTGAAAGTGCACTTCCTTGCGGTTTAAAACGGAAGATCCGGGAGTCGGTGGGATTAAAACAAAAGCGATTTGGGTCAAAAACGGCGTTTTAGAATTAACGCAACGATAGACGACCTGAAAGGGTTAACATATGCCCGAGCAAGTTGATCGTTTACTTTATTATGTTAAGATTCTATTACGCACATACATAAACAATGATCTAAGTTAGGCTAAAACAATAGACTATGTTAGGCTTGATCAGTTTCTAAATGAGTTTTAAACAATATACTATATTAGACATCAAAAACATTCTAAATTAGGCTTAAAGAAGTCTATTTAGGCTTAAACAATATGCTATATTATACTATCAACTATAGAATTACTCGGATTAACAACATGTTACAATACGGTCGAGTTGAATGGAATAGTGGCAAGGCAGTGTGCATCTGTTATACTTAAGTGGCACCGGTTTACGAAGAATGAAAGACGTCTCAAAAATGCCATAAACTCAGCAGTGTCATCACGAACAGTGACGTACAAGGCAGTAGGCTAACGGCACTGTCGGGTTCGACCTGTCGATCTTCCCAACCGTCGGCCAGAAGCTCTTCCACGTTCTCCCACGTGCCGTTGTGAGGGTGGCTAGCTTCAACACCAATAATATTCAAGGCTAGTTGGTACACGTCCACTAGGTCAATTGGTCCTGCTTTGAAGTCGGTTTTGAAGGCTGAAATATTTTAAATTGATTGTTATAACACTTCTTTAATAATAAAAGCTTCTAAGCTTGATCAAACGCCAAGAATGCGTGTTATATATAGATGCAATAGTGATTAATTGTAATTTGTTTACCTGGTCCCCTGGCCATAAAAATGCCACTTAAATCTTGTTCTTCATTGTCCCAGCCGCCGATCATTCTCAGCTCTCGGCCTTGGGCTTCGCTGACGTCGGTAGATGGAATTTGTGTCTGAAAACAAACAAATTATAACAACTTTAATAAAAGTATTTGTTGTTAAACATTTTTCCAATTTTTTATTGTTTATACGTTTACATTACTTTACATAAAACTATGTTTTTATGCTCCTACCGTTAAGATAACGGCACCAGGCTTGGCTACGAGAACAATCGGAGCGATAAATCGGGAATCCTTCCAATGATATTTGTCTGGTATCTCGTTTTTACGGTAGACTGCTACAGATGGCTCTTCTTCGTCGTCGTAATCGCCCATGGCCGCCCATTGATCGCATACCCTCAACTCAAAGTATACTGTATCTTCAGCCTCGGGTTCCGGGTAGACGAAGGTGAAGGCGAGGTTGTTGACGACCCTTTTGATCTTGGTGATGTCCGCAAGACATTCCTCGAGGAAGAACTGGTGATCTTCACTGATCTTCTTCAAACCGTGATCAGAAAGAACGATCAAGTTGGTAGAGTCTAACAACTCGTAGCTCTCCATTTCTTCCTGTAATTTATGTGAAGGTAATAAATTACACGTGTCATTACTTTGCTTTTTATGGTCATATGATTCTACAAAAATGACAATTCTTACCTGAATCTTTCTGATCTGGGCATCGGTACTGGCCAAAGCTTGTCGCCCAGCATCACTGTCATCTCCGAAAAGTCTCAAAGCTTTTGCGAGACCATTGTACCTTAATAGCACCAACTGTTGACGGTACACTTGGTACTTCTTGATATGTTTCATGATTCTTGGCAAGTAAGCGAACAAGTCGTAGTTCTTTTCACTTTTGAAGCTGTGTTGACGTGTTTTTGGTACTTGTACCATCATGTCACCATGTGGTCTCTTCAAATTATCAGGTCAATTTAAGGAAAATTGAACTTACGTGACAATTGGCGTACCAATAGCAGTGAACGTCAACGTGCTTCTTGCCAGCCGTGTACCAGATCGGGTCTGGTCCTCCTGTCCACCATTGGTAGTCAGTGTCATTTGGTCCTTCATCTCTTTGGAAGTACACGTCTCGTTTTGGATCGTACATAAAGTCGGCAGTGAAGTTGTGGTTTTCAACATATAATCCTACAAAATAATAAATTTTGCTTACCAAAGTTACATTATAATACCTATAAATACGAACATACAGTAGGAAAGCATACCTGTATTTAAACTGAACCAATTTGGATAGCTTTGTGACGGAAACACTGGCTTCAAGTACTCTGCTTGAACGCCATTCTTGATCAAAGTTTGTGCTCCATTTTGCAGTTTCGAGTCGGTTTTGTTGAACAAACTGGCACCGTATCCATCGATCAGCAAAATGATCAGGTTCTGGCCAACCGGCTCCTTCTCCGTACTCTCGGCGTGGCAGAGTATCAACAAAACGAATGCCAGGGGCACCAACTTGAGAAGCGTTTGGCCTCTCATGCAAATTTTGGAGAGACTGAAACAAATCGGCTAGATAGCTAATTGGGGTTGTTATCCATTCCACGAACAAAACAACGAAAAGCGTATTAAGACCCGCAAATTCGAATATGCGAGTTGCGTGGTCGGAATCTTATGCAAAAGGCATTAAGTGACCAAACGAGCCTCCGGCCACAAAATTATAGTAAAATGTGCAAAACATAATATTCGCGGCAACCAACACCTGAGGGCGTTGTTTTCCGAGAATCCATGTGATTCATGCACATTTGTGGCCAACCGTACCCCCACCACTACCTTCGTAATGCCTTGAAACATGTTGCGTAAGAGGAAATGAACCGAAACGGCCAGATGTGGACTCCAGCTAAAGGTCAGCCTAATGATCAAGGAAAAAGAGCCAATATGCAATAACGACAACCGGGTATGCAAAAGGTAGACAAGACCGGAATCCGGCGTTTCGTTGTGCTTTTGATCCGAGAGCGACAACTGACATTCGTCAGCCTGAACGGCCCCAAACACTTGGCTCTTCTCGAATAATGCCATCAAACTCCCAGCGGCCATAAAACGACGCGAAACACGGATTTTAAAAGGCCAAAACACAGGTATCCAGAAAAAGGAAATGGCGTCTCCCGGCCGCCTTCCGGGAATAGCCAAACATTCAATTAGAGCTGCTCAGCTCAAGTTTTGTTGCCGTGCATACCTACAACTCCTTACATTGTAAGCCCGCAGTATTATGCTTTAAATCGGCTAGCTTAAAAGAAGGCTAATAATGATGAATCTATCTAACACTAGCTTCCATAATACTAAGGGCAAAGTCCTTGTCAATCACTTTCTTCCTTCGATATCTACTTGTATTCAATTCTTTCAATTAGACCCTTAAGTCATCACAAAAGTCATTTCTCTTTCTGTCATTTTCCGTATGATACGAACAACTTTTTGTACGGACCATTGTTTCTCGACATGAATCATTGTTTTATGGCAGAGACTGAAGTTTACAAAACAGCAGTTTTACTAATTAAAGAAGTTGCCCAAACCTTAACAACAGCATCAGGAGGTCTTAATAACTGTTATCAAAATCTGAATCTTTGTTTTTTGAACTTCTAATCAGGGCTTTCCGCTTTATCAAACATATTCTCGAAAATCATAGTACAAGATTACTTGTAGTTGCTTCAAAGTTTACAATTGATAAGTCGGGGATGATCCAGTGAGGTCAAAATTTTATTTCTTTTTCAAATACTTAACTTGACAGTACTTTTCGAATCATCAGTTCAGAAAGTTTCATATTGTACTGTGACTTGTACTTGACCTAGATGACATTAAACTTACCTTAAAAGAAAAAGTATTTTTTAAAATTATTGAAAAATAAAAAATTATTTTACGAAAGTTTTTAAAGGTTAAATTTGGCAAAGATAATATAGTTTTGATTTTTTATTTATTTACTTTTAACCGTGTTAGTAAGGTAGAACTATATTAATACATTTCCAAATAAAGTATGTGACATGTTTGAAATGTAAACAAAATTTCGTCACGTTGTTGTTATACGTGTACAAGAAGAAATAAGAAACTTCTCTCAAAACAGTTCCTCCCTATATAATCTTTGAGGCTTCACTTTACCAAATACCTGATGATTCATTTGAAGCTTCGTTCTTGAGAAGAGTTGTTTTGATTGAGTCTACCTTTACAACTCATCGTGTTTTTGACAGTTATATGTCGTTGATAAAATAGTGTTGAAATTTCGACCTTTAGCATGCTTTGTCTATAAATTGTTTTTTAAAGAACTGAAAGAGACGAAAAGCATGTGTAATATTGGTCTTTTCTTTCTGTCCCAAAAGTTAAAATGCGTAACTTTTGTATGTGGAAATTATTCGTAAAATCTAGATAAAAAACGTATTTTGGTAAATTTGAAATTCGGATTCACGCGGCCTGGATAGGTTTAAGAACGACAGTGGTGACAATTTGCGTTTCCCGGGTTTTCCTCTCTTTCTCTGGCCGTCTCTCCTCTCGCAAGGACGGAAACTCTTTTTGTTTTCGTTTCCCCAATGTGACCCGACAGAGTTGTTTTTGGCAATCTGAGCTTGTTTATCAGTCAGTTTTCAAAGGTTGTAGATTAATTTATTCGTCGGTTTATAGTGTATTTTGTTGGCGAGACTCGTTTGTCCGGTTTATTATTCAACGACCTCATTTTAGGCTGATCTAGTTCACGTAGCAATTGTGAGGCGCCGAATGTCTTGCTTTACTCAATTCATACCTATTATCCTAAGTTACATCTTGTGATTGCCGTTCTGTGTTTTAGCTTTTGGTGTTTTAGGTAATTTGGAAGGAAAAGCGGTTTAATAATATGAAAAATGTTTTGTGAATAATATTGTTTGACTCATTGTTTAGAAAACGAGAATGGTTTTGCAATATTAAGTTAACTTTTACAAAATTTACGGCCAACTCTTCTTATTTATGAAGAATATAAATTTTTTAAAAAGTTTGTTGCTTTAGGCTATTTTCTTCACTATTTCTCTTTGAATTTTACATTTTCTATTTTTAAATTAGTTATTTTTTTATATATTGCGAACATGTTCATTTCCTGTGCTTGACGTCTTGTTATTCACCACGATGATGTTTAATATTATCCCGAATTTCCATTTTGTTGTTTAGGAGAAGGAAATGGGCCTGGCTGGAAATTTCGTCGCCCTTTGTATTGGAACTTATGCTGGAGTGTATTTGGAACAGAACTACGAGCTACCCAAGCTTCCATCCCCACAAGAAATCACTTCACGGCTTCAGGATTTTCTTGAGACGAGGAAAAAGGACTAGAACAATATCCATAGATACTCATTTTCGTTAGATTTCCATTATTCGGGTTAAATATTCTCACCAATTATACGGTCGTTTATTTTTGTCGTTTAGCGTTTAAACGTTGTTATATTGCTTTGCTTTTTGATTTGAATTTGCGTGATGTTGTTTTAGATGCCAGATCATAAAAGTGGAGCCGCTGGCAATCGCCGGCTCGAACAGGAGTTGGTCGAGAATGATCGACCTATTGCCATTCAAGCCTTGAACGTCATTCTCCAAATATTCCTCTTCTTCTACGATGCTATTGTCTTCATTCCATTCAAGATTTTTGCCGATCCGGACAAGAAAGTGGCTCGATCCGAACGAATCAAGGTAAAAGCTTATTTCTTTTCTAAATTTAGGTACTACGAGCAAGTTTTTGATAAAATTCATCTTTGTTAATGTACTTTCTGTTTAGGCTTCTCCGTCAATTGAAGACGATCCTTCAAGCGGGTGGCGTCACGTTGATACTATTGGCCGTGATTTGGTATCCAATGTTTATAACGGATGTGCGACATTAGGCGAGATTTGGGACAAAAACGTTAGGTAAGACTTCTGTCTTTATTGATACTTTATACGTATTGATGCTTTTACTTTTCTGTTTTCCGTAAAGTTATTTTTGATGTGTTGTAAGATCATTTTTACACGTTATTAAATGTTATTGTTGATCTTTTAGAGAGTATGGACCTTTGAACTGTATGGGGACGCGTCAACTATTGGACGGAGAAGAAGTTCAGAAAGATGGCAAGGTTTTCCAACAGCTTACTTTGGGTCAGTATGACTTCGAAACCTTCTCTGCTGTTCACAGTAAAGTCGAACGAGTTTCTAAGGGTTTGGATTCACTTGGTTTGAAGAAGGGTGAACATGTGATCATCTTCGCTGAGACTCGTGCCGAATGGATGCAATCTGCTTTGGCTTGTTTTAAGAATGGATATCCAGGTAAATTAATGTATATTTATAACTTTAAATTTAGTGTCACTTTTTAAATTTCTAATACTTTTAATATACTGTGTTTTTTCAGTAATAACGGTCTATGCCACACTCGGAGATGAAGCTGTAGCTTATGCTATGAAGGAATGTGATGCCAAGGTTATCTTCACCACGAGAAATTTGTTGAGCAAAGTAGCCAAAGCCTTACCAACTTGCCCATCTATCGAGACGATCATCTACTACCAAGAACACTACAGGATGATTGACGATACTGGATACGCAACTGATGCCCAAAAGAACCAATTCAGAGATGTCGAGAAGAGTCTGTATTCCTTCGAGGAACTTTTGGACCTAGGAGATGGCCGAGACAATGTTAAGGTTGACGTCAAGCCAGACGATTTGGCCATGATTATGTATACCAGTGGAACTACTGGAAACCCAAAAGGTGTTATGCTGTCTCATCGTAACATTATTGCCGCCATTTCTGGTCAGGGATGTGTTTTGACTGTCAGGTGAGTAAGCTTTACGTTTTGTCAACTTCCATTATTTTTTGTTATTGATAGTTAAAATTTTAGCCAGGAAGACACTTTCATTGGTTACCTTCCCCTTGCCCATATTCTTGAAGTATGTGCCGAATTGGTCATCTACAGTAAGGGAGCCTGTATTGGATATTCTTCAGCCCAGACTTTGTTCGACAGAGCTGCCAAGATCAAGAAGGGAACGAAGGGAGATTGTGCCGTTTTGAAGCCAACTTTGATCGCCTGTGTACCTGCCGTGATGGATCGTATCTTTAAGGCTGTCACTGATGAGGTGAAGTCGAAGTCTCCATTCTTCCGAGAAATCTTCAGAATCTGTTACGAACGTAAACGAGCCAGATACGAAGAAGGATATGTTAGTTTGGTCATGAACAAGTAAGCTAGAATTACAATTTGAGTATTCTGCTTTTAGACTTGCTTTCCACAAGATCGGCAAACTTCTGGGAGGAAACTTGAGATATGTTTTGTCTGGTGGAGCACCTTTGAATCCGGAGACCCAAAGATTCATGAACATTTGCTTCTGTTGCCCTGTAGTACAAGGATACGGCCTTACCGAGACTTGTGGAGCTGCCACTTTGGCTGATGGTAAGCTCATCTTCTTGAAAACTATAATAGGAATAACAACAAGAAGATTCATCTATAATTTGTTGCAGAACACGATTTGAGTACCGGATCTGTGGGACCTCCACTGAGATGCTGTGAAATCAAATTGAGAGAATGGCCAGAAGCTGGCTACAGCCCAGAAAATGAAGTACCTCAGGGAGAAATCCTGATTACCGGTGATAATGTTGCTTTGGGGTACTACAACAACGAGGAAAAGACGAATGAAGATTTTATTACGATTGATGACAAACGATACTTCGCTACTGGAGACATTGGCGAATTCCGATGGGACGGATCACTTAGGGTTATTGGTAAGTTCGTAATGACTTTTGATTTGTTTTTAATAAAGTGTTTTTGCAAATGTTTTTATCTTATAATAGCAATTACTATTTTTTATGATACTTATTACTAATCGTTTATTTTTAGACCGTAAGAAGGATCTGATTAAGTTGGCACATGGTGAATATGTATCATTAGGAAAAGTTGAAACTTCATTGTTGACAAACCCCCTGGTAGACAACATCTGCGTGTACGGTGACTCACAGAAGGATTACCTCATCGCTCTTGTTGTACCGAACCAAAAGAATCTCGAAAAATTGGCAGAAGACGTAAGTTTAAAAGTTTTTTTTTTCAAAACCTAGGAAAAGTGAAAAATTTATGTCCATTTATACGTTCCTTTTTAGAACGGAATCAAAGGAGAATGGAAGGATGTATGTGAGAACAAGAAGACTGCCGAAATCATGAACAAAGAGTTGGGCAACTTCGTGAAGAGCAAGTTGCAAAGAGTCGAGATCCCCAAGAAGGTCGTCCTATGTCACGAACCATGGACCCCTGCCTCTGGACTGTTGACTGAAGCCCTGAAACTGAAGAGGAAGAACATCGAAAAGGAGTTCGAGGAAGAAATCAAGGAGGCCTACCAATGAGGGAGGACACCTTCTATTTGACTGACCGATCTCTGGTTTGGTCGACGGTTATTTATTTGTCAACCACACGTGTACCGATTATATTGTTTTGTATTCTACTTGCGAGTTGTGACTGATTTTCAGTGTTTTTACTATTCTAAATCTATTAAAGCTAAAATGATATATTGTCATACTTTTAACTGCAAACAAGCATTTTACAGTTTCAGTTATATTTATTGTCAGCTTTAAAGTACTGTTTATAAACATTTATTGCCTACATCTGGCTGATCGTGTTTTTCGGGTGTAGTGCTGTACAATGTAACGATAGTACCGAGATTAGAAACGGTGATTAGTTCACTCGTATTAAGATCAGATAGGCGGAAGGCACTTCCATCGGAGGCCTAAATTTGACATTTTCAGGTGTATTACCTTTGCTATTTATAAACAGATGTTTCTTCGTTGTTTAAATGTGAAGGGTTTAAAAAAGTCAAAACTTACATCAACAAATCGTTCAGCTATCCTGGCATTCTTTTCCGTACTGGACAAAGCATGGCACGTTCCGTCATTACAAATGATGTTCAAATAAGAGAAGTTATCTTTAGTCACCACTACTCCTTTCTTCACTTTGACTCCGCATTTGGCCGTGATCTTGTAGGAAAGGTTTGACGATTTCAGATTCTCCACATTGAAACTTCTTATCTGTTCCTCCGTGAATACTACTAATTTGGACTGTAGATCGGCTTCGATGAACGCCAAGGAACAGACTGGAGCACGATGAGCAAGCCTAACTTCTTTAAACAACGTGCATCCTTTTTTGTTTACTCCGAAGAAAAACAGAATCCCGTTTCCAGTGCCTGCATACAGATACGCCTTAGTATCTGTGGGTTCGTAGAATCTCAGACATCTGAAACCATGTGTCCACGGAGAGTTGGTGTCTCTGAAGGCCACTTCACGGTCAAGAACAGGTTTATGTCTCATGGAAGCGTCTTTCTTCCTAAAAGTTCGTCGAACTGATTGCTTCATGGATTTCAGTCTAGTCAAGGGTTTCTCTTCGTTCAGGACTAGCCTAGTATCTAAAATCGAACATTAAATTATGATATGCTTCTAATTTAATGAACTAACCTTCCACTGATAAAAAGTTTTGTTTGAAGATGACGTGGCTATTCGTAGCATCATACACAATAATGCCAGTAGAGCACCCAATGGCAACAAAATCGGAGTTCTTAGATATTGACAGTGCTCGGACCGGCGTCTGCGGAATAACGTTCAAGACTTTTCTGAAACAAAACTGTCAGTCACAATAAGAAAGTCAAACATTGACTTTTTACAGAATCTGAAGTAACTTACGAAAGCAGAGCTGAGTTCTCAGCTTTAAAAACAATTGGAGTGATCTTGGCCTGCTTGTCTTTTGTGGTGGCTTGACTTGACAGATTAACAGTAACCAATTCAACCAGTTCTCCTGGTTTTACAGTATTCCCATGAGAATTGTAAGACAACACTAACCCACAGTTGAGACCTACAGTAAGAAGGTTATTCGAAGCTTCAATCACTTCAACAGCATATCCATCATCGTCACATCGGTCATCGTATAGTCCGCACTATAACAATATACATTTAAAGGTACAATAGGATACTAAGATATATCGTAAATATAGATTTGCCTACTTATTATTAAATTCGTATTATTAAAGTAAGAAAATCTGTACCAAATATACTGTAACATACTTTGACGGGCTTCACACTGACGTCTAAGAGCTGAGTTGGCGTTTTCAACTCTTCGCTTACAATAACATTGGTCATTCCATTTTCATCAGATATCGTAACAAAGTCATCTTCTATACCTCTAAATCTCAAATCATCCATAACATACTCTTCTTCATTCCCATAATCTCCAATAATTACGGCATCTGACGGCTTCAGTACACTGTGCATGTTTAGTTTGTCACTTTGCAACCTCCATACAACAACATTACCATTTTGATGGCTAAAACAATTTGTTATTGTCAGATAAAGCTTACGCAGTACAAAAATAACTCCCATCCTCATTATCACATAAAACTTGATCATTGAATATGTTACATCTGGTGCTCGTACAACTGTCAAAAGTGACATTCGGTTTCTGTGACAATATCTTAACAGTAGTTACTGTAGAAAAGTCGATGCAATTCAAATATGGTAAAAGTAACCGGTTAAAGTTGAGATCAGTCAAGTCAAGAGCAACAAACTCGTGCTCCAATAGAAGTAACAGGGTATTAGCTTCATCTACAACATTAAAAATGTAACAACAAGTAATAATATGAATAATAAGAAGGAATACACACAGCTACATTTTATTTTTAAATCAACCCAAATTAAAAAAATTTAATAAAAAGGCGTTAAAGCTTACTATTTTCATCATATACAACTTTAATATCAAGAATAACATCTCCAAACGAAACAACTTTAGTATTATCACCGTCAGTTATCATCATACAAGTGTCCCTACTGTAGTCAGAAGGGAATCCATTACAATATATCGTGAGACATCGACTGAAAGATAACATTCAAAGAATATGTACACTAAAAAGAAGTTTCAAAAAATAATTTTAAAAATGTAGTAATTAATAAAATATACCATGAAACTGAAATCCTTACTTTTTGACCTTAACTTTGTTGTAGTACATTAAAGGCTCAAAGTCATCACACGCTTTCCCATTGGCTACTACAGAAAAGTCATCAAGATTTAACGCACATACAAATTGAGAAGATGCGAAGTACATAGTCGAAGCAACATTGTTAAATACTATGCTCTGAAGTCATGAACAATAATTTTTGATAAAACAATATACTAAACACAAAAAAATATAACCTACTTCTATACTCTTTTTAAAGTTAATCAATTTAAAAATAGACCCATACTTCATGTCCAATATTACAACTTTGTCCATGTTATACACAGCAACAACAAAATTATTATAGATTTCAAGGCCTCGCATTTCGCTGCCATCCCTAAAACAATGTCAAAAATAAAACAACAATATAAGAAAAAAAGCAAAGATTTAAAAGCAGTAGCTATGTTTAATTTTTACCGTATAACGTCGCTGTTCACTGAAACACACGAATTAACGTTGACTTCAGAAGGCCAGAGATTGTCCCATTCATATAAATCAACTGAATTTCTGGCACCTAAACAACAAAGATAATAATAAAGTACCTCCATAAAAGCTTGAGTAATTTCTAAAAATCAAAAAGATAAAAATAAAATAAATTATTACCTAAATATAAACCATCTTGTGTTAAACAAAATGCAGTAGACACAGTTTCTCTCCGAGGTCGATTATAAGTATAACATGGGTTGTTACAATCTACATCCAAAAGATGTATAGCTTCAGGAAGGTGAGAAGTGCCCGGTTTTTCCGAACATACCAACATCAACACCCGTTTGCCTTCGATGAAAGAGAAGAAAGATGTTTTACAGCCAAGTTTCTTCAACAATGTCCGCTTTTCCAACGAGACATACCTAAAATATGTATATGAAGATAAATGAACGATTTAAGTTGTTACAATTTAGGAATAAAATCTCTTACACTTCAACATTTCCAGTTTGAGTTACGATAGCCAGAAGCTTTTCCTTCGAATCGACTGCTATTTTGTGGACTTTTTTGGGCAATCCATCTGAATTTATCTGAATATAGCTCGAATATTATAATTAAAAAAAGATTCAAAATATTTATTTAAACCTTGATACAAAAGTGTGGATGTTTGTTTATTCAAGTTCTCCAAAGAATACCTTTTTCAAGTTGAAAGCCTCTTGAAGTCGTTGTGTCTCCAGAAATGCATCTTGTTTATTCCGACGCAGAAATCGAAACATCCAATATTCAAATTAATGAAACCAGGACCTTGTTTTTTGTGCGGAGTTGAAGTGAGTCAGATGAGAGGAACGCGAAAACCGTCCAACGCGCCCTCTCTTTCCCGTTTTTCAATTATTTCCAAAATTACAAACTCCCATGCCTGAAACACGGTGGTTATCTCGATGTCAAGGACAGGAACACCAAGATTAAAATCTGACTGTTCATTTCGAAATTTTGATAATTCTAAAGATCTTGTTTTTTTGAGTCAGTGCTTGTGATAAAAATATGGGAAGTAAAATCTGAAGCTGAAAAAATGCAGGAATTAAAAGATGTACTAAACTATTTTTATTATAAAATTAGTAATTTTCTCTTCAAAATATTGTTGAATTTTGCTATCTTTTTTTATAAATTTTCTAGTTTTTATCAGAAATGCAGGAATGTTTAAGCTGCGCCCGAGCTTTTGAATACTGCACACTTACATATGAATTTATACGAAAATAAATCTGAAATAATCAGTCCTGAAAGGAAAACGTTGGCAAACTAGTTGTAAATTTAAAATATTTGGCACTTTGCAGCAAAGAAATTATTTTTCTATTTGAAATTTTCCAAACAAAATTTTGTCTGAAGCTCGAGCATTCAACCAAGGTAAGTTAATCGATGTAATTTTGCCATTTTTAATTTTTGTTACTTTATTTTTAAAGCTTTTTTATCAAAGTGTAATTAAAACGATACTGATAAGTAGAGATCTACAACGAACAGTGTACTATTCCTGATTGGCAGTTGAATTGAGCACGATATACTGAGCGGTGATTAAAAAGAAAAGATATAGGTTAACAAAGGTAGGACAAGGCTGGCAGTCAATAAGGGGGCAGAGTTGAGGGCTGCGTCTTCAGGATAGGACCGGATTTCGATGTGCGATGGGCTGGCGATGCGGTAGTTGATTCTAGGACCTCTGCTGAATTTGTCAGGGGACATGCCGGCGAGCTCGAACATTACCCAGTCTCCATCAGATTGGAAGGTCTTTCCCTTCAGCTGCTGGAACTTTTCGTTGCATGGTATCCTGGAATAGTTGTGTTATGGTTGTTTAATGATTATGGTTAGATAATATTTTGTTGATATACTCATGAATAATACATCAACAAGTTGAGGGGTCAACTTACTGTGTTGATAGCTCTTTGACGCCACGGACTCTGAAGCTGTCGACGCAGTCCTGGTTTTCGTCGAGATCTTGGGAATTCAAATCCATCTCTTGAAATTCAAACTCGATTCTCTCCCAAGGGTTCGCGGGCTTGACGAGCCACTGACAGAACGGGCTGCCGGACGTTTCTCTCGGATAGGCACTGTAAGATAAACTCATTAAAGTCGGAGTTGCGCAATATAAGCCCAAGAATTACCGTACTTTATATAAGCTGAGAGCAAATAAAGGAGCGGATTACTCTGGCATATGTCAAATACTGTTTTTATAGTAATACACGACGGCTATTACAAAAATTATATTTTTTAATTTTCCATAAAAACAAGTTTTAAATAGATATTAAAGTTTGTTTGAATTCAAAGTATAAAGATGCTCATTGTTTATTTGCATATCTTACTTAAATATCCCTACCTGAGTGATACTGTGCCTTCATAGTCAGCTTTCACGATACCACAGGAGGCGTCAGTGTAATGTGGAGAACGTCCGAGCTCTTGGCAGAATTTACCGGTCATTCCATATCTACATTTGCAGGTACAGTTCTCTTGAAGTTCTCCTCCATTATGGCAAAAGGTCGTGCATTTATCTGAAATAATGCGTATTGTTGTGGGGGATTCATGTCAGCGGCGCGTTTGATTCCCGTCAATGACATTTATGCTCATTTAACGACTTTGTATTGTGTTCGCGCGGATGTTAAAAGTGCTGGGGAAGTGCTATTAGATGTGTTATAGGAGTTTTATTTGAACGGCGGATAATCGAAGACTTTCGACATTCCGATTTAGCCGCAGCTCCAGGTGGATGAGCAAACACTCTGAGCTGCTGGACACACACTCTCGAGCTCGGCGAGAGATGGGGAAAGTTTTTCTTTCGGAAGTCCTTACTCAAGTTTTTTTTCTTCGTGCCGAAGGTCAACAAGGTGTGTTCTTTATTTGGTGCTCTGTGGGGCCCGAGATCAGGTTTCCGCTGCATTGGCTTCGGCTTCAATTAGCGGGCTTCAGAATTAAGTGGGCATGAAGTTAAGAAACTCGGACAGCTGGCTGGGATCCCCTGAGGAAGGGCTAACCGCCAATTACGTCTGATTGGGCCGTTTAATGCGGCCTGAATGCGCACCCGTACCGGCCATAAATGGTAATAAATTTGCATAAGAGAAAATAAATTAACATGTCCCCGGAGTTGGAGCGGGCTAATTACAAATTGTTTGCGAAAACAGCTGTCCTAGCAGCTCGAATTGCTCGCCTTTTCCGCCAAAGCGATCATAACTGACTGGACTAATCCCTCCACATCTGCCCCCGACCTGTTATGCTCCCTTGATTTTCGAATTAAGGTTAGATAAGCTACAGTAATAATTGCTTGTTATTATTACCTGTGCAATTAAACTTCAGGTTCAGGTGACGGGCTGCGCCATAATGATGCAGTTCGTTGGTCAGGGCTTTCGAGATTAAGTTCACGCAGGTCTCCTCCTGAAAGAACGGTTAATTAGGGACTTGCACTATTAAGGTTAGAGTGTATTGTAGAATATGCATTCGAGGTTGTATGAACTTATATTAGAATTGTATTAGGTTGGTGCAAAAAAAATATTTTTTAAGCGTGTAAGGTGACATGATATGGCTGAAACTTCTTAACAAATTAACCGCATCAAGCGTGTGCAAAACTAAAGCTTGTATAAACTTACATTTGCGCATTCTGGAGATATGTGTACAGTATTGTTGTTGCCTTGCCATGATGAGCAGCGCCTGAAACGGGAGGAACTAATCTTCATTTACTTTACTTACTTTGATTCGATGAAGGAAATTACTTTTTCCGATGTTGGTTTCACAGCCCTGGAGAATGTCAAGCACGTGTCTTTGGTCAGTTTCTCCATCGAATTGAGGATACAGTTGTTGATGGTGACATCTGAAAGGTTACGTTAAAAGCAAAATAGGATTGTAAATGGCTAGAGCGGTTCTCAGTTCAAGAAACAAGATAATTGGAATATAAAAAGATTTCGAAGTTTTAATGGGCTCGTTGGAAGTTATGTTGAAGTCAGAAAAAACCCAAAATGACATATAAATTGCAATCCGAAATCGCAAACTTACTGTTTTTGTCGCCAAACCGGTAAAAGACGGTTGTTGATGCCACCGATATCTACAAGAAAGTTCACTTGAGCTAAAAGCGCACAACACTTACCGTAGTAAAACAAAAGAAGAGTAGGAAGCCGCGGCTAAATATGGCCATACCTGTCCCAATGTTTAAAGAAGCGCGACTCAATGCCAGTTTGAACAGAATGACCTCTGCACTTTTTTAGAAGGGGTACTAGACTTCGGTAGCCAAACACTTCAAGAGTTTCGACCACGCCCGACTCCGCCCCTTTCGCCTCGTTCGCCGCGCTCGTAACAGACCTTTGGAGTGCCCAACGGAATCATAGGCCTTTCCTTGATCACAACACATACAGTAAATGGCACGGCGTTAGTCAGCACACTATTCAATTGGGCTGTTAAGGAATAATGTCTTATATTAAACGCTTTTTCACTTTATGCCTATTCAAATTGCTGGGGCTTGAATTCGAAACTGACACTTTAAACTGGGTAATTGCTTTGTGTCAATTAATAACGTGCCATGAGATGGTGGCGTAATGGAGGTGTCGCTAATTGTGGTTTGACAGGGGTTTATAGGTTATGGAATTTCGAAAAGATTTTAATAGGTATAGTAATCTTCAAGCGTTGTTTTAGGTAATGTTGGTATTCATAAGAAAGTTCTTTCGAAATCAAGAAAGAAATAAATACGTTAATTTAATTTTTTATATGTATAGTTATCCGATTAGGACGCATATAAAAACTGCATACAGGTATCTCAAGCACTTAACATGACTGACATAGACTGGTCATGTTAAAATCGGCGATATTCAAATTTGTGTTGATCAAACACGACCATCTTTATTTGTTTTTTAGTGTCGGGTTACAGTGTCAGAGCGGAAATGAAAACATTTCAGGCCGAACTCATCTTTAATAGACAGATGGGGCCACAAAATTAAGACGAAAGGGTACCCTCGAGATGAAACGGGATCTTATGCAAATACCACAATGTTTTCCACTTTATATTCTGTCGCTGTGGATTAATTTCCTCACATATTTTTTGTTGTGTTCCCAGCTGAGTAAGGGCCACAAGTGGCGGAAAATTTGCATAAGAATTGGTGGGGCCAACTCACGTTCGTGACAGCTCCATTGGGCGACAATTTTCGCCACTCTCGACTTCCATCCTCGGGAGTGCAGTTCGAAAGTGCGGTAAATTTAGATTAAATTTCGACTTTAGAGCGCCGCACTCTGAAGTTGCGCAATTAAGTTAAATACGAAAGATTATAGCATGGTCGAGTAAGAAATTAAAGACATTGATTGCATTTGCCAAATTGAATAATAATAAGCATAAAACCATGGAATACAAATCGACTGGTGAAAGTTGGACGAAAGATTAACAAGTACAAGCTAAACATTTACTCAAAACAAAAACGATATTGCATATTTTATACAGTAATCATCTTTGTAGTAGAATCGAAATACAAAAGCAGAAATTAAGGTAACTATAGTCATGGCCTAGCGAAAGAGGATTCGAACCTCGAACACATAAATAATCGTCAATTTTAATGGGACGATTTGTGTGAATTTCAATTTTTATTGTGTCAGATGCTACAAAACTTGCAAATTGTAAACAAAAACAATGGCATATCTCTATCACGTGATATTGCATGTCTTATCATTTAGCAAGTTGCTGCTAAAGTTGTCAACAACATATTGTTGTTGTTTTTTATGGAAACATATCTATTTTAACGTATATATACGTACTTTTTATTGGGTTAAATTGGATTTATGGTATTATGTTTGTCAATAAATACGTACGAATACGTTCTTTTTACTAGTTTTTTTTTGGTTTCTATCTAATTTTTGACCAACTTGAAAAGATTTTTATACTAAAAAAAAAAGAATTTTTTAATATTATACTTAACTTTAATGTCTACTACATGTTTACGACCGATTGCTATCGTAGTTACACCATGGTAGACAAATTATTTATGTTCTGGCCTTGTCCGCACATGTTGCGCCAAGTGTCAAAGTCGTATTTTATGAGCGTTGGAAGGTCATTGTACAGCTCTTTGTTAACTCTTTCGAATTCCCACGGGAACGTTGCACTTATTTTGGTGATAAGCCGGCTGCATTTAAGGCCCGTTCTTTGGATTCCAGCCCCACTGTTCACATGTGTGGTATCTTCGGAATCTGCGAATCTGCGGCTCCACGCAACGGCCATCCGGTTCCATGGGTGCCGTTGTACAAGGCCAACATTCAGTCGGGGTAATTTTAGTTGTGATTACAATTACATTTTGTTCTTATTTATTTTAAAATTTTTATTTTTTTTAGTTTTACTTAAAGGACCAGTTCGCCCATTCAAATATCATTGGCATTCTGTCGCAAAAATTCGACGATCATTTTTTTCGCAAAAAACCTGAGCAGGTCGGTCCCAAATTGAAAAATTCATTTCGACACTGACCCACTCACGTTTTTTGAGAAAAATGATTTTGATTGAAATTGCCTGATTTTCGACGCTTTTTGCGACAGAATGATATTTCAATGGCCGAACTGGTCCTTTAAATTTTTAGTTTACTGGGTCATCGTGGCCCTGATATGCGTAACCATTATCGTAACGAGAAGAACGGTAACACCATTTTCCACGAACGTTTAGCTATTAACGATCTTGGCTGTTTCCAACCTATTGAAGGCTCAGCTCCAAACAGACAGGTATATTTTTTAGAATTTCATTAATGAAACTTGACTTTATAATTTATATGATTACTATAAGTGTAGGATTGCGCAGGTAACATTGTTTTCAAAGCCATGTTTCTAGGTGGTCCACAACGGTGAGATCTACAACTGCCACGACATGCAAAGCGAGTATTTGGCTGATGTCCACTTCAACACAACTTGTGACTCTGAAGTTCTGATCCGTCTTTTCGACCTGTTTAAAGGGGCCGAGTTCTGCAACCTGCTTGATGGCACATTCGCCTTGGCCATTGTCTATGACGACCTGTTTTTTGCGGCCCGAGACCCGATCGGAGTAAAGGCGTTGTATTATGGAAGCGATGAGTGCGGGCGATTTATGTGCTCCAGCGAGTTGAAGGTGCTTAATGGATTTTGTCAGAAGATCAGCGCGTTTCCTCCAGGCCATTATTACACTCCAGAGACTGGCATGAAGCGATACTACGAGCCACTGTGGCAGAATCCGTCTTTGGAGTTTAAAGAGACCGACTATCAACAAATTCGAACAGTTTTACGAACTGCCACCACGAAACGGTTAATGAGTGACGCGCCTCTGGGCATGTTGCTTTCAGGTGGACTGGACTCGAGTCTTATCTGGTACGCACTCTGATCTAATTTAATTGAATTATCAGACAATTTAAGACACTTTCATTAATCGAATGTGTAAAATTCAAATTTGTAAATAATTTTAAAATATAACGCTTTAGTCATTTAAAACTAAAATTTAAAATTTTCATAATTTTAGTCAAAAAAACAATTATTTTTCAATATTTGAATTCCAAGTCACACACGTTGAAACAATGAAACGTGATTTTAGTTCCCTGGCTGTCAAAGAACTTCGAAAACAAGGAAGACCTTTAAAAACGTATGCAGTTGGACTACCTGGATCACCTGATTTAGCTGCAGCTAGAAAAGTAGCCGACTTCTTAGGAACAGATCACACCGAGGTCTTTTTCACGGTAGAAGAAGGAATCTGTGCTTTAGTTAAGCTAGTCTATCATTTAGAAAGCTACGATGTTACCACAGTAAGAGCAGCTACTCCAATGTTCTTTTTGTCCAAAAAGATCAGAGAAGACAAGATCAAGGTGGTGCTGTCTGGAGAAGGCTCTGACGAGATTTTAGGAGGATATCTCTACTTCCACAATGCTCCAAACGACGAAGAGTTCCACAAAGAGACAGTAAGAAGGGTCAACTTGTTATCAACGGCGGATCTACTCCGTGCTGATAAAAGTTGTATGGCAAACTCGGTGGAAGTGAGAGTGCCATTTTTGGACAAAGCCTTCTTGGAGTTGGCTATGGCTTTGAAACCGAGTGAACGAAGGCCGACTCCAGAGAGAATCGAGAAGTACGTGTTGAGGAAGGCGTTCGATGTTGATGTAAGTGCTTTTATGCTTTCGTATGACGTTGTAAATTTGTTTAGTTATACAGCATTTACAACTCTAATATATTTTTTGTAAAATAAGTTTTTGAAACGTTCAGGGTGACCAGTACATGCCCTCTGATGTATTATGGCGACAGAAAGAACAATTTTCAGATGGCGTTGGCTACAGTTGGATCGATTCTCTAGTCAAATATTGTAACGAAACTGTTTCTGATGACGATGTAAGACCTAACTCTAACGATTTTTAGACTAGTTTTCATAATATTGCTTAATGGACCTTTAAAGTTTATTTTTGTTTTTCTGATCACATTTTGATATTGTTTTACAGTTGTCAAGCGCGGCAGCGCAGTTCCCTTACAATACTCCGAAGACGAAAGAAGCCTTTTACATCAGAGCCATCTTCCACAAGTTCTATCCTTCAGAAGCGGCGGCAAAGACAGTATTACCCTGGGTACCCAAATGGCAGTTGAGCGAAGATCCTTCAGGCAGAGCCAGTGAAGTGCATTTACAGACGACAGCTACTTAAAGATAACTCCATAAATATTTTACTTGGACGTCGACTATGTTCAGGAAAGAAATCACGATAACGCAGTTTTAGCGGTCACACCTTATGAATTTTAAATATATATTGTTATCAAATTTAGAATATTTTATTCAGACTTTAAAAATAAAATGGTAACAAAGACTTAAAGCGACTCTATCTCAAGCTACTACTCCTAGAAGCCGAAGCCAACCTACTTGTTTAGAGGCTGTAGCTCGACTGGATTGGCAGTGTTGGATTCGTTTTTCCTGGTCTCCCATTCGTTGACTTTACGCAACGGAAGACTGATAAAACCACTTAAGGTCATTAAGACACCCATAACATAGAAGGACATGTTGAAACTGTTGGTTAAGTTCTTTAGAAGAGCTGTAATAGGTGTTATGATAGTGAAGGTTCTTTTGATCTTATGTATAATATATTTTGGTTTTTTATTTTTTCTTTGGCTCTATTGCAATATGTAGCTGTTGTTACTTGCAATGACATTATCTCAACACTTATTAAGAAATTAACTTTAATTTGAATTCTTACCGGCGAACGGTGGACCAGCCAAGGCCGCCACACCCATAAACATAAGTAAGATCCCGTAGGCATTGGTTAACTTCTCTACCCCTAACAACTCTACACAGATAACAGAGCGAAGTGCCGCGAAACAAGCTGAAATTGTTTGTGTTTCTACTTAGATTGTAATCCAATGTAAGCGGGTTTGCAATTAACTTGAGACTCTCGATTAAATTAGACATCATTTAATAAAAACATGATTACAAGGGTTTTGTCTACAATAACATGGGAATGTTGGTGGAAACTAATGCAATGGAAGAGTTACCAATACTAAATAAACAATTTAAAGATTAAGTAACTTACCAACTCCAAAAGCAAATGGCAAACAATAAAGTGCAAACAAAAAGAAAGTATTGGCAAATGGCACCAGAATCGTGGCTACTCCACCAATAATCAAAGCCCAGTTAGACACGACCAGTGGATCCACCTTTGGATGGTCACTAATTACTCCACATAACACTCGAGCTACCAAGTTGACCAGGCCTAGTATAACAACCAGGTACTTGGTATGCTCTGGTTCTACACCATTGGTCCTGGCTAGTTGGCCAATAAACATAAATGGCACAAAGAAGCAGGCCAAGGTTAAGAATCCTCCCACCGCCAGGATTAAGAAGCTGGGGGAGGTTAACAAGGTGGTGTCCAACATTGATTGCAATGGCTAAAATCGATGTAATATATAGACAAACACTATGGATCATTAACAGAATAGTATGTTTTTTAATTTTAGGTATATCTTTTGTTTAGGTAACAAACTAATGTTATTCAAGATATTGTAGTAACTTACACTTAAGATTCCTCTGTGCCAAGTATCTTTCTGGTCGATTAGGTAGTCTTCAGCTGTCGGTAATCCAATATTGCTTAAGTATAATGATGACTTATTGGTACTGGCTTCTACATTTGTAACTGAACGTAGTTTGGTTGTACTTCCGTGTCGTTCTGCCAGTTTAGTCGTGGAGCCAGGATAGAAGATGTCCATCTTTGACAATGGTCGATTCAAGTCTGCCATACTGGCCTTGGACACAGCTGAGGCCAGGTCATGGTGAGACAAGGCATTCTTTTCCTAAATAGCAATACATTTTATTGTTTATACTGTACCTACTCATAATTTAACTTTGCATATATGAACAGGGCTAATATGCAGATAACAAATTAATAACTTACCCCATTCCTAATAGCATGAAGCTCGATGGTAGACAAGAATGGTCGGTTCTCTCCTAGATGTCTGGTACTCTGTGACATGCTGGGACTCTTGAATCGTTCTATGGCCACACCGTGGGCCACATGTGGACTGCTAGTGATCTCTGGCTCCACTTCATCCTCAGCATGTTTGACAATGTAATTTTCTGTAATCTCTGTAACCTGTCACTCGCTACTACAGTAACTGTGCACTTACTTTCTCCAATTGTTGTGTAGATGGCTGTAGAGGCTTAAAAAAGTACCCGAAGATGACTGTTAATAGTGTTATACCGGCAATAAAAACAAGAAAGAACCTCCAGTTGTTGTTCAGGAGTCCGAGAACTATTGGATTTATCTAAAGTGAAATCAGGTCATTATTTATTATTTTTGTGATCATTATTATACGCATCTTATAATTATATGGTCATAAAATCATGTAAAATGACGTCAATATACATATAAGTCTCTTACATAACTCAGAAGGGACGTCCCGATGCCAGACCCACAAACAGCGATACCCGTGGCCAAAGCTCGTTTCTCCGAAAAGTATTGTCCTACAATAACGACGGCTGGCAGGAAGATCAACCCGTATCCTACACCACCCACAATACCAAATGTAAAGTACAGTACTGGCAACGCGGGAACCATAACACTGATAAGAAAGCCGGCTGCCGCTATGATCGCCCCAAGAATGGCCACCTTGTCGCAGCCGTACTGATTAGCTAAAGCGCTAGCCAGGGGACCTAAAAGTCGATTTAAGAGCTCTTTTAACAGTAATTTTTTAATTTGGAGATTTTGCAAATTTTTTATTTTTTTTGTTATCAATTCGTTTTTTACGCAAAAAAAGATTTAAGAAAGAAAATAAAAAAGAATCATTTTCATTTTTTCCGTCTTCATTTCAACCAAACTAATACCTAAACATCGAAAAACTTCAGCCAACACCCACCTGACAAGAGATAACATCCCGCCAACAACGACGGTGATACTGTAGCCATCGACGTGGTGGTGTTGAACTCTTTTTCCCACAACGGAACGATGGTCTCGGAGATGGAGAAGATAACTCCGTCCACGATCATGTTAGCCATGAACGATGCGAACACCACCACCCATCCGTAGCCGCCATCCGGAGGCTCGATGATGCCCACGTTCTCGAGCTCGTTCTCCAACGCATCTTCGTTGGCCTCTTGGGCCGCGTCGGCCTTGTTCCGCATCTGAAGCCCACCGTTCGTAAGTCTGCAAGGTAATCGGAGGTACGACTGTCAAGATCGCTAATATTGGGGCTTGCTAACAGTGCTGAAGGCGCGTCCAAACCCTGCGGCGCCGTGATAACAGAATTTGTGATAAAGAAAGTGTGAGGAGATAGATGTATGTGTTTAAAAACCGACGCAAAAAGGGCCAGGATTCTTTTTTCAAGAATTTTATTTGGAGAAAAAGTTGCAGAGACGCACTTTTCCAGACGCTGTTTTCGAATGGTCCCGAATGTAGGGGAATATAGGAATAAGGAGGGGATCGCGCATAATAAACAATCAGGGGAATCAGGGCCGAAAGACAATATTTTGGGACAGACAGCTGTTAGAGAGTGGCATCCGCCTCGAGGCAGTTTGTTCGACACGTCTCGTTGGCTGATTGATGACCTTATGATGACCATTTAAGTCGCCCGACCACCGACTCCCCCTTCTCGAATACTGATAAAAAATAAGTTTATGTTGCACAAGGTTACAAATCAGTTATGTATATTAATCATCGAGTAAGACGATTTCGTCGGGATCGTGGCGACGTCGCTTCAAGAAGGTATCGATGGTATTCATCGGTTTGGAAGGCCTTTTTTGGGTCTTGCCCTTAGGTTCTTTGGCTCTTTTTTCTTGTCGAACTTCTTTGTTGGCCTTTGGTACTACTGGAAGCGTCATTAGTAAGGCTACTATTAAACTTTCAATGACAGTAATAACAAATGGCCATCTCCTATTTGGTAGTAAAAGTACTTCTGACAAACTTAAACAAACTTGCTTTATATTGCCCCACACCCACTTGAATTCAACCTTGGATTTAGAAAATCAAATTGAAACTCAAAAAACCAATAATAATGTTATATCTTTCGTCTACAAACATTATATGATATTATAATGATATCTTATGCAATTTGCTTCCAAACCGTAATTAAATATCAAATGATTACTTTTTAAATTATACCCTAGGGGTATTAATGTTCACTAAAATGCTTACTTTATAGTTGAACATCAATCAACATAAAATAATCTAAAAATTGTAAGTGACATACCTGATATTACTTCGATATCTTCTGAATCTGAGGTTGACGATGGCTTTTGAAAATACCCAAATAAGGTAGACTGTCTGTTTTCAGAAGAATCTACAAAGTGAGAACATCGTACACCGAGTAATCGTATCTGAAACATATTCATTTAACCATTCAATGTATGCTACAGTAATGCACCAAAGTAGCCAACTTTAGACTATAAACCAATATTAAAATGTCACAGCTTCTACAATAATACTGACCTTCCTCTGCTTGTCCCAGTTCTTCAGGAACAATTCGAGTACCAACTTTGTGAATATCTCCACATTGTCTACTGTAACATCGACCGTTTTTTGTCGAGTAACTCTTTCGAAACTGTCGTATTTCACAATGACGCCAATATTGTGACAGCCTTTGTAGTACTTCAACACATCAGGTAGTAAGCTGGCACATAATTCTTGTAACTTTGACAGTAAGACAGCTTGGTTGTTAGTAGATTGGAAGGTGGTTTCTTCACTCATACTCTTACGGCCTTCTGAACAGTGTTGTGAGGGTGTTATCAATACAATGCTATACACTACTACACATTTCAGTATAAATATAATTACCGTAATTTGGTAATCGTACTTACCACTGCTCTCTTCACCTTCATCTTCACATCCCCATACTCCAACAGCACATCGCAGAAGAAAAGAGGCTGTAGCGGGTTGAAACAACAAGGGTATAATGTTAGCCTTGTCATGTAGATCCTTACAAGTAAAGATTTCAAGGCCTTTTAGAAGAAATTCAGTTGTTGGACCAATGCCTGGTACCTAAAACAATTTTATATAACAAATTGAATATTATACTAAACAGTTTTAAAATTACAAAAAGTTCAAAAAATCTGAATTTAATGCGATTTCTTACTTTTCTGACGCAGAGTTTGTTTACAAAATCATCCACGGTATCTTGGTCTGACTTCAAAAGATATTGACCATTAGGTTTATTCAAATCTGAACAAATTTTGGCCAATTTGTAGTTGCATGCAATACCTAAACAGTAATACCTTTTAGGTAAGTGAATTAATTTGAAAATATAACCTTCTATAAAGCAGTACAGTATACTTCATCCGTATAATGACAATATATAATTCATACCAGCACTACAAGTCAGTCCAGTCTTCTGTTCGACTCTCAGCCTCATCTCATTGATAACATACTCCACCGTAACTCCAAAAGTGACTTCTGACACCGTGACAACCTTCTCCTTATTACACTTTTCACATATTTCTTTTTCCTCGGAAGTTACAGTACCAATACTCGTGAGATCCTCTCTTTGGCGTGGCAATCTGCATTCACATTCTCCACTATATTGTCTAAAACACCATGTTCTAGGCTCTGTCCTCGTTTTCATATATTGTGTAATCTCCAAACACGCTTCATCCAGCCCTAATGAGTACATGTTCGAGTCGTACTCCTGAAGCACTGACTTGACTTCTCTGCTGACTTTCTTGTATTTGTCATAGTTTCCAGACACAATAACCAAATTCGGACAGAGTTCTTTGGCTATGAAACCTGGCATAGCTGATCTAACACCAGTTTTTCGTGCTATATAGTTTGCCGTACTCTAAAAAATTTACTATAGTACAATATTAAATCATAACTAAAATACACTTTTATTTTTATGAACTTGACATCAACATACCAACATTGAGTTACCACCGACAGCCATAGGAACGCTCCGCAACCTAGGATCATCCCTCATCTCGACGTTAGCAAAGAAAGCATCCATATCAACATGAACATACAAGTGTAAGTAGTCTTGTTTTGTTTTAAGCTCTGTTAGTATCATATCTACCTATAAACATAACCATAACTACAACATTACACTACCCTGCATAAGAATTACTAGTAAATTTACATTATTGTGAGATTCCTCAAGTTCACGGTGAGTCAATGTCTGTAGTTTGTTCTTTATTTCGTTCAATTTGTCTTCCATTCCTTTCTCCCGTTGTTTCTGGTACTGCTGGTACTTCCCCGACGTATGACGTGCTATTACTTTGTTTACTTCCTCCCTATCTACATTATCCATGCCAGCTTTGTGAGATGCATATGGAAGCATTGTGAGACCTTTAAAGTGAACTAACTAATACATTAACTAAAAAAGTATGTTAGAACCACAACTTTAACCAAAATTCGTCAGATTAAGGGTAGCTTTATTCGTAAAACAAATTCAAAAAATATAGATTACAGTATGACAACACCTTTAATTTTAAAATTAAATTTATTAAAGTACAAATCGAATTTACTTACATAAATGTACATATAAGTAGGTAACATAATATTCATTAAAAACCGGTAATATGCACAACAGACATTAGTTACAATACGTCTATAATAAATAAATACTAACTAGTGTTATATCATATCTTTACTCTGACGAAAATGCTCAAATTAAAAACAATAAGAAAATCAAAGTACAGAACCTGTTTTGCAAGTACCTTACTGTACAATAAATGAGCAGAAATGTATTGCATAATACTCAAATGGTTCCACTTACAGTATCTCTGTACTGTAAAATCTAATCCGTATATTTACAGTTCTTGGAAGAACTCGGACCCAGAAGCGGGGAATCTGGTTGAGAATCCTCAACGATCTCGTTGACTACATCGTGCATAACATCAGACACATCTCCAGAGACCTTAGTGTTAATATCACCCGAAGACTTGTGTTGACTGGTCGATGGCCGGTCGTTTTCTTTTAATTCTGCGAAATTAATTGGCAGAAACTGTTTTCTGAAGCCAGCATTATCATCGTCATCAAGTACGAATTCAGGAAGAGAATAGAACGAAGCCGACCGTTGTAATTCTGAAGCCGGAAGATGACGATCAGAGAAGGGAGGTTGAGTCGGGAGATCAGGTTGGGGAAGATCCAAAACGGCCCTGATCTTTTGCTCCTACAATAACAATATCAATCTCCTTGAACATAAACTTATAACAAGGTATCCTCATCATCAAACTTAAAACAAATTATATAAGGTCGGTAAAAACTATACCATTTACAAAGTATATCAAAAACTTACGTTTTCAGAAATGACATTGACATTGTTAGTGTTATCGATGTTTTCTAGTAACCTGTTGATATATTGTTGTTTGACCTTGTACTGACGCATCAACTTCAGGCGGTGTTGCAAAGTGAACGTTCTCATTCTGTTCAGTTGACGTTCGTAACTCTCGAGAAGTTGTTCTGCACGTCGAGAACCGTACTCTCTGATCCTGCCCAACTAAAAAAGAAAATTAGATCAATAGTAGAAACTTAATACCCAGAAAACTGACTTTTACAGCAACACAAATAGATAAAAATTTTTTTTTCTCATTAATAGTATAAGGTAACAAATTAAAAGCTAGAACACTAGTATTAACTAACTTGTTGATTATAATTGTCCCTAATGTTATCCAAGTGTTGTGTCATCGTTTCCATCTGAGCTTGTCGGTAGTCCCTGAACCTATCTGCTTGTTTCATGTAAGATTGTCGTATCTCCTCAACCTGTTGATGATAATTGTCTCGGATCGTCTGTACCTTCTTTTGATAGTTATCGTGAAGACTGTCGATCTGCCGTTGCCTGTACTTCTCCATAGCCTCGACCATCGTTCTGACCCTACTTATTCTTTCTAGAACAAAATTGGCATGAAACACAATGTTAAACTAATCTTTTATAAAACACAACTGTTCAAAATGGCTTAATTTACATTAATGATGTAAGACCACTTTTACAAACACAAAACTACTCCTACCAGATCTGTTGATCCACCACATTGAGATCTTCCTAATGATAATCCAAAGAACATTAAGAACAAAGCTAGCTGCACATGTTATCAATGACACCACACAAGATCCCCAGAATACGGTAGAGAATATAGGACCTTCGTAAAAGTATGCCAAGTCCAGTCGGAAGAAAATGAACCCATTCGCTTCTTTAGACTTGAAAACACATTCATACCTAAACCAACAATATAACCGTAATTTAATGTAGAATAAAACTAAAATTTAAAATTTCAATCGAAATAGACAACATAACTTACTGTTCCACCAAATTCCTTCTGGCTTCTTTGACAAATATAGTCCCATCCTTTCGTATTATCAAACTGTCATTAAAAGTATTATAATGCTCAACTACGCCTTTACTCCAACTTCCAATATTTATTCTTCGAGCAGCTACAAACCAATCAAATTCATCATTAGCCGAATATTCTACTGGACACCTTAAAGTGGCATTTGTACCTGGTAAAGCCCTAATAAGACTTTCGTCTTCTACCCAAACATCTAAAGCTTCCGATATTGTTATAGCCAATAACAATATCACAGTATGTTTTAACATACCTAAAAATTTTGATATTATACATTAATCAAGCAAGATAAATATAATTTCAATAAATAGTAATAAATAACAACTGTATCAAACAAATTAAAGTCAATCCCGCAAATTTCAAACAGAATAACAATTTATTACCTAAAACAACAACAAAACAACTATTTCTTCGTCAAAGGCTTCGCAAATTCTCCTTTCTTGGTGATATACCGCTTGATAAAGTACCAAGAACCCGGCTCCAACTTCGACTCAAGTTTGTACATGTCACGATCGTCCTTCCAATACCTATTAAACCTCTTGTAGCCACTTCTGTCAAAGTCTGGTAACGTTCTGTCAAGAAACAATCCACTCCAATGGGCTTGCATCACACACCGCTCCAAAATCAGCTGCTGCTTTTTACAAAGACCGGTTAACTGCATTGGCAACACAGTTCCATCTTCTCGCATGAACTGCTCCAGAATCAGCACATCTTTGTAGGTAATCTTCTTAGGTATCGAACATAAAGCACAACTGTGCTCTTTAGTATCAAAAACCCGTTTCCTAGTCGGCTCGGGCACGTCCACCAAACTGACCACACTTAGATTTCCTTCTGTGACAGTTTGAACTGAAAATTGAAGTATATTTCGTGGAACATGGCTTGAAATACCCAATAAAACCTTACCAAACAGTGAAATACCTTATCTAAAGCAAAGAAGAATATAACTAAAATAACTTACTCTGTTTTAACGTTCTGATTTGTTTCAATTTTGGCAAAAATGCCGTCAATAACCTATTCGGACGAAACATGTCTGCAATTCCGAATAAATGGAAAAAGAGAATATTATGGGAGACAAGTTATACGACGAAACATGTCAACTGTTTTACTTGGAATGTTTATTATATTTAAATTGTTCTTGTAACAATTTATGAACAAGTCAATTTTGTATTTTGTTAAAAGCAATGTTTTCATGCCGTTTTTTATTATTGTACTAAAAGTTTGTATATACCTAAAATACATTTGTGTACAAGTACATGAAAGTTTTTGAAAGATGAAGAGCAGTGCATTAAAATTGTCATTAATTAACGTCGTATGATACGTTTCAATTTTGAATGTCTGGATCAACCCGGATCTTGTGAACAAATTGCAAATCTGACGATCGCCTCTTGACGCAGAAACTAGCCCAAAAGGGAAACCGGACCAAATGGAGCCGTCAAGTGGATTTGGAGATCGCGGAAATGGCCAGAGTATGGAGTGTAACATCGCTGTGCGGATGTGCAGAAGCGTTCTCGGTCCACCGATTATGAGATTTGTTTTGCTGTTGTGGTTATCAGTTATATCACTAGGTAATGGTTTCAGGGTTACTGTAATTTATCTCATTTTGAACTTTCTTAATTTTATTTTATTATTATGGTCAAAAATACGTAGAATTTTTTTTTTATTTTTCTACGTATTTGTTGACCAACCAAGTAACGTCACTTTACTTTTTGCTTTCTGTGTAGATGCGGCAAACCCTGTCAGTTGTACCTTCTCCATGTGTTCGCTTAGTCATCCGTGTAGTAAAGGTACCTGCAACAATGGATTTTGTTGTGGGGTGACAAAAGCAAAGATATATCGACGTAGTAAAGGGTCGACGTTAGATTCTAAGTCAAGTCCACCTAACATGACTGACCCGTTCTTAATGCAAAATGACTGGCCTGGCCCGCCGAATACCGGGAACAGTATGTTTGACAGTCCGAAGCTTGACACCTGTAAGTTAACGTCAACTTAAAACATCTTTTTTCAATGCTTTTAACTTTTTTATAACTCCGTTTCTTTTACATTTTACTGACTAATCTACCTTCAGCTGTTTGTATCGGTGGTTTCACATCGTCAATCAAATGTGGAGCCTATAACAACTGTCCACCAGGGCTACTATGTGAAAAAGGGATCAAATACTGCTGTCCGATGATGTTACCCATGGAAACCAAGACCCAAAGACCTTTGTTTCATCACTACCGTAACACTCCCACACCGTACAACAACCAACAGTCTTCGTATTACAATGGACCCTCTCCCATGCATTCGTATGGTCCATTGAATTCTTACTCTGGGGTCAGCTACAACAACATCAACTACCCGAGGATGATGCACAGATACAATAACTACTTTAGTAATATGAACGAAGGACTAGTGTCCAACTATCGACCACGGAGCCGAGGTTTGAATGCTTTATTATATTACTATACTTACAAATTAAATAGATTAATAAAGTCAAAAACTTACTGTAATAAAAATATTTTTTAGCATGGTCATCTTATCCATGCAACAGTATTAATGACAACTGCGGAGGCTACTACAACAACTACGGTAACTCACTGTCAAATGGATACGAAGGAATTAGTGGATCTTTTGGTCCGATGAGCTCCCTTGGCAGTACCACAAGTGAAAATGCTGTTGAAGGTCTGTTAATCAATATAGGTTAAAAATACATGTAACAGTAGTATAGTAGTATATTAGTTCTGTTCATAACTTAACTATTATCTTTACCATCCTTAACTTAGGATGTCCACAAGGCAACGATGGTGGTTCCTGTGTCCAAGGACGATGCGATTCTGGCTACCAATGCAACAGAAACAACGTCTGCTGCCAGACAGAAGTCCCAGCTACAGGTAGGTAACCTGATATGTTAACATCATTGATAGTTTGTCCTGACGGAACCCAAGCGGCCGGAGGCTGTGTGAACGGACAATGTGGATTCGGATTCACGTGCAATCAGGGATTGTGTTGTACGAACACTTCTCAGACGCCACGATGTTTGGATGGAAGTCAAGCAATCGGAGCTTGTATTGGAGGGAAGTGTGGGGATGGTTATGCGTGTACAACGGGTAACATCTGTTGTCCATCTAACATGAACGGTAAGACTCTGATTACAAAGAAACAGTCGAACTTGTAACAATATAATCTCTCCTCATTGACTCAGCATAATGTCTTGTACGCTATAAATGTCTTGTAGATGGGTTATACTGATTATAAAAACCCTCTAAATGTATATCTTCAGGATGCCCAGCCGGCACAGCTTCAATCGGACCTTGTGTGAACGGGGTCTGCCCCAATGGTTTCACTTGTACCAACGACCAGTGTTGTGGACCTCCAAATCTGGCCAATTCCACCAATACGCTTATCCAATGTCCACAAACAGACTCGAACGGTCCTTGTTCGAGTGAAGGAACGTGTGCTGACCCTGGCTTCCAATGTGACGTGACCAATCAATGGTGTTGTCCGAACATTGCCGGTGATCCAGTAGGACCATGTATTAGAGGCGAAGGTGGTACAAGGCTCTGCCCTGATGGTATGTACTTAACTACATTAAAAAACTTTTAAGATTTGCTATTCAAAATTAGGAAGTAACAATCATGTATTAATGTACGTCAAGTTATAAACCTAGAAGCCAACCTCGTTTTAGGTTACGCTTGTTCGGGAGCAGATGCTGGTCAATGTTATCGACTGGACACGGGGACATGCGCCCCGATCGACCAGTATGGCCCATGCAGTCCCACAGAACCCCGGTGCCCGAATGGCTACACTTGTATTGGAGGATTCTGTTGCAACGATAATGCCCCTCCAACATACCTCAGAAAGAAACGATCGCATCTAAGGCTGTGAAGCTCAGAGCCTTGTTATGTGCGGGTCGTTTTTAATAACTTTAATAATATTTGTACAATCCCGTTATTAGTAAACATGAAACGAAAAGTGATGTTATTTGTTGTTATTCCAAGTTCGCGAAACTACTCACTTTTTTCAAGTAGTCCACGTTCGATCGATAATTAAAAGTTCTCGTGATACAAGTGCAATCTACCGTAAATAACATAACTAATTTATATATATTCGTTCCAAAAAGGGAATTTCATAAATCGCCAGTTTCTCCAATTTTGCAGCTTTATTAAGATTGTGACATTTCGTCCAATTAGTGTGTTAGTGTGGCACTTCGCTGTTTCTGTCGAAATTTATTTGTAAATAAAGTTTGGACATCCGCGTGTCACATACAGCATCATACACCGATCGCAGTAAGTTTTAAATGGGTTTTTCGAACATTTTATATTAGGGTAGATTGAATCTATTGTTTTTAAAATTGATTTTGGACCTAAGGGCGGGTTTCGACAGTTTGTTAGTGGAAAAGGAAACCATAAACACGATGTTTTTGTGTTCTGATTTCACGTGCCTGTGATGTTGTTTTTCGTTTCAGGAAATGGACGAGTCTACAAAAGAGACCTTGAAGAGTATTTCGTTGTTTAAGAAGAATGCCGGACCTAGAGATGGAGATTTGTGGGTAGCCAGGTTTGCTGAGGAACTCCAGACCTTGATTGATCTCACCAACAAGAACAAACAAGGAGATGCCGACTGGTTTAACATCGAAAGCTCGCCTGATGGAACGAGGTGGTTTGGAAAATGTTGGTATTTTCATAGCATGAAGAAGTAAGTCTTAAAAGTTTTATAATATTTGCTGTTTAGGTATGAGTTTGACTTCGAGTTCGACTTGCCTGTGACTTATCCAAAAACAGCACCTGAAATAGCCATTCCATCCTTAGACGGGAAAACTTCTAAAATGTACAGAGGAGGAAAGATCTGTCTGAGTGATCACTTCAAGCCTCTGTGGGCTCGTAATGTACCTAAATTTGGCATAGCTCACGCTCTAACGCTAGGTCTAGGTCCGTGGCTAGCTGTTGAAGTGCCTTCTTTGATTGAGAGAGGATTACTCGATGATAATTAAACTAATTTATTACCTAATTAAACGTTACTTGTTGGTATTGTGGTAATGTTGTCAGTTGGTTTAGAGCCACGACTACTTTACAGGTTAAGGCAGGGTGTTCATGGGAGTAAGTGATGAGAGTTTAGATGAATCCGAATGGAGATGACGAAACAAAGGACAAGAGAAAGTCCTTTTCCCGGTCTGAAGCCGTTTCCCTCGAGGACGATCGTTCCAAAGGGCCGATTCGACTGGTCAATTCACAGACCAGACCTGCCTTGAAGAGTTCCCAATCAAAAGGTAATTTTTATGCGATGAAAAGTTAGTATCGACTGGGGATAAGATGGGAGTAACTTTTTGTTATGCATATCAAGTGAAAGTGTCATGTTTTTGGCTGCTTGATAGGACATTTTCAACTTGCAACGTTGATATGTTATTGGTTGCAGACTCTTCTGGCTACACAGATGCTACCGGAATTGATCTTACCTTGTTTATAAAGGAGACTTTGCATAAGAACCAGAAGGACAGACAACATGTGTTACATCTGGAGCAAGTTTTTTGTAACTTTCTGAACGATCAGACAAAGAAAGTGTACGAGTTTCCGAACATGACCTCGTACGACCGTATGATTGTGCACAGAGTAGCTGCTTACTTTGGTCTCGACCACAATGTTACCCAAGATGGACAGTCCGTAGTGGTGACGAAGACAGACTACGCTACTGTGTAGGTTAACGTTTACTTGGGCAGGGGCTGAGCAGAATTTTCTTTAAGTATAGTGTTTGTTTGGTTATATTATTTACTTGTGACCAATCTTACTATATGGCTTCAGCCCTGCGGTACCATTCAAGAACTTGATTGAGAACGACATGTTCACGGAGAAACCTCGTCGTAACTCCAGTGGAAGATACGGTGCAAAGAGCTTCCAGAAGTACCCGGAGTTTGGGGATGGTGATCCGAGAAGAAGAACCAAGTCAGTGGACATTCCCTCTGGCAGTGTCTACTCGCCAGTCCCATTCTACACCCAGTCCCAGATGGTGCTTCCGATGAATATTTTGGGGAATCTAGACGGTAGAAAGAAGAGAATGAACTCCCACTCCTCTACTGCTTCTGAATCCACCTGTGAACCTACCGACCCCAGCCAGTTAATGAGCCCGATGAACATCTACCCTCAGGGGTATGCTTCTGCCGTTCCTTACGTTTATTCCGCGAATCCGTTGATTCTGCCTCAGGGCGCGAACTTTGCATCTGGTGCCACAGTATACTATCCGAGTGCTTCGATCCCCTACAACATGGGAAACTCTCCGCCGACTCCCTACTATATCTAATTTAATACGCTAATCTTTATTGTAAACATATTATGTACAAAGTAATTAATTAACGAATGTCACGTCGTACTTTTCCGAGTGTAATAGTAGTTTTGTACAATTATAACCGCTCCTAGTATAGTAAATAGGGATAGCACTACTACACAGGCTATGAGAGCAATGTAGCTAATTGAATCCGTTGAGAATTCGCCTGTAAGAGAGTAGTTAGGAGTAACAATGTATGTTAATTGGTTATAGAGTAAGAAGACTGTTATTTGAACCAGTCGCTGCTTACCTTCAATAGTTTCTATTTCGGTTTTTCCGGTTCCAACTTCAACGTTCTTATGAAGATGTAACTCGATCCACGGTTTCTCGGATTCAGGAAGAATGACTGAAGATCGTGCTCTTCTCTTCGTACTTACACAAGGTTCTGGGAAGGGCAAACTGTCAGATATGTCTACTGAACAGTAGAAGAAGACGTCGTTGTCATTGGGAAACTTGAACGCCTTCAAAGGAAAGTAAAAGATGACAGATTCGCTTTCCGTGACGGTCTTCTTCATATTATCTATTACTGACGTATGGTTGGAGCATCTGAACATAAAGAATTATAAAATTAATGAAGCTACGATTTAAAAACAATACCCATAGTCACAAATGGTAATAATTACCCTCTACTATCGATGAGGTCCACTTTGAAGTTCTTGTTCTGATCCGTGGCGTAACAACTGTGCACGAACATGTTGTATTTCTGGCTAGCTGAAAAGGTAGTTTCTGTCAAATAATGGATAATATTTTAACATTATAACGTGATGTCGTTGTTAATGTTTATAAATATACTCTCAGTAGTATTGTATTCCTTACATTGCAACTTTCTTCCTCTGGTTACCAAAGTGATGATATTACCCATTTCTACTGACTTTTCTACATGAGGATTCTCAGGACCGTTCCCAGTTAGAATCTCCATTATGACATGGTCGCTTATCTGCTCCAACTTTTCTACCGTCTGTTTGGCTTCTAGTCGAGCGCCTTGGGTTAGCCTGAAAGACCGAATAGTTAGATGTTTTTGCTAATGTTCATACATTTTACTTTTAATAATAGTATCATAGCTAGTAGTTAAGATAGCAATGAATGACAAATCTTACTTATTTACATGGTTGTGTAATGTAGGTAACGGAGTAGTGATATGATCATGAAATGCTGGAAGCTTGGTAGTGACATGATTATAATGATCTGTGAGGCCAAAGTCCATCTTTGGCAAAGTAAATGGATGTACGGTGCTTGTCACAATCTCTTCAAGGCTGTCAAATCCGTCCAGTTTGTTGAGATTCAGAAGATCAGCGTCTTCTGAAGCTTCCGCAGCCTTGGCTGTCTTTACATCAGGTTGATTCAGCCAAGGTGGCTGATCTGTGGTAAAATCATCGAATCTCCAGTCGGCTTTTAGCTTTGGAGTAATGGCTTGATGCATTTGGAGACCGTACGGAGAGGATTCTGGAGGTCTGTAGCCTTGGATGGGTGATATCGGTTGGTGGTAGAAGGCTTGACTCTTGACGGGGTGACGTCGGATGTCACTACCCATCTTGATCGAAGATACGTAGGCTTGTTGACATACGAAAGCGTACTGTTTGTCACCAAAGGTCTGGGTAATCTTGTCCATCTGAACGTATACACGGTTTTCTACTGTTTCCAGCACCTATAAGTCAGAAATAGTGACTTTATAGTCTTTACTGTTAGCTATAATATAAAGTAATGTGGCATAAACAACCAATCATGTTTTACATTGTAGTAAATTACTTAATGTTAGGTAACATTCTACAATATAAAGAACTTACTTGATGATTATTTCTAGATACCTTTGTACCACACCCTCTTGTAGGTATAGAAAACAGTACTGATGTAGTTGACAGTCCGTTAAAGTAGACACATGGGTGAACATTGGCATATCCTACTGAATATATTATACCACTGAACGGCCGGTCGAAGTATATAGACGCCGTGATACCATCGGACGTACACATGGCACTTACATCTAAATTCATACACTTTTTTACTTTTTTATACTAATTTTTTCCATTCTTCGACTCTGTCATCTTATAATTAAACAAAAGGTTACTGTAAAGCAAAACCTACAGTATGACTTACCAGCTTGTGGCACTTGAAATCCTTGAGAATTAGATTTTACAATAATAAGGTAAAACAAACATGAGAGTTTGAGAAAATGCATTTCCGGTTATAGTTTTACTGTGAATTGAGGTCTGTAAACTGAGCGCCGACCTCTTCCCTACTTCGGGCACCGAGGTCAGTAATTATAATCCGATGCATGTATCTGCCGCATTATTTCATATACCTGGATTTTGGGATTTCGACAAGAAATGCAACAATTAACTTATTAAAACGATCTAATAAGAAATCAACATTATGTGATATTAAAGTAGCCATATATAATGACATTTCCTGAATACATTGTTAATACATGCGTTACAGTTTATTTAAGTTATAAAACATAGTGATAAACAAGTCATTTTTTTAATTGTTTTTGACATTCATTAGAAAACTGCGTTTTTCATTACGATTATCCACCGTCAAAAATCCACGTAAAGAAGGACATGTTTCATCGTATAAAGTGACTTTATTAATTTTAGCGAAAAAATGTTGGTGATGTGGTATTTTTCGCCGGAGCTTTAATATTAACGATGTCAGGATGGAGAAATCAACTAAATAACGTTGGGTCTAATGCCTTCGACTTTGTTCAGCGTATTTCAAATGAATTGGCAGCTGAAACGCCATTGGATCCGTCTTCAGAGCTAGATGTAAGTGTAATATCGTTGTTTTTGATTGAGAATTTAGTATCACAAACAGAAGGCGTTGGAAAAGGAGAAAGAATTAGTTAGATACCAATCGCAGCTAACTGAACGGAACAGAGAGATCGAGGAACTAAATGAAAGTGTCAAAGCTGCATATGAGGAAGTTGAGTTGACACGACAGTCTTTGTTGAACAGAATAGCTGCTAAAGAACTGGAGTTGGAGAAAGCAAAAGTGAGCTTTTTTATTTTTTTAAAATTTACTATGAGAAAAAATACTTTACATCGTGTTTTAGTATGAAATCGAGGCTCTCCGTGACTTCCAAACGAATACAGATACTGATCCAGATCAAGAACGGAATGAGAAGGAGTTAATCCTTGAGTTGGAGTTGATACGGGCTGAAAAGGCAGCTTTGTCTGATGAGTTGAGTTTTTTGAGTAAGAAACTTGAAGATTATGAGGCCAACGAGAGGGAGAAGGCGGTAAAAGATAGTAATGTTGATGCAAAGTTGAATAAAACTGTGAAAGAGTTGGAAGAAGCAAGACAGAAGATATTGAAACTAGAAAAGGAGGTAAGCTAATTATATTTTGTTATTCATGGTCGTTTTTGAAACATCAAGAATATCTATTTTCTTTGTTTTAGGTAACACTTATTAATTTTAGAAAGCCGGTTTAATCGATGAGTTTGAAAAAAGGCCAAGGTCGGCTAGTCCTCCAAAGTCAAGAGTACGTTTTAAAATTTAAAAATTTTGTGAAAACATGTTTTATTTTGACATTTCTTAAATTTAGGTAAACATTGCCGAATTAGAAGAAATTGAAAACCAAGTTTCTCTTCTTCAAGAAGAAAGAGACAAGTTTCAACGTCAATATGAACAAGAACAAGTAAAAACCAAAGAGCTGGAACAGTTAATGGGTTCTTTAGTCGAAGAATGTTCAAAACTATCCAAGAATCTTGATCTATATAATACTAAGGTTGGTCAAGTAGTTGTTGTAGAGCGGCCAGAAGTTCCAGCTGTAGATTGGGATGTTGATACTGAAGATATGGACAATTTGAGGGCAGAGCTTGGTCGGTTAGAAGAAGAGAGACACAGAGTAAGTTTATTAATTGCATTTTTTAAAAATATTGTGTTTTGCTTGTAAATGGCATATAAATATTGAATTTTAGACTGTTCAAGAACTTGAGGAGATAAAAACTATGGCAGGTGAAAAAGAAGCCCACTACAATGCTAAAATACAAGAAGTAAGTGTTTTAGTATATCTCTCGTATAAATTTAGTTAAACTCTGTACTGTCTCAACAACAAGAGGCCTATGCAGCTACTGCTAACACAATATCGGTAGCACTGAAAGGAAACCAAGTGACTTTTGACGATAAAAGCATTTTGAAGTTGATGGACGACATGGAAACGATGAACCTAGAACTGGAAAGTCTTAAAGAACAATACGAAGTTTCGATGTTAACATTGGAGAAGAACAAACGATTATACGACGACGTTTCGCAGTTGTGCAAGGTTTTGTCTGGCGAAAGCAATGTCATACAGGTATGCTTTTAAGTTAAGGTCAGGGACGTCGTTTGGGGGGGGTGGTTCGGAGTGACTCCCCCCCCAGAGCCGATCCGAAAAAAAAATCCACAGGTAGGTGAGACCTGTACGTGAAAAAACGAAAAAAAAATTTTTCGAAAAAATCGGTCCACAGGTAGCTAGCTACCTGTGAAAAATTTTTTTGGGCCTCCCCCCCCTCCCCCCCCAGAGAAAAAATCGTAAAACCGTAGCGACGTCCCTGGTTAAGGTAACATTTATAAGACCTAAACTCACAAGTTGACATAGTAATGAGAAATGCTTTTGTAGGACATATCCGACGATTCAGTGGTTCAACTTCAGAATTTAATTGAAAAAGAAAAGTTTAAGAGTGCCGACTTGGAGACGAGATTGCAGAATGCTGAAGGTCTTCTAAATCAACAAAAACAAGACTTCGAAAACATAGCAGCTGGTGTAAGTGTAGTTTATCACATTTACAGTACTTTAAAGGTGTCTGGATAATCTAAATTTATATTTTAGTTGAAACAACAACTTGAACAGTTGAATTTTGCATTCTCGGAAAACAGGGAAAAGCTGCGAGAATCAGAGTCTTTAATTGAAACATTGAGAAACGAGAAGGAAGAACAAGAGAAACATAAGAATGATTCTGAAGCGACACAAGCTCAATCTGAAGAATCCAACGAACTCCAGAAGATTATAGAAAAGGAAAGGTTCAAGAGCGCAGAGTTGGAGATGAGGCTGAAAAGCACGGAAGGCCTTTTGAATCAACAAAAAAGAACTTCGAATCTATCACGACAGAGGTATGTTTAAGTCAAAAATAGTATATTTTTTAAATTTAATTTTAGGCATAGTTAATATCTATTTACCTCTTATATTTTAGTTGGAACAACAGCTTGATCAAGTGAACATGGCTTTTTCTGAAAACCGAGACAAGCTCAGAGAATCAGAATCCTTAATTCAAACTTTGCGAAGTGAGAAGGAAGAAATGGAGAAATATAAGGATGGTTCTGATGCTGCACAAGTTCAGTCTGAAGAATCTAACGAACAACAGAAGATCATAGAAAACGAAAGGTTCAAGAGTGCAGAGTTGGAGATGAGGTTGAAAAGTGCGGAAGGCCTTTTGAACCAACAGAAGAAAAACTTTGAATCTATTACGACAGAGGTATGTAAAAGGCAAAATCAATGTAATTTTTTATTTATTTTTACTAGGGAATTGTACCAAATATCCCTCGGCTTTTTGAACGAGACCTATACAGGATGAAAGAGCATAAAAAGTTACCGGGAAAACTGTTTTCAAAAACTGCTAAATAGGTTCGGCTAGCGAGATATTAGCGATTAAAGGTTTTACATAGGGTTTTCTATTTGATCCTTCTCATTCGTCTTGAGCAAAACGAATGGATTGAAGCTTCAATCCAGTGTGGTCGAGTGGTCAGCAAGTTAGTCTGGGGTGCAGAAGGGGGGAAGTACGGATCCCGCCGGTTTCATTTTGGCGCCCTGCCATGCTGACAATAAGTTTTGGCTAGCCAAACAATATTTTGGTTAAAAAAAATATTTTTTAAGTTGTGTTTTTTGCTTTTAGACACTTTTAGAAAAAAAATAATTATCAAAAAATATCATTTTTTGAACTTTAAAGCTATACCCTTTAAACATATAAGGATATAGAGCATACTGTAACTCGCTAGCCAAGTCCATTTAGTAGTTTTTGAAAACAGTTTTCCCGGTAACTTTTTATGCTCTTTCATCTTGTATAGGTCTCGTTCCAAAAGCCGAGGGATATTTGGTGCAATTCCCTAGTTAGGTATACTTTATATTTCTGTACTCCTTATATTTTAGTTGGAACAACAGCTTGATCAAGTGAACCTGGCGTTTTCTGAAAGCCGAGACAAGCTCAGAGAATCAGAATCCCTAATCCAAACTTTGAGAAATGAGAAGGAAGAACTGGAGAAACAAAAGTCTGAACCTGTTAATCTTCCAACAACTGATGAACCTAACCAGCTACAAAGTCAGCGTATCAACGAATTGGAACACCTGATTAGAAATATGGAAAACGAACATTCTAATGACAAAACTGTAGGTTTAAATGGTTTTTTCCTTACAATTGGTAATACGAAAGTGTTTGTCCGCAGATCCCACTTAGTGTTGTAGCCGTGATGTCTGAAATTTGAAATTAATTATAATGACATTACTTTTACTAAATTTAGAAGTTGGATCAACTTGAAAAGAAAGGGTTGGAAAGCTACATGCTAATCAGAGATCTTAGTGAACGTCTACGAGAAGAACATGGCATCGAAGTGGAAGGAACTGATTCTGATGATGTTAACTACAAGATCAGGAACCTGGTCTTTTCTTGTAAAGGTCTGATCGTGACTTTGAATGAAAAGATCAGGTATCAGGAGAACCAGTTCATCGAGCTCCAGAACAATATGGTTGATGTCAAACAGGTATACTATTAAAATTATCAAATACTTTCACCAACTTTAATAATTGTAAGTAATTGTAACTGTAAAAGCACTTTCTAAATATTGTGTTTAGAAAATGGAGCAAAACTCAAACCAGCTACTGCATTTGCACGAAGAGAATCAGTACTTGAGAAGTCAGTTCAACATCGCCCAAGATTCTGTAGAAGAACTAACAGCTGCAAAGAATAGCCTTCAAGACGAGCTGAAGAAGGCCAAAGACGACCTTAGGACGATTATCAGTGAGAGGAAGAACTTGGAAGAGAATACTGTAGAAGCAGAGTTGTTCAAGTTACACGCTACTAGTAAGATTGAAAAGAAACAGGCAGAACTTGAAGAACAAGTGGCTTTGCTGGAGAAGCAGAAGAGTGATATGGAACAGTAAGTCACGAATCCTCTGTTCATGGTTTATTATATGTTAACTACTGTACTTATGTATAAATTACAGAAACAAGAAGATGATGGACCAATGGGTTGGCGAAAACGAAATGTTGAAGAAGACGATGATCGGCCTCAACGAGACGATCAGAGATTTGCAGTCAGCGTACGTTGAAACTGACGGAAAGCTGAAGCTGGAACGGATGGAGTACGATAACAAGATCAGGGAGTTGGAAAGGAAGTTGAATGTAAGTAAATACGTTTGTATTATAGTATAACATTTGGAAGTTCATTTACAAAAACATTTCATTATAATCTTAATTTATATTATTTTTATAGGTTAATGAGGCAGAAGCAGCCAAGTACCGTGAAGCGATGAAAGAATTGGAAGAGAAGAACAGCCAGCTAGAGAACACTGTAGCCGACTTAAAAATGGAATTGGAAGAGTTCGAGAAGGGAAATGCCAATCCTCCACCCCCACCTGAGCCGACCGTCGAGATCAAACAGCAGTACAAGATGATCGAGAGCGGGTTTGCTGTGCCTCCAGTAGTCAGACAGTTCATCATCAGTGCCATCACTTGTGACGCCAACAAACGAGAGGAGAGCTCATTGTTGTTGGCCAATATTATAGGATGCACTCAAGAGGTAAGTGACTAAAACAATGTCCTGAAAGGCTCGTTCAGGAAAAGAACCAGATCGAGGAATGTTTCCAAAACCGTGGGCTCTGGGGCCTTCTCAGAGGGTCGTCGTCGAAGGGACCACAGAACATAAAGGAGTTGTCCAGCAAATTCATCGAGTTTCTCGAGAAAGAAACCACTCAACCCATGGGGGTAGCAAACGTGGACAACAGCGAGCCCATCAGAATCGACCACGATATTCAACCCGTAGCCACGTCTTCGAACTCTGACCTCAAGGCTATTGTAAGCGAGAAGTGAGGTCACGTTAGATAAGTATAGAGTTTTATTTATTAACTTCTTGGAAAGATTGTATATATATATTGTTGTCTTATAGCCACGTTTGTGTGAAATATTTATTAACGGGTAAAGGATAAAGTAAAGCTGTGACCTTAAAGGACTAGAAATTGTTTTTGAACCGGCTGTCACTAATCGTCAGACTCGATATCTTCGTCATCGTCTTCCTTCTGTAGGAGGCTCTGATTGGAGCCCATGTTTGATTTGATACTGTCATCGTCCTTTTCACTGTTACTGCTACTTCGTCTTCTCAACGGGCTACTCTTCTTTCCAGAATCCCCATCTTCAGTAGCATACCTAGACTCCTCTGTGATACTGACGAGATTGGTAAGGTCTCGTTCTTCACTTTGGCCCCGAGAAGAATGCCCTATGATGCTTCTTGGCATACTTAGATCGTGTGTTGTTGCTTTTCTCATTTGCGGTTTCCACACTCTCAGAATCTCAAGCAGGATCTTCAGAAGCACCCAGTCACCCAACGGTAGCTAAAATTATTTAATTAATTCCAAATTACGTAAAAATTTAACATCTGTTAACTTGTAGAAAAAGTCTGGCTTACATTTAGTGTGTTCTTCAAGTCGTCAAGATTACACGTATGAAGCACCAATCCATTCAAATTGTACTGTGACATCTTCCGACACAACTCCAGCATCCTTTTCTCTGGTATCCTCAGCTTTTTGACCAAAACTTGAATTTCATCGATCGACATTAAAGGCAGAGTCTTAGTTATGTTAAGCCAGACATTGGTGTCTTCGAACAAGTACTTGGCCCCTTCGTTCTGTTTCTCGAATTGTGACATGGAGAAGATTTCCTTTTCTTCTTTGTCCTGTTCTCCGAACTCTTCTTTACTCTGTTCGTGGATCAGTTTCTTCAAATAGGGATCCAAGTTGCTAGTGCAAGGTGAGAAGGCCTTGATGTGGCCAACAGTCAGTTGTTCTGACTTTGAGTTCTTCATCTTGTCGATTATTTCTTCGAATTCCAATGGGTTACGGTCCAAATCAGAGAGTGTGGAGTTGGTCGGTAGTCTTTTCTTCTTCAGTTCATACAATTCGGGCACGGTAAGTTCGTCATCCTCCATCTCCAAGGCCCATCCAACTAAATACGTCATTCTGAAGGGCCACTGTTCCAACAAACTAATCCACGAATACAGAAGGAACCAATTGAATTGTACCTCAAAAGATCTCAGTAAACGACCAGTAAGGGCAATCGAGTTAACAATTCGACGTAAAACTCTAGGGTTGATGTTGGAAAAGTAATCGTGGGAGGGGAACAAGTTTGACAGGTCGTTAGCTCCAAGGTTGTTAACTATGCTTTCTTTCGCCTGTTGCTGACCTGAAAGGACAAAATGTTACAGTATATGAATTTTACGACACATTAGTTTGAATTGTGAGCCATAACTTTTGATAATTTTAGATTTTAAAGCTTACCCCCAGTAGTCATAATGAGTTCTTTCTCCCTCAAAGAAAGGCGTGAGCTTCTGATAGTATCCGACCGTCTTCTATTGTACATTCCCCCTCCGTTGGCTTTGTCCTTATTTTGTTGTTTCTTGTTCAGTTGTTGTAGAGCTGAATGGTGCAAATAAAAGGGCATACTTATCAAATTCTTCATGTAATCATGTCCTGTTATCTCCAGATTTGCCGAACCTCGAAGATTCTTTTGTAACGCTGATATTATAATATGTGGATCGGCAGCCAGAATCACAATGTAAGGAGAGTTTTGGCGTGAAGCGAAGAACAGAGACAAGGCATCCAGAATCTGCACCATGTTGGTCTGTTCGCAACTGTCTAGGCCATCAACCTGAACTACCAGACGAGTCTGGGAGTTGGTGAAGGCATCCAAGGAGTGGATCAAGTTGGTCAGAAGATCGACTTCTTTTTGCATTTTTTGCACAACTCGTTCGAAGGGTAGATTATGTAGCCGATGCATCACATTCTTGATTCTTCGTTGAGGAAGGTTCACCATTAGTCTGACCGTAAATGTGTAGACTAACGGCAGAGCAGCTCCAAGAAACACTAGACCAAGAACACCGGCTCCAATCTGATAGCTGTGCTCCGGATTCGTGTTTCCAGTGTGTGCATCGTATAGAATCAGTGACATTGCTATGACAGCTGAGAAGACCATGATTATGAGGTTGAAGAGTACGGGGATGCCACAGATTGTCCTCAATTTCTCGTCGCTGTGGGCTTGTTGTGACTTTAAAGAAGCGTACATTCTCACTGGAACCGATCCAAAATGTTCTTCAGCTGCATTGTAAAGTGACAGTACAATGTTGACCAGAGCTTGCTCTCCTCCAATAAAGGAAAGACGGTGATCATCAGCAAACAAGAATCCAACCGGACTTACAATAAGGTCTTTGTCCGATCTGATGGGAGTATTTAGTGTCAAGATGCTGATAATCAGCTTGATCCTGGCCAGCAATCTCGCTATGTGTCTGGCCAAGTTGATAGACCCATTCCATAACCTAACTTCACTACCGTAGTAAATGAGGCCATACGAAGCCAGTAAAAGAAGATAAGCGATTCCACCGAGCAAACTCGGATACAAAAAGTTGAAACTCTGAGCGATGAGAACATAGAAGGTGAGGAAAGTGAAGGAGAATAAGGTACACAGTATCAGACAAGTGAACACCAACGTCCAGCTCCAATACAGCTCGAGGCCGTCCAACCAGCTGCGGGAGAAGCTCTTCATGGATTCTCTGATTTTAGGTAACAAAAATGACTTCCCGGATCCCCATTTGGCGTAGAGCCCAATAGTCAGCGGAAGACTCAAGTTGGGCTCGCAAACAATGTCAGCCAGTACGTCACTGTAGGCTTCGTAGCCCAGAAGACTGTTAAACTCCATGTCTACTCCAATCGGTCCGAAAATAGTGGGAAGGATGGGAGAAGAGCTTTCTTGATCGATAGAGTAAGGTGTCTCGCCAAGTTTGTTTGGTCTATACAGCAGTTTAGAGTCTCCTGGGTTGACTAGCAACAGCTGGGCCAACTTCTTCGAACGAGCTCTTAACGCCAAATGAAGGGCGTTGTCACCAACGTTATCAGTTGTGCTGATCTTGGCTCCAGAATGTACAAGAATCTGGCATAAAGCGATGTCACGGTTCTTGACAGACCTACAATAAAAAAAAACAAAAATAGCAGAAAGCTTAAAAATTAATGTAGTACTATAATTTTTTGTAATTACACCAAATTGACTCTACTAGATGACCCTACCGTAACAGCGCCGTATCCCCATCCTTGTTCTTTATCTCCAGGTTCGGCTTCTTCTCTAACAAGGCTAACACAATATCAGTGTAGCTCTTGTCGATTGCCAAATGCAGTGCTGTTCGGCCTTCAGAATCCTTTGCATTGACATCAGCGTGCTTCTCCAATAACATTTTGACCAAGTTCAGGTTGCCACTTCTGACAGCGCTCGCGAGAATTGAATTCCCGTAACGATCTACCGTATTTACATAAGCTGAAGAATGTAGCAGAGCTTGTGCAATCTGAGTGTAACCTTCACGAGCAGCAATTCCCAAAGCCGACAGTCCATTATAATCAACTACATTAACATTTGGTTCTCGAGCCAGTAAAGTTTCGACTGTTTTGAGGTGGCAACCTCTTGTGGCCAGCATCAGAGCTGTGGATGAGTACATTCCAACAGCATCTAACTCCGCTCCAGCATTCAGAAGCTCTTCCACGATGTCAATATACCTAAATTTAGAAAATTCAATGTAAAATGTACCTGACATTAAATTAAAAACATAAAACTAGGTAACAATTTTATTTTTTTATTTACTTAGTTTTATAGTAGCTCAACTGGTATTACTTACCCTTTCCGTGCAGCCCATATCAACGCAGTACTTCCAAACTTGTCACTAGCATTCACTTCTGAATTCGAGTCCAACAAAACGTGAACAACTTCAGCATGTCCACGTCCAGAAGCGATGATCAGTGGAGTTAACCCGTCTTCCTCGCCAACAATATTAATATGGGCATGGAAATCTAATAACACCTTCACTGCTTCCAGCCGATTCTTATAACAAGCCCACATTAAGGGTGTCCAACCCATCAAATCAGGTTGATCCACTGCTGCCCCCGCCTCCAAAAGGTATCTTGCACATTGAGCATGACCATGATGAGCGGCACATAACAACGCACTCCAGCCATCGTTATCAATATCGTCAACGTCAATCTCGTTTCGAAATTTCTCAACGGAATTGGCATTACCTGTTCTGGCAGCTGTGATCAGTAATGTCTCTCCACTGTGATTCCTCAAGTATCCAGCATTTAACATTAAAGGAATCAGAGGAGCTCCTCCATTCTCGACTGTTGCAAAGAACTCATTCACTAACGGAGCCGAGTTCTCTTCCCCAGTAGGCACACTCTGGGTCGTGAGCTCATGAATATTGGCTGCTTCTATTAGTTGAAGCATCTGAAACACATTTTGTTAACTTTAATCATTTAACTTTAAAAAGACAATATTATAACAACAAGGAACAACTTCTAAAAGTAAAAATAAGAACTTAACAACGACTAAAAAGGTTTAATGCTTAAACAGAATGTTAACACAACATTGAACAAATACAAAACTTACTTGTAATTGAATTCTCTATGGAAATAAGTGACTGTTAAGCATTATTTACATTAAACCGGCTCCGAAACGAATCAAGTTTTGATCTTTTTGTAAAAAAATATAAAATAAAATAGCTTGGCATACTGCATTTCGCGAATTGTTTTCGTTGTGGAACTACGTTTCAAAAATGTTAAATGTTATTATAATTTATCTCGTCAACATCAAAAAATGTTCCACAGGAAAAACTCCATCTACGTAAAAGAACAGTAATTAGAAACAAATATGATAAGGCAACTCTTATCTTATATTTTGTTCCAAAACTGCTAAGGTTTTTTATAGACGAAATACAAAAATACAATAAAAAAGCCCCTGAGGCATGTTATGGCTGGCTGGACGGCCTCCAACTGTACTGGAGCTTGACGTCGGTGTTCACTTGTCAGATCCCATGTACCTTCAATTTTTTCACTTTCTATGTTCTCATAGCAAAAAGTTTCAACTTTTTGTATCTGTGTTATCGCATCTTCTTCTACTGGCTTCGTACGGCCTTATTTACTAAGGTAACAAAGTAAGATTATGGAACGGGTCTAGCAACTTGGCCGGATTCATAGCCAGATTGTTGACTAGAATCAAACTGATTAACTTCGTCTGCTTTACGCTTTTGATCAGTATCTGCAGCTCTACTGGAGAAACACAGAAGTAACAGTAAGTTAATTAATTTTAGGTACAAATGTTGAACATTGTAATATAATTAAAAGGTTTTTTGCGCGTTTAGACTAGTAAAAAATTAAAATTGTCATACCTACAACGTCTTTTCAAAAATCTATGTCTTTTAATTTTGATTCGATGTTCGTTATTATAGATGTAGTTGGGGTGGTGCTTTCCTCTGACACGCATTTTCATGCCTGTTTCCGTGAACTGTGTACGTGGAAGCCCTCTTGTTGTTACGAGCTGACGTTCTGTTGTACTTTCTACCTTTACGCCTTTGAGATCTGCGTTGCTTTGGTACTTTGCCTTCCAGCAGTTTAACCATGTGTTGTATTCTGAAATCGTTTTTATAGTTAATAGTAACATGTATTTTTATTTTTATTTTTTGAAGTATAAATAAATATTATATATCATCAGTAAGAAGGAATCTTATCACCGTACCTAATTGATAGGCTAGGGAGATAGGTCAGCAAGTCCAAACTACCCGGACAAGGCGCAGGCTAGGTGTACTATCTTTATAGTACTAGTAGGGACTAACAGTAGTACCCTAAGGGGTAAATAGGTAACTTAACTCCCAAAGTATTTTACCCTAATATTTGATAGGATGGGCTGGTATTGTATAGCAGATAACATAGGGCATGGTATGGTATGTTATGTAGGATGGATCGGTATAGTAGGGTAGGGTAAAAAATTCAGGGGTAGGGTGAGGTAGGGCTAAAAAGGTCAGGGGTAGAGTGGGTATGGATAAAGGCGTGAGGGCCAGGGTGGAGTAGGGCTAACTCTTGTTTTAAGTAGTTTCAAACATCCGGAAATTTTTATTTTTTTGTATGTGACATAACATAAGCGCATCCACAAAGGAAATAGTTTGTTAAATGTAAAAAAACATGACTATATACTTTAGTTCTTGTTGACAGACGAAGATGAGTCAAATAATCTTTATCAGTCATACACATTCTACTGGCTTCTGATTGAATTCTAGACAATAGCATCAAGAAATCTTTTGGCATGGTGTGGTGCGATGTATAACACGTTTGTCGGTAAAATTTGTATTTTAAGTATAATGTCAGTGACATGCTTAGATACCAAAGCATTCCAATCTTTAATAAATAAAAATTTTATTAAGTAATTTATATTCTTATTACACTTGCGATTTAAGATAATATTATTTTGATCTTTTATGTTAAATCGTTTACTTACCTCAATACACAATGTTATGCAAAAGTAGTCTAAAATTATACAAAACATCATTATGTATTGCAACTGGAACACACTGATGAATGAATGTAGTGCTTCGATCAACTAAAGTTTTATGGGTTTTTGATTAAGACACAGTCATAAGTATAAGGGCATTTATTAAGTTTATTAAGGCTTTTTACATTTAATTAACTTACATAGAGATATTCGGCCATATGGTCATAAGTAAAGTCGGTATAAGGAACTTCCGGCCAAAAACTTAAATCACAAGAATATGGTGAGATTGTAGGGGAAGCGTTTAAAATAGGAAAGGTTAAGATAACATGATAAAATTTAGTTTGGTATAGTAAGAAACAATCAATCACTTTTTGATATTTTTTAAGTAACATTATAGTAATAGCCGTAGAACTTTATAAAAAAAATTGGTAGGTTTAGAGGTGGATAGGCCGGTTGTATTGCTACGAATAAATGTTTTAGATATTTATCTATAGAAAGGTCAATGACTTATTTTGGTTGAGTTAGATCGCGCGGAAAATCCTATTATGGGCGGGTTCCACCATGGGCGGGATCCACTATCGGCGGCTTCCATTATGGGCGGAATCCACTATGGGCGGTTTTACTATTATGCTAAAATGTTGGTTAACTTAACAATTGTCAAGTAATGTTATTGTAAAAACTGTTCGTACATTATTAAATTAGTTCAAATGGTCCAAAGTGTTTCCATTTTAGTACAAATGGTAGTGTTATTAAAAAAAAGTCTACACCTGACCTTTTTGGCCCTACCTGACCTTATCTCTGACTTATTTGAGCCTATCCCTGACCTTTTTGGCCCTACCTGACTTTACCCCTGACCATTTTAGCCCTTCCCAAGTCCACCCCTGACCCTTTCAGCCCTACCCAAGTCTACACCTGACCTTTTTAGTCCTATCTGACCTTACCCCTGACCTTTTTAGCCCTACCCAGGTCCACACCTGACCTTTTTGACTCTATCCCTGACCTTTTCAGCCCTACCCAAGCCTAATATTGCCCATTTTTGTCCTACCAAAGCCTACTCCTGACTCTTTTAGCCCTACTGAAGCCTACCCTTAACCCTTTTGGTCCTACCTCACCATACCCTACACTATCTTCTATACCATACTATATCATACCATACCAAACCCTATATTACTAACTATATCATACCTCAATTAACTACTATACCATAGTTTCTCATAGTATACCTTATCCTATCTAACAAACTATACCATATCTTGCCCTGTCTAATCTTATATTTACAACACTAGCGTATACTATAAGATTTATCTATTGGTAAGAGTTCATTGCAGGTAAGTAAGGCAAGAAGTGTTTTAGTATAGTCAAATATGACATGGTATAGTAGGTAATATAGGGTATGATATGGTATAGGGTATAGTATGGTATGGTAGGTATGGTATAGTAGGTAGTGTAGGGTATGTTAGGGTATAATATGATATCATATGGTATTTTATGGTTTAGTATGGGAGGGTAATGTAAGGTTGGTAGTATAGGGTATTATATGATGCATTATAGTGTGCTATGGCAGGTATTAGGTGTTTGCGAAAGTTTCTGGCCAATTTTTTAAAAATTTTAAAAAAAATTCTGAACAGTTCTAGAACTTTCTGTTGATAACCTATATAAAGAGATGTCCAAGGACTAAAAGCTATTGCATGTTCAAGCTTTCTGTTGTTTACGGTGGTTCAAGAAATCAAGGTAAAACAAAGTCATGTTAGGGCAATGTTGCTTCGCAAATTCCGTGAGCACGGCAACGCAACAAGAGCGACGAAAGAAATATGCAATGCTGTAGGGCCTTCAGTTGTCTCTTACGACACCACAAAAGTTTGGCTCCACAGGTTCAAAAACGGTGACTTTGACATGTCCGAAAAGTTCGATATGGTAGATCATCAGCGTTAAAGAAACCCTACCTCCTGAAGCTGATCAAAGAAGACCTCCGACGAATCTGTACTCATTTGACTGTAGAGCTTCAGTGTGACTCTTCTACCATATTAATAAGACCTCACGCCTTTGGAAGATTATGGAAATATGGTCAAGGGGTTTTACAGGGTTTTACAGGGCATTTGTAAACTAAATTTATAAAGCTAATAACAAGTGAACTAAACTTCTTTATATCTACCCGGCCTTACCCCTGACCCTTTTAGCCCTATCCAACCTCACCCTTGAACTTTTTAGCCCTTCCCGGCCTCAACACTGATCTTTTTACTCCTACTCAATCCTACTTCTGACCTCTTTAGCTTTATCCAAGTCTATCTCTGGCCTGTTTAGCCTTACCCGACTCTACCCCTCACTTTTTTACCCTACCCTACTATACCATACCTACCCTACATAACATTACATACCATATCTTATGCTACCTACTATTCCATACCCATCTTAGCAAACAAAGCATACCAAACCCTACGATACACTACCATGCTATAACCTATCCTATCTAATATACCAAATCCTACAATACCCTAACAAATTAGAACATACCATTTGGATAAGGTAAGATATTATACAAGGTATGGTATATTATGTTATGGTATGGTAGAATATGGTATTGTATGGTAGAGTATGGCATCGAACAATATGGTAGAGTATTGTAAGGTTTGGTATGATAGGTAGGATAAGTTATGGTATGGTAGATAGAATAGGGTATAATAGGGTATGGCATATTCGCTACAATATGGTAGCGTAGGACCGGGCAGGGCTAAAGGGTCAGAGGTAGGGTTGGGTAGGGTTAAAAGGGTCAGGGGTGAGGTTGTTTAAAGTTAAAATCTTCAGGAGTGTAGTGGGGGTGGGATAGGTATTATTACTTGTTAGATTAAATTAATTTTTTTTTCAAAAAGGGTCAGAGGTAAGGTCAGGTAGGGCCAAAAAGGTCAGGGGTGGACTTGGGTAGGGCTGAAAGGGTCAGGGGTAGACTTGGGTAGTGCTAAAAGGGTCAGGGGTAAGGTCAGGTAGGGCCAAAAAAGTCAGGGGCAGATTTGGGTAAGGCTGAAAGGGTCAGGGGTGGACTAGGAGGGTAGGGTAACATTTTTTTGCCATAAACAGGATGACATTCTGTTTTTTCTTTGTGAAATTTGTATTTTCTAAAACTCGTCGTTCTGAACTTCGTCTGCTTGTTATTATAGAATAGGGACAACTAGAGGAGAGGTGACATTTCCGTAACGGCGACAATTTTGGAATGCAAATTTGCTAGGCTAAGCAGCTAAGCCTAAGCGCCTAAGCGTCAGAGCAGAGCAACAAAAATACAACAAGTAAGATACTAATGAGAGATCGTGGCGAACGGTGAGACGAAAGAGAACGCAATCAAAGCGGAAAGTCGGCTCGTAGAGGTCAAATTATTTATTTCTTCGAACGGAAAATATTTGTGATCACTAAATGGTTTAGTATGAGTGTTGAACATGTTCTCCTTATTCTCGAGCCGAAAGAAAGTTGTGCCCGTCAGGGTAACGACCATGGATGCTGACATCACCGCCATCAATATTGAGGTAGGTGTTTTTAATTTAAAAAATCTTTTTTCGAAGCTAAAATTGTTTTATCTATCTATTTTTAAATGTATTACAATTGTTTGTTTTACTTGTGTAATATTTTTATAGCCTGACTGGACTGGAAGACAGTTATTTGATGCTGTATGCCGTATCATTGGTCTGCGAGAGATATGGTACTTCGGGCTACAGTTTGTGAACAAGAGTAACATCTCAGTTTGGCTTCAGATGGAGAAGTTGGTAAGTATTCCTATTTCTTTGATCAATGTTTAGATTGCTGAACAAAATGTGATCAAAGACGATTCTGGAGCCTATCACTTCTACTTCTTGGTCAAGTTCTTTCCAGAATCCGTAGAAGAAGAGCTGATTCAGGACATAACTCGACATCTCTTCTTCCTCCAGATCAAGCAGAGTATTCTGAAGGAAGATCTGTATTGTCAAGCAGAAGCTGCTGTGCTACTGGCATCGTACGCAGTTCAAGCGATGTATGGTGATGCTTCTGAAGATATAGAGTTGGAATTGGACAAGTTGTTGCCATCTACGGTCATCAGTCACTATCACATGTCCAAAGAGATGTGGGAGGAAAGGTTGAGGAAGTGGTGGGCTAACAATAGTGGATTGTCTACGTATGTTGGATTAAATATTATATTATAGTATTTTTTTCTTTGTAAATCTGGATTTTTTAAAGCACAAATGATGTTTAATTTTGTTTAATATTATGACAATGTGTTAGTGAAGACGCCGAGATGGAGTACCTACGAGTAGCTCAAGATTTGGACATGTATGGAATACAATACTATCCCATATACGTAAGCTTACAATCTCTATGATAATATTGTTTTAGAATCAAAAAGACACAAATCTGTTGTTGGGAGTGTCAGCTCAAGGTATTGGCATATACGAAACTCACAACCGGCTGTCACCGAGACCTTTCTTTCCGTGGAGTGAAATCAAGAATATCTCGTTCAAAAGTAAAGAAGTAAGTTTGATTTGTTTACTATACTGTAAAATCTTCAATTTTTTTAAATTTTAGGTAATAGTTTATATTGTAATTTGTTATAATTAAATTATTTACTTATTACAATTTAATTTGTACTTGCTTTAGTTTTGTATCTGCAACGTTGACAAAAGCAAACTCAAGTTTCGAGCTCAAGAAATGTCGATTAATATGTCAATCTTGGATCTGTGTATAGGTACCCACAACTTGTACTTGAGGAGAAGACAACCCGACCTTCTTGAGGTTCAGCAGATGAAGATTCAAGCGAAAGAACAACGTCAGAAGAGATTGGCAGAACAGACCAAGCTTCTGAAGGAGAGAGAACGACGGATTCAGGCAGAAGCTGAGAGAGACAAGTACAAGAATGAAGTGGCATTCATGTCAGAACAGCTCACAACGATGCAGGTATGTACTGTTTGCTTATTTTGATTAAAAATTTATATTAATTTTTAAAATAATAAGTAAATGTTGTCTGATAATAGCATATTATGCTATAGTATCATATAAGCCTTCAGGATTTCATCAAGACAAGTGATGAATCTCATCGTTTGGCTACCGAGAAGCTGGAACAGGAGACGTTAGCTTATTCGAAACGTTGTAGCGAGGCTGAGGCAGAAGTTCAAAGAGTCAAATTGTCGAAAGTTCAGGTAATAAGGGCATTTTGTCTACCTTTAGTTTATTTTTATTTGAAGAAGGTGCAGTTTTATTTCTAAAAACTATAACTTCAAGCTTCTGTTTGTGTTGCTTACTTTGCGTTGATTAACAGGACGATCGCTTCTATCAGTTTCCATCGAATCACGCTGTTCCGTACGATCTGAATCCGAAGAGATTCAGAAGCCAGGTGTTTATCAATGAATTGGTTCAGGTACTTTTACTTTTAACAAGTAATTTCTGTTACAAACTGGTCAAAAAGTCAATAGAATAACCTACTATGGCCAATCTACAAAACTTTTGTGTTTCTATTTACTTTTTGACCAGTTATATTGCTTTTTACTTATTTCATACTAACAATACATTGTTTTTAAACACATTTGTTTTACTTTTATTGTATTTAAACTACTCCAATTACAGTATGCCCCGCCATACGGTAACGAAAACGTAGAGCCCCAACTCCGCCACTCTCACTCGACTATGCATCATCTCAGCCAAACGTCAGAGATGGTGCTGAAGGAGAACTTTGTGCACCGCACCGCTTCCAATGGGATGACATCCTCGTATATTCAAGAAGACGAGCCTCCTGTCAATAATAATGGCAGCACGGTCATGTTGGACGAGGAAATCCAGGATCTCTGTGCCGAAATCGAGAAAACAAAGTAATTAGAGGCTACGGTAATTAGGTTGTTTTCAGAATCGAGAATTCGGAGAGGAACCGCGAGCTGAAGGAGAGGTTATCGCATCTGAGACAGGAAATTGATGTCCTCAAGAAGCAGGACAGCATCACCGAGCACGATCGAGTTCACGCCAACAACGTGCAGATGGGGCTGGACAAGTACTCGGCTTTGAGGAAGGTAGGTCAATGTCAAGATTTCGAGAAGGGTCAGCAATTTTTTAAATAATTTTTTTATATTCACTGAGACAACGCCAAAAATTTTTGCAAAAACAAAATAAGTATGAGGATGCAGCTCGCAGGACCTTGTTATACGATGAAACATGTAGTAAAAGTTAGTTGCTTTGACAAAATAAGTTAGTTTGTAACTTATACGTTTTTTTATAATGCTTGAAGTTGAAAAAGTAGGTTTTTCAAATTTTGAATTGGCAAAACCCGGAATTACGGTTTTGCAAAAGTACATAACGATAAAATCATTTTAAAGTTCAAAGGACATTAAAATGGTTAAAGATAAACTCTATTTTGAAACTATGTTTACACTGATGGTGAACGAGATGCGCAATGGTCAGAAATTAAAAAATCTGCCAAATTTTCGGATATATGACAAGTCTTGCCTTTTGACCTAACTTTATATGAACTTTTTACTATAGTTATTTCAACTACTACACCTTACAACAACATTATTATATTTTTAGAGTGGCGCGGGCCCGCCAAAGCATCGGGTAAACACCTTCGACGGTATCTAATGATCCTCCTCCTCCTTCACTTCTTCCTCGGCCGCTTCTCTTTCCTGTTGTTTCTCGTAGTCTTGCTTCCGTTCTTCCTGAAGTCTTCGGTAAGCACTCCTCAGGTTCTGACCATTGACTGGACTAGTCTCTTGCTGGTTTTGTGTCAGCCCTTGGGTTGCGTTTAACGTCGTAAGTGCTCCAAACTGGCCTGGATTGGTTGATAAAGGTGGGAAGGAAGGTCCATTGACGGGTACTGTGCCTGGTACTGTTGCTAATGTAGTAGGAACTGGTGCAGGATTAATTGGAACAGCTGGGATATTGGAAGACGGCTGAAAAACGGGTAAATACAGTTTGTAAAACAGTCAACTCCAATATATCTACTACAATATGCGTGTACACTTAATCATTCTCCAACAATTTTTTATAATATTCCTAAATGTGTATCTACAACAATATCTTCAAAAATACGTTGTATAAGTCTACAGCTCGTACTTACATCCAAGTTTAGTCCAGTTAGTAATGCCGCGCCTTGTCTGAAATACCTAGATTACTTTCCGTTGTTGTTAATGATATAGCTTAATTATAATATTGTTTACGTTGGTGCAGTCTTGCCATTCCATCTGCTTCGTATTCTGGGATTGTTCAAGCAATTTCCGATTAAATGATTTCTCCAGGATTCTGGCGATGTAAAGGATTCTACATTCTTCGAACACAGGGGACACCAGGCTGCGCCCGGCTCCGGGTGTGCTTCTTAAAATTCAAAAGTAACTTATGAGGTAGTTAGTCACAACATTTTAAAGTTTGTTCTTGGGTAACTAAGAGAAACAAAAGAATTAATGGATTGACCGGGAAAGTAACATAGTATCAGACATGTACTACGATATAAGAAGTGTCCCATGTGTTAAGTTTAGGATAAGAAATATCGAAACGTACTTGGACATCTAGGATGATTACTCTCTCCACCATACTGCGCTAGTCCACACAATGGGCACGGTAACATGGTCTTGTTGACAAATTGACATAGGTTTATATGGTGATTATTCAGCTCTGCCACATGTAATACTTGATCACAGAAGTCACATTCGGTCAGAACAGGACATTGATACAACCAATGTTGTTTTAGGTTGGCTTCTGTTGCAAAGGCATCGTTCCGTTCGTAGCACTGGGGACATAAACTGAAATTATATATTAACATAGGGTCGTCTTGTACTGGGGTTTAAGGTTTGAAATTTAATTTTAGACGTTCATAGATAACAAGGTTTAAATTTTAATTTTTGAAGATGTACTTGGTTTCCCCGGGATCTGGCACAGGGTATAATTGACTCTGTCCTGTGACTGGAATCTCCTTGATGACATCGGCTGTCTTGGGTAGTTTAACATCCTTCAGTCGCTTGTTCCGTCGTATGTTCTTTATCTCGGCTTCTGAATTGGAGGTGTATTGGAGGCGTTCTGTAGTCCGAGCTCGTCGCCTGCTTTTGTTTCTGGCCCTTCTGAAACCCCGTTCTTCGCGATTCTCGGGCGGTGACGATAATCTCCATGGAGATCTGAAGTTTGTGTAGCTCGATGGAGGAGCGGTTCTGTCGTTTACGTATTCTCGGTAGTAATCTGGTGGAGGTGTTACAACTCTGGGTCTTCGTCTGAAACGATCAGTAGCAGCCGGAAGCCTGGAGTCATAACGATCGTAGCTTTGGAGACGACGTGATGGCTGTAAAAGATAACATAATAAGTCTGTAAGAGTAAGGTGTATTGCATCCATTTGTGATCAAATCAAAGATAATGGTACATCTGATAAATAAAACGACAAATTTTGTTTTTGTATTTTTCTATTTTTGAAATTTGAAATCTATTTTGAATTTGTTTCGAAATGCACGTATCAACTGTTTACAACGTTTAGTATTAGGTACTAATCGAATAGCTACGTAACCTCATCCAGAACCCTCTCCACCCGAGCGGACCTAACGGCGTCGGCGTAGATTCTCTGCATGAGACGGGAAAGCCTGTCCGAATTGATAGTATCGCCCTGAAGCAGTGCTTCCGTACGGCGTTTCTGAATCTTATTAATTTCCCGTTCAGCCCGCTCCAAGATTAGTTTCGCTTCCGAAGCCAACTGGGACTAAACATTTTGGGGTTGAAGTAAGAGGCGGACATTACCTTGTTGACGTCATTGCTACGACGTTCTACACGATTCAGGTCGGACTGGAGGGCACGTATCGACGTCAGCGGATTCTGATCGTTGTATCTTAAAGATATCGATTGTACGAAAAGATCTTTCAGAGATTTGCCAACTATAACAAAAAACTTAATTTAATGGCCTGTTCTAGAATACCTCATAACTTTCAACCAAAATTGTACGAAATAAGTTGTAATAAGGATAAATCAAAAACAGATTTGACTTGTAAATTGCCTGAACTATTAGAACAACAGCATTTCCTTGATCGAAAGTAAAATACGAATACCTTTCACCCAAAACCAACAAAATAAACTTTATCAAACAGCCTCGTTTCATATTCACATTTATATCTCTGCATATATTATAGTTGCAAACAACAATCAATTACCTAAACGAAGCAGAAAGGCCATTTCTACTGATGGGCGGTAAGGAGTAGCTAGAGGTGGCCCTTCTACGGCTCATTCTTAGTCTGAGTTTGAGAACGACTTAAAGAAACTTTGTTGCTGGGTTACAAATCATTTTTTGACACAAAATTGTACAGCGAAAAATAAATAACAAGGCGGGGACGAGAGATATTACACTAGCCGGTCGAGATCGTATCGTGTTGAGATCATTACTGTGTGTGGCTACCGTACCCACCCTCATCCGTAGAACCCGCCATTGATTGGCATAGCGCGAATGCTGATCCCGTTCACGTGGTCCAGAGGAATGTCATCTGATGACCGTTTGCCGTAGATGCCTCCGGAGAAGGGGACCGAGGCCCGCTTACCGTAGATGCCTCCAGAATACGGTAGTGCTGCTCGTTTACCGTAGATACCTCCGGAATACGGTAAGGCGGCTGCTCGTTTACCGTAGATGCCACCAGAGTACGGTAGGGCCGCTCGCTTGGCCATGAACTCGATGGAGTAGGGACGACCGTCGTATAGTCTGTTTTCTTCTGGTTTATCTGACTCCACGAAAACAGAAGCTGAAATGTATGGATAACAATGGCAGTACGGCTAATTGTGAAAACAACCTGTTGTTGGTAAATAGTACTAACTGGAGTGCCAAAAGTAATACAAATCGATTTCAAAATTATTTTAAAACTCATTTTTTTGTTATGTTACAGTAATCCTAACAACACACTTACCGGCTGAAACAATGCCGATGCACCCAACGCTCAAGATCAAAGTTATTACCACTGTCCGCATACTTGTAAACCTGCAAATGGATTGTTATTGTCTGAAACACGACACATGTCAGCGGGAATTAGAATTGATTCGACAAACAAATACTGTACACAAGACAACTTTGTGGGCCAGCAGAGACTGCCCGAGGGCTTTAATTCAGAAGGCGGAGTGAAGGAAAGGGAAGAGTCATCTTCAAGTACTACGGTTTCGTACGAGTTTAAAGTAATGTAGGAGGAGGGAGGGTAAACATCCTTTCGCCGAAACTGTAGAGTGCAATATCACACAACAAGCTAGTAAGATTGCAATTCCAATTAAAATTCACGAATATAGACTTAAAATTAGCCTGTAAACCAAACTTGTTTGAGCTGTTTTATGGATATTATGGTGTGATAACACCTAAAGTGTCCAGATGATACCATCTCACCAAACTCACAAAGAAAGTACCCTACCTGCCCCGCTCAAAATCAGCTCAAAATTTTTATATGAATTCTTTGTACCACCAATAGTACCCATAAAAAATTTTAGCTCGCGCTTTTGAGTTTTAAATTTAAATTATTCGGGTTTCCCGCCAATTTGGCAAATTTGGCATTGTGTTTCAAGCACTTTTTTCGGCTTTCCAGACAAGATACGCTTACAAATTTAAACAATTAGGTTCATTTAAAGGTTTTCTACTAGTATATCAAAGAAAAATTATTAAAAGTCAAAAAATCACAAAGTTACTAGCTTGAAACACAATGCCAAGTTGGCGGGAAATTCAAAATGTCATTTTTTAATCTCGATTTTCTCAGGTTTCCTTGAAAGCGCGATTTAGTATTGTGCTGAAGATCTTATATTTACATGATCTTTTTTTATAAAAAGTTACAAGTCAATCAGAGCGGGGCAGGTCGGGCACTTTCCTTGTCAGCTGCTATAGAGTATAATGCTCCTTCCAAACTAATTTTGTAATGTTGACAAAGTTTGTCATAACTCGAATAAACCCGCTTAGCTCTTTTTTATTCATCCTTTGTGACTTGTCGACGGAATGGGACGAAGGTCAACAACAAGGTTATCCCGCTGATTCGAGAAACCGGATTCAGGTGGAGCACTTCCTCCCACCTTTCTCGATGATAAGCTCGACACTTTTCGTGTCTGCCTCTTGCGCAATCGTTAACAGCGACATCAGCGAAAGGGATAACCATTTTGCCCTAACCGCGACCAAAAATTCACTCATTGCGAGCCCGCCTCGTGAAAAACCGCTACCCTGAGATTAAACTTTTTCTATCGACGTTTCCCTCGTCGTCAGTCGAAAAAACGGTGACATAACCGCTATTCACCTTTCTACTGGAATCTGGAGTCAACCATCGTCGTGGCCAATCAATGGTCAGCCCTCACACTGTCCTACTGTACGTAGGGCTACTGCAGGTAAGAGTTAGATGTTTTGAATCCGAGTGAGAGTGAGTTACCTAGTGAAAGCGCTCACTTAAAACCTGTTTTTGTCATCAATTTTATAGGTTTAAATGATTTATGAAACATAGACGTATCCCTAATTAACTTAAACAAACTTTAAGACCTGTCTGGCCTTCTACACCTATGCACCACATCAAAGACAACAGGTATATCAGAACACTCCGGTGCCCCTCGGCTATCAGCCACCGCCAAATCCACCGGTAATCGATGACTACGGTAACACAAATCAATGGAATACAAGAAATAATCAGGGACAATGGAATAATCAGCAGAATTGGAACGGAAACCAACACTTTAACAATCAAGGTAATAATTGCAAGCAAAATATGCAAAAAGGCTAAACGTTACAAAAAATGAAAAAGTTTTGCAATCTGAAATAAAGATAACATAATCACAACTTCAGGAAACGTCCTTCAACGTGTTCACAAGCCAGAACCAGTCATCATTAAAACCCTAATCCAGGTGTTCGCCAACGAACACGATCCCAACTCATTGTACTCAGAAGCCCGTCTAGTGACCCAAGTGGATGGTGAAGATCGAGTCCAACTCTCCCGCGACCTCGAGACCCAGAAGGGTGTGTTCATCGGGACAGACGGCCCAAAACAGGCCTCTAATCCAGGCAATTTCGTGAGTCTTAACTCCGAACGTGTTGATTACATCAGTTTCAGGCTCATGTGAAAGCGTACGCCGCTACCAACGGCTCCCACATCACCGACAAGGATTTGGAGCGAGAATTGGACAGGGAATTGGAGACCGCAATACCTATTATTTTGGATGAACTTGAGCGAATTGCCAAAAATAACAACGTTACCGTAAGTTAAGCCAAACGAAAAAACAGTTTTCTTCAGACACCACGTCCCCCTGACGATATCAACAGCGAGGACTTGGAGAGGTTGATCGGAGATGCTCTCTCGACCATCAACGATCCAGAAGAACGCAAGCACGAGCAGTTAGAACTAGAGAAAATTAAACATCTAACATCTACACCTGCTACAACAACTTCCACTGCTACTCCTCAGACCACACAGACTACTACAACACCATCAACTACTACAACTACACCTACAACTACCACAACAACCACCACCACCACCCCCACCACAACTACCGAAGCAGAAGAAACAGAAGTTCCAGTAGAAGAAGGAACACTTCCTCCGCTGATCATCTTCGAACGGACTACAGCAATCCCAGAAGCCGAGGAATCTGAAAGAAAAGAAACAGAAGATGCGAAAGAAGAACCACGCACACTGCCTCCTGGAGTCAGTGTAGACGTGCAAGACCTTCAGCCAGTGACGTCAGCCAAAGATTCTCAACAAATTCCAGAATCCGAGAGCTCGTCACCAGAAACCCTGACTGAAGGACCACTACCAGTGCCAGATGACAATCACCTACCAAACGAAGTTGTCACTACACCGTCTATAACTACAGAATCCTCTAAAGCAGAAGAAACTCAGAACAATGACGCCAACACAGACTTCAATCCGGAACCTGAGAAGGAGACAGAAGCCCCAACAACTACAGAAGCGACTACCACCACTCCCAGTACAACTACAGCACAAGAAGAGCATCTGGTGCCCGAGAGTGCCCTGAATGGAGATGAAGCCAAAGAGCATCCCCGCACCTGGAAACCGCGGCCGTCCACTGCTACTACAGGCAAGTTGTGATGACTTTAATTCGAATATTTATCAGGGATTCCCACGCAAGCCATCGTCATATCCACCATCTTAACAACCCCAAGTGCCATAGAAACTGTAAGTCCCCCCAATCGACAATTATTTATATCCAGACGACCGACAACGTTATCGCCACCATCCCCGAGGCCAATGACGAGTGTCCCGTCCCCAACGATAACACAGAATCCCTCAAAGGTGACGTCCTCTTCCTTCTGGACGGCTCCAAGACCGTGAGCACGGGTCAGTTCGGGAACGGCCTCAAACTGATCGCGGACACGGCCAGACAGTTCAAGAACATTGGCCAGAACGGTGTGCAGATCTCGTTGATACAGTACAACGAGGAGCCCTTCCTCGAGTTCTCCTTCAGGAAACACAACTGCATCACGGACTTGTTGGAGGAAATCCAGGACACCAAGTACATGAACGGAGACTCGGACTTGGGAAGAGCGGTGGAGAAGATAATGAAATACGCCTTCACCAAAACCAGGGTAACCAGTTAGGAAGTAGAAAACAGTAGTAGCGTCATGACAATCAAAACACAAAAGCAAAAGTTGAATTAACATATTATTTATCAAACATTTTGATCAAAAATCCTAAACCTAAAAAAAACTTCGAAAACTGTTGCCAATATTGTTTTAGGGGGACCGTTCCGACGCTCCAAACGTTCTCGTCCTGATCACCGATGATCTCGATCAAGAAAAAATCAAATTCCCGGTCGAATTGGCCCACCAAGATGAGACCACGATGTTGGTCGTTGCTACAATCGAGGGAGATCCGAAAGACTTCCGTGGCCTAGCTGAAACCTCAGACTTGGCCACCTTTGACCTAAAGAACAGTTTAGCCACGCCTTTGGCTAAACGCTTGGCCAAAAAGATCGAAGCTGTCCTAAGAGGCGATCACCACGTAGCCAACGATGACTTCCAAGTTCTGACGACTACCGCTCCTAAGTACGGTGATGATACTACTAGTAATGAAGACAGTACAGGTGGAGGCACTGGCTCCGTCAATGGAGCGCAGCAAAGTGATGATACAGAAAATGCTACCGGTATGTAGACAAAGTAATGCTTTTGAGCAATATATGAAACTGATTTTAGAAAGACCACATCATCTTCCGTCAACGTACTCTTCTGACAATGTCCAGATTCAATGTCGCGGAGATGGAGTCACGGTAAGAGACAATGCCTAAACCCAAGCTTGTTTTAACTTCAAAAAGTATTATAAACCTTTAAAACAATGTAAAACATCATCCTAATAATGTCACTGATATACATCTAGGCCGTGTTCAAACTGCCCGAATACTTTTCCGGATTCATTGGAGCAAAAGGCTACGAAACCGTGTCAGGGTGTTACATCGAGATACCACAGACGCACGAAGGATCGAATGTGATGAGAGAAGTGACTTACAGTATCAAGACTGGTGAATGTGGTCATACCTCCATAAGCTCGGTAAACACTACACATATGCTTGTCTTATCTTCCTATTACTTCAATATAACAATAACAAGCTCAAATCAATTTAGAATGTTCCCCGAGGTCGAAACAACTCGGTGGTAATCAACATATACCACCATAAAGAACTAGTAACAGACCAAGACCAAAGCTACATCGTACAGTGTTTTATACCACGAAGACATGTAGAACATACGTTGGAGACAAAACTGGATGTAGACGGGTGAGTAATTACATGTTTAGTATAATACTTTTAAATATTTTGAAATGAAGATAATTTTTAAATTAAAAAATAGTCAAGTCTATGGTACAACAAGATAACTCTAGATTAATGGCAGTAAGTAAGACTATCGCCTTGGATGCCGTTCCTCCTACGTGTGAGTATACTTTGAGAAGAGATTCTCCTAATGGCCCTATCTTACAATCAGCTAGTATTGGGCAGATCATATACCACAGATGGGAATGCAAAGCTTCTGACGGTAAGAACATATTATTGTATCCAAAGCTAAACCACTATAGGCTACTGTTTTGAATTACTTTTTTAATATTTTTTGATACTTTTAACACTAGTAACGTTTGTTATACTTAAGAAGTCAGCAGTGCTTACGGTATCTATGTGCATGACTGTAAGGCTTCAAATGGCACTGATCGAAGCTACGAAATCATTGACAATCAAGGGTAAGATAAACTTACAGAGCCGTGTTGAATGTTCTAAGATTTCTTGAAGAATTGACGACAAACTTTATATAATGTCAATTTAAATCGAGAGTTTAGCTGTGCCGCTGACAGTTCTCTGTTGGGTGAAGTCGAGTATGCTGAAGATCAAATCCTAGCTCATGTCAGAGCTCATGTATTCACCTTCATAAACGTGGAATCGCTTTTGTTCTCTTGTAAGGTCAGCTTATGTCTGAGAGATGGAGATGGCTGCGAAGGTTACTCGGTAAGATACTTGCATATACGTCATATTCTGGTAAATCACACGTCAAAAGGCAACAATTGAACGTATTTCAAATTTATTTGAATTGAATTTACTATGCCTTACATAGTATTACTACAATACTTTATAATACATATTGTCCTTTACAGCCCCCAGTATGTCGCAAAACCAACCCATCTGAGATCCTTCTGACCCGACGCACTCGTCAGCTAGAACCTGCTTTGGAAGTGTCATTGACACGCCAAGTGCAAACCAATCAGCTAGACATAATGGACATCAGACATCCTCACAGAACATACCACTTGTCGCTCGGCCTTTATGTTCTCGTATTCTTGGTGGCAATAATTACCATACTTTTTGTAGCTGCCGTCCTGTGGTGTCGTACTGAGCGACAAGCTACAGTAACCCACTCCCAGATCAAAGTATTTTCTGTGTTCGAAACCTCAAAACCTTAACTCATGACCTCATTACATTACAAGTTATACATTATATTACTGATCGTAATATAACCCTACTCTATATTACTCTCTGTAGTATAATGTGCTCCCCGTAATCTAGATCTTCTCTCTGTGATATTACCGTGCCGTTCTTCAACGACCGTTTTCTGTACATTTTAGAACGTTGTCTGTATATTATGTTATGACCAGATATAAAGTGCAATTGAAAGTGTTATTAGATCGTTTCCTCAAGCGATTTCAGATTCTGAGTCAGAGCTTCTGATTCAGATTCCTGTCTTCGAAATGCTTCAAAACATACGTTTTTCAAAAATATATTTTACGTTTTGCGAGCTATGAACGTGACTGCCGAAGATCAGGAGCTAATCCAAGAAGCGTTCCAATATTACGACAAAACTGGCGACAACAAGATCAACTTTTCTCAGGTAACCACTTAATAATCAAGTCTAATATGTTTTAATCCAGAATGTGTATTTGAGCCAATTTTCATCAAATACTTGAATACAACCATTGTAAAATAGTACTTGAAGTAAACACAGCTTATATTACACTGTAAAGCAAAAAACATCGAGATTAAGACAAGATTAGCATAAATTTAACAAATTTTTTGAATTTTTAATGCAAAAAAGGTCAAAAAAACATACGTTAGGTCAACCTGCCATTTTCGACATCCAGCGCGCATTGTTTTGACATCTTTTTATTTCCAAATTTCTTGAAATTTCAACTGTTTCTATGAAAAAATTTATATCTTATTTTCGACGGAAGAGTTGGCCCACTTTACCTTACCGGAAAACTTGACTCAAATAAACATCTCAATTTTTTCCAAAAAATGATTTCCCGCTTCATCATTTATATGTTTCCGCAGAACACATGTTCTCCGTACCCTCTGAACTATGAAATCTGTCATCGTAAAATGTCAGTTTAGGTTGGTATTTGCTTGAGATCTTTGGGATGTGTCCCAACGGAAAAACAGCTAGCTCAATATACAAAACAATGGGCCTCGAAAGGTAGGGCTGTTTGTTTGTTGTATCTTATAATCGTATGTTATTCAAACAAACAATAGCCATCTTATTGTAGACATCGCCATTGAGGAGTTCATCCCTATCTTTGGAGCTCTGAAGAAGCAGACGACTCCAGCTGACAGAGATCGCATGATGGCCTGTCTCTCGAACTTTGACCGGGATCAGGAAGGCTATGTTCAGCAAGCGGACCTGAGACATCTCCTCGAGAATCTAGGTACTACATAAAAGGGTTTGGAAGGACTAATTAGAGTTACTCAGGCTAAAGCAATAATTTAGGGGAAAAGCTGAGCTCGGAAGAAGTTGACGACCTTTTAGTCCAAATCGAGTTCGTGAATGGCCGTGCCAGAATCCCTGACGTTGTGGATGTTATCATGTTGATCAAATAAAATCGACGAGCAAATGCTTTGATTAATAAACTGAAATTAAGCCGTAAACCAAACTAATTAATAACCGTTGAGTAATAAACCCAACATTGATACCTATAACAATAAAATTCAATTAATAATAAAACACACCACAAGTCATTAGGTATTATTAACAAACATAAATGCTATGAACAACGAATATATACATCTAATTACAGTGGAATGGAAAGGTGTGATTGCTGATGACGCTATATGTACAGGTATATGTTATGAATGTTTTCTACAAGTTGGACAGGGAAAGAAAGACACTTGCGGTTAAAATCTTTTGTGACAAAAGATAACAGTTGTATGTACAGTGGTGTGGTGCGGTTTCGGAGAAACTGTAGTGTTAAAGTAACGAAGATAAGTTACTGTGGTGCAACACAATCGCTTAGTGAATGCTGTTGTTGCGACGTCGCTCGTTCGAGTCCCAGCCATTGTCCTTGATCATGTGGATGAGTTCGATTATGAACTTTCCTTCCTTGTACTTTTGGCTGGCCTCGTATGCGTGCTCCTGAAGGGTAATATTAATCGTGTGACACAATTGAAGCGGCTGAGCAATCAGTTTTTTCAATTTTTAAAAAAATTTTAGGATTAATGTGTAAACCATAATTTATTTATTTTCAAAAATTCACTCGTACAGTCATAATATAACATAAATCAATATAATATAAAATAAATTTTTAAAGATAAATGACAGTACAGTGATGAGCGTTTTAATAGCTATTGATCCCTTAGTTGTCTTAATGATCTAAATTGTCATTTGATGGCGAAATTGTCATTTGATGGCGAAGAGGAGTGTTGTAACTAATAAAAAGTAAAATTTAAACTTACATATTTCCAGCCCAAGGTAGTTTTGCAGCATTCGCAGAAGATGTCAGCAACTTCGTGAAGTCCGGTCAACAAAACCCGTTCTTCAGCTGGCCCACAACCAATGTTAACACTGAAATATAAACACTTAAGTACAATATAACTCCGTTTAGAAAATGATAAGGTTATGCCAAAAAGTCAGCTAAAACACTAAAAATTCATTTAAAGATGCTAAAACTTAATTACCCTAAAATAACTATTGTTTTAACGATAATGGAGTAATTAATCTAATATATTATTTTAGATCCCGTGTCTAAAGTGCATCTTTAACGATGGGTGCTCTCGAAATGAACTATATAATGTAATTTGTCTCTTATTTTTAGTTGCAAAAGTTGGGAAATAATCTACAAACAGATTAAAAGTCGATGTCAACAACACCAACAGTACTTACACGGAATTGAACAGATACGCCTTGCCTTGACTTCCTTGGAACGACTGAAATGAGACTTGAGTACATCAACTTCTACGGGAAAGTAAACATAAACAGCAGTAAAACACTATTTCTGAGTTTAAAGTTCGGAAAACACATTTCCAAATGAAATTATCTTGTTTTAGGTGTTTTCTATTGTTTTTCAAAAACTTTTCCTACAAAAAACAGCTCTTTGAAGGTTTAAAATTGTTTACTTTTGAAGAACACACCTTGGAAATGAGTTCGTTGTGGTCAGCGAGGTTGGCCCTACAATGGGCACAATTGTAAGTACGGGCTCCCTCAGGCAAATAGGCTTGGAATGTCTTTTTAAGCTCCTTTTTCAAGGGCTGGGCCATCTTCACCGCCGTAGTCATGTTGGCTTCTGTAACCACAACTTGAATCTTCAAAAAGAATCGAGCTACACGAATGTAAGCTAGTTAGGCTTACAGAAATGTAAAAAAAAAGACTGCTCAAATAAGAAAATTAAAGAAATACAGATATGACAAGAACCATACTACATGAACATAAATGTAAGTAATCGGTCTACTGAAGTAAACCTTGTAACCAGAAGCTGACTACTCGAATTCAAACTAAGAAATTGGTTTAAATACAGCGGACAGATTGCAATAAACGGAGAGCAAAAAGAGCCCAACCCTCATCGCCTCAACTATATCACATCCTGGTACGACGGAGCAAGTTCACATGTACTACGCCTGTGACGCCCTCCCCCCGTACCCTTTGTCACATGTTCGAATTAATTTGGAAGGAGAAGGAGAGAGCCGGCGCACGCTTGACCCAATTATGGAAGCCGTTCTTGCAAACTAAATTAATATCGATTACAATGTTACTGTCGTATCCTGTAGAACAAGATCGATGCACCCCCGACTCGACATAACCCCTACATTAATAACAATCCCCCACATTAATATCGATCACTGTTCGAGCTATTCCTGTTCCTGCACTTTCTGACCGATAAACTTTTAAAACGCGCGGGAACCGGAGAGAACGTGGAAAAAGGCAGAGCCGGCTGTCAGCTGTTTCCCCCAATCATGCGACCTATATCGTGGATGGAGGAACGGCCGCTTTGTTTTCCTTTTTGGAAAAAGTTTCAAAAACACAAGATTCGGTGTGTTAATAACCAGCACAACAATTGTTTTCGGGAGAGAAGAAGAAGACTTGGTCACGTGCTGGCACCAAAAAGAGTTGGGGTCACTTCGAGGCCGAGCAAAACAGTCACAAGATGGAGCTATCCCCCTGGGCCAGCACACAACAAACCTGCCAGTAAATACCCAAAACAAGAATTCGTATTAATCAAGATGTGTACATTGTATGTACATCTGTAATACATTCTTATAGCTTATGCTATAAATATAGATATTCTTGTAATACATCTACTTGAATGGAATTACAAATACTCTTATTACACCAGAATGATATCTTAAGATACACATATGACATCCCTCAATTAATCAAAAAGACATTTGTCATATAAAGGTCCTCGGAAAGACATCAAACATGAAGTTGTTCTTGAAGAAGAACTTATTTTTGGAGAAATAAACAACTTGCAGCCATGTTGGGCTTCAATAATCAAACATAAGATTGGACGTGACATAACTGACAAATATACAAACTAACCATTACAAACCTATCGCCCATTAGAAGTCGATGGAGATCTAATTCGAGTGTTGACAATTCATTTTAAAGCATTTACAAAAGCATAACCATAGAATGAGACGGCACAAACCCTTCCCAATTACGTTTCAACGTGCCGTGCCCATAAATCAGGCCAAAAGTAAATTCGAAAAAGCCTAATGGGAATTGTAACCCTAATGACACTGGGCAGGACCATGTGTCGCACTTGTCCCAAGACATTGGAATTGCAAATAACTGCGCGTCAAACCTTTCAGAGGACCATTTCTTGCCTCTTCGTCTATCTCCGCGGCCGTAAAGAAAAGGGAAAGACCTAAAAGCCCTCAGGCTGAGTTCGGCCCTTTTACGGTGAAAATAACGGCGCGTTTTTTAGCCAGCAATGTTTGTGCAAAAAAACGAAGAGTTGTGGAAACGCGCCGACAGAACTTTTGCCTCCGGGGAGGTCCAAGTAAATAGCACCAGAGGCTCAATTCTTGACCTTTCGCGGTCTGTTCGACTCATTTCCTTTTCCTTATTTAAATTAAAAACCCTCTTAACTTAGCATATTCTTTCAGCCGGAGAGACCCTGAGGCGGTGATCGCTAAATGGTAAGTCGAATAATGTCCGGCCTAATTTTTGGAGTGCTTCAACTCCCTTGAGGAAGTAAGCGGAGTACTTGGTGCAGTTGTCCTAGAGATATTTATGTATGCCAAGAGTTTTTAAACGTATCCTTTATTCTCCGTCTTCAGGTCGGGTCTCGCAAATGGACACCCTACTGGCCAGAATCCGGCGCATACGACGGCTCAACGAACTCTCAGATACGTTTTTGTTGCACCTGCTAGCCAACACCGACTATGTGCCAGACCGAGTTGCAGCCGGCGTTATTTGTAAGTAGCAATGCACTTTTAGACGTGTTTTAGATGTTAAGGTTCGCATATTTTAGCATGCCACTTGAGTTTTATACCCAGTTGTTATTGTAGGTTATGTCTGACTAAAAGTGCATAAAATAGACCTAAAGCTTTTTCATTTCTCAACAAGTTTTATTAAAGTTTAATGCCCTTTGGACGAACTAATTACATAGCTATCGCGTTCCGTGCTTACGCACACGGCTAGAATTACGCCGAAATGTCCCGTAAACATAATGCAAAATTTGGCTCAAATTGTAAATGACAAAAGGATGCGGGATTAGAGAGCAGAATAAACCTTAAACCACCCACAATAAACAAAGCCCGTTATCGATAGTGGTCGTAGGCTATCTATCGCCGCCTCCCGACCAATTTGACTACACAAAAGGACTTTGCATTTTAAAATGGGCTCCTCGTGTGCCGCGGCGGTGTTCATTCCAGATTCCTACCAAAGCTCAATTTTTGTCATCCGTTCGCCCTGTGGCCATAATTGGCCCGGACAACGTATTTGGCCGCTTCTCCGGGTTCTTTTTTCGAATTTTTTGACCTCTCTATCCATGAGCATATTTCCGGTAGTGCCGCAGGGCCCCGAACACCAATTTCCCACAAACCTGGCTCCTGTTTTGGGAAAGCCTTTCATTTATTGACTTTGTGGCCAGCCATTTAACGCGCTTTAATTAAAACAATTCCCCCTTTCATAACACACCGAATACAAATAACCTGTTTGTGTTGCAGTGTTCCAGCAAGGCGAGGTCGTGTCCTACTGGTATCTGCTCCTCTCCGGCGAGGTCGAATTGTATCTTCCTTCAGACCGCGAGGTGAGTCTCCTAATTCGACCTCATGCTTCTGACTAATACCCCTTGATTAACGTTCGTTTTAGACCGGATTTCTGGGCCAACATCTCACGTTATTGACAGCCGGGGCATTGTTCGGAGAGCTCAACCTTTACCAGCACTGTTGTTCAGCACGAGTGCACAAGAGCGCAGAGTTTGTGCGGCTCAATCAAACACAGTTCCTATCACTTTACAGCGTCAGTTTCGATTATATGTTAGTCAACATGTAGTTTGAAAAACTTATGACTAAAGTTTGCATTTTTTGTCATATCTACTGTTTCAACTAATTTTTTACAATTTAGAAGCACGCCGACCATCTTCAGCCTTACATCACAGTAATGGAAGATATACCTTCCACACCTCAAGGTAAGTGCTTTAATCATTATCAAATTTTAACTTAAAAAATGTTTTATCATCATTTCTTCTAGAACCCATAGATCCAGAAGTACCAGAACCAACACCGTTCCATTTATTACCCAAACCAAACAAGAAAAGTCCCGAAACCAATGGTACCAGTCACCCCAACTACGCCTTGACTTCGGTACAAAGACCAGCCAACGATGTATACGACTTTGGCGCCATGACTTCTGAGCTCCTTCCAGACCTCGTGGCCAAAGAAGTGCCATTTAAGAGTAATGGTGTTAATAGTGCGAACCCGCTGGAGGCAACCGGCTGGGAACCGCCAGTTAATTTGTTCGAGCTGAGTAGCTCGTTGACGTTGGATGCGAGGATAATGGAGGCCGGGCAGCTAATCAAACGGGTCATGTACTATAGAGCACCAAACCTAATACGGGAGCGGCAAATGAGACGCGGGGTAGGGCTAGGTTGAGTAAATGTATGCATGACATTACAGGACAAAACAGAGATATTTCACAATGCTATGTCAGGCGCCGAAATTACCTCCTGGCTGTATTCCTTGTGGCAACAGTGTACGGTAAACCCGGCCAAGCAACCTACGCGGATTCAGATGGTCGGAATCTGGCAGACACTACTGGACAATCAGATAATCAGTCACAGTAAGCAAGACACTATTCAAGACTAATCAACTTAAAAAGTTTTTGAATAAAAAAATTAAATTTAGTCACAAATGAAGAGCAGTTCAAGGACAAACATGTATTCTACAAATGGACTATCGCCAATGACATGTTCGAAGACTACTTCATCAACAGACTCACCTACAACAACATGCAGTTCATGCCGAACAGTGAACTCGTCGAGATGCCAGATCCCTACTCGTTACCTCCACCAGGCTGTGAAGCTCCATCAGACGACGATCTTCTCCAAGTCTTGTTCTTTCTCAGCACGATAGGCCTGGATTCTTTGTTCAAAATCATCCTCACCAAACCGTAAGTGCCATTACAGTAGTCTAAATTCAAAAATACATTATTATCTTACAATAACGATCAGCAAAATGTAAAATGTTGAACGCGAAAAGTTTTAAGAGACATTTAAGAACACGTAACGTAGTAGTTGGCCTTTCAACAATGCTATATAATGTTACAGACCTCACGAGAGATCCAACGAAGAACTGGAGCTGGTCTTTGAAGAACTTTTGCACGTCAAAGCCTTGTCCCACTTAAGCACTATGGTGAAGAAAGAGCTAGCTAGAGTGATCGGCTTCGAACAACATCAACATGCGGGTACCGTACTCTTTCATCAAGGATCAGAAGGTCAGAGCTGGTACATCATCCTCAAAGGAAGTGTGGATGTTAGCATAGCGGGCAAGGTAAGACCATATATACTTAATATAAATGTGTAAAAACTGGGCGTAGCAACTAAGATTTGGGTCTTGAGCTTCGAACAAGTCTTATACCAGCTGATCTCTATGTCAACGTATCTCAACTAGAGAATGTAGTCTATTTTGCGTTTCCATTAGTCTCTATGTCAACTTATGTCAAGTAGGTACTCCTGCCCATTAGCTGCATCAGATACTTGGAAACAAAAGCACGGGCCTTACTTTGTTTGAGAAGCAGACCATCGATCAGACGGTGAAAAAAGAAGCGGCGCGCGAGAGTCTCCAGAATAAGTGCTTGAAGACGCTTATTGTTCATGAGTCTTATTCACCATTCCATCACCCGTCTTCGGTTGCGCAATTCTGGGAATGTATGATGGTGTTGTTGTTGGTTAATGTGTGTTTTCTCTTTGATTGACCCATATTCATTTTATAGGGTGTTGTATGTACTCTGCAAGAAGGCGATGACTTCGGTAAGCTGGCATTAGTCAACGACGCTCCTCGCGCAGCCACCATCACCCTCAGGGATGACAATTCCCAGTTCCTGAGGGTCGACAAAGAGAACTTCAACAGGTGAGACCTTAGCCTTTTCGAGAGCTACCTATAGCGATGTTAACCACCTGACCCGTTTAATATCAATTCTGAAGACCTTTTTCAGACTTTAGATGTTTTTGATATCTAATCGTTTTTTGTTTTTAAATTTGATTGTAATATTACTGTAGCAAATTCAAACAGCTGTCTCGAACAAAAAACCCGAAAACAATGTTATTGTAATCTTTGCAGAATCCTCCGTGATGTCGAGGCCAATACAGTACGCTTAAAGGAGCACGGCCAAGACGTATTGGTTTTGGAGAGAATTAACTTAAAGTTCGACGAGACACAACCCGTAAACAAAAATCAATGTTGGTAAGTCGATAGCGAAGCGTTTGTATCTAATTTTGTTGCGTTCGTACTTAAATGCGTTTTAAATTTCCTACCATAATATACTATAACTAAATTAAATATTCAAAATAAGCTTAAGTTCATACATAATAGTAGGGTGAACCGAAAAGAATGCAACACTTTGAATCGTATAACTTGTCCTCTTATTTTGAAAAACCAGCGACATTTTTTTTTGTTGTAGCCAGTTCTGTAGAGTTTTTTTATGGAGAATCGCATGGTAAAAGTAAGTTTTAAAATTGAGTTTGTCAAACTTTGCCGCAGAGTTTTTAAAAGATGCTACGATGTTCGATTTTTGCTGCTACATTATTAGAAGACCAAGTCAGCCCAAAACGCTGCCAAAACGAAATGCGAATTTGAAGGAGAATATGTTGTGAGTAAAAAATGTACTTCAGCCAGATGGTTTGCCAAATTTGGTGCCGGTGCTGTCAGCCTGGAGATCCAACCTATACCTATTGAGCCGAGGCCGTGGTACAAGAAAGGAACCGAAGATTTGACAGAAAGTTGGACCAAAGCAATCAATTCTAATGGGCTATATTTTGAACCGTAGACAAAAATAATTGTTTTAAATTTTAGCTGAAAAGTACATTTTAGACGTAGCATTCTTTTCGGTTCACCCTAATAAATAAACAAGTTAACTATATATGTGTAAAACCTTAAATTGGCAATATTTCAGCTACTCGGTAATGGCTGGGCTACCCGAGAAGATGATCGAGTACGTACTGGAAACACGAATCGATGCTCTCACAAGTAATGGAACTCTAGACACATTCCTCGAAGACTTTATCCTCACACATATTATCTTTATGCCGTCCAACATTCTCTGCAACTACCTCAAGAACTACTATGCTACGAGAGGTGACATTGTAAGTAACAATATCATTTTGACATTGAAAAACTATATTAATATTATTTTCTTCTTAAAACTACTTATTGTCATTTTAGACAACAGCAAATGGCACCAGCTCGATAGGGTCAAACGAGATAATCAACGAGAAGTTAACGGCCAAACGACGAGTAATAACATTCATCACAATATGGGAGTTTGTGCTCGGAATACACTTTTTTCTAGACCCCGTAGCCAACAGTTTTGTGGAAGTAAGTTGGCTGACTACCTACACCTTTTGCAATTCTACCAAATTAAAAATTATCTTCGAAAAGTAGTATAATATAAAATCAAAACCTTTAGGAAATGTACTGTAGTGTGATAGAAGACGCGAATCTGCTACCAAACATGGAATCGATCGTGCATCAAATCAGTAGGATCAGAAGAGCGCGGGAGAACGTAATGATAATTCTGTCACGTCACCCAACCTGTGTCCTAGATTGTGGAGTCTACAGTTCAGATGCCCCTGCTCCAAACCCGATTCTGCCGATAGATGTCTGTAACCAGTGTATCTACTTCTCCGACGCCACGATGATAACATTGTCAGTTAGGATGAACAAATCTGCCTCTGACATTGTCAAATTGACTCGTGGCAAAGTACACTTCGACCACGACGACCTGTATCTGGTTGAAGTCAAGTCCAACGGAGAGAGAGTTGTGTATTCACCAGCAGAAATCAGCGTGACAAGCATGATATCACTCAACGGAAGATTGTACGTGGTTACCAAGGAAGAAATAAACAGTCTGGTAAGCTTAGAACACAGATAATATTACCTTCCAGGTTGATAGGATACCATATTTGCATACTAAACCTTAAACCACTTATTCAGACATCCATGCCCAACCAAGCTGGCCCTACAGAACCCCCAAACCCAACAGTATTGGAGATGTACAGCAGCTCGGACTTGGCCCACCAGTTGATGACCTTCCACGGCCAACTCTTCGAAGCCACAGACGAGATCGAGTTGATATTCCAAGTGATCGGCCGAAACAAGTTCTCGGGACGATCACCCACAAATCTTGACATCCTACTACGTCGCTTTAACGAAATTCAGTTTTGGACCACGACTGAAGTGCTTTTAAGTCCAACGACAACAAAAAGAGTCGCCAATCTCAGGAAACTAATCAAAACTGCCGTATAGTAAGTTCCCTGACAAGGATAATATATTTAAAAACGTCTATTTTAATACCTTCATACTTATAAATGTGTACTCTATACTGTTTTAGTGCCAAAACCAACAAAGATCTCATGTCATTGTTTGCAATTACTCTCGGCTTGAGCAATATCGCTGTAAGTAGACTAGTACAACTTTGGGACAAACTACCCAGTAAACTGAGACGACAGTACGCTGAATTTGAAGCCCTACTAGACCCCTCCAGGAATCACAGAGCCTACAGATTACTCGTAGCCAAGATGGAACCCCCAGTTATACCATTTGTACCATTACTACTCAAAGATCTCACTTTCATGCACGAAGGCAACAAGACCTACTTTGGAGCATTAGTCAACTTTGAGAAGATGCACATGATCGCGAACGTGCTCAGAAACTTCAAAGGATGCAAATCCAGAGGACCTATCGTAGCAGAATCTCAAAAGAAAGTCATCAACAATCTAATTAGGTAACATAGCCTACTATAACATGTTACTCTTAATTTTACATCAATCTAAAGATTGCAAAGTTTTAAAAAGCGACTATTTTAAATAACAACAATAAGTGAATAAGAGTTCAATTTCAGGAACATGAGAGTTATCGACAATCAGAAGCGCCTTATGGAAATTTCATATCAAATAGAGCCTCCGAATAGAAGCAATAGACCTTAATCCCTTTCACTGATCATCCTATAAGCTTAAAGTACCTTAGGCCATGAAAAAGTATTTATAAAGTGCCAGTCTCGCCAAATAGTTCCGAATCCGAAACTAGCTCGCGATTCAATGTTGTTATTACCGGTTTGATAGAATTATATTTGTTCCAATAAATTTTTAATAATTCTGGGGTCTAATTACTACAAAAACAACAAAATAATACAGAAAAATTACTTGTGAATACATAAAAAAAGAAAAGTAAGAAATAGCAAAAACAATTTACTGAAAAACAGAATTTTGTCGAGCAAAGAAAGGACACGTTTCACCGTATAACTTGTCTTTTATTAAAATGTTTTGCAAATTTTATAAAATTCCTGACTCAAGGTTTGTACAATTGTTATACGTCGCGAAATGTGCAAAGGAAATGAGTACTCTTCCTCATCGAATTGATGGATCTAACCTTATCTTATCAGAGTTTTGTTGTTATATTGCTCGAAATGAGCCCGTGATAATATCGAACGCCATTGAAGGCTGGAAAGCTTTCGAATGCTGGGTGAAACCGGATGGAAATCCAAACTGGAGATCTTTGAAGAAGGTTTTTGGTGAGGGAAAGTTCGCTTTATCTTTAATTTTGTAGGTAATGTGCAGGTCCCAGTCACACGAGACGGAAAATGTGACCAAACTAAAGTAAACTTCGACGAGTTTATTGGTAATCTATCTTCTGATGCAAATTGTCCTTTTTACTTGAAAGATTGGCACTTTGTAAGTTGTCTTTTGTTTTTATTACGCTTTTAGTGTCAATGCTCGCATGAAAAATGGTATCATATTCCCGACTTTCTGAAGTTGGACTGGGTCAATAACGTCAAAAAAGTTGAAGATGAAGACGTTTTCAGAGGAGACTACAGATTTTGCTACATTGGAGGCAGTGGCACGTGGTTAGTTATCAATATTACAAAATCCATCCAGTTATTAGGTTTTCTACCTTAAGTACACATAGTATATTAATATTGTTACGAAATCAGGTATCTTATAATAATTGGTTGTTTTAGGACCGGCCTTCATTCAGACGTCATGAACTCCTACAGTTGGTCAGCCAATATATGCGGGCGTAAAAGATGGATTATGTTGCCGAAAGCTGTGACTAAAATAGGTAATAATTTGTTAGAAGAGATCGAAGATATTAGGAAGGAAGATTGGAAGTCTGTCGGAGGAATAGAATTTGAACAAATTAGAGGAGAAATAGTGTTTGTCCCTTTTGGATGGTATCATCAAGTTCACAACGAGGGAGTGACTATTTCTATCAACCACAACTGGTGCAATCATTTCAATGTTAAGTTTGTGATAGAATTGATGTTCCAGAGACTAAAGGATGTGATAAAAGAAGTTAAGTTGATGGGGAAAGACGCAGACGAACCTTTCGAGATGGCAGAGGTACTAATTTAAACGTTCTTTTTGATATACAATTAATAACGACACGCATTTTAATATCATATTCTAAAAGAAGCATGATAATTACACGTTATGTAGATAGTGTTAGTTGTAAAACGTTTTTACATGTTTTCAGAAACTGCTGCGTGACGACTACGGGTTGAATTTGCGAAATGCTCACAAACTCCTGGATATTATGTTAGGTTCCTCTGCCGAAGAACTCCACCTAGATAATGATCTCGAGATCCTAACGGAACATAAGTTAATATGCAGATCTTTGTTATACCAGGTTGTTGATCAGGAAACTGAGTTGGGAAACCTTTTGAAATGAATAAATTGTTAGTTTTAAGTCGGCGTCTGAGGTCCTACGGGCTTTCCCTGCACTTATTTCAAGTTTTATCAGTGGCGGATCGGGGTGAAAAATTCGATTCCTCGAGACTCTCGACCTACTTTTTCAGAACAAATGACCTAATTGCTTCCGGAAGATTGAAGAATTGGCTGGACGTGAAATATGGCAACCACCACGAGAAGTGAAAGTGGTGAGTTCGTATATTCCCCTGCCTGACATGTTCGTATCTTCCCCTACCGGAGCGTTCCCTTTTTTGTAAACAAGCAAATGGGACGTCGCCCCGGTTTCGGCTCGTGTTTTTAATGTTTTTTTTTGCTTAGAACTCTCGGAGACCGACGTTGACGAGCTCACTGCTTTGGTCCCACGTTCAAGTCGGGGTGGAGTAAGTTTCTGAGGTTTGGTGCTTTTATTGAATATTATAAAATAGATTTTTATTGTGATGACTGCGTTAGTGGATTGCAATAATTTACTTCTAGAAAATGACTGCGCACAGAGATAACGAATGCTCAGAAGGACAGGAGCATGAGTCAAATATTATGGACGAAGTGGCGCTTTTGGAAAAGTGTAAGTTTTTGTTTGTAATGTAAATTTGAATTTGGGTTTTTAAAAAAGTGTTAACGCTGTAAAAGACGTCTATTTATTATTTTATTAAGGATATTTTCAGGTCGGCTAAATTACAACCACATCGGTGAAGACTATGTGAACTTGGTGTTTACTGCATTACGAAATATTGATCTGAATCAGCCTACGCTGATCAGCGGAGGGTCATCGGGATCGTATTTTATTCACAATGCTGAAAGTGTAAGTTAATTTTTTTGAAACTGCTTTTGAATAATCGAATTGAAAACAAACGTATTGTTTACATTCGTTTTATGGTGTTTGTTTGTCTTTAAATTAAACTTATTACAACAATTTCAGAAAATAGTCGGAGTCTTTAAACCTCAAGATGAAGAACCATACGGTATCAACAATCCGAAATGGGGCAAATGGCTACAGAAGGTACTATTGCCGTGCTCGTTTGGTCGAGGCTGTTTAGTACCTAATCAGGGTTTCTTGTCAGAAGCGGCAGCCTTTTTGGTCGATAAATACTTTGATATGGGAATTGTGCCAGAAACAGCAGTGGTCGGAATGGCATCGAAAGTGTTTCACTACAACAGATTCCAACGCTACGAGGCCAGAGCCAGGAAAAGAGCTGCTCAACAGTTTCCAAATCTTGGCAATAGATTCAACTGGTCTCAGGTTTATAAGCCTAAGGTAATTTATAGCTATGTTCTTTTTCCTTATTTATGGCAAATCGGTCGTTTATCTATATAAGCTTGTATTTTAGTATAAGTCAATAATTGCATATTTTCTTTTCAGTACGGAAGTTTCCAGCGATTTGTAAATGGCTACATGAGTAGCGAAGACTTTCTCAGAACTTTGAATCTGGATAAGTTTTCTGAAGAAGAAAAGAAGGATCTCACTGTACAGCTACATCTTCTCTTTGCTCTCGATTACATGACGCGGAACACAGGTATGATACACTTAAATGAAGCTGTGTGTTAGTTTGCAAATTATAAGCTGTTAGTCACGTCGAAAGTTGTTTTAAGCCCGTTACTTTGTAGATTATTTATTCTTATACAAGTCTTCTATTTATAATTTTAGATAGGAAAAATGCAAATTTCTTGGTGAAAGTAAATGAAGTTGATGTCGAAGAAGAACAAACGACTGCACCTGATACCCAACCCCAAAGTCTTGTGCAACCAGCAGCACAGATCATCAACATTACTCAGGATGACGCTGCGGTGAAGGAGACTGAACACGATGTTGTACCGCCTGCCAGTATATCTGTCCCTAGTTATCCACCAAAGCCGAGCAAAAGAAGAAGTTTCCACATTGCTGCTATTGATAATGGCCTGGCCTTTCCTTTCAAACATCCTGGGGAGATACGATCATGTAGGTTTACTTGACCACTTTTCTATTCGTTATCCTTTTTTGACATACTGAGAAGTTGTAAAAATATGTTGATATTAGTGTGATGTGACTTATGGTAAGTTTTAGATCCGTTCTGTTGGTCGATATACTTCCGCCACTTTGCTACACAGCCTTTTGCCGACGAAGTGAAACAAAAGTTGTTGCCGTTGTTGGAAGATGTCCGGAAAGTTAAAGAGTTGTGCGACATTTTGAGGGCTGAGTTTATGGTAAGTAATCAGCGTTAGTGCTGTTGAAGGATTTAAACTGTTTTTTTTTATTTTAAAATTACAGAAAGACAAGCGATACCGTAAGAAGAAGACGATAGAAGCTCAACTGTCAGTGTTCCGTGGTCAGTTGTTAAACTTACTTGATGCATTGAAGAGCAACAAAACTCCAGCCGAATTGGAATTGGTGAGTTTATTTCTATATTTGCAGAAAATCATATCTTATAAGCTAAACCATTAGTTATATTTATTGTTAAGTTTATTTGGGTTACCTTGTTTTTACAGAGTCGACCGGTGTATTTGAAAGAGCTTGGTCGCAAAAAGCGACGAGTCAGGGCTCAAACCTCGAGATCAAGCATCTCCAGCATCGAGGACACGTTCGTGAATGTGGTAGTAGACGGACAACGTGATATTATGGAGCCTGAGACCGAGGGAAACACTCGACTCAGCCATCCGTGGAAAGATATGTACGTTCTCAAGGTTCACACTCAGAACCCCTACTTCTCGTGTTGTTGATCGGGTCCTACCTTATCATGATTTTCACTTTTTTCTCTTATTCTTGTCATATAGCTAAAGTTCTATGCACTTTTTGACCAATATGACACTCTTTTATAGCTTTCATTTTGTCATACTTGTCATGAGGGTGAGCTCGTACGCACATCATATCCATTTATGTTAATATGTTGTTATAGTCTACGATTCCAGAGTCTATTTATTTTGTCTTTCGCTTAATTTTATATTGTTCTTTTCGTGTCGTGATATATCAGCGATAAACTATTGTGGAAATAAACAAAAACATCAGAGGCCAAACTGTCAACTAACATATTACGATTTATTCTAATACTTAAAATAATACTGAGATAGAAAAGTATACGTGGAAAGCAGTGTTGGACAGTATACACTCGGATTAGAAGAGCACAAACACCAATGTTACAGCGCGCGGTTACAATACTCAAATTCTGGCTGAAATCAATAAAAGTTTAGGCGGCTGGAATTAAAGCCCACGTGTATGCGATAGTTGAGGCAGTGTGTCGTCCAAGGAAGTCCGTGGCTCGTGACGTTCCTGATCGAAGCCATGCTCGCGAGCTAGCGAAGACGAACTCTCATCGTGTGCGGAGGTAAGCAGTTGGGAGCGGGTCGGTGTCGACGCTCCGCGCGGCGGAGTCAACGGATTCGAAGCGAATGTGGATCGTATATATCTAAACAAGGGAGATGAAGAACGTATTTTATAAGCAACATATGTCTTTAAAGATATCTTACCTAGTACTATCAATATTCTCGACGGGTGGGTAAGTAGGTCCAACGGAGCTGAAGCCGTTAACGCCAACTCGAGTGTGGACGGTGGGGAGGCCGAAGTAGTTTCCTCCGAATCTGCCCATGTCACCAACCATTTGACGGTCAGTCAAGTCACGTCGGCGACGTCGTTCGTTCTCGAGTTGATCACGAAGACTCTGAATCTGAGCTTCGAGTTGTTGAATTCTCTGACGTGCCGTTCTGTCACGGCTCTCGATCAGTCGTTCGATCTGTTGTTTCTCTGTTTTGATCTTGATGGCCTGTCGCTCTTGTTCCTCACGCGACTTCTTAGTCAACTCGATGATGCGAGCTCCGTTGTCCATCTCGAGTTGGGCGATTTGTTGTTGTAGTTGGGCACAATTCTTGTACAATTCACGGTTCTCGCGTTCCATGGCATTCAAAGACTTTTCGATGGCTTCACGTTGAAGGGCAGTTTCTCTAATGGCAGCATCAGTACGGCGTTTTTCGCCTTCCAGCTGAAGCAAACCAATAAGAAACGGTTGTGATGAGGCATATTTAAGTGTTATACAGAAAAGTATTAGGGTTAGTTTGGTTTCTAATCGACTTTCAATTAATGTAAGAACTCACGTGTTCAATCTTCTTGATCAACGCCTGTTTCTCTCGTTTCCAAGAATCTTGTACTCGGATGAGAGATGTTCGTTCGGACTCAAGTTGTGACAACCTAGTCTTGACTTCCTCGAATTCCTTTGTAACCGACTTCTTTTCCGTTTTCAGAAGTTCGAACTGTTGTTTTAGGTCTGTCTCAGTTACACGTTGTGTAGCCAAGGTCTGAAAGTTTGAAGAATAAATAAAGGTACAGCTTGCTTTAAGGATAGTGTATCACGGTGATTAACGAGTTAACACTAAGAATGGACAATATAAATTACTACTGTAAAACATACCTTCTCCATATCAATCAATCTGTTCTCGGCTCTGTTCTTCTCGAGATTGGCATCTTGTAGTTGACGTTGGAGATCTCCGATTCTTCCGTTGAAGTCCAGATTCCTCTGTTTGTAATCTCGCAGTTCAGACCGTGAACTGACTAGCTCCGTCTCCAGGCTCTGTCTCTTGTTGTTGGCATCGTTGAGTTCACTGTGAAGTCGTGTTAGTTGATCTCTCAGTGTCTGAACGTCAGCACTATTTCTGTAGTACTGATCCAAAGACTTCTTAAGGTCGGCTTCTGTAGCCTCTGCCTTCAGAAGATCCCTACGGAGTTTCTCGGTGTCGTCACGCAGATCAGAGTTCTTGATCTCGCTTAACTTGAGTTGTCCTTCGAGTTCCTTTACACGTTCCGTGAGGTTCTGCTTCTCAGATTCGTAGTTGGTGATTCTGATTGACAACTTCTGAAGTTCGCTTTCATGGTCACGAAGTTTGCTTTCCAGTTGATAACGACCGGATTCGAGAGATTCGTCTTTGTCACGAAGGGATCTCAACTCTTCGTGAGCGTTGGTAAGGTCAGTTCTGAGGTTGTGGAGTTGCTCGTTCATGTGTCTGATCTGAGCTTCTTTGCCTCGGGCTTGGAGTTCGGAAGCGGTCAGCTTGGACTTGATTTGACGACGTTCTTCGTCTCGCTGCTTGATAGCTTCTTCCTGTGATCTGATGAGTTGTTTGGCTTGAGCTAGGTGCACTTCCAAGGTCCTCTTGTCATCCTCGACCTCGGTCAGGTTCTCTTCGATGGTTTTGTAGTGGGTTTCACGCTTATTTATCGTAGTGTGGGCTTGGTTCGTCTTTTGCTTGAGACGATTGAGCTCTTCACGATATTCGTCCTAAAAAAGTTTCGGCATTATAATGAACATTTTTAATCTTTAATTTTTAGTTTTAAGTAAATAATATTGTACTTACGCGTTCTCTTTGCAACTTGTCGATACGAGATACAAAGTTTTGCAAAGTGCTGTCGATGGTGGCGATGTTGATGGTTGTCCCTCCACCGATCCCGCCATGTGCTCCAGACGGATCGCCGCCATCTCCATCGACACCTCCAGGTCCTGATGGCAATGGCGTAGACTTGAACATGACGTCATCAGTCAAGTCTCCGCTTGGGTCAACGTTAGAACCATCTGTAGTCGCGACGTTGGTACCATAGGCGCCGCCGGCAGCACCAGAAGCACCTCCACCAATTCCAGAGTCTACTGGGATTCCAGTTATGTCCTAAAATATATAAGGTCATTCATGCAATTTTATGACACATCAATGTTATAGTAAAAGATAAATCACAAAAACATCTTTAAAGGACCAGTTCGCTCATTCAAATATCATTGGCATTCTGTCGCAAAAATTCGTCGTTATTTTTTTCGCAAAAAACCTGAGCAGGTCGGTCCCAAATTGGAAAATTCATTTTGACACCGACCCACTCACGTTTTTTGAGAAAAATGATTTTGATTGAAATTGCCTGATTTTCGACGCTTTTTGCGACAGAATGCCAATGATATTTGAATGGGCGAACTGGTCCTTTAAGTAAATACTTACACCATCCAGAATGTTGGTGAATCTGTTGATGTTGATGACACGGCTGATGCTGTTCTGGAACCTTCTCAAACTCTCCCTCAGGGCATCTCTCTCATTATCGGCCTTAACGTACTCTTGTTGGAGGTACACCAAGCGCTGGTCAGTACTGTCCAGGCGAGATTGTAGATCACTCAACTCGTACTTTCGTGTCTCCAGTTCTTGAATCGCGTTAACTCTGGCATCTTCAGCTTGTCGATGGGCGTTAGTCCAGTCTTCGATAGCTGTCTGGTACTCATCAGTCTTTCGTCGCATCTGTTCTTCTCCAAAAGCCAGTTCTTGTTGTAGACGAGTGATTTCAGTACGAAGACTGTTCCTTTCGTTATCAGACGCAATCAGTTTAGATGAAGTATCTTGAAGTTCGTTGCGAAGCTTGTTCATCTTGTTCTCGAACTGAGATGATAGCTGTTGAAGATGATCCAGCTGTTTCGTCTTTTCACGGAGTATGTTCTGGAGACGGATGTGCTCGTTCTTCAGATGATCCGTACTGTTCCGTGACTCCTTCAGGATGGTCTCCAATTCCTTGTTGCGACGACTAATCTTCTCGTTCTCCTTCTGCAGGTCATCTCTGATAATGACGACGTTAGAGTATTCCCTGTTAATATCTCCAAATTCTCCTCGAGTTCTGTTGTTTTCAGCCTGAAGAGCGGCCAATTGGTCTTCGATTTGGCGGATTCTTGCTTGGGATGAGTCGAGCTCCACTTCTTTAGCATGAGCATTCGATTTGGCATCTGTGAGCTCTTCTTCGAGCTTTCTGATCTGCGAGGTCAAGTCTCTGATCTTGGAGACGTGATCGTTGACGGTTTTGTTCAAAATCTCGGACCGTTCAGTAGCCGCAGCCAACTGGGTCTTCAAACCAGCCAAAGTAGTCTCCAACGACTTGACCTCGGACCTGGCAGAATAGGCGTCAGTCTTCCACGTTTGAACTTCTTTTTCTGTTTCAGTTCGAATGTCCTCGATGTCATCCTTCAGTTTCTGGTTATTAGTGGCTAGTGTAGTGAGTTTCTCATCGTATTCACGACGTTCACGGTCGTACTCATTCTGTTGGTTTAGAAGATCTGCTTTTTCTTGTTCGAGTTTGTTGATCTTGTCCAAAAGCTCGGATTCGCTCTTTCGGCTGACATCAATGTTCTGAAAAATTATTTTGAAAAATGGTTTAAATTATGTTGTGATTATATTTTATTTTTATTCGAAAAATACGAATTCTGATCACTTACTTTGTGATAGACCTCCTTCTCCTCCTCGAGTTCGTTCTGATGCTTATCATTGATTTTTTGTATCTCAGCCTTAAGTCGGTCGATCTCATTCTGAAGCTTTCTTTGCTGGTCTACAAAGTCGTTCTTCTCTCGTTCTTCTCCACGATTGAATTGAGCGATCTGATCCTCCAACTCTCTGATTCTAGCCTCCAGAGAATCTTTCTCGTTTTCGATCTTCTCCACCTCGATCTTCCACTTGTCATTAATGTCCTTGATCCTGCTTTCTACAATCTCAGGATCTAAGTACGATGGATCTCCAAGTCCGCCGTATTTAGTAATGTAAGTGTTGTCAACATTGGTAGTAGTTGTACCACCACCTCCGCCACCACTCGGGTCATCAGTAGACCTTCCGCCTCTACCTCCACCGGTCAGCATTTCATCAGTAAGGTCACCAGGATCTCCAACAACCGTTTGACCACCTCCAGTGGTCGAAGAATCAACACTGGTACCACCGAAGTCTGTGGATTTGGTCGATTGGCGGTTTCTCTGCCAGTTCTTCAGCCTGTCCTTGTAGTCCTTCTCCAGGCGAGCTAATTTATCTAAAAATTAAATTTAAAGTACTAGTGTTATAAACTACACAATATTCAATACCTCTTACAAAAGTAACTTTGCGACAAAAATTTGACAAAAACGTACTTTCGAGTTCCTTGATCTTCTGACGAGCATCTTGCAGATCTAATTGTAAGTTGTTGGCCCGCTTCATTTGCTGTGCCATACCTTCTTGAGCTCTCGCTTCCTTCTTGGCCAACTCATCGTTTTCTTTCTTCAACTTCTCGATCTCTGTTTCCAATTTTCGGATTCTGTCTTTGAAGGTTTCCAAGTCTTGTTCTTGTTTGTGTTTGGCACTGTAATAGATAGTTGTAGTACCAGTTACTCCATACTTTTTGAAAAATCACTTATTGAAAAATAGGTTGTGTGTAACAGAAACTAAAGTAACGTGAAAGAACTTACTCCAAGATCTCTTGTTTTTCCTTCTGTAGCCGTTGATTCAGTTCATTTAACGTGGTGATTTCCTTAATCTTGGTCTGGACATCATTCTCGATAACTCCCTGCTTGGATTGGGAAGTCTTGAGTTGCGTGTCAAGATCATCATTGTGTCTTCTCAGAATGACGATCTGGTTCTCGTAATCTCCAACTTGACTCTTGAGCTTGTCGATCTCATCAGTCATTGATTGGACATTCTGTTCAACGTTTGTGCCTTTGGTCTTTTCGGTTTCCATGGTATGTTTAATGTCAAAGAGTTGGCGAGACAGTTCATCACGTTGTTTACTGCAAATATATATTTATGCCAAAATAATTTGCTTAAATGATTTGTTACCTGAATATTGATATCATTACCCTAAATTAATATAAATTTACCTGATCTCGTCTCGTTGCTGTTTCAACTCTTTGTTTTGTTGTTCAAGAACGCTGATCTTCTTGATCAGCAGCTCATTATCATTGGAGAACTTCTCGATTTCACTTCTCGACAAGTCATATTGGTTTCTGAGGTTGTCAATGTCCTTGATAACCTTTACCTTTTGTTCTTCTGTGTATTTTAGTTGTGAGTCTAAAATTCACAATATTTGTGTCGTAAGAAATGTCTAGATATCCGAAAAGTATCGCTCTTTCCCTAGTAAACAAAAATCTGTCAAATTTAGAATTCCTTTAAAAGTCGATAAGAAGTTAAGAAGTGTGGCGTTTCGTCAAACTCGATAAATTTGTGAAATATCGTTGTAAAAACTAATAATTTTTTGAAATTTCATGTTTTGTTTTTCCAAAAAGGAAGCTTTCTACGATAATGTTACCTTTCTCTTCGAGTCGACGCAACAGAGAGTTGTACTCGTTCTCCAAGTCTCTGTACTTGTCTTTGATTGGACTGATCTCGGCTTTGAGACGAGTGTTGTCCTTCATCAAGGAGTCGATTCGACTGGTAAGTTCTGCTATTCTGTTTTTGTAGTCTTGTTCCATGTTTGATGCAAACTCTTCGGCTTCTTCGCGAGCCTTGCGTGCATCGTCTGTGGTATTCTTTTGGAAGATTCTGAATTTAAGTAAATAGTTAAACTTTTAAAACTACGAAGGAGGTCAAAAATAGAACAAGAATATAAATGATGTAGCCAAAGACATTTTAGTTTTTTAGTAAGGAATTTTTTGTGTTGCACTTACTGTTGAAGTCGTTTCAACTCATCCTCCAGATAGGCTCTAGCTTTTTCGGCCGCATTCTTTTCGACTTCTACAGCTCTCACACGGTCTTCAAATCGCCTTTTTTGTCTTTCAGAGTTGTCAAGATGCTTTTGGAGATTGGTGACATCTCTCTTTGCATCAGCCAGGTACTTGTCAAGGCGTCTGCGAGCTTCATCTGCCGTTTCGAACTTGGTAACGAATTCGTTTGCTTGCTTTTCGGCCGCTTTTACCTTTTGTTCAAGTCTTTGTAGCTCATTGTCTTTCTCTCTGAGGATGTTTCTAACGGCTCTGATGGCTTCAGCTGGTTGAACGACGGTGTCTGCTGGTGAGAGTGATCTAGCTCTCTTGGTACTTTCAGAGTTGCGATCACTGTTTATGGCGATCCCGTGGATCTTCTTGATGGCTCCCTGAGCTTCGTTAAGTCGATCACGAGTACGTCGAAGTTCAGATTCTAAGTCACTGACCTTTCTGACGTTGGCATCGCCTTTTGACTCTATTTCGATGTTTCTCTCAATGGCTTCTTCGTACTTCTTCATCAACTCATTGTAGAGTTCGGTGTTGTCGTCTTTGTTCTCGACTCCTTTGCGAAGTCTGGCCAGTAAGTCTAGGTCGGCTATGTACGGTGAAGTACCACCTCTGTTGTTTACTCGTCTAATAGTCTCTTGGATGACAGAGTCTAAGTTGTAAGTGGTTCCACCAAGGCCATCACCTCCGCCAAGGTGGAAGCTTGAGGTCAATGCTTCTGGGCCTCCTACGCCTCGGGAGAAGTTCTGAATGTTCTTAAAGATCTTTGTGAACTCTCGTTTTTGGTTTTCCAAGTCTTCTTCCGTCTGATGTTTTAGTTGACTGAACTGTTTGCGGACTCTTTGGAGTTCGGTCCAAAGGTCGAGCATCTTCTTTTGCTCATCGCTGAGATACTGTGCGAGATTCTGAAGTAATTGAAATTTAGATGGTAGCAATTTAAAGGGAAATGTTTTTGAGAAAAAAAACTTAATTAAGGCTTACTCTTTCCCTATTGCTATATCTGCGTTCTTTTTCCTTGGCATCTCTCTCGTATTCCCTGCGGATTCTCTCGATCTCTACTTGTAGTTGTTCGTTGTTTTGTCTTTCATTCTCTAGCTGCATCCTAAAGTCATCAGCACGTCTTCGTTCTTCGTCCAGTTTGATGACAATATCAAAGTTTTGATTACTGTCACCGGCGATTCGACCTCCGCCAAAGCCTCCGCCGGCTCCGCCAGCCCAAACGTCAGTGCTGATGTTGACATTGGGAGCGATACCACCGGCTCCATACGCGTCTAAGTAGCTTCCTTTTCCGAGTGGGAAGAAGGTGGTATCATCACTGGTACTGATAGGCTTGTTTGTGATTTTACTCTCCAATTTGGCTATGTGTTTTCGGTATTCTTGGAGCTGTAATAATAATAAGTTTATTAACATTGCGTGTCACAATTCATTGGGCATAATTAATTACAGTAATACTTACTTTTTGATGCATAGCATTCATAATCTCGGAATATTCACGTTGATGCTCTACGTTGGCGTCGATCCTTTGTTTGTACTTGTGCAGATCTTCTTGTGTTCGCCCTAATCTGGCATTGCTGCGATTGTCTTCGTAGTCGTACAGATCGCTGTCGAAGGTGTCGGATGCGTAGTTCGTGTCTCCAACAGGATCCCTGAACAATTGTTAAATTGTTTAACATGTGTCTTTCAAAGGTGATACAGAATCTTTTACTAATGATAAAATAATCAAATTAGAAACGTACCAAAAGAAATCATTCATAGACGGGCTGTCAGGGGTTCTATGGGTAGTATCGGTTGTGGTCAGGTTGGTGTTTATGACCGTGCTACCAGTGGTATGTTCAGTTGTCGGATCATCCATGATCCCAGCTAAAAAGAAAGGGTCATTCGTTTGTTTACTTTTGTTGTTAAGAACACAAGTTTCACGTCAAAAAAAAACAAAAAATCGCACCTATCAGTCTAGCTTCGCGAAGATCTTGATTAAGGTTACTGTAAGGGTTGAGAAGTGTTTCAAAGGTTTGACTTCGATCCAAGGGTTTGATTAACGCTCCCGATCCAAGGATTTGCCAATGACCCGGTTCTAACGGCCGTTGGACTACGCTCGCGGATCGCGGGTCTACAACGAAAAGACGGTATCAGAGGATTCAGAATACAAACGAACAGCACCCTTCTACTCACATGTTTCAGTCCACTGCGGTGAATCGGCTCTAGGGAAAAGGACAGTGGGTGACAGAGAATGAGGTCTGGGTGAAGAATGGGATGTGGTTCGACAAGAATCGTCTGTAAACGAACGTGGAGTTGGGGAGATATAGAAACAGCCTTTATGGTCACAGTAGCGGCACGGCTTTTTATTCCTGTGTCGCTTATTTCGTTGCTGGCAGTGTGGGCAACGAGAGTCAGCTAGTCCACCAAAAAGCATTCAACGGTCACCATTCTCGAGGAAAAGACAATGCCCGCTCTGCAAGGATTTAAAACGCCCTTAGTATCGGGTTTCAAACTGATCCCAAAAAATCTCGGCATGCACTAAAACCGCGACAACTTATCGTCTCTTATATTATCAACCCTCTCCGTGTGTAACAAACTCGTCAAAACTGTCACCCAAACAAAACACGACGAGAAAAACAAAAACAACGGCAAAGGGCTAAACCGAAATAAATTAATTGCTCGGTGCAGACCAGGTTCTGCTGATAGTGCCACAGGGTTGGAGACCAAAATAGGCCGAAGGTCGTTTTACTTCGCCTTCCCTCGGCCGTGCCATGAATGGGAACAGAGAAGAAAACAACTTTGTTTACGGCACAGAAGGGCCATGGTGAAGAGCTTTTAAAGTCATAGAATTGTTGAGACCGTGTTCGGGGTTTGGTAATTGAAAAGTCGGTAGCATGAGAGAAACCCGGAAAGAGAAAGACAAAAATGGCCAGAAGGCCACTGTTTCAGACTTCTTGATTGCATGGAGATTAAGTATTTCGGGATGCGGGGAAAAGGCCCGCACTAGAACCGCGCCTCTAATCGCGCTCCAAAAGGCATACTGCAGAGCAAGACCTTACTCATTCTCGGCCGAAATAGACCTAAATATTGAGCGGGTTTCAAAAAAATGTTGGATTTTGAGTTCTGAATCCTAAATGAATGGACCGGCAAGGAACGAGAGCGTATTTTTGGAAATTGTTGTGCGAGAGTCGGGCACTAATCCGCGGCCGCACTTTTCACGTGTCTGCAATACCTTCTTCGTGCCGTCGTCATGACTACTTCTTGGCATCCGAAAGAAGCGTAAATAGAAATTGTTACATAAATAAACAACAAATAGATTTCGGGCGGTAGTGGCCAGCGGGAAGCGAGAATGAGGCGCGGGCCAAGTCCAAAAAGGGCACTGAGATTATATCCCGGATAATGTTCGGCCTTACTGCTATGTGGGCATCAAACTAGGGCTCGTCAAAGGCATGTCCTTCACATGAAACTTTGTGACAGTCGGGTATGGAAAATAAAAGATTGGGGGAATAATCTAAGCAAACATAATGTGTATGTCCTAGCGTTGCGCAAAATTTGATTTCGAAGTGGTGGAAGTTGATATGGGTCCAAAACGAAAATAAAGTATGTTTGTGCAGACTTGATATTGTTTTCCCCGAGACTAAAACAACAATTTCCTCTTTTAGAAGGGAGGGTGTTGTTTTCTACCTGAGTGAATGACTGGCTTCACCGTCATGAAGTACCCCTGCGCGGGTCGCTTTTCCGTACCGGCAGCGTGTGTCGGCTCTTTTTTTAAGTTGTGTTTGTACGTCGTTTTTTGGAGTCGCGCGCCAACTTTTATATAGTAGAACGAACTTTACAGAGTAAAGAGGCGAGGGTCAATTAAAAAACATAAGAACAACCAGAGTGAGTCATCATGAACAATGTAAATAACGAAATAACTTAGTACAAGTAATAACAAGTCATCACTATATAAAGTTGTTGTCGCTTTGACGCCAAAAATAAACAACTGGACATTCCCGGTGGAGACAACTCTGCAGCGACCGTAGTCTCACGTAAAAAACATCTGTGGAGCGTTGAGGTCGCCTTTATAACGACGTTGTTTTTTGTTTTTGAAATGTCGGTAAACAGACGACGGGTTCAGCCGATTTCCATAAACAAGTGTTTATTTTAAAAATGGAGGAACAGATCTGATTAACTCATTTTGAGGCCATTACTCTTTAATTACGCCGCTAATTCGCTCATAAACATACTCTGTAGCAGTTGCACGATGCTCTTCTGCATTTTCAGTATCTCAACGTTTATTTTCGATATAAAAGGACGAAGCTGAACGGTTGAAAGATCACATATGATTAAAAAGTGTCTGTTGTTCATTATGTTTGTTGTTGTTTTTCCATGAGAAAACCTTCGAAAAGGAAGGTGGTAACCAAAATGTCATCTATTGGTGCGATTTACGTAGACAAATTTATCGTTTTCACGGCGAAAATAAAAAGAATTATCAAAGTTGTTTTTGAGAGCTTCAACGGGCTTATAATAACATTTTTATTCGCCGCAAAGTTGTAAAAACATTCTGACTGTGCTATTTGGCTGTAATATAACTGTGGAATCGAGTGCGATGACTTTAACGGAAATATAAAACTGTAAAAGTCGTGCGTTTTGGACCGGATCACAGAAACTTTTTTTTTACTAAAACATGGTTTGAATCAAAAATTATTACTGCAAAAGTCGCTACTGATAATAGTACCTTACATAAAAACTTCTTACTCGTCAGTTTAATATAGAAAACGAACAACAAGATACAATTTGCTTATCACTGCAAAACATAAGCATTACATTTATTATATTAAAACCTCAGTATTGGCCGCGGCTTTCAACTTTTGATCCAGCGAGTTACAACTCTCATCTTGAGGATACCTGTAGGTGGAGACCGTCTGTCCAGAAGGCTCCATCTTGGCCATCAGGTTCTGGTTGGGGGTGTTGTAGTTGGTGAACATGACGGTCTTCTTACCGAAACATCTTCCCATTATGTTCAGCTTGAAGTTGCGTCGAAAGACCTTGGAGAAGCGGTAGTAGATGACAAAGTTGAAGCTAGAGTTAAATACGACCAGTAGATTGGAGATGTCTATGATGTAGTTTATTCTCCATTCCAACAAGTTCGAGAGGTTGGCTTCGAACACGTTGATCAACAGTGCTATTACGTTACATGATATGAATAGTAGGACCACCAGTATCTGAAAAGTCATTGTAAAAGTGTGTTACTGTGTGGTATTGCATTGCTTAACGACAATACTGGGAATGTTATCAAATCACTTGGGTGTTATGCTAATGTAGACTTCATGAGCAATGTCTTTTAATAAAACACAATTATAACATAAAAAGAATGAAACATGTTTTTGAAGTTTCAAAAGTTCGACAGACACTATAAATAAGTAAAACGTCTCACAAAGTATTAAATTTGAGTTATTAATGCCATAAATCTAGTACAAAGTTTGTTAAACTTTATTTTACAGCATTCTTTGTTTGCAATTAGTGATATTTAAAGAGGATGATTTGGTTTTCTAAAATACTATTATAAACACTTAACTGCTACTTAAAATAATGTCATTTATAAAAGTTGTTTGCTTTTTATAGTCGAACGTGTTAGTTCAGCTGAGTTTTATTTATCTTTCGAGAACTCCCAAATGGTTACTTTAACATGACTTAACATAATTTTAAATTTAAATTCAGAAGCACTTGTCACTTTTTAAAACATTTTAAATTAGCATAACTAGCGACGAAATTGGACTTTTGGACTGGACTTTCATTTGTATTTGTCAAAAGCTAAATAAGGGCTTATAAAGTTACAAATTGTCAAGTTTTAACATTGCCAGACACTAAGTTAGGTATACTTTGGTAACAGGACTTACTAATGCAACATTGTCACTTGGATCACAGTCGGCGGTCTTGAATACCATAGTAGAGAGGATGATACAGGTATTGAGGATGATCAGCAAGATCAAAGGTCCGATGGCCAAAAAGATCGAGTACATGTACTTGTAATATACGAGAGTGTACCTAAAGTACAGCTTTCCTTCATTACTTTGATGTTCGGTAATTTAATTCTACTTTGAACTATTGTTATAATTGTTAGAAATCATGATGACTTGAATGAAATTAACAACATTTCCCACAAAAATCATTTCACTGCAAGACTTACGTTTCATGGAATCTGAATGGGGCTGGACAGACCTCGATCGAAGCCGCGTTGAACTGATTGTGCCAACATTCGATCAGAACGGATTCAAAACAATGCGGCAAGTTGTAAGCGATACTGAATACGACTACTGAGCATAAAAGGATTGTGACCGTTTTGGGGCGAGACATGAGTTTCTTGCACGACTCGGGTAAACATACCTAAAACAATATTGTCTCTTTGGTTTATTTTGAGTAAAACTGACATTACGCTGCACTGATTTGGATACATTAAGTAACGTTATTGTTAACATTACAGTATGGCTGCATGAATTATATTAATACAATGTCATAGTGACATTTTGTAAGATTAAAAATTTCAAAAGAAGGATTGATAAAGCTGTTTTTGCAATTTAAAAAACACAATGAATGCCATTGTTATACAGTTTTGTTCTTACTTGAGCAAAACAATCAATTGCGGCGACCAAAGTAAAGTATACAGAACAAGTCTGAGCAATCATCCCTGCAGGGTATATGTAGGGCGATAACACATTGTAGATAATAGTCAACTGTAACGAGTATTTCCGTATACTGTCGAGGAAAAACAAAAACAAGGCCGTGATGATGACAGCGTTATCCGAACAGCCCAACGCACACAGATACAGATTGGTGGACGTTCGCATTGCTGAAGCCGTAATCGTTATCACTGTTGTTCAAGATAAAGTGTGAGGCTATTTTTACTTTAAGGCTTTACAAAAATACTATCAGATTCTTTAATTAAACGCGACAATTACATCCAGTTATTTCACTCAAAGCTGTAAAAAGATGACAACTCACCTGGACGACTGTAAACAAAGGCCGAGAACCCGTTGCCGAATAACCCGCAGAACGATATAAATGGAAGTATGAAGCCTATGATGAGAAAGTTGTAGATTAGGTACACCTGGTCCGACGCGAAGTTGGTGCACATGCCACAGTTGGGCAGACAGTTGGTGAAGTTGGGCCATGATATTATATTGTACGAGTGGAGAAAGTCGATGTTGGTGAAGGCGGTGTTGTTGACGGTGGAACAGTCGGGCGGGTAGACAGTCGGCTGCAGTTCAAACCCATAATCTGGTTCGTCCATAGAGCATTGACGGATCCGAGCTACAAAATATGCATGATGACGTCGGAGGCCGTAAACAACGTAAATCAATTGGCACGCGAACCACGAATATCGATGGTAAAGTCGTGAAGGGACAATTAGGCGGTTGTGATTGCAACAGCCCCAGAAGACGAGACAATGAGACCAATCTGGGCCACACCCGCTCTCCGGCTTCTTCGTCTTTGCGCTTCTCCGGAATTGAACTTGTCTATACCACTGGACTCGTTGTGGTAAGCTCTGGGCTGTCAATTGAACGCACCCATTTCACTTTTTTCATTCCTTTTTCAGACGGAATCAGGGCGAGAACATCCAGATTCCATGCTACCCCGAGGGACTATCACACCAAGGTTGGTGTGCGTCTTCGATCTAATGTTTACCCCATATACAACATGCTACAACAGAATGGCAACCGATAGAAATTGTATCCAGTCTTTAAATAACCTTAACTCATATTATGCTAACAAGGACGTTACAGTACCACCCAAAATCATCCCGTCCAAGGGCAACGCTCACCCGAACGATAGACGTTATGGCGTCCTGTACTTGAAATTTTAAAATAGGCAGGCAATTATGATAAATAGTACGCGGAGATATTCGAACAAAAAGTGGGGCCGCGCTCTTTACCCTACAAATTCATCGTCACTTCACTTATGGCACCCACGGCACCTTTAATTCTCGCTTGGCCGCCAACCAAAATGCGAATTTCCGCAGTTTTGCCAAGAAGGAAACCCTTTCTAACCTCGTTCGTGACTAAAACTTGTTCAAGTGACAATAAAAGAAGATGGCTCGAGAGATCTGCACACTTCTTTCATTAAGAAGAACAAGGTCTCCAAATTTGATTGAAACTCCCCAGACGCTGCTAACTAAAACCTTGGTGGGCCCACGAAGAGAACTGATTTCAGGAAACAAGCCCATTTCCTGAGGACACCATTAAACACTTTATGTACTTATAACTCGACTTTACGACCAAAACTTTATTAACAATCAGCTCGTCATGAAGTGATCGGATCCTCATGTTACATGGGCAGCTAGGCCAGGGAGGGGTTGTCCAAGTCAAGGTCGAAGCGGGAGTTGGTGAGTGATGACAACGCCCTTTCATGACTACTTTCCACGACTTTGTCTTGTTTTTCCTCGTGTGCCTTCTGTTTGTATGGCCAAATTAAATAAAAACCAACGCAAACATACCGTAACATTGAGAAGACGCTGTTCTGTGCAATCAACTCCAGGCTGCAACCCAATTATTAGCCACCCAGTGAGGGCGGCTAGTGCTCGGCCAGCACTTAGCCATCTCCAGATAATTAAAGACGTCACGTCCTTCGACATGGCCTCCTCTTCGTAACTCACAATCAGCGTCGAGCATACGAACCCGAACAAGGCGATGATAAGAACCAGCACTTCCTTCTGCATGGATAAGATCTTGGACAAGGTCTCCCTCACATTCGCACCTGACTCTAGCCTAAACGGCAATTATTTTAATTGTCTTGCATTACTATTATAAACACTTATATACAGAGTATTTTGTACTTACGTGTCAAGGCACCTGATGACAAAAAGCGAAAAACAAAAGTTACAGACGGCTTGGACATACGCGCCGACTTGCTGATATGACTTAATGGCTTCGGAATTATTAATTACGAAGAAGGCGACTACGGAGTGGAATACCGTAACTCCAGACAGCCATCCTAGGACGATGAGGACGACCTTGTTGAAGACGGACTGTGTTTTGATAGCAGTGTAAACAGAAGCAAGGTGGCGAGTGTCTTTGTCATGGATCACCGGTTCGATGATCGTACTCAACTTGAGCACGTCAGCGGTTGTCCTTTTAAAAGATCCTAAGAAAATTTGATTTAGGTTTGGGTAACATACGTCTACTTTGAATGAAGATGTCGTCTCGAAAGTTACTGGGAGTCGGTTCTTCTGGAACAGTTGAATCCGACACGGTATCTGGAGCTGTGGCTTCGGCCGGTTCATTTTGTGCAGCCTCTTCCGCTGCGACTTCTGTTGGTCCTTCAGGGTTCGGTGAAGGCTCTGCCTCTGATTGAGTACGAAGTAATCCGGAGAACCTCCGTTTTACATTGCTTAATAACGACATCGTATAGATGCAAAAACGTATTTTAAAATTTATGGATATATTTTTATACGGTGGCCATGGCAACTGAATTTACGATTTTCGCAAAAATGCACTTTTCGTATATGCATATTCAAATGGTTTTAAATTTTTATAATAAAATTGAGTCACAACTTATCGATTTAAAAATATTTTATACTAGCCAACACAGTAAAATGATCTGATAATGCAAACTTTCAAATAGCAAAATTAAAATAAAAAGACAACAAAAAACTTTATTATAGCTGATTACAAAATGTATTTACATAATTACAAATCGTTGCAAATAGACATATGCCAACATCTACACCTCGTATTCACAGTTCATAAGACACGAATCGAAAGATACCACGGGTAGCACCAGAATCCCGGCTAGTTCTGACAGTCTGAGACCTTGGCCATCTTCGTGGCGGTTTCTTCTTCTTCATCTTCTTCGCTCTCAGCAGCGCTTGAATTGTCAGAATACTAAATAACAATTTATAAACATAAACATTAGCAAACTATCAAAGTAAACAGGTAATACTATTCCTAAAAGCGATTAAAACTCACATCATATGGTACATCTCTCGACAGTAACCTCTTGGCTCTCGACGAGAACATCTTGGACACATTCAGGCTACATTCATTGACAACATTCATTCTGTGAATCACATCCCCAACTCTGACACTTCTTTGTTCGTGCAACGTTCTCTCAGCAGCAGTAAAATACTCAACTATAATACGGTACATTAGAGATGTTATTTTTTACACTAATCAAAGACACGTATGACAACTTACAGTAAAAGTTTGTGGCTTCTGGAAGACATTCATGACTGTTGAGTCTGACGGCAATACAGCATGGTGTCAGCTGAACCATTAACAGAGAAGCTCTCGCCCTCTTTTCATGAGCTTCATCTACAAATCTGAACAATGAATGGAATTGGGTACGAAGGTAGTTGACTATCACAAAGTTTTGAGTCCCACTGGTACTATCTGCAAAGAAAACAGTCACAAAACAACAAAAACAGACTGAAATAACAATGGCCGTCATTTAAAACCTTTTAATCTTACCATCTCCTGTAATCCAATTATAGAAGACTCCGTTGTCGTGAATCAAACACAATGGTGACCGTGACACAACTTCAATCTCTGAGAAGACCGGTACATAGAATCCCTCCAGGAAGTGATAAGCACACGATCTTGACGTAGCCAAACTCAGAAGATTCGCTTGGCGTTTGGAGCTACTGCCTATGGAAGAAACTGGCAGTACAATGATAGGACGTTGTAGTAGATGTGACAAAGCAAAGATGTGAATGGCTTCAGTCGGATTGTTTTCGTTTACTGTCAAAGCGTGTTGCCACATCTCGTCGATATCATCATTAGACAGCTGTAGACCAACCTTCGCTGACATGTCCAGACACTGCATCTTGTACACAGGCCCGTACCTGGCTTCATTACTCAACATGTGATCGTGAAGCTGCGTCTTCAGACTACGGTATCGGTCACAGACTCCGAACATTGACTGAAGAATGGCATCAAAGAAGCTGCTAGTGCCTCCTCGGTTCTTCATGAGTAAGGTAGAAGGATAGCCGACAATATTGGACAGACGGACGTCTTGAGCCTTTCCAGAAGCTACTTGAACGTACCGAAGAAGCGATTGCTTCGTTGTGGGGTCAAACTTGTGTTCTATCATTTCCTTTTGAAGTCTGTGGGTGAATTCATTCTTCGTAAACGGCACTAAATGAAAACATTTAGACTAATAAAATTAAATTCTACAATGGTCTACCGTAAAACCCATAATACCTACAAGCAAACTATGATCACTATGATGTTATAAAAGGAACAAGAAAAAAGTAACTTACGCCTGAATATATTAAAGTTGTATGGGCGAAACGGAAGATTGTAAGGTGGTCTACAAAAGTGAAAAATGTGGTTGATACGACAAAATAACTCTGAAGAAGGACCGGCCGCCACACAAGGCATGTTGTCTACATCATAAAGAGTTCGCTCGAGGATCTTTACAGCTTCATTGTTTCCTGACTTCTTGGCTATCGACAAAAGATTGTCACCAGGCACAGCATGGATCTCTGGAGCAAACGACAAGACTATCAGATGCTGAAATCAATGCTTTGAGTATTTAAAAACAAATAGACTTTAATAAAATAAAGGTATAACCGAAGAAAAAAAAATAAATTTTGATGCTTACTTCAATATAATTCAAGGTTCTGTTGACATTGCCATCATTAATCAGGTAGTTTACAATCTCGTCCAAAGCAGTAGCCGACGACTTGGCCAATGCGCCAATAGATCGGAAAAAGAGATCTTCCCTCAGGGCGTGTCCGGTGTAAAAGTTGATATAGCGAGAAAGACATCCTGTCACCAGAAACTGATTTTTCTTGATAGCCAATGCTTCTGCAGCCGGAGCGTTGTGTATCTTCAACAATTCTTTCGTGATTCTTAACGGTTTTTGTGTCGTGCTCACACGGCCTGCAAACAAAAAGTTGTGGTTTAACACCTCTTTCTATTATATTACATTCATTTCAACATTTTTACCTAAATTTAAAAATTAATCAAAAGTAAACCTACTTTTGCTCGCTTTTGGGGCTGGACACATACACATAGTACATTTCATGGCATTGGGATAGTTTAAATATGTACATCTTGTGCATTTCCATTTGTATTCAGAGCTCGATGCAGTATCTATAAAAACAAGTATATGCAAGAAAGACAATGTTTCAAAAATATTTTATAAATAAAAATTTAAAAATACCTGGATCACAAGGAGACGTCCCGTCGATATCAGCCACTACATCGCTAACCCCAGGGATTATGGTTTTAGGCGGACTTTGCTTGGCACCATTAAATTTCAAGGTTTCGCACTTTGCGCATTTGTTGGCACTTTCAATGTTCTGGAACGTGCAAGTTGAACAAGTCCACTTTACCAGCAACATTTCTGCTTGTTTCTTGATGGCTGTCTCAATAACATTCGGCCCAAACCGCGGCGTACTGCACAACTCGCATTTCAGCTGTCCGGCGATATTGTTGTAGGTGCACAGTGCACAAGCCCACTTGCTCTTGATCTTGTCGGCTTTGCTGTCTGGATCGGCCATTTCCCAACTGAAATTAACAAAACGATAAAAATAACGTCTATGTGTTCAGAACGAAGACAATTTGCACGATATCGATCCCCCGAATAAAAAACAAAATTTCGAAAAATCGATTATTTCAATTAATGTGACAACGTTAATTGCACGTAAATACACAACTGAAAGACGGAATAGCTAACAGTAGTAACATTCGACAGAAAATCTATACAAAAAGCGACGAAAACTTCACGTGAGATCAAATGAGTGAGAAATTGGAAAACAAAAAAATAAAAAACTTGGAATATCTAGCTCGAGAAAACTTAACACGTTTTTGCAGCACTTTGCCCACTACAGTGTTTTGGCAGGCCTTTTTGGGACCCAAAAATTAGCTATACGGAATACAAGCAGTTATATTAGCTCGATATATTAGTATTCTCGAGCCAGATAAATTGGCCTTTGAAAACATGGTACGTGCCACAAAAGCAATCCGGCTTTGTAGTGTACAAGTTGTATTCAGATATTATTTTGTAAAACTTTACTTTTTCTCGTGATTATAACAATTCAAAGAAAATACATTGTAATATCACAGCTACAATACCACATAATAAAATACGTTTTATGTTTAATAAAAATATTATTTACAAGAATATGTACCGGGAATGATATGAAAAACGAATTAAGGCTTTGAATACTGAAAAGGTAACACATGAAGTCTCCATATGACCTGACTAGACAATATCATCTGAAGTCAATACGAAGGAGTGGTCTTGGACGGCCGATAACTGTTCTGGTACTCTTTTGGAAATCCTGTGAACATCTGAGGTGGGGGAAGGTCGTGGATTGGAAGGAAATGGAACCGATGTTCTGTGGAATCAATGTACGATGCAATTCTCGGTGGAGGTGGTGGAGGAGGAGCATCCTTAACTTCAACTGGCGCCGACTTTGGGACTGGAGGAGCTGGCCTGACAGGTAGCGGATTCGCCTTCTCTATCGACGACTGCGACTTCAATGGTGGAGCGTGATTTGAGGATGGGAAATGAGTTTCCGTTTGGCTATGGTTACTTGGAGGCACTTTAGGTGGGGGAGGAGGCGGGGCACCCGGCCTGTGCATTGGTCGTACTACCTGAAATTAGCATTGAAGCAAAAATTTAATCGAAATCGTACTTTTCAAAATTTGTAAAAGCATGCCATAAATAGAAAATCAAAAATATTCTAGAAATTTAAAAAGCAACCTTTCTAATATAGTTTAATAATAATACAGACCTAGAGTACTAAATTCTTTAAAAATAGGTAAAGCCTTACATCAGTCTGCCTCCTCTCAATTGGTGGTCTAAACTGAACAGGTTGAGGTGTACTTGGTGAAGCAACATTAACAGACGGAGATGGCTTCGAATCTGGCTTTTGAATCGGCTCACTGTTAGAGAAAACTGGCTTTAGTTTACTCGGAGGAGGTGGTGGAGCAGCCGGAACCGTGTTGCCACTAAATATATAGATAAATTTACAAGGATTAACATACCTTTGAACTTTAGGTAATGTTGGCTTATTGACAGGCGGCTGTGGCGGTTGGGGAGTTGCGGGTGGAGTTTGTGCAGTAGAATTTACTAGTAATTTCAATAAAAATAGAGAATAAACAATTTAATTGAAAAAAATTTGCATTCCTTCTTTGGAATAAGCTACTACAAAACAAAAAGCCATTTAAAGAAAAATGATTGAAATGTCAAATCTAAAAATTTACAAATTTCACTTACAAGAGTTCTTCAGAGCCCTAGCTTCACTTGGCTTTCTTGGAACTCCATTTGCAAACAAAGCTCCAATGCCAGCGGCTGCCAACTTGTTCACCTTGTTTTCAACACCTCCAGAATGTTCAGAAGCATCTTCCTTTTGAACATTACTAGTTTTACCTCCCACCAATGGTGCGGATCGATCATTAGTGACCGTTTTCTTCAATCTCGCCCCTTTTTGGATGTCCGACAACAAAGCTGACCTCCCAGCACCCCCATTTGGTAGTGCTGCAGCTTTAGGTGGTGCTTTAGAGCCCAAAGACGGTCCCGGAGGAGGTGGTGGAGGTGGCGGAGGTGCAGGCATAGCGCTAATTGATCCACCACAAAAATATTCTCATAGATTCGTCACATATACGTTATGCCACAAGCCAGTGGATCGTGGTGGAACCTAAACGTCTGTCTATAAAATACGTCGTAAAAACCGAAATATGACGTCTGTCTATGTTTTTTGGAAATAACCTTTATATTACTGCGTGATATAGTCGTTACACTAAACGCAAACTAAAACTTCAGGAGTGTTTTGATGTGTTAGTTGACACATTATATAGACGTCAATTTCCTGTTTCGGCGAGAATCTCTCGGCGCAATATACAATTATTTGTGTTGGTGTTGCTCTAGTCTTATTTTTGATATATGCAATTGATTAGCAATTTAGTTGGCCACGAATACATATTTTATGAAGAATATGTAAGTGATCGATTATGGAAAGCAATGTTTTAGATAATCACATACCTTTTGATTGTGTTGGCCGCTTCATTGATTTACGGGGCATGGATTGTTTCAAAGCGGCCGCCTTTAGTGTATCGTGGTCATTTGGTGTCGATTCAGAGAACTGAAGTGGGTAGAGTTGTCCGAGTAAGCAATATTTAGTTTTCAACATAATTTGATTACATAATAACTTTATTTTTACTGTTTTGTGAATAGTTTTTGTTAATAATAAACTTCAGATTGTTAGCGCGGACAACGAGCAAATAAGGATAGAGGATTTGGTGTCGTTTTTGTCTAGGCGTGATTCTAATACTGAAAACACAGAAAACGTAAACGCTCTTGTGGTTTTATCACCTTCATCTACGCGACTGTCCTCACGGTAATTTCATTCTTTTTTATGTTTATTGTTTAGGGTGTCTGAGCTTCCTAGTATCACCACGGTAACATTACCTTTGGCAGTGGAGAGGTATATATCACAGATCTACGAGGTTTTACATCGAAATACAGACGCTTCGGCTGCTGCAGCTACTATAATATCATTGTTTCGACCTGTGGCTAGAAGGCTTAGTAACGAGAACCACTTGTTTATCTCCAACTTATTGACGGAAATAAGGTCCACTGAGGTGTGTTTTTCGAAAATATTGATTTTAAAAATTTTAATTTTTGTATAATTCTGTTCATTTTTAGTCGGTAAATTTTCAAAATCCTGTTGTAAGTAACAATAATAACGATCACGAAGTAATGCCGGATAATATGGAAAGCAGAGAAATCAGGAATCGACGAGAAGAAAGTAAGTTTTTGGTTTTTATTGATTTTTAGGTAATATTTACTTGGCTTGAATTTGTTTTTATTGCGGCTTTATAATACCTTAATTTGTATAAATTTTGTTGGCGTAGATTGGGTTTAACTACTTCGTTTTATTTTTAGATGTTCAGCCGATTTCTATTCCAAGTAATAGGCCCATTCTAGAGCCTGACACTACGGTAAAGTTGAAGTTTATGGACGACACGGAAAAAGAAGTCAGGTGTAACTTGTTATCTACTATCGACGACTTTAAGAAGTGAGTTTTTGTTTTAAGTAGTTTTTGAAGTGTATTTTGGGAAAATTATCAAATTGATTTTTTAGAACGCACTTTGTGTCTCAAGTGGCAGATGGAAAGGTGATAAGGTTAATATACAAAGGGCAGCTTCTGCGTGATGATAATAAAACGTTAAGTGCGTATGGTGTTCACAATGATTGTGTCATTCACTGTCACATCGGAAGTCGACCGTACACTCAAGAGTCGGCTTTAAACAACGACTCATCTAGTCGAACTCAACACCGGAATGGTCAATTTGGTTTTGAGAACATACCTAGTAGGCCCGTGTGTAAGTTTTTGCGGTTTTTGATTATTATTAGTGAAGTTAAATTACATATAACTTTAATTTTCAGTCACGAATTTGGCCAATGAAAACATATTAAGCAGAGCAGTGCGGTTATCATTATATTGTGCTGATATGTTGCCGTTCTTGATGTTTTACTGTTTATCGACCACTCTGAGATGGGTGCAATCAGTAGATCAAGTACCTCCGGAATCAGAAGTAACTTGGAGTCAAAGGTATATCAATAAGGTTAGAAGAGCGGCCTTGGCTATAATCAGACTGTTTGTGGACTTTTCTGTAGTCCAGAATCAGAATATGGACGACATGTTCATGAACAGATTTAACCTGGGCATCCTGTTTACCTTATTGTTTACATGTAAGTTTGCTTTTCAATATTTTTATTATTATATTTTGTTTTACTTTAAAAACGAATTTTAGTCAAATTTGCTTCGATTTGGTTTGTCGTGCTTTACTTTCCGCAATATACAGACACGAAAGGAGTGGTGATGTTGACGATGTTGACAATTGTTTTTGTACTTTACACATTTTACAATCGGCCGCGCCCCGCGGCACCGGCACACGTTAATTAATATATTTTGTACATAGATGGCTTAGTTGGCTTTAGTTATCTGTTAGAACCGACTAACTCATTGTATATTGTAGTAAAATATGATATCATCAGCCTATCTGAAAATATTTTATGTAACTAAGCCTAAAGGTCTGAAAGAAAACAAACAATAAAGGTTATGTGAAAGTATAATGTCGTCTTACGTAAACTCAGTTCTTGTCTAGATGGGGAGCCAGTTTCTCCTCCATTCTGTTCTTGATCTCGTCGTAGAAACATCGTTTGATGGTCTCGAAACGGTCGTAGCATGGCAAGTAAGAGTAATCCAGCTGTACCACTTTGCCTGGTCTCTGGTCACAGAAGGTGAGACACTTTTCTCCAGCCAACGTGCTCTGAACACCGTTTACGTGGCAACAAGGACGATGGTCACGGCCTTGAGCAGCACAGTATTGGATGTCAGCAGCTGCTTCTACTGGGCATGGATCGTTCTTGAAGAACATGTTTTGGAGCTGGAATTAAGGTTTTGAGTAAAGAAAGGTATTTAAATTAAAGTTTAATTAATTCTGGTTGAAAAGTGGAACGAGAGATTAGTTATTAATACCTACCACATCCTTGCTGAACACATTGAAATGACATTTCTGGAGACAAGCGTCAGGGAGATGGCGATCTTCACAACATTGTCTGAACAAGTAGTTTGGATTCTAAAATATCTCAATAGGTAAAATACAATTTTGAGAAGGTTAAAACAAGCATAAGGTACTGTAAACAAAACTTACAGTTAGTTTGTCGTACATCTTCTGGTCGATTTTTTCCTCAGAATTTACAAATTTGTGTCTTTCAACTCCGAAGATGTTTCTGCTTGGTACAGTTTGGTTAACAAAGACTTCTACTGGTACTACGATGCCATTCTGAATAGTTTATTAGTTTATAACACCTTTTTTTAAAGCTTTGTTTATGTTAATATACATACCTTTTGTGTGAGGGAAGATCGAGCACGATTACGGGCGCAGCCATAATGACCACAAGAGTAACCCTGCTGGCAGCTGCTGGGGTTACATTGGACTGGAGGGGGAGTGTAGCACGAAGAACCGCCACAAACTCCAGATGATACGCACTGAAATATGATCTATGTATTGTAAGTAGTATAAAAAGTAAAAAGTTTTAAAAAATATATTTTACTTATTTATAAGTACAATGACCTTAACTTGACGTAGCACTTACACTTTGAGCCGGCAAAACGAGCAAGCCTGCTAAGAGCACCGTGATGATCGGTAGCATTATTAAACTCTTAAGACAACGTTATCCTTGGCTTATAAGGGTGTGGCGGTCCTCAATTAAAATAGGTAGCCGTCTCACCTGAGAACTGGATCTCCTTTCCTTCATTACGTTAATTGTCCGGAACCGCGCTTCTCCTTCCAGGAGCGTCATTCTTACTCAATGATTTTGTTTCGTACAATTTATTTACAGAAGTGTAAGTTACAGAGAACAAAGTAGCATATTGCACTATTACGGATGGCAGCTTTTGGATTAACAATGTCCGTTGCAAGAAGTTGATTGATATAAAGATTGATGATCTACATACAAAATGAGATTTAACTTCTTGCACACAGACTGATAGGATATGTGTGATTTTACAGGTTAACAATAGTCAGTGTGTCTGCAGATCTCGGTCTCCATAGGGTAACTTCGGTCGAAGAACTTTCCGTTGACATAAGCGGTAGGCCAGATACGAACTCCAGCACGGTGCGTGTTGACCATAGAGTAGTAGTTGAGAACTTCCCCAGTCTGGGTCTTGGCACAGTCCATCAAACGCTGCTGGCTTTTTGGACTGAGTCTGCTGAGACATCTAGTAAAAGCTTCGTCGAGGTTGGCCAAGCCTTGGATACACGTGACTAGACCAAGATGACGACGAGGGAAATACTAAACAAAGAGATGAGTAAAGTCAAGTATTGGTGGTAAAATATATTATTGTTTTACCATTTGCTTTTGTAAGCATTGATTTTAAACAAAAAACGAAATTGGCGGAAAACTTTTGCAACCATCTAATAGTAATCATAATTTTTGATATCTTTCGGGCGAAAAGTAAATTATTTTACAAAAATGATGCTTAGGGTAGGTACAACTTACAGAAATGGCACAATTTTGAAGTCTATTGAGATCACATTCTGTTTGGCCGTGCATACAAGTACAGGCCAGCTGTCTGTCATAGGTATACTCACAGTTTCCTTTTCCAAATGGAATAATCTAAAGTTAAACACATGAAATTAATTTCACCATGTGATTACTCAAAATTCCTTCTAAATTGCAACATTTGTAAAACTTAATGGACTTTGACCTGAGTTTAGAGTTAAATAAACAAAACTGACCTGTAAGTTCATAATCCCCGGCCGAGTGGCGTGGAACGGCCAGATCTGTTCTCGCAGTAATCGTGTACAAAATGGACATTGAGATTCTGTGAAGATCGTCACGTTGACCACTTGAGCGTTGGCCAGGCCACAAGCGAGAGCGATTAGAAACAGTAAACGCATTCTGCAAAGTTGAAAGTGATATTGGAAAGTGACCTGCGCGACCCCAACCTCCTCCACTACACGTCGGTCACCGGAGCCGCTTAACGCCGATTTGGGGCAATCTCTGCGAACGAAAGTAAAAACCCTAAGCCGAACCGGCTGTCAGTAGTAATTGACCCTTGTAATTGCATGTTTCTACCCAGCTATCCGTGACCAATTCCCACCTCCAGACATCCCTCCCTCCATGACGCAACAAGAGTTTGAATAGCTCCGATTGTATGCATTGAACTGGTTGCATTCAAGGATATTACAATAGATAAAAAGAGGTATCACTCCCCACCCTCAGGTCGCCCCATCTGAACGGCACCCCGGGCGTTCTGTTCAGACCTTCATCAACTACAAACCAGTTAAATAATATCCCGAGAATACGTCAAATCGCATCAAGGAACTTGTTTAAGAGCTGAAGAAGAGCGAGATTCAGTCATGTTTTGATTCAAGATGAACAACACGCGAGCGCTTTACAGCCGCCGAATGTTAAATAAATGTTATTGCGACATTGCCGTCGTTAGGTTGATTAGGTTCGTTGTGTAAACTCACATTAATAAATGATATACATTTTGGGTAACAGATACATGATGGATGAAGGCAAAGTAACGAGTAGAAGATTTAGAAAATATATATTTATAAGTTCAGCTCTGTAGGGCAATAACACTCAAAATTAACTATTGCATAAAAACTAATTTATGATTTACATAATCAACAGAAAAGCAGGATATATTCGTATAAAATACACCCTGCAGGCTGCGAGCAACACGGCCGCAAGCTGCGTAAATATTAATTTTATAAAATGATTTTGGAAAATAATATTTCTATTGAAAAATGAGTAAATCCTTCTTCAGCAAAGTTTTAGTTGGAGTAGGAGCTGTCGGAGTAACTGATTTGTTATATCAGCATGATTTTAAAGGTAAGTGTTACCTGTTTTTCTATATTTTCGTTCAGATTTCAAAGGATTCAGTTTGAGGCCTAGGATAGCACTTGCGGAAGCAAAGGTATGTGTTTATTCTTCTGGGTATATTTGTTAAATTTAGGTTGAGAAGGATGGTACGATACCGTACTTGTTGATTGGTGCTGGAACAGCTTCGTACTTTGCTGCTCTATCAATCAGAGGTCGAGATGCAAAAGCAAAAGTTCTCATAATCGGGGATGAATCACATTCCTCATACAACAGAACAGCTTTATCAAAAGGTAAGTATTGTTTTCGAAATCTTAATGTTAGTTCAGATTTGTGGTGGCACAACTACGACCCTACCGATCCCTATTCCCTTGAGTATGCTGGGTATAAAGGGCGAAGAAAGCACGTTGGATACGAAGCAGAAGGCTTCTACATTGACTACAACAAATTGGACGAGTTCCCGAATGGTTGTGTCGGTTTGATTAGGAACACAAAAGTAACACGGATTGATGCTGACAAGAAGATTGCCTATCTTAACAATGGAAGGACCATCAAATTCGACAAGTGTTTGATAGCGACAGGTAAAAGACTAAAACTTTTGATATGTGATTATTCAAGTCAAAGTAGTTTTATAAAATAATTTTTTTGTATTTTAGGAGCCTCGCCAGTGTTGTCTCCAGTGTTTGATAAAGAAGAGCTCAAGGGCAAAGTCTTCAACTTTAAAAACGTATGTCAAGTTTTATTGCGACTCAAACCCTATAAAACCACTTTTTTATTACTTTTGTGCTCAATGTTATCATATTTTAGATTGAGGACTACATAAAACTGAGGAAGGCGGTTCAGCCAGGTACAAAGATTGCTGTCCTTGACGGAGGGTTACTTGGAACGGAACTCTCATTCTCTGTGAAACACTTTAACGATGGCGTAGAAGTGATCCAGCTGGTGCCAGAGACCGTGTGTTTAGAAAAGATCCTTCCAGAAACATTGGCTAAAGAATGTCAGGAGAGTACCGAAGAAAGTGGAGTACGAGTGATAAGGAATGTTGATGTAGAGTCAGCTACAAAACTGCCGAATGGGAAGGTTTACTTGAAACTGAAAACTGACAGAGGCACGATTACTGTGCTAGTGGATTACGTAGTCGACGGCCGATCATGGAAACCGAATGTTGAGATAGCCGAGAACTCGAGGCTTGAATTAGACCCTGTTAACCAAGGTATTGTGGCTAATGCTCAGATGTTGGTGAGGAAGGACATCTACGCTGCTGGAGATGTGGTGTCATTCTACGATCCGGTGCTGGGAAGAATGAGAAAACAGCAGATCGAGCACGCTGAGATCACAGGACGATGTGCTGGAGAAAACATGAGTGGAGGGACAAGAATAATGCCTCGGAGAGCTTCCTTCAGGTCTAGGATTGGAGAAACATTATTCTTGGAAGGCGTCGGATTCACAAATCCAAAGTTGAAGACTGTCGTGTACAGGGCTGACGTAGGTTACTGTATTTTAAATTTAAGTTGAAAAAATGATTGCGTTTTGAAAACTTTGTTTTAAAATTTACTTTTCTGTCTTTGAAGAAACATTTCGAACTCTTATCCAATTATAGAACAAGGAGAGCTTTCCACGGTGGATATGCTTCTACCTATACAACGATCGTATCGTCGGCGTTATAACGTGCAACATGACCTACACGTTGGAGTACGCCAGGAAGCTGATCGAAGACGCTCGATTGCAGACTGACATGCATGAAGTTGCCAAATTGTTTACGTTATACAAGGCTGAGAAGCCTGAGGAAGAAGAGTCATCGGATGACACACCTCCTTCTAGTTAGCATTGTTGTTTTGTTTCATTGTTAGGCGTTATAATAAAGACAGGAATTAACATCATCATCTAATTTGAGCGGCCAATGTTACAATGCGATTCGCCTTGTGAATCGCTCTGAATCACAGTAATGGCCTGAGGCTTTAAAAGTGGCTTCTTGAAAGGTTTCGGTCATTCAAAACAATGAAGTCTTTAATTGTTTCGTTTTTAGTGTTTGTTGTGTACTGTAAGGCCAATCGGTGTCATCAAGGATACCACGGACACTGTAGGTCGTTGTTTTTACTTTCTTTTGTTTTTGACTGACATTACCTTACAATAACATAGTAATAAAGGATATAAATGTAGGCATGTAGTACATAACAAAAGTACACCCGAATAGTATTCCCAACCTTTAATTAACTCACTCTACACTTTTGTTGACAATATTATGTAACCACCGTATCCTAGTGTAGTATACTAGTGTTTATTTTTAAAAGTACATGGACTAAATAAATAAGTAATTGGACCCGTTTCAGCTCAAGTTGGCTATTGTAACAGTAATGGATGTGCTCTGGTTCGGTGGGAAGGCTCTAACCAAGATGAATACATGTGTGTCTCCCAACTGGAAGACAAAAGTAACCTTTGCATACATTAATATCACACGTGTTTCAGCTTCTGCCCGCTTTGAATGCCCCCACGTGCACCAACGTTCCGCATGCTTCGACAAACACTCCGAGCATTCAGATGTGGCCCGGTCTGTAGATCAGCGTGAGTTATCAGAAGTGTTAGAAGCTGCTGGGATCGACCGTGTTTGTTGTTGTAGAGGCCACAAGTGTAACGTGGCCAACGAAGACATCAGCAGACACTTTGGGTACGAGCAGATCGCCGCTCCTCACGCCGAAGAACAACGCAGAGGTCACGGTAGACATCGTGACGACGACTTTGACCAAGATGAGAAGAAGCACTCTTCAAGCTATTCTGTAGTTGGTTCTACTGTTCTTCTGATCGCTTCATTTGTTGCCATTCAATAAAGTTTCTTAATTACCGGTCGGAACAGCCAGAAGTTGATGTTCTTTCTCTGGGGGAAACACTTGAAGGGCACAGGCTTCGGAACTGCTGCTTTTTGACACTTCTGGAGGCGTTCTGAAATTAGAAATTTAAAAAAGTTAGAGAAAACTAGAAAACACAATAAGGAAAACAACATTTCTAACTATATTAAACAGTTTAATTATGCAAACATTTCCGCAACCTGCAAAATATTGTTTCCAAAGTGCGCCCACAACTTTCTCATTCGACAAAATTTTGTCGAAAAATTAAAAACAATTCTGTGAACTTGTAATTTGAAATACTTGTCCTATTTTTGAGAATAAATATTGATATTTATGGGGAACGACATTTGAATGGTGTCAAAGATATTAATGTAAGTTAAAATATGGTTTTTGATGCTTTAAAAGTGCCACTTTTGTTAATTAGTTAATTTACACTGTATCCGCCTTCATGTTAAACTTCAATTTAGTCCGAAATGTCTGCATGAAGAAGTCTACAATTAGCTGCAAAACAGAGTTTTTGAAAATAATTTAGCCAAGCCAAGTAAATTACTTGAGGCAAAACAAACTCTTGTTTATACTACTTTGGGGAAAGTAATGAAAAGCCAATAAAACCACTTTTATCAGTTAATAAATGTGAGGGTTCAAACGAACTGCACGATACAATATTACCTCGGCTGGTCTAGGCGCGCCTTGAGTGAGAAAACAGACCCGCAGGCACTTTGGATGGTCTCCAGAAAGGAATGCGACCGTTGGTTGAGGTTCGGCCTGAAAACAACGTTGGTGGTACTGTAGAACAGAGTCTGTTTAAATGAAAACAACCTGTTCGAAAGAGTAATGAGATTTGAACTTAACCCACTTTAACATCTTTGATAGTTCAATAGGTTTAGAATGACTTACTGTATTGCCGAATACATAGTGCTCCGGTTCCGTTGAGCTGACTGTGTAGCCGAGCATCGTATGATGGAGTTGAAGATGTCGGTGAACTCATGGCGAAAGTTTGTATTCAGAAACCCGTACAAGAAAGGATTCACTCCGATCGAGAGAATCGATATTAGTTTACACGACTGGTCGATGCGCTCGATTATGGCTGCACCGTTCTCGAGGTATAGTATGTCCATGTCTATGAGCATTGAGACCAACGTAAAAGGGAACCACAGCACGGCATACGAGCCCGCCATGGCTATTAACAACATCGTGGTCCGATTCCGACGCCGGTCAGAAGCTCGTTCAGCTGGCGTAGCCGAGTCCATTCTGGAGCCGGGGGATGTAGTTGAGGACAGTTCTGTTTCCAGCAACGATGGGTTTCTGGCCTTCTTCTTGGGAGACCAGTTGACCGTGTAGTGGGTCTGTTGGGTCTTGTTGCACTGTAGCATGACGGACTCACGGCGGATGATGCCGTTCCTGTTCTTACTCATGTGCTTTGCGTTGGTCTTCAAGAATCGCGTCAGTTTGACGTTAAAAATAGAAAGTACAATCAGTGGGACGACGTACAGGAATAGGACTTGCATCAGTGACATGACCAGCTGGAATTATGTTAATTTATGTACATGTTTTTCCGAATTTCTCTACAAAAATGCTAAATCACGCAGCCTGAATACTTAATCTGCCTAAAATGTTCTACGGATATGGCTAAAGTTTACTCCTACAAGTTGTTTACTTGTCATGGTTAATAATTTAAACTTCAAAGATACCTAATCTTGTTATACTCCAGTTAGTGCATTACTATGTTGTTTGCTGAGTCGATACTGAGAAATGAAAAGGCACATTATCTATCAAAAACAATACCTGTATCATCCTGGCTTGAGCATCTGCATTCATGGTGCTCAGCTGGTCGTCTTCAGCTGTAGCCCCTCCTGGAGAAAGTCTACATTGTCGCCAGCCGTAGCTCCGTAGCTGCGTCGTATTCTTCTCAGAATCGTATACCATGACATCTTTGAAGACGTATAACATGGTGGTGTCGTAGTAAATAAGGAGCGGAAAGCTGAGTAGAAACGAAAACACCCATATCATGATTGATAATATAATCCCCTTCAGGCATGACTGATTTACAGATCCGACTGTCATCTGCTTGACGGAGTAATATCTGGAAATAATTAAAATAAGTAACGTTCCATCACTGTTTATCCAAAGCAGGTTGTTTATGCAGCAAGAGTGCTGCCATACTTTATTTACCATGAGATGACTTTACTGTGGTTAGTGTCTCCTAATGTGTTTACACAATAAGGTCTTATCTCAGCAATATCGTTTTTTATATTGTTTTTGTGTTCTTGAACTGTTACTCTTGGCCTTACTGGTCTGTTAAGTAGACCTGTCTCAAACGTGACGTACCTGTCAATGGCCATGACCGAGATGGTTAGCGTCGAGCAGTAGATGTTGCTTCCCGGCAGGGCATTTGCGAACTTACAAAAGAATTTGGAATATGGGAATTCGAAGTCAATGGACGGCAGCCACAAGAACGGAATCGTCGTCAGAGCGAGCATCAAGTTCGAGAGGGCCAGATTGACTATTAAAACGTTCCGGTTGGTCCTCATTTCCTTCTTTCGTATCACTGCCAATATCACCACGCCATTCCCGACCAACGCGAAGAAGGAGATGAGGAAGTACAGGAAGGTGTACAACATCTCTTCCCACTCATTATACTTCCTCAGATGGGCGTTCATACGTTGGAAGAAGGTCTGGAAACATTATTATTCAGGAAAACAATGTCATATTAAGATAAATTTGATATTAGATCACAATTATGCCAATTATTGTAAAAAACGTTTGAAAAACACATTCCAAGAACACTTTAAAAGTACAAAACACTCACGTTAAGGCAAACGTCATCGAACGGCGCCAACTTCCACGAAGTGTCGTTGAGCATACTGGAGTTCAGACCTCGTGGACATCGCCGGTCGATGTCTTCCACGCTCATAAACATCACCTGAAACATGTAAACGTAAGTGACGTACTATCGTGTTCGGCCGTGAATGTCAAACCCAGAAATTAATTTTGCACCTCCGGCCAATGTAAGTGTAGATCTCAGACCCCATGTCAGCCAGAAATGTCATTTAAATTGGGGGAAATTAAAGAATCGACCGCGTGGACTTGTGGCCTGTTTGGTATTCATATCTGCCAGTTTACATTTCGAGTATTTTCGAAAAACACATTACATAACTGGCAGGTGGAATACAAGTTGAGAACGGGTACTTTAAGAACCACGAAATGCTACATTTCGGCCAAAACCTGGTTTCTGTACTTTGGTCAAAAAGTTCATAGAAGTATGAAAAGTTTACCCAAAAAACCTCTAAAGAATTTATCTCAAAAATGTTTCGATTTACTTTTTGACCGAAAGAGCAAAGCGTGAGTTTTTCGTCATCAAAACTATAACTTTGGGGCCTAAGGCAGTTAAAATTGACACTTTTTAAGAACCGTTTTTGTCGAATTTTACAGCGATATACGTGGTTAAATTTACAACCAAACCGCATGCAAATTAAAATAATAATACTTAAGTCGGTCGAAACCCCTATCACCATGATTAGTATAATCGAGTATCAGAGAAACAACTTGGAGCCGGTTGTCAAGACCTAGAACTTTGGTTTCTAGGTGTTGCATGGACAAGAAGAGTGTGACACTCTGCATATTTAGGTATTCCTCAAGTGTACTTTGCCAAGTCCTTAAAAATAGAGCCCCCGAGGGTCGGCTATTTACAAAAGCAGATAACAAGTCGCGCATCAGCCCCACCTCATTATAATTTCAACGTTGAAATCGGGTTTTGTCCCATAACGGAATAAATTTTCCTAAAAAAGGGTCGGGCGGCGACTTAAACTAAATTATGTAAAGGAAATTAAATGCAAACATGTTCAAGCACAAAGTTGTATCACCAGAATCATATGCACTTGAGAAACAGAAAGGACGGCCTGTTTTTGTAGAGCACGGCTTCGACGCCCCACGAACAACAGTTTTCGAAAACAAAAAATAGAACGGAAATTGCCACAGGTAATTTCGAACCGATGGGAAAACAAGGATTACTGTAATCAGGGCCGGTCGTGTTGACCGCTGGCTCGCCTGTTCCATCCCCCCCCTCCGGAAGTGGAGTCATTTAAATTTCAGAGAAAACAAAAGTTTTGGAAACTCACCACGTCGAGCGCGGAAGAGTGCTCGCCAAAGAGCACGTCCATGAGGTAGTCCATCCTTTATCCGGCTGTCGGGAGTATCATGCGAACCCTGAGAACGGACAGCTAAATAAAGCGGTTAATAAATATTAGACGCGTCGTTAAGTTTGTGGGACCACTGGGACTGGCAATTAATGCCCCAGCTGGCCACAACTTTTCGAATTCGGATAATAAAAGCACGAATATGTACACAAGGCACCGTAATGTTCGTAACACAATCGTCCGTGACCAACGGCAAAGTGCAATCTATATTTGCATTCAAAGTCATTCGAGTTAACGAGAGTACAAAGCAATAAACAGGCTGACTATGACAGGATTGACAACGTAAACAGTCAAAATGTAAAGATTTACAGTCAGACTTTAAATTCGAATTAAACATACAAGACTATTCAGCACTATTCAGCCATTACTTCCACCTAAACTCGGCTTAATCAGCCATATCGAAAATAAGGTCTTGTTGCCGTTTCTGAATTCCATTAGTTTGACGAGATTCAGTCGCGCATTCTTGAGTACGAGAGAACCTATTCTGGAGTTTGTTTGTCAATTGAACGCAGAACAGACGCAGTAATGTAGAAATTAAACGCAAGACATTAGAAAACTCCAAGGACTACACCTCAAACGGAACTTGTGCCTACAACAACACTCTGCCTGGTGCTAATTGCTTGTAAGCACACCGTGAGACTGGACAAAGGTTTGTTTTCGCCATGACACAAGTATTTGACAAAGTCCACAAGGTGTTGTTTACATTCTCATTTGACTGACACGTAACACTGCGCGAAAACAAACAACATAAAGTTATGACAGCCGGCTTCATGCCACTTTCAAACTTAACACGTCCTCTGTTTACTTGTGGTATGTCCTGTCAGAAGACAATACGATGGTAATTGCGCACACGAATATTAACACTAAAATAGCCTGATTAACCCAATTAATCATAGTCGTAAACAATATCCGGTAGACAAGCAAGGACGTTCCACATAATAAATATTACATGAGGAATATTACATGGTTCCAAATCTTGTCAGAGAACAGAGGACGTGCCGATTACCGACAGCCGGCTAATTGGTCATTAAAGTTACCTAAACGCTTCGTTAAATTTGGCCGAAGCCCTGTAATTAATGTTGAGAAAGAGGTAGGACGTCTTCTGACATGACGTGCCTAAAACTACTACCTAAATTTACTCCGAGAAAGAACTGTAGTAACTCTGGAAACACCCGTGTAACGTGTAACACACTCACTCACATTACAGCACGTCACAGGAATAATTAAACCGTTTAAATGATATTAAGGTCTGTTTACTGACATTAGAGCGCTTCCAGGAAAACAAAAGTGCCTTAAGCGGGTGCAATAAAAACCTAATTTACTGCAGCATATTCATGACAGACATTAGATATACTCTAATATATTCTTAAATGCCGATGCCCATTTGGACCACCCATTAATCGTGGAAAGCGAACGTTTAAAATTTAAAATTTGGCCTTAGAATTGCTTACTCTTACCCCGAGGCACTATTGTTATAGGAAAGATTTACACACCTGAGCGGACCCAAGACCACTAAACGTTTTGACATATTACTTGTACTAAAAACAGTTTAGAAGCCGGCTGAGTAAAACGTGAATATCAATTAAATTAAAACCTCTTCATTACAGTAACCGTAGGAGATTGAAAGCCAACTTGTACGTACTTGTTCACATCCTAATATCATCGCATTACTAAGGTTTATATCATCGTATTTTCAGTTTAAATACTTCACAAAAAACATCTTTAAAGATACCAAAGAAAAACAAACTTTTCTCAGAACAAGTGTTACAGTAAAAGTATCAAGAGCAATATAAGCACGACCAAGCGTCTTATTGCCGCCATAAACATGGTCAGATTCATATCTCGTGCCTTTTACCGTACCGCAGGATTATCAACAAATTTGCATAAGTAATTAACGGTGGGAACAAAGGTTCCGTGAATACGGCACAAACCAAAATAAAGTTTACTGAGTAATCGTTCGGACACAAAAACTGGCTTCAGAGAGAATAAAAGATGCTTCACAGGTTCAGCTGCTTCGACGCCACCACCATACATTGCAGATTTCGTTGGCAAAACTCTGAAAGTACTGAACTAATCCCTTTGTTAATAGCCGGAGACAATTGTCAGTCTTATTACACGTTATGTTAGGAAACAAACATCACGCTCCAGTAAAATTACTGTTTACGACAGCCAAAAGGATTTCTTCGAAATGGTTTAAAACATAATCACGGTCTTACGATGTAATTTCACCGAGGTAACGTTCCTCAAGGTAAATATTGTCATGGTTATTATGATGTATTGTACATCTAGCATTACAGAATATTACTGTGCGTATGTCACAGTTACTTTAATTCTTAAAAGCTGCAAAATTTATTGCACTTTACACATCATAAAACTATAAAGTGCATTTCAAAAATACTGTAACTCTTGACTGTACTTTTCGCTGTTACGTACAACATAACATCACCACAAAAATATTTACTGAGTGAGTTTACAAAATGATAGATGTATGTGTAACTTACTATCAGCACAACATAACGTGTTGGTGGCACAGAATCCCGGGCCGTTATCTATGATGCATAACGGTAGTGGACAGGCGTGCACGTTCTGGCAGCCAACGTCTTCTTTGCACTCGTCTACAGTACAACAAACACGTTCGTTCACGCAGATCCCATTGCTTTTGGCTCCTGCAAAATGTCATTAAACCTCTATCAACGGAAATGAAATTGCAAATATATTATGTTTAACCATACGTATAGTATTATGTTTCAACAATTGCTACAAGACAAGCTATTGTTAAGCAAAGGCATAGTTAATATAAATACAAGTATTAAACAAGGTTAGGGTAAGATATGGCTAAAAACGTCATAAAACAAAAAGATCTGGATGACCCACAAAATGTTTTCTAATATCTGTTGCTAATCTTGCCAGAATTAAGGTAAAGGAAGTGGGATTTAGTTACAAAAACTACAATAACATCAAAGAATACCATGTCAAAACTTACCACAGATTCCGCAGGTATCTACCGTAATGTCAGTCGATGGAAGTGGATTCACAACTGGTGCCGTCTGCTGGTTACTCCTCCCGATCCTTCGGTAGGGACACGAGTTGAGGAAGCATCCGTCGACGTAGAAGGTGACGGTGAGGAAAGCGAAGACCAGTGTCAGTGTCCTATCACCCATGTTCAGCGAGATGTCAATGGCGCTTCTAATGTAAACTCAAGGTTACCGGCAGAGGCGTGGTTACACATTTACAACGACGTAAACCCCTTACAATCCAAATCCGCCCGGTTTAGCAATCTTCACGACATTCTCCATTAAACAAATTACATTTGGGAAATAAGCTGATATGGTCATCTTAAGAGGAACTACATATCATTGTTCTGTAGTCATTTACAGCGACGTTATACAAAGCCCATGCTTACCCCGCTAAACAAACAATAATCTGTTTTGCATGAGGATATGTCATCATCTACAGAAATGTTACGTTTGGTGACATTTCATCTGATCCTGACGTTTTTTACGAGTTCTGAGTGCACATGACGTGCCACGGTGACATTTCTGTTCACTACAATAGCCTCGAGCCGCCTACGTTGTAAATCCAACTTGGTTTTGTAATTTTAATTTTAAAATTAAAAAAACGGTGGTCAGTATCAACGAAACTATATGAACTTCAAAGATTATAATAAAGATCTACTTCCCAAATCTAACTTTACTACCCAAACCCCCGAATAATAATAAAAGTTTATTTGATTACAATATAAAACAATCTCTTTCTCCAGAAAGACGTACTCGTTTTGTACCAACAGTTAATATACAACAATAAGAGAGATGGATGAGATGATGGCAGCAGTTCCACTTTAAAATGCAAAAGTCTCGTTAATGAGATGAGGAAGATCACCGGAAAAGAAAGAAACATCCTCACACTTTCTGACATTACACATGACTTGCCCTTTTAAGTTGCTCATTATACTGAATATTAAAGTTGTGTTTAGTATAATGTCAGAGGAATGTTTAGGCTGATATGTACAGATGTAAGCAGACACAGTCTACAGAAACAAACCACAGTGGATTCTGGAAGTGAATCACCGTACATGAAGCTCATAAAATGAAGAAGCAAAAGATGAGTGACCCCTTCTAAACATATTGCGTAGACATGTTCTTCTACTTTTTCTGCTTCTGAACGTAGTCTGACTGTTCCCGGACCCATTCGGCTACCCGAGGTACTGTCGGCCCATTCCGAGTCTTTGATTTCTTCCGTAACTGAGCTTCACGTTCTTTTATCTTCTGTTCCGAGAGCACTGTAGCCTCACGGTGAGATGCTTGAGACACCTTCCTCACGTTTTCTTTAGATTCTTTCCTTTTCTTTGGCTTCTGCTCTTTTGGTGTAGCTCCTTTGACCTTGACTTCATCTAACTCTGAGTAGACGGCTTGTTTCGCTAGCTCTTTCTCTCGCCGTTCCTTCTCTCTGGCTTCCCGACGTGCTCTTCTCTGTGCTCGCCGTGCTTCTCGATCTAACAGGTAGTGCTGATACTCGATTTGTCGTGCCAACACGTACTCCATGAACACGTACAAGCACTGAAATTATATGAAATAGTAATATTAATCACCCTTGCCATTCCAAAGAGTAAGAGTTAGTTTTTTGGGTTAATAAGGTCTTTTGCTACAAAGCGACGACTAATTTTCAAATTTATTTCCGAGTGTTGAAACATCGCTTATACGCACTCAAGGCTCCTCACAAAAGCTCTAATATGCCCGGAAATCCAGTAGTTTATTTATGGAGATTAACTCACGTTGCAGGTTTTGACGTGCTTAATGTTTACTTATAAGTTTAAAATACCCTCCGGAATCTGGATTTAGAACTACTCAACCCCGATATACCCTACAAACGTAATCAAAGTTTATACTTGTGATTAGGTTGTAAAACTTAAGAAGTTTAATCAAAAATAGTACGTCAAAGGGTGTTGCTTGGTTAAGGCCAGTTAATAAACTTCTAAATTCATATTTTATACATTTTGATTTGAATATCTAATGTTAATAAACAATATTATTGTAATGAAAACTTCTAAATTTTACTCCATTAACTTACGCCAAAAATGACAATTAATGCCACAACCGAAGCGATGATAATAGCGTTCCTCTCAAACGTCTGTTTGAGAGGTACCAGACATCCTCTCACGTACAAGTCTGTTTCCAGCTCATGTGGCCTTCTCTTCAAAGCATTCTGCCAACAATTTAATGACCGAGAAGCTGCATTCGCATTCCCAGCAGTACCTTCGGCTAAGAGGGCACGCTTACAGCAACTAAATGGCACGCCACACCTCTCGGGGTATACGTTGGTCGTGTTACAGTAGAATTGCTCATTCAATTGCCAATCCCGGTAACCTTGTGCCAGTGATCGTATTCCGCAACATTCCATCTAAAACAGTAATTTTAGATGCGATACTGTTATTTTGCTGTTTAATTTGAATATTAAAATCAGCAAATGAATTTATAATAAAGAACTTGCCGTTTCTTGAAGGTAATCCATAGCTTCAGCAATATTCGTGTTTGTGTGGTATCTTTTGACGGCATAGTCCAACATTGTGTTTATGTAGAAGTTATCGTTAGTGTCAGAGTAGAATAAAAAGAAAACTCCCATTACGGCAATGACGAATACAATAAACCACAACACCCCTATCCATACTGACTGAAAAAACGAAATATTACAAGTCAGTTTAAAATCAAAATTAAAAAAATGTATTAAAAACGTCAAAATAAGACGTAATCTTATGCGGTTTATAAAATCATTAGGAAGTATATTTCAAAGATTACTTACAATCTTCAACAAAGTCCAATTCTCCCTCAAAGCTCCAAAAAGACCAGTCAGAGAGATGATGACAACGATGCCACCCAGAACAAACAGCACAATCGAAGTGTTGAAAAGAATGTCCTCAGGGCCTAATATACTCCTAGGATCTTTGACGAACGAGTAGATTCCCAATGACAGAACTCCCAGGCCAGCCAAGAATATGGCCAGGTTGATGAGGAAGCAGATCCATTTGAGAAAGGCACTGATCTCCTGCCTCGGCTTGGAGCTCCTGACCTTCTTGGCGACTATGACCGCATCTTCGAAACGGCCATATTCAATCCTCACCATCTATGATACGCAGCCAGCGACACATAAAACGACTGGCTGTTTCTATAAACAATTTGTAAGTTTCTGCGTTAATTGTATGAAATAAGAGGCAATAAGACCGCTAAAGTCGACCGAAGCACACGGGAAGAGGTAACGACGTGAGTGACTGAACGCGAGAGTGATTCAAATCTTAAAATGTGATAACTCTGATTGACAATAACACGCTGAGAAGTAAACATAGTATGTTAGACCATACATAATCGGGTACTAAAAACTGCCAAATTTATAATTTGATCAAGTTTTGTTAAACAGAAAAGACAGTTAAAGACGATTTTATAACCGTATAGTAAATAAACCGACTTTTACTCTATAGTAAACAACTGTAACCATATGACCTTGTTCATGTTCATAAGATTAAAAATTATCACAAAAAGTTGAAGTACACGGTAAGAAAGCAGCAATATACAACATATAATATAGCAATACATATAATAAATAGAAACCTGTTAAAAGCAATAGTCATATAAAACAACAATTCCGTTTACAAATAATGAATAGTAAAAGTTTAAACGTCTCCAGAGACCATTAAAATAATAAAATTTAAAAAGTAGTTCACAGCGATCGCGACTTCATTGCGTAACAAAGTACGCAAACTCAAACATGTTATAGTAAGTTAAGTAATAACTTAAACAAAGTGCCCCATTTTCAAAAACTTAAGAAACTATTCAATTTCAAAAAGTGATTGAGCAAATTCACTTTTCACCACAAGAAATAGCAAAGAATGCCGTTTAAGATCCGCTGCGTAATCAGCTAATCGAACTTCGACAAGTAAAAGCTACATCGTACTCGATCGGTCGGAACAGCGTAGCTTCCAAAATAGAAAGTCACAATGCCATTCAATCGCATAACACAAATCCTGACTTCGAAAAACACGCTTCGATGCCTTCAATCAGACGTTGTAAGAGGATGCGAACGGGAAATGAGTTTTCCTTCTTTCTCTGACCAACGAAACCTGGATTCTCGGCTGTGTAAATGTCGCCAAGGACGGACATCTTACGAACTAGGTCAAGCGACCTCGAGTAACCACCCCCAATCTTCCGGCAGATGATGAAAGTGAAGCGCGCAAAAACTTGTTATCGCCCATCTCTCAGGTAGCCCACAATAATAATCTTGAAATAACAATCCAGGTACAACCACATAATAACAAAAAACAACCCAATTACGATAAGAATAAGCCATTAACACATACGTTCATGTTAATATGTTTTATCCCACAATATCAGTCAAGAATCACAAAGTAACTTTTCAAAAGTATAGTTGTAACCCTTGATCTCTTTGAAATAAGTAAAAAGACCAGGCAACCCGACCTAAACATGAAACCGACCAGGCAATAGAACCGCGCGCTCATGACCTTCAAAACTTAATTAGCTCTCAAAGTTAAAGGCCATCTGAAGTCATCGTTTCAAATATTGATAATACAAAAACGATGGTTCAACGTATCCCCGATCCGAAACCACTTAGAAACATGAAAAACAATAGCAAACTGACTTTATCTGTTTCATTTATATTGAGAGCCCTTTTCATTTTCTTTCCGACAGGAATACAGTCATAAAACAAGTTTACCGACCTTTTCACCCCGTGTTTACTTTCCAAACTTTCTTTATTTAATATACTGTTGCCATAAAAATAAAATAACCTAAAGTTTACTCCCACGTTCTCGTGGTATCTTCGTAGTCACCATCAGGACTTCGGTATTCCTTCAACGGAGGTGTTATCATAGGTCCTTTACCCTCGTAGATGCTCAACCCTTCTGATAAACTTGCAGCAGCTTTGTATAAATCTGGAGACAACGACTTCAATAAGTTCATGGCTTCGTCCTGCTCTTTGATAGCGGTCTGAATCCACCTGATGTCACTGTGAGCTAAAATATTCCTACTAGTGTTGTATGCCTTTGTAATGATTGCTCTGTCGTCCATTTCTGCCTCTGACAAAACACTGGGCTCTCTGTACCTCAGACTAAATAAATCAAATTAAACCATTACATTCCAACTTACTCGATATTCCTCGCCGACTTGACGTCAACAGTAAGTTCAGTGACTGGTTTCGGTTTCTTGCTGTGTTTCATCATTTCTCGAATTTCTCGAGTTAGTTTTTTCCTCTTTCTGGCTTCTCGAGCTTTGGCAACATCTGTGTCTACTTTCTTCGTCTTCTTGGTGAATACAGAAGCACTAAACATACTATAACAAAAAAAAGTTTGATATCTTACCTTGCAACTGAAGTCCTCAAAAAATTCCTAACAGATAGCGAAGTAAGATGATGTACTAATGATCCTAACATCAAATAACCAATAGCAATAACAAGAACAACAAAGAAACAAAAAATTGTCTGCTTTACAAAATAAATATAAAAAATTATTTTTCCGATCAATTTTGTTGAAACGAAATGCCACAAATGATTGGAAAATAAATAAAAGTGTCTGGTTGGAGAATTTTTTAGATACAGCTGACGTAAACCTTTGTTGATATTATCTGTGTAACACGTGTTTTTATTTTGATGTTTCAGGATGAAATTTATCGTCCTCATCTTGGGTTTTCTGGTTTTGGGTATAACAGCACCACCACCGAACAGGCAACAAGCTCAGGAACAACAACAACAAGCACAACAAAATGAACCACAAAAGCCGGTAAGCTTTTATAATCGGATTTGAAATGTTTATATTTGTATTGTTTATTTTAGATGTACGAATTTGCTTACTCGAAATACCTCGAACAAGTTATTAAAGTGCTGGAAAGTGATCCAAAGTTTCAAGAACGAGTTAAAGGAATGAGCGAGAACGACATAAAGGTAAGCTATGATGTTAAGATACAGTTTTTTTGTTTAGGAAGGAAAGATTGCTGATCATATTGATGATTTGAGCCCAGAAGTTTTCAATGAGCTCACAAAAGCCAAGTTACAAGAAATAGAAAGGCTACGAGAACAAATTAATGAAGATATTAAAATACATGGTGACCCAAGCAAGATTCCAGTACCTGAACACATTGATGTATACAACTGGGAAAAGTTTCATAAGGAAGATTTAAGGAAATTGATTCAGAAGGTATGTTTTGTTGTTTTAGGTAATAAGTTTTTTCTTATTTTAAGTAACATTTTTAATTTTTTACGTCATTTTCGACTTACCGTGTTAATGAATGCTTATTTTTAGACTGTGTCACACATGGAGGAAATTGACAAGCAGAGAAAGGAAAAGTTCAAGGAATATGAAATGCAAAAGAAAGCTGAAGAAGATCATAAGTTGGCTAAGCTTCCTCCAGATCAAAGAGCCCAAGAAAAACAGAAACTTGACGAATCTCATAAAAGACACAATGAGCACGACAAGCTGAAACATCCAGGAGGTCGTGAACAACTCGAAGAAGTTTGGGAGGAAACTGATCACGTTTGTTTTTTAAAACTTTTTAGTACGAAGTATTTTTGAAGTTGCAAAGCCTTATATTTTAAATTGAAATGTAAAATTATGTTAGTATATGTTTTAGATGGAGAAGGACAACTTCGATCCACGAACTTTCTTCGCGCTTCATGATCTAAATGGCGATGGATACTGGAATGACGACGAATTGGAAGCTTTGTTTCAAATTGAATTGTCAAAGCTTTACAACGAGACAGATCCAGATGATGATCCAAAAGAGAGGTTAGTTTTTTTAAAATTTTTTTCTGTTGTCATAACGTAATGGTTATTCTAAAAGATTGAGATCTTTTCCAATTTTTTAGAGTAGAAGAAATGTACAGAATGCGAGAGCACGTTGTAAAGCAGATGGACAAGAACAACGACCGCTTGATCGCGCTGCAAGAGTTTCTACAGGATAGCGAAGCTACTGTCGATGACAACAAAGATGAAGGATGGAAGGACCTAGGTGAACAAGAAGTGTACACGGAAGAGGAGTTGAAGAAGTTTGAGGAAGAATACGCAAAGGAACAAGGTTGGGGTGAGCACGCCTATGACCCGTATGACCCTCCTAATTTAGATAGAACCACGCCAGGAGGAGTACAAGGACAACAGGTAAGACAAGGCGTTGGTTTGCTGAGTGCGCTCGTTATTTTACATTCACTGTCATCATTTTCTGCCAAGTTTTTTAAGCACGCTTAGAATTTTAAATTTAAAAAACTTTTTTATACTAAGGTTGTGCTGTGTTTGATTTATTCCTAATTCCTATGTGTGTTTGCCGTAAAATGACTGTAAAAGAATAACGAGCGTATAATGTTATCTTCTTAGCCAATCCAACCGGTAAACTCACAACAACAATCCCATGTCAACCCTCCGCCAGTTCAACAACAAGCTGAGCAAGTTCATCCTCAACAAGTCAATCCACAAGGAAACCAGGTCCCACCTCAAGTTCACAAAGTCCCTAAAGCCGTCGATCCTCAATACGGGATATAAGAATACTGTAGTCATGAAGTAGGGGGAGATATTTATTTTTTTTAGCATTATTAACGCATTTTTCTAACTTTTATTGGTGCAGAGATATATATTGTTATCATATATAATAAATGGGATATATTATGTGTAATTTACTTTCTGCCAATGTAGAACAAGCAATATGTAACAGTTTTTTTGTATATTTATTTTTTTTTAGATAAATTTTAAACTATCAAATGAATTTTTATACGGTATGCTTTCTTAATTCATTTAATGTTGTTCATTGTTTGACGCGTTAAGACTCAACGTTTCTCATAGAGTGTAAGGTTATACGTATCAGATGTCAGCCGCTGGTATTCTGATTTATCTAAAGTTTGGTTCGGACCTAAGTGATTATAAGGTGAATGGACTTGGATGATACATATGTAATTTGTTTGTGGTCTAACTATTGCAAAGTAAACGGACTGATTATACGATCACTTCCGAATAGACTGGTTTCAGCGGCGAAGTCAAAGAAACGTCGATTAATTGGTGGATTGACTTGGGTTTTATTGGTTGGCACTTTTACTACTTTCTCATATATGGGAACAATGAATGCCTTTGTCGAATAACACTTTGAACAGTCAGTTAGTTGTTCGGGAATAAAGCAATTCCCTTTTTGGCGATTATTTCGATCGGATCGTGTGGGAGATTTTATCGTCGATCAAATCCTTGTATTCGAATCTGTTTACCATCACTGATAATGCTCCGACTTCGTAAACTTTCGTCCAGCGTAACAGGTATTTTACAGTTTTTGGTAGTTATTTTATTACCTAAATGTCATCGTACTGTTAAAAATTTTTATGTTGAAGTCGATAGTCAAATACTGCTTGTTGAACTGTTCTTCCTTGAAAGAATACTTCTAAATCACCATCCAATAAACGCATTACTATGATTTATTAGATTTACTGTCGACATCACTGTCAAGAAAGCGCGAGACCAGTGATGACTTTATGGCTGCCAGATATCCCCTCCATTTGGCTGTGACGATTGGAAACCTAGTCCAGGTCAGACAATTAGTCGAGAAAGGGATTAGCCGCATCGATGACGAAGATGAAAGAGGTAATACTTACAGGTTAATTTGCGATTGTTGTGACTTTTTGATGAAAAATTTAAAAAGTGATTTTAAAAACTTAAAAGTTACATAAAACAACCTTTTTAGCTAAAAAAATACCCATTTCCACCCGCCCTGTGTCGGTTAAATCCAAACCCTTATTTTTCACAGGTGGATACCTCCTCTCCCCTAGAAACGACCCTGGTAGCAGTTATAATAGTCATTCATTATATCAGCGAGAGCAACCTCTTATAATCTGTTTATATCTATAACATTTGATAAAGATGCCTTTATCGGTAGTATAATATTAAAACCTTTATCTATAATATATTATTATAACCTTTAAAGGTCAAATTGCACTTCACTTGGCAGTGTTGTCGCCAGATACTGACATCACCGAGTATCTGATAAGGAACAAGACTTGTGTCGACCATTCTGATTACTTCCAGTGTACAGCGTCACATTTGGTGGCCAAGTACAACAAGATGGACCAGTTCAACTTGTTAATGGCAGCCGGTGCCGACTTTACATTAAGGGATCGGAGCGGGAAATCAGCGTTTGACGTTGTCTGTGAGTTTGGGGGAACACCCATGCTTTTGAAGCTCATAGACAACGGTATTCTGAAGAAGAACTTTGAGAACGATAGCGTTCACACTTTACGACAACACTCTGCTCTACACTTGGCGGCTAGAAACGGACACGTTGAAGTAACTAATTTTAATTTGAAAAGTGTGCAAAATTACATAGTCTTGCTATAATTTAAGAACACAATCATCCACATTCCTTTCAAAACATTTATTGTATTTTAGGTATGTTACTATTTGATCACCAATGGATTCCCCATCAATATCAGAACTACGCGCGGATCAGCCTTACATGAAGCTATCTCTGAAAAACAAATCGCTGTGATCACATTCTTGCTTAACGTACGTTACATAAATTTTGCAGTAGAACAAAAAATTATTATACTAAATGAACAACTCTTCCTACGTCTATTTTTGCCTTACTTCAACTTCAAATGTAATTCCTCAAACATTTTAGCACCACATTGACCTCCGTATATCTGACAGCCATGGTGTCACAGTGGTGGACCTGTTTGCTCAGTTCTGCGATAACCGCAACAAATTCAGCACGGAATTGGGTCTGCTATTGCGGAGTAAGGATTATTTTAAACCGTCTTGAATATGCAAAATAAGAGGCCTTCGGAATAATCGAGCCGCCTGAGAACAAAAAAAGCGACCCGCGCAATTGGGTGGCCTCTCTGACAGGCTCTTCGAGGGCCAGCAACAACTGGTGGGTGCCAGTTGCATTGCTAACCACACAGAACCGGTATCCAGCCGAGTTCGGATGGTTTCGTTTTTCGGTCAGCTGCCAATCGACGTAAGAGAAGATTCTCGACTTTCATCCACAAATGCTTCCAATTCCCGACTTTCACCGAGAAATGCCCGAGATTCTTCATTTCTCAAATGTTTGAGATTTTCAAGTTTTTGTTTTCAACTCCATTTGATCTGTCTTTAAAGATCGTTAAAGCATTAAGCGAATTGATGAAACCTTAAGCCCGTCTCTGTAGTCATTTTACGGCGAAAAAAAGACTGGCGGAACCATTAAAGCCTAAAATATGTTGCTCCGTAGTGCTGCGTTTAGTTTTGCAATTTTAAATCTGAATTTGACTTTATATTGTCAACAGTAGATTTAAAAACTTTAAAATGTGTACGTGACCGGTTTGACGTGAAATACTTTTAAAATTTGCAAAATTTAAACCTAGCGGCTATTGACAAAAAATATTACTTATCTGAAGAATCTGACTACTTCTTACTTTTGTATAGCAACTCAGATTAGTAACATCGCACATACCCAATATAGAGGTTTTGCCATTTGTTTTGCGAATACCTTCACTTTACTTTGTAATGTTTTTGCTACAGCTGCGCGCAAACAGTTCATCTGAATTTTGGCTTTTTCCTCTCCGAAAATGGTTATCAATGGGGGTTCCCGCTGCGTAAGGCTACCTTCTTTTTGCACACGTCGCTTTCCCGCTACTTAATTCGTTACGAGTAAAACGTAATTAGCATAAGACACAAATCATGTCTTCATAAAACAGGGGCAGGGGGAGCGCGCCAAGGACGGGCGGGGGCAGGGAGGGTAATGGACAGAGTGAACGTCGAAGAGTAAGATCCACTCGACGCTCGATCTCCGCGCTTTTTATGCCAGTTTCGTGTTAATATTAATTTATGCAAATTTTCGCAAGCGAAAAACACTACTACAATCGTATAATTTTATGAGTTTGTTGTTGTTATAATAGTAATTTGGGCGGTTTTACGTTTACGCAGGTTTTTTCAACAAGTCTTCTTGTTTAGACGAAATGTCACAAAAGTTCGATCGCAATTTTTAGAAAACAATATTTTGCTTTTTTAAAAGAATTGACCAAGAAAATGTTATTCTTTTTATGTTATATGTTATTTCTTGCTCCTTATATGATTATAGCTCTAAACCCTCGGCCGAAACGCCATTCGTACTTTCCTAATTTGCTTATTTTATGCGAACTCTCGTTTTTATGCCTTTTATATGATAGGAAAACATCGTAAAAACCGCCGCAGATTCTAAACATTTTATGTCTGCCTGAGGTCAAATGGGAATTGGGGGAGTTTCGGACACAAGAAATCATGTTTAATACATGTGATGGGCTTTCGAATCAAGTCTAATATGTTTCATTGCAGGCTATCCACGGAGAACGTATGCCCAGGCTTTAGTCGATTACTACGATCCCGACAATCCCGACGCCCTCGCCTTTTATGAACACCAACTCATTTGGGTAGGTTGGTTTACCGTATATTTTGGCTGTCTTGTAGAGTCTCCGCGCTATATTATAGTAGGTCAAAATGTGATAGAAAACTTAAAAGGACGGAGTTTTTTTTGAAAAAGAAGAGTTTTTTTACATATATTTTTACCTAATTAGCACAAGTTGAAAGCTTATTTTCATCTAACAGTGATTTATTTTATCAACAAACATATATATATTGTTAGGTTAAAATCTCTTAATGTGAAAAAACTATTCTTACGCGCGTGTAACCTAACATGACTTTATGTGATTGTCTTCTGCTTAACACAAATATAAAATGTTAACGAGCTGGCGACCGTGTTAACGAGCCCAACCGTGACTACTCGCTGATTTAATTTAAACATTTATGCATAAAGTTATAAGGCTTTCCTTTTGTGCTTCCGTTTTAAACATTTCACGCCTCCGGGCTTTTCCAAACCATATTTAAATTTAAGACGTCTAAACAAAGCGAAGGTGGGTTGTGGTCAAGGGATTGGTTTTGCGCCTCAAAAGTTCGCTCAAGGTTGGTCACTAACACGAGAGGGGGGGGAGGTGACTGAATGGGTGTTCGCTTTTCTCTCCGGAAATATCTTTATTCAGATTGGGGAGTGTATGGGTTGATTGCAGAGGATACCATTGTTTTTGAATAGAACAAGGAAGGGCATGTTTTTGCATTTCGTGGGAGTTTAGTACTATAACATTCTCAAGTTGGACTTTATTTACTTTTACTCCAACATCTTTCGAGGTTTTTGTTTATCCTTTTTTGTAAATTTACTTTTTAATTTCTTGTTTGTTATAGTAGCCTTTAAGTTGTTTTCCTCTACTAAATTTCCCTTTTTTAAACCATCAGGCCTTAAAAGTTATTGAATAGATCATACCGTAACATAGAGCCAACTAATTGTAGAATATATGAATATATGTTTCTAATTTAATTCTTTGTTTTTTAAATTGAAGAAGTCAAAGTATAATAATATGTTGCAGGTTATCGACAACAACAGTCCAGTGTTTTGGAAGGGAGTTATTTTCGAAGAGTTCGGTTACTCACGGGCGGGAGTGTTTCCCCCGGAACTGGTAGTGATTGTAGATAAAAAGGGTTCAGGTAATTTTGGTTATATTTGCACATGTTGTTAGTCACCACGCTATTGGTGATATGCAAACATGGCTTTTGTAATTTGTTTTCAGACAATAATCAAATTTAACAATTAATTTGCTTATTATCACAATGTTTTAAATATATAATTATGTTTTATGGCAAAAAATGCATAGAGTCATTTTTTATTAGTTAGGGCTTTATTTTTAAAAAATTTCGAGGCATTTGAATTATCCATTACTTATTCAGATGAGATGAAGCCCTCCGATCCCAGCCACATCTACGGCACCTCATCAAAAATGACTGTCCGCCGAATCAAGCGCATCGAAGCTCCGGTTGTTCCAGATCTGCCAGGGATGACAGAATTCAGTCGAAGGTCACGCAACTTCTCAGGCGGCAGTCGAAAGTCGACCAGTACGATAAACATGTTGCCTGATCTGCATTCGTGTCACTCTAATTCGCCATCTTCGTCGCGAGCTGCCAGCAGTTGCGCCGACCCGGCTGGTAAGTGTGATGACAACCCGATCACATCACTTGTGAAACGCGTGAAAGCATCTGCATATGCCGGTTCTTCGGGGCTCAAGTGGACCTGAAGAGCGGGTCGCTTACTTTATTTAGTGTCATTTTCTTTATTTTAACGTACATTACAACCATTCTAATTTTCAGATCTTGCCTCTCCCTCATTTGAAACCGGCACATTAAGTCGGTGTGAAATGAGCGTTCCCAGGTCCGGAACGTTGTCCACCTTCCAGTCAAACAATGTGTGTCTGCCTGACCGGGCAACATCTGGGCGAAACTCGACCGGATCCACTTCATCTTCGCAGAACAGCTCCGGCTTCGAAAGTGGAAAGGTGAGCTTTTTTAATAGGCAACTACTCGACAAAAACAATAAACTATTGAAAAATGTTCCTAGAATCTTTACAGTAGTTATGAACATGCTTGCATAAAGAAAAGATCAGTAAAACCACACATTATCCCACATCTTAATCATTTTTAAAAGTATAGTTGAACCACGATATAAAGTTATAAATGTTTTTTTAGTTTGAAAACACAGCAATCTACAGTACCACCTCATTTTCTTCCTACCTAAACTCATCGCCCTTAAGGCAAAACAATGCAATCAACCGCCAATTCTCATCTACAGATGTATATGCAACGTTAGAGGACAACAATAGCTTGGATATCAGTGATATGGTATCAAAAGGGGTACCAGACCAGGAGATCCTAGGGGAATGGCTACAGAAGCTGGGGATGTCACAGTATTTCTCGGCCTTTATTTTACAAGGCTTTGATGTGTCATCGGTCTCCAAATTAACTGCCGAGGATTTGTCAGCACTCGGAGTGACAGATCCACGACATCGCAAGATTATTCACGCCGACATTCAGAATTGGTGCGTCGTGGATGGATGGCCACGCACTGTGACTCCGACGTCTTCTACTGTGTAAGTTTACACTTATTTACGTTAAAGTGTATTAATTTGAACTTTTTGTATGATTAGTAGTACTATAGTTACAAGTTTACTTTTTTAAATTTAACTTTTTTGAATAAAAATATGTCATAAATTAACCAAATCTATTCAGGGCGTGGCTAAAAGCCATCGGGCTGATACAATATGCCAGATTATTCGAAACAGAGGGTTATACCACAATGGACAAGGCCGAAGAGCTGACATTTGAGGACCTGGAAGACATGGGAATTAAAAAGCTGGGCCACATCAAACGCATTTGTTTGGCCCTCAAAAAGCTGAAAACGTGTCGTCGGAAACAAGAAATGGACTCATCATTAGCACGCCCCACCACGTCAATGACAACTTTAAACTACCCCAGACATCCCTCTCAGTCGTCTCTCAATACTAATACCCAAGAAGAATGGAGACCCAAAGCACCAGTATCGAGTATCTTGTCCGAGAATCCTCAACTTCCTCGCTCCATCAATGGCGACGTACTTGACGTTGGAGTGGAGCAGCTGAGTTTGTTCGACCACAATCCACCCTCGCCAGCTCCCGAGCCCTACTCTACCCTACCTCCATTGCCTTTAAGTGCTCGTTTGTACAAAATTAACAGTCAGGACTTTACAAGAAACTCTACTGCGAATCTGGCACGGTCTTCTACGTTCTGTTCCAATCCTTCGAGTCTATGTTAACTGTAGGAAGACGGTGTTCTGTAGAAGGCCGTGTGTTAAGATGTTTGTTCATAATTGTCTGTGAATTGAACGTTTGATCTCGACGTTCGGGTCCTGCTTTGTTCCTGGTGGAATTTAACCACAATTGTAAAGAAAATCCATAAGTTTGTTTGTTTCAGGTTTGCAAGAAGCATATTGTATTCTTGAACCATTTAAAAGCCCTCAACACATGCTCACACTCGTTAATAATGTTCGCAAACGCCATATTGTTAAATAAAGTTTGTTAAAAGTATTACTCGTTACATGTATTACTTGTTACAAATCGATTTACGATTCGGTTAGGGGGCGGTAGAAGGTGAGCTATTAAAACTGGTCGACAAAACGCTTCGAAGTGCCATTTTTAATAAGACTTGCTCGACGGAAACATAAGGAAGCCCCCTATAATATAATACAAGTTTTGTGGAAGACTTTATTCGAAGCGAGAAGCCTGGGGCGCGTTACGTCGCCCCACCCAATACTACCGGGACCCATGAATAGATGGGGTGTTTCTTTGGATTTGCCGTTCTTCTGGGGTCGATATTGGAAACATTCACTGTCCACCCGATTGTTTTATTTTCGTTCCCATCTTTTTGTTTAATTCACCGCTTTTAATCGTAGCCATCATTTTTTAGATTGATTGGAAAAAGACGGGTGTTAAGTTTGCGGCAGTTGTTTTCGGTTTATTATAATTCCTAATTACCTGAGGGCTTGAGCCGGGTGTTGGGGCAGTTTTATAAAGACTAGCGTGCGGATATTGATTTAAAAATATCTTCTTTTACTATTTTTGCAGTTTAAATTGACAAAGTTTTAAAACTAAAGTTTTAACGCTTATATAAAGTGACATTAAAATAGCTTTTTCGATAGACTTAACGTCAAGTTTTATGACAAACAACTTGTTCCGCCTATCAAAATAGCTCATTAAACTTTTATCATAAACCAAGAGGAACATGCCTTCATAGAGTGCCATAAAAGTCCTCGGTCAACATGAATTATTCTGCGCAACACAATTTATTAGCAAAATAAATAGCGGTCGCTCTCTTTCCAGCTCAAGACGGACAGTTTACTTAAGCGAGAAGGGTAAAAAAGGTCAGAGATAGCGATACAACGCACTTAATGTATGCACGCAAAGCTGATCGGTTAAAGAGCCTCGAACAGAGTTGCTAGAATTACAGAAGGCGGGGTGTTGTTTAAGGGTCATTTCGTGTGCCAAAAGGCCAAACAGTTTCGTTCGGTCCTTAAAATGGGGCTTGGCCCATCTGGCCATTCTTATTCATCAAAAACTTGCTTAGGACAGTCGCCAATTCCCTCTTGGAATTTGTGCACTTCATCGTTATGGGGTTTTGAGTAGTTGGTCACGCTTATTTTCGGGTTGCCGAGACGCCGCTGACTGTTTCATTCGAATTATATTGAGTCATCTTCCACGGCATCCATTGAACAATGATGCTGAACCTATATTCCAAGCATTTCAAGCCATACTTCGAGGCATTCGCGATGGCAATTATATTCATTTACCTTTCCAGCTATCCCACCCATCACATTTAATTAAAACGCGCCCAATTAAGCCTTTAGAAGTGTGATTAAGTCGCGCAATCCCCTCTAATTTTGCCATTCTTAATTTATTTAGTGGACAAGCCAGTGTTCATGGCCATTCCGTGGATTCTTTTGTTTTCTTTCCGGATTCGGCCAAGTTTTGCCGCTTCAAATGAGCTCCACAAGAAGGCCATGTATGCTCAGGTTTCCCGCTGGCTCTACTTGTTTTTCTCCATTGTTGGGACTGTATTTATCCGGTCTTAAGTACGCCCCTAGAGGATTAGAATTCTCATTACTCCCTTTTTGTTAACTTGCCATTAAAAGTAGTGTTCCATTGTAATCTTCGAGGACATACAAATTTAATTTTTGCTTGAGACATGTCTGGTCTATATTGGGTATTATAGTGATAACATTAAACACACGGCCACTCCACTTTTGTTTTTAAAGGACCATTAGTTGAATATACTTTGTGTCATTTCATTTCGCTTTCTAAATATTATTTTACTGCCGATTAAAGTAGTGTTTCTGATTCAAATTTTCTAAACCATTATTAAGGTCGAGCTTATTAAAGTTTTCGAAGTGGAAATCTCGAATCTTCAACCTTGAGGGTTGCGGTCGGGTTTGTTTAGCGTTTCGATTATATACAAGACTGCCCGTTATCATCCCTGCCGATCTGAAAAGGAGCGGCGCACTGTGTGTTGGTCTTGTGGTTACTTACGTCTCCGAATTATTTAGGTCCACCTGGAGATGTTCTAAATCTCTTCGGGCCGGCTGTGTTTGTTTAACGTTTCTAGCCATCCCTTTTAAAGCTAAGAGCGCAGAACGCGGCCAAGGTGGGAACGGGAAACAAACTTGTCGAGAGACGTACTCGAGTGTGTCATTACTTAATCCCATCCGTTCGTTATCATAAAGTTGTTTTACAATGCGTAGTCATCTTCTTGTTGAATCCCGCGCGGTTTTTGAATTGGAATTCGAAAGTTTATTTATGCAAATGAGCCTGTTTTACCGCTTCTGTGGTCAGCCGGTCTGGCCGTGTTTGCCCCTCCTCAACTGGCCCTTTGCTTCGCGGCGGCTGATAACTGAATTCGTGTCGTTATCAGTTCCGTTGCTCACTTTAGTAGGACCTTCCATCATTTATATCTTCTTTTTAGCGCCGACAATGAAATACTGGGCCCTAATTGCAGTATCACTGTTACTGAGTACTACATTAATCAAAGCAGCAGCAGTCGATGATGACCTTGAGGGAAGTGCACATATGGAAAATCCAGATGACGAAGACTTTGAGGTAATTATATCTTTACGGTTATTATCCTCTGACTTTATGACTAATTTTCACTTGGGCCATCTTGATTATAGTTTTACTTTTGGATCTCTAATTCTATTTGAAATGAATACGTCCAAATTGTGCCTTCAAGCAGAAACTCGGAGACATCATTTTTTCAAATTTATCATAAAGTTTTCTTAAAAACAAGAAAAAGCCCATAACAAGACTTATCAGGAACCCTAAATTATCAATGAGAACACCCTTAATCATCGTATTTTCACCATTTCCGTCTATGATTCATAACCAACATTACAGGAGACATCGGGAGTTCCACCGGAAAAGGTAGAACCCAAATCCTCCCAAATACAAAAGGTTAATCCCTCACAATCCCCGGACCTCGAGAAACGACCCACGCCGCCGCCCGCTATAGTAACACCAGAAGACAATGGCAACAAACAAACAGCCGGCTTTACATTGGACGTCACGACGCTGGCCATATTGGCTGGTACCATCTTGTTAGTGGTCCTAATCATTGTAGCCATCGTTGTGTGCTGCAGAAAAAAATCTGGTAAGAAAAAGTTAAATTTAATACACACCAATTTAAAACTTTTCTTACAAAAATCTCAACTTTAACTTAAAACATGATTAACTTCAAATTCAGGAGCCGAGTACACTCGAGGCACTCCCTCAAACAAAGCATACGTGTGATTATGACACCTCATAATCTTACTGGTCGATTCCACTTAATGCCATTAAAGAAGAACATACCGGTGAATGGGCCTATCTTCACTTTGCATTTTTTGCGACCCGGTCCCAACATATCCATATGTCATCCATGTATTTTAATAAGTATTGGTCGGTCTTTTCAAGAGATTTATCCTATTTTACCCTCAACTTTCGAATTTCATGCACTGTAATCAAGTTTTGTTTTTGTTTTGCTCATAAATTTGTTGAACATCTCATCTTTGTACAAATGAATTCGGTAGGAATTCCATGTTTTCTATAAAAATAAAATTGGGATGAAACACTACCTGAGAAATTGGCTGTAAATCACGAAAAAACTGCTAAAAATGAGTGTAATATAAAAGTATGATAATTGAAAATCTTCAATATTCACACCAGCTTAAACATTACATAAAAAACATATTTAGCATAAAAAATATACCTAAAATGATCGAATTTGACCCTTTTGGTGGAAAAATATTCGGTTTTTCTTGTTTATTGTAAAAATTTCAATATCAAAACTAACCAAATCTATTGATAAGCTATAGGAAATGTTACTTTGTTAAAATCATGACCGAATTTTCTTTAAAAACATTGGAAATAACACTGAAAAGCAGACAAAACAAACTCTCGAAAACATCAAAAAACAAAGTACCGCGACACAAGCCCCGAAAAACAACATCTCAATGGTTAAAAACCAAGAACTTGTTGATAATGTAACTGTTCGGTTCTGTCCATTATAAAAATGAGATGTTCGAGGAAGTTGACGATCTTCTGGATTATTTATTGCGAACTCCGGATAATCAATAATCGATGTGTGTCACGCGGAAAATATATTTTATAAAACATTTTGTTTTTAACAAAAATATTGTTGTGAAAGTAGTTTATAGCCAGTGTTTTGTTGAAAAATAGTGTATTTCGTCTCCAAATCGTATCTTATCGATGTCAGCTTGCCGAATGCTAATGTAGGTTCATTTGATGTAGTCTAACGGCCTGATTTTTCTAAAAAATGGTTCATTTTCTAATGTTCGATCGTTCCACTAGTTTTATTAATCTGAATCATTGGTTTCACAATATTTTGATTACGTTGTTCGTGTGCGAGAATACATTTTTAAATGAAAGTCGATGTGTTTAACGGTTCGAATTGTGTTTTTCGTTCTGGGAATTGTGTTCTGGTTATTGTCGTACTATGTATGCGTGCCATAATTATTTTCAGTTGTAATCATGCAATTTCAGATGAGTTTTGCGGCTGGCCTTGAGGATAATATATTTGCAGACGTCGGTGGAGATCACGGTGAAGAATCAGATGAAGTTAACCAGACTCCGCCACCGTCTCCAGAAGCCAACAAGCGAGACATAGACAAACCAGGGTACGTTTTAAGTGTTGAAATTCTATTTTGGGTTTAGATTGTTCTCTCTGGCGCAAGTTCAGATTAAATTGAACGAACTATGGTCTACAACACGCGAACGGATCTTTGGGGAAGATTACTGGATTCCTTCTGATTCTTTTGACGTCGTTGGTTTTCCTTCCGAGTTTCTAAAGCTACACAAGACCGTTTATCCTCCCCATGCTAAAGAATCAAGTCACAGTGTCACCCTAAAGGTCGTTCAATGTATTGCAAAGCCAGATATTCCGAATCTACGGATACTGAATCATGTTGTCTACACACATTACTCAAGCGGAGAGAAGGAAACCTTGAGTTTGTTCAGAACGGAAGATCTGGGTGAAGCTATGGACTTTTGTCGAAGATGCGAGGAGTGCAGAGCTTTGTTTAAAATGCTGGGTAAGAGTTTGTATTAACTCATTTATAATTTTAAAATCTATTTTTATACCTAAATTTAATTTTTATTTTAAAATACGCTTTTGTAGGATTTTCCAAAGACATCTGTAAGCAAATCCGTGATCTTACAAACAAGCTGCAATCACATCCCTTATGGCGGATGGTACACATTTCGATTGCTTGTGGTCGGACAGATGTGTTCACAGACGATGGTTACGAATATCTCCAAAAGATGGGTTACACTTCAGACGAGTAAGGATAAGGTTCTAGTTTAATTTCTTTAGTCTTGTCAAACCGATCGCTTCCCCGGAGGGTCAATATCCGTTAATGATGGCAATTGAATCGAATCAGCCTGAAATCGTCAAGTTCTTGATCAAACTTGGCGCTGATATCACTGCTAGAGACCTTAATGGTAACAGTTGTCTACATTACGCAGCATTGGCTTCCACACAGATGATTGAGGTATTTAAATTTTAAATAATGTACTTTTAAGGTATATATTTGTTGTTTAATAAGATATAATTACCTTTACGTTACAGATTGTTTGGTCTTGTCCCGAAGCGAAAGAGCTTTTGAATTGCCTAAACAACGATCGACTAACACCAGCCTTGTTGGCCATCAGGAACGCGAATCCATTCTGTTTGAAACTTTTGATCAACCTGGGAGCTGAAATCAACTTGCGTGTCGCTGGAAAGAATCCGCTGTTCGAAGCCGTGCAAAGTAAAGGCAAGACAATTGAGTAAGTTATAGTTTTTGTGATCTTTGTCTTTAATTTCATTTTAAAATCGTAATTATTAGTTGTGAGAACAAAAACATTTGAATAATGCATTTTAGGGTGATAAAAGCAATTTTGGAGGCGCAACCCCAGATAATTAACGAAACAGAAGAAGCTACAGGAAACAACGTTCTGCATTCTGCTATGTACAAGATGCCGCTTCTTGGTCTTCTGAATCTCCGTCACAAAGAATTGGATCTCAACGGTAAAAACAAGGCTGGTCTGACTCCACTTCACTTATATTGTTCTCGAGGTGATGTTGGTATGATCATCACAATCACTTCGTACGGATGTGATCTGAACGCAAAGGATCGGAATGGAAATACTGCTTTGCACGTAGCTGTTTCCAAAAGCAAGATAGTTATTACACGGTTGTTATTGTCATTAGGAGCTGATCCGAATGTCATCAACAATCATGGTGACAGTCCCCGGCATCTGGCTGCTAAGTTGAATGAGTAAGTGTTTTTGGATGTTAAAGGTAGTCATAACCTGTTTTGTTTTAAAACAGCTCTCTGCATATCTCTACAATATTATGTCATTAACTTTAGGGAGGACTTGTTGAAGACATTGGTTATCTGTGGAGCCAAGAGATGTCCTCACTCCAAGTCTGGCTGTGTTTCTGGATGTGTAAATGAACGGTCGGTTCGGTTTCTGTCTAGAACTAGTGTCTCTTCTGAAGCTACTGTAGCTCCAAGTCCACGATCTTTGGCGACGATAGAGAAGATCGAACATAGAGAAGAACATCTGGATCATCCATGGAACAGACTACATGAGGTCGAACATCAGGTAAGCTTTTTCTGTTCTGATTTGTACTTTTGCTTTTTGTTCATTAAGACTACAGGGTGTCCCAAGAAATTTGCAGGATTTTAAAAATTTGTAATTCATCTTTGAGTGATGGCTGAAATACCAAACTTGGTGCGGTTGAAGTATGGCCAATGTATATTTTTTGTGAAGAATTTTGGGATTTTAGAGTGCATATGAAGGTCGTTATGAATTTTTGAAAAAACCCATCTTTACCCCGAAATACACATATTTTCAGTTGAAAATCACTTTTTTCATAATCGGCGGACGCTTTAAATCATCGGCGGAGGCCATAACTCGTTTCAAACTTTATGGATAAACTTGAAACCAAAACCGATCTTCTTAAAATTTTATGCGCTATCTTACGATGTATATATTCCATTGAAATGTTAAGGTAAAAACAAAAGGTTACACAAAAAAGACAAATCAAACGCATATTAAGGTAAAATGTGTAATCTTGTTTATATGGGCATAGGTATAGTAAAAAAAGTTATAAGGTTTTTATTTAAGAAATTTAAGTTACTTATTTCACCTTTTTTAGTATTTTATTGTAAAAACCACTCAAAACATAAACTGCAACTGAAAAATTCCGCGAAGTTTTATTGTAATAATTATCTTTTTAAAATATAAATCAAAAATTAACTTTTTATGATACTAATAACTTAACCTTTTAAGTTTCTGTTTTTGTCTTAACATTTCAACGCAATTTATACACCAGAGGATAGCGCATAAAATTTTAGAAAGATCGGTTTTGGTTTCAAGTGTATCCATAAAGTTTGAAACGAGTTATGGCCTCCGCCGATGATTTAAAGCGACCGCCGACTCTCCGCCATTGCGGAGAACATAAATTTTCATCTCGAAAATGCATTTCCAACCACAAAACAGCCAAAAACTTAGAAATTTTTGATGAAAAAAGTGATTTTCAACTGAAAATATGTGTATTTCGGGGTAAAGATGGGTTTTTTCAAAAATTCATAACGACCTTCATATGCACTCTAAAATCCCAAAATTCTTCACAAAAAATATACATTGGCCATACTTCCACCGCACCAAGTTTGGTATTTCAGCCATCACTCAAAGATGAATTACAAATTTTTAAAATCCTGCAAATTTCTTGGGATACCCTCTAAAGTACCATGGCATATATTGCAGGCCATTTTCGAAGAAATGATTGAGTTTCTGAACAAGATGATAGAGCAAAAGAAGGAGAACAATAAGAAGTTGTGTGTTCTCAGTCTGGATGGAGGAGGAATCAGAGGTCTCGTCATCGTACAGGTAATTTTTTGTTTTAAAGTAAACGTAAATAGTATGTTTTTGTTACCTAAATAATTAAATTTGGTAGATTTTGCTGGAGATCGAGCGAGTTATGGGAGAACCTATCTTCCCTTACTTTGATTGGATTGCAGGAACTTCCACTGGAGCGCTGGTCGCTACTGGAATGTGCCAAGGTATGTCATAAATTGTTATGTATTAAAGGTTATTAAGTAGTTATGTTAAGGTGGTGCTTTTGAATATTGCATTTATTTTTACAGGCAAAACGTTGAGGCAATGTCAAATGGTGTATCTGCGTTTCAAAGACTTGATCTTCGATGGCTGGGTACGACCTTACAAACCTCTCATTTTGGAAACTTTTATCAAAGTCGAGATGGGAGAAGATACTTTAATGTCAGACTTGATTCATCCCCGGCTTATGTTCACCACGACTAGAGCTGATGTGTTTCCTGTTCAGTTAGAATACATGAGAAACTACCGTCTGCCTCTAAGCGACGAAGAAAATATTGAAATCGGGTATAACAGACCAAGAGGTAATCTTCCCTTTGATTGATATTGTAATATTCTATTATTAATATTTATTTCAACGCGTATTTTCGGTGTTATAGTATGTCTATCCTAAGGTTTCAGATTTGCATTTATGGAAAGCACTGAGAAGAACGTCAGCAGCTCCGACTTACTTCTCTTGTGCTGAAAATAGGTACATTGATGGTGGCATTATCTCGAACAACCCCACATTAGATCTTATGGGCGAAATTCAGATGCACAATACCGTGTCGAAACATCTGGTAAGTGTTACAATTGTAGAAAATATTTTTTTTATTTTTGCTGAAGTATTGTCGTTTTAGAAAAGAGATCAGGAGGTGGAGATTGGATGTATCCTTAGTATCGGAACGGGCGTGATTCCGACGATACCAATGGACGCTGGTCAATTAGACTTGTCCAGCAATCCGTACTCTTCAGCTGTTGCCATTAAGAATCTGGGCATTATTCTGGTTGACCAAGTAAGTTGTTCTACCAATTTAATTTTACACGTTCTTTCTTTTTCGAATTTTTAATCATACATTTTTTAGGTAACAGCAACTGAAGGAGCACCGGTAGCTCGAGCATCATCATGGTGCATTAACCAACGAATCCCGTACTTCAGATTCTCTTCTCCTTTATTCAAAGACATTGCTATGGACACAACTGATGATCTGGTGTTAGCCCGAATGATGTGGGATGCTATGGAGTACATGTACCGCCATCATAGCTACATTGATAAGCTGTGCACGTTGTTGAAGAAGTTGGGTCACTCGGAGCTCAGGAAACGCTTATTTTTGACAGAAGAAGAGGAGCATGAGCTACTCAAAGACATTGAACAAAGAAAGAACGAAAAGAAAAACCGTGACATCAAAGAAGCTCCACCCATGGAGACAGAAGATGCAAAGAAAGACAAAAAAGATGTTAAGGATGACAAAAATGAAAGTAATGTAAAGAAGAGCGAAAACGAATCGACCGGTAAAGACCCAAAGAACGACGAAAAAATTGGCCAGAACACTGATGATTCAAAGAAGACGGAAAAGAAAGATGAAGCTAAAGCTGGTACAAAGGAACACAAAAACGAACAAAAGGAAGTCCAGAAGGACGCGGAACAGACCAATGCCGATGGCAAAGACGCTTCCAAGGAAGTGGAAGAAGAAGTCCAAGATACTCGACCATCCAGAAATACCTCAGCCAACCCCAAGGCAGACGGCAACGAGGACGAAGTCTTCGAAGACGAAAAGAACGAACAAAACCAGGAAACGTGATTCTTCCTTGTTTTACTGTCGGATCTCAACTCTAATGAATTTTGCAACTGACTGTGTCATATTTAACTTTACACTTCCTCTGTAACGGTGACTTGTATATTCTACTCTGTAAATAGTTGTCAGCAATGTATATATGAATTAAGTGCTATTGTGATTGTGTCTGCTCGCACGTTATATTGTTCTGAATATATATATAAATGTATATTTGTAGAATCGATATTATTGTATCACTATTGTAATTTCATATTATTAATGACCTTTGTATATAAAGTTTTGTTTAATGTTACAATGTAAATCGAATGTTAATTTATCGGGAATACCATTGGCGAGAGCCGATCTCACTTTTCCCGAGGAACAGCTGGGTTTATATCAAACTTAAAGGACACACCCGCACAATAAGGCCCTAAATACTTATTCATCAGGCGGACTGAGTGAAAAAGGGTGAGAAGAAAGAGATCTCAGGTAAACTGATCTCGGTTCCGGATTTCGGGGTTTATCTCTTATTGTTTTCACGTTTAATGCTTGGACAGTCGAGTTCATATGCAAATGACATTCGACCTTGTCATAGACACATAGTTATCGTAATTTAAGTTGAGTGTGACTTTTCCCACCACTTATTCCTCTTTGTTTTTGAAACACATGTGCCTGAGGAGTTTACGCTAAAAAATAAACAATCTCAACTTCAGGGATGGATGAATGCATAGATTCTGAATTCAGCGAAAGAAGCTCGTCTGGACTCACTTTCTCCACACGGTCGGTTTACAATCTACCGTATAACTCTAGGTTTTCAGTGACATTCACGCCCATTACGATCAGATATTCTTTTCCAATACCAGTATTCAGCTGACAGATGCCCGTCCCAAGCAAGACAAGTATTTGATCAAGGTGCAGTGCAACAATCAGACATGGTTAGTCCAGTTTCAAAGTTACATCATCTCACAACAATGTTATACATAACAATTAAACATTAACTAATCATATCCCATTTTAGGTCCATTGACAAGTCAATATTGGAATTCTACGACCTTGATGAGCAGATCCACAATTGTACATTCACCAGAAAATACAGCAATCTCCTAAGCCTTTCCTCAGAACTTTTTGATCTCGAAAACCGCCGAAAAGGTACGATCGAAGATATAAAACGAGTGATAGCAGAATATATCGACAAACTCAATGTGCTAATAGAAGACAACATCAAAGTGCTGAGCTGTTTGCACGTACTCAACTTTTTAGAAGTAAGTCTAGACATCAATCTGTTATTGTTTTAGATGAACAACAGTGGAGAACATACCTTCAGTGCATGTGCATCTAGCAGTGAAGATCAAGTGAAAACGAACAAAAGTTACTTCTCGAGGATCAAAAGTTCGTTCAAACAAAATAAACTCAAGCATGGTAAAGTGTTCGGAGTGGACTTATCATTACACATGCAAAAACACAACGAAAAAGGTAAGATAAAATGTCAGACTATTCAAAAGATCACAACTTTTACCAAGGTATCACTGAATATTCTAAATTTAAAATTCGAACTGTTACCAAAATATGTTGCAAAAATATTATTTTTTCATTGTTTTCAAAAAAAAATCTGTTTTTAATGAAGTGCCACAATTGATCACAAATTTATTTATTTTTACATAAAATTTTATAAATAATTCTGACTTTCAGTTCCGTGTATTGTTTATGACTGTGTGACATTCATTGAAAATCATTTATCTAGAGGAATATACAGGATCTCAAGTGTTTCTTCACAAATCAACCAACTAAAGTAAGATAATATCGCAGTTTTCTTTGAATTACTCAATAAATAATGTATTATCAAGTAAAAGCTATAAAAACTTTTAAAACTTACAATTGAGTAGTATATAAATATGAATTTAGGGAATTGTACGATGAAAAAAGAACCGCCCAATTTGAATTTGACAAGTTTACTGATGTTAACGCTGTTGCTTGCCTGTTGAAGATGTACTTCAGGTTACTGCCTCATCGGTTACTGAATCCTTTACCGGAAGACGTTGTAAGTTAAAGACATGTTTAGGTATTCAATTTAAAAGATAATCTGTCTATTATTGTGATAATTTAAGATGTTTATGAAGTCGGAATCAGTGCAAGATCAGATCTCTGACATACGATTGTTTTTGAATACTTTGGAGCCGGATCATTACAGGTTGGTGACAATAACTGTAATCTTAAAATTTTCAACTCATATTATTTTATATTTGTGGGGTTGACTATGTTATCTTTTTATGTCCTTATACCTGGTTTTAGAACGACGGCGTTTTTAATACGACACCTGAAGTTGATATCAGACAAGGCCGATTCTACTAACATGGATGCTGCCAACTTGGCTTTAGTTTGGTCTCCAAACTTGTTCAAGTAAGTAAAATATTATCTTACGTTATTATGTATCCATTTTAGTAATTTTACTCTATGCAATTTTAGAATAAAGTCCACAAAAGACCAAATAACTAACATGAATGGTCAGAACAGGAGTGTAGAGTTGATGATACGACATTACCGGGAAATATTCGAGTTGCTATCAATAGGTGAGTCAATAATAATATCGGTGATTGATTTGTAGATCACCCATTGGAGATGCACCAGTCCAGTGACGGTTCTTATGGAATAATCACAACTCAAGAAGACACCGACTATTCGAATATCAGGAACTACACTGGCTTCAGTCCGAGTCCAAAGAAGTTCAAACACAAAAGGTAGTCTGCGTCAATGTTTCCACAATATTAATCGAAATATATACATTTATGCTATTATATGTATGATAAGAATATGATTTTTCAGAGTAAGATCAGAAGAACCCCCGCCCAAGTCCTTTATGTCATCGTTTAGACGGAACCTTAAGGTTCTAGGTAACAACATGAAATCGTCTTTTCGAAATCTGGTAAAAGTAGGAAACACGAGTTTGGCGTCATCGGAAAGTGGCAGTGTAGAGTATGTAAGCCATCGGCCGCCTCAGATGGACACGATGAGTGCGTCTTTGTCGATGCAGATTGAGAAAAACATCCTCCATATACACAGACAGAGGTATGTTTATAAATATTTTTTAAACTTAAAATTAAAAAACCGTCTTAAAAACACTGCAACACTACATATTAGGTTGAACCAAAAGTAGCCGGACACTTTTCATTCATTTTTCAATAAAAAAGTGTTCGGCTACTTTTGGTTCAACTTACTAACAAATTCGTTAAAATAATTTCAAAAAAAACATGCAAATAACTCGTGCTGTAACTTGAAATTCAGCGGCCGAAACAGTCCGTACGCCTCAATATCACTGAAAGATGTTAAAGTGCCTAAAGCGGAAATGGACACATTCAGCACGGATTCATTGCCATTCGAAGCCAGTCGTTACGATAATTTGGAGAACAAACGGCCAATGTCAGGCTGAGATCTCAGATAGAAATATTTATACCCGTATATTATGATTAAATACCTAAATTAAATGGTGTTTGGCTGTTATGTAATACTCGTCTGAATCCGCCTCGCTCGGTTGAGAAGACTTGTTATATTCTTGAGTTGAGAATGATACCACTGAAAGTACAATATATTTTTAGACTTATTCAACAAGTTATTAATGTAAGTCATTAGAAATGTTACCTCTATGCCTGTCGCCTCCACTGCTTCCCGTACTCTTTGGGTGGAAACTCTCGGCAATCGACTGACCAGCAGTGTGAATCCGAGACTGAGGCATTGCTAATGGAGATATTAATACAGAATCGTCGACCATCGACTTTTGTCTAAAAGCAAAGGTAGTAACATCTAAACTGACATTATATTTCATAAAAGAGAGATTAGATAAACCTTAATAATAGAGTTCCTTACCGTTTGTTCCACGATTTGGTCCTTCTGTGATGTACATCCTTCATTCTAAAAGGTTTGTTGTCCTCTTCGTTGATAACGTTCTCTATCTCCCTTCCAGTAGTCGACTTTCTTCGCATACTTCTGAAGACACCCAATCCTGCAATCGACCGTGTTCTTCCTGAATTCCGTGCACTCGGGAACGAAGGGCTCTTTTGGATCTTGCCTGTCATCATCTGAGCCGTTTCGTCTTCGATGTCTTCCAGAATGGTGGTATCGTGAAGGTTGTGTCCAGCGTCTGAAGACGCTATCGACTGGTGGCCAGCGTTGGAAATACTCTTTCCAGCATTTCTGAGTTTGGCGAAGGCTGTCGACGAACTGAGACGACGAGATTCTGAAGGACGGCCAGACTTATGAGTAGAAACACTTTGAGTGCTTCCAGAATCACTGTTGAGATCACCGATGGTAGGAGTGTGAGAGCGAGGAAACTCGATCATCTTGGAAGAGAAGTCGTCTCTCATGTGATTCAACTCTTGCTGTAGCCGGCTCAGAAGCTGGCTGTATCCTTTGATGTCCTCCATGTTGATCTTCTTCAACTTCTGAAGCCGATCCTTGAACTCGTTGTGCCATGTAATCTCTTGATCACTGATATTACGTTGATTTAGTTTCTGTTGGATGATTGGAGTAGCCATCATCGAAATGGGTAGATTCAGATGACTGACGAACTCCATGAACTGATAAAGAGTATTACCACCAAGTCTTTTGGAGGCTATGTCTTTTACTATCCTTGATATCTTGATCCAGTGCAAAGTGAGTTGTCTATTGAATACGACAATCATCACTTTCAAAGCTGAAATTAAGGGGTTACAATAAGTTTGAAAAGAAAAAATAAGTAAAAAAGCTTTAAAAAGCGTAAGAACTGACCCAAAAATATAGTTTGAACAACAGATTCCCTTATAATACGATGTGTAGATACAGTAGCTATGTGGCCCTTGTCAGTCACTGAAATCGAGCCTTGTCTACCAGAAGCATCTGCGTTATGTGAAGTCACTGCCCCCCGCATTAAAGTTGAAGCCAAAGTGGTACCAGTACTAGAGGGCACGTTCTGTTTAGCAATAGATGGGTTGATGGCATTGTGGAGATAGTTAAGGACAAATATTATGTCTTTGGTCTGAAACTGAGGTACATCTTTGCCAGGAGCAGCTGCTGCGAAGAAAAGGGGCATCAGGACATGGCAAAGAACGGCTTCCGGCCGCTCTGACGCTGCCCCAAGACCTTCGTGTCCACAAATCATCTCCAATGAAAACGCAAATTGCCCGAGGGCTTGCATCATAAAAGCGGCCATCTTCAGAGAGATCTGAGTGAAATTGGTTGGAGGCACTTGAGGATTCAGAATAGTGTTGTTTGTGTTTGTGGACAGATTAGGGACCGGAATGAGGTCTTCAGAGAAGTTATCTCCAGCTATCAGCCGAAGACACATCTGAGTTATGGTCTTCAGAGGGTGAAGATGAGCGATGTAAGGATAGGCTACCAAGGTTTGATACAATCCGTTTAGCCAGTTAGCGATCGCATTCCAATTAGCTCGTTTCCGTGAAGATGCCTTCTTCGCTATCTTAGCAATCGCCTTGTCAAGACGACGAAGAATAATATTGAGGGCTGAACGGCTAGTTTCCACCGACCAGTCGACGACAGGCAATATGACCAGAAAATACCTAAAGTACAATCTTAAACTTTAAAATAGCATTCGCTGTATTCACACTTAGAAATTACAAATCATTTTCAATCTACAATAATATTAACTAATGGAAGACTTACTTTTGAATTCCCATAGAGCTCATAGTAGTTAAGTCATATGGCGCGACTTTCAACAGTGACAACGCGACGTCGCTGATCTTAACATGACATCTCGAGTCAAACATTTCGGGTATCTTAAAGTGCTCTAAGTTCACCGACAACTTTGTCAACTCCTTCAACCGTTTTCCTGCCTTTTCAATGAACATGGCACACAGAAGTAACAATGCTTCTCTCGGTCCACGATAAAGCTCCTTCTGAAGCTCACTGTTGTCGATCGTCTCCCATGTCGCATTCTGGTTCTTCCTATCTTTGATATTGTTCTTGGGTTCGTCTTCAGCTACTGTTGGTGGGTCAAAGAATTGTGGAGAATCAGCTATAAACGACTTTCCACGATCAGCTCCACCACTGACAGCAGCGTCGAAGGCTCTCGTCGGTCCTCTGAAATTCAAATTTTAATCCAGAGACAAAGTTTCAGCCAAAGAAAGATAGTCTTTTATAATCAACAGAATGTCACAAATTGAACGAAGTGCCACTAATGACTTCTGATTTTCTCATATTTTTGAAATATATAATATTTTTGTCGAAAATTGAACTTACCTTGACAGAGCTTCGCAACTGTTAATCAACGCTCTCATTTCCACACATATTGTCGTGTATGATGTTATTTCTTGTTTCAACGCCGAAGGACTGTTTCCTTGCTTTGTAGATTCTTGTTCCAGACTGTGAAGCATGTGCGGGACTACTGCTTGCATTATAAGAAGCATTTGATGACTCCTTTTAGATTCAGGAGCAAACGCGCAAACGGTAACACAACTGGCAATGGCGTCTGGCAGAAGGAAGAAGGTGTTGGGATCGTCACGATAACACAAGTCCAAAGCTTTGAGAGGTTTCGGATAAGGAACTAAAGGCAAGATATCCAGTTCGTCCACCATCTCCGTCATGTCTTCCATCGCCAACAGTAAGTTGAACAGGTACTTTGCTTTTACTTGCATCGCGTTTATCTCGAGATCGTCATTGTTTTGATCACAGATGTCTGCAATGGATCCAAACATCTGAAGCAAGAACGGCTTTCTATGGAGAATATAGAACTGTTTACACACGAACTCCACGATGTTTTTGAACAACTTGTTTGTTTGGCGTTGGCTATAGCACCTGATTATCGTGGGCATTATTAGGAAGAATCCCTGAAAAGGTAATACAGTAACAGTTGATTTATTGACCAAATTTTTTATTAATACGGCGTTTACCTGACTTGCGAATAATGTGTTGAAGTGTATTGCCATTGTTAAATATGTGGCCATACATCGGCGCAAGATGAGAATATCTTCACAATGCATGATCAATATGCCATTAATGACGTTGATGAACAAGTGTAAGTCGCCAAACATGAATGCATTTTCCATTTTTTCGAACATGTCGCTTATCAGCTATAACAGTTTAATCAGTTTACCAAGTTAATGCAATTCTTACCTGACTCCATACAAATTTGTGCATGGAATCCATGGCTTGAAGTTCGTTACCCATCTTCCCTTGATAAAAGCCAAAGCATGACTCCAAGCTTCTGCGAGGAAAGGCAGGTAAGTGAGTGAATTCATCATGTAAGAAGAAGATCCTTTGAGGAACTACGTTTTCTGGACTGTATTTGAGAGCATGGTGGGTTAACAACACCTTCCCGGTCTCTATTAGTTTCTGTTGGAACGAGTTCTGCTTCATTTGTGAGTGTGCCACTTCAGGATCTAGTTTGACCAGCGATAACTGTGGATAAAAAGATCGATGGAAGAAATAGTAATCTCTGAAAGTAATACTATTACGATTGTAAGGTGTAAAAGGAAGATGACGAAATGTCTTACAGGAACATACCTGACATAAGAAGATGGCAAGTGGATTTGGTGGGTCTTGAAGTCAACGAGGAAATACTGATCGACTTCGTCTTCTGGAATGTTGAAGAACTCGATGCTGTCTGTGAGAATCGTCTGGAACTGTGTTTCTTCATGGATCGGAAATTGAGATGGAATCCCTCCATCGCCACTGTCAGGTCCATGTACAATAATCTTCTTAGCACTAGGAACGTTGGCAGTGATCATGATTGCTTGCTGTAAATATTATATAATGTTATTTTAGACTTACATCACATTGCTCCTTCTTTAACGTCTGTTTCATGTCTTTGAAGTACAAACCATGAACATACGGCGTCAGAAGCCAGATGATACTCAATGCCATACCCATCGCTTTGTCACTACCTTCACACGGAGTTCTGACATAAAACATAACAAAGCCAAACAGGTAGTTCAACAAAGTATATGCTGTTTGAGAAGGTAGAGGTCGGAAACTCAAGATAAGTTTTCTCAATAAGGCGAACAGATGTTCTTGTTTCTCTCGATTGGTCAGTTTCTCAAGAAAATGCCGCAAGAATAACGATGAGTCTTCAATTATACACGACCAGGCGATCTTTCGACTGAGTTCACCGACCGAACAACCACTGTTATCTACTTGAACATCATCAAACATCTCAATCAGTTGTGGCACGACACTTAAAATGACAGAAGGAAATAATGGTTGAGCTACAGGAACTTGTTGGCGACTTTGGGGTGCCGCATTCATACCCATCTCGTACTCATCTGATTCCACGTTTTGCTGTGCTTGAGACGCCACACCAATGTGAGCGAACAATGCTGGTTCGTAGGAAGCATGTTGTACTATGGGGGTGGCTCGCAACATGAACTGTTGTCTGAGTTCACATTGCTTTTCCTCGGCTTCTTTGACGGCCTTCTTCACCATTTCTTGTTTCTGCTTCCGTCTTGTTCGTGTCATCGTCATGATAGTCTGACTGGTCGAATGTTCTTCTTCTTTCAAGCTGAGCTCTTCCACCTTTGTCTTGACGTGTGGCATCCATGGAGGGTCCACTACAGCTTGTTGGCTTTGTCCAATTGGAGGTGAAGGAAGGGTGAAGTCGATTCCAGGGGGTGGCACTTTGAATGCGAACTGAGCTCCGTCTTCCAGCTTCAGCCAAACGTGAAACCGGTTTCTCCAGAGGGCGTGGAATCGGTTGATGGCAGCAGATCTTACTGTAGAATTGTTTGATAACAAATCATTTCTTATCAATGCAATGGCTTCGTCAGGGCATTTTACTGAACTCGTGATGAATATGGCTGCGGCGGAAGACACTGTGTTGGCATCAGCATGCATCAGTAACGACCAAGATACGTTGATGATAGCTTTGTAGTCCTCAGTGGGCATGATGACAGCGCTTTTGAGCAAGCTCCACAAAGGCGAGTAGATTATGTTAAACAGTTGGTTGTCTATGTAATGTTTCATCAGGTTGTTTTTGTTGATAAGTTCCGACAAGTCGACTGAAGTGTTATCTACAGAAGCCTGGGCGTCTTTCTTCGAACTTTTAGTTTCTTCGATCTCGCCTAGTTTTTCTATAAGTAGTCCTCTTAGTGCCAATGGTACGCGCTCCATGCCGGATTGGCGGACAATTGCACTCTCTCGCCGTGGATTAGACGAACGTTTCTAAAGTTGTATAATTATTTTGCACTCAAATCTTTAGATAATGTTAGCTATAACTCACCTTAACGTTGGAGTTTTGTAGATTCTGCCATCCTTCAATTAGTTGCATTCTTCTGTCACACTTTCTGTCTTTTTCTTTCTCAGCGTACACCATGTACAGAGCATCAGTAAGTCTGTTACACTGTCTATATACTCGGTCAAAGCACCAGCTAGAACAACACTTTTCGTGAGTACACCCGATGTCAAACTTCTTGGCTACGCTTATCATTACCTAAAACATTATTTTGTTACCAGAATTATAGTACTCACCTTAATCCACGGTATGTTTCGAATCATTTCTTCCTCGTCATCTTCGAGAGTATGTGGAAGATGATGTGCAGCTGTAGTACTGCCAAGGGCTGAGTTTGTCCCAGTACGCCTTTCTGGAGATGGATAAGATTCATCGATCAGATCATCATTTGTGACAGACTGTTTTATATGAGATGGCCTTAGGCTATCTCGAGATTTTCCATTTAATGGAGCTATAATTGCCAAATTTAACTGGTGTATACGACAACCAAGACAAATAGGTTGGTTACCACATTCAAATTGACGCTCGACATTAATGGCACAGGTGTGCTGATCGACAAACAGTGGCCATGCAACAAATCAATGCAAAAAGAACGCAACAAAATTATAGACGTTAAGCAGTGTATAGAACAGAACATACAAACAAATAAGCTTAAAGATAGTAACGAACCTCGGCGATTCTCCTTTGACAGTGACGGAGATTGATAGGGGCTCTGTTCAGTCGAAGAGAACTGATTTAGCTCGCTGAACGACTGTGCTCCAGCCGGCGGAGACATGGGAGGCAGGCCTGGGTCGTGGATCGACGGTGAGCCTCGGACACGCATCGACCTCATATGCCACCGAACACCAGCGCTACAACGCAAAGAAGCGGCTTTCCGACGTCGCTGCATAAACGACTGTGGTGGGCTAGGCAAAGTCACTGTAACGCGCGTTTCTCATAATAACCTAGTCGAAAGAACACAGCAACTACAGTACCAGATAGAAAAGAAATAAGCCGAGAAGGAAGTAGGAGGAAATGGCGAGTAGAGAAATGAGAGAATGGAGGGGTTGATCACCAACTTACCTGACTCGTTTTGACCATCTTCACCATCTGCCGGTGACTTGGTTTTCCGTCTAGAAGCAAGATCAGTTTGATACCTACAAACATACCTGAATGAAGTTTCTCGCTTCTTTCTGCTCGATTCCAACGAACTTTGTGGCCCACCTGACGGAGAACCACGCTTCAGAAGACGTTGCCGGCCTTGTGCTAGTCTTCTCACTGAAAATAAAAATATTAAAACTGATATTGTTGTACACACAAAAGATTCAAAGTACTGACAGATTCTTCAACGGCAACACGAAACTCAGAGGGAAATGGGGGAAAACACTAAAGCCACAAATGGACCTGAATCCGGCACACTGATCATGGCACCGACAACACTCGTCGCAATGGGGCCACTGTTGGAGGAACCGACAGTGTTCTGTGAGCGTAGGATGCGAACGTTCTGAGATGGCGGAGGTTCCGTGTCATCGTTGATGGAGAGACTGGTCTCTCGAGAAAACAGCTTTCCTCTCGACGTGAGACGGTGCAAGGCCAACAACGCACCGTTCCCTTCGGTTTTCTCTTTAGGACAAATTATAATTTCAAGCAATCAAAAGCGGGCAGATGCATATCGTAATCTCACTCGCTCCTCTCATATTACACTTACTTTTCTTGTCGGATCCAGAAGTCGTCAGGATCTCGTCGCCCAAATCGTGGGATCCCCTTGGCGATGAATCATCGTCGGCAGTACTGTAGCTGACTCTCCTTTCTGGATGAAGTTCGTTGATGCTGTGCATCGACCCAGTCTGCTGATTAAAGGTATTGGAGAGTATCGACCATCTTCGGTTCGACATTATTTTCTCCCAACCGGTTGAACTGCCAGTTCCTTTGTGAGGGATTCTGGATCGTGGTAAAAGTTGAAACGTTTCACGTAAAAACGCTGTTATTTGATATAACAGATGACATGCCATGAGTACTAGTACTGGTGGGCAGTGCTCTCCTGATGCGTCGTTGACGGTGGCGTCGTCGAAGAAGTCCTCGATGTCATCAAAAGTCTTGAGACGTCGTTTCTCATCAGCATCCTTCGGCGTATCAACTTCTTTTTCCAAGAACCGTTGAAGCCGTGCCCCCAACTAAAAGATAGCCTTATATTACTATAACTGAGCTTACCTGTATTCCCCAATCGTAAAAGTTGCGTCCAGCTGCTCTTTGTAAAATGACAGTCTTCCTGGACCCACTGACCACGTTTCTGCTACTGGCTGTCAATGGATTCCCACCTCGCGCAGGCATACTTGACATGTTCGAACGCATCCATTCTGGCCAGTCTCCTTTGTTGCATCTATAGACAAAGTTGGCGCATTCCAATATTATCGATGCTCTGCTTAACACTGGTGCTCGCAGCTCTGTCAACGCGGCCAAGAGTGGTGCGTCCGGTACTTGGCCAGGTCGACAAGTCTCTAATAAGAAAGAAAACCGCCGGACACCTTCTCTGATATCAAGGATGTTCAGATTCCTTTTCGATGGTAAGTACAATTGAGCGATTGATGTCTTTTCAGTTAACATTTTGTGTTGATTCGGCTCCAGAATTCCTTCGTTACCATAACCCGTGTCAATGGAAAGGGATTGACGTTGTCTGAAGCTGTTGATCTTGCTAGAGACATTTCTGAACGAAATTCGACTTCTGGCATCGACAGTCAACGTAGAATTGCCGTCATCTCCAACTGAGTCTTCGTAGTTCGTGGATTCTTCCCAGTTTTCGTCTTCGGACGCCTCATTTCGAACAGACTTCAGAAGATTCAAGGCAAAGTGTAGTTTGCCCCCTGACTTCTTCTTTGCTGCTTGTGATATTAAAGGACTACCGATGCTACTGAGGTTATCATCCATTGAAGGCTGGTTTCTGGGCGTCGATGGACTTGAGTCTCCTTCGCTTTCGTCCGCATTAATGGTCGTTTGGTGCTAAAATTGATAATTTCGGTAAAATATAGTTAAAATGGCAGTTTTTGCAAACAATTACTTTAAAGGTTACTTACTTTATCACCTTTTCTTTTAAATAAACCGCGTCTTAAAGAAGCATTGTCTTTATTGTGAGACGAAATGGACCCTTCTGTGCCCAATCTGGTACTCAAACTATCGTTGCGAGACCGGTTTCCACTATCTTCTCCTTCACTCTTTATCCTGGCTGTCATCGCACTCAATGCTGACCGTCGCAGAGGATTACCGTGGTATTCATGTACGTAGGCGAAGAATAATTGCACGTCATGATACAGCCCGATGTTTTCTGGCAATGTGATTTCATTGGTCTTATTCATGAGTTTCGTAATCAGTGGATTCAGAAGTGTGTTTAAGATGATGCCTTCCATCCCCGAGTTGTTTTCGTTGAAGTTGTTACGATAGGTCGGCACTTTGTTATCTTTCAATGATGATCTTCTACGTTGTGATAGAGCAGACCGTGATCTTGCTTGGCCTGGGTCAAATTCGCAGAATGAGGTCATGGCATGTAGGTAATCTAAAAGTGCTTGACAACTAGTCCCTAGCACTTGAGACTTGAGAATGGTGGTCAACACACTCTCCTTGCTCCTGTACATCTGGGAAAGCAGATTCTTGAGTTTGATTCTCATAAAGTCGGCTTGGGGAGTCCTCATTCCTTCGTTACATCCATTTGGACATCCGAGGTGAGAGTAGACCTTCAGAACTATTTTTGTAACGTCTTCGAAGATGGTGAGGGTTCCGAGGTTGGGCATCGTCAACATGATGTCACAAATGTTGAGTATGATTTCCAGAATCCTGATAGCTGAACATCGTTCTACTACTCCTACTAGGGCCTTCATCAGAACATGAAGCTTCAGATGCCCGTTAGGCAAAATGAATAGGGAACTTCCTAAGGCCTCTGAGTAATGTTGTCCTCCCCCGTTGTCTAGCACTTCTTCTTCATTGATGGCATTCACACTGATGTTAGATGGCATTGATATTGATGGCTCGCTTCTGAAGATATAATTTTTAAAGATCCTTATTAGTATAGCAATGTTAATATTCAACTTGAATTACTCACTTGTTCCTTCTGTGTTTCCCATTGAGTTTAGAGCTGTGCTTTACTGCAGGCAATGTGTTAACACTCACTCGTCGTTTGTCAGCGACCACCTTTAGTTTGATGGTGTTCTTTTCAGACCTAAAATTTGTATTTTTTTATTTTTGTACATAACTATGGTTTGAATATAGTAAACTTCAGTGGTATATTTACCCTTTGCTCTCCACATTGAAGGCTACTTTTGTTTTTGATTCATCATTGTCAGTCATGTTTTTATCAGATCCGATGCTTCTTTGAAACATTTCGGAACGTTCCTGCAAGTCCGTCCACGTCAAGTATTCAGGACAGTGTAGGTCGTGTTTGGATCCCCGAGGAACAACGTTCGGCACGGAATTGGAACGGCAGCGGAACGTTGACTCAGAGACAAGACGATACTGTCGAATCTCGGTCAGACGGTTCAGGAAGTACTTGGTAGCCCAATAAACACCGTCTTCCGACCAGTTCTTGATCAGCAGACACTTCAGGGTGCCTACATCAAGATACGAAGCCTCGTTGAGGTCGTGAGTCATCGACGCTTCTGACTTGTCGGTTTCTGTAGAGATACTGTCTTTTGTGTCGTTGAATGTCAAAACTGGAGGTACCGTCGTCGTCTTGATGCTTTTGTTGATGACAGTTTGTTGACTTCCAACAGAATCTGTGTCTTCGGCTGAGCAATATATACTTCTAGATAATCATTCTGACTTACTTTTGTATTTGGTTGTAGCTGTCGACGACTTAGATGGGTATTTAAGAGTGCTTGAGCAACCACACGGCTTCTTTTGGCAAGTTGCGCATAACTAAACCATTATTATTAAAGATTTTTTCATAAAATTAGTAACTCTTACATCATTGTTTGTAATGTCAGAAGTGTCCAGTGATGCTCCAGAACAGATTTCTTGAAGTTGTACTAATGGTGCTTTGTCATTAAAGTGGAAACTCTCGCTGAAGGACCCGTCTTCTGTGAACTGCATAGCTTCGTCAATGTTGTTTAACCCGTTCATGTATTCTGAATCTGAAGCAGGATTAGTTTAGATAGTATCTTAAATAATAAAGTAACATATTATATTAATAACCCACCATATTGGAACATGTCAGTTCTGCTTTTCCTAATCAGAGTCTTGTTCTGGCCATTCGAAGCCAAATCACTGGTTTTGTAGTCGCTAACTGACCTCACGATCTTCGAAGCGCCTGGTTTGTCTGATTCTGACACGATCGATGGCTTCTGAGCCACGGCTTCTTCTTGTGACGATGTAGAAGGCTTCGGAAGCGGCTCCGATATGGCATGGACATTGGAAGGTCTTCTGGCTGATGTGAATTGCTCATCTCCCAAGTAGATGCCCTGTTCTACAGCGATTGGTGGAGCCGGCTTCTTGGATTTGCTCAGCTGGGGAAAGTGATTCTTCCGTTGTTTCACTGGAGCCGCGAAACACAGCACATCAGGCTGGCGAAACTGAAAACAATGTCATTTCTAACAGAGTATAACCATGACAAGTGATTCAATTAACATATGTAGGGAGAAATAATCAAATTAATAATATTGTGAGCGATAACCCAATTATAATTTTGTATCGATTCGTATCCTCCAAATCCACTTACTTGCCACAACGCTTGCCACAGACGTAATCCACTTTCCAATCTGATGTGACTCTCTATCTCTTCCTCCTTTATGACATGACACAATGGAGTAATCAAGTAGACAAACATCTGTATGCAAGGTATTGAATAGGTCAGCTTCTTCAGCGATACTTCAATAGCTTCTCCTTCGTTCTGTAAATGGTTATTTACTTTAAAGGCCTCAGTACACAAACAATATTTTAGGTATTGAAATAAAAATTAGCTTTTAAGTTACTGTATCTTCATACACATACCGTTTCATTGCATTCGTGAGCAGCATCAAGTATCAGCCAGTGCAATATGTACATTATCTTGACCAGGGACCCACTCATCGGAAGACTTTCATCTTCATTCGCTCGTACAGCCAGTAGAGCACCACAACACTAAAAATATGGTTTAGGCATCATAACCTTTATATTAAAAAATACATTAAAAAAATAACTTTTAACACTTGATATGTGATCCGAAAGCAATATTAACATACCTGAACAATGTGAGGGAACGCCGCCCTGACGAATCTCCACCGTGATACAGAAGCGATGGCATCAGACAGACTAGGACTCAGTCCGTGCAATATGTTCTGTACCACAACCCGTTCGAACGTCTGAAAGCATAACCAGAGGCATAAATCATCTTTCCTCAACACGAATGTTCTTTGTTCCACCGGCTATTTCCGGCCTTGTTTCGGGCCGAAGCCAACATTAAAATTCTGAATCCCAACTTACCACGCACGAGGACTCGTGTAGCTTCCCGATTTTGGCTCCCAGGAATGGACTGCAAATAAAATTTGTTTCAAAGAGTACATAGTTAAGATTAATAAGAGACAAGCTTACTTGGTCTGGCGCCAGAGAAAGGTCTGGATTGGCAAAGGAACCGGTTCACATTCCCCGCTGTCGTCTTCATCGTCGTCTGACCTGAACAGAATTGAATTACCAGAATGTTGATGGTTTATTCGAACTCACCATTTCGAGTTTTTACCTGACCCGGGTGCCGTAGTCAAGGGCATCATTAGCAGCTGTACCGTGCCGTGATGCTGATGCTGCAAATACCGCACGTACATGATTAAGACAGTTTAGGGCATGAAAGAGGGGAACCAAAGCATCAGGTAGACAATAAAAGGCCGTAGAAGAAAGGTTACGCTGTGAAGGCGGGCTTTCTGGAAGTCGAAGTTAAAAGAGTGCGCCGGCAGAAGAACAAAATCACAATGCTCCTCTGAATATGACGCTGTGTGGTGTTGTGTTGGGTGCCAAAAAATGTTCTCAGAAGCTTTCAAAAGTCTAACTCAAGCCGAACAAGTGTGCCAAGAAGGCAAAGCACAACAGCGTCGAATACTTTAATGCACACACTAAGAATCACGTCTGTTCACGCGGAACCGGCCACATAATTGGCTTTGTTTAATGGAGCGCAGTGGGTTTTAAGTGCTGGTGAAGACGGAAACTGAAGCCGGGACTCCACATTCATCCGAAGACGAGTGCGGGGGAAAGGCATACCCGATTAAAGTAGCCGGGTTTGTTTGGCCTGCGGTTAATTCGACTCATGAATCTTTAATTTGACCAACCGGAATTGAGTGTGCCGTCCTTGCAGGACAAAGAGTCTATATTACTCTTTTCGGCCTTCTGGTCGGCCAGATGTCACTACCTACACTTTCGGCACACGTTGTCAGCCGACTTTCCTCTGGTCAAACTTTCCGAAATTGGAGGCTGTTTGTGATGAAACTGTTCTTTAGGTATTACCTAACAATCTGTTGAAGATGTTAATTTCTAATAAAAGCTTCCTTTACATGTGACAGTTGTTATGGTAAGCAAAGTGAAACTACTTCTATAAAACTTTTAACAATTTCAGTCGTTTTCAAACAACAACCAAAATGGCATGCTTTTTGTAATAACACTATTCAGAAGATGCACGCGCAGCTTTTCTTGTGATTTTGTTATCGCTAACCCATAAAATGTTAAGAATCCCATAAATTTTTATAGGGACAAAACAAAGTTGCCGGCAGTCTTTTTGGCCTCGATATAGCACGTTTTGTTTTGTCATTTTTCCGTCTGTTATTCAAAGGATTAGCGCACCAGAATTTACTATACTATCTATAAGCTACCTGTGATAAACTATCCTACTTTATCATTTATTCAAATATATTTGTTTTTGGGATATACTACGCGTTTAAGCATCTGATTTTCAGGAAAGACGGCTTTAGAGAAGGCAAAAATGCGTTTTTAGGTAATAAATCAGTTTTTATCATTAACTAACAACTTATTTTGTAAAAAAAATACCTTCTAATTTATATTTTTTTTGCAGAAACAGGTAAACCATTCATATTATTTTACATGCAGGCAGTCTAAAGATAAAAGGCTTCTGAAATAGGTAATATAAAAACTAAACGGAAAATTGGCTTTAAATTGTTTTTTAGATCATTTATGGATCATAGAACCCAATAAAATCTAAAAACATAAACGGAGATTGAAATAAAAAATTTTAAAAAATTTAGAAATTTTTTTTCCAGGCCCGGCCCGATCTAAATTTTGCTCAAGGCCGGCCCGGCCCGTTTCTCATTTCTATCTAAAACTAACGTTTTGCATCGCTTTTGGTACTCCAGGTGAATATTAATTTTCAACAAATTCCAAAAAAAATACACTTTTGAAAAGAAATGTCACAAAACGTCGATTATTTTTTGTACAGAATGCCAAAAAACAAAATTTTGTGAGAAAAAAAATATTTCTGGTCGTTCAACCTTATTATACATTGTTTTAGCTCGAATTGATCAATGACCGGTAAGTAAACCTAATTTTTGCAACATTTATCTTACCTATTACCTATTAACCTTTACAAATTGCACAAGCGAGCATTAAGAGGCTGTTTTCGTGACTTTTGATTTTCTATGGAGCACTTTACAGAGTAAATAAGGCAAGTAAATTGGCAATAATATTTTGAGCTAATTTTCACACGCGGAAACAAGAGTTCTGTTAATAAGACAAGATATCAAGTAGACCCTCTCCACGATTAAATATTCCGTTTTGTGGCACAGTGAGAAACATTGAGCACATCTAGGCACGATAAAAAAAAGTCCCGGAAATTTCAATTTGTAGGTTGAGATGATTTACAAGTGCGTAGATAGCTATATGACTTTTAGGAGAGCTGAGGAGACACGGAGTAGACGTCGTATGTCATGAACAATAAAATTATAGTTGGTAAAAATGGTTAAAAGGATATTATGGCGTTCTCGAACTAGTTAAGAAACAAAGTGTTTTTCTCAAAACCTGGAGTTAAAGCGTTTAAAATTAAAAGTTTAGCATTGGGCAGATGGAAATGACTATAAATATCCACAAATACATAATGTCATAAGCACGGAAATAAAAAGCAGACATGTGTTTGGCCAAAGGTAAGGGGAGGGGTAGACTTAAAACATTTACCGCGACAATAAGATCTAAAACTTCTTACCAGGCTGCGAGCGGTGGTCACTACTGAGGCATGAAGGAAGCCGACGTTGTCAGGAGCCTGAAACGAAATTGAATTTGTGAGACGGAATCATGGGTCAAATCAGAAGTCGCGGAACCCGGGGTGAGGGGAGGAGAGCCTTGTCCAAATCGTTTAGTTTCGAGGTAATGGGAGAGGTTGGGCTTCTACACCAGATTCCTTTTTCAGGACGGGCTTCGGCCCGCGGAAGTCGTCTTGGCGCGTTTTCGGGGTCCAAAGAGTAGAAAAGGAGGAAAAAGCAATAGAAGCAGCTTGTGCTACATACTTGGGGCATCCTGGCCAAACACTGCGCATCCCGGGACCAAGAAGAAGAAGCGCTTCTTCTCTCCGTACGTCTTCATACTTTCTTCCAACTTGAAGTAGACCTACAAGGACTCGTTCGTAATTCCCACTAAACAACGAAAAATCACATTAACATGTCGTGTGATACGCAACAGATTGCCTCATCCTTGTCTCCGGGATGACGGCCGTCCTCACGGGACTTGGGACTGTGTGGCAGATCTCCAAAACAGACAAATAAACTTTATATTGACAGAGTAAACAACCGATAAGCATATACCACCAGTTCGATACCACGGTTCTCATCGCGTATGTCATGGCTCTTACTTACTGGCATAAAATTTGCTGAAAGACTGCTTCGGATCAACTGAAACTGACATTGTGAACAATGAAATTGATAAGAAACTTTTGCTGCAATTCACTAAACATTACACTTTACACACAAAACGCATTATTGGCAACAATAGCATGAGTAACATAAATTACAAATAATATAAATCAAATAATATAATAAGACACGATAAAACGTTGGTAATTTTTAACTTTTTTTCTCAAAATGTAAAATACACAAGTTGAAGTAAAAGTTTATTGACAATGAGCAAAGATTCAAAACTATGTACAACTCCCTTGACTAGGAATAAAACTCTGAATTAAAGCAGTATGTTGTCGTCCTTCTCGTTCTCGGAGATTATTCTGTTGATGGACGGTAACTCGGGGAAGTTAAAGTGTAACTGAAAACGATTCAAAATTAAAATTGTGAAATGTTAACTACAATAAATATACATTTTATCTATATTTAATCACAATATGTCAACAACTTTACTCATACCTGTTTCCTAATTGACAGGGGTCGGGCCAAGCCAACAGTTGGCTGAATACTTGATATAGGTGCTTCATTGGCACTAACATCATCCTGTATATTAGCATTCAAAATCTGGTTAACTATTGGGTTTGTTGAGCTGAAGGTAATAGAGGTTCTGGCAGTGACATGATTCAGATAGTCCGTAACTCCACTCACGATTGACGAGGAATCCGGGTCGATGCCTGAATCTATTTGCGACCTGAGCATAGCTTCATCACACGACCGTACGTAATCAGATTCTGGCTTGACGTTGATTTCTTCGTGTTCGTATGACTTGATGGAGCATGGCTGGGAGATGGTGGTATGTGCTGTGCTGGAGATACTCTTGACAGTCTTGAAATAGTTGGGTGACATCTTGTTGACATTGGCCATCGTAGCCACGTTGCCTTTTGCTACAGAGTAAATGTGTCGCTTCGGTCTCTGAAGCTGACCTCTTCTTTGCATTATTTTGTACAACATGAAGACGAGAAGTACACAAAACAGTACGAACAAACTGGTACCGATACCTATGATCAGTCTGTTGAGGTGGGGAACATTGTTCTGGATGGTGTAGATAACATCAGTAGAGTCCATGAAGTGAAGAGTCACTGGCACTTTTGAAAATTGTACTGGACTTGAAGATGCGATTACCGTAATCTCTTCAACAGAGTGGTTACTGTAACGTGACAAAGGCTCCAATAACATCAAAGTGCCGGATGCACCATCAATGCCAATTGACTTGAGATGTTTATCTTGTAAGGTGTATACGACTTTACTGTGAACTCCTTTGTCGGCATCTGTAGCCTCAACTATCCCGATTTCTTGTCCTACACTGGCACTCCATGGAACCTATAACAATATAAGTTAATAAAAAACTAGAATATAATGATTATAGTAAACTGTATGAGGTTAACTTACATAAAACTCATATGACGGCATAGTAAACATAGGTGCATTCTCATCGATCCCCAATACAGAGACGTAGACAGAGATACGATCTGACCTACCCATACTGTCAGATACTGTAACTATAAACTCGTACTCATTGTGCAGCTCAAAGTCTAACTTTCCACTAAGATATACAGTACCATCAGTAGAGTTGATGGTGAATATCTCGTCATTGTGTATTATATCGTACCTCCAAGAATTGTCATAAAGACCTAGTCGGTTTACCGGTCGAACATTAACAACGGTAGCTCCTTCATGTGTAGCCTCAGGCAAGAAGGCTTTGTAATAGGGTACAGGAAAGAACGGCGCTGAACCTGACCAATCGTTGAATAACAAGGTCACAGTCATCTTAGTGTTCGTCCATCGTTTCTTGGCTCCGTTATCACTGATTAAGACAATAATCTCTTCGGTGATATCACGACGAGATCGCAGTTCAGTAAAGCTGTTGTCGTACCACTGATCGAAGGTTACGTCACCTGTATTTTCATCCAATTTAAGCATCGACGGGACACTACTGGCGAGGATGAAGTAACTCAACTTTCCATTGTTTCCGGCGTCGGCATCAGCGGCCTGGATTCTAAAAATAAAATTTGGTTAAAAATCAATCAAAATATTAAGGTTCCATTCCTCAGTATGACCTGACACTTACTTTGCAATAAACTGTCCCTTTTCGAAATTCTCTTTCAATGTGACGTTGATGTTCCTTGAAGATGCATCCACTACAGGCCCATTGTTATTGGCATCAGTTACCGTAATAAACAAGTTGGCTTTTGAAACTACAGTATTCCGTGAGTTTTCCGGTTCGAAAGCGTTTTTGACAGAAATTTCGAAATTGTAAGTCTGTTTGGCAGTGTAGTCCAATGGTCCCACAAGGTACAGCTTTCCATTCGGCAATATCTTGAAAGGCGGTGAAGATCCATCGAAACTGATAATAGAGTATTCAAGGAGAGCATTCACACCAGTAGTAACGTCTACTTGCCCGAAAGATAAGTACAAGGGGAAGTCTTCAGCCACCATGAACTTGAACTCAGTCTTCTTGAACCTTGGAGCCTTTTTGTTGGTTCTTGTAGCTCCAGAAAGACGAATGGTCGACAATGACATCAGTGGCGGTGTGCCGAAATCTCTGGCCTAAAATTGTTTTTAATTAGAAGTAAAGTTGGGTACAGTTATATCCAAAATAAAGTCGATAACACCTACTTGTACGGTCAAAAACACATTCTGATCGCTTCGTAACGGCTTCATAAGCGTTACAAGCCCAGTATCTCCATCCAGAGCCACAAAGTTTTGCGCTTCAATTAGAGAATAGTGTAGCCTTCCAAACTCTTCTGAATCCGCATCCATCGCGCTGATCCTTCCGATTGTAGCACCTTGTAGTACAGTAGCGCCAGCACTAAACTCAAACAGGTCCGTGGAGAACTTAGGAGCATTGTCATTCACATCAAGAACCCTTACTGTAAACTCTGTGAATACAGTATGTTCTCCATCGTAGGCATGAACATTAAGAACATGAACAGCTTGAGTCTCGAAGTCCAAAGGCTTCAGAAGGAGCAGTTCTCCGGTGAAACGATTCAGATGGAAGAATTCTGTAGGCGGAGACAGAGCGTACTCCAGAATACTCTCCGGGTCAGCGTCACGAGCTCTTACTGACATCACCAAAGAGCCAGAAGGCAGATCTTCCTCAATATGTTGGATCAACGGAGGGGAGAAGATCGGAGAGTTATCGTTAACATTAATAACTCTCACGGTGACAAGACATTCTGGCAATGTTCTAAAGTTACCAATGGCTACCAGTTTGAGGATGTAGACGGAATTGATCTCGCTGTCCAATACTTGAGCTGTCTTCAGTACTCCGAGTTCATCTACGGTGAAGGCAGCGTCGTTGTTGCCAGATATTATCTTGTAGGTGACCTTGTTTATGGGCATGAAGATGTCTGTGCTTTCAACCTAGAGTACAAAATAATAATAACAGTTTACAAAGTATACAAAATGATGCTGTTTAGCATACCTGAATCACAAAAGTTCCCTTCGGAAGCCCTTCGATTACTGTAGCCGTGTAGTTGTGACGCAAAAATTGAACCTCATCAATGTCAGTTACCTTGATCGACTTTCTCTCCCATTTGATGGTAATTGTTTTAGATGAATGTAGTGTTTTACTCAGCCCAAGGTCTTCAGCAATCACCGTAGCCTCCCACCCAAAGCTTGTAAATGGAAGATTTCTAAAATACGAGACATTTTCAACATTCCTGTCACAAGCTTCTACTAATATGAACAATAAATGTAATCAAAAAATAGTGTTTTTTCTTTAAATTTAATATCCTACCTTGCAAAGATGATATCGCCAGTAGAAGGAATGATGTCCAACATTCCGCTTTCGTCGTTACTCAGCTTGTACCACACTTTACCGCCAGGTCCAATGTCATTATCAGTAGCTTCAACCCTCCCAATAATGGCTCCAGGAGCGTCCTTCTCCGTGATCGTAAAGATTACTGTAGCATTATCTTTGAATTCAGGAGCGTTGTCATTTTCGTCCAAAACATGAACTTTTATAGTACACACATCCACTCTCTGTGGAGTATGTTTGTCAGATGCAGACACCACCAGAATATATTCATCTTGAGATTCTCGGTCCAAAGGCTTAGATGAAATGACTCCAGAAGCCTGATTGATCTCAAAGCGATCGCCTCCAGAACCCCCGACGATACTGTAGTGTATCTCTTTAGAAGGCTTTCCATTGATTGTAGCCACAACTCGAGTGAGAGAATCAAAGTTCCTGTTCTCGATTACCGATATCTCTCCACAACTGACGTCTGACATCTTGGGGCCATATTGTACTTCTGGTACGGTGACTACGACAGAAGTAGTATCAGATTTGTTGCTGATCTTGTCGAGTACGTAAGCTGTAAAATATACATTTATTTAATATAATATAACCTGTAATGTAGTCATAAAACAGTTAAAAACAAGGTTACTTAATCTTATATTAACCACAACGTACCTGTCAGATGGTACTTAGGTTGTTGCAAATTATCAGAATTCAACTTGACTACGCCAGTAGATTGGTCGATCAAAAATGACTTTTCGGTTTGTGGCAGAAGTTTAAAGTACAAAGAATTAGCTAAAAGTACAGTATATCAATATAGAAAATAAAGTATCTAGAATAACACTTAAATATCAACAAAAACTTACTTTTGATTTTCTTTCCAAAGTCAATCAGAGTAGCGCCTTTCTCAGCATCGGTTACTGTAATTTCGTTTACAGACTTCGAGAAGAAGAACCATTGAACTTCATTTTGCTTTACATTCACTGTAAAAAGTTGATCCGTATGTTGTGGGGTTACCAGGTCCTGGTCTGCAGCCCGTACGGTAAGCTTTATAACTCCGTCTGGTCGATGAATCATCGATAACTCCCCTAAAGCATTGTTTATCTTTAGTAAACTTTATATAAACTACTGAACTTAGGTTATATTCACAAACATCACCTTACCTGTAACAGAATCCAAGCTAAAATACTCAGGTTTGTTACCATCAATGATCGAGTACCGTACTCTCCCAAAGTCTCCAGAATCACTGTCTTCTGCTACAAAATAATGGACTGGAATAGAGTTGACTAACGGGTCCAATACGATAGTAATATTGCTATCAGACAGAAACAGAGGAACGTGGTTGTTGGTATCAATAACATCCACCACCACCACACATTTACTGCTACGCTTGTTTCTAAAGTCTGGAGGATTGTCGAGCACCTCCACCACCAATTGATGCTTTTCTTGTTTACCGTAATCCAAAGCGGTTTTGGTGTAAATCTCTCCATTACTTTCATCGACGGTAAAGTAAGAGTTGTCCCCCACCATCTTAAACGTCAATGTCTTGTTGTTACCATCATCTTCGTCAAAAGCACTAAGTTGCCCTACCCGTGTCCCGATCGGTACATCTTCTATCACAGAAAAGTTGTAGTAGACAGAAGAGAACTTCGGAGAATGTAGATTCTCGTTTTCTACTTCAACTATCAATGTAGACTCCACGAGATCAGGTATCAAGATGTTGTGTCTTGTCAGTCTTATCGTATACGAGTTCACATCAGAGTAATTGAAATACGATGTTAAATAGACATCTCCAGTAGACGGGTTCAGTCCAAAAGTCTGGCTCCAATTCTGATCCAAATTGTAGTAACAGTGTTCCAAAGCCCCTCCACCAGATACGACCTTGGTGCCGGGTACCAGTTGTTCAGATACCTTGATTGTGTTCGTATGTTCATTGTTCATTACCCTTAACCATTTTTTTACCGTAAACGTCAACTGCTTTTGCTTGTTCTCCTTCTCAAACATGTTAATTACAAGTTGTCGTGGTGTCAGAAACAGACTTTCGTCTTCAATCTTCTTCACCAACTTCAGAATCCCATCGTTAACGTCAAAATACTGTGATACAGTACTTTCTTCTAATTCCCATCGTTCCACATTGGTAACGTTTATTCGTGCTAGCTGACAGCCGACTCCACAAGCCGGATCTAACTTAATCAAGGAATCTACAGGACCCAGCACGGTGATGGTCTTCGTTCTCTTCTCGATGTTAACACGTACCTGACAAACTACAGAGCGTGCAGTTGGTCCACCGTCTTCAGCGATCACGAAGAAACCGTAGCTCTCCAGGTTCAGAGGCAGCTTCTTCTTGATGGAGATGTGACCACTCGTCTTCACATCAAAGTATTCATTATGTCTTTGGATTCTGTAGGTGACTGTACCATTTGCACCGTTATCAGCGTCTTTCGCGTCAATAACACCAATTATGTGTCTATCTTCGCCCCGTTTGATGTAAAAAGGCTGTATCGTCGAGCAATTGGGACTGTTATCGTTTATGTCCAATACTTTTATATGAACTGATGCGTTAGTTTCCAGCTCCGGCTAAAACAATATCATTCTGATTAACTATAATATAAAACATCGAAACACAAAATACTCTTAAATTTAACATTTTTAGCATAAATTAGGTAACAAACTACGTAAAAACCTTCGAACAAAAAAACTTACACTTCCAGAATCAGAAGCTACAACAACAAAAGAGTAATCCGACTGTCGTTCACGATCCAGCTCCTGATTCAAGTATATTTCTCCGGTTACAGCATTAATTTCGAACTCAGAATATGAGGTTTTTACCAACCTGTACTTCACTTTGCCATTGTTCCCGCTGTCTTTGTCTGATGCCAACACCTTCAACACAGTTGTCATTAACTGTGCATTTTCAGGTACCTAAAATAATTAATTTTAAATTAATTAAAAAGAGTTTCTGTAAAACAATTGAGTTTTGAAGAGAATATTTGATCCTTTGGCTAGTAATACTGCAAAAAAATAAATTTTCCTTTATTTATTTGTTGGGTTTGGCAACGATTTCCTTTTTTCGAAAAAATAATTTTTAAAAAGTCTTTTTGACAGAAAAATGTCTTTCGAAATTTTTTTTACAAAATTTTGTTTGACGAAATGTTGTTTGTCGCTTACTTCGGCTTTGTAAAGACTTTGCTTGAATTCAGGAGCATTATCATTCACATCCAGCACCTTGAGTGTAACATTGACTGTGGAACTCAATGCTGGGATACCTTGATCTTGTGCTCTAATGACCAACTGGTACTCTTGCACATTCTCGTAGTCAAGAGGGGCTGCTAGTATGGTTTGGCCAGTAATTGGCTGGATTATGACTGGGCAATGAGGTCGGCTTGACATGAGTTCGTATGTTATTCTGCCATTCTGTAAATAAGCGTGTGGGTATACTCTTATTAATTGACAAGTTGTTAGAGAACCTGCAGGCCCATACTTTCAAAATGTTCAACTTTCCCTACTGTAATTACTGGCGAACGTTATATAATTATACCTCATTTCTGTCTTTGTCTTGGGCTTGAACCGAGAAGAAGTTGGTGTGGATAGGGAAGTTCTCCGGGATGGAGATCTTCAAGACGTCTGTATTGAACTGCGGAACATGGTTGTTCACGTCATCCACCTCGACCTGAACTTGCGCAAAACTTGTGCAGCCTGATGTTGAGATGGCTTGGGCGGTCAAGAAATAAATGTCCGATTCTGAGATGTCCCTGGAAACGGAGAGTTTTCCACCATCAAGATAGAAGTACTCTGGGTCTTCCTCGTTCACCTTTTGTATGTTAATGAGCGTAGCTCCTTTTGCGGACAGTTCTCCTATCACTATACCGGGAAGAACGTCTTCTGATACCTTGAACTTGTATATCTTGTTGGAGAAGGCTGGACAGTCGTTGGTGTTACCCAGGTTCACATGAATAACGGCCTGAAAGTGTTTTTTATTCTTCTTGTCCCTCATTTATGGTTTACTCACACTGTCATTACTCTGCAGTTTCCCAACATCTGATACTGTTACTGTCAGTTCGATGTGTTTTTTCTCTATCATGGAGGTGGGTGCTTTCTTGATGTAATACAGTAACCCTGAGTGGGCATCGACCTTGAAGGTTTTGTCATAACTGTCTACCAGGCTGTACAACAATCCCTCGAATTCACCGTTGTCCTTGTCTGTAGCATGAACCTGTAGCAGCGGTAACGACGCGTTCACGGGGTCATTACTACTGATGGTAACGAAGTAATGCAGAGGGAGAATATTGGGGCATTGTCGTTAAGATCTTGCACATTAATATTAACAAGCGCGGTAGCCGACTTCTGGTCTGAAAAAGGTGTAATTAAGAGGGGATTACTTCTACTTGACGTAGGGCGGCTAATTACTCGGAGGATGGGAAAAAGCAATATGTGTAAATAATTCAGAATCACCTTAACAGGTGCATTATGCTAGGCCCGTTGTTGGCGTAAAGTTATTAAGGGAGATAGGAAAGAAAGACTCGGTTGCGTGTTGGTTCTCCTTTCATATTTCGTGGCTATTTTTAACTCTCAAGTGTTTACAGGAGTGCGCACGGTGGGATTCTAAGTGCGATGCTGACGGTGGCTCCTACCTTGGCTGCTGGCGAAAACGGTGAGTTGGAAGCGTTGCTGGCGCTCGAAATCCAGGGCTTTAGCGACACAGATCTCGCCCGTCTGTGGGTTTATGCGGAACTCGGGATGGCTGTGGTGATGTATGGAGTAGACGAGGCCGTCATCGCGGCCTCCGCAACTCTTATCTTTGGCATTTACCTGAAATTGTATTGTTATTACAATTTGTCTCCACAAAACCCGTTCCGAAGGCGGATCTTGTTGTCATAGTAACAACAAAGCCAGCTGCATGAACTGTTGTGCATCCATCTTAAATTTAATTATTAGTTTGGGCTTTACTTTGTTTTTATGTAAATCTATGTAATTACGTTTATAGCGAGCATGAGCCAGCAAGCAATGCCATTCATTTTTTTGAACCTGGCCGGCGAAATGACATACATATTAGAGCACCGGTTGGCAGTAAGTCGTAATTAGTAAAAGATTATAAACCAGCTGTCACCGGATTACTTATCTGGGTGCACCTTGCAATGAAAGGCTAAAATAACTTAAAAGTGCACGTTTAGGTACGGAATGTGCCGCAGGCTACGCGACAAACTATTTTTCGTAAAATCCTGGCGGCAATTTTTACGGAAAAGTTTCTGGAGAAGATGTTCTTACCTCAAGATGTCTATTCAAAGAGTACCGTTAAGCAGTGGTTCGAAAAGGTTGCCTTAGTTCCACTAATGGAGCACCAAGACACAAGGCAAGTTGCTTTACAGTTATAACAGTTCTTTAGTATCAGTTGGAGTTCGTTGTTCGACGTGATGGGAATGGTGCTGAAGCAGCAGCTTATGGCTTTAGACGAGCCACTTCAAATGAAAGAAGTTACCTTGAACCACTTGGAAGGTATCAAAAGGATCATAGGAGAAGATGAGAAGATCTTGCCTATGATTACGTATACCCAAGAAAAGGTAACATAATAGACCACTCCAGATTGTAATGTCATTTTAGTTCCATAATCACTTTGAAAAGATGAAAACTTGGGAAGCTGCACTGATAAGATGTACGCTGCTTAATTACCTACAAGGTCCACCTGTGAAGACGGGTGACATGGTACGAGTAGGTATACGGCTTCAAAATGGCAGATTCTTACTACAAGGAAAGGAGATTCGGATTCCGATCGACGCTACACCGCCTGGTTCGGTTAAGTATTTCGAGAAGGGCCAAGTCGCTAAGATTACAACTTTGGTGATGCCAGAGAAGTACTTGTGTATCAGAAAAGAGGTACGGTACGGTTTTGAAGTTTTGACTACAAAGTTTTAACGCTAAGGGAGAAAAACGTGCAGAAGGTGTTCGGTACAATCTTAGTATTACTTTTTACAACGAAAACCCCGAATTGTAGTCAAGCTGAAGTGGCACTAACTACATTGTTTTCGCGATTACCTACAATTAACTATCCTTTGTAGGACATACCCCCGGGCAAGTTGGTGACTTCAATTGGAGAAAGTGTTTATCATCCGGCAGAACAAACAGTAAGTACAAGTAGTATATTGTTGTAGGGCGCTGAGGGTTACCGTGTTGTACGAGTTTTGACTCACATAATGTAACATTATGTGGTGCTTACCATAATTGCTCGAGGTATTGTAATTGGTTACAGAAAGAAAAAGTTGTTGAAAACTTCCCACACGTTGCGACCGGTGACGATGAGATGAAGCTCCTGAACAAGCTCATGACCCCGCCTGACAATATCGGTGATTTTGTTTTCAATTTGTTCAATGACGAGGAAGAGGAAGAAGCAAGGGAAGAAGACAGTAAAAGCACCAAAAGTAGCAGTAAACCGACCGGTAAAACTACGAGGTACAAGACACTGGCAGAAGCTATTGGGGAGGTAAAGTCACTTTTGTTATTTTTATATGAAGCAACATGATTTTTATGTGAAAGTACTTGTGTATTGTCAATATCTTTAACTAAAACAGTTCAACTAATACAACTTTCGCATATTTACCCCGCCTAATTGTTTGTATGTATACGTAATAGTATTAGCCCGAGTGGACCTCCTAATTATGCAAACCTAAGTTTGTTCGGCATAACGACATAACCGGATTTGGCATAATTTTATGAAATTTCAGATGGAACTCAAGAAGCCGGAACCCGAGTTCCAGAGCCGCGGCGAGAAAATGCTTAGAATGATGGACGAATCCGAGATGCGAACGCGCTCCAGAAGCGGGTCCCGCAAGAGGAACGTAACAAGGGACCTGCGCTAGGCGTCGCGCTCATAATTTATATTACCCATTGCTCAATGTTTTGTTTTCGTTATTCCCGACGGACCCCCACTGACCTGCACGATGCAGCTTCCAACATCAACGTCTTCGGGAACTGTCACTTCGTAGAGCGCCTTCTCGAACAAAGGCGGCTCAGCGTCGTTGTCCACAATGTCCACAAGGACATCTGCACTTGTCGAATGTTGAGGATGACCAGCATCTGAAGCCACCACCCGGAAACGGATGTGGTTGCCAACCGAGCAGTTAATCTGTAACCAAAACATATCATATAAGTAATAGATTAGGTTGTTACTGTAATTGTTAGTGTTTAGGATAGTTACATTGTTAAAAAATTAAACTTGTATTTATTACATAATTCACACCGTAAATTCGATATTTTTTAAAAAAATATCACAAGCAAATATTACCGGACTATTCGAGAACAAGACTCCGTTCTCCGGATGAATCCTGAATAGCTCGGTCCCTTCCAGAACATAATGCAACAAAGCGTTCTTCCCATAATCTTTGTCCACGGCTATCAGTCTTCTGGAGGCTTGTTGTCCAGCGTCATCGCTACGATTAAACACGAATCTGTAGGGAGCTTCAGGCCACTCAGGAGCATTATCGTTAACATCCCCGACTTCAACGTGAACCGGATGCTCAAAGATGACTTTCCCATCGTACGATGTCATCGTGAACAGAATCTTGTATTCAGATTCTTTCTCACGGTCCAGTTCTCCGCAAATCAACATCAGGTATACCTGTGACAGATCCGTTTGCTTCAAACACAACGCCGCCGTGCTTGACAATGACAACTGTGACTGGTCGGGTACGTCGCTGACAGAAACCCGAGCTACAACGAAGCCGATGGTCAGATTCTCCATCAGATAGGGTCGATTGTCTTCTGTGAGCCAGTCGATGTGTAGCACGTTGTGTAGGGGATTGGCTTCAATAACACTTATAGTGAGGTATGCGATGGCTTCAAGTGATTGAGGTATTCCGTGGTCGAAGGCAGTTACTACCATGGTGAAGACATGGTCGGAAGGCAGTGGAGATGAGGTTGTGGTCACGATCCCGGTTTCGGAGTCGATTCTGAAGTAGATGGTTCCTTTGAAAGCGGCCTGAAATTATTAAAATTTAAAAAAGTTTAAATTTAAAGAAAATTTTAAAAATAATCTTACGTTTTGAAGCTGATAAGAGATTCTGGCGTTTTCTCCTTCATCAGCGTCTTGAGCTTTTACCGTAATCACATGGTATCCTAACGACACGTTGCCTGGTATCTTGACGTTGTACTTGACCTGGTCAAAGACAGGGGCGTTGTCGTTAGCGTCAAGTATATGAACATGTACCGACATGTTTGAAGTCCTACAATAAAGCTTATAATTTTTAGTTTATTATAACTCCAAGTAAACACTAATTTAAGCTCCTGACATATGTACAGCAAACCCAACAAAATAATTTTTTTAATTACCTTGGAGGACTACCACCATCTACAGCCTCTAGAAGTAAACTGTAACGTTCTCTATACTCTCTGTCCAACGGACCGTTTACTACTAAGTCGATGTAGATCTTGTCATCTATTTTCTTCTCCTTCAGCCGAAAGGCATTGTTAACATTGCCAGCGATGATTCTGTACTTCTGAATGTCATTTGGAGGAGAATCGATGTCATCAGCATACGGTAGTGCAAATTCTGCACCAATCTGAGCATATTCTGGTACCTCCAGCTAAAATTTAGGTTTAGTCATTAGACTGATCTTGATTTAGATAAATAGTGTTGTACAACTTACAGCAACTGAACCAACAGCAAACGTCGGTGCATTGTCATTCTCATCAAGTACGGTGACAATGACCTTCCTGGATGGGGACCCGTCGTTCGGAATACATAGTACCACAAGCTCGGTCTCCTGTTCGTGGTCCAACGGTCGTATTGTGATCACTTCGCCTGTCTTTTCATCGACCGCTATGAGCTGTAAAGCCTTTTATGACAATGTTGATGACAATGAATGTGTAATGGGCTGTGAATGTCATTTATTCTATGTATTTACAGTAATTAACGCGCCGTGCATTACGTGAATAATATAATATTATTGATTATGTTTCCGCGTCACTTCACTTGGCTTGGTATGACACATATGGCATCTCGATTACTCCCGAGAATAATCTCTGTCCAATTCACGGCCATAACTTGATTTTGTTCCGTGGCCTTTCAGGACTTCAGAAGCCCAAAATTACATATGAAAACGAGTTTTGCCCCGAGGCGGTACAGTTTCCGTTCAAGAAGTCTCGGCCAAACGATGTTTTAATCAAGGGACCGGAACCAGCTTTTTACTGGCGCGGTAAATCTTAGCAAGGCGTGTAAATTAAATTAACGACAGAGAAGCGCACTTACTATCCCACGATAACACTCAAAAGTGTAATAACAACCGCAACTTGCCTTATCTGCCTGACTTTGCTCGTTGGGGAATATGGTGTAGAACTTGTTCTCATGGTCGTACTTTTGGTCCCAGACATAACCGATAACTGATCCTACTGGAGCCGACTCGGAGATATTAAAGTGAAGATCCGACTGTGATACCACTTTGTAGACAAGATGTGCCCAAGCAATACACAACAAGGCTTTACACTTCATCCGCAACACTTGTCATTGGCTGAAAGTATATTATCATGAAAGTAAAGTTGTTATAACTAAAACTGACACAAAATAAAAGAAACGCAAGTTTTATGCAAAACCGTCTTAATTACAGTCGAGATGGCCTTGGGTACCTTGATGAAAGAACCAAATTATAGTGTCCGTGGGTTTTTCCTACAAAGTCTTCTCGAGAAATGTCCTAAGGATAACAAAAGTGGGCGGAGCTCGCGTAAGTTATGCAAAGTATAATCCGTAAGCCTGACCTCTTAGACGTTTATTAGACACCAGCCCTCTAATTACGCTCTCGATTAAGTCCCCATTACAAAAACAACCGCAATTGGTTCACCTGGCGATCACCCCCATCTTCACCTTCATATGTCCTTGGAAGGCACATTAATCTCGCGCACTCCTTAGCAAGTTTCGTCGAGAAACTGCACAGCTTAGCATAACATGTTTGAGGCCTGGAGAGGCCTCTTGTCATCAAACAACTTATCCATTAAGGACAGACCCGAGAAGCAGCTCTTACGCAACGTATTCGGCGCTTTCGTATCTCTGCCAGGCGGTTACTTTTGTGGCCAAGGCTTTTTCTGTAATTGAAACCGCTGCCATTTTCGTTAAAATCAGACTCTCAACAACTTGCATACTTCGAATGTATACTTCTAATTACAAAAATCTCAATTATAAAACAAGCAAAAGACAATGCCTCATTACCTCATCTAAATTAATCTTTTAAATCATTAAAACTACACTAATATCCAAGAAAACCAACAAGAACAAGTAATTCATCGACGTCCGGATATCTTCGACAAACGAAGACAACTGGAAGTCGCGGTAAGTAGCCACCCTTAGACCGAATTAGCATCGACTAGAACTACCTAACTCATCCGTTCTCAGCCAAGCCCAAAAGAGACAATCAAAGAAGTCAAACAAACAGAAGGCGATCGGCTATTGAGGGATTTTAATGTGACCAAGAGTAAACACTTATCATTGAGTGAGTGCCCATTCGCACATCTCTTATATTAACATGAAATTTCATTTTTTGATCTCAAAAGGCATAAACATAACATCTAGTACGAACTTGCAGTTTTTTTATTTTTTTAAATAACAAAGATTATAAATACACTATGAAATTACTTTCTGTTATTTATTTTATGCATAATTTATGGTACGACGAACCTTTTTTTTCGCACTTGAAACGCCTATTGCTTTTCAAAGTATAAAATACGACCGCAGCCTGCGAAAAGTTTGGACGCAGCAAAGCTTAAAATATTTTGTTAAATTTATTTTAGCAAAACTTTTGGAACGGGATTTCAAGAAAAGCGCCTCGAATAGTACCTAAATTGCAGTAGATTGGTGTTGTATGTTTATGTAAGTTTGAAGTTGCGTTCAGTTTATTTTGTGATATTTAGGAATTGATTAACTTCAAAGTATGACGCTTCTGAAAAACTTGGACAAATTCACAGAGAACTTGATCAGGGTTCTGTTTCTAAGGGACCAGCATGCTTTACAGCTTGCCTCATTGCCTTATACTCCTTCCACAAACTTGAATCAGAGTTCGAATGACGGATTGGTGTTCTTCAGGAGATCAGAAGTTGATTTAGGTGTACCTAAATACAGAACGTGTAAACGTGAGTTTTTTTGAATGTTACCTTTGAAGATTTTTTTAAAGTTTATGTATTAAAAATTAGGTTTTGCATATTGAAGAATATTGATAATTATAAAATTATTTTATTATTTTCTGGGTATTCCTAAAATTAGTTTTTATATATTTTGCTAATATCCTTTTGTAGTATAATAGACTTTTTATTTTTTAATGTTTTAAACAATAATTTAATCTAATGGAAATTGAATTTTTGCATTGCTTGTGTTTTCGTAGTATTTTGAGGTTTTCTACAGACTACAGTCTCCAAGGCAATGTAGTATTAGTTTTTAAAAAGAAGATTATGAGGAACGAGGTAGATAACAGTCTGTGTTTGACCTTTTAAAATTTAAAAAAAATGATTTTCTTGCCCAAGACAATGTATAGATAATTTACATTTTATAAATCTTTTAAGACTTGTGTTCCATTGAATTGGAAATTCACCTTTACGGGTAACTTACTTAAAATACAATTTTAATGCACAATTTCACCTGCTCAATGTAATATTTCAGCCAGGATAATGACCAGAAAATTTGGTTTCCCCAAGCTGATGTCTGTAAACCCGACGCTAGTGGAATGTCACACCTGCGGTACGACACATTCGATGCACAACATATGCGGAACCTGCTACAACGTCGTCAAAGCGGAGACTGATAAGATAAAAACGGAAAAGTTGGGATTGAGAAAAATGGAATAGGAATTATTTTGTTGTTCGTTTTTGTTATAAATAAACTGCTCTTTTGATAAAGAGAAGGTATCGATTTAACGTTACACTTGATATTCTACTTGGCTGGCCTCGATGTTGTCCTCAATTTGGCGTTCCGGTTAACCAAAATGTAGGTCATTAACTAATCGTTGACGGAAAATGGTCTGTTTTTGAGTCCGATTATCGAGTGGAGATTGGTCACTCTTGACTTTCGCTTTTTCGTTAGAATTTTTCGTTTTTTGGCGCTTTTTTGTTTTTCTGATTTTATGGAAAAACTATTTGTATGTAAAATTAAAAGCTCTGACAAGGTTTATAAATATTCTTTTATGCCCGAATTATAGAATACATTCCCAGAGGAACGGTTTCTTATTCTCGAACGGGATAATTTTAAATGAATCACTACAAACTTTTTAACTTCGTTCTTCCACTAGGAGCGTTTTCCAATTTAACATTGATTTTGTTATTTAGCCTTTGTTTACACAGTTGTCTGATTCAATGTTTACAGGTTATTGGAAGACTTGTGCCATGGTTTTTGGTTTCTGAGAGATTATACTGTTTTGAGCCAATATAGTAGTAGTTCTACCTCATCTAACATGTCCGATAGGACATTACCTCGAACGATCGTGGTAAATTCAGATAAACAGACTCAAAAGTTTTGTTCTAACGAGATCAGGTAAAGCATTGGTTTTTATTGGATAAAAGTATATTCTCTATCGTTTGTTTTATTTTTTTACAGATTGGTATCTAAAAATATTGTTATTTTTGAACTGTCTTGTTTAAAGTCTAAAATTAATGTTTTAGTACATGCAAGTACAATGGATTCACGTTTCTTCCAAGGTTTTTGTTGGAGCAGTTCAGAAGGTATAGCAACGTTTTCTTTTTGGTGATAGCTTTATTACAGGTAAGTCACATATATTCAGACAAACGCTATTCGATATTATTATCCTGTACTTTATAAATAATTTTGTTTTTACTTAAAGTTATGTTTTAGCAAATTCCTGATGTTAGTCCAACAGGAAAGTATACGACGGCGGTACCATTTCTTATTATATTATCCTTGTCAGCTATAAAGGAAATCTTCGAAGATATTGTAAGTTGGGTTTCGCTTGTTATTTTTGTTTTTAGAGGAGAAGGAGGATGGATAGTATGGTTAACAACTACATCGTTCTGGTTTTACGGAACAATGAGTGGGTGGAAACAAAGTGGAGACATGTATGTTGTTTTAGATAATCTTTTCATTAATTATCTCACGCTTTAAAGGTATTTCACCTTTTATAGTAACGAAAAATTATACCGTTTGCATTTTAAATTTGCTATTTTAGGTAGTTGTTGGAGAAGTTGTAAAAATAGAATCGGGGAACTCGTTTCCCGCCGATATTATACTACTTTCCTCCAGTGAACCACATGGTATGGCATATATCGAAACATCAAGTCTGGATGGAGAAACAAACCTCAAGATACGCCAAGCCTTACCTTCAACAAGTCACCTTATCAATATTCAGTTGGTACAGAACTTTGATGCTTCAATCGAATGTGAACCTCCCAACAGACATCTGAATGAATTCAAAGGGAAGATATCAACCGGAGAGACGATTCGACCTTTATCCCTCTCTCAGTTATTGTTAAGAGGGTCCAAGTTGAAGAACACCAAGTGGATTATTGGGTGTGTAATCTACACTGGGCACGATGCTAAACTGCTTCAGAATTCAAAGACAGCTCCTCTCAAAAGGTATGTTACTAATGAAGTTGGCTTTCGCTTTTAGAACTGACTACTTTGTTGAATGGATATGTTCTCTTAAAGGTCGTTCTTACACCGATATTTTAGATCCAATATTGACACGTTGACCAACAGACGTATCATCGTGTTTTTTGTTGCTTTGGTACTGCTTGCCTTAATCAGTGCATCTGGAGCAGAATTCTACAACCATTGGTACCTAAAGAATGCCGAATATATTCCACAAGGTGCTACAGGGAACTTTGCATATAATGTGCTGACTTTTTTTATCCTCTACAACAACTTGATCCCCATTTCTCTGCAAGTGACACTGGAACTTGTGCGAGTGTTTCAGGCTTTTTACATCAACAATGTAAGTCTTTCTTGTGTTTTTGTAAACTTTTGAGTTAAGGATGTGGAGATGTACGACCCTCGAACTGATTGTCGTGCTAATGCAAGAACTTCGAATCTCAATGAAGAATTGGGTCAGGTCAAGTTTTTGATGACCGACAAGACTGGCACTTTAACACAGAATGTCATGAAGTTCAAGCGATGTTCAGTAGCCGGAGTAAACTATGGAGACGACACGGCCGAAAGCTTCACCGATAGTGTTATTGGCTCCCAGTTCAACAACAATCAGGTTTGTTTATTTGCTTTTTAATGTTGTAACGCTATCTTTATTTTCTTTGATAATAAAAACATTTTTCAATTTTTTAAAATTATTTTTCAGGACCAAATTGCCACCCCTTACGAGTTCTTTCTGTCTATGTCAATTTGTCACACTGTGGTGCCTGAGATGGATGAACAGACAAGGAAAATGCAATATCAAGCTTCGTCTCCCGATGAAGGGGCTTTGGTCAAAGGAGCAGCTTCGCAAGGTTTCTCGTTTTGTGGACGATCTCCAGACTCTGTAACGGTCAACATTGTAAGTTTGTCTCTATGTCATTTTAATTTTCCTACAAATTTATTTTTTTACTAAAAATGCTAATTTCTAGCGAGGAAGTGAGGTCACATTGAGATTGTTGAACATCCTCGAGTTCAACAGCGACCGAAAGAGAATGAGTGTTGTGATGCAGTTTCCGGACGGAACCATCAAGTTGTACTGTAAAGGAGCCGTAGGTTTATTTATTTTTCAAAAATATGTATGACTATTTGTTACTTTCACTTATGTCTTTGTATCTTTGATACACTTTTCGTTTCAAACAATGGCGCTCAAGAGTTATAGTACCCCAAAAGTTGTAATATAGTACCCCACCAACTTATTGCATTATAGTACCCCAAAAACAAATTTTCCAACGATTTTTTATTTTTTTTAAATTGCGTAATCGGAAATCCGATTCATTTTATTCATTGTTTCGTTTGCGTTGCGCCCATGGACGGTCGACTCTCGGACGTAGAGCGCATGATACTACATTTGTGCATTGGTAGAGGTGTGGCATAAATAGAAGTGATCGAAATACGTGACAAACGGACCTTCAACTAGTGATTATCGCACCGTTGCTCACAACTACGAATTTTCTAGGTAAGTTTAATTCGTTTATACATATTACTGCTTAGTGTTGTACTAAATTTCGTAGGGTACTCATCTACTTAGTGGGGGTACTCAACTACTTAGGATAGTACCAAACTCTGTGGTGGGGTACTCATCTATTTAGTGGGGTACTCAACTACTTAGTATAGTACCAAACTCTGTGGTGGGGTACTCATCTACTTAGTGGGGTACTCAACTACTTAGGACAGTACCAAACTCTGTGGTAGGGTACTCATCTACTTAGTGGGGTACTCAACTACTTAGTATAGTACCAAACTCTATGGTAGGGTACTAATCTACTTAGTGGGGTATTCAACTACTTAGTATATTACTCCTTTTATTACTATACTAAGTAGTTGAGTACCCCACTAAATGACGCTAAGATATTTTGGACCGCTGTCCACAAAATAGACTTTAAAATAAATTCGAGTTGGGGTACTATAATATTGCTTGGGGTATTATATATCACGGGGTACTATACTACCTGAGCCCCCAAACAATGACTTATTGTAGGATAATATAATGATCGAACGGTTGAGTGAAAATCAGAACAAAGCAGAATTGGAGATACTTCAAGAGCACTTGTTATCCTATGCCAAAACAGGCTACAGAACCTTGTGTTTTGCTGTTAGAGACGTTCCAGAAGCCGAATATCGCGAATGGAATAAGAGATACGAAGAAGCATCATTGGCACTAGAAGATCGTGACAAGAAGCTGGCTGATGTAGCCGAAGTAATCGAAAAAGGCTTTTATCTGATTGGAGCTAGTGCTATCGAAGACAAGTTGCAAGATGTACGTATACTTAAATGGACTTTACATATTATTTATTTCTCAGTTTATAACAAAAACTTTTTCAGTTTGTACCAGAAACCATCCAAACTATGATGCAAGCCGACATCCGAGTATGGATGCTGACAGGAGACAAACGAGAAACGGCCATAAACATTGCACAGTCAAGTGCATTATGCACCAAGAACACGCGACTTCTGATTCTCGATAAAGCAGGCTACGATGAAGTGTTGAGTAAGCTGGAACACTTCATTGAAGCCGCCAGAAACTTTCAACAAATGAATATTGAGTTTGCTCTCGTCATTTCTGGAGGCACCCTGAGGCATGCCATGTTGGGGGAAGCCAGAGAACTGTTTGCAACCTTGGCTTGGCTCTGTAGAGCTGTCGTATGTTGTAGAATGACTCCAATGCAGAAGGCCGAGGTGGTGGAATTGGTCAGAAGCTTCGGAGAACATATTGTTTTGGCTATTGGAGATGGTGCTAATGATGTGGCCATGATCCAAGCCGCCAACGTGGGAATCGGAATCACTGGCGAAGAAGGACTCAGAGCCGCATCGGCTTCAGATTACTCAATCGCCCAATTCCACTTCCTCAGAAGGTTGCTACTGGTGCACGGTACTTGGAACTTCGAGAGGAGTGTCAAAGTGATTCTCTACAGTTTCTACAAGAACATCTGTTTGTACATCATCGAACTCTGGTTCGCTTTCTTTTCCGCTTTCTCTGGTCAAACGATCTTTGATAGGTAAGAATACGTTTGTTGAGTACTTTAATTTGATGTTTTAAATTGTTTTTATGTATTGGTAACATTGTGTTTGCAGATGGACGATTGCCATGTTCAACGTTGTCTTCACGGCGTGGCCTCCAGTTATCATTGGTCTGTTTGATCGGCCGATATCCTCCAGAACCATGATGAAGCACGCTTCACTATACAATCTGTTCCAGCAACGTGCGTTTTCAACTCCGGTATGTTTTGAATCTTTTTTTTGTTTGGTACAATTTCAATATTTTGTTCCACATATGACTCTTTTATAGAGGTTTGTCCTATGGATTGTGATCTCGTTGTGGCATTCCATTTTGTTGTTCTACCTTTCCTATACCTTCTTCATACACGAAGTGGTTTGGCAATCAGGACAAACTGGCGGATGGCTGGTACTTGGAAATGCTTGTTATACAGTAAGTTCTTAAATGATATTCAATTATAGTTTACTTCTGTTTAATATATAAATTTATATTTTAGTACGTCGTGGTAACAGTGTCTTTAAAAGCTCTCCTGGAATGTGACACTTGGACTACTGTAATGTTAGTAGCAACTATCGGCTCAATATTCACATGGTTTATATTCCTGTCAGTGTACTCTTACATCTGGCCAACAATCCAAGTGGGTGCGGACATGAAAGGTGTGGCCAGTATATTATACCAGTCACCTGTCTTCTGGATGGGACTGATATTCATACCTGCAACCACTTTATTGGCTGATTATGTCATCAGAACCCTCCAAACAGCCTTCTTCCCATCTCCACGAGAAATCATAAACCTAAAGGAGAAGGGAAAACTACGCAACGAACTGTGCATTGAAAGCCTAGAGAACTTGTAAGTACACCTTTCAAACTACTTTTATTTGCAGAGGTACACTCCACTATATGCCAGTCGCCAACCACCCCACAGCTTCCCGTAGCGAAGGTGGACTTGAAGCTAACAACTGGAACGACTACGGGGCCGTTTCTGGAAGGAGACGGATACCTGTTCAGAAGTCACCACAACTCTCCGGGTTCGCGGTTTACTTGAACTCAGGAGCATCGACGAACGGGGAAGATGTCAGAGAACAAGATCCTCGGTCGGTACCTCTAGTACCATTAGAGAGAAATGGTTCCGAAATAGACGGAACACCTTTAAGCAGAGCTAACAGACGGATGGCCTCAGCGGCCGAACTAGAAAACCAAGCTAACTGTAAGTATTCGTGTCTTTAACTAATCCCTTGTTCAGATGGATTCGCTTTTTCACAAGAAGAAAACGGAAATATCCGCCAATCAGAGTTGATTGGTCATTACACTTGCCACAGGGTCTAAACGGGTTGTCCTCATACTCATATCATCACTTGTAACAATAGAAAACTAACGCCTTTTCTGAATACGTGTACCTTTTGTAATCGAAGCCATGGAAATCATAGAAGAGTCACTTGTTTATGTCACTTATAGCGATTTTTAATAAGTTAATAAAGTTGTATATTGTTCATGAGGTAGTCAATTCAAGGTTTTTGGCTGTGCGTCGTCAATGTGAGTTATATCGCTTAGATTAAGCCCGAATTCTGGAGCTGATAACTGTCGTTGAAGCTTGGACCCGGAATTCGACCGTGAACTTATTGGATTCGAATCCGAAGCAAGACTCAGGTCGATTAAAGGGGGATCATGTTCAACAAAATCAGCAAAGTGCCAGGGGAAGATGGGCACACATGGAGGACCTTCTCCATGCAACGCTTTATCGATCGTTCTGTCCCAATTAATCTGCGCGATTATGTTGTCGGACATACCAACTCTCCGACAAACTGTTTGGATTAAGGAGCCCATGGACAGTCGACGTCCACCAAGCCAAACTGTTATCTTCAAAAGCAAAATTAAGTTTTGGTTGATTAATGTAATCTTCAGTTTTAAACCTAAATTAAAATATTAATTATTAAAAATTTAAGTTATTCTAAATTCAAAACAAAAAGTTGCCAACTTACCCCCTTAACATTACTGACATGTCTACCAGCATAATGTACCAATCTAAACACATCAGCCAGCTGTTCCACCAATGCCGTCGTCAACCACAAACCGATTGTTATGTATAATAAAGTTGGCAATAAGAACTCCATCCGCCTTGGCACAATATCTCCTAACCCAATTGTTGAAAGACTCATGTATGAGAAGTAAACACTGTCAAAGTAAGTTAGCTGATCTTCCCATAGAGGCAACACGGCTGATCCAGCAGCTATGAAGCCCAAGAATAGAATCGCAACTAATATAACCTGAAAGAAGTACCGAATAATTTTATAAATGATAATATAGGCTGTTTGTGATAGGAATCGTTTAAGAATTGGCTTGAATTGTAAAATTAAACTGTTTTCTATATTTTTTAGAAAATAAATTAATTGTCGAATCAAAAATTGACACTTCGTTCACGAATTTCTCGACGAAAATTTGTCGGAAAACAATTTTTAATTTTAAATTTTGGTTTTAAATTATTTCTTGAATATTCTTTTACAAGGGAACTTCTGCATAAGTGAAAAATCGTATTAAAACTTTTTTATACCGAAATTTTCTGTAACAAACAAATCTATAAGATCCGACAATTCGGTTACAGGAGTTCCACTGTACTTACTTCTCCAACCTCGCGCAGTAACTTTCGTTCTCCTTGCTTTTTAATTTCTTTCCTGTAGATCGTCTGGACAATATACATTATGAACGTTTTGAAGAACCGACCGACGTCAGCGATGGTAATCAAGAACAAAGGAATGCCCAAAGCTCCGTAGATCATGGTGAAGATCTGGCAGACCCTGGTTGTGGGCGCAACATTGCCGTACCCGATGGTTGTGAGGATGGTAAAAGCAAACAGGACGCAAGAAGGGTAAGTCCACCTTTTTGGTACTGTGGAGTGGGGATTGTCGAAGAGGAGGTAGTTGTCTACGCTGATGTGTAAGGTGCTGATATTCTTCATGAAAGCCCTTAGGGATTTTTCTATTTTTGTGTCCTAAATTGTGTTTTGACAACTTTGGGTAAACACTTACCGATTCATTGGCTACATTCTTGATGAACTCTCTCTTGAAGATTTTAATTGCTTCTATGTGATGTTTGTGTCGCTCTAACTCGGTCTCTCCTTCTAAGTAGTGGAATATGTAGGCGCCAATCAACATGTACGATACCACAAAACAGTATAATGCAAAATGCCAGGATGCAATTCGCGCGACGTGTAGCGGCTTCATCCTCTAAAACAGGGTGATATTGTGATAACACGATGATTACCGATCGATTTGGCGGGGGTGGGGCGCGGTTGAGGAACATCCCATTCTCAGTCGGACGGACTAACTGAGTATGCTCGTACATTACTAACGTGAATATGGGTTTTATGCTATTAAAAGTGGTGTCGTGCAAAATGGAGCGGAATGACTAGAGGGCAATAACTTTTCATATTTAACACACCGTTAAAGGCTGGGTCCGAGCGGAAAGGTTGGCGTCTTCGAAGATGTCGTGCCTATTCCATCGAGGTCGATGCCGCATGTTAACAGCAGGATAAACGAGATGGAAGACGGGGAGTTAAGCAAGGTGAAGATATGAAACGTATGTGGAGAGATTGAGTAAAACATTTATGGCATTTGAAGTAGCCGTTTCTGCGAAATGGGAGCAATTTAAAGTCCTAAGGCGGATGTTCTCACCTTCCGCAGAAGAGAACAGTGTGATACCTCTCCCTCCCCACGGTGACATTGGTTGTTAACAGCTTGGCCCAGCTCATACCTGCTGGAGAAAGAAAAGGAAACAGAATGACTGCTTCTCTGTCTTTCAATTATCAATTCCCTTGGACCTTGCATTAGAGTTTTCTCTTTATTCTATTCAATGTAACCGGGTTTCACGAGGAGTTTACTTGTTCTAGTAGCTGACTTGAAGTGCTCTAACGAAGTCCTGAGCGTCTTTATCTTCTTTTCGACTTTCCAACACGTCTAGCGCGCCTTGGTCTGAAATATGATAGAAATTAGGGTGGACAGTTAATTTGAAGTAACCTCAAAGCAAAGGTTAATAATATTTGGGCCGAAAATGAAAGCTAAACTGATGTTAAGTTAAGATGGTATTCTACGAGTTATTGACAAGAGGCTAAGGGATGATAACATTCGGTCTTACTTTTGGTTGAAGAATGAATGAGGACAAGGTTAAACTGCTTTAGAGTATTAGATACTCCAGCAGTACCAAAGCCGGGCACTTCGTGCAAGTCGAGGAAGGCTTCTCCCGCAAAGTCATTTGATCTAAAGAGGTCGTGGTCCATCACGACGAAGTGAATTATGGCACAAGAAGGCAATTTTGGCGGAACGATACTGGAAGGACCTTAACTTGAGTATGTTGCACTTACAATTCGAAGGTTTCGTCAAAGATGGGGTTCAGTGATTTGCTGACAACTTTGGTCTTCCCTACTTGAAGGTTCGGGAATCTAAGGCGTGGTACTACTTCAATTACTACGAATGGATCACTGAGACCGTTTGAATCCAGGGGAATTACTTGTTTGGCACCAATTACTAAAGTTTGCTTACTGTATTTTGTGCTACCGTAGCTTACCGTCTATTACGAGCGTTTGTGAGTTGGGGTTATAGTAAGCTCGGACATTTAGAATACCGTATTTACATTCGTTGACGTCGTTCTGGATCTTCAGAAGGTCAAAGTAGTACCGGTCGATTAGTTTAACCGTAGGTAGCTGGTTTAAACACAACTGTGTAGCCAAGGTCTTGTGAGCTGGGATTGAAGCGAAGGTCTCCATTGAGATTCCTTTGCCTCCAGCGTGAAAGAAGTCCATCATGATGTTCCAGGCATCTGCCAGCCGTTGGTAGAAGCCTGGTTCAAGGCCTGGGTTCTCATTTATACATTCTTGAAGCAGTTTTACTAGGGCGTTGACTTGACCGTACATTATCCTTACGAAGTTTCTGTGAAGCAGAACTCTGTGTACTGTTGACAATTCGGTGTCAAGCTGAAATTTTTAACAATTATGAGCAGGGAGATTATGTTATGGTTAGTTAAAGTGCATTGAAGGGCTGTTAACAGCCATTCTTTTTTTTGTCTAGCTAATTATTTCTTTTAATTTTGAAAACTTTGTTGAGTTGTACGTACCATATCAGTAAGTGGTTTAAGGGATTGTTCGACGGGACACGCGGCCGGACTCCAGGCCAAGTGAAACACGTGCTTTTTGAGTTGTGGTACCTGACGTTGTACCATTCGTTCTACAGTAGAGTCTATCTGTTCTCCGATGTATTTCTCGCAATTTTCTATCTCTTTCTCTACCTTCTTCCTCCACTCACACTTTTGTTTTGTCACCTTCGAGTAGGAGTTGGTAAGCTCATCTAGTTTTAGTTTTTCTTGAATTGTTAGACTTCTGCGTACTTGTTCAGCATTGTTAATCGATGCACAGAACTGAAATAGATTTTTTAAAGATTTCACGTTATCCTTTCAAAAAGCGTTTGTAAATTGTGAAGTGAGTAGCTGTATTAAGACTTACAATATTGATTATGGCTGGAGGTAATACCGGATGGAGCATTCCGCAGAAGCCGTCAGACGCCAGCTGAGCCATCACTCGGTCCACGTAGTATTCGGCTATCTTACATATAGTTTGAACTACCTTCTCTGTCAGGTCTACTCGCAAGATGACGTCTTCTACTCGCATCCGGTCCCACGTATTAATCAGTTGTTCGATAACATGACATACATCAATATACGAACTGGTATGTCTGATTTCATTGGACGGGATCTGAACTTGTGCGTCTAATTGGCAGGCGACATCGACGCGAGCGAACGCCCTGACCCTGGCCAAGTCGAACCACTTTGATATGGCTTTGTCGAACATCTGGTTCCATTCAATGGCGTCCAACTTGTTCTTTACTTTTTTGTTCCTGAACTCTCTAAACTCGCTGTACTCTAGGTGTACCTTCAGCATCATCACTAAGCCGGATTCTGTGTCTGGAGCGTTTTGTAAGGCAATCTTCAGTGAGTTGGCTTTAGAATTCATGAGTTCGGCCGAGATGTACTCTGCTAACTGAAAAGTAAAGTCTTAGGGTACTGTAGTTTACAATTTAAATAATGACAGATAAAGAATTTGCGGAATTGTGGTTTAAAACTTACTAGACGATCGAACTCTTTGTAGGTTGGTGGAAAGTATTCTACCAACGCACATTGTTTGATGATAGGTTCAAATTGCGCAGCTCTCCTTAAGGATTGATTTAATCCTAATAGGACATTCAGAAGCTCTTTGATAGGGTCCTAAAACGTTTTGATTATCTTATTTTAGAAGCTCGCATAATATCAATTTACGGAATTTTTCTAATATAAGAAGAGCCTAGCGAGCGGTTATGTTAACTTACGTTTTTCCCCTCTTCTTTTTCAACAATGTATTCAAAGTAATCGACGGCACTTTTCTGTAAAGGTTATTATTTAATTTTGTGAAATTTTTCTTACCGTCAGAAGACTCAGAATCTCTTGTTCGAACTCGATTTGAACGATCATGACTTTCTGGTAGACCTGACTTTCCCTGAGTAGCTTCATACACCGTATCATGTTGCCAAAAGAGTCTAACTGTACACGTTTCTCTACATTTATGTGCTTTCTATGCTCTAGTATCTGTTGTCGAGAATGTGCGTCGAATTTTTGGAACGAATCGGCCAACATATTCTCTTCGTCCTTGTCTAGCGACAGAGGTAACCATTTTGATATCAAATTTCGGAGAATCTCGTATAAAAACCCGTATGAGAGCCCGATATTGATCATTGCACTGTATGCGAGCCATTGACTAAACACAGATAGTACGGTAAGATATACACTTACCACATGGCTTGGTGAACTTCACTTAGGTCACCCTGGACAGCGTGCTGATGAAGTATCATATTAGCGGTTTCTGGAAGATCTCCTTGGAAGAAGCTGACAGGGGCCTAAAAGCAAGGATATAGCATAATATTAAGTATTGAATGGTTATAATTTTGATTTACTCACTCCTGAAAGACGGATCTCTTGGAGCGCGAACTGTCTGATCAGCTCGATATGTTGTTTCACATCTAGAGAGTCGTCTTCTTGTTCACTCATTCGTTCTTCTTTAGTACTCAGCCAAAGTCGCAGTAGTACTTGACCAGATACGTCTGACTTCTCTGATCTTTTTTCCAAAGTGAACCATTCTTCCATTCCTGTTGATGGTACATCCTGAAAACGGTCTTATTACTTCCAAAACCTAATTATTAACATAACAATCATGAGAAAGTGGTATTATTAATCTTTGAGAAAAGTAATTAGTTACTTACTTTGATTCTCAACGTTATTGAACCCAGAAAGTCATCCAACAAGTCATTGGAATCTGCTCTAGCACTCTGAGTAACCTCTTTGAAGTACCGGCCAAGCCCTTTTAAACCACTGATTTGATTGAGCGATGTCACTGCATCTAGAACGCTGCTTTCTTCGTCATCATGGTCCCTAAAACAATATTTAAAAAAAAAATTTAAGATAATTGGGGGGGGGGGGCTTATAAATACTTACCATATATCAAGATGGAATTTATCGCTGTCAACATCTTCAACTATGAATTGAAACTTCTCGTTCCACTTGGGGAACAAAGTCTTGTGCTGCACTGACGAGGCTTTAATGAGTTTGGCTGGTATGGCTTTGGCTTCCGTGTTCTTTCCTTTTTTGGATCCGGATCCCAGTTTTCGACGGAACGATCCGCCGAATCTGTGGAAGACGCCAGCGTGCTTCTGGACGGCTTGCTAAAGTTTGAGCAATAACAACGTGATACTGAGAGAAAAACAGCAGATGCGAGTAATAGTAGCGAAAAAAAGTAGCACCGCAAACAGTCTCGGAAGTGTACCAAAGTACCCGAAAGAAAGAAAGGAAATAATCCCATGTCACACTCGAACTGTCAATACCGAGAGACTGGTGCGGCGCGTATTGGAATGACGACGTTGATTGGAGGCAGACTGACTCACTTGACCTGAACTGTTATTGGGGGAGAGAGGTGGGGGATTGTCATCTACTCCACTGTCGTTACCTTCATCTGGGACGTCCTTCCCTCTTCGGCCCGGGACGACGCCCATCATGGCGAACGGGTCACTGAATCCTACAATAATGTTTGCATAGCTGAGTGGATTTAATTGTGTCAAAGGTTTTAGCTGAAAGGCTTCTTTACTGAAATCTAGCTTTGTTTTTCGGGCTTCTATTCTCTGTACGTGTAACTTAACCATAGGGAATATACCTTGTATTTTGGGTTTGTTATTTCTATGTTCCCATAGGTAAATAATACTTTTTCGGTTGTTTACTGTTTACACCAAAACGTCTTGTGATATTAAAAAGAGGTAAAGCTACCGTAACTTTGTCTTACCATTAATGTCTTTGGCGATGAGGTCTTTGGCTTCAAGAAGATGCACATTCAGTAGCACGATGGGAGGCTGAAACGCATTTAAAATAATTTCAAAAAATCTTAAAACAAGTTATGAATAATATTATAAGTTTTACTTTGCTGCGCCTGGCTTTGTCCATAAGTTCGTCATGCTTATTGTCATTAATTTGAAATGCATTCTGTGCGTACTTGATTAATGTATGCTCGGGAATGGTGGATGTCTTGCCGACTTTGTGGACGATAGTATAAATGGCTTCTACATACAGACTCTGAAGAAATAAGTGGACGTTAGGATATGCAAAACGTATTAAAATTGTTAGTTCTGTCAGATTTATGGGCGTGTAAATGGCCTACCTCGAGGGCCTTTTGGTCATCGTTGATTGACAAGCGAACGATGGTAAGGCCATCGTTACCAGGCGGTTCGACGTCAGCAACCGGTGACGAGATAAACTGTTCGAAGAAGTAATTATCCGATGCTTGTACTCTAAAGTTTACATTTATCATAATATGGCCGAAATATTGTTTTGACAATGACGGCCGGTCGTATCTTACCGATGCGAACGACGTAACCGGCCATGATGCTTTCCTAGACGCCGCATTGGCAAAAAAGTTAACAAATAACTTTAAGGAAAATTAGATAGTGAGAAAACAGCCTATGCACACACGAATACAACACGCATTATTCGTAATACGTCAAGCAATGTTGTTTCATGTTATGACCTTAACTTCTAGCCGTAGGCATAAAAGGGTTGCTTGCTTTCAAAGCTTATTAAGGCCTCTCTATAAATATCGCCGCATGCCATACGAAACTTTTGCTGCTTCCACAATGCCAATTAAACTAATGCGCTTGAAAAAGAGTTTCTGATCTGAAGGCGTGTCATACGGTACGTTGCCCCTCACAACGTTTTATTAAATTACGCACTGGTTCTCGATCATCTGCTCCTCCTCCTCGGTCGAAATACTCATCGAAACGTTCCGGATAAACGTCGCTGCTCGGTTTACCTGACGTTCGGCCCACGCGTGTACGTTTTGCATTTTTTGGGGCAACATGAGCCCTCTTTTGTGTGTGACCGCTGGAATAAGAATAAAACTGGCGACAAATAAAGACAAGTCTCGGAAATGTTACTCTCGAAAGCCAGAAGCGGGAGTGGAAGAATGCGCGTAATTGAGTGAAATTAAATAGCCTAATGATCTCGAATCAAGCTATTAATTGTTGGTGTGAATGCACTTGAAGGGCCGCTTTCATGAATAAATGATTTCGAGAAAATATTGCGCCGTAGGGGGGGGCTCGGTGTCGGACAAGCCGGCTATGCGCAAAAAACAAAACAATATGCACTACAGCCCTGAGAGTCTGTCAATACCCGTTGTGCTTCGCAAGACCAGTAAACATCAAGCTATCAGTATGAGGGATACATAAAAATTTGGGTTTAAAGGAAATAACCGCCTCAGGGTACGAAACCACGATTGTTTTGGAACTCGCTTATGTGCGCGGCTCTCTTTAAAAATGGCCCGTAAAAGGAAAACTGCCTCCACAAATGTACCGGTTTAATTAAAAAAGAAGCCAACTAATGCCGAACCTGAACGTCTTGCCAAAAGTGTTTGTCGGCTTCCAGAATAAAAGAGTATTGCATATGAAGAATGGGTCAAATCCCCCGCTTTAATATTTTACTCCTGGAATTAAATGCATACCAAAAAGGAAGTCATGCTTGTCTCCGTCTCAAAAAACATGCAAGTTAGAACGGGGTAAGGTTTGGACGGAAAGAAAAACGGCCGCTCACCTGTTTTAGACTTAAGACTATACAATCCGGGATCTCAATACGGCCGCTCGAAATGGGATGCGCTGTCCTGGGAGATAAAGGTGCGGGGGGACAAAAGTAGAGAGGAATTTCTTTCAGTCGACTTTTAACGCTTTTGCCCTGAGGGGATGAAAGAAAGACGCGCACGACACTCGGGCACGCGGGCACCCTTTGTCTGGAACCCGCTTTATAAACTGGGCATTGTTGCCGACCCAACCTCTGGGTGGCTAACCTCGACCACGAACTAGCTTGAAATCAAAACATTTACTGGGGTCGACTTCGAAACGGACCGTTGCAAATCACTCCCTCGAGGTATTGGACTTGGTTTAAGTGACTTACTTCTTGTTGGCCCACTCGTTGAAATTAATGGCTTTCTGCTGATGAATACTTTTCCTGGTGGAGCGGCGCCGGATGCGGTGGTAGCCTTGCACGTTGAGTAGATGAGCGTCCTGCTCGCTGATACCCAGACAACATCCTACCGATTCTGCTCGTACTTGTCGGCCCGGGACGAGAGTTGAGTTCATTAGGAATGCTCTAAGTGCATGGTTATTAGTTATAGGTGGGAAGATAGATAAAATGCGGGTTACTTCGCGGATTACAAGCGGATGTAAAACCGGAAAGACCACAACACCCTCTGTCAAAACATAAGAAAATTGAAGGCACGTCACGAGAGAAAAACTGCCTGAATTGCATAAGAAGTGTTGAAATTTCACTGAATTTTCAGATAAGAAACTTGCCCAATGGGGCGTTAATTTGGCGCGATTTGATTACGGCAACAAAAACCCGAATCAAAGGAATATATGGAAAAGGGTTTAAGAAGCAGTCCAAGAGACTGGCTTCAAGGCCGTCGTTTCCTTCTAATGCTTATTCTCATGTTACAGTCATGTCACAAACTTTGTTGACTTTTGGGCTTACAATTCTATTTTGGCCTAGTTCCTCATCACAAGGATATCGTCCTTTCGGAACCGCTTCTAGTAACTGGCAATATTATCAGAAGATTCGACCGAATGAGAGGACGATTATGCCTTGCGGACTTAAGATACTCATAAAAAGAAAAAGCGGTCGAGTAAACTACCCGGCTTCTCCACACAATTGTTTAGAATTCACAATGAGCACTGTTTTTGCGTTTAAATCCGCAAAAAATTAGAAAAGCGGCCGGGGGAGAACCAAAATTAACTTAATGCCGGGCACGATCTGTCATATAAGAAGAAGCCCGACTCTCCGAAGCTTTAATGTCTCTTATTCAACTTCAATCAAAGGTTTTCAGGCATGTACGTCTGGCATGGCTGAGTACTGCAAAAACAATATGCAGGGAGTAAATACACACGACCTACTCTAACATAATTTATTTTACTTTGAGACTTTACACAAATGGCAGGTGATTGAGCATGATAAGTAATTAGGTTGACTCAACTCCAAGTGAGAATATGGTCGTTCACAGATATGCTGGTTGTTCGGGGCGGAGGGCAGCTAGTCTTCTGATATACTCACTGTCGCGCAGCAGGTCCGACTGGAAACTGTTGTGCCTGATGGTGGACATTCCCGAGCTTGTTTCGTCAATGAATCGCATTTTCATCAGCAATTCATGAGGCTCGAAAGGCCGGTCACGCAGCTCGTTGTCCAAGAAGTCTCTGACGTCATTCCAAGTAACCTGAAAATATTATCTTTGTTATTTGCCGTTTGTTTACTTTTCCGCCTTTTTTCTTTCTCATGGCACCAAGTAAGGCGACGATCTCTTTCAGTTCTTCGCTCATTCCGAGGAATTTCTTGGCCCGGCCGAAGTAGTGAATTCTGGTGAAGTAGGCTTTCAGGTGAGTTGAGGCAAGGTCGACACACATTGTCACTACCGAAAGACCTAAAAGAATGTCAAAATGCAAAAAATATGAAATTAATTATAATAATTGTGTCAAAAACTGTATTGAAACACTTCAAAAAATCACTTTTAATATAAAAAACCATGCAAGATTGCCCAAAAAAGTGAAGTGGACTTACCAACTATGACAAAGGCAACGATGAGGGAAAGAAACACGTAATTGGTGACCACAATATCACCCAACCCAACAGTGACAATTAAATTAAATCCGAAATGAAAGGCGTGGACGAAAGACCAACTTCGTTCCCAGTTGATAAACATGGCAGATCCCATCGAGCAGTACAGACAGATACATGATACATATGCTCCTATTGGGAACCATAATGTTTCTTCGGCACCGTCCAGCCCCAGCACATTCAAAGCTTCAATCTGTTCGGCGCTACATTGCAAAGACTTCCGCCGGGTATATTTGCGCGGGAAGAATGTTTTCATGAAGTAATCCTGAAGATATTATGAAGTGAAACAGAGTTTATCATAAGGCAATTTAAAGATATTAATGTGCAATTTCGACTCATAAAACAAAACGTATAATTGACGCATAAAACAGCAATTACAACTGACGAATGTCAACTTACTTTGCTCTTGCGGCAGAATAACGTCCAGTTTTTGACAAACTTGAGCAGTGTTTCTGATAAGAACTTTCCGATGTCCGCAGCTGTTATGAACATGAGTGGTATACCCACCAATGCGAATACAACAGAAAACACTTTGCCAACATCAGTGTCGACTGACACTTCTCCATAGCCACAAGTTGTCAACACTGTTAACACATACAATAAGGATGTGGGGAATGTCCATTTGTTATGCATATTGTCCAGATTCGCGGGATCTATGAGCTCTCTTCGTATAGGCCTTCTGTCGTCCACGGTCTCGGCCAGTCGTAGCATGTATTCTCTGAAGAGAACCATAATTTATAAAGACCCACAACAGCAGCGATGAAAACATCTTTACAATAACATGGCTACAAGATTAAAGTAGTGTATGATCAAACGTACTTGAATATCTGCTCCCATTCAGTATGATGCACTGATCTGACCCCGGTTTGAGCATCGTTCAGAATCCGCCAACTGTCACTCGTAAAATTTGTCATCAAGTTTGTGACTTTGACCAATTTCCTGGAACGTGCCATTAATTCTGTTTTTGTTTCTAGTATCATCAGAATCCAGGCTCCCAAACAAAGATAACCAATTAGCACGGAGACCAGTATAATATGTGGTAAAAGTATTTTGAAGGTCTGAAAAAGGTACAGTAATATAGGTTACTAGATCTAAACTTTGCGTTACTACGGTATAACTGACTTTGACACATCTTTGCGGAAAACTTTTTGGTGGTTTGGCTGGCCCGTCTTCCTTATTGTGCTCGGTAATGATGGTAGCTGTGTCATCACCATCAACAAGACCGCCAGGGCCGTGAGAAACGCCGTCCCATCGTGATGTGACATGATCTGAAATAACATTTATAATGTTTTATCTAATCAAAACAGATCATGTGGGCCAAGGGTTTACCTATGATCACTCGCCCATCTTCTTGTATAGTAATTGTCGGTCGCCGCAATAACTGTACTGCGCGCGGATATGCCCTACTGTGTCTACGTGAATCTATGTAAGAGTATAAAGAGTCTACGGGTGATGAGGTGCTGGCATCAGTGTGAAAGGAGCCTAGGAAATGAGGTGCGGCAGTGTTATTGTTGAAGGAGTCGTTGAGGTCCAGGTTCAGTGAGGTTCTTCGTCGTTGATCTAGCTGATATGTGATGAGTTCATCAGCCACATCTTCTGAGATCGGTCGAGATCGGCGGCGGAGGTCGATAATGGACTGTCGAATGGTAGCAGCGGTGGGGTCTTGAGACGGGCGCACTAGCACCTCGGCTATCTGAGAGTTGAGGCGGCTTTCTAGACTGGAGCCTGAGATTTGATGTTGTGTAGGCCGACGAACAATGACATGTTTGTTGTCTTTGGGCGAGTAGAAGAACATGGCACCGGTGCAAACTAGGGCTCTGCTAGATCAGAAGCGACGCTTTCCCATTACACAAAATTAGTGTCATAAAACTGCAAACTGAACAAACGCATTACCAAAACAATACAAAGTCAGAGTTTGTGATAGGAGGGGGAGTCGTCTTTCTAATGTCAGCAAAACACCAAGACACGCTTCTGACTCTGTTTCCTGTGCCCGGAGTTCGGGACAGTGGTGGAGGTCGTGTTGGGTCTGGTTGTAGAAGTGGAAGGACGCGAGGGATTCAGAAAAGTAACATCAAAAAGCCTGAGCTCCGGTCAGCGCTACAACGTCCGAGGAAGCTGCTATGCCGTTTTTCTTGCCGTTATTTGACGCTTTTCAAATTTTGATGAAAGCCGAATGCCGGCGGCAGTTAGCCCAGACCGAAATCAGTACGACGCTAATAAGTACGATGTTCTGTGTTGACTCAGTAGGTCGTTTGATGCCAAATCTACTGAACTGCTTTCAAACCCATATTTCTCCAAGGATTAATCGTTCATTTCAAACAGGGAAAACCGCTAAACCTCGCCACTTATTCCTTAATGCATCTTTTAACCCGCAGGGAAAACGTTTTTTAACGCATCGTCCAAATTCTTTTGCATTGTAAAAAGGAGGTACAGCCGTTTTTTGCTATCTTGGCCACCCACACTCAGTTGATATGGCTTTTACAAAGTTTAATTTAAAATAAATTACACACTAGGTTAACTAATTTATAAAAATAGAGCTCTTACCTTCATATAGAGTAAACAAAGCAGTTACATCTAGGTTATTGCAAGACTCGTCATCAGACAGGCTACGTCGATCGATTAAAGGAATATGCGCTAGAAACTTTGGCGGTCTAAACGGCGCTACGGAGGTCATTATATTCAGAAGGCAACATAAAGCCCGGGATTACAAGGTGTGCCGCGCTTTGAAAAACCCTCTTGAGACTCTGAATCAATAGATTTATGAAGTGTAAGTGAAGCCGGCTCCGAGGTTGTCGGCGGAAGTTGACACTATGGCTTTTGGAACCAGGTCGTAAACGAGGCAATTGTCTTTGGCCTGTACGCTCTGTGTTCGTATGTTCAGATGGCAATAGGGGTAGGGATAGCTGCGCGAAATCTTAGTCGGTGCCACAATATCGTGACAAAAAGCAATTACTTAATTTTGATGAAGACTTTAATGAACCGACAACTTACTCAAACCTCCTGGGGGCGGGGAACGACCCTCCGGCACGGGAATACCGGCGGTTGTTTTGATGAGACCTGCCGCTCCGAAGAGAGCTACGGCTGGGCTGAAGCGTTCGTCACGAAAGGCCTGTGAATAGATCATGGCCGACCGTTTCTGCGCGATGTTCCGTTTCCGGCGACGATTATAGAATCGGTAGAACATGATGACACAGGTAACAACTGCCGACCCGGTCAGCGGACCTTGTGTAGCCAAAAATGGAAATCATCTTTGGAACCGGGCCGTTAAGTGCAGTCACCTTTTGTTGAACCGCCTCAGGCTCACAGTTGGAGACGTCAAAGGCAGAGAACTCCGTTAGCCTTAGGGAAAATAGTACAGAAATTTGATTAGAATCGTATGTTTTTACCCAAGTCTGGGGAAAGACTATATTTAAGTCCGGTCAAAAGCGAATTGCTTGCATGGGAGATGCTCAAAACTTAGTTTGAATAATTAATTCGAATCACGCTTCGAGAGGCGGGCTTCTGACTTTTAAAGGAACAAGTACATGTTGCCATAGACTCAGAATAACATGGTTAGCTAGTTTAATAATATAAGACGTCTCCTTCCTTGCAGAAGTACGAACAGAAGGGAAACTCTATTAGTAATATTACTGTATAATCCTCGTAAACTTACTGTTATTTTGTTCGTCTAACTCTGCATCGCGTGCTAGAGGGTAATGGTCAGATGTCGGCGTGAAAGTATTGTACTCCGGTATGGTCGGTAAGCTCTGTACAGTACATTTCCTACTGTAGGATTCTGGAGTAGTAATGGAACGTTTATGTTGCGACAATCGCTCGTCGTTCTTCTTGGCCCATTCGTTCCAGAAGCGTCGCAAAAACATGGTCTAGAAGCGGATGCAATGACTGTTGCTATAGCACCATATGGTCGAACTGATGTTCCGACGAAAATTAGTCTATTCCATGGGTGTTGTCACTCGAGAACGGCCTCAAAGTGTCAGGGTAAGACTTTAATGGTAAAACCCAAAAAACAATTGTCGTTGTTTTTTAAACCGTCCGGATATTCCGATAGGCACGATTCGTACTATCGGCATTTGACGGATGAGAACGTTTCTTCAAAGTCGGAATGTCGGGTACAAAGGGTTTCAAGAGACGTCGTTACCTTTTCGGAGAGGCCTCCTCGATTCCTCAGGCCGAATTGGCTGACCGGAACACTTAAGGGTATCGTCTTCCAGCCGAGAAACGGCCCAAGTGTGACATAAAGTGAGGGTCAAAGGAATCCGCCCTTAAACGGACACTCGGAACGAATTCACTCCGATGGGACACGATGCGTCGAAATCACCAAATTCATCGTCAAAAAACATCTCCGTAGGAAGTCAAAGAGGACATAAATATATTTCGGGACAAAACTAATTTATATATGTTAACATATCAAAAAGGGCCAGTAAATGTACGAAGATAGAGTTGTCGTAAACAAATTATAGACCACAATAAAGCAACAATGCAAAATATAAACAAGGATTAGGAAAACCGCCTATCGTATGGGGGAGGTTTGATTCAATAATAAATTCCAAAAAGCTTCGCAAATCACGTCGTATTTCACACTAATCACCGTGCCCAAAAGAACCTATCGTGAAAGCCAAAGTACGAAACCAACCTTTAGTTACACTCCATAGAAATGCTTGGACTACCGCGTTGTTCTTGGTCTTTCTTTGTGGCAACTTGGCCAAGTCAATTATGTCATGAAAAGGCAGTGATAGTAAAGTAGGTAAAGGTGTTTCAACAAAAGACACAGCTACTTGCTTATTCTTCCCTCTCTTCATCTCTCCCACCAGACAACTGAACCGCGCTCTTACAACTTTTTGTCATAACGGAACTAATGTCCATGAATAATTGAAGTTAAGGGTCAATGATGGACACTCGAGTACTCTCCCTCCTTCTCCACTTACCCTTTATACTGGACACGATCCATTGGGACGAGGCGGACGGTGAGGGTGGGGAGTGGTAGGATTGCACAGTAAGATTGGCAGGTGACGGGGGTGGCAAGAACAGAAGACCCTCGCTCAATGTGTACGAACTTATCTTCCGCAACGGCGCCAGCGGATTCTGAAGCCATCGTTGCTCACTCATTAAGTACGACGACATTGATTGAATCATCCGTTCTATAGTACGTGTTAGTATGTGAATAGACGGACAGAGAAGCGACTTGAAGCGGTTTATTACTCTAATTTAATAACCACAAACAGTTGGCCTTTACGTCTAGCACATTTACAACCAATTACAACAGTTTGCATGGTGTCAGCGGTGGAAGCAGACAGTATACGAAGCTACTAGGTGTTTGAGTTTAAGAAGTAAAATTTATAACGGTGCTTACAATAAAACATAAAAATGTTCTTTGATTTTCCATGAAAAATATAATTAATTTAGAGTAATAACAGTACTGTATAGTATAACATTACCAGGGCCGGGCGGGGACTTTTGGTCTGGGGGCAGGGGTCCCAAAAATCGGCACAGGTAGCTGCCGATTTTTTGCGAAAATTTTTTTCCAAAAATCCACAGGGGGGACCACGATCAACTTTTTTTCAAAAAATTTTTTTTCTGGGGGGGGGGGGGTACCCCCCCCCCCCCCCTTGCGCCCGGCCCTGAACATTACGTTTAGTTTTGTGTTAAAATTAAAAATGTTTATGTTTTTTAAGCAAACAGTTATGAAAGCGAGAATGTCCAAAAGTTTAAGCTTAAAGCATTCATAATCGTTAACAAAACCTATATTTTGTGCAATGCTATTCCGACGTACTGTGCAAATGCTATAGCTTCATTGAACTTCATTAAATTTGCATACACAAAGATAGCGTGACATAGCGTTACTGCGGCCAGCACATTACTGAAAAGCTCACCTTGTATACTGACAGCATCAGAGTCATCTCGGAATTTGACGATTACAGAAGACTGCTTGCGTCTAGCACCGATATCATTGTAGGTAGCCGGAGGCACGAACACACTCATTTCGAAGTTTGGTTTTGAAAAACAGAGTTTAAAATTGAATTTCTACCTCGTTTTGAATGCTTTTGGCACATAAACAAAGCTGATCGTTTTTTTTTCTAATCCTCCCTCGAGCTGTGACTTCACAAATGTTACTACGTGCAACTCGATCTTCTGACTCAAGGTTGTATAAAGCAAAACACCACAATGTTTCACATCGTGGGAACTCTACTGGGTACACAATAAACATGTGAGTTGTAGTACATAACCACCTGGTGGTAGTAATAGCGGAAGCAAACCTCATTGATGTGTCAAAAGGGAAGGATGATGTACGTACGGACAGAAAATAAGCTTAATCTTTATAATTTGGTCATAACAGCCTGGATTAGTCACTGTAAATTTTAGAAATGCGGGAAATGGAGTCTGTAATAGTAAACAATACCAAGGGGTTCTAGTCGTGTTTAGGTGGGGTTCTTTGACATGTTAATGTTATGTGGCTTTTGAATACTAATGCGGTGTTTGTGTAATGTTTTATAATAGCTGTAATGTAATATTTGATGCTTATTATGATATAAGGGACTTTCTTTAATTTTCATGGCTTAGAAGTGTCAGATTACAATCTGTTTCGGTCCGTTTTCAACTTTTAAACACGGAAAAAGGAGCTCGAATCACACGTTTGTACTTGGGGACACAATTAGAACAATTATGTAATTGTTAATTTAATTAAGCCTAATGAGTGCCCAAAAATAACATCATCTTCTTCTCTCAGCTGGCGGCGGTTTGGACGGCCCCATAATCGAGCTCTTATGAAGTAGAAGCGGCGTCGAATCCGAAGGAAGTTCCAAAACAAAAAATGAAGGCAATTAAGCCTCCAACTCGACTGAACTGTCTCCAATGTACATGACCAATCATGGCCACAAATTGGAATGGACAATACGTCGAGCGCTTTCTTCCGGGCTGCTTCTGAGTGTGCAACATTCACTATACCTTTTGGAACTAGAACCTCACTTTGGTCTTTCAGTTGACGTCTAATCAGTAGTCTAACTGTAATTTTAAGGTTTGATTTTTAAACCCCGAAACAGGACGGTAAGTGAGATACGATGACTTTAATGAAGTAGATGTCGTCCGGATACGCAAAAATACTTTTCACTCTCAGACTTATATACAGCGCATTAATCATGCAAATCTGAATTAGTCGAGTCCAGAATCCCTGGCTCCTGAATCTTAAAAAATCGCTTTTCTTGTTTGAAAAGGAAAGAATGAAAAAGTCCCGCCCCCATCCCCCTCCATACAGACCCCCACTGGATGCGTTTAGCAAGGTTAGAGTGAGACCGCACTCCTCCCTTCACCATCGCCTCAGGCACACAACCAATCTCGTCGTCTTTACTCTCGGGTTGCCACGGTCTTGTTTACGGACTTGACCTTCAACGAGTTGCCAATTCCCGACAGGTCTCTGCGACCGCCAGCAACATGTTGCTCAACTGACCCTGGACGGCCTCTTCTCTACCGTACTCACTTTTAGCGAGCAGCCGAAACCGGCGGTTTCAGCGGCCGGAACTCGCTGTGCGTGCTCTCCAACGATTCCTTTCTACATAGCGGGTATTACAATTGCTTTACATCTTGTCCGGGTTTTATCTCTGTCAGAATCCCACACAGCTTCCTTCAGTGAAAACGAGCCTTCAATTCAGTCTAATTTTAAACTTTCTTCTGGACTTTGTCTATGAACCAATTCTGGACCCCAATACTCTCAATCAAGGTTTTATTAAAACTGTGAAAAGGTGGCGTTCCTTTTCATCCGACGACATCTACTTCGTATACCATGGATACAGGGCGGACTGCGGGCGTACGTCCAACGTCATCCGTTGTCCCAACGTTTGGCATGGTGTTGGGAACATTATTCTCACTTAATCAACATCTCATTAATGTCAGTGCAGCGCGCAACGACTCCGTCGTTGGAGCCGTGCCCAGAAACACGTCCAATGACATCCAGTTCATTCCGACATTCGAGCTCATTGTGGGCGCGATAACATACGTGGTAAGGCCATTAAACTGTAATGACAATCTGTCACAAGCCCATTCATAGCTTATGGGGTGCTTTAAGTTTCAAGTTTTGGTCTGTTTTACAATCGGGAAACATGACGATGATTAGCTGAGGATAAGAACAAAAGGCCATGATATTCATAATCCCAGAAGGCCCGACGAGATATTCATACGATGAAACTCTTGTTGCCTCGGGCGAGGGAAGTGAAAAGGCTAAGAGGTTTTAACATAATGAAAACCGCCGTTCCAAATGCCTTTAGGCAACAATAGAATCTTGCACTAATACCCGGTTTTCAGGTAATTATTCTAATGACAGTAATCGGCAATACGATGGTGGTGGTGGCAGTGTTCAATTACCGGCCCTTGAAGAAGGTTCAGAACTACTTTCTCGTGTCGCTGGCGGCTTCTGACCTGGCCGTGGCGGTGATCGTGATGCCACTACACGTCGTCAAGTTCGTAGCGAGTAAGTCTTAATTGCAAAACGACCGGAATGGGTTTGTTTTGGCCGACTGATTCTGGAGTGGTTCTCTCAGTCTATTCAAGGGAGGACGGCTTGTTTTTCGTTTTCACAATGAAATCACAAAACCTTAAATTTTATGCCCGGATTTGTAAATAATTAGGAGTAATGTCCGTACAGTTGTGCCACTTTGGACCTTGTTGTTTAGTTTGTCTTGGGAAACGTTATTTTGGGCCTCAAACTGAATTGTCATGTTTGAAATTGTTTGAAACAAACACAATTGTGGTCTTTTTGTAAGCTCGTTATGGCCGTTTTGTGACCGCAAATTGGGGCTTTGCGAACCAGGCCAGTTATTTTTTGTTTATAAAGTCGAGTCTCACATAATCTATTATTTGATGACGAGAATCATACGCATTGTGACCCGTCTGACCTTTTAAGAAACACTTAGTCCATCTGAAGATGAAGAAACAGTCCGAGTTTGCATAATTCTGTCGTACTCCGCACTTCCAGAGCACTTCCGGCCGTCTTCACGCCCAGCTAGCTTTTGACTTTAAATTCAGCATAAGACGGGCATTAGTACTTAAAGATGAGTATTACAAACGAGTAAAGTTTAAAATTTTTAAAGTTCTCAAAAATTGTCCTAAAACTTTGTAGTTCGAAGTGAACTTTACTCAAGCATGGCACGCGAGGTAATTGTAAAATAGTGTTTGAGAAACGTACTTAGCGTGTTCTTTATGCAAATCGCTGGAACGCACTAATTGGGCCCGGATTCTTGTGGTCAGACCATTACACTAATGTCAAAATATTATTTGCGAAAAATACAATTATTACCTGCGGGCATTTCCGCGTTCTCGAAAACAATTTAAGCCCAAAACAAATTAAACTTGACAACTTTTTCCTGAATTTCATCATTGCAGACGGTCGATGGCTGCTCGGTGTCACAGTATGCCAGTTGTTCACTACCGCTGACATTCTTTTATGCACCTCGTCCATCTTGAATCTGTGTGCCATCGCATTAGACCGGTATTGGGCCATCCACGACCCTATCAACTATGCTCAAAAACGAACCCCCAGATTTGTTTGTTTTACCATTTTACTCGTAAGTTTGTTGACTTAAAGTTCATATAAGCATTTTATAAAATACGATATTATAATGGAAAATTGTAAAAAAAGACAAGGATTTTCTACAATTTAGTGGGCTTGATTCTACGCGTATCCTACGCTTTTTTCGACCCAAAAACGTCCGTTTTGACCTTTGTAACTTTGAAGTTAATGATTCGCATCAAATTGAAAACTTTTACTTTTGTTTAGTTCTTATTCCTAGTAATGTTAATATCCTGCTAACTAATTTTATTTTAGGTGTGGATAGTCAGCGGGATCATATCAATTCCCCCGATGTTAGGCTGGAACGACTGGTCGAGTCAGGAACTCAAAGACCACTGTGAATTGTCGAGTGAGAAGGCTTTTGTGGTCTTCTCGGCTAGCGGCTCCTTCTTCGTGCCTCTGGCCGTGATGGTGGTGGTTTACCTGAAGATATTCGTCTCGGCACGCCAAAGGATACGAACCAACCGAGGTATTGACGTTATCTACAATTTGTTGTTCTGTGGGCGAATATTCTGTCTTTCCTTAAATGGCACCTAATGAGTCTCTTAACTTTTATTTCAGGCCGCAGCGCATTGATGCGAATTAGCCAACAACCACCTTCAGAAAAACGGAATACTTACAAGCTGGCAAATGGCTCATCGGATTCGCGGAAATTAATTCCCGAACAGGCACCGCTCGTCGACGCGTGTTCGGGCATTACGGTAGGAAATAGAAGCCCAATTAAAATATTTTCCAGATGGGCGACGTGAGCAGTGAAAACAAGGGCAGCGAGGAGAGTAAGGGAAACCACAACGAAACCCTCCACAACCTGCCCATTCCCAAGAAGATCAAGCTCCCCATTCACATGAAGCGGCACAGTGGCCCCATATCACCGACAGAGCCCGCCGAGGAACAGTTGACCACCACCGTGCTCAGGAAGCGGGAGAAGATCAGCGTGGCGAAGGAGAAACGGGCCGCCAAAACGATAGCTGTAATTATATTTGTGTTCACGTTTTGCTGGCTGCCGTTCTTCTGTGCGTACGTTATTCTACCGTTCTGTGATACCTGTTACCTACATCCAAAAGTAAGTTCATAGAAGTTAATGGTTATGTAAATGTGACAAATATTGATTTTAAAGACTGGTTTTGGTTAAAAAGTTTATAAAATGCGTCATCCGTTATTTTTCCGATCTTATTATTTATTTTCTGTTTACTTTTTGACCAAAAAATAAAAATTTATACGAAATTTTGGTTTTTAAAAAGAAAATTGATATTATTGTAAATTAATATTTAAAAAATATTTTATTCTTATATTGTTCTTCTAAAACAGTGCAGGGATTCTACAGTAACTTAATTTTTTTATTTTAATTGACGATAATGGTTTAGTCGCTTTAAGAGCATGTTGTAATATTACTATGCTTTGCAGGTGCATCAAGCATTTGTTTGGCTAGGCTACATCAACTCGTCGCTGAACCCGTTCCTCTATGGGATTCTGAATCTGGAATTCAGAAGGGCTTTCCGCAAGATCCTGTGCCCTCACCAGTTCGTCGGCAGTCGGCGCAGATCAACTTTGATTAGGCATTAAAACCCATCAGATACCTATTGACCTCATCGTAACCTCCGTGTATATATCCACTGTACTCTTGGTGCTAACTATTAGACTTTTAATAAAACAATTTGTGATATGGTGTGATTTAAGGGGCGGGTGAGGAAGGGGGTGGGGGCAGCCAAGGCAGTTCAATGTACGTTATTTGTTCAGATTAAAACACGGAAAGATAAGATTGTACAAACCAAAGGAATTCACCTTGCGAGATTCTAGTCCCTTCCTCCACCGAAATGGATTCTGGACTTTCCGTGGCCGACACCTTCAACCGCTCCAGTATCCTCATCACGGGTGGTACCGGCTTCTTGGGCAAGGTACTGGTGGAGAAGTTGTTGTACTCAGTGCCCAACATCAACAAGATCTACTTGCTTATACGAGGGCTTAAAGGGCATTCTCCCAGGGATCGGTTGAACAAACTACTCAAGGTAATTTATGTTCTGACTAATTATAATTATCAATAAGGAAAGCAAAGTTTGCACTAAAAAACTTACTTTTAAAAGTTTTGATTTTTCATTTTGTCAACTTTTTTTGACCAAACCAGTACTTCAATGCCACGAAAGTAAAACAATGTTAATCAAGTGCAATGACGTCCTATATTGTGATAATGCAATCGATACTGGTCTTGTTTCCCCGCCAGACTGATTGTTTTTTATTTACAGAGCCCTATTTTTAACCGAATTAGGGAGAAGGATGTGGATTTGTTTTCCAAATTAGTCCCGATTAATGGGGATCTGATGGCCGAAGGGCTTGGACTTAGTCCAGCCGATGAGACGCTACTTTGTGAATCGGTGTCGATAGTGTTTCACTGTGCAGCGACCGTGAAGTTCGACGAAGTTCTGAAGGTGGCCATCAAGATGAATGTGATAGGAACACAACGACTGGTTGCACTTTGTCACAAAATGCAAAACTTGGTTGTAAGCCCACCATACATTTTTGAAATTCAAATTTATTTTTTGCAATTTTAAGATTTTTTAAAAATATTTTACCAGTTTTTATAATACCTACAATACCATATTTAGAATTTGAATACGCAAACCGTGGAATGTCAAAAGTAAATAAAACCTTAAAAATTTTTAAATTTTAAAACTATTTCAAAACGCCAATCATTTTTGTAGTGTTTGGTACATGCCAGTACAGCGTACGCCAACTGTGACTTGAAGGAGACAGAAGAACGTATCTACAAGCCCCCAGTAGACCCTGAGAAGATCATTGATGCCATGGAATGGATGGACGACGAGATGGTAAATCTGATTACTCCACGGTTATTGGGCAAACGTCCCAATACATACACGTTTGCCAAAGCTTTGGCAGAGTCTCAGCTTCAGACAGATGCTGGAGACATGCCGGTGATCGTGGTACGACCATCTATTATCTGTGCTTGTTGGAAGGAACCGCTACCTGGATGGACGGACAATGTCAATGGTCCTACTGGGATCTTTGCTGGAGTAAGTGAATTTTAAAAAATTAAAACAAAAGAAAACCGGCTTTTATAAAGTATATAGGACAACTGTTTTGCTGCCTACTATAACAATAGTTAACTTTCCTATTTTATAAGTTTAAATTTTATATTTTACGATTTGTGACTCATTTATAATGCACAAAAACCGATTTCTTTTGCTCATTGGAAGTATTCAAAATGAATTTGATAAGTTTTAAGACGTAAAAGTTGAAAGGTTAATAATAGAGCTGATAAGGTGCAGTCACTTTACTCTTTTGGCCCTATCAATTCCCGTCTGAGTGACGCGTCCCTTCGTAAGGGAAAGAAAGTTACATTCATAAAGTGTTGTCAGTTTGCACTGACAAGGGAAAGGCAAATAGGGGGGTATCGAACCTAAAACTGAGACCTACATCGTTTGAAAGAGCATGAAAAGTTATGTAGAATTTAAAATTTTTAGCGGCCCAAAGTCATATACTAAAAAGTTACAGTAATTCAAAGTTTACTATTTTTAAATATTTCAAAGGGTCCCCCTGTGGATTTTTTTTAGAAAAAACGAAAAAAAAAATTTTTTTCCGTTTTTTATTCTGAAACTTTAAAATAATATTTTTAATGGTCAATTAAAAAAACGTTTACTTTATTAAAATTGAAGCGTTAAGAAAGTTTTAAAGTGTAACACTGTATAGTAAACCGAATATGTTTGGACGTCCAGATTTGCCATCCAAATTGACTAAAGGTAAATAAAAATCTTTAAAAACGTTTAATGGCCTTTTTTTACAAAATAAAAAAAATTTCAACTTTTTTGCAAACCTGCAGACAGCAAAACAAAGCGAGAGCAAAAGTGCGACCGCAGTGGGATTCGAACCCTCAGCCTTTGGATTAGAAGGCTAGGTTTCAACCCACTGGGCCACAAGAATACACAGAGCTTCGCTCTCTTTTTCGGTGTTGTCTTCCAGAGTGTTCCCTAATAAGAAATCTCTCAGGAAAAACTTTATATTACTGTAACTTTTCAGTATATGACTTTGGGCCGCTAAAAATTTTGATTTCTGCATAACTTTTCATGCTCTTTCACATGATATAGGTCTCAGTTCTAGGTCCGATACCCCCCTATTCGCCTTTCCCTTGTGAGAGCTCTTGGGAAAGTGACCATTGTATATAGTTAAGAACAAAGTGTAGTTAACATGATCTCTATATATGAAGTATACATCATTAAGAAAACACTGCGTTTATTAAAAACAGTGCACTTAACAATGAATAAAAATACCATTTTTCATAATACTATACCGAAATTAATAGTTAAAAGTCTCAGAAAAATGAACAAAACACTAAATTGACAAACTTAACTCAACAAACTTACAGGTCGGAAAAGGCCTGTTGACCAACATGTGTGGCAGTTCCACTTCCAAAGCCGACATTATACCGGTCGATATTGTTTCAAACTGTTTAATAGTAGCTGCCGCCTACCGTATCCAACTCAAAACCTGTACCCAGATTCCGATCGTGCATTGTTCATCTGGAGAGCTGAATCCAGTAAAATGGGAGAAGATCGTGAACTATATTCAGCGATTCTTCCTCAAATACCCGTTGGATCAATGTTACCGTGTACCGTCTACACACTTCCACTCCAGTAGAGCCTTGTTCTTGTTCAACTTCTACACCAAACACTACATTCCAGCACATATCCTCGACTTTCTCTGCTTTTTGACCGGTCGAAAACCAACGTAAGTGAAAAGATCTTTAACAATTATAGATTTGTATCCTAATAAATGGGATTGTTTATTAAAATATGTTGGTGTTCAACTACTCTTATGGTACCAACCAGCCAAAATTAAAATTTCTCTGACTTTAATATAAACATGATCACGACTGTCCTACTTTTTCTCTTTACTTTTCGACCAAAGCATGTATAAATATAAATTTAGTTTCATCAAAATCTATGGTAAAATCTGGAAGATGATCGAGACCTTGCACTACTTCACAGCTCGTGGCTGGACCTTCAAGTCGCAGAAGATCCTGACCTTGTGGGAGAGTCTGAGTGAGAAGGACAAGCAGGAGTTCAACTTTGATGTGCGACAACTGGACTGGGACAGGTACCTGTTCGACTACCTGATGGGGATGAAGACGTATCTCCTGCAGGAAAAGATCGAAGATCTCAACAAGGCACGGTCGAATCTCACATGGTAGGGAGCGTTCCGGTGATTCATCCTTCCGTTTCAGGCTCAAACAGCTCTCCGTCCTGATGAACGCGACCGCCTGGGCGCTGCTGGTCCGCCTCTTTGCGTGGTATGTTTATGTCCTGTTTAGCATTCGAGCGATTTGCATAAACATCAGGTCGTCTATTTTCAGGAGAACCTCCAGGAAACAGAAGTGGACGGTTTGGATCACGGGCGTGCTCCTGACCTACGCCTTCCAGAACGTGGACGTCAGGCCGTTCGTCTACCTGAAGAGCATCGACGAATACAAACAAACTGCCCTCAAGCAAAACGAATAACTTTTAATTGAATAAATAACCTAAAGACATGTAATGTACATGGTAATAGTGTAATGTACAAATCAAAGTACTGTAAAGAGTTCTTACAACATTGTAGACAGTAGATAACATTTAGTACAATATTTTATATTGTATGGAAATGCTTTACATTACTGAGTGAAGTACTCTTACAGTACAATTTCATAAAAACGTTACAGTACACAAGTAGAATAACGAAAGAAATTCACCGAGATTTAAATATGAGCTATCCGTTTCGAATAATCAAGGCCATTGTTATCAGAATTAAGTGAAAACGTGGTGTTGTTATTGTTAATCAACTCAAAGTTGTGAGTGTTGAAGCCGGGTGTCAGTGACATTGCTGGCACAGCGCACGTCACGGTCGAGCTACGCAGTTCACTCAAACTAAATTTTAGTGTTAATCGAAAGTTGGTGTTATTTTAAATGAATTATATGGTACTCAAAATTATAATATTCCTTAGTGTAGTACTAAAGGTATACTTAAACTGTTGTAAGAATAGTGCACTTAAGCAGTAAACCAAAAGCATATTCAACTTGAATCAGAACTTAAAGTATCACCGTTATCTTTTGAACCAAAATTCAAATTAAACCGAACAAAAGGGGGAAATAAAAGTTTGTCATATCTGTTTTAACAACCGCATGAGTAATATTTGCAAAAGACATAAAATACAAAAAACCCGTGACAACAACACCTTTGACTCAACCTTACTTTGGAGGTCCGAATTTACTGTGGAAACTCTCGTTCCGCATCACAGTCTGAATGGTACTAAAACGACAACACAACATCTCCCTGAATGGTACCCGGAACTCTCTGTTGTACTTGCAGTAGATGAGAGGATTCAACATGCTGAATATTAATTTGTTTTACGTATAGAAAGTTTTATAAATTAGATTTTCAGGTATAAAATAATAATTTTTTAAAAAATGTACATAAATTATTACAAAAAACTTTAAACGTACCTATTTGAATATCCCAGCCATAGTACCAACAAATCCAACCACTTAGGCACGTTCATAACGTACTGTGACTTGAGCAATGCCAAAATAAAGAAAGGTACCCAGCAGACGATGAAGACACTCATTATCACCCCCAGAGTCTTCCTGGCCTTGTCTTCTGTCCGTTCATGGTGGTTCCCGGAATTGGAATGCATCTGAAGATCCTCTTTAATAATGTTTGTCTTGCTACTTGTGATGCAATAAAAATTTTAATTTCCGCTCAAATATTATACTAAATTTAAAACAATATTAGTTTCCACATCCCACGGAAAAACAAATTTAAAAACTTAATTTAGAAGAGATTGAAAATCAGTAGTCCAAAAAAGGCTAGAATTTGAAGCGCAGCCTGCACTGAAAACCACGTTGCGGGAGCAGCTCGGCGCAACAAATTTGGCTAATTTTGTCTGATTTCAAAATAATTTGCACTAAAAAAAATTTTCTTATTGATTCTGTTCACAAAATCAAACGTTTTCTGACAAAAATATTTAGAAATTTTAAAAGCGAAATTTGAAATGGTATATAATCTTACTATAAACTATGATAACTTACCAACGGTACTCGAACGGCGTGCAACAAGGCGGACGGCCGATGGTGCTTCTTTGGGGAGAAGCCGTTCTTGAGGGCTGAATGTTGAGGATGTCCATTGTCCTGTGGTGCTTTAGAAGTGACCGACCATTTATTAGTTAATTGATCTTTTTTCTGCAAAAGTTTCGCCGCTTGCCACATTCTCCAGTATAATATCACCATGATTAGGCACGGCGCGTAGAAGGATATCACAGTGGCATAAATCTGATACAGTTGATGTTGGGATACCTAAAATCAAGATTTTTGTTATTCAAGGTAAGTTTTTATATTGATTTTCAGATGAGAAAGTTTCTATTTTATTTAAAATCCTTCTTACCTGACATTGGTCGTCGACGTGATTTGTAGGTAACACAATAAGTGGAGTTGTACTCACCAGCAGCGCAAACACCCATACTACCACAATATAACAGAGTATTCGACTTCTGGTTCGCTTAGCTGAGTAAGTGAGGGCTTTGATAACTGCAAAGTATCGATCGATACAGATCATGCACAAGTTGAGGATGGAGGCCGAACATAACATGAGGTCGGCGGATGTCCACAAAAGACATATTGTTTTGCCTGAAATGCAAATAGAAGTTATGAAAAAGGCAACTCGTAATCGGATTTAAACTCCATTTTGGAGAAACTTCCGCCCCAATAAACAGAAGACGTGCTTCTTCTGATTCAAGCAATAGCTGCATATAATTATGGCAAAGTAGCACTTGTAATTGAATTAATCTTTTGTTTTTTTTTTTTGTGCCGGACGTCGAGGTCCTGCAACCCGCCGGAAATAAGTTTAAACCGTAGTGCCGGTTTTTTGAATAAAACGGCAAAATTTGATATTCTCCCCGTCTACGATTATCCTCCCTAAGCCTGCTGGGACCGTTTATTTGCACAGAGTTTGTTTAAAACCGAAATAAAGAAACGTTGTTCTACTTCCGAACAAGTCTATGATTAAACATATAGAATAATAACCGTTTCACTCACCCAGAATCCATTTATTCTCCAAAATAACCACCAATGCCACAGGCATCACGAACAAACCCACACTGAAGTCGGCCACCGCCAGCGACACCAGAAGCAGGTTGGCGGGTTGAGCTTTCAGCTTTCTCACCAATACCACCGCCAAACATACCATGGTGTTCCCGATAAGGGTACTGATTATCATACACACCACCAGAAGACATATTACAGTGGCAGCAAAGGGATGAGTGTGCAAGAGGTTGGAGGACTCTTCTTCATACAAGAGCGTAGAATTCATAAGTACATGTCTGTTGATGGCAGTGGTCGTCGATGCCGGTAGAAACACGATATGATAGTTCGAGAAGAACGTCTTGTTCATCAACTACTTTGTCACGATTAAAAGCGTAGTAGAGCAAAGTAATAATTGTAATCGTATTTTGTGTAGTAATATATTATGCAAATTATAGTAATATGACATCAAATAATTAACAGTAGATACGATGCACGGTAGGTAATTGATCACCTTGTAAATTGCCTCATAAAGAAACACCAGCCAATTCTGTTCAGCGCCCCTGCACTATGTTTCAGAAACAAAACATGAAGAGGCGGCGTTTTGGAGAGGTCCGTGGTTTGTTGAACCGCCTCGAATCTATATTCGCTGAGATGGGTGGCTGAGGTTGTTCCTTTTTTGTCATACACACACCGATCTCGCGCTCTCAATGCATCAAGATCAGGAGGTACATCACCGAACACCCTGAAACAATCTTTGAGAAATGGTCCCTCGAAGTGCGCGCTGAAACTCAAGACATTAAAGTCGCTTAAGGGCAAAGGGAAACAGAAGATGTGACCACATTAGAGAGGTGCTGTGAATCAAAAAGAGATCAGTTTCCCCGCAGGCACGCAAATATTGGCGTGAGCGGCCGTTGGTGTTATTGGGAGTTCGTTTCAGAATTAAATTCCATCGTATCATTGTTGGCGTCTGGACTAACAGACTCTTAGACCCTTGGGCAGGACGCGTCATCGGATTTCACGGCAAAGTGTAAAACGCCAGAATAATGATGATATAAGCCAGACGGGATGGGAAATGAGCAGCAAAATAAGCAAATGTCTTCCTGAGCAATAATAACCATCATACGTACAATGGGCCGGAGTGGGGTTTTAAATTGACAGACTCATTTCTCACCCGCCGCCCCAATAATACTCGGAATAAGAATCAATAGCATCAGAGGGTGGTCTGGTTATGCGCGGATTAAAGCTCGTCTAATTTCTTTTTGTTTACATTTCGAGTAAACAAATAAGAACTGGAAAGCGGCCGGAATCACATCTCCCTTAAAGAACATATGCAAAATAAAACTTGCCCTGAGGGCAAAGAAGGCGTGATGACCGTAAAATGGAATGACCATAAAAATATGCGTTAAAAAGAGAGACCCCCCAAAAGTTACTACCCCCGAGAGTGAACAACTTTTAAATGCGAGTAAATAACAATTTGGATGAACTAGACCTTTGTTGTTTTCCCTTGAGGAAACTACTGATTTCCGTGGGTTTATTCGCCCATTTCCTCAGGCTTTAAGTTCAATCCCATCTCTCACTTTCGAGGTCGGCAAAAGTGACACCCGGCTGCAAATTGATCATTTTAAATGGGTAATCGACTAAAATGCCCAGCCATCTGCGGTCGATGTTTTATGACATTCTCAAGAATGATTTAGAACTTAATTCCGGTCTGGGCCGATTTGTTATTCCGTACCTGTTCCCTCAAAACAAACGACATGAATCCAATAAAACAAACGTGATATGTGTGTTATTGTCTCTCCATCTTCACACATCAAACCTGGCCGGATACCATCAACAACCCAATAAACCGTCTGTTCCCAAACCTACTACCAACCCGTCTCTGCCCGATATACACCATCCAATCTTTGGGAACCGAGACCAAGTTTATTGTTTTGGAAAAGCCGGCTTCTGTCTCAAGACAATACTGTAATTAACGCGAAAATGTAGTAACATCTTCTTTGTCATCTATGTCAAAGTTTGTTTACATCGTGGTAACTACACAACACAAAAGTGTCACACCGAGACATTTTCTGATTTCAAAAAATAAATAAACCCCCACAATAACAACATACATCACAGTAAGCTCAAATAATAGCCAAGACCACAGTAAAAACAAATTAAATAGTATTGTAATGGCCATGTCATCAAAATGATCTCCAAAACATATGATTGGAATGTTGCTAACTCGAAACGTCTAAAAATAAATCAGAATTAAGCCTGTCTCGAGATAAATCACTCCGAGTTATGAGCCTGGGAACTGAGGCCGAACAGCCAATAATAGCTTTTCAATTAATAACCGATTGCCCAAAACGACCACAACGTAATGTAAAAGCGGGCCGAGCGTGGTATCGAATCCGAACCACTCAAATAACTAGGTTTTTCATGGCTGGAATGGGCTTTCTTGTTTAAGATGCATGAAATGTGGACCGTTCTGATGTCTCTCCCCTCTAATCAACAGAGCCAAAAGAAAAAACTTCATTTCTTGTCAAAACAAAAGTAATACAAATCCAGGTGTCGAAAACAATGTACACGTCTCAATATTATTGTGGAAACTAGAAGTCTGATTAGAAATCACCGGAATGTAGGAGTATCAACAACAATGCGACTGTTATAAATAGGGCAAACAATGTCTTCAAGTCAGAGATTCCTTTGTGACATTAAAAGTTTGTGAAGACTTAATTATAAGTATGATAACGTGCTCAAAACAAGTTCTGGCCCAAAACAAAACTTCTTTACTGGAAACCTAACCCTTCTGACGGCACGCCAATCTTTAAAGCAGAACCTAACACTAGACTATAAACAATATAGAGAGAACGTACTAAACAAAAGGAACAACATCATATGTTATGTTAGTTGTTTTGGAGTAGGAACTGACTGTGATCAAGTGGATTCGAAGCCATGCCCGACATGTTCTTGGGTTCGGCGGTCAGCGACGGGTCGTTGATTTCGCTGCCATTGAAGAGTGGCAGGCCGTTTGAGCTGCGACAAATACATCGTGCATCGCGCATCTTCATCAGCTCGGTCAGTCGCTCCACTTCTCGCCTCAGCACGGAGTTCTGTGTCTGGAGGTATACCTACAAACAGGATTAGTGGACTGGCTTTGGCTGACTCACCTTGTCTTGTTCTAGTGTCTGGACTCGTGTGATCATGTCATCGTGCTCTTCCTTTTTCCTCTTACGGTATCTTACCGCGGCTGCCTTGTTTCGCTCCAGAATGGTCATTCGCCGTTCGTCAGGTGGCATTTCGCTAGTCAAGGAACGTCTGCCACGGCCTCTGCCACTGCTCTGCGTGGTCTGACTCTCATTGCTTCTGCAATATTCATTCTTATTGTGGTATAGGTATTTGAATATTCATTGAATTAGTTTTTAATTAAAATAAGAGAAAGTATATGATAATATTCATATTAGTTACTCTTTTGTGTGTCTCTGAGTACATTTTTAAATTTCTCAAGTTTTTAGCAAATTTAAGAACTTTGAGCTTATAAAGTTGCTCCTGCAGACTGAGAAAAACACTTTTTAGTTGCGCCCACAACTTAATCATAACTTTATTTGCTTTTTTTTTAAGTTACGACAAAATTGTTACTTACTGGCAAAAATATAATTATAACCGTGTAAATTGTCAAGTGCCAGAATTGTAAGTGGAATTAGCGGCATTTATATAGAGATTTCGCAAAAGTAATTACTTTACTTACACGTTATTAATAGGAAAATGTCTTAGACATTAGACGATATTTCACTGTCACGCTATAGCTACAACACTTTTAATAAATTCTCCCAATTATTTTCACGACAAATTCACACACGCTTACACCTAAGTGTAGCACGTGCAGTAATGTACGACCTTACTTAAACATTCGAAAAAGCAAATGTTGTAGTAATAGCTATATGTTACACAAGATAAGCTCTTTTCAATAAAATATTTTCAAATAAAATAAAATGTCTTCGACATACCCGGGATTGTGGTAACGAGCGTATTTCCTCTTGGTAGCTCCATCGCTGACGTGAGAGTTGGGTTGAGAACCAATTTCACTTCCTGGGGCACTAGTGTTCAGCTCGAGTCTACCATGAAGGGTTTCGTATGTACTGTAAGGTTGTTTGTTGATCAACGGCTTCACATCATTCAACGAATCCCAGTCATTGTTGATACACGACAGAGAGTCGTTGACTCCATTGGGAAGAAGCGACTTGTTCAGACTAAAATATTAAAATAACATTATTGAATAACGCTAAACTGAAACAGCCTACATTTTTTATTAAAAAGGTACTGCTTATCAATAAATGTTACTGAAAGACATCCACAAGTAAATATTTTACTGAAAAATCCAACATAACATACTCCAAGACATTGTTTCTGGGCGACACATTCAAAGCTGGACTGGCCCGCGCACTCAGCATTCCATTGGATGCTGGGCCAGCCGTAGTTCCGGGATTAGAGTTGAAATTGTTATGCAGATTAGGCATACTATTATTTACAGAAGGATTAAGAGTACTCAGCGAGCTGGAGTTAGAGATCATGTTGGAGATGCTGTTCGCGTGGAGAAGACCCGAGTTGTGTTGCACATCAGCCGGCGCCGAAGCCGTTACGTCGGCCGCTGTGAAAGAGACGGTTGGCTGAGGTACAATATTAGAAGTAGAAGCGCTGCTTTCGTCAGAAGCCGCAGAAGAAGTTGTGGCATCAAGTGCCTTCAGCTCCTTCACAATCGGTTCTGTAGCCGCAGAGGTCACCGTGTTGAGCACCTTGGCGGCATCTGTACTTTGAGCCATGGTTGAGACGCTTTGAGCCGCGGCAGCTAGTCCAGCCACCAACGAAGAGGTCGACGGAATCGAGATTGGGCCGTTCCCGAGATGATTCATATTCATGTCGAGAACAGCGTTCAGAACATCCGCCGTGCACGGTGTTCGATTGCCCTCTTGCTTGACCAGATTTGCATTGTCACGGAGCTGAAAAGAATACAATAGACTTTAAATTAGAATTTTTTTAATTTTTGAAAACACTGACTTGTTGTACTTTTCGCTGAAAGTCCATTGTTTTCCGAAGACCGTTCTCCAAGTCAGCTGCATTCAGAACGTTGAGGTTCGAAAAGATGCTTGGCGACTGTGCCAAAGTCGACGGCAACTTGAGCATGGACAGTCCTGACGGCGTGGTGGGCAGGTTTATCTGGCCACCACTGTCAGGAGTCTGTTCAGGACCTTGCCCGTTTATTTGCATATTGGCTTCTCGAAACTTCAGATCAAACGGGTTCACATTCAAACATTTTTGTATGATTTCAGCGGTGCTCGGCATCTCTGAAAGTACATTTGTTGATTACATGGCCAACTTTAACTCAGGTTTTTTGAATTTTATGACTTTGGCTCAAATATTTCGCAATCCGAACACTTATGCCCTGCGGAAATGAGTAACTCTTGCGAAACTTACGAGACGTGTCCGCCGTGGCAGTGGCGGTGGGGGTCGGCGTTAGAGTGCTTAAGAACCAGTCGAGCATACTGGAGCTCATAATGGCGGTGTTGCGGGGCTCCAGCTTGGCCCCCGTTTAAGTAATTGTGGTGCACCGCTGGCCCAATTTACTCTACAGTCTCCCACTTAAAACAGGTAAATGAATCCCGTCAAAAGTTATTCAGCGCGTTCTATTCATTCCCAGAAAGAGCAAGTGTTACACACACAAAAAAACAGATGAATGGATGTATTAACAACGATTAGCGGAGGACATGTATCCCCCCCCCCTCTCCGTCCTCCAGCGAATTAAGAAAACGTATTAAACGGTTGTGTAAAATTTGGTGGCCTCGTGTTTATGTCAGGAAGACAAGCGATATCCATATAGGAAACTAAAAGGCCCGTGAGTACGCCGTTCGCCGGCTTTTATGTTTCATTCATGACCGTTGCCCTGCCCTCCTCCCCCTCCCTGAATCTGAGAGTATGAATCTGTAATGCAAATTGCAAAACCTAACAGATTCCGGATTACAAACCTATAAGCCAAAACTCATTAGACAAATGAGTACACGTTTCAACACCAACTTAAGATATTATTATCGTATCTCAATCACCGCCCCAATACAAATTAAGTTGGGAATTAAGAGAGGAATTCAGAAAACGGAGAATTGTTGTGAATTTCTTTTTCAGTAGCTATCAGTCTCCTCCCAATACACGATTCTAAACACACAAATCGAAAGAAAGGCCACAACAAAGGCTGAATCACGGGTGGCTCAGTCACCCAGAATGAGCTAGCACCTTGGATCGCGTACCCGAGCGTCTAAATAACCATATTTGGTAGCCATGTTTCTCGTTCGCTCATTCAGAAACCCGACTCCCAGGACTTCCTCCAGAAAGTGCGAATAGCGGCAAAATCGAAAAACCGGCATTGCCGCACGTGCCCAGTGCTGTGGCCGGTCGTGTGTGTCGTCAGCCGAAAGAGCGAAGGCAGAGGGAGGCCGCTCCAAAAAAGGGAGAAGGACAGACAGCCAAACTCGCGGTTGTCGAAAAGAACAGCATGCTAACATCGGGCTCAAGATACGGCCAGACGAACGACCACAACACAGAGATATAGTCACGGATTGAGGCCAAACTTTTGCCGCGTGAACTAATTCCCACAAATTAAAGGAATTCATTCCATTGGCCGTGTGTAACGCCGCATGAAACTGTTTTTTGTTTCCAACCGCTAATTAAAGACACAAAGGCCCTATCAATTATTGAACAGTGTCACCTGAACGCTTTCCCCACAGATCCAACGGTTACCATGCATTCGCGCATAGATTATGAAACCATTTAAAACAACAAGCAAGTAGTTGAGAATGTGACAAACCCCTCAAAAGTTACAAAAGCACAAAAACTATGACTTGTTTTATCTCTGTTATAAATAAGATAAGCTAAAATCTTTAAAAATCAGTTTCTGATAGACAGGCAGTTGATTAAAAGTAGTTTTTTACTGTGGGATTAAATATACGAATGTAATACACTTAATTATGTAACACTTTTGAATACGAAATTAAATTCAAATAGAAAAAGTTAATAGGTCATTGAAACAAGCTAGATGCTCGTTTCTTTGACAAATCGCCAATTAAATAAATCCTCAAAAAGACAGCCGGAAGAGAGTTCATCTGATATGAAAAACGGAGGGGCTAAATTCTTTTACCTAGAGGTAACCACACAGAAATGAAAAACTGACAATTGTTTTGCTGATAACGCCTTTACTGATAATGTACAAATCTATACCCATCCCAGAATAAAGAATACCATAATAATATAAAACCAACCTTCCACCCTCAGGTAAAGTACAATCCTAGCAATATAATACATAACCGAAAAGTGACGTGAGTGAACTTATATCGTTCGAGGCCAAGCGAGCGCAATACTCTCTTCGAATACAAGTCACGGTTTCAAGTGGGAACGTGATTGTAAGCGAGAGACCCCGGCCGCCCGCGAGACGGGCGGACAGCTCGAGAATGGGCAGAATGGCAACCAGGTATTCTATTTTAATTCCATCTCGCACTCCCCAAAAAGAACAGTTACCCGACGTGAAAAGAGATAAAAACAAACATTCAAGACAGCGCCCCAATTCGATTCGGCTGGTGATAAATTTGGAGACGCCTGACCCCGGTTTTATTCATATTCCGGACAATTAAGAGCCCAAAACATAATCTCTGCTCCCTGATTGTCTGAATCGTCCGCTCGAGTTAACATTTAGATCACAATGAATGCCCTTTGAGTCATCTATGGCGTGCGTAACGTTAACACCTCTTACCTCCCGTTTTGACGTTAAAGTCCATGAAGTTTGGAGTGGTCATCGACGACGGGGACGAGCTGACCGGGCTGATGTTCAACCACAAACTCCTTTTGTGTTTCTTGTTCTCCGACGAGTTCATGTTCTGCTACAAGTTTATATCTCAGTTTACGTATGATTATTCAACACATTTCATTCAAATGCTGCTTTTAAAAAGGAACGAGCGCGATTGCCAAATATTTAAAATAATTCTGTCGAAAACATTTAAAAGTTCAGAATTATCGCCTGGACCATCTGAATTTTAAAGCGAACGGAAACAAGAACGATATCAGGAACGGTCATCAAAATACCCACAAAAGATCAGGCTCGAACGATGTTGAAAGAATAACGCAATATACTCGGGCTAGGGCGACAGTTGGCAGGTCATGCTCAAAAAACAAATGGTTCATCAGTCGGCCGCCCACCTCTCATTAAATTATTGCGTGAGTATGAAACGCTGAGTGCCACATAGTAACTCCCTAAATTCAGATTGTAGCTTTACAGCGTAACATTTTCACATTTCACAAGTTACTGAGCCCCATATATATTGCACACAAAGCTACAATTTCCAATTAAACGGAAAGCTAAGCTGCATGACACCATAATATACGCTTACCTACAAGTGACGGCACTCGTACCTTGCCCAACAAGTTTTACTGTAATTATTATTTTATTAATAGAACATGGTTTGCTCCAGTCGGCGTAATGTTATCGTACATAAGAATCGTAGTTCCAGAAAGTTGTCCTTAAAAATGTCCAAAAGTAACGTAAAGTAACACCAAAGTAAAAGTAAAATATGTACTTTAAAATTAGCAAAATTATTCCAAAAGATGTTTGAGTTTAAAGAATTCCAACGTATTGTTAAAAACTCAAAAAATACAATATTTTGTACATTTAAAAAAAATTAATATGTAATTTATTTTTATATTATTTTACAATAACCCACATTGAAAATCCTGTTAAACATATGTTGCAACATCTTTTGTAAATCCTACTATCAAAAGTTGCTATCGTGAAGTCCTTTTTTCGAAAAATGTAAACAACTTTCCTCGTATAACTAAACACAATACATCGCGCAGCATTCAAACAGTCGGGCGCAGCCTGTCGAGAATAATTCTTTTTGTAAATTTCCAAATTTATTCGTTTTTCAAGTTTTTTCCTTATTTATGGAAGAAACTAATTTTGGAAATGAGTGAATCCAAATTTGCCTTCACAAAATATAAATCTAGGTTCTTGAAGACTTATTTTACTGAAAGTGGAGTTTTCCCGGCCAATTCTTCGTTCTTCACTGAGTTCTCGGCATTCATCGACGGATTGGAACGGAAAACGTCAGTTATTTTTTCCAAAGCTTATTAAATTGAAGATATAACATGTAGTATTTAAGTAATAAAGAGAAATATTGTTTTATGTGACTTATGCTTTAGGGACGAGACATTCTTCAAAAGTTTTGGCCGAAATAAAGCTCTAAACAAAGACGACTTGGAAGTAATTCAAGGACATTATGATAGAGGTTTGGATAGCAGGTTTAAGGTCGAGGAAACTGTGGTTGATCGGTTTTTGATAAGAGATGTAAGTGTTATTGTAGTCACTTTTTGAAATTTCAAAACCTATGATTGGTAAGACATAAAATAAATAAATAAATGTCAGATACCAAAAGACGCCATAGCTCAATTTGAATATGTGATAAAGTTGTTTTTGGAGTATATAAACTGGAAGAAGATGAAAAGGATCACGGATATGAGGAAAACTCAAGCTAATCTTCCGATTGCTGTTAGCCGCAATGACATTATCGATATTTTAGATCAGGTAATGTAAAGCTTTTTTAGGTATCTAAAAAATGTTGTCAGCTATAGTTTCATAGTTAACATGTTTTCAGAATCAAGTGTTGATTCTTGCTGGAGACACTGGATGTGGCAAAAGTACTCAAGTAAGTCCTTTAAAGTTGTGTTTATTATATTGTAAATAAGGGATCCTTCTTGCTGACATTGTCATTGTGGTTATGTGATACTGGGTTCTTGAAGAATAGCTTATGACCTTTTCGATGTTGAAGTGACCTCATCGATGTGCCTGTAGCTATCATACTATTGATGTTCTTGAGCTTTTTGTTGTGACGACGACTGAACAGTAGTAAGATGAGAGACAAGGTGGATAGAGATGTTGTTATAGTCAACAACGGGTATACCCAGACGGGCGTGAGTGAAGGCACGGTGACAGAGGACTGTGGCATCGATGTGAAGTTGTCTGGTATCTCGATGGTGATATTTGATAACATATTCAGGAGTTCGTCTTCTACAAACGGAGAAGTGTCGTTTCCAGCCGATATCGCCATGTCTAATGACTGAAAGAAAAAATGATGGTATCAAAGTAGGTACCACTGTATTTTTAAAAATGGCACGACTTACCTCTGTGATTCTCTCTCCAATTTCTGTAACGATTTTACTCAGAACTTCCATAAAGTTTTTGGCTTTGAATAAGTTATACTTGTTGAAAATGTGCTCCATCAGGTCGGAAGGCAGCTTCAGGTCACTTCCAGTTCTAACATAAGCTATCTTGGCGCCTTCTACTCCAATAAATATTAAAAAGTTCTTACATGGCAGACTTTTGAGGCCAAATTGTTCCACTAGACCGTCACCGAATTTAGTCTGAAAGAATAATATGTTTTAAGAGACACTGCTAAAATTAGGTTAGAGATTAAGAAGTAGTCTTATTACCAGGTCTAGTTCAGTAATGGTATGGTTTTTGGCTGATTGGATTCGTTTTGCAAGGATAACGTAAAGTTGCAGGGAACTAGTAGGGTTGTCGTAACACTGGAAGGGGGCGTTCTCTGTGTATTCAACATTCACCATTTTCAGTTCTGCAAATTATATTATAGTACGCTAGAAATGAATGATCAAACTTACTTTCCATCAAACTGTTCAGATTCTGATGAATCTGCAGTCGCCATTGATCCGTAAGTATGTGGTCGGGGTCACACAAGGTAGAGTTGGACCAGGTGTTACACTCGGTGTAGTTGGTCCTAGGGTCGGGGTAGGTGAGCGGGGTCCATTCTTCGGTGTCGGCTCTGAGAACGGTACCAGAGGCCACAAGCAAGGACAGCAGGGATAACATGGCTTAAGACATGACTCAACGAACAGTGGTCACTTTAGCCGGATAGTCTTGGGTTTCGAGAGCGAACCGGCTGAAGCGAATGGGGGGAAGTGAGAAGGAGAGACACAGTGACTGTAAACAGACTAGAAGATGTAAATAGAGACCATCACGCAGTGCACTTGTATCACTCCTCGTAAGCTGATTTCTCTTGTTTCAGGTTCCTCAGTATCTGCTACAGGCCGGCTACTTGAAGGTCGCATGTACCCAGCCCAGACGGATTGCTTGTACCGCCTTGGCCAAGCGTGTGGCCCAGGAGACCCTGAACATATTTGGAAGTGAAGTTGCTTATCAGACTAGGTTCGAGAAGACAAAAACCAGCCGAACACGGCTTCTGTTTTTGACTGATGGCCTTCTGGTAAGACAAATGATCATGGACCCGATTCTGAATCAGTACGATGTGATTGTGCTGGACGAGGTGCACGAACGACACTTGGGAGGAGATCTTTTGGTGGCGTTGATGAAGATGTTGATTCAACGGAGAAGCGATTTGAAGTTGATTCTGATGTCAGCCACCATCAACATTGATCTTTTCAGTAATTACTTCGAAGGGGCACCGGTTGTTCAAGTGCCTGGTCGACTGTTTCCAATAGAAGTACATTACATGCCGGTCAAAGAGTATGACATAACTGAAAAGAAAAAGTCATGCAAGGTCGATTCTGCGCCGTATTTGAAAATCATGCAGGTAGGCTTGAAAAATGTCTTTAAAATTTTTATATCTTTTCGATATATAATGTAAATTACTTTAACTATCTTAGATGATAGACAATAAATACTCGGCAAAGGAGCGTGGTGATGCTCTGATCTTCTTAAACGGTATTGGCGAGATTCAGATGCTCGCTGACGCTCTCAAGGAGTACGCTGAGTTCTCAAAACGATGGATTATCTTAATGTTACACAGGTTGGTTACAATACTTTATTCTATTTTTATATTTATTTAAAAGAATCTTTTGCAATAATCATATTTTTCAATTTAAATTTTAGCACTTTATCAGTGGAAGAACAAAACAAAGTGTTTGATATTGCCCCGCCTGGTGTAAGAAAGTGTATATTGAGTACCAACATTGCCGAGACTTCAGTGACTATCGATGGCATCAGGTTCGTGTTGGATTCTGGCAAAGTCAATCTTCTGAAATACGATTCCTCAACTAGAAGTCATCGCCTAACTGAATGTTGGATCTCTCAGGCCTCAGCCAACCAACGGAAAGGCAGAGCTGGCAGGACTGGACCTGGAATATGTTATAGACTATATTCAGAACACCAGATGACCAAGATGGATGCCTTTACTCCGTCTGAAGTCAAAAGAGTGTCTCTGGAGTCTCTGATCATGCAGATTCTGAAAATGGGATTGGAGTTGGATGTTCGAGACTTTCCCTTCCTAGAAGCACCGAATGCAGAAGTTCTGAAGCATTCCCTGGAGACCATGAAGTTCCAAGGAGTTGTTGATGCTACTGATTCTAAGCGTCTGACCGCTCTTGGAACTATCCTGGCTTCTTTACCAGTCGATCTGCTGATTGGAAAGGTAAGTTACTGACTCTTAGAATAATTAGTCAGGATTCTACTGAAGTTAGTGTATTGTAGATGTTGATTTATGGAGTGATAATGGATGAAGTTGACGTGATTCTTACGGTTGCTGCTGGATTGTCTGTTCAGTCGATTTTTACCAACAGATCCTTTAGGGATTACGATACTGTACAGAAGAGGACCAGTTTGTTATCAGATATTGGGGATGCTTTCACTTTGATCAAAGTTTACAGGTATGAAGTTGTTAAGGTAATTTTACTTTAATTTTGTAGCTAAGTGAGACCATAAGAAGGCATATTTTAGTATTTATTTCAATTGTTGTTTTAGAGAGTGGGTGTTGTTGAGAAGGAAAAGAGAAGATACAAAGAAGTGGTGTCGCAAATCTGGCATTGAAGAAAGCAGACTGTTCGAGATTGTCAAGTTAAGAAGACAGTTCAAACTGATTTTGGAGCAGGCTGAGCTGTTATCTAGCAGAATAGACGAGGAGTGGGAGAACCTGAGCAGCAAAGAGAGGAAGATCAAGTTGGGAGAGAAGAGGAAACTGAACGAGTTGAAGAAGAAGGCACACCACGAGACCAGAACTCGGAAGGAACTCAAGGAAGGACAACATTTCGACACTATTCTTGACCAAACTGATGGTAAGCCTCAGAGAAAATTTATTTGGGTCAAGTCTTTCTTTTGCGTCAAAATTCTCTTTCAAAGTTTTTTTCAAACTGTAAGAAATTGTGAATTTTTATCTTTAGTTATTCAAATGTTATCAAAACTATGTAATACTTTAATGTAATTTACTTGCAGAAAATACAGAACCACAAGATGACATCAACTCACTGGAATTCCAAGTTTTGATCGACGATGCTGACATGACACAGCAGTTGAACAGTCACAAGTTAGACTTTGATAGAGGGCTGATAATACAATTTATCATAAGCATGGGGCTATATCCTCACCTGGCTATCGAAGATGCTCACAATAATCATCGTACTGGCTCTGAACAGTTTGCCCATTGTGCTACAAAACCCTTTACTATAGTTCATCCCAACTCTTCGTTGTCGCCTGAGGCAATGGAGATCAACAAGGACAAACACGGTTTCTCTGAGGGACATCAGTTGATCTTCTACGGACTGCTTCTGGAGACCACGAAGCCATTTTTGTGCAACAATACTCGAGTTCCTGCTTTGTTATTGACCTTGTTTTGCAGAAATGTAAGTGTTGTGCTCATATGTTGAGTTTTTGTAGTTTCCATTCAGAATTGTTTGCTATTCTTGTATTGATTTTGGGTTTCTAAAAATATTTTTTTAGGTATCAATGACGTCTCCAACATCTTTTTCTTGCGATGGTTTTGCTGATTTTGTATTTAGAACTGAGCATGATACTAAACGAGTACTAGAAAAAGCTACAGTAATCCGAGAGATGATTCAAAACACGATTTCGGAAAAAGTCTTGGGAAATGATATTGGTTATGCTACAACAGTGTTAACGAAGAAAATAATCAAATTCTTCAAGGATTTGAGGGTGTTTAAGTAAGTTTGTTTTGATTTGATGTTTAATTGATATTAATGTATAAAAGATGTGACAAATCAGTAGAACCTTTTATTTTAGTAGTTTTAGCTTGGTAATTGGATATTGTATTTCAGGTTGAATCGTTTTGTAAATCCGCCAAAAGAACTCTCGGATGGTATATTTGGACTCGATGGTAATATGTTTGGGGAGACGGAACAGGTCGAGGATTTTATCAAGCAAGAGGTAAGTCTTATTTTTGAAAATTATTCAAATTTTGAAGGAGGAAGAACCAGAAATGGAAGACGTTGTTGAGGAGGTGCCCCAGAAGAGGGGAAAGAAAAGTTATTTCTGTGAAAACTGCCAAAAAACACTATACTTTGATAGCAACGTAGATATACTACATCACAAAAGGGGTCACGACTAAATAAGCGGGTACATAAAGACGACCTTATGTTAAACTACAAAAAAGTACTCATAGTTATGTTGTCTAGGAGAAGTTGTATATAATAGTTTAAAACATGTTTATTACTGTGTTAATTGCCATTATTAAATATATTAAAGTTGTACATGAGATGTGAAGAGATTGTAAGTATCTTTGTTGGGTCAACAATATTGATTCGAGTGGTTCATGTCATGGTGAGGCCTCCAGGTAGATTGATGGTCTAGTAGAGGTGTATGTTGTTCTCCCATTACTTGCCCTCCGCTGTTAGTTCCGGTCGATTCTGTGTTATTGTCACTAAAATTGTGTTTAATATGATCAGTCCAATTTTAACAGTTACACGCCGACGTACTGTAACTTCAGTTATACTAGGCTTAAGAACAGTATAGTAAAAGAGTGACTTACGTTGAGTTTCCACCGTATCTGAAGCGTGGATTGCCCATGTGAGTACCGTAGATGTCGGCCGAAATTGAATTCTCTGCCACGCGAGGGTAGAACGGGTCTTCACCACTGACCTCGGTGTAGTCGGTTGATCTAAAGTCGACAATATGAAAGTGATTTAAAAGGTTTGACCTTGTTTTCGAGTTTTTAAATTTGAAAACGTGTGAATCGTGTTTCGAATCAACTTACTTTCGTTCGAAGGCGAACCAGCTGCGAGAGGCTACCATCAACAGGAATCCCATTAGAATCCCGAAAACAAAGATCCCGACCAGAAATATTAAATTTCCCAAACTACAACATTCATATTACTAATGGTGTTGAACTACACTGTCACTTTGTTAATGACATTTAAGGTTAAAGTATAAGGCAAAACATGTAAAAGTTACTATTTTGATAAGATTAAATGTTGCTTGGACTAAGATAACAATCGTTTAAACTTGCACTCACAATCCATCTCTGCAGAATCCATGGATCACACCCTCGATACGATGGTGGTTGGCGCTACACGAGCTGAGTGTAGATATCGTTCCAACATTCTTGAAGCAGATGTCGATGGTTTGATAAAAGTATCCGATGAGGTCTTCTGCGAACTTGTCACTTCCGAAGAGTGCCACGCTCGTTGTTTCTAATTCATAAGTCTTGGTCTTGAGGTCACCGAGGATACTCTCGATTTTGTCGAGGTTGAGGTCGTTGATGTTCTGGGTGTACTGTCCCCCGTCGACACACTTCTCGTAGTAACTGAGAACGTTGTAGATGCCATCCGGAAGGTAATGCGATACGAAGGAGCGACCAGTCTCACAGAAGTCAGCGTACGCCTAAAGGATTGAACAACAAATTAGTGGTACTTACGATAGTCAGGGGAGCAGCTAGCGAAAAGATAACCCATGCCAAGAAGAAGACTACGATTCCGAGGCCACTGAAGGCTACAACGCCTGTTCTACTATTTTTGCAGATGGCTAGGACACCTACAAACAGTACCACAAACATGATGGAGAGCAAGGTCACTATCATGATCCATCTGGAATGTAAAGCATTAATTGGTCTTAAAGTTATTAGGTATAAGACTAATGTTTGCTTATATTAATCATGATTACCGTTCGAATTCCATGCGACCCATTTTCTTGACGGCATCTTTGAAGTTCCTGAGGCCATGAAGGGTTTCCTTGGAGTTTTCGGCAGCTTGATGAACGTCTTTCCACAAAGTAACCACCTTCTCCAAGGCCGAGTTGATGTCTGATATTTTAGTAGTATTGGCAGTCGACTTCTTGGCTTCGTCTTCGATCAAACTTCGAAGCCGGGCAGCATCTCGGCTGACGTTATTTCTGGCAAAGTCGAATTGGTTCAGCTAAAAGGTTGAATGACTAATTTGTTTAAACTCGTGACTCAATCAAGTATAATACAAGTAGTTGATATTGTTACTGAGGTGAATATTAAGGATCAGCGTTTTGCCTGTCTGCTGTATACGCTACTCATAAAAGCTTTTAAAAGGCGGTATTTAAGTCAAAAAAGAAACCGATACTTACTTTGTAACTGGTAATGTCGAAGTTGCTTTCTACTTCGTGAAGTTGAGGTAAAACTTTGGATATCATTGCTCGGTTCGAGTGATCGTTGCCATATAAACACACAGCCAAAAGTGAACTAAAGATAAAGATACACAAGGTAAAGGTGTAAACTTACAAGCAGAAGATACTCATAACAAACAAGGTGTAGGTCAGCCTTTGGATCGACTGTTTGGTGTAATTGCCAGCGGCTTTTGATGTACAACATGAGATACTCCATACTATAACAACAACAAACAAAAACAAAAGTCCGATAACTAAAGCCGACAAGCAGAACAAGGTTAAAGCCTGAAACACATTTTAATAATATATATTTTAGTAAGTTTTAAATAGTGATGTTAACACCTTCATAGAATAGTTCTATAGAGCTTAAAAGCTGAAAAGGTAGCGGAAGAAATGTCATAACAAATACGAAAACTTACGATGAAGTAAGTGTCGTGAATGTCGAAAACAAAGACATTGTCCACTCTCTTGAACTGATAGTCAAAGTGTGGGATCTGGTGGATCAGCTGACGGAGCCATATGACCCAGTCCTGTGCCATTTTGGCTGAAAGTGGTAAAGTAAGTAACGAAAGGACGGAACGGCACGGACGCGCAAACCTTTTTAGAGGAGCTTGGCCAATACTTAAGCAGCCCTTGTCCCTTGTTAAGGGGGGTGGGGGGAGGGGGGGAACGCGACCTCTGCTCGCTGCCAGCTGTCGCCGCCGCAAAAAACAATTTGCTTGTAAACCCCCAACTTTTATGGCATGATACGAGCAGAGGGTTATGGAAATGGGATTATGAGCGATCGAGAGAGCCGTCTCCTCTCTATTGTTCGAATATTATTATCGCGGAAATTAGCGCCATTTATGCAGACCTCGTTGTGGCAGGGACAAACGTGATCTTATTTAATGTAAAAATAATTTTAAATGATCAAATTAAACACAGTCACTACATGGTACAAAGCAGTAAATGATGTGCAAACGCTATAAAATATGATGGACAAAGCGTAAAACAATCTGCCTAACGCGACCGGGCTGATTGCATTGTCTATTTATTTAATCCGAAATTAAACTGTCCAATGAAAGGTCGATCCATCATCTTCCAACCTTAATATCAGATTGGATGCACAGGACGGAATCGACTGTCGGAACGAGTTATAAAACAGCAAATTTAGCCTTTTTTTGAGAACGCGGTCATCAATCCAAGCGCCTTTTCTCTGACCGGCTCCCCTCTTACCCACCAAATTTATTCCAAGAACAGATTCTGGTCTCTCTATTTGCATTTCCAGACGCCGAATCTGCATAAAAGTTTCCCTTTAAACGTCGCCTTAAACAAAGCGCGCAATCCGACCCCTGAGGGCAGGCTGGGAGCCCCTCGTGAGAGATTGGCCGACAAGTCTTGGCCACTCACTTGGGGGCCCTGACTCGGCTGGGAATGAATCGAGTTGCTGAGCTATTTAAACACAAAACATCGTTTAAGGGGTCATTCTAGTGATAAAGAGATTGGTAAACAGAGTGTGAAAAGGAAAACTAATGGGAACGGAAACAACTCTGCCAAATAAACACACCACCCCAACCAAACTTGACAAAACAGCCAACTTATTGTCAACATTGTGACAACTAGAGGACGAGGCCGTCTTCCACAATGGGCATCATCACTCGAACGGGGAATTATAGGGAGGGTCGGAAGGAGCGTTGCGCAGAACTGGGACCTATTCCTTGTTTTGGCCATAAGGCCGAAAACGCGTATTCCCTACCCTGTCCAAGTTGGCTATGTCTGCAGAGAGATTATCACCCTCCAGCAGCGCCTTCTTTGATAGAAATTGTTTTTGTGAAGTAATTATGCAGCCCCACCAGTTCAATGTAGCGTTAGTTCCGCTGCCAAAATCTGGTTGACAGTCGAGACGCATTTACGCACTTCATTAGGTTCTCCGAAAGGTCAAGCTTGTTTTATTTCAACTCGAATATGCAAATTAACTCGGTTTATTCTAAGATTATGTACAAGTTGGCAAGTTATCACGTGGTTTAAAACATTTTATAACATAATATGATATGTTGTCATAGCTTGTTGGATATGCTATCACATGAGTGTTATAAGGACTTGTTAGGATCACACGGCTTTCTTATGTCCAATCACGATTGTTTTGTAAAAGAGAACGGCCGGTACACACAAAAGAACGCCGCTCACAAAGTAAGCGGCGGTCGGGCCAAGAAGCCAAAACACTGAAATTTGAATACTTGTTTTGACTTGAGAAATGGACGGAAGAACAACATAAAAGTCGTAACGACCAGTATTATGTCATCTGTAAGAGGTATATTATAAAGGTATGCAGCGTCTACTATACTACTTTAAATGCTTACATATTGACCCGCTTAAAGGACCAAACGCTCTGGATAAAGCTCCAAGGCTTCTGAAGATGCCCATGCAAAGGCCTTTTTGTTCTTCTGAACATATGTTGGCTACAAGAGACGTGAAGCACGGAACTACCACTGATGACGCTAAAACAAGAATTGGCTGATTAAACGTTGATAGAAAACCTTTAAAATCAAAACTAAAATTTTACAAATATTTTGTAATTGATTATCACAACTTTACTTACCGACAGCATACAACACCAGTGATATGTAAAACACGACCTGATTGTATGCAAAACTCATGATTATGTATGTAGGTATAATGGCCAGAAGGCCAAACATTGCTCCATGAGTTTGTTTGTCCTTCGGAATTCGGCGAACAAATCCGCCTAAAGCAAATAGCACTAATTATAAGCCTATTAAGTGATTCACAAAGTTTCAAAACAATAACATACCTTGAATTACCATCATAAGAACCCCAGTAACAAAGTACATCTTGCCTTGATTGGCACTAGTGTAGCCGAATCTGAGGTGAGTCAGGAAGGAGATCGTGAACTCACATCCCGAGTAAATAAATAAGTACAAAAAGTAAACAATGCCATACAAAGCAAGCTCCGATGACAATTTTGGCCCCAGGGTTTTAAACGTAATAAGAGACCGAGGATTTATGTAATCAACCCAACTTCCGGCCACTGCCTTTCTCGTCTAAAACAACATAAAAAGTTAAAACAAAGTATCAAAACAGCTATTTTTAGTTATTGTAACATATAATATTACAGTATTTTAAAAAGACGTACTGTAACATTGTTAGTTTCTGGCAAGCAGAACCAAATCAGCAGTAATTCAACTATGGTCAAGGTGACAGAGAAAATGGCGGGGTAGAAGTTGATGTTACCCCCAACAAAACTGTTCGAGAAGTAGGCTCCGATCATTGGCCCGGCCATAAAGGCTAGCGAGAAACACATTCCAACACAAGCCTAAACGTACTAACAAATAAAATAGTGACTTACCATGCCTTTGCCTCTAGTTTCGGGGCTACAGATGTCAGTCACGATGGTGATGGCTATTGAGACACTGGCTTTAGATAACCCTCCAACAATCCGAGATAACGTGAATAAGGTAAAGTTAGTGGAGAAGGCCCATATCTAAATATTATGTCATTAAATCACTGTATGTTATGTTCTTAAACTATAAATAGTATATACATACATGTTATGGTCAATAGAAAGATACGTTTAACTTACAATATACGAAACAAGAGATCCTATAACTGAAATCAACAGAATGGTCTTCCTTCCATAACTATCGGACAGACTTCCTAGTATCGGTGATGACAGATACTGTAAGAAGCTGAAGATAGAACCCAGTACCCCAGCGAAGAATACATTATTGTACCTTGAGGACACTGGTATGTTGATCAGGGATTGGAGGAACGAAGCGTGTTGCTCAAACTTGTTGTACAACCAATCCTGGAAAATAGGACCATTTACTATAGTAATATTGGTTAATCAAGTATTCCAAACTCTGTTTGCTATGTTGAAGTTTTATAATAGGTAAAAGATGCTTACATTATCTTTGTTTTTGCTGTACTCTTCGAGAATCGAGGGGAACAGTGGCAGAATGGAGGTGAAACAAAACAAATCAACAACAAGAACAATCAGGAGGACCGTCATGGTGTTTGAGACGGACATTGTTTGGAAGAACGTCTATCCTTTCTTCCTTCCATCGCTAAAAGAAGATCGCGGGAATTCGAGTAGCTGAAGACGACCTTCGAATGGCAGCTCAGTCGCCGATCCACCACCAATCGAGGCTGTTTGCTTTTAAGCGTGCAACTTGCTTCTGGCCCAGCGGTTTTGTGGACCATGACTCAATGAAGCTTGAGCATACACGAAACAAAAGGTCTGAAACGAGTAAAATCAACAAAACCAGGAAGTGCAGCGAGTTTAGCAGATGTTCGACACGTTGTACTATTAACTACTGTTAACTTTATTTGAAAATATTTTCACAAGGATGCAAAGCGTTTATTTTAAATATTTTAAGAGCAAGCTCATTCTTCAACCATAAAACGTCCAAGAAGTATTTATTTTTTGACTTTCAAGAATATTTTTACAAATTCAAAACGTTATCACAAGATATATGGTGACATATTTTACACATTTTGGCAACAGTTTGTATGTTCTGATATTGACTATTAATTTTCCTAAAAACCCTGGAAGTGTGATTAATTTGGCGATTGAATTTCGTAATAACTGACCCGACAGATTTTAGTCTAAAAACATGTCAAAAGTGAACGTTCGTCTCTGTTATCCGTTTTTTGTCCAATCTTTTTCGAAAAATGACCTCCTTATTCCTTAATATCATCAGTTTTACGACTTTTAAACTGTTATTCACAGTTATTTAAATTTTTTTGAGAAATGATTTTTTTACAAACGATCTATAAAAAGAAATGGTTGTCCTACGGGCTAAGTTAGACTTAAATTTTAATAGTAACGTAAGTCTAAAGTTGAGCTTTCTATTTACGCCTAAAAGTTACAAATTTGAATAACGGTTTATTCAAAGTACTACAATAATATTGACCACATAAAGTCAGGTCTGAAATGAACTTCTTTGCATTTATTATTCCCTGGAAGGGGGCTCATGGTTTGTCAATGTTCTCCATAAATATTTCCGTTTTTAAATGATTGAGAGATAGATAGACAGGCATATTGTAGATGGACGGTGCGCGACTATTCATTTCGGTTAAACAACCTACGGGTTTTTATTCGAATTGGCGCGTATTAGTCAATTGGGCTCGTAATATGATTAAACTTTTGATACTTCTGATAAGGCTTTGACATTTTGAGATTCTGTAACATGTTGCTGATGTTAGAAGGTTAGCTGAATGTTACACTTGAGGGCTGTGAAAGGGTATTAGTCACCTCATTGCGAGCAACATTGCCTGAAGACAGTTGTTTAAGTCAGTGTGTCGTGATTAATATTCAAATCCGTCGAGATAACGGGATTTTCGACCACGATTCAAGTTCAATAGTTAGACTTGCGCGCGTCGCTCTCTCGTCGCAACATGGTGATCTCTCGTCGCGATCGGCTGGCAGGGGAGAGACACACTGCCTCCAGCCTTTACTCTGCGCACATTCTACCACACGGTAGTCGTGGCAGCCTCACCATACCTTCACGCTCCCTGTCTTTACTTCGCCCGAGATCGCTGACGGTTTTTCGGTCTTCGCTCTTTGATTTCGAGTTAGGCCGTGCTTCGAATACATAGAGAGCCACTTCATAATGTTATTCATATCGTTCAGCGGTTTGGTTTACATTAAGCTGTGTTGGGTTTACATTAAGCTGTGATGGGTTAAACTATTATGTGTGATAACAATATCGTTTGATTGCGTGGCGTTATATTATGATATAGGTAATCAACACAATGCTTCCAGACTTGTTGCTTTTTTAACCTCACACATACAGTAGAATGTCTTACGATTTGGACGCCGCTGAGAAGGCCGCTTATGCCCCATTCTTCGGCTACATGGGTGCCGCTTCGGCCCAGATCTTCACCGTGTTTGGAGCCGCTTACGGAACAGCCAAGTCGGCCGTAGGCATCTGCTCGATGGGTGTGATGAGACCCGAGCTGATTATGAAGTCGGTCATTCCAGTCATTATGGCTGGTATCATCGGTATCTACGGATTGGTCGTGGCTATGGTACTGAAAGGAAAGGTGAACTCTGCCAGCCAGGGCTACACTCTCACTCAAGGATTCGCTCACTTAGCTGCCGGTCTGACTTGTGGGCTGTGTGGATTGGGAGCTGGCTACGCTATTGGTATTGTTGGAGATGCTGGTGTCAGAGGCACAGCACAACAACCACGTCTTTTCGTCGGAATGATCTTGATCCTCATTTTCTCTGAAGTAAGTTGACTTTCGGTTCTTTTACTTTTAGAAGGTGGTTTGAGATGGATATTATTTCACGTCGAACCGACTAAACTGACATGCTTTTAGGTATTGGGATTGTACGGTATGATTGTCGCTCTTATCTTGGGTACGGCCTAAGCCTCTCGTTGGACCAAGACATGCCACCTTGCTCAACAGCCCTTGTCATAATGTATTCTGGTCGTCTTTGTTTATCCTTGTTTTGTAGGCCATGTATGTTATGATGCGGTGTCAAGAAGGACATTTTATAGTTGATATATCATTATCATTTATCTCCCGCTTCTTTCTATATTCTCCATATCATCAATCTTAACATGTAGTAGTCAGAAACAGATTATCGTGTATGTTCGATCGACTTTATTATTCACAAATGGTCCCTCTTGTCATTTTTTTGCATATTCATTTGCATAATTAACCCGGGGATATTTGCTTCTATATTATACATAATAAACAAGTGATGTGTAGTGTTTTATTCGACAATCAAGAGCGACCCGATTTAAGATACCTGCATTAAGATCATATTAAGGGAAAGGGTGGGAGACTACGTAAGTGAATTAGGTGGACGGTCAGAGGAAGGTGGCCTCCTCCGTCGTGTCTATCATGAAGTCCACCTTCTCCGGCTGCTCCACCGACGCTGACACGTTGGACACACTTCTCTTTAGCAATTCCGTCTGTGTGTGGGCGTCCACCATATCGTTCTTTATGGAGAATGTTGAGCTTGAAGGTCTGGTTTGAGTACCGCCGTTGGACATGGACATGTGCAAACAAGAGGCCGCATCCGATGCCAAGAGTGCCGTTCGTGGAGTGTCAAATTGGGAGGATTCGACTGCGTTGAACTGAAAAACCAAACAATTTAGAGGGGACATAAACATGGACGCAGTAAACGTTAAGAGCACTTTTAATCAGCTGTTTCACCATAGTACTTAGCAAATACTATACTTGATGACACTATCTTGTAAGCGTAAACTTATCAAAACTTTTGCATTATCAATACTTATAATCAGCAAGCGGACAAACCTTGGGCGACACTAAACCATTCATGGAATGCATACTTTTCATGGTGGGACAATGACTGTTCCCATTGGCCACCAACGTTACCGTTTCCGCATTTCGACCGCTTCTGTAGCGGTGCTGTAGCTGACTGTTCAGAGCGCCTACAAAAGGGGATTAGGCCTAGAGCGGGCTTTGTTTACCGTATAAGATCCAATTCACCGCTGAATTAGTAAATGGCAGAGCGTGGATAAAGTACATGCAGTAGACGAAAACAGGCGGCACCGTGCCATCCTTCTCTCCCGCGTACTCCAAATACACGGCGAACGCGGTCGCAATCCAGAACGGGGTCCAGCAGAGAAAGTAGAAGCAGGCGACTGCTAATGTGTACAATGATATGCGCATCAGAGGGATATGACTTGACTGAAACGACATTTCCATATTATTTACCGGCCCAGTAAACAACCGTGCCCGTCTCTTGTACTTACAGTGAATTGTCGGGCGTGCTGTCGCAGTTTGCTGAGGAGACGCGAGTAGAAGAAGGCCACCAGGAACAACGGTACCAGATAGCACAGCACGAACAGGAATACCGTAAACATGGTGAATACAGTACTTGATATGGACATCATGGTGCACTTCTCGATCCTCATCCTCGTGATCTTGTGGGGCGCCGTCTCCTTCTCGAACAGAATTACTTCGTTCGCCGTGAAGCTCCACAGTAATGGACATAATGTGACTAGGGCATACGCGGCCAATCCTGAAATTTTATTACTCAATGTATGGGGAGATATGTCTTCATTACTACATCCATTTCTTGTCTTAATGGCGAGATTAAATGGCGTCTGGGTTTTGATTATATAGGGCTACAGAGATTTATATGGGTTACTATCTTGACATCATAGACATAAAGTACATATATATACGTAGTATGTGGATGATCCAATGTATGTTTATGTTGTGGCATTACACAGTTTTTTAAATACTAAACTTAATGTGTTCTCATGTTCTTTAACATTGTCAATACACCTGGAAACAGAATACGGAAGCAGTTGCGCAATATTAATATAGTAGATTAAAAACACCCACCAACGAGGATACAGATGGCCAACGATGTGGAGCGTAGCCACTTCTTCTGAGGATGACACACACCAGCAAACCGGTCGAATGACATAGCTGTTAGTATGAGGGCGGACAAGATCTTACCAAAGTTCTCTAGAACAGCGTGCAATTTGCATACGATCGAACCAAACATCCAGAAGCCCAGAATCTGAAAGAAGCAAATCATGTAGTAGACTTTCTTTATGAGAAGCCTTTGTTGTTAAATTAAAATCAAATTTCACAATTTTAGTCTTGGATTACATGAACTAACCTGGTCGATTACTGTCAAAGGCAAGGACAGGCACACGCCAAAGTCTACACACGACAGCACGATGACGTATATGAGAGTGTTGTCCAAGTTGGCTCGCCGTGACCTTACCTGCAAGAGTTAATCTTACATTCCCATTATTTACTATGCTTTCTTGGAATAATATTTTTCCAGTGAGCTATTGTACTTAAAACGTCATTTCAAGATGTTCTTTTATATTATACTTGCAGTGGCTTGTGTTTACCTGCAAGACCTTGTACTCAAAGTGTCATACCTGCAAGGTCTTACAATTTATGGCATCGTTAGCAAGATATCTTTACAATTTTAATTAACACAGTACCGCTAATTAACGTACTACATGGTAAATAGTAGTCAACACGGCTACGTTTCCACAGGTCCCCAGCAGGAACAACAACATGTAGCCGACGGCCATGACCAGCACGTGGAGATCCTCGTGATTGGGCGGTGGGAGCACATCGGTGATCTCGTACTTGGAGTTGAGGGCCAATAAAAGATTCTGCAATATGAAGATAGATGTATGTAACGAAATTAAATTAACCTCTTTCTCCTCGTCGCTCGCGTTGAACAGCCTTTGTTGTAATTGTTGAGTTTCCTCATCCAGAAATTGCGTCATGATAAGCGGGACTGAGACGTTCTTCTGGTCCTGCCGGCTGGAGGGCCTCTATCACATTATTCTCAACCACAATTGACACCCAATGAATGGTTACCGACGCAACCGGAGTACTCTGAAACGATGGGAACGTGCCGTGCCTGCAGTGCTACTATAACATGTTTAAACAAAGGACATCGCGGTAGAGTAAAGTAAGGTGTATTCATGAAACAAACAAAATTAATAACAAAATTGGTCATAATCAGCTTGGAAAGTTGAAACAACTGATAACAAGTACGAGGAAAGATGTTGCAAATCGTCATCCAGACCCTTAAAGTGCACCTAGAGGAAGTCTAGGTTACCCACAACAAGAAAACATCGCCAGGGATACTTTAATTCGACGTTTCTACTCTGTAATGACTCAACATGTCACTGTCGTCATAAAACGTCCAGCAATCAACAATTCAACTAGTAGAGCGTGCCCTAAAGCCAAGAAACTAGAACAAAGAGGCGAGAGAAGAGGAACTATACCTTTTCTACTTTCACCGCTTCCGACGCCGCCACGGAGGCCATGAAAAATACATGATCTTCAAACAGTCAGATCGTCATGCGTTTAGGGCCTAAGGACACTTTCTTCGAAAGCACATTGTTTTCTGGAAACAAACCGAAACAAACGCTCCTCTTGGCAGGTAAGCCTCGCATACGGCCTCAGGGCTTTGTGGCCGCAAAGGAAAGGCGTTAATTAAAATTAGAATGCGGATTTAAGCGGCGGTTCACCTACCGCATCCACAAACGTCTTCATTAAGGCCAGCCTTCGAGTTAAAGGGCCCACCTTGGAGTCTGGCCAACTACTGCAACATGTTTTATGCCTCTAATTAACGCTCAAAGAGTTGCATTCGTTGACAAAAGTCTCCATACAAACACGACAAACTACAAAAAACATGTCATCTTAAATATGTAACAAATAAGGTTACCTATCATACCCTAAACAGACTAAAACCTCTTGTTATACAGCGTTGTTTCTACGATAATCCAACCAAATATTGCTCAAAATACAATTTCTGAGAGGCAACAAACATATCAACGACAAAATACGACAAACATACCAACCTTAACGTTATTACACTTAACTCGCAGCCAACAAATAAAATGCAATTTGCAATTATAATAACAATGAAGGCATTACAATTAACTCTATACTCTGAGTAATGAACTTGTCTTTCTCATAAATACGATATGCACATACATGTTGAATATATATATAGTGGCAAGAAGTAGTTGGTCTTGAGAACAAAAATTAGTAAACGTAAAGTAATGTCACTTCTACCACGATGCTCTACAATAACAAGGAATACGGCTATAAAATGCAAATTCTTTCGTTTGCTACCACAATAACTTAAAGTTATATAAGAAACATGACATTGTTGTTTTACATGTTCACAGTAACATAACCTCAGTTCAACAACAAAACCCTTTCATGCCCTAAAACAACTTAAACTGCCAGAAATCGGTTTGAAACGTTTCAAATTTGGTCACTACAAAGCGTAACTTCAGATGCCTCAAGGGCTCTATTTCAAGTTCGGCCTCGAGTTACCTTACGAACAAACAAAATTCAGACGACGGCGTAATGAATCCCATATTGCGATTAGTGCATGAGACTCCAACGCGTCCCCCAAAACAGAATACCCGCCCCATTGTTCGGCTTCTCCCGGAGGCTGTTTACCTATTTTGGTTTGGTAGATAACTATTCAGTCAGTCACCATTACCAACAAAAATGCCGCCTCTTGCACTCTCGGTGAGTTATTGTGTTCTCGAAAACACAGGCGCCACGGCACACCAGAACGGTCTCGTCTTTGGTGGCTTTTCTTCTCCTCTCAATTAACTAAGACCAATTAGACGGCCTGACGCTAATCCACCCCAGAAGAACAAGATTGCGCAAGAAAATAACCACCGTGGGATGTCATCAGTTTATTAGTCGAGACGAAATCACGATATAAAGCATGCCGGTGTGTTAGGAATGGTCACAGAGCTGCAGTTTCGAGCAAATAACCCGAGGCAAAGGCCTCGAGGCGGGCCCAGCATGAGAAAACACTTGCACCATGCGCTTCGCGTTCTGATCCACCAGATGGTCGCAGACCGGCTCCATCAGCCCCACTCGGCCGCACCGCTGGTACATGTCCGCCAGCAACATGGCCGGCGACGCGTGCGGCTGCATCAGCGACTCCGCTACCACCTGACACAACACACAGCTCATTATGTCATTCTTGGCCGCTCCGACGTCGCCGACTACAACGGGTTAATTAAAATGACCCTAATCTTGCATTAATTACAATGGTAATTACGAAACCCAATCCTCACCTGTCAACAATACCGTTACGATGACGACCAACCACGACTTGTACATGATGATGATGTTGGGGGTGCTCAGAATGAATTCAAACTTTGCCTTGCAATTCTCCCAATCCAGATACACGCGAGACCGGAATCCGATCTGCCTCCCCACCCACATCATGACTCGAATTATAACCACTTTATTACAAAATAATTTATATTTATATCACATCTATATATATTCGTATCGTCGGACTAGAACGACATCATCTGAATAAGCGAATTAGAAATTAGGTAATGTCCTAATCTTAAGTGAACAGTCGGCTCCGCAAGAGAAGAGTCTCAAGTCGGAGTCAAAGTAGAGTTGCTGAGTGCCTTGAACTGTCGAAGAACCGACTTGACGAAGGCTGAAGCCGCCCTTCATCGTGTGTTCTCCACTCAGCGTATGCAGAAGTTGAGGGACTGAGTTGATGTCCCAGATCTTTACAAATCAAGTAGTTAGCAAAGTTTTAAATTACAAAATGAACTTAGCAGCCTACTTTAACATGACTTTCAGAAAAAACCACCTACCTTAATATCGCCTTCGGAAGATCCTGTCAACAGAATGTTACTGTTGTTGTCAGAATACATCGACCTAACCCCAGCTGAGTCAAACGCTTTTACCGTAGCTCGTAGCTGACGTTGTCGTAGATCCCATAAACATATTTCACCGTGCCTGCCTCCAGAAACAATAGTCTAAACAGAAGGTTGTCACCAACAAGAGATATTACCTGGGAGCTTGAGAAGTAAGAAACACACGTGGCTCCGTCCAAATGCCCATTAAAAGCATATACCATATTTCTTCCGTTCGGTAGTAACGTGTCCCATAAGGCAATGTTCATGTCGCCTTGACTCTGGCCAGCTGTCACGAGCACAGAGCTGGTTTGTCCAAGAAACTTGACATCAGAAGCGGACTTGGTGTGACATTTTTGATTCTAAATAAAATATTGGTATGAAGAAGCGGTACACATTAAAATCATTAATTAAAAACGGTTTTTAAATAATGTTCAACAATTTTGTTAACAATATTATCATAAAACAATACCACAACACCTCAAAAATAATTCCAAAACCTACGAAGAAAGGTTTTTTAGACGAAGTTTGTTGGGTAGCTTGCCAGATGCACAGATGACCATCACCGTCGACAGAAGCGAACTTGTTTCCATTTTGAGCAAACGACAGTTTGGTTACTTTTGCGAATTGGGCCGCTTGTCTGGCCGTGAAGATGGGCTGATCAACGTTCCATTCCCACATGTAGATCGAGCCATCTGATGCTCCGGTCACATCTGAAGATGTAAATTTCGTCATTTTTTCTATCAAATTTTACAAATCTCAAAAAATCTATATTTTATAATGAACTCGATTCCAATATGCCATAAACGGAAAGTCACAGATCAAATTGCTACGAAATGTCAAAAAAATTTTCAATCGACAAAACTTCGTCTCCACTTTTTTGGGGCAGAACTTACAGTAAGGGAACGACGGATGAGATTCAATTCTTCGAACACCAGGTAGGTTCCTCTTTTTCAACTGAAATTAATATTGTTTTAGTTTTAATAACTGCTTTTTCAGATTTTATCGACCACAACATTCAGCACGACACAACACTGCTACCTTTTTGAGTGCTACGCGACTGCGATCGATAATAAATGGCGTCAGCTGAAGAGATTAATTAACAGGTGAGTTAATGCCTTAAAAGATGTTCAACTTACAAATGAACTGCTGCTCATCGTGGCCTTGTTGGATCCCATCAGCTGATAGTCGTCATTATCTTTCAACCGGTCTTGAGGAGTCTCACCTAAAGCAATATCAAGGTCTACTCTGTTGTTCAAGAAGTTCCCCAGTGAGTTTATTTCGTGGTTGTTCTCCTTCTCACACAAAACTCGGTCAATGTTAAGTTCTTGGACTTCTCGGTTAGTGGCTACAACAATATGGCCAGGTCTGACATTGCAGCAGGAGAAGGTCACGATGGCTTCCCTTTCTCGCTGCATCAGTCTGATGGGTTCGTTGTACTCTTTTCCGTTCTGACTGTTTGTTGTTATCGAACCTAGCGTGATCTTTTCCTTGCCACTCTGTAAGGTTATTGTATTATGTTATTGTACTCAACAAGAAATTGTACGATTTTAGTTGCTCCTTTAGGGAAGTCAAATTTAATATTGTCGTATAATATATTAATAAAGAAGTGGCTTACCACATGATATGCTCCAGAGTAAATGTAGCGCACAAAGTGGGAAGACAAGTTTTCTTGTCGTACGAGATACGACCATAACCGTTTCACAGCCAAAACGCCTTTGCCAGAGTATTCAAATGGAGTGTTGTTGGACTCAACCAATGACTTGTACTTCTTTAGAAGAGACGATGAGTCTGTGAGGGTAGAACTGACGGTAAGAGGGGTGTTCTCGTCCAATATATACATGTTAGGCAGGAAAGCCAACGGACATCCATCTGGGTAGTTCTGAATCTGTGTTTGAAGCTGGTTGCTCCACCTGGTGTACAGTTTGAGGACATTGTTGATCTGTGGTGACAGTCGGACAAGTTCTGAAACAATCAGGATAACTTTAGAGAACACAGTTACTTTCGGCGTGTTTTATAAGTTATCAATTATTATACCTTGTATTTCGAATCCAGCCACTTGTAGGAAGTTCTTAAGTCTCTCGATCTGCTGTAGAACACACGAGAATCTGATCAGAAGCCAGGCGTAACTGTTGGGGTCTTTGTGCGGTCTTGTCATTACTTCTAGGTTAATGTCAAACTGATCTTCGTCGTCAGACAAATCAGACTCTGATTGGTCTGAATCAAAAACCACCTCATTTGGGGCTTTTGGATCTGGCGCTACCTACAAAGTGGAGTATTATATAGTTGCCGCAACTTAATTATTGGTTTATATTATCAATTGATACCTTTTCGGCGAAGAACTGGACAAGACTTTTCTTTGGCGGAACCCAGCATGACAGAACTTGTTTCGTCATTGGTTGTTTTGTAACTTCATTGACACCTAAAACCTTGGCATGGAATGATGTCCTAGCCTTTTCCGCGGATCCAGGTTGAGGTGGGCGTGGTGGTGCTGAAAACAGATTTTATGTACCTAAAACAAGATTGGAACGTCACAGATTACAGGCGTTTTAGTGAGTAAACAAGTTTAAAGTAATAATTACTGTTACTAATCTTGTGTTAACTTACGTGGTGGTCGAGCTGGCGGTTGGGTGGAGCATGGCACAATCTTCTCACCGCCACCTCCAAAAATGTATCCATAAGCCACCGAATCCACCTCTTTTATACACAAGCGGTACAGCCATCGTGGGTCGTAATTAGCCATGGCGTAACAGAACAGTGATGTAGATACCGAGAAGAACACCTTGACAAGCAGTAGTCGCAGGTTAGGTGCTTCTTCGTCCTTCCCGGCCGACAACAAGGCCACTAAGGAATCCACACCCGGCCAGGAGTTGGGGGTGGTTTGCACTTTCAGGTCTTCGTAGGCTTGGTAATGCTTTCTACAATGATATGAAAGATGATTCATATCAACTTATTTTAACTACTAATAAACATGTGACACTCTATAATAAAACCTACTCAAAGTCATCGGCCGACGACAAAGACTGGTATAAACATGATGACAGTCCTTGGCACAAGTTGTAGATCTTTCTGATCATACTGAAAGGAGTACTAAAGGGTGGAGGTCTTCGGAGTTTGGAGATGGTTGACAACAGGTCGGTGCACTGATCTTCCAGGAAGTTTAATGGTGAAGATACGAACATCCTGCACGCTGAAATAGACGCGTTGAAGAGAGGAAAAGCCTTAGTCTGGACCACTTCCAATTGAGAATACCCATTGGTTTCCTGTTGAACTTCTAACAACAGAAGGATCAGCTCCATTAGTACTGAAGTGAGACGATGATTCTGGGCACTGTGTAGGATACAGTAAGATGTGAAGGTTCTTATCAACTTCTGATTAGACAGAAGCCACTTTCTTCTTGTTACAGTATCCACAAACGGGTTATCTTCATCTATATTCGAGTCAACAGAGTAGTCGCAAACATCTTTGAGGATCGAGCATTCTTTGGCTAGCCAGTTCATCATCTCGTGTCTCAACTCTCCACCGTCAACTTCAGCTCCAGATGCCAACGTAGACAGTTCGTCCGCCATCATCTTCAAAGCAGCCACAAACTTCATGTGTTGCGCAATAAAGTCCAAGGAATCAGTAGCGTTACCGTCAGTATCCTTGCCAAATTGAGCAATCTGATCGTCGATGGCTGGTTTTCCTTCTGATTCTGTAGGTGTAACTTCTTCTTTGAAGTCATCAACCTCCTCTTCCGCTTCATCGTCACCCCAATCCAGCTCCAGTTCGTCATCTTTGACAACGTTTGTTGGTGCTGACCAATCCAGGGCGTCGACGGTATTCTTTTCATCCACTTTTGGTTCTTCTGATATTGTAGTATCTGTTCCAATCTCTTTACCTAATGAACTGACATTATATATTATCCTGCGAGGTAAAACAGACAGAACATCTAATGCCAACAAAGGACAGCCAGAAGCTAAATGTAAAGCAGCAGTACGGAAGTAAAGGCGGCGTTCGTGAGTAGTGACTCGGTTCTCCAGATGCCGTGAGAAGGCTAGGAACTTCTCTGTTGTAGCTACTTGGACTCCTGCATTCGTGATTCTCTGTCTGATAACCAACGGATTCCGTCTCAAGAAAGTGTAGAAGTTGAAGATGTCAGACAGTGAGGTCTCGCTCTCCGTGACCGACCCTTGTGCCGCTTCTTCTACAAGTACAGCTGCTGCCAGAGCGTACTCCTTGATCATCCACAAGGCCATGGAACGTTCGAATGGATCTGTTTCTGCTTTGGGAAAGCGACTGATGGCTTGAGACATGTCTTTCTTGCTTAGTTCGTGTAGTTCTGATGGATTCAGTCTGAAGATGTTCTTGCACAACATGTTCTCCATGAGCTGTGCTTGTTTATCTTGGTCAGTCTCGTATAGTCGGACTACGACCATGGCTAGCTGAAGATCTTTGAGTCTTGACAAAATTGTCTAAAAAGATTACCTTTTAGCATGAGATTAGTTTAAATGCATACTTGACTGATAAGGTCACTTACTTCAATTGCATCGTTCAAAGAGTCACCGAGTAGGAAGAAAGCGGCCGCATTCTGATACCTCTGTTTACTCATCAGGACAAATGCATTCTTGAGAGCTGCCTTCTTCCACTTTTGTTGGGAGAAGTCTTCTCGGAAGAAGTCGTGCATCCGTTGATCACCGACAGTCTAAAAGGACACATGATTGTACATATAAAACGCATTTTGGTAAATTTTATAACTTACTTTGAACAAGTGAGTAAGGACGTTCTTCTTCCTCATGGCCAAGTAAAACAAAGCCGCATCCATAGGTTCTTGTTGGGCTTGGAAGGCTGCTTTAGCTACCTTCTCCATGATTAGTCTCAATGTGGTGTTGTTCTTGAGCCACCATGCTACTCCATAACTTCTCAATCCATCCCACGTCTCCTGACCTTTCTGGTAACAAGGTATAGTACTCAAGAGTTCATTCTCGGCATCAGAATGGAACGCCCAAATTACTTGAGAAATCGGCATACCCCTAAAAACAGAAAATTACATACTGTTAGACATATATTGTGCAAACATATAATGAAAACTAAGTAAAGATAAAATCCAGCTTACTGTACACGCAGTTTTTGTCTTTGACCTCTAGGCAAGCACAGTAGAAGGTAGTCGTGTTGTTTCATGGCCATCAGAAACCGAAGTCCACATTCATCGACAGTCTCGATCCCTGTACTTGAACTTGCATATCCAGAAGCAGCTGTGTCAATCAGACTTGACTTCTGTTCCGGCTTCAATGGGGCGTTAACTTGTACCAACTTGTCCATGACACTAGGTGAGAACTGACTCAGAGTGTCGGCTACAGCAAGCAGATGCATCTGGTCTACACTTGACAACCCAGGTAGATGGGTATGGGTCAACATCTCTGTCAATGCGCGGCTGTGCCGTGATGTGAACGAATTTTGTGCTACTTTCCCGTCACTGCACGTAGAAGAATGTCTTGACCTTGAAGATCGCGACCTTGTTTCAGTCTTCTGAATACTTTCGAGAACGTCGTCAAGGTCTTCATCTGATTCTTCGCCGTTGAACAACGTATCATATACATCTTTAGTGCCGTCAATGTTGGCCGCCTTCTCGTCTCCGTCGATCTTCTCGTCCATCTCCAACAAAGCATACAAGGGTAAAGGCGCGATACTTTCCAGTTCTTCGTACTCCATCTCCTCGTCGTCAATCACGTTTACTGACTTCTGCTTGGTGAGGTCATTCTTCGTGTTACCTTCTCCATCTTTGCTCGTATTAAATCTAATAGAAGCGCCTCGAGCTAGCTTGGTCTTGTTGATCATCTGATACTGCTTCAAGGCCTTTAGAACGTGGAGGAGAATAGCTTTGACTCGTTTTGTCTTTCCGGCATTTAACATCTCAATCAATTGCTTTGGATGATATTGTGGTAGCATTGGATTGGAAAGTCTGGCTGCTTCGAAGATACCTTCATCAATTAATGTGTCGACGTACTGAAGCGAGTTCAGAGTCTTTGGCTGATCGTTTTTGTTTAGAATATGTGAATCTACCTTGGTCTTCTTCATCAGCTGATCCAACATCAGATGGGATTGGCTGGCACTCAAATTTGATACTGATGCAACAGGTCGGATTCCGAGGATCTTTACAGTTTTAGTGGCCGCTCCATTCTTCATGGGTTCCAGAGTATTGTGCTGAGGAGCCGACTTCAACGGCACCATATTCCACTGGCTGTAGACTCTTATTTCACTGGGCATTCCAACAACAAACAATCCATCTCGCAGCCATGACATCAGCGTCGGCAGCGGAGCTAGTCCGTCTACAGATTCCAGTGCAATATATCGGATGCAAATCCATTCACTTAGTCCACTTTTTGCTGGCATTACGTTGGAAGCTAAGGAAGAGTCACGACGAAGTTGAGGCCGAGATTCTTCTTGCATGACGGCTACATTCTGTTGTGCTTTGTTCAGTGAAGCTTGAGCGAAGAAGAATATCAAGTTGCCTACTCCGACTGTCAGAATGTGGCCGCCATCTTCTTTGCTGGCCCAGTCTACTCGGACCAGGTCTGCAAGTTGAATATTATGTTAAATACGGCAGCTTTTATTTTTGTATCAAAAAGTCTTAGGAATTACAAATAAAACGTAACGACACCTTACTTTTAGCTTCATCCAAATCAATTTCGTCATTACACCAAATCTTCGTATCCAAGAGTTTTCTTTCGGCCGACAATGTGGATTCCAGTCTGACGTTCTTCTCCTGAAGCCATTCTACACCTCCTGAAGTTTCACACTCGTAGATAGCTATATGAATGTCCTTGAAATACGAAAGCATGTCAATAGGTGTGCTAGATGAAAACGGTTTGTATACACAAGCAAATCGACCAGAGTGGGCTGAGGTCATGCAACAAACGTCACCTGTAAGTTAAGTTTAGTTAATTTTTAATTTGAATATTTAAAAAATAACAAAATTTTAAATTTATGAAATTTACCGTGAATAGACAACGAAGAGTCAGTGGCTCCATTGATCATTCCCCACGCCTCCCATCTGTGGTTGATCGAGTTCTCACTTCCCTTGTTTTGAGTACATCTTAAGAATCTGACTTTGTTGTCGGAACACGATAGAAGAATCAGGTACGGTGTTCTACAGGCTGGATACACACTTGAAGACGGTAGATGGCCGGCACAAGTGACAACCTCATTTACGGTCACACCTGAAGGGATCGACAAGAAGTCATCGTACACTTTCTTAGTTTTCACGGTGAGTTGGGCAGCCGTTGGAGTGACGTCGGCAGCTGTAGCCAAGAATTCTGGACCACCGACAGAGAAACGACGGAACCTTTTATCTTCTGAAAATTCTGTGAAAAATTACACAAACAACTCTTTGATATCAATTAAGGTATAAACAACATTAACAGACGTAACTTACCGTCACACAAATTGATAGGAACTGGCTTCTCGATCAAGATCAGTAGCGACCACATCTTCATCTTAATTTTCCCTGATCTGTCCCTTTGTAGCAAGATGATAAAGAACTTGAGAGCTGAATCTTCACGTTTATCTGTATCAAAATCAGAAAGCAGATCTTCGTTGAAGACGTGTAGCAGAAGTATCTCGTCTGAGCCTACATTACTGTCCTCCAGGTCTCCCAAATATATCATACAACCAGGCTTTCCAGTAGACTGAGTAGAGACAACGGTGAACATCTCGTCCAACTTAACATGTTGTTTCGTCGGAGCTTCATATTCATCATCAGAACTGACAGAACTGGCTTGAGAAGCAGGCCGACTGCCACAGAATAACTCGTTCAGAAGCCCTCTGGCATCCAGAACAGCTTGATACAAACTCAGTTGGTCGTTCCGAGAAGTTATGAAACACGAGCTGGGAGAGTTGAACACCGTACCATTGGCAAAACTAGGTATGATAGCAGGTACCCATGACAAACATTTGAAAGCAAATTCTTTTACCGTGGTTATCCTAGACAGTTCTCTAATTCCACCTGACTGACATAAGGGGCCAACGTGATTCACCTTCCACAGTATCAACTCAGACTCTCCAGGGCTTGAGTCGAGAGCTGGAAGTGAACTCGAAGTCAGGAGAAGAGGGAGAATTGGGTGGGGAGAGACGTTCTTGGTTCTGAAGCGATGTCCACACATACGGTAGCGGTGAATGACATTGACAATGTTGTTGTACAATTTGTTGTCTTCCATACACAGCTGCCACAGGTTCAGAGAACCGTTTTTATGACTAGTCAAAAGACTGACGGACTGGAATGCATCTGAAACAAGATTTTAACTTTCAAAGTGATAATGTCAAACGAAATATATTGACATTACAAGTAGAGTTAAAGGTTAAGTTATAACAACTCACCGCTGAAAGACTCTGCAGAATGTCGATGAAAATCTGTGAAGTTGGCTTCGTGAGGACTGAAGACACATAACCCAAGGTTGAGGGAAGCCGCATCTGTCAATGGGAATGCACTGGGGGACCTACTGGCAAAACTGACAACCGACTGTCGCCATTCATCGTCAAGACCTTCCACCATCCTACAAATATATAACATTAAAAGTCAACTAAGGAAAGTAACGTATACTCTATAAAACATAACCTACCACGTCAATAAACTTCCATCAATCGGATGCACGGCAAACAGAATGTCAGTAGACTTGTTCCATTGTTGAATCAAACCTTCGATCTTCACATCGAGGACATCTTTGGCAGCATCGAGCTCTGTTGACAACGCTGTAGAACCATTTGACACCGTACCAATAGATCCTTCTGGCTGATGTGTTAATGAAATGTTGTCTGGAAGTCCAGGAGTTCCTTCGTGACTGGCTACTGGCGACGTCATCTCAGAAGCCGTGCCAGAACGTTGACCAGAATCTGAACTTTCTCTAAAGATGGCTTCAGCCAGGATCTTCTCAGCGCCATGAGTAAACAGCATCTCTTTGTTATTCAACCAATGGACGGCAAAGGCAGAAGAACGTTGAGTGTCTCGACCGTCCATCGACGGAACCAGGAAGCAGTCTGAAAACGTGATACAACGTTGAAGGTATAATGTCCGCAAAAATTTTGGAAATAAACGATAATAGACTATCAACTAAATAGAATCACAAACTAAAAGCATACCATTTTCAGCATTAATTGTTGTAGCCAAACTGAAGCTAACATTGTGAGAGTGAACAGGGTTGGCAAAGTCAGCAAAGGTGGCGTTCCTGTTGATCATAGAGAACTTGACACGAGGAATCGTGGGCGACTGGTTCTTATTATGCCTAAACTCATATAAGCTGCTTTACTATTAAACACATACATCATCTTGTTGATTTTAGATATCAGCCGTGTCCGTGCCTTCTTCAGTGTGTTGTTATGTTTAGCTGCGGCCTTCTTCCTTGATGGTTTGTCTTGTTGTACAGCTTGCACTGCTGTCAAGAGTTGTTCTACGGTATCGTTGGTGCTTGGAATCTGTTTCCAAATACGAGATGTGTTATCCGAACACCATGTAATCAGGACATTGCTGACACACTTTCTGGGAACATACTTTCCGGTTCGTCTCCACTCAAACCCGTAGACTTCGCCAGGATGTTGAAGATAGATGTAAGAGAACTCGCATTGGCCGCTTCTTTGGGTATCTGCAATCGTATACGATAAAAAGAACTATTCCTTACGTTCATTCGGGTACCATATTTTGACAAATCTATCGTTTTCTCCACAAGTTGCAAATATCGTGGAATCAGAAGAAAACTTGACATATTTGGGTTTGGACGACAGCTCAGTCGACCACAACCTTTCCCAATGTTCTTCAACATGTGCAGAGCTCTGTAAATAACATTTTAATTTATAAATTTTACAAAGTAAATTATTGAAATTACAAACAATATTTAAAAACTCACAAAGTCATCGTTAATGGAGAACGCAACATGTTTAGAAGCTGTACTTAAGTTTACAACAGTTGACAGCAACTTGTGTTGATACAAAAATAAAGTTTTGTCACATTGTACAAGCAGTCTAAGACCTTCCAGCACCCATTCCAGGTAATTTACCGGCTTATCTGTTTGTATACTTTGAGTTTCGGCCCAAGTGTAAGGGAATATCTAAAATTTAATAGAAAAATAGGAATATCGACATCACTAGATAATATTAAAAAATATTTTAACTTCTACAACAAATAAAAACACAGTATTACCTTTCCATCTGTGGTTGAAGTAGGTTCAAAGATTCTCACTTTCGATCCATAAGCAACAGCAATCTAAACATAAGATATAAAATAACAAGAAACTTACCTTTCCAGTATCTGAACAACAATTTAAAGCCCTGACTAAACAATCGCTTTGGTTGCAGTTGATTACTTGAATACGTGTGAAGTTAGAGGTCAATATAACAACTTTAACTCCAACTCCACATACCTAAAAATCAATTCAAGAATATTATACACAAAACTTACAATAAACTTGTTTCCTTCCACCGATCCGACTGAAAATGAACAGCTATTTGAGTTTAAAGCCCCCGTAAGGACTTGGTGGACGTTCATTTAGGCAGTATTTTTATTTTAGACATTGAAAAATCTGAAAGTAACAAAAATTAAACATTAATAACAATATTACAATAAACACGTTATTTCAATATTATATTTACAATCTTTTACAAGATACGCTCGTATAATTTTGCCAAAGTAGCCAAAAATGGTCAATATTTGGTTCTTTTACAAAGTTCCAAAAAGATTTTCAATTTTCCGATAAAAAAGACTTGACTCGTATGCGTCAAGTATTCCTCTCCCGCATTTAACGTTTTCAAACGAGAAAGAGCAAGTTTCTGGTAATACGTCCTTAGTTTTTAATTGCTTTACTTTATAATGTGTTGGAATATATTATTTTATGGTTTTACAGCTTTTAATTTAAAAGGTCGTACGCAGTGATGTATACCATATTAAAGTACCGTGCTCATTGCTCCTTAGCAACACATTAACTGACCGGAAGCGAAACTCTGTGCGCGTGAAAAGCTGATGTTAGAGTAAGTGATTGTGTATGTATTAGGTTGATGAATATATTATGTTAGATTGTGTTATGTTCAGGTGTGTTGGGGTGTTATGACAGACTTTGGGCATGGTAATGTGTTCAGGAGGAGTTACACTTATTAAGTTGTTTATACGTTAGACATGAAGCAATAACACATGTCTGAAAGAGGGGAATTGTTCTTGTGGCAAAAGATAATTTTGCCAAGACAAAAGACGTTTTTTCGTTTTTTGTCGCGGCCGAGCATCTCCGCAATATGTAAAGCAAACTCCGACTTCAGGACACTTATTCAGGAGTGTGTTGGCAAGTGGTCTGAGATTAACAGCCAGTAAAAACTTGGAAATGCTTTTGAATCGGTCGGAAAGGGCTCGTTTCGGGATTGGATTCCATTTTGGAGCGGGCCACGGAAGGCGACCTTTTTCTTTCTCCAGGTATTCTGATGGTTCCACCCATAAAGTTTAATGGGCCTCGTATTGTCTCACTCCTTGAGGTAATGTCTAACTCCTTGATGTATTTTCTTCAATTATTCGTTAACATCTTCGCAGTATTGCTTATCTTTTTCAAACATTCAGCCACTTGTTAGTTATTCTCAGTCTAAAATTTAACATAACTTATGGTTTGGTCTACTCTCGTATGTTTTACGTTGTTACGAGTATAGTTTACGTTGTTACGCGGCTGAAAACGATTGCATTCAAACAGTTTCACTTTAGTTGAGTACAACGGGAAACAAAACAGTTACTGGGAGTAACGTACTTTGCGATTAGATTAATTTATTCTGCTTTCCCGAGATTTGCATTTTTCGATTAAATTTTTTACTTCTTGAATTTACTTTGGAAACAGCGTTTGAATATGTTAGAAGTGCCTCTTGACATGATGCCGTGATTAACGACAGCTTATGGAAAATGCTGATATTGATGTGTTTTATGGTGTTTCGATTTGTTTCGGGTGCTTTTCAATGTTCTTCAGGTAAGGCAATATGTTGTAGTAGGCATTATAATCTCTTTTAGGTGTTTTATATCTTTAAAAATGTGTATCTTAAATGTGATACGTTTAAATGATATTATAAAATACGTTCAGGCAGTTATGCCATTCTTTACAAGTTATATCTTTGTAGAAAACGAGTATACAGTACATCAAAACTCAGTAGCACCTTCCTTCCGAGCTCGGGAGAAGATGTTTCTGTTTGAATGGCCGTGTGAGTGTGAGTACGATTGGCGGGATATGTTCTGTGCACGGTTGAACGTGTACAAACAATTAACCATGCAACAGTCTCCTTCCGTGTGCATTTGCAGGTAAATACCTTTTATAATATACATTGTTGATGCTTTAAATTGCAGGAAGATGAACGAGAAGAAGGACTGTTCGCAGTTTCTGACACGATGCTTTCCTTCAGCCAAGAAACGGGTAAACGAGTAAGTTCAAAGTTTACTTCTCCCAACATAACACTGACAAATACAGAATTGTAAATACAGAATACCTAACTATCTTTGACTGATTTCAGCTGTTCCTGTTGTTTGAAACAGCCGGACGAGTACTGTCGTCAACTAGACTGCAAGAATATGAAGCCTGACTTTGGGGACACTGCCAATGTTTCTTGTTTGTGCTACACTCAAGACAACTACCCTGAATTCTTGTGTGGTCAGACCAAGAAGTCCACCAGGGAGAACATGTACAGACAAAAACAGCTGGCCAATTGGCCGTATCCCGAACGGATAACCTTTGCCGTAGCTACAGAATCGACTAAAGAAGCCAAGCCGTCAAGGTTGGATTCTGTGCAGAAAGGGCACGATAATCCTCTTCTGATTCCCTTGACGATTGCCGGCGTTGTGGCGGTGTTATTTGTCCTCATCTTCGTGGTAATTGTTGTTTTCATCCATCGTACGAGTCACCGACCGGTCGACTTTGAGCCAGTCGATATTAAGCCCTCAGTCCCCGTAGAATCCAGGATGAGACATATGAACGGGGACAAACTGAACGTGATCGACGAGACCGAACTTCATCCCCTCAACTCGAAACAAACCGAACCTCCGAAAGTTTTTGTATGACATATCTTGTGTAATATCGTATGTGTCAGGTGCTGTATTTTTTAGGTTCGAAAACTTGACATTTTGTTTATAATTTTGGTTTTCTTCTGTCGAAGAAAAACGAAAATAAACAGTAAGAAGGAGACAACACAAGTCATTTTGTCACAATCCCGAAAAATACACTACCTGACATATGCAAATGTAAATTGTTATTAGTTTTTGTTAAACTCTTCCTGATTTGCATACCCGATTTTATTGGAAAAACTAGAGATTTGAGATCTTGGAGTGATTCACCGTGCCTCCCAGACGGCTTCTGTTCAGAGCTTGAGCCATTAGAGCTTCGCGCTTCTCTCGTCGCAGTTCGGTCTGGGCTTTTAAGTAGATTGTGCTCATGTTTCTGAATTGCTGGTTACACGCCAAGAACACGAAGAACGGGATGGTGGCGTTGATGACCGACAGCAAGTTGTTGGTGTGGTTCAAGATGCATATCGTGAGATTATGTTGGTCTGAGTCGGTTCCTTTGATGGCAGCCGCCCCGAATGTTAGTAGCGCCGGGCCTTCGAACAGAAGGTGTGACAGTGTCGTGGCTACTGTAAGTCTGATGACACAACGACGGCGTTGGGAGAAGGCTTCTCCTAACTCCTGAAAAGAAACTTTGTACTGTAATTAATATCACAAGATGCTAACTCTACATTCAAAAACTTTTAGTTAAGTTACAAACGTATAACAATGTGTTTACCTTGAAAGTAAACTTGGTGACAATCAATACCGAGCAAACCAGCATCACTATGTTCGGTATGACTATGGAGAACATGGTCTGGCTCCAGTAATATATCTTCTCGAGCACTTCTTGTACCGTAGACGTGTCTCCTTGTAACGAATATGCCAACGATATGTACCAGCATACTGGTAGAGTACTATTCCCTTTGGTTCCATTCGGCCATTTCACGGAAATTACCGGTCGAACCGAGTGAGTATAGAAGAAGGTGGAGTGTAAAGCTGTGCTCATGACAATGGAGCTGCACAGCACGGTCATGGTTGTTCGTCGGGTACATAACTGACGGAAACTGAAGGGCAGTATCACACACAGAGCTGTTTCTATTGTAACAAACAGTGTCAGCCTGAAATGGATATTATCATAGACATTAATACATTTGCTAATGCTCCATTAATCAGTAACACAACAAGCAGAGTGAATAGGTTAAACAAGCAGGAGTAATTAATATGGCTAATCATGTTTTCAATATTCTAGTATGTTGTTGTTTACCGAGCTGAATATGTTATGGACAAACATACCATGTTGATAGCGTTCCGCTGATGTTAGCGACCGTGATAATGAAAGGCTTCGTTTTCCAGTAAAAAGGCTCCAATTGAGAGTTGGCTTCGTATGTAAACGAATGTAACACTTCCAGAATCCTCGATTCCACGAAAATGAAGTTGGCTATGGTTTTGACTCTGAGGAAGTTGACCGAGCTACTGCCGTCAAAGTACGGTAGACGGTAGATCAACAAGTTAAAGGCGTTCCCGAAAAAGCACAGGATCTGGAGAATGGGCAGAACGTACCGTGCTATCTGATGGTCGTACTCGGCACATTGTTTGTAGTAATCTTCGTTGTGCTCGACCAGTGGACCTAAACCTTGATACTTGACTTTTGACATTATGTTATTTATATTATTATAGATTAGTTAATATTATAATTAAAAAGAGGTAATCAAACAACTCATGATACCGTTTCTAAGCCATTAACTAATCTAATGATGTGTCACAAAGCAGATTTGGTTATTTCACAAGACTATTTATAATTTGAATACCTACAAACAAAGGTTAGGAAATGACTCTTAAAGGGTTTTAAAGTAATGTCATATCCAGAAGTTACGTTTGAGAAATTTTGTTTCAAAATATTATAGAACAGTGATCTTTCCACTAAATAATAACAATATAAATAGATTAAAAATAGTTCCACAAGTCTATAGGATCCTTAACCTTAATATACTCTTACCTCGTCGCTCAGGGAAACACTTGGGTACACCGCTCTTGTCCAACTGTATTATCAGACTGATAAGATTGATGCATTCCGACGACGTGAGATCGCTTCCGAAGTAGAGGTGACAGTGATGCTGTAGCGGATTCACATGACCTGTGCTCCGATTGAGGTTCATGAAGCATAAAAGGAGGGCCACTTAGTTGCCTGGTGTAATATAATGTTCGAATTTGGCCTCGAGCACCAGACTCGATTGGAGAGCTTAGAATTATTTTAATTACTCCAAGAAATTAGCCGCGGCCGAAGGGGATCAGGCCGCCTGCAAAAACACCCGTAACGCTATTGTAATGTCAACAGTAAAAGTTTAGTGGTACAGAAACAATAATAAACAGTCAAAAATAGAAAAATATCACAATAACGCGCAAAGTTATGTCTAATATCACCACCACTAAGAAGTAAAATTTAGTTAACAAAGTCATAAAGTAGATACTGACTAGAATTTAGGACCAGAAGGGAGAGAGTCTGCGTTCCCGCCCCCGTCATTTTTGGAAAACTCCCGGTCAGAGACAGCGGAAATTTTTTCATCAACGTCTCCGAGCATCCCACCTCCCGCCTCGAACAAACCATACTGACTAATCTTGTTAATCTCGGAATAATAGTAAACATATTACAGTCTTCTTAAGGGCGGGGCACAAAACTATAACCGAAATGTAATGCTATTCACAACATTTGAACTACAAGAAACCTGCAATTACTCTGTTACAAATTAACAGCCTTATTAAACAACAAGATAGGCACAAATTAAAGATGTCCGCAGTAATACCACTCATTGTGTGTAATCAAATCACAATGTTGTTATAACCACCAATTTGTTTTGCAAGAAACAATACGTAAATAACTCAAGCAAATAGCAAGTTAAAATAATCCATGTCTCTGCCAAACCAATTCTACTCAACTGCCGTCACCTGTAAACGACAACCCAAAAGTACACGAGAAACTCAATAATTTACAAGTCCGATATCCCGAACAATGTAAAAGTTGTAAAATTTACAAATGAACGTCATTTACGGTAAACGTGAATAATTTATGGATGGAATTAATTAATGAACCCGTGAATGTTTTGAATGAAGACATTTGGGGATGAAGAAAGCTCCATTATTAGAAAAGCTTTCGGGTTTGTTTGCCTAAACTCATCGGGGAATCAGTGCTGAATCCAGGCCCTCAGGTCATAGCCGGCGCGCAGCCTGTGCCCGCTCATCGTGTCTAAATTAAAAATTATGTTCTCTCCAAGTTAGTTACTCCTATCAAAGTTACTCATGCACAAAGTCGAGTCTTAATTGGCCCCTCTCACCTTGGCCACGCATATAATTGGAGCCTGTATGGCGCATTCCGGAGACAAAACCCTTTTGGATTGCCGGAAACGCGGCCTTCTTTTCATGGGACCCTTTAAAGGTCGACTGATGACATTACCCCGATTCAGTCAGTATTTTATTTGAAGATACGTATGTATGCAGTAAGTCTGGAGGTCAAGAGATATAGAAAAAAGCCGGGCGGAGGCAAAAAAGGCGGGCTGGCCTGAGCGAACGTTAAAATCTTGGAGCGAACATTAAATCATCATGAAAATGGTTAAACAGCCAGCAACTTCTCGCTGAGTTGCCACAAGTTCTTGGCATTCTCCTCGGTCACCAAGCGGTTGTATTCCTCAACGTTCTTGTTACAATACAGCTTGCCAGACTGAACATCGCCCGAGGGTGCGGTCGCACAAAAAACAATTCCGTCCGTGCCCTGAAAGTAAATGGATTAAATGAAGTCAAGATGGTCTTAACAATTCTCACATAAAATGAGAAAAGGTTTGCAGAGATCCCAAAAAAGAACACCGATAATCCCGCGGATGACGTTCACGTCCAAACTTTGATCCACTGTTTCCTTATCAAACAGTAATTATCGGCAAGAGAACTCAGAGTTCATTCGCCTTTACCGAGCGTTCAGAAACATTTAAAAAAGTATATTTAGAGCCTCTTCCAGAAACAATTACGTCGTAAAAGTACGACAAATTAATTACTAGCTACTTGTAATGCAGCTTCTGGAGTCGTTCTACATCTTGCATAGACCAATTAGTTTATAAATAAAGTTTTAATGATTCTAAGACTGCATTTGCATTAAAAGTTGAAAGTATGTCATATATAAACTCGGTCAACCTTCTGCAGTATCTTATTCAAAGCGATTGATAAAGCTTATCAAACATAGCTTTTATAAATAGCAAAATTTCGAAAAACTCAAATAAAGTATAGTAAGTCTTGAAATGTCTAGTCTGCAAAACTAAAGCTGTTATGAGTCAGACCTAATTGTAATTTAATTTCGCTTACCTTCTCCAAGTTTTTCGAAAACAACAACACCAATGGAATGGCCAGAGTCCTGATGAATTTACTGTGATATCTGCCGAGTTCGGTGCCGCGAATGAAGCCGGGCCTGACCGAAAGCACTTTCACGGATCCGCGACCATTCGATTCGAGGTAATCTTTGAGGGCAAGGGTATACAAACATTGAGAAAGTTTGCTTTGGGCGTAGAAGAACTTGGGCGAGCCGCGAGGTTTCTTTCCATCAACAATCTTGATGGTCTCCAACACTGGCACCTTGTTTGTCTAAAATTGAGTTTTTCGGGATGATAAGTTGAGCTAGGTGATTAGAAAGTTTGTGGTTTTCTAAATACAATAAAAATAATCTTTAAATTAGTCATTTATTAAAATATATTTTATAATATTTTATACCAATGTTCGACAATTTATAAAAAAATCGCCCATTTTCAATCAAATTTTTTCGGAATGATGTGTTCCCCGTTTCTTTAAACTTTGTTGATAAACAACTTCGCGTTTCTAAAATTTACGACTCGCTGTCCATAGTTACCTTTTTGTAGTGTCCTGAGGTAACGTTGATAATGCGAGCATCGTGTGATAACTTGTTGAGTAAAAGCTTTGTCAATTGGAAGTGTCCCAGATAATTTGCAGCGAAATGATATTCGATACCATGGTCGGTGAACTAAACAATAAACAGTTATGAGCAAACATAAACAAAACCCACCGTCAATGGGTGATCCATAACACCAGCATTGTTCACGATCAGGTCCAGTTTGTCGATTCCCTTCAGATCCTCATCGTATAGCTTCTGCACTTGGCTAGGAGAAGTTAAATCGCACTGAAATAACGATTTTTAAAGGATTTTAAATAAGGCAGTTTCATTTATATTCATTTTCAGCAATATTGCAAAAAAAGAGAAATTTTTGTTGCTTCTTAAATATTTGCCCAAAAGTAATGTTATAGTAGCGCATAAATTCATATACATCAGTGTAGAAGTAATAAAAAGGCATTTGCTAGGTAAATATATACTAAAGGTGTGAAGAGGTTGTCAATTTTCTCAATTTAATATCATATGATAGTACTTACTGTGTAGAATTCCACTGTGGTTTCTCCTGCGGGCGCTGTGATGCTGGACAAGGCTTCGAGAGCATTGTTACACTTTTGAGCATCTCTCGCAATTCCAATGATCTTGGAGTAGTGACCAGTCGCATAAAGCCTCTTCAGAGTGTGTAATCCTGAAGAGATTGACCTTGTTGTAGGTTGGACTTACCGATTCCGGAGTTGGCGCCTGTGATAAGTGCGGTCTGCGACATGACAACCACGATCAGATCACGTCGAACAAGGTTGTTTAGACTGAGAGGCAATCGGACAGCAAGCGATGCCGTGTTGTTTTTGTTTACAAACTAACCGGAGCTGCGAATTGGGAGGGGGAAAGAGTAGGGAGAGGAAGGTGGGGAACACAAATCGGAGTGCGAACATAAAGTAAGAGGCCGCCCTCCGCTTTCGCCCGATCACTTGGGTCAATGTCAAGTTGTGAGCGCGACAATCGTGTCCCGCAAACTTTCCCCTCCCCACGCTTTCACTTTCGTTTAAATTCGTAGTTGATTCATCACCCAAACAAAAATAAAAAGTCGGTTCATTTTCGATTACAGTTAAGGTAAAAAATAGGCGTTTAAAACGATTAGTTCCAATTTCGTAAAATAATTATGGAGTTGAGACCGTAAAATCAGATCATTGACGTATTTACAATTATATTACACATTAAAGTATCTTTTTGGCTGTACAAATAATAAATTAAAGTGAGATTAACGATTTTTAACCTGGAATTCAATTAGTCATGTTTGGAAAGCTGAAAGGAAAAGAAAAAAGGGGGGAACAGTAAAAAAAACATTATAAACGATGGGTTAGTCAGCCGGCGAGTGGCGTTCCAGCGTAAGCCATCGAAACTTCGGTATTCCCATAAACAGCACAAATGGCCGGGAACAGTTTGACGGGCGGAATGTTCTCAAAAGCGATTCCGAAGAATTCGCCGTTCTTCTCGAAGAAGAGGGTTTCTGTTTCACGGTCCAGGATCATCGTGATCTTCTCCCCCACCTGATACTTGGGTGGATTGTTGAGGCGTGGGTAAGACCCGACACAGTTGCCGTTGTACAGCAACGTGTTGTCCACCAGGTTCCAGCCCCAGCTCTGGTCGTCACTTCCCAGTAGCGCTACGTAGCCTGGGCAGTGTAAAGCTGCGTGTCTGAAATCGTGTTCAATGTACATAATAAAAACTTGGCACATTTTAAATACAAAAAGTAGAAAACTGACTTAGTAGCCACTCCAACAACAGCCACAGTTCCCAAAGGTCCCTTCCACGTGATGTTGTAGGCATGTACCCCAGTTGACACTCCAATCTTCCCCCTAATAGCATCCGTGCTCTGAGCTATTGGTTGTCTATGTACAGTAAAGCCATTGGTTCTCAAGAAATTATTTCTGAAAAAAGTTGTCAGCTTTAAAGCATACTGTTGTTACCTTGAAGAGTCTTGTGGATTCCAAGCAAATCTGAAGGCTCTCAAACGATGTTTAAAAGAAGTTCCCCGTGGAAACAAGTCAGAATCATTCAATCCGGCTTCTGGAATCTCAGACAAAGCCAACGGATACCAAAGTTCCCTGTCCTGTAAACCAGATGGTCTTAAACTTAATTTTATTTGCAATCAATATCTTTGAACAACCTTAAACTCCTCTTTTTAAAGTTATCTAGCCTACCGCTGTCTCTATAATTGTGTTCCATTGGCGACAAACCCTGAGACAGGCACTTAAATCTTTTAGACTGAGATTCTTGAAGACCGGCAACAACACCGTGGTCGGCAACCTGGCTGCTGAAACCGGTTTTCGAGCCATCTAAACTATTAATTAATCAAGAAAGCATTAAAAAGGTAATTAAACAGGCATCTTACCAATGAAATCATCCAAGACCGCTGGAACAACCCTAATTTATTGAAAACAAATAACAAAACATAACAACAATCTACTTCTTAACCTTGGCGATCTTAGCTCGGCCCTTTTCTCTGGCCGCACTCTTGGTTTCGTGCTCTTCGGTAAATACGATGGTCGGGCTACTGAACTGGAACAACTTCTCACTGTAGATGTCCTTGGACGTAATCTCGCCAATAGGTACTTGTGCAAAACTATTGTACAATGCCGTGTCGTCTCCTTCTTCTGGGATATAAGTTGGGAACGGTGGTTCATGGACAGTCTTCTTTTCATTCCAACTGTCATTTACTAACAAACGCTCTCCGATATCTCCAGAAACACAACCCCTGATGTACATAACTTGGGTAATCGGATTGATCCTCAGAACTTCCAAGCCGGTGGTCGACCTCCATTCGTAACCCATATGACCAGGCAATCTTCTTCCAGGCCATACTCTAGCATCTCCAGTAGAACCAATACTACCAACTCTTCTGTGCGACTTTGTAGTATGATATTTTGGCTGTCCTTTCATTCCCCATCTGTGCATTACTCCCTGGAAACCCCAGTCAATTGTCTTTCCTGTTACATTCACAAACTGGCCAACTTTGAAATGCCGTACATCAAGTAGAGTGCCAGGTTTTACAACTGCATCTTCTGATACCAGGAAAGATGCTAACCTGTCTTTACATGGTACTCCAGTCTTCTCAAAGATACGCCTGAACGGAAAAGATAAAAAGGCAGGATCTCGATCAATAGCTCCAACTGTTACCTAAAACATTAATCGTCAAGTCGTTTTTAATATATAAAATTAACAAAACATCTAAAGAAAAATATTTACCTTCCACATTGGGCCAAATCTTCCAAAAGCCTTTCGTTTTCCCACAGACGTTTGTCGAAACCATGTTTCGGGGTCAACAGCAGAAATAACATGATTCTGTTTGAAATGAAGAAGAGTACAAAGGATTCTGGTACCGTCATTTAACCTGAATTACACAAACCAATAAAAGCCGCCATTTAATATGTAAACTAAACTAAAAATTAAATTGCAGTCATATAAAGCATACCATTGCGGAGCCATTCCAATTTTCGTAGCCACCATTCCTACCCGTTTACTGTCTGAAGTCCATTCTTGATTCTCGGGTGGATCTCTCGCCAAGTCTGACGGTGTTTTTCGTGGATATAACACTTTAGGCTCTTCGAGCAACTCCTCACCTTTAATAATCTTTCCCAAATAAGCTCTAAAAATACAAAAGCAATATAGTTTAGGTATTACCTTTGACTTCGCGACAGCAAACTTCCTGCCGGACTGAATTTGCGGCAAACCCATGGTGGTGAGACTAAGGTTCGACGTCTTCCTCTGACCACAACCCTCTGAACCAGTCCAACTTGTGCAAGCCGAGGATATATACTGCATCCAACAGACGGAAACATTTGTGCCATACGATACCAACAAAGTCAGGTGGTATACTCAATTTCAAGTCAAAAGGGATTCCCCAAAACCTGTTCAATCCGTCACAGATCTTTGACCCTTAGACCTCTGGTCATAAAAAACCCTAATAGCTCCTGAACTTTGTTAATTTCAAAGATTTTAATGAAAATAAAGATTTATCAAACAAATGCAAGCTGCGCCCACGCTCTCTTTTTCAAAGACATTTTATACGACGAAAAGCTCGGAAAAACAAAAATTTGTCGAAGAAAATGTAAAAATCGGTAGGCATCAAGTTCTTCGTTGTTATAAGAGCAATTTAATTTTATGAGGTAATAATAATATTGAAATAGTCAATAATAATATTTATTAGTCTTTGTAAAACGGATATTTGGGCGCATATCGTGTGTTACCGTATTGGATGGACTCTTTTTCTTCTGCAATGTCGATGATCCCGAAGTAGGATTCCCTAAAACCGGTATGTAATTAATTCGTTTTGCATCTTTACCTGTAGTAAGGAGAAGGTAACGTGGGGTAGAGCTCGCTGAGGATTGAACTTGGCATTCTGACCCGTTTTTTGGAGAGAATCAGGGCTTCTGTCTCTTCGCTTATTAAGTCTGTGTCGTCCTTTTTAGGTGTGGTAACGTTGCCGGAGTCGTCTGTCACCGTAACTTGGATAGGGAAAGGCGCTTCATTGACGGACATACTCAACTTGTTGACGATGTCTGAGATCCGAGGGATTGTGCCGATGAATATCGGGATGTTGATGGTAACAGTATCCACCTGAACAATAGGTACGTTAGTTTTGTTATTTCAGTTTTTTGTTGGATATTGTAATTGAATTTACCTCAATTTCTATACAGTAATTTATCACAATTATGTTGCACTTTGTTAACCTTGGGGGCAGGGCTGGTATTTGGATAACATCATTGTTCCATTTGAATTCAGAGTTTTGAGGTATTTCCCCCTTCTCTATCTGTGTTATCACTTTGTTCATGTTCTTTGTATATTCGACGCCGAGGAAGGTTTTGGCTCTAAAAAGGGGTTGTTTACGGTATGGCCGTCTTGATATGGTTATAATAGTCATATTATATTAATGGCCATGCCAATGTGTATGTACATCCAGGGCCGGGCGCGAGGGGGGGGGGACGGGGGGGGGGTAGCCCCCCCCTCAGAAAAAAAAATTTTTGAAAAAAGTTGAACGTGGTCCCCCCTGTGGATTTTCGGAAAAAAAAATTATGCAAAAAAACGGCACAGGTAGCTTACCTGTGCCGAGTTTTTGGACCCCACTCCCAGACCAAAAGTCCCCGCCCGGCCCTGTACACATCCGTACAGTCTTAAGAGTTTTTTAGTAGGTTTCTCGGCTTTTTAGGTACGTTAATTAAACTTTTCTTCAATTAAGGTCGATTTCTTGATTAAAATCTTACTTGTAATTAACGTTCTGTCTCAATCTGACACTGGAAGACTTGATATTCTTTTGGGTTTCATTGTTTATGACAGCGTTTACGAGTATATTCTCTCCGGGCGTGTATCCCGTTCGATTAAGTTGTAATTCAACGTGAATAATCCCTTGACGACGACAACAAAAGGAGACTTTGCGATTTGTTTCCGAGGCGCTAGCCGGCTCCATGGCCTTTAATGGTACCAAAGATTAGATATGTTTTAGCACAATACATGTTCTTGAAGTCTATAAGAACAAATACAAATCATAACACAAACTCACTTCACTCTCATGGTTAATATCTTCTATTCCGATTACCGTGAATGGGCATACCGACACAATATCAAAGTCCCACGGTCGTTCACAGATTGCGCGACAAGTGTATCGTACAAAACCATATTCTCCTTCAAACGAAGTCGGCAGGTTTTTGGGAAGAGTGTAGGAGAAAGGAATCTCATGGATACCTTTTGGAATGGTTCTCTCCTGTAATTAGGTTGTGAGCAAGATAGTTTAGTAGCTTGTGTTTTAAAGCTAATTACGGTAATGACATTATTTTTAAGATCTTTTCGGTTTTATCACTCCAAATATAAACCATAATTGGTAGTTAAAAGCTTGGATCATTTTGTCTGTGTTAAGGTGGTACTTACGGTGTTTTTGGCATTGATCTTCTTCTCGAACGAGTGGGTGAACTTGGTGTTAAACTGCTCGCAGAAATAGGGCTCGCTTTGGGTGCAGTGGGTCTTGGACTTGCCGGAATGTTTACTCCAATAAGTTTTTGCCCTTCCTTTTAACTCTAATAAAATTTCGTTAATTTGTTTTTCCTCCTCTAATTCCAATAGGATCTAAAAGTTGCAAACAAATGAGCCACAAAATTGGATCATGGTGAATATAACCACAAATTAGATAAAAAATGTTAATGATATGGGGGAGATAAAAGAATTATGTGATAATACTATCAATCATAATAATGAAAAGACTGAGAGTTTCAATGATAACAATAAGTTATGGTTCGCCATAAACAACAAATGTGATTCAGGGTTATAATCACATGCGACTGTTTGCATCCTCACCTTTCCGGAAACTTCTTGACCGGCAAAGTAGGCCCGTTCAGGGTTGCCGAAGATAATCTCGAACTGCTTCAACTTCATGTCACAGCATTCTTTTTCGAAAAACAAATTCTGTTATTACGGAATCTCGAAAATAAAATACGCGGTGAATAGAATTATTAAGGCGTTTTTGCATATTATATAAATTGTTTGTCGGTAACATATGCTAGCCGAGGAGGAACAAAGGCCAATAGGGAACTCGACCCGTGTTTAAATTTAAAAGCCCTGCGGCATAGGTTACTTTTTGTTTCTATTAAGATGGGGATGTAATCAAACAATGACGCCGTTCCGCGGCCGAAAAGGAACTGGGACAATTCTTGATAAGCTCCACTGAAGATGTTTTATTGCTTATTTAAATAAAAAGTGCCAAAGTTCCCGAACCACCCGTATGAAAACCGGAGCCGTTGGCACCCCAAAAAGAAAAGGAAAGAAGAAAACCGCGTTCCGTCTGTCGGCAATATCTGGACAAGTTGGTTTGATGCGCTCTAAACCCGGCTTTCGGAAAGGCTGATCCCAACTCTTGTTTGGAGACTGGAGACAAGCTCTCAGTTATCTGATACTCAACTTAAAAGGGATGCACGAAAGTCTTTATTCTCGAAAAAGTTGTGTCATAGTTTGCAGGAGAGCGCAATGGCCACAAAGCTGTGTCCCGGAATGTAGATGTCGGCCAAACCTGTAAATAAGGGTCGTGAACCGCCTGTTGTGGGTATGGCTTACCGTCGTTGGTGACGTTGACGAACTTTCCTGCGCAAGCCCCGTCGAGTTTCCCGCCGGTTGATAAGTCGCAGTAAATGCCTACTGGCAATGTGGTCATCACATTTTGTCTAAACACAGATTACGTTTTCTCTTTATGCTTACTCAATGAATTCCCCAGGGTTGTTATTCATAGCGTAGTATCCGCGGCCTAAACGAGCAAATGCCAACATCTGGGATCCGGTTCGAACTTCCGAAACCGGTGCCGAGCCCACTTCTTGGTTGAACTTAACCATGCTTCGGATCTGAGGCCAACGATGCTCGCACACCCATCCACTCGACGCCTTGCACGTACCGTCAGCTTCGAATTCTGGAGATTTCGTAGCAAAGCGAGAGTCTCGGCCGGCATGTGGAGGTCCTTGGACAGAGTTGTCGAAGTAGAAACTGCTCATTACTCTAGGGTACCCATAGTTCCAGGCCAACATGTAGGACACTGCCAATTTATATTGTTCTGGACTCTTGTAGGTAATGACATAGGGGTGGTCGTCTCGCTGATTATCGTGGTTATCAATAAAGTTGAGAACTTCATGAGACTCTTTGTTACCGTAGCCAAAACCGTTGCCCATATCCTTTAGGTTGCTAAACATATGATTTTAATTAAAAATATGTACAATATTTACAAAAGGCTAGACAGTAGTATGACTTACGCAACATCGAATTCTTTTCTGACAGCTGAAGATACAGCTGATCCAAAGTTAAAGTTTGTATAACGACCTATAGCCGTATATTGGTCTACTTGGACTGCTTCACCTCCACGGTCGATAACTTCATGAACAACAAATGGACGCTGGTTCTCACCAAATATCTGAGAAGTAAAGTAAACACGGTTCATATTTCACTTACATCACTGCGCAGGTTGGTGAGACCTTCCATGATTGCTTTGAGGTCTTCTGGGAACATGTGTTTGGAAGCATCGAATCTGAAGCCGGCTACACCTAGTTGGGTCAGCTTGTTCAAGTAGGCTTGCATTTTCTGGCGGACAGAAGCTGAGCCTTGGTTAAGGTCGAGCAGGCCGCTCAATCGACATTGTCTTACATGGGCGGCGTTGTATTGGTAATCAGGGCCTTCTATGTCATGGTTACACAGTGGATCGTTGAAGTCAGCTGCTCCATATGGCACTGCAGGGAAGTCTTCATTGCCTCGAGAGGCATCAAAGTGTGAATCGCCTGAAGACCATCGTTGCTCTTCGCCTTTTCTCTGGTTGATTCCGACCATGTGGTTGAGAACAACATCGGCTACTACACGAACTCCAACAGCATTACATCTCCGGATCATCTCGGCCAACTCGGATTCGTTCCCACTTCTGCTGTTGAGGCGGTAGCTGACTGGCTGATATCTGACATACCACGGTACATCATTGTTGATTTTAATCATGATGTGTTCGTTTGGAGGAGAAATCTGGTAAAGTACGCTATGTGTTATGTTATTTACCACCTACTTGGACTGATCCGTAGCCATTTGGAGCTAGGAACGTTTCACATTCTTGAGCTATGTCATTCCACTTCCACTCGAACAGATGTACCATGACATTTCGATTGTTCGTAGTGTGGGGTTCATCATAAGGGCCCGCATACAAGGTATTAACCAAGAGTAAAGGGAAGAGAAGAAGGAACAACTCTCTCATTCTCAAGGTGTCTTTACTTTGAACTGATTGTGTCTAAACCTTTTATACGCTATCGCTTCTCTCTGTAATGTTTTGAGCCTGTTGAGTATACTTAGAAGTTTTTCAGTATGCACGCCACGTTTTATCAAAAGACGTCAGCATTATTGATAAACTACCGATGTCAATAAGCCATTTCCTCCGGCAATCGACTAGCTGGGAAGCTTAAGAATTCAAACACTTCTAGAACAATGTTGTTATCAAGACTGACTTGTTTTTATTTTTAGGTAATAAAATAAAAATAAGAGGAAGGTATTCCTGGCCGCTTAATCTTTTTTAATTGCACAAACTAGATTAGTTTTTAAACATTTTTAAACAGATAAGGCTTTTATACGAAGGGAAACTGCAAAGATACCTAAAAATACGAAATTGGCGTAAAATATAAATTTATTTAGATTGAATTATCACCTTACATGTAAATGCATGAAACACAGAGAAGCTATTCTCGCAGCTGTCAGTCTACTAAACTGGTCGGAGGTACAGACAAAGGAACTAATTCACATATCCGCGATATGTATACATTAAGCATGGTATAACCGAGAAGGCATTCAAAGGGACGACCGTTGCCAGAAGGCACGGTTGAATCTGATAACGGCGTCTCGGTTGAGGCTAGCCACATTAAAGCTGTTCTTCACGTAGTCGAAGGGTGGGGACTCGTACGATGTTACCGTACCCTCACTCGACTGTTGTGTGATGTTCTCCAGTGGAATGGTCGACGAAGGAATGCTCAGCAGTTCGATCGCCATCTCGCTCAGCGGTGGACACTTGGCCGTGCCCCACTGCCAGAAGGCCAACGGTTGTCGCGGAATTTCGGGACCCGTTCCGAAGATGGTGGGGAAACAACCGTTGTTGAGGACGTCGTCGAAGTAGGCCTGGACCATGGCTTCGGCGTAATGGTTCTTCCCGTTCCTCTGCGGCCCCTGAAGTTATTTTTTTGCGTGAAAAAACACAAATGATAGTTAAAAAAGTATTATAATATCTATAAACCTATCTCTTGAGTTTTTAACTTACTTTAATGTTCTGCCTCCGTTGATTGGCTGCTTGAACCAGATCGGGATACAGCGACGACGCGCAGAATGACGACTTGTCTCCGCCGAATTCAGTCGAGAGTTCACTTGACTTTCTTTCCACCACCGCCGCCAGCAGGGCATCCACCCCGGTCACTCTGCCGTTCTTCCGACCAGTCGGCTCTTCAATTGACTTGATCTTCTCATGTAGCTGAAGTTTAACAGGATTAATAAACCTAATGGACCTTCAAATGTGAAATATAACTGTGAATTAAGTTTCATTTAAAACGGTTGAAAAGGCATTGTTATCTCACGACTTTCAACTTACTCTCTTCTCGATTCCCTCCTTGGCGTGGTTGATCTGGTTTTCGTCCAACAGTACCACTAATTGAGGATTGAGAGCTGTGGCTTCGATAAAACTTGGATCAAAGTTGGCATCTGAAGGGTCGAGGATATAAGCCAGCTTCTCTTTGATGCATGACACAATGTCATGGGGGAGCTGGTCAAGCGGAGAAAAGTCTTTTTCAAGTGACATTAGGAGCTGCATTATAGAGGGTACCACTCGGTCAATGGTCGCGTAGATATTGTCTTGAATTACTTGGATGTGAGCGTTGAACAAGCGTTTGATTCTCAAAAAGGCGTCTAGAGCTGGCCTGAAACACAATTATAATATAAAGGTAGTTAATGATAATTCGAGTAAACATTGTTGAAAGATATTGATTAACAAGATTTTAAGATATGATTTTGGTTCACTTACCATTCGATCACGGCCAATAAGCTCATTAACTCTGACTGTTGCGCAATGACAGAACATATCGCATCTTTGTTGTCCACCAACGCTTTGGCGATCTCTTCCAATGGTTTCGACAAGTCAATGTCTTCCAACTCAACACCTAAAATAATAAATTGATCTTAATGTCACATTTTATGTGTCAGTAACTTTATCCTTTTTATGGTTACTGTATTTTTGTAGTTTATACTTGCTTATTTTGTCAGCCAGTGTTGTTGTATCTCTTACCCGTCATGGTTTTAATACTGTTACACGAGTCCGGGAAGAACCGAAGCAAGGACAACAAGTTCTTGACACTGTCAGCTACTTGCTCGTACCTCTCCGACTGTACAATCATATCATTCACAACTTGTTCTAGTTTGTCTTTGTGGGACGTCAGTTGCGATGGGAACATGGTGGGGGCTTGGGGAAGGTCGAGTAATGACAGGCCGCTGAGGATGGTGCGGCTGACCTGATGCAGACCCAGATCGTACTCAGATAATGTCTGAAAAGAGATAATCCTTCACTCAAAGTAACCAACCTCTCTGACCAATTGCGGAATGGTCTCTTCTGGCAAGGTTGTGTCTGTCAAAGTTCGAATTCCCAGAAGAACGACTTCAACTTTTTGTCGAATTTGTGAGTAAAACGCAACACAAATCGACAAGAACAAGGTAGCGTCATCTTTATGATTGATTATGTTCAATAGCAGCGAGAACCGGTTCACCACAGCCAGCTGGGTCTTGATGTTGGCCACGGTCTTTTTGTAGAATTGAGTTATGGTCTGAAGTAGGATAGGTAATAAGTGAAAAAACATAGTTTTTAGCTATTTTAGTGTTAGAAGTCTTACGTTAATTACTGTAATACTGTTTTACCGTATTAGCAATTTTAAGTTAATGACAAAAATAATTTTACCGATAAAATAAACTTTAGAAACCTACTTGTTCGACTTCTTTGTCGTCTTCTGGAATGTAGAATTTTGGCTGTAGCTGCTCCAGAAGCTCTCTGAAGCAAGCATCGTGAATGATTGTAGTAGGTAACTGAGCAGAACTGAGGAATAGTGCCATTTTCTGCTCCATTTCCTTTTGTTTCCGGTCTTGTCTTGGCCATTTTCGGATTTGCTGGACTATGGCTGCCGCACTTGGCTTGGCATTGTTGGTATTACCTAGAAAAGTACAAGTCTATAAACCTAGTTATGCATAATATGCATGTTAGTGTAAGTTTTATATACTTATCTCAGCCACTATTTATGTACCTATTCACGACTCACCTTGTCTAATCAGATTCAGAAAGTGGAGTGGGTTGTTATCGTTCAGAAAAGACACCGGATTCATGGGAAGATTCATCGTGGAGCTCGTGTTCACTGCGGGATTAGGCACCATATTGACTGCGTTTGCACTAAGATTATTCAGAATTTCGCTGAAAAACAAAAATTAGAAAAAATGACGTATACAATTACTACAATGTGAGAATACTATGAACATTAAAAACAAATCAAATTTAAAACATTAGACACTTACTTAACTGACATTGGTTTACCAGGACTAGGAGGATTAGGGGTACTACTGTTACCACCAAACAAGTTGGAGGTTCCAAAGATACCAGAAAGACTACTTGGTTCGGTTGACTTTTTGAACAAGTGATTGATATTGGGCGGGGTGGAGGATCCGCTGGTGTTCGTGGCATGGATCAGGTTGGAGGAGCTGCTGGAGTGCATGGAATTAGCACTGGAGCGACCGTTCCGTTGGCCAGAAGGGGGCATGGTACCAGTGTTCCGGTCTCTCGTATACTCAACCTAAAAGTCAGTCGTTCGGATGTCAAATTCGAGTTTTTCTGAATAGAAAAAGCCGAAATATTCACCTTGAGTTTTTGGAATTCCGCATACTCTTCCGGATGCTTCTTCAGATGGCACGCCAACGTGGATGTGTGAGGTCCTTTCAGCATGTAGGTACAGTCTCCAATGATACAGCGACTCAAGTTCTCGGCCTTGTTGTACACAAAGTACTTCCACACTGGGGTCTGCTTGTTGGTGCCTCCAGACCTGATAGCGGCAGCCGGGTTTCTGTGCCACGACCAGTCGTCCTCGCTAAACAGTTTGGCCGCGGGCGAGGCGGCAACGGCTAGCGCACCTGGAATGGGAGCTCGGATGGAGTTGGAGGAGATGGATGGTGGAGGAAGGCCATACGACGGAGGGGCTTCGCTGTTCTCCTTCTTCACGTTCTGAAAAACAGTGACCTCATTAAGGGCGCAATTACCTTGAATATTTGAGAAGCATGATCCAGGAAGAACTGCAGCGAGAAAGGTTGTTGCTGGCCGGCATCGTTTGTCTGTGGTATTGAGTTGTCTTCGAACAAGGTTTTGGGGTCATCTGTCTCGTTTGGAGTTGTGCTTCTGCTCGGGTTTGGGGGTGAGTTGCCAACTGAGGAAGATTCAGCTACTGAACATTCTGTTTTTACTGTTACCGCAGCCGATTGCTCTTCTTCGTCCTGATTCTGGTTCATATCAAAAAGAACGTGCTGAAAACAGTAGATTAGCGAAAGTTACAATATACCTATAAATAATATAATATTTTAAATTACAGTATACTTTTTAAACTGTAATTTGAAAGATAAACAAAAAAGATTTGATATGAATGTTGCAAACTCACATCAGGAGAATACCGAAACTTCTTGGCCTTCGGGGCGCCGGTAGCGGTGGCTAAGCTCATCGGTCAGGAAGTGGCTAGCCCGTTTTGAGATCCAATAAACACGTTGTCTGCAAGTTGGGAATGAATAACGTTTTAAACAGATGAGTCGCGCTAAATCGCCCACCTCTCTTTTCGAAAATGGAGTAAACTTTCTCCTATAAACAGTAGTTCTGGACTTCAACCCACCCAACTGACATGTATAAACAAATGGAGACGGCCACACGGTCGTATTACCATAAGACGGATAATTGGGATCAATTCCAACCCTTGCCTCGCGGCCTTGACAAGTGGGAGGTCGCAACGCTACTTTAATATCCGCAGTACTGTTCCACGAGTAATTGCGACGTTTTGAAACTTGGAAAGAGCAGGTAAGTCCAAGCAGACAACTGATAAAGACCCGAAAAGGGTGCATATTACCCAGTCCTGCCTATCAACCAAACCCTCCGGCGAAATAAAACTGATCGAAAGACTTAAGTTGCAAAAGGTTGAAAGGAAACATGGGAAGGTGAAAGCAATTAATTGTGAATTCATGGGGACAACGGACTGACTCTAACGCACTTATTTCCATACCCTCAGGGCCTGGTTGGAAACCCATTTGGGAGATTCGAACTGTACATTGCAGGTGAATTGTTAATTGCGAATTAAAGGCCAGCTTTGGTTACATTTCACAAAGTGTACGAAACATGATTTTGAAATTGGCTGAGAGGAGATTTCAGGAAGAAATCCAAAAATTTCGATCAGAGATAAAGCCAAACCTGATACTGTAATCTCCTGCAAACCCATACCTAAACAGACTAACTTCTACAAGATGCAACTCGAGTAACAGTACCGTAATCCCAGTTTTATAAAGTTTGAATTGACACTGAATATGGACTAGATAATGCGCCTCTTTAACTATGGTGTTGTCAAGGCGCAACGCAGACTTGGCTCCACTGGGACTGGGCGGGTGTGTCAAGAAATGCGGGCGAGGCGCATAAAAAAAGAGTGAAACGGGTTGATTATGGAGAGCTAACTTGACGCGACTCGAGATATGAAAAAACTATTATTATGGTGCGAATGGAGTCCAACTTAAATCTAGATTAAGGCCACTGAGAATTGAATTGGGCCCAGTTTGACGGACCGTATACTGCAGAGATTGAAATCAAGTTATGCGAAGACCGGAGGCACGCCACAAACCGTGGTTAATGCCGCTCTCCTCGAAAACCGTTTCAAGGAGTTTCAAGAGTGAAAACGAATAAAGTGGCAGATCGATCTGACCCACCCATTCCCATACTTGATCTACCGTAAACGGAGTTTACAAGTTGAAACGACAAAAGCGTCCGCTGCTACCTCGTACATCATAACCCGGTACGATGACCTCGACGAGAATAATAAAGAATACCTTCGGCCTCTTAAACGCGGGAAACCCAACCAGACGGAAGATTTGCTTATCGCAAAACAATAGCAATGTAAAGTAGGGCGGTGGTGATTTGAGGTTAACAGGGGTGTTAATAAACCAGGATTAGTAAAAGAGTTATACCAGTAAACAGTCTTTGCCAGGTAACGCGGAATAACACTGCCGTTCCCAGTTGAACCATTTAGTTTGACATAAATACTTCAAAAGGGTCGCTGAAATCTGGAATCGTGATAACTCAGGTTTGTCATGCTCGAACAGGTATAAAATAATCTCATAATCCGCGGTCCGTCAACAAAGAAGAGTAGTCGAATTCGAAGTTACTCAAAAGGCAGAGTATTATCTATTCACCATGTCAGCCGGCTCACTCAACCTACACCTGCGCTTTGTCGCGATTGGCTGACTCAAGGGGGCGGAGTTACCTGCACGTCGCGCGCTAGCTTCCAATTACTGAAGCCCTTGAGTAGGTATTATCTGTGGGCCGTACTGAATTGACGCCAATCCGAATGAAACCGTGAGTATTAAAGCCGAACCTGAGTCGTCAAGGTGATTCCACGCATAAATTGTGGAGCAGACTGCTTCCTTCTGATAGAATAAAGGCCGAATAAATTTGGGCTTCGATGTGGGTGACAGTACCCGTGCAACTGACACTTGCGGAAATTACCTCCAAGGCCGACACAACAACGGTTTGGGGCCTCGGGGCTCGAGAATTATGGGCGATCTCTCGAGATAACAGAACAAGCACATGAGTGTTCTGAGCAATAAGTACTTGAACAACTCAAGTACACTAAACCGGCCTTTCAGCACAAAAAACCGTCAGATAACAATTCGGAGGGGATTCGGGTGGCTAAACTCAAAAAACCGCAGCGACGGCGACGACCGTGGACACAGCTGTACCCTTCCCAGGTATTCCCCATGGCCAAAGGGCCGGTGTTTGAATAGGTTGGAGGCGCACCCTCCTCCGTGGCGGTAACCACGGTACAGTCACTTTTGTGTACAAGACCACAGCGCCGCACCCATCACGCAATAAAATAGTTGATAGATTGATATTCTCAACATATTATTCCAAATCGCGTCTTTAGTCCGGCCGCAATCAAGCGGATGAACAAACCGGTCAGCCGCCACTGTAACATAATCCATTAAAGCAAACGGTGGGATCGGCGGAAACAAGAATGCAAGACAACTCATTACTAGGTAGAACCTGCAGCATCTTGACCTACTTGGGAGACCCTTGTCACAATTTAGAGTCAAGAGTGCCGCGCCTTTAAAGACGAGGGGGAATCTGCTGGATTATAAAAACAGGTTGGCTTCGTGACAGGATTCTCTAATGACCCTTAGGGCTTATGCGATAACTCAAAACACCAGCTTTCGATTCACCACCACCTGGGGATTACATAAGGCCTTCCGGCCCCTTCCAAGTTGCGATCAATCACCTCTACCTTTACTTTAAACTAACCCACGACTGGCCACTGAGCCCTCGGCGGGTCAATTATAACATTTATAGGTTGGATGATCAGCTGCACCTGCCCGCGGGCATTCCCCCGGACAAAGGGTACGGGTTAACAAAGTAAATGGAGGGACGTTTTAATACCTTCGAGTGGGACATAGAGACGACTTGACGGCCCACACCATTTCCTTAAATTAAACGCGGCCGTCTTATGGTAAGCGGGTATTGCACAACCCGAGTAAACAGCACTCTGTTTTGGGCCGCCGGCTGGAAAACCTGCGGCCAATCCGCTCGTGAATCGGAGTACGCACGAGTACGGCTTTGGCAAATTAAGTACAGTAAATATATTTTTGTTACTAGAGTAAATCGTCGCGAAACCCTACACAGCACCGTCTCGAATGCCGTTAAAAATTCGCGGAAAGAACGTCCCCCGAGGCTAAATACACATGAAAGAATAGGACGAGACATGCAACCTTGCTTTTGACCTTGTTAGCACGCCAAGGTATTGCTGTCAAGCCCGATCATATTCTGCCATTAAGTAACTAAGGTGGGCCTGAAATACGAGATGAATAATAGAACAGAGTTAAGAGCCACACGCAATCTACCGTCTCTATAGTTCCGAGTAAGGAAAGCAGATGAATTTATTTAAGGCGCCTAATGGCTAAAGTCCCATCTGCCGGCTACGGGAGTAAAAGGTGCGAAATCCGTTTCCGTGTCTTTCAAAGCAGAAAGGTGCCAGAAGTAAACGGTTATAACTGACCGAGACCGGATGTTGGTCTACCTAAAGCCATTTTAAACGGGACAACCTGCTGAGGTCAAACAAAAAAGGCATAGTGCCGCTATTGTGTCGCGACACACTTTACCTACGTAATTAAAGTACTAGTTGGTACTGCTTCTACTAAGTACTAAGTTGTAATTTCAAAGTACAATGTTTAAAAGTAGTTACTTCTATCTTTAGATCATACTTCTGTAGACTTTATTTGTTCGAGAAATTGGTTTGAAATATATGCTAAAAGAGGCTCTTCTTCTCACATACGGTTTTACTCCGGAAGACTGTACGATGACTAAACCGAGCTTCAAAACAGCAATGTAAAACTAATCCTACTTTCTAGAAATTACACACCCAACACTCAACTACACCATCACAGACGGTACGCAACCTCTTTACGCAATAATTTGTGTTTAAAGTTCAGTTTAAGGGCCGTGTTGACCCTCGAAACCGCTTTGAGTGCAGGTTAAAAGGGCTGAGTGACACTTTTATTGTTTAAAACGGATTTACCGGAAACTGAAACTTAGGTGAGCTCAGTGCCCTTTTTTACCGTCATGAATATTCATAACCCTCACCTTTCTTGTCGGTCTCTCCCTTAACTACCGAACAAACTGGCAACACTTGAACTTGAATGGCCCTTTAATGCTAATCGTACTAATGTTAAACAATCCTGCAAATTGTTAACTAACGTCTCATACTAATGTTAATCAACCTTGTATACTATGAGTAGACAACCCCCATACTGATCTTAACCAACCCGTAGTATTAATTTTGATCAACCCTACTAATCCGACCACAAGTTGGATTCCTTTGCGATAAAATCAGCGGCCAAAACTTCCGGTAACGACCGTGCAGGTATCGATCCATTAAGATAACAGAGCGAAGACATCAGATAAAATAACAAACAATATAACCTTTGTGTGGAGAGTACAACACCCAAACCTTGTAAACGAGAAGAAGACGCTCTTCCGGAAGGCCGTTGGCATTTACGGTGTAATGCAAAGACAACACAAAACGGAAACCTAGAAGCCCTTCCTCTTCAGGTGCTGACAACAGCCCGAGGGCCCCAGCTCACCAGTTTCCTGGCCATGATTCAGCAGCCCCACACTACTCACTCCACCTTCCCTGCCCCTTCAATCAGACCGTCCGCCCGACCACCGTTTCTCCACCAATACTTGAATCGAATTGTAAGAACAAAAGGAATATTCCTTTAGGGCAAACAAACTCAAATTAAATAGAACCCACAGGCAGCCGCTGTGCCGGCCCCTTACCTTATAAGAAGATAAGTCCGGATTAGATTTCATTTCTTAATTTTTCGAGTTTTCCGTCGCCCATCCTGTAACCGGGCGGCCGACCCAAATAGGTTGCACAACAGTAGGTGATTAACCGGCCATTTGCTTCATTAATATTGCGTAAGGGGGTGTTTTGAAAAAAGTGATCTTTACAAGAAAACTTCGATAATAAGTAGTGGAATGTACTTTTATTGTATAAAAATATTTATTACTTTAAACGAAGAACAATAACGTCATATTTAGATACCCGCGCAGACTCTACTGTACTACAAGGCGATATTATTCATCAGAGCAATCAGTTAGATACAAACAAGCAGTCGAAGTGTGATACTAAGATTAGATACAAAGGCAACCGACAAGAACGCTGAGTAAATTGTAAAGTTTGTTCAAGTTTAGAAAATTGTGCAGTTTTTCTTCCACGACTTGCGAGTCCGTTTTCGGCTAGCCCCGGTCTGGTCGGCTGGAGCGGCCGAACCAAAAGTGCCGCCTTTGGTCCGTTTGATCTCGCGCATCAAATCGTAAAATACCTAGAAATGATACAGTCAACATACTTTAACATTTTAAATTAATGAATCGTTGCAATTTCAAAAAATCAAAATATTTTAAAATTACAAAAGATTTGCCATCACTAGATAAAGAGATACTAACTTTTTTCAACACAACAGCCGAATTTTGGTCAAAAAATTGTAAAATCTTAGCACGACAAGTGAAAATATCGATACATCCACCAGACCCTGTTAGCAGCTTAATCACTAGTACTAAAACTTACAGAATCCACGTTTTTCCTAGTCTTGGCCGAAGTCTCCATGTATGGCACGCCCCATGATTCGGCCTTCTGCTGTGCTTGTGCCTGAGACACGGCACGTTCGTTGTCCATATCGGACTTGTTACCTACTAAAATGAACGGTATTGAGGTATCCGAGTTCTTGACCCTGAGAATCTGTTCCCTGAATTCATTAGTCGCTTCGAAGGATTCAGCATCTGTAATCGAAAATGTGCAAATAAAGCCTTCGCCACTCCGATAGTAATTGTCTCTAAAACAGAATGAATATAATATCAGATCTGGGTAAACAAATTCTGAAATCAAGGGATAGATCGAACAATTAATTTTCAAAATTAATCAAAAACAGATTTTCAGATCAAGAGAAGGCATACCTGATCGCAGAGTAATCTTCCTGCCCAGCTGTATCCAGAATATCCACCGAGCAATCTTCACCATCTAGAACAACACGTTTCCTATAGGAATCTGCTTTCGTAGGTTCATATTCTTCTACAAACTGAAAAAAAATATAAAATCGTTATAGAAAGGCAAGTCAAGGTAAAATTCATCCAAGAACAGAAAATCGATATCACAAGTAATTTTCCTCAAACTCCACTGAAAGTAACATAAACTCACCTCATCGTACATAAACTGGAGAGTCAACGCTGATTTCCCCACGCCTCCGCTTCCGACCATGATCACCTTGTGAATCTGCCCTTGTGTTGACATTCCGGTCGTGCTGGCAACTTTCTGTGTACCCAATGTGTTGTTTGTCTGAACATTTCCTTTTTCAATATCATCCTCCTCTTCGTACATACAACCACAACAACATACGTAGTCGAACACCCAAAGGAGGAAGATCCAGAGCTGTTGGAGCCGATGCTTCAGCCAGCTCCAACATCGCCTTAAGAAGTCTAGAGCCGCATTCATGCCTCAGGAAAGAGTCTAATTCTGCCGCTGCAGAATCAGATCTAGTTTCGCTTACTAAAAGCGGGTAATTAAGTGAAAATACGCAAAAATGACAACACCACGACTGTCCAGCTGACCGAAAAGGCGTCGCAGGCCATAAAAGGGCCGTCTGATTCAGCCAACCCCAAAACCAAACCAAAAAGAATATCGGAATGTGAAAAAGAGGTCCCTTAACTCTCCGCACAAGAACTGCTCGCGGATCAAAAGCCACTACCCGAAAGAGGATTAAGTTCCATAGAATCGGTATTTGGACAGTCAACACGCAATACGAGAAGGAGAAACAGGATTTGTTTGATAGGAAAGCATTGACCCGGCCGTTGCCACTTATGATGGTTACGATCGCAAGAATTTCAGAGATAAACACGTCGATTTATGCTAAACTCTTTCAAAACAAGGGAAACGATACCCATCTGCAAAGTGATAAATGCACAAATTAAAATCTTATTTGTTCATCTACATCACGATGCAAAAACAAAACTGACCTTGCTAGAGTTGTAAAACAAACCTTTACCTCGTAAGTAAAAGCTGCCACTAGTTTGGTCGAAAAACAGGTAGAAAATTAAGGATTCTATACAAAAAAAACTTATGGTTTAAAAAAGTAACAATAACCAATTTTAAATTTGACAATTTTTAAAAACATTTAAACCTTAAACAATGTCTAAATTTGTATGAGAAAAAGTATGCTATTGAGGTGAAACTGTAATGCCACGTAAACGTTCTTCTAGAATACAGAAAAACTTAACAATACAACAAAAACTACAAAAAACCATTTACTGACTAATAAATAAAAAGTAACCCTAATAGTAACATTAACAAACACAACAAAAACAATTACGCAACAACCGCGCAGTCTTTAAAGTATTACGAGTTAAACACAACTCAGCGATCCACGTGAACATCAAGCGCTAACTCAGCTAAGAACATCGCTCCATTATTATTATATTCATCTTGTTCATGAGCAAACAAAGCCTAAGAGGAAGAAAAATAAACTCACCGTGAACGAGCTAACTAACCCCAATAACCCTGCGAATGAGACGAAGCCGAGATCCGTGAATAATTTGAGGTAACCCTCCCAGGACGGCACAAAATCACAAAAAGAAGAGAATGTCCTTGAAGAAAGCAAACCCTTATTGTCTCTCCCACCTCACGTGCGAGGGACTCTCTCGCGCTCAACTCACACTCTTAAACCGCTTGCTGATATACTCCTGACTTAATAGTACAAACATAAAACATAACTATACAACATTAACATGATCAAAACCCCGTTGAAAGTTGAGGATTTCGAAATTTTTAAAGAAAATCTAGATTTAATCGTATCCAGGCAACGGTCAAAGAAACTATGAGTAGGAAGATGGATAAAAACATACCTGCAGCCTCTGACCTCCTCTTTGGGTGTCCTAAAACACGAATCGCGAAATATTTAAAAACAACGTGATTCACAATCAAACTTTAAACGAAATGCCAACCATGAATTAAAATATTAAACTTATAAAAGTAGCGAATCAAACCCTTTTATAAACCCCTTTTAGAAGATGAAGGACCTAAAAACCGACTTTAATATCGAAAAAAAAGCTTTGTATCGCTCGATTTCAAAAAAGTTGGAACTAACTTCAAAAGGACAGTCTTTTGAATAAATTCGGAGGCTTCATTAAAAACGGAAGCAGGACGATCCAAGTTTGATTAGGAAAGATATCAAAGTTATAATGAAATCGAGAGACCCGATTGAGCGATGACTCAGAATTGAGCACCTGGCAGTTTTAACTAAAAAAAGCGCGACCCTCCCAAAATGAAACCGCAGCAAAAAACACGCCACCGTCTTTTGTAAGACCGTGAAAAAGAGTAAATATTACGTTACAAATACTAAATTCAAGATACTCTCATTAGAGAAATCACTAAAATAAAAGTAAAACAATATTAACCAATTAACTTACAAATACTCAATGAAACACGACATTTACAAAAGATAACAATCGTTACGCCAATATTTATTATTATTGTAAACCACAAAACGAGAAACAAAACAATTTTTACAAGTTGAAAATCAAATTTCCAAGTGTAAGATCCTTAAACAGTAAATTCAGAGACCAAAACGCAGCCGTCTGGCTTTCATCTTCTCGTCCTCTTCTACGTTGCCCTTTGCAACTTTGGCTGGGCAAGAGTCGGCAGCCCCCTGAAATACAAACATAAGTGATAGACATAAAAGGGAAACCATTCACTGCAGTTCAAACAAAATTGAGAAGCTTAGTAATATCGAAACTCCGCTTTTTATAATAAATTTTTTTTAAATACTGTAATATAAGAAGTAAAGTCAATTTAGAAGTATTCAACCAACAAAAACTTACAATTGGCAGACCGAAACGTTTAGCTCTAGCCAACAATTTAGGATCTGTTGTCTTGATTTCGGGTTTCTTCTCTGTCGTGTTGTTGCCATTCTTGTCCTTATCACTAGGAGTGTCAGCTTTAGCAACCGGAGTTGCAGTTAGCCCAAATCGAGCCGCTCTCTTAGCTTTAGCATCCTCGGTAGTTAATGTAACCTTCTTCGGAACGCCTTCTGGAGCTGAGATCGATGGTCGTTTCTTGACTTCTGGATTTGACGGAGGTTTATCTCCATCTTCCGATACCTTTTCTTTGCTTTCTTCTGAAACGGTTACTTCTTCCTTCTGCTTCTTATTTTCGTCAATTCCTAGTAGTAAGTCTTCGTCGTTCTTCGTGAGCTGTTCTCCATTTGTCTGAACTAAAATAAGATAAATTCCTTTGTAACTCACCTCATTGTTTCCCAACAAGTCTTCTTCGGTTTCGAGCTGAGGAGCAGACGCTCCCTCGCCAAGGAGCTCTTCTTCTTGCAGTGATTCGTACAAACGATTAATAAGCTCGTTCTTAGTCCCACTAATTTGTAGCCTACGCTGCTTCAGTCGTTCTTTCAATTGCGGAATCTAAACCAATATTAATAATAAAAAATGTACGCTTACCGTGAACTTCGCCAACTCTTCTTTGGTTTCTGCTGCCATTTCCATATATCGTTTTCAAGAAACAAGAGAAAAAAGTTTAGAGAAATTTATAAACGCCGAAACGAAGTATCACAATTGATTTAGAACAGACAGGCTGTTTGTCAAGATAAAACTAGTAAATCAGATCAACCTCTCAGTGCCTGGCAGTGTAAAGTATACTGAAATATTCTTTTATTGTCGTTTGCAGAATAGGCACAAATATTTATAACGCTTTCTCTCAAGATGGCTTTTCTAAAATTTCTACGCTGTAAAACTCGACTCTTTTGTGGAGTGAAACTTGACACATAAGATAAAATTGTATGAAATATTTTTTGTAAAAGCTTTTGTAAGATTGACATTGTGTTTGTTTATTGTAGGTTTACTTGATGAACAGTTGGAATGAACCGTACAATAAGTTTGATCTTACTATTATTTCCTTAGGTTATTTGGTATGCTTACTGTTTGGTTATTCATGTAAAACACTAAAGAAACTAAATTCATGGACACATAACATTGTACTGGTACTGTACGTTGGTCTTGCTTTACTTGGACTAGCATGGCTTTGGAACCTTGGTGTAGTTGAATTGTTTTCTACATTGTTTTACCGTGTTTTTGAACGATCTTCTACAAGGTAGGTAAGATAACTTTATATCAATGACGCTTTTAGGACTTGCTTGTTATTATTCTGGGCGATCAATGTGTTTGCATCTGTTGGTTTTTGTGTACGAACTGCATATTTTGTGAATCACATAACTACGACGCATCGGAAGTTCTTTCATGTCACGGTGTCGGCCGTAGCCATCACAGGTTTCATGTACGATGTAGCTTTTGCTGTGATTTGTGGTCATGTCATGATCTGTATCTTTATAATTTTGGAGGTATGGTTTTGTCAAGACCTAGAGCTCAATGTTGTATAAAATTTCATTTTTATTAGTTATTATATTATTTTAGATCCTCCGAGTTCACAGAGTTCAACCGTGGTATCACACTTTGGATGCCAACATGTTGCCGTTCTTGGACGGGCAGGACAACAAGAATCTGGTCTTGACTCCTATTCATTTGATAGCTGGAGTCTTCATTCCTAGCATGTTGCAGTATCTTCTCTGTGGCTCAGTAACTACAGTAAGGGCATCATATTACAGTGGTGTGATTACAGTAGGCGTTGGGGACGCATGTGCAGCTGTCGTTGGCAGTAACGTCGGTAGAAACAGATGGGGAGTGAAGTGTCGCAAGTCTATTGAAGGATCAGTGGCTATGTTAGTGGGGCAGGTAGTTATCCACGCAGCTTTGTTTGGTGTACATGATCTGGGAGTTGGAATCGTGGTCATCTACAGCTTGAGTACGTTATTAGAAGCGGCGTTAGAACGAGGGGACAATATAATGTTACCTATCTTTGCCTTCTTTCTTTTGAAACTGCGAGAATGGTTCTTGTACCCATAATTTAGTCTGCCACCCTCAATATAATGTTAGGTTGTGTGTAGGACGGCTTTCTTTGTGGTCTGAAGCCTGGATTATGATGCCTTCTCAACATTCCAAAAGCCTTTTTTCCGTTTATTTCATAAAACAGGTATTTCTCTTCTGGAACCGGTTCTGTACCTTTGCTTCGATTGCTTGTATCAGGTTTCTCAGCACCAATCACACGGTCCTTATCAGGTAGTTGTAGTGTCTTATTTATGGCTAATGCAATAAAATTAATTTATTATATTTAAATATTCATTTTTTAATGAAATAAATATTGAAGAAATTTTACTGCATTCATGTTTGTGGTAGCCTTGTATGGTATGTACGTGCAGCTACACTTCTTGTGGACCAGAAGTAGAAGCTACACGACGAGTTATCGGAACAACGTACATTATTTTAGACCACTGACAGTGGTGGCTTGTCCCATGCTTAAAAAGTATGATTTTTAATTCTATAAGAAGCAAAATTGATATAAAAGTGTCGGTATTGGTGGTAGCAGGTAAAGAATGTTAACCCAAGTTTATCAGTTTTAGTGGACAGCATTTTCCGCGAGCTTCTGATTGTGGTGATGATGGGTCTAACCTTACTATCATTACAGAGTATGTACTATTTATTAACCTTTTATTAAAACTTATAGTAGAAGGTCCAAGTGGAGGTTATTTTAGTTTTTCACCAAATCTTGCAGAAAAACTGTTTATTTACTAAATAAAAACTCAGAAAAATAGAGTGCCAATTTTTCGCTCAAGCAAACGGTTTGAAAATTTAATTGCTGAGCCTTTGGCAACTTTTCGCTTCGGTTCACCTTGACTTTTTAAATTAAAATTTTGAAATTTTGTTAAGCAGTATTTTGCCAACTTCTGTGTGAGGAGACTTTTGATTTGCAAAGTTCAAAAAAAAAGCTGTTGGGTACGTCAGTTCTTTTAACTTTTAGTACAGTGGAACTCCTGTATAACGACTCTTCTATAACGAAATTTCCGTATAACGAACAAATTTTGAATCCCTAAACGATTCGGATACAGGAGTTCCACTGTGTTTACATTTTTGAATTTTGCAGTTTATTTAACTTTGTCATTTAGATGCGGTATTATGCTTGATACAACGTTATTTGACTGTGCCTTATCATGTATGTGGACAGTATCTGGATACTGTGTCAAGATGACAGCCAAGCAAGATGTTGAACCATGGAAAATGAGTAAGATTTATTCTTTTGTTTACTATCATATGTGTCATATTATAATTTTAGGTAAAGTACGGTACTTCCGGTTGATATTGTCGACCGATGATGTCAAACAGCTGTCAGAAGTAAGTTTCGGAAAACTATAGATGTCAATTTTCAGATATACGTGTTGTATTCATCAGCCAGGCTAAGTGCTCAACATTTGCCATTGTTTCGAACACCGTCCTTTACATTGAAGCGAGGAAAGATGACAACGTACGAAGTTACAGGGATTACAGCGGTCGGTTTTTTGGATTTTTAAGTTTTAAAATTGATTAAAACTGACGATTTTAATTGGAATGCAGTTTTTGCAAATTGTAATTGTACTTTTAAAGCTTAAGTAGTGATTGAACTTTTAATGTTTCACTTTGCATATTAATATTGCTTTTGTAATGCAATCAACGTAATGTACAGGAAGACGACTCCGACCAACAATGGAAGAGCAATCTCTGTGTCTGGAAGAAGTACAACCAGCTGGTTACTTCACGGCACTGTAACGGTCATCGACTATACTCGAGGTAAGTTTACCACAAAGACAATCCTTTTACAACATAAACATACTCGAATATGTAAACAACACGACATTAACATGTGTATCATAACAAGTTTCTTTCTGGTAATGTAACATTTCAGTCAGAATGTCAGTGATGACGTATACAAACGGAACGAGTGCACACTTTCTGTTGCTATTAAAGGTACTTTGACTTGTATTACACTTTGAACGTATTGTCATTGCAATTTAAAGGTTTTACACTATTGAGTGCAATATGTAAGGTAATACGTTGCAGCCGTCACTGACTGTAAGACCAAGTCTATGTCGTCACTAATTGTCGGTTATACGACGTACTCGAGTGTTGGACAAAGGTAAAACAGTTTAACGACAGTACAGTATATAATTCCATGTTTAAACAGTTAATTAATCATAAAGGGCATACACAACATGTTTTTTCTTTACTACTTTCAACACTTTTTCATACGTTGATTTAGGAACGGAACACAAAGTAAATGTGACATAACCGCGAGGAATGTATACCAACGAAGAAATACAGTATCTACACGTAAAGGATGGCAAATACTCAGTAAGGTTACTGTAACTTTATAATTAAAAATAGAAGTCTAGTAGACTTACGTTACAGACATTTGCAAAATTTGACATTACTTTGTGTACTTTTTTGGAGATTAACTAAAGAACACTACTTCTTAAGCAAAGTTTACTTTGTAATCTTTCTTAACACGACAATTACAAAGTAGACTGTTTAGAAATACCAATCTCAATGTTGTATTAGTTTATTGTACTACGGTTAACACACAGCGTTAATTACATATTATGGTATATTAGCTAGCGGAAATAAGTTAAACGAAAGCAAAGAGTGGAGACCTGAAGATTCAGAAGGCAGTATTCAACAACATACACGTTCACGGAGTTCTTCATCTGAACATCGCTGACGACAGCAGGCTTGCGTTATCGTGTTACCGAACCGCGACTGTTTGGTGCAGTGCTCGCACAGCTTGGCGATGTGCTCCATAAGCACGGCTCCGCAGCGTCGCACTAACGGCGACGATCGCCGTTGTCGCTTGCGATGGGGGGTTTGCGACGCGGAGTGAAGTAGGAGCGATGACAGAAGTATGACGAGGAGGAAGAGGCTCACGCCTCGAGGGCATAACGGGGAAAACGTTAATCGCGTAATGGCTGAAACTGTCTCTATTATGACTTACAATAACATGCAGAACGTTATTGGTAGTACGAAAGCGTCAAAAGATTTGGTCAGAATAATAAGTGGGGCCGATTTGGAAACATACTGTAACGTTTCAAAGCTCTAGGTATAAAAAATTAAATATAGGACCTAGTATAATGGGTAGGGAGGACATAACTAACATAATAGTTGTACTACGGTAGTACAGTCGAAAGCAAGTATGGCTATATCTTAAGGGAACCCATTAATATACTTTACCTACAATAATTTTTTTTATAAGTTTATGCAAAAATGGAATACATACGTAAAAAAACAAAAAACTATAGAATAACTAAACATACGACAGTATTTAAGGCCGACAGTAACCTCTGCTCTCAGCAACGCCATAAACAAAAATATTTACATTTATGTAACTTTAAAACAATTAAGACCTTGTTTACAACGTTTCAAAAAGTTTGGCATTACTAATTGAAACACAGTATTTTGAGGGAAACAGCTGTCACATGGTATACAGTAAAGGTGCTAAAGGACAGGTATACACGTGACAGAGCTGCTACCCCCTCTGTGGTACCATCCGAACGGTCAACGCTACAGAAAGGAAGTAATGGTAGCTATGTCCTCATATTCTAGGGTTTGGGATTAGCTCAGTAATCTTGCACTTTAGCTAAACGGTATCAGCCTGGCTGGATGGCACTGTAGTTTGCCCTCAGGCGGCGTTGACAAACATTTTGTTACAGAGTAAACAAGTATTAATTTCCGAGATTAGCGGAAGACATGTTAAACTGCTATATTAATGGCCTTAAATGCTTCAAACATTTAGGGCGGACTCTTGTTTTTATGGCCACACGTTATTAGGTAACACGTACTAGTTAATGTTAATTAATAATTAGTGTAATACTAATTATCCTCCTTGATTAGGAAGCTTCTCTCGATTAGTATTGTTTTGTGGTCTATTTTCGTTGTATCAAAGTTCAATTTACAGCATAGTAATGTGTACAGTAGGCATGCATAAGTTACTCTTGTATCTTATGTTAGTGGCTATTCACGTATATTATTCTGAATTTATGTGATAAATATGTGTTTTCATGGTAATGTTTACATCCCAGGTCTTTCTTTACTAACTTGATGTTGTACATGTTCTGTTTACACGCCGTATACGATGACATTTCAGGCGAAATAGGCGGAACCCTGGCATTGTACACCAGCTTTACGCTGATGGCGGCTGTGGAAATCGTCTTCTTTTTTGTGTCGCAAGATATCCGGAAGGACGTGGACCGTTATGATCTCCTCCTCACGTTACGTAAGAACCCACGAGTCATGGCCCCTCGATGTTTGAAAAGGTTTCTGTTTTGGAAACGTTAATGTAATAAATAATTAATTCGACTCAACATAATATTATCCAAGGATCCGTTTAAGTCTTGTACGTAAACAATACACAACCTTTTACAAACATACTATGCTTACCTCAACATACACAAAAGTACTACTACACAAACAAATCATTCTACTATCATCCTTAATATCAATCACTTTATGCTTCCCCAGCTTGGTCTCTAACTTTAGCGACAAGTTCTCGCATCCATCTCGCCGATCAGTTTTATCCCGGAGGGCAGGCGAACAGGTTCGACCGGTCTTATCAGAAAACGGATGATAAGAAGGGGCGTGCCGCCAACAGTGGGGATACTGGGTGAGAATCTGGTGTGCAGTTCACGAATGCCCTTCAAGGTGAACGCATCACAAAGTTTTGATCGTTCGGGATGGGATCTCGGTTTCCAAGGTTTATATACGGATTTATTACGAAAACTGAGAAAGCAACTCCAGCTGGAGTAGCGTCGAATCGGCGTCGCAAAGTTTTCGTCAGACGCCGTGGGGCATTTCCGAGAAAAGAAATTCGATCACGGCAAACCATCGGAATGGCGGTGTAAGGGTATCCCGGGGGTGTCGTAACCTCATTGTTCCGCCCTCAGGTTCTCCCTTTCGTCTCAAGCAAACTTTTATTTGCGTTGGGGTCAATAACGCGGCACACAGGCGTCTGGAGACGAGGTACCCCTAAGTGGGCCGATCTCGGAGAAGACATCCCGTGATAGCGCGACGCCAACATTAATTACCGTTTATTATTACTCTTCGCTTCCTGATAAACCTTTTAACGGATCCCGAAAAACCGGCTGGGTAACGTCCACTTATCACTTAGAAATTAGCAAACAATGTCATTTCCGTTCGTTGTTACTTAATGGATTTGTGAGTTTCCGTAGAGGGAGGGGGTATCTTTCTTCAGGCGGTCGGCATCCAAACTTCGCTACACACTTAAGCGAGATCCACTCAAGTTTTTGGTCGGGGTAATTCTGGCGTTTCTTATTTTTGCAATGTTCCCTGTTTTACAAGGTAATGCGCAACTCATTATCGTATTTTAATTTTGCTCGTTTTCAATGCCGAATCTTCACTTTCCGCCTTTCCATGTTTCATTTCAGCCGACCTTGCCATCAGGCAATGAAGGCGATCGTCCTCCTCTTTTTGGTCAGTTCGGCCACCGGCTGCATCAGTTCGGCCCCTCGACAGTTCTCTGCGGTACCCAACTACGGTGGTATAGCCACAGCACAACGACAGTTTGCTGCTCCATTTGCACAGCAACAAACTGCTTTTGCGCAGCAAGGAGCAGCCTTCCAACAACAGTTTGCTGGAGCTGCTGGTGGTGGTGGGGTAGCTGCACCTCGAGCTGCTGGTGCTGAGAACGTTGCCCCACCTCAGCCAATCGCGAGCTCCCAGCTAGCTCAACAGAATGAAGGCCCAGTATTGGGAGAGAGAGTTTCTCTTACTGAATTTAGCTCCAATGGCTACAACAACGCTGGTGGAGGACCGGTTAACAAAGATGACGCTCTCGGCTGTGATTTCGAAGGAAGACCATGTTGTTGGGCAAACGCCCCAACTCCTGATGATCAAATCGACTGGCAACACGCTGCTGGCACTCCAGATGTTGTAGCCAGACACAACATGACGATGCAAGGCCGATACTTGCTGGCGCACGCTGTGTCCGCTGCTCCATCTGACGAGGCTCAGTTCGTATCTTGTGCCATTGCTTGTGCCAGTTCCCCCATCAAGGTCAGATCTACCCACTACCAATCACACGATGTGCTTCTGCAAGTCTGTCAGCGTGAGAGTTTCCCCAACTCTGTAGACTACAATCCTTTGTTGAACTGCCAAGAATTCCCTTCGGACGGTCGTCTCCAACGTTCCGAGCTGACTCTGCCAAAGGCTTCTCTTGTTGATGTAAGTTTGAATATTGAGTGATAAGGAAGTCAGTGTATGTTCTGGTTAACGTTATTATTATTCGACTTCAGATTGTGATTGTGGCCAGCAACTTGGTCGATCGTGACGGATCTTTGGCCATCTTGGATGACATTGAAATTGACTACGAAAGTGACCCAACTGAATGTCCAGCTCCACCCCCACCACCAGCTTCTGAGTCTGTAGCCTCATCTCAGAGCCGATCGTCATCGTCTTCATCGTCGTCACGGTCGTCTTCGGACAGAAGAAACTCCCAAGGCTTTGTCAACGTTGATGGGGATTCAGATGCCGAACTATCATCTGTTGGAGCTGCTTCAGCATCTGCTGGCTCTGCCGCTACCCGTGGAGGATCTGTTTCTACCGTCGACACAGCTACTGGAGAGGAAATCAGCATTAACTGTAAGTAAAATTTAATGCTGTAACACATTTAGTACCGTAAAAATTAGAAAAAATTAGTAATATTTGTACTGTATGTGTAATACTGTAAATTACTGATGTTGTAGTAGATTGTTAATGATAATAATGTTATTTTAGCCGTCCGAACAAGCATCTCCCATGGAAATGCTGGAGCAGCGAAGGCTTTGGGAGCTCCACTCCAAACAGACGGTCCAGTCATCTTCGACGGTGAAGCATGTAAGAAGACCAAGTGTAACTTCGAAGACGGAACAACATGTTCGTATGTTGACAGTACTCCAGTCGAAAGTCTGAACGGACTAAGCACCAAGTTCCAAGTGGTTAAGGGGCAGTTCATGAACAGAGTCACCGGAATCAAGGACAATCCAGGTAAGTCACGATGAATGGTATCATACTAACCGATTTGTTGATTATGTTCATTTTTATGGCGTACTGTGACATTTAATGTCTCTGATTTCAGAAGGAGACTACTACGCCGCCAGCTTCTTGTATCCAAAAGAAAAGGCTGTCCTGGCCGCTGATGTTGGAGCTATCGATGAGAGTAGCCGCATCAAGTTCAAGTACTACGAAGGAACTCACGGAGTACAACTCAAGGGATGTTGTGACTCTATCGACAAGTGTCCTTTCAATACTGACAAGTTTGTGACAGTCGGAGACCGTGAATGGAAGTCTGGAGACTTTGTCTGTCCAAGAAGCACCAGACAGGTAAGGATTGCTCCAACTCCTTTTTTGACGATATTTAGAATGAGGGCTAATGTCTTATTTCAAATAAGTAGCCATAACGTGACCTTTGATACTTTAGGTGTTATTCTTCTGCGAGAACACTCGAACCAACCAAGGAGCCTGTGCCTTGGACGATGTTCAAGTAGTCGATGCCAATGACAAGAACGTGGAAACGGCAAAGACTTTGTGTTAGGCGACAACAGCCGGATGTTGTGTTGTACTATGGGTTTGTGAACTCTTGTAATATTATTTATTGCCATTTCGTGCCCTAATAATGATTTCTAGCCTCAAAATTGTTTGCAATCAGTTGATGCCATATTTATATTATTCTTGTGAATAAATGTTCGTACATATTGATAGTTGTTGTTGTGGGTGTTTGGTTCAACGACCTTACTATCACTTTTTCAAATTTAAAAAACTTTTATTTTGAAATTTAGGGTTTTTTGTATTTTAAATTTTGCCTTATTTCTGTTAAAAACAATTTTTAAATGTTCGAAATCTAGTAGACAAACACCATATAATATATGCTAGCGTATAATTAGGTCGTACCGAAAGTGAATTTTTTGTTTTAAAATCGCAAAAAGGGAAAATAAACTGGCTTTGATTCCGGATTCGGAAATCCCGCGTCTGAAGGCGACATAGTAAAGTAATCTTTTCTCAATGTAGCATAAAATCACAATGAAAAACAAGCATTATGTTGCTGTTTTTGTTTTTACTTTACTGCTTTGTTATTTTACAGTCAACAATAGACTTGACGGAACAAAATTATATTTATTAACAGTAATCTTTTACGTTACGGTATATGGTAAAGTAACCTTTAAAGGCTGTTTTATTTTTAAAATCCTTTTAAATATAAAGAACACAAAGGCATTTCATTTCAAAACAAAATATGTATCCGTTTCTACAGTTGATTAAGTGACTAGAAGGCAAGGTTTACAACATATTCATTGAAATACATTAACATGGAGAATGCAACCTGAGAAGATAGTAAGGCACTTTAACTTTGATCGTCGACATGCCCTTCTGAAGGCACAAGGACGTCACAGTCGTTGAGAGTCTCTCTCAGGTCAGCATGAGAGTCCTTCTTATCACTCCGATGTGACTGACTGCCACTGTGATCATGAGAACTGTCGTTCTCCGAGTTGGACGATACCTCTTCTTCCTCCTCCTCGTAGCAGAAGGTTCCTGATTTAGACATCATCTGGCTCCATCCTCGCACTGCAATTACAGTAATACATTAGAGATGAAATTGCATTGTTAATATACAACATTGCTCTTTAGTTATCAGTGCTATCAGAACCAAGAACTTATTATAAAGTTACCTTTCTGTCCGATATTGTCCTTTGCTTCGTCAGGCATGGTAGAATAGTGATCCACCGTCCTCTCATGGCTCATCAAGTTCATCGGGGCACGGAAAAAGTAAAAAGTGGGATAGTGAACAAGATTGTAACAACTCGACGCGTAGATGTCTGCGTATCTCTCGACTTGGGTGGCAAAGAATGTTGTTCTAGATCCACTTCTGAACAACGACCCTATGATTCCATACTCCTGGTCCATTTCGTACGTTACGTTCTGAAAAGTGTCATTAATCATATTTTAAAGAAGTTGTAATAAAAAAGTAGACACCACCGCTAAAACCCCGTACTTACCCTGATATCACCGATGATGTCTGTGATTTCGGGCTTCTGCTTCGTCTTACTGTCCAAATCCTTATACAAATTGGCCAAAGCCACTTCCAGATCTCCCAATCGCTCGAACAAAGTCCTTTTGCCAGTCCAGACGGTCAGTTCGTGCTGAAGCTCCGGCACCACCAAAAAAGTCTTCCATCCTCGAGTCTTCTTCGATCTCAACACATCACCGAAGATGTGATCTCCAATATACAGTACGTCTTTGCCTCTGCACTTCACCAATCTTCTGAAAGCATCGCACGACCCTGAAAGAAGATTACAATTGTAATATGATCCTCTTAATAAACACTCCCAACACGTAACATTACGTACGTAAGACTGAGGAATGTAAAACATTGTGTAAAAGGTATAAATGGTACGTCACGTACCTCCAGAATATACAACACCTTTCCTCAACGGTCCAGTATGAATTCCGATATTAAGCGCTCCAGTCCTCGTGTTGACTTCTCTGAATACTGTACCTTCTGCAAACCATAAAGGCTTCCTGGCATCGACTACTGTAATGTCAAAGTACGAAGTCCAGTCATCACCCAAAATATAACTCATAATTCCCTGAAATGGCAATATAATTACAGACTTTAAGTATTGCTTTACTAACTTGGTACCTAAAAACCTTGCAAAATGTGATGAAAATAGGTATAACAACCTACATTAGTGTAAGAATACTCGCTGTTAGTTAATAAGAATGTCTTGCGATCAGCTGCCCGCAACTGTGTCAGTAATTCTACAGCTCGACTGTCTTTGACAACATATTTGTCCAGATTATTGAGGATGTTCTTCTTCATATCGCTCTAAAAATACATGTTTACTGCGAATGTCTCTTAATTTTGTCATCCTACGTTTTAAGCTTGCCCAGAAATAGTATTCAAAACTATAAAAATAGTAAAGATGGTATTGACGTCATAATTACAAAAATAAACAGTAATATATCAAATATAAACAAAATTTTAAAAAATCGGAAATGAACACTTACAGACGAATGAACCCAATCGACCGCTCCTCTGATGTCTTGGAAGATGGACTTGTAGGACATGACAACTTCGCCACTCTTGACTCCAGTTCTGTCTGACGTCTTCTGATAGTCGGTTGAGTTGTCAAAGTAGTCCACCAAACAGGCCAACAAGTAAGTCTCTGGCAAGTTGAACAAAGTGTTCAGTACGAATACTCGTTTGTCTGATAAGTGTAAGAACTTGTTGGGATAACATTCTTCGATCTCATTTCTGTAACAGTACGAACGTTAACAAGAGTTTAGGTTTAGACGTTTCATGAAGTTTATTATCAGTGTGTTGCTAATAATGACAAATATAATGTATAAAACAAAGCTGTTTAACAGTTGAACTTCTCTTATCATAAAAACCGAAAAATCTATACCTATAAACAATACCTAAAGTAACGTGTAAACAACTTTCAACTACTTGTTTACATGGTTTCACAACAAAAGTACACAAACACCAATCTGAAACAAAATATACGTACGGTTTCAAAAAGTTGAATCCATGAACGGCTACAAGAATGTTGCCGAATCCATCGACCTTCAGGAGGTTACCGTAGTGATAGTCGAACCAAAGGCCTCTGACTGGAAAGATAGGGTTGTATTTGAACTTCTTGAACTGTTCTGGATATCCTATGTCAATGAGTCGTTGAACTACGAGACCAAAGGTCATCTCTTCCAAAGCCGGCGATTTGTACTCTGAAACAAAGGTTCGTCTATACTAAAACATTGTAAGTCTTCTTAACGTTTCAAACGTTCATTTCTTTCGCTTTATAATATAAAATAATAAAACTAACATATAATTACCTGCCAAAGTGTAATCCATGTCAAATCCAAAGAACTTGATCTTGTCCAGCCTTAGGTTTCTGTTCACAAAGACCCTGAAACGTAAAGTTTAACTAATCGTAATAAAACTGAATATTTTGAATAATATCATTCAAAAGTTTAATTTAGAATTTACCGTTTAGAAGGCTCCCTTTTGTATAAGGTTTGGTAGTCGAAGGATTCCGTCGGAAGCATGATTCTGCAAAAGGTGTATAACTTGAAGCAATTATTGTAGTTAGCTTTTGTACGCGAAATGAATTGGCCACGAAAGGGTTAAAAGGGGCAGCTTTGGAGTCATTCCCCGCCTGGCCTTCCCTTCTGGCCTCTCCCTTGGCCTCCTGCTCACTCAAAAAAGTCCCGAGGCGCCGTTTCGCGAATTTTCGCCGTAGATCTTAGCATCTGCACCTTATTCAAGCCAGGATCACACATCACGCGCGAGCAGTGGTCGTATTATAAAGGCTTATAACGTCTGTGATATTCAAAAATGGCAGGTTCCGCCCCGAATTAGTTCCTTATCAATCACTCCAGAGGCCAAAAAACTTTTGAGTTTCTCGTTTCTGCAAAGACGCCCAACTCTCCTTGTCTACGGCGGTGATAAGAACATAAAGGCTGTGATAATACCGGAATTTCGAATGCTAAACCTGGGTTAATCCGTGAAAGTTGGAGAGTTTCCTGAGTTCTGGCATTGCTAACACGTAACTCAAGCGTGATAATTGAGCATACACCGTAAACTATTACTGTGGTAAGCTCTGTTATTCATAATTTTGGCGAAAAAACAGAATTTGATACAAAAAGTTCAAAAATTCAATTACACTATACCTGCCTACCGTACGAAAAACGACTGAATTCACTTAATAATTGATCAAAAAAGTTCAAAACAATGACAATTCATAGCTAAGTTTATAAAGCTATTGTTACAAAAACCCCAAAAATATTCTTTAAAGTTGGAAACATAGCAAAGGTAGTAATAGACATTAAAAAACCCCATCAAATTCTTCTATCACATGGGGAAATTCAAAGATACGACGTATCATAATCGATCCTACAGTCATCAATCGCACGCCAACATGATGAATTGAGAACGCGCGGAAAACGGCAAAAAACATTCGACCGACCACTTGAACACGACCAAATGGACAAACCCCTCACCATCTTATACATCACAATCGGCTTCAACGAATTTTCGGTTTTACAACACAAACAAAACCCTTTTATTATAACAAAAAACAACTAAAACAACCTAATATCGGCGGACTTTCTCTTCGATCGGCTTCATGTATTCGCCGACCAGTCGTTCTCCAAACATGGATTTCGACTTTTTAGGCACGTATTCCTGTTCTTCTGTAGCCAAATCCCTGCCAGCTGACAGATTAGCCAACAACTCCTGTTCCAATATATACTTTTCGGGCATAGAGGCAGTGTTGTCTTCAATATCCTGCTGTTTCCTAGCGGCTTCGTTCAGATCTAGTCCAACCCATTCAGCTTCCTCTAAAGGTATCTTGTAGGCACTGTACTTCTGTTTAATATACTCGTGTTTCTCTTCGTCTTCTGGATAATACTCTTCCTTGGCCAAAGCGATTAATATGTGTCGTTTCAATTTCATTCCCAATTTAGAATCAATATCGATCTCTGGTGTTGTTAGCAGATACAAGTCAAGACCGTAGGCTTTGTTGATCAAGTCAAAACTCCTACTAGTCACGTTTATCTTCATGTACTTGTCCAAGACCTCAGAATACAAACACTTGGGTGTCACATTCGGAAAGTACCAATGAGGAATCCAATGGCGTGGTAAAATCTTCTTTCTGACAAAAGGTCTAGATTCGATATATCCTTTTACCACACCCTCCCCACCCCATAGACCCTTGTCTTGTTCTACTGTCCTTATCGGTCTGATCGGATAATCCTGAAAAAAGTCAAGTCATCCGTAAAAAGACAGTTCATATTTGATGTCTACCAGTTAACTAAAGAATAGAATGTGACAGTTATGTTTGGTGTTCGTATTAACAGTTAACTCACCTGTAGTTCGACCTCTACTTTCCTGTGCGAATCCCACATATATCTGCTTTGTGGGGGTTCATAGTGAACTGGAGTCTGGTCAGCCAAGATGTTGGCCCAGTATCTCTTCTGATAATGAAGCGGTAGACGATGCACTACTGATTTAGGATCCTTCCATATCTCCTGATTCCTCTTTATCCTTTCTGCTTTGTCCCATGTAATTACCGGTCGAGGTTTTAATTTTGTCAAAACTTGCAAATTCTTAGCCAACGACGTCATCTGCTACAAGAAATTACAATTCATACAAAGTAAAAGCTAAAATCATTATTAAAAACCTTAAAAACGTTCAGAGGTATCCAATGATATTAAACAACAATTCACAAAACCACAATGTTATACTATATATGTTTATCGCCGTAAATTCCTACAAGATATTAGTAACCCATTTACTTGGGGGCCAACATGTCTTCTGGCCGCACCCATTTGTCGAAGTCTTCGGGTGAAAGAATGCCTAGCTTCACAGCTTCTTCCTTAAGTGTAGTTCCATTCTTGTGAGCCGTCTTGGCTATCTTGGCAGCATTGTCATATCCAATGTGAGGGTTCAAAGCAGTGACCAACATAAGAGACTCGTTCAACAAATTGTGGATATGTTCCTTGTTAGCTTCAATGCCAACAACACAGTTGTCGGTGAAAGAAACTGAACCATCAGCAATGAGTCTAATAGATTGTAGAACGTTCTTGACCATCAAAGGCTTAAAGACGTTCAGCTCGAAGTGGCCGTTCGAGCCACCAACAGTTACAGCAACCTGAAATATCAAACAATGAGTTAAAAAAATACATTAAAAACAACAAATACAATTCAAACCTCACCTGATTTCCGAATACCTGAGCAGCAATCATAGTAAGAGCTTCACATTGAGTTGGGTTAACTTTGCCAGGCATAATCGAACTTCCAGGTTCGTTCTCAGGCAAAGAAAGCTCTCCAAGCCCACAACGAGGTCCCGAGCCCAAGAATCTGATGTCATTTGCAATCTTCATCAAAGAACAAGCAACAACGTTCAAAGCACCGTGAACTTCGACCAGAGAATCATGAGCAGCCAAAGCCTCAAACTTGTTTGGAGCGGTCACAAATGGCAGTCCAGTCAAGTCTTTCAAGGTAGATGCTACTTTCTCTGCAAATCCGATTCTGGTGTTCAAACCAGTTCCGACAGCGGTACCTCCAGCAGCCAACTCGTACAGACGAGGTAGAGTAGACTTGACTCTTTCAATTCCGTTTTTAATCTAAAACTACGTAATACAAACAACAATATATACCTACTTGTTGTACATATGCACTGAATTCTTGACCCAAAGTAAGTGGTGTCGCATCCTGAGTGTGAGTACGTCCAATCTTGATAATAGACTCGAATTCCTTGGCTTTAGCATCCAAAGCATTTTGTAACTTCTCTAAAGCAGGAAACAATCTCCTGTTAATCTCCAAAGCTACAGCAACATGCATCGCTGTAGGATAAGTGTCATTTGAAGATTGAGACTTGTTGACATGATCGTTTGGATGAACAGGAGTTTTAGATCCCAATTCTCCTCCTAAATAACATAAGATCAACAATTTTATAACTAAAAAGTTTGTTTATATATAACAAAAAAATCAAACTTTGTAAAAACATTAAAACATACCCATAATTTCAATAGCTCTGTTCGAAATAACCTCGTTTACGTTCATGTTCGACTGAGTACCTGATCCGGTTTGCCAAATAACCAAAGGAAAATGATCGTCCAACTTGCCAGAGATCACATCATCTAAAACAATAAAATTACCAAAAAGCCAATTTAAAACCAAACTTTATTAAAAGCTGACAAAAATACAAAACTAACCAGCAGCTTGGGTAATAGCCTCTGAGATCTTGTTGTCCAGACCAAATTCCTTGTTAACAATAGCAGCAGATTTCTTCAAATACCCAAAAGCATGGATAACAGGCAATGGCATTCGTTCTTCTGGTCCGCCAATCTTGAAGTTCATCATAGAACTAAAAGGAGATACACTAAAATGTAAAAACATACCGAGCAGTTTGAGCACCATAGTATTTCTCAGAAGGCACCTTCAGTTCTCCAAAAGTATCTCTCTCTAATCTGAAGTTTCCGGACGCCATGGTACGACGAAACAAAACGGCGGTTTGGACAGAACGACGAAGCATTTTCCCTTTTTTCGCAAATATGAATTAAAATTACGAACATTTTTTTATAGATAAACACAATGCCAAGCGCAAATCTTTCGTTTCGGGACTAAAATAAATAAGCTCTAAAATATTTTTTGATTCGACAAAATTTTGTCGGTTGGAGCAGATGGAAGAAGGCGTCAGGAGTACTGTGATCCGAAACTTTTGTGAATACAATAATATTCTGGAATTGGCACATTTTCAATATGAAATAGTCAATAACGCTACATTTTACTCTCCAGATGCTAAAAACGTCTTATTCTCTGCTCCGACCGGCAGTGGCAAAAGTTTGGTGGCTGAGATCATTGCGTGTGTCAACGTTCTGCTTACCCGGAAAAGATGCATATTTATTCAACCTTACATTGCATCCGCTAGCGAGTTATTCTTTGCATTACAGGTACATTTACTTTCAAATGAAATATTTAGGTAACAAAAAACAATTTGTTGTTTTTAGCTCCGTCAAACAAGTTTTATAAAGTAAATGTGAATATTTAAATATTATAAATCATCCGAAAAAAAAGAAGTTTAGAGACCATGGAGATCACTCGGATTGATAGTCAAGGCTCATTTTGGATCTTCATCGTTGTCTTTGAACGAAGAGTTCAGTGCTGTGGTGTGTACTATAGAAAAAGCGTCATCTTTAATTAACAGGATCATAAAAGAGGGCTTGATAGATGAATTTTGTAAGTCAATGAATGATGACATAACTAGTTTAGGTACAATTGTAATAGACGAAGCTCACATGGTATTCGACGGTGACAGAGGATCTATTCTTGAAGATATCTTGATAAAACTGAAGGCTTTGCGGGTCAGAAACATGTAGGGTTGGTTTTACGTTTTTATTGTAAATGTTAACTTTTGTTATGATGATTTCTGTATCATTATTTAGAAGCACGGTACAGGTAATTGCAATGAGTGCTACGATAGAAGATTTTACTTTGTTTACCACTTTGATGGACACAGAGTTCATGGATTACAGTAACAGTAACGCGCGAGATTTGCAGCAATTTTTCGTAGCAGGAAAAGAGTTCTATGTAGCTAAAGATGGTGGGATAGAGAGGTCTGACAGACAAGCCATGTTCAACTTTAAATCCGACGACTTGGGAATTTTAAGGTAATTTTTTAAATTAGTTTGAAAAAATATTCAGAGCCTTATAACCACTTAGTTTTGATAATTTAGAATAATGCGGGATATATATTACATAATCTTTAGTTTGGTCATGGAAGTTGTCATCGAATGGAAGTCGGTACTTATATTTTGCCAGACTAAAGCTGTGGTCGAGAAAACAGCCAAGTTGTTGGCCATGTGTATATATCAATGTGCGGGGAAAGGAAAAGAACCTTTTAACGTCTTGAAAGAACATGTTGATGAATGTATTCAACTGAGCGGGTTTGGTTTCATGGATGACTGTATCAAGTGTGGAGTGGCATTCCATCATTCAGGTAACTGACATTAGTAATTTATTACAGTTTTTAAAATAAAATAAAATTTATTTTTGTTTTGAATTTTTATAGGAGTACCTAACGATGCGCGGAAGAAGATAGAAAAACTTTTCAAAGACAGAAAGCTGGCCGTGATCGTGTGTACATCTACCTTGAGCACAGGAGTCAACCTCCCAGCTTCTAGGGTGGTTATAAATCTGGTGGGCTCCTTTTACAAAACCCTCAACTACGTGACCTACTATCAGATGATCGGCCGAACCGGGAGACGCGGCTTCGGGAGGGGTGAGTTTTAAATTAATTGCCACTTTTACTATAACAAGTCGGTTTTGTTTGAATTAATTAGTGAAATTCGTTTGTTTCTTTTGATTACCCATTAGGGACTAGCGACTTCTCGTTGGACATTCCACTTGAGAATTGCACATCCGAGCACTTAATGACATTAAAGGTCGAGCCGCGACTTTCCCGCGCCCGAAATTCGATGACGCAAGAGGTTGGCGCCTCAGGCTAAGACCTACATGAACTCGACGATGTTCGTGTTCCGGCAGGGTTGATTGGCTCACGTTTACGACTTTGGATGTGTTAAATGCCGGAAATTGTTTTTGCGACGACCTCGGCGCGCTGATTGAGCCAATTACTCGCTCTACATCTTTAATATTACACTTGGTTAAGGACCGTACGGGAAATTAGGCACCGTGTACGGTTGGAGAGATAATGGAATGTTGGCCAAGCTCAATTCCTCTTTGGTCTTGATCTGTCTGGGATCGAAGTGGAGGGTCTTCTTGTCCTGGTCTCCTTCGTCTTCCTCTTCTGATCCGTCAGCGTCCCACTGTCCTCGGGTTTCGATATTCTTCTTGTGCATGCCTGGAAAAGAACGTTTTGCAAGGATTTCAAAATACGTTGCTTTATGATCGAACGTCGTCTGCAATGATTTTTTACTCAAAAAACAACTAGCTCTTCAAAAACACAAAAAATGACAGAACTTATTGTACGTAAGTTTGCTTACCAAATCAAGATAAAACGCGTAGGCTTACCTAATAACCATGGAGCGGCTGACTTGTCTGGGTCTTCTGATGTGCTTTTGGCTATTGTTTCTGGTAACGGCAGTTGATGTCGTACCATTGCACCGTATAGTCCGTATTCAGCCATTATAGTACTCTTGCCCCAGGTTTTCTCTGTTTTCCTCCATTTGGCGCGCCTATTTTGGAACCATACCTATAATAATAAAATTACTTAATGTTACAGTACCTAAACTAAAAGAAAAAGTTAAATGTACATTTTGTTGCAGTCTATGTCATGTAAATTTTAAAATGAAATATGTTTTTCAAAATTGTGTAGGTATAGGAGACTTACTTGTATTCGGTCTTCTGGAAGTTCGGTTTTTTGTGACAGTAACTCTCGAGCTGCCATCTCTGGATAATGTGCCACTTTGAATGCCTTCTCTAACTCATCTAGTTGATACTGAGTGAAGATGGTTCTATGTCTTCGCTTCTTCCGTTTCGAGATTCCTCCTGCCGGAGCGGAGGATCCAGAGGACGTACAATCTTCTTTGCTTCTGTTCAGTCTGTCTGAGCTCTCGTCCAGTATCAAGTTATTGAAGTCTGAAGTAATAAAAAGCTTATAATGCATTCTCTACATAAATATAATATGAGCATGCTAAGTATCACTCACTGTCACAGTTGCCGCCTTGGTAGTCGAACTGAATAAAGTTGTTGGTGTTCATGTCTAGAGGGAATACTGTATTGTGTGCGACAGGAGGCATGGTACCAATGAGGTTATGTTGATCCAGGAAACACGATGATGAGTAGTTCTGGCCAGAGGGAACAAACTGGTACGACTGTGGGATCGTGCTGTCGTCGTTGTTGGTACTGTTGCCAGTAGCTCGCATCTGCATGCCAACGGAGATGTTGCCGAGGCCGAGGATGTTGTTGATGTCGAAGGTGGCGCGGTTGCTGTAGCATGCCGACGGGAAGGAGGTAGTGAAATGTAGGGAGTTGGGGATGCTGAGCAGGTCCCGGTTGTTGCATTCGGCTTCACTGCGACTGGGCAACATGGGCTCGGGGGTGGGGAGATTCAATTTGGGGCGCTGATAGAACAAGTGGCTGTTACCAGCTGAATTGGCCTCGAGACAAACCGACTGAAAGATGGAGGCAATTTTCTTCTCACTCCTTCCTCGACTCTCAACTCCTCCCGTTTCTTACGGACTTTGACTACCGTACTCTCGTAATTACTCTCGAGAAGGGGGCTGGTCTTGTCTTATTAGCCAATCAAGATCGTTTCAGGGGAGTCGTATCTTATTGCAAATGATATCAACGAGCTTACAACTACCATTAACAGTCTCCAGAAGAGGAAGTTCAGTCCAAAACCTCATGATTACACCCACTTGATACTTGATGTGGGTAACACTAATTGTTTTAAAAACTTTATTTAGGGTATATCGATTGGCTTGGTAAAGGACAAGAAGGAGGCACAACAACTGCTCAGTTATTGTAGTAACCAGAGTAGTAAATCGTTGGAAGAGATTCTCGTCTTTTTGCGTCACAATCAGCTGATTGGATCTCAAGGTGAAGATGACATTTTGGCCATTACTCAACTTGGCTCTGCTATATCCTCAAGTTTCCTTACACCTTCTGAGGGAATCTTCTTGTTCAAACAGCTTAAGAAGGCTCACGGTAACTTCGACTTACGATGTGATATGCAAATGTTGTACTTGGTAAGTTGTTAATATTGTTTTAAGTCTTTTGTCAGGTTTGGTAGTTTTTTAAACTATTATTACAAGTTAGTGACGTCAAGATAATTTTTTTAAGCAAGCTGTGGACTTTCTCTTATATTATGAATAATCTAACTTTAGGTTACTCCAATAGCATCAAGAATCGGCTTCAAAAACCTGAATTTGGCTAACTTATTTAAATATTACGAAAGTCTCTTGACTGTTGGAGAAAAAGAATCGCTGAAGAAGTTGGGTATCAGCAATGCATCGTGCTTGAAATTTGCATTTGGCCACACTAGGGATGACGTAAGTTGCTTTGTGATTCTCAGTTTACCTGAAATGTAAGAATTTATGGCTTTAGAAAATGTATTCTTTAATTAAACTTGGCAGACTTATAGTATACACATACTTTCATATTTTAGATACACAGCCGATTCTTCTTGACCTTGGTACTTCGCGAATTGATGAACCGAAAGGTAGAACACGAGATCATGAAGGAGTTCAATTTGGATGTGATGCAATTGGAGCTGCTGAAGACTCAAACTATCGTCTACTTGAGTAAGTTGCACCAGCTTTACTGTAACTTCTTTAGGGACCGTAATATCGATGACCGATCAGTTGGGATGGTCGTATTTGAATATGATAATGCGATCGTTTGGACAGAAATTGGAGATATCGATCAATCCAGATGTCACGGACCTCATCAGACTGCTAGGAGTCGATGGAATGAGAGCCTTGGCTTTTGTGGAACGGGGGATCGAAAGTATCAGCCAGCTGGCTACAACAGACCCTATGGTTATTGAAAGTCTGCTGAGACATTCTGTGGCATTCACGTATGTTATTGTATTGCTGGATATTTTCACTTTAAATATATTTATAAAAATAGGTATGCAAGAAGCTTTGCCTTCCTTGTTGATGACTTGTTTTCATTATTTTTAACGAACCTAATCGCTAGCACACAATTACGCAATAATATGGTGGAATTATGTTTACGGTCAGCTAATTAACTCCCGAGCATACTGTGGAAGGTCGGGAGCGTATGACCTGGGAACAATGGGATTGGGGTGATTAACATAGCTTGACCTCAATTACCCGCAACCGTTCAAATTTCTTGTTGAATGTGTCTTAATCGACCGGTTTTCAGGGAGGGCGAGAGGACGGGCGACAACAACGAATGGCTACAAGGACAAATAACTGATTGTAAGACGGCAGTCAAACGGCTGATACAGAATGCTCATAAAATACTACAGGACAAGTAAGACCTACACGTAGATGAATGTTGAGTATGATTAAGGTGTAAAATGATATACTCAACCTGACATATAATTGTTTCAGTGACATAAATGTGACATTGGAAGCGTCTCTGAATGAAAGCGAGGACTCTGATGTAGATGAACCTACAATTTGTTCTATGATAGACAAGAAAAGGTAAGAGGAGGAGGTAAATCTATTAAGACCGGCTAGAAAGCCATATTCGGATGTAATGAGATGGCTCACAAACCATTGTATTAGCTGTAAATTTGTAATTTCAGGTCTTGTTTGGAAAACTTGACACATCACGCCAAGTTTATCGTTTTGGATGTTGTTGATGGTCGCTTACAGATCTTGAATGACAAGGAAGATTATGTGGAGCTAGGGTTCTCAGAAGCAGGTAATTTTTTGAGTTTAAAATTATTTAAAATTTTATTCAAACGCTTCTTTCTTCAGAATGTGCCATTTGTGACACTAGTACAACTGAAGAGCTGGAGAAGTTGTTTATATCTGAAGTCAACGTGTTTGCGAAAGATCTGTCACTACTCTTCTACCAATGTAGATCTCACTTTCTTCAAGTATCGTATGTTCAAGAACATGACACTTCTTTCCTGAAGCGATTTCACTGTGTGTCATCGTTAATGAGGGTCAGAAACAAAAACTTGGAAGCTACGCCTGAGGGAATTCAGAATTACTTGACGTCTGTTCTTACTAGGCAGGTTCATAACTTCTTTATATTGATATTAAGCGACTTTCTTGCAGCTATTAACGTTTCTTGATCATAAATGTGATTTAGATTCCACAAAAAGAACATTCGAGAATCCCCAATATTCCTGCTGTGTCGTCTGATCAAGAACGTGATACTAGAACAGAAGATCTCGGACCACGTTATGAAGTTGACCAGGTTGTGGAATGAAAGTGTACATACAGCTGTCTATATGTCTTACTACGGTATTCAAATCGATCTTGAAATGGTTGACCGCTTGAGAGCATCTCTTCACAAACTGATGACTCTGAAGGAAGAACAAGTTTGGAAGATGACAAACCAGAAGTTCAACTTGTACAAAGTGTCATCTACCCGAAAGGTAAGTTAACTGGTTATTTGCTGTAGTAAATGTTAAAGCCGCTTTTATATAATATATTTTACAGGTGTTGGAAGAACGCGGTATCATGATGGATCACGTGTCTAAAGCTCCAGGCACCATCGACGAGTTAAATCAGACTGATAATGAAGTCGCTAGACTTATTGTGAATGCAAGAAATGCCTACACTGCACATACTGTAGGTTTGATCTTAAATGATATGTAAAATTTTGTTATTTGACTACTGTAACATAAATATTTTAGCAAATTGAGGCCATCGCATCCCATTGTGATATGGATGGCAGAGTAAGGAGTTTCTACAATACTTTATCTCACATTACGGGTAGAATCGGCCTGGAGAATCCTCCTATTCAGATGTTGATCAAGAAGCAGGTGGTAGATGAACAATCAGCCAGGAGCATATTCGTGGCCAAAGAGGGCTGCACTCTGATATCGGCCGACTTCTCTCAACTCGAGTTGCGGATGATATTAGCTATGAGTGGAGATGATGTGTTGGCCCGTTTGGTGGAGAAGAACGTTGATCCATTCGAATATCTGAGTGATTCGCTGAGGAATGAAGGGATCCAGATTGACAGAGACACGGCCAAGAAGTTGTTCTACTCTGTGGTGTACGGTGTCGGATCTCATTCTTTAAGTGCTGAGTTGAATGTAGATGTGAGGAAGGCAGAACGAATCCTATTAGTATTCTCTCAGGTGTTCAAAGGTTTGTTGACTAGTAATACTATAAGAAGGATTTTTATATCATTAACAACATGATAAATATTATATAACTTTTGAAACTAAACATAGCTAAACTTGGTTATCACGGTAACTTCAGGAGTTGACAAATGGCTTCGGAAAGTGACACAAACAGCATTGGATCGTGGCTGTGTGAGTAACATCTGGAGTCTCGGTATCGGATTGGATGGAATGAGACAATCAGAAGCCAAACGGAGAATACCCAACTATATCATACAGGTAGGTATCACTCACGTCGTGAACTCTGTTTAGTCTTCCGTAACGTACGTGTTCCGTGTAGCACTGAACAACGTGATGATGTCACTGCCGAATTCGATGGGCGGGCTGGTTCTTCAGATTCATGATGAATTGATTTGTGAAGTGAGAAGTGATTGTGTCGATGAATGCGTCGAACTGATCAAACGATTAATGGAGACTTCCCTGTTGGGGGTGCACTTCCCCGTCTCCATAAAGGTCGGCCCAAATTGGGGCCAGATGAAGAAGCTGGGTTCAGTCCAATAACCTTACTTACAATAATATGTGATGCAATTACATTATATTAGCTAACTTTTCTCATAACCACTTTACAATAAACCAACTAGTTTCAACTTTGCTGACGTTGCTTACACGTCCATATAAGGACTGTGGGCGGGGTTACCTTTTACTTTGATTACTTGTCTACCTTCTTAGGACAAGTCAAGCGATCTGGAAGTTTTCAGAAATTTCACTAGCATATTTTCGGGATAATATGACATTAGTGTAGTAAAAAGTGTGTAACTGTGATTTTTGAAAATTTATTTTGCAAAAGAAAAACTTGAATTTTACAGCTACCAGTTTAACCGTTACGATCTTAACATGGTTTATGATAATATAAATATTTTAAAAAAGTGATAATGGATTAGTAAGAGTAATTAAAAAAGTTTTCAGCGTTTTGCGTGCAAAGATCGACGAAACACAGATATTGAAAGAAGTTGAAGAAGCTACCCTTACGGGTACCCTCCACTTCTTCGTCGCCATTCCTTCGACCCACTAAGGGGAAGATCGCGTTGGAGATTTTGTTAAAGACGTTCGCTTGGGTCGGGGATCTCTTCCCCTTCCTCATTTCTCGTGCCTTCTGTTGGCCATTCCTTTCCCTCAACTTTGTTATAATTGGCCATTCTTTTTCCCTGACTTTTTCAAAAAATAATTTCGCGACATCAAATAAAGACCTTTCGGATATTATGTTTTCTCTTCAGGATGAACCTGTTTCTGGTCCTTCTGGGCCTGTTCTGCTTCCAGTATGGAAGGGCAGACTTGTTCACCTCAATGGCAGACCTCCAGAGACTTCTACAGATGGAAAAGGACATTCCCAAAGTCATAGAGAACTACATTCAGTCTGAAAATGAACGATTGGACAATTTAAAAAAGCAAGTTTTGTCCATTTTTTAATTAATTGAAATTTAGGATGGTAGCCAAGTACCGTTCTAAGAACTCGAACGTAGAGAAGAACATGGAGTATGCTTCCAATCCAGTTAACGCCTTCCGAATGATCAAGCGACTGTCAGATACCTGGAAGACGTTACAAGACAGAATGAGATCTGACAGAACTGAGGAGTTCATTCAGAACATCTCCTACGCTGGAAGAGCTCATCTGCCTGAAGCCGAAGATCTGAATGGAGCTGTGGTTGGGCTATTGAGGCTGCAAGACACTTACAGACTCGACACCAGGGATCTGGCCAAGGGAATCGTTGGAAGAGTACCAACCAGTCGGCCAATGTCAGGTATGCTTATCATGGTGTTTTAACAATATATGACACGGATTAAACCTTATTACTAACAAGGAAAGTTCTATAAACCTAGGTTAAATTTTAGCTTTGGAAGTGTTTGAAGTTGGCAGAATCTCTTACAATGCCGAAGACTACTACCACACGTTAATGTGGATGGAAGAAGCCTTGGAATTGGCAAAGAAGGAAGATCCCCCAACGATTGGCGAGCACGATATCCTAGAATACCTCGCCTTCGCTTACTTTAAGCAAGGGAACGTTAAGCACGCTTTGATTGCAACAGACCGCTTATACAAACTTTGGCCAGGCCATCCCAGAGCCAAAGGTAACATCAAGTGGTACGAAGACCAGCTGGCGGCCGATGGAGTAAAACGAAGCGACTTCAGAAGAAATCCAGGCCGAGTTACAAACCCCAGACCATTGGATGGCTTGGAATACAAAGAACGAAACATCTACGAAGCCCTATGCAGAAATGAAGTCCCTGTGGTAAGTACTTTCTTGCTTTACTTTCCGAGTTTATTATCTTTTTAATATAACGTTCTTCAGAGTGTCAAAGCTACATCACAACTGTATTGCTACTACAAACGTGACCGTCCTTACCTCATACTAGCTCCATTTAAAATCGAAATCCTCAGATACAATCCATTGGCCGTGTTGTTCAAAGATGTGATAAGTGACGATGAAGTAGAGATTATCCAATCACTCGCTTCTCCAAAACTGGCTCGTGCTACCGTTCAAAACAGCGAGACCGGCAAACTAGAAACCGCATCTTACCGTATCAGTAAAAGGTGAGTAAAGTACTCAATTTATAATAAACTGAACATTGTAGTTCCTGGCTGAAGGGAAGAGAACATGAGGTCGTAGAAAGGGTCAACAAACGTATCGACCTCATGACAAACCTTGAACAAGAAACCGCTGAAGAGCTACAGATTGCCAATTACGGTATTGGTGGGCACTACGATCCTCATTTCGACTTTGCGAGGGTACGTTTTGAATGCCATTTGAATATTTAGGAATTCAGTGATGTATTTATATTTACTCATTTCGTTTAGAAGGAAGAAACAAAAGCATTCAGCGATCTCGGAACTGGTAATCGTATTGCTACCGTCTTGTTTTATGTAAGTGATTCATAAAGGTGCTTTATGTAAATTTATATGTAAATTGAACAATTCAGTTTAATCAACCTTGCTTTAGATGACACAACCTCAGAACGGCGGAGGAACAGTATTCACAGAACTGAAGACTGCCGTTATGCCTTCAAAGAACGACGCTCTGTTCTGGTACAACTTGTACCGTAGTGGTGAAGGTGATCTCCGTACTAGACATGCCGCGTGTCCGGTACTGTTGGGAATCAAATGGGTATCCAACAAATGGATTCATGAGCTCGGTCAAGAGTTCAGACGTCCTTGTGGCCTAAGGCCATCGGATCAGGAACGATTTGTGGGTGACTTGGGAGGCCCGGAGCCCCGCTACCACCCAAACTTCCGCTCCTAAGAGTTGATAGCTAACAGCACACATAATTTATTTATTTTAAAGGGTTATACTGGTTGAAGCTGCCTTACTTGCCTTAAGAATAAAAATTTATTTAAACTCAAGACTACGAAAAGAAAACAATATAAAATGAGATCCTAGGCACAATTCAAGACACGGAGATGCTGACTTGCCGTCTGAGAACATTAGTGATAGTTTCGTGTGAATAGGTTTGCGAACAAAACAAAAAACAACAGCCCGCTGCCAGTGATATAAAATGCATGAAGTTAAGTCGGTGATATATAAACAATGCTACGAAAAGTTAGTGTACCGAGAATAAAAATGATACAAAACAGCTCTGAAATGTTATACGTACCCACAAAAGTGAAGTTCAGCTTCGAGAATAGTTAACATCTACGTAATATAAACAATCATCTACAAGATCAAATGTCTAGAAAATAGACTCAAAACTTTTGCAAACAGGGAACGACGGACTGCGCCTCAGGGCTTTCCTCGGCATGGACTCCAAGCTCTTGAGCACGTCCACAAACGGTTTGCGGTCGTGCGGTTTGAGGGCCCAACATTGCATCAACAGTACTTTGGCTTCCCGACAAACATTAATCTTGCCAATCGGGGCTTTGCCTTCGTTGCAAATCTGCCATATGATAACCTCACTGTTGAGATTATTGAACGGAAACTTTTGAGCTATCAACTCGTACCAAACAGTTCTAAACCTCAAACATCATCACAGAAATCACTTACCCAAACGAATACACATCTGTTTTCTCGTTGAAGTAGATAGGATCAAGGCTTGGTGTAAGAGATCGCAGTACTTCTGGAGCTTGGTAACTGACCCAATTTATAGGTACTAGGAAGCCATGAGTACTGAAAGGTAGATTATAAAATAAACATTATACAACGCTTAATTAGGCATTTATAATCAATCTTGTTTTACCCCAAAAAACTGTCATAGACTTACCATTTAGGATAAGCTAGTCTCTTGATATTGAACAGTCCAAAATCTGTTATGACGGCCTTTCTGTTCTCAACAAATATATTCTTCGTCCTTAAGTCTTTGTGAGCAATGTTCTTGGTGTGCAAATAGGACATTCCCTAAAAATATATATTTCAAACCAATAAGTTGTACTAAACTAAAAATTACCAAAACCAGAAATTAAATTAACTAACCTGACAAATCTGTTTGGCGTAGTCGAGAATGTCGTTGAAGTCTATCCTATGGCTCAAACTGTCCTCATGAATGATGGTATATAAGGATGGTCCTCTTATTCTTTCTGTGACCACACCTAACATACTCGCGTCCATTGTGTAGCCAACAAAGAATATCAGATTCTCATGCCGAGCGTTTTGGAAACAAGCTGTTTCTTGTTTAAAAGCTTCGATTCGCTTTTCTGGGTCTACGTGATCCATGTGAGGAAACTTTATCGCTACCGTACCAAAGTGCTCAACATCATATACCTAAATTAATAATTGTGTTTCAACTGAAGTTACTTAAATTTAAAAGACAAAAAGTGCCTAATTTTCAGAAATACTTTTCAAAGTTTACAAAAAACTTACGTCGCCGAATCTGCCACTTCCAATAATCTTGTTAATGATAATGTCCTTGATGGGTATAGTGACGTCTTTCCAGGACATTGATCCGTGTCTTATCGTAAACATGTTCCAAGCCCGTCTGTCCCACTTATGTCCACCAAAGTGGATAGTACCATTACTAGTGGTTGAATGCGCTGAATCCGACTCGTTTCCAGAAGAATTTGGAACATCAGGGAACGTGAACTGTTTTGACCGTGAGGGCAGGTCTGCTGTTCTTGGAGGTGCAGCTAATCGGTCGTAGGCTGTAGTTGAAGTAGAAGGAGGATGAACAGCTATTGTTGGCACCGGCCCCACCTGATTTACAAAAGCAGGCGTTGATGGGGCAGAACTGTTGGTTGAAGATGAACTGTCAGCAACCGTAGGTGTCTGAACTTCGTTGTACTGGATCACAGGCATGTCATTCATCGATTTTGACGTACCGATGCTAGGCGAAGCCCAATTATCCTAAACTTCGTATAAAACGAATAATAACACTTACTTGACGTGCTGATATTACCATATGTGTTAGGATTTCTTTAAAATGTTTAGATGTTAAACCACAGTTATCTTGTACACGTGGTTTGCATTCAATGTGCACACAAATTCTGAAAAATACCAAATTAAATCAAAACTAAAAAAATATACATACATTTGTTACCTAAAATTTCAAAAATTGTTCTTAATAAACTACAATCACAAAAAAATGCTAAGCAAGAAAAACTTAACTCACACATTACAAGTACAATCAACAACTAAACTTTTAAGTTTCACAATATAAAACATACTTGCAACTTCTACATTTCTCGTAGGTCGAGAAGAAGCCCATCGTTCCTCCACAAACTCCACATTTGCGTTTATTCGGATTCTTGCACCGTTTGTCAGACCAGACATGTGGAATATTGTGGGTGGGCATGGTCAGCCGAACCATATTCGGCTTCCCGTCCACCTGTGGTCTAGGAGAACTCGTTTTGACAGTGGGCGACGTCTCTGAGAAGCGAATCTGTCTGGGCAAAGTAGAACAACTGGCGGAGGTCGATGCTTCTTGTCGACAATTATTTAAACTAGCAAATTTGGTCTCTTTCAAGTTCAAATCCGCACAATTCACTACCTCCGATCCATCTGAAACACGAAGTATTGAATTCCTGAAGGATGAAACAAGAAAATTTTTGTTTTTTCCACTCAACGAAAAACAACAAAAATTATTGATTGCGATCTCTCTAATCCGATCTTACCTTTCTTCTCGTCGTTCATTTCGATCTTGAAACTCTCGCAAGTCAACAAACAATTTCGAGCTTTTAAAAAATTTCAAGAAAAAAAATTATTCAAATCTCTTTCGACTTTTCACGCTCTGGAGTGACACTTCGTGCGGAAAATCAATTTTCAAGGAATAACCTCACAAAATATTATATTTTTTAGAATTGTTGGATTTATAAGACTGCAAAAGAGATTTATGAGACTTTGTGAAGAATTCTGTGAAATACCATGCCACGGAACAAAAGAAAATTAGAGAATGATTTGAATAATGTCAAGAATCGTATCAATGAAGTTGTTAACAACCCAAAAGTAGTTGAACCTGACATTGAAGATGCTGTAGCACAACGTCCAGATTGTTCACAGAAGGAGAACAGCTCAGCAGAGATGAAAAGGTTCTTGAGAGATTATCCATTGATTTTGAAGATGAGGAATGGTAAAGATGCTCCAGTAGATTCAGTTGGATGTCACATGTTGGCTGACAGGACTGTAGATACTGATACAAGGAACTTTCAGACGTTAACAGCTTTAATCTTATCTCCTAGAGTTAAAGATGAACATACGGCACGAGCAATGCAGGTAGCGTTTTAAAATATTATGTTGTTTACTTGCTGACAGTTTTTACATGTTAGTATAATAGTTAAGTCAAAAAATAAGCAATTAAAAAGCTATTATAAGTCTATTTTGATAATTTTATATTATATGATTAAAATAGTAACTTTTTTCATTATTTTAGCAGCTGAAGTCGCATGGATTGACTGTCGATAACATTATTGCCACGCCTGTCCAGACAATTCAGTCCTTGATCTCATTTCTGGGTCTGTCTCAAACGGTAATTATGTTTTACGTTATAAAACACGTATTTCTAGCGTTTTTTGGTCATTTTTTCCAGTTTATTTATAATAGACGTACTCATAATATTATGTTTACAATGGATGTTATCATTTTCTACTAACTGTTATTACTGTTGATGTTTATTGTCTTGTTGTACAACCTTATGTTAAGCTGGTGTTTTTTCAGAAGTCGGAGCGTTTGAAAAAATGCGCCCAGATTCTGCACGATCAGTACGGTAACAAGGTTCCAAACGACTATTCGAAGTTGATAGCTCTGCCTGGAGTCGGGGACAAGATCGCGAGCTTGGTGATGGTGAATTGTTTTGATTCGGATGAATTCATTGGAGTTGATACTCATGTCCATCGAATTACTAACATGCTTAAGTGGGTCAAGACAAAAACACCCAAACAGACAGACGACGCGTTAAAGACATTAGTGCCTAGGTGAGGAACGTCACGACGTCATGTGAGGTCGTTACTTTAGTGTATAATGTCTGTCAACCACAAAAGTTATATTTTAGTATGTAATCAGTCTATTAATAAATTAATTTTTGTTGATTAACGGTTTGTGGTTGTCATGCTTCGAGTATTTCAAGGCTCGTGTGTCACCAATCAAAATTACGCAATCTTTTTCGAATTCGACACAAATACACAGACTACGACGTTACCTTGTTTTAGAATCACACACACTACTCTTATTACAATATTATTGATATGATTATATTGATATTGTGTTTCAGAAAGGACTGGAGGGCTTTAAATGTGGCACTGGTTGGAATGGGACAAACCTTCTGTAAAGCCGTGAAACCGAGTTGTGAAGTCTGTCTTCTGAATTCAACCTGCCCCAATTCACGTGTCAAATTGGGTGTTCAGAAGTGAATTTTATCAATTCCATATTTGCTGATCTCATCTTCTCTAATTTCGCTTTTCGTTGACTTTGTTATGAAGTTGGCACTGGTTACTAACCTTGTTATCCACATTCTTTTGTTGTACAAATATTTTTGTTAATTCAGATTAAATTTATATTTTTAACTTTGGCTGAAAACACGAGTGGTAATCTCCTAAAAACCATTGTATTTCTTTCCTTTTACAGTTGTACTTTTCTCTACTTGAAAGAGTAATGTCTCTTAACTTTTATTTTATTTTGTAAAAGGGAAATCTCAACTTTAAAAAAAACTTTCTTTAATTTTTGTGGAGTTCTAAATATTTTTTGACCTTGTGGGGAGATTTTCTCCCTCCTTGAGGGATGTAAAACAATTTTTTTAAAAAATTCGATTTTTATACGTTTTTGCCGCTTTAAATTCCGAAAGGTTTTTGGAAAAAGTTTACCGAAGGTTTCAAATAGCAACCGACCTTGTTTAAAAGCATTCTTTTCTCCTGAATACGTTCGAGAGACTTCTGAACCCTAGATTATTTGTTGTATTTTGCTTTTCTCTTTACAGCAGTCTGCGGCTTTTTATAGCATAGTGCGCCCGCAGGCCGTGAAGGAGAACGTGAAATTGTGCGGAAACAGTGGATTTCGTTACCTTTAATCAGTTCGTGTTTCCGAAACACAAATGATTAGATCGTCAGAGGTCATTCACGCACTCGCCGTCCGGCTTTCAGCTCTCCACATTAATATTGAAGGTAGTTTAAGGAAGTTGTACACGTCTCGGGGTTAATTGTATTTTGTGATTAAGTTACTTTTCATTTGATATGACCGGGGAGGAGTGGCAGGTAATTGATATCGATATTAACGTAGTTTGGATTGTTGTTCAGACAGTTTTTGGTTTTTAACCAAGCTCTACAAACTTTCAATACTTCAGGTCGCGCGAATCTGAATTTATTGTTTTTCTCGTCTGAACTTATTTCGAACATTGTTTTTTGTGAAATTACACCTTCCGATCGAAACAGCGTCGCTCACGTAGTGACCAGATTATGGTTGATAAGATAACTGAAGCGAACTGCACAATCGTTTCGTGTTCTTCAACTTTTTACCTAATTTTATGGGCTTTAAAATGTTTTCACTTTACAGTTTCGAATTGTGATTGTACGAAACGTCTTCTCCACTAATTTGTTAATTACGTGGTTGGCGTGTTCATTAGAGCCTTCTGATCTTCCCTACCTTCACTTTCGTTTCAGGGTTCTGGTTTGTCAACATGGATTGGATATACGACTATGTTGATCAGACCGATCTCTTCGTGCTCTCCCTGCTGGCCGTGATCGGGGCTTATGTATATTGGAACTACTACAGGACAGAATCTTCTCAATCTATCAACTTTCAACCTTCAGCTTCTAAATCTGTCAATGTTCAGCCCAAAGTGGATCGGTCTTTCTTGGGGAGGATGAAGTCGGAGAACAGGCAGGTCCTCATTCTGTTTGGCTCTCAAACTGGCACAGCTGAAGAGTTGGCCGGTCGATTGGCCAAGGATTTCAGCCGATATGGAAAGAAGGCCCTGGTTATGGATCCTGAAGAGATCGAACCCGAAGAACTACCTAAAATCACTCGTAAGTAGCAGTAACTCTTTTATATTGACGTAATTTCATGTATGAAACAATGCTTTAAAAACATACAAAATTAATGTTATCAATTTGAAAATATAGTTATGTATTTCAGAAATCGAAAATGCTTTACTTGTGATGTGTATGGCCACTTATGGCGAAGGTGACCCGACTGATAACGCTCAAGGATTATTCGAATTTATTAACAATAACGAAGCTGACTTTTCTGGACTACACTATGCCGTATTTGGATTGGGAAACAAAACATACGAACACTACAACGAGGCCGGTATTATCATTGACAAACGTTTTGATGAACTTGGAGCTACTCGCGTCTTCCAACTTGGTTTAGGAGATGACGATTCTAACTTGGAAGAAGACTTTATGAGGTAATTGATAATTCTAGTAATTTTGTGAAGCTTTAAAGGCTTCGCATTATATATTGTGGCATTTTTTGATGGTAAACTTACATTACTTTGTTTTAGATGGAGAGAAGCTTTCTTGCCCAAGGTTGCCGAGAAGTTTGGCTGGGAACTGAACCAAAACGACGGTCTTGACCGTCAGTACCGCCTTGAAGTCATGGAACAAGCACCACCTGCCATCTTCACTGGAGAGTACGGTAGAATTGGAGCGTACGAGAAACAAAGAGCGTAAGTTTTCAACACAATAATGTTAAGATTACAACAATGGTTACCGAGAAAAGAGTTAATGACGTTACTTTACAGACCCTTCGACCAGAAGAACCCCTTCTTGTCGGAAATCGTGGAGAAGAAGGAGCTCCATTCGTCTAACAGCGACCGGTCGTGTCTTCACGTCGAGTTCCAAATCGACTCAAGTCGTATTAGATATGAGGCCGGAGATCACTTGGGAGTGTTCCCTACCAATGACACTGTTTTGGTCGACAAGATTGGCAGTTTGTTGGACGTGAACCTCGACACCACCTTCAAACTTATTAATGTTGACAGTAAGTATAACATTCAAAGCTGTTTACATGATCTCTATTATTATTCGATATCTTTAGATAGCAAAAACTTTAGTGTGTTAAATAATTTCTAATATGATTTCTTTCAGCTGATGCTTCCAAACGTCATCCTTTCCCATGTCCCACAACGTACCGTACAGCTCTTACTCACTACGTAGATATCGTCGCTCCAGTAAAGTCTCACGTTTTGAGAGCATTTGCTGAGTTTACTACAGATCCTGCTGAGAAAGAACGCCTAATTCTCTTGAGTACGGCTTCAGATGAAGGGCTGGTACGTTTTTAACCTTTATCAATTTATTTACAAAACAATTTATATTTTAATACATTAACGTAGTCATGTAATTTACTTATGATTTTAGAAAGAGTATGCTCAATTTGTCTTGAAAGAACGCCGCAGTGTTGTGGATATTCTTCATGAGTTCGAGACCTGTAAACCTCCTATGGAAGTGGTACTTGAATTGATGCCTCGCCTCCAAGCTAGATATTATAGTATCTCGTCGTCGCCCAAGATTGATGCCAATATTGTTTCAATCACGGCGGTCGTCTTGAAGTACGACATTGATGGACGTGAGATTAAGGGAGTGTGCACTAATTATCTGGCCGACAAGAAGGTCGGAGAATCTGCCCCAATCTTCGTACGCAAGTCTACTATGAGGTTGCCTCATCGACCAGCTATCCCAGTTGTTATGATTGGTCCCGGTACTGGCTTTGCTCCGTTCAGAGGATTTATCCAGGAACGAAGTGCTCTGAAGGCGCAAGGAAAGGATATTGGAGAGATGTTACTCTTCTTCGGATGTCGTCATCCAGACCACGATCATATCTACAAGGACGAGGTTGATGACTTTGTGAAGGAAGGCGTGGTTAACAGAGCACACGTTGCGTACTCCAGACTGAAGGATGAAAAGGTCTACGTACAACACTTGATTTGGGCCGAAAGGGAACACATCTGGTCGATTTTACAGAGAAGTGGAAACATCTACGTTTGTGGGTATGTCACTTTGCTTTGTTAAATTGTGGGTAAAAGATAATGGTTTTTGTGTTATAGACAAAATTTATTTTATGCTTTAAATGTTAAGTGATTGAGGTATTTATTGTCTTTTTTCAGTGATGCTCGTAACATGGCCAGAGATGTTCACAACACGTTGTTGCGAGTGTTCTGTGAGGTCGGTCAGTTGACGGAAGACGAGGCTCAGAAGTTCTTCAAAGACATGGAAAGAAAACGGAATTATCAGGCCGATGTGTGGTCGTAAAGTCAGCTAACTCACGTTCAAGATCTCTGTGATAATGCAAACATATGCTTTTATTTTGTTTAATTAAATTTTTAGCATTTGATTGTTTCTAAAAGGTCAGTTCCATTAATAGGGTGTTAACGTATTGTTTGTGACTGATATGGTAATGTCTAGACATGTGATTTGAACATTTAAAGTAATCGCAAGACAAAGGTGTGCGTAATTACTCTTTAAACCAGAGGAAGTAAATTATACAATAGTATGCATGCTACATGAATTCCCAGAAACGATCAAAATTCTTTAACAAGTTACATTTGAGTTGATAGTTTATTATGATGAATAATTTTAAAAAATTAGGTTGAATCATGGTTTATATAGACAGACTTACTTTCTCTTACAAACACGAACTGCTTAGCAATAGCCGGATTAATTTTTGTAAGTTGAAAATGTTGATCTCTTAACAGCTTTTGTGGATTAAGGACGGGCAATTACTGGCCCTCAAAACGGAAACAAAAGTAAGGCCGTTTAGGGCCAATATTGGGTAACCGACCTGGGATCATCTTTTGTTGGACGCCGCGCAGGTGGGGTCGTAAAGGTGCGAGTGGATTGGCCCGATGGCTAGGCACATCAAAGCCCCATTCCCGACCTGTAATCAAGTCGGGAGCTTCCGCTTGGACGACCCGTTAACTGACTTGTTATTCACGCGCGGTCGTATAAGTTTCAAAGGAATGGGAACCATGAATGGCATTTATGTCTTTATATGACCAGGGTATTGCTCTATGTAGATTACACTTCCCCTATATTCCACGCCTTTATAAAGTTACCAAAGGTTAACGTTCCTTACTGAGAGCAGCCCTCATTAACGCCGGCTGTGTGCAGTCGATCTGAATCGGGTAGATTCCTTTAACTCTCATCCGGTTTACTTTGATGTTTTGGTTTCCTTTTACTGAGTATATCTGCGCGTTACGGTATTATGGATGACTCCACAAGTCGAGTCTACGTCGTCGGGGGTTTCCGTAAAAGGAAGACTGACTGAGGTCGTGGATTCAAGGACGTCGAGCTGACATGACTTCAACTTTTTTTTTTGCTCTGCGGTTACTGTAAGCGGATGCGGTAAGCCTGTTTGTTTGTCTGCAAGTGCCGGCGCATCTTCAGCAAACTTGGCCCAGGGATGTTGTAGTAGATGCGTAACGGGTAATTATGGCAATTAATTATAAGGACTGCGCGTGCTGTATGTGTGAGGCTTTTTTACGTCTTCCATAGGGAAATAAAAGGTAAAATGAACCAAAATGCCAACTAAACTTGACGTAGGGATTCAGGGAATAGTTTTCGCCCGTAAAAGACCGTGCTCATCATACCCGACAGTACCAATTATCTAAAGTACAGTCACATGAGGCGCCGTACTCTTGTTTACCTTCTTATTACCACACTTGTCGTCAATGCCGTGGATTAATTGTAAAATTACTGTTTTCAAGCGACATTTATTTTGACAATCTTACCGTAGTCGAGTGACAGCCACAAAAACAATTGTCTCAAAGACAAAGCCAGGTGGGTCAGTTCAAAAAATAGACTCCACTGTGAGGTATACGATGCTGGGCGGAAGCCGACTCTCGATGCCCGGCGGCGAGACAAAGATCCTCGCTTCCGTCTTCTTCTGGCCACAATATTGCACAACCGGGTTACGGTAGGGCTGACCCCCAACCGCGGAAACATGTGTTCGCAGCGGGTGGGCATGGGACCCTATGGAATCCGACGCCATGGCCATTGAATGGAAGCGACGGGAGGCAGGGAACTCCATCGACTGCCAAGGCCACTCGCGAGGTCGAGGTATTGTTCTGGAGCCGACAAATCATTCGCTGACTTCATAAATCTATTGATCAATAAAATTAGGCTTTTGTTTGAATAACCGGGACGAAGAGAGTCAAGAGAACGGCTCGGCAGAGACGCAGCGGTTTTCTGGACCTAATTTTCGAAAAGGGTTTGGTTTGCTTGCCAAAATTTTGAAAATTTATTTTTTAAGTTTTTGGAAAACCTGAAATAGTGAAATCCAGTTTAAAAAGAACTTTAATTTTTGTATCTAAACTTTCGTGTTTTATTTCTAATGAATGAACCTAATTTTAAATAGCATGCTATAAAAATGTTTTTTAGGATGTGCAACTTAACGAAAATTGAAATTTAAAACATAAAAATTTTCGAAATAGTTAAAAATATAAACTTTATCAATCAGCGTGTATATTATGTTAGTAGCAAAAAACTAGGGGTTGAGATTGGTTCTAAAAATGTTAAAATAAATTTTTAAAATTTAGTCATAAAACGAGCGACAAATCTTTTACACTTCAAAAGCAGAACCTGAATGAAGCTCAAGAACAAAAAACAGATACAGCAAATCCCAAGCTCATTGTCGCTTCACTTCCGCCCGACTGCCTTAAACGCGTTAAGTTCTCGAAACTGTCAACCTGGGAATTCGAAAGCCGGCTCGGTCTGTTTTGGTATAGATGCCTCGAAATACGAAGAGTCAGTCTGTTTTATGAGCTCTACCGTAATCACGACAACGTCGGCATTCGGGGGCGCACAGCTGCTGTCTTTCACCTGGATCCTAGGCCAAGATCGGGCTGGCTGATAGAGAGTTGCGCAACCCCAAATCTAGCCGAGCAATAGGCATGTGCAGAGGAACCGAGCTCCTTGTTGACCTGTTGTTACAACCCTCGACTTGAGCTTTAACGGGCGAATTTTGAGTTCATTTTTTAGCCAAATAAAACTAAAGTTCTGTTTTATCAAATAACTATTAGCATTGCTTAACTACTTTTCAAAAAAATTATTCTCGCCTTTTAGTACTACTCATAACAATGCCAAATCTATAAATGTTTTTAAACTTTAGATTTACCCAGTATAAAAAAAGATCAGAAGATTGTGTCATACCCTAATATTTCTATCGTAGACATAGTTCAAGTATTAAAAACTGACATATAGAGAAAAACCTCGATATCATCCAGTAACCGAAAACAAGATAAAACTATTACTATGAAAGTTACCAGGGCCGTGGAAAGCAAAACCACTAGATGCCAGAGGGGATATACTCGGGTATTAAGGTAAAGGGAATGGGGTCTTAAACAACCTCCTTCTGAATGCGTTTGCCTCTCGACTGAGTCTTTTATTTGAATTCTTGTGACAATCATTTGCTAATGATACAGTAATTTTGTCAATTACGGTTTGAAGGGTTCGGGGCGGCGCTGGAGCTCCATCCTGACGGCCCAATTATGTATTGTCCTTTTCGATCCTTTATGCATGCAGAGAAAGGGCGAGATTCCTGCGGCGTTTCTGGCCTTTCCGTTCTCTAGACTCTTGATCGTTTCCGTTCTCAGCCGACAGGACCGGCTTTCCGGAAGGCACACGTCTATCAACGTCTGTCACCATATCTTTGAATGGCAAGGACGAAGACACCGCCCGCATACAGAATCTCCAAAATCACAAGAAAACACAACACAGCAGCTACAACAGTTCAGACTTTTGTTTTAACAGCTTGTACTGGTTAGCCTCTATCAGCCAATGTTAACACCGCTCCGAGACCCCGCCTTCGCTACCGTAACCGCGTGAATGGAGAGCGGAGTCATTCGCCAGGGGCTGCCCGTATATGGATCGTGTTCTATTTCGGTGTGCGTGTGTCGTGAATGAAAAAGATTCCTCTCGGCTTTGACTTGCACCTCGACCGAGGATCTTCCTTTCATGCGCCCTGTCCGTATACAGAAACGCGAGTACGAAGCCCCGCCCCTCGCCGCGGAGAGAGTCCGAGCCGAGACGGAGAACGCTCGATTGACGGTGGAGGAAGGAAGGTTTTGATGGTGTGGGGAGAAGAAAGAAAATAAGGGCTCTTCGCCAACTTCACGACGAAACAACCAACCACAAAGAAGGTTGTCTTCTGGCGTTTACTGCGCATTGTCGTGTCTGTAATTTCCTTCAATTTTCCATAATTTGAGATTAGGGAGTGCCAATGCCAAAAGGTCCCAGGATTGCGGGATTTCCGAAATTGCGGGTTATCCGGGGGACTAATAACCGGGCGCGGGGGTGGGTAGTTACGCGTTGCAGGTCTCCGTGACTAATTATTGTTAATTGTCGACTTTCAGTCAGAAGATGACCTCACCTCAGTCAGCTTGTGACTCCAAACCAATTAATTTAAATCACCCTGAGTCTCGAGACGTTTATGATGACCTAATTGAACAGAAGCCCATCGTCAACTACGACCAGAAGCCCTTCCAGGACTTTGCCAACAATGGCCTCGACCCCGGAAGCTCATCACCATCAACCCTCGCGGCTGTCTCCCAAGCTCAACAGTCTCAACTATCCGCTCAAGCAGCAACCAACTACTACCAGCAGAGTTTTATGGCCAATGGTGTGTTCAACAGTTTCTATCCCGGTAATCTACAACCTTATGCGCCTCAGTACTATCAGCAAGCCAGTACCTCACCAGAAAGTGAGTAAAGTTCTTGTTTAGTCGACTTTTGTTGTTACTGGTTATTTTAATTTTTTATTCTTGCTTTTACCATACTCAGGTAATGAATGCATGTATTAGTTTCAGGTTTTAACGGGAGCGAGTCCCAGACGAGGATAATAGAAGGCACGGAAGTGCACATCAACTCCAAAGGCAAGAAGTCGCGGAAGCCTCGCACGATCTACACGGCCCAGCAGCTACAGGAGCTACAGAAACGCTTCGAAGGCGGCCAATACCTGACGTTGCCGGAACGAGCAGAGCTAGCCAACGGACTGGGCCTGACCCAAACTCAAGTAAGTATTTCCGGAACGGTATTATCTCCGGCTTCGATCGGCCTTCAAACAACTGCTGCGGTGACAGCAGGAAGAGATTGAGGTGGCTTTGTGTTTTTTCCATGTTACCTGTCACAATTTGATGACTGCGCAATGATTTGAATGGCACGCGTTTGGTGGCCTCGGTTTTCCTTTAGGGATCTCTTTATGTGATGTGGGCTTCACATTTTTACTGTACCATATTCGAAACCGACCTCTTTGAATTTTAAAATTTAATTTTTTTACTATTTGGTCAAACAAATTGTAGACTTTCTTGACCTTATACCAGTTTCATTTCAAATTTTGCTTTTTTTTAAATTTTTTATAAAATTAGTATTCCATATCAAATATGTTGAACCAGTAGGCTATACCGCATGAAGAGAGTCACATAAACTAGCATTTATTCTTAGGCACACGCGCGCTAGCCAGGCCTTATAGCTTGAAGTTAGGATAAGAACGGAACAAAGAGAGTTCCTATACCAATATGTTGACATGCACCTCATCGATTTACTCGGAGTGACGCGTCAGCTACCGGGACATGTAAAACAAGAATATGCATTTTATGATCGATGTTTAGATAACAATAAGATTGTTGTGTCACCGCTTTTGTCCTTTTAAATCCTGTATATTCTGTAGTAGAAAAATGTAAAATGTTTAAATTATAATATTAAAATTGATATATATTAAAAAGAATACTATATAGACCCATAAAACTTTTTTCAGGTCAAAATATGGTTCCAAAACCGAAGATCCAAACATAAGAAACAGAAAAAAGGTCCCGGATGCACCGACGGAAACCGTAGCCGAACCTCGGACGAAGACGGCGACGACTCCACGGGCATCAGCACGCCCAACTCCGTAGAGCCTGTAAATAGTGTTATGAACGAGGATCCGCTAAAAACGCTCAACAACCTCTCCATGATGAACGGCCAGAACCCGGAGCACCAGCTGGGACTGGGTGCGGGCCTAGGCCCTTCGTTGTCGGCTCCAACCATCCCCACCTCATCCCCCATGATCCCCCTACCCGCTTCCACCAACGAAATGCCGTTTGCTCACGGCTTCACACAGCCCGCCTTGGACAACACGCTCAACCCCTGGTCCACGGCACATCCCATGTTCCCTCAGGCGCCGAATTACACGGATAACAAGATCGACATGATCAAATATCCCCCTTACGATAGCATGTCATACTACTCCAGCCAGAACTGCTTCCCCCAGCAGTTCTTCGGCTGATCTGCCTTAGGCTGTCTGTTTGTAACCAGTTACAATCTTTGGCCGACTGATCTCGATCTGTAATTTCAAATGATACTAAAGGTTTTGTAAAATAAAATTCTGGACCCATTGTTACCGTGATATGATAGAATGTTTAATTTAATAAATATCTGTACTTTACTGTTCAATTCACGGTGTTTGGGGGTCTCGGCGAGTGAAGTGTAGCGTGGTCTCAAAGAGGTGGCGTACAGGTCGCGCCACTCCAATGTCGATCAAGAAGGCGATTGCATAGGAGACGCACACGCTCCCCAAACAGGTCAGTATCTGAAAGAAAAGATGCTACAGTAACCCTGTTTTTCCCTTACCGTGGAAAGAGAGGTGGCGTATGTCGGGCGATGGAGAGAAGCGAACAATGAAAGAGCGACGGGCTCCGAGATCAGAAACACCAAATACGTCAACTTGCTCAAGGGAAGGAAAACTCTCCAACTGAGGAAAGCATTCAGCGCTACAACAATATGGTTTTGACAAACTTTCGCAAAATTAAGTTAGGTTAATGTACTGTAATATACTCGTTTGTACCCTACCGTTTCCTTTGCTCATGTGATTCAGACTAAACACAGAACACACTACCAGGAATGACCAGACGATACGATGCACACTTGAGTAAATTGCATTGAGAATACTACTCTCACTTGTAGCCAGGTAAAACGGTGTCCAAATTGTAAGCAGCAACCCAATTACATTCATACAAAAGACCACAGACCCTCTCATCTGTAAGTGTTTACAAGATAATAATTGTGAATGTACTGTGGCACTACTGTATGCATTTGTATCTGTTATATACGGCTTTTTGTCTTTTGTTATTTTAATATTATTTGATGTTATTTAAAGTAATTAACGTTAGGCTTACTTGACTGAATGTTGACCTTTGGGTTTCCTTGTACAAGATTGTAGCTATCATACTGACAACATACGACCCCGACCTTCCCAACGGATTCATGTAGATTTTGTTTGCAAATGTGGCGTACCCTTTCAAACTATAATATACTGTATTATCAGATAGTAAGCAAATGCCTAGTTTTAAGACAACACCTAATACCTATACTAACCACTAAGAGTATGTAATTTCTGCCACAGTATCTGATATGCTAACTACTAATAATGTAGAAAATCCCTACTTTGCAGTTGATACTACCCTTTAATTAACTTACTCTTTAATATTCTCGGTCGGGATGAGAGTAGAGTAGAGATTCTTCCTATACGACAAAGTAAAAGTGTACACAGCCGAGGCCAGCAGTATAGTAAGCAAAGTCCACAAAGTAACTCTTCGGCCGACTTTGCTCTTCATGTACAATATTACTATGCCAAACGTGAATAGCTGGGTCTTCAGAGCAAACAAGAAACCTCCGTCTAAACACTTTACAAACCTGTTATCATATGTATAATGTAAACTTACAATGTAATCAGTCCCCAAAATGTTGTTAATCAGACCCATATTGGACAGAAAGTTGTCAGAACATCTTTTGGACAAGTCGTTGTAAGACCACATCGGACCTTCACCTAGCCGATCGTATAGGTAAACGATAAATAGTGTTATGAACAGGTAAGTTGGCCACACTCTGCAACAAAGTTAATAGCCACGTATATTAGCTTACCTTATCAATCTGTTTGCAAATAACATTCCAACGCTCTTGATGTTGTTGAAGGCGTAGTTAGGCTTCAAAGTAAGCCTTAAAGCGCCAAGTGCTAAAAGTCCATCCACAAAAAAACTGTAATTGACAATCGGTTGGTAGAAGAACAAGGTCGACAAGTCATATGCGTATGAAACATTTTCTGGAAAACAATTTATAAAAAACATGTCAGTTTAAATATTACGGTATTAAAAATGTTATTTTAAATATTAAACTACCTTGAATATTAGTTTAATTTAGCGTTGTAAACAATGTTACCTAAAACCTTACCGAGATAAGGAATGGCCAAAAAGAACACGTTGCCAGATACCAAGAAGATCACGAACAATACTTGAAGTCCTTGGAAGGCGTTCAGCTGATGTTCAGAAGTTCTCGTAGTTCGAAGAGATTCTTGCATATTCCTTTGCAACGACAAGGAATGTACCACTTTCTTCAACCCCGAATTCTCTGGGAGATTTATCAACCAGTCGAACACAGTGGCGAAGAACAGAGCTATCACCCATCCTAGCAGAGTAAAGCTAAAATAACACTTATAATTAATGTTGTTTTACAAAAAATTTACAGTATTTTGCAACAATCAAAAACATAACTTTGTGCATTCTGTTCAATCTTTTTTTCGCGTGCTCTCTAAATTTCTCTGACGGAAAAAAGAGCGCGAAAAATAGGGGTGAGAAAAGGGCCGGGCCCACTTTTTTAGGCCCGGCCCAGGCCCGGGGCCCAACGTTTAGGCCCGGCCCGTTTTCAATTTTCTCTCAGGCCGGCCCGGCCCGGTCAGTAAATTTCTAGGCCCGGCCCGTTTTAAAAAATTTTAAAACTTAAAAAATAAACGGAAATTTGGCTTTGCATTGTTCTTTTAGATCATTTATGTATCATGATATCCAATAAAATCAAAAAACATCAACGGGGATTAAAATAAAAAATTTTTAAAAATTAAAAAAATTTTTTTTTCGGGCCCGGGCCCAATTTTAGCTCAAGGCCGGCCCGGCCCGATCGTAGGGCCGGGCCTAGACGGCCCGTTTCTCACCCCTAGCGAAAAATAAGAGGGAAAAGTCAGATTTCGAAATAAATTGTTTTGGTATTTTATTGAAAATTCAAACATTTTCTACTTCTTTTACACTAGTTTTTGCCAAGATTCGTTAACTTACAAAAATATTAGGGATCCAATCGACCATTCCACTTTTGGCTCACATCGTATGTTAACCTTGAGATCCGTAACATCTAAAAATATACTGTTACCACAAATTTGCTGAATAGATTTATTTATGTATAATCGATAATAAAGATTCCCAATGTTCTTACGTTCTACTAATTCAATGTCTTCTTGTATAGAGCAACTGTACGGTAGACAAGCTCCCAGAGATACCTCAAGTGGCTCCGAATCTTCACATTGTAGGCTTGATACGGAATCCGGGACAGCAAAGTCGATCAAACAATACCTTCCATTAAATTGTTTAGAGCTAAAACAGTTTTCAATCGAAGAATAAGGCTTACTTTTGCAAGGCATAACACTGTTCGTAATCTCCCAGCCAATGATAGTTCCCATCACTGATACCAGCTGGCATCTTTCCCAGCGAATCGACCCCTAGACTTGTAAAACTACTAACGGTAATAGAAGCTTACATGTTCTCACCCACGAGTTTTGGTCTCTCTGTCTCATCATGTTGCGTCTACATGTTGCACAAGCTTCAGAATCAGACTCTGAGCACGTTATCTTGTAGCTTTCCACCAAATCTCTCAACGAACAGAAGAGGTGTGACACTTCGCTTCGACAAGATTCTGATACTAGGTCAAGCCTGTCGGTTCATATCATATTACACTAGGACATACCTGCTATTGTTCTGACACAGAGTTACTATGTAATCCGATGTATCAAGGAGTTTCTCGATAGACGGAACTCGGAATTGATCCAACGGCCTAGGATAAGGTGGTATCCTGAAAGGACACAAAACACAACCACTACCTAGTTGAGTGACAACGAGCAGTACTGTTATCACTTTCATTTTAATAGTTAAGTGTTTTCTCTTTACCTCTAAAACTTAAGAGTGTATTTGATAAACATATCTAAGGTTCAGAAAGTAAAAAGAGAACGCGGCCTGAGTCTAATTTATGAACGAATAGAGGTCAGATCAAGCCGGCTGCCGGTTTGTCCTGCCTTTTAGCAAACAGAACTTGTTAACAGACTCTCGCTTTGCGTTTCTTTCCTTTCAAGGCTGTCAATCACTCGTTCTTCGACCACTGAGATTGCGAAATGCTAATCACTAATTCTGATTAATTGGCTCTTTATTAAAAAACAGTAAGTAAACATTAAAGCAAGAGTTCCTAAGTACGGTTAAAGAAGTCATTCGGCCTTCTCTATTTTACCATCCTTCCAAGTGGACAGTTTCAAGGTGGCTGGAGCTTGAACTTGAGCGTTCTAAATTGACATATTAAAGTTGACATACCATCCTTACCTTTGAACATTTCTGGGTGACGGCACTAGCGATTTGGGAGTATCTCAGGTAAGTAAGACCGGCGCTTCTCCACAAAGACATTGTAACTCTAAACTTTAGTACTATACAAACTTAATTTCAAAGTAATTCTGGGCGAGAACCAAGCAATATATAGTAATGACAGTTGTATGACTATTAACAGTTTATTAGGTTCGGAAGCTCTTCATCACTTATTTGGAATTGAAGGTTCGAAGATTCTGATGAGATCAAGATTCAGTTATTATACATAATACATGACGGAGCGCAACATGACGTCGTTCCTGTCTGTTGGGAATCTTTTATCTTAAGAATTAAGTTAAGTTCAAGCCAAACGTTCACTCCAAACATTTATATTACCGTTTTAAAGTATTAAGCAATGTCGTTTCTATTCTGGTACAGTGGATATAGAGGGAATGAACAATCAAGTAAATACAAGCTTCAAATACATCAGAATCACCAACATGCAGACATCAAAAGACCGGCATCAAGCAGGACGAGGGTTAAACACGATTAGCTTTATATTAACATAAATAACTTAAACAATTCGAATTTTTTTATAAACATCGACTGGCTCAGTTCGGCGATAGCTTCAGCGGCTCCACAGGTTACTCGACTGAAATCCAGACATGAGTTAAAAGTAGAAAAACTAGTTAATTTCACAGTTTATTAATTCACCGCATTTACTACATTACTTTTAGTTACTTACCATCAGCGGGTTTGATCGGAGTCGTTACATAGTGTTGGCCAGGACGAATTGGCTTTGCTGTAATTCATTTGTTAAGAAACATATTAATAACACTGGTTTACAGACGAATTTTCTAATAACATAACTAAAATGTATTTATAGTTAAAAGAAGTACACGTACCAATTTGGACACCTCTTCTAGCCATATTTCTCTGCCTCACGGCATCCTTAATTCTCTCCACCTCGTACTGATACTTCTTCCTATCTCTCATTGCATTCTCCTTCGTTTCTCTTAAAGCTGTCTCCAAGTTCTTAACCCGTTCAATCGAAGCCCTTAGGCGTTTCTCTAACTTAGGCAACTCGCTTCTGAGTTCGGCATTGTCTCTGACCAACTGTTTGTGGACTCGAGTTAGCTGATCAAGATTGTTTTGGAGGAAAGCAATCTTCTGTTTCTGTGCTGGACTCGACAAGAACTCATCTTCACCATCAGTGGAGGTTGGAGCCTTCTTCATGCGATGAGATAGGTCTTGGATAAACATTCGTCGTAGTGAATGCAGAGAGTTGAGTTCTTTGTTGACAGTCTCTTCAAGTCCTTTCAGATCTTGGCGAGTTTGCTCTCGCTTGTCAGTGATTGCCGTCAGATCCTTGAGCTTCTTCTCCTTCTCAATCTCCTCATTCTTCAAATTCTCGAACTCTCGTTGAAGCTGATCCTTCTCCAATTGAAGAGCTTGCACCTTATCCTAAATACAAAAGTTACGTCAACATAAACAGTATATTACCTGTATTTCTTGGATCTGTTCGTTTTTCTTCTGCACTAGACCTTCAAGTTCTTTAACAGCATTGGTGGAATCTCCACCTTTGGATCCAGCCAACTTCACATTCAAAGTTGTAACCTCTTCCTCGAGCTTCTGAACTTGTGACTTCAAATCGGAAATCTTCTGTTCGTGTGACGACCGTGTCACTTCGTTTTGTTGAAGCTGTTCCTTCAACGCACTGAGTTCCTTTTGTGACTCTTCCAGCTTCTTCTCGGCATCGGAAGCCCCACTTTCAAAGTTGTTCAACTTCTGTGTATGAGCTTTGAAGTCACTGGCCACCTTCGACACACAGATTCTGGCATGTGCAAGGTATTCTTCGTCGACAAATGGTTTGTCCGATTCAATCTCGGCACACAACTATAACAATATCAATTTAAATTTAGAAAAAATTCTAAACAAAAAAATAAATAATTGAAGCCTACTTTAGCTGGCATACTGTAGTTTCCTAATGTGCTGAGTTCACTAATCATATTTTGAAGATCTTCGTAAATGCGTCGTTTCTGTACCATACATTGTTCTTTCATGTCATCCAGCTGGCTGTTTGTGTTGACAATGTCCATCTTGGTCTTTGAAAGATCATCCTGCAACGAATATGTTTAAAACCACCCTCCTAGCAAACAAAAATTTTAATAATGTTATAGTTGCCAATGAAAACGCTTACCTGCAGGGTTTCGTTTTCTTTGCGTAGCTCGATGACTTCATTCTTCTTCTGCTCCAAGTTCAAAGCCAGTTCTTGCAAAGCCGAGAACAATTCTTCAGCTTCGTCATGAGCCTTGGCATTCTCAACTTGAGCTTGTGCCAACTCTTGAACAGCCTTCTCGTACTCAGCCTTCCGTTGGTTGATGGCTTCTTCTTGATCAGTAATCTGTTGTTTGAGCTGTTCAGCCAATCGTGTTGCCTGCATGATCTCCTCGTCTCTTTCATCAACTTGTTGATACAACTGTTGTCGCTGTTCTTCGTACTTGCGACGCTCATCGTCTGTCATTGGACCAGTCGGGAGTTGTTCGTGGTCCAAAGCAGTCGCCACCTTCGCCGTGGGTAACATCATGCTCTCGCTCATAGACGGTGTCATCGCAACCTGAGCAGCCGACTCTAAGTCATCCACACTGAACCATTCTGATTCTGGTACCTTCTCTCCAGCACGCCACCTCTTCAGTTCGGCTTCGACATTAAGCAAGTTCCTCAACTGATTCCTCAATTGAGTGACCTTCTCCTTCTCTTGTTCGTAACGCCGTTTCCATTCAGCTGCCGTCAGTTCTTGATTCACAACAACCACGTTCTTAATGGTCTTGGCTCTAAAAATTATAATTGCAATAATCAAAATTAAACATAAACATTGTCTTTATATATCTGATATTACCTTTGACCAAACATCAACGTTGACTTAGTCTCAGCTTCATTAAATGATGCAGGTGAACAACATATCACAATGGTCGTTCTCGAGTTACCTCCAAGAGATTCTTGCAGAATACGCGTGAGTTTACTGTCACGGTAAGGAATGTGTCCTTTCTGTAAATAGTAATAAAATTTAAAAATATTAAAATAAAGCATAATTTACATTTAAAATAAAATGTAAAAAGTTAACTTACAGTTCCGTCGGCCAATGCCGAAATAACGTTACCCAACGCCGACAATGACTTGTTAATGTTCTTGGCTTCTTCAAGAACTGACCCTTCTGCACCCGTCTTACTGACCTTTTCACTACCAGCCAAATCGACCAGATAAAGTTTACCAGAAAGCTTTTTTTGCAGTTTTTGATTTTCCTGATCCACTTGAATCAAGAAAACACTGTGAGATCGCGAACTGTGTTCGTTCATGTCTAAAATAATATGCAAAATATTCGTCAACATCAAAATCAAATAAAATTTATGTAAAAAACTCACTAGTTACAGCTTTCTGACGATTGTTCTGACCTTCCTTTATAATTTGCAAAACTTCATAAAAATTGCTAACAAAAGTCTCGGTAACACCTTTAACATAAGGAACACGATCTTTTCCCTCGTGGATGGTAAGGTTCGTCTGTTGAATGTTCAGTAAATCACGAATCTTTTCATTGTAAATCTCAAAGTACGAGACCTTGATGTGAAACTCCAAAGCCTCATCTTCCATGTTGTAGATGTGAGTGAAGATGTCGTTGATTATGCGAGGAATAATACCATGATTGACATCGTTTTCTTCACTACTCATTTTACCCTCCATTGTGTGAGTTTTTCCCGAAGAAGTTTGGCCATAAGCGAAGATGGTACCATTATACCCACTAAGCACATCTTGAACAATATGATGAGCAGACCCTTTGTAGACGGTCTCTTGATCACAGTTGGGGTCGAACACACGGTCAAAAGTGTACGTTTTACCCTAAAGAACTAATGAAAACCTAAAAAAACACTTACTCCGACATTTATCGATTCTTTGGTAGGGAATTTGGGTACAAAAACCGATCCATTTGACTTTTCACTTTCATTGAACGGCCGAACACGGCAAAAAACCTGAATACAGCATTCTGACGAATCTTGGGCCATCTTCAGGGTTCAAGAAAACACAGTTCGAGCCCCAAAATCTAAAAAACAAAAGTAATTCCAGAAAAAACGTCGCGCTGATTGAGTTTTTAGATAAAACGAAAATTTGTCGAATTAGAAGGAATTTTATTGCGATGAATCACGTGTGGTTTTGTATTCGAATAAACCGATTTAATTCAAAAAGGCAAAATTTTAGTTTTAGGGACACCTGGCCATCTATTCAAACAAAAAACTTTCGAAACCAAATCAAATACCTATTCCCAGCTTGAACAGCAATTAGCGATGGTTCTATGCCGAACATAGAGAAGGAACCCTTATATGCAATGCGGCTTTTACCACAATGCACATTTCCCCCGGCCGCATTTGACTGCGCGGGGCTGTCATTTATAATTCGAGAGTGCGTCACCTCTAGCCAGAAGAAGGGGAGGCTACGGACAGAGACGCACACGCTCCGCTCCGCTTTTTTGCGGCTATTTTGCTTGCTTTAGGGTTCTGAAAAAAGGATTTGAATCGAACTTTTGGTTGAGGGTATTGCGAAATCTGGATTCCCTGAGGGCTAAATCCTGTGTAAGGTCTTAAAACAACATACATAATTTTAGTAGCATATAACCGCAAAGGACGGTCAAAACAATAACTATTGCAATAACAAATGAGCCTCCTTAAGATCAGCGAATTTTGAAAGCTCTTTCTCGAACCAAATGGCCAGCGGATTTTCTCTGGAACAGGAGCTTGATCAGACATTTCGCTGGGAATGAAACCTTGGAAGATTGAGTTACCCAAAGTTGGCAGCTTCACCATCAGGCCGATTGGAGTCATACAGAATGACTTGTACGTTTATTACCGCGAAGGTAACAGTATCGTAATCTGGTCGGTCAATTTGTTCCTTCCGAATTCGTGGAGGCGACGATGGGCATTGCCATTCGAAGAGATCGTATATTCGTATTTTACTACGCATCCTGATGGAACTATCCACATATTCTTCACGGGATGCATTGTACGTTACTGTAGCTAATATATTAATTTGTATATCTTACATAGTTAATCCTTAATTTGTAGAACAATAAGGACGAGCTGGTTATTGAAGTTTTGAAATTTGATGTTAATCAAGGTGAGTATACACGATACAAGTCATCTGATGCCATTGATGTTATGCAGTTAATGGAGATGTATGACCTACACCCAGAAACCGATCGTCTCTGTGCGGGCGCTAAGGACCTGTTTATTTATGACAGAGGAATGATTCAAGGAGCGACTCCGCTACTTAGAATAGTACTCGACCATGAAAAGGTAACAATTTTATTAGAGTAGTGAATATGTAGTACCTTCTGATTACAGAATCGACTTTCAGAAAACATTCAGTGGTGTTCGAGAAACGGTACCTGCTGACAATAGTACTGATGTTTTCACATTGTTTGGCGGTTTCATAGATCCTGACAATCGAAGAATTATCAAGTTATCAGACGCAAACAATGTTCACATATACGACAACCAGGCCAGAGAATGGCTGGTGTACCAGCAAGACACAGACAACTCTGATTTCAACTTGAAGGCAGTGGGCGCCGACTACAAAAGGATCGGCGTTACCTACAACGAGAGACATCTACGGACAGCTATGGTACAATCACCGATCAGCTTGATCACAGGTTACTCCAACTGTATTTTTATGTACAAGGCCAACAACAAAGCCTACTTTTTCAGATTGATCACTAATCCAGAAGCTAGGACCTTCACGTAGGTTACAGTGTCAAAAACATGGTGCATTTCCCATTTTCAGATTGAAGAAGGTAGGGAAAGTAGATTCCCTTATTATTCAATCGTTCAACTTCTGCACTGAAGATGCTGTGATCACATTGGGCCGACCTGCGTATGTAATATGGCTACGATCACTCACTCTCAAAGAGATGGCCTACTACAAATCTCAAGAGTTATGCGACAAACCGACCAGCGACGAACCAATTAGGAAAAAATGTAAAATAAAACATTCGGATCCCTTGATCTGACACTAAAACGAAGATATTTGGCCACATAAACGCTTTAGATGAAGAGAAAAGTTTATGTTAGTAAAATAAATAATTCAGCACATATATCTTGACAATCTGGTTCCGCAAAACCATGCAACCGTATCTTAGGACAATATAATTATATACATCTTGTAGTGATTACTGTAGGGACCCGTAACGACGAAAAACTGGGAATATCACATATTCAATGAAAGATTACTGTAGCCAACGGACCACGTGCCCTAGTTGTGCAAACTAGAAAGTAAAAGTGTCTGATCTTTGCACAACTTCTTGATCTCCTGATTCTCCTGTTCTAGCTCTTCTAATCTCACAGCGCTTTCACCATGAATCAGAAGTAGAGTATCGTGGGCTTCTTCGAGTTCTTTGAACTTGGTTCTGAGATAATTCGCTTCTCGTTCCAATTCTACTATTGTCTGATTGAGGTCCTGAAAAGTTTATTTTGACATTGATAATAGGTAATTTTACATAATTAACAGAAAAACATTTTTATTACTTTTTTATTAGTAGAACAAAAGTAAAAACGCGGATTGTAAGTTTTAGAATAATTACCTGATCATTTTCGAACTGAACCACGGCAGGCTTTTCCATCTTCTTTTGGTGTGCCAATACTAGCTCGGACTTGAGTTCAGATACTTCTTGCTCTTTCTTGTGAACCAATTCTTTAAATTGGTTGATTTCAGATAGAAGGTCAGACTCCATGACGTTAGACAATGTTTTCTGATTTGAAATCTCGGTTAAAAGTTCATTGTTCTGTCTGAAATATAATTTTATTAGCCTGACATTCAATTTGTCAAACTAAATCAAAAAGCACTTACTTTTCAAGCTCACGTATCTTATCCAGGTGTTCCTTGTTCTGTAAACGCAACGAATTGAGCTGTTGTTTGTAAAGAGCAGCTTCTTCGTTAGCTTTTGTCCTAGTATTTTCCAAATTTTCTTCTGCAAATCTCAGTTTCTTCTGTATCACGTATTTGGCACTGTTGGCTTCCTTGACTTCTGATTCCAGTTCCTCAATCCTTGTGTGCAATGGGCCAGTAGCTAAAAGTAATTAAAAATATTTTTTATTAATTTTTGAATACAAAAATATGGTACAAGGTGTTTTCATAGAGCGCCCTTATTCATAATGAAGATACTTACATAAGGCAATTTGCTCAGCCGCCTCTCTTTGAGCAGTCATTAATTCATCTACACGCTGCTCCAATTGTGTGATCTGTAGCTTCTGACTGGCACACCTTTTCTCAGCCAACTTCAGATCTTCGTGAGCTTCTGTTTTCGAATTCAAATTACTTTTGACTTCTTGGAACTCTTTTTCTTGTTCAAGTATCTTTGCCTTCAGTAGCTGATTTTCCTCTGAAATTTTATTTATTACCTAAATTAACACAACTTACTCTCCAACCTTTCCTTATCATCTGTCAGTTCATGATTATTGTCCATGGCATCTTGTAAAAGAGTCCTTTGTGTTTCAAAGTCCTTTTCGACATCCTTAAGACGCTTCAGTTCTTTAGCTTGTTTTCCATTCAGCAAAGACAAGTTGTTACCTAAATGTGAAGAAAATTAATAACTGTAGCAATAAAAAACTACACAGGATAAACTTTTATTTTTAAAATTAAAATATAATTTAGACCCTTACCTTCAGCCATTAGTTCAGCCAGCTCGTTTTCCTTCTCTTGCAACTTTTTTTGTAACTTTGATTCTGTCCCAAGTCTAAAAGTAGGTTCATAACCACCACAATTCCAATAACTTACTTTGTATTCATGCTCTTATTCTTTTGTAAGAGGTTCGTATTCTGAATCTTGAGCTTTTCGTTCTGGTGAGAAAGCTCAGTGATCCGTTGATCTCGGTGCTTGAGTTGAGCTTCCAAAGCTGACATTCTTTCATTTAAAGCTTCATTATTGTAACTATCGTATTTTCCTGATAAACCATTCCCAATAATACACACTTGATCACTAGGAGCTCTTCTATGGCTTCCACTTGCAACCGACCTTTAAGCGATATATATACAAAACAATACCAAATGAACCAAAAAAACATCTAAAAATAAAATTACCAGTCGTCAACGTTTCTTATTACGACAATATCACTAGAAGCAACAGTAGCTACATCTTCTCTATGATCTTCCTTTATCAAAGATGCAGTATCAATATCTTTAATCAAAGACAGATCAATTCGATTATCGTGCTCGTGATGCTCATGGGAATCAGAAGGATGTGACTCTTCTTCATCTGGAGAGTTAGATGCAGGAGAATAGTGTAATAATGAGGTGCCCGACTCCCCATGACCGTCCCTTATAGGGTTAGGTTCTGCTTCCACAACATCTTCCTGCAATTTTTTATTAAATTAATTAAATAAGAAGACTAATGCTATCAATAGAGCTTGCTTTTAAATCTACTGGGTAAAGACACCATATTTTAATGTTTTTAGTTAGCTTCAGCTTACCTTGTCTACCGACAACGGCGAAAACGTCTTTCCCCAGCCATCATCGTGCTTGTCATGGATTTCAGCATTGCACTCGTGTTCTGGAGCTTCCTCAACATCCTAAACACATAACATAAAATAAAGAGCAACTCACCAAATATTCCGTTTGAGGTTCTTGATCATTCCCTTCATCACTAATATCTCCTTCAACAACATCTTCGAATATAGAACTTTGTTCTTTTTCTTCCTCTTCCTTCTCCTCCTTCACTTCGACAGTTTGTTCACTAGATTCCTGTTCTTCTTCAGGTTTTATATCCAAAACTGAATCGATTCGCTTTTGCGCAGTCAATAGAGCGTTCTTTGCCAACTTTTCGGCCCATGATAAGTTCATTGTACAAAACTACAACAAAATAACATCAAACATTTTCCGAATCCAATTTCTTCGTGGCAAATTTTTTTTCTTCCGAAAAACACGAAAAACCAAACGATTTTACAAACGAAAGAGTGTGAGGAAAGAGGAGAGCGGATAAAAGGCGAATCGCGCCCTTTAAAAATACAAAAATAAAAAAACGGGTTTTGTCTCCTAAGTTCTTGAATTATTGTCGACAAAATATTAATTTTTTTTTTTTAGTGTATAGTTTTTAAAAGTTTATTATAGTTATATAATATTATACACAATCAATATTATGGAAGCCCGATTTTGTATTCGAAATACAAAAATAAATTTTCAAAATAACGTATTATACATCTTATGTAAAGTGTATTTTAAGTAAACCAAAAAGTACGACAACTTTTCGTTGATTTAGTCTTTTTTCGCGATCTTTATCTGCTAACTTAACCCAATTTCAAAGTTTTCAAGATTCCAGTCTAACTATACAGTCTTTATTCATATATGTATACATACTATGGATAAATAATGTTACTAATGTGCAAAAGATATATTATACTTCTTGAACATTAGTAGGAGTTTGAACCGGGAATGTTGGATAACAATATTATAGTAAAATTAGTTGTAATCGCCTGGCGATGGCAACTCGCTGCTAGCTCCACACATGATCAAAGACAGGCCTAGCTTCTGTTTAGTACCATCGTCACCCTCCAAGGATTGGACGGCTTCCAGTGGTGTCTCACAGTTGTTATCGGTCTGGTTGATCAGCAATGTCAGTACACTTTCCTCAACGTTGTCTTTGAAGACCTACAACAATATGTAATTAAAAAAAGTTTTTAGCTATCAAACAATATAAAAAATAAAAACAGAGAAAACTTACATCAAGAATGTCTGTGGAAAGCCTGTCAATAGCATAATGAATGGATGTGCGACCATTGGTCGAGTCCTGAAATTAAAACACAATTAGTCAAAATATTGTATAATTCCATGGTACTGTATAATATTCTGTATATAGACTTACGGAAATCATGGGGTCAGCTCCGTACTTGAGGAGCACGTGGATGATGTCGAGGTTGTTGATTATCGTTTTGCTCTCTTCATCAAATACACCATGGTTCTTGATGGCGCACAACAAAGGAGTGAGGCCCATCCCATTGGTCATGTTGATGTTGGTGACTCCGTACGAGCAGATAGTCTTTACAATGTCCACCATCCCTCGGCCGGCGGCGTAGTGTAAAGGAGCATCCCTTTCGTAACGGCCGTTTTGTGTGTTGGGATTGGCCCCGACTTCCAGCAAGTAATCTACGATGACGTTGTTCCTCTTTTCGACAGCCAAGAATAGAGGTGTCACACCTTCCTTGTTGGGCATGTCGAATGGTTTCTCATGGCTGGAGTAGTCCATCTTCAACATCTGTTCTACTAGAGCATAAATCTTGGGAATATCCATGTGTTGTGTCACAATATGTAACAGCGTGTCTTTGTCACCGTCTTGGTAACACAGGGCTCCAGGGTAGTACTGTTGACACTTGCAGGTCCATGCCCAAGCCTGGTCGAGAGAGTCACTGTGTACCTCCTGAATAAGTTTTCTGAGAACGTCTTTTGCTGGTCTGTGTGGAGGATCGGCCTTTCCTTGTTTGTTAACATAGGCTGTGAATCTAGAGCTTGGCAACTGGGATCGGAGAGTGCTCATGTCACAAGACATACGGTAGCCACTCATTGGAGTTGGTGGTCCCGTCATACCCCCATGTGGACCAGCTGGTGACGATTGAGGAGCGCTACCAGCACTCATCGGAGAATCACACAAGTTCGATTCGACCGAACCTGGTCGATTTCCGAATTTGGGGCTCAACTCAACCGGAGAGGCTGAGGTCGACGTGCCAGCACAGTTACTGTGGGTTTGTGGAGTGTTGGTGTAGCGACGAGAATACTTGAGGATGAAGTCGGACAGAGCGTCAGGGAGTTCGTTGTCTTCAGCACTAGCCAAAAATCCCCTCAGGTCGTTCTTAACAAATTCAGATGGATAGTAAGGACTGGTACTGGAGGAGTAACCATGGTCCGAACTGAAAGTGTCGGGGGTGGAACTGTTAGACAATTGTTCTCGGTATTGCCAATCCAAGTAGTTGTTAGGAGAGTTTTCGTACCCCATACCCATTTGGCCATATGGATGGAACTGGGTGTTAGGTCGGGAGGTTCTAACTGGACCTCGAGAGAGAAGATCTTCCTTATCGGATTTCTTTTGTTCTTCTTTGTCTTTGGTGGATTCTTCTTTTGTTTCCTTGTTCTCCTTCTTCTCTTCTGCCTTCTTGTCATCTTGTTGTTCTTTCTCAACCTTTTCGACTGGTGGCTTTTTCTTTAGACTGATTTTGCTGATTTTATCAGTGGTGTCTTTCAGCAACAAGTCATCAAACAGACTGTCACTGTCTTTGCTGAACTTGGTGGTCGTGTTTGTCTTTCTTGCTAACGCACTGGAACGAAGGTTCTGGAGTTGTACGAAGTCAGCGGGGTTTATGTCATTGGCTTTTTTGGAACCTGACAACTTCTTTTCCGGGTTGACTGTCATCTTCGTCATACTTTCGATCAGACATTCCTCGACATCCACAATGTCAGTCTTCTTTTTGTGTGGGACTGGCACAGCCCGAGCTACCAAGCAAGAATTTGCTTCGTCGGCCATTGTTAAGTCTGTAAAATATTAATACAGTCGTTAAATCGATATTTTAAAAATAGAAAAAAAACAAAACGCGCGATCATCGCTGTCCAGAAACCAGATGTGAGTGGACAGGAGATGGTCAGAAAGCTAATTCAGACCGGGAGGTCGAGAGATTGGAGCGCATGAAAACAGTCGTACAAGAGCGACGAACTTTAACATTCGAATAAGACACGAGACTGGGTGGATAAACAAGGAAGTAAAGGCGTTCATGCCATGGCTCGGCCCCCTTTTCGCCGAACGGCCAATGAAGTGAGGCCGCGGGGCCGATTCACGGCCACCACGGGTTTCTCGATGCCGTGGTAGGTATTATAACTAAAAATAACACCACACGGTAGATTTCATAACCCCTACAATTCGCAAAATGGTGTATTCAATGCCTATAATTTGAAAATTAAGTGTCGAATTCAAAACGCAGCCACGTTTTACGTAAAAACAGTTATATGTACTACAATAGCTATAATAATGACAAGTGACAAAACAAAAAGCCGGAACTAAACTCTTACATCGTTTCGAACAGACTTTCCACAAACCTTTTTAGTTTTATTTCTAACAACTTCGAAACGAAGTTAAAGTAAAAAACAAAAAAGAGTGCTTTGAGAGAGGAATCGAGACAGCCATGACTGGAGGGGGAGAGAGCTTCGTTTTATACGAACATCGGCTGCTTATGAAAACAACAAAACGGGAATGCATACTGTTTGTAATTGCACAGGATACTATGTTATTGTTCATTTTGAAACGCTATAGAGACGCAATTAGCATAAAGTATTATACATATTTTGATTTTGAAATAATTTTATCATTATGATTTTTAAGGTTAAATTCAAAAATAAGTATAATATACAAATGCAGTACTATGTGGTTATTTTACGTATACTACGTTCACAAAATATGGCCCGTTTTCTCAATAATCAATTTGACTATTTTCTGCCACGAAAACTATGCTTGCTAAAAGAACAAAGTTGCTTTGGCATTCTGTGTCAAGTAAAAATATTTTGTGCGCGGGCTGTTTTTTATGATAAATTTTTTCTCAATAATTACCTGAGCTGAGATTGATGTTTCTGTTGAACCTCACTGATAGAAAGAATGTTTTTGTTATTGTGAATAACAAAACTACTGCAATTAGTGGTCTTTTCGGTTTTTTTTAAATTAATTATTGATTTTGTTTCTACAGCTATTTTCACTTTATATTCGCGCTCTACCAAACCTAATATTTTTTTAAGTTTACAAATGCTACCCATAAAGTTTTTTTGAAGAAGGTTTTTTGTTTACAATTAGCTATTTTTACGTTTGTTCGTTATAATGCCTTCATATATAATTATTTTGAGTTTTTAGTGTTAAAATCATATAAAATGTTCTTTTAGGCCGTATCCAGTAATGCTTGAACCGGTCATTTCCAAACCTATTTTGGATAACGTGGCGAAGGCCGTGGATTCTTCAATGGTACTCGAACCGGATGTCAAGTCTGGTATTGTCATGTATATGGAGAGTCTGGTAGATGATCTGATCAAGGAAACGGCAAAGGCGGCTACCGTGAGGAAGAGTACAGAAGTCAAGGCGAAAGATATTGACTTTGTTCTACGTAAGTACAATATCAACGTGCATGGTCCTGCTTCTGGTCAACCTAGTGCCAAGAAAAGTAACACGACAGATCAACGGCAAGCGATGATTGACCGAAGTGTCAGGAGATGAAGTACAAGTGGATCTGCACGTTTTATTTGGTGATAAGAATTGTATTCTGACATTATTTGTGTATATTGCTGAGTGCCTTTCTCTTTCAAGTCCTCCTGGTCTCATACCTCCAGAGTTTATATTATATTACTTGTACACATATAGAACAACATTTATTTACTCGAACAATACAATAAAACCAGTTATAAGGATGATTATTATTGTTTGAAAATATTTTTGGTAAGCTATATACCCATACACTGACTAACAGACAATATTTAAATTTTGTACGATCTAACAAATAATTAAGATTGTAGAAGCGAAGAAACAGTGAGAGACGTTGAAAACTAGATATTTTGAAAGTCGAATGCTGATTATTGTGGAGCAAATCTTTGAATATAAGAGAAAGAGTTGGACATGTCCATCTCGGGATCTCCGCTCACGGAGGGGAGTTGGACACTGTTCAGCGTCCGTGAGGAAGACGGATTGCTAGGACGATGGTTGTTCATCTCCTTGGACTGAGCCACCGGGTTTGAGCCTACAGCCGGGTTGATAAGGTTAAGTGCTGGTGGTTGATGCGCCGAATTTTGAGGTTGATTGGACGGCATCGACGAGACGTCCATTGGATCAAAAAACGTGCCATTGTTAACGTGAGATGGGCGAGCGATGAAGGCTGGAGCGCCGCCAATGAAGCCGTTTAGGGCCATTTCCCATTGGACTGGGTCTATGACCTGGTTGCCGTTTATGGGGCATTTCATGGTGCTTGCTACAGGTTTGGCCTGGGGATGTGAGGATTGTGGGATTTGCGGCGCCGGAGCGAACAGTTGGGTATTGAATGATAAGGCCGGGTTACGTGTTTGTACGGCGCCTTGCAGAAAAAAATCCGGAGGGAAAACAGCGGCGGCTGGTTGCCATGGGAACAGGGATGCTGTAGCTGCTGGTTGGGTAGCCAGCCCGTTGGCTTGTGGCCACGCTGCCAAGTTGGCCAACTGTTGTTGTTGCGCTGCACTAGGTGCTGCTCCAGTCAATGGGTCTACAAACATGGGCATGTAAGATGACATCAGAGCGGGGGCAGCTTGAGGGCCAGCGAATCCGACGAATTGCGGTTGTCTTCCTAAATATACAAACTTTGAATTAGTTGTTATTGACCTACCGTAAGGTAAAATAGCAGTGAGCGGTTGGTAGATGTAAGGTTGAGCCGCTTGAGATTGCTGGGAATTAATATAAGATTGGAATACGTTCAACTCGGGAATATTAGCAGCGGCGGCGAGGGCAGCGACTTGGCTGGCTAGTTGTTGAGTGTTGGCTGCGTTAGCCATCATAGGGGTGGTAGTGGAAGGTGGTAGATATGCTGAAGGTGCAGTGATAGCAGGCGTGGCATTCTCCATTCGAATACGTTGAGTTGTGTAAGAATGGCGGTCAGTCCGGTAACACACTTCCATCCTTTGAGTCGATAGTTGCAAGCTAAAGTAAAATAAGTTAGCCATTAGACAGTTCAAAATACTTATTTAAGGGTATAATAGTAAAAGAAATGGCGCCTTTTTAAAACTATAACTTACTATCTGGTTCTTCCCATGTCAGAAAGGTGTGTCATCTTGACAAACTTGTGTTGTAGCCCTCCAGACGGCGTCAACCGCTTCTCTTGATCCATGGACAACATCAGCTTGAGAATGTCTACAAACTCTTGTCTGTCAGCCTTCTCACACATAGCATCGATGCTGTCCATGTCGTTGTGGACATGGAGTTCGGTGATGTCGTCCAAGCAGTTGAAGACGTACTTTCTGGTTTCCTTGGACTTGATCGAGTTCTCTGATTCGAATTCGGCCGTTTCCTTTAACCGCCAATATGGCGTTGGGTTTCTGATCTGACGGAAGAATCTGTTGGTCTTCGTAGCATTCTCAAGCATGTGTTGAGGAGGAAGACCTTGAGTTTGGATGATAAACCGAATCTGATCGTATTCAGAAGCACCCGGATACAGAGGCCATCCCAAGAAGAGTTCGGCGATTACACAGCCAAGACTCCACATGTCGATTGATTCCTTGAAAGGCAATCCCAGGATGATTTCAGGGGCTCTGAAAAAGGATTATTAATATTAGAATATTGTGTTACTGCGTAGCAAACAACGTAAATAAACATGCTTTACTTACCTGTAGTACCTTGACTGTAGATACGTGTTAGTGACGGCCTTACTTCTATGGGAAGCTGACCCAAAGTCAATTACCTTCACTCTAAACGGCTGATTCTGTGGATCCACTAACATTATGTTCTCCGGCTTCAAATCAGCATGAATAAGTTCGAGTTGCTTCAACTTCAGTAGCGCTGTCAGCACTTGTTGGAGTATAGGACGAATATGATACATTGGTAGAGGGGTGAACTTGTTCTGCTTCAGGAAGTCGTACAAGTTCTGCTCCAACATCTCGAACACCAAACACGTGTGATTCTTGTGAGCAAAACATTCGAAAGCCCTCACAAAGTTGAACTCCTCGGCGTTTTCGTTCGAGAGCTGAGTGAGGATGTTGACTTCGATTTGTCCTTGTCTGGCGTAACTCGGGTGTTTCTTTAAGATTTTGATAGCAACGATTTCATTGGTTCCTTTCTTCCAGGCTTTTACAACTTGGCCAAAGGTACCCTTTCCCAGAAACTCGAGAACTTCGTACTGATTACCGTAAGGTGAGCATAGCACTTCGTTTTTGATCAGCTGAAAAGTAATGATTTTAAAACGTTATTAGTATTAGAATTGTCAGAAAGAAAACTAAAAACAGAAACTAGAAGTTTGTAACCCTTACCTGATATTCTCCGTCATTTCCTTGACGCCCCTTGTTGTTCGGCTTTGGATTCAACAGTTGTTTGCCAGCATTTGTGGATGATTGCTGGGTTGAGATGTTGAGCTTGGGCTTTGTGTCAACGTTGTGCGGAAGGAGATTGTTCCTGGACCCGCCGTAGAAGTTGTGTTGGGAAGAGAAGGGGGCATTTCCTCGGACAATCGAATGTTCTAAACCATGCGATGAAGCTTGTTGTTGTTGTTGCTGCTGCAACGCGTTCTGGACCACCAAGTTGAGTTGGGAGTTGGCCAAGTTGCTCTGTACTCCGATCATTCTTTGGACGTTGGCCGCGACTGCTTGATTGATAAATTCTAGTTCCTGCATCTCATTTTGACTTATCTGCAAAGGCTGAGTGCCGGCGTTCATAACACTGGAGCCGTTGTTCAAGCTGCGGCGTGACGTCGGATGGGACGTGTTCTCGGGAGTGGTATCCGAGTCGAGAGTGATTGTGGAGACGGAATTTGAAGCCGACGGTGGTAGAGAATCAGCGATGTCCAACGTGCGTTTCCTCGATTGTGTTATTACCTTGTTTGCCGCCTCAGCGGCGTATGAGGCGCGCTCACCAACTGATACTTTGGACTCGCAATTTTGGCTCTGAAACAGACCTTTTATCCAACGACCTATATAAACCTATAACAAGCAGTCAAACCTATACGAGCAGTTAAGGGTATGTCTCCTTTTGCTTTTGTGCTTTTTTTGAAATACACAAAGTTAAAAAACCGGCACACAAAAATGCGAGAGTTGTTAGCGTCGACATGTCGCCATATTTTTTACATTTTATCGAAGAAGAAAATATTTTTTATTTATCGATTACTTGGTTTCTAAACAACACTACGTATATGTAATTCGACTGGTAAAACTTACGTCGTCAATCAAGATTTCTTCTACCAGGGGTTTGACACCACAGTTTTGAGAAGGTTGAGTGCCGTGACTGCTGTGAGCGACCAACTCGGGATAATTCGAGGCACCCTGGGAAGGGTTTGAATTTTTCAGCGGAGCCGGTTCGACCGGCGTGGATTTACGCTTTCGATTTGCGGTGCCGTCTGCGGGCATCCAAAACCTCTGAAAAAGGGGTTAGGAACGAGGATTGACGACGTACTTCTCTGCTCCACTACTTTCCAATCATCTGGACAACAAAGAGTGAAAAAGAATCGCGAACGATCCCACCGTTCCTCCGTTTTCAAACGCGTACCCTCGTTCGTGTAAACCTGAAAACAACAGTCAATCACACAGACATTCCTGACATAAACACAAGGCTAATTATACAACTGTAGAATATCAACGAATTTTTTGTTCACGTACTACAATACTCGTCCAACCAAACCACTGTTCTTACAAGACAAAACGGCGAGCACGAGATTGTAGTCCTGGTACGATACTGTACATGCACACCTCTCGATGTCCGTGCGTTGATGGATAAAATGTCCTTACTATGAAAATTTTCAGGGTCTGTATGGAGAAAAGAAAAACGCTAACCCCTTCCTCTCCCCTTTTCTCCCACCCTTCGAGACCGAGTGTTGTCTATGTCTGGGCTCGTGTCTCATTCCGTCGGCTTCTCTGTCACGCGCCAGCGGTCTCTTCTTGGGACCTTCTCTTTCTTTCGCAGCCGTGTTATTCTGTGGATTGTGTTTGTCTGGTCGTACGAAGGTGCGTTCTCGTCTAGACTTTCTGCGCACTCTCCTCCGAGTTTGTACTCTTTTTGTTTTATGATTATAATATTAACAAATGCATCGACCCTATAACTATCCCGGTAAGCCATAATCTTCACATAAGCCATTTAATAACACATTATACCATATTCGTTTTCAAATGCTCTAATTAACTTGATTACTTATCGATTGCTAATTTTCATTTCGGCAAACTTATAATTGAGAGTTATGATTGACTACAACAACTGGTTGGCGTGTACCAGGATGTGGGTTCGGCACTGGCAAGATTAACAATTGCAGAGTCGGCTTCGGGGCCTTGGGAGGCGATAATTAGACGTCTGAAAGTTTACAATTGATAAGTATCGTATTTTCAAAGTCAAATGATAAGGGCTTACCTGGCAAGAGAATCGAACGTTTCTTTCACGTTCTGTCCGGTTTTGGCACTGGTTTCGACGTACGGTATGTTATAGGCCTATAACGAAAATGCCTGATTAAAAAAAGTAGACATTGACTACATTATAAAGAATATAAATATTTTATTACACTTGCCTTGGCAAGTTGCTTAGCTTCGTCGTATTTGACTTTGCGTTGAGAAGAGAGATCTACTTTGTTTCCGACTAACGTCATTTGTACTGTTTCTTTGGCAAATTCTTTAACTTGTGTGAGCCAGTTCTGAAATCAAACTAAAGTTTTTTTCTGAACTTACTCGAATGTTATCAAAACTGCCTCGGTTTGTGATATCGTACACCAAGAGCAGGGCGTCTGCATCTCTGTAGTAGGACGAGGTAATAGATCGAAATCGTTCTTGACCCGCTGTGTCCCAGATCTTAACTCTTGGTCTTTGTTAACGGTCTGGTTAGCCTACCTGTAGCTTTACTTTGTACTTGTCCACCTCTACTAGTTTATTCTGAAATGTTTGTTTGTGGACCAAAGCTTATGTTTACCCTGTAATCGATGCCGACCGTTGATATGAAATTGTTGTTCATGAAAGTGCCATCTTTGAATCTGATGAGGAGACACGTCTTTCCGGTACAACTGTCTCCCAAGAGCATTACCTAATAGAACATGTTAGTTAGTGCATCAAAGAGGAATTAGGAAATGTATTTTGTGACTCTCTAATGGCAACAACAACCTACTGTGTACGAGAAGTGCGCATCGGCGAAGACCGACGACCTTTTGCGAAGGTCCTTCATATGTTCTACAGATTGTGAAGCAGTAGCCGACGTTTTTTTGTTAATTCCTTCTAGAATCCAACTCACATTTAGGGCGGGCCGCACTTGAATGTTTCCTGAAGGCAACAAGCACTCTTCTTTAGATAGGGTAATAAACAACTTGAGGGGGGATGCGAAATTATATTACATACTCAATTCGGTATTTCCCGAGTCATCCTACGAATCCGAAAAGTGACATTTCTGATCTCTCAACATACGAAATCACGTAAACAACGCAAATTACCGTAATATGTTACACTACGCAGCCCATTTACAGTTCGGCCCAACTTTTGAAAGCAAACCGGCTTCGAAAGTGTACACGCCAGAGATTACACTTTTGATAGTACAACAAGAGAAAAACTTGTTATGCCACGTATGTAAATTGTAAGCGGAGCTGGCGGAACCTGGCAACACCTTCCTTTTTCTTTGTCCAACCCATGACCAGCCCGAACCCAAGGATGATGACAAAAATAACAAATTGTAGACACATTACATTCCATAAGAGCGAGAAAACAGATTTGACAAAGCCGTTGAGCTAACTGCGGAAACCTCGTTTCTTGCGGAAAACAAGGACGGCTTTGACCGCCGAGAGAGGACAACGTTCTTCCCCGCTCCTTCTCCAACAGAAGCCTAATAAGAGTAAAGCTCTTCAAATATCTCGATTCAAAACAAAGCGTTTTGAATACATGAAGAGACACCTAATTACAGAGTTGGGTTACTCGGCCTAACCCACCCCAAATCCCTTTAACACGTCCATACAATCTTGTTTTACGCCACCCAGCACGTCATGTGTATTACTTTAATGAAAACGTCACCATGAATCTAGACGCCTGTTCCCGAATGTAAATCCTTTTCCTACAGTTCTTATATGAAGTTACTCTCCAAAAATTACCATAACATGAAAGTAAACAAGTTGTTGTTTACACGCACATGAAAATCGATAAGAATTGACGGCATCAGAATAAGTACGAAGTGTAATACAACGAGACAACGTTGTTTTCGGATTACATTTACTTATTGCCCATGAGTACCGACAAAGGGACGCCTTTATGTTTTCAAGTTTGTTAAGGTTTTTACAAAAAAGTTATTAACAAGCATTGTGCACATAACAAAACCTACAACTTGTACTCTTTGTAATAGTAACAAGTACCAAAAAATAATAAAATCTATATAATACTACAAATGTCAAAACACATGACCGTTGAAAATAACGGCTGAGTAGTGGTCGGCTTAAAAATATTTACAAATTATAGTTATGAATAGGCATAATCAGACGATACCATACTCAAATTAGACACGAGTTAACGCAATGCTACAAAAATCCTATAAAGTTTGTGGCATTTCGTTTCTCCGTAAACAAAAATAAAAAAAATATTTTTCTCGTGAAATGAGCGAATTGGAGAAATTGTACCACGAACGTCAGAAACGACAGTTTTGTCTTCTGCACGCCCTGAATAATTTGTTTCAATGTGAAGAGTTTAAGAAAGAAGAGCTGGATGGAATATGCGAAGAGTAATATTATTGTTTTTGATTTATTGGTTTTAGATTCGATGACCGTGTTTGGTTTAACCCTCACCGATCCTTCATGGGGCTTGGCAATTATGACGTGAACATATTGCTCAAGTGTCTGGAGACACGAGGTTTGGAAGGAGTTTGGTTCGACCGACGAAAGCAAGGTTTTGCATGTTAATATGGGCTTGGGATTTAGTCAGAAGTATAGTCTTGTTGATAAACAGCAAAGATTGTGAAATTATTGGCTGGTCTTTCCAATCATAAAGAAGAATTTATTTCAGATCTGCCGTGGATATTAATTGTGATAATGTCATTGGATTTGTTTTTAACATCCCGTCGGACTCGTTTTTAAACCTTATTGTACGAGGTAGACATTGGGTATGTATTTTTTATGCATTTTTGATATAAAGTTATGTTTTTAATTTTTTATATCAACTAATTGTTTTTTATACTTTTTTTAGTTTTCCGTCAAGAAGATTGGCAATTTTTTTTACAATTTGGATTCGAAACAGCCCGAGCCCACGGTAATCAACGACTTCATACTTTTCACGAATTCAGTGTTGTCAAAAGACACTCAGAATCAGTTATTTTTGGTTGTGAAGCCAGAAAACAGGGACAATGTATTTATCTAACGTTTATTATGTACATAAGACACCGGTTTAGAAAAATTGTTTGTGCTGAAAGTGTTTCATCTGGTATGTCAGTTGTGTTTGCGCGAAAAGGACTTCATTCAGTTCTCTGAAATTGACAATGTATATAAGCTACTGTTCAACATATTTTGGAAATTTTTCATTTTAAATTACAGATGTAAATTTGGAATGTGATATGTTTTGTACTTACACTTTCTTGTTGTTCATGGCAGTTGTCATCGCATCGATGGCAGTCTGAATCCCGTCCAGGTTTTCAGCTTCTTTCTTTCGTTTCTCTTCCCATTTGCCTGTTTCTAGTTGTTCTATAGTTCTTTTGAGGTTTTTCTAAATTTAAATTAATAAGACCGTAGTGTGACACTTACATGTTGTCTAACTAGTTGTAGGAACTCGTTGTCAGTTTTGTCATTCATTTCGGCGCTTAGCTGCGCTAATTTTTCTTTGTATTCTTCGATGAGTTTCCTGAAGTGGGTAAATTTATGTAGATATAATTTCACTGTTTCGTCGGTAATTTCGAAACAATAAACTTATTTTTGTAAGACTTACATTTGATATAAAATAATACTTTCAACCTCGGTTCTGGTTAGGTTTAAAGCGTCTAAATCACAGTTGGCATAGGACAGTTCTTCTGCATTAATGGCATTTAAGGTTGGCGTTGACAAGCGATTTGGAATGTAGTCTGCAAGATTAATCACTTCTGTCATGAATAATATATTGCAGCAAGCACAATTTTAGATAAATTTGTAATGATGAACAATGACTATTGGCCGATTATTAATTTTAAAACAAATCGTGCTAAACGTTACCTGGAGGGCTGCTTTTGGCGTTAGAAAGAGATCTACTTCGTGGCAAGAAATTCCTCATTCCATGTTCGGGTTCGACTTCTCTCATCTCAAGCCGCAACTCGATTTGTTGCGCAATAGAATTTCGAATAACTTCGGAAGGTACTTCACCTGATCGGAGAAAGTACTCGACCTGCTAAAACGGTAAACTTATTAAATTTTGAAACGAAAACTCATGTTTGATATATTCAAAAGTGATATGCTTACATTTGCGGGGTTTACCGCCACCAACATGAACTTTCCGACATGATGGTCAGCTTGAGCCAACGCTTGGATGAGATCGTTAGTGGTGGCATCTTGGACGGATCCGGTGATTTGTCGTGGCACGCCTTTGACAAACACGACGAGACTTTGCATCTCACATTATCCTGAAAAGCGTGGGATTCAAGAGAGTTTAAAGCCGAGGTTAAATTTAATAAAATGTGCCGAATTGAGATGTGAATTGCCAGCCATGACCTCCATTCCCGTCGCTTAGCCGGTCATTGTTTAAGGGACGCTAATAGTGGTCGTTTTTGTTGCAAATAAAAGAAGGCGCGAGACATGTGAAAAGAATGAGAAACGGGGATGGATGGTTGGGAAAGGGATGGGCGACACAAAACGGCGGCCAAGCGTCCGGCTGGTCCAGAAATTGAAATATTGCCGTGAAATCTCTTCATCTCACTTTTCACGGATCATGTATGAGTAATAGGTGTCAAATAAATACTGTAATGCAAACTGAGTAATCATTTTTTAATTATCAACTTTTTTTTATTCTCACAGTAATTACAGTATATTCAACAAAAAGTTACAAGAATTATGAGTTGGTGCAAATAGGTCTAAATATATTTTGTTTATTTTATGTTAACATTGAAAGACACATTAATGGTATTTTCAGGCTTTCGAATTCATACCGAACTCTAAATTACGGTAACAAAAGTTTTGTAAAAAGAACAACTTGATTCACTTATGTGTCAAGTTTTCTTCCCATATTTTTCAGTTTTTAAAAAAATAAAATATTTTTTTTGTAAAAAGTTTGTGTAAAATTTGTAAATCTGTATAAATATTTGTAAGTATTAGTTTACGAATGACAGTGGAAAGAAAATTCTGTGAATTTGAAGGATACACTTTTGTTGTTCCGCAGGATGTTGTTCTACCTGTGCCTGCATTTATTTGTTGCCCGGGGGCTCACGAAGGCGAAAAAGTTGATGTAAATATAGTTCCAGAAGTAACAGACGATTTCTGGGACGAGTGGGATGAACCAACAAACAAAAAAGTAAGTGTTTGTGACATTGACATTGAGTTTTAGACGAAAGTTCAAACTGACAAAGAGGTATGGCAGCAAGATTCTGTGGTTTTGGGTAAAACAACTCATATTGTCACGCCATGCAGACAGGAGTTGCCAAAACAAGACGTTCCGACTGTAAATTTGGATGATACGTTTTATCATAACGATCTTCAGTGGAATGGCGATTTCACCGAAGAAGAAGCATTTAACTTGGCCATGAAGTTGTCCATGGAGGAGAGTCAACACGGGGACGATGTTGTGGAGCTTACTGATTCTTTGGACGAGGTAGTTTTACCTACAGAAAATGAGACGGGAGATTTGATGATAGCGGAGGGATCTGCTGAAGTTACACAGGACTCCCTTGTTGAAGAAGGGGAGAAAAGATACTTTATGTTTGGGGAAACTCGATCAGGTAAGATGATAATATACTGCTGGCAATATGTATAATATCGGGACACCCTCTATCTTTGAAATTACAGCTTTTCGATTTTGTGGGTCTAGTAAACTACTTGTTTCGTGTGGTGCCTTAGTAGTTTTTGGCACTTTCTCAGGATAAAATTTTGTTTTCAGAATCAAAGATACATTATCTACTTTTTTATAAATTTTAGGTGTGGTGACTGGGTGTATGTAGGCGTAGCACACAAAATGTCAAATCATTGAGTAGTAGGACACTTCAAAGATAGAAGAGGTCTTATAGCAATGTAATATACCATTGGCAGCTCTTTAGGTAAACAATTATTGTCTTAACGGTTGTTTTATAGATATGCATGGAAAGTTCAAAGGATATCTCAAAGACAACAGTAAAGACTTTGATGACAGTAAGTTACATTTTATTTTTCTAAGTTTAATTATAAGTTATTAATTGTAATTTTTTAGAAGACTTGGATGACAACACTCGTCAAGCAATGTATCAGGCCTTGAACAATGTTTTTGGTTTCCGAGAGTTCCGTCACTGCCAGAAGGCGGTTATTATAGCTATTTTGAAGGATCACGATTGCTTCATTCTTATGCCTACAGGGGCAGGAAAGAGTTTATGTTATCAATTACCGGCTCTCATGTCTAACGGGGTTACTGTAGTTATTTCTCCATTGAAATCACTAATGTCAGATCAAGTTCAGAAGCTACAGGAATGGAAGATTCCGTGCTACTGTCTCAGAAGTGGATTGTCGCGACAAGAAACCGACAGAATCTTTGCTGACTTGACCAGTGAAGATGTGAATGTCAGATTGTTGTACGTGACCCCAGAGATGATGGGGAAGTCAACTACATTAAGAAACACATTAATCATGCTACAGAAGCGGGGCAAATTGAACAGATTTGTTGTGGATGAAGCACATTGCGTGAGTCAATGGGGACACGACTTCAGAACTGACTACGTCAAGTTGTCCGACTACTTCAAGGAGTTCGGGAAGGTACAGGTTATTGGATTGACGGCTACAGCAACTCCTAATGCTGTAATCGACATCAGGAAGGTCTTGCGAATGTCACGTTCAAAGCTGTTTATCAGTAGTTTCGTCAGATCTAACCTCATTTATGATCAGGTTCCCAAGAATCCGAAGTCATTCCAAAAAGTAATGGCACTTTTGAAGAATAAGTACCCGAAACAATCGGGAATTGTATATTGTTTATCAAGGTAAGGTTAATAAGTTGTTGAACCCAGTTGTATGTTTTAGAAAAGATACCGAGACTGTAGCTGAGAGTTTGGTCAAGAACGGTATCTCAGCTGCTGCATATCACGCTGAGATTGGGGATTCTACAAGAGAAAAGATTCAGCACATGTGGATGAGGGGTGAAATTGATGTTATTTGTGCCACAATTGCCTTTGGTATGGGTATCGACAAGCCCGACGTACGCTATGTTATTCATCACAGGTAAGTAACCTATATTTCATGCGTTACTTTTACTTTTTTGTGTGATATTACTCACGTTTGTAGTATGTCAGCATCGATCGAAGCTTATTATCAAGAAACCGGACGTGCAGGACGTGATGGATTGCCAGCGGTTTGTATTCTGATGTACGGCTACAACGACCACATCAGGCATATGAAGATGGAAAAGTCTGAAAATCAAGCCATGAGGAAGAAGCGGCTTCAGGGGATCTACAACATGGTATCGTACGGAGAGAACGTGTCGGTTTGTCGTCGAAAACTTCTGGTTGAACACTTTGGTGAAGTAAGTGATTGCACTATCAAATGTTATTGTGGTTAATATAACGCGTTTTAAAGACTGCCAGTTCATATAAAGTTCCAAATTCTATTGCTTTTAGTTTTATGACTCGGCTACATGTAACGCCAGTAGCACTCCGTGTAGTATTTGTGAAATGTCAAGGTCTGTACCCATGTTCAAACCATACGATTTCACGGAAGAAGCTGTTGTTGTTCTCAAGACCGTTAAGCAACAAAAGAAGATCACTCTGATTCAATTGGTCGAATCTTACCATGGGAAGGGGGCGAAAAAAGCTGGCAAAGGAAAAAAGGTATGTCATCCTTATTATCTGTATTTTTTGGGTGATGCACTCTATAGTAAATTGAGTGCTTCTAGAATCTTGCATCCCTTGACATTGCTAGACGTGGGGAAGGCTTTTCCGAAGAAGACTGTAGCAGATTCATGAGGAAGCTGGTGATAGAGGGACTTTTGGAAGAAAAAATATCAGTGTCAAACTATCATGGACAAGAAGTGTGTTACGTGTACGTTACAGACCTGGGTGAGAAACTTATCAACACCAAGACTCCCAAGGTGTACTCCCACTTGGCAGTAGGAAAGAAGAATATTAACCAGAAGCTGTTCCACATGACCGCAGTGACAGAAGCGATGGCTTTGAAAGAAAAATATCGTCTGAAACATGTCGATGTATTCCAGAATTGTAAACGGGCTCTGATCAGCTTTTTCGACAAACTGGCGCAGCATGAAGGGTTGGGTAATTACACTGTAAGTGGCTTTTATATCAAACAGCCCTTCTTTTACTTTCTCTGTTTAACTCTATATTATTATAGTCTATTATCACATCTGAGGGCATCGAACAGCTGGCTGCGATGATGCCTAGAACAAATTCAGAGATTCTGCAAGTCGACTCAATGACGTCAACGAAGCTACAGAAGTATGGAGCACGCATAATGGATGAGATGCAACCATTCTTCGATTCAGTAGACCGAATAGAACATGCGGACATTCAGAGAGCTGTTCATGGATACTAAACAGTGGTCTTACCATGCTTATTTGTTTCTTCTATGTATATGACACCTCACAAGATTGAATTTATTAGTTATTTTACGTTAAATATGTTGTTGTTGTATTAAAGTTGAGAAAGTTCGAGCAGGAATTGAGCCAACACCTGAGTTCCTTTGATATAATTCTTGATATCGAGTTTTTCATTTTGCGAATGAGCCATATCGTCACAAGCTCCGATAGGCAACAACATTACCGGCTTTTTGGTCATCTCTTGGAACGTTAGGGTCACAGGGATACTTCCACCTTCACGGGTGTAATCGGGCTTTACTCCGTAGACTATAAGAGAAATACATAACGTAAAACGCTTTTCCAATAAATTTAGACTGTAATCAGTAGGAAATCATACCTTTTTCTAAAGCTCTAGCGCCAGCACTGTACAAGTTGTTGTTGAAGTCCGCCACCCATGGTTGACCTCCTTGTAAAGCCTTGACTTTCATGTCACAATGAGAACCGAGCTTCGCCCATTCCTTCTCAACATGAGAAATAACCAATTTGCTGACGGCATCTGGCTCCATATTGGGCACGATTCTGATACTGAATTTTCCGATGACTTTGGATGGTATTACAGTTTTAGCTCCAGGAGAGTGGAAAGCACCTTCGATTCCGTGCAAAGACAAAGCTGGGTATCTCCACCTATTCATCAAGATATCCTGAGGGGATTCACTGACTAGTTTCTTGCATCCGATATCATTGGAGTACTCCTTAAGATCAAAGTCAATGCTCTTGTACAACTCTTTCTCTGCGTCAGTTAAAAGCGCCACCAGCTTTTCTAAACCTTCAATTTTGATTTTGCCATTTACATCGCTTAAACGTGACATAACGTGAATCAAGCTGTTCAATGGCTCGTGTCTATAAATATGAGTTTTATGTACACCTTTTTTCGTTTGATTTGACTAAATAACAATAATTATAAACTTACAAGGTCCCTCCATAAATACCAGAATGAAGGTCTTGCTTCGGAGATGACACTTCGATAGCATAATAACAGACACCTCTCAGCCCATATGTAAGACAAGGTTTGTTCTTCCCCAGCCAGTAGTTGTCAGAAATACAAGTAGCATCAACATCGTGCAAGAAGGTTTCTTTGTTCTTCAACAAAACTTCGTCCAAACCTTCTGATCCACTTTCTTCCATTCCTTCCAGTACAAACTAAACAATTTAGTTGGCTTTAAACTATGTTTTATACGCGTTCTGTTTAAACACATAAATTAAAAAATTATATTTACCTTGATGTTGACTGGAATCTCCACTTTCAAAGCTTGAAGTACCTCAATAGCATTGATCCAAGCAATTACAGGGCCTTTGTCGTCACTGGATCCTCTGCCAAACAGTTTGCCATCAGTCTCGGTCAACTCAAAGGGTTCAGTATTCCACCCATCAGACTTCTGAGCTGGTTGAACATCTAAGTGACCGTAGACAAGAAGAGTCTTCTTGTTCTTATCCTCTCCTAACGTGCCAAATAATACAGGAGGAAGTCTGATGGTGGATCCATCCAATAACTTTTGCGTTCCGTTTTCGACTTGCTTACACTTCACACCGAGAGCGGTCAGTTTCTAAACATAATTAGATAAGATTACAAACTTCTCACTTTCTCCGCCCAATCAATCATTTTGAAGACATCTTCTCGGTGTTTCTTATCAGCCGAGACGCTAGGAATGGTCACTGCATCACGGAGACGTTCGACAAACTCAGATTGACGTCGCTCAACTTCCCTAAAAATAAAAAGTACTAAGTTTAGGTATAAAAAATATTACGTTTTTTAAATTGGATTAAAAAAGTTTTCAAATAGTTCCACTATAAGTTTTCCAGACCCCATCTGAAATATAAAGACATCATCACTTTAAAGAATTTAATCACAAATTATGGTTTATAAGAACTTACTGACAAATCTTTTCCAGCGGCATTATGCTGTTGTAACGAAAAACGGCGTGTTTTCGGTAGACTTGACCTCAAAATGAAAAACAATTTTCGGAATTTGTTTTGGTCAACGATCAAAAGTAAAAGTTACAATAAGAATCAATTGTAGAAACTCGTTATCGCGAAAAAATAAAACGGAAATAAGTTTGTGTAACGTTAATTTATAAAGATCAGTATAATAAGTGAAATTAAGATTCGAAAACGAAGTGCTTGTAGACGTGGTTGAGGTATAAAAGGTCAATCAGGCTTATCAGTAGACGAGCCTTCACGACGGACGCCTCAAACTCAGACGGGTTATAACCAAATTCGATATTTCGCTGTGCAAGCGAATCGTCAACTCATTAATCTGCACATTTATGGAGCCGTTAGAAGGCGCCTCGATCCTTTGATTGTAAAACAGTTGAAACGGAAATGTTTCCCATTTCGATTCATATCGGTAACGAAAATCAATCTCTGAAATAACAACACCATTAATTGAAAGGGCAGATCCGGCAGTTTGTTTTTGTTTCCCTACTTTTGAGAAATTATTCACTTTTTTTAGATACAAAGTTAACTGAAACAATATATGGTTTTAAAAATGTTTTGTAAACCTAAATTCATAATAATTCTGGGAAGTAACTTACGTTCTACAAAAACATAAGAATTTAGCATGAGTTTCAACTCGAAGTTATTAATGTCTCCGGTAATGTTTAGTGGTTTCTCCCCGTAATACATATCTTCAATCATTTGCTTTGTAACCCGTAGATCAGTACACGTAGCATTCTCCAGTGTAGGCTTCTGATTCTCGATGAGAACTGGCAATGGCTTGTTGAGGAACACCCTTTCCTTCGCTTTCTGGATCTTCCCATACAAAGATGAATAATAGCCAATATGTTGGAACAGAGCAGGTCGGCAATTCAACCGGTAGGTCTTGTACATTTTCCTTATACACGTTTTCCTGGAAGGAGCATCCTGACAACGATCGCCGAAAGTAAACTTGTCCAAGGCCCAGTCGACCGGTAGGATGTTGTACAAGGGAATGTCGAACAAAATGAACTCTTTCAAAGTCTTCATTTTGAACAGTTTTCCGATGAATCCATAGATGGAGAACTCTAATATGACCCATGGTTTGTCTGCTTCTTTGTCGATAAATCTCTCAATATGGCTGATAAATCCTGAAACATGAAATTTTATTTTAAAAAACTGTAGATTACAAATTCGAAGTTACCTTTCTTTGTAATTACATCGTCTTCCAGCTGAATGTAGTACTTGCTTGAGTTGTAAGCGGTATAACAATATGACATTAGATAAATAAAGTCATTTTGTTGTTTGGTTCTCCAGTAAAATCTTGAAGATGAGTCGTTTAAGTTCAGTTGGTTGTGTAAAGGTTCTGGAAAGTGTAGAGGCGTCCAACTCAAAGGATAAGATACGAATTCTAGTAGTCCTACGGAAATCGACCATTCGTACCTAATCTTTATTTCTTCCGCCAGGTCATTACAGTAAGCGTTAGTGTTGTTGTAGCTACAGGATACCACAAACTTTACTCTGTGAACCTCTTCATCGTACATCTTGTCCAATAAGTCGTCCAAACATTTGAAAAGATACGATCCCTAAAAGTAAGATTTTTTGTTTTTAAAAATCTTGATTTCTCTGAAAACTACTTAATATGACAAATTAAAATAAAATATAACTTATTATAATGTAAAATAAAAACCTACATTATACCTAGGTGATGTTGGTATGCCGACAATAATATCTGGAGTGCTGCGGTGAAGGTTTTCCGGCGCAGAAATGTACACTATGGGATCCAGATTATCCAAATCAAAAAAGTTTAGATATTGTGCAGGTACTGAGTTGTTGTTAATCAGCACGAAGTGGTCTTCTTTGGGCCTGATGCTCTAATAAATATAATTTCTAGTAAATATTAACTTACTTTGTTATTTCGGACGTCAGTAAAGTAATTAACACATGAAAATATGCAAACAAAGACCAAGACTAGTTTAGTAGAAGTCAGTAAAAGTTTGCATAATCTTGGGGTTCCTTTTACACGAAGCATATACACAACCGTTCAAAATGTCAATTTCCTGCTGAATGTCATAATTTTTTGTAAAGTTCCAAAATAAATTCAAACTCTGAATTCCAAAAATTTTAGTAAAATGTAAAAAGGTTCATTTGTGTTTCGTCTCAAAATAAGCAAAGCATTCTTAATTTCTGACATTTTATCTTTGAAGAAAACTTGCCATTTCGAAATTTGTATTGTAATATACAAAAACATCACTTTACCTGCAATAACCGTTGTTTTTGATAATACTATCAAATATTCATGTGTTCAAAAGGTAAATAGTGAAGGAAAAAGGATGTTTGCATTGACGTGAACGCTCTTACTAATGTTTTATCAGAAAGGACAGACAGAAAGATTTTTGAGTAACACACAGTTTTGCATAAATTAAAACTAGAAAAATTGCAATATTACAGAGTTTTAATTGAGCTATTTGGTTTTTTTTGTTTCTGTATGACTTTCAAGGCGATTATACGGTATTTATTCAGCCAATAGTGACACTTCGTTCGTTTCGATAACGAAATGTCCGAAAAAATAATTTTTCTAAAAAATATTATGGATGCGGCAAATTATTATGCGAAACAGGCTATAGCGTACGACAGTTCTGGCCATTTCCAAGCTGCTGAATACTTTTACTTAGTAAGTTGAGTGAGATTGAGATGTATTCTTGCAGGAAGCTGCGCGGAGTTTGGAAACGTTAGTTCAACATGGAAAAGCGAATTCAAAACTGCTGGAAACGGCTGGAAAATACAAGAAACGAGCTGAGGTGATCAGAGTAAAAGGTAACGCATTTATTGTTTATTATTTCGTGTTTAGAAGAATGTGCCGTCTCTGAGAATGTAAGATCTACCGATCAATCGAATGAAGATCGGATTGAGTTTGTGTTATCACAAGGGCTTTTGAAAGACGAAGCTGGAAACTTGCAAGAAGCGTTATCGTTGTATACACAAGGTGTGGAATACTGTTTAGAGTTTGTAAGTTTGCACTCATTTAATCTTGTTTTACATTATTTAACTCTATCTGAACTTAAATATTTTGAGGCTAAACAAACCACTTGTAATGAGGTAAAAAGAAAGTTTCAAGAACTAGCTACTATAGCGATAGAAAGGGCTGAAAAGCTTAAGAAGTTACTTGATGATTCTCTGTTGCCCGCTTTCCCAGATGTTCCGGTAGATGATATTACAAACATAGAAATACCGCGAGGGGAGGAAGGAATTCCGGCTGAACAACATCACACGGTAGCTAAAAAAGGACAGGATTGTCTGAATGGCGAAGAGTTGAAGCTTTTGGCTTTTACTTCCAAGATTAATGGGATATCGTACATGCCATTCTTAAATGATCATCTAAGGGAGAGATTCGCTTTTCCTATGCCGTTTACGTGAGTTAATCTTTTGACTAATTTTGGTATCAAAGAAATGTTTCGTTGATTCTTTTAATAGATTTAATCTCTTTATGTCATTATTATACGTTCAGTGACAGAGATGGATTGTTGGTTTTATCCGAGAAACAAAAAGCACGACTAAAGGGATGGTTCCGCTTGTCAGATCTTTGCCAAGAGCCTAAAATTATAGAGAACATCAATTCAGCGACTATTAAACAGGTTTGTTACCTTATATTGTGTTAACTCTGTATATTGAAAAACTAATAAATATCAAACGTTTTTTAGAACTTTGTGTCTGACTGCTCGTTTGTTGCATCACTTGCAGTAGCTGCTCAATACGAAAGGAAATTTAAAAAGCCGTTGATGACGAATATCATCTACCCGCAAGACAAGAATCGACGACCAGTGTACAATCCTTGTGGAAAGTACATGGTGAAACTGTATTTAAATGGAATTCTGAGGAAGGTATTGATAGACGACAGACTTCCAGTTGGTGGTGAAGGAGAGTTTCTGTGTTCTTATTCTCAGAAGAAAAACGAGTTTTGGGTACAATTGCTGGAGAAGGCATACATGAAGGTGATGGGTGGTTATGACTTTCCTGGCTCTAATTCAGTAAGTATTTTTTTTTACTTTACAGTATCAACGTTATTTTAAAATTGCCAATTTTGTTGTTTCAGAATATTGATCTTAATGCACTTACTGGTTGGATTCCTGAGAGAATACCTTTACATTCTAAGACAGACCCATTTGACAAAGACACAATTTTTGAGAAGCTGTTTCAACGCTATGGTCAAGGTATGTTTAGCATTACAAAATTAATTAAAAATTTCTTTGGATAAAAATTACACTTTCTTTAGGCCACTGTTTGGTTACACTGGCTACTGGGAAGATGGAGGAATCTGAAGTGGAACGATCTGGATTAGTGGATTCTCATGCCTATGCCGTTCTGGATTTGAGAAAGTTCAAAGACAAGAAGCTCCTGCTACTGAAGAATCCGTGGACGCATCTGAGATGGAAGGGACGATATTCAGAGAAGGATACACAAAGCTGGACTCCAGAATGGTGCAAAGCGTTAGACTACAACCCGAAAGATGCTCAACAGTTTGACGACGGTGTTTTCTGGATTGATTTGGAGTCAGTAGCACACTTCTTCGACGTGTTTTATGTAAACTGGGATCCACAGCTGTTTCCGTTTAATTATGTCCTTCATTCGTAAGTCAATGCTGTAGTTTTCTCAAGAAACTTCTGATAAGATGATTTTTTGTTTAATGGTTATATTTTTTCAGATGTTGGAGCGCGGGTCAAGGGCCAATTAAAGACTTGTACACAGTCAGTGACAATCCTCAATATCGGTTGGAGGTTAACAACAAGTTTGGTGTGGCTGTGGTGTGGATTTTGTTATCAAGACATATTGTTGACAAAGTTAGTTAACGGAGACTTATGCTTAATAATTGCTGATTATTTTAGAAGGATTTCGAACACAACAAAGAGTATATTACAGTAGTTGTGTATCCGACTGGTAAAAGGATACATCTACCAGGTAAAGCTTTGTAAAGGTTTTCTAATGATCTATGGATAACGATATGTTATTTAAGCAATCGAATTAAAGAATTGTTTGTTTTCTAACTTGTAACAATTATATTGCTTTAGCCTTCCCCAAACCTTTGATCGATGGGGCCAGGATTAATAGTCCTCATTACTTATGCCAACTTAAGATAACAGAGCCAGGCCTACAGAAGTATACGTTATTAGTAGCTCAAGTAAGTTGACAATAACAATCAAGAGACTGTTTTAGTATGAGAAGTCGACGACAATTTACTATACTCTCAGACTGTACAGTTCAACTGAGTTCTCTTGTATGGAGATAAAACAACTTCAGAAGCAGAAGACGGTAGGGTTTGATTAAATACTGTTTAAACGTAACATTGCTATTGTCCAATACGTAAACAATGTTATTATGTGGATTTTAGGTGTCAGGGGAATGGAAGGGACTCAATGCTGGCGGATGTGGAAATGGTGCAAGCAGGGAAACAGTCGGGTAGGTCCACTTTCTGTTTATAGTACACACAAACTTAGAAACAACCCTATCTTCCAATTGGAGTTGGACGATGGGAGCGATGAAAATACCGTCTTCATCGACCTCCGTGGTCCAAAACAGTACTCCGTGGGGTTTGAGGTGGTCCAGGTGTCCTCGAGAAGAAATAAAACTTTTTCAAAATGTAATTCTGGCGACTTTCGTTCTGGCTGCACGGTGCTGGAGTTGCGGTCTGTGCCTTCAGGAGTTTACTCTATTATGCCAATGACATTTCAACAAGGCCAAGAAGGCCCGTTTCTACTCCAAGTACAATCTCATACTGGTTTTAAATTGAAACGAGTTCAATGATCACAACCTTGTCTATGTTGTTACTCAATTTTGTTTACGATAAGCCTCATTATATTAACTTAAGGGTCTGCATTACATATAACTTGGAAATACTCAGTCTTTCAATTACAAAAGTTTAAAAAAATAAGTTTATGAAAGCAATAAACGTTCTATATATTCATATTCACTTATATACAAGATATTGGAGGTTTTGGCAAGTTGTTGAAGCCCGTTGTGTGGATGAGATCTATCGGATAGTGCGAGTGAGTTGGATGAGTTTGTGTGGAGCTGGATCGGTCTTGGATGAGGTCCATTTGAAGTGAGCATCAAACGTTCCCTTCAGTTTACACAACTCTAGGAACGCCGGTATGTTACCCGAACAGTTGGCATAGTAAGGTCGGGAACAGATCAGCACGATACCATTTGGCGTCAGAGCAGCGTCTAATATGTCGTGAATGGCTTCGAAGTCGGCCTCGTCTACGTACAGTAATTCTGGAGCGAGGATTACATCAAACTTCTTTCCCCCCAAACTGCGGATGGTCGAACTGAATGTTGATGTGTTGAACTTGCACCTGTTCTTTGGAGCTTTGTTCCTTCGCATCGTAGGCTTTACAAAGAGTTCTAAACTAGCTGGATTCCATGGATGTATCGTGACTTCTGATGCTCCACTATCTAGTGCAAACACACTTGGGAGACCAGTGCAGAATCCGATCTCAAGAACGCTTTTGTCGGCCATGAGTTCGGTGTCCTTGTCGATCTCGAAGATGTCGTCGATGGCTTGGCACATTTCCATGATCCCTTCCCAGTTTTCGCTGTCGCTTTGGGCTAAATATCAGATTTGATGATTGTGATGACTGACTTACATTCTGACGATCTAATTCTTTTGAAAAGTGCATCAGAAGTGCTATTTTCAGTTGGAAATGGTGCTACGTATCTCAGTGTACGATTGGAGTTCAACCGAACTTCGGAAGGCACGGTGGGGATTGCAGCAGGCTTTGTAATCACCATTTTGATTTTATTAAAAGGAATCTTTAAAAATAAGGTTGTGGAGGCCTTTTAAATGCAAGAGAATACGAGGCGGAGTCGAAGTGAAGGATGGCTTCGGCCTTTGTTTGGCGTTCTCTCCTCTTCGCACGACGTCTTGCTTTTGTTTTCGAGAGAACTGTGGGTGCACATCTCCTCTAAACATACTCTGGAACCTTCTGGCGTTTGTTTTCCGTCTTTTGATCTCTCTTTCTTTATTTATGGTTAAAGGCAGCCGGCTCACGTTCTTATCATGTGAACAACTGGAAAAGGAGCCAGTGCTATCAGCAGTAAATATGAACTTATCGTTCTTTTGACACGAACCACGTGTTTGGTGTTGTTCAACCTTTGAAGAGCAGCATTTACGGAAGTGATATTACAAAAATAACTTGCAGTAACTGTAAACAAGGCAATGAGTAACCCGAAAAGGAACGGACGGTTCACGGAAAGGGCGAAAGCCGTGCTGCTCGAAAACTATTTATAAACTACAGTGTATGTGTTCCGGATCTAAGATGAAAGTGTTGAAACTAGTAAACAGGTGCGAAAACAAAAAACATTCTGCAGAGTTCGTTTTTGGTCCCTACCCTCTTCTTGTTTACGTAAAGAACATAGTGAAGATAACGATAGTAAGGTTATTCAAATAGGTCTCACAAAGAATGTACTTTAAGCTGTTTTCTGGTACGACAAACCCAATATCCCATGTCTTGGGAACAGTTGTCCTACAAACTAATTACGTGTTGCTGATCTGTTCTGTGATCACTTGATCCGGATCCGAAGTCCATCACGAAATTCACATGTTTAGTATTACTTATTCAATGCTTTACAATCACAAAGTATATTAATGTTGGCAGTTGGGTAGTTTCTCCCGGATGGCTTCGTTCTCCTTCACGGCTTCATCGAAGATATCACTCATTTCGTTGTACAAGTTATCCACGGGGACACCACTCCGGCTGTGTAATATCGTTTTATCTTGGCTGTTGATGTTGATCAAGTTGACCAGAGGCTTTTTGGCTGGCTCGTCGTCGGCGTACTTTTCATCCAAGAAAGTCTGGACTACAAACTTGACGTTGTCGATTTCCTGAAAAGGAAATGTCACAGTAAAAATATCATACTATAATATGGTATGAAGATAAAACTTCTATATAATAAAAAAGACTACACTTACTTGTTGATCTTGAGCACCTCCGTTACTGTCTATGACAATGTTAACTGTCATTTTGCCCTTCTCATCGCATGGCTCTTTCTGTTCACTCAATGGTATCTTGGTGACATCTCGCTTTGTTGTACGATGAGACATTGTGGTATCGTAGTCATCGCCGCCTACCGTAGTCTGACTGATTCTTCCACACAATGAGCTACGAATAAAGTCGATCTTGGAAGAGATGTCATCAATGTTGTTGATTGTCAGAAGACGTTCCTTGGCATACTCTACTCCGACCAGTCGTTGAAGAGAAGGTAGCCGTGCTTGAGATGGGTTAATTCCCAGGACGAACAGCTGGATGTCATGGGTATCGCGGAGTTCTTGGGCAAACTGTTGGCCATTACCTCTGAAAGAAGTTTTATAATTAAATCTTGTTAAATATAAGGTGAATTAAAACATTGTAAATGTCATTTTAACAATATTTTACCTGTAGTTGCCGTTTGTGATCATGAGGACAACCTTGGCTACCCCGCCTCTTCCATGTAGTCTGAACTGTTGTCTGGCAGCATCTAGACCCTTTAGGGCGATAGCTGTACCTTCCACCAACTCGCTTTCTTGAATCTTCTCCAGAAGTTCGATCTTGTCTTCGTAGTGTCCTAAAGCCACAGGAACGCTGACTTTGTCGCTGTAAACAATGAATCCAACTCGTACCACATCTGGAGCCAGGTCGAACGATTCATCGACCAAAGTGCCCACACTTTCCAGAGTTGTTGTGAATTCTTCTTGAGTAAACTTGGAAGAATCCAGAAGCACGACAAGGTCTACTTCGTATTCGACCGTAGAACATTCTCGTGTCTGTCCAGTCGTAGCTGGTCGTGTTGGACGTATGGGCCAAGCAGTTGGGGCACTTTGGCTTTCCGGGGTCAGAGCACAGATTTTGTCAGCGATTGGTCCGAGGTGGGAAGGCTCCAGTGACTTCCAGTCCTTGAATCGGAATACATTTTCCTCATCTCCAGTAATCAGCACATTATCACTGTCAACTTCGCCGGCTGTTACCACGAAGACATGTGCTCCATTATTGCGAAGTTCGGTGGATGGAAGTTCGACATCGTCACTACAATTCAAAGTTCAAAAAAGGGAACTTCAAATTCAAATTTCACTAATTTAAAAAGCGATTATAAATTAAATAACAAACATACGCAGATTTGCCGCCTTTGAACACGATCACTACTTTGGCCGAATCCTTGGCTCCACTGATCTTGAACTCACTGACAGTATCTCTCAGTGCTTCTCCAAGTTGTGCAGAGCCTTTCAGTCGACGAGCATCGCCGATTCTGCTCAAAAGTTCCCCAGCGTTACTGTAATCTCCAAGAGCGACTGGCACGTCTACTTGGCTACCGTACTTGATTAGTCCAAGCCTGACCTTGTTCTCCCCGAGGTCAAAGTTCTCTTTGAGGAAAGATTTGATGGTTTCTTTCATCAATCTGTACTCCAGAATCTTGGTGTTTTCAGAAGTGTCTACTACTAGAATCATCTCGATGTAACGATCTACATAGCAGTGCTTGGATTCCTTGGCTCTGAAATGCTTTGTATTATACCTTGTTAACTAATCGTAACACGTTTTAATCGCTGGAAAAGGAATATACGTACCTTTGGTCTTGGTACACATAGTTTCCGTTATCATCTTGTTTTAGAGGAGTTCCGTCAGCATAATGTGGGATACCGTACTCATCCACCTCAAGTGGAACGTTGTTGAAGTCAACGTAGAGCCCCGTAGGATTAGTGGGTCTAAGAGTGCCATTTTCATCGACTACAGGCAATGGTACTCTTCCTGACTTGTCGCTAACTGCACTCGTCTCGTCTTTGTACACAATTTTACCTTCATCTACAGGTAGAAGAACACCGTCCGACCCTATATAGTTGTTATCATCGTCAGTTGGTATTACGTTTCCGTCCTTTCCAACGTACAATCCATCTATACTGGTAGGTAATGGCTGTCCGTCAGGATCAACCACCTTAATCAGCGTGCCAGTACTGTCAGTAGGTAGAATAACTCCTCCGGAGTACACAAAAGTCTTGTCGTTAAGTCTAGGCAACAACTGTTTGTCTTTACCAAGAGGTCTTCCGAAATCGTCGATGGGGATGGGTTCACCTCGGTTGTCGAGATACCGCCCTGAGGAATCGGTTTCCAGGGGTGTACCGTCAGGTCTGACAATGGGGTACAAGAACTTGCCGTCTTCGTCAGTAGGAAGAACGGTCTCTTTTTCCTCGGCTCCTGGATGAACGGCCTTGTTCTCTTCGTTAAACGGCAATGGCGATCCGTCTGGTCCCAGGTACTGTAACTGGTCGTTGGTGGGGATCGGGGATCCGTCATCCAAAACAAAGTTGCCAGTTTCATCGGTCGGAAGCAGGTTTCCGGCTTTGTCGACCACTGAGATTGGCAGCCCTGAAGAGTGAGAGGGCTTTCCGTCGTGGAAGATGTACTGGTCGTAGTTGTCGGTTGGCAGGACTTCTCCGGTGTTTTTGTTGATCGGTTTGCCAAAGTCGTTGACTGGAATCTGTTCTCCGTATCTGTCAATGTATCGACCGGTCGAATCTGTTGGCAACAATGAGCCGTCTGGTCTCACAATCGGATATACTACCTTCCCAGTGTCATCTGTAGGCAATGTTCGACCTTCTGGCTCAGTCACAGCTCCGACAACGACCTGGCCTTCTGGATTGAATGGCAGTGGAGAACCATCGGGGCCCACGTACTGGTTGGCCGAGTTTGTGGGAATTGGACTTCCGTCTGAATAGATGTAGTTTCCAGCCGAATCCGTAGGCAAGGGGCTACCGTTTCCATCGACGACCGTAACAGGGTTGCCAGAGGGATCTGTTGGCTTAGTTGACACTACAGTATCTTCGCCGTGCACGTACTGTCCTTGCTCGTTCTGCGGCAGCAAGCTGCCATCAGGAGACAAAGGTCTTCCGTAGTCGTCTAACGGAATGATGTCACCTCTGTCATCTGTATAATGACCAGTATAGTCTGTAGGCAAGGGTAACCCATCTGCTGATACGATAGGGTAGATCTTTCTGCCAGAGTCATCAGTTGGGAGAGTTTTGGCACTCGAATCGTATATGGCTTCACCGTTCTCGTTAATAGGAAGCAAGTTACCGCTGTCGTCTACGTATTTTAATTCATCGTTGACTTTGATAGGCTCGTTGTCAGGCCCAACATAGTTTCCTAAAAATAATTTTTTGATTAATGTAAAACGAATCGTATAATACTGTAGTGTAAAACGAGTTACACACTGACCTTCCGAATCTATTGGAAGTGGCTGGCCATCTTTTCCGACTACTGGAATCACGTTTCCTGTAGCATCAGTAGGACGAGCAGGGAAGGAGTCAGGATGAACATACTTTCCGTTTTCATTTTTGGGCAAAGGAGTACCATCTGGCCCCAACGGTCGCGAGAATTCGTCCAGAGGAATGAGTTCGCCTTCTTTGTTTATGAACCGTCCTTCCGCGTTCTTGGGCAGAGGATGGCTGTTTTTGTCCACAATAGGATACACAACGGTTCCAGCTTTGTCAGTTGGCAGGACCTTGGGTTCAAGTTCTTTTTCTGGGCTAAGTACAACTTGGCCGTTCTCATTTGTAGGCAGAATTTCTCCATCTGCGTTCACATAATGATTGTTCTCTACCTTGACTGGCGTTCCATCTGGGCCAACGAATTGGCCATCGGAGTTGGTTTCCAAAGGCAGACCGTCAGCCCCAACTACTACCACTGGCTTTCCTTGGTCATCAACAACCTTGGGAGTCTCAGCGGTGTAGATATAATTTCCTGCACTATCTGTTGGCAGAAGTGTGCCGTCCTCCTTCAAAGGCCGTCCATAATCATCAGTCTCCAGAAGCTGGCCATCTGGTTTGACGTGCCTTCCAGATGAATCGGTGGGTAGAAGGTCTCCGTTCACATCGATAACTGGATGGACATCTTTCCCAGTATCATCGGTTGGCAAAGTTTTGGGCTCCACTTCAGAATCAGCGCCAATTACAACTTGTCCTTCTGCATTTGTAGGTAATGGTGATCCATCTGGTCCAACAAACTCGTTCGCTGAGTTGGTGGGGACAGGGACACCATCTGGATCAACATACTTGCCTTCTGTATTCTTTGAAAGTGGAGTACCGTCTGGTCCAACAGCAATAATCGGCCTTCCAGTACTGTCAGTAGGGCCGACAATCGGAGTAAACACGTATCTGCCTTCAGAATCTCGAGGTAAAAGAGTTCCATCCGCATTCGTAGGTTTGCCTGAATCGTCAACTTGAATTGGCTCGTTGTTTGGACCAATATGTCTTCCAGTTTCGTCAGTCGGTAACAAGTTACCCTGGGGATCGACTACTGGGTAAACTTGTCTACCGTAACTGTCAGTAGGAAGTGTCTTTCCAGTAGCATCTTCAGCTGACAGTACTACTTGTCCATCTGAATTTGTAGGTAATGGTTCACCATCAGGTCCTACATATTCATGGTCGGAACTTGTTGGTACTAAAGCACCGTCTGGTTGAACGTAGTTGCCTTCGGAATCCTTCTGAAGCGGAGCTCCATCAGGTCCAATCACAACCAAAGGCTTTCCACTGGAGTCAGTCGGCAAGTTGGCAGGTGGTTGATTGACGTATCTTCCATCACTGTCTTGAGGTAGCAGGCTTCCATCTGGTCTTGTTGGTCTGCCGAAGTCATCTACAGGAATGGGTTCTCCGTTTGGTCCTACATGTCTGCCAGTCTCGTCAGTGGGAAGCAAGGTACCATCAGAATCGACCACTGGATACACTTGTTTGCCATAAGAGTCTGTGGGTAATGTCTTACCGACCACTTCGTCTCCAGAAGGCATGATGACATTGTTGTACTGATCAGTTGGCAGTGGAGATCCATCCGGTCCAACGTATTGATTGTCGCTGTTAGTGGGTACTGGCTGGCCTTGTGGATCGACGTATCCGCCTTCTGCATCCGTGGGAAGTGGGATGCCATCTGAATTGACCACAATAACAGGTTTTCCTGATTCATCTGTTGGCCTTCCTCCAGTAGAATCGGTAGGAAGTTCAGTGACTACAGGCTGTCCATCCGGTCCGACTTCTTGCGTGCTACTGTGTGGAGTCTGCGGAGTATCATCAGAACGGAAGATGTAGTTGCCAGTAGCATCAGTAGGAAGAAGTTGTCCGTCTTTGTCGAGAGGTCTTCCTGACTCATCAACTGGTATCAGCTCTCCACTATCGTCCACGTACCTTTGAGTAGAATCCGTACTAACAGGACTACCGTCTGGATTCACAATAGGATATATGAGTTTTCCGGTGTCGTCAGTGGGCAAAGTTTTGACTTCTGGAAGAGAGTCTGCCCCGAAGATAACGTTGCCTTCAGAAGTAGTAGGGAGAGGAGAGCCGTCTGGTCCAACGTACTCGTTGGCCGCGTTTGTAGGTATCGGCTGGTTGTCTTTGTCAATAAATTTCCCTTTGTCGTCAGTCGTCAACGGAGTTCCGTCAGGTCCGACTACAATAATTTCCCGTCCCGTTGGATCGGTCGGCTTCACATCTGGCTTGAAGACGTAGTGACCTTCTTCATTCGTTGGCAAGACCGTTCCGTCTGGTCCAATTGGTCTTCCGTAGTCATCGACTGGAATCAGCTCGCCTTGATGGTCGACATGTCTGCCGGTTACATCAGTGGGCCAGGGTACTCCTTGAGGATTCACTACTGGATGAATCTCTCGTCCAGAGTCGTCTGTAGGCAGTGTCTTTGGCGTGTCATCTTCTCCGGCGTTCCACACAAACTGTCCCTCAGGATCGACCGGCAATACGGAGCCTTGTGGGTCAACGTACTGTAGGTCTGCGTTTGTGGGGACTGGGCTACCGTCTTCCATTATATAGTCACCGTTATCGTTTTTGGGCAAAGGATTGCCATCAGGGCCGACAATCACGGCAGGGTTTCCATCTCTATCGGTCGGTCTGACAATCGCAGTCGAAGTAAGGTAACTGTCTGCAGTGTGGTCTTGATCGGGCAGCTCACTGGGTAACAAAGTACCTGCCTTATCAGAGGACATGATGTAGTGACCCTTGTCATTTTGAGGAAGAACAGTGCCGTCAGAAGACATTGGACGGCCAAGTTCGTCAATGGGAATTAATTCTCCGTCTGGCGACAAATATCGACCGGAATCGTCAGTAGGCAGCGGTCGATTGTCAGCATCAACGACAGGGTAAACTTCCCTGCCTGTCTCATCAGTAGGAAGAGTCTGAGGAGCAGGTTCTTGATCCGACTGAAGAATTACCGTACCATCAACATTTGTAGGCAATGGCGATCCATCTGGAGCCACGTATTCATTGGCAGCGTTGGTCGGGATTGGTTGTCCATCTGGTTTGATGTACTGGCCTTGGTCATTCTTCTGCAATGGCTGTCCATCAGGTCCTACAACGACAATGGGGTTGCCTGATGCTGAAGTAGGTCCTAACGCTGGCTCAAATACGTACTGACCAGCATCATTCTCACGGAACAAGCTTCCGTCTGGCTTGAGGGGTCTTCCAGAATCGTCGACTTGAATTGGCTCATTGTTTGGCCCAGTATGTCTTCCGGTTTCATCAGTTGGTAACAAATTACCCTGAGGGTCGACCACTGGGTAAACTTGTCTACCGTAACTGTCAGTAGGAAGTGTCTTTCCAGTAGCATCTTCAGCTGACAATACTACTTGTCCATCTGAATTTGTAGGTAATGGTTCACCATCAGGTCCTACATATTCATGGTCGGAACTTGTTGGTACTGGAGCACCGTCTGGTTGAACGTAGTTGCCTTCGGAATCCTTCTGAAGCGGAGCTCCATCAGGTCCAATCACAACCAAAGGCTTTCCACTGGAGTCAGTCGGCAAGTTGGCAGGTGGTTGATTGACGTATCTTCCATCACTGTCTTGAGGTAGCAGGCTTCCATCTGGTCTTGTTGGTCTGCCGAAGTCATCTACAGGAATGGGTTCTCCGTTTGGTCCTACATGTCTGCCAGTCTCGTCAGTGGGAAGCAAGGTACCATCAGAATCGACCACTGGATACACTTGTTTGCCATAAGAGTCTGTGGGTAATGTCTTACCGACCACTTCGTCTCCAGAAGGCATGATGACATTGTTGTACTGATCAGTTGGCAGTGGAGATCCATCCGGTCCAACGTATTGATTGTCGCTGTTAGTGGGTACTGGCTGGCCTTGTGGATCGACGTATCCGCCTTCTGCGTCCGTGGGAAGTGGGATGCCATCTGAATTGACCACAATAACAGGCTTTCCTGATTCATCGGTTGGCTTGTTGCCAATGGCAGCTGTTGGAAGTTCAGTAACTTCTAATTCTTTTTCTGGACCGTGTACGTCTTCTTCTCCTCTGTCGTCTGTGGGTATTGGCTGATCAGCTTCTGTATCTGGATGTACGTCACTTGGAAGGACGTACTGTCCCTTGTCATTTTGGGCCAATGGCGTGCCATCTGGTCCTAGTGGTTTACCAAAGTCATTGACAGGAACGAGTTCTCCTTTCTTGTCAACATGTCGTCCTGACTCATCTTTCGGAAGCAATTCTCCATCTACGTCCACAATCGGGTACACTACCTTACCATAGGCATCTGTAGCTTCAGCAGTCTCTGTAAAGTCTTCTGGATTCACTAAATGAACTCGGCCTTCTGGATCGACCGGTAGAAGGCTACCATCTTCGTTGACATACTGATTTTCAGCGTTCGTAGGAATCGGATTTCCTTCTTCATTCAAATGGATGCCGTCTGAATTGGTAGGCAACGGAGATCCATCTTTGTCAACTACAACAATCGGATTTCCAGCTGCGTCAGTAGGTGGCACAATTGGCTTCTCAGTAGGAACGTATTCAGTAGTCTGTAACTCATCGTCTGGTCGGATCACGACACGACCGTAAGGGTCAATAGGTAACGGACTTCCTTGAGAGTCAGTGTACTCGTTGTTCTCGTTGATTGGAACTGGAGACCCATCAGCCTTCACGTAGTTGCCTTCGTTGTCTTTGGACAAAGGAAGACCATCAGGTCCTACTGGAGTGACTTCTTTTCCTGAACTATCAATTGGCTTAGGCTTTGAGTAGATAAAGCTTCCAGTAGAATCTGTTGGCAGAATCTTCCCGGTGTTATCTACAGGCTTTCCAGAATCATCAGTAGGGATAGTCTGGCCATCTGGATCTACATAATGACCTGAACTGTCAGTTGGCAGAGTGTTTCCATCAACATCGGTTACGGGGTAGATAAATTTGCCAGAATCATCGACCGGTAGAAGCATGGCGTTACCATCAGGATCAAGTGGAAGAGGGTTACCGTCTTTGTTCATGTACTGTCCGTCTCTGATGAGCAGAGGATCACCGTTAGTATCCAATGGTCGATCTTGTTGATCTAAAGGGACTGGTTGATGGTCCGCCCCCTTCACAACAACTGGGTCACCGGCAAAGTTGGTGGGCTTCTTCTCGGGAGTGTAGATGTAGTTTCCAGAAGAGTCATTCGGCAGAACTTGTCCATCTAGCCCCAATGGTTTGTTGTCGTCGTCTTTCCTAAATGGCTCTCCTCGGCTGTCGATGAAGCGACCGTGTTCATCTTTAGGAAGCGGGTATCCATTGGCATCAACGATGGGGAACTCCAGGTCTTTGGCAGCTTCTTCTGAAGTGTCAGGAGTCCCAAAAACGGCGTTTCCAGCAGAATCTGTTGGTAGAGGGTTGCCATCTTCATCAACGTACTGTCCTTCTTTCACCTCAATTGGACTTCCATTTTCGGCTAGCGGTCGGCCAGACTGGTCTGTCGGTAAAGGACGACCTTGGAAATCGACCACGTTCACCTTGCCACCGTCACTGTTGGTAGGTGCTACATCTTGGAGAACATAGTTTCCATCCGCATTGGTGGGTAGCACTTGGCCGTGAGCATTGAGAGGTCGGCCGAGGCTGTCAGTCTGAATAGTGTTGCCAGTTCTGTCGAGGTAATCTCCATCGTAGTTGGTGGGAAGAACATCTCCGTTGGTGTCGTAGATTGGAGCGTGTCTCTCTGTGGGAGTCACATCTTGTCCACGTTCCTGATCGTCAGCCTCTGGTGTGGGTGTTTCTTCTTTGCCATCGCTGAGGATATATTGACCTTGACTGTTCTTGGGTAGAATATCTGCAGTTTGTGGATGAACCGGGAATCCGTACTCGTTGGTTGGTATCTCAACGCCATTGTCATCTACATGGTGTCCTTCTTCGTTTAATGGCAATAGCTTTCCATGTTGGTCGACTATTGGGTAGACGATATGTCCTATGATATCGGTAGGGAAGGGTTCGTCAGTGATGTCATCGACATCGTCATTCCAACGGTAGTTCTGCTCGGCATCGGTCGGGAGCTTAAAATAAATTATTTAATAAGTTAAACTAAATACCTGCAAATAAAAGCTTGGTACGGGCTTAAATTTACTTACCGGTGATCCGTCTGGGCCAATAGGACGGCCATAAGGATTGGTTGGTATAGGTTCCCCGTTCCTGTCGATTCTCTGTCCGTCATCGTTTGTCCTCAGAATATTACCGTCGGATCCGATAATGGGATACACGTGTTTGCCGTTCTTGTCGAATGGCAGAGCGTGACCGTGGTTATCGATCTCCGGGTACAGCCAGTCTCCGTTCAGATTCTTGGTTAAAATCTCATTGTCTGGTCCCAAAGGCTGACCTTCATCGTTCTTTTCGATAACTTGGCTCAACTGATTCAATGTGTTACCATCTCCGTCGACCGGTAGACGAGATCCATCTACTCTAACTATCGGCCGAATCACACGGCCGAGGGAATCTGTAGGTAACGGTTGGCTGGTGATATCGTCTTCAAGGTAGATGGGTTTACCGTACTCATTGGTAGGTAAAGGAGATCCGTCGATGCTGTGTTGTTGTGACAGATCGTCGAATCTGTTGGTCTTGTCATCGTAGGCAGGAGTAACCTCGACCACGATCTGTTTGGTTTCCGTGTCAGCCACCTTCTTGCAAGTCTTTTCATCTTCTTCTAACTCGAAACCTTGAGGACAGTAGCACTTTACTTTGGCCTTGCCTTCCTCGTCTTTCTCTAGTCGACAAGCGTGAGAACAGTCACATTTCACATCTGCAACAGACGTTTAACAACAGCGTAATATTGAGTTGATCACATGTTTGTTTAAACCTTTGACAAAAGCATTGTTACCTACCTTGAGGTGGAGTCTTGGTGGACATCGGATCGCCTTCCAAGTTGCTTCCATCTTTGAAGTTTGTTACCACTTGGAAGTTGTAGTCTGTGTCAGGAGCTAGGTCAGGAATGACATTTCCATTCAACTTGGTGGGATCGACTTGTTGTGTTCGTACATTAGAGGGATCATTTGATGGCCACGACTTTATCTCGTAGTTCTGCAAATATCACAACTTTTAAATCAATTTTTATCAATAATCATGATCATATGGTGCTCAAACTACAATCATATAGGGACAAATTTTTCAAATCAACAGTCTTACTACTTAAAAACACCTACTTCAACGTCAGATGGCCCCACAGCCGGTTTGAAGTCAACAACAATATCGTCGTCAATGTTGGCTCCGACGTTGACAATCTCAGCCGGCTTCGGAGTAACGAACGACAAGATGGGACTCTCCAGTCCAGTGTTGGGGTCGGTGACAGTGACATAATAGGGTTTCCCCGGCAAAGTGTCATCTACCCTAATGTCATCCAACGGCCGACCGTTACTCTCGATAGTCCTCCATTCATCTTTTGGCTTCGAGGGATCGTCAGTCAACTTCAGAGTCCATTCTTTCGGATCTTGGAGACTCTCCTTGGCCTTGTCGTTCACATCGAGAACCACATCGTCACCGTCCTTCTTCGCCTTTATCAGACTGTTCTTCCAGTTTTCTGGCAACTCTGAAGAAACAGAAGGTATATCAAGGGTAAAAAGCGAGTGTAATTTCACAAAAATGCAAACATTTGAGCGTTCTTATCTTACCTTCAACGATATCCAAGTCAATAGTCCAATTGGCCTTTCCTAACGGATTCTGGGCTACACAATTGAAAGTAGTGTCTTCTGTAATGTTGTTCACGTTCAGAGACCACCGTGTAGCGTAGCCTTCGTTCTTCACGGTACTGGGGTCAATTGGAATCGAACCCTGCCGGATCCAGTTGACAGAAGGCGATGGACTGCCAGTAGCGTTACAGAAGACCAGTAATGAGGATCCAGGGAGAAGAGCGATCTTCGTGGTTCCTTCTGTTCCTTCACCTCCAGATGACACCGTGATGACAGGAGCGTTTCCTAAAACAAAGTATTTGAAACGAGTCTTCCTTTTCGTAAAATGATCTTAAATTTACATGATCATAGCGAAAAAACTTGTTCTCAAATAACACAAGGTTACTATAAGATCGTATGCTTATTATACGACAAAGAACGTTACGTGCCTTCAGGCAACGTCCGTGAGATGCAGGGCTCAGAGAAGACTCCAGGTCCTTTCGGATAAATGGCCCGAATCTTGAAGACATATTCAGTGTCAGGCTGAAGACCGTCGTTGAGAACATACGACTCGGCGTTACCGTCGTCGACCGAAAGCTTAGTCCACTTTGGTAAGGAATCGAACTCGTCGATCTCGATCTCCTTGTTGGCGGGAACGTAGAAGATCTCGTAGCCGATCGGGTCTTCTTCCACATTCTCTGGTCGTTTCCAGTCGATTTCGGCCGAGTTTTGGTCGATTGGTTCTACTCGAAGGTCCGTCGGTGGTCCTTCTTGTGCTGTAATAAAGAACATGACTATTATAATTAAAATAATTTAAAATAAAAGCGGGGATTAAAGATTAACATATGCCCCGGCGTACCTCTAGACATGGTGCGGATGTTCTGTTGTACCGAGTAAGGTCCAGGGCCATCGTCGTTGACAGCTTGGATGACGAAGGCATACGACGTGTCAGGGTCGATGTAATCCTTGATGGTGGCCTCCTTGTCTCCCTCGTTAACCTTCTCTCCAGTTACATGATGGGTCAGCCATTCTGATACTGGTTTACTTGGTACTTGTCCAACTTGTTTGCCAGGATCCTAAAGAATGTCAGTTACAATATGCTATTGATAATCGGAAACCGTCACAAACGCAATCAGATTACTATTTATCATGTTATTATCCTAGTGATCTTCTATTACATTATTATACAAACTAACCTGGTCGTCCAGAGGAGTGTAGTAGATAATGTAGCGGGTGATTTCACCGTTCGGTATCTTGGGTGGATCCCACCGTACCTCGATCGTGCGAGGTTTGTGAGCGTGCATATTCGTGATCTCTGGAGCATCTCCTGGGCCGGCTACGTAGATTTGGAAGTCGGTTTCCTCGCTGCCTCCAGTGTTCTCAGCTCTGCACTTGAAGTTCTTGGTGGTCTTGACATCGTTGACTGAGAGGACTGGACCTTCGCTGACTACATTGCCTTCAGAATCCACCCATGTGAATTTGGGAGGAGGTCGACCATCCGAGATACAGGTAACGGAATAGTCAGTGCCTGCGGGTACTTTGATGGTATTGTCAGGGGCATCCACATTGAAGGTCGGTTTTTCGGGAGCGATAACTAAATTTACAGTAAGAAATTGTAATTCATAAAGTATTACTTTTTAATATATAAAGTCTGTATATTTTGTTTAAGTCGGCTTACTTCCGCTTCCAGTCTCGAAAGGCATGGGATCACTAGAAGTACCAGTGATCTCGCCTTCTGGAGTGATCTTGATGTTGTACTTCTTGTTCGGTTCAAAGTTTTCGCCGTCAATTGGGATGGCTACAGTAGGAGAGTCATCTGGATGTGTCCATGTCATTTCCTTCCACTCTGTGCCTTCAGTTAGCGGGTCATCAGAGGTGTAGTGGATCTTGTAGTTCTAAAACAATACCAAAAGATGATTTTTATACAGTAAGCTTTAAATTTATACTGAATTACAGTACACTGTATTTAAATGTGTAAGATATATACCTTAATTTTAGTTTCCGGATTCTCAGGATCGGGAACAGCGTCAAATAAGATAGCCACCGTGTTATTAGGGTGAACATCCACTTTGGAGACATTGGGCGGTGGTGGAGTGATGGGTAACGTCTTGGCCCTCTGAGTATCCGATTCCACTCCAGGTCCTCGGTCGCTGATAGCCTGCACCTTGACGTAGTAGGTAGTCTTAGGCTTGAGCCCCTTAATAGAAGCCTCTCCTTGGTTACCAGGTACCGTAATCTCTTCCCAAGAAGTCGGACTTGTCTCGCCTTCTGGGATCTCGCCGTACTTGACGATGTAGTTGGTAATCTGTCCATTAGGTTCATCTGGAGCATTCCACTCGACCTGAATCTCCTGATCTGGGAGTGCTTGGATGCTCGAGATAACTGGTGGAGTACCAGGGCCTTGAACTTCGATTCTCAGAGGTTCGGTAGCTTCACCTGCATTGTTGACAGCTTTACATTCAACTACTTTGTCTTTCACAAGACCAGTCAATTGGAGCACGTTACTGTTGGTCTTTTCTCCATCAATCACCCAGTATACTGTAGGGTCTGGAATGCCATCGGCCGTACAAGTTACAGTAAGATCGCCCAGAGGATCGACTTTGGTTGGATTGTCAGATGGACTCAACTTGATAGTCGGTACGATCTCTCCAGTGCCAGTGTTGAAAGAGATGGTCTCGCTGGCTGGGCCTTCCGACTGGTCGTTTGTAGCCGTAACTCTGACACGGTACTCCTTGTTTGGCAGGATCTGGTATTCGTCTTTGTCCAAGGTAATGTTTCCAATGTCTTCAGTAGAAGGCACACTGATCTTTGGCCAACTCTTGTAGTTGTCATCGTTCGTCGAGGGGTCAGCTGGAGTCAGGTACACCGTGTAGGACTGAATAGGACCATTCGGTTGAGAAGGTCCAGTCCAGGAAATGTTGACGGAGTTGTCCGGAGCTACGGAAGCCAAGACATCAGTAGGAGCATCGATCGGAGCACCACTCTGGGTTTGGAATGGTACAGGATCAGACTTGACACCTTCACCATCGGGGTTGACGGCAGACACTTGAACGTGGTAAGGAGTATCAGGCTCCAGTTCTCCTCGACCGAACTGAATCTGAGGATCTTCACTAGCCGGGACGTCGAAAGTCTGCCATTGGTCGAGTGGCTTCGAGGGATCGGCGGAGAGGTAGACCTTGTAGCCAGTGATGTCACCGTTCGGATGGACAGGAGGCTTCCATTTGATGGTCACCTTGTTGTCTACATCAACATCAGGGTCGATAGTGACTGGTGGACTACCCGGCTTCTTGACATCGAAGGTCACGCTGTCGTCTTTGACTCCATCTGGATTCCTACCTTGACATACGAGACGTCGCTTCGTGAATGTCTGAGTCTCAGTTTCGTCAGATTGGTAAGTGTGTTCGGCATCTGGAGCGGGGTTTGTTCTGATGTGAATAGGTTCTTCTCCACTTTCAGTGCTGTCCAACGGTAGCCAGTTGTAGGACAACGATGGCGTCGGACGGCCTTCGGTGATACACCTGAACTTGATCTTCTGGCCTGGTTCTACAACAAGATCTTCTCCTGGAGTATAGGCTGGATCCAGAATCTCGAGTTTCGTAGTCAAAGGAATGTCTAAACATATCAAAGTTAAAAAAAGGTGTTACACAATACAATATGATATGAAAAAGCACATATATTTTAAATGAACGGCTTTATCTTCAAGCTACTTACGTTTCTTGCCAGTAGTAACTTCATAAGGCTCAGAGATGATTCCAGGACCATCGTCGGTCTTGGCCTGGATTCTGACGACGTACGGCGTGTCTTCTTCTCGATCTTCAATAACAGCTACAGTCTTGTCAGCTGGTACTACAACTTGTTGCCACTCATCCAATGGACTGTCGGGGTCCTTACTGTAGTGGACAACATATTCTTTTATATTTCCGTTAGGAACGTCAGGCTCTGTCCATTCGACCTTGATGCCGTTCTCTTCTGGCTGAGGGTGGATGTCTTTTGGTGGTGTTCCGGGCCCTAGAACCTTGACATTGATCTCTTTCTCGTCACTTCCTTCTTTGTTCACTGCTTCACAACGAGCTTTGCCAGTTTTAGTCGTAGATCGGGCAATCAGCTTGCTGTTGGTGACGTTGAGAGCGTCCATCTTACTTACATCGTACACACGGAAGTCATTCTTAAAACATTAACATCATAAATTTGTGTATTATACGGATGTTAAGGTTTGAAATGTTGAAGTTTAACAAAACTTACTTCTCCATCAGATACCAACTGATCGTCCCAAAACCAAGCAATCTTCGGCTTTGGTACTCCAGTGGCTTCACATTCAATTACCAATTCATCAGCGCTTGGCTTCACTTCAACGTCACCCTCAGGTTTCAATGTGATTTGAGGTGGTCTTGCTGCAATAATATTATATTCTTACAAACAACATCCTCAACATTATTTGTTGCAAGATATTATATTAAAAAACTAAAAGAGACCTACGCTTGAGCCATGTAGTAACATTGTAGTCCTTGCTAGGGAGTCCCACTCCATTAGCGTTCTTTCCCTTGACTCTGAAGGTGTAATCGGTCAGTTCCTTGAGGTCAGGAATCAAGGCCGAAGTCTTTCCGTCACTGTTCGTCGTCTGCCATTGGTCTTCTGGAAGCGAGGGATCATCTGTGTAGAGGATCTCGTAGTCTTCCATGGGTCCGTTCGTGATTCTCGGCGGTTCCCATTGTAGCCCAATGTCATCTCCATCAACGTTCGTTCTTATCCTTTCTGGTGCCGTTGGTCCCGTGACAACGACGTGGATTCGTTTTGAAGTCTTGCCGGCTTCGTTTTCGGCTACACAAAGGAAACTGGTCTCTTCCAGAAGGCCTTTGTGCTGAAGAGCAATGGATCGGCCTTCTTGAGGGTTGGAGATGCTTCGACCTTTGGATTCCCACACGATAACAGGTGTTGGGTCTCCTCTGATAACGTTACAATTCAGAGTGAAGGGTTCGTTTGGAGCAATTCGAAGTTCTTCACCTTCCACGATCTCAACAGCAGGTCTTTTGGCTAAAAAGTGTTTAATTTTTAATTTCAAGTGTAATTCTGTAACATAATATTGTTACCTAAAAACTTATGTTTTCAGAAAAAGAAGTTTTATGCTTATTTTGTGCCGTTCAACAACATATATAAACATGTAGCAATTTTTACACCCCACAATATTTTTTTCAATCGATAATTTTTGTTTATCAAAAAAATAGTAGTTTTTCTCAAAAAAACAAAATTTTGTTTGGATACCTTTCACCGTATAATGTTTCCCCACAGACTGCCCTATTTCGAAATATTTCGAAAATATTTTTTTTCTTCGAGAAACCTTGGTTTCGTGAGCTTCCACTTACCGGCTTCTTGTGTTTTGGCAGATACGGCGTTGGACAGCTTTCCTGGACCAAGATTGTCGTTTGCTCTGACCCTGAAGGTGTATTCGGTGTCAGACCTGAGGTCTTCAATGACAACGTTCCGGTTGGGCTCGTTCACATCCACCGACTTCCAGTTCTTGACCGGCTGTTGGGGGTTGTTGGTGTAGTAGATGGTGTAGTGAGTGATGGGGCGGTTGACGTGATCTGGAGGGATCCAATGCACTTCTACGCTGGTTCTGTCTGAATCCACTTTCTCCAGATGTGTGGCGTCTGGACCGGCTACTACAATATCGGCCACTTTCTCCGCTTGGCCGTGTTTGTTGGTTGATGTACAAGTAAATTGTCCGTTCTTCACAACGTCGGTTACCGACATTTGAGCATTGTAGGCAGCGTTGGGGTCTTTCTGTTGACCAAAAGGCTGATCGTCGTTACTAAAATATTACTTTAGGTAGTTTGGCAACAATTTGTTTGTTTTAGGGTTTCTAAGGCGTTGTTATATTTAGTTTTGTACTTTGTAAACTTAAAATGGAGCCTACCTTGTCCATATAGTGTCAGGGAATGGGTAACCAACACCTGAACAAGTGATGTTGACACTGCTTCCAGGCTCGTTTTGGTATGGTGGTGGTGGGTGGAGGAATATCTTTGGCGGTCCTTTTTGTACTAAAAAGAAGTTGTACTCTTGTGGCTACTTACATAAACACTTGTTGCCTGAGGGTCTGCAAGTACATGACAATTGGAGATCGTTGATGGATTCACAGACACAGCCTTGCAGGTTCTTACATTCGTTCTTGGGAGCCGGCTCTGGAATAATACTTATTACCAATTGCCTATAGTTAAATGGGTTTATGAATAATATGGGATACAAGATCGTGATAATATGTATAAGTTATTAGATCAAGCTGCGTCACTTACTGATACAAGTCTTGTCATCTACATCCAGCACCAATCCCTTAGGACATCTACACTCTACCGTAGTATTGTCTGGCGAGATACAAGAATGGCTACAGCCTCCGTTGTCTACAGCACAAGGTCCTTTACCACGGCATTCCGGGAGCGATTGTATCCATTGTCTTCCGCTACAGAAAACCGTGTCGACTTCATCGATGAGTTCGTATCCGTAGTCACAACGGTAGCGGGCAAACAGGTATGGCTTCAGGTCGTAGTTTAAGTCTTTGGGGATAGGCTGCTGATTCTGGCGGTAATATTGTTTGATCAGACGTTGGAGGTCGTCGGGAGCTACGAACGCCATGGCACGGACACTGAAAATGTATTATACTAGTACTTTTACCTACTGAGAGTTATCTTTCTATTGTGTATGTAACTCACGTCGCGTGTTTGATGACCGGCGGAGGAACGGGACCAGGACTTTGTTGTTCAGCTGGTGCAGGATCAGTACAAGTGGTGTCGAGTTGTTCGTACGATGGGAAACAGATCTCTCTGCCGCTCTTCTGACTGACGTGACATTGGCCTTGTTTGGTCGGGGGAATAATGGGGGCGGTTACTGTAATTGGTCGATAACTGCGGCACCGAAAAGAAGCACACCAAACACGGCAAGAAATAAGATTAGCGAAGCATTAGCACGACAGATATGTCAGGGGTTAGAGTGGAAGATGATAGGGCGCGATGTCTGTCCACTTCACAACATCATAGTATTATGGCATTCGTGTTGACCTACCTTCTTCTGTGAAGCCACAGTAATGCACCGCCTGGTCGGCGCTGATGACGCATTTACCCGTGTCGTTGCGGCCCGGTTGCTGGCGTCGCGTCGGATCTAAACGCAGCAATTTACGGAGATCGGCTTCAGACCGACTCAGCCGTCCAGCGTCGGAGGATTCGGAAGAGGGACTGGAAGAGGAAGACCAAGAAGATGACAAGTTTTGCCGCAACTGGTCGCATCGCGACGGTCGTGCTGAACGTACCGTGTACTTGTTGGGCTTGGTACCACTCATGACTGCAACCACAGGTAAAGAGCACACCTCCCAATCCGAGGACCCGCCTTATCTAACCACCCCCTCGGGCAGTGTTAAACAAACCAGCCGGAGGGTTAAAGTGTTGGAAGCCAGGTTAATGTTGGTTATGTGCTTTCACTGTGTGCTATCGTATCTCGTCGACTCTACGTACTTCGAGGACATTGTGTGTTTTCTAGGGACATTTCACTTGGTTTGGGTACTCATAAACATCATAAGTAACAAAGGAGGACATATTATAGTAGTTAGTACCGTAACCCGGACGGACTGGACTGTGAAAAGCGAAAGAAAGCGCCGCCACCTTTTATCGCCCAGTAAAAGAGTTTACCCAATCGGAGACAGTATATCGTATCTTGGCTGTCGGATTCGTTTTGCTTTTTCTGGGCTTCGGTTACCGTCTCTCGGTCAAGGGTCAGAATGTCTTCGGGCTCTGTAAGTAACAATTCCAACCGCAAACATTAGTACTCATTGGTACTACACTAACAATACTATCTGCAAGTCAAAGTCATCTAAGAGTGACAGTGTTTTAAGTACCTCACTAAAACAACATCACTTTACTCTTTTTTGCAGTAATACCCTACTGTTCGACGTGTACTGTAACCTGCAATCCTTTCACCATGTTAATCAATACCTAAAGATGTTATACCAGTCTAAACTTTTTAAGTAACTCTCTAAATCTGAATGTTAGATCAATCCAAAGTGGCAGGGAATGACAAATAAGGTCAGAGACGGACTACTGTAGAGCATGAGTACTGTAGATTAACGAATATGGCAAAGGATAAGAGGCGTGATGAGGGACCAGAAAGTGAGGAAATGGTACCAAGGTGGTACTAGCCGGTCAAAAAGTGTGTAGAACGTTTTTCCTATCACTTTCTTGATCTTTTACCTGATACCTCAATTGTCTCTACACTTTTTGACCGAAGCAGTACCACCGCCAAAGGGGACAATTCAAGTGCAAAGCGGGAACTTAAAAGGGCATGGCTGGGCTGAGTTCGTCTACTTAAATGTGGTTCATAAAATACGATTCTCAAAAACAAACGTTTGGTGGTCATTCTCTTCATTCGCCTCAGGGTTCGCATCGCATCCTGGAGGTTGAGGTTGATGGCCGAGCTTTCGAAGGCATCGTACGACGCTTCCAAGCCGGGCACGGTGAGTTCGGCATGAGCTTCGGATGCGAACGGTGACAGTGTTGTCGCAAGTGATAGGTACACCAAGTACAGTAGTAACATCCGGGCTGTTCTACCGTATTGGCCGGCTACAAAAACAGGGTTAAAGTTAAGAAAAGAGTATTCGAAAACAGTGTCTAAGAACGTCGAAAACGATTGAGAAAGAAGCTGGGCTGTATTGTTTTATTGTTGTTATTTACTCGTCACCCAAAGTATCCGATTCAAAGATTGTTTACGAAAGTTGTCTTTTATCAGACAAAACCACCTGCAAAACAGATAAAAGACTTACGGTCGAAGACACCCATGATGGCAGTGATATCGAGGCAGTACGGCGATGTTATCGTCAGCTATGTCAAGTTGGGCGGTGTTCTGAAAGGAATATTATCATATCAAGAGAGGGAGCGTCTCAGTGTTTACGCATTTGTTTTTTGGAATTCGAATCTCTGGCCAAGCCGCAACAAAAGGCCGGGCCAGCTGTCGCGCGCCTCCCCCTGACCCTCCCCGCTCAGCTGATGACATAAATTAGGCAAGTTAGACAGGAATATTTGGACATGGAATTGATGGCGCTAATGATACCAGCCATCTTTTAATCGCAAATATAAACTGAGAGAGGCAGATCGAGAGTGCCGGAGGGACAAGCCGGACACCTGGTCAGTGTGGACCACAACAAATCAGGCCTGAGTCATGACTCCTCCAGGCAGACTCATGGAACACTTGGCCGTCTTTTAATCACCTTAAGGAACGAACAGATGCCGGCGACATCAAACCACAAATCCTGTTATTATTTATCCTGGCAGCCCGTCACACTACTAATTGGATGCCGTTTTACGTTGGACTGAGGTTCACATCGCTCAGGATTTAAACTATAAATCTGACTGACAGTTAACTACAGCGCCGAGTTTAAGGTTGATGTGTAACAATATCCGGACTGGAACGGTCAACAAAATAAATTTAAAAAATGTCTACTATACTGTAACAAACCTCATACTGTAATGTGAGAGAGACAGCCGAAGAATATGAACTGAAACCTAATAAGTCTGTAACCCCAACTGACATCCAATCTCCCTTCAGAAGATGCAAAAACCTGTAAGCTTCTTATCTTATAGTAGTGCCTCCGGTTACGTAATTCATCGGCATCTTGACTCGAGAGTCTCTCCATCGTTCCATGCCCTGCGGGGCCGTCGGCTTCACTAAGGGCCTTTTAAAAGTTTGCGGACTGAATTTCCGCCGTCAGCTCGAGTTACCACGGAACACGGACCGGGCCCCATACACTGACCTGGCCATATACCCTAGCCTGGCCAAATCTGACCAAAAACGGCCACAAACTCAATATCTTAGCCAAAAAACGGTTCCCAAGATCAGAGCCGAAGCCATCAGTCTTCTAGATCAAAGTCCCCGCCGACTTCTTGACCGTGCAGGCCGACTTCCGCCAGGTTATGTTTATTCGCCGTTCTCCAGACTCCCTGGCACCATCCAAGAAGCCAACTTTATTTGTTTATCAAAAGAAAAAAGCTTATGTTACAGTAGCCTCATGCATTCAATAAACATTAAAATCTGTTTTTCGCAACTTTCTCGAAATTCTGCCTACGGTATGATGTTGACGACCGTCGTCAACTCGTTTGTTTTGACGATCATGTTCGACTTACTTTATTTTGATCTCATCCTCAACATTATCTTGTTTTATTTTCTTCCCTGGCTCTGTTTATCAGCAATTTGTAAAAGAGGCTCGTTAAACCCTTCTTCCAACCTCCTCATACATCTTTTTCCCATCAAATCCATCACAGAACCGGCAAAACCAAATTACAATTAATTAATTGGGCGCAGGTCGCGGAAAAAGCGCAAACTTTTTTTCGCAAAAAATGTTTGGGAAGATTTTATGTCTTTGTTCGACGAGCTAAAACAATTATTTTGGACTATTGAGCAAATAACTTCGTATAATATAGCTATCTTCATAACAATACTAACCTATACCTCCACGAGATATGACGGAACTCAAGGATAGTGAGTTAGATGGGCCTGCTGCTGAATTAACTCGAATTGTCAAACGATCTGGAGCTTTCGACAACATAAAGAAGGCTGCTGTAGATGAGTTACAGTCACTGGTATGTTAAAGTAGATGGTTGTTGTTGTTTAAGTTAATAAATTTGATCTGAGGATCTTAATATATTATTCTAATTGTTTAGGAACAAGTTCAAGTACAAAGCTCCTTGATGTTAAGCGTTATGAAGGTTCTTTTTGAGCAGCAGAACAGGTCTTCTAAAGGGATGAGTCTTGCAGAACGAAGAATACAGTTGAAGGATAACATCAGGAAAGGATCTATGTACAAAAGTCTGACCAATTACTTTCAAGAGGTATCGTTATTGTTTGGAGTAACTGTTTAACTATTTTTCTATAGTTTTATAATTTACATATTGTTTTAGAGCGATTCTTACAAAGACAGCTGCGAGCGGTTGTACGAAGAAGTGGATCGTGTTGTAGCCGAGACTTATCCAGATTACAAGCCATCAGAGGTAAGAGACCGTCTTTTAGTTATGGTTTATATTTTAGAAGTCTAACACATACACAGATATTATGCCAAGTCTACAATTACCCAAAGACCTCAACATACCTTCAACTTCTTCTATGTTCCAACTTCCTCTACCTGATATGACACTGCCTTCGATGGGTATTCCTCCTCCTGTATTCCCTCCACCGATGGGGTATCTACCACCTTCTGAAATGGTGTTCGGAGCTGAAATGGAGAACACTTTAACTAATGTTAATGGTGTATCTGCTGAAGTTAATGCTTCTGTTCATTCTACGCCTATCAAGGCTGAACTGGTAGATACCACGGTCGACAACAACGACCACATGGACATGGAATTGGACTCTGGGTCTTCGAATGCTCCTAGTCCAGCTGTAGTGATCAAACAGGAGATTGTGGACGATGCCGAGCTTCCCCCTCCTCCGATGCCCCCTCCTAACTTGTAGATTTTAGAGTTTGTTACCTAATTATTGTTTCTAACGTTATAAGTATCGCTTGTTACCGTTACTATAGTTATAATTATTGTCTGTTCTTATTACTCACATTTTAACTATGTTTTACAATTATATTATGTTACTATACGGTATATTAAACGGATCTGTAATAATATTCTGAACTTGTAGTTTGAGATTGTTACGTGAACGTTGGCCGGAATCTTGAAGTAAGGTTTGTTTACTTTTAAACACGTGTAAGGGATCTGTTATTGGCATAAGTAATATCCGAAACGTGTTCTAGTGTTTCATAGTTTATTTATCAAGACGAGTGCTTGTTACCCAATAAACTCATAAATAATACTCTTACCTCAAGATGAACCGTGAGTTGTTGGTAGTTGTTCCTGAGATCGTGCCTCCGTTCGTGAACTATGTCAACTACACTGAAGAGTACGAGGTAGAGATGGGTTATGGTCCTGGGATAGTGTGGCAGGTGTTGAGACAGCTGGCCAAAGAAATGAACTTGACCTACAATGTGAAGAAGGTCGGCTACAGTCAGGCTACGCGTTGGGACGATGCCTTCTCAGCATTGCATCACACAGAAGCCGAGATTATCGTGGGCGCAGCTGTTATCCAGGCCAATACGGATTCGAATGTCTCCTTCTCTCATCCGTTTCTGTTCGAGGCTACTGGGGTACTGTACAGGTTATCTGGGCAACACATATACCGCCGTTATGGCATGGTTTACACCATATTTCCAGTTTGTGTAAGTTCAGTAATTTTTGGAGATATGAAGCTACATAGGTTATAAAAGGAAAATCATGTTATAAACTTTTTTCAGATCGCTTTGGCTATAATAGTATGTTTGGCATTGGCAGCGCTTTATCTAAAGTTTACAAGATCTTTTTACTGCAGTAATTACAGTTCAACTGATAAAAATGGTATTACTGATGTTACTTTTACAGTTTTGGCCATGTTTTTCAGACAAAGTAAGTAGGTATACTGATGTACTATAGCTTCTCCAGGTGTAAACTTCACTTCTACTGAGTTATCAACTCAAGTCTTCATAATGACTATGTACTTGTTCTCTTTTATGATGTTCATTGCGGCCATAGCAGCTTCGTTCTTCTTGCCCAACCTTAACTACGACTACAGAAGCAACACTTTCAAAAGTAAGGTTCTAATCATCATAGATTATGAGGCAGAGTATTCTTAGTTGGTCAAACAATTGTCTGCTTTATGTAATATGTATAATATATTTTGTCGCATATGGATGTTTACAGCTTTCCAAGATGTTGTTAACGCTATAGAACGGTCCCGGTATACTGTAGTTTTACACGAAAACTCAGCTAGAACAATGATGATCCAAGTAAGTTGGCGTATTGTAGATTACACACAGTGGCATCTTGTCATATATAGTATAATGTTGTACCTCTATGTAGTGAATTGTAGAGGACACTTTCAGAAGTCAGTAATTCACGAAGTAAAGCGACTGTGGGATTACATCGACAGTAATGGTCGTGTCATATATACTACCACTTTAGATGAGGGTAAGCTTTAAATAAACACGTATCTATTGTACTAATTTCAAGATAAAAACTTATATACCGTAGTAACTTCGAAAACTATTATTTGTAGTAATTCTGTGAGTCAGACGGTTATCATGCCAATTGCATTAATATTTACATGAATTTTACTTTACGTTAATTATTGTTTCAGGGGTACAACTAGTACGCGAAAACCCGAATTACTTGTTAGTGGGACCTTATGACACTCTAAATGTGATATCAAAGTCTGACTGTAGACTGGAGCTTGTACCTCAACATGTGCTACCAGCGTATCAAGCTATAGCTATGAAGTACGATTCAGAATATGTTGATCCGATGAACAAAATGTAAGAGTTACTGTATATTACCGTACTTATTTACTAGCTTATAATGTAATAAACCCTCTATTTATGGCATACGCTTTAAATGTTGATCACATTAACATTCACTTTTCTAGAGTTTTACGACTGGTCGAGCACGGCTTCATCGAGAAGTGGATCACGGGCTTTGGCCGGTTTGTGAATGAGGGCCGGCAAAGAGAGCCGAGTTACTGTACCTCGACCACCTCCCAGTTCCTGCCCATCAAGCTGCCTTTCGTAACCACCGCCTTCGTATGTTTGGCGGTGGGCGTGCTCTTATCGGTGGTGTTACTGGGCCTCGAGGTCTATGTCCTGACCTTGTCCAAATAGTGTTAGTCATCTTTATCAGATTGTTTACGGTTGATAAGGTCCTCTCTCTGTTAGTTTTTCATTCCCAACTTTCTGTTTTCATCTTTTGACATGAGGTTATCTCTCCTCCTTTGGCTTCTCGGCATCGTGACCGCCTTCAGAAGGCAGAGTGCCTGGATCAAGGGTCGTCTGCTGTGCGGAACGGAGCCGGCTTCCCAAGTGTTGGTGAAGTTGTTCGACCAAGACGATGGTAACTTTATTGATTTCACTGATTTGTGGGCTTTAAAAGTGCATGTTTAGATCTTTTATGAGTCACGCTAGGTATTAACATTGGATGTCACGTTGGTCACATTGTGATTATATTCGAGTTGTTTTATTTTGACAAGTGCAGCCTTTGTATCTAAAACAAGGTTTTCATTCAATTTTCTTGTTTTTAACAATAAAATCGTGTTTTTGGTTTATTTTTGAAGATTCTCTTAACAATTATTAAGCTGTTCAAATAATTCTGTGCCTCTAACCCAAAAAAGTTGCTTCGAAAGGAGGCACAGAATTATGTAAACAGCATAGTAGCTCCAAACATTGTGGACTACAGTTAATTAGAATAGTGTTTCAAAGACTTTTATCTATTTTACAAACTATATTATCCAAAAATAAATGTTTTTGTAGAAATACTTTACATTAGTCAACAATAAGTATATTTATAGGAAACATAACTGTAAAACAAAGCAACTTCTAAGTAGAGTGAAACGATATTTTAGGCCCAGATCCAGACGATCTGCTACAAAGCGGCTACACAGATGACGATGGCTACTTCGAACTGAAGGGGGATACTGTAGAACTGACAAACATTGACCCTGAAGTCAGAATATATCATACTTGCAGCATGAATATTCCAGTAAGTTATGGTTTACCTTCCTAAACTAACTTAAGGTATCTTCTTCGCCGTAGCTAATATAATATTAAAGGATACTTAAGTAATATTTGCTTGGTTACCTCTCTCTTTTGTTTTACTTTTACTTCTATTTATGTAAAACTTGGTTATATTGTGGCATCCTTTCAGCTATGCAAGCGAGAATGGGTGATAGGCATACCAGACAAGTACATCACCTTCGACAGAGTACCTGAATACGTATTTGACCTTGGAGTTGTGAATCTCGAAGTCGAGTTGGAAGACGAGAGTCGAGACTGTATCCATTAATAAACTACTTAACTTACGTTTGGACTTACCCTAAGGTCATTTGCCTATGATATTGTGTTAGAGTTAGAGTTTTAATGTTGTCAGATGCTTTTAGGATTGATTTTAATTACAGTAACAGCATTGACAACGACCTCAGCTATCATACCTGAGCAGTTTACAGGAGTCCAGAGTTACAGAGTAAGTGAGTGTAAAGTAGATAAACAAAATTATTGTGTATTACTATGGTATGTTATCTAGTTTAGGTAAAAGGACACCTTCTTTGTGGTACAGAGCCAGCCAAGAATGTGAGAGTGAAGTTGGTCGACGACGATTTTGGTATGTTCTTTCCTTTTAAATTCGTATTTTACTCATCAAAACTTATTACAATTTACTCATAGTAAAAGGTTGCTTTTAGGTCCCGACCCAGACGACGACCTAGAGAACGGCTACACAGACAACGATGGCTACTTTGATCTTTCTGGAGACACTCGAGAAGTCACCACGATCGACGTCCATCTCAAGATCTACCACGACTGCAACGACCTTTTGGTGAGTGTTATACTGCGTTGAGGTCAAGAGTTAGGTTAAATAAGACGACTTCGTTTCCTGTTTAGGAAAAACTTTATACTCTTTTGGCACAGATCTTAAACTATTATATTATAAGTTATTTTACCGTATTTTAGCCATGCCAACGCCGATGGAAGTTCGAATTACCTAACAGCTACATAACCAAAGGTCCGATACCAACGAAGGTACTAGACATAGGTACCTGGAACCTGGAAGCCAAGATGCCCGGAGAAAGTCACGATTGTATTCATTAATAAACGTATATATCTATGGTATTCAATGGTAGTAATCGTTTCGGACGGTGTACGTATCTTGGAACGGATTCGTCGATGACAACGGTGCTCCGATTCCTCTTTCTGAAAGTTATCTGTCTTACAAGAGCAATATCCTCATGCTTCCTGTGTTATATGCACTGTAATTTTGGAATAGTAGAAGGTAACAAAGTAAAAGAAGTTGAGTCTCAAAAAGTCATGCTTACCTGCTTGTATCTCGGCTACATTTGGTAGCGGTGCCAAGGCGATGGACTGTTCTCCAGCCGCTCCATAAGTCACTTGTTCAGACGGCTTCTGAATCCCGTTTGCTTTGAATGGAGCTTCTTCATCGCCTTCTTTTGGCTCCGCCCATTCCTGAAGACATTTCATAATTAAATCTGACTTTGATAATTATATTTTAATATTTCGGCAACAATTAAATTATTTTGAAACCGCTATTACCTAAAAAACAAATTTCTTAACTTTTACGAAATTATCTGTCGTATAAAAGGGTTTTGCAGGCTGCAAACTGTTGGCAAGCTGCGTCCTATACACTGAAAAGTTTCGTAAATTTATTTTTATGTTTTCTGTCCTGTTTTATTTTAGGTAACGAACTCACTTGTAGCTCTCCGGAAGCGTAGAAGAAGTAGAAGGTAATCCCTGTGAAGTGGATTAGCGAAGCCAGCAAAAATACAGTAACCCATCCGTGTGGTCCTTTGGCAGTCAAGGTCTCGGTAACAAACGGACAGGCTAGTCCAGCTAGTGTGCCGATTCCGTTCGAGAATCCCATCAGAATGGCGGCGTATCGTGGAGCAATGTCAAGATGGTTAACATTGAAGCCAGAGATGGCGAATCCTGAAGATCCGACGGCCAGGACTAGCGAGATGAGGGCCACCTTCTCACTCTTGGTGTAGGCCACAAACAGCATGAAGAAGGCTTCACCTCCGAAGCCTCCACAGTTGAACAGCTTCCTCACGTTGGTGGTCGACATTCTGCCTGAGGCTCGAAGTTTGTCAGCGAACTGACCTCCAAACAGTACCACTAGCCCCATAACGGCGTGCGGTAAGGCAGCTGGTACTCCGCTCTGAAAAGGTAGGCATGAAAAATGTTATTTTTAGTCTTAATTCTACTATTTTTGGCAAAACACCTTCAATTGAAGGGTTAATATTGGTTATTTACACATTTTTGGCTTTGTTGTCTTAGACAGTGTACATTATAAGCCTTAATTTATTAAAATGAACATTATGGATGCACGTGCTAATCACTTAAACACCTTACATCGTTAATCCGCATGCCCAACACTTCTTTCATGTACGTTAATTGATTCTGCAACAGCAGGTAGAAAGTCCAGCTTCGTGCAAAGTTGGCTACAATGATGGCGTAGACGGGTCGTGACGTCAAAATGGCCTTCCATGGGATCGTATTCAACTGGAATAATTACTCTGTATTAAGGTAAAAACAATAAACAAAAGGTACTATCGTTACAGTCTACCTTTACATTTGGAGGTAGTAAAAGCACTGAGTAAGATAAATAGGTATCAGGGGCTTTAAAGGTACTTGAGTAGAATTACTGCAATTGTTGAGTAAGGTTTACTTACGGCAGGGGGTGTGTGGGAGACGTGTCCAATCTGTTCTTCTATCAGATTCTTTTCTTCGGCCGATATCGTTGGATGGTAGGCCGGCTTCTCGAAAGTTACCGAAAACCACAAAATCGACCAGATAATACCGGCAAAACCTTAAAGAGCATTTCATAGTACTGTCGCGTTACGTTGGCATTTAAAGTCTGTTTGTAAAGTAAGTGCACTTATGTATAACATTGTAGTATAGTACGAATATCACAAACATGGGAGAAGCCTTTCATCTATATTACTAACCAAAATAAACAGAAGACATAAAACCCACCGTAAACGTAAAACGGAGTAGACCACCCAACATACGATACTAACCATGCTGATACCGGCAATCCTAAAACAGCTCCCGCGTACGATCCAGCGAAGGCTGTTGTAGCCAGCTTCGACCGTTCTAACGGTGGAGCCCAATGTCGCCAGACGCCGTGCATTGAAGGGTAGCCCATTCCCTGGATCAGGCCTTGCATAATCTGGATCACGGCTACAAGAACATCGTTTCTGCTTTTAAAGGCCATGGGAAGAAGAATATTGAGGATGGAGGCTCCTCCGATGGCGATGCCAAACATTCTGCAATTCATTGTTGTACTTATGTTGTTATTGGCTCTAAATTGTGATTTGGATAGATCTTACATATAGGTTATGTTTTACCGTAAAGCTCTTACTTATTGGCGGGGAACTTGGCAGCGAGGAAGCCGGCAGGCACTTGAGTGATTAGATAACCGTAGAAGAAGGAACTCTCCATCACGCCCAACTCTCCTCGAGTCCAGTTGAATTGGTGGTGCTAAACTGAACATGTATTTGTTATTATCCGCCTGTGCTTACATGTTTTACTCCCCAAGGGTCCACGTAATCCCTGGCCATGTAATTCTTGGCCGCGCCGAAATTGCACCTAATTCCGAATACTATCATAAAGCCTAGATTAGCCATGATGGCTAGCTGCCAGCGGCGTTTGAATTTGTTTATCCATTGCACGTTGTCAAAGGCCTGAACACAACATATTACACTACTATAGGATGGTATTACATTGGTGATAGTGTTACTCTACTATTTGTTGTGATTCTTATTGTTAAACATATTGTGTTACATAGCAATGTCTATAAGATGATATAATCAACTGATAAGGTAAACAGAAAAGAATATAAAAACAATCACAAAGCCTACTTTACGTGAATAACATACCTTTAAAACAGGATTAACGTGCACGTAGAGACCGTCCTCTCTGGCCACATGAGCACCATCTATGATACCATCCCCATTCTGGCTGTAGTCATTCTTTTTACCATCAAAAGCTTGTGACAATTGCTGGCCATAACTAGTCAACTTACTTTTGGACTGGCCTACTATGCCTGCCACAGCCCCAGCCATTCCCTTAATATTACAGAATGTAAAACGGCAAAGATAACATGTAAATGACTATAGTAAAGTACCATATCTATCGCGAATCAAAAGAAATTACTGTAACCAGCAAAGCAATTAGCCTTTACTGTAAGAGCTAATTAGCATATTGAGCGACCAATTAACTGTAAAGCCCGGCTAACCGACCACCAATCTCAAAAAACAGTCACAAAACTTTGGCCATTCCAATGGGCCATAAAATGCATAAAAGTGGAAAAGTCACCCTGTTAGTTTACATTAGTAAAAAATGGCCTCTCAAGTAGTCAGCCCGAGGCGCGGGGCTGGCTCTTGTTTCAGCGTCACGTCGCCTAAATGAAAAACAAGATTGGACATGTCTAAGGTGAAGGGAAGAGGACATCCAGCGGATTAATTGAGGTAGCTAAATTGCGGAAAGAGGCGATTAAAAACAACGGCACGCCGCCCTAAAGAATTCACAGTTACTGCCTCTTCTCGGCCGCACTCACTTCACCTGCCCACGATTACAAAAGGTACGAAGAGGGGGGGGGGCGGAAGCAACAGGAAACGCATTTGACTTCTGATGCATCGTTCAAATCTGAGGCCAACTTCTGAAGTTACTGGCTTCAATTATGAATCCTCCTTCGTATTCTGGAGTTCGAATTTCGATGCCACCATGGCCTTCTGAAGCTTGCCTCGACTTCTGATGCCTACGCTCGCCGGCTTCTGATGTCACAGGTCATCCAATCGCCAAAGGACCCTCCGGAAATGAAACAAGATCTCCTTCAGAAGCCACTTTGGTGCGCCTGGCCAATCCGTCCGGTTTCGTCCCATTCCCGAGTCATGAAAGGCAAATGGCCGAGAATGTGCTAACATGTTCATAAATTTTTGTTTTGTGTATCAAAGCGAGTTGCCTCGGTGCTGTTCGTCTCCAGATTGACGGCCCAGAAGGCGGCCCTCGCCCTGCAACGCAACTCATCCAGAAAACTTTCGCCAGCCGTCTGACGGCATGTCCGCGGGGTCAAAACACCTGTCAGAAAGGCGAATTAAAAACGGAAATCGTTTCCGTTTAGCGGCACATAACAACACTACAACAGCCTAATTACATTACACTCCGTGACGGCGACGGCAGCATGCCGGGTAATTACAAAGCGCTGAGTACAAAACGTATAACTCATGTTCGTTATCTTGTTGTTGCTGCCCGTGTTCGTATCTTCGTTAGGTACTCTGTTAGGGCAATGTGGCCTGTTCTCGTTGCCTACGCCGTGCCCACCTGTCCCCACGTGCTACGCCGAACCCTACGACGCAACGGACGGCTACTGCTGTGAAGCCGTCTGCAAAGGACTTCCGGTGGTAAGTGCAATGACTTATAACATAACATAACAAAAAGCCGGCAGGTTGTGCGGATTGTGCGGTACGCCGAAAGCCGCGGACGAAACGGCCCAGAAAACGGCCCAAAAGGGCAATTACCCGGTTCAAGCCGACCGTCGACAGCGAACAACCGGCTGGACTTAAAATTGATGAGTACCGTGACTTTGACGAGCTCCTCTTGCCTGAAGGCGACTACGTTCAATCTCGGCACGATGACACGTGTAACAGTGAAAAACTGAGGAAGATAATCAAACAAGTACGTTAATATATTATAGTAGATGGATATTTAAACAATAGTAGATACATCTTTATCTACATGTAATATACGTCAAAAAATGTCATAAGGAAGTGAAAAAGGTTTGTCTAAACTTTCAAATCTTTATGGTTCGTCTACTCTAAAGTCAAATTAATGCCAAAAACGAAAAACCAAAGACATCTCGAATGTGACATTGGCAGTACATTGTAAACTATAATTACTCCCAATGTAAACAAACACATTTTGTAGGGCCGCGGGCAAAAAACGGTATCTCTGAAGCACTACATTCAGAGAATGGCAGAGGAGCAGCTAGACGAACAATACAATGTCATCTGTGGCAAAGGGCAGTTCTCGTACATTACTACGACAGACGAGTTCTGCCAGGACACCGTCGATGACACCACGTGCTATCTCTTCAAACGCAATAAACATGTGTGAAGGCTTTATTGGGTATACTGATATCTTAGTTACTTTAGTTATTAGTTGGCTGTGATGCCCAGTAGTCCGGCTGCCAGGGTTTGGAAGATGGGGTCTGAAAAGGTGACAATTTAAATGACAAAGTTTGTTTAATTACAAGGTGTGTCAGGGTTTAGTAGTACCAGTTTGATTCACAATTTGTAATACAAAGAAGTTAATATCCTAAAATACAAAATGGAAGTGATGACGTACTGTTAATGATGGTAGCGACAATCGGGAAGGCTTCTTTCAACTCGTTCTTCGTAGCTTCATCCAGAGCTTGGTACCGTGCCACAGCTACATTGGCTTCAGCCTTCACCTTCTGAAGCGAGAAGGTTTCTCCCAAAGCTCTTTGGATTTGTAGGACAGTCTGAAAGAGTAATATATGACTCATAAAAGAGTAATATAGAAGATAAAACAGTCTGCAAAGGTAATAAATAGTCTTGAGATTGAAGAACAAAAGTACAATGTGAGTTGTGTATGAGTACGACAGGCACAACAGCATGCTTACCTCATCAATAAACTTAGTCGAGTTAGCACCCAACTTAGACATAGTACCCCTGAAGTCAGTGACCAAGGCTACAGCCTTATCGTACAGAGATTGGGAGCCATTCTTGATGTCGTTCAGTACCTCGCTGACATTACTATACGTACTGCCTTTGCTCAGCACCTTCTTCAGGACAGCACGGTCTTCTGTAGTCAAGCCATCGTAGAAAGTCTTGACTTCTTTTGGCACGATTTCTAGGATACAATATGAAATACGACGCGTTTGAATTAAATTTTTATTTATAATGTTATAGTATACAAGGTACAGTATATCAACTAACACTCTTCATTTTATATTTGACACATTACTATGTAAACTGACAAAATAAATTTTTTAGATAAACTATCAATTAAACAGAAGTAAAACTATGGTAACTCATTTACGTTTTGCCTCATAACCTACTACAATATGCCACCTAAAGCTACAATCTCAATGTTTCTTACCAGAAACTTGGTTATCTACATCACCATAGTCGAAGAACGCGTACGCTTGGTTGTAGAACAACACCAGCAGAGACAACGAGATAACACGAACCAACATCCTGGCAAGTCTGATATCAGCCTTTTGATCCGACAGCCGGCTGGCCGGAACGACAACCGATCCATCAGCGTGGCCGTTTGTCTTTTCGAGGAGACTCATCAATACCGATAAAGAGGCTGAGTCATCACTATCATAAACTTTATTTAATCAAAACAAATCAGTTCTCAGTCTTGATCAAGCCCTTGGCCACTTGCTGGAACTTCTCGTTCTTGATGACGTTGGTGATGTTGGGGAAGGTGGCTTGCAAGTTGGTTTTGGCATCGTCCGACAACTTCTGGTAGGCTCCGATCACGGTCTGGGCGATCTCACGGATCTTCTTCAAGTCTGGCTTCTCACCGGTCTTAGGCTTCAAGGCACGGAGCTTGGCGATGATCTGGAATTGATATCGATCAGATGTTAATTTAAAATTGGAATAGTAATACCTCACATAATAACATAATTATAATCAAATTGTACAATATTACAATTAAAAACTTAGAGATTAACGAAAGTTTTGGTCAAAAAGTAAACAGAAAACTCATTCAAAAAGCTATTTCGAAAACATTTTAATCAAATTTTTTTAATTATAAGCTTCGACAACTTTAGAATTGATCAAAACTTACGTCTTCGACGAAGGCCTTGGCTTCAGGGTTGAGAGAGTCGATCTTGTCCTTCAAGAGCTTGCGGAGTTCAGTAGCCTTGTTGTAGAGCTTCTCGCTCTTGGCCTTCAAAGCCTCCAAAGCTTGGTCTTCGTTCTCATATTGGGCGTGGTTGGCGGCGATCTCCTTCAGAATCTTCTTGTCTTCATCGGTCAATTCAGCGTAGAACTTGGTGACGGCTTCTGGGACAACTTCTGCAACAACAATCATCATTAAAAATCATTTTATGTTGATGAAATACCTTGATAAACTACTGTATCAGCTTGGTTACAACGGTATCAACAAAAGTTTCAAAACATTTTTCTCAAAAAATCGAATTACAAAGACAAAGATAGGATGCGTACCTTTGAGTTGCTCTGGAAGTTGCTGGAAGTTCAAGGGGAGGGTGGCAGCGTAGGCAGCAACCAAGACAACCGAAAGCACAACCAAACCGCGAACCATCTTTCAGGGACGAAATCAGACACGACTTGATTGGGACCAGGGCCGCTAGTCTTTTATAGATCGGATTGGCCGATCAAAATGGGCGGCACTTTGAAGTAGGGTCAGGCGCCCCGGACTGACCCCAGCATTGCAACTTGTCATTTGATTAGAACACTTCTAACTTTACTAATAAAAGGAATTAAGTGGCAGAAGTGGAGCGATTCCTTCTCGAAACACATCCACATTTACGACTTCTTTCATTTGATGTCTTGGCCGCCAGACTTCCAGTTTCAGGTTCGAGTCGGTCCCTTAACGAGCAATAAACAAGCCTAGTCTACTGTTTATTCGCAATAAACAATCAGCCTTATCATCGTTTGCAACTGTATATTTGTGCTGTATTCTGCTTTGTGACCTTCTTGGCCGCGCCACGTGGACTATGTCTGAGAAATGGGCCGATCTGAGACCAAAAACTAAACAATGCAATAACATCAAATCCAGAAAAAAGACATATGGGAACGAGCACCCTTTAATTAGAAGGAATCGAGCCGACTGCCCTTGCAGATCGAGACCAAAAGCTAGAATTAGCTGACCGCTCGGCCACAAATCACTTTTTCCCCAAATTTGATTGTTCTTTGAGCAGCGTTTGACGTGTCCACATCAACATATAGTATGTACCTTTTTAATAGATACTAAATTAGAAACATTTTGCTATTATTAACCAAAATATGACTATTTAATGTAACAGATGATATTTAATCCATATGATGGTAGTTGGAGGTATTAACTTAATTAAATACAACACAACCTCGTTTCAAATGTTCTGTATACATCACATAACTGCCCTCCATTCGGTCTTGTTGGCGGCGATTTCTTTATCCGTCCGACCGCAGCAAGAATAATATAACTTTGACTTGTCGAGGTTCAAGCTGCGCATTTGGTGGAGAGTTATCTATTCAGCTCCCATTTCAGTCTGATAAGGTCCCCGAAAGAAGGGACGACCTCCATTCCCCTTGCAAAATACGTTCTTTTCATTTTTTCCTGTAAAAACAATACAAGGGGTTTAACAAAACCGAGTCAAGGTCAGCGCGCGATCTTCTCTTTAGCTTGTTGGCCCTTGATTGTCAAGGTTTTATGTAAATTTAAACGCTTTTTCACTTTTAAATCGTGTTTTGAAGTTCTTTTACGAAATATTTTAGATCTAATGTTTTCAGGTTAAGAACTCTCGCCAATGGAAAGTGGCCTAGATGTAAAGGTAACTCCCAAGAATATCCTTCCTAATTTTTCCGCAGGTGAAAAATTCAAGCCTAAAATGGCTAGCCCAGCATTCCACTCCAAGCCCCGGCCCGTCCCGCAGTTCCCTCCAACTCCAAAAACAATAATAAAACCTCCAAGGTTCTACTCGAACCAGAGTTTGATCGTTCCGAGATCAAAGCCGACAGGACCTACTACAGAGTCAGAGAACAACAAAGAATGCGTCTGCGAGAGGCCAGAAGCCATAGTCATTTGCAGAAAGTAAGAAGTCCCGCTTGAAGAAAAACATTTTCAGATGTGGATCAGAATTACTAGGTCGCATTCAAATGTCATGTCCTGCTCATCCACGAAAGATGTGCCTAATGGATCAACGTGAATGTCCCAGCACAACGTGCCGTTCCATTGCCTTGATGGAGATAACGCTGGAAGACTAACCGGGTACAACCAAGCATTAAACACATAACGCGATAATAAAGATTGCCTTTAGTTTGAATTTATTGAATTAGAGCCCCAGGGCCAACAAACTGGAGAAGCCGCGGAGTGCCGTGAAAGGCATTCCAAGAGAGTGCTTCCGTCTTTGTTTCACCTATCTGTAGGCTTTAGTAGCCATGCTTCTGGGCTTGCCATGCACCGCGATCCAAGAGGTATGCAACTTGTTAGTGACGGGAAGGGCCTCAGGAAAGGCTCATTTAAAATTAAAACTGCGGTCAAGACAAGAGACTTTCGGCTTTTCTTTTTCGAATGAAGCCCGGGATTGAACCCGAGTTAATCCCCAATTTGGATCAGAATGGCGTCGTTAACAAAAAGATATCTGTATATCACTGGGATGCGGTAGGCTCTTACTGATGGCAGTAGGTTGAGATGCATTAAATCTAGAAGAATGAGGTCCAGTTTCAGTTAAGACAACTTCGAAACCCAAGAAATAGGAGTAAGAAAAGATGAGCAAACAAATAAACCTTAGTAAGAATGCCACCTTTCGGTTTTCATTCTTTCAAATACCAAATTGGTGGTGACATACGCCTGCCGTCTAATATTTCCCTAATAAATATTTGAGGAGTAAAGGCGGCCCAACTCTTTTTTCCTTTTACAACTTTGTTCAACTTGTAGATGCCCACGGTACTCCTCAACCTCATACTTCCTGGACCCAAAACCTATTCTGGAGAGTTCCTAGAAGCCAAGGTATGTTTAGATTCAGCAGACCTGTGCACCACGATAAAGGAATTCTACGTAGAACTAAGAGGAAAAGGCCGAACTGGATGGGTCAATGTTCACACTGACAAGATATACGAAACAGAAAAGGTAACATAGCTCGCAGAGTAATGTAAACTGTATTAAGGACTATCTGAACGCCACGGTACCTCTATGCCCTCCGGGAATGCAACTGAAACCTGGTCGTCATCAATTCCCATTCAGAGTACGTGTACCACCAAGTGCTCCAAGTTCATATGAAAGTCAGTTTGGAGTGATCAGGTATACATGTAGAGTGGTGCTGATGACCAATTCAGAACAAGTAAGTAATGCTACCTTCTACATGACACTTTATAGTCGACGGCAGTGGAAGTGTTCCCCTTCGTTGTCGTATCTACTTCGTATTTCGATGAAATTCCCAGTGCTGTGATGCAACCAATCGACTATAAGGACGAAGTCGACTTCACAGTATGCACTCTGCCATTCGGTACGGTATACATTAGAGTCAGCCTCCCTAAAACTGGGTATCAATTAGGAGAAGTAAGTACTACAATATAGATAACATGTCACTCTTTACCTAGGAAGTCCGACCGACCATTCAAATCAAAAATGCGACCAGAAAGACGGTCAAAGACTGCAGTGTTCAACTAGTCCTCAAAGCGCAATTCGTGGCCATAAGCAGATACGAACATGTGAATGACTGTAAGCTGGTGGAACAACAACTAGACAGTATACCTATTGGCCGGATAAAAGGAAGATCAGAAGAAGTATGTTACAGGACTTAAATTAGAATAACAAATTATGTTGTAGTATCCAAACTAACAGATTAATATTTAAATTATACCAAATTACTTGATTTAAGAAGAAATCACAGATAACAAACCTTTTCAGAACTTCAAATCTCTCAAATTAACGATCCCCGACTACGCCGTTCCCAGCGTTCCCCCAGATCAATCCGAAATGGAACATAGTATAATATCACTCTCTTATGTACTTCAACTAACAGCGCAACCAAAAATAGAAATGGAGATTCCGCTGGTGGTAACATCACTCGGATATCGCAATCAAAGGATGGTATCCTCTGTTATCAGCAGGTCCATTCCATACAGCGACTCGAATTCAACGACAGAATATTTATAAAACGAACATCATAAGCCAAATAAACTTCTACAATTAGGTTTAAAACTATTTTAAAAAGTATTTTTAAAAATTTTACAAATAACATATTTTGGCGAAATTCAACAAAAAAAAATAAAGCGAAATTCGCGCGAAAAATCGTCAGACAAGAAAACGTCCGCTGACAAATTTTCTAAAATTCTACGAAAGATGATACATATTTTGGGAATTCTACACAAACTGACCATTTCATGATAAATTTTATAGATCTATCTATGCATGTCATGACATTTTCTATCTCTTTCGCTCTGATGACGCATTTTATGTATGGAATTTGGGGAAACCGCGAAAATAATTTTCGAAAAAAAAAATATTTTTTAATTTCTCAATTTTTACAGATTTTGGGTAAAAAATGTAAATGGAGACATCAAAAGATGTGGATGTTATCTCCTACTTGGAAGAAAAGTTTCCTGAGCTTGATCCAGACGATGGCTTCAAATATCCGTGTAGATATCTGATTGATTCGTCTCACTTACCGGTAAGTTCTTAATTTTGTCTGTTGAACTTCTTTAGGTGTTTGCGGATGCTATCCACACGCTGTTGGAGTTTGGAATGAATATTTTGTTTTTTCCTGACGTCGAGGGAATAACAATAAAGAACTGTAACATTGCCAGAACAGCAGCTGGAGAAGTTTCATTCAATACTGAGTTCTTCGGTGCTGTGAGGACATACGAATGGCCTGAAAGATGTCCCTGTGCTTCAGTTTTGGTAAGGGATGTGTTTATGTTGTTGAAAAAGATTGGCAATCACAAGAACGTCGAGCATCTTATACTTGACATGGAGCCGTTGGCTGATGGTATGATTGGAAGGATAACCTACAGAACCGATGCTGAAACGACTATCATTATGAAGACATGTGAAATATACGCAAATAGTCTGCCAAAGCAGGAAGTCCCGCCTGAGGTTACCAGTCTTCTGAATATAGCTGGGCGAGAGTTCAGGAATGTTATGGTAGCTTGTGGGAAGGGCAAAGAAGTAAGTTATTTATTTCATTTAAAAACGCGTAATAGGTATTCAAGGTAACTTATAACACTTAGAAATGTCTTTCATGTTTTGTCTTTGAATTACATTATTCTAGATAGGACTGTATATCTCACAATATGGGGCTGTTGCTCACACAATATGTAGTCGGGCTATGAGAGCAAAAGCAAGTCATAGTGTTATTCATATAAAGGACCTGGTCAACGCTATGGTAATGAAGGAAGAAACGTTTGTTGAGGTAGGAAGATGAACAGATTCTTGATTAGTTTAGGTAGATGTGAAAGATCTGTTGTTGTTGGCACAGTTTGCGGCTGCAAACGATGAAGTTATGAAGATATACTTCACGGACACAGAGGAGCCTTTGTTTGTTGTGGTAGACATGAGTGGATTGTGCAGTATCACCTTTGTTTTGTCAACTGGAGCTGTCGATTCGGTTATGGTGAAGAACTTTGTTGGACAGATGATTCCGTCTTTATATCAGTAAGTTTTTTAAAGATTTAAGTCAATTCTTCGTTAAATGGTAAGCTTTTTAAAATGATTTTATGGTTTTAGTGATGGGTATTCTTCATCGATCAGGTTGATAACTCAACTTCCGATAGCTGATAATAATGTTGATGTGGTGCAGATAGACACAGATGGATTGAATGACGACCAGATCATGGATCATAGAGTTCTCGGTGTTATTCCAAAACCATTACCTACACAACCTCAAGTGAATCGGGCTTATGAAGAGCTTACTGGATTGAGTCTAAATGCATGGAATATTCATGGAGAAGTCACACAGCCTCAACTTGTTATTGACGAGGCATGTTTTATTTATACTTAAGGTTTTTAGCTTTTAAACAAACTTCTTGGAATATAACTTATATTTTGTTCTAGAACCCGAAGGAAGTGATTAACATAGATGTCGATAAGAACATTGTCAGTCAGGTGGTTGAAGAGATTGTCATAGACGAACAGGAACATCACCATGTTATTGAGCAAAACGATGTAACTCAAGAGATTTTTTATGATAATATTGATGATGGTCGACGACTTGTTCTCGAACTAAATGAAACGCATCATGATGTTGTTCAAGATGAATATTATGAAAATCAAACTACCGATGTGATAAAAGAAGTGACAACTCAAAGTGATGTTGTACATGATGGACGTACAGACAAAGACGTTGAAAATCATTATACTGTTTTGGACAATAACAGCGTTGAAGGTGAAGTAAATGCTCACCTAGATGTCGTTTTTGGTAATGGTATTACAGATCAGCCATCTAATATTGTACATGAAAACCCTATCTCCCAAAAGCGAACCCAGAGTCAGTTCTCTATTCGTCGGTCTTTAAAATTGAAGTCTCAAAGAGACTGTATCTTGGACTTCTTGGATCGGCCGGTGGACCAGATTGATGTTCGTACTGAGCAAGTATTAAGAGAGAACACCGAAGTCAAGGTTGGAGGTATAACTGCACCTGCTGAGATTCCAGGTGTATCAGATGACATAACAATGGAACATACGTCTTCGAATTCAAATTTAAACAACTCACTTTATGATTCTGTTCATGACGTATCTGGGCCTACCACTTCTCAAGAAGATGCTATAACTTCTATAAGTCACGACACTAACAGCTTAAGGGAACGTCAAAGGTATGCCTTGTGTCTTTAGTAATGAAACATGTTTGTTTCAAAACATGACTAATATTATGAGTTTGATATTAATATCATTTTAGTGTGCATGAGGAAAGCAAGCCCTACAGACACACGTTATTCGAAGACATTCCAGTTACTGACCCATCCGAATGTACAGAAGAGGCTTTTCTCCTTCAGAAAGAATCCGAATTCGTCCGTCCTGGACATGACCGAATACCAACACGAATGGAAGGAGGTATTATCATTAGTTTTACGATTTAATTGTCTTGAAATAACAAAAGAGGATTAAGTTATTATCATCACATTACTTTTAGGGGCTCTGGTATCAGGGGAAGAGCCAGAGATTGTACACTTTGTCAACTTGAGACCGCGACACTTTTGGGAAGAAGCATTTGCAGTACGACCGGTGAATACAGATGACTATGACGACTGAGGTAACATGTTGTTATGGTATGATTACTGGCATTTAGGCATAATTTTATGAACTTTTAATGAACGGGTATAATAATATACGTTGTAAACAAAGTTTTATTGAAATACGGTAAAGGGTACGGTAATTAGGTTTATGGTAATTGGGTGGTGACGGTAACAACAAGGAACTGTCCAGAATGTCGTACTGCATAACCGAGTTAGGCGTAACGAGGTTATGTTTACGATGTTTACCGCATACGCGTTAACATTGTTTGTTAATTTGATAGTATGTTACTGCAAATATTTGCACATTCAGAACAACAATCTCGGCAACAGTTTGATTCTTCTTTCTTAACCTTTTTAGCCGGAGGGGACGAAGCATTCTTGGGGATCGATGAAGGCAGCGGTTGTTGAGTAATCACTTTGGAAGACTTCTTGGTCTTCTTGAATTTGATCAACGGTGGTTGAGGATGTCTGGGGTCTGATGCCGACTTCTGATGATGCTTGGTCTCTCTTGGTGTCTCTTGTGTATATCTGGGTTCCTTTGAAGTTGGCAGAGATACGTTTTGACAACACTTACAAGTCGTCTGTTGTCGATTCAGAAGCCATACGTTGTTTTCTTCATCTTTTACAAAATGGAATCTGTGGGTTCTGGGGTTTAAATGCAGAGTATCTAGCCTGAATTGGTAATTTTAAATTAGATCTGGTCTACAGACTTAACTTTATATAACGACTGTAAATTTAGATCTATTCAAAGTCGAATTAATACAAAAAACTGTTGTTATTGATTTGTTGTGACTGATCTTTGAAATACTTTTCGATACAGTTTATTTTTTGACATTTATGATTGTCATACTGTAATTGTGACATTGCTTACCAGGAGAGAATGAGGGCACTATTCTGTCCCCGGCTTCGTTGAAACGTGTTGCTGGCGTGGAAGATGGTGGAGACTGTAGCATGCATCTCATCGTCATCCATTTGTTGTAATGTTTTCTGGTAGGTCATAGCTGTGGAAGGCGGGATGAGCTTTTAGACTCGGGAATGAGTTTCTCGTTCAACACATTATAACTAATAGACAGAATGGACTCACTTTTACATAAGTATACACCATGATGGGCTGCTTTTATGATCTCCCCCAATCCTCTTAGTTGACAAGTTTATTTCGGTTTTTGGTTATCGGCGGAAGCCGAAGGCATTACGTTTCAATTTGGTTCCGACGTCAGAAGCCATTCATATTTGAAACAAATAGTCTTTAACTCAATTTCCGGGGTCTGAATTGAGCTGCTACATGATTTAACAGAGTGTCATTGAGTTCAAACTACTCTGTTTGGGGCAAGCTGACCCGTACGACATTACGCTTTATATATTATGAATAACGGTGCGTTTCTGACGGTGCAGGTTCAATTAACGACCATACTTTACCTTGTCGGGGGTGTGGGGGAGGGGCGGAGTCGTTCTTGTTTTGGCAAGTCCCGCCCTGGTTTCACAGGCGCTGCATAAAAAGAGTCAAATTATCATGCGCGAACAGTATAATATGTTGGGCCAAGTCCAGCTGTTTAGAACCCTTTCATCAAGTGCATGATGTTGGGAGAGCGTGGGAATCTGAAGTCGGCTTCTTCCGTTGATTTACGCCATCGAACGCTCTCTAACGTCAGAAGTCTTTGTTTCTTGTTTGTGACCACGATTGTATTATGAATTTAAAGGTTTTTATCAGTAAATAATCTGTTTGTTATAATTCGGTAGCCGAATCTTATAATTTACTTTATGTTTCTGTTATTTACCGTGTTTTGTTTGTAGACATGCGATCTCTACTTACTTGGTTCATCTTGCTCATCTCGGCATGTGTTTGTGCTGGCTTCGATCCCACTTTCTGGAATACGCAGTTCTTTGCCCCCGGCCATGTTGTCGATGTAAAGTCCCCAGCACAGAAGAACTTTGACGAAGACAACGCCGGCTTCATCCGACCTTCCCTATTCTCGGGAGCCAGTGCATCGTCCTCGACCAGGAGACTCATCCAGCCGCCTCCTCTAAAACGGAATCAGGGTCTCCCACAGGGATTGAGGTGGTATCGGATATAACCGGCTTTAATTTCACTTCTGTTTAAGATAATACGTGTACAGATCATGAGAAAGAGGAAAATCGTCTTCCTTTATTTATTCCTTTACTGAGGTCATAATAAACATTACATTAGATATGTTAACTTGCTCGGAATGTTGTTGTGAGATCACTGGTACGCTAGACAACCGGTATGTGAGTTAAAACAAAAATGAAGGACATTATCATAAGGACCCGTTCACAAAAACTGCAAGCTGAACAAGGCTCGGCCAAAGGTTCGTCGCCGATGAACTGATGAGGTGGCTCTCGATCCTCGACACAGAAGCCGGCTTCTTCTTCTGGTTCACAGACTTCAGCGCACGATGGACACAGTAGAATGCCTTGTCGCAGCCACCCGTTTACTATCTGCAATGTTAATATTAAAGTAGATTTGCTCGATTATAAAGTTCAAAACGATGATGGTTGAAAGTTCAACGTGTTCGAACGATATTTTACGTTTTACAATGTTGACACTCACTTGGTTTACGTGTACATGTTGACCTTGGTGATAACACGGATAATACGCATTACTATTAGCTACTCCGACGTGTAATCTGCCTTCTTCACATTTGTACTAAAATTTGAATATTACTATAGAAAAGACTTTCGATTGCTAGTGTGTATATTAAAACAACTATTTTGAGTATAATTCCCTTACTTTGTAGCATCCAGCTAGGTTCTGAGAGAAAGTCTTTACTCTGCCACATTTCCTTTCAGTCCAAGTAATAAGCAAATCGAAGCACTTGGAGGCGTTACCGTACACCTCCATTATGGGGTTGTTGGCTACGGAGGGGGTGTTTATGTCTAGTGAGCATCTGGAATCTCTGAACAGGGGCTGTGTAGCTGCTGGATCCCTCCAGGTGAAGGCTTGGAAGAAGGGACAGAAGTCTGCCAGTTCCACTGACCCACCATACAGTGGTACCCTTTCATCAGGTATGCCCTTGAGGTGGTCAAAGTACTGGTAATATGATACTAACTCGTCTTCGTAGGGCACCAGATTGCAGAAGGAAAGAGCATTACGCTCGCTGGTGCAGCTCGTTACGGCCAGCGACTTGGTGCCGTCATGTTTAGGGTCCTGACAGAATGGCATTATCGAGAATCCTCTGCAAATATCATCTGCTATCAGACTCTATCATCCGCTGACATTACAATCTGACCAAAACCTACTGTTCTCTCCGTGTTCGTATCCATTCCCCGCAAGTCAGCTGTACGAAGTCGCAGCCAAGGTTTCTACCGTACATAAACGGCTCAGATGATCTGTAATGTGAACGTATATCATAGTTAAGCTGATGCTGTTATTGAAATCCCATATGAATATAATGATATTGTATATGCACTTTAATAAATTGTGTGCTCACTTACTCGTACGACACTTCATACCATCCACTGTCTTCGAACAACGCCAACGTGATCCTGCTGTAGACAGGGTTCTGGGTGTGAGTGCCAGTCATGGCTTCGTTTTCAAAGATCCGCTTCTCCCAGTGCACCATCGACGTACCGTAGCCTCCTTGATCTTCAAGCTCAGCTCCAATAAGATCACTGCAGTTGAAATGACGTTGAACTTCTTCCGCGACCTTAGGTGACGCTATGACGTGATGGCGTCGTTGCACAACGTGACCGTTCTTCATGGGCCAATCTCTCTTTATGGTCTTGATGGGATTCTGGAACGATTTATTTAGGTAGTTTTAAAAGTTATTAGTTTCACTATTGTCATAATAAACAAACAGAAACGATTGGTTTGTTCTATTCATGTCATTGATAACGTCACTTACTTTGGGAAAATCTTTGAATAAGGCATCGGAAAACACCAATGCATGTGCAATTTCGTGTTTGATAGTCGAGATTAAAAGCTCCTGGTCGTGTGGTCGAGTTGACAAAGATGCAGGACAGATATTCACATTGCCGGCTATAGGTCTAAAAATATTTTTTTAATTTTTAAAAATTTTAAAAAGTAAATAGTTGAGTGTACATGAAAATATATTCGGATTCACAATATAATCTTCAAAAGTTAACTCACCTTTTGGTGGCATCTTGCTGACAATGCACTGCGTATGAAACTGTGGCCATGTCATTGCATCTAGTCGAGTTCAAGGCAGTGATATACAGTATGAAGTTGGTCATGACATGTTTGGCCGGTGATGTGTTAATCAACAGTTTTCTGCTCAAACATGGCTGCAAATATTTACTATATTATGAAACTAGGATGTCATATGGAGTTATTGCCATCTTTTATTAGGATGTTTGGAAGTACAACAGCTGATATTGCAGTAGATGCGTTAAAGTACTAAACTTGCACAGATTTCACGGAATCACTTACGTAGAGGTGTTGTTCTGGAATGACCGCCTCTCCACATTTGGTCTCAGGTAAACATCCTAACGAGCAGACACGTCGATTTCCCCAGGGATACTCGCTTCTCGCTATGCACCCCCTGCAATGCATAATTAAACAACAACAACAACCCACCTTTCCAGCGTAATCCCATTTATTCCTCCGCCTTTCAATCTCAAATTCCGTGTCCAGTACTCGATGGCGTGAGGGATGAGGAAATTCTGGAATGGGTATCATTAATCACAGGCACGTCAGTTTATTAAAATCAAAGTGGCACTCATAATATAATCAAAAATAATTTTAAAAAAAAGCCTTACAACTAAACCTTTCTATACTATTATGTATATATGGATGTAAACTAAAATAGATTCTTCATGGTACTATCGTGAGGAAGATCAAGATTCTGTCCCATAATAAGATCAAAGCGTAAATAAAATTTATATTCACCTTGACATGGGATGACAAGTTTTGGGACAAGTCTTCCGTAACCGAGTGGTCGAACACTGTGTGAATGTGGAACTTGTCCGGCACGCTTCTGGGGCGTCTGATGGCTCTGGCTTCACGCCGACTTACTATAACATCGCCCTGTCCTGGGGGCTTGTACGAACATTGATGGGCCGAGATTACTGTAGCCAGAGACAGCAACACCCAACCACAACGCATTGATCCCGCTTTTCATATCAAGCTCGCCTAACCCAACATGTATGCCACTGTAACACGACCATTAAATCTCCTTTAAACCCGTGGTTACGCGCGAGAACAAAAAAGAATGGAATTGACCCGGAGGGCTTGGTTCAAGGTCGTTCACCGTGCAATTACGCTTCGTACAAAACTCACGGTTGTGAGACGACTGTGACACACATTTACAACATTATACAGCTAATTACGTGAATTGGAACAAGCTACATAAAAAGGTACTTTCTGGGTCAAAAAGTAAACGGAAAAGTGTAAAAGTAGACCAAATTTGCATAATCTTATACATATAATGTAGTTTAACATTTTTGTAACAAATCAAAAGATAACATAACGTACATGCTATTATATTATTTTATAGCATGTTAATTAGAATCCAAATGCAATTGAATCCTTTTGTGCCGCGAGTCACTCGAGACCTCAAACAAACTCCTTCAAGTCGAGAGGCCGACTTTTATTAGCATTATATTCTCCCGCCGCCCCAATTACATTTCCGTTGTTTAAAATTAAAATAACCCACTTTACTATGTCGAACGATGTATTAGGGACACAGTAAACAATCAAGGATGACACATATCTCGTTTTAATTGGCTGTTCTGCGAATATGGCGAGATTAAAACATGAACGTGAAGCCAAGAAATGTATTTTCAAATTTAGAAATTAAATTTTTATAGAGACACAACAAGTTTTTCGAAATTGTCCAAGTCCTTTTTGAAAAACTACTTTTTTGCTTTTCCTTATCACAAAAATTATCCAAAAATGTAGTTTTTACTATCTTTTCTTATACATCTAAATAAGTGTAGATACAGTGCGAAATGCAAAAACGAAAAGTACGAGAGAATTGGTTTAATCAATAAAGCCCTGAGGCAAAAACGGCCGAAAAGGAATTCCCCGAGAGACGGAAAACAAACGTGGAGGCCATGTAGAGTAAAATATTAGATCAGTGTCTTCGATCATGGCAGTGACCTTGCTACGCTTTCGGTTTCATATCGATAGCGTCAGACAGAGCGATGGCTCGCTTCATTCCCAGCTTTCAATTATGGGGAACGACCAGCACCGAAGACACCGTGGAGAAGGTACGTTCGTCTTTTAATGCCGTGCTAGGTAAACACACTAGTGCTATAAATAACAGGTAGTTCTCTGGTTACGTGCTAGCCCCTCGGGGCATTTAGACGAGATTAAATTTACAGGATTGTTTAGAGTAAACAACTCTGTAACTTGACAGAAATCCATAAGTAGCTATCAAAACACTCTGTAAAAGTAATATAAAGGTTCGGAGACTAAACTATTATTCTAGATTAGGTAAAGGAAGTGTTTGAGAAAGCGATCGAGGTACCTCTAAAGGTCACCGCGGATATAAATCTTTCTAATCGTGAAAACAAAAGTGGTAACTCGAATGGCATACATTAAGTATCCAACGGGTTATTAACCTAAAGGTCAACATAAATTGGCAGAAATGGCACTTTGACACTAAAAAATGATCGAAAAGTGACATATAAACATGTAAATACCTATTAGAACGTCACGTTAAAATACCACAATTACTTGGGCGTAATACGGCATATAAAGATGTTACAAGTGTAAAAAAATGAAAACGCCAGCATGACTTAAATAATATTTCATCGTGACATTCCTATTTTTAGACTGCAGAAATCGAGCTAAAAGAAGATCGTCCGAATGAAGACAATCAAGCAAAAGAACAACATCAAGGTAGTTGTGACCAGGGCCGGGCGGGGACTTTTGGTCTGGGGGGCAGGGGTCCAAAAAAATCGGCGCAGGTAGCTACCTGTGCCGATTTTTTGCGAAAATTTTTTTTCCAAAAAATCCACAGGGGGGCCACGTTCAAATTTTTTTTCGAAATTTTTTTTTCTGGGGGGGGGGTCCCCCCCCCCGTCCGCCCCCTCGCGCCCGGCCCTGGTTGTGACCATATCTTAACTCTGTTTTGTAGGAATTTTGAAAAGAGACCCTCTGGGCATGAGACGTTCTGTTTCCGAACAGAATTTGCATTTGATTAGAGAAGTGGGGCAAAAGAAGAAAAGACGTTGTTCCTCTACCGCTGATGATTCCGAATCTTCCGAAGTCCGTCCTCTTCCACATAGTTTAAGTAAGTGGTGTTTTAGCAATGTCATTTTACCCAAATGTCCGGTTCAGTGAACCCGGGTATAATATTATGTAGTGATTACATTTTAGACGTTTGCGTAATTACTTTCAACAGTATTGTTTGCGTAAACCATTAGTGTATTTGAATGTCAAATTACCCGAAAAAAGACTGTAATTTATGGTTTCGTATAAAAAGAGAGCGCAGTCTGCAGCAAACAAAGGCCGCAGCACGCGCCCAAAAAATAAATATTTTTATTGAAAAACAACTAACGGCCAAATTTGCAGCTCAGTCGGCCTTGGATCAGCTGGGGCATCGTCATTTTGCCAAATCTCCGCACAGAGTCTTCCCCATCAGATCGAAACAGTCAGCCGGCTTCAAGATCGCGGCTTCGGGTGCCAGTTATCAGTCCTTTAATGATATCAGCACCATCGGCGTTAGCTTGCCGAACGTCCAGCCTAGTGTAGTGGTTTGTGCGCCAAACAAAGGGTAGGGCTTGTTGATAATGTGGGCCCAGGGACCGCGGTGAGGGGGCTCGCTCTTTGATTTCGTTCTCTTTAAATGCGTCGAGACACCAATTTCTCACTCTGAAAACCACTTTTTAAGTGTTTCTTATTGCTATGCCTTCGTCTACACACACGGACAAGAGCAACGCTGACATCTCTTTGTTGTCCAAACACTCCGACGAGGACGAGGAGTACACCACGCCGCCGCTACAGCCTCCATCGTCGCCGATCAAGTTCTTTGTGTCTCCGGATCAGCGAACACGGTTGAAGGAAGCTCAGAAGACCTCGAATACCTCTTTTTCCACTGTCAATTCTACACACTCGAGGCCGATCGGGCGGTCCAGCACGGCGTCGGCACTCCAGACCTTGTGGGTGGGGCAGAATACTCAACATAAAGCGTCTTCAGTGTCTCATTACGATGGCCAGCTGGGTCTTTCTAACTCTGTAATGCCCAAGTATTCAGCGCTAGAGCAGTCTCAATTAGAACCTTTGAACAGGTTCGTTAACACTTTAACCGACTATCTTCTTCTTTCAGGCATCGAGGAGAGCTGTCTTTGCACGAGAAGTACCGCTATGACCTCAGTCGAGCACAACTCAAAGCTTCGTCGAGGACGTCTGCTCTGCTTTCTGGGTTTGCTATGGTAAGTATGGTTATTTGTGGTTGAAAGGAACTGTAAGATGATTGATTTTATATAATATAGGCATAAACTATGTTTAAAATTAGTTGAAGATAGTAAAGTTGGTATTGTTTTTGTTTCAGGTGGCTTTAGTCGAATTACAATACGAAGCCGACACTCCGAAACCATTACTAATCATATTAGGCGTGGTGACCACACTTCTAGTCTCAGTTCACTTGCTAGCTCTCATGATCTCAACATGTTTATTGCCTTATATCGAAGCGTCGGGTTGTACACAAGATTCACCTCATATCAGATTAAGGTAAGCATTGTACTATATTTGACAATTCTTGGTTTTCAAAAGTGAAAGTATTAAAATCTTTTAATTGGTTTTAAATTTACGAAAGAGTTACTACCTTTATGAGAATATAAATCGTAAAATTGCAGCCCGTACATAGAATTAGCTTGGATCTTCTCAACATGTATAGGATTACTATTGTTTTTGGTGGAAATTGGAGTAATATTCTACGTCAAGTTCAACGGTGTAAAGTATAATACCGCGGCTTACATTACGACGGCTATGTTAAGTAAGTTACCTCTTAATTAATTATGTATAGATGCCTAAATACTATATTGTTGACTGTTACACTATCTTACCGAATGTTTTTGTAAATATAGACTAACTTAAAGCGTGTTACTTCTGCTATATATAATTATACATTCGTCTAAAGGCATAAAGGTTTAATCAGCCCATTCCAGTCCCAGTATTAATAATATTTGTGGTACTATCGTGGCTGATTCACCGGAATCGGTTCAGCCACTCGATGGAGAGGGTCAACGACAAAGTGATAGACCTCGAGAAGTTTCTCGACGAGAATACGGCTACAGTAAACGCCAAGAACGGTGACAATCGCGCAATCTACACGACCAGTCAAGCTTGATAACTTTAAATTATTAATTAAATAAATGTATAAATAATGTACGAGTAGATAGCTAGAGGTGATGCGTTCCTTAGCAACTGGTTTAATGACTGACAATTAAGGCGAGAAAGGCCATCTTTTTATAAAAAAACTACTCTACAGTACTTTTACTGTTCGAGGTTACCAGCATAGTATTGTTTTAGAAAATTTTAGTTTTTTCAGTAGTTTCGTTACTACTACAATATTTTTTAAGCTTAAAATAGGTTCAAAAATCGCTGACTTTGTTTTTAATACCAAAAGTATGGTGGTATTTATACTGTTTGTAAAATATTTCAGAAGTGTGTATTTGATGAACTATTGGATTCAAATTTTTGATTCTATGTTTCAAACCTATTTTAGTTTAGCCTATAATTTATCGTTGAACTTAAAGTCAGAAACATTGTTTTAATTTTTGATCAACTGACATATTTCTATTATACTAATCAAAAGTACCTAAAACGGATTTGAGAGTTAGTTCAACTATAATATGTACCTTTAGTTTAGTTTTCTAATGACTGAAACCCACCTATTAACTAATCATGTTTCAGAAAGATGAGTGCAAGATCAGGTAGTTTTAAAGGATTAGAAGCAACACCGTCCTCATCTGGCGTCGTCCAATCTCAGGAAAATGCGATTGAGGCCATCCCCATGAGCTCATTGTCCCCTCGTAAAACTCGCAAAATGCCAGAGGGCAATGCCCGGATCCGACGCTACATACGACCAGTCAGGATAACGTCTGTAGACGAGACTCTGGTCGAGTCGTACGACTGGCCTCGGAGGAAAGTAAGTTGGAATTAATCCCTTCTTCCTGCTTTCACGAAAAATGTTCAGGCCTTCGGAATTCCTGAAATGGCCGCTAACAACCTGTCTTCTTCCCATAATATTGCTAATGGCCGGCCGGGACCACGGACCCGGATTGCCCCGCTAAGCCGACCAGGAATTAAAGCCGAGGTGAGTACTCAAAACACCATTAGGTGAATTACTCTCACTTGCAGCCGGAGACAATGGGACGCTCCAACAAGGTGGCCGACGTCACCAAGATGAATGGTCTTACTGGGGCCATCACAGACCAGCCCGAGGAGCCCAAGAAGTTCCTCGAGAAGGTTGGGTTGGGGGCTGTCATAGGGAAAGGGGAGGCTGTGGAAGAGTACAAAGCAAACCGCCTCAAATACATATCCAAGAACCTGGTACTAGACGCTAACGATGGGTACTACTACTACTGGGTGGCGATCGTATCTGTGGCTTATGTCTACAACTTAATTGTAAGTGTAATATCTTCTTAATACTTTAATTGGGTTATAATTAAAGTTAGATATACTTTCATAAGTAATGTGCTACTATAGTTAGTACTTATAGATTCCTATTTTAGGTAGTTATAGCAAGATCAGTGTTTGTTGATCTTGATTCACGTAGGCTACTACCTTTTTGGCTGGTGTTAGACGTATGCAGTGACATAATATATCTCATGGACATGTATTTACGGACTCACACAGGTACGGTAATACCAAGTTACATTCATCTGGATTTTTAGGGTTTCTGGAGCAAGGTCTTCTAGTCACGGATGTGACCAGAATCCGAGGCCTCTACTACAAGAGTACTCAGTTCAAAATAGATGTCTTTAGTTGCTTACCAGTCGATTATTTCACCATGTTCTTTCTTCGAAGGTCTACTGTGTTTCGCTTCAACCGGTTGTTAAAGAGAGAACGACTAATCAAGTTCATGGAGCATACAGAGACCAGGAGTTCGTTTCCTAATGCCTTCAGGGTTGGTGCTGTCGTATGGTATATCGCTGTCATCATCCACTGGAACGCGTGCTTCTACTTCCTCATATCAGAGACGATCGGGTTGGGGGCTGACAATTGGGTGTACGGAGTGCAGAACAAACAAAGTTTGCCAGAGTAAGTTATTACAGAGTTAATATATTAATTTAATTAATACAATATATGTAACTATGTACTTTTCATTTTATACAAGAATGACAAAACAAAAAGCACGCAACTAAACTTTTAAAATTAGTTTTGGGTATCCTATTATATATTATACTAACTCAAACCTTGGTAAATGTCTTAAAATTTCAGTGGAATCGATGACAGTTTGGCTCGACGGTACATCTACAGTTTCTACTGGTCGACCTTAATCTTGACTACAATTGGAGAAGTGCCTGGGCCTGTTCAGAACGTTGAGTTCGCCTTCGTGACATTAGATTTGATGTGCGGAGTTTTGATATTTGCTACAATTGTAGGTAACGTCGGTAGTATGATATCGAATATGAGTGCAGCTCGAACCAACTTCCAGAACAGGATGGATGCCATCAAACAGTACATGGAGTTGCGGCGAGTTGGCAAGCAGGTAAACAACCTTTATATTTTATAGAGCTACCACTTACTGTAATATGTACAGTTTTGGCACAAATCTACCAGAATAAATCATATTAGTGTACCTTTTCAAGTTCTGCAACAAAATAAAGTTATTGCTGAATATTCTAGCTAGAAATACGAGTAATCAAGTGGTTCGACTACTTATGGGCCAACAAGCAAAGCCTGAGCGACCAGCAAGTCTTGGAAGTGTTACCGAGTAAACTTCAGACTGAGATAGCTATGCATGTTCACTTCGAAACGCTACGGAAGGTTAGAATCTTCCAAGATTGTGAGGCTGGACTGCTCGCTGAACTGGTATTGAAACTCCAACTTCAAGTATTCAGTCCAGGTGACTTTGTGTGTCGTAAAGGAGATATTGGCAGGGAAATGTATATTGTGAAGCGAGGAATGCTACAAGTTGTAGCTGACGATGGCTCCCAGGTCTACACTACACTGTCAGAAGGCGCCGTCTTTGGAGAGTTGAGTATTCTCAATATTCACGGTAAGAAAACTTTGCAAGAGCTTTTGAATTGTTTTTAAAAAAGTATGTTTCAAAAATGAAACTCAGGGCGCTAGTGGGAAGGGAAAACTGCAGGTTGCGAAACTTTATACGACCAAAGATTACTGTAACATCTAAAAATAAGTATTTGGAAATAAAATGCAAGGATTAAGGGGTTTACGTTTTTAATTTTTTGCGTATTTTACTTCTGTAAATTTAATTTATACACAATCTGCCATTTATAATTGTAGGTATATTTTAGGTAGTAAAAACGGTAACCGTAGGACAGCCAACGTCCGCTCTCTAGGTTATACTGATTTATTTGTACTGAATAAAGTCGATCTGTGGAATGCCCTCAGGGAATATCCCGAGGCACGCAAGATTCTGATCAATAAAGGTCGAGAGATTCTGAGAAAGGACAACCTTCTAGATGAATCAGCTCCACTGGAGAGTAAGACGGCCGAGGAAATGGCCGAAGAGTTACAAAGCGCGGTCAAGATATTACAGACAAGGTGAGTCGATTAATGTTTTTACAAGATCAATATAGTGAAGTTATATTAAAGTAAGTAACCCCTAAGGGTTTCAACGTTTATCAATGCTTAAATACTTTAATAGTACATTATAGGTAATACAATGGTACGAATGTATCAAAACTTTCAACTTAACAATAAAACTTAATAAGATGTGTCACGCTAACATATAATTATAGACTAGCTAGGCTGATGGCCGAGCATACGAATACAGAAGCCAAACTTAAAGACCGGATACTGTACTTGGAGGGTAAACTGGTAAAAGACGACGAGGAAGACGTCATCACAATTCACACACCGTACTCTTTGGGAGAACATACAGTATCCGACTCTGCTGTAGAAGCCGAACGACAGAAACTTCTGAAGGACGAGGATTCAGATTCGGATACAGATTACGAACGGGTCTAGAAGTATATTAAACTGTGTGATATACTGTAACAAACTGTGTATAATATTGTAATAAAACAGTAAAATGTAGTGGTTATAGAGAGAATAACTATGTGATTGTACTCATCGATAAGAGTTATGCAAGTATACATAAGTATTAGTGTAATAACTATGGTGATATAAGTGTTGGTATTGTGACGATAATAATTGTACTGCTGATATTGCGATAACTGTGTTGTTTTACTGACATGTGAATGTTGAAGTGAATGTGGACTACTGTGTCATCTTCACCGTCGACTATGACTCGGCGTTGATGGGTTCTTCCTCTTCCTTATGGCGTTTCTTGTGGTGATGACAACGGTAGTGATGGACATATTTCAATGCAGTGTAACGACGCATGTAATGTGCTGAAATAGTTGTGGTAAAAACAAAAAGATCAAGTTGTAAACTCTTTACAGCCTTTTTGAAATAGGTATCCAAAGTTGAAAGAGTAATAAGTTTGATGACAAAACAGTTTCCCAATGGCGTGTCTTTCATAATTGTCATAAACAAACGAAATGACATTGATATTACTATTGTGAAACGGTTTATAAACTCATTAGATCCTTCTGGTATTGCAAATGCTCTTTACGGAGGTAAAGATTACGTACAATAATATTATGACAAATTCTCGTGGAATGCCATTTCGAACTAATGTTCAAAATCTAAATTTAGACCGAACTGGAGAATGAAACCTAGCTACAGTATACTCAAACTGTTAAAACAAAAAATTGTATAGTACAAAGTTGTAAAGCCTCACCGGCTTTTTGACGTTCTGCGTACAGCTCCATCCTGGATACCCGATCTCGTCTGCTCAGTTCTCGTAGCTCTTCGTGAATCGACGATACTAGTTCTGAAAAGTTGTATTCTATTACAAATCCATTAGCATGATTGATACAAGTCAACAAACCTAAATTACCTTGTAGAAAATAAAATTATATAAATACTAAGTACTAACAAAATATTGTACCTGCTAGACGTTCCCCTTGCTTCTTAAGTGAGGTTTCCGCTGTATCAATCAGTGATACCACACGAGACATGACACAGTTGGTTTGTCCTCGGCCGTTTGGCGGAGAAGTGCTCTGAGCTCCTGACCCACTGTCCTGATCGTTGGTGGAGCTTGACTTTTCTCTGTAGAAGCTGGTGTCTGTCTCTGAGTTGCTCCCAGAAGGCTTCAACGACGAATCGCTACTGTCCAAAGCCTTCTCCTCAGAGCTTCCGTGACTAGAAGGCTCTTCTTGCTTGTAATCACTGCTCTCCATAGGTTCTGTCATCATCTTGTTGTCATCTTTCCCTGCCTTCAGCCATTCTTCACTCTTCTTCTGACCGCTTTGAGTTTCGTCGAAAGATGGCGCAAAGTTCAAATTTTGTAAATTGAAAGATGTCCCTGGAGCACTAGTAGAGCCAAGGACATTCATCTGCTGCTGATTCAGTTGTTGTGCTACTGCTGCAGCTACCATCTGTTGTACAACAAAGGTGGGCTGATTGAAGGGTAGAAGATCGTTTAGTATCTGTAGAGAACAAGAGTGGTTTGAAGCCATGTTTGATGACATATTAGAACCCATATTGGATGACACGTTGGAAGACAGGTTAGCTTGTAAGCTAGAACCCATAGCAGACGATAAGTTCGATGACATACTACCCATATTGTTGGAGAACGATGTCATAGAAGACCCAGAAGAGCCAAGTTGACGACCGACTGACTGAAGCTCAGGAATTGAAGATACCTTCTTTGGGGGTCTGCCTGGTCGTGTACTAAAATTAACTTTTAAGACAATGTTATATGAAATACTGACAATGGTAGTTAGAAACCAAACATTATTGAAATTACCTTGCATCTTCACAGTCCATCAGCAGCGAATTTAAGTCCAGCAGATTAATCAGCTTGCATCGATTGACTCCACATTGAATCGCTCCAGCCATCCTCAACGCTCGGACTTGTTCTACGTTACATACCATAGGATGGATGTTGAGTCTCTTGAGTTTGGTGTAGATTGTGTGAAGTCCACCAACTAGTTCTTTCAAAAATATCTCGTATATCTAAAGATTACGGTAATTAAACAACCCACTATAGTGCGACAGTAATAAAAACTACCGTAAATAACTATGTATACCTTTCAATCAGATTACAATGACAAAATAAAACTTTACAAAACACAACATCATCACCTTACCTGCGGCAAACAGACCATTGGCCGGTCGTTTACAACAAATCCGGCAACTTTAGCGCCGCGAACATCAAACAGCTGAGCCCGAATAGGTGGCTCACCTGAAAAATCGGTAGACAGCAGCGAGCTGCGGCTGGACTGAGGTCCAGAATCGACTTCCATCGTTAAACTCATATGCTCCATGAGAACGGAACAGCAGCATTCGCGTGTACGGTGCCGAAGTTTTTGTGATAAATAACAAAACTAAGCAGCCTCGCCAACTTCGGCCGAAAAAGAAAAGCGATTTGGGAGAGGATTAGCGACAACATCGATTAGAATCAGCCATTGCTTAATTGTAATTAAGTAAATGAATCGCCTTACAAGCATCTCAAGCTGAAGTCCGGCCTACTCTCGCGGTTTCGAAGTGTTTAATCTGCTTTTCACATTACAAATACGCACATGATATGCGGCATCCAACCTGGGCTTAAACCGCTTTTCTCAAAGTCAAAACAGCAACGTCAGGAATTTCACTCGCACCGCCCTCGATTGCAAAACGCTAAGCTCATACGGAAATTATTTCATCAACAACATAAATAAGCATTTATTATTCCACAAAGCTGATAATCGCATTCACAACCTTCCAAAATATACAAACCTTCACCAGAAGATACCAGAACAGCAAAGAGAATAAGAAGGTTAAGCTCATCAACCTGCTGATACTGGAAAAGACGTGCATAACCTTGAACAAATGTGAAATAATCAATAACAATATAAAAATATGTTGGATGATGTACTCAATGCAAAAAGTTTCTAATTTAACTAAATTAGTCGCCCAATTTGGCGTACAACTTGGGGACGTAGTCGTCGTACTCGGCCTGGTACAGGTTACCAAAGACTGGGTCTCCCAGCTTGTGTTTGGCAGCAAAGTCAGCAGCCTTCCAGTTGTTTCTCTTGGCTCCAGACAGTCCCAGTTTGCCGTGTTCTTTGTCCTCAATCTTTCCTGGCTGCTTGTACACCAAGTACACGTATCTGTGAAGACCAGTCTTCTCCGGAGGTCCAGCTCCAATGTACTCAGACAGTACTTCGCCCTTCGAAATGTCGTTACCTGGAATGTTGACAACCAGCCAGTGATGCCATTCTCGGAACTTGGGTTCTTTCCTTGATGGAGCGTCTGGATCTGTAAATGTAAATTGTAAATGCGGCGTTAGTGTTTCATACATTTCAGTTTAGTTATAGAACTAACCAGTCTTGATCAATGTGTAAAGAGCACCATCCTCGGTTTCCCACGACAACTTTGGAGGATCTTGCACTTGTGTTGGAGTTAACACGTTACCAAGCTCGGCCTGTAAACAATGCTTTTAGCAAAATTAAAACCACATTATCCATAACAAAGAAAACAATTTAAGATCGCTTAAACGCAAAACTTTAATTAATAAATGGTCGTGATATCGAAATGTTTACAGCAGATGTTCCCTCGCCCAAAATGACCTTACAAATTGTCGTTGATACAGTTATACAACCTACCTTTACACCAGAGTTAAAAGCTACATCGACCTTCTTGGCTGGCGCTTTTGGTACAACATCTGGCACAACTTCGTGCTTCTTGAAAGCTTCAGAAACCATTGTTCTAGCAACACTGAAACCTGCCAACGATAGAAGAAACAAATAGAAACGCATGTTGTGATGTGCCAATCACTTCAAAACAAATAAACACAAATAAAAGCAAATAAATATATAACACTTAGTGAATTCAAAATTTAAAGTTCAGATTAGCGCTCCAGAATCTTAAAAGATATATTACCTAATGTTATGATAACGATAAACAGATGAATTCCCCAAAGCAATCCGAGATGTCAAGGTAAAACAACGGAAAGCCATTACGCTGTCAACCTTGCCCTGATTGTTTTGTTAGAAAAAAGAAACATGTAAACATTGTGACACTTCGACCCTTTTGTATTTTTGACATTTCGTTTACCTAATCAAAATTAAATCGAAAAAGTGTTTTGGGAAAGAGGTTCTAGTTGATTTTTAATAAAATTGTACGAAATAATTGTTAGTTTTATAACTTTTTATTTATTTGTGAGATAAGGTAGGTGTTATGGTCGTTCCACAGTATTTAGAGAATTTTAAAAGTTTATTGAACTATTTCTAACAATAAATATAAAATAAACGAACGAACGAAATAAGATCAAAAACAGCTATGAAACTGAAATCTATGAAAATGGAACACCAACAAAAAGGCTTAATATATTATTCAAAGATAACGTACAACAGTCAACGAGAAGGGAATAAAGTAGAAGAGAAAGAACAGTGTGGGAACGATTGAGTCGAGAGGAGTTACTATGAACACACGGCCACACAAACAATTTTTAGAGGTTTTTCATAAGTTGGAAATGTCGAAGGCCGTAACAATGTGAATTCTTGAACCTAGGTGGATTAAGTTTAGTGCTTCTTTCTAGCGATCGGAGCGTTGCGAGCAGCTGATTGGACTCCCACCATCTTGGCTGGATCTGCGGGTTTGGCATGGCCCAGTTCTAATAGAACCTGGTCTACGCGTTTTACCTGAAAAGTTTTTATTTCAAAAATGTGATATTTTTATATTAATCTGATACCATAAAGTAGGTGTAAGTAAACATAAAGCAAATGGTTTAGATATGACACGAAACTTAAACTTACATTCTTCTTTTCATCTACAGTGCACAATTTAACGTAGGGAATGTTGTTGTCCTTGTGGTATCCAATCAATTCTGCATGAACGATTTTGCTTGAGCATAGTTTAGTGAATACATCCACAGCATTCTTACTCCAATGCACGGTGCCGTCAGAAGGCTGTACGTAGCCCAAGTAGCACTCGATGGCTTGCATAGGTAATGACGTTAGATCTGATCGAATCTGCCTTAGCTCTGTTCTGGGCAAGGTCGCGAAACCCCCGTAGTCAGCGAATCTGACGAGTACGGTGTCATCGTTCTCATTGTGATGCAGAGTGATGGCACGGAACCATCCGCTACAGGTTGGGGCAATACATACAACACCGGGGCTACACGGTTTAGGTAAAACTGGGATACCGGACAGGTTACTGTAAATATTCATTGTGTAGTAGTCGAGGGTGGAAAGTGACGAGAAGGTGGGATGTGTGGGAAGTTGAACAAAGAAGTGACCAGAGTCCACGATGGAGCACACGAAAACTTCACACGGTACGCCGACCGGTAGACTCAGCTAAAAGAGTGTATATTACACATGAAGATTAATTCAAATAGTTTTAAAGATTACATAATTAATAAAACAACTAGTTGTTCTTACCGCTGTTGGCTCAGAACCGACAACTTTTGGAGCGTCGAGGATCGTAGGTGGCAACACCGGCTTCAGGTTGAGATCAGGGAATCTGTTCTGAGGGAATCGGTATCTTATCATGTGCAAACACTTGTTGATGTTTTGTCGTTTTCCTTCGATGGAGCAGATCTGATGGGTCTCTACCCTGGTTAACGTGTGGTGTGGTCTGATTAACATCCTGACTTGAGCACGATTGCATAGTTCCTAAACAAGATAATAATGTAACGATTGGGTAGCCTTACAGAAATGGTTTTTCCTTGTACCCCGATGATCAGACCGACCAAAGTGTTGGGCACTTCGAACTCGTAGACCGGGTAGATTTCATAGTCATTGTGATGTTCGAATGGGCTGCAGTTGGGCCCTCCGGTAGCTCTTCCGCTGTCAGCTGATCCCTCGCTGTTGGTAGAAGACTGTGACGGGCTCTCAGCGTTTTTGTATTCAGTTTCGGCCGGGATTTGTGTTATCTCTGTCACTGTTTTCTTCTGTGTTTCGGTGTTTACGACCAGAGACTTGACACTCCCCTAAAAATGTAATTTAGTGGTTACGTAATAGACATACCGTATCCGAAACTTCTTCCTGGTCTACTCGTACTATTGGTACTTTTGGGACTTTTTTTGTCATGTCCTTTTGTTTATCCTAAAACGAGAAGGTTAAGATTGTCGACGAACATTGTGTAGGCAACTAATAAACGAAAAAAGTTAGTCTAGTTAACAGGCAGCTAATCAAAAAGTCTTCGCCGCTTATTACTATTACGTTTTTTGTCTAGCGGCGAACTCATGACTTCTTTTTGAAAGTCACAAAGGGTTGCCTATGAATTAAAAAACGGGCACAGGATAGGACATCGATGAGGGTTAGACCGGAACGACAACATCAAGACAAGCAACGAACCTGTTTCTCTTCGGCCGCCTTTTCCTGTGGCACTTCTGGAGCCGGCTGCACGTTATGAGATTCTGACGTCATTGGGGGCGAGGGCTTTACTGACGTTTGTTTGGATTCGGCTACAGGGTAGGACACTTTTACTTCTGGGACGGGGGCCGGGGCATCTGTAGCAGGTGCTGATGCTGTAGATGGCTGCCTACTAAGAGGCTCTGCTTCTAGTACAGTATCTAGAGACGGTTTGGCGGGTTTCTGAACCGCCCTACTGATCTGGCGTTTCCTTCGTCGTTCCATTAGGTACAAGAAAGCCGCTAGCGAAGCCGCTCCAACAGCAGCCAGGAAATAACGGCGGTGTCCAGAAGACATTTAACCGAAGAGAGACTGGTTGAGGCTCTAGTCCAGTCAGCTTTTGGGGTTGGAACACGACAGCCAATACAAATTTCAATCAGACGAGACTCTGAAAACAAAAACCGGGATTACTGACCGAGCCAAGACGTGCAAGAGCGCAAGATGTAAAATATAGCGTGTGCCTAAAACGGATTTGTGGTATGGGTCTGACGTGGGACGAAAAAACAGCCCAGTTTTAGGCTCACTTTGCCTGGCCGTCGTTGGGAATAAAAGAGTGCACGCAAAAATAATGGCTGTCGCTCTCCGAAACAGAGACGAGAAGAAACGCACCAGCCGGCGGAATGCACTCACCACGGCCCGGGTCGCCTCTCCCCTTCACCTGTGTTAGGCTAGAGTCTTAAATGAACGATAGCTTTCAAAACCGATCGGTAAAACGAAATGGAGCGCCGTATTAGGAGTAATATCTCGTTTTATAAGGTCAGCGAGCAGGGCTGAGCCAACAACTTTTTATGACTTCACGATTTGTATCTTTATTCACACTATAATATTATGACATGCAACTACACCATATTATATGTTATTCTGGACCACATTATGTGCTCTTCTGCTACATGATGACATGGATTAATCAACGTTCTCGAGCAAGAAGATCTTATCTTGGCTGGGCTTTTTGACTGGCGCGATGCTAATGTCACTCTTAATATTGAATTTACCCTAAAAATCTAATAATTCTGCCTGCGACCTACCGTAGTCTTTTTGGTTTCGCAGTGTTCTTCGTCGTCTTCGAGTTTTTTGTGCGAGTTGCGGTGTTTCTTCGCTTGGCATCTGCATTTACACTTAATTTGCGACTTGACCAGGCTTACAACCTTAAAAATAGTTTTAAATTTTGATAATATCTTACCTTCTTGACACGGTGATCGGATCGAATCTCCTCCACCACGTTGCTTTTCATAGGGTTTTTGGCTAAAATCTCCATAATCTTAAGCAGACGACGCTACTAGAAGTATAAATGAATGAGGAATCCTGGAGAATAAATAGACGATCGCTTGGAGATCGCCGAACCACATCCCTAAACACGTTCGTTCCTCCTCCATGACTATGACCCGTCTTCAATTTGTCGCGGAATGAGTCACAATTAAGGAATAACAACAATTTATTCAGTGAAAAAAGTTAAAAAGTTATTAAGTAGTTGAGGCAGTTATTACAATATAAGGACCCATAAGTGAAAGTGAGACCATTGAGCATGGTTAAGTGGCGCTGCTACACCTGGGGCTTCGTTGGCTTTTCGATCAAGGATTCGTTCTCGGGCTTGTTAATCTTGACGTCAACATCTGTCTTTCTTCCGCATCTATACAGACGTTGGAGTAAGGAGAAGCCTTTGACGCGGTAGCAAAGATAGTCAGCTCCAACTAATGTCAACATGAGAACGATGAGGCAAATGACAACGATCATAGCAACAAAACTAGTCGAAGTTGCAAATTCTGAAAAAATATATATCAATTAAGAAGTTACAAATGGTACAAAAACATTTATATTCGAGTACTAAAAACCTAAAACATTGAAATTGAACCAATAAAATTAATCTTCAGATTGTATAAAGGCCAAGCTGTGTAAAGTTACATACCTGAAGTTGTGAAATGATGAGAAGTCGGATCAGAAGTTCCGATTTCATTGACGGCTTCTACTGTCACTTCATAATGAACCAGGGAGTCCAAGTTGAAGATGTCAGTGAAAGTTTCGTTGCAACTTGTCGACCATAGTTCCTTCTAATAGGCAGTTAGTTAGATATTATCATCAAACGACTTACCTTATCTTTGTTATACAAATGAACCTTGTAGCCAGTGATTGGCTCACCGTTGTCCCTTCCAGGAATCCACGAAATGTGGCAATTCTCTGTGCAGTTTGAAGTGACATTACGTACTCGTTCAGGAGCTTGTGGGTCAGCAGTCACAACTTTGTATTCTTCCTTCGACCAGTCGGTCGCACCACGTTCGTTGTAGGCTTTGAAGTGGACGCGATATGCGGAGCTTGTGTTCAGGTTTTCGACTTCAATGAAGCCATCTTCTACCGGAATCCCTTCCACCAAATAGACGACGGACCCATTGATATTCTTGAAGGTGGCTGAGAGGTTGGTGGGGTAGTTGTTCTCCTTGATGTTCTTAAAATCAACTTTGCATCTCATCCTTGTAGGCAAAAAGTATTCGTTACAAGCAAGCGTGGGAAGCTTTGGTTCCAGGACTTGAAGTAGTAAGATCTTGTCGCCTTCAGTAGAACCCAGGTTGTTTTTAGCTTTGCAATTGTAAGTTCCAAATTGATTGGTAGTCGTAGGAGTAATCTTCAGAGTCGGGATATCACTAATTTCATCGAGCGAGAAGCTGGTACCGTCGTACTCGATAGGTTCACCGTCTTTAAACCATGTAATCTCTGGAGTCGGGATGCCAGAAGCGTTACAACTCAGAAGGATTGGAGAACCATTAAGTACTGAGCGTTTGACTCCGTTTCCAGACTTGGCAACTTTCGGAGCAACTTAAACAACAAAAAATTATCATAAAAAATGAAAAATTGCAGAAATTTTAAGAGAAAATTATAATATACCGGTGACTTTAATGTGAGCTACACGTGACGATTTACCAGCTTCATTGTGAGCAACACACACAAACTTGTTGTTCGAGTTCCTGTTTATGTTGTTAATTATCAAATACGAAGTTCCGTTTTCAGCTTTGTATCCAATGTCACTCCCATCGACATATGGCTTGAGAGGAATACCTCCGTAGGTAGTCCATTCGGTGACATCGGTATCATTATGGGTAAAACAAGGCACAGTAAGAGATGCCCCTTCCTCTACAATCAAATCTCCAAATGGGTTGATTCTAGGCCGAGCTAAAAATTCAAAATAACAGTTTTTGTAATAAATAAATATAATTTACGCTATCTTTTTCTTCCAAAAATAAGATTAATATTAAAATTTGACTACCAACGTACGAAGCACTGTGAGAGAAACGTTCCGAGAGTCTTCTGTGTCGAGTTCGTTTACAGCGGTACAAATATACTTTCCTTCGTCCAACACTGATGTGTTTTTGATAACTAATACGCCATTCAACGATAGATCGTACTTGGGAGAGCCGTTAATAGCTTCGACCTTGCGTGCGTTCTAAAACCAGAATGATTATAGGACAACACTGAATAATAATTAAATAAAAATTTTATATTACTTTAACAAAAATACTAAATGTTACCTAAAAAGCGTTTAAAATAACTTACCGTCATTTTCGACCACTGAATCTTAGGAGTTGGGAAGCCATCAGCAGTACAAACCAACTGAAGATCTTGTCCTTCGTACACAACACTTGGCATGACATCTTTGACAATGACTGGGGGCACTACAAACAGATAATTACAAAAAAACTTAGTTAACATTAATAAATGTTTCGAACTGAAATATTGCAAAAATTTATAACTCACTGTATCCCAAAACCTCGATATCCACTGTCCTCACTCTGTCCAAGAACTGAACGCTACACTCGTAGACGCCATCAGAAGTCTTGGAATAATTCCTCAAAACCAAAGTTTTGCCATCGTCTTCTACTGTGGTTTGGAGATCCCTCGTGACTACAGCTTCGTTTTGCGTCCAGTAGACTTCTACATTTTCAGGTACATTCTTGACGGGACATCTGATTCTAGCATCTTGATTGACGATGGGATGTTGCTCTTCCTCGACTTCTGAGAAGTCAGGCTCTTCTAAAACCATTTAATAGATCATTATAAGTCAAAAAACGTAAAAACTTATAAGTTACATAAAAGGTATAAATTTATTATCTAAGAAATCAAAAACTTACCCACAAAAGTAACGAAGACTTTCTGAATCTCCTTAACCTCGTCACCAACCTTTCCAATACACGTGAATTCTCCAGAATCTGCAGGAGTGAAAGCTTTTTTAAACGTCAACATCCGCGACCCATCGCTTTGTCTGTGTTGGTTGACTCTTCCCACGTACTTCTTGTCGTATTGCCATTCAAGATCAGCGGAATCTCCTGGTTCGAAGCCGCTCACCGAACACTTGAGCACGTTACGATCTTTCGTCCCAAACTCAACTTTGTTTCCTTCGGGACCTGGTCTGGCATTTGGCACTTCTAGTTTCCAACAACTCGCCAACGAAGCTATGTAAAACAATAAAACGAAGCAGTTCATCTGTCCCTGAAAACAGCTTTTTATAAAATATTACCTAAATAAGCCTAAAATACGATACCAAAACCGCGCAAATCAAATGCGTCCAAATTATATGCAAATAAATAACTGAAAAGCGAGAAGAGCGGTCGGTCGACTCTCGATGCTGTGAATCAACTTGAAGACAGGCAAACGTCGACCCAACTACAGGTAAACACTAGCATATTCGACTTGAAATTCCCCGAAACAAAAATTGTTTTCGGATTCAGAAGTGTCTTCGGCACTTCGTGGGTAAGGAAGCGCTAACAATAGACAAAAAGGACTTGCCTTTTCTTTCTGGTAATCACAAATTTATCATTGGTTTCAAAAGGTTCTTAATCCGCCAAAGTTTTCGTGGCAGGACCTTCTGAAGAGCTATGAAACAAATGTGAATAACATTAATTTTCAATTAACAACGAGATAACAAAGAAAGTTTGGGTTGTTGATATTAGTCTACCTATTCTTTAAACGTAAGAATTTAAAGTTATCTTCCCCTATTTTTAAGAATTTCTAAGAATAGCCGCTATTTATGCGTAAAATTTAAAAAACGTCTGTTTTCAAAAATATAAACAAAGCCGGCAAAATATAAACCAAAACACAAACAAAACGACGCTCTGCCATGCCGAGAAAAGAGGGAAGCGCTACCTGCCTGACCAAACTCGGATGGGCCAGCTGTGGATCAGCGGGGGCTGGGTCAAGCCATTGTCTCAGATGGGCTCGCATGGCCCTCGCTTAAGTGTGCCGACAATTTGTCGTTCGAAACAAAGCATGCCAGATGCTGTAGATGAGTAAAACGACGTCAAGCGCATAATAATCATCAATACATATGCCCAAGTGACTAAATGACCTTCCAGCTACTCGACACCACGTCTAATAGGACCGAACATATGAGGTGACAATGTATGAGCAATTATACGATCACCGTCTTCTTGTCTGTTGTCATGTTTTGATCGACCAGATAAGAAGTTCGAGATAAGATAAATCAAAGTGTGAGAAAGATTACCTCATTAATGGACAGAGCTGATTGTTTGTGATGTCATTCTTAAAAACACTACAAGATAGTTTATACAAATACATATCTTATAGTTTTCAAAAATGTATAATATCATATTTTGACAATTGTGACATTACAATGTTTGACAGCTTGTCAAGATAACGTACACAATAAAAATGTAAAATTTATAATTATGTGGTTTATGGCAATAAATGAACTATATCGTGAATTGTAAATTATTTTATTAAAATTTAAAACTATTTATAATTATGAAAAACAAATAATTTAAAAGGTTTCTATAGTTTTTTACAAGAGAAAATTGGGAGATATTATTGATAGGAAATTACATTTAGTCAATTAACTTAAAAATACATATTGCAAAAAATCTGATAATTAACTTTTAACAACAAATTGCCTAAAACAACTTCAGCAGACTTTTAGGGTATTTCTATGAAAATCTGTTTGTTGTTCTCTGTTTCTGGTCATTTACGTGTTTTACAGCAATTGAACCAAGTTTATATGCTACACACGTCAAAGGTTAACGACTGGCGTGAGTCCTCAACAGAATTTTGGCATTCTACGGCCATGTTCTATTGCTTTTCTTTGAGTGCAATTGGAATACCGCGCAAACGCCGAAGGCGCCTTTTCCGTTTTTGGACAGCTCCCAAAGACCTACGAAGTCGAGACCTCAGTGCCTGTCCTTGTTTTTTCCTTCGAAAGGCCCGAAACTGACATTTCGTATAGATTTTCGTGTGAAACCATGGATCAGGTAGGTTTTTGGGGGTTTCTAATATAAAATTGGACATAATTTTAGCCTGGAAGAACGGAGAGTTATCGTGTGGCGACTTCTAACAATTTGGTGCAAGAGACGGCGCCATTAAAACCTCCTGACCCAATCCCAACTCCCGTTGTTACCCAAAAAACTGAGTCAAAGACAGGACAAATGGCTAAAGCTCCGGCCAAAAAGGTTGATGATAAGAAAAACAAGCAAGATCAGCTGAACGAGCTTAAGAAGGAGGTGGAGATGGACGAGCACAAAGTCCCACTGGAAGAATTAGTGGCTCGTTTGAACACCGACCTTGTTAATGGTCTGACTACCCCTCAAGCCGACGAAATCTACCGTAGGGATGGCCCCAACGCGTTGACTCCTCAGAAGGGCACTCCAGAATGGATTAAGTTTTGTAAAAACTTGTTTGGAGGCTTCGCTATGTTACTTTGGATAGGAGCAATCTTGTGTTACATTGCCTATGGAATGGATTGTTTCTCTTTGGAAAACCCGTCCAAGGATAATCTCTACTTAGGCCTGGTATTAATGGGAGTGGTGATAATCACAGGATGCTTCCAGTATTACCAGGAAAGCAAATCTTCCAAAATCATGGAATCGTTCAAGAACATGGTACCTACGGTAAGTTTCTACGATAACTGTTATATTGACATTGAAAAGCAGAAGATAATATTGCACAACATGAAAAAACTGAAAATTCACAATAATTTTAGTTTGCAATTGTTTATCGCGACGGAAAGAAAGTGCAACTGTCTACAGAATCTCTGGTGGTTGGAGATGTTGTCGAAGTAAAAGGTGGAGATCGCATTCCAGCTGACATCAGGATAACTTATGCCATGGGTCTGAAGGTGGACAATGCATCTTTGACTGGAGAATCTGAGCCTCAAAGTAGAGCAACTGAATGCAGTAGCGATCGTCCATTGGAAACCAGAAACTTGGCGTTCTTCTCTACTAACGCAGTTGAAGGTACTGGAAAAGGTGTGGTCATTGGTACTGGAGATCGTACTATTATGGGACGGATCGCTCACTTGGCCGCCGATCTTGAAAGTGGTCAAACACCCATTGCTAAGGAGCTGGAGCACTTTATCCACTTGATTACCTCGGTTGCCGTGTTTCTGGGGGTTTCATTCTTCTTCATCGCCATCTTCCTTGGTTATCACTGGCTGACAGCTGTGGTGTTTCTTATCGGAATCATTGTCGCCAATGTTCCTGAAGGTAAGCCTCAGGGTTTTTATGCAGTTTTATTGAATGAAACTGTAAAAGTCAACAAGTCTATTTTGTATATTTGCAGGATTGATCGCTACCGTTACTGTATGTCTTACATTAACTGCGAAGAGAATGGCATCTAAAAATTGTTTGGTCAAAAACCTTGAAGCCGTGGAAACTCTGGGCTCTACTTCGACAATCTGCTCAGACAAAACTGGCACACTGACACAGAATAGGATGACTGTAGCCCATGTATGGTACAATGACGAGATTAGAGCTTGTGATACTAATGAAAACTACTCACAAGCAGAGAAGAGGACAAAAAGTGATACGGAAGTCAACCTGCTGCGTGTTGCTTCTTTATGTAACCGTGCTGAATTCAAGCCTGATCAAGACAACGTGCCCATCTCACGACGAGAGTGTACTGGAGATGCATCTGAGATAGCCTTGCTTAAGTATACTGAGATTACGCAAGGTAACATCATGGCATACAGAAGAAGAAACCCGAAGTTGGCCGAGATTCCGTTCAACTCCAAAAACAAGTATCAGATCTCTATCCACGATACTGAAGACGAGGACAACCGACTTCTTGTAGTCATGAAGGGAGCGCCAGAACGAGTATTAGAGAAGTGTTCTACTATTATGCTTAAAGATGGAGAGGTTGAGATGACTGACGACATGAAGAAACGTTTTAACGATGCTTACCTAGAGCTTGGAGGGCTAGGAGAGAGAGTACTCGGATTCTGCGACTACAGATTGGATTCTTCCAAGTACCCCAAGTCATTCAACTTCAACGTCGAAGATGTTAATTTCCCCATTGCTAACTACCGGTTTGTCGGTCTTATGAGTATGATCGACCCTCCGCGAGCTGCCGTGCCTGATGCTGTAGCTAAATGTCGATCAGCAGGTATCAAAGTTGTTATGGTTACAGGAGACCATCCCATCACGGCTAAAGCTATTGCCAAGTCCGTTGGAATCATCAGCGAAGGCTCAGAAACTGTAGAAGACATTGCCATCAGAAAAGGGATTCAGAAGGAAGACGTCGACGAGAACGAAGCAGCGGCTGCCGTTATTCACGGCACTGACTTGGAAGGGATGGATTCCAATCAGCTGCTGGAGACCATCAACAAACATTGTGAAATAGTTTTTGCAAGAACTTCGCCGACTCAGAAGCTGCTCATCGTGGAAGCGTTCCAGAAGCAAGGACAGATCGTGGCTGTAACTGGCGACGGTGTCAACGATTCTCCGGCATTGAAGAAGGCTGATATTGGAGTAGCCATGGGCATCACCGGGTCTGACGTATCGAAACAAGCTGCCGATATGATTCTGCTGGATGACAACTTTGCTTCGATTGTAGTAGGAGTAGAAGAAGGACGTCTGATCTTTGACAACTTAAAGAAGTCGATTGCGTATACGTTAACATCGAACATCCCTGAGATTTCACCGTTCCTTATGTATATCTTGTTCGGCATTCCTCTGCCTCTTGGGACCATTACTATTTTGTGTATCGATCTTGGTACTGACATGGTAAGTGAGATTTTTTGTATTTTTATCGTTAGCTTTAAGGGTACACTTATATATTTTAAAACTGTTAATGACATTTATTTTTATAGGTTCCGGCCATTTCTCTTGCTTATGAAGAAGCGGAATCAGACATCATGAAGCGCAAGCCTCGAGACCCATCGAGAGATAAACTAGTCAACGAAAGACTCATCTCTCTTGCTTACGGTCAAATTGGAATGATACAAGCCTCTTCTGGATTCTTTACCTACTTTTGCATCATGGCCGAAAATGGATTTTACCCCTCGAGATTGTACCAGATTCGTGCCGAATGGGATTCTATGGCCGTCAACAATCTTCGCGACGATTATGGCCAAGAGTGGACTTACACCAACAGGAAGATCCTTGAGTACACTTGTCATACTGCTTACTTTGTGTCGATTGTAATAGTACAATGGGCTGACCTTATCATCTCCAAGACTCGACGCAACTCCCTCGTCCAACAAGGAATGTCTAACTGGGCCATGAACTTTGGACTGTTGTTTGAAACTGCGTTAGCGGTATTCTTGTGCTACTGCCCAGGATTGGATGTAGCTTTGCGAATGTATGGATTACGGTGAGTTGGTTTCTTTTCCAAGTGGTCTACTTAAAAATTATTAATAAAATTTTCACAAACTTTACACTGTAATTTCAGATTTGCCTGGTGGCTCTTCCCTTTGCCATTCTCCATACTCATCTTTGTATATGATGAAGTACGACGTTATTTGATCAGGAAATACCCCGGCGGTTGGGTAGAAAATGAAACTTATTACTAATGAATGCTAATAATCTTAATCAACTAAAGTTCGTGTTTTATGTAATTGTACTATTTACAACTTGTATTCTTGTAATTTTATAAATAAATTTAGTTTAACGTAATTCAAAGTAAATATAAAACATTAACAATAAATTGATACACTAGTGTTCCAAAAGCAAAGCCAAAGAAAGGAAAGAAAAAAAGATGTATCCAGAATTTTCTTCGTATAACATGGCGCCAAGTGCTGGGCGCTCATAGGAAAAGCGATTGTTGGAGCTTGAAGAATTTTTGCTCTATAATTTCGCGTTTATGTTGTTCGCATAATTGTGAATGAATAAGTGGATAAAAAATGTCGATACCCGGTAGGGAATCGACAAATCAACCATCTTCATCTAAAATAAGGAAATGTGTAAGCTGTCTGAAAGACGTTTTAAACGTTGATCGACCAATTTTCCATTTACCATGTTTACATTCATTGTGCTTTAAATGTAGAGGTAAGTCGACGAATCTGTAAGACTTTTTTTGTTTCTAGATGCTCAAAAGGTGAATTTGGATAGATTTTTGCATTGTACATATTGCAATCAACAGTTCTCAGCCGATGTTGTTTACGATGAATACATTCCTGATTCGCGGAGGACGTGAGTTAACTCAGTAGTCTTTTATTTTTTATTTTAGAAAATGTGGAGCTCCAGAATGTTATAATAATGAACCACAACGGATAACACATTATTGTTTGACATGTACTGTCTATTTGTGTGGGTATTGTTTAAAAAACCACAATCGTCAGCATAATATTCGAGAGGTAAGTTATTAGTTAAATAGTATAAGTTTGCAAATATAAAGATGGTTAACAAATGTTTTTAAAATTCTTTAAACTTTATTTTATAGTCTATAAGATTATTTTAGTCCAAAAATTACATTCCAATGATATCAAGATGCATCAATTCTGCGCATTACGACAGGACGGCGGTCTACGTTTGCGGATGTGGAGCGGTAGGAGATGTGCCTTTGTCATTATATTTATTTTTAGAGGTTATGCAATGAATGTCTCGATTCACATCGATCTGCATGTCGAAAAAGTAACACGATTGGTACTTTTACTGAGATCAATTCCAAAGCCATTAATTGCTTAAAACCGTTAATGGAGAATGACAGAAAGAGCTTAGATTATTATCACTGTTTGTATGTTTTGCCTTTAATTTGAAAATGTTTTTTAAAAGTTTTTGATATTGTTTATTTTAAGTACAACATTTTAAACATTCAAAAATTTTTAGATTACAAGGTCTGCAGATAAAGAGACGAATGGTTATGGCAGAGTTCCAAAATTCTAGGACACAATTAGCGTACGACTGCCAGCGAATGGTGTCTCTCCTAATTCAAAGGTTTAACGACTTGTCGGATTCGTTAGAAATGTGCCAAAATCAATATATGGTTCACTTTAAAAAAGTGGAACATGACATAACAGAAGAAACGAATCGGATAGCGACTATAAACAACTTAGAGAAGAAGATAGTAACACTAAAACAACAAGACATTATACCGTTTGCTTCTTTTATTAAATGTGCGTCCAACTTTGCTGACAAGAGAGGAAAGTACAACAAATCTAATTTGGACAATATTCTTCCGTTACCATCAGTTCGAATTGATCTTGCTCATAGTCCTCAATCTAGCAACTTTGTTCAGTTTTTAAGTGGCTTTGGCTCTGTTGTAGTAAACAATATTAGACAGGTGAGTAGATAGTGTTATGGGCTTTATGTTTTTAGACTGTTCGATCTAACTTTGATAAACCCTTGGCTTTTGTGCTGCCTCCAAAATTAAACCCAGCGGAGATGGGACATCAAGCAGAAATGGGGCTACGATGTTTTAATGGAAAAGAATACGAAAAGGCTGACAAAGAAAAGTTCAGGAGACTTGTGAAACCTTTGTCTGACGAGGAATTGAAGGAAAGGTGTTTTCAACTGGAGTTAGAGCTGGATTATTACAAACGGCTAACTAAAAGCTTAGAAACTGATTCCAAGATTGGGACAGAGAATGTCAGGCATTTACCGGTAGAACGTGCTGAACACGACTCTCATATTATTGCACCCCAAATGAATAACGTAAGATAAAAATTTTAAATTATATGCATAATACACACATATGAGTATGAGTAAAGCATTTAAACAATTTAAATATTAAAGGTTCACCTTCCTGGTCCTTCAACAAGTCGATCTCATCCAGTTGTTTTAAATCGCAACAGAGTCAGTATGCCCAACTTTGGGATGGGAATGCAACCTCCTATCCGCCTCAATGGAATTCATGCTCAATCACCTCAATTTCAAAACAGCCCTCAAGGGTTTATGTTTCCCCAGTCGCCAAATCACACAAATCTGCTTAGAAACACGAATCAGTCAGAATTGCAGCAATTAATGTTTTCTAATTCTCCGGTAAATTTTTTTGACTGCTTTAAGAATATACTTACTTAAATTTTTATCAATACATTTTCAGTCAAATGCTCAATCTTCGGAAATAGTTACAATAACATTAGAAGACGAATTGCGACCCAACCCTAACATAATAGATTTAAATAACTTATCTAATTCTACTAATCAGACGCCTTCTGGAATTCATGAAAATAATCAGAATAATGTAACTGATAAGGACGCTACATACCGGCGGTCGCGGTCTGTCGTGTATCATAGTTCGTTAAGAGAGAATCATGATATTGTTTCTAATTCAGCGCCAAATTCAAACGCACAGCCAGTTTCTGAAAGTCCCTCTAACAGATCAGGGAGGGAGAAGTCACACGATAGCCACAAGTCAGATAAAAGTGGTCGATATCGCGCAGTGCCGTCTGTTGGTTTGAAAATACGAATTCGACGAGAAGAGGTGGAGCCAACACCTGTAAATGAAGAACCATTTGAAGCACTACAAGGGCCATCTGATGATGTTGACGGTGAAAAGAGCAGGAAAGCACAAACAACAGAATCTCAACAAGACGAGTGGGACGACTATTGCTACAGTTGTAATGAAGGATGTGATGATATTTCTGGAGATCTTGGTTGTTGTTCTTCTTGTCCAAAAGTGTTCCATCAGTTATGTCACTCGCCCCGGTGTACTGTACCTATGGCACAACTTCCAGACGAGTGGAGATGTTCGATATGTACACCATTGGATCCGATAACTGAATGGTCTGAATATATGACTCCTGCAATTAGCTTGGTATGTAAAAAGTTTATAAATAGTAGATTTTTCTTGTTGTAATTTAGTAAAGAATTTTATTTATAATTTGGGCTTTTTAATAATTTTTTGCAGGCTTGTTCGAAGGTTTTACTGGCCTGTTTGGACGATTCTCAACAATCAGACCCGTTCAGGAAGCCTGTTGACAAAAAATTTTTGGATTATTATACTATTATTTCGCGGCCGATGGATTTTACAACTATTAACACACGACTGTCAAACGGCTTTTACAGTAGTCCAAAACATTTTATTGCAGACATGAATCAAGTCTTTATCAATTGCTCAACGTTTAATTCGGTAAGAGATTGTGTCGAAAAGATGGATAAGTAATTATAATAGTTGTTTACATTTGCTACATAGACAAGTTTGTATTATACTTCTAAAATTTATGTAAATTTTTAGCCAGAAAACCCATTGGCAAAGTGTGGTATAAACGTGTACAAGAAGTATATGGAAGCTGTCAAGAAACACATGCCGGTCTTCTCGGGCGGGGTGTGGATGTATGTGTGCCTTCACAAGGACGATGAGCCTGTACAAAAGAAACGTCGAAGAAACCAGTGATTACCTCGCTCACTTTTCATGCGCATTAGAGCTGTGTCAGAAATGACGTTAAATTACTACTTATGAACTCAACTCTTTAGTGCTTACTAGCTAGACCCTTAGATTATATATTGTCATTATATATACAGTATTGATACCATAATAAGAACTAACAGAATGATATGTGAGATGTTTATTTGTTTTTCACACTTCTGAATGATTGGTAAAGGCGGCCGAACCCGCACCGCAGGCTTTGTGCCGACTGTAAACTGACATCTGACAGACAACGTCGAATTCTATATTCTGGAGGCTTTGGCCTTCTAACACCGTTCCACCTGATCTTTGACCTCTGATTTCCAATGCATTCCATTTCCCATTCAAACGGCAATCCTAAGATAGAATGTGGTATTCGTTGTCGTAGTACTAGAAACCTGAGTCGTTCCCCAATTGCTGAAGCTGCGTCACCTTCTACCGTGTTTACCTTCTGTAGGGTTAGATCAAAGCCTCTGCCACCAATAGTGAGAGAACATGTTTTGTCGTTTACTTCAATCTTGTTGATAGTTACCAGTTTTATCTTGATATGTATTGGTGGGACCATTAACTTTACAATTATGTTATCGTACTTGACGGTTATATCAGCACGAAGCCCAAAACAAGGCAAGAGATTTGAGCTTCTGACGTACTTCACAAACTAAAAACACACGTCGTAATAAAAACAATAATGCAGAGATAAAAAGCTAATCAAATTTGCCTTACTTTTGATTTAAATACCGCATACACGCCATGTTTTTCGTCTCCGGTCATGAAAAATTAAAAGAATACTTGCGAGTTGCGCAATATTTATAACACAAGGAAACGGATTTGTGTGAAGCAGCTCTCGAACCACTCTAATCACTGGTTCCGAGCCGGATTCCCCGTTATCACATGTATCCATCACTCTCACAGTTTAATCCCGGCATTATGAACGGTGACTGAAATGGTGTAATAGCAAATTAATAATATAGTTTCAAATATCATGTACAGGTTTACTGTTTACCTTTCTAGGACTTGGAACTTCATTTATAGGGTCTACATTAATCAGTTTCCTGAAGCTGATAACGTCGTTGTTTAAGGATTCGTCGATTGAAGCGCTTCTAGAAGAACTATCGTATGATGACTATTTGTTACCTGGAGGCTCTTTGCAGTTGGTTTATTCTAGCATGCTGATGGTATCTTCCGTTGAGAATCATTTGATCGTTGATGTTGGGCTTGTCTCGTACATTTTTCATTAATGTGTTAATACAGTATCTATTATAAGTGCGCTCATCTCTTTTGGACATGTACACTAGTACCAGTAGGATGGCCGCGGTTTCTGTACACAGAAATCCAACCTATAAATAGTATGAATTTGTAATGACAACATACTTTGAACATAATAAACGAGTAGCCGTAAGAATAGTAAAATAGAGGATCATCCATTTCAGAGGCCGGGAATAGCTTGTTGCCGACTTCTTTGGAGACTCCAGACATGTACATGATAATGCTCATAAAGTCAGCGATGCCTGATAAAATATGTATTGTCGTGGATATGAATAATGAAGTGTACGGCTTCGATTTCATGCAGCAAACAAAGACTCCGCCCACTCCCAGCATGTCCAGCAGACTGGCCGTGTACACAAAGTAGAAGGCCGGTCTTACAGAATCTACAATAAAATCGTTAACAGTAAAAATGCTTACATATCGTCTCAATAGGTATTTGAATAGTTTTTGTAAATCCTCTGGTAACTTAATAATAGTAACTTACACTCGATGGAGCTGGTCACATCGCTAGGTTCATCTTGAGAGAACATGTCGATTTCGTTACAATGAAAGGGTGTAATCGCTGAGAAGGTTACTGTATTGTCACTTTAAACTTACGATCCAGATAACAAAAGTACCATGGGCCCAAAGTCGCGTTCTTAAACCATCGTATCAAATTGTCATCGCGATAAGTGGCATTAGGGTGAATGAAGTACCGTAACACTTCAGATGTATACAACCAGTCGTTGGTAAGACCAGCTGTACAATTTTAATTTATATAAGTTGTTCAGTAGTAAACAGTACAAGATAAAGCGTTGGCTAATCGTATCTAACGTTTTTGGTCGAAAAATAACAGAAAATTAAATTTGTCATGACATTGCCTTATGAACAAATATAGAACTGAGTAACACTTGTCAATTATTTTAAATTTAAATTACAAAAACTATGAAGACATACAAAAGTGACCATTTATAAACCATACCTATCAAATTGGCAATACAACCAAGTAAACTCATACAAAAGGCGCCTCTTATAAACATACGACGCGTCCTGTAGTTTATTTTGGTGAGACGATGTTGAATTACTGGCAGAACCATGTCGTCTAACCTAAAGGCAAACTCGAATCCGTTTGTGGCTTTGCCCTTTGCATCCCGGCCACTTATGATAAGCAGATTTGACGGCCCACGGCCGAATATGCTTTACATACCAATTCGATTATACGTACTACAAAAGCGGTGCGAATTAATTACAGGATTTCAGAGGCTTCTTCCAGTAAAAAATAATCAAAGCCCTTTTGCGAAACAAGAGTGAGTGAGGGATGACGCTATCTCTTAATGGCGTGCTAATACGGAATCGACAGACTCGAAGCATTTACCTCTACGGCCGCCAATTTGAAGGATTATAGTTGGCCCATACCCAGTTCTTGTGTGTTTTATATCATTACTAACAAAAATATAACTTTCTGAGTGTGTACTAAACAGTCTGTTGTAGGCATAGCTGGGTGCTCGTACAGTCGCCAAGATGGTTCGAGAAGGCTGCTAGACCCAGCCATTAAGCGGTAAATTACTGAAGTTAAAGTGGTCTTGTTTCACGAAACCCGTTCCCTGCCAGCCTCTAATTAGGGAAATGACCAATTAGCGTCGTGTTTGTCCTTTATCCGTTTACAACCTGAAGAACTCGTTTCAGGACGGCTTATGAGGGGTTGGCTCTATGAATGATAATCAAGATATCACGTATTTCCTGTCTCATCTGTTAATACCAGCCAACCTCCGACCAAATCGTATTCGAATTTCCAACCCCACCCGCTTCAGCACTCACTGTTATTGCGGCGGCGTACAACGGCGGTCTCTAGGCCGCGACCACCGACGTCACCCTTAGGCTCCAATGCGATTATTATACAACCCGATGGGATCACTGATGTCGGAGTCAGCTGTAATAAGAGCGAGATACATGCCCGACGTGAAGGGTGTCAACAGATACAAACACTTCCATACGTAAGTTGTAATGTTATAAATTATATTATACTACTAACTACACCTTTTACTACAATGCCTCTTAGTCACGAGAGCACATACGATTATAAGTTGCGGGTCGACCCATAAACCTGTTTTAGACCTCTAGTACTAATGAACCCAAACGAAATAGGAAATATTGACAAGCGAACATCCCCAAGAAGCTCGCCTCGTGAACGTGTGGCCAGTAGATCTCCACGGAACAGTACGGAGCTGCCACCACTGCAGCCCTCTTTAAATGGGTCGAGTATGGTACAAAAAAGGTAATAAGACGCGAATGACTACAACTTCATTTCTTTCGTTACAGAGGAGACGCCAAGCCAAATTCGTGCTCGACAGTACGACTCCCGACATCCAAATTGGACGGGAAACGTAGTATGATGGTGGAAGGTATCAGTCTCTCCAACATGTTACCTCAACTCGACCCCAAGCGACTTAATGGTAGGACTTTCACAAGTAAGTGTTAAATATTGTAATTAACGCCCTATTGCTGTCTTGGTAAGCTTGTTCTCTCTTCAGACACGAAAAATATTCAAAACCGAAAGTCCCGTACTCCCAATTCGAACCATGCTTTTCCAATAGTGTTAAAAAGCAAAGGTAAGGCTGTTTTGAGTATGTATACACTTCATTGTATCTTACAACGTTGACAGGTTTGTATTTTATCCATTTACAACTTGAAACACGAGTTTTGTTACTCAAATATCACTTCAGAAATAGTATGTCCACGCCGCTCCAACTCAATGCACTCTATTCCGCTAGCCTCGCTGAACTCCGAGAAGCCTGAGATGGGAAAACAGTCCCCGAAAACGGTACTATCTACTGTAAGTTTATCCGTCACGCTTCCGGTTTGACAAATCGATTATATACCTCAACATGTTTCAGAACAAAGGCTTTACGTATACGGTGGATTCGCCGAGTACGATTATTTCGGTCGAAAGTTCGAGTCAGCTTAACCGAAGTACTGATATTGCGACACAAACGGACAGCCTGCCTATGTTGGCATTGTCTGGGAAAGTGTCCAAGTCGAAGGAAGAAGTAAGTGACATAACAAAACTTTCTACCCATTATGAGAAATCTCCTAATGAAAAACTTCAGTTAAATTTTGTCATCGTGATATTATTTATAGATCGAACAGCAAAAAGAGCTTCTGGAAATCATCGACAACGCTTTGGACGAGACAATCGACCGGCATTCGCGACAACGGACCAATCAATTGATAGCATCGTCAGCCAGGAAACAGGCAGCCATCTGGCGCGACGCCAAAGAGTTTGTGATGACAATTCTGATACCCGAAAGTGTCAACGCCGCCAACAAAACGAAATACGACAAATCATTGGTAGACAGCATCTCTTCTATTCAGTTACCTTGATCTGTTCTCAACTACCAAATAAGGCAATAAATTTTTAAATTTTAGATGGATTGGAAGTTACATCAATTTTCATGTAAATGTTGTTTTTGTCCCACTTATTAAAGAATTCACTCATCTACTATGTCGAAAAACAATATTTATTTTCAGCCATATAATATTATAGAAAACCTTACTTTTAGCCTCCATAACTCAACAAATAGTTCAACTTGTTTATTCAATTCACCGTCTAACAACACGATAATTATGTTGTTACTGTTACAAAATATATATATATATATATAAAATTACAATCGATCAGAAATAATTAAACAATGAAACTGCTAAAAGAAATTATTAAAAGTTTCACTTGAGTCCAACGTTAGTCTTGTCACTACTGCCGACAAATCCAACGTCGGAAAAAAAACAAATGCAAAAGGAACTGTATAACACGATTATTACCCGAATCATTATAGCAATAATATGGTCCGTTCCGTGGAAACAATTCTTAATTGAAGAAAGCGCAATGGAATGGGACTGTAACATGACAACGCAACCTCTACTTCCGCATCATGTTGTACGCAGCGTTTGGCAAGGATACGGCCTGAGGCTGGAACATTAGGCCCGTAGGAACAACCTGAGGCATTACTGCCGGCTGTTGTCGAGAATGCCCATTCGTGATCGTCCCTCCGTTGTGGACACCGCGGTTTGAGTTGCTAAAAAGTTTACTTTAGAGACCAAACAAGAAAGTTTAAAATTTATGACAAAAACACGTTGTACAACAACAAATAAGCTTTTTCATAAAAATAAACGCGTTTTACTAAGACAGCATTAAATAGTATTCGCTAACAGTTATTTGAATAAAAAGTAAAGTTTTAAACAAAAACTGAAAAATACTGATAGCAAACACCAAAAGCTCTTTAATGGCATTAAAACTAATCTTGAAATAAAGAGAAATTACTTACGGCAAGTTCATGTTCCAGTCGAAGACATAATCCGTTTCGTATCCTTTTTGTCTGAATAGGTCTCTGAATATTTTGCGTAACTTTTCATAATCTGGTACTTCGTCAAACTTTAAAGCTTTGCAGTATTCGATGTACTCCACAAAAGCATCTGAAAGTAAGAAAGTGTAAAACAATACAAAGAAAAAAATTCTTAAAAAACTTGCATGATAAACCCTGTTATAAGAACTTACTTGGAAAGTTCCTGCAGAGTTCTTCAACCGGCGTGCTTAACTTCTTCTCTGCTATCTTCTCATACTTTTGTCGTTTTGTCGCGGCTTTCAGCCCTTGCCATGGCAAGCTGCCTCTGTTGAAGTACATCAATACATACCCCAGAGATTCCAGGTCGTCTCTCCTTGATTGCTCCACTCCTCGATGAGTATTTACAGAAGCATAGCGTGCGGTACCCGTTAGATTTTTATGATCCCTGTAGGGGATGTGAACTCGAGATCGTTGATCGCGGAATCGTTTGGCTAACCCAAAATCAATTATCTAAACACAACATAAACCAAAAAAGCGGAGAACTTACATATACAAGGTTGCCTCGTTTCCCCAGACCCATTAGGAAATTGTCCGGTTTTACATCGCGGTGGATGAAGTCTTTGTTATGAATGTACTCAATCCTTGCTAACTGAAAGTAAATTCGTTACCCAAATAAAAATCATATTGTCAAAACAGATACTATGCCAAAATAAATAAACTAAACGAAAACCAATGAAAAACATACCATTTGATCTGCTAATAGCAACACGGTCTTCAACGTAAACCTCCGAGAGCAAAAGTTGAACAAGTCTTCCAACGACGGCCCCAGTAGTTCCATCACCATCACGTTGTAGTCTCCTTCGTGACCGCACCATTTCACCACCGGTATCCCGACGCCTCCATGCATAAATTTGTAGAGTTTGGCTTCAATATGGAGTTGTGGATGCTTCGTTTTCATACATTCTAGTTTTATGGCAACTTCTTCGTGTGTGACAATGTTTTCACCGAGATAAATGTCGCCGAACGATCCACTTCCAATTTTGCGTCCAAGTCTAAAACATCCTCCAACCCGCAATTCCATTACCCCTAAAACAATTTCACAATCAGAACGTTAATTAAAGTGGCCATAAATAATGTCAAAGGCGATTAACTTCCTACTTTCTGCGACATAGTAACATAAACTTTCACAACCATATAAACAACAAATCAAAAAATATTTCTCTCCAAAAAAGACAGATTTTATAAAAGATAAACGATGCCACAAAATCAATAATCTGCGCCATCAAAAGTCAATAAATGAACGGATTAAAATATTCAAAATTGCGTTGAAAAACAAAATTTTGTTAAAAAAAAAGGTTTTTTTATTATTAATAGAACATTCTATTGTACTTTAAGTATTTAAGGTATAAAAAATTTCCGCGTCCAAATTTGGCAACTTTCAAGTACTCAAGAAGAAAAAAATTTGACGAAATAAATTGGAAAGGACGGATTGAAGCGAGATACGACGACACAGCAGTACAGGTGCAGCGGGGAGACGAGGGGGAATATCGCGAAAAACCTGTTGATGGGGGAGAAAGGAAAACAGCCCTCGACAGAGCGCAACCGACCACCGAAATCAAGCGCACCCTCCCAGACGCAGTCGGGGAGCGGATCAAAATGTGCGTAGACGAAGTCCATTGTGTGATTGTGTCGAACTTAAGTGGTTGACGGAGCAGAAAAAAGTGACATTACCTCGGCGGTCCCACTTTTGCTTGTTAGGCTTTTATTCTATTGTTAGTTTTGTATCACGTTGTCTCGGCGGAAACCACTAACTATTTGTGAAATTACCGATGGATTTTGGCGATGAAAGTGTGTGGATTGCTAGAAAACTTATTGACCAACACATGAATGTGTTCAGAACGCTGTTTGGCAAAAAAAAACAACTTGACTAAAGAGGAACTTATTATAAAACTAACAAAACGAGTTCCTCCAAATGTTAGAAAACCGCGATTTTGGAGAATACGCCCCGAAAAGTTTGTTGCTTTTATGGAACACGACTTTCTAAACCTTCAGACAAAAAATGTTTCTGCGAACGCCTAAATTGTCACGGTAAACAACTAGTTTTGAAGGGGTAAATATGACGAAGAGCAAATAGGACGTTAATCTAGTATAAATGAAATATCATGTTTGTTTGCCATTAAACAATATCAGACCATAATGCAGTAAAAAGCAAAATTTGAGTAAGAAGACCAATACACCGTTTTCTAGAAAACCCTTGCACCATTTTACCTGAAGCAGTGGCAGCGGCTACCAGTCGTCTTTGATTTGTAGTTGATGGAGAATAAGGCTTCTGCGTAGATCCACTAGGTCGTCGTCTCGCGGTGTTTTGCAAGCTGTTCGGTGACTTTGATGGTACACTGCTGGCCACCGGGACACCTGCAGCTGCCGCGGCGAACTGGGCAAAGCTCACGGGATCGAGCAGCAACTGAGGTGTCGCGGTTGACGGAAACATGGTGATTCTGTGACGTAACTAAACAAGTGACGTCCTTCAGCAATGGAACGGGACTGCACTCAAGATTGGTCGATGACGCAGTTGTCGGTAATGGGAGGAATTTGCAGGAATGCTGGGAAAGTTGCAGAAGTCGGTTGAGCCGCGTTGCAACAACTTGCTGAGACCGTCTTGAAGATGATAAGCGCGACAGAACTCAAACAAAGTTGACGTGACTCTCTCGACGAACAGGGTGAGGAGAACAGACTGACGTCTTCGTTCTCTTCCCTCCGGGTATCACTTGACGCACAACGCGACGTCTCGACGCGGCGTTGGCGTCGAGTTTCGTCTGTGTCTGGTTTCCCTGTTCAGCTCAAGGCTGCTGCGCTATTACGCGAGCTTCTATTATACACTTTTTATTCCACGCGCGTTTTTCGGACGTTGTAATCAAAATAGAAAGTGAAAAAATCGTGTTCAGCTACGACCAGTCATCTCAGATTTAGGAGCGCAGACAAGGCGGGGTTTCATACATTCACGACTCTGTTTCACTTTCACCTGACAGCCGGCGAACAATTAAGTCAACATTACTTTTACACACAACATACCCCGAAGCAGTATTAGTTTTAAAAACAAAGCATTAGACATAAATTCCAAATTTGGACACACGCGCTAATTAGACATCAAAAAGTCACTCAGCCAGCCGGCTGCACAACAAAATACGGTCTTGATACCACTGCTACGCCTGGTAAACTAGTCCAGCGCAGTTTGGGAAAAAAGAGTAAGGATGCGGGTAGTGGCGACTCGCAGTTGAGCGAAAACCACTCTTCCTTCTCCCCGTCCACAGAGGGACACAGACACTTCCCGCTCACCCCCATCCCCCTTTCCCCGACCGATTCCCCTTTCAGTCCACAATTGCTGCCGCGTGCGGCAGGCAGCACCACTCTTCAGCACTCAACCTTATAACGCTCCCCTATACATTGACCAGTCATCTCCTGCTTCGCTCGGAGATGTCGCGTCGACCTCTGACCACCACATTACAGAACAAACACACCGAATTACATTTATTCAAAGTTTCTAAAATAAATTACAAGGTCTACGTGAGTAATGCAAATAGAACCGGCGCATCTGAGTATAAAAATCTGCACCACCAGTTTTATATAATATATAACAAATATCATCCGTCCAGTTTGTCCGCGAACGCTGAAACAACAATACTGACACATTTGAAATATAAGTACAGTAATATAAACAATACGGCTCAAAGTTACATGATTTTCTAGAAACATGATAAGTGGTAAATAAGGTTTGAATTACATAAAACTTACAATCCATGGATACATCACGAGAACTGAAGGAGACAGGAGAACGTCCAGCTTTCTCAAGGTCCGACACTGGAATGGCTTAAACCATTATCTATATTGACACACACAGCACACAGTATACTTAAAATTGCTCTGAATCGCACTTACTGCTTCCAGGAACAGAAATCGAGGATTCGCTGTGCGAAGGCGACGGCCGACTGTATTCTGAATCCTGAGAAGTGGTGGTGTTCTTGTTGATCTCCGTGATGAACTGACAGAACTCTTCGTATGTCGGAACATCTCGTTCAAAGGCTGCCAGCTTCTGCAACTTGTGCTGGTTTCCTTTCTTCTCCTTCTCTAGATCGCTGACTCGTTGTCTTAACGTCACCACGGTATTCCTGGCTCTGGCAAGTTGGTTTCGGATGGCTAACATCTCGGAGCTGTCTTCGGCCGCGTTAGTCGGAACCACGAATCCACTGACAGAGTTTCTGGTCGAACTAAATTGAGGAAATATAAAAATTAATCTGAACTTACTCATTAGGAGTCGGCGGAGCTGTTCCGCTAACTTCTTGCAAAGCTGGGTTTATCATGGAGTAAAGATGTCGCTTCTCGGCTTCAAGTTGATCTACACGCTTGCTCAAGCTGTTGAACAAAGCTTCTTGCTCGTGTTCCAAAGAGTTTTCCATGTCGACTTTCTCACGACGAAGCTGCTCCAATGTCTTCTGATTTGTTCTGACTTCAGCCTCCAATTTCCTTACTTTTGTCACCAAGTTGTCCATGATAGAGTTCTGTTCTCGGCTCAACCTGTTCACTAACTCATCACGTTGTTTTTCAAGCTAAAAGTTTTTAAAAAATAAGATGTTCTATGAATGTTATAATAACTAGTTAATTTTTTCAAATATTGACCACCAACCTGACTCAATTTCCTTGTCAAATCATTAGTTAGATGCTCTTCCTCTTCTTCATACTTCAACGCAATAGATTCTTTGTCACTCTTCAACTTCTGGATGCGCTTCAGTAGCATGTTTGATATGTATTCCTCTTCTTGTTCAACTCGAGCTTGCATTTTAACGTTTGTTTCTCGCATCCGACGATTCGTTGCTTCTAATGCCAATACTCTGTTATGGAGCTCCTCGGCACGTGTCTGCAATACAATGTTATTTTTAACAAGCTTATAAGTTGTTTTACTTACCTCGGCAGAATTTTTAATGTGAAGAAGATCCAGCGCTTTCTTTCCAAGTAAACCAACATCGGCCTTGTCGAATCCGCCACTTTCTCCATCAGACCAAGTCCGCAAAAGTTGATCGGATATTACAGGAATCAAGGAAAGATCAATCTTTGAGTCTTAATTTCGAAAGTAAGCAAAACTACAAACTTGAGAACAATAATATCGTTATAACACAATATTGTTACCCAAAAACTCCTTACCTGAAGATAATGAACATGGAGACTGTTCCAGCGAACATTCCTTCTCGAAATCGTACAATCTGTTTACCCGTTTGGTGTTAGTGTTCGAACAAGAGCTGACAGACATTCTGTCGTCCTCGTTGTCGTTCGAGTCAGCCGTGGACATTGGAGTTTGTCTTCCACTGACAGACCTGGACCTCGCCCCAGAATTACTTGAGGTCTGAGGTGGAGGAATCTCTTTTCCCGACATCGTTGATATACGCTTATTATGCCGTTTATAAAAGTTTTTGCTTTCTCAAAATTCTATAAAAAATAATGGGACGAAGTGTCACTCTGAATTATCGGGTTTTCGTAACCTTGATGCATATGCCAAAAAAGAAATCGGAGCGCTGAATCATTAATCTTTCTTTATGTTTTGAATTCCTAAAAATATTATATTGTGTGAGTAAGCAGAAATGCTTCGACCGGGACAACCCTTGCAATGTTTGAGTATTCAAATAGAGCTGGAAAAGGTCAGAATCACACTCCAAGATGGTCAAGTTGTGGAGAAATGTGGATTCCGGATAGGTGGTGGTATTGACCAGGATCCGGAAAAGAGTTCTTTCAACTATCCTGATACTGTATGTATTTTGTATCCTATTTTACTTCGTCTATAACCTTTTTTACTTTACTTTATTGCAGGGAATCTACATAACCTCGATTGAACATGGATCTCCAGCCGAAGTAGCCGGTCTACGACAACACGACAAAATTCTAGAAGTAAGTCGTATTTATTAAAGTAGTAATAACAGTAATTCAGGTAAATGGATATGATTTCACTATGGTAACGCATGATCGGGCAGTCAAATGTATAAAGCGGAGTTCGCTGTTGAAGATGTTGATAGCCAGGAGGGAAGTGGCTATCTGATCACAACTCCTCGTGCTCTTCTTCCTCCTTATCTGTGTGTATCGACAGCCATTCCTTGCCTTCAGTTAGATTAAACCGTGCAAGTGTCCTTCCTTGATCAATTACCGTGATCTGAGCCTTCCATTCCCCATGTATAGGATAATCTACCACAGGGAGGGGGATAAAATCGGCCGCCAATTCTTTTAGCGATGTATTTTTTGGTGTTTTCACAAGTTTACAGACTTCTTCCGAGTATTCACAGATGGCCAGACTACTGTAATTGCCCAAACTCGCCGTATTACAGTGTAATTTTATAATATTTATAAAGATGTCTATTAAAAAAGTAAAAATATAATAAATCATCCTGTTTTGATGTTAAACTACATACCAATATTCATCGTCAACGAAAGGGTTCTCACTTTTACCATCTTTACAGACTTCCCCAATAAAGAAAGAGTTATGTTCGGCCGACAATGACAATATAGGGAAGTCAATAGTAATGTCATCTTTTACCGTAATCTCTCCGTCAATTATCTTCAAAAAGCCAGGAAAGGAAAGCTCAGGCTTGCCGTTTTTACAACTTGGGATTCTCATCTTGTCATAAGTTGCCACTTTGAGATCGTTCACTTGGATAACAGAATCCGCTTAAAACACATTTTTTGTAAGACTCGAGCAGTGGCTAGACCCCCTGTCGACACCAATTTTTTTTTGCTTCGATTTGGCTCAAACTTGCACCAATGTGTACTAAGGTACTCATAAACACTTTAAATTCAAAGTTTTTAATCAAAGTTACAGTAGTCAGGTATACTGTAACTGGCCTATGATTTCTATATCTCAAGAAATAATGGTTTAAAAAATTTTTAATTTACTTTGACAAAAAATGAAACAAAAGTGCCAAAACGGGATTTTGGCCAAAAGCGCTTTAACATCTGTTTTAGAACAACCTATCTTATCGATTTATCTAATAAAAATATGGGGTAAATTTCTAGTGCACACCTTGCTTCACGGTCACAGAAATCGCATTTTAATACCAATGAGAATGTCGAATAACATTACTAGCAACCTAAAAAGGTTCTTAAACATGACTACGCTTTAACTAACACGTTATTAAGTGCACCAATGTGTACTAAGGTACAAGTATAAAAAAATTTTGAAAAAAAAATTTTTTGGGTATGCAAACTTCAAATGCACTTTTGCACCACGTATACACAGTTTTTTCCATGTTTGTAGGTGCGTTCGAACCGCAAGAAAATGTAGTTTAATAATCCCAAATAAAACAGTGCGTAATGAGTGCTTTTATTTCGAAATATTTTTGGATTACTGTAATTGTCACCAAAAATTTAATTTTTAAAAATATTTGCACACTACCTAGGAACTTGGTGTAAACTGCAACGTAACATCATATTATATGCTCTACATTTTAAAAAACAGTTTACGTTTCTAGCACCATTAGTTCTTGAGATATAGAAATCATAGACCAGTTACAGTATACCTGACTACTGTAACTTTGGAAAAAAATTTTGGGTTTAAAGTGTTTATGAGTCCCTTAGTACACATTGGTGCAAGTTTGAGCCAAATCGAAGCAAAAAAAATTTTGGTGTCGACAGGGGGGGGCTCGACTCTTATAAAAATTGTGTTTTAAATTTATAATGACATTTTATAATTTCGAAACTTCAAGCAAAGATTAAAAATTATTTTTTAGTGTAATTTAAAGCCATTTCTTATATTCATGTTAAAGGGTGTTACCTGTAGGCAAAGTGTGCAAACTGATGACATTGTGAAGTCCATCTGTACATTTGATACTAGCAATTTGGATAAAGAGAAACGGAGACAAAAAGAAAAACAAACAACAGTTCATTCTAGGGAAGAGACATAGAATAAAGCTTGTTCACCTTTGATTCAGACTCGGCTGTCAATTATAGCAAAATAAAATGCTTATCATCCCTTACGTACCACCATTGACACAATTCCATATCAGAATTCAGAAAACATAAATTTAAGTTTTGTGAGTCAAACCATATCAAAAAGCCAACATAAAGGTAAATGAGAAGTCAAAATATTTGATTTAAAAATACATAATTTATTTATCCGATTACATGGCAATGTAAATAAAGTTTTATAATCTTTATCATCCTTTTAAACCATGCCCAAATAAATAACCTTATCTTTCATAAAAATTTATTTTATATTATCTGTAATATATTCTAAATTTCAGCTAAAATTTAAAAGTCTATCAGTTATCACGAAAGAAGTATTTACGATTTTTTGTATACATTTTTCTGGCATCTTTTTTTGTAAAATTTTTAAAACAAGTAAAAATCGATTGTGACATTTCGCTTTATTCGAGACCTATGGAAAATTTGGCTCTGGAATAATTTCGAAGGTCCGCGGAACCCGAATCGAGTTGAATGGCTTGAACAAGATGGTTTAAAATTTTAGTTTTGTTATTATTATCAACATATTACATTTATTTAAATTTTATTGACTTTTGTCGACAAGCATCGCGTTTTGGGCTGTTTATTCTGATTACATTTTTGCTTTGTTTCATGTTTTAGCAGATTGAATTTAACATATTGCAGCCAAAATGTCAGGACAGGTGTGTTTTGACGAGAACGGACAACCTTTTATGGTTATCCGTGAACAACAGAAGCAGAAGAGGTTGACGGGAGTGGAGGCTTTGAAGGTAAGGAGTTATGATGAATATTATTTGGTGTTTAGACTCACATTTTGGCGGCGAGACAAGTTTCCAACACGCTGAAGACATCTTTGGGACCTTTAGGGTTAGATAAGATGTTGGTGAACCCAGATGGAGAAGTTACCACGACAAACGATGGAGCTACCATTCTCAAGAGCATGGATGTGGATCACCATATCGCCAAATTGATGGTCGAATTGTCTCAAAGTCAAGACGATGAAAGTGGAGATGGTACCACTGGTGTTGTTGGTATGTTTTCTTGCTTAGATAAAACTTTATGGAAAATTTGGTTTTTAGTTTAAACTAATTATTACCTAAATGCAAACGTCTAAGCTATTTATGTTTTCTAATTTTAGTATTGGCCGGATCCTTGTTGGAACAAGCTATGCCACTACTAGACAAGGGTATTCATCCTCTTCAAATTGCTGATGGTTATGATATGGCTTGCCGAAGAGCTGTTGAAAGGTTGGAGGAAATTTCTGAAACATTCAAAGAATACGATTTTGAAAGTTTGGTGAAAGCTGCCTCGACTTCGCTCGGATCTAAAATGTAAGATTTTGTATTTTTAATACATTATCGAGCTACTTTTATTTATATTCACTGTGGTTTATTCTTTGTTTTGTTGTATTACTATAGCTTTTACGAATATTAACTAATATTTACTTTTAGAGTGAAAAGTTGTCAACGCCAGCTAGCCGAGATGGCTGTAAAGGCTGTGTTGGCGGTCGTTGATAAAGAACGTAAGGATGTCAACTTTGACTTGATTAAGATCGTCGAGAAACCCGGAGGCCGATTGGAGGATTCTCAATTCTTCCAGGGAGTGCTGATTGACAAGTCTTTTGCTCACCCCCAGATGCCAAAAGAGTTGAAGGATGTTAAGATCGCCATCTTAACCTGCCCATTCGAGCCGCCAAAGCCAAAGACCAAGCATAAGTTGGACATTACCTCGCCTGAAGAGTTCAAGCAACTCCAAGACTTTGAACAGAAGACCTTCTTGAACATGATCGAAGATGTCAAGAAGAGTGGAGCCGGCCTTGTCATCTGCCAATGGGGATTTGATGATGAAGCTACTCATCTTCTCTATCATAACGAGCTTCCAGCTGTCAGATGGGTAGGAGGACCAGACATAGAGCTGATTGCCATTGCCACTAATGGCAGAATTGTACCACGATTTGCTGAATTGACGGAACAGAAGCTTGGTACAGCTGGTAGAGTACGAGAACTCCAGTTTGGTACTGTCAACGACCAGTTCATGGTTATTGAAGATTGTCCTAATCAAAGAGCTGTCAGCATTATGCTACGAGGAGGCAACAAAATGGTAATTTTCATTTATTATTTTTATGATTTTAGATTTTGCAAAAACATATTTGGTATGGATTGTATTCATCAACGTTTATGTTTTAGGTTATTGAAGAAGCTCGTCGTTCTCTGCACGATGCTCTTTGTGTTGTTAGGAATCTGGTCCGCAACAACCGTGTTGTATACGGTGGTGGTGCTCCTGAAATCGCTTGTTCTATTGCTGTTAATGAAGTCGCCGATAAGGTATGTTGTTTTAGGCACAAAATTTTATTTTTTAATTTGGCCCAACCAATTTATGACTAACTGTTTTCTGAAAATGTTTTGATTTCAGGTCTCTGGTCTCTCCCAATACGCATACAGAGCTTATGCCGATGCCTTGGAAGGAATCCCAGCTGCTTTGGCTGATAACTCGGGTCTGGCGGCCATGGAGCACATAACTTCATTGAAGGCGAGACAAATCAACGAGAAGAACCCACGATTGGGCATCGACTGTCTTCAGAAGGGCGATTGTGACATGAAAACACAAAACGTGATCGAATCGTACAATGCCAAGAAAGAACAGATTCAGCTGGCTACCCAGGTTGTGAGGATGATTCTGAAGATTGACGACGTCCGTGTTCCCGACAACTCGGAGTATTCATATCCTATGTAATCAGCGTTCCCACCCTTCCAATCTACATCCCGCTTTTGGCTCGAATCCAAAAATCTCATTGTTGCTAATAAGACGATCTGTTTGCTTATTTTGTATGTTCTTGTTTGCTTTGTCAAATAAATTTGATTATTTTATCATTTTTTGTGTACTTGATGGCCGATCGCTCTTTTCCAGCCGAGCGTTGAAACAGTTGGTCAGCGGATTGCTTGAGGAGAGTCTGGTCTCTTATCAGTCCCGGATTTCGCTGTAAAATGGAATCTCGCACATCCAACCTTACAGCTGAGATTGCTCGTCATGGTGACTATTCCTTGAGATGGGGTCGCGCAGCCATCTACACTAATGCCAAACATGTCCCTTCACTGAAACCCACTTTAGTAAGTGATTTTGGAGTTTTATTATAAAAACTTTAATTATTTTGATAAGTTGTCTGTTTTACCATATTTGGTGATTACAGGTACGTCATCCTCAACATTTCCTGATCTCAAACGGCCAGATTTGTGTCAAATACCCAGAAGACAGGTACTACAAGATGTTCGACGACCCGTCCACTTACTTCGACCCCGACTTCAGATTCCGCCGTGTTTAAATAAGGATATTGCTTTATTGAATTAATACTCGAAATAAACAATGTCAACAGCTGTTTACCTAGTCTCGATTTAGGCGTGGGAGGATTGGGCGAGAGATTAAATGATGGCTCGAGGGGCTTTTTTAGCAAAAGAAATAGAGCACATGTTCCGGTCGTTCCCACGGAACATCACGTTGCTTGAGACTGCTTTTTAAGGATGAGCGATAACTATCGTTTGTCGCGAGTCAAATCAGCGGCCATTGTCCGGTCCAACTCCCTCAGCTCTCGGCCGACGGTTCTTGTAAGTCGAAAGGAAGGCCATTCATTATTTGCAGCTCACGAGAACTCATTCTGTTCCTGATCTCACTGAGCATATCCGCGTCAGTCCCCACTACAAGCCCCAGTGGACGATCACCAGCCAGTTCCCCTACCGACGCTACAGAGACTACAGTCTTGTAAGTTGACATTACAAATACATAACTGGCTTTACAGTATGACGACTACTGGTACGACCGATACCGCTACTTCAGCCCCCTCTACTCCCGCACGCTTTTCCCAAGAAGATACGCCTACAGCGACCACATCCCCAACCCCTACTACTGGAGCTACCCTGACACCTACTGGACGCGATACAAGAGCTACTTGTAAGTGATTGCATTCCTTATGAACTCATTTAACAACTGATACTTTATGATGATTGATGTTGCAGATACGACTATCAGAACCCCTACTCGAACTACTATCGGTCGGTGGTACCCTTCTTTGACCCCATCTTCAAGTCGTCCTACTACTCGCCCTATCGCTCGCTGTTATATCGCTGATCCAGACTGCCACGACTTTGACCTGTCTCGTAAGTACTGGAACCGGAGACTTCGTAACTACCTGTCCCAGTACGAATGGGACACTTCTCTCCGCTACACCCCTTTCTCGGCCATGGACCGTTCTACTAGAGAATACTTTGCCCGCTGGTCCTAGTCTGTTTGTATTTGAATAAATAAATAAAAATAAACGATAAATAGAACAAAACAGGTGTTCCTGGTCCTTGGCATAACGGAGGACGCCTCCGGGTCTATCTGCTTTTCAAAGTCGTCTCCCAGCCACGACCTCCGTGATGTCGCACCTCCACCGTGCCCGATCCACGTCGTTGGTCCGGCAGCCTTCTATTGTAGCTTCAGCGCCGGTAAGGTGTAGTCGTAGTAAAGTTAAAAAAGTATAAGTATAATATAAATGTTCGAAAAATATTTTTACAACAAGTAGTTGATTGTCTCTCACCTTTAGCTGAGAAGATCATACTCTGTCAGAAACCTTGCCACTCCAAAGCCAGAGCTCTCTTCTGACTTCTCATGTCAGGCCACCTACTACCCTTACCGCAACTACAGAGACTACAGCGACATCTACGACGACCATCGCTACGACAAGTACCGTTACTTCAGTCCCTTGTACGATAGAAGTCTGTTCCCCTACTTCTGGGGCTACCCCTACTCCAACTGGAGCCATTACAAGAACTACTTGTACCACTACACCTACCCCGCCTCCTACTACCAACGTCACCGTGTCCCCATCCGAGATACCAGCTACCTACCACACTGGTACGGTGCTTACAGACCCTACTATAACTATTGAATAAACGAAAAGCAGACCCATTACACATGCCCGGCGGCTGTTTCAGTGTCCATTCGTTGCACTGAGATCGCCGTGAAGTGGGGGATATGTTTAATTTTGACTTTTATGCACTTTCTTTTTATAAATAAACTGGTACTGTACGTTCGTGGTTATCGAGGTTAAAATGTAAAATGATGTAAATGTTACTAAAAACAGTTTCTAAATTAAGTAAATTAAGAAGATTGGGTTCAGATGTCGATCAGTGAGTACAAATTAGCACGGTCAAGATCGGCGCAGATACTACGCCGATCCAGTTCAGCCTCTAGGGTCCCCGTAAGTTTTGAATACCGCTTTATGTTAACTTCTTAACTAATATGAGTTCTACCAAAACTTAAAAAATTAGAACTGTTTTATATTATTAACTTTTATAAAGTAAATTATTGTAGTAAGCAGAGATAATCTTAAATATTGTTCTTGCAGCTGAGCAGATCGTCGTCGTTATTAAGCCTCGGAAACTACCCTTACAACCGACCGACCACTCGACCTTTGTATCACTTCCCATCGGCCGAGTTCATTTATCACCGTGAATACCGTGGAACGCGACTACTAGACGACTACCGCCACTACGAACCCTTATACTACCGTTCCTACTACAACCCCGTTCCAATGTACAACTCATATCGTTCCCCCACCAGATACTACCCTTTCACCTTCAGCTGGTACCCTTACTCTCGACCGTACCTCTGGAGGCCACGGTATTCCGTCTATGAATCTCGCTACGTTGACCCCACCTACAATTGGTACAGTAGGAGTGCGTACTACTCGCCGTACCGTCCCAGTCTTTTCGACGGTAAGTTACCGGTCGTATTCAGATAGTCAAACAGTGTACGGTATTTAGATGCGTCACGGACCTTGTACACGAAGGGATGGGTTAAGAACCTGACCAACTTCAATCGCAATGTGCTCTGGGAGTCCGTCCGATGGACACCAATGCCGCTTCCGTAATCTCTTTCCTTTTTGCTATCTGTTGTTCGAAATAAAGATAAGAGAGGCGGCCGAAACTCTTGGCTTTCGTTTATTAGTCTGTTCGACATGAGCTACAAGCTGTCGCGTGCTGACGCTTCAGATATCATCAAACCCTTGCCCACCATATACGACAACTATGCTCCAGCTTTAGTATGTTCTTACTGTTGTCTTGTGATTAGATTACTGTAGCTTTGAGTACTGTACTTTAGTAATTTAGACAATAGTTTTGGCTGAAAATAAGATATTTCATTTTAATACAGTAACTTATTATTAACAATAGTATCCTTATTAAAAGTGATCGAAAACCTTGGTGAAACTTCGTATTTCAATCGTATTCAGATCAGTAAAGCGCCATCAGCAGCCGACGTAAATCTGGTAAAGCCGGCCCCAGTCCAGCTTCCAGACCGTGTGTATTCAGCTTCTACAGTGTCATTTCCGTTCCGTTATCACAAAGACTTCGATCTCGTTGTTAGTTGTTTTAGTTAGCTTAATGTGTTTCGTTTAACGTGTCATGTGTCTGTTTCCACTTTTTACAGCACGAAGACTACTGGAGTAACAGACAAAAGTACTTTTCACCTCTGTACGACAAAGTAAACCATTTCAATGACAGTTACTACTTGAACAAGGCCAGGCCCTACTGGACCAACTATCGAAGTGACTTGTGAGTTTTTTAATTTATAATACATGACAGTATGTGGTACTTTTATCCTGCTTGCACATGTTTTTCTTCTTTCATCACCATCTTACTCATTCCGCCCTTTCAGATTCGAATACAGTCACCCGTATTACCGTACTCGTTACACCGGACCCAATTACGAGCCCTACTATCGCACATCGTACTACTCGCCGTACCGTGCCAGTCTTTACGACAATCTCGCGTTAAGTTTTTATAAAGCCCTCGGAGCGTATCGCAACGGAATTACGGATTTCAGCACGCTGAATCACAACCACATCACCCGCAATTACCTGTCCAAGGTGGGGATGGACCCCTGCCGACTGTACGAGCCCAAGACCGAGCTTCTGTACTACCGTCAGCCCCACTATCACCGTCCCCGAAAGTTTCTGACCGCCTGGACCTGAGGCTTTATCTTTTTGTTGTGAATAAAGTGCTTCCCCCGCATTCGATCAGCTGTCTCCGCTTTTTGTCTTTCTTTCAGATGTGTTAATTTAGGTATATGGCGCCGTTGTGTAAGTACAACAGCTCCAGCGGGCTCTTCCGCTCGCGTTCCAGGTCGTATAGCGCAGTCGCGTCACCGTACGCAGTAAGTTTTTTTCATTTTTACAGCAACTTATTGTAGTACTGTATGTTACTATAGTAAAAAAATTTTTAAAACTAGTAATTAAAATTATGTTTCAGTTGTCGCGCACCTACTCTTTACCTACAGTCAACCAGTACAAGCCAACATGGTCCAGCTACGACAACTACTACACTCCAGCCAGGACATACCATACATCTGGTAGAGTAAGTTTGTATTACTTTTACACCATAAGATAAGTAACATTTACCATTCTATATTACAGTTTGACGACCACGCTTACTATCCCGGACGCAGTTACAGTACATACCACAGTTACCATTACCCGCGCAGGTATTACTACAGTAGCTACGTGCCTAACTATACCTACACGTTGTACTCGTATCTTCCAAGCGCCAAATCATCTCAGTAAGTTGACACAATGGCAAGATACTAAACTTTAAAAAACGATCATTACACATACAATACCTAAAATATAAGGAGAACCTACTAAATTATGTTACAGCTACAGCGACTACACCTCCAGCACCGGATATTACAATGCATATGGCTGTGGCACCCACTACAACAGTCCCTACAGCCTACGATCTTATTTGTACAGTTCTCGCGTAAATTGAATGCTTAATAAACAATATTTTCTCAAGATATACTGTAACAGACCTATAGTACAAGTAATAATAAATGTACCACAGTAGAATACCATGAGAGTAAATTTAAAATTACAGTTTATGTAAAGAGTAGTAGAGTTTGTAAATAAAAAGTGCCGAAGAGGAGGTTCGTCTCTAGACCCTCGGGCCTTGGCCACTTTCTGTTCAGTCTCAGCCATGGGAGTCAAGCGAAGCCGATCGCTTTCTTGTGCCTTAATCGGCTCCGCTTCTGTCAACCCTGATCCCACACTGGTAAGACAGCTTCATTACTTAACTATAACTGGTAAAGTCACGTTTATAACATCTAGCTGTCTTACAAATACTTTTAAATTTATTTTCCAAAACCACATTTACCCTGCCCTTCTTTTATTTATTCTCTATATGTTCCATTCAATGCAATATCATGTAAATAAAACACGTTCAGATCACCCGAACCCACTCCATCCCCCAACTCCCCAACTACCGACCATTCTGGGCCAACTACCACTCCTACTGGAACAAACAGTACCCTCGGGGAGCGTTGAGTGATTATCGACCAAACCCACAAACAAGTTACTATGCCCCAGAAAACCACACCCAATGGTTTACTCCGCGGCCCTACTACACAGTGAACACTGACAGTTTCCTCGCCGCCATCAGAAGGACCAACCCGGACAGGAACTATGTGTAAGTCAAGGTCTCAAGGTTTTATTTTTTGTTAACATTTCACATTTTTCTTAAGTTATACAATGTAAAGTTTGTGCGTCAAACCAAAAGTTTTATTTTTTTGACATTTTTTAACTTATGATTGTATGGCAAATATTATTTTTTCTTACTCTAGTCACAGCTATGGTAAAACATAACTAAAAACCATAACTTTTAGTCACCGTACCAGCTACAGAGACGTGAATTACACTCCCTTAATCAGCAAAAGCTACTACTCAGCCCCACAAAGTTACTACTGGCCCGCCCGGTCCTACAACTATGACTGTAAGTATTTACATAAAGAATTATTCTGACAACAAGGTTCTTCTCAATATATTATCTTATTCCAACAGTAGTTTCTCCTTAAATTATAATTATATAAAACAACTAACACAAAAATGAATAAATTATACACATTATATTACGAATGCCATTCCAGTCGTGCACTATTACTGATGCCAGATGCCCTCGAGCGCTTCTCTCCTTACTTTTCTCTCTTTCAAATTGTAAATGTTCGATCGGAAATAAAGTTTTTGTCTGAAAACTGAGCCAGAGATAAAACAAAGAGTTCTCGGGATTGGCCTTCATTCTCGAGATCATGTCCTCCCCCTTCTCCCGCTCCCAAAGTACCGTACGCTCCAGCTCCGTCGCCCCTGACACCCAACAGGTAAGTGGGGGTAATGTAGTTATTAATTACAGTAACTTTTTATTAATTATTGTGGTAATGCCTTGTATGGTTATATTGTAGTAACTTTTCAATAGTGTAGATTTTAGTTAGTGGGCGAACCATCAGTGTACCTAAGCACAATCAGCAAATGCTGGCCTCGTTACCGTAACTTTCTGTAAGGTTTTACAATACTACTGTATTTTAACATAACAACCACTATTACATAATTATAGAAACGAGTACTCTCACCGTAGTTCCAATTACGGTCCCTTCTACTACGACGCTTACTACAAGAGACAGCCCACTTACTTCAACCCTATCAGGACATACCACTACGAGTGTAAGCTTATCATATTCTAATTATTACTGTTTTTACGCAAAATTCATACAATTTTGTTTCAGTCGGCTACTACTAAACTTACCGTAACCAAGCCCAATTAACTACCGTAACACCTTGCTCACGACAATACAGTATCCCGATACAATATAAAATTGTCTAAATGCCATTGTAAATGTTGTGTAGTAAATAAATAAACAAAATCATGTGATAAGCAGCTGTTAAGGTCCCAACCCACGTTAAAACAAAACAATCGCATCAGTTCGTCGCTGAAGATGGCCCTAGTCCGGTCAAGTTCCGTGGCCATCGTGCCCAGTTCGGTACCATCCCCTGGACCAGTAAGTACCACCTTCAAAAGATAATAGTAATTTTTAAGGTGTTAGAACTAGAGTCTTACTGTAAAATTTAGTTGACAAGAACATACTCTGTGCCAAGTTTGTCGACGTACAAACCTTTCTGGCCCAACTATTACTCGTACTGGAACACGTACTATTCCTACGGTCTCTACAGTACCTACAACCCGTACAGATACTACTACAGCCCGTACTACAGCAGCTACTACCCCAAGCGATACTACTACAGTGATTACACCCCATGGTCAACCTACAGTAGACCATCGTACAGAAGCTACTTGTACGTAACTTGACATTGTGTGATTGCTGTATATGTTATTACAAAAACTACTGTATAAAACACAAGTACTATACTGTTACTTTCAGATACGACTACGGCTACTACGACTACCCATATTATCGCAACCGCTACTCGTACCCGTACTACTACGACTCGTACTACCGTACCAACTATATTTCGCCATACCGCAGCTACTACTACGACTGTAAGAGCTTACTGTAATGTATTCGAGTCTTACTGTAATACATTGTTTTCAGATCTCTACTACTGAACATGCACCAACAGTACCATACTACAAAGTCCATTTAATTTGTTTTTGAATTTTGAATAAACAAGTAACACTCTCTCTGACATTACTTTATTCGATTCGATCTGAACAGAACTCTCCGCCTTTATATTATGTCTGTTGCCTGAGGCTCTTTCCGTCTCTTGATCGAACGGAAAGGCCACGTTCTCCTTCTCTCAAGCACCAATGGTACTACTCAAATCCACCTCCGTCTCCACCATCGGAGTAGGACCAGCCCCAGTAAGTGTGGGAACACGCTCTGATTACTGTAACTTATATTTGATACTGTAGTTTGTTGTTTTATCGTTGTTTATATTTATTTAGATATTCGCTTTCATTAGATGAAACTGTCAATTATAACTTGATTAACCTTATAGTTATCAAAGTCCGTATCCACCCCCAACGTTCGATCCTACAAGCCATATTGGCCCACCTTCAAAACATATTACCCATGCCGTTATTACGCTGATTCTAGTTTGGTTAGTTTATAATATGGCTTTATCTAAACCGGATCTTTTTCCAACTTTCAACGTTTAAAACTTAAATTATTACTATTCAATAACATAGTAGTGTTGTAGTATATCGTATACTGTAACTTCAAAATATGCAAATTTTAAAACCAAAGGTTGAACTATCGATGTTCTGTTTCAGTACGATGTCTGTTGGGCGTATCGTAACAGATACCACAATGCCTACTACAGCTACAAGTACCCACGGTATTCCTACCGCGCTGTAGGAACTCCACTGTACGGTTACTACGGTAATGGAGCCTACATCCCCAGAAACCGAAGTTATTAGTAAGTATATTCGAACCGTATCTTTTGTGTATTGTATAATCCTTGTGAACATTGCAATGTATGGTAAAGTAGTTTGCAAAATAATCTTTACAAAAACTTTGTTTCCAGTAACGCCGATGGCTACCCGTACAAAGGCTACTACTACAACTCGAACAACTTCGACACGTACTATCTGAGCCCGTACTATCTCCCGAACCGTACCTTTGTTTGATATATTACCAGAATAAAAACTACTTTGAGTGGGAGTTGTAAACATAAGCAAGGGGGGGGGAGATTGCCTGAGGGAAGCGCCTGTTCTCACGTGAACAAGCTCACTCAACGTTCCGCTCAGCATGGTGCTGGTCCGCTCTAGAAGCATTGTATACAATGACATCGACTCCATCCGGGACAACATCCCTTTCAAGGTAATCGAAATAGTTACAGTGTATTAATGTGGTAGTTAATATATATTATCCAAGTTAACTAAAACAATCAAAAGGTCATGTTTGGACAATCTTTGGCTAGAACAATATGTTTTTACATCTTGCACCTACATTCTTAAGTCATATATCAATATATTGTTATCCAAAGTATAGTTTTATAACCTATCATTCCCTGACAGGTGGTGAGAACATGCTCCCTGCCCAGTGTCACCACCTCTCTCAACACCTACAAGACCTACTGGCCATCGTACCGTCAACAAGTGGGATACGCACATCGGTATTACTCTAGCCACAGCTACGTAAGTGCTCCCATTACTGTCTGTAACTGTTTAGTACAATACATAATGTATATATATGTTTAGTACGACGACTATTGGTACAACAAGTACCGTTACATCACACCGTACTGGTCGTTCTACCGTGCCAAGCCGAGTTTCCATCACGTTCCCTCACACTGTAGCGACATGTACTACAATGCTGTGTAAGTAAACCGCATAGTTACCATGATAAACCTATATGTATAAAGAATATTATGATAATATAATCCAAAACATCATACAAAACTTATATTCCAGCTACGACTACCGACCGTTCTCCACGACCAGCCACTACAGACCGTACCGTTCCTTCAAGATCCAAGGCTTTAACTGAACGCTCGCTTACTACGCTTGTATATAGTATCTTGTCGCTCTAATTTAACCTAATTAAACTGCTTAAGTATTCGAATTATTGGTATTGACATTAAATGTTACCGTCATAATACCTAAACCTTTATTACTCATCTATTAGAATATATACAAAGTAAACTACCACCTTCCACCTAAAAATATATTATAGTATCATTTACTAATATGATAAATAGCTTATCCACAACTTAATAACGCCTTATTTTAGATGGGATTGCAAAGAAGCAACTCCGTCGTATCTCCCAATACTGCCGTTCCTATCCCCACAGTAAGTTTGCGCATATCTACGTTTTAAACGTATTTAAAACTTTGACAAATCTTGTAGCCATCCACAATATTATATTGTATTTTTAAGTTGCTTCGATCTCGCTCAGTAAACAATGTGGCCAATGTAAATACATCATACAGTAACTATCTCTGGACTAGGTCTCCAACTATCTCCAACAACTACCTTCTCAACAGTCACGCCTTGGTATGTTCACAAGATATAATGCTTTATCATCATTTTTTAAAATTTATATTACCTGAATTAACTGAACTGTAAAGTTACAGTAAGCATACAATAAAATAAGCTAACAAAGTTTTGACTTAAACCCCAAACTTCAGTTCGACGATTACTGGTATTCCAAGTACAGATATTACACACCATACACGACCAGCTTCTACAACAACTACTTCTACCCATATTACCATGGCAGCTACAGGTAACAATAATCTTTAAACTGCTTGATCACCGTGTCATTCTTCTTCCTTCAAACTAATATATCTTTAGATACGAGATCAGTTACCCCATCTACCGTCGAGTCTTTAATACCCGCCACTACCCATTCTACAGACCTCTCTACTACCGACCAAACAGAGCTTACGATCGTATGTTGTTTAGAAAATACAGTATCAACAACTTCTAATTTTAACGTTTATTACTTTGACATAGAGCATTTACTACAACATAACTTTTCATACTGTAATATGTTATAGTTTACAGTATGTCGGGTATGCTAATCTGGGTGATCTTTTCAGTGTTATACTACTAGTTTTTACGTGAATGCCCTCTAAATCTTATCCCATCAGCTGTTGTCCGTCTTCATAAATAGAGCCCCAACGTTCTCACGGAACGTTCAGAGCGTAGGAAGAAAGGAACGATGGTGGTGGTCCGTTCACACTCTGTAGTAGTACTGCCTACTAGCTCCAGTACAGTAAGTACCACTTTTGGGTTTAAAACCATCACTACAGGACCAAAGTATACCTTTAACTTTTGATTACCAAATGGTATAAATATCATTGCTATCGTTACTGCCATTGTAAAACATGACTTTGTTTTAGTTATGTAGATGTACATCTGTCCCCACTCTCTCCACTCTCCGCTCAACCCCCTCTGCCTATTACCCTCACCTTTCTTCAATTGTAAGTTAATATTAATATACCTTTGACAATAAGAGATAACAACATTATATAGGCATATTACCATGCAATATCATAATTATACTATGTTTTACAGTATGACAACTATTGGACTTGGCGTAACCGTTACTACAGTCCATACTACACCACCCCCTACTACTCGTACCGTCCCTATTACTACTCCAATTACTACCCCAGTTACTACAATAGTTATGTCCCTTCGTACCGCAGCTATTGGTAAGAGAACACAAGCGTATATATAAGACTACATACTCATATTTACATCGTTTCTGTTGACATCAAAGTATAAAGACTGTATATGTTAGTTTAGGTCCGACTACTACCCCTACAGCTACTACCGCTCGTCCTACTATCCCTACTACTCTTACAACTACTTTCCTTACAGCACTTATTTAAACGACCGTAAGTTATGTTATATACAACATATATCATCAGTTTAAAAGTATAATAACTATAATACTCATTCCTTACATAACATGGTATTCTTTTCAGTAGCTAACCGCTACTACTACTAAACCGCCCTCCACTGCTACAATCATGATTTTACATGGTAATACTGCTTTGACGAATAAATTGTAACAATAAATATAGACGTTCGTATCTGTCGGTTTACTCAGTAATACCTAAAGTAACCTAACTCAATGTTAATATTATTTGCATAATTAACTCTTATATACATATACCTCAAGATGAACCATTACGTACAGCCTTTGTATTCGTATCCGGTAAGACCGTCGTACCATATATTGTTGTAGTTTACGTAAAATTAAATATCAAACTCTCTAGTAGCCATGTATAACACACTGCATAAAACAAAAAATCGTTATATTAATCCACAAGTGTAAGTTAAGATAAGCAATGTCAACATCTACCCTTGCTTGACCAATTCGAGAGCGTACGTTCCCACCTATAGCACTTACCGCAACCTACCTTCTTGGCACAATGTGAGAGACTGTGTTATTGTGATGTTAACCTTTGTATATTACCTATTATTCCAGCCTTCCTGTGTGAATCAGATGAAGTTCCACCGCTTCCGCTACAACGAACAACCATTAGTGCAATACTACAACAAGTACAACTACAACAATACAATTCACACGGATTACAGACCGCGACTTCAGTTCTCGAGCAATCACGAGCTGAAGACAAGATATCACTCGTACCCTGAACCTTACAGACCGTACGAGATGAATTACATGTTCTAAAGATAGCAAATGTAAAAATAAATTAAGTAAATGTAAATTTATATTAATTTAGGCCTAAATTAACTTATAAAGCGCGAAACAAAACAAAACGACACAAAATAAACCTAAAATAGATTAAAATTTATTTTTTCGAAAACAAACTTCTGTTTTCCGCAGAGAAACAACGAAGTGTCACAACTTGAATTCGGAAAAGAACGAAATGTCACAGATCAAGAAGAATGCCCTCAAGGGAAGCCAGGTGTTCATTCCTGAGAACTCTCCATTTAAATAAAGTAAACAACCAAATGGTCGTTCTCCATACCAGATCTGGTGTTGTAGTAAGGGCTTCGTCTCTGCCACCGCTTCCAACACCTCCAGTAAGTACTGTGATATACGCAATTAGAAAAATTTAAAATTTTTGTATTCTTGGTAAAAAAAAAGCGATAGCACAATAAAAACAATTCTCAGTAGAAGCAATGTATAACATATTGTTTTAGATATCTCGATCTGTAACCAATGCCCATCTCAGCTCCAGTTCCTTGTACACGCCGTACTGGCCGTCTAGTGTAGCACAAGACCCGGTACTGAACCCAACGTACCCGTACAGATATACAGGGTCTTTCACTTTGGTAAGTCACCATAAACATTTACATTGTTGTTGAAGACAGTATACTTAAGGTCAGGTTGAACTTATGCTTTTACAATACATTCTTTTACTTACTACTATCATTGTTACAGTACGACAACTACTACTCCCCATACCGTCACTACGTACCTGACCATTACCCCAAGAGATACTACCACAGCGATCCTTATCAGTGGACTTCTGTTTACTCGTTTTACCCCAGGAACAAGTCGTACTGGTAGGTTGAAGCAACTATTTTGTACTATTATGTTGTTATTGTAAAAATTATAATTTACAAAGATTTACAATATCAAAAGTAAATTTAAATAATGTTTGTAACATTGTATACGAGGTGTCACTTTAACATCATATGTCTAATACTACTACAATGACATTCCAGGTTCGACAACGACTTCTACGGGTACCCGTACTACCACCGCTCCAGAAGCAACGACCCGTACTTCTCCAAGTACTACGCTCAGCCAGTCTATACTCCACTCCGTTCTTATGTTTATTGAATAAAAAGTAGAGTAATTACTGTTGGGCCATGTTGATATAGAACACCTGCCCTGAGGCGTCCTCCTCCGCTTTGTCGAGAGAGATCAAGAAACATAACACATTGTGTTGAGGATGAGTGAGTACACCCTGACGAGAGTAAGGTCGGCTGCCGCTTTGCGCAATGCCAAAAGTTTGCCCCCAGGCGATTTCGTAAATACGGTAAGTTCACAGTATTCATTGTTGTGTGGCTACTGTAACTGTTATACTGATTGTAATTAACTGTAATTTAAAAATATTTGATTTATTGATCAATTTGGAAAGTGATTTATGATGGATAATATAGCTGAAAAGAGCACCATCAGTCGGTTCCCTTCCCGCACAGTACTCCAAGCCATACTATCTAACATATTATGCTCGTACTAGTCCCCTGTACCTTCATTACTCAAACGACAGCGCGGTATGTTATTATGTGTTGTATTAAATATAGCTTGTTACCCAGTAAATTTAAATAAACTGTCATTACTACATAATTTAATTTCAAAAAATTATTACCATTCATTGTAATCTTATCATTTGCAATAACATGCTTTTGATACAGGCATACGATGACTGGTACGACCAGTACAGATTTGCCATCCCGAGGTACCATCCAGTAAGGAACTACTACAACAAATACTCTCCTTCCTTCAATTACTACGGTCGTTATCCTTATCTGTACAGAAGTTACCAGTAAGTTTAACCAAGAGATTTCCTTTCTTAAACTGTAAAGACTAAACCTAGACATTTAGACTGAACTATGGAGCTCCATATTACCCATCCAGACACTACGACCCTTACCAAGACCCGTATGTGAAGAGGACCTACAACCAGTACACGTCTTCTCTCGTCAATCGTATGTTCTTGCCATTACTTTTCACAAATTTAAAAGTAGTAGTTATCTTCAACTGATTGTTGTACTTTTAGCTTACTGGCACTAACTGAACCAAACCCTACTGCACCACTTACTGTACCCGACAGTACCAATATTTACTTTGAGTACCATCCTATACTCATATACTGAGTACGATTATAATGATTTGTCTTGACATATAATAAACTGTTGTATGTGATATAATCTATTTGTTCGGCGAAGAAAAAGAGTGGCCGGCCCACTTTTCCCCTCAGGCCATCAGTCGGAACTCGGACTGGGCCCCCAGAAATGTCAGAATATGGCTACAGCGTGCAACGGTGTCGCTCCTACAGTCTGAGCCGAACCTTCAGTAGACCATCGTCGCCCGGCAGAGTAAGTTGGCGGTAGTATTGTAATGTAAAAACAGTTATGTAGGACCGTGTCCAGTCCGAGTTTGGTGCCCAGCTTCACGCCACAGTACGAGTCGTACTTGAGTAGACAAGACCCAGTACGACGATACCAAAGAGACCGGTCATTGGTATGTTACTTTGCAAGTTATGTCATATACTTGTACCTTGAAGCTTTTACTAGTAATATCAACATACTTAACGTTTGCAATGTTTATATAGCTTTACCATTGTAAAATGATACATGCAGACGTTTCATGTTACAGGATTACACAAGAGCCTACAACCGCTACAAGTACTGTACGCCGTACCAAGGCGGGTACTATCCTCGGTACTATCTGAACACCGATTACATCGGTACACATTCCTACTACTGGGGTAACCTGAACGCATATTACCCACAATACAGAAGTCATGTCAACGACTACGGCTCCAACAAATACATCGCCGGCTTCTACTCGAACTACCACCAGCCACTGTACGACCGGTCGTACTACTCCACCTACAGTAAGCCGTACTATCACTCGTCGTACAAAAGCTATTTCAGCACGTTATATGGTTATTGAAGATGCGAAGTGTATTATTGTATTGTAATAAAGGTATAAAGTAGAACAAAATAAATACAGTATCTTGTACTGTATTTCATTGTTCTTGTGATACTGTACTAAATATAAACTGTTCAATACAAACAAGGTTCGTACTATATTGTATCGATACAATGCAAGGTATGCTGGGAATAAACCTTTATTACTCTTGAGTTCGTGCCATTTGTCGGTCGAGACTCTCGAGTCTCTCTCCCACTCATTTTCCCTGGCAATGGCCGAATATTCCCTAACTAGATCTAGATCCTCTGCTGTTCTCCGCTCCGTGTCATTACCTCCATCGTCAAGCCCGGTACAGTAAAGTAACCCCCATATATAGTAAGTTTAGCTGACTCGTACCTACTCGTCGCCTTCACTTACCTTACAAAAGCCATATCACATCGTCTACTACACCTTCACCAACCCTTCACACACATACTCCAAGAATTACACTACAGTAAGTACAGTAACCAAAAAGTAATGTAAAATATCAATTATGAACCCAACTGGTACCATATTACAGGAGCTAGACTACTGGTACGACCGGTACCGTTTCTCTCAGCCATATGTCAGCAGTTACTACCCAAGGCGATACTTCAACAGTGACTATGTGTTACCACGGTCACATTTCCACAACCCAGTCTACTCTTGGAGACACATGAGGTATCTCCACGACTACGGTACTCCATTCTACCTGAGCCACTTCAACGACTCAGCTCACAAACCTTACATACGACAGAGCTTCTACTCTCCGTACAGGTCACGGCTATACGATGGTAGGTTACCTTATAGTACACTCGTTACAACCCGCTTTTACAGTAAAATAAGAAGTAGAAATGGCAACATATATTAATAATATAGTCTACCAATATTATTATTTTCAGCAGCCTACTTTGGAATAAGATAGCACCACCATCCCCTCGGTATCTGACTGTAAAGATTGTAACTTGTTGTATCGAATAAACAACTTTCTCTTTGACTTGTTATTGTTCTAAAGAAAAGACAACAGCTGAGCTCTGTGTTCAGTTTGCTTCGCCTCCCCGTCCTGATAAGCCATGCTACAGAAGTCCAAGTCTTTGGCCTATGTTAAGGTAGACAACGCTCCGTTGACTGTAAGTATACCACTGAAAACGCTTTACCCACAACGAATATCTATAATATACGAAAATCCCTTAAATAATAATATCGCTCCATTATATTATGACCAAATCATCCAACCGCTCGTTTATAAACCTTGTTACCTACAGAGCTTAATACCCTATATAACATAAAGTAGAATCACAATATTAAACCTGAGCTTATTAAAGCCGCTGAACGACGACAAAGATGTCAGACCCCCAATCGAACGTCGCTACTACAGTAAAACCAGTCCAGACTACCCCAGTAACTACTTCCTCGGCCAAATGAGTGTAGATGACCATTGGTTTGATACCTACAGGAAGTTCAGCCCCTTACAGTACCGTAGCATGTTCCCGAGAAGGTACTACGCCTACGGAGACTACGTACCATCGTATCCGTTCTACTGGTCGTACCCTGACACTTACTTCAACCGTTACAAAAAGTATTTGTAAGTATTTCAACGTTGTCAAGTATATCTCACTCAAATTGTCATTACATACATCTTGTACTATCTTACCACAATTACTTGTGTTTTAGCGGAAAGTCAGTCACGCCCTTCCCAAACTACAGCCAACGCTACGGTGACTCCTACTACCGACCAGAGATACGGTCCAGCTACTACTCGCCTTACAGATCCTGGGTTATGTCATTGTAATGTGATGATAATATAATAAACTCTTCTCTTTATTTTTGTGTTCAGGTGGAAACGAGTGATCGCCTGAGGGCTTTCGTTCATTCCGAGTCTCTTTTCTTTCAGGAACAGCCATGGCCAGCATCGGGAGATCACAGTCCTTCAGCGGTCGTACTGACGTGGGTTTTGCTTACAGTAATCGTACAGTAAAACGTGATTATTTAGAGAACTTTATTGATAACAAACTTTATGGCAAAATCATATAAATAATTTAGTCTTTGTTACCATTTGAATGTTCAGATCTCGTCACCAGGCATCTACTTTCCCGTGACAAACTGCTACTCTTACCGTTACTACAACGATTACTCTTTGGTAAGTCATTGTCTTATAGTCTCGTATCTCTTTATACTTCCTTAAAAGACTCTAGTCTACAAACACACAATATTAACTTCAGCACGATGAGTACGTCACAGACAAGTACAGAAACAATACCCCATTGTTCTACAAGCCTAAGTTTCCTCGACCCCATTACGCGGTAGATTATAAGCCTAACCACATTCAGTACTTGACCACGCCTTATCAGTACTTCAGTGGCTACCGTAACAAAACGTATGTTATCACATTTTAAAACGTTATGTTTGGATAATTAAGAATATATATATATATATATATATGTGTTGGTAATGTTATAAAGTACTAAGTGATCGTTATAACAAACCCTTTCAGCTACAACTACGAGTTCCCCTACCACAAGAACAGATCAGCTGACCCTTACTATGACTCGTACATCAGAGCGGCCTACTACTCTCCCTACAACCTGGAAACATACGATGGTATGTCTTTATTTAAAATTTTTATTTCGTTTATCTTACTGTAACTTTATTTTTTATTTTTACTTCAGTTTTCACTTTTACATTACTGTGTTTTACTTTGCTATCTTTCAGTGTTACTGCGATGATCCCACTACCACCGACTACTTCCGTATCTTACTTTCTTTTTACATTGCTTGTTTATAAATAAAGTTTTTCTGAAAAACGATGGACTTGTGAACAAATGTCAAAGAGAACATTCAGGTGAAGGCTTCCCACTCTCTCCGGCCCACATCTGCTGATATTACCCAAAATGAGTCTCACCAGGACCTACTCCTCTTCCAACATCCGCCACAGCTCAGTAAACTCTCTGGTAAGCCAAAGTTACAGTAATTGTTGTGTTTTGGTATTGAAATTACAGTAAGTCAATCTTTGCGTAATAGAAAATACAGTAAGCCATAGTTTCAATGAATTGAACTTAAATTTAAATACATTTCTATGGTTAGCGTTACATTGTTTGTAGATGCTAGGGCGTTCCTGGTCCTGCAACGATCTCAGCCAGACAGCCAAGCCCAAGAGAGTGCACCAGCAGTACCAAAGCACCTTCTTCCCTTCGCCTTACGTGCGCGACTTTGGAATTGTAAGTCAGGCTTCCAATGATTCGTTAGAACAACTTTTTTTACTTAAAATTTGTTACCTAAATATGTTTGGATCTAAATATTACACCACTAAGCAGTCGATTACAGTACTCCGACTACCACTACCAATCCGAACACTTCAACGGTCCTTACTACAGTCGCCACAAGTCGACTCCAGGATACTACCGTTACAACGACTACTGGAGCTACCCCTCGACCTACTGGGCATCGTACAAGAACTACATAACCGACTACGGCCTTCCATTCCATCGTAGCCGTCACCACGACCGTATCTACTACAACAACCTTCGCTACGGCACTTACTATTCGCCCTATCAGTACTACATTTTGTAAATAGTAATGTTACACTTGCAAGTGTAAACTACACCTTTTACCATTAAATTTACAATAAACGTAGATTACATTGTAGTAGAGTGCTTTGAAGAATCATTTAAGAAAAGTGCGGTATATTACAAAATTACTTTGAGCTAATTTACAAGATTTACATCGCTGTGAACCTGTTTACTGTCCACTTCGATCATGCTTAAGACACCAAACGAACGCCTCCATCTCGAAGAATGCTTATCGTAACAGCTGTCTGTTTACCTGTCAGCTGGCTGAGACCGTGTGCACCTTGACCCAGTATTTAGCTTCATTCCCTCCGGCAAAATGAGTGAATATCGACTTCAGCGCGCGAAGTCCGTGGCCATCGTCAACTCGAATCACTCCCAAGTGGTAAGCCTTAAGTTGTTACCTAGACTTAAAAGCAGCGCCATATTGTCATTTCAAAGTTTAAAAAATCTATTTATATCCGTTAAAATATAATTAACTACCACAATATAATACAGTGAATATTATATTGTAGTAGATAATTAACTTCATTTATAAAACTAAACCTATGATACATGTTACATTGTTTCAGTTGACTCGCGCTTACTCAGTTGACAACTTGAACGATTTCTCTCACGCCATTCCACGCTACCTTCCACAGTACCCAACGTACTCGACGTACCGAAGAACCTACACTCCATATGTAAAGGATCACACTCTAGTAAGTTCATAAACCATAATAAAATTTGACTTTACTCCGTATTTTAAAATTATTTCAAATGTAAAAATGTAAAACACATTACACTACCGTGCCTTCAGTTTACGGACTACTGGTACGACAAGCACCGCTATTTCTCGCCCATTCACGAATACACATCCTCCATTCCTCGTCGCTACTACAACAGCGACAACATATCCAACCCGCTCTACTGGAGCTACCCGTACCCATACTGGACCAGATACAACAGCTACTTGAACAACTACCCCTACTTCAAGACGGTCAGCCCCATAACCGACTCCTACTTCGACACCGTCTACCGCCGTGCCTACTACAGCCCCTACAGAACGTTCGCCCACAACAACGTGCTTTCCCGGCCTTGAGAAAGTACTGTACTTCATTCAGATACTGTAGTTTCTCTAAATTACCGTATCTTTTGGTTACTGTACTTTGATTTGAATACCGTATCTTTTGTCAAAATGCAGTAACCTTACTGTAAAATCTGTTTGTTACTGTAACTTTGTCCCTCTCTACTGTAACTTGTAACAACGCTCTCTTTCTTGTCTTTGCATATTGAACATGATAACGACTGCCATATGAAAAACTAAATAAATTGGTATCTTCAACAGTTGGCTAGGCTTTGCGTGGGTTGTCAGAGCGGAACACTAGGGCAAGTGAAACAGACAGTTGGTTAGAGAAAAGGCTCCAGAACGCCGAAAGCCCTCGGGCAAAGAAGGCCAGTCGGGCTCAAAACAGTCAGTGATAACGGCCGACCAGCATGAGTATCATTCATGCCAAGTCGTCGGTCTGCTTGCCGAGGGAGCGCGACATCCCTCGCGAGGGCGTAGCTACACTCTCCAGGTAGGTAACATTACAATTGTCGTAAAGGTTTTGGCAGGTTGCGATTAAGTGAAGTCCGGTCAAAAATTACCTAGAACACATGTAAAAACGCTAAAACTACTTTACCACCAACTATGCTACTACAAGGTAACTGATCTTATCTTTAGAGTCACCTCCGTTCCCAACTTGGCCAACCGTCATGTTGATGCCAAATATGCACCATCAACCTTATACGGCCAACGGTTAGACAGAACTGCGGTAAGCCTTTTACCTTTATCCTATTTTTCACATAAATCTAACGAAAAAAATAGAAAAAACGCAACCATAAACGTACTTTTTCAATCCAAAAACCTTCGTAAAGCCTACTACAATATAATGTTTAGTGGGACGACTACTACACTGACAACTTTGTCCACAACCCCACTGTCTACTGGCAAGACTACCGCTACACTGCCAGAAGATACCCCAACACCGATCCCATCCCAAACAGTGGAGAGTTCGGCGTTCCTGGCTTCTGGTCACGGTACAAGTTCTACACGGACTACTTGAACCCTCAATACTGGAGGAAGTACCGTGACCCCTACTACGACAGACCCTTGTGGGACTCGTGGAAACCTTACTTGATGGACAGGTACAACTCCAAGAAAGCTATCGACATGTACAGACAGGTAATCCTTCTTCTGAACCTCTTAAAAGCCTTATCAATAACAATATTATGCTAAGAACATTATTTTCGGTCAAGAATAGCAAACTTTTCAATATTTGTGAACTAACCATAACTTGAACAAACCACTTTTTACTTAAAAATGAAAAGAAAACAAAAATATGGCAAAGAAATGTTGATATTAACATGAATATTATCACAAACCTTGATGTAATTAACTGCAGGGTCTAATCTCGTTTGATTACCTCGACAAGAACTGGATTGAGCCCACAGCTCTGGCCCGCAAGGACAAGGACTGGGGAGACACCTACACTCAGGCGGGTGAGTCATGATTATTCGTCCGTTTATTTATTTACAGGTCGATATGGTCCACGAAGATATTTCTATCAATTCTCACACTGAGCCAGCCATTATTTTATCAATTTCACAGTTTCGACATAAATTTGTTTCCATAAATTCGGTTTTTTTTAAGAAAATGTGTCGTAACTCGTGTTTCGTCCAGAAAAGCTGTCACAAATTGTCGTTTCGTTTAAAAAATGTGTCATGAATTTATCTTCCGTCCAAAAAAGGTGCCATAAACATGTGTTATTTTATACAGTTAATAATTTTTAAAACTTCCCTTGTTATCCTGTCGCTCAAAACTTTAAATCCAGATGAACGAGGACTAAATAGTAAGTGTAAATATAGCGTCATCGTGACGGGTTTTCTGAACAACTGCATTTTCGGAATTATTCGTGGATAAAGTATATTTCCTTTACACGACGTTCTTCCGCCTTCATTTAGCGACGCTGTGGCGGTTTCTGAAGCGAAGACGGACGTTTATTCATATTATCCATCTGTTATAACTTTTCGTATAGTCAGGGTTTGTTTTTTATTGTGAAGAAAGGGGTTTTGTTACATATTTCCGAAGACTTTTACTTTTGAAGCTGTTTTTTGATGTTGAAAAGGTGTACAGTTTAAAATTGTTACTTTTAATATTGATCTTATGTAGATCAAGGTTTTTTATTGAGATATTAAACTTGTAAATCAGATGCTTCGGGGGATTTAGTTGAAAAGGTTGATCATGAATAATATTCGAAATTAATTGCGGGCTATATTATTGTATGTTTGTGAGGCCCAGCGCTGTCCATTCGCTTCTCTGGTCATCTCTCGCTTCGTTGCAGTGTCGAAAAAGCTAAATCAACGGAGATTGCTCCTTTCTCGGCTGTTTCGTCCGGCCAAGTCGTCGTCGCAGCAGCGCGCATCCCAATTCCGTCGCTCTTCTGCCCCAATCGACCATGAGATGAGTCTGACGACCACCAGCGGCCCACTTCTACAGAATATTTGTACAGTTGGGAGCACGGACGGCTTCTACGAGAAGAATCAACTGGACGTGAGTTGTTATTGATTTTATTCTAATTTTAGGTATTGAGGTAAACAAGATGTGGAAGGCAATGAATGCTTTGTTCATTAAGTTTGAGATTTAAATTTATTATAGTTACTTTTTGGTATTAATTTTTAAAATTTACAAATTCAGGTGATATTGTTTGAAAAATTAATGATTTGATAACAAATCTATGTTGATAACATAAAAATTGATAAATTATGAGTTTAGGAGAAGGAATGGACGTCCGAAAGCTGTTCGGATGATCAAGATGAGTCCCACTCCATCAATCAACAGGACAGCAGTTCATTTTCGAACGACAAGATATACAACATACCTCCTGAAGTCGATGTGGCTATTCCGGAACACGACGATGGACAGGTTTATGCAAATTTGTCTGAAATATCGCGTAAAAAGGAAGCTGACATTATCGACCGACGGCCGTACCCGCCCAAGCCGAACTTCAATGAACCGCCTTTGAGAGTTTTGAGTAATGGGTGGAGGGAGTACAAGACTATTGGCGGGAGGTGAGTATTATATTATAGTATTATATATTATGCAACATTATTAACTTAAATATATTGATAAAGGACGAACCTTCATCTATCGCATTGTTTTAGGTCATTCTTCTACAGTCCCTTATCAGAAGAATGTCAGTGGAAACCTCCGAGGAATATGGCTACACTCTCCAAGTCCATGAAGGTTTCTTCTTCTCGAAACGTTTCTGTTTCTAGCTTTCATGACAGTTCAACCTTGGATCCGAAAGCTCCAGTGAAGTCACGATCTGTGGATGAGGACAGGACAGAATTCTCGGCCGAACCCTTTGTTGGGCCAGTTACTCATGCCTACGAGAAGAACAACTTACAAGGACGATCATTTTTGAATTACTCTAGGGAGAACGTAAGTTTAAAAGCGTATTATGGTATTGTTTTTGATAGTTTAGGTAATACTTGGTTGTATTATCTTATCTTTGATAGTAAATATTACCTTACATTTAGTCCATATTTGCGGAAACTTCTGGATACCGTGATCGAACCTTGGACACCCAGATGACACCTTGTTCTAGCCAATCTCGAAAGCCGACAGTCCAAACTAACACATCAATAGAACCTACTCCAAATGTGATATTCGAGGGTTTTTTACACAAGTCAGAGTTCTTGGAAGGCTCGTCCAAGATAAAGAAATGGTCTCAGGTGTTCGCCGTTCTCAACTCAAAAGTCTTGTCTCTGTATAAGGAACAGAAGAACACCGATGTGAGTGAAAGATTATTCGTTTACTGTTTGATATTATACTTGTTTTAAACATATTAATTGATGTATTGTGCACACGTAGTTATCTCTTAACTTTGACGTTACGTCAATGAAGGTGTCTTAATGTTGTTGTTGTAGCCAAAGAGTAAGCATTACAAAGCCCCGGTGGAAGTGCTGGACATGAGGGGCGCTGCTGTGTATGTGGTCGATTCTGATAAGATCAAGGACAAACGCCACAAGAATGTGTTTTCTGTAGTTTTACTCCACAATCCCACCATGTTCTTGTTCAGCTGTACAGAGAGTGTGGACATCTTCAACTTCTGGATGGAGGCTATCAAGAGTGTGATACGACAGAATGTAGGTTATCAACGTTATCAGTAAAAGTCTTAATTCACACAAATACGTATTTTTTGCAGTGTTTTAATTTATTTTAGTTTAAAATAGCTAATAACTCTGGATTTAGCCATGTGAATTCGACGCGATCCGCAAAAACCCTGAGGAAATGTTTGGGACTCTGGGCCAAAGCACGACCAAATCAAGGTTTGGCATGAAAGGGTCGATTCGACAGTCAGTCAAGAATAAACTCAGACCGTCGACTTCGAGAGATCGACTGGATCAGAACGACGTTCCGACCAGGGAATCTATTATCGACCGGTTGCTGAGGTTCTTACGACAACGACCTACAATCGAGAGTTTATACGAAAAGGGCATTTACAAACGTCAGTTTTAATATTTGTTTTATTTTTGATACTGTTAAAATGCGTGAAAGTGTTATAGCCTAATGATAATGAGTACAAAAATATATTTTAATTTAGCTGAACCAATATTTGGAAGCACGTTACAAGCTGTTTGTGAGCACGATCAAGCGGACGTCCCCAAGTTCTTGGTTGAAGTGATACGTGTCATCGAGGCCAAAGGAGTACATACGGATGGCATTTACAGAGTAAACGGAAACCTATCATTGATCCAAAAGATCCGCGAACATGTTAATCATGGTAAGCTTTTATACTCACCTTTAATACTTACTTGAACCTTATTTTAAATGTATATTTGAAATAAGATCGTGTGAATGACTTTAAGGTTATGAATACTTTAAATTGTGGTTTCAGATCGTTACGATGTTCTGTCGAAGGAAGAAGACGTGCATGTCCTCACGGGTACCTTGAAGTTGTTCTTGAGAGAACTGAACGAGCCTGTGATACCTTCCAGTCTAAACAAGGACTTTATCAGTGCCATGTGTAAGTAGTCCTACTAGTACCCTTTATTTGTGTTTAGGGGAGAAAAGTCTGAACAAGAGGATTCAGAAGTTCAACCAGCTACTGTCATCGCTGCCTGGGCCTAACAGAGAAACTCTGGTCGTCCTGGTTAGACATCTTAAAAAGTAAGTAATGATCTTTTTTGGATTAAATAATGGAAAGAATAGTTTAGTAGTGGATTTGCCATTTTTCCTATTGAATATTAATAACATGTAAGAATAATTAGTTTGACAGGTGACTGCTTGACTAAATTTATATAACTTTCAAAACATTTAATGAAATGACACTTGCAGAGTTGCTCAATACGATTCCCAGAATCGGATGAACCTACATTCCTTATCAATCGTGTTCGGCCCAGCCCTCTTCCAAGAAACCAAACCCACGAAGCGGCGAGGGAACTCTTCCAAGGAATCAGAAGGCGTCCCCAACCACGTGGTGGCCTACAACTTTGTAGCCTTCGGCCAAGTGACGGAGTTCATCTTGGAAGAAGCCGACAACCTCAACATATTCGTATAACTGTACATTTCACTTGATATCTTCTCTATCCGGTCTCTATGTTACTTATGGTTAAACCATTTAACGATTCGTTGGAGTTCTTGCTGGAATCATGCTTAACATGATCTGACGGGTCACTTCCATATTTAAAATATATTATTCGAGGTATACAGTAAACATTTCAGTATGTACTACAGTAATATTTCAAGAAATATCAGAATAAAATGTTTATTTCACAAGTGACTATACCATGCAGATTCTTGCTATTGCGCGACATAGGTGGAGACAGATAAGGGATAGAAGTCTAGTATAAAATGTTTTTGTTTTTTAAAAGTTTGTGATGTACATAGTAATATATTGCTTTAGTTGCACGATTCTATAAGGTCGCCGTTGACGAACAGTTTGAAGACGATACCTTTGGTTCGCTTTCCGCTGCTCAAGCTCTTTATACAAGCTACATTAGAAGCGCCTATCTCGAAGTGGGTATCTACACCTTCGTCGGTGAAACAGCCCTGAAGCATTTTTCATGATATCAAATGTACATAAGGGCTAACTAGATAGACTTACAGCTGTGGTGACTTTGTCCCCATTGACCCAGACGTCCATGGAATCTCGTTCTAAACGGTAATGTCAATATAACTCATTAACTTTTACTGAATAATATCGCAAACTAAAAACTATTTTTCTTAAAAAGCAGCCAACTCACCCAGTACCACCCTGTAGTCAGTTTCGTTGATCTTCAGGGTCCACATGATCAAGTTCTTGTCCTGTTCTTCCTTGAACTTCTCATACGTCTTACCGTTCACGGTGATACTGTATTCGTACGCAAAGATGCCGATGGCCTCGATGTTGATGACACAGTGGATGCCATTGATCTCGAACACTTCCCGACCGACCAGCTTGAACAGCCAGTCGTGCTTGACAACCTCCTGAACTTGGAATCAGTCTGAATCGAGTACCGTACCCTTCCGTTCACTCTGACAATCCTCTTGCCCGTGGTGGTGCCATGCTCGAACTCGATCTTGTAGACGGTGTTACTCATCGGGATGCTCCACCGTGCCACCACGTCTGAATCGGCACTCCTTCTGAACGGCTCAGAAGGAGGCATCGCGAAGCCTATTGAAGACGAGGGTCAGTTGTTGTTGACAATGGCCAAAAAACAACTTACTTACCTGTCACGGCTGGTAACTAAAAGTGCAAGCGAGTTTTAAATTGTTCTCCAATTTGGTTGTCATGGCTACACGCTGCAGCAGTGTGACGTGAAGAGAGTGACCGCTGTCCAGCTACAAAGAGCCAGCCGGCGGTGACTGGAACGCCTCTCATTCGACATGCCCTCAGGCGAAGATAGCCAGTGAAGAATGCAATTGTTGACTTGGGCAGTGGCTGATTACTTACCGTTCCTACTGTAATTTGTTTACCGTAATTAGCCGGTCATCCAGAAGTTTGACTTGAAGGAGCTTTGTCCAGCGGTCAAAACAACCGTTTGGGTCAGGAATAACAATATTATACTGCCTATGTGACCATGGTCAGTCTCGGTTACCCTCCAGTAGCTGGCTCCGTCCAAACTCTACCGCCGGCTCCACGATTGACTAGATTGACCCAATCCTCGAACAGATCCAGGAGGAATTCCTCGGTTACGGCCACTATTCAGAGACCCATTTCTTGTAATATTCACTTTCGTGGTAAGTATTCTGTGATATTAAAGCATATGTTTTATATTACAGTATCTATAATGTCTTTTTATTAACCTTATTAAATATTATTTGTAAAGGTATACTTTTGAGTTTTATTGATTTTTCACGCTTAATAGTTATTCATTTACATTGAGGTACATTTAAATAGTGATAAGAGTAATTTAGATGGCTGTTCGTTGGACCGTGACAACAGAAACCCAACTCGAGACAAGAGTTGTCATAACGACATTACCCCAGCCTCTGATGAAAGTTCCAAATCTGCCAATCTAAATGAGCAGATCTACAAGGTAATCCCTATTTTGTCGTTTCAAAAGATAATTTCAGACTGAATTACTTTTAAAATGTCTTTAGTATACCTTGACCTTGTAATTTGGTATGACTTTAGGAGACCGAGTACCTGAAAGTTCTTCCGAACAGAGCAACTTTCTACCGCGACTACGGTGCCTGCACAACTCTTGGTCGCGGCAACTTTTCGCGCGTCTTCCTGTTGGATTCTGGACGTCGTAAGCAGGCTGTTAAGGTAACTATGTATTTACTGGTATCGCTGCAGTATTTGGTAACTTTTCTTTTCAAGATACTCTCATAGTTCATAATCTTACTGTAACATACCAATGGTTTTCATTTCAGGAAATAGACAAAGAGAGGATGTCAGGCAGACTGGACTACGTCTACAACGAAGTGAACATCTTGGCGGAGTGTGATCACGAGAACATCTGTAAGCTGATCAAGGCTTACGAGTCCCCCGGGTACTTCTTTCTGGTATTCGAATATGCCCCGGTAAGTGGAGGAACCAGTAATATATTGTTGTAGTTCGGAGATCTGTTCGAATTCATAAAGCAAACCGGAATTCCTGGAGAAGCCAACTGTGCGTGTCTTACTTATCAGGTAAGAGATACTGTAACATTGTAATATCATCAATAGAAAATGAAAAACTCAAATCTTGACGTGTTTTGCTTTACATTACAGTCCTTTAATAACATGTTTAGAACCATTAAACATTACCACCTTCTCCATGTTTCAGATATGCTCAGCGTTACAGTACATTCACGACAAGAGCATCGTCCACCGTGATGTGAAGCCAGAAAACATATTAATAATGTCTGAGAGCTGGGTCAAACTGACCGACTTTGGTCTAGCCTGCACAGTTCTTGGCCCTCTGTACCGAGTATGTGGCACTCCAACGTACGTAGCTCCAGAAGTCATTTCCGAGCAGGGCTACGGTATTGAAGTAGACATCTGGTCGTTGGGAGTGGTACTACACATCATGCTGATTGGGTTTGCCCCATTCAGAGCTCCGAAGCGGTCCCAACTGTTCAAACTGATCAAGAAAGCGTACCTCGGATTTGACTTTGCACGGTGGAATCACATTTCGACTGGTATGTACATCACAACGCTTATTACTGTTTTATTCGTATCATTTTCACAATATCTGAATATTATTTGTCACACTTCAGATGCTCAAACTACAGTACGCCGTATGTTGTGTCCGAATCCTCAACGTCGGGCCACGGCTTCCGAGATCCTGAACGACGAGTGGATCCAGTCTTTCCTTGTGTAAATAAAAAATAAAAAAATTTTCCGCTTCGACGCTTCTTGACCTCAAGGGATGGGATCAGATAACTCAGGAATCCCGGATACCGTGCCCTTATCGCTTCTGAGGTCGTGTCGCCAATCCCGAATTCAGTTATTTGGTGTTGATCTGAGGTCGGAGTTACTTTGTTTTCCTTTCAGTTACTAATCTTTTAATTGATTTTGAGTGGGGTAAGCTACGGTAGGACATTGTAAGCTTCAGTAGATTATAGATGTTACAACTTTTGTAGTGACTATAGGAGTATGGTTTTGATCAAATAGCTTTGTTTAATGACTCGATTCTAAGACATTTAAGTAATAATTTGATCAGAGATTGCCATAAATCTAAAAAATAGTTAAAAATAGTTCTATGTATTTATTGACCGACTATTTATGCAAAGTTGCTTCCCTTTTACACTTGTTTATCTCTCTATGAATGTTTCGATTTAAACATTATCTCTGATTGCGTGAATTCCAACGAAAGCGACAACGATGTCATGAGTAAAGGAGAAGAAGGATATCAGTGAGTTTTGATAAGTGGATCTGTCGCGCTCGGTCGGTTATCTCGAGATCGCCTGCAGGTGGCGGTGGTGGCGGCATCGGACCAAAACGAGCTTTATTTGCAGTCCTCCCCCCCCTCCGCCGTTTCCCCAATCACCTGTCGGTCAATATTTCCCGACCGGATTTGGCGAAGTTTTCGAATTCCGCTCATCTCGCCGCTCTGCCTACTCCAATATAACGAACCTTCCCACCCTAACATACGAACCCATCGCGTTCCCTTAATAGGAACACTTATTGTCGCTGGCCCAGGCCTTGTCGCTCTTGATCCCTTTATTAAGAGGTCATTCCGGCACTCGGGAACAAAGCGGTGACCTTCTGTGGCCTTTCACGGTCAAGGCCCTTTACCAGGCCTTTCAGCGGTTTTTGGTTCAGGAACTTGGGTGGGAGGGGTGTTTCGTCTATCTACCTTAATATTAACGAACTGTCTTCAGTGTCTACATTTCAAGACCTTATACTTGTAAACTCTTGGTTGTATTCAAGTACTGGGGGCGACTACTTGACTCGGATCCTGAAGATCATGTAGTATCGGGTTCACGGTCATCTACGGCCTTGTACAAGTCAACGGCTCTTGTCGCGGAGTCAAAGCATCTTCATCCCCCACGTTCTTCAGAAATGATTTTGTTTTTTGCGCCGCACGCTCCGAGTCTTGACCTCGAAACCATGCCCTTCCCGTCTCTCGCAGTTCTCCCCCCTATATTACCTTAGCACGGCCGGACTTCTGTAAATATTTTTGGAGTGACCACCATGCGGCCTTCGGAGTGAGATGGCTTCTCCACACCTTTTTATTGGGTTGATTCATTTGTTTGCGAGGGTTAAGACAGGTCGCTGGCTTTTATTACAGTAATTATGGCTGTCACAAGTCTGGTGGCATGTTCGGGAAGGAATGGCACTTACCCGTTTTGGGATTCAGATGGTTTTATGCAGATTCAGGGTTTTTGAGTTTGTTTTATTCAAATTGGATTGTTTTGATCTTAGGGATGAGTTAACAAGTGTCCAACTGAGATACTAAATACTTTAGAGCAAGGTGACCATAACATGGGCATCAACTCACTTGGAAGTAGATGCCTTCAAATCAGAAGCAGATGACTTCAGAGATGACTTCAAAGTAAAAAGTAATTGATCTGTGGGTGTTTTTGTTTATCCGCGTCTGAATGGGCTCTTTATAAGATGTTCATGTAAGGCGTCGCTCAAAGGCGAGAGATGGCTAGCCGGATCATAATCGATGTTGTTCTTCATGGCTGGCTGCTTTATTCTTACGGAAAGGCGGAACACGGTTTAATTGTCTCCGTTATGCAATCTTTGTCGTATTTTAATTTCCGTGACGTTATCCATGACCGTGCGTTTACCTCCGAGATTCCTCGAAATGTGTCGATCCCGACCATCCCCATGTTTCCCCCACCACCACCGACATCCCCCCTCCCTCCGTAATGAGTCTTCCGGCTAAGGTTGCGCAACGTCTTCCAATCGGAGGTACTTTCTCATTCCCCTCCGTGATTAACGTCTATAATTGGGAGATTTCAATTTCAATGTTTACAGATCATGGTGTTATCATCTTTCCCTGTCTTTATTCATATTTTGTCGTATTTTACATTTTTTGAATTTTGAAAATATTTTTTTCGTTTTTTATCACTTTGCTGCTTATACCTTCAGATTAAGGCCGTGTGGTACATTTAAAAAAGCACCATTAAACCCATTATATTATCTATCTTCTAGATCCTTCAACCACCATGAAGGTGGTCTTGTTAGTGGGTGTGTTAAGCGCCCTGATAGGCTGGTCCACCGCCATGCTACTGGACCCGGAAAGGGTAGCAGCCCGGCTCAGAATCGAGGCTGAAGCCGAGAACGACCGACTGATAAGGACGGGAAGGAGTCGGCGCCAGTTGGGACAGCCAAAGGAGGTCACCATCCAAGTGAGTGTTGCGATGTTATCGTATTACACGAGTTACCACCACCTTATCTATGTTACAACCCCTTATCTGATCCCTGTGGCATAAATAAAAAACAAATTTAGGTAACGGCGCCGCTCTTTTCCAGCCGGCTGTTCGACTACGGCGATGAAGCCGGAGATCAAGAACTGCCAGTTGCTCCAGACAGTACTAAGAAGCTCCAACTGTCAAAACCCATTTCGTTTTACGGCAAACAGTACCATGCCGTACACATTGGCAGTAATGGCGCCATCACATTCGATAACGCAATCAAAACACACAGAGCTAACATCCTGCCAAGTAATTATGTCCTAATTGCACCATTCTGGAACAAGAACACCCTTAAGAACGGTGGTCACGTTTATTACCGTGAGATCACGTCTGGCCGAGTTCTGGAGCGCGGCCAAAGCGAGATCCGTTATCAGTACGACAAAAGTGTCAAGGTGTTGTCCTGCGTGTTGGTGACTTGGGAGAAGATGCAGCCGACTGGCTCTAACCCATTACCTGATGAGAACACCAACACCTTCCAGGCCGCCATCTTCGTCACTGACAGTGGCACCTTCGCCAACTTCATTTACAACAACATCGGATGGACACAAGGTGCCGAGGTAAGTCGGCTTCTTTTGTTACGTAATCGAGGAAACCGGTTTGTCAAAAGAAACAAAAGGATCACACTAATGAATGGGATGAATAACTTAATCGAACGGGTTTCTTTCAGGCTGGATTCAACGGAGGTCAAGACTCCAAGTTCTACGCTCTCCCCACTTCTGGCACTGGCAACATCATGTACTTGGAAGAGTACGGTAACACCGGCATCCCCGGAGAATGGATGTTCGAGTTGGGAGATGACCGTATTGTCAGATGCAAGGCCGGCCTCAAGGGTGACACTTGTGATGAAGGTAAAGTTTGAAGCATGTTCGTTACCCTATTTTACATGTTTTATCAAATTTTTTTCAAAAAGCATAACATACGAGATACTACAGTTCTTACAGTCGATAGCTATTAAACATTGTTTTCCTTCAGAATGTGCCCTCGGAGAATGGGGAATTGACTGTGTTGGATGTTGTCATTGTACTGGCAACTCAACTTGTGACAAACTCAATGGAGCCTGTCCCAACAACCAATGTTCTGAATGCTTTTCGGGATTTGCTTGTCAAACCAGTAAGTCATCCAGTGTTTTGCCGGTCCGGTCCGGATTTTCAAAAATTGCAAAATTGAAAATAACTTTTTAGCTTATGGTTTGAATTTTAAAAAAATAAATAACTTTTGTGAAGGCCCGTCTTTGGCTATCAAGTTATCACCGAAATGGACCACCCGGACCGGCAAGACCGATTCGGTCCGGCCGGTCCAAATGTTTAGCGAGGAACTTGTATGAGACGGACCTTCACAAGTTATTTTTTCTTTAAAAGTTCAAATTATAAGCTCAAAAGTTGTTTTCAATTTTGTAATTTTTGAAAATCCGGACCGGACCCGGTCCGGCAAAACACTGATCATCCCCTTGATTTACAGTAAAGTCTATCGCAAATAGTGTTTTCAATGCCAATTTAAACAGTTTTTTCTTCAGAATCCGCCAAATGTTCGATGGATTCCCCCAGAAAGTGTGCTCGCAACGCCGTCTCAACTACAGAATACGACCGTTGCGGAGAGCCGCTTCAGCTGTGCAAATGTATCGAAGGCTACGAAGGTGATGGCTACAGATCGTGCATTGACATCGACGAGTGTAGCTCCAAGAATGTGTGTCACGCTGACGCCTCTTGCACCAACACTCCCGGCCGATACTTCTGTCAATGCAAGCCTGGGTTCAGTGGCGACGGAGTGATGGAATGCATGGCATCTGATTCATTCCTCTTTCCCACGAATGGAGAAAGTCTCCCACCGTCACAGAACGCCAAGGTTACAGTCCAGCTACAGAAACCGGTCCGTTTGTTCGGCTTGGAGACAAACCAATTAACGGTATGTTCATTGACTAAACATGGTCACTTAAATTAAGAAGCTTAAGACTCATAATTATAAGAAACCATAAACTAATACATACTAAACGTATAGTAAATGTCATTTTCAGATCTCTGCCAATGGACTGATCACTGTAGATGACTCAGTCAACATCCTACCAGGTGACAGTCTCGATGACATGAATGTAGTAGGTATTGCTCCTTTCTTCGCCCTAATCGACCTGTCGAAGGGTGGAGAAGTGAAGGTGAAGGAAAGCTCAGAAGACAGCGTTCTGGCACGTGCTACACACATCGTCAACGAAAACGGAGAATCAGGTGGATTCATTGCCGACAGTGTGATCATCATCTCCTTCATCAACGTGACCACCTCCAACACGAGAACGGCCAACACCTACCAGACCGTTCTGATCAGTGGACGTGATTCCTCCAAGAAGCTGGAAACCTTCGTGGAATTCCTCTACAAAGACCTCACTTGGACTCCACACGCTGAAGCCGGCATCATGACTTCAGACAAGTCGAATTCGATTCAACTCCCAGGCTCAGGAACTGAAGGAATGGAGCAGCTCAGTCAGTTGAGTAACGTCCGTCAACCAGGAGTCTGGCTGTATCGTGTAGACCGTGATGTCATCCACCAATGCATGAAGAATGACCTACAACCACCATACTGTGACGCTGAATCTCCTCCACTGATCAAGAAGCCTCAGTCCAGTGAAGTCGCTGAAGTCAGAGAAACCACAACAGAAGCCGCCAGAATCCCTACAGAACCCATAATCGAGGCTGACGATGATGGCTTTGAAGAGCCTATCACACTGCCACCTCCAGTTCTGGTCACCGAAGAGCCTTCAACTCATCGTGTCCAACCAGCCTTCGTCACAGCAGAAACCAGAAGACCTCAGATCTCGCTTCGAGTTCAGAACACTCCAGAATTCGAACGCCCATCTCCACAACCAACCGTCAGCACCACACATCGACCGATTGTGGAGTTTGACAGCAAAGAGATCGCCGCTCTGCCTCCAGATGTCTTCGAGAATCCTCTGGCACCATTCATCACGGTAGTCCCAGAGTTGTTCACGGAGAAAGTCAAGAACGACAGAGACGGATCAGCTCAAATCGGCAAGATCCAGGTGATTCAACCAGAACTGATCAGACCTTCACTCTCTGCCAAGACTCCAACTTCTCCAGAAGTCAGCACTTCTGTCATCGAAATCACTCCAGAGGTAATCAAGCCTTCAGAGTCCTTCCATCAGAGCCGAGAAGAAGTTGAAGTCAGTACAGAGATACCGACAACTGCTTCTACCCCTGAATCAACCACCACAACCACCGCTGAAGCTACTACCACAACTTTCGAGACCACAATAGCTACGGAATCATCTCCTAAGCCCAAGAGCGTAATTAAGGTACAAGACGAAGTCCCGACTTCAACTACCAATAACCTTTTCGTATTCACTTCAACTAAATCGGTAAGATTAATTTAAAATTACGAAAATTGAAGTTTAAACCTCTTGGTGTAATGTATTTAATACCACTGTAACACACCATTTTAGCCACCGAAGAAGATCCTGTCGTCCAAACCGAAGATCGTGACAGGCCCTCCTCACAACGACCACACAGAAGTCGACAGTTCAGTCGAACAAAACAGAGTGCTCGAGGCCGAAATGGCTGGCAGCCGGCTCGCGGTTGTCATTCCAGTGACAATCGTTGCTGTATGGGTTGTCATCTTGATTGTGATCGCATTCGTGTTGTGTTGCCAGAGAAGGTAGGGTAATTTGTTCACTTATCCATCACTACATGACTTAAAACAACATTATCTTAACTTTGATACGCCATTAACTAAATCTTTTGAAAATCAGGAAACTTTTTAGGCGGACGCATCACACTCTACGTACTGTGTACGGTCCTCCATACCACATTCGACCGGTCGGTACCTACACGATGAGAGGAGACCCAGCCCTCAAACACTATGAAGGTATCTACGAGGAAAACATCGAGAAGAGTCGAGGCTTCCCAGTGGATCTAGGTCCCTACCAAACGGTTCGTCATTCCACCGCCTCCAGCACTGCATAAACACAGTTGTACCACAATGACACTTCGTACTATCTTACACATGGTACCACGAATCATTGCCATTCACAATATCCCCTTCTTTATCTCACTCACTGTCACCCTCACATCCACAACATTAAATTATTCTTGTTACAGGGCGGCCGCATGTCTCTGTACGGCTCGTACTGGAACTTGTCGAACACTTCGAGAACTGGAATCGACCGTCTTCAACAGATGGGTTAACTAATGTTGTTGCCTATCAGAAGCCTAAATGAATGTATCTTCACATTAGTACTTAAACCAACCTGATTTTAGGCCCGTCTCCCTATTAGTTTAGCAAATCCATGGCGCTGTTGGAACGTTTTGTTTATATTATACTTGTTCTTCCGCTCATTCCATTTTCATACCTTATCATTGTTCTTTTTTATCTTTCGGCAAACAAACCCGGGTTTTCACACAAAGAATGCCAATTACAAAGGTGCAAACATGCTGCACATAATAAAACTATATGTTGTACATGTTAATTTTGTATTATAGATGATAACATGTCTAAATAAAACGTTACATTTACTGTCTATCAAATTGTTCACTACATAAAACAAAGTCATCCTATCAAGCGGTTTCCGCTTCTTCTTGTGGTGGTTCTTGGCCGTCGACTGGCTCCTCTGTGATCTCCAACTCAGGCTGAACGTTGCCGTTTTGCTTCTGAAAAGATAACATAATATTATACTGAAAGGAAGTAATAATGAAAGCGTAAAAACAAATATTTTTAAAAAACATTAAAAATGAAGAATTTTATAAATTTTGACGAAAAATTGTTTTGCGGTTTCAACATCAGTTGTTGCGAAGTGTCACAACTAATTATCCGTTTTTCGGGGCAATTTCTTGTTTTTACCGGTTTTGGGGCGAGACTTGGATCAAACTCTTCTGTGGGTAGTTGAAGAGGAATAACTGCTACTGGAGGTTTAGCAGCGTCGCCTTCTGCTTTCACTTGTTCTTGGTATCTGAAGGGTTCGAGGTTCTTCCTCAGCTGTTCCAATTCCTCAATTTCGCGTTTGCCCCATTCGGCTGGTGGTCGTCCACTGCCATGGGCAATGCTGGGTGGCAACTTGACTGCTGGCTGAAAAGGTAAAGTTTTTTTTTTCATTTATTATCTACTTTATCTAAATATAGTTTTAAAAAATAATAACAACAACATAACCTTCTCATTGTCAACTTACGTTTTCAAATAACTCCCTTTTGTCTCCATAGGAACGTCGATCAACTTGGCGATCGAACTTGGAGGAGATGGTTTTCTTGGCCTGAAACACGTGTGTGACATGATTCAGTTGAGATCACAATGTTATTTATAAGGTAATGCTTTTGTTTACTATAAGATAATGTTTATTACCGGTCTTCTGCTGTTGCTCTCCTCTTCAGTCGGTTCAACACCTTCCTTGAGTGCTTTCTGGCGGGCTACTTGTTTTTCACGTTCGAACAGCTCTTTCAAGTCGTAGTCTTGTCGTGTTTGACGTTGCTCGAGATCATATTTTTCTGCCTCAATTTTGACAATCTTGGCGTGAAGTCGCTTGATCTTCTCTTTGATGTCGTTGGGCAAACAGTTACTCACATCTTCTGGCTTGTTGATTACAGCCAGGAAGTTTCTCTGTAATATAATATAGTTCAAGCTCACATGAGTACATCTGATCGTCTGATTGAAAATATTTTATTATTGAATATCAGCCGGAAAAATAAAATTTTTGGTTGATATTTGTCCGGCCAAGAAATTGCAATTTTATTTTTTCTCACAACATCCGATTTAGTTATCAGGTATCTTATATACAATAACACAGTTTTGTTTATATTAAGGTAAATAGGCTTCAGATAAATTCAATACCATAATATTTGTGTGAAACTAACCTTTTGTTCTTCTTTCTGTTCTTTGCTGAGCCCATATTTCTTCTTTTTCTCGTCATTGGCAGCTAGACTAGACATTCCACCTTTGCTGACCACAAAGTTGGGACCCTCTCCTTCTGGGATCTCAGCCATTCCAAGGGCCCCAGCCATCATCAGGTTCTTTCTCATCTTCTCTTCTTGTCTTCTGGCTCTGTCGGCTTCCATTTTCACTCGTCGTTCCTCCTCTTCCTTTCGTCGACGTTCTTCATCTTGACGTCGGCGTTCGGCAAACTCTCGCTCTTCAATCTCTCGCTGTTGTCGCCGTTCGATCTGACGTTCTTTCAGGACTTTGAGCTCTTCTTCTATTTGTTGGAGCTCTGCTTTTCTTCTGGATTCAGAATCTAACATCTTCAAGGCTTGTTCTTCTTCGTGTCGCTTTTTGGCCGCCAGCATGGCTTGTTCAGCTTCCGTCATGGACTCTGGGTCTGGTTCGGCGACTGGTGGTGGGACACGAGATGGCCTTACATGTTATAAGTTTTTGCAAATGTTATTCATACTTACCTTCTTTCTTCCTGGGGCGCTTCTCCGTCTTCTTCACCTTCAACCCCATCTTCTTCTTCTTTTGGAGCACTAAAGGATTTAGTCTTTGTGCACAAGACCACATACATAACCGTTTACGATGACTTTGTTTGACTACGTTAGACAGACGAAGAAGAATTAAAATAAAATAATATAAGACACATACAACCGATGAATAGATATATGGCACAATAGGGTTACCCATACTTACTCTGCGCTTTCACCGTCTTCCGCTCCTCCATTCTCTACAGCATCACCTTCTGGAGCTGGAGGTTCTTCAGGCTTGGCCGGAGGTGGAGCAGCCTCGCTCTCTGGCTCTTCTTCTTCCTCCTCCTCCTCGAGCTCTTCACCGCTTCTGAAAATAAAAGTTTTAAAATTGCAATTAATGATAATATAATGTTCACAATTAACAGCAATCAAACAGAATTAAGCTTTACCTAGCACGTCTCCAGCTCGGCACGAACTTTCTTTTTGGCTTTTTGGATGGTCGGAACACTGGCATTTTATGTTGGTTTACCTTCCGTAGAGTGATTCCGAAGGGATTCAAGATGGCTACGTGATGTTCTGAAGTCGTCGACCGTAGCAGTTCGAGGGAATTGTGAATCTGAAGCTGATCGTGCCATTCGTCCAAGAACTGTTCTAATTCTGTTTTTTCGGCTTCTGGGATCGGCCATTGATCAGGCAGCTTTCTAGAGATGAACTTTGCCATCGGCGGTGGTTTGGGACCGGTTAGCAAATGACATTGGACACAGTTGAAGCAGAAGATTCTCTTGTAGATGGCTTCGAGTACAGGAATATGAAGTCGACGTCTGAAGGCGTCAATCAGCTTCGCTTCCCACGGTTCGATCTGTGTAGGATGTCGAGATTCTACGACGATAGGTTTGTTTTCTGGAGCTTTGGGTTCTTCTCGTTTCTTTGAGATTCCAGCCAGCTTCTTCTTGTCGTCAGTCTTTTTATCCTCTCTATTACGCAAACCAGTCACTTTCTGGGCTTTCTGGTTGCGTTTGGTTTTGATGTTGAAGTCTTTTCTGGCTTGGTTTAGCAGCTCGGGCTTGGTTGGTTTGGCATTATTTTGTTTTGCCACTCTTTTCAACGCCCCACGCACATCTTGAATCTCTCGTACGTACTGTTGCTTTTTCTTCAAATGGTCTTGAATTGATTTGACAGAATGTTCGCCTGTTTTGACTTGAGCTAATGGCTTAGAATCCTTTTTTTTCTTCTTGATCTCGGATTCAGTCCTCCACGTGGGATTTAGAATCTCACAGAAGGCGGACTGTTTTCTCTCTGAGCAAGGCTGGACTGTATTGGTGGTTTCTTTTAAGTCGTTGTTACTAGTTAACCTCAAGTGGATTCTGAGACATTTCTCTTTTGATGGAGCCGAGAAGCTTTCTTTGATTTCATAGAAGCTACAGTGTTGGACCGAAATTGAAGCCGATTGGGGTTTTTCTGGCTTGACTCTGAAGTCAGCGGCGGTAGAACTTTGAGACACCATTTCTCTGTTAAACTTCAGTTTTGGCACGTTCAGTTTCTTTGACTTGTTGTCGTCGTTTTTGGCTTCTTCAGGAATCTGGAGTCTGCCAACTTTTCGTTTGGTTTCAGCTTCTAATTCCGGCTCTGTTTGTTGCCTTTGCAGTTTTCCTGGTAGTTTACGTTGCTTCGAATGATCTTTTGGAATGTATTCTGGAACATTTAAGCTGGTTTGCTTCTTCAAGCCTTCTGACGGACGAGGTTTGACTCTGAAGGTGATGCTTTTAGCGAACTGGTCCTTAAGAGTTATTGAAGTTTCTTTTGATTCTACTTTCGGTTCTTCTTTGTTGTTCACTTTTTTGTCGTTTAGTGGCATTTTACTATGTAAGTTATACGTTGTTTGTTTGAGTCTTGAGGGTATCTTCATAATAACGTGTTTTGCCTCAGCATTTACAGTCAGGTTGACGGTGACAGCTCTAGGTTTGCCATTTGTTGCTGGTTTCTTAAGGTTTTCGATGGCTGTCGTCAGGTCTAAGCTCTTCTGTTTTTTCAAGTCTCTGACTGTTTTTGTAATCTTTTTGTCGTTTACTGTAGTTGTCTCGACTACAGATTTGGAATCAGGTTTTGTCTCTTCTTTCTTTGGCAGTGAACATCGTAACTCGACAGTAGTCGGATCTACTTTGTTATATTTTACATCCGAACTTTGAGTTTTTGGTAAGACGGCTGTCAATTGAACATGTTCTTGACGCTTCTTTTCATTCAAACGTTTCTTAACGGCCTTAGGCTTGACTTTTTCTGGTTCGATTACTTTTTCTTCATGATGCACTTCTATTTCATCCAAATGCTCTACAAATGAAGCCTCGACTTCTTCGAATGTGGCAATCAGAACACAGAATATGACATCTTCGAACTCTGATTCTTTCGTGAATTCACAGGGTTCTGCGTTTGTTTCAACTGACGTGAACCGTGTAGGAGTAGCTGTGGATGATCTTCTGGCTAGTACTCGAATTGGAGTTAACCGTTTTGGTTCTTCTGGCGTAGGAAAAGAGTCAAGTGAGAGGCCAGAATCGCTGTCACTTGACGTACTCCGTAAAGGGGTGCTGTCTCTCTCAGTGCTCCACTCGTACTTTTTCAGAAATCTGGATTCATCGTCGGCCTGTTTGCCTCTGTTCTTTAATAGTTCGTCCACCGTATTGTGGGCAGCTAGTAGTCGTTGTAGATAAGCTTGTTGTAACTGTTGAGCTTGATTGGAAGGGGGTTCTTTTATCCGAATAACTTCTTTTTCTGGACTTCTACTAGGCAGTCGTTCTTGGCCGTTCTCTCTAGTGGGGCTTTCTCTAGGTGGACCGCCGAGGATAGCCCATTGCTGAGCTCTTTGGTCTTCTTCTTGGGCTTCTTTTCTTCTCTTTAGGTAGTTAGATGCCCATGAATCTTTGACTGAAGGTACTGCCGTAGTGGGGTCATCTTGTGGCTTTACTTGGCTTTGTCCCACTGTGCCTCTGATGTCGTTAGAAGAGTTTCTCTTACTGAAGTATCTTTCAGCTGGAGATGGCTTGGGTGCTTTTAATGGAGTGGGTTCAGCATATTGCGGCATCCCATACGGTTGCATTCCGTACGCCTGTTGTTGCATACCGTATGGTTGTGGCTGCATACCGTAGGGTTGCTGCGGCATTCCATATGGTTGGGGTGCAATTCCATAAGGTTGACGACTTCCAGATGGTTGTGCCATTATCTGGGGTGGTTGGTAGGGGTTGTTACCGTACGCTTGGGAAGGCCCTGCTCCATTGTACAGTCCAAACTGTGTGTTTGAGTCTGATCGCCTAAGTGGGCGTGATGGTTCTGGAGCTCGTAACGGAGAACTGAATCTTTGTGAAGGCCCTGGTGCCGAGGATAGTAACCCGAAAGAAGAAGTGGATGGTGACATGTTGAGGGTAGAACCGTACGCTGCTTTAGAAGGTGTGTAGCTGGAGGATTGTGCGAAGGAGGAGCCGGTGCGATAGCGCGAGGAGTTTGAGTAAGAGGGGTACATGATTAATAAAATAAGGAAGGGAAAGTGCAAAACAAACGGAAAGACTAAGCTCTACTTACAGAAGTTCGTCTTCAGACATGAATAGGGAAATCAGGGGAGAGAATGAAAGAAAATAATGTGGTTTGAGGATTCAACGGTTCGAAATTTGACAAAAACTTGAAAAAGACAGCTGTCGCCGAAACGGGACACCGGTAGAGGTAGTTACCCCTGGACAAACTACCTGAAACGATTTGTGTTTAAAACGGACATGGCCACAGTGACAGGCACGATATAACGGCATGAGCAGCTGTTGGTTTATGGTTATTGTTAATGACTTACGCTTCTGATACCGAAAGAAAGTTATCGATAACGCCCAACACAATATGTATGACAGTTTCAAACAGTTTACAAAATTTAAAAATTACAATTGTCAAATTCCGGGTTTAAGGTGCGGGGCGAGATCGAAAACACTCGAGAGTGCAATTCGAGAAAGAAACGGCTGTTTGAAAGCCTAGGCTGAGGTACGAACACCTGAGGGAAGGGTCGAAACACCTCCTTCTCTTAACAACTGCAGTTTGTCTTCTCCGCTCTTGGGAAAACAACTTCTGACCGGCAGTCAACGTAGTGGACATCAGTTTTTTGTTTTCAGATTAATATATATAAAAAGTGGCCTACTTTTAGAAAACTCCACTTGGCATAAGTTTTTAAATTGATGGCACAGGTTAGGTCTTTACTTCAAAACGTGATTGGTTTGTTTCAGTTTCTATTAAAATTTATTTTAGTAACTGCTGATTGAATACTATGGTAAATGTACGTAATCGTATAAAATAGTAGGTGTTTTTGAGTAATATGGCACCGAACTATTTTTAGGGCAAGTTAAGTTTGATTGATGTTAATTAATTGGCCGTTTATTCGACAAACATTATTTAGTAATACTTGACCTTAGACCCCGAAATTGGTGAAAAACAAGATTTATTCAAGAAATCAAAATGAATGCTCCAGGGTACCACTTACTGAAATTTAAATTATTACTTTAAATACAAGAATAATATCGGTTATTGAATATATTTGACGCAGTAAAGAAACCAATGTTATACCTCAGCTGGCGCCGGGGCAGCTTCGTTTTCTGCTGGAATCTGGAGTGGGATAACTGGGACTGGAGGTCGGGCAGCCTCTCCTTCGGCCTTGACCTGCTCTTGATATCTGAAGGGCTCGAGGTTCTTTCTGAGTTGTTCCAGTTCTTCCAAGTTTTTGCGGCCCCATTCTGGTGGGGGACGGCCGCTGCCGTGAACAATGGCAGGGTCTGGTCTTTGGAAGGGCTAAAATTTTAGGTATTAGTTGATCTGCTTATCAATAACGATTCTGAAAACTTCATTTTTGGCAAAAAATTGAAATTGATAAGATTAAAAGCTTACGTTTTCGAACAGCTCACGACGGTCGCCGTAGCCACGGTGGTCGACGCGACGGTCATATTTGGAAGCGACGTTGATCTTTGGTGGTCTGATTCCGCTGCTTTCTCCTTCTTCTGGGTCTACGCCCATGGCGATCGCCTTCTTACGTGCAGCTTGACTGGTACGCTCGTTAAGTTCTTTCAACTGTAAAGCATAATGTTAAGGTTAGAGTAATATTTGCACAATTGTCAACTGGCAGGTCATTAGTAAAGTTTCAAATTAGCAGTTATCGTGTTAACACTTACGTCGTAGTCTTGACGTTCATGACGCTTCTCGAGATCGTATTTGTCAGATTCCAGCTTCAGGATACGAGAGTGGAGTTGCTTGATCTTGGCCTTCAAGTCATTTGGCAACAAGTTAGAGACGTCTTGCTTGCTGTTCTGAAGAGAAGCGATGTAGTTACGCTTGGCTTCTTGGTGTTGTTCTTCAGTTCTTTCCTTCTTGCGACCAACATCTGCAATAACCAGTTGTACTTGTTATCTTTTGTTAATAACTAGAACCTTATAAAGATTGTTAGAAACTTTATAAGGTTCTGCAACGTTCAGTTTTTGGAACTTCTGTTCAACTTTGTACAGTATATATAATAATTTTGCGAAACTTACTGGCTGATGTGTTGACGAAAGCTCCAGCCATTACTTGTTGACGCTTCAGCTTTTCTTCCTCCTTGGCACGCTTCTGGGCCTCGATCTTGGCCTTGCGGGCTTCTTCTTCTTCACGACGACGTTGTTCGTCCTTGCGGCGACGTTCGGCCATCTCAGCTTCTTCGACTTCACGTTGCTTCTTTCTCTCGATCTGACGTTCCTTCAGGGCACGGAGCTCTTCATCGACGGTAGCCAACTCTTGCTTTCTTCTGGCTTCAACTTCTTGACTGCGAGCGGCTTCTTCTTCTTCGTGGCGCTTCTTAGCGGCCAACATGGCTTGCTCGGCTTCGGTCAAGGTGGTTGGGTCCACTTCCTTCTCTGGTGGTGGTGGAGGTCTGGCTTTGCGTTCTTCTGGAGCTGGAGCATCTTCTACTGGAGCCTCTTCTTCTTCAACTTCGGCTTCAGCGGTCTCGGCTTCGGCGGCGGGTTCGGCTGGAGCGGCAGATTCCTCGGCCGCTACCTCCTCCTCTTCCTCCTCGATTATCTCCTCCTCACTGCTGCAAAACAAGGTTACTGTAACTGGTAACGAACGCTTTATTTTGACATGGATTAATAAGTTTATAAAAAGATATTAAAGAGATGACGAATGTAAACAAATATAATTTTATGGCCGTGACAACCCGACAACTTACTATTCCTCCTCGTCAGACATGGCTTCGGATCAAAAACTGAAATGAAAGAATAAAATGGCAGAGTTGGGGTGAGTGGGATGGCCGAATCTCGAGCCTCTATCTCTATTAATCTCGTTCTGGATTTCTTTTCCTCTTGATTCGATTGATCTGGAAGCCATTCTATCTCGTCCTATTAAACAATTGTTCCTACACCGCCCCCGCCGGGTCGGTGCCACAAATACCACTCCGACTTTTGAAAGTGGTGATAAACAAAGAAACAACATAAAGATGTAGACATCTGAACATAAACTTAAGGAATCTGAAAATATTTTGTGAAATTATTTAAAAATCGAAAAATAATTATGCAGATTGTGATTCTAAAATGTCTGTCGTAATGACACTTTTAATTTGATAAATATGGTCATCATGACACCCTCACCCAACTCAAGATAATTAACAAAACGCCAAAAATAAATAATCGCGGAAATAAAAGTGACAGTCTTTGTTTTATTTTCCAAGGTTATTATCGCTGATATGGGTATGTTTCTCTGCTGTAATCAGATCTTTTTTAGTTTTTCTTTCGCTTCTTCGCTCATCTTCAAATGTATTCAAACAAGAGATTTCTGACCTTAACCATGTAGCCAGGAATCTGATTTCTTTAAAATCTTCTGGGAATGACACGTTTTTGTAAGTTTTTTTTATTTTTTTTGAAAACTGAATTTTTGAACCTCAATTTTTTTAATTGTCCATAAAATCTTTAAACTCGATATTGAACATGCCAGACATAGATTAAAACAGCTTAAGTAAACATTATAACCTTGTAGAGCGAACTGTCTGTTACCAGGCAGGATGAGTCTAAAGGCCATATACGGTGGGCAGTATGTAGCACTACAGCTGAGGGCAGCTTGTATGACGGTGTCTGAAGGGATGCTACCACACTCTACTCACAGTTACTTTTTACAGAGCGGTAAGAACTTTGAGTCAATTTAAATTGAGGTTTAGGCACGGTGGAGGCACCAATCACAGTCAACATCAAAAAGGTTCGAGATGGCCAGAGCTTCTGTAATCGCTACATGGAAACCGTGCAGAAGGGTACGGTAGTTTATATCTTTTTATCGAGTAATATGTTATTACAGTAACATTTTTGTATGTAGCTTAACGTGTTTTAGGCCGATCGGAAGAGAGGTTGCTGTGTTCTGGAGTGACATCCTTTCATGTAGATGAACCTCCAGCAGTTCGTCATCTGAAGCCTTTCAAACCGTACGTTGACCCCGAATCCCTCTTGACCTGGGAAGATGGCATCAAAGACGGTCTGAACGATCCAAACATTACCCCCTTCCATCGAAAACTGCTGGAATGGAAGCTTAAGAACACTCCTAGATTATTCAGCAGGATATTTGATGTAAGTTGTCCTTTCTATGTCATACTTAATATTGTACTATTAAAAGCAAATTAAAAAATAAAATCTTCACGCTTTTCACTTCAGATACGAACAACTGATGTGCCACGATGGACGATGCGTACAAGACATCCTCCTGACGTAGCACCTGAGCACCAAGGCTTCATAAAGTGTAACTTTTCCCCTGGAGATGGCCAAGTAGATCACAGAGTAATGGCATCTTTCATGGGAGATATTGTTATGATGGAAGGAGCCTTGGTCGACCACATTAACCATGGCTTCTTCCCCACAATGTTGTTCTCGATCGATCAGTCAGTTTACTTCCATACCGACATTAATGTCAATGAGTGGATGTTCTTTGACGTTCAAAGCCCTGTTGCTGGTAAGAAATACTACTTACAACTTGTTTACATGTTAGGAGGGTTTTCGCTTACTAGGGAATTGCACCAAATATCCCTCGGCTTTTTGAACGAGACCTATATAGGATGAAAGGGCATAAAAAGTTACCGGGAAAACTGTTTTCAAAAACTGCTAAATGGACTTGGCTAGCGAGTTACAGTATGCTCTATATCCTTATATGTTTAAAGGGTATAGCTTTAAAGTTCAAAAAATGATAGTTTTTGATAATTATTTTTTTCTAAAAGTGTTTAAAAACAAAAAATAACACTTAAAAAATATTTTTTTAATCAAAATATTGTTTGGCTAGCCAAAAATTCCTGTCAGTATGGCTGGGCGCCAAAATGAAACCGACGGGATTCGAACTTCCCCCTTCTGCACCCCCGACTAACTTGTTAACCACTCGACCACAATGGATTGAAGTTTCCATCCATTCGTTTTGCTCTAGACGAATGAGAAGGAACAAATGGAAAACCTTATGTAAATCCTTTAATCGCTAATATCTCGCTAGCCGAATCTATTTAGCAGTTTTTGAAAACAGCTTTCCCGGTAACTTTTTATGCTCTTTCATCCTATATAGGTCTCGTTTGAAAAGCCGAGGGATATTTGGTGCAATTCCCTAGTTAGTCTACAATAATAATAGAAACAACTATATAAGATTGCAACTGACTAAACTCATACGTAATAATAACCACCATGTGATATATTATTGTAGACAATGGACGAATCTTCGCCGAATGCAAAGTCTGGTCTCTGGACGGTCGACTTCTGATGACGAATACTCAAGAAGGCCTTGTACGATACGACCAAAGCCACCCGAATAGTCAAGCGCCGACGTAACCCCACTTTGTAACGTATCGTATGTTGTGCTATGTTCGAGGAAATTGAAAGTAAAACTGTAATTGCTTCTCCGATTTCTCTTTTGACCTCAATAATAAACCTCAAATCTTATACCTACGAGTTTATAATGCCGCCGGTTGCCGTTCCTGTTTCTAGAATACTATCGACCGGTCGGCGGAAACCCTTTTTTATATATTTGCTGTTATACCTGGTATATTGTCATGGCCTTGCTTTGGCTGCCAAATGGAAGATTCGGTTAAACGACAAACCACAAAGTAATTGTGCCGTTTTAAATTTAAATTCTTTAAAATAAGTTAAAAGTAACATGACATATTACATACTGTAATAGTACATATTGTAGTATAGTATTTTAGTGACAACTCCCCCAATTCAGCTAATCGACTGGAGGGAATGGAAACAGATGAAGAACTACAACCAAGACAACGGGTTAATGTTGATAGTAGACACTCAAGGTGACTCTGTCGAAGTTCCTGAAGCAGAAGCCATCGAAGAAACTCTGCATACTGAACTACATGTTGATACATCAACAACAACTGCGACCACTACAGAAGCAACTACTACCACAACGACCACTACTACGGCCATGCCCACAACAGAACCGACTAGTACTACTGAGCACAGCAAGTCTGATATGACTGTAGACTTCAAAAACCTGCCAGTAATGCTGAATCTCTTGAAACAGTTGTCCATCATACCGGCAGTAGTAAAGACCTTTGCTGGAACACCCTCAGGGCCTTCACCATTGTTCGCCTCGTCATCGGATGTCAGATATTCTCCTACCGACTCCAGGTTACACTCAAGTGCTTTAGATCAAACTCATGGGTATGCAGCCAAGTCGCCCTCGTTTGTTCAAGCTCCACCGTTCGAGGCGGAAGCTCCAGTAAATCTGATCGGTCGACGAGACAAGATACCCAACATGGCTGCACCTATAGTACCAGTCAATAGTCAGCCCAAGTACCACCCGATCGAGCAGAGGATGAGCAAACTCAACATATACGGGATCGACTCCTTCCCTACTACAGAATCCAAGGCTTACGAAGCACCAACCACCATTTCATACCCAGTTGAAGATAACAGAAGAGCAGCAGAAGATAACTACGACAGAGTAAGGACAGAAGACCCCCATAATAAAGTCAGAACAAGTGGAGAAGGCCAAGGAAGACGACAGAAACCCATGTTCGACATATCCAACCTGACCATCGCCGAAGTGGAACAATTGGAGAACATCCACCGTAAGCTGTTCAAGACAGAAGAAGGTAACTTGAAGATACACTCTCTCCCTCCCTCCCCTTCCACTACCGCTCCCGACCCGCCCATCTACATCTTCGACAAGCCCAAGAACCCTGACAAAGCAGACAACCACAACATGGGAGACGTGGCATCTTCTCTATCACCGAGTGAACTGAACGAGCTCATGATGATAAAGGACCTGCCTGACCTTGAGGATCTCACCAAAGGGATGGACCTCAGTCTACTCAGCAAGCCCGGAGGGTTCGCGCAGCTGAAGCAGCAGTTCATAGAGAGAATTGTAAACCGGTCCATCCAGCTACGAAGATACGCCTATAAGATGAACTAGGATGTCTTGTAGGTATCCAACAGACAAGTTTGTACAGTTTATTCCCTAATCTGGTCCAGCCTCATCCTGAGAGCGGTTTCTGCATCAACGATCTTAATCCGCTTCCGGGTTACTGTAACTATCTGGTTGCGCAACCGGTTGAAGAACTTTGGTTTGCCGGCTTTGGCCTTGATCAGATGCTCTCGATTGGCATCGTTGACTATAATATCGACCACTTTGTTTATTTGGTCGACTTCTCTTATCCTCCACAGGTCATCCTGACAGATTTTCTATAATAAAGTATATTTACTGCAACGAACAAAGACAAAAATAATTTTAAGATACCCTTTGACATGTACTCTCAATCACTTACCTCCTTTACCGAAATCGACTGGTCGTTGACATAAAATTTAACCAATTCGATAAACGTTAGACGTGTAATCTCATCCTCGACTAGATACTTTGTCAATTCGGCATAAATCGGTATGACCTCTGTAAGTAATATTGTTACAGTAAACTTAACTACTCTAACTTATGCTTTTTGCTTATACTATAAAAACAACATGATAAAACAAAATAAAAATTACAGTACCTTTTTTGGGTGGGAAAGTTCCTTCGAATTGTTGAATAATGACCGGAAACTCTTCCAATAACAACTTGACTTTGTCATTGACCTCGACGAACTTCAAGAATTCATCTACAAAGTCCTTCAAGCCTTTGTCATATAACATGTCAAAAGTGTGTGCCACACTGAGACCGACGTTGTTGATATAGTGTAGGTACAAAGGTTTGTTCAGGTTCAAGTCGATCTCGTACAGCCATTCTTTTTCGATCGCGATTCTGGGGATATTGGGCTCGGGAAGGAACCGGTAATCGTGGGATTCTCCTTTTTCTCGACTGGATACCGTCTTTCTGTAAAAATGCAACAAGATCTTTTTAAAAATTTGTTTAACCTTTAAATTATGATACCCTAGATAAAGTATTTAGAAGGATTTCAAAATAACAAAACAGAACCGTACCCATCGACAACACTTCTGGTTTCGGCTTCTACTGTCCCACCCTTCTTCAAAATGTTCTTCTGACGGTTTATTTCGTAGTCCAAAGCGATCCTGACATCATTGAAACTGTTTATGTTCTTGAGTTCAATTACATTTCCTTTAGCGTCTTCTGATGACACTGACACATTAGCATCTACTCTCAGTTCTCCTACTGAAAACGTGCCACAGTATAAAATGGCAATACTTAAACCAATTTTACATTTAATCTGGGTTAATTCTTGCGTTTTACTGTAATAACTCACAATGCATTAGACAGTCCGAAATTTCATTCTCCATCAGCGTCCACCTCAGATTCTCGACAAATGTAGACGCTTCCTTCGAACTGTTGAAGCAAGGATCGGTCACAATCTCAACCAGACCAACCCCAGCCCTATTCAAGTCCACAAGGTCTTGGTTCTTGTCGTGAATCAGCTTTCCACTGTCCATCTCCAGTTGGACCTGAATGATGTTGGCCCTTCTCTTATAATCGTCAGCTTCTCTGACATAGTAATCCAAGTACCCATTCTTGGCAATCGGAAGTTCATGTTGCGTTATCTGATAGCCAGTAGGCATATCAGGGTAGAAATAATGTTTTCGGTCAAATCGACATTCGTTGGCCACCGTCGCATTCAAAAGCCTGGAAGTTTTCAGAGCCAGCTGTCCGATTATACCGATATTACCCTTAACTAACCTCAATACACTTCTTATTCACAGTCGGGAGTGTCCCAGGAGTACCCAAGTCGAACAATGCCACATTCTGATTGCTTCCACTCGAATATTGTTTGGCTACTGAAGCAGCGCTGAACAGTTTTGACTGTGTTTTCAATTGAACGTGAATCTCTAGACCAATTTTAGCTGTAACATTGGCCGAATACCGTCTGATAGCTATTCGACCACATGCCATCTGTAAAATTATTCAAAAGCCAACGGTTATTTGTATTTCGATTTTACAATACTAATGGAGACGTCGATACCAACTAAAAGAAACTAAATTATTGCAACAAAATTATTTTATTATCAAAAGTTTAACACAACATATAATTAACTCTTCAAATACTTCTTAGCATCACTCCAGAACTGTCCTTCGACGTCTGACTTTCCTGATCCTGGAAACACGATATCTTCGTCTGACTTGGCCTTCTTCAAGGCGGCGTACAAATGAGAAAGTTTTTCGATAAATATTGGATCAATGTTCTCATTGTCATCTCCAGTTTCAAGATATTCATTCACAAATTCGTCTACCGTGCTTACGACGACGTCACTGACAGCTGGTCCAATCGATGAAACAGCACTAATCATGGAGTCCAAGAACACTGGCCTATATAAATAATATTAAACATGATAAAATCATAACTCAATCTATAAAAAAACGTCACTTACTGAATCACAGCGTCAACATTGGTCATTGTCTTGAAAGTGTCAAGCAGAGCAACTTCTTGTCTAGGATGATTCTTCAAGATTTCTGAGCCAGCGTCGGCCGCCGTTTTCCTAAGGAAATCAATGTCCGAACCAGAATCTTCAGCTGATTCTTGAATTATACGAAGGATGAAACCAAGAAGTTGAGGACCAAAGTTTTTCATCAATAGTGGTACCTGGAACAAGAGTTGTTAAAAAGTTTAACAACACGTCAACCTATACTGAATAAAAATTACGATCACGACTTACCTTTACAACCAAGATGTGCACCATCCTAATTGAATTCAACTTCAAAACAGGCGGACAATGATCAGCCAACAACCTTAACAACGTGCCCACTGCCAACGGGGCTACCGGTTTGAGAACTTCTGGAGGACTGACGTCCATCAACTCCGCTACCACCTTAATAGCCATATCACGTTGTTCCAACGTTCCGGAACGAGAAGCAACGCCAATGACATCAATGAATGGCTTCCACCCACCAGGTTGTGCCAATCCGCGAAACTCTAACTTTCTGCCTTCCTTTTCTGCCATTTTTAAGTACAAGGACAAGTCGTACGGTATATTTAATACATCTCGAGAACCCAAGTTTGCAACCAAAACTGCCAAAGTAGTCACTCCAGCCATGTTTATAGCCTTCTCAGTGGAAATATACATCCCCATAATACCATCGATAAATATCGCCATTACTTCGTCAAGGTAATCCACGTCTGTAGACTTGACCAGTTCCCCAAACAACTTAGCAGCCAATTCATTGTTCTCGATAACGTATTGACTCAAGAATTTGGAAACAGTTGTACTCGAAAACACAGAACGAGCACACTTCACAATTCGAGCACAATCGTTGAAGTACACCATCGGACTGTCATCTGAAGGCTCCTTCAACAACGAGGTCAAGATTTCCACCAAACTTCGTTCAATGGTATCAGAAGCTACTTCAGTTAACCTTGCCAGTACGTGAGCCCTCCTTGGGAACTTGAGTACTCGGTTCACCAAAGATGGCACAGTCAGAACACGACCTTTCCTGTTGGCTGAGAGGATAGCAACAATTCCATCTAAAACACCTTCGTTTTGTGTAGACGAGTATTCCTTGAACAAAGGCTCCACGATCTCCTCCATCGCCACAAGACCTGCCTTCTATAAAAGGTTTGATAAGCGACAAAACAGAAAACAAAAGTGTAGATTATATAAAGCAAAGTAACCCTACTTACGTTGTAGAAAGCAGCAAATGCATCAGCTCCAGATTGTCTAACTGAAGAATCGTTGTCCAACAAAGCGCTCTTGAATACGGTAATGATAGTCTTGGTGTGTTCTTCGACAGCCTCCGAGTTGGCACAGTTAATGATGATTGTGAGAGCATCCGCCGAACCTCTTCGCATAAAATCTTCAGTAGAGTCAAAACTCTTCTTGACTTCTTCGACCAGTAATTCCATTATACGATCACCCATTTTACGAACAACTTCTGACAAGCACTCTTGGCCCATCTGAAAGAGTTCATTAATAACCTTGAGTTCAAACTTACAATTCTTCTGTCCTCAGTGGAAGTAGCCAAACAGTAGACAATAAGAGAGTACAAAGCCGGAAGACTTTCTTTGACGGTCCTTGGAGTGTTAGGCACAACCAACTTCCATACATGAGATGCAGCTTGCCTAACTTGAACAGCACAATCGAATCTCGCAATGTACAGTGACACAATGATCTTATCTCTCGATTTCTGGCCGACGTACTTGACAATAGTTTTGTTAACCGATTCCATACCAAAGGTGTCGTCTTCTGTAGCCGTGTCTGACGTCATCTTACTGCTAATACCAGAAATGTTGAACAAGAAGTCTCCAATGAGAGTAACAGCGGCGTGTCTAATACGCCAATTTTCGTTCATAACTCCTTCGAGCAACGATGGTAACAAAAGCTTCTTAGCCTGTGAACAATAAGTCTTAATCAAGATCTGCCCAGCATGTAAAGCTGACTGTCTAAGATACTCGGTCTCATCTGACAGTGCAGAGAGAATAGATGGAATGACACGCTCGATGTACGGTACAAAGCTTTCGCCCATCGTCGATGGAAGATACGTGAACAACCTGATATAACCATCTCTCATAGAAGCTTCGTTGTTGACGTCTTCAGTAAATGTAATAGCATGATCCATGATAGTCTCCACACCGTTTCTGAAGGCAGGAATAACTTCAGCCAAACCTTGAGCAGCTCCAAGACGATCCACCATTGAAGATCGTGACATCATGTGCTCCTTCAACCACGGTAGCAGGTCTGTTGTGTAGCTTGTGAAGAGACCCGTAGTATTGTGTCTGACAACAGCACCAATAGCTTGAGCAGCCGCACTTCTGACTTCTGGCGCCGGGTCGAGAAGAGAGTGCTTTAAATTGGGAATAAGCATGTCCATATAAGGAGCAATATCCTGAAAATATTTAATTAACAAAATATAAAACTACATCAACACACCATAACCCATATATATTACCTTTTCATCAGCAATCGAGAATACATTCGTCACCACGTTAGCAGCCATCTTTCTTCCATCAGCTTCTCTGTCCAACAAAGCACGCTTCAGAATAGGCATCATCAAAGCCAGAGCCGGAGGATCGATGAAGTGAACAAACTTTGTGTTCACGATTGTTTGAAGAGCTCGAGTAGTTTCTTTGGCTGGCTCCACAAATGCCGCAATCATGTGAGAACTAATAGCCAAGATTTCAGGATTCGTGATGACGGTAGAAATCTGTCTCAATGCAGCTACTCCAGATCCCCTGACTTTGGCGTGAGAATCCGTCATCAATGTAGCCAGACGCGGAACAACTTTTGGTAGAGATTCAGAGAGTTGCCGAGGAGCACAGTTAGAGATGCTTCCCAAGAAGTCAGCACTAGCACACTTCGTTCTCCATGCTTCTTGTTCTAAACCACTCAAAATCTGAGGTAAGAATACCTTGACTCCAGCAGGAGTTACATTAGCCATCATGGTAGCACCAGCTTCACGAGCAGCAGACCTAACAGCTTCAGATGAATCTCCAAACGCCCCAATCAAGAAATTCAAAATCTTCGCAATGTAAGGATCAAACGACTTTCCATGGACACTAAAAGAATAATAGAATTAATAGTCTTTATATTGACTTACAAGCTCATTGTCATGAACAATATGCATGCAGATTCCCTGATGTTAGACTCCTTTGCTTCAAACATCTCCGAGATCACTTCAATGAACCGAACGTTCTTTAGGCTCACTAAACCCAGTCCTTTCGTCAACCCAGCTACTCCAAATGCAAAGCCACACCGTTCAGCAAAGTTCTTGGTCTGTGGTAGGTATCGTAACAGCCGATTCAGTTCTTCGATTGCCTCGTCTCCCATTGGTTTGGCTAAAGGAGGCAAACAAAGAGATACAGACTCTTGTACTTGTCTAGATGGAGTAGACAAAGCTTCAACCAGCTTCCTGAAGATGGCTGTCATTTTAGGTGAACATGGCTCAAGGTATCTCGCCAACGTTCCCATCAAACAAATCAACCCATTTCTCAGAACGTCTCCCTCTTCTGTATCAGGAACACCAGCCAACAACTTCTCCAACAAAGGCAACACAAAATCAACCTTCTTCGCACCATTCTGAACATATATCATTAAATAATTGTCATATTCACATGAAAATAAAATAAATTGTATAAACTTACATGTGAAATAATAACAGCCGCTGACTCGTACATCATTTTTCGCACAATTGGATGTCTGTCAGATACTCCAGCAGGTACCAAGAACGAGAACATCTCGTCGAACAGTTTAAAGTCATAAGCTTCGCTTTCAGCAATGTCCTTGAACAACAAGGCCAAGCCTCGTCGACTGTCCCATGGATCTTTCTCAGGTTGAAGCACACGTCCAACATTGTCATGAACAGCAGGTATTATCTAAACAAGTAATACACAAAGTAACAAACTCACATCCAGTAACTCATTGTATAACTGACTACACAATTTGATGCTCTTCGATGAAAACACTTCCTTGATGCATTCAGACGCTCCCTGTTGCCAAAATTCAGATGGATATTTTAGTTCATTAACCAAGAAATCGTGATGCTAAAACGTATAAAATAAGAATGTACTCTGTGATTATGAAGATTATGTCTTCCAAACCTACATTTTGATCAACACTAAGGTCCAATTCTTGACACAAGTATTGCATGACCTCAGCCGTTGCAGTGTGAGTTTCCTTTGAAGATACCAAAAGAGGCACGATATGTTCAAAATCGTCCTTTTCTATAAAGTTTACGACCAGTATGTTCTTCCCCACTACCAATAACAAGGCAATGTGTTCCCGAACGTATTCATTCAAGTTTCTCAAATGTCCAATCAAGGCAGATACAAACTTGGCCGTGTCAATTGAATCCAAACTGTTTTCGTTCAGCTCCTTTAAACCGTCTTTCAGAAGGTTGAATATATCCGAAAAGTAATCCCGAGTTTTGACGTTGGTCAACACATCCAGCAGAAGCTTATTAAGTACATTCAAAGGCGCCCATGACCTTTCTTCCACCTAAAAACAATAACTGCCACAAGATTAGCACTTACAGTCAAGAAGTCAATCGAAAATGCAGATTTGAGAAACGCGGTAACTTCTCTTCGCAGCCTGTCGTCTATCTTATCATCGGTGAAAACTCGTTCAAACACTGGCAACACAAAAGCCAACTTTCCGAGAGTCAACCCTTCATTAAAGAAATCTTCATTGTCTTCTTCTTCTTGTAGCTGCTCCAACGCATCGATCGCATTTTCGTCATCCAAGAAGTTGTTCATCATGCACAACATACTCATCGAACTCGTCATTTTAGATATTTGTTCAATAAAAGGCTCCCATTTCCATTCCGCAACTGATGAAACCGCCTTCACACATCTCAATACCGATGACAAAGCACGTTCCTCTAAAAGCAAAATATATGTATGTTTATAATAACTTACTCAAATAGTCAGTAGCTTTTCCAAAGAAGACGTCCGCATACGTCGAAATACATTTAAACGCCAACTTGTTAACCAAGTAAGAGCGTTGTGTTGAGACCGCAACATCATGGTAAAGATCGTAATTCCTCAAAGCTCCGTTAGGATCAGCTCTAACGGCACATGGTAGAAGATCAGCAAACTCTTTGTAAGCATCAAAAGCAGATTTCAATTCTTTTCTGATACCCTAAAAAGTGTTTGTTTATTAAAAAGATATAACACTTACCGATTCCTTCAACAGTTCTTTTTGAACAGCTTGCTTCTGACGATCTGTCAACTTTCCTTCTCGTTTATTCTTCTCGGCCAACTCCTTCCTCAGCTCTATCTCGGCCAACTGGTCCTTGAACTTGTAAGCTTTGTTCTCCTTCTTCAAGTTCTGTTTACCGTCCAAAGCAGCATCAGAATACCTGAATAATTAAATTAAGATTTAGTTTTAAAAAAACTCACTCATCAATTACAGCAGTGTTATAGAGAGTGCCTTCTGGAGTAAAGAATACAGCAGCTTCGTTTTCGGTAGCTTCATAAAGTTGCTTGTATTCCAACTTCTTGCTTAAAGCAACACACTTTGACCAGATAAAGTTCCTGAACAAAGAGTTGTCAGTCTCCAATCCCATAACAAATTCAATTGTCCGTTGGCGACAGTCCAAGTTTGGGTATTTTATTAGCAGTGCCAGTTTTTCCTCAAACAAGTTAAACAAAACTTTGTGTAACTCTCCGCCTCCAACAGCCTTTTCGGAAAATTCAGCCAACGTACGATCATTACGATGGCAGTTGTTGTTGAGGTACAAGAGTAATTGATAGACAAACTTCGCTTTAACCTCGTCACAAGATTCTTTATTCAAAACACTGTCCACAGTAGTGGCTACGGCATGGTAGAACTTACTGCCCTTCAACAAATCCTCCTTTTCCCAGTTGTTGTTAGGGTAGTGAACATCCAATACTCTTGCCAATGTCTAAAAACAATTAAATCCAAAAACCAACTGTTTACCTCAAGCAACACCAACTCGTTTAACTCATCCGTCAGTACTTCAAGTACCCACGAGACTTTATCCAAAGACACGGCATCAAACAATTCATTAGCATTGACTGGAGCAAAGCGTTTATGTTTCCAATGTAACAACAAATATGTAAAACTTAGAAGAGCTGAACGTTCAGGAAGCTTCTGAGTCTTCAACAGGGCCAAACATTTGAAGAACCCATTTACAAACTTAGTACTGTCTTTTAAACCTAAACTTAAACATCAGTTAAAAATAACTTACTACAAGAACAATTTAATTATTTAATAAACATACAGAAAGAGCTCAAATGATGTAGGAAACGCTCCTTCAAATACACATCGTGCTGTAACACCTTCAAGAACAAGTCATCCAATTTTGCACCTTCTTGATACTTTGAGAACAAAAGCAAAGTCGTATTAAACACAAAGTCGGCAGAAATAGCAGGAGAACTCAATGTTTTGTTAATATTTTCTGTTAACAAAGCTTGAACAAAATCTCCTTCAGGTATCTTAACCGTAGTCAAAATCTTTGCTCCCACAGCAGCAGCTTGGCCATTAGGCAATGGTGCTTTAACCAGTTTCGAAGAAATGCCAATGGCCTTCTGATTAGATTCTGGTGAATAAACCAAAGCAGCACTCAACACCTGCATGTAAGTATGAAGAACGTTGTCAGCTTCTAAAAAAAATTTAAATTAAGTAGACAACTTACTGCAAGAAGCAATCTCTTTCTCCAAGAACCCAATCAAAAAGTTAGCAAACTCGGTCGACTGGTCGCTTTTCAGTAACCCAGAGTTAAGAACATCCCTTAAACAAGTCATATATTCCATTCGAGTTTTTGTTTTGCTCTGCTTTCCTGAAATCATGTCACTTTTAAATACAAATCTTCAACCTTTAACTTAAAGGTTTAATCGAAAAATCTTACCAAAGAACTTTTCAAAGGCATTATTTCTCTTCTTTGGATCCATATATAACCACAGCCGCGAAGTTATCACAGCTGTGTCTTCGTGCATCTTATCACTGGATGATGATGTAACATCTAAAACAATGAACTCATTAACCACCAGTTAAACATACCTGACAACAATTCTCCAGCAAAGGTAGCAAACTCTTGGTTCAACGGAAAATCGTGAGTTACAATAACTCTGAATAAAGGTACAGCCACCTCAGCCATCCTCAAGAACAACTTCTTCAATGAACTTTGAAGTTCAGCTCCAAAACTAGTGTATTCCAAAACAGAAAACGCTTCAAAACCATTCGCTAATTCGTACAGTCTGTCTCCCGGATAAATTTTAGCTTGCAAGAACACGACAGTAAAAGACTTGAACCATAGTTTGGAAACGTTTTGTAAAACTTCAGGCAAATTTTTGTCAGAAGTCTTAAGTGTAGCCACCAGAAGCGAAGAACATGCATAAATCTTCCACGAGTCTTTTTCACCGTATAGTTTAGAATCTAAGAGGCGTAAAATGGTGTCAATTGAGTACTTGTTGACCAGCTTTGCGACTGACGCAACAACAGAACTATGAAACCTATGTGGCAACCAGTATGTTATCGTAGAGATTGTAACCAGCTAAAAGTTGGTTTTATTATCAATTTAAAATAACTTACAGCACTGTACAATATTTCGTCGTCTAGATTCACAGCCTTCGGCTTTTCCAAAAGAGCTCTGACAATCCATCGAATCACCGTATACTCGTTTCGACCGTTCACATAACTAAAAGACGTTAAATCTAAACACTAAGGCTTACTTGTTATACACCGGAACCGAAGGTATCCCCTTCAAAAAACTTTTTAAAAAATAAGAAAGTCCATTGTTGAAATCCTTGCTTAACACCGCTGATAAGATCCTAGAGCCATAATCATTTAACACAGTCTTCGAATTTGCAACGTTAGAAGCCACAACAAACGCTAGCCCCTTAATAATCGGTTCTGGAACTTCTAAAACATGAATATCAAAAAATAAAAAGCTTTTACAAACCTGGGCACTTTTTCAAAGCATCTACAACTTCAGCCGCAGTCTCCGACTTGATAATTTCTCCATTGACGGCTTCCTCAAGCTTTCTAGCAGCTGTCTTCAAAGCATCCTAAACCAAAAACTAAAAACAAGAGCAGAACTTACCAATCCCACATTTCCGTTCACCTTCACTTCCGCTTCACTCATTACATCAACAATTTACACTAATATTACGCGAATTTAAAATTACGGTGTATATTTTCCTAAGAAATTAACTTCAACTATTGATTTACTTTTAAGACGAAGTGTCAAAGGTATAATTTGCGTATTTTTTCCGTTAGAATATCGTAAGTGGTCTCTGCCATAGTGCGGAATGAAGGTTGTATGGCTTTTGGTATTTGTGTTTTGTTATGTTGGGGCTGATGATCCAGTAAACGATTTCTCGGAGTTTGACAACGTCGAAGGTGTAGACGTGTTGAAGGAAACTGAAGTAAAGGGTGAGTTTGGAACCCAACCTCCGTCTCAGCAGCAGGTCAGTTTTTTCTTTTAGTATAATCAATGCTTTTGTTTACAATTTTAAACTGTTTAACATTGTTTTGTTTTAGGAAGTCTTTGAGGAAGAAGAGTTTATTGTTGCGGAAGAAGATGAGTTTGAAGTTCCCAACCAAGTGTCCAGGGAAGATGGCCAACCTGTTCAACCTGAGATTAAAATTAGCCCGTTGACCTTTGCCGATGTAAGTTATATTTTCCTTTATGTTTTAATGTTTTAGATTCCGTCTCATTTCCGCTCAAATTGGTCTTCGTATCAAGTTGAAGCTGTGGCATTGGTGATTGTTGTTATCTACTCAGTCAACTTCTTGCTGGGAAAGGCCAAGAATCAGAGTCTGGCAAATAAATGGTACAGCAACAGTGCTGTCGTGTTGAGAGAACAGTTTGCTTTAGTTGGTGATGATGGCACTTCTCAAGAACCGCAAGGAGGAAATCTGATAAAAGATACCGAGTACAACTACTCTATCTGGTGCTCTGGTCGGGTCGGAGTTAAAGGAATGCTCAGCCAGTTGAAGCTGGTTAAAAGACAAGATTTGGTTGGTTTGGCCTTGAACACTTTTAACCCTAAATCCGACCGTGTTGTACATAGAATCGATTTGGATCCTCAGGAAATGGACACACTTGTGTTTGCTGTTGGTCTGCGGAAGTCGGTTGTCAAGTTGGCAAAAGAGTACCCGGATCTGGTTAGTTTTAAATTATGTAGTTTGATTGTGTTTTCAGTATTAACTTTTCACCATTTATTACACAAATGCATTGATAAAATGCGATGTTTTAGACCACTTTTGCGAGTGAAAAGAAGTCGCAAGTCCCATTACCAAACAACTTTGCCGTATTTGCCGAGATCTCAGAGACTATTCTAACTGTGATTGATAACACTTTTCAACAATTTTTGAAACGTTACGAAAATTTTGTCGACTACTTCCATTTCTCTGACCAATATGTTGGTCCAAAGTCGCAAGAGTAAGAAAATTAAGACAATTGCTTTTAAGATAATGTTTTAACGTTTTAGATATTATTATTTAAATATTGGTCTATAATATACCTTTTAGTGATTCTTTATCAAGATTCCATGACAATTCTCCTACGTTGGTGTTCAGCTACATTGTGGATGACAATACTGATGAAGACACCAACAGAATTTTGTTACAGTTTACGTTTGTCATGGTAGACAAAATCAGAAAACTCAAGCTGAGCCGAGAAGGTAAAGCCAAGGCTGACAAAAACAGGAAAGCTGTTGAAGAAGCATATCTCAAAAACACTCATCATCAACGACAGGAAGCTGCTCAAGCAAGAAGAGAAGAAAGAAGCAGAGAACGAAAACAGAAGTTGTTGGAGGAAGAAGACCCGGAGAAGCAGAGGAAACTACAGAAATTGGAAGACAAGAAAAGCAATAAGTTCAAAATGCCAAAGATGAAGCAACTACGAGTCAAGTAGATATACAGTCGATCAGTAGAAGGTCGTTTTCTTAAATCTCCAGTATTGTTGTCATCGTTTATTTTGTTAATTAATAAATATTTAAACAAACGCACTTTATCATTATACTTTCTATAGATAAAAAAAATATTTTTGCAACATAGCTGTATGAATTTCGTTTTCTAATGTCGCAATTTTTTGCGGAACGGGTTCTGAAGCGAAAGCAAGTAAAGCCAAGTGGTTTTTGGTTTTCAATCGGAAAAAATCGAAAACAATTTTTTGATTTATTAAATCTGTCAAATTTTACTTTGTAAAAAATACACGAGGAGCTATGGGGACGAATAAATTTACAGATTTAGCTAATTTATCTTTTTGGTTAAAACTGATAAACAAGCATTTAGGGTTAACATACATTTTTATTGTGTACGTGTATTGAAGACTTGTGAATAATATGTTTCTTTACAATTCGTTCAATTTCAGGCTCAGAGATGTCAGGAGGAGGGAAAGACCGTATTGCGGTATTTCCGTCTCGTATGTAAGTTTTGTTTTATAATGAGCATTGTTATGTTGTAATTTAGGGCACAGACCTTGATGAAGACTCGGCTGAAGGGTGCACAAAAGGGTCACTCGTTGCTCAAAAAGAAGGCTGATGCTTTAAACATGAGATTCAGAGAAATCTTGAAGAAGATTGTGGAGGTAAGCGTCACTTTATTGATAGATATTGTTGTTTAGAACAAAGTATTGATGGGTGATGTTATGAAAGAAGCTGCGTTTTCTTTGGCTGAAGCCAAGTTTACTGCTGGTGATTTTTCACACACAGTTATTCAAAACGTGTCACAAGCACAATATCGCGTGCGTATGAAGAAGGAAAATGTTGTCGGTAAGTTTTATAAATTTATGACATTCGGTAATATTAAAAGTCAGCTTTGGAATTTTATCTTAGCACTTTGTTTCTATGGTGTTTTAATGTTATATTTTAGGTGTGTTTTTGCCTGTATTTGAAAGCTATTCGGACGGTCCAGACGCTTATGATTTGACTGGTTTGGGAAAAGGAGGATCTAACATCAGCAAGCTGAAGAAAAACTACAGTAAAGCAGTAGAACTACTGGTGGAATTGGCTACCTTGCAAACGTGTTTTATTACGTTAGATGAAGCTATTAAAACAACGAACAGGCGTGTCAATGCTATTGAGCACGGTAAATATTTTTTTGAATAATCGATAATTTTTGTTAATTTTAGTAATTATTCCCAAGATCGAAAACACGTTGACTTATATCGTTACTGAGCTTGATGAAATGGAAAGAGAAGAGTTCTTCAGGTAAAAAAAAATTTATATGTTCAGGTCAAGTAATTTTTCACATACTACTTTTGTTGTTTTAGGATGAAGAAGATCCAAGCCAAGAAGAAAAGAGACCGTGCCGATGCCGATGACCGCGCAATTAAGGCGCCAGAAGACGGCAAAGCTCCGAAGAACCTTCTGGACAATGACGACGACTTACCAGTTTTGTTCACTTAAATTGGGACGGCTTATAACTAAATTTCTATTATAGTGTGATAATATCATTTTCTAAACTAATTTGTATTATTTGTGCTTGAATCCAGATAGTTTTGTATAAGTAAACATGTACGTACTGCCCTCAGTGTTTTTGTTTGTATTGGTCAAATGAACTGCCAATTGCATCCTTCTTTTAAGGGCGTGTGTATGATGCCGGCAGTGCGGTTGGAGCATATACGTGCACACTCCCGCCCTCGCACTCACCCTTTTTGTGGTTTTCAGCGGAATGAATTGAAAGCTGAACCATGTCGTTTCTGTTCGACAACTACAACATGTTGAGTGAGCAACAAAGTAGCAAGCTCTTCACATACTCATTGGGTCTATCGCAGGTGTTGGGAGTATGCGTTGTGATGACGGTCGTATTGTGGATGGGGGGCTACAATGAAGGTGGTTATTCTTGGGCAGCGGATCCAGAACGGCAGTTTCATTACCATCCGACATTCATGGCTATGGGACTTGTGTTTCTGTATGGAGAAGCCATCCTTGTGTATCGAGTTTTCAGGAAAGAAAGCAAAAGGTACATTGGTAATTAAAAAACTTTAATGTAACAGTCGTTTTAAGGTTCACGAAACTACTTCATTTGACACTTCACTCCCTAGTGTTCATATTCACTGTGATATCACTACGTGCTGTCTGGGATTCTCATGACTATCACAAAGACAGCCAAGGGAATTTGGCACCTATTCCCAATTTGTATTCTCTACATTCCTGGATTGGCCTTTCTTCTGTTATATTGTACTGTATCCAGTTTGTGCTTGGTTTCTCCGTATTCTTCTTCCCTGGTTTTGCAATGGAAGTTCGTCGTTTTATACTACCGTTTCATCAACTATTCGGATTACTAATATTTGTGGGTATTGGTGCTGTAGCCCTGTCTGGAATAAGTGAAAGAGCAGCCTGGAAACATACGTATGTTTAGACCATAATCTATACGTATTATCTTTAAGTTGTTGGACGAAAGATGGTGTGTTTTGTGGCCAGCAAGCAATGTCCAACTTTTTCGGCCTATTTGTTATTGGTTACGTCGCTACCGTAGTCTTCATCGTAGCAAATCCTAGATGGAAACGACAACCGCTACCAGAAGAGGAAATGCTGCAGCGATTGACTCCAGACTAAAATGACTTATAGTAAGCAGATAGGACGTCGTATGAACACCATGTGTCATAATCAGGCATCGATCAAAGACGAATATAATAATTTATTCCCGTAATTATACTAACTTGTGTACAAGGCATAATTTATATACAATGTGTAATAACATCAGATATTGAATTTAGTAGTATGTACATAAGAACAAATATTATTAATATTTACACGGACAACTTAAGTTGTCTTCAAGCTTGAGGAAGGTCAGTTGTACCAAGAACGTACTCTCTCATAAGGGGACTTAATGGCAGTTGATTCACTGTGCTTGGTGATATATCAAAGTTGGCACGAATGTATATCCTGCACTTTTCGAGCAGTTTTCGTGGCTGTCTAGAACGTAAAATTTACCAATTTGCAAAAGAACAAAGTACTCACGTTTTAAGTTCGTGGATTTGCTCCCTTGAAATGTATATTGAGTTCTCGGGCTCAATAAGCTCCACATTCTCAACGTTGGCTGCCATTTTTAATAAATAGAAGTTCAAGTTGTCAGCATACTTTGGCCATGGCTTCGCTGTAGGAACGGCCATGGACTTTACGTCTACAGATGCAGGAGAAATATTAAATTTTCCACCGTACGAAAACATTAACTTGACGATTTTGACCCAGTGTCTGTATCCGTGGTTGGTTTCTATTTCATATTTGTAGAGTCTCCGGAAAAATTCCTCTATTGGTGGTCGTACAAACACATTGTGTGGGTTGATTACTCCCATATTAACATCGGCTCCATTGTTTAAGAGTAATTCAATCATCTCCACTGTATCAACAGCTTCGATTCGGAAACAAACTGCCAAGTGTACCGCATTACCGTAGACCCCATCTGGAGTATGTAAATTAGCTCCGTAGTCAATTAGAAGCTGAACAATATCCAAGTTTCCCGACATAATTGCAAAATGAAGCACCGGCGGGAAACGTTGGGTGTTGTATTCTGATTCTGGTTTCAAGTTTTGCTTTGCTCCATTCTAAACATAAAAATCAGTCATCTATAAACAAAACAATGCCCACACTACGTATGTAAGTAATGATGATTGTCATAAATTTACCGTAAAATAATAATCAGGATTCTCCAATACTTACTTCCAATAGAAGGCGCACAGTATCAACATAACCGCTTCCTACTGCGTAATGTAACGCTGTCATGGGATACGATGACTTTGAGTTTAGTACGTTAACTTCCGCATTGTGATTTAGTAGAAGTTTCACCGATTCGAACGATGTTTCTCCACTTTCACAAGCCTTCATTAACGGTGTGACACCTTTCCGTGACCGTACATTTGGATCGGCTCCGTATTCGAGCTACAAAATTTTGTATGGTAATGGTTCGAAAACACCTACCAGTAATTTTATATATTTTATGTCTTTGGGGTCTACCAGGGTAATTTGAGGACCATCAAAGTACTTTGCATTTGGATCTGCACCCATTTCGAGCAAAAGTTTTGCACACTCATAATGCTTTTGATAAATGGCTAGTCTCAGCGGCTCGTCTGCACCATCTCGTATAGGGTAGGGCTGATCTTTACTTTCGAATGACAAGTACTTGTCAGGGTTTACCATGTGCTAGAATAAGAAATTGATTATAAATTTGAAACATGTATTGTTTTGTCATAAAAAGGCCCACCTCTAATAGCAATTTCAGCAATCGGAAGCTTCCTTTTTCTGCACATAAATGAAGCGCCGAATAGCCAACTTCATCTACTGCCTCTACTTTTGCCCCTCTTACAATAAGAAGCCTGGCAGCGTCAAAGTAGTTCTTATGGCAAGCATAGTGAAGAGGCGTTAGTCCCAATGTAACGACGCCATCAGCCTATTTCAAAATTACAGTAATTGCCACAATGATTCATACCTTTGCTCCAGATACCAACAGTAGGCGTAGGTCGTCAATAGGAGCATACGTGTTGATTTTATCAGCCAGAAGTCGCTGCAACTGCTTCTGGTTCTCTTCGTCGCCAAGGGTAGGGCTACCCGGAGGTGGTACCTCCTGGTCATACAAAAAACGCATCTCTTACAATCTGTGATCAGCTGAACAAAAACGAACGCGAGCTAACCGAGAGCCGGCTCTCGAACTGAGGGTCAGCTCTTGAATGAAGAACGGCTGAGAACAGGCTTATGACCTCGTGGCCAGTCTAAAAGGGCATAGCCTCGTATCAGAACGGACTACTTAGTACCATTTGGCGCTTTTCTTCAGCTGATCAACACACAGCTGGCTTTTGAACGTTAGCTAGTTCGCTGAGCGCGATCTCATAACAATTGGCCATTATCACGTGTCCTTTAACTGATCAAATAAATAACAATAACATATGATTTCACAACAACCGTGAGTTGGCCTCATGTTTAAGTGAGTTATAACAAAAAGCCTAAAGTATTTTACGAAGAATTAACATTATGCATAAATGTCGCGTAAATACATATAATACTTCAATATTTTAACCTTGGCTTTAAATTTACAATTAAAGCCATGCTGAAATTGTGATGAAAATTTATTTATAAACTGACAAATTATGCCGATAAAACGATTTTTCTCTCATAAAGGCGGTGTTGCAAACCTACAGTATTTATGAATTCTGTAACCATCCTCAAATCAAATAAAATTGTTTTTCAAAGTTCCGTAATTTATATTGGACCCACTTGTGCTTTGTGGTGCATTCCTTTTTTGTTTTTTCAACCGTCAGCGTGACGTAATTTATAGAATTTTGATTCCGACCTAATGTTTTTTCCTTCATTTATTTTTCAATTTTATGATAAGTGCAAAACAAAAAAATGTTTTAGTGTTAGCACGGTTTTTTGATAATTTTTTGCTTCTGTAAACTTTCATGATGTTTTTTCGCCATTATTAATTTCCTTTCCCATGCGCAAAACAGAAAAGTTGTTTTTTTGTGAAAAACAGATTATTTTAGCCGTACAAACCACCTCTTCCACGGCTTTGTAGCCAAAAGGAGGGAAAAGATTAGTGTTTATGTTAACTTGAACGGAAAACAAACGGAAAACCGGGTTTAACTGAATATCCTTCTTTAATTTGCCGCTCTTATCGTCGTTTCATAGGGTTTTAGGTATAATTTGGACTTTCCACATTATTTTCTTGTTTTCCGCTTTTTCGTTTCAACAAAACATTTTGTTTTCTCTTCTTTTCGTGAGTAACCTACAATCTTTTTCAGACTTTTAAATGTATTTTTGTTGAATGGAATCTGACGATAATCCTTACGAAAGACCGAATAACTCTGCTGCTTTCGATCCTGGAAGCCAGAACTTCGCTACACCTCAGAATGCAGTCTCTACTGAATCGTCCAACTCTATAACTGGCTCGGCATCTATCCAGGACGATCGTCAGAATGTATCAGATTCGAGTATTCAACAAAAAGGCGCTAAAAAAAGGAAGCAGGCCGAGCCCAAGAACGTTATACCTAAGAAGATTGATAGGAAAGTGGTGGATTATTTCAAATCCGAAAAGGTATGTTAATATGCTTTGATTATTTCGTTTTTAGAAGTCTTCGTCAGCTTCTTCCCAGAGAGACGAGCTATACAAAAGTGTATGTTTTTTTTCTACTTGGATTAATGTTCGTAATAATGTTTTAACAATTTTCATGACTTTATTTCAGAACATAACACCTAATAACCCCGTTATGCTTCCAAGTGATCTTGGTGAGGTTTGGCCAGAAACTTCCACTGCTGGAGAAGTGGAAAGGCCTGGTTATGATTACAGTTACACAGTCCAACGTTTATCGAAAGAATTGGAGATGACGTCTTTAGAGTTGGACAACCAGAAGAAGCGGATGGGTGAATATCGTGAAGTTATACGAGCTCTTCTAATCGAAAAGTCAAAGGCACAAAGGAAAGCAGCAAGGGAAAAAAATCTGGATAACCAGCTAAGGATTGGACAGTTTAAACCAGCCAGGATCGGGGAGCAATTTAGAGATCAGTGGAATGATGGGTATGCGATGGAGGAGATCATGAACAAGTTGGAACGGGTCAAAAAAGAAAAGGAGGAGATACACAATTCATTGTTGAGTTTAAAGAAGAAGAAAGGCGCTAAAGACAATAAAAAGTATGTTTTCTCACAGAATAACTTTATATTTTTTGGTTAATTTATATTTTCTTATCCTAAACACACCTTTAGAACACCCGGAGAGGCTGAAAACGGTAAAACTGACGATGGGTTTCTAAAACCGCCATCACCAAAGGAATTGAACTCCAGAGAAATTTATGAACAGGAGGAGATCTACCGTTTACGGAAGGAGCACCTTAAGAAAGAGGAAGCCGAGTTGTTATTGGAGAAGGACAAATTGGAGCGAGAAAGGAACTTGCATGTTAAGGAGAGCAAAAGAATACAGTACGAAGAACAATCCCGGTTCAAGGATCATATCTTGTTGAACGAACGTTACCTTCTCATGTCTTTGTTAGGAAAGGGTGGATTTAGGTAGGAAAAATTTACTTTTTTATGACGATTTATTTTAAATTCATTCAAAAAATTTCAGCGAAGTTTGGAAGGCCTACGATTTGGATAACAGTTTGTATGTAGCCTGCAAGATTCACCATGTCCACAAGGACTGGAAAGAAGACAAGAAAGCGAATTATGTTAAACATGCTATGAGGGAAAAGGATATTCACAAGTCCTTGAATCATGCAAGAATTGTGCGTTTGTTTGATCTGTTTACTATTGACAACGACTCGTTTTGCACTGTACTGGAATATTGTGATGGGAACGATTTGGACTTTTACTTAAAGCAACATAAACAGATTGGAGAGAAAGAGGCGCGGAGTATTATTATGCAGGTAAGCTTTATTTTTGTTTATCAAAATTTATCTGGACAACTGGTTGAAATTATTACTTTTTAGGTTGTGAGCGCTTTAAAGTACTTAAATGAGCGGAAGAGTCCAGTAATTCACTATGATTTGAAGCCGGCTAATATTTTGTTGCAATCTGGGACTGCTGGTGGAGAAATCAAAATCACAGATTTCGGACTTTCAAAGACGATGGAGAATTCTGATGACGGAGAAAGTATCGAATTAACTTCACAAGGTGCAGGCACCTATTGGTAAGTTGAAATTATTTTTTTAAGTTCTTATATTTAGGTATCTACCTCCTGAAACATTCCAATCCTACGGCCATGGGATTGCTCCAAAGATCAGTTCAAAAGTTGACGTCTGGAGCGTTGGAGTCATTTTCTACCAATGTTTGTATGGCAAACGAGTAAGTTACCTTTATACAAAAATAATTTTGCTGTACCAGCGGATAATGCCGTATATTTTTCAAAATTGTTTGATTGTGTTCTGCTGGATGCCGCATTTCTTACATTTTTACAGCCCTTTGGCCACGAAAGAACCCAACAACAGATTCTTCAAGAAAAGACCATTCTCAACGCCTGCGAAGTAGCTTTTCCTCAGAATCCCAAAATCTCCCCTGGTGCTCAAGACTTTATCCGTTGTTGTCTACAGTATAACAAGGACGACCGGTCGGACGTCTTCCAACTTTCCAAACACGAATACCTCAGGGCTCGGACGAGCCGAATCTCGGACAAACCATAACATTATTTTACATTTTTCTCATGGCTGCAATCAAATTGCACTGTTAACACCGTTGAATTTTCTTGTTGACGCGATCTCTAACATTTATACGGTTTATTTATTGGTTGTTATTGTTTGATTTATTTGCACCCGATGTTTAATAAATATTTATGGCCATTTATTATTACTCCTTGTACTTGCAAAGCTGAATAAGATCATTAGATTGTAAGATGTTCGTGATGTAGACTGCTCTGAAGTCAAGAGACTTTAAACAGGCTAGTTCTGCCCTGGTTAATCCACCAATGACGAACAAAGCTGTTCTCCTCGATAACGTACTCACAGATGAAAACTCGTCAGGGTCGATGCAATCGAATGACTTCCAATTGTCTCGGATTCCTTTCTCTAGCACTCTGACCAGCAATGGCACATATCCCGAATAGAAGTCGGCTTTCTTATCCTGAAAGATGTATAAAGCCACCATTTATACGCGTACCTGTTCTGGATCTGCCAACACTCGCAGTTTCTTAAGTTCGTTCGGGATCCAATTGTACTTGGATGTTTTGTCATTGACATCGCTAACTAATCCGACCGTCTCTAGATTCAAACACCACTTTATGGCTTCAATTCCGTATGACTAAAGATATTAAAATACACAATAGTAGCCTTACCTGCACTGCCATCCGTTGATACTCATTCCATACTCTTGGCTGCAGACCACTGTTTACTAAAGATTGAATGACTACTAGCATCATCGTCTTTAAACCATCCTCAGAATCACCACCTTTGACTAGCATCATCTCAATCACAGGTGATACAGTACTCGCACTAACTTCGCCATGTAACACAGCTGCAACAGCAACATTACATTATATTATTATAAGAAGTCTAATATTGGAAACTGAATTCAAACCTACATCTTTCAAACTCGTATAATGTTTTCTGACTAAACTGGGCATTTCTACAGTAGGCGATAGTAAGCAGATGTAAAATCTCTGCTACCTTCTCCTTCTTCTGTGACAGTTGTTGTAGCGCAGGCATGTAATTCTTGAAATCATTGACGGAATTTAACTGGCTGTGCGTCTTAAATAAGAAATACTCAAAATCAGCAGCTACTTACATTTTCAATTACAGAAAGTTCCTTAAACACGCTTCTGATCTTTGCAACTGCATCTTTTAACGACAAGTGTATAACATCCTTATATGCGTCGTTACCCAGCTTTATTTCTACTCCATCTTTATTTGTTGCATTTGTCACGAATTCTTTCCGTTCCAACACTTCTTTAGGCACTTTTATGTTATCTAAAAGTTAAAATTATATATTACTGTAATCCGCTCACTTTTGACGTCAATGCCGAACATATCGTCCATGATGCCAGAAAACGAGTACTGACTTAAGAACGGAGTCAGTGGATCAACTTCCCTGTCCACTACAATCAATTCGTCGAACAAAACACCAGTCTTTCCCTACAACAACATAAATGTATACTTTTTAAGAAAAACAAGTAAAAAAGAAAACATACCGTATCATTCTTAATGCTTTTGACAATCTTCTCAGCCCATCGTCCTTTGTATCGTACAACTGGTATTTTGCCCAGTTCACCAAAACCTCCAGAACACAGTCGTATCAAATCAAAGTCATCCTGCAAAAACAACTTGATAGGGTCGATGGAAAAGGTATTCAACACAAAATCTCCAAAACTCGGCGCCCAAAAGAACGGCCATAACTTGAAAGTCTTGATCTTCCGTTCTGCATTGCTGTCCCCCATGATAATGTCAGTTAACTGTGTCGACGGTTTAGTAACAACTCGAACATGGTACGACACTCCTGTTTTCTTGACCAGCAAGATCCCTTTCAGCACAGTGAAGACCTGTTTCGTCGGTGCTACAACAAAAACCACATTGTTAGTGCCTTCCACATTTAAAACGCTTCCTTTATCGAAATTGGACGGCATCAAAATGTGGCGCGATACATGGTGTTCTGAGAATTCAGTAGCTCCGATCAACTGAAACAGTTATACTACGCTACTAATAAAGAAGTTAAAGCTTTGAGCAACGTTAAGATACATAAAGTTATGAAGTTATAATTGTAAAAATAATACCAAGTCAATCTTCCGGAGAACATCATTCTGCCACACGATCGTCTTCTTTCCCTCCAGTTGGTCAATGTCCAAGAATACCTGGCTTTTCAAATTTTGTTTCAGTTTTTCTGCCACTTCATTAGACATCCTGCATTTTTGTTAATCATAATTCAAAGTCGACAAAAATAATAATTGTTACAAACACATCATCACTATCAGAATTTGTTTTTCTATACTATTTATTCAATATAAACTATTCGATAACTATGCAATATTAAACAATGTAAAGTTCCATAACTTAGTTGTCATTTGGCACAAAAGATACGTTACGTAGTCGCTCAGCCGCCTAAATTAATAAAATACTGTTACAAAAACACTTGCCGTCTCCACTTTAAAGTCTCTTTGGACCTCAGATAGCAATTCATAGCCAGCCATGAACTTCTTCCGACCTCTAACAAGCAACGGAGGATAAAAGTTAACATGAAACTGCCAAAAAGACAAGTCCTTTTCTAAATAACTACCAACTGGTGCATTCCTTATACCCATTACATACGGTGAATAACCCTAAAATCAATAACCAAGAATGCATAAAGATGTTTTAAAAATTGTATAAAAGAAATGTTACCTCAAAAAACGTATCGTACTTTCCAGCTACCAATTGAACAGCTTTCATAAAGTCGGCCTGCTCTTCCTGCAAAAATTTTGCCATATAGTAAAACAAACTGTTATACTTACCTTACTGAACTGATCTATTCGTTGTACCTCTCGTTTCGCTATTATCATCAACTCATAGGGCCAGTAAGCCCAGTAGGGTACTAAAACGACAAAATGCTCGAGGTCTGCCACAACACGTGCTTCTTTATTAAGCTCTTGCTTAACGTAATCCGGAAGCATAGAAGACCCGTGTTTCTTGTAGTATACCTAAACATCAATTTATATGGTACAGCCAGGGACGTCGTTTGGGGGGAGGGGGGGGGGTACCCCCTCCCCCCAGAGCCAATCCGAAAAAAAATCCACAGGGGACCTGTGGACGAAAAAATTTTTTTCGACCTCCCCCTCCCCCAGAGAAAATCCGTAGCGACGTCCCTGGGTACAGCATACCTACTTCTTGATTATGCAGCGTCTTTTCGATAGTAGTCGGCAGAAACGTTGTTGACCAAATCTGGCAATGTGGATGTGGCAGTGAAGAACCGACTTCAATACCCCGGTTTTCAAATATCTAAAAGACCTTGAATAATTTGATATTACCTACCTGTATGTATTCGAACTTCGTCTTATTTTTTGCAAAAAACTGAAGCCAACCGTCATACACCTTCTCCAATTCGTGTTGTTTCATTTGTGCAAAGTGTTTGTAGAAGTCAGGAGAGTAACACATTACATGACTTACACCTCCAAGTTAAAGATAACGTTAACAAAAGCATTAAACTAATATAAACAGTAATATAATGATATTCAAACTATAACACACTAAAACCTACCTCGACAACTCTGTGTTATAAACAAATCGTCTTCGTTGATCTCGTCTTTATTCTCCACATTTACGTTATCAAAAACCGGGAAGTCATTAGGGAAAATATAAGTGAATTCGTAGTTTGGACAGACGGATCCGTCTGATTTGACAGCCCCTGGAGCCAACGGATCTTGCTTTCGCTTCTTTTCCAACTCATCCAAATTTACATTATCCATCCCGCCTTTCCATGGTCGGTTTAATCGACCATCAGGTGAATTTATTACCCAATCTCCAGTCAAAATGTTCTTTACACGACGAGCAGACATCTATAATATATATATATAACGTTAAACTGACATTTTAGCAAATACATAATGTATTCACGTGATTGGAAAGTTACAAGTATCCAATTCTGGAGCAAAAATCAAAAAAATTACTAATGAGTAGAAAAAATTGGGCGCACGTCGCCTTATAAATAAAGCTTTGAGATTTAACGAAATTTCAAATTGACGTTGAAATATATCTTTTCAATATGACTGCATTAGCAATATGCAACATTAAAATTCCGCATCTTTTTTGGTGAAAAAATTACATTGCAATTTTTCATATATAATAGTAAACGAAATAACATTTTTCGTTTATGAACGGGAGGTACGCAGTATCTTCAAAAAATAAGAGAGCCAACTCGAAGTGCAGTTAATGATAGACATGAGAAACGGGCCGGGCCTAACTTTTAGGCCCGGCCCGTTTTTGATTTTGGTCAGGCCCGGCCCGGCCCGATCAGAAAATTTCTAGGCCCGGCCCGGCCCGTTTTAAAAAATTTTAAAAATTTTGAAACTTAAAAACTAAACGGAAAATTGGCTTTAAATTGTTTTTTTAGATCATTTATGGATCATAGAACCCAATAAAGTCTAAAAACATAAACGGGATTGAAATAAAAAATTTTAAAAAATTTAGAAATTTTTTTTTCCGGCCCGATCTAAATTTTGCTCAAGGCCGGCCCGTTTCTCATGTCTAGTTAATGACCGAAAATTATTTTTTTTAAATGCTCAATAATAGAACATAATATCCTTAAAAAATTACTACAAAAAAATGGAATAAAAATATTTATTCATACAAAAAATAAATGTACATATCACTTGTGGCCCTGAAGAGGGCCGTTTGGGATCAAATGATTTGGTGTAGAAGCGGCTTCAGAAGACCAGCTTACTTGGACGAGGTGTATTTGGTTACAGCCTTTGTGCCTTCGGACACAGCGTGCTTTGCCAACTCTCCAGGAAGGATCAGACGAACCGAAGTTTGGATTTCGCGGGATGAGATGGTGGAGCGCTTGTTGTACTGGGCGAGCCTTGAAGCTTCAGCGGCGATGCGTTCGAAGACGTCGTTGACGAAGGAGTTCATGATGCTCATGGCTTTGGAGGAGATTCCAGTGTCGGGGTGGACCTGCTTGAGAACACGGTAGATGTAGACAGAGTAGGTCTCCTTTCTCGCCTTTCTTCTTTTCCTACCATCGGTCTTCGAGACTTTGGTGGACTTCACAGCCTTCTTCGCACCTTTGCCGGTTGGTTTCGGAACCATCGTTGATCTCAATTGGTCGTGTAAAAACACAATGAACCCTCCAATTCCGAACCGTTCTTTATATACCCCTCGCTGAGCGCCAGTTGCAAAGGGGCGGAGCTTACGAACGACAGACGGAAAAGCTCACTAGAATGACCAAACGTTTTGGCGCGGAAAACAACGAAAAGGACAATCGTTTAGGCGCCATATTTTTTGAAGAGACTGTCAAAATATGAAACTTTTCATTAAGGTGTTATAGTATTTCCAAGGTGTTGTCAATTTACAATATTGCTTAAAAATTAACGAAGACACTACACATACATAAAAAAACCCATGATTTCAATTTTTTACGCACAACGTGCAAGGAATGACGATATTTTGGTATCTTTTGCTCGTTTTTTTCTTTACGACTGTAAAACACAAGTGATGTTGCCACTTATCTATTTATAACAGTTTAGTTCGACTGACCATACCCTTCCGTTTATCACAAGCTTCAAATACAAAAAGTAATGTTGAAAAAGTAAATCGCAATTTGACAGGGACACAACTCTACAAATTCTTGATCATATTTAAAACTAAGTTAAATTTAAATACAAAGTAACTTTATTTACAAAACAATAAACAGGCAGTAATTTGTGGCCCTGAAGAGGGCCGTTTGGGATCAGTAAATCTTCAGAACATCAAGTCCAGAGGAGCCAATCAGAATCGACTGATTTAGGCACGTTCACCACGGATACGGCGGGCCAGTTGGATGTCCTTGGGCATAATCGTGACTCGCTTGGCGTGGATGGCGCACAAGTTGGTGTCTTCGAAGAGGCCAACCAAGTAGGCTTCAGAAGCTTCTTGAAGGGCCAACACGGCGCTTGATTGGAAACGAAGATCGGTCTTGAAGTCCTGGGCGATCTCACGGACCAAACGTTGGAACGGGAGTTTGCGGATCAGGAGTTCAGTCGATTTCTGGTAACGGCGGATTTCACGGAGAGCGACGGTTCCAGGACGGTAACGGTGGGGCTTCTTGACTCCGCCAGTGGCTGGGGCCGACTTGCGGGCAGCCTTGGTGGCCAATTGCTTTCTTGGAGCCTTACCTCCAGTGGACTTGCGAGCGGTTTGCTTGGTACGAGCCATTGCTTTCGTTGAAGAAGTCTGAGAGACTGATGCTTTCACTTCGGTATCCCCGCTTTTTATACCGACCAGGAGAAAAGTGGGCGGGGCTTATTGTTGGACTATCGACAAAATAGATTTTTGGCGCCAACGTACAAAAAGCAAAGGATTGACGACATGTTTTGTTGCAAAATATAAACATTTACTCCAGTGGTAAATCACAATTACAATTAATAAAATGGACGAACCGAAAAGTGTTGAAGACACAGGCCTGTGCGGTTGTAAGTAACGCTGTAAAAGTAAAACTATAACAGTTTTTGATAAAATACGGTCCACGTTTCTCTCCGACGTGCAGCAATCGATAGTGGCGTTTCGTATATTGCGAGATTTTCTTTATGGGAAAATGAAATTTTGTCGTGAAAATGAAAAAAATTAAGTTTTTTCAAAATACGATTGAAATGAATTCGTCCCAGTAGACAGATTTGTAGGGTCGTTGGCTTTAAACGACGACGAAGATAAGGAAATTTCAAAATAATAACCTTTGGAACACAAAAATAAAGCAATATTGTAATATATTGTAATTTGTCGTGTCATTTTACAACATTTTTATGTTTTATTTTATTTTTTTGACACTTCGCAATGACGAAAAGCCACAAAAATACGACCGCACGCAGTGTTTTGCCGGACCGGACCCAAAAACCTGCGGACCCGGACCGAAGAAAAAGCTCCGGACCGGTCCGGAAGAAATTTTTTTTTTTATTTTAAGAAAACTGTTTTAAAAATTGCAAATAAAACATATTTTTAGGAGTTTTTAAGAAAAAAGAAAGCAGTTTTAGCGCTCCTTGCTTTTTTTAAAAATTAAAAAAATTTTTTGCGGACCGGACCGGACCCAAAAATTTGAAGTTTGGACAGGACCGGACCCAAAAAATCGCCGGACCGGTGAAAAACGCTCCGGACCGGTCCGGGCAAAACACTGACCGCACGTTTTTGTTTTATTTCAGAGAGACGTGATTGAATGTCATTATCCCTCTTTGATTTTTTTGGTTGTAAAATGCAGCACCATTCATCTTAAACAAAGTTATCTCCGACTGTTTCGTTTACTCAAACATGAACATTATATCACAAATAACCAAAAAAATTGTTATTTCAAGATATATGTACTTTAAAGTACAAATTTCTATATTTTGTTTTCAAAACTTTAACAACACCAGACAAAATTAATAAAAATCAATAACTTTATTAACAGAATAAATAAACGAGCAGTAACTTGTGGCCCTGAAGAGGGCCGTTTGGGATCAGAGAGCTCGAAGGCATGAGCGAAGACATTGGTCCACCTGCTTAGGCTTGGGAGTCGGCGGTCTTCTTGGGCAACAAGATGGCGTTGATGTTGGGGAGGACACCACCTTGAGCGATGGTGACACCAGCGAGAAGCTTGTTCAATTCCTCGTCGTTTCTGACGGCCAATTGCAGATGGCGTGGGTTGATTCTGCTCTTCTTGTTGTCACGGGCGGCGTTTCCGGCAAGTTCCAAAACTTCAGCAGCGAGGTACTCGAGGACGGCGGCCAAGTAGACTGGAGCTCCAGCACCAACACGTTGAGCGTAGTTTCCCTTGCGGAGAATACGATGAAGACGACCTACAGGGAACTGAAGTCCGGCTCTTGAAGATCGGGACTTCGCCTTTCCTCCGGTCTTGGCTTTGCCTCCCTTTCCACGTCCAGACATTTTCGTTTGGTGTTTTGAGCGCTGATCGAACCACGAATGGTATGCCTTTGCCAATTCGTTCAGCCTTTATATACCCCGAACTGGTGTGGGTGGAGCTTCGGAATTGGCGCGAACATGCGAGAAGGCAAAGGCCGGCCAGAACAGGATTTTGAAAAACGCGGGCTTTTTGCATCCACTGATCCTTAAATTTTTGCAAGGTCAAAGTACAAAAAATTAGTTTTTCAAAAAATACGGGATTTAAAAATTATTCTGAATCACCAAAGTCTCAATGACCACTGTCACGGCATATAAATTTCTCATATTATCCGTTTAGGATTATATTTTAAAGTTTTATAGTTCTTTCCAGTGATGAAAATTTGTATTGTTGCTACGCTTTGGATATTATTCTTCTGTGGCCTCAATAAGGTAATTCGTGAGGCCGAGCGCTGGGGAATGTGATAATATCAGAAATTGTTATTCTGTAAAATGTTGTTTTATTACTTTAACACATTCCTCTGTCAAAAAATCCGTCTTCCCAAAACGACTCGTAGTAAGAAGTTGCATCATGAACCACATTATTCTTCAAAATTTATTAGCACTGATCTACATTTTTTGCCAAAATTCAGGTAAAAACTTGTTATTAGTAATATTTATGCACGAATTTCCTAAGACAACATAACAGTTTATTATTTATATAATATAAAGCAAAGTTAATTGTGGCCCTGAAGAGGGCCGTTTGGGATCAAAGTTATGCTGTGCAGAAGGACAGGCACGGAACGTTGTCGAAGGTTCTTATCCACCGAAACCGTAGAGGGTTCTGCCTTGGCGCTTGAGGGCGTAGACGACATCCATGGCGGTGACGGTCTTTCTCTTGGCGTGTTCACAGTAGGTGACGGCGTCACGAATCACGTTCTCGAGGAACACTTTCAGGACACCACGAGTTTCTTCGTAGATGAGGCCTGAGATTCTCTTAACTCCACCACGACGAGCGAGACGGCGGATGGCTGGCTTGGTGATGCCTTGGATGTTATCACGGAGAACTTTGCGATGACGCTTGGCGCCACCTTTTCCTAAGCCTTTTCCTCCCTTTCCACGTCCAGACATAGTTGACTTGATTCCAAGTTGAACGACGAGTCGTATGAAGACTAAAACGCTTTTCTGTCGTTTATATACTCACTCTGGCCAAAAGGGGCGGGGCCAAAAAACGGGCGCGAAGTGACCAAAGCGAAAAGAGGTCAGAGAAGAAAGCCAAAAAAATAAAATCACGGTTTGGAGAACGTGACAAAAAACTTCACGGTAAGTTTTGCTAGGCGTAGATAGATAAATACATAAAATTTAAACGACAATACCATTTAGGTGTAAAATTTTTTGAAGATGTAAAATTCATTTTTTACTGCATGAAATTGTAAATTGTATAAATTTTGTTATATTATTAATTTACGTTTAACAAAACTAATATTTTGTTTTTTTACAAATTGTTATTAAATTTATTATTGTCAAATGAAAAAATAATTATCTACTCAAAGGTGCTAGCTCTCTCCTTGTTCGATCGGATTCTTCCTTATTATAAATATAGGGAGCTTGGGATACTCGAATAGGGTTATAGCATAACCATTTCCTCGTCCATTCAAGAATTGAGCACCCACAATTGGCATATTGTCCGTCTTATCGTGGTATCGGTATTCGATACGATAACAGTCTGGATGGCGAGAATACAACTTCCATACCCTGACGTAGCAGTCTTCACTGGCAGTCAAAATCTACAAACGTTTTTTGTAGGTCACGAACAGAGAATTATGTCATTTAACTGTTTTGTTGATCTACTTACATATGCGGATTCTGGAGCCACTGCGATTGACGTTATTTGTCGGCTATGAATATTGAGTTCGGCTAGCTGTGCACCAGTTTGAATTGAAAATACGACTACTTGGCCATGGAAGTTGCCACAAAACACTTGTTTCCTGAGGATGTTCACAACACTTATTTGTTGGCTAAAAAGGATAAAGCGACCCTAAAACAACATACTTTGTCTTTATCCTTTTGAGAACAGTTTTCATGTTCTTGGCCCATACAACAACTAATCCTTCAATATCCGATGATACTGTCAAACTATCATACGAACAGGTGGCAATGTCAGCAATAGGGGCTTTGTGTTCTGGAGCACACGACTTTACATTAAAACTATTCTCTCCATTGCACAAAAACATAAGAATGTCTCCTGAAAAACTACCTAATACAGAGGTACACAACTGCAATCGTCGTTATACCTATTAAAACCATGTTGTCAACACAAGTAATCCCTCTACCAAACATGTAATGTGAGGTTTGTGCTGCGTGCGCTTGTTTTTCATCACCCTTAATTCTGTATGATGTTAGTTCGTTATAAACTTACATTAACCAAAGGAGTACTAGCTAGAATCTTCAACGGTTTGACGTCAAGTATCTGTAATTTATATCCAGTTTGTTACACTTTGTACTCACCATAACATTAGTTACCGTACCTACAACTAATACGGGTCCCAACCGATTACCAGGTGAACATATTTTACATTGCATTATAGTCAACGGTTTCTCTTTGCCACTCTCCTTTAACGGCAAAGAATCCATCTGAAGATTTTCCATGTGTATGTCCCATGATATGAGTTGAACCTACAGATACTGGTGCAGAACTTACCACGACTTACGTTGTTCTTGCTACAATAACAGGCGTATGTTGTGAACTTGGACTCATGGTAATGGACGGATAAATTGTTAGGCAAGAATGACGGGGCTAATGGTACTACCATTTCACGATCGGTCTCAAACATGTACGGATTTTTCGGAGGTATTGGTCCCGATATAGCAATTTCGGTATCCATTGTAATCTAATTTATGTAAAATGAATTAACACGGTAACTGTGGTATAACTAAGTCTGGTTGCCAAGCGACTGCTATTTCTTTCCTTATTAATGAGGCCAAGTTTGTATCCTTTCCCGTTTAAACGCGGGTCGTTCGCACAAAAAATTTTGTATTTACCTATTATACGAAAAGAACACCATTAAGCATTAACAACATTTATACAACGGACTTCAAGTAATCAACAAACAAATTAGTAACAGAAGTCCCAGATGCAATTAGATTCTTTCTTGTCATGTCCAAGAACTGGGTCCTATACCTTGAAAGAGTAGGCAATGAAGTGACTTTCTTAACTTGATATCGTACTTCAACATCCCAAGGAAACACGATGAATCCACCAACACCAACCTGACCTTGGTTGGCCAAGATATGCTTTATTACTTGTTGCGTAGTTTTATCCACTTCTTGCACAAAGTCCGTGCTTATTTTATGGGAAGCCGCTACTGAAGCATTATTTTTCAATGGTTTGGCTAAAGCCAGACTTTCATAAATGTCATCTAGAGGCAAGTCAACATTCTGGGGCAAACTGTCCAAATCTGATTCCATTCCTCTTCTGACTATGACTTCAAATAACGGTTTTTCGCCAGACAGTCGAGCATTAGGCTTTTCGTATCTGGCTATCAAATCTGTCAACAGATCTTCAGAGTAGTTGTGGTTTTGTTCGTTCAAGTAAGAAGACGTCGCTTCATTTGTGTCGCAAAATAATATTCCAAATGTCGTTTTTACATTCTTGGCCACTGTGAAAAGCTCGTATCTCTGACCTAAAATTGAAAAGTGAAAAACAACAGAAAACATCAAAAAAGTGAAGAAATTTGAAAACATACTTCTGGCATAACTGAGCGTGTCCACGATTAAGAAAACTTCCTTGTCAGCAGATAAGCAGCGTAGAACTTCCGACCTCATGCAGTTGTTATGATCAGTTAACTAAGAATAAACAATTTCTAATAAAATATTATTACCTTTCTTTTCGTAGCATATTGTTCAATTGTCTTTTCATACTCTGAATCAAAGTAGTCGTCCAGTATTCTAACAAGGTTGTGACCTTTTTCTTCCAAAAAACGCTTTATTCTCTCAGATATCGTAGTTTTTCCAGATGAAGGATATCCAGTCAATACTAGTAACGGCATCTAAAATTAAAAATAATTCATAAATCTTATAATTTTATAAATGTATTGATTTAAAAAATATTTTACAAAATTTTTTACTATAAACCTTATTTGTTGAAAAATATGTTTTTTCTATAACCTAATTTTGGGCGCGGCTCGGTAAATTTGGTGTGCGAACTGCGTAAAAGCGTAGACAAGAGTTTGAATTCGCGGCTTTTCCTGGGGATGCCGTTATCGATCGATAGACAGAAATTTTTATTTCCGCACTGAAATTTGGAAAGCAGAAATAATTTCTTCTTTGGAAATATATCACTTGATATTTTTCAACGATGAAACGAGTATCTTCAGCTCCGGCTAATGATAAATTGGCCAAGAAATCGAAAAAGAATAAGGTGCTGATTAATCTTTTGTGCTTGTAATTTTAATTTCGTGTCTTTGTCGAGTTTGTTTTTTTTACTTGTAAATTAACCTCAAACTTGGGCAAATATACATGAGCAAACCAGCTAACCTCTCTCTTGGTGTTATTTTAAGATCTTTTCTTTTACCATGCGGAAAATGAATTGTGGTAAAAGAGGCTATACTAGCTGTGACAAGTATAGTTGAAGGTCATGACCAGGGCTTTTGGGCTCATGACCTTCAAGGTCTTGCGTTTCCGAGTTCTTTTTTAATGATTTGTTTTTAGGTCGACACTGATTTTCTTCAAAATGCGCTCAATGGATCGTTTCAAGATGTACTGGAAGGGCTGAACTACACTTTGCTTCAAGCGTCTACATCAAAGACTGCTGCAGATGTAGAACGACGGTTCGATAAGTTTACCGATGACTGCGATGCGTTACAAAAGACTTTGGACTCGCTCGAAAAGGAGAATTCTAAGATGTTTTCTGTGGTAGACGAACTCCTTGAAAGTGGAGATTTGAAGACTACGTCAAGACTTCCTGAGGTAAGAATTTTCATCTTTTTTATATGTTTTGCTTTTAGTATGAGTACTGCAACTTCTGCAACATTCCTTGGAAGAATAAGCGTTTTTTCTATGCGCATATGTTGGAGAGACATTCACTCAACAATTGCACATATCTTGCATGTACTATTTGTCATTCAAAGCACGAGGATTTGGACACTTTTGATGCACACATTACAAGTCACGGTAACGATGCTGAATGCGGTGTTTGCGGGAAGAAAGATGATGATCTCACCAAGCATTTGAAGGATGACCATGGTTATGATGCACTTTGTAGTCTCAAATTGACATGTGATTTTTGTCCGTACAGGACGAACAGTTCTACTTCTTTACAAGTTCATTGTTATTTATGCAGCAACAATCCAAAGAACTCGAATTATACTCCAACCGAAGAAGGTATGTTTTAGAAAATATTATTTTAGTGAATTTTTCTCTTTTAATTACAAGTAATTCGCTGCTATTAAATAGTTATTTTAGGACGAGTATGCAATATATGTCAGCAAGTGTTCCAAACAAACCTCCAAATGTTGCGACACAAAGAAGGACAGCATGTGGAAGGTCGTGGAAGCGACTGGAAAAGGTTTAGCTGTGAAGAATGTGGACAAGGCTTCTTCAGCGTTAGATCACTTGGTGGTCATAAACGGAAACATGCTAAGAAGAAAGGAGCTTTGGAAGGCATCTACGTTCCCAAAACGGCTAATATTGGTGTGGGGATGGTCACAAAATTGAAGAAAAAAGTTGAAGCCAGATCCCGTCTAGCTGAATCAACTACTCGGAAGACTGTCCATCGTTCGGTTGAGCCTAATTGCTCGTCCGCGATGAGTTCTAGTATTGTAGAAGATATGCCAGATTTGTAAATAGATTTGTTTTTTTAATACGGGTAATAAAATATATACTGTGATACGTGCAGGTTGCTATAGGAACGGTTCCAAAAATTTATGAAAGGTCTTCTTATTTAATCTAGTAAGCGTGTGCAAACAGAAATGAAGGTGCTATTCAGAGAAACGGACAAGTCATTGATTGGCAATGGTTCCGTTGTTTTTGATTGGGCTCCAGGTTCTAATTACTTGGCCATCGGAGGGTATGGTCTAATCGAAAATAACATAAACGTAATCTAGGAACAATGGGGTGATATGCTTGTACGATCGGTATGGTGAGCGGACAGAAGAAGTAAGGGGAGGAAAGTAAGTTAGGTGTGAAAGGTTATCATTGTTTAGTAAAATCGATTTGCTTCGATGGGATGACAATGGTGAACTGTTGGCAATCGGAAGCGGTCAGTCTTCAGCGGTTCAGTTGTACGAACTGAACACAAGACAAATTATTACATTGGACATTTCAATGGGAACAAAGTAAGTTTTTTGGTGTCTATATATACATGTTTAGAAGTCTCCCAACGTTTATGCAATGGTCGAAAAAGAGTCAAATTCTGGTAGTTGGAACTAACCAAGGAAGTATACTAATTTACAATCATTACTCGTCAAAGTAAGTTCTTTAGAATGTGTCATGGTTTTTAAATCTAGAAAACTTCCTTTGATGGGAAAACATCAACGAGCCATTATCACCGGTGACTTTCACGATGACATATTTGCTTTGGGTTCTGATGACTTGAGTATTTCCATTAACAGTTTGGAAGGCGAAACGCTGAGTACTATATCGTGCACTGCTGAGCCCACAAATATGTTATTATCCAAATTCCGACGAAGTGCTGCCGAAAAGGACAAGTCAGAACTATTTGTAAGGTTTCGACTGTATAATCAAAGTATTTTAGCTGAGTTATGTGGTTGGTCATCGAACACTGAGCATTGTCACAGCAAACAACACTGTCAACCCAATCAGCTTGCAGTTCCAAGAAAAGTACGGTCAGATAGTGGAGACATCTTGGTTGAAGGATGGTATGATTATGATCGCATTTGAGCTGGGTTTTCTCGTTGTTCTCTCAGCGCACGACTGGAATGACGTTAATCATGAATTGTTTTCGATTCAGGAGTTTACTAACACTATAACTTGTATACATGCTAATTTTGAGTGCGACAAGATCTTTACTGGGAGCGACAACGGCCAGTGAGTCTTTCAACTAATCGACTTTTTTAAATTTATGTGTGTAATTTCATCTTTTGTCATCATATTTACCTGACAGTAGTAGTGATTCTTTGATTATTGTAAGTTTTTTACTTTATAAGTTCTTTACAGGGTAAAGGTGCGCAGTGTTTCTGACTGTAATCGTCTTCATGAAATTTTGGATGGTAATGGTGACGGAAAGTCTGTCAGTAGGGTAGCGTGTTCAACAGACGGAAGTCTTGTAGCCGTGGCGACGGAAACCCCGGCTGTGATTGTTTATTTGACCAAGATACCATTGGTATACGCCACTTACAGAAACAGAGTAGCTCTACTGTCGTCTTTGACCGAAGTCTCAATATACGAAGATTCGACTTCTGTAGGTTGAGACTACTTTATTTTTATTTTCAGTTTTATTCGCAGTAAAAGATATAAATAATAGAGAGTCTATGAAATTTCAGACCAACCCATACGCGTTTAATGCCAAGTTAGAACCATCAGTACTGGCCATAGGCTACAGACACATAGCTGTTGTGTTTAACAATCGGGTATGGTACTATGAATACAAGGGGAACAGTAAGTGACAGGTGATAGTAACCTAAATGTTTAGATGTGTCTTTTCTGATCGAGGAAGAGTACATAACGACCGTCAAGAAGGTGAAGATAAACAAGGAGTATGTAATGGTTGTGATGGATCAGTCCGTTCAAATACATCTGGTAATTTACCATTACTTTAAAATGAAACAACATTTCAACATACCAGTTGGTATACCAATAGTTTTTTAGATAATCAAAAACGAGGACAACACCAATTCCAAAAAGTTTCCGGAAGATACCAAAGACAACGAGCGTGTTCTACATGCTGACTTGATGGACAAGTTCTTTGTCTTTGCGACTGATGTAAGCGATAAGTTGGCAAACGTTCGACAAGTTTACGGTTCGACGCATTTTTTATTTTAGAAAAACCGGTTACGGTACTTTTCGCTGTCGGACTGGGGATACTCGGCTGACTACAGGCACAGTAGACGCATCACTTCTGTGTACGGTGAGCCAAATGGAATTCGGACAGTGTTTTTCGATGACAATTACGATGCTTACTTGTACCATCCTTCTGATGACGAAGCGTATCCGTTTCATGACAGTCAAACCAATTACAGAGTAAGATGTCACAGTAATTTTAACACATAGAAAATATACTTGTATATTTATTTATGTGATTTAATTTTTAATGATTATGTCAATGATAACTCACTTTTCAGTTTAAATCCTGCTTCTGGGAGTCGTTCACGGTGGACAAAGATTCTTTGGTACTTACCGACCATAATAATATATACGCCTTTGTCGTATCCCGGAATAGTCATGGTGAACAGTCGTTGGCCATGTTAGGTACCACCAAGATACCACCTGAGAACATACCATTATCGCTATGTAAAGGAATTGTGACATGTTACACGGCAAACGAGAAGCTGAACACATTACTTTTGAATACCCACAAAAGTGACGTTGGTACAGACGGCAAGAACAAAGAAGAGGTAACCCATATATCTGACTTCTTGTAATACTACGACTGTTACTATGATTACAGAAAACATTTAATCTCTTTTTGTGTATTTAGTTGTTCGAGTTGCTGGCTCACAGTATCAGTCTGAAGCGATGGAGGAATGCGTGGAGACTGTGTGACAAAATGAATGACAACAAAGCGTGGAACACGTTGGGAGAAGCTGCTGTCCGAGACTTGAACATGGAGTTGGCCATCAGAGTTTACCGCCGTATGGCCAAGCCAAGTATGGTAATGGCATTGGAGGCGGTGAAAGACGTAGAAGAAGAGAACCTACTGAGCGGGCATGTCATGACATTGTTGGGGGAGTTCGATAAGGCCGATGAACTGTTCTGTCTCTCAACTGAACCATGGAGAGCTTTGGAGGTACGGTAATCTGTTATAAAGTAGCTTATTTTATTATATTAAATACATAATATCTGATATGATACATAATATCTGATATGACAATAAACAATTGAGTAAGTAAAACTTCAGATGAGAAGAAACATTTTGGATTGGGATCGAGCTTTACAACTGGCAAACGAAGTAGCGAAGGACCAGCTACCGTTCGTATCTTTGGAATACGCTACGCAACTTGACTTTATGTAAGGAAAGGGCCATCCGGACCATGAATGCTTCTGAAAAATATTTTAACTTTACGTATAACAAGATTAGGAGTTTAACTATACACTGCCCATTAATTATAGGGGCCAATATTCGGATGCGTTACAGTACTACGAAGATGCGTACATAGAGAATGAAGACAGTGAGTTACTACGGGAACACAACATGTCATCTTTGTCAGGCCAAGCCAGAATGCTAACCAAACTGGGAGAAGTCCAAAGGTCGGTTTCGGAATTGTTTTAGTTTCAACTTACTTAACTACATTATCACATAATACTTACATACTATTACATCTCTTGAATGCGTTTTGCATTATATGTTTCTGCAAATAACAGACTTTATTGTTTAGGGGACTACAGATAGCCACGCAACTACCTGATCGTCAGATCAAACGAGAGTGCGGTATGATTCTGGAGCAGATGAAGTTGTTTTCAGATGCCGCCACCATCTTCGAGCACGGTCAGTATTACGACCGGGCTGCTGTGGCCTACATAAAGTCTAAAAACTGGTACGTTCAATGGTTTAAGAGTTGTTTTAGCTCTCCATTCTTATTTCAGGATGAAGATATTGACAATTGAAGATCACATAAAGTCCCCGAAAGTGCTGACACAGTACGGGAAACTTTTGTTAGCTGATAAAAGATACGAACATGCCCTGAGGATCTTCGAGAAGGCCAGGAGTCACGACAACGTGGTCATGATACTTCTACGGCACATGAACAAAGTGGACGAGGCCGTCAAGATTGCGAGGGAATGTCGTAGTCTTGATGGACTTAAGTTGATCGCCAAGTAGGTTACTATAATAAGCTACTTATTTATAATACTATGTAAGCACAAAGAATCCCAGTTAATACTGCAAAAATTATAGATTCTTCACTGATGTCGGCAACGATGAGTCAGCCATCGAGTTTCTGGTACTGTCTCAGTGCTTTCAAGAAGCCTACAATCTGGCACTAACAACCAAAAAAATGGAAGTTTACAGTAATATGGTAGAATCACACGGGTCTACATCACAGTTCCTACAACTGGCTGATTACTACGATGCCATTAACATGCACGCAGAAGCTGGACGATTCTTCGGGCTTGCCAAAGAATATGAAACGGTAAACCTATATTTACAGTTCAAGGACCTTATATATATAGTATCTCGTATCAGTTTTAAATTTGAATGTGTAAACTTTTCTTATAGGCCTTAAATCATTTAATAAAGGCGGGAGAAGATGAAGGCGCCATAATGGATGCCGTTGACTTCACAGCACAGTCCAACAACTCGATTCTGGTAGATCGGCTGGTGCACCATCTGATGGGTGATACTGAAAATGTCCCAAAAGACCCAAAATTCTTATTCCATCTTTACACCAAACTCGGGATGCATGCCAAAGCCGCCCAAATAGCTCTGATCATAGCCAAAGATCAACAGAACCGAGGCTCCTACAAGAGTGCTCACAAGCTGCTGTTTGCCATGAGGCAACAGCTAAAGGACCAGAAGATCTACGTTCCGATGGAGTTGGAGGACTGGCTGCTCATACTACACAGTTATATACTAGCTAAAGTAAGTAAAGATATACCTCATTTATTGGATCAATTAAAATAATTGTTTCAGAGGCATGTCACCCTAGGAAACCACCTGAATGCTGCCAGACTTTTGATTCGGGTTTCAGAAAACGTGAGCAGGTTTTCGCAACGTAAGTGGCTGTGCCTAATGTAAGTTCGCTTTAGACGCGGTTCAAATCCTTACATCTACGGTAATCACTTGTGCCAAAGCCAACCTCAGAAAAACAGCTTATGAACTCGCTCTAAAGTTGATCAAGCCAGGATATCGGGAGAAATTGGACAAGAAATACAAGAAGAACATTGAAACTATTGTCAGGTGAGCAGTAAAATATCTTACATGACTCTTAGTCATCCTTAGAAAAGCGGACAACGTTGAAGATCCTCCAGAGATCATGACTTCCTGCCCCCATTGCGGTCATTCTGTCAGAGAGTTCGATTTGCTTTGTGATGGCTGCAAAAACACAATACCGTATTGTTTGGTTACGGTATGTTCTGTAAATTTTGTTTACTCGATTTCAGGGGAAACACATTATCGATTCCGACTTCTCCTTATGTTCATCGTGCAAGATGCCAGGCTTTTGTTCGGAACTGCAGAAGTAAGCGGTACCAGACTCCGCCCCCAAGGCCTCGTGATAAAACATAATTATTTATTTTCAGATTGGAACGATCGCAGGAGGCTTGCCTCATGTGTCAGTCGTCTGTCGGCTCCCCCGTTCCAATTAACGTTAAACTTTACTTGAATGTAGAAGAGAAAAAGTAGCCTTACTCGAAATATCTGTTGTAAAGATAAACAAGGAATGTCTAGCATGAAGATTTTCTCGTACCTTTAAAAAAGACACGCCTCCTGTCCCCTCGTGACAATGCTCATGAGCCACATGACTGATTTGTTTAAATACAAAGCAATCAAATATCCTTCGTGTAAATAACAACGCTATTCAAATACCAAATGACAATTACACTTAAAAAATAGTCTGGCATAACGTGGTAAAGCCTTTATTTATTCAGAACAATTGAACAGCGATCCATCAAAACTTAATAATAATATTATTAGCAACCAAGGCAAAAGTAACAAAATCCCGTCTGAAAACTTACTAAACTCAACTACAGTAGTAGAACCTACCTTTAAAAATATACAAACCAAATGGATAATATGTACAGTAAAACATCAATATCGATAAAACAAATAGAAAGTAGGAGACAGCATAAAGGTATCAACAAATTACTAACAAAAACTACCTTCTACATCTCACTAGACGACAAAAATGTCGTCGTGCTGCTCTCTACACAAAATGTACAACAATGGATCGCTGTTAACGTGAGATCTAGGCCACAGGCATAGCTTCTCCGGCAGCATCGATACACTGGAATTTTCCATCAGCACCTTCGGACAGAGTTCTCATTCTTCTAGTTGAGCTGAAAATTACTATTGTAGATAGCTTACATATGAATATCTGCAGTTAAACTAATACCAAGACATGATTAATATAAAAACATCAAAAACTTACGTTCTTGGCATATCTTCGGCAAATTCTTTGGTTATGATTCTGTGTTTAACACACTTCTTAACAAAGATGTCGCATAGAGAATATGCGGCAGGAATGTCAATAACAAGATCGGGCAGCTCCTTGAACAGACGAGTGAATCCAGGTCTGACTGACGTCTCCAACAAGACACCAGTATCCAAAAGGTACTAAAATTAAAACGTTATAATCAAAATGTATATCAATTTACCAAAAATAATGTATTGTCTTACCTTCAGTAGCTTGGCCAGCTTCTCCATGATAGTATCATGCATACGATCCATAGCGTAGAATCCGACCAAGTAGACCATCTCATGATGAAAATGCAGAGCGTGAAGTTGTCTCAGTCGTTCGGCAACCTCGTTAGAATCCCCGCTCAACAGGAACTCTCGTAGAATCTTCTCCATCTGATCCTTGAGGACGTGCAATGGAGCATGGCCGCCAACTTCTTCGAATTTGCCCTTCAAAAGCGCCCGATTGTTGAGATACATGTAAACTTCCAAAGCACAGCTCCTGTAAAACAACGTTGATCCAAAGAAATTTTTTTTAAGTCATACCTAACTAGGAATCGGCACAAAATGGAAATTGGCTTTAAACTAGCCATACATATTTCTTACACTTTTAATCAGCAAAAAGTGTAAGATAGTAAAATTAACTTATTGTTTATCTTCCACCATTACAGTAATTTCGTCAAAAACCAGTAATACACAAAAGTTCAAACTTTGCAAATTTTCATTTATTACTATTATCCCATGATTGATTTAACCAATCTATTTTCCCATTTAAAAAAAAAACAATTTCCGTTCCCTCATGCTGATCCCTAGTAAAATATAAATTCACGTACATTGCTTGTCTGTTGGCATTGTGCTTGCTGGTGATATCGTCAAATACAATCCTTTCGATAATGTCATCGGTAATTAACTTGGCAATAAATGTAGCCAAAAACTTTCTGGCTTTGGGCATGTCCCGAACGATCTCCCCCAAATCTTGCAGAATCTCTTCCAAAGCATTAACAACATGTTTAACAGATAAATGTCCTTCCTCAATAAAAACCATCAACAATTTGTTACCCAGGACAACACGACCTTGATCGTAGTCTAACGAACAACATATGATCTCCTTGGCCATTCGATTCTTGGAATCATTGTTCTGCATCAGTCCGATGAGATCAACCTAAAACAATATAGTTCTACAAGATTACGTGAACACTGGAGAATATATTACAGTATATTAACTTTAAAAATAACACTTTCTTTGATTTTAGCTTACCATAGCACATTCGGTGCTTCCGTTGTTGAAGTACTCTTTCAACGCTCCATGAACTTTCTCCACATCAAAACTGAAGACATAATCAAGGTACTCGTCCTGTCCATCTTCTCCGTCAGTTTCGTCCAAGTCGTCATCATTCTCGTTGTCGTAGTCATCAAGACCGTACTCGAATCGGTTTCCGTCCTTCTTCGAGTAACAACCACTGACTCCTCGGCAACGAGCCTTTCTCTCCGCCTTCGCGTTCGTCGCCTTCACCTTAGGAGCCGCCTTTAGATCGGAAGTACTTTTCGAACCTAGACACAACATGTAGAACAACCGTAAACTTACGATTGCGTGAGCTGATGGCAGCCTTGGCCTCTTCCACTGAGCTGTTCTTCTTCACAGGCGCTGGAAGACCGTTCTCACGAGCGTACAAGGCCTCAGCCTGTTGCTCTGGATCATCATAACGTTCCTTCTTGGACTTGTAAACCTTCTTAGACTTCGCGTAACCATTAGACTTGTGATCGTATGAATCCATAGGGGGAAAAAGTTGTGTTTGATCTCTAAAAGAATAACTTTACATGTGATTACGAATATAAGTGAAGTCGTTTGGTCATTCAGAACGTAAAGTTATCACACATCTGATTGAAACTCATAGCCGGCCACCACGAGGTCACAAGCAGGGGGCGGCGCCAACATTATAACTCTTTTTTCTTTTGGCGAAAAAGTCTTTCGCACCGGGACCAAATAAAACATAATGTGCAATTATTTTTCTTCTGGTTTTGTAAAAAACCATTTTTGATAACAAAAAATAAAAGATTATCATTACTGCGTATTATATTACCTGTAAATCATTTTTTTATATTTATACTTATTTGAGACATTTTACTTAATATTATGATTATATTCAAAGAACTGAATATACGTTCAGTCGCGAACATGTATTGACGTTTTTATTTTTAGTCCTTATTATGATAGCCATACTTTTATTGATAAGGCGTTGTCATATTTTAAGTTGAACTAATAGTTTTATTTATACGAACGTGACTGGCTTTTAGCTATCTTTGTTTGTTATTATAGTGCGTCATTTCAAATTGATTTTTTCAGCGTTTCTTGTTCGCCATGGTGGAATCTAATGCTCAGATATCACAATACGCTCGGGATAAAGCACATAGAACTAGATTATCGATAGAATCGTACTACGCTCAAAGTGCTCTACAATGTGCTGAACGAGAACGACGCGCTAAGAAATTAGAAGCCCAAATGACTGAAAAAGGTAAGTTAGCCGTTTTATCTAATAATTTGAATTTAGGTTTATCTGAAACGGAAAAGGAAGAAAAAAGGAAAGCTCAGGGAAACAAGGAATCAGATTACTTGCGGCTACGAAGGACACGGTTATCGGTAGCCGACTTCAGATCACTTAAAGTAATCGGGCGAGGTGCATTTGGAGAAGTCAGGTTAGTACAGAAGGAGGACACTGGTCATATTTATGCTCTTAAGATCCTCCGGAAATCAGAAATGCTGGAAAGAGAACAGGTATGCGCTCATCGATAATATAATTGGGTTTTAAACTGTATTATGTATATTTAGATAACAAAATGATATACTATTGGGTGTTTTAGACTGCTCACGTGAGAGCTGAGCGCGATATACTTGCTGAGGCTGATTGTGAATGGATTGTCACAATGTACTTCTCCTTTCAAGATGAGTTGAATTTGTATTTGGTGATGGAGTTTCTTCCTGGTGGTGATATGATGACGTTATTGATAAAACGAGATACTTTAACTGAAGAAGAAACACTTTTCTACATATCTGAAGCAGCGTTGGCAATTCAAGCGATTCATCACATGAACTTTATTCATCGTGATATAAAGCCGGATAATTTGTTGTTGGATGCTAGAGTAAGTAACCGTTTTGTGCTTAAAGCTTTAAGAATCATTTTACTTTGAATGCACATTAATGTAAGATTTGTATTTTCAGGGTCACATAAAGCTGTCCGATTTTGGCCTTTGCACTGGACTGAAGAGAATTCATCGTACTGAAATGTACCGTAATTGGCCCTCTCAGTTGCCATCAGATTTCTTTGCCAAAGGGTTTGAATCTAAAAGGAAGGCGGAGACGTGGAAGAAGAATCGCAGGGCATATGCCTACTCTACTGTGGGAACTCCCGACTACATAGCACCAGAGTTGTTCCAATCGAATGGGTACACTAAGAGTTGTGATTGGTGGTCTTTGGGGGTGATAATGTTTGAGATGTTGATTGGATATCCACCATTCTGTTCCGAAACACCACAGGAAACCTACAGGAAGGTTTGTAATTGGCAGCAAACGTTGATCTTTCCTCCTGAGATTCCGATTTCTATTGAAGCCAAAGCTGTGAGTTGGTTAAATTATTATTTAGAACATTATCCATGATTCCAAAGTTGAGGAATTTGAAGGTATTTTATGTTATGGTTGTTAGGATGGTGAATTTATTGTTTTAGACGATTAAACGGTTTTGTTGTGAATCAGAGAAGAGAATGGGACACAATAAAGGTATTGATGAGGTGAAACAATGTCCGTTTTTCAAAAGAATGGACTGGGATCACATCAGAGAACTGCCTGCTCCAATTCGCATCGAAGTACGAGGGATCGCTGACACTTCCAACTTTGACGACTTTGGAGAATGTGAACCAATTATATGTGAGAAATACTTTTTTTGTTTTTGAATTTCTAAGAAAGTTTGTTGTTGTGCACATTTATATTAATTTATTTACTGTGACTTTCAGCGGAGGCAAACATTCCGAGCACGTCACATCCAGCTGTCACTGACAAGGGCGAGTTCCTTCACTACACTTTCCAACGTTTCCAACACCTTACGCATATAATGCGACGCGATAATAAACCGGTAGGTTTGCTTAAAATAAATTAGCATATCTTTTTAGTCATCAGTACCTAACTTCGATCAGAACACATCCAGAAGTTCGAACGAGTTCTCTGACACGACGCAATAATTCTGTATTGTAAGATGTAAATATGTATACGTACGTGTATTTTGTCATTTAGTGATATATATCGATTTATTTAAAATAAAATTTTATTTATGGCTCGCTAACTGTCATGATTTGTATAGGAAAGGAGATCTAACAATAATTTAAAAATTGGCGAACAGACGTAGGGACACCTGTAAATCACTGAGGATAACATAAACCCGATATGGAACTGTGGCTGTCAATCACAACCTGTAATGTACCGTACAATAGCCGGACTAGCCGTATCTCTCATGTTGTAGCTGTGCACGGTGTAGCATGTGTCGGTCGGGCCTTTTCCGCTTAAAGAATCCACACTTGTAGCAAATGAGGATTAGGATTGTCAGAAGCACCAGACCCACTAACACGGCCAACAACAATATCCAGATGTTGAGCTTGTCCTGCTGCGAAGGCCTGTCCGGATATGCATGAGTAATGGCTTGAGCAAAGTTGTTTGTCATGTCTTCTAATATTCCTTGTTTAGGATCTACTTCTACTACCCCGCTAGAGGTTATGGCAACGTATTCGATGCGCTGGAAGTCACTGCTGAAGGTGTGATTCCAGAGTCGAGATCGTATTTCAATTAGGGCGGACTCGTCGGTGCCTATATAGTCGAAATGGCAGGTTAATGGATAACAGATGGCGGATTCGTCCTTGCAATTCTAAAAGGTTCAGTTTAGAAGTACAATGACTGTTTTAAATAGATGTTTGATTTGGTGGACTTACAATGTCGACAATCTTGACGGTAGCTCCTGAGAACTCGGTGACGTCTTTGGTCTTTATATATTTACTGTCAAAGATGGACGAAGTCAAGTGCACACTTTCATCGTGAACTTCTTCAGATCTAACTTCTGAAACCTGTCTTTTGTTTCTATGGCCAGTCTTTAGTAACCCGTACGTGGCACTGTAGCCCAGCTTCAGCGTTTCATCCATGTAAATCTCTCGTGGATTGATTGCTTTTAGGTTCTTGTCCACATTGCAGGTCCGTATCTCTCCCTTGTATCGTATTACTGGGTCTTCGAGAGTGTAGAGTACCCATTCTTCGTCTTTGGAGTTTAGTTTCAATGGCCAGTTGATCTAAAGAATGATTTATATTGTAATTTTTAGTTTACATTATAATAACCGAAGAATATTGTTTGTCTGCAGGAACTATTGATCCTGTCAGTTTAAATACTCAATGTCAATTGCAGAAACATACCGTGACGGTAACGTTCTTGGCGTAGAAAGGTCCGTGATTCATGACGGTGTAAGTGTGAATGACTTCGGATCCAATGTCTTCTTCGTATCTTGGTCGATAAGTTCCCTTAGCGAATCGTACGATGGACGGTTTCGAGACTCCGACCAGCTCGAGGTCTGCTTCCTTGATCAATTTGACTTCGGCACTCCATTCGTTGTCCATGGGGTACTCTTCGATAGACGTACTATTAGCCAGCACCTTGAAGATCAGCTCCGTGCTGATTCTTTCTGACGTTCCTCTGACCAAATGGAAGCCGAGGTCGAAGTTGAAGGTCTTGTCTTCTTCTAGCGGATTTCCCAATGACAGAACGGCTATACCGTGTTCTTTCTTCACGATGTCGACGCCGTCAACGTTCTTCGAAAGCCGAGGTTCGTCTAGTTCATCCTGATTGTAGAAGACGAACAGCTGGGCCAAGTAGGCTCGTTCTCGTTTGTTCTCGATTAGGAATCTGATGTTGATGGAGTCTCGTTCCGTCACTTTGGAAGAGTAGGTTCCGTTAGCTGTTCTTCTGAAAAATTATGTCGTTATGATAATCTTACTACGCAGTAATCTTACAAAACTTCAAAATGGTTAACGAATATGTTAAAGTACTCACGTCATGTTGAGCAGAATAGGTCGGACTGATATGTCAGTGTAGCAATCGTTATCTTCTCCACACTGCTTGTCAAACGATGATTCAAACAGTTTGATAGCACGTTTGTTTCTGATGACTGGCGTGATAGTACGAGATACGGTATTTGGAATGGCTACTGTGAAGTTGAACTTGACTGGAGTGACCCAGTCCTGGTTTGTGTCAGGAATGTAGACTTGGTGTGCCAGTCTTTGTTGATAGCCAAGAGAACCTCGGCCACATGGCCAAGAGTATTCGGCTGTTTTTGTCTTGACAAAGAACGCTCGCGAGGCACCTTTGCCGTTAGATACCACCTTCAAAGTGCAGGTATAGGAATCTCTACTTAAATCAATAGAGTCTTTGACGTTGTTGTTGTCCAAGGTCGTCAATGTTGTCGTTAGTTCGAAACACGTCTTGGCTCCTCGAGGACAGTTCCAACCATCGTGAATCTTGATGTATTTCTGGGCGAAGGAAGCATCGAGCTCCACATCTACGACCGGTCGACTTTTGAAGACAAACGACGTGTCAGAAGCAAACGCCCCTACTGCAATGTCAGGGAATCCATTTCCGTCAAGGTCCACCTTTCCGCTGACAGAAGAGCCAAAGGTCTTTAGCTTCTTCCGCGTCAGACTCTCGACCTCACTGCCCAGGATTACCTGGCTTGGCTCTTTGTCGAAGTTGTCGTACTCTTGTCCGTGGAAGATGTAGACGGCGCCGTGACCGTGATCGGCAAACGGAGCGCCAACAGCAAAGTCATCGTAATGGGACGCATCTCGGTCGATATCGCCTAAACTAGTCAAACTCAAACCAAACTGAGAATGGAGACCTGGACCTCGTAGAATGATTGGTTCGTGGAAGACATCGTACTCTTGTCCGAGATTCACCTTCCTCCCTTTCGAGTAGTAGACGTATACTGCTCCACCGTACTCCAAGTCTTCTTCGAAGTGAAACTCGAATGGAGCACTTACAATAAGGTCGTCGAAACTAAAATATGAAAGTAAAGAAGGTGATGTTTTGTGATTTATTACAAAAATATTGTGACCTACCCATCTTTGTTAAGATCCAGCACTTCCACCTGATACCCGAACCCAGAGCCGAGTTGATGTCCATCTAACTTGGACCGGCTTTTGTCCAAGCCTAGAAGCTTCTCATCGCCAGGCCGTGAGCTACCATAGAAAGGTAGGAAGATGACGGCGCCCGTCTGACCGTACCGTGTCGCTCCACTGACCACGGTGAAGTTGTTTCTGTCTTTGGTTTCGTAAGGGAATCCGAATGCTCCGTATCTCACGGAGTACCCCAAGTAATCGTGGGAGGCCAGGATGTTGATGATTCCATCGTTCTCCTTGCTCACCTCCATTGTGTAGCGATCCACAGAGTCCGTGAATCCATCTACCGAGTAGACGTACCTCCCAAACACACCTCCAGTCCATTTACGAGCTCCAGGTAGACCAGTGAGGATCACCTTCTGAAATTAATTGATTTTAAATTTAAAATAATTTAAATTTTCGGAAACTTGCAATGATAGGTTTATGTTTTAAGCGGGTTTTAAGCGATTAAAAGTACAGTAGAACTCCTGTATAACGAATTGCTCGGGGACTTGAAATTTGTTTGTTATAAAGGAGTTTCGTTATACAAGAGTTTTAAATGCACTGGGTGCCAGACGGGGATTCAAAAGTTGTTCATTATACGGGAGTTTCGTTATACAGGAGTTCCACTGTATACAACTAGTTATTGAACTGTTTTACAAAAAAAGTACAAAATTATATAATTCTTTGAAGACCCTAGTTTTACTTATAAAATGTACTTTTGTAAAAACTTACATCATCAAGGTAACCCGAGAATCCCTGTTCACAAGCTCCATAGTCATTATGACGGTCTTTTTTGGGCAGAGGGTGACAAGTGTTAATGACACTCGAATGGTTCAAGTCGTTGTTCAGTAAATAACAGATGCCATCTGTGTACGCATTGCTGCTCGTTCGTAACAACGGAGCACAAGTCTGAATATAAATAATTAATGTTATTGAAACAACTTAGGGCTGTCACTTTACAAAGTACAACAAAAGTGTAAAGTACGTTTCACAAAATGGTTTTTTTCAAATACTAATATATACGAATTATTCATACCATAGCTTGACCAGTCTTCGTCCCTGCCGACTGAACCACAAATCCAAGCATTTGATGGTTTTTGCCCTCAGGGTGTAGTACTGTATTTTCGAGACGGCCTGGCGGTCTACTGTACTCAGCTGGTGAAGCATACTCAATCCTCAACTGCTCACAGTTTGTGTGAAGTCCCTGTTCAGTAGAACAAGCGTACACTGCCCCAGCTTCCCTTGTCCCAACTTGGCCAGATTCTGCACGTGGTGCACCGACTAGTACCCTAAACTTTTTGAGTGCAAAAACGTATAATGTAATGTTTTGAAATAATTTACCATTATTTTTGAATTTTCGGAACAGAGAAAATGATAATTTTAAAAATTTAAATACTTCAGTGTTGCTTGCAGTTCTTTATAAAATGTAAACTTCCCAAACGAGAATGTTCCATCTAATTAAAAGTTTCATTTACAGTCCTCGCGAGTGTCGTAAAAGCTCAACTGAAGGAGCTCGAAAGCTGCAAACTCACGTTGGACGGCCTTGACGAAAGTGAGAAGCGACGGAAAATCCGAAATTAGACTTCTGAGGTCCCCAGTGGACGGCGGCATGCTTGGTGTCAACGTTAAACGAGTGTATGCTTGTGCATGAGATTAAAAGGACAAGCTCCCACAACATCTCCTACCTCATCTACAAAGCAACTCGATAAGATCACTTAAAAGGACACCACATAAAGGGTGACTCAGCCTTCTATCTTTCAATTTTAATCATATAAACACGCGATCGTTTGATTGTAACACTTTAACGAAATAATGGCCCTGGGTAATATGCAAATGAATCATAACAAACCGACGAGTCAGTAATAAAATAGCCGCAATATTCGCAGCAGGAGATCGCTAGACTGATAACGCGCGGGGGTCAGTCAGTGGTCGCCTCCCCAATATTTATATCCAGCGCCCTTTATGTGGACAAAAGTTGTGACAAGGGACAAAGTTACGACAAACGTCCGAAGCCGAGGTTACGACAAAATGCCCACTGAGAACGTCATAAGTGAAGGACAATGTCTACTACTTACACGCGGCGACAAAGCGCTTCCCCTTCCAAAAGAGACACTCCCTCCTCTTCTACGTTCAATGTCCACCTGCAGGCCCTAAGGGCGTAATTCCCGAATCCCATCAAGCGTTCCCTTTTCCGGTTATGACACACATTGCCTTTGACATTTTTAAGAAGTCATCGAACCCGAAAAGGCTACAGGAAAGTGTTACGGCTCCAAAAAATAGATTGTCGCGTATGGGAGCGAATTCCGATGTTCAGAAAAAGACATTCAGAAACGGTTTGGCTGAGTCACGCCTCAAACGACGCTCCGGTCAGTTTCCTTAAAACAAACCGGATTTAATGACCCGCGCTGCCAAATCTGGTCCTCCTCGGAAATGGAAGACCGGTGAGAAGCAAGGCATGGACGGGAATGCTCCCATCTACACCTGCCTCGCCCTTCCCCGTTAGATCGCTTACTTTCATAATTACTGTTCGAAGAGAGAGAATTCATAAGAAAATCATAAAACAAGACGTACATTGTTTAAGAAGAGGCCTTGTCCAAACACAAGCCTCTTCTTATGGCCAAACACAGCGCCCGTTTTGTGACCACCTTACTGAGTGCTTTCGAGTGAATAAATGGACAGCTCAAATAATACCAATCTGGCATCCCTCCTAATCCAATAAGGCCATTTATTGTGGCCAAATCTGAGACATTTTTTTCTGAAATTGGATGTAACTGGTAATAACATTCTGGTCAATTACATCCTCAATTATTTTCCTATTATATTTTCAATTCGAACAAACTTCAACTTTTGATTTTCGAATATTTAAAAGTAGAATATAACATTAACATGCTATTATTTGTTTTATAACATGAAAACTGCTAAAATTACATTTTTAACAACTAAAAACTGAAATAAGGTTTGTTTTTTGGTTTACATGCGGAATTACCCAATTACAGTACGACCTCTCCAACAATATTTTGTTTTTCAAAATATTGACACGGAAGACTTGACACCTGGGCGGGAGAGTCAACCTCTTCATGTTAATATTCGTCTTTTTGCATTAGTAGAATCGAATTTATTGAGCATTTTTGTGAAGCTCATGTTCATAGATAAACAAGAAAGAGGCTATCGATTGTTTTTGCGTTTATTGGCATTTATATTATACTTGCTGGATTAACGATGCAGCGGAATGTTTTATAATATTTTAATCTCCTATTCCGTTTCCTTCAGTGTGCGGACGGAGCGTTCTATGTTTGCAAAGTATTTTTGGGGTGGATTGAGCGTTTTTTTTGCTTCTGCCGGTTTCAGAATGGACAACGACGCGTTTTTCGTTTCTGGCGGCTGAAGCCGGCTTTTTCTTTTTGTCTGCCGCTCTTTCGGCCTTTTCAAATCTATACTTTTTGCAGTTATGGCAAGTCGTACTAAGCATAAGCACCACGGTGGCCTTAGGAAGAAACCTTTGGTACCAAAATGGAAGGTGTTCAGAGCTAAAGATCCAGTAATGTCAGTGTTTATGTGGGGCGTGAATCACACGGTAAGTGTTGCGTTACATTGTTACTCAAAACATAGTCAATAACACATTATCGCTATAAAACGTCAATACTTTACTTTTTTAATCGTTTTTTAACGTTGTTGCAGATAACTGAACTTATGCACGTTCCACCACCAGGACTGCTCTTCCCCGATGAGTTCCGTGCTTTTTCAAAGGTCAAGGTGGACAATCATTTCTTCAATAAGTAAGTATTATCGACTAAAACCTTTCTATCTTTAGGGAAAACATGCCTAGTCATTTCAAAGTCAAGCACTATTGTCCCAACGTTTTCCGGAGCTTACGTCAACAATTCGGTGTTGATCAGCGTCATTACTTAGTAAGTTGTTATTTCGATTTATATTGCTTTTTAGAGATCCTTGACTGCCATTGAACCTGAATTGGACCTGCAGGAGAGTTCGAACAACTTCTTTGTTTCATTTGACAGAATGTTTGTGATAAAAGTGATTGACTCTGAAAGTGTAGCCGAGCTTCATTCGATTCTATTTCAATATCATTCGTATGTCGTGGAAAGACAAGGGAAAACCTTGCTACCTCAATACCTGGGACTTTATCGGATTACGGTGGACGGAACGGACAAGTATTACCTTGTTATGAGGAATATCTTTGGATCAAAGTACGCAATTCACAAAAAGTACGATCTCAAGGGTTCAACTGTTCAACGACAAGCCAGCGAGAAGGAGAAGTCCAAGGAATTGCCCACTTTCAAGGACAACGACTTTTTGGAAGACAAGCATAAGTTGTCCATTCCGGTTGACGTGAAGAAGCAATTGTTGGATATTCTCAAGAATGACACAGACTTCTTGACCAAGCTGCACTTGATGGACTACTCGCTGCTGGTGGGGATTCATGACGTTGAGAAGGGAATGGAAGAAAGTTTGGCCGAGAAAGAGGTGGAGAACGATGACGAAAGTGGAGATGAGCTGGCTCCGTCGCCTCCTGACAGTCCAATACCATCTGTCTCGGCTTTTAATCTTGATGAAGAGTTCTTCGCCATTGTCAGTGCTGGTATGTTCTAGTTTTTTACTCTAAATGGACATGAATTTAATTTTTTGATCTAATTTTTTCTTTAATGTTGATATTGTTTTCAGATTCTCCGGAGCAAAAGAAGTATATTTATTTTGTTGGATTGGTCGATATCTTAACCTATTATGGTGTCAAGAAGCGAACTGCTTCGGCCGCGAAATCAGTGAAATACGGTGCTGAAGCGGAACATATATCGACGGTAAAACCTGAGCAGGTGGGTATTTCAAGTTCATTTTTAGATTATAAAATTTAGTTTTTGAAGTTTGGTATTTTAGGTAGTATTTTATATAAAAATTGCTAATATTTGTAGTATAATATCCATATTTTTACAGTATGCACGACGATTAATTGAGTTCGTGGACAAGAACGTAGTCACAACTACCGAATAATACCTTTATTTTGCCTAATCCATTCCTCTAACTGTATATACCTTACTCTAATTGATGCTTCCGGCCATAACTCTACTAAATAAGCATTCACTGCCGGTTTTGGCACTCGCGCCAGTCTTGAAGCCAGGGTTTGTTCGAAACCGCTTGGTCCAACTACGACTTTAGACAGCTTCTCATAATTTAAATTTATTAATGAAAGCAGAACTATTTTATTGATCCGATTATTAAATACATTATGCTTAAGTGAGAAGACCCGGTTTCAGACAATATACAACAAGTGAGAAGATCATGAGTAGTAGTGGTTTAGGTTTGAGCAAGCGAAGTTTAGTGTTGTTAGACGGCGATGCTGCGGTGCCGTTCTCTGACGCGGTCGGTTAAGTTCATCTCCAGATACTTAAGGCTTTCGTGGCTGGCATTGGCGTGCTGAAATGTGAGTGGTGTGCTTCGTCTTAAGGCTATTTGGTAAAGATATGTCAGATTGAGGAGCTACAACAACATGTGAGAAGTACAACTACGTACCAAGTGTTGGACTACAACTTAAGGAGTGTAAATTAAAAGAATTAGTTTTAAAAGGGTAGGTGTACAACATAAAACGTGTAAAACTACCAGCTAAAGGGGTGACATAAGTCAATAAGAGTATTATTAAAACTGTAGGGTGTAGAAGAGGAATACCTGAGTTGGAAACGAGGGAAACTACTACAACAACGATACGACATCACAACGAATCAAACCGTCGTACCACCATCCACCCCCCTGTATTCCGCGTAGGCTTCGACCAGTGCCGCGTCGTAGATCTGGAATGAAGTCAGCGTTCACCCGAAACGAAGTTAGTATAAAGTGGCAAGTGCAGCAAGAGAAGAGGTGCGATTAATCCAAAAACGAACACATATAAGTGTAGTGTACGATGGTACAATCACATCACAGGTGCAGCAATCAGACCACGGCTTCTCGACTCATGTACACTTGGTCCGTGAGTGGGGAAGGGCGCATTACCTCTGAAGTCGAGCTTCCATACAGTCCGCGTTGGATGTCGTCGCTGTACGTGTCGTGGGGTCTAAATATGATGTCATATTAGGGAAGTGGGACTTACGGTTGCTTGAAGTTGTCTTGGCTGTAGTCGGTGTTGGAGTTGTCTTCTCCTAAAAAAAGGTTATTAAACTGTTTTTTAAAACTATATTAGTGATAATACGTTTGCTGATCTTAACTGTGTTAATATTCACATATGAAAGCTTATTTAAAATGACAATAAGGTAGGTAAAATTACCTGCAAAACACATAATTTGTTGTCTGATGCAGTACATCACTCCAACTACAGCTACCAGAACAACCACGATGATGCCCAATAACACCAATACCCAAGCAGGCAGCTGACCAATATCTGAGCTGTCAACTCCAAGTAAATCACTTAATGGCACGGTGATTCTGAAATATTAGTCACATGATTAAAAACGCTATAATAATAACTTAAATAATCTGAATGTGACTTACTGTCTCGAACCATGACTATTCTGAACCTTTAAAAAGATCACACGGCTCTGATCATCTTCCCTGACAGGCGAGATCCTTAGCCTAGCAATGGCACAGTAGTGGGAGCTACTGTTCTGAAGGTTGGCTTCGAAGTGGAAGTTCTGCCATTTGTTTCCAACATAAAGATCGTTGCCGTCAATAGAGAACACGATTTCTCGTGGCGGTAGAGGTGCTGGGTCGGCACAGTAGTGCACGCTCACTACTGCTCCCTCTTCGTACTGTTCTACAGTCGGCAATATGTCAGACACCATAGGTGGACCTTGCACTTGCAAGTTGATGGTTCTCTCTCCTGGCATCTCCAGGCTAGGTGAACATTCGGGGTTTCCTTGGGAGACGATGGAGCACGCTGAGCACCAGTACTGTCCCGAGTACGAGTAGTTGGTGAGATGGAGTTCGCAGATGGAGCTCAGTCGGACGACGTTAGCTGGCAGAGGACCTTGAATCTCTTTGTAGACTCCATTGAGGCCTTGGCCACAGGGAGCATCTACTATTTGATTGTTGGGGTGTTGGAGCTTCCAGTAGACGATTGGACGTGGATTGGCTTCCACTGTGCACGATAGCTTTACAGTCTGCTCCATTGAGACTTTGGAACCTCCATTGAATGGTGGTGAAGTCAGCACTTGTTGGAAGTTGTCGTTCACAACTCTCGCAGCAGCTGGAAAGAACACTTGTAAAACAAATAAGACAAAAGGGGTTAGGATAGAATAGAAATGGCAGTGATAACTTACAATAGGGATCTATGGAAACGGCTTCTGAAGACAAGCCATTTTCGTCGAATAAGCCGTTGTTGGCCGAGCATTGGATCGACTGACCGATCATCTCCACTCCGATCGACAGCTCGGGACCGTCGTTGTTGATGGTGATGCCGTTCTTCATCCAACGGAACGACGTAGCCGGAGGGTTGGCCTGGTTTGAGCATCGCAAGGTCTTCCTTCTGCCTCCTTGACATGTGTTATCGTTGAGCCGATTACATTCCACATAAAAGTGCAGGCCTTGGTTGGGGATGACAACTGGACCTTGTCCATTTGCGTCAACAACATGCACTTGTCTCAAGTACCTGACTACCACTTGGGCCGGAACCGAGTCGATCGGACCGGTCGATAACGCAGCTTGACATATAATGGTGACTCCAGACCACGAGGGATTGGCTTCAACGTTTCTCAACGCCACCGTCTGTAAATATTGTTAGAATGTTTGAGCAAGAACAGAGGTCACTCGTCTATCTAAACATTGGGGAAGGTGCGAACACATATTATCTCTTCTGTAAGCATAACTCTCATCCCAAACTCAAATAAACTCACGGGGAATCCAGCTGTTCGGGTCATGTCCTGTGCCGAGTTGAGCACATTCACGATGTCCGTGATGTTCTTCTGGGGACAGTCCACGCAAACAAACCTCAGCTGGCTGACTGGATGGTCGGAGACGCAGTAGATCGTGTTACTGGCCGATCTCCCGACCATCGTCCACACGATTTCGTTCAGTTGTGTAGCCGATTGAACTGGAAACGGTTGTTCTGATATCTTGACCTGAGCTGGCATCATCTGAGCGTTGAGGCCGAGGAAGAAGCATATTCCCACGATTATGTGGGACGGCCTTAACATGCTGGCCACGCGGTACGACGCTGAAATGAAATCAATTAAAGACAAAGTAAGACGGAAAGTGGACAGCGCGGCCTGTAACTGAAGACAGCGGAGTCTCGAACCGTTCAAGAGTCTGCGAGCGAATCTTTCTTTCGACCTTGATATGTACCTGGGCTGCGTAAACGCGTCTCGACCACCTTGGCAGTGCGCGGAGGGAGTGGGGGGGGGGGGGGACCACAAAACATTAGCATGAGACGCGTCTGACAGAATGCGGAAGGAGTGCCGGCCTGACGCGATCAGGCGCGCCCAAGGGAGCGCTCTCGAGCCTAATTAGGTCGAGATCGGCGGAATGGGACACGATGGGACTGATTGATGAAGCCGCCGGCTTAGCGGGCGGCTTACTCTGCTAATTCCGCTAGTCTGCACCAAATCGATTAGCCGCTGAAAATGGAAGAAATTGTGCGTGGCGACAATGGAAAAACGACAAAAACCATTTACCCCAAAAATGGAAGTCGCGCGCTGGCTAGCCACGATGAAACCTGGGGAACTTTAACTCGAAGAAAGGAACCGTAGGGGGGGGGGAGGAAGACGGGAATATACGAAGTCGCGCAACCATTTTTTCGGTTTCGTAAGATGATTATATTCGGGTTGAGTGGCAATACAGTCGAGTAGGAATGTCAGGGAGATGATGTGCTGGTGGTTTTGGAAAGAATGAACGATCTAGATAAAGGGATCGCCAGGAAAGGACTGTTTCACAAATATCGTATGCATCTCTTGATAGTGCCACATTAGGGGAGACGGCTGGCTGAGTTATGCAAATACAGGCCTGACAGTCGAAAGAAAACAAATAAGGTTTGTGGATAATGTGTTTAAGTAACATAACCTAGGAAAACCTTCGAAGTATTATGCAAGTGACATTCAAAAATAGTGTCCATGTCAAAATACAGTGGAACTCTTGCATAACGAATCGCTCGAGGACTGGAAATTTGTTCGTTATAAAGGAGTTTCGTTATACAGGAGTTTTAAATGCACTGTGTAGTGCCAGACGGGGATTCAAAAGTTGTTCATTATACGGGAGTTTTGTTATAGAGGAGTTCGTTATACAGGAGTTCCACTGTATTTTAGGTTAATTTAGTAACTTTAGTCGTATTCTATAAGTATTCACCAAAATAATTTGAATAAACTGATAAAGAAACCCAGTTCAAACCAAAACAATACAAAAAGCGATATTGTTTTATACGGTTTTCCCACTGAAAGCGACTCCACCACTCAGCTCGTAATGTAACCGGCTTCTGGGAGCTCCAGATGACAGGTTATTGAAACTAAAACAACATGACGTTATAATAACCAAAGACACGCGCCGACAAATGCGCGAGAAATAACACTCGAGGCATCTGATGCGACGAACTGTAATCTCTTTGAAGACGTTCCCGATCCAGGCTAGCTAAGTGACCTTCTGCGCCGCCGCGAAAGCCTTTGAATAATAATTGACACAGCAAAGTGATCCTCCTGAATGACTCTCCAAACAATTATAGTTTCAAGATGCGTGATTAATAAGAGCTCCATTGTGTTTTCACGCATTTCGTACACATTTCACTGTAATCCAGTTCAAGGTACGGTAAAATGTGTTTAATGTTAGAAACTTTACGATGACTTATCGATGAAACAGTGATAAGCAATGAAGAATATTTATTTTAGCAATTTTAATGTTGAAGAGAATAAAAAAATAACTTAACCTTACAAGGCGTGTCCCGTTATGATGGCAGACAATGTCCTCCAAACAAAGGACAATTAATGGCATCGCCACAAAACAATACCAACCATTGCGCATACCCTGATATGTGACTTTGACTGTAATGTAAACAATGTTCTTTCCTCTCCATATTCATTTTATGAGCATTTATAACCAATGTATGGCTTATCTTATACACCTTGACAATATACTTCACATAGCAAAAATGATTTTGCAAATTCCAAAGATAATATTCATGGTATTCACTATGAATTCCTGCCCATCATGACATTTTGATTAAAAGTATAATGTAAACCTTGTTTGTATGGATCTGTACTACGGATTGAAAGGACGGCTGAGTCAGAAGCAACGGCCTCCTGAATGACCGCTTTCCCTTTCCCTTAAGATTGGAATCACTCCATGTAGCCATGTCCTTCTGGCAGTTCGTTCTGTTTGCGTTACTGTTTGCCAGATACGATGCCACTCCGCCGACCCCAGTCATCAACCTCCACGAAGGCATCGTCCAGCTGAATCAGGAGTTCATGGAGCCCCAATATGACAGTAAGTTAGCCTACTGTAGTTAATATGTTGGCAGAGAACATCGTGAAAGGTCAGCCCTACACCCTGGAGATCTACATGGGCAACGTGGACGAGTACGACTACATGGTGGACTATTGTGTGGCCAACGACATTCGCTTCATAGACAACTACGGGTATGTTTGCTCGCTCGCAGCTGTGTTTTACTGATTCATCGTACGAATGACCAGAGGGAAATTAGATAAACGATAAAACCGAAAAGGAAGGCTTTCAGGTGTTTGCGTCCAGATAACGTGTTCAGAGAATTCCGAGAAACCGAGCAGTATTCTTCTGGGCTTGGCGCTCTCAAACGGACCTTGGTGTACTTCTACCCCCAAGATGTCTACTTGAACATACAGTGCCAGATCACCATTATCAGCTGTCGAGGTTGCGCCGAAGTTCGTTTTAATTTGTTTTAACTTTTTGTAATAACAGCTTTAAACTTTTCAATTTACAAACTTAAAGTAATATTTTAGCGTTCTTGTAACAAACATCCCCAAATACCATACCCAACGTACACCATGCCCATCCAGTGCACGTATCCCATCAGTCAGCCGTATGCTCTACCCCCAACTCTACCTTATCCAGTAGTACCACCAGCACCACCTGCTCCATCCCCACCTTTACCATACCCAGTAGCACCGCCAGGACCACCCCCAATCCCACCGCGTAGTCCACAACGTTGTACGTGGTGCTTGGCTGGTCTTCCGTGGTGGTTGTGGTTGATCTTTCTGGTACTACTACTGGTACTACTTTGTCTTTTGTTCCTGCTATTGTTGTGTTGTTGTATCAAGAGGCGGAGACAACAGAAGACAGCTCCAGAATCCGATACGAAACACGTATTCACTATAGAAAAAGGAGTTCAGTCAGGCTACGACGCTACTGGAAGTAAGAACAAACAGATGGACAGGTTCGGCAGCGTGAGGCTACGAGACGAAAATCCAGCGATAAAATACGACAAAAGAAACCTGAATATAGACAATCAGAGGAGATACCATGAAGAAGAACGAGAAGAAGTCAGGCGACGAAGGGAACAGATTCTGGAGCAGCAACAAACACGACAGCTTCAGGAGCGACGTAACAGTGAAGCACGGCGACAACGGTCACATCAGGTGACGGGCAGAGACGTTCCAATACGAAGAGCTGTCCCACCAACATCATACGACAATCACAACTTCGAAGTGTACGAAGAGGATGGCATGGAGCAGGTCACTACAGAATCCCGAGTGTTTTATGGTAAATTATCTGCTTGAATTGGGAGGTAGACTAAAATTATGGTCTTAAAGGGTTTTTTTTAGCATGGTCAAACAAAATTTTGTAAAAAATTTTTTGCTTTTGTGACGAAATTCCACAAATTGATTTTGTTAACAATCTGTCACAATTTCGCTCGAATTGTACAAAATTGACAAAATTTATTCTAAACTTGACACATGTGCTTGATTCTAATGCCCTTTTGTAGAAAACTACCCGGATCAGAATCAGGCGACGGAAATCAGTGCCGAGAGGAGTGGCGGAGGCTCTTATGCGTCATCGAATCCGTCGATCCATCTGAGATTACAGCGAGAGCTACAAGATAACCAGCGAATGCGTCAGCGACGCGAGACTTCCGAGGATTACCGTCAGGAATCTGAATCTATTCAGCCCGTCAGAAGCTACAGACATCATCCGATTCATCATTCGCACGAAGCGCTACGCGAAGACACGGTCAGAACGATGCGACAGTCTTCTGTGATCTAGAACATTACCATTAAATGTGCTCTGGTGTTAGTCTGGTCAAGAAGTGCCTAGAACTTTGTCTATAAGTTCCTTGTTGATTCTTCCATTTACTTTTGGACCGTCTCGTATCTAGAAGCTATTTATTCACCGAATTGTTTGTAAAAATAACTGGAAATAAATGTAGATTAATGCAGTCGATATGGCAAGGTTAGGAAGTCATAGGTTTAGAGGCCAACTGTACTTAAGGATTCAGACGTAATCGAATCTCTGGTAGCCGTTCTTGGTCCTCTTGTTGCGGAGATGTTCGGCAGCAAAGATAATATCTGAAATGAGTCAACTTTCCACAATTGCTTCAAACAATCGCTGTTACAGTAGTCAAGGAAAACAAAACTCACTCCGTTTTTCTTCTTCTGAGAGCTCCGGAGGCAAGATCGTGACTTCTCTGAAGGCTGGGCGTCTGACGCACTTGTTGATCGTCAGAATCAGGGCTACGGAGATGGCGGCGACCAGCGACGCCAGGGCCCAGTTGATGCCGTGATATCGTGGCTGCTCCTTCCTCAACATCGTCGGATACTTTTCCAAATTCAGAATTTTGAACAGCTTACGGTAGTCGTCGCAACGGTTGAAGAAGTCTTCTGAATAGGTCGGGTTCTCAGACAAACAGTAATCGCACAGGGTGTCTTGGTCTCCTCCACATTCCTTCTTGATGTACATAGACGGTCCACAAGTGGCACATACTTTACAATTGTTGATCACTTCGGAGAAGAAGAATCCCTGATGTTAGTATATTAACATACTTCACAATTTAGTTCGTAGCAAGTTACAATAATGTAAACAGTCAAAAGTAACTAATAAACAAGAATTTTAAAAAATTTAAAACATTTCTTACCTCTGGGCATTCTCCTGATTCAGAGCTCAAATCGTACACATTACAGTAGGCCAACTAAACGGTAGAAATTAATTAAAAGCGCCAAGTTGTTATTGACAGTCAGGTTTCACTTTTATCAATCGCTATCGATTAGTTATTTATTCATTCACGGGTAATTACAATATCATACATATATACAAGAGTACAGACTCAGCCGGGATTACAAAGTCATCATTATAGCAGAATGTCATATTATTACGCTAATGGAGTATTTACACTTTGAGACCTACCTGACTACATATCAAAACTAGGGAAAACACCTTAAGGAACATGTTGTTAATGATCGGAAAGAAGTGATAACACTAACTGGCGATTCCCTTCCTCCTTTCCGAGCCTCAAGGCCAGACTGGGAGAGGAAGGGGGGGGGGAGCGAGAGGAAGGACAGGTGATTCAGAAGGCGGTCCTTCTCGAATCACCGCTTTCCCTCCAGATGCCGAAAAGACTGCTTCCGATGGCATACTGTGAAGACTTAAATGACAAATTGTGATCTTCAGAAGTCAGAAGAAGACTCCGTAAAAGAAAAATGATCCTGAACTCAAATGTGTTTTACTATGCCTTCAGAAGTCTCACAGTTCGGCATCTTCGGCCCTGACCAGTTCGTGACAGTCTTGACCGCCGTCGGCCGTCGTCGAGATCGTGGCCACGCTAGGACTTCGAAGGCCTGGCTCCAGAAGGTAGCGTTCAAAGTTGATGATCGGCCTCGTATCTTCGCTCCTTTGAGTGACATTTCGCCATGACCTGAGGGTTCGAGTGCACATGAGACGCTGATTGGTGACCCGCCTCGTCTTCCGAAGCTTCATTTGCTTTCTCTGAGCATGACAGGCTGAGATCAGTGATAAGAAGAAGGTCGAGACCATCAGAAGGAAGCCGAATCCGAAGGTGATGAACGCTTCCGGGCGAAGATTCTGGACTTCTGCACGACTGAGGAAGCAGGCGAGCAGGGTCATTATTGCAATAAAACCTGAAATTGCAATGCTTAAGCCTAATACATTAACTCTACTATCGTCGTAAAAACTTTTCATGTTTTCAACCAGTAACATAATATTACTCATTGACAGATACTTACAGTTACATATTTCTAACGTAGAATTGACTTTAAGCCAAACAAAGAATCCGAACGGTGGTGCCATAAAGTGTAGCACCGCGGCGAAGGAAGAAGTAGTTACTACAACAAAGCATAACGCTATGATAACGTAGAAGTAGTTGGCTACAGTCGGAGAAATGCAATCAATGAGAGCTAAACAATAGTATCATTAATACTTCTTTCCTATACTAAAGTAGTTATAATGCAATAGTTATATTAGAGTAAATAAAAAGTATGTTAAGCTCAAAAGAAGTGATATCTACTTACAGCTATGATTGTAACTGTAGATCAAATGTCTGTTATTGTGTTCTACAAAAGATCCGAAGCGGGCTGGAAGCCAAAAGTGTTTAGAACCGATAGAATCACAAGGCACGATGTTCAAGGAATTGAGTTCATCGTTCTGGATTCTAGAGAGAAAGTCGTCCCACGTGTTATTGTACAAAGATTCATTCAGACTTCTAGGATCGTTCAGTTCTCCGTTATTCAGAAGCAGCCAATCATTACTCACCAACGCGCAAACCGCCTGAAGTAAAATATAGTTTAAAACTTCAAAAAAGATATTAAACATCAAAAAACCACCTAAAACGAGATAACACTGAAATAGAAGACTTACCAAGGTGGCTGTCAAGAAGTTGAACACCGACGATACTACATTGACTTCGGTGGAATCACAGAGCAGAAGCAGATGGCCCGGTCTCACCATGAAGCGCCTCGAATAAAGCTGCAGAAGAGAAACCGACTGTCGGTAAAAGGCACGAGACCCGCTTCACTCGCGCTCTCTCTCTTTCTCGTGCTCTCTCGCTTGGCAATGGCTTTTCTGTTCAGTGCTTTCGAATGGGCATTTAATAAGGGCTCGCGTGACATTTGCATACGTATGTGTTATTTTTACACTACTTTTAATATGTTTAGACATTTCGATCCGAAAGTAAACAGAAGGGTGAACAAAGCTCACTCAGAATAACGTTAAACGGTTCTTCTACGTAGTTTTTGACCGTTATAAAAAATATTTTTGAAAAGCTATAATTGTCCACTTACTGGCTATTTGTTATATTACTTCACGATTGTTACGCTCATTTTAATAATATGTTGTTTTAGACCCTCTTGGAACGTTGTAATTACAGGTTAGGAAAATGAGCGAGGACACAGACAATGTGAAGGTAGTTGTAAGATGTCGACCATTGTCTGAACAGGAAGTAAAAGGAGGCCACAGAACGGCCGTGAATGTAGATAAGATATCAAAAACAATATCAGTGGAAAGTCCGAATGTAAGTTCATTGAATACGACTACATCTCGGTCTAGGACCTCACCAAAACATACACATTCGACCATGTATTTGACTGGAATTGTGACCAGATCACCATCTACAACACCGTCGCCAGACCGATTGTAGAGAACGTGCTCAAGGGATATAACGGTATGTTTGCAGTGTAATGTCACTTTACATTCAATCATTTGATTCATTTTCATAATGTAAGCTCCATATACCTATAAATCTCAGCCTGATACCTTATACATCTAAACATGTTGCAGGGACCATCTTCGCCTATGGCCAAACAGGTACGGGTAAGACATACACTATGTCGGGTGAAGACAAGAATCCAGAAGAACGTGGTATCATCCCCAACTCTTTTGCTCACATCTTCGACCACATTTCAAAGTCGAGTCATGACAAAACGTATGTTATCCTCCCTTTATCATAAGGTACCTTTAGATTCCTAGTCCGAGTGTCATACCTCGAGATCTACAACGAAGAGATACGAGATCTGTTGGCCAAGAACCAAAATCACCATGGTCTGGAAGTAAAGGAACGACCTGACATCGGAGTGTTCGTCAAGAATCTGTCCAACGTTACTGTATCCAGCGCCGACCACATGTTCAAGATCATGCAGTTCGGGAACCTGAATCGTCACATCGGAGCTACGAACATGAACCAGCAGAGCTCACGATCTCACGCTCTGTTCACGGTGACAATCGAATGTTCCAACAACATCAACGGACATCAACATCTGACTCAAGGCAAACTACATCTAGTAGATCTGGCTGTAAGTGCAATTCTACGAACTTTTTGACGAGGAAACTTTTAAATAAGTTTTAGGATTAATTCATCTTTAATTTAGTAAAACATTTAATCTTTAAACCATTTGTGCCAAACATATATTTAACCAAAAGGGTAATAGATAATGTAACTCGTTCAGTAATGTAACTTTACATTCATTCAGGGAAGCGAACGTCAATCAAAGACGGGCGCCTCGGGGGACCGACTCAAAGAGGCGTCAAAGATCAACTTGTCCTTATCCACGTTGGGTAATGTGATAAGCGCATTAGTAGACGCCAAGGCTACACACATACCGTACCGCAACTCCAAACTCACCAGACTACTTCAAGATTCCCTTGGAGGTAACTCCAAGACGGTCATGATAGCTAACATCGGACCAGCTACGTATAACTATGACGAAACCATAAGCACACTGAGATACGCAAATAGGGCCAAGAACATCAAGAACGTGGCCAGAATCAACGAAGACCCCAAAGATGCCATGCTCCGCAAGTTCCAACAGGAGATCGAGCAGCTGAGGAAACAGTTGGAGAACGACGATGGTAATAACCACCATTATCATCTTTTAAACCTTTACTTTTGCAAGATAGTTACCTAAAATAACAATTTTTCAGGGTAAATTACTTTATCCAACGCTAAAACTGAAAAACAATACCTAAAATAACAATTTGAAACAATTTCAGAATCCGACGAAAGCGAGTACGAAGACGATGCTTCAGAAGACAGGAAAGGGCACTACGAAGAACGGATCAAAGATCTCGAAACTGACATTGCCAGTCGAAAACAACATCTAGGTCAAGTCAGAAACATTGGGGACGACGAGAGAAGACGTCTGGCTACAGAATTATTGACCAAGGAAAAAGATCTGAACGCAATTCGAAAAGAATACGATAGTCTACAACAAAAACTGGCAGCGATCGAAAGAAAACTGATCATTGGAGGAGAGAATCTGTTGGAGAAGGCAGAAAAACAGGCCAAGTTGTTGGAACAGAGCAATTTGTAAGTTATATCCCGCAGTTCACAGCATTTTGAGTAAAACAAGGGGCCAAGAAAGGAAAACAAATTCAACTATAAAAAAACAAAATTATTTCGAAATTTGTTGTGGGACAAAATTTCAAAATTCATTGATAAATGTGTGACACTTCGTTACAACAAAAAGATTTTGTTGAAACTTTTTTAGAAAATTTTTGGAACTATCGCTGAAGATTCAGTGAAGAATTATGACTGACATAAATGGCTTTGAAATTTTAGGTAACAAAAAACTTACAATTAAAAACAAAAAAGTTATTTTACAGGGTGCGTGAAAAGTGGTGTTACCAGGTTTTTAAACCAAATATTTACTTTAACAAAAAATATAACTAAAACAACAACTAACAACAGTAACATGTAGTACTAGTTATAACATAGTCAATCAGTTTCAAAGTGTCCCCCCTTTGCGGCTTGGCACAAGCGCAAACGCTTCAAAAAGTTTTCGGTGATGGGCCGCAGCACCTCCGGTAACAGTTTGTCCCACTCTTCGATCAATGCTTGTTTTAAAGACTCTAAAGTTTGGTGTCTTCTACAACACACCCTAGCCTCCAATATCGACCACACACGGTAATACATAGGATTGAGATCGGGATAATATGGAGGCCATTCAGCAGATGCGATGAAGTCAGGGAAATGGGTTCGACGCCACTCTTTTGAGTTTGCTTTATGGGCCGATGCAGACTCTTGCTGAAAGATCCATGCGGCACCTTTGAAGCTTCCGAGCCCAAGGGAGTACCACAGATTCCAAAATGTCCCTTTGATACACTTCTTTGTTGATCTTCACGCCTTCATCGACAAAAATCAAAGGAATCTTGCCTGAAGCACAGATACCGGCCCAAACCATAATGCCCCGAGGGTGTTGACGACTTGCCACGATGGCTTCAGCTTTAGGAGGCTCTGTTGAGTATTATCTGTCATTTTGTTGATTTTAGGCCTCTGTACAAGGTAAATATCTTCTCATCAGTGAAAAGAATTCATTCCTATTTTTGACCAGCGGCCCGCTGCTGAAGCAGTTTACATTTTGTGAAACGTACCGCCTTGTTTTCTTCAGTTAGCTTCTGAACTTTTTTGAGTTTGTACGGCTTCATCTTATGTTTCTTTTCCACTATGCGCCCCAAAGTAGTTTCTTTGATTAACGCCTCCCGGGCCGTTTTTCGTACTGGGGTCCGTGGATTTCGCTTGAAGCGCTTCTTGATCATCTGACGATTGGCCACGGTGTTAAAAGATGCTGGACACCCACTTCTAGGTCTGTCACAGTCATGTCTAAGCTTTTCAAAACGTTTTACGGCTCTGTGGACTGTCTTTCTTGAAATATTCAGCAATTTCGCGATTTTGGGGTTACATTTTCCTTCATTATTTAATTTGATGACGGTAGCCCTCATGTTTGACATCTAAATACAGACAGACGGTAGGCAATGAAAACTTCACTTTTATAATTATACAATAAGAAAACCACGGAGAATAAGACAAAATAAAAAATTTTAAATAATTTAACCGCAACATAGAGAAAACGACCGGTAAAGTTTGGTAACACCACTTTTTACGCACCCTGTATTTAAAATCAAATTGTTTAGAGAACTGGAACAAGCTAAAGCTACAGAGTCGGACCTCATGAAGCGTTTGGAGCATCGACAAGCCGAGAGATTGGACATCGAAGAACGCTACAACAGTCTACAAGAAGAGGTGATGGTGAAGAACAAGAAGCTGAAGAAGGCCTTCACCCATTACCACCAAGCGAAGGCTGAACTCGAAGATATTGAGACAGAACACCAACGGGAGATGGAGGGCATGCTGGAGAACGTGAGAGAGCTTCAGAAGGAGCTCAAGTTGTATATTACACTCATCGAGGCCTATATACCTGATCAGTATGTGGATCTGATTGAGAAGTACGTCTGCTGGAACGACGAGAACGGAGAGTGGCAGCTAAAGTGCATAGCGTACACGGGCAACAACATGAGATCAGCCGACCCAATTACTGCGTTCTCGAGGGTAAACGAGGGACAGCTGAGACCATTGTACTTGTCGTACAATGACTACGTCGACTCGAAGGTCGAGGCGGCCGTCGAGAAGCCGGCTTTTAGGCCAAAGTCAGCTATGAGGTAAGTGAAGGTTACAATTGTGTTATAGTAGTGAATATGAAAGTTGGTTTTGATCTTTTTATGGACTAACTTTTTAGTATCTATTTCTAGTAAAGTAAATATGTAAAGTTATTAAAGTATCTAAACCTTATTTTAGGTAGTGAAAACTGAAAGATTTAATTTTCTGGTTTTAGAGATCGCCAAACCGCGAAGATCATGGCTTTGTTAGACTGAGGATATCTACTAAAATATAACCATACATCACATATGTCTAGAGTGATCTCTATTTATTGACTACCATGATTAATAACCTGTAAATAAAAGCCCTACAATAATATTTTTAGTTGTTAGCCAATTATTTTTGACATTACAAACGGATTAACAGTACAATCTCATTCTCAGTATACGAACCATTTGTAATACTAGGTATAAGAGTGTTATACGATTCAAAATACTACGTACTTGAATGGTATACCCACTGAACATCTAGCACATGAATGTTACGAACGCCAATCCGATGAGCCTTCCGAATGTGATGTGTTGTTTACTGTACTATAACAATGGGATGACGTTCTCCTAAGTCCGTCTAATTAGTAATATTGCAGGTTCCAAGTTCGTATGTTTGGTGACGACATGTTTTGCGAACGGACTCTGGGTTCGGAATGTTATAGTGACTCGTGTTTGTAGGTATATGTTAACGTTGTGTTTGTTCTGAATCTATGTTGATTCTTTGAGAAAAGTCTAGATAATGTAGCCTTAGAAGCTGAATATTGCTTCTACTTTGAGCGCGGTAAATACTGTGGAATGTTTGTGTAGTTAATTATTTATCGGAAAGCCATTATCGGGAATCTAAATTTAAAATCAGACTATCTATATTGTTAATGTCATTTAACTCGCGGGGAGGGGTGGATACATGCTCCGGCCATTGTAATCTAATTACCGGGCCAAGTCCAAGACAATCTCGCAGCAAACAGAATCTCGAAACTTCGTATCTTCTGCGAGGACAATCGTATCTTACCTCTGGTCACAAAGTTCGTGGAATAGAAACTTATTATTATAGTTTTACCTATATATAGCCATAGTGTACTTACTTGAAAGTTAATTTATATCTACTTCACGACCAATTTAGCAAGTCTTATGCTGTAACTTTTACAAATCGTATGTTCGACGAGTGTAAAGTAGAAAGGCCATGCCGTGACATACCTTGGTATGCCAGTATCATGGTGGATCGGGTCTGCAGTATGATACTGGCCGCTTTTCGTTAGAACACATTCACATGTCTTCTTCTTCTTCTCTTCTGATATCACGAAATGGCTTCGGAGGATTTCGATGACCTCCATGGGGGCGGTTCACTGCCTGAGGGCATTCTCAATCCCTATCATTTTACCGAGTGCAGTTGACAGCTGGGGACGTGCTCGAGAGCACGTTGGTTAATATTTTATTGCTCGTGGGTTTGTAATTACTGTGACATTCGCTTCACACCGTCTGACATTTGTTATTTACATTTTTGTTATCACTGTTGTCGCTTGCACGGAAAGTAATTGCCAAACTTAAAGTCACTTCAGGAAATGGGAAATGAATCCTCCTCAGTGTCATCCACCAAGGACAGTTTGGCCGAGGAAATATTTGGCCTCAAGAAGCGCCGCTACGCTCCCAAAAACAAGAAACGTGTGCTTCTGGAGCGGAATCAGAGGACTGACTCCGTGGACAGGTAGGGATATGTTTGAGTATGTTTGAGCATAAGGCATGTAGATATGAAATTCAAGATTCTAGAATTTAGTATGCGATACGTAGATAGGTAAGGCACAGTACAAATAGGTAGGAAAACACTGACAGAAAGATAACGGTAGATAGGCTAAAGAAGTGTAGAGTTAGTCTAAAGTTTTCGAACAAATATGTAAATCAAGATAAAAAAGATTTACATTTTCTTATAATATGACGAAAATTTAATGACAAACTCCGAGAAATTATTTGTAAGCAGACATAGACAAGATTGTATAACTTTTAAACAAACACATCCTAGCGCTATCATAGTGTTTGGACTACATTAAGGTACTACATTTGAGTACTACTAGGTTTAATGTAGTCCAAACAGAAGATAGGTTTGGATTACTACTGTAAACAAGCTGGTCTCTGGTGATGTTGTATTGTTGTTTCTGTTCCTAAGGAACGTAATGTTCAAAGGCCAGACCTTTTGAAACAAACATATCATTGTGATGTAGACTGTTGTATTGTTGCCTTCAGACAAGGAAATACCTATCTTAATATCTTCTTGTAATTCTACAGAAGCCCGCAGTTACTTTCTTTCCAAAGTAGGTTTCACCAGAGCAACGTAATCGTAAGATATTAGGATTTAGATGAGGTTTAGATGAGGAAGTCGTCTACTATAATATTGACAACTTTTACTGTTATCTTAAAAACTAAATTGTTTGTAAAGGTTATCACAAAGTGAGTAAAGTAGAAATTGGAAATATAAAGTTACAAAAAGTAAAGTAGTTAAAGCTTTATAAAATACTTCTACAGTAATATAAAAAAAGAAAAATGTACAGTAATTCGCATGTTGAAAAAAGTCGAGTTTCAATTAATTGAAATGCCCTGAGGCAAGAGTTTATGATGATTAAACCCTTGTTTACTCAGACGAAACAACTTGAAGGTATTCTTTCGCAAATCCCATCTCCCACGTACCTTGTTACTTTGGCACAAACATGGTTATTGCCGTGCCAGCATATGAGCATTCACCGTTCTATTTTCAATTCCTGCAGTTTTAAGCACATGCCATTAGGTGTATAGTAATTTATGTTACCGTGCGTTGCAACATTACTCATGTGTTGTAGCACATGTGTAATGTTGCTTTACCGTGTTATAACCCATAGTAAGGTTATTTTTAATATGACCGTGCTCTAAGTATTACTCAACGTGCTATGTGTCATTTATGTTGCACTTGCTTCCCATTTCAATCATGACATTTCCTGTTTTTTGCATTTCAAAAAACTGCGCGGACTTTCTCAGCCTCAGGGCCCAACTTCTTTCTCACTTTGACTTGACACAATGGATAGTACGACGTAATACTATATAATTAGGGTTTGTGCAATTGCCTTCAGTCTTTCACTTGCAGTTTTGTAGTATTATATCCGTTTGGTTGTGTATAACTCTTTAAACTATATTACCTTATATGAACAACCATATAGCTGCCAATGTACCAAAGATAACTGTGTATGTAGCTTTTTAAGACTAGTTTATTACTATTGTAGTCACAGAACTACAATATCTAGTTATACGATATTTAATTTTAACTCTAAATTGGCATCATCCTGCAGTCAAAACAACCATAACAGAGATTGTTATGCCAGTTATGTTATGTTATTGCAGCAGTAATGCCTAATCAAATTGATATTGTTTTAGCGAAACCGGCTCCTCTTTCATTGGTTGTGGAACAGCGGCCAAAGCTGTTCTGCGCAAAACCTCGGCCCAACGGAGCCACAAGCCTTCTGTAGCCGAACAGTCCACTTCAGAGCAGTACCAACCAGTTCCTTCGCCTAATCAACTACTTCGAGTGCCCGACTTCGACGCTCCGTACCTGGATTCTGGGCCGCGGAAGATATCGTGTCAAGAAATGACGACGACGCTGGATCCGGCGGCTTCTGGAGCTGGCGGACGACGCCGAAGCCGATCGTTGTGTACACAACAGATGCAAAAGGACTGTGCCGTGAGTTGTTTGTGTGGATGTTCTTTATTGCTTCTATTAATAAATGTTGTTATTAACACATTTCGAAATGTATTTATTAATATTACAATCCAGATAACAATATTATATGTTATTGTCTGGATATATGTATTACGTAGTAGATTCCGAGAACCTCCTTATGTAAATACCTTTAGGCCGTTCAAAACAATCAAGGGAATTCATCGTCACGGAGATCTTCTAACGGAACGCTACCGACACTGGCCAGAATCAGAATCCAACATTGCTACAAAAGGGCAAAGTAAGTCTAGTAACTTGCACTTTAATATTACTGTAGTAACCACGATACAACTATTTTCAAAAAAAGGCAAATCTCTCCCAAAACCCAATAAATTATTCGAAATTACTTTACAACGTTCCAAATAACACTTTACACCGTGCAAAGGTATCTTTGCACTACTTTACTCCTTCATTACTACCTCATTTTACAATTTAGACCGACGATTGGGCCCCTGATACTAAAACGTGCGTGTGCCCTGAGGCCAGAAATTAAACCCTTCCTCGGGTGTCTACCTCAAGATCGTGTAGACGAATTGGGCAGTAATTTGTATAACTTTGTGACGGAATGTGTAAATAATATCGACAGTGCGGACACAGTAAGTTTATTGTAATTGTCTTGCTGAAATGACATTCCTATCGTTTTTTCCAACAGTTTGACTAAAACCATGTTAATTTGAATGCAATAACAATATCAACATCGTACTTAAACTCCCATCTCGAAGTATATAATTAAAAACTGTATCTGCAGATCACAGAGATCTCAAAGGACTTTGGCCGAATGCACGTCCAGTTGTGTAACTACGGCTTCCGTCCAGACTTCTTCTCCATCATAGCTGATGCCACTATCGCCGAGTGTGTCAGGTTAGATGGTGGAGCTCACAAGAGGTGCGAGACTCTACTGGCCTGGTCACAATTGATGCAGTCCATGTTCAGCAGTGTCAGAGACGGATACTACGTGGAAATACGACAACAGAGACGCTCTTCCCTACCTCAACATCGCCTGCTCTCCAAACAATTGAGTCACAACGTCAGCATCGACATCGAAACATAATATAATATAAATGTACACAACTGTTCTGTTCGGGGATCACGTAAATTAAGATAATATCTACTCAATTGGAATAAAAAGTAAAATATGATAATAGTTTGCATGAATTTGTAAATAGTCGGCTGTGGTCAAATTTAGTTATCATAATAGAAAATATATTATACTACACAAGTTTCACTTTAGGTCACCAATGTCCACCAAAACCTGTATAACTTCCCCAGCCTTGTAAGTAGATCCAAAAGAAGCCAGTGGCAATTATAAAAATACCGAGGTGTTATTTCGTTATATTATTTACTGAGAGATGTGAAAATACAAAAGAAGATACGAAATTACAGTAAGTTAAGGACAGAAATGGTTGCACGTCGCTGGATCTGATAGATAATCAATGCCGAACCGGATATCTCAGTGGTTAGTCGTAGGATAAGTAGTAAAGGAAAACGACAAATGTACACATATAGGTGGTGAATACGTCGAAAGCTCAGGTAATACAAAGAAGCCTCTGAAGTTACAGTAGAGTTGATAACTGCAGTATTCTTAAAGATACAGTAGAATCCAAATCTACAGTAAGACAAGAGCTCTTGAATTGATGGTGCAGCCAAGGTATTCTCTTACAAGTAGGGTCAAAAACACATGGTACAAGCAACGTAATTACAGAGATTACAGTAGCCCTAAGCGAAGGGGTTGGTGACAGGATTGGGAGTAGCACCGCCATTAGATCCGCCCGTTCTCTGAGCGTGCATCATCTCATTAAGGGAAGGCGAGGGCTTTTGTTGAGCACTGAACGGATTAGTCGTATTCGTCGGAGTCGTCGAAGTTTGTAGCGCCGACGCAAATGGATTCACAGCTAAAACAAGTGACCTTATAACATAATTTAAAAAGAATTCACAGTCGAAATACCATAAACAAAACAACAAACTATGTACATATAGCATAGGATCAAGCAGAACTTCATAGCAACACCAAATTCGAATATAAAACTAACCTGGCTTGTTCTGTGCAACCGAAGGTCCCATCAGATTATCCAAATTTACAAGCGATGAGTTCTCTCCCAGAAAACTCTCTGGAGTCTTCGAATTTACCCGGTTTTGTGGAATTGGACTTGGCGTGGCCACCATGTTTTGAGTCGAATCGGCTTCGAACGCCGCCCAAGGATCGTTCAATTGAGGGTTAGCAGCGACGGCAGCAGCCACGGGTTCTTGTTGTTGTTGAACTGGATTCCAAGGGTCGTTTTGAGCTGGAGCCGGAGGGCCTCCTCCCAGCAAATCAGCCACTAAAATGTAAAAATAAAATTTGTGAGGTTCTTTATCAAAACACTACACTATCAGTTTGCTTTTAACACATATGTTCTTAGCTTTTAAATAACTTTAGAATGCACTTACAAGGATCGACTTGAGGTTTATTTACAGGTGACCAAGGATCAGCGTTGGTCACTGAAGCTGGCATAGCTACTGGAGCCCAAGGGTCGTTAAGACCAGAAGTTCCTAGTCCACTTGGACCTGGAGCAGTAGCATCGCCCAAGTTGAGTGACAGAAGATCGTCCAAAGTGCTCTCAGGTGCTTTGGCAGCCATCGCAGCTAGTTCTTCCTTCTTCTTGCTCTCTTCCAGTGCCATCTGAAGTCTGATGGCATCTCCTTTCCTTAACTCTTCTTCCTTCTCGCACTCCTCTCGAGACAAAGCCAATGCAATCTGCAGCTGCATCTCTTCCTCTCCGATGCTTGAAGGCCGAGCTTCCTCCAGTTCAGAATCTACATTCATAAGCTACATTAGCATCTACACTTACCCACTACAGCACCCGTATCGTGTCGTCGGCCTCCTCGAACCGTGCCGTCCGATGCTATACCCGATCCAGTCTGAGCAAACCTCTTCCTAGTCATCTGAAATCGTGCCCGCTCGTTCTTCAGACGTTCTTCGTCGTTCAACAAGGCCATCATCTGCTTGGCCTTCTCTCTCACGTTCAGACCTTGGTCCCGGTTCTCCTCGATATGTTGGAAGTCTTTCAGCGTCTCTATGCTGTATATGTTTTCTTTACATTGTTGAGCGACCTTGTCGCTGCCACATTTGACTAAATAGTCCAAAAGCACCAAGCTCTTGTAGACGTGTCGCCAGTTCTTGCCGTGATCGTTAAGTCGCTTCCAGATCATAGACATAATCTCGGTGAAGCTCATGGGATTGTGGGTCAGATCGGCAATCTCAGACATCAACGCAGTGGTGGGTCCCCATGGATCGTTACTACAAATTCGCAGTAATTATCGAAACATAACAAAATATACTTCTTTGACCAAAAATAATATGAAAATCAGATTATTTTAAAACCAACCTTGTAGCCTCCCGCACTTTAACTTGAGCGTCGCTAAAGTTATAGGCCACATTCTTGACCTGCCGTCGCAACGTTGAGATTGACATCGTCTACTCGAGAGCGATTCTGTAAATAATTGAATTCAGACAGAGAACAAGGTCGCAAAGCGTTAAATAGAATTGAAATCGGTCAAACCTAGGCACAAACCAAATAAGTTAACCAGATCGACGCAATTCATCCGAAAACATTAACAAAACAAGATACCTTAACTAAAACAAGGTCCTTTATCGGAAAAAGGTCGTTTAACTGCAAAACTGATAACCCAAAGATTAACACCACCGTTAACATGTGATTTGCGACAGACACACGCGTCGATCGTAAATCCCCTTCCAATCCACCCATCACCTCCATCTATCCTCTCTTCTGACGCCACTCCCAACGATATTATCTTCGACTAAAACAAATAACTCCCTCGCGCAAGATAAAGCATAATACCGCTCACGTCGTTCACGTAGACGTGTATTCACAAAAAGAAGATCTCCAGCTCAGAAAAATAGAATAAAGGATGTTCTTTGCATTAACGGCTCCGTTTAAAACTCGAAACGATAGTGAACAACACAAAGTGCTACAGGTGATTCAAAGGTCGAGAGAACCAACTGCCGCGAAAAGTCACAGATTCAGCCTTATTCGAAGCAGCAGCTCATCTCTCGCAATATCGATTGGTGCAGAGACGAGAGCTTCGCAGAAAGGAGAATGACTGCCGCTACACTTGACACAAGAGTCGAGTCTTGCGGTGGTCAAGACTTTTTAGAAAAGGACAAATCCTCGAAAACGACGTTTTATAAACGTTCCTTCCTCAAAGTTCAGGCCTTAGATAAGCTTTTCATTTGAATATTGGATTTTTACTTGTTATTAAAGTAAAATTTAGATTCGGGCCTAAGAAATTAAAGTTATCTAAAGTTGAAGCTTGTTCTAAGCTTTGTTTACATTTTTGGTATCTCTTTCCAATTATTTACAATATAATTACATGTTACACCAAACGTACATCATCTCATCTATCTTCCCACACAATGTTTCTTGAAATTTCCCCGCGTTACACGTTATAATTCCCTTTTCGGAGTTGTTACAGAATGCCAGAGAACTGACGTGTTCAAGAGTGACCACCCGATTGGCTTTGCTTTCTTGCGCGGATCTTCTTATTAATAGCTTTATTACAGGAAGATGAATATATTTCGACTGGTGGCCGACGCTTCCCATCTCTTGGCCATCGGGATTCTTCTGGCCAAGATATGGAAGACCAGGTCGTGTGCAGGTAAGGCAACGTGTTTTTGTTGATTTTGTCGTTTAGAGTGGTATTGTATACAAGAAAGAAATTGATAAAGTAACGAATATGTTAGGTTTTATATAAAATGTATTTTTAATGGCATTTCGGATCATTATTTTAAAAATTTTTGGTTTTTAGGTATCTTATATTGCGTATGTGGCTGTTTTTCCTTACAATCTTGTTTTTTAAGGTATTTCCGGAAAGTCACAGCTTCTGTTTGCCATTGTATTCATATGTCGTTACCTGGATTTATTCACAAACTTCGTTTCTCTCTACAATTCTGTGATGAAGGTAAGCTAATCAAGTTTAATTTAAAATTTTGTTGTTTTAGTTGTTCTTCTTGTCTTCATCAATTGGAACAGTTTACTTGATCTATTTCAAATTCAGAGCGACATACGACAGGTAAAATAAAAAATTGAAGTTTTATGATTTATATTTTCGGAATATTTGCCATTTTTTTTCAAGAACTAACTTTGTTTAAAAAATAACTTTTTAGAGTTATTTTTTGTTACCTAAAATTTTTCAGGAACCATGATTCTTTCCGAATTGAATTCTTGTTGATCCCAACTGCCTTATTGGGCCTTCTGATCAATCATGAGTTCTCAGTGATGGAGATCCTGTGGACCTTCTCTATCTACCTGGAATCTGTAGCCATTATGCCACAGTTGTATATGCTCCAGACGACTGGATCAGCTGAGACCATTACTGCTCACTACTTGTTTGCTTTGGGATCTTACCGAGGCTTGTATATCCTCAACTGGGTCTACCGCTACTACAACGAAAGCTTCATCGATGTTATCGCAGTTGTCGCTGGTATCGTGCAAACTGTGTTATACGCCGACTTCTTCTATCTATACGTCACAAAGGGTAAGTTGTCCTGTTGTTTGAAGGTGCAGTTAACTCTTCAACTGTCAGATTATAATATTATGTGGATGATTAACATGTCATTGTTTCAGTCATCCAACAGAACCGCAACATTCAATTGCCAGCCTAATTAGCTTTCTTATCCGCTTTATTTTATTTATTGATTCTATTTGTATGACAAGTTGATATCCTTGTTGTTATTTATTAAATAGTCCCTGATTGCTAGTTAGTTCCTTTAATGGAGGTATCACATTGGCCGCGAATTGACCGGCATGGTTGTTGTTTCCCGGTGGACTGTAGAAAGCGACGACTACTTTGTAGCCGTTTAGGGGATTGGGTATCGTATCATTAGTTTTTGGGTGTTTGTGGAAGACAAGTGGCAGTGGGGCTGTGCCTATTCCAATCTGAAGAATATTTGGTAGTTTTTGATATTACATGATAAAAGGCGGTATAGTGTTTTTTGATATTATACATGGAGTTACCTCTTTGGTATCTTTCCAAATGACTTGAGTGAAGTAGTTGGTACCGGGCTGCCAGCCGGGTGTATTATACTCGTATACTTTACTTTCTTTGTACCAGTAGTCACACACTTCTTTCGCTGTCAAGGATTTGGGAAAGAAGGTGATGTTTTCTCCCAGATCTACTCCTTAAGTAAGTGGTTTTGCGACAATAATGAACTTACCGGGGGTTTCCTTGTACTTGAGATATCGTTGGCTAGCCAGGAAACAAGCCCATTCTGTAGCTAATGTGCACAGTTCTAGGCTTAGCTGTAGTTCAGGTACACTGTGCTAAAATACGTTAATAGGTGACTGTTTAATGTTTTGTCATCAAATCTTAGGGTAAAAACACAAAGTTAGTTGTTTAAGATAAGAGCTCACTTTGCGTCGATAAGAGTTGTTGGCGTCGAGGAACTGTAGCGCGAAGGGATGGTGGCCGTTGGCGTGGGGCTGAACAGTCATGAAGAGGCCTCGATCTTCTAAAGAAATGGCTTTAGACCATCCAAATTGATGCAGTGAAGCGCGCTTTTTATTTTTATTCTTAATTCGTTTTTTCCGGTCTTGGATTTGGCCGATAAACACTCCTTTTGTCTGATTATCTTTGGCCAGAACAAAAAGCCTATATGATTTGAGGACAACTGGGAATGCTATGATGTGTCCGACAAGCTCGGTAGTAGTACATCACGACGGCTCTGTAGAGAGTTGAGGATGGTGTACTACCAAGGTTGTGGTGAGAGTGGTCACATATAATATCATAGTGTATCAGTGTAAACGATCACCCCGCTTACATTACAATCAACAACTATTTATTGGCAATTTAAGTCAAAAAGTCAAAATAATTACTAGACGGCTTTACAACTATGAGTCAGAGTTTGGCGGTGCTAAGAAAATACCCTCGAGGAAAGAAAAGCCATATTAAGGAGCAGAAGATGACAAAATAAATAAACGAAAGAACACGGCATCTATCTCGCCTTTTTCGTGTTGATGCTTTTGAACAAACTTCAGCGGACGGAAACTTTTTTGTGGCAGGAAGCTTCTTAACGGACGCTGGAGGAGAACAAGGCCGCCTCCGAGATGTATAGTAGTAGTAAACGCGGTATTCTTTTTGGTTTGTTTGAGAACAAAGCATTAGAGCGAGGCCTAGAACAACTTGAACTTCCTCTTCAGATTGACGCGCTTCCATTCCGGCAACTTGTAGAACTCGATGGCCGTCATTTCGAAGATCTCCTCAAACTCGTCCCGATTCAGATGCCGCTCCAGATGTTGGCGGTCGACGTCTGAAGGCAGTTTGTTGTTGTGGGTCTGCAGCTCCTCCAACTTGTAGGTCTTGACCTTCTTGTTCAAGTCTGGTAGTGAAGTGCGTAGGTTGGTGCGGATGTCGCCGGTCGGAGAGAAGCTCTGGTCGTTGTCGCCGGCGGACAAGTTCAGCGAGTCTGAAAGTGACATGTGGTTCAAAAAGTAATGACAGAAGCTTAAAAACCAAAAGGAAAAAGTTCAAAAACCCGAAATAACCGAAATTTAATTTCTCTTGAAATTTAAAAAATGCAAAATCTCAGAAATTAAAAAAACTCACGATCAGAGAAGGTAGAGTTCAAAGTGTCGCCGTAGAAGTAACCTTCTGGTAGGGTGGCAGCACGTGTACCAAGAGTACCACCTTTACCAGGCACGTGGAAGGATGGTATGATAGTCGTCGCTGATCGATCAGCCCCATCAACCCAATAAGCCCATGGTCGCGGCCGATTTGAATGGCGAGAAGGAGCTGAAAGAGCAAATATAGTATACACTCGTGGCTATAAGACACTTATTTGCACATCGAATCGAAGTAAAACAAACAATAAACACTTTTATACACGTTTGGCAGTTTTTTATGAAAGATGACTGCATCTACAATATCATCTTTACAAATTTTAAAAATATGTTAATGTAAAAAAATAAATTCTGTAGCACTTACATGCATTGACAGGAGTATCGTATCGGAATCTGAGATGTGGCATTTTCTTGCCTGAGGGTGCTCTGGCGGCGTTTCGAGGGTCCCAATGTAAAGGATGTCGTTGTTGGTTCTTGCTTTCTTCGATGTTCTGTTTGATTACATGGGCGATCGACGAAGATTTGTCGAGATTCTCCAAGGCTTTCACGTTCTTCTCAATCTTGTTTATGTCAATCTTGGTCTGATCTCCGTAGTCGTCTTCTTCGTCATCGTTCTCTACTGATGACGATGACAAACGTCGCTTGAGCTCTGAACAATTTGAAATGAATTACTTTAGTTGTGACGTTTCGTTTAAATTAAACCTTAATTTGAATATTTTAACTTACTACTAAAAACTTAATCACTAACATTTATAACAATAACGTGCTTACCTTCAACGGCGTAGGGATAAGGTGGTGCAGGGAAGTCTTCCCTTTCTATCGCTGGTACCTCGTCTGGTTCCGGTTCTCGAGCTCCTGGGTAGTGTGCCAACTCGATCGGTTCCTCATTATCCATATGAGGTGACTTTGCCCGAGGCACTGTTTTGGACTCGAGATCTTCTGCCAGCCTTTGCATTCCCGTCTTGAGCATGGCCATTCTTGACTTCCTGATCTTGATCGGGGCCTGTGGGGTGTGGTATTGTGCAGGGGGCGGAGGGTGGGGTGCGATCGGATGTTTTAGGTAGGTCTGTTCGGCTTCTGGCAACATATACATGTAGGTGACTTGCTGGGCCAACGCATTCTGATACTTGGGCTGTGACATTTTGGAGGGGGATTTGGTTAACTGAAAAGATTGACACGTTTGGATTAGCGAAAGTAAACAATCGTATACAAAAAACAATGGTTTGCTCGGTTCGAGATCACCGGGTTACTTTTACCTTTTCAACTTAATCTACTACAATCAAAAGGCAGAAGCAAGGGGTGGGACTTGATGGGTTAGTGACTTTTCGGGTAGGGACATTCCGGGTAGCGACTTTTTCGGGTAGGACATTTCGGGTAATGGATTTTTCGGGTAGGGACTTTTCGGATGATGGATATTTCGGGCAATGGTAATTTCGGGTAGGAAAAGTAGCTACCCGAACAATCCCTACCCGAAATTACCATTGCCCGAAATATACATCACCCGAAAATTCCTTACCCGAAAAGTCCCTACCCGAAAAGTCCATTACCCGAAATGTCCTACCCGAAAAGTCGCTACCCGAAATGTCCCTACCCGAAAACTCCTGCTCCCGGACTTGATCTGTTTGCGGTGGGGATGTGCACGAAAAAGGGTACGGCGTCCTCAAAGTGCCGTCCTTGAAACGTCCTGCTTAATGCACTTCACCTCTTTCCTTGCTTTCTGCCCCCCCTTCGCTTTTGGCTTTTTGTCATAATCAAACTAATCTTACTGACCGCCAAATTATCGGTGGGGAAGTCTTCGCACTGGGGATGCCAGATGTCGTTGCCCTGGATGTACATCTCCTGACCGTCGCCGAAGTGATTCCCACATCGTGTGCATCGTGCGCAGGTCGGGTGGAATTTGTAGGTGCCGGCCTGGAAATTGGATTATTTGTCTCGAGTAAACAACAACGCCTGAGGCCAAAAGCTGAGTTCTAAGGGTCATTTTTTTAAATTCTTGTTGTTTTAGTAAAGTTATGTAAGTCGTCATTAAAGTTTTGTCACTACTATGATTTGACTGACGACTTTTGAAAAAAAATTCAGAAATGTCAGTTGGGAAAAATATTATCGAAAAAAACTTTTTCGAAATTTAAAAAAAGCGTTTGTTTTGATATTATTTTAAAGTTTAAAAAACCAATTTTTTCAAAAATTTCCCTGATAAATTTAAAAAAACTGACCTGTAAAACCCTTCCAGCGATGAACTTGTCGCATTCGTAACAGCGTACACCATGCTTGTTGTTGTAGTCACGGATACATAGGGGTTTGTTCTCAAATGCCATATATTCACCTTGTAGAACGGCATCACATTCGGCACATTTGAAGCACGAAACGTGCCAGCTTTTGTTCAGAGCTTGTAGTACTTGGCCACTGCTTAACAGATCCCCGCAGGCTGCGCATGCTGAAAAAGTAATTTAATTATCATTTCGATTATAGAAATTTGACCATATTTTAATTTTGCAACCAAAGGTTAGCAATTTAGATATTAATGGAACTTGTAATCGTTTTACATTTAAAATTGTGATAATAATGCAAACTTTTTGTTCGTATTACGAAAAAGTACGACGACCGTAGTTAGCCTAAACTTTTTGCATTATTTTTATGACAAGTTATCTCAGATTCTCAAAAAATGTTTTTTTTATAAAAAATACCGTAAAAGGTACATTGATCTATGTTCTTGTAAATTTTAAAACAGTAGTTCGTGCTGTTAACCTCAAAGAAGTGATAAGAAACCAAAAAACTGACCCGTAGGCGATGACGGACTCGACAGCCCTTTATCAGCGGAATTCCCACGCTCGGCATTAACCGCCAGAGGGGAGGTGAGGCTCTTGTAATGGGTGGGGCAGAGGTAGGTTCCATCAGCTGTGGAGTAGAACCCGGTTTCACTGAGGAGATCTCCGCACGCTAAACTCAGAATCAGAAGGATGACTCAGCACCTACCTTTGCACTTGAAACAATCAATATGAAAGTATTTGTCCCCATCTGCCCTCAGGATGTCTCCCGAGCATTTCTTTTTGCAAATCTGACACTTCTTCCCTGAAACCACAACTTTAGTCCAAATAAATATTGAATTCAGATTTGAAAAGTGTTTAATGCCAAAAAGTACGTGCGAGCGTGCTCTGATATGTTATGTATGTATCATATTTTATTTATATTATTGTACCGAAAAAGCACTGTCAGAGTGTAAAGCGAACAGTTGACCTTTAGGCGTTGTAAAGCCATTAAAGAGTAGCGATAAACAAAAAGAATGATAAACTGTTAACGAAACGGTTGTGACGCAGCCACTTACCCATGCTGTGATAGTAGCAACAATATTGGAGGAAGTTATGTTCGAGAGGAGCGGGGAGAGCGGGTTGCGAGAGGGAATCGCCGCTGGCAAGCCCCGAGTCCTGTCCTGGTCTTTATGCCAGAGACACACCCACTACCACCACTCTCCAGCTGTCAGTGCGCGTTTCTCGGCCAGCGGGGTCTGCTCCGGGCACTGACCTCGGCCGATGCCAACGGAAATGCTCCCAAACCCGGACCCGGTCTTTGTTCTCCTCGAAGCCGCGGGATTCTGCCGGCTTCACAAATCTGGCAAAACACAATTCGGACGCTATTAATATTATACTAGTAAGTCGTAGTACTCGCGTTAGTATTTGTATTCGAATTCGAGTTCAGTAAAAGCCGGTTATTTTAATAAATATCGGTCAAAAAGTTTATGGAATGTAGGGTTACTTTGATAAAGACCAAACCGTGTATTCTTCTCCAAAATGATATTTGTCTTCTGTACAAGTCTAATAGACCTCTCTTTGTTTACTCTAACAATGGATAAATTTGAGGACGAAACGAGTTTCTAACTATAAACTATGAGTCATTAAACTGTAAATTTTAGCGTAAATTCTTCTTGTTTCAAGTTTAAACCCTAAGTTATAAAATTAAACCTCTGTTAAGCCTATTAATCGCCAAAAATATAAATTGTAACGATTTGTAACTATTTTCTTACAAAACAACGTTTGTTAGCAGTAAAAGTAAAGATTTTAGCTTGAAACACAAGGCCAAAACGACAAGAATGTGAAATATTTATGTTTACTTTTGAATTTGTTGATATTGACTGCAAAAAAGTAAACATTTCACAAAATTACGTCAAAAGAGTGTTTCAAGTCAAAAATAAAGCATATTTGTAAGGAAAACATCATCTACACTTTATAAATGTAATACAGCAGATATACACCATGGTAACACGAAGAAACCGCATTGTAAAATGCAAATTGAAAGCAATTCTTAGACGAAAAAGAAGACAGTAAACAAAAAAAGAATTCTGGAGCGATTCATCTCTCGCAGCCTTGATCCATCCACAGGGTAGGAACGCAAAAGAAAGGCAAGAGCAGGGAGAGAGCATGAGGCAGGGGGGGGAGGGGGGGGGGAGGGGGGGGCAGCGGGATCAGGTCTGCTGGATATCGAGTCAAGTTACATCGGAATCACGCCATGCACACGACCATAGCCACTACTAAAACAACAGCCTACAATAATATTTTAAGTATAACGAGATAGCACTGTCTTCCCAATAAGTTAATTAAGGCATGGAAACAGCCTTTAACAGCGTGACATATGGCCAAAATAAAAACACCGCTTTTACTTTCTTTAGATTGGCCATGTTGGAAGCGTTTTCTCGGCTACAATAAGGATGTTAGGTTAGCAGGGCTGAGCTCAAAGTTTGAGATGTAACATATATTAGTTTTAAACTGTTTTCTATAACTTTGGCCGAGTGTTTCGTGTCTTCATATCTTGTAGTGTTTGTTTAGTGAGTTCGCGTTCCATGTTTAACAACTGCAAATTGCCTTAAAGAGTAGTAAGTTGTTAATCTGCCGAATATGGAGCTTAAATGAATCCGTGCTCGGATGGATAAGGTGGGAGGAGGAGAAAAAGAAGTCAGAGTAATAGAAAACAACTATTTTGTGGCCGTCGTTTAATGCCCCCTCCTCTGTTTCCCACTTTGGGCAGAGTCCCCGTTTTCTTGTCACTTCACGGACATCCGGATTAAGGGCCTCGAAGTTACTCAGGTCGTCGTATCTTCGGTCAATTAGGTTTACGTAACGTGGTGTGGGCTCGTCGTATGTCAGGCTTTTATATACCAACGCGCGGATTTGCCTCAATTCTTGGGCTTTTGAGCGAACGCTTCGCTCCTCGGCTCTGTTTGTTCTTACACTGGTCTTACATTACACTACTTTTACATTACTTTACTTCACTTTACTTTGCCGCGTTATAGTAGTTTATACTTATATTTTTATTATGTAACACTTTACATTACTTTACCCGCTTCGAGAGGGTTGTTTACTAAAAGGCCTTATTGACTGTAATGCTTATAACTCCGTTATGCTTTAAGGATGGAGGAAGAAGGAACGTCGTCAATGGTTCCTTCTGATGACATTCACTGGAGATTCTCTCAGGTCAAAGGTATCATCGAGAGTGATGAACAGCCCACTGACGGTGAGTATAACTTAACATAACCCTTAATATCTGTTACAACTAATGCATCTTACAGAAACTAGTAAATGTCAAATAAAATTAAACATTTCAAACATCAAGTTGAACGAAATGTTGTAGTAAACTGACTTAATGTAATCTTTTTAGTAGATCTGATATCATGTGTAGAGTTCTCGGATGACGGTGAGCTACTGGCTACGGGAGACAAGGGGGGTCGAGTTGTCATCTTCCAAAGGAATCAGGTATGTAGCCGACTTCATTGTGAATCTTTTGATTTTAGTCGTGGAACTACTCTGGCAACAGAAGCAGCGAGTACAATGTCTACTCCACGTTTCAATCTCACGAACCTGAATTCGACTACTTGAAGTCGCTGGAGATCGAGGAGAAAATCAACCAGATCAGGTGGTTGAAGAAGAAGAATGCTGCCAACTTTATCATCTCAACTAACGGTATGACAATACTGTTGGTGTTAAAACACTATCACTTCTTTACTATAGTATAATATGTCTTAATCATGACAATGATTCCAGATAAAACAGTGAAACTATGGAAGATTTCGGAAAGAGAGAAGAAGGTGGCGGATGGTAACTACAATATCCAAGACGGGTCTCGCATCAGGAACGATGATCTTGTACTACCCAGACTCGAACCCATGGAGTTGGTGGTAGAAGCTTCTCCACGACGAGTCTACGCTAATGCTCACACTTACCACATTAACTCAATAAGCATCAACGCTGATCAGGTATCTCATCACAAATACTTTAAATATATTGTCATACACAGTAACATATCTATTTCAAAATGAAAAAAAAACATAAGAAATCATTAATACCTGAAGCCTTACGTACTATTTCAGGAAACGTTTATATCAGCAGACGACCTCCGCATCAACCTATGGCATCATGAAATCACCAATCAGAGCTTCAACATAGTCGACATAAAACCCGTGAATATGGAAGAACTTACTGAGGTAATCACGGCAGCTCACTACCATCCAATCGAGGGTAACTTGTTCTCCTACAGCTCATCCAAGGGCATCATTCGACTATGTGATACAAGGATGTCAGCATTGTGTGATCAAGCTGCTAGAGGTCAGTTTGTGTCTTGTTTATAGGTACTTCAAGTATTTAGGTTTACATAGTTTGACATACAAACGAGATATCATAAAATATTATAAAATATTTGCCATTTACTACGTTCATGTTTACAGTATTCGAAGAGAAAGAAGATCCTACTACAAGGTCGTTCTTCTCAGAAATCATCTCCTCCATATCCGATATCAAGTTCTCCAACAATGGACGATATATCATGACCAGGGATTATCTTACTGTTAATGTAAGCGATTGATAATAAGGAAACCATATTTTACAGTAATCTAATCACACATTTTACAACTTTAGGTATGGGACTTGAGTATGGAGAACAAACCAGTAGAAACATACTACGTACACGACTATCTCCGCTCAAAGCTGTGCACCTTATACGAGAACGACTCCATCTTCGACAAGTTCGAGTGCTGTTGGAGTGGAGACGACACGTGAGTTAAAATACTATAAATATACGTATACTGTAACATATGATCCTGGAGTGTTTGTAGCATCTACTGCAATATTATTTGTCACAAAACCTCGAGTATGACATTTCAGGCACATCGTAACCGGATCCTACAACAACTTCTTCCGAACGTTTAAACGCGGCTTCGGAGTCGAATCAACATACGAAGCCAGCCTCGACCTCTGTAAACTACCAGCCATGTACAGGCAGAAAAAGAACAACTCCGGCCTCATGGGTCGGAAACGGAAGGAAGACATCTACACCGACCACCTCGACTTCACCAAGAAGATCCTGCACTGTGCGTGGCATCCCACTTCCAACATCGTCGCTCTGGCAGCCACGAACAACTTGTACATCTTCGAAGGTGTGCCTGTCTCTCAATAGTCGTCGGCCACTCAACGGGTCTCAACTCCGACGATTCTGTTACCTGATCTTTTCATCCGGTGGATCTCTCTTTCTTATTTAAAAACCATTTCGGCCAAAAAGTTATGTTATAGTAGTGCTGAAGTTGAAGATATTGTAGTAGATCTTATTTTAATTGTTTTAACTTATTTTCTGTGTACTTTTTGACCGATCTGGTAACTCAACGACTCTCGAAAGCCATCAAGCCTGGAGCTTACTAATTAATAATTTATGCAGTAGTTGTACATTATGTTGAATAGTCAGGATCTAAGGTAATTACTCGTCGATCTTTTTCGAAAATAAATTTGGATTGTGGGAAGGTGATTGTTTTTATGGACTTCCGTTTGATAGATTCCTGTGATAAGATAAAAAGCTTTCGCTCCAAATTTAAAGTCAAACAATGTTATTCTACGTAACGCAATGTTGCAAATTCATTTTGCAAGGAACCTCAAAATAAATTTTTAAAGAAAATTTATAAAAATCTGGATTTCTTTGAATATTTTGTGGAAACGCACTAATAACACAGCTAAATACGTAGTGTTGAACAAACCCTACGTCACTTATTGTCTGACCAGCCTCCCCTCCCTTCCTTCCCCACCCCTTCCTCTACATTCTCCTATCCATTCGCTTCGTTTTCTTTCGAAATTCCGCGGTTTTCTCCAAAAAAAAAGAATTTCTGGCCTAAAATCTTCCTAAAAGTCGATTAAAAATTAGTTTTCCAATTATTTTTGGTTTTATTTTATTAGTTTTCTTAACATTTCGTCTCTTTTTCTTTTGATACCTAAATTAAGGTAATTTAAGCCTTTTATTGTAGTTTTTTACTATTGCATCATGGTTTAGGTATTGATTTTCGGTATTTTATATTGTATATTATAGTTAATTTTGTATTTTTAACATCTTTTAACAATTAAACAACCTTTAAAGAGGTAGGTTGATGTAAAAAATATATTTTAGTTTGATTTCACGTGAATATTGCTTTAATGGGTTTAAACCACAAACTAGAAACCTAATTTGTCACCGTTTCAGGTTTGGTACTTTAAGTCATCTTGGAATGGAGATGACTTTGTTCTAAACTTTGCGGGGTCTCAACGAACATTGTGGTAAGTAGGCGGATCATTTACACAACTGTCTCCAATGGAGCGACTTCGTTCATTGCTTCAAATTGATATTATCCTTCCTTCGTTCCCAGTTCCGATATCGATTAATTCAAAAGCTTTATTTTAACGTTTCGATCCATCAAAATTCAAACAATCCGATTATTATTTTGAATATTATTGTTGTTTTGACACCTTAAATAGCTATTTTAATACCTGACACCTTGTTACATATGTATACAGTATCCTTGTAGAGCTACTGTCACTCACGATGAACTCCTTCACCATGAACATGGAGGCTACTTCCTTCCCAACTATCTCTGAACAAGAAACACCTATATACATACCACAACATGGACATACAATTAGTGCCCAAAGTGCCATGGGAGCTGGCCCTGAACAGCCTGGACCCTCTTATTCAGGACACCTTTCTTGGGTCCAGTCAACCAGCTTCTCCGCTCCCATTTGTCAAGTGAGTATAATATGAGATACGATGCCTATATTACTGTAATGACAATATCATTCTATTGTATCTTCAGGGAACCCAGTGTTGTGTTTGTTGGGCCTAAATGCGACCAACAGAACGGCGGATTCCGCGGCGAATATGAAATGGACGAGGTCAACTACATGCAATGGTTCGATGACACCGACATGGAAGTTACAGTACCCGGATGGAACCCCACTGGACATACCGAGCTACCACAACCAGCACCAACAATACAACAACAACATACTGATAGGTACGTCCGCCTTTCTGATTACCTTCTTTGACTCGAGTTTTACATAGGACAAGACGGTATAGTGTAATCAATATAATTCTTACTGTAATGGTTTCAGCCAAGATACCGGACTAACTTCACCAGGCAGTACCTACTCTTCAGCATGGAGCACTGGCGGTGAATCAGTGATGACTCAAGAAGAAATTCTCGAAGAGATCCAACGAGAATGTGCCGAGATCGAACGGCGTTCCTTGTCCCCACCCTTAACATCAAGAAAGGTAAGACTCGTCAATGCTAACAATCATCCTTAATATCTCCAAAAACGATAGTAAAGTAAAACAAGACGGTCCTGTTTCAAACTGATGTTCTAATGTCTACAATCACGTCCTGTTTTAAACCAATCACGGTCTGGTTTTTCCCAAATTAATCATCGCTGACTTTCAGAAGCTTAAAATACGCCGCTCGGTAGTGGATGGCGACGATCGTAAAAAGGAATTGAATCGCATTGCCGCCACGAGATATCGAGAAAAGAAACGTCGAGAGAAAGAAGGCTTGTGGGTGGAAGAAAAACAACTCATCGACCGGAACCGCCGCCTTAACGAGACCGTCGTGGACTTGAAGGCCGAGATCGGTTACCTTCGGAAGCTTCTCAAGGACATGGAACATCGTTCACGCTCCAACTGATCTCCACAACATTTCGCCCGCTATTACCGCCGTTACAGTCGCACCTTAAACATAACTTAACACCTATTCTCGTTATTTTAGCCACATAAATAGTACTTTCTATTTAAATCATATTCGAATATTATCCAGAAAACTAAGCATTATTGTTTCCCTACAACAACATAAGCCTATTCCAGAAGGAAAAGAAACCTTTCGGGCCAGAGACAAACGCAAATTAAAGTCAAAAGCCAATTCTGAATCTAATTTGGTCCGTTTTATAAAAGCGCCTGTGAATTGACATTGATGATGTGCAGGCCTCGCTCTAACCGCCTATTGTCGCATCAGCAGCTTCAAGAGGTTTCCGCGCTTTCTTGCATCTTGTTCATCGCAATCCAATCTTTCCGATTTGCGCAGGAAGTTTTTCGGTTCCGCCATAGCGGTTTTTCAAATTTGATTCGACTTTCCCGCCGGAGGAGCAGAGCAAACCACGCGAAGCCTTTATCGTCCGAGATCAGCACCTGAGCAGCGCTTCTTCAGTTGCAGTAGCCATGTCAGTGGGGTGTTTTCGGGTTATATCTACTGCTGTACGGGCTGGGTTAGGCGTGATATACCTCCAAAATACAGCCGGCTGGCACTCTTGTTTACAATGCGCATGCCGAGTGCACTTTGCTCTACCTGTCTCTCTCTTGATTAAAGCGGTCAGTGTCTCGAGGAGGTAGGTAAAGGGACCATTCGGCCCTTCGAGCGGCTAATTTTAATTCCCCGATTCCATAAGCTTCTTGCTCTCGCCCACCAACAAAACAGCCATTCCCTTCCTCTTATTGTAAAGACCACTTCCCCTGCCTTGGAGGTATAATTGGATGAGCGACACCGTCTCATCCCCCTTATATTACCCATCTAATACAACTTGCTCTCTCATCCCTTTATATTACCCATGAATTTACTCTCTCATCCTACTTTTCGTTTGTTACGGCTTAACTGTCGGCTAGCATGCCTATTCGTGATAATTAATCATTCCGCGGTAATTATTGCCATAATAACATAGTTGTTATTGTGAAAACTATGTTATTGTGTAGCATATTTTGTTAGTTTTTACATCGTAAAACAACAAAACTGGAAGGAAACGGACCGAAAATAATAAAGATGTTATCTATCTTGGACGGTAAATCCTATCTTTTCTTATGAAAACGCAAAATTGTCGAAAACATCTTTGTTTTCCAAAGTATCCAGAAAACCTGTCATGGTTTCAAAAAATAAGTCATGGTTCTGAAAAATAAATCGTTTTTTTATAAAATAAGTCATGTTTATATAAAATAAGTCATAATTTTGTATATTCGTAGCGAAAAAACGTCAAGACGACGTGTTTTCTGGAGGTTGGTTATTATACCCTTGAAAACAACAGTTTTCGCGTGAGTAGTTTTTGCTTTACATCATTATTAGAAGTTCTTCTTATACATGTGTTTCAGGCCATAGCATTCGTCTTTTGATGGTAACGTGATAGACAACGGTGTAGATATGTCCAAAATCAAAGGGATAAGTATCTTTGTTATTCTCTGTATATATTGTCGTACTGTGGAGGCCGTGAACGGTAGTTTGGAGTATAATACCGACCAGATCAGCCGAGATGGAGTCAACGACCCAGCTATGAAGTATTTGTACTCTTTCAACGACTATGTTATCAGTTTGTTGTCGAATCGACCGTTTCCTCAAGAAACGCTGATCGACCAAGACTTTATGAACTTGAACGTGGTCAAGTCTGTCCAGAACAACCAGAATCGGGTGGGTATACCTATATAAGTTTAGTTTTTTACCTTTTTTATAGTTTTCATTTATTATTATTGTTTTTTTTACATTTTGGTAAGATGTATTGTGGGTTGTTACCTAATGATATAATACACCATTCGAGTCTATTAGATCGTGAGTAATATATGAATCATTTCAGTGGCTGTTACACGAACAATGGTGGTTGGGGATCGCCGCCGTCTTAGTGGTGGGGTCCTTACTCTATACCATCTTCTACATTCTCTACAAGTGTTGTGTATGTTGTTGTGGCCAGAAGAAGGAAGAAGTGGACGGCCGATGGGACGACTGCAAAAGAACCTTGCTCAATCTTGTTTTTGCCTTTTTTGTTATTATTAGTATCTTTGCATCTGTTGCAGTTTTGTTATGTTCTCAATATGCCACTTTATCAGTGGAGAGGTTTCCCAGTGTCATTACCTGGTTTGGAGATGATCTGGAGATGTACAAGAGCTACAATAATGAGGTGAGTTTTATAAGAAGATTATGTTTGCGTAGAATGTAGTATGTTTTATGGTTTCTTGTTGTAGTTTATACCTAAAATCTTTAATGTGAACATAATTTGGAAAAGGTGTATATAATAATAATATATTTTAAATTTGCTTATAGTTAGCCGATGAGATTATCGAAAATGGATGGAGAGATACCAAAGATGAGTTCAAGTTTTACCTTCACAATACGGGTCGAGATGTTGTTAACAATTTGTACGATCATGTGTCTAACAAAATCTTCTTTCAATTGAACAAGATCAATTCAGGTGATTTTTATGCATTTCGTGATCTTGTTACCTAAATCACTGATTATTTTAATTATTTTTTTAATACTATTTGATTTGAACTTTTATCTTTAATTATGTATCAGAATTTATTACCTAAAATCTGTGAAAATATCCAATTTGGATATCTAATATTTGATTTCAGCTACGATGGAGTTGCGAGAGTTGAGTGATGACAAAGCTTTTGGTGTTATGTTGGAGATGTTGAGCAAGAATGGTGCTGATTATGGACTAACGTCTCATCAAATTGTAAGTTTATAATGATTATCAGTTAGTATTGACGGTTCCGTTTAAAGACGGTGATAAATGTTTGCTATAAAGTTATGAGCATATTGTTAAGTACATTATTGCACAGATGTAAGAATCTGTATTTCAGAACACGGTAAACAAACTGAAGCTCTACCTACCTCGACTGGAGGAGATGACTCAACTGAAGGATCTGAACAAAACCCTCGAAGCAACGGCTTCTAACATTCAACAAAAGGTTGATCGCTACGTTAACAGTGAGTTATCTTTGTAATGACAGTATGTTTTAGGTAAACTTGGATGTTTTAGATATGAATATTCGTGACGGTGACTTTTCAGATATCATACAACGTATCGACGAAGAAGACAGCACGGTGCAAGATGTCCAGCTACAGATTAAGAAAGAACTGGATTCCTTGGACTTCTCGGAAGTGCACCAGTTGGCCCACAAGCTGCAGAAGATCTTCGAAGACAACAAACAGTACATTAACATTGCGTATGTCACTTTCAAATTTCATTTAGTTTTTGATTAATTTTAAAAACTATTACCATTGTGTATGTTACTATTACTACAATACTATAGCTGGTTTGCCTTCCTTGGAGTAGCAGCTATGTTGTTCTTCATAGCTTTGTGTTTCCTGTTCGGAGTGTTTTATGGGATGTGTGGTAGAAGAGCCAGCTACTACAACGACGATTGTTGTGTCAGACCTACTGGTGGCAAGTTCTATGGATGGTAAGTTCGAAATTTACTATAAAAAACTAAATTAATTGTCTTGTATTTTTGGTTAATATGTGCATATGTCGTATAGTATCGTGATGTATCTTTACAGTGGGATCTTCCTGGCTGTGTTGATGTTCTTTGTGCTGTCAGTCGTAGCATCAGTCTTGATGTTGGTATTCGCCAACGCTACTGACATTGTTTGTGATCCATGGAAGCATCCAGAAAGCCGACCGGAGATGATCGACCTGGCTGACAGAGTAATGTACGAGAAGTTGATCAACACGAGGACAAATAGTGGAGCACTTTCTGAAGTGTTGGGGACGAAGACCAACCTCAAGCAGTTGATCAAGGGATGTCAGAACCAGACCACCTTCGTCCAGATGATCGGATTAAGGGACAAGTACAAGAACCTCTCTCCGTTCAATGACAAGATCGACGAGATATCCAAACTTGGAGATAGCATCCGCAACTTCTTCGAGTCCGACTTCAAGCTGGAGGTTGACTTGGATGTGGATGAAACTGAAAAGCATCTAGATCAGCTAAGAGGCTTCTCCGAGATTGATCTTACTGTAAGTAGTTTAATGAAAGCATACGATGATTATAAAACTTATTACTGAACATCGACTATACCAATATGTTTAGGAATTCAAATCATATCCTCAAATCCAACAGTTTCTGCCACTTCTGGAAAGAGCTGAGTCCGCGATTAAGAAGCTGAGTAATCTACCTACAAAAGGAGCTCTGGTCTTGGCTCAAAACACCTTGGCTAACAAGGACGAGTACGGCAAGAACATGAACAAAGTAGTCGTAGAAGCTACCAATAAGATCAAGCAAATCATCGAGAAGTACTTCAATCGACTACAGGACTCCTTGGAGACGCGGATCACAAGTTGTGAGCCGATCTCACACATCATGGGTAACATGAGAATGGCAGTATGTGATCATACCGTGGACCCCATCAACGGAATCTGGATGTCTTTGCTACTGAGTGTGATTCTGTTCGTTCCCTTGATCATGATGGCCAACTCTCTTACCAAACTCTACAACCACGCTGCCCCCTTCACTAAATAGTAAGTTAACTTTAACTTTTTTGGCTGATGATCCGTAACAATTATTTCAACTGACTTTACGTTGTGCTATAACATTTTACAGTAATTACAGTACTGTGCACGAACCTCATACTGAAGCTGCTTTCACTACTGATGACTACGCAATGACCATGAATCCAAACAAGTAAGTAGTAGTATGTTGCTTGAAGTACGGCGCTAGGACAAATGCGGCTTTTGGACATTTGCGGATCTGCGGTTTTTAGACACTTGCGGATCTTCGGTTTTTGGACACTTGCGGATTTTGGACATTTGCGGATTTTTCAAAGGGGGTTTTTTTTTATTTTTTATTTAATTTAGTTGTAGTATGGTACTAAATGGTACTAAAGTTTAAATTGGCACTGTCTTAATATTTCTTAATGTTAAATAGTACTAAATTTTTAATCGGTACTGTTTTTATATTTTTGGTACTAAATAGTACTAAAAGCCCAAAAAGGTACTGTTATGTTAAAACCGTACCAATTCAAACTTTAGTACAATTTAGTACCATAATACAACTAAATTAACTAAAAAAAACCTTTAAAAAATCCGCAAATGTCCAAAATCCGCAAGTGTCTAAAAGCCGCAGATCTGCAAATGTCCAAAAACCGCATTTGTCCTAGCGCCTGAAGTACAAATGCTACTCTTCTGATGTTTTTAATATAATTTAGTAAATAGCCATACATCTTACACATGATTGTTTGAGATAACTAATTAATTAAAAAGCTGATATATATTAACATTATCTTCAGAAACTACGAAACAAGGAGCAACGGTTACCATGACGCATATCCTCCTCCATATCTGAACGACCAATACCGGTATCGATATTAATTATACGGTTCTCTGTACATTCAGCTAATAATAAATTTCTACGATGTTGTAGTTGGCTGGAATTGAACATATTACTTTTATAATTCCGTTTTAAAATAACTCAAAATGACTGATTCATTGACTCTGTATTCTCTGTTTCGACCGGTCGGAACAAAATGACTTCCTCTCGGCCGTTTGCGTTGATTCTGTTCTTTACTATGGTAAGTCTAGTAAAGTATGTTAACATAACACACTAGCTGATTGTTATCGTATCTGGTGCAGACGAAAACAGCACGTTCAAAGAAAGAGAGAACTATCGTATGTTCATTTTATTGTGCGGGAACGGTGCCATTTTGCTTCTGGTGGGTGTGCTCACGTTGTCATCGTTCGCTTTCCAAATTTTGTACCCAAAATTGAGTAGATATGTAAGAAAACATGGAGGAGACAAAACCACAATTGACGTGAGTTTACATAGAAGTTTTTAAAGTTCATACATTTGCTCATCTACCAAAGATCGTTTTTTACCAGAATAACCAAACCAACTCATTTGTTTCAGAACACTAACATTGACTGCAGACTTCCTGGATGCATGGGGCCTCGGATTCGACCGATATAAGATTGAACACGAAAACTACATACTTGAATAAATTTAGAAACATTTGTTGGCTTTATGTGATCGAACATTTACATGAATTAATCTTTTGATCAATAGTGACACTTCGCAGCAAAAGTGAACGAAATGTTTTTGAAAATATTTTAAAATTTTTTGAAATTATTTTTTTCGCAAACAATATTTTGTTGCTGCTCGATGAGCTCAGGAAGCAGAACACCGCTTCCTCGAAACAGCAAGAACAGTGATAACCATGGAAAGAAACAGAAAGACTCAGCGGTGTCTTCTCCTTTTCACGATGGCGGAGAATGTTCTAAATCCGCCACAGATCCTTCAACTTCTAAGAAATATGACAGAAAAGCAAAAGATCGAGTACACAAGAGAGTAGCAATCCAATGGCTATCTGACGAGACTAATGTATTTTACGATGCGTTGAAGGAGGTAAGGCTTTCCATTCGAATGTTTGGTTTTTTAGAAGTTTTGAAGAATCATCAGCTCTTTAACTACCGTTTAAGGAAGAAAAGAAAGTAACTTTCTGTTTTTAAGAATGGAAAGAACTTTGAGCAGATCTCAACTTGGTTGGAGAAGAAGAAGTTTACGAGGGACAAAGATCAAGCCAAGAACTTCTACTACAACACTTACAAGATATACAAGGAGAAGACAGCGATCTCTGACGACGAGTGGGATGGTGTTCCATATGGTGCGAGGGAGCTGTTGATAGTGATAAACGCGTTGGAATGGAAAAAGCGAACGAATAATGCTAACATTCAGACGAACAAGTTTAGAAGTCTCGTTTTAAATGGTTCCACGGTGATTAAGTTGCCACAGAAGAAGACTTCTGTCACACTTAAAACTCCGTATTGTAGAGCATTTCAAAAGTACTTTCCATGTAAGTTAATGTATTGATGTTTTAATTCTGTTTTTAGCGTTAAAGCAATGTGCACAAGTGCCTTTAACCTTGAACTTGTTTCTGATGCCCTACACTTATGATTCCAAGTATTATGTTAACAATATGTGTGATATGAACCCCATATTGAACATTACCATACCATCATCGGCATCTGTAACGCAGTTGTTTGAGTTTATTGAGCAAAAATGGAGGTACTATGAAGGGGAGGTAGGCTATTTACATTGTAATATCAATCGTTTACTCATTTTAAGTTTGAATAGCATGGATGGCATATTTTACTTATTCTAATTTTTTTAGGTAGAGATGGGTTCACCAACCATTAAAATTCATCTTCCTGAAGACTTTAAGCCTACTATTGTTGAAATAACACTAGCAGAAGACGCTGTACCATGCTTGGAGTTTTTGAAGAAATCTAGAGACAGAAACGAATCTACACATATAGAATACTTGGAATTCAACTCTTTGTACGAAGGGGGGTTGTCAAGGAGTAACATTAAGGACATGAATATGACGCAGCTCTTCTTTTTTGTAAGTTTTTAAAATATGATCGTCTTATAGTAAACGTATTTTTTTATCAAAAATGCTTAACCTAATGACTATTTATTGTTTCAGTTCAACGAAAGCCACAACATAACATTGAGGTACGAAATTGAGTACGCGAACGATGATATGAACTGTTTCGAGAAGTTGGCAGAGCTATTTGGAGAGTACGAAGATATGTTTGCAGACTTGAGGTTAGACAAGAGATTGAAAGACATGACAGATGCTGTCAAGGATGCACCTCCAGTTAAACGGCAGCCTAATAAAAGAATGGCAGAACTGGTGAAGAACCAAGAACAACAAAGTGTAGTAGATATTGAGAGGAACAACTTCATGCAGCAGTTGGAAATGTTGAGGAAGAACAGCAAGCCTAGCAACAGGAAGCCTAGGATCTTGAAAAAGGTATAGTTAACAATCATTATTCATATTGTGAAATAAAAATAATGCTCAGATTTTTTGTTATAAGGTGACTTTCAGCCAAAACCTTCGTCTTGTTCAACACCGTCGACATCTTCGGCACCTCCAACTGATTTTGGGCCTTTGAGATGGGGACAGAACGTCACAGTACAATACGGTAACAGTTATGAACAGATGCCGAGTACTTCACAACCACAATTTCCTGTTGTTATTCAGATGCCTATGGAGTACGTTAATCAACCTGCTGATGCGGAAGGTGAAGTGAGGTATTCGGTAAGTTGATTTAGAGCCAATTAAACGATAGCGAGAATTTATAGTTCAGAAACAGTTCAAGGGAGTAATATGGACTAGTTTATAGCTGAAATCGGCATGTTTTTAAATTATTATTTAAGAATTTGGAACCCATGCACCCAGAAGCACAGAACACGTTGGACGAGATCTTTAACACCCCGATCCAAGCTGACTTTGCCTCTCCTTCCAAAAGTCTCATGAACGAAGCCTTCAACTTGTTTGACACTATGGAGAACGTCAACAGTGTAGACTTCATATCCAACTTTGCTCAATTGGCCGATCACTTCAACGAATCTCAGAGTCAATTTAATATATAGAAGTGCCTTTTCAAGCAAGTTTTGTGGCATTCCATTCACTACCTCTCGTTATTGTACATGATCTGTAAATATTGTTTAAGTAAATGAGTGATTTGAGTTATGTCTTGTCAATTTGTGACAAGTTTTTCTCAATTCAATACCGAATTCTTTTAAACTTTTTGTTTTCTCAAGTGTTTAGAAATGACAGCCGTTCAGCTTGTGATCAGACAACCAGGTCAGCATCAAAAGCGTACTATCTCAGTTGACATTGATCAGGATGATACTGTGGAATGCTTAGAACGGAAGTTGAGTGATCAGTTGGGGATCTCGGCTGATTTCAATGTCATTTTTGGAGGGAAAAGGCTGGATTCTAAGCAGTTGATCAAAGATTTACAGCTGGGATTTGCATCGTAAGACAACAGTAACAGATTACAGATTATTTGCAGGTACCTGACAGTAACCGTGAAGGAGAAACCAGTACAAGAAGAAGGGTATGAGGTCGTGGAGCGTGTTGAAGAACAAGATACTCAGTTGCCGCGAACTTCTAGTAGTTTCTATGTGTTTTGTAAAAAGTGTGACACTCTGAATACGGCCAAACTAAGGGCATACTGTAATGAGTGTTCATCATCCTCAATATTATTTATCAATGAACCGAAGGAAGCTGCAGACATCATTAACAAGTAAGTTATCCATTCTTTACATAAAGATAATGTAACGGTCAATTACCATGTCTTAAATAATTGTTTTAACTCATACATCATCAGGGGTCGGGTACGAGTGAACTGTTTGGATTGTGAGAAGGAGACGACGTGCAAGTTTGTGTTCAAGTGTAACCAATGTAACGATGAAACTGTGTTTCTGTTTCACATATCGAGGAATCGGACTAGTAGTGAATGTCTGATATGTGGGGAAGTGGAGGATACTGTGTTTATACTACCGTGTCAACACGTGTCTTGTGTACAATGTATGTCTGCCTACATGGAGCAAGCTATGAAGCAATGGCTGTTGGTGTACAGGAAGGAACTCGGATTCTCATTGGCGTGTCCTATGGTTGATTGTAACGGTAAGATGATTATATTGAATCATAGCTGGATGTTTTATAGTAATGTTAGCCATCAAAATTTCAAATTATTTAAAATTGTGTTTTAGCTGTAATCGCTGACCCTCACCATTTCTACTTACTCGGACGTGAAGGCTACCGTAACTTCCAAAGCAAATCGGCCGAAAAGTTCTTGGAAATGCAGGAAGGGTCTGTGTACTGTCCTCATCCTGAATGCAACGCTGGATTCTCAGTTCAAGAAGACCGCACGATATCTGATTCAGAAGCTGACTACGTCTTGTGTCCAGAATGCTCACGAAAGTTCTGTGTCAAATGTAGAAACCGAGGACCGTGCATCTGTCACATCGAGGACCAGTCGGTCAAGTTGGTCAAGGCCTTAAGCAAACCGTGCCCGACTTGCAGGGTACCAACAGAACGGAACGGCGGATGTGCCCACATGAGATGTCTGAACTGTGGTTTCGAATGGTGCTTTCTTTGTGAAGCCGAATGGGGAGACGGCTGCCAATGGGACCATTGGTTCGACTAGGATCTAATGTGCAGTACTTGTAATTGGAATTAGTCAAATACGTGTTCGATGTACCATATTGTAAATAAATAACCATTTGCTATACTAAAGTATATGCCTATTTTTGAAAAATAAAAGGGCAGTACATAACATTGTATTCAATAAACTTTTGTTTCATTATGCTCTGCAAACGAGATACCTATTATAAGCTATAAAATTGGTGCCTAGCACAGAGGTGGTACTAATGAACGTAAAACTATTAAAGTCCGAGTACAAATAATGAATTTCATACCTAAATTAACTACTTTGTGCGCAAAATGTAGCTTTCAACTTCTAAAATACAAAAAACCAGGTTGGACTACAAACCTTTCTTTTCCTTGTCCTATAAAGCGAGAAATTGTAGTTGAAATGCAAGGAAATCACAGTAACCCCGAAAATGGAAGCTTGCCCTGAAGACTTTGCCCACGGCCATTTTTTACAAAAAACAATCGAGTGCCGCAAAACTTTTTGCGGGAAAAAATATAAAAATGGAATTGAGCGATTGCGAGTTCTATGGTGGTCAATATGTCAGGAAAGGTAGAGATGATGGGGAAACAACTGATTGGCAGGAATCTTGTGAGTTGATGAAGGAATTGGACCTTAGGTTGTAAGTTATTTTGTTTACCTTCTGTTTTTTCATGTAATTTCTCGTATAAATTCAACCAAAAATTATTTTCTCCGCTTTTGCATCCAAAAATTCAGTCATCCAAAAAATATCTGCGGTTTGATTTATGGTACAAATTTTCGGCTTTTTATGCAGAAGTGAATTATTACAGACAAATAGCTTTATTCCGAACAGCTTGTACCTTCTTTCATACCAAAAGTAATTTAAATTTATGTCCAAATATTGTTTTGTCAATGTTGTAAGACAATATTGCTGTATGCCTCATTAAAACAGCTGATACGCGGCGGGTGACATTGCTTATGTTGTTCCCCCGAATAGGGCGGGGACGAGAGTGGGGGGACGGAAAAGCGTCGTCTCTCACTCTTTCTCTATTATAATATAACGTCTATTAATTGTTTCAGCGCTGACAATCTCCTCGACTCCATTGTATGGCCAGAAACCACTGATTCCGGCTACTTTGACAACGCTTTCCAAGACATCCCATTGGTCCCAAAGGAAGAGGTACAAGAAGAACCGGTCCCTCTTGTTGTTAACCATCAAACGGAAAAGTCATCGCTGAACACAAACGCGTCTGGTTGGGACCAAGGCGTCATTGTTCATAAAGATAAAGTGATTACGAGTACTACTCTAGGTCTAAGTCCGTGGGAACCACCAGAATACTACGAGGTAAGTATATCGTAGTCATATTTTTATTTTAGAGTCATCTTTTGGGTACAAACTCGAAATTGTTGTATTGTAGTAAACATTTATATTGTTTACGTGTTCTTTTGTAAACTTGATCTTTTTATATCGAAAAAATACTTAAAATTATTGCATATTTTTTTAGATACCTACTTTTGATTCAACAATGACGAAAGACAACCAACAAGATCCGAGCGTCCACCAATCAGATCTGCTCAGCTATTACTCGTTGTTATCAGGAGACATGAACTCGAGCCAAGTATCCTTTGGATTAGATATGAACGATATGAAGCCTAGCAGTTACTCATTCGAAAGTAACTCCATGAGGTCCAAACATGACGAGCTCAAGTTCGCTAAAAAGAAGAAAAAGGATACTCACGTGCCTTATGACATCAAGAAGGTGGTTATCCCACGTAGTCGGAGAGGAAGACAGTCCAAGGACGAGGATCTAGCACGCCAGTACTCGTTACCAGTATCTGCCAACGAATTGTGCATGATGAGTCATGTTGACTTACAGAATTTGCTTAAGAGGGAGGACCTGGACGAGGATCAGAAGGAGATGATGAAGAAGTTGAGACGGAGAGGTATGTTTTTCGATTTTTATTTGTTTTTTTAGATAGTGCTTTGGTTTAAATTGATATAAGTTATAAGAAAACAACATTACTAGTAATTGTGTTTACTATTTAGTAATTTCACATAATATGTGGAATCTTGTCTTATGTGTAATATCTATAGTTTACGTTAACTTTTTCTATTTTCAGGTCGAAACAAGATAGCGGCACGTAGATGTAGAGCCAAGCGAATGACAGGCAACGGAATGGTATCAGGAGAAGAAGGCTGTGAAGCTGAGGACGATGATCTAATGGATGATTTCGAGGATGAAGAAGAGGCTTTTGAAGAGCCGGTTGTTCTACAGAGGATAGACGAAAGTCTTCACGGCCGAAAGCGAAAACCCACAGTCAAGCTGAGCTACTGAGTTGTTATTACGATTAATTATTATTATTTTACATCATTATCATTTTAATATACACTTGTTTTTATATTTGTTGAATTTCTTTTTGTTAGCGTTGTAATAAATTTACAATAAAAGAGGTACTGGCTGTTGGTTATGTTGTTTGTGGATCAAAATTACATTTTTATATTTTGCAATCGTATATTCATTGTCATTGCCCATATAAATGTTGTAGATATTATACTTGTTGTAAACCCTATACTTGTTGTTATAGATTTTTCTTCTTCCTTTTTCGTTTTCTGAATTTTTTGTCTTGTAGATGGTGGAAGAACGGTGTGAGTTGGAAAAGCAATTTGATTTTGGTGAATATCCGTTGATTTCCATTCACAAAACCATAAATAATACTACGGTGTCAGCTTCCTACTCTCGAGATGCTGTGAATCGATCAGGCAACGTGTATATCTTTGATAATATGATGCAAGTGTCGTTTAACGAGGAGCTGAGCAGTGCATCTTTTCATATGGATTACCTTCCTCAACATGACACAGCCGTTATGAAGTTGGCAGATGGGAAGATCGCTTTGCTACATACAGCGGATCATACGTTGACGTATGAGAAGGTGGACAACAAGGGTGTGATGATAACTGACGTTGCCTACAGACCAGATGACATGAATGTTGGTGTGTTTACTGATGCAAAAGGTCGAGTGACCACGTTCGACAGGACTTCTGGAGATGTTCTTCATGTCGAAACCGCCCATTGTTTGTACGGAATGGAAGTGTCTGCCTGGTGTTGTCACTTCTTCGATGAGAATACCTTTCTTACTGGAGGTGACGACTGTGTGATGAAGGTTCATGATCTCAGGACCAATTCTGTCGTTTTGACGAGTGAAGTGTACCACGGTGGTATAGTCAGAGTTCGAGACTATCCTTCTCCATTCTCTGTCATGATAGGCGCGTATGACAGCCAACTACGACTACTGGACACTCGGAACATTAACACGGTGCAACGGTCGATTCCGGTAATGTTACTTTGTAATACCTATATAATTAGTCAGTATTTATCATTCTCAGTTATAAGAACTTAATGTTTCGTGTTTATCACTTTTTAAGATATGTATATTTTTTGTAATATTTGTCATGTTTCAGTTGGAAGGAGATCCGTGGGACTTCAAGATACACGACGATGACTATATCAGTGTGGCAGCTATGTACGGTGGTTGGTACATCTTGAACGGCGACTTTTCTGTACGCGTCCATCAAGTTCAGCGAGAGAAACTGATCTATGGGGTTGAAAGGTACAAACGGAATAATACCATAGAGAGCGTCGTGACGTCCTCTTTCAACGATGGCGTGGTATCACTGTACGAATTGTGTGTAGTGCATGACAATTAGTACCGGAGGTTGTTAATGCTTCAGCAGGTCATGTTTGGAAGACCTGACCCTTGTTTGTTTTGTTTGACATTCTCACCGTTCTACTTCACTTACCAACGTCCAATCGAGTGCCTATTTCAATTGTTTCCTCACACTCTCGTTTCATTTCAAATGTCAGATATGTCGACTTATGTTATTGTATCTTATGGAGTGAGTAAATATTATGACTGTAATTTCTGGTTCTTTGCCTGTGAAGTTTTAGTCTTTTGCTGTTACAAATAGCTATTTATACCGAGTGCTTTACTTTGTTTTTACAAGTTGTTGATGTTGTTATTTGATTGTTACAACACTTTATTACTTTACTGGCCGTGTTTTTCAACTATAACAGCCAATGTATAACGTAAACTAAGTTATAAACATGCCATTTCTATATACCAATATTGGTATACCTATTGAAAAGTGTAAAAACATGCTACTTTACCAACATAGTATGTTAATAAACTTTAATTAAACTATTTTTGAAATTATGTACAATAATATAAACGTTTTATACAAGTTGAATAGAAAGGTGTTTTAGGATATAATGGTATCTTTTGTAACTAAGGTGGACGACTATCAGTCAACAATGACACGTATTCGAATAGTAATATAAAAGTGTCCAGGAAAGAAATAGAGCGCCAGAGGTATCCGTCGACAAGTTGGCGTTGCTTCCAGACTAACAACAAATATGAGGAATGCTCGACTACGGTAGGATACGGTCCTTATGTGATGTCGCCAAAGTTGGTGCCAGTTAGAAGGTCGTCGAAGCCGCCGCCTCCCATCGGCTGACTGTTGTACTGCATAACTGTGTTCTCCTACAACATCACACCGTATAAATCAATTGAAAGGGTTTAAAATGAATATTTAGGTATCACTTTGATATGTTAGGTACACGTCAACTTCATTTTTTGCGTATTATAACAAAAGCCTTAAAAATTTCAAAAAAACTGAATAGTTACATAAATTTGCAGATTTTCTCTGATTTTAGCCACAAATGTACCCAAAGATGCAAAACAAACGTACCCAGATATTTAAGATGTCAGTAACCGAAGTCGGAGCCTTATTGATTTGTTCGTGGATAAGATTCAGAAGATCGTCGTAGTAAAAAGCGTCTGTAAAGCAAGCATTAATAGGCAATTATTCAAATCTTGACTCACTATTTATTCTTTTTTAAATTCGTGTTAAAATAATATTTTTAAAACGAAAATTTTTGGAAACATACCAAGATCTAATGTGTCCCTCTCAACTGTGGCCAATTGGTTTGGGTACGCCCTTGGAACGACAACTCGAAGGTTTGGTACTTGTTCCCGTTCTGAAATGTGCAAGTGAGTACTACCAATGATTGTAAAGATAATTTTTTAAAAAGATGTATTTTAAAAGATGCCATTGCTTTAATTCAAAATTCCAAAACTTGTCGACCTTATCACAGAGTAACAAACGGTATAACCTACTCAAAGCACAAACCACGACCAGACTGGCTCCATCTCCACTGGGCTCTACCTTGTTGTACATTACACTATGCTCGAAGTTGGAGAACTCGGTCCGTGCTTGGTCTGGTAGCTTCATCATGGCTGCCGCTACACTAGTGTCACCGTCACCGTGCTGAGGCATCATGTTGCTGTAGCCTCGTACCATGTTGTTAGGAGTATCCAAGGCGGGCATCTGTTGCGGGTCTTCGTAACTTCCTATATTCATCGTGCTGTTCATGGGGTTCGGCACGTTGTTCGCCGGCATCTGACTGGGATGTGAATTCATGGGTTGAGGCGGCATGTTATACTGCTGATATTGTTGATAAGACGAGTTGGGGGGCTGCTGACTCATGGGCTGCTGATGCTGGGGCATCATCGTGTGGTTGGGATACATCTTGTTGTGAGGTAGAGGGTAGGGTGAAGGCCGGCCTGACTGGATTGGCTGTTGAGTTGGCTGACCGTAGACTGACGAGCTAGATGGATAAGATCCTGGTGGTGCATATTGACCATTGGGGGGTGGGATCATGGAGGGGTTGGATGGGGGCATGCCCTGCTGCCATTGGCTTTGCTGCCAGCTGGATCCCATGGAAGGGGTTGTAGGCGCTCATAGGAGGTTGATTGACCATCATCTGGTCGTTCATGTTCATGTTGTCACGGTACGGCTGTTGATGTGTGATTTCTCTCTGGACGAAGTTCTCGATGCCTTTGATGTTCTCTGGGCTCATGTACTTCCGGAAGGTGATTCCATCGTACGCGAACTGTAGCTTGGCCGCGCTTTCTGCACTGGCGTAGGGAATCATGTTGCGGATGGTGTTGGTGTATCTGGAGAGAGCTCGGATCTTCTCAACGTAGGCTCTGGCGTCTTCTGGCCTCTTGAAGTTGCACGCGATGTTAGGAGGAAGATCGTAGTCGTTCATGATGCCTTGACTCATCTGGTTGGGGTAGATGGGTCGACCAGTCAGTTGGTCGGCTGGGCCATTCGGAGTCCACATTCTCTGTTGTTGTTGCATCAGCTGTTGTTCTACACTCTGTACCATAGGAATGTTGGGTTCCACCTTGGGGATGGTCTCGTAGCCTTTGTGTGGCATACCGTAACCCATTCCGGTGTCAGGCATACCGTACTGATTGTTCGGGATTCTCTGGGGATTGTCTAAAACGGAATCTGAATCGGAAGGTTTAGACTTACATTGGCCATAGTTGGCATACTGATGAGGAGGACCATTCTGGACAGGGGGCATCTTGTTTGGCATGTTGGATGTGATAGGAGAACTCAGCTGAGGCGGCACCATATTATTTACAGGCTGTGAGGTATTGATGACCGGAGGGGGTTGACCGAGAGGTGGAGTCTGGAATCTCGAGTTCTGAGAGTCGAGAGTCATGCCACGCTGGTGCGTTGGGCGTGGGTCTGGGGGTACCTAAAACATAAAACTTTTTAAAATGGTATAGTTAGGGTTTTTAAGTTTCAAAATGGTTTCTAATACAATGTAAATCACTTCTAACATAAGGTAAATCGTTAATAACCTTTTAGAACAGATATTTTATGCAGATACGAAACGTACCTGAGGACGCACCTGTGGTTTACTACCGATTCCGTTGCCGGCTTGTCCTGGCGATGTTGTGTTAGCTTGTCCGTTGCCATTGTGAACGACGGGAGGAACGACCACCGTCTTGGAATTACAGTTTATTGCATTGATTACTTTGGCTATTGTCCTCATGTACTCGTCCTTGCTAACGCACTTCTGGAACACGTACTCCTCTACCTGTCTTGCATCACCGGGTACTGGAAGGTTGGGGGCGTTTTGGCGATTCCGTGCCAATTCGGGTTCTCTGAAAAATTTGCATACCAATTCTGATTTTACCATGTGAATATCGTTGAGTAATTACTGTCTAAACTTGATGACGTTTTTAAAAATTAAATCCGAAACTTAAGAAAAAACACATAAAGGGCAGTTCTATGCACTTTTTGACCGAACTCGTAAACAAAGTCATCCCAAAACCTACTTAAGTCTACAAAATATTATTGATAAGAACAAAAAGTTCATATCAAATCACTTACAGTCTGTTGATGACATGGTCACGGAAGTTCTGGGACGGCCAGTCGTCGTCGGCCATGGTCTGTTCCAGCTTGGGCCTGGCGCTCTTCCAATCAGCGGGTGTAGCCTCGTCCGTCGCCCGACGTTTCCTATCTGAAACCCCTTTATTAGAGTGACGTTTGATGAAGCGACGCACCGAATTTCATTAAGTGTAAAACATAGCGAACAAATGCCACCAGCCGCTGTTGATAAGAAAAGGCAGCGTAGAGAGAGAGCGAATGTGTGTTAAGTGTTGTAAACCGAAACGGGCCGAGACACACAACAAAAGGAAGACTTTTCAGGTAATGGGTTGCGGGAGGCAAACTGCCAATGTCTATCTTACGGACGAGGACATGAGACAACCCTCCCTCTACATCCCCCGTGTGGCTCGCCCGCCGCAGGGCTCACGCAGACTGAGTCGGCTGCGAGTGAACGTTTTTGGGCCCCACGTTTCCCGGCAATGCCAACAATGGCAAGGAGGAATTAAGTGGGTGAGTGAGGCTGAACCGCATCTCACCTGAACTTTGCCAGTGGTGTTCACACATGGCTCGGCTTTTTTAAATAAATATTTACAGATTCAGATACTCGAAAAAGGTAGAATAACTTCAATTCCTTCACTGATTTTACACAAATTGACAAATTTTGTGAAATTTTAAGACTTTTTGATATAAAAATGAAAATTCGCTTGAAAAAGACAAAATATGCATGTTTTCGTGTTAATTTTAATATAATTTTACGCTCTTCGTATATCTTATGCCCAAAGCGCCTTAAACGAAACTAAAAGTGATAATATCATTATGTATATGAGACTGAAGATTGTTTTACAAGAGAAGCGAGAGAGTTGACCCGTTTTAAAAGTGTTTCTTTAGTTAAAACTCAAGAAAACCTCTATTTACACAACAAGTTTCAAAAATAATGCCAAAAAAAATAAAGAAACGTCAGAAAATAGACAAATTACATCTACAATGTCCCAAAACGAAAAAAAAACTGTAAAAACAGTACCACTGTGGCTAAACTAAACCAGACACAGCTCTGTTACCAGTTGATTCCTCCTAAAAGTGCAACAAACTCTCTAAAACAGTGGACTTCTTTCTTTCATATTGTTGTTGCTGAATGAAAGTAGTGTACTCTTTTCTTTTTTTGTCTATTTTCACGTTTGTCCGCCACAAGTAGAGAAAGGGATAGAGAGCCCTTCTCCTTCATTCAGTGCGAAAAACATTTAAAAAATAAAAAGCGACTAGACCGGGCGGAGGATCGAAATCTCCCAACATGAATTACTGAATTGATCAACTTGTTCTGCAGCACGTGACATCAAATTATCGGTTTACACTAACTGTCATGTGACAAGTGATAAGTAAGGTTGAGTAATGTATAGTAAACCATGTAATACAGACACTTGAGGTAATTATCTCCCGAAAGACCAGAAAAGGCGACAGGATACAAAATCTAAACCAAGGAGAACAAAATCATCCAAAAACTATAAAATTTGCTCAAACATAATCGAAAAAGTGACCGAACAGATTCCAAAATGATAAAGATGACTCGAATACCCATAGATAAAATGTAAACCTACCTCCGACCGAAGGTGAGGTTGCTTGAGTCAAGGAAGTAATGGGAGCTTTGTCCGACCGAAAGTCCTGATTTGTAAAGTTGGAGACCTCCGAGCTGTTCATTTATTGCAGTTCATAACCAAGTTGCACAGCTCTACAACACTATTATCTTGTATAAACAAAGGTAAATGATAAAGGTTCTCGAAGCTTCTTACAACTTGTGATATACGACGCGCACCGTACAATTCCAAAGGGTATTAACGTAGAATCGAGAGTACATGAATGTAAATGCACAGACTGTACGCAAAGCCAGAAACTACAAAACCCGGTTGTCACGCGGTACTGCTGGGCTGAGCCGGCAAGATGTTTTTAGCGACATCGCCGAATAAAAACATCTGAACGTCTGAAACCCCGTCCGTTAACCCCAGGACAGCCAAAGGACAATAAACGCACCACACATATAAAACACGACGAACGAATCGTCCCCAAGCTGCCACCAAACTCAACACTTTTCGAATATTTCGCCCGGAGGTTGTCTCTCTCCCTTTCGCGTGCTCTTTCTCCGCTCTCTCTCGTGTTCCCCACGTCGTCACACTGTCTGCGGTCTCTCTCAACGGCGCGCTCCCTACGCGAAACACTCCTTCTGAATACCTCCGCAGAGTGCTGAAATCTCTCCTTTTTTATATTACCCATGCTTTAGTTACCAAATTCAATGTTAAAACTTTGATGGGTATACAATTCCCTCGTTACCATGACGCCAACACTGTAGGTAACACTCGGCCATACGAATTAAGGTATAAATGAAGTCATCAAATAACTTTTATTGTATGACTACCGTATTCTTTCAGATTTTATACATTATTACCGTATTCCACACGTTATATATATCACAGACGTTACCGTATTGTAGAGCACAATATACCGTAACCAAAATAAATTATTAAAACTTGCTGATATGCAATACTTGAGACAAAATACTTAATATTATGATAGACATTAAATCCAATAAAAAAAGTACCATAAATTACTGTAAAGATAAATAAATTGTTTACGACATATTACACCGTAACCCTTGCGACGTTATTGCTGTTATGGAGTGCCATACCGACGTTAAGTGGATTGGTAGAATGTACAAAGATGGGACAGTTGAGGAACAGAGCTTGTACCTTGATGTTCTCCGCCAAAGTCTCGCCTCGGTCATTTGGTACCATCAATGAGTCTCGTGTTACAGTAAACTCGAAGTGAACTCGCCATGACAGTTTTACTGTAATCATCAAATTTATGTGAAAACTAGTCAAATTTTATTCGCAGTAAGTCTACCGTGTACGGTTAGATTAATGTTAACTTACTTGACTGCTCTGTAAATGTTGGTACGTTTGTCAATTGAATTGGTACTCGGAAGTGGCAAGACTTCATGAAAGCAGTCGTTATCTGAGAGTAGTTGTTCCTCACAATGAAAGGCTCTGTGGTGTCAGCATACAAACATTCTTCGACCGTTTCCAGTGATACCAACAACTAGAATAAGTTTCGAAGTTACTATAGGAAATAATGATATTAGTAGCGCTAAATATATAAAGCATACCTGCACAGAATGAGGTTTACCAGCTTCGTGTTCTGGGAACTCTACCAAGCCTTGTACAATATCTCCCAACTTGAATGGCCCTGAATTGACGTGTACTGTGGCAAACTGATGACCTTCAGACTTCACATCAAATATCAAGTTTTTACGCGAAACAGATGTCTTCTCGTCTATCTTCGCCATAGCCAGCACCAACGGGTATGATCTAAAATAAATAAACTTAAAAACTCCCTAGTAAGATCCATAAACATAATTAAAACACTTGCTTATCATTCTCTGTTTGTAAGAAAGGGTTTTTGATAACTGGTGCCACGACCTTGTTGTCGACAGTAGAATTCAAAACCCGAATAGGCAAGAACAAGGTCTGGATCGGTTTGTCTACCCTTTGGATCGCGACTTGAAGGTACCAGTTGTACCGTACGAACTGTCCCTAAACACAAAATAAGCCAACTCCAAAGTTCATTTTACCTTACCTTAAATGTAGGTGGAAACCCTAAGGGCACGTATATATCTCGCTCTCGTACTTCTGTAGCGCCTTTTGCCACGGGCCAATTACATAAGACAATATCAGGATTACTAGAGTAGATGGCTTCTTTTGACGGTCGTACTGAAGTAGCATCGTTCTTGCCAATCCCATTCATCTCCAAATTCCTGTTGTTCTTCGGAAAGATACGATCACAGTGCATCTGGAGGCAGATCCATCCCAGAATGTCATTGTTCTCACGGTCTTGGTTAGTTAAAACGATCTGAAAGTCTATATCGGTATATACAATATAAAATAATAAACACTTAAAAGGTTGACAATACCTACCTTAACATGAACAGTCTCCCCAGCCAAATAACATCCGCTATCTCTGTCCACCGTCCCGATCACCTCTAGCATACTTAAATAAACGTTATAATATTACGTTAGAAACGATAAATTGAGGTAAAAACCCTTATTATCAACCCAAATATCGAGCTAGAATTCTTTTATTCAATATAAACAATAACATTACTCGTTCACAACGAACTGGTAACTTGTTCTCTATTCAGTCTTCTGTTTACAATATTCTTAAGGTAGAATTCTCCAGCACGGTACGACGATCTGACTAAAGGCCCTGAAGCCACGTACAGGAATCCCATTTCGTCTCCAACAGCCTTCAGCTCGTCGAACTTCCGTGGAGTTACCCAGTCCTTGACCAAGAGATGTCTCTTAGTTGGCTGCATGTACTGTCCCAAGGTCAAGGCCTCTACTCCAACATCTCTGAGGTCCTTCATCGTCTGCAAAATCTCCTCCTCCTCTTCACCTAACCCCAGCATAATGGAGCTTTTAGTCACTAGCAGAGGATTCGACCGTTTTGCGTGTTCCAAAGCCTTCAATGACTGATCGTACTTTGCCCGAGGATCTCGTACTCCCGGTGTCAAGCGACGTACTGTTTCTATGTTGTGAGCATACACTTCTAGTCCTGATAGTGCTACTGTCTTAATACAATCCAGTTTTCCAGAGAAGTCGGGCACCAAGGCTTCGACTAACACGTGAGGACATTCCTGCTTCAAATGAGATATTGTTTGAGCTATGTGTGCTGAACCTCCGTCGACCAAGTCATCCCTATAAAGATTTGGTTAGGCGAATGCTACATCCTACTATATAAATTTTATACTTGCTACGAAAAAGCATTACTACTTTCCAAGTTTTTTATAGGGATACAATACCTGTCAACCGATGTAAGAACAATATAATCAACGCCCCATGATGCTACAGCTTTGGCTGTATTCAATGGTTCTTCTGGATCCAAAGCCCCAGGAGTCCTTGCAGTTTTTACGGAACAGAATCTGCATCCTCGAGTACACGTATCACCCATTAACATGATGGTCGCAGTAGATGGGACATCTTCCCCTCCTCCCCAACATTCTCCTATGTTTGGGCATCTAGCTTCTTCACATACTGTAGCCAACTTTAGTCCCCGTAACTGTCTTTTGAGCTTTAATTGTTTTTGGTCAGTTTTCGTCAAATCCCGCTTCAGCCATTCTGGAAGTCTCAACCGGCCGTTACTTGTCTTTTTCACGTCACCACTAATAAAGTCTGATAAGGAAGGTCCATCTGGAAGGACGGGACGTGCGTAATTGGCCAGAGAAGCTGTGAAACGAAGCCTCGGCGACACGTACATCCCTTAAACAAGATTTTAATTTGACATAATGACCGAATAAACGTTATCATATGAAAATATTAGCATATCATTCACAAATATATATTTATCGATTCAAAACAGTTTTCCTATCATAACATACAATCAAAGATTCAAAGTGTTTATTGAGGTTAGAAAAAAATCATTTATATACCAAGTGTGTCTTGCCGTAGATACATGTACAATACTTACAAAGGACCCAAAACTTTGCTTATTTTTAAGGTGGCAAAGCGATAGAACCTGTACGAGCAGAAGACCGTAGATCCAATTAGGCATAACCAGATAATGTAAACAAAAAATTCTGACGATCCCGCTGTTCCAATCTAAATTTGAAGGTAAGAACAATAAAAAGTAACTTACAATAACACATATCGTTGCCAGTAAGCTTAACAAAGCTCCAAAAAAGAAGGCAAATGACCGGATTCGAACATAACTTGCACCAACCGAAGACCTGTAAAGAGTATAATATAGTTAAATACGTATTGAAAAGCCATCTAAACTAACAGTAAAACAAATTAGGCACCTTTTTTGACAATGCGGACACGCCGCGATACAACTGGCCAGGGTGTTAAACATAAACACTTCCTTGCAGTAGAAACATTGCACTCGAGCTGTCCCTGCAGGTGCGGGTACTGTGGAGCCTTGTGTAGATGGTGGTTGTAAAATGATCACGCGACCACAGTTAGCGCGAGGGCAAGAGATACGATTCGACGATACCTTACAGATCAGAAGGCAATTGCACGGACATCTCACAAACTTCTTTCCACTTGGTGGAGCTCTGATCGGAGTGGCTTCGTTACATTGGTTACATCGTACTACATGCTGCATAGAGTTTTTATCGTAAGGTATATTGTTCTCACACACTCGGCACATCACAGTTGGCACTGAAACATGAAAACAAGTTAACTCTCAAGCAATAGAAGTTACTTATAGATAATATTTATTGTACTGATAGCTAAAAAATATACTTTTCATTTCGTACAAGCAGGATTAAACTATGCTCTTGCTAGTAGCCACAATGTATATTAATATAGATCTAGAATAACATGAATAAGAATGAAACTCACTGCTTCCATTTAACCGACTATCTTGTTCATGATTTCCTTCATCAGTGTTAACGAAAGCGGCGTTCTCCACGCCAAGCGTATTGTTTTGAAGTAAGGGCCGATCATCTTCATTTACATTCTCCTCATCAAATCCTGGATTATATTCCCGACTCATCTCGGAGCCACAGTTTTTGTCAATAACAATAAAAAACCATTAAACAAGTCGACTGAAAGTTAAATTAATTAAATTAAATAACACAATTCCAGGCCCCGGAATAGACTCTCGGCTCGTCTCCGTCTCGGAACGTGATCAAATGAGAGACCAAAAAGAATGTTTTTAATGTCAGTTCAATAAAAAGCGTCATTCTATACCTAAAATAACAAAATCACGCCGAAATCCACTACTAGAGTCATTAACCGTTGTACCTGGAGAACATGAATATCAAAAGAAAAATATATTATTTTAATCTGTCATGCTGACCAATTTTATAAATAATTGATTGCAACGAAATGTCACAATAAAAATATTTGCTATCCGTTTTTCAGTTTTATTTATTTTACATTTTTCTGTTTCATATTGTTTTCTACTTTTTAGAGACTAACAATTTATTTTATAAGTTACATTTTAATTTTTTAGGGAAAATGGTTATCACAAAGGATACTGCTCTTCCCTCTTATGAGGAGTTGACTGTGCCTCAAGAGATTACTTTGTCTTCTCCTTACTTGAAAGCTGTCATTCCGTATATGGCGTACTCTTGTCAGGACGAAACAAAGGTAACAAATTATGTTTATGTTTATTTGCTTTAGGAATTTATGCTGAAGAGAAAAGAATACGAAGATCCCCGGAAGACATTGAAGGAAGGAGCTGCTGTTACTGCATGTGGAGTGAAGTTCTTGCAGTCTTTGAAGAGAACTTGCAAAGCTGAAACTGATCAATACGCCAATTGCATTGACAAAAGTTCTGCCGAAACATACACAACTTATTGTCGACAAGAACAGCTGGTTCTCGATAGTTGTGTTGAAGACAAGTTAGGAATCAAACGACCAAAACGTGGCTACTTCAGTAAACTTCATGTTCATGTTCCAAAATTCGATCCTCCACGTAAGTATTTGTGGGCTATTTTTCGTTTTTAAGTTTTTTTCATAATTTATCTGATCGAGAAGGCTTCGATTAGCTATGAAAATTTATTTTTGAAGTTAACATGGCGATTTTTAGAAAGAGTACAACGTGATTATAAGGCCGAAGCTGCTCAGGTGATTGCCGAGCTTCCACCGGACGCTAAGGAGCTTAACCGAAAGGACTTCAAGAATTTCAACGAATGGGGAAAGGATTTCCTCCGCGCCTAAGTTTCTACTGTTTATTTGCCTATCGTGTCTTGAGATCGGATTGTAAGAGAATGATAAAGATATTAGGAAGATCATGATGTCGTTTCCATTGTGGTTGATTCTTCTATCGACGGGTCGAAAGATCGGGGATCACAGATCGCCACTCGGATGTTGTCTATAGCGATCGCTGCTTTTTCTGTTGATCTGTCCAGGTTGTGTGCAACAAGGTAAAACTGAAAAGTAGTTTTTAGTGTTATAGGAGTCTCATATCGCGTTTTTTAAATTTGGCATTGAAAAAACTTGAAATCAGGCTTCTATTTTTTATTCATAACAATTGCGAAGAACTAAAACATACGTGACTTGTTCCCGGCGGCAACTGTATATGCACACTATTCCATTTAAAGGCGTTTTTTGACGTTAATGACCGCAGGATAGGCGGACATTGGATAAAACTCGATATCGTCCTTAAAGGCTTTGTGTACCTCGTCCCCAGACATAATCGTATCGTAGATGCATGTGTCGGCCTAAATATTGTAAACTTGGTGTATAACGCTTACCTGTAGTATTGGAAGAGTAACACGTTTATCCCTTGAGTCAAGTTAAATCGTGGACTTTCCAATATGGCAAAGTCCCCGGGTCCCAGAATGGCACTAACAAACTGTCCGTTGGTAGGAGTTGGCCTCAGATCAGTGTGTCTTGACAATGGAAACCCATACCCTTTGTTACGGAGAGTCCAGGGGATCTTCGTTAGTCCATGGTTCAGGTAATGACAAGCGTTATCTAAATATGGGATTTTAAATATTTTGAAAGTTTTTAAAACAGTTTTTACATATTCTCAAAGAGTAAACGTACCATTGAAATCACAATTGAGCAGCTTGCAGTAGTCCATGATGGGTTCAGGTGTTGTAGTTACAAACTTGGGTGTTGTTGTATAAGGAATCGTGAAAGAATTTTTGGAGGTTGTCTTCTGAACGACTAACCCAGGTCTCACATTCATCGTGGGTGCAATTATGGCGGTTGTGGTAAACGTGGTTGTCAACGTGGTGGCTTCTGTAGTCGCTTCTGTGACTTCTACACTTTCTTCCTCGAAGCTTTCGCTTTCTTTGCGATCTGGTTCGGGCAGGTTATCAACGGCTGGCGATGGAGTTATTAGACCCAGCTTTCTGAAATTATAAACTTAATGTGAAGTTTAAATGACACGAAACGTACGATGTAACCGGTCGAGCTTCAACGGTGGTTTGATGAGGTAGTGGTTTGACAATCGGCTTCTTAATCTTTTCAATTTTCTTCTTGTTGTTGATCTTTTTTTCGAATACTTCGGAGCTCTCCAACAGCGTCGTGTTGCATTCTCCAATGTAAGCGATCTCATCTAACACAAGATACGCATTCCTCACTTTCTTTTCCCAAACAGGAACGATGTTCAACTAAATTCAAACATTTTATTTTTCGGAAACATCCTTTTTGTGAAGAATACAGTTTTTGTTAAGACGACGTTTTGAAAGAAAACCCTTTTTTGACAAATTCGAAACAATCAGCTCTTCAAACTTACGGTAAAAGGCTCCAGAATATCGTGAGAAAATTCGAAAACAGCCAGAGCCGTCTGGTCCTTTCTGGTACCGGTGTCTTGTTCTACACACTGTATCTTGTTACTGTCCAAGTTGTAGCCTAACGCACAAACTTGAAGTGTCAACTTGTTGTTGGCCCAATACCGAAAGAGTAACTAAAGATAGAGTAAGGTCTGAAGGCTAGATCTCACCTTTCCAGATCCGGTCTGACATTTGAGCGGATCACTGGAGAACATGGCCGTTCCCTGGATAACTACAGCGGCTGGGTAGGCTGGAAGGTCTGTACCTTCAATTGCTCGTTCTTCCATGCTGGGAATGGCACCTACATTTACGTAATGTTAGGCTTTTAATAGTATGCTCGTGTAAAATTATTTGAAGAAATATTTTTAGTAAAGCAACTGATCGTACCTTTCTCCACGATAGCCCATTTCCCGGCTTCAGGACCCCAGAAGCAAGGGAAGTTGAAGGCGAAGTCACACAACAGATCTCCAGTGTCTTCGATCAGTCGTCCTCGTCTTCTGTCAAACAAAGGTTGAGTCTTGTTGCCAATTATTAGCAGATCAAACTCTGGATTCTCTTCGATCGTTGCAATTGTTTCTCTTGGCGTCGTCGAACTACAATTTCATGATTTACATTATATAATGACATTTTACTAAATTATCTACAGTAAGATGGAATTAACAACAAAAGTTAACCAAAACACTTACATTGTAACAGGAGCCTCTGTTACTGTAGTAGTGACAGTAGCCGTCGTCGTAGTATCTTCTGTAGTAGTGGTTGTGGTAGATTCTGTTGTTGTAGTAGGCTCCGTAGTTGCTTCTGTGGTTGTCGTGTACTGTGTAGTAGTTATCTCTATCCACGTGGATGTTGTTGTAGGTGGCACTATTCTATCTACTGATACTGATTCAGGGCGCGGGAAGAGCGGTCCTCTAGTAGCTACCTGTTCTAATGTATTACCTTTACAAAACTCTGCATCGTATTTTATGTCATCTAATACGATGGCTCCTGGTCGGGCGTCAGGGATTATGGCAATCTAAAACGTTTTGTTTTACAAGATACTATCTATGGCAGCACAACGATTTGAAAAATAAAATTACATGGAATGGTCGTCCGATTGCAGGTATTTTGAGAGCTACCTTCCCTGGTTGTACTCTCGATTCTAACATTCCAGTACAATTGAACTCTCGCATATACTCGTCCAACAGACATATTTGGAGATCAGCGCTCCCTAAAACAATAAAAGTAATCATTTGAACAGCTTACCGATGGTCCAGTAGGTGAAACTGAACATAGCAGACTCTATTTGACAGTTTATTCGTTGTGACGTGAATATATCTGAATCTGAGTCATGGATTTCGAGAATAGCGAATGGATCCGACGGCAATGCCATTGTCCCTGTAGCCGCCAGCCATAGCAGTCCATCCGGCTGCCCCTTAGCCAGCTTCCACTTACTCAACCCATGCCCTACAGAACCCCACCTGCAAGCCCTACTGAAGTCACAGTCAAAGTTTATACTCAGATTCGACATGTCATTTGGAGATAGCACTGGCAGCTCCACCGTGGTAACGAATAAGCCTAAAGCGACTTGGAGGATCCGGGAGACTAGGCCGCCCGGTCCCTCCTCGCCATTGGCCCGAGGGTCCATCCCAGCTGAAGGCTTCGATTGTGATGGGCAACAACTGAAAAAAGTTGTTTTGAAATGAAAGAAGTCAGAGAAAGCGACGTTTTTAATTCCGATGGAAAATGGATACTGCTTCGAAAAAACCGGCATTTACGAGACGAAAGAAGGCGCTGTGGTTGAGCAACTAAGTATGGGTCAAGGTAGCCGACTTCTTGAGGCTGATCTTCAAGATCGCACCATGATGCACGACTTGAGTCACTTGACTTTCACTCCGTAACCCCTTCTGTAGGCCGATTCAAGTGGTAAGAGCGGATACATCACTTTCAAACACAAACCTTGAAACTACTAAATTTGGACTTTAAAAGTTTATTTATGTACACCGTCGACTTATTACATCACTAAATAACCTAATTGTAAACCTGAAAGACTTCCGAAGACATATTGATATGTGTTAATGACCAGACACCCTTGATCAACTACAATATACTGTAATATATAAGTAGCAAACAAACTTATAGCTAGCTGTTCCAGATTTCTGGTAACTAGCTGGTTTTATCACCAGATTAATTAGATGACTTAACTAAACCTCCAACTTGGGCTTCTTCCTCTTCGGAGTTGTTGAATCTGGCAATGAATTTGTGACAGAGCGTTTACTTGCATCATTGCGATTGACAGAAGTACTTTGTGCGCGTTTGGTTGACATTGGCGTGCTCAACATACTGAATGATTGAAAAGCATTGTCAGCAGTTGGACGTCTGACAGGATTGTAGACCAACGATGACTTCAGAAATCCTTTTATGGGTTCGACAAACTGAAAAAGACCATAATTACTACGGTAAGTAAACATAACGTTCATAGAAAGAACCATAATATACAAAAGTTATACCATTTGTTCAGGGATTACGTCTTTCAAAAACGTCCTCGTCAACTGCTTTCCTTCAAAGATAAAATTGCCAGACTGGTCGAAATATGGTTGTTCTGGCCGCTTTATCCCTTTCGTAGTCTTATCAGTTGTCAAGAGATGTGGGGCAATGTTACCCAGTAAAGAAGAAATACTTGTCATCTGAAACAGGCACTATTAATTAAATGAAACAATTACATTGATCAATAAAGGTTACTGACTGCTTTTGATCCTTCTATGCATTTTGTCCCAAAAACTAACATACATACTTTAAACAAACCTACCACTTCCGTGTCCACACTGCCTTTGAATAACATCTTCTTCGTTATCATTTCAGCCACCGTGCAAGCCAATCCCCAAATATCAACTGGCTTCCCGTACTTATGGCCCAGCAGAAGTTCAGGAGCAGCATAATTGTGTTTGCCCTCAGGAAAGTGGAGAGGTAGTTTACATTCTTTGTCAATGCAAGAGTAGGAAAAGTCAATGAGTCGTATTTGACCTGGTTTGTCTAATGAGTGAATGACATGTTGAGGACAGATCGACCCATGAACAATACCCAATCCATGCAAGAATTGGAGCCCGTCGCAGATTTGTCGTGCAAATTTACAAATGTTCTAAAAATAAACTGTAAATTTTGAAAAAGAAATGAAACCCAAACAACGTTTTTCGTAAGAACAAGATAAAACTCTTACAATAAGTGAGAACTCGACGTTGTGCTTGATTAAATAATCTATAGTACGAGACGCTTGCTCCATGATGAACACGTTGTGTCCTCTGAACTTGAACTGATTGTAGATCGGGCAAATAAAGTGTTTTGAACACAATTCCATCAGCATTTCTTTCCCTTCCTTTTTGATGAGTGCTGCCCAGAACACCTTGAGTTCCTTTTCGGCACAGATCTTGGGCCATTGGTCGTTTCGGAAGATTTTGGCAACAACTTTCTTACATCTTTCGTGGTCGTACGTCAACACTACCTAGAAAAGCAATATTCTTCAAATTATTACGCAAAGTTGTGTATACTATAACATTACGATAAGGCTATACAAGCATATCTATAAGCTGTAAAGTATAACAATATAAATCGTACCTGTGCCATTTTGCCAACATGTAATTCCTTGAGAATCTCGTACCGATAATACAGGTGGTCGTGAGTTAAAATGAAATACCTTCCCAGAATGTCGTCGAAGCTCTTGTACTTCTTGTAGTAGTTCCGTAACTTATCCTTCTCTGCTGCTGACCCAACGTGTGACACAAGTTTGCATTTCTTGATCTCCTTCTTCTCGTAACTGTCCAAACAATCAGCAAAGGTATCCAATGCCATGGCAGGTGTCATGACAGAATTGATGCGACTTTCTGGTCTTTCTGGTGTAGGTGGTACTCCATTTCCAATGGCAAATACAGTTTTCCGAAAGAAAGAACTGTTCTTGTTGGTGTAGAAGTACTTGGAATCTGATTCCTTTTCCATCCAACTTTGTCGTTGTTCATCATATGACTCGATTGTAGCCGATTCATTAATATCTTCTCCAAAATGTTCAGGTGGATTAGTAGAATATGTTGTAGAAGTTCCTGGGAAAGACTCTAAGCTACCTTCGGCCATTTATTAAAAAAAAGCAGAAGCAAAGTTAACTAACTATTTAGAAGCTTTACGAAGCAAAGGAAAAACAATATCGCGATCCATCTCCGATTTTTTAATAAAATATTTATTTAAAAACACGCGGCTTGCGTCCTAGCTTTTCACGTTTGCAGTCTCTTTTTATACGACAATGCCTTATTAGATAACTGGCTGACAAAATTTTGTTAGAACTCAAAATGTAAGGGCCATGAAGGATTGATATGCAAAGTAAGTTCCAAAGTTTTATTTATCGATTTATTCAATAACTTGAGATCTGTGTCAATAAGATGAGTTTCAAACCGTCTCTTCCAATTTACTCATTTTGGCTAACGGTGAACCATCTCTTTCTTGGTCTATTTTCAGTTCCTTCTGACGTGATGTGTTTTCATCGTCATACTCATGTTCAGCCTAAAGGTTTTAGGTTAATTTTATCGTATCTTTTGTTGCTTTTGAGGAGATTTTGCATTACGGCGTAGTTATTACCTTTTCAGATTTTGCATCATATTCCTTCTTACTTGGAGAGCCGCTAGAATTTTCATTTTGAGGTTTTGAGTCGAGTACCAGACTTGTGTTTGGTGGGCATTTGAGGTCGCTTTTGCTTTCATCTCTTCCATTTTCATTCACAACATTGCTGAACACCGGTTTGTCGGACGGAAAACCCGTAGGCCACATCATCATCGGAGTGTTAACTAAGCAGTTTGGGAAGCCAAGAAAGCCTAAAGTCATGGTTATTTTTTGTCGGTACTTGAACATAGATAACTTAATAGTTACTGTATAACCGTACAAAAGTCTTTAACTTACTGTTCGAAGTCAAAGGTGGTATTGAAGGCACTGGTAGAGGAGATGAGGCGACGTTTGCTATCACTGAAGTTGATGGCAAGTTTGGTGGTATAGCTGGGGCTGTTCTTTGGTTCACACAATGGCTAAACTTGAAGGGATCGTCTCCTTTCAAGACTTTCCTTGCCTCGAGAGCTGCAGCTTCTCGAAGTTCTTTGCACGATTGATCTGAATACCAAGACATTCTTGGTGTACAAATGACATTAGGAAACGTTGTTAAAGCATCATTCTTGACGTTAACATCAAAAGCCGCTGCTCCAACGTGACCACTACGTAGGCAGGCAATCAGATCAGACTCCACAAACAGATGTTCGCTGATTATGTTCACGATGTAGACTCCTTTCTTCATTCTTTTCAAGTTTTGCTGAAACAAGTCATTTTATGTTCGAAGGTTTGTCATTTTAAAGACGAAAAATGTACAAGCTACGTTAGTATTACCATGTTTATCATGTTCTTGGTTTGAGCGTTCACCGGACAATGAAATGTGACGCAATCTGCATTGGCTAGAGCTTCGTCCAAACTGGCGTACCGATAGATTCCGAGCGCTTTTTCAATACCTAAATGCTTTATAATTTATCACTTGTGTAATATTACCGTCACTTTGCTTCGGATCGTAGAAGGCCACTTTGAAGCCGAATGCTTTTGCTCGTACTGCCACTGCTTTTCCTACATTTCCGAGACCGATCACCAAAATAGTACTGTTTCCAGGTCGTTTTGTACCCGCCGCCATTTCCTTCAAGCCTTCCACTCCATGCCCTTTTGGTGCTCGTGACAGAATATGTGTTTTCCTGTACAAGTCGAGTATGAATGAAAGGGTAGTGTCAGCTTGTTCCTCTATACATTGTGTGGGGGTAGTGCACACAGCGATGCCCAAAGCAGATGCTGTCTCTAGATCAATATTCCCTGTTGATGGCCCAATTCTGATTATGGTTTTTAGCCTTTTGAACTTCTTAAGGTCGTCTTTGTCTAGTTGTAGCGAGTTGTATGCCAGCGCCACCACGGCCTCGTTTAACACCTAAAAACAATCGAAATGTCAAATTTGAAATGTGAGATCGTAAAGATTTGTTAAATTGTAATTTTTTATCTTGCGTATAACTCACTCTTTGGTGAATTTCAGAAGGGTTTTGAGCATCACAGAAAGCTACGGTCGCAATATCCTTCAGAAGAGCCATTTCGATTGCACAGTCTCTGCCATCGAGCAAAGCTACAAGAGGCTTCATCCCGAACTGATTAGAACACACTGAAATTAAGATTCTTAATAACTACATTATTGAAAGAAACAACGTAATTTTGATTTGTTTCAGAGATTTTGGTTAGAAAATTAACCGTTTTCCCAAAGACACCTACAGCTCAACAGTGGTGCAACGTTATCAGCGGGACCAGATGGTTGTTGTAGGTTATCAGTTGCATGGAGTGGATGCAACAGGAACTGGGCGAGAGGTGAGGCGTCCGAATCGCCAAAACCGGAGTTTCGGTCACCTAAAATTATAAAAAGTCTCGGGGTTGAAAAGGCGTCGCGCTGTTGTTCTTCGGGTTGCGCAAAATTTTAACCCAAAAAGGACGAAATATGCTCTTCTCCGGAGAGTCTTGGAATGACTGAAATGAGTCCATTCGATCTCCCCCCCCAGTCTCCCCCGCCGGGGCAAACCCCTCCGAAAAGCGGCAGTGGAAACACAATGTAGAAAGCGTGTTTTCAGGAAATCTATTTGCGGTTTCAAAACGTTCCAATCGTGTTTCTGACTAAACTTTCACGGAATGGACGGCACAAGGTTTGTCAACCTTCATTGTAAAATATTATAATATATTGTAGAAACTACTTCAGTTTTTAAATAAAGCTTAAACTAAAAAAATTTGATCGTGTTTTTCAACACTAATTTAACATATCTAAAATGTAAAGCCATACCATTGGTGGTGACAAAACCGGTAGCGGAATTAAAAAGCGGGGAATCGTGGGAAGACGGCCTGGATACCGTGCCAGGATCAAAGGAATTCTGTTCAGAAGCACACTTTAAGGCATTAGCAAAAGCAACAGCTACTTGGTTAGGATCCCCCAGGCCTAGTCGTTCGTAGAGCTGGTTCAGGGATGAGAATGGAGTTGTAGTCATGTTCAGACACTTGTTGGTCTCAATCTGACACTTCTGACGCCTCTTCTCCAGCGTCTTGTTCTCTTTTGGTGGTAGTTGGATCGAGATCGGGGTATCATGCTTTAAGGCAAGAAACATATAAGCAACTCACAATAATGAAAGCATTACACCATAAATAAGTGGCAGTTATAGTCAAACTTACCTCTGGATCAGGCACAGGAATGTCACCTTCTCGCTTTTCACCGTCCTTGAAATGAGCAGAGCAGATCCTTAGCTAAACAAAAGGTAAGCAATAGAAAGGAACAGTTCACAGAAACAAAAAAGCACTGACAAAGTGGTTTTACTTACCTGGCTCACCACCGTTTCTTCAGTTCGGCCTATTGCTCGTAGCCATCGCTGTCTGAGCACCAACGGCCGCTTTGGGATACGGTAGAAATGGCGGTTGTCTTCTTGGCCGCGGTACCGTGATCGGAACTTGCAATTGGGAAACCCACATGTAGTTGGCATCTGAAGTACTTGTTTAGATTGGACTGACACCAGTAATCGGACGAAAAACCGCAAACGACTTTCAAGCGAAGAAAATGAGCGGCTGGCGCTTAGGACGTGACAAGTATCACTCAAAAACCACAACCAGACCCGGATTTGATGTTCTATATCTGGTTTCGGTGTACCTATGAAAGCAAAAAAACTCAAGTCTCTTGGCCCACGTTGCCGTACTTAAGCCGGAGACAGAAACGGTGGTTCAAGAATAAGGCCTTCTGGCACGATAAACGTGGTAGAAAAGGACCGTTAGACTGATTTGTTGGTTGGATATCCATGGAATACGCATGTGGAGACTACTGTTACAGCATATAAAGGGTTATCAACACGGCCATGAATGAGGACTAACTTGCTATTGACAATCAGATGAGTAGCTCCACGATTTCCTAAATTCAATGCTGCTTCGATGACTTCCGAGACACTTTGTCAGGCCGCCTCTTTTATTTGGGTAAACTGAATTGGGCATTGTGTCCTCTTCCAGAATAGGCACAGTCCGACGGATCGCAAAACACCGCTCGCGCGCCTCCCGGCCCCCGCTGGCACTCGAGACGAGACTATATCCACCGCCAATTCAACGAGTAAATTGCTTCGGATGGCCGATGAGATTTGTTGGGTAACTTCCTTTGAGGAGGCCAGCACTTTATCCGGCTCTTAACCACATTTCCGGCACGGATGCACCTCTTAGGGTCGTAGGCTCGACTTTCATCTTCTGATTCCAAGCTTGGTGGTCGGCGTTATTGCGCCCTCAGGCTATGTCAAACTTTGTATTTACCCGGTTTCGCTGGAGTATTTACCCAGTTTCATTGCATTGGTGGTAACACAATTTTACACAAGCCCTGTATATCCCCTGAGGCCTGCAATCTCAATCTTGTGTTTATTATTTTAATCAAACATTGAAAGTGCTCTATAAATCTCGAGTAACAACATCAAATACATGTGTGATTTATGGATCAAACCAAACACATCTCTCATTGTCGTCCAGATACGAAAACAACATGTAGGAGACGGCAGGATGACATTTCACTCCGATTACGGTGACAACTGCCGTCCAGCTGAAGGAAGGGGAAGATAAACATCAAACGAATTATGAAAACTTTGGACTTGGGCCTAAAACTGTTTGTTTTGCTCTCGCCTTTAATATCGAGAACATTTTGAAGTGTTAAAATTCGTTTTCATTTATCGGAAAGCCATCTCTAATCCGAGCGAAGGGCCTAACCCAGAATTTGTTTAATTTTGAATCTGCAGCTGTCTGTTATGTGTTCCAACAATACGTGTTACGCAATCTGACGTCAGGAAAACAACTTTTCGACCTTACGCCGTCCTCCTCTTTTTTTATCCTTGATCCGCCCTATCAATCTTGGCCTTTGATTCGCTTCCAGCAGCCGCATTCGTCTGGGGTTTAAAGCATTCATTTTTGTTATATTGCTGTAGTCTGTTCATTTGATTTGGCCTATTACTTTTCGTAAAGAAATTCAAGATGGGAAACACCAAGTCTACCGAGGCCGACAACTCTGGTGGTGAGGAGAAACCCGAGATCAAGAAGAAGAAAGAGAAAGACGTCCCCAAGTAAGTACGGTAGTGGTTTGTTTAATTTATGATAGATAACATATGACTCTATCACGGAGTGCTTTGCAACCAGATTACGGTCATCAAAAGCATTATTTAACGTGAAAATTAATAACACTGGATCCGATTCAAATTCAATAAAACTTTTAAGAGCCAGCACGTGCAAAGAAAAAAGTTTTTTGAGCTCGAGCCAGAAGGAAATCTTGAAATACTCTATGACAAATGCCAAGGAGGACCTTGGTCAGCGGATCTTCACCAGAGTTATGGACAAAAGAGATGATTTCCGAAACTTTGTAGAGGGCTTGAGTAAAGAGGAACGTCGAGAACTGACTGACCGTCTCCGTGAGTTTCTGATTAATGTGGTTGACAATGTGAATGACGCGGAAGAGATGGACAACTTGAGCAAAAGGTTTGGCAGTCAGCACGCACAGCTAAGGGCTTCCGGGTTCAAACCTGACTTCTTTGTTGGAGTAGCAGATTCAATGACTACAGAATGTGTCTTTTTGGATGGCGCTGCTCATGGAGCAACAGAATGTCTTGTGGCGTGGTAAGTCTTAAGTGAACATACCGTATTTTTTCATTAAAAAAACTATACGAAACAAACTAAAATTGTTATTGTAGGTCACAATTGACCAGTCAGGTGTTCAGTGCAGTCCGGGACGGCTACTACGCAGAGCTACGACGCTTGAGGCGTTTATCAACTGCGAAATCGACTACAGAAGAGAACCCAGACCAAAGTAAAGATGCAGACGCTGTTTCGTCAAAGTAAGCCGAAATATAAAGGGAAATAATAGCTACAATTCATATAAATTAACTTCGACAAACACAAAAAATACTATTTTGTTTCTATTTTATGATAACTTATGCTAAAGTGCTCTAAGTTTAATACTTGAAGATCTGGAGAAGATTCCACATCCCTCACGTTGGACGACAAAGAAGAAGGCAGAAACAACCAGCTTCTAGCACCGCCACCATCATACTAAACCTGTACAAATCAAAAATAAAGCGGATCTCTTGACACTTACCGACGACGATATTACACATCCTTCCATTTTGCATCATTAGTTTTCAACGTAATTACTGTGATTAGTAACATAACATTTAAAACCATATTCGTAAAACGAATAAATTTTAATTTTTTAAATTTGAATCTGAAAATATTTTTTTTTAAATTTAACTTTGCATCCTAATATAATAACTACCTGTTCAAAAAGCCTCTTGGGAATCCTCTAATCTAGTTCTCATATTTCCCACTCGTTCGCTGTCTATATTTTGTTACAAACGAAATTTTAGTTGTTGACGGTCATAGTTATTTTTTCGTATTTAATTGGCAAATTGCTTATATTCAAGCTAGAGAAGTGGTTAAAAACTTATGATTTGTCTTTTTTTACGTTTTTACATTGTTAACAATTCAAAGTCCGACAAAAACTGTAAACTCGTTACTTTTAATTTTAACGAAATGTCAAATTTTATCGGGAAACCTCTCCAAGTGGGCGAAGTGTCAAATGTGGCCTACAGGTTTTCGGAAAAATGTCTGCTCTTTTTGATTTTGTTGGCGTACCTTGGTCTGTCTGTGGGATTTCATTGGTGGGAAATTTTTGTTTGACGCTTTTTGCGGTTATTACCTTTTTCAGCTCACAATTTAGTCGGTTGTTTTAGGGTTACACACATTTCCTTGTTCAGCAATGCCTTCTGATGCCAAGAAGAAGCGCGATGCCGCTAAAAAGGCTGCCAACAAAGGTGGAAAGAAGCCGGCCAAGAAGGATGAAACTGCGGAAAACGGCTCCGCCACTAATGGAGTTGTTTCGACTGATCCAGCTGTAGATGCCGCCGTTGCTTTGCTCGAACAAGTTGAGATAGAGAATGCTCAAGCTCGAGCTGTAGCCGGGGCCTTGGGGTCGCATCCAAAGAGTGTTAATTTCAAGATTAACCAACTCACAATCACTTTCCACGGAAGAGAGATTGTTACGGATACTACACTTGAAATTAATCAAGGTCATAGATATGGACTTATTGGATTGAATGGATGCGGTAAGTTTTTTTATCTCTTTTTAAGGTTTAGGTATTAAATTTACAATTTGCTGCTAGTTTTACCGTTTATGTTGGTATTTTTCATTATATATGAATTATCTTTTAGGAAAATCGACTCTTCTACAAGCCATATACAACCGTGAAATGCCAATTCCTGAACACATTGACATGTATCTGCTGTCGAGAGAAATGGTGGCTAGTGATGAAACTGCTTTGAAGGCTGTCTACAATGTTGACCAAGAGAGAATCAAGTTGGAAGCTTTGGCAGAGGAATTAGCCGCTAATCCAGAAGATGGTAGGTTATATGAGAGCTTTAGGAAGTAACCTATAGAATAGGACAAATCAATCAAATATATTATAGAAGCCCAGGAGCAGTTGATGGACATATACGAACGTTTGGATGAGATGGACGCTAGCCAAGCCGAAGTCAAGGCTGCTCGTATTCTCCATGGTCTTGGATTCAGTAGAGCTATGATGCTGAAAAAGTGCAGAGACTTCTCTGGAGGTTGGCGTATGAGAATTGCGTTGGCCAGAGCTTTGTATCTGAAGCCTACGCTTCTGTTGCTGGACGAACCTACTAACCATTTGGATTTGGACGCTTGTGTATGGTTGGAGCGAGAGTTGGCTGAGTGAGTTCTATATTTTTGGCAAATATTTGTTATAATTTATTTATTGATTATTTAAAAGGTATTAGTTACGTTTTAATTGAGATTTTTTAGTTACAAGAGAGCGTTGTTAATTGTTTCTCACTCCCAGGATTTCATGAACAACGTCTGCACTAATATGATTCACTTGTTCCAGAAGAAGTTGATCTACTATGGTGTAAGGGGTTTTCTTCGCTTTTGTGTTTAGGTGCTTGTGCCAGTTTTAAAAAATATATTTTTAGGGTAACTACGACACTTTCATCAAGACCAGAGAAGAATTGTTGGAGAATCAAGCCAAGAAGTACAAATGGGAACAAGATCAAATTGCTCACATGAAGGAGTATATTGCTCGGTTTGGTCACGGTTCAGCCAAATTGGCCAGACAAGCCCAATCTAAAGAGAAGACCATGGCCAAGATGATTGCTGGGGGTTTAACTGAGAAAGTGACTACTGAACAAGTGAAACAGTTTTACTTCTTCAACCCTGGAGACATTCCACCCCCTGTTATTATGATCCAGAACGTGTCTTTCAGATACAACGAGGAAACTGTACGTTTTAATTGTTTTATAATACAAGAAATTTATTACAGAAACATATTATACTTGAGGGCATTAATGGTATTTATGTGATTTTGTTTTAGCCTTACATTTACAAAGATCTTGAATTTGGAATTGATCTTGACACTAGAATCGCTTTAGTAGGCCCCAACGGAGCTGGAAAGTCTACTTTCTTGAAGCTGGTCAACGGAGCCATCTCTCCTACTGACGGTCAAATCAGACGTCACGTTCATTGTAAGATTGGATTGTATCACCAAGTAAGTTTTATAGTTGAATTAGTTTTTGTTCTACTAGATTATTAAATTGTATTTTGCAGCATTTACACGAAGAACTGCCTTTGGACAAGTCAGCGCTTGAATACATGTTAGAGTCATATCCGGAAGTGAAAGAGAAGGAAGAGATGAGGAAAATCATAGGAAGATACGGCATCACCGGAAGAGAACAAGTGTGTCCAATTAAGCAACTCTCGGATGGACAGAGAAGAAGAGTCTCGTTCGCCTGGCTAGCTTGGCAACAACCCCATCTGCTGCTTCTTGATGAACCTACGAATCACTTGGACATGGAGTCGATCGACGCCTTGGCTGAAGCCATTAATGCTTTCGATGGTGGAGTGATATTGGTTTCCCACGACTTTCGATTGGTGCAGCAAGTGGCGGAGACCATCTACATCTGTGACAAACAGACCATCACCAGATGGGAGGGCGACATCTTCTCCTTCAAGAAACATCTGACTCAACAGATCGCTTCGGGTGAAAAGGAGTTCGTGGAACGGTAAATGATATCAGACGCTTGGTTGTTGTTTTATTTGTTGTAACTTTGTCCGATTTATTGGATGAATAAATAAATAATTGTGGTCACTGACATAATAATGATAATGGAGAGCGCTCTCGAGAGTGACGCGGCAACCGGTTCTGAGGGTGTCGTCTTCCTTCCTCCCCTTTGGTGGATCTTCTTTCCGTCGACCGGTTGCGAACGATTAATTAAGGAATGGGTCTAGGGATGACTGACTAACGGGCTAAGATTGAAACGAGATGCGAACTCCCCTTAAGGTGCCGCGTCAAGCCTCCGCGACTTAAGTTTCATCCTAAGTAAAAACGGCGCGTCGCTCCATTGATTCATTCTAGAGGATGTTCTCACGGCTATGGCTGTTCCTCTTTCTACTGGCCTTCGTGGATTCGGCGCCTCGTGGCCCATTGACGGATCACTTTCAAAACTGGCTAATTGCCAACGGGTACGAGAGTGACGCGTTCGATCGGCCAGACATTGGGCCGAATGGCAGTTTCGGAGGGAAGACTAGCCCGTCAGACAAGGTAGCAATTACAGAATCTTTTTTCCCTTCCCGAGTAGATTCTTTAAATTTTTTTTCGTCAGGTTGTGAATGAACCTGTTATCTTTATCCACGGAACCGGTGATGCTGCTCTCCATACTCAAGCCCCCATGGCCACAGGATGGTCACGGTCGATACAGTATTTTATGGAACAGAACTACAGTAGTTCCGAGTTGTACGCCACAACGTGGGGAGATACGTGGGGTGCCGGAAACGTAGTTGACAGTTACAACACCATGCACACATGTTCGTATCTTCTGAATTTGCGACGATTCATTGAAGCCGTGATCGCTTACACCGGAGCCAAGAAGGTTGACATCATTGCTCATTCAGTGGGTGTGGTGTTCGCGAGGTAACTTCAGAATCCGATAATTAAAATGATGATTTAGAAAAGTGTTGAAAGGCGGAGACTTGATTGCTACAGATGGCAACTGTCAGCTGGGTCCATCTTTGGGAAAACACGTGGATACCTTTTTGGGTATCTCTGGTCCTAACTATGGCCTTTGTGTATGTCAGTTAGCTCAAACCGTGCCGGCATGGTGTAACGCTCTGGATGGACTGTACCCTGGCTACAGTTGTGAAGACCAGGTAGGCCTTAACTTCAAATTTCAAAAGTGATACGTTTCTTTTAAACACCAACCTTATTATAGCTATTGTGTGGATATACTTCGAGTTCGTGTACCCAAAAGGACTACTCCACCTTCTTGGAGAAACTTAATAATGCTCCAGAGAAGGAAGCCGACCACGTTTACGCCATGTGGAGTGACGGTAAGGGATTCAGGTTAATATTGTTTATGAATTTACGAAGTTTGATTATTTGATAACTGAAGGTCTTAATTATGTCTTCAGTTTATTTCTATTGTGACATTTCAGTAGACGAAGTGGTGATGCATCACACCTGGGGTAAACCGACCAGTCGGATACCTGGAATGAATGGACGTTGGGTGTCGGACAGGAATGGCCATGTAGCCATGAAAGACTTGACCGAGCTTCGCCAGTACGAAGCTGTAGTGCATCATTCCATATAATTTATTTATTCCTCACCAAATGAATCTCATAAGTTATACTACGTATGTTGTAGTTGACATTGTTTGTTCGAAATAAATAAGAAACGTCATAGCGTATGTTATTTATATCGAGTTTTATATATATTTGAATAAAATAAAATTGGCAAATTATTTAACTATGTCTACCGAAGATTTAATTACCAGAAAAAGCGGAAATACTTTGTTCATCACGTTGAACCGACCGACCAAAAAGAATTCCATCAATGATAACGTGAGTTTTGGTTGATTCTCATATGTTTTAGAAAGCACAGTAATGTGTAATACTACAATATATAACATATTCAGATGTACAAACTAATCCCAAAGATTCTGCACGATGCCAACAATAATGACGAGGTAGTATTCACAGTCTTTACAGGTAATTTGATTTTCTTATCTAATTGCCTTCAGGTAATGGAGATTACTTTTCGTCCGGCTCCGAATTCAACTTAGACTCAGCACACGCCGAGAAGTAAGTACTCATGTGAAAGTTTAATATGTTATTTATTCAAACAGAATGCTCAACTTTGGTTATCTTTTACAAAGACTTGCTTAATAGGTACCTTGGACTACGAACTCCCATATACGTTGACATGATAAGTGAGCTGATTGAACATAGGAAGATCCTCGTAGCATTCGTCAACGGACCGTGTGTAGGTATTGGAGTTACGATGCTGACGCTATTCGATTACATTGTTTGCTCTGACACTGTAAGTTGGACATTTGTCATAACTTTGTATGTCGAATGTCCATTGATATAACCTTAACACAAGTATCATGGTTATTTCAAATAAAACTTAATTTAGGCAACTTTTGTGACTCCGTTTACTAAACTCGGGATCGTAGCCGAAGGCACGTCGACTTTCAGTTTCCCTGCCTTCATGGGTCGTATCAGAGCAAACCGACTTCTACTATTTTCTGAAAAAATAGACGCCAATGAAGCCATGAAGCTGGGTATGGTAACCGAAGTCGTTCCACACCAACACTTTAAAGAACAGTGTACTAAAGTGCTAGAAAAGCTGAAAAAGCTGGCTCCAGGAGTAGGTTGAAACAAAGATACAATGCAAATATTTATACTATTTACAGATACTATAAAACTTTTTACTTTCCTTTATTTTAAAAAAATGCTGACTGCGTACTCGTTTCAGTCGCTGCTTAAGATAAAATCCCAGATAATGGCAGGCGATTACCGGAAGCGGCTTCGTAATGCCCACAAAGACGAAGCCATAGCCTTGGAACAGAAGTACCGTACCACGGAGATGTTCGAGTTCATGGTGGACGCGATCAAACGCCGGAAGTCCAAGATGTGAAAATGTAATTTGTACTTGTTTTGTCACTCCTAACAATGTTACTAACGCCGGGACTTTTCATGTGCCAGTCTCACGTTAATTATTGCGACTGGGCCAACTTTCCAGAATTAGCACTATTACGTAGGAAAAGAAATAAAGATTGGGGCGAGGATGTGTTTGTGTGTAAATCAGAAGTTTGCTCGTCTTTACTTCTTGTTTTCAATGCCCTCGGGGATCGCAACTTGCGAATCTTGGGTTGGTTTCCAAAATAAAGGTTTCGGGCACTGTATCCATGTTGCTCACGGAGGTTAATACGATTTTGACGGGCCATTTTCAAACTCTCCTCAAGTACCAATTCGAGAGCGTTTCGGGCCGTCAAGAAGGCCATGAAGCCAGATGCCGCGTTACCTCATAACCACGATGAATAGTAGGGAATGTTGTGCATGTTGTTAGTAATCTCAAGTTTAGTCGCTACTTGACGACTCTGTCGAGCCCGCACCGCATCAGCCGCCTCAGGAACTCACGGTTCAAGAGAACACTGTTCGAACGACGCAGAAGTGTGTCTTCCAACAGCAATGACCCGTGTCCCATGAAGGAGTTGCATTATGGTCAAGTGATGACATCTTACCCTCGTTTTGAGGTGACTGCTCCTCCGCCGATGCTACGGCGTGAGTCGGCGACCCGGTTGTTCCTAAAGTCGGATGCCGTCTTCAAAGCCTACCAGGAGTTGGAGGAAGGCGAATCCACATGGAGAGGTCACCGACCATCTCTGATTCCCAAGATACGCACACAGACGTCGTTGAGTGATGACCGAGTAAGTTGTTATTTATAGTGCTCTTTGAGACAACATTTATTGTACCAAAGTTCCCTTCAAACAATAGTTCTCTTTTCGTATTTTGAGATTCGAATTGTTGCAAAATACGTGCTATGTGCGAACTGCAAACAAAACGTCTCCCGAGACTTATAACAACCTAAACTAAGTTTTATTCCGAGATAGCCGGCTGTCAGGCACTCCAAGCCATTCGATGCCTCGATTTGATATCAACTTAATCGACGGTATTGTCCTAAAGCAAATAAACCCGGCTTCTATTTATCTTGGGTCAGTTAACCGCCAACTAAACTGCCATATCCTGGTTCTTTTATCCCCCGGACTCACGAGGTGGAGTCGAGAGTGGTGGTGTTCGTTCGCGACCGTTTCTTTTCTTTCAGGATGCGGCCGGGCTCAAAGCTGTTCCTTCGGCCCAGTTCAGACACACCGGTTTCGAACCTGCGCACCAAACGTCACGACCTGAGGGTGGAAGTTGGCAATCGCCGAACAACCGGATTCATCGTTCCAGTTCGGTGCAACAGCCTCAGACGCTTCTGAAGCCAGACGACACCCGACGACGCTGCTCCTCGGCCATGGAGGCCATACGTAAGGAGGACCCCGAGAGCGTGTACAATGTCTTCAAACAGGTAAACAACTTGTTATTGTAATTGATTGTCTAGTAAGTAATAAAGCATTCTAGCTTGTTCTTCCCATGTAAATATCACAGTAACCTTGTTGTTCAAATTGAACTTCGAAGTATCACGTAACACAACCGAAATATCTTTTTCCTGAGGTCAGCATTCTGATCTGAGAACAAAACAGAACATGATACTCGAAACGTGGGCTCAAAATGTAAACATCTGATTTCAGTTGGGTACTGGTCGATTTGGCTTTGTCAAATTAGCACAAAACAAAAGTACGGGCAAAAAAGTGGCACTAAAGTTCTTTCCGAGAAGCTCCACCAAACAAGTAAGTTACTACAACGTATTATGTCAGTAAAGTCAAAAGCATACTATAAAAAATAGTATTTAAAAATACGAAAAACACGTTTTTATGTAGTTATCTTAAAGAAATTGTAGTACTGTAAATTGATTGTAGGCCGACTTCTTGCGAGAATACAACTACTCCAAACAATTGTCAGCACATGTCAATGTCCTCAACAGCTATGACGGAGTGTATCACACGACGAACGATGATGCCTTCTACTTTGTGCAAGAGTTCTGTCCTAATGCAAGTCTCCGGGAGGCTGTTGAATGCAGCAACGCTGGTAAGTTACTCTGAATTACACAAAAAATATAAAATTAAGTAATTTGTATTGTTACTAAACACAATTACAAGCTAAAATTACATTTTGGAGGAATCGGGGAAGAAAAAACTCGAAAGCTGTTCATCTCCGTGCTGACTGCAGTAGAATATATGCACTCAGAAGGACTGGTTCACAGGAATCTGAAGGCCGAGAACATTCTACTCTTCGACCCCTTGGACTTTTCCCAAGTCAAAATTACAGACTTCGGGTTGACTAGAAAAGTGGATTCTACTGTAAAACATCTGGAATACACCAACCAGTACCATGCGCCAGAATTGTGCGATACAGTGGTTAACGAAATGTGTACCGTGACCAAAGGATTGGACATATGGGCGTTAGGTACGTTTGGTAAAGTTGTAGTTTTATGTTCCGTAAAAATCTCTACGCCTCATTTTAACCTTAAAATGTTAACTGTTAACTAACTATATCATATTGTTGTAGGAGTAATATTCCACTACTGTCTAAAAGGTAAGCACCCCTGGCAAAAAGCAAGTATAATGTGCAAGCCTTACTATGAATGGGAACAGTGGATGAAGCACAAACTGGCCCAGTTACCTCGAAGATACGATTGCTTCACAGAAAAAGGTATAAAACTTCAGAAGCGATGTTTAAACCCGAGGATAAAAGATCGTTGGACTGTTAAAGACATAAAACGTTGCGTTGAAAAGGAAAAGTTCCTAAAACCTCAGAAGACGATGAACAAACACTTGGTAAGTACAAGAAATCTGACCTACTACAACATACCTTATGGCGTTAATATACCATAAAAAAGAAAAAAATCTACAAATATAATCACTTTAATTAAACTTACTGTTCTTTTAAACTAATGCTGATGCCCGTACTATGTTGTTTTAGTTGATGGACGAATTTGACGAAGAAGTGGTCGAAAAGCGGCCAGGCAAAGGAATACACGGCTGGATCTCGAATACTCTCAGCACGATGGCCGAGATCAGCGAACAAGTTGTGTCAGCACACAATAAGTAATATGTACATTTCTTACAAACATATCAACCATAATCTCGCAATTACCGTAACTTCTGGGTTTTTACTGTACAATAACAATATTTTTCGTTTTGTAAATAAATTTTCAAAATAACTTACTGAACTGTCCATCAAAAGCTATTTGATGAGATTCTAATGTTGCTTCACCAAATTTACACAAACTTTTCGGAAAAATTTTATAAATAGAGAATTGGATCAATCAATTGTGACTTTTCGGCGTTAAAACAATTGATAATTTGAAGCGTTTTTTTACAAAATCTGTATCCAGTGTAGCCGACGGCATCATAAATATATAATTTATTTAAAATATGTATAAATATGCCTATGACCGGAAGAAAAGAGATTCATGGATGCAATAGGTGGTAGAATACGAAAGACCCGTGTGTTTTGGTAACAAAATACGATTATTTACAATCTTCAATAGGTTTTTTGGTTATTTTGTCTTCTTCGACCTCTATCTGAAAGAACCCTAAAGGTAGGAAGCTTATCATAACAGGGATGAATATGAGACCGTGTATCACTCCCAATACCATAGTCAACCAGATGGTCTTGAAGAAGGTCAGAATGATGTAAGCATTCACCGTGTACAATATCGAGATTCCAGCGATGGTTGATGTTGCACCCTGAAGTAAAATTTATTAATAAGGTACCATGCTTTAGCTTTTAACCATCCATCTACAGGTTTGTATTATATAAATATGTTAGGACCTACTTGGAAGATGGGCCATCCCAGGTGTTCCAATGCTCCAATTACTCGTTCGTGTACATCACCGTGAGCAGTAACAAATGCATAGACGATGTGTGCCGAGAGATCGACAGCAAACCCGATGCTCATGATGATGGAGATCATGGAGACAGCATCCAGATGTACTCCCCAAAAAGTCATGTACCCAAACACACCAGCACTTATCGAGATGATGGAGAGGACAATAAGGATCGCTGTAAACAACACAATTACTCAAAATACAAACTATTCGAAAAGAAGTTGATCTGAAGATATGTTAGGGCTCACCCGAAGTAATCGATGGGATCAACAAGAAGGCGATCAAAGTCATGCACAACAACGAGATGCCCACGTTGAAGTAGGTGGAGGGCAAGATGATCAAGTACTGGTCGGCGAAGGGGAATGTTTCCTGATATATCTCGACGTGGAAGGGTTGTTTGTCAGCTATCTCACGCAAGGATTTGGCCGCCAGTTTGTGTTGATTTGGCTCCACGATGTCCTTCATGGCCAACTGTAATATAATAATTATTTAAAAAAGGTCAGTCTTAATTGAAAAGTACTTTTAATTATCCAATAATAACCATTTATCTCTTGTCTACTTACTTGGAAGCGGAACGCAATTATCTCGTTGGTGGTCTTGTTGAATACGATGTCTGTATCCCATTGGTTACTGCCTCCAGTGTACTTCAGCCACGATCGTAACTTCTGATTCCAGATTCTGTCCGTGTTTTCTAATTCTGCGTTCAGCTGATCCAGGTAGTTGAGGTACTCCAGGAAGAAGAACACCGTGCCTTCACGGCCCAACGTGTATTCCGTGTCTTCGAAGGATCGTACCATAGCCATCAGTTTCTCTCTAAATCCACAGTAATTGAGTTTTTTATTGGATTGTTAAATGTATATTCCTAAATAGATAAAGCTAGTTGTTGTTCTTACCGTTCAATAGAATCCGTCAGGTTTGGTGGGTTCAGGACGGCAACTTGAATTTGGGGGCCAATCTTCCAGAACAACTTGAGGTCGTTGAAGTAGTTGGCGATGTAATGGGTATCTGTGACCAAGTTCTTGGGCTCCAAACCTTCTTTGAAATTGATACAGCCTAACAAGGCAATGACAATGTAGAACACGTACATCAGTACTACAACTGCTCTGACCCCATCGTTCAACAAGAAGGGACCGTATTTGGTTGAGAAGAATCTGTGAGTCACGTTATCAGAAGCCGTATGTCGTTTTTGAGACTGGTCTTTCTTCTTCTGGTCCTCAATATAGATTGATTGGACGTAGCCACTGGCACTCTCGGTTGACTTCTGTAGCTCTGACGAATTTTTAATTGTTTCATTGGCGTAGACTGTGTTTGTCTTCTTAGGTTTACCTACTGGATTCACCTTTGTAAAGATGAAACAATTTCGGTTGGCTTTCTCGGCTTCACCCAAGATGGCTTGGAAGCCGGCAAAGAAGGTCAGTTGGTACAGGTAACAGAACACCACGGAAGTAAACGCGTATTGGCAGAAAACCTGAAGTAAAAAAATTAAAAACCTTGTGATGAAATACATTTAATTATCAGTTCGAAACACAAACTTCATAATACCTACTTGAACGCCTGGAAGTTCAGAAGAGCATCCGATGAAGAAGGACAAGATGTCGGTGATGTTGGTGATACTGACAGCTACTCCAGCGTTCATCATCATCTGTTGCATCCTTTCATGCACAGGTAGACTCTTGTCGATCTGGTCCCAGCACGCGTTCATGATGAACATGTCGTCGATTCCAATGGCGATAATCAGAAACGGAATGATAGTGTTGACTACGTTATATGGGATCCCTATCAACATCATCAACCCGAACGACGATATCAATGAAATCAGCGTGTTTATCAGTCCACAACAGGCTAACCAAGGCTTACTGTGAACGGTGTCAATGCTCCACCTGTTCTTCTTCAATGTCAACGAACACGCAAAGCAGAAGATGGCCAAAGATGTGAAGCTGACCACAAAGTTGGGGACGAAGCGTTCGGCGTTTTCGTTGATGCCATCTTGAAGCGAATGGTAATGGGCAAAGCTGATGTCTATCAGATGAGACTTGAACTCGTGTAGCAGGAACTTTTCGACCGCATATTCAAACGCAGTCGAGTACTTATCGACCGATGGGGGGTCTTGCTTCAGGAAGTAGAAGAGCTGCGTGATTTTTGCTTCCTGTACCGTGTTATCCGTCTTGTTCAATGTAATATCTCCGATGGCGGTTCCGAGATAAGCGGGTGTATCCTGAAAACAGTAACAACAGTGACCGAAAAAGTAACAAAAATACATTATATCTTATCTAACAGATAAAAAATACCAAAAAAATTAAAAATGTGAGACATCGGCTTACCTTGTTACCTCCTTTTGGGTACTTGAGATCAATAACTCGACCGACTTTACTCATTTGTCTGAACATCTCAATGTGTTCGTTAGCTCCACATGTCCAGTCATAACTCAGACACAGGTCTTGGTATGTTAACGTGAACTTCCCGTCTTCCGTAGGCACAGTGACATTAGACATGATCAAAGTGTTGAGGAGTTGTATTTCGTCTAATATCGTCGGCCGGAGAACGTTTTGGCCGTCTTTCGCTCGTACTAGAACGTTGACGAAACGCTTGGCTTCGAATGATTTCCCTGGCAGAAACTTGTTTTCTTGTAATGGCCACAAGGACGAGAACAGCTGAGACTCTCGTTTCCATCTGAAACATAAGAACTTTACTGAATCAGAAGCCGTTAATAACCCTTAAGAATCGCTAACGTTTTTTATGTAAAATATAAAATGAGGCTTTACCGTGCATTCTTCGGCGTAAAAACATATGCGGGGTCATCTTCACTGAGCTCGCCAACCCAAAGGAAGCCGAAGGACAAGAAGAAGGTGATCAACAAAGGAAACACGAACAAGGTGACCCGGTAGTTGTGGACGAACCCCCCGTACCAGTGGAAGAACCGCCGGAACTGGGGCTCCAACGACGGGAACTTGAACATACAACTCCTGAAAGCAACGACAATGACAAGTGCCGGAGGCTGAGGAAAAGAGGATGATCGCGCGGCTTAAAGTCAGCATTCTTTCTGTCCGAAGAACCTGAATTGGGATCAAAATTCGAAAGTGAAAAAGATTAAAGCGGATGACTGCATTCGAAAGCCGATCTCCGCTTCTTCTACGGTCCATGAATCTGTCTCCGAGATGGCTGGGATTCCACTGAACCCATCTTCAGAGCGCATATTTCAATATGAATATGATGCGCGTGGAATAATGACAAATCAGATTAGAGTTATCCAAACAGACGGACGGGAAGGAAGGGTTCGTTCGTTTGGTTTCAAACCCTGGAGGCGCTGTTCTTACTCAGCAGTATTCAAATTCACAGGTATTTCGAATATACGCGTACTGTACTTAACAATAGAGGCATTTGTAAGCTCTCGCTCAAAAACAATTAAATCCCAAGGTGGAGGCGGATGAGAGTTTGGATTGGAAGCTGGAAATCGACCGACAAGAGTGCGAAGACGAAACGGAAGGAGAAAGCTGTAAGTGGCTGACATAAAGACATTACAAAGTCATGTAATGTAGGTCGCAGGGAAAGTAACAGGCAAAATTACCTGCTGAAGGAACAAAATTGGAACGGCACGTCTAAAGTGTCAACGTCTATCTTTAGCTTTATGAAATTCGAACTTGAATCAGGTCAATCGTGCAAAAGACGCATTCAAGACTATCACCAGGTGTTCGCACCGAGATTTAGGAAATTAGGTAACAGAAGATAACTTAAAAAGTCTGTCATTTAAAGTCACAAAGGTAATGCTTTAAAAAGTAGGGGTGGAAATTAAAAAGTAAAGTATCTGTACGTAATTTTAACAGTATTCAACCTGCGACCATTTTAATAACTTGTACGAAAAAGGAACGTCATCATAACACGACATTTAAGATTCGAAAACATTTAGCGGTGTTTTTATATCTGGAGACCTGTAGAAGCGCGAATAAAGAACATTTTCCGCAACGATCAGGTCAGCGCAGCTTCAAGAACAAACAACAACCATATGAAGAAGGAGGATTCGAACTCTCGGATCCCCAAACGGCTAGCCAACACTTGATGATGTCAGGTGTTGCAACCGCATAAAAGTAAAAAGCAATGTGATCTGGTTCTACTGTACCCGAGCAGATGAGTCGAATCGCTCCTCCTATTGTGTTTTTTGTGATGCGCATTCGCGCTCACCGAAAACCGGTTGTGGCGTCGGCATTGGCGCCACAAACTCGGCAACCTCGAGCTCGCGGCACTGGGAGCGACGACCTTCAAGGTGCCCCGATGAACTCTCCAGACGTACAGCCTCAGGGCCTCTCTTGACGCAAGCAATGACCTTTCCGAGGCTCTCAACTCAACTCAAGATTACTAATCGCAACTGGTTTTTAGCCCCCGATATCTCGGAATTACAAACTACATAACAGGTTTATTACGCAACAATTTTCAACTTAAATATTTATTCTTCACAAGCGGCGGACTTCGTCCCATTTTCCTTCTTAGATCCAGATTCCTTCATCAAAGTTCTCAACTTTATCATGAAGTTGCTGGGGACGTTCGGTTCGGGAGCAACGAACGGTTGGATACCTAAAACAACAATAGGTTATTATTATTTTACCTTTAAATTGGTTACAAAGAATTTATTTTGTTTAATAGAAAATTTTAATCATAGTAAAAATCTTAAATAAAAACTCTAACAAATGAAAATGTAGAGTTAAACTTCAAAAATATCTTTTATATATTGCGTTAATTTTATAAACTGTAAAATTCCACTTTTTTCAAAAAACAGTAAAACCTTACCGTCTCGGAAGCCTTCTAAGTTGTGTTTCATCTCCTTCGTCCGTTCTCCAAACGAATAGCCATCGTCAAAACTTAAATCGTAAGCTGGTATTTCAAACCGAGTCTCTTCTGAAAACAAAGATAATTAATGAAAAGCTTTACAATTTTTTATGAAAAAAATGTAAATTATAATAATACAGCATGTCATTTTATGTAAAAACCTTACCCATGACTTTTCGTTCCTCAACTACCTCAGTCCGACTAGTATCCAAGTTCAGTCCGGCTTGCTTGGCTTTTTTAACAACTTCAGAGTGGCTTTGTTTGTAATCGTAATCAGCAATGTGTTGCATGCACTTCGCAAAGTCTTCAGACACCTGGTCTCCGTCCACATGAGTGTAGCCTTTGATTGGAATCAAATCTTCTGCCTTTATTACCCGTTTTGTAAAGATGTCCTCGTCACCAAAGAAAGGCAAGGTGTTACTCACTTTAACACAACTAAAATACATCAGTTAGTAACTTAAATTAACAAAAACAAACATTTTAATAAATAAACCACTAAACTTTAATACCTAAAATATAATGATACATTACCTATCCACAAAAGCTGGAGGGTACCCTTCAATGCCCATTTTTCTCATCCTCAATGCATAAACAGGCACTTCTTCTTCTGTAATATTCAAATAGTACCTTAGCTCTTCTTCTGTGCATTCGTCTTCACAATCATAAGGAAGATCGTACTTCTCCAACCGTCTGAAATAAATTTTACTGTACTTTTGTTAAAATTAATAAACTTTTTTTTCACAACAACATTTAAAAGCTAAAATACCACCACAAATTACTATTTTATGCTGAGCTCAGAAATTGTGAAGATACTCACTTTACAGGCTCCTGATTCCTTTGGTAACTCTGACGTCTGAGAACATCTCCTTGATCTCGTTTAACTCCAAAACTGCGATCAGATGAAAAGGAATTCTAAAAAATGATGTACCATAAAATAGACTTACATTCTGACTTTGGTCGTATCTTCTGCGTTTTCGATTGTCTTCGTTTTGTCTCCCACAAGTCAAAACTTCGGCATGCTCTGAACGATTGAGTCGATCTTGTTGGTATGGAGCTCCTTGATATCCTGCAGCTTCACTGTAATTCTGATAATCGCTTCTTCTTCGATAATCTCGTCCATTATCTACACGAGGAGGCACCAAACTTGGTGGTGCAGGTGGTGGAGCAATGTAAAAGTTGTTGTACTGATTGTATTGGCGACCTCTATCACTTGGACTTGGCTGGGAAAAGTGATTCGGATTCCCATTGTAACGACGGTAATTGTTGTTGTAACTCATTGTAAGAATCTGTAGTAAAATCGTAAATCAAAGCAGATTCAAATAAAATTATGCGAAAGAAAAAGCTGAAGCGGAATGCCACAAACAAGAAAAGCTGCCAAAAGCGCGCCTTTTTTCGTCAAACAAACAACAAGTGAAAAAGTAAAAAAAGAGTAATTGCAGGTTAATTTACCTACTTCGGTACTTATTACTGCAATAACAATCGTGCTGTTTTGTTATAATTCGGTTTCTTTTTGGCAATCATGTCGATATACTTGCTAAGAACTTATCTTTTATTTTTTTTTGCCTTTTCACAGTAATTTTGTCGTAAGTTTTTAATAGGGTTACCAAATGGGTTTATGACTGTCTAGTATAAAATTAGGTTGAAAAGTGTACAGATTATTTAAGCAGCCATTTTTTAAAAATATTTGTTTATTTTTCGTTTACAAATTTTAAAACAAGATATTTGAGTTTTCAATTAAAATTTAAAGATGCTTTTAAAAAAGTGACAAATTTTTGGTTTTTGTAGGTTATACGAGAATAATTTTATACTTTGTATATGTTCAAGTGCTTGTTTAATATTACTTTTTGTATTTAAACTACATTTTAACTATTTGGCAAAGTTTTTACTGACTACAAGTGCCTTTACCGCATATATCATAAAGCAATTGTCCAAATAAGGAACAATGAATTAGTTTTACACAATTACAAGATTGTATTAATTCGTGTATGTGTGGCGACATTGAGTGTTTTGGCGAGGGGAGCGTGTAGTGTTTTTGTTGCTTTTTTGTTTGGAAAGAGTAGAGGAACACACGTCTTTTTTGACGGTTTACGAGGTCGCTTCGGGCATTGCACTCTTGCGAGAACGAGATAAACGCACCATTTCTCTCGTTTTCAGCGCGAGCCTTCCAAAAAAACGACAAAAAACCAGCGGCGCATTGGCATCGAAGCCATAGTTGTAGTTAAGTTTTTCAAGCCCAGGCCTCAATTACAATGTGATAGACCTGGGGCCGTGTTTCACTGCTCGTTTCGGGATGAGGAAAGAAAGGGAGCGTGAACAGGGTTGGCGCCAGAATAACAGTGTTTCTCGCGTGGGTATAATATTAATCAGGGAATGTTGTTCCTGAAGTCATAAAGTCTGGGGCGAGTAACTGCCCTAATCCACGAAATCCGGTGCCAAAAGATAGCCGAGCAGATAACGATTGTCTTGCTAATCCTGTTCGCTTATTGCGCGTTTCGAAAAGCCGTTTCCTTCGCCGCGAGGTTTCGGTGGGGTTTCTGTCTCCCGTGTCCTGTGGCCGTCGCTACTCAACCAACATCTATACACAGGTGTTTCCCCGAGCTCCGATTCCTGCGCATTTCGGAAATTGGAAGTGTTTTTTCCGTTTCCTGGCTTCCAGACCTCGGGCCGGGAAGATTGGGATCAAGCGAATACGTGAGCCTTTGACCTGGTGTTGTAGTGCAAAAAGGAGGGCGAGGGTGAATGGGGCGCTCGTCGAGAGCCCACATGGCCAAATTTTTTCTCGGGCTTCGTCTTGCTTTCCCCCACGGTTTTCTCGGCTATTTTAACACTTTTAACTGATTTTTTTCAGCCTGATATCGTGAGACTGTTTGGAAGCGACGTGAACGGTGAGACAGAGCAAGGACGGCGATGTCACTGCAATCGGTGCAATCGACGCAAAATCGAAATGACGTGAGTCTGATCAATGATTTTACAATGACAAAAAGGGGCAGGGGCCGGGCGCTTATCAAAACTGTTCCACCCAGTGACGCGACGTGACCTGCGACTGTTTCTAAACAGTTACGTAATATCAGTTACCTTGCAAGAAACAGATATGAGAAAAGAAAACTAAAATTCAAACACAGACATCCCAAAAATGCAGGTTTGAGTGGCGGAAGCTGGGTGGGTAGTGATCGCTCCTTACAGGGAAAGAAGGTTGATGGAGCGCCCGAATATCTGGGTAACAGAAACGAAAAAAGACAAGAGATTAACGAAAATTCGCTTAACCGAACGTCGTGACTTGTGTTTTGCAGCATCAACTCACCATCGACGAGATGATGAGCGAGGACGAGGCACGGCGAAGGCGGGAGCAGCTGGCCCGCCGCCCGTCTTACCGGATGATCCTGAAGGACCTGGAGACGGTGGGGGAGAAGCCGCTGAAGAAGGAGATTCTCGAAGAGACCAGCACCGATCCCGTCAACAACAGCATGTTAGGTAAGGTCTCGCCCCTCCCTACATCAATATTCGCGTGATTGCCAATCGGCTATACGGCCGGCTGTCTCTCTCGGTCTTCGTGTTCTCTTGTTTGTTCCCCAATCTTATTCTCTCCAGCGCGTTATCGCCGGGTTCTCCTTTTTGGTCGAGTCGTTCCGTTTGTAGCGTTATTGTTGTCAATTCCTGTACCAACTTTCGCTTTACGTTGGGGTTGTTTCGAGACTTGGCTGGGCCATCAGCCTTACAGTATGGCCTAATCCCCCGCCAAAGATGGTATGGGGCTCGTTTAAAGATATTACAAACACAGCCCGCAGCCTCTTTTTCTGCGAGAGTGCTTAACGAAGCACATATTATTTCTCTTTTTACCTGGTGTTGTTGTAGTCTCGGGTTTGGCGCTCCAGAAATCGACCGTCTAATTGCTATTCATATTGACTGTAATTACAACTCCTTGTCACATTCGTAATTACAACCTCGAGTCAATCAGTAATTGCCACGTGGGAAACATTAGGACCTGTTCGCTTTCATTTCCCTTCGCGTGGCCATGCTGACTTACACGGTTTTAGGGCCGCCGCCAACATCGGTGCACTTCGAAGTCCCCACTAGTACCCAGCTGAACGGTCTGTCCAACTCGCTGCGTGCGGGGCAGAACAACATCGCCAGCAATAACGCGCCTATGCGCAATCCCAGCGAGTGTGTCCCCGCCGATCCTGGACTGACAGCCCGTCTCATGAACACGCCTCGATCAGCTGCCGACATTCCGTCCCAGCCTCAGCCCCAACTCCCCACCTCGACGCCGCTGCTCAGTGTAGCCGGCACCAATGGTCTCGTGCTGCCCGTAACGAGTGATATTCTCAACATTAAGGCGGTTAATAACGACAATCAGATCTCACTTAACACAACCGGGTTTGGGCAGAACGGTGAGTTTCCAAAGTATTGATTTTATTTGACGTTTTGTTTCAACACATGTTTCAAACTTGATTTTTAAACTAAAGTAATATATTTGTGGGTCAATACTTAATTCGTTAGTCAAAAAGTTTGTAGAATTCTCATAAATAGACCTTTATCGTTACTTGTTGTTAACTTTTTGTCTAACTATAAAACGTAAACAAGTTGAGTTTCAAACAATAAATAATATGGTTTAATTACAGAATGGCAGACAGGACTTTTATCACAGTACGGTACTAACCACAGTCCATTGGCAGCGAATCTATCCACTCGGCAGGGGTCGGCGTCCTTAACCTCGTTGTCAGATAACGACGAAAGCAATCGAAAGCGGCAGGTCAGACTTTTGAAAAACAGGTAAGACAACAACATACCTACTATCAGTTTGTAGTAACAAAGTTTTATGACAAGTTTACAATAAGACAATTTTTTAATAGTAACTTTACTGAAAGTACCAGAGCAATACTTTTACCTTACTTTGCTATAAGTACAAAACTTAACAGTACTTGGACAAGCTTATGCTTACAACAAGTTGTTTAAATTTACAATTTATATGACATATGTTGCATTATAGTTTTAACGATAGGATTTAAAAAGAATTGGTAACTATCTACAATAAAACATGTTTACTCAGTAACAAAATCTTATTGTTGCAGAGAAGCAGCCAAAGAGTGCCGGAGGAAGAAGAAGGAGTACGTCAAGTGTCTGGAGAACCGCGTGGCGGTGCTGGAGAACCAGAACAAGGCACTGATCGACGAACTCAAGACGTTGAAGGATCTGTACTGTCGGAAGGAGAAGGAGATGTAGTAGCCTCACACTAGTCATATTATTGTTATTCTCAAAGTTTCCAATATTTCTACCGTTTCTTGTTTTGTTTCACTTTGGACGGTTGTTCCAAGGATTACTGTACGGCGTTTTAGAAGCGCACCTTCGGACCTCTAATAATAGTATTTAAGACGCTTACAGTGATCGTTCTCGACCCCAATTGCCACTGTAAATATTGACCAAATAAAGAGCGAAATGTTCTTCAATTTCGGATTTTTTCGAATTTTTAAAATTTAACTTTTGAATATTTTAGGTTCGAATTTAAGTGTGGGACTTGATGCTGGATTGGCTTTGTTTTAAATTAAAGAAGTTATAGTTTCTTTAACCTCAATGACTTTAAATGTTACCGATTGGCCACTTTTCAACTTCCAAAACCCTGAAGTTTGGCCGAGATTAAGGTATTCTGGCAATCTGTGCTAATCCGTTTTATAAAGTAATGTTCATAAATAACTGATGAGAGGACGGAGGGAAATCTTCTTTAACATGACAAAAAGAGACGGCAGGCATGCCGGCACCGGTGACAATGAAGTGATACACACTCTGAGTATGACCTAATTAGGAATTCAGTTTTGTTTTATATGGCATCAGTTTTCGTTACCGTGGCAACGCTTTTAATGGACACGGCCGGGGATATGAAGATTGGTGTTTAATATGGATACAATTGAGAAGAATTACGTCCAGAATGTCTACTCAAAGCTGGCTTCTCATGCGTCACAGAACTTCTTCCACAACGCCCATCAACGATCTTGGCCCAGCGTATCAAAGTTCATAAAAGGCCTTGAGACAGGAAGCCTCATACTTGATATAGGTAAAGAACACATATCGTATTGTACCGAGTAGCAGTAGCACATATGTTGTGTATCATGACAAAGTATACAATTTTATATGATGTTTGTGAGTATAATGTAGGTATGGTGTGACTTGTACTTTGTGTCCGTGTTGTTTACCCTTTTTTGAAGGCTGTGGACCAAACAAATACAAAACAAGCAAACACTTCTTAATTGGCGTCGACAATTGTGCCGAGGCTCTGGTCCGCTCCAACAAGGACAAAACCCGCGACGTTGTTATAGCCGATGCTACAGCGTTGCCTTTCCGGCAAGTTACCCCGTTCCTGTTTAACTATTTCCAAATCATAAAAAACATTATAATTCTATTTATTCGTACTTCCTCTGGTTAACATCCTGTTTCAGCCGAGACATCGCCGACGCTGCTCTGTGCATATCAGTGTTACACCACTTATCCAAAGTAAAGCGACGGAAAGCCTGTTTATCGGAGCTGAGCCGTCTTTTACGACCAAGTGGACAACTTTTGGTGTATGTTTGGGCATTCGAGCAACCGAATGGACAATTCCCTTCTCAGGACATACTGGTACCTTGGAATATGCATGAAGTGCCACATGCTGGTAATTTGTTATGACATAATACCAGAAAGCAGAACATTTGATAAATATAATAACATAATGACAATGTAATGCAATATGCTATCAAGTTGTAAAAGATGTCTTTCAGGTCGACTTCCGATTGTCAAGTTTCACAAGGATTCGACCAAAGAGCAACGCATTATCGCTGTAGGTTCAAAAGTCTCACTTTTCTAATTATTTTCACTTTTTAAAAACTATTCATAAGAACCTTTCAGAACTCAATCGCCGTAGATATGTACGAGAACAGTTATTCCGAATTCTTCGGCTCCATTCTCAAATTTCTGAATACCAAAGTTTCTAAGATGAGGAGAGAAATGCCTCCGGCCATTCCCCAGTTTTTGTTTTCCCAGACCTCCAGATTACTCTCAGGAATCAATAGCTGGTCTCCAACACTGAATCGAAAGCTAAAGGCCCTGAGGGGCGACACCATACCCATCTATGCAGAGGAGCTCACCAACCAGATTCTGGAGGACGGCATCGCAGAAGCCATGTCCACGATCCAGAAAGTCATCTTCTACCGCTACTACCACGTATTCAGACGGGGCGAGCTCGAGAGTCTGGTCGAGAGCGACAAATCGATTGGATTCTTCGTCTTGAAGTGTGAATACGAGTCTGCTAATTGGGCGTTGTTACTAAGAAAAGAATAAACTAGTAGTCTTGTTGCTATAGGGGAGACAATTGTTGTAACTGCACACCTCCTGCGTGAAGGTTGGGATTCCGTTACTGTATGGCGGATATCAATGTCTTCAATACCTTTAGTTTCAAGAAATGGTCGGAACGGCTGCGCGAGCAGAAGATCGAAGAGGAAATCCAACGACAACGAATCGAACAGGTATGCTTACTGTTCTTTAAGTGCAAGAAAACAGCTGATGGATGACTTTACACAATAACATAATTGTAGGTCGCTCGGCTACGAGATAAGTTGGCTAGGGAGCGGTCGATTCGAGAGATGGCTGATATGCTGAACGAGGATGACGTAGAGAAACTAATAGACTTTCTTAATGAGAAACTCAAAACGAGCCAGCCAGAGCAGCCGAAGTCTGCTTTCCCGACCTTCTGTAAGTAATATAAACTAAAACAACGTAACAGACATGATACAACCTGAATTTATTCTTATATTAGCCAACAATTATTTCAGTTACACCAACATTACTTAACATGCCCAACTCCATTCCGCCTACCAATATCAACAACCCGGGACAGAATCAGGCAAAAGAGAAGACCGTGAAGAGTAAGTGATGTTATTACATTTGCATAATTACATTACAGGACCAGACAACAAACTAAACTTCAACTACAACCGGAAGTGGGAGCAAATGGCCAAGAAATCCCGCGAACGGAGCAAAATCAAACCCAAAGACTTCAAGATCTACGAGTTCAACTACAACAGGCGCTACGGGGAAATCGTGTAAAGTAAAGGCTTGACTGTGTATGTATATAAATGAAGAAGATGTATAATATAAAGTAATATGAAGTGTGTTTATGACTTGAAGAAACCAAAAAGACCGCCACTACTTTTACTCGGGGTGACTGTCTTGTCTTCGTAATCGCCCATAGCGACATGGTGTAGCCGTTCGTAGGCTTCGTCTCTTAACTGCAGCTGCTTCAGAATGTCTTCATCTTCTCGCTTCAGCCTTTCTTTGTTTTCTTCATATCTAAAACAATTCATTACATACCAAAACAATTTACACTAAAAACTAAATAATTTGCATGCAATAGAGTAACCTAATAGTAACTTACTTTTTCTTTATTTCCATATATTCTCGTTGGAAAGTCGTCATTTCAGTTCGTTTTTGAGTTAGTGCTGGTTCCAGGAGACTAATCTCGTTAATAACATCCCCACATTGTCTGTTTAGAGGTAAGAACAACAACTTGTACTTGACCGATTGGAAGAAGTTATCCCCATAAACACAGAGATAATGATCTCGAGCCTCCAAGGCATTACAACCTAAAACAATAACATTTAAACTTGAAAGAACCAACTTTTAATCAAATAATATTCCTCGATTTTCATACATTTAACCACCTACCTTCAGTTTCAAGAGCGTCTAAGTAATGGAAAGTTAAAGGCGTATCCTTGTCCTCGAGATAAAACTTCATAGGAATGAACTCTCCAATGTGAACACGAGAAAATGGCACAAAATAAAACTCGGCAGTGACTGAATTCTTCTTCTTCTGGCCTTCTCTGATCATTCGCACTCCTCCTAAAACAATATTTGTTATATTTACATTGAAAAAAACAATGAATAACTACCGTATAACGCAGTTTTAATCCTAAACTAACAATAAAACAAAGTTTAGTCACCTACCTTCTTTGTCAAACAGCACCAACTTGAACTTGCTTCCACTGAAAGTCTTGCACTTTATAATAACTCCGTTCTGTTGCCATTCTGGAGCCATCTGAATCCGGTAAAAATGGGCATCTTGTGTGCTGACAGCATCTGACATCCAAACACCTGGCTGAAGTGTCCTTGCACTTTTCTCGTCTTTTCCTGTACACAAGTCTCGTGCTTGTCCCAATACTTTTGGGCCTATGACTGTTGGTATTGGTACCCCAAGTTTACTGAACATTGCACCAAAGAAGCGTCCCATACCACCAAGTTCTGAGAGGTCGACACCATCGAAATCATTAGCATTCTCTTTCACACCGTACAAATCATACTGTCTTCGTTTGTTCGGATCTGACAGTACAGTGTAAGCAATCGATATCTTCTTAAAGGTTTCCTGAGCTAAAAAAACTTATTAGAAATTTAAACAACCAAAAATACAAATTTTCAAATTATGATTTAATATACTTTAAGTAATAAAACTTTCAGTGATTGTTACCTAAATAATAACAAATAATCTGAACCCACCTTGTTCGTTGCCCGGATTCCTATCTGGATGATACTTCAGTGCCAATTTCCTGTATACATTCTTGATTTCCTGCTCAGTGGCGTTCTTCTGCACACCTAACACTTCATAGAAGTCAGTAGCATCCACATTAGCAGTGGGTGACGTTGTCATAGCCTAAAATCAATTATTCAAATATTGAGAATCTTTAAATCAATAGAAATAATAATCAAAAAAGTACAAATCGATAGAAATAACAATAAGACACACCCAAAACGTGGGAAAATGCAAATCGTCATATTAATATGAATAACAACGTATATCATAGAACATAAATCAAATATAAAACAAATTGTTACCCTTATATTACAATCAAAACCTTTATTACTTTTAAGTACTTCTTCATCTTTACAACAGGGGCCACAAAGTTGGCCGACCAACCTCAAATTCCTTGCTCTGATTTTGGCCGACCAACCTCAAATTCCTTGCTCAGATAATTTTATTTTATTCATATTGATTCGCCGATGTGACGAAGTGTCACAAAATATACTAGAGCGTCGAATCGTGGAGAATAAGATGGCCTTGGCTCCGCGAATCGCTGGATATTTTCAAGATGCGTTGAGTCAGCTTGTCGTGCAACCGAATCATTTAATCCCGTGTTAAATAATAGTTTTTATTATGTTATTTTAGAATGGTTGAGGACAATATTGCCAACTGCCGCGAGATCTTTGCGTATTTCGATACGAAAGGCGATGAGAAGATCGCGGTTAGCCAGGTCGGAGATGTGCTCAGAGCTCTGGGACAGAACCCAACACAGAACGAGATTTCAAAGTGTTGTGAACATTGGGCGAATGCAGGTAAATATTGTTTTTGTCTTGATTTTAGGTAATAAACGACGTAAAAGGTAACAAAGTCATGACTCATCATTTTTTGAACAATATTATTAGCTTTTTGAAATAAAGTAATATTGAAAAACGCTTAATTCATTAAAACTATGTTTTAGACACGAGAATAACTTTTGAAGACTTCGTCCCCATCTTCCAGACGGTCGGAAAGAACAGGTCGAACATTCCTTTTGAAGAATTCGTAGAAGGATTGTCTCATTTTGACATGGAAGGTACTGGTACCATCAAAGTAGCCGAGTTGAGACACTTGTTGACCACCTTGGGTGAGAGATTGTCTGATGAAGAAGTCGACCAGTTGATCGCTGGTCAAGGCGATCCCAATGGCCATATCAACATTGCCGACTTTGTGCGCACCGTCCTTCAAGCTTGAACATATATATTATCTTTCTAAATTATTTATCGCATTATTCTGATGATCTGTAAAGTAAATGTTATAATTGTAAAGTAAATATGTCACAATCTAAAGATGTCGTTGCCGTTAACATAGAGTTTTACTTCTCTGTTTATACTTGAATGCTCTTTTTGGTATTTAAAGGTCTCGTTAAAGGGCAGTTTGTTAAACGTACTCTCGGGAATATGACTTTCTACTTCAAGATGTCGAATGTGGCGTTGTGAAGATGGAGGACTACGAATTCCATGAGTTAATTGGAGAGGGTACCTATGGATGTGTATATAGAGCGACCCACAAGAGGTCGAGGAAGGGATTTGCGGTCAAGGTGATGAAGTTGTTTGAAGATGACGAAGTAGGTATAATAATAAAGGTGTAACAAATGTGAAAAATTACAATTTTTATTAAAAACATATTTTAAATCTATACAGTAAACTGATAAATGTTTTTTAATGTCTGATGTTTGTTTACTGTGCAGGGAATACCAAGTGCAGCATTAAGAGAAGTTGCTTTGCTGAAAGTACTGAATCATCCGAACGTAATGAGGCTAGAAGAAGTGAAACATGACCAAGAAAGCTTGTATATAGTGGTAGAACAATGTGACATTGATCTGAAGAAGTACTTCGAAACGCTGGAGGAACCATTATCACTGCTAATTGTCAGAGATCTCATCAAACAAATTCTAAACGGGCTTTTGCATTGTCATTTGAAGCAGGTGCTACATCGTGACTTGAAGCCTCAGAACCTGCTTCTGAATGTGAACACGATGCAAGTGAAACTGGCTGACTTTGGACTGGCTAGAGCGTTTGGCATACCTGTCAGGTGTTTTAGTAACGAGGTAGGTGTTTGTTATGATGATTTTGCCATTGAAATCAACGCAAATTTATAATAAAATGAGAGATCAATTTTGTGGTGAGACGATTTCACAGTTGACTGTGAAGAAAGTGTCAAACATTGGTGTTTTAGGTAGTCACATTGTGGTACAGACCTCCAGACATACTGTTTGGGGCCAAATTGTATACTTCTTCAGTAGATATATGGTCGGCCGGCTGTATTTTTGCAGGTGAGTAAACAATTTAAAATCAAGTTCTGAGTGATAATTCAAGACTAATTTGAACTTTTGAAAAGTCAGCAAAATATTTTGTTAGCTATGTCTAACATGCCAAGTTTTAGAAATTGCTAACTCAGGGAAGCCCTTGTTTAGTGGCAACAATGTGACAGATCAACTTAGGCTGATCTTCCGAGTAACTGGTGTCCCCACCGAATATTTTTGGCCAGGGGTTACAAAACTGCCAGAATATAAAGCCATCGTTCCGTTCTCACCGTCCATAACAATAGAGGAGGCCGTTCCCTCCCTGAACGCCACAGGTCTTTCGCTGCTGAAAGTAGGTATTAAAATATTAGGGGCTTCGTTTAGAGTGGCTCCGTTGAAATATTAAATGGCCTTGTTCTCGTCCCGAAGACAAACAATTCTCCTGTAATATTACTCATCCTCATTTCGAAATAATTACAGAGAATGCTGGTTTGTAATCCTGCTGAACGGATCTCGGCCCAATCTGCTCTCGAACATTCCTTCTTCGACTGATGGTGCTTTTACTGGTATAATAAGTGTAATGTAGTTTGCCTTGTGGTTAATTTGTACATTAAAGACAATATTTTTTGAGTTTTCTGGGATGTTTATATATTGGTTTTATTGAGACTCATTATGTATTCTTTTATATTTTTAAAGAGGGAATTGATAGATCTACGCATAGTATGAATCACTTTTTTCGATATTAATATTGTTTTAACCAGTATTAATAATATGACCCACCAGATGTTCAAATTAATCTTCATATTGTACACGACTAAAAATAAAGATTTTGGAACGAATCAATCAGACCTCGGGAAAGAAGCGACTTCCATGCCTGAGGTCACGTCACTTCAACACGTCTCCTCACCTCACAGGTGTTCATGCTTGTCTCAGCCCTCAGGGCTTGTGCCGAGCGAAACATTATTCGGGGGCTGGGCAAACATTCTTTGACTTGGCCAGTCTTTTTGCGCACAAAGGATGGAAGCGACGTTAAAACGAGACGGGTCACCAAGTCTTGCCATATTATATTCGGCCGAAAAGGGAATTCGAGACGGCCCGCAGAGAATCGGAATCAATCTTGTAGCCATCACGCTTTATCAATTCCTCGGCCATCATTTCCCTTTTGGAGCTTGCACTTCTGCCAGCCGGCTTCATCAAGATTGTGTAGCCGAGTTGTAGAATAATTGTTTTAGGCTTCGAAAGAAGAATAGAAGTATTTAACAAATAGCTGAGAAATAGTTTAGAAAGAATATTTTAGACATCTTTGCTAACAAATAGTCGAAATATCTAGCCCGGTTCGTAAGAACTTGCAATCGTCTTTCCAATTAATTCTCGCGCCCCGCGGGTTTCTCGAGAGTTTAAGAAACGAATTTTACGTGTTTTTGTGGTTTTATCGAGAGTTTATACATCTAATTACCTGTCGCCATGTTCAGACGTGCAATGAAAGCCGAAGAGCCTCAACGTCGCGTGTACGAAGGCAATGTGTACCACTCAGCACCAGCATATCCCAATTTTTCTATCAGTATCAACCATGTAAGTGTGGTAAATTTGGTTTGTATTGATTACGCAAGGATTTTTTTTTCTTAAAGCCGGAATTTAAGGAATTTTTGGAACTAAAATTAAGTGGATGAAACGTCAAATGTTTTATAATTAATATGCTTATATTATTTTATCCTTAAAATGCCAGGTATTTTTGTTATGTTATTTTATACTTCTTACAATAAATTGTATGTTTTTTCACAAATAATGCTGACAGAAGTATAAAAATGTAAAACTCAAAATAATTTAAATCTTTTGTATAGATATCTTGCCCTTTTAGCATGCCTCTCCAGCAACTACTTCATCACCTAGTGCTTCACCCTACCAAGTGAGCTCCGTACGAGCATCCCCGCCTTCTTCAGCACCACCCCCTCCTCCAGTACCTCCAGCTCCCCGTAACACTCTACCCAACAACCCCACTTATCAGTCGATACCTAATCGGAACTCGAACTACTCATATCCTCATGAATCCATCTGGTTCGACAAGTTCGTACGGCGAGAGAATCGAGGAATGTTGAGGTTGTGTCTGATAGAACTGTTTTTGGCTACTGTAGTACTGGCAGGGGGAGTATGGTGCGCCAGGGATACTCCAGAGTACTGTCCTTACTACAGTGCCATCTGGACCTCTGCCATCTTCCTAATCAACGCAGTAGTTGGGATTGTAGCTGCAAAGACGGGGATTCACAACACCTACATCGCGCATCTGATTCTGTCGATATTATCCATCTTCATGTGTGTGATTAGCAGTGTATTGGCGTTCAGGTATGTTGTAAATTACAATTAAAAGGTCAATTAATCGACGACTTGACAGTCTTAACGGGTTATTTGGGTCGATAAGAAAATTTTTTAGACAATTTGCAATTTACAGTAATGTAAACTGGGAATTTACAGTAATGTAAACTGTTGTATGATGATATACATTGTTGTACGATGACATGTATTGTTGTAGGGCCACATATAACAATATGGCTTTATAAATACATAATGTGATAACAGAAAGTATAATGAATTGAATTTTAAATTATGAATGTATTATATTTGAGCAAGGAGGGAGTATCTTCTAGAACATAAAATGTATCTAGTACAATATAACTCTCTAACGAATACTATATAGCACGAATATTACAGAAATTGGACGTTAATTGGGACATATCATCATCCCAAAGTCTCTCGAGACACCGCGTTTTGTTTACTTGGAGAACATGACACTACCAGATTATCGTACATATTCACCAATATGGACCAGTACGACTTCAAGACTTGTCTCTTCGCCCTCAAGCTGGGAGTGGGAGTCAATTCAGTCCAGTTCCTTGTAGCCACGCTCCTGGGGCTTCTCAATGTATTCTCTGTCATCTTCTGTTTGAGACGGGTCTGTAGACGAAAGTGATTACTGTAGGTTGGGTACAAGTGATTAGGTTATCATATACGGATGATACTGTGTTAGGTCGCTACTGTGTTAAGATAATATAATGGTAAGATGGTCAAAGTTTGAGTTGATCTCGGTTGTTTTACTTTTTATTCACTTTAATTGTGACACCATTACTAGGTTTATATTGTAATTGTTAAAGCATGGACTTGGTCTTTAAGATACTGTAATTGTACGGTTTTATTGTAAATGTTTACGATTATTGTCATGTTTATTTCTATCTTATTTGAGTTACAAAGTAGTACCATTATTTGTACTGCTCTTATCTTTTTTGTTATTTTTCTACTTTATGGTACTATTAAGACTGCTTGTATGTACTGTTATGCAGATACTTTGTACTGTTACTTTCACCTTGTAAACCTTCCTCTGATACTGTTAAAACTTGGAAAGGTCGTTTTAATAAAACAAATATGATTAATGATGATCTTGTCCTCGAAGAGTGCGACTTTTATTATCAATGTCAAGGTTAGTGTTTAGATTCGACGCAACATAAACCCGGTCAGTAGCTCTGCGTATCTTCTTATAGTGCATATTGCGGTTTTGGGCAAACTCTTGGTATCTTTTGGGGTATATTGGCTTGGAATGACTTTAATATTATATTGTAGTAGTTTTACTTAAGCAAAGTTACATTGTGGTTGTTCTATTTAAGCAAAGTTATATTGTAGTAGTTGTTTGGCTTCTCTAGGCTACAAAATATTAAAAATACTCTCTTTTCAGATCTTTACATAGCTGTATAATACGGGAATTATTGTTTTAAACGTAATTTTAGATAAATTTATATTATCATAGGTAATCCTTGCATTATATAGGTAAAGAAATCTTTACAAAACTTAATTTGTGACATTAAATTCTGCTAAGCAATGCCAAACTCTATGTTATTATAGCCTGTAATAACAAGTCTAATGTAAATATCTTATGTTATGCTGCGAGATGTGCGAAATGAAATAAATCTGGCGGAAACGTAATTAAAATACGGTAATTTCATTAAGCTGGACGATGATGGATGGCTACAGCCCAAAGGTGGAAGAAGGGCTTTGAGTATTAATGAAGACGGCGGCCGAAGCCAGCACGTCTTTTGATGAAGTTCCACACGCTTTCTCGCCTCAGGCATTCGCAGCTCGAGATCGGAATTTTTAAGTTTTAAAGCGCAATCACAAGATATTTTACGTAATCGAAAACCGATCTCAATGTCAGTTGGGAACCGGCTCCATATTTTATGTAATCAGGCTAAACTAAAATTTGATTTCGAAATTTTAATTAATTTTTAATAAGACTTTCTAAGATTTCGAAGTCTTTAAGCTAAAATATTGTTTTAATTATGTAAAAACATTTTTGGAAATTAGAAGCCGATATCTAAGTAAGGCCAAAGCTTCTATTCTTTAATCAGAATTTGCTCCATTCCGCCCGCAATCAGAAGCCGGCTGAAATTCGGCGAAACCAAACGTTTCTCACTTTTCGGCCAGGGTTATTGTTGACATAGCCGGTTTTTGATACACCTTTGAGAAGAAAGAGAAGCTACACACATTTATAGAATATTGATGAATGTTACGTGGTTTACTTTCCCTTCGGCTTCTTAATGTCATGATTATATGGGGCTGCTTTACTATTATACGAGTTTGCTTTTATTGCATCGTATCTTCGTACCCAGGTCACGTCTAGTTTAGGGTTGTTTGTGTATTTATATAACTGTAGGCTTAGTAATTTTGCATTTTAAAATTGTAAAACAGACTTAAATTCTTTCGAATTTTAATTTAAAAACAATTCTTAATGGCAGAATGCTCAAGTTTTATTTATTGGCCTCGAATTGTGTTTGGACCACTCAATTCTAATTATGTGAACTCTGAATTAGGCACTTGTCCTGTTTTGGCGTGCGTTTGAACAGACTGCGGCCATCTTCACGGCCCATCATTCTGAGGGATTATGAAAGCAGCCGGCTTCATGAAGTCTTTTCTGTTATCTAAATGGCGTTATTAATCAGAACCGGTCTCGCAGCAACCTTTCTCACCAGCGAAACGTGTGAAAGCGCGGCCTGAAGTGGGCTTGGCAGGTGGGTCAATTGACTGGTCGGTCAGTTGGCGTGATTTTTAAAGACGGCTGTCACAAAAAACCAAAATAAAACAAAGAGGGGGGGGGGTAATCGGCGCTCTACCTCGTTTAATTCCGGTCCCGGTTCAGTGGACTGAAAGTTGGGCCTTTCCCCGCCATTTTTCAGTCTACATTAATCCATGCTTGATTGGAGTCATACTCCCTTTCTTCGGCATTCCAGGCACAAAACGGGATGTAATTCAAGCTTGGCGGCCAAAATTCATCTTTGTTTTAAAGAAATACTTTTATGACAACTTGCTCTTGCTCATGTTGTTGACGTGCTTGTCTTCCGAGTGTCATAACATATGTTTTGCGACTTTTCAAAGTCAGTATCATAAATAAATGCCATTCCAGCATCACCACGACCATTTCCAACTTAAAACGTCATCGTGCCACCGCTGACGGCTACTTGGAAGAAGCTAGCCTCAGCGGCGGTGGTCAGGCAGTTGGACTGGAATTCGACGGGCCGCTAGCCAAAAAGCCGGCTGTCAATGTAAGTTTAATCTGATGGAGTACTTAAGCCTTGGAAGTCATTTTGAAAGCATAAAAGACGTTTATAAGAGTTCTGCCACACTTATAGTGCACGTTTTGAAGTTGCATTACGAATGCATTAAAGTGTTGCATAACCAATCCAGCCGGTTGTCAGTTATGACAGCTGATTTGTTTTGCTTTTATAAAGGCCTTGCAACAGATTGGAAGGGATTGTGCCCTGAGGCCATTAATTCTAAAGTGGAGTCAGTGAAGCATTCACTTTTTGCAGTCCATTTTCCCGGCCCATTACAATGAAATGTCGAGTTTGGGCCTAGTCCAGCCGAACCTGCTGCTCTCGGCCATCTCGCAGGCTGCGCCCATCACACAGTCCAGTCTGATGCAAATGTCAATGCCTCAAGCCATCCTCCCCTCCAACGTGCTCCTGCCCTCGCTGTCGTACCCCTTCCAGAACAACCTCGTCAGCCCTACCTACAACAACTACCTGCTGAGCCAGCCGAGTGTCTCCAGTTCCCTGACCTTCGACCCCCTCCTCCAGTTCCCCGCCTCAGACATCAAGGTTGATCCGTCGTGTAGGTCCATTAATTACCGGCCTTAATTAACTCGCTTTCAGCTCTCTACAATGTTTTTGTCGGAGACCTGGGACAAGATGTGGACAACAATACTTTGAATAATGCCTTCAAGAAGTTTGGACAGATTGCGTATGTTTTCGGAAATAGCCTTGACTAAGTAGTATAATATCACAAAATGAAGTAAAACATTTGTAATAAGTTAATATAAAAATAAAAATATTAACATCAGTAGAGTAATATAAATTGAATCTTTACAGAGAAGCCAAAGTGATTCGAGACGCTCAGTCGATGAAGTCTCGAGGCTACGGGTTCGTCACCTTCTGGAGACAAGATGACGCTCAGAAGGCCATTGACGAAATGAACGGAACGATCCTCGGGAAACGGGCAATCCGGACAAACTGGGCAACTCGGAAAAATAATGAAAACAAGAGAACGACCACGTACGAAGAGGTTCTGAATGCTTGTGACGGTGAGAATACCTCTGTATACCTTGGCAACATCGGACCTGAAGTTAGTGGTGAGTACTTTAACAACCTTTGACAATGTTTTATGATATTTGTACTTAGTAGTAATACTGCTTTTGTATATGACGTTTAGTATTTCTTGTCCACCTGGCTTTTCAGAATCCGAAGTGCGAGAAGCCTTCTCCAAATTCGGTACCATAAGGCAGATACGAATGTTCAGCCCCAAGAACTATGCGTTCGTCGTATTCGACACGAAAGAGAACGCGGCCAAAGCAATACACGAGTTCGGCGGTCAAGAACTGAAGGGACATACGATAACATGTTCCTGGGGGAAACTTTCCGACCAGTCGCCCAAGCCCAACCCTCTACTGGTCTTCGCCAACATGAATCGCCTCATTCAACCGCAAATAAACCCCATCTCTCAGCTATACACACCCTTTGTCGCCAACTGGCATTAACTGTAATAAATAATTGTAATTAGTGATATTGAGATAGTAAATTTATTTTATTTGGAAAAGACAATAAACCTTGTTGTACGTGTAACGGCTTTTTTACTGCAAATCTGATTTACTATGTAAGAGATGATTAATTAAAAGAGTTTTAAGCCGTGACGCTACAGTATTTTTAGATTGAGTATACAGTAGTTAATAGAACAAAAAAATATTTTTAATTAAGATCAGTTTTAGAAATTTTCCTAAACAACATATTATCCAAAGATTTGTTTCATATTGATAACAACTTCAAAATTAAAACCAGAAAACCTAAAACATGGCTTACAATACGACACTTAACCACATAAAACAGCGTGACACGGCAGAGAAAGTAAAAGTAAAACATATCTATCCATCTGAAGAGTCTAGAAACTGTCACGTATGAACGAGCCTTCCAGATTCGTAGCCTCTGGATACCTCCAGATACCCTGCCTCTACGCAACAGAAACAACCCCTGAAGGCTGACATAAACAGAGTTTGATGCAATTAAACTGACCATCTGAAGTAGCTTATGAAGTGTGTATGACTGCAGGTATCCCTCCACCCACTCCAAACATGGTCAGTCAGCCACGAACTTGGTATGTAGTTGAGTTACTTCGATCGGGCGCCATCCCGACCATCTCTGTGGCGGCGAATCCCACCGCCCATTTTCTCGGAAAGATCGTGTGGCCTTGGAAGACATCGTGGTTATGCGGTCAAGACTTGACTTCTTCTAATTCCTTCACCTTCAGGTATGCCGTGCCATCGTCATCAATGAACCTATCGTATCTTCTGTTCGGCTTACTGCTTATACCTACTCTTCTGGCACATGGTAAGGGTTTTCATTGTGTTATGACCGGTACTTGCTTTGCGGCTATTCAAAGTTGTTGGGGTACCGCGTAACATATGTCGCTATGTTCTGTAGTTATTACCGTACACTGCCAAGTTGAACAAAATAATTGACCGCATTGTAAAGTGGTTACTTCCCGTACTTTGTCTAAATTTTGATCCAAAAGTTGGTTTTTGTGATGATTTTATGTTGTTATAGTTGTGGAGAGCTCTGTATATCCGCACAGATGATTAATACCTCCCTCATGTTCTCAATAGCCGTTTATTCTAGTGAATATCCCAGCCGTTTTTTATATTTCGGAAAAGCCCGGTTGTCTAAACTTTCAATTGACTGATATTGTTGTAGGTAATAATTTGATATTGTAGTAGGTAATAGACTTTTTCCAACTCCAGTCGTTTTAAAGTGGAATCGTATTATATAAACGATATTATTATGACTATCAACCTCCCATTTAATAGCGATTATATTCGGCCTACTTCTTTTATTGCGCAATGTTTGTGAGGAACGTCCTTATGGAAGACATAATTGTAGGTGGAGAGGGTCACGTTAAGGACGGCATTCCCCGAGAGTTCGACCTTCTTTCTGATATTGAGATTCGGGATCGGAAGCGAGAACGGGGAGCCGGCTCATCCGGCGTAAACAAAGTTGTTGCAATCGAGCGCTTTAAACTTTCCCAACATCCGAAACTGTTCATAAAGCGCCGATAGCCATCTCGTATGCAAATAGACATTCCACACGCAAACCCATTTTAAAATTTCAAAATTTAAAGTTAACGCGACAAAATCAAAAATTGTTGAAAAGTCCTCAAGTTTAGTAAAGTAGATTGTACCGCAAAAACCAACTTTGCCCGTCGAATGCTGTCTATAACATAACCATGACCGCCATTCACAGTGTGTAATTAAGGTGCCTTTCCCACATAACTTAATGAGCACAAAAATGATGGCTATTACCTAAAATAACCTGACAAAAAACTTAGAAAACTAAAAGAAAAGGTCTAAATTCTTTATAATTATACCCAAAATTCAAATTTCAAAAACTTGTAGTAACTAGTAAAGTCAAGGTGCTTCAGAATGCAAAGACCACGAATTCGAATGCAAATGTGGAGTGCCAAGATGCATTCCGATCAGTCTGGTCAACAATAGTTTAGCCAATTGTGCCGACGCCTCAGATGAGATTCAACAACTAAATCACGGAGCTTGTCCGGACATCACAAAAGCAAGGAATGAAGTCGTGCCACCTCATTCTGTTACACCGTGCTCCTCCAAACTACGGTGTAACATCGCCTTAGGACAGGTTTGTGTGGTAAGTTCACCATTTTGCCAGACTAGATTAATATTGTTTAACGTATGTGGCAAGATTTGAAGGTTGAGTAAAACATAGTGATAATCAATTTTGTAGTCTTCGCAAGATCTTTGCATAAAAGACTGCAATTTTGTTTTATTTTAACTTTAAAATTCAAATCTGGCGTGTAATCTGACCCGAGTACCCCACAGTGACATTTCTTTAGAAAGTTGACGGAACTGAGCGATGTTTATGCAAATTTGGATACTTTCGGATCCACGGATCGAAAAGATGTTTTCCTTTGAAGCTGCTACCGTATATGTTAGGGAAGAAGGACAAGAACTGCACAAGTTTCTTCACCGACCTCAGGGAAGCATACCCAGACTTTTTCAAAGAAAATCTGAATATTCAACCGATCTCATTCGACCAAAAACAGAAACGACAGTTCGACATTCCAGAGAGAATCGAAGACAACGATGTTGAAGTTAATCTGCATGAATGTGGGATCAAGGACAAGACTTGTTCAGGTAACATTAATATATCCAAACAATTTAAAATATTAGAATTAGAAGAAAACAGTGAAAACGTGTTTATAAACATTCTGTAAGATATGTCGGATATCTGTTTTAACACATTTAATTACTATTTATGACGTGCAATATCTTTTTAACTACTCGCAATAGGAAATCGACGGTGAGAAAGTAATGTAGACACTAATACTACATAATTGCTTTTCCCCCGCTTAAACTGGTTCCTAACACAGCAACATTACAGGTAAAACAGAAAAGTGTGAAAAGGACGAGGATGGTGTATATCGATGTGTATGTTATGGCAACGCGACTCGAGTTGACGGAAAGTGCATTCGTAAGATATTACAATTTTATATTTAAATGAAAAAAAATCCCTAATCACTAATTCCTAAAAAGTTTTCATGTTATACTTGAACCCTCACAATCGACTTGTCCAATCTGGTTGAACAAGTCAACTGAAGGCGTAGTTTGCCCCGTGGTATCTTATATCTAAGTAGTAGCTTATCAAAGTTTATCTCAGCAAAAATATAATCTAAATTAAAACAATAGAAACTGCCTAAACTTTCTCTCATTTCTACCCCAGACATTTCAACAACGACTTCAACAGACGAGAGATAAAAAGAAAATATAAAAAGCAGAGACTTCAGAGACGACGAAATGTCACAATTTAATTTGAGACGTCGGAAAGCCACAAAAATAAAAAAATATAAAATACGTAAAAATATTGAAGAATAGAACTATTGAAGCTCGTGACTTTAGGTAATATGAATAATTTCAGATCCTCAAGTAAATGAATGTCTGGATCCAGAACTGAATGATTGTGACCGAAATGCCATTTGTATGGACAGTTCTGACAGTTATGAATGTTTATGTCCTCAGGGCTTCATTGACACCTCTCCATTTCCGAATGTCAGACCTGGGATAAGATGTCAGAAATGTAAGTTATTTGTATTGGTTTTACATTAATATTTCATGTTTTAGGCTGAGTTTTATTATGAATGACTGGTCAAAAAGTGAATTGAAATAAGAAAATATAAAAACTTTCACTTATTTCACCATTGTGTTTTTACTTTTACAGTGATAATATTGTGTTTAGTGATAAACGAGTGCAAATCGCCTCTGTTACATGACTGTGATGCAAATGCAGTATGCATTGATACATCTCTCGGATACACATGTTCTTGCCGCGAAGGGTACACCGACTTTTCACCAGAAGGCGCAAGAAAACCTGGCCGGAAATGTGTTAAAGGTAAGCTTAGTTACCTTTTCTGTTATTTTGTTATACGAATATTATAATATTACGGTTCTTAACTAATTTTGGTATCAAAATTTACCGAGGAAGACATATTGTGACAAATCTTTGTAAAATGCAATTCATATTAACATTCTGTTTCAGAAGGGAAGTACTGTAAAGCACAGAAGGAATGTGCCCCCGAGGCGCGATGCACGGATCTTGTCAATGGATTCAAGTGTGAATGCCCTGAGGGTTATGTTGATCTGTCACCCGATCCCTTGAAGTCGTCCGGTCGCATCTGCACTTTACGTAAGTCTTGTTCTCGAACGTTTTCTAGTTAATCCCGAACGGATTCAAACGAGTTCTGAATCATCTCCTGACATCCCTGATATATTGTTGTTAAGTCACGTTACCATAACATCTGCTTGACTTTGGTGATTGCGAAATCATCAAATTTATTTTTGATATCTTAAGAGATAACAGTATTTAAATATTTGTGATGTTTTAAATATATATTTCAGTAAACTTGGACTGTACCGAGCTGAACTGTAATCCCAAGACTTCAGAATGTGTGGCCACATCTTCGGGAGTCATCTGTCAATGCAAAAAAGGACTCGTAGATCAGAATCCTCAATCAACTGGTCGAAACTGTAGTGCTTCAGGTAAGGGTAATCAAGTTAAAGTTACTATAAGGTAAAAGACATTATTAGAGTAAGAGTTATTACAAGCAAAAGAAGGTAACATAGTAAGTGTTACTACAATATAAAAAACATTAGCGGATTAAGAGTTATTACAAGAGGAGAGGCTAGTCGAAGTGGAGTTATTACAAGATGGAGGTAGAGTTATTACAAGCTCATAACTGAGCAGCTAGATCCCTGGGTGGGTTGACTGACTTAATTCCGAAAGAAAGGGATATTCAGATGACTTTCTTTTTTGACGCTGACGCTGAAGGCGTCGGAGCTCGCGCTCAGAAGCGGAGGGAAATGAGGGAAGGGGGGGGGGCGGGTCCAATCAAAAGTGAGCAACGATACTCATTCCCTTTACTACCGCGCAAGCTTTTCCGACTTTTGTCGACTTCAACCTGGCGTTCGAACCACCAACTTTGCCCAATTAAGAATCAGAATCTGAGGGGGAATCTGAAGGGACGGACTGTAGAAGCTCGTTTCTTTGTTGTTCGCGCGCTCTTTCTCTGATTAGGGCGTCCCACTGCCCCGATTAAGGGATTCGGAACTACTAATTCTTCCGTTGTAACTTCTGGTACCCGCCGCGGAAGCCCATCAACGTTAATGCGGAACGTTATCAGGGATTAGTGTGAATGCCGGTCGAGTCATAACACTGAAGTCATCGTTGAAAACAGCCGTTTTCCGCCGTTTTTTGCGACGCGTGCCCTCGATTCGATCAACCACATCCCCCGCCTTCTGGCGATATCAGTCGTCGAGATTAGTTCATCACTTTGTTTCCGTCAACTCTGAACATGTTGCCGGCGTTTGGCCGTGCCTCGCCCTGGCTAGGGGCCGTGCTGGTCCTCTTGGTCCAAGGTTTTGCCGCACAAAGTACATTTTACACTTTTTCATTTGTATTTAAGGCAATTAGCTACTTCAAGAACATCTAGGTTATTGTACCTTTAGGGGAATTCGATATGAACTTATCACTTTTCATATAATCAGCTAATTATTACAGTTTAATAGGCCAAAATTTCAAAATATTTTACAATTAGCTTCTAAATAATACCTAGGTTAACACTTATCAAGTTTTTGTTACTTTGCCTTACGACTTGTGCTTTCAGGATCAAACCCATGCAATGATTACTCACTACACGACTGTGATCCCTTAGCTGAATGTTACAGCGAACAGCCCGGCTTCTTCCAATGCCGGTGCCCTAAGGGATTCATGGATTTATCACCGGATAAGAAACATCCAGGAAGGAGATGTGCAAGAGGTAAGACTTGCGTTCGTTTATTGTACCCAATTACGGTAGTCGGGGGTTTTATTGGGCAGTAAAACACTTTTTGTAAATATTTATTTGCAAACGCTTACTCATTCAGCTTTACAAGTAAAAAAGTAAGCTGGGATAACAAAAGCCTTGAGCTCGCTAAAACAATTTGGCAGACACTTTTCGTATTACACCATACCCTTTTAACAACACTAGTATACGTAAAAAGACTTTGCAAGAACAGTTACACCATGTTTGTGGCGTTCAATTAGCCTGACTCACATTAATCGCTAGCCTCTGACGGATTACCTCATTGTGGGATGCTCGTTCGGCCTTGTCTTTGCTTAATAGTACAAGCAGCATGACACAACACTTCAAGGTTAAATTGTCTTAACCGACCGAATTTCCGCGACTTCAAGGCCGGCTTTAATGTGGAGCGCCAGCCGCATAAAAGTTTTGTGCCAGCCACGAGATATGATTTATCACCAAGAAACATCGCCTGCTTAACACCGGAAATAATTTAATTTACAGAACTAGGTTTACAGAGCAGTATTGTGCGTTGTGTAGAGTAAAAGTGCACTTTACAGACATCAATAACTAACATCACAAAAACAATGGCATACCTGTTAAAGCTCAATATTTAACTTTCAGAAAGCAACGAATGTGCCTTAGGGACTCACGAATGTGATCCTAACGCTGAATGCCTCAAGACCAAAACCGGCTACACTTGTCGATGTAACGCTGGTTTCAGCGACAGTTCGGTTGATAAGTTGCACTACCCTGGAAGAAGCTGTAAACAAGCCCAGAGCTGCCTCAACTCCGATTGTGCTCCAGAAGCCGAATGTCACCCGTCTGCTTCTGGCTTCACCTGCCAGTGTGGCTCCGGCTTCGTGGACGTATCACGCCAACACGGCCGTCCAGCTGGTCGAGTATGCAAATCAGTGGTCAACGAGTGTCTAGAGAACAAACACGATTGTTCTATGAATGCATCGTGCATCAACACAGCTGATTCCTTCACTTGTCGCTGCAAAGACGGCTTCAGGGATGACAGCCAGAATCAGCTTGACCGACCGGGAAGAATCTGCACCAAAAGTGAGTACTACAATATCAAAACACTAAATTTTATTATACACCATGCACTATCGTCAATTACTTTATAAGCATTTCAAAGTAATCTAAATATTTTTCAGCTGAACTGCCACCAATCCCCGAGTGTAATGTCAACGACCCCATGAGTTGTGACAAAACCAAGTTGGAGGTTTGCTTGTTCAGATCTGGAAATTACATTTGTGACTGTCCCTCTGGCTACGGTAGATTGCCAGATGGAAGATGCTTGGTCATCAACGAATGTCAAGACAACCGACTCAACAACTGCTCTCCAGATGCCGATTGTATCGATCAGGTAACACTTAGAACAACTTTAATCATGACATTTTAAGGGCTGATGATATTACTTATAGTTTCAATCAGTGTTTTGTAGAATTTCTTTTAAAATGTATTGTTGTAGGCTGAAGGCTTCACTTGTCAATGTAAAACTGGCTTCGCAGATATCTCTCCAGATGGCCAAGTCGGCCGAATCTGCAAGAAGCGAGTCAACGAATGTAACTCTCCTCGTGAATACAACGTAGACTGTGATTCCAACGCCGTGTGTGTAGACACTGACGATGGATTCTCGTGCAGATGTCGCCCTGGATTCGCTGACATTTCGGAATTGTTCAACAGACTTCCGGGCCGAAAGTGTGTAGAAGCCGTGAACGAATGTCTCGACGACAAACTCAACGATTGCTCTGAACACGCTCTCTGTGAAGATACGAAGGAAGCATACCTTTGTTCCTGCAAATCTGGCTTCATCGACGCCTCGAGTAACATTACCCATTACCCAGGTCGAGTGTGTGTGAAGCCCAACGATAACACGTTGGAGTTGCATGAAGGCTTCTCCCACGACTCGTGTGACATCAACTTCCCTAAATGTGGCCAGAACGAGCAATGTACCGACCAGAAGATCAAAGGAGAAACCGTGTGTGACTGTGCTCCAGGATACTTCCGCTACCAAGATGGATCCTGCCGTCTGATTTCTGCTTGTGAATCCTTGAATACTTGTGACAAGAATGCCATTTGTGTGAATGTCTTGGACAGTTATGACTGTCAATGTCGTCCAGGATACTTTGACGTATCATTTGATTCTGAGACAGAGCCAGGAAGAAAGTGTAAAGAGTGTAAGTCGTTTAGTTTATGTTTCTTAACTATATATATTGTCATACTTTCACGTTTAGCTTTTTAATTTTAAGATACTGTTACTTTTAGTGGTGAACGAATGTGCTACCAACCTGCACGATTGTTCTCCGTTCGCCGACTGCTTGGACGCTACGAATGGCTACGCCTGCCAATGTACCGACGGTTTCGTGGATACGTCATCGCAATTCGGTCTTTTACCAGGACGAAAGTGTAGTAATGGTATGTTTGAGCGGGGAACTCAAGTGTTTTTTACTGTCACGTCGTCGTTTTATGCTAAACGACGGAAATCCGGCTTTTTGTTGTGAAGGGAAAGTAAAAAGTTTGTTTTCACAATAAAACCGTCGTATCATCTTGCGTCGTATTAGGTTCATTTACGACGTTAACCTTGAAAAGGTATATAAACCATGTCAGTACAAAAAAATTTGCGAAACCCAGAAAAACACCATTATTCTACAGTCAGTAATATAGTATACAACTTTACATGCCATAGTATTATAATACATTACTCTTCAGCTTCCAACGAATGTATCGACAAGTCGTTGAACACTTGTGACGAGAACGCTGACTGTATTGACACTCCCGAGAGTTACACTTGTCAGTGTATTCCCGGCTACATCGACGTATCTTCCTCAGCTCGACTTCCACCTGGAAGAGTCTGTACCGTGCAAACCACCTGTCCCAAACAGAAGACAGATCTAGTGTTCTTAGTAGATGGCTCCGGCTCCATCGGATCGTATGTCTTCAAACATGAAGTTCTCCGTTTTGTCCGAGAATTCGTGGAGTTATTCGAAATCGGCCTCGACAAGACCAGAGTCGGCTTCATTCAGTACTCCGACCAAATCAGACATGAATTCGACCTGAATCAGTACACCAACAAGGACGACCTCCTCAAAGCCATTACCTCCACCCAATACTTGACTGGACTGACTCGAACTGGAGCTGCCATTCAGCATATGGTGGTAGAAGGCTTTTCTGAACGTCGTGGAGCCAGACCCATCTCAAAGGCCGTTAGCAGAGTAGCGATCGTGATCACAGACGGCAGAAGTCAAGACAACGTGACCCGACCAGCTCTCGACGCTCGTAATGTCAATGTTAACATGTTCGCCATTGGGGTAACTGACCACGTTCTAGCTTCTGAACTGGAATCCATCGCTGGAGCCCCCAACAGATGGTTCTACGTAGACAGATTCAAGGATCTCGACACTCGGCTTCGCTCTCTGATTCAGAAGGCCGCTTGTCCGACTCCAGAACCCGAGCAGAAGGCTACAGGGAAGTGTAGTGCCTTGACTCAAGTCGGTTGTAACCGTGCTTTGAACGAGATCTGTGTAGAAGACAAGGACGGAAGCAAGTGCAAGTGTGAGAACGGCTTCCAACGTCATCCCTTCACTCACGTTTGTGGCGGAGATCTCTGTAACCCTCAGGTCCCTACTTCGTGTCCTAACCAAGAACTCTGCGAGAAGACTTACTACGGTAACCACAGATGTGTATGTCCACCAAACTTTGCTCGTGATGTCAGATCTGGTGTTTGTCGTAAGTTTCTGTTAATATTAAGTAACTTCTCAATCTTATATCATCATTTTAAGTATTTGATCTATTTTTGTTTCAGTTTCGACCAAAGAAAAACCCCAGAAGCCACTCGAAATCCTGCCTTCAACCGACTGTCAGTCGAATGGCTGTTTCGGGGAGAACGAGGAATGCCGTAAGAGCTTCGGCGGCCAATATGAGTGTGAATGTGGCTTAGGCTTTGAGAGAGATCCCCATTCAGACAAGTGCGTGGTACCTGGATCTTGTGACCCAATGAGTCCGATCCCATGTGATGTACGGAAGAACGAGAAGTGTCTTCTCCACTCTTCCGGTCGATACCACACTTGTCAATGTTCATCTACCGACAAGAGACATCCTGTCACTGATATCTGTCTCAGGAACGAGTGTTTGATCGGTGAGCACGATTGTGATCTGAATGCCAGATGTATCGACACTGACGATTCGTACCTTTGTTCTTGTCCTTCCGGCTTCATGGATAAGTCCATCGACCCTGTTAGACGCCCAGGACGGCATTGTGTAGCCGAAAGAAACGAGTGCCTCGAAGGTACCCACAACTGTTCTCCAGACGCCATCTGCACTGATACTTCAGAATCCTTCGTCTGTAGATGCAAACCCGGCTTCATCGACTACTCGCCCAATCCTCACATTGCCCCAGGCCTTGTTTGTCGCAAGTTGATCAACGAATGTTCTCGACCTGAACTTAACACTTGTCATCCGAATGCACAATGTATCGACACTGCTGATTCCTACAAGTGCAGATGCAAGGCTGGCTTCGTCGACTTGGACGAGCTTCGGAATCCAGGCAGAAACTGTGAACGAGTCCATCACAATGAGGTGTGCTCTTCTGGACGACACACCTGCGATAAGAATGCCAGATGTTTTGCTCAAGGAGACGACGACTTTACTTGTTCGTGTCCAGCCGGCTTCAAAGACAAGTCTCCAGATCCAGTCAGACAGCCAGGAAGAGTTTGCATTCCGCGTAAGTTTTCATTCTCACCTATCCATTTACCTTTTTATACCTAATGTAGTTTTATAGACAAAAAACAACAGTGGAAGAGATATTATTGATATACCTATTACATCCTGTAATTTCAATTTTTTAATTTTTAAATGCTCCCTTAATGCTGTTATGTTACAGTAATCCCCGAATGTGACAACCCATCATTAAACGACTGTGACTCACCCGATCGTGCCATTTGTACGGACACTGACGAAGGATACTTGTGTCGCTGTAGACAAGGTTTCCTGGACATTTCTCCAAACATCGGATCTAAACCTGGAAGACTCTGCAAGAAACGTAAGTTTAGGCTTAAAACAGTACTAAAACATAAAAAATTAATAAATAAGCTTAAATGTTACCTAAAATTGTGAAATAAAATTATCTTCACAAAAAACGTTCGAAATTTTGGCGCTAGGACAAATGCGGTTTTTGGACATTTGCGGATCTGCGGTTTTTAGACAATTGCGGATCTTCGGTTTTTGAACACTTGCGGATTTTGGACATTTGCGGATTTTTTAAAGGTTTTTTTTTATTTTTTAGTTAATTTAGTTGTATTATGGTACTAAATTGTACTAAAGTTTGAATTGGTACGGTTTTAACATAACAGTACCTTTTTGGGCTTTCAGTACTATTTAGTACCAAAAATATAAAAACAGTACCGATTAAAAATTTAGTACTATTTAACATTAAGAAATATTAAGACAGTGCCAATTTAAACTTTAGTACCATTTAGTACCATAATAATACAAACTGAATTAACTAAAAAATAAAAAAAACCCCTTTAAAAAATCCGCAAATGTCCAAAATCCGCAAGTGTCCAAAAACCGAAGATCCGCAAGTGTCTAAAAACCGCAGATCCGCAAATGTCCAAAAACCGCATTTGTCCTAGCGCCGAAATTTTGTTCAACCCGGTTTTTTGTTTTATTCGTGATATTTCGTCAATCTGTGACACTTCGTTAACTTTTTGTCTATAAAATGTGTCATCACCACACATATTTTTATTTCGGTAGTTTTGGGTAAAATACTATAAATTCCAGTCGAAAACGAATGTGTTAGTGGAAACCACGATTGTTCCCGTAATGGAGGTATCTGTGAAGACACTCCTGATGGATATAACTGTCGCTGTGGCATCAACTATCTCGATGTGTCGCCGGACAGAAGAAATCGACCAGGACGGAACTGTAAACGATGTAATTTCATTATATTTTAATTATAATATATTCAATAGTATGTTAATAATGTATAGTAAGGTTTTTATACCTAAAAGTGTTAAATTTCCATTATTTTAATTATTAAAATATTAATATTTAACTTTATTGGTGTTTAGTGGTCGATGAATGTTCTACTGGCCAAAATGACTGTTCTCCTGAGGCTATTTGCACCGATACAGAAGATTCGTACGTCTGTGCTTGTCCTGCCAACTTCATCGATGTATCACCCGATACTGTGAACAAACCTGGCCGAAGATGTCTAAAGGGTCAGCTTTTTATATTTACTTTTTATTTAACCATTTAAATTATCTTTTATTAAATAAGCAAAACATAAATAACGTAGGTTCTGTTAACGTTCTAACAGGATTTTGTTTTAGTTGTGAACGAATGTACTGAAAACAAGCACGACTGCTCTCCGAACGCCAACTGCATCGACACTCCAGATGCCTTCCGTTGTGAATGTAGAGATGACTTTGTGGATGAAAGCGTTGACCCCACGAGACCGGGTCGTATCTGTAGACCAGCGTTGGTCGATGAATGTCGATTGGGCAAACACGACTGTCACCAGGATGCTGTATGTCAAGATCTTCCACAAGGCTACACTTGCCAGTGTAAACCCCACTTCTTGGACGAATCTCCCCATCGAATCACTCATCCAGGCAGACTTTGTGTCCCAAGACCTACACCCAAGCCAGCCGAGTGTAGATTGGACTCAACAGAATCTTGTAGACTCGAGCTGAACGAAGTCTGCCGTATCATCAACGGAGAACCGAAGTGTGACTGTCCTATGAACTACCAGCGTGACAGTCAGAGCAAGTCGTGCACTGTGATCGACGAATGTCTGTATCCTCAACTCAACGACTGTCACCCATCAGCTGAGTGTGTTGACAGAATGAATGGCTATGATTGTAAATGTCGCGTTGGCTTCAAAGATCTGAATCCATCGAAGCCAGGAAGATCGTGCAGACCATTGGTGAATGAATGTCAGTTTCCTCATCTGAATGACTGTCATGTCAACGCTCAATGCACCGACAAAGAAGAAGGTTACGAGTGCAAGTGTAACGCTGGCTACAAGGACCGATCGTTGCAACTACCGGGTCGTAGCTGTCAGTTGATGATCAATGAATGCGAGAAGCCAGGACTTAACTCTTGTGACAAGAACGCCATCTGTACGGATCTAGAAGACGGATATGAATGTCAATGTAGAAATGGATTCTACGATGTGTCACCATCGATGACACTTCCGGGACGTGCTTGTCGCCAGCTCATCAACGAATGTGCCAGCGACAGAACCAACGATTGTGATCGTTCGGCTACATGTACAGATACCAAGGATTCATACACTTGCCAATGCCCACCCAACTCTAAAGACATCTCACCAAACCCAGCGTTCCCAGGACGAGTCTGTCTGGTGCTAGAGAACGAGTGTGCCACAGGAAAGCACGACTGTGATCCGAACGCAGTCTGTCACGACAACGAGCAGTCCTTTACTTGTGAGTGTCCTGATGGATTTACCGATCGTTCTCCAAACAAACTCAGTCGACCTGGTCGATACTGTGTTCAGTTAGTTGATGAATGTGCTACAGGACGCCACACGTGCAGTCCTCAGGCAACGTGCCGTGATTTGGAAGAAGGCTACACTTGTGAGTGTAAGGATGGCTACGTTGACAGGTCTCCAAATCTTCTGACTCAACCAGGCAGAGTTTGTGGTACTCCAGAAGTCTGCCCATCAAACCACGAGTGCTCCAGTGCTGCCACTTGTGAACCTCTTGGAGGTAACGACTATAAGTGTACCTGCATTCAAGGATACCTCGATCAGTCACCCCAGAACACAGAAGGCAGAATCTGCGTACGAAACAACGCGTGCCGTGATCCTCGCTTTAACAACTGCTCCAGAAACGCCATCTGCTACGATGAACCCAAGGGCTACAGATGTGAATGTATCCGTGGCTTTGTAGACAAATCTCCAGCAGGATCTCAGAAGGGCAGAGTCTGTGAACCCCCACCACCCCCTCCACCACCACCACGTCATCCATGTCAAGACCCAGCCCTCAACGACTGTCATTCTACTGGAACATGCCGGGCTACTGGCCCTACATCTTACACTTGTCAGTGTCTGTCTGGCTACGAAGATCGGTCTCCAGATGTCAGAAACAAACCGGGCCGTGTCTGTGTATTGACCGAGCCAGTTTGTCTGGATTCCAACAAGAATGACTGTCACCCAGCTGCCATCTGTAGCGAACGACAAGGTGGAGATGGCTACACTTGCAGATGCCGTGACGGCTACGTTGATCAAAGCCCAGACAAGGTTGGAAGACCAGGCAGAATCTGTGTAGAACAAGTAAACGAATGCCTGGACAGGAGTCTGAACGACTGTGACCCGTTGGCCGTTTGTGAAGATCTTCCAGAAGGCTACACTTGCAGATGTCCATTGACGTCGATCGACCAATCACCTGACAGAAACCGACCAGGAAGGAAATGCTTTGCTCAAGTCAATGAATGTCTGAATCCCTCACTCAACAACTGCTCCAGGTTTGCGACGTGCATCGACAAACCTAATGGCTACGAGTGCCGCTGTAAGGAAGGATACCACGACAGTAATCCTCGACAACCAGGCACCACTTGTCATTACATCATCAACGAGTGCGAGTCCCCGAACCTGAATGACTGTGACAAACATGCTACATGTATCGACCTTGCCGGAGGCTACACTTGCAAGTGTAACTCACCGTACCAAGACGAAGGCACGGCCGAACTCCCAGGCAGAATATGCAAGTTCAACGAATGCCTTTCTAAATCGACCAACAAGTGCGATAAGAACGCCGACTGTCAAGATACGGCGGAGAGTTACTACTGTACCTGTCGTGACGGATTCTACGATCAATCGCCGAACCCACTTGAGCCCGGTCGTGTGTGCGTTGAGTTCAAGTTAGATGATGAACCACGTCACGTCAGCGTGAAGCCTGTGGAGATTCTTCCAAGTAAGGACGTCACACCATGTGGTCAACAACACTACTGTTCTCGCACTTTGAACGAAGTCTGTGTAGGTGGTACTACCTGTGAATGTAAGCCGGGAGAAGCTCGTCGTTCTCCGGGAAGCAGATGCCAAGCAGTCGACGAGACTGAACTCACATTCAGAGTTGTCAGCCAAGGACAACGTCCACTCTTCTACAGCAGCGAATACGGCTCCAGTACTAACGAAGCCTATGTTGAAGTCACCAAAGAGTTCCAGCAAGACATCGGACGAGCTGTGGGTGGCACATCGTATGCTCCTCGATATGTTACTACTGACGTCAAGTATATTACCCATCCCAAGACTTTGAACAGTTCTTGGAACGATGGAATTATCTTCGAAGCTTCTATTGACACGATCGCCTCCAAGAACAAGGTGGACAAATGTGATCTGTGGAAACAGATGATGGATTCCATCACCAGAACTAATGGTCAGATCGGTGGAGGACGTCTCCAAGTGGCAGATGACATCTACCTTCTGGACCCATGCTACGAACAACCTATTGGAGATCACTGTGGAAGTCATCAGTGTAACAGTCAGCTAGGTGAAGTCTGTATTGGTGATGCTGTTTGTGGATGCATCAACGGAGAGAAGAGAGCCAGTCTCAAAGACAAGTGCCGACCGGTCGAACACTGGACCGTGCCTTTGTGGGTAATCCGAAGACACCAGAAGAATCTTGTCTACAACGAAAGCTTCTCCAATCCTCTTGATGCTGTCTACCGATACTACTCGCGAGACTTTGAATCTGGAGTTGGCCAAAGTTACCTTCACACTCCACTCAGTAACGCTTTTGTTACTGCCGAAGTAAACGAGATCATGGATCCAGGCAGAGTAAACGCCAGCTGGGACATGGGCATCTTGTACAATTGCACGATGTACTTCAGGAAGGGAGCTGTCGAGAATCCACAAGACGTCTACAGAATGTTGGTTGAGTACATTATCAACAGGAACAACTACCAAGTGGGTCAAAGTGGTCTCTATTTGAATCCTTATCAGCCAGATCCATTCAGCGCTTGTTATCAGGTGAGAGTTTGTTTTACATTAATAACCACAGTAAAGAGTTAGTTTTACATTAATAACTACTGTTAGTTTCTTATAATATTATTATATTTCAGAATACCTGCCATCCAAAGGGAATCTGTGTCGAAACCGGCCTTCACTCCTATAGATGTGAATGTTCTTCTGGCTACCGAGACTTGAATCCGATTGATCCTGGCCGCAGGTGTCTTCCAAACCACGGCTACAATGAGTGTGAACGGCCAGAAGACAACGAATGTTCAGAGAACGCCAGATGCATCGACCTCGACCATCTCTACAAGTGCGAGTGTAATCTTGGCTTCACCGACGCCGCTCCAAAGGGTTCCATCCCTGGCTCTGTTTGTGTGTTGGACTACTGTAGTGACGTCAGCTACTGTCCCACAAACTCCACCTGTGTGAACCTGGAACAGCAAGCAGAGTGTGAGTGCAACAACGGCTTCGTGGACATCAGACGCAGCGAGAGTCGTATGAGCATGGGTATGAGTGCAGATACGTTGTGTTTGAGTCTGAGAGACGTAGACGAGTGTGCTCTTGGCTTGACTAACTGTTCTGGAGTGGCCGAGTGCACCAACCTGCTTCTGGGATACTCTTGCAAATGTCCCAAGAACTTTATTGACGGTAATCCAGCTGAGCCAGGCACTATCTGTGCCGCCTTGTTGTGTGACATGTGTAACCAACATGGTGATTGTGTGCACAATGCGTTGACGAAGAACGTTACTTGTGAATGTGCTGACGGATGGAGTGGTGAGTTCTGTGAAGCCGCCGCTTCCAGCAGTAAATTGGTTCTCTTCATCTTGTGTGCTATCTTGTTCTTGTTGTTGACTTTATGGTAAGTGAGATTGTTCTTTTAATTTGTTCATGTAGAAGTATAATACATAACATTGTTTTTGGATTAAAGTAATTAACCTAATCTATTTTAGCATTTTACTTTACTCGTGCAGCAAGTGTCACTGCTTCAAACGCTACGCCGATGCCATTGGATATAGACCCGGTCCATTCTGGAACACGCTCGAACACTCGACGTCAAGTGAAAGTGGAGCCGACTTCAGTGCCTTCTCGGCAGCCGGAGACCTTTATCATCACGATCTAGGTATTCCACGGGCGAAGCTCAAGTCTTCTGGATCTGCACACCACGTCATGGACTCTTCAGGTCAAGAAATGAGTGCTCACGCTCTCCACGACTATCTTGGAGACGGCCTGAGAATCCCACGAGCTCATCTTGGAGACACTTCTTCGCTCGGCTCTGGCTCCAGCGAATACACGATCAGAGAGGAGATCGAACGACGTGTGGTCACTGACATCACGACTACAGAATTGACGACTAAGATCGAGGAAGAAGCTGGAGGTGAACAGGTTATTGAGACCACGGAGACTCAGAGACACGGTGGAGAAAGTTCTCGGTCTGAAGCCATGAAGTCTTCTGAAGGAGCACGCTCGACTACGTATCAGAGTAGCAGCAGCAATGTAAGTTGTATTAACAGTTAGAGGCTGGTATCTTCAATTTAAATTAATTATCAACCAGGCAGGAGTAAAATGTATAATAATATTGTTTTAGGTAGTAATGCGCCAGGACGCTACAGACGAACAGGAGCGGGGCGAGAGCGTAGCCGAATTCTCGAACGGACACACCAAAGAATGGCGTTCACAGTATAAGTCGGGTGACTACAAGCATATGCAATTATAGACTAATATACTTCTATCTAACTGTTAATAATAATGTTTCATGTCATCCTCGTGTGAAGATCTCTCTTCTAACTGTACCACCTTGTATCTTTCGCTCAATGTATTATTCTAGCCTTTCTGTAACACAACTACTTAACATTGCCATTACCTTTTGATTTGAAGCTGGCTTTCGGTGAATAAAACTTTTATTTATTGTTGTATCTTTGATAGTATGTTTCTAATCGTACTGTAAGGAAATATGTTAAATATTTCTAGAGGGAAGGAATATTGACAATGTATTAACCATTCCATATTACTTTCGAAAGTTATTTGTGTTGGCATCAAACAACATTTCGAACTTTTGAATACGATATTCTATGTGTATTTGCATAAAATATATTGTAGTTTGCGGAAAACAAACCATCGGAACCACGAAGTGGCCGTAAACATGTTTGATGTTCATTATGGCCGAGTTAATTGCGGACTGATTGAGGCAAACGCCTCGTCGTTCATTATGGGGAGTTGATGAGGGGGAACTCCTCTCTTAATGACGGACAGTCTGGAGCGGCTCCTTCTCCAGAAGCGGCCTTAATGAAGAGGCTGGATAAAGTTGTGAATCCTTGAGGACGAAAACAGTGGCCAGATTCAGCGGATTCCTTCGATTGCGGCGAACCATGACCGGTGTCAAGGGACCGCGGGCACGTCATCTACTCGTCGTGCTTCCATCGTCCACACCCATTTTAATTCCAGGCCCCGCCCTGTTACTTTTGCGAACGTCAAAGGTTCTGGAAGAGGTTCTTAAGCGACTTCACCGTCCGGACATCCGCATAATGAGTAAAGTCGCGGCCGTGCCCGGTCTAATGATGGCTAGTTCAAAGGTTCTGTGGAGCGTTTTCGGGTTCGTTCTTCTCGTCCAGATCATCGAGGCTACGGTAGCACAGGCGCAGATAGATGTGAATTGTGGTCGAGTAAGTGTTGTTGAAGTGCTTTTGGTGATAAGGGTCGATGATTATGTTGATTACTACGGTCGATGATTATATTGATTATGAGGGTCTATTAATGTTCTGTCACGGTGTTTCGAGCAATTTGTCAAAATCACGTGTTTTGATGCTAATTGCGCATTAAAGCAGGTTCTTGAAACCTAAAAACTTCCGTTCGTACCTATCTACATCAATATCATTTTTGAGCACAACATATTCGTTGTTTGAGTCAATCTTTTTTTGCATTTTACAATCATTTTGAGCAGATGGGAAACTTTAAATTTAAAAAAAAGTCAAGATTTCGTCTTAAAAATTAATATTCCTAGGTATGAGTCACACAACTTTGGCCATCTTTTTCTAAAACTGTAAATTTAACCTAAATCATTGTCTTTTTGTCTACACCTTTGTCATATCCTCTTAGAATAGGAAAAGTACAGTATCTCTTGGTCCTTTGCATGGCTTACTCGACCTCCCACTACCGCCAAATAACATGTTACTCTAACAAATACGATTAAGTATGAATGTGTGTCAAGAGATCCTCTCCTCTGCTCTATTAAAACTGGTCCTACGCAATTTTGCACTAAATTACCGAGCAGTCGATCCATTGTTTGCCTCCAGATTTACTTTGTCCAAACCCTGAGGGAAATCAGCTCAGGCTGTCGAAACCTAATGAAACTCGGTCAGAGGCTAACCTCAGCTTGGCTAACTTCAGATTGGCTAAATTTGCATTTCAGATCCTGGCTAACAACAACCTAGATGCCGAAGACAAACAGCTACTCTGCAAGATCTACCAACAGTCATCTGCCCTCGAGCAGTTAGGAGCCATCGTCAGCGATTCGCTGGAACGTTTCATGGGAGAAGAAGGTGAGTTTGGCACTGTTTCCTTTTCTAGATTAGTGCTACATTAAGAGTTCATTATATGGTTTACCTAGTTCATTACATGAGTTGCTTATCATCCTTGTTAAATTATTATTGCCACAATATTTCACACTCTTGCAAAAATACTCCGAATTCGTTAGCCATTGGCGCATTAACTCTGCAACTGCCATCCCTGACCCCACTTAAACCTTTAAGTATTAATTACTGACTTGCAGGATCGGCCACCGAGGAGGAAGCACGACCCAAGCGAAAACACGAGTATCTCCGCTTCGGCAAACGGAAGCACGAGTACCTCCGCTTCGGAAAGAGAAAGCACGAATATCTGCGGTTCGGCCGAAAATAAGATCACCACCTACCGCCTTGTCAGAAATAAAAGCCGCCCTGTAAATGAACCACCTAATGCTGATTTTACAGTAATTTCTATTTCGAATAACAAGACCCTCTCAGATTGTTATTTAATATAAATTGTAAAATAAGCTCGGAGGTTTTAAAACCATGACATTGTAGTAGGTATGCACAACAAATGATGGAAGTTTTAAATTATTATATTATACTACTAGGTATTCACACAAAATAAGATCGGAGGTTTTAGTTTAATACTTTGCTCAACTTCTTTTTTAGTCTAACGCTTTTCTAACCACGCTTTAACGAATCAAGACTTGAGGTATTAAAAAACAGATTGAATTCTACAGAATTAGAGCTTTGGATCACGAGTTATACCTAAAACTGATAATTTATCCACAAATATTGTTACAAAAGATGGCAGTATTGAGTGTATGCATACTTGTAGCATCGTACATGTATGTTAAAATGGCTTTACATTCGGTTAGCATACTTGTAGCGCCGTTCTGGAGAGAACACCTTGTCCTTGAGGAGACCACTCAAGAACAGTCCCATTATACCAACAAACAAAACGGCGTTAATCCCGGCACAAGCCTGAAATTACATTCATAGACATCAACAACAATGTTTAATTAGTCGTTCCTCAAAACATAATCTCGGCCGGGAGAATGACCGTTAATGAGATAATTAACATGTTTTGACATCTAGGTGTATATAAAAATTTGCAAAATAAAATTCATAATAATAACTAATGTGAACTACAAAACTGATGTCATTTTAGTCAAAAAGAGCAAATTACAACTTCTAATTGAATATTTGTCAATATTTCACAAATCTCGTAAAAACTACAAAAAGTTTGTTTTCTTTGAAAAAACGAAGCGAATCCCAAGAATACGAAATTACCCAAATTTCGCTTCGACCAGTCGGTAAACAATATTTTTGGAATTTTTTTTGGAAGAAAAAGATTTTATCTAGTCGAATATCAACAATCGACCATTTTCAAAGAAAAGAATTCTTAATTTGTGTTTTTAGATTTCGAATTCTCAAAAACCTGAACAACTTACACCCATCCAGCCGAATCTGTGGCCGGTCTCGATGATCGTTCGCTGTGCCACCGTTCCTCCGATTCCGCACACCAACATCCAACCAATGACTCCGATACAACTGAACACAATCTCCTAAAGTAAGCTTTCAAAATTTTCTCATTTTTTAAGGTTCTGAATATTTTAGGTAACATTTTTTAAAAATTAATCAGTTCTCAAATACTCTTTAAACATACGACTGTATACAATAACAAAACGTACCGCCAGAGCACTGTTCGTAGTTCGAATCTCTTCATCTTCCTCGGTGCTTTTATATGACATAACGTACATTATTAATGAGACGAGGCAATAAAGCAGGGTCAGTGAGCATACGATGTAAATGATGACTATTTCGTAGTTAATGGATATATAGGCGGTCACGTATGAGGGATCCAGTAACACTAGTGTTACAATGGTCAGGAACTAAAAGTTGTTTACCCTAATCTTTGAGCAAGTCAACTCGCTATACTGGGAAAACATACCATGGTATATCATACCACAATGTAAGGTTATGGTAAACATTACAGACTGAAGTTAATAATGTTGTCAAAAGCACTCTTCTTATGGAGTTTAAAAACTAATAGCTTTTAGTGACTCAGAAAAGGAAATATTCAAATTTGATCAATAAAACTACGGTAAACTTACAATAATCGCGCCTTTGAGGGCCGCGCCTCCCTTGTATTGCACCGGGAAGACCATCTGCTGAAATGCCTGAATCAGTACAAAATCGAAAGTAGCCGATGGCCAAAAGTAACGCGACGAGCTATTGGGAACCCTCGGGCGATTGGGGAAGAAAGGAGAGCAAAAGCTGAGTCATGAATACTTTCCCGTGTCTTCGAAAAGCAAATACTGAGCGCGGAATTTGAGATTACAGAAGAGGGAAAAGGTCACAAAGAAACCCGCAGGGCCAGAAAACACGCAATATGTGAAAGATCTGTAGCCAGCCGGTTGTTTCGCCCGAAACCGGAGGGAAGACGTCTTATCAATAAAAAAATGATTTTGTGATTCCAGCCCCTCTCCCACCTTCCCCTGCTGCCTCCGGCTCGGCTCCTTACCCATGCTTATTCAAATGTTTACATTGTCCGAAAAGCGACGTCTGAACAACCATCTCGTTAGTTCGAAACCAGCGTAACCAAAGCCTTTAGCTCGGATCGGGGCATCATTGGGTTAAATCGCGGTTTACCTTTGACATACGAGTCAAATACAAACCGAAGACATGTCAAAGTACTTCGAAAGTAGAGATTACCTTTTTGAAAATGAACTTAATTTATATAGCGATAAAAGTACTGTCAGATGTTGTTTGCTTTGTTGTGCCCACAGATGACGCAAAAAATCATTTTATATGTAAAACAAGTTCTTTGCTTTAAACGCGACAAGTTTATTCAGTTTTTCACTAAGCACACTTTTATTAAAACAATCAGGTAATAAATATTCTGATACGAAATTGCTTATTAATTAGGTATTATACAGATGGGGCAAATCGCTCGACCATCGAGATAGAGTTGAAGATGAAGGTTTTGGCAAATGCCGGACATGAGGGACGTTCAGATACCTCGAGAAGTGAGTGCTTCAGTTGTTGGAATGCCATTCGAGTGTGAGGGTTTCTGCGAGAAGTGTAACGGAGCCACAGGAAACGGTAGTACAAGAAGATGAACATGAAACTGGCCTTGCCGCTAGAAGTGTCACAATATAATAAACTACGCGGTCACGACGTTACCAGTTAAAAATACCCTTAAATTCTTTTATAATATAATTCAAACCAAACGCTAAATAAACCTACGTAAAGATCATAGCTGCCAAGACCGGGAACAAGAAGATCTCGACACAAGCAATAGTAGACAGTAAGGTGTTGGCATATTGTTGACGGTAATGACCAACAGCCTTTGACCACGCTGCGTTCCTTTGGCCCATCACATCCGAGATCTGCATCAGGTACAACGACGTGTGATACAAGGCGTAGCCTGACACTGGGAACAAAGCCACTGAAATCAACGTTGAAACATTGTTTATAATGCAAAAACTATGAGTTTCTACCCAAAGATAAAAGCAATGTAACATAACAGTTGCAAAATAAAGTAATAAACACACTTGTAACAGGCTGTGAACTAATGAAGACAATGGAGTACAACAAGTAGTGCGCAGAATCCTCGAAGAACAACTGGGCTACAAACTCGCGGCTGAATAAGTTGCGCAAAGAATCCCTGAGGCGTTGATGAAGTCTGAATGCATTCGAAGCGGCAGCTAAAACAATATAGGGCCAATAACAATGTAAACAAATTACAAAACAAGGCAAAAAACTAATTGCTTTGTCAACTTACAGGCGATAATAACCTTGTAGTAGACCGGCTTTCCCGACATAATGCCGGCCAACGACAACACATAGTTAAGGGTGAAGTAGAGAGATGCGATACGAAGCCACGCGATTACAGTGTAGATGGGGTCTCTTTTAAGGAACTCCTAAACGTAATTGAATGTTTAATGTCAGTATTACACCTCAAGTCTTGACAACTTCCCCAAAACCGGTAATTACAGAATAAACTTACAATAAACGACATCTGAGGAACGCCTGCTGAAGAGCCGGTTGTACTCGATGTAGATGGCTGTTGAGCGTCGTTTGTAGCAGTGTCATTCTCATCAGCTTCTCGTATTTCCACCATCTCGACTACAAAGATAAGTGTATTTTTGTTTAATTGTCACTAAGCAACCACTTCTCTTAAGAGAGTCACATTGTAAAGTATAATATCGGAGGTAAACCAAACTGCCACTAAACACCGCAATATGCAAATTGTATTCGTTTATCACAATAACTTTGTATTTACAGAGACTAAGAATTAAGTTAAATACATCATGATATGTACATTATGTAACCGTTCTAATATACAACCGAGAGAACAAACGTGTAAGACACTACATATGAATAGAATAATACTTCGTATTAAAACCGCATCTTCCGTATCTTCTTCTTGATTCTATTGCCCACATCGATTCGCATCGTCAAAAACCTCTCCATGTCATACTCTGCCAAGATATTGGCTATGATCAAGACATCCTGCTCTTTGATCTTCAACTTCTTCTCCATGTCCTTCAATGATATCCTTTTAGCTATCTGAGCGTAGAAACACAAATCCGACAGCACAAATATTATGTACAATATAAGTGCCTGATCAGATGGAAAAGACTTGGCCAACAGAAGAGACTGCAAGAAAGTACCGTCATAAAACTGAGAGTACAGCTTCTGGTTGTTCAGGTCTATCACCACCTTCCTTTGCGTTTTCTCCATAAACTTGTCCGTTTCGTTGCGAGTTACAGTAAACCCACGAAGCTGACTCAAATACCTAAAATATCCATTCATATTTAGCTTATTATAATTTTAAAACTTTTAAATAACGCCAAAGCCACACACCCTTCTTCCTGCTCACTGAACCCTTTACTCCATTCTGCATTCTCAAACACTCTACTAATCTTCAAGGAACCCAACTTCTGAAGCAAGTCGATTCCTGTAGACAATCGTTGTTCAGATGCTATCAACGCCATCTTTTCACCGGATAACAGTGGATACAAGCACTAAAAGATATTGATAGTAGACAAAAAACTGACAAAACGTGTCGCATACTTTAAAAAAACTAATCAACCAACAAAAAGCAGAATATCTAAATTCACCATACTTGAATCAATCCAGCCCCCAGACATCTGAGTGAGTTCTCATTCGGAAACTGTCGACTTATCTTGATGACATCTACAACCCCACTTAGACTCAGTTCTTGGCTCGTGTCTTCTGTTTTGGCATCTTCTCGATAACCCCCTTCGCTGAAGGTTGACAACACTGTTTGACCTCCAGAAAATAAGACTCCAGAATCCTTGTGTCCTCGAACTAACTTGTCAAAAACTTCACAAAAATCTGATTTAAACTTGTCGCCACTCTAAACAAGCTTTACTTTACCAAATCCATTCGCAAAATGTATATCCTTAGTATGTATGTGTTATATTCAAGTAAGCAATATGAATGAAGTTAACCACAACGCTTCATAAACTTACACATGGTGCCAAACTTAAGAAAGGTATCAGCTCTGATGACAACGGCTCGTTTATAATCTCTAAAAGTTTCTGAAAGTCGTTGGGATCGTGTCCACAATTGCAAAATGATGGATAACATGAGACAAGTCGAAACATTTCCAGAAACTGTAAGTTCAAAGGTTTCACAGAGTTTTCTGTTTCTTCACGAGGTCGATAGTCTAGTAGATTCTTCAACTGCTTCGCCACTTGCTAAAGCATTATTTAAAAGCTGAGGTGAGAAGTACAGTATGTATTAACTTTGTCTTAAAATGTTTAGTCAAACTTATTAACAAGTCTTACCTTTAGCTTTTTGTTGCCTGTCGGAGAAAAAGTATGTGTACTAGCAAGGGAATAATATGAGTTTAATCTTTCATGTTGAATTTCGTTAGCAACATCTACCATAGTTTCTCCATAAGCCCTAAATATCTGTCGATTGCAAGCCAGAAGTGGTCGAAAAAGGTCATTGACAAGAGAATAGAACTCCTTCCTCAATTCAAAGCTCGGTTTTTCAGTTGAAATGCAAGCCAGAGCTGCTGGTCTCTAAACACAAACATACAGATCTAATTTTAAAATTACCTGGAATGCTCTAGCAGTTATATCTAACAATGTCACATGCTGAACTACAGCATAAAGATCCATGATCTGATTGTAAAGCAATGTCTGAGTTCCGTGAACATTCTCCGAGCTCATCAACCAGATTGCAACCTGGTCCAAATTCAAGTGCGGACCTACATCTTGTGGGTAATGAAGAAGGGGCTTGGGGCCTTGGATCTAAATAAAAGTAAAACGATATTATTCGACTTACTTGGCAAAACTCAATCAAGACCAACAAAGACTTGTCGAAGCAATGTACACGGTTCCACGGGTCAGCCAAGAGCTTTCCAAATATTAAAAAGTCCTTCAACATGTAAATTTTAGTCTCGAATAGTTCGAGAACTCGCTGCAAAAGGAAAATATAATATTAACTAAAGTAATATAGTTTGAAAAAATATTAAAAATTATTGCAACAATGAGAGATTCACGTGCTCAATTCAAGAAGAAAACTAAGCAAATTGTTTATTACAAAATTCCAAACTTGCATTTTAATTTTTCTGCAAAATACGACAAAATGTTGTTTTCACTTTCTTAAAATTCAATAACTAGTGACACTTCGTTTTAAAAGTTATTGGAAAGTGAACGAAATGTCTAGAAAAATATTTTTGCGAAAATATTATTTATTTTTGTTTTTGTGGGAAACTTACTGTTAAAATTTATCAAAGATGCAGAACGATGGGGTTAACAACCGAGATAGGATGAAGATGATGTACAAGTTGAAGGGAAAACACGATATTAAGGAGAAACAGAAAAATTATAGTATAAGTATGTTGTATTTAAATATACGTTTTATTAAATTATGCAGCAAATTTTATTCGTTCTTTATTTCAGAAAAGTGGGAGAAGAAGAAGAGAAGAGAGGAAGAGTTATTGAGTTCAGCTATCAACAAAGAAGCCTTTCACAAAGTTATAGAAACTGAAGACGTTTCTTCTGGGTTTACAACTAATATTCGGACACAAAGTGAGTTAAGTAATATTTATTGTTTATTTATTTTTAGAAAAATGGTACTCTTTGAGTGTGGCACTGCCTGGATCTATCTTGAACAACGCTCAAAGTCCGGAATTGAAGGCTTATTTGGCCGGAGAAATAGCCAGAAGCTTGGGAGTCTTCTGTGTTGACGAAGTTATCATATTCGACGAAACCGCGCGTATGACAGATAAGTATGTTGCAGTTTTTATTATTAAGGTTTTGGAGACGTGTGTTTTAAGGTGTTTTTAATGGTATTGTCTTTTAGCCAGCTGAACTCTTATTATTCTGGATCTTGGACAGGCGAAGAACGAATGACGGAGAGAAACAACGAGTGTAATTTTAATTTGGCCAGGATTCTTGAGTATCTAGAATGCCCTCAATATCTTAGAAAAGCTTTATTTTCAGTTCAGAAGCCTTTAAAATACGCTGGGATTCTGAATCCTTTAGATGGTATGCATCATTTGAGAGCAAACGATCTTCATATTCCATACAGAGAAGGTATTGTGCTAGATCGGATAGTTAAAGAAGGAAAGGGATCATTTTGCGATGTTGGACTTGACAAAGTGTGTTTTTTAAGTTTATTTAGTATTTGTTATTTATTATATCTTTTTTATTTAATTTACACTTTTTATAGGAGTTGCAATTGGAAGATGGAGTTATGCTACCTCCAAAAACTCGGATCACAGTTCAGTTAACGGACACGAATCCAGGTTAGTGTTCATTTTAAGTTGTCTGTTTCTGTATAATTGATTCTTATGTAACTTTGATGTTTTATAAAACGTAACCTTGATATTTTAGAGAAGAAAAGATACAGAGGAAAGATATTCAGCCCAAACAAGATACGAAACGAAGCAGGTATTTACTGGGGGTACAATGTAAGAATAGCCAAAAGTCTGAACGATGTTTTCTCGACTCCGTATGATATGTACATTGGAACTTCAGAACGAGGAAAGGCTGTTGATGAAATGGAGTTTGAGAGGAAAGAAGGAAGGTAGGTCGCTATTTTACTATGTTAATGTAACTTTACTTATGGTTTCAGCAAAATCCTGGTGGTTTTTGGAGGTTTACAAGGATTAGAGAATGCAGTACAATGTGACGAGAAATGCGAAGTCGAAGATCCGGCAGAATTGTTCAACTACTACATCAATTCTCTGCCAGACCAAGGTAGTCGTATCATTCGGACAGAAGAAGCCATTCCAATCACATTAACAGCCTTGAAAATGAAGTTAAACTGATTGTTGTTTACCAACTTGTTATTGTTATAAATTTTAAGATAGAAGGATGGCATTCTAATAGGTTTGTACCAAAAAATATATGTTGTAAAGCAATTGCGAACATTAAAACAAGTTCTTTCGTATAAAAATGTTATCACGGATAGTGGGAAGCCGTCTATTCGGAAGCACACGGTTATTAAGCAACGTTCCACAGAAACCAAAGTCACGGTGGAAACTGTATGTGGTTGGCACTACGGTACTGACTACAGGCCTGTACACTGCGAAAGTGTTACTGCCAGATATGCGTGAAATCAAAGATCCTACACATTACTACTCAAACTGGTTGGTAAGGTAAAAAGGTTGATGTTACATTTGCGTTTGTTTAGATACGAATGTATGCATCGTTACCATTAAGTGCCATTTCTAAGGTTTCTGGAGGATTCTCGAAGGTTTACATCCCAACAATGTTAAGAGACACATTGTTCGGGCTCTACGTCAGGATTTACAACTGTGACATGGACGAAGCCATCCACCCTGACCTCAGGAACTACAGAACCTTTGCCGAATTCTTCAATCGGCCGCTGCTGCCGGGTGCTCGACCCATCAGTGCGGCTCCAATGGTAAGATGGTGTTTTTTATTAAAATTGTGTAAATAATTTTAAAATACAGTGAAATTTGTTATCATTAATATAGGATTTAATTCTTTTTTTGGTGTTTTTAGGTATCACCTACTGATGGCACGGTATTACACATAGGAGAAATTGAGGATGAACGAGTCGAGTACGTGAAAGGACACGATTATCCTGTGTCAGAATTCCTTGGACCCGTTAGACTTGACATACCGGTAAGTTGTGTTTAAAATACCAAAAAAATCTTTAGAAAGACAAGAAGTTACTCCAAGTTGTTATATACCTGGCACCTGGAGACTACCACGCTTTCCATTCTCCCACAACATTTCAATGTCTACAACAAACACATTTCCCGGGTGAGAACGCTTTTTGATTCAAATATGAGTTGACGGTTAGTGTAATATACAACATATCGTACGTAAACACCTGTACTAATCATATTTCATAACCTTTAAGGTAAGCTGTTCTCTGTCAGACCCTGGGTACTGGAAGCAATTCCATTATTGTTCTGTCTGAATGAAAGGATGGTACTCAATGGAAACTGGAAGCATGGATTCTTTTCCATGACTGCAGTAGCTGCTACCAATGTTGGTGACATTGAGATAACAGACGTAAGTATTGAAATGTTTTTTGAAGACTTGAGTTATAGCACATGGAAAGGCGAGCAAATGCAAAAGTACTAGAAACAGAAGACTTTGAATCGGCAGAAGGCACCGTACTGTCGTACGGTAAAGGACAGAAAGTGGGTGAATTCAGGTTGGGGTCAACTGTTGTCTTGGTGAGTAATTATTCTATAAAAAAGAGAAATAAATTACAGGAACAAACATACAAATTTAAGACCTGAAAACCTTATACTTATGCTATTTTTAAAACCTCAAATTTTGGCCATAATTAAGCTTATATCGTTTTAGATATTCGAAGCCCGAAACAGTGCCAAGTTTGCCATTTCAGCTGGAGACAGAGTTAAATTTGGACAAAGCCTTCTTCTAGAAGACTGAAACAACTAAAATTTAGGCCATATATTTTATACGGGTTCATTGAAAGAACAATAAAAGATCCTAGATAATATGTTTAGTCTTTTTTGACTCCAAGTTTGTCCTTTAACGATGGGAACGCGTCTTTGATCCATTTAACGTAAAACAGCTCTTGTCTGCTATGTTTCGGAACCAATGAGTCGTTATTCTGGATCTTGTAGTAGGCGTAGTGAATTCCTAAATTAGAGATACGATAAATAAACGGAAGCTTACCTCCGAGGAAGATGAAGAAAACCCCCAATTCTTTGCACCGTCTTAATGTACCTGGTTTCATGATCTGAAAGTTAAAATGTTACAAATAAAATCTCACTTTATAGTGATCGACCTAAAGAAAGTCCAAAAAGTCACGTAGGATTCAAAGTACGGAAAATAAATGTGTTTGTTACTACAACTAAGACAAGTCCTGTTAAATATTATGATTTGGCTAAAACCACAATATGTAACAGCTGTCATATAGGATATTGTAACATATCAAATTTTGTCAACCGTTAAGATTTTCCACCCGCATCTAAAACAAAAGCGTTACCTAGAATTGTCTCATTGATTCAGATAACAAATAAACGATTAAAATAAAAAAAACATAATGTTTTACAACATAGTTTCAAAGTTAACTTAACTATTTAAAGTTATGTTGAAGAAATAAGCTATTTTAATAATTTATTAAAATATTTTTTTTCATTATCGGGCGCGAACTGCGCAAATTTATTAATCGAAGTATTTTTTATGACGCGACGAGTATATTCGAATTAACAGTCTCGTTGAAATGAGACCATACAAGCGGGATACATTCGATTACACCAAAGTTTTGAACGTGATTGTCGATATGAAACCCGCCGATGTTCACGCTGGACCTGTAGCAAAACAAACAAAGGTATGTCGGTTTTATAAAATGAGTTCAATCTTTTTTTAGAAACAGAACCTGCCTGCAAAGATGGAAGATATATTTTGCGTGATTTGTTTGGATGAAATCACTAACACACCTCACATCCGATGCACTGAATGTACATCTACAATATTATTATGTGTGAATTGCTTCAGATTAGGTGGGGAATGTGGTACACATCATCGAGGACATAACTATCAGATAATGCATGATGCTGGACCGTCTGTATTTACTTATAATGAGGAAGAAGGAGATAGTTGGGGAGTTTTGGAAGACCTGAAGCTATTGGAATTGATGCAGCACAATAAAATACACGAATGGCAGGTCTTTAGTTATATAATTTAACATTTAGGTACAAAATTCCTATCTTTATGTAAAGTTAAAGTCGTGATTTTTTATTTTTGATTTAATTTGCATTTTCAAGGTAGTAACTTTAATTGCTTTGATTTTAGGCCTCAAGTTGATGCAGATCTCTTTAACAAGAACCGAACAGTTCAGGAAGCCAAGAAACACTTTGACAATTGTTTTTTAAACTCTGTTTTTGGTCATCTGGCTTTGAGTAAAGCAAAAGCGTAAGTTTTCCTATTTTTTGCAATTTTATTAAAATTTTAGGGCAAAAGTCCACGTACCTGGTTTGGTTGGTGCTGACAGTTATTCCGGAGAATTCTTTAGGCCATCAACAAAGGCAGAATTGAGGAACGGTAAGCTTAATTAGTATAAAATGTTTGAATTTTTGCATAAAAACCAATGGCACTTTGACAAATAAGCCTTTAGAACTCCTGAGGATGATTCCTTACAACTTCAACAAGTTCGACAAGGAAAAAGTGAAAATCGTACCGAAATCGCTAAAAAGCATCCTTACTAACAACAGGAATGTGGATAACTTGATCTGCGAGTTTAGTACAATCCACATCGACCACAATCCTTCAAAGAAAAATGATGTAGATGATTGTTACCTAAAAGATCCGATGACCAAGCTGAATGAAGTCGAAAATATGTTTGACGTAGGTTTATTTCACAGAAATGAGTATTTCATTTTTATTCTTATAATCGTAGCGTTTACAGATGGATGATGAGGTTCCAGTTATCAAACCCGTGTCTCCGAAAAGAGAACGAAAGGTATCGTCACCAAGAAAGACATCAAACAGCTCGGTGGCTGAGCCCAGCGACCGTGGATCAGATGCGGAGGATGAGGAAGACTCAGGAGACATAAGATACAAGTTCAGGAGAAGGGAATCGCCTCAGAATGTGAGAAAATTAAAACGGAAGCTCTCCATAATAAAAGAAGCAAAGGTAATATTGACACTTAGCTTGCCATTTGTATAGTAACTTGTGTATTCAATGGGAAATTTTAAGACAGAACCACAACTTTTACGGAAACGACAACCCAAAAAGCAAGACAGATTGTCGATTTCTCCACGAAAGCCAAAATCAGCCATCAGAATCGGAAGTCGAGGAAGGACACGGCTGGAAAAACCTCCAGTGTTATCACCTCAGCTTAAACCTGAAGTTCAAGATACACCACAAGGACGAAGAATTCCGAGTAAGTTATTGTAATTAGATGTTAATGCTGGTTTAGAGAAAAGACCAGAACATAAAACAAGGTCGACCTTCACTGTCAGCGAAATCGTCAAACATCGCATGGCATATCCTCATCTACATTTTTTTACAAACGACGCTCCGCCATTAAACAAGCTCCAGATTAAAGGATTCGATGCCGAAGACTTGAACTTGGTAGCATACAATCCACGGAGAGATGATTTTGAACATGTAAGTTCGTAATGTAAGGTAATATGTTTTTTGTTTAGGAATACCGAAATAACGCTGAAGATTTCATTTGCAAGATATTCTTGAACGGTGAACAGTTCCACGAAACACAAGTTGATCAACTGAAGAACGGTAAATGTTTAATATTGTCATTTTTCTGTAAAGGGTGACAAGTCATGTTTTCAAACAGGACAAATATTTATTTTTAGCCGTTCGTGTGGCACGAGTTCATCGATACAACCGGATTCTGGAGAGGAGAATCTCCAACCACGCGATATGTCGAGAACACGAGTTACTCAGCGAATTCTTGCACATTGTAAAGACAAATGTGAACGAACGGAATAAGTACGCTCCAATTAACGAAGACGCCTTCCCGTCGAAGAAACGAGCTGATGAATGTCGCCCGTTCCTAGCTAAATTGAGGCGCCTTATGACTCAGGATGAACTGCTAGAACTAACTGATGATTTGGGGGAGATCGACGCCTTGGTAGCCAAAATAAGAGCCCTTAGGCAGTTCCAGATGTCAGGAATCACAGAGCTCAAAGGGCGGTATAAACCCGACTTCACTCCAGGTCGACGGAGGAAAAAAGGGAGGAGGAGTGATTACGATACTAAAAAGTATGTGTTTTAATTGATAGTAATTTCTAAACATGTCATGTGTTACTTTATAACAAAAGAAATTGACAATATTCTAAATTACATTTCCAGAGCCGAACTTCGATGGAATCGCATTAAAAAGTGGAATAAACAGAACAAGTAGTAAGACCATATACGCAATGTACATAGCCTTGTACATAACTAACTTATTTTCGATCTCGAACGAAAACTATTTAATAATAAATGATAAGGTAACAAAATTGATTATGTCAGTAGTTAAGAATGTGTTATGGCTTAAAGCGAATCGTTGTGAGTAAAAGAAATGGCAAGATTTAGTCTGAAAGAACGAGACTAGAGATGACTCTGGATACAATTACTCGTACCGTTATACTCCCATGTAGTATAAACACCCGTAGAATAAAAATATGCAAATTTGTGAAAGAGCAACTACTGCATTATGCTAGCCATGGGAATGTCGCGCATGACTTGTAAGTCGCTGAACAAAACGTTAGCTAGCTGAGACTTTGTCCCGAAAGATTGTTTGTGGCTCAGCTGACATCTGGCCATGTCAGCCGGACTAAGGTCGGGACTACACTTTCTGGAATGGTACCGTAACCTGAGGGAGGGCTCTATTGACCGCAACATATGTACATCGGTCTGACCGAGGAAGATAGCAGACAGGTCTAGAAGCCTGGTGGTTTCTCCGTCATCTGTCTTCTGAGCCAGCTTTGCTCTGGCATTAATGTAGTCGGTTCCGTAGAGAGATACCACGCTGAAGTCGTTGGTGTCGAAGAATCCCCGATCTTTGTGAACTACTAGTTGTCTCTGTGCTACCATTGTAGGAGGTACAAGGTTTCTTAAATAGGCCATCCTGGATTCCAGCGCTTCTTGGTTGTTAAGGTCAAAGTTCATGTGAGAATTGTTGAAGACTGAATTCTTTTCTTTCTCTTTCAACGCCAGATTCAGAATACGATCAGCGTTAACCACTAACGGGTGGAACTCGACGAATGGCACCGGGAAGAATACCTAAAACAATACATTCGTAAATAAACTAAAGAAGTTGCATTATCTTAGTTGTTAGAAATGGCAAAGTCTTCTTTACCTGGAAATGACGGATAGTGTTAATCCTGACCCGATCGAGTAGTTCTCGTTGGTAGTCGGCGTAAGGCGACAACAAAACATAAATCATTTGTTGGCCGAAATGATCGATGGCTTCGTCCAAAGCAGCGGCTTCGATCATGGCATGACTCTGTTGCTTCAATGGTAATAAAGCAATGTCCGTCTGCCACGACTTACACTTGCGCTTCAGATGAGTAAGCTCGTCAGCCAGTTGATGTACAGTAACATCAGGTATTGACCTTACAGCCAGAACAATACGTGTTTGTCTAGAGTCAATCATAGACGACGATGAGATACATAGTCTGATATGGCGAATCAGAAGAGAACGGGCAGCTTCTGCCTCTTCCACAGACTGAATAGGTATAACCATCGTGATATCAGTGTCTTCCTTCACATAAGGCACCTAAAAATGCAAAAAATGGCGTTGAAATGTGTCATTGCAAATTTAAAACAACTTGTATAAACAATATACTCACCTGATGTAGCAGTTCAGTGAAGTGGATGGGCCTACAAACATGAATCCGTTTGATCAATGGCTGTTTGTCATCACTTGTCAGCCATTTGTACTCCATATCTACTATATACTCCATGCCTCTCTTGGCGTTAAACACTCGGTAACCATGTTTTAGTTGTACAAACTCCATTAGATCGGGGTTGAATGTTTCAGAAGCGTCCACAAAGCCGTCTTCCAAGTCTACTTCTATCTTTTTTCTGGCTATTTCGATAACCTCCCTCACATCCAAGGCGTCGTTCCCGGTCAGAGGTCTCGAGTTCTGAGTAGGTTCATTCTTGAAGATGTCCAACTCCGAGAAGTACTCCCAAACTGGCACTTGCCATCGGTTTGGAGGCCTGGCTGGACCGGGCACTCCGATCGGCCAACTTCTGTCACCTTCTAATTCTTCTTCAAATGTGGTCACTTCTTTTGACACACGCTTGATCTCGGTCGATATACGACCGATCTCTACGTTCACAAAGTGTTCATGTAGTGTCAAAGCATCTTGTTCACTCAAGAGTGGCGACACTGTTAACGTGTTGTTGAACTCTCGTGTTGAGGCTAGCCAGTGGACGTGGTCGTGAATTGCAGAACCAGTTTCACTCGTTTCTTCAACTCGCCACCATCTGTGCAATTGGTCCTAAAAACGCAATAAGTAATCCTCCAGTTACAATAATTCATTATATACCTTTTCTTTTGGTTGACAGGCAAGGTTTGTCGTTAAGCGAATGCACATTTCAAAGGCTTGCTGATCATTGGATGCGACTATGGTTTGACAAAGATGTCGTTGCCTACAAAAAATCATATAGTTCCTTCCACTAAGAAATTTGAAAAATACGGAAGTATCAACCATAAAACCGAAAACTTACTGTAGTAGCGATTGCACAGCTGTATTTGACATCAGAATCCCTGCTTCTAAAATGCAGTTTCCTTCTCTATCAGGCTGACCTAAGGCAATCTGTTTATTCCATGTGAGCCGCTTTATCAACCTCATCAGTTCAAATGGGTTGACATAAGTTGTCTCGGGAATGAAGTAAAACCAATCATAATTGTCTTGTAACGCCTAAATTGACAATTCAATCGGAACAGTTCATACCTACCTGATCAGCTATTGAGTTGAGGATGTGAACATGGGCTCGTTGACCTGTTAACCCGTTAAGTCGATATGGTATCAGATTTGTCAAAACACTCATATCGGTGTCAATCCTCGAGGCATCTGCGTATATCTGCATTCTGGGAACATGCTCCCCAATAGAAGCGTTTAGGGCTACACTCAACGCACTCTGGGCCAACACAATCAGAATAAGCTTATCCCGTATTCCCAGTTCTGTAGCTGCAAAACGTGATCGAACTACCTACAATAAGATGTTTTCATTAAAATTTTCAAAAACATACATAATACATATTATTGTGCTTAATATTATTTTATTTTTATCATTTTAGTTTTATAACAACGTTACTACATTTAAAAGCAGCAATAGGTGCCTACTTTGTTTTGATTATTTTGATTTGGTACAACAATAGAAACCGGTTTCTGAACTTGTACTTTCCAATGCTCAAACTTCTGAATATCCCCAACATCCTCTACCTTCAAGTCCTGTTCAAGATCGCTTGAGGTAAAAAGTAAAAAAGCTACAAAAAGTCCCATAAACACCCCCAAGCCAAAGGGCATCCATGTTCGTAACCCATATGCCATGCCCGGCCAAGAGGCCACTAAAAAATAAACATTAACACAGTTAATTTTACAAAACATAAAAATAACGTTAAATCAGAAGTAATGGTAACTATTTCGTCACAAAGCATCCGAAAAACATAAAAAAACACAAAAAATACAAAGTTCTAAAGCGCAAACGGTAACACTTAGCAAGGTATTCAAATTACTCGATATAAGAGGTGTTCGAGTCGCAGATAAAGCGTCTTCCTCACCCGATATCTGACTTCGAATGCGTGTCGCGCAACCCAAAAGGAGTAGCGGGCGAGAAGAAAACCCCTGACCGACCAATATGAAAAAGGAGCTGCTTCAAGAGGTCACACAGCCTTCCAGAATACAAACGATTCCGACTTCAATTTGAAAAAGTTTGCGGAATCACTAGAATGTTGTCGTAGATCGAGCTTAATTAGCTGCGATTAATCACCATTCTTCTGACCGTTACTTGTTAACAACACTGGATATCTAGCTAGATATTTTCAATAACAGCAACTTCTTATGGCTTTGCCAAAGCTCGCATTAAACTTTATACAAATAGCCAGTTTAAAAAGAAAATAAGACTGAACAGCTGGAAGAAATTCGCGGAAAGCAAATCAAAATCTCAACGTATTCTTATAAACCGGATCCATTTACAGCCCAGTTCGCTGTACCACCAAATAATTGACAAACAGCCTTCAAATCTATACTATTTTATCGCACGACATTATATAAACAAACAAAGGGCGTGTTAATATTTCCAAAAATTGCCTTTTTTAAAGTTCAAACTAAAGATTGACGGTTCAACTTGTAAACGTATACTATTATTCGTACAGCAATTCATTTGTTATAAATTTTTCATCAAAAATTCTGAATTAATTACCAATTTTTAATATTAAAAGTGTAATAGCGCGCAATCAAGTCTCTCCTGACACGAAAACAATTTGTGGCATACCGTTTTAACTAAAAAATAATTTAAAAATAAATAATTTTCTATTTTTTGGCGACTTATGATGTGGATGCGAATGAATTCTGGCGATTGAATGTGGGATCAAGCTAACAAGAGGTTTTCTTGGTTCACCAAGAATGTAGGGACGAAAAGAACTGGCAATATTATCAAAAGTAAGTTGATATTAAGTTTTTAACATTGTTTAGTCCAAAAAAGTGGGTTGATACCTCCAAAGTTGGTAGCCGAGAACAGCGTACCAAAGTTTTATCGGGAGTTGATAGTACAATGTGGGGCTGAGACTTTGAACAAGAGTCCTATTAACGATGAAGTTATGCTGTTGATGTGGAGAACAGGACTTCCTGAAACTGTTCTTCAAGCAATTTGGGAGTCTGTTAGTCCGTCGAATTCCGACCAACTGAGTAGGCAAGAGTTCTATTCTTGCTTAGTTTTGGTAGCTTTGGCACAGGTTAGTATTTAATTTTTAATGTCAAAGATAATAATATTTTGTTTTTTTTTCATTTTTCAGGTATGACTTTATGTTAGTAAATAATTTATTTTTTTAGAGGAATTTGACTATCGCGGACTTGAGTGCGATGAAAACATTGCCAATTCCAACAATATCTTCAGTAAAACCGAAGAATGTGAAGATGAACTTTAAAACGAATGACAGTAAGACAAAGCCAAATGCTCATCTTCTGAAAACAGTGCATCCGTTGTTCACGGAACAGAAAGTTGTCGTAGATGGTGATTTGATTGTGTTTAACAAGAATTCAACAGAGAAAAGTAGGTTTTTTCATTTACATAATAAACGTTTTATTAATATATTAATTTAATTTTCTTTAGCATCTGATCTTGAATTATATCCTTCAGTACGTCCTAGCATGGAGGAGGTTTCCAATTTTCACGTAGGTTAATTCTTTTTTAACCAACTTTTTCACTTTGTTAGGCAATTTCGTGGTTTTATTAGGGTTTACAATATTTTTTAAAAAAATTTGTTTAATGATTTCAAAGTACGTATTGTATTATGCAAGAGTTACGCACATACTTTGGACAATTAGATAACTTTGTTTTAGGAGAGCTTAGTGCCTTATTGGGAGAGGTTACTAGAAGCAGCATCGAATCCGTTTTGTTTAGTGAAACAAACAAACTCAGCTGCCGTTGAAGCCTTGAAAACGGAAAAAGGATTCAACTTTCTGAAGGCACTCTGTGAAATACAAAAGATTGTCAGAAGTGTGCACAAGAATGCCAGTTCTCTAAAAACTACGAATACCGAGTTAATTGCCAATTGCGAGATCCTTTTTGCTGTTTGGACTAACTTATTAAGCATTTTGGAAGAGGAGAACATACTATTGGACCTGCCCGACGAGTTTGAGAAGACTGGCCACATGTGTAATATCTGCGGAGAGTGGACAAGTGTTAACAACACTCACTTTGACAAAGATACTGAGCTTAGTTACCACATTCCGTGTGTTAACTTATGGTTGAACTTGCTTGATGACAAGTTACCACAATTTTAATGGAAGACTTTATTGGATCAAAGAAGATTTACATGTGGGTCACACTCTAGTTTAGTTATCGGATGGAACAGTCCCATTGTTGTGGTTCACCTCCGGGGTCCTGAAGATGGATATATTGTAAATAGTAATTAATAAATGTATGAATTATATATTTCAATTTATGACGATGCTGTTTTCGCTTGTTTTCTACGGTCGTTTTGGAAGGCCTGAAGGATTACATTTCAAAAATGACTCTTATTATTGTTTAGACCTAATTACTCACTTATTTGGTTGTACTGCTATCTTGTCCAGCTTGGGCTGAGCTATTTGGGCGTCGACTTTCTTTTTAACGACCATGTTGAAGTCGTGCAGCTCTTCGCTGGGATGCACGGTCTCTAGCTTTTCTGTGGCCCGCAAGTCTTCAGACTTTTCGAATATGAGTTCGTTTTCCGTTTCGTGCACCTGATTAACCACGGATGGCTCCTGAAGCGGTAATTACTGTATTCAAGCATTTATTTACACAAAAATATGTTAAAACGCGACTTCAGCTGGATAAAAGGGCTACTTTGACTTTAACGTATTCCTTTGTCTGAACCTTATAATAGCCTTGAAGTTCCTACCTTTTTCTGGGGTTCTGGTTTCGGCTCCTTTACTTCATTTTTCACATTATTGGCCTGCGTTCGCGTTGTGGGGTCGTCTTGCTTCACAGTTATACTCGGCTGTTCCTTGGCCCATTGTTTCAGACTCTCTTGATGCATTTTAATATCGGGTTCCGAGGAGGCGTCATCGTCGTCGGCTCTGGAAGGTCGTACTTGACGACTGGTCGATGGAGCCGGCGGCAAGTTTGGTCTAGGTAATCGAGGTCGGGACTCTCGTGATGTGGCGGCCTTTGCCGGTGTAAACGATGACGCCACACTTCTCATGGATCCGTTGAATGAATGGATGGTCTGAGAGCGAATCTTTGGCGGTCCTTTGGCATCGTAGATCCTGTGCTGGTACGGTACTTTTTGTTGATGTGACCAGTCGCGTGGTGTGGAGGATCCAAAGGCATACTGCTTACTGAGGCGACGGGGACAGCTTTCCGAGCGGGCTAGAAAATGGTAATAATGGTAATACAAAAGCATAGAATGTAGCTAACCAAAATGATCCCAATAGAGTTAATTGTGGGAATGAAGATCTTAATATTAAGCCTAATTCTTATAAAAACCGAAGAGGTTTTCGGTGAACTAACAAATGTCTCTAATTCACATCGCTCTACCTAGATTTAAAGGCTGTATTGCTCAAATATTTGCGTCTCGACCCAGTCATCCGTTGGCTCTGTTTCCGTCCCTAGATGGATGCTTATTTATATCGAGGCAACTTGTTTTAGCGTGCCGTGAGATTATTTGGTGTTGATTGCCCGAGGCGTTTGGCTGAGATTGAGGCGAGGGTTTAATCCCTGTTTCTTCGTTAATTCGCCAGCTTGCAGGGCCCGCCTTTGTTTAGACTGCCTTCAGAAGCTTCGTTTCAAATGTAATTTGAATTCATTCTTGTGTCACAATTGTACAAATCAGCAGGTGACTTCACGCTTCCACTCCCGACCTCACCATGAATATTGGGCCGATGACTAAATGAACGTCTTACTCGTGATTTTCGGCGTTAACATGTTCTTGCTCATTTTTGGGATTGGGATAAGCTGGTACGACATACAATTATATGGGTCAGGGTTATACCTGGCATTAGTGTCCATCGTCACCGTTGTCATCGTGCTAGCCTTCTGTTTGGTTGGAACTGACGAGCAGACTCAACCGACTGTGGCCAAGCAAATGTGGTCCAAATCGCAACAGACCATCAGACGCTACACCACGGTGAGAAGAAGCAGAGGTAATCAAGTGAATCTGGAGATGGCCAAGCCGTCCGAAGAGAAGGAGGAGAGTGAGACACTGTGCAATAATAGGATTGTTGTCAAAGTAAGTATTTTCGTGAGACAAAGCTTTATCGAATTTTTGACAAGATTGTTCTGTACTATTACAATGCAAATGTCAACTTACGTAATAAAAATGTGAGACTAGAGTAACATCACTATGCTTCAGATATCTCACCCGCCTCCAAAGAAACAGCAGTCAGTCAGATTCAATGACATAGATGACCAAATAAACAGTTCAGCCACCGTAACGGCCTCGACCAGTGAGCCTAGCGGAATCATGGAAGCAGCTGCCAAACTCAAAATCGATTCAGAAGCGGGAAATTCAAACGAATGCACTAACGAAGACTCCGGGATCACAGGAAGTGAAAACAATGTTGTATACCTCTAACTGATTGTATATATACACTATATAAATTCTTTATATTTACATAAATGATCGTACTAACCTGCATGAATGCTTCGTACAAAAGGCCTCACATCGTGGGCAGCCCCATTGCCTAAGGCTTCGAGCACTGTCGACCGGTCTCGCGCCTTCTGATGCGACAACTCGCGAGGTGTTGATGACCCAAATACAAAACCCCGCGGCATCTGAAACTAGCTATATGACTAAGCAAAAAAATAACCGACTTGTCGGCCGTTTTATGTTAGCATTATATAGATACATTCGGAAATGGGGGTCGGTAAACCGGATTGAGAAGAGTATCCAATATGCTTGAAACTCGAACCTGCAATCCCCACTCTCCAAATGGCATGGGAATACCAATGCGGGTCATTTGCCTCCGGTTTACGACTTGGCCCGCTGCCATTCAAGTTTGCGCAAACCCTCTTACGGGTTGATTAAAATTTTAGATGTTCCCCCAAATTCACCCATCCAGCCCCCTTTAATGCCGCTAAACAGCCCACAATAACAACAGACTTCCGGCCGGAATCTCCCGGAATCATAATTACGCATTGTCCCTTCGAAACTTGAAGTCAACATTTCTTCTCACCAGCAAAGGTACTCTGGCCCAAAAAAACGGAGGTTCATGCCGAACCACACTTCCTTTAAATCAACCATGAAATTGCGGCGTCGGCCCTCCGATTCGTCCAAAGAATTACCAAATATGTTATAAAATTTATTCGCTTTTAAATTACACACGACTACAATGAAAGTTTGATCTGATAAAACTATATTCTATCCTTTAATTAAAAAATAACTCAAAAGCAAACACAGGACATAAAAAATAGTGCGATGGCAAAGTTTAAGAAAAGGAATGTTAGAGGACCCAAACGGTCATGGCCAAACCGAAGAAAGAAAACATGGATTGGCAATCAAAGAGAATGGAATGAAAGTGAGTCTTCGTGAAAACTTCCCAGGCGTCTTACGAACTGAGGATCAAAGCGACAATCATACCGTACAAACCCAATACCTGCAAAAACATTTTGAAACTGGTATATGAAGTATCAAAAAGCTAAATCTTACTATTTCACATATATTCATTAAAAATTAAATCTTAAAAGTTTAAGTTACATACGTTAGAAATAAAAGTAATTTACTTACTTCTGAGAAAATGAGAATCAAAATCATTCCAACGAAAAGACGGGGCTGTTGGGCAGTTCCACGTACTCCTGCATCTCCAACAATACCAATAGCGTAGCCAGCTCCCAAACCACAGAGACCGCAAGTCAAACCAGCGGCCAAGTGGGAGAATCCTTGGCTCAGATCGTATCCCTCAGAAGCCTTCTTAACACGTCCCTTCAGCACCATGGCTACCACCAATCCGTAGATACCGATGATACCAGCCATAATAACGGGAATGACCGACTTCATGATAAGTTCTGGCCGCATAACTCCCATCGACGAAATACCGACGGCAGATTTGGCAGTTCCATAAGCAGCTCCAAATACTGTAAAGATCTGAGCTGACGCAGCTCCCATGTATCCAAAGAATGGGGCATAAGCAACTTGTTCAGCAGCCTGAATGTCGTAAGACATGGTGAAAGTTGTTGTTAAAAATGGAAAGCCTAAATAGTTATGCTTAAGCAAGTGTTATGCCGAGCCCATATTAAGAACGCAACCCGTAATAAAGCGCAAACCAAAAATAAAGCGGCCTCGCTCCCTCCAAAAAACTGATTAGAGTCCCCTCTAATCAATTTCCGTCCGAGAGACGAGTCCATTAATTAATAACAGTTAGTAAAAAGCTGATAAGTTCCGAGTAAATGTCAAAAAACCTAAAATTCAAAATAAAAATCAAAAAATAAAACGAAATCAAGTAAAATATAGTGAACAGAATGTAACTGTTAGAAAAAGCATCGATATTCAAATAAATATCATTTACATTTATGTTAAAAATCTATATGTATATCATGAAAACATTCGTAACGATTCGATAAGTGCCTGGTCGACTCTATACAAAGAAAGTGAAAGCGCCATATTATGAACCTGCTCTATGCTGCTCCCAAGATCAGAGCAACGATCATACCATACAGTCCCAATACCTAAACAAAAATAATCAATAAACGCTAGCCTACCTCAGCGAAGATGAGAATCAAGATCATCCCCACAAAGAACCTTGGCTGTTGTGACAAAGCTCGAACTCCGGCATCTCCAGCTATTCCAATCGCATAGCCAGCAGCCAACCCGCAAAGACCACAAACAAGACCTCCAGCAAACTGACTGAATCCAAGGTAAACTGGATATTCCTTTCCACCAGGAGAAATCTTTCCCGATATAATAACGGCCACGACTAAACCATAAATAGCAACAATACCAGCCATAACAACAGGAATAATAGCCTTCATAACTAGATCCGGCCTTGCCACAGCCATAGAAGCGATTCCTGTACCCGATTTGGCTGTTCCATAAGCTGATCCGGCCGCTGTGAAGATCATGGCAGCTGTAACTCCGAGTGATCCGAAGAAGACACCATAAGGTGCTTCTTCCGCTAATAACAGCTCATCTGACATTGCCTGAAAAAGAATATTGGAAATCGAAAAAGACAACGCGAAGCTATATCATCAACGCGTAGCTTGTACCACATATACGAATAAACACGAATAACTATATCAAACCCACGGCAGCCGTTCTGAAAGCGAAATTACTTATTACTTTATAAAGCCAAACAACCGGCTCGAGATTTAAAAAACTCATCAACCCCTTTGGTCAAACGAGGCCGCCGGCCAAAAATCGAAGAATGGGAACAGAAACTAAAAAGAGTGCGAGTGTGGTGGAGAGATAAGACAACAGAAGAGCGAAACTTCTGGGTCCTACCACGAAATTTAAGTTCTTCAGATTTGTGGCATTCCGTTATTTTCGAAAATGTAATATAATTTTAAAAATTGTCACTTTGTAAAGCTTTACCTCCAAATAAGATCATTGTAAAGCTATAAAAAATAAAATTTTAAAACTTTAGATACATTTTTTAATGATTTTTTATTTTGAATATTAATTTTAATTTATGTTTTAGCATTATAGTTAGCAATGTCTATGTTTTTATGTAAATGTAAGCGCTTTTTGTCGACTGTTTAGTTTTATAGTTTAACATGTACTTGCTACCTATGTGGGAGTAGTTCCTGTTCAACCCTGTTGTCTACTTGTTTGAACTGTTCACGTGTATATTATCGTGGAAACAGATTGAGTGCTTTCCTTTTTTTATATTCATATTGTTATTTCAGATGTCTCGATGAGGGTTTCGTTTAGGCGGTTATTTTATCTTGTCGCATTTACATTCGGAATAATATGGGTCGTTTTTAACTTGTCGTACGAGCAGGAAGTCAGGTATGTCATCGTAATAAATGTTTTTTTTTGCATCTTAATTTCATGGAATTAGCAATTTAAAGTAAAAATCACGCTTAAGCTTTATTTACGGTAGCAAATATATTGTTTAGTGTGTCTTCTCTACCCGAACATCTTCTCTGTGTGCTGATTCCCTTCCGCAATGTTGAACATGAACTGTCAGTGCTAGTTCCCGAGCTGAATCAATTTCTTGATAACCAAGATGTGAAACACAAGTTTGTTGTCCTCAATCAGACAGACTCTTATCGTTTCAACAGAGCTTCACTGATCAACGTCGGATGGATCGAAGGCGAAAAGATGGGATGTGACTACATGGTGATGCATGATGTTGACATAGTTCCATTAAACCCAGAACTGAACTACAGGTATCTTGAGGAGGGAACTGTAAGACACATTTCGGCTGGAGATTATCATCCAATCAAGAGATATAATTACAAAAAATTCATTGGAGGAGTTCTGATGTTGAACATGAGGGACTTTAAGAAGCTGAACGGAATGTCGAACAAGTACTGGGGGTGGGGATTGGAGGATGACGAGTTTTATCTCCGAATGAAGTAAGTTTTGATTCAAAATTTGTTTTATAACTTCAATCAGTGTGTATAAATTTCAGCTTGCTTTGCCGTTTTTATTGTCGGAACATTTATAAAAATGTAATACTATACCTATAAAAAGTTAGTTTTACAATGTTAATTACCGTGATTTTAGGGAACTCAACATGACGTCCCACATAGAAAGGCCGCGACATTTGAAAACAGACAGGAAGAACACGTTCAAACATGTTCACGGTCCTGAACGGAAACGAGACTACGCCATGATAGGGAATCAGAAAAAGATGTCACGGAAGAGGGACAGGATCAGTGGGTTGAACAATGTACAGTATAACATCATCAAACGGGACACTGTATACTTTGGAGAAGCCAAAGACATTCCGGTGTTATCCATACATATAGAGCTGGTCTGTGATTTCAGTTGGACGCCTTACTGCTCTTTCAACTAAATTATCACACTCAACCACTATATTTATTCATACTTCTAAGTCTTCAACGTTTACTATTTATTTCTACAGTATTCTTATTTTGTAAATGTCATAATTTATACCAGTTTCGTGATTTTCCTGTTTATTTCGGTTTAGCTAATACTTGCGACTACGGGTTCTAAATGCATATTGAGGGGCATAATTCGGTAAATAAATATTGAAAACCTAAATTGTGTGATTCTCTGAAACGTTTGAACAAACAAGACCTGGTCAAAAGGGTTTGCTTATTTTCATATCGAAGCGTGGAAGTCGAAGAAGCGAGCGGTTTTTTAGCTGCGAGGGCATGGCACTGGCCCCATCCGTGGCCCAGTGTCGAGACTCTCGAACTCCGCGCTTTTCGTTTCCTCTGGCCTTCCTCTTGGCGTTTATTGTGGTGTTATTAAAACGGTTTGTTTCTAGTGATGAGCGACGAACGGCCGGACAGCCGCGGCTCCATGGGCAGCGACGATCTTTTCGAGGATTCGCTGCTCCAGGTGAAGAAATGGTCAGGGATGGGGTGCGAGTCTCCGTCGCCTCAGGTAAGACACCCGGCTCGGGTTTCTCTTTTCAATCCCCGATCAAAGCCGCCTCCGCTGAGGACACGTTCTTCTCGTGTCATCTTTTTTATTATCTCCGTTAATTCGATAATTTGAGTTCTATAAATCTAGGCCTTTTTTCTGGACTATAAGAGGCGAGGCCAGCTGCAGTCATTTTGCTTTGATGGCCGCTCTTTGGTTTTATATTCCTAGACAAAGGCTTCTTGAGTGTTTTGATCTTGAGGCCGATCATAACTTTATTCGCCAGATTTATTTGATTTTGATACCAAGTGGCGGTATAAATCTGTTTTTGTTGACTTACCTGGCCGCGCCCCATGGCTCTTTAATCCAGAATAGACGCGCATTGAATCAAGCCCATAAGTCGGCTGGCTTAATCTTTTCCGTTTCCCCACTTTTGACAAATTAATTTGTGGATAACTGTTTAATTTAGAGGCGACAACTCAGCTTCAACGAGATGCCGATTCAACACGACAAACATTTGAGGTATTTTGTGTTATAATGACATGGTTGGCATTGTTATTGTTTTTCATAAGATTATGTATAACGACAACAAACAAGTGTTGTGATAAAAATGTACAAACTGTAAATGCTGATGTTATGTTGTTTTAGGAGCATGAAAGAGCTCCTCACCACCATGGACAATCAAGCTGATCCCAACACTCACATTGAGTTCAAGGAGAAGACCCACATCCTGTGTGCCCGCTTCTTGGGTGGAGCCTGGAAGACGGTGTCGTTGGAAAACTTGAAAATTGTTCGAGTAAAGTAGGCTTTTTGATAACACGTCAATCACGCAAATACTTCGCCATTCTCAATGTAGACGTTATTTGTTAAACACAACTTTTATACACGTAAAACACTAATTAACGGTTTCAGAGGTGGCATGAGCAATATGTTGTTCTTGTGTAGACTTAGCGAGAACCATCCCCCTGTAAGAACCGAACCCGATAAGGTTCTTCTCCGTGTCTACTTTAATCCAGAGACAGAAAGTCATTTGGTGGCCGAAAGTGTGATATTCACACTGCTTTCGGAGAGACATTTGGGACCAAAACTTTATGGTATATTCAGTGGAGGACGGTTGGAAGAGTACATTCCCGTAAGTAATGAGATAAACATGTTTTCCTCGAGTCGAAAGATGTCACGCAACTTAATAATTACAAAAAAGAAACAGAAACCCAAAGTAAACTACTATTTCTGAGAGATTAATTCTGTGACAACAATCACAATTCCAGTCGAGACCACTAACAGTCGACGAGATCTCGGCCCCATCAATATCAATGAAGATAGCCAAAAGAATCGCACGTGTCCATCAACTAGAGGTGCCTATCTGGAAAGAGCCCGACTACATCTGCGACGCTTTGGAACGATGGTTCACGCAGCTGAAGAGAGTCACTCAGCCTGGCCAAGTGTTCGAAATGCCAGAAAAATACACGGAATGGTCCCCCAAATCGCTGACTGTCGATGATTTGTGGACCCAAATAGAAGGGTTACGGTAAGCAAACAATCAAGTTGAAGTATTCTCATAAGTTTGTTTACCGTGATCTTCTTTTAGACCACTAAGTTTGTGATCTTTTAGACCGCTGATTGCCAAGAGTAAGAGCCCCGTAGCGTTCTGTCACAATGATCTACAAGAAGGAAATATTCTCCTGCCGAAAGCCAGCTCGGGCAACATCCGAATGCCATCAGTGTCGGAAGATACCAAGCCCACAAACTCACTGACCGCCTTCAATCCGATGGATCCTCGACTGGTCTTGATCGACTTTGAATACGCGGCTTACAATTACAGGCAAGTGTTGTTGTTGTTTTATGAAACAAAAATTAAAAAAAAATATTTTGAAATATTTTGCGGAAAAAACAATTTTGGAAAGTGACTTTCGGGCGCAGCTCAAAGCCAAACTTGCAGCTTGCTCCAAAAGATTATTTTCTTACAAATATATTTTGAAGTTGAATTTAAGGGTAAAATACAGCGTAATGTTTTATAATTAATATAAAAATGTATTTTTTTTTCAGAGGTTTTGACTTTGCTTCGCATTTTGTTGAATATACGATAAAATACGACGTAGAGGACTATCCCAACTACGAGTTCCTACCAGAGAGGTTTCCCACAAAAGAGCACATGTTTGAGTTTATGTCGTCGTATATCAGAGAGATTCAGCCAAACGCTACGGATGCCGTCGTGAATTCGCAAGCCGAGAACATGGTAAAGGAAACTATACCATTCATAGCGGTGTCCCACTTGTTCTGGGGCGTCTGGGGTCTTTTGCAAGTAGAGCTGTCACCAGTTGGCTTCGGCTTTGCAGAGTATGGCAGAGATCGTCTGGGGCTTTACTACAAGAACAAGGATCTCTTGAAGAAGTTCGAAGAGTGATAGTAGAATTGAATTTCGAAGAATATTTTAAAGTTTTCAGTTAACTTTCAAGTTTCACCTTTCTAATTTGAAATTACTTTTCACAGTTACCTAAACATTGTCCAAAAGATTGCGAAAAGTGTGGTCTCTTTATCTCTGGTCCGGTTGTGCCTTCCATGTCAGATATATTCTCTTTATTATTGTTATATTGCTTAGAACAAAACAGATGATTAAACATGTCCTGATTTATTGCTGAGATTGCATAAGTGAAACAAAATAAAAGATCAATTAAATCGGTCATGAGAGACGGTGTTCAAAGGGCAGTGCGAGTTCGAACGGAGAGTCAAATCACAGAAGGACGAACACTGGACCATGACTAGAACAAGATAATATCATATTATGAGACCCGTATCATTGAAAGAAACTAGCTTCATCGTCCGATGAAATGTGATTGCATTGAGAAGGTTGTCGACCGGAAGCGGTCTAAAAGTTCTCGGAAGGATTTAAAGAAGACTGAGTCAATGACAGAACACAACAACTTTAATAGTTATATCACAGTCATATAACTTGTAGATTATCTTTTCGACTACACATCATGAATCTTTCCTTCCTTGTTGTCGCAGAAGTTGGTCCATAATTTCTTAGCCAATTCATAGCACGACAATTCCCCTGCATGTGTAGCTACCATCCTCAACAAAAAGACTCCATCCTGATGAAGGAAGTGGTGGACGAACCTTCGTAGCGACTGAGAATCCACCATTTTGTAGCCTTCGATTCCAGTCAAATATTTTCCGACAAAATTAAGTTGCCTGCAAACATAATATCAGTAGAGTAAAGCACTAATTAAAGAATAAAATGTGATTTAGGGGTAATATAGCAATAAATTGTAGGCCTACTACTTATACATAAATTCAAAACTACGGTACGTTTGATTTATAATATTAAAGATAGTCAGTTATCTACATATTATGTTTCTAACATGATATACTACCGTTTCTAATAAAAGATAGTAGCTTACCTTGAGGGAGTGTACGAAATGTATATCCAATATAATAATGAGCAGAATGTCGCTGTACCCAAAATAATGTACCAACACCAAAGAAACAAAAATATTTTCTCGTTAAACATATTAATCATAAGGACACATTGCACAGTGTGCCGGTGAACGTTCCCCAAAACCTAAAATTATGACAAAAGATAAAAAATTTATGAAAATTTATAGGTGTTATACCACAAAGCTTAACAAAATGATATCCATTCCTTAAAACAATAACATAGCTAACCACCGTACGTACCTTAACTTCGAAATCACACAACGTGACTCTCGGGAAATGACCAGATTCCGACCATTCTCGACCGTTCAATATGTCACCCAACACTTCGATGCCATAGAACTTGTCCCGAGCTCCCAAAAAAGTGTTCAACAACATGATTTGAGCAAATACGTTTATGGTATACAATGCTTTGGTGGCTATGTAGAGGGTCGTCACAGCTGCTCCACTGCTTCTGGTACATATGAATATGTTTAGCAGTTTTAATTTCTTTGTTCCCAGCTGAAATCGTTAATTCTACTCCTTGTGACATTAGTTATTTATAATGGTTTTCTTGGAATTCAAAACATCATGGTTAACATGTCGTAAAATTAATAAAAAGGGATACTCTATGTGTTTCTAAACGAAAAATAAGACAAGTTTTATGTGTAATTTTAATTTAAAGGAATTTTTTATTTTGTTTATTCATTTAAATTTTTTTTTCGTAAATTGCTCTTTGAATTCTACAAGATTTTTGCAAATTTCTCACCTGGTTTTTAATGTGTAGACATTCCTGAACATTAGTCGCGATTGTTTGTAGAGCTCTTTGTCGCGATTCGTAGTCGAGAACTCTGGATTCACATGCCATGTTGACCAGAGATTGCACGTGAATACCTAAAATTGTATTCATGTATAACGTGTCCAGCATTTTTTCGAAGAGGTGTATAAGATCACAATATCAACGTTTTTTTGTGTAAAAGTTTATTTAAGGTCGATATATATAGCCAAAGAATGTTGCCTATTTATATTATAGTACTTACCTGTCTGCCATGTCAAGAATCTCCACACGAGCGTCGGGACGTAGAAGAAGACGGCTTCAAGCGCCAGGATGAACGGAACCCATTGATAATATCCAATTTGGCGATTCTCCCGCTCCGCTTTCTCGAAGGGAATAAACTCGCCCAGAGGCAGAAAATAAGTGTTCTGAACCCAACAATAGTTCTCGGTATACTGTTCCATGGGCTCGGTGAACGTAGCCGGCACCCAGCACTGGATCGGGTGTCCCACATATTGTTTTCCAGTCACTAATATGGCAAAGACTAAAACGACCAACGTCAAGAGTTTAGTTACCACTGGTCGGAGGTGCTTAAATGCCTCGCGGCCAAAACAAAAACAATAAATTAGGTTACAATGAGGTTTTACATGCTCCGGAATACAACTTGTGGTGGAGCCATATTGAGTGGAAGTACTAAGTCAACCTACATAACAAAACACCACAAGTCATACAGGAACACAACGGCGAACGACACCATTTACTTACCTATAATGATGGTAGAAGTGTAGTAGTAGTTTAGTTTGTCAATGATGTCATCGTCGACGCTGAGGTTGATCCCCTTGATCTGATTGACAAAATAATACAACATCTCTCCCCCCATCATTGGTCAACCGGGTGGACGACGTCGCTCAACCAAGCTGAGCTGACGACGTCCACCTGAAGTCTCGAACGTAGGCCTCTACAGGCAACACGGCCTTCACGCTGGGCAGTGTGTGAGGTAAGGAATAGGATGATGAGTTGTGTCTTCAGCCGATCAGGTCCCGATTCATCTTCGAACGCATAATAAAGTTGGCGGCCGACGGCTGCAGAAGTTTGGGGAGCCGGTGAAGCCTGAAAACGTCTCAAATGAACTGTGTAAGGTGTAGAGGGAATGCACTCTACGTCCCGTTTAAACCCATCCAGCCTTAAGCCAAACCACAAAGAAACGCGCCGTTCTTTCAAAGTAGAAAACCACTGAAGTCAGAGCGGCAGAAAGACAGGATTGATGTGTCGAGGCGGACTGGCCGAGAGATGGCCTGAGCTTTTTTAACACCTGCAAAGTGGACCAGCCTCGCCTTCCCATAATGACATAATAAAACAAATCCAAAACAAATGCACAGATACACAAGGTTGTAGACGTATTACTCCCTTCCGTGGCCATAAACAAACCAAAACGAGTAATGCCCAAAGTGTAAATTGACTTTACGTGCTGCTTTTAGATCCTCGACCACCACAACTTGATGCCGCGCCTCGAGCGAAGACAAAGCGGAACAGTTAACAAAGCCAAATACAATTATGAACTAAAGGTTTCGAAAAGTTGGACAAAACGGTGAAAAGGGCCACTTAAAGCGGCGCTAATTCAAAAACTCTTTAAAGCCAATGAACCGCCGGACTTTGCCTTTTGCCTGAGGTGAGGCGAGAAAAAACAAAGAGCCCCCCCTCCCCCTCCAACAGGTTCAAAAACCCCGCAAGTTGGGGCTGATGCGCGGAGTGGATCCCAATTTGTGGATTCTCTCACATAGTGCAGCCAGCTCGACGGTCTTTGACTGACATGCCATAAAACGTCTCCGTCTTCTTTCTCCGCCTCATCCACCCATCCACTTCAGAACCCCGGGTCTTCTTCGTTTTGTCAGACCGCTCCCCTTTGGCACTTCTTCAGAGTTGTTCCGTCCCCACGTGAAGAAGCCTCATCTTCATCATATTACAACCTAAATCTTCTGTTTGAACCGTTACGTAGGATTCGCGCAGTCGCTGTTTAACTACGGTAAAGAAGGGGAATGAGAGCGCTCCCTTACATCACCTTTTCTCCCCTTTCTTTTCTTGCTGTTATTCAATTAGCCGCTCCACTGGTTGGTCGGATTTACGGTAAAATATTACTACTAATCCCTTGTAATCTGGTATGTTTTCTTCTGCTTTAATACCATTACAGCGAAGAGAGTACGGTAGTTGTTGTAGATATGGTCTCTGGAGCTATTGTATGCCCTAACAAGCCCAAAAATGACTACAATAGTTTGAAAATAGTCCTCCTTCAAAGTTATCTGTAAAAAGCCCAGCTTTGGCCCAGGCCGGCCAAGCATGAAATTTATGCATATCTATTGAAACGCGCAAACAAACCTAATTACGCGGTAGGGGTGTTTATAGGTCTGTCAAGCGCACAAGCAAAATAAGTTCGTTAAACTGGAAAAGCTAGGAAAACTGAGTTGTTATAAAGAATCCTTAAGGACATTCTGGGCCTGAGTGTGGGAGCGACTTGGAGACAGCGTGCTCCCCATAATCATCCACAATATCAGGTTACTGCGCTCCAACACAAGCCGTAGGACAATAATGCCGGTCGTAAGTCATGACATGACAACATCGATTCATCATCTCTGTTAACCCCAGGCTACAGCCCTCCCCGCCGTCCGAGATCTATTATGTGTTGCCCGTTTGATGACCAACAACGGAAGCAGGCATAAAGACACTGTAACGACACTTATTCCCAGCAATAAACGCTTTCTGTCCAAACCGTAAAGCATTCAACTTTTCCGGCACCGACTCAGCAGGGAGCTATGGAACCCGGGGCTTCTTTTTGCCTTCTTCAGCGCCGAGGGCATAAAAACAGTGTTGTAGAACATGATCGTTACGTCGTTTGCGAAGACAAAAAGTGAGGAAATTCAGGGATATAAACCTGCAAATCACAAGCTCTCTGGCGACATGTGATAGTTAGTATGAAAGGCTACATCACCACAAAGAAAGAGAGGGACAGGTGGCGTTTGCATCTCGAACAAACTTCTTCGGCCGGCGTCTTCAAGAGCCCGGCAGCACGCAATCCAGAAGTGACCGAAAGAAGCGCTTTTTGATTTCGAATTCGAACTAGGCCCTCGGGGCGCGTCTAATCAGTTTAAGCCCATGCGTTTCGAGCCCTACCAAACGAAACAATTGCGCGGCGTGTGCGGGAGGATGGGCCAGATCAGGTTTCAGTCCAAAACCGACTTTATTCAAATAGACGAATTTAGAGCCGGAGGGTGTGTACCACCCCTACCTGAAAGGCTTTATTGAATTACCTTAGAAAGAATATTGTTTTTGCCAAGACAAGCCCGAAAACAAAGGCGACTCCTTCAATTATCCACCGTAATGAACACAAAAACATTACTATTTCGAGCAGACGGTAATCAAATATCGTCTCATAAAAGCAAGTTCCACACATTGATGACAAACATGTTCATATAACTACAAGACTATAATAAAATAAAACCATGTCGTACCCATTTAAACACACTTTAGTTGCTAATTTTGCTAAAACTAAAAGTGCCAAACATCCACCAAGAAATATAGCCCTTAGGAAACAGGTCAGTGCCTTTGTCCTTCCAGCCTATGTCACATTAAACTGAAAATGCATTAATGGGACTCCGAAAAATAAAAAAAAGGATAAAACGGACCGCGCAGGCGTTTTCGATTCCCAAAAACGAAAAGAGGGATGCCAAGATGTCCCCAGGGCACAATGCTCGGTTCCTGTATGATCCATCACCCGCCTGACACAAGATATGTTCAGCATGTTACCATCGCCATAAACATATTAGCTCAAGTCGCGGTTTAGCCAATTAGCCGGCTTCGAATAAATGCGGAGCCAACAATCAGAGCCCCGAAACTCAAATTGGATTAAAACAAAACAGATGACAAACTTTGGTTTATGCAAATATATACAAATTAAGTGTGATTTCTCAAGAATTCCATAAAATCGCGGCCGACCGACGAAGCCGTTCGAGAAACTTCCTTAAAGAACTCTGTGTCCTTAACTTCTTCCACCTTCTTCAACAAGAGCTGGTACAAATGTTTGAGGTACTTCTTGGCACTCTCGACCTTCTGCATGGCTACACATTGTATATCACAGTCATCCTAAAGTACAAATCAGTAGTAACGAAGCTTTTGACTTAGTAATTAAAACAAAAAGAGAGCTAATTTTTTACAATAAAAAAGATTACCAAACTTTAATTTAGATATTATAGCTTTGTTCTGTAAAAGTTAAATGGAGCTTACAGTAGGTACAGTAGTTTCGTCCACGTAAGTCTTTTCTTCATCTCCTTCACAAGCCAAGATGTGTATCTTATTGTAGTTTGGGATAATAGAAGTGTCAAAGTTCTTGTTGCCACATACATCAATACCCTATAATGCCAATAATAACTCACATATCTTACTAAGCTGCAAACATAGCTGTATAACCTAAGTAACAAAAAACTCACTAGTAAGTCTGGGTACTTCTGAAGAATCTCTTCTTCTGGCGGCAAAGTCTTCAGATCATTTCGAGTAATTCCGATGGCCACGAAACCCCTAAGGCGCTTTTCTGGCATGGGCAATTCAGTTCTAGAGGCATTATTGTGACAACTCACAACCTCTTGGTCCGTATCACACACACAACTTCCATCAGCGCACTTGAACGTGGAGGCTGAGAGGGCGATAATAAAGGTGGACAACAATATCAAGTTTAACAAATACATCGCAAAGATGAAAAAGACCTGAAAAGTGAGATTTTATATAGCTTCTAGAGACAACTGCCGCTTTGTGACCTCTTGGTCCATCACTCAATGCGTTTACTCAAGTAAACGATGATTCACCTCCACCAAAAAACATAAAACAACCTTTTAATTTCAAAAATTTGAAAAGTTCTCTTCGATGGGCGACAAAATTAGATATAATCAGCCAAACCTACATCACTTATACAACATTACTGCAGTCACTGAAAAACACTAATTCAAAATCATCTTTTAACATTTTATAAATTCCGGATTATTAAAAACTTACAGTGAGAAAGTGAGTTGAAGAATAAAATAAGAATATAAAGTTATTTGTGTATGTAACAATGCAAACTAGAACAGAAAGATCTACAATTTTTAATACAGGTTTAAAAATAGTTGTAAGTAAAATAATTCTATTAGCTTTGTAAAAAATTGTTTTTCTATAATTTCTCGCGCAGGCATCAGCTTGACAAAGGTATAAAAGTGTTTGGCGGCCTGCACGAAACTCGGACGCAAGTTGCGTAGAAATATTTATCAAAAATTAAATTTGCGAAATTTTGTAAACTTTTTACGGTTTATTCTGGATGCATGGGATAAAACATAAATGATTAGTAATGCTCAATAGTAATGTCTTACTACGTACTAGACAGTGTTTTTGTGTGAACTTTGCGAGACCTTTAAGCATAACTACTTTACATAGCAGTAAAAATGTAAGTGTACCTAATATCTTCAAAATTATTTTTTAGCGAAATTATCGGCAGAAGTTCAAAGTGCCAAGTGCCTTCAAAAAGGTGCCTATAGTTAACAAGACAGTGGAGGACTTGGTATCACCGGTGGAAGTTAGAGTACGGCAGACGTCAAGCCGGGTGTCTAACTTTGAAAAAGAAGCAGGAATAAAGCGTCAGGATGTATCATCTATTCTCGATAAGTTTTGTCGTCGAGCAGAAGTCAGGGAGCAAGCAGGCGTTAACGGCATTAACGACAAGTTGTTCATGAGGTGTTTTTCGGTGTTTAGAGACAGATGTCTAGACCCTACTCAACGTGGTCCAGCTTTAGAAGTACTTTTAAACGACATAAAAGACCATGGCCACAGTGTAGATCTGTTGTTTCCTCAATTCTTGGAACATTCAAAACGGGTTTTTCCTCATTTGGAAGCATTAGAAGAACTTAAGCACATCTCTGACCTAACTCAGCCTCACACTTGGTACGAAGGAACCAGGTCTATTTACAGGAAAATTATTTTTCATGCAGGTGAGGGTTGTCTTACTTTTATATTTTTGTGAATTTAGGTCCAACGAATAGTGGGAAGACTTACAATGCTTTAAAAGCGTTCCGTGAGGCTGATACTGCAGTTTACTGTGGTCCTCTAAGGTTATTGGCAACTGAGGTATTCAGAAAGAGCAACGAACTTGGAGTAGATTGTGATTTGGCTACAGGAGATGACAGACAGTTTGCCAATAGTAACCACGAGCCAGCGAAGCATTTATCTTGTACGGTGGAGATGTTGTCACTTGATATGCAGGTTGATGTTGCTGTTATCGATGAGATTCAGATGCTGAGAGATGACCAACGAGGTTGGGCATGGACACGAGCTCTGCTGGGTGTATGTGCTAAGGAAGTTCATGTTTGCGGAGAACCAGCTGCTTTGGACATTGTTTGTAAAGTCTTGGATCCTATTGGAGAGCATGTAGATGTTAGGACTTACGAGAGGAAGTCTCCATATTATGTTAGTAACCATGCTTTGAAGACTATAGAGAATGTACAGGTAATTTACTATTAAAAATAGATTTTTTTACTTTTTACAGATTATGAGATTGTAACCTGTTTCCAATAGTATTATATATTATAATGAAATATTTATAGGATGGAGATTGCATCGTATGTTTTAGCCGGAAGAATATCTTGGCCGTGACTAGACAATTAGAACGCCGAAGTATCCCATGTGCTGTTATCTATGGGGCTATGCCGCCTCAAACAAAACTAGACCAGGCTGCTCGATTTAATGATCCTGATGATGGAACAAATGTTTTAGTAGCTACAGACGCCATTGGAATGGGATTGAATTTGAACATCAAAAGGATAATATTCTTTTCTCTGAGTAAGGGCATTTTACTGATACCTAATTACCACGCCCTTCAAATCGCTGGACGGGCTGGCAGATACGGTACTCAATATGCAGTTGGAAAAGTGACAACTTTCTTTGAGAGGGATTTGGGATTACTGAAGGACGTTTTGGACCAGCCGGTTATTCCTATTCAGCAAGTGGGTATTGCACCAACTTTCGAGCAGTTCGAGTTGTTTGCTTATCACTTGCCAAAGGCGTCGTTCGTCAACCTTCTGGATATTTTTGTGTCTTTATGTTTGGTGAGTTTTGTGTTTAATGTGTCGTACAGTTTTTAAATTTTGAAATTATGTAAGGTTTTTAGGTCAGTGATGATTACTTTTTGTGTAACACAGAAGATATCCGCGAACTGGCTGTCTTGATTGATAACATACCTCTTGAACTCGCTGTTCGATTTAACTTTTGTAAGGTTCCTTTGAAGGTCAAGGGTCCTTTGGGTACATATTTCCAGAAGATGGCTCGACGATATTCATCTGGATTTCCTTTGACAGAAGATTGGATGGCACAGATGATCGAGTGGCCTGCTAAGCCTGCCGAAACTCTGAATGACATTTTATCGTTGGAATACATGTACGAAATCTTGACGGCTTACGTATGGCTTGGTTTGAGATACGAGGTAAATTGTTGGATAGGTGTATTTTCATAAAATGCTTTGATTTTTTAAGACATAAGTGTATTAATTTTATTGTAAAGCTTTTTTTGAGTAAACTTAAAATAATTATTTTAGCACATGTTCCCTGACGTGGATGTAGTGAAGCAGTGGTCGACAGAAGTGGCTGATCTCATTGGAGACGGAATACAACGGCTGATATCTTGTCAACCCGAGAAGCAGAGTCGGGTTACTTCAGAAGAGTTTCCAGACGACGATTCGTGATTATAATAGGTTTGTTGATTTGTTTGTTATAAAGATTTATGCGGTATCTTTATGCGATACATTAACTTTAATATTACTTTTTTTTTAAAGTTTATTTAAACTATCTGCAAGGTACTTACTCAAGGTCAAGTTAGTTGTTTATTTAAATACACAGGAGTCGAAGCAATGCTTAAGAGATTAGTATGTAAGCGAATCAGTTTCCTTTTACTAAAGCGATGAGGCCTTCTTTGTAAGACCCCGAGCAGTCGCCAGAAATGGCACTTTCCAGTGATTTTCCGTAGATTCTCTGGTATTCGTTGCGGATGTCGGCAAGGTCGATCTCCGATCGGGTGACGATGATTCTGATCAGATCACCGTCACGGGTTCCCAATCCCTTCATCGAGTTGTACAACAACTCGGCGAAGTAGCCTGGTCTGTTTCTGATGGATTTGATCACCGCCTGTAAGTAATCATAAATAAGCACAAATTAAGTAACCAATGTTTGAAAAGTTTCGTTTAATCTTAACTTTATTGCTGTCGGTTAGAAAAGCATTGTTTTTTTGAAAATTTCTAAAAATACAAAGTCTAACTAACTTAAAACCCACCTCGAGGCCGTCCTTAATGTCGCCACTGAATTCAGAAGCAATGGCTTGCTCAATGGAGTGTCCGCAAGTCTTCTGGTACTCATCGAACACGATTCTCAATTGAGCAAAGTTCTGCGAAGCCAAGATGGCGTTGAAGCAGGATTCGTCAGTTCCCAGTCTTTGTTCTCCAGCCTTGTAGAGCTTGCGAGCATCTTGGTTGGCTCTCAGAGGGTCGGTCTGATTACTCTCGTCTCTGGCTCCTGTACATAACGACACCAAGAGTCGCTTGAAGTGGCCAGATGTCTCTCCGATCAGATCTTTTTCGAGGTCCTTCCCATAGACTTGTTGGTATACTTGACGTAGTTGATGGATCTGGGCGTTGTTTCTGGTGGTCATGATCTCAATCAGAACAGATTCACGGGTTCCAATTCCCTAAAAGATTAAAATTTATAACATATTCTGAAGGTCTATTATAGTTCTAAAAATTTTAGGTTTGAAATTAGAAATACTTACGGCCATGGCTTTGTGGAGCTGGTCAGCGTCGTACTTAACAGGGTTTTCCATAAGAGCAAGGATCAGATTCTCGAAGTCTCCACTGAGTTCAGACTTGAGTTCGTTGATCAGGTCTTTTCCATAAAGCTGCTTGAAGGCCAGGCCGATTTGTTGTCGCTGAGCGCTGGAACGGGCACACAAGACTTGGATCACCTTGTCCTTGTTACAGCCCAATCCTTTCATGGCCTTTCTCAAGGTTTCAGCGTCGTGCTGGGGATTGGCATTGGGGTCAGCTCTGATGGAGGGATTGGAGTACATAATTGGAGCTGAAAACGGTATTTTAGGTATTCAATTTTATGTAATATTGTAATAAATAAGCGATAAAACAGTAAATGTTAAAATAAGCGATTTGAATAACGAGAAAACGAAAACAGAATGCTAAATAAGTGGAATCGGGAGGTAAACAAGAGTCGAACGGAACTCTGAATCACTTTTTTGGGAATGGGAAGGAGGACTAAGGGATGAGCTGAGTCATCACGATCGTCTCTAAGTCTCTCCCCCAACTTAACATGATGCTATCAAATGTGTAAAGTAGTTTCCGTGAAAGTTTGATGATGTGAAAGGGGTGGGGCGCGGGCTTCAAGGGAAAACAAATTTTAAACTCAAGGACTTCGCCCGAAAATAGAAATGTTTTTGATGTTCAAGCAAATGCAAAGGTTGGAGTATACAAACATTCCCCTCTCTACAGAAAGCATGCTTAACACCCATGAAACGATGTGTCACGTTTCATGTTTACATAGCTATACATGAATTATTTTATACCTAAAATGTTGTTAAAACGGAAAATGTTAAAAATATTTTTTAAAATTGTTATCAAAATTTAAAAGATGTAAAAAAGTAAAAGTTACCGGAACTATTGTGAGGAGCAGGGTAAGTGATATGGACAGAGTCAGAGGCGTAAGTTTGATGAGCGCCAGAAGGTTGGTAAGACTGGTAGGCACCAGGAGGCTGCTGGTAATTTGGATAAGCATTAGAAGATGGATAGTGCTGGTTCGAGGGGTATACTGTATTCTGAGAAGGATTGTTTTGGCCTGGATACCCTGGATTTGATGGGTAAGATGATGATGGCGGGTAACCTTGGCCTGACTGTGGGTATCCGGTATTAGATGACGGATAACCTGGATTGGAGAAGAGATATCCAGACCCAGAGGAGGGGCAAGCATTGCCTGAAGGGTAACCTGGTGCAGAGGAAGGGTTCCCTGACGCTACAAAGCCGATTTGATTGCCATTACCTTGAGGTTGGTTGAAGCCATATCCTGAGCTGGGTGGGTAAGGCGTGTTAGAAGAAGGAGGGTAGCCACCTTGGGAAGACTGGTTTGGATACTGACTCTGCTGTTGGTTGTAGCCGCCTTGGTTGTAGGGTTGGTTATCTAAAAATAAAAGATTGAGCCCAGTTAAAAGTCTCTTCTGTTTTTTGAAAAACATACTTCGAAATAATGTTTAGATTTTAAAATGTAAATGGCAGAAATGTGTTACCTTGAGATTAAAATAAACTTACAGTTGGGATACATGGCTGTCTCAGATGTGTTCCCTTTAGTTTTATCAGGTTTTTTCTCTGTGAAACGCTCCTTCAACTCGCTCTTAGCGACTTTCTGAAAACAAACATAACATAACTAAAAACAACTCGTAATCATACCATGAATTCTTTTGCGAGGAACGACATTGGAAGTAAACTTTTTGCACGATACACCTTATGAAACGAGGTTTCTAACCCTTTTTATATAAAATAGCTCCCGCGACATGATGAGTCACCAGTTCTAAAGGTCCTCCCTCAAGAAATCAGTGTTAAGATGGACTTGTTTATCTGACTCAGCCCAACTTTAACATCACTTGAACCCACGCCTTGCTTATTTACAGATAACCTGAGTGACGACAACAGATCTGCAAGCTCTTTTCTGTCTAATCGGGAGCGTTTCGAAAGGTTTTGCGTGTTTTATGATTAATGTGATGACGCAGGAAACTATTACAATCTATTCTTGTAGGCCTATGTTATTTTTGGCATTAGTAATACGTAGGGAATCTTATCATTAGTAATATAACAAGATTGTACGTGTAACCAAGATGTTTTATTGTTTTGTAAAGAGATTATGTAGAATTTGAAGCACATTTTGAATACAATAGTTAACAATAACAGCTTTGTGAATACCCAAAAAGAGTTATAATAGGTCAGCCATAAAGTTGATGTGCACTTTATTGAAATCGAATAACAGAAAAGGTAATTGACCTGTCACTTCTTCTTTTATAAGGCTTGTTTGTATAAGGTTGCATGTTTAAGTCGATTTATCAAATGTTGTGAATGCTTAACTTCTTCGTTATAAATAAATTATTTTTAAAAATTTGTGATAAGTTTTAATTATTTTGTACAAAATCGTCACCATGAATAAACATACATTAACGTTATTATGCATTTCAATCTATAATAACATTTCGAAATTCCTGTTCAAATAATAACGTCCAAACAACAACAACACCCATATGTTATCATACATTTATTATAAACATTCTTGCATAATATTGTCATTAGAAAGGAGACCATTCGAGAGAGAAAGACTTGACTCTGGCAATGTTTCTGTTAGTGGAAGGGTAAGATTAGCATCGTATCACATGAATCACTTCGTTCGGTCGTATGTTCAGTTCGTACAGGGTCATATTGGCAGTCGACCGGCTGATTTCCAATTCACAGTGGGGATTCTGAAGCAGAAGTTTGTGGTCCAGAAGCGACAGACCTTGATGTGTCATCACATCGTAGATCGGCTGAAATTGAAAAAAAATCAATTATTTTCAAAATTATTAGTATATTATTCATACACTTTGGAAATATTGAGAAAGATCACAATGTTTTATGCTACATATGTTACAGTAATAACATTATATTAATAAAGGCAATGCAATTTGACGTTAAAACATGTTTATTAATAGATTGTAATGCTCTGCTAAGTAACTTAAAACCTTGATAATTAATACCTTGTCTCGAAAACAAAAAGAAAAGAGACAGAATGTGATTGATTCAGAAGTAAACAGTTCATATGGATAATCAAGATAGTAACTAACTACAATAAAGCAACTTGAAATACCAAAAGTACATTTAAAAAAAATCACTCACCCTAATAGTCTGATTTTCGAAGAGAGAGAACCTGATGATGTCATCGGTCGGTAGCCTCAGATACAATGGCACTTTGACGGTGGGCTCCAGATGCTCCTGTTGGTTCCATAGAGACTCAGGGGTGAGCAACTTCATCGCTGCAATTATGAAATAATTATAGGAACGAAGAAAGTTTAAATACGACAGATCGACGCCTTGAGGGGATTATAAGAGTGCAAATAGAAGATTGAATGGGATCGGCTGAGAGAAACGCCCTGGAGTTGCACTAAAAGTGCACAAACAGTCGTAGTAGTGGTCACTTTGAATGGAATCAGGTCACTCAACCTACGACCACTACTCTGACCGTACTCACGTTGCACTTTGAAGGAAATTGGCCTTCACGTTCAAGTTTTATATAAGAATGTCCTTTAAAGAAAGACACTTTTAATTGTATTCGATTACGGTACAGCGATACTGTAGTCACAAGTACATTAATTCTACTTTATTTACAAGTACATTAACTCTAACAGTTGAAAATTAACATTTAAAACTACAAAAAAAAAAGTCTGAAATTAAATTTAAAAGCTTAATAAGGGTAGATTAAGGGCAGGGTAGATAACTTTCATTTCAGTGAAGCAGATATAATCGTATAAAGTCACTAAAGTAAGTATATATTTTATGTCTGATATGAAAGTACTAAGAAAGTACGTATACACGTACTCTCTTGGAAGGACATGGGAGCGAATTGCTGCAAGTACTCGTAATGTAGTTTAAAAAGTGTAAAAGTTTAAAAAGTAAATCAAAATGTGTAGGATTACTCGTTTCCGAATATTTAACCGTGGAGTAAAATGTCATCTAACCGTTTTATTTGCGTTGTGTAAAGATCTTGAATAAAAGTTAGCTAGTGTGACATAGTAAGTTTAGAGAATAATTTTTTGGAAGAATTAATTGATAAAGCGATATAAAAGACAACAAATTTAAAAATAATATTACTTCTTGACCAGAGTAATACAACTTAAATCACCATTTTCAGTACTGTAAGCGTTTTACATTCAAATTACTCAATGTAAAGCAAAGTCGTATTTAATATTCTTAAAAATTAAAAGGTGATAAAAGGTAATTTAATTTGAAAACTTCCTCAAAGATTAAAAGGTAATAAAGAGTCAGAAGCAAATTGAAACAATGATAATATGTCACGGCACGTAAACCGTAATTGGATGAAAACGGCTCTAGAAACATTCGTAGGCCTCGGCTCGTAAAGTAGAAACAAAAAATAAAAAAAACTGCCTTCTTTTTGGAACCGGCTTCGACCGAATGCACTTTGGCGAATCTGCACTTTTCTCTCACTCTGATGTAGGCGACAGAAACGTCCTGAGAAAGTGCATCTGCTTTTTTGCACTTTAATGTTTTGTCATTCGTATTAAAGAGGATTAACAAGTTTTTTACAATCTTTTTCAAAGCAGGTTAACAAACACATGTAAAGTAGTGCTGGTCAGTACGAAGTACAGTTACCGACGTTCGACAGTTTGTTACTTTTGTGAAGGTTGGATAATTTTAATTTCAAATCTGATACAAAATAAAGATTTTAAATAGTGAGTAAATTCATTTTTTAAGTCTTGTAAATTAATTTTGTTAACCGCGACCAAAGGTAAGTCAAAAACTATTCTTTAGAATGGAATGACTATGCACTTTTTGCCCAAAGACGTGAAACACTGTGATAACACTTAACTAAAATCATAAAATCATTTTCGTTAACCACAAACCCACATTTATTAAAAGCCATAAAATCAAACAATTACAAAATACATAAACCGACTTAAAACAAGCAAATGTGGTAGCTGAATGCATTAAGAGCACTTTAAAACATTTTACAACACCTAACGTCGTAAAACTTGCACTTTCAGATGTACTAACTTTAATTAGATTGAATAAATCTATTTATTATACATTTCCTATTAAATACATTACACAATTATTGCCAGTATTATAGCGACTGAAAGGAGGAGAGATTGAGATCGAGAGTAAGAGTATGACCCGCTATCCAAATGAGCGTAGTTTCTGTCCGGAGGGCTAAATTCCGAATCCTCATTGATTTCGAATGAGATCGCAGGATTCGAATCCGCGCCTTCAAGCGCATGTTCTTGTAGCACAGTATTGCCGCCTTCGAATTGAGGTACCACTACGGGAGGTATCGTAGTCGGCTTCAGATGCTGAAGCTGTTCAAGTTCCAACTCCTTCTCGGCTTCCAGTTTCTTGGATTCGCCGTTAAACACGCACGCTGGCATCAATGTCCTCGTCGTATCTTTCAACACTCGGAAGATAACATGCCACGCTTCGACGCCGCAATTCAGCCAAATATGTTGGCGGACACACGCTGAGAAGTAGTTCAAGGCACTGAAACAAATAATTACTGTCACATTCTATAGCAGAAAAAAACACTGATGTATTTTGTTTGAAAACGTGCTTTAGTAAAGCTTAAATACGGTATATTTTGTACTCATACTGTACCAATTTGGCCTACTATATAAAGTATAAAGACATATTAATGTACCGTGCAAGATCAAACGATTTGATGAAAGTTTTAAACCTTTTTAAAGCCAAGTTAATATATTAATATGTAGCAGACAAATCACTCACCCGCACATGTATTCCAACTTAACGTCCATCCGGATGTTTGACTTTGAATTGGCATTTTCAATTTCCTTCAACGTTTCATCGTGACATCGCTTAACCGGGGCTTGCTGATCCAAAGCCATTAAACATTCCGCGCTACTCATAAAAGCTATAAAAAGTTGTCATAACACATAAAATAAGATCTGTAATAACATCTCTAACATTTTACAAATTTCAAAAATATAAATATTAATCAAAAATAATTGCAATACATCATCAAGATAATTACTTGTAAGTGAAACCATCTTTTACACTGATATAACCAAAAATATTACAACTTACTTTCGTATCCTTCATTGCATAGAAATCCATAGGATGCTTCTATTAGGTTGATAGTAATATGTTTCGGGCATGGCTCTCTGTAGTCGGCTACACACACCTCGAAGTCTCTGATTAATCTACATAGTTCCCTGAATACTTGACCTCCCAACTTTGGCAGCTGGAGAGCGTTAAACTGAGGTTCTGATGTCGAGTTGTCCTAAAATATATTTCAAATGTCATAAAAATGTAAATTCATACTTAAAATTGCCATTTTAAGTAAAAAATTTTAAAAAGTTCAAAATATCATATCCAACGTTCACAAAACTTGTTTGCTTAAGAAGTGCATCTATCAAGTCGTATATTAAAGTACTTACATGTTTGTTCAATACTTTTGAGTACTCGGCAACCGGCTGCACACAGAATTGGATCTTGTCGTTGGCATGGTCGGGACAACGACCTTGACAGCATGAGAACAATAACACCAGAACAATTACTACAATAAAAGCGTGATTTATGTCGACCTTTCGCCTACCTGGAATGATGGGCATTCTTTAATTAAAACAATTTGAGGCGCAGTTCGCGCCCGATTCTGGATGAGTGGCCAATCTTGGAATCGTGGAGGCTAAAATAAGGTCAATTACCGTTTTATGACAAACCTCATCGGTTTATAAGTTTTCCACGGCAAGTTTTTTAAAATTAGTTTGAAAAATTGTTTGTACAAAACATTTTAGGTATTTATAAAGCATAAACAATACAAAAAGCAATAAACTGAAACAAAGCGCCCCTTAAATGCTGATTTGTATCATAAACACAAAATTCGAATGAACGACATCTGTGCCGCCAATGTAAACATTAATGCACGTAGAACAGGTCAAATATGGCACACGTCCGCAGGTGTGACCATCTCGAGTTACTGGCAAGCAATTAACAAACGGCCCTTTGACAACACGCAATCTTGAAATCTGCTCGAGATCCGACGCAAATTATATTATTATAGACACTTGAAGACGGTCCAAAAGTATGGGGATTACTTGACGCAATTTCTAATCTTCTCCTTCCAAATAAAAGTACATTTCAGAACAGAAGGTAAAGAAAACACACATTCCGAAGACGTATTAAAGAGTTTGGCGGTAATTAGAGCCGGAATTAATAAAACGTTTCCGGCCACCCAGCAGCGCCAGAAACAAAAGTTTTAGAGCCCCATAAAGACATTCATAACGAGACAACTACCAATTTGGGAGTTTCGCATATCCGCGCATGATTGACAACCGAATGGGACGAGTCTGTCACAGACCACCCTATAATCATCCCAAAAAGGTATCTATTATGATCAGCGCATAATGACGTTTTAATAAGCAGCGTAACACACACAAGCAACACGCGTAATTAAGACATCTAATTAAGAAGATCAAAATCCAAGTTCAAATATGTTCTTATCTATGATTTATGAAATACATCTATCAAAAACCATTCCAAGAATTGGAAATTAAATAAAAAAACATCTAGAGGATCGTACAACATAGCGTGATAGGCATCTTCAGAAAGAAGACTCATAATGCGAAAAAAATACTAGACCGGAATGTGGCAACGCCTCTCTCGGCCGCAACGGAAACAATTTGAATAATTCGCACAAGCATGGACATTGTGTTTGGCTTAATAGCCCGTGCATGATGTGGTACCTGGGTAATTGATCTGGAAGATGGAGTGCACGGCCAAGTGGGTGCCACTCGAGATACGACGACAGCATGAGACGAGTTAAAGGGACGAAGAGTCAGGAAGATACGACAAGCTTAAAGATGCGACAAGCTTAAGGATACGACAAGCTTAAATATACGACAAGCATAATTATAAGAAGAGCTTCAAAGACATCTCTCGAGATACGACAACAAGAAGCCACCTCAATCTGAGTCGAAAACAGCGGTCATTGCCGACTTCAGAACCCGCCTCAACTCTTCACGCGACATCTCTCCATGGCCCTTTCATGCCGATTATCTCAAATGCCTAATGAATAATTAAAGGGATTTGTAATCGACCACAATTCACTCAAGAGCACTTAAGACGACGTTTCAAGGTAACTACTGTAAATAGGAGATCGAGAAAAATACCTTTGAATTTGATACCACAAAAAAGTTGTTTTTTCAAAATTAAACTATTCCAAAGATTTATTTACAAGAAAATTATTTTATTAAAAAACTAAAGGATGCCCCCCTTTATATTGTCAATACCAAACAAATCAATTATTGAGCCAACCTCTGCAACCTCAAAAAACAAACGCAATTAAAAGATAAGATAACTTGAAATCCGAACCCCACTAAAACAACCGAGCATTAGCAACACTAACAAAACGACAGGTGAATATGCAAATGGTCGACTGGTGATGAATGTCCTGTTCAAAGCGAACAGAAGGTGGAAATGCGCGAGGAAAGGTGAACGAGATTCCCGAAAGTCAAATTATAATAATAGCGGCGGGAGGCGGCGTTGCCAAGAAATTATTAATGAGAAAATTGGGGGGTACAGCCTCCGGAGCAACACAATGGACGACACCTACCTCAATCACAGCGCGCTTTAATTGCCGGTCATTGGAAATCCTTTTAAGACTGCTTGTCTACCATATTTCATACCTATTCGAATAGATACGGTTGCCGGAAGTGATCGGAAGACATAACATTTAGTACCATAACCAAATTGCCCGTAAATACGAAACAAAAACTTGACCGCTTCCCCTTCGCAGCTCCAAAAACTCTTAGATCAAACAGAGATAGAGCAACATAGAGCATCAGAAGAAACAATTATCGATATCAAATGATAGATGCCTGTGCCGCGCAATGCCGAAACTCAAATGACTGGGAACAGTCTCATCTCCCAACATTTTCACAAAATCACCCTCCGGGGACGCTTTTGGGCTTTATTTTGTTTCAACCCAAAGATTTACGGCCTGTCCCCCACCCCCAGAACGCTTAAAAGTACTTTGGCCAAGCGAACAGTAAATTACAAAGTGGCATCGTAAAATTCATGAACTGTCCCAAAGTTTAAACTCAAGTTCGATGAAATCTAAATTTTAGTCTTTAAAATTTCACATTTTAAACCAAAAGCTAACACATAACAAGACGCATGACTTGCTGTAATTTGTCTTTTGACCCAAACCGACATGTAATTTGATCATTTTATTAAAAAGACTATTTTAATATCTTAAGTATAATATTACCATCATACCAAAAAAAAACCGACAATGTCTCTGTCGAAAAAGTTATAATAATTACAAGAAGCTCCAAGAACCAAAGCTATCTTCATCAAATGACATTTCAACTAAAAATATTTTACAACTTTTTAACAAAATAAACAAAAATCTGGGAAGAACACACCACCTTAAAGTGTTGACAAACATATGCCATAACAAACGGACAGCCACATTTACTGACACTTTCAGATAGATTTGCTTTTTCATTGTGATATTTGTATTCATGTAAACAAGTTATTAAACAAATGCCTTCCTGGTAACATTCGTCTTCTAATGTAACACCATCTTTTGTGTTTTTTGACTAACAAGGAAAGTACCCTACCTGCCCCGCTCAAAATCAGCTCAAAATTTTTATATGAATTCATTGTACCACCAATAGTACCCATGAAAAATTTTAGCTCGCGCTCTTGAGTTTTAAATTTAAATTATTTGGGTTTCCCGCCAATTTGGCAAATTTGGCATTGTGTTTCAAGCACTTTTTTCGGCTTTCCAGATAAGATACGCTTACAAATTTAAAAATGTAGGTTCATTTAAAGGTTATCTACTAGTATATTCAGTTTTTTGCCGGACCGGATCCGGTCCGGTCCGGATTTTTAAAAATTACAAAATTAAAAATAACTTTTTAGCTTATGGTTTGAAGTTTTAAAAAATAAATAACTTTTGTGAAGGTCCGTCTCGGTCCGGCCGGTCCAAATGTTTAGCGAGGAACTTGTATGAGACGGACCTTCAAAAAAATTATTTAGTTTTTAAAACTTCAAACCATAAGCTTAAAAGTTATGTTCAATCTTGCAATTTTTGAAAATCCGGACCGGACCCGGTCCGGCAAAACACTGAGTATATTAAAGAAAAATAATTAACAGTCAAAAAATGACAAAGTTACAAGCTTGAAACACAATGCCAAGTTGGCGGGAAATTCAAGATATCATTTTTCAATCTCGATTTTCTCGAGATTTCCGGGAAAGCGCGATTTAGTACTTTGCTGAAGATCTTATATTTACATGATCTTTCTATATAAAAAGTTTGCAGTCAATCAGAGCGGGGCAGGTCGGGCACTTTCCTTGTAAATATTTAGAGATTTAGCTGTCAATTCGCCCTTATTATTTATTCTTTCAGATGGCACAAACATTAGTGTAAACAGTATATCCTTAGAAACAATTAGTTGAATGGTACCATTCAAAAAGATGAACTCGGTCATAGAAAAACTTTATCCTCTAGGAAAAATAAATTTATCGTAACAAAATTTTGTTTTAAAATTTTAAAAAAACACTTACATGTTTTTTGTCCCACCACGAATACATGTTTGGCTTTCTATTTTATTAAAAGATTTTTTGATCTGGCCATATTTTTATGACAAGTTTTACAAAAGTCGATTTTCGTATGGATTGACATGAACAAACCGTTTCTTGTCTTTATCTTTTTGTTGTCTACAATTTACGGCTTGTATGAGGAGTTTGTTGAAATCGACAGAGTAAAGTTAAATCTTGTTAATACAGCTTTGAGATTCAAATTCGAAGGAAGTGTGAAAAATTCAGCTTTGTATCTGAACCCATTGTATCAGTTAGCAGCAGACAATCATGTGGTACATCTAGAATTGTCGACTTCTCAAGGGTTTTGGAGGTCGGATCTGTTTGGACCTGCCAAGTATTCTAACTTTGTCAGTGGAGTTCAGATAATAGCGTCGTTTGAAGATGGTTATGAGTAAGAAGACGTTGGTTTTGTTATTTGTGTTTTAGAAGTAATTTTCATTGGAAGCGATTGGTGTCACAGCTGAATGGGTTGTTGTGTACAGCAGTGTTATCTATTGGTGGTGTTCTTCATGCAAAACCAACATTATCCACTCAATATTGGAGTCGTAACCAGTCTAACTTGTTCTACGGAGCTTTTACAGGAGATGGAATTTGTACAGAGAATATTGATTCGTTCAAGAAATTGCTGCCGTGTCAAAATGTATGTATAATATTGACTTATTCAATACTTTACTGAATGAAAACAAGTACACAGAAGTTATAAGTAAAATTTATTTATCAAGTGTGATTTTAGAGTGGATTTACAAGACTGTTAGGCTCTCCGAAATACCTTTATGAAACAAAGTTCACAACCGCAGGTATATCAGTTGACAGAATAGATGGCAATTGGCATGGAGAAGTTTTATTTTCCTTCTTAATGCCGATTGGGGGACGAGGTAAGCACTTGTGTACTAAATGTGTATTATCTGTGTCTAAAACAAAATCTGTAATTAATTTTAGGTACTAAGTTCAGCTCTATATTTGGATCGACCTTGTCTTCTACTTGTCCCGTTGCTGACAATAGCTATATCACAGTAGATGGAGAGTCTAAGAGTGTTAAAAACAATGAATTAAATGCCACTAACAGGGATTGGAATGTAAAGTTTGGTCAAGTGTCATCAAAAGAAGCTGACCTTCGGTTCTTTTCGTTTACAAGGTACAAAAACTTGTTATCTGGTAGCTTTTGTTCCGTAGTAAAAAGTAAGACCGACAAGAAGGTGTTGTACACGCATCTGATCCCATGGGAGATCAGCGTATGGTTCAGTTCTATCAGCGTAAAGTGCGGTAATCAGGTAAGCAGCATAAAAGATAATGAGCAAATTGCCCGCAATTTAATCTTGATTCTAAATTTACGTTGCAATAAATCGATTTTTCAGGCCATCGACGCCAAGATACGATCAACCCCTGCTGTACTACGAAAGTCTCCCACCCTAATTGAGATTGAATTCGAAGTGAAAGCCCACCTGAATTGTCAAGTTTCGTTCGAATTTGAAAAGTCATTCCTTTATGCAAATGAATATCCGCCTGATTCAAACCACGGAATTACAGTATCCGGAGCTGTGTTAACCCTAACTGACTCTCCTTCTACAAGATACTACGCTGAGCCAACTGTAATTACATTACCCTCTCCTGATGTTACTATGCCTTACAATGTGGTCTGCTTCATTGGCACGTTCGGAGCGTTGATCTTCCAAATAGTATTCACTTTTACTACGCAATAGTAAGTTAGTATGACAGAAGTTTAATACCTATTTTAGTCAAACAATCATAAAGCCGGGTCCATCACGTATCAGGAAGCTCATTGGCAGGATAAAAGAAACGATTAATAAGGCCATAAAATCTTAATTTATTTGAAAGTAAAGTCATGTATAATGTTTACCGAAGCTGCAAAGATCTCTTGCCTCTGTCATCGCCTGTCGTGTTCGTACCTAAAATAATATAAGTTAATTTTTCACACAACTTTTTAGTTAAAAATGCTTATAAACGTACCATCTGCCTTGAACACAGTAGATATGCCGCTATCCACAACCTCTTCGCCATGTGCTATCTTCTGTACCACAGTATCCAGATCGTTTATTGATACTACAGGATCGTCAGTTTCGTTTTCGTCGTTCTCTTCATTAGAACCCCAATCAATCTGAACATTGTCGTTATCTCGGAAACGGTATCTGAAGCTTCTGTCCCATCTGTCGGACTCACTGAGTTCGTACTTTTCTTTGACGTGCTCCATCAAACGGTCGTCCTCATCCCTTTGAAGCTTCATCATGGTCTTTGCGTTCTGGCCTCGAACTTCATCCAAGTCTACATTGTCCTCATCTCCTGCTTCTTCCAAGTATTCATTTACATCTTCATCATCATCGGCTTCACTTCCTACGTCAGATCCTGACAGCTCAGCTTCGTCTTCCAGGTAATCCCTTTAAATTTAAATTTTAGGTGACAAAAAGGGTAGGATAGATTTTAGGTAACAAATGTTAGAAAAAAACGAAAGATTAACTTTAAAGTCAAGACTTTAACTCACTTTTGAGCCTTCGTCGTCTTTGTCACACTCCCAACATCCACAACATCAGACTCCGTCTCCCACCTCAAGGTATCAACTACGGTCTTTATTTGGACTTCTTCGTCCTGATCCAATAGTAAAACTCTTGAAGTTTGAGTGTCTGACACGTCTTCCACAACGTTATCCTCAAATTGAAAAATGTCATCGTCCAGAACGGGTTTCTTTACTGGAAGTGCATCATCAGAGTCTATTTGAACTCTTCGTTTTCGAGAGCTGAAACCAATATACTAAATTTTCATAAAGTACATAAAGCATTACTTAAAATACACCCTTAATATCTAACTTCCAAATATTCCTCTGTGGTAAAAGCAAAAGTAAAATAAAAAATGACATACAGTTGAGGAGCCTTTATATGATCCAACTTTTCAGTCAGCTTCTCGTAAACCGATGGGGGTTCACGTAAGAATCCGGTCAATTCAAGTAGTACTTGAGCCAAGTCTGTCTCGTCTAACCTGTTGAGAAACTCGTCGTAAATAATTTCCTCGATCATCTCCATCGGCGAGATACTGGCTTTATATTCATCACCAAAGTCTTCTTCTGTCTCTGACTAAAACGAGCAAATTGGACAATATATCAAATGAATCTAAAAAGCACAGCTAATATAATATTTAAAAATTCTTACAAAGTGTTTGTTGCTTGAAACTTCTTCGTTCAGCTTATCACTTGTTCCACTATCATTGACAACATCGATTTCCATATCCGATTCGTCTACATCATCCACATTGACATCTTCAATCTCTTCCACATCCTCGACTTCAATATCTTCTTCATCAGATTCCAAAACATTCTTCTTCTTCCTTATGCTTTTTATAAGTAACTCTTCTTCATCTCCCTCTGATTCTTCAACATCACCTACAGGCGTATCTGAAAGGTCATCAACACTGTCAACTACAGCGTTTTCTTTATAGTCGTCGTCTTTCTCGTCTCCTTTAACTACATTATCAATCCCTCCCACATCCAACTCTTCATCATCAATACCTTCTACGTCAATATAACCATCTTCATCATCTTTATCTTCCACGTTTACATCATCTTCTTCATTATCGCTATCTTCTATGTCGGCATCAGCTTCTACATTAACGTGGCCTTCTTCGTCTTGGTTATCAGCTACATTGTTTTCATCTCCTTCGTACTCTTCACCATATTCTTCCTCGTCATCCACATATTCCTCCTCCTCTTCTTCCTCATCGTCCGACAATTCATTGTCCTCATTAAACTGTTTCCTTCTGATAATTAAACCCCGAGCACGGTCTTCTGCCATTCTCTTAGAATACTCACTCTTTATGCTTCTCCAATCTAAAACACAAAACTTAAATTAACCTCAGTGAACGTACCTTTCCTTGATTCCGACTTGGGCGTCGTGACAGTCTTATTTAGAATTTTGTCAAACTTTGACTGTGATTCATCTATTGGATTATAACAACGTTTAGGTGATTCCAAACATCCTTCAGACAGGTCTACTACAAAATCAGCCGACTGTAACTTTGGGGTAGCCTTAATTCTACTTAAGGCCTTCTCTTTCAACAATTGCAATTTTGTTTTCGGTCTTTCTTCGACAGGAGGCACAGAATCCTCTACATCGGAAGCCGACCGGTCATCTTGTCGAGACTCCTCATCGTCATAATTCTGAAGAGATTCGTCATCATCTTCGCGATAATATTGATTTGAATTTTCTGCGTCTGATTCCTCTTCGTTAACTGATTTCGAATAATGACTATCCATACTCTTTTCCTCACAATCTTGATTTACATCTTCACTATGATCTTCAACTTCCATTTAAAACTAAAACATGTTATCAAATAAAGGTAAAACATAAAAAGTCAGAATACTAATTAATTATTTTTAAACATCAAAACAGTTTTTTGTCCGAAATAGTCAAAAATATTTTTATTTGACGATCAAAAAGAAAAAGCGCGCTCAAAAATGTTTCGTCGTATAACGTGGTATTTTAAATATATTTCTGCGGATTTTTGTTTTCTCGACGGTTTGCTTGGTTTATTGATGTACATAGCTTTATAAGGGCCACTTTGTAAGAATTTCTTTTTGTGTATTGTTGAATTTTATTTTGTTTAAATATGTCAGACAAAGATAAAACAATATCATGGATGTACGAAGGAGCCAAGGCTTCAGTCAATCGAGAAGACTATCTCCTTGGAAAGCGAGTGAGTTTACCTTTTCAGCTTTATATTTTAACATTCGTATTTTCGTTAGATTGACAAGAACTTCGAATTGTACACGGATACGTTAACAAAAGATAAAGAATCGAAGGAGGAGATATTCAAAAAGAAACCGGTTGATGTCGTTGCTCCGCTTCCAGCTCTTGTAGCAAGGACTGAAGATCCCCTTGTTGCCATAAAAGTATGTTTTTGTATCGTTTTTTATTTTAGGTGTTATTGCAATATCTCTATTCTAATTCTGTTAATATGCGTTGTTGCATTTTAGATTAGAGAAGAGACACGAAGACAAGAGTTGTTAAACAATCCTGCTTTTAAAATGAAAGCCAAGCAGATCTTATTGGAGGAGTTCCAAAAGATGCAGAAGAAAAAGGACAAGAAGAGCAAGAAGAAACATAAGAAGCACAAGAAGGAATCTGATCATTCAGATCCAGAAGACGAAAAAAAGCACAGAAGAAAACGAAAGACTAGTGATTCAGATTTAGAAGGTGATTTTAAAAAGCACAAGAAGGAGAAGAACGAACTTAGCACTAGTAGATCAGATGGTAATGAAAGGCACTCTAGAAGGAAACCGGATTCAGAAGATGTGTGTAGAATGAAGGAACGAGAGAAACATATGAAGAAAAGCGAAGAGAGGAGGAGGGATGCTGAGGACAGAAGGAAATACAGACGACGATCTCGGTCAAATGATTCAGATGTTAGGCATAGGAACCGAGATAATGATGGCGAAAGGACGGGTGATAAACGTAGACGAAGCAATGAAGACGATTATCGTAGAGATCGTGTCCGAAGACAGAGGTCACTGGAAAGTTCCAAGAGGACTGATAATACGGTAGGTGTTAGTAAATTATCTTTATATGTTTTTTTATTTTACTAGTTTTGGATGGATAAGCCAACACTATTTTATTATCTAAATTTTGTCGTCTGTTCAGGGGGATCGAAAGTCGAAGGCCGAAGAAATGGAGCGAAGACGACAAGAAATGATGGAGAATGCAAAATGGAAGGACAATGTGAAGAAAGACAATGCTGAGTTTGCCAAAGCTGAATTGCAACGTGAACAAGATGCCCAAGAGCAACAAAAGAGTTCCAATGCTACGTTTATCAAGTAAGTTCGTTTATATTATACTATGTTTACGTTTTGTTTATTAATGTTTTTTACGAAGGGTAACATTTTTTATGTCTAGTATTATGTTGGTTTGTAATATTTTCATAGAAATAGGTAAATAACATATTATAATAGATAAAAATGAAAACATTTTCAGAGCGTTTAAACAGATGCATGAGAGCAAGTCTGTAGCCGACAGTCTTCACAGTCACTCCAGACGCCAGTATCGTGACGATGATTATTAACTTAAGTTATTTGTTTTGTATTAAATTTACTTTTTGAAACTTGGATTGGTTGTGAAAGGCTAAAATATAATTTTTTGTAAATCTAGTTTGTCTTTTATAAATTATGGTAACGAGATAGACAATTTCATTACACTACCTAAGAGTAGAGCCCGTTTATGATAAATTAATTTGGCGTGGTAAATCATCTGCCGGGTCGAGTCTCATGATCCGACAGTTGTTTTTGAGACTTGGCCTTAATGCAAAACCGAAGCAGCTCCTCGGGGGATATTGGGGAATTATTTATGGAATATGCTCGTTCCGCAGGTTTGATGTGTTTTAAATATTGTTTTAAGTGGCGAGTTTTTAGTGCGGAATGGGTGCCGAGGGATAAAATGCCGCAGGGGGAGGACGACGGCTGAGAGTTCGAGGATGGAAAAGGGGAAGAAGGCGCTTAAGAAGAGGAAAGAGCGGCCGAACGGGAGTTGGGCCGAACCAGGAGTCCAATAAGTTTTAGATTAGCCCATCGATCGCCGCACTCACTTACCTACCTTGTCGTGTTTGCTTTAGGGCCGGAAGCGGACGGATATGGGGTCATTGTGGTGTTATCTCTTCCTTCCGACCTTGTTCTCCTCGTTTGAAGACCTCATCTCTTTCGGCGCTGTCCCCCGGCTTCATCCTCCTTTTTCGGACTTATTGTTATTCTTGCATTGCAGATCCCTGCTGCTTTCTTCCCTTCCGTGCACTTGGGGGTTTGTCAAGTTTTGGGCACGTTGTTGAAGAAGAGACAGGCTTTGTTGGAGCCATTTCCGGTTTTCGTTTTCAAGGTGTTTTACTGCGATTTGGCTGGGGGTTACACCGATTTATTTTGAAGAATTTAAACTTGCCTTTGTTTATTATTTTATCGTGTTCCTATTATTTAACGAAACTTTAAAGCCTTTCTGTTTGGTAGACATGGATCGCCTGTCATGGTACACACCTGGCGAATCTATGGAGGAGATCTTGATACAGGCAGGACAGGTGGGAATATACGATGGTGACATGAAACAGTCATCGTTCGAGCAGGGTACAGCGTCGTTAACACTTCAAAGGGTGATTTGGGCTGATTCTAGTGATCCAGTAAGTGGCTTTCATCTGAAAGCACCAAAACTTTTAATTTTATGTCTGGTATCTTGTGTTGTTGTAGCCAGTTCATTGTACTAAACTGTCGTTTTAATGAATTGTGTTGCAGGACTGCAGATTAGTGTTACACCATTCATTAGTGGATAGGATTGAAAGACATCACAAGTCGATGTTCGGAAGAGGAGGAAAGATCATTGTTACGTTGAAGTCGGCTGGAGCAGGACATTCGCCTGGACCTGTCGCGTCTTCTGGGTTCAATTCATTGAGATTCGTATTCAAACAAGGGGGTGAAGAAGAGGTCAGTCGTTTACAGAACCTGCCTGTAAATTATTAAACCTTAATATATTATTATTATATAACTTCCTATTTAAAACACTTCTTTAATGTTAACCATCCTTCAGTAGATGTAACGTCGATATCTAACAATTTCAGTTTTACAAAAAGTACATTGATGCTCTGAACCGCCAAACATGGAAACGAACCTCGTCAAGTTCGAGTTCAGGCGGCTCCAGAACTTGTACTTTGTATGCAAATCCAGCTGGAGGTCCGCCAAGTCAACGGTCGTTAAGTGGCCAATTGGGCCAAGAGAAGAAGTTTACAGAACAAAACAATCGACTGAATCAGACGATCAGTCAGGTAGATTACTTCCCTTTCTTCACTCGCTTACACTTACAACTAGCTAAAGTATTGCTTTTCGAATAACAGTTTCTACACTTACTTTCACTTAGAATGCTGTACCTTTAACATTTTAAACTTTAACGTTTTCGAAACCATTAACAGCTCTGAATTGCTTTTTCCATAACTTTTGAGTGTATTTGCCGTAACCTTCACCGAAGCTAGCTTTGAATAATTGTGTAGGCGTTTGAGGACATGAGTAGACTAATGGAAGAAGCACGTGAAATGGTTAATCTCTCCAAAAGTATTACAGAACGACTACGAGTGAACAAGGAGGACATGACTGAGGAAGAGGTCAGGACCCGTAATCTTGTTGTACTTCATCCCTTTCAGACCCTCAACTTCAAGAACAACCTTCTGCTCCTGGGCGTCAGCGATCCGGTCATGAAGTCGGCGTTCGGTCACACAGCTTCTTACTATGACAACCTCGCCAAGAAGGTCAACGACATTCTGTTGGATACTGTCGAGGTAAGTATAATACCAAAATTTGCTTTAACATGTTAATTAACATTCTTGGAGGCCATACCAAAATTAAAAGGTTTAATCGTGCATCTATGACAAAATGGGACGCCAATCACTGATAAAGGTTTCGAGAACCAGTTTCTGGTAAAACTGGCCATAAAATGTTGAGATAAACTCTAATGAATTCTTTTATGGAAATTAAAAGGAAAACGTCTATTTTCAGACCAACGGCGAGATGTCTTTGCCTGAGGCGTATTGTAAAGTAAACCGAAGCCTCGTATCCGAATTGTTTTCCCCAGAAGATCTTCTGAATGCCTGCCAACGATTCGATGACATTTCTGCGCAATTAAGGTGGGTTTGCTTTAATTTTTGTACTGTTCTGGTCAAAAGTGAAGAACGGGCCTTATGCTGAATATAAGGGCTTTATATTTTACCTTTTTATCTAAAATAATATACTTTTGACACATTCGGGCACTCAAATTTAAGAAATTTTATGAAAGATTACGTAGAAATAATATATAAAAATGTATTTTAAAAATTATAAAATGTAAACATTACATACAACAATATAATTTACAGTCTGGAGTCCCTGGCGGACGGCTCCTTCCGCGTGTGCCTTCGGAATTCGCCGGAAAACGCTTCTTCAGACCTTGTGTCGTCGCTGACTTCCCCCTGAATCGCTGACCCCTTCACTCTGCTCTCGAGTGCCTTTCATTCCAATACGTCCTTATGTTCTTATAGGTCCCTCAAATGTCTCTCGGGTTTTTTGTTAACTCCAATAAACTTTTATTACATCAATTACCCCTTCTGGGTAGCCCACGATGTTCACGTTGTGTAGATGAATGTACGATGATCACGGCTTCTTTTGACGACATTAATGGACTCTGTAGCCGAAGGTACAACACTTGTGGTGTCAGCGACATTGTTTGGTTCATCGATGGGTATGAACGAGATCTTTTCTCCTTCAGTTTCCTTCAACAACATCTCGAACTGGCCTAGCTCTTTCTCTGGTTCACCGGTCGATTTGTTCTAAATTGTAGTTGAATTCCGTATAAAGCTACATTAACTTAAAGAAATTAAAATAAAATATAAAAATGTCTAAACAATCCACCCTGACCCTGAAACTTTAATTTTACGAATTTGTAATTAAAACATTGCCTGTGGGCTTGCTTAAGACGTGCTAGACAAAGCCGTCGTATGTTTGGTGGGAAATAATTATAATAATAACGTACTCGGTTCAACTTGACCACAGAGTATGAAGCCTCGTTACGTGAATTGAAAGCGCCGTGTCTGCCACAGGTCAAGATGAACATCATCCGGGTCCTGAACTTCCTCGAGAACAAGGTGTACAACAAGGGATTACAGGCACTGCACATGACAGCCAGAGCGTTCAGGAGTAAGACTACTTGATATGGCGGCCGGCTGGATGGCCCGAACATCGCGCTAAAGTTGTTGTACATGTTAGTTGTGGGATCGTAATATTATAGTAAAAATAACCAGTATTAATTATAAAAGTCACAGTAAACTATTCAAAATGTATATATTGTAAACACTTTTAAGTAAAAAACAAACAAAACTCTCACCCGGCAATAAACACCCCCTGAATAGGCGAGTAACATATAAAGTACAACAACACACAAGCCACCAGCATCTTGATCACGTTCCTTCTGATGTACAAAGGCTCTCCACGTTGACGGTCGTCCCCAACGTTCCGTGACTCTGTATTGTGAAGCATCGAGTTCTTGGCCCATAACACACATGCCACTTTGCCATACAGTATGACCATTACAGTACACGGGATGGAGTAGGCTGTCATGAACTCAAACCACTTGTACAACAACCAAATGGTACTGGCTTCGTACATGTTGGTACACTTGTTAGCTGAAATCAAATTATATGATCAGGCTTTACATTACAATGTATTTATTTATGATAATATTAATGATTACATTGAAAGTTACGTTATACTAAAGCTGTTGTTTTGCCTAGTAGATCCATAAGGATCTTCAACATATAATAACATCTACGTAATTTGCATGTTTAGCTACAGCATCGTGTTATATGTGTATACCTCTCAGCTATACAAATGCTTGAGATTTGTATCATAACAAGTTACTCACATTTCGAAAGTTTTACGTGCGCCAAAGCGTACGGTAAAGAGAAGGAGAAGGCAGTAAACCAAACAATACAAACCATGGTGATGACATTCTGCTTGGTACAAAACTGCCGAGCATGAATAGGGAACACAATGGCAATAAACCTGCAACGTTACTAACCTAGATATACTCATATTACTATAAATATAAGTCGACTTATTGCCGCCAGTCCAGTGACAATAATTGTAAACAAAACAGATAATGTCTTGACTTTGTTATGACGTACCTTTCCACGCAGACTATCAACTGAGTCAAGATTGACGCAAACAGAAAGGCACACTCCAGATATCTGGTCATGGGACACAGAAACGCGGGAAACTCCCATGCTGGATATCCGTAGACTAAGGCAGGACTCCATTCCAATATAATTGTTACAAGATTACAAACGTCAGCCACGGCCAGGTTCAACAACAGCAAGTTCATCGCACTCTTCCTCATGCCACGATCAGCTGCGATGGCCAAGATTACTGTAAAGTTGCCCATAAGCCCACATATTGTAGTAACCACAAAGAAGATGCCAATAGCTACCGACCACTCCACCGATATCAGTCTGGACGGCTCGTTCTTGGGCCTGAACTTCATTAGAATCTGGTGGAGACGCGCCTCGTCCTGCGTCAAGTTACTCATGTCGTAGAGATTAGTACTCAAATTGGACATTAGGAACTCTTCAATTAAAGACGACGGGATTGCTGCCATGCCTGCCTTCGATGTGAGGAAAGCGAAAGAAGCACCGTGTATAACAAGGGATGGCAGCTACAAACCCATCTGGCCTACTACAATATAAGAGTCGACCGACCATTAAGGTGTTGCCTTTCAAATCTCTTCTCACAAGTTCTCCCAGAAAGAAGGGCGGGCCAGGTTTAATTAAAAAAGAACCCCGTCTATCTCAACTTCTGAAGTCATTTGCAAAATTAAAATCTGGGCGTTCGCTTCCAACCAACAACATAATCCAATAAACTTATTTCAATATTTTGATAAAATAATACTAAACTGTTAGCTGAGTATTTATTAGTGGATAATATAATATTGTCCATCTCATTTTGTTTTCTCGTTCACAAGAGTTTGTGGGACATCAAAGAGACAATAACTCAGAGTTAACTCCCACCACTTACATGGGAAGTCACTTAAATCGTACCTCGACTTTTGGTCGAAACCTGTATATTCTTAAAGCCCTGTAATCACTGAGTATGGATCTGAAAACCGTTTTTCCGTATGGCGCTTAGTTTTCGAGAAAATCGACTTTAAATTTTGACCGAATCCCTAAAAGGAGGAAGGCGCGCTGAAAACTCGACCGGAAATAACTTGAAGAAATCAAGTGGCGGCATGGCGCAGAGGGTAATGCGTTCGGTTTCCAATTCAAACCACGTGGGTTTGATTCTGGAGCCTCTGAATCATTTTTTAACAAAACTTTCAATATGCAAATTTATGTAATTTTTGTAACATTATTGTTAGATGACATTGCATAATCTTAATTGTGGCAGCAATAACAGGAAGAAACTTGCTCCATAGATTATTTTATGCATTTTGGCATAATGAAAGGCTTATTTGTAAAAAATTATCGTATTGAGATATAGAGTAACTGTATGAAGCACATTTTTTCGTGGGATTTACAATGGTAAACCTAACCATAAAATCAATTAATTTATTGTTTCTAATTTTACTATATTAGTTAAGTACAACTAGTTTCTAATTTTACTATATTAGTTAAGTACCGTTTTGCTGATTTTGAATTACGATAAAGGAATTTTCCATTTTCAGACAAAAATTTGTGGCAGCTAGTGAAATTATGATTGACCGCAAAAACCGATCGAATTGTGTACGAAATGTCACACAAAAGACGGTCAACGCTTCGAACGCGCGTTTCTCTCTCGCATTAACTTAGTCTTGACTGGTCTCTTCTTACAATGAAATAGACCATGGACCATAAAAGTGCAATTACTAACACCACTGACCAGGTCAGGCTGGAGATCCAACGATTCGAGAGTATCCATCCTTATATCTACCGAGCTTATCACTTGATCGATTCGATTGAAGACGATGCGCTTCGGAATACATTGGAACAACAGATGATTTACATAGAAGGTGTGTTATTTGATTGTTTGACGTTTTTTTTGGTAGGTCTAGCTAGTTAATTTATTGTGAAGCTTAATTTTTTGTTACTTTATGGTTTCAGATGCCTTTATTCACTCGCAAGAATGGACGCTGACTGGAAATGTCCCGGTTTTACGACTAGTAAGTCAATTTATGGTCTCAAAACAATGACGCTTAACATTTGAAAATTGAGAATGCTTTTCCGCACAAATTTTTCTGACTTTCACCAAGTGTAATATAATTTGTTATTGATATCGTTCGTAATTGCAGGGTGTCATTGGCTCTTTGGACAGCGGCAAAACTCCTTTAATCCATCGGTATCTGACCGGAGGTTACCGAACTCGTGAGTCCGCTGAAGGCGGCAGGTTCAAAAAGGACCTTATACTTGAGGGAAGGAGTCACTTACTCTTAATTAGAGACGAAGGAAAAGAAGCTCCCACTCCTGACGTAAGTCTTTCAATTAGTGGTATATCTCTCAATTTAGTTCACACATTGGCTTGACGGAGTGTTGATTGTGTACAGTGTCAACAGCAGAGAGAGTTTAGAAGTTGCTTATAGTTACCTCAAAGCGTTGGCTAGGTTCAGAAGTCAGCTAGACTTTCCTGCCATTTTGGTTGGGACTATTGTAAGTTTAATATGCTATTTTAGATAGATTATATTATTTTATAGCGTCTTGTTCACTTTTTGATATGAATTTTAATGAACTTTGTTATTAACTTGACACGTTTCAGGACAATCAAACCGCGTACGTCCAGCGAACTCCAGCAGAAGAAGAAGTGAAAAAGTTTGCTCGGGAAAGGAATTGGAGTCATATCGAAGTGTGTTCACCAACTGGACACAAAGTAGACCACGTTTTCCGAGAAGGTGAGTTTTAAAGTATTATTATAAGGTATAACAATATTTTAAAGAAAAGGACTAATTTAGGTAACATTTTTATTTGGTAATAATATTTTTAGTTTGTCTGCAAATCTTGAAGAGAAACCCGGAGGCATTCTTTCGAAAGCCGTCCCTAGCCAGTAGTTCTGGTTCTGTTAGTCGTCAAAGGAACTCAAATAGGACCACACAGTTGTTCCACGACTCCAAAACTGTAAGTTTGCACGATATGCATATTTTGTAAAAAGATTGGTTAATGTAATTTTTGGTTGTTAAACTTGTTTTATATGTTTAAAATTGTAGAGTCGACGACACCCTCGAGTTCCTGAAAACCCTCAGTTGATGACACATCAGAGATCAATGTCAGCTGCTCCAGTTTGTGATCCTCGTCTAGTAGACGATTATGCCAAGATTAACGGGCATGCCACAGTAAATGGCACAACGAAATTTAGGAATAGCCATGTTGGAGACTTTAATCAGTTCTTCTCCGACGGTACTTACAGTCACTCTGGACCTTCAGTAGAGGCATTGGATCAGTGTAAGAGATGTTTACGTTCTAAATTTGATTTTTTGATAGGAATATGTATTGTCAAACTGTAATTGGGTTATTTTATTGTTTCTGAAAACAAAATTTTGTTAATTCTACTGATGATAGTAAAGAAAGTTCGGTTTGTGTTGAAGCGAAATGGTGTGTAATATAATGGTTTTAAATGTTAATTCGTCTAATTATAATATTTTTAGTTTCTTCCCCGCTTTTGCCATACACAAGATCCGTTACGAACTATGGAGATCAGAAGAATTCATATCTCAGCCCAGCAATCGCATCTACAAGCCGGCTGCCTAATCCATCACTAACACCAAACTCACAAAGAAAAAACTACAGGAGAATATCAAGCATGTTTTCGGTAAGAATATAATTATATTGTACCGAAGTTTTATTTTTTACTTTAAGTTTGTTTGTTACCTATTATATATATTTTAGCGAAAAGACCATACCCCTCAGATTGATCTAAACTCGGTCGGAATGGGTCGAGTGATACCTCTAAAACAAGGTTTTCTTTACAAGAAAGGGAATTCTGGGTTGACGAGCAAGAAGAAGTACGTGTGTCTGTTTGAAAACGGCAAACTATGCTACTACTCGAGCCTAAAAGTAAGTTGACAAATTGTTTGATCATATTATATTATTGTTTAGGAATTTCAAGAGCAATCTTCGAACATGAAGGAGGTCTTCTTGGGACTTTCTACCGTCAGAGTAAAGAAGAACAACATCCAAAAGAGACGAGCTTCGCTTCTAAACATCATCAAACCGGGCAAGGAGAACCTGGGACCTTCCAATTTGACTACATCCACCTCTGCCATGTTACCGACTTCTGACAGAGCCTCTATTGCCAGTGAAACTGGAGCTCCGGCTTCAACTCCAGGCGATGCTTCTTCTGGTCTGAGCGATTTCGAAGTTCCAACACAGCCAGCTACAGATCATCCTAATGTTAAGCACAGAAAGAAGCAGCGACGGCTGGGGACTTTTGGTGTCAAATTGGGCGATGAAGGTAAGAATTTATTGTTGTGGTATCAAATTAGCCTTAAGTTTTTATAAAAGGGTAAAGAGTAGTCTCGTAACGTGTTATTTTCAGTTGACGAAGACTGTGAATTCGAAATCGTAACAAGTGACCAGAGAAGGCTAGAATTTGTATCCTCGTCTCCAGAAGAACGCGATGAATGGGTATCGGCAATTGAAAACCAGATTGCTAGAGCTCTGGGTTCCCAATGTGCTCAATTCAAAAGTGCCAGGCCAGTTGCATGTAAGAATGACATAGACAAGCTGCTCACCATCCCCGGGAACGAAGTTTGTGCTGATTGTGGCGACAAGAATCCGTATTGGGCTGTCATAAACGTCGGGATTCTGATCTGTATCGGATGTTCTGGAGTCCACAGGAAGATGGGAAGTCACGTGTCCAAGGTCAGGTCGTTGGACTTGGACCAATGGCCTTGTGATTACCTGTCGATCATGGAGAAGGTTGGCAACAAGAAGGCCAACGAGATCTGGGAGAGAAACCTCAACTCGAACAGTAAAATAACTCCGAATTGTGATCCGTAGGTCGATTTGCATTTTTTGTAAATTTATGATCTTTTTTATGGAAACTAGCATTATTATAATGGCATTGTTTAGATCTGAACGAGAAGTGTTCATTGAGAAAAAGTACGTCAAGAAGAGTTACCTAGCTCCGCTGGTGTCAAACTTGACACTCTCTGAACAACTTCTGAATTCCGTGAAGCACGCCGACTTTGACTCCTTTATCCGGATTTTACCACACTGTCAGCCACAAGAACTCGACCAACTACACGACGGGAGGACGATATCTCACTCAGCGTGCAACCTCAACTCTCCAGTGTTCTTGTTGTTACTCTCATGGGTAAGGGGCTCAACCGACTAGCCTTTTAATAAATACTTAGAAATTACTCAGTTATTCAATTATTATTCATTTGCCTACTTTAGAGCCAAGCGGACTGTAATATCAAAGACAAAGATAACCTTACCGTACTCGAGTATGCCAGAAAGTGCAATGTCGACGAGTACGTGTTGTCGGAGATCTCGGCCCTCCACAAGACCCCCGGCAATATAAACAACAACATGGTTGGCTCGACTGTAATATCACCCAATCAGATATTCCCCCGTATCCCAGAGGGAGGAGATAAGAACGACCTGACCCTGCTCCCTGATGTACCTCACAGTGTTTTATGATCTGAACTTTTGATGTATTTCTCGCCCATTCTGTCGTTAAAACAGTATTTATTCTCTCTAATTTAAATTATTTTGTCGCTTGTTATGTAGATTCATGGTGTCGCTCCATTTTATTATTGTTTTGTAGGTATCGTCTTCATTACGTATTGTTCCAGCTACTGGTTGGAGAGTAGATTCTTGATTAACTTATACTTTACCTTCTATTTACTTTTCGACCAGGCCTTGTTCAAGTATTACTGACGGTTCGAGTATTATTACCTTAACAAATAGAATAAATCTTCGGAAGTTATCTTTATACCGGTTCCTGCTCTGATTTGGCGGTGTTTGCGGAAAGAGTGGGCTTCCGCGCAGGTCATGACCGACCTGAAACCAAACCTTGGGGAGTGGATTCGGCCACGACGGGAAAGAAGTTAGCTCCTCGGTTTGAAACGCGTTCGTCTCAAGAGTTTGTGGGTCTTTAGATCGGGGTCCACAAACATTGGTCTTAGTGACCGGTCGCTGTAAACGATGAATATCCCTTTAAGACTTGAAACAAAAACTTTTTGCGACCGGTACTCAACTCGAGTAGCCTTCCGTCCCGTGACGTATCGCTTTTCGTGGACGGTCACTCGAATACACATTGATTCCAGGAGGCAGTCGGTCGGATTGGCCACATTGTCATCCCACGGTAATCCGATTACTGTCCAACGTGATCGTTCTCACGTTTTTATGCGCATTATCAACGGGTATCGGTTTCTGGTCCGGGTGGTTTTTTAATTTACCGTAGCTCAAGTTATTTGATTACAAGCTATGCTTGTTTGCAAATAGCTATAGTTTATTATAGTAACTTGTTTCAATTTTTATCAGAGAAATGTGATTTATAGGCATTACTGTAACTATTGTTACCTCTGGTGTACCTTTATCATCCACGCTTCAAAAATATCATTTTAAATTTTTTTAAAATTTAAAAATTTGGAAAAGCGTTTGGAAATGTGTCGTGCTCGCCTTCAGACAAAGGCTTGTAGACGCCATGGTTTAAAACCTCTGATCACACTTGATTAGCGATGCGTGCGCAACTTATTTTCGGGTGCGCAAACAATGTCCATTCCGATGTTGGCCAGAGGCAGCGAAAGCGGCGAACACAAACTGTCTCCCGCTCTCGGTTTTAACCTTATCGCCTGCGGGGTCGGGAGTACAACAAACGCGGTTTGAAATACGTTGTCGTGGTCATTGTTCTCACCAATTCTCTTTACAGGTCGTAATGGCCCGGTTGTGGACGTTAGCGGCACTAAATCTCATATATTGTGCAGGTAGGTATACTGTAGCATGACTTGTCATCAAATTACTGTAATCGGGTTGGTCGAAAAGTTTATAGTATACCTTTTAAGTTAAATTCCGGTTCTTAAAACTTACTTTTTTATTTACTTGTAGACCAAATTGACCTCTCGATAAATAACGTAAACCACAGTGTGACATTTTTTTAGTACTCACACATTCACAGTCAACGCCGGTGATTGGCGGAGCGTGTAAGCTGGGCTCAGCAGATGTTAATATTGGAGGAAAACAGACCCAGTTCTACTTGCATTGTGAAGTAGAAGAGTAAGTCTTGCTTTGCTTACTACTGTAACTCCATTCTTTATTGTACAATTTATACACGATCTTGCTATTTTGCACTCCTGCTAGCTATTATTAACAATATGTTTCAGTCCGTCCAGAGATACGGGGATTTGGGTAGTAAAAACCAAAGGAAAACCCCAAGAGACCAGGACATTACCGTATGCCGAGCCAACAGTAAGCCTACCGTATCAACAGCCTCCGAAAAAACAAGAAAAACTACCATTAAGCCCCATTGTTTGTGGTAAGGAGTACCACAAAGCGTAAATATATTGTTTTAGAACAGATACAAGCCCAAGAGAGTGGATACTGTAACATTCCCGAGACCTGTCTCCAGTCCAATCCAGAAGACCAAAACAGCTACTTACAGTGTAATCCAGTGTAAGTTCAAGCTTGGCATACTTACTTTTTATTACTTTAAACAAAACCGGTCCAAAAGTCTTTGGAAGTTTTTAAAATTATTTTCCTATTTAGTCAGTAAGCTGGTGACTATTCTGTCTAAACATCCTAATCAAGATTATTAATTCTTTATCTTACAGTACCCGGAAGTGGACCAAGAAGTTTTGTCAGCAAGGTTTCTGGTTCAGCTTCGAGCACCAATCCTGTGTAGCCCACGCCTTCGGAGGAAACAAAGGTCTACGTCAACATTCTCGCAAGGCCCCAGCCCCAATGCACCAGTATCCCTCCAGTGGAGGCCTCGTCTGTACATACTCTCAATGTTCTCCATCCAACCCTTGTTCTACTGGCAGCTGTAACAACGGTTACTGTTGTTCGGCCGCCGGAAGTGGAGCCTTGATGGGGGTACCAGTGTCCAGTAAGCCTCACCGTCCTACTAAGAATGGCATCCCTGAACATACTAACCGTTTTTCAAAGCATACTAACCCCCATAACCTTAATATTAACCATGAACTCGCTCTCCACAAGCCTAAACCCATTAACAAAGAGTTTCCGCGGAGTATCCAGGAGCTCAGTAAACATGACCTACCCCACAGTAAACATGAGATATCTCACAGTGGTAACACCGTATACCACTCTCTTCTAACCCATCCCCAGAACGATTGGAACGAGAATACCCTGCCCGCCGAGTTCTCGGCCCTCAACTCGATGTTGGTCAAGGCGACCGGCGATGGTGGTAAGCAAAGACATTATACTCAGTTTCTGAAGGTTGCAGCTAGTTGCGCGGCTGGATTCACGAGCACCATCTCCTGCGCAGGCCGAGCCAAGTGCCCGCCCGGCCTGTTCTGCGACAATCACATCCTGATGTGCTGTCCCATGTTGTTGCCGCTGAAGGAAGTGATGCCGACCACCACGTCCAAACCCGTCACCACCACTTCCAAGACCCACATCGTGCATCACCACTACCCCCGAAGACTGTTGAGCAGCGACGTGAAACGCCCTCCCCACTCTTACCCTGACCAACATAACTCTCACATGTCCAATTACCACAGTTTCAAACGACCCAGTTAGTGTTTGTTGTGCTTAACTTGTCTTTCAGAGAGGGCGGTAGTAATATTACCTTGTTTTAGTGTCATCATTCCCTTGTCCAAGGTGTAATCAGTTCTATAGTTACGGTAAGTTTGGGAAGGTAGTGTACTAGCACCTGGTTATGCACTGTGCAAACTTTAGTATTACGCACAATATCATTGTTTATATTGAAGACTTTGCACTTTGTACATACTCATTATGCAATCGTACTATCTATGCACATATTTGGTTAATTTTGCACATCTTAATTGCACTAATATCACGTTTAGACTGTCCCAATGGGGCCTCACCCTATGGCACATGTAGTCGTGGAACCTGTGCCACCGGCTACCAATGCATTCCCAGCACCAACTTGTGTTGTCCCACCGCTGCACCAATCAGAACTTGTTTGTTTTTCTCTCACCCACTAGTATAGATGTTGTTTTAAGTGCTTGAACTTCTGACCTCTATCTCTCTTCAGATTCCTCTTGTCCTGCGGGTTCGAGTGGAGCCGGAGCTTGTGTTAGTGGTCAATGTGGTCCCGGCTACTCCTGTAACTCTAACAACGTGTGCTGTGCTCAAGTAGTACCAGCCACCGTCTGTCCAGATGGTACGCAAGCAGCTGGAGCTTGTGTCAACAACATGTGTGGCGTCGGTTTCACGTGTAACCAGGGATTGTGCTGCACCAACACTTCACAGACACCCAGATGTCTGGATGGAAGTCAGGCTATCGGAGCTTGCATGCAAGGAAAATGTGGAAGTGGCTACACTTGCACCACTGGTAACATCTGTTGTCCATCTACCTTGAACTGTGAGTTTTTACCTGATAACTTAAATAACTTGAGTTAAAACATACCTGTAAAACCAGAATAATTTAAAAAATAAAAATGATATTGTAATTCAGCGTGTCCAAACGGCCAACAATCGATCGGAACTTGTGTGAACGGAAGATGTCCGGATGGCTACGCCTGTATCAACAACCAATGCTGTGGACCTCCACCTAACAACGCCAACTCTCAAGCCACCTGTGTCGAAGCAGACTCGAATGGTCCTTGTGGTGCTGATGGTAACTGTCCGGAGCCCGGTTATCTCTGTGACACGGCCAACAACTGGTGCTGTCCCCAAACGATGGGTAGTGCTGTTGGTCCTTGTATTGCTGGTGCTGGAGGTACCCGATTGTGTCCCGAAGGCTACGCCTGTTCTGGTCCTGGAGTTGGCAACTGTTTCCGACTGAACACTGGCACTTGTGCACCAGAAGACCAGTTCGGTCCATGTGGAGCCAACAACCAATGTCCTCCCAACTACACCTGCTACGGAGGATTCTGTTGTCGGAACGGCACATTCCGACGAAAAAAACGGTCGTCGTTCCTAGTGGACTATTTTAATAACTAAGCGGCCGTTTTAACTTATTTTACTTTTGCATCCAGGTCATAAATGCTATTATATTTATGTTGATAATGTTAATAATATTTGATAAATAATATAAAACAAGCTTTTGGTATTGTTGAGAACAAAAATAATTTGTAAAATAATTAGAAGTAATTTTATGGCCAGAAAAATTAATTCCATAAAAGTCTCATCATTTCATAAATCATAACCGTCTCTAAAACAATATACTTCAAAGCCGAATTCGACCTTTATCTGTAGATAGTATCTCCATCAGATACTACACGATTTAACTCGGTCAAAATGTAATTTAATTTTCACGAAAGATGCCCTTTAATGGAAACGACAACATTATTTGGGCCTTTGAGCAGTCCAATCAAGTAAGTCCAAAAGTTTAGGTAACAAAATTGAAATAACGAAACAAAAAAATGAATATTACTTACATTGTCCTTGAAATTGTCTAAGATCGTGTTTTTAGTCATATTTTGATCATCAAAGTTAATTTTTGTATAGATATTCCCAAATTTGGTCGATTTTGGGGCAAAATCTTGTTTTATAACGAAGTGCCAACAAAAATCAATAAATTGCAGTTTCAAAATATTTATTGTCTCTAATATTTTTAAAAATATATTGTGTTTATAGAATTGTAAACTCGTTCTGAACAGTTACATTGAGAGTAAAAATGCATTGTTACAACAAAAAACTAAACTGGATCAAATGCGAGATCAACTACAGAGTAAGTTGATGAACTTAAATCTTTATTTCTATCACTTCAACATTATAGATCGAATAAACGTGATTTTAGGTTTTCAATCCTTGCTGACCATAAACGCTGCCATTAGTGCAGAGTTTCTGAATCAACAGAATAACATTATGAATCTGGAAAACAACATATTACACTTGGAAGAACAGCTGTTGACGTTGATAGAGGATACTTGTAGAACCATGCAAAAGGTGATGAGAAGTTTGGTAGCTGATCACTTAGTTGGTTGGTTTATCAGACAAAAAGAGTTGACTTGTGGGCCACGGATTCTTCAACAAGCTCACTATAACGAACTGGATGAGATTGAGTTAATGTAAGGTGAATATAATGAGTTTTCTTCAGTTTTTGGGATAACCAAATAAATTCTCTCTTTTCCTTTATTTATTTTATTATAATAGTATTCAAGATATTGTTTTAGATTCGAAGAGTGTGGCAAACAAATAACAACTCTTCTTATTATTGCTGGTGATGTTCAAGTTCAAATTGATGCTGAGAAAAGCTCTTTTCCTCGGCTTCTGAAGCTGAGGGAAGACATTATCCAAAGTGCTCGTCAATTTGTCTGGCAAAGTGTGGTAGTTTCAGTTCAGCCTCCGGCAGTTTTAGTGAAGTGTCGAGGAAGCGACAGTCATCGTTCTACACGCTTTCCATGTAGAACAGAAGTCAGAATTCTTGGAGGGAATGCGATTGGCATAAGGAAACAGATAAACAAGGTAAAAGTGGAATTGATAAGCGAAGAAACAGCCAAGAGAATTCAAAAAGATCCTGGTCAAGGAGCTGTCAACGATCCCACGTTTCATTTGATCTACAACGAATGTGAATTCAGAATCGGAGTAGACGAGGGTTCTAGTGTACAATGTTGCAGGGCGACTTTTGAGAAAATCGTAAGTTTATTTTTGGTATATTGTCTATGATAATATCAAATGTTGTTAACAATTTATTTGTTTTCTATCTCACACTATTTTTGGATTACGCTTTTTTTGAATAATAGAAATGATTATAACTTTAAGTTAAAATGCATCTGATTTCAGCGTCTAGTGGAATCAGTGCAGAAGCGTACAGCGTTTGATGCTGGTCTTGATGAGAAGAAAGGTACTAGAAGGTCAAGAGTGTCATCCTTGAGATATTACCTGGCTTTTCATCTCAATATTGGACCGTTCTTACAAGGATTTGTGGCTAATCCTGTTTCTGTGAATGGCTACAAGCTGTCATTGCCTGTAGCAGCTGTAGTCCACTCTTCTTTGGAGGCAGAAGCAGCTTTGTTTTGGAATCGCTTCTTTTCTGAAGGCGTATGTTTTTCATTGTCAATATATATATTTATACGGTGTTATATAATGTCATGCAGGGTAATGTAAAAGACAAAGCTTAATATCTCTCGTTTTTAGACAGGAATCTTATCGCACGCTCCGGACACTGTGCCCTGGGATGAAGCCAAAAAGGCGTTTAGTTTGAAGTGGGGAGCCTTGATTCAAGAACCCCAGGACATCAGAGACTTGAGTGTAGCACTGCCAGAACCATTGAGTTTGTCTGAAAGGAATCTGGAACACCTGGCTTTCCGATTGGATGTTGAGGATGGGTTTCTGTGTCGGAAGAACTTCTTTAACAAAACTGTCAGTCACAAGGAGAATAAGGACGGTAGTCCGTTGCCGTGTGCCTTCTATGAATGGTTTTACAAGTGTGCCAACATGGTCAACAAGTACATGTACGGACAGTGGCAAGAGGGGTAAGATATTCTTGCTTATATATAGGCATTTGACGATTGAAACGGAAAAGTTTCAAGGAAACATAAGTTTGAACCTTCTCAGTGATGTTGTTGTAGGTTGATTGAAGGTTTCTGTTCTAAATCGAAGTCCGAAACCGACCTGAACGCGGCTACTGAGCCAACGATGATGATTCGATTCTCTGACGTCAGAATCGGCTTTCTGAAGATCAGTTGTAAACTTTCCAATCATCACATTGTGCACTATGAAACCGAAGCTGACAAGATGCCAGTAGGTACGAGTATCGCCGATGCCATTTATTCGAATCCGACTTTTGAGACTATTGGGAACATATATCCAAACAAGGTAACATTTGTATACATTTAGAGAAAATATACATTTAAGTGTCATTCAAACATGTATATGTTGGTATGTTTAGGAAGTGAGATTGTTGTGGCACAACAGAAGCAACAGGAAGGAGGAGGAGAAGATGCACGAAGGCTGGAACTCGGCTATACCTCCAGGCTACTTCGACACAGTATACCCATTGGAAAGTAAGCCTGTTGCTACCGTATTCGGTTCATAGTAAGTGGTATCTTACTATTGATCTGGAGGTATATTTCACAACGTTTAAACCTTTATTTGAAGATAAATTTATATTTTTAAAATTAATATGGCAGAGGGAGGACTCAGAAGTCAGTGATGACTTTGTTGGCTTTGCTTTTGTGTCAGGGATGCTCGTTCCTACAATAATATAGGTTGTAATAGATTTAATCATAAAATAATGTAATTCATGCTGTGTTTTGTTAATAAACTGATATTCTAGTTTTAAGTTTCTATTCCTACGTTATATTCGTATTTTACCTCGCCCTGCGTGTTGTATAGAATTGTGTGAATTTTGTTTCCAACACCGAAAGTTTCTTCTCCTTCGAAGACTAACTGTTCTGGAGGGTCGTGGATGCCGCCTTGGCTTCTGGCCCAGATCTAAGATAATATTATAGTTTTTTCAATATCAAAAAATAAAATAATATTATGTGCTACACATTAATTCTCTGTTAAATTTAATAGTTACCTTGACCGTAGCTCCAGGCCTAAGCACGAATTCAGAAGGGAAGGTGTAGACGATCTCCCGTTTCCCGTCGATCTTCCTCTTCAACTTCCACTCTCCAATCTTCTCTTCCTTGGATCTGTGAGTGTTCTCCAGCACGATGTACTTTCCATCTGAAGCTGTCTCCTGGATTGACACATTGCCTTTGGCAGACTTTGAGAATCCGTGGTGAACAGAAGTCTCACCCTTGACCACCCTCATGGTTTCTGTATCCGCCACTTCATTGATCCCGGTGGTTTTGATAACTTGCTCTACCAATTGCCTGAAGGGCTCGACACCGTCGCCCTCCAGCATCTTTTTGAAGATCGCGATTTCCCCGTCAAGGCCCTGTCTGGTATCTAGGAGAATCTGAAGCTCCATCATGTTGGCATCGCGCTCTTCCTTGGCCTTCCTGATCTCGTCGTCCTTCATATTCAGATGGTCTTCGTACATTCGTCGTTCATCGTCAGCCTGATACGTGAGGGCTACGATCTGTTGTTCGTAGACGGCGTTCTTTCCCTCCAGGTCGGCGATTCTGCCCCTGATGTCTGTGAGTCGCTTCTTGAGACGCTTCTGCTCGTCTTTCTGGTACTCTTGCTCGATGTTCTCCTTAGCAGCACTCGTCTCGATTTCCTGGACCTTGACTCTGTACCAGGATTCCACATCGTTGCGGTTGGTTGTGTTCAAGGCATCGTACTCATCCCGAATCTCTCTGATGGCGCTGGCCAGCTCGTTCTTGAAGAATTCCCTATTCTCTCCAGTTGTGTCACGAGCAGCTTGAGACTGCAGGTCCTTGATCAGGCCTTCGTGATTCTTCAGTAGGAATTCTATTTCTTCCAAATACGTCTGAATTTCGTTTCTGTCTTTGGTTTGACGTAGGTTTTCGTGGGCGATGTCTTGGCGTGTACGATATTCTTCTGCTTGGAGGCGTTGTTTCTCTTTTCTGAGTCGCTCAACTTCAGATTCCAGTAGTTCAATTCGTCGCTTTAGGAGGCTGATTTCGCTTTCCAACGATGAAAGTTGTACCAGAAACTCGTCGATCTTCTCACGGTCTTCTTTTCTCTGCTTCACGGCGGTTTCGAACTTCTGTTGAAGTTCTTTTAGGTCGGCTTGGAATCGGGTCAACTCTTTCTCGGCATCCTTCTTTTCCTGCGAGATGTCCTCGATGTCACTTGAAGCCTTCTGCAATTGTTAGAGATTATATGGGAATGGAGATTACATTATAATCTGCTCGACATAAGTATCAATTACAATTCTGTCACTTTTGAATGACTTTAAAATTCTGTTTCTTATAGTTTTGTGATTACCTCGATATCTTTTTCGTACATCATCTTAACTTTGGCGGTTCCTTTTCCCGATCTGCCTTTCAGATTGTCCAAATCAGCAGTGAGTTTGCGATTCTGGGCTTCTAAGAACCTGACCTTCTCGATAAAGTTGGCTAGTCTGTCATTCAGTTCACATAGTTGTTTCTTCTCTTTTTCTTTGTTATCACGAACGGCCCAAGCACCGGAGCCGTACGATGAGACACCGCTTCCGTAGCCCGAAGCAAATGATTCTATTGTGCGCACCATACGACTGCCTGAGGCTGAAAGTATGATACGGGTTCATTTACCTTTAACGATTTACTGTTTATATATAAAAGGCTAGAAATGTGTATACTACTTTAGGCATACTCAATTTATTATAGTATGGTGGCACTTGATATAAGGACCAATGTTACCTTACCCATTGGCAGCGACAAAGTCTGGGCACTGCCATAATGTGGGATCCCACGCGTGAACGGGCTTCTGGGAGTGATGGTACTGCGATATTCTAGTTCCTCGGTCATGTTTCTACAAACAGTTTGGTGGTTAACGTTGTATATACTGTCTTAAGCTGCGCAGCCGACCACGATTAAAGCCAAAAAGCACACGTTTTCCTTGTGATTGAATGACGAGACGCAAAGAAACGGGGCTAAAGCCTCACGGAATTCAAATTATTCTGTCGGATCCGCCAAAAAAAGTATAAAACTCTCGCGGGAAGCAAGGTGGATTCGAAGGAAGGGATTCGAACGTCCTTCTATCTCGAGATCTTGCAGTATAAGTTGTGCACTGTGGGAGGCGGCAAACGGGGTAAACAATCATGTGGATTTACTAATCATCAACAAAGATTTGTTTCAAAGAAGCACTAGATCAATTCATAGATAACATAACTCAAAAACGGTCCTTCAAGTTGGGCCCTCTACTACAATATACTCCTTTTATTGGTACGATTACCTTTAATTGCCAAAAAAACTACTCCAAGATAGGCATGCTCGGACTGTCCAATAAAGTAGCCGAACTGTACTCTCGGGAATCAGAAGTGTGAGTAGCTCTTTGCCTTGACCGCCCGACCTTGACGAGGGTCCCTCGCCCCTCCGACTTTAAATAAATAAAATTAAAATCGCCGAGTTTATTATTACAGAGACAGTTTGAGATCATCGTTATTACACACCGATTGAGCATGAGGTATCTGTTCAGTACGTGCTGGGCTTCTGGAGGGTCTGTAGCGTGCTAAACGGGTTCACACCGCCGAAGGAGGGGAAGCCTAGAATGCTAACACAGGTAATGGTATAAACGAGTAAACAGTAACCAAAAATAATCAAAGTACGATGAGATCATTCAGTGTTACAATTACAAAATATTATATTAAGGTAACATACCTGTCGAGCCATTAAGGAAGCCCGTACCAGGTGCACCAGCTACACCGCCTGCATATGTGCTTTGGTACATGGTCGGGGCTATTGTCTGGCTGGCTGTCGTTGTCGCTACGTAGCCGGTTATGCCTCGGGGTGAATAGTTGCGAACATAGTCTGAAAGCATAGAGTATATTATTGTAGTAGCCTGGTTAAGATAATTAAAACTAAATATTAAAACAAGCTAGTGTAGTTGGGTTTACACTCTTAACCAAATTTAGGTAATCTCAAAGCATGTTTTGTCAGTAAGGCCTCTCGAATATAGATCAATCAAGTATAATATGAAAATAGGTCTTACTCGGATCGAAGTGAACGGCTGAGTAGGCGCTAGCTGCATATTGACTTAATTGGTCTGCTGGCGATCTATTGTACAAGGCTTCAGCCAGCTCCGCGGCTCTACGCAGAATCAGCTCTTTCGGTAGCCGGTCGGGGTCGTCGGGGTACTTCGGAAGCAGCTTCTGAAGCCTCTGGAACCCGTAGTCAATGTTCGGCTCGGTTAATGCTGAAAACAGTCTTTTGAGTATCTACAATAATATGCTTATAAGTATCAAAGCTCACCGTTTTCGTTGTTATAGAGGGTAGAAAAGTAAAATATTTTTAAAAATCGACTTACAAACATAAGTGAACCGTGCTGTGCTTCTGGAGGTCTTCAGTTTGCTGTTAATCGTGACTTCCACATTACCGGGCGCAGCTCGTGCTGGTACGGTCACTTTCATGGCCTGAGGCGTTATCAGCTCGGCCCAAACCGAACTCGACCCGAAGTTGACCTGCATGTTTTCGTGGAAGTTCTCGCCGATGATGACCACGGTACTTCCACCTTGACACCAGCCTTCCGAGGGACATATCGTCTTGATAATTGGCGGGGCAATCGAAGGCACAGTAACTGAGTGGTCCACTGAAATGGTGTCGCATTACTCAGGTAGCTTATAGTAGGTAATTGTCAATAACCGCTCCGATTTCCTAATTGGGAGGTTAAATCCCCTGAGGCATCGCTTAATGACTTTCGTAGTAAACGAGTTCATAAACGTAATGTTACAGTATGTTTCTGCTAGTTAAGATTCGGAAGTTTGATTAAAAGTAATACGAAGCTTTAAAGTCAACCTATGGTCAAAAAGTTTGTAGACAGACAGTTTATTATAGTTTGAACTATTTAATTATCATTACCTTTTGTTGAAGATACCAGCTTTCTTAGATAACAACGAATTTTCAAGTTACTATAACAAAACTACTGTAGTAACACTGATGTTACACTACATAACACAAACTGTAAAACCCTAGTAAACATAATTTAACGTTATGTCCGGCTGTCAAAACAATTGGGAGATATATCACCCAGAAGGAGATGACCCCTTAATTTGCATATTTGGCCCGAGTTATGATAGGGCTATTAAACGGGCATCCGGGGCAACAATCGCCACAAAAGATGGAGCAGATGCGAAGGCACAAGCTCGCGCACTCGTAAAGAAGGACGTAATTAATCTTTACAAAAGCCAAGCCCAATATCACGAACTGGTCGGAAAGTAAGTAGAACCAGAACACAATATCAAGAACCGGTCGGAAAGTACATAGAACCACAAAAGATTCCAATTTTATCAGCAAAAAATAAACTTTTTCAGTCAAAAACTTCATAGAATCTATAAAACACGGCCCAAAATATAAAAAAAAAAGACAGAGTGGCATTTCTTACAGTATGACGCCCTATAACAACACTTACTCTCGGTCCCCTCTCTCTTCACCCTCCGGCCGTGTTTGGAATTGTTGTGTACGAACATGTTCTCTGACACTGCCAGTACGTCTGTGTCGACTCTCGGAGTCGAAGCCAGGACCACTTGGAAGCGACGCATATCTCGAGGATTTCCAGCATTTTTGAGACAATTCTGATTGCACTTGAGGAAAAACTTTAAGAAGAACCTGAAAACAAGATAGAGTACAATATAACCTGTAAGAATGTTAATACTAATGTCTCAATGCCTTAAGACATTAGTTTTTATGCCTTTATTTCTTACAACTTTGAAATATTAAAATACTTCTAGTAGTCTGCATTTTACTTTAAAAAGTGTTATAGGTATTTTCTTCACGTTAACATAGTTTTTCATCCTACACTAAACATACACAGTAAACAAGAGTAATGCAAAGACCTACTTGTCGATAATCACAGGATCGCTGGGAGTTTCGTTGCGGTTGCCGCAACTTTTCTTCTCGCAACACCGACTACACATGATTTCGTGAGTCAGAAGGACGCGACACATCTCAGGATTCTTGTCGTGACCTTCGTAAGCGATGGCCTGAAACAAACGTAACATATGGAGAAAAAACAGTTGGTTATCAGGGTAGAGATCTCTCACCTGTTTGGAAACACTGTCGATCAGCCGAACGTAGAGGTCTTGTTCTGTCCTCATTCCTGTAAATTCAAAAATGGCATTAAGTGGCATGAGTAGTAAGATATAATGGCTCACGATGCTTCTATTCTACAGTAACTCAAAAAGGGTATTTTATATTGTTTTAGCCAAGCTATCTTTTATATAATTTTCTATTTATGCAAATTTCAATCTTTAAAAAGTGACGTTCTTTGTCGCACTGTGAGTTTTATGCCTTGCAGGCATTTCCGCTTTATATGGCCGTGTTTTATGGCCAGTCCTCGAAATTTAATGAGTTACAACTCGACTTAATTAAACTGAATTCCCGGCCGAAGCGGGGCCCATCCCTTAATCCAGTTACGGTCGGTTTCAGTCGGAAAACAGGGTATCATTAAGAGTCGTACCTAATGCAATCCCATCGACACTTTTTCAAACTTTGTAAAGTGGCGGAAGTTACTTTTAATTTAAATTTCAAAAATTCAAATTTCGAAATTAAAATTTAAAATATTTAAAACGTTACCTAAAAATGCAATAAGGTTTGTTTTGCAATCTGCTTAATGAACTTTTTTACAATCTTTTTCCGAATTAAATATACAAAAAGCATACAGTAACTAAAAAACTACAGTAACTCACCATTCCCGAAAAGAAGGTGTATCTTGTAGTGGATGCCATTCCTTGTGTTCTCTCCATTTACTTCTTTCTCGTTTTCCACAAACCCAGCAAAACTGGCATGCTCGATCTCGATGGGCTGGTTGGCACGGTCGTACAGGTTCACGGTGAAGTGGAAGAAGTTGCTCTTGCGTAGGTTGGACGGCGGGGCATGTTCGAATTGGGCACGGGCAAGCTGGGCGCTAAAACAAATAAAATTTTGAATCCAACAACATATGGTCCAGCAAGGCCGTCAATAAAGCGGCGTCGACAAAGGGAGGGCGAGGCCGGTGTGGGGAAATTAGACTTTTACTTCTACTTATCCCCTCCGGAGCTAATTGGACGGTGCGGCAAGATGAGTTTTGCGAGGCCCTGGAGGGATCGTGCTGGAATGGTCCCACGGTCCCCGTGCGGGGAGATGATGATTCGGATCGGTCTCCCTCAAGGCGTGCCCATTTCATTCCAAACTTGGAACGGCAGCCGGCTGTCATTCCTTTTCTGAGCTCCGTTTGACTAGGTGAACTTATATCTTTGGCATGTGTCTTATAATGCTGTGTTCTGTAGGTCTTACCTTCCCGGCGATGTGTCCAAGACTTGGCCAGGCCACGAGTTCCGGAGCAGGGATTCTTCCTTGACCGACCGTAGCAGACTGGTGTCCTGGAAGTTGAACATGACCGGATACATGGTTTATCTGTGCCTGTAATCTGAAATAAGTCTAATCATTAGCTCCCCTGAGGCATGGCAGGTACATGGCAATCAAATTAAAAATAGCAACAGCGGCCGGGGCGACGGCCGCGCCCAACTGGGATTTTGGAAACGTTTTGGGATAAAATCGAAGCACGGAAGGGCGGAGCATGCCCAAGGGGCAAGACGCCAGTTTTGACTTCTCAACGTCACGGGCACCCTCCATGGGGAGATATTCATTCTTGTGCAGTCACGTTCAGGCATCTACTACAATAACCCCATTCCCTCCGGGGAAAAGTTTGTTCATTACGAACAGAAATTCGAAGCCGTTTCGGGTGCGGATCCGCTGGGAAATCAAGTGCTTCCCTCAGCTATCTGTGCCAGTCCTTCTCCAACTTAGGGGCATGGAATTCGCCGTCCTCGGCTCGCCCGCCCCCTCCCCAACAGCCAATCAGCGTCGCCGCTCGCAGAACAAATACGGTCAAAAACCAGCTGTTCATTTAGTATTGAGCTGTCATGCCGCGGTTAAGCGTGTCATAAATGCCACTTGTGGCCATCATCTTCCTTTATGCAAATTCACAGTTTCCACTTGATTTCCGAATTGGTGATGGATGTCTCGCGGTTGAAACGGGAACTACCGACCGTTTGTTGCGGTTTGGAACCGTATTTTAAAAGTTTTGATTTTTTTAAAACAACCACGGTGAAATGTACAATTTCACAAAAATTTTATACAATAAGCGAATACAGTAACAGTTTCTTGTTTTTTAGATTTTCTTGAAAAATTTTTAAAAAAGTTAAACGGGGTCGATTTCAATAAAATTTTAAAAAACACAGGTACCAGGAGAACATTTGTCTTTCCTCAGAACAAGATCTCCGGCTGACTAAGATAAAACCAAAATTAGGAAAATGCACTTGTCACATCGACAAAACCTTGAGTTACAACTCTACAGACTGCACAAAAACAAATCGATTCAAACTTTAGATTCATCCTTGGGTATCCACAACCAGTAGCTCCGTAAAGGATCTTTTAACTTCAGAAGAGGTACAGTAGCCTTTTAGTTTTACCGCAAAATTAAAAAAAAACGACTTTGTAAAATATGCAAATTTTGAAACTTTAAATTTATGTTTGGGGAGCGAAACGATTAATTCGGATGTCATTTCGGATCTCGAGATATATGCAAAACATCCGTCACTCATCTCCACTATCTCCTTCGACCAGTTGATACTTCCGAGAAGAGCATGACACTATCTATGTGACATTCGTTTTAAATTTTAACTAATTTCCAATAAATTGTATTACTTTTCCAAAAATAAACATTGGACTTTGCCTTACAGTACTATGTTACTAAACATTCAAAGGTCACTTATACATACCATAAAAGTGCAACTTTGAAACAAAAATCATGTTTAAAATTTACTGTCAACTTTGTACATCATGTTAGTTATTAGTTATCACATATTTATTTACTCGGTTTCGTGTTCCGTCGTTTGAAGCCGCGCTTTGTTCAGCTTCAGAAGGTTGTGCATTGCTTCACCGTGCGTCTTTATAACATGTTTTCGCAAAGAAGAAGGATCAGTGTACTTTTTGTCACAACCAACTACAGCACACACATAGTGCTTCTGGAATATAGTACAGATTTAAGTAAAGCATTAAAGTACTCTAATAACAATAAATAATCCCCTAACCCTTTTCTAAATGTTAAATATCATTCTCTAGCTATATTTACTTTACATTCTTCAAGTGTCTACAGTAAAATCCAACAAACCTCGGCAGAATGAGTTCGCTTCTGATGTTTCGTCCTGTCAGAAGCATTACTAAAACTCTTCTCACATCCAGCTACCATACATGGATACGGCTTCTCACCATTATGTTGTCGTAGATGAGTTCTCAGATTCTCGAGTCGGGAGTATGACTTGGAACAAAACGGGAATGTACAAACGTGAGGTCGTTCTCCAGTGTGCCGTCTCAGATGAAGGGATAACATATACAGTGCCTTGAAAGACTCCCTCCTCAGACAGTTACTCCACTCGCATCTGAAGGACACTAACCTCGGTAGATGTACTTGATCTACATGTTGCTTCAGCTCTCGTATACTCTGAGCTACATGCTCGCAGTCTCCCCATCCACAAGCTCGAGGATGCACCGTATCCATCCCGACTTCACGTCGTATTGGCCGTACTACACATCTAGGTCGACCATCTTGGTACTTCTTTGGTCGTCCTCTCTTCCGTTTGGGACCTTCAACCACTTTCCGTTTCCTCTTTTTGGCAGATGCCTCATTAACTAAACAATAACGTGAGCAATCGTAAGAGTTACCTTTCTTGTTGTCGGGACTGTTTCTGTCGACTTCGCTTATTGAGATACCTAGTACAATGTCTTTATCATCATCAACAGTAGAAGTGGATGAATAAGGCTCGCTGATATCGACGAAACTTGTGCCAAATTGAGCGTATTTACCGCTATAAAACAAAATTAGATATAAAGTACAGCTTTCTTAAATGCTTTATCGTTTACAGTGTAAGTCGATAAAAAATAAATATTCCAAGCAACATTTGAAAGCTTGCCTACCTCATTTTGTTAAATATAATATATATACACAAAAAAGTATTTACATCGCCACTTTCTTTTAGTAAAAGCATATATCTTTAAAGCGTAACGAAATGCCAAGATTATTGATTTTTCGGAAGGACAAATTCCGCAATGTTTATAAGACAAGCATGACATACTCTATAAGAGTGCTTATTAGAATGTTTATGCATTAACTATTAGGAAGTACTGTTAGTAAAAAGTAACTACTGAAAGAGCGGGACATTTTTGCACAAAAATTAAAAATTTTTTACAAATTAGAAATAAGATCCAATGAAAAGTTGTAAGAAGTTATATAACTATTTAATTCCTCAACATCCAAGAGTAGCATCAAAACTGTTAAACTACCATTGGACTTACAAGTTTGACATTTCAATGGTCAGAACCATACTATAAAATAACTCTACGTTGGTTTTTGAAAGAAATCTTTATTCCTTTACAATATTAGTACCTAATTTATTGTTTGTCAAACTTAGTGTACATAACTCTCTTGGGGTACCAGGGAAGCAAGACCTTGGCGTATGGCCTACCGTACGCTAAAAATAGTATGATAAATTAATGTAACAACATCTCACTCGTTAAAACATAGTGAAAGGTAAACCCAGCTTGTAACTTACAAGGAAAGTGTCAAAAGGTGTACCTAACGCCCAAACATGTGGTATAGCTCAAAAAAAATTCTGTGATAGTCCTCTGATTAAGAATCCGTTTTCAAAAGTTGCTAAATTTTTGTTTCGACTGAGTTATGGTCGTTTAAAGTTTGCACTGTTTTCCTAAAATTTCCCAAAACGGCCATGAAGAGTAACGAACGAAAAGGGAAGCGTGATCAGGTGGCCGAATGGTTAAAGCGTTATCCTTCAGTGACGCTGCCGCAGTTTCGAATCTCACTGCGTGCAAACTCTTTTTACCTTATGTCTGATTATAAAAAGTGCTCCAAAAGCACCACTAAGATCACAGCAGTTTTTTTGTTCTAAAAAAGTTTTGTTTTTGAACATATTTTCTTGAAATATAAGCTATAAAGTTATTCAAAGTGATAACTTTTATATAGTCATATGATAAATTAAAAAATAATTTTTATTTAAAAAAATACTAAAATACCCTTGGTTTAAATAATAAAAATATTTTCAAAAATTTTAAAATGTATTAAGAAGTTTCGTGTTTTTAAAACATAAAAATTAATTATGCAATTTGTTGACAAAACATGTTTAAAAATTTAATATCCTAAATTTATAAAACTTTACTATGACCTTGGTGGTGCTTTTGGAGCACTTTTTATAATCAGACAAAAGGTAAAAAGAGTTTGCACGCAGTGAGATTCGAACCTGCGGCAGCGTCACCGAAGGATAACGCTTTATACATTCGGCCACCTGATCACGCATCCCTTTTCGTTCGTTACTCTTCATGGCCGTTTTGGGAAATTTTTAGGAAAACAGTGCAAACTTTAAACGACCATAACTCAGTCGAAACAAAAATTTAGCAACTTTTGAAAACGGATTCTTAATCAGGACGATCACGGAATGTTTTTGAGCTATACCACATGTTTGGGCGTTAGGTACACCTTTTGACACTTTCCTTGTTAAAGTGACTTCAACTATTATAACCAACTCCAACTACCTCATTTACCATTTTTAAAATGGTAATTTATATAATATAATACGTGCAAAAATATACAAGAAAAACCCAAAAGTATCTCTCGACCTACCATCATCAAGCCTTTCAAAGTCCTCGGGATGGAGTTTCACGTAGTGATCAACATAGGCATCTCTGTTCTGGTTGAACTTCTGTCTTCCATAACCCGCTAAGTAGCCAAGAGCCACTCCCACAGCAAGCAGACCAGAACGAGGGTAGATAGCTAAACTCATAAAATTCACAAGTACACACACTCACCGTAGTACCAAGGTTTGTTTTTGAACAAGTTCGTACCATGAATAGCAATCACACCAATTCCAAAAGCCAGTGCGGCTCCTTTGGCAGGGAAGCTCCATGTGTACGGGTTCTTAATGTCATAAGCTGCCATACCGTGCCTGAAGTAATTTTCCCTTCGCTTTACCTCTTCTTCCGGCCATCTTACTAACTCCTCCATCTGAGATTTAGTTATTAATTTAGTTAATACTCAACTTGTATTATCGTCAATAAACAAAAATTTTCTTTACAAACAATTAAATTAAGTTTCTAACAATGAAACATCAGTAACTTATTAAACTGTTTATAAAACGGCAGTTCATCTGTGCACTACCACATGCTACAGTTCGAGGCTCCAAATATAAAAAATATGAAATTGAAAACAACAAATCACCAACCAAGCAATAAATTGTATCTTAACCTTTATTTCACTCTAATGACCAAATTGCAAATATGAAAACTAGAAATTGTCAATTTAACGGTCGAACTTGGCTGGGAAGCGGTTCTCGGAGACCAGTTCGTCCCACTTTTCGACCCAGAATTTGGGACAGAAGTCCTTGTAGACATTCTGGAAGAATTGGCACGGCTTGTAGTCCTCGCCCATGAGCTCCTTGCAACGGTGATAGTCAACGTAGTAAGCGAAGCATTGACGTTGCTTACGAACTTGTGGGAAGCGAGCATCATAAGGAGCGGCCCAGGCATAAGTGTCACGGGATTTCTCGTTGACTTCACGGCTGAACCATTCAGGAGACTCAGGATTGCGCATTGGCTCTCCTTTGACCTTTTCCAGACGTTGAGCAAAGGATTCAGGAACTGTGATGTCAGCCATCTCTAAAAATGCTTAAAAACTTTAAAATAAATATTAAAAAAAGCAGAGAATTAATACAAAAACGCATAAAACATATATTAATCAACTAAAAGCTTTATTATATAAAAATGTATCAATAACTAAACAAAAAAGTCGAGAGGAAGAAAATCACGTAGAAATTTTGTGACATTTCGTCTTACCTTTATCCGGACGAAGTGTCACTATCGACAGGGGACTCTTTTCGGTTGTATCGACTAGGTCTCTTCAAAAGGAAATTCGAAGAAGCTGGAAAGAATCAAAATGCACAATTTCAGTTAAATTTTTATGTACTACACAATGGGAACTTATATTGTACTTAAGTGATACCTATTTGTTGTTTGTTTGCGTTTGCTTAGTAGATTATAGTCAGGTGTCGGATAAATAGAGAAAACAAAGCATCTTGAACTGCATTCTCTCTCTTGAAACAGCACAAGCAATGTCATCTTTGAGGGTAAACCACTGTAAGAAGTCGCTCAAGTTCTTTCTCGACCTAGGTAAGGGTACACTGATGTTAAGAATCGCTTGCTCCAGCTCAAGGCAATCAAGCAACTCTCGAGTACAGACAACTGAAACCCAATGTCATAGATATTTATCATACTCAAGTACCACCGGAGTTGAAGGGCAAGGGGATCACTGCTCAGTTGTGCAAGGTAAATGTTTTTCCTTTCCGATGTATAGTAAGTAATATTAGATTATTTTCATAGTATAACGATTAAACATGTCATCATTTGGACCCTATATTTACATTTCTTTGTCAAACCTGCTTTACAGGAGGCCTTTTCTTTTGCCAAGGACAACAAACTCAAAGTTGTTACTAGCTGTCCAACTGCTCTAAAGTACGTTGAATCAAAGGCTACAGAAGCCGAGCGGAAGATCGTGGTCAGCCAGCTCAAAGACAAAAAGGATTACCAAGATTTATGAACGGTACCCGGATAGACTTTATAGTTATGACAAATTTAATGCCAAGATTTATGATTTCAAATTGAATAACCAGATTTATAAACAAATAACAACCAACAACAACAACAGTCACCCCTAATGTGCAACCTTAACCTTAATGATTGACGTTCGCTCGTCGTATGAAAATCTCTTGAACTGGACCGTGACTGGGAAGCCCTTGACTACCTCATCTTCTTCCTGAACTCCTTCGATAATCACCGGTACATCCATGAAGGTGCTAGTAGCGTTGGCTCCATTCACACTTTCTACTTTGGTTTGGAACTTCGTATTCTTGTTTGCTCTGAAAATATATTTTTACAAACAGGATTTCATAATAAAGTAAAATTTCATGTAGGCTTAAATATACCAAGTTATAAATTATATTTAGGTAACAGTTAAGATTACCTGAAAATTAAACATTGGACCTTGTAATCCACATGAAGATACGGATGTACACTGTAAATCGGCTGTGTGCTTGTCAATGTAATCTTTCCAAATGCCAAGATTATTCCACCACATCTAAAAAGTTAAGTTTAACATTTGAATACAACATAACACGTTTTTTTGTGGTATCAAAGAGTGCTTTAATTGTCGTCGTCTAACTTTTCTTCTTTAGACCAAATCCTAAAACCCAAACAAAAGAAAACTAAACATACTGTGTAGAATACTTGAGGAGCCTTCTAGAATGCCATTTGCTGAGAACAGACTCCAACCGCCCAATACTTTGATACCCAAACACGTGGTGGTGATGTTCTTCTTCCTCGAAGATCAGACCTTCTCCAACTGGATCTGACTTTAATTTTTTAATAAACTTCAGTCGATCTTTTAGACCAACCTCAACTTCCTCCGCTTTTTCCTCATCTTCTGACGCTTTGGCCTTCAAAAAGAATTAATAATAATGTTTCCAATAACAACATTTGTAAAAACACACAAATTTAAATATAAACAAACGCAAAACAAATCACCTCAAAAAACTTTTTGGCCTTCTTTACCACTGTAGCAGTTTCTGAATCTTCCTTATTCGTAAACGACTTCCTTTTTCCCATTTTGTGCAATTAACAAAATCTGTAATAAATATTTTTTTTTACAAAAAACATGTCATGTGTTCCGCGTCAAGTGTTCCTATGTCTACAGTAGACAGGCTGATGAACAATTTTTACGCTTGACCGGCAAATATGAACAAATGTGAGGATACAGATGTTAAAAATCGTATACAACTTTATCCAAAATCAAAGAGCTATGAGATATATCCTTTCGATCGCCTTGTTATTGTCACTTTTGTCACCTTCTGAGTGTCATTACAATGAAACGGCAGAAAATTCAAGTTGTTTTGCAAAAGTACGAGTTGCTCTTACTCTCAACATGGAATTCAAGGCACAGTTTGACAAACTGGTTCGTAATTCGAGATTGGATTTGTTTGATACGGTGATTAAAGGAATGGTAAGTTGAAAGTTTTCCTGATATAATTTTAGAATATAAACTTATCATGTTACTTTAGATTAACAACTTGTGTTCACAACAAGAGTCAGCTGAAGCAATGGCCGTTTTAGAAAAGTTTCGAACGGCAGTTGAAAAGACGAAGCAAGTCACTTTAAACTTGAATAACGACGAGAAGGACAAGTTGAATGCCTGGAACAATCTCAACGATTCCGCGGCCGAAGAAAACTTTTACACACAAAAAATGAAAGTCAGTTGTTTACTTTATTAATTTTAAATTGCAATAATTAATTTCAGGAGCTTCCACCGGAGGACTACAAGAACATCAAAAAGGCTTACAGCAAGATACTGGAGAACATGTTCAACTCCAACCTCCCGGAGCATTATAATCAAATGTTCTCCCAGCTGTCAGAGAAAGACTTTGACCAGCTACGACTTTTGGCAAAGGAAGAGCAAAAGGAAGGGATCAAGGACTTTGTGCTACACAAGTCCGCTAAACTGGGTCTTGCTCAAAGTGATATAAATGATTTATTTGATTACTTTACAAACTCATTCAAGCTGGTGACGTTAAAGGAAGGCTCTGGTACGCGTCAGTACCAGTACCGACCCGAAGACAACGATGACAGTGTCTTCTGGACATAAGAATGACACCTTTAACAGAATAAATAATCTGGTTTACTATCAGGCTTATAATGTGATGTGTTGACAAGATAACACCATATATACAGTTAAAAAATATAAGGAATGGCCACAGTTAAAGTGTTAGTCAATGCTCAAACATAATTACAACATTTGTTCATCTTTCGTGCTTGCGTGTAGAACTGTTTGCTCTGGGCCGATAAGTTCTCGGAAGCCTGGATGAGATCATCTAGTTTCTCCCCCCTTTCCAACACGGACGCCATCGTGTTATGGAGCACGACTTTGGTCTCTTCCACTTCGTCCTAAAGCAATAATTATACACAAGTACTTCAAACATACCTGTACTCGAGTTAGGGCATCTGCTTCTCTTGGATTCTGCCATTTAGTAAGCAACTCGTTAAGTTTCGAAAAGTTACATTCGTCCTCCTTATGAATCTGAGGCCACTTAGCGGCCGGCACGGCGTTAGAGAACTCGTCAAGCACCTTGCTTAAACATACAAAGCCAACACGGTTTTCGTATTCTTGGTCCGTCACACAAACAGCGGCTAGACTGTCTGGGCGGACGAAACACATTAGTTTGTACTCCTTCTCCGTTGTACAGTTTCTGCTCGGAGTTTCTGTTCTTTCAGCTAGCAGCCGACTGGTGAATGACATAAATTCCTTAAAAACATTGACGTTACAGTAGAACCCCTTTATAACGAACAACTTTTAAGGCCCCGTCTATTGCTACTCAGTTTTAAAACCGGGTATAATAAAATTCTTTCATAACAAACCACAAGCAATTCGTTTTACAGGAGTCAAAATGTATTAGGTCGTTCGGTATGAACTTGCGTTTTTCTTTGCCGGCTAAAAAAACAGGAAAAACTTTCTTCACGATTTCTTTTTTAAGTTATCAAAACCAGCATTAAAAATGCTATTTTTTGATGTATTACTCGTTACGATATTTTTTGATTTTTACTGAGTTACAAAGTCGTGAACACCACCACCCACTTTCCTTCAAAGAAAGAGCATTTGCGGGAAGTTATTTTATTCATGTTCAATTGGAAGAAACGATCATTGGAGCACATCATACTTTTGCTTAGGGTTATGAGGAAGATTCTATTATAAATAGAACTTTGCAAGTGCGGTTTAACTAATTGAAAGCTATCGATAGCTATATACATGAAAAGCAATAAACCCCTTCTAGAAATCCAAGAATTTTTTTTTGTTAAAAGCTGATGAAAAAGTTACTTCCGATCGTTAGAAACAACAAACAACTGATTTGGACTAACGAATTTATCTCAAACGGCCATAGTAAAAAATTCCGGCATTACGGGGATATAATTTTTCATGCCTCACTCGGCCCCAAGTGACAAAACTGATTGATGGCGCCATTAAAAAGCTGAAATGGGAAGTGCTACCATCCCTGCTGTACTCACCAGATATTGTCCCTTATGATTAATACTTACTTGGATCCATGTCACACGCAGGGCCGAGCGCGAGGGAGAAAAAAGTTTTGAAAAAAGTTGAACGTGGCCCCCCGTGGACTTCCGAAAAAAAAAAATTCGCAAAAAATGGTAGCATCTACCTGTGCCGATTTTTTGGACCCCCGCCCCTAGACCTAAAGTCCCCTCCCGGCCCTGGTCACACGGTTTCGGAGGACAAAATTTCAAAACATACGACGATGTCCAAAAATGGGTCGATTTTTGAAATCGTCAAGGTCAACCACATTATTTTCAGATGACGTCGAAAAAGTTCTCAGTAATTAGGATAAGATTGTTATTAACGCTAGTCATTTTGCAAAAATATTGCTCGTATAGTTTTTTGGCTAGCCTTCATCAAAGTTGTCGAAAAAAACGCAAGTTCGTACCGAACAACCTAATATATTAAAAGTTCTATCACAATTACAAAGTAAAGCCCTTGACTAATTGTTGTAAACTCACCCCAACATGTTTCCTGTACAAGAATGAAAAACTGCTCAAGTCAGTAGCACTTTTCAGCACGGTGGGCTTGCCAGTACTGGGCTCCTTGTACAACACGAATAAACCATACAAATGCATATTCCTTAAAAGTCGAAATCCGAATAAAAGCGAAATCGCAAAAAGATAAGGCGAAGTGATAGAGAAAGCCGAATGTACTTGAAACTGGATCAAACCAGTTATTCTCGTAGTCACACGTATAAAAAATAATTTAATAAGTTATTATTAATAAAGTTAGCCAATATTGGACATAAACTGAGTTCGGAATATAGATTCGTCAAACTGTTCCGTCGTCCATCTCAAAGCATCCGCCCGAATCTTCTCTCTCTCGCTTCTGTCACTTTCGATTATGGTTCTGATATTATTTACGTAATCTAAAACCACTTATTAGTAAATTCCGTGTTAACATCACTTCTTACCCTCCACATTTTCCGCCAGAAAGCCGACTGTCTGTTGCGAGGCTCCAATTATGTCTTTCAGAGGGCCAGCTGAAAAGTTACAGTAATTTGAAATATGCAAACAATAAACTTCAGATTCTAGAATAACTATTACCTAAAATTGCCTAGATACACAAAATAAATACAGCCAATAAACTCAAATTGACATACCCGATTTGTGAGCTACAACCAAAACCCCAGCTGCCATCATTTCCACTACCGCAATCCCAAAATGTTCGTCGACCATCGTGTGAATACCGCATACAGAGTTCTAAAAACGAAATAGTTTACTTTTCATGCGGTAACTTCAAATACATTCCAATTTTATGCAGATTTACAATTTAACGATATGACCGAATGTAAACATCAGATCATAATGACATAATCACCTGTAAAATATCCAAAATGTCATTAAAGTTAGCATTGTGAACAAGCTCAAAGTCTTTTCCTTCTTCCAGCTCTAGACCTGTAGCGACTTGTCGTAGATTATCGGCCAACCTCTGATCATTTTCATCCCTGACAGCTCCAATTATTTTGAGACAAACTTTGTGGTAAGGAAGTTCCTTCTTTAACAACTCTAATGTCTTCAGCTGATCTCCATGGTTCTTCTCTGGCCTGATCTGTCCCAATGACACGATCGAAACCTTCTTCTCATTCAGCTCCTTTTCGCCCTTATTTCCGTTTTTTGTAAAATCTTCGATCTTCACAGGCGGGTAACAGATAGACACACTGCCCGGCCACAAAGTTTCCAAGTGTTCTTTAGTCCATCTACAAAACACAAAATTAACTTTTATAAATTTTATTGTAATCTTTAATACAAATAATAATTTGTCAAAACACTTTTCAAGCTTGTCTAAACTTACGTTCCATTAGCCATAACTTTCGTAGTACAAGCTCCACACAAGTAGTACAGAAAGCTGAACACATAGTAGTAACACAACTTCAGATTGGTTAAGACAATAGACTTAGTGATAAAACTCGAATTGTTGTACATCTCCCGTCTTGACGACACTCTCTTTATCATATCTGAAACTTTTCACGATAAGCACGTTATACATACCTAAAATACAAAATATATATTTAAAGAAACACACCTTTCGTAATAATAGGATAATGTACGTAAGCTACTGTAGAACATCCACCAAGTAAGCGAAACACAGAAATCGATCCTGGCACTCCAGTCGTCTCAATAAACACTTCAGGTGTCAACAACAACAAAGCATCAACTCCAACAACAAATCCGGCCAAAAATTGACACAGCAACGTCAAATAAGGATACCTTGAAGGATGTAGTAGTTTGTGAGTTCTGAAAACACAAAAACAGATAGTTTAAGTCAATTAACTATTAAAAATAATTGAATTAATACCCAAAACAAAAAAAAATATTACCTCAGCGGCACAAAATGAATAATCTCCCATGGCAGGTTGAACTGAAATCTCCTTTCAATCTTTGTCTGTAATTCTGACGTTTGAGCAACAGATGAGTAGATGTAAACTGTCAAGTCGGGTCTTCTTTTAGTGCATTCATCGATTGCCGTCCACAAAACAGCTTCTCCACCTCCACCATCAGCACAGTTAGGATGGAAGAAGGCCACAGACTTGGCTTTCCTACACAATCGATTATAAAGCAAAGGGATTTTATTACCTTTTTGACTTCCTCCAAACTGCAAATACTACAACTACCAACAGAAACTGCACGATCATCTTAAATATGGTCAGATTGAAGAAATTTTAAGATATTAACTGTCACAACACTTTAACCATGCTAAACGAAAAGTAAACTTAACAAGTTTAATACCTAAAAACATGTCTAACGATCACACATATATTTTAATGAAGTTGTGTCGTCCAGCAGAACTTTCGTCCGTTCTCGGATAAATCTTTTCTTGTGATCAACCCTAGGAGTGTTCAAACCATGTCTGACATGATAAGCCCGAAAAGGATCATTCGGATAGTGAACCTTCCTTAACCAAAAAGGACTCATCATCTTGTCCAACATCTCGCACTCTTCTTTTGTACATGTCTCGAAGTCTTCAGAAATCTCGTTCCAAACTTCGTCTTTCATGTATCGTTGTTTATGTCTTCCAGGTATAGCTTTGATCCACATGCCTATTATATATTAGATAAAGTATGTATTTCGAAGACATAAATAATTAATGTTACATTGAGAAACAAAAAAAATGCTTGTTTACTAGCCCTAGAATTGAAAACAAAAACAATGTAAAAGACCCACCATTGTTAAGTCTTTTGAAACGATCGAGAACGTCCTGCGCGGGTCGTTTTCGGCCGTCTATTGGACTGAATCTGATGTGATTTTCATAGTGCGGGATCTGATGGACATTTCTTGTCGTACATGGAGCCGTAAACGTGCGCAATAACCCCCTACCACAAGTTAAAAAAGGAGATGTATTCATCTTTAATTCTAAAAAAAATAACAAAAACATAAATGACGTTCAATTCGCGGCGGGACCTAAAGCAAATTTCAGGGACATTGCGAAAATTATGCGGTTTAAGATGTTTTTTGCGATAATTTTGGTCGAGCGACAACAATAAGAGGTGAAGATGCGATCTCGTGGGTTTGTGGGGGATCGTGTAACCTTTTGTGCCTGTTTTGGTTTCGTTAAGAGTTTTGTGGAATTTCTCACTTAGCAGTCTTGTTTTGGGACACAAAATAGGTTCTTTTTACTTTTTGAATAAGTGATTAATCAGCTGACTCAATTGTTATGGAGAATATATTAACGCGAACTTTTCGTTTGTTTATAAAGTTAATGAAATTTAATTTTATCAGGAGGCTTCCTTATTCTTCAAGGATAATGTGATGTTTTTCGTTTCAAAAAGCATGCGTTATCAATCTTTGTGGTTGCAGAATTAATACCTAATTTGTCTTTTCAGGTCTAACTTTGCTATTCAAAATGGTGTACGGATGTGGGAATCAGATGATCAAGTTTCTGTTGTTCATTTGTAACTTTGGATTGTTTCTTTTTGGTGCCTTGATCTTCTCCTTTTCATTGTGGGCCAATTTGGATCAGAACTTCACAACAAAACTGAGCGATCTCATGACAAAGGCTGGTCTAAACCCGGATTATGTTGAAGAGTTGGAACAGGTAAGGTTAAGACGACATTCTGGGAGTTTTATGTAAATATTAAAATGGGTGTACATCTTTTCGTTTTTTAGTGCTGCATATCTAAAAGACTTTAAAAAGTCATTTTAGCTATAGTTTTGTTAACTTAACATAATGATAAATATAATTTCAGTACCAAGCATCGTTGTGGGTATTTGTTGCTATTGGAGCCATCATTTGTTTTGTCGGATTCTTTGGATGTTGTGGAGCTGCTTGCGAAAGTTTGTTCTTCTTGACAATGGTGGGTGACGTTTTTTAAAGTTAAAAAGTGTAAAATATTGTTCGTTTAAGCATATTGTACTAGATAATAATTATTTGTGGTTTGCGTTACTTCTTTATTAAACTTTGTTTTTTAGTTTTTCGTGGTCATTTTGGTGCTCTTTGTGATTGAACTGTTCACTTTGATCTACTTGAAAGTGAACAAAGCAGGATTCTTGTCCGCCCTCTACTACACCTTACAACGATCAGCTGAAACCGAGCAGATGAGAACCCAATTCAAGCCCATCGAGAGTCTACTAAAATGTTGTGGAGCGACTTCAGAAACTGCCTATCAATATGCAAATGACTGCAAAGCCATTGGCACATTCGAACAGCCGGATTGTTACTCTGTTCTGTCGTCCAAGCTCGACGGGTACGGTAATGTTGTGGAGATTTGTGGTGTTATTGTGTTGGTGATACAGATGTTCTCCATGATGTTCTCCTGCACGTTGTCGCGAGCGATCCGCGAGAGAACCCCCGCTTATTACTAGCCGTTTACACAAGTCATCTAATAATTATGCTTTTTTTATTTTATTTACATTCACTAATGTTCCTCAGGTATTTTACAAATATTGTTTTAATAAACCTCCGTTACTCAACGTTCTCCTCCTCTTTCCTGCTCGCTAATTGCTTGAGGGTTGGGGTTTTTCTTTCCGGGCTCACAACTTCAGGAGAGTCGGGTCTGAAAAGAGTAATGTGATACGTGTATGTGAGATGTTTCACCTACATAGTAACTCTTCCTCGGGGTCCAAGTCTTTTGACGCGCTTGTTTTCTGAGAAGCCGGGCCTTCTTTCGGATTCGGCTACTTTCATGAAGTTATCAACCTACAACAATATGATTACAAATCCGTTAAAAATATATTGTGATTGAGCCCAACTAAAAATGAAAAAAAGAAGCAAAGCCAATCGGATTGCCTTACTCTTCTCCTTTTTATAGTAAATGCAACTTGGGCCTAAAATGTCAGTACAGTACTCAAAATATGATTACAGTAAACAAATAAGATACTAAAGTGACTAATCCGTATCAAAAGACTTACAATAATTGTAATCGGCAAGGCTAGCACCTGAAAATAATGTCACAATGAAGGGAACACTCTCGACTTACCAAAACACCGCAGGCAATAGCCCCGGTCGCCACTAGTTTGCCCCCTGAAAACAAGTAATTATCACGGGATTAAGGAAACAAAAAATTATCTCATAGTTAATAACGTACCCACCGTTACGGGAGTCAGGTCCCCATAGCCGACCGTAGTCATCGTTACGATACTGAACCAACAAGCGGCCGGAATCGAGATGAATTGTGAGTCGGGCTCGTCCTTCTCCAAAAAGTAGACTAGCGTGCTGAAGAAGATGACGCCGGTCATTACCACCATCGCCATCATCCCCAATTGCCTAAAGCTGGCCTAAAGTATGGATGTCAAGACAACTTCTTCTGACTTACCTGTAACGTCTTTCCAAACATCTGAAGGCCACTACTGTATCGTCCAAGTTTGAGAACTCGAATCACCCTTAATACTCGTAGAATCCTGATTACCAGTAGCGCACCCTGAAAGTATAATATTTTTATCGAAAGTGTTATATAGATTTAGGATTTAAAATACAGTACTCACAATCTTAGGATCATACTTACCTTGAGGTCGCGTAGTTGTTCAGTATCAATTCCAACAAAAAACAAAGCCATATCAGCCATGAAGGGTAATATGGCAAACAAGTCGATGATGTTCAGTAGTTGACAGAACGTCTTGCACCTGTCAGCGGATACCAACATCTTCGTTACGTACTCGAACAAGAACCACACTATGCACACGTACTCCAACTGTACCAATAGAGGATGTGGCTCCATTTCCACTACTTTGTCTGTCCCTATAACACCGACTTGTCTTAGGTCCGTTGTCTTACCTGCACTACCGGTTCTGTTCTTCCTTGGTACTTCAACTTGTAAGTCCGGTATTGATCCCAGTACTAATCCCCCGATCGAAATCAGAACGAATAGAACTGACAGGAAAGTGAATGCTTGGGCGTAGATAGAGCTGAAAGGAGACTTGCTCACTTATCTAGATGGTATATTACCTGTTGGGTTCTTCGATGATGTTCCAGATGTCTTCTCTCAGAGATCCTAGCCTAAGGTGTTTGAATTCACTGGGTCGGTCTTCCACACTATCACTGTCTTCCGAGCCATTCTCATCGTCGCTAAGGTCGTCTTCCATACATGAGCACAAGTTGATCAGCTTCTCTGGGTCCAGTTTCCAGAATCTAAATTCGTCGAGTAGGTCCTGAGGGCAAATGTGAGGTGCTTGGTGAATTTTTCCTAAATAAAGAGTCAATTTGAAAGTGATACTCAAAGGTGATCACTACATGAATAGTTCAATGACATTAATAAACAGGCTTAACAACTTACCTGTAGTGTAAAATTGATATATGATGTGAAAGAGGGTCGGAGATCGCTCGAAGTAGTACTCTCGAGTATCCGAGAAATAGGCATCAGCAACGAGAAGGCGTTGTTCGTGAGTCTGCTTGGCAAACGAGCTGAGAAGACCTATGTTTCGAACCAACAACGTGGAAACCAAAAAAGTGAACTGGCTCCCCCCTATGTTAATACGTAAGAATTTGTCATCAGTGCCCAATCGGTCCACAACAACCGCCTGAAACACAAAGCTGAGACAAAAGCTGAATACTAATTTGGTCAGAAAAGTCTCGAAAAAAGATTTAAATAACAGCCAGCTCTGGAAACCTTCTGTCCACTAAAACGTAAAATATCCAAGAAATGAAAATGTTAATGTTTGAACTTCGAAATGTAGAGTAAGATACCTTCCGTGGAGTTTCATCAGCGTGAGGAATATACTCGAACGATGAGAACGGCAACAAACTCCGGAGCTCGGTGTTCTCCTCGTGAGCATTCCGACTGAGGTGGGGTAGTCGATCGGCTCTGAAAGCGAAAAGGTAATTGCTCGTACTGGGAGGGTGGGAGCTCCTACTTGGCCAAGTATGAACCGAGACGCTCGGTGGAGGGAACAAGGCCGCGGTGGTGTTTGTGGCGGTTCAACCGATGTATGCCATGGGTTGTAGCCATGATACTGCCCTGCAGGACGGCGGTGTTCATGTTTGTTTACAATAGGGGCGGATCGGACTGTGGGAAGTGTAGGAATGTTAGGTAAGAATAACTTAATTTATAATGTCTTTACGGCAAAATAAACCAGAGTTGAGGAAGGGCCCGTAAAGTCATGGCCTCCGGGGGAAGAGATTATTGTCGCGGCCGAGCGGATTGTCTAGGACAAAAATCCTTCAACACACCTTTCTTCGGCTGCCAATTGGCCCCTAATTTACCGGGTAGGGCAAGAAGAAAAAGAACTGAGTGAATCTAGGTTATTCTCATCGTTCCTACGCAACAAGTAACAAAAAAGTATTTATTCCTTTGGCTCACAAATTTACCTGACGTTATGGTTGTGTAGAAAGTCTCTGACCGAGGGCTTCAGCGACGACGCCGAGCTCATGCGTCGAAGAGCTACAACAATATTCTCGAGTTTTCGAAACTTCCATTTATATTATCATAGACGAACAACTACAGTAACTTACTTACCTTCCGCTCGTTTTCCGCCACCGTAGGACGAGATCATGCCTGTTGAAATACGAAGGCCCCCAAAAGGACAGCTTCAGCGACGATTAAAAATGCATTAATATTTGACAATTTTTGTTATTACGACCTCAACTTATCCTCCCTGTTGTTTTAGGCGAACTCTAAAAGGTTTCCATCGTTTCTGGCCTCACATGTATACATTAGGAGCGTCTTGTTAGTTACGTTGAACTTTACGCACACTCGTTCAAAAACAAAAGAAAATTATATTTACCCAATGTTACATAAAAAATTAATTGCCTCGTACACAATGTGCACTTTCAAAGTGCCACCCCAAATGTGTTTGATGTAAAAGTGAAAGTGCATAGATTTGTGACTTCATTCATTCGTATGTTTCATTGAGTACTAACACTTTACATGCAATTCACAACTATGCGTTATGTTTATATAAAGAATCTTTATAACCCTATAATGAAAAGTTTACATCCAGTACTCATTCGTCATTTCAAGGAGATGCCAGGCAAAGCCAGTAAATTTTCAGTCGGATTTCGCATAAACTGATAGCAAAAAACAGAAAGTTACGGAGCGCAACCTTAATTACAATCTACGGAGAGACGGAGCGAAGAATCAGAGAAATAACGACGCCAGGGTACCCACCTCTTTCTCCATTCGTCTCGCGCATTTTTGCTTAAGGGCGACAACCCCTCGCGACATTCGCCAGCTCAGCTTTATCACTGCGCCTTAGGCGATGTTTCTGAGCTGCTAGTTTTGTAACTGTTGCCTTGATTTAATTAAATTCTGAGGCTGAATATCAGATTTCATTAACTTTGAAATACTTTCCAAACATCCTTTTATAATTCCTAATTGTATGGACGGTAATTTCAAAATAAATAAACTTTGTTTCCATGGTTAATTTATCCTAAAACAAAACAGCGCTTTGTCCCAATAATTTTGTAACACTTTGTCTCAATTTCCGATATTCGCTGACACTTCGTTTACACAAAAATAAAATATATTCGGAAAAAATATTTGACAATTTTCAGTTATGCAATGGACAGTAGATGGATATTCCACATAGTGTTCTTGTCCTTATTTGGGCTATTCGATTCTCTGCCAGATTCTGAATCCATCGACTCAATTTCTCATGCTTTTGTCCAAACGGATTCAGAATTACACTATTTTCGGGACACATCCACCAAAGAATTGTTGAATTTGGTGAAACCGTAAGTTACTATATGCTTATTTGTTACCGCATTTAGTGCTGATATTAAGAAGGAACCACCTGGAGTACCATTGAAGTTGGTACCGCCTAAAATAGACTTCGAAACGGGTCAGTTGGGCATACCTAGACGGCGTCAAGTGGTTATTCTCAACAATAACGACTTTGAAGTCAGTCTTAAGGCGATTCTGTCGTCGTCACAAGATGTTTACTATACGTTTCCAACTAACAAAGTGAGTTCCAGTTTTTTTTATTCGTTTAAAGTTAAAAAGGATATATTACACAACAAATTAATACCTAAAAACTTTTAAATGTTTTAATCATAAAAATTTTTTTCTTAAAAAATGCAAGTCTCAAGATTGGTATTATTGTTTTTAGATAATACCGCCACACAAGAACACCACAATAACAGTGACATTTCTGCCGCGACATGAAGGACATGTAGAACTGTCAGTGCAGATATACAACAGCCACTCAACAGTCGAGCTCCAGGTCCAAGGAACAACAAAAAGCAGTGAATATCGTCTCAAACACGAGATAATATGCATCTTGCCTTTCAAGGGCTCTTTGGACTACCCTTTACTACTACACAATCCTCATGCTTCGAGAATGAAGGTCACCAAAATCATATCAAGTGATAAGTCAGTGGTAGTGTCATTGAATGAAGCCACTAACGATACAGTAAGTGGAGTTTCTTGTTTATATTGTAGTTTAGGATTTGATTCCATACGAATCTCGGAAGATCGGCGACATAAGCGTTGTAGGTAGTGAGATCAAGAACACTACAGTATTTGTAATGATAAGGGCCGAGATCTTACCGTATGAAGAAGGTTCTGTGTCCAGCGATGTCAGCCTGGTTATATCTATTGATGTAGAAGTGACAGAGAGACTTGGCATCTTCTCAACGGTAGATGTGATCGACTTTGGACTCATAAAGTACGGAGACAAGTCGGAAAGAAAGGTGTTCGAAGGCTTCACGAATGTTGACAATGGCCTCGAGGTGGAGCAGATATACGTGGTAAAGAACTACCATCCGAACTACGGCCTCTACATGCAGTATGCTTCGAAACCGCCTATTTCTGTACCTGGAGGGGGAAGAAGTGATCCCGGGAAACCTGTTCCAATTGCCAATGTTCATCTTGATACAAATTACTTTACTTTGAATGCTACACAACAGCTTCACAGAGTCACAGGAGAAATTGTAGCCGAAAGTCGAGGTGGCAACTACAATGTTACCGTCAAATTCAAAGCATTGATTGCCACCGGGTAAGTTTTTATAATGCTTAAAGGTTTTTTTCAAAAGTTAATTTATTTTAACTGTTATTTATTTTATGTTGTAACGATTATCTGTTTTATAGAGGTATATCACAAGTAATGAAAGACTCGTCGTTCTACATTAAATTGGAGCCTCCTATCACGAGAGTGGTGTCATTACACAATGAATACCCATTTGGTATTGGCATGTGGGACGTCGATTTGGATGAAGACCACGAAGACATCTTCAACGTTAAGTTGATCAGTCCAGTGGTTGAAGTGGCACCAAACGAGACTAAACCGGTACTGGTTATTACCTATTTGTCGACGCCAGATGTGCCGACTCGTATTAATTGTGTAGTATCTTCAAATGTGACTGCTTTCAAAGTACAATTACTTGTTTTTGAAGGCAATATAAAGGTAAGCTAACCAGTAAAGTCTCACGTAAATTTAAGAATTATACGCAATTGTATTGAATTTAAAATGTTTTACAGGTTGATATACCGTACTACAACCAAGTGGCAAACAAGGTCGAACTTGGTGAAGTAACCAAGAATGAAATACGGTCATACTACTTCACCGTAGCCAATCCAAATCCCGTAGCCTTGGCCTTAAAAAGCCTAAAAGATCCGTGGTTCGGCCACATTTCTCTGAGTCTCTTGTACATGGGTGATGGTAACAATACAAAACCGTACTCTTTGGACCCTCCAAACGTACAATGGCATTCAGGAATGGACTTGTATCTATCAGCATCGACCTTTATGGTGTTTAATATGACTGTCCATTCGAATGGAAACCTGGAGGTTCCTTCTGACCTTGTTTTAAGGCTTAAAACGGAATTCGAAGACTTTGTTTTCCCACTAGATCTCAAGTTCACGAATGAATCTTTGAAGTTTGTGGACAAGACAATTGACTTGGGAGTATCGTTTCCTGGCAAAATCACAAATAAAAATATACGAGTAAGTGTATAGATGTGATAGCCATCACCGATTTTAGGTATATTCCAACACGGAAAAACAAGTAAGAGTACTGTCTATGTCAACGTTGACAGACGACCCGCGGTTTTCTTTCTTGGTAAACAACTCAAAAGACATGATAGTACCATCGAGAAGTGTCAAGACACTTGGAGACGTTACTTTCTCTCATGGAACCTCATGCACAACAGATTGTTATTGTGGTTTCACAATACATAGTCCAGGTACAGTAATAACCTAGTGACTCCAGTAAATTACTGCAATACATATTAAAAAGTTTTGTTTCAGATGGGCAGTGGTTTACCCACGGAATGAAGTTGCCACCGAATTTACCGGAAATCGACAGTTACCTGTATCAACGTCTACGTCAGAAGTGGCACGCGATAGTAGACAAGACTGTCAAGTCTAAGATCATCCTCGACACGGATCGCTTCAAGAGTGTTGAGGTTGGGATAAAGGCGAAGCTGAGTTGGCCAAAGCTGTTTAGCCATCCAGTGGTCCATTTCCCTTTGACTGCTGTCAACAATTTTACCGTAAGTGACAATAAAACGTTATATGACGCTATTTTATGTGACCACAGTGTTGAGATGCTAGAGACACAGACTGTTTTCAGATTCTGAACTTAACCTTGACTAACCCGTCAATTCATCCTGTGATTGTGCAACTCCTCCCCTTAGTTATCTACCCTGACGCTGAAGCTCTGTTAGAGTTGTTCAAAGACGAGTTTGAATCACCTCTGATAGAGCCAGTGGAAATGAACGAAACCCTAATGTTTTCCTTACGGGACACTGAGCTGTTTTCTCTAAAACCTGGCAGTCCAGTACCTGGCCTTCGAGAAGAAGTTGAACAAGTCATAAATCGCCAAGTTCCGCGTTTCACGTTGTCTATGATTCTGAAGCCGGGTATGAAAACCAGGATCCGGGTTGGGTTTCTACCATCTGACTACAACTTAAGGTCATCTCTATTGTTAATAAGAAACAACTTGACCGCTCTAGAGCCAGTTATTCTGTACGGTAGAGGCTCTCGCGTCGGTCTTGAGATTGACGGTAAAAGTCCCCGTGATATACAACTGATTTTCGACATCTTAATGTCTCACCTAAGCGACTGCTACAATCCAAAAAGATTAACACACAAGTTGGGTACGAATTTGACGGTAAAACGAACATTCATCCTTAAGAACACTGGAGAGTCCGAGCTGTGGATAGTTAACATCAGCATTAGCGGCACTTCCTGTTCAGACCGTGGATTCAGAGTGTTAAACTGCGACACCTTCATCTTGTCGCCCAACGAAACAAGAACTATTGATGTAGCTTATACCCCAGACTTCTTGATGAGCGTGAATGAAGCTACGCTCCAGATCTACACTCATATGAATGCTACTCCTTGGGTGTTTGATCTAGTGGCTACAATTGCACCAGAAATGTTGGAGATATGTCATGCTGCTCTTCCCAGACCTCCTTTCGAATGGTTGATGTACTATGCTTGCTTGATGGCGTTGATGTAAGTTTAAAATAATTTAAATATGTTTTAAAACCAGTTTATCCTAACTTACAGTAGATTAATATATCGTATTTCAGCTTTTGTATGATTTGCATTAGTGCCTGTGCATACCTGGAAGGTGACCGTTGTCTGTCTGGGATGCAACATCAGCAGATCGAAGTAATGAACGATTTACATTGCGATCCATTACTGAATCTACAGTCAGCTTCTGAAGAGCCTTACAGTCAAGTCAAAGGTTTCTTATGGAGATTGAGCAATGTGACCAGCCGGAAGAACGAAGACAAGTTTTTGTGGGTTTACCAAAGCACTGACAATTTCTTTTACGTTCTATTGGCCAAGATGTTCAACTACTTTATTTTTATCAGTGAACATGTTTGGTGGGTGATTCGAGGAGATGTGTTCAACGAGAAACATTCTAAAGAGGTATTCGATTACGAGAAACTGAATACAACGATTAGCTTAATGGACGACGACATGAATGCAGAAAAGAAAGGGTACGACAAACCTGATGAAGCCGAAAATGTAAAGACTGGCAAGAACGGAGTCAGAAGACGACGGAACGCGAACAAAAAGAAGTATCCTGAAGTCGAGATTCAGGAGAACAACAACACAGAAAAGAACAAGCCCAAGAAAGAAAAGGCAAAGAAGCAGGAGAGCGAGAACAACATCTACACACTCAAAACAAAGGTAGCACCGTCCGTCTCTGTCCAGACGGATTCAACAAAATCATCGGATTCGATGCAGTGGAAGGACGAATTTGAGATTCCAGATATGAATCGTTTTGATCAGAGCCAGAACAACGACGAGAGCAACTCTCCTCCTCCAGAATGGGCGGACTCCGTCATTTCGTCAAGTAAGTCTTTTTTATATTTTGCTTTACAATTTATTTTGCTTGTATCAAATTACATTATCTTGTACTATTTGATTCCAGGTAATGTGAACACAGACTTTGCTTACTATGCTTCTCAAGCTGGTGCATTGTTCAATGACGAGCCAGAAGAAACCTTATTTAACAAAGGCGACGTGGATGAAGACAACAACAAGTGTCATGAAAATGAAGTTTGTAATACATCTTGGTTGACGCCAGAAGTCATAGAACAACTTGTGGAGGAATACCGACAAAAACTGATCGAATTATCAGCCTCAAATCCTGCTGCTGGCGACATATCTCCTCCCTTGCCTCCAATCGTGTTAGAATTACCTAAAGAAGAACCAGTACCCAACGTTTTGAACGGAATTCCACCACGAATGGACACAACATACTTCGACAACAATGATAGTAACAATGTATACGACCAGTTACTGCAGTTCCAGCAAGAAGCACAGAGAGAATACGACTTCCATCGACACCTCATGTACCAGGGATACGCTTCTGGACAACTGGACGTGAACTTTCAATTCCCTTGGTTTATTCAACAACAAAATGCCACTCAAAATGTAGAAGATCAAAGTAATGACAACAATGGAGAATTCAATGCAGTCGTAGGAGGAAACGAGATCTGGCACCCCAAGAGCGGGGACATTCAAGACTGGCCAGACTATACCAAATTTGAATAAACGAAAACATAAAATACGTTTAAAAAATACCTGCAAACAGGGATATAGATTGAACAAAAATAACAATATATATACAGTATATTCTCACATACAGTAAGCTTAAAGCGATATATAGAAATTTAAATGAGCTTTCAAAGTGTTATAGGAATTCAAATGACTTGAAATGCTGTAGTTTAAAATAGTTAAAAGACTGGTTATCGGTTACGTTGCTCTATTCATCCACGTTGAGAAGGTTGACTTTAGTCGGTTACCTTGCTCGCTAACATACTTGGCTGTGGTGTTCAACGTGCTTATCACTTTCCTGCCTTGCCCACTACTGTTGATCTTTCGTCCCACTAATAGCAGTAGGTCTGTTGCACCAACTGGACCAGTACAAGGGTGTCTAAATCATTTATGATGTATTAAATCTTATCATAATGTAAAAATATCGTATACGAGAGAGAAGAAAAAAATCATAAAAAAACGTACTCCAGAACTACGTCAGGCATCTTTTCATATTGGGCCGCGCTCCAGACTTTGAAGTTATGGGTATCCTTCCACGCTGTTAAAAACTCGGTGTTGTACTCATTATAATGTTCAGTTAGTCCATCTTTACCTACCATCAGCAAAGAACATATGTACGAGTAAATTTGTACTCGTACCCAATCATCATTGCCGGTAAAATCTAAACCAACAAGGTCAGCTTTATTTAAAATAGCAGAAACGGGTGCTACTTTACTAGTCAAGTAAATGTATTACAAATTTGTTTACCTGAAGGAACGGAATTCTCGACCGAATGAAGGATGTTCTGCATGAATCTGATGTCTTGAGTCGTTAAGGCAACCTGTTTCTCCAGCTTGGGATCATTGATATTGATAGACCCTACTCCATTTGAGTCGATCGAAACATAAACATCATACAAGTCCTTATTCGACCGAAATATTGAGTTGGTCACCCCAATACAGTATCCACGAACAGACGGCAATCTCAAATTCTCAATCCAATTCACACTTAAGTACGGATGGAAGAGATATCCCTGTAACGGTTTCAAATTGTTTTACTATTAATTGAGTTCATCAATCAATACCCTATTCATAGAGATGACAAACCTTTGTAAAGATATTCAAGGGGAACCCGTACTTGTTTACTTTGATATTGTCAGATTTACTACAGGATTGAGATGCCGCTTCAACCAGCCCTTCTTCTAACATGCCTAAAAGTTAAGATTAATATTATAATGAGAAGACTTACAAGGTAACAGAGATATGAGACTCATTAGAACATCACTCAACTTGCTGGTGGGTGTGACGTCGAATATCACTTTCTTTTCCAACAACAATATCTTTACCAGTTCGAGAGTATGATGTTTGAAGGCGCTTAGAAGAGCGTTCAAAGGAATTCCTATAAAGATTTACAAATTACAGCAACCTCTAATGAAACCAAGCCAGGCCTTATATCAAAGCATTTTTACATTATAATCAATGTGTAATCTCACCCATGTAAATGGCCTGACAATCCAGTAAGTCATAAGTAAAAAGGTCGGTCAAGTTGTCAAACGTCTGATGTAGTACCTCGACTTTTGTAAAGTCTTTTTCATTAAAGTAGGCTTCGGTTATCAACTCCAATTTGGCTCGTAGATTGCCATACAGAGGAACACGAGATAATACAACTACACTTTTCTGCACATGACTTCGAGTGACTTCTGAATCCTTCTGAAGAAGTTTGTCACTGTCAATATGACGATAACAGGCTATTCCGAACACCGTGTTACAACACTCGTCCAAGGCGGGTAAGGTAAAGTAAACCGTGTCTAAAGTTATGGCATTTTACTGGTTTTATTGATATGACTTGTAAAAAAACTAAAAATGTAAGCTTAGAATCGAAATTACGATACACTATCTTACAGAATACTTACCTCCATCCAACGAATTATGAGACCCATCAGGCATGGCAAGGTTCGGGAGGTTTTCCCATTGATCAGGCAATTCTATTTCGTCTTCTGATTCATTAATGGGCGGGTAACAATACTCCACCTACAAAAGGCAATTTAACATTAAAATTAAGCTTGCTATTAAAAAACAAATAGTAAACGCTCAATTATTTTTTTAAACTAACCTGGCTGCCTTTAGTGTGATGAAATCCAACGACTATGACATGAAGTATTGGACTTCCCATCTAAACGACAAACCTTTTTAAAATTTGAATTTTCAAAAATAATTTGGTCTTTACCTGTATATCGTATTACATTACAAAAAATTTCATAAAACAATAAAGCGTTTATTGATATCATCAACCATGCACGGTGCGGAGATTCCAGTACAATATTTGTGAACTTGTGACAGATTTAGGAAAAAATAATAACAAAGTGTTAAAAACAAAAAAGACAATTATGTAACAGATCAAATACTTAAATGACACAATATATATACAATACGATTATTGCAGTATGATAATTGATACATTGCACATAATGGTAACAAGAACTTTAGAATAGTTATAAAAGTCAATGATTAAGGTTAAAATACACATCAAGGTTAAGACATAGTTCTAGGCATTAAAAAAAATGAAATGCAGTTATAATATTATTATTACGATTGTTTTAGCCATGGGTTATATGCAATAGCATTGGTCCGTCTCTCTCCATAATCATAGACCAACTCTTCTCCTATGTCAATATCCCTCTTAGCGAATAAACAAAGGTGGATCGAGTTTGGCAGCTCCACCACTCTTGACTTGAGATTCGGCTTCAGAAAGCTGTGATTAACTAACCTTCCTTTATATTGGCTTTCCGCCGTCGCATCCACACAAAACCGCTGATTTCGATGCTCGAAAAAGTACATGTAAGAGCCAATCAGACTGTTCTGGGCATACTCTTGTTCCCTTTTCTTGCCCTCAGCTGCCGTCAGGATCTCTCCACGGTATTCAACGACAAAATCATCCTTCTTGAAACGTCTTCCCGCCTTTATCCCTCTTCCCTTCTCTTCGGTCTCGTAGATTCGGAGGTAGTCTTCGTAGTAGCCGGTTTCAATCAAGCTTCTGATCTTCTCATTCTCTTCGAACTAAACAAAGAATGTCAAAAATAACTACATTAACCTTACCTTTAGTTGTTCGGCGGTTCTTCGTGTACTACGACGAACAGAAAAGTACTCGGTCAACTTGTGATTATCATTGAGTTTGTCTCTAAAATTCAAATTCAGTTTTAAAAAATAATTTTTTAATGATAATACCTAAATTCATTCAAAATTCTTACTTTTTGATCTTGTTCTTAGTAATTCGATTGTTATTTCTTGAAGACATGGCGACTCCAGGACTCTACATAACTATTTACAGACACATAACAATCGAAACCAGCTCCGCGCGTGTCTATAACTTTTTTCCGAATTATTTTCTATTTGGACGAAGTGTCACAATTGACTTTTCGTAAAATCACAAAAGCGTCGAGAAAGTCGAATCAGTCATAATAAATCACAGTAACGAAACTGTTTGAAGGAATATGCACAATGTTTTGTGACCAGATAACCCAATAGGTAATTAAAGATGCAGTATAATGGGTAACATAAGGTGAGCGCAAGAAAAGTGATGATGAAAAGTTTTAATCGAGAGTCTAATGTAAACGCAGCGAGATCACTTTACAATAATTCGCTTTATGCACTTAACATCAGACACTCTGAAGAACCTTGAATAATGTGGTCGTATATTTTGTTGTGTCTCATTTGTTTCGTCGATTCCTACAAGATCCTGCAGATTGTTCCGGGATTCACAAACAGTCATGTCCTGTTCAATTACCGTCTGGCGAACTTGTTAAAAGAGCAGAACAACTCTGTTCAACTATGGACCCAGATGGAGATGGGAATGGTTGTGGCTGGCAGTCTGAAGTTGCCAAAGGGGGTCAACGAATTTCGTATACCTATTCATTTCACAAACTCTTTGAAGGCCGAAGGATTGAAGGTAAATTTGATTTTTTTTGTGTTATGAATAATACCTGTAGTTAAAGTAAAAAAAGATAAAGTTTCATTTTCTATCACATATGCATCACTAATCAGTACTAGGCATAGTTTATATTAATAACATTTAATCACTTTAAAGGTGTTCCAACACATGATGTTTGAAGCCGGCACCACTTACGATCTATTCTGGACAGGTAAAGAATTCAAAGAAATGAGGTTGGAATCTTGTGAGCAGATGTTGGCTACAGAGCCTCCGGTAGTAAACTCTTTTGTCGACCAGAAATATGATCTTTCGATAGGTCATTTCCATGATTTGTGTCCGATTGCGTTATCGAAACTAGCCGAAGTAAAAGAAGTAAGTAAACACAATAATTGGGTAACCATGATTAGTAATTTTAGTAGTTTAGTAATCGTATTTCATTTGTTTACTATTTTGTAATTAGACTTTGTAGCCTTATATTAATACATAATTTTTGGTACTTTACTTTGGCTCTTGCTACATTACAATGTTGTTTTACATTTTTATTATTCTAGCTTATTTGGATAACACATGGCACGTCATTATATGATTACACAGCAGTACAAGCAGGACTACGAACCTTTCCTTCGTATGTTCCTCATCCCTTATCATCTTACAGCGATAGGATGACATTTATCGAGAGAGTAATCAACGTTTTGTGGCATTTGGGAGGTTTGGATTTCGTGAATCTGCCGCAGAATCTTCTTTACGATGAAAATGAAATGTACAAGAAGTGTAAGTTATGTTACTTTTTTATATAAAACTTATAGCTCCTTAGGGCTGTGTAAAATGTTAATATTTTAAAAATTGAATATATTTTGGCGATTTTAAATCAATTTTATTATTAGCAATTGTGTTGCAGACTTCAAAGAAAGCGGTTCTGCTGACTTGTGGGACCTCAGTCACAAGATTCGAGTGATTCTGATCAACGGTGAGAGATTCCTCGACTTCCCTCGCCCGTTACCTCATGGAATCCAATTTATTGGCTCAGTCAGTAAACCTACTTTACATTCCCTGCTACCCGATGAAGTACAACAAATAGTGTTGTCAGCCAAGAAGCTGGCCATCTTCTCGTTAGGAACCGTGTCTAATACGACCAACATGCCTGCTCAGATGATACACTCGTTTGTAGAAGCCTTTGGTCGCTTCCCCGAGATAACGTTCTTGTGGAGAATGGAAATGGACGTTCCGGAAGCCCGCAAGTACAGTAATATCAAGCTGCTCAAATGGCTTCCCCAGAAAGAACTCATGTGTAAGTGCATTCAAACTTCGAAAATCTCATTCAAAAATAGGCCACGCTGTTTTACTTTCGTGAAAGTAAAGCTCAGGATTACAGTATTGCGTGCCACAAAAGTAATTTTGACAATAATGTTTTTAGCTCACCCAAAAACCATTCTACTAATCGCTCACGGAGGCTACAACAGTTTCCTAGAAGCCTCTCAGGCAGGTGTACCGATCGTCTTGATGCCCTTGTTTGCTGACCAATTCATCAACGCCAAAAGGTCAGATCGTTTCGGAATATCGACAGTGCTAGATAAACTGTCACTCACCCCCAACAAAGTGGCTACAGCCATCTCCACCATCGTTAACGACCCCAGATACCACCGTAGAGCCATGAAGCTGGCTGCCATGCTGAAAGAGAAACCCGCTTCTGACTTCGGATTCACGATCAAACATGCCCTCAGGACCTCACAGTTCACGCGAGATCACTTTGCTTTAAAGGCCGCCCAGGCCTTGAATTTCGTCCAATACTTCAACTTGGATGTATATTTATCGTTATTGCTACCGGCTTTATGTATTTCATATTAACGCAGATATATTACTGTAATCATGACGGCTTTGACGCCGTACCCGTTTCACGTAATATCAAAATGTCTGTAGAAAACTGTAGAAGTCGAGTCTTAAGTGGCGGATTCGTTCCGCTTTGGCCCCAAAAATAAATCTTTGGACGACAATTTGGTGTCCAGTGATTCGCTGACTAAAATAATAGAAAATAGTTTGGTAGATAATGGTATAATATATACTACAAGACAACTTTTAATATCATAGCTTAGCCTAAAGGGTGTATAATTGCCCCTTTGTAACATCTGAGCCATGTTGGACTTCTTTAAATATCAAATAAATAATTCAAAGTCTTAACTTCACGTAAACGTATTCTATGAGCTTACTGAGCAATGACTAAAGCTCGGCGAAAGTTCAAAAGTTTTTCAATTATAATTTTCGTTAAAAGTTTGTAAAAAGCCTCTGTTGGTTTTTTGACACTTTTGACAAAGCTTGCATTCAAATAGCTGCAAACTATGAAAAGTACAATAAACTTTGCAAGTGAAATATAAACACAAGCCTCGTATTGGCAGAACTATAACTTTTCTGCATACTTCGACTTCACAACCAATAACATGTATGTCACTTACCTAGCTGGTCGATCTTGGGGCCTAGCGAAAGCGACAGCGCGACTAATATAAAGGAAATGAGCATGAGTGTGATAGCGACAGCCGTGACCACTCGCTTAATCCGGCGATGGTTCTGCTCCTTGAGCTGCTGCACCTCGAGGTCGGACAACTCGAGCAATGTCATAACTGGAAATGAAAAGGAAAGTCTTTAAGCACAACTTGAGGAATACGAACACGCAGTCATTCGGAAGCAAATTGGCACGAAGGGGCCTCTAGAGTGTCATATCCTGCTAGGACTTTGTGTTAATGACAAGCCGCAACGTCATTCATATTCGATTTGAACAGAGAATGGTTGGGCAAATAAAAGGCAACCTAATAACTTGTAATCGTCTTTTCGTTCTCATGCACCGCCGAAATCCTCAAACAAAACGTAAGCCCGCCTGAATACCGTAGCCCATGAAATTCTAGCGAAGCGCAAAAACGTGCGTAACAGACGAACATGTCAAGAAGTCATCGGATACGCAGTAGCCATTTGCAGGAATTAACAACTGTTAGTAGCAACGTGTGATGTCAGCAGTTACCGTACTGTTTCAAAAATTAAAAAAAACGAAAAGATAACTGTAAAGTAAAGTGCCATTTTACGGTAAAAAATATTCCAAAGACTGTGGATATTGTTAAACGCAAAACTATGAGTTTCAGGAATTGTGGCATGACAATAAAACAACAAAAAATTCAATTAATTTTAAAATTATGATATAATTCATTTTTTACTACAAATACCATACATTCATAAACTACAACAGTAAGAGGGCCAAGTCTTCAGGCTTACTCAACCTTCAAAATAATGATTTTCGCTAAAACCAAACAAACAAGTATAACTTTGAAATATATCATCACCCCGCCCGTCAATGGTCCCTAAGGCTCATTTATGCCGAAACGACAATCTCTGGCTACGTCGTGTTATGATATTTGTGACGCAAAATAATTGGACCGTGAAAATGGGGAGAGACACGTAAATAAGGCAAAAAGCTTACCCGCAATACCTATACCTACCACACCATGATTGAGAGGTGTGAAGGCGCGAAACCCAAGACGAACCCTATCTATCAAGGGAATGTCAACTTTGAGCCACTGGGACAGGTGACAAAGCCATGGCTCGAGCATTGTCCTCGGACTTAAGCGCCGTGCCCTGAATGTGACCAAAACACGGCGGAAAACAGAAATTCTTTTGCCGCCAAAGTATTCCAACTCCTTTCTCTTTTATTTTCGTCAGAGAGGCTGGTTTGTTACGAATGCGAGAACAGTAGTAGTACTACTACTGCGCTGGTAAGAGTTTTCTTCACTCTCTCTTTCATGCCCGAGTTGACTTGACGCAATCCTCACCTCTCCTTACCCCCTCCTCCTGCCGCAGCCTGTTCTCACGCCATTACTAGGCGTTCATTAACTGGCCTGCCCTCCGGGGACACATATCACGCACAGAATCTAATTAAGGCCCAACAATGCCATTATTTCCCACAATCACGGACTATTCCCACTATAAGCAAACGATACCTCTTTTAGAGTCCCAGATACCTTCTCAGAGGATAGCTATACCATTTATGACCAAAACTTGTTTTCCTTCAAGTCAAAAATAATATTTCTACAATAATAACCACTTGGAATGAACTCAACCCTCCCCCTCCGTCTACTATCGAACACAATCAACCGCTTGATAACAGTCATGTTTACGTCTCTGATTTCACAAATCTACCCCCAACATGCTAACAACTCGCTAGTCACAAGAGTTGTGTGTTGGTGCCACCAGAAACAAGACTCGTTTCCTGGTACAATAACATAACCAGTAAACAAAATAAATTCAATTTCGTGCACTTAACTTCACACTTGCTCTAATCGGCTTTGCAAGGAATGTTGAAGTCTAATTCAGACATAATTGAAGTTCATGCAATCAAGCTTGTAAACAGCCTTTACTTCCTCATAATTCGTCTGAAATGTCTATTCATAACGGAGTAAAGTCAACTATTCTCTGAATGCAAGTTTTCGAAGCTAAGCAAGTGGAACAAAAACAGAAAAAAGGTACAATGTCTGACGTTTTAATTACAAAAATAGTAATTTATAGAGGTAAAAAATAATTTAATTTTTTAAAACAAGATTATAAGAATTCATATATTTTAAGAAAAAACATCCTTCACCAATTAAAAAGAGAAAATTCACAAATAAACAGTGTATATAACTAAACAAATGCAAAGTAAGCCATTAAAAACATAAAACTTGCCAAAATTAAGCAAAGAATGCCAAATAAAAACTTCTATTGAGATATTGTTGAAATCCGAAACCTAAACAAATCGTAGCAGACAAAAAAACAACAAGAAATCAAGCAAAAAGCTTCAAAAAACTATTGTGGCACGTAGAAACTATACTTAAATGAAGCAGAATAAAAAATTTTAAGAAAATTATAAAGTAAACTACATACATAAAATTAGCAAGCCAAGTTGATACAAAACTTTTAAGTTTAAAAAAAAGGCAAAAAAATTATTAAATTTAAAAAAATGTGTTTTGGCTTCCATGGCAAAGACAGAGACAGAGTAATTGAAACTCTTTAAATTTACTTATGTCATGTTCTAAATTATTATTTAAAGTTACAAAACCAAAATCCACAATATTTTCGAAAAAAAATAAAAAACTTTAAGTTTCGGACAAAGCTGCTAAAATTTAAATAGTCCAGAAAACACCTGACTAGACGTCCAGCTAGACCCATTCATATGTAAGGCACTTATGCTTTAATACGGCTATATAAACAGGATTTTTTGTAAAAATCCATCTAATATTACCCAATAGTTTTATATTGTAGTAGAATTATCAATTTGGTTTTTAAGAATTTTAAACAAAACCTGCTTACATTTTATAGATATTACTGTAACTCTACATTTAAAATACACTCTGTGAAACGAACATTTAGTAATATTCTTGCACTTGTGAACATGTAGAATCACAAAGCAATCCAAAAGATCAAACTTTGACATTATAGATATGTTGCGTGATCGGCCTATCAGTCTGTTTATTTATCTTCATTCGAACATGTCGCTGTATCATAAGGTTTTGTTATTTCTTGTCTTTGGCTTCACTGCCGCTTTAACCAATGATTCTAGCACGACGCTAGCTCTTTCCAGACGAGGACTGGAATTCTTCAATTCTATTGGCCATAAAATAGCAAGTTTTCTTAAAATTTTATTTTTTAAGCAAAGGGAAGTAAATGAAGGATATAATTTCTTTAAATTAATACCTATATACATTTAGTAAAACAGAAAAAAGTTACAAATTACCTTTTCACTCAAAATACAGATGTGCTTAAGGTAAACAGAGAACTTCCCAAAATCGCCTTCCCTAACATCAGTCTACCTATAAATGGCGGGCCAGGTAGTGGAGAAGTGACCGTGCGAGATTTGAGGATTCCAAAGTTTGATTCTCCACTATTTCAATTCGATTTACTGCCCCCAGAAGCGGTCAGTTGGAAGTCAGAAGGAGGTGCCATCAAGATCACTGGGAATTGGTCAGCTGAATACGACTTTGTTGCTCCGGTAAGAAACGACATGTACAATAATATTCTATGACATAGCAATGTTTTATTATCACTGTATTTGTATTATTTGCAAAATTGATTTTTGAATTTTCTACTCTTTGATAATGACGTCTTAAACATAAGATAAATCGGAACTAGGCATGAAGAACGAGCCAGGCCCACCTTTTAGTCATGGCTCGATCCTAATTTTGTATAAGCCCGACCCGTTCACTATGTCTAAAAAACGTTACAAATCCTAGCTTTAACTTTATCGTAGTCTTACTAATACAAATGGTATGTGTTCAGTCTACAGTAAGACCCAGTTTGTAAAAAATATAAGAAATTTAGAGTATGTTGTGGGTATGAACATATAGGGTTCAATTAGTCAATGTTAGACGGAGTAGAGTACGGTAGGCATACAAACGGTAGCATTGAAAAAGAAAAGTAAATTTTTAATATAATAGGGTTCAAATGGCTTTTTGTAAAGTAAGCGTTTTAAATTTACATACTGGAAAGAATATTTTTAGATTTATCTTGGTGGATGGGTGAATATTCTTGTGAGCGGAGTGAATACTGTAACTTCGTTTTCTGTTTACAGTAAGGATGGCCATCCACAGCTTAAACTCCACAAGTGTTCTGTAGACGTGGAAGATCTTCATCTTACCCTCGGGGGCGGTGTAATCGAGTGGATTGTAAACTTATGCAGCTCTGACTTGAGTCACGCGATAAAGAAGGCCATCCACAATCAGGTAAGTTAACATTGAATTCGACACCTCTGTGTAATGCTACTAAATGTTACTTGGCACATCTATATTACGGAAGATTATCTATATTATTAATATAATATATTCTGTGATCTTTCAAGAATTTGTGTTATGTATGTTGCAGTTATGTGATACTACAAAGACGGTTCTCATCGACGAAGCCAATGAAGCGCTACGTTCAATACCAAAACATCTTGATGTTGCTGGAGACATCTACCTTGATTACAACTTGGTCAAAAACCCAGTAGAAATTAACAGGTATGCATTTGAATTAGTCTTATAGATGTTTCAATATAAGCAATGGTAGAATATGTGTTTTAGTGATCATATAGTAGGCCAAGCAGACATTGATGTGATGTTGTACAATAAGACTTGTTCATTGCCGAAAGAACCAGTTATAGTAGGACAGATAGACGACTCTTATATGGCAAACCTTTGGATATCGAGTCATACTGGCAACTGTGCTTTGCTAAGTGCTCACGACGCCAACATTCTGCGGTTCAACATTACTAAAGATGTGTTTGAAAAGATGGCATCTTTCTTGTCTACAACGTAAGGACTTCATGGATAAGCCAGATACTTGTGATTATCAAATGTAGATTTACAATCACAAACTAAAGAAAAAAAATTGACATAAAAGGTACCAGTAGTTCTAAAATGAACTATTTTGGCGAACCCTACTTTTACAACTACTTTTTTTCTATTTTAACGCAAAAAAGGCTACAATATTGTAAACTACATTAATACTTACAATAACCAACATTTTTCTCAACTTTTTGAAAGTCTTAATTATCTTGTAATTACAGATGTCAAGGATTCATTCCGTGTATTTCAACTTTCTTCCCTTACCTAAAACAACATTACCCAAACAGATATGTAGAACTAAACTTCTACTCTTCTGAACGACCACGGCTTCTAGTGGATGAAGAAGCTACAGTAGACTCTCAGCTTTATATTGACATAATGATTGAACCAGAAGAAGGAAAAGAAGATGTTAAAGTGGTATTGGCACAGTTGTGTAAGTTTTTAAGTGGTTGTATCGTTTATTTTGGTCACAGCACATTAAAGTATAGAAGGAATATTGGTTACAGACTTAAACTGCATCTAATCTAGTATAAGATAGACCATCCTACTTAGGTAATACATGGTGTAGCTTAAAAAACAGTATTAGAACAGTTGAGATTGCAAATATAAAAGATTCATCTTTGTCTTAAAACATATTTGCTACAGTGACATAGTTAATTTTATTATTACCGTAAGAAACTTCTAGCGGTGAACTCAAACATTACGGTCGAACCTCGCCTTTTCAACAACCGTCTTTGTGGAGAACTCAAGGAATCCAAGTTGACAATCAAAGAGAACTTCTCGAATATGGGGAAGATCAGTCAAACGTTCCTCAACGTCCTCAACGCATTACTGGCTCCTGTACTTCGAGCTAGTGCTGATACCTTGTTGAGGATCGGGTTGTCAATTCCCATGGTAGAGAACATGACATTGAGGAATGAGAGTAAGATCGAGCTTTACAAAAACACAATCGGCGTCTTTGCCAACATTGAATACATCGAATAACACCGCTTTTATATCTTACTCCTTGAATATGTGTTTATGATTTGAAAAAAAATGTTGTACTCACAAGTGAAAAACCTTGCATTTATATTTTTAACTGAGTTTTGTGACAAAATTATGTTTAGTTTTGAATAAATTTAAAGACGTTGGGTCCATACATACTCTATTCCATATCATAGAAAACAAAGATTTTTTAACTGTTTGGTTTAGTCAGTACAATATAGCTAGCTTATTCGTTTAAAATAATATTGTTTGGCTGATGCACAAAGCCAAAGTCAATACCGTAGACAATATTTTTAAAACCGAACTTTTCTCAAAAAATCGATAAATTGCCAATTGTGACACTTCGTTACCAATAAAAGAGATTTTTTTTTATCGAAAAAATTAATTTTCTTTTTCTTTTTTTTTGCATTTTTGTTAAATATTCGCGTTGATAGCTACAACAATATAGTGGAGCGTTTGTTTTCCGCTTAAGATGGGGGACGCATTTGAAATGGCAGCCCTGACGATTTAGGTGTTATGGCTGCCTCTCGACTCCGCAGCCAAGTGGAGGACCCGCCTTTACTCCTCGCGGATTGGCTGTGACAGAGGGGCGCCGTTGCATTTCTTCTCTGCATCTCGTCGTTTGCAGAAGTCTCTCAGAGCTAAGGGAATGCACCCACACTCTCAATCTTTCTACTCGGCGCCGTTGCAGAACACAAAAAACTAGCATATTTATATTAAAGTAGTTGATCAATCTCAACTTTTTTGTACTTTTGTACCCGACTGTACTCGGCGTACCGGGCAGGGCGATCGGGCGGTGGCATTTTATCGATTTTTGGGGATTTCCACTTTTGAGGGTGTATCGATCGATTAACTCTTGTCTTTTTGTTACAGTATGCAAATTTCGCTCAGCTTTATCGCTTGTTTCAGTCTTTTTCTTTTGAACTTTTTGTTTTTTTAGAATTTCCAAGTTTTTTGGACTGATCCACAGCCGGATCCAATTTTTGTAAATATTCGGCGGACTCCCGTGAACGTATGTCTTTCGTAGTATAACAGACATATTCCGTTAGTGATGAAAATATAACACGAAATCAATAGCTCAGATTTAATTATTTTAATATCTCAATGTTTCAGATAGCTTATGTAAGATAGTAATGGATGATCAACAGCCTCGGAAAAAGGCTCGATTATCAAACCAGAATAGTAAGTGCTTTTATCGTAATGTTCAAGTATCTGTAGATGGAGACCTCGATAGCTATGGGAATGACGTTGGCATGCCTATGGAACAAGCTCATGTTGGTATGCAAAATGGTAATTCTGGAATGGGAATGCAAATGAACCAAAGCCAAATGCATCAATATCATGGCCAACCGAACCAGTCAAATGGTCCCCAGATGATGCAGATGGGACAACAAGGACAGCCATCGCAGCCGTCTATTTTACAAGAATTACTGCTCAGTAACCAGAGTGGGTCGACGAATAGTCCCCGAACGCAGTACGCCAGCACACAGCAGTTCAACAACCGCGAGATACGAAGTCCGGCGACGAATAGTTCTGGCCAGAACTTGATGTCGCCGCCGCCCAACGGGATGCAGATGCAAGGGAGGATGAATCCACACATACGACCGCCCATGCCTAATGGTACGATGCAGCCGAATGGACAGAATGCTCCACCTGGCTATCGACCTCAGCAAATGCGGCCTCGGCAACCTATGATGGTAAGAACTTTTAATATTATTGGTTGTAAATTTAGGTATTTATTATATTGAAAAAGTAACATGCAAAGGTTTTGAGTTTAAATGCAAGGAAATGCTTGATATAAATCCATATTCAAAATTATTTTTTTAGATGCAAGGAGGGCCACAATGGAATGGTCAGCAACAAATGTACATGGCTCCTCAACAAGGAATGCCTCCGCGAGCTCAAGGCCAACAACAAATCGGGTATAATCCGTCACCTCAGATGCACGGCCAGGTAGCTGGTGGCATGGTGCCGAATCAACAACCACCTTCCAATGCTAGTGTAATGTCGATGGAGTCGCCGATGTTGGGCATGGGTAACCAGATGAGAGGGCAGCCTCCACCAATGAATCTTTCTCAACAACAACAAGACCCAGAAAAACGAAAATTGATCCAACAGCAGCTGGTTCTTCTTCTACACGCTCACAAGTGTCAGCAACGCGAGCGACAAGAGCAAGGCCAACGAACTCAATGCAACCTGCCGCATTGCTCGACCATGAAGAACGTGCTGGATCACATGATCAACTGCAACAACGGAAGGCAGTGTCAGTTTCCTCATTGCGCTTCATCACGACAAATTATCACACATTGGAAGAATTGTAAGAAAGAAGATTGCCCCGTGTGCAAGCCACTCAAGAATTTCAGTCGTGAGTGCATTTCGTGTATTAAAATAATGTTGTTTAGGTAACGGGAATGGCATGAACGGTGGGAACAACATCAATGGCCCCAACGGAATGATGCAAGGCTTCGATCCCAACATTGGAGCCAACAGCCTTCTCATGGACTTCAATCCCAACCCAGGGTATGCTATTATATTCAGGAGTTAAATACATGTTTAGGGATCCTTTTAGATCTGCCAATCCCCCCAATAAAATTGCACCTCAATTGGCCAATGGGCGAGCATCGGTTGGAGAACCAGGAGATGGAATTGGTAACCTTCCGCCTCCAGATCCTCCAACCAACGAAAAGGAATGGCACTCTTCGATCACTCTGGACCTCAGGAATCATTTGGTGGGGAAATTGGTCAAGGCCATCTTTCCTTCACCTGATCCGGCTGCTATTCAGGATCAAAGGATAAAGGATCTCATATCATACGCGAGGAAGGTCGAGAAAGAAATGTTTGAATCGGCGGACGACAAGGAGGAGTACTACCATTTGTTGGCCGAGAAGATCTATAAAATACAAAAAGAGTTGCAAGAGAAGAAGAACAGACGACTCAACGAACAAGGGAACGTGATGGATGTGCGGATGTTGTTACCTCAGAGTTCTAGCCAAAATCTGATGACTAACTTAGGGAACCCACAACCTCCATCCAATCAGGTAAAGCTGGAGACATTCGAGGTATTCTTTTATTCTTATTTGGGCGCAATGATTTGCTTTTATATTCTTGCAATGTTGTTATAGTTTTCCAATTTTTATACTTTAACGTTACAGGGTATGTTACCAAGGCCGCAGAGTTCTCAGCAGCTTCCATCAACGTCGCAAGCTTCAATTCAAGCGAATAATGCGACAAATGGTCAGTTTGGACAATCAGTTCAGCCATTGAATGTGGAATGTAAAGCAGAACCCATGGATTCCAGCTTGCCTTCAACATCTAATCCAGTGGTGCAAAGGCCAATCAAAGAAGAGCCGATTAAGGAAGAACCAAAGCCAGTCTTCGCACCAAAACCTGAACCTAAAGAAGAGCCACAAGTGGAAGAGAAGACTTTCAATCCAGACGAGCTTCGAAGTTTCTTGAAGCCCGTATGGGACAAGTTGTACGCGTGTGAGGAAGCCATTCCGTTCAGGGTTCCTGTAGATGCTGAGATGCTGAAGATCCCGGACTACTTTGACATTATTAAGAAGCCCATGGATCTTCACACGATATCGACTAAACTCGACAGTGGAAAGTACAAAAACCCTTGGGAGTTCTGCGACGACATGCACCTTATGTTCGCAAATGCATGGTTGTACAACAGAAAGAACTCGAAAGTCTACAAGTTTTGCTCAAAACTCAGCGAACTTTTCATCGAAATGATCGACCCAGTCATGCAGCAGATGGGCTACTGTTGTGGTCAGAAATTGTCTTTCACCCCGTTGGCATTGTTTTGTTTCGGACAGTCGATGTGTGTCATTGCCCGCGATCAGCCGTACTACATGTTCGAAACTGGATCTTCTCAATTTGGTGTTACGGTATCGGAGAAGTACATCTATTGTCCTAAGTGTTTCGAAGCTTTACCGCCAGAGGGCATCAACTTGAATGAGAACCCAGCCGAGGCTCCAAAGTAAGTTACATACATGTTGAATTTGTTAAAATCTTAAAATATATTTGAAATTCTACGTTTTAGCATGGTGCCCAAAGAGAAGTTCCAAATGTTGAAAAACGACCAAATCGACGCCGAACCTTTTGAACATTGTAAACTCTGCAAACGGAAGTGGCACAGGATATGTGCTGTGTACAGTAAAAAGGTCTACAACGAAGGCTTTATATGTAATTATTGTCGCAACGAAAAGAGTCTTCCTCTCCCAGAGAACAAGTTCACAGCCAAGAAGCTACCTCATTGTAAACTGTCAAAGTATATTGAAGACAGAGTGAATGGCTATATCACCACCAATCTACAGCAACAGAAGGGCAAGGGAAGCAGCGAGGTTGTGATACGAGTGTTGGCCGCTTCTGACAAAGAAGTAGAGGTGAAGCCACTGATGAAGCAAAAGTAAGTTTGTTTAAAGTAATCAGCATCTTTAAATTTAGGTATACACAAGAAGGATTCCCCGAGAAGTTCCCGTACCGAACGAAAGCTATCTTCGCCTTCGAAATTCTCGATGGATACGAAGTTTGCTTTTTTGGTCTGCACGTCCAGGAGTACGGTAGCAACTGTCCGGCACCAAACAGAAGGAGGGTCTACATTGCATATCTGGATTCTGTCCACTTTTTCCAACCACGAGAACTGAGGACGGACGTCTACCACGAAATTCTTCTGGGATACATGCAATACGTCAAGCTTCAAGGCTTTACGATGGCTCATATTTGGGCTTGTCCGCCATCCGAAGGAGATGACTACATCTTCCACTGCCATCCTCCAGAGCAGAAGATCCCGAAGCCGAAGCGGTTACAGGATTGGTACAAAAGAATGTTGGAGAAGGGTCAGAAGGAGGAAACGGTGTACGAATACAAGGACATCTTCAAGCAGGTAGGACACAAAGACTTAATTCTAAACATAATTTTAGGCAAAAGATGACAACTTGATGACACCAAAAGAGTTGCCATACTTCGAAGGAGATTTTTGGCCCAACATCATTGAAGATTGCATTAGAGATGCAGAGAAAGAAGAAACCGACAGGAAAATGCTGGAACTGCAAGATGACGACGATGAAGACTTGTTTTCTACAGATGACGGTGTCAGGAAGAAGAACAACAAGAGTAACAAGAACAAGAAGAACAACTTAAAGAAACTCAGCAAGCAAAAGAAGAAGAACGCTACTGGTACCGGAAATCACATTACCGACAAGCTATACAACGTACTAGAAAAGCACAAGGAAGTGTTCTTCACCATTCGACTGGTATCACAACAACAAGAATGTACGGTAAACGCCAAAGAAATTACCGATCCCGATCCGTTGGTGGCCAGTGAACTGATGGATGGCCGAGACATCTTCTTGAACAAAGCTCGTGAAGAACATTGGGAGTTCTCGTCTCTGAGGAGGGCCAAGTACAGTACCCTCAACTTCTGCCACGCTCTGCATACACAGGACAACAAGGACATGACTTACACGTGTAACAAGTGTAGCTCCAACACGGCCAGCTGGCACTGTCCAGTTTGCGAAGACTACGATCTTTGCCAAGGTTGTTATGCCGAAGCCAAGCATGACCACAAGATGGAGAAGATCAACAGTCTTATCGACGTGGACAGCAAGTCAAGCGATGCGTCAAGTAGCCGAAGCAACGAGTCGGTCAAGCGTTGTATCCAGTCTCTTGTTCACGCTGTACAGTGCCGGGACTCCAACTGTCGTCGTACTACCTGTCACAAGATGAAGAAGGTCGTCCAACACACTAAATTGTGCAAACGAAGGCAGACCAGCAACTGCCAGGTCTGTAAACAGCTCATTGCCTTGTGTTGTTACCATGCCAAGCATTGTAACCTGCCTCAATGTAACGTGCCGTTCTGTCCGAACATCAGACAGAAGCTGGCTGAACAGAAGCGACTCCAGAACAGACACGCAGACAGAATGATGAGGAGACGTATCGAGAAGCTGTCACATGCTGGCGGAGCTGGACCAGCACCTACTCCTGCAGTACCACAAGCACAGCCATCTACTTCACAGCAACCTTCTCAACCTAACACACCGATGCAGCCAGGATCCCAGATGCAGAACATGTCGAACCCGCCCTCCGTGGCTTCGATACATGGACAGAACATGAAACCAATGATGGGATCTAATCCTCAATCTAACCTGTCTAACGGGCCAGGGAATTATCAAGGTAAGTAGATATTTCATTGTGATTATTTGTTTCGAAAATTATGACAAAACGCAGTTATTATCTTGAAAGACTTAAAAGCTAAGAAAATCCTCGTTTAGGTCAAATGCCGAGCAAACTGAACCCGTCACATATGCAGCAACACGCGCAACAACAATATCATGGCCAACAACAGATGAGTAACATGACTGGGCCACCAGGACATGGCATGCACATGGGACAACCTCACATGATGAATCGAATGAATCAGGTAGGTTGGTTTGAATGGTATCAGTAGTTGTAGATCATGATTTTAATTTTTTAAGACATTAATTTAATTACGTGGTGACGAAGTTTCAATTTCAGTATCAACCCGGGCACCAACCCATGAATCCACACGGACAGAGAATGCAGCAACAGATGATGGGCGGCCAAGGGATGCAACACCACCAAGGGCAGATAAACCCGCCACCGTACAATCGGAATCCCCAGATGATGCCTCATCAGAACCCCCAACATCAGGGCTTCTACCAGCAGGGCCAAGCACAACAAGGCTACGGCCAGCCACAGATGGGGATGAACCAAGGAATGATGGGACAAGCAACGCCTGGCCAACAACAACGGCCCATTAACGGGCCGGCCTCGCAGACGCAAGGCGGGCCTCCGCCGGCCGGCCAACTCCGCCCTCCGGCTGCTCAAGCTCGGGGTAAGTGATCGAGTGGCAGGTAATAATTAGTTTAAAGTTTAAGATTCGCCTGGTGCGAATTTGCAAGATTCAAAAGCGCCGCGCACGCCGAAGCAACCCATGGACCCTCAGCTGCAACAGATCTTCCACCGACTTCAGAAGGTCAAGTCTTCGGAGGAGCGGCAGGCGCTGTTTGCTGATCTCAAGAAAACACCTCATCTTCTGGCTGCGTTCCTCAAAATCCGTCCCAATACCGGGAGCCGCACCAACTCCAATATTGATTCCTCGCTGGCCAACCAGATCAAGGCTGACCACGACCTGGAGGGGCCGGCCGGGAATTGATGGCTTGTTGTTTTTTGTCCTGCAGCGTCTTTCATTCTTCAGTTTGTATTTTTTCACTTATTGTTGTTGTAATTTCATGTTGCTGCTCAAGTATCTCTCGTGTGTTGACGGAGTCTCATTCACCTGATCTTTAACCTAACCTTTTAAAATGTATCAGTCACCTCCAATGTTGTTAATCTGTGTTATGTTGTACTGGTTGGTGGTGGGTTTGTTTATATTTATACGTTACGGGTTCCGCTGTAGTTAGCTGTTGTAATACACATGTAATATACGTTTTTATGTATATAAGGTCCCCAACCCCGTCTTGTTGACTTTTTGTTTTCTAGGTCTTTGTTTTAAGGTGTGATTCTCCTCCATGGCGCAATTGTTTGTATTTGTATTTATTGTAAATATATTAGAAAAGTCATTCGAATCAACCTGACATGTGAGCCCCTGAAAGCTTCGCCGGGGGGTGATAGCACGAAAATATCTAACATTTTTTTAGCCACTGATTCTAAGTATAAATTTGTTCGTATTTTAACCGCCAATTTCGTTCAGGAATGTCTGTTTAGTGAAACCGGCCTTTAATTATGTCATATGAATAAAAGATAACATTTATTTCCTTTGAGCGATGCTGTTACTATTAAAAATATGACATATGGCGCTTTACAGTGAAGATATGTGTTGGAAAGTGAAGACACTTCAGTGATTAAAACGATCCTGTAACGATTTAGTTAGATCTCGAGGAGATAGTAGGAGAATTTTGAAAACTATTGATAACATAATAACCACCTTGACTAATTAGCGACGGCAAATACGACGACGAGTTGTTGGACGGAATTCCAGTGGAATGCTCGTATAGACCGTCTTAAACTACTTATTACTGTCGTATCTTAACGTACCTGTTGGCCCCATTATCTGCATTCCGGTTATGTTTTCCATCTGGGCGTACCTATTATGAAGTTCAGTGAAATCGTTGCGGATCTTCTCCATTCGTTCCCTAAACAGGCAATACAAGTGCAAGAAACAACATACTTTAGCTTGAATATCTTGAAGTCGATCGAGTCTGTTCCACTTGTAGCTCCGGTAGCCAGTTTTATAGAATTAAAGAGATTCGACTGCTTCTTCCTCATCTTGTCCACGTACTCGCGAGCTTGCTTCATCTCATCCAGACATTGAACCTTGTTCACGTGAACATAGAACAGCTCTTTCTCGTAAGTTACTCTTAGCAATGGTTGAAGATCACTTAGTACAGATGAAGGGTCGTAATTAGAACGAGCATCCAGTTGTTGCTCCATTTCACGTAGCTTTGTTTGCAGCTGTAACGATAAAGTTTGAATTTATTGGAGTTAGAAAGAAAAGAATGGCATTTTTCACTGCTTTTTTCATAAAAAATTTTACGAAAATTGGTTGATAGTTAAATCTGTTATAACACGTTGTAATCCTTGGAATTAGGCCATCAATATGCCAGAACTTTACTTTTTTCCTTACATCACGGCTTGCGCTCAATGAATCCGGTGCACTTAGTTTTGCACCCTCTCAAAGTTTTAAAATTTTTTCAATTCAAAAAGTGCGCGACTCAAAATGGCTTCCGATTCATATTATACTCACCACCTCCAGGTCTTCAGTATTCTCTTCACCAAAGTTCCGCTCCATGGCGTTAAGTTCGCTTAGCTGTGTTGACAACTCTTCTAGCTGCTTATGGGACTTGTTCTTGTGAGATATAAACACAACTGCCAAGACGATGAGGGAAGCTGCCAAGATGGCGAGAGCAATATCTTTTAACGATGTACCTTCATGCACTCCGAACAGTACCACGTCTAAGGCTTTCAGCTGTAGTTTCTGTCTGTGTACTGAGTTCTTGATCTTCAACATTTCAGCTATGTATGAGTTATTTGGGACGGCCATTCTGAAGAACAAAAGTTGTACAAGAAATAAATAAAATTACTTAGAGAAGTGTAAGAATTATATAATACTAGACGTTAAAGGATCGGTTTTTAAAATCCTTGAAGGAAGTTTAACGTGAACCCTCAGTTAAATTTCTAAAAATGGTAACTTCTCCCAGAACAAAATCGCCAGCCCAGCACTAGTTACTGTAACCAAAAGTTAACATTACCGTACCTTGGAAACGCAATTCCAGTCAGTTTTGCGTTAACAAAATGCTCTGCATACTGGGGCAACCTGACGACATTGGTCAACCAATATACCATTTCTGGAGTCGTCCATTCCCGCTCCGGAGATTCAAACCAGCTCTCCCACAGATCATCAACAGTCACGGATTCGTCTGTCTTGTGATGGAACGCGTTCTCTCTGACTGTCTTGTCAGTCCCCATCACTTTCAGATCTTCTTTCAAGAACTAAAAAACAAATAAAACGCAACAACATCAAGCTTACGTCTGCAGACTCCGACCGGTCGATCGAGCCGGACTTGTCATCGTCCAATAAGGAATGCAGCTCTTTGATGGCCGCAAACCCTTCGGGATCACGCTTCTTCTCATCTGCAGATGTTACCACCACTTCTAGAAACAAAAATTGAAAATACAAAAGCAAACGCACGTTTTGTTGTTTTTTGTGATATTACACCTGAAACGAGCAGGAGAAGGATACACCTCCGAATCCACATCCCTTTTCAAACCAACTAACACATTGGAAATAGAACAATCGAAAAATAAAGTAGTCCAGATGCCTTCCAGACAAAGGAAAAGAACAGAATTCCTCTTGCCTTTGCCGTATGCAAACAATTATGAGCAGAGTTGACTTGCGGGTCAACTCTCGCTCTTGACCAAACTATTAAACTGCGACTAAACTTGTCAATCGCAACTTTTGTTGTAAAAAGTAAAAACAATTAAAAAATTTTCTGTGCAATAAAGCTTTTTTTACGTTTTATGTTTTTCCAACTTTAATGTATTAATTAATACTTTATCGGCTTTTAATTAATTAATACCGTTTATCGGTAAACTTTATAAAGTGTTTCTTTAATTTTGATATCAATTAGTAAAGCTTTAATCCGGCGCAAAGTTAGTTTTTGTTATATTTAACGCGGAGCGGGGCGCAGACTGCTTAATTTTCTTGAAGGATGCCGAATGAATTTGTGAAAAGATTGGGTAGAAATTGTTTTAGATCAAGCACAAATCAATCGACTTCTTAAATTTTTAACTTTTGATTTTATTCCATCGATAAGTGGGTGATGCTTTGTTGGCTGCCTCGAACAAATGACTTCTGAGAATGTACGGAAGGACGGTTCAAAAAAATGGTAAAGCAATTGGATTAATTACTTATATTATTTTAGGTCTCAATTAACATCGGACGAGGAGAAAGCTAGTTACATTGTTGGTGCGCTAAAAGGTATTTTGAATTTACAAAATATCATTTAAAATACTATGTGGAAACCTTTATATTTTAGACATCTTTGGACCCTTCTCTCAGTTCAATGGCAAACGCACTGAGGGAGTTGTTCTTTGCGAGCTTCCGGAGTATTCATTTTATGAAAAATTTCCTAATGACAATGAAAATGGTAACATGTTGAAGGAAGTGGAACAAATGATACAGGTATGCGTTTTGTTTTATTAGTATGTATACGTAATGTTTAGGAGATGACAGACATTCCTCCGTTGATAGAACGTGTAGAGTTGCTTAAGCCTACTCAGAATGGAAAGCTTAAAGTACCTTCAGAAGTTAAGGACGAAGTAAGTTTTGATTTACCGTATCGCTTACTTGTTAGATCAGGTCCGGTTATATTATAGTTGATTTTTAGAAAAGGAAACAAAATTCTGCACCAGAAAAAGTTGAAAATGGTAACATTTCGGTAGATGGAATCTTTGGCGTTATGTGTGTAGATCGACCCCTTTCTCCGTTGTTGACCAGTGCTCCAGTTGTACCAGTAACAACTTTAAAATCGCCAAAAGCTGAACGATCATTAGTATGTCATTCCTGGTTTTATTTTTTATTGTTTAGATATCGGGGAAACAAATGGTAAAAGAGAAGGTATCTATGAAACAGAATACAGAAGAAAAGATACCTAAAATCAATGTACAGGAAAACGAAGCTAAAGACACCAAGCCTTCGACGACAAAAGAGAAGGATAATGGTAAAACTACCTCAAAAGGAGATAAAGTGAAGAGAAGTGTGGAGGTAGACAAAAACAAAGATACGCGATCTAGCTCTCGAAACTCATCTCCACCAAAGAAGGTGCCAAAGTTGGCTCGAGAGAATTCAGAATCTTCGAAGAAGCCAAATGAAAAGTCAAAGGATACAATAGATCGAAGTGAGTTTTTTTTATTTGTGCTTGTACGGCACGTTGTTTTTAAAATATTTTTAATACTAATCTATAATATAATTACTTTAGGTAAAAAGTCGGAACGTGATCGTGAAAGCAAACACAAGGAGAGTTCAGAAAAGAAGTCATCTTCTAAAGATGAAAATGCATCAAATGCAACTGAAAAAGCCAAGAAGAAGGACAAGAGTCCCGAGAAACAACTGGTCGATAAGAAATCTTACAAAGTGGAGTCTCGGGTCGGATCCGAACGAAATGTGGCAACTCCAGACATCCGACCGAGTAGCAGGCTTAACTCTAACAAGCCTAACTTTAGGACAATAAAGCCACCCAGCTTTGCATTAGGAGAGTACGAGGGATACGACTTTCAAGGACCGAGCAGGTCGGAACTTCCTGACCAATGTGTTTTCATGAACAGGAAGAAGGTACCGAGTCATCAGGAGTTGCTGAGTAGTGTCAGGCAATTCATTAGAGGTATACCACCTAGTAACATATCCTTGGGATGTATGACACGATCGTTGTATTCAGTGGGATTGTTATTGTATTCTTTGTCCCCTAGTCATACAACTACTGAAAGCGACCTTAGGCAGGCACTTATTTTGTTACGGTACGTTTATACAATGATCGTTGTAAAAGTAGTGGATTTACAGCTAAAACTCGTATGATTTACGTACATTTATCTACGGTTATGTCTAGTTAATGTTCGAATTTCAGTAGCGTTAGTGATAAACTTTTTAACAATCATTCCGTACTACCAAAAAACAGGCACATTGTAAGAGGGTTACTGTGCCTAAGCGAAGCACTTGTATGTACGAGGATACACCAAGAACATCATGCGGTAAGTAGTTTGATATAACTACGAATAATGTTGGTTTAGGCCGCAAGAAATAGACGTATGTTTCTACGGAAGTATGAAGATGAACTAAGGCCAGATCGAGATGTAGAAGATGGGGAGATCTTGGAGTCGGACTTTCTGAATTCTTTGGTTGTAAATGACTCAAAAGAGACTTTGAAGGAAATCAAAAGTGACACGGTAAGCTAACATGTAAATTTTAACTTTGTACTAGTTCCTTTTCTATATTTAATCGTATGTTTAAGTTTTATTTTTAGGTGCAAGTACCCAAACTTCTATACAAATTAATAATCGACGAAAACTCATACGCTCGGATTGCGGAACAAGCAATGTTAGCTTCAGTAACAGCTAGGAACGAACTCGAAGTTCAAGAACCCGGTCTTCTCAGAAGACTCCGTGAAATGAGGTTTGACCTCGAAGGATCTGCTTCGTCGCTGGGAGATGCAATCTTCACAGTCTCCTTTTGGATGCAACGGGGGTCACAGGCTACTAGATTCAAGCCAAAGTCAGATTCCTCTTCGCTCAAACCCACATAATTAGATTAATGTGGAGTATATTATATAGAACTTTTTTTACATTTTGTTATAAATTGATTGTTTTGATAATTGTTTGAATCTGTCTATTCCCTATCTCGTTGTATGATAGATCTAAGCTTATGGCATCTTGTGATTTCAGTATTTAAAACTTCTACTTATCTGGTTTACGTTGTAGTACTCATATCGTTAAAAATAATTGGACGGGTACGGTTGTTCTTAACTATTTTGGTGATGGTCGTTTTCTCAACTTTATTTTTTTACCAGATCTCAATTTTCACACTTGATTGTTAATAAAAGTATTTTTGTTCGGTGTTTTTGCTTGATTTCAAATTATGGATTCAATTTGTAAATTTATTGGAGCATGTTAGGTCAGTCATTTATACTATGCAAAAAAACAATTCAACTCTAAACTATAACATGTAACTACTAATAATAAATCAGCCGTTGTTTGTGACACTTCGTTCGTAAAAATCATTAGTTGAAGTCAATTTTTCGGAAAATATTTACAAAATGGTAAATTAAAAATATTTTAGCCACGGGTGTTTTTCCATTATCGTTAGACTTTTTTTCGCGGCGGGCCGCTGTGTCCCGCGAGTGACAAGTTATACGAAGAAACGTTTGCTCTATTATTCACAGGCAGCTTATGAACTTTTTATAATAAAAAAAATAATAAAAAAGACGTAAAATGAAAATATTATAGGTTTGTTTACAAACAATTTGTTGCTGATGGCAACTTTTTAAAACTTAACGAACTGCAATTTGCAATGGGATTAAAGAACTGTTAGCCGTAGGGAATTTCATTATATCCGGATTTTTTAGTCAAGAATTAATGAAACATTTTTTCTTGGGATTTAAAAAATTTCGCTATATCGGGGGTTTTTAAGCGGAATCCTATTAGCGAATTTTGCTGTATTTTTTTAAACTGGCATTTGTATTTAAGGATTTTTAATAAGAGAAGGAACAAAACGTAGATATAGGTCTGCTTTACACGGCTTTAGACAATATTAATTTTTGCAAAATAGCTAAAAATGCCAATTTTCTATCGATTAGGCTGGAAATGGATAGCAGGTTAGCTTCAAACGCAGTTATTAATTAATTGAAACATTATATTTGCATCGCGCTAAACATTATCTGAACAAACATAAAATTTAGTTTTTGAATACAGTATTACTTTCTTTAATGCCATGTTAACTTCTTCACAATCTTTAAAAGGTTTGGGTCACTTTCCGGAATAGTGACACCTCCGGAACAAACCCTAACATACTATACCCTATGCTACCTACTATATCGTACTCATCCTACTTGGCATACCATACTCTATCCTAATTACTATGCTATACTATACCATTATATCGTATGTTATCTATTCTCTACCTTGCCTACCTACTATACCATATCATACTTTATTCTACCTACCATATCATACCCTACCGTATACTGTACTACCATACTCTATACTAACTAACATTCCATACCCTACCATACTTTATACTACTATATTGTACCATATCACACCCTATACTACCTATCCTACCCTACTCTACCATACCAAACCAAAAAATACTATATCATATTATACTCTAACATACCCTACACTACCTACAGTACCATATCTACCATACCATACCATGACATATTTGTCTATACTAAACCACTTATCTTGCTTTACATACCTGCACTGAAATCTTACCAATGGGTAAATATTATAGTATACGGTACTGTCGTAAATATAAGATTAGACAAGGTAAGATATGATATTGTTTGGCAGATACGATAAGGTAGGTATGGTATGTGATACTATGGTATAGTAGGTAGTATAAGGTTTGGTATGGTTTGATTTAGTATAGTATGGTATATAAGATAGTGTAGGGTATGTAAATATAAGGTATGGTAGTACAGGATACGGTAGAGTATTGTACGGTAGGTAGTATAGAATATGGTATGGTAGGTAAGGTAGAGAATAGTAGACAACATACAATTTAATATGATATGGTATAATACGATATGGCAAAGCATAGTAGGTAGGGTAGGGTATGGTATGTCAGGTAGGGTAAAAATGCACTTTTCACTATATTTTTCCTCAATGGGTGTACTTTGAATGCCAATTGTGAGAAAATGAAACATTATTTTGACATAGAGCTAAACAGTATCTAAAACAGCATAAAAAGTAGTACTGAAATAAGGTTTTAATTCGTTTTTAGCGGTGTTAACTTTTTCACTATACTCTAAAATGTCAGTTTTCACTGTGTTTTTACCCCATGTGCAGTCTTTGAATGCAAATTGTAGGAAAACGAAACATTATCTTAACATAGAGCTAAATAGTATCTGTAAGAGCATAAACTCTAGTTTTTGAATACTTTATTACTTTGTTTTTTGCGGTGTTAACTTTGTCAGTATATTCGAAAATGTCATTTCCCCTTATAATTTTTCCGACTTGCGCCCTGGCCCGAAAAAATGAATTTCTTAGCGATAATCGTTCTTTTGCGTCAAAACACCCGTGATTTAGAAAATGTCACATGCAAAGTTGAGAGAGGAGCTAAATGCTATAGCGGATAACCCAATTCTTCTAAAGGACATATCCATAGTAAGTGTTTTGTCTTATATTGTTAGTAAATTTTAGTTACCACAAAACTACACATTTGAAATACCTAAAACAATATGGAAGATAAAGGCGACTGGGTCCAAGATAGTTGCTCTTCAATTCCCGGAAGGTTTGTTGTTATATTCGTGCATAATCAGTGACATTCTCACCAAACACACTGGATGTGAGGTGATCATCATGGGAGATGTCACGTATGGTGCTTGTTGTGTCGATGATTACACTGCTCGATCTCTTGGCTGCGAACTTCTTGTGCATTACGGCCACAGCTGTTTAGTTCCGATTCAGGACACTCAAGGGATTCATTTGTTATACGTGTTTGTTAACATCAACATAAACCTGAGCCATGCCATCGACTCCATCTCACAGAACATTGACAAGAACAAGAAGGTCGCTCTTGTCAGTACGGTGCAATTTGTGACTTCATTAAATGTAAGTTTAACGTGATTTTATTAAATTACGTAAACTTCGTTTCTAGGCATTGAAGAAACATCTGGAGAGTCTGGATTTAAAGGTTTTTATTCCACAATGTAGTCCTTTAAGTCCAGGAGAAATATTAGGATGTACATCGCCTAAACTTCCAGAGGACACAGATTACATTTTGTAAGTCATTATATAGTTTAAGTTTCAATTCTTTGTAGAATTAACAATATATATTTATATGTATATCTAAATTAACAAAAAATGTGATATAATCGGCATCTTTCCTGATTAAAGTTGTGAATTTAATAGTTTTAGATACGTTGGTGATGGCAGGTTTCACCTGGAATCTATAATGATACAAAACCCCAACGTACAAGCACTACAGTACAACCCTTACAACAGAGTGTTATCTGCGGAGGAGTATGGCTACGACTTGATGTTAGAGAAAAGGAAAGCAGCTGTTAAAGTTGCTGCCAATTCAAAGATATTCGGAATCATTCAGGGAACTTTGGGACGACAAGGTAACGTCAAGATATTCAAAGATATGGAGGCAAAGTTGAAGGAAAGGAACCTAAAATACGTTCGAATTCTGATGTCAGAAATATTTTCTCCGAAACTGCGGTTATTCGACCAAGTGGAGTGGTATGTTTTAGTTATTTTCTCGTATAATACTTGTATATATCATGTCTATACTGATTTAAACCAATTGTGTTTGTGTCTAATCTGTTTTGTTTAATATTTAAGAAAATTAATACCTTTTTTCAGCTGGGTTCAGGTTGCTTGCCCTCGACTGTCAATCGACTGGGGCACTTCCTTCGACAAACCTCTATTGACTCCATTCGAATTGTCGTGGGCTCTAAACTACACAAGTATACCGGACAATGCGTATCCGATGGACTTCTACGCATTCGAATCCTTGGGACCGTGGACAAATAACCACCCCATACATCGACCTCAGCGCGTTAGACGGAAACATGTTCCACTTGTTTGATTTGTTGTTAGTTATTTGTTTGTTAAAGTACAATGCGAAAACTTTTGTTTGCTAATATATCTGCTCTTATTTAAAATTTTAAAGTGCAAAACTATCAGCCGTTTTTTGAACTGTACTTCTGGCACTTTACCGTAAAAATAACCTTAACTTATTCTCATGAAAAAGTCGTTTGAGTCTCGTCACGAAAATCTGTCGAATGCTTTCCGAAATTCGAAAGTATTTTAAAAACAATTTCGAATAAAAATATTTTTCTGTTTGTCGAAAAGGATAATTTAGCTATTGGGTTTGTGTCTTTTGAAAGAATCGAATTGAGAGCCTTTGATGGCGATTGGGAGAAAACAGAAGACATCTAAATTTCCAATGAAAAATACGAAAAATAAAGGCTCCGAGAAAGCCAAAAAATCGGTAAGTGGATGGATAATATAAGCGGCTTTTTGTTAATCATATTCTCCGCTTTGATGTTAATTGTTTTATTTTAGAGTTTGAAGAACCTAAGTGATAAAGAGCTTAATAAACGACTTGAGGATTCTCTGGTGAGTCATTTTAGGTATAATGTCAGTTGACTTTGCAATGGAATGATTCATTAAGTTTTAGTGATTCTTATGTAATGCCTTTACATCTGTCTTGTGTTTTTTAAGCAGTACATGTTATATAAATGCTACGTTGTTAATTAAAAAATTTTAGAAAAACCGAAATGTTCAGAATACTGTGGTACTGGCGTCGATGGACAGGAAGAAGAAGGAAGAGTTTCTACTCAATCTTCTGAACAGCGACGTTTCTGGGAATATCCGAGAGGTATGTTAAGATGCTTTTTTAAATTTATTTGTTTAGGAGATTGATGCTTCGATAGAATGCCTGGTTAATATTACAAACGAAAAGTACGGTGATAAGACGGCTAAGGAGTTGGTCACATTGAGAGTCAAGTTGGGAAGCGAAAGTGTCCAATGGATCAAGTTGTTCTGCGATGCAGGTGGCCATGCTTGTCTTCTCAATGTCATTAGTTGGTGCACACAAACACTAGAACGACTTCAGAAGGGTACTGTCAGCAAAGATTACTACAGTATTATTCTGGCTGCTGTTCCGGAAGCCGTGAAATGCTTGCGGGTGTTGATGAATAATCCTGTAAGTTTTGAATAGTTTTTTTTTAAAAATGAGTAGGATTTTATCGTTTTAGCGCTTATGTGCATAAGGATGTTTAGTTTATATTATTTTTGTTTTTATATCTAGAATGTTACTTTTTTCAGCAAGGTTTACAAAGATGTTTTGACGATGGCTTGTCGCTGTTCAAGAAACTGATTGATCTGTTGTTCGTCACTAATGATATTGATGATAAGGCTTTGGAAAGTGCTAAAGAAATTATATGGACGTTTTTGAATGTTGCTTTTGTGTTACATAAAGCCTACAATTTGAAGGGGTAAGGTAAAACTATTTCTTGATTGTTGATATTAAATTCTATTTCTGTACTCTACCTTATAATCTTTAGGACTGCTTTGATTATTCGAGCATTACATGACTTTGAGAACGAGAGGAAGATCAACAGGTTTATCCCGATAGTCCAGTCGTTTCAAAATGCTGGATCGAACATGACGGTAATGTTTTACTCACTAGTTTACGTTGCTTTTAGTTGAAAACGTTTCAATTCATCAATCACATACTCGGTGTACCCAAAGATTATAAAGAACGAATAATAATGCGACAAGAAATACTACGAGCTGGACTCGAGGACTACATGAAGGTAGGTGAACTTAAAGTCATATTATGTTAAAGATGTTTTTTTCAACTTTAATTAATATTGTCAGACGATAGAAGAAAGGGCATCAAGTCATGTTGATCTGGGAAAAGAACTCGATCACTACGACGAAATGTGCAAGCTTGATGCAAGTGAACTTGTCAAAGAAGGTACTCGAAAGAATGGCAAAGAGTACCTAGATCAGAAAGAGTTGCTGGACAGTGTTTGCAAACGGTTTGCTGGTTCAAATTGTGACTTTCTCTGGTCTGACATACTGACAAGGATATTCTATCGCGACGAGTCTCGTTTGAATGGGTACGTTGGTATTTGAATATATAATCAAGACTGCAATCAAATTAATCTTTACAGTAACAAACTCAATTTTAAATTTCGAAATATTTTAGATTTGAATTCTTATCATCGATACGAAACTTTGTGTCATATTTGTTGTTTACCTTGGATCATCGCGACAAAGAGACCAAGAGTTCTTCCTTTGGTAAGTTCATGTTGGGGGCTAAAGAATTGAAAGTAAAATCTTATTGAAAATATCTTGTAGGACGACTGTTAAATGAAACTTATGCCAAGCAGGACAACAAACGATTGAACGATCGGTTACAAACCGCTGTCAATGAGAAACAGGAAGCTTCGGCACAACAAGTGGCCTACTTCAACAAGTTGAAAGAACTGCAGGAAGAGGTCGTAAAGCTTCGAGAACATGTACGTTTACACACAATAATATGTCTTAAATGATGGCTTTCTATCTTAATAATAGTATTTGCAGATCAAAAACCCGGAATGTCCGCTTCCTCCAGAAACCACAATTGATGTAGCACCGCCCAAAGTAAGGGGAAGCACACCTGCCCAGTCTCCTGTTTCTAAAAAACAACCTCCAAAGCTAAAGACTTCTATACCACCGCCGCCACCTTTACCTAAGGGTAATATTCCGCCACCTCCACCAGGACCTCCACCATCATTGAAGTCGTCTCAACCAGCGTCTTTAAAAGTTGCCGGACCTCCACCACCCCCGCCCATAGCCGGTTTTAAAGGGGCAGGACCTCCACCACCTCCACCTTTAAGTGGACTAAAGGGACCTCCCGGACCACCCCCACCTCCATCTGGGGGTAAGCTATTTAAACCTACCGCATCCTTGCCGAGTTATTTCATAGCCAAAAAGTCAGTCATGCCTAAAATGCCCATGAGGAAAATCGCACAATGGGATGAACTTACAGTAAGTATAATGTAACAAGTTTAGAGCGTTCTTTATATGAAACCATTGTGAATAAGTGAAAACGGATCTTAATTGGTCTACTAAAGACAAATGTTTAGCTTATACCAAGGAATATAAAGGACAACTCGATCTGGACTACGTACCAAAAAACCGAAGACAAGTTCACAGACGATGAATTCTATTCAACGCTGACTGAGAAGTTTGGACGACCAGAAACAAAGTCAAAAGGAGTCGTGTTCAAAGCCAAGATCAGGGAACCTGTGGTGGTCAAAGACAACAATAAGCTCAAGAAATGGGGTGTGTTATCTATAATTGAAGTAAATTCTGCTATCAGCATCTACTGTAATATTACTTTTAGACATTCTGAGCGGCCGATTAATAAAAGACTACGAAGCCTTTAAGAGAGCGTTGTTATCTTTGGATATGAAGGTTTTAAACGAAGATTTAGTCTATGCCGTGGAAGAGAAGTTGCTGGAGCCAGAGTTGTTTAAGAAGTTGCGAGAAAAGCCGTTGACTGCATTCAAGGATGCCCCTGAAGGTGAAAAGGTAAGGTAGTGTAAGTGAAGATATTGTTGTTGTAGCTTCTTGCATGTTTGTCTCACGTCAAAGACCTTCCCAATCGTTTGAGAGCTATTAATATGCTTTTGACATTCCCAAAGTTGTCCAAGGAGTTGAAGAGCAACTTGTCCATTATCGCTGAAGCTTGTGATGAAGTGCGACATTCTCTGGGACTGGGTCACTTTGCCTCTCTTGTTTTAGCTTGTGGCAACTACTTGATGAAGAACGAGAAGCAAAACAAGGATTGGTACGGATACACAATGTCACTCTTAACCAAGGTAGGTATTTTGTTGTGAATGAATTTATACTTACTTTGCTTTGCAAATTTGTACTTAAAAACAGCAATGGTTTTAGTTGGTGGAAACAAGAGATGTGACGAATAAGATGACACTCCTTGATGCACTAGTGGTCTTGTTTGACAAGAAAACCAATGGCCAATTTACAGAGTTTGCCATGAAAGACTTCTTCCACGTCCACAAAGCTAAACGATTGGTGTTCAGCTTCGAAGTGGGGAGAGTGGATGAGCTTCAGAAGAAGTTGAAAGTGTTGTCAACGTATCTTTCCAATTTTGTGAAACAGGACCCTATGGATAAGATGGGAGGAACTTTGGAGCAATTCTTACCAGCGAGTACAAACATAATGGAGACGTTGGTTGAGGTAAGCAACCACTAATAATACTCTGTCGTTCTGACGTTAAGTGTTGTATTCTTTATGGTAACTGAATTAGCGACATACTGAAATTATTGTTTCTAGTTGAAAAAGAGCGTAGAGGATAAAGCCAGAGATGTTGAGACCTTCTTCTCCTACGACTGCAAGAAGTACAAGATAGACAACCTCTTCAATGACATATCAATATTTGCAATGCAATACGAGGTATGTTTATAACTAACTATTTATGCATACTATTTTTATCCCGCTTCATAAATCTACTTTTAGACGGCTTATACTATGATGAAGAATAAACCAGTCGAAACCAAACCTTTGGCCTCTCAAGCTGCGAATGTGATAAAGAAGGCAGGTCAGAAGAAGGCTGCCCTCAACCTTGCCAATCTCAACAACGGCTGTTTGGACGAGTTGGAGAACGTTTTGGCGAACGCCAGGTCACGGAGGATTGTTAAACGTGCAGGTGAATACATTTATACGGTTTTGTGCACAAAAGTTTCGTTTTCTACCTACTTGTTTAAAAGAAATATAGAATTTTGGGTAATAAAACTCACGGTTTAGGACACGGACAACGTGATTCAGACTTGTTTTCCCAGATTTCTTCTGTTCTGCTAGATTCGTCAAGTATGAGTTCTAACAGATTCGGTAACTCCATCAACGGTGAATCCAGAATCTCACCGAACCACGAGAAAGAAAACCTTTTGCCCAGCGGCACCGACTCTACGTTTGGCTCCACCTTAAGTGTCGCTCAAACAGAAGACTCGGACAAAGATTCTATTCCTGACATCGACGCCCTGGTGAGGCGAGTACAGTACCTCTGAAATGTTTGTAAATACAGATTTATTTAATAAAGCGATAAGTCAATACTTTTTGTGGCGTTGCGTTGTATTTCGAAAAATAGATATTGCGAAAAATATTTTTTTATTAAAAATGAGCTACAATAACGTTCCGCCTCCAAGAAGTGCTCGTTCTCACTCTAATAATTATAACACTTATGATGAAAAAGATGATCAGATGAATAAGGTAACATTGACTTTCGTTATTTTATTCTTTTAGTATGACGATCTGTGTAAAAAAGGGAGAAACACAGATTCCAAACATCGGCCAGATGAAAACAGCGATGATGAGTACTTTAACGATGCTGAAGAAGACACTAACGTAAGTAAAAAGAGTAATGAGGAAGAAGAAGTTGATGAACTGGACTTGTTCATGGCCGGGATCGAGCAACAAGCCAAGAAAGATGTCGAAGTAAGCAAAGAAAAGGAAAGTAGTGGCGCAGTCACTGGTGGAGGCACTGGAAGGGACGATATTGATGCAGAAGACATGCAGGAGAGTTATTTCAAGTAAGTTGAATAAGTTATCTTACACTGCTTTTAGGTTCTTGGAAGATTACAAAGAACGGCACCCTGAAGAAGACGAAGATAACTTTGAATACGACGAGGATGGTAATGTCGTCTGGACTTGGAAAAAGGCTATTGATCCGTTGCCGAGTTGTGATCACTCCAAGATCATTTATCCAGAGTTCAGGGCTGATCTTTACAATGAACACGAAGAGATTACAGCTTTGACATCGTTTCAAGTGTTCGAAATAAGGAATTCCTTGGAGATCAAGGTTTATGGAGCTTGTCCACCTAAGCCTTGTGTCAGTTTTGCCCACTTTAATCTGGATGAAAAGCTGATGAGTCGTCTAAGGAAGTCTGAGTTTTCTAAACCAACATCAATCCAATCTCAGGTAGGATTAGAGTTATTTTCTTGTGGTTTTAAATACGCATAATGTAAAGTTCTAAATATTTTTAGGCCATACCAGCTGCTTTAAGCGGACGTGATGTTCTTGGACTTGCAAAGACGGTAAGTACTGCAATCACCTTATAGCGAACACATTTTAGGGTAGTGGTAAAACATTGGCATATATTATACCATCTATCGTCCATGTCGTTTCGCAAACTACAAGCAGTGAAAGCAAAGGCCCCAGGGCTGTGATAATATTACCTACAAGAGAGTTGGCTTTACAAGTAAATGAAGAAACCAAGTTTTATGCAAAACCTTACAACTTGAAGATAATCTGTGCACACGGAGGAGGTAACAAGTATGAGCAGGGAAAGATGCTTGAGTTAGGATGTGACATCTGTATTGCTACTCCGGTAGGTTAACGTATCATGAGTATTATTGTTTTAGGGAAGACTGATCGATTTCATAAAAAGCGAGGCTACAGACCTGGTACGAACAAGTTTTCTAGTGTTGGACGAGGCTGACAGAATGTTCGACATGGGGTTTGGTAAGTAATTTCATGCGTATATTGTGACACGAGTGTCACACCCTTATTAACATGCTGTTTTAGAAGCACAAGTGAAGTCTATAGCGGATCATGTCCGGCCTGATCGCCAATGTTTAATGTTCAGTGCCACCTTTCCTCTCAAAATTGAAAAATTGGCTTCTTACGCCTTGAATCAACCTGTGAAGATCGTTTGTGGAGATGTAGGAGAAGCCAATTCTGATGTCATCCAACATGTACATATCTTCTCAAAACATGATTTGAAGTGGGAGTGGCTCATGATGAATATCGTCAAGTTCTGCACAGATGGAAAGGTTATCATATTCGTAACCAGGAAGTTAAATGCGGAGGTTGTAGCTGAGAAGCTAAAGCAGCAGAAGATTGAGAGTGTCTTATTGCACGGTGACATGCTACAAGCTGAACGAAGCGAGCGGTTGAAGGTCTTCCGGTCAAAAGTCGCATGTATGGTTGCTACTGATGTTGCAGGTAAGGAAACACAAATACGACCAGTGTGACATTGATTTCAATTTGGTGCATAATGGGTCAATTTCAGCTCGTGGATTGGACATTCCTGAAGTAAAATCTGTTGTCAATTACGACGTGGCCAGAGATATAAACACTCATGTGCATAGAATTGGCAGAACTGGAAGAGCTGGTAACAAAGGTGATGCTTATACTTTGCTGACTCCAGAAGACAAAGAATTTGCTGGTCCTTTGATTCAGAATCTGGAAAACGCGGCTCAGGTCGTTCCTCCGGAACTGACAGAATTGGCTAAAACTTCGAAATGGTACCAAGAAAATGGCAACATGGAACAGAAAAAGACACGGGTACGAACGGGTTTAGGCTTCACTGACGGTGGAATTCACAAAACGATACAGACTGCGGTAGTGCATCAGAAGGAGACTGTGACACACGAAATCAACAAAGCTAAGTCCGTAGCCAGCAGCTCTACTGGACTGGGACTTAGCCGCCTGGACACGATGAGGCATTTCCTCAATGGATCCTACAAGAGTAGCTTCACAAAGGCCAGCTCCGATGACAATCTGTCCATCGCCTACACTGACCCGACCCCACAATCTCGACAAACTACTCAAGAACCGACCAAAAAGAAGTCGAGATGGGGGCGATGATCTCTTTTTTGTAAAGCTTGAAGTTTTTAATGTTATTTATAATATAGTTAATAAAAAGTTTCATTTTTTGTGTTTTATTGGTGGATATTACGGTGTTTCTGCCATTGTTACTTTGAGTTTCTTAATTTTAAATTGAATTTCATAATAAATTATTTTGTATAGCGTTTTCATATTTTTCAGAAAGATGCTTTTCCGTCGAGTATTCACTAGTGGACTAAACGCAGTTAGATCTTTTTCCGTTTCGAGACAGCTACTTGGAAACCTGAGCCCTGAACTTAAAACAAAGATTCAAGGACTGGTAGAGCAAGGAGATGTTGTGTTATTCATGAAAGGTTCTCCAGATCAACCCATGTGTGGATTCTCCAAAACCGCAAAAATGGTAGGTGGTGTTGTTAGAATAAAATAATGTATATAGTAATTTTATTATTCTTTAAATTACCTGTCTATCCATTTCCAACCTTTGCAGATTTTGGAGTTCCATCAGATCCCTTTCAAATCAGTAAACGTGTTGGCTGATGAAGACGTTCGGGAAGGCATCAAGGAGTTCAGTGACTGGCCTACGATTCCTCAACTTTATGTTAAAGGACAGTTCGTTGGGGGATCCGACATTCTTCTCCAGATGCACAAAGACGGGGAAATTACCCAAGTCTTCGAAGATAACGGAATAAAGAGCAAATTCTCAGATCAGGATAAAATATAAATGTCTTGTTAGTCCAAAATAAAGTTCGTTTTATAAAAAATGGATGAAACGTCTTCTTTAGATTTATGACACTTTCAAAGTTAACTTTTAAACATCGTACCTTTAATTATTGGTGAAGGTAATAGTTGTATCATTGGGATTTTCGACGTAGATTCTGTGGTTACAAAATAAAATTTTTCTTGATTTTAAAACTGGCAAGTTGTGTTACGAAATGTCAAATCACGTGGCATTTCGTTTTTAATAAAAATGTTGGCTTTTTATAAATTATAATTCCAGAATTTTAAGTGGGTCATCATGAAAAGATTCTTGGCACCACGTTGTTACTTTTTTGTATTGTTAATTCTTAATTTTAGGTATATACTATTAACCGGAAATGCAATAGAAAAGTCGAGTGCTTCCTCTTGGTGGTTAATATTAATAAACTGGAATAAGCTTTATGTTTGTACAAATGTTATAATACCTGGTTGGAACTGGTTGAATGCCTTCGTTGGTGGCTTTTGGACGTCGTTGGAATATCTCCAGCGATGACTTTGTCTTCCCTGGGATCAGTGAAGCGTTGATTCGAGTTGGATGGTGAGTTTTGTAAACATTATTCTTAAATTTGGATTTTAGGATTGTGATAACAGCCACATTGTTTGTCTTTCACCAGCCGTTTCACTGCAATTCATTAGAATGGCTGGTTTATCTTGGTATGATGATTGTGGGTAACTTGATTACAATTGCTTTGAACCTGGCCATGGCTAAAATAAGTTCTCGTGGTTCCTTATTGGATATGCAGAGGCGGAAGGGGATTGTGAATTTAATTTATTTGAGAGTTTCCATATTTCTGCTGGAGATTGTGCTTACCATTTTGACTGCAATTTTTGCTTTTGGTATGTCGTTTTCTAAAATTATGCAAATTTTTTGAAAAAGCTGTTTTTACTTATAAAAATGTGTTTAATCTACCTATTTTTCAAAAAATATATTCTACATTCTTTGTTTTAGGTCCAGTAGACACATACGAAACGTGTTTTTCTCGGGTTACATTACAATTCACGGTTGTACTCGAATGTTTTCTGATTGTTTGTGTACTATTTGGTGTTCTGGCAGTGTTTAATCCGATGGGCGGTCACAACGTTGATAGATCTGTCATGGTAGAACGACGATATTGGCACAGTAGATTGAGATTGGTTAGTTCTTTTAGATTTACGTTTTTAAATTTTGTTTTTAAAGTTGGTAATGTTTGGAAAACAATTTAATTTTAGTGTAAAATCATGCAGACCAGTGAAATGCGAGAAGCGATTGACGAGATAGCGTCACTTCTGGCAGGTTTCTTTGCCGACAGAGATCTGGTGATATCAGACATAGTAGCTGGACTACTTTTGTTGGTACACTACCCAGAGCAAAGTCCTCCCCGTTACTTGACAATACCTACCAGCCAGCTGGATCTTCCCGATTGGATGCAGATGCCTTCTTCTTTACACATGGTATCTCGTATGTGTGACTTCGTGGTCGCTGTTTATGGTTGGCCCAACTTCATGCTGAATAATTGCACATGTGCTGCATGGTACTCGTTATACCGACAACTGCGATGTTGTCGTAAATGTGACGTAAAGGAGGTGGTTGTAGTGGACGACAATTGTTGTTCATGCAATTCTGCAGCTTTCCGAATAGAATCCCAGCTGAAGGAAGCCGATGTGTTCTTCTTGTCATTTCGGAATCGACTCTATCAGGTACCATTCGTAGTACTGACTGATCATCGTACCAACTCCATTGTCATCACGATCAGAGGATCTGCTTCTCTACTGGACCTGGTTACTGATTTGTCATTGTCCGACGATGTATTCTCTGTAGATGTGGATTCTGACCCTATTCTGAAGGAAGATCATGAACTAGATAGCTCAGGTGAGGTACGAGTTCATCGTGGTATGTTGAACTCGGCACGCTATGTGTTCAATATGTTGAAGAAGTACCAGGTGCTGGAGGACTTGATGGAGTTGCATCCAACGTACAATGTTGTTGTATGTGGACATTCTCTTGGTGCTGGAGTGGCTGCGTTGTTGACTTTATTGTTGAAGTAGGTTACTTGAGGTTAGATAATATAGTTTTTTAGGCAAGGGTACCCAACTGTTCGGTGCTACGCTTTTTCTCCGCCCGGTTGTGTGATAAGTGAACATGGTCAGTCAGAGATGGAATCCCATGTTTTGAGTATAATTGTCGGCGATGACCTTGTCCCCAGGATTTCGTACCAAGTAAGTGTGTAATTTAGATTGAGAAACATTGATACTACTGTTGTTAATGTTTTCTATAAGTCGACAATAATATTAAAAGCCTAACAAGTTGTGTTCTCAGTCGTTGATGGACTTGAAAGAGTCAATCGATGAACAGATTTACTCGACGGATCGTGCAAAATACGAGATTCTTATCAAAGGAATCTTCAAATTGTTCTTCTCGGCTCCATGGGATCTTCACGGAGGTATGCTTTTATGTTATGACGATTAAAATAGTTCATATTTTAGACACGCCAAGCCTCAGATCTAGCAGACGATTGATTGACTCCAGCAACTACAACGTGCCCGATCGAAGACATGGGGAACAACGTACGAGATTGCATCCGCCTGGTAGATTACTGCACCTGGTGTCACAACCGACAGGTGTAGAAGTGAACTGGATCGAGCGAGAATATCTGTCAGAGATCCAACTTTCAGGTGCCATAATAGCAGACCACCTGCCCTACCGAGTCAGGAAGGTGATTCAGAATGCAAAGGACCAGGAATATGTGTAGAAACTAACCACCGGGTATACTGTAACATATATGTGTAGTTATAATTTTGTCACTAACTTAAATTCTAACAAGGAAGTTAACTTGAGAAAGCACCGAATTTATTACAAACAGATGTTATAATACTTATGTTAACGTTAGTTACAACAATGTTACTGTAATATTATAGTTATATTTGCGGAGATCTATCAAGAGGTATTTGCATTAATTAATTTCGGTCACTTTGGGGTTTACTATAAGGAAATGGAGAAGTACATGTTGCTGTTGTGGCAAGGAAGGCACGGTTCCTGTACAGAAAATGGTTGGCGAGAATATTGTGGCCAGATTCTCTTCTGACATTTTATTTAGCTCGGAGTACGATGCTATCACCCGTAAATGGCTTAGGATTACATGTAATGTCCGTAGGTTTACTATGGTTAGCCCGTCCAATGCTTGACTAAACCAAACTATGGTAAAACCAAAAAAGAACTGACAGTAAAACTTTAAATTAGCAAAATAATATTAAAAAAACATACCGACACCGTAGAGCCCTTTCCCTCGGAATCCTGGTTGAGTTAAATGCGTTGAGGACATTGTTAAAGATGTGAAATGGTACAAGTTGTTGAGGTAGTAGTCTGAGGTAGAGCTTTAGAAGACCCGCCACCGTGTGAATGTCATCTATGGCTCCCAGGTTGACAGAACTCCCCAGGTCAAATTGTCGTCGCAATTTTTCCATCTGATCGTGTGATCCGCTGACTCTGTAGATTCCTTCTACATTCAAACCTCGTCTCTCAACTTCGTTTACACATTGTGTCACAACTGGAGGTACAGGGACAGAATGGGCCATACACAGAGTCGTTAGGTCTACGGCAAACATTCGCTTCACGTATTTACAGTCGGGACGACAGTCATCTATCGCTCGGTCACTACACTTACGGTGGCCTGCGAACCCACAGTTGTTACAGCGGACTCCCTGAAAGTGGAGAGTTGTATGGTTGAAAAAGTACCCTAAGGTATACTACTGTAAATAAAGTTACACCTCACCTGTTGCACTAATCCCCACAGGAAATTCCTGCAGTAATCACAGTAGTGGGGCATCTTAAAAGTGAACGGGACAAACTCGTGAGGTTGTTTAGGTGTGGAGGAAGGTGCTGATCTAACTTGATTCTCATTGAACTTAGTGTACTGAGAGTATGGGCTTTGTTCGTATACTGCTTCGTCAGCCATCTTCCTGATATACTCTGCCGCATACTTTTCTATGTACATGGCTATCAACCCATCAGCCACTAGTAGTGTCAAATCCTCAAACCTAAACGTATAGTAGTAAAATAAATATAAACACAACAGGGCACTATACCTTTTATCGGCTACGAAATGACACCCATCGTAGTAGAGCTTGTAGTTCAGTACTTTACCATCAAAAAGTATACACAAGGTGCTGGCATCTGCATACCGTGTAGATCCTCTGACCAGAAATGCACCTTCACCCATTTGTCGTAATTTCTGAAAAGCTTCTAATTAACAAATTTAACTGAACTATAAAATAAAAATATTGATCGTAAAATCTTTCTATTTATAAATCTGACTTTCTATGCTTTACATCTAGTGAACACAATTGCTTCCTAAAATTATAAAGAAAATAATAAATTACTTCTGCAGCATCGATCCTTTCAATGAGTCCGTGGTATTCGAGGCCGTATTGAGGAGGTTTGTTGAATATTCTGCTGGTACATGGAACTAGCTTCGGTTTTGGAGCTCGTTCTTGAAGAAGATACAAGTTGTGTTTCCAATAAGTATCGTGCTGAGTTTCATCTTCTTCCATACTCCTAAAATGCATAAATTTAACAAAACATTATTTTTATTCATATTCAATAAAATTACGTTGACATCTTTCTAGATTATTCGTGGGTTGTGTGACCTTTTAAAAATATAGCCTTTATTATATAACGACGGGTGCTAACGGCCAAACCCCAACCATCAATCAAAGCAGATATACCAACTTATATTGTAAAGTTAACAAAAGTTTAAGCAAAAACCACATCTTCGCTCAATACAAAGCAGTTTGCTTTTGTATTTAACGTAGTTTAATGTCTACTTACTAACAGATTATGTTATTATCTAAAATAAAATAAAATAGATTTAAAGCTGGGGCGCAGTTCGCTGCTCGAAAGCATAAAATTTTTAATTTTTGTCGAAGACATGTTTTTGTTTGTATTTTATGGCAAGAATACCGTCTAATACGCATAAACGTTTTTTGTTTTGTGCATGTTTAAGTAAAAGTAGGACTGTTGAGGAATGAAGGGAAATTAGCCTTAGAGAAGACTTTGGACGTCGGGTGGACCGGAATTGTATTTGGCCAAAGGGAAGAATATTTATATATAGACACACATGGCAGTCTCTTTAAAAGTAGAAAATTTTAAATATACTCGTTTTCAAACGTTAATTTAAGACGTTTTGTTTCTGATGTTATGGAATGTGTTGTCCACGATGTGTTATGTTGTGTTAGACGATGTCTGGTGTTGTTTTCCTCTCGCACATGGATTGGAAACTTGAGGGTTTAGGAACGCGTTATTATAGATTATTATTTGAACGCGATTAACTTTGCTTTTCAGTTTCGAGGTCTTGACCAACCTCAACTTTTCTCGGGGGACAGCTTGTGGCTGTTCTGTTCGCTTCAATTAAGATTTGCATTTACTAGATTTTAACGGTGTTTAGCGTCCGACGGCCTTAAAATGCTCAATCTGGCCACAAAATAATGTGATTTTCACGGCTGGGACGTTCCGAGTACAATGTTGATTAAAGAGTACCGGATTCTTCTGCCGTTGACGGTGGAGGAGTACAAGATTGCTCAGCTTTACATGATACAGGTATCGAGGTTAAGCTTATTATATTTAAAAATTTTTAAAATTACAATTTTATATATTGGGACATGTTGTATATTGAGTTTGTTTTGTAGAAGAAGTCACGATTGGACAGCTCGGGTCAAGGAAGCGGCGTCGAGATCATTAAAAACGAACCGTACGAAGACGGTCCTGGTGGCAAAGGGCAATATACCTTCAAAATATATCATGTGGGCAACAGAATACCAAGTAAGTTGTTTTACTCCTGGGAATACTTCATTTTGTAAAGGCATCGTTATTAGACGAACACGTAGATACTAATGGTCTGCGTAACAGATCTTTTCAATAAGTGTTCTCACCGGAAAATAACCTGCTAACGACGTATTGACACAAATAAATGAAAATTCTAATTTTTGAGTACATTAAAAAACCCAATCAAAAGCAAAAGATACGTAATCTATACTTAATTTGATTCAAAGCATTTCAATAATATATCATTATTGACTTCAGCATGGATACGAAACATCCTACCGTCTTCTGCGATGCAGGCCCACGAAGAAGCGTGGAATGCATATCCATATACGAAGACGAGGTACTCATGTCCAATGTTGGACAGGATCAGCGTAGATATGGAGACAGTTTATGCCAATGATTCTGGAATTCAGGAAAACGTCTTCAAGTTGAGCGATGCTGAGTTGAAACAACGACAGATAGGTAAAGAACTTGATTATGATTTATTTTTGATTTAAATTTAAAGATTTTTTTTTATTTTAAAAGTAAGATTAAAACAAAAAAGAACAACAAATCTAAAGTTAACCAAACGAGCCAATCAATGAGTTTTCAGATGTGATGGACTTCGTTAATGACCCGATCTCCACCCACGACTACACGGCTGAAGAAGATCCCAAATTGTACATAAGCAAGAAGACGGGTCGAGGTCCTCTTCGCGAGAACTGGGTGGAGGAGTGCATTAAAAATGGCAAGCCGATCATGTGTGCCTACAAGTTGTGCAGAGTCGAGTTCAGATATTGGGGGATGCAGACCAGGGCCGAACGGTGGATCCACGATCTGGCCTTTAGGGTATGTTAACATAAGTTTTATTACAGTTTTGTTGCTTAAAGCGTTCTTTGTTTGAATATTATAAATTGTCTTATGTTTTCCAGTACTTCTTTTACGTATATTGTTTTAGCGAACATTGTTGACCGCTCATCGACAAGCTTGGGCATGGCAGGACGAATGGGTAGGGCTGACAATTGATGACATTAGAACACTAGAACAAGAAGCTGCTGCTTACTTGTCTCAAGTGATGCAACCACTGGAAGAGAATGCTCACGATCCCACAGATTCTGACGACGATGAGAAGGACGATAACACTGATGTCTTCTTTGATTGTTTCGACCAGTCGCCACCCAACTCAAATAAACCTTCACTTATACGGTGGAGTTCTGAGTTGCTGATAGGTGAGAACGATGAAAGTCCACCTCACACTCCACGGCCCGACAACTCGTCTCTTCTCATTCTCGTATTCCACGGTGACATCTATCCAGAAGTACGTTTCCAACATTTTTAAATGTAATCCAATGTTGCTTATGTAACACATGTGTCTTAATAACAAACTATAAAAAGAGTTTTATTTTTTTTAGTCTCCAGCAGATTCTAAAACAACAGATGCTACTACGCTGAAGTCAACGTTGGATACTCTGATAACAAGTCACTATCCTCAACTAAAAGGTCGTGTCCATGTTCAACGGGTTACTTGTGGTCAAGAACTATGTCAAACAGTGTTGTCTTTAAACGGAATTTGTCCTTCTTTCGGTTCCTTTCATCCTTCACTTGCTTTACTTCTGGCGTCAAGTCAACAAGCTTTCTTCGAAGTATGTTTACGAGAATCTTAATTAGTATTAGAGATGTCTGTTGGTTAAAGATTTTCAGTGATAGATGTATAAATATTTTTAATTGATAAGAATATGTGACAGAGATGTTAATGATAAATTTTAAGGCAGTAAATGGCACGATTCTTCGAGCGAATCAAGCGATCGAGGACTTTTATCACTCTGAAGCCGGTGCCAACTTCAATGGTGAAATATTCATGATTGGAGATTGTATCGGCGGGATCCTGATGTACGAAGCTCTGATTAAACAGTCTAAACCTCACCTACCGATCTCTCGACATTCATCTTCTGTGTCCACGCAGTCGAGAAGTGCTATTCCAGAAGGACTGGAAGCCGATGTACGTTTTAGTTTTACTTGTTATATTTTATGGTACGACAACCAGCTTTTAAAGTTATCTTTAGTCAAAGCCGGATCTGCCATCACAAGCCGAGTTAGACGCCAATACTCAAGAAAACGCAGACATTGCACATGCCAGTAGAAACTTCATCAGGAACCTCTCTGCCCCACCATCAGCTTCTTTTATGCGCAAGAAGATGTCGATATCTTCGGTCGATACTGCCGTAAGTTTTTGACTGTTATTCTAATGTAACTTGCGAACTTATTGTCATTACTTTGTGTTGTAGGAGTTTACAACGATGACTTCGTACACTACTTCACTTTCGTTCAGACCTGGTGTTGCTTTTTTGTTGGGCTGTCCGTTAGCGTTGGTTTTGGCACAAAGGAAAATGCATGGAAAAGGTGGGTATCCTTATTAACTTTACAGATATTTTAATATGCATGTCAATTTCTTATATTATCCTTTAATTGCAGATGTTGACGCTCTTGAATGCAACCAATTATTCAACCTGTTCTACACGTTGGACACTTGTGGAGCAAGGTTGGAGCCGGTTCTAAATCCTCAATTGTCGCTACTGCCATGTCTGACGGTGCCACGATATCAGCGATACCCACTGGGAGATGGTCGTCATATATTGTTTGACAACGCTTTAGAGACGTCCATGTTGTGGGGTCCTCGGAGGGTGGATCACGAGTTGTACTGTCCTCCTGACATGGTTGCTGTAGCTGCGTCAGCGCTTCCGAATATTCTTCACGCGTCGTATTGGGAGAGTAAAGATGTTGGAGCCTTCATTCTACGTCAATTTGTTCGTAGTGAAGATACTCACGTCTTCGCTTCGTTCTCCACTAATGCAGCTTCGATGAGTCCACTAAATGCAGAGCTGCCAACGCCAATGTGGTGTCGTCGAAGAACACGATTCAAGGTAGGATTGTTTTCAAAGTGAAAAGGTTGTAATCAGTTATATTTATATACCAATTCCAGATTGCCAACTTATCCCCAAACCACAGAGCGAACGATCTGATAACAGTTGAAGGTAACGAACAAGTAATCCATGCCCGTTTTTGCTACGGCCCTATGGATCTCGTAGCATTGTCACGCGAAGATGTTATCGTATATGTTTGCCCGTACGGAGGCGATTGGTACGAGCTCAGTACAGGAACGACAGATTCACATGGGAGACTTTTTGTAAACATGAATCATTCTAAACTGCCTGTGGGTATCCACTCTATCAAGATGGTGGTCAAAGGAGACCACACCTTCCTTAACATGTACGTAGCAGTTGTTCCGCCTGCTACGCCGTGCGTCGTCTTCAGCATCGACGGAAGTTTAACTGCTTCAGTTTCGGTAACAGGTCGTGATCCAAGAGTGAGACCGGGAGCCGTTGATGTGGTCAGATTCTGGCAGCAAAAGGTTTGTGGCCATGATAGGAAACATATTTTTAGGGTTATATTGTGATCTATGTAACAGCTAGACCTGACATGCAACAAAGAGTTGTCGGATCGTGGTTGGCACAGCACAACTTCCCTCACGGATTGTTATTCTTCACTCCTTCGATTTCCACTGATCCTTTACGGTATGTTACATGATTTTGTCGTAAGTTGCCTGCATCGTTTTATGTCGTTACTTTTTATATTTTTGTGTATTTGTTGAGTTAGCTAGTAACTGATGTTTTTTAGGTATAAAACTCAACACTTACGACATTTGGTAGACATGGGTGTTAAAGTGCAAGCGGCGTACGGTAGCGGAAAAGACATTGGAGTGTATTCCGCTGCCGGAATCGATGGAGAACAGATTTTCAAGGTACACGGAAGCAAGCGGCGAGGGTGCATATCACTGGAAGACGGCTATGCGCAGCATCTGCACGACCTCCACTCGGGTCGTGTGCCATTGGCTCAAGCGGTGGTCAGCAACTCGTCGCTGGTGATCGAGAACAACTTCTTCACGGCAACTCCGCAACAATCAAGGTCCGTTTGCTCTAGGTCACGACCTCTCTTCAGAAACTTTGTCCAGAGAACCCACTCGTTCACCCCCAGAAGCGGCAAGTACGGTAGCTTCAATCATCAGAACAAGAAAAGTAGCCAGAGCTCCATCTGCACACGATGAGCCCATTTATGATCACGTCATTCATTACCTCCAAACGCGATTGAGTTGAAGAGATTCTCGGTTTCTTCTTTACGATGCTCACTTAACCTTTACTGGCATTCCTTTAGTCACAACGATTGTAGAGATGTATATAATAAAGTTATATATAGACTTTGACCTTACAGTGACCTATTCTTTATCTTTTAATTTAAGAGTCAGACTAATAAAGCTTTTGACCATAAGTGGCCGATCAGACAACAAGATACGATGTAATTCGGTAGACTACGGTCACGTTTTATAATTGAGCAGTAATTGTTTACCAAAGGAGAAACCCCTTCAAGATCAACAGATTTAACACTTTCATTGCTTTCCCTTTCTGAAGTCGACTATTTTGGCGATATTCGAGTCTAATAAATTAGTATTATATGGACCTGTAACATGAATCACAACGCAAAACCAGAAGTCAGAAATGTAAGCATTATCAAAGTGTCTTTAAATTTTTATGAAAGAAACCACTTGTGTTTTTAACTGTGGTTTTTGTGAAATACACATTATAAAGTAGATTTGTAGTTTAAATTAGTCTCATTTCCGTTCAAAACTCTATAACCTCGTGTAATTCCAAAATTTCAAGCCGCTTTTTGATAAAATTCTTAACTTTTTATTTAAAAATGTGTTGCAGTTGTAAAGTTAAAAAAGAATTTTAAGCCTTCGTATACTGCGCAACGAGCGGTACATTTTAATAGCAAAAAGAAATAAAAGATTTTGTTTATGGAAACTTACGTTATTTTCCAAACCGGTTGTTATCAGTGCCTTTCCGAGCTGGCTGTGTCTCCAGAGAAATACTTTCCTACAATCAGAACGAAGTCTTGTTCGAGGAAACACTTGACTCGGGCCAAGTTTTTTCTCCGTAAATGTTTTGGACAACATAATTATTCACTTTTAATTTTGCGAACATATCAGACAACATGCTATACGTATATTTCTTTTTGTAGACCTCGTATGAATTTATTATAATATTGTTTACCACAAATTGGGTTATCACTGGTCTCCCGTATGTTATCCAGGGCCTTTTTCGAATACCTTTTATTTCCAAATCCGTCCCAGAAGCGTCGAGCTGTTTTATAGCTGGCTTTAGCCGACTTTCGGCCGTTATCTTTTTGATCTTTTAGCTACGGGTTTCAGGTAAATTAGGTTATCGTTGCTGATTTGCGTTGTGGATTATATGCCGTGTGTTTTCAGGGTATTCGCAATTTTTTACATGACAAAACTCAATCGAACCGATTCAGGTGTTGGCTACTGAAGCGGAGTTTGCTGGGATCCTACTCTATGATGAGGTTGGGCGCCCGTTCAGCTGATGCTGGCAGTGTGTCGTCCGACGAACGAGGATTTCTCTCGCAGCCGGCTGTCGCTAGTCCGGAGAAGTCGGGTTGGCTTCAGAAGTGGACAAACTACATTAAAGGCTACCGACAAAGATGGTTTGTGTTGGATTCGGAAGGAGTTTTGAGTTATTACAGGTAAGCACCTTATTTTAGGTAGATGTTTAAGCTTTAAAAGATTGTTTTCGTATCTTGGAGAACAGTAAAGTATAGACTTTGGACTTTATGAAACTAACTGTGGGTAGGTATACAAAACCTGCTAGTTATCATATGACGTCGAAAAGGGGAACATTTACGTGGTATTCGAAGCTTATAATAAAGAAAATTTGCTCTTGAGGGGCGAGTCTCTTTTTTCTAAAAAAATCGCTGTTGTCGCGTGAAAAAAAACCGAGGGAATGTAACAGAGGCGAGCCGGCTACCAACAACTTGTCTGTTTTCACTCTTCGCTTTATTATCACTCCTTAAGTGGAAGGTCTTAGCATTGTCCGATAAGATGTCGTGGAAAAAGAGACTTCGAAAGGCTGTCAAGAAGGTTAACTGTTATCCTAAGCGCAAGTCCAGGTGCTGAGAGCTTTAAAAATTTATTATAACCTGTTATTTAGGTAATAATTTGTTTTTACTTTCAGAAATCAAGCAGAAGTTGGTGTAGCCTGCAGAGGAAGTGTCAACCTCAAAGAGAGCCGAATTCATTCGGACTCAGCGTCAAACAGTATTGTAAGTTTACTTCTTGTTTCTAGTTTTGTCTTTTAGAATATCAGCGGAACTTCTCAGAGCTTTCACTTGAAGGCCAACAACGAAATCGACCGAAACAATTGGTTGAACGCCTTAGAATATGCTCGACATCGAGCGTGCAAGAAACAAGATCTTGATGACGAAGATAACAACGTCGTTCCTACATTGGAAGACATGGACACTATGGTGGATAACATAAAAACAGTCATGATGAAGAAGTTGGAAGAGTTGAAAGTTTTTAAAAAAGATATAGGCAAGTGTAGTTTGGGTAATTAATAATCTTATCTTAGGTGACACTCAGAAGGAATTGGAACAGCTTTTATCAGACATTGATAATGAAAGAGTTTATAACTTATTGAGGACGTTCAAGGAACAGACAGAAGCTCTTGTTCAGGTAAAGTGCCGACATGTTTTGTGTTCATGTTAAAAAGATATATTCTAATGTTTAAATATTTATGAATTTTGTGTTTTCAGAAGTCAGAAGAGCTGGTGGATTTGAACAAGGAGGGTACGAACAACTTTTACCGTTTCTTCACGAACGAACACGACCAGCGCTGTCAACTTCAAGACCAGATCGAGACCTTGGCAAAGCAGCACAGTAACTTGGAGAACGCTGCTTTCCTAAATCCATCTTCTACAGGAACGACACAACAACAAAAGTCGCGTAGGTCCTTTCGCAATAGTGTAAAGTATATGTTTGTTGTGATTGTTACAATATGCTTGTTATTCCTTCCTTTACTGTCTGAATGCTGTTATTTCTTGAGGCTGTCTGACAAGCGCATTACTCTGAGTAGTAATTAGGAGTTGATTGCTATAGTATATTTATAATTTTAATTTCAGCGTACGACGACAGCGACGACGAAGAGTTCCACGATGCTCCAGAAGAACCAGAGTTCGAGGTCAACACGAACGAAGATACAGAGGACCTCCACAACAGTGACATGTCATCTGGAATCAGTAACGGCCTTGAGGACACAGACACAGCCAGCCACTCGTCCTCCCAGTTCTCGCGAAAGGTACCGTCTTCTGGATTTGTAAGTTTGGTTATCGGATGGTTTGAAATGATTATTGGTCTGGTTAGAATGTTAAGAGCAACATTATGTTAGGTCGTGGTCCTCTTTTAATTTTAAGTTTTGGCTTACGAACTTGCTTATTACTTTAAAACGTAAAACTATTACTGTTTTAAAAGGTGTAATATTTCCAAAATGGGGGTTTAACTATGCAAAACGTTGTACTTTGATGTGAATTAGAGCCCGAAGGCGATCGAAATTCGCACTTTAGTTGAACGTAAAACCTGACGGGAATGGGACCTGCCTTTTGTTATTTTTACGTTTTTGTATAGCTGTATGTTTCGCTCTCCGCTTCGATCGAGATTCTTAACTCGTCAGGCAATCACTGGGAACGTTCTCTCTAAATGGGGCTTTTTTATCTTTTTGCTTTCACTTTTGCGCATTTGTATTGATAAAATCTAAACAAAGTAACACCACTGTCTTAAGGTATGTATTAAGTAGCCTCGCTTCAGGTCTCAATGACAAATGACGAAGGTGCTGTGACGCCGTTTGCTTTTCCAAAATCCATCAAATCGCGCCGTTCCATCGTACCGACTAGGCCACAATGTTCGGTCAATTTATGGTCGATAATGAAGAATTGCATTGGGAAGGAACTGACAAAGATTCCGATGCCGGTAAGTCTAGTTTAACATCATGGTTCTTGTAGTATTATTTTAGTATTGTAATGTTTGTTGTTGTTGTCTTTTAATTAAATTAAGGAGATCTCTTCAGGTTAACTTCAACGAGCCTTTGTCTGTCCTTCAAAGAATCACAGAGGACTTGGAGTATGCTGATCTACTAGACACAGCAGCTAACTGCACTGACCCAGCTGAACAAATGTGTTACGTCGCCGCGTATGCCACAAGTTGTTACTCTACCACTGGAAACAGAACAACAAAGCCCTTCAATCCACTTTTGGGAGAGACATACGAATGCGATCGAACAGCTGATCGAGGGTGGTGGTCAATAACGGAGCAGGTAGGTGGCTTTGGTCTGTAAATTTACTTTAAGATTAGATTTGTTAATGACTGTAAATAATAGTAAACGTAGTATGTTGATCATCTTATTTCATTTTCTTTAGGTATCTCACCATCCCCCAGCTACAGCTCATCACGCTGAAGGACGACAATGGACGATGTTCCAGGAGTTCAACATGACCTCGAGGTTCAGGGGAAAGTACTTGTCTGTCACTCCAACTGGCTTCACTCACATTAAATTCAAAAACTCAAAGAACCACTATACTTATCGTAAGATCACCACTACCGTCCACAATATTATCGTCGGAAAGCTGTGGATCGACAATCACGGTGAAATGAACATCGAAAACCACTTCACAAAAGATAAGGGAGTTGTCAAGTTCCATGCCTACAGCTACTTCTCTCCCGACAAGGCCAGGAAGGTGAGCGGCCTAGTAAAGGACGGGTCTGGCAATCCCAAGTTTGCACTTCAAGGTTACTGGGACAAGTACATAGAGATGGCCAAGGTGAACAAGAGTGATAAGAACAGCATTGGAACCGGAGTCTTTCAACGGTTGTGGACTGTCAATCCTCCATTGTAAGTACTGTATGAAGTTACTGTAACTTAGTTTTAGTGCCAATAGCGAGACCATGCACAACTTTACTCAGCTGGCTATAGAATTGAACGAGCCAGAAGAAGGTGTAGCTCCAACTGATTCTCGATTACGGCCAGACCAAAGGTTGATGGAAGACGGCCAATGGGACGAGGCCAACGAAGAGAAAGAGAAACTCGAGGAACGACAACGAACTAAGAGGAAGATAAGGGAACAGGAGGCTGAACAAGCTATGCGACAAGGTCAGTTTATTCTTTGAATACTGGTGATTGTAAGATACATTCAGATCATATGAAGGGATTGGTAGTAAAAAACAAATTAATATTGTCATACATTTTAGGTAAAGCCTACCCTGAATACGAGCCATCGTGGTTTGAGAAGACTCAAGACGAATGTACCGGATCCGTCATCCACGTCTACAAGAACGAGTACTGGTCGTGCAAAGAGAAGCAGGACTGGGCGAAGAGCAAAGAAATCTTCTGAATCATGTACATTTGAGTGACATTCACTTGTTTAAGTTTTAATTACGTTGTTGTACCTTATGCACTTATTCTGATGCCATGTATTTAAAGTGTCTTATGCTGTAATACCTTATATTGTACCTTATTGTAATCACATGATTTCATTGATAATGTTGTACATCGAGATATATTTTGAAGCAAATGTAACTTGAATGAAGTGTATTGTAGATGTCCACATTATGACTTCAAATTTGGGATTGTTGGCCTACATTACCCAATGTCCTGTTCGTTACCTTTTCCGGTGTGCTAACGTGATGATATTCGTAGTCTTATGTCATATATTGTGTTTATGGTTGGTATTCTCCAACCACTTTCGGGTCTGCTTGGTTGTACTTTTGTGATGATTAATGTTGTTACTCTCGCACTTATTCCCACCTTACTAAACTCTGATATATCAATAAATCTAGCTGAGATATGTTATGGTTTTACACTTGCGAAAGCTGTTTTTATGCCTTCCGAGATGTAGGTCGACGATCCATCTCTCACTTACTATCAGTAGTGGATGGATGATGATATCTATCGCGCTTTGGTTAAGCCGTCCTTCTGCCGTCGTCAGAAGCCCCACAGTTCTCCTTCAAAAACTGGGATTGTTTGACAACTTTTTGGTTTTTTATATGCGCCGGTTTCTCCACAACGACTGCTTCTCGTTCCATCAAGAATAATTACTCTGGGTATCATCGTAACTTTCCTTTTTGGGAGGAGAGAGAAGGAACAGTAATCTCTTATCTAATCCATCGAACGGCTTCTTTATCCATGTTTCATATTATTGTTTGTTTATAGAGATGCTATGAATCTGGCAGAGGTCTTACAACTAGTCCTTGTAGTAAGTCATACCTACTCTTACCTGTTTATTGTGTTCACATTGTTTATTGCTTGTTACCGTAGGAGAACAAAGGTTAAAGTTTGCTTTCTAGGGTTGTTTATTAGTAGTGTTAAAGCCGGGCTTGGCCATCCACGTGGACAACGGGTTAGTGGACTCGGAGCTGGTCAAAGAATGTGTCAACAATAACTCTGTAGACCTGATTCTGTTGTTGGATGCCTCAGGCTCAGTAGGAGGCGACACCTTCCAACTCCAACTCAACTTCGCGTCTCACCTCGCGAACCGTCTCAACGTCTCGGCCCAAGGGAGTCACTTGGCTGTGATACAGTACTCCGAAACCCCACAACTCGAAATCTCGCTAAATCAGTATACGAATCCCAATCAGGTAAATGCCAAATATCTTTGACATAACGTTAGTAATGTGAATTTATCGTGGTGTTACTACGACTATTGTTTGTTAATGTGTCATTTAATAGTTTGAAACGTTTTAGTTGGACTGGGCCATTCAAAGGATAAAGTACCAAAGTGGGGCCACAAACACTGGCAAAGCCCTGCAGTTGGCGTTGGAAAATGGATTCCAAGGGGCACGTGGAGGTAACGTCCCTAAGGCCGTGATTGTGGTGACAGATGGACAGTCACAAGATGACGTCGCTGAAGCAGCACAACGTCTAAAGGATGCTCATGTCATGGTATACGCGATCGGAGTGACCAACTTGGTCAACGTTCAGCAATTACATCAGGTAGGTCGGGGATGTTAGTCAATTTTTCAGTTTCATTTTAATTAAGATTTGGACGTTTTCAATTTTTAGATCACTGGCAACGCACTCCGAGTGTTTACTGTAGAGTCATTTGAACAACTGGACAAGTCACTGGCCGATTCTCTGACCTGGGATATGTGCAAGACTGAGTTCCGTAAGTACTGTAGACAGACAAGTTAAGCATCCTTCATGTTCCATCGAGGTTACTGTAAAGTGAAGATTAATTTGTTTTTTGTGATGTTAACTATGTCGCTTCTTGCAGGTCCCGGAACTCCAGATATTATTTGTGCGCCAGACAGAATCGGAGTCAGAGCGTCGACCAAGAAGCCGTTCGACGGTTACGTGTTCGTAGCCGACCATTTCCACCAAGAAGAATGTCGTGCTGGTCCAGAACAGTTTTCTGATTCCAAGAGTATCGGAATCACAATTCCGTTCAACAATTGCAACGTGCACCGTTACCGTTCCGTAAGTTCTTATACATGTTTAAGAATAATAGTCTTATCATCAAATATTTTGGATCTGTCTACTTCCATAATATTCTAATAAGATAAGTATCAAAAGAATCCGAAGCATTCTGTCTCGGATTCTGATGTGAATTGGTCTGAACAAAATCGAAAACAACGTGACGCCATCATTAATCTGTTTTCAGTTGAATCCGCGCGGAATCTTCGTCGAGATGACGGTAGTGTTTATGTTCCATTCGGTTTTCATGACCAAAGTGGATCAGATGGTGAAGATCCAATGCTTCTACATGGAAGCCGAGAAACCGGTTTCCGTGCCAATAGAAGTGAGGTAAGGGCACAACCACAACTAATAAACTTGTCATAAACTTGTTTATCGCCGCATTTGCAGCATGATAACCACGCAGTTCCGTCAGAAGATCTACGAGATGCCACGATGTGAGTACACCTTGAGGAAGGACCACCCGAACGGCCCCATCGTGCAGTACGCCACGCTGGGACAGAGCGTGTACCACAGATGGGAGTGCATAGAAGAAGACAACAAAGATACGTTCGGAATGTTGGTGCATTCTTGTTATGTCGACAACGGATTTGGAGATCGAGTCGATATTATTGACGCTAATGGGTGAGATCGATTATAATATAAGAAGCGCGAAACATTTTATCAAACCTGAGCGATGACAAGCTATCAGTTTGACGATGAAACGAGTAATCTAACACATCAAACAAAACAAAAGTGATAGCTTCTATCGATACTAAAGCATAACATACAAACTCGTTGGCAAACCATGTTAACGCAATCATATCGTCCCTTTCAGATGCGGACTAGACGCCGTGTTACTGTCCACTCCCGACTACGACCAGTCGCTACGATTGGCCCACAAACCGTACCACGTGTTCAAGTACGCTGATCGCCCCGTTCTACAGTTCCAATGCCAACTCACACTGTGTTTGAAGTACGATGGAGGTTGTGCAGGCATAACTCCACCCAAATGCCCCGAAACCCAAGCCCACTCCCACATCCACGACCACCAGCGGAGGCGCAAGTCCAAGAGAGAACTCATCCCCGGACCCAAGTACGACCCGGCGGAGACTCTGGACGTGTTCACGAAGCCGTTGATGGTGATCGACGAGGACTTCGCCAAACTGACAGAGTGTCCTCTGCAAGGTGAAGGCCGCCACCTTGAGTGGAACATTGTGATAGGTCTGGTCAGTTTGACGGCCGTCAACCTACTTCTGATGAGCATCAGCATCCTCTTCTGGTGCAAACGGAGGTTCGTGAGGACACTCGACTTCAAGTCCTAGTGTATTTATTGTCTTGGTGTGCTCGAGGCTAGTTGTATTGTTTATTTATTTATTTTGTGTTATACAGACTGATAAAGACTTTTACGAATAAACGCGATTCTCATCCTAATTCACAGCATCACGTCGCTGGTGTCGAGCTGAGCACGGTGGTGCTCGTGCCGCGACATTTGTCGTTTCACCGGCGTCAAACAGTTGGTGAGCTTCTCGCCCAACGTCGCGCCCTTCTGTTTTATGAACACCAATATGGCCAAGATGGGTATGGCCGCCGCCGACGTTAAAGCGAACACTATGCCTAAGGCGTTGGCCCAGTCAGGATACAGGTAGTCCTGATACTGGTGCCGTTGGTAGTTGATGAAACTGTTCAGAATCATCACCTACAACAATATTCTTGTAACTGGCTCTCTGCGTCGGGTTTGGCTATCTTATTTTTAAACATGGTACAACAGCTAGTAGTTTAAATTGAAAAATTAATTAAAGCGGTTATTTTAAATTCTAATATCTATCAATTTCATCATAGACTTTTCCAATAAAATACGAATCTTTCAACAAGTTTAAGAAAAAACATACCAACAAGAAGATGGGGGCGACAAACTTCCAACATATCCTCCAGTACCATCCCGGCTGGAAACCCATCATCTCTTGAATGTCTGCGCAGAACTGGTCGATCCCGTATATGAAGGATATCACCATGGCTTCCGTAAATACAGCGATCAGAAGGCCCCACGTGGTGCCATAAACAATGAGCCACTCCATTATCAATATCCCTCCCTAAAGAGCTTTACTTCACGGCGCCAGAACTTACTTCCGTACACAACAACGTTGCAATTACCATGTAGAAAGAGAATAACAGAGCTACAAACACTTCACGGTGCTTTTTCAGAATCGGATATTCGTCGCTGAGGCCAGTTATAATGGCTTCGGATCCTCCAAACTGCAATGTCAAACAATCTTTTCATTTTCGGTTCAATATCTATTCTTTGGAAGAAAACAAAAAGCTGTGAAATATCGTCCAAAAAATTTGTCATTATGACTTATTTTATGTAGTTTCTAGGAAATGTGTCATAAATACTGATTTATTCTTCGAAAAAATAAAACTTACCGAACTGTCGAGACCTAACGTGAGTAACATTAAAAAGAAGATGATACACCAGAACCTGGATCCGGGCATCGTGGCTAAGGCTTCTGGATACACAACGAAGACGAGGCCGGGACCCTCTTGTGCTACTTCGTGGATTGGCTTTCCACTTTTACATGACATATACCCTAATACCTAGAAAAAGTGAGTTTTGGCTAATATTTATCGTTAAATTTAACAATTACAATATTTAACTATTGATTTAGGTAACATTTTAAACTTACTGAAAAAATGACGAATCCTGAGAGAAAACTGGTGCCGCAGTTGATAAGACTTGTAAGAATGGCATCACTAGAAACAAGAATACAAATTTAAAATTATTTTAAATTGTGATTTAACTAGGTAGTAACTTACAAGTAGACATTGTTGTGAAACTCGTTGTAGCTCGAGTAAGCCATCAGCACACCGAAGCCGGGCCCCAACGAGAAGAAGACTTGTGTGGCAGCGTCTTGCCACACGCTAGGCTCTCGAAGTCGCTCCAGATTCGGTTTCAGATAGTATTCGATGCCGCGGAGTGAGCCGGGCAAAGTAACGCCACGAATCAGCAAGATACCAAGTACAACATACGGAAAGATGGCCGTGAACCAGACCACCTTACCCGACGTCGAGATACCCTTCCAGAGGGAGAAGTAGCAGATCAAGTAGATGATCAGAACACAGGCCACCAGCTCCCAGTTCAGATCTCCCAGGTCCGTCATGCTTCTGATGATATGAGCGTTGGGATCTTTGGCAGCGTGCACCCCGAGGAACCCTTTACTAAATTTGCAAATTAAATTGTGCCATTCCAAACAATTCCTCAAAATTTAAGGTTAAAAAACATATTCACAACAATAATAGTAACATTAAGTTATGTGTACACTAACAAACCTTATCCCTTCAACTTACTAAAAGTACTCTTCGGCCGCAGAAACCGGCTTCAACGACCGTGACGAGTTTATGAATTTGGGTGTGGACGAGCATTCTTGACCTAAATCACTCCAGCTCGGCTCGTAGCAGGCTGGACTGTTGTAGTCATTCTTACACGATGACCACGGTAGCTGAGGCTTGAAGGAAGAGAAGAAGTAGTGTAGCGAGTAGGCTATGATCACGTTGTAGAAGAAGTCGGTGTAGAACGCCGTCATGATGACGCAGTAGCCGATGCCCTTGAACAATGGGCATATCTTGCCCCAGGTTGATATCGCTCCTTTGCGATAGTACTGCCCTAGTGCCAGTTCCATGTAGAACAAAGGTATGCCAGCCAAGATCAACATCAACGTGTACGGTATGAGGAAGGCGCCACCACCGTTTTTGAAGCACAAGTACGGGAATCGCCAGACATTGGCCAAGTCGACCGCAAACCCAATCACTGATAACAAGAAGTCGACCTTGCCGGCCCACGTCTCGCGCTCTGGGCCGGCTTGGCCGCCTTCTGGCTGGGCGATGATGAGAGGTTTGGATATGACATTGTTGTTGTCGGAGTCGAGTTCGGCGATGCTGGTGAAGTTGGGTCGGAACGAGTGATTTCCTGAAAAGTAGCATCATTATTGGTCGAAAAGACAATTCTAAAGTTGCTTGCAAAGGCTTTGGTGGAACACTTTTCTATTGAAAACTCAAAAAAGGTGACATTAGTTTAAAACACTCAAGGAGGGACAACCAAAGGATGTACTTTTACTGTATAAGATAATGTAAAATTAGGAATTACATTTACAGAAACGACCATATCACTAAAACTAACACAAAAGTCATTATCTTGACTTTCCAACTTGGCTATCTCACTCACCATCGCGACTGTTGTTATTGTTGTTGTTGGCGTGATTGTCGTTGGCCCAGACGGCGCTGGGGCGCTCGTGTTGCGGCATTACTGTGGCGAACTTAGTGCCGAACAGGCTTCAATCATATGGCACCTTTGAGGAGTTTTAAATCTTGGAAAGAAAGAGAAACGGTTGCATATCATTCCGAAAAGAGGAAGGGACCTTCAGAATGCACATATAACTACCGGAAGATGTCTTTCTTGTCAAAGCACTCAAAAAAGTTTTGGACTTATGTCTCTATCGTCGACACCGATTATCGGCCATCAGAAGACGCTTGAGTACGCTTTCAGCACCGTTTCTGGCATCTTTTGAATTCCGACACATCCACGAACTTGGTACTGTAAACGTGGGATGACTCGTTTACGACCGCGGGTCGTTTTATTGACCGGTTTGAGGCAAGTCCGAGTAGACTTGATACGGTAGAAATGTTTATTAGGAAACAGGTTACGTAGAGTCATGTACAATATAATATATAGTTGTGAAAACATATTCTTTCATGGTTTATAAATGAAACCCTATGAGATCAATTAAACGGAAATCCTTTGTCATCGTCCATCAGCCGTGGCACACTAGCTGTAGGCAAGGCGTTGGGCTGCTGTTGTATGACATTCATCATGTTGTTCAAGTTAATATTGGCTAGGTTGGGGGTGTTAGAGAAGGACCGGTTCATAGACAAAGGGGAGGTCTGCATTGGAGAAGCTGTCTGAGCAACACGAGTCTTGAGACTTTCGAAGGGCTTGAACATCAACTTCTTCATCTTCAACATTACCCTTTCCGGCACGTGGAAGACGTAGCGGTAGAATTCTGATTGAATATTTGCTCTGTAAACAAAGATAAGTTCTGCAATCATTCGGAAATGCATTATGATTGAAATTATCATAAATATTAATAGAATCACAGAGACCTAAGGATCGTTGACTTACGGTGCGTTTTCCTGAACAGCAATCTCCAACGCGTCTTCTAACACCACGAAGAACACCTTTCCGCTCATTCTGGTCGATATGTTTCGGTCGAATAGCCACGCTTTGTCTTCGTCATCACAAACATACCTGAACATCCGTGGGTACTTTACGAAGATGTGTCCACGATGTCCCATATTCAGAAGTTTGCTAACTTTAGAGCCAAGAATAAACTTGACATCAGGAGTTATTCTGTCAGGATTCCACTAAAAACACTACATTTACATTCTGGCAAAGGTGGGAACGGTAAAAGTTTAAGTGTAAAATGGATTATAAGTTTAACAGTGTTTTACTGTCAATACTTACTTTGCAAACTTCGGCAAAAGAAACTGGAGTAGTACCCTTCATCACAGGTGTACCGCAACGACCAGTATCCACGTTTACTTTGCGTGGCCGACCACGTTTCTTCGGCCGATCAGAAAACGTAGTTGTATCTAAAATATAGTGAAAAGTGTTTAAAAAAATTACAATGTACTCATACTGCAAGTTACATATACCCAAAAGGATCTCTGAAAGATTAGTCTAACTTAATTAAAACATCTACAAGATTGTAGGTTATACTTTCATATAATAATATAAAAATGGACTAGAATGTACCTCTTCCATTGTTGGTTCTATTGGTACTGAAACTAGCCATACTGGTGTCACTTTCATTGTCATCACTTTCGTAAGTCTTCCTGTCTTCGTCCACATTCTCCTTCCTACGCTTCAACAACGTCCCAGAGGGGACACAAGTCTTGACATCGCTTTCAATCTTACTGATAAAAGGCTCTTTGGCCCCATTCAGAATATTCAGACACAGTTCGTTGATGCAGTCTCGGGAAATGTGCTTAAAATGTTAGTTTTAATAGATAATCGTACCGTTTTAAATTGAAATTTTGAAAAGATTGTTTATTACAGTGCACGGTGCCCACTTACTTCATGACCGTTCCTCTTAAGATTCTCGAACGCTGGAGCAAAAGTTGTCCTCAGATGCCTATCGATGACTTGTTTTATCTCTTCTGTCATCTCGTTCTGGAACACCTGTCGAAGCAGGTCCAGCGAGTCTGACAAACTCTCCGCCATATCAGTCTTGCTTCTCTGGATTGCCTGTCGAAGCGAGTTGATTTTAGCCGAGTTTCCGTCTCCACTAGCTCGCAACAAGTTCTCCAGAATTTCAACTTTCAGATTCATTTTGTTGCCATTCCCATTGCCAGCGGTTAAAAAGGCCAGCTCTGCTGGATTAGAAACACCGCCAATCATTTTTTCAACTGAGATATCAGCTTTTTACAGTTCTGACAAAAGGCAACAGAATATTAAATATAATATTGTAGTAACTTCAACCAAACTTAATGTTAGTTTTTGAAATGGAATGTTAAAGAAATCTAATCACGTCAAAAGCAACGTTCTGAAGACAGATAAAGCTCACTAATAAATAAATTGACAATGAACGGGCGTAGAAAACAAAAATAAGAAGTAAAAAGAGAGTGTACGTGGTCTGGCGTGTGTGTTTTTACGTAGAAGAAGGCCGCACACGCTCTATCTCCTGAGGGCGCGACACCGACAGTGACATTTGTTGTTCTTCAAATTAGTGTTTCTGTATGAGTATTACTGTAATAATCCGAACAATAAAAGTTCACGGAGATTTACCTAATGTAAACCTAAAATCACGAGATAAAAGTTCTTTTAGTTTTCTTGGGTTCCGCCACGAAAGATTTAGTGCGACGCATTCGAAGAAAATGTAAAAGTACGCTTAAAACGGAAAAGTCCGAGGTTCGGACCTTTGAGGCCACTTAAGTGGACATGAGACTCATACTCCGGTTATTTTTATTGTTTTCGGTCACCTATTTTGCAAAAGCATCAGAAGATTCAGATGAAGAACCTGTAAGCGTTACCTAAATCTTTCTTTATCTGTTTTTAGAAGTTCGAGCCTGGATCTTTTGTGATTCCTGAACTGAATCAAGGAAAACTTCACTTTGTGGAGATATTTGAAGAAGAATCTGTTATTGGAACTGTGTGGAAGAAGTCTGAAGCCAAGAAAGAAGGCGCTGAGGAATCTTTGGCCAAGTATGATGGTCAATGGGAAGTGTCACCTCCTTCTAAAATTGTATTGGACGGAGACCTGGGTCTGGTTGTTCGTTCTAAAGCCAGGCATCATGCCATTGCTGCAGTATTGTCAAAGCCGATCAAGTTTGAAGACGATGTTATTGTTGTACAATACGAAGTTAAGTACGAAGAAGGACAAGAATGTGGAGGTGGATACTTGAAGTTATTAACCGAAGGATCAGAAAAAGACATTAACAAGTTTACGGACCGCACCGAGTATACAATTATGTTTGGACCAGACAAATGTGGAGCTACAAGCAAAGTCCATCTGATTCTGAAGGTCGAGAATCCTGTCAACAAAACAGTTAGCGTGAGTTTTCATACAATTAAACTTAAAAATTGTATTAATTTTGTTATCAATATTTTCATTTTATGTTTTAGGAGCATCACGCACCTCAACCAACGAGCATTCCAGACTTCACGGACAAGAAGACTCATTTGTTCACATTAAAATTGAGGAGATCAAATGATTATGAGGTTTTGTTAGACGGTAAATCGTTGTTCTACGGAAGCTTGTTGAAGGACCTACAGCCTTCTGTCCAGACTCCAGAAGAGATCGCTGATCCGGAAGACAAAAAGCCAGACGAGTGGGACGAAAGAGAATTCATCAACGACCCCACAGCTACTAAACCAGATGACTGGGACGAAAGTGCTCCAAGAGATATTGAAGACGTGAATGCTGTTAAGCCTTCTGATTGGTTGGACGATGAAAACCCTTTGATTCCAGACCCTGAAGCTCAAAAACCAGATGACTGGGACGACGAAATGGATGGAGAATACGAGCCGAAGCTTATCTCGAACCCCAAATGTCAGGGTATCAGTGGATGCGGAAAGTGGACTAGACCTGTCATCCCCAACCCTGCATATAAGGTAAATTTTGAAAATTTACATTTTTTGCGATTTTACATAACATCTTATAACATTGCTAGCGTTACTTATTAACTTTTTTAAAAAATTTTTATTATTTTAGGGACCATGGTCACCACCACGAATCTCCAACCCTGATTTCAAAGGAAAATGGTACCCACGACAGATCAAGAATCCGCACTACTTTGTTGCCGATCCTTACAACCAATTGAAACCCATCACTGCCATTGGCTTCGAATTGTGGACGATTGACAAGAACATCGTATTCGACAACATCCTGATTACTTCTGACGAAAAGGAAGCCGTTGACTTTGCCGCCGCTACGTTTAATGTGAAGGCCAAATTTGAGGATTCTTTGGACCGATTTGAGAGTCCCAACGTAGGAATGTTCCAATCGATGATTGATGCCGCCAACGACAAACCTTACCTTTGGGCCGTCTACATCCTCGCTGTCCTGATTCCATTGATTGCTGCGTCTGCTTACTTCTTCGGCCACAAATCATCTCCGACTTACACTCCACCAAAGAACGAGCCTGAAGAAGAGGAAGAAGAAAAGCCAGAAGAAGGGCAACTGGAACCAGAGCCAGTTGAAGAAGAAGTTCCAGTTCAAGAAGAGAAAGAATCCCACAAGAGCCCTAAGGCAAGAAGGCGAACTGTCAAGAAAGTGGACGAGTAATCTCAATTAACATGCCTCTAAGTCATTATTAATATTATTTTGTTGTTTTTTAATAATTCAGCTCTCAAATCTCAACGGGATACGATAAATACAAGCTTTCACTTATTGTAATTGTATGCAAGTAAATGGCTAATTACCTAATTTCAAACATATTTCATGTTCTAAAATAATATTATTAAGTATGAGTTCATTAATGAGCTTTATTACGCAAAAAGTTAGTATGAGAACACTGGGAATATACAAAATAGGATCCAAAATGAGTATTGTTTCTTCGATTACCCGCGATATACCAAATAGAGTGTCACATGTGGACTGAAGCGCTGTAACGTACGTGACTGCTAGGGATTTGCCATTTTGATGGTCGATACTAAAATGATTTTTATGAAAACATGTTTTGTTGGTGAGTAAATGTAACAGTAGATGGGTCTAATAGTTTGAAAGATAAGCTTACCTTAATTAGTAGTTGCCCGGATGGTGTGTGCGGGTTGTAGAAAGCGTAGACGATCCACACACAAGATGAGATCAGAAAGAGTATAAATACTGCCAATAGGATACGGCCGAACCCACCAGAGCGTCTGACTTGATGATCTAAATAGAGAATTTGCATAAACAGCTTTTTCATACCTAATTGTTTCAATTTGTACTGTTCCAGATCAGCTTCTGGAGCCGTAACGGTTTCTGGAGTTGTAGTAGATAGAGAAGTCGTTGTCGTTGCTTTACATTGGTCAGGTCCCGGCATTCTGGCGCAGTCACCTTCTACCCAATGTTGTCTGCGTCTGTGTAAGCTAAAAAACTGTTATTAGTACTTAATTTAATGTACAAATGTCAAAAATTAAAACAACCTCTTACCCAGCAAAGTCAGAGCAGAATGGTTCAACATCAGACTGTTTTGGAGCACACCATGAACAGTTAAAGTTGTCAATCTTTATTGTCGAACAATCTCCACAGTTTTTGAATTGAAGACAAGCTAAAAGTGTTAAATGATTAGAAAAAGAAAGTGATATACTTACTGGGTAATGCCTTTAAGACCACGACTGTGTTGTTCACAATCTTCTCAATGGGAACCACGATTCTGTGGTATTCATGGATGACTTTCTTGGTTTGGATTGGAGCTAAAAATGATTATTAATAAAGAAAAATAATAAATGGCAAAAAATTAAAGAACCTGTATCTCACCTCCTTCACTGTACTGATGAACAAACAAATAAGCATCACTGATGCCAAGTTTGCAAGGATGGTTATTGTCACTGATTTGAGAAACAGGGATTGGAATCTACAAAAAATACAATTATACTAAAAATCAAGTGTGATTAAGATTATACTAAAAATCAAGTGTGATTAAGAGTTGTTGAATTGAACTGGTTTTTTTAAATCCCTTACATCTTTATACACGAACCAGATATCACCGTTGCTAAACAAAGAGACTTGGAACGTCCAATTGCCAGCCTTAGCATTATCTCTCAAAGCGACATTCTCCCAAGTGATAACCATTCTGCTTGAATTTGAGGCGTGCATGATGACTGAGCTATTAGACATAGTGTCAAAGTTAGCCATTAGCGGAGCAATATACTGCGTAGCTGCTAGCCAACTGTGTGTCTGATCTCCAACATAGCAGAACCCACCAGTAGCTACAGTAAGATTCTCGATTTCATGGCCATAAAACGGAAATTTGAAACCAATGTTAGCTCCAGCTGCTTTCCTGTACGATCCGTCAAGATGTTCATGATTTTCCGTACCATTTACACCAGGGCTAGAACTCTTCAACCATTCCTTAACGTCCAGGTAGTACTGTGACATCAAATCAGTCCGATTGGAAAAGATATCCATCTTATAATATGTGTGATTCGTCTAAAACAGTAAGATAACAAATATTATCGACTTACCGATGAATCTGGCTTCTCTTCCTCCACATCTTTGGGTAAATGCTCGTCCCATTCACTTTGTTTAAAGTCTCGTTTTACTCGATTAACTGGTTCAAAAGATGGGTGAGTATATTCATAAATTAATTGTGAGTTTGTAAGTGTTAATGCAGTCAGAGATATCACTAATGCTATCCGCATACCTCAAAGAGGCCTGAAATAACAAAAGTTAGTAAACAAGAACAACGAACTTTTAGGTAACAACCAGGTGAATTTTTAAAAAATCAAAACCCGAATTCGTTTTCTTTAAAACAAACGCAAAAAACCGACGAGAAACGATCGAATAACAAGTGTTTGGGGATTGAATAGTTTAAAAAAATTATGGATGATCAAAACAATATCCGGCCCAGCAGATCCCTTGGATAAAACAAGAAAAGCTGTCAATCTTAACTATAAACTAATTATCACAGAAAACGTTGCTGCTAAAGTTAATTATTGAGCTCTTCCCTGTTGTGTCCCGCGAACGCTTGACCTTCCTTCATCTCTCAAATGGTGCAAGTTCTCGGAGACAGACTCGACCCGCTTATAATAAGGAGTCAAGACTTTCCTCTACTTATTATTGCGACAAAATGCCAGAACAAAATAGAGTTCGAACTTCGAAGAACTGAATCGTAAAAGCCCGTAGACTTTGCCCTTTGTGGTTTCAGATGGTGTGACGAAGATGGTAGTGATGCAGTCTCAACAGCCCACTGTTACCGTACCATCCAACCATCCTATATTCGCTTTTACCATCAAATATGGTCTTTCATGTACAGCGGCGACGTTTGCCGAAACTGGTACGTTTTATGCATTTTGTTAGTTATGTTTCATTTTTAGTCACATATCCTCTGGATATTACAAAGACGAGGCTACAAGTCTCCACAAAATCGACCGGTAAAAGGCCGAGTATGATACGAATGAGTTATAACATTGCCAAGAAGGAGGGAATGTCGAGTTTGTGGTTGGGAGTCTGGCCAGCGATTTGTAGGCATTATGGTAAGGTTTGTGATGTTTTGTAAAAATATTTTTGCAAAAGAAATAAATATATAAAGTAATATTTTAGGTAACAAATTACGTGTCACCTTATTAACTAATGATTTATTGTATTTTTGTATATTTTAGTGTACACGGGTGTGCGGACTGGAATATACGAGGTAATCAGGAACAATTGGCACGATCGGAAGAAGGAGAAGAGATTCCCAGTCTGGTAAGCAATGTCATTATATTGTGGACGCCTTTAGGAAGGCGATGATCTCAGGTTTGACGGCTGGAGCGGTGGGTCAGTTTGTTTCTAGTCCAGCTGACTTGGTCAAGGTCCAAATGCAAACAGAAGGATTGAGAAAGCGACAAGGACTGCCGCCAAGGTAGGGTATTTTATGTTATAGGATCCATCGTTACGATATTGTTGTTCACATTTTTTAATTATTTGGATAGATTTAATGCTTCTTTAGTAATGGTATCTTTACTTTTATTTTACCTATCTTGCTGTTTTTGCTGAAATAAAACGTAGAAAATAATCTTATTTTAGGTATAAAGGAGCATTTGATGCCTTTTCTCATCTGTACAGGTCACAAGGTATTAGAGGGCTTTGGCTGGGTTGGGTGCCGAATTGTCAAAGGGCAGCTCTACTCAACATGGCTGGTAAGGTTTATTAATATAAACAAGTTTTTTTGTTTTAGAATTAGTTTTAGGTAATATGTAATTATAATATCTGTAAGAGCTTTAAATAAAGCACCTTTACTAATAGTATTATATATATATCTTTGAAGGAGTTATAAAATTTTGAATAGATCTGGCAACATACGATCGCACGAAGAGGTTTGTACTAGAGAATACGAATCTGAAGGACAACTGGGCTTGTCACATGTGTGCCAGTGCTTTTTCGGGCTTGGCCGCCGCGATTGTATCTACACCAGCAGACGTAGTTAAGACGAGAATCATGGATCAGATCAGACAGGAATTTGATGGGGGAGGGTGAGTTTTTGAAAGTAGCTTGTCATACATATGAATTTTGATAGTTGTCGGGTTTATATTTGTGGTTTACAACAAAACTATGCTTTGATAAGTTTTTGTGTTTGAGAATGTTGTTGAAGGCTGATAGTCAGACGTGTTCGTAGAGAAAAATACATTTTTTATTTGTAGTTAATTTTTAAAAAATCTCTTTTCTACGTCTGAAATGAAATACTGATTTGTGTTACAGAACGTTCCGACGACGTTACAAAGGGTCGATTCACTGTTTGAGGTTGATTGTGAGGACAGAAGGATTCTGGGCTTTGTACAGAGGGTTCCTACCGACCTACGTCAGAATGGTAAGCGTGTATTAAATTTGAAATAGCGTAAAACCTTGCAAAGTAAACGTATTTTATGTTGTGATCGAGCCTAAATTGGTTTTTTACTTGAGTTGTTTTAAAAAAAGAAATACTTTTGTTACCTTCAAATTTGTAAAATGTATTGGTTTGGGGGCTAAAATAATAATATAACTCGACTTATGTCGATTGATTATACGGTTATGTTGTAGGCACCATGGTCTCTTACATTTTGGGTGTCGTACGAAAAGATACGACAAATAACAGGAGCTCCAAGCTTCTAAACAATGACATCTTACGAGGTACAACATGTATACATCTTGTTATATTAAATATATTGGAACGGTGTGAATTAAATGATTATCAACGGTGAAGCTTTGTGCATGTTGAATGTCATGAAACTGCGGTTGGAGAGAGGAGGCGCATAAATCTAACCTTCAGTATAACATAGCTTGAATTATAGCCTCAGGATTCAATTTGCAAGGCCGGCTTCATAAATTTAAATTCTCAGCGATCCTTCCGATTGACCGCCCCTCCCCAAAACTTTAATATTCTCATCCAAATTACAAAAGGCGCAGTCCAGGGAAAGAGGCCACCTATAATAATATCCACCGTATACATGTTCGACCGAGTCAATCTGCATCTACGCGACATCAATTTGTCGGATCCCCCGATTATTACTCTGTTTGGTTGTGGTAATTGACCGCTACCGTATTGTTTTACTGGCGGCTAACGAGTGGCGTTAGTATAGTAGAGTTACTCTAAAATGAGTCGGGGTACGGTAATCCCTTCCGGTCTGATTATGGGGACACAGGTGGCCGAGTGAGCATGGCCGGAAGCCTGGAGTCGGGAAGTTGTTGATGAGGTTGTTCGCGACCAGTCAGGCGTGGTGGCGGGCCCGCCCCTCGCCCGATTTGTCGAGCTTGGCCCAAGCGGAATGTGAAGGTTGGCCAAGCGTTATTGTTTCAGTTTTATGGTATTAGGTGGGGTTGATCGGGCTGATTTCACCCTGTGCCTGGTTGGCCGTGCCAAATTAGTCTAATGGCCGTTCTGTCGCGCTTTCCGCGACTCTCACTGTGCCGTGAATAATCTTCACCGTTCATTAAATTCCGCTACTCATCCAGTAAATTAATATGCTTAATGAGGGCTGGGCCGGGAGGGGTAATTGATCGTGCTAATATCATGTTTGTTGTTTACTAATTTGTTTGTTTTTTATGTTTACTTTGCAATTTACTGTAATATCTTGTTGCTGTAGTTGGAAAGTGTTTTAAGAGGTATACTGTATTTGTAATTTATCCTGTATTTTACCGTATTATAAAGTTCAGTTATTACCTACATCATCTAATCTGGAAGTTTACAGATAATTCATAGCGTCGCGCTTTCTTGATTTTTCTGCTTATTGTTTTGCTTAAATAGACCATTGAGACAGTATAGTATAGTGTACCATAACTTAGTACTATGAAATTGTGATAGTCGGTGGTATGTTACTCATAGACTGTCAGATGACAATGACTTCAAAGGGACGGTGTAATTACGGTGACATTCGATCTATTATTGTTGTGTTTCGCGCAATGACCACCTTCCGAACATGACCTCTCGTTATCTAATTATTAAAACAAACTTGCCGCGTTATATTATGGTAGGAGGGGTGAGGTGAGAGTGGTCGGCAGGGTAGACGAGCACTACTTTTGATTTTTGCTGGATTGGACAGTATATTTGTGGATTTATACTTAATTTGTTGTTTAAATCTTTGTAATTTTAAAATTTTGGACATATTACTCTTGGCAGAGGAACGTATATTTGCGATCGTAGGTAGAAACAGTAGGTAATAGGTAGCTTTTACTTTGAGGTTCTTTTACATTCTGAATGTAGCTATAATTTCTTTGTGTCCAACTAGATACATTACCGGGTATTGTAACATGTTGATGTCCATATGTTGTGGATTACCACCTCTGAACAATGAAACATGTGGTAGTGAGCGAATAAATGCAAATTTCCTGCTAATCCCCGCTCCAAAAAGGCAGTGCCGAAGTTATAACGGGAGTTAATTACATTACTGTGCAGTGATTCGAGAGTACCTGTCGAACGAACATGTCGCTATGGCTTTGTTCTCGGCTTAATACTCTAATTGGATGTTAGGAAACAGATTGCGCAACATTATTGTGATTTAGGTGTTGTAGGGGTGGGGGTTATACACATATGCTTTCCTATATTGTTAACGTCGCTGTATAAGTTGGAATGTTTTAAAGTAAGGGCGAAGTTTAGCGCAATATGCTAATCACTCTAATGCAAATACTATTGTAAAATACGTTTTTAAAGTAAAAATACCCCCATAACCCGACTAGCACTGCAAGACCCAAACCTAGTAGTCTTTGACTTACTGCGTAGTAATAACTCTTGGAGCAATGAGTTTCCGATAGGATTAATTGTGTTGGCCTCGTTTTAATTTCGCACAGAGATGGTTATTGATATAAAATATGGCGTACACGACAAGTCGGGCACAGGAGGCCATCAACAAGTCCTATCAAGATGAACCGGAAATAAATAATTTGACGCCAATTTGTTTCTCGGTTACATCACGGCCTTATCGTGGTGATACCTGTCACTCATGGCGACAAATAATTGTGCTGGGAAATTATGCTTAATATTGGCATAGACAACATAAGGTAGAATAAACTTTAAACTTTTAGTTTAAGTTTTAAAAATTAAATTTAAAAATGATTTTTTTTTGAGTTTTTAAAAATCGAAAGTATTTAAGGGATGATTTACACCAAGATTACAGAAATTTTCTAAAAAAACGAATAAAAAAGTTTGTAAGTAATAGCAGTTATATTGTCTTTAAAAAAGCCCTAGCTAAAAAAACAAGTTTTAAGTATAACAGACAAACTCCGAGAATCTAAACAGTTATCAGTAGTAAAACAGAATGTTCAAACGGAAGCGACAGTAACAAGCCGATACCATAATTAATCTGAAGGCAGGATTCCGTTTTCTGGTTGTCGAGAGAGAAGGTCGAGAGCGAGAAGACCTTCGGAATGCAATCAGAGGGAATACGGTGGGAGCGAGTGTAGGATTGGTCTCACTCTCCCTGAGGGCTTCTCTCGCCTTTCTGACTTTGACAAAACTACAAACTGATCGGTTACTTCCATTACCTTGTAGTAGGTACACTACCTCTGAATAACTGTATATGGGTGGTGTTACTTTCTTCACTTACATTCCTTGCAGCACGTTTCATTTACGCTTTTCATTAGCTTTTTGACATTTCGAAGTCCTTTTAATCCCCCCAGGGGCCGGGTTATCCGCCTTGATCTGAATTAATTTGGTGTTTATCTGCCCTAGTAGGAAAGGTCAAACAGTGCCATTTCGTGTTTATAGGATGGGTAAATTGCAGGGCCCGAGGCCTCTTACCTGGCCAAATTGCCTAGGATTGGGGGCCACTTCCTTCCGCTGCGACACCGCTCGGATGTGTTTTCCGCGGACCGCCCTCCCAGCCATTCTCCAATGAACGCGGGGGATCACTAGTTAAGTCAGACGCGCGAGAAATGTGATCGGGGACCTAATTGATGCCGATGTCATCAGCAGTAGCCACAGGGCTGTGAAGCGGGACGGCGACCTCCGTCAACCCCAACAAGTGCCAGTAACAGCGCTCCCTCTCGCTTCCCGGCTTTTCTATAGCAGCATTATGCTAACGCCTGATTAGTTTGGACTCTTGCTCGGTTTAGTAGAATCATTTGATTTTACGCCTCAACTCCTCGAATCTATATTCTCCTTCCTTCTTATTCCTCACATCGTTGTCCATTCTCTTGTTTGGTCCCCACGTCTCCTCTTGAGTCATGATCAAGGTAAGATTGTCTGTTCTGTCGCTTGAAAGGTGATCGCGGTCGATAAGTTTCGAGAATACTCGATTGGTAGTTGAGTATGCGTGACTTTGTACTTATGTTTTTAAGGTATTTATGCTTTTGTTTATTTATTTTTGCCGGTTTTCAAGTTTATTTTTTCGAGTTTTTAAATAGACTCGATTGGCTAGAACCACTAGTGTAATATAACTTGGACAACTGTTCCAGAAACCACGTATTTTGGCTGTAGCCGCTACCACAGCGACGTCATCTTTTGATGCATTCGTCGTTGGAGGAAACCGAGAATTCGACCGTTTTGAAGAACGACTTCGGACTGTCGAAACACGATCTCAGCCACTTCAACGGCCTCGGGGCTTCGGTCTCGGGCCTGGACCAGTTTCAGCTCCAGCCCTGCCAGGAACAGGACCAGAACGCCATGCCTACCTCGCGAGGTATGTCGCAAGACACTGGTGAGCACATTTTATTTTTATATTTTTTAAATTTTAAAGTTTCTACCAAAATTTCGAAAATTTCAGAAACTTTACAAACCTTTGGAAGAATTTTGAATTTTTTAAAAATAATTTTTGGCTTACTGTAACATTCAAGGAGATGGTAGTTTACTATATAAGCATAGAGGCTTCACATTTTACTAAAACTTTTATTTGAGAGAACGTAGATTCTGGGTGTGTCTCATGCATACATCATTATAACATCTATAGTATTCTGTGGCCATATCTTGTCCCATAGTTTCATATAGTGTCAGTAACTTGTATGCGAATGACAATTGCTTGTACCAGCCGGCTGGGGGTTCTCCATTAAAGTCGTTTAACAGAGTTTTTGAAATGTTCGGACGCCTTTTAAGAAGGTTATTCCAACTTCGGAAGCTGACGACAACTTTAAAGCGAACGATAGAGGTTAATGTAATGGGGATGTATATGGCCTCGAAGCGACAAAGAATCGCTGGGAAAGTCGTGACCACCTTGTTTAACGGGTTTTTCGTTTAAAAACTTTGCGGCTTCGAATCTAGGGCAACATGTGAGATGACCAATCACTTCGGTCGATTTTACGTTTAAATTGAAAGGAAGCTTAAGGTAAGGTAGATAATGTAAGATAAGACAGAAGACGTAGCAGTGGACACAAAATTAGAAAATGGCTATTTTTTTCGACCAGTAATTATCAAATTATTTCTGGTCAGTTCACTTGTCTACACTATATTAACCTTGTACTGTTTCGACAAACCATTAAAGAAACTTGTCAAAAGTCGTTGGACCAGCGAAAATGACTTTAAAATTCCGAGGACTTTTGAATCTGGCCAACCTTTGTGGCCAAGCCAAAACAAACGTACAGTAACACGCTCAATAATTGTTATTGCGGCGCGATTGTTTTCTTTGTTAATTGCACACAAAAACTACAGTAACCCCACCTGCCATCCCGAACCGACGCTCACTCTCGATCACTTTGTTTTTGTAATTGAGAGGGCTTAATTAAGAATGTTGCGTAACAAGAGGCTAGCCAAATGGAGTCCAACTGAGAACTGACGGATCGAGAGTGCCACTTGTTGCCTTCTATCGGTTTGCGATGTCACCTCATTAAAGTCATATCAAGCAATATTAATATTGACTTGACCATTAAACCAAAGAGACAATATTATTACTTACTCCTTTCCGAACGATTACTGTAAAACCTGTTGGGCTACTGTAGAGATAGCATCAGCAAGTGAATATCAGATCTTGTTCTTGCTGTCAAGGTTCTCGCGTCGTCTTCACCTTGTTTTAAACAATAATTATGTATGCATGAGAGAGCTTCATTTCGTATCTCAAGGGACCCTTATTGAGACAATTCAAAATTTGAAGATTAAAGTCAGATTAAACGGGTTTAACAACAAAAAACTACTACTAAAACAACAAAACTCCCAATTATATTGCAAATTACTTTGACAAAACAGCATTTATAAAAGATTTTAGGTAACAATTATTAAAGTTTAGCATTAAAAAAGCCATAAGCCTTAATAATTATTTAAAAATTTATTTTATAAAGCTATGACACCTTCAGTTCTTATTTTAGCCACAGTAAAACTGAACAGTAAAAAATAAAAATATATATTACCTTTGCTTTTAGGACACACGGGAGTGAACCAGCTTGGCGGAGAGTTCGTAAACGGTCGACCACTTCCAGATCGCACCAGAAAGATGATAGTAGACCTGGCTGTAAAGGGCATGAGGCCATGTGACATCTCAAGACAGCTACGGGTCTCCAATGGGTAATATTTTACACCTTTTTTTGTTTTCTTACACGGTGGCATAAGGGGTGTACTTACTACTTAGCAACAACATTTTATACAAATTATTTATTTTCTTAATTTTTTGTCAAAAAGGTGATTCGTTTTGACTGACGAAGTGTCACAAAAATGAATATTGATTAGTTTCGGTCGGCATTTTTTCGAAATTGTGTTTAAAAGTCAATCTTTACCTAAAAACCAAAAAACGGTTCAAAATTTAAGTTTTTAATCGATTAAATGTTTTGTTATTCGAAGAACTCAACCTATTGGAAGCCCGAGAACACTTTATTGACCTTTCACGACAAAACCTAACATAATGTAATTCTGGAATAACTTATTTTATTCAGATGTGTGTCCAAAATCTTGTGTCGATACTACGAATGTGGGTCGATAAAGCCGCGAGCGATTGGAGGGTCAAAGCCGCGAGTGGCGACAGCTGAAGTGTGCAACAAGATCGAGCAGTACAAACGAGAACAACCATCGATCTTTGCATGGGAGATCAGGGACAAACTGATGAGCGATGGAGTTTGTACTGACGATTCTATTCCAAGTGTAAGTTGTCGATTTAATTTTGATCCGAAAGTTTATAGAAGTTTAAAAAGAAGGAAATTCGACCATTTTTCTTTGATTTAGAGCGTTTTAATGAGGGTTTGAAATTTTTTAAAAATTATTTTTCAAAATTATTTTAGAAGTATTTTTTCGGTCAAAAAGTGTTTAGAATGGGTAATCACTGATCTTCAAATTAACAAATGATTATCAGAGAAAAACGTATCGACAACACATTAACATTGTCGAACGTCATCTCGAGGGGCCTTTGACACGATTTGGTTCCTAATTACGTTAACTTTTTTACTTCTGGAATTAGCGACAACGCGGGAAGAGGGTGTATATTACCATAACAACATAACCGGCTATATTGTTGTAGGTCTCGTCCATCAACCGAGTGCTGCGGAATCTGGCGTCGCGGAAGGAGCAGCAAGTTCAGCAGGACTACCTTCGAGGCGCCTTCAGGTAAGACATATTATCCTTCAATCATCGAATTATCACAAATAATTAAATTTGGGCGGTTAATGCGATAAAGTCAGCGATCAGAGCGAAAGAAAGTAGGTGGTCCCTTGGCGGGGCCCTAATGCGATTTAAATGCGGCATTCATTTAATTTGGTGAGGTTCATATATAAACCGAGGATCCGCGCGGGCACGGCTACTGACATTACACTTCCAGGTACAGCGTGCAATGGTGCCCGACATGGCCGATGCAGATGCCCGGCTCGATGCCCTTGAACAACTTTGCGTTGCCGAACATGGCGATGGACCCGAAGAAGGAGCCAGGTAGGCTAACTCATTCTTTTGTCTAAATTATGATTAGTTTACTGCACTTTACAAATTTCATTTTTGCTGTCAGAATTTGACATATTTTAGCTTTTTAAGCTTAATATGTTGATTTTCCTTGCCTAACTGCTATAATATTTGAAATATTATTCTTTTAACCGCCCGTGACACTCTCAACGTGCTATGGGATCGCTAATTCCACGTTACAAAACATACGAAACCTACGCCTTAATTAGTTTCGCAAACCGTATTCAAATACAAACCAGTGTAATTGCAAATGTAACCATAGAGATACGCAAGTACAAGTGTCGTATAACCCACCCGGCTTAGTTATGACATTTGTATGACATAAGACCAACCTACAAGTACAACACATTCATAGATGTTACATCCTCAATTGTTCTATGTTAACTTACACTGTTTGGCAATTATAGGCTTTAGATACACAGGATTGAGTATTCTAGGTTATTCTAAGGTTGTGTTGGGCTGGGAATTACGGTATGTTGAGATAATTTAAGACTTCGTATATTAGGCTAAATGGAATATTGATGTTTAAAACTCGATTTTGTGAAGCTCTTACAGTCAACATCGTATATTAGGCTTGCATTTTACTCGTACCTTAACACTTACCCAAAGCTTGGTATATGCCCTACAATTACACCTTCCCCTTCCAAGATTCCGTGTTACATCTTTGGTGTGGAGGAATGATCGACACCCGTTTGACTGTGCTGCTGACAGTCATGATGACTCCCCACGGCGCCTTTATTCTGATGTCCATCGAGTTGAAGGTCGCTGCAATCATACACCGCTTCAAACTCAATTCAGGCCAACACGTCGCCACGTTTTTGGGTATTAAATTGGGTATAATTGAAGAGTTTGGTACAAGAAATAGGTATAGGTTAGTCCAGACTGTCGAGAGAGTTTCGGAAAGTGAAAACATTTTATTATAGTCTACTATAATATGTTAGTTGTGAATTTTCGGGAGTTGATACTGATTGATATTGAAGTTTTGTTGATGACTCAATATTACTTTTTCGAAATTTTACGTCAAACTCTTACGTCTACAGTATAATGTTAACAACTCAATATTTGTTCAATCACGTCAAAGTAAAGTCATAAGCCCATCTCTGAATTCATATGTTTTGTCATTTGATTATGTCTATGAACTTTCTGAACAATTGTTTGAAACACTACTTATGTTATAGTACCCGTAACCTAGTTAGCATCCTCATCACTGTAAACGAGCCACAGTAACCGCTGACAAATGAGAGATTCCATTAGTTTGGGTTTCGCAACGTCGGGTTACTGTGTAGCAGTTCCTTCTCGCTTCCTTAATCAACCTTTTTTTGCGGTTTCCGCCTCAGCAACTTGATTTGCGGTTTCCTTATAAAAACGTTTTCCTTCGATGGATGGTGATCACGAGAATACCGTTAACACCGAGGGGAGGCGCCTGGATTTTCATTAACATCAGAGTGCATCCGAAGGCGGTGATTCTGATGGCGGTTTCTGTCTGTTTTCATCAACAACACCGTCCAAAACAACCTTTTCGAAATACAAAACGGTCTGGACTAGGGGAGAGGTCAGGTCGAATTAGTGTTAGATGGTGGAGAAGAATATGATAATGAGTATTAATGGGGGCTGCCTGCCACTTGTGGCGTCGGCTCCAGTTTGCCACGGTTTCAGTTACGGTATTTGGGGATGGGCGCTTTGAAATTCGGAATACTCGTGTTTCGGTTACAAAAGTTCTTGGACAGTTTTAACAACAAGAAAGAATTAAACTTTGAATATTACGGGTATCAACGGTTTTAATTACGACAGGGCGGATTTTAATTTCTATTACAGTCTACACGATGAATTTGTACAAACTCCGGGAAGTAAGGCTAAAACAATGACAATTACCTAATTTCATAAAGCGCAAATTGTCCGAGCACTTTTGAAACTTATGCTGTCTTGTTTGTCGCGACATAAATATAGTAAAATCATATCGAGACATCTGCAGAAATGGACACATTTCACCATATGAACACGGTGATTTCGCAGAATCACTCGCCTATTAACAGTAGCAATTCGCCTTCTAAACGTCACGCTAATCATGGAAGTCCTGGCTACAGTCTGGCTTCGTTGAATCCACGAGGAAAGATTATAAAATACGGTACGGTAGTGTCATCAGCTCTTCATTATGATGAACTTTATTTTTCAAGTCTTAAAGTCTACTTTTACCGTATTATACCTTCAAAGGTACTACAGTATACGAGTATGGTCTTTATGAAATGTCTCACTTAAGGCACCTTTTACCTCAACTCATAGAGGGTTACGGTAGAGGTGTTAAAGTGATATGTCGAGGATGATTTATTACTTTCCAAGAGCGTTGAACAGCAGTTTTCGGTCGTTAAGGTTGTCGGAAGGGCGAGGACGAGGCAGCGGGCGGAAGGTGTGGTGGCATGGAAAGAGCGATAACAGAGATCTGAGCGGAGATAACCGTCGCGCAGGTTGTAAGACCTCGCGATCGAATGTTTCTGTATGTGTCTGGAGGCCGGGAACGGCTAGTTAATTACCTTCCCCTGTCTAATTAATTAGTCTAACAGTTCTGCGGTCTGTTAACCTACTGTACTTCAGAAGACGACCACAAACCGCCCATGGATCCAGAAGAAGAAGCGTCACGGAGAATGTGCCTTAAGAGGAAGCTACAACGTAACAGAACGTCCTTCACTCAGGAACAGATCGAGAATCTGGAGAGAGGTAAGACATCTTTAGAGTACCGTGTTTGTTGACTACTTTAATATTATGATGAACATGTATAATATAAAACACTTTCAGAGTTTGAAAACAGCCACTACCCAGATGTATATACTCGCGAGAACCTGGCCCAACGAATCCACCTTCCAGAAGCACGTATTCAAGTAAGTCTTATTATAAAATTTTAAATTTGTCGCGCAAATTTAACTTTTGTCGCCGACTACATTTTCGCTTGTTATCACTACTACTATCACTCTCGCTTGGCTGCACTCGTCGACTAATTCGAATCTTGTTTCCAGGTTTGGTTTTCGAATCGACGGGCCAAATATCGTCGCGAGGAGAAGATGCGGAAGCAGAAGAACGGGGAACTACCCCCCTCCAACATGCAACAAACCGGCAATGCCCCCACCCCCAGCAGCTCAGTGTCCTCGGCCTCGTCTGGCTCCTCGTTGGGCAGTGCCGGCGTCGGCGGAGTCATGACTCCACCGTCGTCGACGGCCGCTCTGAATGGAGCCAATGGTACCATCTCTGCCATCGGAAACATGATCGGCAACAACATCGACCCCCAGCACAATCTGGCTACTGTGACGCAACCTAATGATCTGACTGATCAGAATGGAGCGACCAACGGAATCACACGCTACAACCAGCCCATGTCGGCCTCGACCTTCATGCAGCCAATGGGGTACGGGTTCACCAACCACATGGATCAGTACAAGTAAGGACAATATATTACTGTAGTGGGGGGGGTAGGTCAAGTTCACAAAAGTGATATTCTTTCCAAGCGATTAGATACACAAGATATACTTTCAGCTTAAGTATGCCTCCTCAAGACTTCAGCTCTTACCAGATGTTCCAGTCGGCCAGATACGAGTTTAATGTAAGTTTATATTAATATAGACATGAATATATAAACGATGTCAGATATTAACTTCTAATTTAGGTACAACCACCCACGTCGTTCGCCAACACGAACCCGATCGCGAACTCGGGGGTGCCTGGCGACTGTACCCGCAGCTGGTTCAACCCGCCCGGCCTGAGCCTGTCGGTGCTCGGCATCGACAATCAGACGCCCCAACTCCAAGACATTTCGGAATCTCATCACGACCCCTCCCAGGCCTACTGGCGCCAGTAACCCCACTTCCATTGAACGATCTGCATTCTCGGTGTGTTTGAGAACCATGAACATGACATCATCTAGTTCCCTTTCTAAGTATTCTTCCGCCATTGTTTCGTGTACAATTATTAATTCGTCGATTTGTAAACTCAATAAATTTATTTCAAACAAAGCAAACGACAATATAAATCTATCGAGTCATCTTGAAGGTCATCTGAAGTGCCCAGACAACACATATGAACAGTGCTGCAATCTTTAAAACAATAACATACATCATTCATCTGCTTTCCTAGCCTAATCGTCCATCTGCTGTTCCTTCAGTCGATTCAACCTCTCCTTGTTCTCCTGATGCCGAGTCTCGAAACCGATCACCTCTTGATCTTCTGTGTCCGTGATGTCTCCAATCAGCTTGTGTCTTATCTCTTGGTCTTCCACAAACTGTTTTTGGTATATTCGCTTCTTTGTCACTGGGTCTATGATGTTACCGTACGGCATGACAACCCTCTTCACGATATGACTCACGGTAGCCATGGGTCTGTCCTTCTGTTCTATAGGCCCGACCAATACTGTATCCCCCAACTTGACGTCAACACTTTTGTCCAACGCCCACAAGTCGTTGGGTTCGGCGAAGTAGGCCTTCAAGAAGTTGTTGAACACATTCTTCCTGCACCTGACTTGAGCACAAGGGATCTGTTTGATGCCAATTCTATTGATCTTCACCACGGTGCCTAACAATAAAGCTCCAGAACTTGAAGCCATCTACAAAAGCAAATATAACTGTAAAGACTAATTTCAAACAGCGTAAAGCCCAAATCGAAGTAGCAGTGATAACAAAATGTAACAATATGTGGAGCCAACCAAACGTAACAAATCACAGTAAAGCTCTATGTTATTTATTATACAAGGCGCAACAAACAATAATAGCATTCTGACGCGAGAGCCCAAATGCGAAGGAATGATGCGAAGCCTGGTGGTCGTGGAGCTACCAACAGCACTTCTGTTACCAAATTAAAAGTAGAAAGCCAGCACGCGCTTCATCGACATTCCCAAACCTTGATCGTTGAATCCGTGCAACCGGTTGCCACATAGGGGAGTCGTTTGTGGAAGTCTGAAAAATAAGATATTACAATTGGATGTTATACATTAAACTTAAAACACACCAAAACATATCAAAACTCCATGACTGTACTCTTTATAATGTCACAAAGTAAAAGTTTAGAGAACGAAGAAACATTATATCATTGTTCATCCATTACAAAGAAATATTCTTGTTTAAAAGTATATTAACAACAACGATCTTAACCTTACCAACAGAATAAATAAAGTGATCGTGCGCATTAATAACTCGACATCTCTGGGTCTCCTCCATCGACCACACCCTCATGCACTTGTCGTCGGCCACTGATATGAGATAAGCACCAGATGGATGAAGAACAATGTCGCGGATCCAATTCTCGTGGCCCTCCAGATCCATCAAACACGCTCCAGTCAGAGCGTCCCAGATCTTGATGACTCGATCTCTTCCACCCGAGATGATCAAAGTTGGCTTCACATCCTCATTTGCATACCTCTTGGCATGATCTCCAGCGATCTTGTTGTTGTGTTCTTGAGGAACGAACAGTACACATTCAACAACATGAGTGTGGCCAATCAGCTTGGATAAGGGCTTCTTCGAGTTCAAACACCACACGATAATGGACTAAAATACGTTGTAGAAGAGCTCTTTTATACCGTTAAAATATAAAAAAGCAAGCTTGAATGACGTTTTAATAAATACATACCTTGTCATTGCTGCAGCTAGCAAATAACTGTCCTTGTTGATCGATGCACACTCTCCGTACCCAATCCTCGTGCTCTTTGAAGGTGTGGATACAAAATCCTGTAGTTGTGTCCCATAGTCTGATTGTAAAGTCGCGCGAAGCTGACAGCAGCCACGATTCTAAAGAATATCATTAATAACACTACTGATGATTGATTTTAGTATCTTAAAACAAATCCACATTTTAAATTTGAAGCGTTACCTAAAATCTTTATCCCTTTTTTACGAAGGAGATATACCTAAACTTTAAAACTAATAATTCACTTACTGTTTGGCACAAAAACAACTGACGACACTGTATGAGAGTGTCCTTTCAATGTCTTCAAGCAATCGTATGAATCACCAAAGTCCCAAATTTTGATTGAAGCATCAGCAGAGCAGCTAGCTGAAAGTAAAAAAACATCAATAAAAACAAAATGTATATCAAAACTAATGAAATAACTTCATTTTACTAACATATTCTTACCAAATCTGTTTCCTGTATAATCAAAGCATAAATCTTGAATGGTACTTAAATGCGCTTTAAATGATCGTTCTATCTGGCCCGTCTCTAGATCCCATATCTAAAATAAATTAAGAGTGATTCATCTTAAAATTTCAAACATAAACTTCAGAACCACTAATTTATAGAAAACCTTAAATCAAGTAAATTAAAAAAGTGTGTCAAACTAAATTAACACTAAGTTGGGTTCAAACTTAAGGTTCTCCATTGTCTTTTAAATCGCGTTGTTTTAAATTACCTTAATCGTGTGATCTTCGCTGCAAGACAGCAAAACACTATAAGTCGGATGAAAAACGACCTTCATCACAGAATCTCGATGTCCATTAAGAGTTAGCTTCTCAGGTGGACGTGGAATCCATGAAGCCGACGACTTCAGATCCCTAAACACATGATATCTCTAACACAACACTTACTTGTGTCGAGGCGCTATAACTCCGCCGCTCTCGAACTCTTGTATCCTCTTCTCGAGATTTATAATGCGCTGTTGAAGTCGTAAAGTCATTGACCACTTCTTTTCCATCAAGCCAACATGTTGTACATCGTTCTTTACACTCTAAAAACAAATTAAACTTAACAATCACAACTTACAGCACCAGATTCGTCCAAAAATGTCTCAAAGGTTCTTTGATATCCATTTCTTTGCAGATATTCAGCCAGTGCGGAATTTCTGAACAAAAAGGTATAATTGTAGCCTGTTTAACTTACAATTCCTCTGCTTGAGTCCCAGATAATGTCACTGACAGTTTGTTAACGCCATCCATTCTAATAAGTTATACTGAAAAAGATTTAGCGCTGTGAGCGCTCCAAAAATTTGTTACCCTTTCAATGTTCGGGGTGAAAAAATTCAGATACAGAGAAGGAGACTTGACTCGAGTCAAAGGTTTCTTTTTATATCTTGAAGACGTAATTAGATCAGCAGGTGATAGAAACGATAAGGAACCAACGTCTATAAACAAGTTTTGTTATGCTTCTGTGAAGCGAATGTCGTCAAAGTTAAAATTTTTCGTCTTTCTTACTACCGCAATATAAACCCAGCCAGTAGTCTACTTTTAGCTATTTTCGGGCCGAAAAGTTAATTAATTTACCTTAAAACACAGAGTTTTGTTCTTCGTGGTCTGCAGCTATGGCGGAGTGAACGCTGAAGAATTTCTGGAACCAAGCCCTAATAAAGCCTGAGGGCCGAATGGCAAAAAGACAACGACAGAAATAGATTGGGCGTCTCTTCCTTCTGTTTCTTTCTTTTTTCGATAATGAATCCGGCTTCTTTGTGACGGTGTAGCCGTTTTTGAAGGCGGTTTGATAAGATTGTTGGGATTCGCATTTATTGACTGTCGATGACGCCTTGTGTTTGTTTTGATGTAGAAGGAGTGAGCAGAAGGAAGAGATAGGTGACGTGTGAGAAGACGAAGACCGAGCCAAAAGCGGCCCTTCCAGTCGGCCCCGTTGCTCCACCCATCTGTGGCTCTTTTTTATCAGAATGCGGCCGTATTTGTGTGCGTTTCCATCCTGAAATTGTTTTACACCTGTCTTAGCTTTGTTGGCGTGGCCCGGATGGGGTCGTTTAGTTTCTTTTTTGTTGGATGGGGTCGTTCTTACCTAGCTTTGCTTGGATAAAGTCTACATTTGAGTAATTTGTCGCTTTTCAGACAATGGTGTCTTTCAAAACCTACCCGATTGAGAGGGACTATCAGTTGGGAAGTAATGTACTTGGAATTGGGGTTAACGGCAAAGTAATTGAGTGCGAGAAGATTGAAACCAAGCAAATATTTGCTCTGAAAGTGCTGAGGGACGTCCCCAAGGCACGGCGAGAGGTGGAGATACATATGAGTGCATGTAATCATCCCCATATTGTAAAGATTTTTGATGTCTACGAAAACATGTACAACGGCTTACAATGTCTGCTAATAGTAATGGAACGGATGACAGGTGGAGAGTTGTTTTCACGAATTCAGGTAGATTTGGTTTTCAATGTAATAGCATTAGTAGGAACGTGCCAGAAGCGCTTTCACCGAGAGAGAAGCATCTAATATTATGTTTGCGGTGTGCTCGGCTATCCAGCACTTACACAGTATGGACATAGTGCACAGAGATGTGAAGCCAGAAAACTTGCTGTACAGTTCGCCCGACGAGGACGCCGTCTTAAAGCTTACGGATTTTGGGTTTGCTCGAAAGTTCGATGGGACAGTGGAGAAACCGTTGGACACGCCATGCTACACTCCGTAAGGCTTCTTTTTCAAATGGTATTTAATATATTGCAAAGGGTGATTCTAGGTAACCTTCGACTAGAATATATAATTCAATTTAAAGATGATATTATTAGGATATTAGGAAGCTTTTTGCAGGTACTACGTAGCGCCGGAAGTATTAGGAACTAAGCCATACGATGAGGCTTGTGACGTCTGGGCAATTGGCATCATCACTTATATTCTACTATGCGGGTATCCACCGTTCTTTTCCACACACGGTTTGCCAATTTCTCCAGGAATGAAATCCAGAATCCGCGCTGGGCAGTATGACTTCCCCGCTCCGGAATGGGACCGGGTTTCTGAAGCCGGTACGAACAGATAATCCTTTTAGGCAGTAATTAGTATCTTAATCACCCTCCCACACGACGGAATTCATTTTTATTTACGTATTCTTTTTGAAATTATATATTTTTTGTTTTTTTAAAAGAATTTATTCTTTCCACATTGCCCCACCGGAATTAATATTTTTCCCGCTAACAAGCGTCGCCATGCATTAGTAATAATAATAAAAGCTTTTCTTGCAGCCAAAGATATCATCCGTGGCTGTCTGAAGACGGATCCCGCTGACAGGAGCACGATCGACCAAGTCATGAAGCACAAATGGATCACCCACTACAACAAGAACCCCAAGACTGTGCTGGCTACACGCGAGGTGTTGCTGGAAGAGCGGCAGAACTGGCCGGAAGTGGCGGTGGGTTGTCCCAATCCCAAGCTCAACGCCTCTACTTTGCAGGCGGAGATGGACAAGGCGCTGGCGTCGATGCGGATCGATGACGTCAGGGTGAAGCAATTGAGTCATGCCAAGAATGGATTGCTCGAGAAGCGAAAGACCCGTCCCTCGGCCAACTAATTACCAGAGACGGACGTCTGACTCATTAATTATTGATTAACATGGTAACCAACCCTAGAATCCTGCCCTTTTTAGAACAAACACAAGCAGAACAAACAGATGTAGGTAGAAAGTTAAAGTATAATGATGTCGGTATGAAGCTTAACTGAGGTCATACTATGGACGTCGTGAACAAAATAGATATATAATGGTAGATATAACGTTACGGGCCTTGAATCTTTGTTCAATTAATTCTGGAGACCCCGGGGTCGAGCAATAAGATATCACTGACAGAGTATTATATGTATATATATGACTGTGATTTATTCTATAACAATAAAGAGTTTTAATTCAATGGACAACTGTTGCGGTCGAGGTTGCCGAATAAAGTCATGTCGCTGACGTCAAGGTCACGACGTCTTCGTTTCGGGTTCGATGTCACTTCTGCGATTCTCATACATCCCACGTAGGATTCTGGAAGTTGTTACAGTTATTTTTAAAAGCGTCTGGTAAATGTTAGTATGTCATAAAACATTGTATTACAGTAACAATTAGTGTATCGTGACAGCAAACATGTCGAATATTACATTTTTGTGAACCCAGAAGCCTAACTTACCAACTGTATCCAGGCCTTTAAGGCGTTTATCCTTAGGAACTCCACCAAAGTAGATAGGGTCCTTCAACGCGGTGTCAGTCAACGCCTTCTTCTTGATGATCAACAAGTTGGACTTGCCATCAACATTCAATGTCACGATGTTCTTCTTCCTCAGAACCTTGATCTTGTGCCAATTTCCATCACAGATGGAGCTTCCTTGAGGCGGAGCGTAGATCACCGTCATGGGTCCAGCTCCATCGTCAATGGTCAGCTTCACACTTCCGTTGACCAATTGAATCGTGACACAGTCCAGAACACCGACCGACAGCAAGACGGCTGTCTTCAAACGAGGCTTGATCTCCATCTCGAAGTTGAACTGTTTGTTGGCGACAAATTCTGGCAACATCGCGTAGCCGCCATCCTTCCCAAAGAAAATACCGTTTTCTGAGAGCTGAGAACAAGGCACGACACCGTGACTCTCTCCTGAATCATCCGAGTATTCTTCGTTGTTGATCTTGAGGTCCCTCAAACATCCTCCGAATTCTGACTTCACACCCGGTAGTAGCCGGCCGATGAAGCTCTGAAGATTCTTCGATGCGCCACCAACGTACAACGGTGCTTCAATGTTGATTATCTCGGCGTTCTCAACTTCATCGTGCGCAACTTGTTCATCGTCTATAAACAAGACGGCAGCTGCTCCATCTTTCTCGGCCCTCACAATGTGCCATTCATCGTCCAAAATACTGTCAGTACTTTGAATAATAAGCTGAAATTCATAAATGTAAAAATTTCAAATTCAAATTTTCAAAATACAACAGAAAAAACGAAATTTCACTAAAACTTTTCGGCTTTTCGTGTAAAAATAAAAAACAAACAGAATTTAAATCAATTGTTGCAACTCGTCTCAAAATATTTTCAACGACAAAATCTTGAAAATTACCCTGGCGTTCGTGGCTCCATAAGACAGGCAGACTTTGCCATCCAGAAGATACAAAGCGACGTGATCGGTGTGTTTTTCGTTTGTAGCAAACAGAATCACACCATTGGCAGCATTTGCACGAAGCTGGACATTGATGACAAGGTTTCGTTGGTGGGAATCAGGTAACTTTTTGAATTCGATGCGAGATTGAGGGTTGTAGCCGAATCTGATTCCTCTGACATCTTCCCGCTCTCCATGAGGTTCGAGTGGCAAGGCACATGAACCTGGCGGTCTTGGGTTGGACTTTCCTTTTGGCTGTTCTTCAACCACGTCTTCTTCATCTGAACCTTCGCTTTCTGATTGTTCTGGCTCAGCTGGACTTTTAGATGGTGCCACTTCTGATGAGTCAACACCTTCGTCGGCCATACATCTGGCCAGGTGGACTTCTTTTCCGTCGGTCTAAAGATTTGTGGTTTAGTTAATGTTAATATGATTTAGTAATTGAGAAAATTTTAGGTAACAAACCTAAAACGATGAAAATAAATGAAGAGGTAAAAGAAACAAAAATATATTACAAGATGTTTTTAAACTTACGAAGCTGAACTTGAGGTTCTTGTTGTTGATAAGGACATCTCCAATACATCCAATTACTGGAAGGTCGTCGTTGTATTTACCCAAGTACATGGCGGCCTTCTGGCTTGGGAGCAACTCGCTGAGATCAGAATCGATTTCTCCAGAAATAGCGTCATCTAACAGTAGTTTCAGCTTTCCGTTGGTCTGGATGATATACACGTAGTGCCATCTGTTGGGGAAGGGCGAAGAGAACGATAACTTCCTGTCGATCTTCTCGTTGTTCACGCTCACCTCCAGTTCTCCGTTGTTGAGGACAAAGTCGAGAGCGTTTTCATCGTTGATAGTGAGCGTAGCGATTCTTCCAGAGCTTTCTTTGGTCTTGAAACGGAGTGAGAGTTCAAGTTCTTTGTCCAAGTCGATGTTATCTATCTTAATGAAGGAATTCCCGGATACAAACGATGCCATTCTGACTTCTTGACTTGGACAAGAAGGCGATAGGCCAGTACCGTCCAAAGGCCGTAGATTAACGTAGCCAATATTGTCGAGCTTGAGATTCTTGAGACATCCACGGTAAGGTGTGACTACAAGTCGTGGGTTCACACCTTGGGGCAGACCTCCAAGGTAGAAGGCATCAGGAACGCTCATCTCGAAGGAGTCTCCTGGAGATTCCACTTCAGTTACATCCGCGGTATCCACTGTGAGCTTGGCTTTCTTCTCTTCACGTTTGACATGGATAAGGTGCCACTTGCCGTCATTATATCTGTTTTGCGACACGACTTGAGCCAAACCTGAGCCGAGGTCGAACGATAACTTGACGAAGCCTCCTTCCAATTCGATTAACATCTGATCGCCCTGAAATTACAATTATAGTGAAAAGTTTTAAAAATATAACCGATTGTTATGAAAAGACAGTTGTTAAACGTACTCCTTTGCCAATGTAGAAAAGAAGACCTTCAGAAGCATGAGTCATGAACGATACTAACAATGACGTCTTCTTTCGTGGATTCCAAGTTCCGACATCGACCTTGGAGTATCCCTTTCCGTTGTAGGTAATGCCCAGGTTCTTTCCTTCTTCTCTGACCGACGTTCTTGGGACGGCTCCTCTTACTCTCTCCAGCTTCTCACTGTTCCACAGACCAATGTTCTCGCCGTTCAATTGGAAGGCTTCTACTGCACCGTCAAAGTTTCTGGCTTTGATTTGCTTGGGTAATTTGACCTTAGGGTCACTGCCTCCAACGAAAAGATGACCAGTGTCATCGTACAGGTTGAAGATGTTCTTGTTTCCGGGTATGGTCACGCTGACAGATTTAGAAACGGTGTCGTTGTTGGGAATGGATATCTTGAAGTCGACTTGTTTTCCTCTTCTGTCCAAGATGAGTTGACGCCACTGGTTGTCAGTAACTAGTTCGTCTAATACAACATCAATAACATCTCTGCCCAAGCTTCCGATAAGACGCGGCTTTCTTTCGTCAATCTCAACAGCAAAGAAGTCTGTAGATCGTTCAGAATCCTCATTTCCAAGGTAGAACAGAAGACCCGTGTCTCGTCTAGTCCTAAAATAGGTCTTGACTTTGGTCACGATACTCAATTCTCCTCCAGATTCTGGCAACGGAAGCTCGAGCACACTGCCTTGATCGAACTTGACTCCCACCGTGACTTGGTTAACCTTGCCTCTGATGGCCGCCACCTTCTCCTTCAGTGCGTTCAGCTTGGCCTTCAAGTCATCGACGTCCTTGTTGGTCTTGTCTACACGTTGCTTCACTTCCCTGAGGGCATCACTGGTTTTAGGAATGTCGCGATTGATAGCTTCCAAGTTGCTCTTGGCTGATGCTGTGGATTGTGTGAGGTCAGTAAAGAGTTGAGTGGTCTCGTTGACCTTTTCTGAGATCTGTTCCACGTTCTGTAGGAACTCATCGGCGGATTCTTTTTTGCTTTCGATGTCTTTCTTGGCCTTTCCAATAGTCTCAGCGGCTGATTTGAGGAATTCATCGATGGATTCTGGAGTTTGAATCTTTGAAATGTCGTTCTGAAGCTTGTCGACCACTTTTTCTTGTTCTTCCACCTTCTGGACGTAGTTGTGGATCCGTTGTTGATAAGTGGAGGACTGACCGTTCAGCTTTTGTTTGATTTCGTTTGTTTTGTTCAGGGTTTGAGCGACTTCTTCATTCAGGTTCTTAACCATGTTTTCGGTAGTTTTTGCGTTTTCCAAAGCGACATTCGAACTGTTCTGAGCGCTGACGATGAGGTCGGTGATCTTCTTGTAAACAGTGGCAGCCTCGATGTTCTTGGCGACATCTCCAGTCGAGTCGTAGTAGATGGCCTTGAGTTTTCGTTCTTGTTCTTTCAGTTCCTCTGCCTTATCCTTTGCTTGTTGAACTCGCTTGTCGTTGTCAGCCTCTCTCTTGAAGCGACTGTTGTTGTCGTTGTGTTTGTTCAGAACCTCTTTGTCTTCTTGTAGCCTTTCCTTTAGTTCAAAGATTTCCTGGCCCAGTTTAGTCAGAACGTCCACAGAATTCTTGATCTCCTCCTGCCTGTTCTCCAGAAGACTTTGCTTCTCTCTCTTCTTCTTGATATCCTTTTCTACTCCATCTAACAAGATGGTGAAGCTGTTGACATTCATGTCTTTGATGACTTTCTTGGCGTTTGCGATCACATTTTTAGCGCTTTCAATAGTCGACACATATTCGGCACTAGCATTGTTGAGACTGATGAAGCTGTTCTGTAGCTTTATCACCAAGTCTTTTCTTTCGTTGTGTTTTCCTTTGAGCGATGAGACAACTTCGGGTTCCAGTTCGAGCTTGGTCTTGGTCGCTTCAATGTCGTGGGCTTCAATTCTGTAAAATTAAATTGTTAAACTTATGGTACTTTTTACTTAAAGATTATGGTGTTTCCTTTTAAAACTTACTCTTCGCTGCTCTTCTTGATCTGTTCGATCAGCCTCTTGGCTTCATTTATCAGTTCTTCTTCATTCTCATCGGTTGGAGCACCTTTGATGTCCACTCCGAGGCCTTCGATCTTATTCACGACCAATCGGGATGTTCCGATGAGGTCGTTCACATCTTGTTTTACCTTTTTCAGATCCTTCAACAACGCCTGAACCTTGTCTTCTGTCTCTGTGAGTTTGTCCGTGAATCTGGTCACCTTCACTTTCTCAGAATCCAGTTGGTTTCGTTGGGCGTCGGTCTTGTCCTTCATTTCGCCGACCACCGTTCCGGCCGTCAACTCGGAAACAAAGTCCACCAGAGGCTAAAAATAAGCAAACGTTTAACAATATCAAAGTTGTGTGCCAGACGCCGTACTCTATCAACTTACATCAAGTCTCTTGATCTCCTTGTTAATTCTGTTGAGACGAGCACCATTCAATGCGACACTGGAGATGTTTCCCAACGTTCTGTGAGCCGCCTCTAAAGTCAAGAACTCGTCGTCAATCTCGCTGTTCAAGGCGAGTGCACATTCACTACATTGACGACATCCGTGTTCAGGGATTCGAAGGTATCCGGGTAAGCAAGTGTCACATCGTGGGCCTGTTGCACCTTCCTGACATTGGCATTGACCAGTCTTGATGTTACACACGGTTCCCATCGAAAGATCGGCTTCACAGTCGCATTCTAGACAGTTTTAGTTAACAACCATACAGTAGTTTTAACAAATTTAAACTTATGTTTAAAAATATTAATATGCAGTATACTACTCGTCCTTTATCTTTGACAAAAGTTTGAATGTCAACTTACTCTTGCAGCCTTGAGGACTGTAGTCCCAGTAGCCGTTCTGACAAGTCTCACATTGTTTTCCCGCAGCACCGGGCATACAAGAACATTGACCGGTCTTGAGATCACACTGACTGTTCGATGCTGCCGCAGCACAATCACAAGGTGTACATCCAGTACAACCATCAAAACCCCAGGAGTTCTCGGCACATTTGTCGCATTTCTCTCCTATGATCAATGGTTTACATTGGCATTGTCCCGACTTGTTGTCACAGTAGTCGCTTCCACATTGGTCGCATTGACATTCTAAAATATTAAATCAATAAACAAATAACTGAAAATTGTTGGAAGATAAAGGAATATGACAATTTAAGAAGTCAAAATAACAAAATGTCACAATTCAATAAGCCTCCATAACAACAAAACTCACCTTGACAAGTTTTGGTCAAAGCATCACCGTAGTACCATGGCTGACAGTAGTCACAGTACGGTCCGTCAGTGTTATGTTCACAGTTACTGCATTCTCCGGTTTCTGGATTACAAGAATCAGGAGAGGAAAGGTCGTTGTTCTCGTTACAGTAACATTTCTTACACGGTTCTCGGTTGATGGGCTGTCCGTAGAATCCTACAGCACATTGGCCACAGAATTGACCGGTGTATCCTTCCTTACATTCACATCGTTCCAAGTAACCGGTGGGGCTGATAGAACAACTTTTACCAAAGTTTCCACCTTCAATCGCGTTCGGACATGGACAGATGAGACACGAGTGTGGAGATCCTGTAGTAGCGTTGCCACTGTAGCCTTCTTTACAGAGTTCACAGTGATCGCCTTCTGTGTTGTGTTGACAGTCGATGCAGATTCCAGTGTCTGGATCACAAGTTCCAGCGTGGGCGTTACAGTTGCACGGTACACAAGCTCCGAGGAAGGAATCGTCTTCCGACTTCAACCTGTAGTATCCTGGAGCACAAGTCTGACATGAGAACCCAGTGTAGCCAGCAGGACACGAGCACATTTCTACCGATGTAGCTACGATGTCGTAAGCGTTCCGCTGTCGTTGAACCACTTGAGCGATCTGAACATCTTCCAGCACGACTTTCTGAGGGAACTCGTAGTATGACGCCTTAATCTGAATCTTGTCCAACTTGTACAGTACCATCATCAGAGTTTGTCTGGTAACTGGTTCTCCCGACTTATAAAGCCAGGAGTCTGGAGAAAAGGTAACCACAACTTCAAACATAACAGACGGATCCTTTGGCTGTTCTCGTGCCCACAACTGAAGTTGTGTGTCTCCGGAGACAAGTACAACATCAGCTTCTGAGCTCAAAGCTCTTTTGGCGTTCTCTTGAGGTGTAGAGGAAATCTTGAATGACATCTGAAGTCCGTACGATGTAGTAAAGTCGGTTTTCGTGAGTTTAGGCTCAAGGTACACGTTTCGACTGCTTGACTCCGATCCAGTTTCGTATACAATACGGTTGTCTTCGACATTTACTGTACCTTCTGTGTCGTTGGCACTCCATCCGTTCGATGGAATGTAGATGGTTTCAACAGGATACAATAAGGACTGACATTTGTCTGTAACTCCAAAGCAGAAGCAGTCCGAGCACCCACGAGGATGATTGGGTTGTAGATCGAAGGTACCAGGTTTGCAGGTATCACAGTTTGGTCCACTGACTCCCTTCTTACACTTACATTCGGAGGTTTGAGAGTCACAAACTTCAGCTACCGTACCAGCTGTGTTACAAGAACACTTTAAGCACTCAGGGAAGTTGTAGTACCCTGGTAGGCACTTTTCACACCTTCTGCCTCCGACGCCTTCTTTACAAAGACATTGACCATTGTTGGAGTCACACTGGAGTTCTCCATTCAACGATCCTTGAGGATTACATCCACAGAGCTGACAACCAATCAGAGGGTCGAAGCCGTAGGCGTACTTGACACATCTGTCACATTGAATACCGTCGACGTAGTTTGGACAGAAGCACTGACCGGTAGTTTCGTCACACAACTCGCTTGAACTACATTTACACGGTTTACATTCGGGGAAACCGTGGAATCCAGGGGCACAACGGTCGCACGTTCTTCCAATGATGTTAGGCTTACACTTACAGCTTCCACCGTACTCTTCACAACAAAAGTCGGTAGCTCCTTTAGGGTTACATTCACAAGGCAAAGCACCGTTGTTGAATTCGGAAGTCAGCGAAAAGACTTGTTGTCTACAGTAGTCGCTGACATTGGAAGGATGGTTCTTGAAGTGTTCATCTGAACAGTATTTGAAGAAGTCCGAAGTCATGTCGAGAGGCTGGTGCTTCAACAAGTCGGGTGTGTAGGTATGGACTGGAACAGCAGTGATGGATTCAATGTAGAGAGGTCCTCGTTGCTTGCTGTTGGCGTAGAAGCTCCACTTGTAGTTGTCCTTGACGTAGAAGTAGTTCTCAAGGGGCACCTTCCTCATGTTGACGATCTCAATCCTGCAGCCGGCTGTCGATGGGCAGTACTTGAAGTCAGCTTTTCCAAAGATCTCGTTCTGGAACATTCCCTCAATTGACAGAGGACCGTTGTCGTTGTTGTAGTAGTGTACTACAAACACGTAGTGATCGGGTTTGTCTACGACTCCGTTGATGTCTACAGTACCAGCAGCGTTGGGATCCAATGGAATTACCTTGACGTCTTCAGCGTTGTGTACCTTGAAGGTGAGCTTGTTTCCGGCTACGACTTCATTTGGATTCGTAGAAGCAGCTGGTGTAGCAATGGAGTTGGCTGGAATGGGGTACTGTAGTCCAATACAGTCTCCGTCTTTCCTGATACATACTGGGGCATGCTTCAGAAGGTCATCGTGCCATTCCGAGACTGGAACCAGGTTTACAGATGCCAAACCAAACTCAAGGCCAGGTGGAACAGTGAACACGGCCAAAGCAACGGGAGGGCTTTTCTTCAAATGCATCACACCGTGCTGACCCTCCTTCGTGACCAGCTCTCTTCTGAAGACGTTGTACGGTGACTGACCAATGTGAAGTGTGCCTTCATTGAATGGAGTTTCATTCCCTTGTTCTATACGCAGTCGAAGTGGTGCAGTCACATTACTTGGGTTGATGTACTCGACCACCATGTAGTAATCACCGTCAGCTGGGACTTCTAGATCGATTTCCAACTTTCTGGTGTAGTCTTCAGCCTTGACTAGTCCAGCTTGACCCACAATGGCTGGCAAAACATCTGTAGTTACCTTCTTGAGCTGTCTGATGGCTCCGTCCTTGTCGAACGTTCTAACCTTGTCGTCTTTGTTACTGTCTACTCTGGACGAGAACTTCATTGGAGGATACAAGTAGTCCATGCACGGTGCATCTGGATTTTCAAGAGCTGGACACGGATTGTTAACTGGAGCCTTCAAAGTAGATCCAAAGTAGTATTCAGCAGGCACAAACACAACATAGTCAACATAAAGCCGCTTTGGAGTCGACAGCGACAATCTCCACCTTCCTGGATTCAGAACAAAAGCTTTGTCATCTGAATTCACGAAGATAGAGGACGGTTCCGCCTGGTACGGTAGGTTGGTAGAAGCTAAGAAGTTGGTATCGGTGGTTTGCGTGTGGACAGGGGAGATATCAGCCTTCAATGGAATGAACATCTCGATCGGGTTGAGGTAGTGGACCAAAAGTTTGTAGAGCGACGCCTTTCTGATATCTATGTCAAGGATGATCTCGTCTTGAATTGGGCTGAAGACAGCGTAGCCACGGTACGAGTAGTCGGGGAATGTTGTGTTATCGATGGCATATCTCACGCTGTTTCCATCGACTTGTCGTCCACTTTCGGCTTCGTACTTCAGTTGCCAGAGGGTAGGGAAGAAGTGGTCTTTGATGGGTTTGTCACAACGCACACCTTCCACTCGAGGTCGACATCTACATTGGCCTGAGTGGGGGTTACAGACATGGTTGACTGATCCTCCAGCATCACAGTCACATGGTTCACAGCCATTCTGAAGTGAGCCATCCATACTATGATACCCATCAGCACAACTGTCACACTTGGCTCCAGATACGAAGGACTTACAGAAGCAGTTACCGGTTTTGATGTCACAAGTGTTCAACAATGACACAACACCAGTCATGTTACAGTTGCAATCTAAAATCAAAAGTTTGAAGAACAATTTTAAATTTTTAAACATTGTTAATGATGCCAATATATGCATAATAATATAAAATGAAAAGTAAAGTTCATCTTACCAACACAGCCTTGTGGATTTCGCACACTCAAGTCCCAGAAGGTAGGTTTACATTCGGAGCAAGTACGACCATCTACATTCTCTTTACAAGAACATAGCTCGCCTTCTTTTACCGTATCACAGCCAGCGAATCCATCAACCACACCATTAGGGTTACAGTTACATTCCTCACACAAGGGGAAATTGTAGAGCTTAGGCTTACAACGCTCACACTTGTCTCCGTCAATATTTTCTTTACAGTAACACTGAAATTAGAATATAACATTAGACAAGTGTTTAGGTAACAAATTAATCATTATTTAGACTCAATTATCATAGAGTGTATCTAAGTAAGTAAATACGACTACACTCACCTTTCCGTCGTGATCACAAGCTTTGCTCTTTGAGGTAGACGGATGACAATCACAACTCAAACACTCTGGGAACTTGTAGTACCCAATAGCACACTTGTCACACTTGGTCGATGTAAAGTTAGTGTGGCAAATACATTGACCAGTCACTTCGTTACACTTGGCTGATGTGGAGCCGGCTTCATGACAATCACACTCACGGCACGTTGGATAGCCAAAGTAGTTCACATCACACTGGTCACATCTTCTGCCAGCATACCCAGGCTTACATAAACATTGACCGCTTTGCTTATCACAAACTTCGTCTTCTGTTCCAGTGGCATCACAATCACAGACTAAAACAATATTGTCATAAATAGCTATTGGATATGCTTAAAAGTCACTGAATTAAAATAAATAAAATTAAGTTATACCATAATACAAAACAACTTACATTTACATTCCGGATACTCAAAGTATCCTTTCCCACAAACGTTACACTCCTTGCCCATGAAGTTGCTCTTACATTCACAAGCTCCAGTCTCCAGATTACACTCGATTCCGGTCGAGCCTTCTGAATCACAATTACATGGTGTACAGCCGGCTGTCAGATTCGTAAATCCAGAAGCACATTTCTCACAAAACTCTCCAGCAAACCCTTCCTTACAGTTACATACACCATCAACTGGCAGACAAGCCCCGTCTGAAGTACCGTTGACGTTACATTCACAAGGTCTACATTCAGGGGGATGGTAATAGCCCACAGCACATTGGTCACAATTCTCGCCAGTAAACTGAGGAAGACATTCACATTTGCCAGTGCCTTCAGCACAACGATGAGTATGCTTGGCAGGATCACAATCACAAGCTGAAAAAATTTTTTGATTTTAGGTAACAAATCGTTATTAAGTTATTAAAACCTTTTCAAGACACAAAACTTAGGTTTAAACAATTAAATTATTAAAAATAAATAAAAATTAAGATATAGTTACAAAAATCAGAAAAAACATAAAATTTAGGTAGCAAATTTATAAATAAATCAAAACTTACGTTGACAAACATCGGTTTCGTTCCAAAACTTGTGAGCTGGTCGATAAAATCCGTCGATACATTCGTTACAATTGATTCCGGTTGTACGATCACGACAATTCAAACATCTACCTCCGCCTTCGTAGTTACCGTGAATGTCCAAACTCAACTTCTTCTCGTCCAACTCTTCTTCGTACACACATTCGTCAGAGTGTTCGTGACAGTTACATTCTGTAATTTTTTAATTTAATGGTTTTCTTTTGTCAAAGCTCATCAACCTTTCATTACCCAAACTTTTATTTTACATTTTCAGAAATTTTTTGATCAAAAAAATCAACGAAATGTCACAAAATCTATTGGAAAAAGTTGTGAAACATAATTTCGTCTGAACAAAAATCCATTGGTATCAAAACTTATTTCACTCAAATTTAAACACTCCACTATTGTAATTTACATGGTCTTTCTAAACCTACGTTCACAAAAGAATTCTTTTTCTCCTGACGCTCTCCACTTCTTCTGTGTGAATCCAGGACAACATCGATCGCAGTTGTCGCCACAAGTGTTGTGTTCACACTGACAAGTCAAGGTTTGTGAGTTTGGATTCACCTCCGAGCACGATTTAGCGTGTCCATTACAGATACACCGTCCGCCCATGTAGATCTCTTTGATGGCGTAGTAGTAACGACGGGTTACTGTAGCATCGTTGGGGCTTTTGTAGTCCATGAGCTGAGCGTACATCGTGTTTGCTTTTAGGAAGCGGAGTCGGACATTGGTAGCTGTCAAGAAGCTCTGGAGCTTGGCAGATCCGAAGTTGTTCTTCCCTGGTCGACCTTCGAGGAGGTTGATCATGATCTCACCGTTCTCCATCGGATGGATTCCGGAGTTGTCGGTGGTACAGATGACTTCTTCATCGTCGCTGATAACATTGTTCACTAGACTGGCTGGGACGTGGAACATCTGGAAAGGTAAGGTGTTCCTAATGGATTTTTTACAAAAATCAGTCTCAATGGTGGTCTAATGATAACAATTTTGGTAAATTTTAAATTTTTTTAAATCAAAAATTGTTGTTAATTCAAATGATCTTACTCTAGCACAATCTTTAGCCGAAGCTGCAAAGTATTGCCACGGTTGATAAGTGGTACCGTTATCAGAAGACTTCTCCAGAACCCAGGCCGCTGGTCGAGGACTGTTGGCCATCTGAAGCCAGACGTAAGCGATGTGGAACTTCTGGCCGAGGTCGATGGTTATGTTGACTTCGTGGTACTGCATACCGCGGGACAATGGAGGACTCTGCCACCAAGAAGGACTGCCATCTACCATGAAGTGAGCTGGATGTTCAAGGTCGGAGTTGGCTTTACAGTAATCACAGTTCTGGCCGTTCTGGAACAGGTGGGTTTATATTTTTGTTACTTTTTAATTTTTAAGATTTGTTGGGAAGGAGATGTATTAGCTTTTTGTAGTTAAAAGACTTAAAAATGATAAAAGTACAAAGATTGGTACTATCTACTGTAATATAACGGTAACACAAACCTTGAGGAAAGAGTGCTCGGCTCTCATCTCTTGTACTCGTTTAGTATTGTTGAACAAACTGTAGGAGTAGGGGTTATGGGGACTGTAGGGGAGAGCACCAGCAATGGTACAGTACAATTCCTGAATTGGTACTCCATTTGACTCTCCACATGTTGAACTAGCTGTGATATGTCTACCGAGGGCCAAGTTCTTACTTGGTGGTACAAGTACGGCTTGTATTGTCGTTAGAAACGACAATAAGAGGATCGAAACCCTCATGAGCAGATTTTATGCTGAAATGGTTTATTGTTTGGAGTTTGTTTGACTAGGATTTTATATTACACATGATATACGCGCTACATTTTTAGTTTTAAGGTGATTACAAGGTCTAAGCCGAACTTATACCATTCGTTAGCTGAACAATTTGGGACTTGTTAATATAGTACTAGTGGCAACGCAATTTACGTGGATTATAAAACCGTCTATTAAAAAGATAAAAAAGGTCAGTTTATCACTAAAGTGCACCCGAACGTTTCAAGTTAACATAATGTCGCTAATCAGATAAACAAAGCTGGCCAATTCATCGCTTAAACAAACAAACAAACCCCAACAAGCTCAACTGCCACTCTTTATTGGGGTGGAGGTGTTATGTCAGGGAGTTGGCGCCAACCTTAATCTATAGCTACGAAAGTCGCGCGTCGATTGAGGGAAATTGTCGAATTTGGCCTAAAAGACGGGGGAAGGGGCGGCTGTGCGATCAGACAACTGCCCTCTGATCTGCCTATCTATTGACCTCTGTTCCTTCCAGCTGGTCCTCTTTATTAATACCGACCTGATCGGTGTCCCATCTGGGCCTAGCAGTTCCGTTTTCTCAACGATATTCGAATACAATTCTAATTTTTAATGCGAAGCTATTTGAATACACTGTGATGGAAGTACAGTAACAAGATTGAACAAATTTTAGATGCTTTTATAGTTGAATTTATTAAGTTGACAGTATGAGTAGGGCTTTTTATTTAAATGTTTGATAATTTAGTTTTTGTTGCGTTTTTCATGATATAAAGTAGAGGAAATTAGCATATTTTTGCGAATTTTAAAAAAGTAATAAATAAAAAATGGCAATCTTGAAATGTCAATTATGTTGTGATATCTCGCCAAGATGCCACAAACTAAACCAAAACAGATGCCACATGAATTGATCAGTAAAGTTTATTAACAGAAATCAGAATAAACCTAACTGAACCCGTAAGATGAGTTTAGTCGGAACCGTTGAGCAAGAATTGAGGCGTTGTCGTCTGGATGACTTTCATGATGACTTCGGACTGTGCGTTGAGGAAGGAGTTGCGCGGCGACGTCATCCGACTCTGGGACCATTCCTCTAGTTGAAGGTCATATGGGTATCTAAAGGAGGTAAGGTTTCGTATCACAATCAGTTAATGGCACACAAAGGACGGAAATGGGAAACTGTAAAGCCGTAGAGGGTATAACACGATACACCAGGCACGGTATAGCACTGGAGAGGCACGGTACAGGACATAGCACCGGAGAAGCACGGTACAGTGCCAGAGAAGCACGGTACACTAGGGAAAACAGGGACAGAAGCAGTGGTTAACGAAATGTTAGAATTCGCAAGCCGAGTACTTTCTGTCGTCGCTGAACTGGGTCGGTTCGTTGAGGGTGTTGTTTCCACCGACGTTGTTGTTCTGTAGAAGACGAGCATGCGGTCCGTGGTGCATGCTACGCAGTATCTCGTGAGCACGTTTACTGCACGGAAAGAAGATACGATGCGTTAACATGATGCGGACAACTTCGCGGAATTGCTGTGACATTCCGCAGTAAATGGCGAATCGAAAGGGATATGACATTACTATGAGCACATTTCTGTAATTTTAGTATTAATTATGCTTTCGATATGTATGGTTTGTAGTTATTTACTGTAATATTAAGAGGTGTTACTATTTCTAATTACTTTGGCTTCAACTGTCTATTGTAAGCGTACTATACATATTAATAATGTTATTTACAATGCATGCGAGCTCTATAATCGTAAATTAGTGTTACAATAAGCTTCTACGAGCCCATAAGAAGTAACACCTCGGTCGGGCTAATTAGACGTTCCCATGATACGAACCTTGTTCTCGTACAGTCGGTCGTGCTGAACTCACCGTATTATTAGTAATTTGTTTAGGACGTTGTAGTGACGTTGTATGAAAGTAATCTGGAATGCAACTGCACTCACATGCACGGAGAAGATGAGGGCAGCTGGGATCTCCGTGACCAAGAATAATATGATTACGGCGATTAACATTCGGGTGTTCTATAAAGCCATTTAACAACGAACAAGGTTCTTACTTGTTTCAGGCCCTGTAGCCTCTTGGATTCGCTGAAACTCTCGCGACTCTTCAGCTTGAAGCCTTTCTTCTCGGCGCCGTCGACTTCCAGGGTTTCGCTGGATTCTATCGTGTACTTTCGAGTAGCCGTCCTGAAAACAAAGTTAAGCTCGCATAGGACTTGATTTAAACATATTGTAAAATAAAATAAATGTAAATACAATGATACACTTACCGTGCTATCAGATATGCATGTCGTTTATCAGCAACACTGATAGCTGATATCAGCTTCCACGTGAAACACACCAACAATATACAAGGCAAGGTATGTGAGAGTAAAGTGTGGATACCATACAGACTATAGTAGTAGATATCGTTTCCTACAGTTTGAATGAACTTAGTCCTAATACGGAGGCAAACTCTTCTGGTAGCTGAAATTAGCATAAAGACCGAATTATAGGACAATGCATAAATAGTTATAGAAAACTATTTGTTTATATTACAAAGGCTTCAAAAACATTTTAAATTTAATCGAACTATTAATTATTGTATTAAAAATTACCGTTAAATCGTGGATTGTACAGAGTGTAAGAGTTGTTGTACGTGGCAAAGAATTCTGGCGCATAAATCGACAATGAACACACGCAAATGGCAATTATGGCCTGAAAACATGAATAACAATGTTAGCGATAAGAAACTGACTTGTTTACTCCGCTGAATGGTGCAATGATTTCGAACCATCTTGGGCATACAAATGTAAATATATCGTTGGGCAGCCAGATAAACAGTCAGCCAGATAGCTGCCGTGTGGAAGATGGAGGGACAGATCGTCGCCATGTACGGGAAACTGAAGCACCACAACTGCGACAGACCGTACTGGATGTCTGTTTTGTAGCCTAAAAGTTGTATTCAGCGTGTCATAACAAGTAAACATACCATTAAACGTATAATAATATAAGAGCCAAGGGAGGCAGGAAAGACCGGTCAATAATTCCGTAACTGCCATAGCCAGAAGCACGTAGTTAGTGGGAGTCCGGAGATATCTTTGTGACAGCACCAACACGATGAAACTATTGGTCAGCAACGTCATGGCCACGATGAAGGGCATCGCGTAACCGTACAAGGGCAGCGCCCATTCAAGGGGAACCTAGAATATGTTACAGTACTATAATTAATTACAGTACTATGATTATTAATTAAAAATAAGTTATGATGACTATATAAACGTTATCGTACCTGAGCATTTATGATAACTTCACGGCACTGGCTGTTATTCAGACACTCCGGTGGATCGTCATAGTTCATCTGGCCAATCAGGAGCGGCCAATTATCCCTGAAATTGGACATTCAGAAACATCCACCGACTTTTAAACTGATGTCGCTCTCTCAAGACTTTCAATTACAATTCGCTTTTCTGTGAAATGCCCCGAAGACGGCCTTGGGGACACGGAGCGCAAACCCCCGAAATAGAAAACTCGGTCTCACATTAACACTAATATCTGTTGACTTATCCTAATAACCTAAAGGTCCCACATACGGCACGTCAGTAGGACAACAAATGTGAAACCTGCTTCCCCCCACAACAATGGCTACAGAAGCCTCATTACACCCAACGAAGACGGTAATTTACAAGCCAATTTGTGGCCATTACGTCGCAATTAATTCTTATTTTGCACACATTGTTTTGGACAAGTGATATCCTTGTTAGCGTGCTAATAGCCGCCCAATGTACGCTGATACGATAGCCCAACGGGAGGCGCCGGAAACTTCGGAAGCGCTAAGAAAGTTTTAATCCCGGGACTTCCTCACCTAATCTTAACTCTTTACAGCTTCTTGAACATCCTTCAAGTGGCCAGCATGTATAATGGCCGTTTTAATAGTGTGGATAGGATCTCTACTCTCTAGAGATTACCATGACATGACTTTCCGTCTAGAATGCCTTTAATAAAGAGCGAATAACTTGAGGTACGTCGGGGGGAAACGACGTTAAATTATGTGGGAACATACGACGGGTAAATACGATGCAGTTCACGAAAAACAAGTCCTAAGCGGGAACGGTGATCGGACGGCGGGAACGGCAACTCTGGGATAAGTGACTCATCCCCACAAAGGTCATGCTACAACAACATGACCAGAAGAGGGCTGGCGGGCCGCCCTTCCGGCCGGTTCGAGACAACCCTCGGACAACAAGCGATTAACCGAATTACACGAGAGAGTTTTGGAGAAAAAATCAAATTCTGAAGCCACTATTTATTCTCGGCTTAAACCAATTTGTTTAGAACAGCCTCAGGCCCTTCATGTCAGCTAGATGGATGAAGTGTTCCAGAGTCATTATGCCGTGTGTAACGGAAATATCGCCAATAGACATCCCATTCGCGTCAAGTTGTAATCCTCCCCAAATAATTATTTACAATAAAATTATTTGCGGGCACGACAGGACCGTGCAGTGAGTCGACTACCAGGCGGACCTGTCATTATTATTATGTCGCGGTTTCCGTTCCGTCTGTCGCATGAAGAATGGACTGTTTCTTCTGTCAAAACGCATGTTTTGGATTGATGTCGACCTTTTGAATTTACATTTTGAATACTGAATTCATGAGACAGTTACACTGTCGCTTAACAGAAGTCATCCATTAGGTTTACCGCAAAAGCTTTGCATTCAGAGCGCAACATTTGAAATTCAATGATTGATGATTTCATTAATTTTTAGTGCAATTTGATATTGTAAGGTTTACTCAACAAACAATGGTAATGAATATGCGGATACAAGGACAACTAATCAAAAGTGCATTAGTCCTTCTGGATTCTCCTTTTGACTCCCTGCTGGAAGGTGTTACGTACAAGCATGGCTACAGTCATCGGCCCCACGCCTCCGGGCACTGGGGTAATGTACTTGGCCACCTCTTTGGCCTCGTTGAAGTCTACGTCACCCAGAAGACGTCTCTTTCCCTCAGGCAATGACTCCACATTGATTCCACAATCTATCACAACTGCTCCAGGCTTGATCCAGTCCTTCTTGACGAAGTTGGCCTTCCCGATGGCTACGATCAAGATGTCGGCTTGGCGACATATTTCTGGAAGATCCTGGGTCTTCGAGTGACATATCGTTGTAGTAGCGTTGTGCCACATAAATAAGGCAGCAGCTGGAGATCCGACAATCTTCGATCGACCGATCACGACCACTCTCTTTCCGGCTACAAAGTTTGGGTCACCTGTAGCTTTCTGTACGAGGTAGAGACATCCATATGGGGTACATGGGAAGATGGTTCTGTCTAGTTCGCCTCTCATTAACCGACCAGCGTTCTCACGCGTTAGACCGTCCACATCCTTTTGTTCGTCGATTAAGTCGATGACATGATCAGCATCAATGTCATTGTCTGTGTCTAAAGGTAGCTATAAAAGAGGTATTTATTGCTATATTACCTTACCTGAACAATAATGCCATCTACAGAGTTATCTTCGTTTAATTCTCTGATCTTGGCTTCCAACTGTTCTTGAGTGATCGACCGGTCGAGTTTAATCAGGTTAGCAGATACACCCACCTCAGCTGACCTGGCAATCTTGTTCTTGATGTACACGTTGGAATCGCTTCTGTCTCCTACCTAAACATTCAAAATTTGTAAATTATTATATTTTTGACTTAAAAACTGTGATTTGAATTGAAAAGACAAAACTTGGCCAAATCTCAACCGTACTTACTTGAACTATCGCTAATCCTGGCGTGAACTCTGGATGGGACTGTTTGACCTTCTGGAGCTCTTCTGCCACATCGTTGAGGACCTGCTTGGAGATATTTTTTCCGTCGATGAGAGTCGCCATTACAACCACTCGCCAGTCAATTTCTGAACATAGACAAAGCAAGAATAACTTGACAAGTGTGGGTCAGAAAAGGTTTTGTCGCGCGGCTGATTGCGATCTTCAATAGCCATTTTCGATTTCACAATACGATGACAGAGTGGTCGATGTAGTGCAGTTGATCACTTGTAATGTACGACTTGTTTTTGTTGACATCACATGTTGGGGATCGCCCAGTAAACAGTTATTGTAATAGTCCAAGTTATGGCTTTTGCAATTATCTTGCGCAACATATTACACAGCTATCTGGGGTAGAGAAATTACCATGGTTCTTTGGCGTTTACATCTCTTTTGACATTACTGTAAGCGATTTGCCGCCAGTTTTGGACGATTATGCTTGTAAAGGTTGATTTAATCTAACTTTTACCATATCATATTAAACAGATTTATATACGACAACAAAACACACACCATACGATACCAACTGCAATTTTAATATTAATTGAGATTTAAATAATGATCTATCATAACTTAGTTTATTTACTCTAAAGTAAAAACGTTATTCAATTCAAACTTTGGCTTCACTTTCGAAAAGTGCAAGTTAACACTTTTCATATGATAAAATGTCAAAACATGTTAAGGTTTGTTTATTTTCATTCCATATATGAACATGGACAAAGGCCGTCTCTTACAGACGCTTCAGGTAACTACAACGATATTGAGGATTAGGTAACTACTTAGAAAGAGTTATTACAAATCGAAAACTGAGAGAAACAATGCTTGAATATAATAAGTGATCGACCAGTATTAGGAGTATACAAATTGGGCAAAGTACAAATTAACATCACGGTTTAACGATCCAGCGCCATAATATAACGATAATTCTCTTCTTGATTACACATAACCGGCTTTGCGAAGAATCCCCGGTTGAACACCCCCATCAGGCCCGACTTGTTCCGATTCAGTGACGGGTCCGTCGTATTGGGTTCTGAAGTGGTAGAAGCGGCCGCAGCATCTCCGGAGAAGGGAGAAGACTTGACCGACATGGTGAGACCTCCTTGTTGGTCTTCAGCGGGCTTGGCCAGCGACTGTTGAGGCGACTGGCTCGAAGACAAGTGCAGTGCCGAGGAGAAGGACGACAGAAGACCTCCTCCGTGCTCCTTTCTGATACAGGGATCCAATTGGTAGTTGGCGACGCTAGAGGACTTCCTCAACGGCGGTTCGTCGGCTTGGCTACTGGAACATAGTTCGAAGGCGCTTTTGTTTCGGTCCAGACCAGTCTTTGGTACCTTCAAGTCTCTGAAAAAGCAGGCCTTTAATAACAGCACGTTAATTTATTTCTCCTCCCACAAAACACAGAGAAAACGCGAGCAACTGCTAAGACCAGAGGTCGCCGAATCCAAATGATCATGCAAAACTGTAAAATCAGACAAGTTTCGAGAACAATACAGAATAAAAGTGAAGAAGTAAAGTCTAACAGTGCTTTAAATGTAGAGCCACTTTAACTGGATTAAATATTAAAGATAATCTCCATGACAGTCTTGTCAAATCCGAGATTGAGCTTTCGAACGCGAGAGAAAAGAAACACAAGCCGGGTGGGTACGTGTCTTTTTAAACTTTCACCTCACGTGGTGGTATGTTTCCGGAAACGAGACACGTCATATGCTGCACTCAATGCACGCAGCATGCGGCATTGGAATGTTACTACTTGAAACTTAAGTAATTGCTCATAAGGGGAGGAATAAGAGAAATTTCAACCCTTAGGGGAGGTACTTAAATTATCAGACAAAAACTCGAACAATTCAGCGGAATCAGACAAACTCAGCGATAAAAAGGCGGGCTGACTTACTGTGGAAGGCTGGGCACGGAATCCATGAGTTCTAGTTTCTCGGAGCTTTGTCCAATCTTAAAGTTGACCGAGTTCTCCAACAAACCGGTGAGAGTCGGGTGAAATCCAAGCGCTGAAAACGTTGATAATATAGAACGATAAAAAGGAGAGGTAAACATTTATTACAAAATGAAACACTCCTATAACATAGTTTGCCTAACATTCTATTAGAAAATTAGAGGTCTTTACACTCCTGTTCTAAAGGTTTCAACCTTCCCACACCTAACCAATATGTCTAAACACTCATACCTATATTAAAGTCTAACATTCTGTAAGAAAGATATAAACGCTCTCATAACATATGCTATAAAAACTGCATAAAGCCAGCAAAAGCTCTGAACACACCTTTGTCTTGAACGCTCAAAAAATGTGGAATATCCAAGTGGGGATCACTTTGGGAGACCCGACGCAACAACGCAGGCCTACCGCTAGCTGAAGGGATCTCCGATTCGGAGTTAATAATATTCGGAAATTTGCATCCCAATGTTGGCTGATCCATTGTGCTTTAGATAGAAACAAAAATGCTTCAGGTTTCAACCCGCAGGCGACGCGTCCGGGTCAAATGAGAAAGTTAATATAAGAAAAATATATGATAAAAAGTAATTTTTGGTGGGACCGCTCGCTGCTGTTATTCTTTTTTTTCTCTCCCCCTTCGCTAAACCAAAAACGCCGCTCCTTCTCCATCACTCCAAAACCGAAGACCTCAAAAAACAGCCCCTGTCTGTGTTCAGAACGTAACGAGATCAGGAACCAGTCTCCATCAACCTTCTCGGCTCCGCTACCCTCTCTCACCCACACTTTGATATTCACCTGACTCTCTAAAGTACTAAAAGCCGAAACGATTTACTAACACTTACCGGAAAAGTCAGATGACGCCGTCCCTGCCCGTTCCTCCTAAGTCCTGGCTTGACCAACCACTTCCCCGACTTGCCAACAACGATACCGAAAGATTGCTGAAATGACCGACATTACCCATCTTCTATTACCACAATATTATTTAAAACTGGCGAATTTAAAACGAAAACGAGTTAAACTCCCTCCAGATACATTATAATCGATATTCGAAAAGACAGAGCGCTAAAGCAAAGAGAAAGTGCTCTTTTCTTCCGTTTTCACATTTCGAAACCCAGAAAACGTGAATCCGGCCAGAAAAATATGTCTGCCACTTTCAGACCCATCCCCAAAAAGCAATAACATGATTCATCAGACATACGTTCTTGATTAGCATCGTGTTATTTTCTCCTATTATAATTTGGGAAATAAATCGGTTAGAATATTTTCTGTGTCTATAAAATGCGTCAGTGCGACTTGTTTTTCTGAAGACTCGTAATGGTTTTTTCTATTGGCTCGGAACAGCAGTTCGAACTGTTAGAATTTGTTTCTGGGCGTTTCCTTGAGGAAAAGCGGATGTTTTGGCTAGTGTTTACTATAATGTTTTGTTCTGCGAAATTGTCGAGTTTGCAGTAGAATTGAACTTACACCGTTGAAAGATCATTGAGAGAGCATCCGAATTCAACGAAATTGTGATGCCATTGGGGTGATTCGTGAGTCAGTTGATAGAGTTGTGCTTTCTGACCTCGCTTTGGTTGGGGGTTTGTGTTGTTACAGTATTCTTTGTCAAGTTACTTCAATTTCAATGAATCGGGACTGACTTTTAGACTGAAACCGTAAACATCACCATGATGTAAGGGTTTGTATCAATCGCGAATTCAGTCGTTCAACTTATCAATGTAGGCTGACCTTAAAATTGGCTCCACGTGGGGCTTTTTTAAATGCAAGAAGTGGTTTTTGACCGTTAAATTGTTATTAATTCGGTGATAACTAAGTTTGTTTGTTACGTGTACGGTAAGTGTGGAGTGTTTAGAAGATTCCATAGATTTGAATTCCTATCTTAAAAGTTACTTTATGTTAACTTAACGACAAAAATATGGTGGAGCTAAAATTAACATCAAGTTTGAAGGTGCCTGATAACAAAAGCTTGAGCTTTTCATCATCGGGAGCAAGGTTCTTCCTTTAATAAACCAATGTCAACAACAAAACACGTCTTCCGCCTTCGTGTTGACTATTTTGAAACTCGTGCCCTTTGTGGTTGTACTTTTCTGTGAATTAATACCCTTGAGATAACGCTTTGTCATATTCATATTCTGTTTATACAATAAAGTCATAGTAAGTCATAAATTACTACATTAAGGGAGAAATGGATCAACTAGAGGTACAATAAAAACGAGTTTGTGCAAAATAAAAATTTAGGCTCCCGAGAGCGATTACCCGTGAAAGGTTGAAAGGTTAGTGTAATATAAATATATAACAAATCCTGAGCACTGAGAGGAATGAGACTGTTGAGACCCGTTGAATGAGATAGACACCTCTGTACTAGGCATACCTACAATATAACTAGACTAGATCTCCGTCCGGGTTCCCCACTATTCGTGGGTTTGTGCCGAACGTGGTGAAGGAAGGCTGATGTGTTCGATGAGGTAGCGTGCCCGTCCCGACGTAGCGAGGGTCTTCGTTTATGCTTCCGCTCACCGACCCGAACCGTCGCGGAGAGTCGAATCCGCGTCGCAGCGATCCGCCGACGTCAGCGTAGGTCAGGGATGGAGATCCATTTCCATTTAACGGATACGGTTCGGGGCCTTTGAAGTGGGTGTAGTTCGACTTCAGAGTTCCGTGTTTGTTAATGACTGAGTAACAGCTAGCTGAAAGAATATGTATTACATCATGTTATTACTACTCCTTGTTCTTCATAACTTATTTTAAGGTCAATTTTACACAATGGAAAAACGTTACACTGAAAACCAAAAATTAAAACGGAAACTTACGATCGTTTTCTTCGTCAGTGACAAAGTTGCCGTCGTAAAAGCGGTTAACCGGTTGATTATGGCGCTGTATCATACCGTTTGGACTGACTTGCTGAAATTATATCAATGTTATTATATTACCCTTCAAGTATTTACTGTGCGACTTTATGCACAAACACTCTAACAAAGAAATGCAAAGAGCGTCTTTAAAAAACTTACAATCATTGTCCTCACAGATTGTTCGTCCTCGCTGACTGGTTCGTTCATCAGATCAGATTTATTGGTATTATTTGACTCTGGCCTTCTGATCAGTGTAGCCGGACTCAGACCTCCTCCAGCTCCAATGGTGCCATAAAGTTGTAGAGGGCGACGTTCGTTACCGTAATTCTGTTCTCTTGCAAACTGAGTTTTCTCAGCTTGAAGCCGACGGCGATGTTGGACATAAATGTAAGCGAACACCCCGCAGTTTATTAGGAGCAGAGCGGCCATAATGATCAAGAAGAAGAAGATCCAGTTGTTGGCAAACATGTTGTCTTCGTTCTCCTCCATTAACGCTGTTCCGTTCTCGGTTAGGGTTCTGATCTGGACCCATTCTGACCATTCGGAGACTCGGCCTCGCTCATTTATGGCTCTGACCTGGGCAAAGTAAGATGTGGACGCTTCCAAACTGGACAAAGTAAACCTCTGAAACATTTGACGATAAAAAATAAAGAGTAAACCGATAAATTTAAAACCCAAAAATGTGTTTTGTAAAGATCCACAACTTACAGTTTCCGAAGTGTTTCCGCTAGAAGCAATGGAATCTCCTTTGCTTCCATATCGAACTTCGAAGAACTGTTCGAGACCTCCATCAAATCCAGCGTTCCAGGTAACGATCGCCGACTTTGTGCCAGTTTCATACACTGTGACGTGTTCTGGCTTGTCTGGATGAGTTAGATCTTCTACTTTTATATGAATATGGTCGCTGCCTTTTCGATTCGATGCCAAACACCTTATCTGCTTACTGTAATCTTTATGGGTCAGGTTCGTGATAGTCAAGACACTTTCTCTAGTCGCGTGGTCGATTGGTTTTTCGGAGATGATGTACTTCGTTCCGTTTCTGATTGGCTGTCCATCTTCGAGGCTCCATACGAACTGAGCATCGGGTACTACTTGTACCAAACACCTTGCTCGTGCTCGTCCGTTGATAGGGCCAGCTGCTCGGTTGAATCCTCTGTTCTTGACAATGACTGGTGGACTGTTGAGCAGAACATACGCGGTGGATGAGTTTGGTTGACCTATACCGTTATCAGCGATACAAACGTATGCTCCACTGGTAGCCTGAGAAGCTGTTATCTTCAGAACGGCCCGCCTACTGTCGTCGCTGTTCTGATCTCTCAACGTGATTCCTGCTTTAGTCCACTTAACCATGCGTGGTACTACTGGGTATGCGTCAGCCTCGCATTCTAGAATCATGGAGTCTCCTTCATCTCCAAACATTGGAGTTGTGATGTACACGATACGAGGACTGTACTTTACTTCGATGTTGATTGTAAGGATGACTTCGCCTCGTTTGTTAGAAGCTACCATAACATATGTTCCACTGTCTTCTTTCTTCAAATTCCTTCCTCCAATCACATTACCTCGGACATAAACATTGCCCACAATCTCTGTAAAAGGTATTCCGTTTTTCTTCCAGTAGTAACTTTGGACTGGTGGGTTGGCAGAAAGTGCAATTTCTTCCTTGAAGGTGTCTCCTTCGACCATGGTTAATGTCAATGGGGATTCGACTTCCAATTTCGGTGGATCTGCAAATTGACAATATATAAAAGTATATGGAGTAAAACTTACAGTATACAACCATGCGATATTCCGACTTGACCGTGCTATTCCAAACTGGATTTGTAGCGATACATCTGGCTACACGACCGTCCATCTCCATTCTGGGTTGAAAGGTGACAACGTTCTCCACCGTGTACCCGTAGTTCTCCTCTGTGCCTCTTTTAACTAGGTAGGCTCCGTCTATTTGTAGTGGTCTGTCTTCTCCAATATCAACTTCCCAGTTGACTTCAGCTGGAGGGTTTGAGGATGGGATAGAACAGCTAAGTCTAGTGTCTTTTCCGGCAATAATCTCGTCTTTACCGTCATTTTCTTCGTACTTTCTGACCGACATTCTACTGGGTGGGACTAAAAGCATAATTTTAAGTATAAATTTGGCTACAATGTGATATTAAAGCTGCATGAATATAATTCCCCAATGTTACTTACAGTAAACTTCGAGCAGTATCGTATCATTAAGAGGATAATCTAATGCTGGGTGATCGTCGATTTGACACTTGATGGTGAGGTTGTTCATCGACCGGTCGATTCGTACTTGCAAAGAGCTCCGACTTTTAGCACCGTCCACAATGTCGCTATGAGCTTTTTCCATCTAAAACAAAATTACATTAAATCTTTTATACCTAAAAACTAGTCTTCGATACAAAATACTAACGACGTCCGCAACTACTACAACATTAAACACAAACCACTACTACGACATATAAAGTACCTGCTTCCACCTGAGCTTATTTCTGTGGTTCGAACTTTTGTGTTTCTTAAATTTTGATTTTAGTGACATTACAGAAAGACTTACCTTTGGCCGATACCAAGTCAAAGAAGCCAAGGGATTGCCTCCGACCGCTTCGCAAGTCAGGTTTAGTGTCTCTCCCTCAATATAGGGACCAGAAGATGACCTTTTAATCATCGGAGGCATAGGGGGAGAGTTTACTTTGACAGAATGTTGCATACTGACCGAGCCTTCTGAGTTCGTAGCCCTACAGTCGATCAAGATTTGTTGTTTGGTGATCAGAAGACTTTTCGTGTCGATGGTCAATGAAGATTCTGATACGGTACCTTGTCTCGTGTTCTCTTGTCTGGACAGAGAAGTTCCAAATGGTTGGCCATCCATCTCCCAGTGAATGGTGGATGGAGGATGAGATTCTCCTGACCTACAAGTGATCGTAATCGAATCTCCATATCTGACTGAAGTCGAGACATTGACGAAGTGAACATATGATGGCGGATCTAAAAAACGAAGTGACAAAATTTTAAAAACAAAATATTCACATCTTATTATAATATAAAAGGCGAGAATATTATAACAAGAAAATGAGTTTTAAACTTGCAATCCACTTCAAGTGCCACCGTTGACTTCAAAGCGGGAATGTCATCCCTATTCGAAGATGAGCAGACGTAAATGGCACCATTGTCCGAAGGTTTGGCAATTAGAGAATGAACGTTTCGCGCTCGCTAAAACAATTAACTTTGTCTTTAATTAAAAAGACAGTAACATGACAAATCCTAATTGAAAAATATTTTAAATCTCTTAATAAACTCTTATTAAAGTGTTACAATAACAAGCTTATACGATATTAAAATAAAACCAAATTAAACCTCACCTTGTTCTCAATTTCATACTCGAAAGCCGCTTGCACTGGATTCTCATTCAGATTCCAAGATAGCCTCGGTGGTGGATTACCTCCTTCGGCTACACATATTAACGTCACGTTGTTACCCGACTTGATTCTCTCGGCTTCTTTTACTACCTCGATCACTGGCCTTTCCGATGAGTCTGAAAATTACAGTTTACAGTTTATTTAACTTTTTTCTATCAAAGTAAAATACAATTTATGAATTAATTACAACATTTTAAATAAATTAAAAACTTATAAAACATTGTTAAACACAAGAACATACATCTGACATCCATGGTCAATGTGATTCTCTCTTCAAAGCCGGTCTGTTCGTGCTTAACATGACATGTAAGCATCTTCTCGTGGTCATTTCTACTCGGCTTCCACGACAAAGCAGCGAATGCCGTTTGTGTGTTATTGCCATTGTATTCTTCCCACCTATGTACTGTGTCTTCCACTTCTTTACCGTTTACGAACCATCGAATCTTGGCAGCCGGCTTGGCGTTCCGTGAGACGCATGTCACATTCAGCGACGAACCTTCATTTACATCGATAGTCGAATTCGTATCGTAATGTTCAAAATAAACTCGTTCTGGCGGAACTGTAAACAAATATTCTAATTAGGGAGGTGCATATTATAGTATCAGTTTGGATAATAATAGAAATGACATAAAAATGATACATAGTCATAATATCGCAAAAATAATTATTTCAAATAAAAAAGTAAAATACTTAAAATTCGTACCTAAAACCGTCAAAGAAGCGACGCTTCTAATAGGCTTGCCATCTGAGGTTATCATCTGACATTCGAACAATCCATCGTCACCCAAACTGACATTATTCACTTGAAGGTGTAGTTCTGAAGGTTTTTCTTTCAGATATGACAATCTATTGTCAAACCCTTTAATCTTAACGTCGTCCGTGCCCAACAAAAGCCCATTACTGTGTTTCCACTGTGTGTTTGTAGGGCTGGCATCGTTGGCTACACATCGGAACAACACGTCTTCACCTAACCTGACTGTCTTATCCCGAGGCGGTTCTCTGAAGTCGCGGTCTGAAGATCTTCTGGCTTCTGATATTGCCAGTAGTAGTAATAGCGGCCATATCATTCTGAATGTTGGGTAGCATTTGGCCCTCATTTCATGACGTTTCTCTGGAAATGAAATAAATCTTATTGTAAAATAAATCTTTTGAAACGCAACAACCGTTAACCATCGCTAATCTACAACGGAAGCCAAATGTCATCGAGCGACCATATGTGTGACAATAAGCGCGAAACTGTTTGTGGTAGCTAAACGAAGCGAATCGAAAAGGGGGCAACCTGTTCGATCGGATCCCGCGGGAATGGCCGGTGCCGCCTGGCCTCATCAATCTGATCGTCCTTTCGAGCCGCGACACCCTCAAGACATTGGCCTCGACTTTTAGCCAACTGACCTGCCAACCGTGTTTTGCCATTTCATATAAAAGAATATGAGCTCTTATAAAATTAGAACACGAAAAAAGATTATAAAACCCATTTAACGGTCCAAACTCAAGACTTTGCTCCTTGCAGAATTATTTATGAGTGTAAAGTGACAGAATGTCAAAGTGTGAAGCCATAACAATCGGTAAAGCGCAAAATAAAACGAAACAGGTGTCGAGAGGACGAGGTGAGAAGTTGGGTGTAAAGTAAAGCCAAAGCATTTTGTACCCGACAGATAATTAAGCACAAAACGGAGTAGAATCTCGAATAATAAGGTTCAACTCCCAATAATGAACCTAAACAGAAAAACATAAACAACAAAACGGGAGAATCCATTCAAATTAGAAACAACGGCAAATCAGGATCGAGGCCACAAGTCAGATTAATAATAATCGCGACACAATCGCTCACTGTTGGAGCCGGCGGCCTTCTAATCGAATAAAGGGACATCACTTTCGGCGCTGGCAATAACCTCTCATCGAATGCCCGCTCATAATTACGGACGTTTCAAAAACAAATCTCGGGAGGGCGATCCAATAAACCGGATGTAGAAGTGTTCACTCCAAACCCTTAAGGCATAACTTTCGCCTCCTCGGAGCCGGAACATACCGCAACAGCTGCAACAAGACAAATCGTTTCCCCTGCGGCAATAATGGCCACAGATCCGACTAGTTCGTCGGCCATAGGTAAGAAGATGGCCTTAAGTCGGGAAGCGATAGTGTTAAGACGGGAGTGAGTTCTTTCATTTGGAGTTTACGTTACTATCGTATTACTGTAGAAATAATAAGCGCGGCGAAAAAGGAAACGGCGCATGGGGAAGAAAACTTCTGAACTAAACAGTTCTTGAGGGCACTTTCACCGAAATCGAGATGTCAGAAATCCGCGGCCAAAAACAATGCCGGAGCCGAATTTAGCCATAAAAAACTGCGCAACGGAATTCTCTCGAGTTTTCGTGTTCCGGCCACTTTGGTTGGGCCGTTTTGCACCCTCCGAAACGGCTACCAAATAAAACAAAGTGGCGCTTTAAAGTGCTGGAATCCGCGAAACTAATTTGTACGCTCTACCTGGCTCAAAATCAAGTCCTCAAGACAAAACCAATTCACTCGCCCAACAATTAGCAAAAATGGCTGCCAAAGTGCTCCATCCTGTCCTCCGGGCAAAATAAAAACACGCAAAAGGTCTGTCCACAACGTTTAAAAGGGAAATGTCGTGAAAAGGCCGATAGACCACCAAAACCACCTGGGCAGTTAATCCTGGTCATTCCCAAAAAACACTTGCCAATTATAAGATAAGCCAACTGTTTCGCCAGGAATTGGAACAGTTTATAAAACAAATTAAATGCAAGTGTCGTGCCTGGGGAGTCGACATCACTTAGCCCTTTAAAGCACCAATGAAACAATAAAGATAAGCGCAGAAGTGGGGAGAAGTGCCGTCAGTCTTGTTTCGGTATCGCGCGACCATGTTATGACATATGAGTTTGTGAGACTCGGCCAGTCCTCTTCACGTTAAAAGCCTTTCTCATACATAGGAGAATGGTCTGAAAGTGCGAAGCCCGAGGATAAAACTTTGAGGAAGTGGGTCCACTTAGTAGTAGCCATTCCCATCCGGCGGTGTCCATTCTCGGCAAAACTGTTTACTCTCCACAGGAAATCCGCGCAGAGGTGCCAATGAGATGAAATGCGGATCCCCCATTGACTCCCACAATACAATGGCATCCGTCACTTTTGCCATAAAAGTTAATAAATGTTTGCCCATAAACCTACACTATTCACCCATAAAATAATAAAGGACAGGTAACAAGACCATGAAAGTCCTGTCCCATGCGAAACATAGCTCCTCGTGAGGGCGGATTATCCCCCTCCGCAAATCGAAATTAAAAATCTTGCAAGCCAAACAAAATTAGCGGGTCCGAATCGGTGGAATACCAATTACCGGAACGATGTTCGACCTTGACAACATCAAAGCGGCTTCTCCCAAACAAAACTACAACATAATTACGGCAAATAGTGCCAACCCTGACGCAACCGCCCATCAACAAGGTAAGCCGGGCCATATGGGGGATGCGCGGACAAAGGAAACTGTAATACCATCTCGAAGACATAAAGCCCCGACTAAAACAATCTCCCTAAACCTCAACAAATAGGCCGAGCAAACAGCTCACCAATTCGAGCCATCGTCTAAACCAAATTCAAATAAAACATAATGAACACTACCATCATTTGGCTCAGAATTAGGATTTCCGGGCTTGCTAATGAACAACAAAGTTAAAACGATAAGATATCTAGAATAACAAGACAAATTAACACGTAAAGATACCTGACAACAACAACAAACCACAAAAATTATCATAACAAGCAAACTTTAATATGAAATTCAATTTTACAAAGTATTATATAATTAACTTTGAAAAATTAAAAAATATAATTTACTTTTCTATAAAAGGTGTAATTATGACGGAATTTTGAGATTTTCCCAAAAAAAGACGCGCAACAAGTGGGTCCTGCAACGAAAGTTTTAACTTTGACTTCAAGGTTCGAATTTTTTAAAATAATTTTTTTGGGTTTTTTCGACAGTTTATGGACTTTATCCGCGTTGTTTAGTAAAACCTTAAAGTAGATTTTTAATATACGAAGACGTATTTTTACATTTTCAAGATAAACCAACAAAATTAGGAAACTTGAATTTCCTGTGCGCCCAAGATAAATGTGCCAAAGACCTTTATATCACATTTCAATGTAAGTGAAGTTCTCATGCTAAAAGCCTCTCGATTACCGTAAAATTATAATATTCCCGCGCGCTCGAGAGCAACTTATCGAACAGGTAACGGAAGAGGCCATTAATGAACGTCCATTACTTAAACGTCCATCTAAAGTGGCCACAGATTCACGGAAACTGGAGCGTGCATTTTTAAGGCGTTTTTAGGAACCAAATCAGAAGTTGTGCCGCGGCCAATTTCCTTGTTTATAAATGCAGCCTTTGCTATCATTTTTTGGAGGAAAAGGGGTTAGAAGGGGACAACCTAAATATTGAACCTAAAAAATGTACGTAAAATCAAAGAAATCAAAAGAAGAATTAGGAGTGGGTATAAGATACTTATTAATTAAAAAAAACTACTATTTATAATACAAGTTTACAATGCCGTAATCACGAAAAGGATAGAAAAGGTTTTAGGTAGTTAACCATTTCACTTGAAAAAAAAAAAACTACGGCCGGTTCCATATTCTTTGTTGAAGCTTTTCAGAGAGTTTGAAACCAGTCTGAATTTTAGTTATAAATTAATCGTTTGGCAACGTAAAGGATCAGGAAAAAAGCATATTCTGGTCATCCAAAGCCATTATACTTGTTTCATGACTAGTTTAAAGCAAATCCAATAGTTTTAATGGCAGATTTGGAAATCCTTTAATTGGGAAGCCATTGGCGCAAACGCAACTCTGAATCGAATTTAAATCTGCCGGAACAGTTTAATCATTCGAAGCGCCTTTGGCTATTATAAATTTTCCCGTCGGCTCCAATTCCGTGTTGATGTCCTAAACGAGATCGGGTAATTTGTCCATCTTAAACGGCGAGCTCGGAGGCCCAAATGAGTGGCTTTGAGAAGCATTAAAACTCGGGTCGAGTGATGTTTCTCAAGTTGATTGTAAAACTGACAGTTGACGCAATAATAATTAGTATGAAATGGCACTGGTCGTAAACAACTTAAGCTGGCTGTGAGACGTATATCACGCACAATCTTATATTTACATTACACAAGTTTAACGTCACGATATGCACCTGTAACAAATCTGTGTTCCACCGCGAAAGCGTCTTTGGCGTCTCGCTTCACAAATAAAAACAAAATTCGCAAAATATTTACAAAATCGTAAATATTCAGGAAAAATAGAAGTATTTTGCAGAATAAAACAGTTATGAGTGATTCTGAAGACGTTTTTGATGGAATAGACGATAATGATGACATCAAGAATAATTTTACATTCCAATCCTTCTGTTTTTACTTGGAAAAACACAAAAATTTGGATCTGGAGGCGTTTTCTGGTCTGGTACATCAATATAAACAGAACTCACCATCGTCAATATACAATTTGATCAGATTATTTTTACCGGCACAAGATAAAAGAACGTTTTATCTTACTTCAGTAAGTTTTTGACTAACTGTAATAATATTCTTAGAGGAGTCTGAAGAAAGTTTTGAATTCGGTCATTACAACAAAGATTACCGATTACAACCCAAGTGCAGAGGTATTTGCTGATGCTTTATATCAAGAATATCATGGACAAGAATCTTCTGACACTTTGGCTAAAGTTAACAAATTTCTGGATGTCTTGGAAAGCCGGCGATCGCAAAGTAATTATAAAATTGTACTAAAATTGAATATATTAATATGAATATTGTTTGACATTAATAATTATATTTTTTAGGAGGACAGATATTTCAAAAAATTGGGAAAAACATGAACAAGCTTCAGCTAACTTATCTTTTCCACATTATTTTGTGTGATATGGCAGAGTTTGTTACTGGAAAGAAGAATGGCACTACTATAATATTGTCTTATGTATCTGTTGTGGCTAAGCAACTTTTAAGCGCTGGGTTTGATTTAAGGAGTATATGTGATGGGTTGGAAGTAGAAGGGACCAATGAGAAGAAATTGGCTAGCTGTTTGATATTGGGGAAGCCTATTCGGCCTATGTTATTGTCTAGACTGTCATCCTCTAATGAAAGTTTGCTCAAAGTAAGGGAATTAGTTGATTTCAGAGATAGAATACGCTTTTAAATATTTTATTGCCGGGTTTTAAAAGTTTTTTTTAATTTGTAGGTGATAAGACATTGTGGTAGACCATTCTACGTGGAGACGAAATTTGATGGAGAACATTTTATAGTTCATCGTATAGACAGCGAGAACTACATGTACTACAGTAGGAAAGGCAATGATTACACTGAGAACTTTGGCCCAGACATGAATTCTGGGTTTTCTGCCAGAATTCACAAGCTATTCAAAGACAATGTTGTTGATTGTGTTCTGGATTGCGAGTTTGTCATCTGGGATGTTCAAAAGCGAGCGATAGGTAAAATCAGAAGTAAAATAAAACATCTATTATATAAACAAAGTTTTTGTAATAGCAGCAGTCTTTTAGTGGGAAAGAATCGACGAACTTCAGAAGGTCGAGTTTTGGACGTCAAGTATTTGGATGACAACAAATCTTTTCAAAGATGTCTGGTAGTATTTGACGTGCTAATGTACAATGGAAAAGGTCTTATGCACACGTATTTGGAGAAAAGATTGGAAGTATTGAACAAAAATATATTTAAAAACGAAGTTCAAGGCACCTTACTTATCTCTCAACCCAAAGAAATAACCAAAGTTTCTGACTTTTTTGACTTCTACAAGTCGCATATGGAAGGTGGTGAAGAGGGCGTTGTGGTTAAGGTATGGTAACGGCGATATTTATGATATGCATGTAAATTAACGTTATTTCAGGGCAAACAAACATGGTATAAGTTTGGGCAAAGGGCGATCGTAAATGGATGGTTCAAAGTGAAACCGGACTATGGTGTCAGGTTGACTTTGGACTTGGCTTGTGTTGGGGTTAGATACGAAGATGTGAAACATACGAAGATAAAGGCTTTTGTTATTGCAGCAAGTACTGGTAAGAGATATTGAATTTTTTAAAAGTTAAAAAATTGGTTTGATACTATTACACATTTATTGAAATGTACTACAATATTGTTGATAAGAATTGATATTACGTACTTTAAGCACGTTTGAAATTCGTATTTTAGGTGACGGTCAATTAAGGGTTGTTGGTGGAGTTCAATCTTCTCTAAGGAAGTCAGAATTTGAACAGTTAATACAATCTTTGGACTTAAGGGCAAGTGGTACGACAACAAGACCGTACTGGATTCCAGGAGTGTCGCAGGACAAAACTATTAAATATGCAAATGTAGACAACGTTCAAGTGGTTGAAGTCAAGGCTTCTGGGTTAATAAATGGTCGGCTCCAGTTTCCTGTCATTACTTCACTGAGGAACGATAAATTTGTTGATGAAATTAACTTCTACTCTGATGTCATGTCATATGAGACGGTAAGGGCGATTTGTGTTAAATTAGTTTAGTCATTACTCTAAGTTTTTTGAAAGACTCTGTGGTGATAATATTACTGTAGGACTTACGAGAACGGAAAAGGCGGAATTCTGGAGATGAATTTGTTTTGTCTAAAGCTAAGAAGAAGAGGATTGTACCTGGAACCTTGAATGCGTCTACAGTTGAGAGCTGTTACAATGACATTAAAGTGTACGTCGTGGATGATTTCCGAGATTCAAAGAGAGTAACGGCCTTAAAGGGGGCTCTGAAGAACTTTGGATTTTTTATAAGCGAAAATTACAGTAAGTTTAGTTTGATTAAATTTATGAAATTTTTTTATTTAACATACTGTTATATTAGTGTGCAGGGACGTCGCTACGGATTTTCTCTGGGGGAGGGGGAGGTCGAAAAAAACTTTTTTGTTTTTTCGCGTACAGGTCCCTACCTGTGGAAATTTTTTCGGATCGGCTTTGGGGGAGGGGGTACCTTCCCCTTACCCCCTCCCTCAAACGACGTCCCTGTTAGTGTGTAACTTTACATTATTTTTAGCGGAGTCCGTTATGTTTGTTGTTTCCATGTCTCAAAACTCTCGAAAGTGCCAAAAACTGATGCAAATTGGTGGATTGAATATTATTAAAGCATCTTGGGTTGATAAGTGTGTCAACTCTAGCCAAGTAATTGCATGGTATGTTACAACAATGAGCTATGATACTAACATAAGTTACTTTATAGGAATGACGATGATTATTTGATGAAAGCGACAAATTCACGATACGTGCTGGAAGAGAGTAAAGGTTTTGTTGATGAAAAGATTGAAGTTGATGATTCGATTGGAGTTTGTAACTCTGGTTATAATGCAGGGAGTCCATCTTTTACTGAAGGTATAACAACAGAATTTGAGGATGTAGATTATACTGAAGAGCTGGATGCTGCGGGTGAATTGGAAACTAGGTACGAGGAGATAGAACAGATGCTTGAAGGCAAAGCAGAAGACGGGGAAGAAGGGCACGGTGATTTACCAGAGACTTCTTTATCCACACACGATGATATTCTGAAGATGGACGAAATGACACTTCATGATTACCCAGGACTTGACGATGGTTACGTGTTCCAAGATTTGAACTTTTACATGCCATTTAAAGATGAAAATGTTCGAAATATGATTGAAGATAACGGTGGTAATGTCCTCAAGAATCTGAACAAAAGTGTGACTCACATTACATTCACTCAAAAGTAAGTTCAGTTTGATATTATTATACGTTTGTTATTGACTATTTAAAGTTATTGTTAACATCCTTTTATTATATTGTAGGTACGATTTCAAAAATGACCCTTTGAAGTTGTTGCCATTCCTAAATGTCAAGATGTACCAATGTGTCTTAACCGATGTTAACTGGGTTCAAGAAGCGATTCAGGAGAAAGAACGCTACAAGGTTTCGCTTGCTATTGTGGAACTTTCTGCCTAACTGTGCGTTTAATATCTCATACTGTCCTACCTTTTACATAACATTTTAACTTATTTTTTAACTTTCTGTAATTACTGTGTTGCTACACTTTATTACTGACTTATAAAATAAAACTTTATACACAAAATAAAAGATTCCCTGAGGATGGCGTTGGCAGATTCTTTACAGTAATTTCTTTACCGTACTCGGTTCCTGAATCGATCGGGCTGTCCGACTATACTCACAGGGGTCCAGTTGACCCATTCTCCTCGTTCGTCGCGTTGAGTATTGATCTGTTTCCTTGGATAATTCCAATGTCCTCCTTCTTCGTCGATCTGAACTCGGTACTTACTCCACTCGGGTACGTAATGTCTGAAGCAGTTGAGATGTCGGATCCCGAGAGTAGCTTCGTCTTCGTACTTGTGAGTACGTTGGATGGCATAGTCTGGTAGACAAAAGTCGTAGCAGTCGTAACAGGATTCATCTAGAAAGTTTTGTCATCATTTTTATATGAGAAGTAATATCACAGTTTTATCGCGCTTCTTACCTCGTGGATGAACGGTGTGCTTGAGCAGGTACCATTGAGCACTAGCACAGTCGTCTACAGTACCGTGGAAGTGACTCATGGCTTGGTTGGCATCGATTGGCTGAGTAACGTACTGCCAGTACTCTTGCCATCCGAAGTCGGTCTTCACTTCGTGTGGAGTGTTTGAAATGGCATCCAGCAGAACTGCATGAGATGGCAGCACATTCCTGTCCAGCTCCATCAGGAAGCACGTCGTATGTTTTCCGTGATCATTGGTCAGGGAGTGGTCGGCGTACGCAATGTAGCCCTAAACTCACAATAATTACTTGTAAAACTTTGTTTCTTAATAGACACAAACTTGCGACATACCGTGCTAAAATCTATGGCAGTAAACGAGTTGCTCTTAAAGGGCCTGTTACCGTCCATTTCGAAGTCGATTCTGGATGGACTTTGGACGTGGACAAAGACTCTGCTCGGAGCTTGGTAGGAACTTAAGGCAGGGTTCTTTCTGATACATTCCTCACAACGTGGAGGGAACAGAAGGAACGAGTGGACGGAATAGGGGGAGAAGGCTGAGCGGAGGAAGATAATGAACAGGATGATGAGGAACAACAAGAACAGGACGATCAGTAGAAGGCCACAAATCATGGCCGGAGTCAGCGCACCGTGTCTGTAATTTAGAAAGGGTGTATATTTTTGGCCAAAACGATATAAACTCAGTACAGTAGTGCCAAAATTGTCCGCAATACTTGAAAAGTTGAGTAATTAAAGATAAAACAGATCCAGATGGCACTTACCGTACATCATTGGAAAGGTCGCTGATATAGGTTTGAAGTTGAGAACCGATACCGCGACGGCCACGATTACCCCACCCTTTCTGTTTGGAGTTCCTGCTGATCATAGTAGCGTCAGAAGAAGGCTGAAAAGTAATTTAGATAAAGCAATCTCCTTTTGTAAACAACTGAATACAAAATGTTTTGGCAAAGTAAACTCACAGCGAATGACATATTGTCAGCCTGGCTCTCTTGCATCCGCTTGTAGCTGTCTTTTCTGGTCAACGAACTAAAAGTGGTCTCATTGTTAGTGGGCATCATGTTCCGATCAAATAACATGTATGCCTGTGGTATTTTACTGAGGAAATGTATACGTTTACCCTTGCGCCCTCGGTATGTTTGCCCATGCCCTTACTTGTCTTCAAACGATGAGAAATGGCGTGAATCGGAGGTCTTCAGAATTGATTGGGGCGCATTCATGGTTTGGTTGTGAGTGCGCGGACTGCTGGTCTGGAAGGAGCTCGGGTCCAGCATTTCGACAGGTCGGCCCGACGTGTCCAAGCTTCTGTCCTGGAACACCAATGAGCTGGAGTTGAGGCGCGACGGACTTGAGAGCATTCTGCCATCACCGTGACTTTCCACGATTCTGGCGCCCCCATCAGATGTTCGTACAACGTGCTCATCGTATCCAAACTGGTTTATGTTTTCTGGTGCTAATATTTGTTCTGGATACGAGCCACCTAAAGATTGTATAATATTTTAGAGGATCACTCACCTCTGTCGAAAAATGAGGCGTTTCTACTGGTGTCGCGTTCGCCTGTCGTTTGATACCTGAAATTATGTCATTTTGGAGTTGCTGATAGTTTTTATCAGTGTTTTGCCGGACCGGACCGGTCCGGATTTTCACAAATTGCAAAATTGAAAATAACTTTTTAGCTTATGATTTGAAATTTTAAAAAATAAATAACTTTTGTGAAGGTCCGTCTTTGGTTATCAAGTTATTAACGAAATGGATCACCCGGACCGGCAAGACCGATTCGGTCCGGCCGGTCCAAATGTTTAGCGAGGAACTTGTATGAGACGGACCTTCACAAAAGTTATTTATTTTTTAAAACTTCAAATTATAAGCTCAAAGGTTGTTTTCAATTTTGCAATTTTTGAAAATCCGGACCGGACCCGGTCCGGCAAAACATTGGTTTTTATTATTTTCCTGCACGATCCTTTTTATTTTTAAAATTCTATTTTATATATACTTTACACTGTTGGTTTGTCATTTACTACACGCCAAATCGAAAAAATGAAATAAGCAAAAGCAGAATTACTATATTTATCAAGATCTTGCTCAAAAAGGTGGCCTTGAGTGGGTGTTTACTTATTTTGCTGAAATTGTGTTATTTACCTTTTCTCAGCCTCATCTCGAAATACTCGATCTGCTTCTGGACCATTCAAGATAAAAGTGTCACCTGTTGTGTGTACTTCTGTTGTTGGGACGTAGTTAATGGCTTCTGAAATCACATTTAAGCCTTTATTGTAACTCTGACGTCACATGTGTTTATTTGTAACAGCAATCATGTTGTTGCAATCGAGATCAACTGAAAGAGTGGCACCCCTTTCTGGTCGCCTAAAAGGATTACCTTTGGATGACAAGGGTCGCCGTCCTTCCGTTACATGACGTTCGATGACTTCGAACTGTTCCACGACTCTCTGCGGTTCCATCAGTCCCTCCGCGACCGTTTTGCTTCTGTCGTTCGCTCACCGTTCTGAAACGGAAAGTAAAAAAGTTTTGTTAACGACAAAAATGTTCAGGAACCTGTTCTCGGAGGCATCTGAATCACCTTGTAAGACGAATTCAGGAAGCTTTGCGCAACGCAAAACAAAAAATGAAAACAAGGCACGAACGCAATGCCCAATAGCTAGCCAGTCGACCTTGAAATGAAGTAATGTAACTGGGGATGACCACTACTTGTGTCGCTTGAAACTCCGACACCCGGGGCTTGATCTGCCGATGTGATAAACAACGTCAACTTGTAGTTTTGTTGACGAAAAAACAAAAATCAAATGGCTCTTGTCAACTGTAGTCAGGTTGTTCGGTCTCACGGTACTTCTGCCATCTTATATCATACTACCCAAATAAAACGTTTAATAGTGGCGCTATTTGAAATTTAAATCGCAAAAAAAGGCGAGCGACTTTTTAACGTGCCACGGGAATTCTAATTTTTTGGATTTTAATTCGGCTGGTAGAAATGTCGCGTAATCTCGCTTCAAAGCCTTCACCTTGCGCGCCCGAAGAGAGCAGCGCCACGATCCGACGCCGCTCAAGGGCCTTCGCCAAGCCCTTGACCAGTCGGAATAAAAGTAATCCGGAAGCTTTAGAAAGACAGTGTTTATTACTTACTCCTACGACCTCAGCAACGAGTTAAAACGGTATTATCAATGGTGAGGTTACCTGTTTTGCTTCCAAGATAGACTAGAATTCTTCAACAAACCAACTTACAATATAACAAAAGCTAAGTTAAGTAACAAGGCTCAGTTACGATATAACAAACTACAATAACTTGAAGTGAAATGTAACATTTGGTGAGATACAAGGTGAAAAAGGCATTGTGAACCCATATTTGTACACGTTTTGGCATTAAAAATCTGTAATCCATTATTGAGAAGGCTGGCACAGAACTTATACCAGATTGGTCAGAAAGTTCATAGAATTTATTAATAATCAAAAACTAATTGCTTTCTATCATAAAATACGATTGTACGCACATTTTGACCAATCTAGTACTATAATCTGTACCCGCCAAGACCTGATTGACAATATAAATACAATAACATTACTTCTCTGAGCATAAAGTACTGGCAGAAGAGAACACTTTCCTTCGTTGTTTCTCCACCGACGTCGATCTACTAGGCAGTCGATGGCTACTCAGTTTCGACGATGAGGGAGGGTTCAGTTTGAATGTTGTGATACTTGTAGTGCCTGGACTAGTCTGCTCGCCTACTGTGTGTTTCGACCGGTTTAAGGAAGCGACGGTAGGTCGGGTGGAATTTGTGGAGGTACCATTCATCTTCAAGTTCTTTCTTGGACCTCCGGAAGATGACCCTTGGATCTAAAATTTTAAAATTAATCACAAAAGTGTTGATACGACAAAGTTTCTGATTTTTTAATTTGATTACTTCACTATCACCTCATCTATTGCAATTTGAAAGAATGAACCTACCCCTTGCTGTGGGTCAATACTTGAAGCCCTGTTGAGTTCGCCCTTGATGAACCTCTCGACCTTATCAATACACGCTTCTTGATAATCATGGACCCATCGGACGCCATTAAACTTGGTGATCTGTCGAATGTCACCTGGCAATTCTGATTCAACCGCTGGGAATTCAAAGTGTTGATCAAATATGGGGATGACGTTCTTCTGGTGATCAAAAGCACATCGCAACTAAAAATATCAGTATGTAATGGGGAAGGAATGTTGTTCACGCTACCTCCTTATGAATCCAGTCTTCGCAATTGTTGTCGTTCAGAAGGCGGTCCAATGAGTGTGGTGTTAACACTAGAACGAAGTGTTTGGCCGCTTGGATGTTTTTCAACAAATGGGAGTCGAATTTGCCTGCGTAAAGCTTGTCGACGTCAATAAACACCTAAAACAATTTCAGGATTAATTATAATAATAATTTTTATGAAAAGATATGTTTCACATCTTTTAAAAAAACATTTGAAAATAAAAATGAGACCTTACTTTATATCCTCTAAGTTGAAGAAGCACCTTAATCAGACTTGCCAGCTGATTCCCCGTGCTTCTTCTGTAGCTAATGAAGACATCGATGTGTTTACTGAGGATGGCCACCTCAATGTCGTCAATATGCTTACTATCTGCAATGTTTTACATGAGTAAACATGAAAAACTGCTCACCTTGCAACGCCTGCCTAAGCTTCAACCTGTGAATCGGATTCTGAATCCCGCAAACATCTTTCATCATGTCATTGGTTAGATGAGGTAATAGATTCCGATTTAATCCTGTACCTAGCATCTGATACGTGTAAACAGACAACTCTGGTCCCAGCGACATCAAGAACTGGTCGAGTTGGCTATCATCGACGGATGAATAATCAGCTGCGATCTAAAATAATAATATATATGTAGGTATTAAGAACAAATTCTCATTGACATTAAACTCTTCTATGACATATTTATATTTTTTTAGATGTTTTTTGCCTAACAATATATTAAGATTTTAGTTTTTAACATATTTTTGTAATGTAGCTAAACCTACTTTCAAACTTTCAAGCTCCCTCATGAAGCGTTTTCTCAGGATTCCCGAAGACATTTTAAGATCTTCTTCCAGCTCTTTCTCGGTCAGTAACAGCAGAAGATCCCCATCAACCATATTCTGTCCGAATCTGCCTTTGAATTCTCCAAACCCGATCTAAAACAATATTATGATGTTTTGCAAGCTGCAGAGCCATTTGGTACTGTAGGGAAAACAAAAGTACAATTTTAATTAGAAATTTTCATGCAAAAATCTGCATTTTTATTCATTTTCTCAATATTACATATTTGCGAAGAATATTGACGCATTTTCTAGAAACGTGGTATATTTTGTGAAATAATGACGTATTTTCTGGAACCATAACTTATTTTCTCGAATTATGACCCAAATTTAGGAAAATGACACGTTTTCTAGAATATTTTCTGCAAAAAATATATTTATGAAGTTTACAAAAATTACCTTTTCCACCCAATATTGAACATCGTCGTTGGTCCAGCTGGGAACTTGTTGTGACAGTTTGTAAGGCACGTCTTCTCCGAATGTGGTAAGTGCTTCACTCGCATATTTGGCTCCAGTTTCGTCAGGACTCGAGGCAACTTCTTTTAAAGCCTCGATGGCGTTGATTTCTTGCAGAACCTCGAGTTTCTGTTGATTCTTTTTGATAATGGCTTCCATCGCAAAGTGAAAAGCGGCCATGTTCTTGGCTTCTCTGCATTTAGACTTGAGCATGGGGAGCAGCCTGAAGTTTAGGTAATAAAAAAGAGTTTTAAAACGAAGCTACAATAACATAACAAGAGAAGCTCTGTAAAGAAGGTTCATATAATGCGTCCCTAATATTATATCGAACAATTTTTTTTGCTTTGAAAAAGGTTGGTCAAACCTACATTATCAGCCATTCTTTGGGCCGGCCTTGTGCGTGTTTGTAGTCGTGAACGGCGAAGGTAGAAGGCTGATGTTCGGTTAGGAAAGGCTCGACCAGCGACAAGGTGCCAGAGTTGGCTACTGCAGTCTCGGAATCTTTGGAGGTGTTGAGACTGCAGATGGCCATACACGCGTAGTACCGTGTTATATCATCGGTCTGTGAAGCGAGCAGAAAGAGCCAGTCGGGTAGCTAGAATTGTCTTTTACCAAAATACAATTATAATTGATACGAAACGAGTCAAATACAATAAAAACAATTAGCACACCCACCTTTTTCTGAATGATCTTCTTGCGGGCCTCCAGGTTACTGTAGAGGGAAAGGTTCACTAGGGCCAGAGCAGCATGCCGGAGGATGATCTTGTTCTCGGTAGCCTTCTTGCAGGTCAGGAGGATGTGGTCGAGAAGTCCAAACTCTATCAGCCTGAAAATGGTCAGATTGACGGTGTTAACTATGTATTATAGATTTCGTGGTTTATGCAGTCTAATGCTACTATATTATTATCGTGTGGGTCGCTATATTATTATCAAATGTAAGATATCATAGTTAATAGAGAACTCACTTTGAGGTGGTTGACATAGAATGGTTAAAAAGGTTCTCCAGAATCGACAATGACATTCGTTGTTCCTCTTGATTCTTATTCAGCTTCTCTGCTGTTTTGGCAACCTTCATTAAGTAACCTTTGGACACAATGTAGTCCCGGTTATTCAAGGACATGCATTCTTCGAGGACCCGGCCACAGCATAATCGGACTGAAATTGTAAGACAATGGCCCTGAGTTTATATTTAGTTGAGTGTAATTGTAATTTTACACTTTAAAGTTTTACAATTTGGATCATATAGTTCACAAATTCAAAATTTTTAATTTTTTGAATTACAATTGTAGAGGTTAATACTTCAGTTGTAAAAACTCACTGGAATCACAAACTCCTTGTTTGATGAAGAGTTCGATGAGGATATCAAAGTACTTTTGCTCTCTCAAGTAGTCGCATAACGATTTGGCCAAGTCTTGTGATATTTTGGGGGTGAGCCAGGCTTTTGTCATCACTTTAGCTACAATCGCACAGCCTTCAAAAATCTGCTCATTTGGTTCTTTCTGAATCGATTCGAAAGCCCGGTCAATGAAGGTTTGGTATTTTTGTAGTTTGGTCTTGAACACATGCATCATCATGACCTGTTCAGTTTGCGACTGTTTTGGCACCGGGCCATTAACTACAGAATCCTGAATCTGTAAAAGTGACTTCTGAAATGTTTTTAATGAGCTTTCAATTAAAATAATTGGTTTTTTTGGTTAAGAAATGTAGTTTTTACTAGTCAAACTTATATATAATTTAAAGAAGACCTTAAAATAGTACTCAAAAGGCGTACCTGAAACAAGTTCAGTCTTCCTGACGGTGAAGCCCGATCGGCTATGGGGGAAAGGTCCTCCAGAGGTATGTCCATCTCGGTCGAAGGCATGTGCCCGTTGCCTCCTGTCGATCCTAAAACTAATACATTAATTTTGTGTTAACGTATATGTTAAGGCGCTTAACAGCTTACGACGAAAAGACTACATTTTCGAAAAACTGGCAATAATGGATAACACAGCCGTTTTTCGTAGTCTTGCTTACCTTCGCTCTTGAATCTCCTGTATTCTTCTTTTCGTAGCGTCTGTGTGCCATTTTCTGTTGGTGCCGGGGTAGATAATGAAGGTTGTAGTCGTGCTTCTATTGCATGATGACTGTAGGCTAGGTTACTGCTATAAACATTGGAATCGTATGATTCTATACTCCCATTAGCACTAGTAAACCCATTCCTCGACCCCGACTGACTAATAGCCGGTGTGTGGTTTAGGCTTCTGGAGTCCTCGGCAGGACAGTCTACTCTTAAACTGAAGGTTCTTGTGAAGTGATTTTCTTCAGTTCTGACTCCATTCAGTCTGCCATTCTGTGTAGTAGTGGGTCGAAAGGAGGCCGTCTTCCAGGTATTGTTTTCTGTAATGTTGACCGAGGTAGAAGGGGCTACATTATGGTCTGATGAGAATTGTAGTTCAGGAATTGATGCTGAACCATTCACAAGGACATGCCCGTTTACATGATTATGTGTTTTGTCAAGTTTCTTGCCATTGACTGGCAATGGCTGACTTTTCGTGTTGTATACACCTAGTGCTGTTTTGCATTTTAATGGTGCTATAGGGTCATCCTCTGTCGTTTCATCGAAACTTCGAGGACTGAACGGCATTGATAGTACACTTTGTGGTCGACCGTTGAGTTGTTGGAGGTCTGCACCGTCTTCGTCGTCCAACTCTACCAGCATTTCATCAGTTCTGAATTGGTCAATAATCACATAACTTGGTACTTACCTGCCTAGAGGACTCTTCCTTGAGCTGACTGATGCATCCTGACGTGATAACTGATAACGGTCTAGCTCTGGCAAGGCCGAAGCGATGGACTTGTCCTTTTCTTCTATATTGTACTTCCCTGCCATCTGGAAGAGAAGTCGAGGGAACTTCCTAAGATATTACGATTACTACGGGATTACTTATAACCGCGACATTGCTGATAAAACTAAAGAAGGACTGTCATGATAATAGAGGTGATTGAGGTCACAACTTCTTACAAACAGACTAAACGGACGATGACTAAAACTATGACAACTACTGCGCTAACCTGATGATGGAGCCGAACTTAGACCGGACTGGTCTTACAGCATCCGGATGGTCATAGCTGTGTGATTTGCTCATTTCGCCGTTTTAATTGGATCAATACATGAATAAAAAGGATATGGGAAGAAGAAATGTGAAAGAATGCGGCCCAGATTCAGTTTATGTTCGTTATTATTGAAGATGAAACGCGTCTGAATCATGAAAATTTTCTCGCAAAATTAAAAAAAAAGTAGTCAGCCTACTTTGCATGCCAGATGACATTAAACGCGGGCAAGAAAAACCGAAAAAGCACTAATCTTCCTCCAAATAAGGTCTGCATTATGATTGATCGGACTCGGATTGAACCTGGTCGAATATTTTTTTCGGATTTTTGCGCAACAGATTAAAAACATGAGATTTAAACGGATCAAGGGAACCTAGCCTCACTTACACCATGGTTTTTGTCCACAAAGCCAGCAGGTAAAAGGTTACAGAATCGTACGGTAGAATGGTAGAAATAGGCATTAGAGGGGTACAAGCACGACGTGGTATTACCTCCAACTCCTACATACGCGCGCGAGAAAGAGGTTGTTTTCTATTTACTTAACTATTTAAGCTCATGAGTAACTATATTAATCGGGTATTGGACGGACTCAGCACGGGGGCGGCTATTTGAAAAACTGCAGTTGGACTACATTTCCCTTAATATAAGCCCAATTTCTTCAAAATTCTGAAAATTATAAGTCCGAACCTTAATATTTCCGTCTAACAAGAGCCTTTTAAAAGGGACCTTTTACGCTTAATACAAGTATCATTAACAACTACGCAAAACAAGGTAACACGTTGGAACAAAAGGTTGGCGATACGGTTTTAAGCTCGCACTGATAACCAAATCCCAGTCGAAACGGGGCAAAAACAGGGCTAGCCGGCTTATTACGGGCAGAAAGACGTAATACCTGGAAATTTAAAGCGATAATTTGAAAGAGGAATGCAGATCAATGCATTATAATAATATATACTCCTTTCGAAACAGCATTAAAACCTGATCGTGGACGATCACTTCGAACGGCTACATTCTCCGTATTCCGGGGGACACGCCAGAGGATAGCGGCCTCGTCGGCTTCAAAAAGCGGCATTCTCTTTTCTCCGCAGGCAAAAAAGGGAAAAACAGCACAAAAAAGGAAGGTCCCAAAGCCGGGCATTCAGGGCTGCCAAAAGAGAGCCGGCCATTGATTCAAACACCCTGAGGGCCCAGTTTTCCACCTAAGGTCTTTCTAAATTCTTGGGTCATCTTATTTGCTAATAGCTGGCAAAACAAAGCTTTAATTATATAAGGCTAATATTCCTAATGCAGTGGATGACCAAGTTTGCTTTTTAATAATTTAAACTTTGTCAGTGCACTTTTTCTTTCAAAGCTTTACATCGGATCTTTTTAAAGATTTTTTGATAAAATAGTTTCTAATAGGCGTACTTTGGCGGTAAATTACAGTATCAGTACTCTATCTTTACAGATAGAGTACGGAGGTGTTAACTTCTAAAGCCAAAAACATTTAAGAACTAATTAAGCATAACAACGTAGTCGCTTTCCTAATGGGTAACGTGGAGATGGACTATCGCAGAGTGAAAGTTCCAAAAGTGCGCCAAAGTTAAGACAGTCAGCTGTGTTCGTCTCTACAGTACTCCCAAACGTTATTTACTGCTTTGTAGCCACTGTCAAGTACCATATACTGAGTATGATAACTCGTTTACGCGAGGTTATGTATGTGGAGGTGTTACGAGAATTGCACGCTACAAAAGAAATGTTTTCAGATTATTGTTAAACCTTTGGTCACGAACATTCGAATGCCATTTCGAGCAGCATAACACAGGTTGTAACGAAATGCAATTGAAAGTCATGCGACAGTTTATATTGTAACAAAAACTACATTTACAATTACAATTCCAAATGTTATTACGCAAATTACCGTATATATTTCTAAAGATTTATTAACACTTTACTATGTCGTAAACAAATCCTTATTGTACAATAGAGACCATGGTATCTCACATCAGCCCGTTGTGATGAGGCTGGTGGAGGACGGCGACGTCGCCTCGATTCTTCTGCTTTTTGTCCTTCATTCGTCGATTCTGGAAGATAAGGATTACTACAATATACTTACAATCTCAGGTTTAACATTACTTCTATCAGAATATGACTTATGTCTTCAATATTTAAAGTTTGGTACCTTATCTGCTTAGTGATAAACGCTAAGAACATGGTATCTCAACGTCTAAAGTCTTTTTGAAAACAATTTCTTTGTAAAATACTTTAAGAGTCTAAATAGACGTCAACTTCATCAGTTACTGCCTCCCTTGGAAGGTAGTGTAAAGTATGCTAACCATTCCTAAGTCATCTGTTACCGACGGTAAACAACAAACTATACGGTAACTGTTACGAAATGGCAAAAAAATACGACCAAAATATTTACAAAATATTGAAGTTGTGATTTTGAAAGTTAAGTTACTTGTTTTCAAAACAGCATCATGCAAAATAAGAATTGGAGTTAAGTGTACCATGTCAACGCAAGTATACTAAACTCTCATCATAGTCAGCCTACAATCATAAAAATATGTTTTCCCTTTCCCTAATTTTAAAACCAAAACTTACTTGAAACCATATTTTGACTTGTCGTTCTGTCAAGTGTAATGTCACCGAGAGTTCGTAGCGCTTCTGTTTCGTCACGTACTGATTACTTCTGAATTCCTGCTCCAGCTGGATCGTCTGATTCTTTGTGTACGGTTTTCGCTTTTTCCGTTGAGAACCACTTGTTGTCCATTCCAGCTGAGACTCTGCAAAAGCTGTACCAATCATTAATTTGCATTTTGAACCATTTTTTATTTTCGAAGGGTATTTAAGTACCTTGATGCAAAGGGGGGCCATAAAGACAAATTTAAAAAATAAAAAGGGTACTTTTTAATTTTGTAAAGTAAAATAGTTTACATGTTAAGAAAGATTCTGAATCTACACGACGTATGCTGATTCTACACAACGTACTGTACAGCCACGTAACCGTGTTTTAATTTGCATATATGCCAATTAGGGATAGTTGTGTTTGTGCATGAGTCAATGCCCAAACATATCCTCTCCACCTCGGTTGCACCGTTTTACGAGCGATCGTAAACCGGACCAACGGGGATGAGACGGTCGCGCATTCTCGAAAAGCCGGTCTCGAGAGTGGAAACAAAATTTAAAGCAAATTGGTTTTCGCTTCTGAAAAGACTACGGTAGAGCGCGACGACCTTCGTCGATTCCGTTTCCGACTCCAGTAATTAAAAGCGTCGATGGAAAGCGAAGATAGGCGGAAGCCCCTCAAAGTACACCGAGGCCACGCGCGTAGCCATATAGCACACACAACATCGTAAAGGTGTTCTGGGTCGCGCGGCAATAAAATTTACACACCGCCAAAGACAGCGGGCCAAGCAAAGGGCCGACTGTTATCAAGTTGCGTCAGAATCTCAACCGGCTTACTGTAACTTTTAGGCACTACTTGAAAGGTGTTTTTGCATAAATTAAGTTTTAAAAGTTTGAATTTTGACAATTTTATGACCTATTTGCATAAACCTAGATAGTATATTCTTAAGTTAAAGTTAAGCATATCGAGCGCTAGAATCAAAGCTAGCATAAAATGAATAGAGCAACAAATTTTTTAAAAACAAATTTCAAAATAAAACTTTTTTAAAATTTATTTTGCTATAAGCTGCCATTCTAAACCTATCTTCAAAAGTTCTAAACCCGAGTTCATAAGCTGTACGGTAACATACGGCTTTAGTGCCGGCGGCATCTTTCAAAGCCTGCAGACATGTTGAGCGGACTACTTTTACGACTTTATTCTGGAGTCCCAGCTGTCAGCAGGAACAAATCCTAATCATCTGGATTAGTCTACGGTAGCGATGTTCCCAAAAGTTTTGATGGACAAACCGCAATAAAAGTAAACCATAATAAAACTAATCTCATGACAATATTGCTTTAAAGTCGGGTTAATCCCTACCTCCCATCATGTCGCTCATATTGTTGGCGTAGCCGAGGCCATACCCAGGGTAGCCGTAGCCCCACGAGTTTGTGGCCATCGACGCTGCTTGTATCCCGGCGTTGTAGACGTCTGTCGGCATCGAACTGCTCATGTCGAATGGAAAGCGACATTGCATCTGCGACATGGCGTTGTAGGCTTCATTCGAAGTGTTGAAGACGTTGGTCGTGGCGTTGTTCTCCTTGGTCACCGTCGTCTCGCCAGCTGCTGTAGAAGGTGAGGTTTGGGCTTCTTCCAAATCGTTCTTGGGTAATGTTGTGTTAGGGAGAGACGTATTACTGGACGAGCAGGTTGAGTTTTGCTCTTGATGGTTCTGCGTAGAAGGATGATGGTCAGCGGCTTCAGATGCCGACCCTTGATTAGCGTTGAATGACGTGGGAATATAATTCATGCTTTGTTGGAGTTGTCGCTGTTGCATGTAGCTCAAGTCATTGTAACAGGATTGGGACATGTGGTTGAACATGTGAGGGAAAGCGTTGTAACTAAAGTAATATAGTAATTATAAAAAATAATTTTAATGTTAATAGAAACATTTTTATGGTGAAATTTTACAAAAAATGTGTTTTTAAATAGAAAAACTAAAGATACTAACTAACATTACACAAATATGAAGGATGGTTAGTTATACATTATACTATTTTTGATAGGAAAAAAACACTAAATATAGCATCGTGATAGACTGTGGTAGTAAATGTACGAGACGTAGTTATAAATCTGTTACCTGTTCGGCGTCTGGAAGAGATTCTGCGGTGGAGATATCCTCTCTTGGATCGAGTTGTTAAGTGAATGCTTTTGTTCGTTGTTCTCTGTAGATCGGTTATCTGAAATCGAACACTGTAAGCGGGGTCGGGAGAGCTGTGGGCTCAGCGTCTATCACAACATTACCTTCTGTCGACGTTGCGAACGACTGGAACGGCGGAGTCCAGAAGTTGGAGGCCGTGTTGGTCTTACTGTAATTTATTTTGCCTGTGCCAAAGGACGCGGCGAACGGTGCGAACGGCATGGCGGGCATGGGCTGTGGCGCTGATGGTGACATTTTGATGCCCGAGGCGGTGGACTGGTTCCCAGCCTCAGATGCATCGTTAAAGTTCATGTTCATCACCATTAGCATGCTAGTGGGTTCATAACACAAGCACACGTACAAACTCTAAATGAAGGTGTGTAACTCTCGTTATCAACTTCGCGTTCCTCGAGACCGTTTTTGTACGACGACCAACCAGCGAGTCAAGAAAAAACGACAGATGTCAAAGTAATAAAAGAAGCAAGACAATGACACCTGGTTTAAGGCAATTCGCCTTATTAGAAGCGAATTACTGTATCCGGATAAGGTTTAAAATGTTGACATTTAGAAAAGTAAAACATTTCGAATGTATAATAGCCTTTAAAAAGGTTCAAAGTAATGATATAACACTTCTAACAAAAGGTATCTCACAGTGAGAAGGGACATTAAACTGTAAATTTCACGCTAAACTCATTAAACGGAAAGTAACAGTAAATCTCGCAAGTTTGGCTAATAAATCTAAAGTAATATGATCTACTACAAGATAAACTAATAAATTGTGAGTTGATTAATTACCGATTATGCTATGTTCGTGGAAAGTGATAAATCGTGATGCTATTAAACGGGGGATGCCCACCGGCAGGCCGTGGAATATAGGCTCGTGTCGATAGTAAAACTTTAATTGTGACTAATAAAATTGACAACGAACTAAAAGTACTCGGCATATCAACGAAACTCATCAATCTCGCTTAATTACTCAACTTACAAAACAAGATAAACTAATATTCGATATATAAAGCCCCAGAACGCCGTGTCGGAGGGCAGCAGTAGAAAGGTGCGGCAATCGGTGTAAGACTGACAAGAGTGTGTGCAAAGGGGCGGGACGGCCCCACCGTAACCCGCCAATTAGCGACAAGTGGCGGCGAGACAATTCAGCCGAATTTCACCCTCCAGGCCCAAATTGTTTTTTGATTTCCGTATGGCCCAAATTGATCGTAAAACCGTAATAAGCGTTCCGGATTTACTATCAATGGTTATGATTTACGACTTGATCAGTGGTTGTTTTTCCAAAATTTACTCAAAACCACGTTTTCTATATTAACTTCGAGTGCATTTCAACTAATTTATTATAGTCGTATTTTAGAATCAAAAATAGAACTTTTAAATGGAAAGATTGAGCTACAAAACCCCATTTGAGCTACTGATAAGTGTTAAAAAGACTGACGTAACGCCTCAGAGTCTGAAACTTTTATCTTTGACGGTCTTGACCCAGCTAATGCTCTAAACCAATTATCGTTAAACAAACATTGCATAGTGTTATTATAAGTCTCTCACCCAAACTCTTCTTATCAGCTCATAAAATAGTATCAAGCAGAAGTGCGCCAAGTAAATTCCGATTCAATTTATGAAGATTGAAAGTTTTTTCTCGCTTACGTATTTTAGTTAAAGGAAGACGAGGATTTTCATTTTAAAATTTTCAAAAATTACAGCTTAAAAAAGTTAGTTGAAAAATCATTAAAAATTCGATTATTTTTAAAAATAGTTAATAAATATCATATTTAAAAAATAAAGATTACTTTGAAAATAAGCGACAAAGACGTACGCAATGTGCTATCAAAACTGTCCGGTCGATCTAACACACAATAACGCCTTAGATAATAAAGGGAGCCGTCTCAGGACAATATAGGGGTTGATCCCTCGCCCGGTTTTGCCGCTTCTGCCAAGTTTTTATCTTGATCGTATCGAATAACACCCCCCCCTCTTCGCTTAATGGGTGGCCAAATTGAACAAACCTCAGTTTATGGACCGTTTAATGCGCGAAATGTTAGGTTTGTAACAGAAGTCATAAATCGCTGTAAATCGAGTCGAGAATCCATAAAGAATAAATTATTTTAACGATCTTGTTGATCGGGCAGGGACACGGAATGTCATCTCAAGACGAGATTTCCATTCCAAAGGAAGGCGTGTCGCAAAAAGCGCGCGGCCAAGTCATCCCTCATTTCGGATACAGTGACGAACAAACCGATTCAATGGAATCTCAGCGCCTCGGGCAAACCAATTCATCTCGCATTCAAAGGCCACCTGGCCCACCCAGCCTTTTTTGCCGGAAGATCGAATATGGTTGTAAAAGCAAAAAAAACAAAAAACAGCTTTCTCGACCGTTCCCGACTGTTTTGATAAGACTCCCTCTCTTTTCGTCATTAACAGTAACATCGGCACGATCAAAGGCATTTTTATTGATACTGAGTTCTCTGAGTGCAGCACCAATTAAATCGAGCCAAATGCCGCTATTCCCTGCCATTTGCAACACCCGCCGGATTTTACGAGACCGAGACTTCCTTTGGTCCGCGACCTTGGGGAACGAACTTCTGTTCATTGGATAGGGCATGACTTTCCTGATTAGAGGACTTTTTTGAACCTAACTTTACTTTAGTTAACGTGCTACATTTTAAACAATATTGTTAACATTAAATACATTATCATGTTTTTACGTGAACTACGCCTGCCTTGAATTGATGTGTCCTTTGTGAACTTTATCTTATAGAAACTGATATCTTTTCTTTTGTTGTCATTGCTGACGCCAACGTTTATCTGGAATCTTTGTCGGCTGGCTCGAGGCGTCAGAAGGTGCCAACTCTATGACAAAATATTTAGATGTAATTGATCCGTTTAGCTGATGTTTGCGGTCATGAAAGACTACCGATACCTTAATCGAACCAATAATCTTCTTACGTCACAATATGCAAATTTTTCTCAAACGCATCTACAAACACTTTTGTCGCAAAATTTAAATAAAGTGTTTTATGGATGAGGCCACACCAAACATTGTTTCAAGTTCCACGGGCTCGGTGTTCGTGAATCAGAAAGAAAACAGCCATGATAGCATGGAGGACAATATGAAGGAGGGGGGTCTGCAACAGTTCATTTCCATTTTCCCTTTTCGTAAGTTTCTTTTATTTATAAATCAAAATGCGAGGAGAAATTCCGAGAAATTAATTTGAAAAAATCGAAAAAACAATTTACGAATTAATAATCAATAACTCGAAATGTGACACATTGTCGCAATCTTGTTCTTTTGGCGACACAACTTTCACTTATCTTTTTATCCAACTTCAGACGGTGGTTGACATGTCAAATACTTGTGTAAGGGTTACATTAATTTGACTAATTTAATTTTAGCTTAACAAGGAGAGATTTTCGCCTAAAGCAGCTTTGGAGAGCTTCAGATCGGTGAGTGAAAGGGAAAAGTTTGGGGTTATGTTGTACTTTACAGTTTTTGTTTTGCTTTTGCATGTTTATAATCACATTTATTGTTTAGTTTTACTTGTTTAATTTGGATTAGTATAAAAGTATGTAAATAGTTTATTGTTTGGCAATTTTAATATCTAAAATAAGGTAGAATGTTTTTCAGAAAATTCACCTTGGTCGTCGGAACGATAACAAAGATAAACCCGAACCTCAGATGCCGTTATATTCTCCATCAGCATCACCGAGCACGCAGTCTCTGAATTCGGTAACCTCCAGCACTTCTTACGCTTCACGATGTTTTATCTCGCAGAAGAAGAGGTCCGCTCCCGCTCCTCCTTCGACGGAAGTGGTACAGAATGTGGTTATCAAGACCTACCATCACGACTTGGTAGAGCGGAAGATATACGACCAGAAGCGATTGTCTCAAGAAACGCCGAAACGAGAGGAACGAGTTGTTTCGACCGGTCGAAGACTTTTTACAGATGAAGAACGACAAATTCGATTGGTGGAGTTTGAGGACTCGAAGTCTGTTATTAATGGCTACAATAAGAAGGTGGCGAACACACCTGAAGGTATCTTTTATTATAATGGTTTACTTTGTGGGTTGAATGGAAAAACTTCGGGTATTTGGTTAGAAATCTAGAAAATTATATTATTATACTCAAAATGGTGTGTTTCATCTTATTAACGAGTTTAAAGTTTTTTATTTTTAAAATTAGATATGTTTTTGATTTTTTTTTCTTCAGGCCGTCAAAATGGTCATGCGTCTTCGGCCAAACTTGAAAGTAAATTTAAAAGCACCAATTCACCGGCTATTGCTCTATCACAACCAAAATCCAATGGTACGCTTTCTGAAGCTGAAAATTTAGAGACAAGACAAGGAGGTACTAACTCGCCACTGAAGTTTTTCGATAATACTGACAAAATTTATGGAAATTCCGTCGAATTTAAAGCCGAACCTGTGAAAAAACAAAGGTAAAGCTTTCAATTGTTGAGTTTAAGTATGTTATTGTGGTATTGTAAATTTATTTTGTTTTATTTTAATTATTTTAGATTAATAGGTAACAAAGTTTTGTTTCAGTCAGCATGATCAGGTTTACGTGAATCTGAATCGCGAATGTGTAAAATTGAGAGAGTTGCTGTTGGATTGGAATCAGAAGAGAACTGAAGAAGCAGAGAAGGTCATTGAAGCTCAGGTAAATTTATGCCATATTATATTTTTTGCCTTAATTTTAAATTTTATTATTTTCATTTTGATATTTTACTTTTTTTATTATAAATTACGGTTTTAGAAGCGGGTTCTGAAGCAAATACAATTAATTGACGATCTCTTCAAGTATAACTGTTTGAAGGAGAAAATAAATAAGTCAGAATCATCTGGCCGATTGGAAGACAAGTCAAAGCAATACGATTACGCGAATGTAGAGGAGACTAATGTTGTACATCAGCAGGAACCAGGGAGCAGTAACTCAAGAAAGGTGGAAAAGCATATAGTGAATGGCAGCAACAACATTGACAAAGAAGATGCTGGATCAGATAGTAGTAGTGGTATCTACAATTGGAGACAGGTGTTGAAGACTCCAGTGAAGCAACAAAGTCCTTGGAAGTTCATGAGATCTAACGGAATGTCTCGTAACGAGACTGATACCTCTAAAACTGAAGGTAAAGAACAGCAAAAGTTTCCTATTGTAGGTAGTCAACCTCAATTCAAAAGCCCAGAGAAGAAGAAAGAAGTCGACAACAACAATGTTACAGATCACATCAGTAAAAGAGACGCTACCTCCAATATCTACAGTAGTCGCGTTACAGAGAGTTCTACTAGCTTTTTACCAAAAACTTGGATTATGTCCAGAAACAAACCCGAGGTACAGGCAGCTGAAGTAGGTTAAATTTTTGTTCAAGTTATTGGTCTTGGCTTTTTAATGAATTATTTTAAAGCAATAAGACGACATGATGTGTTTAACTTTTTTAACATCGTACTTTCAGAGCCCGAGTGAGAAGCAAATAGCGGGAACGAGCTTGAAAACGTTACCTAAAAAGGAACCCTTCCACAGCAGAATCAAAGTGGAATTGGAGCCAGAAAGTCTTGATTCTTCAACCGAGGAGCCGGTGCCCGTTTCCGTCAAACAGATCTTGAATGACTTGGACCTGTCGTCGGATTGTGAAGATATCTCTATCGACAGGCTTACAGTATCCCCGAATCAGCTACACACCATATTCGAGGCATCAGAAGACAATTCAGAGCCAGAAGAGGTTGTTGAACCTGAAAAAGAGATTCCAGTTAACATTGTTCGGCCGTCGACTTCCGCCCCTCCACCACCCCCTCCTCCATTGGATGTGTACACCCAGAAGGCCCATAAGGTAACATAATTAATGTAAATATATATTTTAAAAGTTTCCTTTATATTAAGAATGTGATTTTGGAAATAATAATTTTTATTTCAGCCGGTAGTTCTCCGTCCTAAGAAGCACGAACAAACTGCAAAGGTAGGTGATGTCTTCATTTCTGATACTGTTTTAGATTTTCGAAATATTTTTATAAAAATATTGTATTTTAAATAGGAAAAAGTAATATTCGAAGCAGTAAAACAAATTATACGGTAAAACATTCAGGGCGATGGAGACAAGGAGAAAGAAGCAGCTGCTTGGAGTCAACTCATGGCTGACATCAGAGCCCGTGCAGCTGAAATGTCGCAGAAATCGGAAAAAACTAGCTAAACGTAACATAATATTTTGTACGAATAAAGAATAATGTTATACATGATGTTTATTCAGTAGTTAGCATTAGTTGTAATTAGCATCTGATTTGTAGTGCTGTCTGTTTCCTCTGGCGTAAGCTGACAAGATGTTCTTGAGTTGATCTCCAAACATAAGTTTAGGTCTGTCCGAACTTTCCCGCGATCCCTTCAACAACTTCTTCCTGGCTTCGTACAACATTTGCTTGTTCTCGTACGAGGTAGATATTGTTATCCTGTGCCTCAGCGATTCGTCTGACCTCACAAAGTCACCTTCATAAGGACTTCTTCTGAAAGATACCACCACATTCATCTTGTCATCGTAGTAGTCGACTTCACGCTTCTTCGTCTTGAGCGATGCCGACTTGAGTTCGAATTCCTCAATATCGAATGTCAACGACACTGGAGAGACAGCCTAAATTAACAAAATAACATTAAAATTTGAAATTGATGATAAAGTAATATGCTATTTTTGCTGTTTTTGTAAAGTAAAATACGAAAGTCTATGCTTCTTATAAAGTATATGTATCTATTGCATAATTTAAATTTGAATTATAATATTACCCTGAAGGCTTTGGACGCCTGAATGATCGGACCGACGTCTCCATGAATAATATAATTATGCTCGGTGCCTGGTGTGGTAACCAGTGGGTAAGAGATCATGACATTGAAGCGTTTTGAGATGCTTTTGATCAGCTGAGCGCTAGGACCAATGTACCATTCTCTGTTGATCTTGGGGATGACAAAACCTTCAGAGAATTGAGCTTGAGTAGGCTGAAAATGAAAGAGTTAATATTCAGTTTAGAGTACATTATATTTAATTCAATCAATAAGACATCTACTCACATCCTGCAAAACAAGATCAGCAAACTTCTTGGTCGCTTGGATAAGGTGGTCTTCGTCATGTGGGGCTGCTCTGAACACAACATACGAAAACTAAAATATTACCTATAATACAAAATCTAAAACCAGTGCAATAAAGACAATATTAATCATGAAAAGACGATTACCATAGTTTTCTCATCTGAATCGCGTTTCGTATTCAGAACAAAGTGCAAAGATATTGTTGGAAAATTGAAAATTTGAGCCATGATCCATTCCGCTACCTGTTCCCTGATGTTGATATTCAATTCTGGCTTTATTCCTTGCAGTTTCATTCCAATTTGAATGGGTAACACTTCCTATAACACGGTAAACGGCCTGATACACATAACCTACGAATAATCGATCTCTGGCACAGTCGACGGTTTCCACAGGACCGGTGATTGTTATCTAAATTTAAACTTATGTGAAATAGGTATTTTAATATTATACTGGGAATTAATAATATCATTTATCATATCTGAAATTATAATTTACAGGCTTTATTACCCAATATGAACATACCCGATTGAACTCTGACTTTTCTCGGTCGCAAATCTGATCGGCTAACATAATCTGACATTTTGTGTCTGTTTGGATGTCGTACATCAACTTCCACAACATACGACCCCACACGTCTTGTTTGGATATCAAATACGACAGTTCGTTCGCGTGGATCTCCAATATCAGAATTACTTCCTTTGGCACAGGCAACTGCAATATATGTTATATTAATCAAAACTATCTTGAATAATTAAAAACACATAATACAAGTAGCTCTTACCCTTGATAACGGAGCGATCAGTCGCGTTCTGTCCAGATATTCTTGTTCATCGTGCCGCATCTGATTGAAACAAGCTTCTCTCTGAAGTCTGACAGCATTCAAGGTCTATAAACATAAGTTTAACAAAAGAATATGTTACCATCGTGGTCTGTTGAGTTACATGAGTAAATACATGAGTGGGAAGAAGTTCTGGAGCGACTTCTACAGCATTGTTGGGCATGGGCAACTTGGGAGGGTCGAGCCGAATTGGAACAGCGTATTGTTGACCATTCATGGCTAAAATACGTTATATGACATTACATATAAGAAGAAAAAACATATCGGCAACTTTAAATCAAAACAAATAGTCATAAAATTACAGTTACCTCAAAAATTTCAGACTCTTTTATTTCTGATTTTGTCGTCGATTTATCAATGAAATTTTGTGACATTTTATACTATGAAATGTGTCCGGACGAAAAATTGTTTAGTGAAATATTATAAATTTTATCTTTTTTATTTGGATCCAATTAGTCGATACAGATGTAAATAAAAGGTGAGTGTCTTCAAATCATTTATTATCATTAGTTATGTACAATATCACGAAACAGAAGTGATGTTGTTCTGATCTGGAGGGTCCATTCGAGATATCACAGAGTCGATCCACTGAAATCATATTTTTTTTAGATATTCATGTGAGTTAGTAGGATTTTTATGTTTTATTAAGTGGTTGTAAATATTGTTCTTACCGCCAAAGGTTGATGGAGTTGTATTTCTGTCCAACACGGAGTAGAAGTTACATCTTGACGATGGTAATCAGCTCCCCACCCCTTAACGAACGACATTCTGATAAAACACATCTTTTGGAGTTCGTAAACATGTTGGTATCCTTCGGTCTTTGCTTTGTCGAGCATCTGAATAGTGTTAAGTTAAGATGGTGTTGTTCTAGGTAGATCCACTAATTCTTTCTTTTTTTAAAGGTAAAGACATTAGGAGAAAGTTATCAGATCTGTATTATAGTACTTTGTGTTACTGACTATATTTACTTGCTTGATATTGTTTACGCGACTTACTCCGAGGAACAACTGATAGTCGAATACGACCATGTTGGAGTCGGAAGGGACGCGACAGACGGCTGTCGATTGTAAATTGTATTTGAAATTACTGTTCCGGGACTGCACAAATACCGGGGACTGGGAGAAGTTGAATACGGTAACACAATTATTTGTACATACGAAGCGGACGCCTGAAACGAGTTTGACCGTCTTGTACACAATTACCTTTGCCAATGTGACGACGCGTGTTCTCTATGGTTATGTTCCGGTTGACGTTGGAGAGGAGCCCCAGGCAGATGCGGCCTTCCTCTTGGCTCGGGTCCGTGAAGCCGTCGACTACAACATTGTTGCATGCCATCTAAAGTTTAGGTATAAGTTAGCTGTTTGTCTTTTGATTAACTGAGCTTAGTGTTACGTAGTGTAATTATAGGTAGCGTTCTACGAAACCTAATATGTAATTTAGGATTAAGTCAGAGTTCACTTTGGGCAATTATCACATATTAATAGCATACTACTATCTATGTTAGCTTAAGTATACCTTAAACGGCTCTCCGACGCGAGAATTCAATTCGTAGTAACATATAGTACACCAGTAGTTTGGCTCGTGCCAGCTGTGAGGACCTTCGGCGATCTTGTCTACATTAGTTTGGAAGCTCGTGAAGTCGTCATCGTCGCTTAAAGCTGATGGAGAGGCGATGGAGCTACTGTTGATGGGAGATTGTATAGTGGTAGACGACGAGTACGGTGAGGGATACTGTACTTCCATGGCCTCTGCCGTCTCGTAGTTACTGTGTAGCTCGTGATTGTTTGTGATTCTGATTGGAGTTGAAGTGAAAGGAGGAATGTAGTTCTGTGACATGGAGGGGGCTTGGTACTGCATCAGTGTTGATGATGATGACGGTTGTTGATCTACTCGTTGATAGTGATAAGGATTTATGCATATGTTGTCTCCGCGACTGTCGTACGGATACCTGCATTCAGATATAGGGCGGACTTCATGGTGGGATTGGATGGAGGGCCATCGCCATACTCTGCAGTAGATAACATGGGGTAGACCTTTACGGTGAGATACCTGAAGTTTGAATTTAATTTTTGCAGCATTTGAATTTTTAAAGGAAATATTAAAAGGGCATTTTTTGATATGACTAGGCAGGATTAGACGGTCAAAAAGTAATGAGAAAAGAAGAGTATGTTTTTGATAGACTTTATGTGAATTTCAAAGTATTTTTAAGTAAAAAGGTTAGTATTTTCCTAAAATCGTAATGTAATAACGAGAAACCCTCACCTGGAGTCTTCCATCAAGAGATCGTGGTATGGTAACACATTTGCTTCTGACACCGGGATGGGACAAAGCGAATTCGAGGTCCTCGACCGTTCCGACCCCTGTTTTCTTCTTTCGCAGCTTCTTGACTAATGATTCGACCGCTTTGAAGGCCCATTTCTCTTCCTCATCGCCTAATTTCCAACCCAGCAATTTCTTTACTGCCGGGTCCAGCGTAGCGAATATATTCATTAGAGCTGGGAAGGAATCTGGCAGAGTTATTGTATGACTCGACCCTTCTTATCAGTAAAAGTCGCAATTCTGCCTTTTCAAAAAAGAGAGGGGTGGGGGGGGGGGGGTACCTTTGTCGCGCCCCAACTTGATGTGACTTTCCGATTGCGTCTTCCGAACAGAATCTAGCATTGACTTATGTTATTTACGGGTGTCGTTCGCCGCCAAATTTGTTTATTGCTACGCGGTAACCGAGTTTTGGTGGATCCAGATGTTTGAATGGTTATAGGATGTTGAGTATGTCATCGTATTGTTGAGTATTTTGAATAGTATTATGTTTGAAAGGGTAAATGTGAATGACGCAAAAGGGATTTACATTATACTTTATAGAAAAGTAGGTATTTAAAAAGACTTTTGTTATCACGAGGGATCTTATCGTCTTCCTGTTTCTATTTTTTACGTTTTTTAAAATATTCAAGAATTTCTAAATTAGATTTTTTAAAAGTTTTTAGTTGGATAAGTAATAAGTTACTTTATAAATCAACTTTTAGTGTTAGGACAGTATACCTTGCTCGACCTTTATTCACAATTTTCAAAATTACGACCTTTGAAGGCACTTTGCGAAAAGTTTGGTAATGTGGCTCCACTTCCGGAATGTCAATGGGATTCCATCGTTGTAGTTAGGGGAAACCTATTTCTGGTTTTTATGGTTTTAAAGGTCCTCGAGGTCAGAACCCGACTTTTGGGCCTGTCTTCGTGCACATCATTCTCTTTGTGTGTTTGGAGTCTCGTTAATTGTGAAGCGACACTTGCATGATACGGCCACCCCAACATTCCCCTTCGTAACTTGTTCTCCGCTTCATTTTCCAGATTTCTGTGTCCTCAACAAGAAGGTATCAGCGGATTACTCATGCCCCTCAGGCACTTTCAAACGTTTGACTTTTGTTTGATCGTGGCTTTAGTGTTTTATAACATAAGTGAACTCGAACAGCCGTTTCATATGCATATGGGTTAAACGAGTGTTTAATGAGCCTGTACGCGGTTTGTTTTGCCACTTGTTTGAAATTCTAAACATGGGTAGTAAATGCATGCATGGGCCTGGGCCAGGTGTCCTCGGGAGTGTTTAATTTGTGACAGATCGGTTTTATCAACGTCAATCCAGACAATTGTTCCTGTTTTTATCACGTCAGTGCGGGTTCACATTGTTTATCTGCTAATTGTATTTTTAGATCAGACGGACTAGCTGAATGACGGTGTTCCAGTCGAGGTGATGAGGACGACTATGCTGCACAGGAATGGCGATTCCAATCAACGAAGACCCCTACCACAATGTTCCTATTATATGGCCCAGCAGGGGTATGTTTTGATTTTAGTATTTGAGACATTCTTACCAATCTTTGAGTCTATATTGTTCTTTAGAAGACCTTGATCTGCCACCGGCCCCTACTTACCGGCCGCGAAGTCTCGATGATATTATAGTTAAGACTCGCTTCTCCAAACGCGAGATTCAGATGATATATCGTTCTTTTAAGCAGGTATGGTCTGGTTAACGTTTGCGATTTGTCTTTTCAAAAGTACTACAAGTTTTAGACTAGTTTTAGTGACGTGAGCACATCATACATATTAAACCAACTCAAGTATCTTTCAGCTTTGTCCATCTGGTATTATAACTAAAACAACATTTCAAGAAATTTATGCTCAATTCTTTCCACATGGTAATACGAAACGGTACTCGGATTTGGTGTTCCGGACACTCGATCGTGATAGCAATGGTCACATTACATTTGAAGTGGGTATTCTTATTATATATAATAATGTTATATGTGTTGTGTTTTTCGTATAGTAGCGTTTAAGATTATTAATTTTGTATTCTGTTTTACAGGTTTGTAAAACATTTTGGTCAAAAACTAGATAGAAACATTGAAAAGCGGCAAAATTTAATTTTTGAAAAAAGTTTTTTTACATTTTTTGACTAGTATCATAGTACTAAAAGCAGTATAACACTATACTCTCTTTTTATACTGTTTTAAATGGCATCTTGTCAGGAGTTTGTTATGGGTTTATCAGCGATGACACGGGGTTCGACGGAAGAGAAGCTGGAGTGGATCTTCTCTTTGTACGATGTTAATCAACGAGGTGTGATAGGCCAACAGGAACTGTCGCTTGTCACTCTGTCTATGTACGAGCTACTCAGTAAACAAATTCACACGACACCGAAACGTGAAGATATACGTGCACATGCACAACATGCATTTGAAGTGAGTTTTGGATATTAACCATGGTGTTAAGAAAGTAAATTGTAATTATTAAGGAAATAAGGCGTAAACAGTAATGTATGTTATTATGGCAACGCACGCAATTCTTTCTTTAAATGAACACTTATAATATAATAAATACAATTTTTTGAAATTAGCTTTTTGGATTACAGTCTTTGTAGTGTCTTCTGTCTCTAACGTTGCGCCAATAAAGTTATGTCAATGTAAAATATAGTTTGCCATAATTAATGTTAAGGCATGTTTTTATGAGGTCACATACTCTAATATGAAGGAGTGCATATGCGAGTAGAAGTGGTAACAACTCTAAATATCCCACATATAAACGCTGTTCTATTAATTAATATTAATTAAGAACCTTCAGAGACTTACCGGCAATGGTAACCGGCCCTTCATCTCGAGGTACGACTTTGTGCAGGCCTGCCTCCAGGACCCCGATCTCAGGTGTTCCATAGAATTGTTCGACACCAAACTCTAGTTATGCAAATAAATGTTTTGATTCGGTGGGGAAGTTAATCCAAACCCTCTATTAAGCATGTCCAGCTGTTTCTCAAAAAACAAAAAAGGACGGCCTTACCAGGAAGACGCTTAAGTGCGCGTTTGAGCAATCGAGGCTTCGAAATGGTGGCCGAAAGAGGGAACTAGTTCATTCCCTCACTCCTCGGCCCGGAAATTTTGAGGGAAACCCGAATTATCACTCCCACTACACGAACGCTGTCACAGTAAAAACGAAAGTGTTGATAAATAGGCCTCTCGCGACGCTCGACTATGTTAAACACGTTGTTTGACTCTTTATTGTTTTCTCCTCGCCAGGCTCATTTAAAATCCCATATTAGCAGGGTGCGATTCCGGCATCCGGATGTACAAGTCTTATATCTTTTAATCTTCTCCCCTGCCCACCCGGTTTGGCAGCGTTTGGGTTGTTGTCTAATAGAAAGTTGGGCCGATGCCTTCAGGGACAATAAAAATTAAGTCACTTGGCGTTTTTGTACTCCCAATTCCGACTGCTGGAGGTTATATTGTTATTAACCAGGGATGGGCAGCATATTCAACAACAATGGCTCTAGTATAGCTACTCTGGTATACACACAGTCTCCAGCAAACAATTTTAATTGTAGGCCTTGCAATGTAATCGAAGCCAAACAATGAGATTAGGAGGTGACGGGCTGTTGTGCTTTGCAATGTTTTGAGGCATTCAGATGTTGTTCTGAACCTTACTTTATTTTCATAAGCGAATAATCTCTCTAATTCCCCCCAACAGATGCTTTTCTTTCACGAGAACAGCCGAATTTCGTTTCTTTTACCTGAGCGATGCCATTCTGCACGACTTTAAATTGACAAAAATCGGGGCTGACAGTTCGGTTGAACTCTTCGGAGGGGAACGTTGCTCTACAGAACGTTGGCTACATTTTCGCAGATATCGGATCAGCTGTTCTTCATATCGGTTTACCATCTGTGTTGTTTTGGCTTCTGAAAGTAACCTTTTTCGAACCGATCACGTTCTTTTTCCGTTTTTATGAGCGTTACAGCGCTACTTTTGAAACTAAGTGTTGTTTATTAACTACCCGCGGCGAGTTCTTACATCTCGTATTCATTAAATTGTAGCCGTCGTGTCGAGTGTAATGTATTAATTGTACTCTTTTCGCAAGGTATGGCAAAACGCTGGATCGGGTGAAGCTACTGTACTCGAGAAAAGGGTCCTAATTTGGGTTGAATAGCTAGTTCATTTAAGGTGAAAGACGGACTGGCTGAATCGTCATCTAACTAGCCGGCTTCGACGAAACGGCGGGGGCCAGGCCAAGGGACCGCTGTACCCCGGGCCTGAATGGGTTGTTGAGCAAACGGCGTCCCGGCTGGCAATGCGGCGGAACCGGGAGAGAAACCGCGGTGAGTTTTTTTAACTATTTTCCTCATTTTTCTTGGCCTAAAAAAGACTAATTACGCGGTTTATGCCCCCCTGGGCCTTCGTTTTCAAAGGCAGGGGTGGAGATGGGGGTTGCGCATTTATGTTTTATCTTCCACGCCACTTGAGGGCCTCCCGAATCATACGCATACCTTCACTACGTAATGCATTTATAGTAACAACACACTTTTATGGGCTCGTTTACCGCCGCTTTACTGGCTAAATTACTAAAGTCCTCGTCAATCTGTGGCTTATTTCAAGGCTGGCATGACGTTCTTCTCTCGTAATCCATCTTAATTTCAGCAACAACGGTGTTTTGGTCCGCTTGTGATTGGCTGTGCTGCGCGTCCAACAATGGCCAACAACAACGCGCAGCCGACTCCGCCGACAACTTGGCCCGCAACCGAAGCCGGTCATCGTGCCATTCCGTGTACGAAGTGGTCAACGACACAAGTAAGCCCACCACCGCCTTCAATTTATTTAAAGATGCCAACACCACCATCGTCGACCCTGTAGTCCACACCACGGTAGAAAGTCGCTCGCCTACGCTCAGCTCCAAGAACAGTCGCAAGATCTCGCCAGTGATGCAGCCCCGGTTGGGGGTGGATCACGCCGTGCTAAGGCAGAAGTTCGATGCTATGGCCAACAATCGCAAACTCACAGTCCTGAGCACCACCCAGTCCGAGGACTTGGAGTTGTGTCGCACATATTTTGTGAATCGCAACGGAATCTCAGCGACGTCGCCGTCTTCACTGAAGTGCTCGAGTGCTGGTAGCTACGAGCTGAGGAAGACGTCGCAACCTTGTGATACTCGCAACAGTCGGCTTGTTCAGCACAAGTTCTCGTTGGTAGAACAACGGTCGAAGCCGCCGGTAGCACTATCTCCACGCGATACACAGTCACTACCTTCATCACGGTCCTTTTCTTCTCCCACTTATGGTCTCCAGAGTTACGTTAAGACTGAAAACAGCTGCCCCATGGAGCAGCTGGAGGAAGAAACAGTCGAGCCTGACACGGTCGATGTACTTCGTAAGTTCACTCGTTTGATTTAAGTGTTATTGCAAGCACAACAACGTGACTGGCATCTCAAGGTGTAGATGTTGAGGAGTTGACACCGGGTTTCGTTTCAGTATTGGTGGTTCAGGGCCTACTTTTTGTTTTATTTTTACAGGAAAAAGGTATAGAAGTCTATTTTTACTTAAATATGAACATAAAGAGTGGTTAAACTAGTAAGTTAGGCAGTCTGTAAGCGTAGTACAGTATGACGTCTTAATTATATAATAATGTACTCGATTTAAGTGATAAGATGCCCCGACTAAACCCCATACTTATCATTCGCTTCCTTCTCACTTCGACCCTAGAGCTCCGGAAACTTGTTTTTTATTCGTTTTACACTGCGTTTTATTGCCCGAGAGCTTCCGAAGTTGGCTTGAGGCGTATTTCAGCGTGTGAAAGGCTGGTAGTGTTTGAGGCCGCTTTGTCTGCGTATTATGGGAATTAAAGCCTTGAACCAAAAACATTGACACCGGCGATTCCGTTCCTTCCTTGCGACTCTGGTCCCCGGGGATGACCCGGGCCGTGCTTCCTTCTGTTGTCCCTATTATGCACAATCTTGTCGCTCGTTTCGGACGAAAATACTTTTACAATAAGACGAGTTCACTGTTTGATGATATGTTTTCGTTATGATCTGTCTTCCATCGTTAGCAGTTGCGACGCTCAAGATTACTTGGGTTGTTTACAGCGATCATATCCGCTGGGAGCTAGGTTTTATGGTTCTCGACGTGTCGTATGTGGTGGTAGGTCTGACGTTGGGGTAGGGCTTATTTGCATTCTCACTGGCTTCGGTTTTCATTTTGTTACCTAAATTCCGGCAACCTTTTGTGGCGGGCCAGGAGTGTTTGTGCCGCGGGCATTTTGCGAAATATTATTTTTAAGGATGAGGGAGTAATCAATTACTTGAGATTGAACCGGAAAGGGGGATCAATTCGGCCCTGAGGCCTTTGACGACTTTTTCCCTTCTTTTTCGCTTTCTTCCCCTCCGGCGCTTTGGGAAAGAATGGAAAGAGTTGTTTTCAAAAGTGACAGTATTTTGGGAGATTCTTATTTAAAAAACGAGAACTGATTAAAATGGAACTTTGGGTGACCTGTTTCAGGGTTCACCGAATCGCTCAAGGCGTGGAAGGGAGGGGGCAGGGCTTGATTGAATCATGTCGGATGATACATGTCTATAAACCGGCTAATTTGTTTGTATACATTAAGGCTTAGACTATTTGTTTGTAAGCGGTTTTCCAAGGCGAGGGGAGTCAGCTGGATATAATTTACCCGTCCGGCACAACAAGGGTTTGAATCTTCTTTATAGATTGTTCTAATACGTATCAGTTTGTTAGTAAAGTTATTTCTTGGGATATTTTGGGTATTTGTAAGTTATAAATAGTATTTGGTCTTTTATTTTGGGTTTTAATGCTGTTTAGTATTGGCAGTGTTTTTATTTTGGGGCAAGATGTCATTTTTCGATGCGTCTTTGGGATAAAGTCATCTTTAATCTTTCGTGAATTGAAATGTCGGAGACAAATCGAGAAAGGACATCTATGTCGAAAAGGACATTGTGTGACTTTCGAACAAAGCCGTTAACGCAATTGCGCTTAAATTGTTTTGGAAAATGTAATTAGAGGAAAGAACTATGTTTGCCCAAATATTTTCCAAGACAGGGGTTTCCTCGCTCACCACGCTCTCGATTCGATTCACACTTTCTGGCAAGCTTAAAAGATTTTCTTTGTCATTCGTCTTAAATTTCTCGTGGCGTTTTGATTTTACGCGACTTTAACTACAATAACATGCACAAACATTAAAGTAAGCGTCCAAGACAGTTAATGACTGACAAGAACAAAGATGCTCGTTTTGTCACCAACGTCTTTGTTGACAGTAGCTCAGCGTGTCCAGCCACGATCCTAGTCAACGGCACGGCATCCGACATGGAAGACAGTCTTCCTACTGGCATCACGCGACGGAAGGTGTCGCTGATGCCCACTGTGACAGAGGAAGACCTTCGTCGTTCCGGGCTAGGCCAGCGTGATCCGATCTCGGTGGCTCAGGTGTTCGGAGAAGACTTCGCGTCAAGGTTTTGTGTCCCAGTCTGTATCACTCTTAACTCTCCATCGCCTCCACCGTACGATTCGAAGGAGAAGATGTTGATTAAAGAATCCAAGCCCAAGTTGCCATTTGGGAAGAGGGACGAGCGTATTCCAAGGTAGTCGAAAAGGCGGTCTATTTATATTGTTATAGAGGGGTTCCGGCGTTGAAGGTGCGGGTAAAGAAGTCGATGAACACATCGTTCTCGTTCGAGGATGTCTCTGTTCCTCTGCCAGTCTCTTCTCAGAAGTTTATGTTTTGTGAAGGGACAGCCCATATTGTAAAGAAGATTCCGTCCAGTAAGTTGTGCTTGTAATAACTAGATATTTGAGTTTATATTTGATTTGAATTAATATTTTAAACTTATTGATCTAAAGTACTATAAACTTCAGGTCTTGCGTCAGAAAACTATGACTTCCAACAGTTTCAGCTGGTATTCAACGATTGGGTAAGTTAATATGCAAATTTGAGACAATTTCGTAGATAAAACAAGAGACTGGATGTCGAGGATCAGCCTTTATAATCAACTCCAGCGAATACGACTGCAGCGTATGTCATGTAAGTAACATAGAGAGTCATTAGAATTACTTTATTTTTTATTTTTAAGTTGAGAATATTATTATTATTATTAATATTATTATTTAGTAGTTTCTTTAATATATTATTGTAAAAGCTCTACTGTTTATATTCCATCTTCATAAATATTAATTTAAAAATAAAAAACAAACATTAATCATGTGAACTTCAGGTGAGCGGTTCAGAAGTCTTGGACGAGCCGATTTCTTGTGTGAGTTTAACTGTTTACAGTAATTTTGTTATTGTTGTTTCCACCTGATTACTGAGCTGTAAACCTTTTCTCAGAATTACCATTAACAATTTAAGGGGGACACGGGCAAGTTCACTGAAGCGTTAGGCTTCTTGACAAGTGCTACAGCTGTCGATGAGCCGCTACAAGACCACGATCACACTCCAAGCACATCCAGAGTGATCGGTCCAGTAATGATTGACATACGAGAGTTCAACGAGGTGTGTTAACATTAATTTACTTTAAATAGCGTTAAAAACTTAATTACGTTCACGACGAACGCAAGCAAACTCAACACGAGGCCGTGTTTGTTTTCGATAGCTTATCAGGTTATTTTGATTTCAGACCATGTCCGAGCCCTTGTGGCGGATCGTCAACTCGATCGCTAGCCAGTCCTCGGCCCAAGAGACCGGTGTCCCAGCTGCCTCAGTCTGTGGTGTGATGACGGGTTGCGGCTTTCTGACAGCGCTTCTTATTGTACACCAGTCGGAAAGGTAAGCCTTGTGTAACATATTTCGACAACTCTGTTTTGTAACCATTTATCTGTTGTTATTTTTAACTGATAACGCTTGTTTTCGAGCACTTATATTTACAGTAAACGTGGCGAGGAGTTGAAAGGGCTTCTCAATCACTTTGGTATGATCGCATCGCTCACGTCGGTCGCGTGGAACGTTGAGGAACAACGCCGGATCGCCCACCAATCTGAGGTGGTTCTGTCAACTACTCAGAGTGTCTTTGCCAGTATACGTAAGTCTAAATATAAAGTTAACTACAGATGTAAAGGGTAAAGTATCTTTTACAAGGCATAGTTGGTTTAATAATATCTTTTGGTAACAACAAGACTAGTGGTACTTTTCGTACCAATAAGATTGGCAGTCGAGTCCTCTCGAAGACGTGTCTGTTTCTCTGTTGTTGTACAAGGCCGTTTGTTTAGTTATGTGGAGCCACGTGTTCTCCTTCTCCTCTATTATTGTTCTGAGTAAATATTGGTTTAGATTCGTTTAGGAGCTGACCAGGGTTTTGGTTTTAACGTCACGGTAAAGGGCGATTTGGACAGGATTAGTTAAATGGATTAGCCGCGGAAAGCTTCTTATTCAATATTATTGTTTAATTGTTTTCGGCATGCGACCGAATCTCGATACTGTTTTTGTTTTCTTAGTTGCGCAACTCGATTACGACCTTTAAGGGCGCGTTTTAACATAACAATAGACTCTACTAGTTGTTAAAGTTCAATTTTTCAAGATCTCGCCATTGTAACAGAAGCGACGCTCGCTTAGAATATTTTTGAATCCTAAAATACGGACGACAGAACTAATAGAAGGCCCTGATTTATATGTGTTTCTTCGCGAATTCAAGATTTATATGTGCCTAACGTAGCGTGAGAACTTTTCGACTTTGGTTAGGTATAATACGAAGTCCCACTCCTACACAAGAGGTCAGTCGAACATGACAATCAGGTTTATGTTTTCACGTTGGCTCTGTTAATCATGATGTTATAAGTGGGAAAGAAGACGACAAAAACAAGTAACATCCTTTACTTAATGTAGATTTAAACAGAATGATGTGAGGAGGAAGGGGGGGGAGAGTTTTTTGTGTAGAACTGGGAGGGCCATGCCCTGGGGGGGGGGACGAAGCGAAGGAAAGCGTCTGGCTGTGCCGCTAAGCATTTGAAAGAGGCCTTCTTGTGAGCCTCGCACACCGTCTCTTAGGCCTCACTCACACCTTTTGGGGCCGTGAGAGTGAGAGTAGAGCGTCGTTCTGTGTCGGAGGTGTTATGCCGATGCTCTACTTTTGTTTTCGTCTTTAATTTGGTCGTTTCGTTTTGACCCGATCTTGACGTGCAACAACCCCAGTTGACGTCCCATTTATTCCTCTCTACTTGCTCTAGTTCTAAACTGGCACAGCAAACTTGTCAACGTGCTCGTCCGTTCTGGATGGACTCGAACGCCCACGACGACGTCGCTCCGTCCAGCTCCAAGTCATGTTCCGGTGACGATGAGTCAGACGAGCCCCGAGCCAAGTCCAGGCGCACTGACGCCACGGCGGTTGGTGAGATACCGCGCCAAGAACGTCACACCGTCCTGCTAAGCGCAATGGTTGCTCCGTCGCGATCACAATGTTCATCGCCAGTACGAAGGATGCTGGCCGACAGACAGACTTCAGGCTTCCAGCCTTCGTTCGCGACAGATGAGAATGGGGACTTGATTGCCAATATAGAAAGTAAAACAACTTCTTAATTGGGATTTAATTAGTCCACCTTAGTCACTTAATTTTGTTTTTTCAGAAGACATGAATCTGCTTGTGAGTAACATCACCAAAGAAGCCAAAATGTTGGTTTCAGCTGAAATGTGAGTTTGTTTTTTTGGAAAACGGCTTTCTCTTTATTTCAGCTGCTCGCTGTTCCTTCTCGACTCCGAGCATGATGAATTGGTAGCCGAAGTGTTCGAACAGAAGGGCAACTCCGACGAATACCTACAGGAAATCCGAATGCCATTGAATCAAGGCATCGTGGGTCACGTGGCAACCACCGGGGAGCTGATGAACGTGAAGGACGTGTACAAGTAAGTCAGAGAGCAAGAGTACAACATGCTTTCAGTCATCCCTACTTCTACCCCAATGTGGACCAGAAGACCGGCTTCAAGACCCGCAACATTCTCTGCTTCCCCATCAAGGACAGTGGTGGCAACTTGGTTGGAGTTGCCGAGTTGTGCAACAAAATCGACAAGCCGGCCTTTACTTTGCACGACGAACAAGTGGCCATGACTTTCGCCGTGTACTGTGCCATTAGTATCTCTCATGTAAGTCTGATACTCAAATTGTTATTTGTCGCACAATTCGGGATCTCTGAGTATTTACAAGTAACTCGTGCTAATTGTAGTGTTTGTTGTACCGTAAACTGCAAGAAGCTCACCGACGATCTCATATGGCGGCCGAACTCCTGGTTCAAGGCTCGACCCTCTCCATAGCACCTGAGGATATCTTGAGGTTGACAGTACGAGAAATACCGTCCCCCGAGTCTTTCCACCCCCAATTCAGCAATCTCTGTTTTGTACCTCGTTCTATTGGTACTGGGGACACGTACGTCGAGGCAGCCCTCAGCATGTTCCAAGTGAGTAAAGCGTCTTAATGAAGCATTACTTGACAACATAATAACAAATAACTGAAAAATATGTTTTCAGGAACTCGGCTTCATCGAGAAGTACCGTCTACGCAGAAGGACGTTGGCTCGCTTCTTGCTGATGGTACAGAAGGGGTATCGAGACGTGCCCTACCACAACTGGAGCCATGCCTTCGCTGTGGCCCACTTCTGTTATTTGTTATGTCGCATCAACAAAGTGAAGGAGTCTCTCAGCGATTTGGAAAGACTGTCGCTTCTTGTAGCCTGTTTGTGTCATGATATCGACCATCGTGGCACAACCAACGCCTTCCAACTACAATCGGTAAGTGTTTGTCGGGTTTACTAATTACAAACTTATACTTGACACTATATTTTGGCCCCAATTCAAATTGTAGCTTCAAACATAATAGGTATGAGAGTAACTTGTTACAGAAGACCCCGCTTGCCCAGCTCTACAGTAGCGAAGGCTCTGTCTTGGAGCGACATCATTTTGCTCAAACCGTCACGATACTGGGTATGGATGAGTGCAACATCTTTGAGACGCTGACACGACAACAATACCAAACAGTGCTAGATAACATACGAGAAGTCATTTTAGCGACAGACATAGCCGCTCATCTGAGGAAGGTAGAAAGGATACGAAGCATGGTGAATGTGGGATACGACGAGAGCTCCAGCGATCACCATTACCTATTCATGTGTCTTCTGATGACGGCTAGCGACCTCTCCGACCAGTCCAAGGACTTTAGGAATTCGAAAGCAATCGCGGTAAGCTGAGTCACCGTGTCATTGTTATGGTAATACACCAAGGTTAATATGATAATATGCAGATTCACACAAATTATTGTTTTCCCGTAACACCTAATGGTAAATAACAATACCATACATAATTGATGATGCGTGTTTTGTATATCGAAATACTATAACGTCTTGTTTATAGTATTTCAGTTACTCTGTGTGTCATTCGGAGGAAATGACATACGTAAACGGACATAACACATTGTTATTACGTCTTTTGTAAGACGATACCATGCCTAATGATGCCTTTTTGTAGGAGAACATCTACAAAGAATTTTTCTCCCAAGGCGATCTCGAGAAGCAAATGGGAAATCGACCGCTGGAGATGATGGACCGGGAGCGAGCTTGTGTCCCCAAGATTCAGCTCGACTTCATGGACACGGTAGCGCTACCTGTCTTTGAGTAAGTTGGAAGACACACAACAGAAAAATAAATTTATAATCAATGGCAATGACTAAAAAGACTTATTTTGATCATGACTAACCTAGAAATGACAAAGTACTTTCAGATATCTCGGAAAACTACTACCTGAAACCATGATCACGTATGACTCCTTTAAACACAACCGGTCTTGTTGGGCCGTTCTAGAAGAGCTACTACAAGAAGAAGGCGTTCCTCAAGAAGGCCTCAACTACTTGAAGAACGACGAACTCGAGCAAAAGGTACTAGAAAGGGTACCATCTCCAGATGCCTGTAACCCGCCCAAAAGTTAACAGTCACGACTTTAGACATATGGTCGAAAGTAGAGTCGATCATACCTTAACAACACGGTCATAATAACAAAACGTCGATAAAGGACACACAATGTCGCTGAATCCACGACGGCCTTTCGCCTTCACCTACTACAACATCTCAACTACCGGTTGATGGTACTGCACCGTCCGAAGGCCGACCAAGGGCCCCAAACGCTCAATATGTAAATTTCTCACATTCCTTCCGACTTCTTATCATATCAGCTCGGACTGATTGCGGTTTCATGCCTTTCTGGCTTTATTCCCTACGGGTTCAATCTGTTTCTCTCTCCTTTCTCAAGATATTTATATTAGTCAGGAATTCCGTCTGTTACGTTGGCACTCGACTGTTACTATAATACTACTACTAATTCTCTTGTTTTCTTGTTCCGGACACATCTCTTCAATTCCCTGGTGGTTATTAATCCCGTTTATACGATCATTCCCCTCATTCCATCTAGAGAAAGCTTTATGTATCCTCTGTAAATATTTCCTTTCTCCTCAAACATTGATATATCATAGCACTTGAAATGAAAATCTTAGACAAACTCGGTGTTGATATAAATAAAAACCTGAATGAACGGAGGCTTTTGAAACATTATAGGATATTACACTTGATATTACTAACAACAACAATACTGTATTCAAGTCTCGTACAGTGATTACGTCTGTATTTACAACTCTGTATCCGTAATGCCCGAAACCACAAATTTAGTGGCCAAATGTTTCGACTGGCTCAAGCGCCGTGGCGACAAACAAAAAGAAAAGAGGTAATTACAGTTACACATTACTTAATAACCAGGTTACAAGTTAATGAAGACATTCCCGATGTGCTCTGTAATGAACAACAACTTGCATTACGTAAGCGGAAGAAGGGATACACGCGGCCGAACGTGCAAGTAAGTTGGTATAACGTCATTACCATGATTGCAGAAGAGATACGAAAAGGAATGGACCCAAGAGGAACAGCGAACTATACAACAACTCACTCTGCTTCTGGAGACGCCACGGAGATCGTACCACCGTGACCCGGCTGCTACACATTCTGTAGAAGTAAAACCTGTAGTTCAGAAGAAGGAGAAGAACGGCAATACCCATAGTTCACATCAGCCAGAAGTTGTCCCCAAAAAGATAAACAAGAACACTGTTATTATCACAAAAAACAGGAAAAACAATAAGAAAAACGACAAAAATAAACGCAAAACGTAATTCGAGCGATGAAATAGGTATGCAACTGCAAGAATTGTGATAAAATCAACAAGTTTTTAGGTACAGTTGAAAGTTAATTTATTGTTTAATTGAGCTCGATTATAAGATAAAAGAGTACCTCGTTTTGCATCTGATCCTGAGTTCATTAGAGTTGCTTCTTCTGGGCCCCCACCGTGTAGAAGCCGTCGAAGAAGGCCAAGAGAACGAAGAAAGCGATTGTGATACAACAGAAAATAAATAACAACACACGATCGATCACGTTGGCCAAATACTCCCATTCAAGCGCGCATCTGAAGTCAAAAATAATAAACCTTAAACTAATATTGTCATAATAATAAAACTAATATTGTTATAAAAAACAGAAAATAATGGACGAATAAAAACCGGCCAATAAAACGTTTTTTAATTTTTCGTCGATATTTTCGATTCGCAGGCTGCGGAACCAAATTATACGAAGTAAAATTTCGCAAACCTCAAATCGCAAAAATAAATTACAAATCTTTTGTTTTCGAAAATTTAAAAACTTTTAACTCACCGCCTCATCATTTTCTTCTTCTTCTCGATTCTGGAGTTATTCAATTCGGCTTCTGTCGTGCCGTAAGTCAAGAAATCGGCCGCATTTCTCAACGTTTCCCGCCGTTTTCTTTCTCTCCGTTCTCGCAACCGTACTTGATCTGCGAACTGCTTTGTTACGGAATGTAAACGACGTTCATATCGGTATGCACTTTGGGCACTGACTTGCGATGAGATCGACGAGAAAAAGTTTAATGGACTCGCATACTGAAATGGTCGATATTGCTTTAGGTCAAAAGTAAGTAATTCAGACTATATTGAAGAAAAAAAGAAAATGAAATTATTCTTACTTCACGTATATGTGCTTTTTTAATATTGACAAATCATAAACTTACTTTGTTTGGGCCGAATTTCTCGAGTACGAGAGGATCCAGCTCTCGAGGGTCCATCCTCATTTCGTGCAGAATCCCGAACTCAGTCCAGATCTCGAGTAACTGAGTTGGAGGTTCGAGTATGATTCTCCAAATGATCTGTCGTGTTATTACTTTTCGAATTATGGGAGGTACTGGCTTCAGGTGCACTTTACGGCTATGTACAAACAGCACCATTGTGGCCAAAAGAGTACCAACAACGATAACGAATATGATCCCCATATAGTACCAGCCCATTAAGGGAACATACGTAGATGTACTGGGCATTTTGTTGCTTATCATTAACAACATAATGGCCATGGTCAATAACTGAATATAATTTTTTTTTATTTTTTCATTAGTTTTGCTTTCAATTTTTTAGTTTTGTGATTTGGATATCAATCTTTCCAATAATACAGTTCTTAAGCTTCCAGAGATCTGAATACACGTCTAAACACATGACAGAATACTTACAGTGTTAATACCGAGATATAGTTTCTCGTCTCTTTCACTGCTCGTGGATGACGGTGTGAAGAAGCCAGTCACGGCGACGACCGTGATAATCGAAGTCGGCACCACCAGATTAATAATGTAGTAGAGGGGCTTCCGTTGAATCACCAGATGTGCATAAATCATAATCCACGGCTTTTCACAGCACTTAAAGTACTGTTCGACCCTGTTGAAGGTGAAGCTCACGACAGCCCACTCCACGTTCTGAGCAAAGTTTTTCATGTTGACATCCTCGGTCTTGGGGTAATAGTCGAGTGTGCTGGAATCGTGGGTCCACGATGATATGATGAAGGTGCAATTTTGTTGATCGTACGGGAAGAAGCGACTGAAATAGGTATCAGTTCACTTCAAGACATTATCTTACATGATTTTGTATAATTGTAAACTTTATAGGGCAGTCGCGTTTTAAGGATAAGGTCTTTGTATCACATTTTCTATTTATGTATCCTCATTTCACATGATAAACAACATCGTCATACTTACACATTCATCCTACAGCTGAGCTTGTAAATGGCAGGAAACATGAGCTGTACATATGCACCTCGACTATCGTTGCGCCAGTATCCGGTCTCGACAATCCCATTCATCAAGGCTTCCGTCCGCTTCTGTTCCATGGATTCTGAATTGTAGAGGTAGGTGTCGGGTACCCAGATCTCGTCATACGGTAAGATGGTTTTGTTTATTCCTTCGTAATCGTGGGGATCCCAGTCTAAAAACTGGTCATACCTGTAATTAATAACAAATTCTCTGAGTCACAACAATCGCTGACCTTGTGAGGTTTTTCAAAACATTCAGTGCTAGTGATGTAGGTACTAAATTCTTTGGTATTTTAACGTATTAAAACAAAAAATAAGCACACTGTCAAAAATAAAAGGAGTAATTTACATTTGTTATTCGCCATAGTTTGCGTAACCTTATGATAACAATAAATTCGCAAAAAATAAATTAAAATTGTCAACAAAACCTTACCAATCCTGCACCATCCAAACGTTCACGGTGAGACTCTGTGACCGTTCGTCGACTTGTAGAATCTGATACAGACTCATACTCATGTTAACTCTGACCGGCTGTCTGAAGTCAAGCGACGGATGCACAGTGTTTTCGTAGAAGTCGGGGTCCAGAAGGTCCTCGACCAGTCGACGATGGGCCGAGACCTGCTCGTAGTCGTCCCAGTCGTACTCGTCGGTGTCGTTCACAAACTCGTCCGGGAACAAGGTCGAGAGCTTCCCCTGGAAGGCGAGTTGTCGCTTCTTGGGGTCGTCGATGGAGGCCGTGGGCGGTTGTTCGCTCTCCAACGCCCGAATCCCCCATCCTACAGACGAGCTGGAGAGGACGGACATGCTCCCAAGCTTGCTGAACTCCTCGGTCTCCTTGGCTAGCGACACCCATTCCAGGAATGCCAAAAGGATGAGGAGGGGGTTCATTTTAAGTGAATCAAGCCATGAGAACGAGAGGCTGAAAGTTGTAACAAACTTAACAAGGATAATATACTAATTTCGAAGTTACAAATATGTGATGACAACGAATTCGTAAAAACTCAAGCTAATCGTATGTAAAGGGTATCGCAGACAAAAACTTATTATGATGGCTAACATTCCGAATATATTGATCTTTAGGGTCTACATGCCAAAACAAAGTCACATGACAGACGACTTGGCATGGTGGTTATCACGATAAAGAGTAAACATAAGGTCGCAGCTCAAGGTGAGGGGAAGGTGGCCAAGGTTGAGTGGCCATAAACGGTGGGAAGCAAAAAAGGCCTGAGGGCCGAGAGTCTCGAGGCGGGAGAAGAAAGCTTTCTGCCCAGATTGGTCTCGCAGGCAAAGAAGTATATGCGATTGGAGGAACTAAAGAAAGGCCACCAAGACAAAGCGAGTCTTCCTCGCCGTCCCCTCCAGGGTCGCCCCTACCTGAACTTGCGACACTTTGTCCCCCACCTGTCCCAAAAACAAGTTCTGTTTACCAAAAATAAATTTGTATTGAAATGCACATCTCACTCAATAATGCCTTTTGTTTAAATGCTCGGATGCCCCTACCCGAGGGCACGTCCCAACATCACGCTCTGATGACCTTTCATCAATTTACTGTTTATTAATCATAGTTTAAGCGGCCCAGAACCCGCCCAACGCGTCAAACTTCCAAATTTTAAGTTATGAACGGTGTATAAGGTAGAAAAGCCCTGATTTACTGTGTAACATAAGTAGTCTATGTTGTGCTACGTGTAAAATACGCAACTTGACTAATAACAGTGCTATACCTAATATGACTAACTATAGTTACTAGAGTTTGCAGTGGCATAATAAGTAAAAAATAGTGTCTGATACACATGTTATGCCCTGGTAGCCCCACTGATACGAGAGTTATGTCCTCCGGGTATAACTAACCATTTTTTAAAAACAAATTCTCTTTTATTAAATCTGGGTTGTTGTCAGTCTTAATCGTCGTTCAAATCCTCGGGATTGAAGCCGGTTTCGTCGACCAGCTCTTGAACCACGTCCTTGGCCATGCACTTGGCCAAGTCTGCTCGAGGCGCGGCTTCTAATTGTTCCGGATATCGCCACGGCTTCTGAAGCGGTTTGTTGTGTCGCTTCCAAGATTCATAGTTGACACAGGCCTTGTGTAGCTTCTTCAGCACTTTCGGCGCTATTATTTTTGTTATGTGATTTATCAACCAGCTCGGCAGTTTGCCTACAATAACATAATAGAAAGCGTGTCATTTCAACAGTTTTTAATATTACGATAGAATTTTTAAACTAATTTTACCTTTAGGGTCAGAATGGGTAAGGTAAGTGACTTCACAAGAGTTGTCATCAATAACTTTGATGTAATAAACTGTCAGATAGATAAAGCCTCTGATAAAGGTTTTGCTGGGGGGGATAATCCTAAACAATATTGCAATGATTTTAAAAATAACTTTTTGCCATTTAATGTAAACAACTATAGTTTTAGTGTTTGTTAATTAGCGTTAACTAAGCCAATATTTCTGGAAATTCAATCTTCTCAAGCCTTAATGACAAGAAATGTCACAAAACGAGTGAATAACAACACCAAATTCCACGAATAATATCGGAACCTACATTTGCCTTCAGGGAATATCCAAATTAACGTCACTTACATCGTGCCAAACAGATCTCGTACAAATGAACTTCTGGTTCCCCGTATCCAGCCACGATCGCTGCATCACAAAGTCTCGACTTTTGATCGGCCGTACGGAGGCTACTGAAACAGAGGCAAAAATTACACGTAAAACTAAAAAATTAGCAAAAGAGATAAATCGTACAAACTTTTAGAAAGCCATTTGTAAGCTTTAAAATTTAAAAACATACGAGCATAGTAACATAGATCGTTGTTCGTGTTCAAGATACCAATGTCTTCACTCTTCACCATGTACTTGTCCCACGTTGACCTGTAGTCTGGATCGTGTAGCACATCGTACACTACTTCAGCGGATACGTTGAGAACAGCTTTGGTCTAAAAATTAAAATTTAAAAAAGAATGACTCTATGATGCCCTCGATAAATAAATACATTACATGTAACATTGTGACTAAAGGTTGTAGTTAATTTATTAGAAAAAAACTTTTACTATGCTTAGATAAACGTGAAATGCCATTCCTAAGTTATTAAACCACTAAGAGATAATACTACTTTTAAATATTTTACTTTGATCATTTTAAAGGTAGATTCTGGCATTTCTTGAGTCCACACTTCTGTCTGCTTCTTCTTGTACACCAGACTCCATTTCTCTGTATCTTCCACAAGATGTCGTGCTTGTTCGTAATCTTCATCCTTTAATATCTTCACTTCGAAGCCTTTAAGCGGACCTGAATTTCTTACCAAATAATTTTTAAAAATTGATAACATCATGTTGCCTTAAAATCAGTTTCCCGAAAATAAAAAAAATGTTCAAGATATTTAAATATACAATACATTTTTACTATTCATAATATATACTTACTTACTTTCTGTCATTTGCCTCTAGTCCAATATCAAGAATGCTGAAATATAAATACAATTACGTTAAACAAACGAACAGAATGACAGGACATAGTCGTATGTCCGCATAAAAGAGAGGATTATATGTTGGGGAGAGAAAAGCATTTTGTTAGATCAAAATATTTAAATTAGCTTTTCGAATATCAAAAACTTCTGACTAATCTCCCAATCATCTGTTTTTATTAACTTTGGCTGTCGTGTGTATAACAACGTGTGACGTGTAAATAATGATCTATATAATATATATTAAAGCAGAGAATCAAATAAAGCTTTTCATATAATAAAACTAATTAAATAAGACTCGTAATACAATCAATTGCACTTATTGACAGTTATAGACCCAACAAACAGAAATGTCATCTACTTTAATATCCCCAACATCCCCATCTAGAATATATAAGTACGCACTTGTTACATTACTCAAGATAGTAAAGCCGTTATCACTGAAATGATATCTAATATCTGATGTCAACAACCTTGGCTTCAAATCCAACCAAACATAAGGTACAACATCTCTGGAGAGTAACTTCAACTTGTAAGTCGAATGTTCTACTCTTACAACGTCAGTAACCGTAACATTTACATCCCTAACAAGATATTCAGATAGGTAATCAGGTGACAAAACATTGGAAGTTACAAGTTTGTCATAACTAAACAATGACGCCTTCAAGAAAAGATCAGACAAATCAGGGGAATACGATTGTGTTCGTATCTTTCGAGATGATAAGGCAGCTACATCGAGTTTGTTCTCTGATAACAACCTTTTCTTGAACTCTGTGTTCAATTGGAATGCCTCGATTGTTAGTTTTGCGTTGGTTAAGGGCACGGCAAGGTCGTTCACAACAAAAACTTGTAGATTTCCGTGTTCGTCGAGATGCTACAAGAATGATAAGCTTGAAAAGTTATATACAACAACAAGGCATTACATTTCATAATTACATTTCTCATAAACAAAGAATAGATTAAAGCACAACAACATACCATGCTCACTAACACGTCTCTGAAGGCCTTTTTGACATAGTAATGAGCCACTTTCCATCTCTGGTCAAAGTCTATCGTGCTCCAAGTGATGCCGCTCCAGACATCGTTCAACTGCCAATATAATGCACACATTGTATGTCCTTTCCCATCCTCAGTCAACACACTCCTGTAACTACGGTAATGCTCAATCTGGGTCTGTAAAGCGATCGCTTGATGTATCTGTGTCAAATACGAGAAAGATCCCAAGGATTCTGTATCCTGAATCGAAAAGTGCTTCATAACCATCAACGGTAATGTAAAGACTCCAAACATATGGTGATTACGGGCCAACATTGCCTTGCTGAAGTACTTGTATTCAGAAGCATTCACGTATTTCTTCATCGTCGAAGACAACGGGAACGATGGAACGCCGAATTCTGTAGCACATCGTGGAGTTTGGAGATTAAAAGTCTTATAAAGATTGATGAACTCGTTGTAGTAGTGAATATCACCAAACAACTCATCATTAGGGTTTTTATCAACCTCCCTGAAACAATTTTTTGTAAATTTTAAAAAGTTCCTGATTATCGATCAATTGTGACATTCCGCTCGAAATAAAAACAAAATTTTGTTAGCGGAAGTAAAAAAATAAAAATATAAAAAAGTAACTAATGTAAATAATTATATAAGTTCGTACATTTCTGCTCCGCCATTCGATGGGCTTGATCTCAATATGACGCCAGATGGATAATATCGTTTGACTGTCTCCAAGACAGGTTTCATCAAATTCAGGTAATCTTGGATTTGTTTCGTCTGGTTATACTTTTCTGATGGCCACCATTGTTGTCTTATAGCTGCTTCTAACTCATTGTTACCAGAAAAGCTTAATAAAGAAGCGTGTGGTCTAAGTCTTAATACCTAAAAGTTAGTTTTATGTTATCTATGGTAATAAATCAATAATTTGATTGAATATGGACAAAGCTGGCTTTTTACTTTGTTGTAGGAAAATTAAATAAACTTATCTTTAAAAAAACTTACTTGCTCTTTGATTTCTTTTTTTACATTGTCTAGAAACTCTTTGTTTGTAGGATACAAAGCGCAGGCAAATGTCAGATCGTGGAATATCAGGATACCCATTTCGTCGGCCGCTTCAATAAACTTGTCTCGAAGCCATTCACCTCCACCCCAAACTCTCAAAGTGTTCATGTTGGCTTCTACAATCGAATGCATCAAGAAGTTGAGCTGTTTCTCTTTGAATTTCGACGGAAAGACAGAAGCCGGGATGAAGTTGGCACCTAAAATAAGGTCGATTGTAAGTTGGTACTGCTGTTATATTTAGGTTTCTCTTTTTTATAGTTGTATTTAGTGGTAGTATTGTTAAGTTTTTTGTTGGACAATATTAATCTGTTATCGATATTACCTTTCAAGAACACTGGAATGTCGTTGACGTAGTAAGCAAAGTTGTTTCCCGTCGTTATGTTATCTTTATTCACTAAACTTTGATCTAACAGGACTTTTTTGAAGCCTATTTTCTTGGTTAAACTCTCTTTTTTGTTTCCATTTGTTGTCTTTAATGTTATGTTATACATGGTTTGGCTGCCGTATCCTCGTGGGTACCACAATTTAATATTGTTAGTTGGTACAATATGTTCTGGTATAGTCAGCTGTTGGGCAAACGCAGTGCATTTTGGGTTTGAATAATGTTTCTTCCGGTATTTTATCTCTGGTATCTCTACCTTGAAGTATATGTTCAGCTCGGAGTCCGGTTTACAGTAGTAATAAACTGTTATTGTCATCCAGAAGCCTGTAAAAGAAACTTACATTACAGAAAAAGAAGTTGAGAGATCTTCTATTTATATTGTTTTAGTATTATTGTTTTTTTACTTACTGTTGTTACTGTAGTAGACATACGGAGAGAATTGTGTTAGTTTAAAGTGGTCAAAGGAATGTAAATATACAGGTTGGTAGATGCCTACTGTGGGAAATGACGGTCCCCAGTCCCAGCTGAAGCTAGACTGGGTTTTTCGAATGAAATTGAAATGGGACTCTCCTTTTTGGACCTTTGGGGCTTCTACGGGTGGTACTTCATCCCCTGTTATGTTCTGAAAGTTGGTAGCATTAGCTTGTTTACTAATTCAACGTTTTTAAATTGTGAAACTTAATCTTTGGACTTACAAGGAAAGTGCCCGACCTGCCCCGCTCTGATTGACTTCAAACTTTTTATATAGAAAGATCATTTAAATATAAGATCTTCAGCAAAGTACTAAATCGCGCTTTCCAGGAAATCTCGAGAAAATCGAGATTGAAAAATGGCATTTTGAATTTCCCGCCAACTTGGCATTGTGTTTCAAGCTTGTAACTTTGTCATTTTTTGACTGTTAATTATTTTTCTTTAATATACTAGTAGATAACCTTTAAAAAAACCTACATTTTTAAATTTGTAAGCGTATCTCGTCTGGAAAGCTGAAAAAAGTGCTTGAAACACAATGCCAAATTTGCCAAATAGGCGGGAAACCCAAATAATTTAAATTTAAAACTCAAGAGCGCGAGCTAAAATTTTTTATGGGTACTATTGGTGGTACAAAGAATTCATATAAAAATTTTGAGCTGATTCTGAGCGGGGCAGGTAGGGAACTTTCCTTGTTAATTTACTTTTGACTTTATTTGATTTACCTAACATAGTTGTTATTATGTTTCTGCACTTTATATTGACTCTGTTACCTTGTATTCCTGAAACTGGGTTTCAGCGTAATTAACTGGCGACTCGATGTTAACTACGACTTCGTTGTTTTCTCTCAATATTGTGTTGTTGACGATGAAAGCGAACGTTCGGAACATATTGTTTGTGTTTCCGACGAATTCCTGATTTACAGTGACAGAAGCGATCGTGTCTACTCCTTTGAATTCGATCACCTTCACCTTCTATAAATAAACAGTGATTGTTACTCTTCAAGGTGAACTTGTGCTCTTACTGCAATTATTTTAAGTTTCCTTTAAATTATTTTTAATTTGTATTTACTCTCATATTCAACTACTTCTACTCGCAAAGCTGCCCTTACATTCATCTCTTCAGTGGTGAGATTGAAGACGGTGAAGAACGACCAAGGAGCCCTTCCGATCCATTTCAAATACTCATCGTTCGACCCAAAATATGGGTCAGGGATAAAGTTATTGTCGTGGAGAGCCGTGTAAATATCGTTGGGGATAGGGGTCTCACCCATTAACACATGGTTGGCATAGTACCACTTTAGGCGGGTCAAGTCTAGAGTAGTACAGTTCAAAGTTGTAAACCAGAGAAAGAGAACGAACAAATAGGAAACCATCGATCAAATTGATATCAAACTGACCTTTTGGTTCTAAACAAACGCTCTGATATTTATTAAAGTAATGCGACGCCTTGTCAAAAGGCAGAATAATATATTTACAACAAATAATTAATCGATCAACAGCTTATTCGGCCTTCTCCTTCAGAAGTTTCTCGATGAAGGGCTGCACCACCTCACCGTGGGACCAGGCGGTGGGATGGAAGCGGTAGCGGGGACGGCCCTGACGGTCGATTAGGAATTTCTCGAAGTTCCAGGTGACGTCATTCATTCTGATGGGGTTGTAGATGAGTTCGTCTCTCTTTCCGATCTGCACCACGGTTTGAGGACAAGTATCTTTCAAGAACTCGTACAGAGGATGGTGGTTGGCTCCGTTTACCTCGACTTTGCCATAAATATGAAGGTTTCTGTGTGGCTTCCAGCCGTTTCCTGGTCGGACATGAATGATTCCTACAATATCAAAAAGTAAAATGTCGTTACCATTTTATGATAACATAAACATTTCAAAATAAAATTACAGTTAGAGAAGCGATGATTCATAAGTAATAAAAAGGACCGAAAGCCTACCATTCATAAGCTCGTGGTTCTCAGCTGGCTCCTGGAGGTAGAATTGGTTACATGGGAAAGCCAAGATGGTGAAGTCGTTGCCATTGGCACGGTTCTTCTCGATCAAGGGGTTGAAGTCAGTGTATTGTTGAGTGTATGCTGTAATTTAGAAAATCATTACTATTGGTCAAATCATGTTGAACAAAGTAACGTAATTTATGAAAATAGTGTCATAAAAGGTTTTTAAATATATTTGGCAATCTTGGATAGATCCTAATAAGAATTCAATCCGAAGGTTATTGTCCTTTAAACTTAGTAATTAGTGACAATTGTCAACTATTAATCATAAACATTAAACTCATCAGTAAAACAAAAGCAACTGATTAGTAACAGATTTCTTCGACAAAATATTGTTGTAAAGTCTAAAAGCAGGCAAAACTATAATACTTACCACAGAAAGTGGCGACATTGATTACTAACAGTACTTGTCCTTTGTACTGCGACAGATCAGTGAATTCTCCTTGCAGAGTTTCCACATTGAAGTCGTACAAGGACTGGTTCACACTGGCACACTTGCTCCATCGCGTAGTTTCGTCGATGAGTTTGGGGCCTAAAGGGAGAGATGAAAAGAGTACCAACGGACCCACCTGGTTGTTCTGCTAAACACAACCCCAGCAGCAGCAGAAAAACAACTTTTTGACACATAACCCTCTGAAATTTGTGGTTAATAAGAGAGCCCAACCACTCGCGCGGTCTTTTAAAGAGGACGAGAAGGCGGGAGAGAAGAAGTCGATTCGGGATGATTGTTTTTTGGAGCTGTCTTATGGCATCAGGAAACACTTTTAAAAATAACAAACTTTTGTAGTAGTTGTTTTGAAAGCAAACCTAGGCTGACTCTTAAGGGAACAAAGACGAGGGTCAAAGAGGTGAATAAGATCGCAACAACTCTCGAGATCAACAACGAGAAGATGGAACGGAAGCCTGTTTTGTTTTGCTGCAGGCATCGCGAGGAATCGACAAAGTGGTATAAGTAGGAGTAACATCGATGTAATAATTATAATAATAAGGGCTGAACAATTGAATACAAAGAGGAATTACAGTATAATACGCGAACGATGGTAATATTATGTGGAACACAGTATATGGTTATAACGTTTCCACACGAAAGAGATTGAAAAACTTTTGAAGCTACAAGATATACATGAGAAGTAACAGCACGATCCGACTTGGAACAGAGATGCGACCGCTTTTAAGTGGTCGGTTTAGAAGAAGCAGTTCAGTCAAGTAGAAACCGTAATCGCCTTAAGTGATCTCTTCGTATAAGTTATTACTGTTCGAAGGCCTCTTCAGCTGTCGCTGAGTCAGTCGATGGATTCCAGTTATTAGGATGTGATGCCAATTCTGGGTGTTGTACTCTTACTTTCAATCGCTGTAAACGGTCTTGAAATCGGTAAAACTACCTTTATACCAATTATGTTAACGTTTGTATTGCCTTTTAAAGTTTTCTATATTATCCTTTACACTTAATTCTGAACTTTTGAAAACAAAGCTGTAAAGTTGGGTTTTGCACGTAGTAATAGTTATTACAGTGTAATTACTGGACTGTCAGTGTTTCCCAATAATGATTTTATTACTTTCTGCTTCACTTTACTCATCGATGTGATTCCAGAACTGCCCGAGGTGATATGTTCGCAAGATGTGATGAAGGTAACGTTCAGGAACGCGAGCCATCTGTCGCGAGGTCGGGTCTACGTGGTGGGCCATGAGGAGAGTGAACGGTGTGTGTTTGGGGTCAAACAAGCCGTGAACATTCCGCTGCTTCATTGTGCTGACATCAAGCCCTTGAACAATGATAACAATGGTCTTGTCAAGGTTAACGTCTATATCAGAGTCACTCCCCATCCGGTAGGTTGTTTTACGAGTTCGGGAGCCGACTTTTTGTTTTCCAAAGTTGCGCGAAATTCGAAATTCTGTTTATTGTAAATTACTTCGAAACATCACGGATTACTGTATTTACGATAAAACAACCATAGTAATAGAACAACATAACTACATTTCAGTTTCTAATAACTGGAGACAGTAAAGAGTTTCACCTTGAATGTAAAGGATTAGAGAAGACATCATTGTACGGTAACTACAATAATCCCCACACAAATACAGTATGCCAACACAATGTAAAGACATCAGGAAGAGAGAATCGTCTAGAAGAGATCATATTTCATGAATGGACGTGCTCGGAACAGTACGGCATTGAAGACTTTATAATGTGGATCCGAGAGGTTACTGTAATTTCTCGTAGGAAGGAAGAAGTTACCGTAATAAGCAACAATGGTTGTACTAAAGACGATGCCATCATCTCCAACTTGCACCCATCGTTGTCTGGAGTTCAGAAGATAACAGCGTTGAGTCAGTTCTTCAAGTTTCCCATCGAAAACTCCTTCAGAATCAGGACCAGCATCGTGCTAGTGCCCCGAATCATCAACGGAAGGGTTCAAAACGTAAGTGACCAGAAGATATGTTTTAAAACCATAAATCTGTATGATTTTAAATATTTTAGTTTGTGGATTGTCACAATTTGGACTTGAGAGCGTTTACTGACAGTGTAGGCTCCGTCTCTACAGATACGATGACTGACTGGATCAGCGTCGAAGAAGGTAGGCTATCTACATAAAAAATAGACAACATTACATTTTCTAATGTAATGTAATATTACTTTAGAAAACCCTCATCAAGGTGAATGCCCCAGTTTACTGATAAACCAAGAGCTGGAGCCGTTCAACAGGATCAACGATACGACAGAATCATTCTTGGAGTTGTTAAACACTATTAATACGACAGGTAAGTAAGGGATTGTTTTTCAACGACACTAACAAGACTATAGAGATGTTATTGTTTACTCTGACAGTAAAACTTAAAATCGTATGGTCGGAGTTACATACTGCACTAATTATACCTAATTGTAAACTAATATTTTACAGGGAATACTAATAGAAGAGAGTTCCGCATCAACGACGTAATCTTGAACCAGCTGAACCAAAGTGTTACTATGGTAATGTTCAAAGATCAGAACAGATACGATGTCACCTTTCCTTTGAAACGGGTACGTCTGACATTACCTTAAATATTTTTGCGATTTTTTTTGTGTATGCGACGTCTTGGCTTTTAATTTGAAGTTTTTGATGTACTACCTTGCATATGATTTCAATTTTTTTAAATATGATAACAAAGTTTTAATTTTAAGGCTGTTTATATTATTGTAGAAGTCCCACTGCTCATGGCATGTTCTAAACACCGCACTGTTATGCTGGAGTATAGCGTCAGTACTCGTCTGGATGGTGCAATTGTCTATCAAACTCTACTCGTATCTGGCCAAAGAGTTTGCCCCACCCATGCCCGAAGATGATGACCTGCCTCAGCCATGCAAGTCGTGGGCCGACCCCTACAAAGTGAACCAGAACATGATGGGGAAGAGCGCGGACTACCTGGAGTTCGAGCGTCGCCGCTTCTTCTGACCCGAGGACGTGAATGGAGTTTGTCCACTTGTGTACACAACCGTTCATTGTCGTCTTTTCAAATAAAGTTTTCCCTCGAATTGGTTGCGCAACCGGAGGATTTCAGGTGGAACGTCAGAGCTCGCGTAACGCCGAATGACCTTCGTCCAACCTAAAATCTCCGTCTCTGATCGCCAGCGGCAACAATGCCGGAAACCTGTTTCGAGTTTTAGTGTGCATGTTGCGATGGGCCGGCCTTGAAGAACATGGAGGTGCTCTAATTGCAGGAAGACGGAGGAGAACGGTGTCCATTCCGCTCTTCTCGAACCTCAGCTGTCTTCTCTCATTTCTCTCATTTCCCGTTTTTTCGAATTTCGCATCCGACGCTCGTCCAGCGGGGGTTAAAACAAGAGAGACTGGACATGCAATTCCTTCGCAGATGGCCTCGTTCCCATCTCTCCGGACACCACCAGCCAGAAGGCCCGTTCTTTTTTTGCTTCTGACCATCGTCCATCGGCTTTTTTGCGTTTCCGGGCCCTCGGACGGACGGAGTGAGTCAGGCAACAATCGTCCAATATTTTAACCTCGAGGTGTCCAAGCCCCCCTCGGCAGGTCATTCACCGCTTTTGTACCGCCGAACCGTTTCCATTCCGTTTGGACCCTGAGGCTGTGAACAATGATTTATTTATTCATACTGGTCGTACCATTCCGAATATATTATTTCTTACAACCGCCCCCCCCCCCCCTTTATTTGTATTTCACTTTACGTTCATTTACTTTGTAGTTACCGTAGTGCGTGTTTGATTACCGCGCAGTTTCAACTACTTTGTCGTTCATAACTCGAATTAACTCGAAAAGAGTGTCCAGCCGGCTGTCACCTATTTGCATAATATTCAAATTGGGGGAGAACTACAGAGATCTTGTCACACCTTGTGTAAACAAAGGCACGTAAGAAGTGGTCGTACTGGAAGAGAATGGACGCGGCTGTCCGGAGCTCCTTTTCGCTCGGCTGAATTTCGTAGCACTCAAAAAGGAATAGGGGAACAGAGAGCGGCCCGGAGTGACCGGCTGAGGGAGCGGAATGCAAGTTTCAAGGGCGTGGAGCTCCTTGTTTAAAGACCCCATTTCATGGTGAAACAGAGAGCAGGGGGGGGGGGCGGCGTGAAAGAAAAAAGTGCGCGCCGAAAGGGAGAGTGAGAGTGGACGTGGTGCAAGAGGTCATTCTCATGCACCTAGGGAGCCGGCTGCCTCAAGGCAAGAGGTCCGAGAGTCGAAGAAGGTGCGACAAAAACCAGCCGCTCGGCCGGTTACGGACGGACGAGGGGAGGGCGTACGGCTCGGGTCCGACGTAACCGGACGCCGTTTCAGAATAGCTAAGTTCCCTTTGCGTGTGCACAGGCATTCGTTTTACGCAACCAAACATCCGCCGAATGACCGCTCGGCGAGGAGCAAAGGAGGTTTGGAGGCAGTCGGGTGGGGTTTGGCCGTTGTTCCTCTCTCTCATGCTTTTGATGCCTCAAGGCGCTTTGATAATCAAACGCGTTTAGTCTGACCCCAGTTCCGATCTCGAGACGTGCTTCATGTTTTACTTTTACTTTCGTTTCAGGCCCGCGGCCACAACACCATCGGTTCACAATTGGGTCAACCACGGCGTCCCACAACCCCACGCCGCACGACCGCGGCACGGCGTCCGAACAAGGCCTTCAGCTGATCAGTGGACTCAACTGCCAAGACGCTCTCGAGCTCTTCAAGGTAACTTTCACTTTCGTCTTCTGTATCTTTTGAATCCGCGCGCGATCTACCGAAGCCCTATAAACCGAATCTCACTTCTCGTCGCGTCTAATTCAGGTGGCATATCGAATTCGAAAGTTTCGTTTACGGCCTTTCGATTTCACCGATCCGACGGGGATTCAAAAGGGCAAAAGTTGCGACATATTGTTACCGTATCTGTTTCTTTATATTAGTTTTTGAAAAATTTAAGTTTAAAACTCTGTTCAACTTTTGAAAATTTACCTTAATTTAGCCAGAAAACCGTAATTTTCGTTATGTTCTGTTGCTGTTGTTTTATGTAAACACGGAGTGTGATATTATTTTTAAAATCTTAAATTATCTCAATTTTATAAACCATTTTTGACCACTCTAGGTATCTTAAACCTTTGAGTTTTTTATTTTTTCAAAATTTATAAGTATTACCCATATTTAAAACTCAAAAAGGTGTATTTTTTCATGTTGATTTCATTTTGCCGTTTTAGTTTCTTGTGTAATTCAGGTTTAATTGCGAGATCTGTCTTTATATTATCCTTGCGATCATGACCCGCTGACCATTACCCTGAACCAACTGTCCTTTCGGCTCACGCATGCGTCCCAATCCGAGCGCTGGAGACGTGCCAGCGAGTGCCTGAAGGCATTAGCGGCGGCCAGACGAACTCGATCTTCACGTCTCTCTACTGCTCTTCGAAAAGTTTTTTGTTTGACATGGGCCGTGCTCCAGCCGGCTCGGTCCATTCGGCGGAAGAACGAGACGGGCGAGAATGTCCATTCGGTGTCCCTTTAGCCCTGCGGTCTTTTTTTTCGGCTGGCGCCTCGCGTCTCATCCCCTGCGGCGCTCCGAAAAAAATACATGAACAACTGAAGATGGCAAACGTGGAACGAGCGAACTCGTTTTTGGCTTCGAAGCCATGTGGTCACTCGTGTCGGGCCACGTCCCCCTACTTTATGACCGCTCTGGAAGGATCCGTAAACAGATGAGGCTAATTGTGACAAAACATTAAAGAAAGGCTTAACTATTGTAGTAGGTATAGTATTATAGTAAGTATAGAAGTAAAAAAAGGTATTATAAGGTATAGAAGTAGCAAAAGTATACAAAACAAACACTGACAACTACACAAACCCTTCTCCAAGTCAACGATGTAGACATTAAATTCATCGACCTTGACGCTACGACCACTGACGTCTCCTTCACCATGCTTCATAACTCGGTTGCGCGGTTTGATAAATAAAACCTATTATCGATAACACCGTGGACACGACAATGCATACCGAATTGCAGTTGCACCGTGAGTCATGTTGGTTTAACGCTTTACTCTCTCTTTATATGAAGAGAGACGGAACGGAACGGAACAGCCGGCCCCTCTCTGTCTTGGCTGCTTGCCAAACGGCCGAAATCTATAACCGACCCGGAGGGGGAACGTCGAAAAGGGAAAGAACGTCCGTCTTTCACGACCTATTAAGAGAACATACCGGACCTCTGTTCGGCACGTCGTTCCGAGGGGCGGGGCCAGACCTTTTTGTTGGCACGTCGCCATCACGGAGAGGCCCCCCGTCCTCCTCTCGAGGATCGAATGACCTGGTCGAGGGCACGTGCACTATTCCGTCGCGTGTGTTCAGACTTTTTCTTTTCAAACGTTCGCGGTTTCGACATTTTACTTATGTAAACATGTACATGTGATTCCAAGGATGTGAGCTGGCATAACCGAGCATTTGTTTTTGGTCAGCCGGAGGGCCTGCGAGCTCTCCGCTCTTTTTTCGCTTTTCCATTTTAAATAACTGACCAACGGCCGTCTCCCACATCTGTCCCGAGAACGGTCGCTGGTTTGGGCGTTCTTTCTCCAGGGATCTGCAACATTTGCTGAGACGTTGTTTCCCCGAGCATACAGTTTTCGTGTTTCACTTTATATTGACATTGCCATTTGAATTCGCAACAGTAGTTTCCCTACTTTGTCATATTACTTTAGTGCATGTCAGCACGAGATGATTCAGGACGTGTTTACTGTCTTTTTTGGTGTTGAAATCAGCATTTCAAAATGGCCAGCACGCCGTGAACGTCCAGCCGTTCGTCGTTCCGTATGTAAATGTGTCTGAGCCCGGTCTTCGACGTTCCTGCCACCGTTCTAACGTTCTGTGATGAATGTCGTTGTCTCATTTGTCGTCGATTTCAACTCCTTAGGAGTCCCGAGTAACCCTGTTCTCTCTCTTGAGGTTCACGTGACATCTCCCGCCTTATTTTTTCCTCACGCCGCAGGCGCTATTCCAAGCGCTTTTGTTTTATGCGGAGTTGCTATTTTGAAGTCGCGTGCTTTTTTCTTTTTCTTCGCTTTTGGAATCTGAAAAGGTAGGGCAGATCGGCGTTCGCGCGGTCGATTCACAAAAAAACGGCCGGAGGAACGGTCGCACTTCATACCGTCTGTCTGTTTCTCTGATAACCGATCACTTTGCACTTTCCGACAAAAAATAGCTGAACCCTTCTGTTTGTAGCACTTCTGCAACGGAGCTGACGAATATCGCATGAAAGACGAGAGTATATTGGGCCTGCCGGGCACGAATGGAACTAGTAATGGTACCTCGAGCAACGGTAGTCTGAACGGCCAGCCGCCCGCTTCCGACAGTCAGATCAACAACAACCAGGTTACTGTACAGAACTCGCTTCCAGATCCGAATTGCGTCAATTGCGCCGAGCTTAAACGGTATGCTTTTTTAATTTTAAATATTTAAATTTATTTTAAAAACTGAACTTTAGGATCTTAAACCGTATGCTTTCATTTTTTAATTTAAATTTTAAAAAACTAACTTAAATAAACTTTAAAATTTTTAAAATTTTTCAAAAATTAATTCGAAAACTAAATAATGAGTAAGATCTTCAAACATTTCACGAGCTTTTAAACATTTTTTTGAAATTTTCATTATTTTTAAAAGGCCTCTAAACGTCAAATTTTTATTTTTAAAACCCTCCAAACTTCAAAAAATTTGAACCGCCATTACTTTTTTGAAAACTCTTTTTGACTATGTTATACTCGAACGATCTCACACTAGATGAATGTTTCGGAAAGTGTTATGTAAATAAGTCGGGAGTCTGTTCGTAGCGCCATTTGTTAGACTTGATGGAACGGCTGACCAAGACAAAGACCACAGACCTGTTCCAAGTCTATATCTGAACGCCAGAACAGAACGGCCGGTGTTTTGCACTCTCGAGAGCGGTGGCGACTTGCACAGGCCTTTAATAGTTGGAATGGGATACGGTGTTTGGTGTTCCCAGCTTTACATGCACTTTGGGGGAGGGAGCGTTCGTGCATTGCACTTTGGACGAGAGTCAATCCCCTCGCCGTCGTACCTGTCCGCGTTGCGCAAAGTGCAAGTTTTTATGTACACCATCAACGATTCTTTAAGTGTTCCCTGATTGGAGGAACGGTGAAGGGAACGTCCCGTGCGACACGACCTTTTTTGTTTAAGAAAGTGCAAGTGCAAAAAACAAAGACCTTAAACTGTTTGTCGCTTTAGAAGCTTGGTTTGCTTTTCGTATGTTAGGAATTTATCATGTTTGCCAAGTCTCTTATCGAGTTATCATTAGTGCACTGTATAGGGTTACAAACTACTTTAAAGTAAATTTTACAAAACATTTCCGGTTTAACTTTAACTTTTCATCACAACAACTATCAACTATATTCACATTTCAGAGAGGTTGTTGAGCTGCGACAGATATTCAGTCTACTTGTCAGCCGTCACCTGATGAATATCCAGAATGTCCGTCTACCGTCAGATCTCCAGAGGCTGACTGGAACAGAGTTGCCGCTACAACAACTGAACAACTCACCAATTCTACTACAACATGTACTGAACCAGCTGAATGCTACCAGTCCAACTAGTCCTAGTAACAAACTCCTCGAGAATCTGGACCCAAACAGAAACCTGAATGCCCTACAGGGCTTCTGGAATCAGAATTCAGTTCTCCCGAACAGTTCCTCAGCTGTGGAATTACCTCAGAATGTGAGCAGTTTAGGCAACAGCAACATGCAACTCAAGAACGACAACAACTTTGTTGACCAGGTTTGTAACGATCATAGCGAAACTTCCTCCTCAGCCTCGTCTACAAATACACAGGTACGTCAGAAGCCTGTGTATTTTGTTCTCTATCTCACAGTACAGTATACTTATTAACATGTGGTTACAGTATACTTTTATTAAAGTCGTTACAATGTATTTATTTTAATATTTCAGTTCGTCATGATGAGTCCTCCTCAGCAGTTGCGACAACAACCTCTCTACAACAACACCGTCTCCTCCAATGCCACTTCCAACTCCAACATTCCACAAAGCCAAACCTTGAGCAGCCTGCTGACTGTCGCCTCCGCCAATCCCGCTCTCTATCAGATGCTTATCAACCAGCTCACCCAACAGAAACCTCAGCCTCAGGCTGCGCAGCCTGTGCCACAAGTTCAGAATCAGACGCTGAACCAACTGCCTTCAGCCATCTCATCGCTGCCCCATCTTCAGCAGAACCTCCTCTTCAACCCGGCTCTACAACAACAACAGAGGGAGCATATCCAGCAGCAAGCTCAACAACAACAACTGGCACAACAAGCGGCACAACAACGACAGCTACAGCAAGCCAGGAACACTCTCTTTAACGCCAAGCCTCAGGACACTCAAGCCAAGCCCAACATGAACATCGACAGAAGTGTTGAGCGACGGGTGAGTCATAACAGCTGTATTATTGCTTAATAGTATTTGAAGACTACAAGACTAAAAGATTAATGTAAACTTTCAGTACAATACTTATAAATTAAAAAGATAGTTATATTAACCCTAGAAGTTGTTATTAATGCCAGAAGACGTAATATTACAAAACATCTTAGCAAATGTTACTTTCAGTTGCACGGATTCCAAAGAGCAGCTACTGACGACTACGTTAGGCTGATCAAAGAGAACGACCTCTCTGAAGCTAATGTTGAAAGAATCCAGATTCCAGTGCCACAGGCCATCGAAGTTGATCCGAGTAAGCACTTCGATTCTATTTAAACCTTTAATTTAAAAATTGTTTACTTTTGGTAAACAAGCATTTACATGTCATAGCTATTCAACTATTTTTTAGGTTTCCGTCCGCTGCCAGAAGAGCAGGTAATCCAGCAAGTGATGCAGAACAAGAAGTACGAGAACGTCAATGTCTCTGAAACCATGGCTCAGTTGTGCAAGAAGTTGGCTGAGAAGAGAGTCTTCGGATCTCGCCTGATGGCCCAGACTACAGTAGCCGCTCCAAACCATTCCAATTACAGTAACCTGCCAGTTAGCGGCATTATTTACATTCAACGTAAGTTAATGTGGTACTTGTTACTTTGAGGTACAGCCTCTCAACATTACATTAAAATGTTGCCTTTTAGTTTGTAATGTGATATTATTGTTAGTTACTTGAGTTTTTACAATATTCTGCCATTATACCAAACTCGTATTTTACTTGTCGATTTCAGACGTTTGTCGCAAAGTGTTGGGAAGCCGTGTGAACAACGACGACGACTTTTGGGAATCCTTCAGGGAAGCGATGCGCAAGTTGGCGGCACGATGTCGCCGTGTCAGACATGCCAAAAAGGTCAGGTCACCCAAGATGACGGACCCTGCCCACCTCCAGCAACGCTTCGACCTTCTCCAGCAACAGAACAGTGTAGCCGCGATGAACATGTTCAAGCAGGAGATCGACGCCATGGACATCGACGCCAACAACCCCCAGTCACCAGAACCCGACACTCCGTTGTCGTCGTCCTCACGCAACTCCAGTTCCACCCCCACGCCCTCCTCCTCGATCAAGCCCGAAAACTGATCACCTTACCTTCTCCATGCTCATACGCTAGTTAGTCCAAGATAGATGCTTCACATGACAATGTAGTACCTCTTCAAGTAGTCTTTCAGGCCCGCTTTGGTGGCCCCGTCGTCTTTCAACCAGCCCTAAGTCCCTCATTCCCTCGCCTTACTTTCAGCTCCACCCCCAACTACCTCCTCCATGTACATAACATTCATAATATCTATTTTATTACTCTCTGAACATACCGCAATAAGTCAACGTACTCAGGGATCGCGCGATTCAGGAAATTACACATTCTCTCTCTTATATCCGATATCAGGGATCTGATCATCAATCTAATCAATCGATAATTAATTATTTGCATTTTGTAACTCTCAGGGACTCAACGTGCCGCCGGCCGTTCCTTATCATGGTAATACATCTCTGCTTTCACAATTCCGCCTTCTCTCAGGACTAAGTTTAACCTATATGTGTTGATAATGATGTCACAATAAAGAATATTTTGTTGTCAACAACCTGTTTATAGCTGGCGGGTGATCGCTACAGAAGTTAACAAAATTTAACACAACTAATGGGTTACTCCGCTTAGACACAGTCACCATAACATAGCATACACAACACGATAATATGTCACAAGTCATGTTTTATGTGTTCGGTTATGCGAGAATACCATGACGAGTAAATCCTGGGGGGCCGAAGACGATTTCGAAATAAAATCTGAAGAGAGTCAAGTTGTTTTCCCTTAGGGCGACGAGAGACGGGAGAGGGGGCGCACTCTTTTTTTGGTCCGGCCTCGGCCATGGGACTCGTCCCAATTGGGCAACTGCTCTTTTTGACGAGTTTTGAGTCGAGAGGACTGCGGGGAGAAGCGGCACAACCCCCCTCTGGCATCGAATCCATTCGTCTCGATTTCAATTCCTATATTCAAATCCGCGTCACTAATCTCCGGAAGGGGTAATATTACTCTGGCATGAACCCATTTCCCTCCCTACACGCTCTTAACGTTTAAACCTCCTTAACGTTGCCCATGGAACGTCGTTTCCCCTTTCCTTTGTCATAAACTTCTGACATGCCACTTTTTGTATTGAATAAATTTTGTTACTTCGTCACTTTCTCACAGAATATTTAACGCCTACTGTTTAGAGAATGTGCCAGTAGAACTACTATGCCTTAGGGTTCACGATGGGTGGACTCCAATCTTCACCAGTCAATGTGCGCAACTACTCCGTCAACACCGGCACACGGACCGTGCCTCTCAGACATACAGGTAACAACAACATCCCGGAGTTCCCCATCACTCGGACGCTACGAAGAAAGTCCTCGATTCTGTCGCAAGGATGGAACTTTGCCAAGAAGACGGCCAACTCCGTCATCCCCAATGTCATCCAGTACGGGTCCTCCGATGGCTCGGCCAAGACGAAGAAGTCCTACCGATTCCTGAACAGCTCACGATCTCACTCCTCTATGAACTCACCCTTATCAGAAGATCTCGATGACAACTTCAACTACATCTCCGAGCCCATCAAGCCCCTCAAGTCGAGGGACAACTCTACTCTCTACGCAAATCATCATCGTATCGAAAATGAAGGCTATAGTAGACTGTCCAACGAAGTGAGTTGTCTTTTGTCATCATTAAATAGTTTTAGGACATCAAGAACAATAACAACAACTGGAGCTATAATCTGTCGCCGCCTCAGGGATTTCAAAGACTCTTGACAAAGTTTAACAGCAAGACTCTGGACAAGCGATGCTCGTTGTCAACCTCATCTAGTGCGACGTCGTCCACCGCCTCTACAGAATCCGCCCAATCCTTTACCCTCGTCTCCCAAAAGCCCTACCGTCCTCTGCCCTCTTCTGAATCCTCCTACTCCTGTATCTCGGAAACCGCGTACTGCGACAAAAGCGACATCGTACACTCGTCTACAGCAGAACTGCTACTGGGACTGGGGAAGTTTGTAGCTGGAAAGTGTCGTGTTCAACAGTTCGAACCAGCTCAGTTGGTTATGTGGTTACGGTCGATAGACAGGTCGCTCATGCTGCAGGTAATTTAAGATTACCAAAATTTTTTATCCATTAAATTAAAAATAACATATTAAAGTAAAAATAATTGATTAAATTTGACTTTCAGGGCTGGCAAGACGTCGCCTTTGTGAACCCTGCTAATCTGGTGTTTGTGTTCTATCTAGTACGAGAACAACTAGAACGAGAAGTCGACGACATCAGGACGATATCAGAGCTACAGTCGTTGATCAGAACATGCTTATATGTCAGCTACAGTTACTTAGGAAACGAGATATCGTATCCATTGAAACCGTTCATCTCAGCCTCAGAAGTAAGTAATACTGTAACCAGGTGTTTATGTTTACGGTTAATGCCCACAAAGTATTTCGTATGTTTATATCACCATAACATTAAACAATATTTACAACACAGTTATACAAAACAATATTATTATTATCTCAACCATTATATTGCCTACAATATGCTACTATTACACTACTTTCAGAATCGACGCAAGTTCTGGAATCGATGTATCGAACTGATCAACGAACACAGCGACGACATGCTGCGTCTCAACACCTCCACCACGTTCTTCCTGGACACGTTCTCCGAACTACGCACTTACGCTTGTCTGCCGGTATATTAGAGTGATGTGTAACATATAACATGTTGTTCCCAGTGCTTACCCTCTCTTGATCTCGGGATTACCTTGCCAAAGATATAAATATTATACGTAACTCGCCATAATACAGTATTGTAATAAACAAGTCTAGTGAGTACTACCGTAGATAAAGACTCCACACAGAGATACGAAGTAGAGTAGTGATGTCGCCATCAGTTGTATCTTCTCTTGGTCCAAGTCCAATGAAGGGTTATAGCTAAAGCTTCGCCGGCGTTCCCGCCTACGCGGGTGTAGAAGGCGGATCATCTGCATCTGAACAGATTTACTATTATAGGGTCAGTTAGGTCGGTAACTACAACAAACTGCACCAAGTATCGTGATCAAAAACAGTAATATAGAGAAAACACGGGGGTGTGGTTCGGCAAATTAAGGAATGAGAGTTTACAAAGGACGAAATAGGTACCAATGAACAGCGAGGCATAAAAACTTTAAATAAGATTAAGAACAAAAACTTTTTAAAATCCAGACTTTAAATCGAAAGTTTAAAATGAAAAGTCTAAAACGGAGAGTTCGAACTGTAAAACACTTTAATTTCAACACAATTACAACGAAAGTGTTCCGTGTTCTGAAGAGATCCCAAGACGCTGTCAAAGCGAAAACAATCGATGAAAGGAGAGCAGTGTGTAAAGTTGCGAGAACAAACTCTACAAGCGGTCTCTGAAGCATGAACAATATCCACTCCCACTGTTACTCATCCGATGGACACTCACTGTACAAACATACACATTAGACCAATTAAACCAAACATTCAGACGCCAGAAAGTTCTCGTGTTCGCTGTAGAAATGGGGTAACACACCATCTAGTTCGTAGCCTTCACTAGGGTACACCTGAACGCAGGTATTACAGTAGTGACCAAGACACCGATAGTCATAATGTAAAGAACCTATGTATAAAACACAAAAGTAACGCCTCAACAGAACATTAAATACCTACAACTTGATGGAAATGGACGTTCATCTTCTGAAGTTTCGCAGCCAGCAGTGCCGAGTTCTGATATTGTACATGTTGATCAGCCCCTCCGTGTGCCAGGAAGATCTTAATGTCTTTGATAGAATCCACCTTGTTTCTAGTGATAAGCGACGCTGTCTCATACCCTTCTTCATTGTCGCTCGGTAGATGTAGGTATCTTTCCGCATATGCAGCACCTGTATTACAATGTAAAATTTTTAAAAATTAAAATTACTTTGAAATCTGAAGTCAGTGATCGGTGATCTTAACGCCAGACATTTTACCATTGACCCCCCGTCCTTGACTGCCATTTGGAGCGCTATAAAACCACCGTAACCTCTGCCAGACACAGTAACTCTTGTAGCATCCATGTAATGTAATCGTTTCATCAACCTTCTAAAATCAATTAAAACCCTTAAGCACCACAAATTACAGTATGATTAAACAGTTAGCATCACAGTATCAAAAAATTCAAAATGCTGACAAACGTATACCCTAAGCATTCCAATTTGTCGTCAGCATCAGGCCCTCCAACGTCATGTAACACTGAACTCTTTAGTCGCCATCCTCGTAAAGAAGATCCTCGAGCATCTATCTTGACAATGATAACATGATAAGTGACCGACAAGAACAACAAGTAAGGGTGTGGAGTTCGTTTCCACACATTATTCATGCCAATATCACCCTCCATGTCAAAGATAACTGGATACACAAGTTCGGAGTCAAAGTGAGGAGGTAGGGTTAATTGCACGTAGGCTACTGTAAGTTTTAAGTATTTCACAAAAAGACCTTTGAGTAAACTAACACAATATGATACAAAACCTACACATTCCATTAGGCAGCTTGATGACTTCGTATCTTATTGTAGGCTGTTCACCAACAACTGGGAGTTCAGTGTCCGTGTACTTGACCTTAACACCTTAAACTGATCTTATCATACTGTCCTTATCAATATTACTTTTCTGAATCTCGTCGGTCGTCTTCACAATCATAACACTGGCTTTGAAGGCCTTTTCACAATTCAATACCATCTTCCTAGAGTTGGGCGAGAAGATGACAGAAGTGTACTTACAATCCTCTACGGGACATGTAATACATTGTGGTACTATTCCATTGGCACCAGACGCTGTTGGTACTCTGAACAGATGCATCTCGCCTATGAAGCCACCTTGTGCCGTGAAGAACCTGAAATAGAAATAACTTCTCCTAATCCTGGATTGTCGATAACATAACAAATTAAAACCGACAGATCATCTTGCTCAGCGTCGTATCCTACAATCTCATCCACATCAAACGCTCCACTGTGAAACTTGACGCTGTAGCGAGGTCTCCCAACTTGTACCTGACTCTAAAAACCTTAGGTATAATAAGATATCACAATACTCAGTTGCAGTAACTGAAGTAACTTACAATGTCAATAAAGGCAATGCTGTCGTATATCTCTCCATTCGAATGTTGTCGTGGTAAGACCAAGAAAAAGCCGGTTTTTGTCGCAAATTTCAATTGGAAATGTTTCCGTGGGTCCAACCACAACTGTTTCCCACTTACTGAGTACTTGAACTTGAAGAACTGTAAAGTAATGTTAGGTATCAGATGTTATTATTACCCGGAAACAAGGTTCATTCAGCATACAGATCATCGCCGCGACAAAATTCTGGATCCGATTTGTCCAAATGTTCAGTAAAAACTCGCCAAACTGTTCATTTGTGAACCACTGGGACCAAACCAGGTACTTGAGACTTAAACACGGAGTTATATTACACATGACGTGCTAGAACATAACGCGGAAATAACAAAAAAAACAATGAAAACAAAAGTGTAAGACCAACACCAGTAACGTGCTCATAATATTTTATTTCGTTAATTCTGTGGTAAGCTTTAACACCATTACACTGTAAAAATGCAAGTTACTGTAACAGTAAAGATTCAAGATAATAAACGTACGAGGTAGGTCCATCATTGAAGAATCTCTCGGAGGGCATCGCAAACTGCTTCGTCTGCTCCACTTTGTCCCATATCCATAACATTACATCTGGCAACTCTGAGTCTCCTGCTCGTGGGCACGGTAAAGGATGCATACTGTAAAGCTTACTATGGTAATACTAATATACGATGGTTATTTTGAAGTTTACAATACTAATGCACAATGCAATACAGACATTATTACACCATATAAAAAGTTTAAAACTCTTACTATGGCTGTGAGATGTCGTCTCTGTAGTAAGATACCGAGGTACGAGTGACATTCCTAACATCAAAGGAAGCGTAAGCGATGAATCGACCTGATGGAGACCACCAGATAGGTTTCTTGTTGCCATATATGTACACTAAAAATAGCCAAAAATAAATAAAACAGAAACTAAAGTCTATACAATGACCTTATATTATACATGACGTTACTAACGATTTCACGTACCTGATGACATAAAGTCCGGTATTCCATGTGACAGAAAGGGAGAGCTGCTGTCACTCAGTTGTAACATTCCGTCCTTCTGATTGATGTCAGGCTGGTAGTACAAGTTATTCAGGTATACAAACACAAAGTCCGAAGCTCCATGAACTGGCGACCATTCGAAGTGTTGTACTGGATCCAGCGAATTGCGAACTCCAACGTTGAAGAAGACTCTGAAACATCATAATATTAAACATTACCGAAGTTTAGCAGCCACAAAAGCCCCCTGACTCTACAGCCATTAAGTCCTTCATTAATTAGAATATAAAACTATCTCTGACCCGACGTTATTATCTTGAACTGAAGATACTCTGACGGTAAACTGATGGAACGGTGTTCTGTCGATCTTCTTCGTTAGTGCAACATATGATGCTCCTACATTAAACACAGGAACATCGTCGTCCAGCTGCTTCTTCATCAAGAACATTTCCGGCTTCACCACCGTTCCATTGTGTAGCACGGTAAACTTCTACAACGACATGTTTACAATAAAAACAGATTTAATATTATGAAATTGATAAGTACTCACTATCAGATCTCCAGAGGAATCAGTGTACACAAAAGTGGCGTCAGACGTCCAAATGACCTGGACAGGACTAGTTTTCTTGAATGTAGCCAAGTATTCATCGTAATGTATCTTGTTCTTGATATGATTAGTACCTTCGTTTAGAGTAGAGATGATTGGTATGACATATTTGGTTTGATTTTGTGTGTACAATGTCAAATTACCTTTAGTGACTGAAAAAACCACTATTTACTATTTTTAAACGTATTTTTTGCCAATTTTAAAAAATCTTGTTACCTAAAAATGCTAAACCCTTACTTTTTCCGGCCACAGTGTAAAACACTCCAGAAGCGACCAGTAGAATCAGTAGAACCACTACAAATATTACTCCTGCTCGTTGTTTTACGTTTTCTGTAGATTTCTCCTAAAACAGCCCGTATTATGTTATACGACGGAAAGTGTCCGGACAAAATTCTGTCGAGATTCAGAATCCCTTACCTTTGATTCAAAATGGTTTTCGTTTTTGTAGTCGGAACTGTTATACGAATTGTGAATCTCACAAGATTCACACGAATTAAAAAGACTCATAATTTCTCACAAAGTGCATGTTATTATACCTGCGACTTTGACTTGTTAGTCTACTGACCCTTCTTTCTGGACAAACATGTGTCTACACGATCTATTTGTGTATCCAAACTTTATTGTATGCTTTATCGCACCCTACAATTTCGACAGGATTTTGTAACTTTCCAAATCTGTAAATGATTCGCGTCGCCGACGGCAATTTCACAGAAGAATTATGTTTCGGACGCGACTTTTCTGGCTTTTTTTGGGTTGTTAGAGATCGGAAATGAAGTCCGAGCCTTCACAAAACACTAGGAATCCCCAGAATCAACGAAACTCGATAACAAGCTTCGAATACCAGGTATTTGCTGTTTTATATATTATTTAGGTGTTTTCTTTGTGTTTTTCATGGGTTTAAATATTTTAGTGGATTTTTTCATAATTTTATAAATTTTAGGTATTAATTTTATCCTTTTTTCAGGACGATGGCACTGATCCTGAGTATTATCAATATAGAAGGAACAAAAAGCATGAGGAGCTGCTTGAACTGCCTATGTTCCCTAAAAGAGACCAAGTTGGATATTTCAGTGGAATATCAGGACTTTGGAATCGACGAGCTCTTAGGAAAAGAATTGTAAGTTATTTTCTGTTATTTTCCTGTTTAGGTAATGTTTCAATTATCAGAACTGATTCTTTGGTTTCAGAAGCTTTTTGAGAAGAAGGAGGCCAAGAATTTTGTGAAGGAGATGTGCTACAAGATCGAGAAATTGCTGTTTGACCAGGACTTGGAGGGTTCTATTAGTTGTTTTCTAATGAAAGACATGAAGAATGTTGATGTAGATGTGAGGTTTAAGATCTTTGAGGTCAAGTTTGGGTAAATTTTTATTTTTTATAACTTTGTTACCTAAAATTTTTCAAAAAATTTAAACCATTCTTTAAATATAAACATTCTGTCATAATTTGATCTTTTACATTTTAGTGAAGATCTCACGACATGGCTAAGTGAACTTCCAGATAACTGTAGCCGAATAAAGACGATAACCAGAGACTTGAAAAAGATTCTAATGGATCATACTCATTGCAATAAGATAGGCGTCGCGATGGTTGACGCTTTACAGCATATCGATGCTGTAAAGGCTAGGGATCCTTTGAATAACTGGTGTGACTTTGAATCAGAAGCTGCTGATCGTGTCGTTCAGAGGATTCAGGAGTTTGCAACATTTGTCGTGGGAATGATAAAGTGGTCGCTGTTGATAGAGCCTGGTCGTCCGAGGACGGATCTGTCGGTATGTAACTTTTTTAGGTAATATTTTGAACATTTTCAAGTTTTAGGTGTTTGATACTAGTTTTTATGTTAGTATTGTGTGTATCTAATAAGCCTATGATTAGTAAGTATATTTCAGGAGTTCATGATTGAATTCGAGATCCTCGAGAAGTTTTTCGAGCACGCTGACTTAAGTCGACCTGAACTGTCGCAGATCGCCTTCGATGAGAATTACTCGACTCGGGCTAGGAACCGCAGTAAGTGTAAATATTTGTAATCAATTACAGTAGTTGAAGGATTAGTTTGTGGAGATCTGAATCGTGTTGTACTGAAGCTGGAATCTGATACTTTTAATGGCAATACTACAATATTGAAGCCGAGCGACGTTTTTGGAGATTTCGACTGTCCGAATATCAAATATCAGGAGGATTGGTAGGTATAGTTTGGAAGTTTATTTTTATCAAAACCTTTTAAGTATGTCAATATTAGTAGTTAAAATTGTCTAACCTTATGATTTTGTTGTTTGTAGTGGCACCAATGACTTTATTCACGCCAATTACGTCCTCGGAGGTCCGTTGACGAATACATTCATATTGACACAAGCGCCTATGTCAAACACGATAAATGACTTCTGGCGGATGATATGGCAAGAGAAGAGTGAGTATATTATCATGTTGTGTGGAGCAGTGAGTACCGATAGTATGACCATGATGGGCACCGATAAACCATCGAATTACTGTCCGTATTATTGGCCAAAGTAGGTTTATTTGGTAAAAGGTGACATTAGTAATGTATTTTAATGTCGATTATTATTCTTACTGAAATTTTTATGTTATGTTAATTTTATTGTGATTTTTCAGAGTTCAAGGTGGTATCATGAACGTTGGTAATTACGTGGTGAGGAATGATTACATCAATTGCACGATGGACCCAGAGTTTGCTGTGACAACTCTGAGTATTTGGCGTGCTGACGATCCTTCCAATGTACATCGAATTCAACACTGGCAGTACGACTGGAACGACTACACTGACTATCATTGGCCTTTAAGGATACTACAAAGGTGAGTTTTGGAAATTGTATGAGTATTATGGAAGTTATTTAATAGCGTTATATAAAAGATGGCATTATATAGTTATGGAATTTCATATTATATGTTTTCAGGACACGAACTTCACTAACCCCATCCGTAATCCACTGTATGGATGGCTGTGGACGGTCGGGGACGCTGGTTTTGATCGAGGTAATGCTGATGCAACTCCTCAGAGGTTCCAACAATTCTTCGAATCCCATGCTCACCTCCACGATATTCCTGCGACTTCAGCGACGGAACGCGGTAGCCAACAGTCTGCAGTACTTATATGCATATCGAGTACTGTTGCATTGGTGTGAGCCTTACGTGTTGTCGCAATACCATCGCTTTAGTCTCGGATACATGTTCGACGAGTCTGGATTCTGTGGCAAATTTGAGGAAATGGCGGCCGCTCACTACAGAAGACCGAAGAAGATACGAACGCTAGCTAACTAACCATCGTTTACTGACCTTTAATAACTCGTGTATAAATATTATTTTGTGGTGTTTGTGTTGTGATGCTATCTCGAGTCAATTTAACGACACGGCTCCACAAAGGGACTTCCGGCACTTTTATCACCTCGCATGACCCATTTACTGACCGGGCGTCACCTTTACCTCCCGCCGCCTTCCCCCCTCAATAAATATTGTCGACAAATTCGAGCCTCTAATTGGATCCCCAAGTTGTGTGATTTATGCGAGTTTCATTCTGATTATTTCCCAATGGTTATTATGGGAATGATCGAATTATAATTCCTGCGAGAGGCGTTGACACCCTTCTTTACTATAATACCTCGAAAGGAAGACTATCAGCCCCTTCCAGATTTTATGGACCTTTTGATAAGGGAAGTGAGGGTTTAATTAGTCTTTCAATATGACAGAACAGGAAGATGTTTCCAAAGCCATCAGATCTCATCCTTTATTCCCTGTGGTTACTGTAAGTTGTTGTTCTTTGCCATTTTGAAATAAAGTAAATTCCAAGCTTTTTAAATTAAGTTTTACAGAGTTTTCAAAATTATTATTTTGCTTTAATTGCGATAATTACAGTTACTAGCACAAAAATGTGACCAAGCCCTATGGCAAGGCGAACACAGTACTGACATAAAGGATATCCTTGAAGTAAGTCGAGTAATATATATATAAAGTATTAAAAGTAATTTTACTTTTACAAATCAAGATTCGCTCTCAAAGGTTTAAACTATTAGATTTATGGCACCCTTAATTAAGTATAATACAATTACTATGTACATGTTGACTCCACTGAGTCTGCCGGCCGAAGCTTCTTCTGAACTTGTAGTTGGCGCTTCTGTATACTCGTCTTCTTCAGAATCCGAGGCGTCTTCCAAGTCGTCGATTCCATTTGATTGTAATACAGTAGGAAGCGAGTGAAGCGCCACGATCTGATCGGTGTCGTTACTGCCCTTCGTCTCATTGCTACTGTTCACTTCGATTTGCGACAGAATCTCCAAAGTAGTGTTCTTTGGTTTTGTAGCTTCAAAGACGTCAGGAGCAGTTTCATTATATTGTTCATCGTAGGCTTTGAAAGGTTCTGAAATCAAGCGCTGACTCAATATGTCCAGTATCTGTCGTAGCAGGTCTTGAGCTTCCATGAGAGTTTGAGTGTTATTGTGAACTCCTCTAAGAAGGTCAAGGTCGTTGGCTGAAAGCGTAGTGGGTACTGAAGGTTCAGGAGTAGTGGCAGGGGGTACGGTAGTTGTGGGATAACTTCGCATTGGTACATGTGGGGCCATAGAGGGGTTGAGTTGGTTGGGGAAGGATGTTAGGGCTGGCTGTGACATTCCTTGCATGTTGATAAGGTCTGGTAACTTCACTCCAAACATCGGAAAACTGGGAAGCTGATTCTTTTTGTTTAAAGTGGGAATGACATAGATGGTCTCGGAATTAGTTGCACTGTCCACTTCTTTCTTCAGCTCGACATTCAGTTTTGGGTCCATTTGAATACTGAAACAATTAATTTTTGCCCAAACCCTTCCTGATAATTCAAACTGATTATTTATAAATTTACTTTTGGCCACCCAGTTGATTGTCCAATGTCTTTATCTGATACACCGGCATTGACATCGCATAGTTACAGCAAGGGTACGGACAGTTGCACCCACTTCCGTGTACATGCAGCACCTATATTACACTTATAACTAATAAGTCATATAGGTTTAAAAAAAAACGTTATCAGGTAACACATATAAAGTATACCATAAACCTACAATTACCTATATCACTATTACTTACCAAATTATACAAGAGTATAAAGAGGAACATGTTTAATCATGGAAGTGGTCGTTCAACTCTCGCAAATATTATTCTTGTGATCGCGAGGATGCGTTCAATTAGAGAGCATTACAGTTTATATAAGAGCAGGAAATTATTGCACGGTAAAAGTAAAAAACGGACTAAGCAAAGTGCGCAGAACCCGTCCACCTTTGAAGTCAAACAAACGGCTGGAGGGACGGTGAGAGAATGTGCATATTACGGCATGATTATATGTCGCTCTTTTCAGTTGCTCAAGCAGTTCAAGAAGAACGACACCCAGTTCAAGTCAGACGACCCAAAGGTGGATTCGCTCATGACCGAAGCCATCTTCGAGTTCCATTCCCATCTCAAACAGATACATCAGCTCTACGCTCTGACTGAGGTTTACGTCGCTCAACGCAGAGGTATCAAAGCTTTGAATTTTAAATATAAACATAACTTGTTACCAATATTTTGGCTTTTTAAATATATTAACAATACCTCGTTATTCCAGAACAACTGAAAGAAGAATCTGTAAAATCATCAACGTTTCCCATCAACTTAGCTCCATTACAAAGAATTCAGGAGATACAACGAAAACCACGCAAGAAATTCACAATCAATGAACTCCTTGACAATCAAAATAATACTATGTAACTATATTTTTAACTATAACGGCTAGTCAAGCACACTACCCTTCTTTACGAACATTTCCTTGTCTATGAAATAATGTAGAATTTAGCTCAAAAACAGAATCAAGAGAACTTCAACATTCTTTTAAAAAATGCTCAAAATTTTAAAATCGTGTTTCTCCAATAAATTTATGTGATATTCCTACGTGATTTATATCCAAAGTCAAATTACAAGCTGAATACCAATTCAAAAGCACGAGTGATTCCGACGTCGTTAATGTTGAAGTTGATCAAGACAATGGCCAGCAAAGCGGTTCCAACATACGACAAGTAATGAGCGGCCTTAGCAGCACCTTCTCCAATCACAATTGGGCGGGCATAGTCGGTGAGAACAGCATGACCTCCACTAAAACAATATTGACATTGACTAAACACAATCCAAAATGGATATAAAAACGCCTATAAGGAAAAACTGTAAAAAAAGGACTTACAAATGACAGTTAGCGACAATAGCAGCGGTCACAAGCCAATCCATAGCAGTTCCGTGAACAACATACGACAGTGGCAACAAAGGTAACGTGCCGACGAAAACTTGACGTTCCAACTTGAAGTGTCCCGCAGAAGACGGAATGGTCTTAGTTGGTCTAGCAGGACTTACCAAAGCTGCTCCAGTCAATGGGGCACACGTACGAAACGCCCTGAGAGAAGGCATCGCCGACTGCTTGAAGCCGATAACTGATCGGACGGCAAGCGAAGAAGACAACATGGTCTGAAACAATAAAAATATTTTAAAAACCACACAATTAATAATTAGCCTCAGATTTTACAATAAAACCTTATAAACTTCAAAGAACGATCTCCCAACAACATTTTACGTTTTTTCAAGAAAATAAAAAAGCGTGTCAAGTGTTGTCCTTTACATGCGACAACTCTCCCTCTATCACATGAGTTTGATTGCAATTAACTGATTTCCTTGCAATTACCACAATTTTCTTCAAAAAATACAACTATACATACGCCAAAAATTTACAATTTATTCAATCTAACATATTGTAGAAAACATTAGTATGTATTTGCTAAGTACAACATCAATAGAAAAGACGGGAAAAGCTATAAAGTACAACTTTCATGGCAAGTTGAAAAATATTAAACAAATAGACTTATATTACAAAAGAAATCTATTGGAAGATACCTTTTTGGAGACCGAGCCTAGCCCATTTCCAAGCAAGCACACCCGTAAACAACGACAAACAAAACTGGACGGTCAAGTTAAGACCATACCTGGCTAGCCGCCAGGCCCGTTCAGTCAAACATGCACCGGTAGAAAACATACAACCGGATATACACTGCATAGTAAAATAAGATACGATATAGGCATAATCGATATATTAAACTAGACTGGAGGAGCGACTTGAGAGGTAGAGACTGATTGTCGCCGTCGAAGGATAAGTGAGCATTCATTGCTGAACATAACCTAACTCAAACAAGCTACACGGCCGGCTTCGCCTCTTCCGCCATTTCCACGGCTTCTGAAGTAGACGCTACATTGGCGGCTTCTCCGTTTGTTTTAGGAAACAGCTTGTCCTTTAGGTCTGCAATGTATTGGATCTCGTCTTCTGTAAAGTCGAACAAAGGTGGAAGCTCGGTCTTGGTTGGAAGAACACAGTCAGGTTGTCTCAGTTCGTCGAAGAACTCGTGGGCCATCGCTTCCAGAGGATTTAACCGACTGGTCGGAGTGTATCGCAATATTTTGGAAACCAAATCAGTAGCCTCGTTCGGAGTTCGTGGGCGGAAAACCTAAAATGCAAGCGATTAATGTTAAGAAAACAGACATACCTAAACATGCAAAAAAAAGACAACGTAAAGAACTCACTCTTTGCCATGGATGTGGCCGGATAGATGGGAATCTGAATGTAGTGTAGTTTGGATTCATTTTGTTGATCTCTTCTCTAGTTGGAGTACCTAATACTTTGATGATCTCCACCAACTGGTCAACTCCGGAATCTCCAGGGAAGAAAGGTTGTCCCAATAGAAGTTCAGCCAACACCGTCCCTGCTGACCAGACATCTGAAAGATTAGTTTATAATACCTAAATTAGTTAATTCTGTAACTCATACACATTAACCGAAAGTTTAGTAGACAAGGACTTTCTCTTACCAATACTCGTTGTGTAATCAGTTGCCCCAAAAATAAGCTCAGGGGCTCTGTAGTACCGTGAGCAGATGTAAGCGACGTTTGGTTCTCCTGGAGTTAATACTTTGGCAGATCCAAAGTCGCAAAGCTTGACAACACTGGTCTTAGAGTTGAGAAGCAGATTCTGTGGTTTAATGTCTCTGTGACAAATGCCTAGACTGTGAATGTATGCTAATGCGCGGAATACTTGGTACATATATGTCTGAAACGGTCGTCATTTAGTATTTGTCGTAAAAACTTATTCATAATGGTTGATGCATCAACAAAGGCAAAAGGTAACATTAGAACCACGTTTTTCATACTTACTTTTACATAAATCATTGGTATGATTTGTCTTTGCTTATTAAAATGTCGAGATACTCGGTAAACTGTTTCCGGAATGTACTCTAATATCAGATTCAGAAAAAGGTCGTCCTTCTGAAACAAAACCATAAAATACTATAATATACGTATAATTCTTTTACACTCATTTCACAAAAGCTTTCATAATTATAAACTGCAAAACCAAACGAAACATAGTGACTACTCTGCATCTATATTTTAGTACATTTGACGTAAATCAGCATCCTTACCTTGTCGCCGGTCGTGTAGAAGAAGTACTTGAGCTTGACAACATTCTGATGATTCAGACGTCGCATGATTTGAAGTTCTCGGTTCTAAACATCGTACACAACATAAAAGACACCACCTACCTTGAAACGCTTGTCTTGTAGTACCTTCTTGATAGCAACGTGTTCGTTAGTATTGACAACTTTAGCCATGTAGACCACCCCAAAGGACCCGTTGCCGATTATTCTGCCATCTGCATATTGCAGTTCAAGTTCTCTGTCTGGCTCTCCATTGGGAAGAGCTACACTGACTGTAAGACTCCGGCCTTCTTTCGAAAACAACTCTTTGTTCATGTTTAGCTAAAAAGAAGAATAATATTAAGTTATAAAGAAAATATAATATTGTAAACGACTAATCAATCAACAGCTTTAGAAACATTCCTTGCTCTAAAATTATACAAAATCAGGTAGTATTCTTACTTTGTCGTACAAAAACCTCATTTCATTAGAAACATAAGACAAAATCAAATTCAGTTCATTCCGAAAAAAGCCAAATTTTGGATTTTCTCAACGAATAGTGAACCTGACGTGTATTATGGAATAGAGTTAAAAACTGACACTTTTTACAGACTAATAATAGAAGTTGACACATTTCGTAGATGAGATGACATATTTTATAGGATAATGACGATTAGTGAACGGTTTTTTGGACTTCTGATCATTAACTACGTGTTTTTTAGAGAATTAACAAAAAGATGACTCATTTTATGGATATTACCGAAAAAACATATTTTGTGAATAAATTTTGGAAAATTTGGCCGAAAAGTTTTGGGAAAAATGATAAAGTTGGGCCAACATGGAGTGTTTCTAATTACAATTAGGTTTGCATTCATGCGATGTGCTTGCTTACCTGTTAATCGTAATCGAAAGCAACAAAGGATTCATAAAACCAAGATGTTATTGTTGGAATACCCGCCGGCTCTTAAAATAATTACGTTAATTGATTATAAGGGGCTAGTTGTAATATGAGCGTTTAGAATTATTGATTAGGGACTGTTCGGACGCGGGGGGCGAGAAGGGACCCCAACCCGAGATGAATTTGCAATTCCCTGACCGAGAAATCGACCACCGCAGATTTGCGATGATCACAACAACAATATGTCGAGACAAAAAGCCCCGCGGGTAAACGGGTTTGGAGGCTCTCGGCCGAGCCTCTTTTCTCCAACATAACCGACTGCATCTGAGATGGGTCGGTCTCTGCCATGCTTTCCCACTTTTTCGCTCTTGTTATATTCTCCTTGCGCTTTCGCTGTCTCTCTCGTTCCTCCATTGTTCTCTCCGATGGGCGAGCGGTCTCTTTCTTTGGACACTGGAACTTGAGGATTTCGGGGACAGAGATCTGGCTGACTTTGACATCGCGCATCAGATGCAAATTCTGCTTTGTCGATGAAGAAGGTGCCTTTCTGTGTCTTATGTGTAACTTGTGACACAATAACTTTACATTGAGTTGTTGCGACTTCTGTTGACCAAAATAAGTAAGAAGACGCCGAAGCCGTCGAATGCACCAACATCAGACAATTAACAGTCCAAAAACAGATAGTTAACAGACTTTCCGAAAACATCTTATACATTGTCTACATGACCTCAAGTAGACGAACATGACAAGAATAATTTGATCGGAACCAGTTCGATAAACAGACAAACAGGTATATTGTGTGTGATTCAAAGGCCATAGGTTTCTCGGGTTTCGCGCAACGAACAGCTGCCGACGTCGAGAGTGAGTGAAGGAGAAGATGGGCGTTCATTGTTCGACATTTCAGAACAGTCAGCCAGCGGGAATGTAATGATTCTAGTTAGCCTGACTAATACTGTATTACTAACTGGGGTCGGGGTGGTGTTGCTTTTAATTGACACTCGAATTAGCGTTTTTTCGAATCTCACGTTGAATCTGGGCTGTTTTGAGGTCAGAGTTTCGTCGATTCCGCGTCAAAATTCGCGCGCCTTGATTCCTTCCATTCTTAGACTTCACTCCTCTGTCTCTGGAACAGGGGAAAAGATTCTCGTCGCATCGATTTGCGACGTCGCTACCTTTGTCTGTTGTACTATGAGCGATAAAGTGATATTGTTAACTTAAGAGATGGGATCGTTTAGTCGATGGACAGCGTACGGAGCCGGTGGACGATGCCTGAGGCTGTCGTATTTAAGTACCAACTTGTTGTCAGTGGTATGTTCTGATTCTATCTTCTGAATTTCGGCAACTTCCGACTTTTTTAGCCTATTTTACGATTTTTCTTCACACCTAAAAAATGCACAACGTTTTACTTACAATAAGTTTCGAAATAATTAGTTTAAACTATATAAAAATAATGGTGTAAATTAATATGTTTTTGTGTAGATGTTAGCAGGAGCAGTGTTCGTATATGGTTGTTGGATGTACCACAACTACTCAGAGTACGCTGAATTGTTGGCGCCCAGTTTGTACGTTGATGTTAGCAGAATCATGATCGTTGTCACACTTCTGGCCATATTCAATGCGGTTGTATCAACGTATGGTGTGTTCAAAGAGCTTCGATGTATGATATATTCGGTAATATTGTTTTGTTAACATTGCTAGTTTAGTCTAACATTACAGAGTAGTGTGTTGTGTAAAATTTTACTTTTTATGTAACTGTATTTCAATATGAGGGTTACATTTCAATGTTATTGTTTCAGTTCTCAATCGCCAGCATCATCATCTTCATCATGCTATTTATCGGCGGTGTTATGGGTTTTGTTTTTCAGTACAAGCTCCGCCATCAGATTCCGCTGGACTTAAAGATGTATACTTCATTAAGGGAATTGTATGGTAATGAGGAGTGGCCTGATGTCACGAGAGCCTGGGACTCGCTGCAGACCAATGTAAGTTCAAGAAAACAATTTTTAATAATTAGTTTCGATGCTGCGGCGTGAATGGTACTGACGACTGGAGGATCTGGGGCCAATCCAAATGGCACATGCACTTGAAGAACGAGACCAAACCCAAGATGCCCGACTCGTGGTATGTTGGTTTACATTGTTGTTGTTTTTATGTCTTTGTTCATACTGTAGACAATTTGTGTTTTGATCGTTAATTGTGTCGCATTGAGGTATTTTTTGAATTTGCAAAACGGGATTAAGACAATGTGATTAAGTGATATTACCGTAAAATTGATATTACCATGATTAAGATGTTAGTGATATTACGATGATTACAAGGTTATGTAGTGCCCTAAATCTTTACGACTTTCAGTTGTCCGTCGGGGAGCGAGGAACATTGCCGGAACTCACATCTCACGTCCATCACAAACACTCCGATTTACAGCGAAACATGTTATAAGCCATTGAAGAAGCAGCTATTGTTCGTGGTGAACACAGCCAGCTGGCTGTTGATAGTCGAGAGTGGGGTCTTGGTATGTTTGGTTTCATCTTAATTGTTACTTAAAGACGTATTCAATAGATATGAATAGATGATGACTTCACTTTATTTATACATTTGCAGTAATGATGAATGTTACTGCGGTGTAGCATGTTACTTTATGGGTATTTTTATGTCATATGCCAAATTTTAGAATTACTATGGTTTCAACTTTGTTTTTTAAAACCGTAATTACCATTTTCATCGTTTTATGGTTTACATATTACCTTTACCTTGTATATTACCATGACTAACTATGTGCATTTCAGCTGATACCCGCTTTCTTCGCCGCAATGTATGCGCGTTTAATAAAAAAGTAGTTACCTTACATTACATTACTGTTTACTGTACATGAAGAGCTTTAATTCCTTGATAAACTTTATTTCCTCGTTTCGGTGAGATAAAGGGGGGGGGGAGGGCATAAGGACGTTAAATGGAGAGAGTAGGTCTCATTTGGCTGGATCTCTTAACGCGTTCAGGTGACTCTTTATGGCTTGGCCACAAATCCATTATTCATGTCTGCAAATCTTGGAATGCTGAAAATAAGGGGTTACAAATGGGATGTCGTCATACCCAGTATTTATGGCAGGCCCTAATTCTCAATTAAGCGCGGTATTCTGTTCTCCAGATATGGGTAATCGTATCTTAGCATGGTGTTCGTGTTTTTGGAATTTGGTTCCTGTTTTAGCATGGTGTTTATATCTTTGCGTCGTATCTTGAGCATGACATTCTTATGTTTGGTGTATTATAATAAGCATATAAATGTTATTACTCTTTTGTAGATTAGTTAACTCAAGTTGGATAAACTTTTTGACTTAGATACCATTATGTACCGATAAATAAAGATCTGTTACATGTTAAAACATACGTATGCCACACGTATGAATTTAGGTGATGTAGTGTTATAAACCGCCAGTTATGGTATGATTTATGTGAATAGTGAGTAATTAACATGCGGGCTGACTTTTACTCTTTCGTGAGTAATTACCGAGTAAACTGGCTACACTATAAAACTGCATGGGTGGATCCCCTGTGTAATGTATAATATGTGTAAACAGGGATTATAACACTTGTAAGAGCCTATTAGAACACATCCGAGCAAAATAACTTTTAAAATCTTGTAATTTGTTTAGAGCAGATTAGTCAAGACGAACGGACGGATGGGGCCGGCCTTAACGACTTTTCACAAATAACCTTATTCTGTCGTGTGGGGTGGGGGGTGCGTTTTATTATTTGGGACTGATAAGGGGCCGTGTATGCAAAGCTTCTTCTCACCTATTGTTTTGCGGTTTCCAGGGATCATTTGACCGGTCGGGTTTCTGTTAAGGAGAGCCCCACTGATTGTACCCTATTGTTTTGGCACTGCGCCAATTGAGGTGCTTGGGCAACTAGTTTGAGTGAAAAAAGCGGAGAAAGGCGGGCGGGATCTTCGAGACTGAAGGAGCGTCGTTCTGTGCAGCATTTGGAAGGGCTTCGTGCATTGACCTTGTCGTACGTCTTGATGAGCCGTCCATTGCAGAGCAGTCAGCCCAGCACCAGCCACGGCCCCCCCAGCACCACCCCGATGCGGCGTCGGCTACTGTGGATCGACCACGTCCTGCTCTCCTGTAATCCTATATTCAGGTTCTTCACTATTTGCATTCCTCGAAAACAGCCTTCGAGCTCGACTGGCAGGACGGGCGATACTCAAAGGGTGAGTTTAAATAGATTAGCATCTTCTTTTACTTATCTCCTTTTATGGCATGAATACTTGAGCAGGACTATTATACTTGTTTCCCGACACCTAGCAACAACTTTCAAGGGTTCGGAGCCGTTCGAACTTTGAAGCCGCTCGAGCTTCGAAGGCGCTCGAACTTCGAAAAAAGTTTTACAGGCTTTTGAATGTGGCACATAATAACTCGAAACGGCATTATTAAAAAAAGCAATTTATAATAAATGTCATCTGCAGATACTGGAGAAGCTGAACGGTGCCGGAAGTCTGTTAAGCGATGCCTCGGTCCACAGTTTCGACTCCATTCCTCGCGAACCCACCGAACGCCACGAGATCATCGAGGGCCTGGAGTACGGTACACTACACTTCAACCTGGAGTACGACTTTGCCAACAACAAGGTAAGGGTGGCGTGTGGTGGGCTAATCCGGTTGTGTTATATTATTTATTATAATCTCTCAAGGCGATATTATTAGAGCGAATTCCAATTGAGTAGCGAGAGTCCTGATTCCGGGACGGAATCCAGTCCTTCCGGCTAAGTCTCGAACATCTCTTTCACACGTTCCTCTCGGCACATTATTTAATCTCGACGTGATAGAGCACACACAGTCTCGTTTCTTGAACTTTTGAGTTTTCGAAATGGTTTGGCAAACTTTGAAATCATACTTTTCAGCCTTCTAAAGTTACAGTTTGTTTGTCGAGGTTCAAACAAATAAGCATAGCTAGAAAAACAAAATGTAGTTTACAGTGTTAAAATTAACCATTTAAACTAATCTTTAAATTTCACTTATCAAAGTTGTCTTACTGTAAATACAAGAAATGGTCTCAGATGGCCGACCATTTTAATCTGTCTACAGTAATATGACCTTATAATTATACAGCAAGCTAACTTTAATGCTCTTGCTAAATTGTAAGTACAAAGTCTTTAATGTAGATCACTTTACTCTTGCAGTCTTTCAATGATATATAGAAATTACTGTAAGCTAATGTACCTTAATATGTCATAATTCAAATTCAATTAGTTCCCTAGTCCCCAAACGTTGTCGCCAAGTATATTATCTTGGAGTGCATTAGGAACGACATAAAGACTCTCTTAGGTTCCGATGTCATTCTCTCGACTACACTTCCATTTGAATTTGTCATTAGAAATGCACCAAATTTGCATTAATTTTGGACATTATGTTATTCTTTACATATTATGTTACATTTTTTACAATCATCGCCAGTATATGAGAGTAAACATCCGTAAGAACATGGGTTTTTACAAATTACAACTACCGTTAATTAAAAAGTTGGTTTTCATGGTTACAATGTTACACTTGTGGATGTAATTATGTTGAAAAGCAGTGTAATGGGAAGTAAAGTAAAGGTGGTATAATAAGACTGAAATGGTAATGAGTGTTAAAATTAGTGTAAAACATTTAAATATCACATTAAGGCCCAGATTTTGAAAAGCGGCTTAAGAGACTTAAGTAGAAAGCGATGTAATCAGAATTAATACCTAAAGTAATGTAATAAAACTTCCAATTGGCGTCGAACCCAGAATAGCAGACCACATGCCAATGGCCTAATTGATAGTGACATTGTTTTAGCTAGCCGTCACCATTCTGGAATGCCGAGATCTGCCGGCGATGGACAGAAATGGCATGTCCGATCCGTATGTCAAACTCACCTTACTGCCGGACAGGAAGCCAAAGTTCGAGACCAAGATAAAGCGGAATTCGCTGAATCCCGTCTTCAACGAAACCTTCCTCTTCAGCCTCAGCTTCAACGAAATCCAACGGAAGACCCTCCAGATCGTAGTATACGACTTCGACCGACTCAGTAAAGACGATCGTATTGGCCAGATATCCATTCCCTTAGAGAACTATGACTTTGGCGACGTCAGCGACCAGATTATGCATCTTCAGAAGCCTGACAACGACAGTGACGTGGTATGTTCGTACTTCCTTTGTAAAGTATTCACGGTAAACAGTTCCGCTTAATGTGAACGTTATGTAATACTTGTTTCTTTCATTATTGGGGTATTGTCTCCTGCAGTAACAAATAAAACATTATATTTAAAAAATAATATTGTGAATCTCAGGACTCCCGACTAGGCGACATATGCTTCTCGATGAGGTATCGACCGGCGACAAGCACGTTGACCGTCACCGTGATGGAAGCCCGTAATCTGAAGAAGATGGACATGGGCGGATCCTCGGGTATGTTTACTTTGCAATTTTATACCGTACCGTGCCGTCTGATGACAAAACGTTTATTCTTCAGACCCTTACGTCAAATTGTACATATACGAACAGAAGAAGCTAATCCAGAAGAAGAAGACTTCCATCAAGTTCAAGACACTGAATCCCTACTACAACGAGAGCTTTCAATTTAAAATTCCACCGGATCAGATGGAGGTAATACATAATTCATGAGTAATAGGCATGCACGAAACACCTTAAAACATGTTTAATTGACATTTTAAAACGTTTTCTACTAGCTATGTGCGAAGATGAAGTATCTAAAACACATCCTAAGAGATTTTTCCTGAACAATATATATTGTAATCCATATAATGCTCATTTCCAGAGGGTACACATGGTAGTTAGCGTCTGGGACTACGACAAAATGAGTAAAAACGACTTTATTGGTGCTGTGGTCCTCAGCTCGCCTCACCTAAACATGAGCTCGTGCAGTTTGATCAGTCAGGAGCAGTGGGCCGAGATGATGATCACACGACGACCGGTCGTTAAATGGCATACCTTACAAGGGCGGGACAAAGAGTAGTTGATACAGTGCTCAAATAAATTTATATTATTTATTGGACTTGTTCTGCGACGCAAAGGATAGTACCATCTCCTTGAGGAGGTTCAGCTCGTTCCTCAGTGTTTCCACCGTTCGCTCCAGATTCTTGTTCTCTTCGCGTAGCTCATGGACTCGCTTCACGGTCTCCACCTCTTCCTGTCGCTTCTTCTGGCGAGTTTTATTTACCGCGGCATTGTTCCTCTGCCTTTTCATAACATAATCATCATCTGACACATCGCTCTGAGCAGGCCGCTTCGACGGTCGGTCCGGCTTATTAGACATTATTCTGAGGAAGTAAAGTAAACAAACGAAATAACGGCACGAAATACCGAGTAATAGCGCAAAACAGTATAACAATCTACGTTAATAAAAAAAAAGAAACCAAAAGTACAACAAAAATATAAAAAAGATAGATACATGTCATCGAAGGCACCACAAGCATCGTATTATCGTTTATTACAATATTAACAACATAAAAAGTATCACAGGCTGAGAGAGTGTAAAGTGAAATAACGCATATACATCCGACCCCAAGCAATTTACATAAATCACCATATTATACATCATGTCCGACCACAGCAACTGTTGACCTGTTGTTGAGCTCTGTCCATTAACGAAATGCCACCGTATCCCGCATTACTCTTGTTTCCATTATAACTAAATTAAAAGTAACATTAAAATCTCGTTTTAAAGTCTAATTTTTAAAATGTTACAATAACCATCAAAAAAACCAAGTACTCAAATATAACGAAATATTACAGAATTATACTATAACATCTGAAACGTAACCTACTACAACAATTCAAAATGACTTCACAAACTTTATATATCCTACATTCTTGTCTAACTTAAAAAATCCATATTTTAGACAAATTTTGGTATTAAAAACACAAAACAAAGTAATGATACTTACATTTCGTCGCTGTTCTTCATATCGTTCGTTAAGCGCGTTGCCACTTCTTGAAACAGTGTATCTACATTCGTGGCATCTAAAGCTGACGTCTCTAGAAAGTAATCAAAGCCATTTGCATCTGCAAAGTTCTTCCCAATCCTTTCAGGCACTTCTCTTTCATCGTCCTTATCTACTTTGTTACCTAAAATATAGACAATCAGTATCTGTATTCAAAATTTAATATAACCTAATTTAGAATATCCCGCATATGTTTTAAAAAACGCTGAAAAATAAGAAACAACCAATATGTAATTTATTATCTAACTTAAAAAAATAGTAACATTAAGTTAAACTGAAATTCGTTATCTTATTAATTAAAAAGCAATCATAGTTCACCAAATAAAAGGCATTATCTCAACCACTTACCCACAAGTATTTTCAAAACTTTTCTATTTGCATATTGCTCAATTTCGCCCAGCCATTCGGGTAAACAGTCAAAACTCGGCTGACAAGCCACATCGTAGACTAAAACAATCGCATGTGCTGATCGATAATAGCTCTGAGTGATTGATCTGAACCTCTCTTGACCGGCAGTGTCCCATATTTGTAACTAAAACTATCTTTAACTACAAGACCTTACTTACCTTTATTTTATCTTCTTCAACTTTTACTGTTTTGATCATAAAGTCAACTCCAATCGTCGCACTTTGTCCAGGAGGAAATATTCCCTAAAATCAGAATAAAATAACCAACATAAAAGTTACCTGAGTGAACTTCCTGACCAAACATGTCTTTCCAACACCCGCATTACCCACCAAAACGACTTTAAACAAATATTTGTAGTCCTCCATGCACGTGCATAAGCTAAAATTAAGTTAATCGATATTGGATATTTAAATCAGAGCGCGGATAATCATGAAAATCAATAATGATTGCAAGCAAATCCATGAACACGTTCAACCCCGTCTCTTCCAACGATGCGATATTTTGTTTCATAAAATATATTTTTTTCGGCATACAAACACAACACCAATTTCGTGGCGGGACCTAACGGATGTCAAATTGCATGATTTCGAAATGAAAATAAAGTTGTTATGAAATATATGTATAACAAAATAGAAAAGTAATATAAATAATAAAATAATTTAAAATATTGCGTTTTCTGATTTTTTATAGTTGAAATCAAAAACTTTGCTCCATTATTTTCCGATAACTGAAAAAATATTTAGGTAATATTGTTGCTTAATTAATGAATAATATTTTATAATCCATCAATCAGTAACTAGAATTTATTTAACTTTGGTTTATAACCCGTTAGCAATATATCGGATCAGAGTGAAATCGGTTTTTCAAGGATTCCATGACATCACAGGTGTCTTTAATGAGATCGTCGTATGTTATTTGTCTGTTCGGAGAACTGAAAGTACATTTTAAGTTTAAGTTAAAGTTTTTTTAAATTTGAGGAACTGACCTATATGCGAGAGCTTATTAATGATTTTCTGAGAATTTGTGACCAAAAACAGCTTTTCGAAGTGAATGAAGGATAATATTCTCTACAATATTAGGTATACTTACTTGAAATCAACTCCTAACACGAAAGTAACATTTGTTCGTTGAGCGTCGATTCGTCGTAGAATGAAATGCAGCTTATTAAAGACGACAGGAGAGTTTGTTTCATAAATAGTGGCAGGGGCTGACCGTTCCATCAATATAAACGTGTGTTTCTGTATCACTTTGGCATAGTGCCTAGTCGACATTCTGAAAGTAGGTTGGCGTGATTACTTTTGTTGCGGATATGAAAATTAAAACAGTACCAAAATAACATTATTAGCCTATGTTCAACTTACCGTGCCAAACAAATAGGATCATCGCTAGCAGAACACCATTTTGTCTTGGCAGATATCAGCTCGACGTCATCGTTTACGGTCTTCAGATACACATACGATGTAAACGTAGGATCCCAGGATCTGTTTTCTATCAGGAACCTGAACAAGTCTACCGTGTTCACTTCAAGTACAGTATCCGCTCTATACTCTGGGGTAGGCTTTGACGAAACTGAAGAGATAATGTCATTGTTCTGCCAGATGTATCGGTTTCTGTCGTATTTCTGATGTTCGTTTTCTCTTGGTCCAATTAACATGGCATTCTCCATCTCTTTGGCCACGGCGTTCGGTAGCTTGAATATCTCTTGTGCTCGAGATATCAGTATGGTTAGTACAGTAGCCAGAGCTTTACAGTTGGTAATGTAGGCTTCTGGAGCGTCTGAACAATCATGTTGTAGATCGCAGATCGTTGGCATGAAAACCGACACTAGGTTCTCAACAGTCATCTGAAAGGGCTTGTTTAATATTATTATCACATAAAATTACTTGTTTCTTACTTATCTTTTTGCTAAGCGTTGTGCTTTTTACATTTTATAGGTAACGGCTACTATAGTTTGAGGTTAGCACCTAAAAACCTACCAAGGTCGCTTCAGAATACGTGGAAAGCTTCTGAAGGAAGTACATCAGAATACAAAGGGCGTCTCGCTTATTAACTTCCATCAGCGTGACACAACATCTGAGAGAGTCGATCTGTGAATCCGAGATGTCTTTACAGTTACTCTTCCCCAAACACTTCATCATCAACTTCCAGATGGGCTTCGAAATCAGTTGGCCGGGGATCTCTCTGATGTACTGCTTGAATATGTCGGCGAGGATTATAAGGTTGTTAGAGTCAGCCAATGACAATGGCAGTATGTCGTTGACTCCGAGGCCTTCACAGCTCTTACGGTACTCTTCTACTCGAGTCTTCAAAGCGGCCGTTCTGAAGAGACCCATATTACAAGACTGGGACGCTTGGTGTAATACCAGATCCATTATACAGTGGATGAATATAGGAAATGGAGAGTTGATGTCACTTCTTGTCCGTATGTCCTTCAGGTTTCTTTGGAAGGTACTCTTCTTCTGATCTCGCTTTAGTTTGAGGGAGCGGATTGAGTTGGCCAACCTAGAATACATGGTTGCTTATTGTTATATAAATTATCTTAACATGCTATGTTTGTTTACTGGGAGGTATATTATCATTAATTGTCACTAAAGACCATTTCTTGTTATTGCTATGTTATTCCCTTTACTCCTGCTTTAGAGTTATGCGTGTGATGAGTAATCTACCAGGTAGATAGTGAAGGTAAACCCCTGATTACCACTAATTTCGCGGTATTTTTAGAGCAGACATTAAGTATGAAATAAGCGGTAATAAGGTAATTATGCTAGACGTTGTTTACCTTTTGCGCAAACCTGAAGGTTTTTCGATGACATCACTCTGCGTTATGGTTTGGTTCAAAGTTTTCGACAAGGAATCCAAAACCTGTACAGTCAACGCATTCTGAAATGATGACATTACTACAAAATACCAACATATTCAGTTTACAAGGGGACAAGTAAACCAATATACATTATAAGTTGCCTATAAGCAATATTATATTAACCTACCCTAAACTGAGGAGCATAAATGTCCAACCGCCATGAGTAATCGTTAATCAGACCATCAGTCACATCGTTAAACTCAATATTTATAACCTGATCTTTTAGACGGAACTGAAACAGACGATTGTAGACGGAAGTACTAGAATCACATGGTGCAGAAGACGACGATGCTTCACAGTCTTCTACACACAAGAACTCTTCATCAGTAGGAATGTCGAGTCCCCAGAACCTCCACGAACTTTCTGATATCTGAGAGCTGTTGAAGTTGGTTACGGTAGAAGCAGTTGTGTCAAACGATGACTCTTCTCGACATTCTGGCCTAAAAAGTGTTGTTATAGTCAAGGTAAGATTGATCTGTTATGACAATATGCTTTACATCAAACTTTTGCTTACAATTTGTAGTTGTTCTGCTTTCTGTACGCCTTACATATCCGTTGTACTTGATAGGCACTACTATCTTCGTCTTCCGGGTCAAACAAATTGTCGCTCAAGTCACTCCACGTACTTTGTGTGGAATGTGGCGGCGTGTTTCCGTAATATCCGTACTAAAATATGGTCAGACATCTGGCACATAACACTTACATGTGGCGACGATCCGGACGAGTCAAAAGTGGAGACATTGGAGAGGAAGGTGGATTCTGGAGAACTCGAATCTTCCAGATAGTTGGACCGTTTCAATGACGGTACGGTAAGCCGGTTGACGTTACTGTCGTTGACAGAACACTCCCATCGGTAACACGGGAAACGAGAAGCCGGGAGCCGAGGTGTTGTTGTAGATGAGATCGGAGATAACGGCGAACGCGGAGTCGAATGTTGAGGAATGGCATAAGCGTTACTGTTTGTAGCTAGATTCATCAACTGTTCCGCATTACAAAGAAGTACACGCTCGTAGTACGATACCATGTCTCTGTAATTTATATTTTCATGATTCAATGTAGTAAAACACAAAAATTGCCTAGTAATTTAAAAAAAATATGTTATGAACTTTTTGACCAAAACAACCAAAAACTAAACATTTTCTAACAAATAGAATTCGAAAAATTAGAATAACAACGAGAGCGACTTTATAAAAAACATTTCAATCAATCAAAATGCCCCCACCAAGGTTACCTTCCCCTTATTGTCTTGACTTACTCGACTCTTGGCGGCTGACGGGTCTTTGGGGTAGCCATGCTCGTAGCCAGGCTACACTCCGGATCTAACTGATCGAGGCATTGGTCTAAACGCCTCAAGGCATCCATGATTTACTTGCAAGTAAACATGTTCTCATCAAACGTTTTACGTCCTGAAGGAGAGAAGTGTGTTGTTATCGGTAATTGCGTGTAATTCAAAGTCGCGAAGTGAACAGAAGACCTCAACCCCTCCCCGACTCTTTAGTTAACTCAAAAAGAAACCGAACCGGCTGTAGAAACAATTTGCAAGAGAAGAAGCTTATCTCACTGATAAGCCATGCTACCCACAGATGTCTCATAAACCAGCTCACTTGTGCTCTGATCGCAACGACAGCCCTTTTGTCCAATTTTGTTTAAAAATCGGAAATTCCTTTTGGGGACATTCGAAGGGAAAGCATATCGGTAGAGATGGACAAAGCGGAGGCGCGACAGACGTTAAGCGATAAAACTGTCAAGATCAGGCGGGATAAAATAAGGGTACTATGAGAAATGCGTCTACTATAAAAGCAAAAGTGATAAAACAAAATTACGATAAAGAATGTCTAAAACAACACCAAACAAACAGGCAACATGTTACAATCAAAGTCAAGAATAATATAGATCAAATATGACACAGATGCAATAACACTAATGTAATTGAACGAAAGGCGCGACAAATTACGGCATTCAATCAAGACTCTTGAACTATAGTCGTGATGTTACGCGCGGATATTGTCAGCGGAAGGGGAAATAATCGCGTCAAAAACGTGGTCTTAATGGCTGAGTTTTGTGTGCATAACCTCTCATTCCATGAAGAACAGGACGCCGTCTTTAAGTGCGCGCCGATTCCCAGAAGAAGAAGAGGAAGATCGACTGGTCAGCCCGAGTTCAGGCCAGCTGACTGCCAACAATTCAAATCACGGCAAAGCGCGCGGACTGAGCGATGCGTTGCAACACATCTGCTTAGAGCCGTTGTGGCTTGACTTCTGTGGCTTCTGTGATGACTTACAAAGGTGAAAGACCTAAAACAACTTAAAGAGAGCTACGGCATGAAAAGACGGCCCAGATGCTCGTGATCACAACAAAAGAAAGGCAAAAAATCGCCTTCTTCACAAGTTTTCGCATGATTTGAAGAGTTGATAGGAAGGAATCAGATAATCAACAAACGGACTGACTGCCAGTCCCCCTCCCGCCCGATTCCTTCTCATCCAGGAGCGTTAAGAGTTATTTCCCTTTTTAATACATTAGATTTGTGTGACTCATTCATTTGTCGTTGGGTAATCAACAAACAATGTTACACCGGAATCAAGGCTTCACGTTTCATCGTGATTTAACTTTAGACGCCATAGGATATTCTATATTTTATGTTTGTAGTTTAGTTCCTATTCTATGGCGATTGAAGATGCGTTACTCATAAAAAGTTACAATTTAATGCGTATTATTAGGCAAGGCCGACCAATTAAAACTATCAAAGTTTTTTGTCTAAATAATTAAAAAGCCAAAAAAATAAAAATTAAACTCATAAGTAATTACATTGAGGTATTAGCACGATATGGTAACTTATGAAAACTTTTGCTTTATTAGTTTGAACTTTTCTTAGCATTGAATGTCTTCGTAACAAAACATTTTAAGGTTCTACCTTTGATTTACTTTTGTTTTTTACATTTCAAGTAATGATAAAGAAATAAAAGAAGCAACAAACGTTGAAAAAAGAGAGGGAGTCAAAGAAGCAGAACAAAAAATTTTTAATAAAACGCGAATAGATAACTGTGCCTAAATTAAGTTTAAATTTGTAAAAAATTTAAAAATTCCGGTCTATATCCAGAAGTGTCAATAGAAAATAAGATGATTATTGATAACATTACTTTATATCAACTACAACATCTCCACCTCAATAGACCTTCACTATAAAACAGTACAATCTTATTAAGTATTAAATACAGTACCTAGATGTAAGAACAGTTAAAAGCCATACACAACCGCCATCTTCTTATACACACCCCACATATTACCGAAATAAAACTTACTAAACTGAACATGGTACAATTAAATATAAAACCATGCCTCGAATTATGTGTAATTACATGGTAAAAGCGAACATAAACGTGATATACGTCAACAATAAACTTTGTTTTGCAGAGTACGACCATGACATTTACGTGGCAATTGATAACAAGTTTCAGCCACTTAGGTGTTAAGATAGTTCTGATACATTCAATTTCAAAGGTTAATTATGTTGGTATAACACGTAACGTTGTTATGTTTGTAACAGCTACATTTGTCTGGTATGATACTACAGTCTTGGACTAAAGACATTGAAAAATCTTGTTCTGAAAGTAGAAAAGTGATAGGTAAAAAGTCTACAAACTTTTTGACCATGCTTACAATGACATTTTGGGTTGTTTTGACACGCTTAATTTTGGAATACTACGTAAGTATAGTATGTGTATGTAAGGTTTAGTGTAAATAATAATTACGCAATGTAAAAATTTAATATTTTAAATTTAAAACCATGGTTTTACTTGTACTTTATATTGAGATTGTATTTCACAGAAGATAGTACAAATCCAAATACGTTTTCAGGAGTAACTGATGTTATCTTATGTTAGATTTACTCGTATTATTGGTGTATTATTGTATGTGCGTGCTGTCTCGAGTTACTGACAGGAATAATTAGCTTTGTAGGACACAATATAATGACATTCATTATATAACTTCGTTACAATTAGATTTGAATAGGTTTGTAAGGTGTGGTATGTGTGTATCTGACTTTTTTACTATACCTAATGTTTAGAGTATTATAATAGTGTTGCTGCAAATTATAACTTTTTTTCTATAGTTTCAACAAGTTCAATCTTATCGTATCATTCTTCTTTCAAATTTAAAAATTTTATCAAAATTCATCTGTATTACAGTAAACAAACTCAACAGTACTACCGTAACCGAGAATGTTTCGAGATTGTAAAAAAAGTCATAAAAGTGTAAATGTATTTGAAATGCAAATACATGCTAAGGTCGTACTCGATTTGTTTTACGATCAAAGGCCGGCTGTTTATAGTGAAAAAGTACGGCAATTAAAAGTAAAACAGCTTTTTTTTCAGACGGATCGAACGCCCTAAGTTGGGTTTATGGGCTCGGGGTTTATGTGACTTTTTAATGGCCCATTTTTTGCGTTTTCTCCATTTTTACTGGATTTTACACAATAAAATGTTTGTTTCGCCGCAGGCATTTTGCAAGTCTTATGTTTTCGAATACAGTAATAACTATTTACTTTGTTATATGTGTCAATTACCTTCTTTTCATATGTATATTTACCTTAACAGTAGTAAAAGGCCTCCTCATGTGATCAATCATCGCGGCATACCATTAGTTGGCCCAGCGGGAGCTTGTTTTAAGGTGGGATCCAAAGTCGCGGAATAAAAAGGCCTTTTTAAGTTAAATTTAAATAAAACGTAACTCGCGGGTACGGTAACTGTTGCGTTTCTACTGTCAAAACATTTGTGTTGTCGTAGTAACAGTGATGTAAGCTAACAATAAGTTGTAATTATTGAGTAGATTATATTTTTAACTTGGGCAGTAATTAGTTTAAAATAGAAGTATCGGTTTTAATCTTTTAAAATCATTTTAAAGCGTTTCAAATTCGTCTTAAAGCGTAATTAAGCGGCGATTTAATCAATAAGCAAAAAACAACTTGTACTATTAATCAGACCTTATCTTATACTGTGAGAAGCAAGTCAACCTACTACTTATTAATGACGTCTGATAGTGTAACAATAATTGATATAACAAACATTGTGAATGCGGAGATGGGTGGTCCCTCGATGGAATGCTAAAAAAGTTGCACTTTTGCTGAAAGCAGTGATTACACTACTTCACTAAAGTACATAATTACCCTGCACGCAAACTTTTTCTGCCGCATTACAACTGTGTTCTGATAGCGAAGCAAGTAGGCCATAAAGTCTTGTCTTTACAGCCGTCCCGTGATTGTTTTTTGAAATAAATTAAAAAACTTATCACCGAAAGCGTAGATAAATTGGTGATAAATTCGGTACCGACCGTCTCCAAACCCATATCGGTCACCATTTCTTAGGGACAGGCCACAAATTTTGGTCAAAAGACATGCACACCCTCAAATTTATAGCGTGCGCAGCTTCCGAATCCACGCAAATTTTCCATAAAAACATTTTCAATTTTCCTCCCGAGGCATTTTCCGTGGGGTTTTTATCCGTTCAGTTGCACTCGTTGTTCCTTTCAAAGGACCACACACGCAAAAACTAATCCGGGAGGCGACTGTTCGAGACATGACGTCTCGAGAGTCGAGAGTGATAGCCGGCGCGACAGAGAGGCCAGACAAGCAGCGGGCCGAGAGTGTGGGGCCGCCAAAAATAGCTGGGGGAATCACTAAAAGGACCTTTTCATGTTCGTCTTGGGCCCTCTCCGAGATGGCTGGTCCGTTATCAGTACTCTAGCGTCTCTCGCTGAGACGACGTGTTTTGGGTTATCTGACGTCTCGCTTCTGAGCAGATTCTTTTGCTTCAAGTGTGGAGTGCAGTGAACTGGGTGGTCAGAAAAGATAGCTCCGTTCCCTCTCTCCACCAAAATTGCACGTGTAAAAAACGGCTGGTTGTTCGGAACGGGCGGTGCAGTGCAAAAAGATGTAAAACGCTGCTGGGATTGGGGGGGGGGGCGAAGGGGGGAGTCTGAGGAGTAAAAGAGCGCAGCCGACTTCAACTCTCCCGTTGAATTGTGCGGTCGCCAGGAATTCGGTCTTCGAAGTCGCGCTTTTTTTTGCGACACGAGCGATTCGGGCACCGGAATCGGAGGTGGAAGGCGGCATCGGCGGGCCTTGGCCACACAGGTCCCATTTTGTTCGTTTTTCGATTTTTTGCGTTTTCCTTAAATTTTGGTTTTTGCTCAACCTAACGTACCGTATGCTACGCGTGCTTCAACCTGGATTAATTAAACCGTTTCATGTGATCGTTTTTTCATCGTTGTCCCGGTGGTTCGCTGCCACTCCACACCCCGCTCCGTGCTGTCGGTGATAAATTCGGCGGCTTTCCTTTTGTACTTTGCGGAACGACAGTCGTTTTTTGAGGGTCGAGAGTGATGAGCCGGCTTACGTTTATTTGGCTTCGGAATTTATGTCGAGAAAGGCCACTGTAATCACTCCGACACGAGCCATAAACTTTTTTATAATGTCGCCGGGGTTTATAGGATTTGAATCGTTTTAAACTCTGTCAGATTCGAAAGGAACGTTATAGTAGTCGTTCCAAAACTTGTCTAACTTTTGATTTTTAAAGTTTGATTTTGAGAGTTCAAAGTGTCTGATTTCGTTTCTTAGTGCGACATTTGCATAACGCGACTCAAAGTATTTCAATCTGAAAGGAAGACGCTAACAATGCTTGTGACCCCACCTGTATTTTGATACGAAACTACGGTATCGCCGCGATGTTCCGGACGTTTTTTTTGGGTATTCTTTGTTCAGTGTTTTACTTTAATGGCTTCTTTAGGAATTTATGGACAAATGGAGCAACGGAAAGACAAATCTGACCACAATGACAAGCTTCTGGTGCCAGAAACAGATTCGGAAGACGACAACATCTCCATCGACGTCGTGAATTGGAGCGACAGTGACGACACAAATGATTCAAACATCAAAAAAGACAAAAAGGTTGAGAAAGCCAAGAAATACAAACATGCTACAGCTTCTTCTACACCTTCAGATGCCAAAGAAGCAGCAGATACAGTAAAAGAAAAGACAGCCAAGAAGCCCAACAAAACACGTGACAGAATCGACGAGATGACAGACATGATGCGCAACTTCTTGACTCCATTGTCCCCAAGCTCGTCGCTGACTTCTGTCGACGCTTCGGTCTTCGCAACCGAGTTCATGAATAGTGCGATGACGAAAGAGGGGAACTTCAATTCGGATTCTGGAGTCTCGTCAGACAACAGCAGAGCATCGACGAGGTCCAACAACCCTTTCTGGATGACGTATTTTATGAACGAAATCAAGCGTCTAGTGCCCGCTCCCCTCGACCCAACTGTTCTCATGATGCTGGCCAATCAGACGTCGTCACAGTATTCTGGGTAAGATTTTACTTGTTTATTTATGTTACCTTCTGGTTGTATTTGTGCAAATACATATGTGTAGACATTTAAAGTAATCATTTATTTCTTTAGATTCTCAGATGCATCACATACGATGCCAATGGGTACTGCTGGTACCAGTTCGTCCATGTTTCCTCCACAAATCCCTAATGTCATTCAAAACTTCCAAACCCACCCTGCTGCCTTCCCGGCTTCTGGAGATGGTGCTACACCCACCGACAAGCCGAGACAAGCTCCAAGCGACTCTTCGTCTGGTTCGTGTAAGTACTATAACATGTTTTTTAAGTTTGATTACCTTTTGCTAAAAAAATTTTTGTTTCATTTTACTTTATCTTATTTTTAATATGCATAATTATTGTGTGAACAAAAGTTTTCAATTTTAGCGTCGCTACCAGGCTGTGAAGCCTTTACCTCAACATCTACCAACTTCCCAAGTGGTACCCTCACAGCGCCACAAATGTCATCTCCATATGTGGCCAACCCCAATATGCCACAAAAGAACGACGGTAAGCCTGGAATGTTCCCAAACTGGTCCAAACCACCAATGAATCCAGCGTATTTGCAACCCCGCCACGCCGCCAATCCGTAAGTATTACTGTAACATTAAAGGAGTTTAGCAGCTAGTACCTAAAAAGTTACAATTTCTAGCACAACTGCAACTTTCTCAGTTTTATATGTATTTTCCTTATTTAGTCCTTCAGAACTAATAAAGGCAAACGTAAAGACCACTAGTGAGTAGAACTCAGGTTTATGTAAGAAATTCAAATTTCAAGCAAAATCTTATAGTACGTAGTACCATATAACACTAACTTATACAAATTCAGGTTCTGTGTAAATATGCCACCATACCCAAACGGCTTCATGGTACCACCATTCCAACCAGTGCGACCTCAACCGACTTCAGATGTCGAGATGATCTGCGAATGGGTAGATGGAACGAGTCAGATTCTGTGTGGGAAGGTCTTTAGAGGTCAACAGGACCTTGTTGAACATCTAAATGAACATCTCCACAACCAAGAACAGTACTGGTGCCGATGGAAGGGCTGTGACCGCGACAGAGCCTTCTCCGCTCACTATATGTTGGTGTTGCACATGAGGAAACACACTGGGGAGAAGCCCAATCAGTGCAAGGTATATTGTCATTTTACAATTAGAAATTGTTTTAAAATTTGTTTATTGGTATTTTTAACACTGTAACCTCGTGTTTTAGTTCTGCGACAAAGCGTACTCTCGGCTGGAGAACCTAAAGACACATCTGAGGACTCACACTGGGGAACGGCCTTACAAATGTGAATTCGAAGGATGTACCAAAGCTTTCAGTAACGCTTCTGATCGTGCTAAACATCTGAATCGTACACACTCGAACAAGGTAAGGTCTTTTAGAGATATTCCTTATTCCAGATGTAGTAATGTAGCTAACAAGGCAATACCTAATGTTTTATAACACTTTTAACCAAATACTAATTTAATTCAATTGTAAACGTCGAGAGCACAAAGTCTGCACTTACTGACCTAAATTGTATCTCCTAAAGGTTAACACCTTTAATTACATTGTAGTAAACAGTTTAATTTATTGTTCTAGAAGCCGTATGCTTGTCCTGTAGAAAACTGCTTCAAAAGCTACACAGACCCCAGCTCTCTTCGGAAGCACATTAAGACCGTGCACGGTGAAGAAGCCTACGAAGTGGCCAAGAAGAACAAGCAACAGAACGGTCGAGGAGGAAACTACGGATTCATCGCCCAAAGCGAGCTTCCATTCAAACTGAAGGAAGATGGAGGAAGTGTGTCGCCTCCCAACATCAGCAACAACAGTGCTGAGTACAATAATGTCAAGGTCGAAGGTAAGCCACAGAGTATTTCGTTTTTATTGTTGTCAATGTTATCTAGATAGCAATGGTAATGTTATAGTGTTTTCAAAGATTGCCACAATATCCATAAAATGTTGTTTCGAGAAATACTCTCAACCTACAATAACAAAATCGTATCTTTCAGACTCCAAAGACTACGTCCAAATCATCAAACAGTTCCATGCCAGATCCTCTCGCAACATATCCCACCCTTATCAACCGCCAATATCAAATGTGCCAACCTACTACAACAACGCTGTCACTGCCGACTACAGTAATCTCGACAACGGTGTAATATGTTTGAAAGCGACAACTTCGACGGTCAGCAGATACCCAGGACTGGACGACCCTGAACTGGAAGAGTTCACCAACTCAATCCTCAATCTGAACATTGGAAAGAATGAGAACAGAAGGCTGAGCAACATCAGCGACGACCTCAGAAGACGCGATACATCTGTGTCTAAGCAGCACTGTAAGTATACTAATCAGAACTCAATTATCTTCAACTTTACACGATTTAAACAATTGTCATGACAGATTACAATACATATTCTTTTGTATCATTAATGTTACTGTAATATATGCTTTCACATTGTGTCATCATAATCACATTATAAAAACTTATACTAATAGCAGTATTGTTATAGGTATCATAGGTGTAATCGCCGAAGAAGAGGATGACTTGTACGATAATCGCCCCTCTAATCCCACTCCAGAATCCGCATCCACTTCAGATGACAGTATCGACGATACCCTCAGGGCATTCATACACAAACAGAACAAGTATTTATAGTATCAAAATAGTTTTAAACAAATTACAGTATACACACTGCAGTACGACAGTAAGGTAACATGCAATTGAGAATAACATCTCACCTTATGTTACAAGATTACCGTACAGTAGTAAATTACAGTATAGTATCCCAGTATATCATATTATCCTAATATACTACAACATCCCATATAATATACTACAGTATCCCAGTATAACATACATCATGGTATCTCGCAACCGCTTCTCTTGCCATTTCTTGTTAATCAAGTCTCTGAACCTCAGGTAACATCAATAGAATCTTCTTGTTATGTTGTTATTGTAATTTTACACAAACTACGGTGAATTCATTTATCTCACATTCGCACGGAACGGTCATACGACCGGAATAAGTTAATAAATACAGTTACATTGATAAGTTGTCGCAGATTACGGTTTAAGTACACTTCGAAGCTAGACTTACAATCTTTGATATATTACACTTGTCGCTAGACTTTCAGATCTTTTTGACATTACAGATTGTTAAGGTTTTTTAACAATATTACAGTACTAAAATACTGTAGTTAAATTATTTTTTCACCGATATTGAACTAAGTGAGAAAAGTTTTTTATAATACTAAGTGATACAATTACAGTACCAAGTTGCAACAACAATGCAGCTACTTGATTTCTCGACTATTATAGTAACATTAATGTCTGACAAAAGACTTACATCAATATTAATTTATGCCCTAGAGATCCCAGCTGAAGAGATGGTGCTTGATCAACATGTCCCTGACCCCCTCCTTCAACGGCTGTCCCGTCTGACTCAACATACCACCATCTTGAGTAAATCTCAACTCTACCGGACCCACGTTCTTGACGATCTTCCGAGTCTTCTGAATTTGCTCCTGGTTCTTCAATCGATCGCTCTCCAGGGCTTGTTGCACTTCGAAATCCGTGTTTAAATTGAAACAAAACTGACTCAGAAGTCGGAGTTCACACATGATCTGAAAGCCAACACTTCAGGAAAATTTCCTTGGATTATTTACAGTATATAAAACCAAATACTTTGATATTATCCACAAGAATATCAATGTAAAAGCAAACAATACTGATATTATCCATGATAAAACCTTTAAATCTCGATTCTATTTGATTTTCATTACAAATTACCAAATTAATTATATTTTTTAAGCTGTTCTTAAAGTTTCTACTCATCTTTAACCAACAGACTCCAACTTTATAACAACCTATGTTGTTTTACATTATTAATCATCTCTCACCTGCTTCCAAACCGGCGATCGCACAAACGACCAAGTGTGATAGTAGCTCTTGCGCAGCGTCTCCTGTCCGCTCGCATCACATAACACCTCGAACCACAGGTGAAGACATTGTTCATTCAGTCCGAAGGAGATCAGCGACCTCAGCCGAGTATCATCCTTAATATTCTGAAGGGTGTGAGAGCTGAGGATGGCGTGAACAGCACGGAACAGTAGCTCTTCTGGGCTCAGGATCTAAAATTTTAGAAAATACAAAATAAAATTAAGAAAACATGTCATGGTGACAGATTTTCTGGAATTGATGCATTACGCCAAGGTTTTATAACTTTAAATCTTTCGCTTCGGAACCCAAACTGTCAAAAGATGAAACCGTAAAAGGTTTCATCGTGCGACAATTATACGCCTCCAACGTACTCACCTTTCCGTCCTGATCCAAGTTGAAAGTGTCGCAAAGAGTCAGCTTGGAATGTGTGATATTGTTATGGGCTTCCATCAACGAATCCGCCAACGCCTCGATGTAATGCCAGGGATGAGTCTTGGACACGACAATGCCACTTGGCCTGAGACCGTAGCTGAGGATGGCGAAGAGAGAGTTGAAGAGGGAGTTCCTGATCAGGTTCCCGACCTTTGGCGTGAGCATTTCGTCGCCGAAGGGGCAATATTTCTTTGATCTTTCGTCGACGATCTGGACGAATTTGGCGGGGAACCACCCCCGCTCCCCCGCCAACTCCCCCACCCAACAGTGCTCGTCACGTTCGGACAGTACGGTGATGATGTCGTTCTTCTTGAACGACAACTCATCGCGTTCCTGGGTTTCGAAGTCGAGCAGGGCACGGGCGTGCTTCTGGCCCTTCCTTCTGGCGTTCTTGAACTCCTCACGGTCTTTGACACACTCGTCCACTGCGTATGTCGCCTAAAATATTGTTGTAGGTAGATGAGGCGCAATTTGGTTGCTTTTTTAACATTATCTTATATTATTTTTGGCCAAAATTGAGTAGTAAAAGCTAACAAAGCATTGATTATGCGATATTATACACCAAAAGGTACCTGTATAGTGATGGTATGATGCTCAGGACATGTTCTGAAGTGATCGCACACTTGGTATATTGAGTTTCGAAGAGCGACAATCAATTCTGTCACTCTGACGTTCTTGGTTTTGGGATCGTTTGTCTAAAATTAGACTTTGTATGTTGTATATTGAGCATGTTTACTATGTAAAGGATTATATATTGTGGTAAATGTTTTGTCGGTATAAGGTCATTGTTAGCTACAGTAATGTAAACGTACGACTTCAGAGCTCTTGAATATGTTGTCGATGATACTCTTGCTTTTGGTCAATTTCCTCGAATTTGTGGTTTGATAGGGGAGGGGCGCGTCCGACTGATAGATCAGCCCGTTCTCACTCATTATCGTGCCCTGAAGGTGGATCACATTACAATTGGCTGTATTCACATATACATTAAGTTATCATAGTTGTATATGTTTTAAGAAAATACATCAATTCGTTATCATTTTAAAATGGCAGAAGAAAATGGATCTGTCCAATTGTCGCCGTAACTCACCTGATGTGCTTTTCTCAACGTGATCACGGTCTGTTCCGTGATCGAGAACTCGAACGATGTCATATGTTCGATGAGATGGTCAATATCCGTCAACGTGCTCGGGAGGTTCTGAACAAAGACAAACACCGCCAAAGGCTTGTCCTTCAGTTCAGCGATCATCCTCTCTTCGTTCATTTTGAACATCGAGATCAGCATCTGAATTCAATTGTTATTAATTTCATTTTTGAATTTCATTCCCAAGCAATTTTTATTTCCTTGCACGGTGCAACCAACTTTCCTCAATTCTTTTGCACCGTGCAGTCTCGTTAATTCCTTTGCACGGTGCAATCCCTTTTCCCGTTTCTTCTTTGAAAACGACTGCACTGTGCAGTCAAACACCTTGAGTTTCTCTGCACCGTGCAAGTAAACCACCCTCCCAAGTTTTGCGACAACTGAAGTTTGCCGCTCGCTTTTCTTTCATCGATATGCACTATGCAGAAAAGCTTAATGTCGCAGCGACAGATCGAAAACGAAAACTGTTGTGTCGCAGCCCTTTGTCGCTTTTGCTTCTGCCGCGATTTGTCGCAAAAAAGTTTCGCAATTCACAGAGACTTGCCGCTTATCCTGCACAACAAAATTACGCGGCGACAATTCAAACAAATCACGATTTTGTCGCGGTTGTTTGTCGCATCTGCATTTGTCGTGGCTTATCGCCAAAGTCGGACTTTCCACGGAATTGTGTCGCTTTTCTTGCAAAACAAAACTTGTCGCGATGGTCGCAAACTTTCTTGTTGCAAAGAATGCCTCACAGACTTCGAACGACACTGCAACTCTTATTGCGACAATTGGTTGTCGCTGCCGTCATGTCCTGTCGCCCAATGCCCACACTTGCGACACGATCCTTTGGAAATGGACAAACCGAAAAATGTCACGGCTTTCAAGAGCGACAACGTCTCCGGTGAATGTGAAAGCAGCGACAAAATTCAAAAGCAATTGCCACAGATTTCACTAGTCGGTTATTTGTCGCAAATCCTGCGGTTTGTTGAAAGACTGCGACATTAATTTCGAAAGGGTGTCGCAAGGTTCGGAAAGTTGCACCGTGCAAAGCGTTAGTTGAGCTTTCGATTGCACTGTGCAACGAAGAGACTGCACTGTGCAAGAGTTTGTAAACTGCTTATGCACCGTGCAAAGGTTTAATTTAATTGCACGGTGCAAATTCTTTTCTACACGGTGCAAAATTTACAATGTAAATTAATGTAAAAAGTGGCTTACTCTGTAAAAGACGACTATGCCTTGTTGAAATAACATGTCCCAGATGCGAAATAACAATGGCATCGCGAGAACCGACGATCCCAATGTCAGAAGCCAGTTGGCCATGATGAGCGACACTTCAGAATCCGCATTCTTCATCAGATGTGCTAGTTCTGGCATATGGACTTCGACGAGATGTTCGATGACCTTGACCTCTGCCTGGAGACCGATCAGGTTGTCGCCGTAGAAGTTGACTGGTAGGAAGTTCTCGATCATCTTACACATGATCCAGAAGACGTTCTCTTCGTCGCAGATCAAGAGCAGTGTCGCGACAACTGTGCCCATGCCCTAGAAGTGGCTAATATAGATATTTTACAGTATAGTATTATGATATACGATCACATATGCTAAACCGTACCTACCTGACAGTACCCCAACTCTGGGTAGAAGTATGCCAATGCCTTCAGAACTCGTCGCAGACACTTTGTACCAGGAGAATCCAACTTGGAGAAGCAGTAGTGGTTCGGCAACGTCCGCAACAAGTCGCGTTCGATCTGCGACGTCGCGCTCAGAATCTCGCCGTCGGCTTCTTTGAAGATGTCGCCAAACTTGTACGGCGAAGAGATGCGACGCGACGTCGCTCCACACATCCGAGGCCACATGAAGGTGCGAAGAGAGTGAGGAATACCGTGACATTTGACGAGTTCTACAGACTTCTGGGTCTTGAAGAGGTAGCCGTCCACGTCGTCCCACGTTATCTCTTTGGCGACGTCGCCGTTCTTGAATTGGATGTGCGCGATCCATTGGAGGCTACAAAATGAGAGTTTTTATTGCCTTCAGAAGTTATCTTGTACTAACATCCTGAAGCCATTTTCAAAAGATTGGCTTCAGAAGTCAAAACATCAGGTGTTTTACCCCAACTTCAGAAGCTATCTTTAATTTATTCATAAAACAGCTTTTCTAAAAATTCAGAAGCCACTTACCGATTGTTTTCGTCTTCCAATGGCTCCAGGGGCTTCTTCCCCTCTTCTTTCTTGAATCCCAACTCATCGTACCTAAACTACAATATTCTATTGTCGCAACTTACTCTTCCACTGGCTCTTCGAAGTACTGTGGCCGGATCCTAGGGTGAATCCCGCTTAATGGAGATCCATTCAACTTCAGATAGCTTTTTCCTACCGTCAGCTCGGATTCTGGAGTTAGACTCACGTCCTCGATTTCATCTTCAGAAGAATCACCGTGCAGCACGACTTGTTTCGCGGCATCCCCTACAATATATACAAGTTTATATCCAATGGTGTCATGGTAAAAACATGATAATAACAAATGCTACAGACAGTTAAATAATTGTAAAAGTACAGTACTGTAAAATACAGTATGCTAGGGTTGTAAAAAGTAAAATACGGTATATTTTGTGAGTTTGTCATAATATTACCTGTCTTGTAGTCACTCTTCATGGCCACATACTTCCTCGTCCAAATTCGGCCGAAAATAAAAGAAAATGCCAAAAAGAAAGCCCTCAGGGCTTTTATCGATTCTTCTTATTTTCGAATTTGAATACGAAATATGTTGGCAATTAAAGATTGTTGTTCATCACAATGTGAAGAGTAATACCAAACACAAATAGTTGTGTTACTTTATGTTTTTACTGTATATTATTGTAGATTATTGTTGCCGATTTGTAATTTTACTGAGTACTCAGCTGAGTGCTTAACAACTTTTAACCCATATTATTGTAGACTTGAATGTAACCGGTATTTAATTTTTCCTTTTTTATGTGTAAACCTTTTTTAGCTTCATGTTATACCTGAATTAAAAAACTTCTCGAAAAGTTGTAAAACTGTTTTCGCCTTCAGATTCTCGATAAAGTAATCGTTCTCTGTAAACAGCAGTATCGTGAAGATCACATGTTAATGATAAGAAAGCCCTCAGCTTTATTTTAGCGATCTGAAAAGGGCGCGTGACCGCTCTCCTCCGTCCCCTTGCTCTCTCGCCCAGCTCACGAGCTCCCGACATTTCGTGATTCTTTTTCGCTTTTCTCAGCGTTCAGATCTACCTCTAGTTTCAGCTGCACAATTATGAACTTGGATCGCCATTAGTCTTCGGAATGTAGGTTTATATTGATGTAGATCAATCTGACTCATCTTTTATGAAAGCAGATCAACTGATATTGTAGTACATGACTTTTTGTATCATACTGCAATAATTTGAGTTGTCGCGCGATTCTGTTAACTGTTTAACAACAGTTTCCATTATTTCATGTGATTTGATATCTAAATTTATTCAAAACATACGCTTCGCATTACTTTTGCCAGACTCCAGTCATATGACAATATAACATGACATGTTATATCGGCATATTACTTCCAAGATAACAACGGCTGCTAATTATAATTGAGTTTGTTTGCATAACCTTAGGCTGATAAGATTAGTAATAATATTAGTATACCTATTTGCCACGATTTTCGAAAATTTATACTCAAATTTGATGTCAACTGATGTTAACATGAGCCGACTGAAATAAATTTAGCCAAAAAGTCAATAGAAGCTTCATTCTTGCAAACTTTGAAGACAAAATTTTGTTTTTCGACAAAGTTTTATTTTTTCGTTGTTTTTTTATTGATTTTCTCTCACTTTTCTGATAAAAATCCATGGATTTTCATATGACTGTTTCTCAGTCAAGCAGTTTTTTAAAGTTAAAACATTATCGTAGTTGATCTGAAATTTTTAGTAGAACCGTTGATATCTTTTCTTGTACACTTGATCTCTCAGTGTTAAATTGACATCGATCTGCTTTCAGACGGGTAACTTATCTAACGGGAAATCGATTTATTTAATCTTATGGTGATTCTGTTCCCAGTAACATGTATCATGTGTTCTATGTCAACGACGGTTATATGTTGGCACTGGATTTGGCGCCAGTAGGATGTTTTAGGGATCTCCACGAGGAGATTCACATAAAAACTGGTGTTTTGCCAAAAGATCAGGTATGTCTTTGTTTTATTGTGTTGAATTTAGGTAAATTTTTCTAGTTTTCTTTGAACAAACTCACAATAATGTTTTTTTGTGTGTTTTACTTAGTTTTGCTTGCTTTTAAAATAAATTTTACTGTTTACAAAGGTTCTTACCTAAATATTATTTCAGGTATTCTTTCTAAATGGTGGAGAAGCCTTAATCGGAGACTATCTCCTTTCCAACTATTCAGATGTTGGGACAGAAGCCAATCCAGTCTTTTTTATAAAAAGAGTGAGTTCAGACAAAGATCCGATCAACAGCAGAGAGAAAGAAGGCATCAACAGTTTACTCGAAAGTATGTTCATATTATTTTTTGGGGATGTTTGAAGTTTAGAGATCTAAAGCTTTTTAATTTAGAGTGGAAGAACAATGTGGAAGTAGTTAATCAATTCCCTGTTAAGTCAACGGTGATAACAAAGTATGTAGATCTGTCGAAGGAAGGTCTTTCGGTGTCTGACACTTTGATCCGGTATTGTGCAAAGATTGTGACAGAACATCAATACCTTAACCATGGCTGGCTGGCGGTGACCAGGAATCTGGACGAAAACATTAATCAGCTGTCTTTGAGGTACACAAAAGCTTCCAGGATTGCACAAAAGCTGCCTGTAATAAAGAAGAAGGGAAAAATATGGGTATCGGAGTTCGAAAGAGTATTCAACACTATGTCGAAGGTCCGTCTTGTATACTTTTAAGTTTAAGTTACGGTTATAATGTTTTATTTTTTTGTTGTAAAAATTTTGTTTTTATTGACTATATTGTTAATGCGTTATTTCAGATTAAAATCTTGCCAAATCTTTTGTCCAACACACTAACATCATCCACTTCCGAACCAATGTCTTTGTACGATTGGGTCTCGAGTCATGATTCAGAATCAACGCTTGAAGAGCTGATTGAACATGTTTCTGAACAAGTCGACAAGCTTGATGATGCCAAATTAGCTGAAGCTAATAATTATTTAAAGACTGTCAAGGAGATGGTCAACAAGAGGGACTACAAAGACATCAGAGGTATAGACAAACGACTTGTCATGTTGGAGAATAAGTTGTACGAGATCGAAGAAGGATTCAACTTGATCAGAGAAGAGTTGTTGAGCAAGATGGACAAAGCTCAGTCAGATACGCACAACTACAGGGTAAGAATGCCTTCAATACGACATTTCTTGATATTAATGTAAAATACGTTTAAAGTTAAATTTTAATGGCGGATGATTAAAAAGTTAACATTTTAGGTAGTGATTGCGGAACAAAAAGAGCTCATATCTAAATTGTCGGTCAGAATCGAGGATTGTGGTAATATTGCTCTCACATTCTTAGGATCGAAGATGGAACTTCTGAAGAATGTCAGACAAAGGCTGGGTGGATGGATACGACAATGTTACGACAAACTTCAACGCACCAACACCAATCTTATTATATTCGAAAAGAAGTTTGCTGGCTTCAGACAACGATTGGATTTGGTGCGACAGATTAGAGAATCACCAATTCTGTATGTCGCTGGAATTGCCGAAGTCATCAGAAGGCACAAATTCAAAACAGAGTTTGATCAATGGATTAACATCTTTTCTCAGAAGGCTAGTGAATTCCTGAAGGAGGAAAACACTACAAGAGCCGAATTCTATGTCAAGTTAGAGAGACATTTCCTGCGAGAACTCTTTATCAACATGGGTGACGAACTTCCTAACTTCACTCCAACAAAGCAGAAGTTTGACTCCAGTCTTCCACAAATCGGGCACGATGAGCTACGAGCACTTCGAGAGCTTATGAAGGATTGTACTGAAATGTCAGACCTTTTTAAAATCACTACTCCTCAAGTGTTCACACGACTGTCAGTGGAGGATCCGCTCAACCCCACTATGTCCCGAGCTTCTTTGCATCGTGAAGCTTCCTTCTTTACAAAAGAACAAACGAGGACAATCGAAGACATGGGGAAGAAGTTCCCTTCGACCAATTGGCTTACAGAAGAGGGTCCAGTAGAACAATCCCCATCGACGCAATCGTTTTTGTCTCGGACACTAGGATCTACTACATCACTCAATGTTGATAGCCAAGTCACAACGCCGTCGGATCTTGTTCCGACTTTAGACCACATCAACATTATGCGACGGGACAGTTCAACTTCCGAAATGGCTCCATCTTCTGTAGATCTTACCTGTCCGTTGTCGATCCATCCAGATCGCTACCCCAAAGTGACAAGTCCTATGAAAATACGACGCATTTCTAGGGGTTCAACTCCATCGTTCCCTTCATTAGACAGGGAATACCCCAAGCCTATCTTCGAAGAAGGCGTTCCAGTAGACAGCCCTCCAGATGACGGTGTCTTCATGCCTGTTCAAGAGTTCCAACAAACGCCTCCTCAACAGTCCGTAGAGCAAGATACTCCACTGTACACCCCCAACTTGTCTCCAGTCAAGAGTCGAGCTGACAACGAAGAGAAGTCTTGTCAGACGAAATACGACGACCAAGAAGACGCGGCTACACAAATTGGACGACAAAGAATGGATTCATGTACTCAGTTCGAATACCATTTTCATTCAGTCGATACTCAGGCTGAGTATTCCAATGAAACTGTTGGAGTACAGTCAGTTGCTGAACTAGCGGAAGCTGAATCTCAAACAGATGCACTCACGCTACAAGATCAAATTGGCACAGAGATCGTGGATGGCTTCAAACACATTGTCACTCAATTCAAATCTCTGAAAGATGTAAGTTTGCTATCACCGTTTAAAAAATGAAAGGAATATAAAGTAATCAATGATTCTATCCTTTATATCTTTTTATACCTTTTTCTGTCAATTCATTTTTCTACTTCAGATGCTTTTTGACGTTACAAATACCACTACCGATGATATTGAAGCAACAAAATCTGAAATGCACAACAGTATTGATAAAGTTTTGGAGAAGATATCCGGAACGCAACAGTACAAGAAGATCATCGAAGAGTTCGAACAGAAAGTTGCTGGTCTTGAAACTGAAAAAGCAGAAACATATGCTAAGAACGTAGAACTAGAAGCACAACTGAAGGAGCAGAAAGAAGTGACAGAAAGAGAAAAGTACATCAGAAAAGAAAAGGAATCAGAGATTATGGAGAAAGAGACTCGGTTGAAGGCTCTTAACAATCAAGTGCTTGAAGTCATCAAGGAAAAAGAGGAGAATCAGACAGAACTTCTGAAGGTCCAACAAGAAAACAGAGAGCTCAAAGCGAACCTTGATGTTGGATGGAATGAAGACTGCCTGAATATTGAACTTGACGTAGTTAAAGAACTACTGAAAAGAGAACTAAAGGTAAGAAATGCATGCCAATGGTTAATATAGTGTTTAGGATGACGAAATCGACTGGATAAAACAAGAAATTGAGAAGAGGAAAGTGGTCAAGAAGACAGACGAGAAACAGATAATCGAAGACAAATCAAGAACTGAGTACGAGAATGCCTACAAGAACAAGATGGCGTTCCTTCTGAAGGGTATTGAAGACAAGAAGAACGCAGAATTGGCCAAGATGAGAGAAGAGATCGAGAAAGAAGCACGAGAGGAATATGAAGTCTACATAAAAAGAATGGTGAGTCTGATATATGTTAACATTGAATTCAATTACTTTTTAATTTCATAGGAAGGAAGTTACAACTCTTTGAGTTTGTTTTTAGAAATCTCGAATCGACGAACTGGAAGATAAGGTGCGGTTCTACGAAAAGTCGTGTCTTCCTTCTTCTACTTCAATTATCTCTCCCGGCCCGATGGACGAGTCCATTATGGAACAGTCATGCATGGTAGTCGAAGAGGATGTGGACAACACCAAAGCATCCTCCTCCACCCTCTCGCAGACAGATCAGATCGACATTGAAGGGGAATGTGAGAAGGATTCCTCCTCGCCCGATCAGGCATTAGTCATCTCCCCAGACGTTACCGTAGATGTAAATATGAATAGCGATACCTCGACTAACGAAGCAAACACTCAAACCAAACTCAAGCTCAATGACATGAAAATGATGCTGTCGCTGCACGACGTCAGCGAAGGAAGCGGTGTCCTTCTTGTATATAATGATCAGCATGCTAGTTTTATGGTATTCAGCACCACTGGTACCCTCTATTTTGTCAAACAACGCAGTTTGCGGCGGCTTGGAATCGACCCCAACAATCCCACACCCAAGTTCACCTTGTTATTCGCAAGAGTTCTTGGGGTTGAATTGTGCGAGACCAAGAAGGCACCTAATAGGTCAGTTTTTAAAGCTTATGTTATGGTAGTATAAAAGAATTTCAAGTTGAATTCTATGAAATGTCGTATATTTGTAACAAATTTGTTTTCAAAATGACCATCTATGTAACAGATGGAATGTTTACGCGTTATCTTTTGACAGATTTGACAATATATCATATTCATTTCAGATATAATTTGGCGGCCAACACTCGTTTCTACCGCATCGACGTGGCCCCCATGCCTTCCTCAATGGCTGGACTGACCCTCCAGATATCGGCAGCCCCTCCCAAGACTACCACAGCCTCGACAAACTCGGAAGAAGCCAAGGATGACACTGTCCAACCCTGACCAGTTGTTTTTTGTTTAGTTTAGGGTTGCGACGTGCAACTCCTGCCTCAAGTCTAATCACCATACATTTGTATACTGTACATTACACCATGTTGATACTGTACATTTTTGTAAACTTACTATGTTGATAATGTTTTATATCTAGTTAATACTATATCGAATTGCCTTTTTTGTACAAATGGTTCCTGACAGGTTGCTGGTGGGAAGTTGTATCTCGCCAGCGAGTTTTCCTTACCGTAATAAACAACAAAATTGAATTCTGTGAAACAATTTAACCCAAAGCTGGGCAAATTGTGTTAAGCAACAAGTTTAAGTATATTTTATTGCACTTTTTGGAAAACGAGGCATAGAAATTGATGGCACATAACGTTATTGTACGAGCACTCTCGTACTGATAGAAGTTTGTGAATGATTGCCAAAAGTTAGGGTACCCGACGGAAGTTGCCGCGCAGCATTCTCAGGAACGCCGAACGGAACTGACGATTAGCCAATGCGTAAGCAAATGGATTACCACTGCTGTTTAGGTAACACATGTAGTAGGACAAGTTGTACAGTACGGACGGGATGCACTGCCCTTTACAAAACCCATAGACCGTAGCCTGAAATTTATTTATTTGCTTCGTACATTTGTTCTGAAAACCACAAAATATTTGCAGCACGATTCGGGGACCCTCAGGGGGGTTGTGACTCTAACCGCTGAAAACACCCTCAGGGAAACAAAAACTGTTTTACAAGTAAAGCTTGGGAAACATTGTGTGTAAATATGCGTCAAAAACGGTTTGCGGCCATCCCCTTCCCCGCCCGTTCCAAATGATTTGTGTATATGGGAAAGCACACTTACTACAACATAATACGGCGACCACAGAATGGCAAACAGCCCCACGATAAAGGTTATAGTCCTAAAGGCCTTGTGAGCTCTCCGTTCGGCTTTGGTCCGTTTCCTTGACCGATTCAAAGCGGTCGAAATGGGCGAGAACAAGGACGAGATCATCTTATCCTTGGTGTCCTTCGTGAAGGCGGAGATGTTGGAGATTTTTCTGTTAGGTCTAATAATCAATCTCAACCTTTCAACTTACGTCAAGGAATGTCCTAGAAGATCACCGGCGCTTTGGCTAGGGCTTTGTTGGGAATCCATCGACGCCTTGTTTTTTCTTTCATGGTTAACATGCACTGGAGTCTTTTGCTCTCTTTTCGGCGATTCACAAGACGAGAACTCGCTGAAAAGCTTGATTTTATAAAAAATAAAATTATGCCACATGAAAATAAAAATTGATCAACGAAATGTCACAAAATTATAGTTTCTTGGAGAAATTCAGAAAAAACGATTTTTTCGCAAAGATACCTTTTCCTAGAATATTTTGGTTATGACAACCGACCTGTCGGAGCTCGACACACTTTGTGATCGGGACAACTTCTTGCTGCTTTTTCGTCGCGAACTTGTCCTAGATCTGATCCTTTTTGGTCTGCTTGTCGCTCTTCGTATTCTTCGTAACAGTTTCGTATACCATGGGGTTGGTATGTGCTCAGTGTGTGTTATTTGAACCTTATATGCTTTGAACCCGTTCTCCATTGGCGTTTCAATGGTTTCAGTTGTAGCGATTGGGACCTCGTTCTCGCCAAGTTCGGCCCATTCATGGTTTAGTTTTTGTGGTTTCTGAAGTCGTTTATTACCCAAATTATGTAAAATTTAAATTTACTGCTTGTTTAACGTACGAAGATACTGTTTATGAGGTCATTAACGTTACTTTGGTACCAGTCTAATATAGTTTTGACATGCAACTTACTTTAGGTATTAGTTTTTCTGATGGATCTGCATTATTGCTATTTTCCACTGTAATTGCCTGATTGAACTGTAAAATTGAGCTTAAACTTTCATCGTGAAACATTCTAGAGTACGATTGAGCCATTACCGTGGTATCGGGGTGCTGTAAAGCTGGTTAGTAAGGGAAAATTTTTCTTAAGCACAGAAAGCAGCTAGCCATAACTGGATCGGGTCTAACACCCAAAAGTTATGTACAGAAAGCTCAAACAGCACGATACTTCACGGCAAGACGCTCTTTCGCTCTGCTTTTGTTACCTGATCCGCGACCACCGGTTGGTCGGGCACGGTGGCGACGGCCGTTTCTTCTTGTCCTGAACCCGTATTGTGCAGAGGGTTGGACTTGACCGATCTGACTGAGGAGTGCTTGCGTGACTTCCTTCTGAATGACATGGTAGGTGAGGTGAATCGTTTGAAGACCAATGGTTCTCGCTTGATAATGTGTGTGTGTTTGGTGAGGCCGGCTTCGGTTCTGACTTCTTCGATGAGCTGCGTGAGCTCTTGTTCGTTCAGGTTCTCGGGATTCTGGAAGCACGTGTTTGTTATGTTACTTGATATGTTTTCTGTGATTGTGTTATGTTTGGAATTTAGATAATAGACCCGCGTCTGGTGAAGCGTGCACGGCTTCCGCTTGGTCGTAGGTCATTTTCCTGCTATTTACTCTCTCCTCGACGACCTCAGGTTTGTCTTGATTGAAAATAAATAATTTCGAAGGAGCGCCGTGTAATCTGGGTCTATTTTAGATTTATAAACCCCGGGGGGACGGGACGCCGACATGTCAATCGGTCATGCTGCACCATGTTAAGAAGACCCTGTGGCGGTCTCCGATTGTTTTTTGCAAATTTATAATACCAAATTCAATCGTTTATGTATCAGGATTCAATTATAAGACTAAGCCGTTTGCAGGCTTGCTTTGCAAAGCGCTGTGTTTTAAGCAAACTTATCAGACAACCACTAATAGCTGCTCACATTTGGGTTTTCGTGCTCCGTCTTCGAGTGCGACGGTGGGTTCGTGGAGGACGACGCTTCCAGCTTCTTGGAGTAGGCTGCCGGATGATTTTTGGGGCTTTCGGAGTCGCTTCGTTTGGATTGAAGCATCAGACTTACACCAACCTGAATCTCATTAGTTAAGCCAAACTACCGTAGCAGCTAAAGCTAGAACAGTACCCACATTATCTAGCGAAATAACCATGCTTTTGAGCATCAGAGCATAAAAAATTGAAATTATATTCATTAGCAGCTAAATCAAGAATAGAAGCTAAGCCTCAAAGTGCAAAGCCAGACTAATGGCAAGATTGAAAATGCAAAACAAAAACTAAAATGCAACCTGGGTGCCTAGGCGTTGTGTGAGGAGTAAGGCAATGTGTCGATGTTCCTTCGCCTTGGCCTTCTTCTCCAGGTTCTTGGCCGCTTTGTGAATACCCTGAAGAAAAAAGATTACGATTTTTGGTAACTTAATATTTCGGACAAAATTTTCTTTCCGGCAAACGATGGCCTTATTCGGCTTGCGTGACTTCCTTTTTCATTGTTACAGACAACGTAAGAAACATGAGAAACAAACATAACATTCTTACCTTGTACAGAATCAGCATGGCAATTAGCGTGGTCCAATAGTACGCAACATACATACCCATGTTAACATAGGGGTTGGACAAGAATGGGGCAGAACACTCGGTACTGTCTTCAGCACGAGCCTCTTCGCCACTGAGAATCGACCACCCGTAGATCATAACTCCAAAGATAAGAGCCGGCAGAATCCAAGAGAATATGATAAGGACCTGAGTCTTGGTCGGACTCTGCCATTTCAGGTACTTGGCTGTGTGACACACACTCATGTACCGGTCGGCTGTTATCAACAGTACTGTCAAGATGGATACCAGACAGAGAGTGTAGTCCAAGAACAGCCACGTCTCACATGCAATCGAGCCCAGAGGCCATTGGTCGCCGTTGACCACGTATACCGTGAACAGCGGAATCCCCTCGAGGCCGATGATAAGGTCGGATACGGCCAAAGATACGATGTACCGGTTGTTTACCTAAATTGACTTTTTGTCATCTTAATGGTGATTATTTGTGATTATATTTATGTTAATTAATTAATAATACAATGTCATTTTTATACAATTAATCTTGTGGTTACAGTACCTGTTTGCTGATGGATCTTTCTAATTTGTAGGCTATAATAACCATGGCATTGCCTATGATTGTTTCGAGGCACAACAACGTTGCTACAATCCATATTAGCGCCTGAAATGATTAAAATAAGTAATTCTATTCATGCCGTTCTCATAATCAAATGAGACTTAAGGGCTTTCTTATTCTCGGCCTACTTAATTATGAGCTAAGATCTCAACATACGATGTCGTTTCTTTAAAGCAAAGAGTACTCAGTGGTATTAGAATACGATAACAAACCGACCTGTACCGCCGGATGATAAGGGGAATGCCAAACAGGAAGGAACTCGGGCCCGAGCGTGGTCGTTGTGTTGATCATGTTCAGGCGCGGGTCGGCCTAGGCCAGGAGGACAACCAGGGATCCATGAGTTGGCCAAAACTCGATTAGACTGAAATCTTGGAATTAAAAAAACACGGAACGGTCTCGATTCGGATAAAACGTTGAGGACGCGGAGGGATGACAGGATCGTACCAGAAACAGAAAAAAGGAGCCGTCGCCCGTCTTCGGACGCATTTCTTGGTTGGATGAACGCGAAAAATAAGGGCGGGCGCTGTTCTTCCACGGAGACGCCGGCTGCCTCGGCCGGAATGCTCCCATTCAAGGCGGGGCCAGCCCAGTATTTAAACCTGTACGAAGTAAAAATCAAGCCCGCTCATCCGTTTATCAACCGTCTCCTAAAACAACAATTTAAGTGACAAGTTTTGTTTGGTTTCCCTTTCGTCCGTCACGCCAACACGAAGCACGAGCAATTTGGGAAGTTGTACACGGGCCCAGGTCTGTTTCGTGTGCATCTGAAGGCATGCGCGATGAGGCCACTAACGTCGTCAGATTGGATTACCGTTGGGAGGGCAGGAACTCTTCTCGCCCCTGATCCTGTAGCCAGAATGCCCCGCTTTCTTGTCACGGCCAAATTCAATCAGGCCTCTTGATTCTCGGCCCCGTGCATCTTTCAACAAAGTACAACAAGTTTATTTCCAGCGAGGCAAAATTTGCTCGAAACCCCCGGAGGACATGAGCGTAATGTCGCAAATGTGACTCTTCCCGCGTCGAGCTAACAACTTTTAATTCGGCATGAACCTGGAGGTGGCGGCACAATCAGAGAGGCGAGAAGTAATGTTTCACATGAAGAAAGAGTTATTATGTGTAATATGTTTGCTGTTATTATTCCCTCTCCTTTGTTTCCCAAAGTTGTGGCTTTACACTGTTAACCAGAGTTCACTTAATTTGTATATTGTTATTGAGAGTCATCGAACTCGAATCAGTCGTCTTACTGAGCCGTTTTGTAGTCGAATACATACAATGTCATTAAAGGGTATCATGTTTTAGTTTATGTATTACTCGGTAACTAGACATTTACGTAAGCTACAAGATGGTACGAAGTTGAATGGTTTTCTCACTAAACAGTACTGTTATTGTTGCTTTTGTTACATCTGATTATAAGTGTAATTATCAATTATCACTTTCATTTTCAATTTCATGTTACTATGAACATAAGTTCGATCTGAATAAATGGGTCATCTTGTACATTGTTTGGTGCTAAAAATAATATTTTTATTTAAAATTATTGTAGTAAATTGTGTTGCGAGATATTCACTGATGAAGCCCACTGACCTTACGCGAGTATAAACCAAGTATCTAAATAACCAATTACCAAATATACCAAAGTTATGATCTTTACGATCAACCAAATACTAACTACCAAATAAACCAAGTAATCCAAATAACTAAATACCAAGACTTTATTTACACCAAACTACAAACCAAATGTATATTGTCCAGAATTGAGCTGATCGCAACCAACCGCACTGCGGATTTGATGGCACCAGACTGAAGTGAAAACGACCAAAACTTCTTTGAAACCAATTATTCAAATATCGAAAAGTTTTTAAATGAACCAAAGCGGTTGCATCCGCTTACAATTATTGAAAATTTTAGTGTTTAAACGTTTTTTTACTTTAAATTTAAAAAAAACTATATTTGAAATTTTCTCGCAATTTTTCCCACTGTTGCAATTTTTAAAAATTTTTTAAAATTTTAATTAGTTAAAATAAGCACATCACCTTGAAAATAATTTTGAATTTTATTGAAAAGTATTCTTTACAATAATAAGGGTTGTAAATAATATGTTAATAACTACTGTTTAAAATCTACAAAAACCATAGAAAGGCAGATCAGTTATTGGATTGTAACTGTGTTCTTTTGTGTTAAATATTTTATTAAGGTTAACATAATAAAAAATACATCTCCTAATCTTGCCTTTTTTATGAGTTTAAAAGTGTTTTGGCAGTGGTGATTTAACAAATTTTCTTGTAGTAATTTTTAATAATATTTAAACGATTATTATCAGCATTTTCTCATTATAATATGGGTATGATAACGCAGAGCTCAGCTTTTGAAAATTTAAATTGAGCTTGTTTTATTTGTTACTGTTATAGCTGCAAACCCTTTACTTTTAAATTTTAATCTTTTGATTCTGACTGATTGTAATGTACTGTATAAAACTACAAAAAGTTTGAATTTTTAATCATAAGTAGCAAATTTATTTAGATGTTGCCAATTCAGACTGCTGATAGCGAAGAGATTGTTAGCTTTGTGCCATACCAATAGAAGATTGTTGTAAAGCAATAAAAAGAAATACGAAAATAGGTTTGCCAATGTTATAATGGTTGATGACTGCAAAGGGAGTTCGCTTATAACGAAGTTTCTTATTAGGAGAGCGACTGTTTATTTCGAGGTCTGAACTATTTTTGTCAAAACGTTCATAGTTTTTGACATCAGAAGCGTTTGCAGATGAATTTTAATTATTTTTAACCTCAGTAACTAAATTGAAATTAAAAGTCATCAAAAGTTTTTGTATATTTTTACTTGGCAGGTAATTTTTAATATCTGTACGTTAACTTCTACTTTCTAGCAAACATAATTTGACAGATAATTAGGCGCAAAATTGGCCTAATGTTGCAAGACCCTTTGGAAGAAAAGTTTTAATTTTCGTATACCGACATTCATTTTCTCACGGAAATGGACTTTAAACGTAATACCAAATAGGGAAAACGGGTAAGTTTGGAGAACAACAAGAAGAAATATGAGTTTGGTACGTTTGGTACCTATATTTATGTTTCAACCGTTGATGTCTAGATTCTTTTTTGATTTTTATGCGTGTTTTTGATCTTTTTTATTTGTTTTACTTATTTTACACCCATCTAAGACAACATAACTTGGTTATTCTTTGGGTTTTTGATATTAATTTAAATAATGTTGTTATTAGCCATTCAAAGTTAGCATTAACTGCTGCATTAGGACATTCTCAGTATCCATATTAACTACTACAAGATTCTTTACTGTTTTAATTGTGTATCTGACATTTTCGCTTTCAAAATGTGCTTTTTTATACATAATCAAACTAACTAACACATTAGTTTTACATTTTAAAAATATATATTTAACATGTTGTTGTTTGTACCGTCGTTCTGAAGAATTTAAATATTTGTCATTAATGGTTTTACACTAGCAATACCTCGTTTTTGTATAAATATACGTACGTTCCGCCTTTGCAAAGCCAGAAACATATTTTACTACAATATTGTCATTCTGAGTGCTTACAGAACAGTAATTAGACTACATAGCTTTTGATATCAATTTTAACGCTTTTTGCTTTTTTTATTAAGAATAAGAGAGATTTACGACAGTTATTCTTTAAATTGGTTAAGAGTAAGTTTATGATTGTTTTCGAGGAATCTTTGTAATTAGCTAGTGTTTGATGCAATTGGTGCATAAACGAATAACATTTGGTTGTTTTGTCGCTGTAAATGTGATCATCCTTCGAACTGGTTATGAATTTAAAGATATATAGTTGTGTGTATTGTTGTCAAGACTCTTACTCAAGTGTGTTCATCTAACACAATATCTTTAAAATTAGCCTTTTACCTGAATTTTGCTGGGTTTTGCTGCTTGAATTGGCACCATATGTGATTGTTTATTACTTTATGTACTTAATTTACAAAGATTCAACTTCCTATTACAACTAACTTCCTCTTTCTGAACTTTACTTAATAAAATGTACTGTTTACTGCTTATGTTCCGGTTAGGAATTTTTGAGTTTTTCTGTTGAAAACATGTTAATCTACACTCCTTTCATCTGAAGTTACGCTTCTGTCCAAACACATATGGGGTTATTTTGGGACTGTGTCACATAATTATTAGGGTTTGACATCAGATTCATCTGAATCTTCATTAATTTTGGTTCTGTTTCATGTTGTTAATAATCAGAAATGAACTTCAGAATGTAGCGGCTCAGTCTGTTAATTGTGGTTTACATAAACGTTCGAATATTAAGTAAAGCTGTCGATTTAGGGTCCAATTAGGTGAAAATGGGTATTTGTTATGCAGTAAAGTAACATTTTATAATTGACAGTTTAATTATTTTACAAACTGATAAACCGTATTAAGACTATAACCTAGTAGGGATGTAACGAAATATAGAATAACGTTTCTTTAATTCAGTCTGCATGTACGATTGTTGACAAGTAAATAGTTTTGTAAAATAATTGAAGGAAGTGAGTTTAATTATGAAAATAAGTTTAATTACGCCTTTGGAAAACAAATATTACTCACAATTTGCTGTTATTTTGTCGCGTCACCGTTACACTTTGAAATTATAGGAATCTAAGGAAATAGGTAATAATTGAGGCTTTAAAAGTCAACTTTTGGACATTTTTTTGAAAATAACTTCAACATTGTTATCATTTTAATGGTATAATGGGTATGTTAACATACAGTGAAACCTCGTTAATGGGACCCCGCTTACAACGAAACCCTCGTTATAACGAGTTTTTTTGAATCCCCTAGAAAAAATTTTGCAATAATTCTATAATAAAAGAACTCCGGCTTTAACGAAACTCCGTTATAGCGAACGATTTTTCAATCCCCCGGCGATTCGTTATATCGGGAGTTCACTGTATTTTTAAAAATATTTTAAAGTAATGAATGTAGAAAAGGCAATCAACTTGTAAAAAATACTTCCTAGGTAAGAACATGCACTTAACAGTTACGTCACAATTGGGTATTAAACTTTTGTCACTTAGAGCCGAGTGGAAGGAAGAGACGGATGTTCTCCCCATTAATCAGGGTCTTATCTGAACTGGCAGTCTTTCTCATGATCGGCCGAGTGATTCGGGGATACGAAAGCAAGACCAAATAGGTCTTAGTGGAATATTTATTGGTTGTACGAACGGCGGCCGAAACTCCCTCGGGCCGGGCTTTGTTTGGAGCGGCGGCGTTTTCCATATGTGCTGGTGTGGGGGGATCCGCGTCCTGTACTATAAAAACCATAATATCTTGTAATGCATAATGTCGCCGTCATAATGTACAGGAACTTTTTATTGCATCTCTTTTTGTGTTTCGAACTCGGCCCTCCCAATTTCGCTTTTCTTTTTTGCGCCGTTGCCCTCCGGAAATCTAATCGCCGGCGTTGATCGAGGAAATGTCCGTCATGTTTCGAATAGGCTTCAGAAGCCCTCAAAAGCACTTTGAACTGGCTGAAACTTGTCCAGTTTCGTCATTTGTCTTTTGTGTTTGGAACCTTTAATAAATGGTATCCCGGCAGTGCGCTTCAGGCTTCTGAATCCGCTAATCGGCTTGGCGGAACGGCGTCGTTCGGCCGTGAAGAAGCCGGTAATCAGTGATTTATGCAAAGGCCCTGGAATCCCCGGCTTCCCATTGGCTAAATAGACCCTCAGGGCGTTTCGGGAGTTACTTCTTTATTCTTTTAATAATTATTCGTTCATCGACAGTTGACCGCGTTGAGTTTACTTTCTTTTTTATTTTCTTTTTCGCAGCGTGCCGCCCCCACCCGGCTTCAGGAGACCTGTGCTTAATTCATTTGTGCATCAATTATCCGGCTTCTGCGCGACTTTCAGGGACGTGGCCATTGTTTCAAGCCCAAAGTTCTTCACCGTGCTCAAAAAGCGTTTAGGCATTCCTTTGTCAAAACGCAGTCTTAATAGGCTTTGTTTGAGAACAAGGCCTGCGGGTGATCGGCCAAATTGGGAGAACCTCCAGCTGGGGCCACATCTTCGTCATTCTTATATTTAATGCAGCGGCGTTATAAATAAGAAAGGTGCTTGAAGGAGGGATTAGGTCTAGAAATTGAGTCAGTCACTTCGGCTTTTTGTTTCCTCGCACAGTAAAACTTATTTTCACATTTCGCGGAGCCCTCGCTCTTTACATTTACTCAGACAAGTAATCTGTTTGAAAACATAACCCCAGCTAATTAGTAATATAATGACGCAGCTCTTCCAAGTCTTCTTTAATCCAGCCCATATCTCTTCAGAAGGCCGCGGGAAACCGTTCTGCTCGGTTTATTAATAAAGGTCTTGTATGTCATTACTGGTGCAGTCCAGTTCAACAAATTAAAAGTCCGGAAGGTCTGTGTTTATTCGGTTAGAGAGGGGAAGGAACTTGTTGTTGACCTGTCCGCTTCAACAAGTCCTAATTTCGTTCGTCTTGGGACCGATTCTTATAGTTAAGATGCCTGCTTTTGGGATCCGCTTCTTCGGAATCTCGTTAGATTTGAGGGTTCATTCGACTTGCTCAGACTGCACTTGTTTATCTTGTTCAGGCCGTCTTTTACTGTAGAAACCGGGTGGCTACAGTGATTAAATGTAAACGTGCTTACTGTTTTCGGCTTAAACTTCAAGTACCAGTAGCTACATTTCTTGGTTTGATGTATCATATCGCGTTTATTAAAGGTTTTACATTTACCTTGATTTATGTATCATACATGACTTCAGGCTATGCGCAATGCGACCTTTCGACTGGTCCCGTCAACGTTCATGGGTGCTGTTGTCCTCATCGACTCCCACAATGCTACAGAATCGCCTCATCCAGAATGGCGTCATCCACTGGTCGGTGTCATTCTGGCCGGACTCTGTTTGTTGACAGTCTCCGGCAACGTGCTGGTTGTTGTAGCCGTTTGCACAAAGAAGTACCTCAGAAATCCGACCGGGTATTTGATTGTATCGTTGGCGTTCGCCGACCTTGTAGTAGGATTAGTAGTAATGCCGCTGAACAGTTTATTCGAAATGACACGACATGTGTGGCTGTTAGGTAAGTTTTTTAAATTTTTTTTTCATTAGTTGTGGTTAAAATTAGTTTATTTTTTAATTTTTTCGAGTTATTTTTGAATTTATGGTGAAAAACGAAGACTAATATTTGTATTTACAGTATTTTTGACCAACACAATTTAATTGTGATGACGTCCAATTAATTACTCTTTTTAGGCCTCACAATGTGTGACATTTTCCATGCCTTGGATATCTTGGCATCAACAAGTTCAATATGGAACTTGTGTGTAATTAGTCTGGACCGGTACATGGCGGGCCAAGATCCCATCGGCTACAGAGACAAGGTCTCCAAACGCCGTATCCTAATAGCAATCGTCTTCGTTTGGGTCATGTCGGCGTGTAAGTGGGCATTCCAATGGATCCAAATTAAAATGCGCAATTCCGGCCATTAAATGGCCAATAATAGTAACGCGCACAACTTTCGAGATTACTTTCCCCAAGTTTTATAAATTGCTAATAGCACAATGGAACGCCTACAGTAATAACAATATTGTAGGTCTGGCGTTTCCGGCGATTATTTGGTGGCGAAAGACGTCGCCCCATCTCTACAAAGACCAGTACCAATGTGTGTTCACGGACAACTGGATCTACGTCGCCTTCTCGTCCTTGGTCTCCTTCTACATCCCCATGATATTGATCTTGTTTGCTTATGGCCGTGTTTTCTTGATTGCGACACGACACTCAAGACAGATGAAGGACGGAGTGAAAAAGGTAAGGTTTGTTTGTTGGGGTTTCAACATACCATGGGTGTATATGTAGATCTTTACATATTATGCATGAATTTCCATGAGACAGCCACATGATATAAGTTAACTTTCCATACAGAATCCGGGGATTTTCTCAACAAGATTTAGGAGATTATCTTCAAGGAAACAACGTCGACTTCATTACACATTTTAATTTTTAAATTTCGTTTTGCACTTTCCAATGGTCACACCGAAGCCAACTTTATGACACAAATTAAGACCCAATGGATTTTGTTTCAGAGAATGATGTACAACAACTTAAGTACAGAATTAACTTTAAAAATTCAAAATAAATTTTTAAAAAGTCAGATTTTAGTTACTTTTTACCCAAATTGACCACATGAACTGATTAAGTGCTTTTCAGGTAAAGAACAAGAACTGGCGGCCCGGTTTCGACGACACCGCCGCTCAGCTTCGAATCCACTTCGGCCGCGCACGACCGAAAACTTCGGCCATCGCTAATGTGATTTTGGCGGCGAATGGAGCCGCCGTAAACACACAACGAATCCAGCAGAAAGAAGAAGGAAGTAAAGTCATTCTGTCCAGATCTTCCGAGAACGGTCCCGGCATACAGAAGGCGGTAGGTAATCAGACGAACTTTGACATTATAATGTTATTTCACTCTGCTTAAAACCCGAATTGTGCTAAATGCAGACACTTGTCTTGTGATGTCCTGTACGAGCACAAATGTCATTGTACTATGCGAACTTGACGTATACGAATATTTGTTTAGGCGTCGGAGAGAAGCTCCAGCTCGCAAGGGGACTTCGAACGGACTAAATCCTCCGAAAACTGCGGCAAAGCGGTCGAAAACGGCAAAACTTTATACAGAAACATAAACAAATCCAACTCGACAGTCGGGACGACACGTCGTGAGAACGACGCCGACATGGTGGGCATCAACAACATGAAGAAGGAAGCGTCAATGGTCGTGCTCAGCAAGGTTTGTATCAAATCACATTACGTTTGATATCCTTTTAAGTCGGTCGCGTTGCTCCGGCATTGTACGATTACTGTCGTATGTTTTCCGCCACAGCACGACATACTGTAATTAGATTTTAGTATTATGTTATTTATGATGACCAAAACAAAAAGCAATTTCGCGTTTTATATGTCGTAAACTAATCCGATCTTTATCCAGCTACTGTGTTTTCAAATTACAGTATGTTTTTGTGTTGCAATATGTTCGGTACTACTCCTCTCATCTTAAATTAACACAAGTAACTCAATGTTAATATTGTACATTTGCAGAACGATGATGTAAAGACCTGTCTTCTGGCCCAACAGCTGGCCAAAGACAAGAAAAAGACAGGAATGCGTGAAAAGTCCAGACAGATGATGAAGTACGTCCACGAACAACGTGCCGCGAGAACGTTATCTATTATTGTGGGAGCGTTTATATTGTGTTGGCTGCCGTTCTTCATTGTTTCCCCGTTTATCGCCGTATGTCCATCAGTAAGTTTGTTTGTTGTGCCCACTTCAGACAAGTGCTACAGCTTTTCTGCCAAGAAATATTGTTTTACACGTTTCAAAACCCGGGTCAAAACATGCAATACTTAAGGATATAAACAAGCTAAAGCACATACTAAATGCCATTCATACATTACTTCAGAACATTTGCGTGTTCCCCAAAAAAGGTTTTCTGAATATTTTAGAGCTTTGCGGCATAAAAGTAATTTCCTAAACAGCTCGCAATAGCCGTTCTGCAAATGTGATAATCAAACCTTTCATGAATACATAACAACTTGACCTTTCAGTGTGTTGGAAACCATGAGCTGATCTTCTCCTTGATCACATGGGCTGGGCACATCAACTCCATGTTAAACCCGCTGATCTACTCCAGATTCTCTCGTGATTTCCGCAAAGCCTTCAAACAAATTCTGACTTGCCAGAGGGAAAAACCGACCAGAAAAGCCATCAAGACTCCCCTCAACATTGTCTTCGCCCAACTGGTATCCATCACACAGCTCTGGGAACAGCCTCCTGAAAGCAACTTGTCCTAGGCAGTACCTATTGGAAAATGTGTACACCAATGTGTTCTACAAGGTTGAGATACATTACGATGTACTGGAGCTACTAAACTAGTTAATTTATTATTGTTACTCAAGCCATTCCTCAACCCTCATTAACCGGTCTTATGCCTCGATTCTCAAAAAACTCAGGTGCCTTCTAAGTTTTGTAATTTCAAATTTCTATCACTCATAATATGTAATAAAGATTTGACTATGCAATTTCAACCAATTGCGAAAATATTAAATGCCACGTTTTTAAAAGTTCAATTAAGAATAAAATTTGCATATTACACGTCATCAAATCAAAAACTGATTAAGGAAACTCTCATTTTCACCGAAAATCTCTGGAGAGGTAGGTTTAAGTTCGGGTCCGTGTCCATTGGAACCAAATTTAAAGGTAAGTCACGTTGTCGTATGTTAAAACTATACCCACGCTTCTTTAGAAAAGTCATGTTTATACTCTTCCGCAATGTTATTTCGTATCATTTACCTTTTGACAAACCCAATTGAAAAAAGTCTACCATTTTTCCATTTGTAAGCTGGAAGTTCCAGTACAAGTGCCCAGCGACAGTTTAGTTCTTCCAAGCTTGATCAGATGTAGCTAGCCCACAAGGTTGAAAACCACGCTGGTGTACAGTCCTGAAAAAATTAAATTTGTTTCAAAAAACCAAAAACAAAAGAAAACTTACCAAACCGTCCAAAAAAGTTGTTAAACCTTTTTCTCAGCCAGATTCTTTCAGTTTAATCGGAATGCTTTACGTGTTTTTGTCAGAAATAAAACGATCTTACCATCAAATTCAACATTTCTTCTCAGAAACATTTCTTGCGAAAAATTATTCTTGAAAAAATTCGAAAAGGTCGATAAATCGCGAAAACTTTGGCCTCACCACGAAAACGAGCAGACTGTAAGTGGAGAGGCAATTTGTGGCAGCAAGCTTTCAGTTGCGAAATGTTTTGTTGTTGAAGCCGGCTGCTTTTGCATTTCGGTCGTTTCAGCAAACGTTTTTTTAGGTAAAGAACAGTTTTTTGAATATAAATTGTTTTTAAAATTTTTAATTTTTTTGAGCGTGATGTTTGGTCGTTTTGTTATAGCTTTTTTGATTTTTTTTGTATTTCGTTTTGTTATTATGCATATTCTACTTTGATTTTTACCTATTTATTTTAGAAAATGGCACTTGCATCGATCACAGCAAGTATTGAAGCGTTAACTCTTGCTGCCAAAGCAGAAAAGGATGCCAAGGCGTTGTGTGATAAGAAAGGAGTTGTACCATCTGATGGATCCTTTCCGAAGATCATGGCGCCTGGAAAATTGGCGGAAGGCACTGTCAACATCAAGAGTAACGTGTTCCCCATGAAGATACAGACTATGAGTGGCAAAATGTACATGTACTCTTTGGTCATATATGCCAATTACCAGAGTGGAAAGGACGTTATCCGTCGTGCTTGGAACGCGGAGATCAAGTCTGAGTAAGTTTGAAGGTTCTTTAGGTTTAATTGTTTTTTTGGCATTGTAGGAAATATTGTTGTAATAGAACAGAGGTATTGTTATAAAGGCTTGAAGTGTTTGCATTTGAGACGGTTACTTCTTTTTGATGTAATTATTTGGGTATATATTTTATGTTTTTAGTTACTACGTCGTGGAGTTTCGCAGAAAGTGTTTTACCGCTTGGCAATTCATGATTCGCAAGAACCCTAACATCTTCCCACCTGCCGAAAAGTGTGCTTACGACTGCGGAGGCTTCTTCTACACGTCGGAGAAGTTGGATATGCCATCATCGGTAAGTTGTTTTAAAGGTTTGCTTAGCTTTTAAGGGTTGTTTTTTTTTATTAATACAGTGGAACTTCTGTCTAGCTAATTGTCCAGGGATTTTAGATTTGTTTGTTATAAAAGAGTTTTGGTGTAAAAAGAAATTTTAAACGCTGTTGGCGCAGTTAAAAGTTATTCGTTATACGAGGTTTCCGTTATAGATAAATTTTTATAAAGTTAAGTTCTACCACAGTCTTAAAATGAAATGTAACTTTGTTATTTTAGAAAGAGCTTCTTTTGTCCGTCAAACGTGAAAACGACAATGATTTTCCCTTCTCTGGTAGTTGTACAGAGCTAGAGTTTTTGATCAAGGAGAGAGATTACCTTGACCTCGAGATTTGTACTTCTGGCGGAGGAGAGATCACCGATATTCATAAGTTGGAGCGATGCATGGATGTCGTAACTAATATGGCTATTATGGAGGATGAGTAAGTTTGAATTACCATAGGATTCTTTTTTGCACCAAAAGAAGCATTTTGTGATGTTATTTTTTTAGGGACAATCACGTTTGTTATGAAAACAATACGAGTTACCTCCTAAACCCTGGAAGGTTTGGATTCCGTCAAGGCGACGCTCCTTCTCTGCCCAGAGAAGCTTATGTTGGATTGGGATGTTCGAAGAGTGTTCACATCTTTAGAACTGAGGGTGGAACTGCACCGGCGATGGTTATTGAAAGTAAGTTTATTGAATTTATGGATTGTATATATTGATAATTTCAAATTGTAACTTTCTTATTTAGCTAAAAAGACGCCATTCCACAATTGTCTTCTGGTTTCTGAGAAGTTGCTTCGCATCTTCCCAAAGATTGAGCAGAATTTCATTGCATATAGATCGATTGCCTACGACTTGGTTAAGGGATTGGTTGTCAGTCCAGTTCACTCAAAGAGAGACAGACCACCTGTTCATCAAGTCAAGGAGTTGTCTGATCAAGACGCGCATCACACGACTTTTAAGTGGGAGAACCAGGAGATTACAGTGTTTGAATACTTCAAACAACGTCATGGCATCGAATTGGTTCATCACAAGCTGCCTTTGTTGGTGAGCTACGATCGTGAGAAGAAAAAACAGTTCTTGCCTATGGAATTGTTCATGATCTGCGACAACCAGAGAGTCAAGAGCCAGCAGTCTCACTCTGATCAAATCGCGACTCTAATCAAGGTAAGAGATGATTTTGGATGTTTATAATGATTTTTTAGGTTTGTGCTGTTCTTCCCAGAGTTTTGGAACAACAAGTCTACAACAACGCCTCTTCTCTTCATCTCTTGGACAGTCAGTATTTGTCTGGATTTGGAGCTCAAGTTGGTACCAATCCAATTTGCGTAAGTTTGTGTTTCAACGTTGCCATGATGTTGTTTTAGGCTGTGGGACGTCTTCTTCCACATCCTGGTCTGATGTATCGCAATCAGCAGATTTCCCAGTTTGATCCCGTTAGAGGAAACTGGAGATCGAACAACTTCTGTCGTCCATCGACCCTTCTTGTATGGGGAGTCTACGTGTTTGATGCTGAAGGAAATTGGGAGATGCCACAACTGAAGAGATTCGCCGAGGAGTTTTACAAGGCTTGTCTGGCTAAGGGTATGCAAGTCAATCCCCCTAAAGACATGAAGGTGTTCCCTCGCTCTGAAGCAAAGAATATGGGTGGTGTGTTTGCCAGGGCCTCTGATGGATCTTGTCAGTTCATTTTCTTCATTACTTCGAAGCTCGACAATTTGATTCACAGTAAGTGTTATTTACACGGAACGCGCAACTACATTCTGGTTGTTGGTATATTTTGATTTTATTGTTTTAGGAGCCATCAAGTATAATGAACGCAAGTACGGTATTGTTACCCAGAATGTCCTCACGAGTACTGCTGCCGCTGCATGTGGTTTGTCTGGTCCACCGAAGAGACTCACCATGGAGAATCTTGTTAACAAAGCCAACGTCAAGTTGGGTGGTTTGAACTACCATGTTGCTGACATGCAACAGAAGAAACTGGTTGGTGAAGACGATCTGTTCATTGGTTTTGCTAAGGATATTGGTGCTGCTGCGAGTGGCAGTGCTGGCGAAAATGTTGTTCCTCATAATATGACTACCACTCCCACTGTTGTTGGATATGCTGCTAACGATATTCAAGATTCTCTTGCTTTCACTGGTGATTTTGTCTTCCAAGAAGGTGTCAAACAGGAAAAGTTGAGCATCATCGTCAAGGTCGTCAACAACGTTCTGAAGCGTTACGAAGATAACCGTGGAAAGAAGCCGCAAAGAGTATTCATCTACCGGAACGCGATCGCTGAATCTAGTTATCCATTCGTAAGTTTTTGTTTTAATTTGGCAGTAACTTTTGTTGTAGGTTCTCAAGTACGAGATTCCTTTGCTGAAGGATGCGGTCAAGAAGGCTGGTGTTGAAACTTTTGTCTACCTGGTTCCAAACCGATTGCACAATGTTCGCGTGTTTCCAGCGAAACCAACAGGTGAGAAACCTCCAGAACAGAATTTGAAGCCTGGAACCGTTTTGGATTCTGCTTTGGTTTCTGCCAACATCACCGAATTCTTTTTGTGTGGCCATGTTGCTCGTCTTGGTACCGCCAAAGTTCCACGTTATTCGGTTCTTAGCAATGAATCTAATGTGTCAATTGACGAACTTCAAAAGCTCACGTATCATTTGTCGTATGGTCATCAGATTGTCACTGGAGCTACTGCTCTTCCTTCTCCCGTCTTCATCGCCAAGAGATACGCTGAACGTGGACGTCTCACTATGCCTTTGGCTTCAAGTGAAGTGTAAGTTGTATAGTTAGTTTGATAAGTGACTGTTTTAGCGAGCCAAAGGAAACTGGAAGCTCTTCCTCATCTGATGGATCGACTAATTCCCAGGTCGAACACTTAAACGCCAAGTTGCAGTATGCCAAGTCCACCTTGCGCAACCAACGTGTCAACGCCTAGAATTCCGGAGCCAATGCCAATTCATTTCATTATCAGTAATCTTTAATCATAATATATTTTGTAGTTCGAATTGTTTGAATTTTTCATTTTTATCCGTTACACAGCTTGTTTATTTGTTTGGCATCTAATGTCATTGATTGGTTCTATATTGTTGACTAATAAATTGTTAACCTTGTTACTTTTGGTTTTTATTGACGTTAAGGGTTTGTCGTGTGTGGAAAGGTTTTATATGCCTAATCTTTGGCGAGTCGTTTTCAGTTGATGTACTTTGGAGACAAAGTGGCAGAATAATCCATTTTGAAGTATTGACGTTCAAGTCCGGCTGTTCCTTGATATTGTTTTATGTGGACATTGTGGAATAGGAGTTGTCCCGCTGGGAGAAATTTGAGTTGAATATGAAAGGCGACGATTTGCTGGAAAGCAATTTCCTAAGCAAGGGGTAATCTCAAAATGGGGACTTAAGCTTCGTATGTCCTTGGTTAATCCGTCGTCGTGTTATCACTGCTGCACTTGGGGCAAATCCGCTTTAACACACGTTGAACATGAGATTTAAAACTGTTAAGACCTAGCTCGTTTATTTTGCTTTACCTGAGTGAGTAATTTGGCATTCTTTACTATTCCTCTGCTTATGATATTTCGACTGTTTTCTCTTTTTCATTTACAAGTAGCACTCTGCCGAAATTAAATAATATGGCTAGTCGTGCTGTTTGACACGATCTTTATTATTTGTTTTTACACGTGAATATTTAAAGGTGGGGATGTAAAATGGGTTTAATGTTTGGAAACTTTTGATTCCTTATCTGGGGAACGCTCTGCAAGAGAGATTAAATTAGGAAATTTGGGGACCGTCGAGAGTGCGGAATTGGGTTTCCGGTAGTGTGAAGTGAAGAGGGTGCAATAGGAGAAGAAGTTGACACATCTTTATTTCGACCAAAATAAGGGAGGGGGGGGGGAATCTTATTAGAATGAGTGCGGAAGAAGTTGGCTGGAGGGAGGAACGACCCGCCGGCCCTCCACAGATCAGAATTAAACATGTTCTCACGCCGTTCAGTACGTAAGAGGATTGGCGGTGCTCCGCCAGTCCTGTTGACCGCCGATTACATTTGGGCAGGGCCAGCCCGTTATGGCCGCCCGTATAAACGGATTTTGATGTTTTTCCACGAGCCGGAAAATTAAACGCTTGAGCCGCGAATTTTTAGAAGGAAATAAACGGTAAATAAACTTTTCATCGTGCCTGGGCACGAAACCCGCCCTATTCTTCATGCTCTTCTCCATAATGACGCCTCGCCCTGCTCGAAGCCGGTTTCGAATCATGCCAGGGCGGGGTAATTAGCTTCCAGCCCATCGGATCCCAACTTCATAATTTGTTTTCGAAATTCGAGATTAAAGGTCGTCCCAATTGTCGTTGCATTTCATTTTACGCCCTTTTATTTTCACCCGGGAGCAGCAGCGTCCAAATAATTAAGGTTTGACTTTTTTGTCTAACTGGCCCAATTCCTGAACACGGCCCCGCCCGCCCGTTCGGAGGGTTTGGCGATGAACTTGGGCATACATTATGCTTCTTTCGGGTCCTTAATTCGCGCTTGAGCAGGTAATTTTCTCCTTTCAAACTGTTCGAGGTGGAAATCCGGATGAGGCCTTCTAAACTCTTACAATTCGTTAAAGATGCGTTAATGACATGGCGGACGTAGACCCATCAAACGCTACCAACGCCGCGGAAGCGAGAACTTGCTCACAGTGGGAACGGCTCTTCTCCGCCATCAACCACTACTTTCGCGACGATGACATTCTCCAGGGCAGCGAGCACTCGTCTGTCGAGGTGTGTTCATTTAAATTTTAAAATAATTTTAAAACTTTTCAAAATGAGTTTAATTTTCGGTTATATATTACTGTAATTTCAGAGTGGGTACTTTATCGTGGCCGCTTATGTGCTGGTCATCTCCTTGGGTGTGTTTGGCAATACCCTCACTATTGTCGCCATTCTACGGAACAAACAAATGCGAAATGTGCGAAATTTTTTCATTTTGAATTTGGCCTTGTCAGACTTTTTTATTTGCACAATCACGGCGCCAATCACGTTGTACACCGTGCTTTACATGTTCTGGCCGTTCGGAACGGCGTTGTGCAAGATCGCCGGCTCGCTACAAGGCTTTAACATCTTCTTGTCCACCTTCTCCATCACTGCCATTGCGTTGGACAGGTAAGTTCTTATTGTCTACATCAATATAGAGTAATTTACTGTTCCTTTTTATAGTTACGTTACATTCTATTATAAGGAAGCTTTTATTATATAGGGAAGGAGAATATATCGAGAGGAACCTTTTCTAAATAGTGCTCGTCACACAGACACTTAATTATACGATTGTTTACACTTCAGGTACGTGTTAGTCATATTTCCGACGAAGAGGGAACGTCAACATAATCTGTCGCTACTGTTCTTCTCATTAATTTGGCTAATCTCCATCTTGCTGGCCCTGCCATTGTTTGACGCATCTGACTTGAACATCATCTTCCAGGACAACAACTGTGGCATCTCCCTCACCATTTGTCACGAACAAAACGAGAAATGGCAAAAGGTAAAGGGTGTAATTAACTTACTCCGTTTCCGAAAACAAGAGTATTATTACCCAAACACGTGGACAGGGTTCTTGTTTTGTCGCCAATTTGACATTCTGATGTTTGGTAGCGAGGGAAACACTTGACTCAAAAAATTAGAAGTTTGCCTAGCTTTTTGAAAATTTTTAAATATTTAATGTAGATGTACTACTGTGTTTTCTTGGATTCATTTTTATATTTTTAAAAAGCAATTTAGCCTAGAATGCAAATTTAAAATATTCAGTAAAGGTCAGGTTCGTTTGCATAAGTTAAGGCTCTGTGAACTTTTTGACCGGAGAAATACTAAACTAACGAATAATTAATGGAAGTATGTAACAAACTTATTAAACGATTTTTTACGACAAAATTACTTTACTGTACCTAACACATACACCTACATTTACGTACTCATGATATATACCTACATCGCCCAACTAGCCATTGTTTTCAGATGGCCATATCGAAAGAAGTGTATACAGTAGGCGTCCTGTTCATACAGTATGCCGTTCCTCTAACTTCCATCGCATTTGCATATTCGAGGATCGCGCGACGGATGGGGACACGATTCGCGGCCAGGAACTCGCTGTTACCCAATAACGACTCACTCCTGAATCAGCGACGGAAGTAAGGGATTTGTATTGTAATAGGCCGTTTTAATGAGTAGGTGGTGTACCTTTTGTCTTTACAAAATACGTGTCAATTGGCTTTGGAAGTAATTAAATTTGGGTTTCAAAGTTCAAATTGTACTAGTTTTTAATAGTTTTTGTCATTGCCTTTTTTAAGTATATGGTTCGGTCAATACTTGTCGAATCGGGTCGAAAAGTACGCAGAATTGTTTTGTAAGTACAATTTAGTACGTCATTTTTAATATTTTTAGCCAAGGATAATATTTTATTGTAACGTAAATTGCCATTTCAGATCGATAGCTGACAGACATAGGCGTACCCACTTTCTGATGGTATCTCTGGTGGTGGTGTTTGCCAGTGCTTGGTTACCTCTCAACATCTTCCACCTCATAAACACGTTCAACATTGTGCAACGCTTCTCCGTCCAGACCTTTGCCTTCTGTCACGTCACGGCCATCTGCTCAGCGTGCCTGAATCCTCTGAGCTACGCCTTTTTCAATCAGAACTTCAGGACAGAGTTTGTGGCTATGTTTGAGAGCCTGGGATTAATGTAAGTGTACTTGAACATGTTATTTATGACATAATTTGATAGGATTAAAAGTTAATTGACATCATACAGCGGTCAAAAAGTCGATAGAAATATTAAAAATAGACCATAAATCAAGAGAGATTCTATAGACTTTTCGACCTCAGTAATACATTATAAACAATGTTTCGAGGAGGGTTAACGTGCCGTTCCTAAGATTGTTTATTATATCTTTTGTCATAATGAATACAATGTCATCATCAATGTCATTGTTGCAGAAAACTTCACGATCAAATAAATAAATGGCTGAAGTGGAATCAGAAGGCCGCCAGTCTGAGTCCGGAGAAGAATCGGATTAAGTTGAACGAGGCCGAATCCAACGAGTGTGTCAACAACGTCAACAATGTAGTACAGCATGGACAGAACCAGGTCATGACGAATGCCTTGTAGACGTCTCGTAGACAATCTAGTGTCACTTAGATTATGTATATACTTAAATTTACTCAGTTAGTTCACAGGAGACATTTTAGTGATATTGTCGTATGTATTGTACATACACAGTTTCTTGTAGTATATTGAGATTGATGGTATCGTATTCATGCCATTAATATTACATATGACAATTTATTATTAATTGACGTACAGGTGTTATTGTACAAAGATAGTACACTCTGATATTACTTTGGATACGATACTCAATATTGTACGCTAGTACTAAGTACAACTGGTCAAAAAGTAGATAGAAAGTAATGATTAAATATTACTTTCTACATACTTATTGACCAGAACCTTATCTCCACATCTATTCACAGTCCGTCTTCAGTAGGCTACGTGGTCGGTGACGTCACGCTACAACCCAGTGTCTTATGTCAATGAACATGTCTCTGATGTCATCACGTTGTTGGTTTAACGGGTATACCTTTGCTGTAATGTTGAAACAAATAAACGCCGAATGCTTTACTTTACTGACTCACTTTGACTTTCTCTTTCGATTACGACATTACATTCTTTGGTTGCGCGACCCATGAGTCATGAACCTCACCGTGACCAAAGTGGTTTGTGGAACAATAAAACGGAACGTCAGCGAACTATCAACCTCAGCTAAGGGCGGATTCTCCGGAACCCGACAGTGCTCTATATAGATATTAACGGGCGAGGGGACGTCACGTTCGGTCGTCTGAATCTCAGGTTTAAACGTTTTCTGAAGCTTAGTTTATTCAGAAGTCTCCATCTGAATCCTATATTGTCTGAATTTTTTTATATTAACCTTTCTAGAATCATTATATCCAGAATGTCGCGCCTTTTACCGTGCGTTATGTTGATGTCGCTGTTCTTTATGCAAATCTCGGAAGCCTGTTTCTCGTCGGGCGTGGGTTGTTGTGGTCCTCCACCCCCAGCCCCAGTATGTTCAGGAGGCTGTAGCGGTGGCTACGGTTGCGGACCTTATGGATGTGCTCGTCTGAAGGCTCGAGGGTCCAAGACTTTGAAGATTGGCGACGAAGAGGTGGGTACTATCTTATAAGATAAAGTTTGCACTTTCTAAATGAAACAAAACTTTCTCTTGGGGAACATTATACTCTGTTGGGTAAATTTACTTTTTGGAATATAAAATTTATATCCGACGTTATGTTTTCACTTCAGGCCGAAGAGGAGACCGACCGAGCTCCACAAACTCCAGACGAAAAGTTTATGGCGTGCTGTGTGTCGCGGAGACTCCCCGATCAATGCCTAAGCAAGTGCAGCTTCTCGTCCTACAACCGAAACGCCCTCCAAGTAAGTTAATGCATTTACGATGGCAGGGTAATGTCAATATACAATGGCACTTAAGTCTTGGCCTAATAATCTCAATACCTCATGACTAACTTAATGCATATCATATATGCTTACTTTGAAAAAAGGTATTATTTGTAAAGTAATAATGAGCTACAGTACTGACACCATTACAGAACATGTACTTCCGAGCTGACAGTTGCCCCATGCAAGCGGCTTCTGACCTCCAATTCTGTGCTGCCCAGGGTCGTGACCATCGTGAGTGTTGTATGCGTAATGGAGTTGGTACCACAATAGCTGGCGAAAAGTGTTTGTTGTTCTGCGATCAACGCCCAGGCAACACGACCCAACTTGACATGAGCTACATGAGCTGCTTCGACAAGTTCGAGAACATGAAAGGCTGTTTCTGGCACGACATCGTGGAGAGAACCAAGAGAACCCAACCCTTCCGAGTGTAGATCATATAATATATAGTGCAGATGAGCTTGTCAATAGGAAATCTATAGATCTTGACTTCACATTTGTATTATATACTCCTTATGACATTCTACCAACCATATCCAAAACTTTAAAAAGGCCTGCTCAAGTGTAATCCAATGATAATATCAGTCTTTCACTTTTACTCGTATTTGAATAAACTAACTGACCAGCTTTCGTCCAATTGAATACGAAAAGCGAGCAAAAAGATCTCGAGTCTGGCCGATTTCGAGGGAAAAGCAAGGAAGGAAGGCTGTCAGATCAGCGTTTCTTTTTCTAGCGATGGGGAAGAACAAGAAGAAGAAGAATACACAGGAAAGGCCAAAAACAGAAGAGCCCAAGTTTGAAAATGGCTTCAAGAAGGAGTCCGAAGCTGAAGTAAGTCGTTTTGATACTACTATAATATCACGTGTTATCATTTTTACAAATCAAATGTTGATCTATTCCGTTCTGCAAATTAGGAGCAAGACAAACACAAAAAAGTTCTTGCCGAACTCGACAGACGTCGCAAACAAATCGAAGAAGCCGTGAAGCCGATTCAGAAGGAGGTACCGTACCCGCGGATAACGTTCTACCCCTTTGCTTACGCCCTGTCCGAGCAATTCCTGGACAAAGCCTGCTGGTATTGTTTACAGCAGCTCACTCCCCAATTAAGGTAATATCCTTTCAGCCCCATTAACCTCCCTAATCCGCTGTTTTCAGTCCTTGTCCTAATTGCAAAGTTGCTGTCTTTTGTTCCCAAAAGTGCAGCGACTTGGCCAACAAAGATCACGAGCCAGAATGCAGAGGGTTCCAGAAGCGGAAAGAGTCACAGTCCATTGAGGTACGGCTGCTGGGAAGGATCGCATCGAGGTATCATGTATGTTACAGTATTTTAAGCTTATAATAGTACTGCTTCTTACCAATTTTCCAGAACAAATCTGTATAAGTCTATTGCTCGATTACCAATCATTCCTATAACAATATTGTAGAAGATAAAGCGAGGAGAAGACAAGACGGATGACTTCTACCTCGGCAGAACCTCGAAACGGTCGGTGATGGAGATCTGGGCTCACGAGGAAGAGTTCGCCGAACACCAAGATTACACAACTCAATTCATGGGTAATATCAAGCTCGTTTAATGTCAACTGTTTAGATATATACGACAAACTGGTCCTGTTCTACGACAAAAAAGACCTTCCTTCCAAGAAGGATGTATTCAAATTACATTGCCGCGACTTTATCAACCGACATGCTATCTGCGACAAAAACTACGAAAATGTAAGCATAGACAGAGTACTGTAGGTAATACAAACTGTTTTACACTTGATTATATGTAACTAGAATGGTGCTTTCAGGAGATTGGTAAAGGTTTATACCTAGATCTATGTGCATATGACCACAGTTGTCGACCTGATACCGTATTCTTCTCGGACGGCTTCAAGTCAGTACTAGTAGGACTAAACAAGGTCAAAGACATTTCTGACTCGAACAAGAGCTTCTATTCCTACATTGATCTGTTAGGGTAGGTCACAGCTATAGCATCATATTGTTGTACTATAAGTTATCGTCTTGGTATTATATTACTATAGTACTAATAGTAAAATACTGGTAGTAAAGTCATCCCTGACACTACATTAGAGTAAGTTGTCATTTGGTTATCTTATTGTAGAACTCTGGAACAACGCCGGAAGCAATTAAAAGATACTTGGTTCTTCGAGTGTAATTGCGAGCGATGTACCGACCCCAAGGACCACGTACTCACTGCAATTAAGTGCCAGTACTGTGCAAATGTGAGTTCCGTATGATTGTAATTGGCTACAACTTCCTGATAACTGTTGGCAGACTAATTTAGAGTAACTACAATGTAAAGAGCTTCCTAAACAATATCTAAATTTAAGCATAATTCAGAAGTAATGCATGAGTAGTGATAAAAAAACATTCCGTCAACTCCTTGAGTATGTGAATATACCAATCACTTTAATTCAGCCTTTAAACAGTAATTTACAGAAGGATGTTGACACCACCCTGATAGTCCAAGGTACTCTGTTGCCAAGAAAGGACGGCAAACTTTGCTGTCCTACTTGTAATGTTATGCAAGAGCCCTTCCACATAATGGAGTGCAACTACACCATTAGAGACATTGGTATCTTCCTAGACAACATGGATCAGATACCCAAACATGAGCTGACCGCCCATTTCGAGTTGTTCAAACAGAAAAGTATCTACTGTCTGCCAAAGACTAACGTTTACCGAGCTAGGTTAATATTAGTATGTCATGTTTGTTTTGAACAACATAATATCTTTTTTAATTATCGCGTTGATATAGAAGTAATTACAACCATTCTTGAGAGGGAAATTACAAACTCCAAGCAATTCTTGACCCTTTTTAGCCGTACTACACAAAATACATAAAATATGTAAGTTACAGTAACCTATGTTATTCCAGCAATATGTAAGCCGAATCTCCACCAACGACGACGAGAAGGCCCTGTTGATGGCGTCGGTCGAAGACTGCCTGAGGCACTGTTTCCCCCAAAACCATCCCGGTCTGGCCTATTACCTACGCGATGTAGCCATTTATTGCAAAGAGTAAGTACTGTTCGGAATGTGAAGTATATCACCTCAGACTAAATATACAGTTCATTATTATGCACACATTAGGAATATTAACCATGAAGAGGAAGAAAGAACATAACAAAAACAAAACTTCAGAGCCGGCTTTTACAAAGACAGCATCAGATACTACACGGAAGCCCTCAAGTACTTGGAGCGGGTGTTCGTGGAGCATACGTTAATTAACGAGATAAGAGATCTATTGCCCGGCCTTCAAAAGCGGATAGTTATGGTAAACAAGGGAAAGTAAATAAAGCATCTGATTGTAGGAGGAGCAGAAGGGCAGGGCCAAGGTCTTGAGCAAGTTCGACTTGAAGAACGAGGATTATGACGAGGAGATGCCCGAGCTGGTGCCAGTCAAGGCCTCGAATGGCAGCAGCAAGGAACGGGCACTGCATCGCCGTGTTCACCGTGCCGCCACCCCGTTGCCATCGGAGGAACCCGTAGAGAACAGTTGAACGATAAAACCAGAATCACTACGTTTTGTAGGCACACCTGGGCGCCTGAAAGTGTTATCTTAAGTTTGTTGTTGTGTTGGGAAAGTAAAATCTCGTGATGTTATGTGTTATACGAAATTTTACAATCAGAAAGAAAATACACAAACTTCTACAAAATAGCAAAAAATTACAAAAAGATAAAATATAAGGCTTGTATTATACTCAAATCTCTGTGCTCTATAGCATAAATATCAATAAATAAACGTAAACTTACCACAACACCGAGAAGATCAGGAGGTAGTTGAAGATCGTTGTACGGCAAGTAAATGTGAGCATAAGAAGTCGTCTTTGTAATCGAGAAAACCGAGAACCAGAACACATCCTTCATATTGAGAGAGCCTGGTAGTCGAAGAGTTACTGTTTCGTTGTTGTAATCTCTCAGCGACGTACAATCGAATTCAAGTGACGTGCTAAAACAATATAGTTTTAATTTAAAATACCCTAAATTAAAATGGATCGTTTAGTATGTTATACATACAGTTATGTCTAACTTAATGAGTATGTGCTTCTGAATATCAATTTAGGTAATACCTGTTGAATACTGGTAAAATGTCGCCTCCTTTGTGTGGTAAAATGTCTTTGCCGACCATAAACCAAGTTGGTACGCCTTTGGTTGTCAATGTGAAGTTCTGGATCTCAATCGTCTTTGTGTTCAAAAGCTAAAATAATACGCTTCTACTTTCTATTATCAAAATAAACATTTTGACCTTTTTTCATAAATATCATACGATAATATGACAAACGTTAACATCCAATAAACGTATGTTTTAATACATGTATAGCTGATTCAAACTTACTCGTATCTTGCCAGAAGATATCTGAAAAGGACCATTCGGAGTAAGTGGTCGAAGAGTTACAGTCGCAGGTATCTGAAACTGTAAATCTGTTGGCAGTAGCACCATAGCACCTTGATCGTGAGCTTTGTGATCGTATACTGATATCCAGTTGATGTTCTTCAAGGTGTATTGCCCAGGTAAAGTGATCAACATAGGTTGTATGCCAGCGTACCAATCAAGTGGCTTCATAGTGATCTGAGATTCTGGAGCGTCTTGCAATGGCATCTGTTAAAAACAAAGTAAAATTATAGATACACGACATTAATGTCACTTTACGTTTGTATGGTAAAATATAATGGTAAAATCGCAAAACACAAAAATAATTTTCGAATGAGTTAAGTTTCTCTCTACCAGAATAATTTTAATATTTTTTGGAAAAAATGAAAACACACCTTGAAAGACAAGTTTACATTGTTGTTTCCATCAGTCTTGGCTACAAAGTTCAGGGGGAATGTTGTGTTACCGTCTCTCTTCATTCGTCGTACTGTATTTTTGGTTGTGCCGTCTTCTTCTTCGGCTTCTGCAGTTTCAGTTATCGCAGTCGTATCTTTGCGTATCTTGGCTTCCATTTCCTGAATTATTAATATGTCAAATTATTGCTGTTTTTTAACATAATTGCAAATTGATTTTATTGCGAAAACTGTTATAATATCCTAGAACTTCTAGCTTACCTCAACTTCAATAGTGACAAAGGATCGTATGTCTACAGGCTCGGCTGTAACATACACTCCGTTATCAGAGGGCATCATGTCAGCTTCTGTATTTGAGGGTACAGCTGGTCCGATCCAAAAGGTAACATTGTCTGAAGATGAACCAAGTAATGGTAACTTTTAGTAACGAAATAGAATACCACAATAAAGCAATATCATGTATACCAAGAGCTTACCACTTCCAGAAGTCGGCTTAAAGTGGAATTTGGAGACTAGAAGTCGTTTCTCATCTATTGACCACAAAGCTCCGCTCACGTTGTAGCTACTCAACTTCAGATTCTCAATGAAACTGCCACAGTACTTTCCGTAGTACGGTAGTTTGTCCTTGGCTGTGAGAACACTTTGTTTCGGTCGATTCTGCTGTATCCAATCTACTATTTTGGCCGATGGCTTTACAGTTTTACTTGGCAAAAAGGTTGCTGGATCGAGTTCACCGTTAGCTATCGCTTCCTTCAGAAGCTTCTCTGGGTCTTCTATCACGGATTCTGTGCCTAAAATTGAAATTAGTCGAATTTTCGTAGGAAAAAGAGAAAAAAACTATTTTTGTTAAAATTTATTTTATTTTTGTAGCTAAATCGCAAGAATTTACCGTTTTTCTCCTCGTCCTTCACACTCGAGAACAAGGTTTCTTCCACGCCCAACTTGGAACTTTCTCCGATCGCTGAACTGCTCAACTTGGATCCCTCAGCTGCTGTCGATGTTCCGAGAGCTTTTGTCATCGAACTGAACAAATCTTTGCTGTTCGGAGATGCCAAGAGATTCCTAGCCAACTTTGAAATCGTCTCCAAAGGTGATCCACCCCCTGTTCCTCCTAATAATGCAGCTAGCGGAGTCAGGGCGTCTACTGGAGGAGTGGGTATGACATTAGGGTTAACGGGACTGATGGGAGGCTGAAGACCAACAAACGATGTTGGAGGTGCATGTCTGAGATTGGATTGTGATTGGGTGAAGATGCTCTCGACGATGTTATTTGAGGGTTTTGACGACAAGGGCGGAAATGGAGCTGGTTCAACGTTTTTGTAGACGGGAAGATCAACAAGTTCGTTGTTGAACAACTGCAACTGGTCTAGTTCTGTTTTGGAAGCTTGGTTCTGAGGTGGGGACTTTTCAATCACTTCATCTGGCATTTGGTACTTGTGGGCGCGATTCGCTTGGAACCGTGGCTCCGTATCCTTTGGTACTTGTATTGTTTTTGGTCGGAATCTGAAAAATGTTTCAATAATATGTGTCAATTCTGTATTTTTTTAATTAAAATTCTCTTGATTTAATTTCGAGGTACAGTAAAACTGTGCTTACATTGACTTCTTGTACGGTAGCGGGTTGCGCCTGTTGCTGGTGGAATAATTTGTTCCTCGAGGGTTTGTTTGCTTTGACTCAGAAGACCTGAAAGAAGATTTATTCTCCACTTTCGCTTTCGAAAAGGACAAATCGGATGACCTAGATCTTGTTCTTTCCCCATGACCGCCCTCACCTGTCAGATAAAGCATCCGTTTCAGCGACATCGTTCCCTCGGGCACGCTCGAACGGTGGCAAGTACAGCACGACCGAGTCGTCGTTCTTGGCAGTGGTGCTGGAGAAGAGCTGGTGATGCTGCTTCTCGGTTTCCTTTTCGTATTCTGAATACGGAACGATCGCCGTCCGTTTGCGCAGCGCTTCTGATGTGGGGGCGACAAAGTTGGGGGAAATTATGTCTAAAGTTGCACGATGTTGAGGGATTACAGAGTAAGACTTTAAATACCATGACAAAAGGTTTCAAGAAAACTGTGCAATTTACCTAATTTAAAACTATGCACCGTGCAGTCTCTTTTTCAAACCTGATTTCACCCTAATATAAATAGAAAAATGTTATGACAAAATTAAATAAAAAAAATGTTATTGTTGACAATCGTTATGGTATACTCGATATCCCAAAAAACTTAAAGTCTATCTTAAACCAATCTTACCTGCATTTGTCATCACCAAAAGTCCTAAAATCAGAAAAACTCTCGCCATGGCGAGGAATATCCCTGAGGGAATCAAAGGGAAAATAAGCGCTCCGAATGGCGATCCCAGGTAGGGGAGGGATTGATAGCCAGCCGGCTCGCCCCTTTTGCGGAGAAATCGCGGCAAAACAGTGTTCTTTCTCTCTGACCATCATCATATACATGAATGGATATAAACACTCCAACATACCTGAATAAATCTCCCCTTTTAGCTCACGGTCGCCCTTAGGCGCCAAGTTTGCAACCTTTCGAAACCATTTTGAATACGAAGTTGACCACTCATCTTTATCAATGACGATTATAATTGACCAATTACAATTAAATTATGATTATAATTTGTTAATGACATTAATGACAAAGTGAATGTGTTGTGTATGCAGAAGTCATCAGAAAACACCACCATCCTGTCCATCCCTGATGCGACATAATTAATAGCTTCTTTCAGCATGACATAAAAGAGATGACATTCGAGTACTCGGCTTCGTTCGGTCTTAATTCGGCGTGGAAACGGCCTGCCTTCTTGTCCGGCCGTCTCTGTGCTTTCCATGCCCGCAAAGCGGGGCCATTTGGGCTTCGGATCCATGAATTCATTCTCTTTCCCCTCCGGGCTTTTGTGGTCACATCCCGGGGGTTTGAGAAGAGGTAAAAAGTCGGACCTTCCTTTACGGGTTCGTTTACTACTGTTACTTTCCTTCAAACAACACGAAATTCCAATTTCTTAGGCCGCTTCCTCAGCCCTATAAAACCCGGAGGAAGGCGCAGAGTATTTAAAACCCACGCCGAATTAGTCAAAGTAACCCTTTCGGTGTGCTCGTGGATGTTTTTGAAATATTTAGGTCCAGACTTGTTTGGTTAATCTCCTTTCGGCCGTTAATCCCACTTAACTGGTGATTGTGGCCACGATTTCTGATTCGCATACCTATTACAGCGTTTCATTCAGTTTGTTTTGAATATTGTACGTTTACCACGGTTGATACGAGTTGTTTACAGCCATGAACAACACCTTCAACGACCTCTTCAAGAAGGCTCATGGCGCGTTAGCAACCCTACGAGGCCAAAACAATATCTTCTTGGGGAAGGACGGGGAAGTGGTCTTCTCCAAGAACAATGTTTGTGTTCACGAGTCCTCGGTAGGGGGAGTTCCGGCAAGTTAATTTCGTTTTATAACGCTATATCAGTATTTACATAGTAAACATATAAACTATAGAAAAACCAATAATAAACAGTTTTTTATTCATTTCAATGCATTTTCGACAAACTAATGCAGTAAGGAGAATTAAACATAATAAATCTTACAAGATATTTTGTAGAAAGTTGACGAAAGCAATGTAGTACACACCCCCGGCTACTTGACCGTACATTGTTTGAACGACGAGCAGACTGGAGTTACGCTGGTCTTACAATGGCTTCCAAATGCTACACTGGAGAAGAACCCAAGCAGGTGAGAACAAAAACAACATTGAATTACCAATTAACATTATCGTATTACCAACAAGTACTGTATTTTAAATTGCCTTACAGTATTCGATGTGTTTCTCCTCGAAGTCGCGCAAAAACAAGTAATGGAGAAGCACCAGAACTGGCACACTCAAACGGACCTTCAATTGTCGTTGATCCGACTGTTGTTATAGTAGAAGACACAGCCTCAACATCAACGGATCGACCAACATCACTAAATCCGGTAAGTTAAACCTGCTTTTGTTAGAAAATCAACTTCCAGAGCGATGAACTTGGAGTTCCGGCCATAAAAGTGATACCAAACACTCCGCTGGATCCAAATCACAAAAAACTACTTGATGGCTTCAACGAAGACGAACTCGAAGCCATGAAGAAGAATTCCGAAGGCAAGAAAAACTCAGATGCTGAATCTACAGGGTCTGGTCACACTTCTGGAGCAGACGAAATGTCAGACAAAGAAGACGTTTCAGAAGCATCGTCCATCGACGAGGACGACGAAGAAATTCAGAAAAGTATGTCAGATTGTCGCGTTATCAGCCATTTTAGTCAAAAATATTAACTTGGACACTTACCGCAAGACCTGCCAGAACTTCATGGACAAGACGCCAGAGCAGTTTGCCCAAGAACATAATCTTATACTCAACACAGGTTCCAAGATGGACGATTCGAGTGTCCTAGCCATGGCCAAAGACAAGGTCATGTTCCAACAACGACCTGTCTCCAACTCATCGCTGTTTTCCGTTAACCTGGGTAAAATGAGGTCGATGAGGTTGTTCTTCTCTAATCCTGACTGCACTAGTGGACAACTTGTTATTGCCAGCAACGAAGCACAATACAAGATACTACACTTTCATCACGGGGGATTGGACAAATTGGCCAAAATCTTTGAGCAATGGAACACGTTAAAGTCCAAATCTGTCAAAGATGTAGGTCCTTACATAAAACCACATAAATATAAATAATGTTTCACTTTGCGTGAAATCACTATTTGAGAGAATGTATTTAAAGCCAAATGCTGTTTACTAGAACATCAAGTTATTATCCTGTTTAATAACAACAACACACCTCTTCAGGGATCTCCATCACCTATCCCAGACCGCCATCTCCTCATCTGCCAACCAGAAGTCAGCCGGACTGAACTGGACCCAGAAGACGGCCTCTATGATCGTGTGAGTTTCGACTTCTGGAAAACGTACATGAACAAAGACGGGTCGATCGACGACAACTTCACCATCAGAAAGGCCATCTACTTTGCATCTATGGACATATCAGTGCGGAAGGAGGTTTGGCCCTTCCTCCTTCGAGTTTACACCTGGAATTCAACTTTCGAACAGCGAGAAACGGTCAGGAACGACCTCTTCCTCGAATATCAGAACATCAAAAAGAAAAGGTACCTAAAACAACATACAATATCTGACAATACTTAACGAATGCCTACCTCTAAGCTAAAACTAATTTTCCAACATTTAGAATGAAGAAAATGAACTCGAACCCAAAAAGTTCGTTGATTCAAATTGAAAGTACGATATGGAAAGACGTGGTACGAACTGATAGATGTAATCCTTACTTTTCCGGTGATCACAACCCTAACCTTGAAATCATGAAGTACGTTTACAATTAACAAAGTTTACACTGAAAAATTTTACAATTCTTGCGAAATCCGACAAAATTTTGTTTTCCGATCTGCGTCCTACTATAATCGACTGTTTATACGAAAAAACATGTTTTAAAAAAATTTTGAAGCTATTTTTTTATAAAACTGATTTCAGAGACATACTGTTGAATTATGCTTCGATGTATCCAGAAATCAACTACATTCAGGGAATGTCTGATCTTCTGGCGCCCATTTTGGCCACGCTGAAGAACGAATCTGATTCCTACTGGTGCTTCTCGGGTCTGATGCACCAGACATTGTTCTGCACTACATCCAACACCGAGACAAACGCGATGGAGATGAATCTGGAGTATCTGAGAGAGTTGATGAAGCTGATGGAGCCCAAGTTCTTCCAATATCTTGTTCACCTTGGTGGAGATGCCCTTCAGCTGATGTTCGTCCACAGATGGTTGTTGTTATTCTTTAAACGAGAGTTCCCCGAGTCTGACGCGCTGCACATATGGGAGGCGTGTTGGTCAATGTATCGTACCAAATACTTTCATCTTTTTGTCGCCGTAGCGATCGTGAGCATATACGGGCCTGATGTCATGTCGCAGAAGCTGCCTCATGATGAGATTCTACTTTACTTTTCGAGTTTGGCGATGCATATGGACACAACTGTGGTTTTGAAAAAAGTAGGTAAAGGTTTAAAATTTGATGCATGATAATAAAAAGTCACACAGTTCAAAGAGTATAACACTAACAAGTATCGAATGTGTTAACTAAATTAGAGTCGCATATCTATAAAACAAATTGATAAGTGAACATTTTGTAGGCTAGAGGTCTACTATACAATTTCTATCGTCTCGACCGTATTCCGTGCACACTGGCTGATCTGATGGATCAGGACTCAACTGTGGAGCAATGGAGCAGTCACATGCCTCAGTACGTGTTCGAATGCACTCGAGTTCATGGCCAGAATGAGCGGTGTCCCTTTGCCAATCAAACTTAACAGTTGTTGTCGATCTGGTTGCGGTGATAGATACTCTAGTTTATTAGATATATAAATTATTTTTTGACAAACTAGCGTAATAATTAGCTAAACTAGGAAATTTAGATATTTTAGCGGATGAGTAAGTCGCTTTTAGTATAAGTTTAAATACTAAGCAGATGCTCATTTGACTTAATCGGTGTTTAAGTCGAATTCAGCTGCTCTTGGCCAACAAAAGTGGGGCTACGACAGTTTCGAGAGCCTAAAATGTGTTGGAAATGTTTAATTTGAAACGTAATTTAATGGTTTTACCTCAATTAGTGCCTCGATAGATACGATGTTGTGTTTGTAGAGGAGCGAGTGCTTCAAACTGGGAACCTTGCCGGAATTTGGGAGGAATCCGAGAGCGTTGACCTTGTAGTAGTGAGAGTAGGGGAGCTTCAGGATGTCTAGGGCTTTCAAGGCTTTTGGAGGTTGCAGGCCCTGAATAAACCATGGTATATTAGGTAAATTATATTAGTAGAAATACCAATTTTTTAAATTTCAACAGTAAAGGTGCCTTACCGTTCCAAACGTGAACACTGGCAAAAGATTTGTTCTGAGATCGTCTCCGAATAGATACTTGATTCTCTTGTAGTTCAGTAGCAACTGCTGCGACACGTCGTCATCGTCTTCTTTGATGACAGGGAGTATGGCATCGAGACGAAGCTTGGAGTCTCTGGTTAAGCGATGTTTGACAAACTTTCCGATTAATAGTGGAGTTGAGTCATATTCTATCGAAGGTGTATCTATCACGGTGAGGTTATAGCCCAGAATCGTGTTGTTGAAAGTGTAACTGACGACACGGTCAGTTATGTCTTCAAACTTGTTCGGAAGCTCAAGAGCTAATCTGTAATCGTAAAATAAGGTATCTACTTCTGATTATCTTGAACTGCAAAGGATCATATGGTAGTACACTTTAGCAACTTACCTGAAGGGATGTTCTTTTTGACATCTGTAGAGGAAGTTCATCAAGGAGCAGATGAAGGATGTTCTGCCAGACTGTGCTTTCCCGATCAACAAAAATGTTCTCTGATTTGTTTTCTTGGTCGGTCCGCCTACAGTAATCTCGGGGAACTGTGGATGAAGACTTAGTTCGAAGTATGGCTGGTAGAAGTCTACAGAGTTCTGGGAACCAATAAGATCAGCATTAGCTAGTTGGTACTCCAAATGTGGTCCTACTGGTACATTTTCTTCCACGATGTTTAATGGTACCTTTTGAGTAGCTGAAATGTTATGTTTATGTAAGTATGACAATACTCTTTTTCTTACTTAAAAATCAAATTTACAATTTTATGAAACTTACCACCTTGCCTGATAGGTCGATCTGTAAGATTGGAAACGCTTCGTGGGAGTGCATTTACAGTAGTCGATCTACGGTTCAATTGTATTATCTTGAAGTCGTTTTCGATGACATTCTTGTAGTCAAGGTCACGTTGAGTGTAGGCATTTAGTTCTGCTTTTGAACGTGGACTTTGTGGTACTTCGTCGTATACATGAACATTGTCATCAGTTGACGGTGAAGTTGCTACAGGTTTTGCAACGACAAACCCATTATTTTCATTGGTTTTGTCATGAAGATTGGTTCCATTGGTACCATTATGATTACCATTGTCTACATTGCTATGAATGTCGTTTGCATATGTGTTACTGCTTAATTTGAGTCTCTGATTTTGAATCTCTGCAAATTCAGCGTTCTTGATCTCTTTGAACAGCGATGCCGCGAGGGATCCTTTGGAGAGTTCAACAGGTTCATCTGCTACTTCCTCTTCCTGCTGTGGTATATTCTAAAGTAAACACTTGATCTTACATGTCATGTTTCATTGTTAATGATAACAAAATAGTGATAATTCATCATGACTACTAGTTGCTTTACTTACATGGAATGTTGCATTCTCGTCGCCATTGACATGCGATGTTTCATTGTCATGGTCGTTTACATGTGATTTGTCATTCCGTTGATAAGCGACAACTGGATGATTTAGGTTGATTTCGCTGTTATCATCTAAATCAAACTCTCCGAATCTGCTTTCTGAAGCCGTTGCCAGACTGTCGACAGTGGGGCTTCGTTGTTTCTTTTCATGGGAAGAAACGTATGTTAACGTAGTTGTTTCCACGAATCCATCGACAGGAAAAGCTTCAAAATGACGTTCTTCTTCAACATCATCGTGCAAGAGTCTTGATACGCCCTAAAGGTGTATGGTGTAATCATTAAAATTGTTTAAGTTTTTTTAAATGCAACAACATCGCTGACGTCAACAACTTACAGTTGAATTCTGAAGTGCTTCTTCTAACATGGAAGAGTGACGACTTCTGGGTCTGGTTTGCAGGTGGTCGTGGTCTTCATGTTCGCTCAGAATATGTTGTTTTACAACACTGTCAACAGCATCTTCATCCCAATGTTTGTTCAACACCTGGTCTAGCTCACGCAGAACGTCTTCATGGTCATGGTGGTGATGGACAGGAGGAAGAGTAACAGCAGAAAATACCTTTATGTCAAATAGAAGTTGATAAAATTACATTTATTACTAACAAAACACAAACAATGTTCCGAAAAAATGGCATTAAGTGTTGTATAGGTATAAATCTTCTAAGACAACCTTCTCCTACATATAAACCGCCTAAAACAAGATCAACTATACCTTGTCCAACAAGGAATCAGCGCGATCCCGCTCGGGAATGGTCAACTGATTCTGCAAATGACTCATCATGTATAATATGTTTGTCAGAGCCAACTCACCTCAGTAATCATAGCCCTAATTCTTTTGAAACAAACGGACGCGTCTTATCAAACACCTTATCAGTCTTTTATTTATTTATTAGTAAGAAATTAGATTCTGAGGAACAATCAGATCCATCACCGTAGTGAGGTAATCCACGCCGAAGGGCAGGTCTCCGTCTTCAGATAACAGTCGATGGTGAGGATACACAAAAGACACGATCCATCGCGTGTAGCCCGCCCATTGTCGCCACCACGCGAAGAAAGTCTGTTGTAGGGTTTGGGCGGCCATGTTGCTGTGACAACTCACCAACACATTGTTCACGAACATGTCTCCGTTCGCTGTCAATGGAGCGTAGATACCATAGCCTTGTACCTGGAATAACAACAGTTTATTACTGAGTAAACATTGAAGAGTTAAAAAGTTATTATTCATGATATCAATTTTATTTGACCATAAAAATGTTATGTTAGAAAAATAATCCACTAATTCTTGTATGTTTACTACAGTAAATAAATCCTCCAAGATACGTTTTTAAAATGAAGTCAAAGTCTAGTCTTCTTACATTTTCTATTGACACAACTTTGGATGACTTTAGTCCATGCGTTCCTTTGTAGTGAAGACAGTCTCCTACTACAACATCAGCTGCTTTAACCAGTTGCAGCCTATCTCCTGCTTTACATTCCGTGACATACATGAGATGGTAGTCGGTAATCTTGATGTGCTCTTTGTTGCTTGTTGTTATCAGCTTGTAGACAGCATCCTCCTCTTCCTTTCGGTGCAAGAACATAACAATCTTGGAGTAGGTAATCTGAAATAGACATTGTTTACGGCATCAGATTGTTTACATACCAAGGCCCCATCCATCGACATAACGAGATCTCCAACTTCTAATGCGTCCATTCTTTTGTGTCCTGAGGGAGTTTCCACTAGCATGTCGCCGCTGAAACACTGTAACGACGAAAACATACTATTCATCGTACAGCTCGGAGTACAACAACTGGATGTACATGAAGCATCTTGTGCTGGCTGTTGATTCGTGTCATACGAATAGCTGGGCTGTTGATACGATGTTGGTTGGAGAGAGTACGATGTTTGTTCTTGAACAGGGTAGATGTAGCTCTGAAAACAAAAATAAACATACATTATTTGTGCTATATTATGCACATAAAAACAAACTTTACAAGATTGAAGTCTGGACTGCAAAAATACAAAAGGAGGTTTCTTAATTAACATTACGCTGTTTATTACCAAAAATAATATAGTATCAGATACCGCATAAAAACAAAAAGTTTTTTCGAAGCGAAATATCAACAAAATATCAACAAACGAAGTGTCAAAAAATAAAATAATTTGTTGATCGTGTTCTAACTTTTTTATTTGATTTATTACATATTTGCCCCAGATCGCTGATAACCATGGTATGTTTTATTTTATTATTACCTATTTTTTGGGAAATAAGTTTTCAAATAGGTAGAATACTAGATGTAGGACAAGTATTGGTATTTCAAAGATTTTTGAGTGTTTTTAGGTAAGAAATAGACAAGCTGGTGTATGTTTAATATTGAAAAGATTTTTATGACATTATTTTGTCCAGAAATGTTAATTTTAGGTAACCAATAGATTTTTAGGCCATAAAAGATTATTTAAAACTTTTTCTATAAAGTTTTGTCCGTTTGTTACCTAAAACACGAAATAATCTAGAAAATACGAATATTCTTCAAGGATGTAACCTAGACTTTCATTACTAAATTGAGAAATAATTGGGTTCAAACGTACAAGAAAACCTATCGAAAAGCTAAAAACGAAACCGACAAACTATGGTTCATTTTTCACTTTTTTTTACATTTTTAGGTATTTGTTATCTCGTTTGCTTTTTATTGAAATTTTAAATATCAGACTTACCGGTACTACTGATGGCTGTACTGCAATACTGTAGGTATCTTGAGATGGAGCGGGAGCGACAAGCGCGGGGTGAGAGTAAGATGTGTCATGTTGTGGAGGAATGGTTACTGTATTCTCTGCAGTAGGAATAGTGGTGAAATAGGCAGAGAAGTCGTCTGCCTTCTGAGCATCGTTGGCTGGGTAGTCGTTGGCCTGGTTGGTTTCGTAGTTTTTGGAGCCGTGAGCTTTGAAGTTGGTAGATGGGGCCGGCTTCTTCTCTTCGTTAATAGGCCACAGTACATCTTGATGGTAGTTTTGTCTTCTGGAGGTGTGCACTTCTGGCTCGTAGTACTCGTACTCGTCGATGTAAGGCTTGTAGCGTCGTCTTCCTCCTCTTCTGTAGGTTGCACGGCCTGGACCTCTTCTGTACATGGGACGATCGTATGTGTAGTACTCGTAGTCGTACTGGTTCTGATACCCTCGGTGTCGTCGCATTGGTGGGGTTTCTTTTCTTTTGTTGGGACTTTTGGATCTTGCTGACAGCCGTCTGCTCAGATATTCTCCGCTGTTCATGGCTGGGTCAACTTTGTTTAGAGGGTGGGTTGGAGCGGGTACACAACTCATGCGATACACGTGAGCGACATAGTGGACTCTAAAGTTATTAATATGAGTACTTTTTATTTTGTTTGTTTAAAACACATTTTTTGTAAGACTCGAGCAGTGGCTGGACCCCCTGTCGACACCAAAATTTTTTTTGCTTCGATCTGACTCAAACTTGCACCAATGTGTTCTAAGGTACTCATAAACACTTTAAACTCAAAATTTTTTTTCAAAGTTACAGTAGTCAGGTATACTGTAACTGGCCTATGATTTCTATATCTCAAGAACTAATGGTGCTAGGAACGTAAACTTTTTTTTTAAATGTAGAACATGAAATATGATGTTACTTTGTTGTTTACAGCAAGTTTCTAGGTAGTGTGCAAATATTTTTAAAAATTAAATTTTTGATAACAATTACAGTAATTTAAAAATATTTCGAAATAAAAGCACTCGTTACGCCCTGTTTTATTTAAGATTATTAAACTACGTTTTCTTGCGGTCCGAACGCACCTACAAACATCGAAAAAAACTGTGTATACGGGGTGCAAAAGTGCATTTGAAGTTTGCACACACAAAAAAAATTTTTTAAAATTTCAGTTTTAAAAAAAACTTTTTAATTACAAAGTTGTTCAGCATGGCAAAAAACATAAGTATGCAAATTTGCAGACTTGTAAGTGCATTAGAAAAGCCACAGTAAAATTTTAAATTTTTGGACAGTATGCTGCCGTAATTGTGTAATCGACCGTAACCTTCAAAATTAGCAACTTTAGAGATGACCTTATAACCTATCAATATCTACGTTTCATTTAGATTCTAAATATGCTAAAAATGACTATAAAGACCCGTGTTAAATGTTTAGATATTTGCACTTTTATAATCGAACGGTCAGATTACGGTAGGTTACGGTACTTTTAGAAAAAAATTTTTAATTACAAAGTTGTTTAGCACGGTCAAACACATTACTTTGCAAATTCTTAGAGCTTTTGGTACATTTTTGATTTTTTTAAAAATTTTTAGTTTACTTTTACAAAAAATGGCATAAAAGTGCCAAAACCGCATTTTGGCTAAAATCGCTTTACCGTACGTCTTAGAACAACCTATCTCGTCGATTTAGCTAATAAAAATAGGGGGTAAATTTCTAGTGCACACCTTGCTTCAGTCTCAGAAATTGTCTTTTAATACCAATGATAATGTCGAATAACATTACTAGCAACCTAACAAGGTTTATAAGCATAACTACGCGTTAACTAACACGTTATTAAGTACATAAAAAAATTTTGAAAAAATTTTTTTTTGGGTGTGCAAACTTCAAATGCACTTTTGCACCCCGTATACACAGTTTTTTTCGATGTTTGTAGGTGCGTTCGGACCGCAAGAAAACGTAGTTTAATATTCTTAAATAAAACAGGGCGTAACGAGTGCTTTTATTTCGAAATATTTTTAAATTACTGTAATTGTTATCAAAAATTTAATTTTTAAAAATATTTGCACACTACCTAGAAACTTGCTGTAAACAACAAAGTAACATCATATTTCATGTTCTACATTTAAAAAAAAAGTTTACGTTCCTAGCACCATTAGTTCTTGAGATATAGAAATCATAGGCCAGTTACAGTATACCTGACTACTGTAACTTTGAAAAAAAATTTTGAGTTTAAAGTGTTTATGAGTACCTTAGAACACATTGGTGCAAGTTTGAGTCAGATCGAAGCAAAAAAAATTTTGGTGTCGACAGGGGGGGCTCGACCCTTACAAAAATTGTGTTTTAAATTGTTTTAGGTTTGTTATTTACAGAAATTAAGATCATTAAAAGTACAAAATTTAAAAAATATAAAGATTTTTAGATTTTTTGCTAAAGCTATAGAACGTACTCGTTGTTTGAAGCTACATTTTTTCTGATTTCTTTGATCAGATCGAAGCCAATCAGTCGCCCGTTCTCTTTCACGGCTCCACCAACGTATCGTTCTCCTGGTCGTATTAGAGCAATCTTGTGTTCGGTTGCGTAGTTCAGGCCTTCGAACCGACAACACTCCATTGTCAACGATATGTGAGTGCCATTGTTGTATTCAGCAACTCCACCCGTCCATTCATCGTTGCCTGTACACGGAATGTTGGTATACTTGCCTGTACATGTCTGTAATAGGCTTTAGGTCAGCGATTTAAATGCAAAGTATTACGTCATAACACGAACTTGAAAATTGGAAAAGTCCTTTACAGTTGATACTATCAAAACTTGAATCTATGTTTTTTTTCGACTTACAGCAGTTCTATGTAGCACAGACAGCTGACCTTGTTCGTCGTTGTAATCATCTATGATAGGGCTTTTCAAAGGCCCAAAACACGCTGGAGTATCACATGCTAGCTCTAAAGTGAATCAAGGTAGAGGATTCAGAAGTAAATGTTACTGTATCTTTTACAAAAGAGTCACTTACCTGGCTTGCCGCTAAGATCAACTGATAAGATATACGGTATGGCTTCTCTTCCACAAGACTTTGACACGGATAGGTACGGTAGAGAGATCAGAGCTATTAACCGTAATAACATGCTAAAATACAAACGAATGTTATTGTTGCGAAATTGAAAGCAAAAATTTTTAAATTTTTAAAAATATTTGGGAAAATCGAAAGTTTTAATTAAAGTCGCCCTGAATACAAAGTCGTTCTCAGAAACCACTAAAGTTTGAAAAATTATTAAAATCTGAAGCTGAACGAAGCTCTTAATTAAGGTGATGATGACAGTGAACGCGATTACATGCTAGCCACGCTTAAATAGGAAGATGAAGAACATCCCTCAAGAACCGTGCAGGGTTCGTAATGCCGAGAGCTCTCATTAAAATCGAAAGGATTCAGGTTTCCATCGGTTGCGAGGATTGACTCCACTTGAGTGGCCTATATCCCCTCAATTATCCCTCAACGAAACGGAGAGCCGATCTTCTCGAGCGGTCGGGAAGGCATATTATTTACAAAGAAAACTTTCGATTTCGGATGCTGCCATTGATCATAGCGCGGATACGGCTATCACTCCCACAACAGTGTGAATTCCTGTTTATTGTTGCCTGTGCACGGTGATGAGCGATTACCTCTGTTTCCGGTTTTCATAATTGCCGCAAGCGACTGTAATGTAATCGCCGGGTTAAGAGGTCTCAAGTTCGACACAAGTCAGTTACTGAATCTACGTATCCGACGGCAAAAGTGTATTTCGTACTTTGGTTAGAGTAAAAGCCTAATTGTAATGTGCATGTATGTTATGTTAGTGTATGTCTTTGTGAATGTCTGTGGTTTTTAATCTAGAATGACGTCATTTCTGAATAAACTAAATCTGAACAAACCAGTCATAATTACACTTTATATTAGTACTCGTACTATGATTAATGAATATACTCCATGATACTTCTTGAAACTACGAATCTCCACGGAAACCAAAAAACACTCGTCGTCGCAGCTACAATAAATGAATCTCATAAACGCACTTTGAGCAAACAAACTTAACAATCTGTTAGGCCAAGAATGGCCAGATGGGGTCGAAGCATGAGATCGGACGCCTTTAACAAGATTTCCGGAGCCCTGGAGGATGGCATGTCTGCGCAGAGCTGGCGTCCACATTTGGTCTTCTAAACTACCGTACATCCGGGCAGGGTGGTAGCGGTGGTAATAGGCGGCCAAAGCGCGTGTTTTGGCCCTAACCTGTTTTCCGTTTGGCTACAATTCAGGTATCAATTTGATGAAGATTGAGGCATGGTTCCGGTTTGTAGGCCACGGAGAGGAAGCGCATTCTTAAGATTTCAGAGGCGGGTTTGGTTTAATTATGCGGCCGAGGGGAGAAAGGGGGCAAGTTCCTTTTTTTATCTTGCTCGACCAACTCGTGGAACAAAAACAGGTGCGGCACAAGGTTGGAAACCCGCTGGACAAGCGGGAACGCTTGCTGCAAGCCGGCTGTCTGGCCGCGATTTAAAGATGACCGGTGTTTTGAAGTGGAGCAAGTTTTGAAATTCCGGCCACGTTTGACCGGCGCCACTTCTTTTGTTACGAGGCCAAAGGGCCAACTCCTTATGTTTTATAAGTCGGCCAAATTAACTTTGAAATGCTTTCTGCTTTAATAACGTTTCTTTGAATACACTGCCCCCCCCCATTCCGTTACGAAAACTGATATAAACGGGCATCGATTACATTTTAACACGCAAATCAACACTACATCACTTGCAGAGAATGTAAAGTTAGTTTCCACTGCCTCTCGATGGCAGGGTCGTTATCTTCTCAGGACCTTTATCATAACAGTGCCGACGTCAGGGTTCTGGAGCGTTGCGACCGTTGCATTTTGAGCGACTATCGTATTTTCTATCTGTAGTAAGTTTATGTAAAATAAGATTTTTAAATTTAAGATTTCAGTATAAGCTTATGTTAACTAAGTTGTAGTCTTCATTCTTTTTTTTACTTTTTGTTTTCAGTGGACCAGGTAAAGAATCCTACTGGGAGCCTCCATTGGCAGCATGGAGTTGCCTGTTTGGGCTTCCTTATGGCTACGAACGTGCCAATGACGAGTTTGGGACAAGCTACTACATCAAGTAAGTGCTCTGCCTTGTCTGAATACTTTTGTTTTCTAAATACGCCTTAATTCAGATGCCTTTAAAGATTTGAAAAAGCTTTATTATACAGTTAATTAACCGGAATTGAAAGCAGCGTTATGCCCTGAGGGAATACCAAGCATATGTGCCCATAATAGACATTAAAGAAGATTGAGTCTTATTATAGCCTTCCTTCTTTTTGCAGCCATATCCGTCAAGAGACGTCTTACGAGGACCCACGGTGTCTCTCCAATGACTTGAATTCTGAAGATATGCCGCCTACTGCGCGAGTATGTCAGCTTAGTCGGAGTCCCGACCTCGGCTTCGGCTTCGTCGCGTCTTCCGAGAAGCCGGTTGTTATTCAGTTTGTGACGCCAGGTAAGCGTTGTAAATAGGCTGGACAGACTCTTTTCAGTTTCAATATTTTTTGGGATTTTAACTAATGGTCAATTAAGCGTGAAGAAATTTGAAATTTTCGAAAAATTATTTTATTTTTTTTATAATTTTTGTTATCACTACAGAATGCCCTTTTTTGCTGATTTAACTAATAATTAGTGTCTAAATCTTTTAATTTAGGGGGTCCAAGCGATGGTCGTTTACTACCAAACGACCAAATCTTACAGATAAATGGCTACGACGTGAGGTACAGCGACAAAAATGAAGTGGTTAACATGATCCGTAACACTTCTGGAGTCCTCAAACTGACGGTAGCACAGAAGTCGTCGGATTCTCATCATAATTCCTCACGCAAAGTTAGATTCACTGAACGGGTAAATGTGGCTGGGTCTCCAGTCGAGGTAAGTGTTTCAATTTGACAACGATTATTACATATATTAGATTGTTCATAATTATTTACGTTGTTACGTAGTTGAAACCAATATTACATAAACGAATATTGTAAGATATTTTTTTATTTTGACTTACATTTATAATTCAAACAATTAACTTTTCAGCTTAACTCACTGACAATACTGCCAAACGTGTTTCGGGTATATTTAGAAAACGGGCAAACAAAGTCTTTCAAGTACACCGCCAACACCATAGTTCAAGTAAGTCAACCGTAGTAATATCCTTAAGAACTTTTTATAAACTAGCATAAAAGTGTTACAGTATTAGCAAGAAGATTTGATTTATTACCTAAAATATACTTTCAGGACGTTGTAGACGCATTTGTGACCAAACTCAACATAAAGGAGCCAGAACTGTTTGCGTTAGCGACAGAACAACCAATAACACTAGCACCAGCCAGACTGAAAGTACTACGAAGTAACTGTAACATTGAAAAGGTATGTCACCACAACCTTTTTCTTACATAAGTTTAGGTAATAAAAGACACGTCATCGTCCAGACTCAGATTCCGTCTCAGAATCGTATTTCCTACCCGCGATGTCATATCGTACTCTGTAGACGATCCTAACGGGTTTGAATACTTCTACCATCAGTGTGTTAACGACTTTGTAGATGGGCGATTTGTGGACATGAGATACGAAGCTTGTCTACGGTTGGCAGCACTTCACATACGACAAGTTTGGTTCGATTCCAAAGGCAAAGTACGAGTAGATCTGGCCAAGATAGAGTAGGTCTGCACCAAAACGTTGTCTTTATTGTTATTTATTAGTGTAATATAACATTTCCTAGTATTATAGTGTTAAACTATACCTATTTTAGACGAGATTACGGGTTGGCGACATTCCTTCCGACGATTTGGCTAGAAAAAGTTCGAAAGAAAGAAATCAACCGCCATCTGAGGTTCTTTCTGAGGAAAGACGACCACGGCTTCGACAGTCTGAGGACATTGTCGAAGCAACAGACCAAAACAGCTGAAGACACGAGCTTGTCCAAGATCCTTCGTATCAAATATGTCACCATCTTAAGTCATCTTCCTGGATTCGGAGGAAAGTCTTTCAGAGTCAGCTACAAACCCACCAACATGGATATGATCATGCAGGTAAGGCTACTAATTAAATCACCAAATTGGTATTTAATATATTATATTATTTAAGCGGCAAATTGTTTACGTATTTGACTATTTTTGGTGTAATGGTACCATTTATAAACCAACCAATCTTCAGGTAGACCCAAAAATCGGCCTGGTAGTTAGATATCCTGGCAAAACGACGCTGCCGGCCATGACGATAAACCTGGATCTCCTGGAGTCGCTGTATATCTTCCCAGACTCTGACACCACCAATATGTTGAGTCTGAAACTGTCACCCAACGTCAACTCTACTCCACGGAACTTGGAGTTTGTGGTGGAGAAGGAGGACTGCGAAGACTTTGCTTCGTACATCGTCGGCTACACCAAGGTGTTGTGCGGAAAGGACATCGCGTGTCAGGAGACTGATGCCGCCGAGAAAAGGGGCAGCTCGGGTAAGCAAAGTGCACGTTATACATGACACCCACCACAATAACAGCATATTATTGCTAATAATTAGTGCTTTGTATTAAATATACAGTAACACGTACATACTATAAAAGACTGTGACCGTACTCTTTACTAGTACACAATCTTGTTTTCAGCTCCTGAGTATCGTGGTATCCATTTCGTATGTCCCGCCGGTTGGAATTACAGTAGCGATACCAACCAGAATACGGAGAAAACGGTAGACTTGGCCATGGGTCCTCCAGTGTACGAACAAGCTATGCTACTGACAGCCACGTACCCAGCCGAAGAAATAAAACTCATCGATCCTCCCCAAGAACCGGAACGAGAAGAAACACCAACATTCATCGACGAAACATCACCGATTCTGTCAGATTCCACAAAGTTAACGACCGATGGACTAAAGTCTAGTTTAAGAAGACCGTCGCAACAACAAAGGCTAAAGGAACTTCTGATTGGTACAGCTAGTTCCTTCTGGTCCAGTGCAAAAAACAAGAAGATCCGTGATTCGTTGAGGATTCATCGACAAAGGTAATGAAATCATGTTGTTGAAAAACACATTTAATATAATTTTGTTAGTTATTACTTGATATGATAACTAAATATTATCATATCAGTGAATTTGTTTATCTGTTGTCCGTTTAGAACCCTTAATCTTTGCAGACACTCGATCCCCAACGGTCAGCCGGCCACTTCGTCCAACACTGTAGCCTTCGAAGACCGTCGTTGGTCAGTAGCCCCACCACACTCTGGCTACACCACAATACCACCTTCGAACACAGAAAATCCGTCTCGGAAGTCTTCAGAAGGCCGCCGTACGTTGGGCGCCATCCGCCTAATCAAGAACGTACGTTATGTTTTGGCATAAATCCCCTCGAATCGTTTACCAATACGCCAATTTGGGACCTCAATCTCGTGAATGGCCCAGTTGTTAATGTCGGAAAATGCATTTCCCATTCCTACCAATTTTATTTCGCCTCGAGGCTTCTTAACCAATCAGTTATTTCGAGGATGAAGAACTTGGCTTGCTTTATTCCTCTAATCTCGTGGCCTTTATCAATTTGAGCGAGTTGTAAATACGTAGATGTAAAGGCCGTGTAACGACGTCTATATAAAGGCCTGCAGAGACCTATAAAGACTACTACAAGATCGTAGCTCACGTGTTTACGTCGGTGGCCCAGTAAACAGGAAACGATTTACTGTCTCACAGTAGTAGGAATGGGTCGGTATACCATGTCTCAAATCCCAAAACCTAATCTAGTTTCAAATGGCAGGATTAGGGCCAAGTTAAGGCCTCCACATCTTTAAGATGGTTAACAGCCCCGAGGGACCGCTCTTTATAGAAACAGTAAAAATAGAGGCCAATTCGAAAAGGCGGAAATGTTTTTCAAAACATTATTAATATATGTTCTGTTTACGTCGTGCCTACCAGATATCTCGACCGTTCGGATGGCCCTTTCCTTACCTTTTGATTTTGTTGTATTAATGTGTTTACCATAGTAATTTCTGACAATGGCGTCATAATAATATATTGCAATCTCATTATAACACGATATTAATATTGCTGGTTATTATTGCCATCTTTATGACATTGTCCATTTCAGAGCCCCACTCTAAGTCGATTTGTACCATTAAGTCGCAAACCGACCTATCCCCAGCAGAAAAAGGCCTTGGAACAAGTCCGCCGTGCATTTTCTCTGGACGAGGGTATGTTGAAAAGTTGTTTCCTACGTTCCACCGTACACATGTTCGACTTTTCCTTCTGTTCATAAGCTAATTTGTATAGAAAACAGAGGGAACAAAAGAAAACAAAGATATTCGAAAGACATTTCACTCCTTGGGCAGCATTATATGTGAAACCAGTCGCTTTTACGGCACCATTAAATGGGCACCTATCCTGAAACGCGTTTCTTGTTATTACTTTCCCAAAATAAGTGGAATTCCGATAGCTTTCGCTTCCCTTCTTATTCCTTTTTCCGGCGAGCCCGTGTGTGTCATTCTGGCCGAGTGGTCTAAGGCGCTGCGTTCAGGTCGCAGTCCTCTTCGGAGGGCGCAGGTTCGAATCCTGCGGATGACAGCAATCTTTTTGTGCATTTTAAAGTTATGTTTTTTGAGAAATTGACATATTTTTACTATTTTTAGCTTTATTTTATATTTTTGATAGTTTAAAAAGTACAGTGTTGTGTATTATGTACTGCTTTTTGTATTGTTTTGCAACATTCCCCTGTAAAGCTACCCTTTTCATAATACACATGAACGATTTATTTTACTGGATTTCAAAATGGCCACAAATATCCGGTCTTGCGCACGCAACCCTCTAGGGAAAGTTTTGGTTGAATGCACTGATTCCATAGGCGAGGCGCATTTACTCATCCGAAAGCCGTGTCACAGATAGCCCTGTTGGTGTAGGTTGTTGTCAAACAGCAATCATACATGTCTATCACCTCGACACCGTGCCCCTGCCTACCGTTGATGTGTGATGGTTTTAGAACGGAAACACGTTCGGTTCGACTTTTCCTGTAATCTCATTCATCATCCGCCGCCTTCACCCACCCCATCCCTGGACACGCTCGCTGGCGACGTTGAACAACGGGCATTTGTCACTCTAAAGGATTTTGATACGAACCAATCAGTGGAGTTTATCTCCGCCACCAAGCTCCTTCCTACTTCCCAGACATTCCCCATGGACAGTCGCGGGCTCGAGTTCACCGAAGACTTTGTGCCAAAGTCATACGAACAGAACAACGTATGTGTGAATCCACAGAAGCCCACCATACGGAGAATGTCGCTCAAGGAGTTCTCCGGCCTCGAGGCGTCTTCCACGCAAGACATTCCACGACACAAGTAAGCCGTCTGTTTAATATTGAGCCTAGTATGAAAAGTGCCATTTCTTTTTGAAATATTATAAAAATGAAAGTCAATATGACTGAGATGTTGTTAATATTACAGACCCTATCATTGTAAATTAAACTTTTCAGCTCAACAATCCCCTATGCCTCAGGCTCTCCCCTACTGCAACGTCTCCATTCCATGTCGATCTCGTCGCAACAGTCCAACTACTCAGCCTTCATGGACAAGTACAACTACAAACGGCACTCTTCCGTCGGAATCGGTCGAATCAGCATATCGCCCGGGGGGATTCGGCGTGGTAGCCGAGAACATCTCTGTGATCCCTTCGACAAAGCCATTGATGACATGAATCTACAGCTGGACAAGGTGCAAGAGCATTCCACCATCAGTCAGAGCATGGCTTTGAACAATGAACCTCTCACCGAGAACCTCATAGACGTATCAGTCATCGAGAACGAGGAGAACGCTACACACATGTACGTTGATTAACTATGAATTGTGAACAAAATACTGTTTCTAATCTATGTTTACCTTGACCAACACTACCTTTTTATGTTTTCCTAAAATTAACCATGCAAAAAGCAATCACATTTCTTGTGCCAATTTAAATACTACCCTTTAGATTGTACAAAATCAAGTCCAGACTATCAAAGTCAATAGACAACGTCCCTAATGAATCCCCAAAACGACGTTTCGATGTTGGAGGCGAGAAGATCTACTTGTTACAAGAACTTATCAAACTCTCTTCAATGTAAGGCTTGAGCAGGCATCCTATTGTATTCAAGCTTTTAAGGAGATATTGATGTTGTCAATTCTTGATTACTTCTACAGTATTATCAAATCTATTTTTAACTCTACTGTAACAAAATTAGTGTTATTTCTATTAGTTTTGATATATTTACGTTCAAATGTAAATATTTTATGTTATTTTAGATGCAAGACCTTGATCAAAGCAGTAAGTGCAGCCCTGGAGCACAAAGACAGACTGCAGGCAGTCTCCAATGTGGTCAGGTCGACTGATCGTGTTATCAATTTGTGTGAATCGTTCCTCGGAAAAAGCCATTCCGTCTACCAATCTCAGCTGCTGGATGTCAAAGCTGATCAGGTATGCTACAGTTTGTAATGCATACGATATTTTAATCGTATACATTACAAGATTTACCCACTTTTTGACCAAGCCGGTAACATAATATAGTGATCGAACTTTGTGTTTTGATATAAAACGGTTCGAAATTCAGATGCTGAACTCGCTGATAGACATTATCAAAGCTGTTTTCGGCGCTTTCGACAAACCCCGCTTCTCAGACGAGGCCAAACACCTGAACCGGGTCACTACTTCACTGACAGCGTCGCTCACTCAGCTGGCTCAAATCGTTCCGCAATTATAATTTAATATAAGGTCTAATAAACGACTAAAATCATGGTCCATAATATATAAAAGTGTTTGTGTAAACTATATTTTGTTGTTATCAAGGATCCAAAAAGAGTTTACTTTGCGTAACCAACAATTACATAGAGGTTTTAATTACATACTACCAAACTTATGTTTCTTAGCGTTGTTGAAGGTAAACCACTATATCTCAACCTTCTATATCTGTGATGCCTCTACTTCCATAGTTTCAGCGATTAAATTAAGGTAGATATAAAGTTTGAAAACTTGCAAAGACATTTTGTAGTTCACCCAAGCTATGAAATTCCAAAAGTGAACTTAATTTTAAATTAGCAAATTCATGACCCGTGCATCTTTTCTGCCATTCCTGATAATTATCACCTTATTTTCACGTTCGACACCTGTCCCGACTGCCCCAAGACCAAGGGTACACGTTCTTAGACGAGGCACGTGTGATAGATGATCGGGGCGGCGAGATCGCGACTTGCAATCACCCCACGTGCTTCGTGACGTTGAGTCTCCGAAACCACCACCACATATTTGTTAACCTTCATTTCAACTTCCATCGACACCCAATATCAGAGACCTAAGACAACATACCAGACTAACGTTATATCGATTGACCCCTCTTCCCTTTCCTTTCCCTGCTTATCAATCGGACCCCGCTGTCGCTCCCCAAAGTTTATATCACGTGGTTCTTGATCTCGCGTTATTAGTTCTGGTTTCTCAATGTATTAATGTTATTCACGAGTAAACAATATCGTTTTACCTTCCCGCGCTAAAAAGTAGTTTGCCCACGATTTCCGTATTAGCTGCGTTTATCTTCACGTGCTTGGCCTGTTTTGTATTATTTTGCAACAATTTTCAAGCTTTTTTTGGCGAAAGATAACGTTATAGTATTTTAAAACAAATTTTTTAATAAAACAACTACTTTGGTCATTTATTATGTTTTCCTTAACATGACTCCAAATTCGACTCCAAATTAACCGTTTTCCCTTCAAAAAGCTTCATATAGCATATGATTTATTTTCCTCCAAAATATTTCCTTTTCAAAAAAGGCGTCGTAACTGACGCCTTTTCTGTACTCCTACGCATGACGAGAGAAAATAAAAATGTTTTGAGTGTTTTTCGCCGTGCAAACGTTGGATTTAGTATGTGAATAAACAGAACCTTGTTTTAGGTGCCAAAATGCCAAATGAGCAGATCCACAGTGGCCATTTTATGACATCAAATCCACATTCGGATAAACTGGATGATGAAGATGAAGATGTGGAAGTAAGTGAAGGTTCATATGTTTATTTTGCTTTTAGGTAGATGTTGTTGATGTGGACGACAACGAGAATGAGCCAGAGGTGCCGCGAATAAGTAAAACAAGTTTGCAGGAGACCAGGAGTAAGGTATGTTGTTTTAGATGAGTTACAGATTTTAGGTATAAGATCATTAAGGTTTTTAGTGTGTAATTTTGAAGAGCTAAGTAAATATTTACTCAAGAATACATTATTCTAATGAACCTTCGTATATTATTTTGTAGTCAGGTTCTTTCGCCTATTTACGAACGTCAGGTATAATTATAACATTTCAGGTCTTTCGTATAAAGAACGACGAAAATCCAGTTACTTTTTACAAATTTGGTCCAGAAAAACAACAATCAATTGCTATAGATGTCTCTTTGAACAAACTTCACAAATGTATCAAGATCGCTTACATGAAAATGACAACGCCGAAATGGAAAGACTTCAAAGGTCTGAAGCTACAATGGAAACACAGAATCCGACTGAATAATGTCATCTGGAGGGCGTATTATATGGAATGTAAGTATTTATAGATAACCCTTTCTTGGTAAAATTATTGTATCATACTTTTTGCTAATTTTTAGGTAACACTTACTGTAATATCGTTACGTATTTAAATGGTTTAGGTTATTTTAAAACAATAAGCTTACTTTATTAATAAAAACAGAACATTTTAGTTAGGAAGCCGAATCATCGCCGCAAGAAGACGCCTTATTGTTACTTTGCCGTTCCTGATGAAGATACGACGCATCAGAAGATTGAAGTAAGTTCATTAAAGTTAGGATTTATTGCTTTAGGGCACGGTACTTGAAGGTATGTACTGGAAACGTCGAATGGAAGCTGTTTGTGCGCAATATAAACGGTGGCGAAACTACAATCGACCGCACAAGACTGTCAAAAAGAATTGTTGTCCGAAACCAGTGAGTATTTTTGGTTTTTGTTTGGTCATTTTAGATATTAATTATAGCCTTATGGGTTTAGACAATGCTATTGAGTAGCAATTGTAGATTTCTATATGTACAGTTATTAGAAAAAGCTTAGTATCACAAGTTTAGGTAACAATTTACTATTTTTTTAGGAAAATGGATCTTGTGAATGTAAACCAAACCAAGGAATACAAAGGCCGATGCAAAGTCAAACTCCGAATGTCATTTACAATACCAACAATGACTACTTTGATGACGATGAGTTTGAAAATGAGTTCACTAACGAGTTGTTCAACAAGTTGGGTCAACCGTTTTTGTTCCCTAATCCACGAGAAATGGGTAAGATCATTTTTCATGTTATGTTACTCAAACCTTTAACAAATGTGGTAAATTAGAACAATTTTATATTCATTGTGTGTATACTTTTTCAAATTTTGTTACCTAAAATAAGTTTAAAACCCATTATAGGGTCAAACATGAACTCGGATTTCATGCAGCCAGGACTTTTTGCTCTACAGCCCAGCTTGGAAGAGATTATGAGTGAGTTGACTTCACGTTTTAGCTACAACAATGTGACATAGCACCTGTTATTTCATATTCATTTTAGTCGGTGAACATGAGCCAGAGCAACCAGATGTAGACATGATAGAGCCGAGTATATCTACTATAAACAACGCTGCCTCTTCTCACTCAAACGGTTACGGTAACCAGTTCAGGTCGATATCAGGGATGAGCTCTCCAATCAACTCCGATATGGATTCGAAGCTACAACAACATTACAAGCAACCCTACACTTCTAGTTACACCCAGATCCAGCCCACACGACAGTCGTCTGTCCCCATGCAAGGTATCATGAATGCCCATATGAGTCAGCCTCTGTACTCCCAAGCCGTCTACGAGAACAAGATTCTGAATTCGAATGTCGACTCCCCAGTGTCGTCAGTCATCAGTCGCGACAAGTTGTCCAACAACTCTGCCAACTTCACGCCAACAACGTCGCTGACGAGTCTCGACTACATTCCCCAGTTTTCAGCCATGAATCAGAACTTCTCGGTAATCAACCATCAGAACAGCGCTCACGGTCTGAAAGGATTTGTCATGGAACAGCCCAGTCCGCAATTCATCTCGGCCCCAGCATGGTGGATGCAGAATCAGATACAGCAACAACAGGTAGGAATACTTTTTTATATTATAGTAGTTCAAATCAAGATTGTTTATTTATTGTTTTAGGTACTTCGGAATCCGCACGATCCTCACTTCCAGAACGTTCTTCTGAATCTGAATAACCCGCCAATGCAACCGCAACAAAACTTTAATTTGATACCTGTGACACAACCTTTCCCTCAAGTGAAGCCAGAGCATGAAATTATGAGTAATATAACACAAAATAATGTAAGTCAATGTAGTATTGTGTTTATTATTTTTGAAATTATTACTTTTGGCTACACATAGTGTGTGTATTGTAATAATCTTACCTAATTTCAGCCGTTGATATCTGCTAACGAAAGCATGAATGCGCCTCAACCACCCCGTATCGCAGCTGGTCCCAGTAGTACCGACCTGTCGCATTACCTTCCTCACAATGAATCGGCCGCTCCTTCCGCTTCTTTGGCCTCAATGTTGTCATCTAAACCACGGAACGACCAAAGAGGCTTCCCACAGAATCGAAACATTCCACCGGTTCCAGCTGTCAAAGAGAAACCGACAAAGAAAGATTTCATGAACGAGTTCGAAGACCTGGCTAGTACAGCGATTGGCCTCAAGGTAAGAATTTAAATATACATCATATATCCTTACAACAGTTGATAAAAATGGATTGAGAGTTAAATTGACATTAAAAATGACTAAACTGAACCATATTTTAGAAAAGAGGAGTAGCAAGACTAGCGGTACCAGAAGTTGCTACTTCAAGTGATCCAACTTCAACTCAGTCTTCTCCAGCACCACAAAGAGCTAGACTAAACCAACGAAAAGGCAGAGCTCGAGGAAACAACCAAATGTCATCACAACCGGCTTCGGTACAGTCATTCGGACCTGACAGTATAATGTCACCAGAAAGCACACCAACCACAGAAGGATTCCAGAGTGACGGAAGTGGGGAAGACAAGATGCCAGCAAAGAGTAAGTTATCATTGTAAAAATGACATCGTTAGTCACTTTGTTTATCTAAAGAATTTGGTACCTAAACTTACGGTATATTGTCTAAAATTATAACATGTATTGTTTTAGGAAGAAGAAAGTACAATCAGAGTTGTTCGGAAGCAGCCGACAGTACTTTAAATCCTGAGGAGAGGAAACGACTTCTGCATCTGAATGCTGAGAAGAACAGGAGAGAAGCTCTGAAAGACGGGTTCGACGCTTTAGTATCAGCGATTCCGGTGATAGATGAAGCCGGCATTAAAGTCACAAATGCCGTAGTGTTAAACAGAGCGGGTCAACACATCAGGAACCTGAAGCAGAAGCTGTCCAACGCTACACGAGCGCTGGACGATGCTGAACGGAGGAATGAGTCGCTTCAGAAAAGAGTTTTGTAAGCATTTTAAAACTTTAAATTAAAGTTTTTGAAATAGTATGTTTTGACTTTTTATGCTTATAGAGTTGTGCAATCATCATTACCGTCAACTGTAGCACAATCTTTGGGATCAAAGGATTCAGATGCCATGAGGAACGAAATGCAACAATTCGTGGAGCGATACATTAAAGACCGGTCGAAAGAAGACAGTCGGTTCTATGTGGTAAGTACTGTAATTTAAACATCCTTACTGTAGTTAAGAAATACAGTACCATTCTTTAATTAAAATATTTTGAAAAAATAATGTTCAGATGAGCCAGATGCTGAAGCCTATGATCGACGCCTTCACGCAGAAAGCCCACACAGGATCGTCGAAGACCGAGATGAGGGAATCCATCAGGAATTGGGGCGAGGAGAGCTTCCGCGTCTCCATGATTCGCCCTCTGGCGTCGCAGACCTTGATCAAGATAGCGGCCGAGACCAATCTGATGATGGACGGCCGAAAACAACCCCTAGCCGATTATATTTCTAGCCAAGTGGACAAACTAGGACAGTACAAGGACCTTTAGATTGTTAAGACTTCTATTTTGTTGTTATTCATTGTTGATTATTACCTCTTATCCTATTAACCTTGCAACGGGTAGCTTAAGCAGTATTGTTTATTTTAGTCATAATGTATAAAGATGTTATAGCAAATGTTGAACAAGGAGTATTATTCTGACAATTTAATTATTGTTCTACTATTATCACATGTTATGTTGTAAATATGTATATTGTACCTATCGAAGACACGATTGAGCAGCTCCGAAGGCGGCAGAGACATTGTCATCGTTTCTTGTTACCCTTAATGGAGCAAACACTTCCGTAGCACTTTCAAAACAAACTTCGTCACTGGCGGCACGGTTTAACAATGTCATACTTGATATACCAGAGTCGGATAACAACTTTACCGGCAGCATCTTTTCTAAGTTAACTACCACGCCTTTTCGGATTGCAGTCAGACACTGCAAAACTACTGTAATGTTTCGTGGTCAATGAGTATGGGAGTTGTATTACATATATTTTTAAAATTCGTACGAATGCACCACGCTACATCGTACCAACGTTTGTTGATTGTTTTGAATAATGTAACATAACCCACCGCTTCTAACGACGTATCAGCTCTCAGGTTTGTGATTTGAGCCCCAGTTGATGAATGTCTTTCTCCTAGGAACAAAGGCTGAATCTCGATGTCAGAATCTTGAGAAGATACTGTTAAACATTCGTTCAAAGCTTTTTGGTTCAGTGAAGATGTCGTCTTCCCAAATAGCTGATCGTGGTATCTTGATATCACCTAAAAGATAGTAAAACAGTCGATGCTATGGGTGAATTTAATAACAAGCCTTACATGAACAAAGTTATCGATGGCATTTCCACCGTTCAGTGAAGCTGCCACAATTAACTTGTAGCCATCGAAGTACGGTACTTCGAGTAAGTGATTGTATTCTGGAGGTATGTCGCACGTTTTAGAACAAAAGGCCACTTGAGCTGATGTTCCCAGATGCATTACTGTAAATCAAAAAGATGAAAATCGTATATAACCTTCAAGAGCATTTAATACAATATATGTTACTTACCCGCGCATTTGTCGCTTACAAATCCGTATAATGTAGCCTGCAAGTCACCAATCGGTACGTAGAGTCTGACTCCAGAAGTGAAATACTCGTTACAGTCTTTGAGGTTACTGTATTCTCCAGCTGGTTTAATAACAGGTAAACTCAAACTGTGAGGAAGCATATCAACAATGTCCTTAAATTGGTATAAACTAATACATATGACAAAGTTTACTATATGTATCACATATTATACACTCAAAGATACCTGTTGCCATTCCATATCCTCGGTAACAAATCCCCAACTGTAGGCAACTTGATCCGACATTACACTGCTTTTGCAGCCTAATACGAACCCAACCAAGTCCATAATGGACCCACAACAATCCCAATTACTCTGTAACATTCCATTACGTTGCAGCCATAACAGTGTGGCAATACCGTAGCCTGTGGCTACAAATGCAAGCTTTGCTCCATCACGTTTCCTCCATCTACAACATGTACAAATGAACATTGCATCTTTCAACCACTTTTACATAAGACACACGATCGTATAACAGTGTAGTTTTGTAAAAGAATCAACCTTACATTGGCAACGACTCCAGGAACTTAGAATCACATCGTTGATCCATCCAAGTAATTAGATTCGAGTAATCGTGAGACTTACAACTCCAGAAGTCTAACTTGGAATTCCAAAATACGATGCCGTGCATTTGCCCCGTTACAGTAATCCTTTGTACACTCTTTAACAAATTGTTACTGTTGGCTTCTCTGAGTAAATCCCACAAACGTTGTAGTATCTTCCGTGAATCTTGTTCATGTTGCCCCACGTTTGTTATCACAAAAGAATCGTGAGATTTTGACTTCTCGTACAACACCCTCAAAAGTGATATTATATAGCGACAATTTTTTGAGATTTTGTTAACATAACCTTATCCTTGACACTTACTTTCCAGCCTTGTCTATGACACATATCTTGAGATTGGTTGTCCCCACATCAATTCCCAGAAAAGTCACCGTCATTTCTGATAACACTATTTGAAATGATCTTATCGACAAAAGAATAACTCATCGTCACAACATCGCTATATTCAAAAAGCCTAGGTTGTAGCACGGTTTATTTATAAATTCACAAGATTAACAATAGAATCCATTAATTCATTTGCATAATCGGATTGATTTAGCTTAAAGTAATTAGTTACCGACAAAAAAAAATAAAATAACGAACAAATTAATGTATCCACAAGCCTATTATATTTACAGTATAACAACAACACATGATATAACAAGATCTATCTTAATTGATCAGTCCCAGAGAATCTCGCTGTCGCTCACATTCTCCTTCTCCTCCTTAATGTCCCTCATCGCTATGTCAGGCTTGATGTCCTCGCTCTCCTCCTCCAAGTCTCTGTATATACATTGTCCTACACATTGCTCAAAGTCCTTGTAATCTCTGATACTTGTGTCTTCGACAGACTCAGAAGTCAGCTCGTTGATCTTGTGAACATACATCTTGAGTTGTTGCTTCAGAGCTTCGTTGAACTTCTTTTCTACTTTGGTGTAGACCGTTGTCTCTATATCGCCGTATTCTTCCAAAGCCTTGTTCATTGTTTCCACATTCAGAATCGCCAATCTGTCTTCGCCTTTGACAGCTTTGAAGTGATTTTTTACCTAAAAAGGTATTTTATAATCCAATAATAGTATCTTTACAATAACAACACATTATCGACAGGCCTGAAACTCGACAAACCCAGCTCAGTGTAACAACAAGACAAATTGCAAACATATACAGTAATTACCAATGTCTCCACATTGACGACCCGTTCATCTTCCTTCTTGATGTGTGAAGCAGAAACTTTTTTTCTCTCAGAAGTCCGATACGTTTTCGGCATAATAATGTCACTTGGATTCGCTACCTTGTCGACGTACGCTTGACCAAACTTTCGAGGTACAATAGCCTAAAAAAGTCAATAATAACTGACTCGGAGTGCATTACTACTATATTCATACAAAAAAAACTAAAGACAAGTTCAAACCTAATTCTAAAAGATAAAGAAGATAGAAGTGATGCAGGTATTCAAAATTACCGTAAGCACCTTACAGGAACGTCTTTCCAGCGTCCGTTGTAATGAACTCGGAGACGAACCAGCGGCAACTCTGGCTGAAGGTCGTTCCTGTTGGCTTCTGCGTCTTTCAGAATCTGCTTCATCTTGTTGTGCAAAAATTGTTCGTCCTAAATGTAATCGTTTCAAAAGCTGTTGAACAAAAACAAAACAAAACTAAAATTGCTTTAACACATTACTCTGTCAAAATCTGTAAAAGATGCTCACCTCCATGTCCACTGTTCTGATGTGTTCACAAGGCGGCATTACATGAAGTCCATCAAGGTCAACATCTTCGTATATCACTTGTCTACAAGATTCAAGCTTCAACGGAGTTATCACAGGATCTCTAACATCGTATCTTGAATCGAGTATGAAACAATGTTTTTCCATGGCTTCATCAGGACACAGAGACGTCGCAACCGTACTTCCTGGCTGCAAGATACTAAACTCTTCACCATCTTTTGACAACACTCGTTCTGGCTCTAAAATTTAAAAAATATTATGAAAAGTTCAAATGTAACTAAAATAAAAAGTCAAACGGAAAACAAGCCCCTACCAATAATAGACGCATGTTCATGCCCCCAGAGTACCAAATCAATAAAACCAGGCAACAAATCAGTCGGAATATAAGAGCCGGTTGTCCGCAAATTTGATCGTTTCGGCCGATTCTGGTGCATAACCAAAACATTAAAGTAGTCTTGATAATCATCTGGCTTGTTGAACTTGACATGACCACCTGTAACAGATGAGGTATACATTTCAAATAATTTTTGAAAATTCAGGATAAGAGTATAAATGATACTTTGAGCTTACTCTGAAAGGCTCGTGCCAACCGATCGTCTCTTTGTGAACTGATACCGTACAATGCCACTTTACTCACAGATCCGTCTTCGTTTTCTTTCTCCAGAAGCACTGGGTTCACTTCGAAGTACTTGACATTCTCAAATTTGCCAAACAAATTCAAAACTCCAGCTTCGTGAAACAAGTCGACTGCTGTTTGACCCTAAATTTAAATTCCAATGAAGGTAAACCTTAACAAATAAAGTGTCTGAAGTGTATTTGTCTTACCTTTCCGCTGAGATCATCGTGATTACCATGAATCGTAAAAATAGGTATAGACACAGTCAGATTCTCATCCTCAATGTTAGCTCGTTTAAAACAAGTTGTGGCAAATGTTTCTTCACCATTTGATTTGACTTTCAAAGACGTCTCAGGCCCACTCAAACAATGTTGCCTTATCAACCTCATCACTCGCAGTTGAGTATCCCGACTTGGCTGGTTCTCGTGAAACAAATCTCCCCCTAAACAAAGAATATCCTTTAAAACAACTTTAAAATAAAATAATAGACATTCTTCGAGATGTTACCTAAACTTTCATCAAGTAGTATTAAAACTTACCCAGCAAAACAAAGTCGCATTTCTCTGAGCTCGCTTTCATAAGAACCTCTTCGAACGCCTCAAAAGAATCTTCGTAGACATACTTCTTGTTCTCACCATACCCACAATGCACATCAGATGCTATGCAAATCTTCATATTTAACTAGTTCGAGAAAGTCACTTTTCTTTGGCCTTTTCCTGTCTTTGAGTTTGGCCGTCTAAAATCAAATATTGTTTAAAAAGAAAATTACTACAAAATCAGCGATTCTTCTAAGACAGGTTTTTGTATAAATGTTAAAACAAATCCACGATAGAAAAAAATGCTCCTTATCAAAGATAAAATGGTCAAACCAATCATATAATACATGCATGTGTGTATGAAACTATACCAGACAATGTAACATCAAAAACGCTTCTTCACGAAAAGATTAGGTAAAGAAGGTAATATAAATCCGACGTTCACCTCACATTCGGTACTTTCTTCACGTTTCTTCAATTTTTTGCCTTGTTTTTCGAGTTCTTGAAAATATTTTTTCAAACCAAAATTTCCCGCTAACTCTACAAAACGTGTCATTTTGACCAAATTTATAAATTTTTTAGTTTATTTTATTTCTTTTCTTTTCACTTGAATGTTTACATTTTTATATAAAATTATAATCCAATTGCACTTTAAAGTGTAGTTATTACACCGGACGAAACTCCAAGTTCTGTCGTTCTCAAGTTAGCTAATTTGTTGTTTTCGAGACAAGCGCCTCCCCTTTTCTTCTCGCTGATCACTACAAGGGTCACTTCAGATAAATAAACTTTGTTTTCAATCCAAGATGTTGAGGTTGTGTCCACTATCCAACTCATTGAACCGTTTTCTGAGCACTGGTACTACTTTGGGTGCTCCAGTTCAGAATGTTACCATTATTGGATCAGGTCTGATGGGATCAGGCATTGCTCAAGTAAGGGTACTTTGACCTTATCATGTCTGTGTTTAGGTGTCAGCTCAAGCCAAACTCAACGTTGTTTTGGTGGATCAAAACGAGAAGATTCTTAATGCAGCTCAACAAAGGATTCACAAGTCGCTGCAGCGTGTAGCCAAGAAGAAACACGGTGATAATGAATCCGAAGCTACAAAGTTTGTGGACGACACTTTGGGAAAGATTAAGATCAATAGCGATCTCAGATCTGCTGTCAAGGAAGCTGATCTTGTTATTGAAGCCATCGTTGAGAACATTGAAGCCAAACAGAAGCTTTTCAGTGAAGTTGAGAAGGCTGCTAAAAGGTGTGGTTCAAAATTTTTTGAGATTTCAGTTTTTATTTTTTAATTGAATTTTGGGATATTTAACAGTTTGATATTGTTTTAGCGATGTTATTTTGGCTACTAACACCTCTTCTCTTCGTTTGGCTGACATTGGAGCCAACATCAAGAACCAAGCCAACTTCGGAGGACTCCATTTCTTTAACCCAGTTCCAGTAATGAAGCTTCTTGAAGTTGTAAAGCACGATAAAACTTCTGAGCAGACCTTCAAAGAACTAGAAGGTTTTGGAAAAACCGTAGGAAAGGTTACTGTAGCCTGCAAAGACACCCCCGGCTTCATCGTGAACAGACTTCTGGTGCCTTACATGTATGAAGCATTGAGACTAGCGGAACGTGGTGATGCGTCGATGAAGGATATTGATGTAGCCATGAAGTTGGGAGCTGGGTACCCAATGGGACCTTTTGAATTGGCAGATTATGTTGGACTTGACACTTTGAAGTTCATTCAAGATGGCTGGGCTAAACAACATCCGGATGACCCCCTTTTCAAACCATCACAACTCCTGAACAAGCTTGTCAGTGAAGGAAAGTTGGGTGCCAAGTCGGGAGAAGGGTTCTACAAGTACAAGTAAATATGAAGTTAATACCTAGTCGAAAACGTGTATTTTGAATTTGACAATAAATGATTATATTATCTTTCGAAAAGTCTCTATTTTTAAAACAAGATTTGCGACTTTAAAGAACTCGTCGTGAACTTGTGAAGGAATGTTGCCACAAACCAACATAATATGTTGGTTTGATATGAAAGGTCACAATCCACCCGAGCTCGGTTATGCCAAACCCAGTGAGTCGGATAAATTCCGCCAATTTCCCCCGAGGGCACAAAAGCGGTGAAATATCACAAAGGACCAGTTTTAATGTTTTGTTATGGACGTGTTCAGTATCGTGCTCAAGAGGTCGGAGCCGGTCTTCTTCCCAGGTGAAGTAGTCGACGGTTATGTTCTCATCAAGTCTCGCGAGCCAATCAAAGCTCGCGAGATAGCGATTGCCATTTCAGGCAAGGCCAAGTCAACATGGACAATGTGGGAACAGTACAGTGCGTACGTGAATTAGGAAATTTGAAAAACATTGATGCGACACGTTTAACTATGTATTTTTTGCAGTATAAAGAATATTACAGTAACCGAAGCACAAAAAGCGAAGCAGTACCGTACTGGGCAGAGATCATCTACATAGATCTCGTGAACACGCTATGGACTCCTCCACCAACGTCGTCCGTACTGCCTGCGGGCGAAAACAAGTTTCCTTTCAGCTTTCTGTTACCTTCTAATGCTCCTCCAACCTTTGAAGGTAAGCTATATTTTATGAGTTCATATCAGTACTACACAGTATTACCACTAAAATAAACTATTAAATTTAAAATACCATATTATTTTAGGTAAAGTTGGCTACATTCGCTACTTCTTAAGAGTCAAGATAGAACGTCCATGGCTATTTGATTACAAAGCTTTTCTGGGCTTTACAGTAACCCCACACTTCGACCTGACATCGTTATCGTACGCTTCACTGCCCATCTTCAAGACGGTTTGCAAACAGTTGGGGACATTGTGGTTCAAACACGGAACTATCGAGGTCAAGGTAACTATACTCTGTACTGTCGTTCTATTGACTATATTAATGAAGCTGTAATACAATATATTCACAGCAATGTAACTTCAGATCAACCTGAGTAAAAGTGGCTACGTCCCCGGGGAAAGTGTAGTCCTTCATGTAGACGTTAAGAACAACACGAGTAAGGATATCCAACGAATAGAGTCTTCTCTTGTACAGTACAGTTACTACACTGCTCATCGTCATGCTACACGGCTCCACTACGGTCACGCTCAGAATAAAGATATAGAACACAAAACTGAGAGTAGGATCGTGGTACAGTACGTGGAGGAGTACAAGATACCAAAGAAGTCGAGTGGATCGTACAAGAGAATGTTGGCCATACCTCCAGTGGTACCGTCTTTCAATGTCTGCGACATTATACAAGTCGGGTATTACTTTAAAGTAAGAAAGGTCATGTTTTGGTACTTTATAAGACTACGTATATACAAATATATTTTACTACCAAACGGAAGTCAAGAGCTGAATCACATCTTGCTGTATCATCAGAAATCAACCTTTTATGTACTTTGAATATGTTTTAGATAAAAATAGTTGCAATTGGCAAGATATCGAATACAGTAAGCGATGAGGTACCAGTCCTAATAGGCACAGTACCATCAAGACCATCTATTTGCACTAATGAACCACCTGAACGAGATTACCTTGCTCCACCTCAACCATCATTGGAAATCGAAAAAAGTGGTAATTTCTAAGGAACTGTTATATTATAATTTGATATTAACATATTTAGTGCTAACAATAAGAAGACAAATCGGGGATGAAGTAGACACAAGATCTTTATAAACTAATGGTAGTATTAATTATTATTGTTTCAGTTATCAGACAATCAATTTTACTTTATATTCAATTTTAAGAATGTTTTACAGACCAACAGTTCCGTTATGCAGACTGTTTGTTTGGGAAAGGACTAGTCCCGGATGATGAAGATGACAAGATAATCGACTATACTCCGCGGTACATCTACTACAGTAACATACCTTAACATCTTTATTGTTGAATTGAAATAAAACAATATATTTTGTTTAAAAACAATATAAAACTATAACTTTACGATCTTCCAGTCTAAAAATAACCTTTCTCAAAAAACAAATTTTCGTATAAAAAGTCTTTGCAGCCTGCGAATCAATAATTTCAAGCTGCGCCCGTACTTTGCTATAATATTTTTACAAAAATATGTCGGAGAAATAAGTAAATTTGATATGCAGTAAAATATGTCGAAAAAAAGTCCAGCTAAATCGCCGGCTCAACAGACGCCGGCTTCGCGGAGAATGGATCCGATCGAGGAAGAGCTTCTTGAAGCCGGCTCTTCGGCTTCGACTCCACCAGCTCAGATTGTCTCTTCGGATCCTTATCAGTCAGCTATATCTAGAACCTCATCATCAACTGCAATTCACAGAATTGACAACAAACGCCCCTCTTCTCTGAAAGATCGGCCGATGTTAGCTGGCCATAAAATTCAGAATCTGATGGGCGATGTTAACAATGCCATCTCTCCTGGCCCAATTCAGACAACCGCTATCAACCAGTCGACTTCGATTGGAGAGTTGTTTATGAACATGCCTTTTTCAGACTCTTCACATCCAGAGATTTTGAGTCCAGCTAGCTATGAGTACAAAAAGTAAGATTCGACGTCTTTTTTTACAATTTTAGGTAATAAAACGAAAAAAAACAAATTTACAATTTGTAGGAACAAAAAATTGACTAATAACTTTGGTGCTGAGGTTCAGTTTCTTAATGGAGATTCTATGGACTTCTTTATCGCGACAAAAGAGACTTTCCAGATCTACAAGATGGAGTACGATGCGGATTCTGATCCTGTAGCTGACCTGATTCGCAATCACAAGTTTCGCACAAATATGGTGGAGAATGAAGTATGTTTTAACTAATTGAAATTATATGTGCAATAATTTTGGTTTAACAGCATGAATGTCAGAAGTTATTGTTTATATTATTTTAGTACACTTGCCAATCAGTGGCGTTGGACAATACCGAGTTTAATAACATTGCTTTTGGTTTTAATAACGGCGACATTTTTGTTACAAACGCTTACGAAGAAGGAGATTTGGACAGAGAGTAAGCTTATATTTTTATGAAGTTTATATTGTCTTTGTTATCTAAAATTTTACACTTTACACATCTTATTTTAGTTGGTATAACGATTATCACATTCGAATGAACCACAAATGTGAATCGCTGCTTCATTTGTGTTGGGACAAATCTAGAAATGGCAAAGGATATCTTTGCGCTGCATATGAACGGTAATTGATAACTGATAGCAATTAATATTGTTTTAGTGGACGAGGAAACGATCACATTATCAATTTGTTTGACATTAATCAGGGACAACAGAAGGACCTGTTTTGTGAACGACAAGTCTCGGAGAACATTTACGACTTAACCTTCCTTGAGTGAGTTAAATTTACATTTTGTAATACTTATGATGTGTTTAGTTTGGAATTGACAACATTGATGGTTAGTTGCTTCAAGAACTTTCGTTTCATCGATATTCGGGAAAGGACAGGATTTATGAACATTACTACAGTAAACTCTCCGTTACTCAAAGTAGCGTTTGAACCTTACAATAACGTACAGTTTGCTGGAGTTAATGGAAATGATGTCGCGATCTATGATAGGCGGTTTCTGAGTAAAGCTGTTTACGAGTTTCAAGTTGGGGTAGGTTTATATTATCTCTTAAGTTTGTATTATTTGTGCTCTATTTACAATACTACATGTTATTTTATTGTCAAGTTATGTTTTTAAATATTTTTTAGGTAACATTTTATTTTTTCAGCCACAAAATCTTTACATTTCTCACATTGAGTACAATCCGAACAGATACTGTAACATCTCGTGTTCATCGATGTCTTCTGGAGTTGTCTACGATGTTGACATATCACCGTCAGTTACTTACGCTGATCATATGTCTGAGGGCAAGACTGTAGATGCTATGAAGCAAGCTGTATCTACATTTGCTACGAAGTTTTCATACGGAGTTAAGGAAGTTGTAAGTATTAACATTATTCTTTTGTTCTAAATGGAATTAAAATTATGATTAAGGCTGACTTCTTTTCAGAACACGTCTCTGAAGCAAGTACAAGATTTCTGTTGGTCTCATAGGAAACAGAACCTTCTACTTGTTATTCCACCTCAAATCGAAGTGACTGAGGAACAGGAAGACATAGATAGATTGTCGTACAAGATTGTCACGGTAGACCACAACAGGAACGACGCCTCCTTTCCTCCTGACGGCTCGATCTACTTTTGTTCTTCGAATTCCGTGGAAAGAATCAAACCTCAGAGTCGTGTTAATACCCAAAGAAGGAAAGCTGTCGGATTCTGTGATTCCAACGCTTCAGCCAACTTTTCTACAGAATGTGACACTTCTGGAGAGTGCTTAGAACGCCTACATTCGGAAGACGGTAGGATACGGGTAAACGATATTCAACATCATCTTCCGTTTAAATCAGCTCAAGGGTTACAATATAGTGGGATTGAAAAGGATCTACAGTTATGGTACTCCAGAAGTGACATCAACAAAGCGTCGTATGCTAGAGCTTTAAGAGGATACGGATTTGGGAGAACGGCAGGATCAGCCAGAGCTCTGATTGAGAACAGTGATAAGGCTATCAAGGATGATAAGGATGAGAGTGAGTGTCTGAAGGAGTGTTGGAAGCTTCTGATACGGATCTACATTCTGGAGGCTTCTCAGAAAGTTCAGCAGAAGTATGGAACACTGTAAGTAATGTAAATTGAGTGTAACGTGGTTAAACTGTATTTAGCTAAGCCTCGAAACACTCACAATAATTAAAAGTTTACAGAATATTATTGTTCAAAGTTTGAAAGTTTCAAAATTTCTATTTTTCATTTTAGATTTCCTGGGGTTCATCGCTTGGCCAGAAACATGAAGTCTAACACGATGGTGAAAGATGATCCAGTGACATTTAGAAATAGGTATTACTTGAGTAAGAACCGGGACGACATCTTACGGACATGTGGCTGGACTACTTTGGACGATCACAATGGACTGGCTACAAGATTAGAGCGACTAATGAATACTGACAAGGTTGAGGACAAGTTCAGAGCAGCGACGATGGCTATGTTTGCACTACAAGGGCCAGCTTGCAAGACTGTAGGTCTTAGTATTAGTATAATATTTTAACTTTTTTTGTTTTAGTACTTGAGCAAGATTAATGAGTACCTTCGATCACCAGAGTTTACCGCCCGGCATTCTCCGTATATGATACAACGTTACCAGCACATGGTTGATCTTGTCATGAAGGCTTTGGAAACATACGATGGTATTAGGATTCAAAACTATGACGCTCTATTGAAAGACATTGATCAGCCATACCTGATGGGCATGGTACGCTTCATCGGAAGACGACAGCATACCTACGTTCTGATGCAACGTGAAATCATGGCTATCAATGGAATGTCAGTAGATGACCGTATAGCGTTTGCAGCTATTCACATGGACGATCAGGCATTCAGGGAAGGGTTAAGCAGGTTGAACAACATGGTACTAAAAAGCGACAATCCTCTGGCTGTGTTGTTGATAAGTGGGCTAGATGATCACAAACAGTCTCATATTGCCATTCAGACGTATCTCGAGCAGACTAATGATATTCAGACAGCTGCTTTGTTACTTTGTGCTGGAAACTGCTTCAGAAGGAGTAAGATCTGGGAGAGTTACGATATGCGGAAGAGTGTGCAGGAGAGGATCACTATCGCCATGTAAGGTTTTAAGATGAAATCTTTAAAATATTGTTGTTTACGTGTTCGTGGTAGTTAACATGTCACTTTCAGAACGAAGAATGCTTTGAAAAATACGAGAAAGTATTCTCTGCAAATAGTACTACAATATATGCAATGGCTGCAAGCATCTCAACTGATCCTGCAGAAGAGTTTCATTATGACATTCTTGAGAAAAAAGCTGGAATTCTCGAAAACTGAAAGTGAAGTAAAGGCAAAGCTGGCGCAGGTAATATTTAAAGTATTTTGAAATGTTTATAGAATAATCTTTGTATAACTTAGTGATTTATATTTTATTATTTGCAGAGTATTGTTGCATGTAACTTTTGCGGAAGACCGATCTTACCGTATATTAGTGGTGGAGATGACATGTTTTCCCAGAAGGTCGCTGGAAACCAGCGTAAAATGATAGCAAGTGGAGCAGCAGCTGGACCGAGGAATGCTCATCCACCACCTTTGAGGACCAACGGATGTCCTCATGCTGATTGTGCCAAACCTTTACCTTGTTGTACGATCTGTAAGAGAAGTTGTAACCAGCAGGTGGATGTACACTCTATGAACATGTACATGGACGACTGGTTCATTTGGTGCACTGTAAGTAGTGTTTCTCTGTTAATTATTTTTGGTAATGGATGTTTCTTAATTACAACATTTGAGTAAATGTTTTACAGAAATGTTGTCACGGTGGACATCTGAAACACCTGAGAGAATGGTTTGACAACTACGATCTCTGTCCATCCGGAGGTTGTAACTGTGAATGTCCTAAACTGGACACTGTATTCAAGGCCAGTGTACGGTCTAAAAAGAAACCTTCTAAAGACTCTGACGTTTTGGAAGGAACGAAGCTCAGAACGGTTACAGGTTATCTCCAATCGTTAGAAGACGAGGACGCTGAAGAAGAACAACTAAGGATTCTGAAGAGATTGGCATCGAAAGACGGAAAGAATTCCATTTCAGATTCTAATGGCAAGAGAAACCGAAGGAAAAGTAGTACAAGGTCTTTCCAGAAGCAAGAGGTCGAGCCTCAAAACCATTTTTCATTTCCTATGGTGCCAGAAGTTGTGCTATCTGGGTTATCGAGCCGTACTGGTTTGAGAAGAACACCGTTGAAGGAAACTGTAGAAGAAACTGACGATGAATGTGAGACTCTGAAGGCCGACAGTCCGAAAGATGACTATTTCGATGTCTCGAAAGCTCGAAGAGGTCCCAGATCTATCAGTGAATGCATCACAGATGAAAACGACGATGACACAAAGCCGCGAAGTAACAGTTCATTGGAAGAGAAGGGTGGCTACATGAAGTGGCCATATGTTAAACGCAACTTCTGGTCCCTCAAGGGTAATACCTCAACTGAAGCTCAAGTCAGACCTAACCTTCCTGGAGGATCCAACATCAGTAACGAAAAGAATGTGAATCAGAAGTTGGTGCAAAACAAGAAGGCGCCCTCTAATGCCAGATTCAGCGAACACATCTTCATTTTACCGCAGAAAAAGAAACAAACTGGATATTCGACCAGTATCCAAAGGAACCGACTTCATCAGGCCATTGTGAATCAAGCCATCTACGAGCAGGTCGAGGTGGAACAACGACAGTTGATCGACCAAGTTCAACGGATTCAATTTGCTGACATTAGCAAGGAAGAAGTCGAGGAGATATCAAGTGAGTCAGAAGAGGACGAGGAGTGCAAGGAAGTGGACAAACTGGTACGATACAACCAGAGAGTCTACAACGAGGCACGAGAGCACGGTAGAAGTCAAAAGAAGCGGAGTCTGAAGGAGGGACAGAACATCAGGAACAAGCTAGGGTCTCCGAAGCAAATCCAGAGAAAAGTCAGCGAGCCCGCTAGACTGCCTTTCAAGGTGGGACAGTCTAGTAATGGGGAAGAAGTCAAGGCACAGAGTCAGTCGCCCAACAAGAAAGGACAACGATATTCATAACAGCAAGGTCAATCATAGAGTTAAGGTTGTTTTATATAAGGACAAGGTATAGTTTGTTTTGTTCATTACCTTTTATGTATCTATATATTGTGTTATAGTTTGTTGAAAGCAGGTGTTTTCTTATATATATATTACAGTAGATCGTTGAGTATTATAGCAGCAAGTGTATAGTTGTTGAGTTTACTTTTTGTACATATTTTAAACGCCCGTTAACATTGCCTTGATAAGTTTAAACTTTGTAAAGTTCTAGTCTCGCTATTAATAAAGTTGACAAACGTTTTAATAGTTTTATTTGGGATGCTTCCTTTAAAATAATGTACATACAGCTACTGACTAAACTTATCAGGGCCATTCAATTGGCTTCCGAAGGTAGAAGAACATTCCGGTCGGCAAGAATCGACCGGTCGCTAGGTAAATGGCGCAATCGGCGCCTCGTTCTGGAGTAAAGATGCCTTTGAAACCAGTCATTCGGGTAGCGACGGCGCCGGGACAACACTAAAATTGTGGCAATTTCAAACTTTAAAGGTGGTACATACTTGACAAGTTTAAAAGATCAAAAAATAATATCAAACTGTAAACCCCGCAAAATAAACAACCATCACAAAGCACAACCCATCAATTACGCGCGCCTTACACAGTTCACCAGGATCTTTTTGGCTTTGAGTTCACGAGCTTGAACCATTGTCAGCGCGATCTCCAGGGCCTTCGAAACACTGTAGGCTTGTTTGGGGAAGGTGCCATCTCCAACTGGCAGACCTTTCAGGCAATGTTCTTTGTAGATCTCGATGAATTTCTCAATGTCTTCGTATGTTGAGGTCGGGCTGGCGACGAGGTCAATGTACTCGTTTTTGTACTGACCCCTCATCACTCCTGCTTGGCTGCAGATGTTGATGATTCTGAAAGAGTAGATAATTGGAAAGCTTAAATTTTGAAGGGTCAGGCAAAAAATTACTATAAGATAACTCCTAACTTACCGGCCTCGCTGACGGATGAGTGGTGACAAGTAGTCGGTGATCCTCTTTGTTCCGTAGTAATTCGTTTTTAATGTCACTTCTGCTTGGATTTCTAGTGGTGTTGGGTCGTTATTCTGCAAGGTTCTGTTTATTTCTGTACTACATACATCATCAAAAAGCAGATGGATTCAGTTGTTACTGTATAGCTGGTACAGTAAAATATAAACCTTACCTTGTAAGCGAATCCAGCATTGTTGATAAGAACATCGATTCCTCCGTGCTCTTTCTCTAAGTGATCGGCGAATACCTGACAACTTTCATCGTCAGTAATGTCCAATGGATGTAGTCGGATCTCTGCGTGCTTCGAGTTCACCAATTCAGAATCCAGCTTCTTGAGGACACGTTGGCCGAAAATAACGTCACGACCTAAACTATGACGCCATTGCTTAACACAACTTACCAGTCATATAAATAATATCATCGGCGACGGTTTCTGCCAGAATCTTGACAGTACCGTACCCGATGCCACGGGTACTTCCAGTGACGACAAACACTTTCTGGGGCTTCTGCAACACCATCTCGGGACGCGGACGCGATTAACTGGTTATCAGCTTACTGTTTCGCACCTATACAACTTGGGGAGGGGGCGGGGTAACCGCAAATAAATAACCTGGTCATCACATGTTGACGAACTGAACCCTGCGGGCCGGAGTAAGAGTTGGTCGCACGTGTTTTCAGCATCGACTGCAGAGAAAACTCGGAACCGGTTGTAAAAAGGCCCAGGTTTTCAACTGTCATCGCCCAAGGTTAATAAACATCGACTGCAAATAAATAACTGGCAAGAACAACTTTATTTACGCTACGAAATCAAATGAAATGTTTGGAAGGTTGAGAAACTGATACGTACATGCAATAGACAGGGTAAACGATACTACGAACCGATATGCTTTATAATATACACGTCATGGAAATACAAACTGGGTCCAGAAGTCAGCACGCTCTTGCGTTTACTGACTCCGATATATTAAAAATCTTCTGGATATCATAGAAATTTCTGGATTAAAAAAATCAATCTGAGGGCTTCTAAATTCTCTCGCTGTCGTGACAACTTCTGGATGCTACACTTCAGGACTTTGAACTCTCGCGACACTTGGTGGCCTTCTGAAGCCAGCCCATCTGTAGAAAGTGATGATGTCAAGGCTGGGAAGACGATGACCAAATGCCAACAACATCATGACCCGATCCTTGGACAACAACAGCACGTTCCTGTAGAGCCACACCTCACCGCACGGTACCAGATGGCTTCTGGCTGAGACTCTGTCGCTCAGCTTACGGGCACCGTCGATAATCAGACGATCGTTGTTCTGAAGTCGTAAATAATAGTTCTACCATAAAAATCTTTTGATAAACAACAACCTTGTTTTAAGACTGTTTCTACGCAGACGTTCAAACAACACGTTCATACCGTATATCAACATGTGCTGGTGTCAAAAGCTTTTAAACACATATCTTCATTAAATATAAATTTACCGTGTCATCAAGTCGTTCATGATAATCTGGATGGAACTTGTCCACCTCCCCATTACACAACAACACCTTAACATTGTCCTGGTTGATGGTTTCAAACAAATCCAACGCCTTCTGAGCCCCTTCTCTCACGATTCTAGCCCTTTCTTCGTCACGGTCTTCCCCAGCCACCTTTTTCTTCAGTCCTCTCAACTCACTCAACACTGGAGTCGGAATCAGAATCTGGAGAGCGGTGTCCTTCATCAACTCCACAATGTGAGGTAATGCGTCGATGAAAACATTCGTGTCGATGACAATGTACTGTGGCTTCACGACGACAACAATGTTATTCACTATGTCATTTCCATCGGCTTCAGTCTCTACGCTTTTGGCCAGCTCCACGAGTTCTGCCAGTTCTTTCGCTTGTTCCGCCGGAACTTCTGTTCTTCTCCGATTAACACATTCAATGATCTCATTCAGAGGAACGGGCAGCATTGATGGGACATCCACATACTCTGGGGTCGGATTCAGTACTCGCATAGAATCAGAAAGACCAACGAAGACACCATCTGTGCTCTTTAGGTATTCTCCTTGAGTTGCCAGCCGGCTGATACTTTCGGAGAGACACAGTAAACGGACATCGACATTGATCTACAAGTGTAAGTAAACAAAATGCAGCAATTACACTAAGCAAGTAGTCAGAAAGGAGGAGCCTTAATTATACAAACAAAACCCTACGTCAACAGATGGCGTCGTTCTCTTGTCAGTCTTTAAAAAGTACGATGGTGTCTTGTCGAAGGTGGGTGAACATCCGAAGGAGTTCACAAGCTCCGGAATACAATACTCTATGGTTTGAGGTTCCGCTGAAAGTAATTCTATTCAAAAGTGTATCTTAAAAAAATTAACAAAACCAAACAAATGCTTGTAAACATTATTGTATCACCAAATACCCCGAACTTTAAAAACATACCATGTTGGTTGATGTAGCTACATTCTGAAACAACGCCGTTCACAGCATTAGCCAACTTGGCCACTTCCGGCCAGAGATCGGCCAACAAGTTAGTGTCCAGAAACCATTTCCTTTTCCATTGTTCCATGTTTCTGAAGTCTTCAAAGGTTGACATCCAATACATCAGAATCACCGTGGGAATCAAGAACTTGACGACTTCAGAATCCAGATTCCCAGTTAAGATACCGTGCCTCAAGCTGTTCGAATCCTTTAGTAATATGTTCAATTGCTTTACAATGACAGCTGTAAACTCCACGATTAGCCTGACGGCCGTTCGCAGCCGTCTTTCTGAAGCCGGCTGTTTGGTACAAATCGAAGACACAGAGATCAGAAACCGCGACAAAAGCACCAGATGGTTGAGGTCCACCATTTTAGAAGCAATACCGGTCGAGAATCCGCCCATCACGATGATGACATTCTCTTCGAATGAGTCCAGGTCTAGGCCGTTTAATATTTTGTAGCCAAGAAACGTGAATAATCTGAATCCGCTCCAGTAGAACTACAAAAGATACTACAGTAACGGTTGAAACTACAAAAAAATTAAAAGTACTAAAAATTACTGTAAGAAGACTTGAAACTCACAAAGTACTTGAACTCTACAACCTGATCCTCAACTGTGTACTTGTAAAGGTTATTACTCAGCCTGACAGCTGAGTCCGGATCGTACAAAGTGTCATTTACTCCATCTGGAACCAGCCATCTCTGCTTGGCGCTACTTTTGATAGGACTTCTGCGGCGACAATTAGAGTTGAAAACATCGTCGTACGAAGCCGCAAACACCGGGTAAAACATTGAGTACTAAAAGTATATTACAATAAAAATGAAAAAAGTTAAAAATAGCAAAAATTATAACTACACCTTAAAAGATCACCTACCAATCGAGTGAGGTTACGGAGCTCAATGAAGATGCTTCTGTTTTCAGATTCGTGTTGCAAATGCGAATATAAGGCTATCAAATTGGTTTCCAAGTGATTATTCTAAAACAAACGCCCGTGACTAAAATAATCATCCATATCTTACGTCTAAAGAGCTTCTGATGGCACTCCATGGAGAACTCTTGTCTCTTCTGACAATCGAAGCTTTGAGAAAAAAGTTGATGTAAAAATTAAAGTCATCTATATCACATAAAACATTAACAGCCGCTTTGGCTTTAAAAGTCTTTGACAGAGCCAACTGAATAAATCCTTGAGTCATAAAGTCGTTGTACAGAAATGACCGTACTAACTAAAATTGTCATAATATTGCATACCATAATTTATAAAAAAAAAGTAAAACCACAAATTATAGAAGAAGAAAAATATTTAAAAAACTTCGAACCCTTCCTTAAAACTCACCTCAATACTTCTACGTCCATTAGCATCATCTTTCACACTATCTCGAGCTTTCAGAAGCCACAACTTGTTAGTAGACAAATCCCTCAACGTCAAGATAAAATCCCAATCATAATCAGAGATAAGTCTTCTCAATTTAGTTATAAAGTCACAATGTAAAGCCATCACAGAAGTGGCAAAACGTTTGAAATGAGATTGGAGCACATCTTTCACAGAATTGCTCGAAGACGCTAGATCAATGTCATCTGCTGACTTTTCTTTGTAACACTAAAACTGATCTTACTGTACTGTAAACTGTATTTATAAAAAAATACAGTAATCAAAAATGCAATAAATAAATCAAAGTAACAAACCATAAAATCGGTTTATTAAAATTTCTTACCTTAATATAAACCTTCTCCAAAGCAGATGCTGTTTTATTCAAAACAGGAATTCTGACGTCATTCGCACTAGATCCACTGTTCACCAACTCCAGAACACACACATACACAAGCTCTACAGCCTTCAAACTGAAAACATGATATATTATCCTAGATTTTCAATAATTTGTAAACTGTGTATAAAAGTAAAAAGTAGTTAATTAAAATTTAAAATGTATTTTACCATTTATTTACAGCTTCGGCTAACAAATTCTGGTCATTTTCCTCTTCAAATCGTTTGATCAAATTTAAAATACAATTTGTGTCACTCTCCAAAGTGTCAGCCGGTTTCGTTTTCTCTTTATTCGTTGGCTGCCTAAAACCGACAAAAATATTATTTTTAATTTTCCGAAATAAGGAAAAAACAAAATTATCAAAAAACCATAAAAATAAAACATTCAGACTTACTTTTTAGAATTGTCAATACTTCGTCGTAGAACGGTAATCTTATTATAAGCCTCGTTTTTGCGATTCGTATTCTTTAACAAACTCAACGATCGTTCGTGTAAATCATCGCTAAAACATTGAAATTAAAATGATTGCACTCTCTTGTAAATATTACATGGAATGTAGTTTGCACCTAAATTAACAGTCTTTTCCAGAAACGTACTTAAAATTGACGACGGTAACTGTCTTCTTCTTCAAATCTCTACACTTCTCACTAATACCAACATGATCTGGGTAAACGGTCTTATCAGAAAGCCGAGCCTTCTTGCTAATAATCAACGAATTTCGATAATCGAATAACAAAGCCTTGGACACCTCGTCGCTTCCGTTGAACACTTTGTTCAAACTCCATCTCAAGTTCTCGTTCCATAATGAGACTTCGGTTGGTTCGAAGAAGAGGGATAAAGCAAACTCGGGTTGCTAAAGTTGTTAACATTGGTTACAGAAATCGATAATTCATAAACTATACATCACACTTAAAAAGTAATATTAACCCTCCAAGTAAGCTTTAACTTACCAATAAATAGTTTTCGTTGTTTCGTCGTCGCGGTCGATTCGGGTGATTCCTCGGAGAACTTTTGGGTCTTTCTAGGTTGCCAAATTCTCTAAACAAAATCGTTTTAAATAATGCGAATTCCGAATTAGTCAACAGAAACGAAATTTGCATATTACTCACCTGTCAAGACAATCAACAGACAAACTATGAAGAGAGTCGATCTCATTAACTCTCATGCCCAATATCTCAGATAATGATTATCATGTCTCGTAAGAAAGAATCCTCTTTCTGAAAAAAATTGATCACAAGATCCAAACTATGTTGTTCACAAATTACACTTTATTCGCGTTTTTAAATTTACAATAAACTAAAAGTGTTAAAATTTCACTATTTTAATTTTAAAGATTCATCTTTTATATTCATCGTCAACGTCACAACCAATACCAATTTCAATATAATGAGGTATATATAAACCGTAAACCACAATAAATCATCCTTTATATACATTAGTTTTATTTTAAATCACAGCATGCTCTATTTGTGATCGACAGATATGTACGGCAAGATAGTACGATACACATAGGTTAAGCAAGATAGTTATGGAACATCTCCAAGTTTGAGCACAACGATGAAGCGCTCAGCCGGGCTTTGTTCAGGAGCTGGTGCAGCTGAGTCAACGAGTCCAGACGGGCTTCGGCGTGGAAACTGGCAATGGAATAAGAGTTGTTAGGGGTGGGAGTCATCTGGTAGGCAGTTAAGAACAACCGGTCGATCGACACGTAGAAACTGAAGAGAACGTCAGGAGGAGGAGCCGGCTCAAAGTTGTCAACACATGCCGAATGGAACAGTTCTTGGTAGGTCCGCAGTTCGGGGGCAAATAGACTTTGGAGACACTCGTTTAGTTGTTGGACAACATCCTTCAGAATATTACAGAGTAAACGAGATGTTTGTAGCGTGTAGTTGCCTCCTTTTGTCGCTTCGTCAAAGCTGCTGCGTCCCTGAATAGATTTAGGTACAGTCGGAATTCAATAGTAGACATGAGAAACGGGCCGGGCCTGAATGTGAGGCCCGGCCCGATCGGAATTTTGCTCAAGGCCGGCCCGGCCCGATGGCAGGTCCGGGCCGGCCCGTTTCTCATGTCTATTCAATAGTGTTATCTATTGATCACAAAGTAATACAAACTTTACGTCAATAAAATACTCCAAAAGTACAATCTAAAGACAAAATCAAACAAAAACAACCGTTACCTTCTGTAGCGTTCCCATTGTTCTGACGACTAGCGCGCTGCAAGCTTGAAGCTGTGAAATCTTGAATTGGTTAACACATTTGGCCTTGTAAACTCCTCCATTTGCTCTGATATGTTTCATAGAAATCTCAGCAAACGTCAAAGTGTCAGCTATAAGAGTAACCCGTCCTGAGAGCGCTTCTCGGTTTGGATGAGCTACAAGATTGACAGTTTTCGGTTCAGGTTCACATTGTTTTAGAGGTGGGACTCTGTTCAGCTTCTTTACGGCATTTAACCTGCATGCAATGTCAAACAGAAATGACTCTAGTTGATTCAGTACCTGATGGGCCGAATTTTTCTGCACCCAGCGTATTTCGGCTTCAATGCAGGACTCCAGGGCGCTATAACAATATTACTTTAGGTATAAAAGTATACGTTGACCTCTACTTAAACGCAAAAAACTATATAATAGTCAAAAGTAATCAATTCTACCCGTAAAGCCTATCCACTATCTTCAACAATCTCTACACAAAACTATACAAGTATACGAAGCAAAACAAACTTGAAAAAAATACACTTAAAATAAATTTATTCAAAATGAATAACAAAATATCATGTCAGCTAATTCAGATTGATACTTTTTGTAAATAAAGCATCGTAAGAAAAGGAGAAAATCAACAAAATCCACTCCAGGTTGAGCAATCATAAACTTTATTTTTATTTAATTTTTCAATCTCCGCTGCGCCCTCCTTTCGCAGATTATCAGTTCTCTTTTATACGAAAGGAAAAACAGAAATTCTTCAAAATTCGAAGTTTTATTTGTCTTCGTTTTACGATTACAATAACGTTAAATACTATAACTTTTATTTCAAGCAATATAAAGTAAATTAAAAAGTAGAACATCTTAATATTAACGTAAGTCCCCTTGATCAACACGGCTTGGTGAAACTGGCGTTTGTGGTAATCAGCTAAAATGTCAAATATTACTCTGATCTCGGTTATCTTACGTATGTTAGAGTCTTGGGGATCATTCTCATCTTCTGATTGGCTACACATTCTCCGAAAGAGAACGAGTCGACTGGTACTGGACAGAACGCTATGTTACATGGAGCTGTGTCCTGAAAAAGTATGAAAGGTCTTACTTTATTTATTTGTGGGTCAAAAAATAAAGCTTTTAAATTAATAGCTCACTACATGTTCTTTCATCTTTTGGCAGTGATGGACAAAGTTTTTGGTACGGAAGATGCCCCGAGGCATCATCACCAGTTCCTTGATGACTCGTCTCATCTTGTATGGTACCTTCTGTCCAGGAGATCTGCACGTAGCGCTACAACTTGACCACGGTCCCCATTCGTAGTAGCATGGGCGATTGAGGCCTACCAAGGCCGTGTACTACAATATACAGTTGTAGGGACAACTACTTTTTATCAAAAGATATGAAATTTTTAAATATTTCTTAAAAGCTAACCTACATTCGTTACTACACCCTTAGCTTGGCGCTCAACCTCAGCAGTTAAGATAATCAGAGACATAATGGCTATTATCGCTGCAATGTTGCCAATAGCATAGCCTATGATAACTCCATTTCGATAAAGGAACTGTTTGGGAGAACGGTACCTTGCCTGTTTTTCAATGCGACGAGTCTTTTTGAATTCACTGAGATCCGACAGCTGAAAGTAAAAGGTTGTGCATAAGTTAAAGTTGGTAATATTGGATATCAATTTTATCATAACATCTACACAGTTTTTGACCTAATTAAGTTCTAGTTTAACATGTAAGCATCCAAAAGAACAAAGCATTTGAAACCTTGGCCAGCTTACCTCATTGGTGTTATCAGTGGCAGAGAACGGGTTGGGATCGTCGTAGAGAGTGTCGGCGTTGAGTTGGTTGTCGTTCGGTAGTCCAAACCGGTTGATCCCGGGGAGGGGCATGGAGTGGTAGGATCCACTCGTAATCCTCTTTTTAGACTTTGATTTCATTGATCGTTTGTCATCGACCTTATCCACGCTGACCTCTTTCGCCTGTTCTTTGCTATCTTTATCTGCTGAGGATTCTTTGCTCTCTTTATTCTCTGAGGATCCTTTGCTCGTTGTTCTGTTCTTCGACGATTCCTTGCTGGCTTTGTTTATTGAGGATTGTTGAGCGTCTTTCTTCTTTGAGCTCTTTCTACGGAATATGTTCTTAAAGGATCTCTTGCTGTCCTTCTTGACGTTGCTCGTTTCTGGCTCATCACTTAAACGGCTGAAGTTTTCTCTGCAGGTGACGAACTTGGAGGCTTGTGTTGTTTCTTCTTGCTGATTGCTTGAAATCTCGCTGCTTTCCTTGCTCCTTGATCTTTCTTGGTTTTTTTCTTTTTTCTTGCTTCCCTTTTCCATGTTGTTCTTCGCGCTTTCCTTGCTGGCCTTTGTCTTCCTCTTGCTCCTCTTTGTCTTCTCCTTGCTTCCGAGCTCCTTGATCTTCTTCAGATATTCATTGGTTCCTGCATCTTGGCTGTCGTGAGTTGCATTGCTGCTGATCTCTTCCTTTGACTTGGCCGTGGTAGTTTTGTTTTCCTTCTTCTTTTTTGACTTGAGCTTCTCTGGGATCTTTTCAGGTTCCTGGGTTGTGTTAGTAGCTGTCATGGCGGTGTTCGTCTCCTTTGATTTTCCTTTTGGCATCTGCTCCTTTCGACCATCAGGCAAAGGAGTAACCCCTAGTTTCTCTACATTTTCGTATTGATCGTCCGACATTGAGGTAGAAAGTAGAGTAAAATGAGTTGAAATGACATTTCTTTGTTAAATTAATTATTCAAATTTTTCTTTGAATATTTAACGTTTCTGTTTTTGGGTTCTATTGATTATTTTATCAGTTGTTCCTTTTCTTGTGTTTTTTAATGATTTTAAATTTTTTATGCAAATTCGTTTTAAAGTTTAAAGGTTTTACGAAGCGACATGACTTTTGTGACATACCGGAATTAATGTTGGAGTAGGTGGGCGAAGGTCATTCGGATGAAAAATATTTTGAAAACCAGATTTATTCTCGAGGTTATTGTGGTAGATTCGTATGGTATGTTGATTAAGCCTTGTCATTCGTGTGCACAACCTGTGTATCATGCTGAACAAGTACTAGCTGGAGGGAAGGTCTACCATAACGCTTGTTTTCTGTGTAGTAAGTTTATTTGTCATTGTTCAGAATCTTGTGTCTTTACAGTATTAATCTTACAAAGGTAACTATTAACGTTGAGCTTAATAATGACAATTCTAACAAGTTATTACTTAACATTTACTATACTTAAAGTGTTGTAAGTTTAGTAATCCAGAGTTTTTAATATAGCCTAGAGTATAGATTGTAATGGTTAATGGTTCTGCCTAATAACTTGCCTTCAGATGTGTGCAACAAACGTCTGGACAGTCGGTCATTGAACGAGCACAATAACATGGTAGGTCATTTGGATATGATAATATCAGCTTATTATATGCACTTTTAAATACGTTTTGAGGTTTGCAGATCTACTGTAACTTCTGCTACAAGGAATTCTTTGGTCCTTCTGGTTACGGGTTCGGTTCTCTACAGTTACGCAAACAAAATAATACTGTAAATTGAGTTTACTGTACATTAAATTATATTATAACCCGTGTTATGTACTGTCAAGCAAAGAGAACTCCGTGTCTTCAGTCTGAGGTGATTGGATACACGACATTCTCATCTGAAAACAATAGTTACGTTGTCTTACTTCAAAAATCAGTAGTTTGCTTTGTTTCATGTCTTCAGTTATATCTTTGGTTTATATATGTCCTTACTTACAGCGTTAGGATTTTCAATATGAATCGACCTGTCCATCATGATGTTGTCGTTCCGAGACACAGAATGGGACAAGAAGCTCTGGCCGCTGATACTCTGATTCATCCTGGCTCTTTGTTTGGTCTGATGCCAGATATAGAATCTGACATAAAGCCCTCGGAAACATATTGAAACGAACAGTATGAAGAGTATAGTGGCGATTATGATTATGGTAGATGGATGTAGAGATTGCCAAAAGTTGATACTAGGGGAAGTACGGACACTGACACAGGTCTCGTACATAACACCAGGGTAATTGTAGATGAACTCGTAGAAGAGGCAGAAAGTGTAGTTCTGGAAGGTATACAGAGTGATTTATCAGGTTTTGAACTTCAAAAGGCTAAAAGTTAGGAAACAATGCGACAAATATCAATAATAAGTAACAAACCTGCTCTGGCCGTAGTCTTATAACATTGTAGCCGTACCACGGGTTGAGTATGTTCAACTGTATCACCCTCAACGTACTGTTGTGTGCATCCTTGATACTCAGCATCAGTCTGACATTGGCAGTCCACTTGATATCCAGCGAAGAGTTCCAGCCAAGTGCTACATAGTGAGACCCGATTTCAATAGGATATAACTTTACATTGGGTGTATTGACAGTCAAGTGTACCTTCTTCTCCCCCACTACCGTGCCGTTCCTGTGTAGCTTGCACACAAAGTCTTGCTGATCGTCCTTCGTCACTGCCTCGATGAGAAGTTGTTCTCCATGAACTTGTCGCGTCCTTTCGTTGTGTGCGGTCTCTAACTGGTCGATCGGCTGCATACTCAGAGAATGTAGCGCCTTCAGATGATGTCCGTCTACTGGACTCCTCTCGTTCCTTCTGTAATCCCACGTTACTTGGTCGTTCTCCATCTGACCGTGACAGTAGATAGAGATCTGTTGTCCGATCACGGCTTCCATCGTGTCTCCCATTGGGGTTACGGCTTCTGTCGAGCATGCCCTCATCGTGCCGTTAATGCAATTTAGATCCCGTTTATCGAATACTCGCTGGTCCAATGTTTCCAGCTTGGCAGACATGCACTTGCATTGTAGAGGGTTGCCTGATAGCCATACCTTTGATGGAGTTATGTTGGTGAAGAAGACTGAGCTCAGGAAATTGTTACGGAGATCGATTCTAAAGCAAAACTTATATGTAAATATCTACTTTAAAAGTTAAAATAATTTTAAATTTTAGTAAGAGCAAGCAATTGTAGTAATGATCAGAAGTACCGTAAGGTTCGAATTGTTACTGTACCCTTACTCGTATATTGATGTAGTATTGACCAGAGCTTTCGGAGATATGTAGGTCAACTTAGGGTTGCTTCTGATGACCAGCATCTGAAGATTGGGCATTTCAACGAACGAGTTCACTTCAATCAGCTTCAAGTTTGGGCAATCTGACATCCATAATACCTACAATTGATAGTGGAATGAAAGTGATGATACTGTAACAATCAAATTGTATTCAAAAAATACTTTTGAAAATTGTAAAAACTGTCATCAAGTCATACCTGTAGCATAGGTAGACTGAAGTCATTGGACTGAATGATCTGAAGTGGATTCCCACTGAAGTTCAGCGACCGTAATCCCATAAACTGGCCAAGACCGGTGGGAACATGACTGAGGTTGTTGTACGCCAAGTCTAGATGTTGCAGTTGATGTAATGGCACAAACGAATCATAGTCAATCCGCTGTAGCCGATTGTACTTCAGATTCAGAGAGACGAGCTTCCGTGCCGAGAAGAAGGAAGAACTTTGGACAGAAACCAGCTGGTTGGAGCTGAGGTCGAGAGTCTCGAGGTTGGGAATGAAGCGGAGAATGTGTTCGTTGATGGTCAGGAGGTGGTTGTTCTGGAGGAAAAGGTGCTTCAGTTTGTAGAGTCTGAAGGCTTCCCAATCGATCACGAAGATGGAGTTGGAATTCAAATAAATCTCCTCCACGTTGGGTACTGTAACAAAAAAGGACCTTTGTACACTCTGAAAAAATATTAATTTAAGTTACATCATTTTGTAAATATATGTTATTTTATATTGTAGGAAACTCACATAACAAAGTAACGTGAACTTACCACCAAGTGATTGCCAGTCAATTTTAAAACAACCAAGTGTGGCATGACATTGTTGGAAGTAAAGTCGTTTAAGTGATTGTAAGACAAGTCTAAATACAGTAACCCGCTAAGCGCTTTCTTGGGTATTGAGTTCAAATCGAAGATACTACAGTTTACGAGGCTGAGATTGATCAGTTGAGTGAGGTTTTGCTTTGTAAAATACTGTTTTACCGTGTTAAGTTGAGTAGGATTCAGATTCTGGCATTTTATCGAGTGGGCATCTATAAATAGTCATCATGAAAAAAGTACTGTATTAATAATAACAGTACTGTTCACCATTACTCAATCATTATACTTTTGACACAAATATTCATATATAATTTTACTGCATGATCTATTTTTATGCCTATGGTAATATCATTCTATTTTAATTGTAACCTTACCTTTACAAACACAAAAGTCGGGACAGCCGGCTGTAAGTAGGACCGTGGCTAAGAGCAGGAGCCAAACGAGAAGCGCCATCCCACTAAGTCATTATTTGAGTAAACAATCTGAAAGATGGGCGTGTGGCAAGCAAAAAAGTTGTCATATCCAACACCTCGAACAAAGCCGAAAATATTTTTCAAAGAAATCCGAAATTAAATTTCGAAAACGAAAAAGAGCCTTTAATTACAGCCGGCTTACTTCAGCATAACACAACATAGGTACTGTGATGGCATCTCACATAATATACACTTCAGCAGTGTTATGTATAGTGACATGACCATAACATCAACATTATTCATAAATGGCACATTAATCAATTGGAGAGTCACTTAACGACAGACCTGTTGAAAGAGCGCGGCCGTTTAAATAATAAAAGAAGGAAACGCTTTCATGCCCTCAAGGCTCCGAAGACTTATCGGCCGCCGGCTTCGGCCGATAACTGAGCGAACGGAAGATGCTCAAAGTTGGATTATTATTCCCTGTAGGTTAAAAACGCCTTTAACGCCTGCTTTCCGCGCCGATTCCGAAGCCTAATTTCAGATTCCGAGCCGGATTCGTTTTGTTTAGGCAAGTCCTCAAAACGTGGCCAAGACTTTCGAAAACTATTGTCTTATTCTGCGGCATTGCCTTAAAAGTCATCGCTTTTGTTTGAGGTAGCTAATGGCGCTTTGACTCTATCAACAACTTTTAAAAACTTTTTTTGAAAAATAATGGTCGATAAAATTGTCGTTTCTGCAAACAAAACTTAACGCCAAGTTTATGTATTTTAGCTTCAGCTGCGCAGAATCGGACTTACGTGCCAGCTTTCCTCCAAATAAATTACATTTTCAATTTTGAAACACACAACTAATAGTTTTCCAAAAGTTCAAAACAAATTCGAAATAACGAAACACACCGTATCCCTCGATCTGAATTCAGAAGCCAAACCGTACAACAAACGAGATTTGGGGACGGCGACGAAACATTATCATAATTCTAATCTGATTTGCTTCACTGCCTCCGACACAAAAAGTCATTCTTCTCGAAGTCAAGCCAACTCTCGGCCGCGAGGTCAGCGGCCGCTCTGTCGGAGGCAATCAAGCGCTATTGTTTAAGACGGTGTCATTAAGCGAGAGGAATTAGGCCTTGAATTTGCATAATTCGACCATTAATTTCCGAGTCGAAAAACTTAATGGTGTGATCTAAACCTTGAACAAAATAATTTACTGGTCAAATATATATATAAAATATTATTGTATTGAGCGACACTATAAACACGTTTTAGATGGCAGGAGTTATCACTGTAACAAAATGTACCGTAACAAGTAAGTGAGACCGACAACGACGGGGGATACGACGACAAGCCCAACACCACTCTTGACCGTCTTCTTCTCTTCCGGCTTGTGTTCTTTGGGAGCGGGGTTCTCGACTTGGTCGGGATCAGAGCTGGGCCGCGTGCCTTTCCTCTCATTTGGATTTAATGCGATGACAAGGCCACCGTCGCCGTCTGTGAAGCCGGCTTTGGACGGATCACCAGGCACGCAATTGTAAGTGTCAGCTATCTGAAGTGTGAACAGACCTTCGTTGCACACACAAATAGTGCCATTGCAGTTCGAGTCCAAGAGACATTCTTGGCCGCGAGAACAGTCTTGACCTGAAAGTAGGTAATCAAAAAAATTCGAATTGAAAAAAAATTGAAAAAATGACAAACCACGTTTTAGTAACGCTTAGTAGCATCACCTTTAAAAGCAAACTACAAGCCATTAACTAGTCATACTTACCAGGATAAGCAATTTGATCGTCAGATGGAACGGCCGCCTTCTCCTTTCCGCTGTCCATGTTGATGACTGGAACTTCATCAGCAGCAAAGGCCTCTCCTTCACCGTTCCAGCCGATGAAAACATTGGACTGTTCGTTGGCCCTTCGCAGCCAGTCAAGGAGTGGCTCGTAGTAGTTCAACATTGGCTGAGCGTCTAGCTTTCTCTGTCCAGTTATCTGCTCCAAAGCATCCAACCAACTGATAGAAGCTCCCTTCTTCATTATATCAATCAGTTTCTCAGCTGAGTTCTTCTCTGGCACACAACTTTCGCTCTAAAAGATGAAATGTGCTCATAGGATGTCAGTATTATAACACTCATAGAAACTAAACGACAACTTTGTATCAAGTTTAGTCAATCAAAAAATCGTAGATATAATCAACTAAACTGTTATTCAAACTTTGTTTAAATATTTAATTATAACTTACCAAAGTAGAATTAGCGCCACAAAGTGCCTTCAGAATTTGGAATTGAGCGACGTAGGTAACAATGTGACGAGAAGCTGGAGCGTGTTGTTGAATAATTTCTGGAGCAACGAAGGGATCGAATTTGGCTTGATCAACTCCGCTTGGGGCTGCCACACCTTGGTATTTGTTCCGCAACATCCACCAGCTTTCGCCCCATTTCTCAGAAGTTGTAGATTCATTAAACACTTCGTACCTCCATTCATCTGCGACAATACTAAATGGCAACTTGACAAAACTAGACAAGGCTTCGCGGTACAGTTTGTTGATCAAGTTGAACTGCTCCAAACGGTATTCTGGGGCTACCAGTTTCTGAAATGTAAAAACGTCACATAGATGTTAGGTTTACATTAAAATTTTAAAATATGAAAAATCTTTTCTTGCCTTTTCTATAAAATTGCAATTGATTTCAAAACTTTAAACTTAGTACCTGACTCTTCAAGTAGTCCGTGTTCTGAGCGAGAATACCGAAGGCACCAGCAACGGCCATACTAAGGCTGGGACTAGGAGCATCTCTCAGTACCAAAGGCTGATCCTTGCTAAGAACCTTGTAGAAAAGTTGTGCCATCAACTTGTGAGCGTTAGTGAAGTCTGGCTGACCAGTTTGAGCACAAGTCTTGACTCTGTAGTCAGTTCCGTTCATCATGTCAATGACTGTAGCCGGGTTACAGATCATTTCTTTTCCGTAGTTCCGGGTAAAGACTGAATGAGTCCAGAAAGTCTTAGGAAGGTTCTCGAATCCCAAATACTTCATGAATTTGAATGCCTTGACGAACATGTTTCTGGCTGTCACGTTCTGCTTGTGGAGGTTCTCCATAACTTCATCTTCAGTGTTATCCATCTGATCGAAGGGCTTGGTCTCATCGTATAAATTGCTCCAGTCGTCTCCAGAAGAGCTACCTAAAGTTATAAAAATTATAAGTTAAATTTTTGATTTTTTAAAACTGTAAAAAGCAAAAAAATGGACGCAACCCAATGAACAATTTTTTGTCCGGGATTTGAATTGTTTTTGGCGCCAAAAAGTCTGAAAATCGGACAAAAATTTTTTTTTTTATTTTTCTTCAATTTTTCTCTTAATTTTGTATATTTTACGATGATTTTTAGTTTTAAGCGAACTTACGGAGCAAGTATGCTGGAATGGCGGTATCTCTCTTCAGCCCCTTGTCTTCTTTGTAAACTCCGGCCAACTGTCTTCTGAAGTAAGCGTGTAGCTGACTGTAGAATGGCAGAATTTGTTGATACAACATCTGGACGTTCTCTGAGATATCATATTTCTCTTTCTTGCTCAACTTATCGTCGAAAGCGGCTTTCCACATTTTCCCAGCATCTTCGAATTCGTTGGCCTTAGCCGCCTTGTTGGTGAACTTGACGAGGTCGGTGTAAGCTGAGGTCAGGTTGGCTCCGACAGCTTCTCTCCATGATTTCCAGATGTTGAAAGCCTTCTCGTGACTTCCTGTGGTTTGGACGGTTGAAAGAAGGTCCGAGAACTTTGTGATGCACATCTTCTGACTCTTGGTCTCACAGACATCAGTGTTGACGTACAACTTGTTGATTCTGGCCAAAACGTTGTTGTAATTGGTCAGCTCTTCAGGTTTGAGAACGTTGATACCCTGTTCAGAGATGATGCTCAGTTGTTTCTTGTCCATCATGTTCTCTAACATACCTGGGTCGAATTGTGTAGATTGTTTGGCCGAAGCCTTCAAGAATTGTCTGGCTACATCTTCAGCCTCATCCAAGTATTGTTTGGTAACTGGAGAAGCAGCTGTGAAGTAGTTCCAAGCAGCCAAGTTAACCTGTTGGAGTACTTTTTCTGATTCCTCGTTGTAGCCAACCAACCAGTCGGAGATGAGTTTGGCATCTTTGACTGACTTTCCAGGCTAGAACAAATGTTTTTGTGAGTTTAAACGTTGCCATGATTAAAGAAATTTGAGAGGGTATGTCTTTTAAAATTAAATATCTATGTTTCAGCTTATTAACATTGTATATACCTTGATGTTGCTTGTCTCCCAGTAAGGCGACGAGTTGATCAGCTTCTCAGCCTCCTTGTTAACCCTCTCGTCTTTCTTTTCTTCGAGCGTTCCTTCGTTCAAGAACTTGTCAACCAGTTTCTGGATGACGTCGTTGTCGACATCGGCTGGTCCGACCTGTTATCAAACACAGTCATGTATTTTGAACACACACAATGATAAATCATAGTCATACTTACAGGTTCTAGGGCATCGTCGAGTTCCTCAATTGAAAAATCATCGAAATTAATCAATTTGTAGGGCACTGATGGCACTTCAGCTGGCTTCTCTACCAACTCCACATCAGTTGGAGTGGAAGGTGGTGGTTGTTGCGCATTGATGACCACTATCACACAACATAATAGGCTAATTAACCTCGGTATTTGCATCTGAATGTACGGTTAAAATGAAAACAAAAATAAGGAAAAGCAGCGTATATGACCCGATTGTGGTTACACGCCAATTGTGATGTTATCGCGGAGTTAGATGCTCATCTCAAGGTATTTATTAAAGTAAATACCTCTAGGGCGATACCTCCAACGCCACTTTAGCTAGCGTGCTTATTATCTAGACGTACAAAACCCTGAAGAACGAAAAAACAAGAAGGTAATTAAAAGAATTCGGCGATGTTAGCATCCCACGATGCGGATGTCAGACGGTCTGAAGGGAAACGCCGAGATGGGTTGGATGACATCCAGAAAGGGCTCCGAACCGGGTTTCTTTTTCTTCGAAAGGTATCATAACAAAAGTTATTCGACCTTTGTCGCACCGCAAACCATCACTGTGACAGTAAGTATGCCGTCACGTCATCCGCTTATCACCCCCCCCAGTAAAAAATGAAGTTAATTAAAACCAAGTCCGGTTTACAAGAATCTTCGTCTTTCTCGACCTTCCTTCCAACCGATTCCGGTTCGAAGCGAGAATCACCGCGGAAACGGCATGATCGCGGAGGAAAATCAATTTAATACATTAGTCGAGAACACCTCAAGTCTCATCAAAACGGACTTAAACCATCGTTTTAGGCGAAAGCGCCAATTGAAAGCCCCACCACATTTGACCTGAATTTCATGGAAGTCCGCGAATCATTTCTCCCAGCGACTTTCCCTTATAAAACCATGACATACATCCGCAAAACATTTATTTGTCATACACCTTAACAATAATCGAATTGGGAGTAACGTACTGTTTTCTGGCTCTACCTTCTACTCATCTACACAATCGATCCTGTACATGACTGTCCAAATACCATAAAATAACAAATATTTAAATGAGAAGGGCGGGTTAAGCTGGCTTAACCGCATCGTACCCGGCTGCTTTGAGAAGTAAAACAAGTTAAGACCCTGCGGATGATTAAAACAATATCGGTTAATAGAAAATATCAGTCCCGTTCGAAACGACGTCTAAACCCACACAATTTGATAGTCTAAGATTGAGCTAATTTGAAAAAGTGATTTCAATCATAAAATACTGTACAACTTCTTGAAACAAAGAGAGATAACAAATATACATCATCACAATCAGCTAACCACCATTCTACTGCTGCTGGGCGAGTGGATCGGCACCCTGTTAGCTGCACATCGTGCACAAGTGACGCGGACCTTGGTTGCAGTGGAGGTGGTTAGGTTATTTGATCCGTTAATGAGAGTGGAGCTCGACAACGTCATCGTTGAGTTGGACTCCATCGTCACGTTTGTGTTACTAAAATACGGAATGGTTTAGTAAAATGTTATACTGCAGACTTCAATGTTAATATAAAACTAAACAGTCTAAAAAATACTGATTTCTTACCAGTAGTCGCATTTCCGTGTATCTTCCTCGTTCAACGAGTCGAAGTGGGACGTTGTGTTCATATCGACCTGGAAGAGAAGGTTCGAAGACTGGGAATCACGCTTCCGACGACCAGAGTAGTCCTCTTCACACATGTCGAAGCTCATGGTGCTGTCGTTGCTCTCGATGCGTCTCCTTAACACCTAAACATCTTTGAACATTATCTATGGAGTCTTACTTGATTATTCTCGGTCTTTAAGGATTCACGGCCCGAAGAACTTGATTCTGAGATGCGGTGAGCGTTCTCATGGTTCTGAAATCAGAATTGAATAACCATCTTTACAAATACACAAGACTAATGTCGTAATAGCATAACAATCAAAAGCTTACTTGATGTTGCCTGTGGAGATCAACAAATCTGTCTTCGTAGGTGATGGGTACTCTCGAGAGACCATCCACATCCAAGTAATGTTTCCAGCTCAGATGTTCAAATCTCGAGAAAAAAGACGCTACCACAGGTAGAGTTGGCGGAACATACGAGTTGGGAGTTGAGGACACTGGAGCAGGTTGTGACGCTGAAGGTGTATTCAATGGGGGACCATGTGTCCTAAAAATATTTTTTGCAATAAATTGCGTTATCTTTACCAGATTTCATACAATAGAATAAATGATATTTATTATTCTTACACAAAATGTCCATTCGCTTGTTCCAACGAGTTCAAGCTCGCTGCCGACTGACTTCTTGACATGCCAGAAGGCCTTGCATTCTCTTCCACACTCAATGTCTCCGTAGCTCGTTCTGGACTGTTGATGACAGCTTCGACATCAGTGCAACAGTAAACTTCTCTCCAGACATGTAACTCCCACATTCCCTTGGGACACAATAACCTGCCCTTCTTGCTGACATCGTATACTGGGTTGATGAAGCAAGAGTTGTGTTTGCCGAGGTAATCGAACACTGACAACATGGGGGTTTTGCCCAGATTCTCGATGCTCTCGTCATCTGGAGACCCGACCTGGAACGGTGCCATGAAAGAATTGTTGGCGTTGCAAATGTGACCATTGAATGATTCTTGGAAGTTGTTGAAGATGAAGGTTCCGAAAAGAGCCGAGTGATGATGTTGAGCAAGCTTCATCTGAAAAAGAAAACCATGTTAAAACTTTATAGCCCTAACAATAAAGTAATCTTCCAACTCTTTAAATCTTACCAAATAACGTTGGTTGAACTCAAAACGGTCTGGATTCTTGAGCCAATACTGATGAACGGCATCTAGAAACTGTAAGAACACGGGAGCCTTCTCGTTGTTGTCCGGTGTCAAACCGTTGCGGTCGTGGAACTTGTGACCAAACTCCACCCATTCTCTGTTGATTAGGTATTCAAAGCCCTCGAAGGTACGGTAAAACGGATCGGCGATCATTTTAGTCAATGAAACCAACTGTGACGTTCTGTCCCAACCATCGGAACAGTGGACAAGACAAGAAGCTCCTTCTATACACAATGCATTGACCAACTTCTGAGTCGACAATATGAGGCTGTACAAGTATTGATACCAGTTTGTTTGTTGAAGACCCGTGTAGAAGTTTATGTTTTCTGGAAGATGTAGCAGCTGACGAAGCTGATGGAAACTATATCTGAGCGCATGAATGTTTGGGAGGCCCAAGAACATGATTTCGACATTGTGGTAGGCATCTGAAAATTAATTAAATTAATAGAAAATTAAATACCGCTATTTTATATTGTACAAACACATAACACAAATGACTTCAAAATTAGGTTTAAAATTTAAAAACTAACCTCCACTTTCGAAACCCCCGCCTTTCGCTCGGTTTGCCCATGCTGCTGTATATGACCTGGCATCGACAACGTACATCTTTCGTTTGTGTTCTGGTTTGTCTTTGAAGCAAGCGGCTCTAATAGTGTCGCAAAGCTTCACGTCTCCTTCTGGAACAGCACCAAAGAAGCTCGTTTCAGGCTGCGCACTTCTCAGCATGACCGCGCCATTCTTTTTGCACCTCCAGACAGCCGTGGGAAAACGGTCGAAAAATCGACCACGTTTGTAATCCAAGAACTCTTGATCTTCTGTAGCAGACGGAACTACTAAGAACTGAGGATATGATGCGCAGATTCTAAAATTGAGCAGAATATTAAAAGATAAGTTAGCAAGGTATTATACTATTAGTTAGGTGGCAAAAACATAAGCTCCAAATTTTAAAATCTAATATAACTAAAAATCTAATACTTAAAATTAAAATGGAAAACAACTTACGAGAAATCTTCGTTTATCTTGGTCACCCTCCATTCATCGTTGTATCCACAATGATTAAATTCTTTGCTTACATTCCCAAATGACATATCGTGGTGCCACAAGTTCTTCCTCAAAAAACTTGGCCTCTTTTCTTGGCAAGCTGCGGCGAATCGATAAGCAAATGAATCCTCAATGCGTCGACCACCACAAGTTAAAGGAGTGATCGTTTTGTAGAAATGACACGCTACATCTGCCGCTCCTGCTTTGAAGCTGAAATTTATTTCATTAAAAGCTAACTCTACACATGTAAACAAGCACAAAAATCTGCAGTAAAAGAGCACAGACACCTACTTGAATATTCTTCCATCCCGTAGCATCAGCTTCAGAATGTCATCGTTAGTAATCTCGATCAAGTCAATGCAATTGTTAGGGATCGAGGTGACTCCTTGTTTGTTGTAGGTAATTATTATAACTCTGTAGTTGGACATAAATACCCGTACCAGCGCCATGTCCCAGGTGTGTTCTGGCTTTAGCTCTTCTCCGGGCAAAACGTTGACGGCTCCCCAGTTTAGAGCAGCTTTGGCCTCAAACAATACAACATGACAGGTCTCTTATTTTAATATGAAAATAATAAAATTTAATGTTTTCAAACTAGTTATTTAAAAAAATAAAACTCACATTGTTGATCATCTCAGCATGAGCATCTCCATTGACCTTTGGCTTCTTCTCCGATTCCGTTGATCGCAGCGATCCGTTTTCATTCGAACTCAAGTTTCTGATGCTCATATCCACAAAACTGCTCAATGTTTCATCCAACGAGGTTGGAGTCGGCTCGGACCCTGGAATCGCCATCGGTTGTGTTGGTCGCAAAGCAACGGGAACGTCGACAGGTTCTCTCTTAATAGTTACACCATTCGAATGACCATTCTCGTCGTTGTGAATAACATCCGGAGAACCTTCTTCGCACAGTTCTTCGCCTTTACAAGGCATTATATACCTAAAACCTAATCGAATGTAACAATTAACTTACAATTATTATATTAAATTCGTGTTAGTGTGTCCAATCGTTAGCAATTTTCAGTCCCACTTGGTATATTATCTAAAATATATTTAGGTTACAAATTTGTTAAGGTTAAGAGATAGAAAGTAGCCACAGTAAAAAATACATTGTACATTTTAAAATAACATAATATTACACAACGCAAAAAACTTATCTTAAAATTTTAGGAAAATGACATTACTATAAATTACAAATTATATCAAGAAACATTTATTTCAAACTACCGGGCCGGAAAACTGATATCAGAGTTGACATAATCCCAAGAAATATAAAGCAAACACGTGATGAGACGAAGAAAAAGGTAACAAAACGTCGTCGAAAAAACAAACCAAGTAAATCAATTAAAGTAAATGTGTAGAAAACAACTACAATAATGGCCAGAAGCAAGTCAAAAAACTACATTAAACCATCACGTGTTTATCAAAAAGAAGTCCCAATTGTTCGAAGCTCTTTTGATAAGCCGGGAAAACAAGAGAGCATTGTTAATATGTGAAGAGGAATAAGGTAAAGCAAACAAAGACTTTACTCGCCGCTACAAAATGGCATAGTCAGCAGAGGAAAATCAATTAGAAAATATCTAATTGCAATCCTACAAAACTAATAATCTTACACCTTTATAAGAAAAAATACTTAACCTTCTACTTCAAAATATCATTCAATCATCGATTAATTTAATAATGCATAAAATAAAACATAAAATACAACTTTAAAGACAATATTCGTTTGTTTTTGTGACCAAAACAACTTGCAACATTAAGCCAAATGAGAAAAAAACATTCCAAAGAACCACAAAATTCAAAAATGTCCATTTTGAAATCTTTTTTTCGGTTTTTATAGAAAACCGAAGTAAATTGTAGTAGCATTTTTTATTTCTACTTATTACCATGACCTATTAACAAAACTATTCAGCTACACGTCGGATATATTTAATAAAAAGGATCAATAGTAATATTAGATAACATTGTAAGACCGGAAAGGTCAACGTGTTACAAAGTGAGCCATCGTTCATAATTACAAGGGTTTTTAGTCCGCAACAATTTACAACAATAAAAGCAAAAAAGTCCCCAAAACCAAAAAAAACCTCGTGCTTCGAACCGAAATTGTTCGGAAAATGTTGTGGAATCGAGTAATTCCACTGAAAACAAGTGAATATATAACAATTTGACTAAAAACAAGTCAATATCAAAAATATTCACTAAAAACAATCTAATGGTTGATATTTGGTCACAATAAACAGGGCTCCCTCTCCCCAAAACTCCTCTGACTCAGAAGAATGAGATCGCAAAGCTCGGTTCTCACCCGCTGACTGATTATTTCGATGAAAACGCGCGATTTTCGAATCAAAAATTTATTTTTTGACAAAAAGGGGAATCAACAGATAGTCTGGGGTTTGTTAAACTGTTCTTAAGGATTAGTGTAAATGTGTAATTTTATAATAAAAAGCCGTAATGTTACAATAAAACTACCCTGGATTACAGCACAAACCCTTATCCCTGTTTATAGAACGCATTCTGCAACAAAACGCGGGTTCCACTAAGAAAAATAATGCAGGCTATTTTCTCACAGTATGTCCGTCTTGTTGGAAAGAGTGTGGCGACGAGAAAAGACATCAGAAATTTTCGAACAGTGTGTCCTTCCCGATATTATACCAGCTGGCGGTCCGTATATACGCACTTGGATAATGTGGTGAAGTAAGCGCTTAAACGGATGAAAGAGTGGGTGAATGAGGAGAGGACAGAGAGTGTTGTGCACATTTGTCACAGTGATTTTATCGCAGAAATATATTGTGATTACAGACACATATGATTATTTGTTAATTTTTGTTTTTTAGACTGTTTTGGTGATAAAAAGAGCAATCATCTATCATCTGTTATGTTTAGCTGAGCCACTGTAAGTGGCTATAATTACCTTTAGGGTGATTTTCATGGTACTGGGGAGTCATTTGTTAGTGCGGTAGTACATGGCCAGTTATCAAAATAGGTTTACCATGAGATACATCATTTTGCAGAATATTTACAGGTAATTTTAATCCTGTTTCTTTCATGTATGATGATATAATATTTTAAGTTGGCATAAATGTAGATGATATTCTTGTTATTATCTTGTTGTGAATCTACCAAACGCTTGGCCATGTTTTAATAGGATTTAGAGGGAAGAGAATGGCGCAAATCCTGAAGACGGAAAGCGAGGATCGTCCCCCTCCCCTCCCACCATTCTTTTTTATGTCCCAAGCTTTCCTCTCAACCTCGAGGCGCTTTCATCTTTTTCGTTTCGAGAATTATAATTTTAAACCTTTGTGATTTTTGTTTAATATAACTCAATGCTTTAACCAATATTACAATTGTAGTTTTAGGTTACCCTGTTGTAGCTACAGTAGTTTTAGTATCTTAAAAGTGTCCTTGACTGATTTGCAATTGTAATTTAAGTTGTTTTGTCTTGTTTTGATTGCATTCAAAAATGTTTCATAAAGATTCTGTTAAACTTATTCATTGAGTGAGTTCTGCCAGAACCGTGTCCTTCGTCCTGCTTGGCCACAGGGCTTTTCGGGCACTTTTTAAGGCGAGGATGCGGCCGAAGGCGAAAAGGCCGCCATTCCGAGCATCGATTGGGTCTTACGCACTCTCGCTTCTTGTGTATTGATTCTATATAACCATTAACCGGGTGGGGTTTACCATAAATTACCTTTATCTCACTCGTATTACACCTGTCGCGGCCAATAAAGTAATTACCGTAGTCCACACTCAATGAGTGGCTACATTTTACCCAATTCGTTGGTGTTATGTTCAATAAGAAAGTGGTTGCTTGCAGGGACGTCGCTACGGTTTTTCTCTGGGGGGGGGGAGGTCGAAAATTTTTTTTTGGTCCACAGGTAGCTTCCTGTGGACCAATTTTTCAAAAAATTTTTTTTTCTTTTTTTTCCGCGTACAGGTAACCTGTGGAATTTTTTTTCGGATCGGCTCTAGAGGGGGGGGGGTACCCCCCCAAACGATGTCCCTGGTTGCTTGTTATAATTGGTACGCGTAAAACTTATTTACAGTATGCGGTACAGTATATTAACTTTTTTCATTACATTTCTTACAGTAAACCATGGACAAAGCAGACGTTCAAAGGAATGTGGAGAGTCTGAGACATCAGCTCAACATTCAGAGGTTACCCATCTCTCAATCAGCTGCCGAGTAAGTTACATTTTACATTTGCTTACCTTGATATTGTTCATATTTTCATTTTAATTTTACAATTTTAATTCTAATGTTGGCTTAATGGTAAGAAAAAGCTCGTTAATTTGAACACTTTATACTTTGACATTTTATTTTTAATATCGTAAAAGCATACCAAATGTCTCACTCTAAAAAATATATTTATATAACCCTATATCTGACTACTGTAACATTTCAGACTGAAACGATACATCGAGAGCCAGCAGGAACAAGATCCCCTTGTGAACCCAGTGGACAAACGAGTCAACCCATGGGCAGAGAAGTCCAAATGCGATCTCTTGTGACAATTGAGACCTACTGTGGCCAACTATTATTTAAACTTGTTCTACTTTTACAACCTAATCAATCGATACCTAGTGCGACTTTGGAACTCCTTGTAGAGAGTGGGCTGCAGGATGGGGATGTACGAATATTAACCTAGTTTTGTTCAAGAATAATATCTGTTTGGTTCTCTTCGCGTTATTTTAACAGTCAATGTCATTTCAAAACTTTAGAAATTTACAGAAAAATGCTTTATAAAGTGATATTGGTTGATAATGCGATCAGAAGATTACCCCACCAAACTTTTATTGTTGATTTACCTGCCCCTGCAAAATCTTTCATTAAGTATCACAATGCTTTACTGTAACATAAGGTATTGGCAGTTATTGTAATTTGTCTGCTCACTTGCCATTTTACCAATTCTCTGTTTTTTATTTAAATTTTTGAATAAATGAAAGTTGAAACCTTATATTCATTAGTTAACAGTTTTTGCTAAGTTCAATCTAAATTAAAATTTGACCAATTTCTACAACAAACATGTTGTACACCAAAAAGACGAGCGAACGTGAGGTAACGAAATCGTTCCTTTTGGCAAAAAACAAAGCCGCAAATCATCGAAGTCTGAAAAAGAAAAATAATTTGGAAAAATAAATTTTCTTCTCAATATGGAGTCAATTTGTATTCTGGGGGCCAATTCCTTTCTGGGACAACACCTGTATCCTCAGATCGTGGGATCATGCTCTAGACTGAACCTGTGGACGTTCGGAGAAAAGTTTCAGCATCGATTGGAAGGTAAGTTTTATCATTTTAGGTTTAATTCGTTAAATTAGGCAGTTTACCGACATTATAGTTAGACTCTGAGGATAAGAATTAGTAGGTATTCCGACATTCATTTTTTTTTAAATTAGATACCTAAACCAAAACTAAGTTAGTCAACTTGTAATCGTGTTTTAGTTAATCGAAACTCTGAACCTGATCATGTCAGTTTCTACTATGGAGTAGAAACCTTGGGGCAGGCCATAGCTGGCTGTGATGTTGTTTACAATCTACATGAATTCATCGACTTTTCGAACAAACCTGATGAGCGCAACCTTTACGAACATAATGTCAAATGTAAGTTTAGAGTTCGGAAAAATGTTTACCGTAATTCATAACATTGGTGCTATGGGATTACGGGCAATGCTCATTTTTAGGTAATAATTAGATTTTGTCAATTATTTTTGACTGATTTAGATAACCAAAAAAATAAGCTAAATTAAAAAGGGGTTAGATTTAGGTAACAACATATATTTTTTGAAAACTGTTACCTAAATTACCAAATATTCTGTTTTTAATGTGCTTCACTACATTTAAAATGTATAATATTGTAGTTAACAACTTGCTTTTCAGTTGTCAAAGACGTAATCAACGTTTCCAAAGCGAATGGAGTGAAGCTGATCGTCCATCAATCTTCCAGCTTTGTCCAATGTTCTGGACGTTGGCCGAACGTTGGAAATAGAGAAAAATGTGCCAAGAATATGCCGGACAACCCGTACCCATCGTACTCCAGAACGAAGACCAGTGCGGAAGAATTGTTACAAAGTTGCATTGGCATCAAGACCTTGGCCGCTCGAATTGGCTACGTCTATGGAGAAGGTGATGAACAAGGTATCATTTGTGACTACATCAGAATGAGGGAGAAATTGGGCTGTAATGTTGTGATCGGCGACAAACTGGGAGCTGTTCAGGTAATCCTTGCATTTAAAAATCTTTTTCTTCATTCTACTGTAAAGTGGTAAACCAACTTAAGCTTATAACTTCAAATCTAATGGCAGTTACAACAAATTAAGTAACACTTTATGTTATTAGACAGCTTAAAGAATTATAAAAAACCTTTTTTAGATGACTTACATTGGTAATGTTGCTGCCGCACTGATCGAATGTACTAGAAAGATGCTGGCTGAAGATGTGACGCATGAGCAAGTAAACATCACTGATGATACGCCTATCAACAGTTTGTACGACGGTCTACTGGAACAGATCTTCCCAGAGGATCGTACTAACTACAATATTCCATTCTGGTTGTTCTATCCTCTCTTTACATTGATTGCCTTCGTTCTTCGGTTCCTGAACACCAAATACGACGTAAGCCTAAAGTTATACATTAGGTGTAAGGTAGAGGGAAGTAAATGATGCATCAATTAATATAGGGTGTCCTTATTGGATGCATGTTGCTTTATATATCGCAACTAAACGTTAACCGAAATCTTGCAGATACCAGGCACTGGTCATGTCTACATGCTCTTCAGACAATGGACATTGCTGAGTAACTACAGACTCCGCCTTTTCTTTGAATGTAAACCAACTTACAGTTACACAACGTCTCTCCAACGATCTACCGAATACTACAGGACTCTCAATGTGGCCAATCTCAAATCATGTTCGTGGAAGGTCAATCCTTTATAGTCGTTTTCTCAATTTCCTATCACTTTTACAATTTTTTATCATTTCATGATTTTACATTTTTTAGCTAATTTTAAATAAATTTTTGATAACTATAAAACTAGCCATAATAATACATCAACTATAACGTTGATAGTCATGTGATGTCTATGTTTTGCGGATTCTTCGCTACAAAAATTGCATTTTTAAGCGATAAATTTATAACTTAGGTCCTGCCACGGCTAATGTGAATGCAAATCTTTTTGGCCATCTGATGCACGCAGAAATAATAAAACAAAAATGCTAATTTTGGCAAAAATAATTTATTAGTATATTTTCAAACAGATGTCTAATTAAACAATGGATAAACCTCCTAGTCGTTCTTTCACAGATCTCATAAACTCATTATCACCTGATGTTAAGGATGTTCTACTTTCCAGGATACTATTTATGTATAAAGATGCTCGGAGGATGAACAATAACATAGTTCAAGCAGACGGAAAGGTAGTTTTCTATCGTTTTTGTAAATAAATGTCTTTAGGAAAAAACGTTTGATGTTGAACTTGGGAAAGAATTGTTTGCCAGGCTGAGTAACTGTAATATCAATGAAGTACACAATGAGTTTGCACTGGACGGGTTCGACATTGTGTCAGCTGGCTGTCACTATTTAATGACTGTAGATCTCAACAGTATTGAAGATACCGTGCTTAACTTTGCCAGTATTGCCAAGCAGTTTTATGTATCTTTAAATGATCTTATCGATTTCGTAATATTTGTGTCTTCTACTACGAACTGTAATGATCTTACTGTGCACAATCTTTATTTGGTATGTATTGGTAAATTTACAAATTTTTTAAAATTGTTATTATTGTTTTAGGGATTACTTGTTTATGAATTGAGATTATAAGTAACTTTTTGTAATTTAATTTTGCAGGAGCATTTATGGGACCCACAACGAGTATTATTGTTTTGTACTTTTACTTATCTAACTATACACAGACCTCAAATCTTGAAATCTCTGGAGAATTCTAATTTAAACTCAGAATTTGATAAGCTGTACAAGCCATCCTTAACATCGACATTGTTTGATTGCTTGGCTGGACTGGAAGAAGTTGAAAATATTATGAATACAGTCGATATGGAGCATTTTAAATTGCAGTAAGTTTACGTAAAAGTTTATTTATTTGTTTAGAACTGAAGACGAGATGATTCTTGAACTTTCTGATCTACTCAATGAACTGAACGTTAACAGAAACGATTTTCTGGGGAACACGAGTTCTCTGATTCAGGAGATGGAGAAGGTTTCTGTATCGGATTATGAGTTGCATAACATACCAGAGCTGGATTTGGTTGGGGATAATGTAAGCTATTTGTTTATTATGGATAAATTAAGGTTATTTGATATTCTGTAGCTATACACCTCACTCAGAAAGTTTGAGTATTGACAAAAGACTTTTTTAAGGAAGCTGTCAACATGGAATTGTTTCAAAAAATGGCAGAATATAAGCTGTGTGACCACATTTCGTTGGATTACGAGAAGAAGATGAACATCAGTCGACAAGAGAAGCTTTGGGTTGAGATGGACGGTCGATTTCACGAAGGTTACTTACACTCTTGGCTGCACGATGAGGAGGAGAATCGAATAACCCACGTGAAGCTTCAGCTGAAAGCGCGCACCAAACGTTTCATTCGAGAAGTTGATGCATCCAAAGTGGCTAGGGCTGCTCCAATTGGTGCCATGTGTAATGCTGGTACTCGTGTCTTGGCCAAGTACAAGCAGGGAGATGAACAGAAGTGGAAATGGGGAACGTTGGGGACATTTCCAATCAAAGAGTACAGATTTCATTACCTCGTCTTCTTTGATGATGGCACGGTGAAGTTTACTAGGCCTAAGAATCTGTATCTGTGTGTAATTCAACCCAAGAATCCAGATACGAACATGTTCAGTGCTTTCTATGCTCACAAGTATGTCAAAACCATCAGGGGGACTTTCTTGAAGAGTTACTTCAGTCTGTATCCCAATTGGCCGTTGATGAGTGTTCAGGTGGACACTACTGTAAGTTCGTCATGTTTTTGTTAATTTTTGATCTTATTAACTTGCAAGGAAATGTTACAAAATGCCTACCACCGATTGAAAAACCACTTAATACTATGTTAAATTTGAAATTGATAAAACTATGAATTCAGATGCTGGTTAACAGAGAAGTGGGAAAGAAGAAAAGTGCAGTAAAGGCTTGTGTCATTCAGAAGGACAGGTGCTTGTTGTTGGTCAGATTCTTAACAGAATTCGATGAATACAGTGATTGTAAGGATTATCCATGTACTGAACACTCGCACGAAGATGAGTGGATCTTTGCTGGAGATACGTTGAAGATACCTACATTAAAGAATATTCTATCGGTAAAATATATTATGTTACAGTATTTTTTAAATTTTTTTGGTATGTATTGCTCTAAATTAAAAAATTATGATAATAATTTGATATTATCACAATAATTAAGCGTTGACAGTTTGGCATAAAACATATATATTTTTAGAAACTGGACACAGCGACAGACATATCTACATATCCTGAGAAAATACGAGCGTACGTCGAGATGTTGTACCCAAAGTACGAAGTAGAGGAGGCTCGAGAAATATCAGTAGATACAGCTGTCGTCAAGACCAAGAACACTGCCAGAAAGCGAGGTAACCGCAAAGGAATGGAGTTTTTCGACTTCTTCAACAACGCTCAACACCATCAGGTTACTGTAACTGAACCTAACGAACAAGGTGACCAACAAGCTGCGGACAATCTGATACCAGAGCATTTAGAGTATCCCAATTGGGATCATTTGACCAAGAAATCGCATTTCAAGTGTTCTGCGATGTGTGTGGACCAAATCAAGAAGTGTCATCTTATTGGAAAGTCACAGTACAAGGACATTCCACTCTTCTTCAGACCTTTCCTTTTTGGATTCAAACGATCTTCTGTTACCTACTTTGACATCGACAGATACGACGACCAAGATAGAACAGACGCAATAGAATCATCTTTTGTGTACGAATCACCGTGTGGAAGATTATTACGATCGTTGGATGAAGTAGCTTATTACCTTCACTTGACTCGATGTGAATATGTCTCAGTAGATCAGTTCACATTCCGGAGCTGGGACAGACCTAACTTCATATACAGGTCCGATCCCAAGTATGTTGTGGACAGGGACTTTGCACACTGTAAGGAGGCTGTATCAATACCCACGGTAAACGCGGTAAACGATGAAGGGTCTCCGATGGTAGGTCATTGAATTTGTAACATAAATGAAACTAATGATTGCTTGATGTTATATGTCAATATGACAATTTCTAATATTCTAATACAGTAATTTATTGTAGATGTTGTACCAAAGCAGCCGATGCATTGACGGTCCATTGCTAGATACTCAAATGGAATTCACCTCATGTTGTTCTTGTACAGGTAATCTTTTATTAAAGTCTTGTGAATAGAAAAAACTAAAGCTTACTATTAATGTTTGAAAGAGTTATAAAACGATCTAATGTTTAGATGATTGTCTGGACACTGAAAAGTGTGAATGTCAACAGTTAACCAAACAAACTCATCAGCGATTGGATGAGAAGATCAGAGCTGACATTTCTGATGATGGATACAAGTTCAAACGACTGGAAAGAAAGTTGTTCTCAGGCATATACGAGTGCAACATCATGTGTTCGTGTTCCAGAAACTGCTTGAATCGTGTTGTTCAAAGAGAAGTGTGTATTTCTATGCAGGTAAGCGACTGTAAATAGTTCTAGCTTAATGTATTGTTTTTTAATTGCACTTTGGTTTTTAGTCTGATTAGATTTAATAATTGCTTTTGGTCAATTGGTATTCTATGGACTATTATATTTTTAGTTGTTCAAAACAGCCAAGAAGGGATGGGGTGTCAAAACTCTGGTGGACATCCCTCAAGGACAGTTCGTATGCACATATTCAGGTCAAATGTTCACCGATGTAAAGGCAGATGAACACGTTCGAAAAGGGCAAGGGAGCGACATGTACTTTGCAGATGTAGATCTGTTTGACTCGGTGGAAGGCATGAAAAGGAACCTGAACATCTGCAATACAGACGATGAAGGTGTTGATATGGGAGAAAAGAAGACAAGAAAGAAGAAGCGAAGGAAGAGCAAGTGGACTCATCACAAGAAGGCGAAGGAACCAGAGGTACCAGAGATAACAGAGAAGAGCCTACTACACCATCTGTTCGGAGACTCGAGGTTGTTTGTTGTAGATGCACAAGAAAGAGGGAATCTAGGAAGGTTCTTCAACCATTCTTGTGATCCCAACTTGGAGGTTCAGATGGTATTCACCGACACACACGACATCAGGCTACCGATGATAGCATTCTTCACATCGTGCGATGTCGAGGCAGGAACGGTAAGTTGTTATAAACTGTTTTTTTTTATGTAGAAACGGTTTTCATTGGTGATTTTACTTTTGATTGCTCTTTGAATTTATTATAATTGTGTAATTTCAGTTAGGTTATAACATGTACATAACTATTTGTTACTTATTATCTTAAACTTCGATTTAAACTATTTTTTAGGAACTTTGCTGGAACTATGGCTATGTTCCAGGTTCAGTACCCGGTAAAGTCATCGAATGCTCATGTGGGAGTGCTATCTGTGTTGGACGGATATTGTAACATATTTTAATATTGTATATATTGTTGCAAATAAATTTTGTTAATTGTATTGTTATTAAATTGATCTCTAACGTAGATAATGTACTTTGTTTTAGAAACCGTTTTTTATATAAAGCTTTTTGTAAATTCACAACAACAGTATTAAAAACAATAAGTAAACATAACATAGAAGTATATTTAAAAAAGAAAATTACCAACTGTTGTATAGAAAGCCCTAAAATTACAGTTTTTTGTCTTTATTTCGCAGCCTGCACTTCAACCACGCACTTCGCGCCCGAAATCTGCTTTGACAATTTTTGGTTTTGCATAAAAATCGTACCTAGTCTCTTTCCCATATACGAGTATGAGGTTACTCTCTATATTTGTGATATTCTCTTTATTTTTACACTTAAATGCAAATGTGTTTAGTTGTGGAGGTTTTGTTCGTTCACCAGCTCCATCCATTCTTCAGAAAGTGAAGGTAATTTACATAAAACAATATTCATACAATCTTTAGGTTCAATTCTTGTCTGATGAAGGCCACTTAAAACATGAGACAGCATGCAATCCGACAAACGGGTACTACGTGATTCCAGTATACAGTAAAGGGACCTACAAGATTCGGGTTTCAAGTTTGGACGGCTACATTTTCAGTAAGTATACCAATTCTACAATGATCAGTGCACAACTATTTGAGTCTTTTGGGTTTTATGATTACTTTTCAAACAATTCGATCTGAATTAATGTTAATTTCAGGTCCTTCTGAGAAGGTTGTGAATGTGAACGACGATAACAACGATTGTGCCTCCGGTAACGACATCAACTTCCAACTCTCTGGCTTCCAGGTGTCTGGAAGGATTGTTAGCGGATCGACTAACAGTAACCAGAAACTACAATTGGGATTGTTCACTGAAAACGGCGAACAAGTAGCTGTGACAACCACTGATTCTAACGGAATATACAAGTTCGAAGCTGCCCCAGGCAGTTATGTAGTGTCTACAGTTGAAGCTGCTGATCAATGTATTGAGAGAGGCTCTGCGTCAGTTAAAGTCGTTGATAAGCCAGTTGTGATTGGCACTGACTTGAAGATTTCTGGTCAAAACTTGGATGTTATTGTGAAGTCGAGTAGTGGTGAAGTTATTCGTGGGGCTGAAGTTACACTACTGTCTGCTACTGAGATTCCTGTGAGTTTTTATATAGAATATATATTTTGTTTTTAGGTTTGTTATTTGATATTAATTACGTTGATTTGTTGAAAGGGAGCTAAAATATTTTAGTTTGATCGCCAAGTAAACGTTCAAAAGCCATCGATAACAAAGCAAGATAATAAGCATGCTTACACTTTGAGGACACAAGAACACGGAGACGTTACCTTTTCTTGTTTGCCTTCTGCCTCTTACAAGTTGAAGGTTTCCTGGAGATCAGCTGAAACTTCTTTGGCATTTGAACCTTCAGAAAGGTTAATTATTATTGACTCTAAGCCCGAGGATGTAAGTTTTATGTTAAAGTAGGAGTTAAAGATGCAGTAGACAATTAAAAGAAAAAACTTTTCAGATAACATTCAAATCGACTGGTTTTGTCACAAAAGGACATTTGAACGAGAAATTGGCAGATGTTAAGATCTTGGTCAAGAAACAAGGTGGGAACTATGAAGTAGCAGGAAAGAGTGACAAAGATGGTCAGTTTTCTGTATCTGGACTGAAGGAAGGAATCTATGTCGTGACAGCTCAAAAAGACAGATTCGAGTTTGACGAGAAACACGTTACTGTTGGCCTGAAAGGAGAAGGTATTGGAGAGATCTTTTTGCACAGGTGCGGTGTTCATATCAGTGTGATATTGTTTTAGTTTATTATTGTTTAGATATTTAATGTTGACATATCAAGAGTTTGTTTGACATGTTTTTTTTAGACTTGAAGTATGCGGAAGAATTGTGTTTGACAACGATAAAAGTTTAGAGGGAGCTTACAATGTTAAGATTGAAGATTCTAAGAATAGTGTTGATGTTGTGAAGGTTGACAGCAACGGAAAATGGTGTGCTTATCTTGCTAAAGGCAGGTATACTGTCGTGGTAAGTGAATTACAATTAATTTTGCATTAAATGTTGTTTACAAAAATGAGAATTTTTATAATGTATATATTAATATCAACTTATCCTTTCAGCCAGGCTTTTCTACCCCAACTGTTCATCCAAAGTCGCTAATCCTGGAAGTAAAATCGCTACCAGTCGATAATCTTGTCTTCACTGAATTCAAAGCAAAGATTTCTGGCTCTTTACAATGTTTGGACGATTGTACTGGATTGACCTTAGATCTTGGGCGTCGTGGCAGTGTGATCAGTCGCCACGAAGTGTCAGGAAAAGATTTTGTATTTGAAGATATTACACCTGGAGAATATGAATGTATGTTTGCTTTTTCTTTTTTAGTTTTTTTTGAAAACAATTTTTTAATTGAAAAATTGATCCAAATTCTTTTTTATTTATTTCTTCATAACATACTTTAGTGTCACTGAACGACAAGAACGACAGATGCTGGGAGCAGGCTGTGTATTACGTCAGGGTTGAGTCCAAGAATGTTCAAGACATTGTGATAAGACAAACTGGGTACCATGCTATTGTGGAATCGCAGAAAGCTGCGTCTTTGGTGGGTGACTAATATTTTTGATAAAGTTGATATATTATTGTTCTAGGTGTAATAGGCTTATTGAATCATAATAGGTTTGTTAGACTAAATGAAAAAATACTTTAAATTTACATTTAGAAGTGGGAAGGTGCATCTGGAGCTCACGGTGTTGTTGATGTTCACAGTGGATCTTCAAAGTTTTGTATTCCTCAAAAGGGTGTATACAGCATTACTGTAGATTCTTGTTACGGTTTCGAAGAAGGTTTGAAATTCTCTAAAGAACTGCCAAAGGACGTTATCAATTTGAAAGTAAAACATTCTCGAGTTGGAGTTATTGTCACTTCTGATCACAGCGTTGACTTGAGTGACACTGCTTTGGTTGTTAGGTGAGCTATGGTTACAAAATTTTAAAGCTTTTGTTTTATTTGTGCAAAGATATGAGAGTTTTGAAATTTGTATAATGTTTTAGGACCCCATATGGAGATGAAACGATTAAAGCGACGAAAACAGAGAAGAACACTGCCAGTTTCCAATTCAATGTAAAGCAAGAGAACGTTCGTGCTGATGTCGAGCTAGTTCCAAGCTCTAAGAAATTATTGTTTACTCCAAGCCGACATTCGTTCACTTTCGATGGCAATTGCAATGATGATTTAGTTGTGTTTAAGGCTGTTCAGGGAAAGTATGTTGAAGGGGTTGTGGAGCCAGCTTTAAAAGCTATTGAAGTCACTATTGTTAACAAAAATAATGGAGAAAAGTTGAACGGCAAGACTGATACTTCTGGAAATTTCAAGTAAGTTCTCAATTATTGTTGTTATATTATAAAAAACTTTGTTATAACAGTTTACAACCTAAATTTATTCACAAGTTATGCATAAATAGCGTCTAAATGCCGTTGTTTTATAATATCAATTTAGGATTGGATTAGTGTTTGATCCTGCGGAATATGAAGTCACGTTGGAGTTGGAAGGATATAAATTCACGTCATCTGGCAACAACAAGTTCAGGTCTACTAAATTGTCAAAACTTGTTGTTTTCTATGTTGATGAAAAGACCAAAGAACCCCTTGGGGAAGTTTTGGTATCTGTTAGTGGAGGCGTCGACTATAGAAACAATGTTGTTGTAGATGAAACTGGAAGAAAGAGCTTTGTTGGATTGGTAAGTAGTAATTGCAACTTGATTAATTAATTGTGTTAACAGTTTTTTGCTCAACTAACAAGGAAAGTACCCAACCTGCAACTCTCAGAATTAGCTCAAAATTTTTACATTGATTCTTTGTAGTACCACTAGCACATATAAAAAATTTTAGCTTGCGGTTTTAAGTTTTAAAATTAATATATTTAAATTTCCCGCCAATTTGGCAACTTTGGCATTGTGTTGCAAGCACTTTTTTGATGTTCTAGATAGATAGGCTTACAAATTTAAAATTGTAGGTTCATTTGAAGCTTTTCTAACATTATATTAAAGAAAATTTGTCAAAAGTCAAAAAATGACAAAGTTAAAAGCTTGAAACACTGTGCCAATTTGGCGGGAAATTCAAAACGCGATTTTTCGATCTCAATTTTCTCAACAGTGACCGCAAACCGCAATTTAGAATTTTGCATAAGATCTTACACTTACATGATCTTTTAATAAAAAAATATGAACGAAATCTAAGCGTTGCAGGTCGGGTACCTTCCTTGTAAATTAGATATTAAAGTTTAATATCTGTGATTATTTTAGCCTGCTGGAGATTACTTTATCACATCATTTTTGCGTGAATATCAGTTCAACCAAGACCAAACCTCTGTATCCATCAAAGAAGGCGAAACTGTCGAGAAGATTATTTTGGGAAAACGATATGCTTACAGGTAAGGTAACTGGATTTGCTATCTTATATTTTATTTTATGTAAACCGTTTTTATTTCACTAAAACTATATTTTAGCGCGTTTGGAAGTGTATCTGCAGCCGGAGGACTAGCCTTAGAGAATGTAAAACTAGAAGCATTGTCCGAGTCTTGTGGAAACTTACTAGAAGAAGATATTACTGACAGAGAAGGAAAGTTCAGGGTTAGAGGGTTGAAGCCGGGATGCGACTACAAACTGGTAGCTAAATCAAGGAAGGGACAGCCAGTCAGAGCCATTCCACCTTTCATTAAACTCAAGACGAAGCCAGAAGACATAAGAGGCCTTGAGTTCGTGGTGATGGTGGCGGCTCCGCAGAATCAGATTCTCGGCTTTGTTCAATTTGAAGGACTCCAACGCCTAAAGAGTCTGATTGTTGATCTATACGAAGATGGGAAGAAGATCGCTTCTGACAATCTCGGTGCTACGAATAATTTGTTTGTTTTCACCGGGCTAATGGCACCAGGAAAGGAGTACCAGGTGAAAGTGTCCGAGAAACAACTCAAGAACTTGAACGCGGTTTCTAGTCCAGTCGTGTTTTCGGCGCCGCAAAGCAGTGGCATAGATGAGGTAAAACAAGTCGCTATTGTGGTCAAGACTTTGTTCAAGAAAACCGAGATTGAAACTTCAAAATCAAATGTCATCGGGGTCATTTTTGTGATCCTGGTTACTTTTGTGTGCATGAACTTGAACAATGTAAGCCTGTTAAATCTTTTGTTGTTGCTGTCTTTATTTCAAATGTTTATTGATTATTATTTCAGAGCAAGGACCTGGCATTGGAAGCGTACGATCGTGCAGTGGGAGCCATCAGACGCAGTGCTTCTCCATCTCCAGAACGACGAAAGAAACAGAAGAAGAACTAGGATGTCGTTTTCATACTAAATTTTGTTGTTGTGTTTTGTAATTTATTATTAGTAAAGTATTATTTCGTTGTCATGTTGGACTTAAAATAAAGAAGGAATAATGGTGTTGAATGACACTTTCTTTATCTTAGTTCCTTATCATATTTCATTTTTATAAACATTATCAGTGGTTTTTTAGTATTTTCAACTCCGAATTCATGACTGTTCAACTTTATTTGAAAACAAATGACCAAATTAAAAAAAATACCTAATAACTATGACCTCGTGATAGATATATAACTCTTAGTTAGTGATTAGTTAATAAAAAATTAAATTATTTAAAATAAAGTCAACAAGTTAATCAAATTATATAAAAAAAAACAAACAGTTTTGACTGCAAAGTTGTTACAAGTATATTAAAAAGCCAAACTACCCATAGGATGTGAGTGGAAATAGATGCACAAAACTATACAGGATCATGATACGAAGTGGCTGAGAACGTGGAAAATTGAGTAAGCCCGTCCTTCGGCTAAAACACTGCACCGGCGGCCGAAGGGAGGGGTGACACGGTTATTGTTGTGGGCGACGGTTGGCGATGGTGTTGAGGAGGTTAGCGCGAATACCAACTTGGTCTGCCTGCACCGATTGTGCGACATTCATCAACATGCTGCAAAGCGTCAAATATGGTATCAAAATCGCGACTATTTTTTTCGGTAATACGCCGTAACTTTGTATAATCAGAGCTTAAAAACGTACCCTTCGATTTCTGTCGCACAATGCACAAAGTTATGTTTCCAGAAGTTGTACTGTGGATTTCTGATCAGTTCTACAAAAGTGACCAACAGGCCCCATGGATGAGGCTTCTGGGCAACCAATCGCTCGAAAAGTGTCCTATAAAGTACCAAATTAACTGTAACATACAAAAAGAAAACTTAACACAGGACAAATTAAAGCAATAATCGTTTAGATTAGCCAGAGATAAACCTTACCTCGTGATTTGTTCTTGAACCTCGGTGTTGTGGGCGTGCAAGAACAGCACCAGAATGACACAAGAGAAGTAATTGGTGTGCGAATTTGGGTACCGTAGCTGATTAGCGATGGCGTTGAACAGTAAGTATCGTCCTTGGGTGCACAAACTGGCAGCCAAACTCTGGAAGATGTCCATGAAAGCAGTGTTCATGACGTTGTTCATGTTGATGTTCAAGTTCTTCTCGTGGAGCTGGTCAATAGCTCGAGTGCCAACGTGTACGACTACAGCATTCACTGTGGCTATGTTGTACTTGCAACCTGGCGATGGAGTGCACATAAGAATGCTCGGAAGTTCGGCCAAGAAGCTGACGTGAACACGACGCTTCAAGTAGTCGTCCAGCTTCTCTCCAATTTCTTTTGGAATCAAGGTCGACATCTCTCTGTGCAACTTGGGATCTTCGTTCATCTCAGGCAGCTTTTCGATCTAAAATAACCACATTAGAACCTAATATTAAGTTGAATATTGCAGATAAAATTTAAAAAAAGAGAAATAACATACGTTTTCTTTGAGCAAGTTGATGGGGTCAGGCATTACGGTATCTTTTGGATACGCCGACAGCACCAAGTTTCTCAGCTGAATGCAGTTCGGTTGAATGACATCGCAGAGAACGTAGTGATATTCACAAAGGATCTCAGGGAAGTCGTGTAGAATGACGAACATGATCCTCAAAGTACCTTTGTAGATGTCGTGGATGTTCGGGTGAATCCGAGCAGACCTAAGAAACGGGCCAAGGAATCGGAGGTGTGACATGAACAACTGGATGTAGATACCAGAAGATCGCTGGAAGTCGTAGCGACCACCAAACAGTCTGGTCAACACGATTCTGTGTCCCATGATCTCCAGCCAGTGGAACACGAAGCCAGGCACTCTTCGAGGCTGAATCAAGAACAGTGACTGGAAGAAGCACTCCACGATGTCCCAAGAGATGGCTTCCAACGCTGGGTCCTCAGCCGTCAACTCGGTGAACATCTGAATAATTATCCTCATGAATGGCATCCCATTGAAGTCGGTCTGTTTCTGATCGTGGTCTGACATCACTGCTTGGGTAATGATGGACAAGACACGTCTCAAGAGATTCAGCTTGGTACCGTGGTTTCCATCGGCCGAGTACTTGATCATCAGACAGGTCAATCGTACAAACGCATCCAAAGTAAAGTAGCATCTTTGTTTGACGTTGAAATTGATCTGAGCGAGGTCTTGACACTTTAGAAGCCGGTAAGCAACGTCAAAGCAGATGTCGGCGCAGACCTTGAAGAACTGCGTGATCATGTCATCGGTGACCAAGATGCCATTCTCGCGCATCATGTTGACGATGGTAGTTAGAGCGGCCTGGGGAGCAATGTGTTGGTTGCACATGTTGATCCACTCTCGAAGAATGGACTCGACCTTGCTCTGGAACTCGTCTCCGCCGCCACCACGACGTTGTTCGATCGGGTTGATGAAGGAGGCTGGTCGGTTAGCATTCAGAGAATTCACATCGCCGTTTCCGTTCGCAAAGTTGGCCAAGTTTTCGACAGAAGCTGGTCTAGGCCGAGCAGCTGGTACTTGATTGACCAGCCGATTAGCATACTCCATTTGCGACGCAGACGGAGCGCGTTCGAATTGGCTAGTAGCTCTTCTGAAGTCTTCGGCATTGTCGGTTGGGGCTTCGGTGGAGTTTAGTTCAACTTGCTTCTGGAAGTCTTCGTACACCTTAAAGTTGGATTCATCGTTAGCTCCAGGCAGACGTTTCAGCTTTTCTGGCAGCATATGACTTAAACTGACCAAAGAAGGGTCGGCTTTGAAAGGACGGCCTTCTTGGCGACACATCTTTCTATTCATGTACTCCTTGTCCATTTTTCTGTCAATCTCGCGAAGACCCTTCTCACAAGCGCAACTGACAACATAGTTGGTGGCACAGTCGATGGTTGCTTCAGTAACACTAGCCAAGACGTCTTCAGCGTTCTTGTGAAGTTCGTTTTGAGAGTTACTCTGATTCAACAAGCTTCGGAGATAAGTCTGCATAGCTTGCACCAAGGGGTCTCGACAATTGATCATGGTAATACCGACAGTCATAGTCCTCATCATGTGTTGAGCAGCCTTCCTGACCTGAACTTCATCAGAGTTCATGGCAAAGTCTTTTCGTACAAGGGCTTCGGTAGCGGTTGTCGCAATACCGATGCAACGATCAGTGATTCCGCCACCGATCTCTTTGACAGCCTGATTGATGGCGAGCTTGATCATAACCTTGATCTGATTGGAAACCTGAATCTGCCCAACAATCATGTCCATATTGCTCAAGAACTGAGACCACTGGTTGTCACCATTGTTGTCCACATATGGTTGGTAGTGGTTACTGTTGGCAGAACCGAAGCCGGAGCCAATACTGGGCTGAGTTGGTGTTGTTCCAGGCTGGAATCCTTGAAGGGATGGTGATTGCGAGTATCCAGCTGTCCCAGAATTTGGCAGAGAACTTGACATGAGCGCTAAAAACAGAATATTATAAAGAATGCTAACGACTTACATGAAATCTGGATTCGTTGAGACTCCAGGCCTTCCGTCGGTGTTCTGTAGTGAGAAGCAAAGCCGTTGATGGTTGGGGAAACATCGTCGAAGCCCCTTCGTTGAGGGAAAAGACTCGGCAGTCTGCTTTGATCTTTCAAAACTCCTGTGATTTCGATGTCTTTCAGTTCAATCTGTAGTTCTTTGCACAACACCTCAATCTCGAACTTCAAATTCAGCTTCAGGTCCGGTTCGTTGTGAATCTCAGCCAAAACTTTCAGAATTCCGTTAATCCATGTACACCGAGGTGAGAATGCAACAGATTTTGCCGTCGAACCTAGAACCTTTGTCACGAAAGGCACCACATACAGTAGCTCATGTTGTCCTCGGAAGAAGGCATCCATTAGAAGACCTTTGATGTTGAGCTCATCGTACAAAATCGGTCCATCTCTCGCGATTGTAATTAAACCCAGCCAAAAGCCAAGGTTTTTCAGTAGCATTCTGTCTGTGAAGTTGGACGCTGCTCGTCTCATGTCCGAACGTAGCAGCACGTGGATGGATCTGTAGGTTTCGACCAAGATGGCTTCATCCAGTCGTTCGTCCTTCAAAGAGATCAGGAAATTATTATACAGATTCTGGTAATTGGGCTCTATTGTGATACGCTTCATCACAAGGTGCTGGGCCAGCCAAGGGATTAAAGTGTCCCTATTCTGAGATCGGATTATTTCTTTCATCTCCTCGCATTTGCTCGTTAGATTGGACAGATTCAGGTTGTTACAAAGAAAAGATACCCGTTCTTCAACCGTACTATCCGGAGCTTCGATCTCGCGGCCTTCAGCCCTCGTTGCTTGAATCAGTGATTCACAATTCGTGGCACACAAGGATTGACCCTGAAAATCCGGTATATAATATAAAAAATATGTAGTTAGATTTTAAAAGTAATATGAATATATTTAAAATTATGTTTTGAGATATTGATTAACTTACGGTGTTGTTTTTGGGAGCGAACCGCATGCCAGAAACCGGTGTCGTCGGTTGTGGAAAGGCGTTCTGCGGCGTCGTCCTAGCGTTCTCATTAATCAACAGAAGTTCGCTCTGGGCTACATGATTGGGCGGTAGAGAGCCCTGGATTCCACTCGTGATGTAGTCCTTCAGGTCTTCTGGAAACCATTCAAATGCCTGATATCCGTGAATAGTTTGACAAATCTTGGTGTAGTTGTGAAGCATCGCTCGGCACTCGTTGACAGCGACGATACCGAACATATTCAGAAGGGTGCCTTTCTGTGCATTTAAGGCTTCCAGAATCCTTCGAATCGCCGTGGCAAATTTCATGTTCAACACGATGCCTTCTCGGATAATGCCACCGTAGACTTTGGCCGTCGTTTTAAGTTCTCGTTCTGGATACTCGGCGAAGAATCGGAATTCGTCGAAAAGGTTCTTCAGAAGGCATGACAGAAGGTCCTAAACCAAATTAAACGTCTTTATCCATAAACCTTACCTTTTCTTGCGAATTCGTTGACATCGAGAAGCGTTTCATCGTGCGAAGAAACTCATTTACCGGTAATGGGTTACTACAATCGTAGATCTGTTGGAAGTACGAGTTGGCTTGGGTTTGGATGGCTTCTGAGAATACAGCATTCGTGAGGTCGTCGTCCGCCGCATACCCAGAGGCCATCACGGAGGCAGGCGTAGGACCACCCCCACTTTGTCCCATATCTCGGCCAGTCGGCCGGAATTCCATAGAACGTGGCACAGTCGAGGTTGATCTTGTTAATAGTCCTAAAAATAAAGTGATATTACTGATCTGATCAATCATTGTCAAAATTTGAAGAATTCTAAAAGCCGATTTAAATATTCAAATTTGGACCCTAATGGCAGCACGCTTAAACTTAATGTTAGAGTTCCCAGAGAAGACTTAAACAGCAAAGAACCCCGTCAAATGACAAAAAAAACTGATAAATCTATAATGTTGGTGTATTATTTGTGAATCGAAAACACGTGGCGCGCATGATAGCAAAAAGCTGATTGAGGGTTCGGCACTGGGCGTGGGTCACAGCATAAGCTATATAAAACAAAAATACTCGTGGCGTGTTCCCAGCTTCCCAAAGGACTCCCTAAACGTTCATATGACAGTTGTTAAAGGTCGCATTGAGATTTCAAAACATGCAAAATAAAACAAACAGCCAAGACATTGGAAACGCGCCCAAATTCGTATCATAACAGCCCAAGATAGATGGGGAAAATGTAAACGAACGTGAGTAACAATTGTAAAACCCCAATGTTTCAATGAGACATGGTCGAAAACAATTCGAATATACACAAATGTAGCTCACAGCCACCGAACAGGCATAAAAAGTGATGGAAAGGCGAAGAAAGGAAAGGAAAGAAGGGGGCAAAGAGACTGGCTGGCTGCCTGGCTGGGTCAGACAAAGCCGGGCAGGCAACAAGACTTAGGAGAAGTGAGACCCTTTCCGAGGTGCGTAGTTGTTTCTCTCGCGCTCTCCCTCTACCGTCACCACTTCAGTCATTTCGGCAGCGGCGCCACTCTCTTTTTCCCCTGACCCAAGTCATCCCCCATCCACCCTCTCCCACGCCCTTTAATGCTTCATATCTTTTAAAAGCGCAGCGCGTTCCATGTAAAATACGATAGCATCATGCATTTACTGGTAAATGTTTTGTTTTTATCTGAAAAAACGGCCACTCTTCCTCATCCCCATTAAGAATATTTTTAAAACAAAACCTAATTTTCTAAATAGATAGCCTACCATTTGAATTGTAAAGAGTCTGTACATTAGGAGGAAGCAGGTTTTTGTTCAACAAACATAGATCATTCGCAATCCATGGCATCGCAGGTATTCTTGAGTGTAAGGCAGTGAAAACAATGTGCAGAATCTCCGGATTCAAGGCATTGTACTTTCGACGTAGGAACTGAGCCAGATGTTTGGCAAATGGTTCCTAAAAAGAATAGATTACAACTAAAATATAAGCGACCTTTATTATCAACTTAAGGTATGCTTTAACAAAATTAAAAAATCCCGCCTAATCGAGACGCTTCTACACATTTCTAGACCAATGCGACATAAAAGAAATTAAACACCTACTCCAATTTCGCTGAGTTTATCGTCCAGAAACTTGTCCAATTTCAAAAAATCTCTCCTTGCAGCAAGACAAGCCAGGTCGACCAAAAACGAGTAGTGACTGGTCTTGAACAACTCTCCAAGACCGTTCGGCTTCAGTTCATGAGCAATTTCCAGTATCTTGGTCAATCTGTTCTGATCATCTGGATGGGCAGCATAGTATTCGGTGAAAGTTGTTAACATTAGGTTTCGGTAACCTTCATTTTTCTCCCAGATGTGATTCAAAACAGAAACTGCATTCTGATGGCCGGAAAGTAGCTGATTGAAAGCCAACTTCAATATATACGTTCTGAACTGTGACGACTTTGGCGGTAGTTGAGATACAGTCAAACAAAAAATGTCAGCACAGACTGTCAACGGAGTTTTCAACAAACTGAAAGCATTATGAACATTGGCGGTGTTCTCTCCAATTTGAAAAACACATTCGACAAGTTCGGTGATTCTCCAGTTAATAACATCACGATCATTCTCATCCGGTGCCACTTTCAAACACGAAATATTGGTCGAAGTGTGCGGGTATTCTCTCAAATCCACAAGAACGCGGTCTTGCATCAAATGCGACAAAAGTGATAACTAAAAAGCAAATAATACAAACAGAAGATCTCTTACATGTCCAGTTTTGTTGCTCTTCCAAGGCGTATAGAACAAGTAGATCGGAAACTCCTTGCCGGAAAACGCCAACTTCAATAAAGTAAACAAAAACTTGTAACTCTGATGAGATTTGATATTAAAATACGGGTTATCTAATCCTTTGATGACTTCAATCCAATCAACTTGCGATGCCTATAACATGAATAACAAATAAATAAACTTTCAAGAAAAGGTAAATCAAATTCAAAACTTATCAATGTAAAACACTACAAAACAATTTTCAAAAAACGCTAGCATTAAAACAGGTATATACCAATTTCTCCAAAGCAGCGTAGAGAATGTGTGCATCCCATGGGTAACCTTCGTCCAAGTCAAGATGGCCATTTGGGCCTGTGTCTGCGATCAGCATCATGGTTAACAATTGGGTCACTTGGTTTGAATGGAGATCGCCCATCCCAAACAGTTCTGTTAATTTTGCCCGACATTCGGCAAGTGACCTGGTGAAGTTTACACCCAACCCCTGAAATTAATCAAATTATTACCTAAAATTTTAAAATCTCGAAATCATGATATATGTTCGTTTGTTAGTTTCAGTATACAATGTTCCTAAAAATTGAATAAACTGTTTAAAAAACATACGCCAGCTCTAAAAGTTCTTGAAGAATTCGTCATACCCTTAGATTCATCAGTCAGACCCGGATTTAAAATATTTTCCAAATTACTTGCAGGTATCCCAGACTTCACAACTTGATCTCTTTGAGAAGATGAACTGATGGACCCGTGCTCGCTGTCCTTGCAGAAAACCGCACTGATACCTGTCTGTTTGTTGGACAGACTGTCACCCGTCTCAAACCCGTATTCAATCTAAAAACTTGACAAAAATCGAATTATTGACTTACGCCTTTGGAATCGATGTTATTTAACCCCTCCACCTGATCTTGATTGCACGGTGAAGGGTCTCCAGGCAATGTAGAAGCGGTGCAGCACTCGCCTTCGTCGTCTAAACACTAATAATTATTACTAAGAACGAGGTTTGTCAAAAAAAATCACAGCAAAACGCGACGATCGAACAAGGAGGAAAGAGAATCAGCGGGGAACAAGAAGGTCAGCGCTTGGTTGGACCGGTTTGCGGCCTATTCTCGCGAAGAAAAACGGGGAGAGGTGCAAAGGGATGGGCCATATTGCCTCAATATTCCACTGACCATTCGATCTCAACTTTGAAAAAATTAATCAAGCGGTTAAAAAGGAGCTCAAGATGACAGACAGATCCATCCGCTAGATCGCGACCAGCTCTTCGGAGGTCTACCTACCTGCGTTTCCTTTATCTCCCGTCGCCGAGCCTCCAGGCGGAAATTCGGTCAGACAAAAGAGATAGCAGCTCCATGTTATAATTGACATAACTACATAGTGAATATTGTATTTTCTGCGTTAAAAATAACTGTAAAATGATTACAGCACACTAAAGATGAAAAATCTCTTCATATTGCACTAGTTATCTTTGATTGACGAAAAAAACACAGCAATGTTTATTCAGATTAATATTAGTTGTGTTATGCACAAATTACCTTCGTTTTCATTCTGTTCCATCTCAAATTCGTGAGCTGAACAACAGCAATCAAAACAGTCTAATATACAAGATATTAACTGGATTAGATAGGACCTTTAGAGACTATATTGATAACATATACAGATTTATTCAAAATAAGGTACGTAACAAGTAGTGAAAAGATTGGTTACAACGAGAATCGAACAATAAAAGAATAAAAATTACATTAACCGTTATTTAGCGAATGGTCTTGGCTCTGTTGTAGAGAACATCCACCACTTCACCCATAGCTCTGATTGTTTGTACAGCCAAGTCGTAGGTATGATCTTCCACCTCAGCATCGTAGACGACCAGCATGCCATCGCCTTGATGAAGCGACCCACTGAACTTCTTGTCCAAGATCATCTGAGCCAACTTCTTCTCCACCTTCTCGATCGGGATGCTGATTCTCTCTGCGATATGTGAGATCTGAACAAAAGAATAGGGCTCGATCAGTCGGCACAACTCCTTCTCCAACATGGTGTCTGAGAGAGCATTGAAGTGCTTTCTGACTACTGGATCACATTGAAGTTCTTGTCTGTAATGTCCAAAGGCTTCGTTGAACTGTTTCAATGATCTGTTCTTAGCTGCATTTGCAATGGCTAACATGGCCGTCACTTCTTCGCCGTTGTATTTTACCACGTTCTTGTGAGCCAATACATTAGTAGCTTCATCAGAAGCGTCTAGCATAACCTGAACCAACAAACATATATAAAAATATAACATAAACCTAATCTTTTCAACTTCCACTCCTAATATTTTGATAATAATGTAGTTTACTCACCTTGCTTAACAACATATATTTAAGTGCCCGTGTTGCTTCTTTTGTGTTCTCAATCATGTTATACCCTTCAAAAGCTTCATAAAAGTAAGAATAAGCAGTTTGGAAGTCCCTTTCATCTGCAGCGTGCAAGATTCCGGCCTGCATATCGAGATCTGCTTGCATAGCTGGACTAACATACATAGCATTAGCTGTAGTACGAGCAGATGTAAGAGCTGCGCGAGCTTTGGCCAAGCTGGAAAGATGATAACATGCCTTGGATTCTTCAAGCTGAACTTCCACAATCAGATCTTTGTCATCTACCTTTTTGAGCTCTTTTACAAGGTCCGTAGCTAAAATAATACCTTTTTAAACAAAAAAATCAAATATTTATACTCAAAATGCGTCTAAACATAAAAATCACAGGAAATAAACGCAACTTACCTTGTTGCAAAGCTTGTGGATACCTTCCCAGATCATTGTAGAGTCTGACGAGTCTGGCCTGGAGAGTTTGTCTTAAGAAGTTTCTGTTTTGAGCAGCAGCCCACTGAATTGACTCCTGAACAAGTTCGATCTTGATGTCACCATCTTGATCAATCCTCAAGCACATATCAACCAAGTCTCTGACCAACTTGGCAGCTTTCGCTTTGCCAAGAGCAACCAAGAAAGGTCTGGTCTCCTCAATCATTTGTCTCAACTCATGGGTTTTCTTGTTGGACACCAACAAGTTCCCCAACTTGATGATGGAGTCTTCTCTTTCTCTAATGTCTTCATCTCCTCTAATTGGGCTGGTAACTAAAAATGCAGAATATTAAAATATTTTACCTTTAAAAAATACAATTTAAATGTCATGCTAAAGCTAAAAACAGTAAAATTAATTTCTTTTCAAATTTATATAAACGTCTTTGTTAGTTTCCCATCAATATAAAACAGATCATGTAAATGTTACCTAAAAAAACAAAATTCTGACAAAAAACTCACCAAATTTGGTCAAGTGACTAATTGATTGTTCCTCATTATCGTGTGGAAAAGACGGAGTTGTTTCCATAGCCATTCCACCAGACATTTTGGCCTTAATACTAAAAACAAAAACACGTTAATATGTTTAAAACCCGTCATTCAAAGCGCGAATGAACCTAAAAAATCACAAAAAAAACAAAAAAGTAAAACAACAAGTCGATCACGTTACATTTTAGTGCCAGATGGTACCGGAAATCTAAAAACAAACAGTTGCTAGACAAAGAAAAACGCTTACAAATCAATAGAAAAAAATAACGCAAATCGGGCGCAACCTGCTAACCTATTTTTGAACATATTTTAAATTCATCTGGCAGGTTGCAAACAGAGTAAAGTGCAGGGCCGCGGCTGCTTTTTTTTATTTTTATTGAACGATTTTTTGTTGAGATATTTCGGGATATTTTCAAGACATAAAATTGTTTCCTTCCATTACCGTTTCATTTCAATCAGAATATTCGCTTTTAGACGTGGAGTATGGATCCTTTCGGCCAATCTCCGGCTGAGCCTGGCTCCGTCATGAGCTCGTTGTTTGGTGGTGGAGGACAAACGCCGGCATCGAATCAAAATCACGGTTCGTCGTGTATTTTAAACTTTATTTGTTAATTAAGGTGTCAGTTCTATTTTGAATCCTAACTCAATTATGGGAAACTCGATTCTGGGGCCAGGATCTTTGATGAGCGGAACTGGACCAGGTTCAGTGTTTGGCTTGAACCCGCATTCTGTTATTGGACAAACTCCTCAATCAAACGTTATAAATCATGGTCCGGGATCGATTTTGGGCGGTTTGGGTGGATCAGTCAACGGCCCTGGATCTGTTTTGAATCCATCGTCTGTTTTAAATGGGCCTGGTAGTGTCTTAAACAATCTCAACAACCCACCTTCTGTTTTAAACAATGTCAGAGGACCAGGTAACTTGGTTTTATCGCTCGATGAAAATATGTTTTAGCGTTGTGATAGACAAAGCTTAAAAGAGTGCGGAATGGATATTTGTGCGGAGACTTGGCGTTGCCATTTGCCAAGCTGTATAAAAGAGGCTTGTTGCTTCTCATTCACTTCAAAAATCTTGCAGATTCGGTAATGAACAGTCAAAACGGTCCAGGTTCAGTTTACGCTGAGAGAGAGCCAGCTTCAGTCATGAACCTTCATGGTATTCCTCAATATGGAGATGCTCCGCCATCTGTAATGCCCTTGGCCGTTCCTATGACTCCTTTACAAGGCGATTTCCAAGGTAATAGAGATCTAATGCCGGCCTCGAACATTCCTGCTACTGTACAGCCTCCAACTCCCATGAGTGTTGCCATCGACGTTCCATCGCCAACTTTACAGAATATTGTATCTACTGTCAACCTGGGAGTTCAATTGGATCTTAAGAAGATTGCTTTGCATGCCAGAAATGCGGAGTACAATCCTAAACGTTTTGCTGCTGTTATCATGAGAATCCGAGAGCCAAGAACGACAGCTTTAATATTTTCATCTGGGAAGATGGTTTGTACTGGAGCTAAGTCAGAAGAAGCTAGCAGGTCAGTGTTTTCTTATTCTTATTATATAGAGCATATACGTTTGTAAAAGTATTATTTAATTTAGCACATTTATTCAAAGATGTTTCAAAATGGATATTTTTGGCTTTTAAAACCTTTTTTTAGATTGGCCGCCCGAAAGTACGCTCGGATCATCCAAAAACTGGGATTCGACGCCAAGTTCACGGAATTCAAAGTGCAGAACATGGTGGGATCGTGCGATGTAAAGTTCCCTATTTTGTTGGAAGCGCTGTGTATTAAGCACGCACAGTTCTCAACGTACGAACCAGAACTCTTTCCCGGTCTTATTTACCGGATGGTTAAACCTCGAGTAGTTCTCTTAATTTTCGTTTCTGGGAAAGTAGTTATTACAGGCGCCAAGTTTAAGCGCGACATTGACGAGGCTTTTAACCAGATCTACCCCATCCTCAAGGGTTTCAAGAAGTAACTTGTAAGGTTTTAATACTTTATTGGTCTAAAAGTATACAGAAGAATTAAAAAGTTTTGAAAAGGTGAACGCTTGTCTTTGACTAAAAGATAGTTGAAGAATTTTCAGGATTACGTTTTCAAACAGTTTTTTGTCTTTTTACAGTTTTTTGTTAATTTTCGACCGGTAAAGTTATTTTGTTAGTTGTTTCCCTGTTGACTTGCTAAATTCATATCAGAATTTGTCTGAATTCGTTACCTCGGGCGTTGAAATTCGATTTCACACGCTGACTTGTGATACCCACACTCAATTTCGAAGTCTTTGTTTTAGTATATCGAGACATTTTATATTGGTCGAAAGTATATCAGTACATTCTAAATGTTGCATTTTGATGTTCATTTTCTCCAAAGAATTCTTGATTGTTTTAGTCTTGAGCCCTTGTTAGTGTAATGAGAAACTAATGATAACATATTCAAATGTTTAATAATTGTAAAATAAAACTAATTTAAAACTGAGATTTGTGTGGAAGATTGCACGAGTGATGAGGAGAGAATTATGTTAAATTAGAAGTTTGGAGTGGCATAGGCGAGGATGTACCTAAAAGAAATGTTTTGTAAGACGCTGTAACTATAATAATTTTATTTTTGGTTCAAGAAGTGTTCGTTTTGTGTAGTAAGATGTATTAAACAAAAGGTAACTTACGAGGAGTCCCTCTTGATCTTGCACACCAAGTCTCCAGAGAAGTTGTTCTTTGAGGCAAAGTCACCGGCTCCGGTGACGGCTTCGAACTGGACGTCAAATCGTTGTTCGGCAGCTCTTTGGACGGCTACGGTGACCTGGTGGATGTTACACTTCTTCCACTTTCCGTTTCTGGACTTGGAGAGCTGGTCGTAAGTGTCGGACATCAAGGTTTCCAATTCCTTGTTACAGCACATGAATCCATCGTCATTCAAGTAGCAGCTCTTCAAGGGGAATTGGATTGTTTTGGCTGAAATACAATGGCGTCAAAACTATTACATGGTCATGTTTCTTGGAATGCTGGTTTGGCTTTAAACGGGTTTTCAGCCATCAGAATATAAATCTTAATAAGATGCTATTAATATAATATTGTTGTTGTTTCTATGTCTAGGCTTACCTCCTCCAACTGGGGTTCTTGGTTGAGAGTATTCGTCGGCTGGGGGTGGAGTGGTTTGGGCAGGGGCATCGTAGCCATTGGATGGGGTTGGTGGTGGAGCAGCTTCGCCATAGCTGCTGGCAGCTGGAGCGGGACTGTCGTAGCCTGTAAATAATATTGCATGCATTGTTTGAAAAGTACTACTTAAAGGTGATACTATTGGGTACCTGTTGGGTAGAAAAATACGTAGGATGGCTGTTTGAAGTAGCTTTGAGGTGTTTTGAAACAAATTTTTTATATTAGTAAAGCGAGGTGAGTGTTTGAACAAATTGGCAGTGAATTACAGTATGCTACAAAAACGACTTACCGGCACAAGCGACCGACAGAACGACGCACGAAATGACAACGGCGACGCGCATTCTAGGATAAATGTGGGCGAAAGCCTGAAGCCGCTTCTTTTGAAGGTTCAGTGGACTGTCCCATTTCTTTTTTAGCGATTTGTTGCTCGAGGGATTCTCGTTTCCTCCGCGAAACTCGATCGATGGTCACTTTTCTCATTGAGGGGGGTGGTTATCACTCGACGCAGATGCGCGCATCAAGCTTGAAACAAGTTTGTTTCGAGGTTTATGTAACTCGCTCCTAATGAATTTGTCCATTCCAATTACTTTGTTGTGCTACCTTCCTCTGAAGTCGTAGAATCGGGCGAGAAGACGCCATCCGCTAACCTCATTTGAAGGAGAACTACAAAAACACTGTCTGTTTACGAAGGCCAACAACATTGTAAATATCTTGTCATTGACACACAATGACTTTAAACATGGCCACAGAACGTGGCCTGGTTTATCATTTCAATATAGTCATTTTAACCCATGTTTTACAATTTTTTAAGATTGCCATTTAGAAGATGACTGGTTCTAAAGATTGCTTTTTTAACACGGCCGTTTTTAAGATTGTCATGGGAGGGCTGGTCTTAATGGGCACGTTAAAATGTGTTTTATGATATTTGCGGAAGGCTTCAGATTCTGAATGTGCCATATTTGCTTTCAGACTCATTTTTTAAACCGCCAAAGGCATTTTGGGTTTAATATTACACTGTAATGTAGAAAAGATTAATTAATTAGAAGGTTAAGTTATTTTTTTAAATTTTCGTTTTATTTACAGTACGTTTTTCTATACTAGAGTTATTGATGTCTTAAGTTGGCGTACTGTAACGTATTCAATGGGTTGTTATAATACCTTACTATAATATCCTCTTTGTTACCTAAAAACAGAAAAATTGTTGTTATTGTAACGTGGGCAAGACATGCCGCATTACTCTTACTAGAGCATTCAAGCGTTCGGCCATTCAGTTTGAGAAATGAATTCTTTTATGACATCTTCAGGTTCATTCTTTTCCGGTAAACCTCAAGTAACTTGTGCACCTCCAGACTCAAGAATTTTTTCTCCCGTAGACCTTTTCGGAAATCACGGTTGTAGCTGATTCGGTCCATTCAGGTATTGTGCCAGTCAAGAGCCGCTTGGAGCTTCTGAAGCAGTTAAAACAGAAAAAAAGCATAAAACAGAAAAAAAGCATAAAAATCACGTAAAACTTGATCGTTGCCAAAGACGAACATGTTTTCTGGCTATTCAACCCCAACTCCAAGCTGAGCTATTATTATATTATTATGTTTACAAGAATCTTCGCCTTTCTCGACCTTCCTTCCAACCGATTCCGGTTCGAAGCGAGAATCACCGCGGACACGGCATGATCGCGGAGGAAAATCAATTTAATACATTAGTCGAGAACACCTCAAGTCTCATCAAAACGGACTTAAACCATCATTTTAGGCGAAAGCGCCAATTGAAAGCCCCACCACATTTGACCTGAATTTCATGGAAGTCCGCGAATCATTTCTCCCAGCGACTTTCCCTTATAAAACCATGACATACATCCGCAAAACATTTATTTGTCATACACCTTAACAATAATCGAATTGGGAGTAACGTACTGTTTTCTGGCTCTACCTTCTACTCATCAATCACACTACACAATCGATCCTGTACATGACTGTCCAAATACCATAAAATAACAAATATTTAAATGAGAAGGGCGGGTTAAGCTGGCTTAACCGCATCGTACCCGGCTGCTTTGAGAAGTAAAACAAGTTAAGACCCTGCGGATGATTAAAACAATATCGGTTAATAGAAAATATCAGTCCCGTTCGAAACGACGTCTAAACCCACACAATTTGATAGTCTAAGATTGAGCTAATTTGTAAAAGTGATTTTAATCATAAAATACTGTACAACTTCTTGAAACAAAGAGAGATAACAAATATACATCATCGCAATCAGCTAACCACCATTCTACTGCTGCTGGGAGAGTGGATTGGCACCCTGTTAGCTGCACATCGTGCACAAGTGACGCGGACCTTGGTTGCAGTGGAGGTGATTAGGTTATTTGATCCGTTAATGAGAGTGGAGCTCGACGACGTCATCGTTGAGTTGGACTCCATCGTCACGTTTGTGTTACTAAAAGGTTTAATAAAATGTTATACTGCAGACTTCAAGGTTAATATAAAACTAAACAGTCTAAAAAATACTGATTTCTTACCAGTAGTCGCATTTCCGTGTATCTTCCTCGTTCAACGAGTCGAAGTGGGACGTTGTGTTCATATCGACCTGGAAGAGAAGGTTCGAAGACTGGGAATCACGCTTCCGACGACCAGAGTAGTCCTCTTCACACATGTCGAAGCTCATGGTGCTGTCGATGCGTCTCCTTAACACCTAAACATCTTTGAACATTATCTATGGAGTCTTACTTGATTATTCTCGGTCTTTAAGGATTCACGGCCCGAAGAACTTGATTCTGAGATGCAGTGAGCATTCTCATGATTCTGAAATTAGAATTTAATAATTGTCTTTACAAATACACAAGACTAATGTCGTAATAGCATAACAATCAAAAGCTTACTTGATGTTGCCTGTGGAGATCAACAAATCTGTCTTCGTAGGTGATGGGTACTCTCGAGAGGCCATCCACATCCTAGTAATGTTTCCAGCTCAGATGTTCAAATCTCGAGAAGATGCTGCCACAGGTAGAGTTGGCGGAACATACGGGTTGGGAGTTGAGGACACTGGAGCAGGTTGTGACGCTGAAGATGCCTTTCATTTCTCCCAGCGAAACTGAGCTTTTATTATATTATTATACTTGACTCATTGTGTCAACTCTCACTCTATCTTTCCGCTTTGAATTGCCGCCGTCGTTCGGTCACAACGCGATCTTGGCATTGTGCACTGACGCGGTTTCTACGGTAATTCATGCGTTTGAATCTTCAGATTTTTGTCCGAGAGGGTGGTTGTGTGAAGATATTCCTGTTTTCATCACGATAAATTCACCCTGATCAAGTGGAATTGCAACGGTAAGTTTTTTGTTAAGTTTTTTTTATAATTTTAGGTTTTAATTTGAAATCCTTTATAATCTTTTCCCTCCGGTTTTGAACTAATCATTACGAAGTGTTATAGAAATGAAGAAGTCATTACTGACGAAGAATGATATGAAAACTAGGCGGTCGTACGAACTTTATAGTTACGGTGGAGTTCGACCTGTGAAATTTCTGTTGATTTTGAATTCCTCCGTTACCAATTCTGATTAACTGATCAATCAAATCAAAGACGTAAAGATTAATGGATGTTTGTTCCAAACCCGTAAGTTTAATGCAATATAGCTTTGAAATTACTAATTAATAATGTTAATTTTATGACTTCGAATGAAAAAATTTTGCAGAACCTTATCAACCCACCTCAGAACCCTGGAAGTTCTCATAATATAGAGGATCTTGTTGATTCGGCGGAACCATTTGTCCTGGACATATCGACTGGACTTCGTTGCCGTTGTCCAGACCCGGTTCTGAGGGTGGATCTTTTTTCAAAAAATGCACGCACTGCAAAAATTGTTTATGCTCAAGTAATATTCCACCAATAACATCTTCCGGGGTACAAACACTTAACTCCATGATTGCATGAAGGATGATGTGGCTGTGGCATAACTTTTTATCTATAAGAAAGAAATGAGTAACGAAGTCATAAAATTAACATTATTAATTAGTAATTTCAAAGCTATATTGCATTAAACTTACGGGTTTGGAACAAACATCCATTAATCTTTACGTCTTTGATTTGATTGATCAGTTAATCAGAATTGGTAACGGAGGAATTCAAAATCAACAGAAATTTCACAGGTCGAACTCCACCGTAACTATAAAGTTCGTACGACCGCCTAGTTTTCATATCATTCTTCGTCAGTAATGACTTCTTCATTTCTATAACACTTCGTAATGATTAGTTCAAAACCGGAGGGAAAAGATTATAAAGGATTTCAAATTAAAACCTAAAAATTATAAAAAAAAACTTAACAAAAAACTTACCGTTGCAATTCCACTTGATCAGGGTGAATTTATCGTGATGAAAAACAGGAATATCTTCACACAACCACCCTCTCGGACAAAAATCTGAAGATTCAAACGCATGAATTACCGTAGAAACCGCGTCAGTGCACAATGCCAAGATCGCGTTGTGACCGAACGACGGCGGCAATTCAAAGCGGAAAGATAGAGTGAGTTGACACAATGAGTCAAGTATAATAATATAATAAAAGCTCAGTTTCGCTGGGAGAAATGAAAGGCATCTTCAGCGTCACAACCTGCTCCAGTGTCCTCAACTCCCAACCCGTATGTTCCGCCAACTCTACCTGTGGCAGCATCTTCTCGAGATTTGAACATCTGAGCTGGAAACATTACTAGGATGTGGATGGCCTCTCGAGAGTACCCATCACCTACGAAGACAGATTTGTTGATCTCCACAGGCAACATCAAGTAAGCTTTTGATTGTTATGCTATTACGACATTAGTCTTGTGTATTTGTAAAGACAATTATTAAATTCTAATTTCAGAATCATGAGAATGCTCACTGCATCTCAGAATCAAGTTCTTCGGGCCGTGAATCCTTAAAGACCGAGAATAATCAAGTAAGACTCCATAGATAATGTTCAAAGATGTTTAGGTGTTAAGGAGACGCATCGACAGCACCATGAGCTTCGACATGTGTGAAGAGGACTACTCTGGTCGTCGGAAGCGTGATTCCCAGTCTTCGAACCTTCTCTTCCAGGTCGATATGAACACAACGTCCCACTTCGACTCGTTGAACGAGGAAGATACACGGAAATGCGACTACTGGTAAGAAATCAGTATTTTTTAGACTGTTTAGTTTTATATTAACCTTGAAGTCTGCAGTATAACATTTTATTAAACCTTTTAGTAACACAAACGTGACGATGGAGTCCAACTCAACGATGACGTCGTCGAGCTCCACTCTCATTAACGGATCAAATAACCTAATCACCTCCACTGCAACCAAGGTCCGCGTCACTTGTGCACGATGTGCAGCTAACAGGGTGCCAATCCACTCTCCCAGCAGCAGTAGAATGGTGGTTAGCTGATTGCGATGATGTATATTTGTTATCTCTCTTTGTTTCAAGAAGTTGTACAGTATTTTATGATTAAAATCACTTTTACAAATTAGCTCAATCTTAGACTATCAAATTGTGTGGGTTTAGACGTCGTTTCGAGACGGGACTGATATTTTCTATTAACCGATATTGTTTTAATCATCCGCAGGGTCTTAACTTGTTTTACTTCTCAAAGCAGCCGAGTACGATGCGGTTAAGCCAGCTTAACCCGCCCTTCTCATTTAAATATTTGTTATTTTTATGGTATTTGGACAGTCATGTACAGGATCGATTGTGTAGTGTGATTGATGAGTAGAAGGTAGAGCCAGAAAACAGTACGTTACTCCCAATTCGATTATTGTTAAGGTGTATGACAAATAAATGTTTTGCGGATGTATGTCATGGTTTTATAAGGGAAAGTCGCTGGGAGAAATGATTCGCGGACTTCCATGAAATTCAGGTCAAATGTGGTGGGGCTTTCAATTGGCGCTTTCGCCTAAAATGATGGTTTAAGTCCGTTTTGATGAGACTTGAGGTGTTCTCGACTAATGTATTAAATTGATTTTCCTCCGCGATCATGCCGTTTCCGCGGTGATTCTCGCTTCGAACCGGAATCGGTTGGAAGGAAGGTCGAGAAAGGCGAAGATTCTTGTAAACCGGACTGGTTTTAATTAACTTCATTTTTTACTACATACTTACTGTCAAAGAGATGGTTTGCGGTGCGACAAAGGTCGAATAACTTTTGTTATGATACCTTTCGAAGAGAAAGAAACCCGGTAATTATTGCCAACTCCATAGTAGTTACTATATAGCTCCACCCGCGAAGTGTCCACCCGCGAAGTGTACATCACTCAAAAGTATAGCGACGAATTAAAAAAAACATCGACTTGTTATCGAGTAGTATGATTTATTGGCCAAGCTATTCAGTAAAGGTCTCAATTTGTTTATTGTGGTGCGCCTTTGACCTCGTCGACTGTGACATCATCGTATTTGTGGTAGCCATCGGAGCTCGCGCGTAAACGCAGGGACGGCAGGCATAACTTCCCAGGAGGATACACGAGAGAAAACAGGGAAAAAAGCTGCGTTTTCTATACACAAACTGTTTCAGCATTAGGAAGACTCACTATCGAAGGGTTTGGTCAACACATAAAAATTAAGTGAGGACTTGTTGCTTTTCTTCATCTCACAAGGAAAGTACTTGATCTGCGGTGCTCAGTTTTTTTTAAATCTTCATTTGCCCTCACAAGTCGAAAAAAATTTTGCAAAGGTAGCTAGCTGCCTGTGCCGATTTTTTCGATCCCCGCCTCCAGAATTGTCAAATTGGCGAGAACCCCAAATATTTTAAATTTAAAACAAAACAATATTTTTTATAGGTACTGTTAGTAATGGAACTGACTGAAAAAATTTTGAGCTGATTGTGAGCGGGACAGGTTGGGTATTTCGCGTTAGCTTATAATGTAGAGTTTTATAATTTAAAGGCTGTATCGGATGATCGCGCGAGAAGTCTGCACGGTGCAGCGGAATAAAAAGGGCGCGATTTTCCCAGGGACTGCACCGTGCAGAAACATTTGGAGACTGCTTTTCGTGTGTCGCATCTTTGATTTACAATATATATTATAAGTTGGCCGTAACAACTTGTATTTAAAACAAATTTTCAGCATCGTTGTTAATTAATTCAAATTTCTAATGAGGATTTTTGCTGATCAATTGCTACCAGAGGTACGTTTCTTTTTATTAACGAACTCAATTATTATAGAGAACGACGGTGATTTGTATAATCTTTTTGTGAAAATATATTTCATTAAAATTATAAAATTGACCTAACCTTCTCTTTTTTCTCTTTTTTTTATCAATCACTATGTATTTACTTTGCGGCATAAATTTATACAAAAACATGTAATTTTAGTTATGGTACAAAGTGATAGATCATGTGACTGTAATGGAAGATACTTGTTCGCTGGCTATGATAAACAAGTATTTTAACAAACTTATCAATAAGGATTTTAAACAGTTATGTTATGGTGGTGTATCGCCTAAACGGCGAGACTTGGACTTATGCTTTTTCAAAGTACGTTTACAGTTTTATAATTTTGTTTTTTTAGGTGATATCAGTCTTTCCACTAAAGAATTACACAAAATCGTAAACCCCAATTTGTCGCGCCAAGAATCGGGAGAAGTCGCGCGACATTCGCTACCTTGCGACATTCCAAGGGAATCGCAATGTCGCAGGTTGCAAGGCTTTGCAACAAACTGTCGCGGTGCGACTTGAAAGACGATGCGACAGCGTGTCGCGGTTGTCGCAACGCTCAAGCCACCGCTGTGTTCTGTGGAAGGCGTGCGACAAGTTCTTTTTGGCTGTCGCGTGTCCTCTGAACTCCTGCGACAACCGGCCGGTGCGACAATTGGGACTGTGCAGTCTTTCCGTCATCACGGAACATTCTTTTGGGGAAAGACTGATATTATCTGGAAGTTTGTATAAATCTCATGTTGATTGCTAAAAAATTTAGATTCGCGGATCGTTCATATTGTTTAATGACTGGTTATACGCAGTTTTACGGTGATAACGCTGTTTGTTGTCCTTTTACCGGAAAAATGGCTATTAAACTTAAAAAAGGTTATGTGATACTGACCAATATTGATTTTGCTCTAAAGGACTTCACTCTTCTTGATTTTACATATTATGGGGAGAAAATTAGCCGTGTTAAAATTATTAATAGAGGAACACAGCTTTTGGTTTTTTCCCGTCATTATGTTTTATTATATGACCTGGGATTGAAAACAACAAACCTATATAAATTTGGACCATGCTACGAATTCCGCTATTCAATTACCCACGATCACACTGTTTTTGATTTTTATACTCAAAAAAAATTTCCAATTGACGCAGAGTATCCAAGATTTTTGTATAATGGCATATACGACGCTAATATGTTCGACAAGCCAAAATATCTTGGACTACGCACAAGAGACGGCAAATTTGTCATTGTCGATTGTGAAACTGATGAAAGACACGAAATTTGTGAATGGAGAGAACGAATGGCAGTGTATATCATTAATGAAAATGATTCTGTAGTAATTAGAGGTATGGAAAGTTATGAAAATTATTTAAAATTTTTCAAAGCTGAACAATTATGAAAATTTAGGTAATGATGATGGATATGGATGCCGAATATATAGTGTAAAGAACAGACGATTTGAATTTTATGAGCCCGATGACGACCATTGGTGTTTATTTAATTATAATACTCTTTTCAATGAAATTACGAATTCGGTAAGATATTTTAAAAAATTTTGTACTTTTTATGTTTTTAATTGCATTTTTTATAAATGCGTAATGATAGTTTTTAAATGATTTATTTATTTACTTCCACATTACCTCTGAATAATCCTATTGCTAACCGACTGTCCGATCGGACCTGCTGGTCCTATTCCCCACCGCTCCATAAAGTCCCAAATAGATATGAGAAACGGGCCGGGCCCAGGGCCGGCCCGGTCCAAAAATTTTTTTTACGCGGAAGCGGGCAGGGCCCAACTCATTTTTCAGGCCCGGCCCGATCAAAATTTTGCTCAAGGCCGGCCCGATGGCAGACCCGGGCCGTTTCTCATGTTTAGTCTCAAATCCCGCTCTTTTTTTTCGAGAGGGAGAGCCGTCGGTGGTTTAGCTGCCTGACAAGGGGATAATTTCGTCAGCACCATTCCAAATAAGGGGGGGGGGTAGAAAAAGTTGCAGACCGATCCGACCGGTAGAAAAAAAGCGCGGGAAAACAAAATTCAAATTCCGGACTATCGCATTAGGTCCGGTCCGGGAAGAACTCTGGATGTAAGAAGCAATTATCAACAAAAAAAATTTTTGTTTTGATTATTCAAACGAATTAACATTTAAATAAAAAAGAATACCACTCATTTACTCCGAAAAAGAATCGAACCGACATCGAAAGGGGGATCGCAATGTCACAGGTGCAAAACTTTGCGACATACTGTCGCGTCGCGATTAGAATGGCGACGCGACAGCGTGTCGCGGCTGTTGCGACGCTCAAGCCACCACTGTGTTCAGTGGAAAGCTTGCGACAAGCTTCTTTTGACTGTCGCAAGTCCACTGACTCCTGCGACAACCGAGGGTGTCGCGGGGGAATCTGCACGGTGCAGCGGAACAAAAAGGCCGTGATTTTCCAGTTGTAAAATTCTTTAGTGGAATGACTGATATAACTTTTGATGTATATACTTTTCATTCTTACTTCAGACGAAAACCTTGAATTCTTGTCCACGAAAAAAATCTCTCATAATTTTTTGCGTTCTCTAGTTTTTTCTCTAACATGTAAGGTCGACGGCAATCAGACAAAAAGAAGGACCACACAAAATTATGAGAGCTTTTTTCGTGGACAAGAATTCAATGTTTTTGTCAAAAGTAAGAATAAAAAGTATATACACCAAGGGTTATATCTTCAAAATCTAATGTTTCATTTTTTAGTTTTTGGTTTATAACAAACGAATGAACCTTTGGCAGATAAAAAAAGCAGATCCAAATCTTCAATTAACTGAGCAATGGTTTTCATACATTTTGGCATACGCTGTGGCATTACCAAAATACCAGGTTATAGAGACCTATCATAGACGTTTTTTCTTGAGCTTTGAAAGAGGTAAGTTATACGACTTTGACACTTTTTCGTGATGATATAATAAAAATGTAGAGTTTACTTCACTCTGATTCTGCTGTATTCTAATTTTGCTTATGAATTACCTGAAGATTAAATAATTCCTGTCTATGTCTACACTAATCTCTAATTGAGCTGAACCTAATCCAATTCGAGTTCTATACAATCATTACCCCACATATTATTAAAGGTTTTATTAACATATTTTCTACGCTATACAATTACAATTTACGGTCGGTGAAATGTAGATGTAGTTAGATTATATGATGTTGATGCCGACGAATTGCATTGAGGTACTGCGTGTATGTTCCTGGATTGTTCTAGTTCTTCCTCGTTGTTCACCGGAGCTATCCTTGGTTTATGATGTTTCCCATAATTGGGCCTCCCCCCAGTTTTCACTGTTTACCGCATCACTGGTTCGTGGGTGAGGTGCTTCATAGGACTTATGGCTTGTCTATCATACACCTGTGTTGGCCAAGTATGGCTGGGGACTTATAATTCAAATTTTTTTTCTCAGTGAAAATTAAAAAATGGCACAGAAAAATACAAAATCCTGCGCCATTTGAAAAAATATCGTTTGAAAGAGAGAGAGTCTTTTCTCTAGGGTCTCTCGTTTTATTGTGCTCTCTTTTCAAAATGGCGCAGAATTGTGTATTTTCCTGCGCCATTTTTTGGTTTTCACTGAGAAAAAAATATTTTTGAAAAAAAATGAAGTATAAGTCTCCAGCCATAAGTGATGATGGGCCTAGTCAACGTGCTCCCAACACTACCCATTCCTCAATGCGCCTGGGTTGGGCGGAGGCGGGGGCCGAACCAAGGTCCTTCCGACTAGCAAGTGGCGCCGTAACCACTGCGCTACCCTGCTGTGTTCTAATTTTGCTTATGCATTGCCTGAAGCTTAAATAAGTCCTGTCTATGTCCACACTAATCTCTAATTGAGCTAAACCTAGTCCATTTCGAGTCCTATACAATTATTACCCCACATATTGCGTTATGTTTACCCCGCCAAACCAGTTATAATTTATATTTAGACCGTGTTCGAGTGAAAGCGTTTAATGCACCATTCCAAATGCTTGCTACAAGAAATCAAAATGGAAAATTAATTATTTTCAACAATCACCCAATTTCAAATTCATCAATGATGTCATATCCAGTTCCAGTCGTAGAATTAAGCGACTTTTGCAATTGGTTCTCTCAATTACAAATGGCGAACCCAGTAATTCCATTAATTAACGTTAAAACTGGTGTAACCGAACATTTAAATTTTTGTTCAAGAAATCAAGAATATGACTTTTTCAAATAAATAACTTTTAACTTTACCTTATTTGGCAGTACTATCAACAAATTTTGCAAAACTTTGTGAAACATTACGAAAACTAGGATGATATTATCAAAAACAACGATCAACTGGGTCTCAAACAGTTGCGAACGTTGGTTCTCGAACGTTGGTGCCAATATATACAGAGAGAGGCACAAAAAGTACACCAAGATCAAAACGCTTTTTTGATTGATTTATGCGAAGTTGAATTAGAGCGAATTAAAGTCATGTCCGAATTCTTTAATACCAAGCTCTGTAAGTTTTAATAATTCATGTCTTTGAGAATGAACATCTGGCCATTATGTTGTTTATCCAGCTATAAATGAGGATTACAATCCTTAAAACCTTTCCGAAAACCTTTTGAGTAAACAGAAAACAATTTGAGGGCTTTTCCTTTCGTTTCTTGTAAATGCGATTACTTGACATTGGACTGGCACGTCATCTTTTCTGGACAATGTCATCTTTTCTGGACTGTCATCTTTTGCTGAACAATATTGCCTGGATAATTTGAAAGCGTTATTTTAAGTATTATCTAATACCATTGTAACCGTTGCCTGAAGCATGTCATCTTGAAATGTCGTTTAATTATCTGTCCCTGAACAAAGCTTTTCAGCGATGCGGGGATTACGGCGCCGAGAGGCGGTGGTCATGGACGCGAGCCAAACGAAGAGTATGGCCTTCTCTTTGAGTAAGTAAATTATTATAGCGAAGACTTCTCGTCTTCCAAAACTTTGTTAAAGTCGTCCTTATTATGTCCACGCCAAGTCGCGTGATTTAATGTCGTTTCGTGACACTAACACAATATTCCTCTAACTCTTGAAATATTCTAATACTTCGATTTGTATACATATTTCATTCTTGTTATTATTATGTGTGAATATCAAAGCAGTGTGTTGTTGACTTCAGAAGAGAACGACACCGACGCCCTCACTATCGGGCCCTATTTACAGAAAAAGGTGGGCCCGGCCGAGGTAAGTAATCAAGAATTTATTAATCATTTATGACTTTTAATGTTAATATTGATTAAGACACCATAATATTATTAAAGATTTATAATGTTACGCATCTCTCACTCACTTTCAAATCTGTAAACATGTATTTTAGCATGTTTTCGTACTATTTTAATCAAAAATAAAGTATTAAACTTTTAAAAATTTTTAAAAAACCAAATTTTGTTGGCTTTTCCCTCCAAAACAATGCTGACGTCAGACGTCAAAAGCAATGTTATTCCCAAAGTCAGATAAATTAGAGGATTATTCGAGCTGCAAATATTGTTTTCAGCTTCAAAACAAAACTCACTTCAATGCGGCCGAAATAAAAACATTATACAGAGCTTTCAAGGCGACGGCGCCGAGCACCGTGATACACAGGGATCTGCTACGCAACATATTCAGGGAATTCTTCAGACGAGGCGATGTTGAACATTACGCGGACTTAGTCTTTAATGCCATAAACACTTCACATACCGGATCTATCACGTTTTCGGTTAGTTAATTTTTGAAAGTTGAGTTATTGAAATGACCTTTTTTTGAAAAATTTTTTAAAATGTGAATTTTTAAAAGTTGAAGACTGATAAATTTTAAATTTGAGGAAAAACTTTACGGTTAACAGCTAAATATTTTTAAAATACAGTATCTTTACTTTCAGGAGTACTTAACATGCTTATCAGTGTTATGTCGCGGTTCGACGGATGAGAAGATCAACTGGATATACGGTATATACGACCCTCTGGACAAGGGATACGTGAGTTGTGAGCGAGTACAACATGTTATGACAGCTGTCGCTGATCTGGTCGGAGTTCACAAGCGAAGTATGAGCCGACCTGACCTCGACGTCAAGTGTGCTCGTGAGGTATTCCAAAGATTCAATCCGAATTCAGAAGGCGTGATACGAAAACGAGACTTCCTTGAGAAGTGCAAGACCGATCCTTACATGTGCGACTCGATTGACGTGTTCAAGTCGATACTGTTCTAGTAATATATGTTCAAGTAATGTATAAATAAAATGTATAAAGCTTTGCTTAACACGTTTACTTGGTTATGGTAATTCTACAACCTCTATTAGTAGTTTCTTTATTATATTTAAAATACTTTACAATCTCAATACAAATGTAATCCCATGTTGACAAAGAACACATTGCTCCATTTCACGTTTGACGGCAGGATTCTGGTGTGATACCTGGCTACACGTTTCTCAGAAGTCGCAATTTCAGACACTTTTTGGAAAAGGTGATTGTTTGAAACGGTGAAGAAGGTGACGGATTCAGAAGGCAAATCTTTCAAGTGCTCCAAAAGCAAGCTTCTGAAAATATTATTGTAGAGAAAGGCGCCTCTCGTTATCAAGATGGCTTATTACAAAGCTGCGATTGTAGGAAAGATAACAGTAAACCTGACAACAGCAACTTCGCGGTAAGGTTTCTAAAAACAGTCAAATGATAATAATCATCATGTTAGGAAACTAACACAAAAATTGTTTTAACTTGGTTTTGCTGAGGTCGAACATACGACCTTTTATAAAAACTACATTTAGTTTGAAAAATAAGCAAAAACAACAAAAAAGTAGTAATAAGGCCTAAATTCCACATATTTTTTGACCAAAAAACTCCATAATTTTAACAACAGTTTAGCATAACTTACACTGCGATTTCTTCACTCTCCCCGTACAATTGGAGTACTCGACCATTGAGAGACAAGACATATCCGACTGGTTGATTTTCAGCGTCGATGGCAACTGTTCCTTTAACCTACAATAATTCAAAATATACACTTCAAAAAACGTTATAACCCATTACGAAAACATCAGATAAGAGTTCAATTGAATTTGCGTAACTTAATGTCAGATACCCTATTTTCATTGGGCGGCAGATTAAAAGAACATTTCGGAGATTACTTACGCTTCGGAGGCCGAACACAAACTCTAGGTACTCTTGGCGGTCGATCATTGAGATATTGGAGTCGTAGTCCAGGAACAGCACAGCAGAACGTGGAGTCAACGTTTCGTACTTGATGTCTGTAGCTTGTTTTGAAGATTCAAGAAGAGATACAAGTTTTGTGCTAAAATGAAGACATTTACTGAATCATATTCACATATCAAATGGTAAAATAAGGTTTTAAGAAAAAGTTTTAATCTTATCATTTGCTACAACATTATTACACCTGACTTACCGTGGAACTTCAAATTCAACAAAACGGTACTTGTCGACAACGACGAAACCAGTTTTGTCTCTCCACAAGTTCACAGACTCATCGTTCCTAGAACAACACATTGTCATAACTAGTTGCACAAGTAATTGTCATCATTTTATCGACCATCAAATGCAAGAAAATTACATAAAGCAACAAAATAAACCTACTGTTTGCTGTCCAGGTATAGATCGACAGATATGTTCTTCTTCATGTCAAAGTTCTTCTGTCCAACATTGTCAATTAGCTGATCAACAACAGTTTGAAGAAGTGGAGTAGCTTCAGGCTTTCCAAATACCGAGAAGTACTGTGGGAATCCAGACAAATCCTTGAGTTCTTCCTTGACTTCAGAGATTTTGTAGACAGTGTGATTGTCGGCTACATCTTCTTCTACGCCCAATTCGTTGGCTTCGGTTTCTACTGGTTCAATGTTAACAAACACATCGTTGTAGCGTCCAGAAGTGGCTACGGCCGAGCAGTAATACTGATTGGGAGTGATGACATTAAACACACCAATAGCTGCTGGAACAGAACCATTTGGGCCTTCTTCAACTACAGTAACCGTCTTCAGGTTCTCGAGATTCAAGATAGACGAGTTGCCATCAGAAGGCAGCAGGTTCCCAGCCAAAGCCTTAGAAACTTTAGTGTTTTGTACCAACTCCTGTAGCTGTTGTGTAGCCAGCATTTCAGTTACAGTATCCTTGGAGAGGAAGAGGGTGAACAAGTCGGCGGAGCGCGTTGCTTAAATAAGCATCCCACCTCGAGCAAGACACCGCTCCGATTCCTATCAGAAGCGCCTATCTCCGAAGGCACAAAAGCATCGGAAACGACGCAACTTTCCAGAATTCTTTTGTAATAACCGACCAGTATGTAGGCGAGACTGTGATCGACTGATAGCATCTGTTTCCATGCTAATCGAGAGGTATTACGAGATACGTCAAGGACAACTGAAACCGAGTATTAGAGATTACGTGAACAACTCAGGGAAAGTTGTAATCTTCAGAATCTGCACGATAGTACGCTTCACTGAGTATGTAGGTTAACATGACCGCACATAGTAAAAGTAGGTGAAAGTGAGGTAATCTTGATAAAAACTTCGGTTTCACAAACTAATGACATATATTTTGCGGTGATTCTAATACGTTATGTCATTTATGGATTGATCTTATAATATTTATATTACTGCTTTCGTCATGATTTCATTTATCAATATAAAATATGCAGCGCATAATGCGCTCTAGCTTTCACATTTCATAATAGTAACTTTTTTATAAGACACCTTATGTAGTTACTTTATTTTTCTACCAAAACCCTTAAAAATTTTTTTTCAACAAAACCAAAATACAGTACTCAGTGTATGTTTACTCAAAACGAAACTGTTGACCAGTACTAGTTAGTCCTCGTTGTTGTTGTTGTACTTGTTCAGTTCGTCTTGGCTAATGTTCGAAGCAGTGGTACAGGTCGTGTCATCGGCGCTGAGTGGTCCTCGCATCATGTATCTAAAACAACAACATGTCATCTATATGTATCCCTTTAAAATACATTATGAAATATGCAGCTTGATATAAAAAAACAAGTTAGCCTACGGAGTGGAGCAGAGCCATTCAGATGCCACGATCTGAGTCAGATTCACCCTCTTCCGTGGGTCTGGATGAAGCATTCGGTAGATCAGTTTTCTAGCGGCATCGGACGGACAAGCGTGCGGGAAGCGGATTCTGTGCTCTCTCTGTAGCGCCATCATTTCTTTGGGTTTTCGATCGTCGAAAGGCATGATCCCTGTCAGCATCACGTACAGTACGACTCCAGCACTCCAGATGTCAACGGCGTTGTTGGAATACTCAATAGATTGCATTATCTCGAGAGCCACGTAGGCTTTAGAGCCACAGTAGGTGTGGGAAACTTCTCCATCCCTAAACACACGGTTGTAGTCGAATCGCCGATAACAAAAGTTAAAACAATATCGTTTTTGTAAATAACCAGATATACTACAAAAAAAGACACATCGCAGACAAAACCTACTCCATGAACCGCGCAAAACCAAAGTCTCCGATCTTGAGGTTGTTGTATTCATCGAGGAACAGATTCTCGCACTTCAGGTCACGGTGCAAGATGTGCAACGACTCCAAGTACTTCAGGCCTTCAACGAATTGACGAAACAGAAGACGACCTTCAAGTTCGTCGATCCTCTTCTTGGACTTGATCAACCGAAGCAGATCACCGTTTCCTGCAAACTCCTCCACCATACAAATGTACTCCTTTGTCTTGATCACCTTGAATATGTGCCTCATTACTCCTTTAAGAAGTGGTACAGTCTTGTATATAAGTGACAAGAATTTCCGTACCTTACCACTCTTTTACCCCAAGAACCGCATTTTAAAGGGTAATATTACAAAAATAGTTTTTTTCACCTGTTTAAATCAAAAAAATAAAAACTTACAGTACACTTACCTCGAACACCTTAACCACATTCGGATGGTTGAGCTGAGTAACGATTTTCATTTCTCGAGGCAAGAAACGACGAATGTATTCATTCTTTTGGCGACGGTCGATCTTCTTCACGGCTACGGTACGGTCGAGTTTGTTTGAATAGGCAACCAGTACCTTCGAGTAGGATCCCGTCCCTAAAACACGACTTTTGAGCTCAACATCATTATTGGACAAAAGTTCTCGCAATTGAAATGAAGCCTCTGATTCAGTAGTCTGAGCCTGCGCCATCGGTAAAAAAAATAACCGACCGGTCGTCGCAACGAATGCCGCCGAATGATGAGTTTAGTATGACATTTTATTCAGTTAATCAATTAAAAAGTGCAAAGTTAAATATCAAAAAGGGAAATGGCTAAAAGAAAGACCTGTTAAATACATATTAATAACAAATGTACCGGGTTCAAGTGTAACGAAAGAGTATACAGTTCTACGTAGACTACAACATAAAATAAATATTGTTATAAAAAATAGCTACGAACTCGTAAACTCCTCCACTACAGCATAATAATAATGTCCGAAGACAACATACAAACAACAGTCTAATAATGCAAAGTCTAAATATACAATTAAAGTGAGTCAGTTTCAAAAACAACATTAACAACCTTCAGACCTTGCGGCCCTTCGTCTTCGCTCCCTCCTCCACAAGATACTTCCTCTTCTCGTGCAACACACTGTAGCCAGTCTTCCCTAAGTTGTTTGCAATATGCGGATCTCCTCCTTTTGTGAAAATGGCACGAATAGTCGGTGAGTTCTGAGATGCACACGCCAAGAGCATCGGTGTATCACCTGCATTGTCCCTCACGTTGGGATTGCTTCCGTAGTGCAACAAGACTTCACATGCTTCCCATTGCCGATTCTCCGCCGCGTAATGAAGTGGGATACGACCATTGCCATCGCGTGTGTTTGCCATCTTCATAACTCCCACTGCCCCTTTCAGCTCCCTGCAGTGCTTCAAGAAGTTCCGCAACTGAAAAAAGGATAAATAAAGTACAAAAGCATCAATTATATAAGTTTACGTAAGAAAAAGAAAATTACTCAAGTTGTGAACCATATTACCAACTTGAATATCAACAAAGGAATAAAGAAAAGCATCAAAATATAAAAAAAGCTGTAAAAACAAGAACTTACAGTAGACCTGTGACCATAGGATGCCCCCAATCCCAATGCGGTCATCCGATCGTTGTTTAAGGTAGTTAGATCAGCCCCAGCTTTCAAAAGAATCGAGGTACCATCGGAACATCCTTGAGCTAGAGAATACATCAAAGGAGTCCATCCTTTGTCGTTCTTCTTGTTGAGGCACTGTGGGTTTCTCTTAATATGTTTCTGAAAGCAAAAAGACCTTAATGCAGGTATAAGTTGTTTTTATAACTTTGACAACAGGAAAAATCTAAATTAAGTTGCTATCACACTTACAAATTTCAAAAAAAAACTTGCAAAACAAAAGCCAACTTATAGAAATTGACAAGCACAAAATATAATAATAGACTACAAAAATTCACCTCAATGCATTCTGTATGTCCAGTGATAACTGCTGAAAACAACGAAAATCCATCTTCGTATCCCATCTGGAACTCGTTAGGCTTATATTTCCTGATGTTATCCCTCAAGATTTTCAATACTCCAACATCGTTCTCGCGTTCTTTTGGCTTCTTCAGATGTTCTACCTTTTCGTGCTTGTTGATTAAAAATGGCAACTTCACGCGCATTTTGGCCACAAGCAAACGCAAAGAGCTGTAAACAAAAAATATATTTTTTTTATTTTTAAAATTTATATACAAAATAAAACAAACAAAAAATCGTTATCGACAAACAGATTTGCCAAGAATCAGTCGCTGATGATTTTTGAAGCTCGAAAATTGTTTGCTTCCAGACTTCGAAAAGGAAACTCGCAAATCTAGGGCGCAGCTTTTGGAATACGATTTTATACGTTCGAAAAAATAAAATAAAATATAAAATATAAAGTTCTTCAAATGGCAAACAGCGGACACGATTCAGAGATTAAAACTTTGTCGTTTAATGATCGTGTTGTAAAGTATGTAAAAACAAAAGAAGCTGATGTAGTGGAAGATCAATATGAAGGTATTTTATATTGTACTTTAAGTTTTTGGTTTAGGAGGTCACCAACTTTGGCAAGGAACTAGACTACAGCTGTCCTATTACTCAGGACTTTCGGACTTCAAGACTAACAATGTTTTAGATGTAAGTTGTAATTTCAATTGTTGTATCTTTCGTTCTCTTTCTTAATTTCTGGAATTAGCTTTGAATCATTAATCTTTGTGTTTAGATAGGTTGTGGCAATGGGCTTCTTGGCATCTTCTTGGTATTATACAGCGGGGCCAAAAACGTTGTGTTTCAAGACCTGGCAAGTTATATTATTTTTGATATTATCGTTTAGAACGAAGATGTCTTATCTGAGACAACAAAGCCGAATCTGGAGTTGAATGAAATATGTAGCACAAAGTATTCTTTAGTTTCTGGGTTTTGGCCTGACTGTTTCAAAGATTTACCCATCAATTCGTAAGTAAAACCAAATATTTATTGATTATATTTTAGTTTTGATCTGATAGTTACTTCCGATACCGTTTATCGCGTCAAAAACTTTGGACATCTACATGGAATCTTCGAGAAGTACCTTCAGAAGAGCAAAGATGCAAAGGTGTAAGTGATTTATGTTTTAAAACATAACTGGATGGATAAAAAAGAGAACAGGTTTTAATGTTGTGGTTGTTCAATTATCTTTTGACTTTAAACCTTATTTTAGATTTGTAAGCGGAAAAGATTTGTACTTTGGAAATGATGGTGGCATTCTGCCATTTCGTGACTATGTTACCAAAAGTAACGTGTTTGATGTTACTGTTGTTATGACCGACGAAGGTAACGTGAATCATTCGGTCTTGCAGCTGAAGTGGAAGTAAAACATCGTCGGATACCTACTTCATCTTCTGGGGGGACTAGAAGTACCACAAATTCTGAAGCCTCATTGTTACTTTTGATTGTTATTTGTTTCCGTTAAACTGTTTATAAACCCTATTCTTTAGTCTGGTTGATTGAATCATCACGAGATCATTAGACGCCTCCGTTGTAATAAACATCATAAAGTAATTATTAAACGCTTTTTATTGAACGAAGAGGTCGAGGTTTCTCAAAAAGATCATTTATTCGATAATCCTTCGTTGCGTTCTGCTTCTGTAGATATATAGGTGGGTTCAGAAGACATCCTGTTCACTTGTTTTACCATGGAGAAGGTACGAATCGACAATCCGCATTTACTGCTCATGAAAGACGACACTTTGTATCATTTCGGACTGAAGAAAAGCACCACAGACTTTGTAAAAGAATTTGGAGATGTCAAAGTATGCTGTTTTATGACGTAGTTCTACTGATTATTTACAAAACGATACTATCTCGATCGTATATCTGTCTTGTTTTAGTTTGTATGTTGTGGCGGAAGCTCTGGCCGCATAAAGATGTACGCTGAATTGTTTTCTAAAAAGTTTTCTCTATTGTGTTCAGGAAACTTGTCAAGATCAGATCGTTTTTGTCTCTACAAGACAGGCGGAGTACTGTGGGTGAACGTAAGTTACAATTACCTTAATGTATACACCAGGGACGTCGCTACGGTTAATTAGCTACCTGTGGACCGATTTTTCGAAATTTTTTTTTCGTTTTTGAGTCACCCCGAACCACCCCCCTCCTAAACGACGTCCCTGGTATATATGTACCTTAGCATGGAATGGGAGTACCGTCTTTGAGTATCATGCTGAACGAAGCGTTCAAGCTTTTGTATTACGCTGGGGCAACAGATGTGACATTTGTGAGAATTGGTACTAGTGGAGGCATTGGAGTACCACCAGGTACGGTAATAGTGTCAAATAATGCTATGGACTCCTTGTTGAGGAACGAGTATGTTTTGGAAACAGCCGGCAAGACTCTGAGGTTTGATTGCTCATTGGATGAAGAGTTGTCACAAGACTTCTTCCGAATGGCCAAAGAGATGAACTATGCAGCAGATATGGGTACTACAATGTGTGCAAATGACTTTTACGAAGGTAAACAGCCTTTTGATTGAAGTATGTCATGTTTAATAACTGTTTACGCTAAGTCAAGAGTAGGAAATCGAAAGTACAATAGCAAAAGAGACAACTATTCTATGATAACGTTACAGTATACTGTGAAAATCTTATAAAGGTATACATGATTAACATCGTAATTTAGGACAAATGCGACTGGATGGTGCATTTTGTGAAGTCTCCCTTGAAGAGAAGGTCGAGTATCTCAAGAAGTTGTCAGCTGCTGGAGTTAAAAACATTGAAATGGAATCAACTTGCTTCGCTGCCATGACAAAACGAGCAAATTGCAAAGGTATGCAAATTTTATCTATAAATACGTTTGCAACATAAAATGTTGTTTACATTTGTGAATCTGGTCTAAAGACAGGTAGAACTTTGTCACAGAGCTCCGTAAAATGTAAACGTTTGTGTAGAACTTGTTATTTCTGAAGTTTACACCATATTCATAGCCGAATTCATATTTCTTTAGAAACAGAACAAATATAACTCATTGTTTTGATTAACACGAATTGAAATTGCAGCAGCGATAATCTGCGTGACACTCGTCAACCGAATGCTGGGAGATCAAGTGACGGTCGAAGAGAACGACTACAAGGAATTCGAGATGCGGCCATTCAACGTGGTCACTAAATTCATATCAAAACGGTTGCAATACAACGGCTACTGATTGATTATGTATGTGTGTATAAACAAAACGTAAATAAAGTGAAGACTTGCTCGTTTTGATGATTTCAATCCGAAGCGCAAGTTTTTCTGTGCGAAACCAAAATCAAATCGTCTGGAAAATGTGTCACCACAATCCAATTAACGACGCTTTTTTATAAAATTGTTGAAATGTTTTCATTCTTTTATTTGAAGGAGAACTGTTTGCACCGACTATGCAAATTTGTTTTCATTATTTTGCCCGCATTTCCCTTGAGAAACGTCTTTTCGACATGATTTTTGGATTTCGACCACGAATTTCTGAAAAACGAAAAACCATTTCGCTAAAATTACGTGTCGTCGTACGCATTAATAATATAGGCGAGATATTTGCGTGTTTTGATAGTCTTTTTCGAACACCTACTCCAGCTCACTCGAGTGTCCTGCTCAAGGTCATCTATGTGCAGTTCTGACTCATCGTTCACTTTAAAGGCTTAAAAGCTGAATAAAATGACGTCGCGAGACTTTTTCGGATATTTCTCTGGCTAAAAAGAAATATTTGGCCTCGGCGAGTGCGAGAGTGCGGGTTCCTGTGGCCATTCTGCCTTGAAAGTGGTGTTTTCTCTGTTGTGTCTCTCACCCTTCATTTTACTCTTCTCCTTTTCTTCCACGTTTCAGCGTTCGGTTTCTCGCTAAAGTTTGAGAATCTTGCGTTCCTTCAGATGCCGCAATTAGCTGATTTTGTTCGAAATTGTTTTAGTGACGTGGAGTTATTTGTTTTTCGATTGATCAATGTATTTTAATGGTTTTTGTTTCAGGATTGTGTTATTTGGTCTGATTATTCGATAAGTTGTATAATATAAGTTATTCTTGAATAATGTCGGCCATTGTTCCAATTCGGTTCCATGAACTGTTCACCGTAAGTGTTTTTAAACTATTTTTTGTTTTTAGGTAACAAAAAGCGAGATGCATATTTGTTTCTTGTAGAATAATGAGTTTGGTAGTGAATATTGACTTTATGTTATCTTAAAAATGGTTTTCAGAAAGCATCAATTTTAATTTGTAATAGTATTTTGTATCTAAATTTTTTGACGTAAGCTTAATATGTGTTCTTATCTTTTGACAATGTTGTTTTAGTTGCCTAGTCTTGGTATCAGTAACCAATGCATCAATTTCACAAATGTGACAATGGAATCGGACAAATTCATTGTAGTCAGGGAACAGGTTGGCGGCTCTAACCAGGTAGTCATTGTTGATGTTAATAAGCCAAATGATATTCTACGACGACCGATCACGGCAGACTCCGTGATCATGCATCCGACACGCAAGATCATAGCATTGAAGTGTGAGTTTTACTAATTTTAATCAGAGTAACATTGTTTTTGGACTAAAATTTGAGGAATTGTATCATTTCCAGAGAAGTTTGTTTTTTTGCCAAGATTTTGAAGCTAAATTCTATTTCTAATACAAATGATTTAATCAACTTTAATGTCAATATTGTTTTTTAGCTCAAAAACAACTTCAAATGTTTGATATTGACCAGAGGGCGAAGCTGAAGTCTCACTTGAGTAACGAGGACGTTGTTTACTGGAAGTGGATTAACGAGAAGACAGTTGGATTGGTAACAGAAACCAGTGTTTACCATTGGCATTTGGAAGGTAAGTTTTGATGCAAAAATGACTTTATGTTGTAAATTTTTTAATATTTTATGTTGTGTAGATTTTGCAATATAAATCTATTACTTTTAGGACAGAATCCTCCAGTAAAGGCTTTTGATCGTCACTCTAATCTGAAGGACTGCCAAATCATCTCCTACAAGTGCGACCACACCGCCAAGTTATTGTTGCTTCAAGGAATTGCCGTGAAGGACAACAGAGTTGCTGGTTCGATGCAATTGTACAGTGAAGAGCGACAACTAGCTCAGCCCATCGAGGGTCATGCTTCATGTTTCCTTCAATTCACCCAAGAAGGTAACCCTCATCCTTCCAACTTGTTCTGCTTTGCTGCTAGAACCCAGACTAACTCTCGGCTTCACGTTATCGAAGTCTCGACTCCACCAGCCGGAAACCAACCGTTTAACAAGAAACAAGTCGAGATTCAATTCGCTGCTGAATCTGCCAATGATTTCCCAATCTCCATGCAGGTATGTCGAGTATTTTTTTTTCATTTTTCTATTTTTAGGCTTCTGCTACCCATGGAGTTGTCTTCATGATCACCAAACACGGCTTCGTCCAAGTGTTTGATGTTGAAACTGGAACTTCAATCTACACTCTGCGAGTTTCTTCTGAAACTATCTTTGTGACTGCGGAACATCAGTCTCTGAATGGATTTTTGGGTATCAACAGACCTGGCCAAGTCTTGGCTATTGGAATCGACGATCAAGCCATTGTATCATACTTGAAGAACCAACTTCAGAACCCAGATTTGGCTTTGAAGATGGCAACACGGTGCAAATTGGAAGGTGCTGAAGATCTATTTGTCAGAAAGTTTAACCTTTTGTTCGGAAATGGTCAATACGAAGAGGCTGCTCGTGTAGCCGTCAACGCTCCCAACAGCATTCTTCGTACTCCTGGTACTCTCCAGAAGTTCCAACAAGCTCCAGCTGTTCCTGGTCAAAGCGCTACACCGTTGTTGAAGTACTTCAACGTGCTCTTGGAATCAGCTCAATTGAACAAGTACGAATCTCTGGAATTGTGTAGACCAGCCATCGCTCAGAACCGGAAACAACTGGTCGAGAAGTGGTTGTCGGAGAACAAATTGGAATGCTCCGAGGATCTTGGAGATCTGGTCAAGACTATCGACCCTACCCTTGCTTTGAGTATCTACTTGAGAGGAAATGTACCACACAAGGTAGTACAATGTTTCGCCGAGACTGGACAATTCGAGAAGATTATCTTGTACTCAAAGAAGGTCGGATTCGAACCAGACTACCTGTTTCAGTTGAGACAAGTTCTCAGGTCAAACCCTGATGCTGCTGTAGCTTTTGCTACAAAGTTGGCTACTGAAGGACCGGACGAGAAGGGTCTTGTGGAATTGAATCAAGTAAGAAATTTTAAATGATCTGTGTATTAATTTTTTAAATTTATTCTATTTTATTCTTTTAAAAGCATTTTATTACATGACTTTTGATTTAAGATTGTCGATTGCTTCTCTGATGTGAACGCTGTTCAACAATGTACCAAGTTTTTGTTGGAGTTGGTCAACAAGGGTGTGACTTTGGAGCCAAACCTTCAAACCAGGTTGTTGGAGATGAACTTGACGATGAATCCTCCCGTCGCCGATGCCATTTTGGGTAACAACGTTTTGAAGGACTACGATCGTGTTGCTATTGGTCAGTTGTGTGAGAAGGCTGGTCTGCTGCAAAGAGCTCTCGAGCACTTTACCGACATTTATGACATCAAGAGGACTGTTGTCCATACTCACCAATTCCAGCCTGACGTAAGCATACATTGTTTTAACAACATTAATTTTATCAAACGGTTGTTTTATATTTTGGTAACAGTTTTTATATTTTAGTGGCTTATAAACTACTTTGGTCGTCTCAGTGTCAGCGACACTTTGGAGTGTCTGAAGGCCATGCTTCAAGCCAATCTTCGGCAGAATCTCAATATCGTTGTTAAAATAGCTTCACGATACGCTGAACAGCTTCAAACCCAACCAATCATCGAGTTGTTTGAATCGTTCAAGTCATTCGAAGGCCTGTACTACTTCTTGGGCTCTATTGTCAACTTTTCTCAAGATCCAGACGTCCACTTCGCTTACATTCAAGCTGCTACTCGAACTGGTCAACTGAAGGAAGTTGAAAGAATCTGTAGAGAATCGAATGTCTACAATGCTGAGATGGTCAAGAACTACTTGAAGGAAGCCAAACTGGCTGATCAACAAGCTTTGATGATTGTCTGCGACAGACACGACATGGTTCATGATCTTGTTTTGTATCTGTTCCGCAACAACCTCCACAAATCTATCGAAGTGTTTGTCAACAAAGTTAACGCTGCCAGACTTCCGGTTGTCGTTGGGGCTTTGTTGGATGTTGATTGCAGTGAAGAAGCCATTAAACAGTTGATTGTGAACTGTCGTGGCAAATTTGACATCGACGCTTTGGTAGAAGAAGTTGAACGTCGCAATAGGTAAGTGATATTGTTGAAGCACTAATCTGTCTTTAGGTTGAAACTGCTCTCAAGCTGGTTAGAAGGTCGTGTTCACGAAGGCGCTACTGATGCCGCTACGCACAATGCTTTGGCCAAGATTCATATTGATGCTAACAACAATCCTGAACGATTCTTGAAGGAGAACCAGTACTACGACTCATCTATTGTCGGAAAATACTGTGAAAAGAGAGATCCACACTACGCCCTGGTCGCTTACGAACGAGGAAATTGCGACGAAGAGATCATCAAGGTCTGTAACGAGAACTCACTCTTTAAGAACTTGGCGAGATACTTGGTCAGAAGACGAGATGCTGCTCTTTGGGGATCTGTTCTTGCTGAAGACACTGCTCATCGTCGCTCACTTATCGACCAAGTTGTCCAAACAGCTTTTGCTGAAACCCAGGACCCAGAAGATATCTCAGTCACTGTGAAGGCTTTCATGTCAGCCAATCTGCCACATGAGTTGATCGAGTTGTTGGAGAAGATTGTACTGGACAGCTCCAACTTTGGCCAGCACAGAAACCTTCAGAATCTGTTGATTTTGACTGCCGTCAAGTCTGAAGCCGGTCGAGTTATGGAATACATTCAGAAACTGGACAACTACGACGCTCCTGATATTGCAAACATCTGTATCTCCGGAGAACTCTACGAAGAAGCCTTCGAAATCTTCAGAAAGTTTGATGTGAACGCCTCAGCTATTCAAGTCCTTATCGACAACATCAAGAACCTGGACCGTGCTTACGAATTCGCCGAAAAAGTTAATGAACCAGCTGTTTGGGGACAATTGGCTCGTGCTCAGCTTGAAGAAGGCCTTGTCAAGGAATCAGTCGACTCTTACATCAAGGCTAATGATCCTCGTGCTTTCATCGATGTCGTCAAGAAGTGTTCTGACACCGAGCATTGGGAAGATCTTGTCCGGTTCCTTCAGATGGCTCGCAAGAAGTCCAGAGAATCCTTCATCGAAACCGAGCTTTGCTTTGCTTACGCCAAGACTAACCGGCTACAGGATTTGGAGCAGTTTGTTCACGAACCAAATCATGCTTCCATTCAACAAGTGGGAGACAGATGCTTCGAACAAGGCATGTACCCAGCTGCCAAGATCCTCTACAACAGTATCTCCAACTACGCCAAGTTGGCCATTACTGTTGTCAAGATGGGAGACTATCAAGGTAAGTATCTGTCTTGCAATGTCCTGTAAAACTTATTACTGTGATAAAAATTGTAAACTGTTACAGTATGTATAAAAACTTTAAATTTCAGGTGCTGTTGACGCAGGAAGAAAGGCCAACTCAACCAAGACCTGGAAGGAAATTTGCTTCGCTTGTGTCGACCAAGAAGAATTCAGATTGGCCCAGATTTGTGGCCTCCATATTGTTGTACATGCTGATGAACTGGAAGAGCTGATCAACTACTACCAAAAGGCTGGTTACTTCGAGCAACTCATCAGTCTTCTGGAAGCTGCCCTCGGATTGGAACGTGCTCACATGGGAATGTTCACCGAGCTGGCCATCCTCTACTCCAAGTACAAGCCGGAGAAGATGCGTGAACATCTGGAGTTGTTCTGGTCTCGTGTCAACATCCCCAAGGTTCTGAGAGCTGCTGAGCAATCTCACTTGTGGTCTGAATTGGTCTTCTTGTACGATAAGTACGAAGAGTTTGACAACGCCATTTTGACCATGATCAACCACCCGACTGTCGCTTGGAGGGAACAACATTTCAAGGAGATCATCCCTAAGGTAGCCAACGTGGAGCTCTACTACAAGGCCATTCAATTCTACTTGGACTACAAGCCGACCTTATTGAACGATCTTCTTGTGGTTCTGTCGCCTCGATTGGATCTCTCAAGGACGGTCCAAATCTTTGAGAAGGGAGGCCATTTGAAGCTAGTCCAGCCTTTCCTCAAACAGGTCCAGAACATGAACAACAAGGCGTTGAACGAGTGCTTGAACTTGATGTACATTGATGAGGAAGACTACGAATCACTCAGAGCCAGCATCGACTCCTACGATAACTTTGACAACATCGCTTTGGCTCAACAATTGGAGAAGCACGAGTTGACTGAGTTCAGAAGAATCTCAGCTTACCTATTCAAAGGTAACAATAGATGGAAGCAGTCGGTCGAATTGTGCAAGAGGGACAAACTGTTCAAGGTACGGTTAATCTTATTTTGTTAATTTTTGTAGTTTTGTCAGAAAATATAAAATTTTTAATTTAAGGACGCGATGGAATATGCCTCTGAGAGTAGGAAGCCAGAGATCGTGGAAGATCTGTTGAAGTTCTTCTTGGAGAACGACAATAAGGAGTGCTTTACTGCTGCGTTGGTAAAGTGTTACGACTTGTTGAAGCCTGACATTGTACTTGAACTGGCCTGGAAACACAAAATCATGGACAACGTGATGCCTTACATGATCCAGATTATGCACGACTACAGTAAACGAGTAAGTGTTTTGTAGAATGACTTGTTTTATCATTTTTTGTTGAAATTGTACAATTCTCTTTTCAGATTGATAACCTAGAAAAAGCTAACGAAGAACGGAAGCAAGAACTGAAGGAGACCGTGGAACGTGCTGGCTCCGTGATGGAAACACAACCCATGTTGGCCTACGCCCCAGCCAATCAGATGCCTCCTCCAGCTGGTGCTTATGGAGTACCGCCAGCTGCACCAGGCGGCTACCAAGCTCCATTCTTTGGTCGTTAATTGTTGATTAGTGGTCTGTGTTACTTAATATTATTCACCGTTCTCGGGAGATCAAATATTTATTATTATTGTGATTGTAGCGCCGCCTTTGGGGATAATTTTATACTAAATGTCCTAAAATTATATTGTAACTAATATTTTGTATCGGAATAAACTGAATACCTGTTGGTTGATTCGTTATCGATTGGATTACACTGATTCTCCGATATATTAACAGAAAAGATGAATCAAATTTTTAAATTGCATTATGTATTTAAATACCCGTAAATTCAGAGAAATATAATATCATCTTCAATCTGATTGAATTCCCCGTTTTGTTCTGAGTTTGTGGTTGACTGGTCTAGCAGCGTGACTAGACTGTCTTTGAGGGCTGACTCGAGCTGATTGTAGTTTTCGATGTCTGACAGACCGTGCACGGTCGAGGATTTGAGCAGAAATCTGCAATATTAGTGGTAATGTTGAAGTAACTGTAACATTGTCGCCATTTTTGAAGTTATTATAGATATTTGTGTGGGAAAAGTTACCTTGCTTCGCTGTAGTTGGCAATGATATCCATGGAGCGACTCTGTGAATGCATGGCTACGGTGGTGGGTCCACTTCTGTTAGTGACCCGTTCTAACGCAGCCATCCGCTTCATGGCCTGAAGGATGCTTTCCAGAAGCGACCTTCGTGGTTGTTTGTTGTGAATCAGAAGCTGAACGTCGTCTTCTGATGGCTCCGGAAGGGAGGCTACTGGCTGTTCTTCGATCACATTGCAAGCGGTGTTTGAAGGCTTAATGAAGCCGTTGGAGTGGGGCGGGTCGGGCATGGAGGCGAGCGAGTTGTTGTGCGGCATTTGTTTATTTATTTCTTGGCGTTTCATTCGCTCGGCTAACGTGATCGGGGCACAGGACCCAGTGTTGTTGTGGCTAGATGGGCAGAGGGGCGAAGTCTCAGTCACCGAGTTCTCCCCACCCTTTGTATTCGACGACCTAAGGGCACAATCAAATAAGTTATTATCTTGATAATTTGCAATATATCATACTCATAAAGTACCATCTACAACATACCAATGAGGTTCACACCATTTGTACACGATACAAGTTCACTGTCACGAGATACACTGGTACCACCACACCACATACTAACTACGTATCTGCATACAAGCTTTGTGTAAGCTGATGATGCACATACGCTTACTATGCAAGTACGATTGCCATGCAGTAAAGCATAAAGCACCACCGATCGTTACCTTTGCCCCGACGACTGTTTCCGAATCTCGTTCTCGTCGTTCGGTTTGACACGACAGATCTTGGTGAGGACCTCGCTGATGACATTGGCCAACTGATTGCGCATCTCTTTGTTGAGTGAGAAGTAGATGACAGGGTTGATCATGTGGGTGGTGGAGTAGAAGAAGGAGTTGAACAGCACCACCCACTTGTTCGTGATCTCGAACACGTGGTATACCATGTAGTACGTCGACATGTAGCAGTAGAAGATGACCGCGACCACAGATATCTGAAACTCGGTTTTTGAATTCTTTTTGTGACAATTTGCACTACCAAATGGCACTTTTGAGTATAAAAAGTGTAATGAGTCAAGGTATCACATATAATTTTTCATTATGTAACCTACTTGTAAGAGTATTCGTTGTTGTTGCCTGCTGGCCCTTCTGGAAGCCAGCTCTCTGACGTCGTTCTGAAGATGTTTGGAGCCCATTCGCATGGACATCTCCAACAACATGGTGGACGCCCTTAAACATACTCGTTAAGCATTTCACCAGCATTTGCCATCAGATCACACACTTTTCAAGCACTGGCATCATCAGATGATACATTTTCTGCACATTTTTAATATGTCATTGATGACACATTTTCTGTATGTCAGTAGTATGTCACCGATGAACCATCACTTATAGCACGTCATCTGATGACAAATTATGTAAAGCACTCAAGCACGTCATCCGATGACATATTTAATAGACTTAAAGCATGTCATCCGATGACAAACCTTTGAGCCAAAGCAAAACCAACCAAAACCGCACTCAAACTGTTAGCAAACCAAAGTTAAAACTGGTGCTGTGCTAATACTCAAAGTACGACAAAAACGTGCGCCACGCCAAAACCACTCAGAAAATAAAAAAAATAAAAGCGCAAACCCTTCGCGATGTACTGTAGCTGCTTTAAGCCCACGAAAGCTAAAAGTAGTGGAATTACAGTAGGCAGTACGGTGGAGAAGCTGGCAGATAAAAGGTGGAAACAAGCACTGATAATCAGAAGGTAATCGTTTTCAAAACAGTGGCGAAATTATTAATCTTGGTACTTTTTTATATTAAAAACTTTTAAAAATGATTTTTAAAATTCGAAAATATATACATATTGGTCTTGAAAGTAATATTAAGTTTGTTTTCCATTCTAAAGACATGCGAAAGTATTAATCGATTTTAAGAAATAAAGAAAGAAGAAAACAAAAGAATGTACCAAGTGCACCAAAAGCAGTGTTGGGTTGTCGATGCGCCAAACTAACGGTTTCACCACGACAATAGGAAAGTATGTCATAATGTCAAAATGGTAACACATTATGTCATCTAACATTAAAATATGTGTCTCATGTAGACCCAGCTTTAAGGACAATAGCCCAATGTCAAAATGGCGACCGCTAGCCGCACATCGCAACAGAACTTAGGAGGAAATAAGCCTAAGAAACAGAAAAGGTACCTCTGCCATTGGGTGCGCGCTTTAACCGACACGGACTGTTGATTCGGACGCGGCGGGTGTTGTCTTAAAATAGGTAACACCGTAGTATCTTTGACTTGACACGAATTGGTCAAAAAATTCATAGAAATGTGGGTGGTTCAAAAGTTTAAAATTTTAAAATTTTTCCAAATTTTAGTAATTTTTCAAGGATTCTATGCATTTTTTGACCAGAGTTGTAGTTATCGTTTGTTTTAATGCTTAAACTCTACTTTTATTTATATTTCTGACCGAAACTAGGCTGGACTGTGCCATTTTTCTTAAAAACTTTCGAAACAAGCTTAGGCTTACAAGGAAGGTACCCGACCTGCAACGCTCAGATTTCGTTCAAAATTTTTTTATTGAAAGATCATGTAAATGTAAGATCTTATGAAAAATTCTAAGTTGCGGTTTGCGGCCAGTCTTGAGAAAATCGAGATCAAAAAATCGCGTTTTGAATTTCCCGCCAAATTGGCATAGCGTTTCAAGCTTATAACTTCCTCATTTTTTGACTTTTAACTATTTTTCTTTAATATAATGATAGAAAAGCTTCAAATGAACCTACAATTTTAAATTTGTAAGCCTATCTTATCTGGAACATCAAAAAAAGTGCTTGCAACACAAAGCCAAATTTGCCAAATTGACGGGAAATTTTAATATATTAATTTTAAAACTTAAAACCGCAAGCTAAATTTTTTTATACGTGCTACTGGTACTACAAAGAATCCGTATAAAAATTTTGAGCTAATTCTGAGAGTTGCAGGTTGGGTACTTTCCTTGTTAGCCTTGTTAATATTTTACATTCTTACTCCCCATAGTTTACATTTACAGTAAAAACCGTGTAACTTACATCCTCAAGGCTACTTTCCGTTTGTGTCGCCGATATAGCTGGACTAACGTTATGGGATTGCTTATGGATAATATGGCAATGGTGGTGAGCTCCAATGGAGAATATGTGAAGGTGAACAGGTTCATAGGACCAAAGATACTGGCTTGCTTTGCACCTAAATTCATTGCTTATCCATAATTTTTATTTTTAGATCGGTGAAGCGACATAGCCTTCTATATCACTTTCAATTTAAAAAATTAAGCTTATACTTCTTTCCATGCCACATACCAAAAGTCCATACAATATGTTAAACATGACTTACTTTCGTCCTCGAACTCGCCGTAGCCAAAGGTGTAGAAGTGATTGTTGCGTAGAGGTGTGATCAGACAACAGACGCGCATGATGATGTACAATATGTTGATGGAAGAGAAGGTGATCCAGCAGAAGATGGTGAAGCATCGTACCCGTTTCACTGTCACTATCAGATTGTACCTTCCGTACAACATGATGGCTATCAGTCGGTCCAAACATATGCCGGACATGTGTCTGAAGCATAATATTGTTATGAATGAGGTAAATAGTCAGCCATACTTTCTTTTGATTTAGTACGTTTTAGTATTAAAAATGACATTAAAAAGCATAAATTAGGATATAGACGTATGTCAGAGATTAATAACTTTATATCTACTAAAAAGAACTACATATACGATATTATAAAGCACTATAACATCCAAGAATACCCATAAAAGTAATTGAACAATGAATTTTAAACAATTGTAAAACTAAATGTTTACTCACGTCAACGTGATGCTCCAGGCAGTCCAGTCGAAGACATTAAACATACGAACCCCTATGTCCGGGACGTAATTAAACTTGAGGATAATGGGTGGGTAGAAGAAGCAGGTCGTCACAAAGCCATGCACAACATCCGCGATGGCCAAACTCAGCATTAGGATGAAGCTGAAATTAATTAAAAAAGTTTTGAGGAATTGGCGGTGTTTCTCCATTATATTTGTCATATTCTAGGTATTGTTATCAGGAACTATATCATAGTGACATGATAGTAATCATTCCCAGTCTATTTAGTAAGCTATTAGGTTGTAATTTAGCAAAGGCTTATGAGATTAACTTTTTAATCAGCTTTACAAAAACAAAAACACAGTAAGAAAGCAAGAAATATACTTCCTAAAGCAAATACTTGGACTCTACTGTTAGTAGTAATGTATATACTTGGACTCTACTGTTAGTAGTAATGTATATATTCATAAAATACAATTACCTAGCCAAACCTAATTGTGAATGTCTTATCACCGTTAGTAACCACAACCTGTCCAAAACGACCTTACCTAGCTCTCTGGAGGTATTTGTTCTTGAGCAGCACCAGAATAAGGCACAGGTTCCCGATAATGGCTAGCGTGCCAAGCATCTCCAGGCCCAGAAAGACCACGACATCTTCCACGCCCAGCCGGAGCGCTTCTTCGCTCAGATTGCGATTCGTCGTCTGAAGCGCCACCATCGTGCCCCACTAACCCATTCTGTGGCACATGGTACAGATGGGAGAGAGAGTTGGCTCGGCGGTCTCTTTAAATAGGAAGCGTGATGACTAAGGCTAATTAATTAAATCCAGGACCATCATAACATAACATACGATTAGTAATGTAGGAACGCGAAGTGCAATCAAAACATGTCTTTATACGATAACATAGTAACAACCCCACAATGTCTTTTAAATTGCTTTAACAAAGTATACTGTAACGATATGTCAAAAAATACGTTATAACCCACAAATACAGTGACTTTAAATGTAACATACCCTTAACACTGTATCCACAATGTTTCACCTATTAATAGTCTAGACTGAACAATAAGTCTAATGAATTATTCGCGCGCTCAACACGCCTAATGCCCTGAGGGTCGTACTGGAAAGGCGTGAACAAAAGTGAAAGAAGAAAAGAAACAAATGTCGAGTTTAATAAGAATGATTAGTTGCAGGTAGAGGACAGCCGGCTGTGAGTGTAATTGATGGACTGAACGTGACTTGAAAGCATGCCAAATCAAGAATGCTTAAGTCGGTCAAAAAGTTTGGAGAAGAAAGTTATTTGGTTTCAAATCGCCAGATCATATAAATGTATACTATAATATAACCATTATATAACCTAACAAAGTTAATCAAAAAGACCAAAAACCAGCTCGCCAACTTCCTTCTTGGTCAGAAAAGCAATTCCCAACCTACTAATAACAAGCAATCAGCCCCTCCCTGTAAACAACTACTAAATCCAAATCAAACATAGCCCTGTAAACATAGTACGACGCCACGGAATGACGCCGTTTCCTCGGAGAACTCGAGAATCTGGATAGAGCCGATCCATCCCGACTGTCTCTCCACTTTCCGAGTTATAAATTTCAGAATTCATAAAACAAAAAGTGTTGAAAAAAGAATGTCTGAAGTCATCCTTTGCACTGTCATCGTGTCGGAAGGATTCTGAAGACAAGACTTGGCCAAAAGAACATCAAGTTCAAAAAGAGACGTGCTAAGAAGGATTGTGGTAAAGAATGTCATCTTTTTAAAAAAGTCATCGTTCCTAAAAAATCATCGTGCTAAACCATGTCATCCTGCTAAAAAAGTCATCGTGCTGAGCGTTCGCGATGATTAACCCGGATTCGAAGCCAACCGAAAGCCCTCGAGGGAGTCGTTGACCCATCGAATGATTAGGGGGACCGCGGCCCCTCCTTTATCCCTCCCCGACCGTAAACAGGCGTCTTCGAGTACGTCTATTACTCGCAGCGCCTTGGGAGTTGGCCACGTGAAACAAGTTTTATTAGGACTCGCGGAATTTAAATTGAAATTGACATCGTACCAATCCCCGCAAAAGATTTCGGACATATCCGGCCGAGGGGGGGGGGCTGAATCAACACAATTAATTGAGACTTCCGACGAAAAAAGTTTTATAAGAATGCAGCGTCGTCCCACCGTCCCGCCGTCCCTTCGTTTGCTTGTTCGAGGCTTTAGAAGAGTTCCGGCCCCGTAGTTTCATTCCAATTTAACCTTGTTTCACAGGCGAAATTGCATTCACAATCTCGGCACCCCTTCAGTGCCGAAAAAACTCCTGTTGGTTCTTCGGATGAGACCCCATCCCTACATCGCGGAATTTTAAAAAAAAACTGCGAACATTTCCGCATGGAGTCATCGCATTGTCCTACACAAAGTCCTTGTTCTCGAAAAACGCTGCTTATAATCTTGGCCTCAAATTAACTTGGCTCCTCCACAACTTGCGTAAAGGCCTCGGATTCAGATGAAGGTATCGTAAGTTGTACTCAAAAAGTCTTGCGCGGCAAACGAAATCGAATTACTTATACAAAGCTAAAAGTTCAACTATAAAAAGCTGCATACTTGAACTCAGACCCTTTGCGAACTCCAACAGTATCAGCTTGATCAAAAAAGATTCAATAAGTATAAATAAAAAAACGTTTTAAATTTACATTATTCCCAAAATAGTACGACCCTAAAACAACATAGAGTACTAGCTCTGCAAAACTATTAACATAAGCTTTTAAACTTAATTTGAATTCGCTCAGCCCTAACTAACCCACCAATAACCATACCCCAACCTAAACTTGTACTCTGCAAAACGTTCCTCTTTCTCCACCTGCCCGTTCCACTCCCTGCCACTGTCCCTAACCATCCTCAGTGATTTTGGAAGCACGGAGATGGCAAATTAATTTCCGAGGCCCAATTTGGAGTTGGCAGAGCTTCGCAAAACAGTTTAGTGCGTCATCGGAGAGAGCAAGGATAACATCGACAATCGATGCAAATCGAAACCGACCGAAAACAAGTCGGCAAACAACAGCGGGATGTCTTCGGACCCCCACCTGCCTTCTGGAGGCCCGAGTGGTGGTGGCATCGTGCAGAAGCGGGATTACGGTATGAAGAAGAACGCAGTAATCTAAACCCCAATGTTTGTGGATTAATTCGAGAGCGGCCGGCCGAAAAGTCAGAGGGACGACGGCCCCGTGGCCACAAGGAATTTAAAGGAATCAGGCAAATAAATCTACTTTCGGCGGATACATCGTCGCAACAATCAAAGTGCATCCCGCACAGAATCCAATAGAAGAGGTTGTGTTCTCGACCTGCAGCCTAAGCACTTCCGGCCAGGGGGACGACTTTTGTCAAGAACCCTTAAATAGGCACGGCGTCGAGAACATCCAAAACTTCATAAAAGCGGCGGCTTTTGACCCGCCGAAACGTTTGATTAACCTAATTAACGTGCTTTCACGCTCGGCCTTATGCCTATTTGCGGAACGTTTTTTAATTATGGCACAACAATAGTTGGAAAAGCGAAAAATTTAATTCTTACAATGTAACGGAATGTTGGTGTAAACAAAGGAAGTAATAAGGTATTGTACATAATAAAACCTTAGTGTATCACAATTTACCAAATATGTGAAATAGGCAAAAACAATAGAAAAATAATGAAAAAAGGTCTAAACAAGCAAGAAAAATAAATTTTTGTAAAATTTTGAGTATTTCCTATTATAACGACCATCATTGTATATTCCGTCCTATTTTTCTGCCATAAAAATAAAAACCAAATCCAATTACTATAACATCAAATCCTCAACAAATAACCTATAAAATTACAAATCGAAACAAGTATTTGACTGTCACGTGGAAACGCTAACATAACTTGGTATGCCACAATCCAATAATAACTAATCAGTTTACTCAATTAACATAGAACAATAAAAGTTGAGGTCAGTTAACAAGTACAATGTCAAAGTAGCCCGTACTGAAGTGTGTACAATGATATTGGTTATCGTGCCATTTCCGTCTCGGCCAACTGTTTCTGTCGATTCAGGTCGCGACATACCCCACGAACCGGAATCTGCTTCGGAGGACACCTGGATTCGCATCGCTTCACCACTCGGCCCTTGATCACTCGACGGACTTGGACCTGGTTGCTGGGACAGTCTGAAGACAAATCGTTAAAATTGGAAATGGTTTGCTCATTATTTATTACAAAAGTTATCAAAACATTACTTAAAATGCCATAGCAAATCCTTAATATAAACTACATTAAAGCGCCTAACTCAATATAATAACTCACGTTTCTTCTTGTACTTCTTGAAGGTGGTCTGCGCCTCGGCCGAGCAGCACTGATAAGCGCCCGAATTCACGTTTTTGAGACACTCGAACCCACTCGGACACGAATTCGTGCCCTCGGGGCTACATTGCACCGGAGATCCTGTTGACGGAAACAGAAGCGCCGTACCACTAGGACAACCATGTGCACCTTGAACTACGACATTGTCCTTTGAGCAGCAGAAGTAGTTCTTGGCCCGTTTCGAGAATATGCACTTGTACTTTTGAGGGCATACCGATGACGTACATGTCTGTGGGATACCACCTAGCATGTACGGCTCTCCTTGTTCGCAGACCTCGTTTGTGCTAATTGAGAGAGGAGCGATTGGACCGATACCTACAAATTACCGGTATTCAGAATTTGACGTTCTCTTAGGTCATCCACCCCCAACTCGAACGGGAGTTATGAAAAAATAGATTACGGATTATTAATAGAAGTATGGTTATCTTGAGTTCAAATATGCAAATGTAAACATCAAAAAAGCAAAAAAAGTTTCAAACACGTAAATGTAATTTAGGCATTTTTCTTGTTTAAGAATAAGAAACAATCTCTAATAATAAATAAAAATATGACAGTAAACCCACCTCCTTCAGCACCAGTAGGCCTAATACTGACAGCCGTCTGCACTACCTCTCCCCCACCTCCGCCACTAATCACAGCTCCTCGTTTCGTCTTTCCACAACATATATTCTTCTTGAGAGCTGGGGAGAACTGACAAATGTAAGATCGAGGACAAGCTCCCTTCTTAGAAGGTGAACAGAACCTCAACTTCTTAGTCCTCGGCTCCAGATAGGGCTCCTGATCTCGTGAAGGACAAAATCCAGGAGCCTCTACACTCTCCATACTGTTCTTCGGCCGCTTCATCTTCTTCACACAAACACCGTCACTCTCCTCCATGCCATCTGGACACATACAACTGCCATCGACGCAACTCGACCCTCCTTGACATTGCTGAGAGTCTTCACAAGCTTCTCCGATCCTCACCCGCTTCAAACAAACTCCACGGATTCTGATTTCGTCCTCTTCACAGGCCTTCACACAGTTACTGTCCACCTCTTCGTAGCCACTCTGACACACACACTTGCTCTCCTCGCACGTCGACATCTCTGGACATTGTAGTGGCGACACACAGGCGTCTCCCAACAACGCTTTGTTCAAACAAACTCCGTCTACGTTAACTTGGTTATCGCCGCAGGCTAAACACGATTATTACAGTAATCCAATCAGCTGGGTAATCAACAAAACGTGACAAATAAAGAAAGTGAAAATAAGTGTAGAATTGTAAGTTTGGCCAGAAAGAGCCAAAATTGCTTTTTAACTAACAAACTGGTACTACATCGCAATATTAACATAGAACTTACTAGGTATTCCAGTAGTACAACATATCTGGTGTCCACTGATCGTACGTTGACAAGAAAAGCCATTAGGACAAGTGCTCTGGCCAATAGCACAAGTTTGTGGTTCTCCACTAATACCAATGAATGCCACTTGATCGTTCGGACATCCACCATCCATTCCACAACATTGGAATTGGTTATTGGCGGTCGAAAACTGACAAAAGTAACCGACTGGACAGTTCTGAGCTGCTGCCGTACATATCTTGGGTGAGTTGGTAAGAGGATCTCGGAAGGCAACTTGACTGTTCGGACATCCCATCGCTGCCACTAAAGAATTTTTCCGAGTAAAAAAAAAGAAGGTAAGTTAAAAATGCAAGTAAAAAACGAAATTGTGAAACTTACTCGACTTTGGAGTAGTAATAGCCGTGGCACCACAACATTGGTACCTTTGATTTGATAACGACCACTGACAAGAATACCCACTTGGACAAGGAGCATTAGGTGGGTTGAATGGATCACATGTAGCTATTTGACCATCTTTCATAAACACATACTCATTTGGTGGACAACCATCTGGAACATTAGGTTATATCAAGATCGATCATCTATTACAATATATTTCGACAATAACTCTTTTTACAAGCAAAAACTAGTGAAAGACAAGATCCGTAATTATTTTATCGTAATTACAATGTGACAGCAAAAAAAAGTTCAACACTATCAAAATACTGCAATATAGAAAAGTGACTCACCAGAAACAGAAATGATGTCTCCTTTACAGCAATATCCAGTGGTAAACTCTGACTGAGTGCTTTGGCAAGTATACCCATTTGGACAAGTGATGAAAGCCCCAACGGTACAAGACCTTGGCATCTGGGAGCTTTCTTCGATGAAGAAGTCGGCCTTATTTGGACAGAGGTAACTGGCAGAACAACAATGACCTTGAAAAGCACCGGGTATGTCAGATTGGCAGGAATAACTGGTCGGACATTGTGTGCTACTGCTGATCGTACAACGGACGGCGCTTTTTGAAGACGGATCACGATAGAGGGCTTTTCCCACAGGGCATAGATCTAAAATAAGGTATTTTTATATGTTATTTACAATATATTAATCTCAAGACGCATATTTCAATGAATAGTTGTGAAACTAAACTTAACTGTATATACATGTAACTTCAAATCAGTCAATATTATTTCGCAACATTTCAGCGACGAAGTATCACAAAAAGTTGAGAGACGCGAGACAAAAAACAAAGCCGGACAATTTTTTGTTTTTCGTAAAATTTTGGATATTTTGAAATTATAAAGAAGAATAAAGAATAAAAAGTGTTTTGAAGCCTAAAAAATTGTTAAAAACTGTAATTACGGAAAAAACAAACGACTTACCTCCAGAAATCGAGGCACAACAATAATATCGGTTTTTGGCGGCGTTGAATCGACACAAATAATTGGATGGACAACTTCCATCAACGTTGATCAGACATTCTCGGACACTCATATCGGCCGCATTCACGTAGGCCTTCTCGCCCTCGGGGCACACATCTAAAACTTACATAGAAGTAGGTTTATTTGATATTGTTCATGTTGGTTTTATATTTATTTCAGAAAAAATTTAATTTTTTTTGATTTCTGTTTCTGATTTACAATATATTTCTATTCTCGGAGGTTTTTGCCTAATTTAGGTAACAATTAAACAAAAAGATATTTTTAGGTAACACTTACCCATGCTCGTGGCTCCACAACAAACACTGTTCGTACTCAACGGATCGTATGTGCAGACAAAGTTATTGGGACAGCTGTTACTCAAAGCAGCGTTACATTCATATGGTAGATTGGTATTCGGATTGACATAGGCAACATCACCAGGAGAACAGGCGGCGGACAGGCAGAAGTTATTACATCGTTCCATGGTAGCGAAGTTGTTGAGATTTCCACTACATCCATTGTAAGTGAATTGAGTACATTCTTTTGTGACTATGTTGAAATAGTACCTTGCAGCGGCCGATGAACTACATGAGGATCCTTGTTGGGGTGGGAGAGAGCAGATATAAGCTGTAAGATAAGATTTTAATAAGGATGGTTTTGGGTTGAGTAATATAAACATTCAGAAGTAACATTGGTTTGATTATTTTGTCTGAAATTAGTATTTTAGGTATCATTACCTCGGGTAGGACAACACCGATTCACAATGGAGCTGCCAGATGTCACTGATGTGCATTCGTGGGTTGATGGGCATGAATTTGTGTTGGAACATACCATAAGTTGGCCGAATTCATTGCGTTCAGGAGTACCTCCATTCGGACAACCACCTACTCCACAGTAACTCTCACAGTCGTCTCGAGTTGCGAAGTTGTTGGAGTTGCCGTCGCAACCATTGTACTGGAAACTTTCACATTCTTGTGTTTGACTGTTGTAGAAGTATCGATACGAAGAGCCGGATCCGCAGGTAATACCTTTGTTGGCACTTAAACTGCATGTGTAGGCTAAAAGTGTTTTTATTTAGTATAAGATCTTGTAGTAGGTAGGACAACTTTCTCTTAAAGAAATAGCGGTCAAAACGCTGTTGATATGTTCAATTCAAATATATTCTAAATGTTTTCGATATTTTGTTACTATAATATGTTCAAAAGGTAAGGCTTTATATGCACCTTTGGTAGGACAACATCCCCACACATATCCATCAAAGTAGCATTCGTAGTTAACCGGACATACGTTACCATTGCCAGAGTTCGAACATACGTAGTAATTGCCTTGGTAATCTTTGTAAGCGTCACCTTGAGGACACTGTGGTTCAGGTATAATGTTCTCACAAGTGTTCTGACACTCCAACAACGTCTCGAAGTTGTTGTCATTGCCTTGACAGCCGGTGTAGTCAAAGATCTCACAAGCACGAGTCACAGCATTGTACCAGTATCGTCGTACACTTTGTTTACAGTCTCCCAGACGTAGTGGTTGAGAACATATTGCTTCTGAAACATTGGGGATTAGATTGTTAAATCAGCAAGATATAGTCAAAATACACTACAGAGCCGTAGCCACAGAGCAGACCATCGATAAAATAAAAGCCAAGAACCTAAAATCAACGTACGAGGTCGAGGACAACACACATTGTGGTCGCTTTCACACTCGTGGGTACTTGGACAGTCGGCGTTGGTCTGACATCGCTGGTTGTTGTTTCCGATCTTCAGCGGAGTACCATACGTACACTGTAGTTTGGCACAGAACAATTCACATTCTGCTGAGGATTTGAAGTTGTTGAAGTTGCCAAGCCCTCCATTGTAGACGAATGCTGTGCATCTTCCTTGTTCGGGATCATAGTAATATCTGCTGGAAGAACTGTATGTCATCGTATAGGTTCGTTTTAGCGATGTGCCACTGTCAAATGGTGTAGATCGGGCATGATCGTATGGTCTTCCTCCGGCTACTGAACAGATGGATGTTACAGTAGGGCAACACAGCTGCATAGATCCTACTGGAGTGCATTCGTAGTTGTTGGCACAAGATGAAGCCGTCTGACAGTTTGAGACAGGCTCGTCGTCATTCTGACTGGTACCACTACGATATTGGGGTGGTCCTCGTTTGCATGCTAGAAATATTATATTACAGGAAGGTTTTGGTAATATACTATGCGTAATTTTGGTTTATTTCAAGACGTTTTAAGATACGATAGTTAACTCACTGTCTCTACAGTAACTTTCACAGTGTTCTCGTGTCTTGAAGTTGTTTGGAGATTGCATTTCTGTCTCGTCCCAAGGGTCCCACATGAACTGTTCGCACATTCCTGTCACTGCATTGTACCACCACCTTGGTCTCACTCCAGCTGGTGCTGCTGCTCCACCGTCGGCTTCTCGCTTCGGTTGGATGCATGTAAATGCTGAAACATTATATATATTTACTTTTTATAACAGATATGGTTATTATGTGTAATATGCAAATTTACATTAATATGCAAATGAGTATTTCAAAAATTGTGTTATGAATCGTCGTCTCGCACGTGTTCATTGTTTTTTCGTGACCGCACATTATTTGCACTTTACGATAACCGAAACGGATCTTTACAACAGAACAAACAACATGACCCGATCCCAACAGTCAATCTCACCTCGATTCGGACAGCAGATACCATCAGATGAGGGGTGGATGTCATAAACTCCTTCCATGGCACTCTTCACGTTGCTGAGCGCCGTGGGCGCAGTAACGCAATCGTATATATCCGAGATAAACAGGCCGTTCCCACTATTAAACGGCTCTTGGCCGTAAACACAAGCTCCACCGCCGTTGGCCATAAAGTTGGTGTAGTCGGTGGAGGAGGAGGTACAGAACTGTAGCGGGTTGATGTGCTCTCCCATCTGCACCTCCTGGTCGTCGGGGTCGGTCATGGCGGCGTTCCGAAGCTGCGAGACCGGCATCGTGAGGAGGTCATCGTCGTACTCTGGTAATGGACATTTGGGTACGGGGTCACCGTCCTCTCCCGAATTCAGAATACAAACTACACCGTCGCGGGTCTTGGACATGGCGTAGTGGATACCATTTACGTCTTCTGGACATTCACATCGGTTCTTCTCACACCGGCTCTCCGGCCAGACGGCGCTACATTGTTCTGGGTAATGGCAGCCAGATTCGCCTGGATTCTTTTCTAAACATATGCTTTATGACAATATAAGATGACAAGTAGATTAAAGGTTGCAAAAGTGTGACAGAACATGTGACAAAAGAGTATAAAAATATGACGAAGGAATAAAAACAAAGTTTTCAACAACGTGTGAAAGAGTACTTACTCAAGTAGCAGTAGCCTTGAATGGCTACAAAGTTACTGAGACATGTACATGTGCCTGTTGAGCAAAACATTCCCTGAAGGTATAAATTAGTAATAATATTGTCTGTTACCGTGGGAATTAAAAACAACGTAAGATATAATTATTATTTGGTAAACATACTGTGACATATATTTCTGTAAGTAACATACCGTAAGACAGTCAGTATTGAAAGAGCAGAAGTCTCCAACTCTGCCTGATCCCGAGATACCTTGTCGCTTGTAGCGATAGTGTATCTTCCTACATTCTGATCCTATTAGGGTCTCGTCTGGTTGGCAGTTGACTTGTATCCACGAATGCCTTTGGTTGCATATTAAGTGAGCATGTTCGTGAATGTCTATCCTACTGTAATTTTCAATACTTGAATATTAACCTGAACTCTATTTACTTAATATCAAAATATACTGTAAACAAATAAGATTTTTAAGTATTTGATAATAATATTGGCAGTAACCTCTACAACAATGACCTAAAACTTACTTTATTTTGTGATCACAGTACAGTAACTGTGTGTTATCAGCCGGCGTCGTACACCGATCACCGGCCTTTATCAGTGTGCACTCATCACAATTGTACCCGATTTCACACAACGTACTACTGTAGACTACCGTACGAAACAGAACAAAGAAAAAACTAAAATACGGCCGTAGCGGCCGCATCGTGCGAGAAACGTTGAACTGCCGTGATGATGGTGTGAGGACGTAAGCAAGGTCAAGATAACACTCGAGGGTCAAACAACTTATTAGAACAAGTGGAAGGAATGACCGTGTCCGCCCTTAGGGACCGCTGGATCGAGACACCAAAAAAACAAAGAAACCTTTCACAGAAGCTCACTCTATTTACATGAAAGGAAAAGTCTGCGGTAAAATTATTTTACTGTACTTTTAGGGACTTGTCACAAGTGAGCGTTCTGTTCCGAGGATGTTATCTATGAATGACATTAAAAAACAATCCAAATCTAAACTGACAAGTAAATATTTATTACCATAAATAAGATTGTACCGGTAATCAAAGACCCATTTTGTTGACTGACTTCTGTGAATACTTGGAGATGGTGGAGGTTCGTGAGGATTCTCCCGAGCTCGGAAGGTTATGACCTAAGTGTAACGGTGAGGATATACTAACTATGGACGTCGACGGAACATAAACATTGTTGAAGCCGTCTTCTCGCGACGTGAAGGCTACAGAACTGATCCTTGGAATGTAGATGGGCTCGTTTTTAAAATACGAAAGTTCAGACTTCTTTCGCTTTGAGAAGGAGAACATGGAGAGAAAGACCGGTAGAATGACGATACCATGGAACACTCCCAAAGCTATGACTAACATGATGGTCTTGAGGAAAGATCTGAACACGTAGCTCTCTGTAGATGACATGAACGATACTCCTAATATGGTAGATGACGCACTCTGTAGGATTGGAGGACCTACTGCGTACAAAGCTGATCGTACTTTCTCTGTAGCATCTTCTTGCACACTCTGAAAGTATTTATAATGTCAAGAAAGATATTGGAGTAAAGGTTGAATTAGATTTTAAGTGATTACATTGATACACTATGTAAATAACTGCAAGACTATAGATATACTTTGCATTCTTTGCAGTAAATATTAGAAGCCTTTACTTTGGCATAGTGGTATGTAAGATGAGCCGCAAAGTCGACACAGAATCCAATGCTCATAACGATAGTGACCATAGATATGAAGTCAAGCCGTACTGAACAATACGTCATAAAACCCAGAATGCCTAGGTTAATGCTGCCAATACTCAATGTAACCCATAAGGCGGCTATTGGCTCTGGTATAAGTACTAAAGATACCAATATAACTACTAAAGCAGCCAGTGCAATCGACGATAGTGTACCAGGCAACACGGCATTGTACTGCTCGGCGAACTGAAATTGTAATTTTGAAATTTAAAAAATTCATTTTCTCACTTTCAGTAGCGTTATTATAAGTCAATTTCAAGTCAGATATGCTTTGGTTTGTCATACAGCTACTTACTTGAAAGAAGTCAGCGTAGACTCCAGTAGGAACCTCGCTAGTTTCAGCCAGCCGTCTGAACAAATGCATCGCTTTGGACTGGTTTGCCGATCCAACAAACTTTAGTTGTACTGGAATTCTTGTAGCTTCTAGATGCTGACTATCAGCTGTAAATCTGATGTCACTGAAAAGATATTTATATAGCTTGTACTAAATTGTTGCAAGGGTTTTCCTTACTTTATATGTGCTTTTAGTCAAGATGGATTTAAATTACCGTTTAAATTTGTAGAATTGTGGCAACTTCAAGAACTCGTTCCTCAGGCTATGAATGAACGATGTAGAATTCAGTTCTTGACCGGTCTTCTGGAGAAACTCGAAGAACGGACGCAGCCTTGAAATAAATCTGATTAGTATTCAAATTATTATGCACAATATAACTATTATATAAACACGTTTTGAAATACAAGTAAAATTACTGATAAAACATACCAACAATCACTGCCAGCTGTATATTGGGTGAACTCGTATAACTGTATTTCATCGTATATCACACTCCAGATATTTTTGTGAGCCATTTGAAAGTGGGACAAGTTGTACATCCAAACGTGCAAATAACTGCCGTACTCTGAAAAGTATTATGAAATTAAAAGAAATAATACATCTATACAACATGTTATTCTATGATTGAAAAAACATTACCGGAAAAGTACTTCTCGACGTCTTTCAAAGTTTTCTTGCCGTACGAGTTGTCAGGTAGAAGGTCATTGGGCTCCAATCCCATCTTCAGATGCATACAACCATAAGTTGCGGCCATCTAAATTAAAGTTATCATTACTATTAAATATGATCTTTGTCGACCTTGTTACTATGTTGCACAAATAAGACATACCAAATACAAAATGAAGCTGAACACGATAACAGTCTTCACGTATGGATTCATGATGAAGTCCGTGTATTGAGTACGAAAAAAGACTGCCAGTGAGGTGTTGGTCTCTTTTGGCACGATCTCTTTGTTGGATGGGTAATACTTGGGTGGAGGCATGTTCTGAGATAACGGTTTATTGAGTATGGGTACCGTAGGCTGAAGTGTCAGACAATGTCGCTGCTCACATTCTCGTTTGCACGTGTAAACCATCACGGCGGCGAAGAATGTGAGCTGGTAGATGTAGGTGAAGATTACCGCGACAACAGCATACAAACAGAACATTTGGACCGAAGGGAAGGGGGTGAAGCATCCTACCACGAAGGAGATGAAGTCGGTCAGCGAGGTCACCGTGATGGAGACGGCCGCGTCTCCGAAGGCTTCTGACAGTCGGTCTTCGAAACTGTTATTGTTATCGGTAGCTCGCCAGGATGACAATATTATGAACACATTGTCAACACCAACAGCTATAAAGACATGTTTTATCGTACGAGATTTTGCTATGGTATTTTATATGCAATAATTAACTTTGTAATGAAGTTACACAAAACACAATTTTATAACTTACAAAACACAATGAAAGGCATAGAATAAGCAATACTAGTGATATTGAACCTAAATAGTAGCAACAGTCCTACTGCGCTCGTAATAGCCATAGCCGCATTAATAACACCACCAATAGCTAACCACGGTCGCGATCTGATCCAGCTTTTGACACAACAGCACATTACTGTGTACAAAGATACCACGGCAAAGCACGGTGCTAACATGCGAATCAGCTGTTCTCGATCCCTCGCCGACTCAGCTGCCAGTGTTTCGTATGTCCACCAAGACGTTTTGATTAGCGGAGACTGGAATGTGAGCAAGTAATTGGCTAGCTTCAGCTCCCAGTCCTCGGCTATCGTATCTTCTTGTTTTGTAGCGTGTCGCAGAGCATATGGCAGTAAGATGGCTTTGGCACCGGAGATTCGTTTCTTCTTATCAAGTGTAATACCCCCTAACAGTTGGGATATCTCTGCTGTGTTCGAAGCCATCGTCTCTCCTATTTGAGTCAAGATACCTTCATCTAATGGGGAGGAAAAGAGTTTTTGACCTGGTCGAAGCATGAACTTGAACAGTTCTATCATCGGGTTACTCACACATACTTGATCTCCACTGAAAGTTGAAGTAAAATTAATATATGTAACAGTAAACAAAAGGGGAATTGTTCGATATATTCTCAACTTCATATATGGTAATGTAAATGGTTAAAATTACCCGTCATCTGACGACATAAACAAGGACAATGTTTGTCTGAACTCTTGAGGCATTGGAAACTTGACACAAATCATAGGGTAATTTACTTTTTTACCATCTGATTCTACTGTCAGACTTTGTACTATCGTCCACAAGTGCATAGCCTCACTTAAGATGGCAGGATTCAATACATCTTCATCTTCTTCTACGTTAGTGATAATAATGTAGCCAGTTCTTTTTATGTCATATCTGAATAATATTATAGTTTACAGAGATTAGAAAGATTCACAGATGTTTTTGTACATATGTATCGCATGACAGTAATAGAATGGATGAAACAATTACATTTTATTAAAAAACTTGTAAATGGGTCCAATTTACCTTCGACTAGCATAGAAGGGATCAGTGTCATTGATATGAAACAGCTGATCCAGATGTCTGAACTCTTCCCTCGACCTTGCTCCAGTCGGAGTGTACAAGTCGAGTTCATCCTTCACAAACGCCTGAGTGTGACGACTTAAGCCTACACTCAAGAACAGTGTCAGACAGAACGGAACGACGAGGAACGGCACCGGGGCTCGACTAACGACCAGAATATATTGGGAAAACAATCGCGAGAAGCGTCGTTCCACACAATCAAACTTCATTCTCTTCAGGTGTCCATTTCAAAAGACGACTGGTCAAAAAAGAACGCGAGAGTTTGCAAAGCAAAAACACCCAGTAACTCTACTGTCGCTCACTGCAGGATTATACCTAAATCACCGACGGCTGGGGATTACCTTGGCAAACAGTGGGGGCTAGTCAACGTGAAGCAGGTCACGAACAAGACGTCACATCCACAAAAAGTAAAAACAGTTTGTGCGGTTTCAAGGGGTCTCGAGTCAGCGGTCGAGACTACCATGTATGTGTGGAGAACATCTCCTCGAACCCCTTCATTCGATCCCCTCAGGCGGTCGCTCTTTAACCTGCTTTCGGATGAATGCCATTTCGAATCGAATACATTTACTTTACAATGCGACTTTGTTATTCAGATAGCGATATAGAAGCAAACAGGAATCGAAATATACAGGTTTTGAATAAATAGTGGCAGCAAATAATTATGATGTGATGGCATGGTAATCGGTGGCTAGTCTTCTCGTGGTCGTAGTTTGTAGTTTTTCTCGGCCAGAAACTTCTTGGCCACGTTTGAGAGTAGTTGTTTGGAAGCTAGAATTTGATTTTTGAATATTATTTTAGTTATTGGAGATTTAAAATCTTCTCTTGAAGAGATTTTACATTATGACTTTAAATTGAACATTATTGTAATGTTAATTACTACGGTCTCGACAAAACGTAACTTGGAGTTAATCTCGTGTTTACCTTCTCCCATTGTTTTGAGTTTCTGCAGAGATCGCTCCTCTCCGTTCACATAATCCACTATTACTGTGTGTGGATACAGGTCTTCAGGCTTTGTGACAGTCGGCTTTTTATTTATTTTGGGCATGAATTTCTTTAACAGCCTCGAGCGCGGAGTTTCACACGGGTCTAGAATGGCACTACCGTGAATATTAAGAAACAATCTATATACATATACTGGTTGGTATACAGCTGTTTGAATGTTTTACTGCATAACATATAAAGTGGAGATGGTTATGTTTGTTACACTGAATAATACTTTTTTGATGAGATATATGTATAAAACATGAAAGAGTAATGTATACTACGATATAAAACAAAAAGATTACAATCAAAGCCAGAGAACATACAATCACTCACCTATCAACGGCCCATCTGGAATATAGTTTTTCTGAAAGTCTTCATCATGTAGTCGCGATGTCGACGGCCGTGAGTATTCGTAGTTGCGCTCGTACTCATCGTTCTCGTATCGATTGTACGAAGCGGAACGGCGTCGTGTTCTCCGACCTTGAAAACAAATTTTAATTTTAATTACACTCAACATACGTTGTGCAGCGTTTTGGAAGGCTGACTCCTTTCTCAGAAAACTCAGAAACTCTTGATTCTGAAGCATGGCCGCATAAGCAAAGTCGTGTTGGGTACTACAAGGTTAACAATTAGTTTGAAAACGAAAAGATGAAGTTCAAAAAGACAGTTAAAACATTTAAAAAAGATGAAACATGGACCCAAATTGTTTTTTAGTACTACAATGGAAGAACAGTCAATCATGTTAGACTAAACCGAAAGAACGGAGGGGTTAACATAATAATGCGGTCAAACATTACTTTTCTTTTAAGTGAGAAGGCTGTTCTCGGCTGTCCGACACTGTCAGTAGCTCGTCTACAGTGTCGGACACATCTCCGTTGTGTTTCCGTAGCACACCTTCTATGACTGTACGATCCAGCTTGGGGAACATTCGGGAGAAATTGGTCATTGCCTTTAAAGGTTTGTGTCAAGATAGCAATATTATACTTGTTTTGATGAATAATTGTTACTAAATGAACTATTAAAATTGATCCACTCTTATCAGAAAATGGCCAGTCTTTACAAAATGAGTATCAATCTTCTCCAAGAACTTATCTTTGCAAATAATGACCTATGATCACAAAGCAATCAGTAATTTTAAGAAATAATGACTAATATCTAAAAAAGAATGACCAATGTTAACATGAAATGGACATTGCATTCCGAATATTGTTTTCAACGTACCGTATCAAAGTTGACCGGCTTCAAATCGCCCAAATCCATGGTATTGTTCCTTGACTCTGTAATCTCACTTCGAAAAGCCACACGCGGGAAAACGAACCAAAAAATAGGCCTTTCTCGAGTGAATGGAGACTCTACAGCTTGCTGCCAGCCGGCTCTTTCATTCCCTCAAACACTCTCCCTTTTACGTATAAATTTATTTTTAAAGCCAGAGGTTGTTATGTTAAAAAACGTACGAAATACGAAATATGTCATGCCGAGGCTGCAGCTGATACATGTTGCATACATATATTGATGTTCATCATATACAGGTATATAAAGCTATATATCTCACACATGCATATCTGCTACACGTCTCGGAATGACGTATCTCCAATAAAATTACCCACGTAACAAAACTAAACAGTCGGAAATCACAAGGTCAATAATAATATATGAGGAGGAGAGTTTGTACAAACAATCGGGAATTGAGCCTGGGGGTATGGGGGGGGGGACTCAGGAGACGAAGAATACATGCCTCGAGGCGATCGATCAGCTGTTAACCGCAGAGTTTACAAACAACTCTAATGAGTTATCTACTCGTTTAGATGGACTCCAAATCAACATACGACTATGCCGTTAAACATAACATGTCATAACCAAAAACGATTTTGGTATATAAAAATGGAATACCATGCTTTTTGTCATACCATAAACAAAATATTATGTTTTTAAATACTGTAGCCATAATACGGTAATTTTTGCTTACTTTCACCAAAACATACAAAAGCTCCTCTTTAAAGTACGTTACGATCGCCTCGAGAAAAGTAAAAAAGTGGCAGTCGAAAAGTTATTGAAACAGAGAAAGCACAATGGAATACTATACAATACCACCTAGACGGATATTAACATCTACAATAAGCTCTAGAGATGAACCGGACTATTCGAATACGTGTCCTCAGAGATGACATACGAGAATGTATATAACTGTGTCACAATGTAAAGGACTGATGATGACTTACAAAGTCATGTTCAGAATGATACCTTCAATTACAATTCAAGATAATAAGTTGATGTCATCTGAAGTCACTAAACATCGTGTTCTTGACCACATCATACCATGTTATACTACCAACGTGTAGAAACTTAATATGTGTGCAGATATCTGAGAACATATTACATATCGGTTCATAGTAGGAATGTGGAGAGCACCAATATCACCGTAGCTCCCATGAACTTGACTGACGTTGACGATGCTGCCAGCTGATCACTGTTGGCATTCATCTGATCTACAACTTCACCTTCGATCGGTGCTGGAGTCGTCAGTTTCCTGAGGCATGTGAACTCACAGTGGTGCAGTTTGTCAGCGTGTAATCCCTGAAGTAGAATGTTATTCATTTGATTGTTATATTGTATATAGATATTATACTAGATGAAATAATGTATGACAAAAGATAATAAAAGTCTGATAAATATTACGGTCTTATCTATTACACTACTGTTTTGTTGTTATCATTATCAGAAAGACTATTGTTTTGATTTTAAAACAAAAAAGTATAAACAATATAGTCTTTTCAGATCAATTCGAAACAAAACAGATAACACAATATGACAGTCCTTACCTTGAACATGTTGACCAGACTCTTGCACATGATCTGAGAAGCTTCTTCTTGGCACAGTCCACTCATAGCATCCATATACTCCTGTAGCTTGTTGTTGACTTCTGTACATACCTGATCGTCAGGGTGTTCCAAGAACTTTTCGCTCAAGTAGGTACCGGCTGATATTGTCATTTCGCCAATCTTTTCGGCCGACAGACAGCTTCTGTGCTCATTCAGAAGCTCCTGACCTTCTGCCGAGCAAGCGTAGGTGAGGAGGTAGTAACTCTTCAGGAAACTGCCAGAATTCTTGCGATGTGTCAACAGGTCGCTAACGGTGTTCGAGGCGGCGACGATCTCGTTGTGGTTACACTCGTGGGGGATGTCGCCACGGTCCTGCAACAAATCGAATTACTCTCCCAAAACATGCCGATGGTGTTTCGGCTTCCGAGTGTCCACTCTCGACGCTCTCGGCCCAATTTAACGAGGAATTGTGTTTGGGGCCCTAATTGAGCCCCATTTGCGGCTGTTTTAAGCCGTCTTTGTAGTCGGTTTGTTTAAAGACACCAAATTTGCATATCCGAAAGAGATCCGACTTTTGGGCCATTTCCGGTCGAACGGCTCGCTTATTAATTAGTTCGTTTAGAAACCGCATCCATCATTTCGTGCAGTTGACAGCGAGCCGATTAATCACAAACCTCAGAGAGAGCTTGGACAAGAACAATATAGTTAAATCAAAATGGAGGACAAACTCGCATATTTGTGACAATTTTATGCAATTTTGGCTAAAGTTGTAAACAAAAACAACGCTAGACGCTAGTTTAACCAGAAAACGCTAAAAAGCTTATACAAATAAGGCAATTTCGGGCATTTCTCGGCCATATCACAACAGTTAATGTCTGGAACACTAACCTGAATACAATTGTCCAGTTCCCTCAGGTGGCGACACTGGTCTTCATTGATGGTGACCACGTTCTCCTTCAGCTCGTACAACGTCCACGTCCACTCGTCCAGAATCTTGATGAAGCATTTGACCAGAGTGACGTAATTGCAGCCCTTAAATGCATTTTGGATTTTAAATTAAAAAACACTTGAAAATATATGAAAAGCCCTGAGGGCATATCTATCAAAACTCTCTGGAGAGCACTTTGAATCCGTTCAAAATGCCGTACAAAGTTCAAAACAAACCTCAGCACCGACGCCGCTGAGCAATAACAACCAGAGGATTGGCAACTGCATCCCAGCCGTGAAACGAAGGCAGTGTAGGCTTGTGTAGCGCCTCAGACCGGGCTATCTGAAAAAATAAAGGCTTGGACTGCGCGGCGAAACACTTGAAGAATCCGCGTTAAGAACGACGCTCAAAAAAATGCCGTAACGGCTTCTGCCCTCCGGGTCGCACTCCATAACAAACACCTTGCCAACACAATCTTTCCAGCCGGCGGACCGAAGAAACCGGGTGGCGAGCAAATCTGGATGAAAGCAAAGAAACATACGAAAAAAGAGTCAAGTCGTCTCGATCGATGCTCACACAGTACTAATACTAAAGCCAAACTTGAAGAATCCGACCCCGCCCTTGGAATCGCGGCAAAAGAGCATAACAAAAAAGCGGCCTTTAGCAGTCCGTCTCGTTTAGTACTGACTTGCAGACAGAGTACGAGAGGAAGTCAGGACGTGCTTAGTCGATTAATTCTGCAATTCCCGTCGCTTACAGGTGGTGTGTTACCTACAAACAGATAGAAACCGAATAATCGGATTCAGACGAGGCGCCAGCTTTCTGGAGTGTCATCAGGCCAAATCAAATCCCAAAAGGGCTGGGAGCGGATGTGGTCTTTGCCTGACTTCTTCGCGGCTTACCACAAAAAACGGACGCGACAAAACTTGATTACAAACATGGGGACCACGATTCGGCCAAAACGGAAGAGATTTCCACAAACTGCGTGATAATTCTAATGCCTGGGAACCAGCGGATTCCATTACCACGGCCTTGTATTATTCGTATCAAAGCGAGCGAATAATCCTGCGCGTCGTATTACCGCTCAATCATAAGCTAAACCCCTGGTATTCGTGAAACATATAGCCATATAGAATTTCGAGTGCCGACAAACCCGCCATTTTTTGTGCCGCAGGGCCAAATGGAATTCAAGTTGTATTTTGAAGGAGTTATTATGCTGACAAAATAGCGTCCACAAAGTATCGATAAAAGTCGGGTAAATAAATTATTTACGCTTCAGGGGGGGGATGTTTGAGTCTTCTGAAGGTACAGAAGTGAGCTGTCTTGATGGCAAAAAGCAGCTTCTGGATGACACAAAACCGCCCTTCAGTGACGCAAACAGCCTATATTAGCGGCTGTAACATAAAATACGCGGCTGTATTAGGAAAAGTCACAACAATCGCGGATCGGCCGTCTCGAAAACAAGGCCTGGGGAGATTAGGGGTATGCCGGCTGAATAAACAGACTCGCGCGTGTTTCCTTTGGCCAAATCATCATAAATGGGGAAAAATAATTAAAGCAACAGCAAGAACTAAAATAATTAACCACCAACACCCATACCTAGTCCTTCCACAAGGGCAAAAGAAACAAACTAGGACAAAACATTGAGTGCGCATGCCGTAAACTGATCGCCTTTGGCCACTTCCTTTGGCCGCACCCCGGCTCTCTTCCTCTACTTCTTTTACACTACTATTACGCTTAACCCGCCCTTTTTTTCCTTTTTTGGACAGGATTTCCAGCGGAAATTCTGCGTTGAAGAAAAAAGAATAAAAAAGCTCTTCAAAAGTCGACAACAACACGAAAACGAAGCCAATCGAAGCCGATTAAGGAACCCTTCGGCCACACGTTAATTAGATAGGGAACGAGCACAGCCCTCCGGTGCTTGAGGCCTCTTCAAACAGAGTCGCGCGCTGATCGAAACCGTCTCGACCTCACCTGAAATTGAAACGAGGCCATCCTGAAGCGAGTTTATAATACCTTGCATTCGAGGCCGTTACCTACTAGTTGTAATCCTAAGAGTAATAAATGACTATTTTGTCTCATAACATAAAGGCTCTATTACCTAAAATATATCAAACTGGTATGCTCGAAACAAGGCTGATACCCTAAACCTTTCTGACTGCGTTACCTCCGCATCCGCCGTCCAAACACAATAAAAATGCAGATTACGGCAAACAATGGGAACGTTCCTTACCGTCCGCGCCCACCCCTAAACTGACATTGGCAGATGGGGACAAAGCGTATAAAAAAGATTTGTGGAAAGGCAATAACTGCGGATTAATTTAAGGGCGTCGGATGCGTGGCAATATTGTACGGGATTATTACTCAGTAAAGACTATTACTTCATGGGTAAGAAGGATTACTTACATCTAGCACCAGATATTACTTGGCCAAAAATTGAAATATAAAGTGGAACTTGATTATGACTAACAACAATAATCAGCTCTGACCGAAAGGTTACGTAAAGCGGCAAATTCCAAAGTCATTGGCCTTTGAATCGAATTTGATTAATGAAGTATATTAAGCGAGCAGGTCAGTCGGCTGACGACCGACAAGATATGACAAGTTTTAATAAAGACATTGTTCTCTTGGCCCTTCTGCTGAGTGCTTCAGACTCTCGCAACAAAGCGGAGGACATTGCCATTTGTTCTGACCTCTTAATGACCGGCAAATGCCACGAAATGATTTGACAATTTCTCGAACTCATTAAATCTGAATTACGTTTCTCTTATTCGAATCCGACCTGTCCGCCGGCTCCCTTTATCTGATGAGGTGTGAAATCCCCGAAAATCCAAATATTTTGCATACTGTGCGTGATCTCGCGGGTTAATTAGAGAGCGGGATGAAATAAGATCGAGCTCCAGATTACATTACTATGAGGCTTTTCTTCTCTAAACGACGTTCAAAAACAGAATCTTTGGGGTTATATTGTACATATACTTCTATATATAACTCAGTACTTCACTTAAAACGTTAAAGTTCCCAAAAGCCATAAGCTATTCACAAAAACAACAGGTGAAACTCAAGTCATTCAGAGCCCGTAAACATACTAACCTATGCTGTAACAACAGTAAAACGCAATAAAAAGTAACCTGACTAGTCGATTATGAGAGTTGACGAGCCGTAAAGCGATTCGAAATAGTTTGAGGGCCGAGATGTCACAAAGTTTGTGTCATCATACCCAGGCGTTAAATGCTGTCACTCTTTGCGGTCAGCTCTCAAGCGCCGCCTGAGGCGAATTTCAAAAAAAACAGATTGGCATCTCCAGCAGTGACAGTCCGACGATTTTACGACAGACCGAAGGAGCTGCGACAGTTTAAAAAGCAACGACAGTCACATCTTAAAATCATGGACAGAAAGCAGGAATCCCGTCAAGGACTGTCTTAAGCCGGCACTCCAATTTAATTAAACTTATCCTCTCCAGGGCTTCTAATAATTGAGCGACGTCTGTCGCCCACCTTCTCTTGGCCCAGGGTACCCCCGATCCCTGAGCCTAATTATTACGGTCGAGAGGCCTAAGAAAAGAAAGAGACCCGTTCTACCGCAAATTAATGTTCAGGCGAATAAACACACAAACAAAGTAAAATTGGATATTACGTTTTTGGTTCTTGTAAAGATCTTCATGAGCAATATCTATAAAACACGTCACTAGAAGAAAATTTTTGTCATGATAATGTAAAAAAGAGCCTGCATATTTAACTTTATCATATTATGACAACTTTTGAGTTACTTCAAACTTATTTTTTACTATGATATTATCCTTCCTTACAAAATCCTCCAAGTTTTACGACTCAAACCCACAGCTGTTCCTTATACTTTTCCAAGATCAGTTCACTCTCTGAAGGGCTCAAATGCTCCTCAGGCAATGTCTTTTATCTTTACTATGTTTTCAAGGCTACGCATTCCCACTAAAAGCTTTAGAATTGTTTGAGGTGGATGACAACGACTCCAGAACAGCGTTTAGGCTTAAAAATGAAGCAGATAGTGGGAGAGTGGTTACCTTATTCTGCCGTAATCGGTGTTTGAAGCTCAGAACGCAGGTAATATCAATTTTTTTGAATTTTTAACAGTAAATTAAAAATGTAAAACTAATGATTTAGTCAGCAAAGATTGTGCGACAGCATAACGAACAGTACGTGAACAGTTCTGATGACCGTCTGTACTTCCAATTCTTCGTGTATAAGAAACCGATTGGACTAGAAACAGTAGACATGACGATGAGAAAGAAACAGTTCGGACTGTTCTATCTAGTCGGAGGCAAGACGTTTGTCTACAAGGAAGACATTGGGAACGAAGTAAGGTTACCTTTATCTTAACTATCAAAGCCTAGAAAACGGTCTCCAAGTGGATCAAATTCTTCGAGAATCCAGATGTGGAAAGACCTTCAGATTATGTTGAACTTGATGCTCTACTCAATGGAGCTGATCGCTGTGACGAACCCGAAAAGAAGTTTATAGTTATGGTACAAGACGAGAAAAAGTGTATGGATGTTCACATAGTCAACCTGGCTAGAGGATTGAAGAGCAACGCCAACATTACCGTAGTCGAGTTGAAGAGGCCTCTGTCACAAGAAATGGAAGCCGTTCTCAAATGGAGAATGCCTTTTCTCTCAGATTCTTGCAAAATGATCGTATACCTTAACAGTCAGACCTACTATGAGATGGACTCTACTGTACAGCCAAGTTTGGTAAGTTCATTACGCCGTATCTTTACAACACATACTGAAATGGACGATCCAAGAAGCCAATATGATTATTTTAGCTACACACTTCTATCCTTGAATGGAAAGCTGACTGTAACCAGACTTCAGAACTTAATAGGATACGGTCGAAGCTGACAGAGATTCAATTAGAATATCTAAGCGAAGAGAGATCGGTTCAGAAGATCCAAGAGAATCAAGTTTATGTTGTAGTAGGTGCTATTGGAGGTATCGCTGTGATAGCATTAGCCATTAGTATCTTCTGGGGCCTCCAATCAGCATAAATAATGTTTTATGACAAAATAAATATAATTATTGTTACAAAATATTATCACATTTATCACTTTTTGGTACACAAATCGTTGATTTTGTCAGCAAGAGCTGTTAAAGTGTCAGTCGGCTGAAGCCTGAGGTCCTCCAGGGCTTCCAATAGGAATACTTAAAAATATGATTTAGTGTTTTCCAATTACTAATGTTCTTTAAAATGTAATTGTGCCGAAAAGACTTACCGACGTCAGCATTGAACTGCCTTAACAAAGCAGTCGATAGCTTAGTAGGATCACCAATATTCGCACAAAAACTGTCCATAAGTAATGTCACAATGGCCTTCAGAACCCAAAGATCACACTCTTCTTCTGAAACATTTACATAATAAGCGTGTATATTGTTCTTTACCACAAAAGTTCATTAAATTAATACTATACAATTGGAATACACTTCACACAAATCATACTCTCATACCAAATTCTTTTTACATACCATTATACTCATCGCCTGCTGACACTTGAACCGCTGACTTAAAGTTCCTGTCGTTGTTGTAAGCAGCAATATTGTTCACCTGACTCAGCAAACCATGTCCTACTGTAGTTATGTAATTGTGAGGAGTGATTGAAAACGTAGGTAACGATGGTTTGGAATCATTCATAGAAGCATCTGATTTCTAAACTTTCATTGTATCAAATTTAACGTTGGTCAATAAATTTTAAATAATAACTTTACGATAAAGCTACCCATTATTTGCCAGTACTACGCATAACGTACCAACTTATTCATCTCATCTGTCATCGAAATGACCAAGAACTTGCTCAAGTCGACGATCTTGTTCTGAACCACCTTCCTAGCATACTTTTCCAGCAATTGACCGTTTCTTATTACGTATGGCTCTCGAGGGTCTACAATAACTACTTTTACTTTTACATTTCAAACAATGCATACTACAACATAAAAGTAATAATGTTTTTAAACTACGTGTTTATAACCAGGAACCTACCATTAGCATCCTTGTGAGTGTTGTAGACATCATGAATAAAGTTGTTCAAGTCATCCACCATGTTCAACAAGTAACCCACCACACACATGCAAATAAGTTTGTCATTAACTTCATCCAATGTAAAATTCAGATTCATTTTTGGTACCTTCAATCCCAGAATGTCAGACTTTTTAAACATGGAATGGATCTGGTCGATGCCATTTTCAAAAGTGGGCACTATAAACTTGGAAAAGGAAGCTCCAAATATATCGACCGTTTCCGTGATAAGATCCCTCATAAGAGAATGGACACTTTCCAGAATAGGTATCACCCATTCGTGGTTCTTGTGGGCTTTTTGGTTGAAACTCTGAAAGAAAGAAACAATTGTTATCATAATATATTGACATAGACTCGACTAGGAAAGGAAGTTAAGTTACCTGTAATATCTCATTTATCTTGATCATGAGAACAGATTTAATGTGTTTCGACAAATCATCGCTGATTATTTCGTACAAATCGTCGCAGAATCTGTTGATGATATTCTGCACAGCTTCATCGCCTTCTGATTTTACATATCCTTCAAAGTCCTTCCGCAACTAAAATTTCTTTTTTAGGCTGATTTTGAACATGATGAATACTTTATACAGTACATATAACACACAACATAACAATCTGGTGATTTTATCACTAAATATAAAGATTACCGTAGACAATTGTCTAGCTGTAGCAAAAGCGTCCCCAGTTTCTTCCATCATACGATTGATGATTTCCTTAACAACATTATCCTTCGAAGTTATTCCTTCATAAAAACTAATGGCGACAAAACTCGAGCCACTTTCTCCAAACAATTGTGTAGCTATTCTAAAATAAATTATTAAATAAAACTACAAACTAAAAGACTATGATAGCATATTATTATACATCTAAAAGACTATAACTGCATATTACTCCATAACAATTACCCAAATATACAATTATTAAATTTGCAAAATTAGAGGTTGTTTTCTTAATAAATACGTTTAGACTTACTTGCTAGTTCTCTTCCACAGATTAAAAGCTTCGTCAAGTAGCTTCAGCAACGTTAGGTCTTGTTGATTGTCATCAATGAATGTACATATTTTGTTGGTTATAAAAGCGCCAAACGTCTTTCTGTAGTCTAAACAAATGCCATATGAAAAAATTAAAATCGCAAGACAAATTAAAACCCAACTACTTAAAAATGCTCAGAACATACCAGAAGTCCTATCGAGAGCGTCAAACTTTTCCTTCAGATTGAGAAGCAGTTTAGAGTCATTCGAATCGATGGCGAATAAAATGGCAGATGAAAACCAACTCAAAAACAAATCTTTTCTCGTTTCCAGTAAATGGTCTCGTTCTTGTGATGAGACGTACTATAACAACTGATTAGAACAACATCGCAAAAACAAAAAAAATATATATAAACCTACTCTCTTCAATATCTCATTTGACTTCTGTAGATTGACTAGATACCCAAACAGTTCATTTTGTTCAGATTCCCCCATCATATCAACCACTCTCAACGAGGATTCCCACATGTTCTTGGCCTAAAAAATACCACTGTCCGAATCTCGAATATTACCTAATAAACAATTTAAAGTCATTTTTTCAATCTGAAAATCCAAATTCCACAAAGAATACTTACATTTATAACTTCGACCAGCCTGTCTGATCTTCCCTTAGCCGAATCAAACTCCAAGACATCAGAAGTTCCGACCAGTGATCCTTCATTCTTCCTCAATTTCTGGATATGACTCTGTAATCGTTTGTCCAACTTCTGATTCGCGTTCCCCAAATCTTTAAACTTTCCTAATCTAAAATACAAACTTACTTTACAATATACGAAACAATTTTATCAAAAACTCATTTGCAACATCAGCAAAATTAAAGCGTTTTCATAATTAATCCTGAAATATTATTACCCACATTTTTGGTGATGCTATCTCAGTACGTGTTGTTCTTATCCTCACAGCCAACTCTTCCAATAGTCTCTCCACAACCTTTTCTGTTTCTTTCAAGTTGTCTCGCACTTCTGGAGCATTCAAGGTTTTGGCATCAAGTAAATTTTCATTTTTCAAGCCATTTCGCAAAAACTAAAAATTTAAATAAAAACTGATTGACCTTACTTGTTCAATTTTAGAAGCATCCATTATTTTTACAGAGTCTGACATAACATCACAACATTTCGCATTTTCTCCGCCACGTTTTTTTAGAAAAATTATTTTTAATTAACGTTAAGCCAATGTGGTATTCGTGTTGGGATTCACATAATTTTTTAATATATTTTTGCCAAATTGGTTTTTTGCATAATTTCGGGGTTTTAGCCATGTTGCCCGATCTATCTCCACATTTGCACACTTCAGAATGCAATTTGTTAATTCAGCTGCTCAAAAATTGTTGGAACGAGAATAAAATCAGTAAGTGTTAATTGGTTAATGTAATTTAATATTTAGAAAAGTATATTGGTGAATGCAATTATTGGGACGAAGCTGTTTGGCAATGCACGAAGCAAGAAAGAATCTATAGGAGGTATGTGTACTGTTTTCAAGTGTATCTGGGGTTTGAATTAAAAATTTAAAAGTTAATTTGTTTCAGAGACACAAATCCGAAATATGGAAAGCGATTAGTAGAGAACAAGCGGTTGCCTGAGAGTTATTACACGCCAGCTCTCAAGAAGCTCAAGGAACAAGGAGTTCTTCTTCTAGATACTGAATCTACTGGTTGTAAAATCTAAGTTTAGGAAAGTTGTATAAATAAACATAAATATATTTTATAGTAGGTATGATATTGTTGGTTTAAACCATATTTATTACCTAATCGACATATTTTTCTTCCTTGTATTGTAATTTTTATTAAGATGGCGGATTCACATGAGAATGGCAAGAAAGTCGAAAAGACGGAAAGCAATGGGACGTCAGACAACAATTTGGTCAGCATTCCAGGAGTTCCTTATGGTGCAGATATATTAAAGAAGATTCAAGAACTTACAATGGCTGAAAGCAGTAGCAGGGATGATCCTAAGAGTCACAACTACGCTTTCTGGGGTACCCAACCAGTTCCCAAACTAGGTATTGTCATTATGATCTAATTTCTATAATAATTTTAAATTACAATCTTGTATGTTTCCTATAGTATTTTATATTTACTTACAGATGAGGATGTAACTGAAAATACCTATATCGAAGCTCCCATTCCGAAAGACAAACTACGAAAAGATCCGTACAATTTGCCTAAAGGGTTTAACTGGTGCAATGTTGATCTTACTAACGACGATGAGTTGACAGAGCTTTACAAGTTGTTGAGTGACAACTATGTTGAGGATGACGAGAGCTTGTTCCGCTTCGATTACAGCAAGGATTTCTTCAAATGGTCAGTTCTTAACTTTATTTTATTTATTTAGAGGCTTTAGAGTTTTTTTACTATGTAAACAGCTTTAAATTCTTTTTATTCACTTTAAGCAACCTATTTTTTGTTTTTTTAGGGCTTTGCTGCCACCCGGTTGGAGACCAGAATGGCATTGTGGTGTTCGGGCAGCTACGAACAACAAGCTGTTAGCTTTCATTGCTGCCGTTCCATGCAAAATCAAGGTTCGGGACGCTGTAATTGACATGGTAGAGATCAACTTCCTGTGTGTGCACAAGAATCTTCGATCCAAGAGACTAACTCCAGTGTTAGTTAAGGAAATCACTCGACGGGTCAACTTAACGGGCATCTTTCAAGCGGCTTATACTGCTGGTGTTGTGCTACCTAAACCAATAACTACATCTAGGTATTGGCATCGATCTCTGAATCCGAAAAAGTTAATAGAGTGCAGGTTCTCTTGCCTTGGGCGGAACATGACTATGCAACGGACTATAAAGTACTACAAGTTGAAAGCTGTAAGAGCGCTTTTCGCATTTTTCATAAAATTACGAATAATATGACAAATTTTAGTGTGAAAAGTTTAGTGACACAACTAAAAATTAAATTGTAGTAAATTACTGTTTGTAGGACCCTGTCCATAATGTCGTGAAACTTGAGAAGAGACATCTGAAAAGCGCGTACGAGCTGGTAAAAACATATCTCAGCAAGTTCCAACTTCATCCAGAGTTCAGTAAGAAGGAATTTGATCACTACTTCTTGCCCAGAGATCAAGTAATCTATTCGTATGTGATTGAAAAGGACAATGTGGTAACGGACCTAATCTCATTCTACTCTCTGCCATCTACTGTCGTCAATAACCCTCAGCACAAGAAGATCGTCGCTGCTTACTCGTTTTACAATGTAGCTACCTCTGTGCCATTAACTGAACTCATGAACGATGCTCTGATCTGGGCTCATAAGGTAATTTACATAAAGCATCTTGTCATATAAAAAAGTTATTTTTATTGATATGGCTTTTTGACTAGAATGACTTTAATTTTGACATTTCAGGAAGGTTTTGACGTCTACAATTCTTTGGATTTGATGGAGAACAAAACATTCTTGTCAGACCTTAAGTTTGGCATCGGAGACGGTAACCTACAGTATTATTTGTACAATTGGAAGTCACCAGAAATGACCCCAGAAGAAGTCGGCCTTGTTTTACAATAATTTTTATTTTTTCTTTGTTTAGCTATAGTAAACTTAAAATTATTTCGTTTTCTTTCAATAATACTCTTGTCACTGGCTTGTTTTCCTAGCTGTATATCTATGGGCATTCATATTGTAGTTTATGAAGAAGATATTCATAAAACGTGGTTGCTCTTCCCACGAGCCGTCTTCGTTTTTTATCTTTTAAAGGAACATTTATTCGGTTTTTAGTTTTTGCAACCAAAACGCAATCACATACACCACAAAATGATGCCAAAGCAAGGCCATCACAAGATAAAATCTATTGTATGTTGCAAAGCAATGTACGATGACCAAAGAACACTTCATACATACCTTTATAGGCTTTTTGACTGTAATTTACATTAAAAAGGGTTTAATATTCCGGGTACCCTTAAAAAGATATTTTCAAAAAATATGAAACTAAAGGAATAGTAAGACATTAACGTTATTCTGTTGTAATCTTGCTGTTTCAATCTCTGAAACGGTTAAATTTTGGTTTCCCATTACACATTTCGTAGCTGACTACAAAATTACTGCCGATTTGTATAAAATTATATAAGGGACAGTGCAAGGCGTCTGGCTGTGGATCCTAACACGAAAGTCATATTTTTGTAGTTGAGCGTGAAGGCCAGACGCGGAAAATATTTGTGTCTCATGCAGCGCCGAGTTCTCTAGTGCATCTGTTTGTGCGTGCCCTCTCGTTTCATGCAATATTTTGTCGCGATTCATTCGTTCTCCGCCCAGAACATTCGTTTTTTTCTTTCAGGGACTGAGGCCTTCTCTGTTCACTTTAGCGCCTGCCTGAGCCTCGATCGGTTGAAAGTTCGCCGGAAAATCTCATAAACTAAAATCATGGGTGATAAGGGATTCGACACCAGAAAGTTCTTCATTGACTTGGCTTCCGGTGGTACTGCCGCAGCTATCTCCAAGACCGCTGTCGCCCCGATCGAGAGAGTAAAATTGCTTCTTCAGGTATGTGTTTTGTTAGTTTGTGTGTTTTTAGGCATCAAATTTGGTAATAACAGCTAACCTAAGAGTACTACGAACCTTCTAGTACTTTATGTAAATTTTCATGTTAGTTGAGTTAAAATAAATTCAATATCACAGTAAAAATTAATATGTGTAATTCATAGGTCCAAGATGCTTCTTCTTCCATCACTGCTGACAAGCGTTACAAGGGTATCATCGATGTCCTCGTCCGTGTCCCAAAAGAACAAGGTTTCAGCGCTTTGTGGCGTGGTAACTTGGCCAACGTCATCCGTTACTTCCCCACACAAGCTTTGAACTTCGCCTTCAAGGACACCTACAAGAAGCTCTTCTTGGACGGAGTTGACAAGAAGAAGGAATTCTGGAAGTTCTTCGCTGGTAACTTGGCTTCTGGTGGTGCTGCTGGTGCCACTTCTCTCTGCTTCGTCTATCCGCTCGATTTTGCTCGTACTCGTTTGGCCGCTGATATCGGAAAGGGAGATTCTCGTGAATTCAAGGGTTTGGCTGACTGTTTAGTCAAGATTGCCAAGTCTGATGGACCAATCGGACTTTACCGGTAAGTTAATATTATTTATGGCTAACTTTTATTTTTAATGTAGTTTTGCAAAAAATTTTAATTGGAAAAAAATTAAATTTTTCAAACTTTAGTGGTTTCTTCGTGTCCGTACAAGGTATCATCATCTACCGTGCCGCCTACTTCGGAATGTTCGACACCGCCAAGTCCGCTTTCACCGCTGACGGAAAGAAATTGAACTTCTTCGCCGCCTGGGGTATTGCTCAAGTTGTCACTATCACTTCTGGAGTTCTGTCATACCCATGGGATACCGTCCGTAGACGTATGATGATGCAGTCTGGTCGTAAAGACATTCTCTACAAGAACACCTGGGACTGTGCCGTCAAGATCATCAAGAACGAAGGTATGGGAGCCATGTTCAAGGGAGCCCTCTCCAACGTGTTCCGTGGTACCGGTGGTGCCCTCGTGTTGGCCATCTACGACGAAATCCAGAAATTCATCTAGATTGTGTTTTTCTTTTTTCAACCTTTCCATGTTTCATTTGTTCCCAGCATTGATCTAATTTTGTTGGTGATTAGGCAGTTCGGACCTTATTGTTGATCTAATATTCCCTATGCTAAGGTCTTCTACCCTTAGTTTCATATTTTAGTGAGTAAACTGTGGAATACTACATGATTTCGGTTCCTTTTTGTTTTTTTTGCTAAACCAATATGAAGCACAAACAAAGTGGCGCCTGTTCACGGGAACTGAAAGAAAATGAGACGGGTCCCGTCCTTGATCCAACCTTGTTCTTTCGACTCTCGGGAGGAAGAACGGAACGTCATAAGGCTCGAATGTACTCCTTCCAACAGTTGTCCCCGCGTCTCCAAATTTGTGATAAGCAAAATGGAGCGATTAATGAAAAAACGTATGATAAGCGAAATACCGGTCTGGCCATAGCATAATGTTGTTGTTTATCAAATTGGCACTGAAAGGAAGAAAAAAGTTGTAGGTATAGTTGTAACAAATTTATTATACAGCCGTATTATATGTTTTGAGATGAGACTTTTTGACAGAATTACTGCGCGCGTTATTGTTGTTCTGGCCAGCTGATTTGCCGTCCGGGTTGTTTTGCTTTTTGGTTGGCAATGACCCGGCTTGTATGGGTTCGTTGTAATTCGCGGGTAACAGCGATGACGCCTATCGAGTGTAATTACGGATGGCACTTTGAACTTACCTTGTGTTTGGTCAAGGCTTCGTGAACACTATTTCCTTCATGAACCACCGCTCCGCCCTGCATCGAGAGCCGTAATTGCCCATAAAAGGATGCTTTTAGGTTTTTCTGAAAGTCGATGTTATCTTTTGCTTTGTTCTTACCATCGACGACAATTGACCTTTACGTGCTTCTATCCGACTTCGGTATAGGAACTCGCCAATTGCCGCTATCATGGATATTATCATACCCCCCATTAAGATGTAGAAGATACCGGCTACTTTACTCAAGTTCAAACTGGCACTGGAGCCATCCTAAAACAGGTGGAATTTGAATATTAGTTTAGGAGTTACCGATATTCCTTGATCGCACTGTCCTCTATCGTACCACCATTTGTTTTCTAGCTTCTTGAGTTCTCCTCTTTCTTGTAATGCCAATATCGCCAAGTTTATCAGGTCTCTGCAAGAATAACTCCGTATTATTTAGACAGTAACTAGTTTGTAGGATGACATAAAGTGGTTGGTTATAAGCTGCATTGTCTTACTTCCATTCTGATCCAAATGGAGTTGCTACGCCGTAACCAACGCTGTTAAGGTTGGCTCCAACCTTCATGGTGTCACAAGGCTTCCTAGTGTTAGCATATTCGTTGGCAGTAGCTTCGAGCAAGAAAGCGTACCTTCCTTTATGTGTCCTCACCCTTTCTATACCTTCTGCGTAGTTGTTCGTGAAGACAGAAGGGACTTGTGATTCCATAAATCGCCACATTCTTTGGTATGTTTGCACCGAAGAGTACTAAAAAAGAAAACATCATTATACCAGTAGGTAAAATAAAAAAACATATTTTTGTTTTGCTAAGTTACTTAATAGATACTTAATAGGTGGAGTAATACATAAGTGATACTGAACGTACTTTAAAAAATTGTGCAGTAGATCCTCCTTGTTGAATACCGTATTTGATTTTGGTCTGTTTGGCCAGATCTTCGACACTTTCTATTGGAGCTTGCATTTTCTCCAACGTTAGAAAAGCGGCCAGGTTGGCAGTGTACGAAGATACGATAATCATGGTAAAGAACCACCACGCACTACTGGCAATTCGACCACTTATCGACCTAAGATAAAATGTAACAATACTCAAAAATTGATTTTTGAAAATTTTAATTTCTGATTATTGATCATCGTAACTAACAAAAATCGCATAAAAATGAACATACCGAGGCAAGATGTCAGTGCCCTGTTGCATGAAAGCAGCCAATGTAAACCACAAACAATTGTAAACAGAAAAGTCATTTGAGATTGTGAATCCACCGTTTGACATTTCTTCTACTCTCCATTCGTACGGACTGAACCGTGACACCAAGAAGATGACCACAGATACTCCTACGTACGCGAAGATGATGTACATCCAAATCTCGGTACTCAACGGTTGCATGAAAGAGAATACTGAGAACTCTTGTTTATCTGGCTTCTTGATCATGATGGAGATACCTGTCGTCATGTACGGCTTACTGAAGTCGACCACTCGTTCTCTGTCCTAAAACTGTGAATCTTAATTTTGTGGCTACAAATACCTGGTTTATCGTCAAAGAAGCTACGGCTACATCAGCTTCTCCTCTGAGCAAGTCGCCAACCAGCCCATCCCAGCTGCCGTCCGGCTGTTTCACACCGTACTTGTTCTGTTTGTTCAACTGGATGATGTAGTTGAATTCTGGGATCCGATCCCTCAACAACTTCAGCAGATCGATGCAGAATCCTTCAAACTTGGCGTTGCCCAGACATTCTGTAGCATTGGAGTTCTCGCAATCTCGTTTTATCATGACGAACGGCTCCACGATGGTACTGACCACTCGGACCACCTTGGTACGGTCCAATTCACTCAGATTCTTGCGAGTATGTTGAGCTACAGTCTGGTTGTTCAAGAAGCCGAAGGACTGTTTCCACGCGAAGATCTCCTTCTTATTGAACGAGCTCTTGAGGTTGGATATTAGGTCAATCACCGTGACTTGGAAGTTGCGACGATCGCCGTTACGGTCGAATTCTACGGTTCCTGTTAGTGCGCCTTCTGCTTCTGTTAGTCGTAGCTGAAATAGTGAAATTGCGTATTTTTTTAGTCTTTCCGAGGTAATTTTATGCGAAGTATGTTGCTTTTAAAATTATCAAAATTTATTTGAAATGATATTTTTTGAATTTACGCTTTTAAACTTTCACTTTGAAAAGTGTATCTTCTCTTGTCGCATTTGTTGACGTTACTTTTCGAGTAATCTTTCACCCTTCTTACCTGATGTAGCTCCCTGAGAATAGCACGGCCGTGCTCAAATGGTGCAAACGGTCTTCCGGGGTTTCTTTTGTCTGTTTGAGGATGACAGAATAGACCCGGAAAGCCTTGGTTGTATAGTTCACCGTGCCTGAAGTTGTGATGAAACAAGGAATCATTTTTCCGTAGCGTTCCTTCCAATGCCGTCTTCGCCACGAGAACAGCATCGTGCACGAAGGCGAGTCGTGCTTGTAGTCCTTGTTGTTCCTCCTCCTCCAGATGGTCGTGTTGATGTAGGAAGCGGCGGAGATGTTCGTACTCGATGCTCTCTCTGTCAACGATTTGGAAACCCGTTATATTAATGTTTGCGTTCTGGAACTTTTCCACGTCGTAAGGCAGCAAATCCTAAAGTCAACGTTAGTGAAACATGAATAATAGTATTATAAAAAAATTCAAAAAATATGTAAATTACAATCTAAGTATCACTTACAAAATTAGCTAATATGTAGTGATAGTCTGCCTGGTTGAACTGAGCCGCCCTGATCGACTTCAGGATCTCTTGCTGTCGGAAGGCACTGGCAGTGTCAATTATTACTCGACATGGCTAAAACAATACTTTTGAACACTTCTACGTCAAACATAATAATGCATTTTGTACTTTTAGACAATAAAAAGGTTTTGCTTACATTACTGTCGCCCTTGTTGGTAACTCGTCGTATGTTGAACTGTACCAAAAACTCCGAAAAGTCTTTTGTTTCCTGAGTCATCTGAATAATTTCAGAAGTTATCGTTTTGTTCGTGACCTTCTGTAGGTGATTGTAGATCCTCTGCACATTTTGAGCCGCTTCATCTGCGTTATCTACATCGTGCATGTAAACAAAAGTGTCCCACTTCTTAAGAACTATCAAATCAGCCAACAATTCAGCGTTTGGAGGCTTCAAACTGACTTCAAAACTAGAAAAAATCAAAATAGCGATAACAGTGGTTCAATAAGCATTAAAATAGAATTCAAAAGGTTACTTTGTAGTCGGTGAATATAACCTTCTTTGATACGACAGATCCCAATTGATCAGAGGCATTTCCATCGTATTGGCAACATTGATATAAGCTTGATGATGACGTTGATTGTCTCCCACAATCATCGTCATAAACCCGTTTTCCATAGCATCACATACTAAACCATAAAAGTTTTTTACCGTACTTGTAATTCATTAACACAAGCGAAAATATGTTTTTTTAATGCTAAGGCTTTGAAAAGTACCAATAGTTACTCATTAAGTTAGTCAAAACTTTAAAAAATTCAAGAGTTATTATGAAGTCAATTAACTACCTGTTTGCATAACTCCCCACCCATCTCCGGCAGCTTTCCTCAGCGTTTTGTCGGCATAGTCCAACAGAAACGGATTCTGAGTTTCGCTGTTGAGCCTCGTCACGGTGTAATTCAGAACCGAGTTGACGCCCTGTTCTCGATCTCCAGGTGTTGTGAATGACTCTGAGAGAACGGTAAGTGTCACATGAGTAGGTGGTTAACTTACGAATTGGTATTTTGGCGGGGTATGCGACAGTGTAGTAGGGGAGGAGAAGGGCGACAATCACTCGCATCATGACATCGGAGATGACCTGGTCAGCCTGAACTCCGATAAAATAGGTTCAAACAGGAGAAAACATTTCGTGGCCGCTGGAGCCCGCCCTCTTTTAGCCGTTGAAAAACACGTTTTTCAAAGTATGGAAATTACATTCAATTTGGCGTTTTCGCGGGCAATTACTATCTCCATAAAGAAAGGAGTTCGCTCCTTCATATCCTCTTATCCCCGAGATCCTAAACGAAATGGACACTCCCGCTAACATGTATATCAAGTTATTCATATCAACTACATTCACATCTCTAAACCCATTCAGAGGTGTCCTCCACGCCCAGAGAGACCCATAAAAGGTCCCCCAATTTGAATACAAATCCAGTTCAGACTTATTCAAAAACGACAAATCCAATTTCCCATGGTCAGAAGTAAAGATTCCCATGCCGAGGACCAAGTTTATAACCGAAAAACAAAATGAAACCTAACAATTAATTCAAACGGTCTGGATGTGAGCCGGATCTACTGTAATGTTGTTTATCCGCAGCGTCGTTAGTTCATGACTTCGCCCTGAAAACAATTACATTTGCCTTTTGACAATAATATCGATAATAATATTGTAAACAAACTTGTCATGAATAAAAATTTAAAAAACAGGCTTTAATCATAAATTAGATCTCACCAATTAAGCCAAAAATTATACAAAACCTAAAGTAAGGTATTCAACACATGTATGTGTCTAATATTAAAATTTTTTTAACCAAACCCCTGATTTTGTTATCAATGAACACCCCTATTAAAATAATTTTTTACAAGCATTATCAGAATTGTCAATTCTTGAACAAAAACTTTCTCAAAATTTTTTAAAACAACAACTCACATAGGATATTCATAATCTGCTTTCCATCTTTCCTGGTGTACTTAATATGTGGCTGAGCGTTGGTCTTTTCGACGACTGTCGCTCCGACTGAAACCATTTGTGGATCGAGAGTGGGCCTTCCAAGTAGCGTAAACTCAGCGCCGCCGACCAACAAAACCTTTAAAAATTAATTAAGTTCAAAGGACCATTTAACTTTTAATTTTAAATTTCGGTCAAAACAGAATTACCGACTTGGCAAAACATCAAAACATCGCGGTTTTTGAGGCTTGCAACTGAGAATTCTTTTAAATTGTAATAACAATATCCAAAAATTCAATTATTAGCTGCCAAAAAACAGAAAAATACCAAAATACCTAAAAAATTACCTTTTCGAAGTTTATCCTTTCCCCTAAATCCAAAGGCACAGACTTCTCAACAACAATCACATCTCCATCGCTAACTTTGTATTGCCTACCGTTAATAAACACCACGGCAAACAATCTGTTTCTATTATTCGACACAGCTTCAACAACTTTAGAAGTAACAAAGTCACCTCTAGAGAAATGTTCTACTTTTGCAGCTGAATGACCTGAACCAACAATAAAGATAATGAGGCCAGAACTTACTTGAGGCTTCTTTTTGTGACAGATCCCTACTTTGACATCGTGTGAACAATCGCTGGCTTCCCGTGACATTCCGAAACAAACTTTGGAACACTAAAAAATAGTATTTGAATCTATTTCGACAATCTTACCTTTACTAGACATTACAAACAAGATTCTGTGTCCATAAAATAGGAAAAAAAATATTTTATTTCTTGGGTTTTTTCCAAGTGCGTCCCCTTTTAGCAGGCTGCACGAACAATTTATATGAACAAAGGTTAGAAGTTGCATAAAAAGAAATACAATGCGCGCTCGGATGTGCCAATTTTCAATTAACTTGAAGATTTATATATTTTAAAAATTATATTGCGTTAAATGTTTTAGAAGTGATTCGGTAAGCAATTACTTTGCTGAACTACTTGATAAAAACAAAAATTTAATTTGTCGCCCGTAAAGTACTTTTATTGGTGAACTCTTTAGCCAGTTTATGTATGCGAATCATAATATTATTTATGTAAAATCAACTCTTATTTAATATTTTTTTCTATTGGGTAATTCAGAAATAATATAAGTTAAACGTTTTGAATCAAAGCACGAACTTTTAAATACTATGTAACAAACTTACGTATAGCTTGGTTCTTCTAGTCCTTTGTTCGCAATTCATTACTAACTCTTTAAAAGTGCTATACCAACAAATAGAAATTATCGTTTATTTATAACTGTACAATTATATTTACTAGTACAATATATTGGGAAAGATAGAAGTTTAAAATTAAAAAAATATTAAAAATACAACTCCTCAAGATTCAATGGGCTGACCGTTGACTTGGGCTTGGAATCGCTCTGTTTCTTGGAAAATGAGCTGTTTCAACTCTTCTTTTGGCAGATCATCGAACTCCATTTCAAATGTAAAGGGCTCTTCGCAGACGGGCTTAAATGAACAAAATAAATGTAAAATAACAATCACTTAGCTAATGTTTCGCTACCAAAATCAGACAAAACCAATAGTTTCAAACGCAATTTAAAACTTGACTTACCTCGTCGTTAGGATCATAATATTGCTCCAAATAAGGGTGCGCCAAAGCGTCCTCAATTGTAATTCGTTTGTGAGGATTAAACGTCAGCATCTTATCCAGTAAATCCAAGGCTCTGGCTTCAACATTCGGATACAATCGCTGCCAAGACTGTTTTGGTTTCTGTGGAAGTGACAAAAGATATGAACGAGCTTTTTCGTTGATTATGCATTGGAGGTCCTCTTGTGACGGTGATCCCACTACTGTTAAGATAAGGTTTAGCTGATCCAAGTAGTGTTTTCCAGGGAAGAGCGGTCGGTTATTCAACATCTCAGCCAGAATACACCCGACTGACCAGACGTCTATCGACTTGGTGTATCCTTTCGAGTTAAGCATGATTTCTGGAGCTCTGTACCATCGTGTGGCTACGTACTCGGTCAAGAATCCAGTGTGATCATGTCCTGGGTCTGTTACTCGAGCCAATCCAAAATCGCAAATCTAAAATTGAAAAATGGATGTCAAAAGGAAGTAACAATTTAACCTTAAGATAAAAGGATTTCAAATTCAAAAATAATAGAAAAACTTATATACCATAATATAGCTTAAGATTTGATAAAAAGTTTTAGAATAAGACAAAATAAAGCAGTCTAAACATGAAAATCTCTCAAGATATAAACTCTTACCTTGAGATCACATGTCGTGTTTAGTAACAAATTACTCGGCTTCAGATCCCTGTGAAGCACGTTAGCTGAGTGAATGTATTTCAATCCTCTTAATATCTGATACAAAAAGTAACAAATGTGATCGTTCGACAGCCTCTGGGTCTTCAGAAGTTTGTACAAGTCCGTTTCCATCAAACATTGAACAATATAACTGAAAATATTTTTAAAAACTTCATATTAAAAAAACAATTTTTAAAAGGTCTCACGCCAATTTGGCAATTCAGTCCAACTCTAAAACAAAATATTAGGTTGGCCGGGTTGAAATTTCATTTTGACAATTTTCTGAAGTTAATTATAAAAAAATTAACAACAATAATCAGGACGAAATATATTGATCTTCATTTTCAATAATTTCTTTCCAACGTGCACGCAAAAAATGAATGCTATCGTAAAAGAATTGAGCTGCCTTCGACTTTTATTATAAACTTCAGAAAATTGTCAAAATGAAATTTCAACCTGGCCAACCTAATATTTATAAAACTACTTACATATCTTTCATTTCACTGATAGTTGGAGCTTGAAGAATAGCTTGTATGTTGATAATCTACAAAACAAGTTATTAAAAAACAAATAAAAAACTCAAAAACCAAGAAACATCAAATCTTAATAATGTAAACTACACATACGGAACAGAAACTTACATTTTCATGTTTAAATCTAGTCAATATTTTAATCTCCCTTAAGGTTCTCTGGCAGAAGGTCTGATGTTCAAAAGGAGATATCTTCTTGATGGCCACTCGTTCTTTGGTGACTGTATCCAATGCCGCACTAAACACAATACTATACAAAAACGTTTTAAACTCACACAACCATGCCGTAAGCTCCTTCGCCGATGTAACTCAAGTTGACGTATCTTGGGCCGACGCCGAACAACTGATTATGTACTTCTTCCACATTATTAGTCACTTGTTGAGACATAGCTGCAAACAGTCCTCATTAAAACACGCACAATAATGTATACACTATCCGTATTACAATATAATGTCACGAAACATAACAAACGTATAAACCACAAAAAGTATTATTGATCTTTTGTTTCCGCAAAGTGACAAGCGTCAAACCTCAGAAGCTGGACGAATTCGAGACAACCTGCAACATAGGACCGACTAAAAAGTTCCCCTCCTCGAGTCTGGATCCAAAAAATTCCAAAAAAGGCGAAATGCAATGAATTAAATAAACGCGAGAGTTGACCCGGAACCGCAGAGCGAGACTAGACCCGTTTTGGACAAAGATTTGTTTTTTATTATAATTATGCGATAAAACACGAATAAAAAGCCTTTTAATATTCCATAACTGCGAAGTCTCGAACCAACAACTGCTTCTATGGTAGCGGTATTCCAAAATAGACTTTAGGCCTGAATTTCGACGTTTTTTGGAGTGAAAGTGTCAAGAAAGGTCCAATTTTTATTGAAGACCTTTTTGGAAAATTAAACACGGAATAATTTGTATCAAAAGTATGAGGAAGAAGCGAGTTTGTACGTAATCTCTTACGGCCAATTTATGCCCAAACAAAGACTTTATTGACGTTAAAATCGGGTGCGGATTTATTGGAAAAAGTGGAGTATAATATCACAGTATAATAGGATTTTGAGAGAAAAAGTAAAGTATAATGTGGCGAGTACATTATGGACATAGCACCACGGGAATTAAAAGGCCAATTCTCACGCCAATTTGGCAATGCAATCGGAGCCTCACCTTTTGGGTCGAGATAACCGCCTTCTCCCCCTCCCCCTTTTTTATGTTCGAGAGTTAAAGTCTGGCCATAAGACCTGGAACAAACTTGCTTGGCGTTTGGCACACAAAATTGAAGTTCCGAAATGTTATACGCAAACAAAAATAAGGTTTATTTACATGATGGACACGGGCGCGTACTACAATTACATTTGCTAATCCTACACCGACTGGTTTAATCCATGGCCAAGTCTTGTAATGGCCACAAGTCTTGTGGAAAAGTTATTTTCACCAAGTAGGGGATAGTGTGGGGTCTGATGAGTGGATAAAGTGCTGTTTTTACAGAGTAAAGAAAAACGTTTTCAAATTATTGTTGTGCGGTAGTTCTACACAATGTTAAGAGTCAAAAACCAAGGTAAGCAAGGTGTATAGTATGATCAATATAAAACAAAGTGTCGCATAAAAAACCGACATATTGCCTATATTAAGTACAATTAAGAATTGAGTTAAAAAACATTAATTATGGACCGAAAAGGGGAAACAGGTGAAGAATATGGCCATGTCCTGAGGCCAAGGCGGTCGCTTCCGCTCTATTACATCGCCTTTTTCTGCGTGGTAGGCCAAGTTTTTTCTTTTAATCGCATATACACCATCCTACGTCCGAATGTGCGAGGAATACGGCTTTTGCATGTGAAAAAATGAATTTAAATTAAAACGTCAAAATTGTATTATGGTAATTTGATCGCGTGTCATAACACCAGAATTCTGGGTTAGGATTGCGGAACTCATGCCACACCAAATAGATGCCTTCAGTTATGTTGTGCAGGACATAATTAAAAGTTAATTAGGAGTTGCAACTGTCAATTTGAGAAAGACAACAACCAGAGTTGGGATAATGAGTAGTTAGGCACAATAACAAATAACAGCAAGATTTGGAAAACTACTTTTTTGTATCAGAAGTTCAAAATATACAAAATGACAATTTTTATTACGTAATAATTAGCCTATAAAATTCTTTAATGGTTTCAAAGAGGTATTTAACAGCATATATGATAGGTAAGACAGTCTTAGTTTTTAAATTAAAATAGTTAAATTTTCTATTTGGGCGATGTTTCAAAGGGATTTTAACAAGTTTCAAAAATAAAATACTAAATAAATATAGACGGAACAAATCTTGCAAAAGTTTTAAATGTTTGTTTAGCTGTTCAAGAGCAACTTGTGACACTATGCCAAAAAATTTAAACTTGAAAATTTATAAAACTAATAAAAAAATAATGTTAACTTCATAAATGAAGTTCAGTTTGCCTGATACTTAAACTAAAGTGACACTCCTGTATAAAAAATCTCTTATAGATAAAACAATTGTCTGTTATAAAGGAATGTCGGTATAGAGGAGTTTTAAATGCACTGTGTAGTATTCGCTGGGGACTTGAAAGATGTTCGTTATACGGGTTTTTCTTTATAGAGTAGTTCTTATACAGGAGTTCAACTGTGCTATAACATTATTAAAAATCATCTTTTACCATTTTGTTTCACATCCTCTAACTAACCACATATCGTATCACTAATGCCCTTGTTGATTGATAACTCGGTATATTGTGTATGTGTTCCCATCACTTTACCGCATCATCTGTTTTCGTGCAAATGTGTGAGGACACGCGCTGAGAAATGGCACTAAAAGTTTCGAGTGCAATGTGGTCGTGAAATAAAGTGTCTACGGTAAAGTGGAGACACTTTGACGAAAGACCCGTTTACGGTACCAGATGTGGCTGAAAGGCCCATCAACCGAGATTAGCCAAAGGCACTTTAGTCTTGAAAATGAGCGACCTCAAGTTCTCCATCGCTCATCTCATTGGGGATCAGGCTACAGGTAGGTATCATTTGGAGTTAATAGAGGCTACAGGTAGGTATTTCTGAAGACTGACAGAGGGTACTCGGTAAGCGGCAGTGTTCTATCTGAAGATAGCCTTGAGTTAGCTCGTTATTTAAATATGTTATAGGTAAAATTTGAGATACAACATCTAGGTAATAATATTGTAAATTTTTAAAATCATAATAGTTAAAAGTAATTTATAGGTAAAAATTAATCAAGTATTTTAAAATTTTTAAAAATTAAGAACAATTTTAAACATATTTTTGACCAAAATGTAATGTAAGGTAATGGTTGTTATTAATGACAGTATTAAATTACTTTTTAAATACTAATTACCGTGTCATAACAAAAATATATTATTGGTGAAGCCGTCTGCCGTGAAATACCTTGTTGTAGTCACTACAGTTTTGTATTCTGAAAGCTATGACAAAAACAAGCTTTTGCGTGTTGTTCATTGAAGGAAAAAACATTATTTTTAACAAAAAATATGGTACTTTTGACAATTAGTGAATTAATATTTAAAAATAGACAAATTTAAAATTATTTAGAAGATTTGCCAAATGACTTGAAGAAGGTGAAAGTAAAATTAGAAAGTTCTTCCCTGTGGCGACGATTCCATTCTTTGGGCACAGAAATGATTGTGACAAAGTCAGGCAGACGTATGTTTCCGACCCTACAATTGTCACTTAAAGGGCTCAATCCAGAAGCGCAATACTCTATAATGGTAGACTTTAACTGTATCGACAGTATGAGATACAGGTACTCGTTCCATCAGTCGAAATGGATTGTCGCTGGACCCGGTAAGACATTTAAAGGCCATTTTATGTCATTCTGTTTAGAGACATAAATATAAACAAATTTTGAAATTGTGATGTTAATGTAATTAAAAAAGAATAAATTAACAGGAGACGCACTATTACCATGCCGAGTACATATCCATGCTGACAGTCCGAACAAAGGAAAACATTGGATGAAACAGACTGTAGGGTTCGACCGAATAAAGTTGACCAACAATCAGATGGATCAGAATGGACATGTAAGCACTGTTGTTTCACTGAATTTTTGTAAATTCAGCGTAGTTTGTCTAGTTTATTGTATTCCTTACTGGTATAACTACAAAGGTTAAAAAAGTCTATAAAAATGTTTTTACAGGTTATTGTAAATTCAATGCACCGCTATCAGCCGAGGATACATGTGGTGTTACATGAACCAGACCAAAGTGACCAACAAAAAACTTTTATTTTTCCAGAAACACAATTTATGGCCGTTACAGCTTACCAAAACCACAGGGTAAGCTGATAAATTATTGTTTAAAGGAAACTTTCCGCTTGCGCCCGACACCTAACTTACGTTCGCAGTTTGCAGCAAGCTAAGAAAATTTAAATTTAAGGGACCACGAAATCTCCTCGCAAAACGTTGGCGTGCTGTGTCAAAAATCAGGCAATTTTAATATTCCTTTTTTGCAAGAAACATTAGCAGGTCCAAAATTGGTAAATTCATTGGAAAATGTTTTTTGACAGAACGCCAGTTTTTTGCAAGGAGGTTTCGAAATTCTGTAAAAAATCGTAATTTATGATTAACAAAAAAGGTACTCAACCTGCCCCGCCCAGAATCAGCTCAAAATTTTTATATGAATTCATGTAGCACCAATGGTACCCGTCAAAAATTTTAGCTCGCGCTTTTGAATTTTAAATTTTATATTCATATTTGCGTTTCCTGTCAATATGGAAAATTTGGCATTGTGCTCCAAGCAAATTTTTCGACTTTACGGAAAAGCTACGATTACAACTTTAAAATTATAGGTTTATTTACAAGTTTTTAACTAGTATATCAAAGAAAAACGATTAAAAGCCAAAAATAGCAAAGTTATAAGCTTGAAACACAATGGCAAGTTGGCGGAAAATTCAAAACGCAATTTTTTGATCTTGGTTTTCTGGAGATTTCCTGAAAAGCGTGATTACCTTGCTGAATATCTTATATTTACATGATCTTTCTGCATAAAAATTTTGAAGTTAATCAAATCTGGGCAGGTCGAACGCTTTCCTTGTAAATATATATAAATTTCAAAAACCAAAGCTTACTATTTAAAAATGCTTTTAGATAACAGAGCTCAAGATCGAATGCAATCCCTTTGCCAAGGGCTTCCGAGAGTGTGAGATGGATCAGATGCGACTTCTCACGGCAGCTCACTCTCGACTTCAGCTACCATACGATCAGCTTTATCCTCTGATCTTTGGCAGGTTTACACTGCCTTGATCGGTTTATGACATTGCGTCACGATATATAAATATTATTACTAATCAGCTCCATCTGATTTATATGTTCTGTGGAGGGGCGCGACACAAATTTATGACTTCAGATAAACGTTTTAGCTAGTCGACGGAGGAACGGCTGTCGTTTTGCTTTGGGTTTAATGTTTATGTGCTGTTATTATCACTTGTTGAAGCATTTTTACTGAAATATAGTGGTTTTGTGCCTGATATATTGTTTTAATAAAAATAATGCTGGATGGTGTAAGATTTTTTTTTGAAAAAGCAGGTTTTTTTCTAACATTTGGAGAATTTTAAAGACTCGTGGACATTAAAATGAATTGTTTGTCTTGGTTTCAAAACTAAAATTATTTAAAAGTTGTTGAATTGTATTGCTAAGTTTTCTCAATGCTTAACTAGACTTACTTTTAAAAATTTTTCTAACTTTTTAAATTTAAAAAAAGTCATGACATATATTTTGATTTTTTTCTTTTGTGAAAACCAGCAGTAAACTGTAAATAAATTTTTAACGTTTAGCTTAATGTAACCTTCAAAATCATTTAAAAAATCAAAAAATATATCTAAATAATAACATTTAAAATTGTCTTCTCTGTCAAAGCTTTAGCTACTGCAACATCATGTATTCACATGATTATTCAGAAGTCTCCAGATGCCTTTTCTGTTCGAATGTTGAGAGAATGGACGGATGACAGATTGCCTTCTTTTAAGAACCACCTTAAGTCGCTTTCCCAACCCCATGGGGAGGGGGGGGGGTCGAGGTTGTCAGTTCATTGGTTCCGCGGTTACTGTAGTTTTCTCTCTTTCACGACGGACTTCACTTAGGTTACCTTCTACGCTGAAAAAGTTGTCTTAAGTTTTTATGCTTCATTTTATTAGAATTTGTTTTGCTTTTAGTTTTTTATTTTTTTAAAAATTTTTACAAAGTTTGATAAGACTGCTTATTAGAATTACAGAAATTAAGAACCTATTTTTATTCAAATTATTTTAATAATAGATATAGTAATTTAGTTTTTAGTAAACTTATATAACTCGGCTTTTAATGTCTTAGTCTTCATAGTATTTATAACTTATCTGAAGTTTTCTTTTACATACTTTGTTATTTAGTCTTTAATACATTAGAATTTGATTTGACTAGATTGTAAGTAACTTCATTTGAAAAATTAATTTTTTGTAACCAACAGGTAATTTAGTTTTAAAAATTAGTCTGCAAACGTCTAACAAAAGTTTGTCATAGTCAAAAAACATTAACGCTTTCAGGACCTCTTTATACCACATTTCACTGTGGCCAAGAGATAATATCTAATAAAATTTATTTTTATTTTTTTTGATGCTAGAAAAATTTTTGTTGTAAGCCATTTTAATTAATTGTTTTTTTATATACTTTATTATTATAAAATGTCTGTTAAAATATTTTTTATTTATTTTTTAACCTAAAAGTTAGATTAATAAAAAAACTTTTAATTTTTCTAAACGCTTTTTTTATAGAAAACTACTTTGTGAAAAAACGCTTTTTAAGTAATTTTATTACATAAGTAGACTAACACAACATTTTAGTTAAATTATATTGCCGTTTCCTGTAAACTTTTGCATCTCTTGTTTTTTACATATTGTAATATGGAACGTGACAACGTTGTTAAAAATTAGAACAGCAGCAGTCATGGTAGCTACATGGTTTTGTAACATATAACAGTTTTTTCAAATTTTCATGACAAAGTGTTTTAACTCTAACAGTGTTTTTAACCGTACATTATCAGGGACAAGCTGTAGCTACACTGACTATAAAATGAATTTTGAAGAAACAGAGCGAAAACTTTTATACACTAACTTTTACCACGTTTTATAAGGTACTTTTTGAAATGTAGTTAAAAACAAGAAATATTAAAGTTACAATTAAGTTTGTCTATGTCTTTGCACTTCTTTCCTGTTTTTTTGTTTTTATTATTCAGTTTGTGTCATATAACAGAATGTTGTGTTTTATAATAGTTGTATAATAGACAAAGTTACGTTTTTTAAAACTTTTTTTATTGTTAAGTCAGGCCTTCTTGATATATGATATAGTTTATTTTACTATTCAAATTTTTTTTAATTCTTTAACTATTTTTCCATTTTTTCATCTGGAAACAGAATTATAATAATAATCCAAACAAATAGCCATAACTCTTAAATAATTAGCAATTTCTCTGTTAATTCATTCCTGGGCCTAGCCTGGGTGAGTCAAACCAACATAGCATGTCTTATCAAGAGTGAGTCGAGTCAACATAGCATGTCCTATCGAGAGTGAGTCGAGAGTCTTGGTTTCGGACAGCTACCGTAACCCGCCGCTCTCTAAATTTATGACTGACAGCCGGCTGAGGAGAGCGAATGGCAGAGAAAGAGATTGTCTTTAATCGACCCTTTTCAACACATTTTATTCCGCACAGAATCCCAGCACTGTACGATCGGAAGTGAGCTTTACAGTACTATATATCTGATATAAAGTAATCACAAGGAAAGGCGACAGATGGAATAGACACAGTAAAGCACCAGAAAAGAATTCGAATTGCGACAAAACATTACTTTAAAATGGAAATGTAAATTTATATGTTACAACATTAAATACGGTAGATACACTAATGTCATACTGTAAGTAAAGAACAGTTCTTTAAAGCACAGTGAGATAACATGAGACTTACAAAGCTTATAGAAGAGTTACCGTGTAGAAACAAAAGACCAACAGAGTATTATTTTCAAAATCATAATGACATTATCCTTCTACATCATTGTGGATCCATTAATTCTTTCGCTTTTTTATGTTTTATAAGAAAAGACTCAAGATATCTACATGGTAATTCTCATAAAAAACAATTTACAGTACCCTAAAAACAAAATTCACAAAAATAAAAAACATTACAGTATAGCGTTACGACTCTCTTTACAGTAGAAGCTCCGGTATGTTCATGTCAGCTGAAGAAGGTCTATACCAGTCTAGTGATTGGCTTCAGATTTTAGCTGTTTTACAATTATTGTAGCCAAAAGGCATCATAGTTTTGTATAAAGTTTTATTTATATTTTACTCAACCTGATTACAGTAACTACCTTACATTAGTCTTTAATAGAAAAATATGTGTTACAAATGTAAGATTTGAATTTGAACTGCCATATCTTACAAATTGTTCAAGTTTTACTGTCAAGACAAGCTAAAACCCTTGGCCAATCACCTTCCTGTCCCAACCTTCGTCCAGTCCTTTATTAACTGTAATTGTTGGTCAGAAGCAGATTCCTCGTAAACCCCAGATGGCCAAACCCCATAGACGGGAACTGCATGGCGTTGGCGACAGCCATCTGATTCTGCCCTACTTGCTGCGCCGCCATCGCCGCGCCCACGTCGCCCAGCCCTCCGGGCATAGGTCGATCCTTAGTCTCCTTCTTGTGCTTCATCCGCCGATTCTGGAACCAAATCTTGACTTGTCGCTCGGTGAGCATGAGCGAGTGCGCGATCTCGATGCGCCGTTTCCTGGTCAGATATTTGTTGTAGTGGAACTCCTTCTCCAGCTCCAGAACCTGATTCCGTGTGTAAGCGGTCCGTTGCCGTTTCTCGCCTCGATTTCCACCTGAAAGTTCACTTTTGACATTCTCGGAAAGACCCATAAATTGTGCAGTCAATCCCGACTTTCTGGCCAATTTCAGTGGCCAAAACAACTGCGTGGAAATTTATTGCCGTAGGTCTTGGAGAAAAGAAAGGAGGGAGAGGAATTGATTTTGAAAAGAAGTCATTTTAAAAAATGGTAACAATTGACTTCTAAAGACTTTGTAATAAGAACATTTTAAAATTTTAAATTGAAAAAAAAAACACAAAGAAAAGTCAAAATTTCTTTCAAAATCAAAAAAAAATTAAAAATTTTAAAATTCATAGTTATTATACTTTAAAATGCCATAATTAAGCTACATTCCAAAAAAGACTCAATGTTTCAATTTATGTTAATATTGTGCTTGTTATGCCTCTCTACTGTATTCATTCCATGACCACGTTAATTAGACATGAAAAACCGCCTGACATTTGTCATCGTTATCGAGACTGTCAGGAATTGGCCATGGCCCTTCCTTTCGGGAACGACGGCCGGAAGGACGCTCGGCTGGGATTAGAGCCCCTCCCCTCCCTCCAAAATCTGGTGGCGTCCACGAAGCTCATTAATAAACGTCCGTGATCAGGCCGAGGGAATCAGTCACAAGTCTTTTTTAGCCCCGCCAGGGTCGACAAGCTGGTAGGCGATGATTCGTGTTTTTAAATTAATGGCCAAGGTGCACTGCCACAAATTCATTTTAAAACAAAGTTACAATGAATGGCGCCCCAATTAATCATAAAAGGTAAAAGACTGGCTGAGTAAGGAGTGGGAAGGTGAAAGGTAAAGGTAAGGGCTAGAGAAGGTATAGGGAAAGTAAGGAGTAGAGACGGTATAGAGTAGAGAACAAAAGGGAAGAGACTACCTAATACAGTCTTTCGATATCATCTCCGAGACAATGTTTGGTCAGTTAAGATAAATCATTTTACTGTGAAAAAGTTGGTTTTTTCAAACTAAAAATCTAGAGTATTGCAACTTTAAAAAGAATTGAAACACAGAAGTGTACCTATTTCAAAAGGCAAAAACAAGAAAATTTCAAAATTCAAATTTTTTAAACGAAATTTCTTTAAAAATTGTTACAGTCAAAGGTAATTAAAAACAAAAATAAAATTTAAAAATAAACTGCCAATAAAGATATAAATAGACTTACCATTACTCGAATGTACCCTCGTCATCCATGGATATACGGCTACATTTGTCTTCTCATCTTCATCTTCGTTTTCCTGTTTCATACTGTCCTTATTATAGGCGGCTAGCTGAGCTTGATGAGTCCAGTCTAGTGCCGTAGGGGCCGAGCTAGACGGCGTGGGTAGGCCTGATCCGTACATACACAGGTTGTTCTAAAACATTGTAATATTAAAGCAGTCCATCATAAACAAACTAAACATGCGCTAGACGGTTCATAGAGGCATCAGAGTCTGTGTTATTATGAAATGGCACAAATTATACTCAACAATTTATTTAAAATTTTAATGTTAAAGAATAGCTTGGACTAAAGATGACAAAGCTATCTTAACATATCTCTAACTGCCTCAATGTTGTACAAGTTATACGCAAGAATGTGCAAGTTATTCTGAAAACGTGACTCCGAAGCGAAGCAAATTCTCCAGGGTTGCTTTTTAAAAAGCGTTTCTGTGATTCGGTGGGGACGCTCCACCACCAGAGACACCAAACACTCTCCACACGACATTTCAGGGTCGGCATCCCAAAGTGGCGAATAAAATAAGCTTCTCGCGGTTATCACTTAAAGTGCTTCAACCGTTTTTTGGAATCAGACTATTGGAAGTTCAGAAGACGTGTGATCTCTGAAGCGACTTCAGAAAACGCTCAAAAAGGCATTTTTCAAAATGATAAAATGAACTTGTAATAATATAATTATAGTATCAATCATATCACAACTTCAAAGTGTCTTATACTAAAAGTTACTTAATCAATAAAAGAAAAAACTAAAAGTAATATCGAATATTAAAGCATAAAGCCTTACCTTCAACTGAAATGCCCGCGGATCCATGGAATAACAATTCTGAAGTTGTGATGTGGAAGATGATGTCAGGTTACTTAAGGTTGTCGCGTTCGAATCGACCGAATTCGAATTTGAATAAAAGGTCTTGTTGTTAGGTAACTGGGCCGTCGCTGTTAAACTCAAGGCTTGACTGGCTTCGTAGTCGTAGAAGGGTTGAGAAGTCGACCCGTTATCGGACGATCTGCTCATTGTCTCAACCACATACACTAAAAACAAAGGCTAGCTTTATTGTACAGTTAGTTTATTGTAAGACAATATTTGGTAAGACGGCTTTAAGATAATCAAACATAAATTATCATCAGTATAACACGCATAATCTTAACATATTGCTAAAAACGCTAATATCTTCAAGGTTTAAATAAAAAGCTTAAAACGGTTTGCATAACAATTGTTATCATACTGTAACATTGAAAAAACAGAAACATAAAAAATAACAGGAAGTAATCATAAGGTACTTAAATTATGTTCGTATAAAGCCTAGTTCATTTTAATTTAAAATCGTCCCAAAAAGCTTCTCTTACTGTAACAAAAAGTACAGTAACCTCATAAAGCGCAACTATCACTGTAACATTCTCCACGCGTTTCCAATTATCGTTAATGTCATTGATGACAAATCGAAAGCAATAAAGCCGAAAGTTGTCAAAATTAATGATTCTGGTCAAGGGTAATGGAGTAAATTAAGAAGAAGAATGAAAGGTTATCAAAGAAATTGAACGAAAAATATTTTGGAGGCAGCTGTTCCCGTATGAAATGCACTGAATTTGCAGTAGGAGTGTTCAGCGACAATGACTAGCAGGACAGAAGAGAACGGACGGGGCGGTTTAGTGAAAGAGAGAGAGACGGCTTGTCTTCCCTTCCTGCCCCCCCCCTCGAGGGTCCAAAGATTTTATGCGCGGATTTCGAGTGGTCCCCGGCCGTTGATTGGGCCAGGTTCGGCCGCGCTCTCTATGGTCACAAGCGCGTGTTATTGAAATTATTAATTTTGGCCTAAAATGGTTTTAAATAAGTTGGTAAAAAAGGTTTTTAAAAAAAAGCGTTTTTCGGATTAGATCTTTTGATAACGCTAATAAAATTTGAAAATCATCACTGTTTCTAAATTAATAACTATTTTACTTCAAGGTAAGTTTAATTTAAGCTAAAAACTACTATTTGTCAAAATATTAATTTTGCCCCCTCCCCTTCGAAAAGAATAGTAATAATCTGTAAACCCACCCTTTCCCCTCCCCAAAGCCTGCCTATATTTAGCCTAAAAAGCGGCCGACCTTTGCCGAGAAACCTAATTACGTGGTCTTGTACATTCTCGAATTTCGTGTAAATCACCCAATTCAGGCGGTAGGTAGTTAGGTTCAACATAATTTACGGCGTAATAAGCACGCAACTGGCAGTAAGATTAGCGGTCGCTTTTTATAGGCTGTGCTAATGATGGTAGATACGATAATTACTTGTACATACTAACGACTTTGACGTACGTTTTGGAGTTATAAAATCAGGTGTCAGTAATTTGGGGTTGGATTATTGTAGTTTGGTCAATAAGTTGATGGAAATATGAGCTTTGGACTCTTAAAAACCATTAAAGTTTTTGTAAAAACAAGACGTTTTAATCTGTGATTACATTTTATAGGTGTTATGGATAAAAACAAGCTGCCATCTGCCAAAAACCCTGTCTCAACCTGAATTTACTATCTTCTTTTTTATCAAACTTGATCAAACCGTCTGTAAATGCAAGCTAAAACACGCAAAATAAGACAACCTTATACTTCACTTGTAATCGAAATAAAAAAAGTTACAAACGTCACTTTTTTGTCGCTAAATTTCTAAAAAACTATTTACAGTACCCTAATATTAACATACAATAACAAGAATCTACAAAATCAGGCTTCAGAATGCGAAATGTTGCGAGAATCCTTTGTTCTCAGAGTACACATTAGAGATGGCAATTAGTAAAGTGGGCGATTGATGAATTTGGGTGGTGATTGGACTCCAGAATCTACAGTTTCGAAAAGAAACATTTACAAATTAAATGCCAGCGGCGTTTTTCATAAAAAGTAACATTAAGAGATGAGAAATACAGTAATATTGGTGTGTCAATCCACATAAAAATACAGCATGATATACAAAAAAAACTTTACAAAACTTCATAAGCTTTTCAAAAGTAGTCCTAAGTTTTACATAAGGAAGGTACCATAACAATTGTTATGACTTCTGATAATTTCTGAGCCTACTCCCCTCCACTCCACATTACAACACTCAGTCAATGATTTAGGGCCAATAAATCGACTAATGATTAGACCGTTGCGCAACCCAACATAAATATCAATACGATTACATCTGGACTGACCTCGAATTAGCGCCTGTGATATTACTCATAGTGAGTGTGGCCAAAGGTCGAGAGGTTGGTGGAGCCGGTCGGCTCTTTTGTGTTACTAATTACAAAACCCCCCCCAAATGCCAACTTTTTTTCTGGCCTTCTGACTCAAACTTATTGTCTTCACATTGTTTTAAATCAGCATATATTTACCTTTTAGAGGCGAGCCATGACTACCTACTATAATATAATTTTTTGTTCCAAAATTTTTTTTAAAAAATAGTTTTACTATGTAATTTAATATTGGTCTTGATAGCAAATTGAAAAAGTTGATTAAAAAGATTATTTTGAATTTTAAAAACCCACAAAACTATGACCTACTACAATATATTGTTACTCAATTTAAAATTTTATTCAAAAACCCACAGCTCCAACCCTTTAAAATAAATAACGCGATTAAGAAGCGTGTTGACAACATGTATAATATCTGTGTCCCCGTGACGTTTCCCAAAGCGGCAATCAGAACAAAAGGAAAGCCTAATCCAAGACAAGCCTTCGCAGCTGCCTGTAAGAAGTTGAACATGAGACGCTGCTCTGGGGTCGTGCCCCCGGTCAAAAGTTGGAGAGAGAGATAAAAGAAACACCGCCTCGATCCATTTTAAATTCAAGAAAAAACACGGCCGTCATTCCGCGCGAATTCGCAACTTTGAAGAACGACCATTTGTCTCATTTGGGGCTTTTGCAAAAAATCCGTCACATCCACCGGGCTTTACGGTCGATGATAATATCGGCATACCAAATTTTAAAGCTTTTTAGACGTAAAATGTTACAGTAGTCTAGATAGTGAATATGAGGTTGTATGTAGGAAAATTTATTTTTAAAATCAAAAATTAGTTGTACAGCTTACTTTAATATTACATATCGCAGTAGTTAAAACTATACAAGGTGTGTTTTTTTCTTATAAAGTGCATAATGACTGTTATTAAAACCTTCCTATACCTAAGAAAAGTAAGAATATTTACAAAAACCGCAAAAATACCTTTAAAAATATTGTAAAAAGTTGTTACAAAACACTAAGACAATGTAATGTGTATTAACAAAACCAGGGGGGGGGGAGGAGAAAAAAGTTTCATAGGATCTCATTGTTGATATTTAAAAAATTTTTTAAAAAAAGTCCACAGATAGCACAGATAGAGCCTGTAGCTAAAAAAATCTTCTCCCGGACCAAATGAGTACGGATATTTCAGAACAAGACACTCGTAACTAATCCAAAAGCTACCTAAACCTCCAAAAACAAAGAAGTTGACAAGGCTTGTCGGCTTCGAGAAAGCCGCGCGAAGCCACGCGTCAGCCTCTCGAGCAGGCTGACAAATTATCGGTCCGATTATTCCTATCAGTGTCTACAGTAATCCTCCCTTTCGAGATGCCGCCCCAAAAACAGCTCTTCGACCCTCGTGGCCAGGTCAAGACATCGATCAGGCGATTCTTTTGTTTCACCGCAAATATTTGGATCTCTTTGGCACTCAATCCTTTATCGCTTTAAACTTCATTTTAAACCCATTAGAAAGTGTATATGAATGCTGAAAGTAAATTAACGTTCCAAACACTTGTATTGGCCTATAGACCAACACTGGTTTAGCCATGTATAATAATTGTCATAATACTGCTTGAAAATATTACTGGTAAAATTAAAAGTAAGATATTATAACATTGTCATTTTTTTACTTTAATTATCTTTATTTGTTATACCGGTACAAAAATTGTAAACAGACCTACATTTTTAAAGCTCTAGGTGTAGCTTGACTGAAACGTCAAAAAATGTGTTTGAGCTGGTTCCGAGTGGCGGAGGTTGATTACTTTCCTTGTTAGACCTCAAACTAAAAGAAAAAAGTTGTTTTAATATTGAAAATGTAATACAGTAAAACTCCTGTTTAACGAATCGCTCAATGATTTAAAAGTTGTTTGTTATACAGGAATTCCTCTATAATTTTATATGTATGCCAAATTGCTGTGGTTTTTGCTCACGGTAACATTTGTCAAACGCATTGAAAAGTCCAAAGCCGTTGGATAACACATAAACTTAAATATACAAAAATTTTATTCATAAGTGAACTTTTACAAAGGTGACATTTAATATTTTAGCAGCTGCTTGAACTTTCACTGTCAAATCTTTATTGCATATTATGAATGATAGAAATTTGAAATTACAAAACATAGAAGGCACGGCGCTAGGACAAATGCGGTTTTTGGACATTTGCGGATCTGCGGTTTTTAGACACTTGCGGATCTTCGGTTTTTGGACACTTGCGGATTTTTTAAAGGTTTTTTTTTTTAATTTTTTATTTAATTTAGTTGTAGTATGGTACTAAATGGTACTAAAGTTCAAATTGGCACTGTCTTACTATTTCTTAATGTTAAATAGTACTAAATTTTTAATCGGTACTGTTTTTATATTTTTGGTACTAAATAGTACTAAAAGCCCAAAAAGGTACTGTTATGTTAAAACCGCACCAATTTAAACTTTAGTACAATTTAGTACCATACTACAACTAAATTAACTAAAAAATAAAAAAAAAACCTTTAAAAAATCCGCAAATGTCCAAAATCCGCAAGTGTCCAAAAACCGCAGATCCGCAAATGTCCAAAAACCGCATTTGTCCTAGCACCGAAGGCACCTGAGTTTGTTGAAAATCGAGGCATAAGACCGGTTAATGAGAGTTGAGGAATGGCTTGAGTAACAATAATAAATTAACATGTACACCTAGTTTAGTAGCTCCAGTACATCGTAAAGTATCTCAACTTTGTAGAACGCGTTGGTGTACACATGTTCCAATAATGGGCGTATAGAACAAGTTGCTTTCTAGAGGCTGTTCCCAGAGCTGCGTGATAGATACCAGTTGGGCGAAGACAATGTTGAGGGGAGTCTTGATGGATTTTCTGGTCGGTTTTTCCCTCTGGCAAGTCAGAATTTGTTTGAAGGCTTTGCGGAAATCACGAGAGAATCTGGAGTAGATCAGCGGGTTCAACATGGAGTTGATGGGCCCAGCCCATGTGATCAAAACAAAGATCAGCTCGTGGTTTCCAACACACTGAAATGGCAAGTTGTTATGGATTCATGAAAGGATTGATTGTCACATTTGCAGAACGGCTATTGCGAGCTGTTTAGGAAATTACTTTTACAGTGGCGGCAAATAAAATGGCACAGTCGGTTTTTTGTCAATTTGAAAATTTTTTCGAACGTTTATAAATTTATACCTAGCTACAGGGCCGGGCGCGAGGGGGGGGCGGGGACGGGGGGGGGGTGGGGGGTGTACCCCAGAAAAAAAATTTTTTGAAAAAAGTTGAACGTGGTCCCCCTTGTGGATTTTCAGAAAAAAATTTCACAAAAAATCGGCACAGGTAGCTAGCTAGCCCTGCCTAGCTATTATGAAAATGTAGGGTATGTTTAACATATTGAAGCAAAAAAAATTTTAATTCGAGTCTTAAATATTTTAAAAAATTTTTTGTAAAATTTTGCTTGGCAAAAAAAAGTGGGACACTTGTGACGGAAGCTGTTAATATCTAATGTAAGTTTTTATTTGTACTAGTTTTTGTGCTGTTTTTGTGTTTTAATAGCTTTTACGTTACAGTATGCCGAAACAAGCAGGTGAAGAGGTTCGTTTTTTAATTTTGCGTATTGTCAAAGGGAAGATAACGATTCGAGCAATAGCTACCATGGTTAACATGCCGAACGTTGTGGCTGTATTTCCAAGAAGAAACCTTCGATTAGGATCAAAAATAGCAAACTCCTGCTTGAATTTGCAAGGGCACATGAATATTGGACAAGTGATGATTTAAAAAAGGTTATTTTCAGTGATGAATCAAAGCTGAATACTAAGGAATCAGATGGTAAACGATAGATAAGAAGGCCACCTAACTCTGAAAATCAATTGTGGTACCTACGGTCAACAGTCAAGCATTCAAAAGGCATAATGGTTTGGTCGTGTTTTGCCTACAACAACATCGAACTTCTGATCGTATAGAAAAAATTATGGATAAGACGGTTTCCTTAGAAATTTTATCCAAAATTGCCATACCTTATTGTCGTTCTTTAAAAATAAAAGGATCCTTATTTCAAAACGATAACGACCCGAAACACACGGCTAAAGTTGTTCAACAATAAATGGAGAAGGAGAAAACCCGTGAACTCAACTTGCCTAGTCAGCCTCCTGACCTTAATCCTATCGAACATTTATGGGAACCAGTTGGAAGAAACAAACTAGAAAGGAGATACCCAGCGACAGAAACTCAATTGGAATCAGTTTTGGAAGAGGAATGGACAAAGCTCGACATTAAAGTAGTGAACAATTTTATCATGTCTATGCCTTGTCGAATAGTCATTTTTATTGCTGCAATTGGTGGTCCGACAAATTACTAGTTATTGTTTGTTAGTTAAATGTATTTTTAGTTTTTTTAGTTAGGTTGTTTAATAAAAACGTTTTTGATATTGAAGTGTCCCACTTTTTTTTGTCAAGCAAAATTTTTCTAAAAATTTTTAAAAATATTTAAAACAGAAATTTAAAAAATTTTTTTGCTTGAATATGTTAAACTTACCCTACATTTTCATAATACAGGGTGTCCCGAGAAATTACGTCGCTAGAAATAATTCATAACTTTGCAACTATGCATTTAAAAAATGCCAAATTTGGCACAGTTGTAGAACAGACTTGTACGTTTTTTTATAGAAAATTTTGAGTTTTAAAAGTGAAAATTAAGGTCACAGGGAATTTTTAAAAATCAGCATTTTACACCGAAATTACACATATTTTTTGTTGTAAATGAACAGTTTTCGTCGACTCTTGACATTTTTTGGTTTTTTTTTGGTTTTTTTTTCGGGAAACCGCGTTTTCTGATGTTTTGTGATTCTATTGGGTACTATGATCTACAAATGATCTGAAAGAGCAATGTAAAGCCATATATCCGTTTATTTTTTAAATTTTAAATTTTTTAAAACGTGCCGCGCCGGGCCTAGGAAGTTTCTGACCGGGCCGGGCCGGCCTGATTAGCTTGTTTATACAACCCTTGAATTATATACTTTTCATTTTTACTTTGGACGAAAATCTTGAATTCTTGCCACGAAAAAACTCTCATATTTTTGTGTGATCCCTTTTTTGTCTAATTGCCGTCGGCATTAGAGAAAAACTAGAGATCGCACAAAATTATGAGAGATTTTTTCGTGGACAAGAATTAAAGATTTTTGTCCAAGGTAAAAAATGAAAAGTGTATAATTCAAAGGTTATATCCTTAATTATTGCATGTTTTAACTAAGATTTTGAAACGTTTCGCAAAAACGATTAAACAACAAGTTAAACAAGTCAACGGTTCTGACTTCTTCGATGAGTTGCGTGAGCTCTTGTTCGTTCAGGTTTTTGGGCTTCTGGAATCGTTTTCTGTGATTGTGTTATGTTTTTGGACAAATTGGAGTATTGAGCGTTGCGACAAAAAGGAAAGACTGATATCAAGAATTGGGCGACAAACGACAAGGTCAGCGACAGTCGCTTGCACCCACACATCCCAACAGGAATCGCAATGTCGCAGGTGCAAAGCTTTGCAACACGCTGTCGCGATTTGAATGGTGCGACAATTGGGGGTTTGCACTGTGCAGACTCTCAATCATCACTTGGGGTCGAAAACGATCGCGGAGGAATTTGCACTGTGCATTGGGCTGTGATTTTCTCAGGAATTGCACTGTGCAGACCTCTATTTCTTTTCCGGAAAGACTGATAATTTAAAATGAACAACAAGGCTTTGACATTTATTTCGCTATGTCAAATAAGGTAAAGTTAAATGTTATTTATTTGTAAAAAGTCATATGCTTGATTCGTTGAACAATAATTTAAATGTTCGGTTACACCAGTTTTAACGTTAATTAATGGAATTACTGGGTTAGCCATTTGTAATTGAGAAAACCAATTGCAAAAGTCGCTTAATTCTACGACTGGAACTGGATATGACATCATTGATGAATTTGAAATTGGGTGATTGTTGAAAATAATTAATTTTCCATTTTGATTTCTTGTAGCAAGCATTTGGAATGGTGCATTAAACGCTTTCACTCGAACACGGTCTAAATATAAATTATAACTGGTTTGGCGGGGTAAACATAACGCAATATGTGGGGTAATAATTGTATAGGACTCGAATTGGACTAGGTTTAGCTCAATTAGAGATTAGTGTGGACATAGACAGGACTTATTTAAGCTTCAGGCAATGCATAAGCAAAATTAGAACACAGCAGGGTAGCGCAGTGGTTACGGCGCCACTTGCTAGTCGGAAGGACCTTGGTTCGGCCCCCGCCTCCGCCCAACCCAGGCGCATTGAGGAATGGGTAGTGTTGGGAGCACGTTGACTAGGCCCATCATCACTTATGGCTGGAGACTTATACTTCATTTTTTTTTCAAAAATATTTTTTTCTCAGTGAAAACCAAAAAATGGCGCAGGAAAATACACAATTCTGCGCCATTTTGAAAAAGAGAGCACAATAAAACGAGAGACCCTAGAGAAAAGACTCTCTCTCTTTCAAACGATATTTTTTCAAATGGCGCAGGATTTTGTATTTTTCTGTGCCATTTTTTAATTTTCACTGAGAAAAAAATTTGAATTATAAGTCCCCAGCCATACTTGGCCAACACAGGTGTATGATAGACAAGCCATAAGTCCTATGAAGCACCTCACCCACGAACCAGTGATGCGGTAAACAGTGAAAACTGGGGGGAGGCCCAATTATGGGAAACATCATAAACCAAGGATAGCTCCGGTGAACAACGAGGAAGAACTAGAACAATCCAGGAACATACACGCAGTACCTCAATGCAATTCGTCGGCATCAACATCATATAATCTAACTACATCTACATTTCACCGACCGTAAATTGTAATTGTATAGCGTAGAAAATATGTTAATAAAACCTTTAATAATATGTGGGGTAATGATTGTATAGAACTCGAATTGGATTAGGTTCAGCTCAATTAGAGATTAGTGTAGACATAGACAGGAATTATTTAATCTTCAGGTAATTCATAAGCAAAATTAGAATACAGCAGAATCAGAGTGAAGTAAACTCTACATTTTTATTATATCATCACGAAAAAGTGTCAAAGTCGTATAACTTACCTCTTTCAAAGCTCAAGAAAAAACGTCTATGATAGGTCTCTATAACCTGGTATTTTGGTAATGCCACAGCGTATGCCAAAATGTATGAAAACCATTGCTCAGTTAATTGAAGATTTGGATCTGCTTTTTTTATCTGCCAAAGGTTCATTCGTTTGTTATAAACCAAAAACTAAAAAATGAAACATTAGATTTTGAAGATATAACCCTTGGTGTATATACTTTTTATTCTTACTTTTGACAAAAACATTGAATTCTTGTCCACGAAAAAAGCTCTCATAATTTTGTGTGGTCCTTCTTTTTGTCTGATTGCCGTCGACCTTACATGTTAGAGAAAAACTAGAGAACGCAAAAAATTATGAGAGATTTTTTCGTGGACAAGAATTCAAGGTTTTCGTCTGAAGTAAGAATGAAAAGTATATACATCAAAAGTTATATCAGTCATTCCACTAAAGAATTTTACAACTGGAAAATCACGGCCTTTTTGTTCCGCTGCACCGTGCAGATTCCCCCGCGACACCCTCGGTTGTCGCAGGAGTCAGTGGACTTGCGACAGTCAAAAGAAGCTTGTCGCAAGCTTTCCACTGAACACAGTGGTGGCTTGAGCGTCGCAACAGCCGCGACACGCTGTCGCGTCGCCATTCTAATCGCGACGCGACAGTATGTCGCAAAGTTTTGCACCTGTGACATTGCGATCCCCCTTTCGATGTCGGTTCGATTCTTTTTCGGAGTAAATGAGTGGTATTCTTTTTTATTTAAATGTTAATTCGTTTGAATAATCAAAACAAAATTTTTTTTGTTGATAATTGCTTCTTACATCCAGAGTTCTTCCCGGACCGGACCTAATGCGATAGTCCGGAATTTGAATTTTGTTTTCCCGCGCTTTTTTTTCTACCGGTCGGATCGGTCTGCAACTTTTTCTACCCCCCCCTTATTTGGAATGGTGCTGACGAAATTATCCCCTTGTCAGGCAGCTAAACCACCGACGGCTCTCCCTCTCGAAAAAAAGAGCGGGATTTGAGACTAAACATGAGAAACGGCCCGGGTCTGCCATCGGGCCGGCCTTGAGCAAAATTTTGATCGGGCCGGGCCTGAAAAATGAGTTGGGCCCTGCCCGCTTCCGCGTAAAAAAAATTTTTTGGACCGGGCCGGCCCTGGGCCCGGCCCGTTTCTCATATCTATTTGGGACTTTATGGAGCGGTGGGGAATAGGACCAGCAGGTCCGATCGGACAGTCGGTTAGCAATAGGATTATTCAGAGGTAATGTGGAAGTAAATAAATAAATCATTTAAAAACTATCATTACGCATTTATAAAAAATGCAATTAAAAACATAAAAAGTACAAAATTTTTTAAAATATCTTACCGAATTCGTAATTTCATTGAAAAGAGTATTATAATTAAATAAACACCAATGGTCGTCATCGGGCTCATAAAATTCAAATCGTCTGTTCTTTACACTATATATTCGGCATCCATATCCATCATCATTACCTAAATTTTCATAATTGTTCAGCTTTGAAAAATTTTAAATAATTTTCATAACTTTCCATACCTCTAATTACTACAGAATCATTTTCATTAATGATATACACTGCCATTCGTTCTCTCCATTCACAAATTTCGTGTCTTTCATCAGTTTCACAATCGACAATGACAAATTTGCCGTCTCTTGTGCGTAGTCCAAGATATTTTGGCTTGTCGAACATATTAGCGTCGTATATGCCATTATACAAAAATCTTGGATACTCTGCGTCAATTGGAAATTTTTTTTGAGTATAAAAATCAAAAACAGTGTGATCGTGGGTAATTGAATAGCGGAATTCGTAGCATGGTCCAAATTTATATAGGTTTGTTGTTTTCAATCCCAGGTCATATAATAAAACATAATGACGGGAAAAAACCAAAAGCTGTGTTCCTCTATTAATAATTTTAACACGGCTAATTTTCTCCCCATAATATGTAAAATCAAGAAGAGTGAAGTCCTTTAGAGCAAAATCAATATTGGTCAGTATCACATAACCTTTTTTAAGTTTAATAGCCATTTTTCCGGTAAAAGGACAACAAACAGCGTTATCACCGTAAAACTGCGTATAACCAGTCATTAAACAATATGAACGATCCGCGAATCTAAATTTTTTAGCAATCAACATGAGATTTATACAAACTTCCAGATAATATCAGTCTTTCCCCAAAAGAATGTTCCGTGATGACGGAAAGACTGCACAGTCCCAATTGTCGCACCGGCCGGTTGTCGCAGGAGTTCAGAGGACACGCGACAGCCAAAAAGAACTTGTCGCACGCCTTCCACAGAACACAGCGGTGGCTTGAGCGTTGCGACAACCGCGACACGCTGTCGCATCGTCTTTCAAGTCGCACCGCGACAGTTTGTTGCAAAGCTTTGCAACCTGCGACATTGCGATTCCCTTGGAATGTCGCAAGGTAGCGAATGTCGCGCGACTTCTCCCGATTCTTGGCGCGACAAATTGGGGTTTACGATTTTGTGTAATTCTTTAGTGGAAAGACTGATATCACCTAAAAAACAAAATTATAAAACTGTAAACGTACTTTGAAAAAGCATAAGTCCAAGTCTCGCCGTTTAGGCGATACACCACCATAACATAACTGTTTAAAATCCTTATTGATAAGTTTGTTAAAATACTTGTTTATCATAGCCAGCGAACAAGTATCTTCCATTACAGTCACATGATCTATCACTTTGTACCATAACTAAAATTACATGTTTTTGTATAAATTTATGCCGCAAAGTAAATACATAGTGATTGATAAAAAAAAGAGAAAAAAGAGAAGGTTAGGTCAATTTTATAATTTTAATGAAATATATTTTCACAAAAAGATTATACAAATCACCGTCGTTCTCTATAATAATTGAGTTCGTTAATAAAAAGAAACGTACCTCTGGTAGCAATTGATCAGCAAAAATCCTCATTAGAAATTTGAATTAATTAACAACGATGCTGAAAATTTGTTTTAAATACAAGTTGTTACGGCCAACTTATAATATATATTGTAAATCAAAGATGCGACACACGAAAAGCAGTCTCCAAATGTTTCTGCACGGTGCAGTCCCTGGGAAAATCGCGCCCTTTTTATTCCGCTGCACCGTGCAGACTTCTCGCGCGATCATCCGATACAGCCTTTAAATTATAAAACTCTACATTATAAGCTAACGCGAAATACCCAACCTGTCCCGCTCACAATCAGCTCAAAATTTTTTCAGTCAGTTCCATTACTAACAGTACCTATAAAAAATATTGTTTTGTTTTAAATTTAAAATATTTGGGGTTCTCGCCAATTTGACAATTCTGGAGGCGGGGATCGAAAAAATCGGCACAGGCAGCTAGCTACCTTTGCAAAATTTTTTTTCGACTTGTGAGGGCAAATGAAGATTTAAAAAAAAACTGAGCACCGCAGATCAAGTACTTTCCTTGTGAGATGAAGAAAAGCAACAAGTCCTCACTTAATTTTTATGTGTTGACCAAACCCTTCGATAGTGAGTCTTCCTAATGCTGAAACAGTTTGTGTATAGAAAACGCAGCTTTTTTCCCTGTTTTCTCTCGTGTATCTTCCTGGGAAGTTATGCCTGCCGTCCCAGCGTTTACGCGCGAGCTCCGATGGCTACGACAAATACGATGATGTCACAGTCGACGAGGTCAAAACCGCACTTGCTGTGGTATTAAGCTTCCCAACGATAATATTGATATTGAGTTCAAAGTCTAAACCTAAAAGTCTTCAAGTCAACAGCATAGCTATAGTAAACTTTTGTCGTTTATTAGTGTACGGTATAAATAATATTGTCGGACGTTTATCATTAGCAAGGTGCTTCAATTACCACACAGACTTGGTATCATATGACATGTATATGTAAAGGCGCATGTAGAGCTCTTTGACAGTAGCATCATACCTCTAGCAACTCCCACTTTTTTGTATAATCTCTTTATCAGTCTGTCCGGAAAAGAATGTTAAAAAATCGCAAACCCCAATTTAGAGGAATCGCTGTCGCGCTGAGGATTGAGCGACAATCGACAAGGTCTGCGACATTCGCTTGCACCCTGCGACATCCCAATGTGAATCGCAATGTCGCTGGGTGCAAAGCTTTGCGACAAACTTTTGCGTCGCGATTAGAATGGCGATGCAACAGCGTGTCGCGATTGTCGCGACGTTCTGTTTTCTGTTGTTAATCGACTATATATAGGTTTCGACCCAAAGTCGAAGGGCGATTTAAGTCACCTCCCTTGTCAATTTTTCGCGTTTTTTAGAATTCGTAGGCTTATAAACAAAATCTACGATTGTTGTTGTGTTAAAACAGCTTCAATTACAAAAAATACAAATAAAGAGTTTCAGAAATAGTATTTGTTATCCATTGTTTATACACGTCTCATGTTAAATGACTCTTAACATTAAAACGGAAACCCTTTTACTTTGGCGTTCCGTGGCAAAACAAAAATTGTGATTTTTTTCAATTTTTCGCGTCAATTCTTTTGGCAACAATGGAGGAGCATTAGACATGGTAAATTGAAGCTCGTTTAACGGTATTTTTTACAAATTTTAATTGAAACAGTCTTTGAAACGTATTTTATAATTAATAAACAACTTTTCATACACGTGAAAACACTTTCAAATATTTTGTACCTAACAAGGTAAATGAAAACGTATTACTGAAACTTGAAGAAAACCTAAGTATCCTATTGAACAAAAATCTAAATATTCTAATTTGAAAAAATGGGAACAATTATAAAAGTTGATAGTATATTAAAATAAGCAAATTTTACTTTTCAGAAACTGTCATTTTCATTTCAAGTTTTATTGTGCGGTTGACACTAAAGGAATGCTGAAGATCAACGAGGATGGAAGTTGCCAACGCATCGGAATCGACGGAGCAGCTTTGCCTGGCACCAAAAACATCGACGAGTTTGGTCCTAATGGCATGAAAGAGGCTTTGGCCAGTATCAAGAAGGAACAGGAGCCTCATGAGGTCAATGCTGTAAGAGGAAAGTTCTCGAAGGTCACGTTGGATACTGTAGGTTTTTTGGAAATTATTTTGGTAAAAGTGTTTTCATGGTTTGTTGTAAGGGAGGTTTTATGTTTATGGGGATTATTATGACGACTTTAAGCACAATTTATGTCAAAAAAATTTTATTTATGTTAAAAACAATATTTAAGTTCATCAGAAGTCGGGTTTTCAGCTAGATTCTAGCGACGAAGACGATCCCGAGCCGAGTTTTCATACTGCTCCAGTGTCTCAATCAGAAATCAATGAATCCGAGCAAGAAAAAGGTGTAAAGGAATTGAAGGAAGACCAGAAGGACACTATGGTGTGTTCTTATTTTGGTCTACTTTTTGTTTTTACGGTTTTATGTAATCTATTTTTGTTAGACTTGTTTTATTTCTTTTTACCAAATTTTTATAAAATTTTAAAAAATTAGGTACAATTCAAACTCTCCTTTGTACTATTAGTGAGTAGTTTCTTTGGCTCTGCGACCGTTATTGGAAAACATTAAGTTTTAAGCGGCAAATTATGTAAAATCCATACTAAAATACTGCTTTAGACTTGGAAAATCCCGGTGATGTTCATCTTCATCAACCAAACCGGTCGGTTTGTACCTAAAATCGAAGTCAGTGTAGAACCGAACAGTAGTATTGAAAAAGTTGTCAAAACTGCTCTCAAGGCCATCCAAGTGGAGACCAAAGACATCTCGGACCTTCAAGTTCAAGAACAAGCACATGGAGTGACAAAAGAAGTTCATACTATGAATGACACTGCCAACCCACAAGGAGCATATTGTATTACTTTCCAACACAAGTTCCAGGTTAATGTAAGTAGTGTTTGGGGCGCTAGGACAAATGCGGTTTTTGGACATTTGCGGATCTTCGGTTTTTGGACACTTGCGGATTTTCAACATTTGCGGATTTTTTAAAGGTTTTTTTTAAATTTTTTAGTTAATTTAGTTGTAGTATGGTACTAAATTGTACTAAAGTTTAAATTGGTGCGGTTTTAACATAACAGTACCTTTTTGGGCTTTTAGTACTATTTAGTACCAAAAATATAAAAACAGTACCGATTAAAAATTTAGTACTATTTAACATTAAGAAATATTAAGACAGTGCCAATTTAAACTTTAGTACCATTTAGTACCATACTACAACTAAATTAAATAAAAAATAAAAAAAACCCTTTAAAAAATCCGCAAATGTCCAAAAACCGCATTTGTCCTAGCGCCGTGTTTGGATAACATTATGGATTTTAAGTTAATTTGGGAGTTAAGTTTTTGTTTTTTTTGAAGATTTGAAGTTAACTTTAATTTATAAGTACAGGCTTAATCGTATAAAACGTCGCTTTGGGCATTTTTTTATAATATTTATTCTGTACAATTTTTTTGGAATTTACATTGCGACATATTGGTATGTATCATAAATATAATTAAAATGTGTCTAGGAGCCGATTGTTGTCAATTTTGCCTACACAAGCCCTGACGGTGGGATTCAGAAGCACACGGTGCAGTATGAAAATGAATCTGTCGATAGTCCAGCTGCCTTGGTCTTCAAAAAGTACAGTCAATTGAAGCTTACAGACTTGAACTCAATCAAAGCCACAAAAGATGGAAAGGAAATCAGTGTGGAACAGTTATTGAGTCAACCTGGAGAGTACAATATCAGTTTTGGGTCTAAGGTTCCTGAGGATAAGGTGGGAAGATTACAAGTTTAAAGAACTATATTTTAAATTAAATACAGATTATTGTAGTTTGACTACCTTAATATTCTTATTGACTAAATTAATGTTTTAGAGTAAGGTACTGTACCACTTCCGTGTCCTCAGCCGTGCTTCATTTGACACTCGCTGCTACACCGTTGAATCTCCAGTAGAACCTCGCTCCTTCCATCGCTTCTGGACTGAATGGGCTCCAACTGTTGGTTTGAAGCCTGAAAATCTGCATAAACTAGCTGAACATACGACTGGTCCACTCAAAGATATGGAGTTCAACTCTAAATTGACTCCATTCTCGGCTTACATGATTGCCTACACTGGGGAGTTCTGAAGACGATAGCTAGAATATTATTTGTATTATAAGAGATATTATTATACGTAGTTAGTAGAAAAATAAATTATTTTGTATAATTTTGTCTTAGATCTGTATATTGTTTGGAGTTCATTATATTTTGATTTTTCTGCTTATGATTTTAATGTTTTTTATGAAGGATAATGTAAGTTATGGTAGGTGGGTAAAACAGAGTAATACTGATATTTTGATGTCCCGCGTATTGCTACACTCGTCATGGTGTAAATAACGTTACGCACCCATCACCCGATGGTGTGTTAACATGTCGTTCAGCACCTTGACCTTCTGGTTCCCTTTTAATGGCTCGTAAATAAGTAGAAAGGGCTGCGCGAGATCTTGACAATCACATTTTATATGGTTTTATCTCTGTCACGACAACATAAATCACATTCCGATCAGGCGACTGCTTCCAACGGCATTCGCTTAGGCCTAATTATCTATTTATTGTCGCGTGTCCATAAATCGACCGCATCTGGCCAGTTTTGTAATACAAACGGATTAGGGAATTACAGTAACCCTGGGATTAGGTGTAACGAGATTAAAGTGATGTTATGTTTGTTTTGGTTTGATTTGATTTGGGTCGAGAAATTTGGGTTAGGTTGTGGGTGCAAGCTTGGCGGTTTATAAACAAATCAATGTTTATATAATGTTATCACGGTTGATTTAAGTTTGTTATACCGGAAGTAGAATCTTATTTTGTATTTGAATATAAAATTTATTTGGATTTTCATGATAATGGAACTTGTATAACGAATCTATAGGGGATTTAAAATTCGTTCGTTATGAAGAGGTTTTGTTATACGGGAGTTTTAAATGCACTGTGTAGTGTTAGCCGGGGAATCAAAAAGTTGTTTGTTATACAGAGGTTTCTTTATACAGGAGTTCTGTATACAGAGGTCATACAGTGTTGTAAAATATAAAATCTAAAGTAAGTTATAATTCATGAACAATTTACTAATAAAACTCAAGAAATGCTTTTCTCATTTACCTTTTCCATGATTACAGTTAGCTTGTAGAAGTTTGCAATGTTTACGACAGGAATTTTATGATGAAACTTGTTGTATTACAAAGCCCAATTAGTATTACCTATTTATCATCAGTTTTTAAAAGAAAAAAGTATTGAAAGTTTTCTGTGTATTATAGTTAGGACTTGATCCATATACAGTGGAACCTGAGTATAAGGAACTCTTGTATGACGAAAAATTTTTTGAATCCTTGGCTAACATTAAAAAGTGCATTTATAACTCCTTATAACGAAACCTCTTCATAACAGACAAATTTTAAATCCCCTAGAGACTTGTTATACGAGGTTTTTCAGTGTTATAATAGAATTTAGTATCTGAACCATATTATAGTAGATATAAAAAGTTTTTACAACTTTAGCAAAACTTTTTTACGACAGTTTGGCCTAAACACAAATGCAAAAATTAATGGAATCCAATCATGATTTTAAAAGAACACATAGTTAATATATTGTAATTTAAACTTTAATTTCAGTTCTTTGGTCTTTGTATTGGCATAATAATTCAACTTTTACACTCTTGAGGTCTATCAAATTTGATCGATTTTACAAGAACAGACAATGTTATAACTGAAGTAATTGAACTTGCATGCTATTTACTACTCTACTCTGAACAGTTAACTATGTCATAAAAAAGTCGAAATTGAGTGCAAATTGATACAGTTCATATTTCATGGCTACCGTAAAACTGGTTTTAATTCTGGAAAGTGTCATCGCCTGGGGGTTGGGTCGTATTTCAAGCGAGTTCATGAATCTCTTGATTCAGAAGAGTCCATCCATCTGCCTCTACCGTAGCCGTTTATATAAAGGCAGGGGTGACAAGGAATTTATGGCCCAAAGTTGGTTCGCGCAAAGAAAGGCAACAGTTGCTGGGCCTATTGTCCCCTTTGCCTAGCCGCTGCCGTAAAACTCCTTCAGATTTACATCTTTTGTCGCTTTCGGCGTCAAAACAACAAGATGGATCGCGAGGAAACGAATTAATCCTAATATTAATCCCTTATTCTAATTAATGCAACCGTTTTTTGGGAAAGCATGGCTGGTTTCGGGTTACGGTAGAGCCGTTCGAAGCGGTTTGGGGGGTTATTGTAGGGTATTACCTGTCAAACAGATCTGATTGGATGTGGATTTGGGTAAAACGTTTCATAATTGTTATTTGAAGGTTGCTATGGTTTGCTTTGAAATCTAATTTTATATTTTAAGTCTACAACCAAAACTTTACAGTTACCAGCTATTAAAATATTTTTTTGATCCTTTTAACTTTGTAATACGCTAATTTATGTAAAAATTACTGTCTATTATATTATGTTTTCCTTTTTGAATTTTTCAATTATTTTTACAGCTTTTTAAGTTAGGCTCGCTGTTACTTATAACTGAACTAAGCCTAAATATTTGATAAGTAAATGACGTCAGTTTTAAGTATTTTTAAGTATAGGACATGTTAGAGATGGCTATTCACTAGAAAGACGTTATAGCTTTAATTATGTTAGTTTTCATTCCCTGCCAAAAAAAATAATTCAAACTTGTAGTTAAACTAGCTTTTGAGCCGGGCCGTCCCAGTTTTTAGCCCACCTCAACGTTTCTTTAACAAATCCCGGCCAAAAATCAAGTTTAGCATAAGCTTGTTTCTACTCAGTTTTAATCAAAGGGGATCTTTTCGGAATATGGCCATAAAATTATAATGAAATTTTGAGACTGGAAAAGGAAGAAATGATGGCGCGGTCTGATCAGGACTGAGATTGTTTACGCTTTTTAAGTAATAAAAGTTCCGCTAAAGTGTCTTTAATTGTTTTTAACTTATCTTTTTTGTTTTTGAAATGCAAATTAGTTTTGCGAAAGTTTTTTGTAAAGAGGCCAATATTGTACTACCTTTGTAGCTTTAATTGCATTTAAGAACCTAGTTTAAAGGATTTAGCTGGACTAGGGAAAAAATGGAAGAATTTTTTATTTTTTTGAAAAATATTATAGATAATACAAACAGTTTTTGATAATTTTGATAATAAAAAGAGTTTAAATATAAAATTTTGTTAAAACCCATAAAGTTGTTAAGAAAAGCAAAAAATGATTAAAATCGGAAGGGTTTGTTTAGTGAGATTGATGAAAGTACTAAAATATCTCGTAAAGTAGGTGTTACAACACCCTTTGTAGATTTGTCCCTTTTTAAAGACAGTAAAATGGTTAAGACTTTAAGGTAATATTAACCAAGGTAGAATGTACTAACTATGTAGAAACTACTGAAAAAGTAGAAAATGTCGCTAAAATATAGTTTAATCTTGATGTTTCTGATCCGTATGTCCTAAAACACAACAAAAAACAAAAAGAACTTACGGCTTTCGGCTTTACAGTACCGGAAGCGAGAGACCGGAAGCCGAATCAAAACATAAAACTCCTTGAAGACGGCCGAAAGCCGTGGACCACCGCCCGGAAAGGTAGCAGAGACCTTGTTTACGAGCGTTATCAAGAAGAATGGGCGACCTTGTAATTGGGCCCTGTCATTTCTGTTGATTATCAAATCGCGAAAATTTACGACATGTTTTATGAGGGGTTGCGGCGACTTGAAAAGAGCCAGCAGAACATGTCGCCTTCTGTTTTGGTTAGATGCAAACTCCACTTTCCGATGTTGGGATATCTTTTCCTGGAGTTTGACACTTGCGCAAGACAGACAGGTAGCCGGCTGTCTGCTGGGCTGATTGGCTGGGGAGGCCGCAGCCAATCAGCGGCCGGGGAGGAGGGGCCTCGCTCTCTTCACACACAACGCCACAGGCAAGCCCTGCCTTCACGAGACCCGTCCCAACTCCCCCCCCGGTCTTCTTTTTTTGCAATGATCATTTCGTTTAATGACTGGCCGTTTTTCGGAATGTCCCTATTAAATTAAATTTATTTGCTTCTGTTGACTCTCGTCGTGCGTCGTTTTAACTTCGTCGATAACGGCTTCACATTAGTTTAGCACTTTAATTATCTGTTAATTACTTTTTGGGGTGGAAAAATAAATTTTATCGCGAACAAATTAATCACGTGCACCTTGAATATGTTGTTGTAGTAAATCAGGGTATTGAGTTATGGCGACGCTGATAAACTGTCGGTTATTGCTACGCTTACAGCTTTCTACCAGCAATTTTCCGATATTTTAAATTGATAAAATATTCGTTTTTGTATCGTTAATTCATGCATTTTTCGTATTTTTATTAAAATATTTTTAAAATTTTTTCATATTGATTATGAAACTTACTTTAGGCAGCGACATTCGGGCGTTGGCCGTGTTGCTCCCCATCTGAAGCTGGATACTGCCTGGAGCGGTTCCTCCGCTCATCCCACAGTCACCACGACGGCCTCGTTGCCACGTTCCGGGCCTCAGGCCTCATCCGAAGGTGTGGCCGCGTTCTTCAACCCCCAGCCCTACTACGCATGGCCACCGAACTACGCCAGCTCGTCGGCCGCCATGATGTACCAGCAGGCAGCTGCGGCAGCCGCACTGAGCTGCTGGCCCGCTGACATGTCCCAAAATGGCGGTCATGCCTCCACCACCACCCAGAACTCGTCCTCCTCCAACTACTGGTCGTTGTCGAACAACCAGCTGCCTGCCAGCAACGCCAACTCTTCGAATCAGTTGTGTTCTGACGACTCGCCCGCCATTAACGAGAGCAACGAGATCGGCGCCGGAACTTCGTCGAATCCGCAAGGAAACTCGTCGACGGAGGAGAGTCCCAACAAGAAGTTGTACGAAAGTACGACTGCCGCCTCGTTATTATACTCCAACCCCAACAACTACATGAAAAGCATGTTGGGGGCGGCCGCGCAGTGGGCAAACGACGTGACGTGAGTTTTGCAAATATTGATTATGTTTTAAGCGGATATTGATTACTATATTTTATCGATTAATGTCATTTTGTTTTAAAAATTATTGTTTTTAACTTCTTTTATATTTTAAAGTGGTTTTATGGCTATTTTATCACTTAATTTAGTGCTTTAGAACTACATATGAAACATAATATATTTTGCTGTTAACATAACGTAAATCTAGGTTTCCGAGTGCTTATTCCGGGTTTTCTCAAAGTTCTTCGAGTCAGCTGAGTGCCGAGCGAAGTCCTCAATTAGGATCTCATCCTGTGTTTCCGTGGATGAAAATGAGTGGTAAGTACTTTAATACATGTTATATCTAAATCATCTCTTATCACCGTTTTACATCCAAATACTTAACGTGTCTCTTAAGTACTTTACTCACACATATCCATATCTACATTAATCTCATTTGTCATATTGTACAGCCGGCTTTTCGGGGGATTACGATAGTTTTAATTAAATGCAAGAACATTGCGGGACGCCGTGCCGTGCTTGATTTCCATTCAACCGTGGGCGTACGGTAATTTTGGGGTGGAGGTCAGCATATAATTGTTGATTCCATCTTGACTTCTCGACTACTTGATGTCATTGTCGTCCTTGGCTGTTAATTTATGCGTTTTTCAATATTTTCACCGCCGATCCCATAAAACCGGGCCTTAAAGTCCACTTAATGCCGATCACTTTTTGTCGTATGTCACCGGTCGGCGGGTGCCATATAAACTTTTATTGAGTTAAACTTTTGGTATGTTGAGGTAGACTCAGAGTTTATATCAATCTAGGTTAATATTGACTAAATTTAACGTTTTTAAACAGAAGTAACAAGGCTGAAAGAATAACAAATGCTTGCAAAAGGCTTCTATAGACTTTTTGACCGCTTTTAAAGCAAAACCTGTTTGCTACCTTAAGGTATAAGTTTATTTGTATACATTAAAAGCCATTTGAACACATTTGCACGGCTTTAAACGCCATTTCAAACGCGTTCATATGATTTGAAATGTTTTTTTGGTCATTTGTAACTCTTGACACTGACCTGCAGCTGGGAGTTATTTAAAGCCGGCCGCAAAGCTTAGTGTGAAAGGCCATACTATCATATGCCAATACGAAAAACATTTTTCATAAACATTTTATAGAAATAAAAAAAAAACATTGAACTTATGTTTTGACGGCATAAATTCATAGCCGGCAAGTTTTCGAAATTTCATAGTTATTGGCTAGCCATTTTGTGGTTTTGAGGCCATTTTCAGGCCACTTTTTAGCGTTTCAAATAAAATATAAGCAATTAAAACAGGTTAAAAGCCATTTTATGCTATTTTTAAAATTTTAAAATTTAAATTTCTGGCGATTTTTAAATTTTTTTTGGCTAGCCATTTCTTCCCATTCCCAGCCTCTCGACCAGTCGATGGCGTAATGAGGACGTAAGGATTAAAATGGAGCCCAAATCGCGCCCTGGGGGCATATAAACCGTGTTGGGCGAGACGGGCGTAGTCCTCCCCAATTGTTGTGCTGATATTTCACAGAGATGAAAGGGAAACGCCGCCTTCGGGTTCGAGCCCACGAATGAAATATGGTTATGGCCGAAACGGTGGAGCGGCGGCGGTTCAGAAAACAGGCGCTGTTCCCTCTCTAATACGTTCCCAAAAACTGGGAAGCCGGCTGTCTCCGGGGGTTCGTCATCCGCAGGATTCACATTATATTCAGGTATGAAGCCGGGCGAATCCAAACGCACCAGACAGACCTACACGCGGAAGCAGACGCTGGAGCTGGAGAAGGAGTTCTACTACAATAAGTACCTCACCAGGAACCGACGACAACAGATCTCAGAAGCTTTGCAACTCAGTGAACGACAGGTAACTACATGAAACATAACACATACATAGACATCTTAAAGTTACAACAACTGTTAATGTTGTTGTGTTATCTAAAGTAATATTGAAGACACGAGACAAAACACAATTACTAAAGCAGCAAAGCTTATTTTTAAACCATTTCACAGTAAACTTTGAAAATAACTTTTATAGTTTACTGTAAAATAAGTCCGAGAACTTTTGAAGCACTAGATGTAAGAAAACCTCACCTAAATACAGACTTGAAAATGACAGTTTTAAGTAATTAATGTTACAACTAAGGTTATTCTTCCTTAGATCTTTTTACAAACTTTTTATACAATAAGGTATACTGTAACCACTTCTTTATTGATTTATAAAAAGTAGGCAATCTAACTTTGATTGCTTTTTTAACAATTTTAATTACAATTTTATGGCCAAATTCAACATTTAAAATGAATTTAGTTAATTAACAGATCATTATGGTAATTTATTTGGTCAAGACTACTGTAGTTTTTGATTAATGGGCTTTTGTTACAATTTAATTAGACGTTACATTAGAAGGGTTACGGTATATTTTGATCTCATTTTTTAAGTTTTTTGTAGTTTAGAAGGTTTTTTTATAAAAAAATATAATATAAAGTTACGTAAGCCAATGACTAATATAAGCAAAGGTACAATAAATAAACAATAGGTTTATGAATTTGCTTGTTGTTTCAGTTTAGACTTGTTATTAGGGACAATACATGTTGCAAAATGTTAAGCTAACTTCATTCTGACACTTTGACAGTATTATTAGGTTGTTCGGAAAGTTCTGAGCCAAAATATTTCATTTTGAAAAAAGAAGTAGACAAAAAAGGATGAAAAGAATAATATAAAACATTTTGTAGTAAACTATTAGTAGCCTGTTAATTAAAAAAAGTATTTTGAAGGTGTGTCAAAAATTGAATTTGTGCCAATTTTTTAAAATTATCGCTTGGCTCAGCACTTTCCGGACAAGTTAATATCTTATCGTATTAACAGCTTTTTCAATTGAAGATCTTTGTTTCTAGTTTTGTTTTTCAATCCAAGTAGCAACTTATGTTAGGTTGTTCAAATAATTCTGTGCTCCCTTTCTAAGCGAAATTATTGGAGTTAGGGGCACAGAATTATTTGAACAACCTAATATTTGTAAATAATACTTTTCATTATAAATGTAACTTATATTTGTGAGTATGATTTGATTTTTTAAATATAAAATGCAAAACTCTACTTTACTGCAGCGCTAGCCATTACTGTATTCTCCAGCCAGAGCGTTAGTACTGTAACAAGCCACTGTTTGCAAATTTTATGCGTTTAAACCCCATTTAACCAACGCACGTTTTGTATAATTTTAGGAGATAGTTAAGGTCTATTATGCGTAATATTATTCGACCAACTGAATAAAATTTAATGGTCTCTACTTTATACAATTTATGGTAATGGGCGGACGTCTTAAAGCGGGCCAATTTTAAGACGAAACCGGCGTTTGATCATAAGCTAGATTAATATTGTCATCTAATGAGCTGTGAGGGATGATGTGTATATGAAACAGTACTGTAACATGGATTTTAAAATTTAAAAGTAGCTTTTATTGTAATTGCTTCAAAAGATCTCGGACAGTTTGTGCAGAAAATCAATTTTAATATACAGTAACCTTAAGTAACCAGAATTTTCGTAAAATTCAAAAATACAAACTTAATTTTCGTATTTTACCGTAAAACGGAATCGTATCTCGTAACACACCTAAAATTACACTTTCAATGCCATTACTCCCTAATTACATCGTACTTTGTGGTGGTGTCACGTACTCAGATACGATTGTCGTTAGCGTTAATGAGCAGCCTCCCACAACGCCTCAGGGGATTTGTTTTCAGGTGAAAATCTGGTTTCAAAACCGTCGCATGAAATACAAAAAAGAATTCAAAACGGAGAACGACAGTGGCCCTGAGGACAACTGATCGCCTTCTCCCCCGCTCAACCATCATCGGCTTTAATTCTCTTCTAATCACTATATTGTTGTTATATCAGAGCATTTAATTCCATTTTGTATCATAAAACATATTCTACAGCATAACTTATCTTTCTGAAAAGCAATACAAAGCACTGATAGATGTCTTAATAAAGCTTTTATCTCTGAATTAATTCTTGGTTTAGGTTTAAAATTATATTAACGATGTTATTGTAGCTTTAAACAAATGAAAAAAAAACTAAATTTTGGAAAATTGATTAATTTGCGCTTCTGATCGTGGACCTTTATTTCAACTTAATATTTAAACCTAAAACAAAGAAAACTTAATTTGACAAGAACTTCAAAAATTCTTTTTAATGTTAATTATGTAAATTTCCTTATTTTAAATTGTCAAAACTACAACTAGATTTAAGACTATAGATTACTATGCCTAAACAATGTTGTAGCTAATGTTCTAGAGAGAAGCCAAATATTTTGACCAACATGTTGCAACACAAATATAAATTTACAAATTCACAAACTTAAAATGTTCTAAAACGAAATGTCAAAGACGAAGTGTCAAAACAAAAATTAATTTTCCGTTTTTTACCACTTTTCTCTTTTTTTCGATACATATTTGAATTCAATTGCTTCAGAATTTGATTTTGACAGTATATTGAGTGTTTCTGCGGTCTATATCTTCTTGATCTACCTGCTAGTTAAATATAAAGCTTCAAAAATACTTTTTTCTCAAAACAAACTCACCTGTCGTGATGGATAATATTCTGGTGCAGTTATGTTCGATTACGTTGCTTAATGCCTGTAATAAAGGAAACAAAAGAAGCATCGGTAAGTCTTCAAAATTTTTATTAAGTAGCAAGGATTGGTATTTTGACACCTTATAAAGATAACGAGTACTTTTTGATAAAAATCTGTTTATCAAAAAGACAGTAATTTTTCTACAAAGTTTAAAAATAACTTTTTGACAATTAAAAAGTTCAAAAATCTTACTTGTTTATGCAAATTTTTAAGGAAACATAAATAGACGGGATTTCAATGTTTGGGTCTTATTGTCAACATTGTACGAGCGGTAAGAAGCGGATCGGTCTGTTTACTGTAGTGCGCATCGATTTCTGATTACAAGATGTCCAAGTAAGCTCTTTTATAACAACTTGAGACTTTTGTTATAGTAGATATGGGAGTTGCTAGTAGGCTTTTGCTATATATTGGTGATGAGAAGTTGTATGCAGGGACGTCGTTTGGGGAGGGGGTAGGGGGGGGGGGGTACCCCCTGATTCGAAAAAAATTCCACAGGTAGGTGAACCTGTACGTGAAAAAACGAAAAAAAATATTTGGAAAATCGGTCCACATGTAAAAAAAATTTTTTCGGCCTCCCCCTCCCCCAGAGAAAATCCGTAGCGACGTCCCGTTGTATGCATGAGATTTTTTTGCTCAAACTTCTTCATAAGTTTACAAAATGTTAAAAGTTTCAGGCGAAAATCTACATACGATAGACAAATTCCTTCGGATGGAAATCAGAGGAAGCAGAACGATGAGCAAGAATATGAAACTCCTACGGTAAGGTTTTAACAAATTTAACAATTGTTTTGGGTGTTGGTTATAATATTTTTATACATTTTTAAAGATGTTTTCTTTAGTACTTATATTTTTTGACGTATTTATTGTCGCATTTGAGCAAAAATAATTTTTTAATTTATTTTTTTTCAGGACCAAGGCTACGTTATGCTGAACCTCAAGTCCAGCAAATCTGATGAAAAAGTTCCCGAAAACCGTTCAAAAGACGTTTTCCACACTTTATCCGAGATGGAGCGAGCTGGAACGCCATCGGATCGACAATCTCGACGTGACGAGCCTTCTGAATCCGCACGTCAGCCGAGAAGACGTCGTGATCGTGCTCCTGACCTTCACGAAGGCAGAGGAGGTTCACGATACCGAGAAAGTGAGAAAGACGATGTTGAGAGAGGAGATGGCAGAGAAAGAGAGACAAGCAAAAGCAATAACAGAAGACGCAAAGAAAGTAGTACCGAAGCCGCGATGAAACGCCGACGTGAAGCCGGAAGAATCAGTCGCCAACGGCCTTCATATGAAGAGAAGCCTGATCCAAGAAAAGGTACCGATGGGGCACACAAAGATGACTCTTCCTACGAAATGGTCGACCTCAGTAATGTTGATACGTTACCGTCGCCTCCAAAAGATGGCAGTGAAGAACCTTCGACCAGCACGGCCGTTGAAAACACTGACAGAAAACGTGTAAGACGAAGAGAAAGGAGAGATAAGGAAAAGAGAAGACAAGAAAGTGAAGTAGCTAGAAGACAAGAAAGAGTAAAAGCAAGAAAAGAAAGCGAAAAAGGAAATGAAAGAAGGCAAGAAAGTGCTCCAATAGAAGAAGATAATGAAAAAGAGAAGAAGGAGGAAGAGCAGGAGCGAATGAAGAAGGAAATGGACGAATTCTGGAATCGAGTACCAAAGAAGAAGGACAAGAAACCTCAGGAACAAACTCATAATAGGAAACAACGTACCAAGTCTTCAACTCAAGCTAAAAACCAGAAGCCTAAAAAGAGCAAAAGTGGACCAAAAACTGGTACCAAGCCTAAAAATGGCACCAGAGGGAAAAGTGAAACCAATTTAAACAAAGGCACGGGTTTGAATACTAGTACTAGTTTCAATATGACCACTAGTCCCGGCAGTGCTACCAGTCCGAGACAGAGTACCTCCAGAGTAAATGCTCAGTTCCTTGAGAATCTCCTGACCGCTCATGAGAAGTCTGGTGATCTGGAATATAAACCAAGTGGTACCAACTCGACTAATTCTAGTAGTACAGGTAACACTGCATCCAGTACCAGTAGCACCAGCAACACCTTGGAAAAGCCAAGCAGCTCGAATCTGTCAGTAAAGAAGTCGTTTATGAATTTGTCATCTGACACTATTGGCAGTCTAAATGGCATTCCTCAAGTACCACCTGAAGTTGTGGCAAAGTCAGAGAAGTACAGACGATTGTCTGCCATTTCACAGAACTTTAAACCCAAGGAGAGTGAGAAACAAAGTCTGAATGGGACTTTGAACGACTCGGACAAATCTACTGGATTGCGGTCGATCAAAGGTATGCCAAATTTTTAACATTTTTTATTTTGGAGATATTCTAAAAGCCAGCAAAGAAGTTTAAAAATATTGTAGTTTTTTAAAAGTTTTGTTTTCAGACGTGAAAGACTTGGAGAGGGCACTACTGAAAGGAGAAGCAGCGAGGAAGAAGAAAGAAACCCGAGAACTGGAATCTCTGCCCCCAGCTCAAAATACCCTTCCTCCTCGACCTCCAGCCAATGAAGAAGGGATTCCGTTGTCCTTAAAGCAACGTGAATACCTACAAGACTTCAAGGATAGGTACACCTTGGCCAAGGAAGAAGCCAGACGAACCAAAGCGGCCTTGTGGAAAGCCAGTGTTCAAGCTGTTGTGAGTGAACAGAAGGCCCTCAAGCTGAAGAAGGAGTTCTTGCGGATCAAGAGACAACTTCTCGAGATGAAGAACAGAAGTAAGTTGTCTAACATAGTATACTACAAGACTTTTTGACTGTATTAATATCTTGTACTTTAAAATTACCTTCAGGTAGAGTAAGAACTAGCACTCCAAGGCCTTCGATGTCTGATGGTAGTGACCTTTTGTCCAGAAGCGTGAATTCGACTGCCAGAAGCAGCTACTGCTTCTCTCAATATAACCTTGACGATGGCCAAGCTGAAGGATACGAAACTGCTGATCCACGTGAAGTCTACATTCGAAGTGAAAGTAGTCAGCCATCCGCTGGAATCGCACGCTCTGGAAACCGAAGATACAGATCTGCTAACTAACACACAGAGTTCTACTTTATTGTATATACAAAGACTTATATTGTACATACGATCGTATTGATTGCGAGTAAAGGTTTCTTTTATTATGTATTTGTTGTGTAAAATACGTCTATACGTAGTATTATCTGTAAAAAGAAAATTTTAAACAACTGTTTTTTAAAATAACATAAGTTTTTGTAATTTTTATTATGAAATTTGTTTGCGAAGTGTCAAAAGTTGTGACGTTTTGTTAACTGAAACCGAGAGAAAAACGATTTTGCGTTTTAATTTTTCTTGTTTTTTGGTTTCTTTTTTTATTTTTAGTTTTTTCATCAAGTATCTTGCAGTTGCCACCTATTATTTATTTTCTCTATCTCTTTGTTACTTACTCATCGTAAACTTAGTAAACTTGATTTTGTACTTCATTTTAGAATTTTTATTTTATTGCCCGCAATTGCAGATTTTAGGTATAGATTTGAATTTTACATTCTGTTTCTGACGGCGGTTCCCTCAAAGCCGCAGCTTTCTTTTAATTGCATTAACTGCCGATTACACCTGACTTTGACTGACATTGACCTTTGAGCCAATTATTACCGCGTTCAAACGCTTCTGACCCTTAAATTACACTAGTTATGACTTTGCCTTAAAGTTGTTTTAACATTATGTTTGTAAAGCTAGGCGAAGTTAGTAGTTTTTGTTAATTATTTGGCTATAACAGTTATATGTATAATATAGGTAATATATTGTAGATTTTATGGGCTATATAATGCTTATCCATTCTTTAAAATGTTTTAATTTGAATATTTGAAGTTGGCAAACATTAGTTATCAATCCTTAAACTGCTTTAATGCTTTCAGACTGCTTTTTAAATCGAGTTGTAGTAGGTATACTTCTTTTTCGTATTATCGGAACATTTTCTTACAATTATTGTTTGAAATACCCGCCACTTGACATATTATTTCTAGCTGGAAACATAACGTAAAATTAAAAAAATCTTAAGAAAATGCTTTCTCAACTTTCAAAAACCAGTTTTCAAAACTTTTTATCTGTGTATACTGTAATATAGTGAGAAACTGTCAATTCTGAAAGTAAAAAACTAAATAAATATTAACTCTCACTAGTGTGACGTCATCACTTCTCTGTAAATCATTTCAAAAAGTTAACTTTAACTTATCACTTTTACACTGTCAGACCTATGAGTAATGCCCACATTACTACCAGCAGTTACCATCGCCGTACAAACACTCGAAAACGTTTCGAAATGTGCTTTCCAAATTCGCTAAATTTTTATTTTTAAAAGAAAGCCGGCCGAGGGGGCCAGCCCCACCCCACGGTCGGTAATCAATCATTCAAAGTCGGTTGGCGCTTCGAACAAACACAGATTTGTGAGTTTATTCAAATACTATAACATGCATGATCAATATTACCCTGTAAGTCGTATATACAACAAGACTGCTGCTTATTAAATTCTGGCCCTTTGCGGCCACGCCATCCATCATATTCACTTAATATAAAAGGAGAGGTCGACAGCCCCCAAGGTGGGTATGGTAAAACAACAACGTTATCTACATAAATAGAGTAATTGCAAGACTAATATATCTGACGGACCAGTGCTACGCTTTCTACTGAGGACAGGTTTTGGGGGAATCCGAGGAGCTGAGCGATATGTTCGAGGCCGAATCCGAGCTGTTCGAGACGCCAGAAGACGACACGCTGGAGGTGGGTCGAGTGGCCGAGCTCGTCGCCGACCAGGTCTGACGTTGGGATCGGTTCTTGTTGAGGAACTCCTGCTCCTTTTGCCGCTTCTTGTCCTTCATCCGTCTGTTCTGGAACCATATCTTGACCTGGGTCTCGTTCAGCTTCAGCATCTGCGCGATCTCTGACCGACGGCTCTTGTTCAGGTACTTGTTAGTATGGAACTCCTTCTCGAGTTCGGTGAGCTGAGTGTTTGTGAAGTTGGTGCGATTTGTTCCATTCGTTTCTTCCATCGTTTTCTTCTGTTTGGTCACTGAAAGAGATAACAACTTGGGATGGCATTCGATGATTTACGACTCCTCGCCCCCCCCTCGTCTTTTACAATCCCCAATCAAATAACAATTTGCTTAAAGTTCACACTCACCTGGTGCTTTGTGGGCTGCTCGTTTCACCTGCATCCATTTGTAAGGTTGTTGCTGGGCTGGGACAGTAGGACTAGTGCGTGGACTGGTGCCACTGGGTGGGTATTCGGAGTGCTGAGACACGGAGACAGCTGGACTGGACCAGGAGGCTGTTGAGGGAGACTGGACTAGGTCTCTGTACATGGAAGCGGCCATCAGATTCTCGTTGAGGACGTGGGTGTGGTCAGCAGTGCTGGGCATGAGAGGGGCTGAGGTAGGGGTGGAGAAGGACACGCCGAGGGGGGTGGCGTGGCTTACCGAGGCGGCGGACAGGGCTTGGTTGCCCATCAAGGCGGCCCAGGAATGGTCGGGCAGGTAGCCATTTTGCATCTGATGGGGGTTGTAGTACATCGCCGGACTCGACGTCGCCATATACTCACAATTCATCAACTGACAGTGATGCCTAAAGAACTTTACTGTAAGAGTAATTTCCGAGAAGCGAGAGTAAACACGCAGTAAACCGTCACAAGCATATTGTCATGCCGCTGCAGTCACGCCATCTTCAAGATGACAATTGCAACCTCATAAAGTTGATTTATTTGAATTGCAACTCATCTCCTTAAACAAACCAGATTTGTCTATAAATTAGGCGCGGCGACATCCCCCCCCTGCAATCCATAAAACACCCCTTGAACCAATTAATTACAAGTTCACATTCCTGTGGCCACAAGATAAAAAGTGGCGAATAAATTAAAAAGTCGTTAACGGCGCGGACGATTTATTATAATAAACGACCCTAGAATGACGGACTGCCGGGGGGGGAGGGGAAGGAGTTAATCAGCAGACATTGAGGTAATTAGGGGCGGAGTCGGCCCCGCCGCCCAGTAGGGACGCACCAGGTGCCACAGCCACTGAAAGCGGCCTAATTCAAAGGAAATTCCGGCAAAATGATCTGGCAGCAGAGTCAACAATACCCCGAGGCACGTCGCAAGTTGAGAAAAATGAAATCAGAAGACGGAACTCTCTTCGCCCCTCTCTCCCCCGACTGGTATCTCGTGGCGGGCTTAAGCCCGGAAAGATGGATACACCCACCCTTCCCATTCCCCCTCCATGCACATAGACGCACCAAGCCCTGAGGCCGCACCCTTCCCAATCCAATCAGCGAGACGACTTACCGTAGCCGCGAGACGACCTTCCCCACCCTCGTCTTACCGCTTTCCTGGGGCTTTGCGCGCCTTATCAGGCCCAAACCCGTCTTAGGGGTTGTTTTCGAATGTAAATGTGGACAAGATACGATCGCTCTTGAACGGCTAATCCTATTGTAAGTAGAACTACAGGACAATTGGAGTATTTGAATAAAGAAAGGAAGGATAATACCATTTTTGGGCAATATTGTAAAACACAGTAATCACATCTTAAAAATGACGGTAAAGCGTATACCTCAAAGAAGGTACAATAGCAAGCCACGTTTATGACAATCGAGGCCGAGTGGCCGGGCGGGATAATGAGGTGCGAAAGTAGGTGAGAGAATGCATTAAGGGCTTGTAAAACTGCCTGCCAGACGGACCGCCGAAAGGAGCGTAGCCGATATACAGGATGATTGATCGTCATGGACCGGCCGAGCGCTGTTTTCTGGCCATAAACCCGAAGCGAAGAACTGCTTGGGCGACGCGCAGAAAGTAATTTGTCAATGGAAGTGAAGCGGAGATGGAGATCGGCCTTCAGAAGCGGTGCGACGAAACATTCCAAACCGTTTTCGTCGCTTATGACCGTCGGTTGTGGGCTTCGGTATGTACTTTGTGGCTGCCATCCATCTTGACTGCAGGTGCAGCGGTCCTCGCCTTTTGTTGTTGTAATGGCAAAGCGTGGCTAGGTGGATGATCCTGTTTACCGTCTTTTGTGTCATGAAACCCTCGGTGTAAATGATGTTGTTTGTAAGGTAGCCGGTGTCTGTCATGTAGCTATTGAGTCATTTTTAAAGGAATGTCTTTTATTTAGCCTTTCAAGTCATTTCTGAAGTCATTTTTAGTTTTCTATTCAAGTAATGTCCGCCGTGCGTTTTCATGAGTAATGTTCGACGATTAACTAACTGTTTGAGATATAAATTAGCGGGTTTTCTTCAATGTTCTTCTCTTTTTTTGAAATTTTTGAAAACTTAATGTCTGTTTTTACAATTTTATAGTAAGAAAACTAACTTTTAAGGTTTTAAATATTTTAATTTAATTTTAAATTTTTGAACTGTTTTTGCCGTGAAGCAAACTCTAAAGTGTTTTACATGCTTTTAACCGGTCTTTACAACAAAGATTTTTTACAATTTATAGTTACTTTTAAAAGTTTTAAACTATGTTTTATGTTTTTTTTAATTCATGACATTATGATGATTTACTAAATGGCTATTAAGAATTTTAAGAAAGTTAAGACTTGTTATTTCTATTTATTCTCAACTTTTTTAGTGTTAAAAAAGTGATTTCTAGAATTTTTAAAATTTGAAAATTGAATTTTGAACTCAAACTTTGCATAGCTCTATTCCATCACCAACTATAACATTTCGGAATCCAAATTATGTGTGAGTAAAATGTCTCGCGGGATATGTTTATTACCGTACATGGCCGGCCCGGTTCAAAGGCCAAGTCAATCCCCATGGTGAACGGAGATACCATGTAGCGATGATGGATGGGAGCGGCGTTTTTCGGACTGCGCAATATTCGCTGGGCCTTAAGAAGCTATCAAGGGGTCATGTGTAATATAAAGAATCGCTTGACCCACTAATACAATTAGAATACCATAGTTATTGGGCTGATCACGCGATAAGCGATGGTAAGTGACATGGATAACAAGATCTGATAGGGCTTGTGCAATATAAAAAATGTTATGTTTGTGGCTAATCTGATTAGTGTTGTGGTGAAGGTGGTGAGAGACATGAAATTACGTTATTAAATTATAAGATTAGGCTTAAAAATGCCAAAAGTTAATAAAAAGATTGCCATTTTTAATTAAAAACTTTAAAAATACAGCTCTTTTTATATAATAAAGTTTAATAAAGTGACGAAATGGTCAAGAAGTAACTAGAAAAACGTTTTAAATTATTAGCTTTTATAATACGTAGCAATTCAAATTACTGTAAGCTCAGAAGTATGTGAAATTATGGTTAATTCTACTAAAATTGTTAATTAAAAAGTGCTGTCAGCTATGTATAACACTACCAGTAACATGTCACAGTAATACATTAACTATTACTTTTAGAAAATTGTTTAAAAAGGAATCACATTAAGCTTGTAGTTTAGTAAAAATTACTATCAACTATAATCTATGAACAACATCTTACTCTACCACAGTCACATACGACAATTAACATCTCAATCCAACTGACATTGTAACTACTACTAGTAACACTTCAATCAACCAACTACTGTGAACGTCAGACTAAAGCCTCGACAGTATTCTGGGCCAACTCCTCGGCCAAGACGGCTGCCGCTGTCACTCTTGGCCGACAATATTTACAGCCAATAGAGAGAGTGATGGATCGTAGACTTAAAGGATCACTTCTTTGTCCCGAACAGTTGTCTATAACATACGACGCCAAACAAACCGAATTAGTTGCGAGGGTCGGTACCTTTTGTCCCATTTTGTTTTGGGTATATTGCTTTTGTGGATTAGGATTATCTCTAATATTGGCGCTTTATTTGGAAGGCCGGCGATGATTACTGTACTTTCACACCTGTAAATTTGGTTTCGAGTTTAGATTTGGCTAAAAATATTTTTCGAAAGTAATCTTAGTTTATGAAGTTTAAAAAATTTAGGTTTAAAAAGTAGAGCAAGAAGGTGAGAAATGCTAAGTTGGCCATTTTTATATTTTTAGGATCTATATTTGTTGTTTTACATTTAGAATAACAAATCTTTATCATTTGTACATCTAAATAGTAAAAAAAGCACAAGATTCTACTAACTTTTATATTTTTATGGGTTTTAATACGAAATTTTTATATTAGGTTGTCCAAAAAATTCTGAGCCAAACGTTTTTTTTTGAAAAATAAAACTGACAAAAAGGATAATATAAAATACTTCATGTGAAATATATGGGTAGTGGCATATTAATTTAAAAAATCATTTTAAAATTTGTCGAAAATTGAATTTATGCCAGTTTTTTTAAAATTGTCACATTGGCTCATGACTTTCTTGAATATGTAATAAGTAAGTTTGAATATATAGTAAATTCAGATTGTTTCTTTATTCATTTTCTTTAAATCTTTTAAATATAATACAAATATAACTCACAGCCTTATAACTTCTTTCTTGTTGCTACTCTTTACCAGTAAATAATATCTTACAAATCGATAAGCATTCACTTTTAAATTTCTATGGTAATGTAAACATGACAACTTTATCACATAGCTATAGTAATATAGTTTACATTTAAATCGACGTAACATAACATAACTTAGCAAATCAATTTGTTTTAATTTTTATGTATTTTTAAGTCAATTTAAGGTTAATTTAAAATCGTTTAACTGTTTTCTCGAGCTGATTCGATCGGACTGATAACAAAGCCATAAATCGAAGGATCCTCCAGAGAGGCCATAAATCGTTGCCGTTTTCGAATAAAGCAACTTTACTCCTCCCTCTCGCCCCCCCCCCCCCTGTTTTTATTTCAAGCTTTCGACTAGCTGAATTCTCTTTTATTTCAAGATATCTCTCAACTTTCGGCACTTCAACTGTTATTTTAGGTAACACAGTTTACCACATTGCGATGATATTATAGTATTTTGACAAGTACTATATGTTAACAGTTTTATTATCATTTTATTGATTTTAACCTATGATAATATGATGCCGATTTTTAGCAATATTTCCTTTCAATCAATACCTAACTATATTTACTATTGCTACCGAACTACTTTGATTTATATTAATGTTACATGATTGGCTAAAATATATTGTTTATTACTACCTAAAAACATATTGACTATTACTACTTAACTGTATTACGATCTACCACTGCTACCTCCAAGTATACCTCCAGACAACGAATACCCCTGTAGAATTGAGCTTATCTCTTAATATACGGTGTAATAAGCTCAAATTCGCAGGCATATTCATGTCGGGTTGGTATACTTGACAGAATCATTTATAGATTTCGTTCTATTTATATCTTCTAATTATAAATGACTCTGGCATGTTCATTTTTTCTAATCAACAAGGAAAATGCCCGATCTGTTTCTCTTTGATTGACTTCAAACTTTTTATATAAAAAGATGATGTGAGTACAACCTTTCAGAAAAGTACTAGATCGAGCGTTCAAGGAAATCTCGAGAAAATCGAGACCAAAAAATTACTTTTTGAATTTCCTGCCAACTTGGCATTGCGTTTCAAACATATAACTTTGTCATTTTTTGTCATTTAAGCATTTTTGTTTGATATACTAGTAGAAAGCCTTTAAATAAAACTACTTTTTTAAAATTGTAAGCGTAGCTTGTCTAGAAAGTCAAAAAAGTGCTTGAAACACAATGCCAAATTAACGGAAACCACAAATATCTAAAATATAAAACTCAAATACAGAGGCTAAACTTTTTTATGGGTACTAATCGTAATACAAAAAATTCATTTAACATTTTTGAGGTAATTCTGAGCGGAGAAGGTTGGCTACTTTCCCTGTTAGTTTGACATCTTATCCGCTTGTGATGTAAATAGATGGATACACGGTGAATGTTTTTTAGTCAAAATTATATTTTTTAAATATTCATTTTATAGGTATACCACAATGCGTTGGCGACAGCAAGTCTGATCGGTGATACCTCTAAGTTCGTGGTTATGATCAACAATATTCTTGGAGATCTGATTTTCGAAGGGTCAACAATCTTGATGAATTTGTTATGTTGTTGTTGCTATTTAGATTTCAAAGTTTAGGCACATTGAGTTAGCTTTGATTCGGTTGATTTTTTAATATTTAGTATGATTTACATGATATGTATGTAATAAACTCGTGAATAAACATTGATCAAGATACACTTTCTTTGGGTTACCGCTTTTAACGTTCCGTATCTGTCGTGAATACTGTTAATTTTATTGTTACTGGGTAACTTCTGTTTAATGTGTTTAGTAAGTTATTTAGTTGTAGAGTTTTTGTAATTCCTCAATATTAATTAAAAATTTCTTAACTGTATTCATAACTTTACTGTATGTAATTAAACTTTATATGTACTTCCTGTGGAAATTTGAACTACTTTTACAACTAGAAAGCTCTGGACAACAGCGATGACGATCAGCAGAATACTCCACAAGAAGCATAGTAAACTGCAGGTTTTACAATTTATTGTGTCGTTGTGTAGAAAAGGATATAACTACAGACTGGCATAACTATTGAGTAGTGTGTAACCCACCGAACAGACTCATGCCATCTTGTTGTTCGGTTCTGCGAGCATTTGTTGTTTTATACAATTGGCTCAGAACACCTATCTACTGTGAAGGCAGTTATGTACCTTTTGGACACGGCTGATGTCCGATTCACAAGTGTTGCACTAGGACACGCCATCCAACTCTTCGGACTTGTAAATCAAATTCAATTAAAGATATAGTAATCTTTGAAATGTATCATCTGGCACAATCTTTGAAAAGCTATTAACTCTAGCCAATGTAATGGTATACATTGTATTAAGCATTGCTTACTTTGTAAGCTGACAACAGAGTTTTGCCTTTTGGGTTCGGCCCGCACGGTCCTATTTTTTTTCCCGCTAAACTCGTATCTCGAAAACTATGAATAGCATCTAGAAGGGTCAGCACCATTCCAAATAGGGGGAAGAAAAAGTTTCAGACCGATCTGACCGGTAGAAAAAAAGCGCGGGAAGACAAAATTCAAATTCCGGACTCCCGCATTGGGTCCGGTCCGGGAAGAACTCTGGTTGACAACTTAACACAAGTAATGTTGCATATATTTTTAGTATCATCTCTTTCAACGTTCCACCTGCTATTAGGATTACATGTCCTTTTCACTTTAGCTGTGTAACAATGAGTACCATTAGACTCCTGCTATCATGGTACGGCTATCTGATTATGCTGCAGTCAGTAAACTGTGGACGTTATTTACCGTGTTTTTGCGTAAAAAAGATTGATTTGTCACTATAATATTTTTACGTTCGAAAATTAGTATATGTAAAATAGAGTGAAACCTCGCTAACATGAGTTTTTCAGTCAAAAAATATGGCATTGTAACTACATTTTACATGACATGTAGCTATTAAATTTAAGTTAATTATCAAAAAACCTTATAACTGCAAGTTTTAAAGTTTAATAACATATTATATACGTAAATTAAAATTTTTTTGGTACTGCTTCCATATCTTGATTAATTGTCATACACAATGTCTTTCACCGACTACAAAATTTTGTATTATACAACATAAAAGGCTTTGATATAGAGCTACAGAACGAAAAAAGTCACAGTTATAAAAACAAGAAACGGTATTTTACAATAGTTAGTCTATAGCAGCCTGGAAATGTAATGAAGACAACGAGAACACTTCGTGAAGGTCTACAATACAATTTACGTATCAAGTAAGCCATTTAAAAATGTCGTAGTAAATTAATCTTAATGCTTTTTCCGCACAGCTCTGTAAAATACAGTTCATGTATTGAGGATAAAAATAATTGTAAATAGCATATACTTTACGTGAATAAAGCAAATGACTGGTTTCAATAAGAACTTGCTGTAGAGTACTACAAACTATCTAAAAAGACTGCAGAACCTCTGTATACCAAATTGCTTGCGGATATTAAATTTGTTTGTCATGAAACAGTTCGATTACATCAGTATTAAATTCATTGTGTTGTGATGGTCAGCAATTTAAACGTCGCTTCCTGCACAAAAATTGCTAGAGAGATTTGTTATGCAAGAGTTTCACTGTACTTGGAAAGTTCAAAATCAATCGTTTTGCTCAGTAATTTGTTTCATAAAAGTTGCGTTATGTTCCGTAAACGTAAGTTTACAAAGTTTGTTTAACATCGAATACTTACAACTCTTTTTATATATTTTTTTCAATTTTGTAAGAAACAATGGTAACGCAAACAAGAAAACCGTAAATTTTAAAATTTATTAGATATCATGCTATCTAATGGATATCTATAAGAATTGATTTAGTAGCCAACAGAACTCGAATACGTATACTAGTGTCACACTAAAGAACTTGAAATGCTGGCTTAAAACAGGACACGGTGAAATCGATTATCAAAGGGTATGCAACGATTATATGTTGTCTACAAAAAGTGTTCAACACTAAAAGTTTTACAAACTTTGTAATTTTTTTGAAAAGAAGTTTTATATCCGTATTCAGCAAAGCAGCTTCAAGAAAGGTGTCTTGCCTCATAGTACAGATACAGTCTACAAAGAATCGGCACAGAATGGAAATTGGCTTAGGCTATTAAAATATATCGTTTTAATCAAGAAATCTAGTAGCAAAATTAGCTGTTAACAACCTCTAATCAAAATGTTACAGTATTTCGAAGATTTTTCCACAGTACAAATTTGGAATTTTACCCTATAAATTAAAAAAACAAATATACATATTGAAAGATTATAGTTAAAATCAAAATTTTTAAAATTTCAACTTTTATAAACTCTTGATATTTGAGTTACAATAAAGTTACTGTAACAATAAAATGCAAAAAAATGGAGAAGGGGGGGGGTTATATGCTTAGCTTTTAAATTTCATTAATCAAAAGTCCAAATTTGCATAGCTTATACTTTACTTTTTAACAAAACTTGGAATAGTCGCCAAGTCAAAACTTCCCTACACTCAAAAATGTTGCTTCAATTGGAAATTACATTTGAAAAAACTTTCAATTCTGAGCACAGCTACTATTTGTTGCTAAGGTATTCTTAAAAAGTATTTTGTATATTTTGAGACTTACTGTTGGACCGCACTCAGGTCGAGTAAACCGTAGTTTTTGTGATTCTTCTTATTTTTGAGTTGCCAAACGAGCACTTTTTTTGTCGAATCGATTTTGTTGTACGGTTAGAATACCTATTTTTGTCGTTGAAACAAACTTTTGGGTGAATCATCGCCTTTTTTGATTAATCGCTTTGTATTACCTCTACTTGGGCCTTAATTGTGCTAAAAGTGAGTGAAATTTTTGAGTAGACGTTGCCTCAAGTCCTCCTTTTGTGAACTTGTTTCACTTTTTTGAAAGTATATTGAGTGATATTCCCGTAGACATTTGTCCGGAAGGCTCGCGTAAAGGTACCGCAATAGGCACGGTCGCTAGAGAAAGAAGGTTGAGCACTTCCGTTTACGGAATTGACGAAGCTCCCGATCTACAGTTGAGCACTTCCGCTTGCGGAATTGACGAAGCTCCTGAAAGAATCTGAAATTTGAATTGAAGTCGCGTAAATCCGAGAGTATACGGTAGCTTGACATTTGAATTGAAAAAATGGCTGAAAGTCCAAGTTTGAATGGGGATAATAACCCAAATGACATGCAATTTTTGATTAAGATGCTGTCGGAAATGAAAGCTCAAAATGAAAGCCTTGTATCTGCATTAAAAATCCAAGCTGAAAAGTCAGAGAATCAGATCACTGACTTAAAAAATCAAATGAAAGTTTTGAATGAAAAAGTAACTTGTTTGGGAGACAAGGCTGATACAGAAAATGAGCAAAAAGACACCCCGACTCCCAAAGAAGTCGTTAAATCAACCGAACCCGTTGATACCAGTACATCTCTGAACTTGACACAAGTTGGTGAGCTTAGTAACACTGAAAAAGCTGTGTTCATGTCAAAAGCCGAACCGAAATCAGCGTTCGAAGACAGTTTACAGTCTAACCCTTCAGTCCCAATAAGTGATATAAGCAGTTTTATTGTTGTCCAGGCACAAGTTCCAAAAATCAACGGAGATGACAAAGTTGATGTTCTTGAAAATTTCTTTTCGATCTACAGAACCACTACGCTACATTTTAGTGAAATATTAAAGAAAAACCTCCTTGAGACAAAGCTGACAGGTGATGCTAAAGTATGTTACAGAACTATCCAGACGGATTACCCGCTTTTAGATGCTGATAACTGTGTGAAAATGTTAGAAAAAGAGCTGTTACAGTCAAAATTCGATCCTGATAAGGCTATGGCAGACTTCCAAAGACCTTTGTATCGTAAGCACGATCAACATATCAGAGATTATGCTCGAAGAATCAAGATGCTGGCTTGTCGAGCACTGATTGGGTATCCAAAAGAACTTCGAGAACGAGAAATGATTGCCAAGTTTTTGAGTGGGTTAAATTGTGAACAGGCTCATATCGCGCTCAGCTCACAACAAACTTTGAATCCAGATTATGAATCTATGGTGAAAGTTGCTTGCAAGGTTTACGATGGATTACAGGCTCGCTTACAAGTTAAACTACAATGTGACAATTACCGTCAAGACAGAATGTATGGTAATAAAACTACTTCTACACCAGAAAAAAAGGTATACCTTCAAAATTTTGGAAAATTACCTCAGGATTTTCAGAAGCCCGGAATGTGAAGAGACGTGAAAACGTTTCGGGCTCAAATCAGGCACGTCAAAATGTTATTGTGTGTAGTTATTGTTGTAAACCATACCACAACGAGTACAATTGTTTCAAGAAAAAGAAGATATGAAAAAGTTATCGTTAAGTTCAACTTTTTATGAGTCGAACGCTGCATATGATTGGAAAGAGACAAAACTATCCCCAATCATATTATTTAATCCTTTTGATTCTAGTTCTTGGCTTCCAAAGCAAAAGAAAGCTATTGATAAACTGGAAACCGTTTTCGACGACAAAATTACATTTTTGGCAGAAAGTGAAGAAACTAAAGACTTGTCGGACAAAAGTCAGAATTTACCTTCAGAAATTATTGAGTTTGCTCAAATGTTTGAAAATTTGGAACCGATTGACAAAGGTTTACATGAAAAAACAGAAAGCTGCGTCAATGTTGTAGCTCATGTTGTTGAAAGGAAACATGTTATTGATCAGCAAAGTTTCAAAAAAAAGATATCTTCAGAAATTGTTGAATTTATTCACTTGTTTGAGGACGTTCAATGTTTCGACAAAAAACCTCCAGACAAAATTTCAATCGAAACAATTGAATGTCAAATTATTAATACGAACTTTACTGAACCTGTGCCTACTAAACAGATAGTAAATATCGAGCAAAAAGCAATGATTGAAACTCAAGACTACGAAAAAACAGAAGCTTTACTTCCAGACATCGTCGATTTCACACATTTGTTTGATAACTTCGATTTACCCACTACGATTACTCAATGTGAAGATATACGACCTTGTGATAGTCCAAATATTATTGGTGAAGGCTTAGTTCTGAACTCAATGGTATCTCCAATCAAAAAGCAGTCAAAAATGTCAAACAATGTTATTGATTTACCATCAAAGGATACAGCAAATACTCAAAAGATGTGCTGTGTTTCGAAAACAACGCTTCTACCACAATTACAGAAGAATGATTGGTTTGTGACGATAAAGACAGAAAGGTTCATGATGCTTATCTACTATGAAAGCATTTCTCACTGTATTTCGTTGGACTTTCTCTGCCCACCGTTGTTTATACCTTTTAGGTTTATCACAGCCGCATTTGCAGCACTATCGACAATTTTGCGGTGCTTGTCGTTCGCTTTGTACTACTTGTTCCAGGATCAAACGCATTGGTTATCAAATTTGGACCGCACTCAAAAAGTCGGGACGACTTTCAAAATGAAGGAGGGAAGCGACCCACAACACGAAATTCAACTTCTGATGTCGGGACGTCATCACAGTGGAGATGGGCGTGTTGGACCGCACTCAGGTCGCCAACGTTCTCAGAACGTTTATGCAAATTACGAGCACTTTCCCCTCTTCGCAAGAGAATGCGATTCTATCAATAGTAACCTCAATCCCGGGACTCAAGATCGGTCGTGCCTGGGCTTATCAACCACATCGGCCGAATCATCTCGTATCGTATCATACTGTTGTGAATAAAGATATATTGTATATTGTTCGGGATTATTGAGCGTATTTTTGTCCGAAACATAAAAAAAATCAGCCTCCGCCGACCTCCGCCGAGCCTCCGCCGAATACTCAAAAACAATGTATCAATACCAAATCCGCAAGTAATTTCTAGTCTAGTGCAAAAAAAAAATCGTTCAAAATCGGACCAGTACTTTTTGAGAACGGAGCTTTTACTTTCCTTCAAAAAAGTTTGGACACCCGTAATAGTATTATTTTAAGTCGACTTTTTGCACCTTATTTTACACTATTCAAAATTAAACTATATTAAATATTATAGTTAAAGTTTTTGATTTTTTATTTTAAAACTTTTATAAGTTTATATACACTAAAGACTTTTATAATAAATATTACAGAAAAAAACACGTCCATTTACTTTTGCAGAACCATATGACAATACAACTTCGAAACTGTCAAACGACATTGGCAATACTATACTTGACGCAGCTTTCTGTTTTTTCATGTAAACCTTTGTCAATCGGTTCCAAATTTTCAAACATTTGAGCAAACTCAATAATTTCTGAAGGTAAATTCTGACTTTTGTCCGACAAGTCTTTAGTTTCTTCACTTTCTGCCAAAAATGTAATTTTGTCGTCGAAAACGGTTTCCAGTTTATCAATAGCTTTCTTTTGCTTTGGAAGCCAAGAACTAGAATCAAAAGGATTAAATAATATGATTGGGGATAGTTTTGTCTCTTTCCAATCATATGCAGCGTTCGACTCATAAAAAGTTGAACTTAACGATAACTTTTTCATATCTTCTTTTTCTTGAAACAATTGTACTCGTTGTGGTATGGTTTACAACAATAACTACACACAATAACATTTTGACGTGCCTCATTTGAGCCCGAAACGTTTTCACGTCTCTTCACATTCCGGGCTTCTGAAAATCCTGAGGTAATTTTCCAAAATTTTGAAGGTATACCTTTTTTTCTAGTGTAGAAGTAGTTTTATTACCATACATTCTGTCTTGACGGTAATTGTCACTTTGTAGTTTAACTTGTAAGTGAGCCTGTAATCCATCGTAAACCTTGCAAGCAACTTTCACCATAGATTCATAATTTGGATTCAAAGTTTGTTGTGTACCTTTTTAACTCTCTCCTATGTACAGTTTGCTAAAAAAGTAGGTGAAAAGTTGTTTAAAGCCATTTGTAGAAAGATTAGTCTTGCCAGGGTTAGATCAAAGTGTAATAAAGGTATAACTCAAGACTTCAACTCAATATAACGTTACAAATAATACGATAATCACAATACGAAAGATTTATTCAAATCAAGATTAAACATATACCGAATATGTTGCAAAGAGACCGATCGGCGGCTAAAAGATGAGCCTTGATGAACGAAGATTCCGACCGATCGGCGGTGGAACGAACGAGAAGACTGAATGTAAAATGAGAATCGGGATGAAATGATTCAATTTATGCAAATTGAATCCGATCCGACTACACTCCGGCCACCACGATGATCTACATGAACTGCAACAGGGCATGACGAAGTTCCTCCGGGCGTCGGCAGCGGGCGTGAAGTTCGTGTCGTAGATCGATCGGGTACCTGAAAAGAAAGTTTACATGGCCTAGACCTTGGCCGTTTCCGTCGACGTTTTCTCTTGTCTAGAGACTTGTCCTGGTGAAGATCGTTCCGTAAGTTGAACGTAGAATGGTGACGTTGAGCTGATGTTAGACGACTTCTAACTTTAACATCATGAACTTTAGCTCTTCTCTTTTGAAAACTTGGTTCATCGTACGTTTGAACCGGCTTTTTTCGTCGAGCGGCTTCAGTATCTCCTTGACCATGATTGTTCTTCAAGTTGAACGTAGGACGAGAACGTTGAGTTGCCGTAGGACGATTTCCTATTTTATCAGCACGAAATTTAGCTCTTCTCTTTTGAAAACTTGGTTCATCGAAGTTTTGAACCGGCTTTTTTCTTCGAGCGGCTTCAGGATTGACCTTTCTAGGTCTTCGTTGTCGTCGTAGCTCTGTAACGTGATGAATATTGGGGTTTTTGACAAAATTGACTTTTTGACCCGTAACTTTAATTTTGCCAAACACACAAGAACGTGATAACTTTGAGCACTTTAGCTCGATATCACAAATGCTTTGACAGCCAATAATAACACCAATCTGAGGATCTTGAACATCGTTGTTCAATTCTTTGAAGTATTTATCTTCAATAGCCGTAACAGGTAGTTTTATAAACTGATTTTTACGTTTAACGGCTTCTGGAGATAAGGTAACGTTCGTGTCAAAAGCTGATGTCGAAAATGAACCGATTAGAGTTTTCATTTGAAGAGAACGTTCATTTGCAACTGGAAGTTCTAATTTCGTTGCTAACGAATGGCTAATGAGATTCAGACCCCAACCTGTGTCAATAAATGCCTTCGTGGCTTGACAATTTGCTTCATCCTTTTTAGAAGTCAAGACTGGAACGTACATACAACTAGCTTTCGGCTTACCATATAGTTGATGTGAGTTTAAAATTTCTTGGTTTTCATTTGAATTTGAAAAATTCAACTGTTTTGTCGAGTTAGGCCAAGTCACTTGTGGTTTTTAGCTTGAAAAATTTGTCGAAAAGGAACACAATTGTGAGGACATGTAATTACAGCGTGGTTACCTTGACACAAAAAGCATACGATTTTTGACTGACAATCTTTTTCGGCATGATGTGAGGCAAGACATTTGGCACAACGATTTAGCTCGAAAAGACGGTTTTTTCGTGATTGCAAGTCTGAATACTTGCTACAAACCGAGGAATGATGATGTTGGCCACACAGAAGACACGTTTTTGTCCTTGGGCTTTTAGGATTTCTGAATCCTGATGAAGCGATACGGTTATCTACAGCTTCATAATTGATATGACGATCAAATAAAACAGACTTTTGTTCAGAACATGACTTGACATTTTGACTTGACGGTAGAGTCCTGAGCTCGTGAGCAATTTCATGCAAAACCAATACAAAATCGTCAATGTTGAACTTGTCTTTCTTTTGAAAATGACATCGTACAGTAACCATTTCACGTAAGTTTACTGGAAGTGACTGAAATACTGGCTGTGAAAGACATTTTGGAATTTCAGTATTATAATATGCCAAATGATTTTTAATACTCTGAATCTTATCAGCGAACGTATAAATTTCTTGACTTGAATTTGAATTCGGAGGTTCAAGATTTTGCCATTTATTAAGAAATGAATTCACGATGTCATCAGGCTTGTTGTACCTTGAATGAAGCAATTTTATGATTGTATCGTACGTAGCCTGCGTAAGACGAACGTTTTGAACCAGGTGTTCGACTGAACTACCAGTAAGAGCGTGCTTCAATCTGAGAATTTTCTCACTTGGAATAGCTGGTGTATTGTGCACGTGGACTTCGAAATAGTCCCAAAAACAAGGGAATTCATGAAGTTCACCCGAGAATTTTGGAATGTCTGAGATCGGTGGCAATTTACAGACTTTATACTCAGTAGCACCAGGCTTCTGAAGAGTTTGACTGATGGCCGACGATGGCTTCTGTTTGTACGTGTCGCTTTTGCTCTCTGAACGACGAGATGTAGAATCTGAAGCCACTTTAGGCTTACTTTTTTCAGAATGACGACTGATCTGGCTACCGAAGCCTTGCGAATGGCTTTTTGACAGAGATTTCCGCGTTTTTTCTGAATTTTCGATCGTATCAGAAGAAGGGATATAGTCATTACTTTGTCTTTCTGCCGAATGTGATACAACGGTATCTTTGTCAACATTTTGACGCGAATAATGTCGAGACGACATTGAAGATTGGCTTTTTGGCGAATTTCCAAGCCCGTTGACGTAAGATTTCATGTGCCTTACTTTCTTGGCAATATTTGAGAAACTTGGCACAAAATTGGATAATTGTGCTTTTCACAATATTCGGTAATTTTACCGTACTCTCTCAGTCGGAGACTTTCGTTTGCTGAGCTTTTGACTTTCTTCTTCTATTCGTTCATGGAATTGTCAATCTTCTCAATGTAGACTTTAGCATTTTTGGCATGCTGCGATAAATCAATAACGTAAGAGCTTTTCTTAATGACTGAAATTTTGGGAGAGCAAATCTCGTCCTCTGCTTTCTCATAAAGCGCAAAAGCTTGTGCTAGCTCAAGATCAAGATATTTGATCCAACGAGTAACTACTCGTTTAAACGATGAGGAGTCGAGTACATCAGGAGCTTTATCAATTCCTCTGCGGGAAGTGCTCAACTGGTATGAGGGAGCGTTCTCAATTCCATTTCTGGAAGTGCTCAACCTTTGTCTGGGAGCCACAGTACCTTTTCTGGTAGAGCTCAACCTTGAAGCGGGAGCTTTCTCAATTCCGCGAACGGAAGTGCTCAACCGTCGACCTATAATACTACTTTGATCTGTGATGTGTCTTCAGAACGAGAAACACAAGTGGCTAAAGACTTTTTTTTCCGCGTGTAAAGTTCGAGCGGTCGCCATGTAGAAAGATTAGTCTTGCCAGGGTTAGATCAAAGTGTAATAAAGGTATAACTCAAGACTTCAACTCAATATAACGTTACAAATAATACGATAATCACAATACGAAAGATTTATTCAAATCAAGATTAAACATATACCGAATATGTTGCAAAGAGACCGATCGGCGGCCAAAAGATGAGCCTTGATGAACGAAGATTCCGACCGATCGGCGGTGGAACGAACGAGAAGACTGAATGTAAAATGAGAATCGGATCGAAATGATTCAATTTATGCAAATTGAATCCGATCCGACTACACCATTTCTGTCAACTTAGGTATGAACAGTTACATTAATATTATATAAATTTGTAATTTTGTATTAAAACTAAATCCAGTCTTTAATAAATAAAAGCCATCCTGTATAACGCACTCTTATACAGTGGAACTCCTGTATACCGAATCGCTCGAGAACTTGAAATTTGTTCGTTATAAAGGAGTTTCGTTATACAGGAGTTTTAAATGCACTGTGTAGTGGTAGACTGGGATTCAAAAGTTGTTCGTTATACGGGATTTTCGTTATAGAGTTCTTTATACAAGAGTTCCACTGTATAACTTACGTTTTATAAATTCTTGACTACTGTTACGATGTAGAGCACCTGTATAATACAACGCTTTTATAAAGAAAAAAATTAAATAAAATTGTTAGTATACAGGAGTTTCACAGAGTAGGTCAAAAGATTACTTTTTGAATTTTGTGAAATTCTCATTATGTGTAAACCATATAATTTTTAAATGAATATAAAGCCTAGTTATTACTTTTCCGATATTTTTTATACAAGGATTGCAACAATCTTTCCTAAAAATACATTTTTGTAAATATCCAAAGCGAAGAGATATAACCAGTTTTACAAGCAAAGAAGTTTATTCAAATTGTTTTTATGCATTTTGTGGGTTTTAGGGAAATGTAAATGGAATGGCCTGAAAAGTGTTTTAAATTTGGTCGAGACTATAAAACAATCGATTTGGGATGCAAATGAGAATTCAAACAGGTTGAACAAACCGTCGGAATCTGAAGCGAGGAGGGGGTGAGAGAGACTGCGCACGTTTCATTTGGCTGCAGGAAGATTCCCTTTGATGTTGCCGCCGTCCCGCTTTCGCCCAGCGGCGGTTCTCTAAGAATTTGGTGCCCCCTGGGCGTGTTACGACCACCCACAAGAACGGGGGGCCGCAGAAGCGGGAACGGCGCCTTTAATAGACAACCGGATCAGCGACGGAACGTTCTGCAGCAAATTGGTCTTTTTGCTCCATAGTGGTGCTTGAGGGGAAGATTTGGAGCTTTTTGGTTTTTTACTGTAGAGTAATATAAATTTTTGTTTAAAAAGTGTTTACTTCAGTTTTTTTCTCTATTTATCCAAATTTAATATAAAAAATTAATTATTCACAAAATTTTCAAAATTCTACCTTTATTTGCATTTATCTTCATCTTCACGGTGCAAAACTTGCTAATCACCGTGAAAACCCCCAAACCCCTCGGAAATGACCACGCCACTTTTTTTGGCCGCAAACAATCAGAACCATGTTGAGTGATTTGTAGCCGATTAACGGACATCTTTACAATTGAGATTGTTTTAATCAGTGCCGGCTTGGAAATCAGCTTGTCCCTGCCTTTCTTTTTCCACTCTAATTTACGACTTTTTCACGAGCTCTCGCTTGAATTATGACTGAGCGGCGGCATCCCTTTGTCAGTGTTATGTTATGTTGAACAGGGCAAGAATCCGCTTCGGAGTCGTTTTTTGTGGCAATTGTTTTGACATTAAGTTTTGACGTTAGTCTGTGGCATCCTAGAAATTAACTTTGTTGTTAAAAGCGATTTTCAAAATCCAGGGGTGCCGCGCAAGAAGTTTTGACTCGCACCTTGAACTTGCTGATTTATGGACTGGCGAACGGTGTCTTTGATCTCGCCGCCGCAGTGATAACTGATCGGAACGAGGCCCACCCAGCCAGGCTTTTTTGCCACAAACCCCGGGCCCACCCGGATCGCCGCAGAAGCCGTTGGCAGCTCTTTTTTGCATATTATCCACCCTTGTTATTCATATTGAGCCAGAATGCCGAGATACGGCACATTTTCCAGCAGCTGTGCCGTTTTTTATGGATTCAGAAGAAGGGCGGGTACGGTCAGGTGTGCGCAGTTTTATTGGCTTGGAATGGGATTTTTATAGGCTCTGGAAATGGCTGCGATCTTGCACACGAATATGAATCCAATAAAACTTGTCGCGCCTATTGGACGTGCTCCCGGTCCACGTTTATGGTTTCGGTAATCATGGCGTTATTGTAATGGATTTGAGTAATCATGACTTTGATGTAATGGGTAGTCATGCTTATTGTAACTTCCGTTTTCATTTTCATTGTCGTATCTCTTTGAATTACCATGTTATGTTGTTTTATGGCCAAACCATTATGACAATCATCGTTTAACTGTCAATTTGCAGCTCGCTATTCGTATTTTAATTTTGTAGTTATATTCTAGCTTTAATCATTTTATGATCACCTTGTCTTTCTAACGTAATGGCGCTATACATGTTATGTGTTATTGTTTTATGGATATTAGGGGTGATAAATTAATGTATGTCACTCGGAAGGGTTTTATGGCCTTTCAAAGTTCGCTGCGTGAGCGGAAATCTTATTCCAAGGCCGTATGCAAATTTACATTTTACAAGAAAAAGGTTCAGGATCGTTATTAGATATTATGTTAATTTTCTCCTTAATAACATTTTTATGAATTTTTTTATATTCTTGTATCTGTTAACTTTTATTTAAATTTATCAAATTTCAAAGTTTATCATTTCAAAACCAAAAGCTGTTTACCTTGTCTACCCGCTTACCTCAACCCAAACAAGCGTCATATTGTTGTTGATCCGGGCTTTAATTACTACGGTAGTCATAAAACGGCCCTTGGCAACAATCAACCGGTCGTTTGTGTCCCATAATTGTGTCGTTAAGCTTTAATTACTTTCTCAAAATTTGAACAAACGCGCGGTCGTAAAGTCGAGAGTGGTCGAGAGTGAGTACGAGATCTTTTCCCTCAGGCAATTATTTAATGTGATATCTAATGTTATGATTTGACATGAGTTTATGGCTTTCGTTATATGTCACTTTCCGTGTTAGTTATTACTAATTGGTTCTTGCAGTTACTATTATGTTTCTTATGACAGTTTTATTACTATTTAATTATACATTTTTGGAGTTTTATTTTACAATATGCTAATTTAAATTGTAATTTATATGTTATTTTTAAATTCGGGCTCAAAGCTTTGTATTCAATATAAGTTGTTTCTGTTTTAGACCTAACATTGAACATTAACATCGGCAGATCAGGTTGTAATTACTTTGTAAGTTTACTATGTAAATTAATGTTGTGAGTCATTTGAAGTCGAGTTGTGTATAATATTATGCTCATATAATACTTAATATATCAGCAAACTGATTAAGCATCAAACCTTTCTAATTTCTAAAATTAAAACTTTAAAAATAAAATTTTAAACTCATTTTAAATTTAGGAAAAAGCTCTGACAATTCATCTCCTTACAATAAAGTTTCAGAATTTAAGGTCGGTAAGGATAAAGAAGGCGATATACCTAGATTTACAATGTTTTTGTAGAATGACAGTTTTAAAGGTGTTTAAATTACAAAAAAAATAACTTTAAAAGCACTACCTACTTAATATCACCAGGAAAACTATCAAAAAGCCTCACTAATCACAGTATCTAGCTGTCTACAGTAAACCACTAGTACTATCAAGTGCAATATCTTCAGAAATTTATAGCATTATCAAGTACAACATCTTATCAAACCACTGTCTACTATAAACATCCCGTCTTCTTTATCATAATATTTTATAAAACTTGAGGAATCCTAATATCTGATCCTTCGTCTCAAGTCTATCACTTCCCAAAAGTCAAACTCGATTACCGTAACCCGCATAATAAAGTCCAGAAATATGTGCCGGAAGTCTCTTTCATCGTTGTCAGGTGTAGGACTATGCGGCAGGTCAAAGGGCCAATAAAAGTGTCGCGCTTTGATTGCGGACAGGTGAGAAGACCGGTCGATTTATGACTATCACCGGATATCTTATGTAAATAAAGTCGCCAAAGTTAAGCCTAAATTAATGAGGTGCCAAAGGTTAAGAAATTTTTCAGTAAGTTTTTTTACATTTTAAAAAGCTTATTCTTCTTAGACTTCCTATGTTAAATTAGCAAAGCAGACAAGATTTTGAAGTTACTACGGTAGGAGCAAGACTAGAAATAATTTTTTTGTAAAAAATAACTTCTTTTGCCAGTCTGAAAACAAAAAAATCACTTTGAAATAACTTAAAATTTCAAAAAATGCTTCTACATAGCAGTAAACCCTTCCAGTAGAATTTTAATTAGATTGAAAAAAGAGCGGCTCTTTGTGTGAAAGTCAAAGTAATTACAGGCGTTATCAGAGTTCAAAATCGATCGATTCAAAATTCTGGAAACGAAACGAGCGAAGACGGTCAGAAATGCATGAGTGCACAAAAAAGGGGTAAAAACAAGCCCTGGGTTACTGTAGCCGACGGGGTTTCCGGAAAGAAGGGAAAGGTAACCACAAGACAAGGCAGGCCCAGTCTCTCTCCTCTCCCATGAATTCCAGTCTCTCCATCGTGCACGCAACCCCAGCCTCTGGCCCTCAGGGCTTTTCGATTTTGGGGATTCAGCTGACGGAAGCAATCCAAACTCAGTCTTAATGTGCTTTTTGTCTCCTACTATTACATTTTGAAATCATCGGATTATGGGTTTTCATACCAAATATTACGTTTTTGGGGGTAAAATTAACTCTGTAAACAAAAAAGTAATGGTCTCGTGTTAATGATTTATATATGTCTCGCTAAGTGATGTCATATACTTAAAATCCCTTAAAATTATCATATAACAGAATCTTATCCAACGCTTATTTACCTCGACTCGCATCATGACATCTATTACTGCTTCATAAATCCCGTCTAGTCTGTCCCCCTCACCCCCAATCCTTATGATTGAGCAATCTCTCAATTGGCCATAATAAAAGTGTTTTTCACAATCAAGTCTTATCTTAAACGCGGCTCTTAGCTCCTACTCGAATCCGAAGCCATATGCCTGAAGCTGATCGAATCCAGATGTGGCTTCGGCTCCAGGTGGAGGGGACGCCTGTCTCTCTACCGTATACCCATGAATAACCGATAAAATTGCCCGAGGGGTGGTGCCACAGAAACGGACCGTCGCCACTCCACACTTGGGAACCGGGCCTCGACTGATGCTTTTCGTTTTAGGGCGAATTATCCAATAACAATTCCAAAGTAGTAGTATTCAAAACTGGCTTTGTCGCGGCGTCTTCCTCTCCGCCTTCCTCATGAAGCCGCAATCCCCTCCGTACCTTCGAAAAGCATCATTAATGGCATAATTAAATTTTATGGTATGGGGCAGCGCGAAATTAGCATAGGGGTGAGTCGACCTTAGCTTTCCTCCTGGAAAGCGAAAGCCAAGACAAACAACCACTGATACGGTGCTTGAACACCAAAAGAAGCTACCTGGAGGTCACGCCGCTTCATTTGCATAAACTCTTTGTTTCAAACTCTCGGGCAGGAAACTAGCGTGCACTGGCTCGAGAGGCCGGGTGTGGGTGGTCGGAGTTGGAGCCCAGTCTCCAATGAAACGACTTAATTAACAGTAGAATAATTGAGTTGTAAACAGTTTGAAGTTCAGTAAAAATGAAAGAATTTTCAGGTAAAACTACCTTTTTAGTAATGACATAGGCAATAGTAACTTAAAAATTATTTTTCGCTCAACTATAGGCTTTACTGCAATTTTTCATAAAACTGCGCAATCAAATACACACTAAGATGTTAAAAAATAAGTAATTTAAAGCGTATTTTAGCCAAAATTTCATTTACAGACTGATTTTAACACCTAGAAAACCCTTATAATGTCAAAAATTTGCCAAAATTAAATTTTAAAATAATTTACCAGTAAATAAACTGGCATAACCCCCACCTTTTGGCACCATAAACCCCCTACCCAATCCACCACCCCTAAGGCCATCTTAAGCTTCTAATGACTTGTCCAATGTTTTAACTCTTTGCAACAAAACGAACCGCCTATTTTTAAGTATCTAGTAAAAATTAATTGTATTGCTATTATGCTAATATCTAATGAAATGATTTATAGCCCTTTCGATGTTATTATGGGTAATGTAATTGTTTGTTTGTAACTGATTCTTTGAGTTACACATTGTAATGGGACAGTCGATGTCATTATGTCTTGTAGTTTTTATTGGGTGGTACTAGGGGATCATTGTAAATTAGTGTTGGATGATAGTTATGTATAATCTATGAACAATATTATAGTTGTAAAATTAGTAACTTTATATTATTTTTAAATTCATAACTTATTTAATTTGTAATTCTCATGTCTGAAAGCTCGAGTTCAGGTCGCGCTCCACGCTGAGGTCACGCTCGCAGCAGCCGAACGGTCTCCCGAATGTCGTAAAATCAAATTGTATTACTTTCCCATCGCATCTGATCGCCACATTTCGGTCGGCCAAAGAAAGATGCGCCTTTAATTGTCCTCAGTTCATAATTCAAAAAACTCATAATAACTTGTCGCTTTGAGTTAAGTTTGGCGGCAAAAAGTAGTTAAATTTGAAAATAATTTTAATAATTTAAAGAATTTCAAAGCAGTTTCAACCGAGTACTGAGTAGTGCTGTCTCGTACTACCCACGTACCACGGACCCGCAGGAACCAATCACGGTCCTCGAAAGACTTTTTTCGTTCAGGTTCTCTTCAAAAATTACCGTATCCTTTTCCCGGCTGTTCTTGTCGAGCCGACTGCACTGTTTCGTCAGTCTTTGCATCTCTTCCCTTTTAGCCCCGGCCAGCCTTGAGGGAGCGTGTTTGAGAGGAAAGGGAGGCTGTCGGAAGGAGTTTTGCGGTCGGAAAAAATTGGGGAGGGAGACGGAGGGAGAGACTCGGATCCCCACAAAACTAATCGCTAACATGAAATTGTGGCGTGCTTCAACGTGAAAAGCCCTTCTGTTGTCAAAATTTTAATTATTTCCCTTTTGCAGGTACTTCCGGTCTCTCAGGTGTTCGCATCGTACTACACAGTACAGACTTGAACATACGATCCTCACCTGACTCTACCGTATAGCCATCGTCGCTAGTCATCGGATTCCGACCTACCGTAATCACAACGATCACGGTGATAGTGGAGTCGCTCGTCTGATGAGCAGCTCGACAACGCCTGGGAACGCGGGTGTTCCGTCCAACGAGTCATCTTCCACCTCCTCCCCCTACCCGGATTACATGAACACGACGTCGACGAGTCGCCCGACCAGTTCCTCCACCAACACCGCCTCTACCTCAACCACCGTGCCCAGGACGACCAGCTCCTCGGACTCCACACCCAATCTGAGTCTGCTGGGAGTGACGGACCCCAACGATCACCTACAACAACTCAAGCAGATGACTCAAGGCGTGGGCTTGATGAAAGTGGAAGCAGGCAAGTCTCGTGCATATTAATGCCGTTCGTCTTCCGAGGCAGTTACAGCGCCTTTTATGGACCTTAACTGTTCTACCATGATTTATATATATATGATTCCTCTGTCACCGCCCATCCCATGCCGATTTACTGCCCCATAATCCATTAGAAGTACCGCTGTTTCAATTAAGTATCTCTGAGGGTTTATTGTACGATTAAGTTGATGGTATTAGCTGGATAGTACCCTTTAACTGTTATTTGAAACATTCAACGGCTGATGGTGTAATAACAATTAGCTATATATGGTGATTAAAATGTGATTTAGAGTGTAATAACCATCTGTTTTAGAAAGGCCATGTAATAGCAATTGATGTTGTTATAGTGAATTAATTTTATTTTATGTGATACATGTAGCTATAGGAATTAGGAAAATGTTTATTTTTGAAAACTGGGATATGTGAATTTGAAAAATTAGATTTTATGTTGTAATAGCTATGTACTTAAAGAAAAATTACAAAAGTTATAAAGCCCATATTATAAATTGTTTTAAAAGATCATATCTATAGCTGAGTAACCTCAAGGCAACTTAATTTTACAAATTTTTTGAAAATTTTGCATTCAGAGCCATTTTTTAAAACTGACTACGAATTCCAATAAAAATCCCATATTTTTTAAACTAGGTTATTGTAGAAGCTACAAAAAAGCGATCGGAATTCAGAAGCCAGCGGACTAGGTTTCAGCGTTCTCTAGCGTCTCTGGGTTGATAAGAACTGATTTATAGATAATGAGGCGGCGGCTTTTGTCTTTTATCTCCGGTCTTCCAATTTGATTTCGGTGTGGTTGCAGATGCCAATGGCTCGACCACTAATCCGATGGTCGCCTCCAACTTCTCCCAGGACTTGTATACATACGGTTGGCCCTACTACCAGCAGTTCGCGACGCCGATGGGGCAGGCCGGCTTCTCGGCATGGACTCCTCATGGCTATCCCGGAACGCCGTGGCAAAACTACGGTAAGTGCGAGGCCGAATCGTCTTTCGTCCGCCTTCTGCGGACATTTGTTCCTTCCCTTCTCTTGACGACCACGAAATGGGCAAAAACCTGCGGGAAGCCGGGCTTCAGCCTTCTGAAGCCGATTTGATACGCTTTGTGAAGTCATTATGCGAAAACAGATTCATTGTCTTCGTCTTAAACGACTTCCACACAGCAAAAACATTAATTTGTAATCAGAATCCCCAATAAGGCTTATTGTAGACACATTACAGTCGGTGTGAAACTACATTACGCTGTAGATTTGCATAAATTAATTTAATAAGACCGTCTTTCTAAAAGCAATACTAACATAACTACAATCTTATGTGCACTATTTCTTTTCAGCACAGAGCAAAAAAGGCCGACAAACTTATCAAAGGTACCAGACGACGATACTCGAGTCCAAGTTCCAGCAGAATTCTTACGTGAGTAAGAAGCAGCGTGAAGAACTCAGAAACCAGACCGGTCTCTCCGACCGTCAGATCAAGATCTGGTTCCAGAATCGGCGGATGAAAGCGAAGAAGGAAAAGCACCGTGTAGACGAGCAGACCGTAGAACACCAAAGCATCGCCCTGCCCAGTAGTACGTCCAAATCCTTAAATAGTACTTTACAAGCTCGAGTAGGGAACGGTCTTCACAATGGTATGAACCTGGCCGGCCATCAGCTAGACCTCGGCATCGTGGACCAAGATGACAAGAAGAGTCTGTCGAATTCGATGTCACCAGTCGGAGGGCCGATGTGGCCCATGTCGACGATGGGAATGCACGCGGCCATGACCGGGATGCAGCCTCTGCCCGGCGACAACATGACCTGGAACCCGAACAACCTGATGTTGTCGCAGAACAACTTTGTGGCCCCACATCAAAGTGGCCTGGCCCACATTAACCCTTACAACTGTCAAAGCTTCAACCCCTACTCGGAAACTACTTAACGGTAGATGTTGTAGCCCGTTGCTTATGTTTTGTCATGTATTTTCTAGTTTTTATGTTATTCTACAATCTTCTGTAATGTTATTACCGGTTACTTAGAAATGCATGACAAAACAAGCGAACTACAGTATCCTGTGCATACCCACTCGGTCTCTTTTAGCTACATCTTCACATATCCAGACCCTCCCTTTCTTTTCGTTAGGACAGAGCTTTGGCCATGTACATTGTTACTACTCCATGTCAGCATAATAAACTGCTATTTAGGTCAAAAAGTTTATAGAATTACCTCATAAGCTTAGTATTTTTGTTTTTCTCTCTACTTTTTGACCAAACAAGTATATTACACTATTGTCATAATAACACACAAAGTGACATTATGGTAGTTTGTCATAATAATACCTAAATTATTTCATAATAACACTAACTATGTTACCATAAACACCACCTTACCATAGTGAACGTGTACATGGGCCGCTTTAATCGTATTGCAATGGTAACCCTCTGAATAGTTGTATCTTGTTGTTAGTGATGATAGAGGACGAAATTTGAATATTCAGAGATGCAAATTTCTTGGCTTTTGTGATTATTTGATTTGCTGAGATGGTCTCATTCTTACCTTGTTTTGTAGTTATTTGGTTGTGTAATTATGATTGTCGATTTTCGCAGAAATAAATCTAATTTAAATAATTTCATCGCGTAAGTTTAAAAGGTTTTCTTTAATTTATTTTAGTTTTTAATAATTGCTTTTTTAACAAAGGTAAATTAATATTTTATCTTTACAATATTAAGTTAAGTAAAATTAAAAATTTTTTTTTCATTTATAATTTTTTTTATGTTGAAAAACTACAAAAATCAACGAAAAACTGTATAATACAAGAATTTTTTATATTATCATAGCTTGTGAAAACTTCTCTCAATATACGTTTGAAACCTATATTCACATAAATGTTTTTAAACTCTAAAAACAACCAGAATTTAGCGAAAAACCCGTGGAGACCGAAAAGGTCGACAACATTCAGATCGTCGCTTCCGACGTCCCAGCATCCTTAATATTCGACCAGTATCATCAAGAAAAAGAGAAACTTACAGTGTCCTTTTCTCCAGCTCAATTGGCACAAACAGCAGCTTCTACTCAATGGGCGATTCGTGACGAAGATTCGGACACAGACACCTCGTATATTGAGGATGAAGAATCTGAAGAAGAGACTTATGAACATGGCCAAGGAGATGTGAATTGCCTTATTTTTTTTTCTCCTTACCTTTATGATAAACCGGGAAAGTTCTGCGAAGATCTTAAGGATGTTAATCTTCTTAATTTTGACGATCCGGATGTTGAGGATGAAGAATGTGCTGAAGATGAACCTGAACGTGGCCAAAATGAAGGAAAGTGCCTTGAATTCGATCCGAAAATCACTGAAAATACAGGAAATATGATTAATCTTGATTTTGATAGTGAAAAAGTCTCTAAAGATAGCCAAGTTGACGTCCATTCGCTTGATTTGATCCCGAAAAGAACCGAAAATATTGGAACTATTATTAACATTGACAACGAAAACTTACCTATACCTCCAATTCAACCGACAGATAATGGTAAAGGGAAAACGTCGAGCACATTCAACAATTTAGTCAACGATCAGGTAAGACAATGTGAATTGATCGATCACAGTGATTTCAGATTTATGCCGACTTCTTTGCCGATCTTCTCAAAAAGTGACATCTACATGAACATAATGCTAGTCTCCTATATTATCCACGTGTATTTATTATAAGTATTTTATCACAAACATTTTTTAGCGAAATAAATAATATTTTGACACAAGATAGGCCCGTTTCTTCGTATAACATGTCTCACAAGGCGGTTAATTATTTTTTAAACTTACATATTTACATTTTTTAATTTTTTTGTAAATTAGATAATCAAGTAGATGCTATGGGAGTAAAACAATTGTTGCCTTTTGTAGAGAAAGCTTGTCGACCAGTAAGTTTTGTCAGGTTGTTAATTGAACTTGAAGTTTAGTTGTCATTTTATGGTTTTAGTGTCATGTAGAAGAGTTTGCCGGCAAGAGAATAGGTATTGATGTCAGTTGCTTATTACACAGAGGTGTTTTTGGATGTGTGGAGATGATTGCTAAAGGATTGAAGACTAATTTGTAAGTTTTTTTGTTAATATTGAATTGTGTAGTCAATATTATAAAGTGTTAATAAAAGACCCTATTGTTAAATGTAAATATAGTTTTAACAAAAAACTGGAGAAAATATCTATGATAATACTGTTCTAGTTGTATCAAGTACGTTGAGAAGTATTTGAAGGTGCTGTTTCACTATGAAATGGAAGTTTATCTTATCTTTGATGGCAAAAGTTTGGGAGCCAAACAGGTAAGTATTTAAAACCTTTATTGTTTTATGTTTAGACCTTACAACTGTTTAACATAATGGACATCAAGTTTATTTATTACAGCTTGTAAATAGCGAGAGAAAAGAGAAGCGACAGAGTAATCAGAGAATGGGGGATGAATTGATGGCTGTAGGTCTAGAGGAAGAAGCCTACAAAGTATTCCGTCAAGGCATTGGAGTCCCAAAAGAGATTCAAGATGAGGCGATCAGACATTTTAAAGAGCATAATAATGTCAAAGTCATCATTTCTCCGCATGAATCTGATGCTCAGCTGGCCTTCATGATTCAGAATGATATTGTTGACCTTGTTGTTACCGAAGACTCGGATTTGATTGTTTTTGGAGCTTCTAAGGTGAGAATGTTTAGAAGTATATTTTTTACAGCTGTTGAACTGTTTTTGAACTTTTATTAGTTTTATATTTTTTTTTATTACCCATTGATACTTAAGATACTACCATTAAGTTGTGATTTGTGCTGTTTATGTGTACTATTATTTTTAGATATTATTCAAATTGAAAGAAAATGGCACAGGTACCTTGTTTGAGCAAGAAAAGCTGCCAAGGTGTATGTGTTTGTCTCTTTCAAAGAACTTCAAGATGGAAACCTTCAGAAGAATGTGTATCATGAGTGGATGTGATTACTTGCCTTCAGGTCTGAATGGAGTCGGACTCAAAAAAGCGGAAAGTTTACTTTCTAGAACATGTATTACTGATATGAAACTGGTAAGTGAAAGATGAGTGTTTTTTATTATTTACATGATATGTAGTTATTACCATGATATTTAGATATTTGAAAGCACTGGAGGTGTGTTATATGATGATTACTGACGTATAATTTTAGTTACTACCAAAAGCACCGATGTACCTCAACAACCGATCTCTCAAGATTACTCCAGACCTCATTCAGAAGTTCATTCAAGCTGAGAATACATTTATCTATCAAATTGTTTATGACCCTGTGTAAGTTGTTGTTTATTTACAGAACAACTTTACATCCGGCTTACCTAGCATGACTTTAAAGTGATAAAACATGTATTTTTAATGGTTTTTGATGTTTACTTTCAGAAATAAGTGTCAAAGACCAATCAATTTGTATCCGAATACTGAAATCGCAGATTACATAGAGGTATGATACTTTTTTGGGTATCATTAAACTGGGTAATAAAACATAGAAAGAATGTTGCTTCATCACATGGTACTTACTGTCCTATAATTACCAAAAAAATTATATTATTATGCTTATTAACCTCAGCTGTTAGCACTTTTTCTAACGTTTATCATCTTTTCAGTACACAGACAAAGTAAAAGAGTTGTCGAGTCAATATGCATACGCTGGCACAATACTTCCACCGTCAGAAGCTGTGAAGGCGGCAAATGGAGACTTGATACCAGAAGCCGACGATACTACCACTACTGATTCTCAAGTGTTGAAGTCGGTCCAGAATAATATCGAAATGAAGTCTCAGTCTCCGAATCTGGTGTCTCCAAGGGTTTCTGCCCTAAGGGCGTCCCTCTCGAGGTCGAAGTCTCAGCCTTCGTTGAAGGCTTCTCCGCTTCTGAATATGAAGCGACAACGTCCTACTGGAATGTTTTCTCCCAAAGTCACGAAGCGGAGGATTACTGTAGATGAGAAGGGAGGAATTACATTTAATGTCACCGGACCTTTAGAAGACAAGAGTGCTACATGCGGGAGTACGGAGGCTAAAGTTAGTACTACAATAATGGAGACTAAAAAGAAAGTTGTTGTAGACGAAACGATTGACTTGTCAAAGGTTAATGCAAAGTAAGTTGTCATTTTATTATTGATTACGGTTTTTACATTAAGGTAGGTATAAGAGTACAACAATCACTTTAAATTTTAATAATAAGACGGTTAAAGAAATAAAACAAGCCACTGTTACCTACATTTGCCAAAGCAATTATTGCTTTAAAACTATAGATTTACTAGATATTCTGTAGATATATACAACATGTTTGTTTCAGAAAGATCATAAACCCGTTGTCTTCAGTGTCGTATACGAAGGTGCAGATCACGAACGTGAAGGTGAATCGACAGTTCGTGTCACCTCTAATTCGACGACCGTTCGCTCCGGTCGATTCGATGAAACCCGCGGCAACACATCCGACATTTCTGTAATTATTGTATTAGTGTACTTATAGTAAGGTAATGTAAGTACAGTAGCAACGGGTCTTAGTTACATTGTTAAAAGATGTAGTTACTAGTTATGTTCAACCTACCGTTGTCAGATGTGATCTCTTCGTACGACGGTAGTCGGGTCTCTAATGTCTGTGGCAATTGTAAGCTGGAGCTTGTCACACACGTGCTGAAATATAAAGTTGTTATGTTTGTAAATGGGTTGTTTCGATGTTGTATAGTACGATAAAGTTATATTTTTTGTTGAATTGTACGTTTTATGGGACCAAAGGTAATGTCCATGGAGAATAACTGAATTTTTACTATATTTTATAAGTTACAGTGTATTGTTAACCTACAACGTATAAGGTTTGCTTACTTGTGTCGCGTCGTCGCATAAGCAGGAGGTCCATATATGGATTCAGGAAGGGCATACGTACTGTCCGAGACAGTATGTGTCCTTCGTGATGACGTATATCGCTGTCGGTTCGCAGTTCTTTGTAGATCGTACTCTAGATGAGTAAAAGCTCTTCGTTCGTACTTCATAGTATCATCGTACGATGGAGGTGGAGCTCGCATAAAGATTTCGCGGAAAGAGGCTAAACAAATAACTACAATATTAACATAAAGACTTACATGGGAAGGCTCCAGATGCCACCTCGAGATCGGTAATGGGATGAGAATTGCCTTCTGGACTGACTGAAGTTGAATGTCTCGGCCTAAAGCGCAATATATTGTCAGAGCCTTGTTATCATCGCCCAAAAAAATCATAGAACGGCATTAAAAACATAGTAAACGACACTTGTGGTTTACAGTATGAACATTACACCTACCTAATTTGCATGTAATACACCAAAGCTATGCGAAAACAACAAAACAGAATGGCGGCCACCAACGCCGCCGGCGCTACGTAATACACGATACGATCGTAGCCTTGTGGTCCTTCGGAAGTGTCGTTCATGACGATATTATGGATGACAATCACATGAGGAAACGTTTACGAAACAGAATCTTTCCGATGGCCAAGGTGAAGAAGGAGAGGCCGCTCGCTCTCCCCCTCTTTCATCTGCCCCCACCTCGCTGATAAGGAGTGATAGGCAGGGTTAGAAGGCACGGTCCAACGTTCTCTCCTTAATGTTTTGAACCCCTCGATTTCGTAAAAATGTTTATTTGAGGCTTGTAGCATAACAACATTAAGTCATCATTTGGGAGAATCATGAAATAACAAAACATAATAATATATTATGTTTGTTATTAGGGGGTTTAAGTTAATAATTTGGCAAGGAACGGGTGTTTATGTTCGCTTACTTTGAAGTGAACATACATATTGGTCCAAAACGTAGATAGATGGGCATAGTATAAGATTAAGCTTAAATAGAATCATACTATGAACCTTTTGACCAATGTAAAAGATTATATATGTTACACATAGATTTGTTTATGTTAGCAAATCTATAGACACTTACAATTGCGCCAATAGTATATTTTATCTTAAATTAATTTATACAAGTAATTAGATACTGTTACGGCGATATAAATATGTATATATAAGCTGTGTTTTCGGGTCACAACAGTCATTTTATCTTTTGTCTTTTTTTACTGAGACTCGAAATAGCACCGGTCCAAGCCCTTGGCCGTGTAGAAGTTAACCAGGGAATGTACATTTAACTTGAAGTTCTTGATATGCTCGTCCATGTGCTGGATACAGTACTCATCGTACCCTTCTTTACCGTAAGCTACCGTCTTCAGTAAGGTATGGCGGGAGGGGGCGGCAGCCAGTACTACTTTGAATAACTGGCGGGAAATGAAGTTGTGATGATGTTTTAGAGTCTTCTGATAGCTCTCGCTTAACAGTGTGTACAATGAGTCACTCTTCTCTTTACGATTGTAGGCAGCCACCAAGCCTAGCAACATCTCCAACATGAATTCTAGACCTCTGAAAGCGGGAAATGTCATGTTTTATAAAAACGTGTGGCCTTTTATAAAATAATGTGCCATGCAAAAGCGTTCAAACAAGATTGTAACAATTTTTACAGCGATAAATATATAAAACCCACCTTTTTAACCACAACAATCCCTCGGTAGGTATGCCCATCCGACCGGCGTTCTGTTGAAGATCGTCCTCCACCATGTCTTGTAGGTACTTGTACTTCTCCGGATCTTTCTGGTACATAGTCCTGACCTTATTCACGTTGCCCAACACATCGTTCTTGACCGGAATAAAGGCCGTTCCAAGAAACGCCACAAACTCCCCGATTCCTTGACATGCTGATACGAACTCGGCGGTCGGAATCTTACCATCCTCAAGGTGAGGGAAGAGGCGCTCTTTGGCCGAAAAGTAGGTCTCTGGCTCCGACATCTAAACAAAGTTGTTAAAAACTGTTTAGATATGTCATTTTCGTACTAAAAAAACCTTTTAAATTCATGAAAACCACAATATTTTTCCTTTTATTTGAAAGGATACTGAATTCAAACGTATCAAAATTTTAATTTGAAACGGTTTTAAGCACAACTTGCTTCTAAGTAGATTACAATAAACTGAGTCATTGCTCTCAAAGGTATTTCACGGTCAAACTTTTAAAGAACAACACTTAAGAACCGTAGGATACGTTTATTTCAGGTCATTAAAGCATTTTACCCTGTATAGTAATATAACGTGGAATGTAAGAGTAACAATATAAATACAAAATACAGTATAATACGATACCGTATATACTGGAATTACAAAACAATATGATACTGCATAGATTGGTTGCACAGTGTTATATAGTACTATTCAAAATAAAGGTACAACATAATAGTGCAACTACAGTACCATTTAATACCGTACCAATCCAAAAACAGTACAATATAGCGCGTTACCCATAAATGAGACTAAATACGAGAAAACCGGGATATTTATGTACAATACGAAAGACTGTTATTTCGTGGCACGTTGTTCACAGTTCTGTTCGAACGTTCCCACCATCGACTTGACATAGCTTTTGTGTATATCCGTCTGATTCGACTTGGCACAGCGGCGGTTCGGGACCTTTAGCGACAAAATTCCAAACTTTTTAGCGATTTCGGCCTAAACTGTCACTGATAAGATAAGCAATCATGAAACAAGCGGTAATCTTTAACCACTCAACTTCTGGTTTTTAATTTTCCATCACAAAATGTTATAAGAGTATCTCTTTACCTTGTTGTTATTATGCTTTAAATGTATTTTTGATGTTTCAAACATAGATCAAATATTATTTATGGTATTTTAGTTATAACACCACTTACAAAAGAAGTTGTTTTCCCTTCTACATGAGGCTTTGCACTCTTGGAGTCGCTGTTCCCAATAATCGCCTTCAGATACCCCTCACAAATCGACCGTGACCCTCGAGGCCTGGTCTTCTTTGGCCTTGAGGACACGTCAGATGCTGATCTGTTGGGGCTAGACCCGTTGAACACAGCACTTTGTCTGTTCCTGCTCGCACTCAACATACCACCGAATGTTTGCAGCTGATTCATGAACCCGGAGTTGGGAGTGATACAGTTTCTCTTGGCTTTCACGTAGTCCAAGGCTTGGCTCAGATTCCACCCGTATTCTTTCATGATGTAGGCGATTACTGTAGAGGACGATCGGCTTATGCCTTTCTTGCAATGCACTAGTACTGCCGCTTTTTCCGTTCTAAAAGTGACATTAGAAGTATAAAAAGTATAATATATCGAAGGTAAGATGGATAGTTGCTCCTTAAAATGAACTTACTTGGCCTTTTTAATAAACTCGTAAGTTCGATTCCAATGCTTCAAAAGTTCGGTGTTAGCTTCATCAGACACAAAGATCTTCAAATACTCGAAATGCGATGGAAAAAAGTTATCAACTTCCCTTGTCATGTTCAATATGTATCGCACACTAAAAAATTAAAGTAATAAAATTGTATTGTTTAGATAAAATAAGCTCATATCTCCGAATTTACATTTTTGACTAAACTATGGTGAAATCAAATTGGAATTCGTTAAAACAAAACCTACTTATTCTTATGCAGTTCGTCCCAATTCGAAGCGTTCCATTCTGTTCCCAGATACAGGTAATCAAAGATTTTTGACGGTTTCTCCATTTGCCCCAAGATGACCAGCATCTCTCTGTCGATGAATTCCTTGTACGTCTTAACAGAAACGTTTATTTCACGGTCCAATCGTCTTCTTATGTCACCACTGGTCACATCATCCAAATCGACCGTTTGCATGATCTGTTTCAGACAATCTCGAATCCTCCGTTCTGTATCATCCTCTACATTGTGATAACTGATCCTTCTGGCTGTAATATCATCTCGGCATGAATCATCGACTAGCGAGACATACCTAAAATACAAACTTTTTCCATTTTTTGTAATTTAAAAGTAGTCTAAAGAGTAAAATATCAAAAAAAAGTCATACCACTGCGACGACATAGCCGGATCCTGTGTAATTTGTGAAATTTCTTTGTAGAATTTAAGCCATACATCCGCATGATCTAAGGTGGGATTTCGGTGAATCAGCTCCAGCTCTCTATGTAGACATTGAAATACCAACCACATCGATTGTATCGAAGCTGGTTTGAAAAAGTAAAAACTGGCAGAAATTCCAACCAAAATACCCCCATCACCGTCCAGTTCAACTTGCGTTGTGGTTAATATAGGTACAGATACGCCAATTCTAAAGGTTTTTAATTAATACCTTCTTGACAAATAACCAAATAGTGTTATGAAAATGAAATTTAACTTACGACACTCGTTTTTGATAAAAATCAAAGCCAATTAGAGCTGATTCCCTCGTGCCATTCTGTTGTTCTGATGGTGACGTTACCACTGCCAAATACCTAGTATGTTTGGTTAGAAGTGACTGAAGTTGTACAGCTATACATAATTTGTCAGTCGGCCTCAGAAGATTCAACATTTGTTGTAGGTGTGACTCGATTTGATCCAGAAATACTAGAAATGTAATAAACATATCAGTTTCTGAATAGATTAAGTACTTCCAAAGTCATTTTTTAAATTTTAATTTAACAATATATGTGTATTTTATCATTTTTCATAACAGCATACCTGTTTCAGAACTCCTCGTCCTTGTTAAAACTTGTTGTGAATGCGATAAGACCATAGCAGCTCCTTTAACGGTGAAGTAGTACTCATTTCCATCTGAATTCGAGCTTGAAGGAATCACAGAGCCGTCGGAAAGATCGCCAATCTAAAAAACAAAAACTTTTAAAAATCAATTGAATAATTTACTATAAATTACATAAACCCTAGAAAAACCGAAATAAACGTGTCAGAAGCACCAACTACAACATCATTTACTACTTACATCCTCATTCCCGACGGAACTGGACCTTCGAACGCTGATCAACGACATTTTTGGCTACCCTTGCAGCTCTACTATATTCCTCCGCTGTCCATCTTTTATCGGATCGATGAAAGTAAAAAATCTTTACCAAATAATTTCAGCCAATACTGAGTGAACGGAACACAACAACTGCTTTATTCGTTGTCCAATCTCGAATAGACGAAACGCCACATAATATTTGTTATAAAAATATTTGGGAAATATTGAATGAGAAGAATAAAAGATGGCGGAGGAAAGTCCAACAAGTTCCAACGATCTCCAGCTGGAATTGAAAGTATGTTATCATGGCTATTGTAGCGTTTTTAGGAAAATATATTTGAACTGACTTTATCGTATTTTAGGAAAAGTTGGAAGCATCGAAGCAGCTGGCTGATCGTTATGAGAAGCAACTACAAGAAGAACGGACTTATCGTCAAGAATTGGAGAAAGTGTTTGCCAAAAAGTCGAAAGAATCAGAAACCTCAACGTTTCAGCTGAATGAGCAGATAAAGTCTTTGGAACGAATGTTAAATAATGTGACAGAAAGGTTCAACAACGAGATCAGAATAGTCGAGGGAAAGTTTGACGAAGTATTTGCTGTTAACCAGGATCAACGAGAAGCGTATGATATTATACACAAAAGGTTAGTGTTATTTATCTTTAGTGTCGTTTATATTGTTGTGGGTGTTGATTAAAAAGTCCTCTTTTAGGTACCAAAAATTATTGGGATTTTACCGGAAGACTGCCAACCAAATGCGGGAGGACAACATTTCACTGCCTCAGACTGTAGACGAGCTTCAATTTGAATGTCTGAAGTTAAGAGAAGAGATCATAGAGACTAGAGCCACCAAAGAACATATTGAGGAAGAAAGTGCCAGTGCAATAGAAGCCTTGAAGAGTGAGCTAGAACAGGCCAGGTCAATGGTTGGCCGGACAGTAAGTATTTTGCGAAATATTAATTTTAAGCGGTTACTATTAGGTTTGAAAAAAATTTTGATGTGGTTTCATTGACACTAATTGTTAAAGTCTTGTTTTTGATGTTGTTAATTTTTAGATGCGAACACAAGAGAATGAAGAACTACGACAGACGATTTCGGATCTAGAGAAGAGGTTGGCTGAATCCCAAGCTGAAGTGAGTGCCATGGCCAAATCTCTAGAAGAGTTCCGTCAACGTTGTAGCCAGCTACAAGTAGAGCTGGACAATTCTGAAGCCGTCCAAAAAGATTTCGTCCGATTGTCACAAAACCTGCAAATCCAATTGGAAAAGATTAGGTCGACGGAGCAGGAGGTAAACAATAGTTTTTGGGTATATTTGTCAGTTATTTTCTGCCAAGTTATGATATTTTCAGCGTTTGTAGTGAACCTAAATGTAGGCTTTTGGTTTAAAAAATATACTTTTGCATTTTGAGGTCCGATGGCAGTTTATAGACGACGTGTCCAAGTGCAACACTTGTGAATCGGACATTCGTCGTGCCCAAAAAGGTAACTGTCTTCATTGTGGAAAGGTGTTCTGCGCCAATTGTATAAAACAACAAATACCAGCTGGACCGAACAACAAGATGGCGAGAGTCTGTTCGGTGTGTCACACACTACTCAATAGGTAAGTCAATCTGTTATATTATTCATGGAATTAGGAATTCGGCGCCGTTCTTCTCCAAAACGTTCACTTCCTCTTGAAATGGTCACAAGACTCAGGTCTAGAAATGCTAGTGATGCTAATAGAATTCTACGTAGATCTGACGTTTTGTTAATTTAAAAATATACATAAACATATTAAAATGATATACATAATGCAGTTGGAATGTCATAAATATATTATTTATAAATATAAAAGGTATTAAAGTAGTTCTATCCTTTTCTACACAACCACACAAATTATATAACCCGCAGTTCACTGTGCTTCTTGTGGAGGATTCTGTTGGTCGTCATCGTCGTTGTCCGGAGCTCCCCAATTGAATCCGCCTGGTCGTTCCTGAATATCAACTGTTGGCATTGGGGCAGGGTCGAACAGCCATTTCATGAGAGCTGGTGTTTCTAATATCCGGAATCCATTAGGTAAGCTGGGGAACACGTCTTCCAAAAAGTAGTATAAATGCCCACAAGCGATACCTTAAAAGCATGGTCGATGATCATATTCAGTAAACATAATGAGGAAAATGTGTCCTGAATACGGAGAATACTACTTACAACAAAAACAGCATGCACTTACCGAAAACATCGACCAGAGCGTTGTTACCCAGTAACAGTGAGAAAAACAGTAATACCCACGGTAGATAGGGAGCATTGAAAGAGATAACTCCGAAGAAGTTCATTCTGATCTGTGGATTCCTTCTGCTCCACACATACACCAGCATGATCGTGAAGGCTTGCCCAAGGAATAACAGATGAACGAAGCAGGCACAAATAATCTAAATCACAATATTAGCCTTATGTTTAATATATTATGCTTTATACACTGTATATATCTCAACCTTACCATAAACACTCCTCCAAACAAGAACATGAACACAAAGTCCGCTGTTCGGTCTCTGAACGATCCTTCCTCCAGAATCTGGCAATGCCGATATGTGAATATGATGTTGAATAGAAATGTAAACCCTAATGACCCGAAGTAACAAAATGATGTCAGTATTCTCCACCACTGAAACATGAAGTGTTCTAGTTTTTTAAACTGTAAATGAGAATTACTTTCTTTACATAGCTGTTACCTAAAATTAATCCTACCTGAAAGTCGTATAAAATGAGATGCCAATTAAAGTAAAGGTCGAATGGTGTCACTAGATCAAATTGCTGAAAAACGTGAACATTATTAACGGCAAAGAGCACATATGTTATATGTATATTTCAATGTCAACTTCTACTATTATATTTTTACAACTTACCACTGCCAATGTTGTTACGACACACGCGGTCATGTATACCCGTGTCACCGGTGGCATCTGTTCGTATGTTTGGAGTAAGTGCTGCATTTTGTTACCTAAATTGGGGTTTAAACAGGTTGCTGAACCATTTTAGGTATTAAATGAACGTTTATCAATCGAATCAAAGCCAAGTCAATGTGCCTAAACTTTAACAACTAATTAGTAACAACAACATTATAAATTTATGGCGTCAAGATTGTTGAGGTAGAGCCTTCGGACATCAGATCTCCAAGAATCTTGTTGATCCTGGGCACGAACTCAGAGGTATCTCCGATCAGACCGGCTGTCACCAATGCATTGTCGTATACCTATAAAAAAATAATTAAAACTAAAATAAATGATTAAAAAGTATAATTTCAACTAAAAACAAAAGTTACGTTATACATATACTTCACAATAAAGATTATTTACTTATCAATAACGCCTACCTGTTCAACAACCTCTTTGGCCAACTTCTCGTTCTTTCTCTTCAACTTTGGCAGTCCTTTAATTACTGGGTGGGCAAAGTTAACATGTAAAACCGGCTTTACTTCCATAAGGTGACCCATCTGTTTTGGGTTATTGATACGTAGAACATGTCTCATGGCACTGTGGTTAATGGCCGTGATAACAAACGGATGAGATGATGGACTTTGCATCGGGTGAACCTCGAAAACCTTGATTGAGCCAAGAGAATCCTTGATGTAGTCCATAAGTTCCTTTTTCCCCGTATCTCTTGTCATCTCTAAAAGTAAGCAAATAAGTATATTAACTTGTTATAACTCATTATCATGCAATACACTAGACAAAATCCTGCCAAGAAGTTAAAAAATACTGTAATTTAGTCGACTAACCTGTCTTTTCGGATTCAGTTTGTAACCCTTGTTCTTTCAAGTAAGCTTCTACAGATACAATCTTCTTTCCCTTGAAATCGTTCATCATCAACAGTACCATCTCATCAGCTGCATCGTGCAAGAACAGTACTTCTTTGTTCTGCTTCTTAAAGGATTCATAATAAGGAGATCCTTCGGCAAGTTGACGTCTGAAAAAATATTTTTATAAATCTAAAATATCAACAAGAAACAAAAATGTTCATAATGGTGATTTTTGCAAACAGTATTGGTTTCGCTTTTAAATCAAAAAGTACACAAGGCAGATATAATTATTTAAAAACAAGACTCACGAAGGGCTGAATAAGTAGTAAATGGCATCCTGATCCTTCTGCATTCTCTCGACGTACTCCTCCAAGCTGGTCTGGGTACCTTGTTTGAAGTTGGAGGTATCGAACAACAGAAGTTGGGCAATCTGCTCCTTGACCCCAAAGTCCTGTTCAACCACAATACCTTCCTTGAAGAACATCGAGTACCCGTTGTAGAATTCCGTGTACTTTATCCTGTCCTTCTTCATCTCCTTGGTCAAGAACCTTATCACTCGCTCGGTTATAATCCGTCGCAACTTCCTGAAATTACAAAAATATGTTTTTAATTCAATCACAAATTTAGGGTTTTATCGAGTGTATGACATGCTACACCTTTATAAATAAAAATGACATTTAAAGTGCTACCAAACTCACAAGATAACGGCATCTTTTTGTAACATTTCCCTGCTCAAATTCAATGGAATATCTTCTGAATCGACAACTCCAATAACAAATCTTAAATATCTTGGCAATAATTCCTTGGCATGAGCTTTAATGAGAACCTTTCGTGCATATAATGACACTCCAGAATCTTCAAAATCAGTAGTAAACTCAACTTGGTTCACTTTATGGGACGGAATATACAGTAATACTCGTAAATTGAGAGGTGCATCTGCCTGTGATATAAAATATTACTAACATATACGCTTCTGTAACGTGCTGTCCAAAGTCGTAGTATCTCAAAAAACGCGACTTTAATAAATTGACACTAAATAACTACCTTATACTGCAGCGTATACCGAGGTCTGTCGTGCATAAGGTGTTGATGATGAGTTTTGGCAAGTTGTCTGAAGAAAGTCTCGTGCATTTCTGGAGTGACGTCTTTAGCATCCATCGTCCAGATAGCATTCATTGTGTTAACTCTTTCTTCATTCACATAAATAGGTACTGTCACAAAGTAGGAGTACTTTCCGATGACTTCAATCAGTCTTTCAGGTAACGCAAACTGGTTCTTATCACCATCTTTCAACTCCAACTCAATTCGGCATCCTGGTTTGGCTTCTGGATACTCGGTAATCTCAAAGGACGACTCCCCAGACCAGCTCCACTTGTAGCCAATAGCATCATCGTCATGTTTCTTTGTGATTACAGTAACCTTGTCAGCCACCATTAGAGCCGAATAAAAGCCGACGCCAAATTGGCCTGAAAACATCCATTTCTAATACCTTGCAAACGTTATACAGTAGAAAAAAAGTTAAAAGACTAAGGAATAAAATAAAAAGAAATTGTAAAACTAAAATTGATGAGCCAGTTGCAATTACGTTTTAAACATTATTGTAACTATAGCAACATCATCATAAGTTCAATATAAAACAAGAAACATTGTAGAGAATTCGTACAAAAAACAATAACTAACCAATAATTGATTCGGCAGACTTCTGCTCATTCGTCCTGAATTCTTTGGACCCAGATTTTGCAATAGTACCCAATGTGTTGACCAGCTCGTTCTTGTCCATCCCACATCCCGTGTCCTCGATGATCAACTTCCCTCCCTCTGTCGTTACTCTGACTTCATAGGGGATCGTGTCTCCAGCCGCCGTGACCGCAACTCCATTCGCATTCTCGGTAAAACGTCTTTTCTCGAGGGCGTCGCTCGAATTACTGACTAATTCTCGAAGAAACACCTAAACATCGATCACGAAAGTGATATAACACCCACCTCCTGCTCTGAATACAAAGATTTGGCAACAATATCAAGCAGATTCCTAGTTTCGGCTTGGAACTGGTGTTTCTCGGCATTAGCTTCAGTGGAAGAATATCTTAATGTTTGGATTCTGGACGTCTGAGAAGGTGTGTAGCTGTTCAGAGATCTCAGATTCGGTCTTCGTTGCAAACATTGACCGACCAAGCGAATAACCGACCGTTGATACATTGTTATCTATAAGGCACACGTCTGCAGAGATGTATTTTTGTACTCGTAATTATTTCTTGTGAAGCGGAAAGCCAAAAAATGTTTCCGTTTCAAGACTAAAATATTAAAGTAATATTTTTTGCTAATTTTTTAACTTTGCAAATTGTAATATCGAAATGATAGAAAGTAAGGTAAGATTAATGTTTTAAATAATTAGTTTTTACAGGTAATTATAGAAGTTTTGAAAGTGTTTAAAAAGATTGGCATTAGCGATTGGCACGAACTTTATCTTCAACAATGTAAGTCTAAAGAACAAGTTGTTGCGTTATGTATGGATTTGTGTTCATGTAATGTTGTGGAATCAAAGACGTTCAGAAGTCTAATCAAACAAGTGCTTACGATTTTAAAATTGTCTGTGGACGGGTTGTTATCGGTAAGCAAACATCGAATACATCAATATTTTTATATGAAATGATTGTTGAACATTGTTTGATAGCTTACAATATATTTCAAAACTGTTTTTAGATACTAGACGAATGTTTGTTGAATGATTCATATCGTCCGGGATTTGTTGTAATGCCGGTAGTGATTAACAGATCGCCAAGTACTATATGGGATGTTGAGAGAACGACGAAGATTGTCAACTGGATTAATAACGGAGCCAAAAGAGGTGCATTTATAAAGCATTTGTGTGATAAACCTTGTGAATCTGTTCTAAAACATATTCTGGGTGTTGACGATGGAAAAGAAATCTTGACCAAAGCTTTGATATCCTCGAAAGTGTAAGTTACGTGATACATTTGCTTTATTGTTTAGATCTGATACTGTTGAATGTTGGCGTGGTGGATTGTCGGTCCTTAAAGATAAGAGGAAAACTGAACTTGTTCAACTCTTCAATGATGTAATACCGGATTCACATATAATTTCAAACATTGGAGATTCTTCAAAGGACAAAACTTCTGAAGATTGCGAAAACTTGTGCGAGAACGAAGAATCTATAGAACAATTGAGCCTTTTGATGAAGAATTTGACCAATGCTAAAGATGTGTCAATTCTAACAATGGCAGATATCATGGAGACGTTAGAGTATGAGGAAGAAAGGAACGGCAAGTTTGAGATGCCTCGGGACAAAATCAACAAGTTTTATGAGAATGTTAAGGTAAGATAATGTTTGCTATTTTGCTTTGTGTTAACTAGTTATATAAGTTGAGCCGCATTATAAGTTGCATAATGATCTATAAGTTAAATTTTGATTATTTCAGAATTGCGTTGACACACTTGCTAAAGAATCAAATTTGGAAGCATTGAAGTCCGTGATTAATATAGTGCTTAACACTCATTCAAAGAAACTCATAGATATGGGGAATGCAGCTCTATTGAAAATTTCAAAGTCATTGCAAGGAGATTCTGACGTGAAAACATTAATTGCACAATATGTAGGTCTTTAAACGTCTTTTATATTTTGAAAAGTAAATCAACTTGCATGTTGTTCCAATTGTAAGGTATCAACTTTATTTTCAGGTAGAAAAGATCTTGCAATCTGAGTTTTTATTGAAGTTGCGACCTTATGCGTTGTCTACAATTTTGGTAACTTTACTTCAATCTGGACATCTTAACATTGACACTATTATTAAACATTTTCTAGCACAAGTGAATTCTGACTCTAAACCTATTACATGGTTCAACGACAGCACATTGTCGAGGGTGTTTGAAGTTAGAACAGTACAAATGGACTACAATAAGACGCTGAAGTTGTTTTACGAGAGAAGAGCTTATTCTTATGTTAGGTGCTTTTGTAGGTATTTTTATTGAAATGGAATTTGTAGCAACAATTTTAATTTACCTAGGACAATTTGTATGATTTTAGACCAGATTTCATCAGCCGTCTTTTCAAATGGTCATGTGTCTTTGAGTTACTTTTACTACGTGGACTCTGAACTACTGGAACACCTTTTAACTTTGTTGGATGACATACTTTCGAATCCAATAAACTACAAGGCATTGGAAAAGGTACAAAGCGTGTTATTGGTACTGGAGTCTATTCAAGTATTTGAATTACGGAACTCACCCTCTATTGATCATATCACTAGGTAGGTTAAAATATAGTATACTTTAGCTAGTTCTACTCAAAATCGTATATTTTTGAATTTGAGAAGCGTTAATTCTTCTTAATACATATTACGGTCACTTAAAATGTCATTTAGGTATCGAGAGTTGTTGTCACTGAAGTTGCCATTGTTGTTGGAATATATACCTGACTGGTCATTCAAGGCCCGAATATTAAAAGTGATTCATGGTTTATGTTGTTGATTGTTGCGTTTAAAAATAAATTGTTGAAGTTTATATGAGTTGAAAGTAGTTTGAATGGTATTTCCGTAACTATCTTAATAAAGTGTAAAGGCACAACAACAATTTTACATTAGCGATATATGGCACACGAATACGCCAACTTGTTATCCAAATATGACAACAAAGGAGAGCTGGGAGCCCCTGAGGCAAGTTAGTCATTTTTACAGTTTATTATCTTTAGTCAGGAGTTACCTTGCATGTCTTTGTCGTCTTTTTGTTATTTGTCGTCTTTTAATTTATAATAACGCACACATTCATTTATGCAACTAACAAATAAATTTTAGTTCTTCGACACAGACGAGGAAAGTGACAGTAAGATAAAGACCATGGCCGAATGGATTCAGTTAGCCAAATGTGTTTTAGTCATTACTGGAGCAGGAATAAGGTATTCTCAATACTTTTTTGCTGATGTTTATTTTATTTTTTAATTTATTTTGAAGAAACTTTATTTACAGCACTTCAGCTGGAATTGCTGACTTTAGGGGACCTAAAGGCATCTGGACGCTGGAGAAGGAAGAGAAATCACTTGAAGATGTAGACGAGTTTCTGGGTTCCTTTGAAGATGCGAGACCTACACTAACTCACGATGCTCTGAGAATCTTGGAACAAAACGGAAAGATTGCCTATCTGATATCACAAAATGTAGACGGACTTCATTCACGGTACGGGTTTCCGCTGGATCGGCTGTCAGAGATTCATGGTAACGTGTTCCAGAAAAGGTGTAATCGATGCAATAGGTAAGAGCTTGAAGTTGTAATTATCATCGTATGACGCGCTACTAAATAATTACAACTTTATGTTGTTAAATTTGTAACATTCAATTACTAGTTACGATACAAGGATTTTAAGCAAGTTACGTTAGATGTACAGATTTACTAGTATTTTACCATCATCAGTCACATTTTCAGAGTCGAGTTCAATACTGTTCCCTTGAAGTCTGTAGGGAGAAATATGATAGGGGAGAAGTGTCTATCGATTCCTAAGCCTAGAAACAGATGTACTGGAGACTTCTGTGACTTTCTCTTAGATTGGGACGATGAACTTCCAGAACCCGACTACAGTAGAGCTTTGAAGGTAGCTAGCTCAGTAGATCTGGTGATCTGTCTAGGGACGTCGCTACAAATAGAACCCATCGGAAGTCTACCTTTGAAATGCAAAAAGAAAAACGCCAAAATTGTTACAGTAAACCTACAGAAGACTCGAATTGTAGGTTATCAACTAATTTTCGATGTTTCTAAATTGCATGCCGTCTAAAAATGATATCTTATTACAGGAAAAGAAGGTTGACCTTCCAATACATCGTAGAGTTGATGAAGTAATGTGCCAGCTTCTCAATCTTCTAGATCTCCCCATTAATCGAAGCACCAATGTAAATATTGTACAGAACTCTTCTAGCAAATTGATCTCAGACACTCCGAAGAAACGAAAACGGGTGTCAAATATGGATAACATTTAATGAAGCTTTAATCATAAAATAATATGATAAAAAACGATGTATATAAAGACAATATTATACTGCTTTCAAGATATAAAATTTATAAACGTAAATTTTTGATTCCTTTAACTGGTTACTTTAAGGACGAAGAACCGTCTCATAAGTGATAGTTATGTTTGGGTTCAAGAGTGAGGCGTTCGTTTGAAAGGCGAGAGAGCGCGGGGACGAGAGAGAGCTGGCAGAGAAAGGAAAAAGAAGCCGCCTGGTCGACTCTTTCCCCTTACTCAAGCCATATTCCACAATTAAAACCTTTTTTGGTAACTTTAATAATAACAACGATATACGCGATTTATCCAAGACAAGAATATATGGTTTTACTTTGAAATCGCGCATTCTTGAAGTTTATATTTGTTGTTTATTCATTTTCACTGTTATTTTATGTTGTTTTAACGTTATTTATTGTTTCTTGCTGTTTCAGTTTGGAGTTGGGGTTGAATAGCCAGAAAACATGTCCGTCTTTGGCAACGATCAAGTTTCACGTGAGTTTTATGCTTTTGTTAGTCAAGGCTCTGTTTTAACTGCTTCAGAAGCTCCAAGCGGCTCCAGACTGGCACAATACCTGAATGGACGGAATCAGCAACAACAACCCCAACAACAGTTTATGGATCAGGTATGGCATGGGTTCTTAACTAACCTTTTATTTTATAGCAGCAACGGTTTAATAATAATGGAATGAATGGGTTTAACACAACAGGTCAGTTTGTATTTTAGGTATTAAAACACAAATTTTAGGATATAATCAAAATTATATTTTTTGAAAGTAATACCAAATTTGGGAATTAAATTGGCATAAAATTTTAAGTATGACATAAATCTTATGGTCCAGTTTAAGTGTACCATAAATCTTTTGTCATATTTAGGTATAAAGCCAAAATAATTAACGATCGGCTGTCTTAACACGTTTTTGTTTAGAATTCGACCCGAATCGGGGGTACAGCAACAATTTCATTCCTTCCATATCGAACGAAGAGGGCATAAACAAGTCGGACTTGGCTATGTTAACAGTATGTTCTCTTATCTTTTCAAATGTTTATCTGACGTTTTTGTATAATTTGTAAGCAGGATAGTACCGCGGTAATATGCCTTCGCTCTTAGAGTTTTTTAAGTTAATTAATCACATATTTTGCTTTTTTAAATGTTATCTCGAATATAATGTAATATTTTCAGACGAACATACCTTTAGTGGGACTTCAAGTTTCAAACGAAGATACCTTAAAACAACGATGGGCCAATGCGGGTCATGGGTCTTTCTTTAGCGAGCCTGATATCAGAAACGTAAGTGTAATGTTTGTGTTATGGTTTTCTGTCTTTAGGGGAAGATGCAACGGCTGTTTAAAATTTTAACATTAGGTTGAACCTCCATGTTTAGAAGTTGATACAGTGCCACATTCATCAGATTAGATAAAAAATGTTAAAATAAGTAATCTTAATGCGAAAATATTGTTGTAATTTAGTAAAGTTTGTCGATTTTAGGAATTGATGCAGCGCCAAATAGCAATGCAATGTCACCAAAGCTCTTCGGCGAGTGAACCAGTTGTAGTGGAGCACTTGAGAAACTTGAGACAGATTGGTAGGACACCTGTGATGAGGTATGGCCCAACGTGCATGGAGTACACGTACAAGGGGATGAATGTGAACGACGGGCTAACTTACTCGATTCATAGGATTAGCGGTAAGATTATATTGTATAATGAATAAGAGTTCTGTATAAACTGAAGGTACATGTTATTAAAATTATTTTATGTGTATTAAGAAAGTAATATAAAAGTTTAAAATTTTGTTACAGTTTGGCCTTCAATTTTTAATATAGCTTGTGTTGCTTATTTATAATGTGTATCACAATATGTTTTTAGGCGTACGACAACTTAGTCCTTACGTGATGAGCCAGCTAGACAATTGGAGAAGGATTTCTAATTCAAACATTGTTAGGTTTCACGAAGTTGTTCAAACATGTGCATGGAGTGATAACTGTAAGGTTTAAAACTATAAAATTCAAACTTTAAAAGAAACACGTTTTTAATATTTGAATTTTGTTGCTGTAGTAGTATATATCTTGCTGATTTCTAAAGTTTTAATTGAAGTTGTAATTTCAGCGGTATTGTTTATTTATGAGTTCCAACCATTGGCTGAGACGATCCTTAAGCATTTCTTCCATTCAAATGGAACCTTGAAGTCAAAATACAGTGGCCAAGGTGTGACTGGGCTTTCCGAGCAGCTTGCTTGGTCATTTATAATACAAATATCATCTGCCATCAGGACAATACACTCTTCACAGATGGCCTCGAGGTGTATCGATGTGAACCGGATTATGGTCAACGCTTCTGGGCGGTAGGTCTTTAACTTTATGGTGTTTTGATGCGTAGGATGGGTTTAAAGATTTACCTCTTATAAATGGTAACGTTTTATCTTTCCAGGTTTGTCATCACTGGGTCAGGTATCCCGGACGCGTTGAGTGAACCCAACAAGAATCTGATTTCGCTTCAAATTGAAGATCTACGTATGTTTGGTGCTGTTTTGTGTGCGCTATTGAATGGATCTATCAATGGACATTCGAATGTAAATATCGATATGCATTATTCTTCGGACCTAAGGAATGTAATCAAGTAAGAGTTATATTATTTATTTATTTATTTATTGAGTTATATTGTATTAGCTTCAAGCTTGATGTGTTCTTCCCTGTATCAGTTGTATTTTTTACTCGTTGTCTCTTTGATCGTTTTATTTTTAACTATTCATCCTTTTCAGAGTGTTATGTAGTGCCCATGCCAATCCGAACCGAGTGACATCAATCAACGAGATAATGCCAATGGTGGGAGCCAGATTCTACGCACAAGTTGAAGCTCTTCAAATCAGAATTGACTTGTTGGAGAACGATTTGGTCAAAGAACTACAGAACGGTCGACTTTTCAGATTACTGTGCATGTTGTGTACCGTAACAGACAGAAACTTGTAAGTCATTTTAAAGTAAAAGGTGTTTTATACTCTAATATGATTTCGTTATTTACATTTTTAGGCCAAAGGAACCATTTTGGTCAGAGCAAAGTGAACGTTACATGTTGAAGTTGTTCCGAGACTTTGTGTTTCATCAAGTTGATCCTTATGGACGGCCAGTAATGGATCTTGAACATGTTGTTCTTTCATTAAACAAGGTTTGTTTTTTGTTGCAAATATAGCGTCTGGTGACATTTTAGTTTAGGTGGTTGTCTATGGTCTATTATCATAATAATATGAGCTTTTTTAATAAGAATCAATGCTTATCTTCTGATACAGATCCTTTCTTAAAATTCTTTTTTTTCAGTTAGACAGCGGAGTTGACGAAATGGTACAATTGGCATCTAGCGACAACGAAAACATTCTGCTGAACTCGTACAAGCAACTACGACAATATCTGGAAGGATCCTTTGATTATCTAAAATGCGAAATGGAGACTCCGATCACACCCGACCTCTCGAAGCCCGGTCCCTCAATGTTGGGGCCGAACGGTCAGCCGATGGCGCCGGATTCGGCGATGGGAATGCCTCCAGAATCCTTCAACGACGTGCCCGGCTACAACGTGTTGCCGTTCGCGCCCAACGTTCCTCCTCCTGGTCCCTCTCGACGACAATAACGGTTCTTCTCACTTTCTCATTTAATCTCATTGTTCGCAGTTTAACGGATATTATTCTCATAGCATTGTTTTGTTTTCGATACTTTTAATAAACTTATACAGCTATATGTGGTCTAAAGTGTTGGAAACGTTATCTTACATTTCATACTAACTTTGACTAGAGGTGTAAAATGATGAGCTTGCATTAGCTTTAATTTTTTTATCAAAGCACTGCAACTTTTTTGAAAATAATCAGCAAACTTAACATAAATCAGTCGGATCTAAAAAACCGATTCGAGCCGTGTTTTAATAACGGATGGGAGTATGTTTTCACAAACTGTATAAAACGATAATCGGAGTGCTGATAGTCGTGTCCATAAACAAGAGCAAGCCAGTGTTCCGTGACTCAGCAGAACTCGCCGTTCCTTTTGATACCTTTCACTCTTTCTCGTGTTCTTGCAAACAATTTCATCAGAAAAAGGCTGCTTTAGGTATTTCTCGCAACTAATCTGAAATGTCTGGAAGAATGGCAAATAACTACACGTTTTTCGATGGAAGGTTACATGTCGTGGTAAGTTGCACCAAGTGTTGATTTAGATTTTAGATCTATTTTGTGTTATTGTGCATACTATATCTTATACTAAGCATTTCCCAGTATTATCTGACTGTTTTTTTTAAATGCTTAAAGTCCCATATATTACGATTGATAACTCCCATGCTTAAAAAATATTTTTTAGCACGCATCTTTTATTGCACTTGGACTAAACATGGCCGTCAGTTTGTTTGCCGTCAACTTTTTTCCTGGCTGGCTGAAACTCGCTCCTGCCCTCGTCATTTTACTCATCCACGCCCTGATTGCCTTTGGAGTTCAGCAAAGGATCAGTGCCATTATTCTGATGGCCATGGGATTGTTTGTAAGTCCATATTACCATTTTAGCTAGACTAAAAACAAATGAGCATAAGTTTACTTTAAATTCACTTTATCTGATCAAATGTTTTCAAAAACTTATTGTGTAATTATGCGTCCATCGTGAACTTTTTGGAAAAGGAATTAATTGGTTCCGACAAACCATTTAAAAATTGAAATGAATAAATAGGAATAAAACCTTCAGGGGGTTCTGTACGTTGGTGGATTGATCACATCAATTGTGTTTCTGATTATGGAAGACTTGGACCCTCGAAGAGGAAGTTACAAGTTATACCTACTTCATGTAAGTAGCATGTCAGCTGTATTGACAAATACCATCATTGTGATGTTGTATGTCTTCAACAAACTTCACAGCTTCATCCAAGATAGCTACAGTAACCTCAACACAGAGATTATGTAAACGGGTACTATAATCTCATGAAAAAATCAAGTGCTTTACTGTATTTTAGCAAGCTGCATTTATGCCATTTATACATATCTATATTACATTTAACCCCCTGTAATTCCTACAGTATCTAATACTTTTATATTTATAAGTTTACCAAAAGCTGGTAGAATTTGACTGGTTTGAACTACAAGGTATACCAATAGAACTATAATACTATCTTTTAGAATATAAATTTTGTCCCAAAGCTTGTCTTTATTCTCATTTATTTTACCCTTTATATTTAAAAAACACAACGTTACAATTTTAATAAACAATACCGTGCTGAACTAAAATCTAATGTTTATTTTACAATTAATCGCTTTTCCATGGCGCCACTGGCACAATCAGAAGAGAAGGCGACAGTCCCGTTTGTTACATTAACAGACATATACACGGCAAAGGTGAGCAAGTCAGAGCAAAAACATTTACAACAATTGTCGACCGGTGAATAAAGAAAACTGTTAACCGGCAAAGTAAAAAACGTTTGACCGACAATTTAAATAAAGTTGGGATCCGGCCATCTCGAAGTTTTCGACCGACAAAAATACAAGCATAAAATACCCAAATGAAGACAACATTAGACAAACTGTGAAATTAAGAGCGTATAAGACAAACTACCAGAGAGTGAAAGCAGTAAAACCCATTATATAGTTATATTGAGAGCCCCGTCATGAATAACATAAGAGAAGGAATGTGGAACGTGACAATTCACCTAATCGCAACTACAACTATACACAGGAACATGCTCGGGGCCAAAAACGCTAATCCAAAAGCTAACGCGACATTTCCGCTACAAATAAAACGCTATGAAAACAAATCACGACTGTGCCTCCGGGGCCCTGTCTTGGTTAATGTTGAGAGCGGCCACTTCCTGTTCCAGGCCGGCGCCATCGTTGGGCAGTGGCTGCTGCATCTGTTGCTGCTGCTGAGGGTGCAGTTGCGGGTTCGCAACTTGTGGGTTGTGCATCATTAGTTGTTGGTGAGGATTCTGGCCGTAAACAACTGGAACTGGTTGGCCGTTGTTGTCCATGACGTACTGAGGGTTTTGCATGTATGCTCCTCCACCAGGAGCCGGGTTGGCAGCCTGAAAAACAAAAAGTAAACTTCTATAAAGCAAAGTACAATACAACAAAGTTTTATGAACTTTAGTAAATGAAGAAACATTAAAAATGAAAAATTTTGCAGAACCTTATCAACCCACCTCAGGACCCTGGAAGTTCTGATAATATTGAGGATCTTGTTGATTCGGCGGAACCATTTGTCCTGGATATCCGTAGGGATAAAACGGCGGGTTGAATACTGGCGACTGGGCTTGATTCTTGTTGTAGTAGTCCACATTCTGAGGGGGTGAGTATACGACTTGTTGACCTGAGTTAGATACTTGAGAACGAGAAGGCGTGCCCGGTTGATTAATGGAGCTAACGGCGCCTTGTTGATACACGCCGCCCATCTGGAAGGGTGGAGAATATGGTATATAAGTACCGGAAGATTGGTCAAATACCTGGTAAAGAGGAAGAAGTGATCCTTGTGGACTGTAGGTTACGCCAGTTACGCCGTTGGGTGGGTAGAAAGTTTGTTCTTCTTCGCCGAACGAGTTGTACGGAGAGGTTGGCTGCCAATGACCGATTCCAGGCTAAAAATTATAATTTAAAGTTGTATACCAATAAAGAAAATAAACATTAAGCAAAAAAATAGTTTTTACAATCTACAACAGTACCTGATCTCCCATAACAGAGCTTTGGGGATTGCTGCTCCCCTGCTTACGGCGAGTGCCAGAATCAGCCAACTTCACAACAAGATTCTCTGTGTAGCCTTCTAGAGGCTTACCATGATAATTCTAAAACAACATGTCGTTTCGACATAATATTAAGCAAAAAAACCTTTTAAAAAGCAAAGTGCATGTTAATTAACTTCTGTAAACAAAGCTACAAACATAATCTTCAAAGACATTTCTAACAATGTGTTACACCTAAAAGCAGCAAAAACAATCATAAAACCGGAAACGTACGTTAATAATATATTCACAAGCATCTTTGCTCTCCATCCGAGCAAATCCAACACATCTACTAGATCCATCGTCGAACCGAAGGACCCTGGTACTGATTACCATTCCATGAGGAGTGAACAGGTTCTTAATACTTTCTTCGTCAAATTCTTTTGGCAGGTTCGCAATGTACAAGTTGGTGGGGTCCTGTTCAACATGGGAAAACGGCTGAAAAGATAGATTGTAATTTTCTATTACCACAGCAGGTATATACATTATACTAAAGGCATAACATGAAAATAAGTAAACATAAATACCGAACAAGTACTTCTGCCAAATAAGTTGCATCACTAAAATTAAAAAGCGTACCTGTTCACCGGGAATACCAAAATCGGGGTACCCTACCTTCTCAGGTCGTGGTTTAATCTCCTTGGCCATCTGAGCTTGGTATTTTCCTTCGTTGTTAATTCCTTCCATGGCTCGGTCAGCGGATTCAGGCGAAGTGAAGGCCACAAATCCATAACCTTTGCATCGTTTCGTTTCTTGATCAACAACAGCTTTGGTCGACGTGATCTCACCGTAATGTTGGCACATGGCAAAAAGATCGGCAGGGACACAAGACGGCGGCAGTCCTCGGATATAAACGTTCGTCTAAACAAATGATAATGTAAATAGAAGTTCTTACCTTGCTCATCGTCTCCGTATCCCTTCGTTTCCGTGGCGATCTGTCTCCAGGCTGGTCTTCTCCCTAAAAGACATTACAATTTATATAACCAACTGTAAAATTAAAAAATGTAAACCTTCGACAAAAACAACAATAAAATCAAAAAATAAGCACTTATCTAACAGTAACACTTAAAAAAACATCAAATCTTTCGCCTCACAAAAAAAATCATCATATCCGTTATTCTAAACAATTATCAGTTAAAAACGACTTACCTGTACATTTCCATAAGAATTAAGCGCCGCTGTGCTCTGACCTCTTTTTGGTGACAAAGATTGACGGCTCATTACCTTGTTCTAGCCTGTGGTGCTATTACCCAGCAAGTGATGTTTCACGGAGCACCCTCTCACCTGAAACAACATTTTTGTAAAAATGTACAAGAATATTAAAACCAACATATACCACGTACTGTGACAATAAAATTAACGCTCACGTAATAGGAAGTAAAAAATAACGAGAAAGAATACAGTGCAACCTTTGCAACATACTTTAAACCTTCATCACAAAAGCACCTCAACATCATTAGAAACCAAAAAAAACTATTACAATGATAAACAAAACAATTGCAAACAGTCAGATCAACAAATCAGCAACATTTCGAAAATCTAAACCCAAATGTAAAACAAGAAAAATTGAATTCCGCTCAAAAAACACAAAAGTAAACAAAAGCAAATAATTAAGAAAAGCGTGGGGAACGGCCGAACGCTGTTAGAAACAATCCGTTCCATCCAAAGGGGGGTTTTCTAACCGGAAAAGTGGAAATCGATTGTTTTGCTGAGAGAAGGAAAAGATTACCCAACAATTCGCTCACAACATCTAATCGAATCAGTCCGATTAATAACAAACTAGCTTCGATAAATAACAATATGAGACTGTTCCGCGCCGTTCTACTCACGAGAACACTATAAAACAAACAAAACTACTTGAAATCGAATTAAAAGCCGAGAAAAGATACCAAACAAGTACCTGGGATAGATAATTCCCTCAAAACACGAAAAGTTTCACACTTCTTCGAGTCTAAAAATGTTTTTGCAGAGTCGAGAGTCTCGAGAAAAGCACCACGGAACGGCCTGTTCGCTCGCCACTGTTTCGCTCGCCTTTTCAACGTTCCTCCGTGTCACGGGTCAGCTGACAAACAAAAAAGTAACCATTCTATGCGAACCAAAAACTTAACTGCTAAATTCTGCTTCAAATTGCGCGAATTAAGATATTGAAGTTAGCCACAACACTACAAACCTAGACAAAGTTATCCAAACAAGGGAATGTTCTTTGAACCTTATATTACACTGAAAACTAAAAGTCACGGAAAACCGCTGCAAGTTTAATAGGAAGACAAACAAAGCCAACAAAATGTCATTCTGAACCCTGTAATGCAATAATTTTCAATTAAAGCACTAAAATATCACACTAAAACAGCAACATTGCGAAAAGAAGCATGGCGAACACTTACACTAGATGAAATAACGGTCAGTTTAACCTTGTTACAAAGACCATGCTACAACAAAACGCTTCAAAGTGAATCATAAGTGTTCGCTTTAATCTAATCAAAAGTTAAAAAAGAATAAAAGAGTAGTTATTCTATGATAAACACTCACAAAAGAAATAAATAATTGATACAAAGCAAGCTCAACACAAAAATAACATAATGCAGTTGAAAATTTTCATAAATAACTTCAATACTGGTACCACTTCAAGAAAAAACGAAACTTTTACACTGGAACCAAAACAAAAATAAATCTATAAACTTTCTGACCAAGCAACCTTCTTGAAAACAAAATTTACAAGCTCATAACATAAACTTTTGAATCTTAAAAGCAAAAACAAAGTCCAAAAACAACAACATAAACAATGTTCCTTCAACAACTTTCCTTCGTTCGCCGCGAGAAAATCAAAGAAATGTGGCCGAAAATCAACAAAAAGCTGTGAATCTTGCCCTCAAGGCCTAATTGTAAGTCAGAGGAAAACAAATTAAAATCAAAATCTAGAAATTGGAGAAAAAATGTGAAGTCGACGAGAAACCACAAGAAAAATGTAAAATCAAGAAGATTCACAAGGAGTAATCACAATTTTGGGATCAGAGTTCCCGCTATTTCGCTTTTTGAGATTTTCTCATGAATGAAAACGAAAATTTGAAATAATTTTATAAACATAAAAATTGATTCGTGCCTTTGGCAGTGTTCGAAGGAAAATTTTAAAGCATAACGGTGTTTTAATATACATAAAACAATATAAATATTGAAAATCAAAATTAGATTTGTCATTATATTCATTTACGCAATGAAAACAACAAATTGCCGATTCCCATATTACTTTGATCGTCAATCAATTGTGGCGTTTCGCTTACTTAGAATCGAAAAACATATCTAAATTTTTTAATTTTTACTTCGAAATATTTTTGGGTGTAATTGAGGAAGTAGTTGAAGAATGGGGACACGGGACGATGGCCAAGCTCGCCGTCTGAATGGATTATTGGAAAAACGAAAGTTCGAGGAGGAACGAAGGAAGGTTATCAGTGAATCTTTGAGGAACGGGGCTAGCAAGAGCAAGAAGATCGTTTTTAAGGATTCTGACGATGAGGTACGTTTTTCTTTTCTTAATATTACGTGTTTAGGGAGTGGAAGTGTCTAGCAAACGGTTGACATTGTTTGATGAAGATGATGAACCTGAATTGACGAGCCAAGACCCAGAACAGTTATTGAAAAACAGATTTACTGGAATAAAGAGTCAGAAGTTGACGGAGATTGAGTCTCGCTTTAACTACGATCAACGTTTTAAAGTGGACGATCGATTTGTAGAAGGATCGGACGATGAAATTGATAAGGAGGTATAGTCATATTGATTTTTGGATATTAACGTTAAACCTATAAAAGGGCTGAAGTTTCATGCAAATGTATAATGGGAATATTTTTGAGGGCAACAATATTTATTTAGACAGGAGAGAAGACTGTGATAGCTGAGAAAAAGGAGCAGTTTGCAATTCTTTCGTCAATTCTTGGTCATGAGGTCAAAAGTTCGTTGAAGGACAAGACGAATACTAAAGCAGAAGTAGTTCGACCGTTTCAACGTTTTGATCCTGACAATCCTGAGCACGTAAAATGGATGGAGAAGCAAAAAGAGTATATAAAAGTTCAGAACAAACCGTTGATAGATGCCGAAGCCTTTAATCAAGTAATTTTTTACTGGTTTTTTATGAACTTATATTAGGGTTATTTGAACGGTAATTAGTTTATAGGGAATTTTAAGGTTGAGGGTTTTGTTTTCGATTATATTTTATTTGTTTTAGGAATTGGAAAAGGAAGAAACAAAGGTCGTTGAAGGCCATTTCTACGAAATTGACAGAGATTTTGCTAAAGAACTTCATGATAATCTGAGTAAGTTTAAATGTTATACACCAATTTAAAATCAAGAAGCACTGATGGATAACGTTACGTTTAATTATTCCCAATTTTTTAAATTTTTGTTATTTTATATTTTTAGCTGTGAAAGAGGACAACCAACCGTTCAGTTTTCTTTCGTCGATAGGAAGAGACACATCTTCAAGTAAACGACAGGAAAAATCAATTTTCGAAAAGTTATTACACTCACAACCTGACCAAACAGAGCCAAAATTAGAAAAGGTAGGTAGTTAATATATTTTTACTTCAAAATATTATATTTTTAAGAGTTTATACATGATTTTTTATAAATTAATAAGAATTATGAAATGTTTTAGGTAACACAATTAACAAATTCGACAGATGACAATTTCAAACCCTACTTCTTTGTCGATCCTTTTGATGCTATGGGAAAGCGGGTATTGAATGCTTTTAGAAGACAACAGTCTATGGATAAGATTAAAAAGACATGGCAAACACATAGGGATAAAACTGAAAATGTAGGTTAGAAGTTATAGGTAATGAAGGTTAACTTCTATGTATGTAATGTATAATCCGGTTTACCATAAAACTTATTTTAGTATTACAAATCGATGGTGAAGAGTCAGTTAAGGATAAGAGAAAAGGAAAAGAAACAGAACACAAGGAATCAGTACAAGAGGAAAGCAGAGAAGAATATTCAGAGCAAAACCGAATAGGTTGGCTATATTGTTGATTGTTACTTGTTATGTTATAAATGTTATAATTTTTTAAAAAAGTTACGATGAATTGGTTTATACTATGTGATACCTTGGCCATAACAAGCATTCGAAGCGCTATTTTTTCTCAAAGTTGTTTTTGAAGGATTTAAAAAAGCTTTAAAATAATTTTTTGCTAATATTGTTGATACTTTAGTATGGTGAAGGAAGACTTGTACGCTGTACTTGGCTGTCCATCAACGGCTACCGTAAGCTAATTGTTATCACTGATTTTATGCTTGTTTAGACTGATCAGATTCTGAGTGAGTACAAGGCTCGAGTACGACAATTTCATCCAGATAAACAAACTGGACGGGACGATCAGTTTTGTCAATTACAGTATGCTAAAGACGTGCTGACAGATCCGTCGAAAAGACGTCATTATGACACTTATATGAACATGGGGATGCAGATGCCATTGAAGGAATGGATGGCACATAGGGAGAGCTTACAGCAGGTATTTTGTCTTTAAGTTTTTGTTTACTTTATAACATTTGTATAAATTACGTTGTATGGAAACAGCAATGTTAATATACATTCTTGTCTATATAATTGTGCCTTTGTTTAGACATTACACTGGGCAAATACATCTGCACCAACTCCTGCAATAGAACCTCAAGAGAAAAGAGAACAAAATGACAAACCGATCGATTGGAAAAGACATCAGAATTCAACATTGGATGCCTTCAGAAACTACAGATTATGAAGTACATGGTATACATAAAGCGTAATTAGTCTATGCGATCTTCACTACTACATTCATTTACGATTACATTCACTTAAAGTTAAATTTAATAAACTTCTAGCACTTTATTGTCATGCCTTACGTTAACAGTACCATCTCTGTTGATATCTTTATTGGAAGCAGTTATTGGAATATTTTTAAATGCGAGTTTGTGCATATTACAGCTTTTGCTTTTAGTGTATTCAAAATGGCTCAACACAAGATGAAAAAGAAGGTAAGACTGCTTACTGGTTGTGTTGTTATAGTATATTTGAATTTGCGTATCGTTTTAAAACCTTTACGTGGCTTTACTTAAAATTTGAATTTTAGACTTCAGTGCCAGCTGGAGTAAAACAAAAGGTGAAGAAGCAGAAGCAACAACAAGGTCACCCCAGAAAAGGATCCAATGTAACATTGCCGGCCAAGAAGAACACCAAAGTGATAGAACACAAACTCAGCGCGTCAGTGTCGAAGACCATCAACCAGAAGAACGAGGACATGGTCAGAGGAAGAGCTGATAAGGATCAAGGCAGAGTTTCGAAGAAAAAGTAAAGTCGATTGTTACGTTATGACACATTGATTTCATGACTTGTTTACTTTGTTATGTTGTCAGATAAACTCAATAATCAAAATAAAATCTAACTCTAGTTTATTGTTGTATCAACCTGTTTTACCTAATATTTACTAAGTGATCCTAAAGTAATATATTGGAACATGCCTGTTTAGTCCGTCTTCTTTGTATCAGTCTTGTGGTGCTCTTCTTCGCCTGCGAAGTACTTGTCGAGGGCAAGGTGAGCAACGATTGGTGATACCCAGTAAACAACAAAGTGAGCCAAATGTGGTACATGACCACAGTTGAAGGTACAGGCCCAGGCCACAATAGGGTTAGCATACATACCAGTGTAAAAGATACCTAAAAAAGCACAGTAATTTTTTGATTAAAGCTACTGTAATAAAGAGATTTGACTTACCCACTACAGTAACTAATGCAGCGACTAAAGCAATCGTAAACTGTAAAATCTGTTTTGCAACGATCTTTTGTTCCATGTATACTTCAGCCAGTTTGTTGGCTATCAACCCACCAGCTTCCACCAATGATCCAACCAACATTGTCACCTAAAATATGTCTTCAACCAATGATAACGAAAAAGATAGAACAATTTTTAGGAGATTAGTTGTCGTCTTACCGATAGATCAGATTCACAGTTTTCCTTCAAAAGTTCCAAATGTTTTGGATGTAGGCCAATCTTCCAGAAACCTAATACGAAGATGTAGGACAAGTAGGCAGCAGTGAATTGTATTCCAACGAAGGCAAACAGTTTTTGGACTGAAATTTGTTTTTTGAAGAATCCGATTATCTAAAATCGACATTTATTAAGTGTATACATTAAATAAAATAATAAAATTGTGTATTTATTGGCTAATGGTATAAACAAACTAACAAGATAAAAAGGTTCTACATATACTTACTAATGGACATGGATCTGCCGATGCGTCACGTAACAAAATCAAGTTCATCAACTCGATGAAGGTAATCTCAATCACAACACCTTGAAGCCCATAATTCTCCAGCACGATGTTGACATCGAACATCGGGGCACATACTTGGACCGTACCGATGAACTAAAGTACATACTGTTACATGTCGCTTACAAATCTTATTAACTTTATTTTTAATAATACTATGGGGCCTTATTAACGTAAAGTCAATAAAAACATGGTTAGTGTCACATAATTTACTTGCAAACTGGAAACCCACCTCATATACCAAAGGTAAATACTTTTCGTTTACATTGATGACCTTTTTGGCGAGTAGGTACCGCAGTAACTCGCAGATCACATAAACCGAGACATAGAGAATCAAGGAAGCAACCCAAACCCTCATCTTCGAGTTCTATTACATGACCTCTTGCTTGTGTTCGAGAGACCTTGGCAAAAAGTTTGGGATAAGAGACTCTTAATTTCAGCAGGAAAAAAGCAAAAAGAAAAGGACTGATAATAAAGCCTTCTTTTAAATAAAATCTACTTTATTATAACATGGAACCAACAACAACAATATTCCACAGATATGATAATCGTACAGGTTTGCTTATGCCAACATTCTATATAAACGGCTGTTATTATAAAATGTGTTGCAAAATTTATATTTGCATTATCTGACGTCTCTTTCAAAAAGTATCACTTAATCCTTGTGGACAATAAAGAAGAAAACGTAAAACTCAAATCCTTAAAATTAGTGTAAAGCAAACCCATACAGCTACAAACAATCCTAAAGTATCGAAAACCGCTAATTTAATCAAACAAATCGTCCGTAGCGTTCTTATCCTTTAGATGTTTATGAGATCCATCACAGAACGGTCGATTCTTGGTCTGTTTACAATTACAAAACCAAACCTCCATGTCTTTGTCAGGTATAAACCGTACTGGCTTCATTTTCATGTCGGGTAGCTTTACTGAATTATGAGATCCATCACACAGAGGCTGATTCCCACTGTAGCCACAGGAACACCACGCGTAGACCTTGTCCTTCTTGAGCAAGGCTCGAGTTGGCAATTTATCGGCTACTTTTCCCTTCTGTGTTTGAAGGTGGTTATTTCCTTGTAGACCATAGGGCTCGTTTGGCTTTTTGTCATGAATCTGAAAATAAATTCGACATTAAACTACCCGATTGGTTTACATATGGCAAAGCTTTTCTTGTGAAATTAAAAAAAGAAAAAGGTGCTCGAAAAAGGTAATTTTGAAACAGAAGATACCTAAATAGCGCAAATAATAAAAGAATTAAACTTACATGATGGTATTTTAAGACAGATGGCTCGGTTCCAACAAAATGAAGTCCTTTTCGATGTAGACGATAAGGTCCAAATCCAGTCTTGTTACTCAACAATAAATCCGATAATTTAAAGTACAAACTACTTGTTTTGCGCATCTTTGGTATAAGAAAGTTAAAAAAATTGAGAAAAATAAAATAAAAAATTATTTTTTCGCATATTGCGCCCTGAGTTTTTCGTTCGCAAGAAAGTGGATTTTTAGACATGAGAAACGGGCCGGGCCGGCCTTGAGCAAAATTTAGATCGGGCCGGGCCTGAAAATTAGGCCCGGCCCGCGGGCCAGGCCTTGGAAAGTCGGGCCGGGCCCGGAAAAAAAATTTCTAAATTTTTTAAAATTTTTTATTTCAATCCCCGTTTATGTTTTTAGATTTTATTGGGTTCTATGATCCATAAATGATCTAACAAAACAATTTAAAGCCAATTTTCCGTTTAGTTTTTAAGTTTCAAAATTTTTTAAATTTTTTAAAACGGGCCGGGCCGGGCTTGAAAATTGGGCCCGGCCCGTTTCTCATGTCTATGGATTTTATCACGAAATTTTTGCACTTTTCTTGTTTACAAGTTTCTGAATAAGTAGTGTGTTTTCTATTCGTTGACAGAATCTCGTTGTTATTTTATTTGTTTTTTATTTCCCTTTACAAAGCCACTTTCTTTACCTTATCAACCGAACCCCCAGAAGCTAAAACAGGTTTAAAATTCATGGAATAAACTTATTTATTCTATTTATGTATCATGAGTAACAAAAGTATGAACGGGGATAAAAATCAAAACAACAAAAATGCGTACAATCGAATTATATAAGAGGCATATTATCATCGACGAACAGCTATGTATATGGGGTTGGAATTGGGGAAGTCGTTAAGTTATTTATTGGTAGTACGTTACATGGGGATGACCGGAGTTGGGAGGCTGGCTCTGTTGTTGGATTATGTGGGCGCCGACGGTTTGCCCGTTTCCGGACATTGTAACCGGGACTTGGGTGACGGTGGCGCCTGGAGGTAAGGTTTGGAGGATGGTGGTGCCCGGAGGGTACTGCCCTTGGCGTTGCCGCATTAGCACCTGAAATTATAAAAATTATTAAGATTAGTTATAATTTTATAAAACTGCTAATTTGATAAGTTTGATCTCATTCTATATAAGCTAAAATTATATTCAATGAAAAAATCAACTATTCGTGTAGCAATATCAAATAGTAATTTACCTGTTGTGCCTGTTGAGTTCTCTTAAGTACGTCTCGTTCCAACGACGACAAGGCATCGTACTCCTCTTCCTTCTTCTGTTGTGGACTGATCTCTTCGGGGTGGCCGATCATGGAATTGCTGTCCATGGGCCGTTTCCTCTTCGGAGTGTAGCGCTTCTGATTGTATGCCTTCCTTTGTTCTGGCGTCATTCGCTGGTACCGTAGTCGGGCGGCTTCGGCTCTCTTTGCGTTTCTTACAACAATCTGTTGGGCTCTGTCCAAGGCCTCACCGTTAATTCTGCCTATGGGCATAGCCAACAACTGTTCCTCTTCCATTCGCCGTTTTCGGAAGGCTTCGGTTCTGCGCTGATTGTACATCTTCTTCTCGTCCGGATTCATGCGGTGGTAGCGGAGACGGGCGGCTTCGGCCTTCTTGGCGTTCCGTTCCTTGACCTTCTCCCTGATCGCGTCCTCGTCCTTAATAAGTTCGCCCTTCTCGTTCTTCAGCGTGATTTGGCGCATACGTCGTTTCTGATTGTGAGCCTTGCGCTCTTCTGATGTCATTCGCTGGTATCGACTTCGTGCGGCTTCTGCCCATCTCGCTCGCATGCGCTTCTCGCGAAGTTGTTCAATCACCTCAGGGTCGTCGACAATGTCATTCGATGCTCTGAGAATGGATTCGAGCTCTGCCAGTTCTCGTTCACGTTGGCGTTTCCGTTTCTGGGCCAACGTTCTCTTGAGGTTCAGCGCTTTTTTATCTTCGGCACTCAAACGATGATATCGTAGCCGGGCAGCTTCGGCTTGCTTTTTTCGTTTAGCGGCTTCTTTTTCTACTTTGTCGGGCGATTCGATGACGACTGGCTTCACGGTCCCCTTTTGATAGCTGCAACAGTGTTTATGTCATTAAAAAGTCTTGAGAAATATCTTGACGGACTTGTGATTATTCATCCGTATTTACAACACATAAACAAAACCATTTCAGTTTGTTATGCGAAACACATTGTTCCTTATAACACTTCAATCAATATTTTTTAAATTAAAAACTTTAATTTGAATGATCACGACATAAAGCTTCAAGTGTTTCAAACATTAAACTTACCGGTTAGTAGGAGTAGCGACGATTTGACCTTGTATACTGCCTTGGTACGGTGCTGTGCTTAAGATAGCCTGTGGTTCTACAAAATATTCGGCAAAAGCGACTCGTCGACTGTCATCTTGATCAGGAGTTGGAGCACTTCCGACTGGCTGAGTTGTGATTAAAATGTGTTGAGGTTGGGAAGATTGAACGCCCGAGCTTGGTATCTGGACGACTTGTATTTGGCTACTGGGGAGTTGGACTTCCTGCAAATAAAAGCATTATCATTATACGAACAATTGTACACAATGTATGTACATCTTCTAACATTGAAAGCTTTAAAAGCAAAATAAGTTTGAATATCGTCATCAGTAGCTCACCTGCCCATTGCTCGTTATAAACGTTGTGTTACTATTGTGGTACTGACCCGACGATGGAGTGTACTGTGCCACAGAAGCTGTGGGGTGAAATTCAATCGCCTGGGTTTCGTACTGGATGATGTTACTTTGACTGTAGGGCGGTTGCCGATGGTCGAATTGCTGAACGTACGCTATGTTGTCGTTCATGTTGATCCTGAAATTGGCACTAATTGATTCACCAAGTCATTTGAATATTACGGTAAACGCGAACTTAGAAGAAGAGGGACAATAAGAGAGAGAGGGAAATAGCAGTAGATCTGGCACGAGACATACAGAAGAGGGCGCTAATCAAAGCCAGACAACAGTGGATCGAAAATCGGCGCCTAAAATGTAAGAGAAAGTAGAACGACAGAATCGAAGAGAACAAGGCAGGAAAGGGGGACTCTCTCATCTCTACGCCCTTTCTCCGCCGCCCCACCAAACGCAAACGACGAGAGGGAAACAACGAAGGGAAGGACATGTGAGAGAAGAATATTTTAAAGAGCACCACGGCCTTCATAACAGCCCGCTGCACTGTGGCGAGTAAGGAGAGCAAAGTGCAGCAGAGAGAGCGACTTTTCTATGCACCTGTCCGTCTCTCCGATAATATTAACCAGCCCGCCCTCTTTCGTCGCTCTCTGCCGCGTTTACAACGCTATTCTGCTCCAGAGACTCGTTATCTCCGCTGCGATATTGTTCATGACGGAGAAGAGACCACTGGGGAGGGAGGTAGTCTCTCCTCAGCCCGAAACAAGGTCTCAGCCTCTCTGTCCGCGACAAGAACGCGATTCTGTCGTCAGAGAAGGAATTCGGTCCCCATCCGCCAACCCCATGCTCCTTCCCCGCTGCCTAAACATTGTAGTAGAAAGCGGAGTGTGCAGTTAAACGCGGTGTCCGCGCCAAATTTCTGGTCCATACCAGCAAGTCGTTGTGTTTGAAAAGGCAGGAAGGGAGAGAGTGCAGTCGCATGACCAACAGAGCAGTCATGACATCTCAGAAGGGGCACGGAAAACAAAAAAAGAACGAATCGATGCGAGCAAAAACACGAACGGGCTTTGCCGTTTTCAGACAGAGATTAACAGCAGGGTGAAGAACCCGTCGACCAACTCCAAAACAAGGTCAAAATTTTCATTTATTTTACATAAATAATATACACATTTCCTATTGAGATTCAGACGCCATGGCCTTCTTCAGAGCTCGGCGTTCCTGTGTTCGTTTCTTGTAGAACTCCAAAAGGTCTTCGTCCCTTTTTTTACTGTTGAGGAACGGGATATACAAGTTCGTGCCTATAAAATCAGTTAATTAGTAATAATCTAACAGTTTCTTATGCTTTATTTTTAAAACGTCATTATCACAGTTTTACCGAAAAATATAAGCAGAAACTCCTTTGACTAAATAAAAACCTAGTAAAATAGCTATGTAACCAAAAATAAAACTTTAAAGCTTTTATTGAGAGTACCAATTACACTTCTAATGATTAGCCAACGTTTAAAAGCTCGTTCGTTATAAACATAATTTTTAACTGCAGCTTCATTATGTAGTATTAAACTGCAAGTTTCACAAAAATTTGTTTTGCAAAAAAGAACGTTTGTTGTCATCAAAGACCCAGTGAAAGTTAACTGTACTTACAATAAGTCTCACATTATTTAAAACACTGATATTAAATTTCAAACTCTTAAAATCTTGAATAGAAAATAGATATTTTTCCATGATCAATTTTGATAAGAAAATTTAAGTAAAAATAGCATTATAGAAACTCAATCCACACCAAAAAATAGGTGAATTTACCATATTTAGCTCGATCCCTAATCATAGCATCGTTCTGTGTCTTGTAGTCCAAGTAGTCTTCCTTATCTAGCACACGAGATACACGAAACCCTTCGTACACTGGCATAAGCATAATACCTACGATTAGTCCCACTGGTATCAAAAAAGGTACTTTCGGATACCTGTAAAGAAACTTCCTAAAGACAGAAGATAAAAAAAAGAAAAGAACTAACCTGGCAAATTTAGGCAACTGAAAGGCTGTCTTCCGAGGTTGGTAAAAGGTAGATCTACATCTGACAACAGTTATCGATGTCGAGGATAAGGTCTTCAACACATAACTCATTTTTTTGTCTCAATCCATATGAATAACCTTAAAAAAAGGAAAATCTTATTATTTCGTAAAAATCAGAAAATAAAAACCTAGAAATTGCAGAAGGCCAGAAAAGCTAAAAGCGCGGTTTATTTAAAAGCTAATAGGCCCCGCAACGAAAGAATTTGCAACGCGCGCGCTTTTACAGAGATTGAACAAACTAGAGTTTGTATTTTTAGTATTCAAGACCTATCATATATGATTATTCTGTGTCAAAAACTTAAAGTCGAATTCGGAAACTTTTTTAACTTTATTAAACTTCAACAAATAACAACTATATAGGTGTCTAATTTTGTCTACATAGTCGTGTTCCTTCTGTACAACCATGCAGCGTCAATTCCTTCACCTTCTGAATCCAGAATCTTCCAATTCTTATCCAATTGTTCTTCGGCCAAAGGGAATCTGCATAAGATAAGATGAGATCCCGGCCGCATTTCGTTAAGTTTCGGGGTTAGAAGTTCGACCTGTAATGAGTTCGATTATCAACGTATTTACGATGTTTTAAGTAATGTCAAAGTAGTATCTAATTAATATTACCATCTGTTCAGCTCCAAATAGCACGGCCAAATTGTACTGCGTCATATCAGTTTTGAAGATGTTCCTCTTGAAGAACCTCACGTTCTTGTGTGTTCCATTTCGATAAGAGTTGAGTATTGAATACAGTACAAGAGGTCCATTTAGTTCTACTCCATCTGCTTTCAACCCGAGGTTCGCAAGCTCTGACACCTTTAATGCATCATATTATATTACACATGTTGATCAAGATATTAAATGAAAAAAAAAGTTAGCTCCAATTTAAAATGAATGTCATGACATATATTACACAATCACTGGTGGGTATTATACTACAAAGAAAGAACAATGGCAACCTATACAATTATTATATTAACAATAACAATATTGTGACAACAATGAAGATTGAAAGCAGATCATTTGACTGGAAGACTAGAATAAAATACAAAAATAATGTCATATTAGTGAGCGGTTTCGACCAGGGCACCTGTCGTGGCACTGGGGTGTATAGGATGAGCGATTCGTGCAATTCTGTTTCTCTTCAGAATCTGCCTCTTCTCTCTGGCCGCCTTCTTCTGTTTCTTCACTCTCTCCTGAAGATCTTGGCCTCGATGTGTGACCCCATCCATCTGGTCCATCTTGGATAAGAGCGAGTCCAAATCGCCTTTCCTAATCGGCTTTACGGAAATGTCGCGGACGGCACGGAACTGACCACAATTGTTGACGTGCTCGTTCTCCAACCGAAGATAGTTCCAGATGAATCTTCTGAACACCTCGAGTGGACTCATAATGCACATCAACAGATCTCCGTGGAGCATCCACGCTTCGGCCAGTGACACGTTCATCACCCAGGACAGCCTGAGAACAAAGTCTTCGATTATGGCAAAGTAGTAGTACCATTTGCTGCCATAAATCATTTCTTCACGCAGTAACGGTGCTTCTTTTGGTGCTCGCGGATCAATCAGGCCCCAATCCATAAAGACGTCCCACAAGAACGTGTAGGTGAATGAGATTACATATGAAATTACCCAGAAGTAGAAGAATACGTAACCGTAGTCGGGAAGAGAGCCTTCGGCCCATTTGTTGAGCGAGTTGCTGGCGACCACTAGATAGGTTGTCGCGTACTTTCCGGCGTTCACAAGATGTGGATGCCACCGTCGTGTGTCACGGTAACGCCGTAGACACTGTAGGAAACGGACAGTAGCTGGAATAGCTGTTACCACGATTCTGATCCACGAGAAGGATGCACACATGTCTTGTCCCGTATTGATGTCTACGTAGCCCCATGGTACAACTCCATCAGTCACGTTCAGGGTTCTGGCTTCAAACTTGAGATTTGAATAGTCGACTTCAGTAGCGTAAAAGCAAATGAAGTACTGGAGATCAAGGAAGCATGTGGCCAGCGAGTTCATCTGATCGCCCAGCCAGAAATCCGTGAATGTGACAAAGTGAAATGGCGAGGTAAAACAGTTGAAACAATGCTTTAGCAACCAGAAGCGGCTGTTTCTGTAGAACACATTCTCCGGCTTGTTCAGGGGATTCAGCAGAAACAACACACATATCAGCATCAAGATCAGTGGGAATATAAACGGTGGTAGACCAACAGTGTGTGCATATAGGTATCCCAACACACACAATGCCCACAACATCAGCATGAACGAGGCTAGTTGCATCACAGTTTGATAAGTTAAGTGATTTCGTGGATCCATCTCGAAGATGAGGACATGGTTGACTCCCGCCGCGGCCCATCCATACATGTTCAGTCCACATAACAGTACACTCAGAAAGAACAGAAAGAAGCCTCTGAACAGTCGCACAGCTACCCATTTCGGTTCGTGAGGTCGTGCTGTGAATCCAAACCATGACAATATGATGACAACTCCAAGAACAGCGAATACTCCGAGGAAGAAGCCCAGAGAAAAGGTTGTTCCGGAATGCTGTTTCTCTGTCAAAGGTGGTACTTTAAGTCGTTTCATCGCGGCTTGTCGGTTACCTCCTTCCAGTTCGTTTATCACGGCAGTCTCCACATTGTTGATCAGCGTTTCAATGTCACGGTTAAGGAAGAACGATGACTTCTCGACTCGATTTATCCTCCAATCGAGGCCGGCTTCGTTCATCAACAACTTGTCGTGCTTCTTCAGAATCTTGCGGAATCCGGTTCCATTTAGTTGTTGGAAGTTCTGGAGAAGCACCAGATTCAGGTAGAACTCCGAGAAGGCCAGTTTCAGTTGTTGACCGGTCTTGGACTGTTCCTTCTGAAGCTTGCTGGGTTTGCTGTTGAAGGGATGCCTTAAAGAAGTTCTTCGTTGACTGACCATGTTTCGCGAAGTGATAGCTTCTTTGAAGGTTATGAGTTCAGCGTTGAGTTCGTGGTACTTTCCCTGAGCTTCGGCGATTTTCTGGCTGAAGAACAAGTTGATCTTAGTCAGTTCACTTTCACATTCGGCAAAGAACTGTTCATCCATCTGTGAGACGTACTGCTCTCGGGCTTCTGTTTCTGTTGGGGCTTCGAGCATAATCTGGTATAAGATGCCCTTCAGCTCTTCGTACCTGATGTACTGTTTGCGCCATTCTGGAGTCAAGTGACTAGCCAACTGCTCGCCAAACTTCATTATTTAACCATTTACGTTAAGAGAACCTAAAAGTTGAGTATGTTAATATCCTTACAATTCGTCCGTCTCCGCTGCCCAAATCGACAGCCGGAGTTTTCGGAGCGTGGCACGAGTTCAATAAGCGTTTCACGTTGGCAATCTGATTGGGTGACGCGGGTACATAGGGGATACAGACTCGGCGGAAGGCTGGTGCGACAAACGGAAGGGACAGCAAGGTGATGGTTGCGGCCGAACCGCCGATTATGCCCGCAACCGTACCTCCCAAGCCCATGTCTGTAATATGGACATGATAAAACCATAATATGGGTCAAAGTAAAAAAGTAATAAGACTTTGAAAATGAGAAAAGGTTTTAAAAACTCATTTTTATGGTCCAAACTATCAACGACGTTTAAATTATCAAGATTTAAACCATGAATTTATCGTTGATAACTTGTATCATTGATAAAGAGGTAACAGCTAACAAGGAAGCTAAAAAATAATCTATAAAACCACTTTAAATTACACAAAACCTCCATTTAAACAAGCCAAAATACAAATTAGCAGGAATCGGTAGACGTTTAAAACAAACTTTAAAAACATGATTATAATGTTCTGAAACGTTAGGAAAGCACTACTATAATGTTTTCAAAGAAAAACGTGATTATACTTGTTCAAAAAAATGAACATACACCCCACCCCTTATACACTGTCACAAAACTGCCCAATACTACTGTTACCATAAGAAACCTTAAAACCATGTTTGCGCAACGCTGTAGTAAACGGTAAAAATATAAAAGACTCACTTTTTACAACTTCAAAATAAAGGACCGAGGCGTGAAAGTAAAGCCTAAAAAATGAAAAGGTTTCTGTGATAGTGGAAAGTGCGGGTGAGAGATCAAAATTCCGAAAGATAAGCAAACAAATGAATAGTCTAATCTGTTAAAATGCAAATCGCGTTAGAGATACTCAACAGGATCCATGAAACCTGTTTCAGAGGGTCACACGATGGTGTTAACAATTTTATTCGATATGTGATACGTTGTTCAAATCCCATCTTGATATACTGTGAATGATATTATTATAAATTATTAACAAAACTTGAGATCAAAAGGTCGGAATTAGTCATCGGATAACAAGAAAGCCAGGTTCAGGCCTTTGCGGTCTAGTCTCAAGTCTCCCAAGTAGCCGCCGTTGTGTTTGGAGCAATGATTCAGGAATAAGTAAATCGAAGCGAACATGTTTTGGGAGCCAGCTGGCAAGGTGTAGATGTCGGCGCCACCGTTCGCAACGAATTCAAACAGGATTTCAGCACCTTGGTGTCGCTAAAACATTATCATAATACAGAATTTTTAAAACTATGCCTATTTTAAAACAATTTATCCTTTTTCTATTATCAGAACTTGACTAGCGCGTGTTATCTTCCAGAAGTGAGAAAAACCTCGTAAAATGTAAATGCCTTACTTGTCTGATAAAGAATGCAGTCGGAAGTTTTTGGTTGAATGCCAATTGACCAGGTTCTTTGAAAACATAAATTGAGGAAAATGGTCGAGTTGGGGTTTTAGTTAAGGACTCTGGCACCAAAACGTGATCCATGTACAAACAGAACATGCCAAAGACAATTTCAGCATCAGTCGGATACTCAGAGTTCCATTTTTCATCAATACCTAAAAGTTAAATATTTAGTGCTGGCAAAACCATAACCACGTCAAACTAACCTAAAATTAGTATATAATGTTACCTGAACTAATACAACAACTAAAAAAACCCAGAGAATTTACAATTACAAAGCTATAAAGAAAGAAATTATAATAGTAACGAAACCTACTGGAAACATCGTCATTTTCGGTTTCTCCGGTCTTATCATGTTGATATCCGTGTAGAATGTTAGATTTGTTCAACTCCCTAAGTCTCTTCACCAAATAATGTTGATTTGAATGCATTTTCAAAAAAGGTAACAAAAACGGCAGCTCAGTCCCATACAAGTCTGGCCGCTGATCCAAATGGAATTGAAGTTCCTCCAACTTTGCCGTTCCTACCGTAAGATTCAAGTTCAACTTCTTCAACGACAGATTGGCATCGTCTACTGCTTTCACAAAAGGCTTCACAGCGTTTTCATGAAGAAAGAAACGGAATTTCAAAGAAAACTTGGTGAGAAGAGCCAGTTCTGGATCACTGCAAATTTTTTATTAAAAATTCGAAAAATAAAAATAGGTAAAAACATCCAAAGTTACACTTACTGTAAGTTGAGCTTGTGAATGACACTTTGATAAAACTGGTTTTCTTTGGGGTTGCTCTTCTTAGACTTGTCATTGTAGAACAACTGATTCAAGGAGTGATTTGAATGGAAGGAGTTCGAAGCTTCCCTTAACTTCTCCGCATTTCGTTGGAAAGAAGATTGGAATTCGTCCTGAGAAACACTAGTACGTCTTTTCAAAATAGATAAAATCTTCTCCCCGGATTGCCGAGTTTCCTTTCCTTCATCTTGTTCAGCTTCTTCGATCTTCTTGTAGATATTGGCCAAACTTTCTAAAATTGTCAATGTTGTTGATGAATTTTGAAAAGTCAACATTATTATACGTGAGTTTTAAAGTTTTATTATGGTTTGCAACGTTTAAGAATAGATTCTCGTTTCCAACTTATAAATAGCCTCAACTGTATATACAAATAATCCACAAACCTTATAATCTTACCATCCAATTTCCGCTCTTCCCCCTTCTGGTACCCAATATGATAATCCTTTGAGTTCAAATCCGAAAAAGAGCTTTTAGAATTAGAAAAGATAAAGTCTATCTTTCTGGCAAAACTACTGTCGTTCAGGTTAGAATCTTCTGTCATTTCTTGCTTGAACCTCAATCTCTCATATTGTCCATCAGTGTAAACAGAATGTTGAGTTGAAGAAAAGGAACTCAGCTCAAGGGAGTTTGGTCCAGTTGTATGTAGCTTCTTACTACGAGAAGATTCGTCCAATTTAGAGTCAGAAGAATAGTTGGCAGCTGAGAAGCTGTCAGTGAAGATTTGAGACCAATTAGTTTTGTCCAATGAAGAATTGGCATTGTCATCTACTGATCGGTACTTGAAATCGTTCAAAGTGGTGTTCAAAGACTTGTTGAATGTATTATTCAACCGCCTTTGACTGGCATTACTTATTACGTCTGAAATCGTTGTCAATGTTACATTTCATCTATTTTCAGTACTACTACAGTAAAACTTTCTGAAAATAACACTAAACTTAGGTTTATAAACTATATTATAAAAGCAACCAGCAAAAAGAAATAAACCTAACTTACTCAAATTTTGAGATTTGGTAGCTTTGTAGTATGCTTCAAAAACCGTGTCACCCGTAGCCCAATAATATATGAGAGAACATAGATTAAGTAGAGAAATAAATCCAATTAGTGTGGCCAGCTGAATAACTTGTTCTCCAGCCAGAAACCACGATAAAACTTTTGAAGGTATGGAAAAATTGAAAAAACACGCCTAAACAATAAAATATAACAATAAAACTAAACTTACATCAACTACTGAGAAGGCGAGAAATGCATAAGAACCCAATCTGAAAAGATAATGTTAAAACACATGTTTGGTCACGATTCGGCATAAATAAAAGCTACGCTTTATGAATAATGTAAAGAAAACATTAGTACTAACATTTTATAACCCTTTGTAACAATAAATCCATAACTTACTTCCAATTGGACTCCATTAGACGTTGAGGTATAAAAAAAAGGATTGTCCAAGCTGAAAAAATAAAGCTATTTTTATTTTAAAATTTTCGATATTTCTTAGTAGCGGCATTTGGTCCCACAACGAAAACATAAAGTATTTATTATCAGCTAACAATACTTTTATTATCTACACGAATATTATGGTTTACATTGTAAAATGTCACTAACATAATGTTGCTTTTGTCCTAAAATTTCATTTTCACTGTCTAAATACGAGAACAGATTACAGGATACATCGTATAAAACATGTTTATCAAAAATATGAGATGCGGTGGCAGCTCGCCTTAAAATAAATAATGTATTTTTTGTTTTTCTTGCTGTTGTTTGTGTTAGAATGTAATATTTGGTATCCAGACAACCGTCGAATGATGAAATGGCGCTTAGGAGCTGTTACCTATAATCTCTGTGGGAAACCGTCCAAGTTGGACAAGGTCAAGCAACTGGTGGAGAAGGTGCTGGATAAGTCTGATACTCAATTGGACGGCATTGTCGTTTCCTTACAGGTATTTAAAGAGCTTTGTTTTAGTTTGCTTTAGGAAGTGAATGTGGCCGAGCGAACCAATGTTATACCAGATGCGTGGAAGGAACATCTACACGCTATTCTGTGGGAGAAGGGATACATCAGCGTATGTTCGTCGTACATGATGACCAACTTTCTCATATTCTTTGTCTTGAGAGCTTATGCTACTTTGGTAAGGGTGTTGAAATTTTATCTATGATTTTGTCACGTGTCAAAAGGAAATGATGTTATTGCAAAACAAACTACCACAATATAAATAATATTTTAACCATTAATGTTAAAAACGCGTTTCAGCGTAAAATTATTATAATTTGGTGTTGAAATTTTGATTTTTGGTATTACAAAAATGTCACAATTTAAATTTTAGGTACAAAAATGTGAGTTTGACTATATAAAAGACCGTTACTACGGAGTAAAAGGATCAATATGTATGTCAATTGATCTCAAAGCAAATGTTCGGCTCATTTTTGTGGGTTCTCACTTAATTCATGGTCCAGAAGCATACGATAGGAGAGTACTGCAAGCGAAAAGTGTGAAGGATTTTGTGAATCGAAAGATAGAGAACAAGGTCATACCTATAGTAATGTGGCTTGGTGACTTCAACTTTAGAGTAACTGGAGTTGGAGCTTCTGAGTTTGTACAGACATTGAGGAGTGATGATCTTGAAGTAGCAGAGGTTCTTAAGAAGCACGATCAACTTTCAGAAGCCAGGTTCTTCTACGATATCTTCGATACTTGGACGGAAGCCAATATAACATTTCTACCGACATATAGGATGCATGTAAGTTTGGTTTTGAAAAGATTTTTTGTGTATAATTTAATGAAATGCCATTCTTGAAATTGTAGTTTTATTTTTCAGATAGGATCTAATCAGTACGATATCAACAGAGTACCTTCATGGACTGATCGTATTTTATTTAACAAAGCTCAATGCTTGGACTACAATTCGATACCAGAGATTAAAGTCAGCGATCACATGCCCGTATACGGTATATACGAAACTTCAAGCTTTGATGTAGATGACCAATCTAATTGGGAAATCGAATTCGATAAAATCGACTACTGGTACACTAACCTACCTTTGAGGATAAACTTTAATGGAGCTCGGTTTTGGAAGCTGAATGGTTCTGTGTGGGACTGGGTGGGCGTGTACAAGGTACCAGATGTGAGTGATCGTCGATTTGTGACACAAACGTCAGTCATGAGTGCTGTCGACATTGGTACCACGTATCAAGTAGAGTTTGGTGCTCTTCCTGCTGGTATTTACTTTGCTGCCTACCACAGTTACAACCAAGGAAGCATTCAAGGAATGAGTAATGTGTTTACTGTAAAGGATCTTTAAGATTAGTTTATGGTAAGGTAATGATGTTTAGAATATAGTTTATGAAGATGACATTGATTACATTTAACAGTAGTTTATAATAGTAACGGCATTTTAACGATTGTTTAAGAACCGGGCTATAAGAACGTTTTTTTGATATTGTTTAACATTGTTTTATTTTATAGGTACATCAATTTAGATGTAGGATGTATAGTTATTTAAAGACTTATATAACTTTAAACGTACGAAAGTAGATTTTTAGTCACCGTTTCAAAAAACATAGTAAATACCTATTTCACTCGGTTGCAAATGTATTTATATCACTAGAGTAACATATATGAATTTTTATAGTATGTTTATATATATGTGCAGACTATGTCTCTATTTATAGTTGTCTTCCTGACAAGTAACCTTCTTAATTGATCTCACTGTATGTAAATTTTCATCTAATGAAATAAAATGGAACACGATCTGGTTGGGGGTTTCAGTTCCCATTCGATGTTTGGATTTAATTGTATAAATATCCGCTTAGTTATAATGGTCATCTTCTTTGTTGTATCAGATAACGAATTTAAAAAGTGCGAAAGCATTTTTTCGCCTACATTTTGGGGCGATTCGGATCAGAAAGCTTGGCCGAACTTCATCCTTTATATAAAATGACGCTTTTGAGTACTGTAGGTTAGGTTTCTTTAGGTAAAGTGATGATTTTGGGTTACTGTAAAGCAAAACTTTTTGCCATAAGTATGTTGTTGGTTTTAGGTTACAGTAGGATATAACTTTAGGTTTTCTATTTTAGTTTTTTCTACTTTTTTCAAAAGAGTATATAATCAACAAATCAGGTCAATTTACTCTTTAAAATCACAATTTTGACGTGGTTAATTGGACATGAGCAAAACCGCTTTGTGTTTACTCAGTGAAAGTTCAAAGGTTGTTGACGGTGAACCAGTAGAAATCGGAAGTCTAGGCGAGGCCCTCTTGAACCGTCCGAAGAGGTGGTCGCCAAATGACCGCAGGACTTGATGATCGTTTTGGAAGACGACGTGTGTCACTTATCAGCTTATTATATATGAATCTCACGTCATGTGCTCGGCTGAGTGCCCGAGGGCATGGAATGAATGAAGCGGTCATTTCGATCGTCCTTGACTCAGTTTTTCTTTCTTTGATTAGGTAATATGTTGTTTAGTGTGATTCACGTGTGGAGGAGTTGAGGAGAACCGGTTTGGTGCCAGTCACTTCTTCGAATCTCTTCAGAAGCTTCAACTCTAGGCGGGTTTTCCATTCGAAAACAGAAGACATCTGAGCTCGTCTTTTTGCCTCCGAGCCGGCTTTGCGTGATCGTTGTTTTTTTATTGTGCGTCTACAGTGTTCGCTGCTGGGCGACGTGAAGTCGTCGTCGCTGGGTGTTGCGTGAGACTCTGTCGTTTAGGTCACGCTGGATATCGCTCAAGTGTTTCAGGATTGGAGATCTCTTGTTCTACCTACCTCGAGGGCCCTATGCGTCTAAGCGTCGGGATCACGGACCTGTCGACAACGACGCGAACCTGGAGCAGCCTCAGGTCGCGGTTGTGATGAGCGACAGGGCCTTGAAGGCGAACAGTTATGGCCATGGTCTTGGCCGTTCTTCAACGATTGGCCGCGTGAAAGTACTTTCAACAATTCTTGGTCGTTCTTTGTATGTCCGGTTACTTGGCCACTCTGTCATCAACCAGATTCTACTAGTTAGTTGTTTATTATTAGTGTTTACCCCTCCTTGTTTATGTTTCATACCAGAGAAGTTCGACGTTTTAAGCGAACAGGACTTTACGAACGCCGAACACTTACTCAAAGGTACGGTAACACACGCTCGTTTACTGTGATTCAGACGAAATATTTAGAGATTCCATTCCCATCGAAACTGTCAATGATTATAAATCCGATATCAGAGGTCCAGTAGCAGACAGGAAACGTTTCAAACGAAACGGGGTCAGTAGGACGACCAAGCTCTGGCCTCAAGGCAAAATACCGTACGCGATCTCACCCCACTACACAACTCACGAAAGGGCATTGCTGGCTAGGGCAGTGAAACAGGTAAGGGGTGTCATTGTAGCTTTATGAAATTGTAAAATACTTTTTGAAGTTACTTTTTTCTATTGAAAGAACATTAGTCTTTGGTGTTCAACAAGTTATCAAAAAATAGCTGAAAAAAGTAAAAATGTTATTTGAAACACAATGCCAATCGCCAGCGAAACCAGAGTTTGAATTTATTTGCAATATGAAAATGGCTCAAAATGATTAAACTTCTTGGAATAACATTAGAACCTTTCAAGACAATGCAACTACTTTACTTTTTAATAATCAAGGATTTCAGTACCACGAGAAGACCTGTATCCGGTTTGTGCCACGCGTGGGTGGCGAAGGGGACTATCTGTTCATTGGCAAGGTCGATGGGTAAGGTCCTGATCCTTCTTATTTCCAAATTTTAGTTGTTTTTCCGAGGTCGGTCGCACTAGTGGTGTACAGGTACTATCTCTGGACAATGGGTGCATGGAATATGCCACAATCATCCATGAGATGATGCACGTGGTTGGGTTTTACCATGAACACGAACGATGGGACCGTGACGCCTTCATCGACATCATCTGGCAGAATATCGACAGAGGTTTGACTATAATTTCACTTATGTTTTGCTTATTTGTATTAATATTTAGGTGAAAAAGTCTGTAGAGTATTGCCCACACGACTAAAAATATCTTTTCAAACGCATCTTATAAAAATTTTTGAAAATTTTGAAACTTTTTTAAATTCTTTGTTCTTACTGTACTTCAGGAGCACTAGACCAGTTTGGCAAGGTAGACCTGAGTAAAACCTCTTACTATGGCCAGCCTTACGACTACAAGTCCATCCTTCACTACGACAGCCTAGCCTTCTCCAAGAACGGCTTCCCAACTATGTTGCCCAAGAAACCAGGTAAGGTGAATGTACTGTAACCGCCGATTTCAGGGCTAGCCACCACCATCGGAAATGCCAAAGACTTTAGCGACGTCGACTTGGCCAAAATTAATCGTATGTACAAATGTGACCGACGGCCATTAAATGCGCTGTTTGGAGCGGCCACTAACAACCATGTACATCCGATCTACAGTCAACCATATGTCAGGGGGTCGAGTCGACCATCGTCCGTGGAGAGCAACCTAATATATGACACTCGACGACCTCAGCCGAATGTTGGTGAGTTATTTGTTCCTCAAGGAAGCTGTTCTTTATTACTTTTAAATGACATAATTTGTCATCGCCTGCTTTTGATACTGTAGTATTTGGTGTAGAAAAGCATACAATGATAACACAGTACAATTACTTGTGACATTTTTAAAATCATCGCAAGCTGATAAACTTTACATTTAATTTTCAGTCTGCGAAGACAAGATTACGGTATGTTGGTGGACCCAGGACCGGTGCTTGTCGCCAAACATCTACGCCATGATGAAGACCTTGTGCGCCAAAACTTGTAAATTCTGCTAGCTACTACTCCCAACTTCTCGAAATGATACTCCGTTATTGTCTGTGAATAAACGATTGTTATTACTGTAGATAACCGGTGTAAGGGTGGCTTCGGATCCGAACAAATGTCGTTGCTCGCGGGTTCCAAAAAAACTGCAGCCGGCTGCAAAGAAGAGGTCCGAAAATAGCGTGCGTTTGGTGGAGACGGAGACAGAAGCCAGCGTCCGGGATCCGAGCCGGTTTGGTGCGTCGGCCGTCTTCTCAGCGCCTGCGGTCTCTCGCCCTCTGAATGACCACTGTCCATTTGGGAGGGGGAGAGCAGGGCCTTCCTCTTCGCTTGCTAAAAATACTTGTGACCTAAGGGCTTTTCGTCGCTCAACCTTTGCACTTTCCATCGTAACAGTCACGATCTTGAACTTTGCCTGCCTTCAGAAGCCGCCAGCTGACACCGTCGGTCAGCATCATGACCTCCTGGCAGGAGCACATGTGCAAGCTGCAGCAACGCCTCATGGAAAGTAGGTTTTATTCTGGCACTTTGCTGCATATTATGTTAGTTTTATTGTTTTTAAAGGAAATTGTATTAAAAATAGATCTTTTGACTTATTGGTAGTACATGTTGTCTTTTACTATGATGAGAAATATGTTATTTTTTGAGTTTTGTCAGTTTTTGATTATTTTGAAGTATTTTATCTTTTAACCGTCTAAGTTTTGTGGAAGTATATTATATTTTGGCTTTATGATATATTTACGCTGCCCTTCATTTTATAGTAACATCCACTATATGATAGTATATCTCTTCGCTTGTATAGTTTGTCCTATAATTATAACGTAACCTTTCTCCTCACAAAAAGTACGTTATACTTTGTGGATATCTCTGTGAAAGTACGTTATCTTTTATTAGCCAGCTTTATGATCCGGGCGTCTTTCCTGATTCTGGGTCAGGCGTGACAACTATATTCCGGGTTGGTTTCGTCTGGATGTGCCGGCGCCGTTTTCTCTTTTTCCTGATTCTGGCGTCCGCCAACCTTCTACTCGAGTGTCCAACTTTAGTGTTTCCATTAATTGGGTTAATGCATTCAAATCCCGGATTATCCTTCTTTAAAGTGCATTCTGAACAAATTTCGAACTTTTGACTTAATTTAGCACTTTGAGTAATATGCCGTTTTGCTAAGTACAAAGGCCACAGCAGTGCCAATTACAATTTTTAAATGATTTTAGTTTTATTGTGTTTGGCAAAGTACAACGGTTAAGTACAATACGAGAGTACAAGTTCAATTACTGTGTCGTTCTGTTTAGTACAATTTTATTGTCAGAACGCTCGTTTGGTGGTTACACTTTCAAACCACAATTTCAGTCACAACTTGAAATGGCAATTTTAAAAAGTTTTATTGAACTGAGCGAACGGTTGCATTTTCAGGTATTTACATGAGTTTTAGGTATTTTACATGAATTACCACGGTTTTGCATGATTACAAACTGCTCAAAGTCTTACAGTTTCGCGGAAAGTAGTGCTGCTCTATTTCCCAATAACTCTCCTTCTGAAGAGTGCATTCATGCAGTGACCTGTATACGTCACACTTGTATTATCGGCTGTCTTCTCCTTGCCCTTTCTGCAGCTCAGACATTAAGTAGTACTTTGTTGTAAATCCGCTGGTGCTGAGCAAACGGTTGCCCAGCACGAGTTTCATAGACTCCCTGGACTTACGATTTGTCAAAATTTTTTATTTGAATATTTTAATTTAGGATGATTTTAGATCAAAGGATGCTTTTAATCTTTAAAAACCATCATTTTTCTATCTTTCTTTTTACTTTTTATTTTCAAAATATAATATTTTTTGTTGATTTTAAGCCAACATAGTTCCCAACACTAATGTTATTATCCGCGCACTTGGCGGGATCTTTGGCCGGTCACCTGCCACCGGTTTCAGCCGGTTTTCTCATTTTTTTCTAATTTTTCGTACCAGTCCTTGCGGTGTTTTGCAGATCGTGACTCCTATTCTCTGATCAGTCTTCTTGAGGGCGGGGGAACTTTTCGGATGACCCCCTTTACTCATGCTTTAAAACTTTAATTGGACAGCGCGCTCCTTTTATTCGCGGAATATTAATCATGCTCTTGAGGTGTGAGGCGGGGATTTTGTTGGTTTAGGTTGATCTTGACAGGTTACGAGGTTTTCTTACTTATATATAGGTTATGATAGGTTTTCTTCTTTGACTTTTAGTTGATTTAAAATTGTCTTTTTGCCGCGTTAAAGCCTAGCTTTGCCGAAAGTTCATAGAGTCTATTCATACGCATTGAGTTAAGGTTATTTATGATAATGATAGATTGAGTAATTTTATAATTTACTGTTTTAATTTTATTGTGACATTATCACACGGTAAATTAAAAATTTAAAAAAGTTGTAAAACTAGTCTAGGCTAAAACTACTTACATTTGTTGATTACCCACTCTCAAAAACCCTCTATAACTACCCCTATCAAACTTTATGTCCAACTCTAATTAAACACTGTAAAAAGTCATTGCGCCAGGCATTTTTTATTTTTAGCTCATGCTGCACTTTAGGTTTAGACTAGGTCATGTTGTTGAATTATTCGCTCACTCTGACCGCGGCTGGTAGTGACGCACTCTGTGTGTCTCGGTCTTTCGAATTTCAGTTAACTGACCACTTGCCACGGTGCATCTTTTTTCTTTTTGTTGTCCAGTGCAGAACAGGCACAGAACGAGGGAAGAAAGCATGCCTTCCTCCTAACAGCCTTAAGTCCAATTCGGATTGGTTTTTTATTATTGGCATTCCTATATTCATTTACGTATATCACTTACGTTTCGTCGGTCGATTGTTTCGGGTTTGGGGAGAGCGCGGTTTCATTAATATTGTGATGAAGGCTTGAACGCAGCTTTTTTAAATAGGTACAAATCTTTGATTTTCTTAAAAATAGATATGTTTTGTAAATTATTTGGTCAAGAATGTATAGAACCACTTTCGTTTCACAGTTTTTGTCCAATGTTAGGGTGTTCCAAAAGTTTTGTCGCTTTTCACTTTGAAAAACAATAGAAATTGACGACATTAGTTTTTTAACTTTAATTAATGTAATTAAAGATCAAAATATTACTTCAATTACAATTATATTTTATACCAAAGCCAACGTTTTTTAAATTTAAGATCCTTTTGAGATTTTTAAAGTTCATGTAGGTCTAATCCTCTAAATCTTATTTTTAAGCCTAATCATCCATGTTGTTGCTAAAAGTTGGAATGTTTGCTAAAAGTGTGAAGCGTCTGCGGATTCTTATGTAACTTGTGAGAAGCCGCCTCCTCCAAAGAATCCACCGATCGCTAGTTCCTGTTCTCCATCGTTGTGCGCGGTCCGGTCTGCTGTTTAGTGGTTTTTTGTGTTGTTTCAAATTGTTTGAGAGCCGGGCGCTGGGGCCGCGTCGTTTCCTTGTTGTATTGTTTTTGTATTGTGTGTTTTAGCGAGGTCAGTGCTGGTCAGCGCGAGGTGTGGGGAGAGGGACAAGAGAGTGCATTTGCACCGTTTTTTGTCTGTCCACTGGTTCGCGGCTCCCCGCTTTGTGGTGCCCCCCGCCCCGTCCCCCTCCTCTCGCATCGCTCTTTCGTGGTGGACGGACCCACCAGTCCGTACCGTCTCGCGACAACGTCCCCGTCGCGTATAAACAAAAAAATACGAAGAAACGCATCGCGCGCGCCACGGCTCGTCTCGGCTTGCGCCACCCGCGCCTCCCATTTCAGTTCGATGCGCCCTACTGACCTCGAAGATTGCAATTCACACACCCTCGACGTCGCGGGTCGGTGTTTCGAGATTCGCGAGTACGTTCTTGTACGGTGAGGTTGTGGTCGGCGGCGACGTCGCCAGGTTGTGGGATTTGTATTTTCGGCTGGCTACTGGTGTTTTACACCATTCCTATCGTGGTGGGTCCTCGCTTTGTTCCTGAACCAGATCAGTCGTGCATACTGTAGCGCCCAACACTTAATCACAGAGTTAAGCGTCTGTATGCTTGTCTGACGTCTTGTTTTCTCTTTTTGTACAAAAATATTGATCGTTTGGTGAGTCTCGTGTGTTTCTTAACCAGTTTTTATTATTACCTGGGAACAATCCAGGTTATTGGTTATGTTTTATCGATCGTATACAATCCGTACCCCCCCCTCGACAACAAACAAGTTTTTGTCGTTGTAGCGAGGGGAATGAGATCAGCGCAGTTCGAATCGTGGAAATCCTTAAGCGGAGGGAAACGAGGAGTTCTGTCGTCGTCGCATCTCCGTTTGTTCCTTAACACATCTGAATCCGTTCTGTTCTGACTCCGTTCAACTTGTTTCTATTCGTCGTGCTTTGGATCTTTTTGTGCTGAATTCGGATTTTTATCAGTTCCGATTTAGGAGTTATGAATTTATGTGGAATTTGATCTATTTTGAATGCGTTCCAGTTTTTTTCCATTTTGCGTCGATTTATGGTTTTTATTAATATTTCCACGATTATGTTAGTATCTTTGGCATTATCTGACGTATTATATTGACATTTGTCGAAAAACTTGAAATGTTTGTAGGAAGCATGGCGTTGGTGTCGCATCCATCTGGGGCACCTCAAATGTACAAAGACCAGGATGCCATGCCCAACAACAAGCCCGGGAGTAGTGGCAGTGGTGGCTCCAGTGGCAGTGATGTGGTTTCGTCGCTCAGCGGCTCTAGTGGCTCCACCGGTAGCAATATCCATCACCATCAGCCACGAGAGTACACATGTGTTTCCGGCGTGGTAAGCGGTTTTTGCATCATTTTCTTGCCTCTAATTATTGCAATTCAGACTGACTTTAATTGTTAATCAGTGCAGAATTTTATTTACTTTTTAGTAATTTTAATTTTTTCTTGATGTTTTTGGTTAATAAGTTATAAAAACCTATTATAAAACAAGCTTAACTAATGAACTAATTTTAGTCTGATCCAAATCACCTGATAAAAGCCATGGTACCCAACAACTCCTACGTAACCCCAGTTTCACCGAAGCGAAGTAATGAAGTCGACCGTCCGATTGGCTACGGAGCCTTTGGAGTTGTCTGGTAGGCTTAACTAATTATTTTTTTTGTTTTTTGTAGCAATTTTTAGAACCAACTAACATTGTAAAGTATAAGTTCATAAACAAATAAGTTTTTATATTTTAGGTCCGTCACTGATCCCCGGGATAAAAAACGTGTAGCGTTGAAGAAGATGCCAAACGTCTTCCAGAATCTTGCTTCCTGCAAACGTGTCTTCAGAGAAATCCGAATGTTGTCGTCGTTCTCGCACGACAACGTTCTCGGATTGCTCGACATTCTACAGCCAACACATCCCCATTTCTTTCAGGAAATGTAAGTTTATGTATATTTTACTACTTAAAACGGTATAATTTTTGAGTCAAAACTTTTTTCTTAAAATAGTGCCATATGTCAATGATTTTGATTAAAATGCGCGTATTTGTCCTTCCATAAAAAGTTTTTTTTGTATCAAAAGACCTATTTGTGCCCTCTAAGACAATACAATATCTCTTCCGATCTTATTTATATTGTGTGTAATATAAATCGGCTATCGGAGGGGAGCCAAGTTGGTTTTTGTATCGCGAGGTGCCATCCGCTGCCGCCGAATAATTCGCGCAACCATTTTGTGGCCTTGTTAATACCGGCACCGATTGGAACCGACCGGTACGCGGCTCTTGTCCCGATTGACCTTGCGTATATCTGACATACGGCACCCTCTAATATAATATAATGAAGACTTAAACTAATTTCCCCTTTGTTTTGCAGCTACGTTCTAACGGAATTGATGCAAAGTGACCTCCACAAGATCATCGTATCCGCCCAGCCCCTCACCGTCGACCACATCAAAGTCTTCGTCTACCAGATCCTCAGAGGATTAAAGTACCTACACACTGCCAACATTTTACACCGTGATATCAAGCCAGGGAACCTACTCGTTAACAGCAACTGCATTCTCAAAATCTGTGATTTCGGCCTCGCCCGGATCTGGGACGCCAGCGAAAACATTAACATGACCCACGAAGTAGTAACGCAATACTACCGAGCTCCCGAACTCCTGATGGGAGCTCGCAAATACACCGGAGCCGTCGACATCTGGAGTGTGGGCTGTATCTTCGCCGAACTCGTGAACCGCCGGATCCTGTTCCAGGCTGCTGGTCCAGTCGAACAGCTGAACATGATCGTTGATCTGTTCGGAACCCCCTCCATGGATGAGATGCGGTTCGCGTCGGAAGGCGCCAAGAACCACGTTCTTGCCATGTCACGCAGAAGTCAAGACCCGCGTCGCTTCATCGACAAATTCTCCACGCTGGATCCAGAAGCCCTTCTTCTGTTACGTAACCTGCTCCAATTCGACCCCTCCAAACGCTACAACGTCTTCCAAGCCTTGTCCAGTCCGTATTTGGATGAAGGACGCATGAGGTTCCATTCTTGTATGTGTTCTTGTTGTACACACAAGCGGGATCAGAGAATGGTCAGAGATCTTGATCCTGAGGTAAGAATGTCAAAATTGAACTTACAATTTACATTCTGATTCGAATAAGATGAAGGTGCTTTGTTTGGGACGAAAAACTGTTTTGTACAAAAATTATTCCAAAATATTATTCTAAAAAAGTTTCGCAATTGTAGGCGACAAGTTATACGATGAAAGTTTTTTAGATATTCCGAAGAAATAATCGATAATTTTTGGTTATTTTGGCCATTTTAAAAGTATTCTTGTTATTACTTTGCTGTTTTACTGTAAAATCAAATAAAATATCACACTCTGTTAAAGTTACCATCTGTTTGGTCTCAAGAGTCATGAAATATGCCGTTTTCAGCACAAACTGCCGTTCAGCTCACAGTGGGAGAAGGATCTGTCACGGTTCTCGATGTTCGACCTTCGGGAGCAACTATTCAAATACGTGACCGAGCGCAAGCCCATGTACAATATCCCCTTATGCATAAATACGACCGCGTTGGCGTACAATGAGTTCATGAACTCCAGCGTCGCGCAGCCTTCTGAACTGCCACCTCAGCCCCAGAACTGGGATTCTGCCGCATAATTTATATATATCTAACATTTGTATTGGGCTGGTGCGAAAGTTCTTGGATTATTTGCAGCAAATTCCAACTTCAGGGTGCAAATAGTCCGAGAACTTTTGAACGGCCTTGTACAGCTGGTTGCTCAGTCGAGGTTAATTAGATGAATCTATGTATATCCGGGTTGTTATGTATCTTTCTCTGGTCCCCGTGTCTTTCGAACTTAATCAAGGTATTCTGTCGTGCCCTTAGCCGTTCCTGAATCGTCTTTCACACTGTTTTTGGTAGCTACCGTCGTCTTTTCTTATCAGTTAAAAGTTGATCACCTGTTTTAACTATCAAATCTACTTTCTTATGTATTTCTACTACAAGTTTTTCAAAATTATTGTATATTTATGTTTATATTAAGGTGTTTTTCAGCGAAAAACGTCAACAACTTCTGGTCTTTCAGCTAGCCGATGCAGTCGGAGAACAAGTTATTAATTAAACAATACAAACGTGCCTATTATAATATAAGTCTAGAGTCGAAAACAATGATTGTATGTGATTATCTGGTTTCATTTAAATTTATTTTGTTGGGAAATTAAACTATTTTACAATAATTTCTCAGGCTTGAAGAAATTAAGTTTGTAAAGGCTATGTTAATAGTGTTCTACAAGGTATCTTGGTATAAGAAAAAGTGTTTAAAGAGAACCTTTTTTTGTTAGGTTATAACAGATTGATGTTGTCATATATTGAAATTAGTCTGTTTTATTCCCAAAAACATCTACAACAATATGAAACAAGTGGATTTAGCCAACTTCATGTATTCTGAAGTCGAAGAAAGTAGCTCGACATCATTCGCAGAAAGGTTACGGCACTAATCTGAGTGATGGATATTCAGGTAACTCTAAACCTCGGCTTGTTATACGACTTTAAGGTTTACACTTCGCATAAGAAATGGCCATAGGGCCAGCCGGCCTTCAGGGTTTCAAACTTGGCCGACTCCAACGACTTTCTCACCCCACCTTCTCACGGCACACCTGAAACATTCACTTACTGTGGCAGCAATTACTCTGCACTTTGGTTGTAATTTGCACTAAATGGGTAAGTCTTGGCAAAGGTTACGATACTTAACGCTTATGGCTGGTTACTTTAGGGTTGCTCAAAGTTTAGTTTTATACTGTAACATTTATGTGCCTTAACCTGTAGTTTTACAGTAGAGCTTTGAATAAATAGAAATTTAAATGTTTCATTCAAATAGTGAGTATTACCTAATCTTGTAGGACGAGCAACGCCAGCACCAGTAGTTTGCCAGATTTGTGGAGACAAAAGTTACGGTAGACATTATGGTTTGTGGACTTGTGATGGTTGTGCCTGCTTCTTTAAACGAACCATTAGAAGAAAGATTAACTACAGATGTATATGTAAGTATATTTGAAGTTTTGGGTCGTATAAAAGTAATACTTGTTAAGTAACAACTGTACTATTTACTCTCGCCTCTTTTTTTAACTGTAGTTGTTATTCTAGCTGGTGACAACAACTGTCCGGTCGATAAAACAAGAAGAAACTGGTGTCCAGCTTGTCGGCTGAACAAATGCTTTCAAATGCAAATGAACAAGGATTGTAAGTTGTAAATTAGCATATGTTACATGAAGTTAAGCCCTTTTTTATTTTCGATTATATTATTGTAGCCGTACAAAAAGAACGAGGACCCAGGACAAAGAAACTAAACAAAAATTTGCATAAAAACTTGAGCCAAGACATTCAGAACAGTAAGTATTATATAACTAACTTTGTCTCTACTGTAATAGGGTTTACCTATGAGTTTTGAAAGAGTTTGAAAAAAATACAAGTAGGTATAATACACAACAAACTTCTTTGTATTATTATATACGTCATACATATATGTAGATACGTAAGCTCAAGTCAAGTTTTTAAAAACAATTCCAGAAGTGAAACTTCTGGTAGATACGATGAAGAACGTGCTACACAATGCAGTGATCGTATTCTTGAGCGTCGAACAGAAGAAACAGTTACTACATCAGTTATGGCCAGTCTTTACTTTGGCTGCCATACCACATATACAACATTCAATCAAGATACGATCTGTTGAAGTAAGGCTATATTATTACATTATACAGTAATCTTTCAGATTAACAACTTGCTAGCCAATTTTCGTATGAAAATAGCCAAAATAGACGACGAAGAGATACGACTGCTATGTTCTTGGCTGTTGTGTCATTTTGGTATGTTTTGACTTTAGATTTCTGTTATACTTCCTATAATGTGTATGACCATACATGAGTTACAGGTTCAAAAATACCGACAATTGACTTTGCTTCATCTCTACTAGACACCTACACTCTCTGGATTCACAAGCATTGTACAGTAAGTTACCCTGATGATTACAAAAGGGCTGACCGTATCCTGGAGTACGGTAGAAGTCTGATTCACTTCCAACATTACAGTAACCTCGTAGAAGAGTTCGCATTTCTTTATAATCCGAAAAAAGAAAGTTAAAATTAATTTTAAATCGTCATTTGATTAATATTACTTTTATTAAATTGATGTTTTATGTTATACTACCTACCAGGTTTAAGTTATAAATAATTTACAGTTTAAGCCTAATTCAGAATTTAACTTTTATTAATGTTAGTGATAAGTTATGTACATGTCTGTTGAGTAACCTATAAAGTTAAATATAGTCATTCCAAATGTAATAAGAAACTTTGAATTAAATTATAAAATACAATTACAAGATATCAAAACTGAAGGGGTGGAGGGGGAAGATAAGTAGAAAAACTATAAAATGTCTTTCTAAAAGTTTATAATATAAGTAATCAATTAAGCACATAATTTAATAAGTCAGGCTTACTTGAGGTTTCTTTCAGCCTTTGCCAAGCCATACTTACTATAACATAATATTGTTATAACATATACTTTACGTTTCTTTTAGCCAATGACCATAAATTCAATTAAAACTATAAAAAACCAAATTTCAAGTTTCATTCTGAAAAATCATCGAACAAACTGTTTCTTTGGCTGACAATACCTTTACTTTGACATAACATATAAATTACATAGTAAATCTGTTTTTAAAGCACATAAGTTACAAAGTACAAGTCATGAGGACGTGGATACAAATATAGTTTAATAAATAGTACTAACCAACAAGAACTAAACCATTTTATCAACACATGCGCAACTTCTGACACAACTTGGGCGAGCTTTGGTATCTAGCCACGTGACGTGGTCGGTAGATCTTGGCTGGGAACACTCGCGGCTCGTCTCTGAGCCCTTCTTTAATATCTAAAATGGAGGGATTTTGGCTGAGTTTGATGCCTTCTTGGTCGGCCAACGTCTTCATTGCCTCGAAGTAGGAGGATCGTATCTTGTCTTCGTCGGTTAGGTCTGGGGATGGTACTTTTGGTAGAAGGACTACGCCCGGTCGGAAAATACTACTTGTTTCGGGAGTTGTACGATCGTTGAAGAGGTCTGTAACGTAAGGAAGGTAATGTTATCATCTCATAAAGTAAACATAGGTATTATAGTATTTATTATACTACATAGTATCAAAAGTATATTGTAACAAAAGTTCTCATTACCCACTTTTATATTTAGTTTAACAAAGTTACTACAAACCTCAAAAATACTTACTTGCTGTTCCAAATGTCATACTGTGAACTACCGTACTAAGTAGCACCAATCCCCAACATACGATGCAATCCATCCCAATTCTCAAAATATCTTATTTATTACAATATACTATCTTTGATTTTGGCTGGTAACACTCGTTATACTATCTTTCGCATACAAATACACCATATAATAATAAAAATAACCTTTTAAAAAGCTATAGTAACGATTAGAAGATAGTAATGAAGTTACAGTAGCCAATACACCCAGTAACCGTAAAAATATAAAAAGTAAAAGTAAAACTAAACCGGTAAAAGCCACAGTAGAACACTAAGCCTGTTTACATTACAATTTAAATGCAAACGTAATATCACAAATGCACCTTGAATGTAACATATAGCTGCCTATACCTCTGAATATGAATGAGGTAGATGTCTGTACGCCTAATTATTGTTATTTTTGTCAGTAAAGTAAAATTGGGATGACGATATATCACACTAAACAGCATAACATATTCAAAACAAGACATAACCGCGTTATTTATATTGTAATTGAGTTCCGATGGAAAGTAATATTATATACGGTACGAGGCTACAGAACGTAAACAAAGTTATTGCAGGGCTAAAAAAGGTATATCAAAGATGTCATCATATTGCTCTGCCTTCAAGGTGATGCCAGCTGCCTTACAAAATGAATTTTCTTACAAACCAATACCTACCATAACATGAGAAATGCCAATATTTATACCCCGAACATACTAGCACCTATGAAAACACACAGTAACTCAACCAGAGATCTCATGTCAATATCAAAACTTTAATTGTAAAACAAACATGTTCTCCCCCAACGTACGATGGCATATAAACCCTCATATATTTCGGCGACATACAATAACATCATGATTGTTTCGTATTGTAAGTGGCTTAGCCCTAATCTACTTTGATGTAACAGGCCAAACAATGAAAGTGCAACCGAAATAATTAAAGATTACATAGAGATCACCAGGTGGAGGAGATGTATATACAACCCCTTCAAAGTATTTTTACTCTGTAAAAGTAACTATACCTTACTGTAAGAGTAATGTTACCAGTCATTTAAGTTCGTATACCACCCCCTCTTTCAATTCGTGACATTCTACGCATGTTATGTATTTACTCTATGTATGTGTATTAATAAAAGTATCTGGAAACGATTAAATTACCAAACAAATACGAAATGTCATGACATGGGAGTTCTTTTAGAGTACTATCTGATGTTATACATAACCTATAAGACTGTAAGATAATATAAACCTAAAAGTTGAAAATATATTGCCAATATGTTACCCTTTGCTAACTGTAGTACAAGTACAGTATACTTTACAAAAGTTCTTCTACAAACCAAAAACCTTCAATTTTGTTATATTGTAGTAGGTCTAGTCAAAAAAAAAACAACTAAAAATCAAAAAACTGAAAAAATTTACAAAACTGCTCTATTAAGTATATTACTACGTACCTCCCACACACCAGAATAACAAAGTAAGATCACATCTACGTATCTCGGATTAACAGAGCAATTACAGCATGCCACTTGATGTCAGTACCCCCAAAATACCCGAGTCTGTTTGTAAAAAAGTATTTTCGAATCCTACAGACCCATACAATGTAATAATGGCCAGTAAAAGGTGTTAAGTGCAACTACACACGTAAAAAGGAGGAAATGTGAGTCAGCCATCATTAGACCTTACTTTACCCTACCAAGACTTTATTTTACATTATAAGACCGCGGTTTACTGACCTCATGACCGTTTTGGCATCGAGTCTTTACAAAATTAATGTTCCGTCTCAAAACAAAAACTCATAACAAGTCATTTCGAATAATACAACCGCATTTAGTATGTATGTGTCCTTTGTGTGACACGGTATAAAACTTCATATAATGAACATTACCGGGCGAAGTTACTTAAAATTTCCACATAATTTAATGTTATCGTAGCTTTCGTTATCTTTTTTTTCCGAAATTTCACAAACCCAAGGCAACAAGATTCACTTTGACCGCATTTGAAATTCACAAAAGAAACAACAGAATCCGCAGCCTGCGTTCCGTCGGGCGCAGATCAAAAATAATATTATTTTATAAAATTGAGATTTTCGCGAAATTGAGAAAAAGAATAATGTAAGTGGAGCAGAATGAGTGGAATCACACACGTACCCAGTGATCTGACATTAACTTCGTTTCCTTTTGACTTGAAGGAGGATGAAACTGCAGAAACCGGGAATTCCAAGTCGTTTATGGGCTTTTTCAACCGACTGTTCACTGAAAACAACACTGAAGTTCCTTCATCTTCCCCTGCCTCACTACCGAGTATAGAAGAGTCTACTGCAACTGAAAGTACACCTTCTCAAGCTAGTCCAGTCTCAGGTATTTTCATTTTCCTTGTTTAATTTTTAGGTAACACTTCAAACACTAAATAAGAAAAAATGAAAAAGAGCCAATGGCTATTTAAATATTAGTTTGAAGGCTCCATTGAATCAAATTTTTGTAGATGCTTCTCAAACCCCAAGCAGTAGCAGAAAAGTGTCGAAGTTAACAAAATTGTTAAAACCTGGAGTTGATAAGGACTTGATCGACTACAATGGCAGCGTGTTTAAAACTTACTGGATGCCAGATTCTGCTGTACAAGAGTGCTATGAATGTCATGAAAGATTTACAACGTTTCGGCGAAAACATCATTGTCGATTTTGTGGCCAAATATTCTGTAGTAAATGTTGTAGTAGACAGGTTTCTGGAGAAGAACTAGGTTTGTCTGTTTTTGAACAAATACTGTTTAAAAAGTTTAAATTATTATGGGTTTATATTACAAATAACATTGGTTTTAGTTACCTAAAATTTTGTTCTAGATAATTTAAAACGTTTTTAGGTTATAGCGGCTTGTTGAGGTTGTGTACCTATTGTTTCGAACGAGTGGCTCTTCATTTTAGTAATCATGACAGGCAATCTAGGGCCCAAACACCAATTCAAAGTTCTCCAAGTATTAAAAGGAAGGTATCTAATACTGTGACACCGGTAGTAACAAATATCGCCAATGATAACATAGTCAATACTGACGACGACGTTCCAGATATTTTAAGTGGAGCTGGGAAGCCGGGTGTTCAAGGTAATTGGAACGTTGCGAATTTATTGTTTTAAATTTAGGGTTCATTTAAAAAATCTAAAATTTGTTATCTAAATTTATAAAAAAATACCAAAAATACTTTATAAACGCACTTTTCAGAAGTCCAACTGCCAGAATTCGACTCTTATTTGTCATCGTACGAGCCCCAAGCAGAAGAAAACGAACCAGATTGGGTCAAGAATCTCCGGACCAAAGATGATTCAGTAAGTACGGTATTCGCTCCGACTTCAGCTTCTGTTAATGCTCAAGTAGTGTCCGAGAAGCACGAGACTACACCATTTGAAGTTAAGACAAGATGGGACACTTTCCTGTGTGATCAGGACAGTCCACCATCGAATGCTCAGGTGTTCGAAGCCAAGACTAATGCTTTGTTGGATTACCTTTTTGAGTACGAACAGATCTCCAAAGACATCTGGAAGCCGTTACTGGTACCGTTGGCTCAGGAAATTGTAAATGCGGTCAATGTGGATACAACGAATCGACCAAAGTTGATCAACATACTGGACTACGTTCATATCAAGAAGCTTTGTGTCACCGGTGAACGCTCGGTTGAGGTGAGTTGAGATGTTTATTAGGTTGATTATGTTAATGTTGTCACCTTTTATTATTAATATTACCTTTACCTTTTTTATATAACTTTGAGTTATTTAGAAAGTGAACGGTGTTGTTTTTACTAAAGCTCTTCATCATCGTTCTATGGCAAGGTACGGCGAGAATGCCTCAGTTTTACTATTGGCTGGTAACATATCATACGAACGAGTTCTGGAGAAAATGTCATCACTAGAACCAATTCTGCAACAAGAAGTGGAGTACTTGAAGAATCAAGGTAGGTTTATTTTTAAGTATATTGTTAGATTCTGCTTCTCTTTTACAGTTAATAGTCATAATATTATGGGTTTCAATATATTAATATCATAAGGAGGTATATACAATATTATTTTTTTAGTTGAACGTATATCGTCGCGGAAAGTGAACCTAGTCTTTGTGGAACATAGCATCTCTACTTTGGCTGTAGATATGTTCTTAGAAGCTCAGATTGGAGTTTGTACTGGACTAAAGTCTTTGGTATTGGAGAGACTGTCAAGATGTACTGGAGCCGACATCATTAAGTCTCTGGACGCTCAGTTTCTGCAACCAAGGATCGGATTCTGTCCTCGGTTCTACGAAAGATCAATACGATTGGCTAATGGGAGCGAGAAACAACTTATTGTAAGCTTAACTAGTAGTTTTGTCATTTTATAAAATTACTGATTGCTGTTTAGGTATTTTATTAGTATTATAATTTTATATTATGAATTTCCTTATTCTAGGTATTGGACGAATGCGATGGCTCTCTAGGAGTATCGGTAGTTATCAGAGCAGAATCCAACCGCGAACTGAAGGGAGTCAAGAGGATTCTGAAGCTTCTGCTACAAGTATACTACTCCAACAAGTGTGAATTGGCCTTCCTCCAGCTGTTCAACTCTACAGGACCCTTGGCGACATCTTCTTGTGATGTTTGTGCTGCCAATCAAGCTGATGATTCTGACAGAAACGAAGATTCAGATTTTGGGGTAGCTTTGAATGAATGTCATCTCACGAATACACCACTGATTAGGATCGTAGCTCCGTATTTGGAACGGGAATCTGGCAAAAATTGTTTTTTGCTGGATTACATCAAAAAGGTGAGTATATATGATATTTTTTAGTCGATTTCAAAAACTTATCTTCAGTACTTTGTTAAGAGCTGCATTCTTTTGTGTCAAAGTAATTTAATGTCAACATCGCTTATTTTACTCAATTTTAGCCTCCTTTCCATTTCTATAAGAAATCAGAACTGATCGAAATGGCAGAAGCCGAAGTTGAGGTGGAGAAGAAGATCAAGAGGCTGGAAGAAGACATGAAAGAGAACAAGATAGCATTGGAGAAGAAGCATGTTCATTCTGTACTTAAAAGCACCAACATACGATCTTCTAATCTGGACTTGTCCGAATATAGGGTTAGGTCAGCCTTTTTGGCACGGCGACTGACTGAAGTCCAAAAGGAGATGGACGAGAAGAGGTATGTTATCATTAGTCTTCAAACAAAATCATATTTCAGCGCAGAACAAGAACATCTGCTTCTCAAACAGGCCTTCCACAAGTTCGAAAAGCCCGCTAGTCGAAACGTGGACGTACTCAATCCCTACAAACATCAACGTCGTGCTTTCTTGTACTGTGCTGAAGGTGTGGCCCGCCGATGGTTGAACTCTGGCTCGTTCTGTTCGGGACCATCAGTACTAGTTTGGAGGTTTTACAGTGGAGGGGAGGATCTGACACTCGGAAACTTCTTGAAGAGATTTTGTTTCAATGCTGAATACAAATGCAAAGAGTGTGACAAAGGGATGGTGGACCACTTTAGGAAGGTGATACATCACAATTCGTGTATCGAGATAACGACTCAAGTGATTGGCCCAAAAAGCTCCTTGGCAGAGTACTGTAATACGGACGAGATCAACGAATTCGACAAACAGATTCTGATTGCGTGGAGATTGTGCTCCAAATGTAACGCCAAAACCAAGGTGAGTAGTAGTAGAAGTGATTTTTAAACCAAGCACTTTAATTATGATTGTCAAACTTGATGTTGTCAATAGTAATGAATAAGGTTATATAAAAATATGATTAGGTATGGCCAGTGAACGAACTTGTCCAGAACCTGAGTTTCGCCAAGTTCATCGACTACCTCTCGAATGCCGTGAACTGGATCTCCGAGACTGAAAAAGAGTGTAAACACTGTACCTTCCATGAGTCCAAACACTTCTTTGCATCGAATGGCATGGTTACCATGTTCTCTGTGTCTACAGTAAACCCCCTCCACGTTCTGTTCGCTCCAATGATTTGTGAAACAAAGCCCAGGCTGGTGCCTTCTAGGAGTTTGGTCACCGAATTCAACGAACTTTCTCGGCTGGGACAAGAAGTCTTCAAACACGTTACTGAATCGTGTACTGAGAATCTGTGTCTGAGTTATGTTAAGCAGCTGGAAAACTACTTAAAGTATGTTTTTTGGTGATTTTATTGGTAGAAAGGAGTACATCTGAACAGCAATATGATACTTTTATTGAGATTTGTACTTTTAATTTTGTTGGCAATAGTCTAATATAATGCGTTGCTAGTACTCTCAAAGAAGCATTCGACGAAGACGGCTCTATCCAGACGTCAAGTGAAGTTTACACAGACAATCCTATCGTTGTTAAGGTAAATCTTTGTCATGACTTTGAAAAATATTTACTTAACATTTCATCATAAGTTTACGTAAGCTAATATTTTTAGTCTGAAGGTAAGCTGATCCTGATAAAACATTTTTTGAACGCCGTGATCGAGGAATGGAACGACCGACGAGGCCAACAAACTACAGTAATCGAGCTGGATCCAATGGCCAAACTCAAGAATTTGTGTGCCAAATTCAATCTCTCATTGACGGTGACAGAAGACAAGGAAGACTTCTCTCGTCTCGATACCCAAACTCTCATCAGAAGCCGAGATTCAGAGCCCAAGGACATTAGCAAGAGTCAGAGTGTCCAGTTCCCAAATCCATTCGAAAAAGAGTACCACCTTGAACTACCCATCCACAAGTCGGTTACTCCGGTCGTGGTCAGAGACTCTCCTGATGGAAAGGCTGACATCGGATCGGTAAGTTGTAATTTTGAAATTTCATTTTTATGTCATGTAGAATGGATGTTTTCATTGTTACGTGTTATTATTTTGTATCAAAGATCTGCAATGTATTGTTATAGATGATAGCCTTTGCACTGTCTTCACGAGATTACCACGACAAAAAGAAAATGTTGTCCACCAAATCTCTTCGTCCACAGTCAAGAAACCCATCGACTAGTTCGTTCAGTAGCTGGTCCAATTTGAGTAATACTGCCGTTTTCCCTCAGATTCCTCAACAAGCAATACCTTCTCCTAAACTGGAAGCCATTCCTGTGGATGATCCGACATCTACTGCAGTTGAAGTGGAGTTTTCCGATACAAAAGCACACTACTATGTAAAGGTAGGGGATTCGGCTAATTCAGAGATTTATGGTGTTAAAAGTTCAGAAAAATCATTATAAAAATAGATTCCTAGGCAAAAAATGAGTTCACAGCTACTAATACACGTTTAATCTTTTAGGTATACTTTGCGGAAAGCTTCCAAAACCTGAGGGAAAAACTATTTCCTGCCAATGAAAACGCGTTTATCCGTTCGATATCAAAATCAGAAGGCTGGTCCCCTCAAGGAGGCAAGTCTGGAGCGTCCTTCTACAGAACCAAAGACGAGAGGTTCGTATTCAAACAAATGTCATACGTCGAAATGGAATCCTTTAAGAAGTGTGCTCCCAAGTACTTTGAGTACATCAACAAGTCTTTGAATGAAAAGAAGCTGACAGCGCTTTGCAAGGTATGTCATCACTAATCAACGAATAAAAGTGTTGTCAGTGTAGTATATAATGTAACCATTACTGTATTTTTTAGATTTACGGTGTATTCCGAGTAGGCTACACATCCAAGAAAGGTGGACAACTGAAGATGGACCTCCTCGTCATGGAATACCTATTTTATGACAAAAAAGTGAAACAAATGTGGGATCTAAAGGGATCACTCAGAAACAGATGTGCTTCTACCAAGACTGACATGCCCGTCTTGTTGGACGAGAATCTTGTGTCAGATCTGTGGGGTAATCAACTTTATGTCCACCACCATTCCAAGGTTGCCCTTAAGCAGGCGATTACTAATGACAGTCACTTCTTGAGCAACCAGGTTGGTCATTGTAACTAATGTAACTTTAAATATTTGAAAATGCTTTTAACGCCAAAACTAAAAAATTATCATCTCTTCGATTGATAACAAAAATCGACCATTTCAGGGTATCATGGACTACAGTTTACTAGCCGGCATCTGCGAAGATACGAACGAAGTTGTGGTTGGAATCGTCGACTATATGAGGACATACACCTTGGACAAGAAGGTGGAAAGTTTTGTCAAAACTGCCCTCCCCAATACTCATCTTCCTACCGTAATCAGCCCCGAAAACTACTGTAAACGGTTCTGTGATGCAATAGACTGTTACTTTGCAATGGCTCCAGATCAATGGACATGCCTCGACTCAACGGTTACTTAGCTTTTGTATATTGTCACTGCCATTCCTTTTGTTTATCTTCTACCTTTATTTTGTGTAGTAATACACCTTTTTATTATTAGCCACAATATCCAAGTTTAAAATTCAAGATTTAAATAGCTTTTTGAGTTTTAATCTTTAAATTTAGTGTGATAAGTTATATTTTCAAAGTTTTCGTGTCAATATTTATATCTCTAGTCACTTTTCACATATCACATTATATAAAATTAGTAAATTGTCGGGAATGTACAGGTATGTTAAGATATGCAACATATTTGTTGTTCTTCTCTTTGGGGCGGGTTTCTGCGGCGTATCATTCTATAATTTGCGAGCTGATTTAAAATCCAATTAATTTTAATAAATTTGATATATAAATGGGTAACAGTTTCAAATACTTGCTTTTTGATTTATAGTTTGATATAAATTTACCTTGAATTTAGTAAAAATAACCCACCTGTTCTCTTGCTCCTGTAACTGCCTTGCTAACTCGTAGTCCAAATCATGGTTGTTAACTGGAGACCGTGGATCGGAATTCCCTTCACAATCATGGTCGTCCCCATGCCGATGCCTCACACAAAAGTTGTTTCTACAATCAGGGCATGTGAACTGCACCACTTCCCTCTTCTTGCACCCTTTCTTTGTACAACGATGTTGATAAGTCCGTTTCTTCTGAGCTGGATCTGATTTACAATCATTGTCAATATGCTGTCCCACCACCATATCAGCTGACTCATTCTTTCCCACTGGTACAGGTTGCTGACATAACGGACAGACTGGCACTCGGACATCTTTTATCCCACATTCATGTTGATCACACTTGAAGTGCTCGATACTAAACACAAAGAATGACTAAAAAAGTTAACTTACCAAAATTCCTTGTCACATTTGTAACATTTGAATGGCAAAAAGTCTTAAAAAAAGTATATTATTGAAAATTCTAAAACATTTGAATTAAAAAACCATTTTTTCACATAAATTTAATTAAATATCAGCAGATTACTCATTATAAGTTTTAAATTTACATACCTAAAAGATTACAGCTTGATATAGCACAATGGCTACCCAGATTCGGAAATTCAGCCATGATGTAAAACGAAAAGAAATCAATGGAAATTCATGACAAATTTCGTGAAATGAAATATATCACGAAGCCACACTTTTAGCGCGCTTGGTTTTCGTGGTGGGACTAAAATAAAATAAATAAAGAAAATGTTGTTGGCAACGAAACTGTTTTCAATAAGATGGACATTACAGACTGTCCGCCGTCTAATTGAATTGTAGTTTCTGTCGGAGAGTTGTGTACACAATATTAATTTTAGTTATATCTGTTCTTGTTATTTAAACATTTTTGAAAGTTTTTGAAATTGCGGATTATTTTAATTTACGTGTCAGCGAGATGTGATATAGATCTGTCGGAATCGTGAAGAATTCGTGTTTCAGATTCCTTGAAGATACTCTACTGAACGTAGAAGGACCGTGTGAATCGAAGGAATCGTATGGCCGACATTGATGGCTCGTTTGTTTCGGTTAAATTGTGGTCGAGGTAAGTGATTGTTTGTTATATTTTTGTGTTTTTAGGTTACAGACAATTGATATTGTTGTATGTTTAGGAGGGAATCAAGACTATGGACGATAAACTTTTTTATGGGGACATGTGCATTATATGCGAGTCGAGTGGCGTTACCTATTTGTGCCTCTGTGATGGCACAAGAATACGGATGGAACAAAACAGACTCGGTAGGTCTTATGATAATATATGTTAATTATGCATTTATGTGTTTTAAATGAGGTCTTTGATTTAACGAATTGATTAACGATAACTAACATCTAGCATAGATATAGCATAGATAACAACTTATACACTTACAAAGAAAATTCAAATATGTGGTTGATTGGGTACATAATATTGCTGAGTATAAAAAGGATAAATTTTAGGGTACAATAATGTCGTGTTTCTTCTGGGGTTACACGATAACACAGATCATAGCCGGTAATATTGCTGATAAATATGGTGGAGAGAGGATTCTAAGTCCAACTACATTATCATGGGCTTTGTTGACATTGCTAACACCTCAGCTGTTCGATTTTGCATATTGGACTAATTCACCTTTATTCTTTTTGTTGGCAGTCAGAGTGGCTACAGGAATAGGTCAAGGCTTTCATCTACCAAGTATGGCTAGCATCGTATCTCGGCATCTGACAGCGGCAGACAAGGGACGGGTGTTTGGCATTTGCCTGGCTGGATCCCATTTTGGGTAAGTTTTTTTATCTATTAGGATGTTATAAGTAATTTTGTTATCTATGCGTTGTTTAAAAGGATGATTTATTTAATGACTGTTGATATTGTTTAGGTCAGTAGTCGCTGGCGGATTTGGGTCGATTTTACTGGACTGGTTTGGATGGAGAAGTCTTTTTCAGTTTGTCGGTAAGGTATTTGTGGTGTTTTTGACAGGGTTTTTATTACATATTTAAAAAAATATTATTGTTGATTAAAATAAAATGTTTCAGGCATATTGAGCATAGTATGGTGGGCTTTCTTCAAATGGTTGAGTGACAAGTCAGTGCGTGGACTAGAGAAGAGAAGCATGAAATCGAAGAATTCAGAAGAGTCTTTGCTGCCTTTGGACAGTTTGAAGAAGAAGGCAGATCAAGGTGTGCCTTGGAAGACATTGTTCTCTCATCCATCGTTCTGGTGAGTCAATTAATAACAATGCCTATCTTTGTTTACTTACAGTAACTTTATGTTTCATTTTCACAGCTATTTTTAGTTGTTTTCAAACATGGATTCACATTTCTGCTCTAATTGTTGTTATTATTGTATTTGACGATGTTTTGTTATATTATAGTATTTTTGAGATGATTTTGCCGTTTGTTTTATTTGCTGTTATAATTTTATTGTTTTTTAGGGCCGCATCAGTTGCTCAGTACTGTGGAGCTAATGCTTACTTTACAATGTTTAGTTGGTTACCATCGTATTTTAGCGATAACTTCCCTACGGCTAAAGTAAGTCTTTTTGACTCTATATATGTATTTTTGTTGTGGTATTGAGTTTTTTCTTTGTTAACACGATATTATTCTTTTTTAGGGTATTATCTACAATGTGGTACCTTATCTAGCAATAGTATTTACCTCGTTGGCCGCTCCTTTCATTGCGAGCCGGTTGTTGAGTAGTGGGAAGAGTATAACGTTCACGAGAAGATTTATGGAGGGTTGTTCACTATCACTAACAGCTCTATGTCTACTGACAGTGTCCTTCTCGGGCTCTTTCTACTGGTCGTTGATTGTATTCACATTGGCGATGGCTTCTCGAGGACTACATCACGGTGGAGTTTCTGTGAATCCACACGACTTTGCTCCAAATCACACGGGAGCTGTGTTCGGTGAGTTTCTATAATAATATAATAGATATGTAAGCAGTTCGGTGAGTTTGATTTAATATTTATTGTTTCTATAATATTTAATGATCGTAGTTTGAGTTACTGGAAGTTGTGGCTAGTATAAGGAACTTACTTGGGCATGTATATTATGCAGATTCATATTATATGAGTCAGGGATGTTAATAGTTAATATACGTATGTATATCTTTGACGTTATATTGAATTAGAGATAGATACAGTCGCTTTTTGATGTAATTTGACTTATGGGATGTTATTTTAGTTATAAACACTTAAATAGGGCAGTTCTTGATGCTATATTAACCTTGTTGACATCCTCCCACAACTCAATAGGATATGAACTGGCTTTCTGTCAGTTTATGTTTTATTTTAGTAGCTCATATGTTAGTTTGTTTACGAGGATATTGACTTACATTTTATATTTACTCACTTGGCGTCATGATATGAACTTAACTGTTGGCATTTTTGATTAAGTTTATTGATGCCGCCTTCATATTAACTCAATATTGGGACCTTTTGATGTAATACCAACTTAAAGTGGCAGTTTCTGATATAATTTATCTTGCTTTCAGGCATCTTCAATGCCTTCTCGGCCGTAACCGGCTTTATCGGTGTTTACGTAGCCGGCTGGATCCTGCAAGTGACCAGCAATAATTGGACCTACGTGTTTGTGATAACATCAGCGCAATGCTTATTTGGCGCAGTCGTGTTCTGTCTGCTGGGCACGGGGAATAAGATAATTTGAATGAACGGGTCCTTGTTATTCGGTAGTGTAATATAATAAGTTGGGTGTGATTCACGGTGCCTTGTTTGTTTCTTTCCTCTAACTTCTTGGCCAAGTTTCGTATCTTGGCCAAGAAGTTGTTTTCACAATAATGTCTTGGAAGTGTCTTGATAAAAGTTTGTATATTACCAGAGGATGATGGTATTTATTATTAAGATGAATTTATATATTGTCATCATATATCGTTATTGTCATGATAACCGAGTAGTGATCTCTTACCGTAATTCCTAGTGTCATCCTTGAACAATGGCCTAAACTCTACATTAGACGATATCTGCGTGTGACTTGATATATACAGTTATATAAATCTGCTTGTTGTGCATTACAGTTGTTCAAGACATAATGTGCCTTTTCTTCTACACGCAATACTAACTCTGGTTGTGATATCTAATTACCTGTGTTTATTCCATTAAAATGTCTTTGTTTTTTACTGTTTTGGTCGAAAAGTATGTAGAAACTAGCTTATAATTGGTATTTATCTTTTTTTTGCTAATTTTTCGTTGTTGTTTTATAGCTGATTATATTATAATAGGTTTCTTAAACTATATTATAGTAGGTGTAAATTTATTAAAGTCCCAGTTTTTTCTCCGAATTCTTAAAAAAAGTTGTAAAAATTGTAAGACAACTCGGAACTGCTACAATTCAGCATTTTGTAGTGCCAATTACCGCCTGTGATATGTCTATTCGTACGCCGTAACTGTGTGTTGTTCGCTATATATAATATGAACATGATTTATTTATTAATAAAAGCTAATTTTATTGTGACGATGGCAGGTGCAAATGCCAACAAAACGCGCGTCTTTACACCTCGAGGCGAGATTCGGGAGGGTGGTTTACTTTCGAAGGCAGGGCACTAGGTGGCCTACATTCAGATACGGCCGAGGGTGGTTGAAAGTTAGTCGAATATTGAGTATGGTTTATAGTTCGGGGCTTTGAGGGGTTTTTTTTGTTAAGAACACTATTTGTAGCTGTTGTTATTTCTTTTTATGCCTTGTTTAACACGGTTGACATAAGAAAACAGGGATGATTACACTTTTATTGTTAGATTGTACTCTCCGAAGGAAGATGGGTACGTAAGAAAACAGTAGAGGGTAGTTCAATTCTGCACCGCCGTCCTCGACGGGCCTATTCTAATATCGAACCCGAGCAAACAGAGGACAATCACTTCCCAAACCTTATTTATCTTTTGTTTGTTCGGGGGGCTCTGAGGCCCCGCCCTTCCCAACCCCATCCTCACCTTCCCCTCTTCGCGTTTAAGCCCTGCCCTTCGATTCCGCCCTGCCCTCGGATTGCGCCCTTTGACCCTGCGGCATGTTGTTTTAATTATGCGATTTCAGCAATGGTTTGTGTCCTTAAGGTCGGGCTCGAGTTTCAATAAGGCTCTATTTAAGGCATGAGTGAATGAGGTCTTTTTGGTATTTGCCTATTATAATTTGACATTTGGTTTGTTGTGGCAATCCGGAAGGTTCGCTGGAGACTTCTAGTGGCGTGGTGCATGTGTGTGCCCTAAAGGCTTACGTATTTGGAAGAAGTAGTTGTTTGTATTTTGTACTTACTACTACGTACTTGGCTTATTTTCAATATTGGCAGCTATAATACAAGGTTTTTATTTCTACCATACGCTCGATATCTTTATTTAAACTTCTACTATGGGTGAAGTTCCGGAAGAGCACGTTTCACCGTTCGAATTCTATTTTTATCTTCTGAACGGATGCCTGGGCATGGTGATGAACAGTGCTGTCTTGTTCTTGGCCTTCAAGTACGTGGACACCAGGGACAAACCCCGTCAAGTAAGTAATGAAATTACTTTTTCAATCAAGGTTATTGCTCTAATTGCAAGTAACCTTATTTCTATTATTTTGCAAATTTGACATAACAACCTCGTTTTGTAGGAAAAGTTGAGTACACGTGGGTATACACTTAGTATTAAATGGTATTATACATTTTAACATTTATGTTAATATCAATATTTACTACAAAATTCAAATTGTTTTAATTAATTTGAATGTTTTTAAGTTTAGTTCTGAAATGATTTATGTTTGTTGAAGGAATCGTGGGATTCTTATCTTTTTATGTAAGCGGAGCTACTATTATTAGAAATTTGTTATTTACAATTAGCAACTGTACTATCAAGCCTTATCATTAGTTGAAAAAGACGAAATTTGTAAAAATCAACAAAATATAGTGATTTAGACTTAAGACTTTATGCTTTTACAATTTACAAGTTGAAAAAGTAAAAAAAAAGTTGTAAAAGTTAAGATATCAATGTGTGAGGTACCTATTTTATCAGTTTTATAAGGGAAATAAGTCAAAATTAAATAGGAAAGTGAAAAATATATATAGAAAAAGCTACAAATGGAGCAATATTTTGGCAATTCCACTTACTTTTTGTCCAAAAACTAAATTTTGTTACCTAAAAATACAAGCCAACTTTAAACAGCCTAGTTGTTTACAGATTCTGGTGATGAACATGACCTTGGCCGACCTTCTCACATGCACAATATACATGCTGACACGGCCGTACTTGAATAGGTTCGACGAGATGTTGTGTTACCCCTATTACATCGTGATATTCACCTCACAACTGGCTAGCTGTGTGTTTTTGTTGTGTATAAACCTGGACAAGTTTATCTTCATTGTGTATCCTCTACATTACTATGAGATGGTCACTCGGAAGCGGGTTCTGATAGTTATGATAGGCATCTGGATGACATTGTTCAACTTGGGGGCTTTGGCTTACAGTCAGCTACAGATTGTGGTAGGTTTGGATATTATACTATGTTAAAGGATTGTGATGCTTATTGGTTTTTTACATTTATCATGAATATGTTGTTTCAGAGTCCGTGTAACGCCGTCCAAATCAACCCGTATGTTTACTTGACCATCATAGTAATATACGTCCTTGTCATTACCAGTAGTTTTGTCATATCCTCCATTATTTACTACATTGCCAGGAATTCTCAACGTCGAGATGCCACTTACAGTAACGTAAGTTTGTACTGTTTATGTAATATAGTGCATGAAATACTACATAACATAGCATAGTACATAACACTTAACTTACAACGAAAAGCTTATTTACACTATAGCTGTTATGTGTTTACAATATGTTTACGTATATGTTAAAGAAGCCTATGTGTATTTTTTTTACTAGAGAGTAAAAATCCATATATAGTATAAGACATAACATTTACAACCGAAACCTGTATGCATAGCCTTAGGAATCCCTTGTATATTTACAACAGGCAAACGTATATCTACAAGAAGAATGTATGTCTACAACAAAAAACATATATGAGCGTTTATATATCACAAGCAGACATGAGTGTGACATACGTTTGTGTTTACTTTCATCGAAACGGCCCTAAAATTTGAATTTAAACCCCTTTTAAAGGATTTCAAATCTTTAAAACGTCTGAACAGGGTTTTAAAATGTTGGCTATGTCAAAAAAAAGTTTAAAAAACAAAAAATGATAGTGGATTTGATACATTCAGTGACTAAAAAATATTAATTTAGGTCTTTTTAACAGAGGAAGAGGTTAGTAGGGTATTTCTACAAACTTTTTGACCCTAGTTTCTTGACCGCGTGAGCTATTTAAACACAAAAAACATACGAAATCAAACATTGTGACATTGTTTTGACTGTTAATTACACTTGTTTTGGCTTCAGATTACATTAACAGTGAGATGTGATGTTTTTGAAGCATCATTAGTTAAGCCAAGATAGAACTGGTGTTCAACCAATTTCTTTATGTACTTTTAAAAACTCATGTTTTAGTGCTGAAGACTTATGTATAGTACTATTTTTATCAATAAATTAAGCTTTCGGTCAAAAATTACCTAGAAAATCAATTTTGACGTAAAACAATATTCCAAAGACTTTTTGACCAAAATTTTTGAAAATTTTTTTTTCAAGGCGTTTTATTATTAACTAACACATTACTATACAAAATATCTTTCTTTACACCAAAAGTCTAAATATAAACGTATCGTATGTTTGGCTAGCTGACAATGATACGTCGTATGTTTGTTGTGCGATTATAAACTACTCAGTAAAGTCAGAAATTCCCAGGAATTAACGATCTGATAGTACACAAAACATCTGTGCATAACCGAGTACTTAACCCAAACATCATCGTACTTTACGTATGCACGTTACTCAGTAAAACGTTATAAATAATGCATCGTACACGGGTTGGAGCTTGATTTACATAACTCTGATTAAAAACACATTTTCATAACTTCCACATACTTTTTCACCAAAAAATATTATAATAACAAAACAATGCAGTAAGAAACATATAGATACAGCAGGAAAAGTACAGTAAAACAAATACCAAAGTAATGTAACTACCTATTACAATATCACTACTTTCAGAAGGCCTTCAAACGTCTGTTCTTTGTCTTCAGTAGCACGTTGTGGACCTTCTGTACTTGTCTACCGTACCGTGTGTGTTTCCTTATTAGTGCCATTCTGATACCGTGCAGTCGTACTACAGACAGTGAGGAATCTGTATTCTGCACACTGACGGCCGTCTTCTTCTACATGATTGTAGTCGGCATCGTATTCAACGCGCTGATTACTGTAGTCACCCAACGAGTGTATCGACAGCATGTGATTAAGTTGTTGCCGTTCCTAACTACAATCGGGAAGTCGGCGGATTCTCGGATGGTGAGATTCAGAAGGCCGAGCCAGCCGTTAATGAAGTCAGAAGCGGACAAGTTGACTGGTAGTAGTGGAATGCAGTAACTTGAGTATGGAAACGTTCATTGTACTTAAACCAATGTCTGTTAGGTTTCTATTTTACTGTGTTATGACTTATGCCTACAGAATTGAATTCTGAATCCTAAAAGTCCTCAAACTTCAACCAATTGCACGATATTACTATTTATTGTCAAACAATGCGACACTATTAATGGATCTATAACTTATACTCATCAAATTATCAATTCAGTACCAATCATAAGATTGCACCAACAAACGGGTAGCTGACACTCAAGTACAACTTAGTTTGTCACCTTTACATTACTCTGATGGCTGACATGTTGTCTCTGGGTATGTCGGCCAATGTGTCCTCGTATCTTTTTATTGTTTCAATGTGTTCGCAGTAATAAAACTTTTATCTTCCGATCTATTATTTCGTATTTTACGTGATTTTCAAAATAAAAACTTGATTTTCTATGAACTTTTCGACCGAAATTCAATTTTAATTTGACAATGTAATTACATTTACAATTACTTTAGTGTAAAGTTGTGCAGTTATTTACTTTCCAAGGTCTGACGTTGTTACTAAGGTTATATTACACTTTTATGACACGGTATTTGCAAATACGCAGATTTACACTGTAACATGTTATAGTATTTGCAAATGTAGTTACATTTGTAGCCTAATTATTAGTTTATCTTAGGTTTTTTCAAATAAAGTGGCAGTAAACTGAATATTTTAAATATTTACAATTTTATGGTAAAAGTACAGTCAAAAACATTCTAATATATTATCTAATATATTACCTAAAATTACAATTTTTTAGAGTAAAATAGTTTAGTATAGTAAACTAACACTTCAAACCATCTTTAACCCTATTTTTAGTGAATTGTTTGTTTAGTATAACATAATATTTGTTAAGTAAATATTATTAGACGCCTAATGTAATATTCTCAAAAGATAAATGTAATTCAATACGTAGTTTGCCTATGACAGTTATTTAAAAATACGATCTGCAAAATGATAGGAATTTGATATGAATACAATGACAAGAGTAAGATAGTTCGGTTAGTAATACCACAGCCATAGGTATGTAAAAAAGATTGCGATATTGTAGTACCCTTATCCCAGCAGTCGCACTTTAACCCTCATACCACTTGTGACAATAGAGTAATCGAATCGTAAACATCCCTCTAATTACATACACGATATTAACATAGCCAACCTGTCCGCTTAACGCCGAAAAGAAGACGAGGCCGACTACACTTGCACACATATATACACATACCACTACTACACCCACACATAGCGTGCTATACATACTCCCGATGGAAATTGCCATAATAATTTAATCCGTTCGAAGGCTTTTGTGGCCATACCTTTTCCATCCACAATTATGTTTTTGTCACCCGAACAGTTTGTCCGCCTCACCGAGTATGCCTCCTGTAAGTTGGTGGTCGTATCTTGAGGGCAAGTTGGTAAAGGTTGTCTTTTGGGATGGAGAGATGATTGAAGTGGCAGTTTCTGAGATTTAAGCATTTAAAAATGGCATTTTTCAGCCTTTAAAAGTTTAAAATTCAATTTTTTTAACTTTCGAAATTCGAAAATAATGCCAGTTTTATACATTTATAAAAGAGAAAGGCTAATTTTTAGAGGTATAGTACATATATCAGTGTAGACATGCAGATACATTGATATATATAGTATTATACTAAGGTATTCATAATAGATTAGCCACTGATTACATTGCCATTTCAGATTCCAGCCACAAACTGGTTGATATGTTGCCAGAGTTTCAACCAGATGGAATGTTCTTCAAGTACCTGTCAGATGACCTACAGGTAAGTAAAGACTGTCATGTATATCTTTGTTTAGACCATCGACTTTACCGGCTTTGTCCAATTCATCAACTGTTACTTTGGGGCCGAGTTGCCATTGGACCTTACTCAACAGTTCTTTCTGTCATTCGTACAAGGTGGAGAACAAAGTAAGGCTTACAGATCTACTTGTATTATTCAAATCAAGGTTTAGTGTGTTTACAGAGTTGTAAATATTGCATATTACTTTTCTAAATAACAATACCGATAAGAAATTACTGTAACATTGCTTTTCGTGAAGTCTTATGTTTCAGAAGCGCCCCCACAAACATTCAGAAGACCGTCCTTTATGACTCACAAGCTCAGTAGTGTAGCCAGTCCATCTACCTCGGCCAATCGCAAGAAATCGACCATGCAGCCTCAGAACAATGTTGTAAGCTTAATTATGTCATACTGTAACATGTTATTTTCGTAAATAATTCGTTTAATCACATCCTGATAACATAGTAATCTATTATATTATAGTATTGCGTGAAAACTATATAATATTGTAGCATAACGTGACAAAAACCACATCAAACGTTTTCAAAATCTTTTTGCTAAAGCTACAGTTTCTTACTGTATAAAACCACCTATACCAACCATCTTCACCATGCTTTTCAGTTCAACATAGACGCGAACAAACGAGTACCTCTGAAGCCGTTGGTATGCTACCTCTCCCTACTGGAAGGTGCTCCACCCGAAGACAAGCTCGAGTTCGTATTCCACGTTTACGACTCTGACGACAACGGTTTCCTCGACAATAAGGTGGGTAATTACAAACATACCACGCACTGTAATTACATATTACTTTAGGAGATGGAGGGCATAATCGAGCAGATGATGAACGTGGCCAGATACCAGCAATGGGATACGATAGAGTTGGAAGGAGTAAGTCGGCCTGTTCTCAAACCATGGGTTTAGATTCTGCGCCAAATGATGCAAGAGATTGACTACGACAACGATGGCATCGTATCTTTGGAAGGTGAGGTGTTGGTGTAGGTTACTGTCAATGTAAAGTGGATTGTTATCATTAGTTCATTGATAGTGCATTACTTTATTTTACTTTTTACTTAATGTATAATATGTTGTTGTTATCGACGTTATCGTATGTTATGTTACTGTAGTACAATCAAAAACATATTAACATTCCTTTTACCTTTCAAATTAAAAACGTCATATTAAAGTAAAAAGACATTGTCAACCTATATAAACTATATTCCATAAACTTTTTGACCAAGCATATTAACCATGACCTGCGTTCCAGAATGGAAGCGCGGCGGCCTAACCACGATCCCCTTGCTTGTGCTACTGGGCATTGACACGGTAAGCCCCCGATGACGTCAAACCAGTTTCGGCTTTTTTGGGCGAACGTCGATGGAACAGTCGAGAGAACGTTCGCCCAACGAACCAAGACACTGGTCTGATTGGGTTTGCGCAATTAATTGATTTAGGAAATGAAAGAAGATGGCTGCCACATCTGGAGACTCCGCCACTTCAGCAAGCCCACGTACTGTAACGTGTGCATGAACGTGCTCGTCGGATGGGGCGGCAAGCAGGGATTGGCCTGTTCTCGTATGTTGTTTATGATATTATTCATTAAGGAGTTTTAGAAGGGTTTAAAGGTTGTTCTGAGTTATTTTTTGATAAAGTTGTTAAGTGTTAAACAAAAAACATCGCTAATTCAAATTAACGAGTAATCGAGAGTGTAAAATTGACAAAAAACAACGACAGACAATCAAAAAAGGTTTAAAACAATTTTTAAGGTCAATTGTCGCTATTTTTCAATTTTTAAAAATAAAAAAAAGCAAATTACTGTTTTAAAAGTTTTGAAATTTAAGTATGCAAATACACAGTACACGAAAGATGTGTACGATCAGCTCAAAACTCATGTATCCACACCTACAACCCAAACCCGTCCAAAGAACAGATCATGGCCCACCATTGGATCGACTCGAACAGCGCGGCCAAATGTGTGAAGTGCAAAAGTACAGTATCCATTTTTCAAGGGAAGCGTTGCAGATGGTGCAAAAATGTAGTAGGTATTGCTATTAAACAGGTCTAAAATTTAAATTTTGGTTTCATTTTGAAACGGCCAGTAAAATATACCGTCGATCAAAAAATATTTCAATTCTCATATTTACTAATGACTAGTACAACATATAATTATTCCTTTAGCTCCACACAAAATGCATCGACCAATGGCCAAAAGAATGTGACTTTGGAGTTCTATCGTATCACGTCCTACCTCCTGTCAATATCATCCCCACTTTCCTCGACCGGTCGCAACAACAACATGCAGGTAATCTACTTCAACTGACTGCACCAAAAGGTAACAAACGCCCTTTATTGGTACTAATCAACCCGAAAAGTGGCGGAAGACAAGGCGAACGAATCTACCGTAAACTACAGTATCTCCTCAACCCAAGACAAGTCTACGATCTGTGCAAAGATGGTCCTGAAGTGGGGTAAGAGCTATACAGTATCATGATGTCATATTCATGTAAAAGCGGTGACATATGTCATCTTGCAAGAGTAATTAGTCAGTAATTAACATGTTGCCTGAAGACAAATTACAAGTTATTGTGGTTTCCAGAGTTACTGCCTATTCAAGAACTAATTACTACAGTAAAATCTAGCAGAAAAAGTTACAGAATGTAACATATAACTATATTAAGCGATATGACCATGTATACTATCAGTAGTATTCTAATTCCGTGAATATTTCAGATTAAACCTGTTCAAGTCGATTAAAAATGTAAATATATTAGTCTGTGGAGGCGATGGTACTGTCGGTTGGGTACTAGAGAAGATGGGTAAGTGAACAACATTATATTTTCAAAGATTGCATATACATAACTTAAAAATAAGAAGACAATGATTCAACCTCTTAATTTGAAAATTTAGACAAGATTGACTACGGAGAGAATCGACCCCCAGTAGCCGTTCTACCTTTGGGCACAGGAAACGACCTAGCCAGATGTTTGAAATGGGGAGGTGGCTACGAGAATGAGCCGCTCCTCAAGATTCTACAAAGCATAGAAAAGTCTACACAGGTAATAAATCAAATGTGATTAGGTGCTCCTAATTTAAATAAAATGGTTATTAATTGTCATCATACCTTTTTTATTAAAATGAGTTGTCATAATGTCCCCGCTATGTCATTGCCAACATATCAAACACAAACTGATCATTTGAAATCCTTATTTAATCTTCATAATAACACCACCAATTCCAGGTCCTGATGGATCGTTGGCAGATCACGATCGAACAAACCAAGAAATGCGAGAAAGGAGACCCTCAGCCATATCATATCATCAACAACTACTTTTCGATAGGAGTTGTAAGTACTTGAATACGATTTGTACTGTTTAGGATATCTTCATAACTACAAGTTTGCATGACACAAAAGATTTTTATTATTACACTGTACTGTTTAGGACGCCTCAATTGCTCACAGATTCCACGTAATGCGGGAAAAGTACCCGGAGAAGTTCAATAGTAGGATGAGAAACAAGTTGTGGTACTTTGAGTTGGGTACCAGTGAAACCTTGTCCAGTACGTGCAAGAAACTGCACGAACAAATTGACATTCTGGTGAGGTTTTGGAAGTTTAAACTCATGTTAATCTTAAAATCGAGTCTCAACACCTTGTTTTAGTGCGACGGAGAAACGATTGATCTCGGCAACGGCCCCAATCTAGAAGGAATCGCCTTGCTCAACATAGCCTCCATATACGGCGGTAGTAACATATGGGGCAACAGTAGGAAACCCTCGAATTGGCATATCCCCTTCTTGTTCCCCAAGATTGTAAACAGCTCGACCCAACTTCAGAACCGAGTTCAGGACATTGGCGACAAGCTGGTCGAGGTGGCTGGCCTCGAATCCGCCATTCAGATGGGTCAGATCAAAGCGGGTGTGAGGGGCGCGGCCAGACGGCTGGCACAGTGTTCTACCGTAGTCATACAGTAAGAGACTTTTGATTTCAAACAATTCAAGACATTTAAAATATTGTCTACCACTTATAAATAAACTTACAGGACTCACAAACCCTTTCCTATGCAAATTGACGGTGAACCGTGGATGCAGCCTCCTTGTATCATCCAAATCATACACAAAAATCAAGTTCCAATGCTTGTTGGGACTTCTGGTAGGTCTTTTGCTCTTACTACATTCTGTAAACCACATAAATTAAACGTTTTTAAAAATATTTTGGTCAAAAGTACAAAGAACCTGCATAAAAAAGGTAACGATTATATCCACTTTTTAACAAAAATAATTTGTTCTATATTTCCTTAAAAATAGGTGACTATAAACATATTAAAGTAACATTTTTAGGTAAACGGAAAAAGAGCTCGTGGAATATATTAAAACGACAACCGACGGATGACACATAATCTAATAAGCCTAAATAAATGAAATTTATTTTCCTATTATTGATAACAAAAAACAACTATTAAAGTTGCAAATGACAATGATTTTTGAAAATCTGGGATAAACACCATAAAACTGTAAAAGTTTGGTCGAAATTCTTGATTCTTTGACTATATAAACATTGAGTTTGATATTGTTAATACATTAACTTTACCTACTGCCACAAAAATCGTAAATTTCATCAAAATATACAATAAAATCATGTCACTTGCCAACCAACAAAAAAGTTAAGCAGTAGCCGTCGCTTGCTCGTCTTCGCTCTCACTAATATTGTCATGGATCTGTTGTACTTCATCTACCTCATCCATATATTCGTAGAACTTGTTTATCGTGTCCATGTCTTGTTCGGAGACTTCAATCGCATGTAAAGGTATCAACTTGACTTGACTGTTCTCCACAACATATCCTTTCTCACCTAACGCAGACTCGACTTTGTGCATTTTGCCATTTTCAACTGTCAATTCGATTGCCACACCTTCGTCTCGCTTCTCAAAGACAACTACTTCTTCACAATCCAACTCAATCCCAACTTCTTCCATCTCTTCCAATGTCAGCAAAGATCCGTCTGACTTCTTTGGCTCAACTACAATCTTTCCTTTCTCTTCGAAACGACTTTTCAAAGAAGAATCTGACATTCTGAAGCCACCAACCTACAATATCACAACTATATAATCAGAAAATTTTAAAATCATCCTCAAATATTACAAAATAATTTTAACTAACAGTGAAATACAGATTGAGTTGGAAAAAATAAGCTAGAAAGTAGTTAAACATTAAAGTATAAAGATCCCATACAAATAAAGTTATCCTACGATATTACTAGCCCACTTTTACCTAATAAACCTCAAAGTAATAACCAACCTTTTTCATATACTTTAAAACGAGACCCTTTGTCCTATTGTAACTGTCTGTTTCCGCCTCGACAATGATAAAAGAACCAGAAGGTCCAATAATGTCATAGAAATGTGTAACGTCTGGCTTGTCCTAAAATATTCTTGTCAATCATATCTTCGCTAAAAATACATAACATAATGAATTAAGCACACCTCGCTCTTGAAATACCTAAAAGAATAAAAAACAAGATAAAAACGTACCCGAAGTCGTGCCATATACTTAGCCATGGATTCAGAAGGTAAATTCTTGGCCTTATATTCATTTTGCAACTTCTCCAAATCCTTGTTAAACTTCGGATCAAACCCTCCATTCTTACACGCATTTCTAATCTTTTTTAGGAACCAAGAAATCTGCTGAGACCTCAAAGCATCGTTCTTTCCCTTCACTTCTCTGATATTTTGCCATTTTGAGTGTCCTTTAAAAACAATTGGAGTGGTCGAAAACTGCTGAACTCGAAATCGAAGAGGATTCAGTGATCTAAACAAAGAATTCATCGTGGGCGACTTCCTTGCTTCAACAAAATCACGTCTTCAAAAATCCTCGGTCCCAAATTTATTTTTATTTGTTAGAGAAACACTCGACTCATTGGGTCAAGTGGTCCCGCAATTATGCTCGTTACTCATGCGACACGATCCATTGTTCACAGTGAATTTCCGAATACGGAGTTGACTTCTTTTTTGTATCCGCGACCTTCATCCGTCAGATTTGTGTTTGTCTTTATAATTTTCCCGATTTTATGTCAAATTTCGAGTGGAAAACATAAAAAATGGAAACTTTTTCGCGGAAATGTTGTCTAAAATAATGTTTTTGTGTAGAAATAAATTTTTTAGGCCGGTCGGACGTAGAGGAATGTTTCCGTGTGAATTTTAACTAAGCAGGCCCGGATTTGTATTAATTTCGAGCATAATAGGTTTTTTTCGCATTAGTTTCAAGTATAATGTGGCGTCTTTGCAGAAGTCTTGTCGTCTTGGATTGAATGTTCAGTGAGGAAACAAAGCAGCATCCGGTAGACGACGTAACGCTCAAGGGCATGGATGGGCAATGAAACAAGAGCGTGCGAAAAAAAACAACAAGGACCAATGGCGCCGAACCGAATCGTGGAGGAGAGTCGCGCGGCCGCGGGGCGGCCGGTTCCTCCGCCCCGCACAAGTCTTAACCGAAATGGGAAATCCGTGCAGACGGCAGAGGAGTCCCGGCCCCATCCCCAGAGTATCGTCTTCTCCAAAAACAAAGCCAGTGAGGAATGCGTGCTATCCAGCAACTCTCCGGTCTCATCCACCAGCACGATCGGTGATCTGTGCCAGGTCCCTTCACGTCCTGTGCCCAAGATACGCAACACTCTCACACCACCGCTGCCCAGGCCTCTGATTCCGCCACCACCGCCGCCACCTCGCCCCTATCTGAGGCACAAAAAGTCCATGGACAACGGTGTGCGGCAACAAAATGTTGATGGACAACATGATATCGAAGGGCGGCAGAACCTTGAACGGTACCAGAATTTGGATGCACAACAAAATTCTGTGTGTCCGTCTCCAGAAGCATCGTCTCTCGACTTGAACAAGCTTGCGTTGAGGTTTGCGGACGACGATGAAGCGGCATCGCGTCTGAAGCTGAGGTCGCAACTAAGAGGATCAGGGTCGGATGATGAGGATGAAGATTATCGGTTGTCGGTGCTTCAGACTAACTACTCAGCTTTCATGGATTCGAACGAAACTGACGATGAAATGCTGTGCTTCTGTGGTTGGGTGACAATGTATAACTTGGAGAAGAAGAAGACCAAGAGAAACTGGGCTTCCTTACGGGGTGATGATCTCGCTTTTTACTTTGATGACGTTGTAAGTATTATTGGCGGTTTTATGGTGGTTTCAAAAGTATAATATAAAAGATGACTATTATATGATGTTACATAATAGTTGTAAACCTGTATTATTTTAAAATCATTATATTGTTTTCCAGCGTGATCTCCTGAACTTTGAATGCAAGTCAGACAATATTTACTTTGTTGGGCTCATCGACGAAAAGATTAACATTGTTTGTCGACCGGTCTCTAAACGCTCACCGATTGTTTTTAGTTTTATCCCAGATTCCAACCTCGAATTCTGGCTACTAACGTTATCTAAAGTAAGTTGTTTTCTTTTGTTTTTATTGTTTAGGCAAACAGTAAACATGGTTAATGTGAACCTTTAGGCTTCGTGTCAAAATCAGAAGTTTGTTCGAAATGTCATATCTTCATCTACGGCTGGTGGAAAGATTGTGCTACAGCAGGCTACAACAGACGAGTGGCATCTTGGATGGGCTTTTATTCAGAACCGTGTATTCAAATATTATCTACCCTCATTGGATTCGTTCTTTGAGGTTGATTTGAGGAGAACTATTATGGTTAAGAAGGTGAACAACAGAGATGCTCCGCCGGTGGCTGTTTCTAGCAGTCAAGTCGGGTCTATTCAGGTCTCGATACCAGAGAGGTAGGTGTTATGATAGTATTTTTATTTATACCTATTTACTTTTGAGTGTAAATTGGAATAACAAGGCAACATCACTTGTTGTAATACTGGTTATGTAAATTATTAAATTGTTTTATGTTTTAGTTCGGTCCGATTCCAAGCAATGAATGACCAAGCGACAGAATCCTGGTACGATTCTTTGTTCAGTTTGTTCAGAAATGCCAAAAGTCTTGATGATTACCCAGTGACATCAGATGGAGTCCCAGTTATCGTAGAGCGATGTATTGAGTATGTGTCTTTAAATGGACTGCACATCAAAGGACTTTACCGAAAGAATGCATCATCCTCAGCGTGTAGAACTTTGTTAAAGGACTTCAAGGAAAGTAAGTTGTTCTTATATAAACTGATTTTTGTTTCACAGAAGCCTTGTATCATCTTAGTTACTTTTATAAAATTTAGTTTGTTTTTTTAAACTTTGCCTGGTTTTCAGATCCATTTACATTCAAAATCATGCGAATGAACGATGAAACAGCGAACGTAGCTGCTGATGTGATGAGAGCTTTCTTCAGACAACTCCCAGAGCCTCTCATATGCACATCTGTCCACAATTTACTCTACAAAGTCAAAAGTAAGTTGAATATCTTCATCAAATTTCCATTTTGAGCTTAACATTATTTTTTTTTGTTTTAAGATGACATTGATGATCCAATTCAAAAGAATAATGCCTACCGCAACGTTCTGTCTCAATTACCGTCGGTTAACTACAAAACGCTACGAAGGCTACTAGAACATCTGGTGGAAGTATCCAAGCATTCTTCTGAAAACTTGGCCTCTATCGAGAACCTGGCCAAGGTTTTCGCACCCACCGGCTTCCAAGTCGATGGAAATGGAGGTGGTCACGCTGAGCTACAGGCCTTCATGAGTAATATACAGGTTCAGATTGGAGTTATGATGGACTTACTGATCAACTTTGCTGTTATCTTTCCCAAAACGTCACAACAAGTGGCAGCCGACAACAGAATCGAGCAAATAAAAAACGTTGTCATGCCTAAGGTGAGATTATTTGCTTTTTGATAAGTTTAATGTTTTCATAAAGCTATGTTATACTTTTAAATATTTGTTTTAGGCAACAATTAGTTCTCGCCTCACATCAATAGTTTTCAACGAAAAAAGCTTCCGTGTCCCATCGAACTACTCAGTAGGCCACGTGTTACAGTATTTCTGCAACGAACTCGGGATAGGAGATACCTCTAAAACATACGGGTTGTTCGAGACTCACGCCGAAGGGCGGCTGAGGCGACGCTGTAGGACGGACGAGGTAGTGGAGGATGTTCTGGTCGATAAATGGAACAAACTGCCGGCTTTTGTCACTGATTCTCTTATGATTACCGAAATAGATGGCAAAAAGCAGGACAAGGTAAGAGCGACATTAGTAGTTATTGTGGTGGTTTTTGGTCGAAGAGTTTTTATATTGTCTTAGACTTAAACATTTGTCACAGTTCAAAGATTTTCTTGATATTAATGGTGTTTTAATTTCAGAAAACGATTGCGTTTGTGTCAGATGTCATGTTTTCCGAAGCCGGCTCTAAAAAGTTTAAACAATGTAGCTTCAAAATTGAATCCGGCGTCAGAGTCGTCTGTTTTTCTACGGTAAGTTTGATGTTTTTTCAAATAGTAATGAGATGTTTTACAATACAAGTTAGTTAGTCATCACTATTATAGAGAAATACGTTGAAATCAACACGTAATGTTACATTAGGTGAGGTGAGGACAAAAAGAATCAGCCAATTTTTGAAAATTAAACTTTTTTAGTTTGTATTGTTGTCCACAACAATATTACAACCGAAAACTGTTTTTAAAGAGTAAATTGTTTGCAATGAGCTGGCTTTTGTGGATTCAAAAGTTGTTTTTATCATTGTAAAGTTGTTTTTAGTATATTTGTTAGTTTTGTAGTAAACTATGCGGTTTAAACTCTCTGATACGAGTAGTAAACCAAGTAATACTGTATCATGAATCACGTTTCAGCGGATGAAACAGCACTATCGCTGGGAACTGGACGATACAATCTGGTTCGAAGGCGTGGACGACCGCTCCCCTCCCACCCCGCACTGCCTCACCTTCTTCTGCACTCGAGGACCTCACGAACACAAGCAAAAGTATAAATTCCTGGGATTCTGTTTGGCATTCAAATCCAGCGACGACCTCAAACTCTGGCTCAATTGTGTTCGCATCTGTCAGGGTGAACAAGATTAGAGCAATCTAATTTTCTTCGGTGTCTACATTAACGGGTTACTGTATTTATATCGGCATTCACACTCACTTTGGTTATTTAGCTACATCATTTACATTCATGTTAATAAAGTACTTTACGTTTAATAAACTTATGATATTTATGACAGACAAAAAACACGATTTGGTATCAGATTTGTTTATTTACAATACATTCATATATACATGTAACAATATCCATTATATAACAATACAAAAGTCAAGGGTATATACAAAAAAGTTCAAGCCATTCAAGTTCGACCTTCTTAAAGTTATATATATGAAGGTAGACCTAAATGATACTTGACGCAACACTCGTAATAGTAATACTGTACATGTTATTGTACATCCCAGAAGTCTTGGTCTGTGGCCAAGTTAAAGATCATGTCAAAGCCTTGGGGCTTGGGACTACTTTCCTGGAACTGATAGTACATTCCATCTTGAGTAACAGCCATCAGATCGACCTTGGATGGAGATGTACATTCAGACAGAAAGGCACATTCAGCTATCTGTTCTGGATGAGGCATCGTGAATTGGAAAGCACTTCGACGTTCATCTTTCATCATAACATGATCGATACTGTAATATGCATACAGTAAGACAAATTTTCAAGTTATTCATGACTTTAAAATTAAATTTTGACTTGTAAGGTAACACAAGACGGAACGTAAACTTTTTTTTGAATATAGTAATCGAATCTTAAAAGAAACCTACATCTTCTTTGTGTTCTTAATCTTATCGTCGACTTGACGTGACAGCGGAAATACGTGGATCGTGCCTTTGTCACTGCAGCAGGCGAGATACGAGGAACTCGGCGAGAAACGGAAGCTAAAAGTTATATTACAATGTAAATAAAATAATATGGGTTGTACACATAAACCATTATGCACCTATACATACTGAAAAGCCATTACAATGCTAGAATTGTTAAACATAGGCACAAAAAACTGATATAGCTTATAACAAATTAACATACCAAAACAATTGAACAGCGTGGGCTCCTCTCCTCAACTCGAATATCTTGGCTTTAGATTGTGTGTCGAATATTCGTATCACAGTGCCTTTAACGCTGCCAGTAGCTATCTTAGTGGCCTGATTATCAATCGCTATCTTGCTTATAGCAGACTCATGAGCGAATATAGTAGATGGTGCTGACGACCTCTTCTGACTCGCAAATTGAAGATTAACTACCTGAATATACAAAATCAATCTTTAAGAGAACAGGTCCACAACCTAAAAGACAAAATAGGAATGTTGTAGTTCCTACCTGTATACTTCCTGGCTTCAAACTCGGATAGACCAGATACTCGTTTTTGGGTGAGGGACTCAAAGCAGCCAGGCCAAACGGATTCTGGCCAGTTTCTTCGTGTCTGACAATCGAAAATCCATTTTCGAGGTTGAATACGTGGATATGTTGAGATTGTACGACTACCAGTCTAAAATTTGTTGAAATAAGTTTAAAGATTACATTACTTATTACGTTACTTAACCTAAAGTAAAAGAATACATTTTAACATAAAACTTACTTTGTCGACGATATGGCAAGATTCAAAACAGGAGATCCTACAGTCAATTCAGCTACAAACTTCTCCTTAAGCGCGTCATAGATCATAACTAAAACATTGTGAATATTAAACATCTTTTTACCAATATACATTGCTTTATACAAAAAAGAGCAATTACGACAATATAAGCATGACTTACCAGTTTTACCCGAGAATTTTGGCCTTGGTTCTCCAGATACCATAGCAATAACATTAGATCTACCCAGGATGGCTACACATTTTACTGATCCAACTAATTCTACTTCTAAAAACCATTTAGTCATTAAAACGTATTCAGAGACTAAATCAGGCCAGCAAAAAATAATAATCAGACAAACATATTATCTAAAGTCATACACGTACTATAATATACGCAACTTACTCAAGTTTAACAATTCTATTAATGGCTTGCAGTTAAAAACTTTGATGCCCAGATCTGTGGCAACAGCAAAACAATCTGAAAATAGTCGATAAACCTCCAAAACAATAATAATGGAGATACCAATAACTGTCAAGAGTTATTATAACAACATAATGTAAGGAAACTACATTACCTTGATATGAGTTAAAAACGATCTGCTTAATTTGGGCCATCGGAAAGAAAAACAACACTTTGGTAACAACAACTTTCTTTCCAAATACCAATCACCTGATGGAAAAATATATAAAATTTAATTTAACCTCAACTATTGACTTTCGAGACGAAGTGTCACAAAAAGCAATACCCACAAATAAAATAATAGAAAAGTGATCGGGAGCTCAGTGGGTCACCAGCGCAAATATTCGAAGGACCTGACCACCTCGAAGATTGATCGGAATGTCTTCAGGTAAGCCAATCACCATATAATGTTGTGTTAGGTTACTTTGTTTTATAATAAGTCCAAGTCTTATAACTTTCTCTAGATTTTGATCTGGAAGATGAGGTGGAAGAGGTCCGAGAGATGTTGTACGACATCTTGAAGAAGGCTGGAGCTCAAGGAATCGAGGCGACGGAGTTGGCTAAGGAATATGACAAACAGTTTGTAGAATGTGGCATAGGACAACCTTTACCGTCAGCATGGTTAAGGTACATCAAGGTGGCGGACGAGTTCGACATGCGGCATGAAGGAGACAAGATCTACATTAGTGTTATACAAAGGGACAACGTTCCGATACAAGAAAAAGCAAGTATATTTGACTTATATTGTTATTGATGTAGGGACAGAGGGGAACGTAGAACACCAGCTACTTAAGCTACTTAAAATTTATTTTTATGGAACATAATTCAATTAAAAATAGGACAATCGAAGTACTATATGTGCATTATTTCGTATATACTTTATCTTTCGTTTTGTACAGTATAACTTATGATAGTTATAGGTTGCTTCTATTGTAAAAGAAGCTTTGAGCAAGGATGACGAAGAAGTTGTTGACCAAGACGTCAAACTACAACCTCTGCCATTGTCTAGCATGCCTCAGGCTAAAACGAAAGTCCATATTCTGGCTGCTACAGACCCCAGTAACATCAGTATACGATTGTGTTCGTGGGATCCTATGCCTGATTACCTATACCAAGCCTTGGCCAAAGACTTTTCGGACGAAAACAAGAAACGAAAGCGAATCAAGACAGTAGAAGGCAGAATCTGTGTAGCCAAGCTGCCCAACGGATCTTGGGAGAGAGTTCAGATCATCAAGCCGAGTGTCACGATGGGTCACAAAGGCTACTGGGTGGTGTTTGCAGTAGATGTCGGAGTATTCCACTTGGCACACGAAAAGTATTTGCAGCCCTTAAGTGAAGGAGTGTGTGCCATTGACAAACTGTTGTTGGCCAAGTGTCAGGTAAGTATACTTTGACAACAATTTTAATTTTTAGGTATAAAAAATTTCGCTTAAAGTTACAGCAAACAATTTGGTACTAAAATACGGCGATTAAACGCTTAAAAACCCCAAAACATTTGCTTTAATTTCAGCTAGCCGGCATAAAGCCAAATAACGAGACAGGTATTTGGTCCCGGAATGCTCAACAAGCTATAAATAACTGGTTGAGTGACGTTCAGGGTACCGAGGTAGAACTAGAACCAGTTTCCGAATGGACGGCTTCAAAAGAAGCCGTGCCAACGGTAAAAGCCCGCATTTTAGTTGACGGGACTGATCTGTCAAAGAAACTGATTGATAACGGATATGCACAGAGCTCTGATTAGGACATTTATCAACAAAACCAAAATATTCAACAAAAAACATCAACAAGTACCATAACAAATCTACTATAACACCATAAACAACTACCATAGCAAAACTACTACAATATCGTCAAGAATAGTATAGCATATCTATTACAATATCAACAAAAGTACCATAGATCATCTACTTCTTCCTCTCAAACTTCCATCTGTAGCAGGCGGGTTTATCTGGCGTGGCCTTACTTATCAATTTGGGTTTGTCTTTCTTGGAGCTCATCTGGACAGCCTTCTTCAGTTCCAACTTCTGTAGTACAACATTCAGTTCCTTCTCCCTTTTGATCCTCTTGTCCAGCTCCTCGTATTGTGCATGTCGATGCTTTTCTATTTCCTAAATTCAAAACCATATCTATCTATATAAACTATGCCATACCATTGCAGTCCCCTTGTCTTCGACTCCGATCATCTGATTCTTCAATTTGTCTGCTGGGATCCTGTTACTTTTCCTAGATGACGATGCTCCAAACAACGACTCTGATGACATTATTTCTGACACTGAAAATAAATATTTATTAAAATATTGGATTGTTTATCAAATAAAATGAAAAACTTATAGGTAATAACTATTATAATAAATAAAAATTTATAATTTCAGATAGACCTACCATCTTCATCATCATCCACGAAAAATGTGTGAGTATTTTGTTTAGCATTTGAATCTGTCATGTGTAGCACTGCTTTTAGCTTATCAATCATCTAAAGTCAATGAAATAAAACAAAGGAATAACAACTAACAGATGAAATATAGTATACAGAACAGATGAAATATGGTAAACGACATGATTTCCTTACTTTCCTTTCCAATGCCAACTTGTGCCGAACATAGTTTATATCCTTGATGTCGCTCAACAAACTTTGAACGTAACTCTCCTCTGGCTCTGCATCTGTGGCTTCTCTGTGTACTCCATCAAACTAAACATCATTATGTATTTTAGAAAGTATAACAAACCAAAAGTTTCTTTTGTGGATCTAGTATGAATGTTTGGTTAGACAATAAATAGTTACTCTTACTCTAAAGTTAGAAAAAAGTAAAATATTACCCCAACTTGACTGTTTATCATGTGGAAGTTGAATTCATCTTGATTCCTCTCTAATGCTCGTGTTCTGAGCTTCTTAAGTTGCTTAGACTTCTTCTGATGAGCTCTTGTCCTCAGGATCCAATCCTTTTTCTTCTCCAGCAAGCCGAGATGTTTTCGGTCGGATAACTAAAAATATAATGGATAGTGGATATTACCTTACCTGTCCTCGCTCTCTATGCTCCCTTCCAACTGACTTTTGTGCTTTATTGAACGACATTTTACCTTGTAATGTGCTACAAAGTTTATCTGCAAAAACCTAAACCAAAAAAACTTTTTTCTAAAATTCATATAGGACGCGAGCTGCGTAAAACCAGCTGCAGGCTGCACGTAGGACTTATACGGGAATTTTATTTTTATTGATAATCAAATTTCTGGCGACAGATAAATGTATCTACTATGTCATTAAAATATACATTTTTGACATTTTTAGCCCTATAGGTTTTTTGCTGTATCCTATTTCAAATAGGCAGTCTATCGTGGACATTAATCATCACCAGCCTGTTCAATTATGCATTTATTAAAGTTAAACGTGTTTAACAAGAACATTTCTAACACATTGTAACCCATATGACGGTATTATTGAGATCAACAAAGCATTAACTCAAAATGGTCGCGATGCCACCATTACTGTAATGTTTACTTTGACTAGACGACTTGGACGATGGCCTGAGGGCATTCAGAAGGCCGCCCAAACGATCGTGAGATCTTCGCATTTCTTTTTGTGTTTTGGCCAGAGGCTGTTCTTTTCCTTTTGTATCTGCGCTTTGGGCACGTTCTGAAAATATATTATATATGGTAAACTAAGTATTAGGTTGTTCAATAAAGAATGGCTGATTTTGGCGGGCAAATTTTTTGTCGCTTCATAACTTTCTTCTTTTTTATAGTTGGGTTTTTTACGTTGTTGGAAAGCCCTAAATGTGAGCTTCATTTTCATGTTTTATTGGTGAAATTTGATCAACTATTACTTGAGTTATGATTTTTTTAAAAGGCGATGGTCAAACACCAAATTTTTGCAATTTTTTGTAAGAGTTCAAGTTACGCAATAACGCGACACAGGCAACCCGCAACATCAACGATGCGTTTGGGCTACGAACAGCTTCCGAACGGACTACGTCTCGCTGGTTCAGCCGCTTCCGTTCTGACGTCGGGACCTTGGAAAATTACGTCATCGATGGTCATCCATTGATGAGATTCTGAAGGCAATGGTGGAAGAAGCTTCACGTACTACTGTTCGTGATTTAATTCTGAGCTGGATGTTTTCTCCACTACCATTTACAACCACCTTGAGAAAAGTGATAAGCTAAAAACACTGAAAAAGTGGATTCCACAAGGATTTAAAGGTAAGCAAAAAGACCAGCTTTTTGAAGATGACCACGGTGAAGCTACACGAACTAGGCTACAAAACTTTTTGGCACTCGCCCTACTCACCCAACTTGTCTTCTACCAATTACCAACGTTTCAAGCATCTGGACCCGTTGGTCCGGCAGAACTGCTTCAATACCGAAGGTAATGTAAAAACGGGCTTCGGAGATTCCATCGTCTCCAGAAGACCGGACTTCTACGAAAAGAGAATGAATCAACTTGTCAAACGTTGGCAAAAATGTACTGAATCTGATGGTTGTTGTTTCGATTTATAAACTTGTTGTTGAAGAAAGTTATGCTTTGTTAAAGTTTTCGGTCAAAATCAGCCATTCTTTATTGAACGACCTAATATATTATACATGATAATGATAAACTAAGGAAATAAATTTATACTATATTATCCTTATTAATAGTAACTTTTTTCAAATATGAGGCGCTGCAGGTCATATAAGCTTCAAACTTTTACTCTCAACCAAAATGTAACCTATGACAGCACTACGCACGGCTCCCCAAACCGTAAAATCAATCAAAATATAAGTTCGTCATCGATTGTCTTTTTCGATAATTTTTGACTTTTCGTTATTGCGGCCGCTTTTTTATTTTTTGTCGCGTCTTCGGCTGTAAAAGGGTCCGAACTTGACGGATTTTCATCGGGTTTGCTCCCAGAGAAGCAGAAAAACATAATTAATATTTTAAACAAAATTTAAAAGTAAAACCATGTGTTACAACATATACATCGTGTGAGTTGAAATATATTTTACAACATTTTTGTATTTTTTATTTTTCGAATCTATAGTTGAGACAACGAAATGTCTACAATCGATTTTTTAATAATTTTCTATTTTTGGGGAGCCGTGCTACGTATCACAGTATGGTAATGTTCATACCACATTACCATACTATGTCATAATGAGTAACGAACCAGTATAACATATAATTACATCAATTGACGTGCCCATTTCAAAGAACTCTATTTATAAATTAAGTGCATGTTGCATACATGTGAAAGCCCTACCTCTTGGATGAGAATATCTGGCCACACCGTTCTGTTTTATGTTCTGTGTCTCGCCGTTCTGATTTTTACTGACTTCGTGGTGGCGTGCTGATCGTGCTGAATCAAAGTCAGTATCAGAACACTCAGCTTGGGCAATTGGAGCGGCACGGTAGTTCGGCTGAACATAATGTTGGTTTGGCGGTCGACGTTGAGGGGTCGAGTTCAATTTACCAGTCGATGTGGCTTTTCTGAAAAAGATATTTTAAAATTTGCAAGTAAAATTCAGACATAAAAGTTATTTTCTGGTTTAAAATTTTAATATTTTTTAGTTCACATAACTCAAGGCTTTCTTTTATCTAATAAGCGCAATCTACATGTATAACACAACGTTTCCCACCGTGAGAACGTCGTTCCTACCTGATCACTTCCTCGTTCTTCTCGATACTCGGCCTCCTCACTGGCTCAGGTACCTTCTTATCATAGCCGTTGTTTAACGTGCTCGTGTAGCTCTTACTTCTAGGCAATTCATTCACCTCTGGCGGAGTGTTCGAACTCGATCCACGTCTCTGACGGTACTGAATCTGCTTCGGTTCTTCTGCATTCTTAACGTAGCCGTTGGTCTTCTTCTGACTCGGCGGCCGAACTTCTTCTTGAGGATAGACCGTGCGTTGGGCTTGAGGTTTAATGGGTTTGTCATGTTGTATTCGTCGTATATTTGTCTTTTTGGATACGATCATCTCGTACAACTTGTCTCGGTACTCTTGAACACTGAGTTGTATGTGATCGGGCAATGGTAGTGTAACATCGTAATGTAAGGCCGGCTCTTCGGCCGGGTTGTGGAACTGTAACACGTATGGATGTACAAGGCATTGTTCTACGTTCAGTCGTTTGTGTGGAGCGAACAGCAGCAGTCGGTTGACCAAATCGACCGCGTGAGGATTGGTGCAGTGTAGCAGGACGTCCAGGGGCTTCTTGGGACGTTGAGGCATCTTCTCGAGGACGGATTGAGCATAATGGGAGCCAATACTGTCTATGTCACTCTGCAAGAATGGCGGGGGTTGTTATTGCACTCACCTTGCTGGGCTTGTTTATTGAATTCATTATACGCTCTATTTGATTTATGGTTGAACTGCCGGGAAAGAGCGCCCGTCCGAGCAGCATTTCCGCTAAAATACATCCCAAACTCCACATATCTACACCTTTGGTGTATCGTCTGGCAGCCAGCAGGATCTCCGGCGAGCGATACCACCTGGTGGCTACGTATTCCTGAAGATAGTGGTTAGACTGTGGAATGATTACTTACTGTTAGCTCGGGCATATTCTGTCCTTCAGGGTAGTCTTCGAGCTGAAAAGGCCCAAGATTAAAAAACTACATCAAGTTGCACATAAATCATTCAAATAAGTAAGATCATAAGTACTTGACAATATCATTCAAATTAAAAGTAAAAAAAACTACTTACTTGACTTAACGACCTAGCTAAACCGAAGTCAGCCAACTTGACCCGACAATCAGCATCCAACAAAACATTTGACGGCTTCAGATCACGGTGTAGCACATTCCCAGAATGTAGGTATCTGACAGCACGGAACAGTTGGCACATGATGTACTGTTTGTGGATATCTTTGAGGATCGTCATCTTCTTTATCACATTATGCAAATCTGCTTCCATGTATTCAAAGACCAAGTAAATGTCCCTAAAAGTCATTGTATGTGTATCGAAAGTCGCTTTAGGTCCCTATGAGATAAAACATAATCTATTCTCATGCAGAAATTACGTTAGGTATGCTTATCAGAAATGTACCATACAAAATCACATACTTATCATTTTCGGCACGTAAAATGTTGAACAACTTGATAATGTTGGGATGTCGCCCGAACTCCTGGAGGAACATTATCTCACGGAACGTTCGCTGAGCGTCGGTCTGATTGCGGAAGGCGTCGAAGATCTTCTTCAAGGCAACCGTGTCCTTGGTCCTCTTGTCTGTCGCCTTCCAGACGATGCCGTAGGCACCCTTGCCCAGCCGCTTGTGAAGCTCATACTTGTCGCGAATCTGTGGCTCCACATCGTCCGACATTCTGATGACTGTAACCCTGAAACGGATGAAAGTCAGTTCGTCTTCCCAGCACGCTGCCCGATTATTCCAGACAATACCGAAAAGGGGAAACGGCATTTTTTCTACCTTTCCTCCCGCCCGCGGCCTTATGCCCTCAGGGCCTGGCCTCCGTCGTTAATTCGACGCAGTAAGGTAAAGGGATGGGACGGGTTACAACGTCATATGCAATGAAAAACTGTTAAAGTTCAAAGAATAAACGCTTTTGCAGGTGACCGGATTCTGGCCGCCCTCAGGCAAAGAAGGAAACACAGTTCGAGATCTCAGCATGAGATTCGAGTTTTGGATGGAAGTGGTTCCGCATCTCGAGCATGATTAACAACTCTACAGAAATTAAAAAAGAATGGCAACACCAAACTGTCGTTTTTAAAGCTTAAAATAGTATCGTCATTACTAAAAGCTTAAAAAACCCAAACCTTGTTAACAAAAACCACTATAATATAAAAAAGAACAAAATTAAAAACACTCAGACGCCCAAAAATACCAAAATTTATGTAAAATACCCTGCCCGCGAAACCAATCTCCCCTTGACGTCATGCTAACACCGCCTATGCTAATTTGCCCTCACGTTCCGGAATTAAGCTCCAGGTATCAGAGAGATGGGTTCGAAAATGAAAGGTTTTGTTACCATTGCAAGCAAGACGAGAGCTGAATCCAATGCGAACCGAATCTGTCCCTGAGGGCAAATAAGTCAACTTGATTCAAACGACATTTGGTGACAAAACAAAGACATCAGATACCGACATCACTGTTATTTGAAATGGTTTCAAACACTATCTTATATAAGAAAAGTTTCAATATTATATGAGGCAGGTTTCATAGTTGGTCGAAAAGTAAAGGGAAGTCTTAAAATATGAGGAAGTAATAGCAAGTAAGACATTAAAAGACCATTATGATCATTTTTGACTGTATAATTCGATAAAGCCTCTAGGTAATAACAGGAAAAATGTATAAATTTGAGACAATTTTTCAAAATTTCAAATTGAAAGTAAAAATTTTGGGCAAAAAGTCATCGCAGATGCCAATTTCAAATAAATCTCACGCCCCAACCCATATCGTGCCAATTAAAAATCCTCGGCCAAATCCTCGAAATTCACAAAACCCAACCCAATTCCAGAAATCCACCCCATTCGCGGGAAATCGGCCGTAATTTCGACCCATTCCCAGTAAATCGTGGAGAAATCGCGGCTTCTGAAGTCCTTCTGACCATCATTTCTCGGGCTTTCGTCCCCAACCTGCTTTCCCTTATAAATACCACTCCGGGGCCCATTTGGCCCTAACGTTGCGTCGCTATAACAACCAAAAAAGCCAAAAAGAGCCCCCAAGGTGCGCAGACGACATCTACTCCGGAAAACAAAACGGGCACAGGTAAGTGGTAAGCGGGCGGTTCTAGGGGGAGGTTGCTAATTGTGACATTTTGGAGAAAAAAGCCCTTTATAAAGGACATTTGTTGGACACTATAAGTGATAATGTTTGAAGATTACTTTAAAATTCAACCTTTTCAGGAAATACCTTTAAAAACCGCATAAATATCAATAATAATTGTGAAAAGTAACATCCCAAACACTTATAATAATATTTACATTTTCTCAGAAATTACCACAATGTCAGTCATCCCCGAAGACTGTCATACACAATATTTCAAGTCCATTGTAATGCAAAATGGCTCTACGATTGTTGTTACTGAGGCTTGGCATTAAACTTTAATGAAAGGTTTGCTGTCCGTTGTTTTAATTCTCCAAAACACCGAAAACATACTCAAAACAAGGCTTCAAAGCTGTAAAGTGTAACGTTCATACATACGGAATATGGAATATGTAGTTTTAATCCGTATGTCATCAAAGTTGAGAAAAGAACAAGTCATTTGCATACTAAATTACATGTCTAAAGGTCTGTTTCATAGCAAAATCCTGTTGGAGATAATAAATTTATTTATGTTTAAATCTCAATTGTGTGACATAAAGTCATACATGTATTATTAGTTGTCATCAAAGTCCAAATTTGTTGTAAATTTGGCCCAAAAGTAAACGAAATCAAAGTTCAAGTCCAATAATTTTTTTTCTTAATTTTCCCTTTATTTTATGACCAATACAACCATCAAAACCAATGTTATAGTAATACTCTGTAATTATGCTTCATCGTTAGTCGCCGGATGTCATCTTCAAGCAGAACGTCAAATTGTCTGTAGTTTTTATGCGTTCGAGTTATTAACCACGACCATCAAGTTCTAAACAAGACCCATCAAAGATGACCATCACGTTATAAACATCCAGTCATTAGTAACATGAGAACTCGCTTAAGCGACTCACTTGATGAATTATGTAACAAAAAAATTTACATGATCGTATGTTGTAGTGGATTGATAAATCGAAGAGATCCGAGTCATTTTTTATTGGTTTTCCGATGACAGAGGTGACGAAAGCGATGCCGAACGGATTCTTTCCAATTAAACGGGTCACAGTTTACAGGGTATCTGCAACCACTGAGGCTTACAATTACAAAGCTAACCCACATTTCCAACTATTTCAAACGTTTAAGGTTAAATATAGGTTAAGCAAGCTGTACTTAACCGGGTTTGTGGGTACTGTAATATTTGGGCTAGATTTCAGTTCTGTTTGGTATCTATGTTGTTATTTTAGTATCTTTTCTTTCCGTTTGTTATTGTTTTTGTTAATGTAGATGCCTGTTAACTGATAGTAATCGAGCAAAAGCTATGTTGCTTTGAGGCGCTCTCCTCATTTTCGTCCACAACTTCCTCGTTCTCATTAAAGGTCGATATGAAACATCCAAAAAAGCGGAAGTCTAACTGTTATCCATGCCTACATTGAGCTTCGTAGCTATTGTAACAGACGTTACCCAAGCTATTATATACTTCCTTGTCTTTTCAAACCGGTTATACTGTAACACTTCCTTTTACAAAACTGTTTATATACTTTTATCACAAAGACACTGTTATCTTTACCACAGTTAATCATCAAACAGCGGGCAACATGCCGTGCAGCAAATGATAACACATCTCCGCCTCATCTGAAGCCTCGACCCTCCTCCTTTCCTCCCTCCTTTGGCGGCGGAACCATCTTCGTTTAGCCCGCTGGCATTTCGCGCGCAAGGTTCTAGATGACCCTTCGAACTCGGGTGACAGATCTCGGGATTATATCTCGCGATCACTACGGTCGCTCCGTCTTCTGCACTTTCAGACGTTTTTATCCGCTTCTTATCAGTTAACCTTGAGATAATTACCTAATTTCAGATGGGGCTTCTGAGCCGCCTTCAGCTCCCGGGCCTGATTCTGGCAGCGTGCTGGCTACACAGTGCCTCGGCCGATGTTAGCCAAGGTAAGCGGTTGTTTTTGGGTGCAAATGTGTTTATGATGGATGGATGATTGAGGGCGAGATAAGAGTGACATTGAGTTTACCGCATTCCTCGCCCTTAATTTGAAACGACAAAACCGGAAAGCCGCGGATCCGTTTCCCAACTCTGTAGATCACAGAATAATGAGGCTCGGGTAATATTTTTAATGAGCACATTTAAGTAAATCCCCTGAGGCAAGAGCCGGTCTTTCTTTCTGGTTTGTTTGTACAACCTCGAATTCGGTGATCCGACACTTTCTCCGATGGAATAAATTAGATTCGAATCAAATTCAAACAAACCATCAGGTCACAGGTCTTAGGGCGCACTTAAGCACGGGTAATTGCCGTTATTTATGATGTCTTGTGTGGTATATGAGGTCAGCATTCTTGTCAATCCGAGTTGCTTGATGGAGCTTAATCAGCGCAGATCTTAATTGATTCATAAAAAAAGAAAAAATGCGTCCGTTTATGGGATATTAACCATGAAATAAGTGTTAAAGTTCAAAACTTTTTTTTTAATTTCAAAACAAAAGGATATTGAAAAAATTGAATTAGATACAACAACAAAAAGTCAGATTTATGCCATTCCAGATCGAATACGACAGCGACGCCAATTCAACAATCCTCACGGTCCCCAAATTGATCTCAACATTACAGTACCCTACATATTCAGTGCCAGATTGTACCCTTACGGTCAGAGCAAAGGAGATCAGGTCACACAACTCGACCCTCAACCAGTCGACCTTCACACACCGTTGAAGCTACTAGGCCGAAGCTACGAGACGCTTCTGATTCACAAAGATGGCTACTTGAGCTTGTCACCGTCCAACAACTTCTTCCCGACTGACAATGAACGACCGGTCGTTGCCTTGTTTTGGATGCCCGCAAAGGGAGGGAGAGTGTATTTTAGAGAGACGACTGACCCTTCCATCCTATCATTGGCTCAGAATGAGGTTAACATTCAGTATCGGTATGGGAAGGAGTTTCAACCGACTTCAGTATTGATCGTAACCTGGGAAGGCACTTACGGTGTGGCCGATTTGGTAAGTAATTCTTGTCTTGACTAGAAAACGATTATTTTGTAATTATATTACCCATATTCGTGCCATTTTTGTTATTTAATCTTATCAGTTTTTACTGAATTCACGGGGATTACCAGGAAGTTATTGTATCCATATCAAAGCTATTATTCATTTTTGTAAAAGCAATAAATTTCAGAAAACAGAAGGAAACATGTTCCAAATTGCGCTGATATTGTCAAAGGAAGCGACCTTCGCTCACTTTGTTTACAGTAAGCTGGCGTCGAACAACAATGCCGCTGTAAGTGTTGTAAAAACAATGGGTATACCTCTTGAATTCAAGCAGATACCTTTAAAATGAACATTACACAAAGCCTAATAGATATAGAAGAATGTTTTATTTCAGGCCGGATTCAGTGGATCTCCGTTCACAGACACCCACTTCTACTTGCCTGGATCAGGTACCCCTACCTCGTCCAGTCTAGTAGAGAAGTCCAACATCGGAATTCCAGGAGAATGGTTATTCAGAATAGACGACTCCCAAATCTACCTTTGTGGAGCCGGCTTCAAAGGGCTTGAATGTGTGGATTCGTGTAGCCCCAACCAATGGTACCTCGACTGTTCTCGAGAATGTCACTGTGCCAACGGTGTAGCCTGTAATACAGAAACAGGTGTCTGTCCTAGCAATGCATGTAGTCCAGGCTGGACTAATGCGCCCAAATGTGACGAAGATGTTGACGAATGTGTAGTCGCCCAACGGCTGTGTCCTGAAGAACAACCCGATTGTGTGAATACCGCAGGATCGTACTTGTGTTTGTGTTTTGAATACGACAACATTACCAACTCCTGTAGATCTAACCAAGCCGGGAACAGATTCCCAGCTGAACGTATTCCAGTATCAGTTATGCCGTTAGTACCACAAATTGCTCAAAAAGGAACCACAAAACAACCAGGTCGCCTGAGAGATTCGTCAACAACCATATTGAATGTAGAACCGATCAATCAGAATCTGATTCCTGATATACAGACATTGGCTCCCATCTTTGCTCAAACTGACAGACCATTGACCATTCAGCCGGTCTTGAGTACTCGTGCACGGTCTCCATTAGCTCAAACAATAGCCACTACAGTGGCTGTGCCATTATGTCCACAATGTGATCTCAACGGTCATTGTGAAGGCAGTCAGTGTGTTTGTAACACTGGCTGGACTGGCAATGGAATCGTAAGTTGATGAAAACGTTTTCTACTAAACATTATACCATATGTTGTGCGTATGATTTCTTAAACTTTCTACCGTATGCAATAGTAAATCCAGCTATCTTTTCATAGTAAATACGGTATTTCTAGGAATGCATTGACCTCAACGAATGCCTCCAAGACAATATCTGTGGAGCGAACGCCTTGTGTCAGAACACTTTGGGGTCGTACCAATGCGTATGCGATGTTGGCTTTGTAGCCACAAGCCAAGGCTGTGAAGACCTTGATGAATGTGCTGAAGGCTTGGTGACATGCAGAGGAGGAGTTACTTCCAAATGTGTTAACAAACCTGGTGGATTCGAATGCCAATGTGCCCCTGGCTATACTGGTAGTTCCGACAGTCCACAGGGTTGTCAAGGTATGTCAATTTTTAAAATAAGAGTATTTCCTCATTATTATCACCTTGGCTTGGCAATGTTTTCTGATGATATTACAGTTAGATTGTTAAATTTAACATCATAAAAATTGAGTATAATAACCCAATATTGTACCTTCAACGTTATAATATAGTCATTGTAGATATCAACGAATGTGATACGCCTGAACTTTACTGTGGTAACAAAGCCAAGTGTAAGAATGCTCCTGGGTCATACTCTTGTGAGTGCTTTGAAGGATACGAGAAAGCTCACAACTCAACTACTTGTGTTGATGTAAATGAATGTCTGCTAAGTCCATGTGACCCTTCAGCTGTGTGTACCAATCTTGATGGTACCTTCCAATGTAAATGCGTCGATGGATTTGTTGGCAATGGAATTGAATGTAGAGGTCAGTCAAAGCGTTTCTTATCAGCCTTTAATGTATACATACTTTACATTATGGTATCAAACATATAAATTGCTTTATATGAAACTTTATTTGTTTTAGAAACGATCCTGTTCCCAACCGGTCGACAAACATCATCGTTACAACAGCTGGATAACGCGGTCATCCCGTACCGACTAGAAGAACCAGTTAAAGTGTTCGGAAAAGATTACGAAACCGTTTATGTAAGCTTCACACTGTCGTTAACCCATCATGTAGATCGTTATATTAATTCAACTTTAATTTCTTTCAAATATAGGTTTCCACTTTAACTCAAACTCGTATAATTTGTAGATGTTACCTAATTTATGCTTAATCACCATTCCAGATATCCGCAAATGGGCTAGTCAGCTTTGACAGAGCTTTCTCCGAACCGGTCACAGGGCCTGATGACATTCGGTCAGTCGTATTTTACCCATTACATGATGCTTACAAAATGAAACCGGAAAGTTCAATTCATTTCAAAGAAGTTACAGGTGAGTTACATGACACTAATGATAATATGTTAGTAACAAACTATATATACGTTTCTGTAATAAGTCACAGAACCCAGACTTAAAATTTAATTTATCACAGAAACTTCAGAATCCGACGCCACAAACTACGGTCTTTTGAGTCGCGCCTCTTTGTTGGTACAGAACAAGTTCAACATGGTACGTTTCCACGCTCATCGACTACTGGTGGTAACATACGAAAAGTTGTCTACAGCCACGTCATTCAACCAGAATACCTTCCAAATGGTGATCGCTCAATCTTCTGATGCCACGTTCCTTATCTACTTGTATGAGAATGTAGATGAAGACACTAGATCAGCCATCGTGGGCTTCTCTTATCCAAATGGAATGTTATCCATCCCAGCTAAGACTACCGCCAAAGCTTCGAATGTTGGTCAAAAAGGAAAGTGGATGTGGAAGATAGACAATCCAGCCAAGATTGAACAATGTCCGGCTGGGAAGATGGACCCTCCGTTCTGTGAAGACGGTAGGTTAATATGCAGTAACATCTGATTAAAATATTTTTTTCAATATTCTTCCATCTTTCAAAAATTGACAAAGTCTACGGTGATTTAAATGGCCACGTCTGTATTACTTTTCCTTTCACAATACTTATTTCAGACTGTCCACCAGGAAAATGGGGATTGTCGTGTGAGAAAGAGTGCCGATGTGCTGATGGTATGCCATGTGACTTTGGAAGCGGATTCTGTGCCAGTGGCAAATGTGCCCCAGGCTTTGAAGGCCCCAGTTGTAACAATGGTAAGTAACAATTCTTTCATTTTAACTTTTTAGACATTGATGAATGCCACCGAAATCAACACAACTGCCACATTGCTGCAGTATGTACAAACACTTATGGCTCGTTCACATGCAAATGCCGTCCTCTATTCGCTGGCGATGGAGTTACCGTTTGTAAAGGTAAGTCTACTGACGTCACCCCATTGTAGAATATATTACTGTAAGATAAAATACTTGATGATTTTAGAAATCGACGAATGTTTCAAACGATTCAACAAGAGCTGTGCTGCCCAAAGTCGTTGTGACACAACAAACCCTGACTACCCAGAATGCGTGTGCATAGATGGATATCATGGTGATGGTCGCAAAGAATGTAACCCTGACATCAAGACAAGTACCATTCTAACAACTATACCTACATCAACAACAATGATGCCAAAGATGATCGTGCCCCAAAAAGAATACGAAGAAGAATTGAATCCATTCAGTATGCATACTTGGACTTCGATAGAAAGAAAGGCAGAAGTCACTGAACCTATTACAACTACTACAACTGTGACTACATCAACGAGGAAAGTACCAAAAAGACCAAAAGTAGACGTGGCCAAGGATTACGATGACATAGACCGAGACATTACAGTAGGGTCAAAACTAGAGGATTCGATAGAAACTTCAAGCAGTAAGTCCACTATTAAAATGAAAACATAACGTAAAAGCCGTATCAAAAAGTAAAAAAGACAACAATTTTTAAGAAGAAAAGCCCAAATGTTATTGACCATAAAATACTATTCAAAAGACAAAACATTTACTATAAAACAAATTTCAGTCCTATTCCTAATAGTACCAGGCGTCGTGGTTGGAGTGTGGCTGGTACTAGTAATGGTGGTACTAGTGCAATGCTGTCGTCGACGACGGAACGTCCGACTTACCAAATATTCGCCACAGATGATGAGCTACGGCCAACGGAGCACATCGTACCTCGGCCAAAGCGTTCTCAATTGACCTCAATGTTTGTAAATATGTAATACGACGTTAATAAAGGAAACAAAACTGACCTCGGCCTACTTTCCAATAGATAGGATCACCGCCATGAGGGCAGTTGGTCGTCGCCGCATTTCTCTCGGCTGACATGTACTCCCAACACGGGTTTCTCAGGTTTCAGAAAGAGGTATCCAAACTGTCCTACATATGTCAGCACTACTACTTCCGGGTTCTAATTATTGTAGTTGGCTTTGTCCTGGGGGCTTCCATGTGGTATCGTACTACGAATCTGTGGACCTTGAAGAACATGGGAGATAACTTTATCAGTAAGGCTCACTTGAGGAGAGAGATTGTCATCGGTGCTTTTCATCGACAAAAACAAGAGCAAAACGTCAAAGGAAGCTTCGTTGTAAGTCAACATCTGGTACTTAAATTGGAGCAAAAAAGAGTTAATTGTTTGAATCTCTGTTTCCACTTTACTTTTTAAAAGTTTACTTAAACGTTATGTTTTGATTATTTAAAGGTTGTACAATTCATCGGTGATACACTACTTCCTCACGATTTGTATTGTACCAGTTTCAACAAAAATGGAAATAAACTTATCTCCCACGCCTTGATTCAACGCATTCATCAAGGAAAACGTGGTGCCAATGACGTTTGTTCATGGGCTGGTCATATTGCAGAATGTGAAGTTATAACAGATGACGTAGATACTATTGGGTAAGCTTTTAACTTGCTGTCTTGTATTCAGTATATTATTGTAACTCCAAATTATAATCTAACTATTACTTTTTAACGTAACCCCTCTCACCTTCTTTCAGTCTGTCAACCGTATCATCGCCAGAATCCTCAGAAATCTTAACCATTCCAATAGAGAAGCCGCACGTAGAAGAAAAGAAACACAAACTTGTAGTGTGTGTAGCTCCCATGTACATCTACACTGACTGGAAGATCATGGTCACTGGTATAGAAACTTGGCTTGCCCTAGGAGCCACTAAGATCATAGTCCCCATCCAGTCAATAGCCAACATATCTATGAACATTCTACAGCAATACGAAAGAGATGGCATCGTAACCACTAGGCCATGGCCCAAATGGCCAGTGCTATCAGATACCAATCCAAACGGGCTAGTCCTTTCTCGTGGGATTGAAGAATCTCACGTTAACTGTCTACACTTCGTGAAGCCATTTGCTGAATTGGTGGCGTTCACAGATATTGACGACATGCTGATACCTCCAGACCCATCCAAGATCCAAGGTGGTGACAATCTGGTCCTCCTACAGGTACATTACAGTTTTCTCAATTGTTAACTCAAAAAAGCGTTTCATCTTGAAAACAATGTCATAATTTAGAATTTGTTCTCTGAACATCCACAAGCGGGCTCTTTACTATTCGAACATCGTGATGTACAGTTCGTATTGCCACCAGAAAAACAAACAGAAACATTAAGCAAATTCACATTCGACTTCTTACATAACACACAATGGAAGCAGAACTGCTTCATCTGGAGAATGAAGACCAGAGTTGTGGTCAATGCCAGTAAGTAACATAATATCGTTTTTAAATGTAGCAAATTCGAATAGAAAAACTAACTTAAAAAAATCGTATATTAGCTACTAAAAACCTTAACAAAACAAAGGAAACAAAAATGCAATGCCCTATATGCAAGACCTTATAACAAAAATAGATAATATAAACTTACACTTGCAGGTAGAGTTGACACTGTAAATATGCATGAAACAGGCATTCATCGAATGGGATATGTCCAAGTACGTGTCCCATGCCGTAAAGGACATTTCTACCATCTCAGACACTCCTACAAGAACACAGCAACAGGTCAGTGGAAGGTGGACATGACCAATCTATCAGATATGTTAAACAAACAATGGCAGAATAGACTTACCGGCCCTCTGGAGCCCTTAGCCAATGAAGTCTTGGCCAAATCAGCTACTGAATCATTCGAAGACCTTGACAAATGCGTGATGAAGGTTACAGACGAACATTTCACGCTGAAGGTCTCCAGATGCATGACTCCACACGTTTGTTTCACTAGAAGAGCAACGTGAGTAATATAATTTTTTTAAAATAATAATTCGTCATTAAAAGTAAGCCTATAGTAAAAGCACTCAACATATAATGTATTCATAATAAATTCTTACCTAATTTAAACCATTAACTTCAGAAACAGCAGTTGTGTAGCCACAGACGCCAACTACGGCTTTGCACGATCTGGCAGCGACTTCATCATCAACACATTGGACACGCAGCTGGTATCCAGCACCATGAACTGTGACGCACCTCTCCCACGATTTACTTCCGGTTCTCACTTCTATCTCCCGTAATTTACACTATTACAGTACCTTTGTGTCATTTCTAAAGCCTCCAATTCGTATTTTGTTTTTGACCGGGTAGCTGCAAATTAGAAAGATTATCCCTTACCAAAATAATTCATTACCTGAGCACTAGTATTCATTTATTATTCATTCATTGTTTACCGTATTTTCCGACCAAAACGGGTTTTTGTTTTTTTGAGGAAGACTTGACACCTTTATAAGGACGTGTCAAGTCTGTTCTTGTTTTATACTTGATGCTGGAGTTTGTTCTTCAATCTTTTGCATAAATTTGTATGTTACAGCTGTAAAAGTTGTAAATAAATCTTTTAAAATGTGTCTATTAATTACTGTTTGTAAAAAATGGCCTTGTGGTCATCTGATTCTTATAAATTTTGTTGTTTACATTCTTGTTTATTGGTTTTTTTAATACCTTTTCATTTTCACTTGTCTCCGGTTTTGATCTTCTTTGCGACAAAAATAAACGATATACTTAATTTTTGGTATAAAAGCTATAAATTTCTTGGAACTAAAAGGATAGTTTTGTTAATGATTAGAAAAATATTTAGGTAACATTTGAAATAAATTATTGGTGATAACATTTTGTCACAACCGTCTTTGTGATTTTTGGTTCCACACAACAAGTTTACTGCTTGTGTTTTGCGTCAAATACCTTACGGATGATTCAGCGCGTAGAGTTTTGGTCAGTTCAATTCGTTTTTTCAGTTTTGATCTCTTCGCGAGCTTAGGGAATGAGTCGAAGTGCTCTTGTAGCAGACGATCGAGAAACTTTTATTAAATCACAGGTAAGGAATTAAATATTAAATTATCAATTTAATATAGTTTAATTGAAGTTTTTTAAAATTGACACAAGATAGGTCTTGAATTTTAGATAATAGCTGTTCAAAAAGTTCTGAACAAAGCAGAAGCTCCATTGAAACAGAAGCATGTACGATCTCTGATTGTTGGCACTCACAAAGAACGGTCGGCTTCTCTCTTCTGGAGCACTGTTTCTCGGATTCCATTGGAGAAAAGTCCGGTAATAACATGGAAGTTCTGCAATCTTTTACACAAACTGATCCGAGATGGCCACAGGAAGGTGGTGGACGATTGTGCTAGACATATTAGTCGTCTGGTTCAGTTGGGGAACTTCTGGCAACATTTACGGGCAAGTGGCTACGGGAATGCAGATGCTGTTTATTGTAGACTCTTGACAAAGCGACTTCAGTTTCATCAGAAAGTAAGTGAATTTTTACTTTATTATTGGTGTTTAGTATCCTCAAATACCGGGAAGTCTACAACTGACTGAGCAACAGATAAACACTATCAGTGGAGACATGAACATGAGCTTTGAACTTGGGATTGATTTGCTTGATCAGATAGATGAGCTGCTTGCTTTTAGATCGGCTGGTAAGTTGATTAATAATTTGATGTTATGGTTTACTATTATTCTTGAGTTTATTATATTGTTCGAAGCTTTATGTTTTAATTTTAGGTAACATTTTTAAAATTTATTAGATACGATAAACACTGTTTTTCAGTTACGACACTGGTCGATGGCTACAGATGGACGTCCATGGTACCACAATGTCAGTGTCTTTTAGCACCGTTGATATTGGTAGTACTGGACAGTTCTTTATTTTACGATTTGCTTGTTAAAATAATCTTCAAGTTGCACAGTGAATTGCCCGAAGATGTTCTTACTGGCCATAGACAAAGGTTTATGACAACTTTTAAAAAGTTGAAAGAATTCTACGAAGGAGCTTCGAATCTACAGTATTTTAGGTATTTGGTGTCTGTGCCTAGCTTGCCACCGGTGAGTTGTTTTTATAATTTTTATTAGTGTTTTTGTAACATATCTAAATGCAGTGGGGACAAATTATTTTACATTGGAGTTTTAATTTCAGAATCCTCCAAACTTTTTGCAATCATCAGACTTGGACACTTACCGTACTCCTCATGCTTACTTACGAGATGAAAATGGCTCTGATGGTACTGAAACACCTCCAGATGCACAGTCAGTACAAGATGATACCAATATGATTATTGATTTGGACTTGCCTGAAACTTCATCTAGTGTTCAGAGCACTTTCGGCGTTAGTCCAACTAGAGAACTGGAACAGTAAGTGTTTTTTAGAAGCTAATGTTTAGTTATAACTTTTATTTTTATCCCATTTAAAACAACATTTTTTTAAATCCTGGTGTTTTATATTTGATATAGTGTAATATTGGGTGTTCATGATCTCAATTTTTAGACAACAAATGATGGAGAAGATGGCCGAACTTCGAAGAGCTTTGGAAAGTGAGATGAAAGCAAAAGATGACATTGTAATGGAAGCCAGAAGTCGTATAGAGCAGTACGAAGCTAGGTTGGTGGAAATGAAGGAGGAAAGTGACATGTACAAAGATCAATCAGAACAACTTAACATGCAACTACAACAACTCAAGGACACGGCGAATGCTACAGAACAACAGGCCGAGATTCAACGACAATCCGAAGAGAAGGCTACTGAATTCGAGAAGAAGTACACGAAACTGAAGTCAGCGTACGAAACCTTCAGAGGAGAACACATTACAGCATTGACAGAGTTGAGGGACCTTCGCAAGTTCAAGACCGAGACTTCGACTGAGATTGCCGAACTGAAAGCAGAGTTGGAGAATGAGAGGAGAAAGACGGAGGAAGGGGTTCAGAAGAGTTCAGACACCGTGAGCGAACTGAACTCAAGTTTGGATAAACTGAAGTTGGACATTGAGAATGAGAAGAAGGCTTCGGTTAACTCTCAGCTACGTAAGTGATCTTGTAATCGTTTTGTTTCACAAGAATGTTTAAGTGTTCTTTTAATCTGTTTTTTATTTTAGATTCATTAGCCGAATCTGCAAGAGGAATGTTGTCGCATTGCAAGGAGGAACTTCAGAATTCTTCCACCATATCTTATCCCCCTCACTTGGCCGAATCAGAGCTGAAGGTTGCCCAGAACAGCCTTCAAGAGTTGTTTGACAGTGCAAAGGGAGGAGAATGTGATGAAAGATTCAGAAGAGAAGCCATCTCTTTCCTACATTATGTTTGTAATGCTATGGTTCCGTGTGCAGCAGCTGCTTACACCTCAAGTATTGAGCATTACGAACGTAAGTTTTTACTTTTTAAGGTTGTCAGTTTAGAATTATTGTGTTATTATAGGTTCAAAGTAGATTTTTTGGTGCACTTGCGGTTATAATTTTAATAATTTTTTGTTTCAGCGGTTCTCAACGCCTGCAAAGAAGTAATCCAAGAAGTTTCCAATGTATATATCGGCTTGAATGGCAGTAAAGTACCACAACTAGCCACCTCTCAACTTCCTAAAGTCATCGACCTTCTGAATAGTCTCCAAGACCAAGTAACAGCTCTCCCGACCTCCAATGGTGACATTGATCTGGAAGTGGTTGAATCTCAACTTCAAGAAGAGATGGAGAGAATGAACAATGCCATCAAACAAGCTGCTGAACGAATGAAAGAGCTACAACAACAATCCAAAACAAAGAATAGTGGCATCAGACTTGCCGTGAACGACAAGATTCTCGATCACTGTAACCAGTTAATGGCAGCCGTCTACGAATTGGTCGAAAAGTCTAGGGATTTGCAACAAGAAATTGTAGATGCGGGCAGGGGAACAGCATCCCCCAACGAGTTCTACAAGAGGAATCATCAATGGACTAAAGGATTACTGTCAGCTGCACAAGGTGTTGGGGTGTCTGCTTTGGAATTAATGTAAGTTTTTAATGTGAAAGGTTCAGGTTTTAGGTTTTTGCTGGTAAAACGAGATTGGTATTGTTTAGTAAATTTAAAATACTGTGAAAATATAAGTCTCTTTTTCAGGAACTCGGCTGACAAAGTAGTACTAAATGAAGGTAAACTGCAGTACCTTATTGTAGCCGCTCAGGAAATCTCAGCCAGCGTTGCTCAGCTTTTCGTTTCATCGAGAGTAAAAGCAGACCGAGAGTCAGGGAAATTGGCCAAGCTGGGAAAGGCCTCAAAACATGTCAACGAATGCACGGGAGCAGTCTTGGCCGCGGTGAAAGACGGAAAACAAACATTGGAGGAAGAACGTGAGTACAATAACATTTTCTAGTTTAACTTACACTGTTATTGTCAAGACAAAAAAATTACAAAACGCATTAGAGTTCGCTTTAGTATTTTATAATTTTAAAGTTTCGACAAAATCTTAAAATTTCAAAAAATTTTAAAAATTTAATTTCAGAACTGTTCGACTTCTCGAACTATTCTCTCCACGAAGCCAAAAAGGCCGAGATGGAGTGTCAAGTTCGTGCTCTGGAGCTGGAAAGCCTCCTGAGCAAGGAACGTACCAAACTGGCCAGCCTTCGGAAGCAACATTACCACATGGCCTCGCTGGTGGATAATGAAAACAACGCTTAACTATAATATACACTTATACGTTTAAGTTCTAGTCACTTAGAGTTATACAACTTCTGATTCTTAAACTTCTCATTCCCGAGTATTGTATTTATACTGTAAAGTTATTTTGTAGATTGCAAATCCTGTAAGTAATAAAAGTCGCTAATAAAAGTTTGGCCTTTTAAGAAATGTTATCTGAGTGATATAATGTGATTAATATAAATGTAAATAATATGAAAAGTAGAAACAGAACACCATCATCGCAACCAAGAAGTTATCATCGTTTCCCGAATTCAATTTTTCATTTTGATTTTAGAAATTTGTTATTTTTCGAAACGGATTATGCGTCAGAGGAAGAGTTGACTCTTTTATACCTTGCCGTCAAGTCTTTTCCTTCTAATTCTTATAGATTTTTGATCTGTTCTTGGAATATGTATGTGTTCCAATTGATTTTGACTATAGTTTTAGGATTTATCAGACATTCTACAAAAATTTATTTATGATTTACTTTATTTTTTAAGTTTTTAAGTTTCCTGGTGTTCCTTTATTTAGAAACGCGTTTTCAGGGGTATTTTCATGATTTCGATAAATTTTTGTTATCTATTCAAATAATTTTAAGCGTCAATACTCTACATTTTAGAATTTATTTATGAAAATACTGACGAAACGGACTCTATGATTGTGTTGTACATATGTACAGTTATATGGCTCTTTCCATTTGCATATGCCGTTTCATTAAACATTGGTGACGATCATGTGCCAGATCCTCAGATTGGGCGAATTTGTGCGTATGGGGACGTGAACAAGGACAGATACACTGACTTAGTTGTACAAAAGGGTGGAAAGCTGGTGTTTTTGTTGCAATCGGAAGAAGGAAAGTTCAAAACCAGCACGAGGCATGGGGAAATTAACTTGAATGGCAAAGAAGAAGTATATTGTGCTACTGGAGACTTCAACGGGGATGCTGCTTTGGATGTTCTTGTTGTTTCCGTAGGTTTTTTATTCATTTTTATGGTTTAGGTAATGGATTGCTTCTTTGCTACATTGGTTAAGGCATTTAACTGCTTCAAATTTACTAACAATAAACATGTTTTAGTCAGGAAATGGAGGTGAATTTTTTAAAGTAAACGTTTACCTGAACCACGAGGGACTGTTTACTGATGCTACAAATATTTCGCAGACGTTTGTGGAACCACCGTCGATTATGGATGTGAACGGTGACGGCACATCAGACATTGTTGGTATGATAAGAAGGGATGGTAGTATTCATTCTTTGTATTGCTTGTGTGGAAGTAAAGCCAAGACATTTGATGAATGTCATGATAGTTTCATCGAGGGAAACTTCTCTCAAGGGCCTTACGAAGGATTTCCTCATATTTTTGTGGATTTGGATGGGGACTTGAGTTCGGAGATTATTTTTGGTATGAAACAGGACAAAGTGCCACTGAAGTTGATGGTTTTCAAAAGGTTGGGAAGGTAAGGATTTTTCTTGATTTACTTTTAATTTATTTAGTGTTTATCTGAAAAGAAATTTTTATTAAATGATAATAATGTATAAAACATATTTAGATGTTACATCTACAAATTGTAATAATATATTATGTTTTAGTGCAAGTTGGATAGAAAAGAAAGACATGATCCCAGATATACCAGATAGTCCTGACCTTAGAGAATTTGCTGCTCCAGTTGTCTCTGACTTTAATGGTGATCTGAAGATTGACATTGTGATACCTGTATGCCGAGCTGTTGGTGATTGTTCTCATATTGACAAGTTCTTGGTCTGGTTCTACGGTATGACAAAATGGGAGCAATTCCAGTTGGATATGAAGGAACTGTCATTTGTGGTCGAACCAAACTCAAAAACCGTCTTCAGAGTTGGGGAGTTTAAGTTGGATGGATTTCCTGATCTGATTGCCACTTCTGTTGTTGTCAATAGCAACAGAAGGATCGAAACGAGAGCGCCGCTGATTCTGGAGAATGTTCACGCTGACAACGGAAATTTCTCCAGGTAAATTCATCTATTTTTAATGGGTTCTTCTGAAATTTAGGTAATATTTTTATGATCTTTTAGGAAATTTGACTTTAATATTCAAAAAGATCTTCACCTTGTTCTACCTGAAGCGATGGCGGGAGCTAACATAACGGCTAGTTCATTCTTCGACTTGAAAGAAGATGGTAACTTAGATGTTCTAGTAGAATATAAAGACAAACATGGAGCCGGGACGATGGTCGACTTTATAAAATGTGATGACAAAGGTGATACGACGTTCTTGAAGGTTCAAGTCTTCTCTAACGTCTGTTCGTATGACTGTCCTGGAACGCCTACTAGTGATAGCGGTAAGTTACTTCTAAAGGTTGTAGTTTTGGTCGAATATAGTAAATTAGTTTTTGTTTTGGGTGATTTATATACTTACAATACCTTTTAAGGGAGTGGAATTTCATGGTGCGGTGCTTGCGTATCGTACTCTATGGACACATCGTTCGGAGCTCCCAAGACAGCCGTCCAATGTCAGATCCCTCAAACAACATATCGTACCTTACACTCACCCTTCCTTCTCTTTGGTCTGGGTCGATCGCCCAACTTTGTCAACGAACTTCTACTAGGAAGTCCAAGAGATCCTGACCGGAAAGACAATCAGCAACATTTTTTGAAGCAGATTGTTCCGAACAGCCGGCTGATCGTCGTTCCTCCAGAACGGAATGAGAGCCATTGGCAGAGCAGATTATACCTAACTCCGAGTACCTTGATCATACAATCACTGCTCGTACAGGTTACTGTATGTTTGATACTACTTGGTCTTGTCGTCGGGCTACACATGCGGGAACGACGGCACGATCGCCGCGAACGACAGTCACAGTCACACCGCTTCCATTTCGATGCTATGTAAAGTCATATGGGTATAAACATTCCGTGGGTCGTATCTTGTAATATATTCAGTGCAGGTTTTAGTAGTCTAAAACAGTAGTACTATCTTCTTTATGGTGATATATGTTTAAAAATGTCATAATTTTGTTGTTTTTGGCAATTTTTCATAATTGAGTAATGACAAAATAATGTCACTATTTTGGTGATAGTGAAGAATGTAATTGTGAATTCTAACATCTGTCTGCCGGTTTATTTGTAAACGTTAGTTACGTGCTTTAATATATTTATGTGTATAAATGTAAATCAACGTGTTTCGATAGATTTGACAACGATTTAACTTCGAAAAAATATTTGTAAAATACGAAATTAATGATTCTGTTTCAAATTTAATTTTTTTAAATCTACTAGTATTTAAAGAATTGAAACTGAAAAAAAAAAGATTTTTAAAGTTAGTTTATTGAAATAGGCAAGATAACCAGGTATAGATCCCCCTTGATTGCAATGTCTCGTCGATTGTACGTGGTACGTCATGCCGAAAGAGAGGATAACATCAATCACAACTGGAAGAAGAAATACCCAGGATTTAAGGATGACAACACTCCATTATCGGACCGAGGAAGGAGTCAGGCTAAGGATCTGTTGGCTTTGTAAGTACACATTATTTGTTTCTGTAATCTAACTGTAAGGGTGAATAAAGCTAATTGGCACTATTATAGCTTACACTTTGTAGCTTTGAAGACATTGACATACGTAACATATACGTATCTCCGTTCGATCGTACAATGGAGACGGCAACCATTTTCCTAGAGGGTCATGACAACAAGATCAATGTTGAACCAGGAATATGTGAAGCAAGTTGTTATTTATATACAGTATAACAATTGACAAAGGAAGAATATTTTATGCAGTACTCGTAGCCAAAGCTATCTTTACGACAACTATTTTAGGCTTTGTATTTGTGTGTATCTCCTCCTGGATTCTGGGGCGTAGAGAAACTGAAGGAGAAGTTTCCGTTGGTTAATCTAGATTATGACCCTGCCTTCTCTCCGCCGATGCCCAATGAAGGCTATGGGGATTCAGCATTGACGCCACGAGTACGACAAACGATCAACAAGATCTTGGACGAGAATCCTGGTTCGGGTGGGTTGTACTGGTTTAATTATACATAGTTTTCAAGATGTCATTGTAATCGTTATTTTTTTACTGGAAACATAACATTCCTGTAATAGATTTACCATGCTTTGAAATACTGTAAAGTGTTAATTCTTTTAAAAATAAAATTTTCAGGAAATATTGTACTGGTTGGACACGGAGCATCAATTGGTGGAGTACATTCAGCGTTAGGCCATGGATTCCAATACGTAGGCCAGGCTACAGTATCCATATTCGATGAAACTGCTCCAGATTCCAAGAAGTTTAAACTAGTTGAAAGTAGTGGAGTCGATCATCTCTCGGCTTCGAATAGAAAAAACCTAAGAGCTTATTAGTTCACTTAATAAATCTTCATATTGAAATTGTTTATTATTTTATAACTACCTTTCGCAAGCTTCTTTAAAAACATTGACAAGTTATGTTATAAATAACGGTGCAATTTGCATAAAAAAACGAGACCAAAAATAAAATGTCAACACATTAGTCTAGAACTATAAAATGCTAATCGATATATTAAAAAAATTGTTTGAAACCTATTTTGAAACCTTTGACATACCCAAACCAGGCGCTGTAATGTGGGCGACGTGCTTCATGAACGGTCTTCCGGCGGTCGTAGGCGTTTTAGGGAACGGAATGCTTGCAGCGTTCCGTTCTCTCTCATTTCTGGTCTGATCCGGCCCTAAGGCGATGAAATTCTCACCATGGCCAACAATAGTGGCCATAGGTATACTGTCGTTGACATCGGCCATAACAACGAGTGACTCAGCCAAATGCGCCTTCTACTGTTTCACATTTCCTCAACAAGTAAGTCAAAGTATTTTACCTATTTCAAATCTAGTTTCGTTTAAGCTTGTTATTGTATGAGTTTACTATCGTAAAGCTTTTTTATTGTATATTACTGTATCGTACCAAAGTTATATTTTCTAGAATCAAACGTTGAGTTCGTTGAACAAAACCCTGGCAGCTGTACCAAGCCTAGGATGTACACATCTTGTTTATGGTTATGCCTTTACCGACGAGAACGGCCGAGTCAAGAATCCGACTGAGAATGATATTGTACTTGATAGCTACTACGGAAACTACAAGAATCTTCGAGGGTATGTTTAAGTCTTCTTTATCTTTTATGGTATAAAACCTCATAAAAAACTTCATTTCAGATTAAAACAAGGCAAGAACAAAGTAAAGACCCTTCTGGCCGTTCGCGAAGCTCCAGGAACCAACTTCATCGACCAGTCGTATGTTCAAGACTTGGCCATAACCAACATGATAAACTTGGCCAAAGAGAACAGCTTTGATGGCATCTTTTTGGACCTGATTCAACCAACCTTGTCATCGTTCCACTTCACTCGCTTCCTGTCTGAACTAAAACAACACATCAGCAAGGACTTCATCTTGACCTTATCAGTCGACGCTTCTGCAGTTATAAGATCGGCCGATCAGCTGAAGAAGCTAGAAGACTCCGTAAGCAATTTCTACATCAAAGCTGACAACGTCGTTGGAGCTTCTTCAGACGCCGAGACCTTGCTACTGACTCCAATTGAAACTGGCGGTGTGATTCAAGAGGAAGTGACATTGGATTACGTAGCTGATCGTCTGGATGCCGTTCTGTTGGAGAGGAACAAGATCGTGATGGGATTGAGTAGCTGGGGAAGAGGATACACGATGGAAGAGCCTCAGAAAGCCGGTGTATTGGTGGACACAGCTTCATTCGCCAAGAAAGGAAATTCGACCAGCTCCGACGGTCGATTTGCTTATCAAGACGTAAGGAAGACAGCTTGATCGTACTGTAACTTTCCTTTTAGACCTTTTTACATATTTGGTTAAGAATGCCCTTTCAGATGTGTCACTTGTTCAAAAAAGAAAATTACCGTTACGAACAGACGATGGGAGCCGTCTGGTTCGTAGGTAACAATGCCAACTGGTACAGTCTCCTCCCACCCAAGCACAAGGTTGTTGACCAAGTCTTGACCTGGATCTCGAACAGGCATTATTCTGGAGTCGGAATCGTTCAACTTGAAGCCGACGATCCAGAAAACGAATGCAAAGACAACTCGTACCCTCTGCATCGCTACATCAACCACAAGTTCCAATGTGCTCCACGAGAAGAAGTCAGGGGCAACACTTCACCGTGCAACCGATTCTGCACCTTCAGAAGTTACCTGAAGGACGTCACGGTAGAGTTTGAAAAGTTCCAGCCTGAATGGTGCTCTTACTACATCATTTCTACAGTGGACTTTGGTATTACTGGCACCATCAAGCAAGATGACAACTTCGACGCTGTTTTCAAACAATTCAACGAATGGTCCGCCAAAGTGAAGCCAAATCTTTTGGTTTCCATTGGTGATACCGTGGACTCGAAGACGTGGAAGTTTGTCATGAGATCTGATGTAGCTCGAAGAGATCTTTTACGGAATATTCAGCAGGTACAGTTGAACATATTAGTTGTTATAGTTATCTTACTGTTGCTTCACCTCACAGAAGACTAAAAGATAACAAAAATTTAACTAAAGTAATAAAAACCATATTTTTAGTTGTACGACCACAGAAACATTGATGGAATTGTGCTATCTTGGACTCAAGGCTCAATGGGTGGCAAAGGAAAGCCAGACAGTGTAGCCTTCCACAAGTTTGTGAAAGAACTGAAAGAAACCTTACCTAAGGCCATCATCATTGTCACGGGAACGATGGAAGGAACGATGAGCAAAGACTACGACATTCCCTTACTCAACAGGTAAGTACAAGTCGTAAACGTACTAATGCGATGAATACATAACATGGCTTATATAATTTGTAAAATCAAAATCTGACAAAAAATAATACTTTAACAGACTATTTACAACGACAAAAAGAAACATATCTAACGATATTTTTCTAGAACGGTTGATTACATGTTGATAGAAATGTTCCGATTCCATGATTCAAGTGATACTGTAACTGGACATCCATCGCCTTTGTTGAGTAACTCCGAATTACTGAATGACAGCGAGAAAACGGTGGTATGTCAGACACTCAGAGTCTACAAGTTAAACTAATATTTTACACTTATTTATAGCTGTTACTAAAAAACATAGGTACAAAACTACTCAAATTACACTACTGTTATACCAAAACTTCCTTTTATAGGAAGGTTTGGCCAACGAGTGGGTCAGTCTCGGCCTCCCCCGGTCCAAGATCGTTCCCCAATTCACCGCTCAAGTCATGTACCAAGGGTTGGCGAACGAAATCGACTGGCGTACCGACCGTATCATCGGCCAAAGTTCCAATCCAGCCAAGGTGGTAAAGCATCGTTCTCGAGAAATCATGTCACAGACCGAGTTGTGTCAAATACTGAGCAGTAACGATACTCACAGTGAATTCCTGCCTGAACTTGCTGTGCCAACAGCTGTGAAAGGAAACGAATTCTATGCGTATGATGACATTAGAAGCATGAAGGTCAAGTCCATCTGGTCATCGCTGAACCAATTTGGAGGTATCGCCTTGAGTGGTCTAGAGATGGACAATATCCAAGGACAATGTCCAGCTGGCAGAGCTTATCCGATTTTGAGAACGATTGTGGACAGCCAGGTACTTGTTGTTAATACCAAAAATCATATTTTTTCCCAATATATCTTTAGGTTGAACTGTATAAACTTATCACCTTAAAACAATGAAAAGCAATTCCAGACCTGTGACATGTGCCTCAAAGAACGTGAACCAGAAACCTTCAAGAAGCCCGAATGTGTTGGAGTTCCCTTCCGCGTTGTCTGCAGCTACCGGCTACCCGACGCTAACGATGTGAAGTCCCCATTGGCTCCAGAAGACATTCCTTTCAAAGACTGTTCAGAAGTTGTGGTCGAAGAAATTCAACTAAATTCTCAAGGTAGTCTTTCCTTCAGAGATTCAACAACAGAAGAGAAGATGAATGTATTGAAGAGTCTCGACCGGATGGGAAAGAAACTGATCGGTGCCATCAGGTGCAACATGAGTTCGGACGAATTCGCTAAACTTCTTACTAGTAAGTTATATTACCTAGTCTCTTACACTGACAGTTAGCTTATCTAATAAAAACAAAACCACTTTCTAACCTTAAAAAACATACTACTTTAACATTATAAAATTACCATAACTCATCATAAAATAATGGCATTCAGACCTTGAATTAATCGAGGACAACATTGAGAAGTATCTGGACACGTACGGATTGGATGGAATTGAATTACGATGCGACGATATGCTGACAACCGATACTCAGAAAAAATTCAGCAACTTGCTTCGAAGTTTGGTCAACAATTCACATAGCAAAAAGAACAGGACCAAAAGACAGTGTCCATGGACCACGAGCATCAGGTATTAGATTTAAGCACTTATCCTGAAGTCTTTTGACATAATAACGATTAATATTTACATGTTGAACCTATTTTAACATTAATTCTTACTTATTTCCAAGCTTATTTTTCCATCTTCAGAATCCCAGTATGGCAAACGGATTTGGGCACTTTCTACGACGTTCCCACCCTTAAGCATCTTCACCATGTCGCGCTAGAACCTTTCCAGGTCGAAAACAACAAAACCCAGCTGATCAGCCCTCTGTTCTCGACCGAAAGCAAATCCTTCACTGAAAACAGTATCGACAACACTCTGAAGGCCTGGATCAAGTCCGGAGTACCCAAATCCAAGATTCTGCTTCACATCCCCGCCTACGGAATCAAACAAAAAATGTCGAAGCCAGCCGCGGCCGATCAAGAGCTGGGAGCTCAAGTTCAAGGCCAAGTCCGAGTTCTAACTCAAGCTGAAGTCTGCAAAACAATAGCGACTCCAGGTGTTCAGAACCACATGATGTTCGACATGGTGGCCACATTCTCGACAACGCCGGCGTTGGAGTTCGTCACTTACGAAACTCAACAAACCATCCATTACAAGGTAAAACAATTCGCGAAAAAATCCAAAACCCATAAAATTATCCCTTCCCAAAATTATGAAAATGAAAAAGATTTTTTGATTTTTTTTGGAAAATTCGCTTGGTTTCAAGAAATTTGTTGGAGGATATATTAATAACTTTTGGCATTGTGTTTCAAGTTGGTATTTTCCCTTTTCCACTAATTTTTAAACTATTTTTGCAGGGAAAATTAGCTGAAATACATATTGTCTATAAAATAAAGCTATGAACTTGTTTTTAGATCAAATACGCGGTTCGTGAGCAGCTCGCGGGCGTGGGCCTGTTGACCATCAACGAAGACGATCACGGCGACATCTGTCGACGAGGCAAGTTCCCACTCCTGAAGGAAGTCCACGCGGCCGTCTGTTAACTTAATTAAACTCGTTTATTTTGTAAAAAGCAGGTAAATATATCTTTGAAGGCTGTGATCACATTAACTTAACTCGGTTATGTCGGCTACTCGTTTTTCGGGTTTCGGGAGTTCGTAGAGGAATCGCCGCCAGATGTCGCGATGTTGCTCCTCGATCATCTCGAAGTCGATGTGGGCCAGCTCGATGTTGGTCATCGAGCGTTGTAGTTTGCAGCGGAGTTGGATTAGTTCTATCTGAAGGTATTATTTATTGAAAAGTCATGAATTAGCTGTTAAAAATGTCCAAGAACTCTATATATACTTCAACAAAGGATGTGTTAGTATTCACAACTTACATCTAAGTTTGTACGGTCACTACTAATTTCGGCTAGATCTCGCATCCAGATGTCGACCTGATTTTCGACCGCTTGGATGTCTTTCTGGAGTTGTTGTAGTAGTTCGGGATTACCTAAACGGAATACTGAACTCAGGATCATAAAAATTAACACAACAAACCTCGTCTTAAGGCCAAAGTTTCTGCCAGTATCTCTTGCCGTGCTCGGAGAACGGCGGCTGTATCGTTCAGGATTTCTAGTTGGCAGTCGTTCTAGAAGATACAAGATTATATTTTTATGCCTTAAAATAATATTGATAATGATTTTAAATTATGTAAAATTGATTTTTAAGGTTTTTATGTTATGTTAGGTAAAGAAAAATATGCCGTAATTTTTATAAAAATGGCAAAAATTTAGAATGTTTCGGTTAAGGATTGTCGTAAACTTTAAATTGACTTGGTTCTAGATATACTTTAAACCCTGTTCCAACTCTGACGCTGCTTTCTTTTTATGTAGTTGTCAAAAAACTTTGTACTTTCTTACTTTGGCAATGGAGTTTTTCCACGACGAGAACTTCCGATATAGACGTTCGTGCTTTGCACACAGTTTTTTGATGGCATTCAGTTCGTTTCGCATGTCATCGCAGCTTTGGAGATCATCACAGGACTGACACTGAAAGAGATTTGCATAAACGGGAATTAGGGGTGATTCCAGGGCTTGTAGATCATGTTTTTGATAAGGTAAAGTATCAATATATAAGCCTTATTTTTAGGTAATTTGTGAAATATTCGGTTTTAAATTGAGTTTTAATCATCATAAACATAGTTTTAATAGCTTAAAAGCTGTAATTCAATGTATCAAAACCAAAAAAGCTTTAGATCCAACTCACCTTGGTCAGGTCGCAATTCATGTTTCAACAAGAACAACAAAAACTTAACAGTGTTGAAAGTATGACTGGGTATATAACCATGTAACAGAAGGCAGTGTACGTAGATAAAGAGGCCTAAGGCTGTTTTACTGTGTAATTAAACCATTTGCAGGCAGTGGAGTTGGTGCAAGTCCAAGGCCGCCCAGGTCCCGGGAGAACGGTCGGGAGGAACGGTGGAACGATGGGCGGGTCTATAAAGATTTTAATGAAGTCATCACACACGCTACAACTCCTACAACTTGTCGCGTAAACAAAAATAAAATTGGCCTAATTGCGCGTCGTAGCGAGGATTCCAGTCTAGAGCGTCGTTAAAGGGGGGGGGGGCACGTTTTGTTACGTAGTTTTGGTTAGAGACATTTGTTTTTATACTAAAGTTTACATTATGTACGTTGCAGCTATGGTGCCAACTATAGTACCCTTAAGGTTTCAAAAAGTAAAATTTAAAAAAATGTAATTTCTAATACTAACAACAACATCAATTCAAACTATTTAGCCTAAAGCAACGTTCGATAAGACGAGCATTAACCACACTATAACATACCACTATAAAAGATACGACTGACAATGCTAATCTCACGCAAAAGCTAAATAAAGCTAAAACTGAACGTTGTATTACACCCACTTCCCGTAAAGTATAATATGTCGTGACCTCCCCCAATTCCGCTCTTCACGCCACTCCCCAAACTATAGTAATACTGTAGCGTGAACAAGAGAATAACATTGTAAAGTCATTCCGCGATTTCGTATAGCCGAAAGCCGCAGGGTCAAATAACTCAAAGGCACGAAACATAACCCGACCAAAGAACATGGTAATAAGCGACGACACAATACATCGGGAATGTAAAGAAAGAGACAACATAGTACGACAGTGGTGGAAAAAAGAACATACGATGGTAATATATGAATTACAGTTTAAAACAGGATAATCAAATAAACCATTGTGTACTATAATGTTATTATAAAATAGTATCAACATAGTATAAGTAACACAATAGTATGATACATAACAATATACTCATCAGTAACCTAATAACCCAGCTACACAGTCCGAAGAGCCAGTGGCCACTTCAGAAGCACTTTACGATGCCGAAGCGAACGACGCCAATCAAATTAAGACCCTCGAAGTGAAGTGGCCTAAATACGGCCTGAGATACGAACGTATATGTATGTATTAGCTATCTACTTTCTGCAACAGAAGAAGAGACAAATCCCTCGACAGAGTTTCTCCACCGGACATGACTTTTTGCGGAACGACCCCCAGCGTTTTTTGCTCTCTCCGTTCCGGCCGTTCCTGGCAGAGATTCGGGTGCGGGCCTTGTTAAGCCCATGTAAAGAACGCTTATGTATGTCCGGCTCGTGTCCATTCGACCAGCGGCTACTGACTCCGGTGAAAAAACAAATCTCGAATACGAATTTCAAATTACTGCCATTTTAAATTAAAACGCTACTGGGTTTCTGATGAATGGGCGTTCCGCGCTGTCTGGACATCCGGCTGCCAAATTTAAATAAAAAACATTACTTTTGTTTCTAAATTGGTTTATACTTTTCTAAAAAGGGGATGTATAAATTAGTGTTTTTATGCGAGCTGTAGTCTATCTGTAGTAAATAGTCTTATATAAAAAGGCGTACTCTTACTATAAAAAGAAAATATAAATATAAGAAACAAGACTGTTACCTATAAAAAACTGCCGTTTGTATAAAAACAGAGAACAACCTTTCTGTAGATGTATTTTGCATATAGATTACTTGCAAAAAGCATACGGTAGAGTGGTAATCAAGAATGACATAAAGAATTGAATTACTGCCAGAGAAGGCTGTAAGTCATCTTGTCAAGCAAGATTAACGTAATTTGGAAACGACATTAAAATTGTTCCTTAAAACCCTCAAGAGATGGAATTTCAAATTAACAAAAAGTCATCTTTCAAAGTCCACGATTAGGTATTAAAAACCAAGTTCCCACCTTATCCTTGCCAATTCAAACTATAAATTAGCAAAAAGTGTGTTTAATATAAAAATTAACTTTTTATTTGAAAAGCAAACAAACCTGGACCAATTACTAAATTAATCCAAACTGTAGCCTTTAATCAAGCAACTTTCAACAGATTAAACACTGACTGATAGGTATTCCCGGGCTTTGTTTCAAATGTAATCTGTCATTTGGACGAACAGCCCTCGAGCAAAGAATGTTTGTTCAACACGTTGGAACAAGTTTACTGCGTCTTTTACTGTCTATAAATTTATTTTATTTAGTGCCCGCAAGGATTATTTTATAGCCTTTCAAGTAGCCGACCCGACCTTGGTTTATGTGAGAAATAGAGAGATCATAAGTTACTGTAACTTTAAAATTGACTACTAAATTAAGCTAATATTTTGGTTGCAGGTTGAATATTACATTTACAATGTATGTGCCAAATTTAAAATTAAACATTAAAACGATTTTTGGTTAAAAATTGTTTTTAAGCCACTTCACCCTTTGACACCAATAACAACACTTTCTATAAAACCTAATCTCAAATTTGTTTTTTGATCTATCCTACTGTACCTACACCAATATGACACCCAATCCCCAAAGTATTTGAATAACAAGCCATTCTGTCCGAATTAGGGTCGCCCGAGTGACCAGCCGGTTGTCATGCCGCAGGTCATAATAAATAATTGTAAATTAGTGGTTGACACCCAGCGACACCACAAAACAATATCCCATCTTGAAAAGTGTCATAAATCAGATCTGCGAGGCATGAAAAACGAGGCCAATGGATGTTCTGGCACGTTGGCGGCCGTTCCAAAAAAAGGCGAGTGTCCTCTTTTGGGAAACGTTATAAAAAAAGAAACCCAAAAAGGTCAGAAAACCAAGTTTCGGAGCGGGATCCGATTAAAAATGGAAATTAAACCACATCAATGTAACACTTTCCAGGCAGAAGTGAGACAAATGTCATCTCTTTGACACTGCTTGATGGAGAAGATGATAAAAAGCCAAAGGTCAACTCTGATATCGGAGGAACGTTGCAAAGTGTGTGTTATTATATTGCAGTAGAAACATATAACCACAAAATGTAATAACATAACAGCACAAAGGCGTTATAATATCAAACTTGAGTTTTTGCAAACCTATCATTGTAGTAACGTAGCACTATGATAGTTAAAGTACAGCTCCTACTTCATAAATTACACTGTAATTTTCTGTCTATACGTAAAGTAGTCTTTATCATAGCAAAACCTCAGCTTACATTACCAAGACAATCCACAAAGAATGGTCGTTCAATAGAAAACAATGCCTATGATAACATAAAGTAACCTTTATTATATTTTGGCAGCTGTTTGTAAAGCGTACTGGTCCAAGTCCTTGTTATTATAACAATGTTGTTTTTATGTCTTTACTGCATGTCGTACATAACATGACATGTTATAGTGAATGATATGAGTTGTATCCTGTTTAAATGAAAAAGAAGGCAGGCATGTTAAAACTTATACGGTAGAGTTTCAAAGCATAAACTACAAAAGAAAAGCGAAACGCTTTATCTTATCTAGATGTAACATTAAAAGTTTACAGATAATGTATATAGAGAAAAATAGTCAAAAGTTGTCTTTTCTGACATTTATTTTAAAAGCCAAAGCTGTGGTACAGATAAAAAATTAGGTTTTGAAATTCGCGCCAAATTGGCATTGCGTTTCAAGCTTATAAATTCGTCGTTTTTCGACTTTTAAGAATTTTTCTTTAATATAAGAAAATCTTTAAATTAACCAAAACTTTTAAATTTGTAACTGTAGCTTGTCTGGAAAGTCAAAAAAGTGCTTGAAACACAATGCCAAATTACTTGTGGTACAAGTTACTCATACACAAAATTTGAGCTAATTCTGAGTGGGGCAGGTTGATTAGTTTTTCTGTCAGTAGCAAAACTGTATTTGTGAATCATGGTATGTCGCGCCCTACATTCCTTGTACACTCAAAGTTGTTGTCGCTGAAATCGAGCGTATTTCCTGTACAACTTTGAGGCGTGTAACTGATAAGCGACGTGTAAAGGAATCTATCTTATCATTGCCTCAAATAGAGCTCGGAGGTCGACGCGTGATGAATTCGAAGTGAAATAGTCATGCCACTTGGTTATAGTGCAGTTTGAAACTTTAAATGTACAAAGGTTACAAGGATCTTATCATTCCAACTTTTGATTTTGAAATTCGATGATTAGATATTGTGACTCAGTTGAAAGTCTGGGGAATTTGATTTGTTGAGGGCAGTCTTTGAGTAGTCTTATGTTGTTGTAGCTTACGAGTATTCAGTTTATGTTTGTTAGTTTACAAAATATGTATTATAATATTATATTTTTTGAAGAAAACGTTAAAACATAATGTTGTTCAGAAGGTTTAAAAACACATTTTTAGAAGGCTGAGGCAATGAACCAACAAAGAGCTCTTTCCGAGCTTATCTTATCTAACAATCAGTGTCATTTCTGATGAATAATCAACATACTTAATACTCTTTATGAGGCACATTAATGTTAAAACAATCAAATTTTGGACTTGGTTTTGAGAATTTTTCCTTCTTTGTCAGATTTTGTTTTTTAAAGGCTTATTTTCTATTGTTTAAAACTTTTTTTGACATATAATGCCAATTATATTAGTTTAATTACGATTATGTTATTAATAAGGTTTTATCAAATAAGTCAGAAAAAATTAAGAGAAGGCTGTGTTTAGTAGTTTTTTGTGGCTTTTTGTTTGGATAATATCAAGTTTAAGAAATTTTGAAATTGTCAGGTTTTCAAATGCAGTACGGTATAGTGAGTTGACTATGGTAACATAAACGTCGGTTGAAGGCTGTAACTGGAAATCAAATTTATTTTTGAGTCGCTAAGTTAAAAGATATTATAAAACCGTATTTACTGATTTAAAATATTGCTTCAATGTTTTTTAAACATAAAAAGCATATTTTTGAGATCAAAAGCTAATGCACGTATGACAATATAAAACCACTTCCGCTATCTAGTAGTTACTTAATCTGACTGGACTGTCTTCTGTATCAATTATTGATAGTAGGAATAATTTGCAGCTCATTAGTGTGCGTGAATATTGTATTATTGATTAAAAACTGCGTAATTAATGTTGTGATTGGGAGTTTCCTCTTTGGTTTTATTGTTTTTGGGAAAACTGTTTACTATAAAAGGTTTATGGTAATATAACTGTTTACAGTGTTTTATAAAGTTATGTTGTGATATAGTTTTGTCTGGCATTCTATTGCCAGTAGATATGTTTAAAATAGCTTTTACAATGCATTTATAAAAGATTCTCAGTCTAATGCTGAGCGTACTTTGCTCCATATTCAATTTTGAATCATGACGTGCTATAATTATGCAGACTGTTTTTGATGTAAGGGCTCAAAATTCTGTCGACAGTAAAAATAACTTTGCATAATATAAAAATTCCGGTTTTTGAATGACTAAACTTGTTTTTTGTTTATTTATAGGGACATGAATAATATGATTTATAAAATTTCATCGTGTATGTGCGTATTTCGTTCATATTATTCAGAATACGCTTTCTATGTTTTGCTCTGTTAACAATTGTGAATAACATATTTTAGTTACTTAACTTCTTTTGCAATTTTCAACGTCTCTTAAAGTATTATATTAACAATATTTTTGATTTTTTCATAGTATGCAAATTATAATTATATAATAGTTAAAAAATTTACCGTGGTTTTTAATTTTCATGAAACTTCTTTTAATTTTTTTTGCAATTTAAAACTTTTTTAAAGTTTATTTTAAATATCAAATTTGGCGTAAAGTTTGAAATTACCTTTCAATTACCTAAATAAAGTAATTTTTTAATGCCGCCTCCTAATGCCATTATAATAACATCTTAATGACATTATAATAACACCCTTTGCTAATTGTCTTGACCCAGTTCCCCTCCAAGTCCCGGAATATATTGTGTTTGCCTTTATTTTTCTTTTGTCTTTCGAAATATTTTGTTTTGAGTCTTAAGGGCTTGTGAAATGAAATGTTTACAGAGCCAGTTTTACTTCGTATCTTCGATCAATTAAAGTTTATTTTTGGACTTTAATTTGTTTATTTTTACTTTCGGAGGGTTCGAATTTAACCTAACTATATAAATGATCTGTTTAATGATCAGAGTTTGGTCTCTTACAATGAAAGAAGGTTTTACTTAATATTGTTTTTGTCTATACAACTTTATGTGGCAATTTCTGCTGAAATTTGACAGAAATATGTGTTTTTTTAGTGATTTTTAAACTTTTATTGAGGTTAAATTGGGGAACATGCGTAAAGATGTGTTTGGCATAAGTTATAGAAATCTCTGAAAAGAAACTGAAATAATAAGAAGCTTGTTTAATTTTAGAACGTTTGGCTTTTTTGAGTTGCTAATTAGTTCAAAATTAGACTTAAAATGCAAATCTAGTCTACATTGTTTTGTTACTTTCTTAAACGTAAACTACTAAGTATAAAACATTTTGGTTTAAAAATTTTATTCTCAGTAGTTACATAATTTAGAAATTGTCTTATTTTACTGTCAAAGGACCACAGACCATAAATCGTTTGCGCCCACTGTTTCTCCCCGATTTGGCAATGAACTTTTTTCGCGCTAAACGTGAGCGGGTCCACTGGATAAATGATTTCCTTTATCCGTAAACGACTCGCTCACGTTTTGCGCCAAAAAAGTTCAGCCCTTTGGGAGAGAAAGTTTTCCCTGATCTGAAACGGAATATTAATTCTAATTTTATGTCATAAAAATGTTAATATTGTTTATGAGCTTTTAATGTATGACAGTTTAATACGTTGTGGTTTTTTCCACTATGTTATTTTGGAATGGTAAATTTAATATTGGAAGTTTACGAAAAATATATATAAAAGGTGATGGGATAAACAAGGTATCGTTTATTGTCATCTTGTGTTATATTCTGATCTTACTCTAGTCCTATATTAGCTCCTTTTGTAACGTAATATCTATCACGTCTTTTCAAAATTTCTAAAAATGCATTACTAAGTTTATTAGTATTGTAGGCAACATAAAAAAGAACTTTTAGTAAAAATTGTGCAGAAAAATATTTTTCTACCTAAGACAACACATTTTGCACAAACAAAATAAGACCGATCAAGGTGCCTCTAGTAACCATAAGACCTTGATCTGTCTTACCTTAATCTTACGATTGACATAGCCATACCTATAGCGCTTTATCACTATAAACGTACCTTTACCTTGTTATCGCTACTCATACTTTGTTATCGTACCTTATCGTTAGTAACGTGATCGTCGTAAACAGCATCTTTTTTTGGTTTAATGTCAATGAGCAACTTTGCTGTAAGTCTCTGTAACTCGTTTCCTTAGAGACTGTCTGCGTCTATTTATAAGTAATACATCAATTATGTCGCGCTTTGTAAGGCGTATATAACACAATAACATAACTCATTATTGCTTGTTTATTTTCAGCAAAAAAATTTACAATTCAAGTGTCAATATGAGTAACGAAAAAGCCAAAAGAGTCTGGTGTGATGGGTGGTAAGTGAAGGGTTACAGTACTATAACATTGCTGTAATTGAAAAAGTAGCATTTTTTAGTTAAGCAATGACATTTATCACTTTCAATGATTTATGGCTAAACAAAAGACAAATTTTTAAAATTTTGTTTTACTATTAACTTAAAAATTAAAATATACGGTAAATTTACAATAATTGTTTTAGCTATGACATGGTCCACTTTGGTCATGCCAATCAGCTTCGTCAGGCCAAGGAAATGGGCCAGAAGCTGGTTGTTGGTGTACATAATGATGAAGAGATAACAAAACACAAAGGACCCCCAGTTTTCAATCAAGAGGAACGCTACAGGATGGTGAGGGGCATCAAGTGGGTCGACGAAGTAAGGATAACATCACATGCTTTATACAATATCATTTCTTTTGTCAAATTAACTCTTTTTGATCTTATAAGCTTACTTAGGGCAATACTTTTAGATAGTAGAAGATGCTCCGTACTCTACCACAATTGAAACCCTCGACAAATACGATTGTGACTTTTGTGTCCATGGAAGTAAGTCTTGATCCTTAAAAAGTGCATTCTATATATATTGTCATTTTTTTACTTCTTATTGTAATTGAAGCGTGTATCAAAAACTTGAATTTTTTTTTAATTCAAAACTGGAATACGTATTTTACATTACTTTATGATTTCAGACGATATCACACTCACTGCAGATGGGGTAGACACATACGCTGATGTAAAAGCAGCCGGCCGTTACCGTGAATGTGAACGGACAGCTGGTGTCTCTACTACTGTAAGTTTAAATCAAAAGTTCATTTTTTTAATTTAAATTTTTTGGAATTGAAAAACATTAATCTGTAATAAGGTAATCTGTAATAAGGTAACTATATTTTTTGAAAAATGTAAAGTTATCTTCCATCATTACAGGACTTGGTAGGACGTATGTTGTTGATGACACGAAGCCACCACAGCCAAAGTGAAGACATGACTCCGGAACACGAACAGAAGGCCCACAAACTCAGCACCGTAAGGCAATGTATACTGTTTGCCGTATGTTTTGGTGTCTGCACCGTTTCCCTATAGTATCGTTATGTTGTGTCATGTCACTGTTATTACACATGTTTAGTCATCATTTTTAATTTTTTTAAATTTAGTGTTTACTTTTACATTTTACAGTATCTTGTTTGTAATGTATTGTGTAGTGTCGACTACCAATATAAAAATAATATTAATCCCAATTTTAGGACCACGGTGCTGGTTCTCCATGGACCCGAGTCTCCAAATTCATGCCTTCAACACAACAGATTCTGCAGTTTGCTGACGGTAAAGCTCCAGCACCCGGAGATACGATCGTATATGTGTGTGGAGCTTTTGATCTTTTCCATGTTGGTCATCTCTGCTTCTTGGAAGAGGCCAGAAAGCTGGGCGACTATCTTATTGTAGGATTGTATCCAGATGCCGTAGTGAACAACTACAAGGGCAACAACAGTCCCATCATGACACTACATGAACGAGTACTCAGTGTGCTTGCTTACAAAGTACGTTTGTGCTGTATATCAGGCAGGGTAATTGATAAACTGGTGTCTTATACACATAAGATATGTACCAGTTTATCGATTATAAGATGTTAGATGTGCCTTATCCAACTAAATATAACATTTATGAATAACATCTAAACCAAAATATTTACAGCCAGTAAGTGAAGTTGTAATCGGAGCTCCATACGAAGTAACCAAGGACCTCATAGACAGATTCCATATCGATATTGTAGTCAGCGGCCTTCGAGGTCATCAAGAGCACGATGGCGTCGACCGCTTCAGAATCCCCAAAACGCTGGGAATCTTCAAAGAAATCGAAAGTGGCAACAGGATGACTACGGACAAGATCGTGCAGAGGATCATCGCTCATCGACAGACCTTCGAGATCAGAAACCAGAAGAAAGAACGGAAGGAGATCGCCGCCTTCGAAGCTTTAAAACGGCTACAGAGCCGTCAGGGACTATCGTGCACTAGCCAGGTGATATCGCTACATGAACACAACGGCCAAGCTCACTAATCTTGTCATTATATGACATTCAAAAACAATACAAATAAACAAAATTAATCAAGAGCTATAATGGTTACCTAAAGGTCTAGATATCAGTTTAATATTATTATTAGATTTATATATCGTATATGTATACATTTTTTAAAATATACTCTTCAAAATACTTGTCTCAGGTCTCTACGATCGTACTCCTGTTGAGCATTATCCGTAGAGTACGTCTGATGTGCTGAGCACGGTAATCGGGGCAACTTCTGAATCTCGGCTTCCACTTCCATCAGATTTCGATTCTTAGTTTCCGGTAGAAAGTAGTAGAAGAATACAAAACAGTACAACATGGGTAATACAAACAAGATAGCATAAGAGTAGTCAGACCCTATAGCATTACTCAGTGGTAGATAAAATATCAAAATTACAGTACGACTCGCCATCTGAACAAACGCGGCCCAACTCTGGCCAGCCGATCGAGCATGCTGGCCGATCATTTCTGATGTTATAAAGTAACATAGAGGTCCAGGGCCAATGGTAAATGCGATAAAGAACAGTAAAATAGCACCGATGAGACAGTAACCAAGCCATTGTGCATGATACACGTTGTAGGCTCTCATTAAAGCAAATATAGCTATGTTTATGGCGACTATGGCCATCACAGTTCGTAGTAACAAAGGTCGTCTACCATGTTTATCGATTATTGAGGCGGAAAACAGAGCTCCTATCTAAAACAACATTGATTTATTGCCTTTTTTGTGTATTTTTTTTATAAATAATCAACTAAAACTTACCAGAGTAGATAAGGATAGAAAGGCATTGGCAATTGACGCTTGGAAGATCGACAGACCTGTATTTCGCAGAATTTCGACCGCAAACGCGTTGATAACTGGTGCAAATATTAATTATTATATTAGATGATTCGAAAATATCTTATACTACAGTTTTTTTTAACCTTATTATAACAATACAAATTGGTGTTTAGGAATTTTAATCTCTAAAAAACAAAATCTTGTCAGCCAAGATCAAATAAAAGCTTTGCGGCCTGCGAAAGATCTTTTCGCTGCGCCCGATATCTTTAAGTTTAGAAATAAAAATTTTGACATTTATTTTGGAGCAAAACATACCAGCAACTCCACTGAACCCCATAGCGAAGGCTGTAGTTGCTCCAACAATCGTGGCTCGTCGAGTTTGAGGATCTCTTAGAACTTGGATAATATTCATGCTTCTAGTGTTGTTCTGAATGTTATCCTTCAGTTCCTTGACATGCTTATCTACAAGGTAATCTGGACAGTTGTAGTACAACTTGACCGAATCTCGCGCAGATTCTTCGTAGCCTTTGAATAGCAAATAACTGTAACTTTTAAAATTAAAATTTATATATATACTCTTTTAGAGGTTTTTGAAAGAAAAACTTTAATAAGTTAATTTAAGTTACACCTTTAATATTTATACCTTATTTTATGTTTAAACTTATAAAGGAGATGACTCTCTACATTAAAAGTTGTTAAAAAAAGTTATTTTATTGACATACCAAGGACTTTCAGGATAAAAGCTGAACAACAACATAACCACGGACACAACCAACACTTCAGCCAGATAAATTATCCACCAGGTCTCGACATCTCCGAAAATGTCTGGCATTCCAATAATAGAGCCCAAGAAGAGTCCCAATTGGACAAAGATCCCAGTTGTCATGCAGACCATTCCTCGACATCCTTTTGGGCTTAAAATCAGGTCAGCTTTGAAGTTTTACATTTTTTAATGAATAGGTAACAGTAGTGCTTTAAGAAAATGTTGGTTTTTGAGGAGTTTTATTTAGATGTAAAGTTTTAATTTTTAGGTCAACCTACCTGCACTCTGTCAAGAAAAGTCCAGACATTCCCAATGCCATAGACACTGATACACCCATAGTAAACCTGGATACACCGTATAGTTCAAAGCTGTTTATCTGAACAATGAAGGTAAGAATTGATAGAAAAAGGAATTTAAATTTTTTGTATTATGAGGTCTTGGTTTACATATCCACTTTGCAGCATAAACTTACAAAGTACGATCCTATTGACAAGAGTGATGACGCCAAAATACCAAAGAACGACAACAGCAGCGCTTTCTTCCGTCCAATCCAATCAGCAAAGAACCTCAACGTCAAAGATCCGACAATACCTCCGGCAAACAAAACAGCAACCAAGAAGCCCCATATTGCATCTAACCCAGCCTTATCCAATACCACTCCGAAATGGTCGTGGTAGGACTGATTCACAAAAGTGGTGAACGCATATTGAGCTGGATTGGTGAGAGTGACTTGGTAGCCGAAATGAAAAGCTCCGCCAATACCACTAAGCAGGGCACTGAACAACAACTTCTTGCCGGGCCGTGTGTCAGAGTAATAGGTAGACATGGTGAATGAACAAAAGCCACAGCTTCACTTTAATGCCCATCGCTTTGCATAATCCCCGATTTGGACGCAGCACACCATGCGGCGGGTGAGTGATTCCTTCGTCGACCGGTACATTTCAAAACAAAATCAAAAAACAGTATTTGTCATTTTAAAGTGTCTTATCTGGCTTATTAAGCCTTAAAACATGTAAATCATCATTTATGCAAAGGTTTAATATATTTTTTACTAATTATGAGGGAAAAGCACGTTGTCAACAGTTTTAGGACAAACCTTGAGCCATGTGTTTGAATGATTAATGTCTATTTGTTTAACTTGTTTTTAACATATTTTTTAAAAATTTAAAGGCTTAAAATTGAAACGGATGGTATCCAAATATAACTTATAAATAGATCAAATCACGTTCATCGCTGTCAACGTGCTAGAACCAAAGTGTAAACAAATCTGAATAATGCGCGAAGCTACGTGTACTTTCAGGCTGTTCAGATACCAGATCTCGAGGATCTCATGGTGAAGGTCGAGTGGCTTGAATATCTCGTAAACTTTGCTTCTCTTCTCGGTAAACCCCCACACAGCGTTCCCGTCATTCCGGATTGCGGGGCGGATTTGGGGAGTGTCCCATGATCTGCGGGCCGCATTCATTCATAAGAGGCGCACTCTCAGCTTCATCTCAAGACCTTGATCAACTTGTTTACGACCCTTTACATCTCGCCTGCGGGCAGAGGAAGGTCGGGAACTTTTCGGCCGGGCTGAGAAGTTTGTGTTGATAAGCTTCAGCACGGTTCGGAACGTTGAGCCGTGCCAAGCGGTTCTTTACATCAGCAAGTACACACCCCTACCATCACCTTGAACTACGTGTTTTTTCGGACGGAAATGCCCTCTGGGCAGTGCCACAACTGTCACTGGGCAATGTCGAGTTTATTTTTTGTTTTGAGGCGGAGTTTCAGAGGTTGTTTGTGGAAACTGCGAAGCCTGCAGGCCATATGGTCACCTAGGCTTGAGGCAATTTAAAGGCCTAGATCCGGTCGCTTTAAACATTTCTCATATCCTTGAAGCGGTTTTTCTTCCCCATCTCTTTCCCACAATCGTTTCGACTTTAAAACACCGTGATTTAGTGTGAGCGTAGGTTGGCTACTCTCATGCTGTGATACGTAGCATAGGTTGGTCACTGTAACATTTTCAAGTAGTGCCGCTAACCATTAAAGTGGGAAAAAGGAATACATGCATAGACTAGGTATTGTCATTGTGAGATATGTAAATCTGGTAGAATATTCTTTCATCCGTGATGTTATGATAGCTTTACGTTTAATATGTCAAATACTTTGATGTTGTTGTAGAAATATGTCTGTTCCATTGACGCACGACTGGTCCGCCGAGAACTGGGACTGGCCCCTCCAACACAACGACGGTGTCGTCAAGGTCCACAACACCAGCGACAAATGGGAAGTCGGACTCGATGCTTCTTTCTTCACCCCAAAGGAAATCGAAGTAGGTTTTGTCATAAGATTTAAAGTTTAACAATTACTGTAGTCCAATAAAGTGATGGCACAACGTAAAATATTAGCCCAGGCCTCAAGATAAAGCTGTTTTAGTTCAAATTTGAATTTTAAAATCATATTTATTACGTAGAAGTTGAAGAATTTTTGTCATTTTGTGGCTAGGTTACTGTTTGAGGAGTTACAGTGCTGTATACATTTGTTATATGAGTTTACAGAAGTTAACAGAACGGCTAAACTAACTTGACATAGCCCGCTTAAAAATGTTGTACAGTTTTACAGTGACTTTAATGCAAGATAAAACCATATTAAAACAATATCTACGTCACAGTAACACTAAAATTACTACTTACTTAAACGTTACTATGTATATAGATCCCAAAGTAAAATACCTTACTCTATAAATGACCTCTCTAATGGCAATCTTTGTAGGTCAAAGTTGTTGGTGACACTTTGAGCATCCACTGTGTTCACGAGGAGCGCAAGGACACCCATGGTGCCGTCAAGCGTGAGGTTAACCGTTCCTACCATCTGCCAAGCGATGTCGACCCATCCACCTTGAAGTCCCACCTCACGACTCGTGGAGTTCTCCAGATCACCGCCGACAAGAAACACTAAATGTTGTGAATCTCGAATAATCAAAGCCATCTCTTTTGATTGTAATTATTGTGTAGTAATCATATCGGATAATTAATAAAGCAGAGTGCCTCAAGACGGAATACCTACTATAATATATCTCTAAATGTAGAATTTAGTGCATTATTATCATACAGCTCCATTTAGTGTACAAGATAGTGTTCCATAACTTTTTGAGTTAACTTTTGACCGTTTTATACTTAAAATTTTAAAAATGTTACCTATTCATGTAAAATGACATTGTGTTAAACATAAGAAAACAGTGCTAACAAGATCAATTGCAATTGTTACCGTTTATTTAAGGCTAATACCTCAGGCAATCAGTTTCGAAACAGCAGTTTCATCACTCTGATGTCACTTCTCAACAAATGACCAGGAACTAAATTCGAACTCAGTGTGCCGTTCTCTGATCCTTGAGTATCCAATAAAAGTGCAATTTATATATTTTAAAAGTTCTCGGACCATCTAGAACTTTGTGGAGAAATTTCGAAATCTTGAAACCACCGAAAAGTGTTTTGGGTCATGTGTTGTTTCTGAATGGTGAGTCAAGTCTTGCTTTTTAATTGTTGCAAATTTTATTATTGAAGGATGTGAATGTTTTGTTATTACCTACTGCTACTGTCCTATGTTCTTGTAACGACAAGGAAGAACAAACTCCTTGGATGGAAAAGCATGGTTAAACACAAGAAGATGAACAACATGGGGTAGATCAAATGGATGTTGGTGGGCCTACGCCATTGGTAAGTTATAAAATTTTAAAATGTTTAAAACCTTAAAATGATGAAGGCTTATAATCATAGACTTGTACTTTTGACAAAAACTGACATTTAAGACAAGTACACTTGAAAGATTATATTGTTCAATATTATACTTGCACTATGTCTTATAAGCAATAACACTGTCTTGCTGCATGATCTATTACAAAGGTTTTTTAGATCTATCGCAATTTAAAGAACTGATTTCTGTTGATTATTTTGATTATTTGTTATATTGTTTTACCCTTTGCACTATTCCTCATGGCTTGCACACAAACTGGTATAAGTAAATATATTGTTTAAAACTCTGAAAAACAATTGCTGACCTCTTGGCCGCCCCGATCAGGTGTTTGGGGCCAGCTGCTTGGCCTTCCGATCTTATAAAAGCTGTGTTATCTGTCCAGAGAAATGACCAAGAAACGATTTAAACAATCCCGTCTCCACTTTCCTGCTCGTGCGCGGATCTTTGGATTCGAGAGAATTTCAAATTATTTAAACACCTCCTTGGCCACAGACCTCGGCCGAGAGGTGCGCGTCCGATTACAACACTTTTAACGAAATTTAACTGTTATTTAGTTAGGCTTGAGTTGACTGCTTTGTTTTAGTTGTCCTTTCTGTTTTCAGTTTTTGTTTCGAAATGACTAGTGTACCAGTTGGCCACGAATGGACGGGAGAGTCCTGGGACTGGCCTCTACAACACAACGATGGTATTGTCAAGGTGCACAACACCAAGGACAAGTTTGAGGTGGGATTGGATGTGCAGTTCTTCACTCCAAACGAAATTGAGGTAGGATTTGTGGTATTTATAATTTGGTAGTGTTAGTATTTGACTTTCTGAGTTTAAAAGAATGTAAAAGTACTTTATTTTTGCTATCACGATACATAAAATCTTACCAGATTGGCTTCGTGGTCATGTCACTAAAATCCAATGAAATGCTAAGTAATAAGTGACATCTAAGCGATGTTTAAAGAAATTTAATATAAACTAATAAGAGTACTTTTAAACAGTTACAGAACCAACATCTTTTTGAGACGGTAGACTAATGTCCTGCTATCTTATAGGTAAAAGTAGCGGGTAACGAGATCTTGATCAACTGTCGTCACGAAAGCCGTACTGATCAGCACGGTACAGTTACTCGTGAGATCCACCGTGCCTACAAACTTCCGGCCGACGTCGATGCGGCCACTTTGAAGTCGCATCTGACTTCTCGCGGCGTTCTGAACATTACCGCCGAGAAGAAGAAGTAACGTGATTGGAATGTGCTCGTTTAACTAAAATACTTGCAATTTCTTGTAATGAGTAATGTAATAAAGACTCACGAATTATTTCGGCGCTTAATCACAGTTGCGGCCGTATAAACGAGTCATTGTGGCCTGGGGCGTTTGGATTGACTGGTCAAAAGTTGAGGGGCTGATTGAGTAGTTATGTGTTGGGGATCGTGTTATTCAGAGTTTTTGGATTGTTTTACTATGTAATATATCACGATAGTTAACGTAGAATAGACTCAGCCACTTTTTGGTAAAAATTTAAGTACGATGAATCTTGTAGGAGATTAGAGGCTTTGTTTTACCCAATTCTACTATCAATAAGGTCTCTCTCTTGCAACATATGATATCTTTTACACTCCCCACCGTGTTTGCACTTTCTCTCGCACTCAAGATACGATCGGCGTGCCATTCCAGCCTCGTCTGATGTTTATCGACGTCGCTGTTGTTATAACTCTTTGCGAAACCTTCTTATTATTTACTTTTAATACGGTTTGTCGGTATTTTCCCACGTCGCCACGACTGTACGCACGTTGAAGCACGCTTCTGAACTTGTTTTATTTATTGCGCAATAAGCTATAAATAATTGGACCGATATTTATAGCACAAGTGAGACTGTAACGAGCAAGAACAATGTCCTATCAACTGTTCTCGCCGATCGTCATTGTATTTCCACGATGAACGCACGATGACTGTTTCTCTGATTGTCTTCTCGCCTTAATGGCGTCTGATGGTCTACAAGTTGCTTTAAGTGGTTCGGGAGGAAAGAACAGAGGTAAAGGTCTTTCTTCCCGATCCGTCCGGTTTATCGAGCGGCCGATTGATTGTTCGTTTAATAACTGGTCTGACGGCGGTAGTACAACATCCCTCCAAATGACATTTGGGTTTACTGGGTTAGAGGCTGATTTTTAAAATTTTATTTTATCAATTTTTGTTTGATTTTAACGCTTTTACTAGTTTAGTTTGCCTTTTATGGTCAACTTGTTATACTCTTGGGCTTTCATCGTCATTTTTCTGTTGGCTTCATGACAATCTTTGTTGATCTCTTTCTTTAAACAACATTTTTGAAAGTTTATATTAGGTTATTTATAGTTCTGAGGTACGATTAGGTTTAAACTACAAAACATTTGAACCGTGTTATGTATTGTGCTACAATGTGCTTTGCTACGGTATTCTATTTAATTTTTGTTAATTATATTTTTTTTATCTTCTTATAGTGCTTAATTGTGAAGTTCTGAAATAAAACTGAACTTTCCTTATTGATCTAAAAATCAAAAGTTATTCTTCTCACTCTATTACAATTGCAAAAGGCTTACTCTGGTGAAAGATGGATGATAAAGTAATCCGAATTCCTAGTTTAAACCTAATCTTAATTGTTGTCATTACCCATCCCTTCTTCCGTTCTATTACAATAAACTTTTACGGTTTAAAGTTGTTTTTCTTACCGTTAAACGATTTACAATCTAATTGTCTACTGCCTTCTGTGACGTAAGCTACTAAGTTTTTGATTCTTCTGATAAAATATTTTGAAACCCCTTATTTCTTGAAAAAAACTGATTTTTTAAATTTTAAAACTGTAAAAAATTAACTGTTTATCAACTTTTACAAAAAAAATGTTACCATCAGTATAAAAATACACTACTTACATAAGGTTGAACTCAAAGAATCTAAACTTTTTTACCTTTTTCAAAAAATATTCAGATATGCGCGAAAAGTTATGAAAAGTGGATAGTTGCGGTGTTTTGGTGGATTTCGACGGGATGCCTGAGGCTTAAGAAAAGAGCGAAAAAGGGAAGACGAAGTAGTAAAGCGATGGCGACTCGGCTGTCGACTTTTCCTTCCCTTCACAAATTGGGGTTTCGAGTTCGATTATGAACGTTGTTTTGTATTACGTGGGATTCTGGAGGCGCCAGGTAATTTGTTACGTATACACTTAAAGTCTATGGTAAATGTCATCTTTTTGACCTTTTTTAAAGAATGTATTGTTCAGGTTTTGTTTGTACTGTAACATTTTGCTGTAAATACCGAAAACTTTGAATTGTGAGCACGATCTTAGTTTATGATACTGTTATTTATTTCCATTTGATTACCCTACCTTATTTACACACAAAGTAAGCCCACTTTCTGCTGTAAACTCCTGTTTTCCCAATCTTTTACTAAAATTTCTCAAGTTTCCCGAGGCTCAGCTAACTGTAAAGAACGGTTTGTCAACAGAACGGTTCAAACCTCAACCGGCCTTGAGGCTAACCCGATCCTCGCAGTGATCAAACGAACGTATCTTTCTAAACAACCAGTCGGTATCCCTTCTAGAAGCAACTTTTCGAATTCCTTGCGGTTTAAACTGTAGAATCTGGAACGGAGAGGTAGTTTCTGATTAGTGACGTCTCCTTCCATCGACTCTCTCCCTTCCGCCGTGTCTGTGTTGCTTCGTATCTGATGATGTCGCGCCTCGTAATGACTTTGGATTTCGCACAAATTAATGACATTTTACGCAATTTTATTTGTTTTTTAGAATCCCGTTGAAGCTCTACATCTGGAGAGCGTGCGTTCACGGCATGCCATCTCAGTCATGGCAAGAGGACCCCCTCCCGTCTACCAGTTCACCCCCACCTTCCAACTTTACACTTTACGATCAGACGTTTCAACGTTTCGAAGCGCCAAAAACATTCAGACGGAGGAACGGAAGTGTGATTATGAACACTGCCACCAACACATATTTCATTGCTTTACTGTTCCTTTTCACCTTACACACAGCGACAGGTAAGGCATTTTTTATAAAATTGATTACTATTTCATAAAAATATTTTTTCATTTACTAGTTATCAAAACTAACTAAAACACTAATTATACCTCTAAGAATACTATAGTATCACTTTCAGCGTTAAAACAAGTCCACGAATATCAAAGATACGATGGGTGGTACAATAACCTCGCAAACCCTCAGTGGGGCACAGTAAGCAGTAGATTACACCGTGATGCTCCCAGTGCATACGAAGATGGAGTATATAAGTTATGGGAGAAAGACCTGCCATCAGCTAGAAACATCTCAAGTAAGATACCACTATGTTGTTAATTATTACCATGTTTAGATCTGGTATTCAAAGGAAAAGATGGTATTCCAAATGCTCGGAACTTGACAACTATGATGGCTTTCTTCAGTAAGTTACATACCATTTAAACATGAAACAGAGCTAATAAATACAGTAATAAGTTTAGAAAACTTATATTTGGATTGCTATAACAGTGATTTTTCATCAAAAAATATATTGTTTTAGGTCAAGTAGTTGCGTACGAGATAATGCAATCAACTCAAATCAGTTGTCCGTTGGAAATGCACAAGATCCAGGTGCCAAAGTGTGATGCTGTGTTTGACAAGGAATGTAAAGGAGAAACACAGATACCATTTACAAGAGCCAAATACGACAAAACCACTGGACATGGGCTGAATTCACCAAGAGAACAGGTAACTTGAATGTTTTACATAGTCTTGCGTTTAGTAAACTTTAAATTACTCGAAGCGCCAATGACTAAATGAAGTTATTGTAGGTGAACGACAGAACAGCCTGGATCGATGCTTCTTTTCTGTACAGTACCCAAGAACCATGGGTCGCTGCTCTGAGGTCATACAAGAACGGAACCTTAAAAGAGCACGACTCTATGAAAGGGTACCCTCCATTCAACAACCCCCACATTCCTCTGATCAACCCTCCACCACCTCAGATTCATCGCTTAATGAAGCCAGACAGATTATTCAGTAGGTTGATCAAGCTAATATTCTAGATCTTCAATTTTTTGTTATTTTTAATACATTTTGACATTTTTTGTCGATTTTGTTACCTAAACACAATATTTTAGTCCTTGGTGATCCTCGAGTCAACGAGAATCCAGGTCTTCTCAGTTTCGGGCTAATTCTGTTCAGATGGCACAACATCCAAGCGAGAGAGTTGGAGAAGAAACATCCAGAATGGACAGATGAAGAACTCTTCCAAGGTGCCAGAAGACTAGTCATAGCTACACTACAAAAGATCGTATACTACGACTACCTCCCGGCCCTACTCGGAAACGAAGCCGGCAGTCCAGAAGAGTACAAGTACGATGGCTACAAACCCTATCTGCCTCCAGGCATTTCACATTCTTTTGCTACAACCGCCTTCAGATTCCCACATACGATCGTTCCGCCTGGAATGTTATTCAGAACAAAGACAGACAAGTGTCAGTTTAGAGACGAGGTTGGTGGGTACCCCGCCCTCCGATTGTGCCAAAACTGGTGGAATGCCCAAGACATTGTCAGAACATATACTGTAGACGAGATTGTTCTTGGAATGGCTAGCCAGTTGGCCGAAGCTGAGGACAACATTGTTGTCGAGGATTTGAGGGGTATGTCATTTTAGTTTTAAATATATTTATTGGCATTGTATGTAAGTGCCTATCAGTAGTTCTGTAGTTAACATTACATAGACGTTGCGTGTTTATCTTAATGATTTTAGACTTTATTTTTGGTCCAATGCACTTTACTCGTCTCGATGTCGTATCAACATCAATTATGAGAGCTCGTGACAACGGTATTCTACCGTACATCAAGTTGAGGCAAGTTTATAATTTGCCACCAAGAACCTGGGAGACCATCAATCCAAAAATGACTAGGGAAATGCCAAAAGTAAGTCCAACTTTTATAACATATGAATCTTAAAATATAATATAATAATAAATTTTTAAAACAAATATTTTAATATCGTAAACATTGAAATATATTTAAATTAAAAATGTATTTTTTTAGATCATTGAAGGCCTGAAGGCGATGTACAATGGTGATATCAACAAACTCGATGCGTATGTTGGTGGGATGATGGAGTCGGATGGCCAAGGCCCTGGAGAACTCTTTGCAGTCATTATCAAAGATCAGTTCAGACGTCTGAGAGATGGAGACAGATTCTGGTTCGAAAACACGAACAACAAGTAAGTGTAATCAATAAATTTTATCATAACTTAACACTACAGTAGTCTATAAAGGGTCAAAATGACTTGTCTTTTTCGTACCTAAAAACACTTGGTGACACATTGCAATTTTAGTATCTTTACGGAGAAAGAAATCGAACAGATCAAAAAGATTACCATGAAGGACATCATCGTCAAAACCACCGAGATCCAGCCAGAATTCCTTCAAGAAAACGTTTTCTTCCACAAATCTGGAGATCCATGTCCCCAGCCATTTCAAGTCAACACAACTGACCTCGAACCATGCATTCCATTCATGAGGTTCGACCACTTTACTGGAAACGAAGTCACTTACATCTACACTTGCATCGCCTTGGGCTGTGTTCCATTACGTAAGTCCTTTCTTGGATTTAAAAATTTTTACAATAAAATTAATTTAAAACAATAAAATTAAGGTGTTCTTTAATTTTTTTTAATTAAAACAATAAAATTAAGGTGTTCAAATCTTTTCATAAACATAACGTTATACCGCATAAACAAGTAGATAATCAAGTCGTTTAGTTTGCATTGGAATCGGATACCAGTACATTCAACGTCGCAGAAAACTGGGATTACTGTATGAACCGAGCAGACGACAGACCAACAAACTGGTCGAGAACCTAGAAAAGACAAACGCTTTCAGCAAAGCAGCTGGAAAAGCTTCGAAATACTCATTTCCAGGTAATAAAAAGAGAAACAGAATTATCAAAAGTCATATACACATCTAAACAATACTTCTTTCAGTGATAGAATGGATCAACGAAACGTATTACCGGTCGGTTCTATTGGTCATAGAACCGAAAGCTCCAAACATTAACTTGGAGAAACCACGTGGCGGAGTGCTACGTAGAGTACCACTGTCAGATTCTCAAGTTGTTACCATGAATATTGGAACAAAAGCCTCGGGATCTATTAGTGGTCCATTCGTAGTAATATCAGTTAGAAAACATAACGACATCGTTGTTAGATTCAGAAAGATCGAAGACTTCGACCAGTTCCAAAAGTCACTCGGAAGCGTACTATCAAGTCACAAAATAGCACTAAAAGGTAGACAAGTTCAGACGGATGTTCTACTAGATGCAGCAGAGACGAAAGAGAAACGACAACACAAGTTGGACTACTTCTTCCGAGAAGCCTACTCCAAGACCTTCAACGTGCCCAAACTGAGAAACAAAGAGCACGAGTACGACTCGATGACCACAGATGAAGTACTGGAGATGCGATTGAGTAAAGGAGAGTTCGCCGAAGCCTTGGGAATGAAGGAGAACGACCTATTCGTCGATAGAATGTACGCCTGCATGAAGAAGGACAGTGGTGACGACTCGGACGATGTCACCTTCCAACAGATGCTCGACGTTCTCAGAAAGTTCAGTAGCGACGACCTTAAAGAGAAGTTGAAGTTGATCTTCAACATGTGCGATACCGACCAAGACGGCAAGGTTCAATCAGAAGAATTTTCTGATTTTGTACGGTCCTTGAACGTGACAGCGGGTGTCAAGATCGATGAAGAACAACAAGCTAACGTCATTGATTCCGTGCTTTACCGTGCTGGAATTCAAGACCGAAAGATATTGACTGAAAAAGATTTTGAAGCCATCTTTAGCCAGACGGACGACCAACGTCGACCATTGGGAGTGCACTTTAGAGGTCGTCAACTGAAGGTCAAATGTGATGAGTAAGCTTAAAGTCATGGTTAGATAACTTTTAAAGCATTTCTTAAATTTATGACAATTGTGAGACACCAAACGAATTCAGTTCGTATTTTAATATGTTTTCTCATTTAGAACCGAAAGTCTGAACAGTTTCGCCGTCACTCCAGAAGGTGATCCTAACACTAACACCGGCTGGTTCGGATGGTTAGCATCATTCTTGGAATCCAACAGACAGCACGTTGTAATCTTGTTCATCTTCTTTGCCATCAACGCCATTCTGTTCACGGAGAGGTTCTGGCGTAAGTGTAACATCTATTTTTCATAAACTTTTTAGATTACCGATATGAAACAGAACACCGTGACCTTCGTCGTGTTATGGGAGTTGGTATCGCCATCACAAGAGGAGCTGCAGCTGCTTTGTCATTTGATATGGCTGTTGTGCTGCTCACGGTGTGCCGTAACGTGCTGACTATCATCAGAGAAACCCCTCTTGGAGAATATCTGCCCTTAGATTCAGCCATCACCTTCCACAAGATCGTAGCCATCACTGCCGGTGTGTTCTCGGCCATTCATACCATCGGTCACTGTATCAACTTCTACCATGTAGCCACACAAAGTCAAGAAGGCCTTGCTTGTCTGTTCCAAGAAGCCGTTTTTGGATCCAACTTCTTACCATCGATCAGCTACTGGTTCTTTGGAACGTTGACTGGAATCACAGGAATTCTGTTGGTTGCTGTCATGTGCATCATCTATGTATTTGCTATGCCAGCTGTTCTCAAACGAGCTTACCATGCATTCAGATTGACACATCTTCTGAACATTGCATTATATGCATTGACTATTCTTCACGGACTTCCTAGGCTTCTAGATGTAAGTTTTTCCTAATTTAACCTATTTAAAACAGATAGTAAATAACCTAAAGTATAGTAAAAAAACATAAAATTGGCCATTTTTAGTCGCCAAAGTTCTGGTACTACGTGATAGGACCAATAATCATATTCATCATTGACAAGATCATTGGAATGCGTCAACAATATAAACAGCTACAGATCATGTACGCAGACATCTACCCGTCAGACATCATCTACATCAAGTTCCACCGTCCTCATTCCTTCAAGTTCCGTTCCGGCCAATGGGTTCGTGTGTCATGTCCCAACTTCAGTTGTTCTTTCAATACCAACCACGCCTTCTCTCTGGCTTCGGCCCCTCAATCCAAGTACGTCGAGCTTTACATTAAGGCTGTTGGACCTTGGACTTGGCAATTGAGAAACGAGATAAGTGAATGTCTTACCCATGGAGACAACAACTACCCCACCATCAACTTGAACGGTCCGTTTGGGGATGGTAATCAAGAATGGCACAACTACGACGTCTGTGTGATGGTCGGTGGGGGAATCGGAGTAACTCCATATGCGTCTACATTGATGGATCTTGTCATGGAGACCTCAGCCGACAAACATTGCAATATTAGATGCAAAAAGGTGTACTTCTTGTGGATCTGTCCAACTCACAAGAACTTCGAGTGGTTTGTGGATGTTCTGAAGGAAGTTGAGAGTCTGGATCGTAACAATCTGCTTGAGATTCATGTGTTTGTTACCCAATTCTTCCACAAGTTCGATTTGAGAACAACGATGCTGGTAGGTTTATATTTTTACTTTGCAATGTATATGTATTCGAAAGAAGGTTTAAAAGTTTACAGTTGAAAACATGGCCTTTACATTCAACAGTAGTTACCTTATCCATAGCGTAAATACCCATTTAAAATCGATCAACTTGATCAATAAGTAAAACCAACTAAAATAATATCCATTTAACTTTAGTACATCTGTGAGAAGCACTTCCGCGGTAACAACAGAGGAAAGAGTATGTTCACGGGACTGAGCGCCACAAATCACTTTGGACGGCCAAACTTTGATGCCTTCTTCGGATTCTTGCAGAAACGGCATCAAGAGGTAGGTAAAACAATATAATATATCAAAGTATTACGATTAACCCAAAAAACACTTAAAAAATGTAAAAACAATGTGCAAAAGGAAGTTTCCGGAAAATTTTACAAAATTTTGTAAATTATAAAATGAGACGAAGTGACAACCATTGATTTTCAGGTGAATGAGATTGGAGTGTTCAGTTGTGGGCCCAATTCCATCAACAAACAAATCCGCAACGCTTGTCAAGATGCTAACCGAGTCAGGAATGCGGCATCGTTTGTGCATCGGTTCGAAACCTTCTAGTCGTATCCACATCATCTACAACAATATAGCGCCTCAGGTGTTGCATATCAATTACTAGTACGGTATCTCTATTGCGAAGCTCATACGGTTCTTCTATTTTTTAGCTTAATTATAATGCTGTCTACAAACTCAACGCCAACTTTCGACTGTCCACGTGCAATTCAGGTTTGGATACCTGTCGCTTTCTTCATGTATAATATAGTTGTTAGAGCCCAGTGAAGTTTACTTTATAGTTTTATCTATTCAATAAACACTTAATTATGAGTACAAGATTATGGATTACATGTTAAACTTCATTTTACCTTTTTATTATGATATTACACTTAACAAACTATGAAAGTTAAAAGAACTTAAAGCTCTAAAATTAAAAACCGATACAACAACATAATCATACAATAAACTACAATATATGAAAAAAAATGTAATTGTTATACATGAGAAAGCCCGTTTTGATGATAATGTTAATGAGTGGATCCATTAAATTTTTCGCATTTAAAAAAATTAAAAATTAGGTAACAAAATGCGAAAGAAATAACTGATCCACCCCTTACTACAAAGTAAATACTAACATGTTATGACAGTGATTTAGAACTTTTCGACCTTCAACTGTAATGATGAACATCGACTCTTCCATGTCCATTTGCACTTGGCGGTAGCTTCTTCTTTACTCTGCATACAACAAGCACAGTCTGGCTTAACCAACGTTGTTTTAGCTAATTTCTTGAACAAGAGTTGCCATTGTTGGTTGTGGCCGTTGGTCTTTATCTTGTTATGCAAATGAGCCCAACACAAATCACTGAAAGCTTGGGACACGAGGTCTGTGGAGAACTCTTGACAGGTCGCGTCGAGAGCGCAGTTCGCCAGACGGTCGTAGTTGTCGACCTGAAAGAGTAAACATTTAATTTATTGTTTATATTTATGTAACCAAAGCAGGGCTAGATTTACATTATTGAAAATACCTTTATGTCATATTTAAGGTACCTTTATGTCATAATAGACAATAGATAACATAGGTTACTTTTGATTTTTTAAATAAACTCACATCGTACAAAGACCTGAACAAAGTGGTAGTGTTGGGGTTGGCCAAGACCGTGGTGCCCTCCAGATTCTCCTCTATCGTGGTACCATTGTGAACCAAGGTGAGGTGTCTTCCTCGATTGTCCAAAAGTCCGAAAGGAACTGTCATATCAAGTTGCTTCTCTTCACCGGCTTCGTTTTCTAATTGAACTGACAAGTGATGACCAGACATCTTGAACTTTAAGGTTGGATAATCCGGAGAGCTGGCAAACGAGTCAAACATCCGCTCTGAAAGTACAAGTGTTACTACAACATTTGGAAACATTATCACGTCGTTTCTTGAGGTGAATTTGACGAAACATGATTTAACTATATATACAAGAATACTATTTTAAAAATATCCTGTAGCATCTACTACAATAAAATTAATCTAATCTGAAAGCTTACTTGACACAATCGAGTTGGTAGCTCCAAACAACGAGTTGCCGATCTCTTCGTCGCTCAAACAACTTCCCCATTTCCTGGCATTGGCTATCGTGGTGATGAACCTCTTGACCGCATCACTGCCAAATATTTCTCCAATCGATGCAAACAAGAGTGCATTTTTAGTGACACATTCCTTCTCAGGCTTGGTTGGTACAATTTGCAATGTCATTAGTGGTGCTCTTTCGTTGTGGTACTTCAACAATCTGTTTCTGGCGTCTGAAGCACGTTTGCGAACGTCCATTCCGATGGATTCGTATTCGGAGCCCACGACCCACTCGATGTAGGAGGCCAATCCGTCCTGCAGATATGTCAATTAGCCCGCTATCAGATTGATATTCGATTTCAATTTGTCAGGATTTGTTTGCTTTTTACAACAAACGAGTTGAAAAGTCATGAGCGTCGAGTTACAATTACTTTAAACTATTTTAAAAATGGCTTTCCAATTACGCAACACGAGTGACAACTGTTTTTTCAGCTTGAGAAACACTTAAGGAAAAGGGGGAGAGGGATAATATCAGGGATTGAGAGGTAATGAGATCATAAACAAAAGTTGTTTGGAGAAAGCAAACATTGGCATTGGAGAGATGAATGATAGTGAAGGTACTCAAAATGTTTCATAAATCATCACTTATTCGTTCGCTTAATGGCTACACTAACATAATGCAAGTGTTTTTTAAGTAAAATTTACAAAAATTTAAGACTTTTTATGTTTAATATAAAAAAGACTAAAACATTTTTGTATATAGAAATTTAAATAAACAGAAGAATTAATAGGTAACATAAAAACTAAGTAATTCAAAATATCAACTTACTTGAACACACAGATCACAAATTGTAAAAACATTGGAAATCCACTGTTGTACCAGCTGACTGATCAAAATGGAATGTGTCAGTACATAATTTGGGTACTCCACCCAGGTATCCTTGACCTGAATCAAGCCCAGATCGTGAGTACCGTCAATAGACAATGGTGTTGATAGTACCGTCAGCTTCTCCAATGGATACTGTAATCCAGTCAAATCAGCCATTCTACGTAACGCTGTTTGAACTTCTGTAATCAACCACTTCGTTTCGGCTACATGCTTGGCTACAAACACTTCCAATCGAGGTTTGTCAGTATCTGAATGAATAGCCACCAGATTGTCGAAGATGACAAAAGCAAACTGATCTGATCGGAGAGCTGGAGAAGTCTTGAAGCACTGCTGGATCCTGTTCTCTCCAGATTCAAAAATCCGTTCGGAAGGCATATTACTTCTAGAAGTCATGTTCTTGAAGTGATCCAAACACAACCTCCACGAGGCTTTGGCAGTTGTCTGATCGACCACTGGAAAGACTGTTCTGGCACCAGTTTCGTCGAATAGTGTAGCCAGAATCCATGCACGTTGCTTCTCCCATAAAGACGGTGCTTGTAGGACCAGTCCAATGTTAGAATGAACTTGGATTTCAAAGTCTTCAAAGTAGATTGAGATGAGAGAAGCTGGTGGAAGAGTTTCATTTAGGCCGACCAGCAGAAGACGTTGTTCGTTGAGGTGGGTAACTGATGATACACAAACAAAACGACCTGAAATAAATAGCTAAACTTCTAAAACGTCTATCATTGAAGGCATACTATTACCATAGTAAAAAACTTTAAAACATATCAAAAAATCAATGCAACTTTATGCCATGCCAATCAGTTCATCTCCCCATTATTACCACATTGTTAACCCCCCCCTCCTCTTCCCAGACCCTTCTGCCGCCTATAACCTTAAAGCGGCTCTTTTTTTCATTCGACCGCATTTTATCGCCATCTTGTGATAAACCTTACCAGTCTCGCATTCCCGCACCCAGATCTTGTTCTTGGCCAGATTGTTTACAGTACGATGCAAATGTAGCGGAATCAGAGATCCGCCTTCCGGAAGTTTGACAAATAATTCTACAGACGCCTTGAGTAAACGGATGTCAATGTGTGACACCGTAATGTTGACATCGTAATGTAGAGGATGAACATCGTTCAGAAGGTCGAGAAGTTGGTGAGTGAACTTGGAGTCAGTCCAGCGATCATATACTTCTTTTGTTAAGGAACTAAAGCATGTGTAATAATTAGTAAAAGCAATATTAATATTTTACAGTACTAATTTAAAAAGTTTTAACAATAAAAAAACTGACACATCAGCATCACATTGAGGCCTGCTATCCACCACAGTAGACGAACATTGAGGTAACGACTTCTTTTCATCTTCTTCAATTGGAATAAACGCTGTCGTAGCTGCTGACGTTACCTCAACTGTTGTTGACGTGGAAACCGTGTCATCTAATGTTGTAGCTTCTGTTGATGTGGCTTCTGCCGAAGTTATGCCTTGACCTGAGCCTTCAAACAACAACTCGTCTGATGCTGTGGTCTCTGTAGAATTTAATTGATCCAATGAACTGACTACCGTATCCTTATCAGCATTCAGTAGAAACACAATCACCGCTCCGACCAGTAATGTTACGAGAACGGCGGCCAACAGTACCCGCGTGGAGACCGCCGACATCCTAAAAGTTCATGTATATTATATTAAACTTCAAGTTATGTTTCATAAGACGTCAAAAAATAAAAATTACAGTATATCAAGTAACAGTTTTAAAAAATCGTGCTTAAAATTTTATCCAGCAAATTTTAAAAAATTTTTGACCAAACTGAACTGTTTTAAAAGTTCAAATCAAGTCGGTAATAAAGAGAAACGTTTGAGATGAGTGATGAGCTTCGGCTATCTGATAACAGCCGTCAACCAAAGAATTCGAAAGATGGCCAAAGAAAGACAGATAAAGTATGGCCAAGCCCAGTTATGGCATCAAAAAGTCGAAAAAGTGACAAAAAACGGAATCGGAAGATGCGCGGTGATCAATCGCCACAGATCAACTGTTTTCCGGATTTGACAGCAGCTCCGCCGAGTTGGCGGCACTTTAATAAAAAGAAGGAAAGTTGAGCTCTCCTTGGCCAGACGCTTCAGGAGGCGTGGCCCTGCCCGATATTAAATGCTGTAACCGCAAATCCGAAAACTGATCAAACCAGATGCCCCAGGGTTTCATGTTACAACCTCAGGTAATCATCGAGTTCATAGGTAGCATGCTGGTCATTGAGTAACATCATGATCACCAGGTAACATATTGACCATAAAGTAACACATTGTGAGCAAATCAAAACACTCGAATTCTAAACATTGCCAAACACTCGTTTTTTAAAATGAGCAACACTAAAGACGTTATGACAAGATGTAGGACATAAAAAGATAAAGGTACAAATTGTAGGAAATCCAGCGGCCAATTGGCCGTGATGACTCAACTTTTTTTATTTTTCGATTTACAAAAACTTCAGAATGTTCGAACTTGACATTTGTTGTTTTAAAGGGCTTAATTTGTTATTTTTTTACCTAAACATACGGAAATAGATCCCAAATGATAAACAAAACAAAATACTCTTTTAAAACGTTTGCTATTACCTGCTTAATACCCAATAACGCTTAAAATAGTAACTAAAATGTAAAATCCAGAAGCTGCGAAATATAATACTGATATTAAAGATACTACTCAAAATTCAACGAATGCGTCAAATTAAAAATGCAAAAACGCAGCACTAATTGCGGCATCTACTCAAGTTCATTACCTAATTAAAGACAAGATTCTTTCGCCAGCTTTAGAACATTCACAGACTGTCAAAAAAAATATTTTAGGTAACATTTAGACATGAGCAACGGGCCGGGCCTGAGCAAAATCGAAAACGGGCCGGGCTTGAAAATTGGGCTCGTACCCGAAAAAAAAAATTTTTTTAAATTTTTTAAAATTTTTTATTTTAATTCCCGTTTATGTTTTTCGATTTTATTGGATTCTATGATCCATAAATGACCTAAAAAAACAATTTAAAGTCAAACTTCCGTTTAGTTTTTAAGTTTTAAAATTTTTTAAATTTTTTAAAACGGGCCGGGCCGGGCCTAGAAATTTTCTGATCGGGCCGGGCCTGACCAAAATCAAAAACAGGCCGGGCCTAAAACTTAGGCCCGGCCCGTTGCTCATGTCTAGTAACATTAAGAGCTTTATTTTAAAAAACTCACCTACCTTATGTTAACTAGATTGATAGAGCCTTCATATTGTAGTAAACCTTCTTTGGAACTTCTGTTTTCATCATGCTGACATAGAAAAAACCTTGTGAATCCTTGTTAAAGTAGAACCTTGTAGGTACCATGTCCCTCCAGTTCTTCCCCAAAGCTGGTTCCACTACTCTGTCATCTGACGACTTACAATGATTCAGCACCACAATCAATCCTCCAACACGCTTCATAGCATCAAAACATTTGAATACTTCATTCTGACGTTGTAGGCCAGAGTAATCAGTTCCAGTATAGTATAACAAACTACCAATATCCATCATAACGACCAAAGGAGTTGATCTAGGTTTTCGTTGTCGATATGTGTCCCATCTGGTCGTTACAATTTTATTCGAAATTGCCCTCAGAGTCCGTAGTGTCAATTCGTATGTTATCGTGTTGAATATTTTGACTGTTTTCATAAGTTCTTTCACGTTTACATCCTGTAAAATAGAATAATAATACGGGTTTTTAGTTATATTTACAACTCAATTAGCAACTAGTGAGACTTTAATGAATAAGTTACTATACAAAGTTTACTTCTATAACGCTGCTAATAACTTACTTTCTTCACGCTTTTCTCCATCAACAACTTCAATAACAAGTCAGATGAAAATTGTTGCCCATAATCGAACACCATTATGTTGTAAGTGTTCCGTTTTTGTTCATCCAGTAAAATTCCAGCAATTACAGAATGTACGTACTATACATTGAAATTATAATAATATTTTATGAAAAAACCGAGAAAAAGCAAGCTCGTGGAAGATTCCACAGGTTTTCCTACCACAGTTATAATTTGTAGCCTTTTATAAAAAACTTACAAGAATTTTGCCAAAAGCCTTGCGATTTCCATAAAACTCCACAACACTTCCAGGAGACAAGTACTTTGTAATGTTATCCTTGTTATCAATCACAGAACGTGAATTCAAAAGTCCTCTGTCTTTTATCAATGTTAACAACGATTTTTCTGTCATTCTACTAGAAATTCAAATAAAAAGTAATTTACATAAATATGGCCAATATTTTCGCGCAGCAAAACATATTTTTACAAAAAAACAATTATCAGAATAAGGACGAATCACAACTATTGAGTGTTTCAAAAAATGAAAAAATCAAAGTTGTGAAATACTGTTTATTGGCTACGAAAAACTGAATGTACAAAAATAATTAACGTTAATAATAAGGTTATAAAAATTACACAAATGTTACGCCTGAGGTTGTTCTTCGGCTCCGTCGATCGGGACTAGAAGATGTTCGCTTCCCATCAAGGAGTAGTTCGTGACGAACTTGGTGAATCTTTTGCAAAGGTACGTTTCTTCCTGGAAATATTCTTTCAATTTTGCAAACTATAACTATTCATCTCGATTATCTCTATAGAAATCTTTCTATTGTTCAAAGGATGAGTCAAAATGTTTGACATAAGCATGGAATACATAATTTAGGCGGCTTTGCCAAAAACTTGACAGAAATACATCATGCAAAGCATGGTTAAAACCAAGATAACTGTAAAATACATACCTCAAACTGATCAAACAATTTCCTGTGTTCAAAGTAGGCATGTGCAAATATTCTGTAAACTCTTCTACAAACTGATCCGATCTTCATCAATGAGGCATCTTTCAACGTCACTCGACTGGGGAAGTATCTGTTGCTGTTTAACAGTGCTGAAGCTCCATCCAATGTGTGCATCGTGTACTCGATGGCAGCACATTCTTTGGGGTTCTTGTGAGACGCGCATAAAAAGATCCAACTTTGAGTGGCGTTCATACTGACACAGGTTTCCTGAGAGCATTCGTCTTGTAATAGTACTGCTAGACCATTCAGTTCCATACAGAATTGTCTCAAATGTTCATACTTCCAAACTCCTTCATCTACACCTTTAGGCGGGGTTAATATGGCATCTACATCCTTGCAGTTCTCCCTGATTGCTTGTTGAATATATTGATGTACGGCTAGTGTGCTTTCCATTTGGTCGTAGTTTTGGTGGGGCCAGTTGTACCATTCCTATAAATATAATTTTAGATACATCAAGACCTTTTTAATAGTCATCCTTTTCATTTCTTGACCTCACCTCTATGAAATTCACATACCAAAAAACAAATAATATTACGTAAAGACTATTATCGCCATCAAACATATGACCTACCTCGCGAGTGCATCCCGTTTCATTAGTGAGTCTTCGGAAGCCTGAATTTTGTGAAGTTTGAGCCATCCCTAAAAGTGCATCATGAGCTAAAAGAAGCCCGCAAAATAGATACATAGCCGCGATAAATGCATTTTAAATTATTCGAATACTTGTTTTCAGGCATTCGGACCATGCACACTAACTGAATATGCAGGGAACGTTGAGTCACGTTAGAGGAGTTGAGTTACAAGATGGGGAACATCCTTCACACAAAGAAACTACCACGGTAAGTATCATAGTCAAATTATAAATTCAGATTTTAGAAGTATAATAGATTTAAAATTTGTAAATAATATGATCTTCAGGATGTCAAAACAATTGATCCAAAATTTCATTCAATGGATTCTGTAGCCAAAACAACGTACAGAAGACTTGGAGACACAGACATCATCGTATCAGCAATGGGTTTAGGTAATGAATTAAGCATACTTTCAAATACGTTTCTAAAAAATATGATTGATGAGTAACAATTTAAAACACTATGCTAAAAAACCGTTCTTTTGCGTATTTAACGAAAATTCAGGAGTAGCATCTTTTGGTGAAATATATGGCCCAGCACCATCTGATCCAGCAGAAATTGTGAGGACTAGTCTAGTAAATGGGATCAACGTTATAGACACTGGTTATTGGTATGGTCAAAGACGATCGGAAGCGACGTTAGGAAAGGTACGGCACGAACTTTAATAACAAATCATTTTAAAGCATAGTCTCTTTGAACACACCTTTACAGGCTCTGAAAAACATTCCGCGACACGTGTACTACTTGTGCATACGAGTAGGGCGGTTCGAATTAGACTATGCCAGGCCGTTTGACTACCGAGCCGACAAGATATTAACATCGCTCACTAAATCCCTCAGCCTCCTCAACCAAAAGTACGCCGACATTTGTTTCCTACAGGTAAACTTTACTTCTTATTATTGATTCGATTCTTAGGTAACGATTCGTATCTAACTTATACTTTTTCCAGCTTACTCTGTACAGTATCATATTATAATTCTTAAGATTTACAGGTAGCTGACACGGAATGGGAGAACAATTTGAACACGATACTTGAAGAGACATTGCCAGCATTAAGAATCGCACAAAACAGTAACAAGATTAAGTATATTGGACTGGCTGGGTACAGTCTGTCAAAAATGAGGTAAACAACAAGCAACATAATATTATTTAAAAAATGGTTTGAAAAGTCAGCTTTAAACTTTTTTATAAAGTGGTGTTCAATAACTGATATTATACTACTAAAAGTTTAATATTTAGGAAAATAATAGACAAATCAAGCATCAAGATCAACGTATGTTTAAACTACTGTAGAGCAACTTTAATGGACAACAGTCTTGCTGAAAGCATCAAATACTTTAACGTAAGTTAAGGTTTTCAATATCAGGAACGAGTTTAGGAAAAGAAAATTGGAGTGTTAAATGGCGGTTGCTTTTCTATGGGAATGTTAACAGAACAAGGTCCACCACTTTGGCATCCAGCTAATTACAACACCCGAGAGATTACTAAGGAGGCCGTCAACTACTGCAAGGTAAATGTTCATGTCTCTCAAAGTGTAGATAATGTTTTTCAGAGTATTTAATACACTATGAAGCTAAGCCATAGACCGTGCAATATTTAACTATAGCAATCTGAAGCTTATTTGAAATCAGAATCCTCTAAAACAAAGAAACTTTAAGAGCAAAGACATACGCATTGAAAAGTTGTCGTTGTCGTATTCCTTACGATTCCCGGGCATTACCTGCTGTTTGGTGAGTATTGAGAACCTGTCACAACTCGTCATTAACCTTACCACTTTGTGGAACAATGGAACACTTCAAAACAAGGAACTTCGGGTGTTGGACAGAATCAAAAGAAGGTCAGTCAATTGTTACCAATAATTACCTATTTACTAAAAAAATTAAAAATAAAATTTAGCTAACACAAAAATACTGGACTTCATTTTTAGATACCTAGACAAAATCGAAAACAAAGAATGGGACATAATAAACCTAAAAGGATATTGGAGACATCTGGAGACTCTGGGACTTCCCTTTATGTCCTCAAACAGAATATCCTCCATGGAGAGCCTCTCATCTAATTATACAGCATCAATCGCTTCAGCATGTTCGAAATGTGACCCTTACAAGTACCAAAAATACCCAAGAAAATATTAAACCCAATAAAAACGTTGTCGCATAGATAAAACAAACTTATTTCGTTCAAAAAACATAAATCATTGGTACATAATACAACATATTGATTGACAAATAAAAAATTCTCATTCCTCATATAAAATTAAAAAGATCTGAGAAAAAAAATTAATTCTTTTGGATTTTTGAATGAAACTTGTGGGCGCAACTTGTCCCAAACATTATTCTACTACTTTTCCTGTATTTGTAAAAATATTTACAAAACCTTTTTTTATATAAAAAAAGTTAAATTATGTCTTTGCTTTTGTACACTTTCATGTAACAATCTTCAATATTAACAAAGTCACGGATATTTTTCATCGTATAAAATTGATATCGCCAAAAACCACCAAATTCAACTCCGAAAAAAAAAGAAAAAAATTATAGTTCAAATTACGCGGGACGATGCTCAGAGTCTATAAATCCACTCGGGACCTTACTCTTTCTGAAAATTAAAAGCAAAAATGTACGGTAAAAAATGGCCGTGAACGTTTCTTCTTGATCTTGAAACACAAAAATCTTTTTATTACTCAAATTATTAATTAAAATCAAATTTTATGGTATAATTTACGAAATTTCAGTTGCGTTACTGTTTTGCGTTTGGTTTGGTCGTATTTGGTCGATCTTACCTTTGTTATCAAGTTTGATTTATTCGTGTTTTCAGAATGGCTTCTCGGGCTTTGTTGAACCTTAGTTCAAAGTCGGTTAGCCGGGCTGTCCGCCCCATCAATGTAGCTAGATCATTGTCTTCATTGGTCGGTATGTTTTTTGTTATTTATGTTTGAATTTAGGTAATAATTTACTTCAATAATTTGGTTATTATCTTAGATTTAAGTGTTGTTTATTACCTTGGTTGTATTTCTTATCTGAAATACTATTTTGTTTATTACTTGAACTGTTTGGGTTTGTGTGGGTAATATTGTTTATTTTCAGCTAAGCAAAACCAGGTCCGTACCTTCACATCGGCCCCAGTTGCCCGTGCTGCTGCTGCCGCCGCTTCTAAGAGCTCAACCAAGGCCAGCATTCCTGGATCTAAGGGAAGAATCGTTGCTGTCATCGGTGCCGTCGTTGATGTTCAATTCGATGAGAACTTGCCTCCAATCTTGAATGCTTTGGAAGTCAGCGGTCGTTCTTCCAGACTTATTCTTGAGGTATCACAACATTTGGGTAAGTAGCTTATTTTTTGTCATTAACGTTTAGTGTCTTTCTTTTTTGAGATCGAAACATATTTTTGGGTATAAATCAAGAAGTGCACGTAGGCATTTAAGTTTTTTGTTAAAAAGCGTAAGGGTAATAAAGTGTAAAGTTGGTTTGATAAATTAGTATTATTTTAGGTGACAATGTTGTCCGTGCTATTGCTATGGACGGTACCGAGGGTTTGGTCCGTGGACAAGAAGTTATTGACACTGGTAACCCAATTACCATCCCTGTAGGAGCTGGAACTCTTGGCCGTATTATCAACGTCATTGGTCAACCAATTGACGAACGAGGCGAAATTCCAACTCAAAGCTTTGCTCCAATTCACGCTGAAGCTCCAGAATTCGTTGAGATGAGTGTTGAACAAGAAATCTTGGTAACTGGTATCAAGGTCGTAGACTTGCTCGCCCCATACGCTAAGGGAGGAAAGATTGGTAAGTTAGTATAAGTAATACTTTTTCTTCAAGTAATTTTTTTATCTATTCTATGTTGTCTAAATTACATTGTTTAAGGTCTCTTCGGTGGTGCTGGTGTCGGTAAGACTGTATTGATTATGGAACTTATCAACAACGTCGCTAAGGCTCACGGTGGTTACTCTGTCTTCGCTGGTGTCGGAGAAAGAACTCGTGAAGGTAACGATTTGTACCACGAAATGATTGAGGGAGGTGTCATCGACCTTAAGGGAAAGAACTCGAAGGTATCTCTTGTGTACGGTCAAATGAATGAGCCTCCAGGAGCTCGTGCCCGTGTGTGTTTGACTGGTTTGACCGTCGCCGAATACTTCCGTGATCAAGAAGGACAAGATGTACTTCTCTTCATTGACAACATCTTCCGTTTCACACAAGCCGGTTCTGAAGTATCTGCCTTGTTGGGTCGTATCCCATCTGCTGTCGGTTACCAGCCAACTTTGGCCACTGACATGGGTGGTATGCAAGAACGTATTACAACCACCACCAAGGGATCCATTACCTCCGTACAGGCTATCTACGTACCTGCTGACGATTTGACCGATCCTGCTCCAGCCACCACGTTCGCTCACTTGGACGCCACTACTGTGTTGTCTCGTGGTATCGCTGAATTGGGTATCTACCCAGCTGTGGATCCTCTTGACTCGACCTCTCGTATCATGGACCCCAACGTCGTAGGAGAACGCCATTACGGCATTGCTCGTGGTGTGCAAAAAATCCTTCAGGACTACAAATCCCTCCAAGATATCATTGCTATTTTGGGTATGGATGAATTGTCAGAAGACGATAAGTTGGTCGTATCTCGTGCCAGAAAGATCCAGAAGTTCTTGTCTCAACCTTTCCAAGTAGCCGAAGTCTTCACTGGTCATCAAGGAAAATTCGTTTCGCTAGAACAAACCATCGACGGATTCGAATCTGTCCTTAAGGGTAAGTTTCCGTTAATTAAAATTTATACCATAATTTGAAATTTTTAAAATTATTTTTTATTGATTTTTATATTTCAGGAGAGCTCGACCACATTCCTGAAGTTGCTTTCTACATGCAAGGAGCCATCGATGATGTCCATAAGAAGGCCGAGGAGTTGGCTAAGCTCTAAATTAGCTGATAATGATTTCTTAGTTATAAATAGGAATAAATGTTCCGTAATTTTGTTATGTTGTACTAGTTTTGTAGGGATTTATATTATAAATAAAGGAGCGGACACTTGCTCATCTAATGTGTAAAAGTTTTACTTTCCTTGTACTTTTTTGATTTGGTTAGCTATAGGTTTTGTAGTTTGATGTCTTCAGTTGGGCGAGCGAAACTTGTTCAATATCAGAGCTTTGGATATTTGAAGCAGCATAATGTTGATACATTTGCTGTTAGTTTGAGGTGCAAAATAAAGGATGAATGTGTTTTATTTGATCACGATGATATTCACGAGCTCGGAACAACAGTCGATAATGTCATTGGAGTCACATTTTTCAATGAACGAATAGATCTGTTAACTGTTGAAGAGGTAAGGCGACTATTATAGGTTACTTTGCTTTCTTAAGGACTTCGGGAATGCTAATTATCTTGGACTTGCTGCAGTGGCTGTAGCTGTTTATTGCGACCCAGACGAAGCTTTTTTGAAGTTGCTCAGACGTTTTGTATATCTACAGTCATACACGCCTTATATTATAATTCTATTGCCATCGTGTATACATGATGTTGCTGGATGTAGCACTTCTTCAATCTGGGATTCGTGGAGGTTAATACGAAAGGAGTTATTCAATGCTTGCTACGACAAATTGGGTGTTGGATTGCTTTGTTCTGGACGCTTTGATTCTGACTTCATTGACGAGTCTTTGTTGGAGAGATGGAAAGGGGAACCCGTAAGTCATATCTGGTTTATTTCTACGTGTTTAGTTGAAACTCGTTGCCAATACTGTTCTGGAAGATGGCAGTAAATTCGAACACCTTTTGAACGTTTTGAGGCTGTACATATCGCCCGAATGTGAATATGTCGTGCCTTATATCAACCAAAATGGTAACGAATTAGTCGATATTACCAAACTTCAACAACTGGCCCAACTTTTTGTTCAAAATAGTCGCAAGATACCTGTTATAAACAACGCTTACTTTGAAGACTTTCCACAACGACCTTTGAAACCGACAGAAGATGATCTGTCGGCTTCGGTTTACTCTACTTTTGAAACTATTACTTCAAAGTACAGACTATATGAAAGTGCTGTGATTGAAGCTATAATGGATTGGCAACAACATGACAAGAACAGAAACAAGAAATTTGTGGTTCTACTGGTCGGAGCTGGGAGAGGTGGATTGATAGAAAGCATTCTGAAGGCGTTACAGAAAACAAAGCAACAGAGAGTTACTGTTCTTGCTGTGGAGAAGAACAAGTTTGCATATCAGACGCTACAGAAGAAGAATATCAACAGGTAAATTATAGCGTCGAGTATTTTTATATTTTAGGTGGAACAATCTGGTCAAACTGATCAACACTGATCTCCGTGATCATACTCAAATCAAGGCTGCTCTGAACGCACGATCTCCGAATATGGTTGTATCAGAACTGCTGGGCTCTTTTGCTTGTAATGAAGTTGGCCCAGATTTGATTACCACGTTATATCCATTAGTCAATGAAGATACTGTATTTATTCCACAAGGTTACTGTAACTACGTAGCACCGTGTTTCAGCTTCAGAATCAACGGGATTATAAACGGCGGAAGACCCGACTACTATTTGAGGTTGTCCAACTGTTGTGGCAAAAACGGAATTCATGGTATTGAGAGCCAGGAGTACTGTAACTTGGATCAGTTATATGTTTCGTCGCTGAACAGTTGCTACATCGCTGACATCCCAAAGCAGATTCACTGTTATCGACACACGAAAGGAGTCAATATTGATTTAGATTGGAAGAAGAAGGTGGAGTATGACATTGAAGTGGACTGTGAGGTAAGTATAATATAAGAATAATATGGGTTTAAAAGATTTAAATGCAGTCTTAGATATATAATGACATGAGTTTTTACAGTTATTGTTACGACTACTATAATTTTGTTTAGATCAACGCGATTGCTGGCTTCTTCACGGCTGAAATCGGATCCGAAACGCTGACAACCCTACCAAAAGACAAGCGAGACTTTACTGACACAAAAAAGTCATGGTTTCCAGCCTATTTCCCGCTGAGGAGCCCTATATACTGCCCAGCGGGTACTAAACTTGAAGTTGAGATAACAAGGAAGACTAATGAAAAGGGAATGTGGTATGAGTGGAGTACGATTACGGTAAGTTTATGACTGTGTCGTAACAAGAAAATTTTTAAAATGGTACAGTAGGGCTTTGGGATACTGTTTAATTTTAAAGGACCAGTCGGGGTAAATCTTTTGTACTGTTTTTCTGCAACAAATCAGGCAATCAGGGATTTGGCAAATCGTTCAAAAAATTATTTTTTCGTTTTTATTTTTCGAAGAACTTTTTGTTGTTATCGGTCGTTTATTGTCGAATCTTTTAGTGAAAAAGATCGATTCTAACTGATTTTATGGGAGATATGTTAGAATATACATGGTTTTACATCTTTCAAACGTTTTATTTGTAATTTGAGCAAAAAAATCGTTTGAAAACGTGATAAATACATGTATTTTCGTCTTCTCCAGCTAATCTGGCCATATTCCATCTAAAATAACATGGAAAGAATTCAAGAATGAAGAATGGGATTGTTATAAACGAAGCTTGACGTATATTGGAATGGTAAAGATCTTGGATGCACAGTCCAATCAATTGAATTTCGGTAAGTTCTTATTCGTTTCTTTGCCAATCGCTAAATCCCTGATTGCCTGATTTGTTGCAGAAAAACAGTACAAAAGATTTACCCCGACTGGTCCTTTAAGCTAGAAGTTATAGCGGTTGCGGTAAATCAGCACTCGTAAGGCAACTTTTATAAAGGTAGTTGTATATGTTGTATATTTTTATGTATAATATTAAATAATGTTGTTGTAGACATTCGGAAATGCAGTCGCTAGCAGCCCTGTACAAAACAAAGATGGTGAAAGTTACTTCGTACGTTATTTTGAAAGCGATGGCAACGATGAAATGTTGGTTCATTATGCCAACCGTGGCTGTTTTACAAAAGAAAAGCTTGATGATTACATTTTCAGTTTTTAATATAATAAACTATTACATTTACTGTTCAAAATTATATTTGAATAATTGTAATGTACAATTGAATACCTATGTAACTGTTTATTTTATGTTAGTGTGAAGATGTCATTGTTTGTAGCCGAACGAACTGAAATTTTGAGAGGTGAACGGAAGGATGAAGAATATATCCAGGAACTGTATGATAAGATATCAGACCTTGTCAAGAGGATATACGGAGATGCAATATGGATAAAGGCTTACAAATGGCTGATGCCCATTACCAAAGTCTTATATTACACATCAACATCAGTGAAGGGAGTTCAGACATTGGGAGAAGAATACATGGGGCTGATTCCAGTAGGATCACAGTCAGAAGTCAGAGAGACATCGTATCTACAAAGGGTTCTATTTGTTGTTGGAGAAGCGTTTGGTCCCTTGATGGTGGACAAGAAGTTGGAGGAGTTTAGAGGAAAAGATGACGAATACTATAGGAAACAAAGTCTGAGCAGTAAGGTACCAATAGGACGAGTGGTACTGTCAGTGCTTCTAAAACAATTGAGTTTTGGCTCGATTCAACGACTTCACTGGGCTTTGTTTTACTTGTTTGGCGGTAACTTCTACAGTCTTTGGAAACGGATCTCACAGACTCACTTTATGACTCTCAACTCAGAGACTAATGTTAAGGTAAGAAGATTACTTTTTTATATCAGTTAGATTTTTTTTTGAATTTTCAAACGATTGCATACATTTTTTCATTACTTTTAGATGCATTCGATATTCAGAATTATTGGTGGCACTGCTTTACTCGCTTTTGTCTTGAATTTAGTATTTGCTGTACGCAGAGAACTTCTGAAGCGACAACGAACACGGTCGGATTTAGAAGAGCACAGAGTGCCTCCAAAGGTGGGTCAAGAGCAAATTGTTACTTTATAAAAAGTAGGGTAATATGTTTGGTCTTACTGTAAATTACTAAAGAATGCTTTTCAGGACGGTGCTTTCTTCTGTGACATTTGTTTGGAGAACGGCGAGCCCGTTAGCACGCCTTGTGGCCACGTCTTCTGCTTCGACTGTATCGTTTTCCACTCGGAGAACGCTGATTTAGACGCCAACAAAGGCCAATGTCCTCAATGTAGATTCCAGTTTTACCTCCGATCTGTGATACCTTTAATAAACTATTAAACGATGGCAGTGTTTGTACTTTTTATGTGTAAAAGTCTGCTTTCTAACATATTTTACATGCTTCAGTAACTTAACTTGTTTATATGTGTTTGTCGTTTCTATGTTTAGGCTGTTTAGTGTTGCGGATTTTAATGTTTAATACGTTTTATTGTGCTAAGAAATGTTTAAGCTTACTATCAGTATTGTTTATTGGTTTTTAATAATTTTTAATATGTTTTGTTAATATTTGTATGTTTAGATGGCAGACAAGGTAACTAACATTACTTTTGAGGAAGGGATCGTCGATTCCAAGTACATGAAACCTGTGCGGATGCTGTTTGAACGGGTAAGGTAAAATAATTTACATAAAAATGTCATCGGATGCAATTTTAATTACAATGATTTCATACCTACAACAATATAAGTTAGAAGTTATAAAAAACGATTTAAAATTTTAATTTACAGAACGGCTTAACGTTAATCTGGGACATGGCGTTTGAAAACGACAGTGTATCGATCGTGCTGTATAATACGACTCTGAAGAAGGTAATGTTGGTCAAGCAGTTTCGACCAGTTGTTTTTGTTCGAAATGTTTTGCGTTTACCTGAAAACAAGGGAAAGTCATTGAAAGATGTCGACTTTACAACGTACGACATGGCCATCGGTGAGAGTATCGAGTTGTGTGCTGGGATCGTAGATAAACCTTTGAGTTTGGAGGAGATCGCTATGGAAGAAGTGTTGGAGGAATGTGGCTACAAGGTCGAGGATCTGGAGTTGGTCAAAAGTTTTGTGTAGGGTTACTTTGCTATTTTTCAGCCTTTTTTTCTTTATTTTTGTTTTGATATCATATTTTGTTTAACAATGACGTCTTTTTTCAGGGATGGAGTAGGTATCTCTGGAGCTGAACATACCATTTTCTTTGGCACAGCTTCAGAAGAACAAAAGGTGTCAACTGGAGGTGGAAACAAAGACGAAGGAGAGTTTGTTGAAGTTGTAAGTATTTATCTTGGATAATTCTAAAAATATTTTGTAAACTCAAATATAAAAAGCTAAATATTTTGTAAATTATGACATTTTCAGTTGTACCTAACCGTTGATGAGGTGAAGGATTTGTTGAAAACAATCCACAACACTCCGCCCAGTCTTCTGTTTGGACTGTCATGGTTTTTAAACGAAAAGCAGGCATTATATCAATCTTGAGGTATCACATCTTTCAAACCGCTTTAAAAGAAAAAGTACGGTTGAATTTACATAATAGTTACGCTTGTTTGTTTTAATTGATCGTTTGCTTAAGATTGTTGATTTAGATTTAAATTATAATGCAGTTTCATGTATTTTAAAGTTATGGTTAATAAATTTGTTTTTTGATTTACTGTACAGTGGCGGCAAGAAAAAATGGGACACGACGGTTTTAAGTATAACTTTCTTGAAACTAAAAGAGTAAGGCTTAAAATTTTTGTGATTTTACAATATTCTTTTTTGGCAACAAAATTGCAAAAAAAAATTTTTTTCTTGTTGATTCAAAAAAGTTACAGTAATTCTACCGTACCCTGTACTTCTAAAGTATTTGCATAAATTTTTTTTAAAAAATTGAAGATGTACGTTTTATAGGGCATAAAAAGTTGTACAAGTTCAGAAAGTTTTATCTTTCAATTGTTTCTTGTTAATGAGGTAAGGGCATTTAAAAATGTTGAAAAACCAAAAAAGTTCGATTCCGCTTGAAAAATCGGAGGTTTTTTTAAATTTTAAAAATCTGTCACTCTTTTACCATTGGAGATACAATATTAAAACTTTCTGGTCTTGTACAACTTTTTATGCTCTATAAAACGTACATCTCCGATTTAAAAAAAAATTTTTTTTTAAATACTTTGGAAGTACAGGGTACGGTAGAATTACTGTAACTTTTTTGAATCAACAAGAAAAAAATTTTTTTTTGCAATTTTGTTGCCAAAAAGAATATTGTAAAATCACAAAAAATTTTAAGTCTTACTCTTTTTAGTTTCAAGAAAGTTATACCTAAAACCGTCGTGTCCCATTTTTTCTTGCCGCCACTGTACGTTAAATTACTGTATGAGACAGTTAAATAGCTTTCTTATCTTACTCTCTTTATATAAACGTATTATATTGATTGAGCTAACTGTTTATAATGCGAACTTACGGTATGCCAAATTAGACATGTTGTTGTCTTTTAATGGTCGGCACTTGAATCAAATAAAATACGATTCACCTGAGTGTGAAAACTTGTCATTTGATGACGTAATCGGCATTAACGGATATAGAAAAGCATGTCGGTAGCCTAATTACAGATTCCATGACCCCACTAATAATGAGGTAAAGAAAACAGAGGCCTCCGACCACCTGATGCCTTTCAACTGCCACAACGTCATGTCATCGGCGTATCAGTGATTGAGCGAAACAAACGGTTATACTAGTCGTGTTTTCAAATATTGCCAACCCGGAGGGCTTTATTTAGAATGGGAGTATGATAATATATTAGTTTAAATTTTACATATTTCAGTTGAGCTTGAGCTTATGTGATCATGGTTAAGATATCGACTTGGTATCACAACACTGTTTTATTCTTTTTTAACTATTAAATTAAAATTTTTTTGTATGTTGACTGTAATACTGAGTTTTCAATTTACCATAATATTTATATTGCGACCTTGTTTGACCATAAACTTGTTTAGATCTCGACCTTATATGGGTATAATATTTAGATCCTATTTGTATATAAACTTGCACCAGACGTCGTCGTAAATAGAGTGCACTATGGATCGTCATTTGATACGTTTGTGTACAGTGAAGAGATTTATAGGAAATGTTACAGTATATTATAAAAAGGTTTTTACGAGTTTGATGTAAAATACGGAATTGGTTTCGGTGTTATTGACTGTTAGTCGTGTTAATAATATTTTGGGCTCATTACTTTTCCAATTACTGTGGCAACATGTTTATGACCGATGTGTAACAACAGAAGTCAATGAAATCAGATCGGGCCGGAAAAGGTCGGCAAAAATCAGCTGTCAGCCACTGTCGTATCCTAGTGTAAGATGCGCAGAGTGGAAGATTAGCCACCACAGTTAGCCTGATTGCGGCCGCTTTTGTAGTCGGCACCTATCATATAGTGTATAAGGTGTCTGGTTTCAACAAGTTTGAGGATTATTTTGTAATAAAACCTGGGCTTAAGGCTAAGATGAGATACTGTGGTTTCTTTGATGTTACTGTAGTTTTTAATAGTTACTGTAGATATGAAATTTATTTAAAACAAGTGTATCTTCAGTATTTGAATATAAATATTTGGGATAAACAAGTGATTGTTGGTCTTTCCAACTTTTGTACTGTAATACCTTTGAAAGGCAGTGTTTAATGCCTGGGGGCGAGAAGAGAATGGACTGTCTGAGATTTGTTTAAATGGACTAAATCGAGAGATATCAATATTATGTTTTAAAACATCGTCTTTGTTTACAGTAGATTTTGGTTGCCTTCGTTTTATTTTTATTTATTTTTATTTGTTTTTATTGTTTTTAGTAAGGTTTTACATTGTTATTAGTATTTATATTATAGTAGGTATAAATGAGTAACTTAGATTAATATTTTTTGACATTTTAATAACTTCTGGTCATGACGCAATAATCTAATTAAGGCATTGATGATATTGCCTTACGGTAAAGTCTTACGGTAACAAAAGCATGCCAATCTTTTCCATGGCACTTGCATATAATATAATATAATGTCACATTATAATATTTTTTAATGTCATGTTATAATGACCAGTGAGTGAAACGTTTTGTGGACTGAAATAAACTTTTTTATAATATTTAATTTTGTACTTTTTTGAAGTTTGAAATTTAATATAATGATTTTAAAGTTTGAATATGGTGAAGTAGTGTTTTTTGATCAAGATACGAAGCGTGTCTGGTATGTTAGATTTACCGGATTAGCGGTATTTCGGTATGTATACAAAGTGATGGCACCTGGTCGATGACAAGAGAGCGATTGTTATGGTAGTCAAGTGCCGACCGAGGACTTCTTTTATCTTCTTTATCGTCGTATGTCTATTGGCATATGTACATAAGTAATGTGCGTGAGTGTACGGTCATGTGGTATAAGTTAGATAGAGTTTTGACAATTTTATCATTTACTTATGACAATGTAAAATTGAAATGCATTTTTTATATGTAGGCAAATGTTAGCTTGTAACTTTTAGTATAGTATGTTCAATGTTAGTATTTGTCGTATTAACTGTATATTTAGTGCAATATAACATGATATATTGCTACTATGGCATTTTGTACTTTGACTTTCCGGCTTTTGTAGCGTAATGTAATACACTATTATCGGCAGTAATTGTTTATAATTGTAGTGAATAAGTTGTAGTATTATTACTCCGTAACTTCATGATAAAGGAAGTCACTGTATGTTTGCAGTTTCAATTATTATAGTAATCGTATGTTTCCAAGCAAACCTTCAAGTATTTAAGGTTCAATTGCATAGCAATGTTTATTACATTTTATACATTACTACGTTTGTTACTGTTTATATTACTATACCATATATTATTACTTATTACAGTTCATTAACTCAGCTTTTACAGTGTAAAAGTGGTACTCGAAGCTTTGCAAAACATCTTGCAATGTTTCTATTTTGATAATAATTTAACTGTTACACCTCGCCAGGTAATGTAACTGTTACATCGTTTACCGTGCGTGTCAGCGTAGTAATGTAACTGTGTAGGTAAATGGAAAGCTTTTATGTTTTATGCTATTTCCAGTATTTACAACCCAAGTTACATTCAATATTAAGTTAAATTACACGTTGTGTGCATGTTATTAAACTGTAAAAGTTTACTTTCTGGCTACTTTATAATTTTACATACCCAGTTTATACGTTCAGGGCACGTTGTAACAAGTAAGTTTACTTGGTATTATTAAAAAAGGGCACGGGGTTATATTACCAGTTATTTTCATGTACACAATTGAGCATCTTTTATTGTTACGATATGGTTTTTACTGTGCTTTAAATATAGTAAAATCTAAACTATCAAATTAAATATTAACCATCTCTTCCTCTAAATAAGCCTGTCACATTATCCTTATTACATATTCCACCACGCTTCTGTCCTGATTGAACAACCCAGGTTAAGCCAATCAATCCAATGATATCGCTGGAGGTAATGGCTTCCGGAAACGGAATGTGTCAGCGATAGGAAGTGCTAATCCATGCCTCGGCAACGGCGCTGGTTACACAACAGATGTGCCAAAGTATAGTATATACAGCCCTTAATATGGGATTAATTTGCTAAACAAACCCAGCCTCGGAATTTGTTTAGAGATGGCCAATAAAAAAGCAGAAGCCGATGGTGAGGCATCGTAAAGAGTTTAAAGGGCAATGGCACAGGGCGTAATATGATTAGGTGAAAACCGTAAACTTATTAGACTACCATTCGCGAGAGATTGTAAACGTTGCAGGATCGTGTGTTGGGCGATTGGTAAATGTTTTACAAGGAGGTAGGATAATATAGAAAAGCTGGCACAGGCAGTAGGATAGCTTAATTTTTAAAATACTGTATGTAGTTAGTACTGGTAGTATAATCAGCAAATGTTTCAAATTTAAATTTTTTAAAATTTTTGACTTACTTTCAATATACTTTGTGAATGCTAGCTCTAAATTAGTTTACCCTCACTTTAGCCATCAAATCGAGTATCTTATTATCGTACCAAAGCCTGCCATCAACTCCATTTATGCAAATTTCTAAGCCAATTTGCACGGCAGAGAGTTGATGAGCATGGCTTTAATCCCTTTTAATGAGCCGAGAATTATATGAAACGGAAATGGACTCGACCTTACAATAGCCAATATAACTATGTATATAACTGTGCCGTTCTCTTCTCAACGTTCTCTGCCGTTCTCTTTTGTTCCGGAAACTTTCGAACAAGGTCAATGTTCTTAATAATAATAGGCTGTTCCTTATTGCCGTTTTGTCTTAAAGCTTTCTTCTTATTGTCATCTTTTTGAAATTGAATTGTAAATTTGAGAATACGGTATGAGAAAGAAAGAATGGAAAAACTAGATTTAGAATGTTGTTTTAGACTGTATCTGGTGGGGGAGAAAGTTTTAAGAGGTTTGAAGTTTTTTCGTAATTTTACAAAAAATGAGTTGTCTGAGCTTAAAATGCATTTTTAAATCAAAATGTTTAAAAAATTTTGAAAAATCTGTTTTAAGATGACAAATTTTTTCTTCAACAATAATTTAAAACTTCAAATTATAATATTAGTACGTACTAATATTATAATTTCTCTAGTACAAAGTTTTAAAAATTAAAATGTGTGCTACAACAGTCAATCAATAATCAGCGTCAGATCAGAGAGGTAGGATTTAAAATCTTCCCAAAAACACAAAACTTCTTTGTCTATGTCAATAACTTCAAATTTAAAAGTTGGCTATTTACATTGATGTGGCGGTCCAGATCAAAAGCAGCTTTTCCTATATTAACCTTGTTCTCACACTCACGCAACACCCAATTTGGCAACCGAGGTAAACATTGACTTGAGGCAAATTCACTTACCTCGACGCGGCGCATCAAAGGTGAAGGTGTTTGAAGCAATTAGCAGTTCAGTCCATTGTGCTTGTCATTATGGGGATTAGACGTTCCTTAATTGTCGCTTAATGCTCATGTTATTCGATGCGACGTCGAGAATTAATTGCTCGCGGTTTGGGGTTACAAACTGGTTACAAGGCTTTTATGTTGTTCATGGTGCTGGGTGGGAGGTTTTGGGGCTTTTTAGGGTGTTTGGTGCTTGTTTTATTACAAATAAGTGAGTATGAACATAACATGTAGAGATATGGCATTTTTGTATTTTACACTAACCTTCATATCTAGGTATGTAAACCACTTTTACTATATCTATCTTCCCCTTTACAATCCATCAACTTCCCTACGATTACTGTAAACTGGCCTTGTGTTTAACGACAAACATGTTTCCAAGTTTTGACGTCTCTGATATTATTGGTCATTACTTTTTAACAATTGTTACTTGGCCCAACACTGATTCTGAGGCTTGTCAAGTGGGTCCGGGCTGATTGATTGACAAAAGGTGCTTTCCGGAATCATTTGTCTTTATATTAATTTTTGAGGCAAACGGAGGCCAAAAACTTTTGGCTACCGTAATCCCTCGCACTGCTCCAATAAAAGGGCTTCAAGGGGGGAGGGGCGATCGCGCTTCTTTATTGTCATTTCAGGGCGTTACACATATAGTTCAAGTCATCCGAAGTTTATAGTGATGATGATACAGTGTGGGGCAGCAGCGTTTCAAGGTTGTCAACGAGGTTGTTGCTTTCGGATTGTTTTCGAACTTGAGTTCAGGGGCTGATAAGAAGTTTTGACAACAAAAAAGTTTTGAGGATAGTATGGGAGGTTACTCACAGCCTATTATAAACTCAGCTTTTCAGTTTTTATTGTATTTAGATCTGCAAGCAGTAGAGACTTTTAAATATTAGATTTTGAATATACTTTTTGTATGATATTGTTATAGGTATTGGCGTGGGTTTTCTCGAGATTCTACATTATTTTTTTATCATTTTATATTAATATTGTTTGTTATTTCAGTAGCTATGTTCAACATCTCAAACATTCTTCAAGCATCGTCCATCAAGCCTGGTAGGTTTGATTTTTCATTTTATATTCAAAATTCAAATTTGGCATAAACTTAAAATTTTTTCTATTTTTTTATTTTTAACAAATTTATTTACTTTTTTGTTTGTTTTACCACGCCAAGAAGCAAAAAGTAGCAATACCCAAGCCAAGTTTAAATTGTCTTTGATTTCACCGCTCCTTGAGGTATTTGGTTGAGGTATATTACTGATGTAATAGCGATCGCTTTTATGTTATTTACACCCAATTAATGTAATCCCACACCTCTCTTTGTCGGCTCAGTTCATCAAAGGGCTTTGCTTAATATGTGATACGCTTTGTATTCATGATCTGTTCAAATTTACCTTATACTTTAGATACACTTACTTGATCGGTTTGTTCAAGTTGTAGTTCTTTTGGTGGTAAAAAGATTGTTCTAAACATAAATGATTAGAATTTTTTTTAAATTTAACATTTTAGTTTCGTCTTAAAATGGCAAAAAGTTAACGAAAACTTGATTTAATTGCCAATAAGAGCTTGACTTTGCCTACTTTTAAATAAACTTTATATTATTTTTTTTAAATTGATTAATATTTAAAAAAACGTAAAAATACTTTCTTTTTCAGACTGCACAGAACACAGTCCGACGACTTCTGAAGAGTACAACATGTCGTTGAACATCTCTGCCGACCAAGCCTCGAACCTTGACAACTCGGCCTCACCTCACGCGGAATCTGAAGCTGACACAATGGCTACATCACCAGGACAATCAGATTCAGCGGAAGAACCCAGCTTCCTAGGAGACGACTATGCCAATATGGAAGCGGCCAAGGTTGATAAGGATGGAAAGCCAAAGTTCAGTTATAATGCCTTGATAACAATGGCACTAAGGGACAGTGCTGACGAGAAGTTAACTTTGAATGGCATTTATGAGTATATCATGGACCGGTTTCCATTCTATAGGTAGGTTTAGACAATAGTCAAGTTATAATTATTAAATTCGACCAACCTGTTCGTTATTTAACATTAGCTAGCCCTATTTACCATATAATGTCATTTCTTATTATGAGAAGTCATCATTATCAATATTTTAGGAACAACAAACGAGGATGGCAGAACAGTATCAGACACAACCTCTCCTTGAACAAGTTTTTCGTAAAAGTGCCAAGGAACTACGACGACCCAGGAAAGGGCAACTACTGGACGTTGGACAAGAACTGTAAGGATGACATCTACATCGGCCCAAACACAGGCAAACTGAGAAAGAAACAGAATCCGAAGCGCAGTAGCTACCCCACCTTCGGGTCTCCCATGACACCGTCAGCTCCAGAATACCCTCCAGCGTTTTTGGATCAAATCCAGAGGAATTCACAAAACTTTTTGACCACCATGCTACAGAATATGAACAGCATGAACTCACCACCCCTGCCACAGCCCGTCTTTCCCATGCCTACTAGTCTATTCCAACAGATGTCACCATCGAGTATCAACGCCTTCTCACCTCCTCAGTTCAACCCTATGTTAATACAGCTACAACTACAACATCTACTAGCCAAAAACGCGGCCAAAACAGCGTGAGTCTATTGTAGAGGATACTGTAGTTTGTAAACTTTTATTGTCTTCTTGAGCTTAGCAGTACTCTTGTCTTGTTTTAGATATTTTATACCTATAGTACGAACTTTAAACAACTTTAATACAGTTTTAAACTTGTTTCTTACTGTAACTTTTAAGAGTACTGTACTTCAAAATGATTCCATCTCTTGCCGAGTGTTCTATATTTATATTCCTTGTATATTGTTTTAGACATTACAATCATTATTATTGTTGTTGTAAACCCACAAAATCTATATTGTATTGATATTCCTATATGTTACCGTAACCTTGGATGACTTTTATTGAAAGTTATAAAAATAAATTAATGTATCCATAAGTAGGACTCACCATGGATAACTGCTAAATAACAGATACACTAAGCCAACTGTACTACACAGATACCGTAAACAAACTGTACTACAGTACTAGGAAAAAGAACGAAAGAACAATACCGAAAGTAAAGTACAGTATCAAACAAAGATTCCGCGTGAGATCAGCATAGAGATACGCGTCGGATTCTGAAGTCTGTGAACTTTCAGAAGTCTCGTCTTCTTCTGGAATGATGTTACAGTAATTACATACAATATAATAGTCAAGTATATTTAGAAACTGTATAGCTAATCCAAATAACTTATACTTCGGTGTATGCAAAGCCAGGTAGATCTCCCCTCCTAGAAAATCTTTTAGAAACCCTCCCTTCTTCAGTTTTGACCTCCCCCCTCCTCTCCAGTCCTCGACCTCCCGCCAAACCCCTGGCTGTAGGCACTATATTATAAGTTATGGTAACTTACTTTTGTCGCCAATTTTTATATTAGCTATGACATCTTTGATCCTCTTGACGTACTCGTTTGGTACAGGCACTTGTTTGTACCGTAACCTTCTAATAAAAAGATGTAGCATCATAGCAGTAGTTGTCATAATCATCAAGTAAGCGCTGTACCTAACTAAAACAAGAATAATTATCAATCCTTTCATGATTCAAACAAACTTTTTAAAATTAAAACTTTAAAAACTCAAAAAATTAAAATTCTTAGCGTAATCACTTGTAAGTTAATATAAAAAAGTTTAAGAATAAAAAAAACAAAAAACTTGCTAATTCGAGGCGGTTCAGCAGTTGACGGAGGTAGTTCGATGAGCTCATTCAACATGAATATCAATTGTAAAAAGAAGTTGGCAATTACAGTAACCAAGGCCAACTCCGACTTAGAAAACATAAACGAGAAAGCGTTGAGTAACATGGCACAGAACGTTGGAATAGCCAACGTGACCCAGTAGTGCTGACAGTTTCTGACCAGTGTGATTTTTGTCACGAAAATCGACCTAAACATGTCAATATACTATCATGCCACAAACTAAAAGAAATACATTAGTGACTCAAGACAGCCAAATATACAAGGTAGTTCTGTATCTAAAGTCAATGTGTTTACCACGTAAGTTCCTTTTCGGCCGCCGTAGTAGGTCTGGTGTCGTTGTATACTCGATTGTGGTAGTATGAGATGTTGGCTGTAACGTTATCCAACTTCCAACTGCTAATGTACTTCTTGTTTGTGTCATTTCCCCATGCCAACATTACACTCGGCTTCAGTTCGTAATATACTACTAACTCGACTTCACTCATCGGATTCGAATTGTAGAACCTGAGGGCACATTCTTGGACGTCGAATGGGTAATCACTGAAATTGGTTTTTAGGTTGATAAAAATATAAAAGTTTTGATAATAAATCTCTGAATTTTTAAAAAAATTTGCATTTCGTAAATTATGCGTCATCTTTATCTTTATGTGTCAACTTTGACCCTAGCCATGAATTTTTTGTCGATAAAAAGACTTGTTACCTAAAATCAAAGCCACAACCAATGGAGATGGAGAACGTTGGGTATATCTCGACTTTTGTCAAAACTGGAGTTATCGAGGTGAGAGCTGCATGAGAACGTTTCGAGATCTCGAAGTACTGACTTGATCCGGCGATGCTGAAAGAGTTTGTTAAGCAGTTGTAAGTTACAAACCTTCGCATAACAACCAATTTAATTAAAAAATATAATTTTGTTTCTCTTGACGTACTCGTGTACATAATACCATAACATAGGACAACCAATAGTTATTTTAAGTATTTTGACCATTACCTGTTAGCAACCTTGATCTCCGGCTGCCACAACTGCCATTGGCTGACCATGGTTGTCCTTACATTAGTGTAATTCACTGGATCCCATACTGCCATCTCATCAAACCATGTCTGAAACGATATTATATTCACATACTTATACGTCTAAACGTTTCTTTTGTAAGTTTAACACAATTAGATGTTTTTATTGTGGTATCTTTAAAGTAATATATTACCATGTAAATGTGGCCGTACAACTTCATACTCTGTTGGTTCTCTTGAACCGAGAAGTGCATAATGTAGACATGGGCTTGTGCTTTTAATGGCAGTGATTGGTTTTTGATTGGGCGTAGGTTTCTATTGTAATTGATGAAGATGTCACGCTGTAACGCAGTGTGTTCTTCTGCGTATGTCCTGTTTGCAACAACTAAAAAACAATATAAATACATAAATTTTAAAATTTGTGTGACATTTTACATTATTCGACATAATTTAGATAAAACTATCACAAAACGGACAAGAATAATAAAAAGTAGACGATCAAGAATAAAAACAAATACCTGCCGCATCGTCGTCGTTTTGTTCAGCAACGTCCACATCAACCACCGACAGCTGGGCCATGGCCCCCATGCACGCCAGGCCAATAGCCAAAGTTGAAGCCCAAATCATGGCCATATGGAATATTTTAAACTGCGAGTGACAATCAGGAATACGTTTTGTTTATTGGATAGTTTATATTGTGATCGGCGAATCGTCCTTCAACGCAAACCAGCGAACAAAACGATCCCATCCCAACGTTTTGCCAGCCGTTTACGCTAAAAGTCGATTGCCTTTCATGGTAGGCTTTAAAGTCATCTTTATAAGCTTAAAAATGATATTATGATAAAACGAAATATATCACTCAAATAGGTCTATAAGTAATGCAAGATCAGTTATGTAGGTCTAAAGAGTAGACATAGATTTAAAAGATACTCAGATAGACCTAAAGTCGACCGCTTGTCTCTCTGTAGAGCCAAGCCTTCTGAAGCTCCGCAAAAGGTCAAACCAGTGCCAATTCAAGTGGAATAAGACCGGAATTTCGGTTGGCAACGCATTACAAACATCTGTAATGACAGTCCTGGCTTCTGCGACATCGGTTTTGTTGCCTAATTTATACTTCGAAAGGATTCAACTATATAAACCTCAAGGCGTTTAGTTTTTATACTTGTATCTTATTCATATTATAAATTTCAAGTTTGTATGAACTTAAAAATAGTAGAAGAAGCAACAATATCATTTTCAGAATGCAAAAAGTCGTCAGATATAATATTAAGTAGTAGTAAAGTCACCGTAAAGTATAAAAATCAACAGAATATCACCAACTTCAGCCCAATACTAGACCGTAAAATAACATATCAAATACTTGCCCAGACCGGGTCAAGGCCACATTATTGGACACCAAAGTCAAACAAGAGCCAATTTCAAGTTTCTCCCTCGACTAACAACAAACTCTTTATTAAAGCGTATAAACAATAACGTTCAACAACAATGCCTACTGATTTTAACAACAGAATTAAACAATTTGACATAATAAAGTACCTGCTAAACCGATACTTTTAAAAGTCATAACTCTAACAGCAAAACCTATTCCTTTTAAAAATCATAAATGTAATCCTAACAAGTATTATGACGCTATCATGTCATATTATCGTGATATCGGTTGATCATACCCAATCATGTTCTTAAACTCCCTTAGTGTTTTCACCGCTGTTTCTCGTGCTATATCCGCATTTCTTATTAAAATATTGTCCAAGAACTCTTGGTCCGCCTCAATTTCTTTCAATCTTTCTTGAATTGGAGAGAAGGTTTTTGTAATTTCAGAAGCCAATTTCAACTTCAAACCCAAAGAGTTGAGATCAGAGCATTCTTGAGTAACTTGTTCTACTGATTTTTCTTCAATTTCAGCCAAGATTTCCAGCTAAAACAATAAAATATTAAAATTTGCTATTTTTCAATTAAAAAGCAAAGGAAAATAAACAATACAACTTTTAAACTCCACAAAAACCTTCAGAAATTAGAATAATATACAATAAAAACACGGTACTGCAACCTGGCCTCACCAAATTACAAATTCCAGCCCGGTTGACTTTATCGTATGTTACATTCGCTCCAGTACTATCAGTAACGGCCTTTTTCACTTTCTTTAACACTTGAGCCTCAGTATCCTCTACAAAAACTGTAGCATGTTGATTTGGGTCCGACTTGCTCATCTTTTTGGTAGGATCAGATAAACTCTTAATTCTTGAACTCTTGGATAATATCTGTCAAATGAGTCACCAGTTAAATCAGCTTGTGCAATCAGTGAATACTTAGAACAATAACAACTATACTTTTTTCTAGATTACTTTCAAATGACTCACCAGTTCTGGTGTCGGAAAACATTGTTTCTTGAATAAACCCTTTATCGTCTCGATTATGTGATAGGTAAGATGGACGTGCATCACCTGATCCTCGCCCACTGGTATCTTGGTGCATTTATACAACAGTATGTCAGCGGCTTGTAAGACCGGATAAGTTAGCAAATTTGGCGAAACTCCATCTAAATTACTGTAAAGAATGAATAAGAAACATATTACCGCTATATAAGCTAACGTAAAATAAAGTGAACAAAAGTAAGTTAAATATAACTCTAGTCAGAAATTAGAAACATCAATTGTAAGATAATTTCAAAAAAATTGTGATCCTATGTTTTATCCTTTAAAATAAGTATAGACTTACTCATTACTCTTTTCCTTAAACTGAGGTAATTTAGATAACCTGTTGATAGTCACGATCGACCCCAGATGCCACGCCAATTCAGAGTGTTCAGGCACTTGACTCTGATAAAATAGTCGAGTATCATTTGGATCTATTCCACATGCAATCAACGATGCCACTAGCTTTCTACATTGTTTTCGGAACTAAAACAATATAAACAACAAGCACCGCAACGACTTACATCTTTATGGATAGGAACGACAGAATTCGAATGTAAATCAACCACCATCAAGTACTTTTGAGCGTCTGGATTAGCCTAAACGAATAATTCATTAAATTTTGAGAAAAACTCAACTTACATTTTGGAGTTTGACAAAGTTCTTCACGAATCCGAGGTAATTTCCAATGTGAAGTGATCCGGTCGGTTGTATACCACTTACTATTACTTCTGGTAACTTTTTGACCACTTTTCCAGCTGCTCCAGACATTTGAGAGTTAGAATTTGGCAAACTTTTCTTTCTTTTATAAAATTTTATTTGAAAAATTTATTTTTTTTTTATCAATTGTGACATTTCGTTTACTTGCAATCGAATAACAGTTTTAAGGCAAACAAAATGTTGTTTTGTGTACTGTAAGTTATTTTGTCTGAAGAATTGTATTTCTTTACATTTTGGTTTATATTTTTTTAAAACTACTCAAATTTTAAATTATGTTTAACAAGATTTTTAAAAAATTTAAATTTTACATTTTCGCATTACTAAACAATATTTTATCACAGCTATACTCGTTTTTCAAAAATAATTTGTTATTTACAGATTTTACAACATTTAATGTGGCCTATTGTTTTTAATTATTGAAGGTAATTTTACTTGAAGTTCTTACGTCTTGGGAGGCATTACATTTAGCCATATTAATTTTTCTATTAAAGGTTTTATTTTTAAATAATATGTGTCGTACTGAAATCATGCATCCGAGTAAATACCTGTCGAAATCCTTCTATCTGATGTTGTTATGTGTTTACAGTTGTAAGCTATAAATTCAAATTGCCTTAAACAACATTTTGGGGCTTTTAAGAGGCCAAAAAACTGTTGGACTTGCACTTTTACGTTCGGCACGGCGCCAATGGCCAGTGTCTTCCGTCCACAGCCGTTTTTTTGCTTTCTGTGTTTTTTCTGCTGTGCTCGGAGCATGTTGAAAGAAAAAACGCGCGAGGTCAAAAGAAGTGGAAAAACTATTTGTTTTGTGGGGTTATGTTCCCCTCGAAATAAAAGTACAGGTGTCAGGTCGTGTCTGGCGTTCCGTCGTTTTTTGCTTCGAGACGACGATCACGTAAAATCAGAACGGGGCGGCGCACACTAGGACAAAAGTCTTCGCACTTTCGGTTATAAGTGCACGTTACACTGTCTCCATCTCTGGGTAAATGTTTTTCGAAACTGGTTGGGGAGTATGGTAGTGCAATAATATTTATTTTTTTAAATTGAAAATAAAATAAAAATCAGGGTTTTTGCAATTTGTAATTTTTGCACTTTTATTTTTAACTAGTGCTTGCAGAGACGTTTGTTTTTTAGCGAGTATCTAAAAAAGCATCTTCTCATCATTAAAAGTTATATTTTAGGTAATATTTAATCGAAAATTTAATAATAATTTACGAAAAACTGTTTTCTATTTCTCCAAAAATGTGTTTTGGTTTCTTGAGCTCTTGGCAGATGCTACACACCGCCCGACACATATTAATTAATTATTCAGATACTGTAACAGATTAACAACTTGTGTTTGTAACAAATGAGCCCTAGTTTTTCTTAAAATGTAACTTTCGTGCCAACAAATACCAAGCCCTCGTTACCTGCGTGAAATGTCGGATTTGGGTACGAGAAGAGGTAGAATAATGTAGTGGGGTTACGTGCTCAGATTTATAGTGTTAATAGTAAATAGTTTATTGTCTAGGGAGTTCTTGAGGGAGTGGGATTAAAAGCTGTTTAGAACAGGGTAAAATTAAAGTGTCTCGCAGGGCAGGGTAAATTAAAGACTTTTAAAACTAAAGAGTTACAAGGCAGGGTAAAAGTTTTCAAAACATTTTAGCTGACCTATAACAGGAAGACTTGTACTATTTACAATGAATTTATACAAAACGCACTTTGAGGTATGATTAAGTTTTGCTTAAATTATGTTTTACTATCCCTAAAGTGCAACAATTCGAGGGTAATCTAATCTTAATCGGTCGATAATAATCTATTGTACTAAAGATGCTCTTAATTTGAAATTCAAACTCATAGTTTGTTGTATATAAACCTTTTCGGGTAAAACTATGTATTATTTACTTTGGAATTTGTTTTTTATACCAGACTTTTATGGTGAAGGTTAGTAAATAGTTGTATGTATGAAGTTGATGTTCTATATTGTTTTTGATCAAGCTTATATTTTTTGAGCTTAGCATGCTTAAGAGCAGATGTTCTAACTGTCTACCGCACAATATCATCATAAATGCGTTAGTTAACGCGATCCTGCTTAAGTCTAGTCAAGATGTATAATATAATTCAGTCATTATGAGTTTTAGAATCCAGTCATCATAAACTCCAGAATCTAGCTTCATAAGTTGCGTTTTCCGTAAACAAGGCCCACAGTTCAACGGATACGAAACGGCCGTCTTCATCCGCTCCTTTTCGCCGGGGGCATGCGATGACCAGGCCGTGCTGTTTTTGTTGTTTCTTTGGTGTTGTTTGGTGATCGTCGACCTCCGTTCTCGCAATGTTGCTTTTCCAAATTTGTTTTTGTTGCTTTTCGTTGGAGCGTGCTCCTGGCGCTCCTCGCACCGGCGAGTCCACCGAACCTGGCACGGCGAGGAGCTGCTGGCACACTCACAAAAAAAGATGTCCACTCGCTGGCGGCGTTCTTTGGCCTGCGGGCTTTTTGCTCGTTTGCAAACGAAAGGGGGCGGGGCCGGGCTGTTCCGGGCGAGAGAACGTTTCTTTTTTTGTGTGTTTAAATGAGACGAACGTGAGTGAGAGTGCACCCCAGACTCCCGCCTGAACCGGGCCCGCCCCTTTTTATGCGGATTCCGGGTTTTTGCAATCGGCAAAAAGCCTGCGAGTCCCGATCTCTGTCAGTTTTCGTCGACTTAAACGGGCGATAAGTTCGCTGGGTTGGGCTGGATTTGGTCATGTGCAAAACTCTTGTATTAAGCTGCTACTGAATTAAGATGGTTTGGATAAACTTATGATGACTCAAACTTCAACCATTGATGCTTATATAGTGGATAAAATCAGCAAAACCACAAACTTTTAATCTCCAAAACGTCTGCGCACTTTGCACACTTTAATCAAGTTTTAAATGTCTGAAAGTCACATATCTTAACCTTTTCAACTACCAGACCTAAGTCATCACCGTTGGCTGATCAACCAGCTGTCCTTGGCGCGCAGATCCATTTCGCGTTGACGTTCCAGTGAGGAACGTTGAGGCGGGTGTCTTTCACTTTCTATTAAACTTATCCATCACTTTTCGATCATGGCCAGCTCGTTTACGCGCGCGACGTCAGCCATTTTTAACTTTGTCACTTTTTCGAATTTATCGAGAAATGGGGGAGGATCAGTTGGAGGGTCGGTCGAGAGAGATACCATGACATTAAAGTATGATAACATTCTGCGGGATTAGTGAGGAGAGTGTGAGCTTAGCTTTGTCTACTTTCACTTTCCTTAAACGATGACACAAGTCTCACTCATCGAGAAGTATAATGACTTTTGGCGTGCTTCATCGTGAAATATGTTTCTTCGTTAGACAATAGACTACCTTTTTACACTTTTTGACATTCCTTGATTTGCATTGTCTTCAATCTTAATTATTGACACTAAAATTACAGTTTATTTGCAGTTTATGGCCGTTGATTGTGTCGACTCTACTGGATTGATTAGACCGATCATGGCGCAGTTTTGGACAGCCACAGATCAGCCAAGCACTGCTGATCACAATACGAACACTCAGAGCCAAGCCACCTTCGGCATGTTCGGCCAGAACAGTCAATCTTCCAGTCCACGCAACAAGCTGGAGACCAGCAATAACATGTTCAGCTGCTGGAGTCCGATCATGGACGAGAAGGTGGACAAGTCAAGAGAGGCCGTCTGGTCCAATGTCTACAACTGGATGCAGAGCTCTTCTGAAGTGAGTAAAATTTAAATTTAAAAAAGATTTTAAAATTTTAAAATATCAAAAAGTGCTTCTCAACTATACCAAACTAGTGTAAAGTACTACAATATCACTAGCTCCTGACTCTTCTGATAAGCCCTGTTTTCCAGACGTTTTTATTATTTTAAATAGTGACCTTTTCCTTCTTATTTGTTTAAACTTTTTGATTCTATTTTTTGCGTTTCTCGTGGCTGGACGGGAACACAAAAAGTTCACAGCGAAACGACCAAGCACGGGCTGGGACGGTGAGTGTGAGGAACGCAAAAAACGCCAAATTGGCGGTGATCAAGATCATTTGGGCCATAAAAAACGGCTGGGTGAGATACTGATGGCAAAATTGTGTCTGGGCTCTGTTCGAAAAGTGCAAAGACCTCTTTCTTCGACCAGAGTCATGTGTTTTTAAATACGAAATTCAACCAAAAAGTGCACCGATTTCAGGAAATGTGCACTTTTCGAAAATGGCTTTCTGAGGCAAAAATTATTATTTAAAGACTGGTCTGAGCTTGCAAAGTAGATGTTTTGATATAGTAAAGGGTCATAAGATGGGTTTGATACGTTCAAAGTCATTTTGAGTTTATATTATAGTCTGCACTTCTATCACTTTAAAAATGAGTAAATTTCAAATTCTTTTGTTTCCTGTATTGTTCAAGTTGCGCTTGAATGGGAATCTAGTGTACTTTTTCCCCTTTCACTGTAAACCATTTGAAGAAATGGTGCAATACCAAGAAGGCTTAAGGGCATCAGAAGGACTATTGTACTTGGGTTCGACCTTTTTGGCGGGCAATTTCATCTTTTTGCTTCCTTTTATGTGTCCTCGGAGCGACGGGAAAAGAGCCGGGGTGGTGCCTGGTACGGAGCGGAACGCCGCCCGTCCCCCCGTCGTTCCCCTCGCCGTCCTTTTTGCGTCGTCGTTCGCTCTTTTTTATGGACCGTTTTTTGCCTTGCACTTTTTTCCCAGCTCTTCAAAAAACGTCTCTGTGTGTGTGTTTTTTGTGGAACATTAAATGAGAACGTTCCTGACCCCACCGTCTTCCTCTTTCTCACCCCTTCGACCTGCTGCGATTTGGTTCGGAGAGGAAGGTGGTGAGGGGTGTAACACTATCAGAAATAAAACTAACCAAGAGGTACGTTCTGGCACGGGAACGATCGCCACAACAAACACGAAACAAATTCCAAAAATAACACAACAATAACACCGTTAGCCGAGAATTATGAAAAACACCCCGTTACTAAGCTAAAAACCTTTACCGAAGGAAAACACTCGGTTACTGAGTAAAAAAAATCTATTTACATGAGGAAAACACCCCTAACCGACTAATCTTTCAGAACTCAAGCAGTGAGGAGTGTAATGAAAGTACTCAATCCGGCTCCGACTCCATGCTCCAATTGTCGCCACAAGCTCCGGTCTCGAATCCTTGGTCGAATCTGGACGATCAGACCCTCCCCACCTTCACTTCCACTGCCAGACTCCCATCCTCAACATCTGCCCCGTCGTTCCATCAACCATATGCCATCAGACCGAACGATGAGAACGTTCTCCATCAGATGCTAAACCTCACTTTGGAAAGCCCAAAGGCCAATGGCTACAGAAAGTGGAGCACCGAAGAGCCCCAAGAGTCTCTACAATCCCCGTCTGTACATTACCCCAGTAACTACGCAGCCTACACCATGAACAAGCCCAGAGATATCACTGATCTGATCGAACAATACGCTTTATCCGACATTAACCCCCAGAAAGAGCACCAGTTGCACCAGTCCCACTCTCAGGTCTGGTCGAATGAAGTCGACCAAGACTACTTCAATCCTTCAAAAGAATTCAGACAGAACTACAATCAAAGACACGCATTCCAACCTCTCAACTCTCACCAATCCTATCACACCTCTCCGAAGCCGAGAAACGGTGTAGCGTGCGACGAAGCCGAGCTCCAATGGTACCACCAACACCTGGAGCTGCAACAGAATGTGTACAACCACATCTACGGTATGCTCTTGTCCGGTCAAGTTCCAGTGCAAAACAAGTCTGGACGAAAGAACGAGAAGATGAACAACAAGTCGTACCAGAAGAACCAATCTCCACCTGCTCCAATCTCACCTCCAATAGCTCACAATGCCACTTTTGAACAACCACGACGTAGCCAAGCCGAGCTCCAGACCAAGCTCGAGTTGTGTACGGATCAGTACCGATCTCTGGAGAAGGAGAGGAAGAAGACCGAGGCCGAGTTGGCCAAGCACAACCTGGGGAAGAAGATCAGTTCGGCCAACAACCTCCCCATCCCGCGCCTCCCACCCGCCCCATCTCGGGTCGACCGGTTGGTGGTGGACTTCTTCAGAGAACATGCTCGTGTTATCACTCTGATCAGTCGGATGGAGCAGCTGAGAGGTGTTCAGTTTGGAGACAAGGTGCACGAGACCTTGCGGGAGTTGTTGGACTCCATCAGATTGCTACAACAACGACGACTGAGCGAGAGAAATGCCATTCTCAGCCATCTGCGCGGTGATGTGGGCACTTATGATGAGGAGAAAGGTAAGATATTATAGTAAAAAGATATATTTGTACCAAAATATTTCTTAAAATGAGCTTTTTAAGTGACGAAAAATATAAAGTATCTTTTAAGCCAGCTAAAAAAATTAAAAATCCGTTTTTCAGAATCTGCCAACCTGGTCGAAGCCCTCGTCAACGTGACCAAGTGTGTGGTTCGAGCTCGTGCCGTCAACTGGTGTGCCCTTATCCATACCTTGGGTCCCGAGTCGCATCTGCAGCGGATGCAGTTGGAGAGGATCGAAGCCCTGAACTACCAGTGCGAGCCTCCAGAGATCAAGTCACGCCCGCTCCACGCATAAACCGCCCTCTCCGTCGCTTGATGAATCCAGAATCTCATACGCTTCATATGTAATGTCTGAATCTTATATTCCTCAGCAATTTCGAAAGACATAATCTACCAAAAATAGTTCCGCATTAGTACGAATCGATAGTTGTTACCGTAGTCCAGAAACTGCTACAGTTTCTTTTGTAAAATCACGGTGGTTTTGAATGGAATAGTGTTTATATGGATCTAAAATACGATTTTTTAAAAAGAATTGCAAAGAATATTGTTTTACTCTGTAATTATACTACCATTCAAAACCACCGTAGCTTCTGTAAGTAACCCCGTAGTATGTATTAGGCATACCTCCTAGCTGACCCAACAAATCGCCCCTTTAATTATCTATTTCATTGGGCGTACACCTAGGAGAACGTTTAAAAGGCTCTCAGGTACTCGTAGTGTAAAAATATTGTTATGCCTTCCCTTCCTCCTCTCAGCACCTCTTCCAGTAACACATATATGGTAGTAAGAGTGTACTCATTTGTTGTCAGATTTGCTCATATTGAATAGAAACCCATTGATTATTCGCTTTTTCTATTTTGTGGTATTGGATTGATCGAAAAGTTTGTAGAAATCTTTTGTTAAACAAGCTTCTAAAACATTAGAAAAAATATCGAAATTCAAACTCTGCATTACCCCTATTTACTTTTCGACCAGCCCAATATAACTTAAACGAACGTTACCGTATTACCTTTTACAGCTGTTTCTGTATTATACTCATATAACCGCTTCATATACATTACACTATATATTGTTCATGCTCAGCTCTATGAAAACCATTGAAAATATGCATAGCTCAGTAATAACCAACAGCGAATAAACTATTAACCGACCAAATCATATTTTTGATTTTATTACAATAGAAAACAACTTTGTAACAAAAAACAAGAATGGCCTAGGTGGTGTGGTAAGATCAACGTCGTTTCCTGAAAAATTTAAACGATTAGGTGACAAAGTAACTTTATAATAACATACTTTCAGGAAACAAAATTAAAGCGTTCTAACTTTTTACCCTGTAATTATAAAAAAATCAGTAAGACATTACAGTGACGTAATCCCAACTATACTAAGTAAAACATACCAAATCCATTTTGCTCTGGCACCCGGCTGATTGACCTTGTTCCTCTCCTTCCTTCTCGGATCTTGTGTTAGCAAGCCGGCTGTAAATTGAATGTTCAAAAAGCTTTGCATATTTTCAAATTTCTATCAAAACAAACCGACAACAACAAGTTAAAACAAAAGGATAACATCATACCTAACCGTAACATGTTCTTTGTGTCCGGGTACAACGCGGCAATAGATAAGGCTACAGCATGTCTCGCAGCTCGTGGAATGGCAGAAACTCCACCTGGACTCTTCACAATCTGAACATCCACATCGACTGTAGCCAATTTATCAGTGATTATTAGGGGCGCCAAAAAGTTTTCTCTAAAATCCAAGACAGATAAAATAAAAGTCTTTTCTAACTAAAAAATAAGAAAAATAATTTAATAATTGAAAAAACAACTCTTACCTAGAAACAATAGCTTGATACGCGCTTAGAGGTAGTCCGTTAACAGTATACAGTCCTGTTCCAGCATCAGATACTTTAGCGGTAACAGAAGTCCTCTTTACTATACCTGTGCCAACAGCAAACCTGACATTATTTGCTGGATCCAATTCGACGTCAGGGATTGGAGGTCCGAACAATTCTGACTTTGTCCCCGCACTCATACCAGTTCTGTATTCCATAATGAAACCGTGCTCTAAGTGAGCTAATGGTAAGGATACTAGGTGCTCAAATGCCAAAATCAACTGCGCATACTGTAAAAAATACTTTGATTACCAGAACAACTTTAAATTAAATTAGCCTATACATAAATTAGTATATTACAGACAAGTTTACATAACACTACAAAACTATTATATAGCTATGGTGAAAGTAATTTTACTCTTCTTAATAAAAAACTGAATACGTACCATATCATCACTGATCCGTTCATTTAGCTTCTTAGAAAGATCATCCTTCAAAAGCCACATAGATCCACCCAAATTAAACTCTTCTGAAGGTTTAGGTAACGGAAGTCCGTTCAACATTCTCTCATCGTGGTAATTTGTCAATCGCTGCGTCTTTAATCCAATGTCCTAAAGCAAGAAAGTCAAGAAACAATTAAACGGTGTTTAAATAATCTTCCAAAACCATTAATCTTACTTCCTAAAACAATAAACTCAACATCAAAAGCCAACTCACCGACATAAGCCCGTAGAAGCGCGGCCGAAGCGTGAAAAACAAGGAATCTGTGGGCCGACCTTCATCGTTAAAGCTAAATTTATTCAACTGCACCAAAATCTCCTCTGGTGGCTTCATTACAGGTCTGGATCTTGGTCCCAACCCAGATGGAAACAAGTACTCGATCGCTCTGTCAATCTCGAACTGAGTCACCTTCATCTCAGGAGACCAACCCATAATGTTGGCCAAATGTCTTTTGCCATTCTCAAACTCAACCTTTTCCTTCTCCATTACAATGGTGTGCTCCTGAACCTTCTGAATATACAGTTCAAGGCATTTTCCGATGGATTTCATCCGCTGTGTCCTCGTTGCAACGGACATTTTGGTTTGTTACCTAAATAAACAAGTAAATCCACATTTATATAACAGAAAACATCCTATATATATGTCAAAAACAAAAATAAATAATAAAATAACTCGAACAAGACATAGTACTGCAGGTTTTATAATAAATTTGAATGTAAAATAATTTTTATTAAAATTTTAGAGAAATGACGGAATGCCACAGTATTGATTTCGTCATAGGAAAGAAAAAATAAAATAAAATTGGATAATAATTTTTGGAAAATAAAATTTACTGTTTTCGGCATGTTTTGAAGTAAATAATTACAATAAAAGTACTTTCGTTTATTTTTTTACATTTTAGGTGTTAATTTTTAATCCACGAGTAACTATTTCTTATGAAGCTTAATATTGGCAGTTTTTAGTAGAATGTTACGTCTTGCCGTTCGGTCTTCCAGAAATTTCCTAACTCAAATTCAACGATCTTATTCAGCAGCTAATCCTCAAGAACTAGCATTAAAGAGCAGCAATGGATCTCGAATAACAAGTAAGAGTTTTGTTTAGTTTTTTCAATTTTAGGTAATATTTTAATTTCGACATGTTATGTTGTCAAGGTTATAACGCTATTTAGGGTGTTTTAAGAAGATAGTTTTTTGATGACTTTTGATTAATTTTTAGGCACAGAATTTTTGCAAAAAGTAAAGGAACAAACTGAAGGAGCCAATGAGGTTTCAATCGAAGAGTTTCAGCCTCCAAGATCAGCGTTTGATGTTTTGGCAGCTGAATACGATGCTTTGAGGGAAGAATGTGATGATGTTACTGATAAATATAAACGAGCTTTGGCTGAAACTGAAAATGTGAGAAGAAGAGGTCAAAAACAAGTAGATGATGCCAAAGTGTTTGCTATTCAGTCGTTTTGTAAAGATTTGCTGGAAGTCGCTGATGTGTTGAATTTGGCGTTGGAATCAGTGAAGTCAGAGGATTTGGAGAAGGATTCTAATTTGAAAAACTTGTATGATGGTGTTAACATGACCAGCACAGTTTTACAAAAGACATTTGCTCGACATGGTTTGAAGAAAGTGTCACCCGAAGGAGAAAAGTTTGATCCTAACTTACATGACGCCGTTTTCCAAGTACCAAAAGAAGCCGTAAGTTGAAATACATTGTTTACTTAATTTTTATGTTTTAATGTTAACTTATGATTTTAAAGGCTTGGAAGTTATTTTGTAAATATTTAAAATTGAAAGGTGTTTTCAAAAGCTTGGAATTAGTTAATCATTTTGATCTTTCAGACAAAGCACGCTCCAGGTCATGTAGCGGAAGTGATGAAGATTGGATACTACCTTCACGATCGTCCAATCAGGGCTGCTCAGGTTGGTGTTGTCAAGCATTAGAGCTCACAGGTGGTTACAATTAGACTTATTAGATTTGTTATTGTTTTGAATTTATTATAAACATTTATACCTTACAACATATTAAGTCTACTCGATAAGGAGAGTTGCCATGTATTGTTGGTCGTATACATTCACAGTTGGCTAGTTGACGTAGAGAAAATGACTGAAATTTTAGGTAATAATGACTTTGAAGTTTTTTTGGTTATAAATTGAAACAAACATGTTTTAAATTTATAAAAGTAAATGCAATTGAACGTACTTTGGTTGGTAATACGTTCCTCCAGCAACTTCTAAACGAGCAAGTGCTACATGGAAAACATTTATATAAGAAGGAACAATTAGCAAAGCTTGGTTCTCCATATTGTAAGCCTTCTATTTCGTTGTCTGAGGTGTTTGCAAACATATCAGGCTGAAATTGGGATATTTTAATTTAATATTTTGTTATTACACGATTTTTTAAAGATATTATTTAAATGATTTATTAAGTTTTTAAACAAAATTTTGAAAATATTTTTTTAAATATAAAATTGTGCTTACATTACATGCTTTTAATATTAAATATACTAGGATAACTATGGCCGTGTACGCTAATATGGATATAGCAAACACCAGCGAAGCTGTTGTTGAATATAGCACCCACATCTCTTCATTGGCAAATTATAAAAGGACTAATAAGAATCCTTTGTCAATATTAATCAGAGTTTTAATTTTTGAACCCTTTTTTCAACTTTGTCCGTTTCCTTGACAACCAAAGTGTTATAACTGTTGCGACCGTTTATTAATATAGTTTCAACAATAGTTTTCATACATTTAACGTTAACTCTTTGGCAGTGTTTACGTATAATAGATGATAAGTAGTTACACTAGATTCGGGGGTGGTAAAGGCACTTGGATCAACAATATTATTAGTACCAAATAGAATAATGGCATCAGTTTTTGTACCAAATAGGCTCAGTACTATGGGAAATTATGGCTTTAATACAATAGGGTTAGAGTGTTGGTTACAGTTAGGTTACAGTACTGATAATGTTTGGTATCGCGGTACTATAGAATTGGGGGTTTAGTACTGATTGCAATTAGGTCCTGTGTTGGGAACTTGTAGTACAACTTATGATTATTAATAGAAGTTGGTACTTATAACCCTGATTATGGATAGTTAGCTTTTGGACTTGTAGACGTTCTTGTAGACCATAAACGACCTTTTCGTACTAAAGCAGATGCGAACTTAAGCCATTTTCTCGAGAATTGGAATGATTTGGTCAAAGTTGGGCCGACGGCCGGGGTCTTCGTTCAAACAAATGTTAATAAGTCTGAACATGTTCCTCGAGATGCCTGGAGGGATCATCACTCTCAGACCTTCCAAAGCGATCTTCATTCCAGCTTCCATTGGCGAGAGATCAGCGTACGGCACTTCTCGGGTGTTCAGTTCCCATAGCAAGATTCCAAAGCTCCACATATCGGCCGCTCTGATGTTCAGGTCTTCTGGGGATCGTTGAAGGGCTGGAAAATAATAAAATGATATTAAATAGGTAGATTTACTATCTTAATTAATTGGATAGTGTGGGATGAATAGGGTTGTTACAGCAAACCTACTACAGTTCTTTCACTTATTAACGGTAGTCCTTTGAAATACTTACCTTCCGGACTCATCCAAGCAGGTGAATAAAGTCTGCCGACTTCTTGGAATGAAAACTTTGTGTCAGCCATGTTGATCTTGGCGTTCAATTCTCCGTCTACTACAACATGTTTTGAGCTAAGGTAATACCGTAACACTGGAGTTCCCAAAGAATGTAGGAAACTCATTCCTTTTGCAATATCAAGTGCGAATCTGATGGCTTGGGTGTGATCTACTACAACATTGGTCTGTTCATGAAGTACGTTGTAGAGAGAGCCAAACTCCATATATTGACTGATAAGGATTAGTTGGGGAGGTTGATTTACTGCGGCCAATAGAGGGCAGATCTGGGGACAGGCGAAGATTCTGAAATGAGTTGGTTAATGTTGACAATAGATTGAGTATTGTAATACTTTGTCGTATGTGTGAACCGGATTTATGAAAGGTCAACCTACCGTAACGATGGGAATTCTGTAGAGAAGTCTCTGGAGATTCTGGCTGTGACTTCTGGGATATTCAGCACTCGTGCTACAATGTCGTTGTCTTGCCATTTACCGCGGTATAATGTGCCAGAATGTGATTGAGCAATTGGTTTTTGGAAGGCCAAACTCTGGATGTCGACTCCAGTGTACCGTGAGAGTGTAGCCTCCCTCGTTCTAGTTTTTGTGTTCTTCCAGCCATCATCTCTGAATGGCATCTTCTGGTTGGCGTTTTGACCGTTTTCTAACGCGATTTCTAAAATTTGGAACACGTTAGAGGTCTAGGATAACCGAATGATGTTTTTTAAAATATTATGATATTTTTTATTTTTTTTAGCTTACCATAAACAGCTTGTCTGATTTGAGGCTGACACACGTCCAGCGGAGTGAGGTTCCTTTTGTTGCTGATATTAACATAAGATCCTGCTCTGATCAGATCTTCACAGATCTGTTCGTATCCCCAGAAGGCGGCATAATGTAGCGGTGTCATACCGTGCTCGTTGGCAGCATTAACGTCAGCTTTCTTCGATATGAGCCTGACGACAATCTGTCTGTGACCATGAGCTGCGGCCAAATGCAAAGCTGTATCGTCTCCCATGTTTGTGGCATTGACACGAGCTCCTCTTGACAACAGAAGGTCCACAATGTTAAGATGTCCCTCTTTGGAGCCCCAATGTAACAGTGAGAACGCGTGGTCATCTCTAAACATTCAATATTGATATTACAAAGGCGTCATACCCGATGTTGAGGTCGTGTTCGGAGTCGTCCAACCATACTCGGACTTGGAAGGCGTTACCTTCTTTTACCCATCCGAACACATCTTCCATAATAATGGGCACATTGGGCTTGTGCGCGTGATAATGGCTGGCGATAGACATTTTGCATTAATTTTGGTTTAATTAATTAGAAATTTAGGGCTTTGGCACTTAATTGAGGAAGGCCCTCAGGCCGATTTAAACGGGTTTAGGGGACAGAGTGGACGGCGTTAAACGGTCTGAAAATTTTGTTTTATTGAAGGGTAATATAACATTGTAGTAGATATTGTGCACGGTAAAGTAATATTTTACATTTGTGAGCATTTAAATATTTTAAAGTTTAAAATATTTTAAAATTTAAATTAATTAAATTTTTAAAATATTAAAATTAAAAAAATAAACAAAAGTAAGTAAAAGTTCTTGTAAAAACAATAAGAATTAATTGGATTAAATCCGCTGAAACCAATTTTGCCCTTAAACCGGCGGCCTGTCATATTGGCTATGAATTAAAGGATTGAAAGGGAAAGAAACAAAAAGCAAAAGAATGGATATTTATTTTTCGGCAGAGCGCATTGAAAGGGCGCAGCACGAGAGCGAAAGCCCAATGGACAAGACAAATATGCAAATCATAAAGTGGGACGTAAAATTGGGAAAAGCAACCGGGTCAAGAAGCCGATTGCAAAAAGACAGCCAAAACAGCTGATTCACCCCGCCCGAACTTCCATAAAAAGAATCCTTCCGTGGCCCGGGCAGTAGCGCCGTTTAAAGGACAGGAATCGATAATATTGGTGGGTGGGGAGGGGATCTGCAGCATTGGCCTCCGCCGAACAGGTGCCGACGATCAGGATTGAGGGGGCGGCCGATCTCGGCCCTTTTTAACTCTCGGCTTTTCGGCCCTCGCCCTAAGGGCGGCCGCGATTTAAACGCTTCATTTCGAATTATAATGAAAAACTACCACAACAATACATACACGTTGAACTGTAGAAAAAAGTGAAAAACATACAAAAACGATTGATTTTGTTGGGAATGCCTAATGTGAGGTCTTTGACATCTTGGCTGAAAGATGTTTTTTCTTCATTTTTCTGTAATTTGATACTGTACTTTGTAAGAAAAATGCATTCAAAAGAGCTTATGAAGAAAAAAACATAATTATTAGCAAAAGCAAGTTCAGTTGTAATGGTTAAAAAATCAACTGATAAGGCAAAAAAATGTTCAAACTTATAACTTAGATATGATTATACCTAGTGTTGACCAAAAAAAATCTACTGTTTTAAATTTATAGTTGCCTATTTTTTAGTCATCACATACACAACTACTTTTACTGTAATTGCAATCACAAATACATTTAAAAAATAATTTTTTATTGTCACTTTTTATGATAATTTATGCAATAATTATGTGCGAATTTAAAATTTCGTAAAAAATGCCATTTGTAGTCAAAACCACTTCCACCATGACACATCAGGATATTGAGAACGTTGAAAAGCAATCCGTCGATGCATTTACTTATCGTTAATTCGATTGTCACAACACTTGAAGTTAATTAGGTTATTTGTATGAATGGCGTCCTCATTACTCTCGAATCCTTTATGCAAATTTGACTTTGCGGGAGAGCCTCGCGTTTTGGTTTAGAGGAAGGGGGGATTTGAGGGCCTAAAAGAGAGGAGGGGGTCCTTATTTGGTCATTCGATTCGGATGCTTCATAACCTTTTTTACGTGGAAGCTGAAATATACTGACCCCACAAAGTTTGTACAGGCTTTAGGCTGATCTGAAGGGTAGTTTGACCTATATTTAGTTTATTTTAGACAGATGGTATAGTGAGGTTAGAGATAAACTACTGTTTCATAGTATTATTTAAAAAAGTCTATCTGAAGTTGCCAATTTTTAGAAATTGCCTTACCACTCTTGCTCTACCTACTTAAACTGCCAACTCTGACAATACTGTAAAAAGTCTTCTCAATACTTAAAACCGGTAAGAGTCTCTGTACCATCGTATCATGTGCCCAAACCTAATTGTACTTTTGTTGTCATCGTTACGACCCACCTACAAGGAGTTATGAACTGATCTTTCACAACCTTCGATCCGGAAGTGAGCATGGAAAGCAAAGGTTTAAAGGCTTTTGTTGTCGCTCTTCTCGTCAAATGTCATTTATAAGTTTTATGGGTGTTACAGAGTAAAAAAGAGCGGATTGGAATTCCTTTGAGTGAGCGAAAGCCTTTGATAAAGTTATTAAATTGTAAACATGCTCTTACTCTTCTCGATTACCATAGCCGTGTGTTGCTTTGTTGGCTTTCACGTAGGGTAGGGTAGCTACTTTAGACTAAAGGTGGATGACAGTAGCTGCTGCTGTGTCAAGTGTAAAAGTCATTCACATATAACTGCGTGGTTAATGGGTTTTATAAAGTACGGTAAGTTGCTATATTTTTTCCGATAGTGCAAACTAGTAGTTTGGTATCTTTCCTGCACCAAAACAACGTGTTATATTAATATAAGTAAAATTATATAAAAAATACTATCTTCTTGTCATTGTTAAGAAGTCACGCCTGTTTAAGGATTTAACTCTTACAACATTTTGAATTTGAATGCACAATTAATTGAATTATGAGGGCTTTGCAGTAAATAGGAACAGTAAAGTTGTTCTTCAAACGTTTGTTTAATTGTTTCCTTTTGGATTCGGAAGGTTTCCTCAAATATTATAACTGAAAAGGTGGAAAAAACGATTTGATGACTTTTTAATTTATTATAACTTTTGTTACTGTATATTTTTAGTTAAAAAATCATCATTTTTAGGGGTTTGTTTAAGATTTTTGCCAAGGCCAACCACATTTATTAGGATTTTACGTTTTTAGTTACCTTTTCACGTTACTTTATTCATATTATCTTTGATTAGGCAAGGAACATCGCTATAATCATTGTTTAGGCATTGAAAGTTGATGTCACTCCTAAGTAGGCAAGAAACATAAAGATTATTCTTGGCTAAGGAAAACAAAAACGATAATATCTGATATTATTCTTGATTAGTCGAGAATCTGAAGCGTCATCTGGCCGGCTTCTGACTCACGTTGTAGTAAAGTCTGTCAAACGTCCGTCCGTCAGCCCAATTGTTTTCCGCGAACGCTGATAACGGTCGAATTGCGGGCGCGACAAAAGACGAGATAAAAAAGTTTATTCGATTTCACAATTGGCGAGCCATCGAACCGAATTTATTGCTAGATCAATTACCGCGCGAATTCTTGTCGTGTTTTCGTGGTTACTAAGCTGATTACAGCTGTAACATTTTGCATAAACGAGTCGTATTTTACTCTTTATCTCTCATTTATTGTAATTTTAGATAGAAATGTCGCATACACCTTCAGTTTCATGCGAAAGCAGGCATCCGATCAAGAAATCAGAGCTCACGCCGGCTACTGGTGGCAACACGATGCAGGACTACTTTGTGAGGCAGCTTCGGAACTATGGCGACGTAGGTTTTAAATTGTTTTGGGGTTTTGTTAGCTAAAATTTGAGGATTTTAACAAGAAATATGGTTTTAGTGAAAACTTTTCTCTGATGCTTACCTAAATTTATGGGTAAAGGCATAATATTATTTTGACTTTAAAAATTTCAAATTCGGGGTTTTTATTTAAAATACGTATAATTATTGTCCTTTTAATTATAGAAATAATACAAAACAACGTTAACTTTTTGTTTTAATACCTAATTAAACCAAAATTTTACATGAAAATCAACATAATGTTTATTTATATAATAATTATATTATGATAGTTCTAATGGAAGCTAATTTCAGAAGAAGACCAAACAAGAATTCAGAAAAGCCACGATTCCAGTAACTCCAAAGTTCGCCACCAACAGAATCAGTCGCCGAACCGATGAATTTGCTGAAAGGCCTACGATCTCAGCTGATGACCGTGAACGATCCATGTCCTCATCCGTGTCAATACCATCACAGAACACGACAACCGCCAGCTCGGATGCTTAAGGACCTCAAAGCTCCGGTATACCTAGTAATGTAAAGCGCTGCAGTATGTTTTGTAATATCAAAAGTTTCTTTTACTGTTTGATCTAGTAATACGTCGTATCCGTTTTTATTTAGTATCTCAGTCATGTTAATTTATCGATTGTGTACAAATCAAAGTCTGTACAAATAAATTTATCATATCCAACAATTGGAAACAACATTAACAACAAAACCAGTATTCAAGTTGAAGATTGATATCATAGAGCCTCTTGGCTTTTCCGGACACAAGCGGCTACACGTTTTTTGAATTCGGGGTAGTTTTCGCGTTGTAGCTTCTAAAAAATCGTTGAATTTCAATATTTTTAAAAAAAGGACGTCAAAAGTTACTTTTAAAATCATTCGCAGCTTAATATGGTAAACATTAACCCTTCTAAAGCCAGAAAACACAGTAATATTATCAAATTGACTTACGGCAGCATCAACGTTAGCTGGAGATTCGAAGTTGGGGTCGGCAAGCATTGAAATGACAGACAACAAGATGGTTTCGACCGTGTGGACTGGTAGCCAACGTTCCTCGGCCTTCTCGTAGCCATAATGGTCATCTCCTGGCTCATGTAAAATTGAGATACACACTCCACCTTTCGTATCAACTGAAAACAATATAAATTATTACGGCAAAGACACAGTGACTTCCTAAACTCAAGAAAATAATGCAATTAAACATACTGTTTGGATGGAAGATCTCGGAGATGAACTTCATTTTAGGTGGTCGTACTGGGTAATCTTTTGGAAACTCTAGATGTGCTTTGAAAAATCCTCCTTCACTGAAATTAAAAATTTAAAGTAAGTAAACAAAAAAATAAGCTTCGAAAATGTAAATACAGTACGAAAGAAGCCCAATGAAACATGTTATCAGTAATATTTTATACATCCAACACTACCTACAATAGAATAACATAAACTTACTATAACGTATCTGGCGGTCCTATAATCATGACTTCCCATTTATAGATGTTGTCGTCGTCGACCAGGCCAGCGGAGAACCCATCAACAGGCGACCTACACAGATCTAAACACAATAAAAAAAATATTGCTTTACCTACCAGCTAGTTGTTTTCGCAAAAGTAGAGCAGATTGTGGTTCTCCCATAACTGTAAAGACCTGGTCAAACTGTAAAAATGCAAACGTAAACCTAGATTTACGAAAGAAATTCCTGTCAATATTTCTTCTCGAATTTTGTGACCTGAAATTCATGAGTCACGTCTTTCTCCGCATTTACGTCAAGTGTTTCTTTTTGTTTCAAGAAGTTGATTTTGAAAAATTTGATATCAAATTTGAGGAAAACAACATGGTGACGAGTGTGTGGATTGAATAAGTTACAAAATGCAAGGTAAGAAGCACTTTATGTTAATAAAATTAAATAAACATTTTAATATGTTGTTTTTACGTCTTGTTTTGCGTCGAGACATAAGGTGTTGCGGAATAATGGAGATAAGTAGCGCAAAAAGAGTTTAACGGTCGATAAATTCGTGGTGTTTTTTGTTGAATTATACTAATACCTTCACACGAATTGAGTGATTGAGGTGTACGGTTGATTGATATGTTACTACAAATAATTATCTAAATCTTGTGCATAAAACACTTTAATCACTCAGTTTCATATGATTGTTTTAGAAGCCACACAATCAAATTCATCACTTTACATTAGTTCGTTCTTCTTTCATTTTAACACTTGTTTTGCCCGAGGTTCTGGAAATGTTGGCCTTATGTCACAAAAACGTCTGAATTGGTTGTAGGAAGAGTGGGTTGGAAGGCCATGAGAGATGGATTGTTCTAAAGGTAGGCGACGATGTGTTCGGGCCCGTTTCGTTCTCTCCGAATCATGCACACTCTCCGCCGAATCAGCGTAACATGCTTTCCGAGTTATATATCCTGAGGCCGCCTGTCGGCAGTGCATGTGCCTGGATGAAAGGGGGCAAAGAAAATCACTCTTTCTGCCTCCACTTGAACGTTATCCTTGAGTAATCAGCTAGGACGTTCTCGCGCGGCCGAAGAGGTCTTGCGGGTCGGCCGCGGGGGGTTGGACACCTTTATCACATAATGCGCTCAATATAATTTTGTTTCAAACTTGCAAAGTTGCGGTTTTTGTTTGTTCGGGTTACGGTAGCTTGATGGGTGACGTTACTTGGCACTTTTATAAAAAGTTTAATACCTAAAACAATATAAAAAGTAAAAATATTTTTAAATCGTATGACTTTTGGAAATCGTACAGCTTTCAACTTTTAATTGTCTTTTAAAGTTTGGAATGCCATTACTTTATTTATAGATTCTCTTTAAAAACCAAAACATATGAAATTTCAGATCCATGGCCCGGGTCTTACTTTTAGTAGGCTTAGTCAGCCTGTGCTTGGTCCAGTTATGGGCGGCGGCACCAAAAACACTTGATCTTGAGTGCATGTTCTTGGGTTACCCTGACCTAGAATACGATGGTTTTGACCGTACCGAACCGTTGACTGATAAGAACTTCAACAGAACTGTCTTCGCCGAAGATGCCAAGTCTGTAGTGTTCTTCAACGATGTAGAAGATGATGATGCTGAGTTTGACCAGTACGAGTGCTTCTTGCAAGTAAGTTTATGATCGGTGTAGTAACGTAGTTAGTTGTCAGCTCAAGTAATGACCAAAAGAGGTTACAACTTCTACACCGTCAACACCACCAAGGAAAACAAGTTGAGACATCAAGAAGAAGTGGAGAAGGGCGAGGACACTATCCACGTCTACAAAGACGGCTACAAGATCGAGTACAATGGAGTCAGAGATCCAGAAACCTTTGTCTCGTGGTTGATGGACATTCCAGACGACCCGGTCACTATCATCAACGATCAGTTCGACTTGGATGAGTTCGAAGACCTTGAGGATGAAGCCGTCAGAATCATCGGTTACTTTGAACCTGGCAGCGCGGCTTTGAAGGAGTTCGAAGAAGCGGCCGAAGACTTTATGGGGGAAATTGAATTCTTTGCCGTTGTCACCAGCTATTTAAGTGTTTTACGCGAATTTTCAATATTTTAGATAAATAACAAAATTTTTTGTCTTTACATTTATCCATACAGGTAATGAAAGTTTGTTTTAGTGGGCGCGCAAGCTGGGACTAAAGAGAGTTGGAGAAGTTCAGCTGTTCCATCCTTTCGAAGATGATCCAATCTATGCTCCATTGAATGTTGATACTGAAGATGAATTTGAAGATTGGGTAGAAAAGCATCGTGAACCTGTTATGCAAAAGCTTTCGCTTGAAAACTACTTCAATGTTTGGGTAGGTCTTTCTATACTATGATGTTTTTAAAGGGTATTATTGTAAGAAATTTTTTTTACATTTGTAAGCATGAGTTTGGCTTTTGTTTTTGTAACTTTTTCAAATTAGATTACGTTTTATTTTTTGGCTATAAAAATAATGGCACATGTTGTAACAATATTGAAGTTTTTATAAAATATGCGTTATTGTTAACCAAACTGGTGATTTAAAATTATTTCAGAGGGATTCTGATGACAACGAAAAGATGGTGTTGGCTTTCTGCGACGAAGAAACCCGCGAAGGCAGAGCTTTGTACAAGTTGCTGCGCAAAATTGCTGATGAAAACCAAGAGCACGCTGGTACCTTGGAATTGGTGCTCATTGATCCTGGTAAATTTTAAAGAATTTAAAAAGTTAAAAAAAGATTTTTCGACTTATTAATTAAGGTAGCTGGAGTTATGCTATAGGAAGGACACGATAATGGCTAATATTATATTTTTAAATTGTTTATTGCAACTTTTTTTAAAGAGTTCAAAGATTGTTTTGCCAGAATTTTATGTTTCAAAGTAACCTTTAAAGTGATAATTAAAACCTCAATTTTAAAAGATAAAAAATGTATCACATTTGTGCTTTCATTCCAGACGAGTTCCCCTTGATGGTAGATGTTTGGGAAGGTATGTTCGGAATTGACATAGAAGAAGGTCCTCAAATTGGACTGGTCGATATTGCTGACAAAGATTCATTGTGGTTTGACATGAGCCAGTTGAACTTGGACGATCCCAAGAAGCACTCCGACAGCAACTTCGAAGCTCTTCAGACCTGGATCGACCAGATCATGGCGGGTAACATCGACTTGGACGACGATGACGAACCAGAGCCAGAACCTGTGAAGCCGGCTCCAAAAACAAAACGCTCAAAGAAGGAGTTGTAGATGTGCAATATTGTAGTTGCATGTAGTTGTACGGTGAAGCTCTTGGTTAAAGTTTAGTCTTTTCAGCTACTACGTTGCAGTTGTATATTGCTACTTTAGTTCCAAACCTATCAAAGATTACTGTGTTTTACTGTAGTAATGCGTGAACTACTGTAAAATCTGTAGATGTTTCTTCGCTATTGTAGTCTTACTGCTTACATCAACAACTACATACCCATACTGGAGCTGTACATCTGACCCCGATTTCACTCTGTTTCTTTCTGTTTTTGATAATATGACATTTCTTACTGTTCTGAATATATAAATACAATGAAAAGATTGTTGGCGGCTTCTCTTTGAGGTTTATCAGTCGATAAGGGACCACTATAATCGGTGATGGATTCGGGGCGGCGAACTTCAAACAAGCCGCACACGAGGCACTAAATTTATGGAAGAAACGTCGAACATCGGTTAACACGTCCGCGCCGTCTGTTTACCGTTTGTTTAGACCAAATCCCGGTCTGTTTTGGAAGTTACATGTTTTGTCCTCTTCGACTCAAGTCTCGGACAATCTTTGTCAGTTTACGTCCAGTAATTTCAGTCTTACGCCTCAATATTTAAGTCTACTCTCCGGTATTTAAGTTCCAAGGTTATCGGCAATTACGGAATTACTTCAGATTCATTCCTCCAACCGTTGAGAAGACGTTTTGTCATTAAAATAAGTTTCCACTAGTCATTAAAAGTTTCCCCACACCTACCAGCAGCTGCTATAACTACTATGTAAACATTGAGGACAATGTTCCTCTCTTTTGGGCATTCAGACCCCGCCTCCTTCGCTGCACGCAATTTACCGTAGCGAGGACAGAAGATAGCCTCAGTTTGTGAAAACCCTCCCAATTCTAATGCGCCGCAAGAAATGGTGTTATATAGTATTGTGGTTACGTTTTTGTTAATAAATACTGTGTTTTGTGATGACCAATGTAATAATCATGTAAGTTATCGTACTTTACAAAATTTTTCAGAATATTACTGTAGTCCTATAGCTTTTTGTATAACATTCATTTTAAAATTTAAGAAATCCACTTTCCTCTGGTCGATAACCTGGCCCAAGACCAACACCCGCAACTTTATGTTCGGCACCATTCACGTGGCGTTTGATCAAGTTTGGGACTCAGGTAAGGCGTCACTTAAGCGGAAACAATCAAATATGTGGGAGACCGGATGGCGCCGAATCCCTAAATGCTTTTTAATCGGCCCAGAGGTGTGAATGAGGGCCAAAACGGAATTTAAAAATAGGATTTGAAGATGGCTCTTGTCAAAACAATAGACAAAGACCATCGCGCGGGCTGTTGACCTAGGTGCGCGAAGTCTCTAATAAGCTGCCATATTGACCGAACAGATTGCAAGATAAATATTATGAATCAGAGTTTGGACTCTTTAATTAACGTCGATTTGAGTTAATTAATTCAATATAGGTAATGTCATTTTAGTGTCAAGTAAGGTGAAACAAACCCTCGATCAAGTTGAAGGAGTGGTCTTCGAACTGGCGTTGCATGATCCAGATACTGTAACCGGCTTAATCGCGTGTAAACAATTGGAATACGGACAGAGTTTAAAAGGAATACTGCCTCCAGCATTGTTTCAACGATTAAGACATTGTAAGTATACCAATTGGCAAAACGGATACCTATTGTAACGTCTAAAATCAGCTCGAATCGTTTTCGACTTTTTTTTGTTTCATCCAAATTAATCATGAAAAGTCCATCAATTTGTTTATATTCGTTCAAGTTTGGCATTTCGTAGTAAGAAAGCTTTTTTATCAAAATTAAAAAATGTTTTTCGCCATAAAATCTAAAAAATAATTTTTTGCTATTATAATATGATGTTCTTCCAGACATTCGCCGAAAAAAGCAGCGACTAATCAGAAAGGCAGAATCCAGAGAATCGCGAAAAGAACTCTGGAACCACCTTAATTCTCTGATTGGATCCTGGGAATATCGTCGCCCAATATGGCTGCTGTTTCTATTGTACCAACTGAACGAGCAAGAGAACCACAGCCACAAGGAGAACAGTCTGGTACCAATGTTGGATGCTTACCTAGCCCATTCAGCGAAAGACAAGGGGAAGAAGTTGTACTCGATCGAAAGTCCGCGCGAACAATGCAATCCGCTAATTAGAGTGAACAAACAACAGGTAACTAATTTATAATGACCTTGCTCAATGTTATAACGGTGTGAAACTTATAAATATTGATTTAGGTGTTAATTGCCCAAAACAATATAGGTATAGAAACCTGATTTATAATGGCAAAAAGGTAAATTTGGCTTTATTTTTAGGTAATATTCGCTATAAACTACACCTTATCATACATGGAATGGGCCGAAGCAACAAAACAGAAGGCTCACACTTCTACTATCGACCAGTTGATTCAGATGTACAAATGTGGCGACGAGAAGGTCACAAACTTTGAGAGTAACAGCTTTACTGACCATGGCTTTACTCTAAACGAAAAGCACGACCAAATGGCCAAAGATATCGACCAGAAGCTGAAGTATGACATAATTGAACATAGGAACATGAGAATGGCGCTTCGTACTCATCAACTGATACAACAACATCCTGATGAAACTTTTTTGTTTGCAATTGGTGCTGGTCACTTTTATGGTCCTTATAGTCTAATTAGTATGTTGGAGAGCTACGGTTACATTGTTGAGAAGGTCAACGATGACACGGACATATCGTAAGTTAATTTTTACTAATTTTGTCATTATATCAGTATTATAACAAGCTCTGTACTGCAAAACTTTATAAAGTTCTACTAAAACCGATCTATACAAAGTAACATATCATTTTTTACTTTTAAAAGTTATTATTTGTACATATCTTATAGTAACTCTTATAGTAACTTTTTCTACCGTCCTAATAACTTCAAGACTTTCAACGAGTTATGGGTGCGCAATGCCAAAGACATAAACATAATGAGCATCCGCGACAAAGATACTACCACGTCTATTAGTTATTTGTATTTTATTCTATGTTTGGTCCCGGTAGTCCTGATAGTCTGTCGGAACTTAGGAAAATATTATTTGTTGAAATCTCAGGCAACAGAGTTGTAGTTGCGTTATATGTTCTAACGTTATATGTTGATGTATTAAAGCATACGGGTATAATAAATATTACATTATTGTGTGGGAGATAGTCTTTGTTATATTAATAGACGCTGATTGAAAACGCGCACTTTTTAAATGTTTAACAATTCCATAAGCAGCACTATATTTATATTTCGAGGCCTTGTTTCTGATCACTAATCGTAGTGTTATAAACTTTTATATCGCATGAATACAGTATATGGGCGTAATAAATATTTACATTAGTGTGTAGGCGTGTAGAACGACGAGCAGAAGGCGCGGCACATATTGGAGCAGAACTGTTGTTGTTCTTCAAATATGTTGCCAACTCTGAACTTCCTCAGTACCATAGAGCCCGTTCGGCGATCTAGAACCTTACAGTTGTAATTACCTGCATCACTTTCCATGTAGGACTTGATCTCCAAGATCTGATCGTTGCGTGAGAACTTGTAGCCTCTTTCGGAGTCTGTAATAAACACTTTAAAACTCATAGACAAGCTTGTAATAGGCAAGGTACCTAGCTCCTTAAAATACCAGACAAAAGAAACGCTTGTTATAGGCAACAAACGTTATCTTTTACTGTCACTTATAACAAAAACCTACACCTATTGTAAATTGATTTCTTATGTATGTAATACTTACATTGTGTTAGAGCCGTGATATCTTTTTCCCACATTGTAAGCAGCCCTTTATCATTTGAGATTACCTCACATGACAGAACAACTTTAGATCCTTCTTGTGGGTCGAAAAAGTCTGTCTGAGCATCGACCAATTTGATTTCAGCTATAATTTCACGTTTTTTAAACATTAAAAATTATTAAAACGTATTATTACGACATTCAGTAAAAATTTTAAAAATAAAAAATGACTTTTTAAAGTTAATAAAAAGCCTTATAAAAGGTTACCTATGTAAAATTCATCAGAACTCACCAAAAAAGTTCAACTCAGCTCTGGCGTCTTTACGCTCTCCATGGTAAGTGACTGTGCATGTGTAGATACCACTATCTTCTACTGAACTGTTCGGAATAACCAAACTCAATGCAAATTTGTCTATCTTCTTGATCTGCACATTGCCTGTCCGTGAGATTGATCCAGGGCTTTTAGTCCAGAATATTCCTGGAGCTCCACCATCTTCTGGAATGCCTTCTACTGAGCACAAAACTGCCAGAGAGTCTCCAGCCTTTCGATTGTAGATTGACTTATCACCAAAATCTGGATCAACCTTGATCTCCCAGCCAAAAGCTGATTCAATCAAAAAGCAGAAAAGAATGGTGGATAACATAGTCAAATAGACACCGCCTATAATAAGGTCCCAGACCAAGCTAGCAAAATAGTAGTACAAGTGAGTAAGACAACCTTACCCAAGTGGCCAGAAACAAGATCGTGGCCAAATCATAATGACCATCAAAGAGAGGGTGCAGTTGGTTTCGGCGGCCTCAAAGGCCATAACCCTCGAAAGTCTTTGACGCACCGCCCCTCCCAGGTACGACCTTACGTTGTGATTGTTTTTTCCTAACGTAGTATCACAAGGCATTTTAATCAGCTGGCTAATTAACATTGGCCAAAACATCTATTTCACAGTTTTTTTAATTTTCTTTTTATTTATTATATACTGAAGGAAGATGGTTTTGACCATCTAACTTAACTATGAGTGGACCGATTGAGTCCAAAGTCGGTATATAGTGTATTGACAACCTATGTAGTAACAACACAAGCGGAACCAGGACTTGTTGAACTACCGCTAACAAATATTTATGAAAACTGGGTCAAAAAAGTGGGAATTAGTTCTTCCAAAAACTTCGGCTTCAACGTGCAATTGTCGTAAAATAGCTGTGTTGATGGACCCGCTCTTCCAGACACTTTTAGACGTTTTAGATTGTACTCAAATCAGACGGCCGGATGGTCAATCAACTAGTCCAACTTTTTTCTTTGTCAAGAAGTCCATGGTTTCTTTAGATTTGTGTACTGTACAGTTGTCCTATTCATATCACCAGCCTTCACGACCCTTCTGCTCAATTACCACGGGGGAAGAAAGTGGTCTTCAGGTCCTTGATGTAGTCTTTTGACTTGTATTTCCTGTTTACAACCAAAAATACCCGCTGTAAGCACATTTTGTGTTGCTAATATGCGACCCGTCTTTTTTTCCATTTTTTAAAAACATCTTAATTATGATTTTTAACATTGTAAGTCATGATTTTAAATATGGAAATTTTATGGTAATTATCCATAACTTAATATTTTAATTACACGAAAACTTCCTACCCAAAATTTCAATAAATAACCCGAAACGTAGCTACCCGAGCAATCCCTACCCGAAATTACCATTGCCTGAAATATCCATTACCCGAAAAGTCGCTACCCGAAACGTCCCTACCCGAAAAGTCCCGCACCCTTTCTCTAGTGTCTCGCCTTTTTATTATACTCTCTCGCGAAAGGTCACCGGCCTTATATTGCGACAAGCTTAATTGTTACCAAAAAACCTTTCCTTATAATGCTTGGCTTTATTTTTTGCGTTGAATAGGAAGCTGCTCTTTTTATTCTAAAACGTATATTACCACTTTTCTAATATAAAATATTATTTTAGTTTTAAAAAATAATAGTTAAAAATGGATGTGTTATACAAAGTTAGAAATCGTATTGTAAGTTTTTTTACATGACTGTTAAAAAGCAGCCAATTGTTTTTTTTGTTTTAATATTTTTCACAATATTTCTTTCAAAAGCCAAAGTATTTCAACTAAAATGGCAAGAAACAGTTAAAAACCCAATAAGTTCTAATAACTTTAGGTATTTGGTCGTGTATTGAAACATGTAACAGACGTAGAAGATCTCTGTAGTTTTGCACAAACAACCAGTTACTTTTACAAAATAACAAACATGGACTTTAAGAAATTGTGTTACAAAAACGTCATTTTTCGAATGAAAGGCGAAACTTGGGCTACAGCTTTTTCTAAGTAAGTCGGTACCACAGCAAATGTTGATTTACCACAGTAACTATCAAGATAATTTACTGTCGAGTCTGAGTACAGTCCTGGCCGGCCACATGTATATTAATTTTAAAATAAGTATTATATCAGATTACCGTACCGTATAATTAATGCTGGTGTTTTAACAAACAATAAAAGGAAAATTGCCAAAAACTCAATTTGTTGTCTTCATACTGGTAATATTGCACTGATTTTAGACTGCAAAGTAGTTTTGTTGACCAACCTAGACTTTAGCCAAAAAGTTTGTGAAATTTTAAACTTTAGCCAGCTTGATGGCTCGCTAGTTAACGTCCAGCTTATCAACCAGTCAACAAAACTAATATTAGATATGGCCAATTCTTATGTAATATATGACATGGTAAACAAAGTTGTAGTAAAAATCTACTCTGCATTACCAGAAGAAAGGTATAATCATTTTACCTTGTATTATAACGAGAGTACATTGGTTGACTTGTACAATCAAAAAGAGTACCATGTTGAGGCTCTGAAAAAGCCTGCTACTATCATTTGTAATGCTGATATGTTTGGATATCGAAAATATGTTGCCTATGAAGACATGAAACAAAATTTTGTTGTCATAAATATATAACACTGGCAAAACTGACATTATTTTTAGTTTTAAATCTTCATGTGCAAATGAAGAAGTTTGCATTCTAGACGATATAGACAATGTCAGAAGAATAAGTAAGTATCTGAGATTTATAGACTTAAAAAGTAATGTTAAAAAACGTTCTTTCACTATTATCTTTTTCAGACGGCAATATTACAATTTATGACATTAATACAAACGAATGTATTTTTAAAGAACTGAAAACCAATAAATATGCAATGTTTTCAAACTTCAAAATCATAGGCCTTGACGGGATGTATTTTAAAAACACGGGTAAAGTAAGTCCTTTTAAATTGATGTATAAGGTGAAATTTCATGTTTTATTTCTAGCAGATGAGGAATTTACTGAGGAATTTCAAAACTGATCACTAACACTTTGTTGATTGTTATTTCTATTAGTACTATTTTTAGTTTGTTGGTTACCATCGGAAAGCAAAGAAGTACGACATTTTAGGTGAATATGGCAAATGCGTTTTGGTGAAAAGTACATTTTGTTTAGAATTCAATCTGTTTTCCATGGTGACAACATACCGCCAATTATATACAAACGACGAAATTTTAATGCATTTTGATTGGACTACAGGTAAACAACAATATTTCACGTTGCCTAAAAAATTTTTTCAATGTGGTTTTTTGGCATTGAAGTAATGGGTGACATTTAAAAAGTGGATTTTGAGGTTTTTATAGAAGAATCTGAGTAACTCTCCCAAAAAATTTGTGATTTAAAAAGTTGAAAGTGGCGTACTGGATTAGATCAGGGTCGTCGTTTAGGGGGGAAGGGGGTCGTTTGGGGTGAGAGAGAGAGCTAGCTATTTGTGGGTCAAAAAATTTTTTGGATCTCCGTCAGTGCTGGGGGGGGGGAGGAGGTCCGACCCCCACAGGTAGCAGCTACCTGTGGAAAATTTTTCTGGGGGGGTCCCCCCCCTCGTCCGCCCCCCCAGCGCCCGGCCCTGGTTGGAACAATAAGAACGGGTCATATTTCTCAAATTAAAAAACTTTTAAAACCTTAAACAACATTTTTATTGGAAAATAGTTACTTACATATTATTCACTAGGTATTTTGCTATTTTTGGTATTCATAAGAAGACTGACGATAAAGACTGGCAGCAGCCTAACCACACAATTGTGAAGGGGGTGTTTTCAAAAAATTTTTCCTTTTTTATTTATAATAGTTGGCTATTAACTAAAAGAAATAGTAGTTAGTTAGTACAAATCTTGCAAAGTACTCCCTTACAAATATTATAGTCTAGTTAAAGTTTTTTAATGTTTTACGCGGAATTTTCAAAACTTGACATTTGGTGATTTTATGAAGTATGCAAATAAGGCCAAAATTATGAACAAGTAAAACAAATATAGCTTATAAAAGTTGGTAGGAAAGTAAATTTTGCATTTATAAGTGTTTTTTCAAAAACCTTTAAAGCAAAAAATTTTCTCCTCGTAAGCTTATGTAGGTAGGGCCGGACGCTGGGAAGGGGGGGGAGGACGGGGGGGGGGACCCCCAGAAAAAAGTTTTCAAAAACGTTGAACGTGGTCCCCTCTGTGGATTTTTGGAAAACATTTTTTGCAAAAAATCGGCACAGGTAAGCTACCTTTTTCGACCTCCGCCCTCAGACCAAAAGTCCCCGCCCGGCACTGTATGTAGGCCTTATTTATAGTGTAAAGTTTTTTCACTCTTAACACTGTTATAAAATTTAATAAAAGCTCAAAAAAGCTAGAAAAATTTAAAATATTCTATTTATTGTTTAAAAAAATAAATTACTAGAAGACGCTTAAAATAAGGTCTAATTAAAAGTTTACAAAAATCTCTTTTACGAATTGAGACTTTTAAAGTACGCAAATCCTCAACATTAGAATGGATCCGCGCCAATCGGATTAGTACCGTGTCCAAACCCACAAAAACAAAATAAAGTATTATTTTGAAAAATTATTTTTTGTTGCGAATCCGTTGAACATTTCAATGTTACCTGATCTTTTTGTTTATTTTTTGTATATTTACTGTGTTTATTTTGTGCCTACCTTATCTAAATTGAATCCTTGAGTTGACATATAGGTATCAGAGTATTATTTAATAAATTTGATAAATGTCGAGATATGACAGAGTTATGGGTAAAAACCCGTTTAGTAAAATAAGTACTAACTGAAGTTTAATTATTAAAATTTATTAATCTTTAAGGTTTACAGCAGCAATGATAACATATAGATTATAAGAGTACCATAACAAATTACCATAAAAATGATAAATAAGTGTTAGCTTTTATAGTGTGATAGTTATTTTAAATTAATAATGTATAATATTAAATACAATTATCTATGTTATTTCTTCTATTTGGAACACAATAAAATGCTAATGTGCGATGACATATTGCATAATTTGTGTTGGAATCTCGAAACTAAAATTCTAGAATTATATTTTAGAAGTTTTGACAATAAATAATATTGTGATGTATATTTGTTCATTCTTGGAAATTTGTGTTTCGCAGGTAAACTATAGTGTCAATGCTTTTATAGGTTTTTTATTGCATGCAGAATAATATAATTATTATGTTTTACCTAATATATATGTTCTTGTGTAATAATTTATGTTATTTTAGGTGAAACTAAAACATTTAAGGTAACAATAAAGTTGTTGGAAACAACTTCGAGCTACTACAAAATTCCGTGAACCCATACAACTTATTAAAAAAATGTTAAAATATTTCAATTACGTGTTATATTATATAATAAAATATTATTGTATGTAGTAGTTAAAATTTTGAATGTTTATCTGTAATGTATTTTAAATTTGAATATTCTAAAATTTATTTTAAACTTTTTAATTATGAATAAAAAGAACATTAGAGGAATTTGATGTGATCGACGTTAACAGCAAGATCGAAACAATAAAAGTATCTTCGAGGCAAACGTATCCGATTTCCCGCCTGCACTATTTGAATAAACAAGGATCAGAGAAAGAACAGACTTACAAGCAGTGAACTAACTTACAAGTCTACAGGCAACTTTTTTACTTTTTATTTAATTAGTCATGTTATGTTGCAGTAAAAATATAGATCTTTTGGTTTATATTTTAAATTAAAAAATGTAATGTCATTTTAATATTATGCTTTGATTAATTACTGTATATGTAGTTAGTAACATATAAACACTGCCAACCAACGTGGCTTGTGTTGAGACATAATTTAGGACGATTTAATGAATGTACTTTTAGTTTTTACTTGTTTACTCCAAGGGCAGACACGTTGCAGGTGTTGCTTGTCTTGGCGTCACATGGCACTTTGAAATTCAACGATTAATCGCGATTTGTTTTCGAACTTGGCCTATTTTCGTATTTTTGACATTTACGTGGATCTATCTTGAGCTGTTTTGAGACGTCTGTCTTGGTATCTTCCACAAGTTGTGAACTGAACAGATTTATTTTTATTTTTAGGTATCGGAATACTTTAGCTTTGTAAAAACAAAAACATGATTTATGCTTAAAATTTGTTGAAAAAGATCATAAAGAGTATACTATATGGCCCCATACATAAGTTTGCATGATTTAGTATATTAATATAGATACGTGTGTGGCTCAAGGAAGTGTTTGTGAGGTGACAGTTGCTAATTTTTCAAAACTTATTTTTTTCGAAAGTGCAATGTCATTAAGTGAACTGAAATGTGTTTTTGTTTGTTTTAGGTTACTGTAAAGCGGAGGTTTGTACTATTTTAGGTTTTTGGATCAAATTGAGTTGGATCAAGAGGTGATTTATAATCTGAAACTGCTTTTTTTTGAGGGAAACTGATCTGAACGGCCCAATTACAAGCGATTTAGAGCAATCTTTATCTTATAAAACATTTTTTTATTGAAAAAACTTTTTAAAATAAGATACTACTACCTTTCATACTTGTTATAGCTATTCTAGATCGGCAACTTAATTTTTCATCTTGGTCTCGATGTAGAGTAATATATACTAGTTAATTAAGACCTTTTGAACGTCCTGATCAAACCCTTGTCTTTCGTGTTATGTTGGTATTGTGTGTCCAGATCAAGATTAAAGTGATGTCTGAATGAATCATTTTTCGGAAATACCTGATATTACACAAAAGAAATATGACCCGAGGGGGAGGGTGGGGGGTGGGGTTGACATAAATCCTCACGGGGTGCGTTACCCCGCCCGACGAAAGTAAACAAAGTTTTGACGTAAGGCCCCAAGTGTTCTTCCTTGATTGGGCCGCCTGTCGGCCGATCCGCCAACTGTCTTCGGCATTCCATGTTATTTTTTATTCGTTTTATGTTTTGGCTTTACATGAACTTGGCTGATTGTCCATCTGGTGTGAGGAGCCAGATGCGTTATATGATCAGAACGGAAGTTCATGCTCTTTTCGTTTTACTTTGTCTTACTTCGATTGGGTCAGGGCTGGACGGCGTTTTGTAAGTTTAGATTCTTGAAGTTTTAGATCATTCGAAAGAGTTTAAGCTTTATATTTTGTCATTTTACGAATGTAATATGTCAGACTTTTTCAGTTTGAACATACAACTTTACTTTTTGTTGCAATTCACAGCACTAAATGTAACATATTTCTCGTGTTTCTTACTTAGTTATGAAATTCTGTTTTTAGTTTCCAACAAAGATGTTAAACCTTCAAAGTTTGCAATGTAATTGAGTATTGTAGCCAGTTAATTTACTGTATACTTTCGCGTTTATACAAACGATCTTAAGGTTTTTTAAAAACTTTTTTATGTTTGTAAGCAAATTGTAATTTTCTAATTTAAAAAATGTCGAAAGTACCGTAACACTATCGTTTGTATGTAGTACTTTTATCAAAAAAGGTTTTATTGTTTTATATAATTTACATAACTTTGTTGGGCAGTTACTGTCTTTTAACAAGGTCTGAGGTACAATGTAATATAGCTTAAAGTGACTTTTGTATAAAGTGCCAAAACTTTTCATATAACCTTTTAATTGACTACAATACTCAATTACAAGTAGACTTTATACATTTCCATTTTTTTAAACTCAAACAGTTTGGTTAAAATCTTTTGCCAATTGTCTGTTTTTAAATTTTTACTTATAAATCCTTTCGTATCAATTATGTAAAAGTCTTTGTAAAATTTTAAAAATATCTTTGACATTATCAGCTCTTCTTAAAGCTTTTCAATATTTTTGAAATTATAAATAAAACTTTAAAATTGTAACTTCTGGAATCCGTAGGCTCTTTACACTATTGGCTTATGTCAACGTGCAGCACTCGAATGTTTTGTAAACTATTTACGTTGTTTTTTAGATCACGTTCTCTACAAATCAGTTGACCCTTTGTGTTGAACATTGTACCATTAGACAGTGCGCAACACTTGCTATCGCCTCTCAACGCGACACTCTCGACAAGTCTTGTGTTTGTTTTAAGAACTAATTACTATCTTCCCGCGATCTTCCAGGATAACACTTTGCGCTGATAATCGATTCCAAATGTCTTGATTTGTCTTCGGGATCAGGGGGGGGGGAGTGGGGCCAGGGCTATCTATTTTTTGATAGATGAATGTTTTGGCCTTCCTTTTTTATTCCAATCTTTTGTCTGCTGATTGATCGCCGTAATTAACAACTCTACTTTGACTTGATCAATTTATGAGGGTTTTATGTGATTAGTGGGGATAAACATACCTGTTATGACTGTTTACAGGAAAAGGAGGATGTAAATGCTTACAAGGTTTAATTCGTTTTTTATCGCAATGTTATTTTTAAAAGCATTTTGCTGAATAATTTTAAAATTAAAAACTTGGCTTATAAACTACAACCTGTTTATCCAAATATATTACCCTCATGCCATTAGTCATCTCGATTTCATATTTTCGGCCGATCTCCTTTCCCGTTTGGCGGTTGTAAAAAGCGTTGAGGGACTATATCACTAACTTGTTCTCGCTTCAGGACCTCAAGAACGGAGAGTGCAGGATCTCGTTTTTTGCGTTTTTTTTCTTTCGGAGAGTTTTGATCCGCTTGGGCCAACCTGATTTTTGGGCCGAGTTTTTTTTTCGGTGGGACCAGCTGCCTTTCGGGTCTGCGACATTTCCTGGCCAGGCCTTTTTGAATATTCGCCCGGAGGCAACCGAGTGCATGGAAAGTCGGACATTGAAATGGCCGCTGATCCAACCTGGACCCAAACTCCGTGCGACTCGGTCGATTCTGTCATGACCGACATCATGGTCGACTCGTACTCACCGGAAATGGAAGAGCGCCATTATCGACGGAAAACTTCGGGTCACTACGATGCCGGCTTCAGGCATCAACAATACAGCGTGCAAGGGTCCACTTCTACACCCAGTTCTGTAGGACCGTCCAGTGGAAGTTCGTCGCCTTTGGACAACTGTGTACAACATGTAAGATTGTTTACAGGTTTTTAGGTCACAATCACTTAAAATTATGTATTTTTTCAAAAATTTTAATAAAAAACAATAATTTTTTAAAACGATGTGTTTCAGTCCAACGATTTCTGTAATTTCACCTCAAGTTTCGACCCGTCAGATTGCTCATGGTCGGAGAAGTCCTTTGTCAACGACACCCAATACTACACTAGCCCAGCCTTCAACGAGAATCCAACCCTAAAAAGGCCTTACAGTTCACATCCACCTTCCCACTACAGCATCCATACCGTAGTGGCCGAACCGTTCGAGGTAATGCGATCTACCTCACCTTTTACTACCGTAAATTACCAAGAAAGCAATGTAAATACCGAACCTGTACCTAAAAAGAAGAAGGAAACTGCACCATCTGGTACCAAAAGGAAGGTTAAGAAGGTTGAAGTCAAAGGAGAGGTCGTGCTACCTTCCAAGCCTCAGGGAAAATCCATCGTTTCGGCGATTACAAAGCGACGCTTAAAGGTTAGCTTTCGTTGTAATGTTGAGATTTTGAAATTTTGACTAAAACAATGTGAATTTCTTATCAAAAAGCCTAAAGATAGCTCTTTTTTGATTAAAAAAATGATCAGTTCGTCGTTATATCAGGTGTAATTTAAATTCTTCTAGATTCGCAAGATGAACAAAGATGACGCTACCGAAGACTTCAAACTACCGTTATCCGAACTGACCGTAGAAGACCTCAAAGTAATCTGCCGCAAGCACAACTTTGCCATCTCAGGGACAAAAGCCGACCTCTTCAGAAGACTTCAGCCGATCGAAGATCAACTCGACATCGAAGGGATTCTGATGGAAGCCATCAACGACGAAGAGAACAACGCTTCAGAAGAGGTCAAAGAAGCTCCTGTTGTCAAGGAGAAGACCAACAAGTTCGACGTCGCCATCTCCGACTACCTGATGCAGAACCAGAAGCAGATCGAGAGCAAGAAGACCAGCTCATGTTCAAGTTGCAGTTGTGCTGGCTCGTCGACCACCAAGACATTCCTTCTTAACAACAAGTCGAATGGGCCTCAAATGCTTCACAGTGTCATTAAACTACCACCGCCGAATAATGGGGCCACTTTCAGCTACGCCGAAATGGGATCCGGAGGGCAGGTAAGCCATGTTTTATGGATGGTTTTAGGGCTTTACGTGAAAGATTTGGGAAAAAAGTTGATTAAAAGTAAAATTTAACTATCTTTTAATAAAAGATTTGTTTTTCAAAACTCGTTTTTTGTCTAAAATACTGAACTTTTTCAAAAATTAAAGTTTTTCTTAACATATCTAACAAAAACACTTAAAATTCCATAAATTTTGGCCGAAATTACCATTTTATTACTCCCCCCCCCCCCTCTGCAAGCGGTTGTTTATACAGTAGGGCGTTATTACTTTTTTGCTTATTCTTTTTTCGAGTTTGGAATTTGATAAATATACTTGCCTGAGGCGGAAAAAGACAACTACTCACACCTGTCGAGAAGGGCCTCTAAATAACGCCGGAAATGACCTGAGGGGGGTAAAACGAAAGGGATGTGTTGATGACGCTCATGAATTCCCAACTTCATGAAGATTTCGAACGGAAATAACAATTGGCCTTTAATCTCGGCCCAAATCCATCACCTCCACCAAGACGGATCACTTAAACTGTGTTCTCTACTTTCTTGATCTTTAAACAGTGCAAAGGATCGAAATACTGGAAAATATGTGAAACAGCTCAAGAAACCTGCCTTTTAAAAACTTCATAAAACAAAAAAAATCATGAAATTAAAATATAGGGCGCAGTTATCAATATTAAAGACATTTTATACGACAAAACAGTTTTAAAACCAGATAAAAATAATTTTTGTCTCTCTGAATTGTGGCTTCTCAATTGTTTGTTTTTAGTTCACTCTCGAATCGTGTGCTGATCTGAACACAACACAATATGTTCACGCCACTGTATCTCGGCTAGAATGCAGCAAATGTGAGGACGAATGTAAACTGACTGACGCCAAATGTAAAACAGAAGACTTGAAAGGAATTGTCAAAGCGTTACCTCAAACAAAGGACCTCAGCGACAAACCTTTGTAAGTTTATCTTATGATTGAAATTAACTTATAAACCTTATTGTTATAGGTTTTTTGTTGAAAGTAGGTTTATATTGGTCTGAATTCGGTTGTAACTTTTGTTTTTGAATACTTTATTGGTCGGAAGCGAGAATTCATTGCCATTTATCACTCTCACCTCCTGTTAATGATCTTTTGTTTCACTTTTAACTAATTATTCTTTAATTTACTTGTATTTGCACCTATTTTTCAACCAAAACAATGTAAAGGCCATTGAACCATCAATCTAAATTAATATCACAAATTCCAAATAACATAATTAATCCTGGCTAAACTATTTCAGAGTGACCGCTCAGATGCTGAGTCAGCACGAGAAATTGATTGGCCTACAGCAGAAGAAGATCCAGGACCTTGTTCAGGCCATCCAACACTCCCAGAAAGTACTATATTGTCAACAAAAACTGCTGGAAACTGCAAAGAAATGCACGGTTTGTTTTTTTTGCCATTAAACAGTTGGTTTTAGAAGATCGACCCGATCGAGTCGCTTCAAGACAATGAGAAACACCACCTTCAGCAGAGTGCAGGCCTCAAGAATCTGCAGTCGGCCGAACAGGTAAGACAACAGCTATGTCAATGTCAAGTTTAAACCTATTTTAAACAAAACTACATCAATATTACCAGGAAAACGGTTTTTGAAACGTTTTTTTGACACTTTTCATAAAAAAATGTTTTGAGAAATTTGAGAAACTAAAACAACATCAAGTACTTCTAAACAAATACATCAATTTGAGCGATTTGTAAACCTTTCATAAGTTGTTTATCAACAAGTTCAAGGAAATACATCGAAAGTTTGATCGCGTTCATCATTTTCTGCAATGATATAGTGTTATATGACTAGTTGAACACAAAATAGGATGTAAAGTTATTAAAAAATTAAAATTTTAATATGAAGTTTAGCTCAAGAGTACTATTTTAAAAATTACAGAAACTGTCAGCGAATCAACGTAAACTGACCCAAAAAGAATTCGAGATCCAAGAAGAGATTCACGTTGGCCAAGCAGTAGAAGATGTTATACGATTGATTAAAACTAACCGCAAGACAGCTCTTCTGATCGTCCAGTTGATCCACAAGTTCCAATGTGATCGAATGAAAGAAGTTAAGGAAGTGCCTAAGGTTGTTAAGCCTAAAGAAGATTGTAAATGTCCGAAATCAGAAGCCGAACGAAGCGATCATGAAGTTGTTGTACTTGACGAATCAGAAGATGATAACGCTAAAGAAACCGAGAAAAAGAAGAAGATCAAGAGCCAGAAGCCGAAGAAACAGAAGCCGGCTGTCAAGAAGCCTGCTAATAAGGACAAGAACTTTGCCGCGGTGATGGAGGACATCTTCCAGACGGTAATCAGTGACAATGGCATCGCTGAATGTGAAGACAAGAAGGCTGAGTTCGAAGACGGTTCTGAAGCTACAGTAACCTCTACTGAGTCTCAGCCTTACTCTGTTCAGCCGATTTCTTCTACCGACTATCAACCAGTCTACTGTAATGTAAAGGACACTTTTGAACCAGTAGCAGCATACCAAGAAGACGTTAAAGTGTACCATTATGACCAGTACCCTCAGAACGTGTCCAACTCTCAAGAATATGCTACACAGCCAGTTATCATGTACAACAACTACGAATATGTTCCTTCTAATGCTGTTCAAGTACATCAACCTCCAGTTGTGCATCCACCACGATCTCATCCACCTCCAGAATCCCACTACAACAGCTATGAGAAGGACGCGTACTTGATCAAGCTGGCGGAGAAGAGGAGGACCTTATGTGAACAGTTGGAGCAGATAGAGATGCAGGAACGGGAGATGAGCAACCCTTTCGGGGAGTACGTTCACCCTTCAGAAGACCTTCACCATCAGAATCCGGATGATCTACACACCCTTAACGATTTTTGTGTGTACGACTTTGAGAGCGGGCAGACATCCGACTTTGACGACATTATGGATCTGATTAAGAACGGCGAGAGTAAGTACTATAATATCAGAAACATGTGTTTTCATGTCCATGACAAGTCTATTTATTATGGGCTTGAGAAGTCTGGGTTTAGTAGTTCTATAAAGATTATGTATTGACTTTATATAAAAAATGGTGATATTGATATTAAGTTACACTATGAAAAGTAATTCGTGTAATGATTGTACTATTTTTTTTAAAATTCAAAAGACAATGTTTGATGTAGCAAAGCTAATGAATCTGTTTTTTTAGAAAATAAAGCATCAGTCAATGATACGGAGTGTGTTCAAGCTACCAATGCCATATACCAAGACTTAATGTTGACCGACAATCAGTTCCAGGCTTTTACTCCGATGCCTGAAGTCAGTATGTAATGTTATGTATCTTTGGTCTGTTATATTAAGGATTGTAGTGCTTTACTATATAGATCTATAGAGTTTAGTGTTTAGACGTGTGATTTAGAGTCTGTTATCTACTTTGAGTACCTACTTGAGTATGTTTTTTATAAAAGAGTGCGGTAATGAGCACGTTTTACTCTTTTTGCTTACAATATACATTAAAAACACTAAAATAATGCCATTTTTAATTAAATAAGTACGTTATAGTAGCTTGTAGTACATATGTAGTAACTAATTAATCAATATGTTAGCTTAGTTTACAGAGTTAACTTTTATGACTTTAAAAAATCCAAAAACTTCGATAATACCCATTTATACGGTGGCTTTTTGATGTCTTCTGCTTGATTACGGTAGTTGTAATTAGATGTCATACTGTAAGGAAATCTTGAGAAAGATAACAGAGTTTCTACTCCTCTAATTATTCCGTTGTAGATATTGTTTTAGTCTTAACTTATGTCCTAGTCTAAAGTGTAGCCGATTCCGGTTTGAGGCGGGTTCTGGCCAAGGCAAAGTGTGGTTACATTGGGGGTACTGATGGTACTATTGGGTTTTTCACATAAATTACAACAATTTCACGTATTATAATTGGTTGTACTGTTGATAGTATAACTTGAGATACTGATATGCCAAGTTTTAAAGAATACTGAAAATGTTATTTGGCCAAACTTAGAACACTTGGCCACGTTTTTAATTCAACTACAATTGCCTAATACCCATTATTAAGCACATCACAACCTATATTGTGGTAAGGAACTAATGCCCGACTCATGTTGTGATGTACTAGCTATTTCACAGCTTATATTGTGATGTAGAACGTCATAGTGTAATTCAAAACATATTTTGTAACCAATTCAAATTATGATAATGTAACTCTGCCATTCTCAAGTACAATTTCCGTTAATTAGGTTTGTACTTGGCCAGACTAGCCTTCCCCCAAACGAGACCCAGTGTTTAATTTCGAATATTCCACGATTACAATTCCCGCTTCTGTTAAGAGTTCCATGTCTGTTAATTCCTCTGATTAAGTGATTCCGGATTAAAATAATTTTATTCGATTAAATGTTTATATTCAAGACATGTGGGAATGAATGAATGGGACGCGAGGACCGGTTCACAAACAATTATATTATTGTTGTGTCAAATAATGCAATCAGAATATGGCCATTTCGAAAGGTGAATATAGGGAAAAATGTGACACTGAACTTCTAAAATGGCCTAAAAGATCAAAAACTGGGTGATTTAGTTAGAAATAATACAAAACGGAAATAGACTACTGTAATATTGATTTTTTTTATGAAAACTTCTATTATTTTACCAAAAACCATGTTTTTAACCAATTTTTTAACGATAAATTACAGTATTTTGCGTTATTTTCACTAAAAAATTTCAAAAATTAAAGAAATGGCATTCTTTTTGCATCAAAAAATCAATATTCGAGTAGTTTACTGACCTGGTTATACAACTACGAGACTAACACCAAGAATACTGTAACAGACGGTAAGTGATCTTTACTTATTGTGAGGCATTCGAGAAGGCAATCTAGGTATGACATTACTAAGCAGGAAGTCGAGACGGCTACAATCAAGTTTTGAGAAGATTATCAAACATCACTCAATCGTGTTTACTATGTCTCGTACTATTGTAGCATGTACTAAACGTTTAAAGCAACGTAATTGGCGCTACATATGACACATACGGTAAAAAAGTATGATACAAGTGGGCTTAAATAGTAGTGTTGAAATAGATAGTATTTTAATTACGATACAATATAGTACTTGTATTTTTATACGTAAAAACAATATAATGAGTTACCATTTAAGATTACATGGTAAAAAGTATTAGTGAACAATATATCTAGTATAAAGTAATATAAGTATATTTATGCATGTCATACTGTACCGACTCAAAACTCGTCGGACTAAATCCTTTTTAGAAGCCAGTCTGAGGAATTTTGAGCCAGCACAGTATCTACTGTGTCTACATAAACACCATAAAATAGAAAATATGATGCGCTGTGTCTACAGTAGTACGTTATCTATAGTATGTTCTACTCGCTCCAATCTCTACTAGGAACTGACGGTGACTCTACCGAGTTGGATACTGTAGATGGGTTACTGCTGGACTGGTTGGTCGACGTTGCCGAGTTCAGAAAGTTTTGGGCTTGGAGGGCGAACAACTTGGCTACATCGAGGTTACTGCCATCTTCAGAATCCGACGACAAAGATCGTAGCTGATTGAAGAAGGGGAGGGCGGATAGGAGGGGGTTCTGTTGGGCTAGGAACCTAGAATACGGTCGTTATTACAGTAATTTAGTTGTAGTTATATTAAGAATATGGATGTGAGATTAAAGTGATAAGAGGGGTGTGGTTATTAATAGGTTTACTGTAATTATTAGTGACGTTACAGTAGCAAAAGTTTAAAATTTTCTAATTTTTATCCTAATCACCTTTAAAGGTATGCACCATGATAATGCAAACAATTAAAATTTGAAAATTAAAATCTAAAAATGTACAACTGAGTATAGCCACGTACACAGGTCAAATAGCACGATCCGCTAATCCGCCGTAAACATTAACATGTTGTTGTTACAATATTGACTTTAATTACAGAATCCAGTTCCAAAAGCACTTACTACAAATTGGCACAAAGTAGTATACAATGTTTACTTTACAATTTCAAGGTCTTGAGTAATTGCTTTTGCAATGTCAGATCATATTCTGATCTTACTAATAACATAAAATGTTACAACCATACACTTTATATAATTTGAATATTATATTAATATGATATTTAGCCTAATATTCTATTTCTAACACATCTTTATAAAAGAATCAACTTACTGCGTCTGATTAAAAGGACTCTGTTGTTGTAGCAGCAGCCTCATGGCCTCGTCTCTGTTGTTCACCATACTCGGCAGAGAATTCAGAATCGCCGCCGCTCCAGACTGAGGTCGTTGTGAGGCAGCATTGATATCTTCTCCATTGTTGGTCCTCTTCCATTTGTTTCGTCGGTTCTGGAACCAGATCTTCACCTGCACATCAGTCAGACCGAGCTGCTGAGCCAGATGACTCCGCTGAGGTGTGTTGAGATACTTGTGCTGGTGGAACATCATCTCGAGTTGAGAGACCTGGCTTCTGGAGAACACGGTGCGAGTCTTCTTCTTCCGAATCCCATTCAGATGCGGGTGTCGGCCGTCGTCGTCGTTCTGTTCTGAACTGTGATCCGAGTGGACTGGCGACGACTCTCGACTGAGCTTGCCTGGATCACTGTTCCCGGACGAAGATCCGGAGGCATTGTTGATGTGGCCGAAGACGTTGTTCAGCTTCTTGGGGTCGTCTAACAGATTGGGGTTCAAGGCACCTGGAAGCAGGGAATGAAATGCGATGCGCACTTGACATTATTATACGACACCTATTATTTGAGTATAATGAAAGAGAGAATAATATTATTTGATGGGTTTAGAGAGCTGAACTTATTCATCGCGGCGCTCTTTAAGGCACGCTAATTACGCATATTGTCATCTAATTACCGTAACAGATTGAGTCGGATTTAAAAGCATCAGGAATGGTGGTAAAGTCAATGTTTTAGGGTTTCAACTGATTAAAGTTTAAAATTTGAACTAAAATTTTTGGAAATTTTTTGTTTTGGTTACTTTTTTTAATTTTGCAACTTCTATCGCTGCCAAAACAAACCTCATAATACCGAAAACCCTGCAAAACACAAAATTGTACTAAAAGTAAAGTTACAGTACCTTACTTATTAACTTGTAACACCACCCGAATGTTACCATTGATACAAAAACGTTTTGAGCTTCTAATTAACTAATTAGCACTTAATTAGGAGTTAATGATTAATCTATTGGGCAATATCCATTACGAAAACAATGGCTAAAACAAGGCATTGAAAGGCGGAATTAATTCGGCCTAAGTAAATTGTCTACTGTAAAAGGTTTGGAGCGCACTTAAGCCTTTTTCGGCTGTTAACGCCAATTACTTCTAGCTAAAATGACTTTCATTTTTTTGAATTTTTAAACAATTTTGAATTCTTAGGGTGATGTAGTTAAAGTGATAGCTAAAAACTGGCTTGTTTTACACTTTTAGCTTTTAAAAAGCCCAGAGAGTTATATTATAGTAGGTAAAACTTAAAACTTTAGGCATAAAACTTGCGTTTAACAGCCAAAACAAACCTAAGTTTACAATTTCGCTAGCCAAAACTCATAAATATTAAAAGCTAAATACCATGAGAATTAGCTAGCTAACACTTATCATAATTAACTAGTTACCACCCTCGTTAAACCACTAGCTATCCCCCTTTACAATCAGCTAGCTAACACCCATGCCTAACCCGCTTACGGTCAGAATCCATTTCTTTGATTGCCGCCACACAATTTCTGATATTGTGAAAGATTTTTCTCGAAATGTAATCGCCTTAGGGCACGAATGAGGATCTCTGCCGATGGCCTTTAAATTCACTCAAATTTGCATAAAACGCACTTAAACCGAATTACATTATACTTTGACTTTTATCGCCAAAACAGTGCCAATTCGAAACCGTTGTGAAACTTTACAGACGTGTAATTTCGTATGTTGACTGCCTGTTTTTTAGTCTCGAGGGGTGGTTGGGTTCGGCCGTAATTAAAAGTTTTGGTCGATTTTATCGAAATTTCTTGTAAAACGTCATTTTTGATCAAAAAATCGTTATAAAATCCCAATTTTGAACTTTAAATTCAAGTTTTGAAGTTTTAAAATTCAAATTTGAACCAAAAAGATAATATTCTTATACAATTCCAAACCTTTTAAAACTAAAAATCCGCCTCCAAACCATCCCAACTTCAAAAATTGCGCAAAACTTGCCCAAACATTGACGGTAAATGTTTGTGGTAAATGGCCTACTGTGCCAGCTAATTAGAACAACATTATCCGATATAATCTACCTGCGCGGCTGCTTTTATCTGCCTAGAACAACATCTGTGTTCAGGATGCCATTGTCCCCGCGATCTGTTCTGGCCCGATGAGTTTATTAACATAGACAAAAGGGATCGGCACCGCTTTGTTACGCCTTTGTTTTCGTATTTTACCATGACTTCAAAAGTTTGGAATCAGTTTAAATGTCATCGCGGGGTCAATAAAAGTATTGAGAGGGTAGATTTGACATTTTAGGTATTAAAAGAAACTATTTTGAGGACTTTTTTGAATTTATAGTAGGCTAAGTAGATGACAAAGCTGATTTTTAGAACTTTAGGTAACAATAATTACTAAAACTACTGTTATCTTTTAAAATACTTCAACTTTATACTTATAAACCCCCAATATCACTAAAATCTTATCCAATAAAGTACATGTTAACCGACCCAACCCCTAACCCAGACAAAATACAGTAATCCTTACCTGCGCCAATCATCCTAGCTCCGAACTGTGTCCACAATCCACAGAGGAAAGGATTCATGAAGGGCTCCAGATTCTGGTTGGGAAGCTTCTTCAGACACTCATTCAGTTGATCGACCATACTGGTCTTGAGCTTGTCCTCAGGCTCTCTGAAATAGCCGGATTAGTCAGGTTTCAAACTCAAATTAAAAAGGGCAAGCCGGCTTCGAAATCCCTTAATAAGCTGCTCTTGATGTGGCAGCGCATTGTCATTAAAAATGGCAACTACATTCAACGTTATCTAGAGCAGATTTGACACTAATTTTGGTCTTATATCGTTAAAAAATATTAATTTAAATTTTGAATTTAAGTATTTTAAATTTTAAAAAAATTAAAATTACTGCAACCAAAATAAAAATGTATAGTTCCTACTACAACATAAAAGTAAGAAACAACTTTATTACTACATAATTGACCATAAAACACCCCCACAAACTCACTTCTTCACATCCAAAAGATTGGCCACCGAAAATACAGTAGCCTCGAGCTTCGGACTGTCCATTGGACTGATATCGGGGCTAGCCAGCGGGCTCTCTTTGATCTTTTCTTCCATTTCTAAAATTGAGAAAATGGCCGTAAAATGTAAAGTAATGCCAATTACAACTATGTAACAAGCGAACAATAATGTATATTGGCACAAATTAGGACCCGCCCTCGAATAAATGCCGTATTGAGTGAAAGGCGGTTGATTTAAGGCCGGTGAGGGGCGTGGCCTCACCCCCTAAAATGGCCAATTGGGCCTGACATTCCAACAGTAAGTCGGTAATATTAAGTGCCAAGAGATTACGGTGCATCGGCTTGCAATTCCGTCTAATTCAGCCTATGTTTTAGGTAACAAAAAGAGGTTTTTTGAAATTTTAAGTAATAAAATTCAAAAATAGTTTAAAAATAAAACATTTTTTACTTTTTTAGGTAATAAAATTTAAATTTTAGCCATTATTTAATGTAAAAATTCGCTTAAACTCCCCGTAAAGCATTTGAAACACCCCCTCTCTCTCAACATAACCCAATCCCCTCTATCAGCATTACGGTAACTTCCCCGAATCCGTTATCATATCACAATAAAAGCACCGTAAATTAAAACGAGTATTTTAAAAGGAATTCGTTTTACCCCGCCCCGACCTCGCATTATCATTAAGGGGGGACCAATCGACGCCGACCGCGCACATTTGGGGCAATCAACTTCTCGTTTCAACATGACCTCGATTCAGAAGCCAGTTAAAACAGTTAATTAACGCATTTCGCTGATAACTACGGTAAATTTGATTGCAGAGTTAATGGAGTCACTCGGAATCACGTTAAGTGAACATGAATTCGAATGTGTTGCGAGCAGAATTTCGATAACAAATGGTTTATGAAGACTTTACTGAACTGAAAAGTTTGAGGGTTAAAGCCAATGAAAATGTATGAATACTTAAAGAAAAAATATTGATTTAACCCTTGTCAAAATAAAATCCCCCGTCCACAACTGATGGTGTAGGTAGGCAAAAAATTACCACCAAAAATCACAAAAATCCACCCTCCCAAGCCTAAAAAAACCTTGCCAATCTCTATCTCTATAGAATTTACTTTACAATCATCCACAATTCAGCTTACACTACCTTAACCAACCTTAAACTCTCTTACCTACCACTATTTCCAAAACAAATCCGCCTTACTTCTGGTTAATGCCACTTTACATCGTTAATAACACTTGGCATCGCTAACGCCAGTCCAAACCGACTAAAGATCAGCCCTAATCAAGTTTATCCAGCTCATGTAAATTAACATCGAACGGCCGACTGGAACCTCGGGCATTTTAAGGCGCTCAGTAAAAGCGGCACAATCGCATAAAATCAAAGATGATACGCCTATCGCCTTAGGGCCCTGACAGACACAACACTAATGTAGTTGTTTTATTTTTACAAAACCAAAAAAGGATTACAATTTAATAATTTAGAGTAACCGGATTTGAATTAGAGAAATGAATTTATACTTTATTTCTAGTAATGTAATGCTTTTACAACCGGGGGCCTTAAATTATGTCAGTCATGGGTGGACAACAACGTGAGCACGGTACTGGATTGCATCCGCAATATCCTTGATTGCTGTACTTTATGCTGTTGTGAAACAACTACAACAACATGCTTTTGACACAACACTAAACATAACGTAACACAACTTGAGCAAGGTATGTTACCGTATGTTTAGAAAATGTTATCGTATATTTATCAGATACTACCGTACTTTTACAAGATGTTACCGTATGTTTATAATATATTACCATATTTTTTGGTAGATCACCTTAATGTATAATAAAAGAAAATCTTTTAATACAACACCAGGCATGATATAACATAACAGAACATACTATTATATAACTAGAACAACATTTAATAAACTTTACAGTGTGCTATCGTATGTTCAGATGATACCCCTTATATTAAGTATGGTAAAAGCAAAGTAATGTCATTCCAAAGAGTTACCAGATTTGTCACGGCTTTCGAATAAAAATAATTAAATACCATGAGGAAATACGACTGTTGACATATCATATAAATTATTAGTTTTTACAATCTTTTAGAGTAGCATTGTGAAATACGATGCTATCAGAGTACAAAATGAACTGTTGAGCGTGTTCGTCGCGCAGTTTTCTTACTGTAATTTGCAGAATAATCAAGCACAACAAAAATCATTATACTATACATAATTAATAAAAAAGCCATTTATAGTCAACCCTGATATACAAAAAACCGCTATAATAAAACATAAATTACTGTAAAACCCTCTCGTTACAGACAACAAACAGTCGTGTCCTAACAGCCCCATTTAAGTTTTATTAACGACCGGTAAAGAAAACTACCATCATAGTAAACGCATATATGTATATATGCCCGCCTATAATTAGTGCTTAATCGAAATGTAATATAAATCAAAACCAAACCAATATAAAAAAATTAAACTAAATTCACATAATTATAGCCCAAACATTACCTACAGCACCAAAACATAACATTTGCATAATAGAAGTTACATTGCCCGTAATACCATCCCCTCCCCTTCCTAGTCACCCTACGTAGAACAATATCAGAATGCTGTCAATTACCGGAAACGCTAATTACCAACCTGCTGAGCAGTTCGAACCGGGATTAACCTCTACTCTGCTGGACCTAATATAGCCATATCTTTTAAGTCTATTGGTTTATGTAACAAGTTTTTAACTGTAAACCGTATGATCAATATAAATTACAAATAACCCTTACAAAAAACTTGTAAATTTTCATATATTTAGTCTACTGTAACAATATACAAGATCTCTTATCTCGTAAATAACGTATATGACTACTTCACTTCACACACATGGCCATATCCACTTTGAATCCTCAAAATTACTCCAACTTTGGTCTAAATTACTACAAGTTACTTTAACTTTTCGTGACATGCCCTTAAGGCCGAAAGTAATTGACTTACTCCTACCGTAACCCGCCCTCCCCTCCCTCCTTAATAGACTTAAGTAACCGCGATTGCCAAGTTCCCATTACGTATTAACTTATGCCTATATTTATTACATTAATGGTGTATTTCCGCTCGCAGTTGTAACGCCGGGCTATGGTGGATCTGTTTGCTTTCACGGTAATGGCATTATACATGATGTTACACATGGCATTACCTCGGTATCGGATCCTCTACATGAAAGGTGGCCATGTTTGTTCAGCCTTAATGAGCCTCGATTACATAATGGAGCCTGTTTTGAAGCCTCTCATCTACAATTCGGGTCACTTGTTGACGCCTTTACAACTTGTACTTGTCTGCACATGGGTTACTGTAACAATAACAATAAGTTTTGCTTTGTTATGGTAAACAGAGATAATTAGTTAATTAACAACAATATACCGCTTCCTCTTGCGTCACCCGACCTGTCAATCAATAGTGGACACGTGCCGTATAATCTTGCAGGATCAATCAAGGATGAATGCAGATTAGGATAACACAATGTAATTCGATTGTTTCGCAAATTACATTCGCACAACAGCAATTGCATGCCTATATTATAGTAGAATGCACATGAAACGATGTAACTTTTAAATGACAGCAATGTAGTTTACAATGTAATATATTGCTATAGCTAAAATAAATGTAACATGGCACCGTGTGAAAACAATGGCAATTTTCAGCAAAAACAACGGATGTAGATGAAATTTGCTAACTTTTTCATCTGACGTGCTGTATATCAGATACAAATGCAAGGAACACTAACAGATAATATTCCCTACAATATTATTATACCCAATTAAGTATTAATAGCAGTTAATTGACAATTGTATTCAAAACAAAAAGCTGTTTGTTACAAAACATCGTACCTCTACAACGATATAATTCTTTCAAATTTAAGACAAAAGGCAAACGTTCAAATTCAAATTAATAGTTTTAAAACTAAACGTGACAATTTTGAAACTATTTTATTACATAAAAACAAAGCAAACACATGATTTGTTACCTAAAAAGGCAAATTACTTATTTTCAAACCTAAAACAACAAAATATACACAAAAACCTACGTTTCACACCATTTTAGATCGTATATAAGAAATAACATCGGATATCATGTGTATTTACGTCCTCTGACACCTTCAGATAACAGATCTTCAATTGCAAAAATATTTTTTGTCCAATATGTTTTTGACACTTCATCCTATTTTTAGATCAATTGTGACACTTCGTACAACTTTGAGTATTTATGTATTTTTTCTCTTCAGAAGTCAAGATCGTGTTAAAAGGTTTATTCAGATAAAGACCTTTATTAGATTAACTTAATTGTGTGTTAACAAGAATAATATAAGATCGGAGATAAGGATCGAAAGGTTATTCGCTTAATTTGTTTTCTATTTACATACATGTACAACAAGATGAATCAACGTTACCCGGATGTGAGCAAACACAAGCTGGCGGTTATACGATGATATAACCCGGAAATAACGATCAAAAGTTACAGTAAGACCAAATACAGTACGAAAGGACAAGGTCACAGAAAGAACGGATAATGTTCAATGAAGTTAAAGAATGGATAAGAAATAGGAGGGATACTGTAAGATGGCTACAGTATGACGAATATAAATGTGAATGGACTGTTCCGTAAGTTATATTACTTTGTGTTAGATGTTTAGGTAATGTTAAAGAAAATGAAAGTTTATGATGAGTTACGTCAAAAGTTCTTGGCCTAATTGCACCGTGCAGTTTGTTCTTTTATTGGCTGCACGATGCAAAGATAGCCTTAAAAAAAAATAAAAAAGAATTTAAAGGGAAATTAATGCCTTAAAAGGTGACGGACTTCACCTGACGTTCGGGCCGAGACCAAAACTCGGTCCAAAAGCCATGTTTATCTATGACACTTTATTTTTGTACGAAGTGTTAGTCTCATGTGTTTCTCTCTAATTGATGGGTGTTGGCGAGGTAAGCTCGAGCATTAACAGGTCATGTAAATTGAGAAGTCATGGATTATAACTCGAGTTGCGCAATAAAAGCATTAGTAAGAGATTGTCATTATTGTGTTATAGGGAAAATTGTTAATTGGACTTCTGAAAATTTTGAATCTGTAAAATTTTTGGCGGGTTTAAAATTAAATTAAAAAATGACAACCTATTACTAAAATTAATGTTATTTTACAGTACATAATACAGTACGATCTCTTACAGTTAGTACAAGTAGGATAAGAAACGTTCAATCGAGGCAACAAAATCAATTACAAATGACAAATTATATCAATATAGAATACGGTAGTATAAAAAAGACGTTAAAGTAATAGTTCCTTTAATTACAGTAATAAAAGCCGTATTACAGAAACTCCTATTGTACGGTAATAAATAAACAGACCGAAAGAATGTTACGCAAGAACAACACGCACAAACAGTTACACGTTTGAGGTTATTAACAACATGTTATAGTTAGGTCAAGGCCGAAAGAATTAAGATTACAGTACTCGTTAATGTGTGGACAATAAGTTAATAAATCTGGCTCCAAAAGTCTCTGTATGTGTGGTACCCGGAGAGTGTCATGGTATTGTTGGATAGGACTCGCTCGTCATGGTCATGGGGTATGTTGGAGTGCACCGTACTCACAGTGGCACAACGTGATGTTACCGTACAGCTTGTGATTACCGTACTCCAAAGTACAGTAAGTACTAAAACAGTACGAAAGGCTAGGCACACGGTGACTGTGGCCTACTGTCCCCAATGGATACGGTAACGAAGGTGCATATGATAAGAGTACGGTGGTTGATGTGCCAATCATGGTGAATGTTATGGTAAGAGTGGTTCATATGGAAGCTGTAAGAATTCAGAGAATGGCACAACATTTGCATATACCCCGTCGTTGTGGCTGGACTGGAGCAGGCGGCGAGGCTGGAGCGAAATAGGCATGCACATCAACGTCGGGACGGACTTGCTGTAACATACGATGGTAAATACGTGGTCAAATTAAAGCTAATATATCACTTTTTACGTATACTATTAAGCCTAGAAAAGCTCGCTAACCCATAAAATGGCAGATTTAAGTCTATGTTTACCTTGAACTTCCTAATGGCGTCTTTGGTGATGTGTTGACAGTCGTACAAGTCGACCCGCTCCAGATTCTTCATTGGCTTCATCAGATCGAGAGCGGCGTCGGTTAGTTGGGAGCAGTTGTCCAACTCCAGTACCTTCATTATGTCCTTATGGGTCTGACATAGCTCGGCCAACCCATTATCAGTCAAATGGTCACAATGTGATAAGGCCAAGCTGTTAAGATTAGGACATCCACTGTTGAGGTTGACTACAGAAGTGTCTGTGATCTGGATACAGTCCTCCAGGTCCATCCTCTCCAGCTCGTGACAGTTCTTGGACAAACTTATGAAGCCAGCATCTGTCAGGTTCACACATGAAGCCAGCTCGAGATCTTTGAGGAGAGGACAGCCAAGGGCCAGGGCTTGTAGCGAACGGTCGGTAATGTCGGAACAATTGGACAAACAGAGATATTCAAGTAGAGGGCATGACTGGGCAATGGCTTCTACTGTGACATCGTTGAAGAAGATACACGACAAGAGGTTTAGAGTCTTGACACTACCCATCTTGCCTTGTAGATCGCTGAAGCAGTTGAGCGACAGCTGAAAGATGACGTTTAGCACAGATGTAAGATGACATAGATACAGGCAAGAAAAACATGCCACTTTATGTTCAAAAAATCAATTAGATATTTGAAGGTAACTTACTCCACGACATCCTTTACATATCAGAGTTTCCAAGTTAGGACAGTTCATGATGATATGCCGTACTCCTTCGTCCGTCACATTCGTGCACCAACTGATGTTAAGCTCCGTTAACCTTTGGCATCCCTCGCTAAATGAGAATTCGATTAGTTGGTTAGTAGTGGCACGAATGTGTTAGAAGGTTACTTCAAACCAATCATTGCTTTATACCATTTAAAAAAGTCTTCCTTTAACCAAACCTACCCCAAGGACTTCAACGACCGGTCGGTGAGGGCACTGCAGTTCTCCAGATCCAAATATGTGATCCGATGACAGTATTTACCGAGATGTAAGCTGGTCCTTCAAAAACGACTGTAATCTACTTGAGAGTCACTTACACATCCGTGATATATTTGCATTTACTTAAGGCGAGGGCTTCGATGTTAGGGCACTTGGCAGCAAAGGAGCGCATCGCCGAGTCTTGCACATTCTCACAGCCTTTTAGGCTTAGCTCTTTGAGGAAGCCGCCACAACGCTGGGCTAGGTTCTCGACTACTGACGCCTGAAAACGAATTGTCAAAGTGTTATAATATGATCAATAAGTGTTGAATGCAGGGTTGGACGCAGGGCAGGGCATTTCAACAGGGCATTTTTTTGAATTTCGTTTTCCCGCCAAACTCATATCTTGAAAACTGTAATAGCTATCAAGAAAATAACAACGTAAAATGGATTAGCAGTGTTTAAAACCCATTTCTAGAAATTTTTGCGTTTTTAGGCCTAGCCAAAAAAAAATTAAAAAAAAGCGCGCCAAAAAACAATTCAAAAATGCCCTGTTACAGGGCCCATGCCCTGCCCTGCGTCCAACCCTGGAAAATTTTGAAAACTTGAAATCGATTTGAAGTATAGTTTGATTTGAGAAATATTCAAAATTTTTGATTAATTTGGCAAAAATATTCGCGATCATATGCTTACTTTGATATCTTTTTGAAATTCGAACAAATCGACTCGTTGCCAATTGCTTCCATCCATGGCTAGCCGATTCCAAATACGACATACTTGAGCACATTTGCATAATGTTACAATGTCCAAACACGAAAATATCCTAAAGCATTTAACAGTTAATCCGCCGGAAATTGGTTTTAGCTACAGTTTTAACTTTGCAATAAAAACTTTAATTTTCAAAAATTTTCTTTAAAATTTAAAAAATTATGCAAATTTTTTTGCTTTGGCCAAAGCCTAATGAACTCTTTGATCTCTCAAATTTCACTTTTTCAAGCTAAAAAAATGTTTTTAAATTTAAATTTCAGCTTACCTTAACAACAACTCCTTAGGCAACACGCGATTGATCAGAGCCGGCTGCTCGCACTGCGACGGCAGTAGCGTCGTTATAAGGTACATCTGCAATTATAAACAGGATATTGGGCTCACCAGCAAAACAACAAAGTTTTTTAGTTTTATTGTTTGTTTGAGAAGAGAGAGTGTGCCTGGGGAAGAGACGGCAGAGACAAAACACAAAGACACCGGCTGGTTCTAAAATCTTTCGCCTTTTTACCTTTCGCTCGAGTTCACGGCAAGAACAGCGTGATCTGACATTGTTCGGTCGGGTTACAATCAGCTGTTGGCTGATAGTCAGGAGTGGTATTGTTTATTGTTATCAGATATCAATTAGTTTTGTCACTATTTTTGAAATTTGCTGACTGAATGACCGTTCGGAAAAATAGTTTAAAGTTTTTGGATCTGGTCTGTCATTCAACTTTAAATATTTTTAGAAATGGACATACGGTTTCTAGACCAGTTTCCTTAAACGTTAGTTACTCTTTTGATTCAAGTCTACCTTTCGACCAAAAAATATTTTTCAAACTCTTTTTCACCACTTTCATTCCAAAAGACTACTAATAACTATTCCTATCTGGCCAGTGAAGTAGACTTTGTTTTTGCTCCGACACTTAACTAAACAACACTTACATCTCTGCCCATGACACCGACTTTGGAGCCCCTTAGGCCCGGCTTTCCTTTCAGCGGCGTCTTCTCATCCAGAGTTGGGGCCATTCATCGATTCCAAACTCCAATTTATAATATAATGTTTGATATGTATAATGTAATCTATATTACAGTACTGCCCGAAGACAAAGTCCATCAAAGATAATGCTCGCAACGTAAAGCTTATCAACTTTTTTAATTTTCATTATAAAGAACGTTCATTTATCAAAAAAGTTCAAAAAGAAAGTTTTAAAAATGATTTTTGACCTAACATAACATCGAAAACCCATATTCCGAACCAGAATTACATTGCAACCCTTGTGGAAGGGATTAGCCGGCTTCTGAATCCCATTTTCCTCAGTTTTTTGTTTCAAATGTTCAGAAAACAAGAGAAAACGTTAGCCCTTAAAACGCCGGAGGAACGGGGAAATAAGGAGCGCTATTGATGGTCAGTCAGCTGACAAGAACAACGTTCAAAGCGCGCCGGAGCACGGTCCGCACGGAGAGGGGCCAGACGCACAAAGGGGCGGTTGGCCGTTCGCGTGGAACGCTCCGCCGTCTTTTTTCGAGAGTCAGTCCACGTTCACACCGTGCCGGATTCGGCGGGGTTGTTGTTCCGGTGTGACAGAATCGAACGGGTTTTCTGGAGTCATATCCTACGGTTTTTCACATCTCAACTCCGGTGGATAATATCGTACGGTCTGGGAGTTGATAGTGAGAAAGGAATCGGATATTAATCATGTTATTATGGGATTCATGTCACTAAACATTGTTTGTCGTCTTTTCAGATGAAAGCAGAAGCTGTCAACTCCTTGTGAAGGGAAAGCATTTTTGAATTAAAAACCAAATTCAGGCTTTAAAAAATAGAATTTCAAAGAAAGAATAAAGAGAATCCAGAAGGAAGGAATCAGGAAGCTGACTGAGATTCTTGCTACAAGTTGTGTTTCCACTTCCAAAACAGCTCAGAATAAAAAAACAAACGCCATGAAACCATCTCTATCAGATAAAAATTATCAGAAAACATCATTTCATCAAATAAAATGACCAAATAGACATAAAACATAACTCAAAAGCTAAAAATCATCATAACCCCCACTATAAACATAATGATTTCCATTTTTGTTCGGCCGAAAAGTAAAAAAAACGAAACATAAAAACATTGTAATTAAAAGTCCCCAACAAAGCAACAGATTCTGCAGATTCGCTGAGGTTTCCTTCTGAAAGGCTCAAAAGTACATCTTAAGTACAAGCCAGCCGGTGCCGGGGGAACGCAACCTCTCTTATTTATAGCTGTCTACAATCGTTATACTTTTATGGGTGTCCCAAAAGTACAACCTTCAAGAAGTTTCTGGTCTTGCAGGTTTAAATTTAATCGAATATGAATGATATTGTTAACGTGATATTAGGGTTAGAGTAACATGGTATTCGAGTGAAAGTAATATTGTACTAAATTATGCAAGTGATGCAGGAGATACGTGAAAGTATTTTTAACAAACACATTAGTTTTAATGCTATGAAACAAATCGTATTTGCAATCTGGATACTTTATAAACCATATGACATACCTGGTTCTGCTTGGCCTGGATGGTAGGATGGATGGCGTTGTCGGCGAACTGAGTCGAGGCTCCGACCACGTGCCGCTTCCTGGAGCCGATCCGCATCTCGTGGGGCTGGGGCCGATGGATACGATGCTAAAAACAGAAGAAAGTAAGAAAACGTGCTCGCTTGTGACCACTTGATTCGGGGGCCAAAGAGCTTCGACCAGCTGATGTTCATCCCTGGGCTTCTTCCCTCTCTCCCCCCTTCGTCTGAACGTCTGCCCTCTCCCCCCCCAGAGTGCTCGTTATGTCGCGCGCTCCCCTCTTCCCCCCAATTAACCGGAATCACTTTAAAAGGCACTACCTGGAACATCGCCGTACTCTCCACCTTATCATTAGCTTTTATAGGCGGCAGCAAGGTTACCGCCTAATTGCTTTTTATTTACCACGACTAGTTTGTGCACAAAGGGAAAATAGTAGTGCTGGGATTGTACTAGTAGTAGATTACTAACTACAATAGGGGTTGCGTGAGGAAAAACAGTAAAATTGGTTAGTACTATTATAAATACAATTGTGGTGGGTAAACTCATTCTTTTTTTATAAATCCAGTTTCAAGTTGTTTTCTTTTTCTTTTCAACATTAAAAAAGTAATTAAAAAATTTTTTTTAATATTCACAAAATATTCAAAAATCAATTACTATCAACTCAAAATTCCCTTATTCCCAAAAATTAACTTTTCAATAATTCCCACCCTACATCGGTCACTATAACAATATGCACTCACCGAGAACTGAGATTTGTTTCTTTCGGCAATCAACAAGTTGCCATGGTATGCCGGAGGGCGTTGGAAGCTCTTTTGTGACGTCTCGAACAGGCCATGGAAGCGATTGTGTTCGTGCTGTAGAAGAGGATAGTAGGTGTCGAGATAGGCATCTTCCAGGCTGATTTCATCATCCTGGTAGTCATCTGGCATAAAGGCTGGCATGGGTGGAGAAGGCTCGGGTACTAATCTCTCGGTTTCCGGCATATCCGTAGCTGATTCTATATCGGAGTGATTCAAATAGCGTAGCATTACATTCAGATACGATTCTGCAACAATTTTGGTTTAAAAAACTTATTTGCTTAATAGTAAAAATGTCATTTTCCAAAGTTTATACCTATTTTTAGTATGTAAAACATCAATGAAACTCAAAACGATTACTACAACTTCAAGTCCAAATTTGAAAAGATACGATGTAAAACCCAAAAACGTTAAAAACAAAAAAAAGGCATCGTTGTACCAGCCATAGCTCTGCCCACTACAAACAACCATACTCAAGACTACAACAGTACCCAGTTGTAATTACTTTACTATGTGACACAATGAACACCGAGTAGTAAAGTCACTCCGTTCTTCGTCCACATGACCCAAAGAATAGCCAAAAAAGAACTCGGCCCCTCAGGCGCTCTCTTTCACAAAAAAGAACTGAAGGAGCATGAAAATACTCTATTCAAGAGCTGTTGTTGGCACTCGCCGTATTATGAAAGTGGAAGCGAATTTTTGAATGGACATTGATATTTGACCTCCGGGCTTCCCACAATGACTCTGTAATTACATGCCATAAAACGTTCACACCCGCTGACGTACGCTTCATACCGCCAAATTCTAGCAGGTTTTTTTTAGCTTTACTACTGCATGATACGTATACAACGTGACAAATATTCTAATCACGACCATAATCTGCATGTTTATAAAAATTACTAAACGTGTAGTACTCAATTTTACAGTATTATACCATACTGACATCCACGATACAAAAGAATATATGATTTAGCGAGAATTTACGAAGAATAAACCTTAAAATTGTTCGATATTTAACCGCTCAGTTTCTATAACCGCATAACTTTACAAAAATAAACTCTTTATTACACCTATAACATTTTAGACCTTTTTAGACCTTGCATAAAGAAAAATTCATAATTGAGGCAACAATGTATTAATAAATTAGTTTCATTCGTAACAGAAAACTTACATAAAATGTTGTTTTGAATCCAACTTGCTGTTGACGAAGCTAAAGGTTAGAACAACGTCTTTGTTTCCATAATCATAGACTTTCAGCGTACACATCTCCAATTAAGTTGAACATTATGAGTTATACATAACAAACAACATTTTCAGATCTAAACTAGCATCAGATACTTCATACTAGCCATGTAAAAAGTAGTATTAACACACATAAAATCAAAAAAGGTAAGAAATCAAGCAAAAACAACATAAGAGCCACATTTAAATTGTCCAAAAATTCTGCTATCTAAATTTTCTCTAAAAAACGCGTCATTTATTCAGAAAAGACGTCATTGCTCGATTTTCTCGACAAAATTTTGTCTTTGGGAAGAAATCTGTAACTTGTCAAATAATACTGATACTGAGAACAACTATCACTATAATTCGTATTTTAAATTTTTTAAATATGTTTTTGGACCAATCAAGTTAAATTATTAGCTGAGGTAAGTTGAGGAATAAAAAGAAGAGCAGCTAGCTAGTCCCGTGTCAGATTTGGTACTTTACTCGTTTGGTTTTGATCATTTTGTTATTATGCTTAATATACGTTTTATTGATAATTTTTTATTTTGCCATCGGCGTACTCGTTTTCCTTGCCAATTTTGTGCTGATCGTTCGTCCTGATCTTGTTCGACTGGTTGTGATATTTATTTGTTGTCGGGATGCCAGCCCAGAGGATTGCTTTTTTGGTTAAAGCGTTTTCACATTTAATAGTTATGAATATATCAATCAAGATTTCTAAACTATATTATAATCGGTGATACCCGTTACAGCGATAAATATAACTAATCTTATTATATATGTATTACATCTCTTCAACAATATTATACAAACTTATCGTGAATTAGCGATTCCGCAAAAACTGCCGCATCCTTGATTTGCATCTACTCAGTGAGCCTCTGGAATGACTAATTATGGGATAGGAAAGAACCCATGGAGAAGAAGGCGAGAGAGGAGAAGAAAGGCTGTGGTCATCTCGGGGTGCGCACTTGGCTTTGGGTCAGTTGGGGGCACAAAACGAGAACAACCCTGCCCGGCCACGACTCCGGTGGTCTCGAACACTTTTGACGCCTTTCCTCTATATCATGTTTTTATGAGCTGTGCCGAGAGTCAATTGGATACTCGTTTAGTTTTAGCTTGATTTGCAAGATTATTTGGTTGTTGGTCGTTATTGGGAAGACTTTTTCAAATAGGATGGCTTCAATTAAGAAAAAATCAATTCTTTTAAAAGCCCTTAAAACCTTGCCTAATTTTTGTTTCCTAAAGCCCTAATTTTAAAAATTAATAAAGTTTTGGGATCTTTTTGAAGCCCATTCGACCACAGACAGCCTTGGCCAACTTTATGGCCACATAAATCCTTGAACTTTACTCGGTTTTTTACTCGTTTCCGGCAGACTTAACCAGACCCGTCTCTGAACGCCTCTTCCTTTCGCCCGTCCACCTTTATGACACCTTCAATTTTGCTTGTTTTTTGAGAGAATGCGCGTTCTTCTCCCTTTACAATACTCTTGGGAATGTTGATTTCGACGAATTTCGCTCCAAATTTTTAATTTTCTTCTGAATTTTTATTTTAAAAATTCATTTTGAAACCGTTTTTAAATAAATTTTTCTTCTAAATGTTCTTAACTAACGGTTTGTGTTTTATTTAATGTAAAATATCTTTATCCCACAGCCTTAGAGGTTCAAACTGAAATGTTAACTTCATATTTCTTAGGTTGTTTCAGTTTTTGATCATTTTACTGCTTTTTCTTCAAATCTTGCCGGCTTTTGTAATTAAGAATTGATGAAAAACTCGCATTTTATTGCGCACGAAATCGGTCGAAAAGGAACAGAAGGTCGAGAGTCTCGAGAAAGTGTTGGCCGAGCGTTTGTTCCGTTCCTTCCGGATCTCTTACTGTTTTTTTCTGTTCCTTTTGCCTCGGGGGACCACCCGGACGATGAGGATTCACACAAAACAGAAGGTTCTATGGCTGTCTGACGTCGTATTGGTCTATAAACTTTTACAGTTAATTGGAGTGGCTTTACTGTACATGGGTTATATAAGCTTACTTTCAATAGGTAGTATTCGAAAACTTACAGTTTTCTTAGTGCTATAGTCTTGTCATTTGAACACTATAGTCGAACATTATCGAGTACCATTTTTATAGAGTGTATCATCGCTGATGTAACGTTTGTAATATGACTTCATTCACTGTAACTTAGTGTAATAATTTATTGAAATAAATTTTATGTAAGCCATTTTTAGGTATGTTAGACTCACAAAATCATCAATTTGCTGAAACAGAAGAAGAAAGCAACCTGTTGCTTCAAAAGTTGTTAAATCAATGTCCAGAAATGGCTGATGATGGTAAACATATTTTTATAGTCTAAAAATAATATTTGAGCTATAATTTTGTCTAATTATTGTTTCAGATTGTAATATATGTATATTTATTACTATATAACCGTGAAACTGACATTACAATATAAATTTAAGTTTCCGAACCTCAAGAACAAGCAGAAAGTGCCTCAACCTCGAGTAAATGCAACGAAACCTCAGAGAACGGCAGAGACACTCAGTCGCCAGTCACTGTGAACGGTGATCTAGCTAATGAACTGACTAAACAGCTTAGCTTTGTCAGCCATAACCTAGTGAAACTACTGCATGGGTTAGGTCAAAAGCCTTGTTCGTGCAACGACTGTAACAAGTGTCTTCTGAAGTTTTCTCCGGAGACTGCATCCTGTTCAAGAACAACTACAACACCTCACCTCAACCTAGATTTTGTTGTCAAAAACCTGCAACGTGGCGAACATGACGAAGTAGAATACTTGGAAGATGGTACTGTAAAACGAGGACGAAAGTCCAAGTACTGTACTCCGGAGAGAAAAAAAGAAGTGGCAATATACGCTGAAGAGTATGGTGCCACTGCAGCTTCGAAACACTTCCGAATCCCTCCAGCTGTAGCAGCTTATTATCATCGTAAACTGAGAGCTACAATCCTAAGTGAAGGTCATGGAAAGATAAAGTCTGTAGCTTCCAAGTCTGATTTCAACGGTGAAGAAGTGGATTCAGAAGACAGTCCATCGATAACAACCAATGGCTTCTTCCAAAGTCCTCATCTCAGAGGCCGCGGCAGGGGTCGGCCGAAGCTGATCGGTGATGATTTAGATGCTGAGTTGGTTGAACACATGGTGGGAGTGAAGAGGCGAGTTCCTCGAGGGCATCTGACTGCATCGTACGCTCTCGAAGTCGCCAGAGGCTACATTATGAACAAGCAGCCGAACCTGTTAGAGGAGAATGGGGGTCCCATCAACCTGAAGATCACTTGGGCCATCAAGTTGGTATCTAGGACTAATGAGAGGTATCAGGAACTGTACGGTAACAACGCTACGTCGTCTGTTGATGATCTATTAGCTAACTTAGGCCACAGTAATGAAGAAGGTAAGTGAAGTAATTGTGTTTTTATTGCAAATTTTTTATGTTTAGGGAGTTATAACAAGCGTAGTCCGTTTAATTTATCATATAAGATGTACAATAATGCAGAGTTACTGTAATTTCTTGTTCAATTGCTTCTTTTTATTGATAATTAACCCTTTCAGCAGCAGATAATGTAAAAACGGCAACTCCAGAAATCCACAATGTTCGCGAGCTTGACTTGAACTTTGCTTTTAATAACGTTGATGGTCAACACTCTCAAGATAACATGGATGGTACTCCTACGCTTTAAATCCTCAAATCTCATCCGTCTATTGGTCTTACCACGAAAACATGCCAATTAAAATAAACATTTTCGAAAACGAAGAAAACAACTTTATTGTTATTTACTAGAACGGCCAAAAAGTAAGGCTCTGTTGCTATCGTCAAGTTGAATTGACATTTCGACCCATTTTACTATTGTTGTAATCGGTATAATAACAGTCTACTTACTGTACCTTTTGGAAATGAATGTGTTAAACCTCAGTTCCTGTACAATTGTGTCTTTTGATCTCTTTTTCATTAATAAACCTTTATAAACCCTAATCTTTGAAGTCAACAAGGTTAACACCATCATACAATGTAAAACGACATCCCATGTAAAGTACAGTATACTGTATGTTTTTTTGTAACTCGAAAAAGAAAGACAAGTAATATACAAGTAATGTGAAGAAGAGATGAACGTGATCGTTACGAACCAGAGTAAGGGTTTCGATCGATGAAAGAGATCTTTTTGTTCGCCTTCCATCGTATATTCCCTAAGGGAGGAAGCAAGACGGATACCTTCAACGTGGGTGGAACCAAAAAAGTTTTGTTTTTTCTGTATTTCCTGAAATTTGGAACGTTGTAAACTCCAAACCCGCAGTAAATGGTTCGAGGAAATGTGATTTTATGCGTTTTATTGCTCATTTACGTAGTAATGTCACTTTAAGATTTGATCTTCATTTTGATGTTACTTTTATTATTATTTTGTGGTTTATAGTACAAACTATGTAAAAATAACATTTTTTAAATATGATTTTATTGTACCCTCTAACAACCACAACTTCACGTAAGTCTTTTTATTTTAAGGAAAATGATACTGTTAATACTGCTAGTACCATTATCAACAGTCAACGCAGCTTTAAACGAGCATAACTCGAAATTGGCATGGTTAGTGGGCAAATGGAGATCAGAGTTCTCTGGCAAAGTCGTGTGGCCAACAGTGCCGACAATGACATTTGGTGAAGAACTTATCATTCAAGAAGCTCCACAAGCCAGAAGTACCAATGTCCAGTTCATGAACTTTACGTAAGCTTTCTTTATGAATACATGTTTAGCTTTTTAGATGTTTAAACAATTTAACTCTGCAAAACTTATATATTTTACATTTTCAATTCATTAATCTTCTCTCATAGTTATAGATTATCGTATTATTGTTATACAGGTATTCACTGACGTAAGAAGCAATCTTTTTTAATTTTAGAGCTAGAGCTTGGTCCCACTCGACCAAGGACCACTTTCACGATGAATGGGGCTTCTTGACCGTAGAACCCAATGGCAATGCCACTCTGATGACAACGGGCAACAACGGCTTCACAACGTACGAAGTCGGATTGGTTAAAGTAAAAAGTGTGCAATTGGTACTCAAAGACATTGGCAGAATCTCATTTTCAAGAGATCTGCCCGTTGAAGATGTAAGTGTTTTACATTGCAATTTTAAATTACTATTTAGTGACGCTATATAAAAGATATTTGAAAACGAGAATAATATTGACGAAAAACTTCTTGGTCTACTGCTCTACTGGTCCCATTTTCAACTTTTAAAAATATTTTGCAATATTGAATTAATATATTCTGTTTCCAAATCGAAAATATTATTTTAGTTACGACGTACGTTTATCATGCACGACGACACATATATGGAGCAAATAATAGAAATGCGGACAGCCACCCATCCCAAGACAGGTTACCTCGAACATACGAGGGTTGTGTACACAAAACACGCCTTGTAAACGATTTTAAAACAAACGATTGTACTCGGGTAGAAATAAATTTATCTCAAATGACTCAAGTTTACAATATCATACATGGGCATTTAATGTCACATTGATATGATAAGGGTTTAAAATCATTTGTAAAGTCAGTTAAATTATTTTTAAAATCCAGATTCCCCCCCCCCACCATCCCTTCGCTACCGTTGCTTTCGATAAGTTATAATCCCTCGCGCACTCTGCCCCCAAACTGACCGCTCCCGAGGCAATGTCCACTCCCGCTCGGCTGGCTCGCTCTCCCCCTCCCTCGCCCTACCTGTGTCCACGTGAGGCTGTTTGTGGTTGAGTCACCGCTTTCTTCTCTTCCTTTTGCACTGTCCCCTCGAGGCTTGGAATCGATTCTTCACTTCCAATGTACAACCGAGGGGACCCTCCCCCCTTCGACTACTACCCCAGACACTACCACAAACAATACCAGCATCCTTATCACAAGTCACGGTAAGTCTTTTAAAATTTTGTTCGTTTATATTGACAATCGTTTTAAACAGATTTTTAAGAAAAATTAGAAAAGCGCAGTTTTTGACGCTATAAAATACTTTTTTATCAGTATTTTATCAAAGTTCATAAGCTTTTTATGCTAACGTATTATCATAACTTTACTTCAACTAATACAATTTCAGAAGAGAACTCTACGATGACTCTTGCGAACCCAATAACTGCCACAATCTCTCAAAGTATGTTATCTATGGAGCCAACATTGTATTCTTATTGGTCGGACTGGCCACGATGTCATTAGGCATCTGGCTTCGAGTTGACAGCCGGTTTCGTGACTTTCTCAGTGAACGATATCGACAAGCAGTAGATGAAGCCTTCTGGGAAGCACCCACCTTGTACACCTTCAGCTACATACTGATCATAATGGGTGCTTTCATGATAATAGCAGGAATTCTAGGCTGTTGTGGGGTTGGAGCTGGAGGAAAGTTGAGTATCATATTCTACATTGTTCTGTTATTTATTCTACTGATATCTACTGTTAGTTGCATCATCTATATTATTTATAAAAAAGATGGAATTGACGTAGAACTATCAGATGCACTCAATTATATGGTACAACATTACTATCAAGGAGCTGGGGTAGTACAAGAGAGCTTAGACAGGCTACAGCAAGCATTCAGATGTTGTGGTAAGTCTTTTCATAATAAGGTTTATGTATTTTTCTCATGTAATAACATGAAAATAAATAATATATTTAGTATTCTAAAATATTAATCTTATAATATTTTTAAAAATGTTTTAGGTAATGCTGGATGTTCTGACTTCCGAGCATTTCGACAAGATCCACCTCGGACTTGTGACATTCGATGTGATGGATGCCATTACCGTATCTGGCTAGCCCTACGAATTGGGTTTTCAGTAGCTATAGTACTGTATTTGGTCGTAATACTCGCTCAAGTAAGTCATTTTCACTTTGAAAGCCCTTTTTAATACACGAAACGGCACCGATATGAAGACTTAATATTGTTTTGAATTTCAGCTAGTTTCCATTGGTGTAGCAGTCGGAATCATAGCAAGAGGAAAGCGACGCTACCGACCGCCTTATCAATATTACACTAAACCACCTCCACAAATGTACCATTCGTCAGTACCACCTCCAGTTAGTGCAGTTTCCTACAAAACAACCCAGAGGCCGAGAACTGCTCCCAGGCCAGTGCCAAAGTTAAGATTAAAGTAGATTTTTATCTTACTGTTTTGGTCAAAGTTTGGCAGACTATTTGACCAAAGTTGTATCATCTCGACAACCGGTTATCAGTATCTCATGGATTAAAATTTATACGCATCACTTTATCGTTAACAATGTGTACATGTAATTTAAAAGAAACCGTAAATTAAATCAAACTAAATATCATCCAGTATCTCACGATGCAAAATAATATTTTTAAAATGTTCATAGAAATATGCTTTATGAAATATCTATACATTTAATACAGCTATAAAACATCTACCTATTATAACTTAGCTTGGAGGTTGAGTTCCCTTTCTTCAGGCAAACGCGAGAAGTAACGATCCATCGTGTCGTCAGAAACCTCGGAAACAGAAGCCGGCTTCCATTTCGGGTTACGGTCTTTGTCGATCAAGACTGAAAGTAAAATTTATAATATAACAAGACCTTTAAAATAAAAAGCTTCAACTAAATGCAAGTTTCGAACTTAAAAATACAAATTATTTTAAATAATATTAACTTACTTGCTCGACATCCTTCGTGAAAATCGTGATCTTCACTAATCCGTTGACTTAATCTGTATTCCATCATCAAAGCATCAGACAATGATAACTTGGATCCTGTTTTTAGTTGTCGGAAGGTTACTTTCAATGACGTTGGGCTCTGAAAAACCACAATATACATACTCGTAAACCAACCGTAATAATACATTCTAAAATAAAGTATTCTTCAGTATTTAACTCAACCTGTACTTCTGACGTTCCACATTACATAGTTTTATACTATACAACATAATATCCACCCTCATCAATTTACTTTCTTACCATTTTAACTAATTCCTTAAGTTGAGATTTGGCAAAGTCAGATCCATCTTTCTCTAGTCGACTGACCACATCTTCGTACTTTTCTCCATCAAAACATTTGTCAATCGTTCTCAAATGAGGCTCCAAACTGAAGGCTGGCAACTCGTTGGGTTGGAATTTCCTTAATACAGAATCGACCGAGTTATCATTGGCAACAGACAAAGCCAAAAGTTCATTTTGAAGTGACGCCAGGTCCGTAGAGTTGATCTACAATAAAATAAGCTAAAATGTGCTGACATTTTTAGTAACCATAAACCCGTAAATTGATAAAAAATCCATTAGAATTAGTAAACCTTCAACCTCAACATGAATAAAAGTAAGTTAGACTTACATAATGAGTAGCCAAGCCAGAATGAAAGACGTCAGCTCCCTTTAGTCGGTATCCAGTTAAAGCCAAGAACATTCCACAGTTATTCTTCAGCCGAGACAAGAAGTAAGAACCTCCAACGTCAGGAAACAATCCCAAAGCTGTTTCGGGCATAGCCAACATTGTTTTCTCCGTCGCGACTCTGAACTTTCCAGGAATTGAGATACCACATCCCTAAAACAGATATATAGTATTTTATTTCTAAATCACAGTAGCGAAAGTTAGATACTTACTCCTCCCATTGTGATACCATGAATCAAAGCAACATAAGGTACCGGGCAAGTGCCAATCAAGTTGTTAACAATATATTCTTCGTAAAAAAACCTCTTGTGCACTTCTCCACCCTCTTTCGCTGACTTACTAACAGCTAAACAAAGAATGTAAATTTAAAGTCCAACACATACCTAAAACATCTCCACCAGCACAGAACGCCTTGTCGTTGTTGGACTTGACTATCACAATATCCGCCGTCTTGTTCTCATGTACATCCTAAACATAAAAGTACAAATTAAAGCAATAACTCACCTTTAACACACGGTATAACTCTTTGACCATTGGAATATTCAAAGCATTCAACGCTTTGGGTCTGTTCAAGGTAATAACCACCTTATTCTTGTTGTGATTGATCAGAACTTCGTCACATTGGCTGGAAATGTTTCTGACCATCTGTAAAAATGCTATTTTAGTTAATATACATAGTAATTTGCTGAAAGTTACCCATATAATTTAAAATTAATTTAATTATAGCTATAAGTTAATTTGAACATCGCTAAAACGCATTATTCCCTAAAAATACAATGTAAAACATATTATAAAACCTAAAACATACTCCAAACAAGTTTGGTCGGATCAGCCGGCTGAGAATCGCCATTTTAGCCAAAAACTACAGGATCCGACACTTTCAAAGATAGAAACAGAATAAAATGATGCGACCTTCAAAGTGAAACAAACATTGATTGTTCTATGAACTTTAGAGTAGGAAAATACAAACAACAACAATAATTTGTCTTGATAGAAAAATAAAAAAATAATTTTTATTATTTTGCAGTGCAAGATGTTGAGACGAAGTGTCACATTTGATCAAAATTCAAAGCACGCGTGCGCGGGAATCGTAAGGTTGACAAGAAGAATGTGCTCGTTTTGGGACTCAAACAAAGAAAATGCTTCAGGGTTACAGTATTTAAAAAATTTACCTGTGTTTTTTGTTGATCTATGATAATATAAATTTATGACACAGAATATTCTTATTCTCGACTTTTACTTGGTACAAACTAAAATAAAAAAAAAATTGACGCGTACTTGACAAAATTTTTGTGTACTTTGTAATGGTACTTATAATAAATAAGTCAACAACTTTAATTGTTAAAAAATCTTGTTGTTTCGAGTCTTTGGATGTTGATGTATGTTCAGTTGATCATAATTTCTCAAACGGTCCAATAAATGTAGTGCTGCAACGCGACTCTTCTGTTTGATAACAACCGGCTGACTTTTTCGCCTTCCATTCGTAGTAAAGCAGCTTTCTTTCATCGAGAAAACATTGTTGTTAATTGGAATGAGCTCGATTCAAGACTTCGAGCAGAATTTGACTCCCGTTACTGAAGAGGTCTTCAAGGCGGCGGTGGAGTTGGTGCAAAATATGCCCAAAGATGGTAAGTCTTAATGTAATGTAAGGCATCTTTGTTGATTTTAAAGTTATGGGTTGATATTTGGTTTTTAGCTTAAAAGTTGAGGTTTTCAATTGTTTTCTATGTTGGATGTAAATTTTTATATTACAATGAAGACTTGTTAACTTTGTGATTGTTTAGGAGATGTTATTTTGTCAAATGAAGAGAAACTTTCGTTTTACGGTCTGTTTAAGCAGGCTACACTAGGACAATGTAATACTTCACGACCAAACATTTGGAACGTTGTAGAACGGTATAAATGGTATGTTTTAAATTTTTTACTCAAGGTATAAAATACACATTTAGGCTGTCAAATATTCGACATAAAGTTTGAAAATCCTACTTTTAAATTATTTTAAACTAATTTTACAATTGATTATTTAGGGACGCTTGGAGTGCCTTAGGTTGTTTGGAGCCAGAAAAGGCCAAGTCAATCTACGTGAATCGTCTTCAGAACGTCATGGAAAAGGTGCTTGAGAAGAGAAGTGTTCACGAACTGTTGTCTGACCCTCGGTGGACCCATATTCGACCAGTCGTTGAGCCCAAATTCAAAATTCTTGGCAGATCAATAGAAGGCCCTGGAGGGTTTAAGGACAAAGCTGTGCCATCTACTTCTTCTAAGTGTATGTTTTATACAAAGAACAAGAAAAGTAATTTATTAAATTTTGATTTAAAAAGCGTATATTGGAATTAAAAAGGGAGTTTCAACTTTTTTGATATTTCAAAATTAAAGTTACAGTACACCTATTTGTAGCTGAAGAAGGATCGTTGATGGAGACAGCCTACTCGGAGGCTGTTACTTCAAATCCGGGTAGTAATGTTGTCAGTGATGACGAATATATGGATGCAAGGGAAGATTCTCCAGTCATAGTGACCCCAACTGAACTACGGTAAGTTGATTTTTTACAGTTTCATTTTTTAATTTTCTTATGTAAATAGATTTTATAAAACCGTGTCGTAATTGAATCCTTGTAGGAATTCACCGTTGCCAGCCCCAGAAGACCCCACAAGTCAGAGTTTAACTTCGGACCTTGTGAATTCATTTCAAATGACTACAAAGTTAATTACACAACAGATTACTGCGTTGAACGCGGCGTTTAACCACCAAAAAAAAGTATTGCAGAGGTTGCTGAACAACCTTGTAAGTCACGGATTTTGAAATTTAAAACTTTTTCTTTAAAGTTTGGGGTTTTAAACTACATCAAGTTAACCTTTATTTGGTTTTTTACATAACAATACCACCAAGAAAAGTAAAAACAACATTACAATAGCATGTTATGACATTTTAGGCCAACTACCGAGTGATCTCTTGGCCATTACTGATATTTTTGTTAATCTGGCCAGTTATTGTACAATTACTCATCAAATATTTGTTCCGATCGCGGTGAAGTATCTCTAAAACTGTTGAACTATCACACTACAACATATTTTATAACTTTATCATACAAAAGATTTGTGATTCTATCTTAACGATAGCGGGAAACAGCCACGTAAAATTTAATATACCAAGCTATGGTATCATGTTGAGTCAAATGCAAAACAGTTATTTTATCAACAGCAAGTAATATATGTTTAAAAATAAATTATTTTACTATCAATACGACTATTCCTACATTTACATGTCGAAACTCATTAAAATAATGATAAAACTTTATTAGTTAATTTGAAATATTTTCACATAAATAGATTGTACGGCTAGATACGATGGCCACAAATGCATGATAATATCTGATGAAAGAGACCACACAACAATATAATATAACAACAACAACGATCCATCACATTACATAACACTTTTTGTCCTTGTTCTTTCGACCTTTCTGCTTGGCGTTCGCGCTGGCGGAGACTTCTGTTTTCTGGAATTCGAAAAGATCATAGTAGCATTATTAATATTGTTCATTTTTTATGCATAACATTTTACTCTCTGTTCTTTTTTTTTAGTATTTTATGTCATTTCACTCTATTATAATGTCCACTTTACCTCTGTATTATCTTCATCTCCAGGGAAGCTTTTCATGATCCTGACCAACTCATGGAAGGCAGTATCTACATTAATCGGTGGGTCTTTGGCTGACGTCTCAATGTAAGGTAATTTCAATTCATCGGCCAAAGCTCGGCCACGTTGTTCGCTGACTTTTCTGTGATTGATTAGATCGACTTTGTTAGCCACTAACAGCACTGGATACTCGGATTTGTCCTTCACTCGTAGTACTTGGTGGTACAGCTTTCTAGAATTTTCGAAACTTTGTTCGTCTGTTACCGAGTAGACCAACATGAAGCCTCGGCCGTTCCTCATGTACTGTTCTCTCATGGCCGAGAACTCCTCTTGGCCAGCTGTGTCTAATACTAAAAGGTGTCACATTAAGGTTTGCTATTAATAATTTTTTAAAAGTCAAGATAATGGTGATTGCAGGCTTCCTTAGCGATATAGTAAAGTACTTTTTTGAGTTACTGTTACTTACCATCTAACATTACCCATTGACCGTCTACTTCACAGTGTTGTATGTACTGATCTTCTATTGTTGGGTCATAGTAATCCAAAAATTGCTTCTAAAACCAGGTCACATGAACTTTATGAAATATCATCATCAGAAACACTGTTTTTGAGTTATTTTTTACATATTTTTTTAAAAAAGACTATATTAAGGTAGTTATTTGTACTGTAATGTCTTGAAACCTTAGTAAATTTAATCTAAAATACTGTTGACACTTTAAAAAGTTGTCTAAATTAACAATAAACACCTCAAAATCCTCATAACTTACTTGAAAAAACTGTATAGTCAAAGAAGACTTGCCCACACCACCTTCGCCTATCACAACCATCTTGTAATTAGGTAGAACAGCTCCCTCAGGGGGCCTTTTGGTACTAGTCATCTCTAAAATAATCAAAGAAATGTTTGTTACCGAGTAATACGAGTGTCGACAAACCAAAATAAGCAAAAATTTATGAAATTAAAAGTGTTATTGACGCGTTTCATCAAGGCGAGTGATGGATAATGACATTACTTCTTAAAGTGGCTACTTTAAGTGCACTATAAAAGTTGACAAAACAGTTTATCTTTTTCGCAGTTTGTGTTAATAAGCCATTATGCTTTTTGCTTGTTTCAAACAACATAAAATATCGTTTCTAAACAGTTTTTTAGTAATATTGAGGATGCCAAACCTAAGACAATCCAAACAACACTTAAAACCGGCTTTTAAAGTTTTTAAAATGATTAGCGCCCTCGGGGTGAAATAAATATGGCAAAAGTAAGGTGATTCACATTCCGATTGGCAGAGAAAGAGTGAAGCGGCAGCTGTTGTGAGAAGCTACGAGAGAGCAGGCCGAAGCGAGAGAGCGGCCAGAGAAAGAGATTGGGCCGATTGAAAGTAACTTGGAGGTCAGGGAATTAAATCAAGGTCGGGCAAGACGGTTAATTGTAACTGACAACTCAAAATGTTTACCACAGTAACAGAGCTTACATGTGGTATATAAAGTTTTAACAATTGAAAAATTTAAATTTTGTTAAAAGTACAAGAGATTTTACAGTATTTCACGTTACATAACCAATAAAGTATAAAATTTTAAAAGCTACATCTAATTAAAGTAGTTACAAATATTAAATTACATAAATACCCGAGAATGTTAAAGTACATCACGCATGTTCTAAATAAAACGAAAGTGATATGTTAACCAAGAGATTCGGATCGAAGGGAGAAGAATTCCTTCATCGTGATTCTTCGGATCGCAACAAAAGTGTAAAGAGACAACCCGATTAAAAACAAAAAACAAGACTTTGTTTGAGACTACTGTTAACTCCAACTTGTTACAAGTGGAAGGCATAGTAATCACTTCCGAATAGGTAACCACGTTTAACCACAAATAGATAACAAACAAGAATAATTTTTTTGGTCAAATTTATTAGAAGAGTTATTAGTAAAAGTCAAGATTGACTAAAGTCTGATATGAACACTTTATCTCGAACAAAGTAGTCCTTTCAGTCTTGACCGGTAGTCATGCCCAGCTCTTTGGATTTAGTGTAACATCTTGGTGGGATTATGATACGATCGCGCAAGATTAGGGCTTTGCGTCTTGTTGAAATATCGTCAAACTGAAATACAACATTAGTAGGTATGTATAAAAATATAAATTACTGCTTGAAAATGACGTGCGGACCAAAATTTACGTTAAAGTCAGACCATATTACCTTTAAATAACAAGCAATAAAGTATTTAAAAATGATCAAACCCTTACATGATCGTATATCATGACTATAAGGTTGAGGAGTGTCCCCACCACAATCATGGCTCCAGCTGCCAATGCCATTTTTAATTGAAAATCACTAAAACTGTTGACAGTAATCACCACATCGAAGAGTTCGCCACTTAGTTTTATATACTGTATGAGATGCTCATACCAAAAGAGCATACCTACCGACTGGTAAAAGTTAGAAAACGTAAAAAATGATTTTTCCGCAAAATTTTAAAATTTCAAAATTTTTAAAAATATTCGAAATTATACAAATTTAACAAAATCAAAAAAATTAAAAAAATTAATTTCGAAAATGAAACAAAATAGGATAATTTAAATTGTAGTATACAATTTGGTATTCAACCCGTACTCCGATCGTACTTTGTATTACATCCCCTCCAAGGCTAGACATGACTATTAGGCAAAGCCTAAAAGATCCCTTCTTTGAGCAAGGTCTACCAAAAGCCAGCTTTTGTGATCAAAACTGGTCAAGAGGATCATCGACAATATCGCAAGTCGCTTCCTTCTTGTAGTACCTGGCCAGTGGAGAGTCCAGCCTCCACAAGTTGTCCCAGTCAATTCCGGTAAAGTACTCGTGCTCTTTTATGCCACTAAACCCATTCTTGTGTTTCGACCCAAGCCGATCTTCTTTCTTCGGCTCCAGAAACTCGAGGATCGCTGACTTTGCCTTAGGGCATGGGAAGTCTTCTGGCCATTGAAACAGATTCTTGGTGATTCGCTGGAAGACCAAATATTCTGACAGATCGTGGAAGGGGGGCTTTTCCAATTATAAACTCGAATATTATTGAGCCCACGGCATAGTAATCACAAGTTTCGTCCACTGCTTGACCGCGCAGTACCTAAAAAAAGAAAATAGATTTCTTAGTTGAAATATTAAAGTTGTCTATAATCCCATTTTCACATTGATACAACTTACTTCTGGCGTAACATACAAATGAGATCCTACAAAAGAACACTTTCTGTTGCTATCAGATGCAATTGTTTTTTCGTTCTCCTCGATAGTAATACACTCTCCAAAATCGCCTAACATAACATGATGGTCATCCTTGATTAACATGTTTCCTGGCTTTATATCTCTGTGCAAGATTCCATTTTCGTGACAATAAGCTGGAACATTAATTTAAAAAAATAAAATTCAATTTGACAAAGACCTATTAATACATCCCCTATTAAACAGCTAACTCTGCATAACAGCGGGTAAATACTCACCTATGGCCGTAATCAGTTCCGAAATCACAAATCTGACTGTGTCCAAGTCCAACGTCTTAATCTTGATCATCTTCTCGGCCAGGTCCTTATGTTCGGCATATCCCAATACAAAATACAACGAAGATTCATCTTGGAAAGTGCAGTACAACATCACTATAAAAGGCTTTTTCTTCTGAGCCGTCGATAACACCATCAATGCATTCTTTTCACGAAATACCGACTTCACCTACAATATATAATAGAATAACATTAAAATACTATAAATTACAGTATAAATATCATCATGAAGTACTAAAAAATCATACAAATATGTACTAAAAACATAGATAGCCACGTTACAGTAAAGACAACTTACCTTCCTCTCCCTGGATATACGCTCTTTACTGCATATCTTGAGCGCATATTTGTGCCCATCAGACTTGGAGGTAGCAAAATAGACGTTAGAATAAGACCCACTTCCCAATTCTCTCAAAACACAGAAATCAGCCAGAGACTTTTGTTGAGATACTGTCAGTAGAACGTCCTCATCACCTGACATCTTGAAGCAGACAACCCGTAAGCTAAAACATCACGGTTCTCCCCCGACTAAAAATAATTACGTTAAAGGTAAATAGTAAATTGAATTACTGTCACTATAGAAACTGAAACCAAAACTAATATTATTCTACCAATAATTCAGATATAATTATGACTCAAACAAATTAAATTAAAGTTACTCAAGAGTTTTAAACAAATTTTACTCCTAACTTCAACAAAAAACAATTATACAATCATCCTCTCAACATCTTGGCCGCCTTTTTGTCAGCAAAAGCTTGAAGTTGTTGTGCTACGATCTCCTTCCTTTTCTCCAAAAATGGACCCAAAACTTCTGGATCTAGATCTTCTCGTTGCACTTTTATTCCACAGGTTCTACAGGTCTTTACCATCATCTCACAGATTTCCTGAATAATATTATTGTGATTTATATATAATATCATAAGAAACCATAAACATTGTTTTAAATATCTTACTCTTATTATACTTACCTTTAATGGAATTCCTTTCAATGCACGATCTTCTGACTTGACTTTTGCGATCTCATAAATGTGTTTCACTGACAAATATCCAGCAATTTCGTCTAAATAAAAACACAAAGTTAAAAGACTCCTTACAACGAGATTATTTTAGTAAATTTGTTACCTAAACTTTATAATAAAACCCAAAGAATAAAAATCCAAAAATATCACAAAAAATATAAAACTCAACGCCTGTACAACTTCTTTTTAAGACTTTTAACTAAACACCAAGAAAAAAAACAAAATCTCACCGGGTTCTTGTTTGGCTCGGTTAATTCCAGCTGCCTTCTTCAAAAGATACGTTGACATTGGTGCACAAATCTCCAAATCGTACGTTCGGTCTGGTTTAATGTAAATCCTAGTTGGCAATAACGCTCCAGGCTTTATGTGAGCAGTCTTGTTATTGAAGTCCTTACAGAAGTTGGCTACATTCAAACCACGTTGACCTAGCTGTGGCCCCAATGGTGGAGCTGCAGAAGCCATTTGTGCTCTAAAAACAAAAAAAAAGAATATTAACAAACAAAAAAAACATTTTACACCTTCATCTACAACTGAAGCAAGACCTATATTGTTGAAGGTACCCAAAAAACAAAAACTAAAAATGTAAAAAATGATTTAAAGCTTACTTAATATTAGTCTTCAAAAAAGGAGGATGAATAATCTTAACAACATCCTTCTTCTTGGCCTTTCCAACCACTTTCGAAGCCATTTACAACTCCGTCCAAATCGTTTTGAGTTAGTTAAAATAATTTTCAATAAATAATATATTGTACAACTGCGCCCGACCTTTGCAGCCTGCGCGAGACATTTTATACCGAGAACAAAAAACTGTCGAAGAAGAAACAATTTATTGCCGCCAGAAGTTTATTATTTTACATTTTTTGATTTATGTATTCACATATTGTCGTAGTATAATGTCAGCGGCGATAAAAACTGTCGTTTTATGTTATACAAGGCATCCTTAATGTTAGATCGCTTTCCAGCCTTCTGTTCCAAGTGAATTACGTTTTCGTCTAAAACAATATAATTAAGATTAGTTTTAGGTCGACAAACAAATAATAATGATGTCTTACTGAGCAAAGAAGTTGGAGTAGAAGGATCAGGCGGGGTCAACCGGTCGATACGATGGAACGCTACAGTCGGAGAGTCGATGGAACGATGGCACGGTAGGTTCCCAATTATGATAGGGATGAAGGCAGTCGCTGACACGTTGTTTTCTAGATATATTTCAAACTAATTTTCCTTTAATTTAGCAGTTTTACTTACTTTAATATCGTAGTCAACGTATATCAATTTACTACGGTGACTTGGGGCCACTGGTGGTATTTGTGAGCTCTTGCCTCTGTAAATACTTTCACTGTCTTTCTCCACAAGATAGTGTTGATCACAGACAATGACGTCTTGAGTACTTTCTGACATTCTTCTCCTGTTGTAATCGTCGTATTCGTCGTAGTAAAAGTGGCTGACATGTTGTCGTAGAGTTGTTTTGATGCCGAGTACTGTCAGTGGGGATGAGTTGTCAATGTCTGCATAGATTTCTATTTTTTCTCCACAAACAAAGCCGCTTTTCCTTAACTTTATCATTACTTTGAGTCGACCTTTGTTCAAAAGATGGTCGATCTTCTGGTTGATGGTACGTTGGGTTCGGTATGAGGTATATGGGAGAGATTTGAGGTCATACATGGAGGTGATAGACAGTGGTCTTACTACAAACTGGTCTACAAAAGGTTGGGGACGGACTACTTTGAGTTGGAGGAGGTAGCGTGTAAAGCCATATTCACCTAAATATCTAGTGTAATGTATTGTTTAAGTCTTTTATCTGTACTAGACTACGTTAAGTTAGAGTATTATGAGATGGAAGATAAAGCCAAGTATGTTGTGTACATGTGTAAGAAATATTTTCGGTTAGTTTGAACTTTACCTTCAAACGACGGAGGGAGGTAGTGAGGGACAGTGAATTTAAAAGGGATTATGGTACGGCCTTGACTGAAAGTGTGGCCCATCCAAAGGCATTGCACATCGTTAACTAGTTCACTTTCTTCTTCTAAAGTTAGCCTTCTGTTTGATTTACTGAAAAAGTAGGATTTTTTATATTATAGTAGATAATACAAGGTATGATTTTAAATTTTTGTGGTAATTTGACATAAAAAGATGGGTTGGTGTAGTAACGGTTGTATATACAGAAGATTGTTAACCTCACAACATTTATTTTTATAAAACGTACCTGATCTTGTGAAGCTGAGTTCGTTGCTTCCCCAGAAGTTCGATGACGACCTTCTGAAGCAGCGTGTCTCGAGGGCATTCGACTTCGACCACGCCAGTCAGTTGTTGTCCAGAGAAGACGATTCCTTTGGTTTCTTGATTCAAAATGATTCGTAGCTCCATAAAAGAAGATAAATAAAGTTGGGCGCCTTAGGGGTTATTTTTACTGTTTGAGACGCCGAAAGTGCATCCATCAATAAAGGAATGTCAACAAATACGCAACTGTTTAGGGGTTTTCCAATTGGTTTACCAATTTTGCGTTTATTTTGTAAATTTTAGGATCTGAGCTTAAATTTGGGTTGTGATTAATATCAAGTTTTACCAGTTGTTGTGGTAACCTTATTGAGCTGTTTTGTCTGTTAGAAAGTTAAATTTATTTGTTTACTTTTGGAGAACATTTAAAGAGTAATAAGAAGCTGTCGCTCTTTGACTTATCGGTTTATTGTGATTGTTTTATCAGTAGAGTAAACTGTAACAAAGTGTAAATAAATAAGATAAAGTTATGCGTTTGTGAGAGTAGATGTGACTAGGGTATGATGGTTAAATGCGTCTAGGTAGTTGACTAGTACACTGATGAAACTGTAATAGTACACTTGATCCTGATGAGATGAGATCAAATGGTACACTGCTACAGTTAAAACGGTCAAAGAGTATTGGAAATCAAGTGGTACGTTCAGGGTGATAATGGTACATCTAGTACTCTTAAAAGGTTAAGATAGGTTGGTGTACGTTGTTGTGGTACTCGTTGACGTCGATTGACAAACTCGACCTGGGGGAACTGTGCATCGAAGATCCTGAACTGGTCGAGCGGATTTGTAGTGGAATGTCACAGCAAAGTAATGTCTTCTGGGTTTTGGATACGATCTTTGTCTGAAAGTGATGTCATTACAGTCTGATGTGGAGGTATTGGTTTTGTTACTGGTTTCTTATCTCTTCTTTATTTAAATGATATTATTTTATATTTTTAACAATTGAATGTGATTTAAAGCTCGAAAGACAATGTTAACTTACTCTCAACACATAGTTGACTTGCACGATCTGACAGTTGCTGAAGCTCGGGATGACTTCAGGCACACGTAGCACATCCTGGTATGTTCCACTCTCATGTTTGAGTATCTTGACCACGTCACACCACTCCTTGACCACGAGTTCGTCCTGCTTGAACTCGACTTCCTTGTGGTTCTTCTTCAAACTAGGTCTGGTGCAGTCACGTTGAGCGGTGAAGTGACTCAACTGTACCAGTTGGAACTGAATGTCTGTGATTTCCTTTTCGGATTCGTTGAAGACTTCGGCTTTGACTTCCATCGACTCGCCCACGTTGAAGCCGGCCTTCTGAACGCCGATGGCGGCACGGACGTGGCCGTTCTTGAAGAACAATTTTCCCATTTCTTTTCTGGATTCTTTTTTGATTGGCTTCGTCAAGAATTCAGAACACTCGACGTCTGGGTTGGTGCAGATCTCAATTGGAATCGACACGACTTGAGTTACATCGTCAGACTTAATCACAGCCTTCAGCCAGTAGCGGATACAGCCAAGGTTGTTCTCGTACGATGGAGGAACGTCAGATGGAACATTGAGCTCAAATGGTATGGTAGTGACACCACTGTTTAGGATTCTGCATGGAAGGGCGACTTCTGTGCCAGTGTAGCTCTTCTCCGAAGTGTACGGTACTTTGTCTACTATGGCAGAGCTTCCGACGAGGTAAGTCTCTCCCAGTCTCCACTCTGTCTTCGCTACACCTACGAACTGAATATAGGCACGTTGGACGGTGGAGGACTTGGCACAGTGGATGTTCAGTTGGCCGCGACACAGTTGGCCTGGCTCGAGTTGGGCGAGACTGTGCTCGAGTTGTATTTGCATAGCGTTCATTCTGAAGCTGACTGGAATCTGGAACGGTATTTATAAGGGAAAGGGATCAACAAGGGCGCGTAACTAGAGCATGTATAATAACAGAGAACGTTTTTGGGGTAATATGAGGTATTTGTAAAGTTGATATGGGTTGTTTTGGAGAAAGGGAAAGCTACCTTATTTACAAATGAAAAGTAAACTTTAAATTTTAAAATTAAATTTTTAAAAAATAAAAAAAAGCTAAAAATAACTTATGATTGTTCAGCCTAATTAAACAACCTTAACTTTGTCTTGGAGCTGTGAAAAACAAGTTGTCGAGCATCCTTCCGCCTTACCCTTTTATACCTAAACCTTTACGAGGTCAAAGTCGTCCCTCCTCCACGAATTGGTCGAGTGCAGAGAACGCTTGTACTAAACCCGAAATGTCTCTGAAAACTGATAACAACGTTCATGTGAACGGTCCGTGTGAATGATAACGGGTGTCCGTTTCAAAGTATTCAGTCTGATGCAAGTCTACATCGTATTTGAATTCATAATCGAGTGGTATCGTAGTAATCCGGCTACTATGTTACACAAAGTTACTTTCGTTACGGATTAGGGTTTTGTAGAGTGTGTGATCGCCGGAGTCATGTACGTTTTGCAGTTATAGTACAGTGGCCAAAGTTAACAGCAAAAGATTATCAACTCTGATAACTACAGTAACGTTGGACGAAATACATAATCTGATAAGCACAGTAACAAGCTTGATATTACACAGTATGATGAGGGTTTAGGAAACGGTCCTTATTATGTATGCTTGGGCCAATTTTTATATCCTTGGCTCATATCTATCCTATTATGTTGTTCTTGATCTTGGAAGAATCAATTTTCTTTTTTTCTTACTTTGCTTTCTAAAAAATAGGACCAGTTTTATCTTTTCATAAGAATTTCAGCTTTTGTATCTAGGTTCAGATAAAATAAATGGTCGTAAATAAATAAGTAATATTAAGTCTGCGTCACAACGTTTAGGCCTACGATAAGAAAGTGTAGGTGAATGACGCAAATTGGAAAATTTTACTTTTTGGCTATTAGTAGAGATACCGGACATAGAAATGTTTTTATTATCGCACTGTGCAAAAGACTGATAACTTTCAAATCACTGTTATTTTCTGCCATTTAGATTTGTATGTAATACACAAAAGTTTAAGATAGGTAATCTTTAAAAGTGAATAGTACAGTGGTTTCTCTATATAGTAAACCATATGTATAAGCAACTCTCCTTGTAGTAAACAAGCAATAAAAATCACTCTGTAAAGACAACACCCGCTATAGTTAACAAAAATGTTGGTTCCTTCATGTTTCTTATGTAGAGAGAGTACTTTACTTTGTACGTGGTTGAAGTAGACACAGTTCAAAAAGGAGCGGTGTGTTCTACCTAAAAAACACCGGGGAGGGGTATACAAATTGGTACTTTTTTGCACAATTGTTCTTTAAGATTAATATGAATATGCGTTTTTGGAACTCGAAACTGAGCTTTTATAGACTGCACCCAATGGCAAACAGTGTAAAACATTTAGTTTTAATATAAACAAATTTGGCTTTTCTTACCTAAATTAGTTTTTAAATTTTTACAATTCCGAATACCGTACTCCCGTGAACATTCTTTGAATGGGATCACCCTATTCTCGTTTTGGCTGACATTCACATGCACACATTTTGTCATGTCAAACGCTGATAAACTGACCAGACGACGCTGTTTGACGTAGACGTTATTCACGTGAATTCATTTTGACTCGAATTTTGTAAAAAATTGATAAAAATGTACAAATTTAGAAAGACTGCAGATACACGAAAGGCTTTGGGCGTACAACAATATTAAGGTATACAACAAGGAAGTAAGTAATATGTGGTTAGGTTGATTTTACAGTGGGAGTAAGTAAGGTTACAGTGAAAGACAAATAATTCCCGTAGTTTTTTACTACGGTTAATTCATAAAATCTATTAGGAAACTACATAAAACAACATAGTAAAACTTTAAAGTAAACGATGACGCAATGTTAAAAGCTATTAAGCTATAGGGTACATGATAAGAAATGTTACAGTAGACTTCTGACGTTGTCTGACGAGAGATTAAACGTATTAATAATAATTCTACACTGATTATGAGCTATTGTTCAAGCTAAAAGTGATGTTTTCTGGAATTGCTGGGTTACTGTGTTGGTCTTGGCCATGTCATCGTCGTATGTTGGGTCATTTGGGTCGAACAACTCTTTGGGAACATCCATGAACTGGTAGACCAGCCTTTGACCTTCGACCTTCTGTAAGATACCTCGCTGATAGTAGTATCTGAAAAAGAGTTATGTCTATAATGCTCTTTTACAATTGCCTACCTCAACATAAAAACTGAACTAATTCTCTTTTTCTGATATTGTAGTATCAACTTGTTTTGTTATATCAAGTCAAAGGGCTTTCAATGAAAGTGATAACACTTACCGTAACGCTCTGCCCATGGTTTCGTAATTCATGCCGGGTTTGTTCTTGTGCATCCCCCAAAGTCGACTGACAGCTTTGGAATCGACAAGTTTGAAGATGCCCTTCTTGTGGTCTAGCCATTTGATATACTTTGGAGAATACTCTTTATCTTGTAGTAGCTTCAGCAGGAATTCCCAAAGATACGAGGATTGACCACTAACTTAAATTTAGTCAATTAAGATACATAAAAAGATGACAATTTAAAAAAAATTATGACTAATTTGTAAAACGGATACCTAATATTTAAAATATCAACACAGTAATACAATCTCCTAGTGTAACTCACTTTCTTTGCTCTTCCTCCGAACATTCAACGATGACACCGCTGGCTCACTGTACCTTCTTCCCATGTCATATGGTGCAAATGGAGCACCAAACACTGGTTCCAGGACCTTCTTAGCCGACTGGTTGTTGTTGATACTCTGAGGATTCAGATCATGTTGAAGATGACTCTGTAGCAACTCGTAGAGCTGATCGTTCTGATTCTCTGTGTTTATCTGATTCAGGATCTGAGCATTCGTTCTGAGGATGTGCAACATGTTGGACATGTTGTTTGGTACCGGTTTTAGGGGTTGAGCATGAAGGTGGGGGTATATCAGGTTCATCCAGTTCGAGAGTTGGGCTGTTTGGGCGTCTAAAATATTTTTTAATTGTTTCGAATTATAAAAATACTGAAAAAGTAGTATTATACTTCTAAAACAGATAAAAAACAAGGTCTGTAACAAGCTGGTCAAAAAGTAAATAGAAAAATCAGATATACATCTAGTAAAACTACACTATCAAAGACCTCAATTACCATGTCCAAGTCGACAAAGGTGCAAGTTCATGGGCGAAAGTGAAAGTGGCATTCTGAACACAAACAAGAGTTGCTCATCGTTGGAGCCGGTTGGTAGGAGATCCTGCCCTCCGGCAATCCAAACAAACCAAGGTGCAAATTATTAAAACGCCATTCGCTTTTTTGATGTTCTTTTCCCTCGTTTTGAATTAAAACGGCACATTAGAGAAGCGAAAGGAACAGCAACAAAACAGGATGAGGTTCAAGATATTGTAGTAGGTAGTCGAATTAGTTTTTTACAAGTAATTGAAAGAAGAGGTTGACAATAGACAATAAGAGGAATTGATATTAAAAAACGTTAAATTATAATTGCTATTACATCAAAGCACTCTTACATTGTTGTCTCAACCACAACTCATGAAGGTCATTCTGTGATGAAGTTGAGGGAAACACTTCCGACTGGTAACCCAACAGATGAAACAATAACATTGTCTGATCAGGCGACACCTTCTCCTGACATTCGTGTGGCTCATGGCCTAGTCCAGAGTCTGGACTGGACGAGGTTGATTCAGTTGTGGTGCCCATGGACTCAGCTAATTGTTGCAGACGAGCCTTGAAGAGCTGATTCTTAAATTTAAAAAGTTAATATTTAAGTTAAAGTAACTTAAGAGTGATATTTAAATTGAATGAATTTAAGGATAATATTTAAAATAAAGACACCGTAGACGCGTATTGTTTACGGGTTTCTCGACTAAAGTTTATCGCAACCTGAGATACAAACAACAAACAAATACCCGGAGGCAATCGCCGCTTCTGGGATGTCTATTTGAATATGTCACAAAAGGTATGCCTGCTTGGTATGATATTATTTTTACTGTCTCTTTGCCACCTTATCTATGGCATTCTCTAGTTATCGCACCTTCTCAAACTTCTTTTTTCTTTTCGGCTACATCTTATCTATCAACTATGTTCTTTATCTTTATCATCTCATTGCACACAACATCTTCATAACCTAATATCTCTCTATAACACATTCTATAGCCTTATCTTTATCCACACTATATTCTATATCATCACCTTTACCCTCCACCCTTGCCGTATCCACCCCGCCCAGTTTTTCGAATCCCGGCAGCGGAAAATTTGCATTTTATTAAAAATTTGGGTCAAATTAAAGGAAAAGGTTCTCTCGTGCCGGCTCCGGCGATAATCAGGAAAGTGTGATCGGTTGATGACTATCGCCTTCCGAACACCTCGCGCACCCGGCCCGATCCACCTCGATAAGATCAAATACCCCAGGATATTACCGGAGTAAAGGTCGGTGTTACCTTGCTGAAGTATGGAAAACTAGGAGATAGAATGATAAATTTAGGTAATAAATACCCCAAATTAATAAACTGTTGTTTATATACCTAAATTCTGTTGGATAATCTAAATTTAAAAAAATTACAGCAAAACATTATTTTGGTAAAAAGTTGGAGAGAAAGACTTGACTCATTGCCAAATTTATCAAAAATTTTTTTTTCAATTTTTTATCAAATTTATGTCAAAACTTACCTGATTTGGATCGGATAAACAAGCTGGAGCTGAAGTTCGTCTGTTTGAGGCCTGAGGATAAAGAGCACGAATCCGTTCGGCTTCGATTCTTTGTCGCTTTTGAGCTGTTTCCAGGAATGTCAGAAGGCCTTGAGGCTCCTCTGAAGGCTCGCACGGTAAGTGGATTGGCAATGGCTGATATAGATCAGGCTGGGAGACATTTAGGTGATCTTTTTTACTATTTAGAGGCAGTAGATCATACGGTTTGTTGTTGTTTTCTTCAGTTATTGTTGGACAAGCGTGTCGATGATGTTGTAGTAGGTGCATCATGTTATGTATCAATATCTTAGAGGACAAATAGTAGGAAATCAACTGAAGTATTTAGTGTGGCAGATAATATTCTTTGCGAATAATGTTTCAAAATACCATATACAGTAGTAACCACAGTAGAAAGTAGAAAACGAAGACGGTAATGTAAGTGAAAGTAAGGAAGGAAAGTGCGCCTCACTTGACCGTCTTCTTTCCCCCACCGTCACGATGTCCGACGAGTCCGTGGCTCACGGAAGAAGGGAAACGAAAGTTTGTTGGCGTGACATTCGAACGTCCCCGCCTCGGCTCTCGACCACCAGCATCATCAACATCGCGCATCGTGGTCGAGAGTCGGGCAAACAACCGCGGGCGTGACCGAACGGGAAGAGCGTCGTTTAATCTTTCCGTCTTAAGTGAAGTACGAGCGAGTGGGCAATAGGTCGTGACCCCTGAGGCCGTGTTTGTCCAGGTCAGGGCTTGGCCATTGTTGTGGGGAAGTGCTCGACGTCATGTTTGTACACAAAATGTTTTGCCTTGTTTCACATAGCTTGATTGAAGGTACATTGTTGGGGTCAAAGGGTACTGTGGGATAAGATACGCCATCAAAGTTGTAATTTGAAAGTGTTGTAGGTTGAACATTGGCGTAGAAATGCAAAATCTTGTAGTGTAAGGGACTTGTAACACAGTCACAAGATAATATAGATCTTTTTCTATATCATACTGTAGTTTCTGGCGTGGCCGTCAAATTATACTGTCGATACTTTAACTTCATCCCTGGTCGACCAGTCAGGTTCGGTTCAGACACAGTACTCGGAGCTCTATCTTGACCATCAGCGAAGGACACCGACTTTGATTTAGGTGACTTCGGAGGTGACAAATTTCGAGTTCTGGTCATAGGAAGACTTTGTGTCGATTCTGTCATATACTGTTTCTCCAATTCTGTAGTAAAGTAGTCTGCCCATCGCGTGGACAAATCGTATAATTCATCCAGGGTTAGGCTTTCAGGTCGATCTCGAGGTTCTAGTACTGTTTCGAGCAGTGGTCTGAAGGTTTTAGATTTACTTTGGTTTTACATACTTTACTATAATTACTTTTAAATACTTTTAAATTGTAGTTAAGGTTTTAATAATTGTGTGTTTCCTTACTTATAAAGGCCGTGTTCGCTAATATACTTTATGACAATATCTGGAGTACAATACTTGATGCTCTCTCGTCTTCGTAAAGCCGTCCTTAGTCTTGTTGATGACAGTGTTGATGGACTTGTCTCGTCGTCGACCACGTATATGTTTTTCTACAATAACTTGTCAAAGATAGGTTGTTTCTTACTCAGAGTTATACATAAAATAACAAAGCCTACCTCGTATCTCCTTAGGATATCAACAGAGTAAATGATACGAAGAGGATTTGTTAACGGTCGATTAATCGATATCACACCAAATTTGGACACCAGAGATTCTAACTGAAAAATACAATGTTTTTATGCTACTGAGGATATATTTAGGTAATATAAAGTTGTCTTACAGTAAAAACTTACATCGTCGTCAGCAATTTTACTGGTCTGATCATAGTAGGGTTTGTTGGAAGCAAAACCTTCTATGATATCAGCACCACACAACAACATAACGTGCATATTACCAGGACCATGTAACTTATCATAGTATGCTTGATAGTGATGTAGAATCATAAGAGTTGTAGGCTCATCAAGTTGACGTGTCTGCCAGTCGTCTGTTCTGAAAGTAGGATTATTATGACTTCAATGATCAGAAATCATAAAAATCAAATTGATATTGTAGTATATACACAATATTAAAGGGTGGTATAGGTAGCTAAGTCCTTACCGTATCCAGTGGCTACTCTGGTTTGCCAGTTGTAACATCTTTACTCGATGTCGAGATGATATGAGGTCAGGTTTGACGTTCTTATCAGAAAATGGAGAGAACACACCTTCGATTACTGTATGTCCTAAGGTCTTTTCAAGGTAATCTTTGGCACGCTCTAAAGTTTTAAATTTACTGTGTATAATCATATTTTAAATTTTAGCCCAAAATAAATAGTTGCACCATCAGAATTAGAACTTAAATAACCTTGTGTATATCAACATACCAAACAACCTCAAATGAACATACGAAACCGGGTTGAAGGCCCCAGGGCACACCAAAACCAAACTTTTAGGCTTGGCTCCAGCCAGCAACGGCAACCTACTTTGGCCCGAGATCATGGCCAAAAACGTGGCCAAGTTTAATTTCAAATCCTCTAAAGATAATATAAACATTCCGAGAGACGTTTCTGGCTACGAAAATGACTTTTTTGTCACAAAAAATATTTTAAAACCACAAAGATTTGTGGCACTTCAAACGAGAAACAATTGGCATAATACGTTTGGACGTTGAAGTTTGGGCTATATCAGCATGATATCGCATTTGAGGGTCGATTTCAAAAAATAAGGGGGTTATAGCGTATATTGTACAACATAACTATGGAGAAGATATTGGCAATAATTAATATAGGTATGTTTGTTAATTAAAATGAGTTAAGATTGATCTTCAAAAGCATAAAATTTAAAAAAAATCATTTTAAATTTGAAGGTAAAAATAGAAATTCTGATAAAACAAAATTAAAAAACCTCTGCCCGCTTGTCGTATGTCAAGAGTCTGACCACAACACAAAAAAGTGTCCGATGGTGCGAAACCTCATCGGATTTCCATCAAAATGTCCCTCCGGGCTTGTTTTATTTCATAAAACAACTTAAGCCGAGGTGTCAATTGTATCATCGATATTGTACACAGTAACGTGTAATTTAATTCAGTAAATTTAATATAAAAGTGCAATTAAAATTTGAGCTGTTTAAGAATTAAAATTGAAATACAGATTTATTTATATTGCTCATGTTAACATTGGTAACCAGGCCATTTTTAAAAACGAATATTATAGTAAAAAGGTCTGTAAATACGGATATTTTGAGTAAAAACATAATAGTGTAATAATACCTTGGTCCCGGAGTCCGTACGAACCACGTCGTAGCAGAACAGTGAGAGAACGTTGAAGCACCGGAAATGGACCAAATATTCAATAATGTCCTCAAACAATCCTCAGCGTTCCTATGACAAACATTGTCACAAAACAGATAATTAACTCCAAAATTCTGGGCAACAACAGTTTCTACAAGAAATATAATTATAATGAGTTGTCGATTTGATATTAGCATTTCTCTAATTTACGTCGTCACATCAATTCGTCACACAAATGATTTTTTTCTGAAGAGCAAGATAGTGTGTTATATATACCAATTTTGTTAAATTTTCGAAGCTTGTTGAACTATACGTATACAAGTTGGGACGTGTTCACCACGTACAATGATGGTATGAAGCTGAGCAAACATGACTGTCTCGCGCAAAGGCCACTTTTACCTTTGTTTTGTATACGGACACGTCATCTCGTTCCGTCCCTCTGACCTCTTCTCTCTTTTTGGCTAGTAAATTTGGGGCTTCTTTCTTCTTAATAAGGTGTTTAAAAGGAAGGATAATTTGTTTTGATATCTATTTATAACAAAATATTATCCTTTTGAGCTAATTTATTACTTTTAGGCACTTTTACAAAAAAATAAGGCAAAGAAAAATGGACTAACATCATATCCAGTCTCTTATATAAAAGACGATCTCATGAATATTTTGATATTTCTATTATATTTACTTCAAAGAACTACAAGTTTTTGCGTTTTTCGTTTTTTTCAAAGAATATTCCAATTTTTAAATATATATTTCTGTCCGACAAAAAATTGTTTATGGAGAAAAAGCCAAACCGCTGTTTTTATCATGTTGAAAGATGTTATTATAACATTAAAAGTCAGTATCACATGTTATTTTATAATGTTATTTTAGGAATGATTCCTCTATTGATCCTATGCCTGTTTTCCGTGGCATCTGGAGACTTTCTGAAGGCAGAAGATGTTTATATTCTTTCGGAAGACGACTTCGACATTTTCCTAAAGGGGAACCCCACGGCATTGATCAAATTCTATGCTCCATGGTAAGAATCAGTCAATTTTAACATTATAAAAAGGTTGAAATTTAAAATTTTTCTTGTTTTTTTTGTCTTTACTTAAGTAAAACATGAATATTTAAATATGAAAATAGAAATTAAACAACCTTAAGTGGTTTTTCAATACAACTTAAGCATTTAATCTTTAAAAAGCATTATTAGGTATTATATTTAATATTATGTTCTAGGTGTGGACATTGTAAAACCTTAGCTCCAGAATACGAAAAAGCGGCCAAGAGCTTGGACATTCCGCTGGCAAAGGTGGATGCTACAGTTGAGCCAAAATTGGCGAAGAGGTTCAATGTTGAAGGGTATCCGACAGTGAAGTTCTTTGAAGGTGGCAAAGATCCTATCGATTATGACGGTCAACGTGATGCCGAATGTAAGTTTGCCAATTTTGTAGTGTTTAAGATGCTATACGATTTATTGTTAGAACTATTTTTTTTTAAGAAAAGAGATTGTTTTTGATTTTAAAGATTTTAGGTAACAGTTTCTTTAAAGTCGAATAAAAAGAAGTTTTAAAAGTTAACTTGCACGACCTGGTACAAGGTAAACATAATATAATTAAAAGTGCGGAAATTTTTCAAAATTTTGTTTTGAATTCATGATGAAAGCATTAGTGCTATAGCACGTGATGGAATAAAATGTACTTTTTGCTTTTTGAGATAAAACTTTAACATAACGTTTTAGCAATTGTCCAATGGGTCCAGCAGAAGACCGACCCCAACTACAAACCGCCTCCAGAAGAAGTTGTGACTTTGACGGGGGAGACTTTTGATGAATTCACCAAAGAGAAGCCACTGATGTTGGTGGAGTTCTACGCTCCTTGGTGCGGCCACTGCAAGAAGTTGGCTCCTGAATATGAAAAGGCTGCTAAGAAGTTGAAGGTAAAGCTTATTTAATGTTTTTTGTTTACTGTACTCTTTTATTGATTAAAACAGTTAATTTTCTCGTACTGATGTGCAATAGTTCTAAGGTGTAACTGGTTTTAGGCGCACAACATACCTCTGGCTAAAGTTGACGCCACTGTGGAAAAGAAGCTGGGCGATCAATATGGAGTAACTGGCTACCCTACCTTAAAGATTTTACGCTACGGAAGACGTTTTGATTACGATGGACCTAGAGATACAGAAGGCATTGTCAAGTTCATGCTCGATCAGTCGACGCCAGCAGCCAAAGAGCTTCGCACGGTGTCAGAAGCCAAGAAGTTATTCTCGAAAGATGACATCACGATCATCGGATTCTTTGCTTCTACAGAATCTTCACAGTTTGAAGCTTTCAACGACGCTGCCGAGCGAACTAGACCAGAATTTCAGTGGGTTGGCTACACTACAGATCCATCGGTATTCAAACACTTCAAAGCTGTACCCAATGACATTATCATCTTCTACCCTGACATGTTCTTGTCTGAACATGAAGACAAGCAGAAGAAGCTGAACAAGCCTGACTACACAACGGAAGACCTTCTCAACTTCTGGAGAGACAACTCGGCTACACTAGTCGGGTTCAGAACGATGAAGAATGTGGCTACAAAGTTTGCTAGAAACCCATTAGTGGTTGTTTACTATTCAGCTGACTTCTCGGCCGAATACAGAAAAGGGTCCCAGTACTGGAGGAAGAAGGTGGTACCAATTGCCAAAAAAGTAAATTTATATTTTTGACATTTTAATTTACAATAGTTTACTTTTGATTTCTAACCAAAATATTACTGTAAATTTAATATGGGTTGTTTGTGTTTGTATAAATATGCTTAACATACTGTTACTTTCAGTATCTTCGCCAAAAGTACCGTTTTGCCGTAGCCAACGAAGACGAGTTTATTCGTGAACTTCAAGAAGTTGGTCTGGGTGACAGTGGGCTCGAACACAATGTCATCTGCTTCGGCTTTGATGGAAAGAAGTATCCGATGAGACCAGAGATCTACGATGAAGAGCTGGAGGAGAATCTGGAGGCTTTCATGAAGGATCTGAGTGCTGGCAAGGTGAAGCCGTATGTCAAGTCTGCTCCAGTACCTAAGGATGACAATGGACCAGTGAAGACATTGGTGGCCTCGAACTTTGAAAGGGTGCTGGGCGATGACAAAAAGGACTATCTGGTCGAGTTCTACGCGCCATGGTGTGGACATTGCAAGGTAAAATCATTGATAAATTTTGTTATACTGGCTCTTTTACTGAAAGCGGGTTTGTGGTGCTAATTAGAATAATTTCGTACTTAGTACATGTTTCCTATCTTGATATAAGTTATTAATCTGTTTTATTTTCAGAAATTTGAACCCAAATATAATGAAATTGCGCGAAAACTGAAAAACGACAAAGCCCTCGTTCTGGCCAAGTTTGATGCTACTGCTAACGATCCTCACGAAGACTTTAAGGTGGAAGGTTTCCCAACCATATACTTTGCTCCAGGTGGACTAAAATCAAAGCCTATCAAGTACACGGGGAATAGGGACGAGAAGGATCTCCTCAGCTTCATGAAGAAACATTCTGTCAATAGTTTTAAGGGCAGGGACGAGCTTTAGGTCATTTACATGGCGCCTAATAAGTATTTTTAAGCTTAATTTATAATTTTTTGAATTTTACATTTTAATGATATTTTACATTACTCTTTTAAACCTTTTGATATTTGTTAAACCTATTATCAACCTCATTTTGTAACAATATCAATAAATACGAGTATTACTTAAAACACGTTTTTTGTAAGGCTCGAGATGCCTGGTCGACATAAAAAAAATCGATGTCCCCAAATTTCTTGCAATTTTCAAAATTTACTCTTCGTAGCAAGATAAACAAAGTTGCTTAAACAAGTTTTTCCAAAATTACCGTATTCGGGGTTACGGTAATGTCGGTCGAATTTTTGTATCTCGAGAACTTGGCATCGTAAAATTACGCGGTTTTCGCTATATTAATCAGCATGAACAAATACGTATTTTATCTTACAACGACATTTTTGTAGCACTTGCGCATCAGTGCGAAAAAATTAAAAAAGTGTGCACAGCTACAGTAATCGTACTGTAACTCAAAAACTATGTTTTATTTTCCTAAATTTTTATTTCATACCATTAATCTACTGTTTATTGCGGTTAAAATGAGCCTATGCACATGTGCTAACCCCGAATTATTTGGGGTCAAATGCGCATTCAAAGTTTGCACACCTACTTTTTTTAGTATAAATATTAATATATATATATTAAATTTTTATTAAATTTGTGTCATATCAATAAAAATGACGTTTTAATTTACATAATTGATCATACTGAACTTACAAAAAATATTAAAAGTTTTAAAAGTTTGCATATTTAAAAAAATCTGTGTTTTTATTATGTAAGCCTAATAAGTAAGGGTAATGTTTTGATGATTTACTCATTTTTTTATAATTATTTTCCTAATTTTTTATTTCATAGCATTAAAATATTGTTTAGTGCGCTTAAAATGAGCCTATGCACAGTTGCTAACCCCGAATTATTTGGGGTCAAAAGTGCATTCAAAGTTTGCACACCTACTTTTTTTATGTTTAAGCAACTTTGTTTATCTTGCTACGAAGGGTAAATTTTGAAAATTTCAAGAAATTTGGTGACATCGATTTTTTTTATGTCGACTCAGGGTTCAAAAGCGCTCGATTATTAGGAAAAACGTGTTTTAAGAGCTGTTTTTTTCGGGTTTCAAATTATAAAAAAGGTTAAAGCTCAATTGATCTCCTTTTCATAAGGTTTAAATACGTTATATAGTTTCATGATGACATTGATGATATAACTATTATCTTATCGACCCTGTGAAAATGAAAATTATATTAAAACCTTACGATAATTGTTAATTTTCTATATTTTTTCATTTTTTAAACATCTTACACATACAGTCGAACTTCTTCAATATGATACTCAAGGGACTGGACCAAACGGCTAGAATAATCAGGGTGTCGCACTATACAGGTAATATATAGTTTATATTATTACAGAAAAGGGGTCAGAAAGCCGTCATTATAGAAGGGGTGTTATACTATGGAGGGTAAAGAGATTCACTGTACTTATTAAACATTTAAAAAAAATTAATTATATTAAAGTATAAACGGGTAAAGAAGTTCGTTATTTTTTAGATAAATCTTGTTACAAGCCATAATGTCGCTGATTTATATCTGAAACTTTTTATTAAATTTTGAGATTTATCTGAAAATTTAATTTTTTAAATATTAATTCTATTTTGTTCACATCTTAATTACAAGGTCACTATAATGGAGGCATTCCGGAAGCTGAAACTTATTACATTGGTTATAAGTTTTATCCTTTTGACATGGTTTGTATACACTGTGAGGTTTTTTTTTTAAATTTTACTATACGGTTTTTGTTCTTTTGAAGCTTTGGTATAATTTATTAGTAAAAATACAGTAAATATATGTAAAACAAAGAATGTAACTTAAAAATCTTGAGCCCATTTTGTACTAACAACTTTTTGAAATTAGGCCAGAAGCAAGGAAGATCCGGTGCCAAACATTTTCATTGGTTCAGCACATCTGGTAGATTATCAGAGGTAAGTATTACAGTCAAACCTCTTTAGTATTACCACACTCAATTAGACATGGCAGTCGGGCAGATTTTTCAGCTTGACCCGTTTCAATTTTTTCTCGGTCTGGCCCGGTTTGGCCCGCCTAAAGCCTGGTACGATTGTTAGGTACACAATTAAGAATCTGAATCAAAGTGACATTATAACTAGAATGTCACGCTACACAGCAATTTTTTAATAAGCTGCACAGTAATTACAACCTGCAAGCATTTTCAATTAATTTTATATTTTTTATCATATTTTAGTGCTGACACTCCATACGCGGTCATACTAAACACAATGTCTGATGAAACAGGCAGCTTAACAACCCAAGGCACCTTACCCTTGTATTGTCTCAGCGACAAAAATGAAAAAGTAAAAACGAGTTTCCGGAAATCGGACAGAAACAGACACTGCTTATGGAAGAACTACTACATACAATGTGACTTCAAGCACCCCGTTAACAGTATTCAACTGATTGACTACTACGGAAATGGAGTCGAAGTGAGTATTACAAAGTAATATTGCTTTAGTTTACAATTAAAAGTGAAACAGAAGCCTACATTCCTCTTTAGATGTCAGTTACCAAACCAGTCCAAAAAAAGATCCCGTTGGTTGCGTGCTTATCACGGATGTTTTACTACGACAACTGGCAAACTGCACTTGCTGTCTTGGAAATGTATCATGCTATGGGAGTGAATGAGTTGAGCCTTCATGTTATTAATGTCATACAAGACATATATGACTTGCTTGAGCTTTACAAAAAAGAAATCAACTTGAAGATTTACCCTGGATATCTTGCGCCTCAAATTGTAAGAGTTTGATTACTATTAGAATGTTTGTGGTATTGTTTGTAAAGTAAATTTGAAAAGGGGCGAGCCAAAAGATTGGACCCGGTCCGATCTTCTTTCCAAGCTTAACCGTTACCTACTATATATAGAATCGACTAATGAATTCAGGCAGGACAAGATCCAAATGAGAAAAGCGAATCCATGAACCATCTTCTCTGCTACAACGAATGTTTGCTAAACTATCGTGAAGCAGCTGAATTTATACTGTTTGCAGATATGGACGACTTGATAACATCAACTGGGGGCAATTTATATGATACTGTCAAGAAGGCACAGCTACAAAATCCAATAGCGGTCAACTTCGAGTTTTTGTGGAAAACGTCAAGTTATGCCAAAAGTAAGTTTAACATTATTGACTTATTGTACTTTATTATACTACTGTACTCTAGCATATATGATTTTTAGTTAGTTCGCCTTCCGAGTTTTCAATTCCTCGGATATTCAACGGTCTTTATGTTGATACTACCGAAACATACGGAAAATCAATTGTGGTGCCGAAGAGAATCGACTTTTCACGTATTCATAACTTTCGTGGTATCGAATTGAAAGGAAAGTTACTGAAAAGTGTGACACTACCAGAGCAAGACGGCTTCACAATTCATTTGAGAGGCGTTCGCAAGCACAAAACTGGAGAGTATGACATGAAGCTTCCCACGAATTCAACGCTGTTTGAAGCAAAGACCGAGAATATTCAAAGAATCAACGAGTTTTTGCAAAAACGGTTACGAGGTTTTAGAGGTAGGGCCAATATTGTACCTCTAAATGCTCTGTCAACCGCTACTTACAACTTTGAAAAAAGACTACGAAACCCGTCCTTCCAAAGGGCTTTTAATGCTCTACCGACCACGCCATTCTTTTTACCTCAATTTATCCGATGTTATGAAATGTTTATTAACGCAACCAAACCACTATGTATTGGTACTAGAAATTGTGACATTGACTACACTAACGGTCCAAAGTGTCAGGTCAGCACAAGTAATTATGTTGGCTTTAAACACGACAAAGTCCAGGTGTATGTGGCATACAACAGAAAACTGGAGAAACAAGAAACTTGTCAGTTAGAAAAGAGAGCTGTCGAACTTGTAGATCAAACTTATACTGTAAATACTTCGAAGTTATGGGTACTAATTTTTTTGATCTTTTTTATTTTTGTGTGCACGAGAAAAAACACGGTTATATCTTCAATCAAAAGAATAAACAAATAAACTACAATAGTAAACAGCTAATTTTTTGTTTTATATTTATTTTGAATTAAATAGTAATCTAAAAGCGTAATGAGGTTGTACACTTTTAGATGATCATCTCACTTTGCTTTTTGAAGCAAATACTTAGACCTGTGAAAGAACCTGACCGGACCATGGTTTACGCCGCGGCCGTCGGGCTAGCATTTGCTCGCGCAGCTCGCCTCTTTTAAATTTGCTTTGGCCCGACTAGTCGCGACTCATAAAAGTATAAATTTATTAAAAATGAAACTTGACTCAACTTAAATATATTTGTAAAAGAGGGGATTGCGCCTTTTAATCATACAGTACAAATTTTATTCTCACTGGGTCGACTTAAGTAACAAAGAGTGAATAAAAACACAAAAATTACAGTAACGAAAAAACATATTTTTAAAAATGAGTATCGATGCACTTGTACCGGTTCTGGTAACTCAAATTTACAGCTTTCTTTGTGGGCAATTTGTCGGTTGCTATACGAATAGACATTCAACTTCCTATAACTATGTTTAATGTAGTCAGCTGAGATGGCTAAACACTTAGGGCCGTTAGTAAAGTCGATGTCACAATTTTGAAGACTGTGACATTCGGATATGCCAACAGCTAGGTTGTCGTATATCTTGTTCTTACACGCCCTTAGTTGTGGAGCAAAGAAGGGATCTTGAGGTAGATTCTCCAAAGCCTTTTTAAAATCGCTGTCATTCTTACGTTTCAAGAAGTTGGTCGAAACTGTTGTCATGAAAAACTTCATTTCCTCAGGATATTGGCTTTTTCTTATTGGTTCAGAACGGATATTCCGCAAATGAAGGGTAAAACCATCCTTCTCGGTCACGTTCATACTCTGCAACGCTACACCTTTGTACTGCATTCCACGCACAAAATGTAGGGTAGAAAATGGCAGTTTTTTTGGAATTACAATCGACTTCCCAACGTCTTGATGCTTCTCTAGTTCAAGGCCGTTAAATATGTCGTCCAGAGAGAAGGAGGATGTAGATGAAACTAAATTAAAGCTTATATTATATTGTTCAAAAAGTTAAGAGCTACTATACTGCTTTTTAAAAAAATATTTTTTTATTTTTTTTTAATTGCGCTTTAAGAAAGTTATATCCTGATTTCAAAAAATTTAGATTCCTAAACGAGCCGGGTCGAGTCAAGTAGGCGCTTCCAGTGTTTTGCCGGACCGGACCGGACGGACCGAAACAGAAATTTTTGCGGACCGGACCGGACCCAAAAACCTGCGGACCCAGACCGAAGAAAAAGCTCCGGACCGGTCCGGAAGAAAATTTTTTTTTATTTTAAGAAAACTGTTTTAAAAATTGCAAATAAAACATATTTTTAGGAGTTTTTAAGCAAAACGAAAGCAGTTTTAGCGGTCCTTGCTTTTTTTTAAAAATTAAAAAATTTTTTTTGCGGACCGGACCGGGCCCAAAAAATCGCCGGACCGGACCGGTGAAAAACGCTCCGGACCGGTCCGGGCAAAACACTGGGCGCTTCTTTAGGTCTAGCCTCAGCAGCTTTACTTACCCTACAAATAAAACTGCAACACACCCTATAACACATAATTTACCTTTATTGTACTCAGCATTCCTCCAAAGAAACTCGAATCCCGCTACTTCAGGATGCAGAGAATGATATTGCCTAGCTGCGACAAGCAGATTTCCAGTCGTCGCAAATATCACATCGTCTAGATCAGCAAATAAAATAAACTCAGCAGCTTCACGATATTTGTAAAAACACTCATTATAGCACATCCTTTGGTTTATCGCCGCCGTTCTCACGTTGGGATCATAGCCAGCCTTAAAATGACGCGGAATCTGTATTTTAACTTACAATTTTAGGTATGACAAGTCCGGGTTCCACGTTTAGGTTTATTTTGGTTTCGTACAGCTTGAGAATGTCATAGATCTCTTTGATAATATTCATAATTCGCAAATCGAACTCGTTTACTCCCGAGGCTGCGTACATTTCCAATGCTGTTAATAGTACAGGCCAATTATCAAAATAGAACGTTCTCGATAAGCACGCCACTAATGGTATCTTTCTGGTTACAGGTTTCGCTACAGGTATCTAAAATGATTAATTATATTAAGTTTTTAAAATAATTCTGTGCCTTCAAAGCAAATGTTTGAAGCTAGGGCTGGCAAGAAACCAAAAAAAAATTACCATGTGTAACTTACAGTAGGCCCATACCCACTCTCATCCACCAGTCGAACACTCTCAACCGGCTGGTTGAAATTACATATGATTTCATAGTTCTTCCAGGAACATAAATACCCGCCGTCAGTGAAGGCAAACTTGGCATTCACTTTTTCATTACTATCGCTTACACAAGACAATGGCATGTGCTCCTGTGTTCTAGGCCGCGAATCGTTTGTGTCTTGTGCCATCACGCTCAGCAATACCGTATTGGGGTTGTTCGGACTAAATTTTTAGAAAAGTTATTGCCATTATAATTAAAAAAAATTATGAATTGCTATCTCAAATAAAAAAACTATAAAGTTGTAAAAATTTACAAATCAAAATTGACCAAATGAGCCGAACCCACAAAAAGCTCCATAACATCATTGTTCGGGTCATTTCTATATTTACTAGAGTAGTTTTGGTAAACCAATAGCTGAAAATATTTTTCATGACTACTCATTTTTATAAGTAACTTTGAAAAGGTCCACTAGGCTTGGCTAGCCATGAGCCACCCAAAGCAACGCAGAGAATGGCAAGCAAAAACCAATCTGAAAAAGGCTAGGCTCGAGATCCAAGCCTAAATGAAAGCCCCAGTGGTCCAGCTTAGGTCCCGCAGCAAAAGATTTAACTTGCAAACAGTTGAAAACGAATCTGATGTCAAAACTATTATATTTGCGTAAGAATAATTTTTGTGTACTATAAAAGTTGTTAATCTTATTATTGGGATACATAGACCCAAAAGCCCAAAAAAACCAAAAAACTGGGCCTGCACTTTTATTATATTACGGGTCTATTTACAAGCTAAGTCAAATAATAACGGCACTTACTATTGTCCAGAAAACGCAAAAAGCGCTAAAAATAAAAAAAAGTTTGGAAAACGTTAGCATTACTTCTAGTTGTTAAAAAATTATTTTAAATTATGTCAAATTAAATTTAAAAAATATCTACGTTTTAATCTTTTAATGAATTATAAACTAAACAAACTTTATCTGATTTACATAGTAAGTAAGATAAAACTAGATTCCATGCGGCTGCATAGATATATTAATGTGTTTCTTGTGTCTCGTTTAACATAATTAATCTTTTGAAACTTAAAAGAGAAACACTTATAGGCAACACAAATATAGTCTCACCGTAGTATTAAAATATTTTATTAGGATACAGTTTCGTATCCTAAATTCGTCAAATATGAACTGTAAAAACTGTTTTGTTTGAATTATTCCATCTCTTCGGAATCTGAAGAACTCGACGATGATGCTGTTGTGGTGCTGGCCGTGCTGTGATGCCGGCATTGTACTGGAAGAGAGTCGAGGAAGCGTAGATTTGGTAAGAAGTTGCTGACCGAACGTCTGAAATGGTCAGGTTACTTAAAGCTCAAAAATATTTTTTAGGTTTTGGTTGGTTTTCTGAACAACTAGCACTCTTCAAAATAACATCTGGAGAACGAAAGATTTAAATAAAGATAGGTACTTAATTAAGTACTTAATTGAGTTCTATATTACCCTCCAACTAATAAAACAAAAGATAAAAACTCGAACTTACTGGTACTTGTAGTATTTCTGGGCCGTAGAACGTAGCACCGGATGCGGCCAGCCGGGATTGCCAATCAGACTGAGGAAGCGGAGTTTAGGGCATTGATGGGCCAGCGATTGGATGAAGACTCCGATGTTGACAATCTGATTGCAGTTGATGCTCAGAGTCTCGAGCTGGGGGAAAGGAACGGGAAGGCTTTGGAAAACGTGTTCGGTGAGGAGATTGCCATCCAAAATCAAGTGTTTCAAGTGGGCCGAGTTCTGCACAACGCCGTCGGGTAGTAGACTTAAATCCGAACAAATAGTTAGTGAAGGCTTTGCTTTCGTCTTATTTTACAGTAATCCCGCATAATTAGTGAGCCGGTTCTAAACATCATTTTGAGGATTCAGCACGGTCATAGACATACGAACTTTTATCACTGAATTAAAAATTATCTCTTTATTTCAAAAATTATTCAGATTAAGATACAAGAGTTCTAGTTTTATTTAAAAAAATTAAATTATTAATTATAATACATAGCCTTTCGAGTATAATTTAGATACTTACAAAGAAAGAGATCCTTAACGACTAAAAACGCCTCACAAGAAATCTTAAGCTCAAAATAAATATATTAATTATGTCATGCCAGGAAAGTTACCCATGCCTCAAGTATCCCCATAGATCATGCCCTTATAATAAGCAATAATTTTTTTGTTTAAAAAGACAATCACCCTCATCTACTACAAGATAAACTCTTTTATCAACTACAATATACTACTTTCGCGTCGCAAAACAATCGGCTGTCCGATGGGAAGAACCGGCGCTAAGCAGAATCACAGTGCATCTTCAGGTCGAGTCGAAGCCTGTTGAAGTCGGTGTGGGCTCTTTTCTTTTACTCACCTCAAGTCACGGCCGGATAAATCCAACAAACCTAATTCCGGGTCAACGACTGCTGCCACAAAAGGTTTCTGTGTTCGGCTCGCAGCGCAATAAGTGCTGATCATCGATTGTAACAACTACTCGTGATTAAATTTCCCTCGCTTAAAGTCGAGAAGAATGAAGCCGGTGATGGAGAGAGCCGGCCTTTTAAGCATATCGGACTGATAAGAGATAGGAGAGTGATGAAAGAGCTTCGTCATTATAATAAGGGAAAGCACGTATCAGATAGTGTGACTTTTAAAGGGGAGCATGATATTGACGAGAAAGTAATTTTTAAACAAATTATATTATAGGTAAAACATACTAGAAATTTTAGGTATCAAAATGAGTATAACTTTAAAGTAGATGATATTACCGTGAGATTTTAAAAAACAGCGTAATACTGAATAGATAAGTTATACTAAAAGCCCATAATGAGAAGAATAAGTGCCTCACCTATAATTTCAAAACATTTTTAAAAATTTAGTCCCTAAAAACTACAGAAAGCCGGAAAATATTTGCAAAAGCAATGTTTTCAAAATTTGTTGAAAATTATGAGTACGACGAAATTCTGCTGATGACCTATCAAAGAAAGCCACGATACCGGGGAAAGACCATAATTCTAAAGAAAAACGCAAAATTAAAAGAAAACAGTCAGCATGGCTACTGATAAGACCATATTGCACTGGACTGTTTGAATATAAGAAGACCATTCTCGCAAACAGCAGTTCTCTTCGGAAAACAACAATATTCCTCATCAATCCGCGCAAAATATTGACAGTTCTCGCAAAACCTTTAATGATAAGATTGTTTTATTCCCGTGTCTCCAAGAACCTCTTCGGCTTCTTCACTCCCTTCTTGATTCGCTTCAGAATCTGGCCGAAGTCCGCAATCGTGCGCTGTTTTTCGCTCCAAAACCGCTCGAATTCGATGAAACAGGCACGATAAAGACGGTTCAGATGAGAAATCAGATCAAAGTGTAAACTGAAAAACAAGGTAATCAAAAACAAACAGATAACTATTATCATGAAACCCTTATATTAAATTTGTTTTATCAGAAACGTTTATTACCTGTTTAGCTTTATGTCATAACACTCGTCTGGCCAAAAGATAAATAGAAAGTGGAGAAAGAAATAGCTTTTAAAATTTCAAAAATTGAGTTTTGTAGTTACTCTTGAACAATTTTATCACATTATGATCAAAAACAGATTACTCACCTATCAAAGTCACCTTTCCGTAAACGATTCAGTAAGATAAAACTGAAGTTAATGCCAACAACAGCCAATGGGAAACCCTGAAATACTTTTTTCATTTCAACATTAAACTCTTTAAATTAATTTTAATTTAATTATGCTACTCTAAACTTTTATTCATTGTTATCTGACGAATTGTTAGTCCTTATCACCAATCAAAAAACAGTCCGACAGCAGTTTGTTTAATTGTTGATTAAATTCCATCGACCAGTTACATCAGCCAAAGGTTACTTACATTGTTTTCCTCGTTTGCAAATGTTTTCAGCCGTTCCAATCGTTCCTTATCAATGCCTTCCGTTACCAAATAAAGTAATTGGCATAACCCGAACAAGCCCGCTCCTCGCAAATCAGTGGCCGGGTCTTCTCCTACAACAAAGTACTGGATGCAAAACAATCAACAGCATACGTTTTATAAAAGTGATAACAAAACATTGTCATTACGTAGTTTTTGTTTGGTTGATAGTACAGTACGAACCTTGAAAGCCGACAGTTTCCCAATGTTTTCCGAATCTCGCTGGCTCATCTTCACAGTCCACTATCTTCTGATATATTCGTTTCAGTATGTTCCAATGTAACTCGTTACCTTCCTCATACTTTACTGAAAACATACAATGAACAAAGCCTCCAAATTACAGTATACTTCATCCCTAAAACTACAGTAATCTTACTTTTGCTGACAGTAACAACAAAATGTTTTTGCTCAGAGAAGCTTCTTCCTCTCAACCTTTTCCTGATTCTCTGTGGTGTGCATAATAGTCTCTGTAGTTTTCGACCGGTCTTGGCGAGCTTCAATGACTCTTCGGCTTCTTTCTAAACATAAAATGCTAAAAAGATATTAAATTACCTTTTCTGAATCCAAATTTTGTAACTTTAATTCATTCCAAACCTTGTTAAACTCTGTATCCAATGTGGCCAACTCTAATTTGGCCATGAAAGGAGAAAACCAAACTTCCACTGAAAAATTAACATTTTTTCCAAAATTATTAATTTTGCCGAGCTGCGCCCAAAAAGCGCAGCCTGCTGTCTGACAAAAAATTGTGGCGCTTCTTTCGGAAAATAAATTTTGAAATTTCTAATTTTCATCGAAAAATACCTCCATGACCATATTACTCGTTCGACAAAGTAAGTTGATCCCATAAACTTATCATTTATTATCAGTTAAAGTACAGTATAAATAATAAATATCCGATGTGGTTACCGGTCACCTACAACAACTATAGCATACAATCTACAATGTAAGAACTCGACAAATTCGTATTCATATGATTTACTACAACATATATTATTTTAGGTTTCGGACTATCACAGTTTAGATCTAAACCGACGAAATAAATACAGTAATCACCATGACTACAAGATACACAGGTGGAAGCTATTGATCTACTTTACAAACTGGTCGAATGACTGGAGTCTGAAGAAACGGGATGTGGTGGAAGTGGCATTGGTACCACGTTGGGAGGCATGTGGGGCATTACATTTGGCGGAGACGATTGTGGAGGATACGGTAGGCCAGGTTGATTCATATTGGGGTAGGTTGGTACGGTAGAACGTGTTTGTGGGTGGACAACTGATGTAGGTATTATGGGATGTTGATGACTTGGTGGTACACTTGGAGGACTGACCGATCCTGAAGTGGTTGGTCCACTTGGAGCCATACTGTATGGTACATTAACAGGACTATTAGGTACGTTAACTGGACTACCAGGATGATTGACTGGACTAGTTGTCATATGAACTGGGCTTGTTGCCGGGGCATTGACAGGGCTACCAGGAACGTTAACCGGACTAGCCGGGTGTTCTGGTACTTGGTTTACTGGTATCTTAATGGGAGCAAACACTTCTTGTACGAAATCTGGATCGAACAACTGCATCCGCTTCTTGATCTCCTCCTTCAGGATCGGCTGAACTTCGAATAATCTGGAGTTGTCTAGGACTTGGATCATGTTCTTCAGAGATTGAGGGATGGCTTCTCCTGGCAACTCCGATTGAGCCGTTTTCAAGTAGTTCTCCATGTGCATGATCAAGCGGATGATAAGGATAGGAAAGGAGGGCAGGGAGGACAATATACTGAAACAAGATTATCAGAAAAATGTTTTGAAAAATATTGCGAACGTTTGATCATCAAAGGTATTAAACTAGTTTCCACCGCAAAGTTATCGTAGCTATGAAAAACTTACTCCAACTGGTTGAGCACCATTCGAATAGCCCACTGCATAGCCCTCACTTTAAGTTCTTCCAATGACATAGCGTCGGCTGAAGGTCCATTTACTGTTTGAAGTCCTCGGAGTAATGGGAAGACAACGTAGGCAAAGAAGTGTTCTACATCAATCAGCCTCATCTCGTGGTAGAAGAAGGATCTGCACACCGCCTGAAAAATACATAATCGTACGGATACATTAACATCTTTTAAAAAAACTCAAATATAAGCTCTAAAACGACATTCTTACCTGTAGCTCAGCAAAAGCCGTATCTCTAACCCTCTTCCGTTGATCACAAGTTAGTCTTGCCAAGGCTTGTAACAATGGAATGATTCTCATTCTGAAGGCTTCTGAATAGATGGGTAGAACACACATTGCGTACGAGTTCTCAGATCCGTCTGCCGACTGCTCCTGAATCTTGTTTCCCTTCGAGATCATGGTGGCACAAAGGGCAGCCAGCTGTCTCGAAGCCAATTCGTACTTGGTTTCTCGTTCTTGTTGTTCCAGTAGAATTTGTTGTTGTTCCACGGTGATATTCTCGATCTCTGCTGCTGAAGTATGTACAAAACTTGACGGACTTGATGGCCTGCTGGTATGAGAACTAGCAGCCCCTGAACCTCCTACTGATAACACTGAAGACTGAGGTACAAAGGCAGCTTGGGAACCGTCAATAGAAGCTTCGACCATGGCTCTGAGACATTCCGTACAGGAGTCAAAGTTGAATGGAGTAATATGAACGGCGTCCTGAATGAGGAACGACAGAGTTTCGACCACTTTCAGGAAGGCTTCAGTATCGTGCCGTGAGATGTTTTGGATCAGACTGAGAGTTGTGTTTTCGAAGAATTCGGCTGGATTCTGGCTGAGATTCAAGTTCAGATTCTTGGCTCTCCACATTAACACTGGGTTGTGTTTCTGGAGAAGGATTTGACTCAAGGGGAGTTCACGGCATCCATCGTCCACTTTCTAAATTAAAAATTAGTACGAAAAAAGTTAAAAAATACTTTTAAAAAAATTTAAATCCTGACCTTTTCGCCGTCTACGTAATAAGCAGCTCCAGATGCCTGTAGTAATGTAAACAACAGTTTCCAATGTTCGCATTCATGTAGATTGGCAGCGTTAGTATGAAGAAGTTGATGAAGACCGAAGGCGATTTGTCTTGAAAAGAAGAACAAAGCGGGCGGGGGAAGATCGACCAACATTGAAATGGCACAAAGAACCTCTTGTGCTATCGGTTCATCGTCCTTGAGTCGGAACAAATTCTTGTTGGCCACTCTCATCAACCCAACGGCCGTTCTCTCCAGAACCAGAAGATTTCTTCCGAAGCCAGACAGAATCCATCTGAAGTGTCTTTCGGCTATCGGCCACACCTGATTCAGCCTGTACTTGTTCTCCAGGACGACGCTGATCATGAGTTCCAACAAGAACACTACAATATCTTCATCTTGTTGGTTTAGAACGATGGATTTGGGGTCGAGATCTGTGAAGGATTCAGTTGAAGCAGGTTGGGCAGATTGATCTTCTCGTGATGCTCCACCACAAATGACAAAAGACCAATGGACTAGACTGGCAACCAGTTCATCTAATGCTGAAGCTGTTAGAGTTCGGCCACTGCTGATCAATTGTTCTGGATGACAGTCTTGGACGAGGCTTATGACCGCCTAAAATCATTGCTGTTTTGTTATTTCTAAGATTAAGCTCTATTTAAATGTTGTACTACTGACCTTTTTAAGTTCTTCTTGGGCTGGAGTTGGGGTTTTAGCAGCTCCACTGTCAGAAGCGTAGAATCCACCAAGCCATTTCATCAACGATGTTTCTTGTTTGCTAGCACTCTTTCTACAAAAACATGTCAATGTGCAAAAGTACTAAAACAAAAACCAAACTAGCTTATGAAAACAAACTCTAGGTGTCGTTTGACTAATAGAAGCACCTACTTGATCATAGGCCTCTGAACAGAAATCACTCCTCTTGGGTCCACGAAATCCTCAACCATGATCAGTCCTTGAGGTAGAATTTGCATACGGAACAATTGTAGTAAACAGTCGATGACATTCTTCCATCCAGCCCTCAGATGATCACCATGCTTGTGAATCAAGTCGAACATCAGTTTCGTGGCCAATTGAGCTTTGTAGTTCTCTCCGAAAGCGTATACTGTATAATCTTGGGAGTCAGCATTTGCCTTTCTGTATTCGTACTCCCCTTCGGCACTCAATGAACGTGAATCCATTGTGGACATCAGAGTGCTGAATTTGCATAAATGGATGATCAGGTTGTCAAACACATCTGTCATTCCGTAATAGGCTGCCACAGTAGCACAGTTACTGTATCCAGCCAACGTTTTCTAAAAGATTCAACTTTACTTTCTGATTAAAATTAAAAAAAACCTTTAAATAAAATTTGGTAACATTTTCAATTTCAAAGATCTATAAACTAACCGAAAGCGTCGACTTTTCCTCGGAGCGTTCAAAAATATAGCTCAGGGCAGCTGTAGCAGGTCCCCAAACCGTGTTGAACAAGTCTCGATCGTTGCATCCTGATCGTGCAGCGATGTAAGCTCCTTCCAATGACTCGGACCTCTTCATCAACACCTTCCACAAGTAGTTTTCCTTCACGGCTCCAGTCTGTTCGGCCGGCATCACAATCTCGTTGTTTTTTATTTCGTTGTAGATCTCTTGTAACATATCTGGATCAAAGTTTCCTCCAGCGTTGGTTCCAGAAACATTGCGTCTGAAGGCGTCTACGGTCATTGGCTTCTGATTGCGTTGAGCTTGAGGATTATGCTGGTCGGTGTTCAACATGATAATGGCATATGCCAAGGTGAAAGCGGCGTCTGGGTGGCCAAAGGGTTCGTTGTTGGCCTTGAACCAGTAATCTGAAACAGTTTTAGTATGATTGAGACTTTAGATAAAGCTGTGATACAAAAGGTCTTTGTATAACAATAATGAGGTAGAAACTTAAATTTTAATAAGTTCAAAAATGTTTGAAATTCAATTTTACCTGCAAAATGTTGCATAATCTTTGAGATTTCAGCAGCTTCTCCAGGTAATCTGAACGCCTCCAACAACATCCTTAAAGCAACATCCAGACGAGTGTTTTCGAATGGAAAAGCTTCTACAAAAGCTGCCAAAACTTCCGAGTTCTTTCGACTAAAAATTTAAAGTCTGTTTACTTTAGTACCCAAAAATATAAATATATAAAAAATAAAAAAAACTTAAAAAGTTTAACATCAAAACCAATGAAGACAACGAACTATACCTGCAAATACAATCGGCAATCTTCATTTTGTCCAGATGAGGATTCTCTCTCAAGAATCTCGCGATTTCTTTGGGTTCTGGGGGGGTTTTTGAGGATTCCATGTTCACATAAATACTCGATTCCTTTCTTGGGATTCTTGTTGAACAACTCTGTTCCCTCGATTATCAACCGCTTCTGCTTCTTTTGGTCGATTAACTCTGACATTGAGGGAACTTTGAAAGCGTCCGTTGGGTATTTGTTTGTATGACGGCCTAAAGTTTAAATATTATAAGGCTTAAGTTTCAAAAATTAGTTCATTAAATTAATACATTTTTTAACTTTAAAATGACATACCAATAATTCCTTGTCTAAAGTAATTCGAGTCGATATTCGGAACAGAATTGGCACAGATCTTGTTAATGACAGTAAGCAAAGCCTCCAAACTCAACATGTGAGTAGATTGAATAATACCATTAGTTGGGAATGCGTTTTCAGATAATAATTTTGTTAAATCTTCGAATAAGTTACTAAAAACAATTATTAAAATAACAAACAACAAAATTTTGTTTAAAGTAGTATTTCAAAAATAAAATATCTTTAAAAATCTTTGGAATAATACTCTTTAAACTTATAATAACCCACCTGCAGTACAACCCACAATCATAATTTAGATATAACTCTCCAGCCAAATTAGAAACTCTGAAGAGATGAACAATACTTTCCAATGCCATTTCTTTTCTGTCGTATTTCACCTAAACAGCATAAAACTATTGAGAAGAACAACTTACGTTCTCATTCCCAACTATCTGCATCAAAACCTTGAAGTAAGCTTCCATCTGAAACTTCAGGTGAGGTCGTAAGCTTTCGAACAACAGGAAACAGATTCTGTTCGCCATTGTAAAGACGTACACTTTGGTCGAGTTCAACAACTAAAATTCAAAATATTTTAATTATTCGTTATAACGTACCTGAACCAATGCTTTACACAAATCGTCCTTAATGATAGGCATCAACAAGTTAAAGTTGCCAATAAATTCAACTGAAGTCTCCAAAGCCACAGTAACCAAATTAAGGCCAACAATTATCATATGTTCTTGATTTGTTTCGTCCAAAGGATTCGTTAAAGAAACGGAAAACCTAAAACAAGAAAATTGTTAACTTCAACCTTGTTATTGAATAGAACCAACACGTAAATTTACAGTAAATAAACAGACTATTTTAACTAAAAATTACCTTAAAAGCTCCCTGGCACAAGGTAGACCATAAGGAATGAAAGACTGTGCTGATAAGTCATTTTCAGAAGAACTAGCTGACAAAAGTTCTTCTTTCTCGTCTTCTTTTTGTTCTTCCTTCGCTTCATTAGTTGCTTCTGACAGTTCTGTGTTTTCTGTAGCCTCTTCTGTAGGGTCCGTCTTCTCTGACTTCTTTTCTTTCTCAATTTCGGCCGAGCAATCAACAAAACCAAGGTCAATAACAACATGGTTACCTAAAAATTAAACCTTGCTTTAAATGTTATATTATAAAAGTATATGTTTTTTCAAAAAATTAAAATAATATTGTAAAATGAACATAGTCACTAAAAAACTTACCTGGAGAAGAAGCAGGTGTAGGACGAGACACATCCGTATTCGTATTACCACTTTCTGTGTGTTCGTGTACTTCCTTGCCCTCTTCACTTTCTTCTTTAGGTACCTCAGCAGACTTTTGTGGTTCTTTGGCTTCAGAAATCGCCTCTTCTTCTGTTACTGGTTGAACTTTAACATCAGCTGGCGTTGGCGTTGTCTCCTTCTTCTTATCCACAACTAGTCTCTTCATATACGGATGGTTCGAATCGTAGGTAAAAGTTGGAATTCTTTGAAAGATAGTCTTTGTCATATCCACCAATGCTGTTTCTGCCGCCATCCGAAGAAGTTGACTCAAACTCACATCAAAAGAAACTCGGAAAAGACAGTGTAACATATTACACACACGTTCGTTGGTGAGGAAACGTCCACAAGGAGCGTTCAAAAGAGAATGTAGTACCTAAAATAATACAAAAAAATAAAAAGCTAAAAAAAGTAATCTCAGCAAGCAACGTCAACTTAAAAAATCTGTTTCAATTTTGTTAGTCTTCAAAAACTCAAAAAATGTTACCTAAAAATTTTAAAACCTACATCGATCATCCGGAATACAACGCCATCTCCTTTGTTGTACTCACTGTCAGCAAACTTTGTTTCAGTAACGGCCAAAGCGACGGCTTCTGCAGCACTTGGAGCCCATAACCTAAACACGTAAACAAAAACAAAGTAAAATAACTCACTCATCTGAAGGGATCAAATTCCAGTTAATAAATTTGTTAATAGACAACAAGGCTCTTGAAGTAACAACATCATTTGTGTTTTGGGATTTTATAACATCAAGAAAAGGTTGTAAGAAGGCATTCGGCTTCATTGCCGCCAAATCATATACCTAAAATAACATAAATAGTATTTATTTACGTGAAACATTTACAATTATCCTCTAAAACCATAAAAACATAAAGAATATAGTCCTACCGTGGTCAAGACATCCCGAAGATCGGCGAAGCTCTTCAGAAGCCGTAGAATATCATCAGAAACACTGGCCGAGGCATCACGATGGCTCAGCTTCAATAAGGTGGTCACGGCTCCAGCTTCACCGTAAACTACAAAATATCCATTGGACATAGTCCTTCAGAATCCCGAGAGTTTCTTCTATGTGGATTCTCGAGATTCTATGCAAACGTGTCAATTTTTGTTGGTTTATTTTATTTTTCTAAAACGAAACTCCACTATTGACTTTTGAGTTTCGCTTGAAAAGTTTTTGCGGACAAAAAGCTGTGAAATTGGAAAATAAGTAATAAACAAATTTTTGTCTCAATGTTTATTTTTACAATATATACTGTATTTTACAGTATCCTTTACATTTAATGATCTGTTATCGATTTAGTTCTTCTCGTAGCTGATTAACATCGGTTGCAGGTTTTTGGGCACTCGTTTTTCATGAAATCACGGTAAATCTGAAATATTTTACTGTCAAGGATCTTTGTCTTTCTTACCGAGTTATCACACAGATATCTCAATTTTCTACAATCATTTCCTCTGTCTTCACAATCAGATTCCTTAGAATCCGTCTTCTTTTCTTCTTCACTTGAATCCGAACAGAGTCCACAAGTTACAGGACATTGATCAGTCATAATCTCTTTGTAGTTACTGTTATCACAAAGGTAGTTCAACCTGGAACAATCTGGTCCTTTATCGTAGCAATCTGTCGTGGTTTCTGTTTCTTCTGAATCCGTTTCGTTTTTCGATGTTTTGTCAGTTTTGATGACAGTTTTTGTGGACGGTTCCTTCTTTTCTTTCTTGTCTGGGTCAGTTGCACCTGAAAGTCTTATCCATTGTTTTTGATCATTAAGTTTTAAAGCTTTTATAGAATTTCAATAATGGTCTTCTACTTACAACAATATCGTATTCCATTGATTTGCTCGCATCCCAGTGAACTGTCACCAACACATTTGTATTCTCCACCTTTCTTTACGCATTCTAAAGCATGAGTCAAGTTTATAAATAAAAAGCAGTAATTTGGTTAATAATTTTTTGATAAGCAAAGCAATAAAAACAAAGTTTCTTACCAAAAGCAGCAGGAATCCCATCAGGACAAGTTTGACATTTGACTGTGTAGAGTAGGGTGGTTAGAAGAAGGTACCGTAACATTTTTTGACTGGTTTCGCTATCACAACGATATATTTAAATATCCCATTGCAATCGTCCAGACCTTTAAAACATGTTTTTAATGCCTATTGTTAAGATAACTTTAAACATTCCTTTTGTATTTTACGAACAAAAAACGAAATTTAAGCAAATATCGAGGTACTTCGTATCTAAAGAAACGAAAGTCATGTTTTTTGTCGATTTTTCATAATAGTATGCAGTAATGTTATGATTGGTGTTATAAGTAGGTTTGCAGACTTTTTAGTGGCATTACTTTTCCCAATGGGATTATTAGTAATTTATAACTCGATAACAAAATTTTAAAAGCAGCCGCAAGTCCGTTCGCCATGTTTATTGCCATAAAACTCTAGTATAAGCACAATATTTTGGGAGTAAAGTATATAGCACTGCCAAAAGAATACCAAATAGTGAAATTACAAAGGTTGTAAATTACAAATCCTTAGCAATGTCGATGATTTCGTCTATGAGAAAGTCGAGATCGTCCTCGGTGATGGCCTGATTGGAGATGATCATTCTGAAGAAGTTGGGTCTTTGTTTGTCAGGCTGGTAGCCGACCATGGTAGTGCCTCTTTCCATCATCTTAGCTTTGATTTTGGGAGCGATCTTCTCCAATCTCAACATCTTCTCTTTCTTGTCCAGAGAACGGAGAGATGGGGGAACATACCAGAAGCATATGTTTAGGAATTCTGGCTGAAATTCAAGAATTTTGAGTAAAATTTGTCTGCCTTAAGCGAGGTTTTAAACTATAGTGAGACTTAAATTTTTTGTAATAAAGGTACTGTGACAGAAGAGTACTACCGTGTCTTATCAAAATCAATATCATAGTATCGAATTATGCAACTTACCTTTTCCACGACCATTTCGAACCCGGCAGTACTCTTGATGCGATGGGTAAAGTAGGCACACAACTCCATCAACCGGTTGATTTGGGCTCTGTAGCCCTCCATTCCCTTGGATCTCCACATTAACCAGAACTTGAATATATCGTTGTGTCTTCCGCATTGAATGGCCTTGTCTCCGGTGTCATAGCTCACGTCATACGGTTTGTCTTGTTGGAAAAGGTAGTCGGCTGACATTTGGTTACATTGGAAAAGTAGACCCTAAAACGGAGATTGTTTATTTTGGGCTTGAGAGTATCTACTGTACAGTAAAGTGCTGAGTTATGGGTTATGTGTGTGAGGGTTAAAATTTGAGTAGTGAACAAATAAATTTAGGTAGAGAACAATCTTTGTAAAACACCTACATCTTGACGAATAAAGCAAGCACTACATTGTAGTAGTGCTCCAAGGAGCTTATGCGGATTCCATGTAACTGAGTACGCTCTTTCGATTCCACTCAACTTGTAGCGGTGTTCAGAACTCAACAGTAATCCACCTCCCCACGCTGCCTAGAAATTTTAAAAAATTAAAGAAATAAAACGAATAAAAAGTTGTGACTACGGTTGTACTATGCCCTTTTAAGAAAAAAAGCGTAAATAACAAAAAAATTATATTATCCTGTGTGTCGAATTGTTGACTATTAAATAGGAATCAGCCAAAAAAACCGCTTACATCAACATGGAACCAGATCTTGTGGCGTTCACAAATGTCAGCCACTTGATTCAAAGGATCGAAAGCTCCATAAACCGTAGTACCTCCAGTAGCACACACAAAGAATGGGTGAAGACCTTCCTTCTTAGCTTCTATGATCTTCTTCTCCAAGGCTTCTGGAACCATTCGTCCGACACTGTCAGATTCAATTGAAAAACAATTGTCAACCCCAATACCTAGTAAGGCAGCTGCTCCTTTGATCGAATAGTGACTCTGAAAATGTGTTTGGTGAAGCTTGTTGTATTTAGTATCTTATACGGTAATAGTGGTTATATTACCTACCTCTTCCGATGTAAAACAACACAGAGTTGGTACTGATGTCATTCCGAGGGGTTTAGCTCTGGGCCAAAAGAAATGACGAGCTGCATTCATGGCATAGGTATTGGCAATTGCACCACCTATAAAGACAATTTTCTCAACAACTAGAGCTAATAATAAACGAATATAGTAGTTTTTATAATTGGTGTGACAGAATTTCAAAAAATAACGTACCCGGTGTAAAGATACAGTCCCCAACGTCAGCCGGCCAGCCAATCAGATCCATCATCTTGCGCATTACCTCCTTTTCCATCAAAATATATACAGGCGAGATCTCGTACGTAAACCTACAATTGACCGTAATGTTTGAATAGTTTACGTAGAAAAAACAAGACGAATCCTATAATTAAAACATTGTTATAGCTATTGTAGTTAATGTTACACAACATAGGTAATGCATTCTTACATGTTAGTGTTAGCAGTAGCCGTCAGCCATTCTCCAGCCATTGAAACAAGGTCCAGACCACAAGATATTTGATTGAAAAAGCGAGGATGACCAGTTTTCACACCCAATTTCAATACTTTCTTGCACGACTATAAGTACAATGTTAGTTATTTAACAACTAAAACATGTTATAAATTACGTTATCCCAAAGATTTGTAGTAACTTACGTCAACCAATTCGGCCAATGGCATTGGATGCTCCGGTATGGTCAAGTCGATGAGCTTCTTCATGTCTTCTGGATGATGGAAGTCCAGAATCTTTGAAGATCGATCATTCTCTTCCTTTATGTAACCTAACAAAACATCGACCACTTGAAGCAAAAAAGCCTTTGTTTCCTCCCAACGTTCCACGTTCTGCGGTAGAATGTCTAAAATTAAATTTGGATTATTAAAAAGTGACATCATCAATATCAGTAATGTAATAATAGTAATTAAGTAATAATATAGTAGATATACTACAGTATATAGTCTTACCAACAGCTTTCAATTTCGAAAGTTCATCAGCTAGTTCATTTACGGCATTTGATGACATTTTAGAGTAGATGTTACAGTTTGTAGAACTAACTCTTGTCAATATACTGTGTATTAAAAATTACTGTCTTACAGTAAAATGTTATCACCCTGTACGAGAATCCAGAACTCCAGACCAAATGTACTATTAAAAACCAAAATTCGGAGACTTTTATCGTGGAACTGACGTCTCCTACTCGACGGTGAATGCGTTGTGTGCATGTTATTCTGAGGCGGGGTTAAGCCCTCGAGACGGTGCCGTGATTTGTGTCCCAGGATTACGGTCCTCAAATAATATTGGCCCAGCATAAGACACCAATAACGACTATACAAATAAGATGGCCTCAGGGCTTGAAGCGCGGAATTAGGGCACGTCTGTCGCGTGGCTCAAACAAAGAATGGCACTTGAAGAAACATGCATGACATCAACGTGTTTAGCGTTTATTTCGAAACAGTTATTAAAATAGTATAAAATGGACATTCTCCCTGACGTCATAAATTAAAGTGTAGTCCGTCAATCAGCGTTGGGCCGCTTCCCGCCGCCTGCGGTCGCATAACCGTTTGTGGAAAGATTGAGCAAGTGAATTGACAATGGAAATGAGGAAATACAAGATCATAAGTGTGACTCCATATGTGATGATGGTTTGGATAAGCGATTGACTCTGAAAGTTCAAAATTTTAAAATCACATGATAAATAAAATTTTAAATTGTCTCTACCAGGGGCGGGCGGGACTTTTGGTCTGGGGGTCGATAAAATCGGCACAGGTATCTGTGCCGATTTTTGCCTAAATTTTTTTTCCAAAAAATCCAGTGTTTTTCTTTTTTCCAAAATCCATCTCTTTTTTCTGGGGGCAGGTCTCTACGTTTTATGAGTTATAAAAACACAAAAAGACATATCATCAAAGTTTTTCTATTCAAAAAATATTTTTTAAACATTATTAACCAAAATAATAACTACTTACCTGCTCTTCTACTGGCTCTCCAGGGTTTCTGTGCAACTTCCGTTTTTGTTCTTGCAAAAACTTGTAAAATGGAGCTTGTAGGTCTTCTCCGTACTTCGGAATCTTCTTCAAAAGATTCACCAAATCTTCAACGTGATGCTCGCTGAATGTTACAATGACAAACAACATCTGAAACACAATTATTAGACCTTTACTTATTACAGCAAAATAACATTTCTATTTGTAAAACTTTAATAAAAACCCATAAAAAGCAATATTCTCATCCCGTTAGTAACGGGCCTTACCTGCACATGCATCTTGACAATAGCTTTGCCAATTAAGGTAGCTCCAAAGAACGTCCAAAAAGGAATCAGTGAATGTCCACAGATCATACCCGCAAGATCGAACAATGGGTTCGGAATTGAAGCAAAGATCAAGATACCGAAGAATCCAACACGAGTCACTAATTGTTCCGTCCAGAGCTTTAGTCGGTCAAACAATGACTAAAAATGGCATACGTCAACACATTAACCATAATATTTATGGTCGTTAAACTAATCAGGCTACCGATTCCAAGACAATTTGTCAAAGAGTACATAGTCATACCTAAAATATTTAACAATAACAACAACCTACCAAGTCTTGTGGATTTTGCCGAACTTCTTCCTGGAAGGCCACAAACTCTTCTAAATCTTCATCATCAGGTACATGGCCACTTAGTCTAGCACTTCTGGCCATAAAATAAGGTGGAAGTTCTCCAATCGCGGTTCCCATTCCCCAAAACAACGCTTCCCACCTTACTTTACTGACAATAGCCCACAAGGTAATAGGAAAAGCACTACGAGATCCATCAGTTGGGCAGGTAATTCTAAAATTAAAATTTGTTACCTAAAAATACGTTTTCAACAAATTCAAATAAAAAAATGAAAAACCAGCGAAACTTCTGATTATATTTAGAAAAAACCTCAGTCTTTCTAAAATTTATAAAATAGTTGGAACTTTTCAACCATTGTTACCTAAAAGTAAATAACTTACTCGGATGGATAAGGAGGTTCAGGAAAGTCCAAAGAGTTACATTCATAAGCAGCCAATGTGACTTTAGCGATATGTGGACCCAAATAAATTAAAAATGTGTGCAGTCCAGACCCAAAACCGACCGAAGACAAAACACCAAGACCAATCCACCAAAGATACCATAAAACTGTCTTCTCCATCGCTTGAATATGCTCTTGATGTGGGCCTGGTGTCACATATCCGTAAACACTCAAAGCTAGCAGTAAAACAACAAATGAGACCAATACTAAGTGATGAGTCAATCTGAAACAAAATATTAATGTTAATTGAATTAAAAAATGCCTTTTTGATAATTTACATTGTATTTTCAAAAAGTTCTTAAGCTAAATAAGCAAACAGATCAAATCAGTTTAATATTCTACCCTATAAATCTCCTAGACACCTTCAAGACCATATTACATCTAAAAATGTTTCCTCGGCCCTTGAAAAAATCCTAACAATACCTTTGTAAGTTTTTTTAAGTAAAATGTGTCAAAAAAACAGTTTTTTTTAACTTACTCATATAACAGATCAAAAACTTTGGCAATAACTTCTCTAATAAAATAATAAAAAGTCAAGAACGGTCTTTTGAAGAAGACGATGCCATCTCGTTCGTTCCGCTCCTCCAACCTCCGCAACTTCTGTTCTTCCATCCTCTGTTCTCCCGTCCTCTGCTGTTTAGTATCCTTCCTAAACATGAATAAAACAAAAGAATGACAAAAACTCACTTTACAGAAGTTGCTTTAGAGGCTGCGTTCTTTGGGTGCTGCACTTTTTCCGCTTTTTTCGGTGTTTTCTTATCAACCGTTTCACTCTTCTTGCGCGTTCTGACCATATTAACCTACAAGAATATAGATGAATATTTTTAATAATGTTAAAAAAATAAAAAAAACTACAGATCCCGATCATCACTTGATCTTTATGTCTAGACTCAAAGCATACGTAAGGTCATGAAAAAATTCGCCAGACCGCCACGAATTTATTTTTTTTCAAATCAATATTTGAGACTCGTCTTTGACACTTTGTTGTATATTTAATTTGTTATGAAACATTTTTTAATATAACAATTTTATGGTCTTACAAGGTTTTATTCACTAACTTTCTATTTGACTAAAAATATTTTGGTTAGTATAAACAACCTTGTCTTTCAATCTTGTACTACTTTTTTAATTTTCGCTTTATATTTCTCCTGCATCTACAATACTCTTAAAAAAGCTTGCTACACCCGCCTACAACAATACAGTCAAAAAGTGTAAACAAAAAAAAGTATTTTAAATAATAATTTATTAAAATTTACAAAACTCATATTTACATTATCTTATTAACACGTCTTATTGTCTAAATTTGCAATTCAGCGTCTGTGCATCGTGAATGTCCAAGATGTCGCTCTGTAACCGAATCTGGTCTTGTGGTAGAACAGAGAGAAGGTCTTGATCTAACTGAATGGGACCTTCATCTCCACTGCCTTCAATCAGTTGATCTTGGAAGGGATCTTCTGTTATCGTGGTCTTATCGTGAGTCTCCTTGCTGATGTTACAATCGATGGCTCTACACGGAGCTTTAGTAGATGGTTGTTGGGTAGTTGTATCTACTTGTGGCATGTTGTTTTGATTGGTGAATATTTTGCTGAACTCTGATAAGGCCTGCATCTCGACTTCTTCTGCTGATCCCAGCTTGACCAGTTTCTCAGCTTCCTTGATCTTCTCAAAGTCGATTTCTCTTGCTTTTTCCATGTCTACAACGATGGTTTTGGAAGCATGTGTAGCGTTGTTTTTGGTATTTGTGGAATCTTTTGTTGTTGGTCGGTTAATATTGCCTAAGGGGTTTGGCAACACATTTTCCCGTGCCAATTCTTTTAAGGTGTTGATTTCGCTTTCCAAGTCATCTACTTGCATGAAGGGTTGAGTTTGTACTTTGACATCTACTGGGGTTGGTAATCGACGGCGAGTTTCATTCAAACTAGAATGTATTAACATAACGATATTTACAAATGAGACTGTGAAGATATACGAAAACAATTATAACATAAGTTCAAGCTACCTTTCTTTAGTGATGACAGTAGCGAATACACTTTGTTCGATCTCTCCTCGTCGTCTGATATTGAATTTTTCTGAAATATCTTGTTTATTTATGGTACAACTGATTTTAGTTGGCATCCTACGGTAGTCTTTACCACATTTCACTTACTGTGTTTTTCTTGTTGTTTGAAGGTAACCAAAGGTTGTGAATCATCATTGGTTACAGGCAACGGCCTCAACGCTACGGGGAATCCTGATTGACGCTTGGATACTTTAGTTTCGTTTCTATGACATTTTGGTGGCTAGAATTTGGATTTAAAATAAAATGGAACATTATTTTACATGAACTTTCTACATATAAAGTGCAAAAGGTGCGGAATAGCAAGTCTGTCTTATAAAACCTTAAAGTAAATAGTTTAAAACAGGATTATCTTACAATGATTTCGTCGCATTCAGTCATAAGTTTGTCGCAGAACTTGATGTCGCATTGTATTCTAACTTGTCTCGAATCGGGGAATCTGAATGCTACACCGTCAGCTACGGCTTTCATTGGGGATAGATAAACCACGTCGGAGAACAGGGTTGGTTCAGTTGAACATCTGTAACAGTGTTGTTAAACCCAACCATAATATATGGGTATTCTACTTTTAACAGTATTGGAAGTACCATAAATGGCTTCAAATATTACTGTAGACTTACCCGTTTTGGTCGATTAGGCGTTTGGAGACATTGGTCCGAAGGTCAATCAGATCACATGAGTGTACGAGTATGTTTTGATAAGCATCGAATTTTTCTAAAAATGGAATTTTAAATAATTTGAAGTGAATTTTGAAGTAGTTTCGTCATAAGGCTTACCTGCAGAGCATTCAAACTTATGTTGTACCAATTCTCCAAGGTATAGTACCTGGTTCGGGATACAAACGTCTTTTTGTCGTCTTTCTATTGCCTCGATCATGTATTTACATGGTAACGTTTGGTCTGTTGTTCTGGAAAAATGGGATTTGTTTATATTAGCTCATGATATGTGACACTTACTCGTTCTTTCGTTGAGTATGTTCTTTGATAAGGTCCCAGTCCAAACTGTGAATCTCGTTTTTGTCTTGATAGAAACAGTGAGCCTTTATCTTCCTGTCTTTGGCCGTTCTATACTCTGGGTGGAATTGTAGTACGAGTTCTGTCTCAAATGCTTGACCTTTCGGATTTACCTAAATGTAGTCATCATTTCAAAAACCAAGAAGTCGCGTTTGGTGGAAGAGTAGGAAGTAATCACATTACAAGACTAACAAAAAATTTAGTCAAACTTACCATGAACTGATGGTTAATATTGCATTCTGTCAACGGTAGATTCAATTGAAAGTCGGTTGAGTTTGGTTGAATGAAGCAGCCATCAACCTGACTCTGTCCATCTACATATAATTTTCCGTAGAAGTCTTTTTCCATTGTGACGGATACCTAAAAGTTTACTGTATTACGTGGCTGTAAATTTATTGTAACGTTAAAGAATTTTGTATACTAAGTTTTACGAGCGAGCGTTTTAAATAATAGTCAATAGCAGTAAGGTATTCTTGAGTAGGAGTATGTTTACCTTGATGCTATCAGTCAAACATTCGATTTCAGCACCTTGTTCTCCTCTCAGAAACTCGCATTGTTCTCCGATAGCTGCCTTTCTGAATGTGTCTATGAATCGGTCTACTGTAGCATCCATAGTCAAGTTATCGAATGCTTGTTGTTTATCACCAGTAATCAGCTCAAGTTCTTCAATGTTGATATGAGGTCCCACTCCTAATGCCAATATGTTGATTCCTGCATTCTTAAGCTTCAACGCTGGCTTCAGAGGCTCATCGTGACTATGACCGTCGCTTACGATGACGGCTATCTGTAAAGTGACTTCACGTTAAGTCTATCTTTCTATCATCTCTTTTCGACTGCCATAGTTTATCTATTGGCTTAAAAATTTTACTTTATAAAAATTTATATTGTTGTATATATTCTCTATTACCTGTTTAACGCCCTTCTGGCCAAATCTACTGCCAGACCCTTTGCTGGTGAACACGCTGAGAGCTTTGTCCAAAGCTTTACCGGTTTTTGTAGTGCCTCCACGGTGTTTTAGTTTGCCAACAGCTTCTCTCATTCCTTCTCTACTTGAATATTGTTTGAAAGGAAACTCTAGATAGGTGTAAGTCGAGTACTGCATCACAGAAATTTGTGTATCTTGAGGGCCAATCTCGGCTATGCTGAGTATCCTGTTTAGTACATCAAGTTGTCTGTCAAACGTGGCGCCACCAACCGAGCCTGAGCCATCCAAAATGAACATCAGATCTACTGGTAGGGCTACCGAACGGCATTCTGAAATTAAGTGTATTGAACTCCATAGCTATTGTTATCATAACCTCGCAAAGAAAGACGGCTTACTTCTGGCCATGGAATTGTCAAAATAGTCGATGGCATTTGCGGAACTAATTAGCAAGAGTAATATTACAAACAACATTCTACAAGAATCCTGTATTCCTGACGCGCGGAACGTCGCCGGCGCAAAAATCGAAAGTCAATAGGAAGAAAAACGAGTAGATGCCGCCCTTTCCGGTATAAGATACTTGTTTTCTTTTGATAAATACATGACATTACTCTCGATCCCCTTCCAACTGGATATTTATGATGTTCTTGATCAAATGCGCAAGCTTTTACAGGCTCGTAGCCCGTAAATCTCGGTTTAGAACATTGTTTAGTACACATAAACTAGCGGTGAAACAGCGAGGTGATTACTGTAGCCACCTTCGTTAAATATAGTAAAAGGATACGATAATTATTATATAGTACGTCTAATTTTAAAGTATTCTTTCGTTAAATTTTCAACTCGTCGTATACGTTCACTTTAACCTTTCTGTAATTTTCAAAGTTTATTCTAAGTACATCATCGCTATTCTGTCCCTAAACCAGAATAAATTCAGCTAAACAAGAAGGATAATACTGGAATATTATCACAAAACAACAACCTTTCACAAAATTGGGCGTAATTTATATAAAAACACGATTAAACTTTACAAGATTCGAGTACAAAATATGGACGGGTGAGGAAGAAGTCAAGCTATAAACTATGGAGTTGATCAATATTCGTTGACATTACCATCTAACCAGTAGTACAAAGTAGTAGCTATAAAAAGAAAACGGCCTTTCCAATATAAAAAATTATAATATTACAATAAAACCCGCATTCATTATGGTGAAGGACGAATGATGTCGGTTCACGGTGAGCCTCATTCCTTTTTCGTGTCGTCTTTAATGGCGGCCGCTGGCACCATGAACTCTGATGGAGGAGCATCGTCACCTAAAACAACATACATATTATTCAAAATAGTACAAAATAAATATAAGCAATATCATTTATAACTTGAGAATACCTACCGAGGGTTTGAGCTGAACTCTTGTCTTCGACGGATTCTGGCGACTGTGACGGTGTCACAAAATCTTCTTTGCTCTTCTTCTCCTCCTCTTCTGACTTCTCCTCCTTCTTGTCAGTGTCTTCGTCATCTATTTCTTGAATGTCATCAGATTCGTGGGAATGACTGTCACCTGCATCATCCAAGCCGTAGTCATCCATTCGTCCTATCAATTGCATCGTGATTTGCTGTTGAATGCTTTTCAGAAGTTCGGCTTCTGAGTTCGGCATACTTCCACCTGGGGGTTTCTGGTACAGTTCTCCAAACTCGTGCTCGTCAACAATCGACTTGCGTTTCACTCGTTCCAGGTATTCTTCAGGTGTGTCACCTTGCAACAGACAAACTAATACTACTGTCATGTTGTCACAGCCAACTCCGGTCATCTCGCAGTCTGGAGCTAGGCAACGGTTCAGCAATTCTTCGCAGATCTAAATAAAGGCTTTATATATAATAATAATAAAAGGTAAAAGATAAAGGTAACCAATACATCTTATAAATCACAAAATACTAAACTTATTTAAAAAAAGAAGATAAAGCTGAATTACCTTGTCAGGAGTGACTCCTGAAGCCAATCGGTTTCGTACAAACCAAACCACTTGCTCATTTGTCAAAACGTCCCAAACACCATCACAAGCGAGGACAATAAATTCATGGTCCCGTGTCAACTCAACTTCAACTACATCCGGATATGCTAAACGAAAAATTAGATAACTTTAACCTTAAAAATCCTGTTTCTCATTAAAGTAGTACAAAAAATATACCAAATAAATAAAAACAGCCGTACCTGTAACAACTTGTTCCTCTGGTTTAATATGTTCTCCAGTCTTGAAGATAAAATCACCAAGAGCCCTAGATAAAGCGAGATTACCATTAACTCTCCCCGCTTCGACCCATCCACCGGCAGCGACGATACGTTGTGTTTCCTCGTCATTCGTTGGTTTGTGATCAAAAGACAATGGAATGGCCTTTCCTTGTTCACACAGAACTGCTCTCGAATCTCCAGCGTTTCCACAGTAAATCTTGCCGTCCTTGATCAGTACTGTAACAGCCGTCGTTCCTGACATTTGTTCCTTCGTCTCTTCATCGTTCCTCAGATCTTCGTCAATCTTGAGGAAACCGTTTCGGATGGCCGAGGCAATATCGCCCTTAGCTAAAACGGAATTGTTATGAAAGTTACATTAAAAGCTTAAACATACAGTCCTAGAATCAAATACCTTCAGAAATATATACGTTGTCTAAAAAAGTGTAATAATGCTGTTAATAAAACTTTAGGTAAAAACTATTAACTTACCGAAATCCTCGTTTCCAACCACACGTTTGTGTAAATGCATTCCAGCAAATTGGGCAACTCGTGCACCACCATGGCCATCATAAACGGCAAAGAAAGCGGCTTTTTCATCATCAGGGCAACTCAAGAGTTGTGTGTGAGAATCTTCCATAGCTAAAACATCACATTAAAACACAATTTTAAAACTCTTCATATTAATTTTTAAGACAAATTATAAATGCGTTATTAATTTCTACAAATCAAGAAAGCCGTACTTTATTATCATGTAACATTAGAAACTTATCAGATGATCCGAATCTGTTTATAAATAAAAATTCAAAGAAGTCAGCAAAGAAACTTACAAATTCTCCATCCTTGCATAGCACAAGAAGCAACATTGTACAGCTTGGATTGGCATACCGACGATTCCTTCGTCGTAACCGGCTCACTGAGTGTTTGTCCCATTTGTCTGTAAAATATAGTATTAATACAATTTAGAAAGAAACAAAACGAAAAATAATGCAACGTAGTAAAAAGCAATGTTAAAATAACCTCTAATAAAATATCAAAATAAATCATATTTTATTTACAAAATGTTGTAAATTATAGCTGTATAAAATAAATTTTAGATAACAATGATAAAAATTTTAACGTTTCAAAAAGCAGCTATTATTTACTCCAAAAAACACGCTGTTTCAAAGCAAAAAAAATAAAAAATTCAAGCTGAATATTGTTAATACAAGTCACTAAACACAAAAAGCAAGAATTAATCCCCCTTTCCTGACAAAGTCTCTTCATAAACTTGCGCCAAAGAAAAAGCCAGAGCTTATGATGCCAAAAAATGTGATAATTAACATTTTAAACGCCAATTTAAAATCTCAACATATTTAAAGTTAGTAAGATGAAGAAAAATAAAATGTAATATTGACAACAATATTATATTGTTATCGAGAAAACGATCTTTGCACTTATTTTGTATCGTGAATCAACAATCAGACTCCAATTTTGATGTTCTCAGTTTTGACAAAATGCAAACTAAGCTTAAAAATATATCTAAAGGATAATTCAAGAAATTTTTAAACAAATTAATTTTAAGAAATAAGAAAACGCATATTACCCATGATGAAAAACAGCCAAACCTTATGTTTTTAACAAAATTATAGAAACCTTATAACATTTACATCTCAAAGGCTACCTTTTTTTCTTGTTAAATAATTTAAATACATCCAATTTACCAAAAACACCACAACAAATAACCATAATGTTATAAAGCAACCAATTGTAAAAAATCAATGATTGAAAATAAAACTTTACAAATTCAATAAAACACATAAAAACGACCTTCAATTGTCCCCACAATTGTCAAAAATTGATAACGAAACACTCAAAATCGATTATATTTTCCAGGGCGCAAGCAGAAAACAACAGGATTTTGTAATACCTTCACCTTCCAAAAATCAATCCCGAACTAAAACAAATAATTGAGAAACACGCAGTTTCTGATTCACAATTGGATGAATCCCAACACAAAGCCGTCTCCGAAAATCAGTCAGATGCTAAGAAAGCGCCATTTTCCGAAAAAAATTCGGCCTAAATTAGAATGAGTCGAGTGTTGCTCTCAGGTGGCGAGACACGGGACCAGACTTGACTCTACAATATTTTGTCGTGTCATTTTGGAGTGATTTTTTGATGTAGCCATTTTATGGCCTGTTAGATTCTTGTGGTAAAGCATTGACATATTTTACTTTTTGAATCACGTTTTATTTTTGTTGAATTATATGATTTATGAAATTACTTTAGTTAACATTTAAAACTCTTTTCAAAGGTATTTAGAATTAGAATTTGTAGGGTTTAAGCGGATTGTGTAGATGTAATAGTCTTTGTTAAAACAAACTTTTTAATGTAATTGATTCTTGTTTTATGTAATCTGTTGCTAATGTTCAATTTAATATTAAACTCTTAACTTATTGTAATTGAAAATGTCAGACGAGATATTATCTTTTCTACGAATTTACATGAATTTTTGTGACGTGGATTCTAGTGCAAGTCTATTTAGTTTTGTGGATTCGAGTTAGTTATAGTTATTCGAATTTCAGGGAGTTCCTTTGGCTTGATGGTAATATAACAATGATATGGAAAAGGTTGGTAATATTGTTTTCCTTGCTGTTGTTGGCATTGGCTCAAGACCATGTTGATTTGGGAGATGTGAAGGTGAACGAGGAGAAAGGAACTAATCAGACGGGTACAAAGAAAGATTTGGTAAATTCTTGCTTTGTTTTTTTTTGTTTTTAGGTAACAAGTGTTTTATTGGGAAATTGTTATTGTAATTGCACAAAAAATTTTTAAAAACTCTTTTAATTAAAGTTTAAAGCAATGTGGTATAGAATACCGAATTTCAGACTAACATTACTTTTTACCATGCTTTCGTCGCTTCGTTGTCAGTCATAATTGTCAGTGAGATTGGCGACAAAACATGGTTTATCGCCGCGATTATGGCTATGAGGCATTCGAGAATGGCTGTATTTATAGGTGCTATTGCAGCTTTAGGATTGATGACAGTTTTGTCAGGTAGGCAGAAATTTAAAAAAAGTTTGAAAAAATTATTTGTTTTAGGTAATAAAAGTAAAAATAGTTTTATAGGCATTTAGCGTACTAGTCTTTAAAATACGTCTATAAATTTAGCTTACCTGGGTTGGATCACGCAATTAATACCAAGAAAGTTTACTTTCTACATTTCTACGGCTTTGTTTGCTTTCTTCGGGTTGAAAATGCTTCATGAAGGATATTATATGAGTCCAAATGAAGGTCAAGAAGGTTACGAAGAAGCTCAAGCCGAAGTTCAGAAGACTGACGCTGATTTGGAGACGAAAAAGTTTAGCGATTTGGAATCGGGAGGAAGTGCTGAAGTGTAAGTTCTTTATGTTATTTTAGGTACTAACTTTACTTTTTATAGATGGCAGATTTAATATTAAGACTTTTGTACTTTTAAAAGATTGTATTTTAGTAGTTCAACGTGGAAAGTGCTGTCATTTGTATCAACGATATTCATTAAGTCTTTTACATTGACGTTCCTCGCTGAATGGGGCGATAGGAGTCAGCTGACGACAATTATCCTTGGAGCTCGTGAAGATGTAAAGGGAGTGATACTGGGTGGAGTGCTGGGACATGCCATTTGCACGGGTATTGCTGTCATCTTCGGTAGATTGCTAGCACAACAGATCTCAGTCAGGACAGGTAACCTTTTTAAAATTATTTTTATCTAAAAATGGATAGGTCATTTTTAAATGTAAAATTTTTTTATTTTGTGAATTTGTTTTGACAATATTAAATGCTACTAACCACCTACTTTCAGTGACTCTAATTGGCGGAGTAGTGTTCATAGGATTCGCTCTCTCGGCTCTTTTCTTGGATATCGAACCAGAGGCATAAATACGACCGGTATATTTACAGTTTCTACACAAGTGTAATAAATTATCGTCTAGACTAATTTTGTAGTCTTTCACTGTTTTTATTTATTTTGTTATTTATCTATGGTAAGTCTTTTTGTACCAAACTTTACTTTATGTCATGACAATTCATTTGTCGGTGATTACCGCTGTTATCTTTAAGCTTTTACTATAGTAATAATGCTAATTGAGTAAATATAAAAAATTGATATCTTGTTGATGTTTTCTAACCAAAATGAAGCTTTTAAATATCAGAAAAGTTGTTTTATATTATATATAATGTGTGATATTATTGTTTCCGACAATATAAAAATTTGTTTAAAAATTTTATGCTTAAAAAGAGGCGTTTACACATTATCAGCCAATTTTCACACTTGGTATAACATTTATTTGTTACAATGTGTTGTCTGAGACGACACATTTTGTATATTTATCCCCTTAAAGCCGGACAAATTAAATTTGGGATGCTTCGGAAGTTCTGATTGAAGCGTTGAAGCCACAAACTGCCAAAGAATTATAAACTCTTGGCTTCGAAACGTTGCGTTTTATGGAAATTTTAACAACCTTGTTTTGAAACATGGTTTATATAATAAACAAAAAATAATTTTTTTGCTCCAGGATGTTAATGTTGTTTTTGAAAGTAAAAACAAGCCGGAAGTTGAAAGTATCTTACCACTGTTTACATACTATGGTTTTGGGATAACACAGTCGATTGTCACCTCTTTTTGTGGTGTTTGAAGTTTGATTGAATGATTAATTGTACGAGCGAGCGCGAAATGATTAACACCCCTAGGGAATCATGCATTTCGCTCCATCTTTATGCATCGTATTTGGTTTTTTTTCACCCGTACTCGGCCTGATTATCTTATTTTTGGACCGTCGTATCTTCTGTAATGTTATATCGTTTATATTAGATTAGTGTCAATAGGTACAGTAGGTACAATAACTAAATACCTTTTATGTTGGCATTATAAACGAGCCACGGTCTAAAAATGAGCAAATTTGGTTCTTTTTTGGGAATAAAATACGAAGCGCGAACTCATACGAACATAATTTAACTCCTGCCCGGGGAAAGGGGGGATTTTGGCTCTTACTCTCGACTGTCTTCCTCTCGCTTTTTTAAACAATTTTAAATTTTTTAAATTCACAGGTTCTCAGAGAAAGAATTGTTCCGACTCTCTTTTATGTTTTTATAACAAATTGTCGTATTTCAAAAATAATTCTTTCCAATACTTTTCATCCAATTTGGATTTATTCTGACGCTTTTATTTGTTATATTTTGTAAAATATATTCATGCTTTTTTTACTTATATTTTCTATTCAAATTCTGTTCACAAAAATGTCGGAACGTTTATCCGGAAAGAGTCCTGTTACCAATATATTGTTTTAGCGGAAACGAAACAACATAAACCTCTGGCCTACATTCATTCACATGGGGTCAGGACGATTAAATGGGCAATGAAAACTCCAGCTCCAAATCTTTTGATTTCAACGCCAGCTCGGCAGACGGGGTGAGTAATATAGGGCTCAAAACTCAGTGTTAATTATCTTTACTAAACGTTAGAACACAAGCTTCTGTTTTTGAAATCGTACTATTGAGTATTTCAGTTGTTAACTATCTTGTACATAAGGTGGCTTACGTGTATTGATATGTTATTTACAGGAAGATGACATCGACCTGTCGGTCCCGGCTAAAAAGCGTAGGCTACTACGCGGTAGTATTTCCTTGCGATCTATTGCTTCGCTAGCCAGCTCTGCTTTATCATCAGACCAAAAGTCTACAGACACAGAGAAGACTTCAAGGAAACGGAAACACACGGCTATACCACAATCACCATCGACTCAGAGCAGTAAGTATAACATATCAGAAGCATTACTTTTTTATAGTTAGAGAGTAATTAAATGTAATATCTGATAATGATAAAGACAGTACTGTATTTTCAGTGGTTTTGGGGTATGAAAGACATTGGCCTGGTCTGATGGGCCATGGATTTGAGCCTGAATTCCCATGGCGTAGCGATGTAACAGAGAGCGATTTTCTGGTAAGTTGTCAAATTTGCATATTTATCTTTCGTCTTCATGAGAGAAGCACTGTATACGTTAAAATTTGGGCTTTAACCAGAACATTTAACTAAATAAAATAAAAATATAAACTTTTCTAGCCAAAAACAGAGACATCCAAAAAGGTTTTTATAAGCACGTAAAAGTATATAAAGTTTGACGATAATCTAGTGCTTTTTCAGTTTTTGAATTCAGTAGGGAACGGTCGTTTTGGGAATGTGTATCGAGCTTCCATCAGATCCAAACCAAGCCAGCAAATTGCCCTAAAAGTACAAAATAAGTCTGACATATTAAAAGCCGAAGCTGAGGAACAGATTTGTAATGAAGTCAAGGTTCTGGTATGTTTTTGAGCACATTTCTTGACGTTCTAATTAGTTCATTAGTAATACTTACCTAAAATCATTTTAGAAATCATTAGGAAAGCACAAATTCATAGCGGCCTTTCTGGATTCCTGGCAGACCCAAACCGAACTGTTTACTGTAATGGAATATGTTGATGGTTACGGTGACCTTTTCACTTTATGGAGCGATTACGGCCAATTTTCTGAAGAGCTAGTGAGATTGTATGGTGTGGAATTGGCTTTAGGATTAGGTAACTATAATAGTTATTTTGTGTCATTAATTGAATCGATTAGTATAAAATGACATTCATCATTAAAAACTTGGTATTTTAGATTACCTACACGACAACAGCATCATTCATCGTGACATCAAAATGGAAAACATTGCTTTGGATATCAAAATGCACGTCAAATTCGTTGACTTTGGTTTTGCCAAGTTTTTGGCCCAAAAAGACCGAACACATACTATATGTGGTACTCTACAGTACATGGCTCCCGAGATTGCCAGAGGGCGTCCTTATGATCTGGCAGTGGATTGGTGGAGTCTGGGAGTGACATTATATGTGATGAGAACAGGATCGTATCCCTTCCCTAACAATAATGCCTTAAATCACCATGAGCTGGTGTTCGAACATAAGGAGTTTCCAGAATCTTGTACTCAAGAGTTCAAGAGTCTGCTTAAACGGGTATGTTAATCATGTGTATAAATGTAATCCATTTTCTGTCTCTTTATTGTATAAAAATGTGTTATAGATGTTGGCATTAGATCCGACTCAACGATTGAGAAATTCACAGAATCTGTTTACGCAAGAATTCTTTCATAACGTCAACATTGAAGGCATCTACCATCAGAATGTAAGTACTACATCAGTGTAGAAAGAAACATTTTCACATTAAACTTAAAATTTTCAAAATTTACTACAGTAACGTAACATCTAGTCATACTAATAACACTTTTCGTGCAGGTATGTCCTTGGGAATTGTTGAAAAACGAATGTAAAACTAGAAACTACGACAGCCAAGATCAGCCACAGGGTGGATATTCTGAACATTACTCACGGGTTTTCTCCGGGTTTGAAACTAACTATAACTCAATGGAGACTGATTAGTATTCTTGTAATCCAACTCAACATATACGATGAAATAGGGACAAAAACTAGCCCTACGATGAACTAAATGGCTTTATATGTAACATATTACTGTAATAAGTGTACCTAAATACCAAAGCTTTAAGTATTGACCTACATATAGCAACATTTAGTCAAAAATAATGTTTTTATCAAAGTAACCTAGATCTAAACACCCACATATAACCTGAAATGGTAACAAAACTACGTTGTAGTAAAGTCCGTCCATGTAATCTCTGTATATTGTTAAATCCTTGTAAATCGATATACTGTAACTCTTTAAAGCCTTGTATTGAGGAATGCCGGTCATAATAAATACATTTGTATATTTGTTTCGAAGGTAAACGCCTAATGAAAACCGGCTACAATAACACGAGTAAGACATTACAATATAATAAACAGTTAAAACATTGTACCAAGTTTTAAAGTACTAAAGCTCGTTTTTCATTTTACTCTACGAAAAACTGGCGAAACTACTTAAAACTTACTACAATAAATAAAACAAAAGGTTAAAATTGCAGTTAGGATAACATTACAAGACTAAATACCTGCATCAAGCTTTAGACAATATAAATTGAGGCATAACGTTAGGCAAAGAAAGTAAAACTCTTTAAAAGCGTAGAAAGAGATCGCGTGGTCACGTTGGACGAAAAAACACAAAATCCGAGACACCGTTCTCCACCTGGCCCTCTTCTGAATCGCTGTACTCGTACACATCGTCGTCTGACATTGAGGACTGAAACATTAGGTATTACATTTTGAAATTTAGTCGGTACTGGTACAAGAATTCAATCAATATCAAGAAAAGAAATAAAATTACATCATTTTAGGTAACATAATAAATTTTCAAACCTTCTGACCGTTTGTAAACTAAAAATTATTGTGTTTTCCTTATGTATTGGCCATGCAAAACAACGAAAATTGAAAGTTCATCGTATAGACCACATACTACTTACCTGATGACTGGTTTGATGAGGAACCGAATTGAAAGCTTTCTTGTACTGTCGGCTGAGCTGTGTGCTGGCTCTGTGCAATTGGAAAATGTTCTTCTTGTTGAGCTTTAAAGCGTTAAAGTCCGGGTTTGAGTATCGGCGCATTTTAGACGGTGGACGTTCAGGTTGAGGCTGTTGTTCGTCCATTTCATCAAAAATGGCAGCAGCTTTTGCCTCGTCCGCGTTAGTAATACGTCCTGGGTCCTGCAACAATACGTTTTTACTAATTTACATGACCTAACATTTTTTAAATCAACACAATATAAGTTACCAAAATCCTGTCACTCAAAACAAGTTCAAAACATATTAAACTAAACATACCTTGACCCATTTTTCGAGCATCAATTCCCTCGTTTTTAATCGTTGTTTCGGGTATCGTGCTAACAGCTTCCTGAGTATCAATTTGGCCGACCATGAAACCTCAATCAGATAATCATCACCTAACGGCACTTTGGCTTGGAGAATCTGATCAAACAATTCACCTTGATCATCGTTTTGGGTAAAGAATGGCGGGAAACCAGCTAATAACAAGTACATAATGATACCTGACGACCAGCTGTCGCATTCAAAAGAATACCTAAAATATTAACAATAAATAACTAAATTGATATTACTGTATTTTACAACAGAATATTACAAACGTAGTCCCGTTTAATACTTTTTTCAAATAAAAAAGACAGCATATTCAGCAATAACTCACCCTTCTTTAGCAACGACTTCAGGCGCTACATAAGTCGGTGTTCCACATACTGTAAACAACATCTGTCCTTTCTCAACCTTTGTAGCCAACCCCAAATCTGTCACTTTGACTTTGCACAGTTGATTCTCATCAAAGTAGACTAACAAGTTCTCTGGCTTGATATCACGATGCACTACATTGTTTGAATGCATGTATGCTAAAGCTGAAGCCAGACATGACATTACACTGGCACAGTTGTACTCATCCAGAACCTTGTTCACCTTCATGTAGTCAAACAGATCTCCATCAGGCATATACTCCAGTTCGATTACTTGGCCAACATTCGGATGTTCGTATGTTTTGAACATTTTTACTATTTGTTCACATCTTAAAGCCTTCATAAGCTCAATCTCACGGGCAACAAACTCTGTCATGTTGTCGTTCTTTAAAGCAATCACTTTGGCAGCGAATAGGCGGCCTTTCCTAAAATAATATAGAATAGACCACATCTTTTAAAATAATAAATGTTAGAAAATTTAAAGTTATAAAGTTAATTTATTTAAAATCACAAAGCATGAACTTACATGTTCCTGGCCTTGAATACTTCAGCACTATGTCCTCGACCCAAGAATCCAATAATTTCAGTATCTGGAAGTACCGGAATCTCTTCGCTTCTCGTGTTATTCAACCCATCTTGATCACCACATTCAGATGGCATAGATGACTGTCTGTTCCTCTTAACCTGACACCTATACCTGGTAACAGAAGGTCGTTGGAACGGTCGAGTAGTCTTATTTAATGTAGACGTCCATTTTGGCACGCATACTTGATCATAATTTAGTGGGACAAACTTTGTTGTGCTATAATTTTGTAGTTTTAATAATAAATAAGATAAATTTTAAGTTTAACACAATATTTTAGAAAAAAAGGTAATTTTTAAAAAATTTTTGGTACCTAATTTCAGTTTTTGAATCGTCAGCTAGTTAATTAAAAATGCACTTTTAAATTCTCTTATCAATAATCGTAAAAACCTACGTTTGAGCTAAAATTTGTTCTAAATTTTCGAATGAATCCATCCGAACGCCTTACTAAACAGTCAACTGAGAATGTACAAACAAAAGCCTCGTCCTTCCATTACTATTTACAAAACCTCAAAAAAGCTAAATTAACAAACTCAGCAGCCACAGAAGTAACTCTTTGACAAAAAATTCACGTTACTTAGTTTTTTGCGGTCTTTTCGATACTACCTATACTGAATTTATTATAAATTTAAGATTAAATCCTAGGTTTAAAAGTGTTAGAGGTTAAAGTAGTAATATTTTAAGTTTATTTTAATCCACTGCTATTTTAAAATAATATAATGTTTTGCCTGTTGTAATATGTTATTTCAATGTTACCAATATTCTGGTTTTTCAAAAAATTACCCTAGCTTTACCTTACCTTGCACAAACATAAGTTTCGTTATGTCTCATATCATCCAAATTCGTGATTAAACATCCATTCGATGAAAAGATATGTCTTGCTCCGTACAGTAAAGCAGCATGTCTACCGACTTTTGCATTTACATCCTCTAGGAAAGCGTCGAAGGTTTTGAAAGCTGCTATCGAGTATGCCACGGGCTAAAATTTGAATAAACATAAGAAAATTAACTTACTTTCGAAAAACGATCTCCATTAAAACACAGTCGTATCCTTTTGCCTTGAATCGGGAAGTACATATTGTACTGGCGAATTGATTTTCTAAAAAATAAATTTATGAAATTCCTTTTTTATCATGACTACAAACAGCATTAACAATATAAAAATTTTTGAATAAAAACGGAAATTGCTTTCTGTTCAAATAGTACAAAACTCATTTTTTAAACTTTAAGATATTACTCCTCAAAAATCAGTCTTTCTGTCCAAACTTGCCTCGCACTCCTATTAGGAGCATATCCGGCTGTTTTCGGCACCGTGCTGGCATTGTCGCGACCGTTGATCTCCTTGAACGGTAAGCCAGATGCCGTATTCGGAGCCTCTCGACGTTTTCCCGGAGACCCTGGCGTGCCGTCTGAATCATCGCGGAAACAGACCCTGGCCGACATGGTGTCCAAATCGCGATCCGAGGCCACCATTTTCGCTGTCCGATCGACGGGGCGTGGCTTTTATCAGTGCTGATTGTTAAAAACAAGAGACCATGCCACCGGCTCGGAAGGCTCTCCGACTCGTGCCGATCAGTCCTGCAAACGAGCCACATTATTAAATAGTTTTGGCAGTTTTAAGTTGGAAACGCGTCTTTTCGAGGTGAGTGAACTAATGTTCGGATTTCTAGAAATTTAGTTACTATTAAGAAAAGCCTGAAAAGTTTAATACTTTGTAAAAAACCAAAGACAAAGCTATTTTAGATAACCTTTAATCGTATTCCTAAAAGTACAGTCCATAATCAACCTGGTTTTCAAAGATAAGTTTACTGCGGTGAACACTAGTAAAAAACAACTAAAATTCCGCATACTTCTTGACCAAATTATCTTTAAGAACTTTATGTTTCAATTTTAGAAAACAACAGTTTAATGAGCAAGTTTCCAATGTTTTAAAATATAAGGTTACCAAATTGTGACTAATTCATTCGAACGCTCAAAATGACCTGCTAAAACACTTTCAAATTTGGATCTAATAGTGTCTCCCGGTTTCTATGCTCTCCGTTCCCGACTTTTTTCAATCGTTGTATGAGGAAAAACGACCACAAAACAAATCGATTCCATGTGAGAGGCAAGAATTTGCATTCTCACAATCAACTTGGCTTCTTTTTCTGTTTTGAGGTCAAAAAAATTAATAGAATTCGGTCTGAAAAAGTAGGAAGAACGGTCAAAAGTCCCAAATTACAAAAAAAGTTCTCATTTACGAGCCTTCTACAAAATTCTTTGCCACTTTTTTTAGACTGCAGCTAAACTAGCGGATTACAACTCAAATTTAGCAATGATTACTATAACACGCGTCTTGCTTACTATCGTTAAAACTTTCATACTTGACATTCCAAACCCCGATCAGACTCTTCGTGATCACGCTCTCTCACACAAGATTAAGATTCGTTTCCGTTGCATAACGACGTGAAATGTTATTCACTGAAAACATTAGAGATTTTATGTTATTCATTAAAAGATTACAAGACTTTTTGTTTTTCACTAAAACAATGTAGAATCTGATATTATTCACCATCTTTTGTAAACCATACACTATTGTAGATGTCTCAAGATATGATTTGTAATAGAAAGTGAAGGAGGATGTTTCATAGATTGGTTATTTCATTTGTAATTAAAACCAACGGCCTCTGTTTCAGTTTGGTTATAAAAATGAATGTGTTATAACTATTTATCATATTTTAGACGTTCTCGTAGAAAACTCAAGCCAATTATTCTTTTTACAACCCTATAAAAGACCAAAATGAAATTTTGAAACCCGTATTTTCAAAAAACCACCTCTAAAACGCCCCAAAAGTTCTGAAATCCAATGCACGGTGCAATCTTCAAAATTTGATGAAGCACCGTGCAAAATGAAAAAGCAAATAATAAATATTTAAAACCCAGTAAATTTAACAATACATCTTCTAAACTAAACTTTAATCATTAGAGCTTTCAAGTTTACTATAAGTTAAGCAAACTTTAAATATCAAAAGATCGAATTCTAATCAACTTTAAGTATAAGTTAAGTAAACTTTGAGTACAAGCGAATCAAAAACGTTTAACTCCCGATTGCGCTAAAAATAATTAAAAAGAACAGTATTAAATGCTAGCGGCTGACCTCCAAACATGCTCGGAACACCCTCGCTTCTCGCGCATCCTTCTTTCCCCGAGGCAATTCGTTTCGAAAAGAGTGGACATTGAAACCCTCGGAGGTATATTTCTCGACTCTCGCGCAGCCGCCTTTAAGGCACTGATGCCGGCTACAAATCTCTAATACATCTCGCTTTTCATTAAGAAACCCCACGAGGGAAGGGGAGAACCCACGGTTGCGATGGAGACCAAATAACGCGAACAATGGCGAAAGAATCAGTTCTAACTCACGTTTATGTTTTTGTAGACATGTTTCACTTTAAAAACTTTGATAAGCTAACAATATCAGTCTAATGTGCAAATTTAAAAACTTTAAATTCCAACTATTGTTCCCCTATATTGTTTTAGATGGTTACATATACAAAACAACAAAACCTCTTTCGCGATAAAAACCCCTCGAATAACTAAATGTGCATATTAAAACATCATAATCGTCGTATCTAAACACAGTTGACTTCAAAGAAAAACGAGAACTCGGACAAGAAAAAAGATTCGACATTCTTGGTCTGAGATAAGGCAAAAAGCCAAAAAAGAGAACTTGGACATTCTTTTCGGGCATAGAATGTTCCGTTTCGCGACATTGTTACACATTTTTGCATAGAATAAGTATCAGTAAGTAGTTGAAAGGAAAAAACAAGCTCAAGCGTCTAAAAATAAGTTATATATAAGAATACCATGATTAGACAAAAGTCGGAAAACAGAAAATATAAATTTAGTTGAAATAAGTGAGTTAAAACAGTTTGCAAAACATTGTAAAACAAATAAAAAAATACCGTTTAGTTCATGTCTAAAATCTTTAAAAACCTATATTCATACAACTTATTATTAGAATTCCTCCAAACATAGTAAACGAAAAAAATAAAAAACAAAATATAAAACAAAATTAAATCAAAAAATACATACAACAATCACATTTCACAGTAAGTTGTTTTTAGATACAAAAATATCCAAAAAATTCCTCAAAAAATATTTTGTAAAATAAAAACGCGTTCCGAAAAGACTCTCGTATAAAATGTTGGCGCAGTTCGCAGTTTTTAGAAAGCCTGGGCGCAGTTTATCATAATTTTAATTGTCAAAACTTACAAAATTTTTCATAACACGCAAAAGAGCCTGGGGAGAGCCTTTTTCAATGCTTTTGTAGCCAATTAAGCCATTACTATTTACCCAAATTCTTCATTTTTCTATGTCAATATTGTTATTGTTAACTTTTGCTTGCTTTATTTTGTGTTTTTTTTGTATTGTTTACGTGATCAATGTTGAATATAAAAGTATAACAATGCTCTGTTGTTTCTATAAACAATGTTTTAATTATTCCAGGAAGAGATTTGTGGAGATCTCGAAAGATAACGAATCGGGAGCACCTTAACAAGGCGATTGTGTGACTTGGAAACTTTTTCGAAGTGATCGCATGGTTGCTTTTCTGGAATGAGTTCATTCGATTCGTCCGATGCGTTGCAGAGCACCACATTTAGCGTCCCAATCACATTGGTAGGTTTTTTTGCTTTTTGATGATGTTTAGGTATTCTTTGATGTTGATGCACTGAAGTTCTGTTTTGGGGAGAAAACATTGAAAACTGATTTTATTTTGTTCGTGCCTCACATTTGATGTTGGTTTTTAGGACCATGTTGCAATAAATATGGAAGAAAACTTAAACGAAGAACCGATACAGGAAAATAATGAGGAACAGAGAAGAGGAAGGTTTTCAAATGTTGTGGACAGAGTGACAGAAGCTGGGATTCCGTTGTCTGACGACGACGCAGCAACCCTGGTCGATCTTTTAGGGAGATTTTCATTGAATCGACAAAATGGCTTTCTAATATTCGTAAGTTTCGCTTAATATTTAATATAATTTTATAATATATAATTTCAGTTACCCGATTACCACGTACTTAATGTTATGATCACAGTATTAATTCTGTCTTTTCTGACCATGCTTCGATCAATCTACTTTAACGTTTATGAGATTATCATACTGGTGATGCATCTTTTATTTTACCGAGATTACGTTCAACTTACTGTTGTACCGACAAGACCATTTTGGAAAGTATTTATGCAGTTTTTCATACGATTTGCATTGTTAATGGTACTGGTTGACAATACGGAATTCTTCAATGTTATTTCGTTTGGGGTTATTGATACAGGTAGTTTGTTTCATGTTTTGTATACAATAACAGTGGCCAATTGCATCGTCATGGATGTTTGTCTGCTTATTGGATCTTTGGTAAGTTTTTTTGTATGAAAAAAGTTTATATACCTACAAACGAAGAATGCTTATATTTGAAGAAGGGTTGTTGGAATATTTTAATAAATCTTTCAAAGATTTTTAAATTTGGTTTAGGTAAATCGGATAGAAAAGATTGACAAGACAATCAGAGCCCAGTTGTGCAAAACGGTCGAGTACGTGTTCGTATGTTACTTATCGGTGATGCCAGTAATGCATTGGCAACGTTTCTTTGATTCCTTATGGCTTTTCACCCCCTACATATTATTAAAGGTAAGTTTTTGATCATTTTAGAAGTTTTAATAAATTTAGCTAGGTTTTACCGTGGTATGGTACTAAAAGTATTTACAAACGTACTATGTTTGTGTACACGGTTTATTTTATTGATATAATACGTAGATAGACATTGTCGTGTATTAACCTTATAATTTAGAGCATAATGTTCACTCGACTGACAATCCAAACTATAAGTTTAATAAAGCATCAATTACTATCTACGCACATTGGAGTCGCTGTATCTGCCAAAGACATTGAAGATGACAATTGTGCAATCTGTTTGAATACTATGACGAGTGGAGTTAAAGTAAGATGTTCACTTGTCGTATTCGTTGCATTCAAAGTTTAAAATATTTTTTTAACTTTTAAAATTCGAGTTTTTTAGAAGTTTTCTGGTGATGAAAAAATTTTTTTTGATGTAAGTCACATTTTCACATATTTCAGTTACCTTGCGGACATATCTTCGAAGAGTTGTGTGTACGAAAGTGGCTCGAGGAACGAAATGAATGTCCGTTGTGCCGAAAGACGGTTGTGCCAAACTTTACCAAGTACGACAGGGTACCAATGTTTCCTCCATACTTACTTTAAAACAATTTAAAACTTTCACAAACGGGTATATTATACACAATACGGTTATCATCAGTTGTACATATCGATGACAATTTACATTAATATTTCGAAACATTTACTACGGTTTTAAAATTTATGAGTAAACGGTGATCTTTAAAATTCTTTATATTTGAAGTCGAAACTAGAGTTGGTAAAAGATTACTCTGGATATCTACGATTACTCTAGAGTTTTGTATTGTTAATAAGATGTATTAAATTGTCGGCCTTTCATTGGCAGCTTGGATCTGTTATCAACCATAAGCTACCACAGGAAAGACGGAAAATCTAATTATCTAAATTAGTCTTAAAATTAGTATAAAACATGACAATATAGGAAGATAAATTTAAAAATAGATCTCATATCACTGCAATGTTATAAAACAGATACAAAAACTTGGGGTTTATATAGTCACTTTATAAACAAATTTTACGCGGAATAAACATTTCATCCGAGAATTACAGGATTGAAATTTAAGAAACTATTTTGATGACACATTAAAATAAGGATGACAAGGTTATGGATAAATAAATAAATCCGCTTTACTGGCACGGAATTTATTCTTATTTTCTGTTTGGTTATTTTAAACTTATTTGCTGTAGTTCAGATATTCATTTTTACTTTTTATTTATGGTTGTTTTAAATTCATTGTTTTTTATGCTTCGTCGGTCAAAAAGTCTGTGGAATTAATTTTAATTGTATTTTTTTGTGTTTGATATTTTACATTAACTTTTTATTATTACGTGTATTTGTAAAGTAATATAGTTGGATCCGATATTGATAGGAATATATCGACTGGTTTGATTTATCATATGCCTTAATTATAGTACGTTTTACAAATGATCAATTTCCAAATTCTTTTATGTTTATAAGTGTCATCAGGAATGCTCATCTATTTGAACAGATTTATGGCACTAAAATCAAAATCAAGAAACACTTCAAAACGAATGGCATCATAAAAAGAGGAGGCGAGAAGACCACAAACTTGAACAGAAAGAATCACAACATATAAAAATTTGACTGTTATAATTTTTTACAACAGACTGAAGGTTGACTTTTAATACCATTTCAGAACACAGAACAGTTTTAGAACAGGATAAAAAAAGAAGAAATTAGCCTAAAATGCAACCAAAAACCGAAAAGTTCACAGAATTCAAAATAAAGAACACAAACTCATAAAAATAGCGAGAAAAGACCATAGAATACCCTCACAGGGGATAGGATAACAGGTGAGGTGACAACTCTTATGACAAGCTGTTGTTGATCAGTTTGTCATTATGATCTCATGTGACGAAGGTTGGCCGGATGCCGAACAAACAATAATGGTGGAAAACACGGTCGCTGAGTGATGGATAACTTGAGTTGCGTTTAGGAAAGGTTTTAAAGCCGATCTGCCCTCCTCCGATCAGTTTTATAACAACTGGCTCTCCCTCGTTCGGCCAGAAAAACGTGCCATCACTCTCGCTTCCCAACGAAACATACAAATAGTTGTTGACGTGATCCGTGGGACGTTCTGTTTTGTTTAATTCGAGGATAAACACTTTCGCTGCCACTACTTGCTGCGATGGCCGAGCTGGTTACGTGGTGTACAAGCCGATTGGCCATCTACAAATGGTTTCAAATCGTAGGTTTTGAGAATTTTCGTATTCTTTTGGTAATTACAGTAATCAGCGTAGTTGTTAATATATTTGTGATTACTTCAGAATGATGTCATTTATTTTGTAAGCAAATTTTGGTGTTGTTACAATCAATTTTGATATCAAACCATGTTTTAAACAGATTTTTTTTACATATTACACCTTTTATTATTGTTGGTTTTTTGATTAGGCATATTTACGTTTCACTTTATGAAGTACTGTTATATCTACTGTAATATTATATTATAGGTATTGTCGATGATCGCAGTGTTGTTCTTGATCGACGGAAGGTTTCAATGGAAGGCCTATACATTTATCTTTGTCGCTTGTATTGTTCTGGCTTGTATTACCTTCTTGACTTTGGTTTTGTACTTCTTCAGGGTACCTTCAGACAACAAACAGTTACCGTGGGTTCAGATTGTAAGTTAAGATCCATAACTTCACTTTTATCGTACTTATTATCTTTTTACCTAAATGAGCATTAAGCTTATATTAATTTTTTTCAATGGTTATATTGTAATTGAGAAATATTGAAGTATTATACGTGTTATCTACTACAACTCTTGATTTTTGTATTGATTCGAGCGGCTTTTAGGAAATTGCCTTCAACACGGTAGCAGTAATCGTATGTCTGATTACCAGTGGTGTTCTTATATACGATTTGGTCAATATGGCACAGGGCCATCATGGTCATCACCGCTACACAGCCCCAGCTAACATCGGAAACGACGGATGGTTTTACCGAGTTATCGTTGTCTTGGTAAGTTACTATGCTTGAAAGCAGGGATGAGTCAATTCTGTGACAATTCTTGATTTTGTTCTAAAATTACTTATCAAACTATAAAAAGATGTTTGGCCAAAGGTCAGACTTCTAAAAACCACCAGAATCTTGATATAAGTTTATTATTGCAGTGTACACAAATAGTCAATACCGTGGCGTACCTGGCTTCTTTGGCTCGAGCTAAGCGATATGGTCTCAAGTAAAGTGTCACTGTAATGTATACGAATGTCAGTTACTGTGAAGTAACGACGGGAACGTAGCTCAATTTAGTTGTGATTATACTCGGTGACAGTTGGAGAAGAGTCGTCGGAGTCTTCGGATATCTTGGCCACTCAACTTGTCTGCCCCATTTCTATTATAGTATTATTTTACTAATGCAAAAATAAGTTCAATAAATTTACATTTTTAGCCTATAAATTACTATTTTTAGTCCAAATTAATATTTTCTGTTTAAAAATAGTTCGAAAATTAATTTTTTAAAATTAAAAAATGTCCAAATGATGTATGCTTTTCTCTTAACTGGCTTGGTAAGCAATTTTAACTTACTTATAAACGGGATTCATAATAGATTTGCTTTCGTCGGAGTGTTTTAAACCCAGCACGTGTCCAAGTTCATGCAGTGCCACCTGTTCGAACATTGTTTGCTTTTATAATATAAGACTCACGTAACTCAGATTCAGCCCCTTATCGTCCAAAGCCCACACTTCTTCGGCGTCAAAGTGTATCAGACCGTGCGGAGGGTAGGACGAATGTGCTACAATACCACCAGCACCATCAAAGGCTTCGGTACAGTTGTGTTCTTTCATGGCAAACGTAATGTCAATGTCAGGTTGAAGTTGTTGATCTGATAGCTCGTAAAACTTAATTACTTTGCTTTCTGATTCCCATAGATTTAGGGCTTTTATAATTGCTCGTCTGAAGAAATTAACAAGAGATTTACGTTATACGGTAAGTACTTGGTTTTGAAAGTAATGGCATTTGTATAAAAACCAGGCTGTATCATATGGTACAACAAATATTTCAATTTGTTGAGTATGAACGTTAGTAATGAACTTCAAACATAATGGTAGGTCGCCAACTAATTAAAAAGTTAAAAAATGTTATAAATAGCAACAAGAAAGAGTATTAGTAATACCTGGAATCGAGGAAGTCTTTTTCGTTTCGAAACAGGTAGTATTTGTCGTAGATTCTGTAGCTGAAACTACATTTTGTCCATTTTTGTAGTTTTCCGTAGGCTAAATAACATCTCATTAATTAGGGACTAGTTGTATATGTACAGTAATAATTATGGCCTTACTGTCAAAAATGCTAATGCGGTCAAACTTAGCACATGAGATTTAGCAAAGCATCAAAATATCTAAATTTTAAAAAAATTACAGTAGACCTAAAAATAATCCATCAAAGATTACCGTAATCCTTGTCGATGGGGAGCGCGTAGCCAGACACAAACCAAAACGTAACAATCAAGATTGCCTCGCGCATCTTGACATTGACTTTCACTGACTGAACTGATGATCATCATCATAGACGCGACGGAACTGGTCCGTTCATCCGGATACTCCATCTTCGCACAATTGTAAAGAAAATAATAAACAATTAGAGAGAGTTCCGAACGGCTTTAACGACTCTCTTATCAGTAGCACGAGCTTCAAGGTGCGAAAAATGGTGTCAGTTGAAGGCTGTGGCAAGGTAATTGAGGTTTTGGCTAGATATACTTGTTGTAACTACCTTTGGCTAATTTGAATGAAACACTTTGTTGTTTTTTTGCTTCTGTTCTTGGTTTGTAATAGTGAAAAATACAGAAGTAAGATTCTATTTAGATGTGCATTAACTTGTATTTTCCATCAATTGAAGGCCTAGTTTAGCTAACATATACGACGGTATTATATGTCTGTAAAAACTGCACTTTATGCCATAAAACCCCCAAACATATAATTTTCTAAAACAAACTTAACAACCTATCATCTACACCTTTAGAATGGCACTGTGGAAACGATAGTTTATACGAAAAAGCCAAATATGCGATGCAAACATACGATGATATAAAAGATGTGTACAGTATATTAAAAGTAAGCTTGCCTGGGCACACAATTTTCGTTAGTCAGTACGCTCGTGCTGATGTATCGTTGACCCAAATCTATGAAGGTGGAGGATGGAAGATGGTAATGCCACACACTAGAGTACAGAATCCAAATCTGTGCATGGTTCTGAGATCTGACAAGTCTTGGCTAGTAGTGATGGGCAAGGTCGATGATCGGGAGCCACAGTTTATTGGTTTACAATGTAAGTGTTACTAGTTTAGTGCTGTTACGTAAAAAGGAAGCAACAAAACTATTGTTTTCTGTGATAGTAAACTCACAAGGTAATTGAACATACAGTTACATTTATTGAAATAGTTTTTTATAAAACTTTTGACCAATTTTAAATCTTTTTTTAAAAAAAAAGTACGTTTTAAAATTTGTTTAATACTCAAATTTAAACTTTACAGCCAGTAATTACACTCACTCACACGCTGACGACATCTGAACGTATTAATTACACAGTAGAGTAATTGCTACCTTTTAGTGGTCACTTTAGCTTCTATAAATCGGTACTACAATGTTCGAATAACCTGTTGAAATGCCATTTGAATGTTATGTTTGGTTTCTGATTGTTGTGTGACTTGTTAATTATATTCATTGTAATTTAATTCCATTAATTGTACAAAGTGGCAATTTTTCATCTTTTAATTTCAAATAATAATCATTGTCAATAGCCCAATTTGGCCAATCTCCCCGATAAAAACTGTGCAAATAGAGGTTGTTTTGGTCATAACAACATATCCTCTATCATAATACGTCAATCACTGATAATCCCACTCCAGTATAAATCCTAATCTGGCTTCGGTACGGCACTCGAGCCTCAGTTCCCGGGCACAGTCCGGCGTTCCGTGAGAACAGCCGGCTTTGTTCGGTTCGAAACCCATATTCCCGAATAAGGTAGCAGAGACAAAACCGATTTGGCTTCGGAGGGTTTCGAGAGTCTGTTTGTTCTCGACTTTTGTCCTTTCTGAAGGCCGCGAATTCTTTGGTGGGAGAATGTGAGGTTGGCGGCCGAAAAAAATTCTCGCAAAAATGTTCGGTCGTGGTGAATGGAACCAAGAAGTAAGTAAGCATGGCCACCACCACTCTACGACAACACCCTGGCCCCTTTTTGCCTTCCAAATATTTCTTTGCGGCCCGCGGACCATTTCCCTCCATTTCGTCTTTGCTTCTTCGTCTTCCCGTTAAGACAAGAAACTAAACAAGGCGACAGCAAAGAGTAACCGGCGTGAGAAGTCGGAGCACCTCCGAGCAACCGCGTTTTCCTTTTTAAGGACCTGTAGTGTTATAATGCCCTTACTTGATCGTATGTTCGTGTTTGTGCTACAAATAATTGCATGTTTTCCAAAAGGATTTCGATAATTATTGGGTTGGCGTGAAATGGCGGGCGGAAAGCATACGGACTTTTGCGAACCCAAAAAGGCGATTTCGTGAAATCTTAAATGATCCACGACTTATATGACGTCCGACCTTGGCGTGCTTACTGCTTTCACTTTTAAAGTTTTTTTGAAATTTCGAAATTTAAATTAATATTTTCGAATATTGTTTGAAATTATAGTTTTGGATATTGTTCAACTGAAAGTTATTTTTATTTGTGTTTTGACAAATATTCGTTTGGAAATGTCATTTTTCTCGTTTTTTTTTGTTTTTCGTGTAATAAATCATTTTCCCAATATTAAAATTTCTAATAATGTCTGGTGCCGATTGTCAGTTTAATTACAGAAACCTTTCAATCTTCTTTCTTCATATCACTTAACTACTCTTAAGAACCCTAAGTCAAAGCTACTGCACACTTCAAGTGCAACGTACTAAAATTTCAGCAAATTTGAAGTACTACAATTGCATTATTTTTAGTATCTCAAGTCGTTTTACACAACATTTTCTTTTCAAAAAGGTAGAGTCTAGTCCTTTTTGTACCTTCAATGTTTTTACATTATAAAGCTTTATTACCATACAATAGAAGCATGTTAACATCAGTTACATTTTAAAGTTGTTTACATTCAAAACTGTAATTACATTTGCGTCAGTACGATTATATTACACTTGACACTCAAGTAATGTTTTTATATTTGAAGTATCAGCTGCTTCAAAATTGTATTTTTTACGGGTATTAATGAGAACTGGGATTGTAACATTCATTGCAAGGTATTTGATAAATATTTTTTAATTTTTAACATCAAATACTCTGTAAGATAGATTGTAACATTTTTTATTACAATTGTATTCCTTATTAAACACCATTCATTTTTTATTAAAATGACGTTTTTCCGTTAGACTATAGCTATTGTTCATTACGAGTATCCTTTGTACTTGGATTCTAGCCAAAAGCGCGCCCTTCATTGATTACCTGTTGTTATGGGTGTCCCGCAAGCAAACAGTAATTATCCGTTCCAATTACAGGAAATTCTAGTTGTTGTGGCCGAGAGATCTCGGGCCCAAAATAAAATGCAAAAGTGGCATCATAAAAAGCGCGGCAGGGTTGAGTTGAGACGGGCTCGCTTAAGTAATTTGATGGGCGTCGAACTGTCTTGGCGAGTCCGAATGAGGTGAAAGCGAAATAAATTTGAAGTCAAAGACGAATTTTCAGATTGCCGTGGAAGTAAGGGAGGCCCAGACGCGGAAGGCGCGGGTTTCTTTTTGTCGAAAACAGTTTCGGAATAACGACCAAGTTTCCATGTTTCACTTTGAATGGCTGACTGCGGCTATCAAATTTCCATGCCAAAATAACCCAACGGGCGTGAAAAAACCTTTGTTAGAATGGTGGTGGGGGTCGAAGACTGCGTATGCATCACCTCCTCGTTTGCGCTGCTCGCGGCCGCTATTGTCGAGAAAGCGTCGCGTTTCGAATGATTTCCACGGTCCTCTAATAACTTTTATTTTCTCCATACCGACTTACCTAGTTTTAGTAAAAAAAACTTTAATTTGAATAACCTGTCATCGTTTATTAAAGTTTTGTAAAATACCGTGCAACCTTCCAGAGGCTTTTAAACTTCGCTACAACACTTCCGCGCTTTTATTCTTTTGAGCTTTTCTAATATGTTTACCGCTCCTTGATACTTTTAATGTTTCCACAACAAAACCGTAGTAGCAAAAGGAACGAGCACGATGAGAGACGAAGGGCGCGCGCTTCGGGCTAGGCCATCCCGGGCTTTTTCGAGTTCTTTTTTTATTGCCCCAAGCGTTTTTCATCGAAAAAATCTTTCCTCTCCCCCTATCTCCATCACAAGCTCATCCAACAGCGAAAGAGGGGATTTATGACCGGCTATGGACGTGCTAAAGGGTCCGATGACGGTTTCGTTTTTTATTTCGATTCAATTTCTGGTTGGGGGTTTCTTCGCGTCTATTATGAAATGCGAGCCTATTTTTGAACGAATGGATTTTATTGCAAATGGTTTACACACCATTAATAATTTATACGCCGGAAATTTCGGAAAACAATAATACGTAAAGATATGTTACATTGCAATGCATTATGGTCTTTCATGCAAGATTTTATTTTTTAATGTAAAATTTACATTTCATTTTGATTTTACCATAAAATTTTATGACAATTTTCTAGCAGAAATATTTTTATTTTCAAGTCTTTAAACCCCACTTTACTATAGTAACTCGCAACTTTAAAACTTTATTCCCCGAGGCAGCCTGAAATAAAGTTCTCTTGTATAGAGGAATAAACGTTTTTGTGGCGTTGTGTGTCAACCCCAATATGTGCATGTTGAAAGTGAATACCGCGACCGTTTCAAGCCTTTGCCTCGCCCTATGTTTGTTTAATGCTCTAAAATCAGTTTCTGTCCCCGGGAGTCTCATTGAAGGCCACTGCAGCGTTCGCTTGATATTAATACATACTGTTCCGTGAATCATACCAGTTTAGTTCAAGATAAGCCGCCATTGATTTCGTGGCCATTCGCTTTGTCTTTGCCGGAATCCCGGTGGGGATTCACGGTGAAGAAGATAAATTCGAAGCCGAGGAATCAACGGCGTTTTATTTTGCCAACTTTGATATACTTGGTACGGCTTGTTTTTCGCGATTATTTGGAACATATACGCGTTCGGTGTTACATTGTTTTAGAATTTTTAAAATAATTTTGTATATTTCGAAAATATTTGAAGATGAATTTCGATGTTTTCTTAATACATGTTTGTATAATAGTTTTTTCGTGATTATGACTCATTGTAATATTTTAATAATTAATGTCATTTCAGTTGGCTGCGTCCCTTAAGCGGTCCTAGACCGCAATTCAATCATGAAAGATCGGTTGGGAGCCTTAAAAGCGGTAAGCTTTCTTAAAACGTTATTCAAATTACTATAGCTACAAAACATACGATAAACCAAAAAAAAAAACTACAAAATTTTTGACCAAATATTAAAAATTAACCAAACACCTTGTAGGCCCAGAACCAAGGCGATGAAGACCACGAGGACGATGCCAGCACGTTGGATGCGGCTCAAGGCCAGTTCATGGAAGAATTCTTCGAACAGGTGGAAGAAATCAAAGGCAGTATCGACCTCATCGCTTCAAATGTCGAGGAAGTCAAGAAAAAGCATTCCGCGATCCTGTCAAATCCCGTCAATGATCCGAGTAAGTGGATTCAGAAGTTTAAGTGATTGCAATTTTAGAGACAAAAGAAGAGCTGGATGAGCTTATGGCAGAGATCAAGAAAACGGCCAACAAAGTGCGGAGGAAACTAAAACGTGAGTGCTGAATTCTGAATTTACATTTCCCACAAATTCAAGAAAACTTTTTGAAATTAATTCAAAAAATCAATTTTTTAAATCTGACAATTCTGTAGACTCTCTTCTAGAATTGTGGACAATATATACTAACAAAATTTCAGTGATAGAAAACAGCATAGAACACGATGAAAGTGGCGGAACCTCCGGTGCAGATCTTCGAATCCGCAAAACGCAACACTCAACATTATCAAGGAAGTTCGTCGAGGTAATGACAGACTACAACAAGACACAGACAGACTACAGAGAACGATGTAAAGGCCGAATCCAACGACAACTTGATATCGGTAAGTTTGTGAAACGTTTAAAAATAAATTTTCAGAAATATTTTCCTACATTGATACCAGACAGACATAGGAATATACAGTGGCGGCAAGAAAAAATGGGACACGACGGTTTTAAGTATAACTTTCTTGAAACTAAAAGAGTAAGGCTTAAAATTTTTGTGATTTTACAATATTCTTTTCGGCAACGAAATTGCAAAAAAAATGTTTTTTCTTGTTGATTCAAAAAAGTTACAGTAATTCTACCGTACTCTGTACTTCCAAAGTATTTGCATAAATTTTTTTAAAAAAATTGAAGATGTACGTTTTATAGAGCATAAAAAGTTGTACAAGACCAGAAAGTTTTAACATTGTATCTCCAATGGTAAAAGAGTTACAGATTTTTAAAATTTAAAAAAACCTCCGATTTTTCAAGCGGAATCGAACTTTTTTGGTTTTTGAACATTTTTAAATGCCCTTAGCTCATTAACAAAAAACAATTGAAAGATAAAACTTTCTGAACTTGTACAACTTTTTATGCTCTATAAAACGTGCATCTTCAATTTTTTTAAAAAAAATTTATGCAAATACTTTGGAAGTACAGGGTACGGTAAAATTACTGTAACTTTTTTGAATCAACAAGAAAAAACATTTTTTTGCAATTTGAATGTCAAAAAAATATTGTAAAATCACAAAAATTTTAAGCCTTACTCTTTTAGTTTCAAGAAAGTTATACTTAAAACCGTCGTGTCTCATTTTTTCTTGCCGCCACTGTAGTTCTCTTATCATAAATGTGATAAAGTAACTCAAATGCTCGAAACTAAAAGTTTTTTAACAAAGATTTGTATTTTAGCGGGTAAACAAGTAGGAGATGAAGACCTGGAAGAAATGATTGAATCAGGAACGCCAGGAGTATTCACACAAGGCATCATAACAGATACGCAGCAAGCGAAACAGACGTTAGCTGACATCGAAGCTCGACACAACGATATCATGAAGTTGGAGTCAAGCATACGAGAGCTGCATGACATGTTCATGGACATGGCCATGTTAGTTGAATCACAGGTACGCAATATTAAACTTTATAGTTAAACCAAACATAGTATAACCTTATATACTAAGAGTAGCCATCCTACAAACCCAAATAATACCTTACATCTGCCGTATATAACCCATTAAAGCTAACTAGAAATACAAATTACCAATACTGTTACAACACCTTCATATCTTACCGTAATATTATTCCAGGGAGAGATGGTAGACCGAATAGAATACAACGTAGAACACGCTAAAGAATTCGTAGATCGTGCCGTAGCAGACACAAAAAAGGCCGTCCAGTATCAAAGCAAAGCCCGCAAGGTATGTTCGAAGATGTTTCGTAAAATGTACGTAGTAACGCTGTCGTACGCTTTTGTTTCGTTGCCTTTTGTGTTTTAATCCGCTTCTTCTGTAGAAGAAGATCATCTGCATCATAATCATGGTGGTGTTGATTGTGGCTATTATACTCGGTGTTATTGTGTATGTGTCGGTGAATACGGCGGTAGCTGGTGGTGGTAGAAGTAATAACACGCCCAAAAAGGATGAGACGATAGACTCTGAGACTTTCGAGCAATAACAGAAGCAACATACAGAAGCTTGATATTAACGTACAATGTGTAAAAACATTGTTACTAATATACGCCATCTTCAACACTAACACAACTAATATTATTATTATTTAAAACATTAACCATGCTATAGCAATAACACATGGTCTTTCCGGTGCATTTGTAATCATATCGTGTTGTACCATCATATTTGTCATCTTGTACATATCATCAGATTTTCTATTATATTATTGTACATTTAAATCGTTTGTAGTCGTGCAAACCCCGAGTAGTATTTTATTTTGTAATAGTTATATATATTCTCGTAGTAGTTTTTTCACAATGAAGTAACGACCATTAATTGTAACATACCAAACCGACGTAAGTTAAGCCAAATTTTATAGTCGTATATCATGCAGTAGTTGTGGTAGTAATATCGTATAGTGGTTGTACATATCGTATGGTAAAAGAGCAATTGAATAAATTTTTACGCGTTTAGAAGAAGATCATGATCCTCATTTGTGTGGTAATCTTGATCGCCATAGTGGGAATAATGGTACTCAACTACATTCCAATGCCCTTTTAGTCCCTAGATATCCGATATCAGACACAAAAAAACAAAACTTTTGGTTTACATCGATGTTACAGCATCAGCAGGCGTATTGTAGCAAACTTAATCGTACAGTAGTAAAACTGTTTTATTATTACAGTAATGCGTACTGTACCAACTGTATGCACTCATACGGTATTTGTTCATACAGTAACCCATGCTGTCATTAGTTTTCTTATTAATTACTACTGTAATTAGTCGTACAGTAATCCATACCGTAATCGGGAGTGTATCACTTACAGCAATAAGTCTCTAGGTATCCATTTACTTTAACACTCTTCATCCTGGCGAACACTAAAGCTTACAACACTAATAAAACTTACAGTTACGGTAATCGGTTTGGGTACTTACATTCACTTTGGCATCACAAAAAAACATCTATTAATAATTGTCTTTTTAAAGTTTAAATAAGTATATATTTAGTCTATGTTAATATACTTTTTACTCATTTTAATTCTTTTTTTAATGTTGAGGTAGGCAAGCACTTTAAGCAATATTAGCATTTCAAAACGCAAATCAAATTATAAAGCTTTTCCTCGCCTAACATAAAGTAAAATGGAAAATCCAGTAGCAAAGTAAAACCCATATCGATACCGTAAACTTCTACTGTAACACGTTTTATCTTGCAACTGCCATTCTCTTACAATATTAATGACAAAGCTTTAATGGCCTGTGTAACTTCTAGGAGGTGTATTGACCTTGTTATTGGCTTACATTTATCACAAATAATAAAAAATTTTAAGTTTAAATCAGCTTCTATTGATTAACATCTAAAATCTAACTGAGTTACTATACTAATACTTATTTAAAGACAATATTTTAATATTAAAAAAACATAACTAACAAACGACATAAAAGCTAAAATTTCTGAGAAACACAACCGTAACTAACTTATAGCAAATAAAGCAATTAAAATTAGAGAAAGTACTTTAAAGCAATTCAATTTCAGCTAAAAATTATAATCTGTTTGGTAGTAACCGTGCTGATCGTGCTGGTGCTAATGTTTGTTGGTTTTTATATCAAAGCAATTTTATAATCACATTAAATACTACGGGTCACCTCAACGTTCCATGACTGCAATATAATTCCACAACGCCTTGAAATATGAATATGAACTTATCAGCTGCCGAACCTCGCTCAAGTATATTATTATTTTTACAGATTTTTATTCAATAAACCATTGATTGTGATACACTCCTTCTTAGTTATAGAATATTTAAATTCCTTGCCATTAATTCAAAAAACTAAAATTGTTTTCGAAAGCCATGTGTAATATTTACAGTTTATTAGCTTTGTCGTTAGTATTCAAGCCAATACCCGCATTTGAAGAACTTGTTGTTAAACGCCTATGCTTTGTTGAATATCACCTGGTACCTTTTGACCATATTTGCAAAGATATCAGCGACTTTATCAGGAGAATCTTCATGAACAGCATGCCCCACTTTATGGAGCACTTCGTACTGAAATGCCCCTTGCATTTGTCCTATCTGAATACTGTATTTGTGTTCAAGTGTATTTCATAATTTTAAACTTTCCGTGTGCTTAGAGAATTTTAAATGAATAAAACTTAACTTTATACGTTTAAATACATAAAGTACTATCTTATTATATAAACAAAGTTCATAACGTACCATTAGTTCCTTGTCCAGTCGATCAACATTTGCCAAAATTAGTATTTTAACTGGTTTACATTCCAAGAACAATTTAGAAAGCCCTTTAAACCAGCCGACCCAATATTCTTGAGTTTTGCCAAGGTTCACTCTCCAATGATAACCCTAAAAATAATTTGGTAATTCAAAAATACTTAACATAAGTAAAACCTGAAATCAAACTTTCATACTCCACAAAAAATTTAAAAATACTACAAAACCTTACATCTTTCCCATTTTCGTCCTTGATTAACTGTGAAGGCATTGAAACCTTAGCGGCTTTCAGATTCCTTGTCATACCACTATCTACACACCATTTTATAGCTTTTTCAAGAGTAGCGAAATGTTTCGGCCTATTTCTTAAAACTTGTGTCATCAAACTCAGATTTCCCATCGCTGAGCCTTCAACCACATCAATAACAGCTAAAGCTTGCACATTAGGTAACAAATTGGCATGAACAGCTCTCACGGCCAACGCACCTCCCATAGAATGACCAACAATAATTAGTGGCGGTTTCTTTGCCAGGGATTCAAAGACATTGTTGTAGATGTTAGCAATATCTCTAAAATAAATCTAATTAGAGTTTACTTTCAAGTATTAACATAACGTTAACAAAAAATAGTAAGAAAAAAATTAAAACAATTTTAAAACTTGCTCAATTTGTTTTTCAGAAGATAAGTTATCATCTGTACATCGAGAAAGTCCATGTCCTCGTAAATCAGGTGCCACTACTCTACATTTCACTTTTGAGCATAAATCTTCCTAAAACTCAAAATAATCAAAGAAAATATAAACTCACCACAAAAACAGCCCATGACAAACCACTGTAACCACCTCCATGTAACAAATAAAACACTGGGCCTTCTTCTCCTTTTAAATAAACGTTAAAAACATCATTTCCAATATGAACATCAAGCTTTTTATCGAAGAAATTGGTATATTCAAGTGGAGAAAAGTCGCGAAAGGCAGGAACGTTAGTATTATGTTCGACTTGATTATCTACATTATCAGAATCCATAACAAAAGCTAGTGAAGAAGTAAAAAAGTTAGAAAATATGTGATAAAATACTTTGTCAAAATTAATTTTGCTAATTATTTCTTATGGCGTTCCGCCTCACGCTTTCGTGGTAGGACTCGTGCAATAGATCCCCGACATTTTTGTTTGTTGCAAATTCGTCGTTGATCTGAATCAAAAAAGAAGTTACTTACCCCGTCGTAAGGTTTAATCTATGCTGATTTGTTACTTGAATATTGAGTTTCTACATCATTTTAATATGCGGGAAAATAAGGTTTAACAAGGACACGAAGCCGATCACGGACAAAGTTTTGGTTTGATTTGTAATATTTCGAAAGGTTTAGGGGAAGGCGAGTCTTTTTGAAGCAATATTGTTGTACGGGGATCAGTAAGGATCTTTTCTATAGCTGGTTGACGAATTTGACTATTAATATTTAATGATTTTATTGGGTATTTCTAACATTAGAACTTTCGAATGGACCTAAACTTGGTATACTTGCGCGAATTTTCCGATATTTATCAGTGATGCAAACTTGGAAATGTTTTCCTGTCAACCTATGGGAATGTTTTCACGATAGTAATACGAAGATAACGGTTTAATCTGTGATATATCGTAAAGCTGTTGTATGTTTGTATTTGTGTTGGAGTGGTTTTACGGCTCCCTTTCTCTCTCTACTCCGATTCCGGTTTGTGACCGCTGCGTAATTACAATGTTGAAAAATGGGCTTAACCTTTAGCATGTTATGCTGCAAGTTTTTCTTCTTTTTCTGTGTTCTTTGGCCTCGTGGGAGTTAAATTTATGAAAATTATTACCTAAAATTGGGGGTTTGAACGTGTTTTTGTGTTTATTACCTAAAATAAGTAGGTTGCTGCCATTCCTTATCCCAGTCTTTTACAAAAGGTTTGTTAATAATTACCAAAAAACAGCGAAACATCTTACGATTAATAAATACGCACTCATTTCTCAATAAAAATGTTGTTACAAGTTTAAAAAAATATTTTTGGATTTGAGAAATGTGCCGGCAATTTTTGGTCAACTTAATATGGAGTTTTAAAAACTTAATAAACGCTTTTGAAAAATAATGTTCATGGAAATGTTAAGTTGTAATGGACTTATATTACTCTTTACGACGAAAGCAAAAAACATTTGTAAAGAATGTTATTTTTAAACATATTTTGCACACTCTGAATAGAAATATTACTTTAACATAAAATAGCCGGTTGTTATTCCCTCCACGAAGAGCCAACTGACCGACCTTTAAGTGGCGAAAACGGGGGAACGACTAAGAGTGATGAAGGAGAAAGGAAGGGAGATTCGTTCTTATGCCCGATTTGCGACCTGCGCCCCGCCAAAAACGTGTAATGGTCGGCACAATTTATTTATCCATGTTATTTTAGTTTTTGGCACAGGATTTTGGACTATAAACGGTTTGGCGACGGAAAGAAGGACTTGGTTTAGCTCGAATTTGGTTGATTTTACTGGTATCTGAGTGTTATTGGGGGTAAACTAGTGATTGGAACCAGTGAAGGTAAGGAAAGCTTTTGTTTATTATTCTGTTTTTAGATGGCTTTGCCCGTGAAGGATGAGGTTATGAAGATGGACATTCTGGATTTAGTGGTATCTACCGATCTGAAAGAATTGACAAGCAAATTTGTGAGGAACAACTTGGAGAAGAAGTATACAGTGCCTATGAAGCCTTTTAAAGGCGCAATCGACAATATGATTAGAGATTCTATTAAACAAGTTTATCCACAAGGACCAGGTGGACCAAAAGTGTTACCTAAAATTAGTAATAACGAGAACAAGAATAATAAGAGGAAAGCAGAGACTTCATCTGGTTCTGAATCAGATACCGATCCTCGGCCAAGCACTTCTAAAGATGAAGCCAAGAAGATGAAGATAGACGATGATTTTCCAATGGAATTTGTGGACAAGTACGAGCAAATCAAGCTAAGGAGAGCTGCTCAAAGAACTCAGAAGAGGAAGCCTCAGAAGAAGGAGAATGGAGATGGACCTAAAAAGTCGGCCTTCTCTAAGATCTGTTTATTGTCAGATGAACTGTTCGGCATCACCAATCAACGTTATATGTGTCGATCTCAAGTGGTCAAGGAAATGTGGTCGTACTTTAGAGAAAAAGACCTGATTGATCCCAAAAACAAAAGATATGTGATTCCAGATGAAAAGGCACAAACTGTTTTTGGACCTAAAAAGTTTTTGGTATGTTTGTGGGGGTTTTGTAAGAAAAGGTTCCTAATTGCAGCCTTAGTCTTTTAGTCTGACGTTCTTATTAAGTCAACAAACAAAGGCTGCTTTTGTTTATTTTTCTTCACGTTATAGTTGTTTAATATATAAGACAGATTTTATATTTCTTTAATGATTTTATATCACCTTGTTTATATGATTGTATCTCGTTTTAGGCTTTCGGAATGATGAAAATATTGAAGAATCACATTCACGATCTTGAGTTCTTGGACAATGAAGCTCGTGACAATGCTGTAACAGAAATCAGGGAATTGTCAGATGCAGGAACATTGGATTTGTCGCTAGTCAAGTTGCCTTCTTTCTACTATGAAGGTTCAGAAGCCAGCAATGATAAGAAGGCAAAGGAGAGAAAACAAACCAAGTCGAAGAAAGTGGCAGATAAACAACCGAAGAAGAAGGGACGACCCAAGAAGAACACCACGAAGACGAAGACTGTCATCTCGGATGATTCAGATTCTTCTTCCGATGAATCCGAAGTGAATTCTCAGAGTAATGATAAGAAGACCGACCAAAATGGGGATAATGGGGCTGGAAATGACATGGAGACGAGCAACGAGGCTGAGAATGATAGTCAAGAGCTGGTTAATCATGTTAAGTATGCGGGGAATGTTAAGAAAGATTTGGTGAACGGTAGTAAAGATAATGGCACTCAAATTGAAGAGAAAGTCAAGGAGGAACGGCCGAAGTTGGTGTTGAGGATCTCAAAGAAGAATGATAGGGTAGGTTGAAATAAAGTTAATGTTCGATTTACGTCTGTTTATAACGTTTTTAGATTGACGTTATTATTTTTTAAAACTTATAGTAAGAAAAAGTATTACCTAAAAACATTTTTTATACACTTATGCGATTTTTACTTTATCTTATGAGTTTTTTTATATTTCTATAAATCTTTATATTATTTTACGCTTTTTTGCACCTATAAGCACTCTTTTTGACTTTGCTTTTAAGCTCTTTTAACTTACTTCTTATGCAATTCTTTCTTAATCTAACCAACGTCTTATTCCCCGTTTTTTAGATGGTTTCGGTGAGCGTGAATGAGAAGGACGGACAGCGGAATGAGGGCGCGAAGGACATTGATCAGCAGCCGGTCACGACTAACGCACTCGATGATTCATCTGAGTCTAATAATGAAGATCCGCCAACCTTAGAAGTTGAAATGCCCCAAGAGAATGGCAATGGGCAGTCGAGCTCCAGCAGCTCTTCGTCCAGCTCGAGTTCTTCTTCGTCGTCTTCTGGAAGTTCGTCGAGTGATTCCGAATCTGACAATGACGAGAAGAAGACGGGCGAGCTGCAATTAAGCGAATCTGATTCTGATTAGGCTTAATTAGGTTTAGATTTGGGCAAATTGGCTGTTGATTTGGTCACAATTTTGATTTGATCGGGTGTTATTTAGTCAAAAAGTGATAGAAAATCAACAGCTTTGAAGTTATTTTTGTTTTCTATTTAATCTTCGACTGAAATACACTAGTTAGGCTAAAGTTGATATTTAAGAATACTTAGGCTTGACCAAGTTTATTTGTCTTATTGAAAGCTTGTCTTCAGGATCGTGCCGTTTTGTCATTATATATTTTAGTATACATATCAACAAAGAATTTTGCTAATATATTGTAGTAGTATTGTTTATTGGGTCTTTCTTTAAGGGTTTATTTACACAAATTATATCTTTAGCTCTAGTAATACCTTTTTTGTACTTTTACGGCCAGTTTTTAATTTTTTTTTGTCTAAACGGTGGTCTGAAAGTTTGTAGAATTGTCATTCTGTTAGTCTTGAATTTTGTGTAATTTTATATTGCTTTTGGTAGGTAATTTGACAGATTGTTACCTAAATTTTGGCCGAATTAGTACAAAACTGTAGGAACTTTTCTCTGTATCTTGTTGTTCACTGATCTCTGTGGATGTCTTTAAGCTCTCCGTTATGCCTCCTTCCCAAATTACTCGATGATGACATGATGAACCTCGCTACAATTCCTCTGGCTGTCAGATATTGTTTTTAGCTGTTGTTACGCGCATTTCTCGTCTTATTTTGTTGTTTGCAATGTCGGGTATTTGTATGTCAATTTCTATGGTCATTCCCAACGTTTTGGTACCAAATTTAATCAGTTATTTTTGATAATAATGAATCGCTTGATAAATGTTATATTTGCATGTTTGTGGATAATGTCGTTTATGACCGTTTATTGTCGGTTTTGTATCGGAAAAGGTGTTTGCTCAAGTTAATGTTACTAATAATGTGTTTAGATACCCATTTCTGGTTTGTTCACAGAATGAGAGTACTGGATTGGTTGTGTGGGTAAGTTTTTTTAGTTCTTATGGCGAGAATACACTAATATGTAAACTATTTTTTAGTGTTTAGTATGTTAAGTCTGATTTTTGACATGTTAAAAGGATGTTATGATAGTATTGTAAAGTTTATGGACGGTTTGATTGACATTTTTGTCTATATAGCATTACTTTTGATAGATTTTGTGTAGTTCACTACCTCACTAAGCCTTCTTTTGTTTATTTTACGGTTTTTTTTTCACTGTAATGCGACTTGTATATTAATGTTGTCAGGTATTGCAGGTGTGATGCGCCGAACCGCGACGAGAGTGCGGCCTACCTGGCCGATCCGAAGAGCAGTGCTGGCGATCTGCCCGAGAAGAAGCCGGTTGTCCTGTGCACAGATCAGCCTCGTTCGAATGGGCTGGAACAAGCCTTCAAACCGCGTCTTCAGGCCACGTTGGAGCTTCAAAAAGAGATCAAAGAAGACCAGTCGGCGAAAGCGGTAAGAAATGTTTTTGAATATGTTTGGGTGAGGGAAAAGTCGGCGACCCTCCGCCTCGCTGCTCGCCTGCTTTTATTAATTTTGTTAAGTAAATTTTTGTTTTTGCGTTGGTTTAATGGTGTGATAGGCTGCTATTTATTTGATTGTTTGACCTGTTTGGAACGGAGGCAATTGTCATGGTAGACGGGTCTATAACACGTATATTCTGGGAGGTAATTTAATGGAGTGGTTGGTTTTGGTAGAGGTATAGCTTTTAAAACAAGGTTTGAATTGAGGTTGATTAGGAAAAGTTTTGTATGTATATTGACCTTTGAGAAAAGAAAATGTTGTAAATGAATGTAGTTAATCTTGTGAGCTTTAAATGTACAATTTGTAAGAATTTTTGGCATTTATTTAGCTTTAAAGTGTCGCTTTACGTTTTCTTTCTATATAGTCTTGACCTGTACAATACCACTTTCGTTCGATCTCAATTAATGTAGTTCTAATCCTAACATCCCGAATGCATTTGAATATGAATATGAATTAGGGCCCGGAAGAGGAAGGGACCTTCATTTGCGGACCTCATTATAGCGCCATATGCTCAAAAGTAATATCTTATTGCGGATATCTTCTATAGCTTGCTCTGTTTTCAGCTACCTGCCGCCAATAACGACATGTCGCTTAGTGTGATCACGTTCTCGTCCGTAGAACAGAGTGTGAACGCTTATAGGGAGCTGTGCCAGAATGTAAATGCTGTTCTGAACGATAGGATCAACAGGATGGAGAACCTGCTGGAGACACAAAAGGGACTGCCGGAAGAAGTTGAGGATGACATAAGATTGGCCAGAGGCAAAATGATGGTGATAAGAAAGAATAACCTGACAAAGTTCAGTAAATTGGTCGAGGTAGGTTGTATCTTAATGTTTTGAGCGCAGCCTTTAATGTGTTGTAGTTGTTTTTAAATTTATGGATTAGTATTGTGTGATATTATTTTAAGGTTTATACACTTCATCTGTGTATCACATTTAGAGAAAATTACTTTTAGGCCGCGGAAGACACCGAACAAGGAATCGCCGACCTCACCGGCTTCTGGGGCCTAGTTCACGCTGAATTAGAGGACGTGAAAAGAGCGTGTGGAAGAGTAGAACAAGCTAGACAAAACTTGTGGCAAGCTGTTCCTCTACCGCCATCCCCACAACAACCTACTGCCAGAACTCCAGGTACACGACGAGTATCTACCGGCAATCGAAATGGTACAGCCACTCCTAACAGGACTCCCAAACCCACGCCCAAGACCAACCCCAAGTTGAGAGAGTTTATGGCCCAGAAGAGAAAGGAAATGCAGGACAAAGTTGTGGCAGAACCACAAACAGTAGCGTAATAGTTGGTTGGCTGCATTAAGGGCTTGACATTGTTCTATAACAATATAAGTATGGTAGATTGTTTTTGTAACATACTGGGTATGTCATCTAGAGCATATGAAGTATGTCAATGTAATGACAGTTCTCTACATTGTAATAACTTATAATTTATGTTATACTGTAACATGATATCTTGTAATAAGTGTGATGGATCTTTTGTAAATCTCTTGTGCCTTCCTAAAAGCCTAAACCTCTAACAGTTGTTCTAATTCTCCAGTTTGTTACCTTGTAGTAAGCTTTTACTGAATCTAACGGGTTGTGTTTAACATCTAATTATTTCCGTCGTTTTTGCCTTACGATTACCTTCTTCATGGCTATCACATCATTTTAAGCTCAGACAAAACGAATTTCATTGTACAAAGTACGGCCGAGGTGTACCGTTCTGTGCCAATAATACCACTTTGTGACCTTACACTAGTATCCAGCCTCCTTTCTTTCTTACCCCGCCCAATTGCACAATCGAAACTGCAATACTTTTATTGTAAAGTCTATTTCAGTAATATAATACATATAATAGTATAATATAATGTTGAGTTCACAATAAACATTTATGTGAGGTATGTCGTTTGTAATATTATACTAGATCGGATTGCGGCGGTCAATAAGTTTTCAACTTTTCGTTGGTGCTTTAACATAAGAAAGGGCTTTAAAGGCCAAACTATATAGGGCTTTCGTTTTTTTTCATACTATTACCTAATACTGTAGCATTGAGGAATAAAACTATGTAATGCTATCGTAGTATCAATCCAGATCCTAAGAGAAACAGAAAGACTATGCTACAGAGCAGACTGTCGCAACTCATTCCGAAGCCTCTCAATGTGCAGATTCTCTCGTATCGTTCCCAAAGCACTGTTCCCATTCGAGTAGATATACTTTTGTCGTAGCATCTCGTTGATCATCGTGTTCGGAGTTTGTCTTTCATCAATCTGATTCCCATCGTCGTCGAACTCAAACTCTGTCAGATTCGGGTCCGTCGACTGCAACGCTTCTGATTCCCAATAGTAAGGTCCGTTTCCGTTCTTGTACACAAATTGATCTTCTGAAGCACATGAGATATTAGTAACGTACCAAAGACAGTTGAAACCTTTTTTTAATGTTATAATTAGATTTTAAAAAACAATGTAAATTGTCAAGTAGCCAAAGCAATGAGTAAGATGGCATACAACTTACGAGAATATTGCGATCCGTTCTTCTTTTTTCCTGGTTTACAGTAATTCTTTCCGAACACGTACATGATGATCGCCAGCAAACACATGGACACAAGCAAGATGGAGGAGTGAGTATAGACAGCTGTAGGTGGCACTGAAATACGATAAACTCATGAAAATTTAAGTTTATCAGCTCTTCAAGTAGGTATAAAGATCTTCTTTAAACCCTCTTTAAACACCTACTCAACTGTTTGAAGGTAATGACTTCAGAAGGCTGTGATGGAGGATAGTAAGGACGAGCTGCTTGTACAAAGAAGTTCGTCGATGCCATTTGATTAAGTTCGTTTGAATTCAGATGTATTCGATTGTCTGCTACTTCACCCTGTAAATATAGTGTTACATTTTATATTATCGGTACTATAGGTCCACTCAAGTTGATAATATAAGTAATGCAGATTGACCATTCGAAATTACCCACCATGATTTTATATTGGCCATTTGGGTTTTCTTGGTACGATACTCTGTAGGACGTGGCGTACGGTACTTCATTCCACTCTAGATACTCGTTTGAAGCTTTCAGTCCAGTCGGAGTTCCAAGTGTCGAACATGCTAAAATACGCCGAAATTTTATATAATAGATAATATATTGATATTTAACAAGTAAATTGATTAAAATACAATGCATCATCAAACACAAAATTCAAATTACATTACCAAATTGTAAAAACTTACTAAACTTGTCAGTAGTGGTACAATTGGTACTCCCCAACTCATTCGAAGGACTGACCATGAATCTGTATCGTGTGAAGAGCTGTAGCCCTGTCAATGACACACTAGTTTCATTGAACAAGTTGCTTTGGTGCCACGCTTCGACCACTTCAGTACTAGTCAGGTTGTGTACCTCGGCGTAGTAAAGTCGGAACATTTGTTCGTAGCCTCCATCGTACCCTGGATCGAAGTCGATTCTGAAGCTGTTTTCAGATTGACAGTTCAAACGTAGATTCGTGATACATTGAGGCTTGGTATTGTGTACGGTAACTGTCATATTGCGCGTGACTGACACAACTTGGTTCTGAAGTACACATTCGTAGACACCGTGATCTTCGTGAGATGCGTTCATGATCTTTAGGTTTTTGCCTTCGATTTTTCGCTGAAAAATACAAATTTTTAGTAATATATTAAAACAAGAACTAAAAAAATTGCCTATTAAAACAAAGTACATCCTGCATATGAATATTAACAACAATAACAGAAAAGCTTAAAGGCATGAAGAAAATGAAGTTTCTAACCACATAATTAAATTTAATCGTACCTTATTGTGTAGCCAATACTGTGTTGGAGGAGGATCGCCATAGCCATCACACAAGGCCTCTGCATTTTCTCCACTTTCAAGTTTAATTGCTGCCGGAGGCTCTTTACTGAACACTGGAGGGGCTGTTATGATAACTAAAACAACTTTATACTTCTATGGTAAAGTTTATACAAATGGTAGATTTATATACGTATGAACATATAAAACTACCTAAAAAATATTATTCCTTCATCATAAACAAAACTTATTTCTCAACAAAAGCTATCGTCCCCTTGAAATAGGTCACCCCACTAAAGCTATGCCATTTTACATATTACTTTCATATATCAATAAGAATCCAGAAGGTGTTTATCTTACCATGCATCTCATAAACATCACTTCTGCCAATCACATTCTCGGCCCAACAAGCGTACATTCCAGAATCCTCGACTGTAGCATTCTCGAAGACGAGCTGATCCTTTTCGATTCTGAATCCATGACTTTTTTGATTTTCTGTCAAAATAAGACCGTTTTTGGACCAAAAGTAAGTAGACGGCGATGGGTTAGCCAACATATTACAATTTACTGTGCTGTCAGCGCCTTCTGCCACTACATACATTGTCTTGCTTTCTGAACTCAGCTCGGGTTTGACTAAAAGAGATAATATAAATGTAGGTCTTCAGTAAAGTTTGTCAACCAAAATAGTTTTACTGAGCTTTGCTTTAGAGAAAAATAGCAACGTCTCTAAAAGATATAGCTTACATTGAACATTAAGGAAAGCTGACGTCTGAGCTGCTGGTGGAAAACCATTAGTGGCTTCACATCTGTACCAACCTTTATCATCTCGGTGAACTTTACTGATACCAAAATCAGGACCCTAAAAACTAGTTTACATTACTTTACCACCTTTGGTAGTAATACTATACCCCCAAAAAACCCTCATCAAAACATATGAAATACCGCAAAAAGTTAAAATTCAACCCTCAACCTACATGAACATGTGCTCGTAGCCCCAGCTCAATTGTATTAATAGCTATCTCATCTTTTGTCCATCTGTAAGTAATATTCTTGGGATTCGCTGACACAGCACAATGCCAGAAGACATTGGTACCTTCGACCACTGTCTTATTCGACAAAGGATAGTCAATAATAGGACCTTCTGCAAGAGATAACACACTGATTAAGATGCTGATTAATTGCTCTTCTTTTCAAAGGTCAAGGGGTTTTAAACGTTTTCCACTTTTTGACTTTTGTTTGATAACAGAGACCATGTCATAGTGGATCTGATCTGAATGCCATTCGAAGAGGAGTCGATCTTATTATCAATATATTTTTGAAATGTTTTTGAAATTTTTTAAAGCATTTTTACTTTTTTGTGATATGATCTGTTTTCGTACTACCCTACCCTACATTACCTTACTCTGTCCTACCTTAATATGTTTGAAGTTAAGCTTCGTACTGCATTTTGGCGCTTTGTACTCAATCTGATCACTAAATTAAAAGGTATGGTACTCCTCCTACCATATCCTCCCTTTACTTTACTTCCAAAACCTTTGCAACCAAATTGATTTCGATTTGGTTGCACCTCTTGATCTACCCGAGTGTTTTGCAGTTTACAATAACTTTTTGTGTTCCAACATAACCATAAATTAGGTTTTGATGAATGACAAAAACGGTAAATGTTTTGTTTGGGAGCTGGTGAAGAAAAGGGAAATCAGCAAAGGCCGTCTGAGAACTTACGTGAAAAGTGAAGAAGCGTAGCCGCACGATCGGTTCCTTCAACATTCGTGGCATGACAAACATATTTACCCTACAATTTCTCATTGTTATCATTGTTCCGTTGGTGAAACATTTTTTGTTTTATTAGTTGCAAGAGGCATGGGCCGGATATACAGCATTAAAAGTGGGGCAGAAGGAGAGGCTGAAAAGGGAGGGATGGGGAGGTGGAACTTGGCTGTTCTAGGAGAAAAAAGGATTGAGAACAGCCTAATAAATTGTAATGCCTTTTAATTTTTTAAAAAAATTTTTGGCTCATCCATATTTGAACAACCTGATATTGTAAATGTCTTACCTGATCGGCGAGAGTAAGTTCGTCGATTGCTAACACTTCGCCTTGCGCTACTACTTGGCCAGACTAAAAATTAAAATTAAATTTGCAAGTTTAATTAAATTTTTATGTAACTTTTCGAAATTAACTTTAAAACACCGTTTTGGATCGAGTAATATTAGTTACAAAAACATCACCTTATAGATGTCACCTATATCTTGCCTTGTTTCAGTTTCTACAGTTTAATCACCAAATATCATGACAATTTTGTACATTTAAACGCAACACCTTAACATAGTCCTTAAATTCCATAATTTGTTCGTATTTAGATACTTATGACGTTAATACTTCGTACGTGATATCTAGTAATTATACAACTTGGTGAGGTCTAATTAAAACCGCAAAGTGTAACAAAACTTGACACCATACAAGCAGACTGTGCTCTAATTGTAACCAGACTACTTTCATATTATTTCTTGTAACTAAACTCTAGTGCTATGTTATTATAGACTTTTTTCAAGTTAACTCTAAGTTCTTATAACATTTCTTATAGGGTTAACGATATGTTCTTATACTTATTATGCTTTTGACCGTATGTTGTTATACCTAGTTTTTACGTTCAAACTAAGTTTTATTTTTGGCCAAGGTAGAGCTCATTTACTTTTTATGTTACTATTGTTTCAAACCTTTAACAACTACAAACTTAACGTACTTTAGTCCAAATAACGTCGGGTGGCGGTACTCCTTGTGTCTTACAATGCAATCGTATCTTCTGTCCCAATTGAGCGAACTGTTCTTGATCTGCGGTTGGACTAGTTATTTTGGGAGGGGCTGAAAACATTGTATACATTGTTACCTAATTGTACTTTTGTGTTTTTATTTGTGCTTCTTTTATTATTATGTTGATAATGTAAAGTTACTATATATTTTATAAAAATTGATTTCAAATGGTTACACTACAACTTATTATATGCTTCTTACAATTTCATGATTGGCTTTTGCTTATTTTTTCTATTTGAAAAATGTCATTTTACCCTTTTTACAAGTTTCAATTTGATTTCTGCAAACTTTTCCCATTTTTGATCCCATACCAAGGCTATTTCCACTTTGTACACAATAACATTACAACCCAGCTATTTTAAATCAGCTGGCGTTCCCAAAACCAGCGATGTAATAGTTTTTTGTCAGATGACCTGGTTACTGTGTTGTAGATTTTAATTTCGATGATTAAACGACCTTTGCAAGATGATGGGGATGAGGGCACGTGCCTCCATCAGGTAACCTTGTTATGATCGCTTTTTCATTGTAGACGTGTTTTCTTCGCCTGTTTTCCGACCGTTCGAAACGCTCGCACAACAACAATTCGAGGAATTCGGAGTGTGAAACAATAATTTGGGTAGTTTGGGCGGTAAATCAGCTTGTTTTTGTAAGATAAGTGTTAAGGAATTTTGAGGTAGAATTCGGCAAAGTTCAAACCTTCTCTTAAAACTTAAGAAGAACATTAAAAGTTGCGATATTTTAGAGAAAAATCATCCATGTTTCTTTGTCATAAAAACATGACAAAGAAAATGTATGATTTTTTACCCATGCTTTTGAATCAAATTTAATTTTTCAAATAATAACTTAGATTATAGTTTTATAAAGCCAACAAAAGCTAATTTGAGCCACGTTTTGCAAACTTTTTAGACTTCAAAAAACTAAATATACAGAAAACTCCAATTTTTAATCGAAATTTCAAAATTCGCTTTGAAATGTACAACTTTTTGAAAAATAACGTGCAACAACATGTATATTCTAAAAAAGCTTACAGCTACAATCACAATACAATAATACAACACCAACAATAATTATTGTTTTTCCCCTAATCTTTTGCACTACATTTCACAAAAAATCTATTTTACCTACAAAAGTCATAATGTTACTTATGAAAACCTACTTTTTACTACAAAAGATACACTTACCTACAAAAAACCACTTTTTGTCTCTTTACCTACAACTTTGAACAATTATGATTGTATGTTTCCGTTTTTCAGAACGTTTAGGTTGGTATTTCCACAAACCAAGTGTTTAATTATAGTTGTCTTTGTTTTTTGCGTGTCTGAACTCTGCTACAGACAGAGTTTGTTTACGTCATTTTGAAGCAAATTGTCGCGCGATCCTTGAAATGACCCAGTTCTGCTCTTGACCTTCATACCTTTTAAGGAAAAGTTGTGTTAATGGTCTAGTTTTGGAAATTCGAGTTTTTATTCTACTTTTAAGTAGAAACTGTATTATTAAAAATGCTGAGTAAATAGGGGGTGTAAGACAATACGAGTCATACGAAAAATACTTTTTTTGCAAATCGAATCTATGTTCCTAGAAATTTTACTCCTACTGTATTATCATAATAACTTTTTATTGCTCCATGGCCTTTCGCCGTCAATAATTCAACAAGTTTAAATTGAATTCAAAACAAATTAGGTGACGCCTGAGGGCATTGTAATGTAACTGTTGTTTTCTCGAAAAGAAGAGCCATTCCGGTCATTCGAACCTTACTATCGATTAAAAACAAGTTTCCATGACACATATAGACCTCTCATTCCAACTGACATCTGTGCAAAACGCAACCACAACAAGACCAAAAGACAAAGTTTACAGAGTTTAAGGGGTCGCTTTTGAAGTTTAAGCAATTGCCCTACGGGTTAGGGCCGTTGTTTTTGTGAGAGATGGTTACTATAGCTAGCTACTACTACAATAACAATAAATATCTTTAAAATGATAAGTAAGGAATATGTGTTGTCACAAAACACTTGTAACCATAGTTGGTCCCAAAGACAAGCATTGGTAATTAAATCACCGTAAAGGGCGTGGTAAACCAGACAGACTCTAAAGAACTGATAAAACATTCTGAGAAAGTGTGATAACAACAACATCTTCACATTTTATCAATCTTTTTTACTGTCTTCACATGTGTTTTGCAAGTTTACTACTGTAGCTTTTTTCAAACTTTTTATTTCATCATATGTTAAGTTAAAGAAATCAATTTAAAAACTTTTTTAAAATTAATTTTGTAGTAAAAAGACCTAAGACTCAAAATATTTGCATAAAATGTCGTACAAACCTAGAAGTGTAAAAATAGAATAATTATAGCTGATTACGTTCTTGCTGTGACAGTTTTGTCATCAAGTTTAATTAGCATGTAACCAAGTAGTTACGAAGTAAATTTTGTTTACTGTTTACTCAATTAAGATTGCCCAAAGTTTAGAAGTACTAAAAGTAATGAGACTGTTTTTGATTACGTCAACCCAAACTTTTATTGCTCTATCAATCTAAAATTACTTTTATGGTGTTAAGTGGGTTTTCTGTAACTACTGTAAGCTGCGGAAGTTTAAAATTTGAAATTTTGCTTCTTGGTATATTGCTTAGGCTTCATCTGCGCACTTATTTTTAATAAAAAAGGTCAAAAAGTAAATAGAAATAGTATCTTATTTCAAGGAAAAACGAGTTTCGATCAACCAGAAAGCAAAGTAATATAGTAAAATTAACATTTCTTGATTTAAAAAAGCCTGTGGGTCACTCCGCAGCTTCGTATCTTGGCGGACCGTCAAAATGACACCGACTTTCGAGACATAGTTTAAAGCGGATCAAGATGTATATCCGGGAATGTCTGTCCAAGAGAACACATCTTATTAATGGGGATTGATGAGAATGCAACCCACCCCCTCCAACGTCTGGGCAGTACAAAAAAGTGACGGGTCGGAGATTCGTGATTCTGATTATGAGGTCAGGGCTACACGTTTATTACAACTCAGCGCACTTGTTCTGAACTATTATAACTCAACATTTGACTGTTTGATCTTGGAGATCAGGTGTTTTGACTAAGATAGGACAATATTTTTCAAAAACAACCCGTTTAATATTATAGTAGGCTCTAAAGCTAAACTATTGCATAATATACTTCAACATAGTCTATTCTCAAATGCCATTCAATTTTACTGTAATACCGTAAAAGGAAAAAGCGAGCCGTTACCGTATACCTTGTAAATAGACCCTCAAATCTCAAAAGTAAACTGTTTTACCTTAAAGAAAAAACAACTAGACGACTGTTCGCCCAACGTTTTGTTTGAACATATTGTTGGTGTGTTGAGTCATGGTAATCGCGTGATCATCATCCTCCGCGAAACGTGCTCACCGTATACTTGACTAACTATAGTTCATACAAAACACGTCAAGAGCGTGGGTATGTTCTGTTTGGCAATTGTTACCTGATTTACCGTACTTATAACCTCACTTTGTCTTATTGAATACCACCTACATACAGTATGATTATCTGACCCTACAAATGAGGTAGTATTGGTTAAAAATAAATATTCTCCAAATTCTTACTATTTGTCACATTCTGTCTAACCTCCCTCATTGGCAATTATAACACAAGTCTACCGAATACAATATATACACAACCCATCTGAACCCATACTCGTTGAACAGCATGATTCACTCCCCAAACATTACAGTACCTCACGTGTGATCGGTATGTTGTTGAAGGGGGTGGGCTGAACATCGAAGGTCATAAGTCCCGTTGAACTGCACTTTGCCTGCACTTGGTCGCGCGGATTCTCTTATATTATTCGTATGTTTCTACGTGGTAAGCGGAGGAGACATTACACTACGCCTTGTAGCATACTTTTTGCTGTTTAGTTAATATAACTTTAGGTTGAACTAGCCAAAAACTTAGTATATTTAGTAGCGTATAGAAAGTGTCAGTGTTCGTATGAATTTGACAGTGTAAACTGGAGTTACTACAGTAAATTTCAATATGTTATTCTTAGGATGCAAACGCAAGCGATTGTTACTGTTTTTCAAAACAAAATACATTTTTGTACGCTGTACACTAAAATATGTAGAGCCAAACTAATTAAATCAATCTACCCTACAACTATATTACTGTAATACCTTGCACCGCGTACCGCCTATTTCCGTTCTCAAGCCAGCTTTAGTTCCATTGTCAAATTTTAAAGCGATGAACCGCAAAAATCGTCTGAAATATTAATATTGTTTTGTTAAACTTTGCCGCGTAGGTTGTTCCAGGTTAGATACGAAGGTCATAGTCAGTGGTCCGCATTATTCAAAAACAAATTTTTAACCACTTTTAAACTTTAAACATAAAAGTGCATTTAAAAATAGTTGCGATGGCATTATTTATAGTACTATGTTAAAGGCAAAAGTTATAACTGCCGTCATCAAAAAAGTTGTAAACCGCCTACCTTAATTTTTTTATTTTGAAACAAGGTAAAAGTACAATATTAGGTATTACTGAACCATATCTATAATGCAGTTTTTGACCTATATTTCAGTATTTTTCCAAATTTTTAAATTGTTTTTTGTTTTTTATAGTTTTATGTCATCATCGTCTAAAAAATGAACTTTTGTGTCATATTTCTTTAAATGTTACAACTTTTGTCATAACTACTTAATATTCATAATCTCGCATCAATAATGTTACTAATCTAAACAGGAACCTTTTCACAAACTTATAACTCCTATAAATCGCAACCCGTTCAAAACCAACAAATCTGTCATCTCACCCTCCCCACTGGCCCAACACACCCGATGTTTAGGTAATTAAAAGAGGAAAGAATCGTTGATCTTTGTGTAAACAGATTACGGCATGAATTTTTTGGGTAGAAAAAATTAAACAAAAAAGAAAAAAAAACAAAAAAGGGAGAAATGTTTCTGAAGCCAAAACGAACAGTGTTCCGTTCCCCGTCCCTGCCCCGAAAACGTCTTTTCTTTGTCCCTAACCTCGTCTTGGTGGTAGGAGAACGGGGAAGTGATTGTGGATATTTCAACTTGGGTTTTCAAGGTTACGGTAGTGTGAAAATTTCTGAAATTTTACCGTATTGTTTCGAAATGACAGCATGAATATGTTTGGTTCAATGATTTTTTTCAGGAAATTTTAAGATTGCTTTCGAAATGTGAAAGCAATCCTTTTTACTTATATATATTATTATTGCAGACTGTGATTCTTGGTTAATTTTTGACCTACTTTTATATTAATATTTACATTTGAAACTTTCGATTGCAATAGCAATATGTCAGTTAGATCCTATACTTTGACATCTCATGCTTTTAAAGTTTCTTGGACCATTCTAGAAACTATAGCTCGATCTAATCGTTGATAAAACATTTCCACTTTCGTTACCCATGCTATAAAAGCATATATTTAAGACCGCCTATGTCATCAACCAAAAGTCAATTTTTCTGGGTACAATACTCAATAGCATCTTAAATTGTTACAAATTTTTAAAAGTATACCAAACTCATTGTAAAAGTGTCAAATGTTTTGTTACTACAGAGTTTTTTGTCATACTAGTTTTGATACTACAATTTGTAAAAGTATATTAAGCTAGCTATAATAAAAGTCTTTGCTTTATTAAAAAAGATTTTAGCACAAGTTTTGAATGTAGTTAGATAATAGTACGAGTACAAAAACCCTCGTTAAGGGAATCATTAAACAGTTGCAGTAAAGTGTAACGTGTAACGGTTACTGAACATTTATACATTTTGTACATTTGCTGTTAAAAGTACTGTAAAATGCTTACTATGTTAAGATGGTTTTACTAATGAAAGGTAGTTTACCCTATTTTAAATTTATATTAATCTTGATGTTACCTTTTTTTTTAAAAGTTTTTTCTCATTTTAGCTTGACCATATCCCTGTTCATGGTGTTTAAACTTGTTACAGTTTTGTATTACAAAGTCCGCTTCCGTTAACCAGGCCCACAACTTTCAACTTATTTCTTTTTTGTGCACTTTTGTATTTTTTTTGTCGCGACAAATTCGTTTTTTGACCTTTCATTAGGCGGGTGTTCCCCTTTCCCCATTATTTCACCGTCCATTTTTGCATTTTACGAGGAATAATGGCAATTATTTGGCTGTTAAAGCGTCTACTAGATGTTAATTCTTGCATGCATTCTGCTGTCTTTCCTATACTGTCCTTATACTGCCAGTTAAAACAGCCCTACCTCTTATATTTTTTGCAAAAAAGTTTTTAAACCGGACCTACCTCTGACCACCAATCTCAAAAGTGATCCTTTCTTTGTATTCAACTTGACAGGCCCTTGAAACTGTGATACAATGCATTGGAAGGTACCTTGGTCTTCCGAGTTTACTGAGTGGATTGTCAGGCCTAATCCTTTTGCTCGTACTATCCGTCCTAAAATAGAAGTTAGATTAATTTGCAAATTCCTTGTTTTAAATTTAAATTTTAATGGTATTATCCCTGTTTTTGTATAATTTTAATCAATCTGTTAACTTTACTACAAACATTACATTTTTCTTTCTTTTTAATTATTTCTGTTCAAATTTCTTTTAGTTTTTAATGTCATATTTTGAAAAATACAAAAATTTTTAAAACTTGGTCTTACAGTTTTGGTCAGCAAATGTGCCAACGTACTGTTTTTGGGATTAAGCATATACACAGTAGTTATTAAAGTGTTATTTTAACATTTACGTTAACAAAAGTCTCATCAACATGTTTACCGGATTGAAATGTAAAATTGTGTAATTTTTTGTGATTTCGTTAGTGATATTTACATTTGCATACCCACAAGCTGTCAATTAAATACGGTTCAATTACCTTTTATAATCTTTTGTCTTTAGAATAATTAGGTTTGGTGAGATTTATCTTGTTAAAACCATTTTTCGAAACATTTTTGAAAAAATGTAGTCTTGTTATGTTAAAATAGTCAAAATCCCAAGCCGTCATCGGATTCATAACCTCGTATGTTGCGTTCTAATCCCCTACCGTACGCCTATTTGTTTACTACATCTCGTATATCCGTTTTGTATGTTCAAAAAAGTGTGTCATCGTTCGCAATAAAACTTTCATCTTGTATTTCAGTTTTTCGACCGCCAAAAAACCGTTAAAAAGCGGTTGAATTGTAACTTTATGCTCATAAATTGACACTTTATCCTTTTTGCATTGCCATTTCAACTTTTTCAACTATAACTTTACTAATTTCGCACTTTTTTGATTGCGGTATTAATAGCATTCGCAACGGGCGGTCGATTTCATCACCTACAGTACGCCATTCGTTGGTCTTGAATGTCCACATAGTTTTCGAATTATTCGAAACGGGAGGGCGGGCCCGTTTGCTGTTGCCGTGGCAAGAGTTTTCGAAATAATAACAATATAAATGGCGTACAGAGTAATAATTCATGGTGAGAGTTTTTTACTGTCTCAACCAGAAATATGCTGCTCTTTCCGTGATGCGCCCTGAGGCCTTGACCCGGTTGTCGGGTATCCCATCATCCCAACTCATAATTCATTGTTAATGTTAATCGTGGATACGTTGTTTTGGTGATGGTTGTTGAACACTGTTTAAGGTTATATGTCACGATCGATCGTAACAAAGACTTGCAAACATTGTAAACACCTACTGCATCACGGTAAACGCCGTGCTACCGCATATAACTAATCACCCTGTCTATGTTACTATTTTAATATGACATACATCTCCCCCTTGTACGTTCCAACCCCGACTTTTGATTATATCGCATTTTCAGTCAGGGGTTACTCGGAAATGGAAGGGCTCGGCGCGAGCCTTTTTTTGTAAAAGTGATTTATACTTGCAATCAAATTAAGTTTGTTATTTATTGTCGTTGCAGATACTGGTCGGCGTTCCGTTCCCACTCGACCACGAATACCGACCGACCCTGGATTCGCAAGACGCTACGGTGTTCAAGCGGGTGAACCAGTGGGCACCAAGGCATTCACTTCAGCTAAAGCACTACTCTACCGCACTCCAGCCTGACGACGCTCAGCCTGACCGTTCAGACCAACTTCAACTCAAGTGGCCCCAACTTGACCAACCGACGCGAACCCATCCTGAACGACCCCAGAATCCGGCGTTCTCTTCCCAATTCCATAAGCGCCGGAAGAAGGGATCCATCACGTGTGGAACGTCGCGAACTCGGTGACCCGGTGCTGATCCGCCCCGCTTTCGGGCTTTCGCAACCCACGACTCATCACAACGGCACCCAAATCCCACATTGTTTGCCGTCGACGATGCTTATATCACGACGAATATTGCTCAGCCTAGCCATTTGTAGTTGTTTGGCTGATGCCGGGAGAGTGGACGAGTGTTGTAGGTCACATAACATACCCGACAACTGTGTCAAGACGTTGTGTTACCCACTCAATCCTCCAGGTGACTTTGCGATTTACGATATCTTCCAAAAGAAGAATAACTGTTCTAAACACTTGCCCATGATAGCCGAGTGTTTATCAGATGGCCGAAATCACTCTCATTGTTGTCAATCAGAGGCCAAAGATATGGACGAGACGGCCTGTTTCGGCCTCTGCGAAGGCTCAGGGTTCACAACAAAGAACTTGAAGAACTACCAGACATGCCTAGCTATCAACTTGGCTAGCATGTTCAGCTGCTTTCAACGAGGCTACGAAAACAGTCCCAGTCCACCAACCAGTGTCAGGATGGAGAATGTTGGTACTACAAGTCTGACTATAGCATGGGATCAACCAGAGCACAATCCCGGAGCCGTGTCTAATTACGTGCTTTTCGTGCAAGAGAAGATACTCGACGCCCCAGATAACGCGACTTTCGTAAAAGGCCTTGAGCCTAAAGAAATCAAATTGGAAGTAGATGGAACAGAGGTTACGGTAACCGACTTGGAGCCCGGAACGAGTTACAATGTTCACGTGACATCAGTTGGAAGTAAATCGGAAGAACGGTCATTGTCAACTGATGTTTTGGCCATTCAGACGACTGGTGTAGCTCCCAAGATTCACGGCTACAACGATGTGGTACACTCGCCTGAAACAGCAACTAGTGTTGTGTTAGCTTGTAGTATTCACATGAGCAGCATCTCCAAAGACTCTACCAAGTTCCAGTGGCACCACAAGACGCCTGGGGGAGCACTAAAGTTGTTGAACGACGAGTCCAAGTATAACATCTCGTACTATGTATTTTCGTATGAACGTCCTCGTGAGTACGTCACAACTCTTGAGATCAAGAATGTGAAAGACGCTGACTTTGGACTTTATCAGTGCTCAGTGTCTGATAAGTACGGAAATGCAGAAGCCGAAGTCCAACTTGCTCTGTCATCTGATCCTACCGCTCCTGCACAAATGCCACCTCAAACTCCACTAGAATGTTGTAAGAACCGTGGTATTGAGAACCGGTGTCTTCCTATGTGTGGTGCTGGGCATGACTCTACTGATACCAAACGGTACGTTCCTCGACCGTTCATGCCTTCAAACTGTGGTAGCGTTATCGGCAAGGTGCTGTCATGTGCAATGCCAGGAGTCAACGATGGAGGATGCTGTCTTCGAGAGCACGTTCCTCGAGCGTGTATGTACTTGTGCGATTCGAGTATCACTCCCACCAATCAGATGGACCCCATGTGCATAGCACACATGAGTTCAGTCGAAAAGTGCCGTGTATTTGGTGTGCGACAACGGCCTAGTATACCGAAAGCCAAAATAGAGCAAGCCGGACCAGATGCAATAAGCCTAAAATGGGATGCGGTACCAAACGCATTAGCCTACCACGTTTACTGGAAGGTTGGAAGCGAGTGGCGCAAAAAGAGTACCAAAACGACGTCGGAGAAGATCGTGACCACCGAAGACCTTGTCCTAGTCGCCGCCAACACGTTCGGTCTCTCTCAGGCCGTCCGCTTCTCTCAACAGAATGGCAAATGGACATGGTCCGGATAAACTTAAATTGGTGCAACATAATAACTGGGTGGCGGAGCCGGCTCCGCGCGGATATCATTCTCATATTGTTCGGGTTACGCTTTCGTTATGATCTCATTTACATAGCCATAATTTTTAGTTGTTTAAACTATTTAGTGATTTGTCTATGAATCCATTAACTTTTGTATATTTTATTAAAATTTTGAAAAATGCAAAATATTAGCTGGATTCACGTAACATTAGTGTTGAATTCCATTATTTAACTAATTATAGTTATTGTTGAAATTTCTAGTTGATTATTTAGCCATCTCTCGGTTGCAATCCCACCGTCAAACCAAATACTTGTCCTATCTTTAAGTGTTATATTTGTTGCTGAAGCTTTACCCCTCCCTAACTTTCCAAAGATATATTTGTGTCCAGCTGTAGACGTTGTGGTAGTTTCTACAGTCATACGAGTTCCTAGAGTCCTGATCATTGTTCATATCAACATATAAGAAGCATAACGGTTATCACTTTGTTTAGTTACTGTGTACATTAAGTTGTTGCCTTGTTTTTGTTCTGTATAAACCACACCATGTGCATTAGAGAACCTAATAATAAATATAAAACAATATCCCCATCGGTTGTTGATTAGAAATGAAAAAGTGCAAAAAAGTGGCGTCGACCCTATTTTGAGTCAAGGTCATCGTTGTTGCACTTAGTAGTATATGTTTCTCACCGACAAAAGTGCAACAAACGCAGGAGAACCCCCGCCCTGGTTAACGGTTTCAAAAAGAATGTTTCTCGAGAGTGATCCGCTAACGAGTTGAGCAAACCAGAGAGAGATAAGAGAACGTAAACAACAATAACCAGCTCCCAAAATAGCTAAATGTTCAAGAAGTAAGTTCACGACTAATTTTGGAAATCGAAGGAATGTGTTTTACGAAGTGAAAGTTTAAAAATTAAGGTTAGAAAGTTTGTTATGATTTGAAAACAAAAATGAAAAGTATACGTTGTAAAATATAATGAGTTATACGCCGACCAACTTTCGTAAAGATATATAATAAATCAAATGGTAAAGCATTTCAAAATCGGTTAAAAAATTTCCAGATAAATCAACCTAATTTTTAGCCATTTTTCACGATAATTTTATGCTTTTGAAAAAAAAAGACACTGATTAGACAATTCAATACAGGAACTTGTTTTTAACTATGTGACATTTCATTTCCTAAGTAAAACTTTGTATTTTTATCGTAAGAAAGTAGCTCGCAATTGTACTCAAAAGCCGGAAAAATAACCAAAAGTGACAGTACTGAAGCGCAATTGTACTCCAGGAGATCGCAACAACTGTCTTGTGACTTTTACGTCGTGTTATCATCCAATATTGTGCGAATTTCAATGTAATTGTTATGAAAACAGGTTTGGACAGGTTGTTTTCATACGAATCGTTATTTGTGAAAGATACAATAGCACTTTGAATCAATTTCGAAACTTTTAACAATACTATTCAGTGTTTTGCCGGACCGGTCCGGTCCGGATAGTCCGTCTTTGGCTATCAAGTTATTACCGAAATGGACCGCCCGGACCGGCAAGACCGATTCGGTCCGGCCGGTCCAAATGTTTAGCGAGGAACTTGTATGAGACGGACCTTCACAAAAGTTATTTATTTTTTAAAACTTCAAACCATAAGCTTAAAAGTTATTTTCAATCTTGCAATTTTTGAAAATCCGGACCGGACTCGGTCCGGCAAAACACCGATGCTATTGAGGTCGTGTGTTTGGTCTCATTGGTTTCTTGTAGGTATTGTTTCGACGATTGTATAATTTGTAAAACTTTTTAAAAATTATTTCGGTTTTTATAGCTTTGTATGAGTTCTTCAACGTATATCCTAAGTGAAAAATTCCCGGAATTTGCAGTTTGCCTTAGAGCGCAGTATTTGTCTAGTATAAAGTAGAACTTTGATCCGAAAAAAGTAATTATATCTTTTGAAATGTCTACTGAAAACAGGACAAACATAGCCTCCACACACGATATACACCCTCTCAAGTAAATACGATAGAAACTAATCTGAAGATGAAACTTTGGTCTTGGTAATCTACTTCCACGGTAACTTTTGACAAAAACAAAAAAGTTCGACAAAAATATTTTCCTCTTAATCCGTCTTTACAGTAAATTTTAATAAGTTAAATTTGAAAAAATAAAGTTTTATTATTAAAAGTCTTGAACAAAGTTCTGCTTTTCAAATTTTAAGCTTCGGCTTTCTCCAGTTATTTCAAAGCTTGAACTCCCGCTCCGCACTCCTTAGCTCGATTTTTGGCAAGCTCTAGGTGCGCTTCAGACCCCAACAATTTAAATTGCTTTAAAAGCTGCTTAAAAACTACCAAGACGATTTTAGCCAATAATATTACCTAATTTTTACTCTATACTAACATACCTTGCATATTTGGCGCTGCATTTCCAGTTTCATTCCCAAAAACATTGAATATCAAAATCGATTCTCTTCTCCATTCCAACGCTGTCTTTGTGACTTCTGGATCGACTTCAACATTGCACGGTAAAGTGACTGGCTGGTTAATCTTGGCCCACACTGTTTTGATCATCTACAAAATGAAATATTGAAAAAATTTAAAAATGTAGTTCAGGATCAACAATAAGGCAAAATGAGATTGGTCAGAAAATAAATAGAATTTAAAGGCTTAGAAAAATTAAAAAATTTAAAAATTATGTTAGCGCAGAAACAATTTTAAGACCGTTTTACCAAAATGATACCTAAAAATTTTAAAAAGGAAAACGCGAAAAGTATCTTAAAATATAGATAAAGCTTCACACTCAAGTTTCTAATGTCAACTTTCACTGTAACCTAATTTCTTCTTTAGCAAAGTTTATTTTACAAATTCTCGTCACGTAGAATGCCGGATTCATGCATAAAAAAGTGAAACCGTCAAATTCAAACGGAAAATAACAAAAACTTTGGCAATGCAATAATATATAACAAAAAGTAAATATAAATTTGGAGAGGACAATTGAGATACCTAACTTTTTGTCAAAATATTATCAATAAAACAGTTTTCTTCGGTAAAACAAGAATTTGTTTGGGTCAAGTCTTCCTCTTGATCAAAGAATTGAAAAAAAATCAACGAAATACGACTGTTTCTGCCAAGATGTGGGTATACTTTTGCTTGCGGTTTGTTAACACAACATAAAACCTGTTTATAAAACGTAAGTCTTGAGATAGTATTTTTAAATACTTTAAAATCTTTATTTTTCTAGATTTCCCGCCACATTCAATATTATCAGGATTAAATTGAAAGGTAAGAATGTATTACTTGAAACGTAAGGATAAATATTAGCACTGTTAGCGCTGACGAACTAATATCAAGGTAAGCAACAAGACATCATAGTGTCACCTTTTAAAAAGTAAACGTTTTAAAGAGTTTGTAAAACCATAAAATTCAAATTTTAAATCGCCCCACTTGAACTTGGCAAACTTCTCGCGACCTCTGGAATGGGATGAGCGGAAGAATCTCCGGTGCCGAGTAACTAATTTATGCAGCGCGGATAAAAGGTTAAAGGGCGATTAATCAGAGGCGGGGGGATCGCGAGGCTGTCTTCGGCCGCGCTCTCTCTGGGTTTAAAACCACAAAACAATAGTGCCTAAGGGCATTCAGAAGAACAGGCGTCGTGGCTTCCTTTCTTTGCCAGATCTTTGTCACATTTTGTGTTTACACAGTTATGCAGATTGTTGTTAATGTTGTCAAATGTTACTTGTGTTGACAATTGCTGTGTGCAAGTCAAGAAGGTTCATTCCTTTGGTATTTTTAAATTAAAATACTTTCAAATTTGGAAATAAATGTTAAAATGTTGAATTTAAAATTTGGATAAGCTACAGCAAGTCATAATGGAATTTGATTACAAAACATGTTTTTCTAATTTTTTATAATTTGAATATTACGATACAATAACACGAATTTGTAACTTTACAATAGGAGAATTGGAAATTGTAATTTCTAATTGTTCCATACAATTTACCGTATGCCAAACAACACGTACACAATAAAGTCATACCTACAAGTTGGGAAAGAATGTTATGCTGAAAAACGTTTACAATGCACAATAACATTTAAAAAAAATACTGTATATTGAATATTAAACTCAAAAATGATTTTTGACGGTGTGTATATTCGAATTAAAATTGAAATAAATAAGTATAATTATTTTTAATTTTTCAAAAATTAAAGTTTCTAAAAATATTTTTGCGTTATCAACTACGAAAAGAAGACAAACCTAATCATAAGCAGTTTGTGATTATATTGGTTAAACCACTACTTATATTTTTTGAAAATTTTTAAATATAACTTTAGTTTTAAGTAACTTTTTATCTTCTCCAGGAACTGTTTTATTACTTTTGATGTGCGTCACACTCTGAAAATGTCATTTATCATGTTTTCATAAAAGTTTAACTCATATACATTAAATAATCCATAGTTTATACTTGTAATCCGACAATAAATAAAAGGTCATAAACAAAAAATGTCATGAATTTGTTTCAAAACTGACTTGGCTTATTTTATTTAAAAAAACGATTTTTTACATGCCGAAAGATTACGGTATGTTATGTTTAGACACTTATTTACTTATTTATTTTGTAAAACCACTAATGTAAATATTTTTTTTTATATATACAGTCAAACCCCTTCAGTGAGACACTCAAAGGTCTAGACCGAAATGCCATTATAACCAATACTAAAGAGGTTTTACTGTTTACGTGTATAATAGCTTCCAGTAACAATTGGATTAACTGTTGATTTGCAAAACATTTGTTTGTCTATTGCTACTCAATTAGATCCTTAAACATTTTTAAAAAAATTAAATTTGCAACTTTCTCAGAATTTTAAATTTAAGAGAAATCTTAAACTTTATGACAACATATTTAATTTACTACGAAGAATAAGAAAAACAATTAAATGTCCAAATTGGCCTCCGAGGAAAGAAATGGTCAAAACAAACTATCGATAGATAAGGTCCATAACTTTGTCGCGTTTTTCTCACTAATTTTAGCACAGTATCTAAAAGAGAATGTCAGTTCCGGCTTAAATAAATTCAAACTTGGTTAATTGTTTTAGGGAAAGGGAGGGGGGGGGGACAAGAGTTGTAAACAAAGGGATGCACACTTACAGAGTTTACTGCCACTTTTGTGTTTTTTGGTTTGGAACTAAGTTTTTTTAGGTCTTTTTTCACTATAAAATTATTTTTTAAGTGTCTTATAGGTTAGTACATCCTTTATAAGTTTAAACTCTGTGATCACTGACCTTTTTAGTATGTGTTCTCTTTTTATGCCATTTTCTTTACACTTAAACAAGCGAACATGAAAAACATCCTTAGTTATTAGATGTTAAGGCTGTTTTATTTCAAAATCTTTATTCCAATTAAGACGTGACATCTTCTTGGAATGTGTTCTTAAGCGCTTAATTGTATGTTTTAAGCCGGATTTCAGGTGGCAACTGATAAGTATGACATTTACTTTTATCATATTTTTATTTTTTCGTATAACTGTAATTTTCGTAAATTACTTTTAAAAAAATTTGAAACACTTTTTTTTGGGTTATCTTTTCTTTTTTGGAATTGTAGCCAAGTCTAATGGTTGACCTTTTCATTTGGGTAAACTGATATTTCATGTTAATTAACGTTGAGAAGTCCTGCTAAAATTTTTCAAAAAAAACATTTTATGGCATATTATTGAAATAGCTAAAACTATTTTTAAACCTTACGTACGGCATAAAATTTTTTTTGTATGTGCTTTCAAACTTTATTGTTTTAGTAACTAAATTATCTTACCCATCTTGTGCTACGTGCTCAGATTGAAGAGAAGCGTATTTGAGCGGAAGATAATGTTGTTTCTTCGTAGAGTATGTTTGCTTAAATGAAATTAGATTCGGATTCATGAGTCCATAATTCGAACCCGTTTCAAGTCGATGAGGTTTTAGTTGTTGTCCTAGTCACTTGTGCTAGCTCGGCTCTCTAGCAAAAACTATGTTTTAAGTACAGTAAAATTCTATATAACGAACTCCCCGGGGATTTAATATTTGTTTGTCATCGTATACAGCAAAGGATTAAATTTGTTATACAGAGTTTTCTTTACAGAGAAGTTTGTTATATTCATAAGTTTTACTGTGTATAATATATATAGTTAACGTCTTTTATCTAACTACAACAGAACCTAAATTAAAGAAAACTCGTAAATAAGGCCTAAAATTACTTTTTAGGTACTTGTTTACGTGCACTTTTGTACTTGAAGTTTAATTTCGATATTCTTTATTTGAGTGCACTTGTGAGATACTTAATCCAACTTTGTCGTATGTCTGCGTTTATACTGTTTTAAGTCGTACTCTGGTGAAATTTCCAACGTTTCCGTAGTTCTTTGGTGAAGTTTTGAGACGTTTCTATAGTATTAAGTTTTTTAAACTATTCTGTGTCTTCTGAACCCGAAAATTTGCTTTGAGAGGGAGCACAGAATTAATTGAACATCCTAATAAGTATTTTGGTGGTTTATCTTCTCCTGTAAGTGGTGGTCAAGCACTAGGGAAGTAAAATGGGGGAAGAGGGGATTCTTTTAGCGTTTTTTTGAAACTTTTAGTCTTTTGGGTAACACTTCTCAACTTTTTGAACCTTGTTGACAATTTTGGTTTTTCAATTTGATGACTTTTAGTTTTTACCGTATCGAATATCAGATGGTTTTTTAATGTTTGAAACATAAATATTTATAAATTTGGTAATTTGATACAGTTTATATTTATCTTACTTTAAATTCTATTATAAGATGACACTGTGGTATGTAAAGTAGGGCAACTTTTCAGTTCGTCAAAGCCTTGAACTTAATGTTTAGTTTTCTTATTTAAATTTTGAACGATACAATTATGAAATGCTCTTTATATTCGTTGAGCTCTTATACATAGTTTGATATTTTTTATGAACTTTACAACTACTCTATTATATAGTACATGCTCAAAATTATGTTTGCTTTAATCTCGAAACTAATGATGGTCAAGTTGCCTGGGGCGGTGTGTAAACGAAGGCCCGAGGCAAACTGGACAAAAGTATGGTGTCCGCAACACCTCGAAATTGCCTTGGAGATTGAGTATTGGAATTGCTTAGCTATTCCGAAGAGGTTGTGAAGAGTTTGAAGAAGTAGACCAACTGGCCCTAATGGGCCGAACCTTCTTCTGATTACGAAAGAGGAAAGAGGCCACTGTACTTAAAACAATATATTTGAATAAGTGCAAAACAATCAAATGGAGCGTGTTCATGTTTACATAATTGAATATACGAAGCTGTTCGATTATGTTCTTTGAGTGCAACATCTGTCTGTTGTACGATGTGATCTTTTGCTGGGCATTTCCTGGTTTTGAAGTTTTATATAGGCTTTAATTATTATAGTCTAACTTATTATAATATTTTATATATAGTTGAGTATATGCAGTCATATGGCGTTATAATTTAATCGTATAATCAAAAAATTTTTAATTTTATCATTTTATTCAAAGTTTCAAGCGCTAGTATGTTGTAGTACATTCCCAATTCCCAGTATTTCATGTTGTACGTCAAATTGTTTGGCACAATTTGTGGGCTACCGTATAATTGGTTTGGTTTCTTAAGTTTCTTTTTCTCAAACAAATCCAAGAAATGGCAGGTTTGTGGGAGAAGACTTTTGATAGGCATCGGGTAGCCTGTCGCGCTTCCTGTCCTCCCATTTCCTTTCACTCTCAGAGTACGAAGCGTGTCATGGTGGTATTTTGAGAGTAGACAAAGTTTAACAGTATTGGTTCTTGATTAGTGGCAATTTATGACGGGTGTTATTAGCGCAAGCAGTATTTTTTTTTTGGAATAACTTGTTGTTGCAATTTGTGTTATAGGACTAATATAAATACTAATACATCGTTTTATCATTGTTGTTTATGAGAAATGTAACGTTATATAAAGAAAGTAACACTGTACCAGCTTTAACACAAAAAGAAAAGCATAGTATATTTGTAAGGTTAACATAAAGATGGGAGCGATATTTTTTAGGTTCAATATGTGTACTTTTACTATTTTTAGTTGTCCGGTACCTTCAAGTACTTTATATTAGTATCATTTTCTTCTTGGAATGTTCGTGTTGATAAACAGTATTATAATTCCTGTAGTAAAATGCCATAGTAGGCTATAGTCATTATGGTAATTGTGTGACGACATTCTATTTGTTGGCATACGTGACGATGACAATAGGGTTTATAAAACAATTCTTTTTACAGTACTATAGAAGTTGTTCTTTGATATCTAGTTGTGATAATGTGTTTTATAATAGCAATAATAGTAATAATAGTATTTTAAAGATTAATTTTTATTGTACTATCGGATTCACTTTTCTTTGTTTTTAAGAAGATTTTGCTGTACTTGTAATCACCCAAGTATTTTGTTTTTTAAATTTTAAAAATTTTGCAAGTTTTTATTTATTTTCAAGCCCATAATAATGTAGAGTAACTCAAAAAGAGCTGCTACATAAACAAAGTTTACTTTCAGCTCCTTCTCTATAACGGTTTTTGCTCATGATGACATTATATACCCCGCAAATTCCATTTATCCGTTATCACATGTTGTAACAAACCCCTTCTTCCATTCCATCGACCAGTCAGTCTGGCCTCGAAGCCACTCCACTTTCTTTGAGACTTGAAATGTGAACTTTCACGTGAGAGAGGAACGTCCACCTCCCCTCCCATTCTCTCTTGTTTATCAGCGCTTCTGAAGTGAAGTGGAGGGATTTGCATAACTCACCTGGAGGGGCTCATGCCACCTCATCTTCACTGTGCAGGGTATTCCGCGACGTGCGTCTGACTGTTATTAGGCCACAAAGATTGGTTTTGGGCTTTTAAGTGTTCTTTAAATTTAGGTATAAAAAATTAAGGGTTGGGGTTAAAGGTACCGCTCATATAGAGACTTCTTGACCAGTTTAAGCTACAAATTTTATTGATTTAAAACGATATTATTAGTCTAACATCAAGTAGTGTATGTAGGCCAATTGTTGTTTGCTATTTTAAGAATTTACTGTTAGTGTCTCAAGACTACTTGACCGTTAAAATGAAATACTGTGAGAGTAAACATAGTTATTTGTTAATACAGAAAACTGGTTATATTTTTTTTAATATAAGCCGTAGTTTAGATGGACTACGACTATTTGTTATCAGGCCACCGTTCTGTTGAAACATGGGTCCCAATTAATTCCTGATGTTAGTTTTTGAAACTTTTGTCTTTTCTTCATTAACTATGCCTCAGGGCAGGGTCTTCTTTGAAACGTACAAGTGTTTTTGATTAAAGTTTGGCAAAAAATGGTTTTTTTAATTCAAAATTTTTTAAATAAAATTTTTTTAAAAATAATATTTTTTGGTTTCTTTATCAATAACTTTAAAATTAAAAAAAATTCTAACTCACAAATTTAAATTTTGAAAACTCAACTTTCCTCCAAAATTTAAAATTTCAAAAAATTATCTTGTTTTCGAAATGACTTTGCAGAATGACAGAGTAAATATGTGATATTATACATTGAATCCAGAGTATTTCGTCCCTGTACTTCCGTGTAAGCAGACTTTGTTTGCAATCTAATGTGATTAATGTTACAGCCATGGCAGAGCCAACGGGGACGACCTACTCATACAAAGAGAACCAGACAGAGGTGGTATCACCTGTAATGTCGTTACCAATCATCGAGGCTTCTGTAATCATGACGGTGGTGGCCTTCTTCGCTTTGGTGGTCAATTTGTACCTTCTTAACGTAGGTTGTTAGATATAAGCTTATATTGCGAATATTATATTGGCTTTTTATATATACCTTCATTTCAAAAGCAGAAAATCATTTTAAGTTTTAAATATTGTAGTAGACTTTTACAATATAAACCCATCGTTATAAAACTAAAAACATTGATTTAGTGTTCCCGATACCTCCGCAAACCGATCGGTGTCAATCTGCGATTATGTGTCAGTTTAACAGCATCTAATGCAGCTTGTGCACATTTCTACATTTTAAGTAATGTCATCAACGTGCTGTTGCCTGCGGCCGTAAACTCGGATGGTGTGATATCAAATTGCTTCACTATTTTAATTGAGGTAAGAGTAATCTCAATGTTTTCATGATTAGCGTCTTATAAACCTTAGCTTTAATTAATTATCGGAGATTAGCCCAGGTTTACATGATAACTCATTAGAAAAGTAACTTAATAACAACCTTCAACTTCCTTGTTACCTTTTTTAAATATTAACTTGAAAAAAATTTATTAATTTTAAAAATTTTAAGTTAAAAATACTTTTCAGATTTTAAAAATTGGCACCTTCTTCGCTTCCGTATTCACGTTACTTTCGCTAGCATTAAACCATTATGTGGGTGTTGTGTACCCCCTTAGACGACATGCCATAACCTCAACAACAGTACGAGTAGCTATCACTTTGGCTCATTTTGTGCCAATCATGGCGTTCTTAACCTTATTCACGGTGGTTCCTGGCGGATTTAGAGCCGGTAAACCGTTCGCTTTCTTTTCTAAAGACGGATGTCAAGGTGGAAATATCTTCAGTAAGTTATTCTGTATACTTTTTTGCTATAATTTTACACGTGCCATCAATTTATTGCTTCGAAATTAAAAAATTTTAAGAAATTATGTAAAATATACCCTTTAAAAACCCAAAAATTTAAATTTTAGAGCGATTTTCGGTTCGGATAGCAATCGCCTTGCCTTTCATTGTGTTCGTACTTATTATTTCGGCATTGTACATACACATACTCATACACATGCACTCAAATACGACAGATCCTATACTTACAACTGCTCATACAAAAGCAAAAAAGAATTCTAACCGACGTCTGTTGAGTACAATCATGTTACTGGTCGGTTCGGCCGTGTTGGGTAAGTGATTAAGGCACTTAAAGTAAACAAACAACAATGACGATACTTAATTATAGTATTCATGGACTTTTTCAAAACAAAATTAAGGTTTTAATGGTGTAAAACCAAATTTAACCCATCAATTTTGGCAAATTTGTGATTATTACAAAGTGATATTACAAATTAAAATTACAAAATTCAAATTTCCCGCCAAAATGAGTTATTTTTTGTAAATTTTAATACCAGCAAAGCTTGTCACAATAACTTTGTTTACCTCCTCAAGTACTTTATCACTTCAGGATGGCTGCCAACTTTGATGCAATATATCCTCTTCTGTCCCGGCTGTGTTTTCCAGCTTCAACTGACACACGGCTTCTATGTGAGTGTCATTTCGCAGCTGGTGAATGTCCTCAAACTACTGGCAGACGCTTTCATTTATGCCAACCGGCTAATCGAAATCAGATACGCCATGTGGATGTTTCATCGCAATGTTCTGAGCGGTATTACAGGTAGGCTTTGACTTTCGAAACTTATCTTTAAAAAAAATTGAAATTTCAAAAAAAATTTTAAACATTTTTTTAACAAATATGAAAGCAAGTAATCTACTACAACATCCCAATATACTATCCTATAAAAAACATCCTTTCAGGCAAATCCAGCCAAACAGAACCGCCAGCCGAGTTCGCACGCTACATCAAGAGCACGACCGCATATCACACTCTACAGAGCACAACCAGATTCATGAACAAACGCAACAACTCCAGCGACTACAATCAAGCCAACGAAGTCAGCAACGGCAACTTAAACAAAGCTTTAGTGAAGACGTGAAGCAATGTTCATATATTAGCCATATTGTGATTTTATATTATGTGAACACCACGTCACGTTCCCGTTGTTATTTCCTATAATTTATAACTCATCGTGATCCAGTGTGCTGGTCTGTTCCAAAAGTTTATAGAATAGATAGTAAGCCGAATCCTATGAAAAGCCTAAAGAACAACATAAGAATACAAATCACTCCTTCTACAAATTTTATGACCAAGCACCTTGACTTCTGAATGATCTATGCCAGATGTAGTTGTTTCCCGATCTCATAATTATATCAAGACTCGACCCGAGTTGCCTAAGGTTGTGCCATTTGAAAGAATTCTATCGATGCAATTAAGCGAAATAAAAAACATAAATCACTTATCGGATCCATGTTATGACAAGATTTATCATCAAGGAAAACACTGACCCAAATATATATTAATGAACATTGTCTTACGTTCAGATCAAGTGTTTTGCTGTCAAACTAACTATAAGTGACATTTAGATGCTATGAATAGGTTAGCGTGCGTTTTACTCTGTAAGTAAACAAAATGGTAATTTTGTGACTATAAGTTAATTTCTCATTTAAAAAATATACAAATAAGTGTACTTTACATGACATAAATTTCTATTTACAGTACTATCAACCGCAGTAAACGCTGCCTACTTTGGAGTGTATATTGGCGACATTACGAGCAATGACAATTTGATCGCAAAGGCATTCATTGCCAATCGTACCACTATCCAACTGTCGGAAGTCAACATTCCTGACGGTGAGCTTACTTAAACTAGGGGTATCTTACTTAATCTGTAATTTAGACATTAACTACACGTTTGGCATCAAAAATGGTGACATAATAGAAAAACTAAAAGTAATGTACATTGTCGAAGGCAAAGGAAGAAAAGCGTTCTCAAAAAGACTGTAAGTTCTACCAAATTATTCTAATGCTGCAAGACTGGACAAGATTGTTTTACATGATAAAGTAAAACTGTTTAAAAACCAATTGTATTTTATATTGGTTTACTTAAATACGTATTTTAGCCGTAACGACACTGACATCCCAGAAAACAGCCGTCTGGTGTTAAGAATCCCCCGAGGAGTCGATAAGTGGGAAAAGCTAGTCATAAATGACGAGGAAAAACAAGTGAGAAACCCTTTCTTATTATTCATAACCTACAATGTTCTATTAATTTAATTTTAAATATTTTTCAGATTGAAATAGCTTCCGTAGACATCAACAAACCGTACCCAGAACCTTTCTGTTGCTTACAAACAAATCAATTCCAAGGAATCCAAGGAAAACACTACAATGTATCCACCGGACCTGTCACCGTACTAGACTCTCATACCGTTAGAATTTCCAAGTTTGCTTTTGATGGAACAAAGGCGCCAGGTAAACACAATAAAATTAAAATTGAATCAGCTAACTGTTAAAAATATGTGGTATCTGTTATAAATGATTATTATCATTTTAGATGGCTGGATCTTTGCCGGTAAAGGAGGTGTGTCACAAGAAACTGGACATAAACTTCAAGTACTTGGAAGAGATGAAGTTGTGTAAGTTGAAAGTTTTCCTTTTCGAACATTGTCAAATCTTCTTAAAGTATTCTATTGAAAAACAATACTTAATCTTTTTTCACGAATTACAGATTCAACTTTAAATTTTAACTTTCAGCCAGTGCGCCCTTCATGAACAATATGTTGGTGATGGCGAACTGATCGCTCGACTTCCGCCAAACGTCTCCGTCTACGATATTGATTACCTCGCCGTATTCTGCTATCAATACGACGTTGACTTTGGTCATTTAGATGTCAATTTTACACCAGAAGAAAACCCACTGCCAGCTTACATTCCTCCTACTAGTGATCAACCATTCCCAGCACCCAAGAAGTGTGACTGATTGCTAGTAGATTAATATCACAAAATTATATAAATTAAAGAAATAAAGATAAAAACTTAAATTACAAAAAGTTACAAATCAAAAAGTTCTTATACCACGCATGTACAATTTCGTATTCTAGAAAAATTTATAAACGTACGTTGACTAACGAATAGAACCTTAATTCAAATAATCCTTTTATTCTAACGCAGAAAGTCCCTATGAATTTACTTGGCGAGAACTCCTGGTTGTTTGTAGCGGTAACTCTCGGGCTTGCAGATAGCCTTGTAAGCGAAGACATCATCGTACAACGCCTGAAAACACAAATCGTCAACTTTACAGCTTTGGTTAAAAGTAAGCCGAAAATTTATAATTTTGTAGCCTCCTATTAAATCCCATACTTAAAGTGAAGTTGGATCATCTTAAAGAGGTAACAAAACGGCACCTTTTAAATCAAGTCACAATCTAAACACAAACGACGAAAAATAAAAGAACTTACCAAGGCTAAAGCTGAAGCAGCAAAGACGCCAGTGATGATCAAGTACATGTTGAACTTGCTTTGCAATTCACCATAGACAACACCGTATGGCTTCTGAGGAACTGGCATGTAGTCCAAAGTGATTGGAGGTCCGGGGTTAACAATCTCGTGATGGTCGTGTGCTTGGCGACGAGCTTGAAGACGAGTCAAACGAGCAGTGGCACTAGCCAAACGAAGACGGCCGATGAAACTCATGGTCTAAAACAAAACCTGAATCAAGCAAAAAAATATAAATTGTTGTCCACAAAGTAGACATCAAGCTATCAATCGCGCCTTACGCAGGAATATCTGCCAATTATTCAAATTTTAAAATATTTTTTTAAAGAAGATCCACATAATACCTAAAAACCCAAAAAATATCTAAAAAAGACAATAAACAAATAATCAAAAGTTGTGTATATGATAGATCTAACAATTAGAAATACAAAAGTCACGAATATACGCGAAGATGTACCAAAATAAGTGTAAAACCTCGCGTAGAGGACGAAAATGTTCGATCTCACGTAGAAAAAGAAAACGACGAAAAGCCACGAAAAAGACGAAATGTTACTATTGACTCATCGGAAGTTTCGACAAAATTTTGTTTTTCCTGAAATTTTGGATTTGAAGATTCTTTTCTGAAAGAAACCTTATGTTAGTCATCTGAAGTAACGTGATATTTCTTTTTCATAGTTTTATACATGATATGTTTACTTTTTTCGGATATTGAAGTTATAAGTGATCGAAATTATGATTTTTTGAGACTAAACACTAATTTTTAATCTCTTTAGTTGTTGTTTCACATTGATATGTATTATTAGATTGTTTTGTTTACAATCAGCTGTCTAAAAATGGGGTTTGTGAACCATATTTTCAGCAGTGATCAGTTAATGAGTGTTTTCTGGCTTGATTTTGCGAAAAAATGTAGTTAAAGCTCGTGCGAGCTCAGGGAAACGCCTCCTTGTAGAAAAATGTGAAAAACGGAACGTTTGTGAACGTCAAGGATCAGGTGCTGGGTCAGAAGAGTCGGGTCGAGCTCTTGCTTTCGTGTGCATTTGACCTCATTTGTGTTTGTGGGCTTCCGTAGAACATGCGACTTTTAAATAAGAAGTTCTTGCAGAGGTATTTTGGTATCTACTCCGATGTCATGAAGTCTCCTTACTATATCGACGTGCTCAAGCTGTATAAAACGGTAAGGATGATGATGATTTGTGAAGTTTTATGTTGTTTTCGTTAAGCTTTTTTAAAAACTAATTTTTAGCTGTTGATGGTTTAAAATTTTAGGTATTAGTAGAAGTTCGGTAAGATATTTAAAAATATAGGGTAGGATTGTGATTTTTAAGTCTGAACAAGACAGTGTTAATATCTCCATTTGCAGCTTCGTTTTATGGGCCGAGACTACCCAAAAGGAGCCGATTACTTCAACGATAAGCTACGCATTGCTTTCAAAAAGCAGAAGGAAGTTGAAGATCCAAAACAAATCAAAGAACTGATTAGCAGAGGCAACTATGTTATCAAAGAACTGGAAACTTTGTATTTTTTGAAACGCTACAGAACACTGAAAGGACGCTACTATGAAGAGGAACCGCCACCTCCAAAAGCGGCTACAGGACGATAAATTATATTCTTCAGTTGGAATTCTACGTTGTACAGTTGTATAGAATAATGTCGTTATTAATCCCGGTTTAATGGTTACTGATTGAGATATAAATGTTGAGAACATTTTGGCAAGGATTTTTACATTCAGTTGTGTTTATGACCGCTTGTAACGTTGTTATTTTTACCTTTTTGTAGCTGTATTTATTATTAAGCTTTTAAAAATACTTTGCACTTTTTGGAGATCATCAAGCTCAAGTTTACTTTACTGTAAAAAGCAGATAAATTTAATTTTTGATGTTAGCTGGTCGAAAAATAACCAGAAGTCTTAAAGTGACTTCAAGCTGCGACTTCAGTCAAATAATTCCGAGACCAAAAACTCCATTTTGTGAATTTTTCGACCGGAATAGTTGTATATTTCCTTAAATATTATATTGAGACATTTTTATAAATACCCGTTTATTGTTTGCGCCATTTCTGGCCCGAGGCAATAAATACGCATTCAATCAGAAGACAGTGCTTTGTTGATGCAGCTTCTTGACGGACATTGTCCGCCGATGAGTCTGCACACACCCAAAGCCCAGCAGGTCTCGGAAACAGCGGCGGAAGTCGCCGTTGTACATGGTGTAGATGATTGGGTTTAGTACCTGAAAGTAATAGTTGTGAAGATATTAAACTTGTTAGTTTTTTAAGTTTGGGGCTTTACAGTACCTTGTAATTGAAAGTCTAATCTAACATAAGAAAGCTGTTAGACGTAAAATTTAAAACTAAAATTATATGGTATTTTAACCTCAATACGGACTAATATGTTCTTCTGCAACAGCCAGAACAAAGCATTTTTTAGGTGTTTACAATTGGATAACCTTTGTTTTTCTAGAAGAAACACATGGCACGCTTACCGAATTCGAATAACCGAGCCAGAGAAAGAATTCGCTGAGGATTTTGAATGAATATGTGGTATGTACACGTTGGATGAACACTTCTGCCAAGTATATTACGAAGAATGGCATCCAACAAATTATGAATCCTGAAAGAAGGTGGTTTACGACGGTAAGTTGTGTTATATTGAATCATGTTTTTGAAGTGATTGATCTGTTTATGTTATTCTTAAAGTCTTTGTTATACAGTATGTCTTTGTGGCAAGCCGTTTCTTCGTTAGGAAACTTTTAAAGTTTGGAAAAATATAAACTTCTGAAGCTAAATAGAGATCATACCTAAAACAACTATGCCAATAGTTTTGAGAGCTTTTCGTTCCCTCAAGTACACGATCTTCTCCTTGGAGCCTCTGATGGCCTTTCCCGGACCGTGTGTGTTGTAGTGCTTCTGAGCTTTGGCTACGAGATTTGAGGGTTGGAGATCGTTGGAGCTGTTGTTGTTATTGTTGTTCAAGCTGGTCTGGTGGCAGTTATTCTCAAGTAGAGCGACTTCGGTGTTCTTCCTTTTGGGCGGGGTCTGAAAGTTTATGGAAATAAGTCATTTTAATCAAACTTTCGTTTTCTTGTTTCTTATGTAAATTTATGTGTGGATTCGTTAATTGTATAATTATGTTATGGATATAAACTTTGTTTGTAATTACTTTAGTATGTACACTTTATTATTGCTAATAATGTTAAGTATGTAAAACTATTCCGGGTTCTTTTAGATTTTCTTTGTACCATGAATAGCTTACGACTTAAAGTGCAGTTGTTTTTTGAAATTAATTTTACAGGTTGTTTTATGAAATAATTAAAACCTTCGATTTTATAACTTATAGTGCTCTCCTAATAGCTTTAAAGTGATTCTAGAAAGTAAATGTATACGTACTCGTGTGTTTTCGTTGAGATTCAGAAGTGACTTGCTCTCCCTGTTCTGTGTGTTATTGTTGTTGTTGGGTGTGGTTTCCAATGTCCGTTGACAGGTGGGTGATTGTGAATCCGTCTCCTCGCCCAAGTCGATTACCGTGGGCAGTGTGGTGGGCCGTTTCTTTTCGACATCACTGAAGGTTAAAACATCCATGTAACTACGAGTTAAAACATGCGTGAAGATAAAACAATATAAAGGGTAAACATCCGTAAATAAGGCATCATACGAAACATTATTAATTCAGAAATGTTACAGAATATTTGATAGCAAAACATGGGCTACGTCAAACGCATTCTGACAGGGCGGAAGTTATTTGTGCAACTCAAATATCTTTTAGAAAGTTGAAAGTGTCGGACTTAAAGTTATGAAACTAAGGTTAATATAAGGATGGTAGCGATAAAGGAAGTCATAAAGGATGCCTAGTAGTTTACGGAATTTGATTATATTATTATTAATGCCTGTTTCCGAAGCAAAAAATAAAAAAACGGAAAAATCCAAAACTTTTCTAACTTTTGATTAAGCCACAGCACAAGACAAGATCCTGCAAGTGCCTTACTTTGGTTCAAGATGTAGGGAATGGTTAAACCGGGGGGGGAGGACGAGCCCCCCCCTCGGGCCACTGATCTCGAGCTCTGTTAGTTGGAGCACTTGCACATCTGAATCTAAGCATCATATAAATAATCTGGCATGTTAGCATATTAATAGGGAAAAGTAAAATTCAAAATTAAAACAAAATTAGTGAAGGAAAAAAACAATTACAAACACTACAAATTAACAAAAGTTAGGTGCCACATCAAAAAAAGGGTTTTCAAGGTGTTTTCATTGCCATAAATTCCAGTATTATGGTACCGAAAAGGCTTTCCGAATGGAAAAAGTGAATTTTTAAACAGATGAAAGTACTTGGAAAACGTAGGTGTATGTCCACCTATTGAAATACATAATTTACGTATGTATAATATTAATTGTGTTAGTACGATGAAACCATTGATAAAAGAGTGAAGCAGTTAAAAAGGTACCTGTTATGATTGTTGGCTTGTAGTAGTTGTTGTCTTCGTCGATGTTTGTCGATTCTTCTACTTAACCTACACGTTCCCAAGTTCTGTCGCATAAGTTTTTCTCGTTCTGATGCTACTCGGAAGATTTTAAAGTATACTGAGAGCATTATCTACAAAAGTTTCGCTTAGTAAGATTTGAGATAAGCTTATAAGTCTAGTCAATTTATAAGAACCAAACGAAAAAAGGGCCAAAGAGCCTCCTATGGTCTAAAAGGATAGTTTTTGCTTTGCTACTTACCAGTAACGGGATGTAGAAACTACACAACGCGCTGTAGATTCGATACGGAATTGAGACCGGGTACCCGCAAACAAACTTGTTACTGTAGTTTATGGTCTGTTGATTGAAGATTCCCCAGCTAGGAATAATCCATGGAGGAGAACACACTACCAATGATATGAACCAGACTGAACTTAAGAGTAATATCGCCATTAGTCGACTTCTGAAAGTAGCAATTATTAGAGGTTTACTGTCTATAATATTTTTTTGTTAGGTAATGTGTAATATGGGATATTTAAATCGCGTTGTTGACAAATATATGGCAAAAGTAACAAAATCGAAATAAATCATGCTTACCGTGTTCTAGGGTACTTAAGCGGTGAAGTGATGGCCATGTACCTGTCCAATGATATTACACACAGATTCAAAATCGAAGCCGTGCATAATAGCACGTCGGTCGTAGCCCACACCGAACACAAGAATCGACCGAACTGCCAATTGTGGTCGAATAAAAGGTCGACTAGAGCTAATGGCATCACTACTAGTCCCACTAGTAGATCTAAAATCAAGTTTTAAATTTTTTGGAAAATAAGGAAAAATATTTTGCAGTAATTCGATAAACGATGAAAATTACTAAAAGTAATTGGATTAATGACAAACATTTGGTGAAATATTGATGACAACTTGTTAACGTTTGTCGTAAGGTTTTATTTGAAAATGGCCGTTACCTGCTGTAGCTAATGAAGTGAGCAATATGTTAGTGAAGGTACGCATTCTTTTGTACAGAAACACGGAGAGCACGACGAGGATATTACCAAAGATGGTCATTAATATTAATATTATCTGAAAAATTTAAATTTAAAAAGTGAAGCAGTATGTCAAAAAAGATTTTTTAAAAGCTTTGATTGTAAAATGTAAAAGTTTAACATATTCTAAATGTTTATGCCGAAAAGTGCAAGGTAAATATTCAAGAGTTCAACGAATTTGCAAAAGTTCAAAAACCTAAAAACACTTACCAAAAACAGAGCGATGAAAACATCGCCAAGCCCCAAACACAACTGGGGGCCTGAGGCAGATAGGGCAGGGAGTGAGGCGACGTGATGTTCATGGTTGTGTAGTGAGGTAGATTTGTCTTGCAGTAGGCCGGGGTGCCCCAGCTGAACTGTCTGTGCTATGAGTAGTAGAAGGTCGCGGTCGTTGGTGGTGGGACTCTGTTCCGCCTGCACTCCTGCATTTATCGACTGGCTGATTATAAGTGCAAACTGCCATGCCATACTAAACAGTAAATGATGCCATTAATTGTGAATTGGCTTAAATTAACTGTTGGGTAAATAAACATGTGTTTGAAAGCGTTCTGGAGCCTACATTCCGCTTCTGATGCCAAAATTTGTAAATGGGCTTCTAATTGGGTGACGGAAAAGACAGACGGATGTAGCCGAAAGTCATCCCGATACGTCCCTACAAAAGCCGGTCAAAAGGTTGGCAGGAAATTAAGGCCGGCTTCGAGGTATCGAGTTAATCTCGGCTATGTTAATATCTCTTCCATACCCAGTGTTACAAAACAGCGTTGGAAGGGGATTATATTAATTACTTATAATTACTCAAAGGGACGATTTATGGTTATATAGTACTAATTGAAACAATAGTGTTCAGCTTATACTCTTGAAAATGTTTTTTGTTTTAAGCTTCAAAGAGTAAGAGTTTGCAAATTAGCAAGTATTGTAACTTTAATTACGTTTTTGTATTTTTAAAAATTGTGAAACGGTCCGACAATGCAAAAGCATACAAAAAATTTACCTCAGCTTTCTGAATAATTTAAATACTTAAAATATAAGAATACAGTAACCTACAGGAATGACCATGCCATTTGGAGCTTTTGTGAGCATCAGATCGGCGCGGGCGGCAACCATTCGTTTGGAAGCCCTCAGGGCCCGGGATTCATTCTCCGGCTGCTCTTTTACTCCTATTCTTATAATACTTTTACTCGTTTCTATCTACAATGAGTGGGCTATAAAAGAGAGTACTAGTGCTCTCGGCATCGCACTTTCAACACGTTCGACACGATAAAAAACAAAAAATTGTCCAAAAGCACTGGGGGCGAAATGAATTAAATTCGACGATACAATTAGAGCATTCAGAAGCGTTTTCCAGTGTTTCGGTTGTACCTGGAGTGGTGTTTTGGTACTAAGGACTGAGATAAAAGGATATGAGGTTATCTTGTGATAGATACGATTGTACATAAAGAGGAAGGCTATTAGTACTAGCTACATTCAGAAAGCATAAAAAGTAAAAAAAGATCTAATTATTCTACATGAGATGGTACTACAATTTTGTGTCATTAGTACCTCCTCAAACAAGTAATAGTGCTTGAGGTAAGAGTACCTGTGATAAAAGTAAGAAAACAGGTTGTTTACAACTTGTCAGGAACATGACAACGTGTCAATTAAGGCCAGCCCTGGCTCTACACGAAAACCTTGAACAAATCCAAAAACTGAGTTTACCGTAACACACCTACGATGACTCATACCTACACCATGTGGCCCACCACATTACTCTGCAAGGGCTAAAATAAACCCGGCCCCCAAAAATAGTTTTTGCGCGTAAACTGATTAGCTGACATTCCGTTAACGTTTAATATTTAAATAAAGATGTGCGCTTCTCTCTTCTTTACGCATCCATCTTGAGATGTTTACGAGGCTCCAAAAATGGTAACAGAAGAAGAACAAGTTCCGACAGGGCCCCAATTCCACTCCTACTCCTCCTTCTCGTCGTTGAACGATATTAAGTTACACGGGGCGCGGCCCCGTTTTCATTTCGATAATCATAATAAAAGTTCGCCGAACCGAATCCAGGCGACATTGAGCCTTGAGGCATAAAAGTCTTTAACTCACTGTGTCAAAGTTTCAATACGCCCTGGCTAATCCGGAAATGGATGGGGATCTAAATGGAACCGGACCACCACTTTCGCCACGACAAGGTAATTGGAATAGAGACGGAAATGTGGCCATGAATCTGAAGTTGTGCTCAGCTTCTGGCTTATATTGTTTTAGATTTGTATTAAGAAAAGATTTTTCGAAATTTCAAAAATTTAAATCAAGGTTGACAAAGAATTGCAGGCTTAGATATAAAAGTATTTTAAAATTTAGCCTTATAAAATTAGAGACAAACTGATAAGACTACAGGTTTGTCCTAAAACAACTTTGCCCTTCTCAGAAATCTGAATGTTTCTCAACTTTCGACTTCTAACTTTTCCCAAGGCATAAATGGAATTGGGACTGCGCGAACTGGCCATAATCTGATTTGGCCGTTCGTCCGATGCAATCTTCTTGTTACTCACAAACAGCACAAATAAAAGGCTTGATAAGAAAATATATTGCTCTTAATTGCTTTATCAGGCCAGCTAACAGTGACTTCTTTACAAAATGACAAAGTTAAGAGGATTGAAACGTAATGCTTTAATAAAACTAAATCACACTCTTATAATTTAGATAAAGCCTGCACAGTTATCTAATAGCAAAACAATGTTCATGACGACGCCGTCCACCAGGACAACGGAATAATTCCGATTCTGAATGCAACACCTTTTTTAATGCAAGAATTGAAAGAAGGCCGCAGGCACGGTTTTCCGCTTCTTTTCATCCGAAAATATACCTGCCCTTCTGAATTGGGCAAGGTGTGACTTTGCAAACCAGTCAACGTTCCAAAGCTTATGAAGCGGCACGTCGTTTCTCGAGGATGACATTCCCGAGGAATGCCACGAAATGACGAAAATTTTGATTGAAATTGAACCCAAAATCACCTTCGAAACTCTCCCCCAAGCCCGATATAACCCTAAAAGGGTGACAGGAACGTCACGGCTTGTCAAAAGTCAAACATTTGCTGGAAATTTCGCTGTATAACATTAACGTACTCTAGCCTCATTAAGCCATTAGTGTCCTTCTCCGTTTGCCGTTGGAAAAAAAAAGATCTGAAGCCGCGAAGCACACATCCAATGAAAATGAACATAAAATCTCTCTTTACTTTTCGCCTTCCTACTTGTTTTGGCCGGGCCAAGGTTCCGGGCAGATAAAAACAACGATGCCGCGGCTAAATCAACTCCTCCTGAAGCCGTATGTTTTCCGATGGCAAACTCGGCGACAAAAAGAGCAAAAAGAGTGACATTCCTCGCACAGTCAGACAATTTCACACCGGAAATTGGGCAAATCGAACGACTTAATCGGTCAGGTGAAGCCCCGCTGATGTGAATGTGCAATATCGGGGTTGAAAGGGGGGGGGGTTGTTTTTAATTGAAAAGAATAATATAATAATATCGAAAAAGATAAAAACAACAGAACCAAGCAATGAAAAAAGAAAATTCCAATCATTTTCTATTCAAAACACACCTTCCTATTCTGTAACACCTATACCTAGCTTCTGCTACATTTGTCATCTACATCATAATAAAGACAATAACATGCAAAAGCTGATTTCCAGAGTTAAAAATCCTCAAAAACTATATAAAATCATTTTTAACACTAAAATACTAAAATTTAAAACCCGAAAGAAATGAATACACGGAAGAAAGATTCTGCTCAACCAATGAATAACTTCCGGCAATACGTAACAGAGACAATTAAATGACACTAATCGTAACAACTAATCCCATTTTGTTCATTGTTTTTGGTACTCGATTCTCGGAATTCGGCAATAAAATTAGAAACTCGAGAAATGAAGGCAACTAGTTGTCAAGTTTGGTAAAATAGGTGGTATTATTTCCCGATGAACCCAATTTAAACTTTTTTGTGTTGTCATAGTACTGAAGGTGTGGATGATGAAAAGGAAATGATGCTGCTAACGCAAAAAACAATAAATAATAATAAAAACAGTAAAAAATGACAATTATTAACACAAAAACTATTGTCCAAGTACAAAAAATTATTTTACAAAGATAGTATACCACAAGATTGCACTAAAACAATTCAGAATGAAGAACCAGTACTAACTGTCTCCAGAACTCAAGTATTATTCGAAATTTTGTTTATGACATACTTTGTAAAATTAGTTTCCTAGACAAGAAACACAGATTTTCCTAAACAAAACAAACCATGACATAGCCAAAAACATGCTACATTTGCAAAGTAGTAATTAGACGCCGAAAAGTGCAGGAAAACAAAAGGAAATGACACAGAAGACCACTTACGATTGTCATTATAACTCGAAATTAGTGGTGGAAGTGTCAAAACTTACGGTTTTGAAAATGTTTTATTTATATAAAATTTAAACTTTTGCTAATTTTAAGCTTTTATACCTAAAATACCTTTTTTTAACCAAAAATAGTTTAAAAAAGTAGTTAATAAAAACAAAAATATTTCAATAAATTCAAAGAAACAGATTCCTAAAATTGCCAATTCCCAGTAAAAACATGCCATATTTCCTCAAAAATTCAAAAGCAATGTAGTACAAGAAACCTTTCGGATAATGTCTTAATATCATTTCGAAAAACACCGGCCCGACTCTTACATCATGCCAAAACAATAAGATCGCAAAGAAATCCCCCCTTGGCACAACAGACCGAACAGTGTAATTGCCTGAAGCGAACAAGTGAAAAATGTCGAATAAATAATTCAGAGACTTTCTTAACATCAAGGTAATTCCTTCGCTCCTTAAGACTATTACATTACAATTCCCCGAGGCGACGCCATTTATCTGAAGGCTAAGAAACGGCCGGCTTCACAATACGGCTCCAGATTCGTTTCCACATTTTTTTCACTTTTTCGTTTTAAAATTTTGACTTACCCAATCATGGCGACGCCATCAAAGAAGATTTGTCACGGTGCTGCAAGGCCAGAGATAAGGACGACGCTTCAGCCGATCTTCTCCATCCTTTAATTGGAAAAGATTTAAACGCCGCGAATCTGCATTTTCGTACAATTAAAGTGGCTACAATCTGCATACTTGTGTCCCGCACAAAAGAAGAGCTATTTCGGTAAAATGTAGTTGAAAATGTTTTTATTAATAAATACTGAAAGATAAAACAAATAAAATGTATTTCACAAGGTGTAACACACTATTTATACAAAATATTAACATATGCAATATTATATTTTGTAGCAAGAAGTACAAACAAAACGTTGGATATCTACAACATTTCAACATTTTTGTTGTAGATATTCAATGTTTTATAAAGGAAAACTGGCGACTCAGATGTAGCCAAGACAATGACAATGTTTGTCTAAAATCTCAGAAAAAATACATTTGAGGAAAGCGTAACATCGTTAATTGTCATACTTAAAACGTGTTTATTTCGTATTCAAAATGGTTTTCAAAAAAAAATTTTTTAATTGTAACAGTTTTTGTATTTACATTCCCCAGCATTAAAGTAAATATGTTACCTAAAAGATAAATAGTTTTTGTAATTTAATAACACTAAAAATAAAAAAAACTTTGCAAAAAGATTATTTCAAGACTGTTTCACAAATACAACTCATAACAAAAGCAACAATTCTCTAACTTTTCCATAATTTGTAATAGCGACAGGTTCATAAACGTGTAGTTTAAAATGCAAAAAATATAAAAAAGTCGCTTTTTTTAAATTTAAAAATAATTTTGGATTTATTAGACTTTGAAGTTAAAAATATCATAACCAGGCAACATTTCACAGAAATAATTTAGTGATTTTAGTTTCTTCTTTTAAATTTTAAAAGTAAAAAAAGTTTATATAGAAGCAGAAGATGAGTCTACAAAAAAAACACCGCCTCAGGGCACAAACCACGTTTATTAATACGGAAACAAGCCGTACCAAAAGATGCGATGACAAAAAAAGCTTCGTTTTAATATTTAGAATATCATAAATTTTTTAAAATATTTTTAAAATACTATTTTTTGTATTTACAGAAGCCTATAGTCTATGTTTAGAGATATTAGTTATATGTTTTATTTATTGCATCGTGCCGTAACTTCAAAATTTTAAAAACGCATTTTATTTCAACTTATAAGAAAATCTGAAAACTTGGCTAAAATTTGTAAAACGCCCTGCCTCAAACAGTACTTTATCAAAGACCCACCCCACCGAGTAAACAAGTAACGTAAAGTTGAATAGCAATTATATAATTACAGTCTTAAGGATTCAGAAAACAATTTAATTGAGTGTTTATCCGCCCTTACCGCCCATCTATCTGCTCCCTTACATCTTGGCCATTCTTTTTCGAATATTTTGACATTTGGGAATTTCGAAGTGAAAATCGACCGGAATTGGAGCCAGATTGAATAAAACGTCGACGCTCTGCCTCCTCCGCCTCAGGCAACGTTCTCTCCCAACGTTCTGAGGTCTTCTCTTTGCGTTTCCGTTGTGAGACGATATTCGATAATACTCTCGTTCCACCGTTCCCTATCACCGTGCCTTTTTTGACGATTGATCTGGAAAGAAGGTTTCGAAATATAAATGTAATTTTGCAAATCAACACAGTTATAATTAAAGGTTTATATTAGTAAAAAATGTTGAAATACGTTGAAGAAGAGAATGTTTGGGAGCTGAAAGCAGCCGGAGACAACTTTTACGCTTGTTATTTCAACGATGACTTTATGAAAAAGTTTGTAGGCTAATTTGGTGAACTAATTTGGCTAAAATTAAATAAAAAACATGTTTGGTCTATATTTATAAATAAGTCAAAATTTCAAAAAGTTTCTTGATCATTTAAAAATTCAAATGTAAATTTCTCGTCAAATGTAATAGTGTTCTAATTTTCAACAAATCTATAATCTCAGTAAACACTTGACCTCAAAAACTATATTTTAATCAAATTTTGTGATATCAAGGTGAATAAACAGGTCCTTTAATTTGTGCTTTTTGTAGTTGTACAAGATATATTAGTGACCAAACGTGCAACAAAAACCTGCATAAACAATACCGACCATCAAGAATCTGCTTTTAATTTGATTTAAAATACAGATTTTACGAATTTTTTGAATATTGACTACGAAAGTTGAAATTTTGACAAGATTTTATACTTTTTTTTACGTTTGCTGCTGGTTTAAAGAGGTATACTTGTTCTACAGCTTATTTTTACTGTTTTTACTTGTTTTACTACAGCAAAGATATCTTACTATAACTAGGTATCTGTATCTCACTGTAACTAGCAAAAATAAAAGAAAAGTATAATATTTGGCAATTGGCTTACATTTATATTAAAACATGTTTCGTATATTGAGGTTTTGTAAATTATCGATTATTGGCATTTTTATTACTATAGTAATGTATTTTTACTATTCATTGGAACAAGGTTGCTACAGTAGGTTACAAATAAAACTTTCTTTACAAAATAAACAATCGTAAGATTTTTTTTAAAAGAAAAAAGGACAAGAACTTTCTTTACAACTTTAAAAAATATTTTTTTTAGTTTGTAAACCATCCAATACTAGAAACTACAAGTTTTTTGAAAGTTGTGAGTTTATGCGTCCAAATCCATTTGAACCGGCTGTCTTAAAATACGTAAACGAGAGTTATGTACCTGAATGCACTCCAGAATGGAAAATAGTCACTAAACTGACAGACGGTCTATTAATTATACAAACAGAAGAGTTTTTGGATTATGGAATTTGGAGTTATAGGTAAGGTATTGTAGGATAGGTTAGAATATGGTAGGGTAGATCTTAACAATATAATTTATTTTAGGTGTATTCTGAATCACAATGAACGTAAATACAACAAGACAACCTGGAAGATGATTACATCAAATCAAACTGGAATAGATTGTGAAACTGTAGAAGTTAGAGCGATAAAACATGATCAGCCTACTTATGGATACGTTCATTATCAAGTAATTCGAAAGTAAGGGTTAGTTTCTGCAAAAAACTGTAAATCTTTATTTTTAAATGAAAAAATATGGCAAAAACTTTCTTTGCAAAAAATGTTACAATAATTTCTTTTACAAACTATTTTTTTAGAAATGAAACACGATTATCGTCTTCAGAAGCCCCAAGCGTTCATGTGATTGTAATTGACTCAGTTTCTCATCCAAATCTGATCAGATCTTTGAAAAATACAAACATGATATTAAGGGATAAGTACGAAGCTGTGTATTTTCCGTATTTGAACAAGGTTGGCCTGAACAGCATTCCAAACGCTTGGGCTATGTTCTTCGGTATATTACTTTTACTTTATTAAGATAGGGTAGGTTTCAAATAGACCTAGAGGTATTGCTATACTAGTTTAAGCTACAGCTGAGGCTAGAAATAAAGTTTTAAAAAAACTATATTCAATTATTAAAAATTAAGATCACAAATATGACGGTCAAGTAGAAACCGTATGGGGACCTGAAAAACCTCCAGAAAAGCTGCCTTACGACAATTCAATGAACGACTTTTTCATAATGCAACAATTTGCTGAAAAACAGTATGTGACAATGTTAAATGAAGATCATGAAGCAACAATAACTTGTTACTTTGGTTGTGTTGGGTTACTAAGTCCTGCCGATCACTGGCTAGCGTAAGTTCAATAGCAAGAACTTTGTTTACAAACTAAAAAACGGCAAGAACTTTCATTACAAAATAAAAAATTGTAAAAGCTTTCTTTACAAGCAAAAAAAACAAAAACTTCTTTACATGACAAAAAGTGGCAAGAACTTGTTTTACAGAACAAAAATAGCAAGAACTTTCATTACAATTAAACAAGTACTTTTTCTAATTAAAATTTTAAACATTTTAGAGGTTTCCGTCTTCGGCAAAACGTATACGGTCACGGTAGTTCCGACTACTACTACAATAAACAAAACAATTTAACATTTGCTGATCATATCAAAAAATGTTGTAAAGAAAGTTATCAACAACTGCTTGATCATCTACAACAATTTATCGATGTTTATCCTACTGAAGCTCAGTTTTCAATTAATTGGATGAGTTACCTTGTTCATGAGAACATGAATGCTCTCTTTCATGCTGATAACGATTTTGCTGAGTTTTTTGATCGAAATTCGGAAAAGGTACTATATTATAAGATGATAATAATATAATACATAGAGAGTGTGGGAAAGGGGGGGGGGGACTGCCCCCAAAAAAATAAAAAAAAATTTGGTTCTGGAATGTTAATTTTAGACTAATGTAATATAAAATGTATCTTCAGCTAAAAAACTCATTTCTCATTATAATATCCGACCATGGTACACGCTTTGGTGAAGTTCAAACTGAGCCTATTGCCCAATATGAAGATTATAATCCAGCTTTCGTTATGGCTGTGCCTGAAACTTACCGAAAAGATGATGGATTCATGCGGGTATTGAAATCAAATTCGGAGAAACTGTTTTCTCAGCACGACGTATTTGCTACGCTTTATGATATTGTGACTGTAAGTAATTCTATATTAATTTAGCCTACTAAGCCTAAGCCTACTAAGTATGAGCTTGCTAAACTCAAGCACACTAAGCCTAAACTTACTAAGTTTAAACCAACTGAACTTAATTATCTTAAGAACCACAACAATGTCAAAACGAATGTGACAAAACCAAAACACCTATTCGGATCATCTCTACTACAACCTCTGCCAGAACCTCGCAACTGTTTCTCATTAGGAGTACCTTTAAGGTATTGTATGTGTAAGAAGGTCATCAATGTGACAGAAAACTCAGATATAGCTATAGATATAGCTCATACAGCTGTTGAAAGAATGAATAAGGATTTGCTAGACAATGATTACCATAGGAAATGTTTGAAATTAATTTTACATTATGGAAGCAATGTGAATGTAGCTGAATATAACACTAAATGGTTCGACAATGAAACTATGATATATGTCACTTTTCGGACTTGGCCTAGCATGGGGCTCTACTCGGCGGAGGCTTTGGTAAGTTTTTCTTTTTTTATTGTGAAAAGAAAGGCTAGGGTAAAAGAAGGTAAGGTATCTAACAAACCCAGTTTTTACAAATTTAAACCAAAACTTGTAGGTATACCCAAACGGATCATATAAAATAACGACCACAATTTTTCCTCGAATAAATTCGTTTTTGTGGCAAACGAGATGTCTCGCTGGAATCAAGTATCAAGACTACTGTTACTGTAAGCAAGCGGCCGTTGAAGATGGGGTTTTAAAATTACATGGTGAAACATTAGAACCAATTATAGATCATGTTTAAATTTGATATTGTTGAGTTACTTACAAAATCTTATTTAGGTTTAGTAAACTATGCCTTTTATCTTATTTTCCATTGAAAACAGGTTATGGTTTTTCTGTAATGTTGAAGGACTTCTGTATAGCAAATCTCCAAGCAATTTTAAGTTTGCATATAGGAGTTTTACACAGTAGAAAAATACTTATTAAGCTAGACTTGAAGGGGATCCTCGGGGGGCCGGGACTGATCATGTGGACCTGAGGAGCGGTGTTAATAAGCACCAATACCACCGACGCTTAGGTCCAGTAATCAGCTAATATTCAGACGTCTGACAATGATCCAGGAGCACCATTTGTGATTAATTTTTTTGATGATGCTAAATTTTGTTTTCTTCTTCATAAAAAGATAAAGAAACACAAAAATGCAATTGTTTAGCAACACTTATCAGCCTACCTTTCCAATCTTCGATACACAATCGTTTTACATTAAACAGACCAATGAATTTACAAAAAACCAGATAAAAAGCACAAAAGGAGTACTAATTGACTCAAATACCCTAAAACCTTTGATCTCACTAACCAAGCATCAAAATGATCTCAACGGCTCTAGGCATTCGGCAATTGTTATCATTATAATAGTAGGTAAGCATTTGGTTTGTAGTAGTAATATAAATTAGGCAATCTGCACAAAATATAATATTTTAAAACTCTACAATTTAATAGTTCATAGCCTTATAGTGTTAAGAATGTTTTTAAACCACTATAAATCAATAACTTGTCGTTGATCGAGTTTTTCAAAATCAAATATTTGTAGTAAATATCAAAAACCGTAGTAGAAATAGCAATAACTTTTTGTAAAAAAGTCTCCTACAGCTGGAAAAACCATGAAAAACACAGATAGTAGATGGAATGACATCAGATCAACCCAACCACCCGGTACCCTAAATCTATGATCTCATCCACCCATAGCACTCGATGAAATACACAGATTAAGGGTACCGAACCGGGGAGATCGCGAACAAGTGATGGACCGGTCAGTCGGCAGTGAAAGTGCAAAAGGTATCGACCGAGGGGGGCAAACAGACCGAGGTGGGGGCACAGGAGGAGAGAGTTGGAGAGCTAGTGGTGGAATGCGCCTAGTGGAATGAGTGAAGAGTCGGGGTGGTGGGTCGCGTTCCGTCCGACCGTCGCCAATCGGGGGCCCTGTTGTCCGTTCATTGCAGTTCAGCTCAAACTGCCTGCCTTCTCCACACTCGGGGCGTCTTGCAAAGTCTGCATTCCGCCGGTGTGTATGTGGATGGCTCGGTTCTCCCCCCTGTTTGACGCGCCCCGCCCCTCCCAGTCTCGATTGATTGGCTTAAACCGCCACGCCGAAACCAAATCAGACTCAATTAATGCGTTCGCTAATCCCTCGCCCAACAACAAAGTTGTTGCCACATTTGCATAATCCACTGTCTCACTACACACATACTCAAGTGGCGGATCACGGTTGAGAAACACGACTCTCGGCTCACTCCAGACAGATCGCGAGAAAGGTGTGCATACAGTGGGGAAACCTTTAAGCAACTCCGCTTTTTTGGTTTAAATCGAAACTGTTTTTAGCGAAAAGTTATTCATAAACTAAAAACATAATGCAGCGCCATTTTATACTAGAAACAATTACTAAAATTTTGATCAAAGGTATGTTCATAGCCTCAAACTTTACAAAAAGACTCCGTTTTCAGCCAAAAATCATCATTTTTTAACCAAAAATAAACATAACTGCACATTAACATTGATCTTCACCAAAAAACCATCACTATTGCTTAGTAAAATGCAACACAACTTTTTTCGGAATCCTCCAAAATCACAGCCAGGTACGCGAGACGCAAAAAAGAAGACGATATTAATCAGACACAAACAATTTCAAATGGCAAAACAGAGACAATCGCTATGGTCAAGCCCGAAAGAACAACAGGCGGGCAATAAACAGTAGTCAGTCAATAAGTGATACATGTGTCTCCAAAAAGCATGCATACCTTTTCGTCTGGAGACGCGACTAATTAGATCGGGAGGTGAAGAAGCGAGAGGCGAACAAACGCCACCATTATTTTACAACACAAATAAATTGATATCAGTCTTGATTGCAGGAGGCAGGCCCGTTGGGAAACTCAAATGTCATGCAAAACCCCCCTCCCTCTGCCTCTTCCTTTCAGTCTACCCTCTGCTTCTTGCTTTAAGGCTACCCCCCTCCCTATGCCTTTTTCTTTAAGGCTACCCCCCTCCCCCTGCATCTTGCTTTAATCATACCCCTCCCTCTTCCTCTCACTTAAAGAATACCCCTTCCTCTTTGCCCGTCTTTTAAGGAATACCCCTCCCCCTCGCCTGCCCGCCGATGTTTACAACACGACGGATATGATGATCGTATCAGATCATGAATACTATTCTTTGATCATAAACATGCATTGTAATGTCCGATTAAAGCGAGTTTTACAGCGATTCGAGTGGGCCAAGATGCGGGTCATGTTACACAAGAAAAGGTTGATTTTGTGGTCGATTATTGTAGGAAATGGATAAACAATATAGAATAAAATTGACAGATAAGAGAACGCTTATACAACTTTTTTTAAACAAATTTGCAATAAACTTATAAAAAACAGTTTATCATAAAGTTTTTCAAGTATAATATCATCAAAAAATGTACTATTAAACGCAAAATTTAAAAAAAGTAGCCAACTTTTTAAATTAAAAATAAAAAAAAACCCCAACCTTTTAATACCAAGAATCTCAATCAAAAAACCAAATTTATTAGAGCGACAAATTGTCGCCAAAACTCGGTTATTAATAGCGTCGAACTGGCCGGTTTCCGTTGTCCGCCTCTGGAGCCGCGGGGCAGAGATACGGAGCGAACAAATTCTTGGATCAAACCTCTTCGTCGTCTTGATATCTGCCGATTAAAATCCCCCGGCGGGTTTTTTCGACGGTTCGGAGGGATCACCGAGAGCAGTCTTCAGTGCTCGTCGAGGGCTTGACGCCGTCGCCATTCCCCACGGCGTTCATCCGGACTCTGGTGATATGAGGCGACGTCGGTGTCCGAGTCTGTTGTTGTTGTGCTTCCATCTTCAGTCCATCGTCCTGTTCCTGTTTGCCGTGATTTGTGTTTCATATGGCAGCGAGAATACAACGGCCAGTACAGTGGAGCTAATAGTATCGTCGACACATGGCCTGGAGACCATCAGTAGCAGATTCGACGACCATTTCAATATTGATGCAGCCAATGGTTTGTTTTGTAAAATTTTGAAAAACTAATTTTAGAAAATAAAAAATACTAAAAATAGCATTATCTACCTCAGTTTACCTTTATTTCCGAGGTTAGTTTACTTTTGCTACCAAAAAATCAAGTGTTCTTAGTCTTAACCTCATTCACACCTAATCTCTTCAGAAGAAGACCTGAACATCTACAAACTCTACTTGGAAGCGCGATTAGAGAAAGTGAAAAAAGCTCAGAAACAGGCTCCAAATGGAACTGTGAAGGCTCCAAAATCGAAACGCTTTATTCCCTTGCCCATATCGGCGTCTCTTCCTGATCACGGATCGGATTATGTGCGCTCTCGAGTTGCTGTTGTCGCTAAACAAAGCGACGAAAGTGAAAACGAGCCGGATGAGCAAAAACTGAAGGAAGGTTCCGACGCCGAGAAACCGATCAACATTGTCGAGTCAACATCGCCACCTGACGCCAATGAGAGCTGGACCTACGTCAACAATTCCACCGAGCTGGAGGTAACTACTACCGGTTCGGGCGACAGTAAAATACCACAGGATGGTGAAGATAATACAAAAGAAAGTAAAAGTTTACAAGATAATGCCAATGATGAGAACAAGAATAATGCAGAAAATACGGAAGAAAATGAAATAAATAATCAGAGTAAACCGGCTGAGAACATACCGCAAGAAGATCCAAAAGCAGAGCTTCCAAAAGCATCAGAAGCACAACGATCGCACATTCACCATCCCAAAGCGTTTGCCTCCTCCACCGTCCACTTCTCTCGCTCGGAACCGTTTAATCCGACTGTAAGTTGGAGTAGAACTGTAAAAAACATTGATATAACAAAGATTTAAATTTTAATTTTTGAGCGTTATTTTAAAATAGAGAACATTTGATTCAAAAAAGCGTAAAACGTTTATTGTCTATGATTAATAAAATTGATTGAAAAAATAATATTTAGAATAGTTTCAGCAAAATCACACAGCAGAAGAATGCAAACAGCTATCACAGCGAGAACTAGTAAAAGAACTGAAACAGAAAGGTACCTACAATCCAGATCTAATGGCATGGGATGCCACTGGGGTTTTTCGTTTCCTTGACCGGTCGATTCTAGACCAATATGATGTAAGTCAACGCTTTTTCGTCAATTTCTGGATTTTCAAGCTTTTTTATTTTATTTTTTTTAATTTGCAAAGTTTTCGTTTTAAAATTCAAAAAAGTTGGGACTATTTTTGATGGTGAATTTGTAGCGCCAAGCTAAAGCTCAAACCTCAAATCAACAAGCCGTCGAACGGAATATATTGGCTTTGGAGAGAATATTATCTGAACTCAATCTCAAATGTCAGGTCAGATCGCCGGAAGTGTTGTCAAAGATCAGCAACCTTACAGTGTGAGTTTTTACTTTTTATGTCAATTTAGAAATATTTTTTTCATCTTCATTTTTGTTTTTTCATAAATAATTTTAAAAATATGCATGACATTGCCTTCGGCCTGAGATTTTGATACCTATTTATATTCTTTTAGTTACTTTTTTTCCTCAAAATTGTTCTTATGATCCGTTATTATCCAAATATCTTTTAAATTATAATATTAGTCCAGTATACTAATTTCCAAACAAACATTCACCATGATGTTTATTCAGATTCGAGCCTCGTCGCACCGTTGTGTCACCTTCATTACGAATGAACGATGAAGAAATAACCAGATTCAAGCGAAACTCAGCCGACGATCTCTTGAAGACCTTTAATCTCTCGCGAAGTCAAGATTCCACCGATGAAAATCATCAGAAGTTGGTGGGCGAGGTTCACGTCGTACCGTTCGGATGTGACAAACGAGGCGAACGTGAGGATGGCTACTTGAGGTTGTGTGGGGCGTGCCAGGCGATACGAAAGTTGCCAGATTCCTTCTTTCCGCCTTTTATCAATGAGGTTATGTGTGATGAGGACAAAAGTTGCCTATACTTTTATGATTACCGTGAGTTGGTTTGTGACAGTATATTATTGTAAACGTTTTTTAATAAAATTGGTGACAATAGTAATTTTAAATGAATTAATTACCGGCCAAATGTCTAGATAGAATTACTCGTAATTTTAAAACTTTTAGCTCACGGAAAATGTAAACAAAAGCACATGAACTTCGTCGTGCTACGTAACGTTGGGACTCCACAATGTCAAGTCTGGCAAAAGTTTAATTTAAACGTTCGAGTTTCATGTGAATGTTTCGTAGGTGAGTTCACGGGTTTGTTTAACCAACTCCTACTGATAATATCAAAATTATAAACCAAAATAGTATTTGATCAAAGCAACTCTTAAAATATTCATATCAGACCATAATATATTTAATAATATTAAAACTCTATAACAATAAGAATAATTTAAGATGAAATGTCATTCTTCTCCAAGTACGTGTAACCTCCCATGTTAATATGCCATTTAAATCCGGTCTCAAAAACCCTGTCAACAAGTAGATAAATGCACAACAACCACCGGTGACTAATAATATGTATCCTGCTTCCACTGTACACTCTACCCATACAGTATACTGTACATTTACCGTATAATTTTTATACCGTATACCATACGTTAACAAAATAATTTGTACCGTATACCCAGTATGTACCATATACCCGTAGCTAATGGAATGGCGTGTGAGGAGTGTTCTCCTCGTCCGAGTTCATGGCGGCCGCAATCAACATGTCATACTCGTCGTTGTCGGCGCCAGATGAGCCCGTACTCAACGTACGATGTACCATAAGATCGCTGTTGAAGAAATTGCGATACGAACTGGTGGGCCAGAAGATATGGACCAGACAGGCCAATGCGACAAAGTTGGCAAATGTTGTGACAGCTAAAGAAAACATGACTGTACATATTGGACATAATATATAATACTTTACTGAATAATATAATCATAGAGCTATTAAAGTAATTCAAGAATGTTACAACACATTGCGAAACGGATAATATATAATCAAAAATAGTAACAAAAAGTGTGAAAATCTTACAAATAACAAATTTGACCCGCCAAAACTCGGACACAGCCATCGAAACCAACACCAACAATATGTAGTAAGTAAACCAGACCATATAAGCAGCTCCAAAGTGCACCAGAAAGATGGACCTTTCGTGGTTCGTTTCTCTAAAAACATTTTTATTAAACAATCATTAAAAAAAGATCTAAACTCAAAAATGGAACTTACATCTTTAGAGTTCGCTTCATCTCCGTTAAAAACCAAACACCTTGTATTAACCTTAAACCCAAAACAATATTAAGTACCTGTGAATCAACAAAGTCGAAGTAATTCCGACTTTCTTCCAAGAAAACCTAAAAAGGAAAAATATTAACAACCAAAGGACCTTTCTTGGTACAATACACAAGATGTTGAAGTACACCTAAACTAAATTTTTATATTATATCTGATTAATAAAATTTAATCAGTTAATATTAACATATTTTTAAGCAAAAACTTACATAATCATAAGTAAAAACAAAGAGTTGAGCTATAGAAAGTATTAACCAAATATTGAAAACATAGTATCCTTTAACCGTAGATCCCGTTTTTCGTAGCGACCATCCACTACTCAGTAAAAGTAATAGTAAGCACAAGAGGCAAATGCTCAAGTTTCTGATCAACTGAATTTTTTTTTTAATTTTGAGATGCCATTTCATGTTTATAAAAATTCACAAATTGACCCAACAAAGTTTTCAAAAATACTAAGAGAACGTTAAAAGAAATTACTTTTTAAGTGATCAAGTACTTACTTCAGCAACATAATTCAAAAAAACAAATGCAGATCCGTGTAATGCATAAATTGACATGTTGAATAATTGAATACCTAATCGAGTAACTTCCAGATTAATAATCCACAATAACATTCTGCTCCTCATGTTTAACATATGATACTTGGACTTGGTCTGAGACCTCGCTTGTACAATAGACAAGATGCCAAAGCCCATAAAACCAAAGAAAATGATCTCGAATATATTCTGAAAAGATTTTAAAGTTGGGATCTGATCTTGTCACAATTATAGGTCATGTTCCACCTTAAACTACCTTAATAATTATATATAATATGTAACTCACCTGTTCTTCAAAAGAAAACTGATTAGTAAGCCAATTCCCGTAAAGTGGATGTCCGTTCATAAGTGAAATGTCATAGTTAACCGGCTCTAACCTCTCCGACTCTACCCAACTACAATTCTCGTCCAATCTACATGCCACAAGAATAACATGCCAATATTCAGGAACATATGGTTCATCCACTCGAAATGTGAATTGACTTCCATCTATCACATGTACTGGTCGATCTTCATCAACACAATACTTTCCATGAGGACATGGTATCCACCTCATGTAGTCTCCTCGTCGACCCTTCTTCAAACATCTCGGCTCGTACAGAATCTCACTGATATTCTGAAAGCAAATGATATTACTGTGTATTCACAAGTTATTTCATGCTTAAATAGGTATAGAAATGGTATTATATCCCTGATTTATTAGATATATACCTAACTTTTCCTAAAGAAAACAACACTGTACAAAAGTCACTTACCTCCATTAAATTAGAACAAGAAAGCTGCCAATAGTTAGAATGTTGAAAGCTGTTGAACCTTGTGTTAGGTACAATAAGTAATGCCACATCTGAATTCTCATCTGTTGCTGATGTCACATTTCCGTATATAAATCCTCTTGTCAGTTCTGGCTCCAAATTATTAAAAGGCTGGACTCCGAATGTAGTAACCACCTTCAACTTCTCATCAGACACCTTCCACGTTCCCCACGATCTCATTGAATACACATGTTTGACATACAACAACAGGAGGAGGATTCGCATTCCGTGTTACATCACTGAAATTTACTTTAATAGTAAAATATTTATAATCTACCTAAGCAGATACTTAAGAATACAGTTATAAGTATTGTATTATGACCGTACATATAGAAATAACATAGTTAAACATAAAATTCTGTTTATAACAACAAAAATCAACAATCAAACAGTGGCAGCTGTTCGTTAACAAAATTAATCGTATCAGATATAGTAGTCTGCTTCTGTAGATCCATTCTCTGAGTTTTGTTAAACAATGAATGTGTCATGAAAGCCGTATGTCGATGGACTAATGTATAATGAACGTCCAGATCTGTCGCTATTGAAAACTGAAAACATAACTTTAATGTTGTAGAAAATATGAACTTTAAAAAAGCACGTTTGTTAATACAGTAACTGTGTTACAAACATTTACTCTCAAAAACGTACCCAATCTCGTATACATTCAAATGGAGTCTTCTGATGCCCGCAAAACAACGCTGGATTTGATAACAGTCCTTCACCTACCATTACTCCTAAAACATCACGTTAAACGTCTTTATCTTTACATAAAACTAAAAAACAATAACACATATTAAACTAAAATTTTATACCCATCATTTTAATAAACCTACCATCACACTTTGTCACAGAAGCAATTTCCAAAGCTTGACGATAACTCGTGCACCCTCCATTAGCATAAACAGGTACCTTAACCGCCGATTTCACAAGGCCGATAGCTTCATAATCTGGAGGTTCGGCTCTCTGCGATACAGTACGGCCATGTACTCCTATATGAGATACTCCTGCGGCTTCAAACTAAAACGCTTAATTAAAAAACTAGCCAAAAGCAAAGATATTCAACTTTGATATAACATATTTACAAGCCCAAAGGACAAAAATATAAATAACATAAAGATTGTAACACCACAACTTCCCTTTCTGCACATATCCACGGTCTGTTCTATCGGGTATTTTATCCTAATCTTAACAGATATACTAAAATCAGAATCGTTTATTCTGCTTCTAGTTTGTTTAACAATATCTGCTATTAATTCAGGATCTTCAAGCATTTTCGACCCAAATCCTTCACTTCTTACATCTGATTTCGGACAACCACAGTTCAGATCAATCCCCTTTACATTCCTAAACAAATAATAATATACAATGCAATAACTCACCCATAAACTAACTCTGCAGCTTCAGCAAAGTGTTCCGGCTTATTGGCAGCAAACTGAACAATAGGCCAATCATTCTCGTCTGTTGTAAATTCGTTTTCACGACATTTCTGCGAAGCCACGAAACAATGGGCGTAAATCATCGGTGTGTAAGCTAGATCACATCCGTACAAGTGTACCAGCTTACGAAAATGCAATCTAAAATATTAAAATTGTGACCCAAATATCACAGATTAATTATCTTCAAAAACACAAACTTACTTTGAATATCTAACCATTGGTGCACAAATAAATAAAGGTTCTTCAATTCCCAAGGCTTTACAATCATTCTTCTTGTCCTAAACTAAATTTAAACCCATGAAGAATTAATTTACCGTTAAAATCCGTTGAAAATCTTCCAACTCACAACTGGAATCTGAAGATGTGGCAACGTCATCTTCCAGAACAGCCTAAAAATATGTTGCACAATAACTACTCCTTACCATTATATCGACACAACAAGTAAAAATTAATTACTAGTTTGGCTGGATATAACAGAAAATACTTTCCGAAAATAAATTCGACAAGATTTTGTTTGTGCACTTTCCGTCGTATAACTCGTCGACTTTATTATTTTATTTTTTTCGCAAATTTGGGCTGATTTTTGGTGATCGTGGCCGAAAATGTCGTCCCTGGCCTCTAGACTGGGACTTCTGACACTTTCTAATCCATCAGTGTTGGCATGCAGTGTTATCCAAGAAAGGAATGTGCATCATCACATGGAAAGAGGGAACCTGAAAAGGTATTTGGGTATTGGAAGGTCGAATACAGCAAAAGCCAACAGGAATACACACATAAACGAGAAAAAGTTTCGACAAGTAAGTGTTATTCAATTATTGGTTTGGCTTTAAAAAATTGTCCATCTTTTTTAAAATTATGTTGTTTTAGCTCAGAGGTCGTAAGAATATACCTGTCGAACTTCCGGATTATCAACTGCTAAGCAAGGCGAAGGACATGTATCCAGATGAGCTTAGGGTTGCTATGTTGAAGCAGGGAATGAATTCGAATAAAGATGTTGCTTCAAGACAATGGAACGAAGCTCAGTTGACATTAAATTCGTTTGGTTCGTTTTTACCTATATTTTTTTGTCATTTAGATGTTGGAGTGATGTATTTTCAATGAATGAAGAAATATGTTTTAAACAAAATAGTGCTTGAATTGTTTATTTTTAGGTTTGGCTATGGATAACTATATACCACCAGAAGATCCGCTGCCAATTTTTCCTGAAATGAACCAGCCCGTGAGTGGAGCTAAAGCCAAGTTCAGCGAGGTGCAAGAACGTGTTAAACATAGATGGTTCAACTACTTTAATGGCATGAGGATCATCAAGAAGAAAGAGGGAATGCAAAAGTTTAATAAAAAGGTACGAAACATTTGGATCTTATTTTTGGAATATAATTTAACAAATTTTAAGTTTTTTGCTGTTTATTATGAATTTTTTTACGTTTATTTTTGTACATCTTAATGGTTTTAGCTGTGTTACATTTTCTGTTGTGTAATTCAATTGACTAATTATTTCAATGTTAATATAATTTACGTTTTTTTAATTTTAGGAATTTGCTAAAACAGCGGAACAAATTTATGTAGATACGTTTGAAGCCTTATCTAAAAGAGACAAAGTCAAGTTACTCAACTTGATTACTGAACATTGTTTTGAAGTAAGGCTTGTTTTTACTATTATATACTATTATGTAGATGCTTTTGTGTATACACAATGTAAAATTTTGATTTTTAACGACATATTATATATTTTACTATTATTTAGGTAATATCATAACTTCAATTATGTTTTTATATGAATAATTTGAACTAATAAACCGTGAAATCGCAAGGTTTAATTTAATTTTTAGAAAATGTGGCCAGATGTAAGCGCGAGATCGCTACAATGGGAGTTTGTAGAGTTTTCTCAGCCTTCTGAAGTTATTGCTGTTCGTGCTGGAGACTTTCCATATAAATCTGGGAATCATATTGCTCAGATTACTGTTAAGATGTATCCTGTTATCGTATGTTTCTTTAAGATTTTTTAGTTTTTTCCGCTACTTTTGCATTATGTTATTATTCAAAATTTAATTTCTTTTACACAAAGTATACAGTCGCAACTATTTCACTCTTGTAAATGCTTAAACAATTTTAGAAACGCGCGATATACGACAGATTTGGCAGAATCCTAGTTGGAAATCCAGACGAAGTTAAGAGTAACGTGGAGTATGTTTTGTTCGAGAATCACATCTCAAATTTGGACGGTAAATGGAGAATTCATGACAAGGTCTACCCATCATGGGCTACAGTAAAGGACAAGATCGAGCGACCAAATTTATTAAAGAAAGCCGAGGAAGAACAAGATGACATCGACCGACCAGAAAAACCTGCTAAATTTAAGTTGGGCATTGAAGACACGTTGAGGAAACAGATGAAAGAACATAAGGAGAAAGAAGAGGACGGATTAGCTTGAACGTGTTGTGGAATGTAGAACTATATGCTGTATGAAAAGTGTATGGCGCTATCTTCTACAAAGATATAGTTGATTTACATTATTTTTGATTGTTTTAGGATAAATTGTTGATTTTTGGAATGTGTTAACGTTGTTTTACAATTGGTTATACGACCGAAAGTTTACTTTTATTGTGATTTTTTTGTTTGTTTAGGCACTTATTTGCATTGTCCAGGCTTTGAAGGGACTTTTAAGGCAGAAGAAGGTTTGCGGTTGTTAGGATACCTTAATCATAATTAACTTTTGTTTGTTTTTCATATGCAAAAATTTGCATTTTGATCGATGACATTAGAAAAAGTAGTTTTTGATACTTTGTTCATAATGGACCAGGTGTAAAATTATATTTTAATGCATAAACCATGAAAAAAGTCGCGTTTTTAATTTGTTAGGTTTATATAACACAATTTTACCACAGTCACATTTTGTTCCTCTTGTACCTCAAAAACGGATTTTTGATCATTTGGCTTCTTTACATATTTTCACTTTGTCGTTATGACAAAGGTGGGATTCCGATGTTATAATTGCTAAGAAACGGAACGTGCAATTCCCTGTTGCTAGCGAAGGAAAGCGAATGCCAAACCCTTTCTTTCTCTTTTTGGTTTACTTTATAGATAATGACAATAGGAGTACAGAGCCGTATTCAATGTGCCATATCACTGATTTCTTTATGGCTTCTTGCAAAGTGTTAAAATGTATTTTAATGTTTTTGGAATCGTATGTTAATGTATTTTTTTGTTTTTAGTTGTTAAAAACAGTCTCTGAATTATCTGGAGGGAACGTTTCGACTTTTTTCAGTGAAGGTGTATATTTAGCTTTATTTTTGGGAACATGATACAAGCAGCAATGAAAATATATTATTCATAAGAAAATTCAAAATGTTTTCTGAAGACATTAATCAATTTGGGTTTGTGGATCGAAAGTTTTTTCGTAAAATAGTTTATCACAGCTGTTTGTTTTTGTATAATTAAGAGATTAGTGACGAACAGCGGCTATTTGTACAGGTTTATTACGTACGATAATTGGAGAAACAATCAGTCTATATGTTTTATACTTTTTTCAATTTTTTATGTGTTTTTATAGGTCTTTCTGATTAAGGTGTTTTTTTTTGGTTTTTATTAACGGATTTATTTTTTGTTTTACACTGCTTAGAATGATATAAAGTTAATATGCTTATTTTAAGAAGTTGTACATGACTTAGGCTCGTGGTTTGGATGCCTGAGGAATTGCGGCTACACGACATAAGAAGAATGGCTCGGGCTTGGTTTGGTCGTCGTTTGAATGGTCGAAGGTTTATTTATTTTCTAATTTTTCTCGCAGTTTTCTCATTTGTGGCCATAGAAATGACAATTGGAAGACCGGTAAGTCTTTGCACTACGTTGGTTATGGTTTTAGGAGAACAGACCAGTGGTAAGAAGATATCAACAGGAAGGATTTAACGAGCCCGTACAATATAGAGGAGATCAGCCGGAAAGCAAAGAAAGAATTCGACCAGTCGAAAATGATAGCATACAGCATGTTGTTCCAGTACAAAATGTGGATAACGTGTTTAGAAACAATGACACTAGGAAGCAGGGAAGCCTTGGGTCAGCCGATTTTATTCCAGAAAAACGTCTTGTACATCTGGACCTAAAGGGTGGTGCTTACAGAGTAAGTTTTACCATGTTTTTTATTTTTTTTATGTGAAGTTGCGTATTTATGTAATGGTATCTTAATGTTTTTGCAAGTTTACTTATCCTATTTTTCATGTTTCAGCCGGAGTTTTATCCCAAGTTGTTTGATCTGTTTTTAAAAGCAGAGTTTACTGGTATTCTACTGGAATGGGAGGAAATGTTTCCATTTACAGGAAAATTGCAATCTGCTGTAAATGGAGATGCCTATACGTTAGATGAGGTAAGAACGTTTAAATTTTTGAATTAAAGGCTAATTTGATGTAAAATTCGGTTCATACTTAATTATATCATGAACCATTTTGAAATTTATGTTTTGAAATAAGTTTTATCAATATTTTTTCCAGGTAAAAGGTATTCTGAACGAAGCCAAAAAACGGAACCTCGAAGTGATTCCTCTAGTCCAAACCTTTGGTCATTTGGAATGGCTTCTGAAGTTGAAGGAGTTCGTTCACTTCCGAGAAGACCCTAAATATGCCAATGTTATTTGTTTTGGACGAGAAGAGAGCTTTGATCTAATCAAAGATATGATCGACCAGGTAGCAAATGTACATAAAGAGTTTGGAATGACATCCTTTCACATGGGGGCTGATGAAGTATATCATGTAGGTATCTGTGAAGAGTCAAGAAAGAAGATGGATGAACACAAAGGAAAAGATCGTGTTATTTTATGGCACATGTCTAGAGTAGCTAAGTACATTCAGGAGAAGCACAGCGTGAACGTGCTGGCATGGCACGATATGTTTGCCCACATAATGGAAAGTGACCTAATGGATTATCGAATGACATCTCTAATTGAGCCAATGCTGTGGAGTTATGCCGAAGACCTAGATTACTACCTTCCTTATCAAACATGGATTTCCCTGAAGCCATTCAAAAACGTTTGGGCTGCTTCCGCCTTTAAAGGGGCTGACGGACCAGGAAGGTGGATATCGAATCCAATGCATTACATCAAGAATCACGAGAGCTGGATCAAGCAGTTTGAAAGAGCCAAGACTGAAGTTAACATTAGAGGGCTGGTATACACAGGGTGGAGTAGGTACGACCATTTGGCTACATTATGTGAACTTCTTCCTACTACATTGCCGCAACTTCTGATGTCTCAAGAAACGATTTTGGAGGGAAAACCATTGAAGGGTAACTATATGAGGACGAGGAAATGGTTGGGATGTCAGCCAACGACAGAGTTGGGCGACGCTTCGTTTGGGTGCCAGTTTCCTGGGAGAGAGGTGAGTGATAAATCCAGATGGTATCACTTTGTTATGTTAAAATTTATTATTTTTCTGTATTATACGGATCAAAACTAAATGTTCTGCTTTGAAATGCTGATGATTATGTTTTAGGTATACGAAATTGTCAACCGGTTTTATCAGAAAAGATTGGCAGCCGAAAAATACATCGCTGAAGACTATGACTTTAATGGGTGGATGAGTAAGGTTGCAGAGGAGTTGAACTTTACTTCTCCAATGAAACTTGAGGTACGTTGCTGCACTTTAGAATTAATGAATTTTTTTTGCTTTATTTTTAATTGTTCTATTAATTAGCTACTAGTATATATACTAATGTTTTACTTTTAGACAATTATACCATTAATCGACCAACATTTGATGGAGCTTCAAGCAACAGAAAAAGAGTTTAGAATGGCTATGGCTCTAATTTACTTCCAAGAAACGATTGACGAGTATGTTTACCTCTTTATGGCTGATGTCATCAACACTTTGAAACGACGGAAAGCAGCTTGTATTCAGAATACACAATCCGGGCTAACTTATGCTAAACGACCATTCATCAAGTATCCAGGCAAACAGGAGTTGTAGAGGCCGTAATATAATCGTATGATTAATATAGAAAATAATGTAACAGATTAACCCTATCTTCTTTAGACTACGTGTTACCTTATTGTAGGTAAAATACATTAGAGTCATTGTTACTGCCTAGTAGTCTAAAATACAATATGTGTAATGTTGAGCTTTGTAATAGTCTTTAATTATGTTTTTAAAAGCTTTTTTATTTGTTTTTATTTAATTTGTCTTTTTGTTTTAACCCAAATTATATTCCGGCAACTTCATATCATTGGATTTCTCATTTGTTTTGAGTCCGGGTTCATTCAAAGACAGACTCATATTGAAGTCAGGGTACCTTTTGCCTTATTGTAGATAGAATCTGTCATATTTAATATGACACTAATATTAAGATCCAATTTTTTAACAGTATGATACTATTTGTTTTTTATACTGAAACGTACTAAAATTTTAAGAAATTATTGCACGGACCTAATTATTTGTAATTTTGAAAAGATTTTGAATTTTTAAAAAAACTTTTAGTTTGCAATTTTTTTTGCACCGTGCAGTTTCCCCTATAGCTTTTGGTATTTTTCAGTACGGTAACTTTGTTTACTTTTGTTTTTTGTATATTACTTGTAATTTTAACTATTGTAACCATCCTTTCTTCGGTCTAGCTCTTTATGCCCTGCGGAAAGCGGGTTAAGGTCAATTAACAGTAAAACGCAGTGATTTGAAATCTTTATGTGTTACATTAATATAATTGAAGATGTAACGTACACTGCTGGGACTGATAATGATAACTATTGTGATACGATTAATGAGCAATAAACTTATGCGATTTGAATATTGTTTTATGTTTAAAAGATAATTCATAATTGTAAACTTTGTAATAAGGCTTTCTCTGGCGATGATATGTGGTTTACTTGGATTTGGAGCTCCCGATAATCCTTGAAGTTTTTGTAGTTTCTTAATTACTCTTGACAATGACTTCAGTTACTGACTCGGTAATTAGCTGTGCCGTTTAACAAAAAACCAACAAGATCCGCTCACTTCCCTTGTTTATAACGCCTCTGCGACCGCCTTGACCCAGAACGTGATGATTACGGCGAGAGTGAGGAGAAAAAACAAACCTCGCTGACATTCGCTTGTACAAGAAGACAGTAAAGATGCTATCAGGGTATCACGTACATGTTGACAAATCCGGCTGGACAGTTGAAGGACATTCGGGTTTTGTGAAAAATACAATTCTCGGACCGTTCCGTGCGGGAACGGTCAGCGGGAACGGTGGAGAGAGATAGTGACGTTTTGAGACGGCTAATCGGAAGTGGGATTGTTTTTAAAAAGTTTCGAAAATTGAATTTTGTAAAAGTACAGTCTTCTGTAAGTGCAGGGTACTAACTTCATCTTTTGCAGAACGTTTTGTAGAATCTCCTGTAGAATCCACTGTAGCATTTTTTGTAGAATTTCTGTAGAACTGTAAAAGTACGTTTTCGAAGAATTGAAAGTTATCAGCGGTTTTGTGTGATCACGTCGTTTCTCATCGGACCTTGACACCGAAAGAAACCAAACACGGCTATGATAACGGCATTTCACGGAACGGTGATTAGTTACAGGATAGGTGACTTTTTACCTTTCTGGCTCGATTTTTAAACCTAGTTTTTAGTTCTGAGTTTTTGAAATTTTGTACTGAAGTTCATACTTGTTGAGTCTTATATTGTTAACAAGTTGGGTATTTGGCGGATTTTTTATTTGATGTAAGAACTAAAAATTCTCTTTGTTACTCAACGGTAAGAGGTGAAAAAGGATTTGTTGATTATTTGTACCTTTTTTTAAGCCTACAGCTAGATTACATCCAAGTAAAAAAAGATTAGAGGATTCTGTAGAAAAATACTCCTTTTAATGAAATCAGGAATCTCCCCAATAACATACCCCAAATGCGCCAAAAACAGTGCTACACCTTGAGTAACCCACTTGTTTTGGTTGTCATTTCCTTCCATTTCGACACCTTTCTAATCACCATTTTCTTCAACGTGCCATTACGCAATGCGTTTCGCTAGCGGGTTACCGGCGCAATATTCACGCTTAATTAATTCGAGTACGGGCGGTCTCAAAAGTCTTTGCCTCAAACGACCTCCACAATGTGTCAACAGTTGCGATCGGTAATTTTATGAGATTTGTTTAGGCTAGGCATTTTTTGAGCACGTTTGGTCATTTTGTGGTCAAAGAAGTGTTTTTTTTGGAATTTTTTTAGGGGTATGGTAAAAAACAAGTTTTTTTAAATTTTCGTTACTTTTTATGTTTATATGTTATATTAAGGATGATTAAATGAATTTTTTATTTTTTGTGACTTGGTTAATGAACAAGTCACAATTTAGCCTATTTTCTTTACTGTTCTTTGCTTCCTTACCTTTTTTATGCAAATTTTCTCAAAAAAGAAGATTTACTATGTATGATTTTTGTTTACAATGTAAAAGGGAGAGGCCGCTGGGTATTTTACAAACGTCGCCAACTAAAACAACGTTTCGGTAATTCTTTATGATTGCGCAAGAGAGATGACTGGTGGTATCGAGAACGGGGTCAGGAATGTGTACTGATATCCAGGAAGAAGGAACGGATATTGATAACATTATGATAGTGTTTTAACGGGTTATATGTGTCGTATAGTACATTCGACTCGATTGATATTTATTTTACTTTTATTGGGTGAAAGAATTGGGAGGTGAAAGAGGGGGGGGTTGCCAAATTTTTAGAAAGTGGGAGTTAGGATAACTTATGTTTCAAAATGGGTGTGGTGATTAGGGATGTGTACGTTTAGTTAATTTGTGTTTTTTATGCTTACGGTAGGGTTATTTTTATTTTTTTTCAGTGTGGGATAATTTTTATTTTTTACATTATCAAAGATTTAAGATCAGTAGAGCGTTAATATAATTTTTATTAAAGGTTTTTTTTATTGGCATTTCTTGTAAAATACGCAGTGTAACATACAAAAGTTTGTCGAATCTGAATTAAATACGTTTTATTTTTGTATTTTTCTTTCCATTACAGAATCGCGCTTACATTATCTATAAAGGCATGTTACTACCATACAGTAAGATAAGTTATGTAACCGCACGTAATAGATAGAGAACAGTCGGCATAGCAATTTTGGCCCTTCTATAATTCGGATAATTTAATTGTTTAGATATACTATATTAAGATTCTTAAATAAGGAAGGCATTACGCCAGTTTAATTTGAGATTTATTAACACTTTTTTCTCTATGCCACAACCTGAACCCAAAGGCCAATATTTAACGTTAACCTTGTGTCACCTTGAACCATTTCGAGGATGACTTTTCAATTTGGAAATGTAATTAAATCGTGTTATATGCAAATTGAAACTTTTTGCACTTTTTCCCTCCTGAATCCATTAATGGCATCTTTATTTAAATTCGCGCGACCTTCAAGGGGTTTAGGAGATACGTAGTCTTGTAGTCATCTACAACCATTTGTCATCTTTACGATTGTCAAAGAGATTTGGGGGTACTGATTTTAAACTTTAAATTTTTTAAAATTTTAATTTTTCGCGATTTTACTTAAAACTAAGATGTTTAAATAAATTACTGGTCGTTCTGTAGTCATTTTGAATATATGTATTTTTAAAACTTTAAAATAATTTTAGACAAACGTAGTTTAGTAATCTTCTAATGACACAACGATGATCTTTCTGCTTGTTATTGTTACTCTGTTAATATCGTATTGTAATGGAATTAGCCAAAGTTTTGTTAACACCTCTCATCCACATGAACGACTCACTTTCGTGGTCAATTTTGACTTGGCTACAGTAATATGTCAACATTCCAAAGACCCTGATGATCTACATTTGCATGAAATTAGCATATTATGCGACGGTAATGTGGATTGTTACGGTAGTGATGCTATGAATGATGAGAGCTTTCCGTTTTGTGGTAAGTTATTGTTCTTATGATCTTGTATTAGTACTTTACTTTGCTGTAAAATTATTTATAAACAAGATTTGATTGACTTTTAGTTTCAAAATGACAGTTTTTTTGATTTAACTTTAAACTTTTACAGAAAACAAATGTGAATCATCGTGTTCAAGCCATGGTGCTTGCCTGTTCGATGGTAAAAGAGCTCAATGTTACTGTAACTCCGGATTTCAAGGGCCAAGTTGCGAATTGACTGGTAAATCTTCTTTTTCCTTTTTTTTGAAATTTGAAATTTTAAAAAATTTTTTAAAAATATTTTATGGTGAATTTAGATACCAATGAATGTAGTGACAAACCTTGTCATTGGATGGCCAAATGTCAAAACACTTATGGTTCATATCGTTGTCAGTGTCACGCTGGATTTGAGGGTGATGGATACAACTGTAACGGTCAGTTTGATATGACTTATTAGGTTATTCATACGTTTCTAAATATTTTTTTACATTATAGTAGATGTAGAAAAAATAACGTTTTTTTTATTTTAAATCATTAGAATTTTTCAATAATTCTGTGCTCCGTAACTCCAAAAATTTGTTTTAAAGGGGTACAAAATTATTTGAACAACCTAATAGTACAATACTGTACTCTTTAAAACATTGTTTACCCAAATCATCGTACTGTTTTAGATATTGACGAATGTTCTACTGATGTAGCCGACTGTCCATCAAATTCAGAATGCGTGAATCTACCAGGAACCTATATGTGTAACTGTAGTCACGGTTACATCCCTAAGGGCACTCCAGTAGACAAATGTGTGGATGTAGATGAGTGTGAACAGAACCGGTCGCTTTGTGGCTTCAAGTTGTGTCAAAACACAGAAGGCTCCTACAAGTGTGTAGACGAATGTGATGATGGCTACGAATACTCGAATGGAAGATGTTTTGATGTAGACGAATGTAAACTGAACAGTCATTTGTGTGCTACCAGAGCATCTTGTCATAACACTCCTGGCAGCTACAGATGTGACTGTGACGATGGATTTGTTGGGGATGGTACCACTTGTGTTCGTGAGTAATTTTTAATTTTAAAAGCTTACAACTTACAAAATTACGTTTTTAATTACTGTAACTTTAACTACAATATTTGAAGTTACAGTTACATTAAAGCTACCCTTATAAGCCCTAGCTCATTTTATGTTGTTTTAGCCCTACTAGACTGCACTCAAAACGAGCAAATTTGTGATGAACATGCCACTTGTCTCTACTCTCAGAAGTCGTGTGTATGTCAAGCTGGCTACATCGGTGATGGTCATACTTGCCGTGATGTTGATGAATGTGCTACTACCAACCCTTGTGCTGAACAAGGGAAAGATTGTGTCAATGTCGATGGTGGATATGTTTGTTGTGACCCAAAAGAAGATCAGACAAAATGTTTGAGAGAATCTGGACTGTTCTGTGCCCAAAGTTGTGGACTTCATTCAGTGTGCTTCAACAGAACTTGTACTTGTTTGCCTGGGTATCAAGGAGATCCGAGGGTTAGGTGTGATGGTGAGTATAATATGAATTATATCGGGTTAGACAAAGATGTAAATAGATTAATTTTTTATTTTTTTTAATTTACAATTGTAAAATTTTTTAAATAAAAAAAAAATCAATTTTGCCAATGCCAATCCTTTTTAGATATAAACGAATGTCATCACGACAACATCTGTCCGGGTGCTGGCCAATGGTGTGTCAACCTAGCTGGGGGTCATGTTTGTTGTTCTCCAGATTCTGAATACTCAGAATGTCGAGGATTGGATCAAGTTGCTGATGATTCTGATCCGAAAGCTATTGCCATTTCTGAATCCGATGTCAAGAATCTAAATGGAAATGAGAATAAAGCAGAAGCTGATGCCTTCGCTCAAGTCAAACGACCGGTCGGAAGTGTTCAGCAACTCGAAGAAGGAGAATTTGGAACGGCCGAAAAGATCAAGAAAAGGCGGTTCAGGACTAGTAAGTGATTCCTATATTATATATACGGTATTCTCTATACGGTAGTTTGCTTTTTTAATATTTTAGGCCTAATAGTGTAAAAAAACGTGTCCAAATTAAACTTTTTAAATTTAAATTGCCATTTTAGAAACTGTCCACATTGGAAAACAACTAAAAACTCATTCGGGTGGATTTGTGATTATCAGAAGACCAAAGGAAAAACAACCTCTGAACGGAACTTCTGGCGAATTTGAATTTAAAGGTAAAATACGACCGTTTCTGCAGTTTCTTTACAATGCTGTTTAATTCTAAACTTAAATTTTTCAGAAATTCCAAACTGTGTCAACGGGAAAGACTCAGAATGTCCAGAGCATTCCGTCTGTTACAACAACAAGTGCAGATGCCGTCTTGGCTTCGAATGGAGTCGGCTTTACAATCGATGTGAAGGTCAGTTACAGCAAAATTAACATTTTCTTGACTTTACATTTTTACATTTTCATTTTGAATTTTGCATTTTGACTTTTGCATTTTGAATTTTTGCATTTTTCAACCCCTAACTTTACATTTTGACATTTCAAACCAATTTTAAACTTAACTAACATTTTTTGACTTTGCTGTTGAAGATATTAACGAGTGTCTCGCCCCAAACCCATGCCCGAACACCCCCAAGGGCGTGGAGGCGTGGTGTGTCAACTCGATCGGTGGCTATCATTGCTGCCAGCCGGGTATGGACATGAAAGAATGTGGCGGTATGTCCATAACTGAAATGGAGCCAACGTCGCCTACAGAAGTCGGCAAGAAAGGGAACAGAAACGTGAATGTTATCAGTTTTGGGGAGCTGAGGAAGACCATCTCAAAGCATATTATCTTCGGCCGCGGCAGGATCCCGGCCCAAAGACAGTGGGGATTGGAGCTGACCGGAAAAGGACTGTCCGGAGGTGCTACTGGATCAGATGAAGGCCCCAACGGTGAAGGTAAGTTACTAATTCGTTGCCAAATCACTGATTAAATCTATTTTAAGCACCAAAGCCCTCGGTGAGCACCACTCTATTCACAACTGTCTCAATTGCACCACTTGAGGGACCGCTGGTAGGCCCTCGATTACCAAACGAGATTCAGAATCCCACCACGAATTCAAATTCACCACACCCACTCACAAACAAAACATTACCGGTCGGTAGTGGATTAATTGTTACTCCATCTGTTTCTAATTCTGCTGGTCAGAATAGTACCAACAATGGTACCTTCAATTCTTTCAATAGTACTAGCGGTGCTTTTGGCTTTGTAGCTAAACCCAAATCAGGCAAATTGTCTCCAAATAACTTTATCAATCCTCGGAATCCGTTCGTGATTCCTGCATCCAAATTCGAATTCCCAGAAGTTCCTCAAGATTCTGAAGTAGAGAAAGAAGAAGAAGACAAAGGAGGGATAAAACAAGAATTCAGAAGCCGAAATCACAGTTTTGGATCCAATAAAATTGTGTTTGGTCCCAGCGGAAAATCTTTCAAACAATTACCGTTTATCCTGCCTCCAGGCATTAAATTTACCCCAATTAGTATTCCAAAAGACATCAAGAGTACCAGTAGTCGTAAAGGTCCTAAAACTGCAGTCTTAAGAACATTGAACTCCACAAAACATGAATTTGGAATACATTTGAAGCCAGTTAAACCAGAAGATAGTAAAGAGTCAACAGATGGTAGTACGGTAGATACTGTAGCATCTACAACGCCGAAAACACAATCGGAACAATCTTCTACTGTCAATACAATGCCTACTAAGGTTACTACTGTGCCACACAATACTACCTCATCAACTACAGTACCAGACATTGACATCGTTGGTACAAACACAACAACTAACAGTATAGAAGAAGTAATTCCACAGACTCCAATGCCTGTAGACAAAGTGACATTAAAGAGCGACGAATGGGTGGTGGAAGATGACAGTGGCAGCAAAAGTTCTCAGATCATCCAAAGCCAAGAAACTTTGATACTGTCAGGCAAAGGAGGGTTTCAGAAGTCGACCAAAGTCCCCAAAACCATTGAAACCGACTCTGTTAGCACTGAAATACTCGACTTTTCCAGCACACTGTCTACTACAACACCAAAAGAAAGTCTGTCATCAACTTCTTTACCTGATCAAGAGTCTATGAATTCGTCGACGGATTCAGGGCCTTTAATTGCATCGACTAATTCGGTTGAGTCATCGACCTCTTCATCTGACTCGTTTATGCCATCAATTTCCACTACAACTCCAGTAGAACAAGTCACCGGTGTTACCACCGTGCCAGAAGCCGAAGAACCGTCAAAGTCTGATGGATCTTTCAGTAATTCACTTAAAAGTGCAGAAGAACCCACAACTACAAAAGGCGAACTTTTTAGCCAAAGTGTAACATCAACAAGTGATATTTCTAACAAAAGTACTACAAATAGTGCGACAACCAACGGTCCTAGAATCGCCGACACTAATGGTGCTAAAAGATCCAAAACAGATACACCTGTTACTGAAGTCAGCTTGCCAGAAAGTATTGGAAAGGCACAATCCAACCTATCAACAATGACTACAAACCCACTAGTACCTATAACTTCTGAATCCACCACCACACAATCAGCGGCCAAAAAAGAGCAGTTTAGTACGAAAAATTCAGAAACGACAAGAACAGAGAGTACTATTGCAGTGACAGAACAAAGTCATACAAGTGAACATGAAACAACAGCGTTACCAAGTAAAGTAAAACCTGGCAATGCTCCTAATAAGTTTACAGCTGAAGCAAATATCTTGATTACAACTGAATATCGTAACAGTAAAAACACAGAAACTGCAACGGAAGCTCGAAAAATCACAAAGAACAGTACTAACGGCTCTAAAACATCTAGTACTGCTACGCCAAAAGACAGACTGGATTCAGAAATGTCAAAGCCAACTACTAAAAGCATCGCAGTTCAAGAAGTAACTGTAAAGAGTAACGAGACTGGAACCACTACGCAGACGTATACCGCATTTAAAAATAAAGGTACGAAGACATTGTCATCGAAAATGCCACAAGTCGACGCCGATAAGAATACCAAGAGTGAAGCGACTTCTGATTCTCTAAAAGTAACAACAGAAGCTTCAGTAACATACGTTAAAAGTGTAACCATGTCAAGTAATTACAACATTAAAACGACCTCAAAAAGTGATGGAGAGTTTATGACTACTGAACTCATGTCTACTCCAAAAGATAATCCAAAATCCGAAATTTCAATGTCCACAACCCAAAGTAGCGTTACAAACGACAGTAAAAATCAGATAATAGTCACAGAATCAAAAAGTAAAACATCTGAAAAAATAATACCTGTTACACAAGACGGCTTGTCTCCATTTACATCACAAAGACCAGAAATGAACGAAAATGACGGAACCATCAGTTATACAATGACTACAGATGGCGATAATACTTTAGTTAGCGATAGTACTACGACGATTCAGAGCAGTACCACTGGTTTTGCTGAAATTACAGAACAAACGGTAAAAACAGATTTAGAAGGCAAGAAAGAAGTTCTTTTTACAAAAACAGCAAGCTCCACATCAACTTCTAACATAGACATACGGCCAACAACAACACCAGAAATAAGCCAAACTAAAGTAGAAACTACTACAGTTAGTCAAGTTACAGCAAGTAGTAAAACAACAATAATACAGCCAGAACAAGGTCTTGCTCGTAATAATGTTGTTAAAGGAAACGATTCAAAATCAGCTCCTTTACCAACAAACGAAGCAAGCACAACATTAACTTCTACCAAAGGCTTAATTACAACCCAGCCCACTCAAACAGCAAGAGAAAGTACGACGAAGGCTGGTCAGGTAACTAGTGAAGCTAGACCAAAATTAGATGCTATAGAACAAGATTTAACAACAAAATCAAATGAACGAAACCTTGAAGCCACTACTGAAGCAGCTACAGTACCATCGCGAAACATGCCCTTCAACCCAAAAAGACAAGAGGTCAATCAAAAGGAGGAAACTGCCGTAAAGCCCATGTCAAAATCACCTAAAATTACAGAAAAAATTGAAAGCATTACCACGTCACCTGAAAAGCCTTTAGCTAAAGAAAGTAAAGTTAAAAATACATTAACCATTAAACCAGACATAGAAAATGCAAATACAACACCAGAAAGAAAAACAGACAATACTACTCCTGAAGGTTTAAATGGCGACTTGAAAGTAGTACCAACTGGATCTAACAAAACCCTTGAAATAAACCGAGAAGGCAGAAACCGTAAAGTTCAGGCTAAAACAACGATGAACCCTGATGACCTGTCAACGTCACTAAATAAAGTTACTCCAAGTATGCAAATGACAACAACTTTTGAGAGTACACCTGAAGTAACAACTGGTAGTGATATTGGTAATACTAATCTTGGTGGAGCTGTGTCAAATACGCCAAAAAGTATAAAGCCAGACAACAGAATAGAAAGTAAACATAATGAGCTTGAATTTGAATCTGGTTCACCTTCTGATCTTCCTAAAGTTACACAAAAGACCATAACAAAAGATGTTGATACTACAACATCATCTACAGTTGTTGATATCAGTGCTACATCTAAAACTGTTACTATACTAAAAGGAAAAAGTAGTACAAACTCTGGAGATAACAAAAAACTGACTAACCATAAAAGTGAACAAATTACTGGTTCATATACAAAATCTGCTGATATTAATACAACCCAAACAACTACTGTAACTCCGTCTGGTTCTCAAGTTGAAACAACAAAATCAAGTACTGAGAGTAAAAGTGCAACTAATGATGACATAGACCTACGTGCTGAAACTGTAAGCTCAAGTACTGCAGCAGACATAAATAGTTCTGAACTTAAAGCTAGTACATTTACAGGTAGTATTACTAACCAACATAGAGGTAATACAAATGAAGAAGAAAGTAACAAATTAAGTACGGTAAGTGAAAAGCAGCCTTCAGTTCAAATTGTAACGAAAGAATCTGAGCCAAGCACAGCAAACACAGAAAAACTTGACAAAAGTTTTGAAACTAGCAGTACTAAAACACCAAGATTTAAAGACAAAACAACTACTGTTAAAACAGATAATCCTACAACAACTTCTGCCAATTCAAGAGAAAGGTCTTCAGAAGCACACGTTACAGAGCCAATCCAAGTCAGCAAAGGTACAGTATCTGACAGTAGTTTAAGGAAGCCAACCCATTCCTCTGTTACTCAAAATCCTTTAAACAAAGGAAGTATGGGACAAAATCAAACTAAAAATACAGGCAGTCCAGGCAGTCATAGAATAGGAAATTCTGAAAAAAGTACGATCAATAGTAAGCTTGAAGAAAAAACGACGCAACCAGAAGTCGTTAGAGAACATACCAATGAAAGCACGATAAAACCTGCTGAAGAAGTTACTGCTGATTTTGAAAGTACGACTGACAAAATAATACCGACTAGCATTACTAAGCCCACAACCAGTAGTTCTTCAACGTACAATAAGCTGACAACTCAACGGAACCGAGAAGAACATGAAGAGTCAAGTACCAAAATTCCATTGACAATAGATAGTGTAAACGCTCGTATTAAAACTACAAAAAATACTATTAACTCCAATGCTGAAAGTTCCCGAAAAGAAATTACTGTAACACCAGACAGCCTTACCATGTCAAATAAACCAAAAGACACAATTCATGGTTTACAAAAGTTATCTAAGATTCCAAAAAACGATGCGGTGACAAGTTTTAGACCAGCACTAGTTACTACTGAACAATCTATTACTGTAAAAGCCATAGATACTACTGAAAGTATAAAAGAGAGTACAGTGATTGCAGCTACAGAAAAAAGTCATGAAGAAACAGTAGAAAGTAGGCAAGAAATCACACCTGACAAAGCTAAAAGAAAAGAAGTAACGAATACTACAAGTACTTCGACACCAACATCAAATGAAGAGCTTGAGTTCAGTCGTTCCTCAAGGTTAACAACACAAAACTACAAAATTCCAGAAGCTGAATCATCTAGTAGTCAAACAAGTAGTGAAGAGTTTATGACTACACCTGAACCAACATCTACAAAGCCTTCTTTCGTAGATAGTACTATTCACAACCTTAAAACGGGACAATTTGCTGTACTTGATACTAATGTTGTATCAAGCACTCAAGGTACAGATGAAATAAAAGCAAGTGGAGAAAGCACAACATTATCTACAGAAACAAGATTCCCAAGCGTGACAGTTGACTCTGAAGAAAATGAGCAAATAAAGCTGAAGATCCCTGAAGCTGAATCTGAAGAAATCACAGAATCAGTAAACGGTTTCAACGCAAAGAGCAGCAAATCTACCGGAAATGAACAAGCCAGCTCTGTACACAGTTCAACCACTACGCTTCCAACTACTGGCCCAAAGAATGTAGCTTCAACAAGAGTACCAATAGAGGATGGGAACCTAACAACTACAACTCTCAAAGTTAACATAGATATTAGTACAACTGAAGAAACTACTAATCAAAGAACAACAAAAAAATTAAAAAAAGCTAGTGAAAAGACAGGCCATGTCCATAAAACATTAAAAAATGACATAATTTTGACAACAGTTTCCCCTACAGTAAAGGAGAATCCAACAACAGACAAGCCTGATAATGGTAACGAAGAATTACCTAAAGATCAAGTTGACACATCTGTTAGCCTAAAACAAACTGAAAAACCGGTATATACTCAGAAGGTAATCACGAGCGAGCCAGAAAAAGACTATAAAGTCACAAATAAATACACAAATATACCAGATATGGTTACAAGTAGACCTAGTAAAGCTTCTAAATTGCCAAAAAAATCTACTGATACTCTAGAACAGACTACTAACGCCCAACCTCAAGTTACTGAATCTGGTGGCAGTGTTTCTAATGTACCACTTGATGTTACCCAAGTACCAAAAAACACTTTTGATGAAATAAACATGCGTACTACTAATGTAAAAGACAGAGCTGAACCAAACAGTAAAGTTACTTTGAAATCTGTTATAAAAGATCACAATGAAATAGTAAATCAACCTTTTAAGGTTGATCTAAAAAGCCCTGGTGAGGATATGAGTACGACAACAACGTACGCAACTTCTGAAACTTTAAATAGTTCTACAGATTCTTTTGAAGGTCAAAGTACGGAATCAAGTATAACAGAATCATTCGTAACAAAAGCTAGTCCAAGAAAAGTAACAGATAGCTTTAAAACAACAAACGAAGACAGAATTAACGATAAAAGTGCTACAAAAGATACAAAAATGAATACTCCAGAAAGCACAAGTGGTAAAAGTGGTACAATTTCAAGTAATGAAACACTAAGCTCACCGTTGAGTACTACGGTAGAAAACAAACATCGAAAAGATGAAGTAACTACACTCACACCAGAATCTGAAGTGGGTTTGGAATTGGCGGCTAACAAGTTCAATAACAAGACATCTAGAAATCAACACAAAACCTCTGAAAATAGTGGTAAAGAATTTAAAGGTCAGCCAAAAAAAAGTACAGAAACCTTAACAACAAATTCTGAAGTTGGTTTAGAACTGACGGCTAATGGGTTTGAAAATAAAAAATCTTCAGAAAGCAGTAAAGCGTTTGAAGGTAATGCCAACAAGTTAAAAGAACGTCCTAATATCAATAGCAAAACACTATCACCAGAATCAGAAATTGGCCTAGAACTTACAGGTAATGGCTTAAAAAATCCACTATCTACAGAAGCTGATCAGACTTTAGAAAGAGATAGTAATACGCCATTAAGCCAGTCATCGCATAACTATAAAATAGCTGTACCAAGCTCTGAAGTTGGCTTAGAATTGACAGGAAATGGTTTCAACAACCCTATGCCTAACGAAGCTGACAAGACCTTTGAAAATGGCAAATCTAAAAGCCAGTCAACAGAAAGGCTGATAACTACAAACCCATCTGATTCTGTAGAAAACGAAGTTGGACTAGAACTAACTGGCCACGGTCTTCGTCCGACCAATTTACAAAGTTTTACTCAAAAACCATTCGATGAACCTTCTAAAGCTAAAGCTAGTACTAAGCAAATACAGTCACCAGTCACTTCTACAGAGTCTTCAACTAGAGACTTTATTCCTAGCAAGTCATTAAACACATCAAAAAAGAAATCCGGAAGAATTGAGCAAAAAAGTCAATCTAAAACTTGGAGGCAAGGAGAACAGACTGTTATTGTTTTGCCAAAAGGATGGCAACAAGTACTTTGGCCAGATATTACAAAAAAAGTGACAACATCTAATAACCCTAAGTTATCAACAACGGAAACCACAGTTGATTTAATGGTAGCGACCAAAAGCCCTTCTAGTAGTGAGGCATACACAATGGTTACAAGTGCTGAAGCTCTACTTACAGAAACTACTACTGTTGATGATACCGATGTAGGTAATGAGGCTACACTTTCACCTAAGGTTAAGCCAAAAAATCCTGCCGAAAGTGAAACCAAAATGACAAAAACAACAGTCCCTTATGTCAGTAAAATTCCTGAAATTACTACAATCCAAACAGTAGACATGACAAAAATTCCAACAGAAGGAAAAGTGTTCAGCCCAGATACTACAGAAGACATAAAAACCAGTACAAGTGACTCACAAGGTCAAACTAGTAATAAGGTAACTATTCCAACTTTTACTACTACTAAAGTAGAACGAGGTAAACCAAAAAATATTGAGCCAAACGATTTTGATGCTACAACGGAATCAAGCCAAGGCTCAACTACACTAGAGCCTATGGAAGTCGAAAGTGTAATTTCAACGTCTACATTAACATCGGTAGTATCTGATACAAATACTCGGGGCGGTAAAGATGAATCTTCAGTTATACCAAGTAGTTCAACTACAGAAAGTACAAATACGACACCAAAAAAGACTTCTGCATTCTTAATTACCAAAGAATCTTTCACAGAACGGCGTGACAACAGAAAGACAGAAGCTATACCTACACAAAAGCCTGCATTACCCATAGAAAATGAGAACACGCAAAGTAACGTACCTTTTAGCAACGTTTCTACTACTCGAGAAAGCAGTGAAACTCCCAGATTAACTACAAAGTCAGAAATCATTACGGTTAAAAATCAAGGAGTTAGTACAACAGAATCCAGTGCAGTGGAAACTACTACATTTGACAATGGTGTAAATGACAAAAAATCGCCCAAAACCAATACTGAACAAGGAAAGCATGACATAGAAGAAGCTAGCACACAAGCAAACAATGTTAATTTTGTCGTACCATCTTCAGAGGACAAAAAACAAGAAAAAACAGAAAGCACCACAACGATTGTCACTCCAAATGAAGAGATAACACAAAGTGTGACAAGTAGACAAATATATACTCAAACAACCCAAGTACCAAATACCACTAATGTAGTTGGCTCAAACAATAAAGCTAAAACTGTATCAGGATCAAGCGAAAAAACAATCATTAGTACCATTCCTGACAGAGACACTAATACAAATGGTTCTTCTGTATCAAAAACTTTCAAAAAAAATCAAAAAGTAAACAAAAGTAGAACAAAAACTAATTTAAAAACTACTACTGAGCCTATTAACATCAGTAAAACCCAAAACATAACTACTAGTGTTCCTGAAAATACAAAGAGCGGTGTTACAGAAGCCATAACTATCAAAAAAGATAGGTTGCCCACTTTCACACCACACAAAAATGATGACAAAGAGATGACAAATAGTCCAAGTAAAATGCCTACATTTAAAAAAGATGTCATCGTCCCAGAAACTAAAAGTACTGTAACTAGTCCAGTAAGTAAAACCCGGGCTTATCGACCAGAAAGCGACAAGGTAGAACAAACTACAATAAAGACTGAAACTACTGACAGTTTTTCACATAGTAGCACAACTAATAAAGCCAGTAATAAAGAAGAAACTCTAGCAATTACCATGCCAATTCAAGTAACAGAGGTAACAAGTATGAATACAAAAGAAGTTACAGAGACATCAACAAAACTCAAAGTAACATCCACCAGACTAGAAAAGACAGACGAGCCTGATTACCTTACAATTCCTGAAGAAGAAGCTTTTACCGAGACTCCAATGATTCGTATTACAAAAACAATCATCAAGGGGGTCAAAACGCTAATTCCAAATATATTTTCAACAACGGAAAACCCAACAACTGAACCTGCTCTCCAACCTACTGTGACTGAAGAAAATCCAAACCCAGTAAAAATCAATAAAGAGGAAGGTACTGATAAAAAACAAACAACAACATTAACCAAATCAAACACGGAGAGTACCACAACAATATCTGAGCTGACACCACAGTCAATTATAAAAGAAACTTTGGAGCCAGAAGAGTCAGGAAAATCAGATACTGTGACCACAACAAAAGGCTTAAACCAAGAAAGACAAGCAGTTTCTCAAACTGGACAGTCTGAAGAAACCACCGAAGCAATAAGGACGGTTGCTGGAAGCACGTCGGTAACAAGGAAATCACACTCAGAACGACAAGGTCATATAAAAGAAGACGACAGAGAGAGAGATAAAGTTACAACAAGCCCAAAAAGTTTCATTTCTGTATCAAAAACACCTAAAAGCACCAAGTCGTCAACGCTTCTTACTACGGAGTCCGTTACAGAAGCCCCAGAAGGGGTCAATAACAACCCAATCTTGAGTGATAAATTCACCACAAATGAATTAAAAAGACCTACTACCAGTCCAGGTCTGATTACATCAAAAGGTTTTACAGAAAATCCAGAAAAGATAGTTTCTGAAGTCACGAAATCAATCAAAAACATTGAAGTACCTGTTAGTACTGAGATAACACCAGAAAAAGAAGTAACAGAACGGACGACTAAAAAAACCACTCCTATTCCAAAAACTCAACCCCCAGAAGAAGACGGTAATACTAAAAAAGCGAACCGTAAAAGCAGTACAATACAGAATGAAAATCCGGCAACTACAAATATTGTTAACGCTATAATAACTTCTGACGGTGTATCAACAACAACAACAACTAAACCTATGGCTGCCATTAGCACTACTACGCGACCAAAAGAGATTGTGGGCGAAACGCTAGTACAAAAAGAACGGCAGAGTAAAGTAAACAGCTTTAAAGAGACAACTACTTCAGAAGGTGTAACTACAGAAATTAAAGAAGATACTATGTCTCTGCCCATACCAAACAAAGCAAGCGGCAACAAAATCAGTATTTCGGCAGAAAGTAAAAACAAAAGCACGTCAGACAAGACGTCATATTACAAAAATAATGTCACAATGCCAGATAGCCACATTGATAAGACAAATAAAGCTGAAACGTTGCTAAACAACAACAAGAAGGGTGTAACAACAGCTACTGACAAAACAAGTAATTTTACAACAAGTAACACTAAAATTACTGCTGAAAATAGATCAAATGTTTCTGCTACAGTAATACCCAATTTGTCTAACCCAGAAAGTTCAAGTAAAACTACCGTGTCATCAGTGAAGAAAGTGGAAAAGCAAAAAATGACAACCACTAAAATGCCCACAAGAACTAATTTGCCATCCGTTAAGACCAACCCTAATGATGGCTTTTTACTAAATACTGTATCTGTCTCATCTGATGAACCTCCAACTTCAAAGTTACCGACGACAGAAGCGCAAATACATATGAGTACTAAAACTACAAGTACAACTGTAAAAACAGTCATAGAATCAACAAAGAATAAAGTCGATAGTGAAAATAGTGTTAAGATAGCAAGCACGCCAACAGTTGTAACCAAAGATCATCATAGAAAAAATAATGTTGAAAAAGGCATAGCAGTCACAACTGACTCAACCGTGAATAATGTAGCACTTGAAAGTATGTCTCGTACAACTTCTAGTAGTTTTTCAAGTAGTAACACAACACATAGCTCACCAGTAGAAGGTGTCAGCACTGAATATTTTAATAATAGTACTGAAAGCTCATCGATTACGACTGGTATCATCCATGATAAAAAGTCAAAAGCCTCAAATGACAATGATAAAGTAACCGATGGCCCTTCTACTGTAACTACAATTATAGACAAAGTTAGCAGCTCTAATACCGTAGAACATGACCAAAAAGAAAATGGAAGCAAAAGTACAGAAATGTCAAGCTGGCCTAAAGGCAGTAAGAAAGAAATCACCCCTACGACTACAGGTTCAAATGTAAATTCAATTAAAACCGATGAAGAAGACGTGCATAACCAGAAAAACGGTAACACTACTACAGAATCATTGATTACTACAGAGAGTACTGAGTTTACTCAAAAGCCTTCGATTGAGGTCGATGAAGAATTCACAGAATCCTCAGAAAAAGAATTTAATGTCCCTACTTCAACATTGTCATCAAGTTTGTCAACCAATGTTAACAAAGTAAACCCAAAGTTCATAAAGACGACAGAAAAACCAGGTTCTCATGACAATGACATATTTGACAAAACAACTGCCAAATCGTCTTTATCAGAAACAGAAATGACAAAACTTGGCAGTGTAACTAGTAGACCTTTCAAAACGACTAGTTATAAATTGGTTGACCAGCAAGTCAAAACAATTCAAAATGTTACACAATCCACAGTACCCACTACCCAAACTAGTGCAGTAAACAAAACAGAATATCAAATTAAGGGCCATACTGAATCAGTTACTGAAGAGCCCGTCAATCTTGATAATTCTACTTTGGAAAGCACAAGGTCACAAGGCACAACTGTATATGAAAAGAGCAAGTATACAAGGAAACACAATATGATTCAAAGCTCTACTTCTGAACCAGAAGCTGTAGAATCCACAGTAACTAAAATGAGTACTACAAAAACAGTTGAGGTTGAGACGATGAATACTCAACAACAAGAAACAACCATGGTCAACCAAGCTTCAAAGTTAAGAATAAATACCGAAGAACCTTTAGAAACAGATAAACTTGAAAAAGAATTTCCAACACCAGATCTCATTGAAACCAACAAAGAAACTCCAATCAATGAAAAAGAGAAAAGTGAAGGTTCTGAACATACCACAACATCAAGTCGTACCGCCTTATCTGTTACTGCAACAACTGAACAAGAACAGACAAAACAGCCAAATGAATTACTTCCGCTCGTAAATGCGACAGTTGTAACAGAGAATATCTCAGTTAAAAACAAAACTGCAAGTTCAGTCCATACGAGTAAAGAAGCTGTAGACAACAACAGTGCAACAACCAAATCAACAAGTAAATCTAAAGCTTCTCAACTTCCAAATGTAGGCAATGAAAATCTTGAATCTAAAGCTTCCCAACAGCCAAACACTCAGATTCCAATGCCAGTGACTACTGACAAAGAAAATGATGGTACTACGCTAGAAAGTCCTTGGCTAACAAATAGTACAAAAGATACTACTACCTCAGGCCTAAAGGTTGAGACAAAATCAGTTACAGTACAACCAGAAGTAGTGTCAAAATTACCAGTAAAAACTGGAGCCACAACAGGTAAAACTATTGTTAGCCGTGCAAGTACAAAATCGTCATTTACTAACAAAAATTACATTACTTCTGAAGTTACTACAACCTCTGTGCCTCCAAATAACCTGTTCAAGAATACAAAGTCAAATGGCAGTTTACGTTTGTCAACACCTGTAGGTAAAGAAGTCAGTTCAACAAAAAGCACACTACTTACAGTAACACCTCAGTACACTAATGAAGACTTTACAACGACAAACAACATAGTTACGAAATCTGACACGACTAGTGATAAACACATAGAAAGCTCAACAGAAGTAACTTCTAGTAGTTCTAGTCCAATAAAAGAAGATAAGTCAGTAACAACAAGTGACAACTTGTCTACAGAAACCCCGGTAGCACCTGTTAGTAGAACAACCTCTAAAAATCCACTAAGCATAGTTGTTACTGAGGAAACCACAACAACTAGTCCCATAAGTACTGTAAAAGCAAGCGGTAAAGAAGTTGAAAGTTCTAAACATTTAGTCGAACCTTCTAAAATGTCAGTAGAACCATCAAAAACGACAGTACCCTTTAAATCGACATCGTATAGAGATTCCTCAATTGTAACTGATTCAGAAGAGAAAAGTACAGTGTCATATAGTACAACCACTTTAGTGCCAAATCAAGTAAACCTCAAAGATGACTTGAGCAACCCAAGTGATCTGACAAAACCAGATACTGAAGGCAATGCAAGGATTATAAATAGTGATATTAGTACAGGTACTACCAAATCTGTGAATCCAGAAACTTCAGAAACTACAGAAGAGACTTCAGTAACAAAACCTGCAAAGGTGCAGAATAGTTCAAAGCCAGAAGCTGATAAGAATACGGCCGCAAAAGTGAATTTTGAAAGCACAACTGTGAGTACTTTCACAGAAAGCACTGTTAACAGTCCATTTAATACAAAAACCTTCAAAGACAAAGCTACAAAAGAAGAAGGTAAAGCTGCGGGTTCAACAACAGCTATCTCTCAAGGACTTACAGGCAAAACAGAAAAAGCTACAACTAATTCTGAAACATCAGAAAACAATCATAAAGCTCTTAACAGTAGTGTTATTATTCAAAAGGTCGACAAAACAACTGTCGCAACAACACCTACTACTACCACAAATAGAAATCTATTTTCTAAGAGTACAAACGAGATTGACCATGATGAGTCAAATCCTGAACAAAAGCCGGTAACGAATAACATCGACAAGAAGTTTGACGTAAACGATAACACCAAAACAACAGTTTCAGTAACGGATTTACCTGACGATACCGTGCCAAAGGCTGTTGACAATCCTTCACAAACGCCTAATGGTATGACTGAGCATGTGACCACTCCAAATAACTTAATCACAGTTAAAAGTAAAATTATTGAACATTCCGCGACCACACTAAAACCGTTGTCAGATTCACAAATATCGATGACTAAAAAACAGCCAAATAACAAAACCAAAAAGTCGTCTAAACATAAAAAGATTGCAAAAACTGTGCAAAAGATTGAGAGCAGACACGAAAGTCACGGTGAAAGCGGATTCTATGCCAAACCTAGCCACGGTAAAGTAAAAGAGACCAATTTTACTAGAAAGAGTACTGCCCAGTCAACAAACAAGACTACAAGTACAGTATCAACAAGTGCAAAACCACCAAATATAGTCACTAGTAGTCCGACGACAAATCATGAACTTACCGTTAGTACTCTTGATCTAGACAAGGCTACACAACAGTCGACAAAAGTAACCGGTCGACACTATACGACTGTTGATAGAGATGTAAAAAAAAGTGGTACCGTTGAGTTAAAAACGTCAAAAAGCAGTGAAATAGGTATCCCAACTAAAAAAACAAATGTAATACTTAATGTAGTTGAGGTTACTAATAAAGCTGCAGATATTCAATCTCCAAGTAAAACTACTGCCATTACTACTTCAAGTGCAAATGAATTTACAGATAGCACTCTTACCTCAATGAATGCTGTAAAAGTTGATAGTAGCCAATCTTTCATTAATAAAAAAAAAGAAGATAGTCAAGGTATTGAGATATCTGGTAGTGACTTGCATAAAAGCGATGTAACAAAAAAAGTTGTTTCACCATCTCGTAACAGAAACACAGCAAAGACAATGTTGACTACTGAAATCCCCAATAACTCAAATGAGGCTTTTAATCTGCCATCAAGAACGTCACAGACTGTTAAAAGTGCTTACAATGTGACCAAAGAAACTGACGAGCTACAAAACAAACCGCTAGAACTGTCAGGAGATAGCTTTAAAACACCAAAAGTTGTCTCGACTACGCAAACAAACCCTAAAGTTGAGGAAAGTACTACAAAATCAGAAGCCGCCAAAATAATAACACCGCTGCCATCAGAGTCTGAAGGTAAAATAGCAAACAAATCGGCTTCTAATTCAAGTAAGCTTGCAAGAACTAAAGGTCAAGAAACCCCAGAAGAGAATATACCACAAAATAAAACCACTGTAAGCATTCAAAATAAAAAAGGCCAATTACAGCCAATATCAACAAAACATAGCACCAAAACAGTACGTGAATATTCTCCTAAAGGTTTTACTACAGAACAGCCGGAAGAAAGTTTAGAAAATGGTCTTGAAATATTTGGAGCTGATATACAACCAATTAACCCAGATATTACAGGCTCGAATGTTACTAATGCTCCAGATTCCAGCAACAAAAAGCATTCAGAACAGCCAATTGAGACAACAGTTGTGGCAGTCACTGACGCTACTACGAGTTTGTCTATAACAGCTAGTGAAACAAGTAGTACACAATCTTTCGATACCAAGAGTATAAACAAAACCACTCTTACAGTAGAGAAATGGTTTGAGACAACAAAACCTTTTACTGCTAAAGAAACTCTGCCGATAAAACCTGATAAAACCAAAAAAGATAAGTCTGCCGTTACTTTTGAATCAGAGCCAACAAACTTGAATACCGTAAAGCCCCTTGGCCACAATAATACTTTGAATGCTCTTATTTCAAATACCAATAGCACGCTTAAAATCTCAACTTCTACTGAAAAAGAACATCACAGGACACAGTCTTCTAGTGTTTCCTTTTCAACTACAGTAATACCGGTAGAAACTACAGTATCAAAAACAGTAGTGCCAAGTAATGTAAATCATACTGAAGGCTCTAATGTAACACCTATTAGTACGAGCACGCTGAAGATTGATTTAAGCAACAATAAATCAACAGTTCAGACAACAAGTACTACTCTAAAACAAGATGATCTAAGAAGTATAAGTACTACTCCATCATCGAGTAATGTTGAAATTATTACAAAAGTAACTAAAGAAACAAAAACAAATTCGACTCCAATTTCTGAAAGCACAAGTATCCATATCTCTGAAGCCACATCAATACCAGCAAACGGTAAAAACGAGCTGAGCAAGTCAACAAGTACTAAAATGAATGCTTCAGAAGAAAAAGAAGTTCAGATCACAACTGATAGTTTACAAACAACAAGTAAAAATATAAGTGAGAAAACAATTAAAACGCCACTAGAAAGTACAAAAATGCCGTCAGATCTTTCACTGATACCTGAAGCAAAAAGTAGAATAATAGAAGATCTGAATTTACCGACAATGTCAGCTAATGTACAAATCAAAACAACGACAGAAAGTGGTTTGCCTTTACCAAACAAAAAGACAGAAGCAACAGTAACCAATACCAAAAAATCTAAAAGTATTGAAAACTTAGAACATACCACTAGTATGATAAAGACTGTACCATTTACACTCCGTCCAAAAACAGTAGCCTCAGATGAGACAGTAAGAACTATAAAGGAAAGTAAAGAGCTGACAGAAATGAGTAAAACAAATACAAAAAGCAGAACGATTCATTTAGACACTACAAGAAGTACAAGTGAGAACGATAAACTTACTAGTAATACTGTTGCTGAAAATGTTAACACTCAATCGACTCCATCCACAAGCACAGAGAAAGAAATACGTGAAGTCGGACTAGAAATATTTGGCGCTGATGTAGAAAAAGAAAGTAGAAGTAGTGCAAGTAAAACTGATCAAGCTCAACCAAACTTTAAGGACAAAAATTATGGTTCAGAAAGCACTACAGTAATGATTAAAGTCGTCGCAACCGCACAAAAAGCAGGCAATGTGTTAGGATTGACAACAGAACAGCCAGAAAGTCCGTTGACAACAACAATCGAAACAACTACAAAACAGAAGAATAGTAAGCATTCACCAAGGTCAGAAACAAGGTTTGAAACTCTAAAAACAACAAGCTTCAAACCAGAAAGTCCTGCTGACGACACAACTGTTGAAATTAGTGTAACATCAAAGGCCAAGAATAAAAGTACTGAAGCTACAACTATGCAAACACCTCCATCAAAGAGTGGTTTGACACCTACAACTGACAAATACACAAGTGGTGTAAAGAAAAGCACAACTGCCAGTAGCTCAACCACTTTTAGTTTAGCTAGTACTCAAAAACCGAACAATTTGGCTAGCACATTAAAGCCCCATAAAAGTAGTGAAGAAGAAGGTACAGATCATAAAATACCAACAAAAGAAAATTTGTTGTCTGAAAGTGTCAAAGCGACAACACACAAACCAGTTAATGAAGTTTTTGATACAATAACTAGTACTAAAAATATAAACTCAAAAACTACAGCCAGTACATGGGATTCTGATAAAAGCATTGTAAAAGTTACTACTACAACTACTCCAGAAGCATTTACAGCTGTCACAGAAGAAGTTTCCAAACCCAATATGAAACCAAATACAAACTCAAACAATATCATAAACTTGAGTACAAAGACACCAGTACTGAGGACTTTCAAAGCATCAAAAACAGTCAAGTTTGGATCCGTGTCAACCACAAAACATACTGTAACAAATCAGAAAGCCCCTGAAATGTCGTTAACACACACAGCTTCACACACAAAAGTAATTGAGAGCTTAGAAAAAAATCCAAATGAGGCTAATGCTTCATATATAGCTACAACAGAAGAAACGGAATCTTCACAAAACCCGGAAACGGCAACTAAAGTAGAATATTTGGAAACTAGCTCACTAAAACCAATGCCAAGTTCATCCGAAAGTTATAATTTACATTCTAATGTCACGAAGACAAAAAGTGACGAGAATGAAGTTGATGAGGTCGCAGCAACTCCACTAGTTAATATTGTAACCAAAAAGAGTAATGTTGTCACCTCTAGAAAAAGTGAAAGTACTAAAAGGCCTTCTGCTTTTGAGAAGAAAGTCATTAATGTCAAGCCAACTTCGAAATTTGAAAAGAAAACTTCAGAAGCATTCAAAACTATTCCAAATGCAACTGAACCTCCTAGTAAGAGTAGTCTTGAAGACTATACAACAAAAACAACAACAACAGCAACCAATATTAATACAATGTCGCCAAAAGAAGTAGCAGAGGCACCTATAAATGAAAACGACAGATCACATACAACTCAAAAAGCTAAAACTCGAACGAAGGTAGCTGAAGATGTGACAGAAAGTACAAGTACTGTAGATATTACAACGAAAAGTAACAACGAAAAAGATGAGTCTCAGACCGCTAAATATATAAGTGATGTCACTCCAGTCACGGCTGTTACAACAGAAGCAGACGTTACTGTACTGAATGAATCAAGTAAAAATACAAAAAATAAGTTTAAAAATACCGTAAATACGCAAACCCTTGCTCAAACAATTTCTGGCAACACTAAGTTTAGTACAACAACAAAAGCAAATTCAGAAGTCGAGTCAACCTTTGTAAACGAGATAGACTTAAAAGCCGTTGAAACAACGTTAGGCAAGCCGAATTCAAAAACTGCTGGTACACAAGAAACGTTGTATAAAACAACAATAACTACAAAAGAAGGTAGAGCTACATCTACAGCTAAAACTCCATTTAAACTAGACAGTAAAACAAACCAAAAAATGTTGCCTGAAGACCGTACTATTGTACAGTCACCCGTTTTCACCAGTACCACTAAACCGACAAACAAACATGAAATTAACATGTTTATGTATACACCATCTAAAGCTGGTCCTAATGAAGGTGAAGTTACAATGTCGCCAACATCAGAAGAAACATTTAGTAAAGTCACTCAGATTGTGCCCAATGATACACAGAGAACTAATTCTATCGAAACTTCAGATGAACCGCTGTTATGGTCAAGAAGACCTGTTACTAATGAAGGTACAACAGAATCTCAAAACCATACCCCGGAAAATGTTGAATTATCTACAATTCAGTCTAAAACACCAATTACTGCGTTTACTGTCACAGAAGAAACAGATGAGATATTGCCTACTAAAAGTCTGATAAATAATGGCAAAAATCAAGATAAAACAACAAAATCACCTATTAGATCAAGTAGCCAGAAGTCACCAAACGAAAGTAAAGTGGTTGACAGAACGAGTACGACAACATTGATTCCGTTAACGAGCAATTCCAATGCAAATAATGACGTAAACCAAATACCTGGTTCAAATCAAAATAATAGCAAAACTGCAAGCTCAACAGAGGTAGCTGAAGCAACAAAAACATCCTCTAACCCAGATTTAACATCGCCAAGTGAAAAGAAAGAATCTATGTCAAGTGAAAGTAGTAAAATCAGAGGAAACAGACATAGGACATCAAGTACAACCTTGTCTTACAAATCCAAAGAAAGCACTGTTTTACCAGTAAATCCCAAAAATGTCAATGAAACAACAGGTAACGCTACACCTCAATCTGTGAAAACCTCACAAAGAAGAATAGAAGAAACATCTGAAGAGCCTGGCAAGCCTTCAAGAGAACGTGCAACATCATCAAGGTCAAAGTTGCCTGACGACAATCCAGTTACTTCAACGACTCATCAATTGACAACTCAAAACCCAGTGACAGGTGTCGAAGATTCATTACTCCTTGTTACATCATCAAAACACAATCCCGGTGTAGCTACCGACACACCAACATCATTTGAAACAGTTGATAAACTGATGAAGTCGATGGTGACAACAACAAAAGACGCGTTAATGTCATTGAGTGCGAACATGGTTCATAAGACTACTCAAAAAGTAACTGAAGGTTTTACTGTGACACCATCAGCTTCTAATAATCGTGCAAAAGAAGGTCATGAACAAAGCACTTCTACAACTTTCAATCCATATGAAGAGGCTAACAGTGTTAGTACATCCAATGAAATTAAGAATTCAAAACACGAAATAGAGGTAACAAGAATACCAAATGACGTTACAAAGCCTATTATCTCAAAAAACAAAGCTGAAGCTAAAGCGTCAGATAATGCTAAAAGACTTTTTAACGTCAAACCAGATGTAGAAAGTACAGGATCAGTTGGGAACAAAATTAATAATCCTGACAATACAACTGAGTCAATGTTCAATAAGCCATCAAGTATAGCACAACCTTTAAAATCGTTGAGCAGCACATCAAAGATCACTGTAAACAAGAATTCTAATAAAAATAATCAAAAATCAGAAGAAGATCTGATTGGGCTTGAAATTTCTGGTCTTGACGTAACACCAGTATCAGAATCTCTGACAAGTGGTACTAATAGCAAATCCAAGACTGAACACAGTACAACAACAGCAAGATCAGTCCATATAACTTCAACTAAAGCTGATTTTAAGCCAGTGAGGTCAAGCACTACCAGGCCATTAAATAGAGAAACGAATGAATCTCTCATAAGCACGCTAGAACCAGTAGTACAGAAAGAATCAACTTTACAATCGAACGTAGAGTTTGAAAGCAGTGGTAATAAAAAATCTAGTTCAACAACGTCATCGCAGAATGGCTTGAAAATAAGCAGTAGTACATTAACGTCAGAACAAAGAACAAGACCAACAACCACAGAAACTTCAGAAGATATAAAACATTCTAACAATGAGGTAACTAAACACACGATAACAGCAACCCCTACTGAGCATAGCATTGTAAACGACAATACAATGTTCACTGATAAAATGTTAAAAGAAGCTACAAATGGAACAAACTTCACCAAAACAAGAGAAGGTACATTATACACTACCTCGAGCACACATAGAAACAATATCGAAACAACTACAGTTAAAAGTGGTAAAATGACTTCTAAAACAACGTTGCCAAGTATAGAAATTACAGTTAAAGCTGGTAATGACAAAACAGATGCTACCACAATAAAGCAAAAATCAGCTCTTGAAAGTGCTTCCCAGACATTTGTAACAAGCACTATGTCAGCAAACATTATGTCAGTTAATAAAACTCATAATAATGTCAAGCCAACGACACATATTGGTGATACTAACATAACAAATAACCAAAGTTACAGTTCAACACATACAAATATTGAAGTAGAATTAACTACACAAATGTCAGATATTAGTGAATCAACCACTAACAATAACAGAGAACTAAACTCAAACGAAGCGTCAGAAAAAGGAAGCATCAGCCATAATAGTAGTCCAACTTCTGTTACTGAAGAACCCCATAACTCTAAACCACATGGTAAAGGTGTTACTAAAACAAACATCAAAGCAAGTAATCAAAGAACATCAAGTGACAAAACATCTAAATATCACGCAGAATCCACTACAGAATCTTCAGTGGGCTTAGAGATATCAGGACATGACATTAATGATTCTAACATCAAAGCAGAAAGAAAGTCAACCCCTCATACAAAGGAGACTCAACAAACAATTCAGTCACGGCGTAACTCTACAGGTCAAAATGGTACTTTAACCAAGCCTAAAAAGACACATAACGAAGGTTTTGACAAAACAGAAAGTAATACGGTACCAAACCCTAAAGCGGCTACCATAAAACCATCGATAAGCAGTCGACCAAGTCAAAAAACCACTTTAATGTCCAAAAGTAGTGCTACAACATCTACAGAATCGTCAGTAGGATTAGAAATATCAGGGTTAGATTTACAATTCAAAGTGAAATCTGACAAACCAGAAACCTTTAGGACAAGTACTATAGAACCAAAGGTTACGGCTTCAGGCAGTAATACTCAAGCCACAATTACTGTAAATCCGGATGAAATAACATCTAAAAAAGCAACTGAAGAAAAAATTAAATTTAACAACTTGAATTTTACACAGCTGCCAAACAACACTGACATAGTAAAAGTAACACCTGGTAAAGGCCTGGAAAATCACTCAAACGGTGTTGATAGCAAAACAAACCCAAATAGTACCGTTGAACCTAAAAGAACTGATCAAACGCAAACTACAAAGTTCGCAGAATCAGAAAGAGTACCGACGAGTACAAAAGCTAGTAGTAAAATTAATTCAAACAAAATCAATGCAACAGAGTCGTCTACTATAAGTCCTCTGATAACACAAATCACAACACAAGACAGTGTTATCACTGCCACAGAACCTTCTATTGGCTTAGAAATATCAGGCCTGGATGTCAACAAGAAGTTGACTCATGAAAATGCAAATAACAATACTGAAATACAGCCAAAAAATAACAAAAACAACGGTTTTACTCCAAAAAATAAACCTACAACACCATCACATAAAGTAAAAGATGCAACGCATGATGAATCAGAAACCCGTAAGTCAGGTGGTGGTAAGACAACACCAACAAAACGTCCAAATACTATTCAAACCTCTACTAAAACTGGTTCTGACGTTACAGAGCCTACAGAAGCATCGGTTGGCTTAGAAATATCTGGTTCTGACATTAAAAACAATATCACTGATAAAACGGACAGTAAACATAGTATTCCAATGTCGCCAAAAAGTGGCAGTGAAAGAAAAATTAAGACAAAATCAGAGACTTTAAAGTTGCCGAGTTCCATAAACCAGACAATTAATGAAAAAACAGTAGTCGGCAAAATAGAACCTGATAGTACAATTCCAAAAGAAGCTAGTCATATCATATCTTCTACAAAAAAATCATCAGTCAGCTTAGAAATGCCACCAGACCTTGACGTTGAAAGAAAACTAGCCAACATTACAGTGATTAAAAACAAAAACAAAGTAATGTCAAAAAGCGTCAACAAAACCGACACTACCAATACAAACGAGATAACAAGCTTACCGACTAGTACAGACCACACGGTGCTTCAAGAAACCTCTGAGACAGACAAGACGGTTTCTCATAGCCAAGTAGCTACGGAATCTCCAAAGAACAGTGCCACTTCATTGCCTAAAAAAACGTTAACAGAAGCCACGATAGGATTAGAAATATCAGGTTCAGAGATTGAAAGAAGTCAGACAAACTCAGCCAAAAATAGTACAGAAATCAGACCAAAACAGAACAATCAACGTGCAACAACTGGCAAAAAGTCAAGTAAAACACCAACTGTAGAAGAGAAAGTCAATGTAACAACAATCACATCCAAATCAGAGTTCGATACCACAACGATATTATCCCCTAGTATTGGTCAACCTGTTGACTCTTCTGTAAAACCTACAACCTCTACAGAAGTTTCAATTGGGTTGGAAATATCGGGCTTGGATCTTGGAAGAATACCACCTAATAATGCGACAGACAGAGCGGATATAGAACATTTTAAACAAAAAAATAAAATAGAAAACCAGACAATTTATAATAGTGAAACACCAACCTTACCTGCAGGTGTAAGAAGAGAAGAAATAAACAAAGAAGAGTTGCAGAAACTCCAAAAGAAGGTAAATGATAGTACTACTGAACGCCCAGATAGTACTAGTGCTTATTTGATACCTGCAAAGAGCGTTACAGAATCTACAGAAGCTTCAGTTGGTCTAAAAATATCTGGTAATGATGTTGTTAGCAGAGAAATACCACAAACTCCTGTCACCGACAAATCTTCAAGGCCTCTAGAAACTATTTTGTCAAGTACAGGCTCTTCTGGTAGAGGTACTACAACCAGTCTGCCTCAAGTTACAAATAAAGCACACTTAAAGCTAAAGAACTATACCAAGTCGAAAGAGTACTCTAAAATTAGTGTTACGGCTTCACCAGATGAGAGTGTTGAAAGTGAGCCAAACTTACCTTTTTCATCAACATCTTCAGTTGGTCTAGAAATATCTGGAAACGACATAAAAGAGACTGAAAGTGACCAAACTACTGAAAGACCCAAAAACAGATTCGACATGGCTATTACAACAGTTCAAGAACCAGAAAAACATAACATTAAGGTACATAAGTCAGACGTAACAAAAAGTGCTGATAAAGTCGAAGAGAAAGCTAATAACAACCCAGTTAACAACGAAAGCACAACCATAAAGTCACTTAAAACACATCAAGCTAAAAATCAAAATCCAGGAGGTAATGATAACAAAATGGTCGATAATAGAATCCATGCATTAAATGGTGCCGGAAAACAAACCACTCATACCATGTCAAATGAAGTCAATACTAAACCGTCTAAGAATACAAAACATTCATCAGAAGTTGGTTGGGAAATTTTTGGCAAAGGTACTCAAACAAAAGAAAGTATTTATACTGATACTACAAAAAGTGACATAGAAGTACCAATCAACTTTGCGCCTACTTTAAGTCCAGATGTAGCCACTTTAAGTACTACAATGCCATCAACGACAAACAAAATTACAACAAATATTGTTCGTAACCAAACTGCTACTAAAGAACCAAGTGACATAACAAATACACGTTTAGTAAGTATGTCTGATACAACTACAACAACTCCTAACAAAGAATCAACCGTTTCACAACCTTCAAACATGTACAACAAGTTTACAAACGATAAAACAGTTAACCAAAAGTCTGATAATAACCCCACTACTGGCACTGAATCCTTCGCTGAAAGTACGGTAACAATAACTTCAGTTACTAGAACCGCCAAAAATAGTACTAAATCAACTTCGATAACAGATGACACGCAAAATCTTTTGCAGCTTACTACTAAAAAGCCAACAATCATAAAGCCAGAAAACCAAGGTCCAAACGAAGTAGAAATTACAGTAAGAACAGGATACAAGATCAATGAAAGACCGACCAAAAAACCGGAAGATAAAAATGAAAAGACAGATAAAGCAATACCTCAAAACAGCTGGCCATATAATATCAACAACATTACAAAGTCCACTCGCGTAAATTATCAAACTACTGAAGCTACAGTAAACTCCAAATCCGTAACTTCAAGTGTCAATAGCAATTTAAGACCTGAGAGTTTTGAAGGCACAACTTTGAGGTTTAATGATATTAATCAAACCTCACAACCAAGTCATTCAGAATTCAAAGAAACAATGACAACAGAATCTCCTAAAAAAGCTGTTGAATCCACAACTAATCCGTCTATCACGAAAACGACTTTGAAAGATAATAAAAAAGAAACCAAGGGTTCGCAAAATCCCACCTCAACAGCAGTAAATAATGAAACAACGGCAAATACTTATGTTGAAAATGCTTCTACTACAACCTCAACACACACAAATTCAGTCGAAACACAAGTAAAGTCTTCGACAAAAGTTTCAATTGACAGACAGCAAAAAGCGTCAACTTTGTCACCATTCGACGTTAAGAACATAAACGGAGAAATGGGCACTTTACCAAATTCTGTAAACAATATGTCAACCAGTAGTGTTAAAAATGTGAAGTCGACTGAGGAAAAGATAAAAGAAAGTGTTACGCCACGAGTTTTGCTAGAAGGTTCTACAAAACCTTTCCTTTCAAAGAACGATACATCAAAAACGAGAGATACAGAATCACTATATGAATATGCAAGTAAAAAAACTAAAACTGACACTGGCATTGCAAAAGAACGTAAAACAACATTGTCTTCAACTGAACAACACAATTTAAATGTACCACCAGAGTTAACAGCTAGCACCAAAGTACCTTCAAGTAAATTTACTACCGAAAGCTCAGACTTTACGCAACAAACCGTCAGTTTTGAAACCACAGCAAACTCAACTTTGCAAAATGTTACAAAAAAGCCGTTGGCAAAAACTACAGTTGATGACAAAAGTAATGTCATATCAAGTTCCACAATTTATACAAAAAACCCAAAGGTGAATCACGGTCTTAAAAGAACGAGTACAATTGCTATCACAGGCTCAAATAACAGTGGAGTAAGACCAACAACTGGAAAAGAAGTTACAACTACTTTTAGTAATACATTAAAAGGTCAAAGCACAACTGATGTTAACAATGAAAAAAGTAATGAAGTATTGTCCTCTTCAACCAATAGAATGCCTGACGATGATAAACAAGAAGCTACAACTAGGTCTACTGTAGAAACAAAAAAGAGCAAACTTTTGAAAACTAAAACGCCGTCATTATCATCTACCACGCCACAATCTGAGCCTCAATTGCCAAGTATGCCTACTCTAATGCCAGACGATACAACTAAGATTGTGACTAGCAATCCAGAATCAAGAACATATAAAGAAAGAATGGCTTCAGAAGGCACAACTACCGTCCGACCTAATAAAGTAAGCAGTGCCAAGTCAGAGTTTAACACACCTGTAGAAAAGGTTACATTAACGCAAGAAGGCTACCATCCTAAAGATGTAAACAATGTTGTCACAACGATACCATTTGAAAAGAGTGAAGTTAACTCAATTACGACTAACAGTAGTAACAATGCACCAAAAACATCAAATAACACTACACTAGAAAACAATGTCATTACAGTTGAGCCAGAAAAATCTACAACGAGTTCTAGCAAAAAGAAAGCAGACAAATCCACCAGTGATGAAACATTACAACATAAAGAGTTGCCTGATCAGCCTAGTGTAACTACTGTCAAAGTTACGCTACTTTCTGAATCAGTCACCACAAAACCATCAGATACTCCTAGAAGTACAGTAACTTTAAAATCTTCAAAGCAAAGAAACGGTAGTACTAAATCGCCAAATCTTTCATCATCTACAGTAACACAATTGTCAAAGTCAACAAAAAGTGAAGTCTTACAAACCACTTTGAGCCCCACTACCTATACAGTAGAAAAAGAAACAACAGCAGCTTCAATACCATCAACTAAAAAACCTAAGGTAGCTTCAAGACCTTCAGCTGAAGAAACTACAGTAGCTTCCATACCATCAACTGAAGAAATTACAGTAGCTTCAACATCTTCAACTAAAGAAACTACAGTAGCTTCCATACCATCAACTGAAAAAACTACAGTAGCTTCAATACCTTCAACTGCAGTTGATAGCCTGATTACTAGCCCAATACCGCCAAAACCAACTGAAAGTGATCAAACTCCTAAGACCAGCATAAAATCCAATGTTCTGACATCTGTAACAAATAATACAGAAAAAGAATTAGAGGATGAAGTTGCATTTACGCGAGAAACTACAACGATAAAGCCCAATGAAGCTACAAAATCTCAAGAAGTGCATAATAAACAGACCACATGGCATGACAAGGCAATAAGTTCTACAAAAACTATCCAGAATCAAGAAACAAGTACTATAACTGTTGACAATTCAAAATTATCAACCTCCACAGCTCGAGCACGTCATTTCACACAAGTTCATAATAAGCCGATTACTACTGAAACACACCCAGCTAGTACTGAACCTAAAGGCTTGAACGACAAAACGAGTACAACTATAGGTAACAAAACCATATCAGAAGAAATTGCTGTCATTACAACAACGCCAAAAGTGTCAACTCAGGAAATTAAAACAAAGCACATTAAAAGCACATCTAACTATAAAGAAGTCAACTCTAACAAAGACAAAAAAATTATAGAACCTGACTCTAACACTACAGTAATACCGGAAAGTGATACGAGCAGAATAAACCATAGCGCTACAAAAGATTCATTGTCAACTACAACGTCAGAACCTGCAAAGAAAGGTGAAATAACTGCAACGGTCAAGCCAACAAAAGACATTGATTTTGATGCTAAGGAAGTTGAAAAAAGTACTATTAGAACGTCTAACAGCAAAGTCATTACTTCAACGACTTCTAAACCAGAAAGTGTTTCATCAACCAATTCTACGATAAAAGAAGGCAGTGATAAAAACAACGTAACGAAATCACCAAACTTTACTGTTGACCTAGTTGACACAACAACAACCAAACATGTGTCGGTGTCCATAGAGAAACTAGCCACCTCGGTTACACTGTCACAATCAAGCCAACCAGATAGCCATGAAAAGATTGAAGCTGTCACGCCAGGATTACAAACTTCCGAAGAACCAGTAAATAAAATCGAAAAACTGAAGAACAATAAAAAAATTGTTATTGACAAAAACCGTACCATACAACCACCAAGTAGTGGCATTAGTGCTTCCAAATCAAACTTAAAGCCAACAGAAAGCTTTGAAAAGGGCAGCAATTCAAACGTTAATACCCAGGATAATAATAACATAACATCAGATGCCAGCACAAAACAGTTTTCTGTACCAGTGACTCAAGTTTCTTCACTATCATACACAAACTCACAAAGTTCAAACCCTATAAAGCACAGTACAACACAAACCCCAGGCACCACAAAAACAACACATTCACCTTACAGTGTCCCACATGAAGATGGAGACTATCCTGACCACGTTCACAAAGAAGAGTCACGTTATCACAGCACGATCACAAATACAGTATCTAAATCTACTCAAATTCCAGAATTTATCGACATTTTCCCTGTCAATTCGAATACTGGAAAAGATTCTCAGTTCGTCCCGACTACAAGTTCGCCACGTAAGTTTTCATTTTAAATATATTTTTAGAAATTAAATTTTAAAAATGTTTATTGTATATATAATATGTAAACATAAGAAATCTAATTATTAATCACCAATTTCAGGTTCTAAATTTTTGCTTTTTCAAGTTTTAAACCTTCATTAACATTTTAATTTTTACTTCCAAATACTTTAACATAACCACCATTACCTGAGTAATCCTCTACTTTCAGACTACACCAAACTACAACGTGAAACCACTCACGATGGTGATGATGTGACTGAAGATGCCTTGAAGAACACCTTTGGTCTTGTCATATCTGGCCATCCTGAAGCAACAACATCTGAATTTGGACTAGTCATTGGTCGATTGGCACCAACAGAAGAACCAACGGTACCAGAGCTGGAAGAAGTGCTACCAGAAGGAATTGTGCCCCAAGACAAGTCAAGTGAACTTGTTGAAGTTGACGAAGCTACAGAAACTCCAGAGAATCTACTTCAGAAAGTAAATGATCTACTGGTCAAACAAGGTCATGAGCCCATATCTACAGAAGCTCCGGTTACTGTATCTGACAAGAAACTGGTTGAGGAAGCTTTGAGGATCATTCAAGGTCTACAGGCCAATAAAAAGACTCAAGACATTAAAGGCGGTCTGGAAGGGTTCAAGACACCTGAAGATGAAGATATTGGAAACGACTTCAATAGTAAAGGAAAGAAGGTACAGTGGAGGAACAGAACGGTCGAAGAAGGCAGTCGACTCAACATTGGCCTCCCAACCAACGGTGACCTTCAAAAGCTACGTTCCTTGTTACCAGAAGCCGAGGAAGAGACATCAACACCTTTTGATAGAAATTCGAAAGTGGGTAAAAATCAAAAAAGTAGTCTACCATCAGATACCAATCATCCAGATTGGCCTGAAATCACAACTGACGACACAGACTTTGAATCTCTTGACCGTGAAGAACTTCTACAAAGACTCAAAGCTTTTACTAAGTCCAGAAACATTGTTACAGTAGCTACCACGCAACCAAGTGTACCTAAAGAAGATGGGAAAACACCAGAAATAGTGATTGATACTGAAGATTTGGAAAAGTTAGAAAGACCGGAACTAATCAACCGGTTGAAAAAGCTTCTGCAATTAGCTCTGCCAGAAATCGCGATTGATGAAACAAACTTTGAAACTCTGGAAAAAGAAGAGTTGATACAGAAGATCAAAGAAGTCTCTGCTCTCACTAAAGTTCCTACTCTGACTCCGCTATCTACCGTACCAACAGAATCTACAGTAGTCCCATTGTCAGCAAAAACACCACTATCTACAGTAATCCCACCCGAGATTACGATCGATGTGGAAGATGTTGATGTGCTGAACAAAGAAGAGATTATTGCCAGACTAAAACTGATACAAGAAGCCATGAAGAAGGATAAGATAACATTGACAAAACTACCAACTACAACGCCACTTCAGATAGTGCCAGATCACGTAGCCACTGATAATATTGACATCGATGACCTTATCCCTTCTACTACACCAAGTTCGAACTCTGTTGAACACAATGAACATGGTCTAGTTATTTCCGGAGAAAATGTTAAACCAATAAATGTTAAAAATCTACCATCAATCTCACAGCCAGTACCAAAAGTACCAATCGACATTGATGACATAGAAAGCTTCCCATTAAACAAGGCTGACTCTGGAAAGAAAGAAGGCTTTGCCAAGAACCGCGAATTCAAATTCGAATCAGGAACACTTGGCCAAAACACTCTTTCCAAAGCAAATGAGACGTTACAGCCTAACGAACAAGGCTTAGTCATCTCTGGAAGTGGCATAAAGTCAAGCCAGCCCGACGGTTCACAGCAGCCAGAAATGCCTCGAGGTAACATTGGAGTTTCTCCGAAAGACTTTGATAATACTCAACCTAAGAACGGCATTGATGCTGATGGATCTTCACCTGCTAACCCTAACTTCAACAAACCTACTGTTGAAACTGACACAACGTCTCCAGATGAGCGTGGATTGATGATTAAGGGAGAAGATCTCAATCCAGAAAGTCCAGCAACAAAAGAAGACAAAATACTATCACAAACTACCAATAACATCAAACCAAAAGATGGCCTACAGAATCCTGAAGACACAAGTGCTGCTAAAACCGTTACATCACCTGATAACAATGTGCCACACAATAACGGTCCAACTCAAAAGGCAGAACCAAGCCCAGGTGCAGCTACAGCTGAGCTACCCCAACCTGGTGAACAAGGTCTAATCATCAACGGCCAAGATATTGAACCACAAGGTACGCAGCCTACTACACGTCTTCCAAAAGTAACCAAGGTTACTGACATATTCAAGAATACCAAAGAACAACCTTTGTCAGAATCTGTCACCCTCGGAACTCCTCAACCCAATGAGCAAGGTTTAATGATTAATGGTCAAGATATTCATCCTGAGCCAGAAACAACTACTGAACTAAACACATCAGAAGAAGAAGCTAACAAGTTAACTACCACTTCAAATATAGCCCAAACCCATCAACCAACAGAAGGCTTAAAAGTTAAAGTTAAAGATGGTAACTCAAGAGAACCTACTACAGCTTCTAGTCAACCTCAACAGCCTAGTGTGTCAACTGCAGCTTCTGCTACCCTAGAAACCCCTCAGCCAAACGAACAAGGTTTGATAATCAATGGAGCTGATGTACATCCAGAAACTTTGCCTACAAATAAGCCATCAGAAGCAAGCACAACGTCTCCTACTCCAGAAGTCAATGATCTTCCAGAAAGTCCAGTCTCACCTACTAGCAACAAAGAACATCAAAGAACTTTGACAACAGGTACCGGAAAAACAAAAGATGAACCAAAATTGCCATTTACATTAGAAACACCACAACCGAGTGAGCAAGGACTAATGATAAACGGTCAAGATTTGCACCCAGAAACTTCAACACCAACTGCTGGCAGTGAAACGACCGAAAACACAACCTCTGGCAATGAAGTGACTTCTGAAGGAATAACTTCTAAAAAGCCTTTATCACTACCAATCACTGTGGAAACTCCTCAACCAAATGAACAAGGTCTGATAATTAATGGAGCTGACGTTCACCCAGAGACAACCAGTTCAGCAACCGTTTCCACTGACGGAAAAATTACTTTCAATAATACAGTGATTAGTACAACACCAGCAATGTTGACAGAAGAAACACTTCAACCGAATGAGCAAGGTCTGATGATTAATGGAGCTGACATTCACCCTGAAGCAACTCCAGAATCTACAACTTCAGTAAACATAAAAGGTACTGAGCCGGCTACAAAAGACAACGTAAAAACAACTATGATACCGACAGTAGAAACACCCCAACGTAACGAACAAGGCTTGATGATCAATGGTGCTGACATTCATCCTGAGACACCAAGTGCAACAAATGGTGTCACAAACTCAAACACATTAGAGTCCACAACTGTTGCAACAGAAGGTAACACATCTAGTAATAAAATCGTCAAAGTAACCACGTCATCTTCAACCATCGAGACCCCTCAACCAGACGAGCAAGGTTTGATGATTAATGGAGCTGATATTCATCCTGAAGTCATTGAGACTACAACACCTAAAGTAGAATTGGAAGGCTCAACACCAAGCAACAATATTGTAGACAAAGCAAGATCACCGTCTACTGCAGAGACCCCTCAACCAGATGAGCAAGGTTTGATGATTAATGGAGCTGATATTCATCCTGAAGTCATTGAAACTACAACACCTGAAGGAGATAATTCAACACCAAACAGTAACATTGTAGACAAAACAACATCACCATCTACAGTAGAGACTCCTCAGCCAGATGAGCAAGGTTTAATGATTAATGGAGCTGATGTTCATCCAGAAGCAACAAGTCCATCAACTGGTGTCACAGCTAAAGAAACTACTCCAAGTAGTACTATTATCAGTAGAACAACATCGTCATTAACAGAAGAAATATCTCAACCAAATAAACTTAACCTAACAAGACCACCAGCTACTATAGAAACACCACAGCCAGATGAACAAGGTCTGATGATCAACGGTGCTGACATTCAACCAGAAACCAATACCGCCTCTACGGTTCCAGAATCAGTAAAAACAACAGAATCCACAAGTGAGAAGATCAACCAACCTGCAGCATCTACAACTATGGAGACTCCGCAACCTGATGAAGAAGGTTTGATGATTAATGGAGCTGATATTCACCCAATTACTCAACAAACTACAGAGATTGCATCAACAGTAGCCCCAGTTGAAGTCACGACAAGTGACACCCCAGTTGAAGTGTCAACAACAACTGCTCAAACTTTGGGTCAAGATCTGTCGACTTTGGAGCCAAGCACGGTAAACACAGAAACAGTAGCAACACCAAAGGCTTCAAACCCATGGTCTGTGACAACAGTAAAAACTTCTCTCCCAGAAAAGGAAGATATGACAGAAAACCAAGAAAAGACCCCAATTGCTACAGAATCTTCAACTTTGTTTGAAACGAGCCGAACTACTGAAGAACTTGGAGTTACCAAATTGTCTAAAGAGATTACAGAAGGAACAACAGCTGAAAGTGTTGTCCCATCCTCAACATCGCCTTTGGAAATAGATATTCCAGAAGAAGAAACTGAAGAAGTTAACAAGGTCGAGCTGCTAAAAAGAACTGATAGTACGACAACAAGTACCAGTGATAAAACAACGCTTGAAGTTACAACTGCCGCAACTTCCACAACAAAAGAAGAAGCTTTAATCTTAACAGAACCTTCTACTACATCTCCAGAAGAAGTTTTAGTTACAGAAAAGGCTCCGTCTGATAAATTACAAGTTGTGACCACTGATGCTGATGTTACAACATTAAGCATAACAGCTGACCGCTTTGAACCAACAGTGCCAACACTTAAAACTGAAAAGCCTCAAACAGAAACTGAAGAAACGACACAAAGCATTGAAACTACTGATACTGAAACAGTTCCACAAGAAACAACAACATCAACAACGTCAGAATTCATAAATATTTCAACAACCCTGCTTCCAGAGAATGAAGAACCAGAAGAATCTAGTATTGTCAAAGAAACTACAGAGTCAATCATAAGTCTAACACCAGCAACGCCCAAACCGGTCGACTCAACTCCAGAATCAGCAATAAGCACAACTGAAAGTATTAGTACTACTGATCTTACCAAGGGAAAAATCAGCACTATTCAAGTGTTGATATCCTCGACGCCGACGCAATCTACTGACATTACCGACGCAATTCCTAATGAACAGCCTGCTAGTTCATCTAGTACTGAGCTGACTACACAAACACCTACTTCTCCATCATCCGAAGCAAGTAAAATGGTTAAATCAAGTACTACAACATCGGAATTGCATTCTGAAAGCTCTAAATCAACTGAATTTGAGAAAACAACGTTGAATCCGACAGAAAGTAAACCTACTGTTAGCTTTACTGGTAGTAGCATCACGATTGCATCAACGGAAGCTACACTAACTTCAGAAGAAACGTCATCATCTACATTAGCATCAACATCTGACGTAAACAAAGAAAACGAAGTAACAGTCAAAACTCCAGAAACAACCAAATCGGCTAATATTGCAACTACATCCTCAACTGTAGAAATATCTTCAAAAACAAATGTAAATGAAGAAACAACCATGACGAACAAAGAAACAACTTCAATACCCAATGAAGTCAACCTTCCTGAAACAAGCAGTAGAAGCTCTAGTACTGCGGCTAAAACTGCGGAAGAAGTTACACAGCCAGCTAAACAGATTACTGTCACAGAAAATTCACCTACAACTACTGTTGACACTAGTGAACAAACGTCAGTACCAACCACAAGCATAACTGAAAAGCCAGAAGACGCTGCTACAACTGCTATTGAAGATTTAATTACATCAACGCCAGGTAAAGAAGATTCTGAAACTACAGTACCACCAGTCAACGCCCTACCTGAAGAACCACAAGTATCTACTGAAGCGTCTAAAACAACACCACATGACATCACTGAAAAAGTTACAGTAAAAACAGAAAGTTCTTCAAAGCCTTCCATTATTGGCGTTACTGCTGAGAAGAATTCAGGAAGACCAAAAGAACCCGAAACAACTTTGCCAGAGAATAAAGCCGAGAAGACCACTCCAACAACAAAAGCAAAGTCATCAACAGTAAGACAAGAAGAAGAAACAACTTCTAAAGCAGCTGTTATGACTCCAGGGAGCACTGTTGAAACAAAACCAACCACAATAAAAGAACCAGCCTCAGAGAAGGTAACTAAGGCTTCTATTGAAAGTAATACAGTAGTTTCTGAAAGCACGACAATACTTTCTGAACAAACAGCTCAACCAACAAGTAATGGTAATGGACTCACTGATACACCATCACCTACTTCTGGTCACACTGAAACAACAACTAGTTCATCTAACGTAGGTAACGTAGAAACAACACCAAATGCATTGAATGAAAGCTCAAAAACTACAGTAAATGATAAAACGTCAGAAACTACAGTCAACCCGCCAGAAGACACCGTTCAGACTGAAAAACTAAGGAATCAACAGATCTTCCATGAAGGAGCTGCTACTGAACCAGTGAACAATGGTAGACATGGCACAAGACATCCCAAAGTAGTCAATGTTGAAACTACTACCACTGCAGTAATAAATGACAGTAGACAAACAAATGCACCAACAACTACTACTACAGAAACTAAAGATGAAGTCACAAATTCAGAAGTAACTACTTCTGAAAGTAAAGAACCAATTGATTTAATTAACAAAGTTTCTACAGAAAACCCAAAAAGTCATCCAGCAACCTCAGAAGCTTCAGTTATTACCCCATCAACTGAATCAATACCTGAACTTGAAGTCTCTGAAGCCTCAACGTATTCTCCAGAAAGCACTGACGCTCCATTCGTACCAAGTACCAATCTACCAAGTACAACTACTGAATATATGTGTACAGAAGACTGGACTAACTATTGTAAGGTTCTGAACAGAACATGTTACGCTGATGCCCGAACAGAACTGCTACAGTGTGGAGAATGCTTACAAGGTTACAGTATGATCAGCGGCGAATGTGTCAATGTAATTGATGTTGATAAGTTGACAACTGAAGGCTTTGTTCCTCATGAAGTTACTGAAGCTAACGGCAAAGATACTGAAGCTAAGTCAACTGTAGGTAACGATGAACCAACTACTGAAGAAATGGCACGAATTGAACCAGAAACAACAACGTTAGAAAGTATATTAACATCAACACCAAGAGTTTTACTCTACACTCAAGAAAACGTTGTATCATCTGCTGAACCTGAGAATCTTGAATTAGAAACTAAGACAGAACATGACCAAAGTCAGTCTACTTCTACAATGCCAACTGAATCAAGTCCTAAAGTCACAACACCATCTACGACGCCACAAGTTAGTTTTGAAGCTACAAGGAACGACCAAGAAGCTAAAATAACATCAATTCCGTCTGACATAAACTCTACTATTTTGCCTAGAGATACGATAATCAATAATGAAAGAGAAGGCGAAACAACAGCCAATTTACCTGAAAAGGAAGCAGAACAAACAACAATTTCAAGAGAAACACCTAGATCGTCATCTACAGTGGATACATCAACGTCTGAAGCAGCTATAACTTCTAAACCAACATCTAAACTATTTGAAACTTCATCATCAACTAGAAGCATTATGACCCAAAAGACAACAAAACTATTACCTAAACCAACAATAAAGACAGATAAAACACCAAATAATGAAGAACATGCTATAAAAACAACCACAGATCAACCAACCTCTTCTCCTGCAGAAAGCAGCGAAGCTTCAGCTGCTCCAGAGCCATCGCGAACAGTAACGAAAGCTCCAATGGTTCCACAAACAACACGCGGCGTTGTCTCCAGAATTCCAGAAGTAATTGTGACTGAAGAACCTGAAATTAAGATTGAAGATGGTGAAAACTTTGAGAATGTTAATAATGAACAACAGTTCAGCACCACGGTAAGTTATATTTTCCTATTTTTATCCGAAAATTAAATTCAAAATTTTTTAGGTAACAAATTGAAAGAAAATTATGTTTTAGCGGTTCTTTCCACTTTTTATAGCTATTGCTTCAAAATTTCGATTAAAACAGAATTTTTAAAATTTTAGGTAACAAATCAATTTATAAATATTATATTCCCGACCTCTTTTTTTGCTAATTTATATTGTTTTAGATAGAAACACTCATTTCAACCACCGTTGTGTCGACTGTTCCATCCTATTTTGAATGCTTGTCTTCTGATGAATGTGGACACGATGCTCATTGTGACAGAATCTCTGGAAAATGTGAATGTAATAAAGGATTCAGGCTGGAGAACGATATTTGTGAAGGTAAGGACGGAATGTCAACTTTATTTTTCCAAAAATAAAATTGCGCCAAATATTTTCTTTGAAAATAATATTTTCGAAACGATTTGACAAAATGTTTATTCTTTTTACATTTTTCTAAACTCTTTTCATTTCCAGATGTCAATGAATGTTACGAGAACACCCACAAATGCCATGTCAGTGCAGTTTGTCGCAACTACATCGGTGGCTACACATGTGACTGCCCAGTTGGCTGGCGTTTGAATCCTCTGAATCAATGTATTGAGATCAACGAATGCGAAGAGAAGACAGCTACATTGTGCCATAGTAACGCTTCTTGTGTTAACATTCCTGGAAATTACACTTGTCAATGTAACGAAGGCTTCAAAGGAGATGGCTACAATTGTTTTGGAGGTAATTTGAGACATTGTAACGATCAAGAATTGGCTCTAACAACATGTCCTCATACTCATTTATGTTTGATCGACTCGATTGGTCGGGAATCTTGTGATACTTGCAAATCTGGCTATGAAATGAAGGATGGTAGATGTGTGGATGTAAATGAATGTATAAACGAAGATACTAACAGGTGTAATGTTAATGGATTGTGTATAAACATACCTGGAAGCTACATCTGCCAATGTCAGAACGGCTACAAGGGAGATGGCTACGATTGTCAGGATATAAATGAATGTGAGACGATCACACCATGTCATCCATTGGCATCTTGTAGTAACTTGAATGGCACTTACATGTGTACATGTCCTGAGGGTTGGATGGGAGATGGAAGATATAAATGTGTTAATCCAGCTGATACCAAGTGTGATAGAAAAGAAGATGTTTGTAGCAGTCAGAAGTTCCATTCTTGTTTGAGCGTGAATGTAAAGGAAGATACGAAGTCTTTCTGTGAATGTGAAGCTGGATATCGGTACAACAATGTTACTAAGCAATGTGACGGTAAGTCTATTATCTACTATAACATAAATTTATCTACTATAATATAATAAATATAATAGAAAACAGATTCAAAAATTACTATAGTTTTTATTCTTGTTTATTTTAATATTTATCATCTAAAAATGGCTAAAATTTATTAAAATTAGTTTATTTTAGATATTGACGAATGTAAAGAGAACCGAAACAACTGTTACCTTCATACCTCAACATGTTTGAACTATATGGGCGGCTACGAATGTGATTGTAAGCCAGGATACGAAGGTCAGAATGGAGTATGTGTTGATGTAGATGAATGTGCACGAGGTACCCATTCGTGTCATCCATCAGCTGGTTGTGTCAACGAAATTGGCAGCTATCGATGTGAATGTCTCGATGGTTATATTGGAGATGGAAGATACTGTAATGGAGTTGTAAAAGAGGCTTCTGTAGGTAATCCTCGTGGTACTGTATTGTCTGGCACAACTCGTAGCGCTGATAAAACTACTACAACAACACAGGGACTTCCAGAAGCTATATTTACAGATGGAACTTCTAGTAGCGCCTCATTTGAATCAACGACTCCATCATCTACCATATCATCTGATATAGCATCTTCTACTGTTCCGACTACGAAAGTAGCATTAAATGAACCACCACAACCTTCTTCTGAAGCTGCTGCATCTAAAGTGTCTACAGCTACTTCAATGTTCATTCCAAGTCGTCTTGAATGTACTGAAGATTGGAAGAATTACTGTACTAGTTTGAACAAGTACTGTTATGTTGATAATGAAGAGATACTACAATGTGGTGGATGTTTGGAAGGATATCACCCGGTCAAAGGAGAATGTATACGTAAGTTGCAGGTTATACTATCTTGTTGTGTAGTTTTTTGTATTAGAAGCATTGAAGGAATTTTTTCATTGTATTATTATGATGTTTTATATAGTTTTGTAAGTTACTGTTGTGAAGTTTTATTAAATACGGTGTATAATATTATATTTTAGCTCAATTGGGAGTAGGAAACTGTAGAGAAAGCAACAATTGTAACAAGAACGCCGATTGTATTGATGTGGTATACAACAGGCATAGCTGTGTGTGTAAAAAAGGTTATGTTGGCGATGGACATCACTGTGATGGTAAGTTTTGTGTGAAATTAAGCTTTGTATTCTTATAATTTTATATTTTCTATGTTACATACAAAGTTCTTATTTATTTTAACTGAGTAATGTTTTTTTATTACAATAGCATCAAGCCTTTAAAAGTGCAAAAAGCTATTGTAAGTTGAAGAATAATGTATTAAACTAATACCACCTCACTTAAGATGTCAACGAATGCACAATGCCCGGACTATGTGATGCCAATGCTGAATGTAACAACAAGGATGGGTCATTTGAGTGCAGTTGTAAACCCGGCTATGTTGGTAATGGCTTCTACTGCATCAAATATGAAAACACTGGAAATATGACTAACTGTAATATTAATCATCGACTCTGTCATCCTAAGGCACTATGTCTCATCGATGGATCTTGTCAATGTTTGGCTGGATACACTGGAGACGGAATTGCTAAGTGCAATATTTTAGGTAATTTTTGTAGAAAATTAATGAAGTTTGGAGCTGTTCTTGTCTTTTTTAAAGATCTCGTTGACTTTTAAACTTAAATGTTGTCAATTATCATAAATTGATAACATAATAATAATTTCAGAACCTACCTCAACGTCTTCTCAACCTGAACTTCCAAGTCAGAACAATGGATATGATGAACCTGATCAATCAAATAAACAAGTCTCGTCTTCAACTGTGTCTTCTGATTCTCTGCCTACTCAATCACCACAAACCCTGTCTGTATCTTTGTCTACTCGTACTAATCAGCACGAGCAAACTTATATTGTACCCGAGTCAAAGAAGGTAACACCAAATTGTGTATTGGACAAGGAAATACGATGTCATCCGATGGCGAGCTGCAACATGTTCAGCGGACAATGTAAATGTAGACCTGGATACGAAGGAGATGGGTTCACATCTTGCAGGTGGGTCATTTTTTAGAAGCTTATATTAATTTGACCTTTTGGGAAATCGTTGCTTTATCTTATTTTATCTTTTTAACATAGTAATTGTTGTAGATTGAATACATTGTTTGTAATTGATCCAATTTTTATCTTTTTCAGTCGCATATGGGAAGATTGTCGTTCAGATCAACATCTTTGTGACTTCAATGCCAGATGTAACCAAACTTTAGGCCAATGTGAATGTAGCCCCGGCTTCATTGGAGATGGAATGTCTTGTACGCCAGATCGTCTTGACTGTTCTACAAATACAGAATTGTGTAGCGAGTTTGCCGACTGTGTAGGTAACAGATGTAAATGTAAAGAAGGCTACTCGGGAGATGGTATGATGTGCTTCTCGATGTCACCAAAGCTGTCGCGACAAGATTGTCTCAACTGTCATTGTAGAGCTGACTGTGTTCAAGGTGAATGTAAATGTCAGACGGGATTTACTGGAAATGGCATCGTATGTTTGCCTGACGTATACGATTGTATCAACTACCCTGGAGTTTGTCACAACAACGGTTACTGTAACAATGCTACAAGAAAGTGTGAATGTAAAGCTGAATATGTTGGCAATGGCTACGATTGTACGATACGAAATTCTTGTTCGCAGTACCCATCGTTATGTCATTCTGACGCTGATTGTCTGCCATCTGGACAATGTCAATGTAGATTTGGGTTCTACGGAGATGGTATGCACTGTAAACAAGATATTTCGTACAAGGAGTTGACTCAAGTGAAGGTAATGGACACACCGTCACCTGAATGCTCATCTTATTGCGGCTACAATCAGGAATGCTTCAATGGGGCGTGTAGATGTAGAAGTGGATATTCAGCTAATTTGAATGGAGTTTGTGTTGGTATGTTGTTTTACATCAAGTCACATAGTTATGATTATATTAATATTGTTTTTTTTTTGAGTATGTAGACTTTACTTTGTAGTGGTTCGTTACTATGTATATATGTATCAAAGTTTAATAAGTTTTGGGATAATATACATTGTTTCAAGAACAATGTTACTATGTACATATGTAACAATATTATGACTTATACTTAATTCTGAGAATTTTATTTTATGTACATATACTCAATATTAATATTGTAGATGTTGATGAATGTTTGTCTGGGGCCAGTGGCTGTTCTGCGAATGCTAAATGTAGAAACACAGAAGGATCGTATGAATGTATATGTCCGAAAGGGATGTCAACAGATGGTAGATCCTGTTACTCCCTTGAACAAACGTATACTGTACTTGGAGTACAAGTACAATGTGAAGCTGATGGTATGAAAGTCACCTTCTCTACTCTACCACGACCATTTACCGGTCGAATCTACGTAAAAGGACAAACTGACAACACATATTGCTCTAGAAATTACGGTAACGAAGAAACATACGACAATAGTGTCAGTAATCGTCAAAACTACGGTGGTGTGACATCGGATGGCAATGTAATCTTCAAAGTAGACGTATCACACTGTAACGTCGACATGAAGGTGAACAACACTTTGTCTACAACTCTGATCGTACAACGTCATCCTACCTTTGTGACTTCTGAAGCAGAATCTTACAATATCCAATGTATGTATCCATTGGCCGAAAGAGACGTCTCGGCTAAGTACGGTATTGCTGATGTAGAACCAAAAGATACGATAGCAGAAGACGGAGTATCCCCAATGTGCCAGTTCAGTGTGAAGAATCTGGAAGACATTAGAGTAGATCAGGCTTTGGTTGGTCAGGTTTTGAAGCTAACTCTCACCGTGGCTCCAGAGCCGGAATACGCGATTCAGCCCCGGAACTGCTACGCTATAAATCTAGAGACTAACGATCGTCATCAGCTCACAGACGAGGCTGGGTGTGCCATAGACACAGAACTGTTCCCAGAGTGGTCGAGAGTCTCGAAGAGTCGACTTCAAGCTACCTTCAGGACATTCAAGTGGCCGGAGAGCTCTATGGTCAGGTTTGAATGTTATTGTACACCGTGCTTGAACGAATGTGCCGAGAACGATTGTGGAAAGAGGAAGCAGAGATTGTCACGACATATTGGGGACAAGAGTGATAAGGATCTTGTTCTTGACAATAGTACATTGACGTTCTCTCCAGTGGTCAAGGTCACTGAAGATGAACATGAACGACAAGTGCAACGAGAGTTTGAACTCTGGCTGGCTCAAGGTAAAGTTGTATCTTTATATTAAGTAAAGGACCGTAGCGTCTTCATGAGAAGATAGATAACATATTGATGACTTATTTACTCTATCTTAAACTCTTTAATTTTCAGAAGAACTAGTAACCTATACAACGACATCTGATGAGTACGTGTGCATGAGTTCAGTATGGACTATAACAACATTGATTGCAAGTATACTGTCAATTGTCACATTACTTACTGTATTCTTACTGTATACGAAGAAAATGACGGCTATAGAAAAGGAAAGGTCATGTGACTACATGATCGACGATAACGTGTCTTATATTCAATTTTAAATCATTTTTATGTATTTTACAATTTCAAAATCGCCATATTGCTTATAACTGATGTGATCATATACTACAGCAAGAAGCCTTTCAATTATAATAATGTACTTTGCCATACTTTTTATTACTACATCTTTCACGGTACGATTTTACTATGACTTATTCTACAGTAGAAACTATATTTAACAAAAAGTTCCAATCAACCATACCATTTCATGCTAATTCATATGCTGTTAATAGTATTTATTATTGTAATTACTAGTCTTTCTACTTTTCACTATTCCTTCAAACCCATGACCTCGTTTTACTGTGATATTGATATATTGTTAATTGTTTGTTATAAAATTTTAAAATATTTCGGAATTTATTTCTAATGACATTATTTTTGTTATATATACTACCACTTTTAATAGATTATTAACAATACTACAGTAATATTACTGTTAATCGCGGAAGTAAGTCTTTTGTTCGTTAGTATGTTTAACATATCTTATGTGTTCTATAGTAAAAATGACACAATTATGCGATTGAAATTGTCAAACATTAAATTCTGTACATTATCTTGAGTACTGAATAACAAAGAAATACTACTGCTATACAACTCCTATTTACTCAATATACTACTTGAAAGCCAACAGCAAAGTCATAAGGACAAATGGAATTTGAGCCGGCTAATTTGGCATTTGTCTTTGATTGGCAGTAAACAATTCCTGGAATCCTACACATCATGGCATGGTAACTTTGTTTTATTACTTTCTGATAGTTTCGAATCTTTCATTTAAATTTAATTTTTTAAAAGATTATTTTTAAAAAATTTAAAAATTATACTTAACTTTTTTAAAAATTAATCGACGAAACTAACTCAACATATCATACATAGCCACACATATTACACTACCTTATGGTTAAGATACGTTGAATCTTGTCGTATGTTAGAGAACTTTATTTGCGAATGAATTAAAAAGCTTTTGAAATTAATTTAACTGTGATCTGATATGTTGATGGCCTGAGGACACGTGTTTGTGGCCAATAGAAGTTCGTTTCGTACTCGTTTTGCCCTTTTAAAATACGGTTTCGCGAACCGCGAAGAGGTATCGTTGATGTTTGCGGAGTTGGCGGAACAGAGCTCGCTTGAATTCTCGGTTGAACACCGTGTAGATGACCGGGTTGATGCCGCTGTTACCTAAAATTTTGAAATGTGAAATTTTTGTACTTTTAACTACAGTACTTTAATCTTTGAGCTGACTTTTTGTGTAAAAATATTACAATTTTTGTACTGTCATTATTACAAACGAAGTAATTGAACGTTGACAACTATATGTGTACAGTACCTATCGTAAACATGTAATTGACCCTGCTTATTTAGTTAATTATTCTAGAGAAATTCATGACAATATTGTTTGGTAATTACGACCTAATGACAGCTATGTTATCATAGGCAGAGTTGAATGATCCAAAACCTTTTTTTACAATAATGATAGTCTTTCTATTAAATATAACTACAGTAACTTGTCTAAAAAACGACCAAATACAAAATTCTGTAATCTTTTTAAAAAATTCAGAAAACTTACAGTAACCCAGCCAGAAGAAGAATTTGAAGACCAAATCCGGAGCTGTGTACCCAAACGCAGCTAACACGTACATCACCTGCAAAGGGCAATCTAATTATATTGTCCATGATACCACATGGCTGTTATGTCTAATTGCTATATTTGGTTATGTTTTGTCGCTTTTGTAAAATGAGACACAGCTTTTACAAAAAAATTTAAAAATTTTTATATAAATGTAATGTCAGATGTAGATTTACCAAAATTGTAACTCTATTACACAAAAACTTCATTTTCCAAACTTCAACCGGTCAAAAACTAACCAGAATCCCAAAAAACTCACAAAAAATGGCAGCCAGCTGGCAATAAACGCAGTGAGAATGAGCCCCAAAAGTAATGTCGCTTGTCGCTCCTTTATCTTGAGCAGGCGACGTCGCTTGTCAGTGCTCTTCTTACTCTCACACGTCTCCTCCATCTTCTCCAGTGACATAGCCACCCATTTACCGCGTGATTTACCGTACCCGTTCTGCAAATATAAAGTTACACATGTTCTCAACCGTCACACATGCTAAGGTTCTCAACAGTTACTCGTGCTATAGGTTCTCAACGTGACGTAAAAGGGGTCATGTACAACAATAAAAACATAAACAAACGAAGTAAATATTGTCATATGTTGTGTTTAATAGGTTTAAAATTTGGTTTTTAGTCAAGGATACTTTATATTATAGTAGAAGATTGCAAATATTGCGCTATATTAACTACAAAACCTCTCAAATCATGAAATAAGACTCACCATCAACTCCGGCGGACTCCCCACCTTGTTGCCGTTCGATGGCGGTGTAAACACGGCTGTGTTCCCATTCGTACTGGACGTGACGTGAGCGTGTGTAGCTGCTGCCAGCTGACACAACGTCTGATCCGTTCGCTGGGTCTCCTTCAGCCGCTGCCGACTGTGATGTTTGGTTATGGTGTAGATGCGCCAATAAACAATCACCAGAATAATAACGGGGATGTAGAAGGAGCCGCACGACGAGTAGATTACGTAGCCCAGTTCGTCGCTCACCGTGCACTTCCCCGGCTCTCGATTGGGCCGCCAGCCTAATATGGGCGGCAGACATATTAACAATGAAACCAGCCATGCCACCCCTAAACAATATTGTGGTAATTTGCATAACGAGCTTTGTGTATCATAACAAAATATAGACATTGGGTGATAACATAGTCTTTTATGTGGTAACATAATATGAGGAATGTGAGGACGAAAATAGGCTTTTCGTATCATAGAGTTATATAGAAAGTCTGATATGATATTCAGCAATATCATAAATTATACCTAACTGAACAACACCATCAAATTTGTTCTGTATTATACTACTACTTTTTATATAATTACCTTGATCAACAATTAAATATAAAAGTTTAAAGGCTCAAAGTGGCCGTATAACATAATCTTACCAATCATGATTGCCATTCTAGCTGGTGTTCGTTTACTTGGATATGTCAGAGGTTGTGTTACCGACCAGTAACGATCCAATGATATTATGCATATGTGTAGAATTGATGCAGTAACAAACAACACATCTAATGCCAGATATATCTCGCACAAAATGTCACCTAAACTAGCAATCTTTTACAATATGGTATATATAGGACAGTAAAGTATATACTAGTACGCTAATGTATACAATACCAAAGTACTGTGACATTTCTTAACTTCTCGCTATAGTAAACATTTCTTAAAACCACATAATTTAAATTTGTATTAACTATAATTCAAGAAATCATATTCTCATTTAACCAATTCCAAATTAATCCAGATTACTCTTACCTAATACCCATACTCCGATAATCTCGTATGTCATTGTGAGTGGCATGACCAACAGCCCCACCAGCAGATCAGCCACCGCCAGCGAGACGATCAGCCAATTCTGTCGCTGACTCCGCAACTTGTGGTCGTTGTTCACGGTGAGGACGACAAGTAGATTGCCGCACACAATGACCAACATGACGATCAGCATGAAGGCGATAGTCACGAACGCCGTCGACAACGACAAACATGACGGCCAGGGTGAGTCGCACGAGGCGTTCAGAAAGGGCGCCAGCGATCCCAGGTTAGTAACGTTGCTGTTCATGTGGCCTCATCAACATCACGCTGAGTCAACTCGACGCGAAGTCGTCCTGTAGGGGGTGCGATTGCACTTTAAAGTCTAAAATAAAATAATTTTTAATCTTTGAAAGTCATTTTAAAATTTTATAAAAATAATTCATGTCGCAACAAACATATCGCGCACAAAGTAAAAACCAAAAGTAACATCTACAATATGAAGACAAAGTCTGATGTCTACATTATACAAATAGAATCCAGAAGCTACAGACAGAGTCTGATGTCTATGGCATAGACATGGATTTTGTCGACTTGAGTATACACACATTCCATAGGCTTGTTATGTGCCTTCATTACACGTTATATATGTTTTGAATCACGTAATTAAAATCGAAAACCCCTTCATTCAAAGAACCCAAAAAACTTGAGATGTCGCATACGGTAGGAGGACAAGACGACCGGGTATACACGTAAAAGCAAGCTTTTAGTATTGGTAAAGTACACTTTAACTAACGCTTAAATGTTGCGTGTAACATTCTTGATAATTAGCTAGGCTTAAAGTTAAAAGCAGAAGATGGTGCTAAAGTACCGTTTCTAGAATTCAATCAACCAGTAGTCTCCCAATAAATACATATTGCTGGAAATATCATCATAGTATCAAAACATCATCAAAAACTACATCACTTCTATATCACCCATATACTATAATGTTAATCGACCAAACCGCTGTAATATGTGTGTTATTGTTTGGAACTTACAAACTCGAGACACAATATTTGAAGACGGTCCCCCAGCACCGGAAATTTGTTTTGACGCCCAACCGTGCCCATAAAACTCTTAAACGAGTAAAGTGCCCCCCGAACAAATTCCCGGACAACGTCTTGGGCCGCTCGCGGCGATGTAATTCAAGTTGAGGTTAAAACCTAAGTGCTTTTAATTACAAAATTTGGCCACAAGTTGCGTCAGGAAGCTGATTAGCGACATCAACCTCTAATAGGACAACTTGAACGCGATTAAAGCCGAGATTAAAGCCGAATTAGGGTAATATACTTGTTTGTGGTCTAATTAGCAAAAGTGCGTTAAATAAACAAAAAGTACGGTGGAATATTAACCTTGAGTTGTATGAGGAACCAAAATTTACATATGGTCGTAAATGTTTAAAAAAGTTTTGTAAACGTTTTTCTTTTTCTAGAAAATTCAAAAAAAACTTATAATTAAAGTTTAACACTAACATTTACTAAATTATAATATTTTTGAGACAGTAATGATTATAACTTTTCTACCCCTCTCCTATAATATGTTTACCCCTTACTTCAAAACCCATCTCTCCAAGCATCAACAACAAATATATTAACACCGTTTCTTATAAATAAAGAACACCAGCTCAAACCCTAATAAAATAACATTGTACTATCTGAACGTTCACACTCATTAACAAACCTATAACACCCTTCGTCTAACTTAATATGTTTATAGCAGCTGTACTTTAATGAAAAACTGAGTAAAGCCATTATGAACATGTTGCTATATCCCCAAATGAACACGTCAAACACAATAAGTTCAGTTTGTGATGTAAAACATGCCTCATGTGATTATCGTTCCCAAGGTCACAATAAACCACTGAAACCAAAAACAATACGGTCACGTACACAGCATGCACGTTTAGCGTACATACATTTGTACGCTTAACGTGCAAATGTCAGGTGTAGTAAATAAACGTATTTCGTATGTAAATTACTACATATATTTTAGAAGTTACTACAAAAGACATAAGACCATGAGCAATCAGTTAAGTAGCAGCGAATTAAAACTAAATACCTCATAGATGATAATATGATAATACCTAACATATAAATTTTAAATGTACACATGCAGTGTCACATTTAAAAGTATAGTACAAAGATACGTGCACGTAGCTCTGCAAACAACAACAGTTAATTGCAATTATTGTCATTTGTCCTCGATTCCGTGTCGAAAACAAATTGTAAAGTTTATTATTATTCCAAAATTGGTCAAAAATGTAAAAAATTCGACATTTCAATAAAAGCTTTTTTTTAATTTAAAAGTGACATAGCATTTTTTTATTTTGAAAAGATAAAACTAAAAGTTCCATTAAGACCAATAGATTAAGAACATAGCTGATATCAGATGGGAGTTATTAGAAGTAATCGAGTGTAATTGGCTTACTGAGTAACAAATGTTTACATTATGTTGAAAACACAAACATCCTTTACTTGTTAACATATTGAATTAATACTACAACTTCCGACTTATTAATCTATGATACATACATCGCTAAACCTATGATAATCGCTAAACCCTAGACCAAAGACGTCGTTATAAGATGGCGTAATCAGCCTAACAGTGCCAGCCCAAACTTTGGTCTTTTTCCTGGAAAAAGTAATTAAACAACATATAACCTTGTAGTAGGTTGGGTAAGAATTTGGCCGTCTTAGACTTCACACTTTTACGTCAGCACGAATTTCCTTGACATAACAAATTAATTAGAGTATATTCGTACTCTCCCAAACATTATCTGCGTAATTCTACTACATAATGAACCCGCCAAAAAAGTTTTAAATCTTGAGCTTAAACGCTAATTAAACCCTTGTAAACTTGTGAATGACATCACCACAGTATGATACTAAGACGCGTTGCACAAGATATGCCGTCGTATCGTACCAACAAAAACATAGTTCGTAGCTTCAAATCCATATGTATAGACACAACCATTGAAAAACCAAAGCTTAAGTACGATACAAAACAGAGCTTAACACTCAACATTGTACCAAGACATAAGCACCGTACCAAACCACAAAAGACACAAGTATAATGCCAATTCATAAACGTGATACCACACAAATATTAATGTCAGAAGCAGTAGCCAACAGTTGTTTGACCCCTTAAAAGTAATCAAATCCAGTCTAGAATGTAAGATAATAAAGTTATGTTGGGCAGGTGTTTATCAAGACCCTGCCACACAGACACTTTATATAACACAATGAGGCAGAAAGTACAGTTTTTGTGAATAAAGTAACTTTTTACAGGAAAAGAGAATAAAGCGACTTTTGGAATAATGGTTGGACTTTGGGAAAGAATAATGTAGAAAGAACAGTCTGACATAAGTTCATGTAGTAAGAATATGGAAACTTGTTTTGAGTAAGGATGTTAAGTTTAGAATTTGAACAAGAAATTTAAAAGTTTAGCATACAAATTTTATGTTTAAAATTTAAAAATACTTTTAAAAATTTAGAAATATATTTAAAAGAAGTTACCCTTTTACGAAAAAATCATTTAAAAAGCGTAAACCCTTTAAAAATAATGTAACTCAAAAAACGACACTACCAACACTCTCGTTAGCGAGACTAGAAGTTTGTTTTATATTGAAAGTAAGCCGCAAAACAATGCCAAGGCTATAAACAATCAAATTAAATATACCAGTTACAAAACACTACCGAGACCGTCAACAATCTATATAAAACCTAAGCCTACCAATCCCTAAACCAAAGTTAAAACTCTTCAAATGCCTAAACAGTAAAACCCATGTAGCCAGAAAACAAGTGATGCCACCCGGATGCGACCTTTATCTTCTTAATAGCGTATTAGTTAGAGTTGAGCAAAGTGCGAAGCCGCAAATAAGCCCTCAGGTCTTGAAGACATTGCTTCGCTTCTTTTGGGGCCCTGAGGCATTCCAGCCCACAAACCGCGGCATATTAAATAAATAAACAAAAGAAATAAATAAAAAACGAGGTCGGGCACACCACGCCGCCGGTGATGAGGTTGATGATGACGATGTTGACGCGTCGGAGCCAAAGAGAACCGGTCCAATTACGGAACGGTCGTACAAAGTCTCAAAAACAGGACGGCGGCCAAAATGAAGATGATTAGGTTCGAGGACGAAGAGCCAAAACACCGGCCCAAGCGAGGGTCTCACGCAGAATGGCTTGTTGGCCCAAAAAGAACCGGATTGATTAAAGAAGAAGACCGCGCATAATACTGCTTATGAACTCGGAAGTGTTCCCCATTATTTGAGAAAGGCCTTCAAAACAAACGGCTTGGCTAACGTAATCAAACCCAATATACAACGGCTTTAAATGGCTTCATCTTCGACACCCGATTTTGCGTATTTTTTAGTATTTAAACACTATTATCTATTACTGTATATTACAGTGTTTAAATGAAAAGCTTAGAATGATAAGCTATAGACAAAGCACTACTAATTCTTTTCCCTGTACCACCTTGTTCCTTTCTTATTGTTTACTTCTCTACCAACAAACTAGCTCCCAATTCCAAATTTCCCTACTCTGAAAGTGCTAAATATCTCCCCGACATCAAAACCTGACTGTCGCTAAGCACGCAACTACACCACCAATATCTTTTGTCCCTCCCTCCACACCAGTATGCATTGCATCTCTCGGCCGGCTCTTCAGTTGCCGAGGCTGCGTCGTTGACATGTCGTCGGTTCCTGACAATTCTCGGGGCACGAAGGATGGATTGACGCCGGATTTAATGAAAACAGTTCCCCCCCCCCCCCCTCCTCCTCTTTCAAATTCATTTTTTTGCTTCATATGCCAAAAAAGTGAAGTTATGGGGAACTGCCATTCCTCGACAGTTCCGGTGCACCAAATCCAATTTTGGTTGACTACGCGCCCAGTTCCGGCCCTGTCTTATCAAAGGCTGAAATCTGGTTAGAGGGAAATACCTTACTCTGAATTATATTGTCATCACTATTGTAAATTAATGAAAATTTAAGTGAGTTAGCTACCACCCAGACTCAAACTGCCCTTATAAGACGTATTAGGTATATATCTCTAATCTCTACAATCTACCCTCCCCAAAAACTTCCTCATCAAACCTCCGCTTATCAACTCAAAAACACCAAGAAAAGTGATGGCAGAAGACCGTGGGAATCCAGCGAATCCTTTCGCAGTCCCTGAATTCTCAAAGTCATCACAGCTTTTTGTTTGACCAGTTGGGCTATATAAAAGCAAATACAATATTCAGATAATCTTTTTAACTTTTCCAGAC